TCTCCAGATCCAGGTCCATAGCCCTCGGGGAGGGAGGAAACCTCCATCGTATCCGTCGGGTAAGAACCCTCCTTCTGGTACAAGGAAGGGTTCAAGCTCATCAGGGGGTTTTGCTCCCTTGTACTCGACTGTGGCCAGGGCTCTGAGGTGGCGACAGATGGAGCAGTTGCAGTAGGGGTATGGATGGGGAGGGGTCTGGTCAAGCTCCCTTGGGATGCGGTTTGGGAGGATGATAGGGTCTGGAAGGGGTTGGTCTCTGGCAAACCAGTTGAGGATTCGGTCTCCCTCAGGTGTGTCTCCTGGGAAGATAACCCACTGTCCCTCGCTAATCGGGGATCCTGGGTGGGTGTAGTACTCTGGGAGCTCCTCATTATTACTGTCAGAGTACTTGGTGAATATGACATTGTCGGATCCATCTTCGATGGCGTTGTTGGTGGAAGCCTCTGAGATGTGGGCAAAGCGTGGCTCAGTGAAATCTCTGAGGTCAGCAATGGTGATGAGGGTCCTAGGGAGGACCTCGGATTCGGGTCAGGGAGAGGGCCAGACGAAGTCTGACTCATGGATGGAGTCGTCGTCCCACCATGAAGAGGGTCCTTCAACTCTGTAGGTTCCATCAGGGGTGTATGACGAGAGGGAGGTTGGGGCATCATGCCACTCTGGCTCTGGAGATTCATCTCTTCGATGTCCTCCTGCGTCATCCACTCTCCATACGTCCCCTGGTCCCCGGGTAGGGAGGAACAGGTTTTCACCTTCTTTGAAGGTGGTTCTTTGCCTGGTTCATCCATGGACAATTTGATCAAATATGTCGACATAGAACCTACTCGTTCCTCTCTGGTAGAGACGCTCTCCATTATCGTCAAACCCTGGGATGGCTGCTGATAACTCTGTGGAGGTGATTGATGGCTCCCTGGAGTCATTGTCGTTGCCCCATGTCATGGCATCCCAGGACCCGTCCGTATTGGTCCAGTACTTGGTGGTAAATCTGGGGTTGACTTGGTCATCTCCATTGTCTGGAGGGATGCCGAGTTGTCTGAGCTCTTCTTCCCGAAGGGATTCTTTGCCTTCACTGTCTCAGTGATCCTCGCTCTGAAGCTCGAGCATGGGGGCTCACTCTTCTCTGTTGGGTAAGGGGTGTCAAAGTGCATCTCGCTCCCCCCTTGGCCAGGGTGTGAGTGAGCGGAGCCGGACAGTGCTTGTTGTTCGTGAGGTTCCTGTTGATGAGCCATTGAGTCCATGTACTCTCCCTCTTCCAGGGGTCGGTGCTCTTTGGCATCGGGTTGGTCGGATGATATGGATAACTGTGACTGCAGTTAATAGTGTCAAGATACTGAAGGTACTTCTGAAGATAATGGCAGTGTGGTCTGAGGGGGTGAGCAGCATAAAGTTCATTGTACCACAACGAATGTTTATGATCTCAGGGTATGGTGGGTGCCGTTTTGAATAACGGGCTGAAGGTTTCTTTTCTTTGGAAGTATAACAGTGACTGCCTTGAAGCGATACAGTTACTGTTGTCAATGGTAAGGGTAGTAAGGGCAAGCTTTGGCTAATTGTTAAGCACTAACTCTAATCTGAGCCAAGGCTGATCTCTATCCTGTCACTCGCATTTGGTGATTCAGTGTTAGAGAGGCACTGGTAGATTGTGAGAAGTTAGGCGTCACTTATAGCGAAAGCAAGGAGCTTGTAAGAGTTAGGAGTATATAACCTTAGCTGAAGCTGGGGTCTAAGGCCACAGCATAGGCTAGCTTAAATACATGTTAGACTCGTACTAAGAATAGTATCTACAAGGGCACGTGCAATGAGAAGTGCGTCTTTCAACGAATGAGGAGTGAGGACACTAAAAGAAGTGTACTCCCGACGAATGAGAGTAAAGAGCACATATCACCTGCATCTGCATGGGACTCTGTCTGAATAGGCTGCATCCCGCAGACTGCCCTCGACTGGTGGTCGACTCCCATCCAACTACTAAGAAGTGTGATGCCATCAAGAGAAGCATGATGGCACATGCGGGTCATCAGTCATCTGGGGTGTGGCAGCTGTGAACTGGGGTGATGGCAACCAGGTAAACAGGTAAGGAGTGTGCCGGTGGAATATCATGGGTCTGAGAGATAAGATAGGCAGGTCTGGGGTTCCGAGGGATAAGGATAAGATAAGATAAGGAAAATAGGGGTAGAGTCATAATATATTCGCCAGTTGAAGTTTAATGCATAACATACCCGTAACAGAAGGGATATGTTACCAGTCGATCCGTTGTTATGCAAGACTGACAGGAGGACCATGATGTCAGGCAACAGCGGTAGAGATGAGTTATGGTCATGATTGTTTGTTGTCTCAGTGGTGTAGAGTGCAGAGACAACAGTGTATACCTTTGTACCAAGAAGTGCCAAGAATCCCGAATTGTTGCCTAGAAAAGAACACATTAGTGTATGAAAAGTATGACAGTTACAGAAACTCACCACAGTCTGAAGGCAGGTAAGCAGGAGCAACCGGATCTGTCAGCTGCAGCATCTCTTCACGAAAATTGGCCCATATCACTGTGCAGTAAATTAAACAGAAAGGTGGAAGATCACATATGTACTCACTTACCACATAGGGAGAAAATGGCATCATATAAGCCCAGACCAGTATCTGTATTTCAGTGTCATCGTTGTCAGGCAGCTCTCAGTTGTCCTGAGACAAGATGGAAAAGACCAGCCTATACCACCAGCGAGTAGTATTGAATGACAGTTCCATCGGTGGCTCTGGTGGGCTATTGCCTTTGCAGAGTTGAACAATGTGAGTCTTGCACTCTAGCCGAAAGTCAACTATCCCTGCAAGTTTTGACCTGGCAAGCTGAAGAGGGCTAGGCCAAGATGAACAACTGGTTTTGTTTGGGTTGGGAATGTCAGCCTGGAGAATGGGTAAGACTTTGTTGTGGAATACAGCAAGCTGGGCAGATAGAGAGGGCGAGCATATGGTGTATTCTTCTGTAGCATCATAGGGAATCATCCCGCTACTACCTCTTCACAATTAATGTCTAAGTCTGCATCGACGAATGACCAGAACATTTGGAAAGAGTTTGAGACCTCAGACACCTGACAAGGTTAACAAACTGCGAGTATCCAGCTCTGTGTTGTCTGTGGGATGTCCCCATACTTACTTGTGGTCATAGGCTGAGACTTAAGGCCATTACACATTTGGTATGTTGTCGTCTCTCTGGATGCCTTTTTTCTGTGGCTTACTGGCCTTGCAGCGACTGCTATAAAAGACCTGCCTGAGCATAAAAACCACCCCCGGTGTATCAAATATGAATTTTTTTCGAGGCATCCAGGGACAGCTTGCATCATCGTTGGACGGGTTGGACCTGAAGGATCTGTCGACTATAAGTTTTGGTCCTAGTCATTCTCCTGGTATGTGGCCGTTTTCCAAGTATTTGTAGCATGCATTGGCATTGGCAACCTTTTTTAGTTTTAAAATAAACTCTCACCTGACAAGGTGAACACCGTGATTGTGCAAGCAATCGCCTTCTCGATGACCTCAACAAGGAAATCAACACATGCTGTGAGTGTCAAAGTGTCCTTCACTTTCCTGCAAACTTCATACTGACCTCAAGAAGGAATGTTAAGGACAGCATTCCTCAGACATCACCAAAATCATCGTCGACACCATCGCATATACAAAAGTGATCAAGCACATGGGTATGCATTTTTTGGGTCCAAGTTTTTCTTCTGACGCTAAGAGCTGTTTTTCAGGCTTCCATACTAATGTATCATCAACATCCTTTGCCACAGTACTACCTGAAGACCTCAAGCAAACTGTCAAGGCTTCAATGGGAACTGAAACATCTGACTCTGACATGGCCCATTATCCACTCCCTCTGATCACGTCATTTCCATCTCTGCCTATCTCATGCAACTCTCAGAGTACCTCCAGAAGCACATGAATGACATTGGGCCCAACCTCACCATCCTCGTCAGTGAGCTCGTTGGGGGCCCGACTCATCTTCCATGCTGGAAGCTTCATGTATCTTACCAAGCACCCAGTGAGTACTGTCCAAATCCTTAGCAACGAAAAGCCCTCTTTCGCACTCTGAAAACCAAGCATGGCCTGATATACCACGTGTCTCTCATTGGCCAGGCACCCTGGAATTAAAAGGCAAAATGGCGTGTATGGGTGTTACCAAAGCTGCACTCTCAATACGCCTGGATGCCCTGGCAGATTCTGATGGAAAATCGGAGCCTGACGTGCTGTCAATAGGACTTGCGCATTGGGCCATGCTCAAATCTCGGTTGCATGCAATGGAGTATGAGGATGGAGCTACCAGCATGTGGCAGTTTGCCAGGAATCAGGAAAAGCAGCAGCAGCAGCACTTTATATGTCAGGACAGATGGAGACGTATAACACTAAGGCTGATGATGTGGATTTCATGTCAGCACAGCAGAGGGATCTGATGGAGATTGCTGTCAAAGCCATTTCAGATGTGACAATGAACAGTGGTGAAGAAGAGAAGAAGGACAAAAAGAGGAAGCGGGGGGAAAGTAAGATTGTTAATGGGTATGAGGAAAAGGTACGAGCTTTTTCTTCCCTTTTCCCTGTTTTCTGACATTTTTCTGAATCAGTAGAATACTGAAGAGGAAAGGAAATCATGGAAAATAGCATGCAAGGCGGAAAAGGCAGCAGCAAAAGGGACAAACAGTGACTCATCACTGAAGAAAAAGAAGAAGAAAATCGGATTAGGCCTTGTTTTCATGTCAGCATATCATGACATTGAAAGCCAAAGTTTCTGGTCACTGCTTTGCCAGCCTTCTGGTCCCAGGATTGCGGTGGGGAAAGCTATGGTCATTTCATGTGACCGGCACAATTACTTCCCCCAATGAGCCATCATACCTTGAGGTCAGTAGGAGTAGTTTACTTCTGTTTACCCAAGCTGTATTAGCAGAGATGGCTAATCAATCCAGTCTTCCAGTCTTACAACAATCTTCCTAATGCACAAAGACATCTGCCTCCTGTGCCGCCAATGACCCAAGCGCAAGGACTACCAGTTCTGCTCTGACAGATGCACCAACTTAGCTGCGAAGAAGGCACCTCAGCTCATGAGGGTGCTGAAGGGGCATGTCTTCTATGAGAATGGTGAGTAGATCTCTCCTTAATTTCTTGACTGTTTTTTATATCTGTCTGTTGCTAGTTAAGAAGATGTTCGTGAAACAGTGGAATGATCAGAGGCAGCACCTGCCTACAATCATGAAGATCTACCTCATCACTTGGACTGCTTACCAGCACACATCATTTGAGAAGTATTGGTATGTTGACCCAGTTGAACTAGATTCCTTGCTCAAAATCCTCACAGCAGGAAGGTAGCTAGGATGCGCAAGATTGGAAAAGGCAAACTGAAGGAGGTCAGGTGCTTTCACTCTGAGGAACCCGCTTGTAGCCTCAGTGACAAGAGGTCAGATACTAAGTTGTGTTCGATGTCCAACTGTCGACTCTGTCCCACCATCCGGACTGCATTCAAATCGAGCTTGGAATATAAACACCAGATGGTGATGAACAACGCGACGTGAGTCTTCCTGTTCTGTGTGATGTCACTTGGGTAACTGAATTGTTGTAGGACTGGCATTCGCTTTGGGGGTGGGTTGTACATGTCGCCCTCATCCAACAGGTATGCATAGTATGGTGTTATGATCTTTCTGACTTCTGACTATGCATTAATAGGGCAATCAAATATGCTTTGAATCTCTTGGAAGGCTCAGAGTACCTCACTGTTCTCGTTACCAGGACTGTGCTCGGAAAGATGCAGTTCCTCAAGGATGAACAACACCACAGGCTCTCACCTGACAAGGGATATGATTCCGTGCATTCAATTTCATTAGCAATGGTGTTACCTCATCCTCTATCAGGTCAAGGCATGCACTAAAGGTGGTCCGTTAGAGTATGTCACATACCGTAAGGATGCAGTTCATCCTGCATATCTCCTTATGATCAACAAACACATGTAACCACGGCTTTACATGAGAATGAATGAGATTGCATGGCATTTCAACATGACAGACACCGAAATTTTTGTCCAATGAAATATGTTATAGACGTCAGCAAAGCCAGCTTACTGTGTCCAGTATTCAATGTGCGAGAACATGGATTGGTATGAAATTCCAATGTAAATAATATGATGGGCATAAAGAGATAGATATATAAGACTGGTGACTCATCTACTGCTTCAGAATGAGAAGATATGCTGCACGAATAGCATTGTGGTTATACATGACGAGTTCAGTGGGCCCACCTTCGCACCACAAACGCGACTACCTCGTATGTCATAAAAGTTCTGAATATGGTATCGACGGATACAGACTAGTACAGAAACCATTGTTTGGATGGTGGCAAGCGACATCAGTAGTAAAGGCTGGCTGGTTTGATGATAGTGGTAGAAAGAAGAATGGGTTTGTATGTTTGCTTCCAGCTCCGCTTATGCCACAATCAGATTTGCCTATGAACTTGGAAACTCCATGAATTCGCACAGCACATGCATAGGGAGTATGGTGATCACTGATATACCATCCATGGACTCGTCTAAATCAGTATGGTACTATACTCTCATACATGTACCTCCCATGTTCACTCGCCAGTGTGATTACAACTACACATGTCAGTTCTACAACAGAACCACACAGCGGTACCAAATACTTATACTCAATCTTTCAAGAACACCAACGACTAATAAAACCAACTTCCTTCCTTCCTTACTGAAGCGCACAGCACTGAAAAGGAAAGACGAGTCATTCACTCTTGCTTTTCTTCCCCTCAACTCTCATTGTCCCTCGCAGTTATGGGTAAGGAATCTGATCATTCTCGAAGAGCTGTGAATATTCACTTATGTCTACAGGATATGCACTATGGCTGATAGCCTGGTACCTATACGATGACATGAGCAGTCAGTACTAAAGTGAGATAGTAAGCATAGGTAATTATGCAAAGGAAATGAATAAATACGTACTCCTCAGTCAAATGACGATGATGGTGAAAGACTGAGAAGAAGGAAATGGTAAATTACGAAGTAAGTGTCCATGGTCACATGTGACATAAGGCATAAGGCGTGATCAGCATGATCATCATCGTGCCGATAAGTCCTATGGTACGCTAGTACCTGCTAGTGCCTATCCCCAGCCAACAATAGCTCATCCCATCCCCCGAGGAATACAAAGCCTGGGAAAAGCTCATGGAGTTCTGACCACCTGATTCCTCAGTGGAGCCCGATTCTAAATCATATCCTGGTTTTTCTCCCCACATTATGCTCGCCACATTCACCAATTTACCACCTGCTTTTGATACAGACAAACTCCCTATCTACGATCTCAGGCCTCCTGTGATGAAGTTCAAATCATGGAAGTGAGGTGACACGTACCTCAGCACTCTCATCATCAAGCTATCCAAGCCTCGCCAGCTTAAGCACCTTCATGGAGCGATTACCAACTATTTGGATGACCTCAACACTGAGTGGAAGAGTCATAACTTTCCACACATGTCGGTCTTCTATGTTGATGAGCCACAAGAGCACCTTAAATTGGAGGAGGGTTTGAAAGACTACAAGCAGATGAGGACTTTTGGTGACAGTGGGGATCTGGACCTGCACAGCCGATTCACAGGAACAGAAGTCTGGCTGGTCGATTGCATGTGTTCAGTGAGGCAGTGGAAGGTGATAGGGAAGAGGTCACTCTCCACATACAGGCTCAGAGAGCTTCATTCCTGCCACACAGGATCCATCACCTTGCTGGTGCCTACCCAGGCTGTGACAACCACTGTATCATGACCCACAGAACCACAAAAGCATCACCCTAGTGAAATCAAAAAGCAGGAGGACCCCTCCCCAGGAACCCATCATAAATATCATCCTTCAGTGCCCATCACCATGCCAGTACCTACCCAGGCTGGTCCTCCTGTACCTGCACCTGCACCTGCTTCCATGCCCGCTGCACAGATAGTAATGAAACAGCCTTCATATCAACCACAGTATGCTACGTCACCACCCACAGAGAAGAGTGTCCTTCCAACCAGGAGCCCTTCTCGTTCTACACCGAACTCATCGAAGACAACCACTCTTCATTCACACTCACCTGGGTCGTCAATTCGAACAGCGAACAACGTATCATGTCCCAAAGAGCCACAAAGGTGTCATCCTAGCGAATCATTTTCATCACCATCTCCACCCGCCCCTGCAACCACCTCAATCTCGGATGCCCCAAAGACGCCTATCTCACCCACATACACAGTACAGTGCACACAGCCAACATGCCACAGCCAAGCAGAACTATCAATAACCGCTATGGATGTTGATCCACCATCTGTAGGAGCTGCCCCACATCTTTGATGCATCTAGCTGACATGACGGGTCAGTGGCCCAGCTACCTAGTGATGAGCTATAGTTGTTTGCATACTCCAGTGCTGATTTTTTCCCCTTATATTTATAGCCCTCTCCAGCAGGTTCCCCTTTACTACACATCTAGATTCCGTAGATGAAGCATAAAAACTATGTACCAGTATCATCATGGATAATATCGACTTGTAGCAGTGTTAACATACAAAATCCGAAGCCTGATTTTGACTCTGGTTACTAGCACTGGGCTGATAAGAAAGCATCTTCAGCATAAGATAGGTTTGCAGCAGAGTATCAGTGAGAACAAGACATTGGAATTGTACATGTATGACAATGAAATAATATAGGTGTCTTCATTACTTCGCTATGATGAGGTATGCCAGACATGCCATGTTGTGGATGGAATACAACAACTTTGGTCAGCCCAACAAGGGGATGTGCCTCCATCTGTAACTGACAACTGTTATTCAATCAATGCACCTCAAAAACCGAAATTCATGCTCACAGAATCATATCCCTTATCTGGCTGGAGCCTATACCAATTGTCAAAGACCACCTTCTGCAGGTTTCCCAGGACTACCCTCATTGTGAAGACTGCTTTGTATTTAGATCCTGAACTGCCATTATCCACATACTGGAATGCCCTAGAGACATGTGCATAAGATGAGGTCTGTGAAAAACTTGGTGGTCATGTACTTCGAGGACGATGGAGCCATGTATATACCACACCCAAACCGAGCTCCTCGTGATTCGTGGCAGGGATGATCCATGATGGTCCTGCTTTGGGCTCTGGTTCAACTTGGCCTGTCCAACATGGAGGCTCCCTAGGGATTCGAGGTCGATAGCTGGGTCTGTTGGACCAAGCGCTGCATAAGGTAAGGTAAGATTCAATTTCCCAAAAAACCAAACACAGACCTTTCGAATTCTGCATCATAATGAGGACTTCACAACCAACAATCTAACTCAGCCTATAGTTAGGGTTCATTTTCCTCTTCACCAGCCAATTGGCACACCTTTGTGATCTTCAGCATCTTGTTGATGGTAGGTATGACCTCGTCGTATCCATGTATCACTGGTCCTAGCAAACAATGTCATTGGGCACCATGAACCTTGGCTGAAATACTTCAACTTATGAAACTTATTCTGCATGTTGCAGATGAGTATAATAGTCGACTCTGGGTGGATGGACATTGTTAGTGGGTGGGTTGGAAAGGACCATGATGGCGGAGTTCTGGTATGGGATCTGAGTCAGTGTCACTGGATCAACCTTGGCTTCAATGATCGAAACTGAGATGGCCCAGAGCAGGTTGAACTTTACAGTGTCAACGATCACACAACGTGATGAAACTAGAAGCTACATCAAACTAAAGGAGATACAAACAATAGGTGAGTCTTGTAAAGTACCATTGGCTTAGACCATAATCGCCATTCTGATGTGTTATCTTGTATTATTAGTATCACCTGGAAGTGACAAGGATTCTGAATGCTCATGCATCAGGAGTTGCAGCATCACCTCCTGGATGTTAGTGATAGTACATGCCTTTCATGACTTATGGGTACCAAGATAATGAGCCCATCTGTGAAGCCCTGTCTTCATCACTCAACAAACAGGCATTTCCTCTCATTCACCATCTTTTCCAATCTTTCCTAGGTGCCTGGTTACTCTTCTGTGTAACATGATATAACTGCCCTCCAATACCATTGCACCATGCCAACATTAGCCTTGATATCAATGTTTCTATGTCCCAGCAGTCTGTTCTCTCAGCTCAATTCAGTATTGGCCCATGTCATGGTCTTTGCCATCCAAGTGATTGTTAATGAAAAAATGATGATGCAGAGATAGGTTGACTCAGACTTGGAATCCAGATACACTGCACAATGCCTACCTTCGAAGATGCACCAAGTACTGGAAAGGAAACAGCCTCCAGAAGAGATCAGGATTCTTCAAGCTCATCATGAGGTACATGTTGCATTAGTGGGAGTCAGAGTGACCAATTATTGATGATTATGAGGTCAATTATGGCAATGATTATAAGTCCAATTATAAGTTGTAATCATCATCATAATCACTCTGGCTCTGACTGTATACCAATTACAGGTAATGAATGTAAAGGGGAGGATCCATAATCGCTGTTCATAATTGGTGCCATAATTGTTTCCATAATTGTTTCTATAATTGTCCCATATACTCTGACTCCCACTATTTCTCCTCCTCTACTTTTCTGATAGATGAATCATTTCCACTGTCCAGGGTAAAATTTTGTCCATTGTATATGGCCATGTTGGGGTATAGCTTGCAGATGTCGACACCTCTGCCAATTCCCTTCCCAGGACTCAGGAGCTGTCAGCATCACTACCATACACTTACCCACCTTTCTTCTATCAATCTTGCAGCCAAATTTCACCCTATGATAGACCAAACTCGATCTGACAGCTGTGCTGAAACCTTGCTGGGATGGCTTCCTTGATTCTGTAGGTAAGGATACCATTCTGACTTAACATTGATGATCATCTTTGAAGCAGCCAATGAGTGTGTCCAGTGACTGCACTGTTATAACAAGAGGGTTGTATCTGTTATTCTCATAACCCACTCCCCCATTTCTCTTGGCCTCATGGTGACTCAGACAGATATTCCACCTGATCTTAGTGACTCAGACAAAGCTTTCATGTTTCAATCTCTTGATGCTGAGCTGAACTCCTCAATTCTCTATGCACTATTGCATGGTGTGCAATGACAATTATCACCTTGGCATGTAAGTATTGACTTATGACAGGCATATACACTGGCATTCTTGCTGTTACACTGTGGAATATATGTGAGCCAGGAGCATCTCTACCATGTCATCCAAACTAATGTGAGTGGTACAGTCATCAATAAATGTTTGCCAACCCGCCAAGTCCTAGTCGTCATTATTATTCTCCTCCATGCTTTGGATACTATCTCTTTTGCTGTCACATGGTCATATATATACTCTGCATTCATCCAAAATGGACAAAGTTTTTGGACTGTATACTTGAAGTTTGATACTGTGAACCATGCAGTCAATTTGGAGGCGGGTATTACAGGCTGCATGAGTACCATTCTTGCAGACTCATATATTGTGTGTGCTATGTCACTGGTGATCCACATCAGCTTACCATTGTTTTGACTTTAGATTTGGTGCTGTTGGATAGTTTGGGGACGGTGCTGGCTTATTGTTCTGCTCCCAATCCTTTCCCTAATTTCTGCAATAGGTAAAGTGTCCAATCTCATCTACTCTTTTCACATATCCAACTTTACATATGTCTAGTGATTAAAATCATCAATGTATATTATGGGTACTTTGGTGCATCAAGCTCAGTATTTCTTATGCCCTACACATCCCTCATCCTGGCAACAACATTATGGTGCACGCTACTCATCATTTTCCGCATTTTGACTGTTACCAGGGTTAGACATGGAGGTGGCGGCCGACTGAGAGTTTATCACCGTTTTATTGAAGTGCTAGTGGAATCCTCTGCTCTCTATTCGATATCTCTGATCCTATATCTGGCTTTCTACATTAGCAATACTTTTGGATGGTATTATCTTGATGGTATAGCTAGCATTGCAAGGGTGCATTCACTATCCTGGACTCCATTATCATTTATCAAACACCCTGTGTAGGGAGTTGCACCCACACTCCTGCTTGGCAGAGCAGCTGCAGGACACACACGCCCAACTGAAGAACAAGATGAAAGTGCAACAGTATCGACCCTTCAGTTTCCAAATGTCTTCACAATCATCTCAACCTTCGCAACCTTCCACTTCAAGCCTTCAGGAATCCGCAAGGCAGAGCACAGTCCTTGAAATGGATGTTGAAGCCCAGACAGAGCAGTTGGATGAGCTTGTGGTGGTTGTTGAAAGGGCACAATAGAACTCATGGCAAACATCTGAAAGTCGGGGTGAGACTTTGGGCTTGATTTAGACTGTAATTTTTTGTCATGCTATCTTTTTTTACTATCGCATTCTCTACTTACTTGATTTTTCGATCAACTATAGACTCGTAGCCTATCTAAACCTCTATAATCCCTCCTTGCCTTTAGACCTTTATGTATGAGCTCACAGGACAGTCCTAAGGAGTGTTGTTATTCCTACGTGTTCATGAGTATGGTAACTGCAGAGAACGTAACTGATAACCCAGGCCATACTGTTTGCCTGATTCAACGTAAGTATTTGCTATGTGTCTACCCTACATCTTGCTTCGAGGGTGCGCCAGATTCGGTGCACTGCATCGTAGAGGAAGCATAGGGGGACCATCCTAGGTTGAAACTGAAGGGCCGTCCGAACCATGACCATCCGGAAAGACCACAAGAATGGCATGTATGCATTAATTAGAGCCTAATCTTTGAATGACACTGACATAGTAAGGTACCTCTAGTACTACTTTTCGAATGCAACATCCCAAAGACTACCGCTTCCTCTTCTTCTTACCCTCCCCAGGAGCAGACCTAATAGCCTCCATAACCCGATCATCCAACACACCTGCATGCTTTTCTCGCTTCTCCTTCAAGTCTCCCTCCAAAGCGCCCTTCTTCCTCACCTTCTTGAACACCATCTCAATCTCATCTATCTCCTTCTCTTTCTCCCGTTTTCGTTTCTGCTTCGGTTTCTCTGCCTCTTTCTCCTCTTCTACCTTGCCCTCTTCCACAGGAGGTTCAGCCTTCTCTTCCTTCTCCTCCCTCGCCTTCGCCTTCCCAACCAAATCCCTCCACTCCCCCGGCCTCTTCTTCAACACATACAAATTCAACGCCCTAATAAAAAACCTCCCATAAAACGACGCAGCCAAACTCTGCTCGTAATCCATCACGCTCCGCGCAATCTTTTCCTGTCAGCCACAAACAACATAAACCACAACTCATCCCACATCATCGAAAACGCACCTTCATATACGTATCACTCCACCCCCAGCACCTCTCCCCCACCCGACTCCCGATCCTATCATCCACCAATTCATGGAAGTGCCCGAGGAACGCTAGGACGAGCCGGCGCTTGGCTTTGTGTGGGACAGTGGGAGAGTCGAGGAATACGTCAAGGACGCGGGAGGAGACGGGGTGCTGGGCGAGGGGGATGAGTGATGTTATGGGGAGGGATAGGATGCTGAAAATTTTTGAGTTTAAAAAGCGGGGAGAGCACTGCTAACTAACCTCTCGATGATACCAGCGTTGTACGGATCCTTGAGACGCAGCATGGACTGCAATAACAACGCTCCTTGTACATTCGGCTCCGGAGGTGTACCTGCGGACTTGTAATCCTGACACACATTAGCATAGTCCAATCTAACCAGTCAAGAACAAACGAACCTCAACCGTCTTCAAACTCATCACAGCCCTAACCAACACCTCCGCTTCATCCTTCTCCTCGCACCCAAACGCGCCCTTCAACGCACTCCAAACGTCCTCCCCACCTCCCCCAACTTCCACCATAGCTTTAACCACACCCAACCTACCCATCTTCACTGCCCTCCCCCACCACCCCGTCCCCAAACCACCGAGCTGCGTGGGATTCGCCCTACCCACGGCTCGAGCCAGCACGTAATTGGAGACCGCATGTGTCGCGAGCCGTTCGACACCGCCGTTCTCCGGGCAGAGGTACGTACACCAGAGAACGTCAAATACCGGTTGAGGAGATTGGATGACGATGGTTTCGAGTAGGTGGGACGAGGTGGCGTCTCGGAGGAGAGTGTGGATGTAGTCCGACTCGGTGGTGGGCGTCAAAGAGTTCACTAATGATCACGACGATTATATGAGTATGTCCCCGGAGATAGTAAGTACTCACGCGTTTGACTGACCATACCGACTAAGACGCGGTCCATCAGGCTCCCGCTTTCGTTTGACATGCCATGCTGGGCTTCAACTTCGATGAGAACCTATCACGAACATCAATATATGCCGAGAAACATGACCATGAAGACCCACATCAAGACCAGGACATGCAACCTTACTCCCCGCACACGCCCTTACCTCATTATCGCTCATCCCCTCCCTGAACGCACCCACGATCTTCCTCGCCGCCTCGTCGAAGCTCCTTGGCCTCTCCCCCTCCCCTTTTTCCGACTTGAAGAGACTTCGCATCTCGCCTTGCTTGCCTTTCCAGCTTTTACTGCGTTTCGATGTCTGGGATTGTGTATGTGTATTTGGTGTAGGAGAGAGCAGGAGAGCAAGCGCGCGGACGATATGTGAGCCGAACGGGTCGTGGAGGAGCGGCGGGAGGACAGGGAGGAGTTCCTGTTCGCGTGGCTATAAGTAAGATTGGTCTGGGTCTGGACGTGATGAGAAACGTACGTCGCATAAGTCCAGTACGAGTTCGGTCATCGTTGGGAGATGTCCCTTTTTTGCATCACCTTGTGGTATTTCAGGTAGTATACCTTTCGTCTGCATAGAATAAATCAATCATTATTTTCGGCAAAAGACTCGATGAACCTCACCTCCCTCGAAACAGTCTCCCCGGAAACCTCGAGAAGGGTCTGACAGACATGCGACGCGAACCGATGTCGAGCTAGTGTTTCATACCTAACCTCATCAGCGAAACCACGAAATAAAAACAAAACACCAAGTCACTCACGACCCCGTCAAACTATCCAAAAACACCCTCCTCGCAAAATCATCCATCGAATGAACCATCCTCTCCAGCACAACCGAACACTCCGGGTCAGTCGCGAGTTGTTTTTCTTTCCCTGTCATCTCTGTGAGGGCAGCGAGGAAGAACGTGTGTTTTTCTAAACAAATACGAAAAATTAGCTTTCTCCTTCCTTTCCTTACTGCACACTTACCCTCGTCATCCACCTCCACTTCCCTATCCTGCCACTGCCGCATCTGCACGTCCACCGTCCGGAAATACGCCTTGACGTCCGCGTCGAGGTACCCAAAAGGTGCTTCCGAGTCTTGCTCCTGCTCTTGTTGGGGATTTGGGACGATCCATGATGGTCCAGCTTCGACTTTAGGCTCTGGTTCTGCGGTATGTTGTTGTTGCTCTGTGTCTGCGTCCGGGGCAGGCTTTTTGTGTTTCTTGCCTCTTTTTCTGTTTTCGCGGGGCATGACCGGAAAAGGGTACGAAAGTGGGTGGCTGTGCAACCGAAGTCCATGCTGCTTTCGTTTAACCCATTGCCTTTACTTCCACCAGAATACATTCCTTCAATCCCATCACTTTCTACCTGCCATGTCTCAATCGTGAACGGACAATTGCAGTAATCCGTACGAATATCAACGCGGCCCTCGTCCGGAAAAAGGCGTGCAAGACCTTCTATTTCCAAGAGACCGACTTTCTCCTCCCAACGAAGTAAGAGGCTTTCCTCCCTCCCCCAACTCAAGCTGGATAGCTTCGAGGCCTCCCTGCGAAAGACCTCCTCCTGCAGTACATCCATCGAGACCTTATTCATCCGGAACAGACAGCAACCGCCGCGCAGAACGTAACCACCATGTTCCTCCAACCCAGCCATTATACAAGTTACGCCTCCGAGCTCTGATGATGATCCCCCACGCCCACACCCACAAACACGTCGCTGAGTTTTTTCCCCGTCTCCTCAACGTCAAACACTCCGAGTCCCGGCAGGCCTTCATCTATCGCGCAACTGCAAGATATACAAGCGGCTGTTATTCTTCCGAGCCCTCCTTCATGCTGCATGCAAGTTCGGGCGGAAAAAAAAAAACAAGGTTCCAGTTTTGGCGGGATGAAGGGAAAGTAGTAAGAAAGCGCCCAATAGTTGATGCTGATCATGGAACTTGCCATCTCATCTCAGGCACTACGAAACCCTCATCCTCGCATCTCCAAGCCAAGCCCACGACCGACCAAACCCAGGCTTGAAGAACCTATAGATGGGGAAACTCAAAATCCGCACTCCTCTCCAAATCTATATGCCACAAGAGCGAAGGGTAGATTCCGTGCAACTAAATGCTGTTCATAATCGCAGTCCTGACTCGTCCTGAGAGCCGCATAAAAACTCTTATCTACATGTTTCACTGACTCTGCTTTTAATTCTCAATCCATTAGTTACTCTCCAAAATATATCACCGTCCCATGCCTTTGTTTCCACCAGCCTACATCCCTGCTACTTTCATCCCTTCCAAGCAACGTAAGCCTAGGCCTATCACCTTCATGTCTCGACGTGACTGAAAACTATTACAGTAATCCGTACGTTTACCTTCAAATCATGATGTCAATGTCAACCCAAGCTGGATCTTCTTCCTTCTCTACTACTAGGAAGCTTTGAAGCTTTCCACAAACCATGGCAAGGTCCCAAGGACCTCTTAATTCAGTACATCCACGACTGCCATCGCCATCGATACACGTCCGGCAATTCCGCCTCCATCTATTTGTCATCCGGAACAGGCAAGTCGCGCATTGCAGACGTAACCGCCGAGCAACTCTTCTGTTTTCCCATGAACATACGAGAGAGACTTGATGATGGATTTCACGGTGAGTTTATCGTTATCTTCCCGGTTCTCTCGCTTCACATCCGCTGCTTATCCTCCCAGCGATACTATCCTAAACGACTATCTCGTTCCCTCCCGCCGGGGTGAGATCGACAAACCGAACTTGATGTACAAGTATGCTGCTTTCTTGGCTACTTCGTTTTCGTATACCGCGGAGACTCTGAGTGACGAGGAAACGTATTCGGCACCAGAAGCTCTTGCGTTGGCGTGGAAACAGCGCCTTGCAGCGGGTGAGACAGCCCACCACAGTAGGTCCTTTTCGTTCTGGCTTCTACGCGGAGGTGGTTAGAAAGTCGGATGAGTATCTGGATATAATTGTAGGTGCCCACATACCACCGCTTCTCATCGCTAATGACCTCCCCTCCCCCAAACACACACATACGCGTTCCAGGAAAACAGATCAAGTACGTACTGCTTTTTTTGAACAATCTCTATCGTATTCACGTGTCCATCCCCAGTGAAAATCAAGCGGAAGCTCGAGATAGCCACACAAGACCTCGTTAACGTTCTCAATCAAAAAGTCGTACCTCCACGCTATGACAGGCCATTGGAATTCTTCATCTATCTCGACGAAGCACACACTCTGGCGCAGGAAGGCGAACTCGGTAGCCCTCCTTCCAGCGCTCTGGACATCTTTAATACAGTCTTGGGATGGCTAGTGGAGTTTCCGTTCTTCACGATATACATATCCACAACCAATCTTGAGCCAGCGGCTACTATGCCTTCTATTTCTGTTTCTTACCCTCAGGCTGTGCCTCGTCAGGAACCCAATACTCCATTCACCGAGCTCCCCTTTGACGTATTCGCACGCGACGTCGTGGGGTATCTTCGTGCTCTAGGAGGAGGACGCATTTTCCTTGAAGACATGCATAGTGAACAATACCTGAGAAAGTTCGGGCGACCTTTGTGAGTTGCCTCCATTGCAATACTGAAAACAAAAAACTCCGACTCGACTACATAGATGGAACAGCCACTGTCTCGAAAACTACCCAAATAAATACTGGATCCAAGATGAACTAAGCGCCGGGCAGACCATCAGAGGTCGGGAGGACCTCCTTTATGCATGTGTGGGCCTTACTGTCCAGTTCGACTTTGACCGCTCGTCCCCCGCCGCCCGAGCCACGCAAGCCAAACTCGTGCGATCTCACTTGAAGATTCCCCTTGTCGTCCCTCGAGACGGGCAATGCACGATCACTGGGTACCCATCAGAACCCCTCCTCGTCGAAGCAGCATCCCAGCTATTCCCAGGAGGTCAACTCGAAACATACATCCCACACGCACTCGACAAGGCAGATTTGGAGGGTATCCTCGCCAAGGATAACCGACCCCAGCTAGTCGGCAGGTGCATCGTCATCCTCGCCCAACGAAGCGCCGTTTCCCGTTTCCTCCCTTCCTCCCGATTGCCATTCGGATATATGGTAGCCCACGGTCACCCAGTTCCCGTCCTGGTCCTCCTCAACCACATGTTCAACCAGAAATGGCGAGACTCCATCTTGAACATCCGGCCTGTTGGTGACGAACACGGACCTCCTCTCCGCGAAGCGTTCAAGGATGTCTATGTCAATTTCACTCATTTCGCTGAAGCTGGCGACAGCAAGGTCATGCAGTACCTGCCCCATATGATGCTTCGGTTCTTGATGTACGGCTGCTGCTCTATGAACTCTGTCGACTTGATCACTGCGATGCACCATGGTTCCCTCCAGAATCCTCTCTACGATAGCTCGACGTCTCAGCTGGCTTTCCAGATCCAAAACTGTGCTGAAGAGGTTCCAGTTTTTGGTGGAACCACAGACTGTTACGCCGGCTCGAAAGGACCTTCCTGTGCTGTCGTTGCTTATGCAGTTGGGGATCGAGGATAGGTCGAGGCATCGGGTCGAGTCACTCAAGCCCGGAGCGCGCACCGAGAGCATCCACCGGAAGCATTATCAGATTAACGCCGTCGGATGTTCTTCCGAGGTTTTCACTGTGATTCCAGTGAAGGGAGAGTGTACCTATCAGAGACTGTTGCGTCCGACGTCCAGAGATGACTTTGCTAGGAAGCATAAAGATGCGAATCTTTCGGCCTTTCATACACAGAAACCGGCATTTTTCGCTGATAAAGTTGAGTCGTGGAACTGGCTGCAGGACGGGATAAAGAGCGAGGAGGATATCAAGAAGGCTTTGGTAATGCGAACCTGGACACGTAATGTACGCAATTCCGCAATTCTTATATGTAGTAACATACTGTAGTAATAGCACACTTGCCTTTCGGATGTAACCAGGTCAGCGAACACGTTGCAAAGTCAGAAAACAAGCAAGATAAGGTCGATAATGTTCTAGCAGTCTATGCATTGTAATTCGACGAATTATCACACTGACTACAAACCTTGAGCCGTGTGCCGCTCGCGAAGAATGAGCGAGGTGCCAATTGCTTATGGAGTGGTGATTCGTAATGTTACTTGGTTCGCTGTATGCATTACGTTTGGAGAAAGTACCGAGAAAGCTTTTAAAAACGTTCCCGGTTCTTAAATCATCAGTGGGGAACAGAAGCAATAGGAGCTTACTTTCCCAGTATACGTACGTCCGGCTAGTCTCCTCTCGGTCGAAATCGTGCTGCTCGGTGAAGCCAATAACTTTCAGAGATCGATGAATGGTTTCATGACGGGAGAGAATATTCGTTTAGCCTCAAGAATTCGAGAGAGTAAAGACACCAATGCCAGTATTTGGATCTGCGAAAGCCAAAGCCAGAGCTTAAAATGACTGGAGCCAGATACATTCTTAAAGCAAAACGGTCGAATCCCGATCACAAGTAATGCCCGTCGAATCGATCTACTACGAAAATCTGGAGGAGGTTCGAGCAGATTATTGATAACATTATTAGCGTCTCGATACCATTAGAGTATTTTACACAATAGACTGTTGCGTTATTCTTCTAACTTTTGCAATAAATACCCGAGAATAACAATATCCCAGTGCTCCGCGAGTCCGAAGAAAACCAGTTCCATCAGAATGCAAAATTGTGCTCAGTCGCACATCTCAGGCGCGTCATTCTAAGGGGGAAAAGATCGATTAATACATTGTGAAATTTAACTTCACAAGAAAGGCTCACCTCTCGAATGAACGTCAGCATATGGCACGTAATGTAGCCCTTAGCGAAGCCTGCCCCAGCGTAGGCAAACAGGTACATCCACTTCCGCTTGAACGCTTCATACTGACTGCTTATCGTTCAATCCAGGATAATCCTTCGCAACCATCTCCTGAGTCAAATTCTTCTCCAGCCGCCTTCCCCACTCTCGGAGTGTTACGCGGGTAGTGAGCAGCATGGTTCTCAACTCGCTCAAGGTTAAAGTGGGGAGAAGCCGCCTGAATCAAGGCAGATGCCGAGGGAAGACATGAATTCGGCCACATGTACTTGCGCATGAAATCTTCAGCTTGGTATGAAGAGTACCGTGATTCGGGGAAAGTCGAAGCGGATACGACAGCGGTGGCATTGTGGGGCTTCAATGCGAAAGAGACGAGTCGGAAATAATTGGAGTAGTGTTTCGACCCGACATGCTCAAGCATCTCGACGGAAACAAATGCATCGAAGGCATTTTCCCATTCGGATGGGATATCCCGGTAATCGAGGAGGTGGACGCGGATTTTATCGGAAAGACCGGCAGCAGCGATTCTTTCCTCAGCGAGCGTCTTCTGCTCGATGGAAAGAGTGAGGGTATCAACGGTGCATCCGAATGTGCTAGGCAGCCTGTAAATGAGAAGGTGAGAAAAATGGTATCACTGAAAGGAATGAAAGGAAAGTTACTTACCTCGATCGCGAGTCCTCCCCATCCTGAACCGAATTCGAGAACACGGTATCCCGGCTTGAGACGAGCCTGACGAAGGACATAGTGTATTTTTCTCCGCTGCGCGGCTTCGAGGTCACCAGGAGTCGGACCGATTTCAAGATCACCTCGGACTCCGCCCTCGGATTCGTCCCAGAGAGCACATGAATACATCATTTCGGATGAAAGGAATGCTTTGAAGAGCTCGTTCGATTGATCGTAGGATGCGATCACGTTTAGACGAGCGTTACTTTTTGTCTGGCCAAGGAAGGAGTTGTAGAAACTTGACAGGGTCGAGGTGATGCGACTAAAAGTAGAGGACAAGGTGTCTTCCATTGCAGACTGGTTATCGAGCCATAGCTAAGACGCATTTCAATCCCCGTGTATGTCTGGACTTAACAGAGTACGCACATTCATTGCTGCTCTCAGGTCGGGTAGCTCGATCTCGCCTATCATGTACGCTTCGCTGACTAAATTGAGTTAGCTCACAACTGATTGCTGATTGGCGGTTACGCGGGGCACATACAACCAAGATCACCGGAGCTGCAGAAGGGAAGTGGTTAATCCATCAGCAAGTCAAAAAAATTCAGATGACTACATACAGCATAAGGCGAAGCCAAAAGTTGTCGTTTCTGACTTTGATGTGAACGAGATTGCAGCCTTTCTCATTGGAGCCATACGCATGAGAGCCTTCGGCGTCATCAACGATGAGATATCCAGATGAGATAGCGCTTGTAAGCGCTGACAGAATCGATTGGCGAGCAAACGAAGTAATCCATAATCGGGGAGAGGCGGCCATCATGAGAACATTGGGAGATGAGATAGCAGCCTTCGGTGGAAAATTGCATGCTGGATTTCGAGGTCATTGCTAAGAAGAGAGGTTGAGGTTGATGGTTTGAAGTAGTGGAAACTGAGCGATCTTTATACATTTCGGAACGGGAATGACTTATCACTGAGTTCTAAACGCAGCCCGAAAGATATCCATGATGCATAATCAACTGTTCAGGGTGACCCTTAGGGTCGACAACTTTGAACAACAACGTGTCAGATCTGTATCTGAAATTTCTAAGAGCATGCCGCAACTGAGACGAGAAGTATGACCTACTGAAGTGGTGTATATAATTCAATAGCGACAAGGCTACAAGACGTGCCGAAGGAAGCTCGCCTACTCTTAACGGTCGACCTGCTAAATATCCGCCGGCCGACCGGTGTTCCATGGATTCGTTCGACAGGTGTAGCCATGAAGCGTGAGTATCTATCGGCGCATCCCATCAAGCATAACCAAACATGTCCTCGGTATCCGTTTGCCCATCCACGAGCGTCAGAGGGTGATTAATGGGCCGAAATTTGAAGGAAAGCCTGCGAGACGGTTCTTCATTTTGTACTCTGAGTCTCACTTGCTAGACAATCTAGTGCAATTATGCCATTACCTATGGATCCCTTGGCGAAGGCCTCTCCATGGATGCCAGAGGACAGTCAAATTGTCGCACAGGAGGACGATGGCCATTTGCCTCGTACCACGTACGTCCGGATCCGTGGAAACACGACGACTGCCGGACTACAGCACCGCAGATTGCCCGTGGAATACAGGCATCCGCGGCAATGGACAGTAGATGCTTGTGATCCGGAGGATTTTGTAACCCTGAGTCGACTAATGGGTGTGGAGCCTGTATAGGTTGTGTCACACGAATGGGCCCACAATCAGGGCGCTGTTCCAGGCAAAAATAGGCCTAAGGTGTGGCCTATTCCACAGTCACGGTCACCATGAAACAAACACAACGAGGCCCATCGCGAATCAGATCTGTCGGAATCCGATCTTTGTGGACTCCGATCGAATTTGTAGGTGCTTGTGTACACCACAACTTTCGTCAAGGAGTTCATATTGGTCGAGACGGCGCCAAAGAAAAGTGAGTGAGGTATCAATATTATGACTTGAATTTAGTTAGGCTATCTTCTGTATCCGTTGTTCAATTATAGTGCAGCTGAAGAGACAGGAGGACCTCACATGCAAATCATTGTGAGACGAATGAGGTCTAAGTCCGCATGAATAACAGGACACCTTCATACACAGCCCAGGCTATTGCAGAACTAAGGACTTTTCGGGTGAGACGCAAAGAGGCGCCATCAAAATAGCCCGAGACACCACGTTGCTAGATAGATCTTTCGGACATCGCCCACCACGGACTGAAAGTATATGCACGTACCTTCCAGATCGTCCCAACTGTCCTCGTAAATCCATGGTACCTGTCCTCGGAACGCACTTGTATTTTCGTCTGTGAATATGGGTGAGTCCAGGGTAAAACACGATGCAATTAGTCAATCAGGTTCCGACTGATTGATAATCAAACAGAGGTCTTCATACCTTAATCACGTCGAAAGGATGGGTCAACAAAGTTGACATACCTCCTGCTAATGCGGCAGAAGCGCTGTGTATGGCAGCGGACTGGCTGCTTGATGTTGGAGGTGCGACCAAAGCTGGATTATGATAGGGTCAATAACCATTCCACCGACGACGATCACATGTAAAGAAAGGGTCGCACAGGCCTCCCGTTTGATTCCCTCGTAGAAGACCACGAATAGGCCGGCATAAGGAGCGTCTCGTAGTGACGACGCGAAAAATCCTCGGAACAACTCAGAAGGACCTTGCCGGATGATGGAGGTCAAAGCCTGCGCAACACTCTCGTACGCGTAGATATTGCTCTTCATTGAGTATATCACCATAAATAAAGATCACGCACGGAGCTGTGAGCGGCACGTTCATCACAAGAAAGTGTATTATGCACACCTCGAACCGAGCTTTCAATACAGAAAACGGGTTTAGAATGAACCCGATTCCCACTCGCGCAGTAGCGCCTGCTATCAAATTTCCTTGGCTACTGAGTTTGGGGAGCACCGATGTGTTCTTTGAACGATCATCCGAGGGCGTACGAATACGGGAAAAATAGGGAGAAGTTGCCATAAATATCCTGAGTTGTGTCAAGCTGGTCATGTAGAGGGCTACGCCCGGAACATTTCTGTCTCTCAATTGATGATGAAATTTACGCAGAGACGAGTACGGCCTACCTTAAAAGGGTCGCAGATGTACCTCTCCACAGTCCCTGCACACCATGAGTGGAGATAACTTCTTTCGTTGTCTGTAAAATGACCGACGTGTGTCTAGGGGAATAAAGCTGTTTCAATAAAGAAACGACACAAAATTCTGATGAAGTACCGGTATCTTATTGCTCCGTCACCCTGCTGCAGGCGTGTTTTGATGAGATCAACTTGGAATGGCGTAAGTGTAATCGCCTAGGAAAGCCGAGAATTTGTTACAGGGTTGAAGACATATCGTGGACGCAAATCCAGAGAGACCACCTGGTATATGCCATTACGATGAAATTCGAATATGACCCAAAGAAACTTACCCGACAAAAGATGAAGCTGGACATTGCTCATATGAGAAAAATCGACCCAGGTATACCACGGTCAGAAACTGAGAATGGACGATTAGAGCACAGAGGGAAGATGACAAAAGCTTCAAGCGGTACGGCGCCGAACGCGTAAGGTGGGACCGTGACATGCCACGTGATTCGTGACAAAGCTGATCGGGTCCTTCGGCATCAGCGGTCAGTAGGCATCTGAAATTTCCCAGGCTCCTCATTACATTGACAGCACGCCTTGCTCTCCTCCACGGACTTCACAATCATTTTTTCAGCTTCTCCAGTTTCGCATCTACAACTATGACCGCCGCGATACCTGCACCGAGAAGTCGGCAAATGCGGGCATGTCTGCTCTGTTCTGTTATTCAAACATCTTCCGATTTTCGTAAAGACGGATGCCCCAACTGTGACTCGATTCTCCAGGTTCGTCGTCGCTGTCCACGATCCCGTGCATCTGAACACCTTCATATTCATTCATAGCTACGAGACAATCCCGAGCGTATTCAGAGCTGTACTACGCAGTACTTCGATGGCATCATAGCAGTGACCGACCCTGAGAAGAGTTGGGTAGCCAGATGGCAACGAACATGTACGTCTGTGCCCTTTCTCGCTTCTCGTCTTTTTCTAAAGCCTTTTCAGCAAAATTTGTTCGTGGGATGTATGCAGTGCGAGTCAAAGGACGAATATCAGAAGATATAGAAGCTGAGTTGGAAGCAGCGGGGATCAAGTATCGACCACGAGATCAGACAGAACAGGATTAAAACATTATACAGGCTCGTGTTATTATGTGGTAGTGTACATACGTTTGTAAAATTATTATGTGAAAGATGCTCACGTCTAAAGGGTTGACGGCAGAAATACGATGCACGGTACATGTAAACATCAGTCAGAGCAGGTCATGCAAAACGCTGTCATACTTGTGTGGAAAATGGGCACTGTTAAAGCAATATCTCAGCAATGGTCCCAAACAATGATGGCGCAGTCCCCTACCTCAGCATATCCTTCGCAAATAATATTTGTGAAAAGGTCTTCTCCACGTCAAGAACTTCGAACAATCTCAGTTTATCTGGTCCAGAACTTGACTCTCCTGAACGATGTGTAGGATGCAGGTCGCTGTCTCTAAGGGCCCAGAGTAGCCGACCTGGCGGAAACATCTTTTTTGGCTGTTGCATGTTCGCTTCTAGTGTCTTCCGCATAGCAATAAACTAGGGGAAAAACTCCAGACCTCGTTGTATAGAAAATGTGAATCTTGGCACGCACCCAATCCGGATCATCTTGTGAGCCCATTCCAGCCTTCCACTTGTTTGCACGGTCTGTCACAGCTGCATAACCCGACTCTCGCAAGGCACCCCCTGCAACATCTGCGTCACACAACCACATGGCTGCATTTCTGAGGTCCTTGACCGTTCCTATGGACAGCCGAGATACGACATCATGAGAATACACAAACGACACAATCAGATTTTCGGACAATTTGGCAAGGGGGACATCAGTAGTTGCCCTAATGAAAGAATCAGCTTATGAGAACTACTCATTCGTAAAACGTACGGTGGGGCAAAGCAATACACAGAAACCCGTCGTTTTACCGGGAGGCCGCTCGAGCGAACGGTCAAACACGTCCTCACGTCTGCCCACATCTAGAAAGCTATGATGACAAAGAACATCATCCACATCACATGAGGAGACATACCAGACCCAACACTGCCGCAACGCCTGCACCAAGACTGTGTCCACAAATAACCAGATCTACGACATTAGTGGGTAAGAGTAAACCGCACAGGAGGAAACAGCGTACCATATCCAGGATTTCGATGTAACGCTTCTTGTACGGCAATTTGAACTGGTTTTCCGACATCTCCCATCGCCTTTGCCATGCGAAGAATCCCACTGTGGACCTGATACTTCGGTAATGGTGGTTCTGAGGTAGGAAAAGAAAACTGTCCAGGAATAGGCGTCTCGTCATGCTCTAATGTTGTTGTTCTCGACGGCGCAAACTCTTCCGGATCGCATGTCAAATCTACCGCAATCTCATTGAGAGACATCGTGCCGCGAATTACGAGAACTACTTGTCGTCGACCATGATCGGTCAAAACCCAGAAACGAGGCATGAGATGCTCTTGTCCGATTACTACATCCGCTTGGATGTGTTCGTTGGAAGACTTTGCAAACTGTGAGAAGATGTCATGGTCGTGCTTCCCGAGCATTACATCCCACCAAGAATACGAATCTGGTATTGGTGATGGTACCTCTCGTTCGGACAAGTCCCCACTGGCTTCAGCTTCAGAAGCATTGATAGCGCGCGCAAGCTGGGCCTCCTCCGATCGTGCCTGCGGGGAACCGGCAGGCATAGACCCAGATGGTGTCAAGGGTACGCCGAAGAACAGCAGCGTCGGTCCGCCGTAACCTGCGAGGACCATTTTCGAGAGCCTACGCAAAGTTGCTTTCAAGGCAGCATTTGAGAGTCTTTTGGGTTCGACGAAGACTTGTGGTGATGATTTAGTATGCGCTACCTTGTGGCGGTGGTGGGCTACGGATTGGGCGCGCGGAGGCGCCTCTCCAATATCGGCGGCGATAATTTGGGCGCGATTGCCAGGAAAGATAATATCTGATGTGACACGCACACGGGATCCTCTAAATACCCAATGATAAGCAGGCACTCTTCTGTTGTATAGACAAGATGCCACATACCGGCGAGCGTGTAAAGATTCGATGCTTCGCGGCGGATCTCGAACATGGATTTCTCGGAGGGACTTGAAGAATCTTTTCTCTTGCCACTCCCGGGTAACTCCTTGTAGAGAAACCCAAGCAATGACACCTCTCGCAACTTGGGTCAACCCATACTGTTTTTCAGGAAGATTTCCCGCATGACCAAGCTCCTGCCACTCTCGTTTGAGTAGGGCAAGAAAGGCGACCAAAGAAAAGGAGGTTTCACTGCTTCCGGGGAAGATAACGCTGAGAACGTTGATGGAGCTGTGAGCGGCAATTATAGATGTAGATGTGATATATTCGCTTAGAAAAATAGGCGCCAGGGTAATCTGCTCGGCGAAGGAAATGACAGAGGATACGGCGCCACCTACGACTGGCTGTGTGACATCACTTCCGCCGAAGAGAGTGTTGTCTACAACGGAGGTCGTTACTTTGACGGCTGCCGATGCTACGTTTCGTGTAACCGAGAACTGTGTGACCATCAATAACCCGGGACCGTCGAAGGACTAGGCGAGACGTACCCCCAGTTTGGTACCTGCTTTGACGACCGAAAATCCAAGTGATGCAGCAGAAGAGGCCAAATCTAGAGTATTTCTGCCATAGGAATCCCAGTTTTCCATAATGGCCATAGATGTAGCATATCAAGGCTTGCAGCTTGCGTACAGCTGCTTGGAGATGGCAATGAGGAGAGTTTCAGCATGTGAAATCCGGGTCTATTGGGTATCGGACCGTAGTTCCGACTACTTAAGTTTATGCTATTTTGCAAGTACTAATGTAACTAAAGTAGTGTAAGGAAGGTAATATAAAGCAGCCAAATTTCGAAATAACAAGATATCCCAGTTGCTCTTCTCTTCTCGAAGAAGCGTAATGCCAGCCGCAGTTCCGCGAAGGAGACCCTCGGACATTTAATGCATCAGTTATCGTATCGATGGGGCAAGATGGAACTAGACTATTTCATGCGGGGTCCAGGTGGGAGATTCTTTTCAATAATCTGTCGTCTGCATGCGTAATGCTACAAGAGCCTCCGGCGATGAAATCCACCAACGAAAAAATGGCAGACCAAGGTTTAAAGCGGATAGTTCATTGCTGCCGGCATGGATCAGATCAAGTTCTCATTGTCGAGACTCGAAAGAGCATAAATTGCGTTCCATTAGCACAGCCATTTTCGAGAATCGAACCGAAATGCGGAACGGCGGAAGAGTCTTGCCCCAGCCAGAATCTGCCTACAACGGGTTTCTTCACCGATTTAAATATGAATGCCTCGAGGATGATTTGAGCACGGCAGTGATTCAACAAAAGACACGGTTGGGACTAAGGGTACGGTGTTGTGGACTGCGAAGCGCCAAGAGAGACAGCCAAGAAGGATAGCATTCATTGCTGACTGAACTGGGGTTCAGCCACTTTCGCAAAAAAGGAAACGAAGTTCGTTGCGAGGTAAAAGGGTCCTGAATGTCCGGGTCACGGTAACGAGTGAGTGCCTACAATGCTTACATTGCCGCCAGAGATAAAATCCTGTCAATTAGCTGACATCGGCTTCGAGGATAGTGCGACGTTCCATTTGCCCTCGCCACGGTCAACCAAGACATTCATGGACCAAGGGAATCCTGGCAACGGCTAGCTGCTACTAGTCAGTTAGTCAGGGAACATTCAAGAGATGTAATGAGCAAAAGAAATAAAGACTGGGAAAGCTATCGGACCAAATGAGAAGCACTGGAGACATTGCCCGACGCGAATGTCATTGTTGCCGTGCAAATAAAAGATATCTATCCGACATCCGCGTGCGATATTGATGCACAGCCACAAAACGCCTGCTCGCCCTCTACCATCAGCCACCCCTCATCTCTCTTTTTTTTCTATTTCTTACCTCCTTCACCCTCTCTGTCTCTGCGGCTCGCTCTTGAAGCGAGGCACCTCCATTTTCTTAATATTATTTTGGAGGATTAGACATGGCAGAGGCTGGTGACGGAAACATCAAGGTTGTCGTGCGATGTAGACCCCTCAACTCTCGCGGTGTGTCTATCGACCTCTAGTCTGCAATTCTTTCTCATTTTCTACTGCAGAGCTCGCCCGGGGCGCGAAGCCACTCATTCGCATGCAAGGAAACCAGACGTTTCTTGACCCTCCAGAGCATGGCTCGCAACAAGACTCAAAGCGCGCGACGGAGAGGAAAACAATGGCGTTTAGTTTCGACAAGAGTTATTGGTCTGCAGGACCGAGGGATGAGCCTGGTTATTGCTCTCAGCAAATGCTGTACGATGATCTCGGCAAGGAGCTCTTGGACCACGGTTTTGCAGGTTTTAATGCGTGTATTCTGGCTTGTGAGCGACACATTTCTCCTCTGGAACGCTGAAAGTACTGAAGTTATGTTGTAAGATGGTCAAACTGGTGCGTTATAGAGTTTATAGTTAGCATCAAGGCACTGACGAGTGGTATTTACCAAGGGTCTGGCAAGTCCTATAGGTGAGTCGCTGATCTTCGCGACGCATTCAGTCCACTAATTATGATACAGTATGATGGGATGTACGTATGTTCGGCTATACGCGTTTTTTTCCTGCTATAAGTCATCACTTCAGATGGACCCGACAAAGGAATCACGCCTTTGACTTGTTCTGAACTTTTCGATCGCGTGGAGTCTAAAAAGCGAGCAGACCCTAACGTCCAGTTCACAGTAGAGGTTTCATACATTGAGGTATATTACCGAACCCTGTTTTTGATGCAACGCCGCTGACCTCATGGTGCAGATTTACAACGAAAAAGTTCGGGACCTATTGAATCCCAAGAACTCTGGCAATCTTCGTGTACGAGAACATCCAAGCTTGGGTCCGTATGTAGAGGACCTATCGAAACTTATGGTTAACAGTTATGAGGAAATGATGACACTGATGGACGAGGGAAATAAGGCGCGGACTGTGGCAGCTACTAACATGAACGAAACGTGCGGCAATTTTTTATCTCTCTGATGGGGTCCATTGACAACCATTAAGATCTTCTCGTTCGCATGCCGTATTCACCCTCCTCCTGACAATGAAGCGACACGATGTAGACACGAATATGGATACCGAGAAGGTCTCTCGAATTAACCTAGTCGATTTGGCCGGCTCGGAGAGAGCAAACTCCACCGGTGCTACCGGACAACGATTGAAGGAAGGCGCCAACATAAACAAGTCTCTTACCACCCTTGGGAAAGTTATATCGGCCCTCGCAGCGGCGAGTGCCGCCTCAGATAACAAGAAGGGCAAGAAACACAAGGCAGACGAGTTTGTTCCCTATCGTGATTCGGCAAGTTTATGTGACTGTGACGATCAAGGACTTGAAGCTCATACTCCTTCAGGTGCTGACATGGTTACTGAAAGACAGTCTGGGTGGCAACTCCAAGACGGCCATGATTGCAGCTATTTCCCCTGCTGATTACGAGGAGACACTAAGCACCTTGCGGTACGCTGACCAGGCCAAGAAGATTAAGAACAAGGCCGTAGTCAACGAGGATCCTAACGCGAAGCTTGTGCGTGAGCTCAAGGAGGAATTGGAACTGCTAAGGGGTGCGTGGTTGTTTTTATCGTTCGGTAGATATTAACGTCATGCCTGGCTTCTCCTAGCTCGCGTGATGGGCGCCTCTGGGGAAGACACTTTCGACCCCAAGGTACCTCCAGAGAAGCAGAAGGTCACCTATCAAACGAAGGACGGTCGGATCAAGACCGTAACGAAAGCTGAGCTCCAAGAACAGATGGAAACCAGTGAGAAGTTGATGCAGAGTTTGAATGAGACCTGGGAGGAGAAGATGCAAAGAACCCAAGAGGTGCAAAAGGAGCGTGAGAAGGCCCTCGAGGAGCTGGGCATTACGGTGGAGAAGAACCTGGTGGGCGTGCATACACCCAAGAAGGTAAGCGAAATATTGTCTTTGCGCGTATACCCGCTGACTCCTCGGTGGTAGATGCCTCATTTAGTCAATCTGGTACGTTTCTCTCAACGGTTCTCTATTCGAACTTCCATAACTAATGCCTGGAATTAATCTCACATAGAATGAAGGTTTGCGCTGATCTCTCTTCAGGACTTCTTGATAGCCTCATCGTATCCACAGATCCACTCATGAGCGAATGTTTAATTTACCAAATCAAACCTGGGAAAACGATGGTCAGTCATTCTCTGATCTTCACTGTACATGTGATCGAATGTTTTGGTAGGTCGGCAGGCTGGAGGGCGAAAAGCCTGCGGCCATTCGACTCAGCGGAGACAATATTCTTGAGGAACACTGCTATTTTGAGAACAACGATGGTAAAGTCTTCATATATTGCATGCCGGATAGCGCCACGGTTTGTGATTCTCTTCTGACGCCAATCACATTAAAATTCTAATATTTCACGTCTAGTTCTTAAACGGAAAGCAGATCACTCCTGGACAGGTTCGTCTCCATTAAAATGTCGAGAAGCGACCGATCCTCATTTTCGAATGATTAGCCCTACAAACTTCGTTCTGGCTTCAGAATCATTCTCGGTAAGCTGAACATTTCTAAGCGGGTGCTGTGATTTCTGATTCGTCTGAAGGTGATAACCATGTCTTCCGGTTCAATAATCCCGAGGAGGTCCGCAAGCAGCGGAATAGGGCTACCATGAAATCCAATTTGCAGCAAGGGTTCACCGCTGCTGACCTTGAAAATGGCGGGGAATCAATGCCCGTAACACGGGCGGAATCTACAGTGTCTTCGATTGAAGATGACATGGATTGGACATTCGCTCAACGAGAGGCAGCGCTGGCCCGTCTAGGTCTCGACCCCACCTTGGATAATCTGCCGGATGACGACTTAAACAAGCTGTTCGATAAGATTACTCAGGTCAAGACCATGCGAGATCATCATCTCAAGCCTCGCCCAGAGAGTAGCCTTAGTCAAGCAGATGACCTCTGGAGCGAGACGGGGAGACAGTTTGCTAGCGATGCTACAACTGATGATACTAGCGTCGATGCCTTGGGCAGTCCGGAACCCGAGACACCGCTGAAAGATGTGCAGAACCAGTTGGAAAACCGTTTGCATGCGATTGCGGAGTCATCTCCCGAAGCGGAAGATCTGAAAGTGGAGAAAGATCATATGGAGCATCAACTTCGCCTTGTGCGCGCTCAGATGAAGCGTATCATAGACGCCAGGGCCCGTGGTGAAACCGAATTAGAGACGATGGATTTTGAACCCGTCATTTACTCAGCACGGCAACTCAGGCTTATTCGAAAGGTCCTTGACAAATGGAGAGCACATCGATCATTTTCGATGGCGGAAGTAGTTCTATCCAATGCAGTCGTCGTCAAAGAGGCCAACATCATCAGGTAAATACTTCTCTTCTCGTCATTGATCGCTTTCAATCTTCTTACCATATCTATAGCAAGGAGCTAGATAAAGATGTGTCTTACAACTTCACGATTGCGTCTGGCGGTTCATTGGCAGCCCCTGTGTCTGCTGTTGACACTATTGCAGGGTTGGACCAATTTGGTGATGTTTCGGACCCTGTGCTGGCTTCAGCAACTCAGCCATCGGTGGCCGTCAAAATACTTGATAAGCGGCACAGTGCTATTTATACGTGGTCGCTCGATCGTCTGCAACAGCAGTTGCAGCGTATGCGCAACCTAACCACATATATTGACCGCCCTTCATACACGCAACACTTTTCTTCCGATGAACCCTTCTACGACTCCCCCCCTCCGGAGTATTCATTTGTTGGAAATGCACTGATATCTCTCGCGCCTCTATCACGCCGGTTATCCTCTATATCCACCGTGCCGATATTCTGTCGTTACACGTCAGAGGCCATCGGTTCATGCAGAATCGACATCAAGATTGTCAACGTTGTCGCTTCTTCCAAATACCCCAATGGATCTATACCCTCTACTCGCGCACCCTCACCCGTTCCAGCGACTATATCCCCAGGCAGTAAACTCAGCTTCTTTGTCACTGTTGACACTGTAAAGGGTTTGTCGCCTCATGACTTTTCAGCTGTTCACCTCCAGGTCCGATTATCTTCCTTCGCCGGACCCACTATATCGTCGGAAGAAGTATTCCCATCTACTACCGTGGATCTCGAATCTGGTTCTCTTTCAGAGTTAAAGTTCCGCCGTAGCTTTAGCATTGTCGCCACATCCAAGGTGTTGGCGCATTTGCGTCAAGGATATGCGCCGATAGAGTTCTTCGCGTCCATCAGGCCGACGTACCTCGAGCGTTTGGAGCGATGGGATGAGATGCGGGAAATCAAGCACGTTCCTCGCTCTGGGACCTCTAGCCCCGAGTCACAAACCCGGCCCGCGAGTTTGCCGTGCATGCGTAGGTCAGAAACTGACTTCGTGGTGCAACAAACACATGACGTCGTGGCCTGGTTACAGCTTTGTGAACTGGCGCCCGACGGACAATACAATCCTGTCCCAGTCATCTCGCAGGGTAGTCATGATCCAGGCTCATTTTCGCTTCACCAAGGTCTCCAACGCCGGATAGTGGTTTCTCTGGCGTCCAACTCTGGCCAACAGTTCCCTTGGATTGAGATCACCAAGGTACGGATAGGCAATGTCCGGCTACTTGATCCTAAAGGTCGCGTGCACGAATCAACGTCAAAGGCTTTGGTGACGCTTCCTTTACTTAAGGATCAGACACTAGAATTTCGACCTGACGGAACCGGTCTGTTGTCAGCAGAAGTTCTATGGGATTCCAGCGTCCATGATTCGGTTCTATTGAATAGGGTGACGGCAGCCAATCAACGGATTCTATTACAATTGAGCTGGGCAGTAGCTGTCGAGACTTGCAGTGATCCTGTTCAGTTCAATGCGGATATCGCCATCACCATGCAGACACGAGATGCAAGGCCGCCCTCACGGTTCCTTACGTTCCTGGGATCGAACAAAATACTAGCGAAGAGCAGTACATTGTTCAGCGTGCGCTTGTCACCTCCTCTCACGAGATCCCCCAAAGATCTATGGCGTCTAGATACGTCAGAGAAATATGTACGGGGTGAGGAGGCTTTGGGCGTGTGGAAACCACGGGGCATATCTGTGGTGGAAGATTACTCCCGCTTGATCACAATGGAGAGACGAGCTGCAGATGTTCAAGCCATACGTGTCATACTTGGAGCCTCGCCACCCAAGCATGTGCAGTCTGATGCACTTGCTTGGCGAGCCAATGGGCTTCTGAAAAAATCTCTAGAACTTTGGCAGAAGCGATTTGGACAAATGGGCGATGTGAGTTTTTTTATCTATCGCCGGTCAGCGCAGTCTCTGATTCTCCTTTTGCTTAGATCATTCTCAGCCAGGAGCCAAGTGATGAGGGTAGTTGCCCATCGAAGCAGACCACAGATCTAGATTCCCTTGAAGGCATCAAGTTTGTTTCTGAGACAAAAGTCGTACCGAGAAGGTAAACGATTCGAGCGCCGCTGATTTTTCTATTAACATCATTTCAGCGATGGTGCTACAAAAAAGGGCCATTTAATGATCCTCGTAGACGCCGGCCAGAACATATGGGAAAAACGGTGGTTCGTCCTGAAAAGGTGCGCACTGAGGTCGTGGCTTTTCTAATCTTCTCCTGATGAATTATCAGACCATACCTTCACATGTATGCACATTCAAATGAATTGGAGGAAGTCGGGGTGGTTAGCCTTACCGGTACTAACGTGGAAAGTGATCCGCAGAAGGAAATTTTGTTGGGGGTAAGTCATTTTTGCATATGACTGAACTCAATTTCTCAATCTTTCATGGCAGAAACCGTTTTCGTTCACTCTTTTTACGTCTTCCAATTCTCATGCACTCGCAGCTCCAAACAATAAAGAGCTTCATTCATGGGTTGTGAAGTTGGATCCCACTCGTTTGGTACCCTCATGATAATTGTTACGATTGATTTATGCCTTGTTCAGCTTATTATATCTGTCCTTTCTGTCTAGTTTTCTGGGTTACTTTACATACCGTGATTTAGTTTTCGTCATCTCGCAAGTGGATTTCATGCATACATACTCATATCACTACCCTCGCTATCTGGTCGTTGCCGCTCATTGTCTAATTTATAGATGTTAAACCATATGTACCATTCAATATCGGTAGTACTGTTATTACAAGCTATATAGCCCACAGAGACTACTTCATGTATTACGTCGAAGATTGGATGTCTGATACAGGTGGAAAATAATTCAACATTGTAATTGCTTTCTTCATTCTAGCACCTCGGCCAGAACCACTGCATCGAGTTAACATGTTCCTCTACTATCAAAGAAGTATCCATGTGCTTCCCGTCTAACCTTGAAAGCTGGCCAAATTGCTGGCAGCATGGTCGGGTCATATGGTCAATTGTTCGGAAGTTGTAGAGTAGTAAGCGATTTGAACGAGATCAGCACTTCTATAATTATACCGGTCTCTTACCAGAACATTATTATACGGTCAGGGCCTTGTGTGAGGAAAGTTCGAAGGAGAGGCCCGTGATCTTAAGTTCTCAGACTACGACTCTCTGTATACATACTGGCCCACATGTGCCATGTACGGGAAAAGCAGGATGGAAGCGCGCAGTCTATATCACCCAGTTCGTTCTGATCGTATGACTGGCGCCACTTCGGGGCCACTTGTGTGGTATGATAAAGGCTTAATGGGGGTCGACTCATGAATGTTACTCCCAATATCCTCAAGGAGGCCTCGACTAGTCTGTCTTTACCTGACAGCAAAGGCGCTGACTTGGTAAAAGTTCATGAATCATTGTGTTCATTTGTCATTTGAGTTGAGCGTTCATTCTGTCCTCATTACCGACTAGGCTATACGGAGAGTCTTGATGCCCGCAGGGATCTTGGAAGGACTTCGAAAGAGCAGATCCCTAGGCCCAGTAGTTGTGTGAAGTGCTTGATGATTCTACCGTTTTCAACCGGTGCATACTGTCGGATCCTGTAGCTATTCCGTAGTCTTACCGACTAAGATGCCTAGTTGACATGAGAACGTTTTCAAGGTCTTGGGTATCCCAAGGGACAGGTCAGTCTGATTCAATTCGCAGGCAGTTCGATCTCGTGAGAACATCCGGGCATCGCTGGACACCGTGATATCGAACATCAGACCGAGATGAAACCGAACCTAATGACTTCATGACTCTCACAAGGAAACTCTAATAGTGCGTATGGACTTCTTTGCGAGAATGTGCTTGTACAAGAAGCGCAAGGGTCATACCAATTCAACAGTGATCACACTCGCGCTGTTATCCAACCTCCGAATGCACATTTCGGGCGATAAAAATTATCAGGTGTTTTTATTTCAACGTTTTGAGTGGTATAATATACATCTTAGTAATGCATGTGATGTCTAGTAGATGCAGTGTTATGCAAGAGGACCTTAGTTTGCCATTCCAGAATATCACCGACGAAAGCTGCGCGAAGACTGAACACCCGAACAATAAGGGCGAATCAAATGGTCGAAGAGGAAAGATAGAATGTGTGTGAATTCGAGTCCGTTAATCTTGAATATGAGCGACTGATAATGATAGTATTTGGCAACTCCTTGACCCAATTAAAAGGATCAGCTTAATCGCAGATTTCAGGCGCATCATTCTATGCGATAAGATCAATTTAGTAAAATCGAAACATACGACGAAGCTGCAAACTGACCTCTCGAATGAACGTCAACATATGGCACGTAATGTAACCCTTCGCGAAACCTGCTCCAGCATAGGCAAACAGGTACATCCACTTCCGCTTGAACGCTTCATACGACTGCTTATCGTTCAATCCAGCATAATCTTTCGCAACCATCTCCTGAGTCAAATTCTTCTCCAGCCGCCTTCCCCACTCTCGGAGTGTTCGCGGGTAGTGAGCAGCATGGTTCTCAACTCGCTCAAGGTTAAAGTGGGGAGAAGCCGCCTGAATCAAGGCAGATGCCGAGGGAAGACATGAATTCGGCCACATGTACTTGCGCATGAAATCTTCAGCTTGGTATGAAGAGTACCGCGATTCGGGGAAAGTCGAAGCGGATACGACAGCGGTGGCATTGTGGGGCTTCAATGCGAAAGAGACGAGTCGGAAGTAATTGGAGTAGTGTTTCGATCCGACATGCTCAAGCATCTCGACGGAGACAAATGCGTCGAAGGCATTTTCCCATTCGGATGGGATATCCCGGTAATCGAGGAGGTGGACGCGGATTTTATCGGAAAGACCGGCAGCAGCGATTCTTTCCTCAGCGAGCGTCTTCTGCTCGATGGAAAGCGTGAGGGTATCAACGGTGCATCCGAATGTGCTAGCAGCCTGTAAATGAGAAGGTGAGAAAAATGGTATCACTGAAAGGAATGAAAGGAAAGTTACTTACCTCGATCGCGAGTCCTCCCCATCCTGAACCGAATTCGAGAACACGGTATCCCGGCTTGAGACGAGCCTGACGAAGGACATGGTGTAATTTTTCTCCGCTGGGCGGCTTCGAGGTCACCAGGAGTCGGACCTGATTTCAAGATCACCTCGGACACCGCCCTCGGATTCATCCCAGAGAGCACATGAATACATCATTTCGGATGAAAGGAATGCTTTGAAGAGCTCGTTCGATTGATCGTAGGATGCGATCACGTTTAGACGAGCGTTACTTTTTGTCTGGCCAAGGAAGGAAGTTGTATGCACTGGAAAGCGTGGAGGTGATGCGCGTGTACGTAGATGACAAGGTTTCTTGCATTGTAGACTGGATTATCGAGCCACAACTGGGGATGAATACGTTTCAATCACCCTCAATGCCTAGACTGAGAAAAGGTACTTACGTTCATGGCTGCTCTGAGGTCCGGGAGTTCGATCTCGCCTATCATGTACGCTTCGCTGACTAAATCAGGTTAGCTTTCGATTGATTACAGATTGGCGGTTAGGCGAGACACATACAGCCAAGATCACCGGAGCTGAGGAAGGAAGAAAAATTAGTCCTCGATGTCATCAGTCGGGAAAGGGGAAAACAACGTACAGTATGAGTCGTAGCCAGAAGTTGTCACATTTCACTTTGATATGGACATAATTACACCCTTTTTTGAGGGTTCCGTAGGTATGAGAGCCTTCAGCATCATCGACAACTAGGTACCCAACAGCGATAGAACTTGATAGTGTCGATAGAATAGACTGGCGAGCAAACGAAGCGAGCCATGATCGGGGGGAAAACAGGGCTAGGGCGCCCAGAGGTGAAATGGCGCTCTCAGAGGAGAACTGTATGCAGGACTTGGAGGCCATTGGGAGAAGGACAGACCGCTGGATGATGGCATTTGAGACCAACCTGGTTAATGCCTTTATAGGGTTCGGCGGATAAGAGAATCAGTTCAATTTCGAAGGGTAGTGCCTTGAGAATCATAATCATTGATATTCTTGTCCTCAGGGAGAGCATCCAGGGTCAACTCTATGCAATCGGATCTGAATCTTAAGTTCATTTAGAATGCCTGAGAAGACCGTGCAGACTTTTCCACAGAGAAGCCTAAGACGGAGACCAGACCCAGAGAAAGCAGTTTAAACACCGGATAGTTAGCTTATAGAATGGTATGCATGGCGCGAACCTAAAGTCTATCTTCAGCTCAAGGGAAGCTCCCCGAAACACTTACCAGACCATCAACACGACCAAACAAGTCCCCGGTACATCCCCTTTGGTGTGATTTCGGAACAGCGGTCAAGTTGCACACTGAGCGCGACTGAGCCAAATGTAAAACACGGCCGATAGAAGAAAACCGACTCCATGTCAGCTTTTTATACCTCAAACTGTGGCACTGAGCGGGAGAAGAGTGAAGCGACCATCGAAATTTTGCGGTCTGTGATACCGTGCAATCCATAGTTGGTCCATAGATGAAGTCGTCCGTGGACCAATGGGTACAACGAGGACCGCCCTGTAGATCTCTTTCCCTTCTCTGTCCGTGGATCTACTTGTCGCGCGAAAGACATATCATCAAGATTATCTGAGATTACTCGAGGTCATTTAGAAAAAGTATGAGTCGCGGTGTATCGCGACCCTGCCTTTCCGCGGCCAGTCCTCCGTATGACATCGTCCGAGGCTCACTAGGGCCTACCCGTCCCTTGCCAGTCGTTTCCGTCCGTGGCACGCGTGGTATTAGGCCATTTGTATCTGATTTTCGCCTCCATCTGACTAAGCTCTTGATACCTTTGCCACGGCAAATTCCTGAACTGTCAAGCCATGACGGATACGAGTTCGAGCACATCCCATGGCGAATAGCTAATCACCGTGCATCTTTTGCTCTCTCGGACTTGTGTTGTTGACCTTCTCCATTCCATTCCGTGGCGTAGCGGAGACTACACATGTATGATCTTTCTCCCGTACGGCCCTACGCACGCGTCGAAATTTGTGACCAGTCCCTGTTGCGTGTCTTACGTTCCCATGGATCAGCGCAGCAGGTGATCAAGTCATTCGGAGATCCACTGAATACACACGTAACAACCTCTATGTGTGTATCAGCTCACGAAGAGCTATTCCGTCTTCATAACTTTTGTCCAATTTTTGGGGGTCATCGGGAGCGAACACGGTTGTAACGTAATCAAAGGAGAGTTTTGTGGTGTGCACAAAGAATGATGCGCACGCGAAAGCGAGCAAAAAGAGAGAGATCTTACTCCGCATTACAGACGGAGACTCAAAAATCAGAGCCTGAGAACCCATATACCTGATTCTACTCACCTAGCTGCGATTTCACCGTGGGAAGGCATACGGAGTCATTTGAGGGTATAAGCGTGTCCTTCATGGTGAACTTCGCGGGGGATGGCATCGTGGGCGGCAATTCTTCGACTGCCCCGTTGTCAGAGGATGTCGGTGTTTTCGGATGAGAATTATCTTGGCAAGAGGGAATGTTCGCGTGCTTGAGAAAAGAACTACCGTGAATTCCAGAACATAACCTTATACCGCTACGTACTCCGGCGGCAGAAAGCTTGACGGTATTCAAACGGAGGTTGCGCTTGTATTGATATCGTGCGGGCGGGAAACGGGAGAAGAGTCGAGAGATGTAGAGGAATAGTAGTACAACCTTCCAGCTACGTCACTTACAACCCAGTCAAGCCCCTCAAACACGTTAGCCCCGGTCATTGCACTGCATGCGAATATCTTCCAATGGTGAGATTTGATGCTGTTGAGGTCAAGCGACTAGATGACAAAAGTACGGGGATCATAATTAGAATTAGAAATCTGGAGGAATGGACAAGACACTTGCGGCTATAATCTCGGCAATATTCAATGCCCCGGGAAGATCCTGCTTATTCGCAAACACGAGGAGGGATGCACCTGCTAGACGCTATACATAACAGTCATCTCAGCGCCACATTACACTGAGAAACGCGACTTACATCCTCACTTAAGAGACCCTGCAGTTCCTCCTTACAATCTTGCATGCGCATTCGATCCGCAGAGTCAACGACCCACACCACGGCATCCGTTTGCTCAAAATAGTTGCGCCAATATGGCCTGAGAGTCCGTTGCCCCCCGACATCCCATATGTTTAGGGTGTATGGTGAGGATGGTAATGAAAGCGTCTTGATGTTGAAACCAAGTGTAGGAGACGTTGCCGACGTGTCTTCATGTGATATATACTTCAATATGGTCGTCTTCCCGGCGTTATCAAGACCGCTATGACATGACAATCAGGTTCTGTATGAAATGAATACCGGTGGATCTTTGAAGACGTACAGAAAGAGAATACGCATTTCCTGCGCTTTAAGGCGATTTTTTCGGATGATAGTGAGTAGTCCCATGCTGATGAACTTGAAGAACTTCAATAGAATGCCACTATCGGCGCAGCACAGGCGGCGAGTCGCGTGAGGACTTGATCCTTGCAGGTCAAGAAACGATATGCTGACAAAGCCATTTCTGCCTTGATCCGATTTCACGAAGTCTGACGCACTCGGCACCGATACTCGTTCAGAAAGGCCTACGTCGACAAACCATGGCACCAAAAAACGCAAAGGGCAAGAAGGGCAAGAAGCACAATGACGATGATTTCTGGTGCATATATTATTATAACGTTCATCCAGCGTGCGGATACTAATGTATCTTAGGGACAAGGCCGGTGAATCTGTCCCAACTAATAACATCGTCAACCTCACTCTGAAGGATGACGATGACGAAGTCAAGGGCGGCGGGGGTGGATTTGCCGCGCTTGCAGTCGATAATGGTGTAGAAGAGGAAGAAGATTTCGGTGGGCTGATGGTCCGTTTGCTGCGCGTAATATCTTCACCGTATTGCCGCTGACATGCATTCCACAGAGCGCCATTAAAGCTAGCAGTGGAAAGAATAAGAAGGACAAAAAAAAGGCTAAGCAACAGCCTGTAGATCTCGACGATGCGGAGGAGAATGAAGAGGCAGAGGCGAAGAAACAGCCGGTTGAAATGACGGCGGAGGAATTGGCCGATGAAGAGTGGGGTCCCGTCAAGGACAAAGGGAAGGGCAAGAAGGGAAAGAAGGGCAAGGCTGCTAAAGGGAAGCCGACTGAGGATGAGGAATTGGAAGTCCAGACAAAAGGTAAGTTCCCTATATCTTTGAGAGAAGATTCTCATTCTTAATCTATTCCTTATCAGAGGAAGCTCAGTTGACGACCATTGAATCATCACCAGTAATATCCACACCTGCTGCTGATGCCGATGAAGACGATGCAGAGGGTGGCGGCGTCAAAATTCTTTCGAAAAAAGAAAAAGAAAAGCTGAAGAAGGAGCGGGAAAAGGCGTGGTTCTTTCATTCGCTCAATAACTGACGAGACTAAACGAATACTTGTAGGCCAAAAAGAAGGCTCAAGCAGTAGCCAAGAAGGAAGCTGCAGCGCCTAGCGCACCCGCACCAACGTCCTCCGCCGAACCCGCACCCCAAACTCCTGTAGGTGACGATGAGGGCGATGGTGATGAAGGTGCTGCTACAGGTGCTGCATCGAAGAAGAAAAAGAAGAAGAAGCCCGCCAAAAAGGACGATGAGCCCGCCCCGGCTCCAGTTCCTACCAAGAAAAAAGCTGGCGGCATCAGTGCCCTGAAGGCCATGATGGAGGAGAAGAAGAGGTTAGAGGAAGAAGCAAGGAAGGCCGAGGAAGCTGAAAGACTGAGGATTGAGGAGGAGGAACGCAAAGCGGCAGAAGAAGAGAAACGGAGGGAAGAGGAAAAACAGAGACGGAAGGAGAAGGAGAAGGTAGGTTTCAATCATCTCGTATGATGAACTAGATCCTGATTTTTTTTACAGGCAAAGAGGGAGTTAGCGAAGAAGGAGGGTAGACTGCTCACGAAGAAACAAAAGGAAGAGCGGGCGATGGCTGAAATACGGAAAAAGGCATTGATTGCCTCCGGTGCTCAGATTGAGGGCTTGCAGCAACAGCTGACTGGTGGTCCTCCAAAGAAGGTCGTCTATGGGAATAGGAAGAAGAACATCAAGAAAGAGGTAACGGAGTCGAGGCCTCGGACACCTGAACCTGAGCCTGAACCGCCCAAGGAACAGGTGAAGGAGAAGGAAGATGTTAACGGGAAGAGCGCTGCAAAGGAGGACTGGGATGAGAGCAGTGAAGAGGAGAATGAGGATGCCAAGAAACTCGAGGGTGTCAAGGATGACTGGGACGCATCGAGTGATGAAGAGCCAGAAAAACCTTTAGCTGCACCGATCGAGCAAAAGAAATCTTCGACACAGAAAGGTGACTAGTCATGTATTAATCCTTCGTCTCAGCTAATGGTGTTCTCAGCACCTGTCCCGGCTCCGACAACACCAAAAGCTGCAGAACCAGCACCATCGACATCGAAAGCTGCCCCTCCACCGGTCGCAAAATCAAAAGCCGCACCTGTCGAAGAATCTGGAGAGTCAGAAGAAGAAAGCGACTCCGGAGACGGTTCTGACTCTGACTCTGATTCTAATTCTGACGACTCTGATTCTGAAGAAGAGTCGTCTTCTGACGATGAACTAACCAATGTTCAGAAGATGGCTGCTCAGAGGAAAGCAGAAGCAGCTGAACGACGAGCGAAAGCCCACGAAGCCGCGTTGGCCGCCCGTAGTAAAGATAACCTACGAAGTCCAATTTGCTGTATTCTGGGACATGTCGATACTGGGAAGACCAAGCTACTTGACAAGATTCGACAGACTAACGTTCAAGAGGGCGAAGCCGGAGGAATTACGCAGCAAATCGGTGCAACGTATTTCCCCGTTGAGGCCATCAAGACCAAGACCGCTGTCATGAACAAAGTAAGGATAGGCTCATGTTCCAATGCCTTATCTTATGATCTTGCTTCTAGGACGGTGCACAAGAGTACAAGATTCCGGGTCTTCTGATTATAGACACACCAGGACACGAATCTTTTACCAATTTGCGGTCTCGTGGAAGTTCCCTGTGCAATATCGCTATATTAGTCGTAGATATAATGGTATGGCCTTGTTCTCTTCCTCGGGCTTTTAGGTGTCTAAACTGTTTCCCTTAGCACGGCCTCGAGGCTCAAACCCTCGAATCGTTACGTCTACTAAGGGACCGTAAAACGCCTTTCATTGTGGCGCTGAACAAGGTAAGTCACATGTCCGTGTTTCAAGGACTGGTGGTAATATCCAGTGAAGATTGACCGTATGTACGGCTGGGACGCCACCCCCGATGGCGCTTTCCGCGAGTCATTAGCAAAGCAAACCCGTGCTGTCCAGCGAGAGTTCGAGGACAGGGTGGCCAAGACTATCGTGGCGTTTGCTGAGGAGGGCCTGAATGCAGTGCTTTATTACGATAACAAGAACTTTGCTCGGAACGTCTCCCTCGTTCCGACGTCTGCAATAACTGGGGAAGGTGTACCGGATATGATCATGCTTCTGGTGAACCTGACCCAACAGAGGATGAGCGATCGGTTGATGTATCTAAGCGAGCTGGAGTGCACGGTATTGGAAGTGAAAGTTATCGAAGGTTTGGGTACGACGATTGATGTGGTGTTGTCGAATGGTATCCTAAGAGAAGGGGATAAGATTGTGGTTTGTGGTTTGAACGGGCCAATAGTCACTCAAGTGCGTGCCCTGCTGACTCCTCAACCCTTGAGAGAGCTTCGGATCAAGGTTAGTTTTCATCTGCTCATGATTTGGCCAACTGAGTTACATCGATTACAGTCTGCCTATGTACATCACAAGGAAGTCAAGGCGGCCTTGGGAGTAAAGATCACGGCGCCAGATCTGGAGAAGGCGATCGCTGGTTCTCGGCTGCTTGTGTGTGGGCCCGATGACGACGAAGATGACCTTCGAGACGAAGTCATGTCCGATTTGACATCGTTGTTGAACAACATTGACAAGTCTGGTCGCGGCGTTTGCGTACAATCTTCGACGCTTGGTTCATTGGAAGCCCTTTTGGACTTCCTCAAGGTCAGCAAGATCCCGGTGTCTGGAATCAACATCGGACCTGTCCACAAGAAAGACGTCATGCGAGCTGCCACGATGTTGGAAAGAGCGCGGGAGCTCGCATGTATACTCTGTTTTGATGTCCCGGTTGATAAAGACGCTGAGCGAATGGCGGAGGAGATGGGTATTCGCCTTTTCAAAGGTGACTAATTTCCCGTTCCCCTCCCTGACTTCTGTGAAACTCATCGCGCACTGTAGCCGATATCATATACCACCTGTTCGACAAATTCACGGCGTATAATGCTGAAATTATGGAGGCCAAACGACGAGATGCTGCGCCTCAAGCTGTATGGCCCTGCAGACTCAAGATTATTGCCGCATTTTGTAAACGAGACCCCATTATTTTGGGAGTTGACATTCTAGATGGTACCCTGCGGGTAGGAACGCCGCTCGCTGTGGTTAAAATCGATGCCGCGACGGGTAAGAAGGAGATAATTGATTTAGGCAAAATGTGCGTTATCCTTGTTGCGTATCTGTCGGAACCGTTGATGTGTTAACTCGTCGGCGCAGAACGTCGCTGGAAATAAATCACAAGTCACAAGAGGTGCGTGTTGTTTCAGTAGTTGAGGACCTCGGTTTCTGATCTGTCAAGCAGATTGTCAAGAAATCCCAAGCAGGTGGAGGGGTCGCAGTGAAGATTGAGCACGCGGTATACCAGTCGGCAAAGATGTTTGGCCGACATTTCGATGAGAAGGATGAACTGCTTAGCCATATTTCCCGGCAGAGTATTGACGTACTCAAGGTATGGGATTCCAGTTAATACTAGGGTACTCTCGACTAATGTTCCGTGCCAGTCTTCTTTCAAGGCGGATGTTTCGAACGAGGAATGGCTACTCATCAAGGCACTGAAACCTGTATGTTTGTTTCCTTCTTCTCACTAGCTTTCAAGCTAAGTCTTGCATGTAGCGCTTCAACATTCAGTAGAAAGGTACAAGGGGCACAGACCATGCGGCACAAGGGCGCAGGCTACCTGATCTGGAATTATCATCAATTGACCAAGCAGTTGTAAATATATACAATTTTCATCTTTGATCCGGTCACATCTCCTACACCTCCCATCTCCACCGACGAGAGATACTGAGTATGTCCACGCATTCCAAGGCATCCCTTGAAGATGTGCCTCCGGCTGAGGTGCCGGCCGACCAAGACCAGTTGCAATTGGTGAAGATGCTAGAACTCCGGAGGGAGCCTTGCAGTTGATGGGTCGCTATCTTGGTAACGTTCAATTTCTAGTGGGTATACTGGAATGGCTGCGGGTATCCTCATTGGACTTGTGGGTTCTCGTCCGCTTTGGTAGCTGTCTCGGGCAGATGACGGTTTTCACTGCGGAGGAAGGACCGCAACTCCTTTGAGGGTTGAGATAATACCGCTTGAACCTGATCAGCGCTCAGACCTGCGTAGGGAAGCCTCCAGTGTTTTAACCCATTTTTTTTCGCTCCGTCGAGGAGCTCTGTGCAGGCGTACTGACCTATTTTTTTGCAGCAAAAACTGGGATATAAACAGGTAGATAGTCATATGTTATTTTGAGCCATGGCCTGACTGACCTGTCATCATTTTCTTTTCTTAGCAACTTCATCGAAGCTGGAATCTCATCGAAAGCTTCGCGGCGAGTTTTTGTGCCTTGAACTTTATCGGAGGTGTCAGGTTAGTTCTTATCTCGTCGTTCGCGTGGGTACATAGCTTAAACCTGCCGCCGAAAGGTCGGGTCTCTTCTTGGGGCTTCTCGCCGGCGGTCCTGCTGCAGTATGGTAGGCATATCTTCATCCGCGTATTCCGTCGTCCAAGACCGTTTGCAGGTCTTCGTATATTATTACGATCGTGTTCATGCTTATCACGGCGGCGGTCTTGGCTGAGATCTGCTCTGCGTTGCCTCTCAGCGGTTCTATCTACATCTGGGCTGCGGAAAGCGCTGGGCCGAAGTATGCTAGGTTTTTCGGATTCATCGTCGCCTGGTGGGCATGCACAGGCGTGGATGACCTTTGCTGCCGGGAATTGCCAGGTAAGTTGAGGTACATGTCTCCTATTTTGTTTGTATATTTATAATATTGGTAGACCACGGCGAACTACATAGTATCCCAACTACAAGTCTGGGAAGTCGATTTTCCGGGTGGTTCTTCCAATGATAATGTCAAATGGCGCGCGTTCATATGGGCGTTATCTGAGGCTATGCTACTTTTAGCTATAGCTATCAACTACCTTCCGCCGAAGCTCTATTCGGCGGTGTTTCGATTCTCCACGGCATTGATGATGGTAGATTTCTTGCTCTGTGTTCATCTGGCTTCCCATCGGTGTCTCCAAAACGTATGGCTTCAGGGATGCGAAGGAGGTGTTTACCATGACCTGTAAGCTCCTGTATGGAATAGACGAATCCTCTTTACTGAACGCGACAATACAGATAATGGGACTGGAGCACCCTGCTGGATGGAACTTGGATTTTGTCCTTGTAAGAGTGTTCTTCTCGGGCATGAGATGATTGCTCACTTAGTATGTTGCAGCCTTTTTCACTGCCGGAACATTGACGGGATTTGACGCCTCTGGACACATTGCGGAAGAAACGAAGAACGCAAGTGTCGTAGCAGCCAAAGGCATCTTGACGAGCGCCGCGGCTACCAGTATCTTTGGGTTTCGCGACTACCATCTTGTTCTTATTCTGCACGCCAGACTTGGACACAGTTGTTCGCCCTGGATGCACCGCAGCCTTTCGTCCAGATATACGCTTTGGCGCTTGGTAGAGGCCCCAGCATTTTTATGACCATAATCGCAGGTGCTCGGTTTGATTCCTGGTTCGTGTTTATGCTCGATAACAGACAGTAGTGGCTCCGTCTCATTTGCTTCCCAGAACACTAGCATAGCCATTGTAGCGGCATCGAGGCTCGTATTCGCGGTCGCCCGAGATGGTGTTCTTCCGATGTCAGGATGGATCGGAAAGGTGGATTCTCAAGGACAGCCCAAGAACGCGGTTACTGTTATGTTCGTTTTCGGGGCTGCTATTTTGTGCACGATTCTTCCTAGTCAGGTCGCATTCACGTCGTTGGTGTCTGCTGGTGGTGTGCCCACCATCGCTGCATACGGGCTGATCGCGCTCTTTGCGGTTCACTTTGACTCCGAATCATTTCCGAACGTCGCACTTCCTCTTGGGAAAGTTCGCGATGCCCTTTTATGCAGCAGCGGCGTTGTTCAATGGGTTGATTTTTGCGGTACTGGACTTTCGGTATTCTATGGAATGAACGCTTTGCTGACGGTCGAATAGGTCATGATCTCACCTTTCTACTTCCCGACTACCGCCGAGACTTTCAATTTCGTGAGTGAAAGCCTATGTGAAGCTGTCGTTCGTTCTGATGTGATGTAAAGGCATGCGTGATCTTTGGTTCGGTTACGATCTTTGGTGTTCTTAGCTGGTACTTCACTCCGGAAGACAAGTGGCTTCGTAGGGAGCATGTCCTTCAGTCGTTGAAGGCTGCAGACGGCAATGCGAGCAACGATGATTAAGTTTCTTCGATCTTTCACTTCCTTGTGCTGCCTTATTGGCGTATTCTTTAAATTTCATCCTATCGATACACGTATTTCTTTGCTCTTCCTTCACTATACATTTGCGTCATATTGGCAGACACGAAAGCGTTCTTTCTAGACCATTTTTTACCAGAAGCATGTCCGACAGAAATGCGCAAGGAGAAACCCCCTGTAAGACGAATGGCCTCAATGTATCGAGTTCGACAAACCGACATCCAAGTAGCAAATGTCTGATGCCGATGGCTGAATATGGTCATACCAGGCTGAACGGAATCGGTGAACAGGTACAAAAATTCCCAAATAGCCGCTACCTCTTGTCATCATTGCGGCCGTCGTCGAGCTCGACGTTCCGATTGACTGTATATCCGTCCCCGATCGTTCAATGTCTACAATCAACCTCCTTCTGGCGCGTTCCCTGAAGCGAAACATCAAGCTCTCCCATCTACGTTCTGGCATCACTTTTAGCTTATTTTCTAGTTCTGCTGTTCTCGCGTTCTTGATTTCAAAGTGGAGATAGAATCCCACCAAGCCTGTTCAATTAGCAGAAGCGCGCGTGCTCTCGCTTTTATCAAACATGAAATAAATGTCCTGAAGGATCGACACGTCCTAAATCGTAAGCTTCAGAACAGTAACCCCCTCCTGCATCAACGCCCTGCGACACTTTATCGACACTCGTTCTATGGCTCACTCAAAAGTAATAGCGTTCGCTTCTCCATTATTTGCAAGACTTCATTTTCTCTGTCGACACAATTAAAAGATAACAGTTTTTTAAAAAAGGAACGACAGTGTAAGAACAAAAAAGAGAGTAGTGCGCCCTGCTTGGCCCTGCTGAGGCTGCTGAGGTCCAGGCGTTTGAGATTCGGACGCCGGCTTCCTCAAGCTGCGTATGCATTCTAGCATCTGCGTCAACACCGCTGTGTCTTTCCAGGACTCCGGAATCCGCCACTGCCAGCCGTTCGATCTGTAACCTTTGGCGGTCTCCAAGAACCTGCGACCGATCTAAGTCAGGGATCATTTTATACAACATAAGCACCTACCACTCAGGTGCTTGGTCTTTCATTCGTAACTGCGACTGAGACTGGCTAGGCTGAGGACTGTAGTTAAATTGATGGTGCTGTACCTCCCAGATGATACACTCCGCTATGAATTGCGGCACCTTTTGAAAATAGTTAGATGAAGCGCTTTTGTTCTACGACGCAGTATTCACCATGATATCCGTGAAAACGTTGAGGACGGAATTAGCGACACTTGCTGACAACAAGAGGCACTCTCGGGGGTAGTGGATTGATCCCATCACATATCCCGCAATGAATGTTACAGCAACGACGCATGTCAAAAGGATGGCAAGAAGATCTTTCTTACTCGTGAACTTGTCCAATTTGTCAGGCTACGATAGTATCAACGGATAATTGGTACTAACCAACTCCCGTGGGTAATCTGGTTTTGCACTGAGAGGTGTTGGGTTGGGTGATGTGGTGGTTCGGATTCCTTTGAAGCACATTGAATATGCCAGAACAAATCGCGCTTCTATGAGACGACAGTAGTAATGACCGCTTGTTGAAATGTGCTTGCATAATGGCACTGCCCTTCACCGTTAGAAGTCTGAACTTCATGGTATATGAAATGTACTTGCGTTGCGCCGTCTGCAGCAGCTGCGCTCACAGAATCCCTTGATTTCTGTGATATCCATTAATGCAAGACCATCGACATTTATAGGGCTCACGAACAACATCATCCCTGACCATACGCAATGCATAGTACGTTGAGCTCACGATTGCCACCACGATGGTTTGCCACCCGTGATCCAAAGCAATAGCGCAAGGCGAGAGAATCAAGATACCCAGGTTTACAACCGGGCCGATTCTGTAGATAGCTAACTGACATGGTGTGAACTAGAGATCATGAGTATTATGTTGCAGGCACGACTGTGCGACTTACCTGACCCTCTAATCCTTCAAAAAATTTGAAGATCGCCGGATAGGGCAAGACGATTGCCCAGAAACTTATCCAGCACTTCGTGGATGTTTTCCATACAGATGAGCATTTATCACAGCCCCGAGTCCAACAACGTCCACACGTAGTCTTGATGGAGCTCCAAACCCGCCGGAGGAAGTCCCGACAGCCCGTGAAGATTCTGAGCGCAATCAATTGACCCCGGTAGTGCCAAAGGAGAATCATTCCCGTAGCAAAGACCGCCAGTCCAATGGTAGCAACAATGATTACCAGCCGTTTTTTTGAAGGCATACTATTCACACCTGGAGGTGATGTGTCTGATGAAGTAGGAGATTCTAGTGTGGGTAGTTGGAGGCTGAATTGGTAGGTGATATCGCGATGCACGCCGTGGATGCCTATCATGGGGAGGGGATGGTATACAGGTGTAAAAACGGAAAGGTTGCCTGCAGTAGGAAAGAACATGATTTGTCGGGAGAAAAGAGCTGATGTCGCCTTAGCACTGACCAGGTTCTTGTTCTGTGGCGGGACCACCACAGATCATAGTCTGCATTCGATATCTGTTAGGCGAGTTATCAAAAAAGCACAACGAGGTGAAGGGCGATTACGCACCGAAAATTGCACACAGAGGACGTTTGATGTGGGCGTGAAAACACAGATGGTTTGGATATCAAAGATACGGGGAAAGCCACGGATGCCGCTAACAGCGAAAATAGAGAGGTATACAGTAGGAAGAAATACATAGTGGAAGGGAAAGGAAAGTAACCTGGCCCTTCATGAGGTCAGCTCTATATAAAGCGGTCTGACTGAGACATGTTGATCGCTTGATCGAGCCTCTTGGACGTGTCGGCAGCGAACATTGGGATGGACCAAGAGACCCATAAAGCTGGTGTAGTACATTATTGAGATGGACAGCGGTCGTTGGATTAGGAGTCGAGGTAGACAAGTTAGAGTCAACTGTAAAATGACGACAACGGTGCAAGTTACAGGACGGGGGGATAGGAAAGTGGAAAGTGTTGCGACCATGTGAGTCACACTCCAGATCTGTGACCTACCCCTTCCCAGGCGTCGGTGACGAGCGAGCACGGCATGGGGGACGAGCCGCTCGAGAGATTGGTGACCGCGCACGCGATGAGCGAGTGAGGGCGCGCCGTCGGAGTTTGAATTCGGATTACCGAGCCGGTGACGGAGCGATCGGTCCTGTCTTGTCTTCAACTGGCATGGCGCTTCCATCTGAGCTCATCTACTGCATTCTCTTCGAACTCTGGGCCATCCAGTCTTCCACCGAGGACTACATCCAAGCATTCTCAATCTGCTCCACTGTGTCCAAACAATGGTCTGCCATCATCAAGGAGGTTAATTCCACGCACTCGGTCATCCCCTTTGACTATAGCGGAGGATATCTATACACTATACGATCCATGCATACAATACCTAAACCGCTACTCTGCCGCACAATAACATTCAAGGTGGACAACCTGATCATGCCATGGTCTATCAAGAATTCAGGATGTGAACCCTCCATTACAGCTAACAGGGGGATAGAATCGGTGCTTCGAAAGATATTCTGTGGTCCTATCTCACCCCCAGATGGCATTCATATCTTCGTAGACTATCTTGACGATCCCCAGGTCCACATCCCCCACTTCTGGGTTCCTCTACAGACCACCCACTTAACAATTGTCTACCACCACCGATGCTGGGCAGACGTGGCTTTCCCAAATCCCTATTATTGTCAATGTATCCAACCCATCCTTTCCCGACGAGTCAGCCATCTCTGCATCATAGGAACTACAACCTTCATAGTGAAGTCACTCATAACCCCTATCAATGAATGGGAATGTCTAGTTTCGCTGGCTACGGATGTACTTGAACTTGATATCCCAATCCCCTCTTTCACACGGAAAACGTATAATTATGAAACGCTAGATATAGGGTCGGAATTCCTGTCTCGGGTTATGTTTGGCGAACGAGGATTCCGTTCGACTCTTGTCCCCATGCAGCATCGTACGTCACCATACATATTTTTTGGGCATTCTAGCTCAAATTATCCAGTTAGCACACATACCTACATCCCCATGTTTGAACAAGCTATTCCTTTGGGCTCAGTAGGATATATTCATCCATTCACTAAGAAGTTCGTCATCCTGTTCAATGCCATCGATCCGGCTTCTTCGATGGAACCAGCGATCCGTCACATCCCTTGCCTCCTCAAGAACGGCAGGACGAAATTAATCACTGACCCAAAATATCCCGTCTCCCGAGCATGGGATTATGAATATAAAAAGTCTGATATTCTGCGTAAGCTTGGAGCTTGGACCAAGGGAAGATCGTTCGTGTTTCTTTGTGGTCAATATTTCTCTGCTTCTAACGGAACCAGAGTGTATAGTATCACTCTGGCATATAACTTCGTCAAAACGCTCTTTCTCGGGCTCGGGAATGCAATTTCCCGGGAACTTGTAGGAGATCAATTCGAGAATTGGCTATCCGAGCACCGCCAGACAATTATCGATGTGTTTGGAGACCGCGATCCCTATATCCGAACGCACCTGGGACTCGGTGAAGCGATTGTTCATGTTATGTATACAAACTTTATGGACTGACCATCTGGCTACATTTCAGTTACAGCCACAGTAGACTCGTCGCAATATGTTTGGTTTGTCCTTCTGAGAACTTACCATGCCAATTTTCTAGACAAAGTAAATGTATCATCTGTCTTTGTGTTTACATCAGTACTAACACTTGTGCAGTACTACTTTGAAGTTGACCCTCAAGCGTCGTCTAAACTTGGAACGTCTTGGGGGAAGGTCAAGCCTCCTAAGAACCGTACTCCCGTGTACTGGAACCACATCTCCACTGTGGGGCAGTCGCCAATGACTGTACAGATTCGTTGTCATTTTATCACATAGCTTGGATCTGTACATTTCCTAATCAAGGATATCAATCTGTCCGTACGGGTTCCTTTGTATTTTCTTGTTCCTGTACTTTAACCGATTCGGCGCTGGAGACTGCTAAATGTTGCTGTCCCAGACCATAAATCTGAGGAGTCACTTGGTAGCCATGGTTTCGGGATGGTATGTAGTGAATCCTGCGTCGTCAAAGGTGCAGCTATTATAATTTGGGTGATTACGCCAAAGAGAACAGCCTGAGCTGGATCTGCTTGAACACCCCATTGAAATCCTCGTCGTCTCAGGGAGCGTCCGTCTGCACTGCCATATTTCCATGGATACTGATGATGCTGGTACCGCGGCGTTGTTGCTGGTAATCCCTCAGCCCTCCACATTGCCGACGCTGCAGCCTGAAATCTCGCTGCTCATCTCCCATGTCATACTAAAGCTGTATTCATAGAAACTTGAAAGACGACAACATTTGGACACAGTCATTATTTTTACGTGTAAAACCGCATCCCAGAAATGAAAGAAATAACACGATAAGAAATGAAAGAAATACGACGCCACGAAAGGACGGAAACGACGCCAAAAGTTATCGGGGCCATAACATTTGTACTTGTTTGGCACACCGCAACGGACGGGTCCGATGTGAGGTCACATCCGGCCAATTCTCCGGGCAGGGCATAATTCTCCTCTTAGCGCTCGCAATAACAAAACATCGGACATAGTATGTACCGTCACCATCCTCTTCGATTTTACTGATGGCCATCACGATATCATCCCGGTTGATGATCTCAATGTCTACCAACAATTACTCTCTGGCTATCCCTGAAGCGAAGCGTCAAACTCTCATCTACGTCCTGGCATCACTTTCGGCCTATTTTCTAGTTTCTGTTGTTCTGGCTGTCATCATTGCAAAGTGGAAGAAGGCTCCCACCAAGACGGTTCGATTAGTAGTACAGGTATGCATGCACTCACTTCCGTCAATCATAAAATGAATCTCCTCAAGGCTCGACCTGTGCCAAATCGTAACCTTTCGGCACAAGAACTTCTTCCTGCATCACGCCTTGCGATACCTCGTCGACATTCATTCTATGGTTCACTCAAAAGTGGCCGCGTTCGCTTCTCCATTGTTTCCAAGACGCCGACGCGCCCGCCGAGAGCTCAGATGCGTCGTGACAGCTCGAACCAAGATCTCTCTTGTCAATGTCCTGCGAATTGTCTTGGATGCCTGGCTCAGAATATCGATCGGACAATATCGAACGAGTCTTTCGACGTGGCAAAACGCAAGGACACTTTGGTTAGATTCTCGCTGCAGAACTCGCTGGTGAAGTGAAGAGCTGGATCCGGTGTATCGCATCTAGAACGTGACTATATGCGCGTGGTTACAATGTTCTTTTCTGTTCTCATTCAATCCTGAGTTTTACTTTCGGTCTTGAAGCGAGATCTGAAACGTCTTTTGAAGGGCGGTCCGTGGCGGAGATAGGATCGATAGGGTCGATATGTACTCTGTGTAGATGTAGAGTTTTTCCGAAACAACAGCAGCTCTACGTGTATCGTTTTTAGCTTGTTATGGTAGTGGTATTTGTCGAACTTGCCGCAAGGATGTGTCAGCACAAACATCTTGATCATGGACCTCCACTACTGTCGCACTAGCGTCCCATATCGGCCTTACTATCAGCGGTTTCTCAAGGGCTTGTTTGATCTATGAATACCTCTTGCGAGTCGGAGGCTTGGCCCTGGGGAAACACAGCGGGCGGCCTCCCTAGGACTCATTAGAAAATGTCTTATATACGCGTCGAGGTACGGCCTATTCTACTTTCCAATGGGTAACGGGCGAGAAAAGGTACGTTCCATTGTATTTTGCGTTGATTTGTGCATTCATTTGCTACCCAGATGAACGAAGCAAACCCACGCCTGGATGATGTTGATACGAACCCGCTGAGGCACATATTCGTACCTGCGTCATTGAGTTTCATCAAGCCATTAGCGTTGTACCAAAAGATCTCGACTGTTCAATGCATCACGGGTGGTGGTACTGTGCAGTTTGATCTGGGCTTGCACATCGACATGAAATGTGGCAAGGACCAGAGATACACATCACCACCCATACAGCGAATCCCACCTGAACTGCTGATGGAAATCTTCCTATGGGCCAGAACGCAATATGATTCGCTCGACTTGGCTGACACCCACAGTCTACCGTGGACACTCAGTCAAGTCTGCAGTTCTTGGCGAGCAACAGCCATGTCGTTGCCCGAAATCTGGACAAACTTTACCCTTAATCCATCCCGTCTCATTTGGAAACGCCAGCCCCTCTCGCTTCTCACCGCCGTCGTCACTCGTTGTCGTCATAACCTTAATTTTACGTGGAGAGACTTGGCTATTGATGGCGGTTCAGACGGGGAGCATCTACTCCAGGCGTTATTCCAGGTGTTAATATCTTGTTCCGATTCGTGGAAAGTTGTCCAACTGGAATTGCCATTCCAGCTTATACCTATGCTCTCTCAACTTCATGGACGTCTGTCGTCCTTGACGGATCTTCATTTTTCATGCTACTCTTCCAGCGTGGACACCATAGAAGGATTCGAGATTGCTCCACGTTTAACCAACGTGAAGATTCGCGGCTTGGGACCATATACACGATTCGCCTTTCCGTGGAGGAACCTCGTCCATTATTGCGATCACCGCATTCCAGAAGGTAGAGCCTTTGATCTAGACATACTCAACAAAGCGCTCCGTCTTGAGGCGTTCGAAAGTAACGTTCGACAGCAAATCCTTTCCGTACCCGTTCCTGTATTCCACGACAGTTTGACGCGTCTCAATGTGCGCGATAGCAGTTTCCTTGATAGCTTGACGCTTCCCGCACTAAGGGAGATCACTCTGCGACCCTACATCGTAGTTGAGACACGCATGGATGCTATCCTCCCTGCCCTCCTTGGGCTGATCACCCGCTCCAAGTGTTTCCTGCATCGTCTGTCTGTGTATGATGCAGCCCCAGACTCGGACCTGGTGCATATCCTTGAATTATCGCCCGAGCTCGAGTCTCTTAGCCTAAATATCCCTCGTTGCCGGGATCCGTCCAGCGTCCATCTGAAGTCCCTTATGAGCCGTCTGCAGGGTGCGCTGGTGAGTCGGTTGGGAACGCTAGCGATCAATCGCTATGATCGGGACACAAGTGAAGCGATGGTGTTTTTGGACGAGGTTTTCGTGGAGATGATTGCAGAGAGGCATGCGAAGAGGGTATTGCGTGCGGTAAGATTCGACGTATGGGTCCCAGAGGCAGGATCGTACAAATGTCCGTTATCAGAGCGGAATGTTAGGCGGCTAAAGGAATTTCAGGCCGAGGGATTGGAGCTATGTATCCGGGCAAATGATTTTGGAGCATCAAAGAGGTATGTGTAAGTTAGGTACGTGGGCCCTCTCTGATTGGTTTACTTGGCACTGATATTGTCAAAGCACAATGGTTAATCTTAGGCGATGTGGCCCCCGTGTGTGAACCGTTACATGAAAAGAAAAGAACCAGGATTCTGGAAAAAAAAAACTCGAGACTTCCATTCATTCAAGCAATTGTGATATGTGAAACGATGAACTGAGTGGGGCTTTCAAGTTCGCGATCACAAGGCATGTTCCGGAGAAAGTGAACGCTGTCAAACCCAATACTACCTCGTTCTTCTCACGACGTTGCTTCCCTCAGCATCGGATATCCACCAGAAATAGGCTCAGAAAATGAAGTACAGAGTCGTGCCCGAGAACGCGTGATAAACTAACAACCATAAGTAGGTGTGGCTACTTATCTCACCCACCCAACAAGATATCCATGCTTGGTCTGCAAGGGATCGCTCTAGTCACAGGCGCTGGTTCGTGTCGCGCTTGCTCGTACATTGCCTTGACTCTTTATTGAGGTTCTTCTACAGCTCGAGGTATCGGTCGAGCGACTGCTGTTGCATTCGCGCGCGCTGGAGTGTCCGGCATACACCTCACCGACGTGCGTAGCACGCTCCTCGAGGATACAGCCAAGGACACTGTCAGCGTTGCCACGAATCCGAACTTCAGAGTCTTCACCTCCGTGGTAGACACCACAAAAGAAGACCAAGTAGTTCAGATGGTCAACGACACCATCAAGACCTTCGGAAGGGTGGATTACGCTGCAAATATTGCTGGGGTAGGATGGACTGCTCAAGAACGATCCTGTTATTGAATAATATCCACAGGTAGTGGACATCTCATCTGTGACCACCGATGTGACGATGGCGGAATATGATCGTGTTAACAATGTCAACGCTCGTGGCGTTTTCATGTGCATGAGGGAGGAGCTTCGGGCGATGATCAAGCAAGAACCCGTTGTTCACATTCCTGGACGCCCCGCTATCCGAGGGGCGATCACGAACCTCGGGAGCGCCGCTGGACAACTGGCTGTTCCGGGGATGAATAGCTACATTGCTTCGAAGCACGCTGTTGTCGGAATGACGAAGGCTGCTGGTACGTGATCTATTATGCGACAAGAGTCGAGGTGCGGCTGATCAATCAGCTTTGAACCACGCTACGGATGCTGTTCGAGTGAATGTCGTCTGTCCTGGGTTCGTTGATACTGAGATGCTGGTGAACGTGGGGGATATGGTCTATAGTGATCGTATTCGCGAGGCCATTCCGATGAAGGTATGACTTTGCCCATAGCTACTATGGTGCCATTCGTCTGACCAGACGTCGTTCATAGCGACTGGCTTACCCGGAAGAGATTGCCGACCATGTGCTGTTTTCGGCGAGTCAGTTGTCTAGTTATATGACTGGTCATGCGTGGATAATGGATGGAGGTTATAGTCTTGCCTGACTGAATTAGCTGGCTACCTCAGCTGTACGATATGATTATAAACCTGGAGTATGTGTATACGATTTCACGTACCTATTTTCCCATGATATACGTTAGTAAGTGGATATTCGTCGGAGCACTACTTGTTACATGGTTCGGAAATGTTGGACACTGCTAATGACTTAGAGAATCTCAGAGACCAACAAGACCGGCCGATGACCTAGGATAAATTAAGATCTGAGATGTATATCATCTCTAAGTACTGCCTTACAATTACAAATACTTATCCACGGGAACTTCACAGTTCGAGTCATCACGACCAATTCGAAACGGCGAACTTGCTGCGAGCCGTGAAGGCGACGGCGTTCCTACTGACTCGGGGAGGCAGGCGCTGTGCTTTGAAAAAGAGACCCACACTCTTACTTCGCATCACCTATGGCCTTCGAGCTCCCCCCCGAAATACTATGCGCCATTGCCGACTTCATCACCCCTGATTTCAAAGCGCTTGCTGCCCTTTCTCTCGTATGCAAGACATGGCTGCCCCCCAGCCGTCGTGTGCTATTCAAAAGTTTGGTCGTCACCCCAGAAACGATGCAAGGCTTTCTAGAGCTCTTTCAGTCCCCACTGGTGTCGATTCCTAATTTCACCCAGGAGCTGAAGATATGCAGGTACAAGATGGGTGATACACGCTACATCGATAGCTGTATTTTGGAAAGCCTAGTTCCAGCGCTGGAGAAGCTGGAGAGGCTGACGCTACTCAGATTCGAGCACCTTTTATGGGAAACATCCAGGGAGACGGGCTTGGGAGATTTGCTCAAACCTTTTGGGGGTGTCACGTCGCTTTGGTTGGAGAACAACAAGTTTGCAGACATGCAACACTTGGCAGACTTCATGTCGTGCTTTCCTCATTTGCAGGATTTGACGCCGGTCTACACGGTTTTACCTCCGAACGACACTGACGACCTTAACGGTACAGGCGTCCCGCGAGGTCTTCGACGACTCTGCATCATCGGCCCCAAACCCGTCAATAGCATCATAGCTTGGATCGCCGCATCGCCTTCCCCCATCTCACTGCAGCGCCTAGAGTTGGGAGGGATTGGGTTCCGAATTACTTCCCACGTGCATACCTTGCTCAAAGGAGCAGGTCCCCATCTTTGCGAGTTAATCCTTCGTCCTACATCTCGTCCATTCTTTCCAGGCTGGAGTCCAGGTAAGATTTACATTTCCGGTACCTCGAAAGAAATATCTGAACACTGGTTTTCTCCCGTACAAGACGTTCAGCAGCATCTCGACCTTAGCAACAACAGGGAGCTTCGTAGCCTCAGGCTCGCGGGTGCAATCCAACCGCCATTATGTGATACTATCATTGGCGTCCTCTCGACCATTAACAGTACCTCCATTGAGGAAATTGTCGTGCCTATCCTCATTCCCTTCACAAAGGAGTGGCAAGAACGGCTCGAACACCTACGTGCCAAGTCTGTGTTTGCATGTGTGAAGAAGTTCAGCCATCGCTCTGCGTCTGTGGCGTAATGTCATCAAGTGCAGCTTGAAAAAGAGATGGTCCGAGTCTGGGGACGAATTATGACACAGTAGCCGCTGCCCTTAGTCTTTGATGTGCGAGGGGTCAAGGCGAAGGGTAATATTTTGATTTATGATCCTGCACCTTCATACCTGTTTAGCACGTTTCATTTATGAATATTGAAGAAAGACAACACCGAATCAGAAGGAGTCATATCACGTCGGGCAATCAAACAAGGGCGGCATCAATGATACTAAGACAACCACGGCCGCCCAACAATGGCGCCCTGAAACAAAGCCAACCCTGGCTGGGTATATAAGCAGGACTCCACGCTCCCAGTATCACCAGTTCACGTTCGGCCTTGAACGACCTCATTGAGCCCGTCTTTGATTCTTGGCTCTACATAATGCCACTACGTCGTCAGAACGCCATGTTGAGTATAGGCAGCGTCCGCCCAGTAGCGCCAGCCCTTGCGCCACCAAGCCACCCAGCCATCGTCCGCAGAGCCTCAACCATTGGGCAGCTACTTGCAGCGATGGGTAACATGGGTATTGGGTCCTCCGCTCCTACCCCCCCAAACACCCCCCTTAAAAAATCGCTGTACAAGGCAAAGAGAGGTCCGTCCAATCCCAAGGTCACCTCCAGGCGCAAGGCACCCCCTCTCATAGCAGAATACAAATGGATTGCCACTGATCCCTGGGTCGACGCTTCCAACATTAAGAGCAGGCAGGTCTTATGCGTAGGCTGCCGCAACACCATTCAGTTCAGCGACAGCATTTCTTCCCGCTCCGCCAGAGAGGAATGGCTCGAGCATAAGGTGAATTGCATTGGGATACGCCGCCAAAAGATAGCCAAGCAGCAGAACACGTTGGCGGGTCCCGTATGATTTGTAGGGTCGGGTTCTGTGTCGACGTTACGTCGAGTGTTTAGTTGGTGTCTTCTTGCGCACCTTGCATAATATAATATGACACGGACAGTATACCTCAGTTTTCTTGTTTCTCAGTGGATAGCGGAATCTCAATACTTAAAAGCGTTGAAAATCCATTTGCATAAAAATCTAAACATTATATGAGAGAGTAGCTGTACCAAGGATGTAAAAACTCCGTACTAAGAATACAAAATCATGTAAAAGTCAACAACCAATAGGAACAACCACAATATGCAATAAAACACGCAACAGCTATCAGCGTTGTGGAACCCATATTTTCACTGTCTGAATTACACGGTAAGGTGGAAGAGGATGCTAGTAATGTAAAGAAAATCATACCTGATCGCTGCTACATGTCGCAATAACGTTCACCAACGCAGGTGGCGCATTCGGGTCTGCTTGATCCGATGTCTGCGTAGAAACAACCTGACGTCCCCAGGACATTGCGGTCACAAATCGCTCGTGAGCTTCTACTTTCCGTGTGCAACGTCCAGTTTTTTAGGTCCCAGATACGGAATGAATGATCATCCGATGCCGTGAGGAGATATTGCCCGTTTGGATGGAAAACTATAGAGCGAACCCAGTCATCGTGTCCGATCTACAGAGGAAAACCGGATCAAAGAACGGCAGAATAGGTACAAGATCGTCACATACTAAGGTATGCAAGCATTGGCCCCGGATTGCATCCCATATCTTGACGGTCTTGTCTCGCGCTGCTGTGACTGCAAAAACGATGGAGGCTTGAGCCGTTGCTTGTGCGCCTTGCGGAGCCTGTGAGTTCGAAAGATGAAAAAGCTGTTATATGGAAAGTTAGAATCGACACTCACCTTAAGGGCAACTAGTTCGCGAATGGCAGCGACTGCATGAGGCGGACAGAACTGGGCAGCCTCGACGACGTTTTCGTGGCCCCGAAATTCTGTCTTGACGTCACCAGAGGTTGTATCTACGATTTTCGCTGTCTGTAAACAGTCAAATTAGGACTACGAACCTCGGAAATGTCACATACATGGTCAGCAGAGCACGTTATGATATATCGGCCGTCGGTGCTGGGAACAGCACATCTGATCCAGTCGTCATGGGGTGAAATAACTTTAATGCAATGCCTGGAAAAGGGGTCAGCTTTTTGAAAAAATGACGAGGCTCGACCTTTCCACGAGGCCAAATAATGCCATTTGAGAAAGCGTCAAAATCACGGCTCCAGTTAGCAGCCAGTCTTTTAGGCGGCAGTGGATCTAATAAGTGAAAAACTCACGTAGTAGAGACCTCCCATATTCTGAGGGTATGGTCGCGACTAGAGCTCACGACACGATCGTCTCCAGGTAAAAAGCGCGCCGAGGATATGGAGTGTTCGTGTCCTCGCAACGTTGCGGAATTTTGATAATCATTGTCGATATTCCATAGCTTAATGAAAAGGTCATACGAGCACGTCACTGGAAAGCGAGTTTCAGCGTCACGTTCGACATATACTCCAAAGCCACGCACCGAGCATCGTCCCTGTCGAATTAAACTGACAGTCCGAGACTCGCTTCGTATGAGCCTTCAGTGTTCGTTCGAGCTCCCCCGTCTCCCAGTCCCAAATCTTGATGGAGCAGTCATCGCTGGCGGTAGCAATGACGGAATAGAGAGGATGGAATGCCACTGCATTGACGCTGTCGCGGTGGCCTGTAAGGGTGTGTTTGGCAGAGCCAGAACTTGGTATCCAGTCTGCGTCGTAACGTCGAGCTGAGCCGTTGGGAAGGTGCACCATATGCGCGCTGTCCTCTAGTGCCTGCGCTAGACGGGATTCAAGGTCCATAATCTAAAAGGTATCCAGAGTCAACGTTTCGTGCAAAAAAAGGCAGACGCACCTTCTTTTGCATCCGGATGACACTGGTCCATTTCTTAACGAGAAGACCGCTGCTATTCTGACTCAAATCAGATCGAAAGTCGGACTACTAGTCTTTGATTAACGAGCGAAATTGTAGAAAACTGGTCGACAAACGGGAAGCTCCTGCTTAAACTGGTCAACAGTCTTGGAAAACCCGGCGCTGTTGAGGTAGTCCAAGATTGATTTATGTCTAGAAATAGTCAAAAAGGTGAAAGACAGGTATCCCGAATGCTTACAAGTCGTCTCTCTGTCGTTCTGAGAGAGTAGATGCCATGGTATCGGTGTAAGCGATGGGTCGGATTCGAAAGAAGATAGAATTTAGATGTTCAACATGAAGGTATCGTTTCACGGCAGATTTCCTTTCTGAGATCATAATGATAACTTACGTAAACATAACCAATGGAATAACACTGCGTTGATTGTTCCCACCGCCATTGATCACCTTTCCGGGCGAGACCACCATAGCACTGCCGTGTTACTGTCATATCAAGTGGTAGAGAAGTTTTATTTATCAATCACCAAGCCATTATTCTAAAGGAACATACCCCCGCAACTACAAGGACCGCGGCGTGAGGTGCATCAAACTTTTTTAAGGTATTTTCTTCCGGTGGTGTGAAGGAGATATCCAGGCTCATCCAGGTAAGCCTCTAGCTGTGCCAGTTGGTCCAAAGCGCATAAGCACCTACTGATGCGTATTTGTCTAATTTTGGCAGCGATGTATGGTACCGTATTCGCATGTTTAACATTCACCAGTTGAACTACGGAGATGCGCGCTGCCAAGTGGCCGATTTGTGTCATATGATGCTGTCGAATAGTGTACCATGATGTTCTGGATAAAACACAAGGCTAGTGATACAGTGATACGGTCCAAGACCTAGTTGAATGACAAAACCGCCAGTGCTTAAGACCCATACTCCTTCTGAATGAACTTGGCAATAGTTTGCAGCTGAATGTTCGACGTTCCTTCGTAAATCGCGCCCTATAGCAAATGATCAGTACGCAGAAAAGACAGATGAACGGTAAACATACGATTTTCGAATCTCGCCAGTACTTCTCCACACCAGTCTCGCGTGTGAACCCGACACCACCCATCCACTCTATCGCCTTGCCACTAACGCTCTCAGCGACCTTACTCGCCCACCACTTCGCCATCGCTGCCTCCTTGACGAAACCCAAGCCCATCTCCTTTCTCCGGGCTGCATTATACGTCAGAAGACGGGCGGTCTCGATCTGTGTGGCGGCTTCTGCAAACTGGAAGCCCATACCCTGGAAGGTACCAATGGGTTGCCCAAACTGTGAGCGTGTGTATGTGTAGGGAACCGACAACGCAAAGGCCCCCTGTGCAAGACCAAGCATTTGGGCAGCGATACCAATACGGCCTTCGTTGAGGATCTCAATAGCAATCTGTAGAAGAGCATGGTTAAACATGGGTAGAGTAAATGCGGTATGACGCCAATTACCTTGTACCCGTTACCTTCTCCACCAATGATGTTTTCAGCGGGTATCTGATGTCTTCTATTAACGGTGGAAATGAAAGATGAGCTTGAAAGATTGGTTACCTTTGCGTCGTCGAAGCTAAGAGTACAGGTCGAGGACGCCCTGATCCCTAATTTCTGCTCCTTCTTTGCGATTTCAATGCCCATGTCCTTGGTAGCAATGAAGCAGGTTATTCCCTTGTATCCTTTTGTGGGGTCAATCTAATACAATAAACGTTAGAGTAGTGAATATTGAGAGAGATAACTGATTATATGTACGTTGGCGAATATAAGGAATATTTCGGCCTCGTACGAGTTGGTGATCCACATTTTGGTACCGTTGATAATATAATTATCTCCGTCCTTTTTCGCTCGAGTCTGAAGTGCAAATGCGTCTGAGCCGGAAGCCGATTCGGACAAGCAGAAGGATCCAAGCTGGGGGATGTAAATGACTTGGTTCAACATGTGAGAATGATCATACCTTTGACTCAGACAGCTGGGGTAGCCACTTATCCTTTTGTTCTTCTGTACCATATTTACGCAACACGGTGTTAACGAGAGTGTTGTGAACATCACACAAGACAGAGACCGACGGGTCAACTTTGGCAAGTTCCTCAATGGCGATGATGGCTGACGTGAAGGAAGATTCAGAGCCCCCGTGTTCGGCAGATGTCTCGATACCCATGAGCTAGACACAGTGAGCAGGGTATCGAATCGGATTTGGAGTAGGACATACTCCTTGTTCGAACAAACCACTGATGATGGAAGGATCCATTTGTTCATTCTCATCCATTTCTTTGACTTTGGGTCGTACGACATCGTTTGCAAATCGTTGCACTAAGCTGCTGATTAGCTGAGGAGTGCAACTTATCTGTCAGAACACACCAGTCTCTCTGATCATCAGCTCCTCTTCTGTGAACGTATCCAGACAGGCTATTCGGGCTCCTTCACTTTCTCTGCGGATCCATGTCGACGAGAATGACCTGTTGAGCTCGCTGTCAGCAATGCTAACTCCAAGTAAGACGGCTCGGAGAATGACCTAGCAGCACGAATGGAACGAGCAGATTTGAGTGATAAAGCTCTCAAGGACGTTCTGAACATAGTGGCTGAAGGACAAGGAGAGAAACGGAATGCCTCAAATGTCAAGAACGGAATTGAGATGAGCCTTGGAGACCTAATGGCTGTCCGGAAAACACAAATCACGGACCAACTCCGCACCCAATGATCCGGGGTAATAGCCGGTCATGTGATCGTAGGCAGATCGGTCCGGTTCGTTCTACTGGATCAGGGCTGTGCTCGGTTCATTTCGTCTTTCCTTATTACCTCCTCAACGCGGCCAACGATGACCAGACTGGCCTTTCTCTTTTCATTGCTGCCAGTAGCGCTAGCCTTCTCCGATACTTTTCCTATTATTGCTTGGTCATCTCATTCGTGCGTCTGAGTGACACATACGACCCCATCATATTTCTCAATCAGTTTGCAGCTCAAATGTGCTCAGCCGTCTTCCAAGTAGTACACATTCAACGGACCTGTTCAAGACTATTTTGCTGAACGATGAAATATGTGTACATGAGGCAGTGATTGTAGTCGACCAGCCAGGAGTGCGTTGTCGTCTCCCTAGGTCGCCGTCGTAATTTGCTGACGTCCTCCAGCTGCATGCTTCCGACCTACGAAACCTACCTTCAAATTCTCATATCGCACGGTCCCTAAATTCTTCGACGTCGTCGCGCCAGTATCCATATGTTCGCCATGATGACTACTCATCATCAGGAGACCTCATCACATTCGCCCAGTCCGTCTCTGAGAGATGCAATGCGCGTCTCGTCAGTCTGACCCCTGGGTATGGCGATACCTCATTGAATGCAGGAGAGAAGGCGGTTGTCGTTGTAAGTCTTCCAGAGCTCTCGGTTGAAGGGTACGCAAGGAAGAACAGTATGTTGAGACGTGGTACATCCTCTCATCTTCAAGTGCTTGTAAGCGCCCTTAAACTTTGCTTTACAGATGACCTCCTGGAATTGACATTATCCGCTCTACCATACTCTCAGCACCTAACTATATACAGCACTTCTGTCCTCCCCGTGCACCGCAAGCGCCAGTCTCCTGACAGCCCGTCTGTCTTGGACCTTCCTTTAACAAACTCGCTGGCGCCTCCGAAAGGAGGAATTCTTGCACGTTACCAGCTCCTCACCCCAGGCCTCATTCTTGTCCTCCTCATTGTCGTAGGAGTTCTGTTGCCCATCATCTATTTTGGTATCAAGGCTTTGGCAAGCATCCAGAGTCCCGTTCGCATGGACGCCCCCAAGGGATTTAATGCTGCTGATAAGAAAAACCAGTAATTTCGGGAGGAGAACCGGGATGGACCACAGTCGGTAGATACCACGAAACTATATGCTTTGATAATGCGAAACGACGAATTCGAGGGGACATAAATGTTTTCGACTGATGACAACGATGGATTGGTGCGTCACCCTCCTTCTACTCTCCTTTCAGATCTTCAAGAGCAGCACTTCAAAACAAAGCGGCAACTTCGAGAAATTGGGGCTGTAACTTTTCTGCGACAATAACCTTAGCACGGTGTAAGTGGTCCCTATATTGTGCGAGTCAATCATGCGGCGTGTGAAACTCCATGATCCCCGATCATACTTCAAGGCGCCAGCCGAAGGATCTTTAGCGTGGTTCTGACATTACTTTACGTCTCTGTCGACAACCCTGATAAAAGATAAAAACGCCTTTTTTTGAAAGCATCTATAACCTCCTGTACACCTGTAAGTCGCCCGTTTATGGACTCTGGGATCTCTTTGAGCTTACCTTTGTGTCAAAAGAGCATCATGGTCCAATGTTCGGAGACCGATTGCAATACTGAAGCTACGCAGCGCTGCTCCAGGTGCAAAGAACGCGTGTACTGTAGCGTTGAATGCCAGGCAAAGGTACAAGCAGCACCTTTCTCACAAGGAACCTTCAGTTGATAGAATACTGGAGGACTGGCCAACCCATAAAACGCAGTGCAAGAAAGTAGCCGCCCAACCTGGCGCCCAATCGAATTCATCTCTGCCTCCAGGTTACATGACGGGTCCATTGGGCTCCATGTCTATGCTGGGGACCATTTATAATCCCATGACGGGCGTATCTACTCCCGCAAGCAGCAAGAGCCATTTTTTCGCGGATATGTTCGGATACAAAGCGGATTGTCCTGAGCGCGTGTATAGCGAAATTGTCGATACGTATCGCATCTTCCGCTCAGGCGAGTACTTGCAGGGTACGGGACCTTCATCAATGTCATTTGAGGAGTTTGTGGCCAAGGCCGAAAAGTCCGGGATCCTGCCGGATTGGTGGAAGGAGGAAAATCGTGATGGACTGCTCAAATTCTCGAAGGAGGATGAGTGGGGAAAATTGGAGAGACAGGTGACCAAGGAAGATATCAAGAACCATCTGGACAAGCCTGCTCGTATGCTGAGTCTTGAGATGATGATTGAAAGGATTAACAATCAACGTTAAGTTCACATTGGATTTCATGTTTCCTGCAGATAGATGATGGTGAAGGGCAAAGGAAAAAACGCTTCATGCTGTTGTCTTTCATTTCTTGCCGAGTTACTCTGTCCGAACCATGGGATCATGATTACTAGACTTTCTTACCAAACTCATGCTCGGTCTCACTGGATATCGTGTAATTGGTTGTATTTCGTTACTATGACTGCTACTACCACCGCTACTTACGATGTCGTTGCCCATGTAACAACTTGCACGTGTGGCAGATACCGCGCCAAGGTCAATCACTGTGAACGTCTCGACATATCGCAAGTGGAATCAGAACAAGTTTCCACTATCTTGGATTCCTGACAGGCTCCACGATGGAACCCATCTCGATAAGTGTGCAATGAGATGGCGAATTATGTCGAGAAGGGCCGGATTCAAGATATCGGCCGAAATCTAAAGATTGAGCGACTAAGCTCAAATAGGTTAGAAGTTGGAACATGAAATAAAATGTGCCTGTAGTGTCTTCCTGTAGACGACACCTGCAGGAAAAAATAACTTGAAAGAACTTGGCCAGGTCACTGCCAGTATGCTTTTAGCCGTGCATGTCGCACGAAGTAAAACTTAAAGGGTCCGGCCGACCTTCTCCTCGGACCTTTGAATTTGAAATAAATTGCCAAAATTGGACTTGCAGGAAATGTGGTTCGCGTATTGCCGGTTTGCCCTCTCAATGTCTCTCAATGTTGCGACAACGAATGAGGAGATATCCAACGTAGCCTATCTGGTAGCGTCGTCATCCTCTCCGGCAACTATTGACGCCTTTCGACGACGCATTGCAGTACGACATACTGGTTCCTCTTTGCTGGATTCCTTGCTTTCGAGCGTTCATGTTGCCGCCACTTCCTACATATATCTTTTTCGGATTATACGGGGAATTCAGCTGGACTCGTTCAATGATCTCGATTTCAACGGCCTAAATGGTGAGTACTTTGCCGCTGTAAATACAGCACATACTCATTGTTCTCAGTCGTAGAATCATCTTCGTTCTCTCCCCAGGATATCGTCTTTCCTACGTTTCCGGCGAAGGCTCTGAGGACTGTCATATCTCATTTCTTAAATTCCGTTCGAATCCGTCTCCTTGATGATATCTCGCACGATGCGTCCGTTCTTGGCCGTCTCAATTCGGGCTTCCTGATAGCTCATTCCACGGCTTCAAACGAATGGAGTGCGCCGTGGGCCATTATGAGGTAATTTTCTCACGCATTTTACCTTTCTTTATCTAATGGACTCTTAAGGCCTCTCGTGTACTGTCACCTTCAAGTCCATTTAATGTCGTCGCGATTATTGATACACCCTCTTGTCATCCCAACGTCCTTTCTTCCTGTCACGCCATCCTTGACGCAAGGATCACCTATCTTGCTGCTGCCCTATGCTACCCCGGCTTATTTCCTCGCGTCGTATAAAGGTCCATGTTCCGCTCTGTCGAAACAGTTCAAAGAATGCTTTGAGGGCCTGGGCGTGTCATCCTGGGACCCTGAATCCTACATCATTGCCTGGGTCAGTGTCGAAAATAGGCAGGGCGAAGATAAGGGTGTCATGATTATATATCCGACGTCGCTCTGCGTCCGATCACTGTCCCCCAATATCCCATCTCTACCCCATATCCCGACTTTACCAGCTACCTTGCAGTCTTCTCCGCAGTCAACTCCATCTTTACCTTTCCTATCGGTTTCTAGCCCCACGTCCGTAAGCGCGTTTCGGACGCTTACGATCTCCAAGAGCCGAGATATTAAACGAGTAGCCAAGGAAGTGGGTAGCTATGTCGATGCTGTCGCAAAGGAACGCGAACGCGAACGAGAGCGTCTCAAAAGAGAGAGAGAAGGCGTGGGCACGAGTGTAGCGCAACCTCCATCAACGCAGGTCCCGCATCTATATGTGCAACAACAAGCACAATTACAGCAACAACAGCAGACACAGCAGCAGCAAATGCAGCAGCAGCAGGCACAACAACAACAACAGATGCTTGATTTTTATCCTTCTCCCCCTCAAACAAACTTGATGGTGCCTCCGCCTTCGGGTCATGTTTCGCCGACAGTTCCAGTTGCTGCACCGATGGATGTCGATCCGCAGCCTAATCCGGCTCCTTCACAGCCTTCATATGAACCGTTCAACTCTAACTGGATGGATATGGAAGACTGGATGAGTGGCTTGGGCGACACTGTCAACGTCGGTAATGGTGGAGACAGAGGCATGGGTATAGGCATGATGGACTTTGAAGCTGATTTCACGGAGGACGATTTCAGTTTTTTTGATGATAAGCCTCCTCCTCCCATGCCTGCCGTGACGGGTTTGACTCCGGCCGCGCCACTAGAGGAACCACACTGGGAGATCGAACCAACGCCAGATATCGGCACTGGTTTACCATCTCCACCGGCAGAGTCCGTGTTAAACTTTCGAGTCGATGATATAAAAGTGCAGATGAAGGTTGATACTGCTGGTGGTCTATGGGATGCGATTCCTTTCGCAGACAGCTACCGCGCGACGGACGGCAAGTATAACATGGGTAAATTCTCTTCTTCCCCGGGCCGAGCGGAAGGATGGCGGAAACGGTACGAGAAAGTTACCGATCCTCGGCTGGGCGTTGTGAAAAGGCTAGCTTTGAGGAGAGCAAAGAGCGTCGATGAGCCCGAGAGAGATGACTGGGAAGCAGAGTGGCGGGAGGGAAATCCGGAACCGGAAGAGGATTCGGATGGAGTGGATGACAGTGATGAAGACATGGAGAGCGGCGGAGAGGAAGAGAGTGTGGATGAAACCGAGGGAGAAAGGCCTTGTACTCCGTTGCCTGCATGGATACCGATGGGACCTGCCCTGCTTCCTATGCACTTTCGGCACGAGGTCATGCTTCCACTCAGCGCTCCCTTGAGGTCTGGTGTTGTCGGTGGCAGCAGTGGCGTAGGCGCAGGCGTATCGTCTGTTCCAACTCCTGTATCCCCTGGTAGGGTCGGGAAAGGAAAGTCGTTGCAAGCTGCTGCCGAGAGTTTAGGGAAAGAGATTGTTGAAAACAGCGTTTGGGCAGCAGTATGGGACGGAGTGAATGCAAAAGGGAATTCTGGAGGCATCGGCAGAATTCTTTGGGAGAAAGACGTCCAGGTCGTTAGTCGTTTGTTTTCATCTGTGCAAGATATCAACGCTCCGGTACAGCTGGAAAAACTGTTTGGGTTAGGTAAGTTGTGTGCGCTTTTCAGGTTACGCTGGAAGCTTATTGTGAACAGCAGGATCGTCTGGTACAAGCAACGGGTCGGAATCGAGATTGGAGAAACTCGAAGCGCCCATGTTATTGGTGGGGAAAGGGGATGCTGTGATACAGGTATCACCGCCTGCATTGCGATTCTGGGATAAGCTAGGCCTGGGACCTAGAAGTGGCAAAAAAGACATTCAAGCATTCGTTGTATTTGACAGTACTCAAGAACAGATGTCTGACAAGGTCAGCGAGTGGTTGATCAATTTCAGGACCATTTATGAGGTAAAGTATAATTGACTATACGTGCAGCACAGTCTCATTGGTTTTTTGTCAGGGAAAACATTTTGGTAAGGTTTTGTTAGGCCAAAGTCAGTTCTGCGAACAGGACATGAATGGTGTTGTGCCAATCCGCTACGACTCGGCTCTGCGGAAAACTTTGGGTAGGTGAATTCATATTGATGCTTTTCGTTTCCTTGACTTTCTATTTAGATGCATTTATCGCTGGATCGTCCCCTCCACCTCCCAGGACAAGCATTGTCGTCTTCATCGTTACTTCCATAACGACGATGACCTTACTCTCTCATACCCTGCGCCAACTTTTCTCCATCGTGCGCAAGGCTTCTGCTTCCCATCCTCAAATGCTCTTCCACTTCATACCAGAACAAACACTCTATTCCGAATTCAAACATCTACTTCGAGGACCTGTGCAGTTCGGTGTACGACCGTATACTAGTTCCTGTTGTTCGATCTATGTCAAGGAAGTTATCCTCAGCGGGAGAGGTGACGAAATTTCTAGAGGACCCTGCATTTGTTCTCGCAAGGACGCCCGAGGAATCCAAGGTAGTCTACAGTGGCCCCAAAGCAGATGCTACTGCCATGATCTTAGGAGTCATGGACAAGGGTACCTTTCTGCATGTGGGATACGGGCTAAGCGAATGCGGAAAGTGGATTTTTGCGTCATGTAATGATCAAAGAGGTGATGGACATGATCTCGGAGTGTGGCTGACGAGCAAGGGAGGAGGTGAAGCTAACGAGGGTGAAGACGAGATGACTTTTTTGGTCCATAAAGTGTGGGACTTCACTGCACGTTTCGCCAAGAAGGCGAATATAGAGTGGAGAATCGTCATTGCTAAACTGGGCTCCATGGGAGAGGCTGAATTAGATGGTAAATGCATACTGGCTATTAAGAACTTTTACTGACAGTTGCTTTCTAGCATGGACAAGATATCTCGAAACCGATACAGAAATGGGCCCGGTTCACGTGTCCGTTGTCGCTGTAGAGCCTTCGACGCCTTGGATGTTCACTTCTCGCCCCGAATTTGACACACCCAAGTCTGTGCCTCCTTCGTTAAAAAGTGTCGGTCGTTCAGCATCTGTCTCATCCTCGAAGCCCTCCAAACACAACTCACACCCTGTTTTCGTTGACATCGCATTTAGCACGTACGCTTTGTTCCAACAATCCCCACTTCCCGTCTCCGTTCCCCCGACTCTTGGCGATCTGGGTTTGGATCTTGGATATATCCCAGACCCTTCGCCGTGGCATAGTGGGGAGGAGACCCATCCTCAGAGCCCTTCTATCGAACACGACCATAGCAATCTCCCCCACGTGTTGCCCCTTATTCCACATGCGAGCGCGACACTCATTCGGGTACCTTCTACGACTGTCGCTACCACGACCATGCTACATATTCATTTGTTGCACGTGATTCGCTCAGTAGGATGTTCGTACCCTGCGTCAGACTACAACCAGCTATTCCGCGATATCACTCATTCGTACTATGCTCTTTCAGTCCTTTCTTCATTGAAATGGCGCATGAAAAGTGCCAATCCGATTCTGCCTTCTCATCTGGGTGCTGTGGAAGCAATGAGAACAGCAGTTATGTCCGGCGGTTCTGTGGACACGCCTGAATGACGGTTTATCTTGTTTCTGTTTATTCGTTCTGCGCATTTGTTGTCGTCATACCTTGTCGCATATAACCCCTGTTGTAACTGCTCATTTGCATATCTAGACGCTACATATCATTTCTGTACAACACACGTCGTCATTCACTCTTGTATAATACTTTCTTACCTTACGCTGTCATATGTCTTTTGCTTGACCTCCCACAAATGGAACTAATTTATGGAGGAATCTCTGCAATAAAAATTTGATAGGCACTTTCTGATGCTTTAATCATAATTCATCATATGTGCCATGTTCAAGGCCTTGAGTCCACCTGGACTTAAACATATCACCACAAAGGAAAATGTAGATATCTGGTCATATGTATCAAAGGAAAACCATTCATTCCCGTTACACAAGTACTACAAGGTCCCGCCATTCTAACTTTTCAGCTAATCAAATCCCTGAGTTGTGATTAGGAAGGCAGGTCAGCGCATCGATTGCCTGTCCCCTTCAAGCTGGGGGCGGTTGAGGTTGCTTAAATTAAATACAGTTAACTGAAGGGAACTTGGTCCAAGGAATTAGCCGTATTGATCCCTTTCCTTCACTCGTCAATAAGCAGGCAAACCGTTCTGGAATACGGTTGACCGTTGGGATTGCGCGTCGACGATGCGCAATTTTCTCTCGAGTCTTCGCTATGGCTCAGTCAACTTCGTCGCCTGTCTAGTGCGTACATGTGTGCATCGATGTCTTTACAAACTTCACCAGTGAATCTCCTCGCGAGTATATCCATGATATTGTATGAAGAAGGAAGAACTTGGGAGGGTCCTGCGCTGCAGCACTTCATAAGACGCACCATTGGGTACCACGAGCGGCTCCTCGAAATCTACTCTATCCCCTCATAGTATCAATGTCCAATCGTTTTCCTTCATATGTTCGCTACTTTTTATCCGATCCGGTCCCTAGACTTTTCAACGAGTGATTGGGCTGTTTTCAGAAACATATGACCGGATAGTCGCGCCTTAGATTTATTATCAATAATTCGTTTATTGTTCGAGTGTTTTTTGACGAAAAATGCTCATCTGACGAAGGAAGAGACAAGAGACAAAGGGCGTGGGAAAATCTTAATATTTCTTCCTTTCAGTTTCCGCCATGACTTCGCCGCGCCCCCCAACGAACTCGAACCCCTTGTCGTCGTCCACCGCCGCGATGGCGCGCGTCGACACCCAGACAACCGTCCTTGACACTGCCCATGGTCGGATTCTCTGCATTGCAGACATTCGGGGCCGTCTTTCGGCCCTCAATGACCTTGCTCGCGAGAATCAGGCCATTGCCATCATTCACACCGGCGACTTTGGTTTCTTCGAGGCCACAAGTCTCGACAGAATCAACGATAGGACGTTGCGGCATCTTACTACCTACTCCCCTTTGATTCCCGCTCCCCAGCGTAGCCACTTAACCAACAATAACAACCCATCATCTCTTCTCCGTTCGACAGTTACCGTGTCACTCCTCTCGGAATTCCCTCTTCTTCTTGCCGGTCAAATACAGCTCTCCGTTCCAGTATATACCACCTGGGGCGCATGTGAGGACGTGCTTGTACTCGAAAAGATACGTCTTGGCACCTATTCCGTCCCCAATTTGCATGTACTTGACGAGGCCACCACCCGTTGCATCGATGTCGGTGGCGTCAAGTTACGTCTTCTTGCACTTGGCGGTGCTCTTGTGCCGCACAAAATGTTTGATAATGGAGAAGGAAATGCTACTATTGCAGGTGGACAGGGTACAATGTGGACAACAGCTTTGCAAATCGGACAGCTTGTTGACACAGCTCAGCGCGTCTTTGACCCGACAGAAACTCGTCTGCTTGTTTCTCACGCGAGTCCTGGACGTGAAGGTATCCTCGCTCAGCTGGCGCTCGTTCTCAGGGCAGATCTGACCATCTCTGCCGGATTGCACTTCCGTTACGCCACTTCCTACAATGAGTTCAGCATCCAGCCAGACTTTGAAGCTTTCCGGAGCAAGCTAACAAGTGGCAAGGAGCAGTTCGACAAGGTCTGGGAGAATGTCAAGACACAGGTTGACGCTGTCATCGATGTCAACCAACGTGTTCTTCTGGATAAGGCCCTTAGCGTCGCGGAGAAGATCCCGCTCCCACTCCAGGCCACTGAAGAGGCCGCCTGGAAGAATTGTTGGAATTGGAATTTGTGCGATGCCGCATACGGTGCCTTGATCCTGGACATCAAGGACGGCCGGGTCAGTGCAGAGTTGAAGAGTCAAGGTAAGGGCCTCTGATTCTTCATCCTTGCCACTCATTAACCTTTGCAGGCTTCAACTATGCATATAGACGCGTTGCGCCTACGCCTACGTCTGCGGTATCTTCTCTCCCTCACCCCAACCCTGTCAGCAGCCAGCCGCCAACGAAAGCAGCGACCCCTGTCCCGCCTGCGAATAAGTCCACTCCACCTCCGCCTCAACCCCAGTCTCAAGCCAAAAGCGAGGTTGAGCTGGCAACGGCAACGGCAGCGAGTCCAGTGGCTGATTCAAAACCTGACAAAAAGAAGAAGGAGAAACGGGAACGAAAAGACAAAGAAAAAGAAAGAGACAAGTCTTCAGCTGCATCTCCTGTTCCGGCATCCCCTGCACCACCACCACCGAAAATGGCGTCTCCGGCTCCTCCAAAACCTTCAACACCTGCACCGAACGACGATATCATCAAGTCTCCGGCAACAGAATCCTCGGGTGCTCGCACACCACAACGAAACAAGCCTCAACGCAACCCTTGGACAATATTTATGCGCTTGACCATACCTGCTACTGACGCCGAAGTGAGAGACTTCTTTGGTGATGCCAAAGACGGTGTACGTTCAACAGGAGTTTGATCTTTACCCCTTGATCTTGACATCTTGCATTTCAGATCACTCGCATAACGTTCCCAGTGGGCAAGTTCAATAACAGGATGCAAAAGATTGCCTACATCGAATTTGGGGACGAAGATGCTATGAAGGCCGGCTTGGAGAAGCATGCGGAGGTGAGCTAGCTTGACTGATATGCGAGGCAATTCTCATGGGAATCCAACAGAAACTGAAGGATACCGTACCTGAGGTCAAGCAGGCAACGGACAAAGAGACGCGCCAGAGCGAAAGCGCATCTCATCGGGGACGGGGAAGCGGAGGACGAGGCAGAGGTGGAGGCTTTGCGGCCCGAGGTTTTGCTGCTGCCGGGCTGACCAGACGCGACAGTGAGAAGAAGCCGGAGGATAAGGCGGAGTAAGGGTCACCCCATTTATTATTTGTTTATTTCGTCGGATGCTCTCGTTCTACTGTATTTGCTTGGTGCCATCGTATAATATGTCTCCTCCTCCTTCTATCTCCATACTGTTCTTTGGATTCGCTTGATACCTGGTTTCATATGTTTTCTTCGGCTACCATCATCCCCTACGTACAGTAAGTAGTTTTTTTTTTTTTGATGTTGTCGTTTCTTTGCATGCTAAGGTATGGTGTTATGCAACGTGGAACTTTGCTGTGGACGCTCAAAAAATCGTTCGCGTGTGACGAAAGTAAATAATTAAGGATTTTCCATCTCAAAAGTATGATGCATGTAGTAGTAGCGTAACGGCCCGTGATCCCCGAAGATAGATTTCGAGATTTCATAGACCCTAGTTTAGGGTTTTGACGGTGACCATCATGCACCCGTCAGCCAGCACGGAATCCTCTCATCGTCTACCACGTCCCCCATCTAGCGCGTCCCGACGTCAACCACCGAGCCGACCAACGTCGAGCCTATCAACACGACCTCCTACTAGTGCAAGCACTGTCGTTCCGCGCCCTGCTTCCAGCGCGTCTGTTCGGCCCCATTCTCGTCTCACGCAGCGTCCACAATCACGACTTGCTCGTGCGAACCATCAGCGGCTTACCGGGCTATGTGAGGATCTCGTACGAGGAATCATTGGCAATACAGATCAAGACGAGTTCAGGGAACAAGTCGCGTATGCAACGCGCTCATTGAGTGCCGAAGGCATGACTCTCAATAAAGTCGGTATTGTTCTTGGTGAGACGGAAGTGGATAGGATGATTCGTGGGTCGGAATGGTTCATCGTCTTGCAGGCTTGTTTCTAAATGTTTTTTTCAGACATATCCAGAAAGCGCGAATTCAGTCCCGAGACGCTCTTGCGGACGCTCTTCAAGCGTCACACAAGCTGCTGAAGGTGCAGATAGAGAAGGAACATGACTTGGATCAAGAAATAAAGGTACGACGCCTGCGTCTACGTTGGCGACTGAGATTTAACTGCGAGGCAGTCTGTCCATGTACCTGCACACCTTCAATTACTGGTAAGGTATTACCAGAATATTTATATGCATCTGTTGAAATCCTTTCAGCTCGCTCTAGCTAGTCCACCCACTGAAGGAACCCTCGCTCATGCGTCAGCATACCTTACTTCACTAACGGAGACTCCAAAAGAGCCCGAAACTTTAACATGGAAGAAAATCCTCGAGGAAGAACCCTTTGAAGGCGAGCATTGGGAAGGTGTTTACGGTTTGCCACCGGGTAGCATCAAGAATTGGCGTGAACCCGATTCACAAAGCGATGTTTCCTCGGTGTTGTCGCTGGACTCGGAAGACTTGGACCTCGATGATTCGTCAGAGTCGCTGCCTACTCCTCCTCGATCGCCTTCTCCTTTGCCGACTGTTGATAAGCCTACGCACCATGTACGCGTGTCAATATCTCATCGTAAAGAGGTGGAGGATCTGCAGTCACGACAGTACTGGCGAACTGAGTGGAAGATGCCAATTGAAGGGACCAAAACAAGGTTTGATATAGGTGATGCGAGTACTTTAGGTATGTTGTCGCTTCTTCTGTTGCTCATGAAGGTTCTCACACGAGAGCAGGGCCTACATTACAGAATGTCCTAGGCCGAGATGGGCTAGGCCTACCGACAGAGTTAACGCATATTCAAGACGTGAGTAACTGGTCTTTAAGTCTTCTTCTGCATTTATTCATTCAAACAGCGATATATCTATGAGCATGATGCTATACGAGAGATCCTATTTGCGTTGCAAGGTCGCAACAACATAATGCTTCAGTGGCGACATGGAGAGTACCGAACATCTGTTACTCCCCGGCTTCTCCACTTGTCTCTAGCATCTCAGGCGTCGATTTTAACGACTCTGGCGCGCCCATGCACTGCTATTCAGCATCTTCGTGACTTCATAAGTCATGTCTTCCAGACACCTGGAGGTTCAAAGTCGAAAACACGAACGCTTGAAGCTTTCGCCGATGCTTTGGATTCAGAGATACGCATGTGGGATGCTTGGTGCGCTAGCAAGGAAGAGGCGATATGCAAGGCAACGAACGGCGTGGGCTCTGATGATGGCTTGGTTGTAAGCTTGCTCTCCCTAGAAATGCAAATTCGAGACACATTTGGCGGGTCGTTCTTCGTCTTGCTAGACGTAGTGCGAACGGTATTTGGAGATGACTATTCCGCCAAGGCTTCACCGTCGACGGTAACAGCATCATTGTTGGACCATCTCTTCGTAGCGATACAGAAACACTTAGAGAGAGGTGAACGGATAGCGGCCGGCGTGGTCATGAGGGTGTTCATCAGGAGTGCAGAGCCATTATGGGGAATGGTGGGACGATGGCTAAAGGATGGCATGGGCGTGGGCGATGCCGATGATTTGGATGATGAATTCTTCATCGAAAGTAACGGGCTCGGATCGGGAGCATTTGGTGTAGGGCTGTTGGACCCGGATTATTGGGCTGATGGGTATACATTGAGGTATGAAGATGAAGAAGACGGCAGTAGGAAAGGTATACCAACGTTCTTCCGGCACATTGCTGAGCCTGTTCTGAGATCTGGTAAGGCTGTGGGGCTGTTGAAGGCCCTTGGTATCAATACAGCTCAGGATCAATCCGTTCAGTGGAAATGGCGACCTCTTGCTGCACTTGTGGCAAATGAGACAGGACAGGACGAAGCACAGGGACTATTCTCAGTGTCCATCGACATCTTGTCCAGTCTTATCCATGATGAGCTTGCGCCTTATTGCTTTATGACAGGATCTTGGCTATCCAACGCTGTAGTGGAGGAGTGCGATCTTTGGAGACACTTGGGAACCATCGAAAATCTTTTTTTGATGATGAAAGGCGATGCTATGAGCCATTTTTGTGATGGACTTTACGCCAAGGTCTGTGCCTCTGTCTATTGTCGTTAAGGGTAAGTGTTTGATCCTCGTCTTTTTTTAGATGGACACTCAACAGCATTGGAATGACTTCCACTTCCTCAATGCTACCTTTAACGATGTGGTAGAAGCTGGGACTCACGTTGGTGCGAAAGAGTGGGTTCAACTGTCACTGGTACGATTTTCGTACCGTGGTAGCCGGGAAAAGGTTGCTGCAAAGACAGTAAGAGTCCTTGACGGTCTTCTCTTGGAATACGCGGTGCCATTCCCGTTGACGTACATCTTCACGCCTAGAACCCTTCAGGTGTATGGGGAAATATTCGTCTTTCTTTTGCAGATCAAACGGGCAAAGAACGTGCTTGAGAGGATTCTCGTGCGTGGCGATGATAGGAAAGTGGGGAATGAGCTCAAGACTTTCTATGCAATACGAAGTCGACTGAGTTGGTTTGTGAAGTAAGCGCTCCTTTGTTTATGCCACAACGTAAGTTCGCTGACGTGACTAACAAAAGCACCCTTCTCGATTTCGTGACAACCTACGTACGTTCCGTTTACAGTGTTCTCCTTATAATTCCTTTAACGATGTTACGGTATACAGGTCATTCACGTTCAAATTCTCAAGTTCCATGAGGCAATACGCGCTGCAAAATCGATGGACGAGATGATACGTTTACATGACGAGCAGTACGTTGCATCGCAATGAGAAACAGCCATTGAATTTACACACACACACCCGCCAGTCTGGATAAATTGCAAGGGCGATGCCTATTGCAGGGCAATGTCTGTATTGCGGTTCTCAATTGCTGCCGAAGCTAACATCTCCATAGACAACAGCACTTCATCGCACGATCATATCTATATTGGACATGTCCCTACACTTCAGTGATATGTTTGTAGCCTTCGCAGGAGACACTACCACACATGATATCTCACGACATTCCCTTATCACGAAGCGTCGACGAACACGAGGACAGAAGCGAGCACGCAGAGATGTCATCGGCTTTTCCCAGTTTATGGAAGATGATAGTGACAGTTCTGATTCTGACGAGGAATTCGAGGCTTTCGTGGCACCAGAGTCATCCTTTTCTGTTGGAGCCTTCCACGATGTCTTCTTCAATGGATGATGGGGCGGTACGACTGGATAAGATGTCCTCAGAGCTGGATGCCCTTGTGCGCTTTGTGCGAAGAGGAGCTGAGAGCCTTGCGGGAGGGACAGGAGAGGCTGCAGCCACGTTCGGTGTCATCGCATTCACTCTAGAAGACTGGGACATCTAATTATTCCAAGAATCAAGGTCACATAATACAACAGCATGGTAAGAAACTAAACGATAACGCAACTTTGAATGTCTAACGATCTATTACAGACTTAGCACCATGGTTGTCAACCCGACGGTTTATGCCTCCAATGAGCGCCTTGATGAGATATTCTCCAGTTAGTTGTCCATGGTGCTCAGTCGTATCAACCATGTCCTATGAATATATCCGATCAGCGGACGCTATAGCGCTTAGAACAAGGAGAAACTCACCCGAATGCCATACTGATTACGAAGGTCGTCGTCTAGCTCCCTTAAGTATCGAGCAGATTTGCTCGAATTACCGATCTGAATGAACTGTATACCGACCTGTTCATAATTTGAGGCATGATTATCGCAGAGACATGACCGTCATACCTGCGTCTGAGGGAAATACCCTCTGTCGAGACGTTGCGCCACAGATGCGATGACCGTGGCGGGATCATCCGCTGGCGTACGATGGTGAATTAGTAAGGAAAGTTCACAACTACATCTATGAGACGCTTACTAGCTTGGCCGTCGGTTATGACGATGTAATTTCTATGTTTAATCTGCTTCAACTCCTCATAAGTCTTGGACTCAAGGAGATGAAGGTAATCTCCCAATAGATCATCTAACCTCCCTCCTATGGGTGTGACACCTTTGGGACGAACAGACGACAAAAGTGTTCTGACCTCCTCGTCAGTCTGAAGGCGGAAGTTACAATATTGCTTCAGCATAATGTAGTCTCAAAGAATCACCTTGATGTTTCTTCCGGACTGGGGGCTATTCAGGAAATAGATATCTATGCCGTCATCGTCATATCTACCAGCCATGTTTGCCAGGGCTGATAAAGCCTCTGTAGCCTGAAATCGACCTTTAAATGTGTTCCCCCCTACTCAAATATCACGTACTTCAGTCCAAGAAGGACCATACATTGAACTGGAATCATCTAGCACAATGACGGTATCAAACTTCCGCAACATTTCAAGAGCATCTTCAAGAGATTTTTGTCGATAGGGAGTACGGAAATCTACGTTATGCGTGTCAGAGAATAGAACAAGGTCAAAACCAATGAGACGTGCTGATACTTCTTCGGTTGGCCGATGCTATTGCATGATAAGATTCAATAAACAGACACACTGTTGAAGAGAAGAAACGTACTTCTTGAAGGAGAAGATGGCCGTGATGAGCCTGAGGTACGCCGCTGGCCTGCAAGTTGATATGGATGACTGAGACTCAAATTCGAACTTGAATGACTTGGAGTCAAAAATTGAGCATGCGACCGAGGTGGCGTACGTGAATATGGCGGAGGCGGAGGGATATCTTCAAGGTCAGTACGGTGAACTGCAGCACTTGCAGATCTGCTCCTTCTACGACCAGAATTCGATGCTACGTGCACTGGATCACGGCTTCTGTGTACATCGGTGTCGTCCGCATGAACTTGGAGATTAAACTTGGGTGGGAGATCAGTGTCTCTGTATCTTGTAGAGGACGAAGACGAATTTCCCATTTCTGCGGAAGATTGGAGTGCTGGCTATGTGGTTGATGTGGGTGAAGGTGATGGTACTAACCGGAACGTAAAATCGACCCCGCTCTAAATAATATAAGAATTCGGCGCCAAATATAGAAATGCGGTGTCATCCGAGATCTGTCATACAAGTAAAGGAACCTTTCGAGACCTACATACAGCAAATAACCCAAAACTCTTTTGTTCCTGTAGCGAGGCTCTACAGTAGTAGTTCATGTGGATGCGCCATTAGAACGTCTATACTCTATATAATCATTGCAGAATGTATCTATCCAAGACTGCAAGAGCGCCAAGTGGCTCCGAAGAAACTGGAAATGGTGAGCACTGCTGTGCAGGTCATAGCTGCCGATCAGGGTGCACGATGAGTGGCTTAATTGATTAAGAGGAAGGAAGAAAGCTCACGCGGAAAAGGAACGAAAGCTGCAACTATTAGCCAAGATAATCGACACAAGGTAGAAAAAACTTACATCGGCGGGGGTTAACCTTCCCATAGCCTAGGAGAATTCGTTGAATCAGTAGCGGAGCTGTAGATCAGTAGAAAACAGCTTACAGAGTCGTCCGGTGATAGGGTTGCGTCGACCATAGCCGATTTTTTCTCTTGAAGCTAGGAAAAGTTGTCATCGCCGCACTTCTCGCTTAGAGTAACGGCACACCGCACCTGGACAATCCGGCTCTCAATGCTATCCTCAACTACTAATTTGATTGCTTTCACCGGCCGGTGTTGTCCTAAACGATGGATCCGATCCATGGCCTCTGTGTCGGGCTTTGTAAGATGCGTCTACGGATATAAATACCGGGAAAACTTACGGTACTCAACCTGTTTCATGTCAGTTTATTAAGACTGGAAGATGAAGGGGCTGTTACTTACAGCCGGGTTCCACCAACTATCCATAAGGTATACTCGAGAAGCTTCTGTGAGGTTTAGAGCCACACCTCCAGCCTTCAAGCTGACAAGGAACACGGTCACATCAACATTATTCACTACATAATAACAGTCATGAGACTCGTCCAAGCGATATGGACTTCCAAGACTTACTAAAGTGTTTAATGGTGGCATCACGGGCCTGTGGACTCATGGTCCCTTCAAGGCGACAAATCTGTGGCACATGATGAGGAGATAAGTGCTGTCAAGCAAGTATAAACTCACTGTAAACCCAGCCTTCTGGAGTCTGAAAGCGATAAGATCAAGGAAATTTACAAACTGGCTGAAAACGAGGCTCTTCGTCGTGGAATCCTGCATACGCAAATTGCTCAACTCTTCTACGAGTGCTTCAATTTTTGTGGAGGAACGCCAAGTGTCAATGTTAAGCCGGCCAAGAATTCCTTGTCGCGCTTGGGCTTGTTCTTCTCCCAGCTCTAGGGCAGGCGCCTCCAGATCGATGGTCAAGACCAGATGACATACGGGGCATGCCGGCTAGAGCACAATATGAGCGAAAGCACCGGAAACGCCAAGTCAACACTTGCATTTTGTTCAACAGCTGTGTTCAGATACTGCTTGATACATTCCCGGTCGAAGATGTGCCGACACTTGGACTGAATGGCGTCTTCGGCAATGTCATTACAAAGTCGGCAAACGGTGGCCTCGCCCTCAGCTTCTTGTATGAATTTATTAGCATTGGTTTTGCTCCGAATGACAAGATCCGGATGACAAGCCATTTGCCGCATACGAGTAAGCCTTGATAAGAGACCAGGTAAGTGTCAGCTGGTCCAGAAGATAGGCGCGCGCTTACAAGCTGAAGATATTCGAATAATCTGCACGAGAGTGAGCACCAACTACAAGACAATGATCTCAACGAATACCTACTATTTAGAATGGTTCCTTGATCCAGGTATGTATTGAACTGTCTCTTGGCATCTGAGAACAGGGATGTATAGAGCTCTTTCTCCTCCGGACTGAAATAGTCTCGACGGATAATCACGGTACGAGGGGGTAAGCCAAGGTCGTCGGCGCGTTGAAGCTATAGATGCTCGGTCAATTTTGCGACGAAGAGGGAGATAGACGAGTGAATCTTACCTTGGTCCTACGCAGCATCATACGGTCCAACAGTATCTTGAGCTTCTTGAAGGCCGGTTTTCCTGGTCCTTGCATCCCATGCTTCTGGATAGGGGTCAAGATTTCGTTGTTCCAGAAACAAGTCTGATAAAGATTATTGTGAGGGGCCATTGTTCATTGTCAAGCATTTATGCACCTACATGTTGCATTGGGCTATGTCCGCAGTCTGTACTAAAGCATCAGCAGTGCGGGAGAGGAAGCAGCGAATCGAGATTACCGTCACAAGTGCGCTTGTCTGTGAATCGCCAGTGCAGTGATTTGCACGGACATCGTTTACCTAGCAAAGGATCATCAGGATGACAGATGCGAGAAACGCAGGAGCCTTACAGAAGTAGTAGGAGAATGGATCGCCACCCAAGAATCGAACGAGACTGTATAGCTCTCCAACACGATTTTGTAGCGGGGTCCCGGAGAGACACCAGCGGTAGTTACCCTGTAATTCAAAGGCGGCCTTGGCGGTATTGGTCGCGCGTTCTTTGATATTGTGTGCCTCGTCCAACTACGAAATTTATTTCCTACCTATTGAAACAAGATAGCCACTCACGATGATTCGGTTCCACTGTATTTGATGTACCGGCGACTTTTCAGTAATGAGCATTTTACGTTCACCCTTTTTACGCTCGAAGCCTTTCTCTTGCTTTCGGAAAGAGCTAGTCTACAAATTCAGAACCAAATATTTAGAGCAAAACTGAGAAGACAAACCTCTCTAGGACTGCGTAGGTACTTAAAACCTATGCAGCCATTAAGAACGCGAACAGCCACATATTGCGGGTACCTTACCACGTCATACTTCTTGAGTTCTTTGACATCAGATTCTCGAGCCTGGCCATGCCAAATAAGAACTTTCATGCCGTCGGTATGAGCTTCGATTTCGTTCTTCCACTGCATGATTGCAACGGTCGGGCTATCGGGAGAGCCTGTAAATATATCAAGTTACGGCTACCAGATGGACACATACGCGATGACGAGATTTGGTTTCTTTTTATCAGAAACCAGAAGGGCGATGATTTGAATAGTCTTTCCCATTCCCATTTCGTCCTGTATAGGAATACCATAAGCTGCGCAGCCCGCGAAGAGCAACAGTAGACCTACGGCAAGCATACCACCATGCCATACACCTTGCTCTTGCTGTTTCATCCAATACAGACTCTCCCGTTGGAATGGCAGTAGGGTGAGCTTTATGCCCTCAGGCTGTTCGGCCTTAACGGGCACGACAATAGGTATAGATTCCTCCAAATTCCCCCAGACATTGCGAAGCTCCTCGTGATAGAAGTGTAAGGCGATGGTCGATTTTTCCGCCTAAGAACGGATATCAGAGATGAGTAAATTGAGTAGATGATATACTGACATAGGTAAGCCTCCTGCCCAAACGTTTTCGCATTGCCTTTTCTTCCAATCGCGTGGCCTTAGTCTCCTCAAGGTTTTTGTTTTTCGCCTCTCTGCGGAGCCTCCGTAGTTCTGCGAAGGTCATAATTTTAGGGGGGTCCACGGAAGCCTTGCCTTTGCCTTTGCCCTTGGCTTTCCCTTTGCCTCTCCGTGAAAGTGGTTCGTCTTCTGACTCAGAAGAGAGTTGGCCAGTAGACTCCATAACCGAGTCATCGACATCGATGCTCCTGTTTGCACGAGCAAGTCGGTGTTCAGCCGCAGCAGCACGAAGAGCAGCTGGCGACATTGGCGTAGAAGAGGACTCTCTCGCAGTCCTCGCGATTTGCATTGAGTGAGTTACGAACAGCGAGTTGCAACATAAGTGCTTCTTCATCCTCAGAGTCGGAAGTCCACGCCTGTCATACACCTCAGTCGGCCAGGGCCGACAGAGCCTTCAAACGCCGATTCATCGTCTGAAGCAACGAACTCAGATCCGCTGGTATCAGACTCATCGAGAGATTGGTCTTCGTCATATTCTAAAGCGCTGTTTTGGTCGTCATCACTGAACGGCTGTCGCTTTGGGTCGCACGGGGGCCTTGCCCTTGTTCTTGCTCTTCACTGGAGACTCGGCCTAGTAATACTCGGCGTGAAGATCATTATGGCAGAAGAAAAAGGCTTACAGCTGCGTTCTCCTTTGCTTTTGCTGCTCGTGCAGGCACCTCGACGTAGACACGATTTCCTCCTACTGCACGGCGTTTGGGCGCCTGCTTGCCTCTTCGGCTTGGTTTTTCGCTTGTTTCACTATCGAAATCTTCACTTTCAGCCTTACGCTTCGACGATGCTCTTGAAGATCTTGCTCTCGTTGTAGCGACCTTGATTTCTTCCGCCTCCTGATCTCCATCAGAGGTCGGGAGGAGTGTCTGCCAAGGACGTTCTTGCACTGAAAGTGGGAGATGGATTTGTGGTAGTCGGCGTGGACGAAGCTGCCTGCTGCTTGCGTGCCGACTGTCGAGTAACACGGGCCATGTCGATGTCTCTCAGATGAGCTGAGAACAAGGGTGGTGGATTGCAATTTTCACGTTCCGCCGGGTCCGATTGTCACAGCAACCTTATTAATTAGGTGACGTGATCACGTGCCACGTCACGTCGTGGCGAAACAGCGGAAATGGCGGGACCGGCCGTCGACAACATTTTATCGAGCACGTAGTATCTACAATATACATCGTGGTACACGAAGTGAAAAGAAAAGGGTGGAAAACCAGATACGGAGCTGTAATGGCTGGGTTACCATCACCTAGAAAAAAAAATGAAGAAAATAATACACACCTTAAAAATGATGGCCAGAATGATGGCCTACATGTGCATGCGAATGAGGGTGAACCGCCGTCTGTGAGTGATTGCCATAGCTGTTGCTATGATGGTATGAATGCCCCGGCGGGCTTACAGGGACATTATGATGAGGTGTGTATTGACCGGCGTATGGATGTGCGCTGTGATGTGAAGGGGAGGCTGACTGCTGTGAGGGACCCCCTGAATTAGAAAACGAGAACGGATTCTGTTGTTGTTGCTGCTGCTGTTGCTGTTGCTGCATGGCGCTGGCCATCTGCTGTGGCTGTTGTTGCTGTTGTTGTAGCGCCTGCGTCATTTGCATCGTCGATTGCTGCTGTTGTTGCTGCATCTGCATGATGTCTTGCATAGGATTATACGCCTGCTGCTGCTGAGACATACTCATCTCCTGCAGTTGCTGCATATTCGCGTTCATTGCATCTTGGTAGTTCGTTTGAGCCTGTTGGGTAATGGCCTGTAGCTGTGCTTGATAGTCAACAGCGGGTACCGCCGCGGGCTGATAGCTTTGATTTTGGAGGTTCGTAAGTTCGTTAATGATGGACTGATAATCGACGCCAGGCGCCTGCTGAGGGACCTGTTGAGTGATAGCATCAATGATGGATTGGTAGTCGGCTCCTGATTGACCCTGCAGAACACCCTGTAGCTGCGAAATATCAAATGCTCCAAGTGCATCTCCAATGTTGAGACCTTGAAAAATGGTCGAAAGACCATCCGAAGGCATCACCACTCAGTATTCCGCCTAGTAAGAGTGTTCAGGGCTGCACTACCAGCATATTTCAGTGCGGCTGTTCCGGCAATTTTCCCCACGTCAGTCAATAAGGATCTATTCCTGGTATCTGAAACCGTTGCAGGAGGTGGCAGAGTCGAAGTGCCTTGAAAAGAACCCGCTGTTGGTAGAGGAGTGGGGGGAAGGTGGGGAAGGTGTCTGTGAGTCTCCGGCGGGGACTGTGGGAACCGAGTTATTGTTGACGGTGATGAATGAGGCGGCGAAGGATTCGGGAAACTGGTGTTCACGGATGACGTTGGTGGCGAAGCAAGTTGAGGCATACTATTACTAGGATGTGCCGAAGTAGGTGCAGTCGGGTAATGTGTAATTGGAGATCGAGAGGGTATTGTAGGAGGTGAAGGTACATGAAGAGGTGGTGGTGGTGCAGATATGCTAGCTGGTGCTGTTCGGTAATGTGAAATAGGTGGTCGCGACGGTATCGCAGGAGGCGGAGGCGGCGAAGAGTTATGCTGTGGAGGATTTGATGGAGCTGCAGTAGGATTTGGTGTCGAATAACCCTTGCTCTGTCCACTGGACGCTGGATCTGGCCGACGTGCAACGAGAGACACTGTAGGAACATCCGTGGGACCTACAGTAGTGCCGGAAGGAGTGGGGTATGTGGACGCGCGTTGGTGACGGAAAGTTTCCGGAAGGAGCGGGGGAGCAGGCGGAGTCTGATGTGTTCGTACTCTGAGAGGAGCAGAACGGCCTGTGTCAGGAAGGGCTGCGTTTTGGGATTGAAGAGTTGCAGTCGGACGAGACGGCTCAGTAACATCTGGAGAACTTGATTGCTGATCACTATATTTCGGAGGAAGCGCGCTGGCATACAACTTCTGAGCAAAGCTCAAAGGTTTCTGTGGGGGAGAAGCAGCGGCCATGGCAGGAGGCGAAGGAGTTCGTGGCACGGATCTATTTTGCGACTGATACGAATCTTCGTCGTCCCTCTCAGTCTGAATATCAAACCTGTAAACATAAGAGTTGGCCCTAGTTAGCTCCCGAAAATCCTACACGCCTCAAACGTTACCAGACGTTTCCCCTTGAACAGATATAAGGAGACAAATTCCAGAAAGAAGAGACAGTTGTGCTCACTGTTCATCGTAATGGGGAACCCAACCTGGCGGCAGCGGTCTACCATTCAGACCATCCAGAGTGCTCATCGTACGTCTATACTGTATAGACGTGAGGAAAGCAAGGGGAAGGTATACATCTACCCGTCTTTCCGACCTTTATACCATGTCCATGAGGGCGAACTGTCAGTTTCCAGTTTGAAACTTGACGTGCAGGGTATATAGTGCCTGGATCCACTGCCACTGCCAACATGAACGCGTCTTATGATTTACTTACGCGTCCAACGACATAGCAATGCGCCCTTTTCAAAGAGGCAGTAGTCAAATTACAAGGAGATACAAACATTCAATCAATTAACCCTCCATCATCTCTTCAGGCGGCGCCCCTTGCCCTTGTTCTCTATCTTTCCGCACAGCTTGCACTACATCGTCTACGCGAAGCAACATACGAGCGGCCTATGATTAAGGGAGTTAGTATAGAAATAGGATATTTTGACCCATTCCTTACCTCAATGGCAGTCTTCAAAGTCTGAATCTGTCCAGAACGTCAGTATCACATTTCCGCTTTGGGGAGAGGTCTTACCTTGACACTTGCTGATTCGTACAATCCGTAAACCTTCATATCAACCGGTTTACCTGTATCACCGTTGACACCCCAGGAGTTTTCGCCACCCGCATGCTTAGCCTATGACAAGGATCATATCAGAAATGATCACGTTTGAATAACCTGAGATTGTACCCTCAGCTCAGTCAAAACTCGGATAGCGTTTCCGCCACTGTTCTGCACCAATGTTCGAGGAATAACTTCCATCGCATCAGCTACAGCTCTGAAGGGCCATCCCTCCACGCCCACAACGCTTCTTGCCTTAGCGTGCAGACCAACACTGATCGCCATCTCCGTTGCACCGCCACCTGGAGCGAGAAGAGGGTTGAACACGACATTCCGCGCGACTGACATAGCATCAGCGAGGTTCCGATCGATCTCGTTGAGAATGTCCTTTGATGGGCCACGAAGGAGTATCGTGCAAGCTTTGGGATTGTTGCACTCTGTCAAAAAAGTGAAGTATCTTGGAATGGAAATGAGATGCAGAAACATTGGATTAAGATACATACGTACTCATCACCAATCTTCTCAATGTTGAAAAGACCACAGCGGGTACCAACATCAGATTCCCGTAGATCCTCTGCTCGGTTAACAATGGTTGCACCAACGGCGAGAGCAATACGATTATTGTCCGATTTTCTCACCCGGCGAATGGCAGAGACATTGTGCTTCATAAAGAAGTGCTGGGCGATGTCTAGCATGAAGTGAGGACATACATTGGGAAGAAAGAAAGTCCTGTATACCTGAGACGCCCTTTTCTGTGATCACCAGATCCGGCTTGAATTCTAGGATCTTGTCGCACAGGAGCCGTATCTGCTCTTCTTCGATAGCCTGAGCTTTCTCCCAATCCTCAGCTTTGGAAAACTCCATGTTGGTTTGACTCTCGCCCTTCTTATACTCCAAGGGACAATCGAGGAGTATAATCCGGGGATTGACGATGCGTCTTCGCATGTTGGGATGTGTGATATCCTTGTTCAGCATAACACCGCTCAACACTCTGCTCTGCTCGATCTCTCCCCCGGGAACCTTCTCCACTCGCGCATAACGCTTGATGTCTACCGTTTTTAGGCCATTTTCTTCCTGGGCAACCGTTCGTACGGCCTGTAGGGCCAGTTTGCACATGAGATCAGACCAGCGCATGACAAATTTGGTGCCAATGGATGTTTTAATAAGTGCTAGCATTTCCTCATCGTTGGACGTGTCGATGGGGACCGATATTCGTTTGATGATTTCGAGCGCCTCTTTGAGGGCCTTGTTATATGCCGAGATGATGACGACAGGGTGGATGTTGCGTTCTAATTGTCCAAGAGACTGCGCAAGAATTTCTCCGGCTTAGAGATATCAGGAAACTTCAGAATGGAATAACGTAGTAGAGAACACACCAAGGATAATGACGCTCGTCGTTCCATCTCCACATTCTTCATCCTGAGTACGACTCAGCTCTATCATATTTTTCGCAGCTGGATGGGCGACATCAATTTCGCGAAGAATTGCATTGCCGTCATTTGTCAGTCTGTGAACAGTCCCATCAACGACAAAACGGCACGAAAACCAAAGAAGACAAACAATATGCCTCCCATAGGATCCAAGATCATTTTGAGCATAGCTTTTGGGCCGAGACACGTCCTAATAACATCTGCAACAGTCTTCAGAGATAATAAGAAGCCGTTGCACCGCGATACAGAAGTAATGTACAAACCTTGGCAGGCAGTGATATTTGAGATCTGAGCTTTTCGTCCTGACTGTCGTTCAGGCGCAGTATCTTAAGAATTGTGTCAAAACAGCAGAGCGAAGAAAGAGAAAAAAGCTCACTCATAACAAAAACAGGTGTTTGCCCAGACATCTTGTAGTATTAGCGTCCTGGAAGGCAAGACGAGAGAATAGGGATTTTCTAAGTTCAGCGTTAAGGATTTTGATGACTAATATACAGAGTAAATAATATTTGGAAATTATTATTCAATAAGAATTACTGGTGTTAACGTCCACTGTGCTGCCAAAGCCACTTCCGTTAAATTATCCTTGAAGAGGGGGTGAGAGAAGCTGCACGTACTATGTAACAGCCTCTCTCTGCGAACGAGAATCCAGAGGATTACGAATCCCCCCAAGAAGATCTCGAAGGATGAGAGATCAACAGTCGGAATCCTCTGGGATCCGACTTCCCCAACTATACATTAATAGATGCTAACCTAGACATGGATTCTTTTAAAGAGCGAAAGTTATCTAAAGAATCACCGATGAATAAAGGCAAGATCTCTTCAATACTTCGCCAATATCTGAGGAAAGCTTTTGATGACCATCGGCCTTGTTTCATGACCACCCAGGGGTCGACACCAGACAGGAGCAGGAAAGTCGCTCCACCAATCCGGAAACTGTGTCCTAGTACGGTCTGCAACCCTTCTGCTTCCCAAATGGAGTTGCAGCGAGTCATGAATTTTTTTCTGTCGAGTGCGGTCCACGCAGTCTCTCCCGAACGAAAGGCAAATAGCGGTGCATCGTCAGGGATATCGGAGTTGACATCGAGATGATGTTGAATCGCGCTCAAGGGATCAGTTGGGTCTGCAGCCGATGTCAAGGTGACCCAATCGCCTTGGTATTTTTTCGTTTTCGTGTAGGGAATAAAAATGCTAATCCAAGAATGATTGTTAGCGGCTGTTCCAGTTGTCCGTGGAGAACGGCGTAAAACGTTACGTGTTGGATCAAATTGAGAAGGTGACGCCAACAGAATCTCTCCGAGCCTCGTACAACCTTTCCATGCAGTCAACGCGGCAGCCCATACAGCGCAGTCGAAGGGGTCTGAGAGATCCAGATGCTTGTGTAAAGTATCAATATGTTTTTGAGTGACGGGTAATTTTGGTTCTTCGGGACAAGGATGGGGGGCGAGCGTATCAGCACCCTTTTTTGTTCGCAGTAGCATATCACCTCCTAACCACGGGGCATTGTTATACTCATGCCTAGCGAATAATTAACTGGGGGGGTTTCCTTGGTATTCAAGAATGCAAATACCATAGTTTAATCCCATCAATCCAAGTATCGATGGTAGACTTTTTAACTTTGCCTGCTCCCATTTCTGCGACAAAAATCGATAGCAACGTATCATCGGCAGGCATTCTTTTATCCTCCGGAATTCGAAACTTGTCGCAAAACTGAGTAAAGCGCAGGAGACCAGCGCCATAGTTCTTCAACGTATCTTCTGTTACTGAAGCCAGCATTACATCTTTCCAAGCTGTTATTAGATGCTGGGGATAGATAGACGATAGGAGAGCAAAGGAATTGATTGAATACGGTGTTTTCCAATACGGAATTCGCTGCGACGCCAACCGGAGCGGCCTAAAGTCAGAAGGTTCAATGCTTGAACCTTTCTTGACACGAGGAGACTTCAAAGTAGGGTCAGGCGATTTTGACGGCACACTGTTACCACCAACTGGGTGCGGCAGACTTGTCGATGCCAGGGACAGCCCTCCAGATTGGGGAGCATCTGCACTGGCAGATGCACGACGAAAACGGATCCTATACATAGGACAAAAATTCCTTGAGCTCCAAAGGGAGCTGAAACGTAATATGGAGTCGATCCTCGTCCATTCCCACCTCGCCACGAGAGATGGGGTCTGCACGATTGTCTTCAGACTTCACATATACTGGCAATAGAGAGATATTGTGAGACATCAATGAATTGGAAAGGCGACGAATGCATGCGTTACGATGAGGGTTACGAGACCTGCCTTTTTTATAAGCATCAATGGAGCTAGAATTGTCCCCATGCACCGGGGCGTCGCAATCTGATAAGCCCGCCGTTGATGCCCACATGGCAAAGAGCTCTAGAGCAACAGTTTCAGCCCATCCGATGTCTCGACCTTCTGCTTTCCAACCTTCCTTCAATTTCCATGCAGCCCAATGGCCACCGATGAGCATACCTATCCCCCATGACGTTGAGGCATCTATCCATGCATCGGTATCACGAACTATTTTGGGTTTCAAAGTGCGGTGGTAAGATTGAACTGAGAGAACATTAAACCACCATTTGGAGTCAGTGATGACCGGGGAGGGGATATGATGAGAGACAAATTTGTTGGGAAATTTGGAGAGGAAAAGGGACAGCGAGGGAAGGCGAGACCGGCCTTCCTTATAAATGAAACAGATGTGCTGTAGAGTACCATGAATAGAAGCAGCCATGTCATATTTGACCGTCCGGTTCTCTAGCGCTGTTTCCAAGAAGGAAGTCAGCTTCGTCAAGTATTTTACCCGCTTCCTCTCTGGGAGGGAGACAGTTTTCATCTTGAGGTCCCAATGGAAACCGACATAAACTGTTTCGTATGCAAAGTCGTGTCCTTTTTCTGTCACAGGATGCCATAAAATTCCCAATGGGGAAGATATGTCGAGAATGGTCGACAGGTCGAAACAATATTGATATTGGGAGGAGCCATCGTGGTGAGTGATTGTTGAACAAGGGTAACGCCAAATATTGAAATCGTCAACCCATTTGAAAACTTCAAGCATGATTAAGATGAACAGGAGGATATCTCTTAAAGCATCAGCAACTTCGCCCTGAATATTTCCGGCAGTGCACAAACCGAAGGGCGTGCAATGGTTCCCCCAAATAAGATCTCGCCAAAATGTGGCAATGTAACATTTGTGCTTCGCTAGGATGGGCGAACATCGGTATGCTTTGACCCAGTCCAGCGCAGCGGCTTGGGTTCCCGGAGGAGCCTTCACCACCTGAAAGACATAATTAGGACATGTACATTTGTCATTAATACAACATAAAGGGCGCAATGGGGCGTCCCGAGTTCATTTAGGGAACTGAACATATCAGATGTTCAATAGGAACACCGTAACATGGAAGAGAATAGCTCTTCGAAAAATTTTGGGCATGGAATGGCCATGGCCAGCGGAATAAATGCGGAATAGCCGCTGGAGAATAGCTCCATACACATAGGGAACATCCCAAGGTTACGGAGAAATTTAGCTCACCGCGTCTGCAAAAATCGCCGCCGTATACCATTTGGTAGGCTTCTCTTGAGCATCGAGCCAAGAATTTGTGCTGTTGCCGCTCTTGTCTTTTGCTGAAAGGTTGTGTACAATTCGAAACTTTGTTTCCTCATCAATAACTGCCATCGGCGCTGTTCGGAAATGGCCTCCAAAGAAAATTTCAGCATCTTCGATTGACAAACCACCATACATCCTTCCTGCATCAATCTCGTCCGTTATGTACTTGTCAATGATGTCCATATATTTTGAAGCCGAGGCAGAATTACGAGGAATGAAATTGGAGGTAAGAGGAGGAGGGGAACCGATGGGAGAACCGTAGATAATGTCATGTACGAGATTAGGGTATTTTTCCTGTAAACCGCACCGTTGGAGAGTATCACGCCACACCTCAGCACGGTAAGGTGTGATGACCTTTTGACCTTCAGTTACGAGGACATGTGGAGGCGCCGTGACCTGTCTCAGCACACAACGAGCAGATGTGGAGGGCATGGTCGGTGGGCATCGTACACTTGTTTGGTCCTTGGACATTGTGACGCAAGCAGACGGGCTGGTTATCAGAGGTGCGGTAGAGATATGTTCCCCTCCAGGCGACAATGAAGGATCGTCCAGGTTTGTTAGGAATACTCTCGCTGCAGGCGTCGGCTTTATGCCCTTTCTTTCCGCAACGGAGGCAGAGGTAATCAAAGCTCGAGCGTTCGCCATCTTTACGAAAGGAATACTGAGATTTGTCAAAGGGCTGAAACCGGGATTTGTTTTTTGTGGTCCTAGTTGGGCCATTGACGGCTGGGATGTATTGAGCAACGGCAGTCTTGATCTCCTGGGCTGTCGTACGCCTAGCGACCCTTTGCACGACGCGGTTCCAACCTTCAATGTACTCTTTCGAGTTAACATCAATAATAATGCCTCCCCTAGTGAAAAATTGTGGTCGTAAATGGTCGCAGTCGAATTCCTTGTGAGCCTCGAATGTCGCCTCGATGTCTGGGTCGGTAACTGCTCGCTGGTGATGTTTCACAAAACCTTCGAAGATTCGCTCTCCTTCACATAACTCCGAGATAAAGCTCAAGAAGTTTTCGTACGCTGCGAGCCATTGGGCCAAGGTCATGTCCTTTTCGTTGGGGAAAGTCGAAGTATCGAGTACTCGAATGTTCGTCGATGTAGCACCTCGTGCGAACTTCCGATACGTTACGTCTCTTCCGAGCCTAATATTCGTGAGCGTTGTGGGAGTAAACATCGTCAACGGTGGTGAGATTCCATTGCGGGCAAGAACGAACAGGTCTTCGGGATATGAGGACTCTACGGTGCGATAACCTCCATTGGCCAAGGCTTTCGCGTCCGCAAATTTGAAGCCTGTCTCCGAATCCTTGGCATGGTCCTTGGAAGCAGTGGACATAGTCGGATTGTTTTGATGAGTACGCACAAGAGAATTCATTCGATCAGCCAGCTCCTTCTCATCTTCATCTTCTGAAACCTCGCTAGCATCATTGGCCTGCCTTCTCCTTTCCGCTCGCCTAGCATTTCTTCCTTTCAATTCTTTCATCATCTGAGCAGCCATTGCTATCATGGTGACGTCGAAGCCCGTTCCTTGATTTGCCGAGCCATGAGGTCTTCCGGATGAGGTTGAGGGAGCATTGTTGGTTTGAGCAGACATAGTGGATGATATGATAAAGTAATAGTATTTCTGGATGACTGAAAGCGCAACGAAGTTGCAAAGTGCGAATAAGGTGCTGACTGCGAACGAGGAGAGTCAAGGATGAAGGCTGATGATGATGATGAAGGTCTGGATTGGTGACCCGCAACACGCCTCGTAGTGGGCGAAGACGCGGGGGTACAGTACTCTACTGCTATGTATGACTGTACCGCTACTCGTTGTAATACTAATCTACTTGTCAACTCTATGGTATGTAAAACTCTCGGGTAAAATTCTATGTAGCTTCGTGTGTTTTAGGTGTCTATTCTTCGTTGCGAAAATCATTGTCTAGGGAAAAGAGATAGAGAATAAATACAATAGAAAAAGAGTAAGGGAAAAGAAACAATGGGGGGGCCCGGTAGCGCTGTGATGTAGTGTTCTATCCATCATCCTCTTCTTCATGCGGCTCTGGTTCATCTTCCCAGAGCGGCATTCCCACCTCTCGCCTTGGAATTCCGGTCTTTGTAAAGGCTCCAGACTCCGCTAGGAACCTTGTGACCGCTTCGATGCCCTCTGTCGTGCCCAAAAGGTCGCACATCACTAGATTCTGTGATCCTTCACGTAGGATCTGTCGATGGTCGTTGTATCGTGGGCAGGATCGTATGATGTGATCTCGCGTTTGTAGTCGCTCGCCGCATTCGCAGTCCGTCGCCTCTGGGATGTTAAACAGTTCGTAGAACTCGCCCATGTGGGCGTGCCCTGTTCTACACTGTACGAGCCTTCCAAACACCTCGCGTGGTGTCTCCTTGAACCTCTGGGTTGGTTTTAGCTGTGGTTTGAGTCGGTTTGCGAGTCCAAAGCGGCCAGTAGGGCTTGTCCTTTCCCACTCCTGTACCCATTTCTTCTGTACTCGTTCTCGCATCCTTCTCCTTGCGTTTGCATATGTGCGCTGTCCCATGTCGAACATTGTACATGCCTCCTTCGCCAAAGCGTCCGCTTTTTCGTTTCCAGGTATGTCCTGGTGGCCGGGTGCCCATGCTACCTCCAGCGATGTTTCTTCGTCCTCTTCCAAGAGCTCCGTGGCTATCTTGAAAAACACTGTTGCATGCTGTTGACCTGGTCCCCGTTTGGGACGTATAATGGAGTCAACTGCAGAGGAGTTATCGGCAAAGAAATGAATGTGACGTACGCTTGGGTGGGTTGCACGCAATCGTTGTACATTTCGTGCGGCCCACGCTAAGCCTATAAGCTCTGAGTCATACACCTCAGCATGGGGTCCTTCAAGGATGAAGGCAAGATTCAGCCCTTCTCGTTTGCTTTGTCAGCACCTTATGAGCATTGCCTCACACGTTCGGCTGATGCTCAACGCCCAGCTGCATGCAAGTGACGCAAAAAACTTTTGCTTTAATCGCTACGGACACAATTTTCTCACCGCTTGTCGAGGCGACGGGATGCACAGATCGCTGTACAAGCCCAAAGCACTTCCTTCTGTGATACGATGTCAAAGCAGGTAAACTGGGATGGATATGCAAGATCTTTGAGCCTGAGGTCGCCGCTGCATAGTAAAAGCAGATTTCTTGCTAACTCTTGCAAGTGCGAAGGATGTTAGGCTTCTTGTGCTGTGGATTAGGATATCACTCGTCATACGCCTCTTTCTCTCGTGGGGTGCCGGTGAGTTCTCGGTCTTATTTGTGGAAGCTCTCTTATCTGCTGGTTTTCCGTAGTATAGACTAAACTGAATTCTATCGGATAGTTACTGGCACCTTCGACTTTGGCAGTCGCCAGAGGTGACTTAACATATCGATGACGACGACGAAGCCACCCCAAACTTGAAGAAGCCCAATGGACGTATAAGGCCGGCAATTATAGTCGTTGCGTGGGTATGCACAGTGATTCAAAAATTTAAGCTTCAGCTTCAGGTGTCATGGCAAACTTGACGATGAAATGCCTCTGGTATCATCGATCATCTAGGCTGTCTTTTCCCAATCCGCATTACCTCTTGTTTCTTGCTCATGTTATACAGGCGGACTATCGATTCCCAGTACCAACATTGTTATTCGATGAGCTGACTCAGTGTTGTCCCTTGAAATCGCAATCTGGCTCTCCAATTCTAGAGGATTCGACGATTTACAGCGGCTTTGGCCCAAGCCTGCGAGGATTACATACACGACGCCCGCTTTTATGATCGCTAGAAATCAAATATTGGAAGTTTACACGATTTATTATCTTAATGCCTGGTCACTATAGCGCCTATTATCGAGATGTTCCCCAATGCGAAATGCAAGACTGAATACCATTGTTACTTCTCCCGGCTCCGTTCCGATTCCTGGATCAAGATTTACCCTTGAGTCAAAGAACAGTTGAATTCGTAAGTCGCGATCGACTCGGATCCTGCGATCGGCCACAACTTACTTATTGCTCTCCTTTCACGAAGACGCACAAAGACGCAAGTGCTCGTCGTTTCAGAGTGCAACGATCAAAAATAGTAAGTTGAAATTATGCTTATCGTTCTTTCTGATATTATACTGGACCATCTACGGCGGTTGAGTTCGCTCCTTGCAACCTTTTTATATACTGACTTGTCGCCAATCAGACCGATTATGTCCTCGGAATTGCAATCACTGATCTGCCCCCGGTATCAAGATATCGAGCGTGTGCCCAGTACCGTGTAGAACGTTTTACCTTGGTCGACCCCAAAACTTATGCGCTCAACCGCTGCGCGACTTTTTGACATATAGAACTATGGAGATCAGACCGGCTATACATCCAGGTTCTGGTCACGAAACACGGTGAAGCCATAGGCAGTCTTTCAAAACTGGCCCTTCCATATCTGAGAAACCTACATGGCTCATCATGGGGAGAGATAACCGGGACAATGGGGCCACCGTCTTACCAAGCTACCCCAAGCCGAGGGTGTATGGCGACACCGTCATATCATGTCGTCCCTTCCCCAGCGAATCAGGGTATGGTGTAGGTGGAATCATAAATATAGCATTCATACGTCTCTGTCGTCAAATGAGGAATGAGGGTGGGCCATCACGACGCTTTCCAATGCAATGCGTTGAACAATGGAATACGAAACTAGCAAGAATAACGGCAGGTGCGGGACGCTGCTACTTAGGAACGCGAGTACTTGCCCGGAGCGGTGCCCGGTGCCGTGTTGCAATCAAATCTTTCGGAAAGCCGCGATCACCCTTCACGATTACGAGATGCTGCATCCCTGCATGGTATAAAACCATGTCTTCGCCCTACCTCGAGTTTGCCTCCCCAAAGAACTATGTCTACGCCAGTGAAGACCTATCCATCACTTTCGCGCTCTGTACCCATCTTCTCTCACTCAATATTCACCCATTTGTTGACCAAAGATGGCGAACTCATCGGAGGACATGCCCCAGAGCTACCCGCGTTCACTGATGCGCCCTCAGGAACGACGATAAATCGTAGACAACTGAGAGACTTCAGTCTCTCCCTTGGGCATGGTCTCAAGAACTTAGGCGCGAAACGCGGAGATACCGTCCTCGTGTTCTCGCCCAACTCGCTGAATTATCCCGTTATTCTTCTCGGAGGTGCGCCGTAATCCTACATTCTTTCAAGGTTCTGTCGTTAACGTGTAACGTAGCTATTTCTGCCGGCCTTCGCTGCACCCTTGCAAATAACGCGTATACGAGCCATGAACTTGTTCATCAGTACACTGACAGCGGAGCCCATCTCGTTTTCTCGACAGAAGATGGCCTTCCGACTGTTCGTGCGATGTTCAAGGAAATTGGTGTCGGTAAAGAGGGCGAGAAACGGATCATCGTGCTCAGCAACAGCTTGGCCTGGGCTGGCGGACCGGACGCCGCTAGCACGCCTGAATCCGCAGGACTTCCACGCATGGAGGACCTTCTTTCGAGCGGCTCTTTGGAAGAGGAGGAGAAATTCGACGGGGATCTCGCCCATGAAACTGCATTCCTGTGTTACAGTTCCGTGAGTACCTCCGGGCTAAATCTTTGGGGATCTATACCTACTAATTCTGGCATCTATGCAGGGAACCACAGGGAAACCCAAGGTAACTATACTACCGTTGCACTTATACCACACAATGCTGATGATCATCAACCTAACCCTTCAAGGGTGTAGAGGTCAGTGTATTACAATACTTCTTTGACGTAAATCACTCATTCAATGAATTTAGACAACACACCAGAATCTCACCTCTGTGGTTGACATCGTCAACGAATCGTATCCCCATGAAATCGGCGGCTCAATGCTCGGTTTCCTCCCTTTCTATCATATATACGGTGGGTTTGATAGTCTTAACAAATGCATCCGTCTCACCGATCTCCCCAGGCTCTGTCATGCTTCTTTTCCTGAATATCAAAATGGGCGATCCATGCTACATCATGCCTCGTTTCGACCCCGTGCAGTTCTGCAGCAATATCCAGAAGTATAAAATACCTGTCGTGCTTGTTGTTCCGCCAGTGCTCGTCTTCCTTTCTCGGCACCCTGGTATGCTTCAATCTCTCATACTCTCATCTCCCAGCCCACCTGACAACGGCTTTCAGTGGTGCAAAAATTCGATTTCTCTGCGCTCAAACTTTTGATTTCCGGGGCAGCGCCGCTGGGTCCTGACTTGACGAAGCAGGTCAGTTCAGGTTCTTCCTTTCATCTAAAGTAATCTGATAGAATCTTGGAAGGTCACTGAGCGCTTCCGTTCCATGGACGTCGACGTTGCGGTTGTGCAAGGTTTCGGCATGACGGAATCTTCGCCGACGACACATCTACTCCCGATGGCCGACGCTGAGAAGAAGACTGGTAGCATCGGTGTTCTGCTCTCGAATTTAGAAGCGCGTTTGGTGGACGAAGGAGTCGATGCTGAGGAGGGTAAGCCCGGAGAACTCTGGATTAAGGGACCAACTATTATGAAGGTACATTGCTGCGTGTCTCTTTCATCGATTTCCCCTGTTTATTATCCATGCTTAGGGATACCTCAATAACGAGGCCGCGACAAGACACACTATAACGGAGGACGGATGGTTCAAGACCGGCGATGTTGCAATCAGAGATAAAGAAGGCCACTTCTTCATCGTCGACAGGGTGAAGGAACTGATCAAGTACAAGGGTTTCCAAGGTAAGTTACTGATGCGTGCTCTCCTTCTTCGTGTTATTCACCTGGATTTTTATTAGTTCCTCCTGCTGAGCTGGAGAGCGTCCTGTTGGGTCACCCCGAAGTTGCAGATGCTGCCGTCATTGGTGTGTACGACCATAAGGAGGCCACCGAGCTCCCCAGGGCCTACGTCGTCCATGCGCAACCCCATAAAGTCACTACCGACGAGCTTAAAGTTGCGTTTGGTCAAGAGGTGGCGAAATCTATCGAATCAAAGGTTGCTAAACACAAGTTCTTGCGTGGAGGTGTTGTCGTTATCGACGTCGTTCCTAAAAGGTGTGTTCTAGCTGTCTATAGCTAACACCCTTGCTGATGGATTCATCTTCCAGTGCTGCGGGAAAGATACTCCGACGGGAGTTACGCGAGCGGGCAAAGGTAGAACTAGCGAATGGCATCGGGGCTATGAGCCCTTGCCCACCCTGTTAAGGCGGACGAATTATTCGGTATTTAAGACAGTCATATTTTTTCTTGTAACTGTATGCATAAACTCAAGCACATGTACTCGCCATAGACATCTTGTCGAGATAATAATATAATATGAACTCTACAAGACGGGTGTTTTCTTGGGTGATGTCGGTCTCCAACGCCTGATCCTGGATTCCATTCAAACAAAGCATGAACAGCATATGTGGTCGGAGAAATGGTACAAGGGGTAAAACATTTATAGAGTAGCATCGTTGTTTTGGGCTGCACTCCCATCAATTTGGGTCTCTAAATCTGCCATGGACGTCGGACAAGATGAGTTTGAAATCATTTTCCTGTAATTTTATATAATGAGTTGTGAATCCCATTCTATATACCGAATAGATACCTTTTGTTCCTTGATGTGACTGTGCAAGAACTCGAACTCGGCTTGGCAAGGAACCAAACAACCAAACATGACGGTGATCGATCGGGACTGCTACGTTTCAAGGACATGAGCGGCAGTACACTCAATGCCAACTCAATACTCAGGCAGCGTCGAACAATTCATAGTTTCAGTAGATGATTATCATTTTTTCTCTCTCTCTTCCCCATGCCCTGGGCTTACAGAATTTATGCATTCTGCGCCTATTGCTTTCGTTCTCATTCTTTCCTTTGGTAAATGGTCTCGCCTCTCTTTCGACGCAAATTCCTTGGTCTGCCCGTCACCATCAGCGCCTCTGACAGTAATGACTCCGCCCCCTGAGCCCATCGTAATTACCATCGTTCTAATGGGCGAAAGCGTCGCACATGAAGGAACCATCGCGATGAAGTCTGCAATCATGCACACGAGTCGGCCGCTGCACTTTCATCTCATATGTACCCAGGACAATATCCCGTACCTGGAGAAGAAGTTCGCCTTGTTCACACGACCAGCTTACGACATACAGGTCAGTACCTTGACTTCTTGTATTCGCTAATGCAACGACCTGATTTGCAGGCAACATATTATCCTCTAACCGCTGAACGCGTGCGCGAACGAGGCCACCGTGCTGGCATAGGAGAGAACTGGAACGTCCTCACCAAGGTCTTTATGCATGAATTGCTCGTAGACGTTGAAGAAACTATATTCATTGATACCGACATGATATTCCTCGTTGATCCTCTAGAGCTCGTATGTGTGCTCAATGCTCTGCTACTACCAGAATTCATGGCCATTTGCAGTGGAACGACTTCAAGCATTTTGAGACCCACACTTTAATGTCATTCCCTACACTCGGACCCACTTCTCATCCCGGACAGATCTGCAGCTGCATCATGCTCATAAACCTTGCTCTCATGCGTGATCCATCTACCATATTCATGCCTTCAAGCCTCCTTCCAGAAACAGAGCAATCCTCTTTAGCCTCTATGCCGTTCGCTCGAGGAATAAGTGATGGAATACCGAGTCCCATGGCCGATGAGATGGCGCCTTTCGATCCCCACAATCCATTCTTCGCCGACCAGGGCATATTTCACGTCATCTGGTATTACAGACCGACGATGTTCAGGCACCTATCATTGCGATGGGATGTCAGCACATGTCGACAGCAACTAGGCTTATCGTTAGGCCATTTTGGGGAGGATCTTGAGGAAGATATGACGGAAGAGGAGCATATTGCACGGCAAATCGCGCTGGACGGGAGCGGGGAAGAACATACGCTCATGAGCCCTGGCATCTTGCACTTGTATGGTGTTCTTGTCCACTCTTTTGCTACGGCCTAACACTGCTTTTCAGTAACTGCCAAGGCGATAGGGATGACATCTGGATTTGGGAAGATAACCATAACGCCAGTGCGAAGTTTGGTCCTGTCATCCCAACCACTTTACGATACAAGTGAGCACCGCAGATCATTCCATTCGCTCCAGCTGCTAACTTTTGTAACTGCAGATGGGTGGGGCTTAATAGGGGAGATGGTTCCGCCAGGGTGCAAACACGAACAGACTCTGATGGCAGGTGGTGGGATGAGCGGTTAGCGGAGGCCCACGCTGCCAAGTAAAAGAGCGCTGTGAACACCGGAACGCCTGCAGCTGCAACTTTATGTATTTTATTTATCTTCGCCGACCAAAAATCAGGACGTTTAGCATTGACGCTTTGGGAATCATTGGAAGCCTTCCATAGACATCTTAGAATATCCATTATGCTTTCCGCTCTCCCTCCAGCCTGAGTCTGTGACCCGTCGTGCAGTGCACGCAGAAAAGAAATAAGCTACATAAGACGATTGAAGACAGGTAGGGTTTCTGGACACAAGGCAAAGGGAGAATCAGCAACAATTGTGGAAAGGGTTTGAGGTTCGCAAGTCTCGTGTGAATAGGATCCTCGACATGACCAAGGTCCTGTGATGGTCTTCAGATGAGTTGGTACAATATTTTTACTTGGAGCATGCAATTATAATAGCACCGACAACGACAAGAATCCGAAACGCGTGAACCTGAAATCACTACGGAGAAACATTGACCCAGTGAAACTCCACTTTGAATTGAGTGGAAAGAGAACAACGGTAGGTTTAAGAGGAGACAAACGAAGAGAAGCAACATGTGGTCGAAAAAGAAAGCTGTAGTGCTTCGCCTTGAAGCCTTCGTGCACCTTGACTTTTCAAAGACCTTCAGCATGACCAAGAACTGTGACGAAAAGGGAAAATCATAATGGGTCACGAAAGTCAAAAGACCACCAAGTCCGATTAATGGTCAAAGATGCTGACGGTTTCGGCCCGTCATAACTATCATACGGTCGTATTCACGGGGACCGGGTGGGTATCTATGCAAAATCAATGTGACTATGGTGCTAAATATAAAATCTGTGTACCGCACAATTACAATACAACTTTCAGAGTACACTTTGGTCATGAAATTGACGGCCTTGTGGGACGACTCTAGGGTTCATTGAATAATGTCGTAGTTACTGAAGTCGTATGAGGGTAAGTTATTCCATTCTATCATAGAGAGCATATACGGACCTCAGGAAAGTCGTGTTCCCCCTATAGGAATGCCACACAAATACAGTTGTTGACAACTACATTGCACAGTGTTGCTCAATATAACGTCGGTATGTATACCGCGGCCGTAGCGTGTAACCGAACGTTCTGTTTTTCTATTCAAACGTGCGAACTTGCGGCCGTCTACGCCAGTGACAAACTTTGGAATCTAAGTATGGGAGATAACCTTTGTAAATAAAGCCACAAGGAGGAAAAAGTACCTATTAAAGTGGATGCCTTCGGAGGCACAACGCCTCCTTAAATAAGCCATGAGCAAGAACAAGTCACCCCATAATGTCGTCATCCGGACAAGATTTGCAAGGGAAAAAGTGCTATGTCGTGTTTCGTCCGAACAAATCAACTAAGTTTCGCAAAGGCTCGTGTATTTTGTCCACTGGACGTCAGAACGGACGTCTAAACGATGCCGTGTCATGGTCCGGACATTCTGAGCTGACTTCGTGAAAAGATTCAGCGACAACACTGGCTCGCATTCTTCAGGGCGACCCGCAGTTCATCCCCACTTAACCAATTTTTTCAAAGCAGGTGAGAATGCCATGTCAACTATCCAGACAACCACTAGGAGATTTGGCAGAGGGGTTTTATCCAGACAAAACCGACTGATTTTCCCGTTTCGTGTCCGGAACTTTCTGGACGGATTAGGCATCCTGACACGGCCTCCCCAGGGCTCCTCCAAGAACCTATGTCTGAATACCCGAAGAGTTATGAAATTCCAAGGCTAGCGGCAGCGCAATACTCTACAAAAACACGATAAGATTAGCATCAACGCGCAATCATGGAGTTGAGACGGCACGAAAATCCTAAACGTCCTTAGTCATGTATCACGGAGCAAAATCCTCAACTCCCACTTTCATTTCGGCGAAATGAGAGCGAATGTCGGGAACAAGACATCGATAAGTATCCGTCTGTGGTAAGAAGACCTTCCATTAACGTCTTTCTGTGTGCATGAAGTGGAACATGTTACCAAGATCAGGACCCTGCCGTTGAGACGCCAAGGTCACCCGGGGCGTATGCTTCATACAAATATCGATTGCAAGTGTATACAAACAATACAAATGGGCACAGTTACAACTGGAGTTGAAGGAAGAAAGAAGAACGAAGCAGATAAGGAACCATTTTCACCAATCACCGCCATCTTGGTCAGCGCCATCTTGTAAACCATCTTGGTATGCGTCCATTTCGTTGTCATTGATAGCATCTGCGAGCAAAGCTCCACCGAGTAGACCACCGGCGCCTAAAAGAGAATGAGGGATCAAAGCAGGTGACAAGACGGAGGCGATACGCACCGAGAGCAAGGGCACCGCCCATGCCGATACCACCCGACTTCTTTGGTGGCTGTTGTTGGTAGACGGTTTGTTGCGGAGGGTAGCCTTGGTTGTTCTGCTTTCCGCCTCCAAAGAGACCGCCAAGTAATCCTATGGTAGATGGAGGAATTAGAACACATCAGTTAAAGCTGTGAACATCACCGACCTTTGCTTCCCCCACTCTGCTGTTGCTGGCCGTACCCGTCCTGTGGGTACCCACCATACCCTTGCGGCTGTTGTGGATATCCACCGTAACCCTGTGGCTGTTGTGGGTAGCCGGGGTTGTAGCCACCGTATTGCCCCTGGGGATTACCGTATCCACCATAGCCCTGTTGCGGCGGGGGCTGGTTGTACCCCCGATTATCAGGAGGCGGGGGGCCGGCTGGAGGACCGTACTGGCTAGGCGGGGGGCCGGCGGCCGGCGGCGGCCCTAGTGGATGGTTCCATGTAGTAACTGGCGGCTGAGCATGGGTATTCACGTAGAACCTGTGCGACAGTCAGTGACCCCCAGAAAGATCGAGAGCGGCAACCGTACCAAGTCTTGTAACTGTAGAAAGTGAATCTCATCGATCGTGATAAGCGACAGTTGAGGACACTTACTTGCTGTCATACTGAGAGATCCAGCCAGGTGGTAGCTGGCGGGTATCTGGGTTAACTTGGGGCTCGCTGCCGTACGACGGAGGCTGAGACATTCAGAGGAGAGGTAAAAGATGGTCGTGGTCAATGAGAGAGCCTTATAAAGCGTCCGATTTTGCTCCCGGCACCGCATCATGCAGCGTCTCGTGATCTCGCTGTCGCTAAATAGTCAAAATGTTAAACAATGTTAAGTACAGCATAAGTAGAATACAAAGATTATTAGAAGATCATACATAGTCCAAAACACGCCCCTCTCATCACGCCCTCTTCTTCTTGGTCGTCGCGGTCGATGCAGGTGCCGAAGTCTTGGCTTTCTTTGGGGCTGGCTCTGGTGAGCTCTCCTCCTCAGAACTCTCGCTGGAAGATGATGACGATCCTCTTCCTCTTCCTCTTCTTCTTCTTCATCACTCGAGCTAGATTCCACAGGAGGTGGTGCCGTCGTTGACTTTCTGGGCTTGGGCTTGGCTTTTTCCTGCTCGCGTTCCTTCTCTTTCTCTTTCTCTTTCTCCACCACCTTTTCCTTCTCCAGCTCGCGTTCTTTCTCTTTCTGCTTTTCCTTCGCTTTCTCGGCTTTTTCGTCCTTCTTCGTTTTCTCCTTCACCTTGTCGGTCGCCTTTTCTTTTGGGGCACGGGTAGTCTTGCTCTAAAATACGTCGTCAGCAGCCAAGAAAGTGCGCATATATGCAGAATCGCAAACCGTGGCAGCAGGCGCTGAACCTTCTTCATCCTCGCCATCGACCTTCGGCAGCGCCTTGTATGCAGCCATCTCTTCTTCATACTTTTTGTTCAAGGGCGTCATGCTGATCAACATATGTCTGCAACAAATGATGAGAGACGAACAATTTGGGAAACGATCACCGCACCTGTTTTTCTGCCGCCGTCATTTCTGACCACATTTTCGACATCAGGCTCGTGAGCTCTTGGAATGTGATGTTGGGGTGTTCGAGCTTGGTTGCCTTACGCATGTCATTCTGGAACAACAGGTAGGTCGAGGCAGGGCGTCGGGGCGCGTTGGGATCTTTCGTCTTCACGAGGCGCTTGCGTTTGCCATCGACAACAGGCTCTTCTACGTCAGAGTGCTTTCGTTTGCCCTTAACGGGTTTCACATCCTCTTCCTGTCCGTTACCAGAAAATGCAGCCTTGTATGATGTGAGGTACGCCTCCGAAGTCTCGACGCAGTGTTTCATCGACTTCACCAAGTCTTCGAGACCGCGTATCATCTGCACAGACGTGTTAACAAGCTAACATGACGCGTCAGTGAAGAGAATATACCTGAAGACGGTCGTGTTCCAATTTTGAAGGGGCCATGGCAGATCCCGAGTCGGCGAGTCAACGATTTTTTTTGAACCTTGCTTAGCTTTGCTTAGTTTTTGAAGCCTTGTTCAAGGTTCGTTTATAGGTCTCACCATATTTTGTTAGGTTTTGTTTTGAATCGGAGCTCAAAATCTGACTTTGAAATAATTGAAGCGCCGCTCTAACGACCCTAGTCGCCCGTTTGGCTCGCTGTTGGAGCCATTCGACACTCAAAAGGCGTCGCACGGACCAGCTACCACTGCGAAAGACGTCAATAAGGCCGTTGTCGAGCAGATTGGCACAATTGGCGGCGCGCAGAGCGGTCCTTTGTGCTTATTTTCCTCACTAAAGGCGTCGTAGTTGTCTTACCGTCCATAAGACTCGGTAAGAAAAAGGAAGAGAAAAAAGTCGCGATGGACCCAAATTATTTCAGTCAATGGATTTCACCGCAGCAGCAGACCCAAATCTTGACCGAACCGTCGCAGCAGACTCGTCATGAACGTCCGACATCGTCCCTTGAAGACTGGTCCAAAGAGCGGACAGCGTCGACAGGGGCGTCGACCTCTGCACCGACTGTAACGACGACAACGGCGCCAGCGACGCTAGATTTCGCCGATATCATGGGTGACATTGCCGGTGCGTAGCGTCCAGGGTGCTCAAGCTGTTTCTGTGACACTTCTTCACACAGCCACAGGCTCACCTTCTGCGCTTTCACCACAATCTGCGGCGTTTTATCAGTCCTTTCAGAATTACTTCCAGGCGCCGTTCAATTCGATACCTTACGGCTCCACCTGGAATGCCCAGTCGACGCCGACGGTACCTTTGTCCAATTACTCCAGTCTCAATGGCGCAACGAGCGCAGGCCCCTCGTCCTCACCAACTCCCCAGCCAGCAGCCCAGCCCTCCCAGCCGGCACCGCAACATTCACCTCCACTGCAAGCTCAATCACCGCCCCAACCGATGATTATCGAGTAAATCATCATATCTTTCATCAACATCACGGGGCTAACTTTCTTTCAGCCCGGCACTGACAACGCTCAATGGCGCAGCCACGAACGGCCTTCAACAATACTCCCAGCCTTCTTTTCAACCTCAGCAAGCACGCACTTCATACCCATTCACGCATCTTTCATTATCACTCAGCAACTCCAATCCATATATGTATTCACATTCGTATCCACAGCAAATAGCAACAGCATCTGCACAAGGGACCCTGTCACCCCAGGCCCTACACTCGCCCTCCCAGTTAATGACGACCATCGTACCATCACAATTCTACGGCAAACCCCAACCGTCAGGATCTCAGCCCACACCGCCGGCAGCACCCCAACCAGCACCTTCTCAGCCGCCAGGATCCACCCCACAGGAACGTAAACAGCAATTCCTCACTTCGATCAGGCCTCTGTTACAAGCGTCCGCGTTCACCGGAGCCCAGGCCGTTAACACGTTGGCATCTCGTATATCAGATTACGGTCCTCAGGACGTCGATGCGGCTACACGTCTCGAGATACTAACCAAGATCCGTGACGGTGCAGGTAATCACTATTTTCGTGCCTGGTCCGAAAACCCAACAGCAATGGATATCTCTCGCGAGTGGCTCAAGTCCGTACTCGCAACAAAGGACGATAGTACCTTAGTTGAGACGATAATGCCCCTTTTGCATGTGAGTGTCACATGTGGTAGGCTCAAAGTTTCTCACAGGCTTCACAGATCATCGATCGATTACCGCTAAACATTGACGCTTTGAAAACGTACAAATTGGGCAAACTGATAGTGAAACTGTCGAAGGACCCACCTTCTCCGGGTGAGTTGTGTGTTTCTCTGCCTAATGCAAGTGGACGTGTGCCCGACGTGCATATGGCATTTCTTTTAATAGTAATAGGCGTGCGATGAGATAAAATACATGTATCTAACTTGTTTCTTGTGTTCTATGCAACGCAGCGATCAAGGATATGGCTTCGAACATCGAACGAAGATGGCGTCAGATCGTTGAAGTCGCGAATGACACGAAAAGCGAGGGTGAGTCATGTCAGTTTGAAATGCTGAATATTTATTAATGCTCGATTTTATGTTGGTTTAGAACCGAAGACGAAGAAGCGGAAACTGGAAGTACCTGTTAGCAAACCTTCTGCTGCACCCGTGAAAAAGGCCGCAGTGACTTTGGCCCCCGCAAAGACGGTGACGAAGAAGGTGATGGCGCCTGCGGCGAAGGATGCCAAGTCGGATTCATCCTTTTTCTCTGCACCGAAACCGAAACCGAAGCTGCCAACATTCAAGAAGGCGCCGGTGGTGAAAAAGGAGCCTGATGCAAATGTTTCGCAGCCACTGTCTATCGACCCGTTCCAGGAGGCTCTCAAGTCGATGGCAAAGAGTCGGAAAGAGTCTCCCGCTCCTGCCCCTGCTCCGACGCCACCGGCAGCAACGACGGGTAGCCCCCCGCAGGCGGGTCCTAGCAAGCTTGGTAAGAAGAAGAAATCGGTGTCGTGGGCTCCCGATAACGACCTTGAGTCGGTACGGTTCATAGAGAAGGCTGTCTATGATGACGATCCCGTAGATGTCAGCAGTTCGCTTTTCAAAAATCTTACTTTAAAATTAATATCCCATAGGGTATGCATACTGCACACAGCGCACGGGAATTGGAAAAGGGTGAGGGAGCTGCACTTCATCAGCATGTGTTTGAAGAGACGATTGACTGGTCTGAACCTCTGTGTAAGCGTTAAAGACGTCTTAGCTGCGCGTACCACCTGACAAAGTGTGAACAGTGATTGACATACCGGTCGATATCGAAATACGGGCACGGGGAGAGGCTAGTGAGGAAAGGGCTACACAAGAACAGCGAGAAGAAACAGCGTTGGGTGCGATGTATATGACTACGGCACATATTCCCCCATCTCCAGGCGAACCGGCGAAGCAAATAGCGGATGAAGAAGTCGATAGAGACGTGCAGATGATGACGTCGGGACCTGATGTCGAAGGCATTTTCTGGAATAATGCCGAGGCAGCGCCATCAAACCTTGGAGTAGCGGACCTTGTTGCGCAATTGGCGGGCACGATGGAGACGCCGGCGGCAGTGCGCTTGAATGGAGATATTAATGTACCTCCTGTTGACGCATCTGCATTATCTACTCTGGGACCGGAGCAGCTACAACAACTTCTGCAACAACTGAATCCAACACTGTTCGGGAATGGGAATGGGAATTTCGGCGGTGGTGGTGACCAGAATTGGGCACAGCAGCCGGGGGGATTTGCCGAATATGGGCAGGACGACGCGTCGGACGGCTGGCGAGGCGGAGGAAGAGGGGCGCGTGGAGCAGGACGGGGCCGTGGCCGTGGTCGGGGTGGACGAACTGAGGATGGGTATAGACACAATAAAAGAAAACCATGCAGTTTCTTTCAGGCAGGAAGGCGAGCATTGAATCAACATATGTCTAAAATTGGACGGAGACTGATCGTTCCGTAAACAGATGCAAGTATGGGGATCAATGTGACTTTGCACACGAATACGTGTCATGACAAACGTGGAAGATGGCTAGGATATACGGGATGGTGTAGTCTACTACTTATTGCAATTTTATTTTAATCCACTATACACTGGTAAGAAAGGTTAACAATGCTAGCTGATGCTCCTTCGGTCATTTGACTCAATGCCACACGGTGAATGCCGTAACACAGATTCAACTACCCCCATCCCCGTTACACATTGGTTTTCAAAAATGTTCGCTAGTAAGTACAGGTTACAAGGAAATATAAATAACAACAGCATAAAACAAAATGTCTCCTGGTAGAAGTAAGATATCCATGTAGAGTACTAAGTTACAATCTATGGTGCACAAAAATTAACTGATGCAAATCGGAGAGCAAAATATGAGCCAAAAGATAAGCACAACTTGGAGATGCTATCCCCCACCAGTAGTCCTCCCCCGCTTTCGCGTAGCGCGTTTTGGAGGGGGCTGCTCTGGTCCCGTCGTTGGTGAGATATTGCCAGATGGTTGTTTGCGCTTCAGCGAAGCATTCGATAGCGCAGGCGTGTTCGCTGTCGATGTGGGCGTCGACGAAGATGCTGTTGACGACGATGCATTCTGGTTATGTGGAATCGTCTTGTGCTGCTTCGTCGGCGAGTTATGAGCTGACGGCGGAGCATTTTGGGGAGAGCTGATCGAAGATGTGGGCGCCTGAGGTTGGGGGAGTGGGGCAGGGTTAGTCACAGAAGTGGGGGCGCTAGAATACAATGTTGTCGACGACATAGCGCTTGCCGTGGGAAATGAAGCAAAGGGATGTGACATCATGCCACCGCCAGTATTCATTTGGTTCATCCCGTTCATCATATGTTGACCTCCGGTGAGCGGTACAATCGGCATCGCATCCCTTAGTCGGTTTGCATACTTGTTCAGAGCATCTTATCGTATCCTTTAAAAGTCTTTATCGATGTTGGCAGAGGAAAAGAACGAACCTATTGGCCCTAGTTTTGTGTCGTTGGAGAAGGTTATCAAGTCAGTCATCTGTGCTACACTTTCGGCCAACTGGAATCAAACAAACAAGTGTCAATCGAGGCATTTGTGCGATCAAAACCCAAGACGAACCTCCAAACATCGCATCGTGGCTTGCGGTATCCCAAATGCATTGACAGGCTCCCCTGGAATGGACCCTTGTTCAATGACAATTCTAGGTTCCTCCCACTTCTTATCCTCATCCTCTTGATTCACGACACCATTGGGTCCTGGCGTGGGTACATTGCGCATCCGTGGCGTTTTTGGAGATTCTATCATTCTCGTGCCAATGATAGACTCAAGAGCAATATATTTATCGTGATAGTTGGCGTCGAACTGGAAATCGTCGAATTTCAGCACATAGTTCCCAGTAGCAGACGATGTTCCAGGCGGGTGCGGTGACGTTATCACGACATGTGCCGTCAGAGGTCCCCGCAGCGTAACCGTGTAGCCATTGTTGTACTTGTACGTCCAAACTGCCGTTACGCATTCAACAACAGAGTGACCCTGGGAATACATTCGTTCTCGAGCCCCGTCCAATGTTAGTGTCATGGATTTGACGCCCGACTGGGTCGTCACCAAGAAGAAGCGGGGCAATATAGGAACACCAATTTCTAATCAGTAACAATCAGCATCTCTGCGAATCAATAGCAGGAAAAAGCGGTACCAAATGGTTTTGCTTCAGTTTTTTGGTTATCTTTCCACAAGGTTATTTTCATGACAGCTTTCTGCGTAAAATATTCCTTGATTAGGTCATTCCACCAAGAAAGCTGCAATTTCTATCATGGAAATGAGTGCCTGGTAATAAGCGAAGCGAGCAGTACGTACCGTTTTGCTCTCGTTCGATAAGTTACCACTAAACTGCAACAGTCGTGTGAGTCCTTGGCCGCTCCCAAGTGCTGTTGTCACACTACATAGAACATACTGTTCAAGCATGCTATTACAATCAAGAAAAACGGATCAAACTTACAGGCTTACAGGCGGCGGACGGGGAGCAGACGCCGGCGCGTGTTGATCAGTCGATGAAACCGTAGATGAAGAGGCCGGAGACCCATGAGTAAGATTGCCCTGGGGCTGATTCGGCGGTCTTGGCGGTCCAGCAGGTTGACTAGAGCTCAGGACGGGCGGCGGCTGGAGTCCAGACTGTGGCTGAGGGCCGGTATGTTGAGACGGTATGCGTCCAGTAGTTGCAAGTGCAGTATTTGTAGGGAGCTGGGATTGAGTGATGCGGGGAGTATGTGAAGAGGAAGGTCGTCCGGACTGTGACCGCGGTCGAGAGCCAGGACGGGGATATGTGTTTATATTATCGGAGGGTGACGGAGGATGAGAGGACGGCTGTGACTGCGGCAGCGGGGCGTGGTGGTGATTGTGCGATGGTGGGCGGGGAGGAGGCGGCATACCAAATGAATTATAGTTTTCAGTTCCTTGCTGTTGCATCTGCTCAAATTGTTGAGCTGGAGTCAGCTGGAAGGCGGTCCGGTTCGGTGGCGTATTGGCAATGTTAGATGGTAGGGTTCTTGACATCTCCCCCATTTGTGTTGGTGGTGTTGATGAAGGCACAAAGGGAAATTGGTTGTTGCCCCCCGATGATGTCTGTCCTGGAAACTGCGGCGCCGAAAAGTCCATAAAAGCCATGGGATTGTCGGATGCCATCTGGGGACGATTTATGTTAGGCTGCGACGGACCCGGACCCATATTCATGGCAGGGGTATGCGACGATGGATGTGAAGGGGGACGGGGCGAAGGAGGTATTTGCGCGGTCTGATGCTGAAGAGGAAGGGGTACAGGACTCTGAAAGTTGTTCTGATGCGACGATTGCATCCCACCTTGCATAGACTGCGGCTGACCTGGCTGAGGAATACCATTCATGATTCCCATCTGTGCTGACCCCGTCCTGACAACGTTCTGAGGAAGCCCTGGATTGCCGCTAGCGCTCCTCATCCCCATCGCCATTTCGGGGGACATATGACCAGAGGGCTGGCGCATCTGCGGCTGCTGCGCCTGTCCGTGTGCCGGTGGTTGTCGCATTTGAGTAGGCATATTGCCTTGCTGGTTTATTCCCATGGGCAAAGAGCCTATGTGGTTGCCGCCTGGGGGTAGTGGTTGGGTATGAGAGACCCTGCGATTAGCGATAGACTGCTGCTGCTGCTGCTGCTGCATCATAGGATTGTTGCCGAAATTGATGTTCTAGGGAGATGAAGAGAAATGAAAATTGAATAGAATATCAAAGCGAGTTGCAAGGAACACTTGCCATATGCGCGCCACCGGGGGACGGATTCATAGACTGGACGGGTCGCATCAGCATCGGACGCTGTGTCGGGCCCGCTGAAGGATGCTGCTGCTGGACTGGCATTGGATACCGCTGATGCTGAATAGACGGGTTCTGATTAGGTGGGCCGCCGCTCAACATGGCCATTGGCGGCACGGTCGATGATGGCATACCCAATTGCTGCTGCTGGCCAGGCTGAGGAGGTGACTGCATGAATGGGCCGCTACTGAGACCCAGCATTGGTGGCTGACCCATGCCTTGACGCAACATTTCAGGTCGAACGTTGACGTTCATGTTCGTAAAAAGTTGCCCCGGGAAGAAACTGCGACGCTCGGAAACCTAGACAGGCGGCTGCAAATAGAGTCTTCGAGCGTGTAGACGCACATAAAAGACAGGGAAAACGACGCAGACTGGTTGCAGTCTGCGAGCTGGAGAACTGCAGAGACACCGAGACAGATGTCAAAAAAAACGGAAATCTGTGGTGATCGGCAGGGCAAAGCGCACGCTGGCGACACCGGAGCTCGACGGGCAGAACGACAACGACGACAACAAGAATTGCCTCGGGAGCGACGTCGATAGCGTCGGGGGAAGAAGAGAAGTGCGGGAAACGAGGCTAGTCAGAGGCCAGCGCTCGTTGTTCAACGAATTGTTCCCACGTGGGAGCGTGCTTCGCTTCCTCTTCCTTTTTCGTATCTCTCTACTCCGGACCTCGTCGCCGTCAACGACGCTTTGACAACGACGACGACGACTGCCGCCGCCCGTCATGGTTCGCAAGCTCAAGTATCATGAGCAGAAGCTCCTTAAAAAAGTCGATTTTCTCAATGTATGTGTCTTTTTCCGTCGTTTTTCCACTCTCTAATGTTTGTCTCAGTGGAAACAAGACGCCAATCTCCGTGAAATCAAGGTCATGCGTCGTTACCATGTCCAGGACAGAGAGGACTACCACAAGCAAGTCTTTGTCTCTCATGTTATCATTGCTGTCGCCGACCTTGGGTCACAGGTACAACAAACTTTGCGGTTCTCTGAGGTCCTTTGCACACCGGATCTCGATTTTGCCTGCACAAGACCCATTCCGACCTCGCATGGAGAGCCAGCTACTGGCGAAACTGTACGATATGGGGGTCCTTAACTCCACGGCGAAGCTAAGCGACGTTGACAAAATCACCGTCGCTGCTTTTTGTCGCCGGCGTCTAGCCGTGTTCATGTGCATGACCAAGATGACAGAGACTGTTAGCGCAGTGAGTGTACTCCCATTTATCTCGGCGTCCTGCCCTTAGCGGAACAGGCCGCAAAATTTATAGAGCAAGGGCATGTTCGAGTCGGACCAGACACAATTACAGATCCCGCGTTCTTGGTGACAAGGTGTGTACTGTTTTTTTTTTGCTGATTGCTACTGACATTCTGGTAGACGAATGGAAGACTTTGTCACCTGGGTCGATACGTCTAAACTCAAACGGACAATCATGTCCTATAATGACGAACTGGACGACTACGACCTCCTGTGACCAGACTGACCGACGAAAGTATCATCATGTTCAATTATTTGCCTTTTGAAGGAATGCTTTCACGGACGCAATTACGTGTTAATGATACCATTCCTGCAAATCTCCTTCGGTCACCATCTGGACCAACATAGCACCATATGAATCTCGCATCATTAGACGCAATCTGAAGATGGGGCTACGTTCCTTGCGCTCCGGTTTGCGTCAGCCTTTCGGGAATAGACCATGGAGATGCGAATAGTGGAAATATTTGTTTTTAGACGATGGAGGAATTGCAGAGGAAATTTGATGTAGCGTCAGACTCCTTCCCATTCTCCTTCATGGGGGGTAAAAGCTGCTTCGCAGCTGTGGGGTAATCGAATAGCTTATATATTATCTTATCTTATCTTTCACGTGATGTTTTGATCTTTCTGAACCTTATTTTTTTTTACCCCCCATTACGGAGACTGGCGTCTTTTGCTATGGCGCGTTGCACATGTTTGGCTGAGCCATCCCTTTCTTACCTCGGAACGCACTAAATTGTGATGCTTGCTGCCCAGCTCCTGATGACTGAGTCTTCTTGCTCGAATAGAAGATCAGCGATATCTCCCGCACTTTCTCGTAGAGCAGCCCGAGAAGCATGGAGGTTTTGCGCAACGTGCCCGAACCGAAGGACCTGCACCAAGACGTCCAATATCACAACGTTGTTGTGATTGAGAATGTTATGATCTGGTTTAACCAAGGTATGCTGCTTTGTTCTTGTGTGTAGCCTACCATGCTGAAAAATAAGGTTTAGAGAGATTAAAGATCACGTGAAAGATAAGATAAGATAAACATTTAGTCAGCTCGGATTGCCCTCAGCTGCGAAGCAGCTTTTACCCCCCACGAAGGAGAGTGGGAAGGAGTCTGATGTAGCGTATATGTTGCCTTTGGTTGTCCTGTCCACTGTCGAATACGAAATTCATGTTTCTCAATTTCATCCTGTTGTATATTTGAGGAAAATACCGGCAATTTGTCCAGACAGTGCCAAACAAATGATCCAATCTCTTCCTTGTCTTCCGTGGCCACCAATTTTATGTATGCCACCGTACGGCGCAATGCCCAGGCCCTCGTCACTACCATTGCTGCTGGTAGCCAGACTTTGTCGCGACCTCTGATACAGAAACCGTCCGTTTACGGCCAACCGCTTCACCCATCACATCCTCACCTAGGTACTCGTCTCGCTCCAAGGCTTCGTCTAACTCACGCGTTCCTCTGTAGTTCAGCCAAATGAATTGACGGCTGGGATACCACATGAAGAATATGAGAGGCGGCGGAAGACGCTCATGGAAAGCCTGCCGGACAACAGCATGGTTGTCGCGGCAGCGGCACCAGTGACGTTCATGAGCGGTGGTACGTGGTTCTTAGTCTATACGTTGATGGATCGCTGGCCTGACATAGTCAACCAGAAATATTGTAAGTGGGTTCGCGTTTCTTGACCAGTCACCGATTGAACAACATCCAGTCACAAGTACCGACAGAATTCGGATTTCTGGTATCTTACCGGCTTTGAGGAGCCTGATTCTGCCGTTATTCTCGGTAAGCACTGTGACGCCGTGGGCTTGTACATCCTGCATGGAAATTTTGAAACTTCGCGACATTTTGAACATGAGTCCCAGTAGCGAAACGCGGCTCCGACCTCGGAATCAGCAAAGAAGACTCCCCTCGTTGCAAAACAGCGAAGGAATAAACCCTCGGCAAGAATCCAGGGATTTCTTTCTTACTAAGCCCATGAGCCTGCGAAAAGTCGCGAGGAATCATATGTGGAATAACAGGCCCACGTCGCGAATACCTGTTCCCGTTCTCCCGTGCTGATGACTTCACAGAGAAGAATTCGACGTCGCGCGGGTATTCAATGACTTTGTTCGTTAACGAAAAGGATGCATCCGAAGAGAAATGGTCCGGCACTAGAACAGGAGTCCGCGCCGCCGGAGAAGCCTTTCGTGCAGACGATGCCCAACCCATAACATCCTTCCCCAAGTATTTGGGCTCAATAGCATCCTCCTATTCTCACATCTTTTCTGACCCACAGTCCCACCAAGACGATTCCACGCCCAAAAAGTTCCTCAGATATCTATCAAACCCTCTCAAGAAACGTGCTCGTGAGATAGACGCGACCATGGCTACTATCTCTGGCTCACGACAACGCGCGCTAAAGTCCAAAGTCGCGCCATTGAGAGCTATAAAAAGTGAGGTAGAAAGACGCGTTATGCGAACCGCAGCAGACATCAGTGGGCGTGCCCATGCCAAGGTAAAGACCTGTATGTTTTTGTTCAGTGTGTTTTTCGTTGAAATGAGCCCAGACCATGCGGTTCACACATCCTGGAATGTCAGAAGCCGCATTGTCTGCTCATTTTGAATATCTGTGCTGTCTAAATGGCGCTCAGCGTCTAGCCTATGTCCCGGTAGTTGCTTCCGGGTATGTTCCTTTCACGAGATGTACAGAATATCGACGCTGACGTTTCTGTAGCCCGAATGCTCTAATCATACATTATACATCAAATAATATGCCGATCCAAAACAATGAACTCCTTCTCATCGATGCAGGATGTGAATATAAGTTCGTGTGCCTACTCACTTGTGATCAGTGATGCTTACTTTCTTACAGTGGTTACGCGTCTGATATCAGTAACGTATTCGCAAGTTCACTTGATGCATATCATGCTAATCCACTCTCATTTCAGCACGCACCTATCCCGCCAACGGAACCTTCACTAGACCACAGCATGATCTATATTCCGCCGTTCTTTCTGCACAAAAAGCCCTCGTGGCGTTGTGTCATGAAAGTGCCGGAGAGACCTTGTCCAGCCTTCACGCAACATCATGTCGACTACTCCGAGCTGAGCTTACCCAGATTGGTTTCAACGTCAGCACATCTGATCTCGCAAGAGACCTGTATCCGCACTCCTTGAGCCATCCGATTGGTATAGGTTCGTGTACAGTAATCTTCTCAGTTGATCCCTGTTCAAGCTTTTTACAAACCAAAACTCAGATCTGCACGAGTCACATACCATCAGCCGGGCGGCGCCGTGAGTGACTTCGTTTGTTTATTCTTTTCGCATCTTTTTCACCGCCAGATGACAGTCTCCAAGAGGGTATGGTTATCACGATTGAACCCGGTACGGGACAATAAGCATCTTCAGATTCTTTTGCCCTCATGGCATTTCTCCTGCTAGGCATCTACGTTCCTCCGCTACCTCAATATCCGAAGGCTTTCCATAATATGGGAATCAGAATCGAGGTTCATTCGTGACCCTGGATGTTTATTTCTACATCTTATTTTTTTTTTCTAGGATGAGGTTTTGGTGGGCAAAACGGACCCCATTGTGCTGACCGTATCCGCCCCCAAGGAAGTGAGTAGAATCCTATCCTTACCGGTGCCTCCCCTCCTCTTGAACTGATGACTATGATGATAGATTGCCGACGTTGAGGGCGCTTGTCAGGGTCTCTTGGGACTAGAGCCTTACTAGAATGAAATCAGACAAGCTTCGGCCCACGTGCACGAAGGAACTTTGATCTCTGTGGTTCGTCTGTTCGAAAAGAAAGATGCTTTGAACTTGCACCGCCATTATCTCCACTTCCTAGCTATGTCCGAGGCGACGTTCCCAAGGGTAGAGAACAATTGCAATCCTTTGTTGAGCTGCTATACTTGTTTGATAAATCTTGCTACACTGCTCCAACCATAACTTTCCCAGTAAGCTATACGCCATGAAACATGCGAAAAGACGGCAACATGCCACTTCGAGCAAGTTTGTGTACTTGGTGAAGGCGAGCACTCACCGCATAAGGTTACGGCAATGCGCCATTGACGAAGGGAAGGAGCAAACTTTGCAGAGGATTACCCTGGAGGTGGAGAAAGCCATCGAACACTCACAATGGCCGAGGACTAGAGTCGACTGCATCAGAAATAGTAATGCAGAGATTGTGAGGGTGATTCATCCCCAGTGTCGAGTAGGTGCAATGAAAACGTGAGGGGGACCGTCGCCCCTTTCTTCTCACAATCTCAGAACATAAGAAGAGCTGATATGAAAATGAACATAACTACCACGTATCTGCAACAGTAATCCAGAGCAAGGCGTAATGATGCAACATCTCTTCACTCTCACTCAGCAACTGTCTCCTGGCACCATTTCTCCACCGCCTCCCGTTTGTCAGATCTAAACTCTTTGTCGATAATTGTCTGAGCATCATCCACCCCATCCTCTTCCATGGTAGCTCCATTAGCTCTCCAAAGCCAACTGACAAGATCCGTCGCTGACTCTCCAACAGACGATTGGTGGTATCTCTGTTTCCTACCACCAGAAGCAGAAACCTCGTTGTCCGCCTCGGTGTAGTATTGCTGGGAGTTAAAACTATTGAGAATTGATCGGCTGCCTTCATCCAACCATAGGTGGAGCGCAGTCGCCCCATAGTGAAAATGGCATATGAAGAAAGGTGGGAAACTTGAACGGTCGTCAGGCATTCGGACGAATTTGTTTGACCACAACCGCTTCCCCTTCATGAAGTCCAGAAAATTCCAGTAGGCATCTGTGTCCAGCATCTGAAACTGTAGATACGCGTGCTGGGTATGTTGAAGAGACTCGGGAAGGATAGGCGGTGGGTGGTCCTCGGGATACAACACATCCTCCATGGTCATACAATCATTGGGAACCTCAGTATTCAAAAATAAGCGAAAGGTTGGTGACATCCAGGAAGAAGAACTCACATAAAAAAAGGCGCAAGTTTGGTAAGCTAGCCCTTTTGCGTGAATTTGTCTATTGATGAACATGGCGTTCTTTTCGTTGTCTATACCACCTTGGAACTTGATGCGCTCGTCGAGTCCTCTCGCTCGAATTATCGCTTCAATATACTAAAGATAAAGGAAGATAACGCTGTCAGCCGCTGAATAGCATACCGGGGAGCCTTTATTGTGGGGCAAAATATGTGCAGCTTGGCAGGCGGCCCATCTAACGGCTTCGCCCCAGTGAGAGAAACCATCCATGCGCTCTGCTGTTCCAGGCTCCATAATGATGCATCTCCCGCCATCCCGGCTGGCAATCATGTCCCTGTTGTGGTGCCAGCTCTCTTCAGGATTGATGGACGTTCTGGTGTCACCGCACTGAGCGTCCGCAATGCGGAGCGCACCTAAGGGTACGACATTAGTAACAGTAAGACAGACAATCACTTAGTATGCATTACCCTCTGCCACGAAATCGTACGTTTCATTCTCAACCACTGGCTCTTCCATGCCCTCTAGTTGTAAGTCCCGCCCGTCATGACGCAAATACCCGGATGTCCCTGAGACAGCTGTGGCGACATATAGCAGCCATTTTCGCCCACGGCGGGCAGAGGCGCTAATAATAGCAACTGGAATTTTTAGGAGAAGGAACCGTTCGTTGGTTGGTTTGTCGACCGCTATTCCTGGGAGCACTGGAACGCGAAGGAATGCATACGTTGGCTCTTGCCCCGCTGCCAGGATAGATCGCTCTAACGGAGAAAGTGCGCATCCTCGCCAAAGTGGTAAGTTGCACTTGTGAAAGCGGCATAATGGTCAACGGTCAAAGAACAGCGCAGGAAAATCTCCTGTATATGAACTAACTACTGTTTCAGGAGTGATTCAGCCCTCGTCTAGAGACATGGAAGCCAGTGAAACAACGAACTTTTTCAAGTTTCCGAGTCGGCCCGATAAACCTGTACTGTACGATTCGAGCAGCTCGATCAAGGCATAATTTATCCTCGTCTGGTCTTTACAGTCTCCAAGTCGAGTCTAACATACCAGAGGCGATGCATTTTACTCTTTCTCAATTTCAAGAAACTAACTTGCATGAAATTGACACTTGAAAGCGACAACAATGGGATTCGGCATATGGAGAAGGAGCATCGACTTGGCTGTGAAGACCAGAAACAAGAATGTGAAATGAAAGCTGGAGGCTTCCCTCCTTCATCGGAACATATTGAGCCCCGAATTACGAGATAAAATGGCCACGAATCTGTACAGTCATTGGCGACTGACCCACAGTGGAGATGTGGTCCCAGTATAATCCCTTGGAGGTTTCATCTTACCCCATGGTCTTCCAGGGTTACGCGAAGCCCGAGGATCACGTTAAAGTAGAACTGTAGTAAAGAGTTAACGATGATGTGATCAAGAGACCGAGTAGAGCATTTACCAGTTCAAGTTCTCTGGATTCGTTTGGCATAATCACGTAGTCCACCTTAAATGTTATGGTACAGCAAAGCAGTGGATTAGGCATTGCGGACATCGACCCGACGGTATACAGATAACCTCCCTTATAGGAGAAGGAGATGACCGAGTGCATGGAATTCACTTTCTTGATGATGGTAGACCGTTGTTTGGATACGATAGAACAGATTGAGAATGCTTGAATGTGGCCCTCAGCAGATGACTGAATAGCCCAGAGTTCAGAAAGAATACAGGGGATGAGCTCAGATGAAAGCGCCATCGAAGCTGCGAGACAAGACTGGAAGACTGGATTTAGACTGAATTAGTTGGTTTGCGCCGCATTGGCCTGATCAAGCTGATCCTGGTATCCGCTTTCTGCAAATTCTATCAGTGTGACCAACGGTGATGCGTGTATCCAAGTTCACCGGAGGTTAATTCCAACTTTCCTCGGTCAATTCAAGCATGCCTTTCTCTGTTTGAGAACCTTCAACGTAGTGACTTCTCCTCTGACGCTCCAGCCCGAAATTCATCTTCGACAATGCTAGTGCAAGTCGTGCTTGATTACCTGCATGGTATCCGACAATTCCGACCAGGTGATTTCCCTAGCAACGAGAAAACGCGGACAGCCCACCGCCTACCGAATAATGCCTGCTCATTCGAGCATCTGAATGCTTGAAGTCCCAATAGTAGCGCTTAGGCATTAGCAAATGTATGTGCAATTGAAAGAGTAAATGTACAGTGATAATGAGGGTAATAAGCACAGACTTAACAATACATTTCAAAATGGCAAGAAAACCAAGAAGGATTGGGAGGCAGAACGGAGGGTCGACTTGGTTGATGAATATTCTATGATAGTATCGGGCAGCCCCAACAAGATTTTAGTGCGATATGTCTGATAGAGGGTTGGTGCTTAGCCCAAACGAGTAAGGCGCAGACGCCGAGTGACAGCAAGAGCTAGATCCTAACCAGATCAATCAGTATACCGGAATGATTGAGAAAAGCCTCACTATGACAAGAACAGATAAGCGTCTAACGTGGCCCCGAGGAGGTTCAGGCTCCAGGAGAGCCTCTTCGAGGGCAACCTCTTCTTTCGTGGGTTGAGGCTATCCAGGTGATAAGAGTGAAGCATTCACAACAAGTAGGTCACTCACTCGGGCCACGGTGAAATAAACACGGTCATCCCAATCAATGTCTCCGTCGTGAGTTGTAGTCTGTGCAATTTCCGGTTGAAAAAAAAAAGCGGTCCAAATCGCCAAAAAGTGTACACACCATCAGGGGGTGATTCCTGTTGAAGTAGCCATGGCCATAGGGCTCGTATCGAAAGACGAAGGAAGGCAAGGGAACGTGTTGGTAGTATATCGTCATGTTGGGAGGAAGAGAATCTGCTTGACGAAGAACCGAGTGCATAGAAGGGAAAAGACGGTCCCGAGTCCGGATCGGAGGCATGGTGAGGGCGAAGAAAAAAGAGAGAAAAGAGCGTGGTGGGAAAATCGACGTCGGTCGGCTACCCTTGTTTTTAAGTGCGCCTGTGCTTCGATATCGGAAGTAGCATCCGTATTGAGCGACTTTCCAGTGTGTTTGGCGTAAACACAGAATGACATAAGGCGAATATCGACCTTAATTTGATCCCGCGGAGACGCTCACTCGTTATAGCGTCATACTCGTCCTTCGAGACACCGGCAAGAATGACACATTCGAAAAGATTGGCCCAGGTACAAGGAGTCGTGTCCACAAAACTCCCTGCTTACGCCGGAAGCGTTCGTTCGAATTCGAAACTGGATTGAATACGCTGGAAATCGAATAGCAGCCTCGACGCCTTGTACCGGTTTATTCTGGCGGAAACTTGGCATTCTCGCTTGTGCTGTCTGTCCTCACGTCTGGCCATCTTACTGGTTACGCGTATATTCCAAATCTATGCCCTCTATGCTGTCAATGGCTGTATGGCACCGACGGAGGCAAATCGACTGCCCGTTATTGTGACCTTACATTACATAATAATATCACGCCTATCTGTGACGATTCGTGAGTCACGGCCCCTAGCAAGGCTTATCGTTGTACACCCACCGTAATCTCTAATAGGCCAGCCTCTGTCCTCCGTAGTTGCCATAGTCCAAGGATAAGGCAAACATAGTGTGCTTTCAAGACTGTTCACGGCCTAGCAAGAGCTGCAAGATCTGTCTGGACGTCAGGACCGCTACCTGCGAGTTTCGTCAAGGATAAGAGGATTACCTGAAGACCTGAAGAAACTGAAGACATACCTTCAAACATTCTATCCAAACACTGCGCCCCCAACCCAATTCAACAAAACCGCCCTGTTGTAGCCATCTCTGGAATCTTGAATATCTTGAGCGCCCTAAGCGAATGTCCATAAACCGGATAGACCTGAAGACTGAAGGATCCATCGACAATCCAGGGAGACTATTGCTATATTCCCAAGTTCAAGAGTGCCAACGGCTGATTTTTGTCGTCCGAGATCGGTAAAAGGCGACGGTGGGTTAGCAAGTCTCACTGCAAGCCTCCACGCGAGTCCTGGAAGGCCCGGAAAAGAACGAAATGCCGTCGAGAAGCCTTGAAGACAATAATGGAAGACCTGCTGGCGTCCTGAACGAAAGCAGAGTCGAAGGCATTTGATTTCGAGAAGATTGACCATCCCACTCTTCAAGTTTCTTTCCAAGATATCGAGGCTGTCATCTTGAAGCCTTTATAGAAAGGCCGTAAATACGAGCCTGTATCAAGAGAACGAGCTCGACGACAGAGGCAAGGATGGTGGTGGTTTGACATTGGTGTACATCGGTGTACATCGGTTGTCACACAAACAAACTGCCGTCCAAATTCGAATTATTTATGTCGCCGAGCACTTCAGAGCCTTTTCTGGTTGCCCTCTTTCTTGGTCTGCACTCAGATATTCACCTGCGTTATTTTCTACATTTTTATTTCGATTTTGAACCCCTCAGCGATTGTCTCGGACGACGGCAGCTGCCACTGGCTTGACGGCACCAATTTTCTGGTTGCCAATCGTTCAGACAAACTTCCGGATTCGACAATTCTTTTTTGCCACGGTCAGAAATAATTCCAGGGCCGTCGCCGTCGTCCGTCTCTTCCAGCCGGTTTCACGAAGTGCCACCTACAACTCGTAGGCTCGCAGTCACAAAGTTTGTTTGGACTGTTATGTAACAGCAACCTGTCCTATTAGACTACAGTCTTGGAAGTAATGGACCTGGTTTCCCCTTTACTGCTTAGATCCCGGAACCCATAGGCTGCTCAAGCTTACTCTGCATATTTAGTTCGGATGATACTATGCATATGATTGCTCTTCTACCCCGGCTCTAACACACGAGCGCCCTCGTCACTCGACACCTTGATCCGAATCGACCTCGGTGTAAGCAGGTGCCCATGCTTGGTTTTAGTCTTGAAGAGACTATGCAAACCTAGAGGAATCGCATAGGTCCCAGGTATGCATGCGGAATACTGCAACCCTTTCCTGATACTGACATTATATGTTGTACTAGCATTTTCCTTGCAATCGGTTGGCTATGCGAGTCTATTCCATTTCGATCCACTTCAAAGTTTATTCCCCCCCAAGTGGCTCCCAAGTGGTTTATTAATTCCTACAGGTGCTGATCTCTGCATCAAGCATGGTTGACGTACATCGTCGAGCTAGTTACCTCTTCCTCGACAACAATACCCTGGGGAACACTTTCGATATTGAAATGAATTCACATCTATTAGGGGAAGTGCTCCCCGGTCATCCTGAATACATCGACGACTTCTATTTCGCCTCCATTGCGAGCCGCAGTTCTTATCTTGAATGAACCGGCCCGTAGCCGCGATGGATAAGGCTGCCATATGCCCAAATTCTCATCCGCGCGAAGTCGATTGCACCCTCCGTTCTCTACGAATCGATCAACGATGAACATCCTTCAAGGAAAACATCGTCACTTGCGCTGCTGGCAGCAGACTAGCACAAATATGAACGTACTGGGTATATTCGCGCCACGTATAAAAAATGGGGCATCGCACCTCCTCCCATCATGGACCACTAATAACCCACCCACGAATGCGATCGACTGACGAAATCTCTGACAATACTATCAGGGAAACGACTTTAGGAAACGATAAAACAGAATATGACAGTAATTCTGTTAAGACATCCACAGGCCTGGAAGATTTTCCAGACGGTGGATTGAGAGCTTGGTTAATTATTGGAGGGGTGCGTTACTATAAGGCGGACGCCTACCTAATCTGACCATGAGTGCTTGTTTCCCAGACCATGTGCAGCACCTTCGCAACGTGAGCGTTAACCACAGCCCTCTGGCGCTGCTGACTTGCGTTTCACGGTCCAAGGGTCGGTTTTGTGAATGCGTGGGGGGTCAGTGTGATTTTTCGATCTTCGAAAGATTCCTGGTACTCAAATTCAATAGGTATACCAAGAATATTATGAAGAGACCTTGCTGAAAGACTCTAACCCCTCTACCATGTGAGTCTTCCTCTTTGCATCTTTCAAACACATCCACTAACCACCTGAATAGTGCATGGATCGGGTCTGTCCAGGTATCTTTGATTATCAATCTCTGCAATACGCTGGTACCTACGTAATGGAACAGTATGCTCTCATCTTCTTTCCAGGCCTAATAGTAGGCCACCTATTCGACATTGGGTACTTCAGAATCCCATTCATACTCGCGACTATCCTGCTAGTCGTATCAACTTTCCTCATTGCTGAGTGTTCCCAGTACTGGCATTTCCTACTTTGCCAGGGCTTCGCCATTGGGGTATGTTTTTCATTCGCATTCGCTCATCATTCTTTGAACTCGGTTCTTAGCTGGCCTGTGGGACGATATTTAGTTGCGTTGTAGGTATCGTCGGGCATTGGTTCCGACGACGACGAGGGATCGCCCTGGGTTTGACATCTGCCGGGGCGGCGGTTGGCAGTACTGTGTTCCCAATAGTTGCTCATAATCTTATGAAGAACATTGGGTGTGTACATTCTCTTCGCAACTTAGCTTACTGAGAGAATTACCTTGAAGATTCGCGTGGACAATGCGAGCCATTGCCTGCATCCTTGTCTTCAGCATGGGTATCGCCAACCTGACAATGAGACGCCGACTTCCCCCCGCAAACTCATCGGGAGGGATCTTCAACCTGAAGGCGTTCACCAACACACCTTATACTCTTTGGTGTCTTTCTACTTTCACCGCATTTCTGGGGATATATACAGGTGCGATTATTATATTCATCGTTCACCAATCAGCTTGCCCTTCTGATACCGGCGTTCTCCACAGTTTTGACTTATATTAGTGTCAGCGCCACTGCTTACGGCGTCTCGCCCGATATTGCGTTTTACCTTGTCTCTACCGTTAATGCCAGCTCAGGAATTGGAAGAATAATAGCAGGGACTTGTGCCGATCGATTCAGTATTTCCCATTCCATCATTTATTTAAACCCTGTTTCCAATTTATTTGCAGGGGCCTTGGATTTCTTCGGGCCCATGACAATCATAGCAGGTGCCCTCACCTACGCATGGCCATTCGCCCGGACTGTGACTTCCATGATCGTCGTCGCAGTTATCTACGGGTATGTTATCTCGGTTCTAAACATCTCGTCGATGCTCAAGCATGAGCAGATTCTCTAGCGGAGCATATGTCTCCTCGTTCCTCATTCCGGTCTTCGAACTAGGCGATATTAGTGACGCTGGACGACGCACAGGAATGACAATGTCGATAGCAGCCCTTGGGGCCGTTGCGGGTCCACCGATCTCTGGGGCTATTAATACAGCAACCGGAGGCTTTGAGGCTATGGGTTATTATGCAGGTATGAGAGTTACGATTCTTTGGTCTCGGAGTGCCAACGGTTTTAGTAGGGACAACTATCATGCTCGCCGTGATAGTGATGTACATCGTCCGGCATCTTATTGTTAAAACATCCTGAGGAAGATTTTGACCATAGTTTGTGGTTATATTTAAATTTGGATGATTTAGAAACATACGACTTCTTATAAACTAAGTTGGGACTGCGGTCATATTGAAAATGCATATTGTATAAGTATCTGAATGTACCGCTTAAATTCTTTGATACGAAACTTCAGTATGGCATTTTCAACAGATTTTGACAAGATGGTTCGTATCATTGCAGAAAGCTGGTCCGTGACCCTTGTTACACTCCTGACTATATCTTAATCAAGTGGTACAGTGCGATGCTGACAGGAGCTGTCCAGGCAGCACCCACGCCATATTTTCTAAAAGACGGCTGCGGTAACGGTAACCCTTCCCTTCTCATCCTATTCTTTTCATACAAGCCCACCTTCGGATCAGGCAACAGCGCCTTGATTGTGGAGACTAGCCATAGCGTCTCCTTGAACAAGAACATCACGACTCCATTCCTTGACCCTAGTCCAAAATAACCAAGTGCCTCATCCGAAAATAGCGAGCAAAATACGGCGCGCCCAACAAAACGCAATGGCTTGGGGAACCACTGCTCCTCAAATTGCTCGGCAAAGGCTTTGCCCGCCCGACGTGCCGTCTCGCTGGGCTGCGGCCAAGGCCGACGGCTCCAGTCGTCGTTGAACTTGACGCAAGCGTCAAAATCTGCGGGGAAGCGCTCAAGAGGGACAAAGGAACCGCCTTCCATGAAGAACCCTTTATAGAGCTCTCTAGCAAAGAGATACCAGGCGCGCTTCATATGAGGGGGGGTACCCGGCCAGACCGGCCAAGCACATCATGTTGTGCATTTGCACCGCAGCAACGGCGCAGGGCTCGATAAAGTCATCACAGTGATCCCAGCTACCCGGATGCTGTTTGGCGAGACGCATGTTTTCACTGTGGATAAGACTGCTCGGCCCAAACTCGAAGAGGGAGAGGAAGGACTCGCGAGTGTCCTCAAAGCGCTGTTGTTTTTTGTTGAATATTTTGTTTGTATGGACAATGGCGCTGAGGCCGACGGGGTTCATGACAACGAGAAAGAGGGTGACTGAGTAGATGATGTTGGCAATGAACTCGTTTACATGGTAGTTCATAAACGTTTTCACCATCTCCTCCCAGTCAGTCTCTGGGTCAAGAGATGCGAGATACTTGGAATCCTGGTCAGATAGTCTGATCCTGGTAGAGTAAATATAAGATACTTACAGCATCGATCCATTTATACCCAGACTTGTCGGGGGAGTATTTGGCAAGAGTGCCACCCACGTTTTCTCGTTGCTGGAAAAATGGCCTAGTCAGAAATTTTGGATGTCAAAGTTCAACATAAGCGGCCACTTGCGGCTGCACTGCCGGCGTGAATTTTCTAAGGAGTGACGACTATGAGTGTTCGGCGTGAAAACGTGTAAGGATTACACTACGTACCTCAGTAGGTTCTAAGACAAAGTAGGCATTGTCTGAAGGGCTGGTGATTAGTCGAGGTTGATGGATTCAATATTTATCTGTGGTCTGTTCTAGATATTTTACTAGCAGGAGAGAAGCGTGCTAGAATAATAACGATGTCAGCCGGAGAATGTAGTTCCGTCCTCTTCAAAGACGCTATTACTTACCGGGTCACGTTCGCACTCCAGCGGCGAACCCTTGCCGTACGTCAGCCCAGAAGCTCCCACCAAACTTTGTCCGGCAAAAATCCCAAAATTGTTCCTCAAATATGCAACTTTTGGGGCTCAAAGTATGCTAACTCTCGGACAAAGTCGCTTTCGGGCCTCCCGGGCCGGGGCCCGTACAAAACTGGTCGCCTGAATCGACTATATCCGCGGACTTCGCCGTCTAGCACTGACGACCGACTTTACCTGCTTTTGACATGACTACAAATTTTCGTTGGAATTTTCTGGGAAAATATTGCGCAGAGGAGTCAGAAATCCAAATCGGGACTGATACCGGTTCAGATGTCAGGGCGATAGTGTCACCGCCAGGCCAAAAATATGCTAACATCCGGACAAAGTTCGACGACGTTTGGACCCAAAATAGCCCAAAATATGCTAACTGCGGACAAAGTTTTTGCGTTTTTGGGGCCTAAAATATGCTAAAATCTGGACAAAGTTTGGCGGGAGCTTCTGGGGGCCTCGTACGTCGGACGCGTCCGCATTCAATACCGTATTATTTACTCACCAGATGACTGTTGGCGATTGCTGGATTTTAACAGGTATCATCACAGCGCGTTAGGGTTTTAAAGGGCTTCACTTTTGTTTCTTTTGTTGTACGGATATGGCGGGATAGAGACCTTCTGGTAGCTTGGAAATTTTAGTAACTTGAAGAAGTCATGATCAGTAATTACTCGGTCGCCTCGGTGGCAGCAGAAGCCACCACCAGCTCGCATTTTCTCTCAGAATTGCTGTTGGAGAGAGAGGAAGTTCGGCCGAGCAACTCCGTGGAGAGCGTAGTACTTGATAGTAACGTGAATTGGCACAGTGTAACATAAATTTAGGGCTGACAGGAGGCACTGGCAGGGCGGGAAATTTCGATGGCGGCAAAGTCCGATGACATACGGCTCGGCGAGAAACCACCCTCCCTCTCTAAGACTTTCTACTAACGTAGCAGGAATATCTCTTTCATTTCTTATCGCATCTCTCAGAAACTCAAACGCGATATTTCCACACTAGAAATAATTTGTCTCGCTTTTCATGATCCATAGTATGTGTTGGTATTTCACCGGCTATCGATATGCGAACTGAAGATGATGTTGGAATGTCAAGTGTCGCGCATCATGGTGCAGTCGACGTCGGGATCTTCAGTAGGAAGCACCGTTCATCTGTTCTCCTCCTCGGCTTTCCTTATTACATCTTATTGCTTCTATTAGTGTACACGGCATGTAGATAAATAGGTAGATGAACGACGATGACCCTCGCCTGTTTGCGAGGGTTCCCTGCTATATCCGGGTGAGCGGCTGGAGAATTACCGCTTATCTCAACAGATGACCACCCCCTCGATGACTCCGTCACGATGCGCTTTAACGCGCTTTCTGTGGACTGGAATGTTTCCGGCCATTTTAGCACAACGAGAGGCTAATTTTTGGCTTTCAGAGGTAGTCAAAACGTCTACTATGAGTGAGAGACCGATTTCGATGGTTCTACTGTGATCAGGGAATCGCGTGCGGAGAAGCGTCCTGGAGCTTGAAGACGACATTTATTACACGGTGAAATCATACGACCACGCACTCACTCTTGACAAAGAAATTTATACGTGCATTTGTTGGGCATTTCATGGTACCTACATCTTCCTCTTAGCCAGAAAATAGCGGCGGCTCTGAATGAATAGGGATCAAAAAGCTTCTCCTCTAGAACGTCCCATCGTGTTGTTCGTCGGCGGGGTCATGGCGTGACGGGGAAACATCAAATGGTCCGCTTGAAAATATCGAACTATATCCCTAAGTACATCCACAGGAGATCCGTTACCATTTCTCCCGTTCAAGACGGCGGCTCGATACTCTAGAACATCATTCATCACTGCTGCGGAATCATGGGATTCCATCCTTATAGAGTTTGCAAGCAAGAGAGCTGTATATATGTGTAAGTTACATAAGTCTAGTGGTTACTAGTTATCGCAGCAAACTGCACTCAAAACCTTCCTCTCAACGTTCCAATAACCAGATACCGGACGACGTACATCAGTATCACAGCGAGCATGACAGCGCTGCCTATCAGGACTAAGTATTAGCACAAAATTCTCGCGGACCGAATCACCCGGTTCTCATACCTGCGTAGTACCCCATGGCTTCAAAGCCCCCCGTTGTCGTATTGATAGCCCCAGAAATCGGCGGACCCGCAACGGCTCCAAATGCCGCTATCGAGAACGCCATACCTGTACGTCGCCCTACATCGCTTATCTCGCCTAGATTAATCATCGGGATGAGGAACGACGAGATATATGCTCCGCTGGAGAACCTATGTTTCCTTCAGCGTTACTCAAGTCAAAACTGGGAGACGACCGTACCCATAAATCACTGCGACGGCAATCATAGAAGTTAAATTCCGTGCGAATGGCCATGCATAGGTGACAGCACCCGCAATGATCGTCATGGGCCCGAAATAGTTCAGGGCACCTGTAAAAGTGTTAAGAATCAGTTCTGATCTATGGATTGAAAGGTCGGGTACCTAGTCGATCAATACACATCCCCGATACTATTCGTCCGATACCCGAGCTGGCATTAGCGATAGCAACGAGATAAAATGCGACGTCTGGGGAGACACCGTATGAGGCGGCGCTGATGCTGATATAAGTCAAAACTATTAGGCATAAAATTGAGAACGAGTGATATCCAATCGAGGGAGCATACACACCTGTATAGAGTCCTAGAAAGGCAAAGAAAGTTGACAGACACCAAATCGTATATGGTGCACTTTTGAACGCTCTCAGATTAAGAATTCCTCCGGGCGAATTCACAGGCGGAAGCCTGCGTTTCATTGTCAAGTTGGCGATACCCAAACCTACTACGAGGATGAAACCGATGATTCGCATAGTCCACGGGAATCTGGACAGAACTGAGAAGAGCTGTACTATAACGAAATAGATACGCACCCTACGGATTTGATGAGCCTGCGAGCAGCTATCGGGAACACGGTCCCCCCAATCGACGCGCCACTGGCCATTACACCCATAGCAATCCCTCGTCGATGCCGGAACCAATGCCCTACGATACCAATACTTGGACCAAATAATGTCCCACAAGCCATCTGGGAAACATGAGTTATGTGGTGGGAGAAGCAAACGCGGGTAGGACAAACCCCGACAGCGAAGCCCTGGCAGAGCAGGAAATGCCAGTACTGCGAGCACTCGGCTAGGAGAAACGTTGCTACGACAAGCAGGATGCTCGCTAGCATGAACGGCACCTTGAAGTGTCCGATATCGAACATTCGACCTGTAATGAGACCCGGCATGAACACGAGCGCGTACTAGATGATTGAATGCATCAGTATACTACTAGAATGTATACAGATGAGAGAATACCTGAACGGAGCCAATCCATGCACTGAAAAGGTCAGCGACGATCACTGAATGAGAAGAGGAAGACAAACATGGTAGAAGGATCAGAGTCATTCAACAAGGTTTCTTCGTAATATGCTTGAAAAACCTGTTGTAGTGTCAGCGTCATTTAGAACAGTGAATGAGAGAAATGCTCACCCCCCATGTATTTATGAATCCAAATCTAGTCTACTAGGTCAGCTCACTGAGAGGTGATTATACCGCTGCTAGCGCTCACGTTGAGAACGTGCTGCACATGGTCTGTAAATTCACCCAAGTGGTCAGTGTCGAAAGATCTTGAAGACGAGAACTTCACTCACCCCTGAGATAACCAACCAAGCTCTCAACCCGCCATCAGGAAAAGCTTCCTCAATGCCTGGGGATAATCTGTCGTTCTTTTTTGTTTTGGCTTCCCCTACAGGAGTTTCGGTGACAGTCTTTTCGGAAACATCGTCAGTCGACCGAGTCTGAGTGTGGGATATGTGATGGGCCATGACTGCAAAGACGAAGGAACACTCCAGTCCTCATTCATTGTCGCCGGTATGTACATAGCTGCAACGATCCATCTGTCACCGATAGACTGCCTCCGAGCCAAGATCGCATTGAGGAACCCCGATATGTTCGTTAGTACACGGTTGACACAAGATGTTGGACCGCGGCTCATCTTGGTAAGATGCCGATAGGCTTTTGGGTCTTCCGTCCCTGGCCGGGATGGCATTAATGCATTCGAAAGAAGCCTGGCAACTGATATCCGGCTTGAACGGTGCGAACGCAACGACTACCGAATGATTGGGAAAAGAATACCTAGAATGAGCGTTCGACTTCCGTTTTGTGGGAGAACAGTAACAATCATGTACGTCGTCGAATACAGTTCGATACATTGAAGCAGAAGTGTCCCATACATTGCTCCGAAATGACAGGTAAACGTTAACCGTCGAGGGGCATATGTTGATTGACCTGAATACACACAGTGGGAGAACGAACCTAACACGGGTGAAACTGTTAGTGACGAAAGCTGGCTACTGTACCTACCTACGCTTAGGTATGTTTTGGTTTAACGTCAAGTTCTTGAAGAAACGCTGAGCTGTCTGCTCAAACACTGGTTGAATGATACCGACATGCTCCAAACAATCTTTGTGATAGTGGATTATCGGCATCCTAAGTAGGCTTCATGCTGCGACTAGTGCAATGACTAAGACGGCGTCAGTCGCAGGTGGCATCTTCACGAAACCGGCTTGCAGAGACGGAGGACAGCGGCGGCCTTGGAATTATTTCTGACCGTGGCAAAAAAGAATTGTCGAATCCGGAAGTTTGTCTGAACGATTGGCAACCAGAAAATTGGTGCCGTCAAGCCAGTGGCAGCTGCCATTGCTCGAGACAGTTACTGAGGGGTGCAAAAATCTAAATAAAAATGTAGAAAATAACGCAGGTGAATATCTGAGTGCAGACCAAGAAAGAGGGCAACCAGAAAAGGCTCTGAAGTGCTCGGCGACATAAATAATTCGAATTTGGACGGCAGTTTGTTTGTGTGACAACCGATGCACACCGATGTACACCAATGTCAACCACCACCATCCTTGCCTCTGTCGTCGAGCTCGTTCTCTTGATACAGGCTCGTATTTACGGCCTTTCTATAAAGGCTTCAAGATGACAGCCTCGATATCTTGGAAAGAGACTTGAAGAGTGGGATGGTCAATCTTCTCGAAATCAAATGCCTTCGACTCTGCTTTCGTTCAGGACGCCAGCAGGTCTTCCATTATTGTCTTCAAGGCTTCTCGACGGCATTTAATTCTTTTCCGGGCCTTCCAGGACTCGTATGGAGGCTTGCAGTGAGACTTGCTACCCACCGTCGCCTTTTACCGATCTCGGACGACAAAAATCAGCCGTTGGCACTCTTGAACTTGGGAATATAGCAATAGTCTTCCTGGATTGTCGATGGGTCATCCAGTCCTTAGGTCTATCCGATTTACGGTCACTCGCTTATGGAGCTCAAGATATTCAAGAATCCAAAGACGGTCAGCACAGGGCGAGTTTGTTGAATTGGGTTGGGGCGCAGTGTCTGGATATAATCTTTGAAGGTATGTTTTCAGTTTCTTCAGCTTCAGGCATTTCCTTGTCGTTGACTATACTCGCGGTTAGCCATTCCTGGATGTCCAGATGAATCCTTGCAGCTCTTGCTCTCCCTTGAACACCTTGAACAATATCGAAAGCACACGACGTTTTGGACTCTGTCAATCGCGAAGGATGGAACTGCTAGAGATTACTGTGGGTGTACGATTGTAAGCTTCGGTTCGCACTGGGCAGGGTTTGTGACTCACATATAGCTGTAGCAAGTGATATGTGTGACATAATTCTGTAACGCATGTAACGTCACAATTGGGCAGCGAGCGTCAGACAGCCAGCGACGGCGTGGGCGGTATAGATTTGGAAAATATGCGCAATAAGCAAGACGACAAGACGTGAGGGCAGACAGCACAGGCTCGAATCCGAAAGAGGCATCAGAAGAAACTTATTGGTTCAAGTCGCGATTAGATTTCCAGCATATTCAGTGCAGTGTCAAATTCCAGCGAATGCCTCCGGCATGATTAGAGGGTTTACGAACAGCGAGTCTTGACATTTGGGTTAATCTTTTCGAACGCGTCATCCTTGCCGACGTCTCGAAGGATGGGCATGGTAATATAAAGCGTGAGCGTATCCGCGGGATCAAATTGGAGGTCGATATTCGCCTTATGTCATTCTGTGTTTACCACCAAACACACTGGATACTAGCTCAATACGGGTGCCGCTTCCGATATCGAAGCCCAGGTGTATTTACAAACAAGGGAAGCCGAACCGACGTCGATTCTCCCACCACGCTCTTTTCTCTTCCTTTTTTTCGCCTTCATCATGCCTCCCGTCCGAAACCGGGATCGTCTTTTCCCCTCTATGCACACGGTTCTTCGTCAAGCAGATTCTCTTACTACGAAGGCGACGATATACTACCAATACATTCCCCTACCTTCGTTTGTCTTTCGATACGAGCCCTATGGCCATGACTACTTCAACAGGAATCATCCTCTGATGGTGTGCACACTTCTTGCAATTCCGACGATTTTTTCTTTTCAGCTGGAAACTGCACAGACTGCAACTCATGACGGATATATTGATTGGGACGACCGTGTTTATTTCACCGTGGCTCTCGTGAGTGACCTACTTGTCGTGAATGCTTCACTCTCATTGCCTGGATAGCCTCAGCCCACGAAGGAAGAGGTTGCCCTCGAAGAAGCTCTCCTGGAGCCCGAACCTCCTCGGGCCCACGTTAGACGCTTATCTGTTCTTGTCATAGTGAGGCTTTTCTCAAGTTCTGGTATATCACTGATTTGGTCAGGATTTAGCTCTTGCTGTCACTCGGCGTCTGCACCTCAGTCGTTTGGGCTAAGCACCAATCCTCTATCAGACACACCGCACTAAAATCCTGTTGAGGCTGCCCGATATTGTCATAGAATTCCATCACCAAACCGACCTTCAGCTATGCCTCACGACCCCTTCTTGGTTTTCCTAGTCATTTTTCGATGTATTGTTACGTTCGTGTTGTTAGCTTTGTTCTCACTGTACATTTACTTCTTCAATATATCAAAAACCGCGATATTTTTTGAAGACATAGAGTGTATTTTCAGTTTTCCAGTGGACTCATCAATCATCACGGATTCCACAGGTTGCTGACGTGGACGAAAGCCCGTTTTCTACAAACATGGCAATCGGCGGAACAATCACGCCCCACTCATGATTTAGCAACTCATCAGGTATCCCAATTCCTAGAACGAAAACCGCAGTCTGAAGCCCTTGAGCAGACCCAACTCTTAAATTCTGGCTCGTAAACGTCGGTGGTAGAACGTCGGTGGTAGGACCCCGGCGGGGCACTTCAGGGATCAACCCTGCCCTTCGCCAGTGTCCATCCTATGACACTTGAGTCTCGTCGTTATTTATGATCATCCTGGAGACATGAGCGATAACATACAATCAAAAGCCCATTTATTGGCATTACAACATGGCATCACGAAAGCAACTCGACAGCAACAGCAATACAAGAGATACAGAAAGCACACCAGCATATACAGTCAGACATCTTCCTTCCTCTTAAATTCTTGGCTCTAGATATAGAACATACTATCCTTGATATCGTCGTGAAGCTGCAAATACAAGTCAGTCGTGATACCACATAACAAACAAACACTCACCCCATGGCCCCAAGCCTCCTGAGCAGCATCAAATACTCTCGCTGCCTCTTCATCCCGATTGAGCGACCCAGAAACAGTCGAGGAATCATCCTAACAAGAACTCGTTCAAGTAGCACCTTCCCCTTTCGCACGCCAAATCTGCATAATACGCCGCCGGAATGAGACTCACAGCCCTCGTGGACCGTGCATATAGATAGCTCGTATCGTTCGTCCCCTTCTGAAGATCATCCACACCAAGATCGTTCTCGTCGTAGATGACAACGTAATGCGTCGGTTTGACCGTACCCTGAAGACCGGCGTGGGCTTGGAGATAGAAATCATAGTCAAACCTGCGCGTAAAGGCTAAGAATAGCGCACTGGAAGAAAAAGAGATGACTCACACTCCGGTAATCCCCTGGTCAACCACCGTTCCAGGTTTCGTGTTGCCTTTCTTATCTGCATTCGTCCTATCTGTAGGGTAGAACCTGAGAATAGTTGAGCTAAAATCAAGGGGAAGGACAGTGCCAGCCTACTGAGCATTATGGCGCTTCCCGCATATGATGACAGATACAAGGGGTTTGTACGTCTCCCCGTCCTTGGTATCGAGTTTCTTCGCAGCCTCCATAATTTGCGCGACTTCTTCTCGAATCACAATATTATACTGGCCCTAAAACAGTATCATTGAGAGCGTCGCAATGAATTGCCACCATCACTCACTTCGGAAACACCATCTCGGAACACAAGAATCCTCTCCGGCAAAGCGTCGTTTTTCTTCTTGTGAGCTAACAGACGCTCGAGCATCATATGTTGCAGCTCCTCGACAACCTAAATGAAATCATAAGCAGTTGCGGGAAAACTAACAGAAAAGGATCTAACCTCTTTCGAATGCTTATTAGTATCAGGTCTTTGAATCCTCATGCTCGCAGGGAACTGGACGAAGTCGTCATCCACGCTTGCCACGACCGCCGCGATAGATGGAGTGCCAAATCTCGTCCCTGGGGTAGGGATGGGTAACGTCGATCCCTACCATCATCGTCTTCTTCTTGCGCAACCACTCCATGGCTTGGTCATCCAACTGAACACATCCCCTCAGTCCGTATGCCGCACCCAAAAAGTGAAAGAAATTCATACCTTATGATTGATCCCTCCAAGCTTGATATTCACCTTCAATGCGATATTCGAAAGGTATTGGTCCTGTCTCTCTACTTTCATAGCATTCTCAAGCTGCATCGTAACCTGTTTGCAATCCCAGCTCAGAGTCTCCGATTCCGCTGGTATCGTCTGTCAATAACGCTATTTTCTAATTACAAAAGAATTACCCACTTTGACACCAGGATAGATGAAGTTGTCCCTATGCATTAACAGTACTAGCACAAAACTGGGCCTGGGACCGTTTTGCATCGCATTCTGCAGACACGATCTGATAGTATTCAGAGAATTGATCCCTCCCCGGATCCTCCTCTAGAGGAGCCAACGGCAACGGGTACAGTAATCGCGGCATTCCCGCTGGGACATTCATCCCAGATGATTGCAGCTTCTCCAAGAACGCCATAATCAACGGCTTGATATCCTTTGGGGGCGGATATTTATTATTTATTCGCTCTCGTATAGGGAGGACCCAGAATCCGTCGATAGTCGCACCGCGATGGAACTTAGACCCGAGAATGTTCCACGAACCGTTGGTAACCCTGCGCGTTCCTTGACCATACGACAACTCCGGAGGGGGGAGTTCACGAGCGGGGATGACGGCCATTTCCTGGTCAATGGAAATGCCAAACCCATCTACGGGTGGCTGGGGAGGCGAGAGAGATAGATTGCTGAACCCTTCCCCAGTTATAGACTCCGCATTAACGTGTGGGGGGTTACACGCGTGTCGGATCATCTGTGCTACTTCTTGATTGCTCAACCGTCCTCGGTACGGATTCCCAGCTTCAATCGTGCACAGTTCAGCAGGCAGCCATACTGGTCTCTTGGCATTCCCAACATTGACCACTGGAAGGTCAGCTCCATGAATCAGATCAATTTTATACTCTGTACGAAGGTGTGTGAGTTTCATGCATGCCGTCTAAAGACAATCGTACACACTTTTCTTGAAGAATTCTTCGATTGACATGTCGTTCTTTTCAAATTCTTCGCAAGGAAAGGTAGTATTTTGTGCAGATTTGTGGCCAATATCCCAGAGTTTATAGCGTCGCTTATGTCCAAGATAGGTGGTGACGACTTTGATGCTCCTGGCAAGGCCCTTGGGAAGCGTCGGCATCCCGCCCAGAGAATCCCGATTGAACAGTTCAAGAACATCTGCAAGGTTGCCTGGCTTGACGAATGGGGCCATACATGCTTTTCTGATGAGACGGTTAACATGAGTTTTCATTCCTTGCATGCGAAACTCACATGTTAACCATTAATTGCTTATAAGCTGGCCGAACAGATATAGAAAAGCCTCTCCATGCCTCAATGCTGGGCCCCAGGGACTTGTGCTCGCTAGGAGGCGGCTGAAAGTAATACTTGTTCTGCCCAATACGTACACCTGTGCGCATGGCATTCTGCTGCAGTACCAAATTTAAGGCAGATATAATGGGCAATGGATCGTAGTCCCGGTATTCCTCATTGGCATTCAGGTATCTAAAGAGTATAAATGGAAGGAAAATGAAACAAGGAATACAGGAAACATACTTGGAGAGTTCATCGAAGTTCAGCTCGACCTTGAAGATGATGGAAATCTGGTAGGTAATGGCACCAGATGAAGGGCCATCCTGGTCCTTTTCATAGAACGGTACTGCTACGCTCAAAGTCGGGAACTTCACAGCAGATACGAGGCGTGTGCTTCTATCATGAGCAATGAAGCCTAGCCAGGGTTGAACCTGAGGGCTGGCCTCAAGCAACTGGAAGATACGATCTTTGCGCCTGTTCAAAAAAGTCGTTGGCTCGATCTTCACCTCGTATTCATACAGAGGGCCCTCGGGCAGCTCTATTGGGAAGAAATTAGAGCGCAAAACGATGTGCTTGCCCAAGGTACCGAAGTCAGGGCGTGTTGGACGCGTCGCCTTCACTGGTACCTTCCGAAGGACAGCGATAAGCTTGTTTTGCTTGTCTGGCGTCAGGTGGTCAGGAATCCGTGCCAGAACGTTTTCCTTGTAAACGACAGGGCTATTGAATCCTCCTGGACCCCGTCCCCCTGTCCCACCAATCCTGCTTTGACCTCCAGAGTTATTACCACCACCACTGCGACCACCGTGGCCTTTGTTATGTCCACCCATGAAAGGTCGGCTCATGGTATTGCAGAGCCTAACGGAGATCACGAGTGATCGAGGTGAAAGAGATAAAGGTAGAAGATCGTATGATTACAGAGGTAAACAGCAGCAAGAAGATGACACTGATACCGGCGGAGACGAAGACGTCGTTGTCAGCGCTGTCTACGGCGTCATCGTCGCCGTCGATGGAAGTGAAGAAAGAATGTGTAAACAGCCCACTTAAGTATGCAAATTGAAACTCCGCTACAATTTCGTGGGTCGAACTCAAGCCGAACTTCGCTACTTGAAGTCTACGACACCTAACAGCCACATAAAGTCGTAGCAGCCTTCCTTATTTACCAGTGACCACCGTATCGTGCGCTACTTCGAAGTCCGTTCGGGATCAAAGTTCCTTGGCTCCGTTTCACTCATCCCATACAAAATATTTGCAAAAGGTTCGACGTGTGATGAACTAACTCACCTTAAATATTGTCGTGATGGTGAACACTAGACCGCAACCTCTTCTTTGGAAGATGTTACAAAGAGGAGGACTTGCATGATGGGGGGTTTAGAGAAGGTGCTGCACATGATCCGGAAAGTGACAATCCATTTCATATATGTAGCGCGACTGTCTTCAGTACTGTTCACATTTGCGCTAAGTAGTCTGATGCCAGCGGCGCAAGTGACGACATTTGCATTGAGAGAATGCTGATGATTGATCGATTCATAAACGAAGGGGCCCAACCGAGTTCGTGCGAATGAGAACCTGGGGATATGGCTGCATCCACCACGGCTAAGGGCCGGTTCATTCGAGATAAGAACTTCGCGATCTCGTGGGGGCAGCAATGGAGGTCAGTGTACTCAGAATAGCCGAGTGGCATTGCCCCAGACGTGAATTTGTTTCGATGTCTTGGAGAAAGAAGTACCTATATTGGCGCCGAGGTAACTGGCTCGACGATGAGTGATCCCACACTTCAACGGTGAGCGGTCCTTGAGCACAATAACTGTCTGTTTCGTTCCAACGTCTTCAGCTGGACCTGGAATATGTCTAGGTGTCTCTGTTTTGAATGATGAAAACATCGTATTTGGAGCGTGCGTACAGATACACAGAGATCTAATGCTAGGCTCGGCGCCCTTCGAGATGGTGACACACAAGATCACTGTTCTAGTCCAACAGCTGCTTCAGCGTACCATGGGGCATGTACGTTGGCCATGCTCGACAATGTGAGCTGCACCTGTAGGAATCAATTAGCTACCTGGGAACTAATTTTGGGAGATTGAAGTGGACCTAACCGGACAGAAATCCGACAGTCTGCCGATGGTTTAAAAAAACGCTGATACGGCTGGCACTGAGCGATAATGCCGGGGCTTGTATGGTCTTTACACGGTCTCCTCAAGATACACTGTGCGTGTGCAGTGTGACCGTCCTGTTCGAATCAAGATGATGTGCCAGCCTAGCTATCATAGGCTTTGTATCGTGAGCATCAATCGAACTAGAAGTATACAGAACGCCTGCTGTGCCCATGGGTTGCGCCGTCCAAGTTTTAAGAGAAAATCGGATCTATTAGAAATGCGACGTTTGCCGTGACTGTAATCTGGTACGGTTCAACGTTCATCAGCAGGTTGCTGGTGCATAGTAGGCCAAACAATCTTTGTGACTCTGAGTGAAGTCGCAGGTAGCACCGCGAAACCGGCTTGAAGACACGGAGGACGGCGGCGGCCTTGGAATTAAATCCAACCGTGGCAAAAAGAATTGTCGAATCCGGAAGTTTGTCTGAAGGAGGGGCAACCAGAAAATTGGTGCCGTCAAGTCAGTGGCACCTTCCACCGCTCAAGGCAGCCACTGAGGGGTGCAAAAATCGAAATAAAAATCTGGAAAATAACACAGGTGAACAGACAAGTGCAGACCAAGAAAGAGGGCAGCCAGAAAAGGTGCCCGGCGGCTGAACAAGATGTCGAATTCGGACGGCACCGTTTGTTTGTCAACCGATGTACATTGTACACCGATGTACACCAGTGTCAAACCACCACCATCCTTGCCTCCATCGTCGAGCTCGTTCTCTTGATACAGGCTCGCATTTACGGCCTTTCTATGAAGGCTTCGAGACGACGGCCTCGATATGTCGGAACGAAACTTGAAGAGCGGGACGGTCAATCGTCTCGAACTCAAATATTCTCGACTCTGCCGTTAACCTCGGACGCCAGTAGGACTTGCATTATTGCTCTTGGAAGCTTCTCGACAGTATTTTACTGTTTTACAAGCTTTCCAGCTCTTGCATGGAGGCTTGTAACGAGAATCACTGCTCACCGTCGCCTTTTACGGATCTCGGACGACAAAAATCAGCTGTCGGTGTTCTTGAACTTGGGAATATAGCAACAGTCTTCTTGGATCGTCGATGGGTCCTTCAGTTCTCAGGTCCATCCGGTATATGGCCATTCGCTTAGGGAGCTCAAGATATTCAAGAACCCAGAGACGGCTACAACAGGGCGATTTTGTTGAATTGGGTTGGGGGCGCAGTGTCCGGATATAATCGTTGAAGGTACGTCTTCAGTTTCTTCAGGTCTTGAGGCATTCTCCTGTCCTTGACGATACCCGCCGGCTGGGTCGCTGAAGCGAAGACTGATCTTGCAACTCTGACCTAGGTCTTGAACAACATTGAAAGCACGTCCGTTTGCTCGCTTTGTACGGCAATCACAGAAGACGAGCATGAAGACGGAGCAATGGATTGTTCTGCAATATTAGGTGTACAATGGTAAGCTTGCGTTTGCACTGCCAGGGACCGTGACCCACGAATCGTCACATACAGGTGTGACATTTATTATGTAAGGTCACAATTAACAGGCAGTGGTGCCATACAGCCATTAACAGCATAGAGGGCATAGATCTGGAATATACGCGTAACCAGTAAGACGGCCAGATGTGAGGACCGACAGCGCAAGCGAGAGCCCCGAGTTTCCTGCCAGAATAAATCGTTACAAGGCGTCGAGGATGCTATTCGATTTCCAGCGTATTCAATCCAGTTTCGAATTCGAAACGAATGCTTCCGGCGTAAGCAGGCAGTTTTGTGGAAACGACTCCTTGTATCTGGGTCAATCTTTTCGATGTGTCTTTCTTGCCGGTGTCTCGAAGGACGAGTATGACGCTATAACGAGTGAGCGTCTCCGCGGGATCAAATTGAGGTCGATATTCGCCTTATGTCATTTTGTGTTTACGCCAAACACATTGCCTACTGGCTCAATACGGATGCTTCCGATATCGAAGCCCAAGTGCACTTAAAAACAAGGGAAACCGACTATCAATTCTCCCACAACGTTCTTTCCTCTCCTTTCTTCCTTCTTCTTGGTCATGCCTCCCATCCGGAGCCGCGACCGTCTTTTCCCCTCTATGCACACAGTTCTTCGTCAAGCAGATTCTCTTCCTGCAAGTGCTACGATATACTACCAACACGTTCCCCTGCCCTCGTTTGTCTTTCGATATGAGCCTTATGGCCACGAATACTTCAACAGAAATCATCCCCTGATGGTGTGCACGCTTCTTGCCATTCAGACAACTTTCTTCAGTTGGAAACTGAACAGACTACAACTCATGATGGAGATATTGATTGGGACGAGTGTGTTTATTTCACTGTGGCTCTCGTGAGTGACCTGCTCGTTGTGAACGCAGACTCTCATCACCTGCATGGTTTTCAGCCGACGAAGGGAGAGCTTGCCCTCGATGAGGCACCTCTGGAGCCAGAGCCTCCCCGTGATCCAGTTAGGCGCCCTCGCATATCTGTTCTTGTCATCGTGAGGCCCTTCATATTCGTTCTAGTACACTCATTGACCTGATTAGGAGTTAGCTCTTGCTGTCACTTGCCGTCTTCACCTCACTCGTTTGGGATAAGATCCAACCTGATACCAAAAAAGTCTGTCGGGGCTGCCCGACACTGGCATAAATTTTCCGTCACTAAACGTCCCTTTGCTTTGCTTTACACTCTTTCTTGGTTCTCCTGCCATTTTTAATTGTATTTTTACGTCGTCTGTGTTTATTAGCCTTGTTAAAACTGTACATCTGCTTCTTCAATTGCACATTCATTTACCTCTGCTCAAATGCTATCGATGGGAATTCAACGTATTCGTACGTCCATACAAGCAGGCGATGGGTAACTAAAAACAGCAGGACCGTCGTACCCAACTGAAGGTGCAAAAGTTAAGAGGGATGTATCATGCATTTGAGGCGCTCAGCGACTAAACAAGGCGGCAGCTCAATATAGACCTCGGCATTATCGCTTTTCAATACTGCTCGACAGCACTTGTTATTCACCGAGCACGCAAACATCACTCGACAAAAATGATACGATTTACATACGATAATACATCACATTTTCTAAAAGGAGGGCTGCGTATTCTTACATTCATACCAACTGTTCAGAACCGTCATTATTCTCTTCCTATTGGAAGGTAATGTGAGTGTATGCCATGAACCGGATAAATCCACGTACGATTTTCTTCACTGGTAAAGGGTGTGCCAAGACTAGGGTTTTTTGATTGGTAGTTAGGGCTCGTTGCTGGTAATAGATGCTATCTTCAAGCTCCAAGATGTTTCTCCACATGTGACTCTCAATCGCAGTGGAACCTTTGACAGCCCAGAGCACGTCCTCGTACAAGTCAGAAAAGAAACTCTTGAGGTCTAAGAGACATCAAGCAGCCAAAGCTCGTGAAGAATAGCATCTTACCCATAGGCGGTCCTGCTGCTTTCCGGAAGCGATAATTTATGTCCCATAGGTCACCCTCTCGTTCTTGGATGCGAATACGATTGCTGAAATAACGGACATCTTCAGAGTAGATACGAGTTTGTCGCCGCGGAGGTGACGGAGGGAGAGCTCCATATGCTCATGAACTGGGAGCAGCATTGGACCATATCACAAGTATACTCGACAAGGAAGACACTCCATGTCGTGAGAAGGCGGAATGAGTCATATTCCTCGTTATCTGGCGGATCGTCAACAGCAATGTGCCAGTCCACAGGAAGCACACTGAGTCGCGTCGTGGATTCATTGAAGGCTATGGAAACGCGTGTTCGGACGAGCTGTCGACGAGACAAGAAAGGGGCGACCTGATCCAATGCGGAAACCTGGTTTGGAGGTGGATATACTGGATATTCGGGAAACATTTGCGAAATCCGGTGTAGTTTGGCAAGCTGCAGAGAACTGAATACGGATGCATGGCGGCGTCGTTGTTGGATTTGATAAGGTCGACATGGCAAGTAATGGAACGTGTAAATTCTGGGAAAGAAGAGCAGTATATGGCAGATTTTGTGGAACGAACGATAGAGCAGATATAGAAGAGATAGGCGAGCGTTGGAACGTATATGTCTCTGGAAGTAACGCGCGCATACACGCCGCACCACATGGTGCTGATGAGAGGACATGCAGTCATAAACGCGATCCGATCTTCCGAGGCATGCTCTGCGAACCAAAACTCGGAGACGATGGCCTCGACGAGCTCAAAGGGCAGCTGGTCGTCGTCCATGGTGGTTACAAGCAAAGCTGGTCTGAGTCCAGTCACGTGCATATAGCGGGTGATGTCATCATTGGCGCGCCCTTCAAAGAGGTGTCTAACCTTCCAACTCGGCGGAGGTCGGGAAATGGATTCACAGGAGCTTCTCTATCTGGAACAACCACCACCATGTCGCCTAAAAACGCAATCCAAATTGCACTCTTTTCCTTCAATGCCGTCACTTCTTGGGCGAGTTGTTTAGGTACGCGAGCAGACGTTCGTCTCACCAATACTCAATCCGCGATACAGCGTTCTCGATGATGAACCGCATACACTCTTTCATTATGAACATGTTCACTGTAAGCTCCAGTCCAAGTTCGTAGGCCCTTAACTTCACAATATCAACAGTCCACAATCAATTGGTTCATCATGGTTGCTATTTCGGCGCTCTCCATTGTATCCCATTCAAAATACTGGCGTAATCCAATGGACGTACTCGGGAATCTGATTCTTGACGCTCTTTCCACTTTTCTCACCATGGCGGGTGTTTATCAGTTTTTGAAGGAAATGCTTGTAGCGGTAAGTCCCTTGTTGTACCAGCCTCGTAAATGCGTTCATCCACGATTCGAAGGTGCTGAGCTTTGAGGTCTGGGTGATGCGAGACAACATTAGGGGCCATATGTACGCCATAAAAGCAATAGGAAACGCCCCCTCACTTCCGCAACCCCTCCAAATGTGCATAGAAGGATATCGATCGCAAGTTTTTCCCGTTCTAGAGCACAAAACTCTAACAATGTTTCAGGTCCCAAGCGGATATACTCAACTCGCTTGAAATCCTAGAATCATTCATCATCACACCGTCAATCCGCGTGAGAGATCTGGCCGAAGTCAACCAGGTGTTGCAGGCGTACAAAGAAAGATTGACACATCTACAGAACAGTTACAAGGCGATATGTCAGGGTCTTGCTTTCACTGGCATAGAGGATGAGCGTATGACGATGGCAGACAAGTGGGTAGGAGCTCTACGTAGCTGGGAACCACCTTCATTACCAGCCACGCTCACGGGGAAGGAAGAAGAAATCGCCGCCTAACAGTTACTTTCAACAGCATAGATGCGACTCCATTTTTAGATAGCAGTAGTAAAGAAGGGACCTTTCCCCAGGGAACTATGTATTCTATCAAACATCTTTAGCGGGCGGAAATTAAAGTCTCTTCAGACCTACCAGTATTCCAAGCATACTCTTAGGACAGTGGCCTTGGTGCACTCATCAGAAATAGGTGTTGAAAGCGAGACAAAGCCTTCATTAAAGCCTACGGCTTCGTTACAGTCAATGGCAGAATGGCTCGGTAGGCGGATCAAGGTGAATACATCTAAGATTAAGCGTACAGTCGGAATACAAATAAGAATATACTTCTAAGGACCTAAATTCACCTTACAGCGCCCCTTCAAACAGTAATTTCCTCGGTTTGCTGATAGTCGGCGCGCTAGAGAACAACGCCGGCCTGAGACGAAACAAAAACGTGAGCCCTCTCATCAACAACATATAAAGAGAGAGACCACTGACATCGAAGTCCCACAATGAGCCGCGGGATTACCCATAATGATACTCTCCGAAACACCAGAGATGCTATCGGTTTTCCCAAACGCGGCCGCGTCGAAGAGATGGTCCGTCGTCTTCTCAAAGGACGCCAACATCAGGACGCTGTCTTTCATTTTCGCTACTCCGAATCGGGTGATGCCCAGGACCTCGCCCTGATGGATTATTAATTAGTGGCGGCAAGGGAGGAGGTGAGAACGGGTAAATTAACCTTGTACGTCATGACATCACCTAGTAGCATGACATGCCGAGGGTCGATAATCATGTCGTGCGCTTTCATGGTCGTCTGGATTTCGTTGATGATTGTCCGTCGAGCCGCTTCGATGCCCAATACTTGCGCAACTTCAATAACCGAGTTGGAGGTCGTGAACTCTCCGACGATTCCTGAAAGAGAAAGGTTCTGGGGGAGCCGACGTTGTCAAGGTTAGCCGGACTTACCCTCTGTAACCATACACTTCTTCAGACCATAGCCTTCCACGAGGAGTTCCTTGTCTCCCTTCTTTCCTCGAGCATCGTCCTTTTCCTTGATGTTTATGATGGCTCGTTGAATCTCAGGAACACCCTTGATACAGCATTTAGCGGCGTGCAGATGCACAAAGCGGGGATCCCTACCTTTACTACAACGTCGGCCAGCCCTCGCTTCAATTCTCGCAATCGATAATATTTATCCTCCGTGTCAACGTATATCCGAAGCCGGTTTTTGCGCGGAAGGACAATTACAGACTAGAGTGAGAATAAGTTCAGAGCTGCTTTCCTTCTTCCAGACAAACATACCTCTTGTTTGATCTTCAGCTTCTTTGCACCAACTATAGCCCACTTGATGTCATCCAATGTGAGCTCGAGCTGAACCACACAATTAGCGATATATACCGAGCGAGAACAAGAAACACAACCTGAAGCTTTTGAATGGCGTCCGTATCGACAATCACGCCAAGATATGTGTACTCAGGAGCCCAGGCTTCCTCCAAGACGCTAGCAATCTGGTAAAATGCATATGAATAAGCAAAGTGAACTCGTCCAGCGGAACACAAGACGACGGACTTCACCAAGCAGGGTCTTTTCCAGGCGACCTTTCACAATACGAGCTGACGCCTCACTATCGCATGTAACCAATTTGCAGCTGATAATAGGCGTGCTGATGTTCTTAGCAGCGTTGATAATCTCCTTGATACGAGGAACTCCAAGGGTAACGTTCATAGAAGCGACACCAGCAAAATGGAAAGTTTTCAAAGTCATCTGCGTTCCGGGTTCACCGATGGATTGAGCTCCGACAGCGCCCACAGTAGAACCTAAAGAAACAGTATCAGACTAGCTAATACTGTAACAATCCGTAGACTTACCAGGTTCTATGCGAGCTTTTGCATATTTGGACCAACAGAGCTCCAAGAAGGTCCGTAGTTGCAACTCAGTGACCTTGGATTTATTTTGCACGATCGCCTTGTCAGCGTCTACTCAAATCGATTAGAATCGCACAATTTTCAGAAGTAGACAACTCACCAGAAGCTCCGAAAGAGAGATCGGTATGTTCGTCCCATTCTTCATGGCGTTCCAATGCTTCGAACATACCACGGCTTTTCCTGACCTCGACTTGTCTGAGAACGACGTGGTCAAGAATAAATGCACGGATCGTTGCAAGATACGCCATCGTGCACTCGCTCGTGAACTTTGTCGAGTTGAGTTCAGTGTTGACGATTTCCATAACTTCATATGGCAGAAGAGCTCTGCCGCCAGACAACCCAGTTGCCTAAATAGCCACATCAGTGCTAGACTCAACTGTCAATGGGGTACCACGTACACATGCGTGGCTCCAAGCGCGCTCAAAGTCAATAGGTTGAGCATCACTTTCCAGGCAGGCAGGGTCAAGACCGTCATCACCATACTTAAATTGAACTACGCCTCCCGTCGAATTCCTGACTGACAAATCATATTGCGTGGTGAGATCCTCTAGCGCCTTCATAAGCCGCCGCTGCATGTACCCAGTTTCTGCAGTCTTGACAGCAGTATCGACAAGACCCTCACGACCCGAAATGGCGTGGAATAGGAATTCGGTTGCAACCAACCCAGAGTAGAAACTATTCCGCACGAATCCTTTTGATGGCGGTTCCTTTGATTTCTTGGGGAAGTGAGGCAAAGAACGGTCTTGGAAGCCATCGGGAACACGATGCCCAGCTATAATTTGTTGGCCGACACAGGCAACCATTTGGGAGACGTTGATGACGGAACCTGGTGACAATGTTAGTACATCCATGACGCGTTTTCAGCTCCTTGCTCACCCTTCGATCCACAAGTAGCCATGATGAGCGGAGCATTGTGACGGCTAAGCTCCTTCATGCAAATTTGTCCCACCTCCTCTCGAACTTTTGACAAGACCGACGATATGAGCGCTTCAAGAGTCTGTTCTTGATTACATCCCGGCTTGTTTTCTAGCTGTCCTTTCTTTGCTCGGGCGATATGTTCCAGGCATTGTGCATAAGCAAGCTCCACTAATCTGTCCTTCTCTCTGGTTAGCTCGGGACCGGGTATAACATCATTAATTCCCAAAGAGAAACCGAAATTCGCTATCCAAAAGTCAGCAATTTATTTGACAATAAGGTGAGGATATATTGAGTACCTAGCCATCGAGCGCATAGCTTCGCCAATCGGTTCATTGCAGCTGCGGCTTCATGTGGACCATAATCTCGCATGATGACACCAAAGATGGATTTCTTCTTTCCGCTACCGACAATGGCCTTGTCCATGACTCCGCACATGATCTCGCTGTTCACGATAACGAGCCAACCATCGTTCGGTGAAAGATCTTTAACGACATGCATCCGCTCTGGATAATTGGCAGCCTTGGCTTCCTCCCATTTATTACACTTCGACTCCACATTTACGAAGACCTTCGATTGTTTGTTCGGACGCATTAAGACATTGAAAATCTGCTTTCCTGTCCAAAGCCTGACCGGCTTCCAGATGGTTGGAGGAGGGATATCAATCTGTATGTTTGCATCGGCAAAATAGCAGCAGATCTGGGTGAATTGGCGCCGGTCGAAGAACTGGTCTTTCCGAGAGATGAGATAGGACGCTGTAATAAAATCCTGAATGGCGGCGATGACGGGATCACCATTACGAGGTGTAACAAGATTGTGCTTGACGCTCATAAGTTCCAGGGCTTCGGTTCTCGCCTCTTCTGTTTGGGGTACGTCTGTGGAACACATCAGAATTTGTGGTACTCCTGGTGAATGTAACACCAACGTAAGTTCATTTCGTCTCCATCGAAGTCAGCATTGTATGGTCCGCACACGCATTCATTCAGACGGAAGGACCTCCACGGACGAACTTTGACCTAAACCGAAATGAGGGGCTTGCTTTGGTGGCATATTACGCGGACGTACCCTATGACACATGATGGATAGCTAGGCTAACATTAGCATAAGAAGCACAAACATAGGTAGAACTGACATACCTTGTGCAAACTTGGTTGTCGATTGAATAAAACAATATCTCCGTCAATAATATGCCGTTCTACGACATCACCGATTGCCAATCCATCTGCAACCGCATCTCGATTCCCAAACTTCAAAAACTTTTTGACCGTGTCCCTTGCAACAAAATTGGCACCTGGATGAACGTCCGGACCATTCCTCACCGCCCGCCGGAGCATTTCAACATTATGAGAGGTAACACGCTCCGGATATGTGAGAATCTTGGCCACTCGCTCGGGTACAGCTACTTCATCGATCCGCAAATTCGGGTCAGGAGAAATAACTGTACGACCAGAGAAATCGACACGCTTTCCCGATAGATTCCCACGGAAACGACCTTGCTTTCCCTTGAGACGTTGCACGAATCCACGAATGGGCTTCTGGCCAGGTTGAGAGTTAACACCTGGGGTTTCAGAGTTGACATAGACGGCAACGGAGAGTTGAAGAAATTCCCATTGTTCCTACACAGTGCAGTGAGATAGCAGCAGGAAAACAGCGAGAAGCAATCGAACCATAAATTGAAACGTGGGGGATCCTTTCGTCAGGCCTTGCTTTATTAGGGCATTTGTGAACACGATTTCAGTTAGCTTGACGGTGAGATCATCCTCGTTCGACGCGCCATCCTGAGCGACAGATGGGCGAATGCAGACAGGTGGTACTGAGATATACTGCCAAATAAACTCTTCTGGTCTCCCGAATGAAGGCCGCAGTCCCATGATTTCGCAATCCTGGCACAGAATTAGATGAATGAATATTTCAGCTAGGATAGAATCACCTCATCTGATATTCTCTTGAATAGGTCCAAAACCTTCAGCGGATTCAGGTCCTCGTGCACGGCCTTTTTCAGAAACATTCCGAGCTCCTTCTGTGCCTCAACAGCCGAAGAAAATGTTTTCTTCCACCGTTCCATTTCGTCAGCAGTTTTCTTGGCGCGGAATTTGTCGTGAATGATCTTCAGTACACCGGTTTTCTTTACGATGCCGTTTGTCGCAGAACAGTGTGGACAGTAGATTGCCTTTCTTGTCTTAGCTTTCAGGGTCTTCAGAAGTTTCGTTCGCTGATAATTCTCCATGTCCGGGTGTCGGAAGCTTTTGAGAAACGGACGTCGTTCCTCTTCCTCCAACAGAACACGAGCGCAAGTCTTGTCAACAGTCAGATAGAACAGAGGGGTGAGGCATGGATTCATACTTTGCAGATGCATTGGAGGACGTCAATGGTATGCTTGAAGTAACCAACATGGAACACCGGCACGACAAGTTTGACATAGGCATAATGACCAACGCAATTCACGGATGATTCGCCACAAGTTTCGCAGAACGCGCTTTTATCCGACGTACCCTATCATTCAATGAGAATATAAGAAACCGAGAGAGGACACCCACGCACAGAGACGTCGGTCAAGGACACCATCCTTTACTGGCAGGCGTTCCGTAGCGGTATACAGATCCCGATGAGTGACTTCGAACTCAGAAACTTTGACAGTGTCCTGGGCATTGAGTAGACTAAATTGAAGTTTCTTTCTGTTTACTGTGAGCTTAACCATCTGGGTGAATCTTGGTAGAATCTACATACATGACTTTGGGAGCCTGAGAGGGTACGACTTCCTTCATCTTGTTTCGGCGACACTTTATAAACAAGACCTATCAAAATATTTCACTTGGGCGTATTGCTATGACATTCGATTCAACGAAGATGAGACCGGAGAAACGAGGGAGTCGTGAGCCAAAAGACCTGACTCCGAGGGAAGAGTCAAAATATGGAGAGTGATGTGACCGTAACGCGATTTCGGATACCGGTTCGATATCGGCTGTAACGGGCCGGGACAGCCGTGACCGTCACGTCACAAATCTACGACGCGCGTACTTTGCGCACTTTTCTCATCTACCACCATGTCCCGAACATCCTATGACAGGTATGCATATTTTCGCAATACCTCTGCAATAGTATTGACGCAGGTTAGGTATCTTACCGTATTCTCTCCGGAAGGGCGCCTATATCAAGTTGGTTCGTGTCAACCTTGAAACCATTGCCAACGACAAGCTCATCCACCAATGCATAGAATATGCTTTCAAAGGCCATCTCTGGATCTGCTCATACTGCCATCGCTGTTCGCGGAAAGGATACCTCTGTCGTAATCACTCAGCGCAAAGTTCCCGTACGATTCTGCATTTCGATATGTATACAAATAATAACATTCGCTCTAGGACAAGCTCTTGGACGCGTCAAGCGTCACGCATCTCTTCAGTATAACACCGACGATTGGATGTGTGATGACTGGGCTTATCGGTATTTGCCAAGGATAGGATTGTCACACTAGATCACTCACGTATTCGACAGCGGATGCTAGAGCCCAGGTCACCCGAGCACGCGCGGAAGCTGCTGAATTTCGGTACAAGTATGGTTACGAAATTACCCCGGACGCTCTTGCAAGACGACTAGCCAACATCAATCAAGTTTATACCCAGAGAGCAGCCATGCGACCACTGGGGATATGTTCGTTCCTTTTCTCAATACATGACCAATCTTACTCATCCTCATATTACAGCCATGATACTCATTGGCATGGATCCTGAATATGGAGCTCAGTGCTTCAAACTGGATCCCGCTGGATACTTTGTAGGCTTCCATGCCACGGCCGCAGGGCAAAAGCAGCAAGAAGCCATGAATCATCTAGAGAAGAAATGGAAAAAGCTAGACTCTGGACGAGGCGCCGATGATGCCGCACAAGCCGGCAAGAGTTTGAGCCGTGACGCGGTAATCGAGGTATGTCTACATTATCTTTCATTCTGCTCTGATCGCTAAGAATTATGAGATGGCCATTGAGGCCATGTCTACCGTCCATGCGACAGATTACAAGCCTGGGGAGATTGAGATTGGTATTGTGTCGGATGCACCGGAGGAGGATGTGAAGACAAGAGGCCAATGGCGTGTGATGGGAGAGGCAGAGATAGAACAGCATCTACTTGCGTATGCAGAGAAGGATTAAACGTCTTATGACAGACTTGGCGACGATGATTGTAACTATTTCGCATCACCACAACGATGCACCTCCACTCTGTATCCTGACATTAGCTTGCGAAATGAACAATACGGCGCGGCACATACCTCAACAGCAGCCATTTCGGCATTATTCACGTCATGCTTCCAAAATCTTTCAGGTGCCTCCCAGAAGTTGGTAAAGGCAACGCCGCTCGCAAGCGTCTTTGTCGACGATGACTGTGCTACTGCTGGCTGGGATGCTTTCCGGAAACTTGCCGAGAGCTCGGGTGGACCGTAAGGATGAGCGTGAGGAGCTTCAGGTTCTGTACCTCTGTTCAATATCAGCTGAGGCGGCACAATGAATATACGTACTGGAAGGCCATACACGCTTTCCGAGGAACCTGATTAGCGGAGTACGTGCCGTCGAGAGTAGACGAACAGAAGGATGCATGGAGGAAACAGGAAGAGCTCTGTGTTCCCAAAACGGAAGCAGCGTAAGCTTCATGTCGGTGGCTGTGCTTCAAAAATTTGGGCGTCCTTCCAAGTCGACGACGACGACGACAATGGCAGAATACGACCTGTCCAAGAAAATCATTTCCTACCTTGACCGTCATCTCGCTTTTCCTCTGCTAGCCCACCTCGCCGAAACCAATATCTTCGCAGTATCCGATGTTCAGGTTGCCGAGTATGAGCTAGCCAAGGGCACCAACATGTTCGACTATGCACAGTCACTTTTCGTGCAGCTACACCCAGATGCTGAGGTCCCTGCAGGTACGTACGTATTGCTATGATTTCTCCGATTGCTCAGCAATGGCAACAGAGTTCGATGAGAAACGGCAGAACGCAGTATCCACGCATGAAAGACTACAACAAGAAGCTCAAGCCGTTTTCGATGTCATTGAAAATCCCGATGTTGCACAGGCTTTGCGACAAGACAAAAATCAGAATTTGCAGTATCTGAAGGAGCATTACAACGTGCGCAATTAAAGTTCTTTTTTCTTGAATTACAGCTCACTTTTTCGACAGGTAACGCTGGAGCAAATAACAGCGCTGTACAACTTTGGAAAATTCCAGTATTCGTATGGAAACTACAGCGGTGCCGCTGACTACCTGTACCATTTCCGCGTTCTGTCAACTGACAACGACCTGAACACGTCTGCTCATTGGGGCAAACTCGCCTCGGATATCCTCGTTGCACGATGGGACATTGCTCTTGAGGAACTCAACAGTCTCCGGGAACTCATTGATTCACGGTCGCCTGCGCCTCTCCTGCCCACCGCAACAGCCACAAATGCCTCTGCCCCCGAACCTGCCCTTGCCCAATTGCACTCCCGGACGTGGCTTGTTCACTGGTCTCTCTTCGTCTACTTCAGACATCCTCAAGGTCGCACCTTGCTTCTCGAAACATTCCTGTCACCGACATACCTAAATACAATCCAAACAGCTTGTCCGTGGGTTCTTCGGTACCTTACGGCAGCTGCTATTCTCTCCCGAAAATCTTCCGCTGGAGGAGGAAATGCCAACGCAAGCTCATCGCGGGTGAGAAATGCGATTCGGGAAGTCGTCAAAGTCATTCAGATGGAGGAGTACCAGTATTCCGACCCTGTCACCAATTTCTTGAAAGAGCTCTACGTCCAATTCGACTTCGAGAGCGCGCAAAAGGAGCTCGGCAAGGCTGAGAAAGTCGTTGAGAACGACTACTTCTTGCAGGAGTTTAGGGAGGAATTTTTGGACAATGCGAGGTATCTGATCAGCGAGGCTTATTGCCGAATTCACCAGAAGATTGATATTGGGTGAGTCCGGGTCCGAGTCGCGTTGACTGCTGTCCTAAACATGATGAATGCAGGGATCTCTCCGATCGGTTGAACCTTTCACGCGCCGAAGGTGAAAAATGGATCGTCAACCTTATCCGCGAGACTCGGATGGGCGCGGATGCCAAGATTGATTTGGAGAAGGTTCGTTGTGCTTGGTCTGTATCAAACGCCATAGACTAAATACGTCTGCCATAGAATGTTATCCAAATAAGCCGTCCACCACTCCCAATATACCAGAGTGTCATTGAGAAGACAAGAGGTCTTGCAATTCGGACGCAAGCGCTTGGCGCAGCGGTCGCAAGGACAGGACAGCAGCCCGTTGCAGCTCAGTGAATGTTGGCTAGATTCATAGAATACTGCTTTGGATCTTCGAGGTGTATACGCTACTATCTTTCTTATTCAAGATAGATGTAATGTACCATACTTCATCCTCTATTCTATTTGGGGATGGAACACAGAGCCGACAACCATTTATAGTAAAAATTATGCAGAACAGAGGCCATGAAGGTAGTATGTAACAGAGTTACAAGGACAATGCAATGGTAGGAGGGATCTGAGGGAGTTGTTGGTGTGTGAAGAAAGAAAGTTAACTAAACGCACCGATCACATGTAACTCAACACATCAGCTTGGACATCATCCAGCAATGTCCGCTCTGCATCAGTCAACTCCAGAGACCCAATGAAAGAGTTGTAGTCTGTGGCAGTGATGTGAGGATGCGCAATAGCATACCTCTGAGTGGCATACTGCTCCTTCCGAGCTCTTACCGCTCCTATGATCCCACCCCATTGTGCTTTCAAGTGCTTGTTCCAAATATCAAAATCGTTGGCGTCGCGAGCGTTCAAAACTTGGCCCTGACGGCGATGCTTTTCGCAAAACTTCACAATTTGGAAAAATGTTGTTCCTGTATCCAAAATGAGAAACTCTTCCATAACATGCAACTTGAGCTCACCAGTGACAGAATGAAGCTGTTCCAGGTGTTCTGGTGCCAATGACCGCCAAATATATGTGTACAAGGCTACCACATTGTCAGTATCACAGTCACCGCTCATGCAAATTTCAATATACCAGCTTCTGCCTCGGAGGCCACTTGCCAACTCTTCAGGATTGCGTCCCGTCGTGCAAGGTGCTCTGCAGATATCATAAGGTCACGGAGTAACAGTCGTTGTTGGGCGAGTTCAGCTTCTAAAGCGTCAAGTCTTGTTTGGAGAGGGTCAAAAAGAAACTATAAGATATTCAGCAACATTTAACAACACAAGGGAGAATACTCAACGGGGAAATCATTGGTCTCATGGGAGACAATGGCAGCAGTGGTGGTGCTCGCTGTATTGACGACATGAACCTTGTACTGGTTGTTGGGCTGCGACTTACTGGTGACTAACGCCCCAGCGTTTTGTAGACCTGTTTCGGTTGTATCCCTGTTGAGCTCTCTGGTCCCCAGAGGAAGAATCTTCCCTCGACATAGGCTTATTGGATTATTCTGATGAGGAGGCCCACGAGACCACGCGGATGGTCGTGGTATCGGAGCGCTGTTGTTGCTGCCAGAATGAGGAGAGGCCATGGTAGTTGATATTGAAGGCGTAATAGGAGGTTCGCGGAAGAGGGACGGCCCAGAAATAGTTAGACACGAGAGTGACGAGACTCAAGACACATTGTTTATCGAGAACGTCTCCCCTTGGTGCCGTTTTGACCATATATCGCAACAGGAAGTTGATGGTCAATCCATACAATATCACAGACGATAACACTAGGCTCTAGCCAAATTTACGAGCCGTAAGCAAAATCCTAGGGAAGACTGCAAGCAAAAAGGAAATAAGTATTTGTTTCATAGCGGAAGCAATCCTCAAAAAGTCAGTTATAGATCCTGGACAGAAATTAGACTCGGGTTTTCTGTTGTTCCCGGAGCATGAGAATACATCTGGACACGAAGAGTGGCTCCTCGGATGGCTTCTGTTCTTCTCAAAGTTGTTCTATTAGGGTTGAAGCATAAGAAACATTCGAGGACACGGACCCGGTATTACCGGTGCTACGTAGTACGATGGTCGTTGAACGAGTAGGATGTCGTTCAAGTTGTACGATTTAAGACGTTTGAAAGCCAGCTAGCTGAGGGTTTTCCACCCTATCGAGTCGCCGAAAATCCAGAAAGCTAGCCGGAGTTGCTCTAACTCGGATGGTAAAATGATAGAAGACGAGACGTGTTCCCTGCTGCAAAGTGGTAATATAAAGTAAGCTCAAACGTGCCACTAAAAACGTTCCTCTCGCATCACGCGGTAAGCTTTTGCATGTGAATACCTTCATAGAAAAGTAGGTGGAACAAAGATGACCCGACCCGTAGGTGTGCTGATTTACATAAAGAGTTTATGTTGAAACGGCAATTCAACTTGGAAGCGGAATACTTAGAGCGTACTGCTTAGGAAGGATACAATGTCAGATGATACTTAGTCACTGTCCCCGGTGATAATTAATACACAGGTCCCCATTCCACGCCTGATTTCCTGATCGCAAGGCTTTACACCATGGAGAAGAAAAAGGACAACTAAGGCAGGTACCATCCACAACGTCTCGCCCTCCATTGCCACGGCCGAGTTAGCAGTTCCTGAAGCCGCGGGAGCAGTTCCTGAGGCGGCAGGTGTAGTGCTTAATGATGCAGGTGCACTCGAGCGTAAGGTAACACTGGCAGGTGCCGATGATACCGGCTCACTGGTTATAGTACTTTGCACAATGCTGGACACAGATGCGGAGATATGGGATGTGGCGGTTGTGATAACTGAAGTCCCCGATATTGTTGATTGCGAAATTGGCGTGCTGCTACCAGCGCTGGAACCGGATGCTGTACCTGGAGTAGACGATGCTATGGCCGAAGTAGACAGCGGCCTATTCTCGTCTTGACCAGGGAAAGTGACTTTGGGTATTGCTATTCCCTGAATCGAGCACTGAACAACCAACTCTGTAGAATAGTGAGATTTTGATGCGGCAAGTAAGAACATAATGAACGTACCGTCCACGATTGTTTGGAACGAGGAATAGTCCGTAATGTTCGCAGCACTCCCAACACATTCAATGCAAGACACATAGTTGTTCTCAAAGCTAGACGTGCAGCATTGGGCCGGAGTACAATTCTTTGCATATAATCAGTGAACAGGAAATAATATGGGAGTCCAGAGTCTGCGTACCGCATTGACCAAGGCACTAGCAGCAGTGCAGGGCGTCTGACATTGCGATGGGATGTTAGAAGTTTGTCGACCGACAATATGGAGCGCTCTACTCCACGACGTAGAGCGAGGATCCAGGGCTGTTACGCAGGTGTGTAGCTGTACGGCGAGAAGAAGGAAGAGAAAGTTTAACAAGGTCATGACTGACATTCACTAGGTCGTGAGCGAAGACTCGTGTAGAGGTGCTGGAGGGGGAAGCGATTCCCAGCAAGGTGCATTAATATACGATCAGAAGCGCCCGAGGTCTTTCGAGGAAGGGAATGGAGACCCAAAACGAGGATTGCCCATGCGATATCCTAGCGTCTTCGTTCTATTGGTCCTGGGACATGAAAAATGGTCCATCAACAGTTTCTTCTCTTCTAAGTGCCTTCTGGTGCCGCTGATGAAAGATTGATTAAATTGATGATGTTGGCCCGGAGCTACCTGGAGCTGATGTATCATCACGGACTGATATGTACTCGGATGAGTTTCAATATTGCGGTCCGACAAAGTGAGAAATTTCAGAGAAGCGATCAGCTGTGCGATGCGTGAGTCGGACGTTGACCATTTTTCGAAGAAAGCGTACAGTTGACCTTGAAGAAGAATTCACTGTTAGGATGTTCTAGCTTCCAGGAATAATGGAGAACAAAACAGAGGCAGCTTCAAGTCAACAGAGAGAAATTAGAATCAATAACATGTGTCAGAGCTGTGTTTGTGCTAGCCTTGCTGTGTGTGGAAGCACTGAACATCTTGTCGAATTTTCGAAATGAAGTCGTCGAAGTAAAAACCAGTCAGGCAACGTGCCGGTTTCCGGCCCGAAGTTTAGAGTCACTCCTCGATTACCTAACACCAGCTCCCTACTTTTTGCTTTCACGTCGTTCTACGTAGCGTTCGGAGGACTTACTGCAGGCGCGTCGAATTTGCCCAGCGGCCGCTGGAATGGTGAAGCAACCGCCCAGCTTCTTTCCTACGACTGCCTTGGTGCGGTGTTCTAGTGTTTTCTCACGACCTTCACAGCTGATATAACTCTTCCATTCAGGATCATGCAGCTGCAGGAATTGGTGCTGGTGTCGTCGCTACGCTTTGTATGAACCCTCTCGATCGTCTCAAAGTTCAGTTTCAAGTATCCGAGACGAATCCAAAGGGAGCGTTCGGGAAACATATATGGTATGCTCTGAAGGATATCAAGCAACAAGAAGGATGGAAGGGGCTGTATCGCGGCGTAGGTCCTAATATTGCGGGCAATGGAACAAGCTGGGGGTTTTATTTTCTATTGTAAGACCAATTCCCAGTGCTCTTATCGGTGTTCTCATCGCGTGTCAGCTATAACATGCTCAAAAAACGCGCGTCTGGAGATGATATTACTAGACCGCTGTCCTCTGCAGAGTACCTAATTTGTTCCGCCGAAGCAAGTACGTACCATTCGATACTCATGGTGTGTTTGTACTGATGTCGTACAGGTGCTGTGACGGCCGTAATGACCAACCCTCTGTGGGTAGTTCGAGTGCGTATGTTCACCACTGACGCAGGCTCTCCCCACGCCTACCGTGGCCTATGGCGTACGCTTATTTGATTCGTCACACATAACATTGTAATTCCAATTCATCTTCCGTTCAGACGGTCTCCGAACTATTGTTCAGTCCGAAGGCTGGCAAGGACTTTTTCGCGGCACATGGCTAGGGCTCTTTGGTGTCAGCAATGGTGCCATCCAGTTCATGGCGTATGAACAAATGAAACGCTGGGGATTTGAGAGGAAGAAGAGACGGTTTGAGAAGTCGGGTCAACCTTGGACACCTGACGTTGACAAATTGGTGCGTGGAGCGATTGGTTAGGCTTTCCAACTGACTTATAAACGGGGCAGTCGAATACCGCCTACACAATCATGTCTGGTGCCAGCAAGCTGGAAGCGTTGGCTATAACGTATCCGTACCAGGTCGTACGATCACGAATACAGGTATAGACTACCTTTCTAATGAATCGTTTCCGCTGATTCCTTTGTCAGAATACCAATGCAACAGAGCATCTATATCCAAATATCCGGACTACCATATTAAAAACCTGGCAGCAGGAGGGTCTCCGTGGATTTTATCGCGGTCTTGGAACCAATTTCGTGAGAGTTTTGCCAGGTACCTGCGTCACCTTTGTTGTATACGAGAACCTGGCGTGGTTGTTCAGATCAACTGCCGCAAAGAGGGCAGTGAGGCAGGGTATCCTAGATTAGAATATATCTTTGTACTTTTTAATACCTACCATTGAATACTTACCACGATATCTGCTCTATTCCTGGGGAATTTTTGATCAAGGACCTCGTAGGTCTTGTGGCGGTGACCTCTGTTTTTCATAGGGCTTTGATAACAATACAACCGTACTGCTTTTGCCCACCACGATCTCAACAGGTGAGGATCCATAAATCAGAGAATATAGCTCTTTGCCGACTGACATAGTATCGCACCTTTTGTTCAGTGCGGTAATTCTTTTCGGAGCGATCCGCCTTGTACAGAGGGAGAAAGACGACGCGAAAGTAAGGTCAGTACATGCCATGATTGACGCGACCTTGCCAGTAATTCAGAACTAGGTCAACCCATGGCTTCATTTGTGGCTTTTCGCAATGCTGTCGTGAGGTTATCTGGCCGCCAGGTCCGTCACTTGCACTCTACGCCGGTTCCTTTTGCAGGAAACAAATACCGACTCGAAAACAAACGAATTCCATTCGAAACCGTCCACCTCGTCGACCCCGAGACAGGTCAACTGCGGGAAATCATCCTCAAGGACTACCTCGAAACCATCGATGACAAAAAATACAAAGTCGAACTGGTGTCAACAAGCCCCAAACCGATTGCCAAGCTCGTAGAACGGTGGAAAGAGCACGAGAAGATGAAGGCGGCCAAGACGAGGCGATTAGAAAGTCATCGCAAGGCGGAGCACAAAGAGTTCCAGTTCACATGGAACATGGCTCCCTCGGATTTGACGCACAAGTTCAATAACGTTAGGAAGGAACTAGAGAAGGGGAGGAAAGCTGATTTGGTGTTTGTCACGAAGAAAGGGCACAAGGCTCCCAAGGACATACCCCAGAGGCTGCAAGCGGTGGTGGATGAGCTGGCTGATGCTGCAAAGGAGTACAAGGCCAGGGAAATTGTTGGTTCAATGGGTGCCGTTTTCCTTCGAGGTACAGGAGAAAAGCCTGCAGAAGTGCCTCCAAAAGATTCGCCTTCATGACCCCCAGACAATAATACAACATAAATATTAACGTCATTTACTGCGCTATTCATTCTTTCTACATATCTACATGTCTATTCAAACGACGCATCCGTTGCAATTCGCTCTCAGTGCGAACTTCCGGCTCCGTATGACATGAGAACGTCTTCCTCACAATCTGGAACCCTCCCTTTTGTCTATCGAACTTTTGCCGCAAGAAGTACTGAACGCCAGGAGCCACTTGGAGTCCAGCAGCATACATGTCAGTGGCAACTCGATATAGACTGTCCATGTGTACGGAGTCGCAGGCTTCGTAGCGAGGACGAAGCCCGAGTTCAAGTTCTTCGTCCAGCAAGCGAAGCCACGGGAACCTCACCCCACTCGTAGGAAGTAGCTCCAAAGGCACCAGCGCTTGTAGCACAGCATAAAAGAACCTTGCATCAGCCTTTGGCTCCTTGATCTGCTTCGGATCCACTTCCATCCCTAGAGCTATGGCTTTTTGTGCGAGCTCCATGAAATCACGGTTCACCGATTCATCGCAAAACGAGAGGTAGAACGCAAACGCAGAACGCCTTCCCACGTCACGCCGTGGGCCGAAGCGGTTCATACGAGTGTTTTTCCGCGTTTCGTTGTCATAACCCCATCCCTTCACCTGGGGGTAGGATCCAACATAGTTGGCCTCCCGGGCATAGCACGACACCATCGCGGTGTACGCGTGGATGTGCAGCCTCCAGGGTCGATTCGTAGAGTTCATTTCCGGGAGGAAGCTCGCTCGTTCAGACCATCTTGCAAGATTCCACACACGCTCGGCAAGACCAGTGTGCCCACCCCTTCGGAGCCCTTCTATCATCGTTGCAAAGAATACCGGGCCGTACTCCACCCCGCGACGAATGTACGACTGTGTTAGCTCTTTGGCTACCTTGCTGAGCAAGACGGGGCGGAACTCCCAGGGTGAGAAAAGGTCCGTCGTGGACAGTTTGGGAAAGATCATGGAGAGTAATTGGATTATACCATTGTAGTTTTTGGTCTCGGAAAGATGTTTGAGGTATGATGTGAGGGTTACGATATCAAGGACTTTGGCAACGGTCGAGGCAGGGGCACGGAGTGTCATACTTTCTGTCTGTGCACGATAACGTGCCTTTGAGACGCGGCTGGAACCTGGCGCTACTGGATACGATAGTGTGGGCCCGAGGAATGCATCAACACCATCTGATGAAAGACCGAGACTGACTAAATGCTCCTCATTCCGTAAGATGCTCATGGCAGCATGGGTGATATCAGAGCGTTTCAAGCGGGTACCCGACCGTATAAGAGTATTATACGTCACGATATCCGGCCATAAAGGCTTTTCACGTTCGACCATGTAGTTGAGAACATGATCTGCTTTCTTAGGCGAAGAACGGTGGGTAAGGGAGTAGTGAAGGAGAGCATTGCAGCTGTGAAGGTCTAACATGGGCAACTGTCGACGAGTCACTATGCGGGATGGAAGTGGCGGGACATTCTCAGGAGGTGTGATAGCCCCGTGGATGGATGGCTCCTTACGGGGGGAGCGTTGCGGCGGGAGATCATCAAGGAGCCGTCTGAGAACGCTATGAAAATAATCATAAGCTTTCACCTGCGTCGGCTTATTGTCCTTGTCCAGTATCCATACTTTGCTCTCGCTGTAAGGACAGCGATAAAGCGCGCGGATGAGGGCTGCGACGTCCGGGAAAGGATACTCGCGAAGATCAAGGAGAACCGCTAGGTTGGCTAGAGCCTGCAATGACGCGTCAAACTCTGCTTTCGAAGCATCGTCGACAGGTCTTTGGGATAGTTTTTCGTTAATGGAGGAAACAATGGTCTGCAAGGAAAGAGAACGTGGTTTGCTACAGACTTGCCGAAGATGTTGATAGTTGGTTAGTAGATGTCGTGATTTCTCCGTCTCCTCGTTTGAGTCCAGTGCCAAAGAATCTAGCTCTTCTGCAAGGGCATCCTTGACTTCCCAGTCATGAACGAGGCCGACAAATATCAACGATGCAAGAATTATCTCTCCATGCAGGATACAGCTGCCAATCAATGCCCGGAACATACGGTCCGTGCGTTTCTGCTTGTATTCACGAGCAGATTGCAAGATCTGGAGAGTGGAGATGATAAATTCATCCTTGGTCACGGCGGGTCCTGGATTAAATACAGCAGGCGTTTTGAGAGCGGCTTGCAGCATGATGTACTGCTCTTTGACCCATGCTTTGGGTGCAGATGACGCCGCATATCCCTTGATGACAGCTTCCAAGGTTGTGACATGGATAGGTATTCCGTTCGCCATCATCCAACTGCATACACTGTACGCTTTCCTGAAAAATCTTTGCCGAATAAGTGCGTGAAGAAGTGTGTGTGCGGATAATCGGGGCGACACGGGGCGAGGGAGCTTAATGGCAATGTTTCTGAATGGTTCATATTTTCCAACCATCTCTGGATCGTTGAGGATCGAAGAATTCGCCATCAAAGATGAGAACCGGACAGAGTTAAAAATGTGATAGGCGCCACTGACGTCGGCGTGCTGCATGGATACCCTTATAGCATGAGAGGCTGCACGAGAGAGCTGGGGTGAAGAAAGAGATGGATCCAGGTATGACGGAAAATATGTTGGAGATGGGGAGGGATGAATTTCGACATTTGACAGGGCAGTTGCAGACCGAAAGAACGTTCTTGAGGACAGCGTACGCGACGGCCTTAGAGCATACACTGAGAACGACCTCTGCTCAACGGCGCGGTAAACAACGTTGAGCACATTGGCACTTGTAAGCCAATTGCATCGCATATAGCTCGCATAACTTGTAGAAAAAATGTTAGAAACAGAAAAGAACATGCTGTACGCGACTCACCCGACCTCTGCTTCTAGCTGGCCGTCAAAGGACGATGTCGGTGAGGGAGAGAACTGTCGGCTTATGTAACGCGAGGACCCCACTTCCGGACCGGCCGTCGATCTAGATCTCGAACCACGACCATGAATTTCGAGGAAAACATTTACATTTTCTGCGATGGCTGCACTAAAGAGCTGCACAAGCCGTACTTCGATGCTCTTCCTTCTATCGTTCGCTCTCTCCGCTCTGCATCGCTGGTCACCCCTTCTGCCGAAATGGTCAAAATAAATACCAAACTCAAATCTGAAATAATTCGCCTTGAAAAACTCATAAAGGCTCTTCAGTGCAACCTCGGGAGACTGAAGCGTGTAGTTCCTACCTATGCGTCTCTATTCGCTCCTGTTCGCCGTCTTCCGTTCGAAGTTCTCCAGGCAATATTCGAACAAACCCTCTACTCCAGTCTGGACGACATCTTCCCGTCGTCGAACACAAATAAGACCATGTCCCTTACTCCTATCCGACTAGCATCAGTTTGCTCCTTCTGGCGGGGAGTATGTCTCGCATCTCCTAACTTGTGGAGACACATGTACATCTCTATCAGTGTCCAGGACATACACAGTCGCGAGCTCAACCTCATCAGGGTTTTTCAGAAGCGTGCACAGTCCAAGGATATCTTATCGCTGCGGATCCGTTCTCTTGTAAGGAACGAGAACGACGGTGCCCCCGAGGAGGCAGACCATCCGCATATCCTAGCGGCCCTTCTGCTCTCGCCTCCCGAGTCTCGGGGTGGCCCAGAAACGGTGCCATATCTGAGCGTGGACGCATGCCGGGATGTCATTTTTGAGCCATCCTATCGAGAAAGACCTGACTTCTCCATATTCCGTCGTGATGGTGGAAATGATACCGTCCAATTTCGTTGGCCTTCCCTAAAATGTCTCGGTATATCCCCCATTGCGCCCGGCGCGCAATTAGGCGCCTCCAGTCCATGCACTCTTTTCCGAGATGCGCCTCTCCTGCATGAACTCAACATCTCTAACCAATGTTTCAATCCCCGTCACTTCATTCTTCCGTGGACCCAAATAACCACTGTTCGAATCCACGACTATCATGACACTCACGTCATTTCCGCCTTTTTGCATCAGCTTCCCAATATCGAGCACGTAGAATTTTCTAGGTGCAACTTACCATGTCCTCAGGTCAATTACATTGTGCCCCTCACTTCTCTAACGACAATACATTCCGATGCAGCGGTGGGAGCGGCTAAGTTCCCCAGGTTGGAGCACCTTGAGCTCCGAAACACAAGCGAAGGGGAGAAGAGCATCATCCTTCAGCCTAGCGCCCTACGAAGGTTCATCTCGAACTTGCTCTCCGTTTCAGCTGGTTTGACAGAACTGACTTTGGTGTGCGTTCCCATCGCCTATGAGTACGTCCTCATGGCACTCGACCAAGCGGTACACCTTAAGTGCCTTGTGATTGTCGAAGACACATACGACTGTGATCTTGTTACGCCCGAGTTTATTGAGGGCTTGAAGAGGCTGGTGCCGGTCCTCGAGTATCTGAAGTTGGTATGGCGGGAGTATGAATCCATTGAGGAGGAGCTGGTCGTCAGGATGCTTGAGACAAGGTGTAATACCACTTTGACGTCGGCAGTTATTGGACCTAGGCGCGGCGGCCCGCTGCAACGAGAGGTATTGGATAGGATGCAGGCGTTGAGGGATCGGGGGTTAATAGTAACATTGTATTAGGCAAGTCCCTCGTTTTCTTTCAATTCTTTTCCTGAGTCGTAAAGCTGCGAGATTTATTGTGTGATTGGCCTACACAGCTTACTTTCTTGTTGCTTTCTTGACAAAAAAATCTATCTTTCCATTTCAAATATTCCCGGACATTCTCCAGTGTAACGTAACCAAGATCCGCCTCCCAGTCACACCAAAAAAAGTAAAATTTCAGCCGAATTTCCACCTGTCCAAAACTAAATAAGAAACTGGCGGGATACCATATATAGGTATGCGCCCTCTCCCGCCTCAAGGCGGGATGGAGCGGGATTCCTATATATGGGATTTTCCTGGTTTCGGAATTAGTTTCTGACAAACAAAAACTCGGCGGAAATTTTACTTTTTTTGGTGTGAGTGGTCTGGTCATGCTGCGCAGTGCGCAGCATGAGGAAGCTGAACGGATTGATTTCCCCATTCTACACGAAACAGTAGGGCCCAGAAATTTCAAATCGGACCGGATTGAAAGCGGAAGCTTACTGGCAACTACCACCATCACTGTTCTTTGGCTCAAGCACTAACGTGAACGACCTAGTAACTCACTTCTGGTGAAGGTGGAATATGAAGGTGGCCAAGGCATGTGATAATTGTAAAAGAAAGAAAGGTGCGTCTACTTCATTTATCTCTGAACTTTTACTTACGGTAAAAAAAACAGTGAAGTGTGAGCGCTAGAGTCTATTAGGTGACTCATAATGAGATAACATATTCTACAACAGGTGAAGGTGACAGAAGGTCGAATCAGAAATGCAAGAACTGTTTGTCCAATGATGTCGAATGCACGTATATTGCTGCGGCAAAGATGATACCGGTAGGCCTCGAGCTTATCTTATGTACAGCTCATGACCTTTTTAGTACCGCTATTCTACTAAAGAATACATCGAAGAGCTCGAGAGAAGACTAGAAAAGACGCAAATGGTTTTGCGCAAGGTATGATCGGTCTATATCAGCCTTCGTGGGACGCTTGCTTACCACTCTTAAAGTTTGTTCCGGATGCTGTGATTGAAGAAGAACTGATCGGAAAAAGTCGAAATCAGAAACTCCAGAAACGTCAAACTACCGTGACGAAAGATGGTTCTAATACTAGGAACGATAACATCCTAGCAGACGGCGAGGTGTCCTTTGACGATGAATCAGAGTTAGATGAAGCGGACAGGTTAAGTCAAATGGCAGTAGGTGGTCCCGATGTGAAAAGCTTTGGGAAGTCGAGTGGCATCTCGTTCACAAGTACGGCCCTCAAGATCAAACAAGAACTAGGAATTCCTTCAGTAACAACTTCCCGACTACCAGGAAATCAGTTATGGGCCAATGCTTGGTCTGTACGTATGGCATGAATCCTTTCAAAGTTCCTCTAATGACGGTCTGCAGAGGAAGTATGAGGACACCGACGTCGACCTCTACGATTATACTTTCCCGGAGCCAGACCTTCTAGACAACCTTGTCGAGCTGTATTTCTCTCACATAAACCGATTCTGGCCTCTTCTCCACCGCCCTACGTTCGAGCGTTCCCTGGCGGCCGGCCTTCACCGAACGAACAAGGCGTTTGCAGCTACTGTTCTTATGGTTTGCGCAAATGGCTCGCGTTTCTCCGACGACCCTCGCGTACGAGTTGATCATGACGAGTTACCATATCGTCATGGCTGGATATGGTTCGTTCAAGTACACCGGGTCTCTGTACTGAGAACTGCGAAGTTATACGACCTGCAAAAATGCGTGGTAATTACTGTCTCACCCAGTGAATTCGGCCATGCTGATCAGAAGTTTCCAGCTGTCGGTTTTTTACGTACAAGGCTTCTCTGTACACAGTTCATGGACGATACTGGGAACCGCTATGCGTATGGCACAAGACCTTGGTGCGCATCGGAAACAAAGGCCGGGAATGTTGCCGTCGGCTGAGGAGGAACTTCTGAAGAGAGCTTTCTGGTATTGGCCTCCCTTAGATGACCGCTTATTACATGCCTGACTTCGTGCAAAAGGGTCTTGGTGTGCATGGACAGGATCGTAAGCATGGCGTTAGGTAGACCATGTGCTATTCAGGAAGAGGAGTAAGTTTCTTATATCTTTGGTGAAATCCTTATAAATATGTTAGGGTAGTATTGTTGCGGACCTCCCAATCGACTGCGATGACGAATATTGGGACAGCGCGTTTGTACAGCCTTCGGGTGTACCTTCTACGATGTCTTTCTTCAGCTCTTACGTTAAGTTAAACCGCATCTTTTTCAAATGCCTTCGAACAATAGTCAGTACAGTTGCCGGTCTACGCTGATTGCACTGACTTCTTTCAAGTATTCTCCAAGTAAACCGACTGCTCTACGTCGTTCCGCTGACAAGAGAAGTAAAGAAGACATCATCGCCGAACTCGATTCTTTAGTTAACGAATGGGTGGATTCCGTACCTGAACATAGTACGTCTTTCTGTGATGCGCACAGCAACCGATCTCATTGTATGCCAGTCCGCTGGGAACCTCGACAAGGAAATGAGATTTTTTACAGTCAATCCGTCTTTCTGTACTGCTCTTATTATCACCTCAGAATTCTCATTCATAGACCCTTCATACCAACACCTGGGAAACCATCGTCTCTTTCTTGTCCGTCTCTAATAATCAGCACCAGCGCAGCTCGGTCCATCAGCTATATTTTGGAATGTCAATCACGAAAACAACCGGACAGTCCTAAGTATTACTGCGCAGTGAGTCTATCGGGCTATCAGCGGGATTAAACTAACCTGAGGTTACTGAGATGTCTATCTTCTCCGCCGCGATTATTCTTCTCCTCAACAGTTGGAGTAACCCAACGGCAAAATCAGAAAGCAAAGACGTCAAACACATTACTCAGTGTGTAAATACTCTTCAGACGTTTGAGCGACAGTACGTGACTTCCGTGTGCAACCGCGTTATGCTCATCAAATTTGACTCTCTGAAGATGGCCGTTTGCTGGTCGATTCTGGTAAGTAATGATTATGCTCGTGAATTGAAATCTAATAGTTGGTGCTGCTAGCGATGCTATCAGTCATCTCACAAGTGGTGTATACCCCCTACGACAGCCTGTACCTGTGCGCGAAAGCACTGATATCTCACCTCAGCCAGTCTTCTATTCATCTCAATGGACAGAGTTGATGGATATGCCCTTTCCTTCGTCGAGTTGGCCTTCTTCATCGGACGATGCGTACGCTCAGAATTTTTGGGCCATTGCCGAGGATGTATTTCGTGACACGCTAGCTCATGCGCAAGGTTCTGATGGAGGAACATTACCTTATGCCGCTACTGAAGCTTGGAGAGCCTGTGTCCAAGCATCATTATAGTGGCTTCATGAGTTGGGTGAATAATTTTTTATATCAATCAACCCCCCTGGAATAAGTAGCCTAAATAACTTGTAAATAACTACGTGTCAGTGACGTTCGGAAACGCGATCGGAGAGGCGGCAGGCAGTAGAATGACAGCATTTGTTTACCATTATCCTTGATAACAAATATGATACCTTTTCACGCGTTGACTGCCACTTGCTTCTATCATTTCTGACTTGTAATGTCCTTCAATGACAAGCAAGTTGCCTTGACCAACACTTTCCGCTCGTTCAACTCTAAAGTCCCTATATTTCTGCAAAAATTGTACAAGTATGCCGACTATATCCGTTTCTTTCGTGCATCACATTTGACATTGTGCCACCGTTAGAATCGTCGACAGTCCAGAGACGAATAATGCGATATCTTGGTCGGTTGATGGAGAATCGTTTATTGGTAACTAGTCCAAGTGCTGTTGTTTCACCTTAGGCTAAATTTGAGCATTACAGTGTATGACCACGAGCGGTTAGCAAGAGACTATCTTCCACAATGGTTTAAACATAACAAGTACTCCTCGTTCGTTCGCCAGCTCAATAACTACGGCTTTCATAAGGTGTCTAACCTTCAACAAGGTGTAATGAACGCCAGCACAGATATAGAGCAGTCGCAGTACGCGCATCCCTATTTCCAACGTGACAAAGAGGACCAACTTATCCTCGTCCGACCGACCAAGCTAGCGAAGGACCGTCCTACCATTGATTTTGAGCAGGGAAGTTCTTCTACTTCTTCGTCGGGTGCTGGACAGCAGTTGGATATGCATGCCGTATTAAATGGCATAGCTGCAATCAGAAAACAGCAAACAGCAATAACACAGGATTTAGATGAACTGAAACGCTCAGATCAATTGCTGTGGGAAGAGGCTCTGCAGGCACGTAAACGGCACACAAAACTGCAAGACACTGTAAATCGCATTGTCAAGTTCCTGGCTACCCTCATTTCGCAACCCAGCGGTAGCGGCGTCGCGCATCCCCAGCCTTCACGCCTTATGATTGAGAACTCTGTTACGAGCAAAGTCAGGGAGGTTGAAGAACACGACGGTGATAACAAAGAGGCCGCCATGGCTTCTGCTCTGCGTAACTATACTTCTTGGCTCAGTAGCAATCTGTTCTCACCAGATTTACAGCAACATCACCTATCGAAGCACCAAAGCCAGCGGTTCCCGAAACATTCTCCTCTTTCAGTGCCCCAGCAACAGACTTTCAATATACCTCATTCGCTCCAAGCGCAACGATCGATCCGTCAATAGCCCCACAGCCAATACCCTCTCCCCCCCCTTCCCCCGGAGGACTCAGCTCCATTTTCGATAGCATGTCTACCTCCGACTGGGATATGTTTTCCTCCCTCCTAGGCCCCTTTCCCTCTCAGACAGACTTCAGTCAACTCCCTCTTTTCGATATATGCCAGTCGTCTCCACGTCTTCCTTTAACACCAGGCGACAATGCTCCCGCACAATCCCTACTCGATGAAAGTCTTATCCCATCTGATGGTCAAAGTCCTGGCTCACTTAACAAGAGCATCGGAGACATTGACAATGCCGTCAATGCACTGGATTGTGATATAGACTTTCTGAGCAGTGCCTTGGGACTACCGTCCGATGGCCTGCCAGTCGGTGATGATGGGATTGACTACAGCTCTTTCTTCGCCACCTCTCCACCAGATATCCCAGACTCTTCTATCAGCGCAGACTTTACGGGCGATGTCCCAGGTGGCATAGCGTCACCTGTGAATCGCAGTCGGCATGGATCTCTACAACCTGACGGTCAGGGTGCGGACCCTGGAGGCTGTCCACCACCGACAGCAGGGCTAAAACGTAAACTGGACACCACGGATCTGGAACCTCCCGCTATAATTCCAAAACCTCCTCCTGTGTATGCGTCGTCGTCCAGCGTAGTGGGGTCAGGGGAGATGTTGGATAAATGATGCATTAGATGCGTATTTTCTATGGTTCATGCGGCAGGACAAATAGAGATAGTCGACCCATTTGTACTCGGTAAAGGCAGCTGTATACTACAAGTGTTACATGTATTATAATATTGTCTACGGCTTTGTTGAAACATCAAATAATTTCTAACTCGCGCATAGGTTTCACTGTGATTAGTACGTAGCTTAGAGAGTAAATAACTCGTAGATAATCGTAATATCTGCCTTATAGGTAGTAGTTGCTCCATATGACACAGAAACCCGCTAATGATAACTCATTCTCCAGACTCCCAAGCAAATCCTGATTTTCGTGTTGGCAGCACGTGAGGTGGCTGCGAGGTCATGACAATTGACATTCCGGGCCGATAGCTGGACTACTTCCTACGCTGCCAAAGCCACTTCCGTTAAATTATCCTTGAAGAGGGGGTGAGAGAAGCTGCACGTACTATGTAACAGCCTCTCTCTGCGAACGAGAATCCAGAGGATTACGAATCCCCCCAAGAAGATCTCGAAGGATGAGAGATCAACAGTCGGAATCCTCTGGGATCCGACTTCCCCCCAGACGTAGTAGCTGATGGATTACTATACACTAATAGATGCTAACCTAGACATGGATTCTTTTAAAGAGCGAAAGTTGTCTAAAGAATCACCGATGAATAAAGGCAAGATCTCTTCAATACTTCGCCAATATCTGAGGAACGCTTTTGATGACCATCGGCCTTGTTTCATGACCACCCAGGGGTCGACACCAGACAGGAGCAGGAAAGTCGCTCCACCAATACGGAAACTGTGTCCTAGTACGGTCTGCAACCCTTCTGCTTCCCAAATGGAGTTGCAGCGAGTCATGAATTTTTTTCTGTCGAGTGCGGTCCACCCAGTCTCTCCCGAACGAAAGGCAAATAGCGGTGCATCGTCAGGGATTTCGGAGTTGACATCGAGATGATGTTGAATCGCGCTCAAGGGATCAGTTGGGTCTGCAGCCGATGTCCAGGTGACCCAATCGCCTTGGTATTTTTTCGTTTTCGTGTAGGGAATAAAAATGCTAATCCAAGAATGATTGTTAGCGGCTGTTCCAGTTGTCCGTGGAGAACGGCGTAAAACGTTACGTGTTGGATCAAATTGAGAAGGCGAGGCCAATAGAATCTCTCCGAGCCTCGTACAACCTTTCCATGCAGTCAATGCGGCAGCCCATACAGCGCAGTCGAAGGGGTCTGAGAGATCCAGATGCTTGTGTAAAGTATCAATATGTTTTTGGGTGACGGGTAATTTTGGTTCTTCGGGACAAGGATGGGGGGCGAGCGTATCAGCACCCTTTTTTGTTCGCAGTAGCATATCACCTCCTAACCACGGGGCATTGTTATACTCATGCCTAGCGAATAATTAACTGGGGGTTTCCTTGGTATTCAAGAATGCAAATACCATAGTTTAATCCCATCAATCCAAGTATCGATGGTAGACTTTTTAACTTTGCCTGCTCCCATTTCTGCGACAAAAATCGATAGCAACGTATCATCGGCAGGCATTCTTTTATCCTCTGGAATTCGAAACTTGTCGCAAAACTGAGTAAAGCGCAGGAGACCAGCACCATAGTTCTTCAACGTATCTTCTGTTACTGAAGCCAGCATTACATCTTTCCAAGCTGTTATTAGATGCTGGGGATAGATAGACGATAGGAGAGCAAAGGAATTGATTGAATACGGTGTTTTCCAATACGGGATTCGCTGCGATGCCAACCGGAGCGGCCTAAAGTCAGAAGGTTCAATGCTTGAACCTTTCTTGACACGAGGAGACTTCAAGGTTGGGTCAGGCGATTTTGACGGCACACTGTTACCACCAACTGGGTGCGGCAGACTTGTCGATGCCAGGGACAGCCCTCCAGATTGGGGAGCATCTGCACTGGCAGATGCACGACGAAAACGGATCCTATACATAGGACAAAAATTCCTTGAGCTCCAAAGGGAGCTGAAACGTAATATGGAGTCGATCCTCGTCCATTCCCACCTCGCCGCGAGAGATGGGGTCTGCACGATTGTCTTCAGACTTCACATATACTGGCAATAGAGAGATATTGTGAGACATCAATGAATTAGAAAGGCGACGAATGCATGCGTTACGATGAGGGTTACGAGAGCGGCCTTTTTTATAAGCATCAATGGAGCTAGAATTGTCCCCATGCACCGGGGCGTCGCAATCTGACAAGTCCGCCGTTGATGCCCACATGGCAAAGAGCTCTAGAGCAACAGTTTCAGCCCATCCGATGTCTCGACCTTCCGCTTTCCAACCTTCCTTCAATTTCCACGCAGCCCAATGGCCACCGATGAGCATACCTATTCCCCATGACGTTGAGGCATCTATCCATGCATCGGTATCACAAACTATTTTGGGTTTCAAAGTGCGGTGGTAAGATTGAACTGAGAGAACATTAAACCACCATTTGGAGTCAGTGATGACCGGGGAGGGGATATGATGAGAGACGAATTTGTTGGGAAATTTGGAGAGGAAAAGGGACAGCGAGGGAAGGCGAGACCGGCCTTCCTTATAAATGAAACAGATGTGCTGTAGAGTACCGTGAATAGAAGCAGCCATGTCATATTTGACCGTCCGGTTCTCTAGAGCTGTTTCCAAGAAGGAAGTCAGCTTCGTCAAGTATTTTACCCGCTTCCTCTCTGGGAGGGAGACAGTTTTCATCTTGAGGTCCCAATGGAAACCGACATAAACTGTTTCGTATGCAAAGTCGTGTCCTTTTTCTGTCACAGGATGCCATAAAATTCCCAATGGGGAAGATATGTCGAGAATGGTCGACAGGTCGAAACAATATTGATATTGGGAGGAGCCATCGTGGTGAGTGATTGTTGAACAAGGGTAACGCCAAATATTGAAATCGTCGACCCATTTGAAAACTTCAAGCATGATTAAGATGAATAGGAGGATATCTCTTAAAGCATCAGCAACTTCGCCCTGAATATTTCCGGCAGTGCACAAACCGAAGGGCGTGCAATGGTTCCCCCAAATAAGATCTCGCCAAAATGTGGCAATGTAACATTTGTGCTTCGCTAGGATGGGCGAACATCAGTATGCTTTGACCCAGTCCAGCGCAGCGGCTTGGGTTCCCGGAGGAGCCTTCACCACCTGAAAGACATAATTAGGACATGTACATTTGTCATTAATACAACATAAAGGGCGCAATGGGGCGTCCCGAGTTCATTTAGGGAACTGAACATATCAGATGTTCAATAGGAACACCGTAACATGGAAGAGAATAGCTCTTCGAAAAATTTTGGGCATGGAATGGCCATGGCCAGCGGAATAAATGCGGAATAGCCGCTGGAGAATAGCTCCATACACATAGGGAACATCCCAAGGTTACGGAGAAATTTAGCTCACCGCGTCTGCAAAAATCGCTGCCGTATACCATTTGGTAGGCTTCTCTTGAGCATCGAGCCAAGAATTTGTGCTGTTGCCGCTCTTGTCTTTTGCTGAAAGGTTGTGTACAATTCGAAACTTTGTTTCCTCATCAATAACTGCCATCGGCGCTGTTCGGAAATGGCCTCCAAAGAAAATTTCAGCATCTTCGATTGACAAACCACCATACATCCTTCCTGCATCAATCTCGTCCGCTATGTACTTGTCAATGATGTCCATATGTTTTGAAGCCGAGGCAGAATTACAAGGAATGAAATTGGAGGTAAGAGGAGGAGGGGAACCGATGGGAGAACCGTAGATAATGTCATGTACGAGATTAGGGTATTTTTCCTGTAAACCACACCGTTGAAGAGTATCACACCACACCTCAGCACGGTAAGGTGTGACGACCTTTTGACCTTCAGTTACGAGGACATGTGGAGGCACCATGACCTGTCTCAGCACACAACGAGCAGATGTGGAGGGCATCGTCGGTGGGCATCGTACACTTGTTTGGTCCTTGGACATTGTGTCGTAAGCAGACGGGCTGGTTGTCAGAGGTGCGGTAGAGATATGTTCCCTCCAGGCGACAATGAAGGATCGTCCAGGTTTGTTAGGAATACTCTCGCTGCAGGCGTCGGCTTTATGCCCTTTCTTTCCGCAACGGAGGCAGAGGTAATCAAAGCTCGAGCGTTCGCCATCTTTACGAAAGGAATACTGAGATTTGTCAAAGGGTTGAAACCGGGATTTGTTTTTTGTGGTCCTAGTTGGGCCATTGACGGCTGGGATGTATTGAGCAACGGCAGTCTTGATCTCCTGGGCTGTCGTACGCCTAGCGACCCTTTGCACGACGCGGTTCCAACCTTCAATGTACTCTTTCGAGTTAACATCAATAATAATGCCTCCCCTAGTGAAGAATTGCGGTCGTAAATGGTCGCAGTCGAATTCCTTGTGAGCCTCGAATGTCGCCTCGATGTCTGGGTCGGTAACTGCTCGCTGGTGATGTTTCACAAAACCTTCGAAGATTTGCTCTCCTTCACATAACTCCGAGATAAAGCTCAAGAAGTTTTCGTACGCTGCGAGCCATTGGGCCAAGGACATGTCCTTTTCGTTGGGGAAAGTCGAAGTATCGAGTACTCGAATGTTCGTCGATGTAGCACCTCGTGCGAACTTCCGATACGTTACGTCTCTTCCGAGCCTAATATTCGTGAGCGTTGTGGGAGTAAACATCGTCAACGGTGGTGAGATTCCATTGCGGGCAAGAACGAACAGGTCTTCGGGATATGAGGACTCTACGGTGCGATAACCTCCATTGGCCAAGGCTTTCGCATCCGCAAATTTGAAGCCTGTCTCCGAGTCCTTGGCATGGTCCTTGGAAGCTGTGGACATAGTCGGGTTGTTTTGATGAGTACGCACAAGAGAATTCATTCGATCAGCTAGCTCCTTTTCATCTTCATCTTCTGAAACCTCGCTAGCATCATTGGCCTGCCTTCTCCTTTCCGCTCGCCTAGCATTTCTTCCTTTCAATTCTTTCATCATCTGAGCAGTCATTGCTATCATGGTGACGTCGAAGCCAGTTCCTTGATTTGCCGAGCCATGAGGTCTTCCGGAGGAGGTTGAGGGAGCATTGTTGGTTTGAGCAGACATAGTGGATGATATGATAAAGTAATAGTATTTCTGGATGACTGAAAACGCAACGAAGTTGCAAAGTGCGAATGAGGTGCTGACTGCGAACGAGGAGAGTCAAGGATGAAGGCAAGATTCAGCCCTTCTCGTTCGCTTTGTCAGCACCTTATGAGCATTGCCTCACACGTTCGGCTGATGCTCAACGCCCAAGTGATTATGTCGCTTCCAGCTGAACTCGTCTTCGGGATTCTCTTCTCCCTCTGGTCCATTCAATCTTGCACCGAGGAACGTGTACAAACCTTCAAAAACTGCTCCCTTGTATCTAGATGCTGGTCTGCCATCATGAAGGACGTAAATTCTACGCACTCGGTCATTCCCCTCTCCTACAACGGGAGTCAGATGTATACCATCCGGGCGATATCTTCGATACCTAATCCGTCGCTCTGTCGTACCATAACGTTCAAGGTCGACTACATGGTTCTGCCACAGCTCCTTATCGATATGGAATGCGAACCTTCCATCACAGCTAATAAGGGAATAGAGTCTGCGCTTCGGAGGCTATTCTGCGGCTCTAAAACACCTCAAAACGCTACCCATATCTACGTAGACTATCTTGACGACCCTCAAGTCCATATCCCTCGCTTTTGGATTCCTCAACAGATCACACAGCTGACTATTATATACCACTACCGCCGCTGGGTTCCCTTCCGGTTCCGATGCTGCAATCCCTGCGAATGCGAATGTAACCAGCCTGCAGTTGACCAAAAAGTCATCCATCTCTCCGTCATGGGAGCCACATCTGTGATAGTGCAGCGACTCACAACTCCTCTCACCAAATGGAAATGTCTGGCTTCGTTGACTACAGACGCTGAATTTCTGGAAACTGATATTCCTGTCACCTTGCGAGATGCCTTCACCAGGAGAGAGTACAATTATCCAGACCAGGAAGTGGGACCGGATTTTGTGCGTTGTGTCATGTTTGGCGAACGGATGTTATGGTCCTCCTTGCTTTCCAGGTCGTACCCCAGTATGTTGTTAAATGTCTTCAAAATCGGTACCATTACTCAACTCATTTACAGTAGGGCTACGTGTCCGCGAGTGTTATATCTCAATGCTTGAACAGGTCATTCCACTGGGGTCTGTGGGATATATCGGTCCTTTAACCAGGAAGTTCATCGTATTGTTCAATGCTATCGATCCAGTGGCGTCCTCGACGGAACCACGCATTCATCGCATCCCTTCTCTTCTAAAGAAGGGCGTAACAAAATTGACCGAGAACCCTAATTATTCCTCTTCCCCGGGGTGGGATTATGAATATAAAAGGACAGATATCCTGCGCATGCTCGGAGCTTGGAGTCGAGGAAGATCGTTCGTTTTTTCTTTCTTATGCTTGTCTGCCTGTTACTGATAGAAGTAGAGTGTATAGTATCCCTCTGGGATTCGACATGGGGGCCTTGCTATTTCTCGCGCTCGGGCGTGCCTTTTCCCGAGAACTTGTAGGAGACTATTTTGAGGAATGGTTGTACGAGCAACGACAGACAATTACGGACGTGTTCGGAGACGATCATCCTTTCATCCGAAGACATCTGGACCTTGGTGACGGGATTTTCATGCTACGAGTTAAGAGTTTTGCTGACTGAGATGCTGCTTTCATTTCAGTGACAACCACCGTAGACTCCTCGCAATATGCTTGGTTTGCTCATCTTGGACAAAAGTCGAGGAAGGATCTGACAGAGGACGGGAGTGTAAATACATTACTCAGTTGTGTGATTGCATCAACACTAACACACCTACATAATTTTACTTTCAAGTCGACCCTCAGGCTTCGCGCAACCCTGGAAGCCCTTGGGGGAAGATTAAAGCTCCTAGGTATTATACTCATCCTGGCCCCGTACTACCCTCGTGGGACCACGTCTCCACGGTAGGACAGTCACCAATGACTGTAGAAATCCGTTGCCATTTCATCGCGTAGTCGCAGGTATAATACTACTCTCTCATAAGTACTCCACCGTTCATTGTACGCTTGAACGAAAGTCACACTGGCCCGAGCCTTGTTCAATTCAGTTGTATGTGGCGCCGTTGAAACTCTTGCCTTTAGGAGACCCCTAGCTGGGCAGGAAATGCATGGAAGCGTCTACTCAAGAACAAAAAAGGATATAAATTGAAATTATCAACCGACTGTTGTCTGCATGCGAGTGAGTGATTTCTCAGTCTATATATGGTCTATTATACGATATTTCTACTTGCTCCTCTGAGCGTTTCAGCATCATGTCGACAGTTCTTTGGCCGCTTTCTCGGTCTGAACGTCATCCTCAGGGACCGCTAAAGTATCGGCATCACCCTCTCTTTCTTTTAACACCCCCGCACCTTGGAAGAATACCAATGCTAACAATGCCGCTAGAAAAGAATAGTGTAAAGTCAGATTTTATACAGGCCACAAGATATATGCAAGCATCTACCAAAGATCCCAAATGCAAAATCTGTCCATGCCGCGGCCTGATAGGCATCCAGTTGTGCCGGTTTGGGTGCATTTGACGAGTCAGTCCCAAAGTCTTCCGCCCGTGCTCGTAGAACTCTATCATATACGACAGTGGATATTGTCACGCCAAAGGAAGTACCGAGCTGAAAGGGCAATGTCAACAATTTCATCCCGATGCGTATACCCAACAACTTACCTGAGTCATAGTTTGAAACACTGCACCTGCAACACTCTGTTCGTGTGGCAGGGATACCTTTGCAATGAAAAGTGTACCAGCTGCGAACACAAAGTCGGCTCCGACGACGGAGAGTACAGCCGCAGGAAAATCGAAAGCCCAGTACGTTGTGGTTGGGTTTATCAGTGCGAAGAGAAGACTAGCCGCGCTTGTGAGTGCCGTCCCCGATACTAAACGATATCAATACTACAGCCCAAACCATGGAACACGATGGCGTACCCATGAAGTATATGAAAGGCACGCGGCCTGCCACAAACGCGACTATGACGTTACAAATCAAACCAGAGACATTCTGCGGCACCATACGCACAACGGTGAGGATCGGGGTACGCCCCTCATAGTTCTGATAATAAAGCTATGCAATATCAGTGAGATTTAGTTAATTTGATGATAGCGCGAACCATACTTGGGTCCAATAACACCATCCCTGGAAGCAGCACCAATTGAGAAATGCGATAACCATCACCACAGCAACTCGTCCGTTTGCCCTAGTCCAAAGAGATAGTCGCATCAGTGGTGGAGGGGTCCATTTCGATGGGGAGTTGGCAGAATCTTGTTGGCGTTCCAGATAATGCTGCCAGAAAAGAAACAATACTATGAAAATAACACCCGTAATGAGTAACGCTGTTATATCTTGAGGTATATTAGTACTGATCGACATGTTTTGATAGGGTGAACCTACATGGTGTCTTCCACTGCTGTGGTGCAAGCTCTCCTTGGGTTAGAATAAAGACGATAAGAACAAGCCCTGCAGTTGCCAGGAATGTGCCCACTACGTCGATACGTTGATCATCCTCCGTTGAAGGCAGATCGCGGTCGATAGTAAAGAGGCCCAGAGCCAAGGAAGCAACTGTAAGGCCCTAGAAATTATCGCCAAACGTGAGGGCAATGTCCATTCACCCAATTAGAGGGCCTTACAGTATTGAGATAGAATAGGGATCGCCAGGTTTGTCTGGAAGCAAATTTTCAGCAAGGTACCTTAGATCGCATCGTGCTGCGCTCACTTAGTCAATTGGACCATTACACCACCGATAGCTGTGCCGATGGCTCCGCCGATGGGCGCACCAGCAGCGAATGTAGCAAATGCAATCGTACGCGCGCGAGAAGGAGGGAAAGCGTGTGCCAGAATTCCGAGCTGTAAAATCCGTGAGCAAACAAACTTCAATATAACATTCAAGGAGACACGTGCAGAAGCTGGTATTGTTGCAGCTGCTCCAACGCCCTGAAGGCCCCTGAGAATATCCAGAGTCATTGCATCTGATAGAAGGTATGTCAACAGAGGTCCTCACTGAAATCATCAGTCTCACATACTGTTGGCAAATGAAACTCCCAAGGTGAATACTGCTAACCACAGAGCTCCGAAGCAATAAACTTTTTTTCGCCCGTAGAGATCTGCTATTCGACCGAACATTAGAAGCAGACAACCCTAAATACTCAGCAGTGTATAAATCCCCACTAAAGTCGCAACTTACCGCGCTCAGTGGGTACGCAGACACTACCCATGTTAATTCTGACTCCGGGACATCTAAATCAACTGCCATAGTCGGAAGAGCAATGGAGACGGAAGTTTGATTGGCATTCTGTGACTATCGTGAGCATCGATACGCATGAAAAAAAGCAGGAAGGAACGCACGTTGACCATCATGGCGAGGGTACAAGAAGCTACAATCAACACAGACCGTAGGACAGACATTTCCCGGGCATTTCTGGGAACATCGAACCGTCTCCGCTCCAGCGAAGTCATGACTATTTGGCAGGAGTGAATATTCGGACATGGCGGTTAAGTAGTGCAACAGTCAGTCCCGGTTTGGCCCCGGTCCAAATGATTCCGCATAAAAGGACGTGCGAACGTGATGTAAAATTAGTCATTTGACAATGGATTGATGATCGATCGACCCAGCTACATGGTAGTAACCCACTGAGGGCAACCCACTTCAAGGCACTAACAAGATTTGTTGGCGACGTCGAAGTGAAGTGGCTCAAGATTCGATTATCTGTCTTTTGCACTGACTTTCTCCACATTCGGGTTGAAAAATCTATGCTGGAAAATCCCAATATCTATTGAATTGGTCTGTCGTTGGTCTGTTGTCCAAGGAGCGTGTATGCGATCCCTCGGCGGGGACTGAAAGAGTCAAGACTAAATTCCACGGTTATTCGGAATGACCGCTTCATCTCTATCCACAATTAGGAATATTTATGCGTGTGGTGGTGCTTCTTTCTAATCGTAAGTAAAAACGTACCACTTTCTGCTTCGCAAACGAACGGTTTTGACAGACCAAAGCCAAGCCGCAGTTCCACAATTTAAATTCGGGGACAAGTGGCACACAGACATGCGTCCGCGTCAATTTTGAAGCGGTATATCCACCTCGGGTTGCTCGAAAAGCTCAAGAAGAAACTGGTGTGGCAACTCTTGTCATTCACGAACTAGTTGAGTTGGGAAGACGGGACATTACCCCGAGAATCATGAATGGAAGATGGTTCAAGTATATCGATGGGGTAGTTTATCCCGATCATGTTACAAAGTAAAATTTCACGGTTCTATCGTGTCCTAAGGACGCCTTGTATGGGGCAATTTCCGCCGAACAGTCATGCAGCATGACCCACTTATAAGATGTATATATATGACGAATGAACTTCTCGCTGCCTTGATTAGTAATAACAGAACACCGACTGAGCCCATCGAACTAAGCCCAAAGTGAATCAACTACAGATAAATTCGGATATGATATGTTGATGGTAGATTCAAATTGGATGTATAGAATTGACCACGATTCAAAGCTCTGATCATTCATTAGCAACAGACAATCTGACAAGTGAAGACGCAGGGATATAGTACTCGACTGGTATGTATGACTATACTCCTACTCGTTGTGTTATAGTTCCGCATTGACTTTACTGCATCTTTGCGAAGTGGTACATAACGATACCCACCAGAGCAGCCACCAAAGGACCCGTGATAATGGTCTTCAACGGCGACTGCGGCAACGGCAACCCCTCCCTCCTCATCCTATTCTTCTCATACGTGCCAAGTTTTGGATCGGGCATCAACGCCTTGATCGTGAAGGCTAGCCACAGTGCCTTCTTTACCAAAAACGTCACGACCTCATTCCTCGGCCCCAGCCCAAAATACTCAAGCGTCTCATCCGCCAGTGGTAGGCAAAACATCGCGCGTCCAACGAAATGAAATGGCTTCGGGAACCAGCGCTCTTCAAACTGTTCAGCAATAGCTTTCCCTGCCAGAAGGGCCGCATCGCTTTGGGGCCAGGGTCGACGGCCCCATTCCTCATTGAACTTGACACAGGCGTCAAAATCGGGAGGGAAGCTATCGGGAGGCACAAAGCCGCTCTCCATGAGGAATCCCTCATATAGGCACTTGGCAAAGAGGTACATTGCGCGTTGCATGTGAGGAGGAAGCCCTGGAAGGCCCGCCAGGCGCATGGTGTTATGTACCTGCACCGCAGCGACTGCACAGGGCTCGATGAAGTCTTCGTAATGATCCCAGCTACCCGGGAGCTGTTTGGCGAGACGCATGTGGAGGGCGTTGAGACGACGCTGGTTCTCCGAGTGAATGACGCTGGTGGGACCGAACTCGAAGAGAGGAAGGAAGAAGTCGCGGGTGTCCTCAAAGCGCTTCTGTTTCTTGTTGAATACTTTGCCGGTGTGGACGGAGGTGGCGAGGCCAACTGGATTCATGTTGACGACGAGGAAGGTGGCGGAGTACATAATATTGATGATGAACTCGTTCGAGTTGTAGCTCATAAAGGTTTTCACCATCTCTTCCCAGTCTTTCTCTGGGTCAAGGGAGGCGAGGTACTTGGAATAATCGTCAGATAGTTTGACCTTTAGTGTAAATATGACAACGTACGCGATCGATCCATTTATATCCAGACTTGTCGGGGCAATACTTTGCAGGCGGGCTATCCGCGTTTTCTCGTTGCTGGGAAATTTGCCTGGTCAGAAAATTTGCTATCAAAATAAAGGCAAGCGGCGCGACTTGCACTAGCGTTGTCAGCGGTGAATTTCTAAAGTATGATGAGCTAAAGTATGGTTAGCGAAAAAAATGGATAAACGTACCTCGCTGGGTTCTAAGACGAAGTGAGACATAATTTGAAGCAGTAAATGGCAAGTCAAGGTTGATATGTGATTCAACCATGCTTTATATATTGTTTCGAAACTCTTCTTGGATACCTGAAAGGAAGCATGCCAGAGAGGTGTGAAGATGCCGGACGGGAAATATAATCCGACATTCCAAAGACAATATTACGAATCGTCCAAGTGGAGGAATCTTCGCCGTATCCCTGGTCAACGTGATTGACTCAGCCAGTGCTTTTTGTGCGTCCATTTCATGTGGCATATTAATGATGAATGTGACGGCGCGGCGATGAAAGATGGAGTCTGTAACTTCAAAAGTCCATAGATGTCGACCCCCAGAATGCCGTATGCATTGACTAGCAAAGTATTACTACAAGCAACAAAACCACGGTGTGTGAAAGTGAAGAGAAAAAAGACCGGCTATCGGGCCGTTGCCAACCGTTTGCGACGTCATCGTTGACCCCAGCGTGCCGAGGACTACTTGCTCTCCTCCCACCAACACCGTCCATTTTCGAACAACGGCTTCTACAGATAACCCAACTTTTGAACAACGGCGAGTGCACATCTGCCGTCAGTCTAAGTTCATTCCCAGCATATGGAATTCGCGCCTAGGCATGTTGCGCGTCAGTTGACGTATTAGCTCGTCAAGAACGCATGGAAGCCCTGCCATGGATTGAAAAGAAACTGTACTTGGTACGATTACACGTCTGAGATGAGCATTGGCTATGTCAGCAGCGAGGATTTGAGCACTGGGTCACATGTAGTTTGGTATGTTGGAGAGGTCGCTGAAAGGGAATGGATTGGTGAGTCGCCACGTTTCTACTCTACTAGCACCGTTCAGGTCGGATGCTCCATCGTCGAGCTATTTGCTTCCAGTTCGATTTGGCGCCTCATCGATGTTACACGCGATCGAAGCATGGCTCGTTGTCCACGTTATCGACGTCGTGAAGCCCCCTGCTATTCATTGTAGGCTCCCTCGTGTATTCCCCGTTGCTCTAGCCCGAGTTTCTCGGTGGATTCCATCTTTCTCTTCATGAATGATAGTTACGTCAAGTCTTTTTTGCTATTAACTGACTGGAATATACTCCTCGCCACCCTCGGGCTTCAATGGATAAAGCCTTCAAGTTTGCAACAACGAAATGAAGACTTCGACTGCTCTATCCCCGTCTCCGTTTCATCTTTGCGTTCAAAATACGACGGCTCACCGCGGCAAGCACCTATTACCTGTATATATGCGTACTCCTGCCGGAACCGAGTCTAATGTGCCCCACCTTCCCTACCAATTGAGCTGCTGTCTCCAATGAAGAGTCCCTGATCGATGGATCTGCGCTTCTATTAGGCGGACTGGTGCAACTACGAATGCACCGACGACAGGATGGCACCATATAAAACTTGGCTGGTGCTCCTTCTCAAAACCACCATGTCCCGCCATTTGCCTCACACCCAAACGCTGTCAACTGATGAAATATCTGACGAAAGGACTTTGGACGAGACTCTGACTGGTCAGATCAAACCGGAAAATGATCGTGGATTCATCAAATCATCCGCTGGCTTGGAGGAAGATTATCCCGATGGCGGACTGAGGGCTTGGTTAGTTGTTGGAGGAGTGAGTCGCATTGCGTCGTTGATTTAATCAGTCAATAAAGACATTGGCCATATTTCAGATAATGTGCAGTTCCTTTTCGACGTCAGTGCCAGCAGTAATCGAGCCGCGTTTTAACGTATTTATATTTCATTAGGTTTGGGTTCGTGAACGCCTGGGGAGTGAGTCCGTTTCATAACATTTTATCGAATTTTGCACAACTTCAAACAGGTATTCCAAGCTTACTATGAAGAAAAGTTGCTGAAGGACTCTGATGCTTCCACTATGTGAATCTTCCTTTTGCCGCATTCAACCGCAACTGTCACTGACCCTGTTAGCGCATGGATTGGCTCCATTCAGGTAATCTCATCTCGATCTTCCCAGTCTAGTGCTGATACTTCTATGATTGATTAGTACGCCCTTGTCTTTATGCCGAGTGTAGTTACGGGCCGCATGTTCGATATTGGATGCTTCAAGGCACCACTACTATCAGCGAGTATCATACTTGTTCTGGCAACGTTTCTGATCGCGGAATGCACCCAATACTGGCATTTTCTCCTCTGCCAGGGCTTTGCCATCGGGGTTTGTTTTGTCTGTACTGTCCCTTCGTGTTTCTGAAATCGATTCTCAGCTTTCTTGTGGAATGGTATTTGGTCCGAGCGTGGGGATCATAGGGCATTGGTTCCGACACCGTAGAGGAATTGCAGTAGGGTTGATGTCTACTGGCGCATCGGTTGGTGGGACGGTATTCCCGGTAGTCGCTCGTCAGCTTATTGACACTGTTGGGTGTGTACCTATTCTGTATGGCTATCACGATGATATAACACTCCGCAGATTTCCATGGACAATAAGAATCATAGGATGCATCCTCATACTTGGTCTGGGAATTGCCAACTTGACAATGAAACGTCGACTTCCGCCTGTGAAAGCATCCGGAGGCATACTCAATCTAAAAGCTTTCAGGAGCACGCCATATACTATTTGGTGTTTGTCTGGTTTCGTTGCAATGCTGGGGCTGTATACAGGTGCGAGCGTTTCTTTTTGAGATTGCTGTCCCTCTTAATGTTTCGCTTGTGCCCAATAGTTCAGACCTACATTAGCGTTAGCGCTACCGCCTACGGTGTCTCGCCAGATGTGGCCTTTTACCTCGTCTCTATCGCTAATGCTAGCTCAGGAGTCGGACGAATCGTTGCGGGAATTTGTGTAGATCGATATGGTATCCTAACCGTTCTAGTATTCATGGAGCATCCTCTAACCTATCCACAGGTGCATTGAACTACTTTGGCCCCATGACGATTATAGCAGGCGCCGTCACCTATGCTTGGCCATTCGCGCGGAGCCTCGCTTCCATGATTGTCGTTGTGGTAATATACGGGTCCGTCTCCCTCCTCCGAGTGCTTTGTGAGACACTAATAGAGTGGTAGGTTCACAAGCGGGGCTTATATATCCTCAACTGTCAATCCTATCTACAGCTTTGGTGAGATCAGCGATGTGGGGAGGCGGACAGGGATGGCGTTCTCGATAGCATCTCTTGGAGCGGTTGCGGGTCCGCCTATTTCTGGGGCTATTAATACGGCGACGAGGGGTTTTGAGGCTATGGGCTATTACGCAGGTGAGATAATCGGAACGAACGAGATTTTGTCCTGACGGTGATTGTGATAGGAAGTACGATCATGCTTGCCGTGGTACTGTTGTATGTGGCCCGGTATCTTGCTACTGGGACGTTAAGAGGAAGGTTTTAATAGAATTAGATGTGTGGATGTGTAGAGTTTTGACTCGGACGCATGACTTGTCTGTCTCAGTTTGAATTTCGGCTCTGATCAGTCCTGATTCTGATTCTCATCTTTCGAGGACTGGCGAAGCTGATTTCTACTTGAAAAAAGGAGCTTGGGGTGGCAACGCCATGTCGTTGAATCCTCAAGAAGATAGCTATGTTTATTCGAATCAGTATCTCACAAGAGTGGAGTTCCCTGACAAACCAGACATGGAATCGACTGACGCAGAAACAGTTCTCTACTGGCCCCGCTAGGGACCGGTGGTAGTAGATACGGTTCTAAAAGAGATAATCGCGCGAAGGGAACGTTTCGAATGGGGGACGTATCAGCATCGAGTCTCAGGGAATGAATTAGATGTATTTTGAGATGAGTTGGATTTGCCTGAGGAGCAGCGGAGGGTGATTAATATTAGCGACAGGCAGGAAAATCTTTTTGGAACTACGTATACTGGACAGATACTTAGGATGTCATGATGTTCATTCCGTACATGCCAGTTTCTGAGATCTGAACTGGTCCCTTTTCTTACGAGTCAATTCTTTAGAGTGGCATTCAGGCTAAGATTGAATATTCTTGAATATTGAAATATCGAAGGTCGACGGCGTTTAACCGGCCCGAGTCTCGCGGGCATCCTTTCTCTCCCACACCACCGTGCTTAAAATTTTGCGTTAAGCTCAATTTGGGTGTCTTTGCTTGTGATAACCACGTCTGTATAGTACTGCATGGCCATCCTCGAGAACGTAGGTACATACCAGCTGGGTGGCCTGTGTTCGACTCATTTACGTCTACTAGCAATTACGCGGCGAATCTTGTCGGCGTAATCTGCGTGTTTGTTCCATCAGACTCGGACTTGCAGAGCAGCGGATATATCTTTCAGGGCAACGAACTAAACGATAATCGTTCAATGCGTTTTTATTTCATTGCTCGACTCGAGGAGACCGAAGTATGCGGCACACCAATTGTGGAACCATGGTATGTTCACTTCCTCTGTCCATGGCTGTTCCAACATACACAAATTTAACCGTTTGGCTAGTTGCATGTCTCGATAGTGGATGTGAACAAGTTCTCTTGGGCATTGTTAGATGGTGTTGATGTCGTCTGACAATCTTTGATCCATGCCTGTGGGTATATATTGTCCCTAAAATCCCCTTGAGAAGTGGGTCGCATAACGGCTTCCACGATCTTCCCTTGGCACCTTCCCTGCAGCCTCACTCACCGAAGGCATTGTAGAACCGGCAAGGAACTGGTTCTGATTCTGAGCTGCATGGTTAAGACCGGCACACAACTCTTGGATGCCTGTAAAGGGTTTCCAAACAAGTAAAAGACTAGCTCAAAGTTCATCGTCTTGTCAAACGGCCGGCGTTCGGAATGAATACACAAGATAAGTGTTTGGACGCCTCATTTTTAGAGCGGCAGAAGCAAAAGAGTAGATCTCATGATGCCGTTCAATTGTAGCCGGGAGTGCCTTATAAACAGTTCCCCCTTCCCCACCTCTCGCTCTACACTGCAATCCATGTTTAGTGTTCCGGGGATCGCTCTCATCACAGGAGCAGGTCCGTTCCACTCTGTTTGTTGGCCCGTTGGTTCTTCTAAGTTTTTCTCAGGTAGCGGCATCGGGAGAGCCACTGCTCTTGCGTTCGCTCGAGCCGGAGCTTCAGGTCTTCACCTTGTCGACATAAACCGTGCTCGCCTGGAACAAACCTCCAAGGATGTCGCGTCTATGGTGACGAACCCAGAATTCAAATCCCACATGTCGGAGGTGGATGTGACGAAGGAAGATCGAGTTGTCCAAATGGTTCATGACACTGTGAAGACGTTTGGAAGAATCGATTACGCTGCCAATATCGCCGGGGTGCGTGCTGAATTATAACCTAGGTCTCATGTCTGGGGCCCTCATGCGAATAACAGATAACCGAAAGTGTCCTCGGACCAACGGCTGATACATCGCTGGAGACTTATGATCGAGTAAACAATTTGAATGCTCGGGGTGTTTTCCTGTGCATGCGCGAACAACTCAAGGCCATGAGGTGGCAAGAACCCTTGGTTCGTATACCCGGACGGCCAGGCATGCGCGGATCCATCATCAATATGAGTAGCATCGCCGGTTGCATCGGGCTCAAGAATGTGACGAGCTATGTCGCGTCCAAACATGCTGTCGTGGGGATGACCAAAGCCGCTGGTTCGTCGTTTGTTTCTGTTTCTTTTTTTCTTGGTGTCAATGACGGAGATTAGCTCTCAACCACAGTATAGATGGCATTCGAGTCAACGCTGTGTGTCCAGGATATGTGGATACACCCTTGTTGCAAAATGTAAGGGAATACGTGGATTTTTCCATGCTGGAAAAGATGACCCCGATGAATGTGAGTCTAGTTTGTCATACTGCATTCATCATCCTCACGAGGTTTCAGAGGCTTGGTTTGCCGGAGGAGGTTGCGGATGTTGTCGTATTCATAGCTAGTGAGCGAGCGAGTTATGTAACGGGGCACTCATTTGTTGTAGATGGAGGATTCAGTATTGCATAAGGTTCATCTTGTTATGTGGCAAGCTTTTCTTTGTTCACATCTCTAACGAAATTCATGGCTAGTTTGTCCTTGCACCTTATCTACAAATAACCTAGCTTTGTGCTGATCGAGATTCGAGAAAGCAGATCGAAGTTTTAATGAGAATACTCCCGGTCTTCTTGCCACCTATTATCGTCCTCTTCAAAATTATTTTCTCGGTTCTGATTCACCATCTCCACATCGGAGGATGGTTTTGAACAGTGAAGTTCAGAAACAAAGGACTTTAATGTCAACGACACTGCCGTACAACACCACGGCTCCGAACACTCCAGTGAACAGGGGCCATCATGATGAATCAGAAGGGTAGCATTTTGTCACTGAATCTCTATCTAAGGGGTCTGACCACTACAGTGATGGACGTTAACATTATCCCATACGAGATCGTCAAGGCTTCCATCGCTACTGCCAAATCAGCTGGAAAACTCGAAACTGGCGAATACAATACCAATGCGCATTCCTACGAATCCATCCAATCTGTTATCCCGCGATCCCCAGACAGCATACTCATCCATCGCATGCCCGATATGACTGTCGAGCATCTGACAAATTGGGTGGACCTAATCATGACTACTCGACGCGAAGACCCCGCAAACGTACATGTATTCCACCTTCCTCCAGTCTTAGTATCCGAGATCCTTGCAGCAGCCAATGTATGGGTGTTCAGGAAACGAGAACCACCAGAAATGGACGAGCTCGTTTCTATGTTCCCGCGCTTCACCGTAGCTGGTATCCCCACCTCGTCCGTGTTCGCGGCCAAGGAGTACTTTCTCCGGCTCGACTTTTGTAGTGCCAAAGATAGCGAGGCATCAAATTCAAGTGTGGATGACGTAGCTGGGATAAACGAGATGCTCTACAAATCCCGTAGGGCGTGTCGAGCGCTGGCAGATGAGCTCGAGAGGCGGAAAGGTCAGCCGGTGAACTTGTTTCTCCTCCCGTTCAATCACGATATCGATCCTGCGCGTGAATACCGCGTGTTTGTCCCGCCATCTGAGTCTGTCTTGCTCGTTTCTGCTATATCGCAGTACAGATGGCACAAGCCGTTTTACGAGACAGATCGGAGTGCTGCGATGTGTCGTGCTAGAGAGGTGTATGAAGGGGCTATACAGATATCGGAAGCGATTTTTGAGCATGCTGAGACACTGCCCCAGCAAGTTCGAGATACGATGCGAAGGGAGAGGCTTGTGTTTGATGTGTTCCAGACGAGTAGTGGGGAGGTGCAGCTTATGGAGATCAACCCCTTTGGTGCTATGAGCGGCTGTGGAACGAGCTTGTTCCATTGGATCAGAGACGCGAAATTGTTGTACGGAGAATGTAGCAAAGTAGAAGTTCGCTTGTGTATGGAATAAACGACCTTGAATCCTCGATTACATTAACGTACATTAAGAAGTTACAGGTCCTACCAGAGCCATGCAGCTCTCCCCTGCTGTCTCAATCCGTTCATCCTTTCCAGCGTGTTCTCATTGAAATCTCCTCCATCACGTCTTCCAATAACGATTTCCTTCAAGCCTGACCGAGCTTCAAGTATATCCATCACCATATTCTCCTCTACCGGATTATGCGCGCGCCATATAAGCTTTATGGACTGCAACTTGGGCAAAACGTTGTCCTCATAAAGATATTGCAACAGCGACTTGGTTACTACCTGAGGATCCGCTTCGTTAGAAGCCCTCCGCTCGATGATGGATAAGTGCATCAAATGTGGCAACTCGGTCAGTAATAAAATGACCTGTGCACCCGAAAGAAGGTACACGTTGTTCAGTCTGAGGTCGCGGGTGGATGATATTCCCGACGCAAGACAGTGTACGTCGCTGAAGCGGGGTGCAGGACTTCTCTCATTATAGACAAAATCATCGGTGTCGATGAGCTCGAGAATGGAGAGGTTAGGAAACAAGAATGAATTCGTGAGATTGAACGGTCCGTCGCATTCCTTGAGAGTAAGAACTGTCGGGGATGTCAGCTCGTGTAGACCTCTGGATGCTTCAAATCTACAGCGCGACAATGTCACGCGTTTGACGCCGGAAAAAACCGCCAGAATTGCGATATCATTCAGATTGCATAACTGTAGCGTTTCAATCTGTTTCCAGGGAAGATGCAGATCCTTGTGGCTGTCATAGCGACTAAGGCGTAGTTCTCGAAGATTGCTGTAGTTGAATGTATCTTCGAATAAGCTGGTTCCCCTGTCCCGGAAATCAGACGGAGAACCAGAGATCTCCAGCTGCTCCAGCTGTGAGAATGGTAGAGGAGGGTAGTCAGAAAGATGGCGGCATTCAACGTCTAAACAAAGACGCCTGAGCCTCTGCGAGTCTACTAATGTATCTTCTAACTCGCCAAAGCCAAGCAGCTCGTCCAGGGAGTCGAAATCCAGTGGCTCGTCATCACGATAACGACCACAATAGCAGTCATGATCAAACTCCGTATCATAAACCGCAGAAATGGATATGGAGAGGGGAAGGGGCTTAGACCGCTCATTGAACAAGAGGATGAGATTCGCGGTGGCAGAGGAGAGTGATGGACGGCAGGCGAAAACGTAGGAATGGGTCCATAACTTTGGAGTGGATAGACAAATGGATCGCCAGTAGTAGCATACGGACGCCAAGTACACGGGTGTGTTGCCATACAGGGTTATGTTCTTCTCGTCTTTCCAATAGTACGGTATTTGATCTTGAAATGATATAAGGCCAAGTTCTGAGCACGCCTCTTCGAAGATGGTGAGCAGAATCTCCACTGGTAGGCATCTGACTGGCGCCAGCATACTTTGGTAGGAAGAAGCATAGCGGGAGAGGTTGCGGTGGTCAGTTTTAAGGTTATCCAGAGCAGCCTCAAGGTGCTGTATATCGTTTTCCCAGATGGCAAGCTGGGAATGCATGGTGGAGATTGTGCTGGAGTAACTCGTGGCGTCTGAGAGGGTGTAAACCTGTTGTCCGGTACGCAGGGCCGTCCATACCGGTGGCGGGAAGCTATCACGATATTCGCATTGATTGATTGGGTAACCGCAATGGTTGCAAGGAATGACTGAAGAACTGAGTATCTCTACCATGTTGCGAAGGATTGGGAAGCCAACAGACTTCGGATTCGGATTCTCGGAAGCGTGGGGTTTCATCCACGTGCGTTCCATGCACGTGCTACCTTTCCGAATCAGGAGGACTCTAGCGGACCCGATGACGCATCATGCGAACGTTCCTTAAGCTTCCTTTCCGTTATCCTTATCGCTCGTTGTCTTCACCGTTCCACTTGACGTATACCACTGCCAGCGCACGGAACTGCAGATTCGTCTTCGTCGTCTGTGCTCAAGCGCACAGCGATATCTGGATTGCTCGATCTTTTGAAAGGTCTCCTCAAGAGACTTTTCTGGGTCGTTCTGTCCACTTCTCTTCTGGTATATGACCTTGCTCCATGTTCATTTCTCTCTACGCAACCAGCAAGCTTTCCAGCGCCTGCTCGATGCCAGCAGCGACCGGTCAGTTGGCATCAGCACCAGCAGTAGTGGTGGAAAGTCATGGTCGAAGGGAGGCGCCGTCGGAATGGCTATTGCGGCAGAGATCAACGGACGCGATAGGCTAGGACGAACGGTTCTCCACCTCGCTTGCTCGTCGATAGATACCTTGGAATATGTGCGATTGCTTCTTCGCCATCTTGCTGTCAACGTCAACGTACAGGATCTGGAGAGCAATTGGACTCCCCTACATAGGGCCTTATTTCACGGGAACTTGGGCGCTGCGTATGTTACTTCACAAAATCTCGCGGTGAACCTTGCTGATATCACATAGCCTTTTGTTGCTCCAACGTTCGGACATTGACATCTCGCTGAAGGACTTCGAGGGCTATACCGCGTTTGAGTTGTACAACTCGACGGTAGAGGGCACAAAACCGTCTGTCAATGTTTCTGGTGCCGAGCCGTACATGTGGGGCGCAAACAGGTATCTGGCTCAGAATACATACGTTACTCAGGCTGACTTTGTAACAGGAACGCTACTCTCGGTCTTGGCGATGGTGACGATCGTACATACCCAGACCAGGTGGTCATTCCTCGCAGAGACTCTTCCGATAGCTCCAATATCTACACCAGGTTCTTTCCACTACAAGTTCGCCAGGTCCAGACTTCCAAACTACATACTGGTGTGTGTTTCCGTTTCTATTCTTCTTCGTATTTTTACCTTAAATGCTAGTCATCGTTACATGTGAGAAGAAGGCAAATTTAAGACTTTGTGGATTCGGAAGCGGAGGACGGTCAGGGTGGTCATTTCGGTGCTAGTGACTCACCTATTGACGAAAAGTCTCTGTAGGCTCGGGCCCGGACAACATACCCAGTACAGCTTGACTCAGCTATCACAGCTCAATCAGACTATAGTTTCTGTCGCGCTGGGGCAAGATCACACTTTGGCTCTCACCGACACCGGCGAAGTTCTCAGCTGGGGACTGAATCGGTTTGCACAGCTAGGTTACATTGTCGAAACAAGTTCGATCGCTAGCATTGGTCGGATTGAAGAGCCTATTCAGTCGACACCGAAGAAAATTGTCGGTCAACTCAAGAAAGAATTTGTCAGGGGTGTTGCCGCGAGCAAGACTTCGTCTGCTTGCTGGACCGCGACGGAGGTCTTTACATGGGGCACAAATAACGGACAATTAGGTGCGCTTCATCGTTTTGTGCATGGCTCATTTCTAACATAGTGCGATCAGGTTACGATAAATCAGCTCAACCCGTACAAGTTCTGCCTCGGAAAGTCACCAAAATCACCAGGCCCGTCACGTCTGTATGTCTCACGGACGCCGCCATGATCTGCCTTCTTGTGACGCAAGAAGTCATTTGTGTATGGAGTGACCGGAGCTTCAAGATCAAGTCAGTCTTCTATGTACGGTTATCATATTCTGAACACCGACATTTGACAACAGCTTCCCGGCGCATGGTTTCCCCCAGCAAATACAGCCCTACCGACCTCCTCAGGCTATCAAGGGAGCCCACGTTTCCAAAATAATTAACTGCGATGATACAGTGGCCGCCTTGTCTTCAAATGGAGAGATCTTCCTACTTGTGATCCCGATACCAACCGAAGCAGAAGGATCCCCTCCATCTTCCAAAGCCTTTGTACCGCAACCGGCATGGACCTTGAAGAAGCAGCTCAGCGCAGCCAAAGTTTGTTCTTCCCATATTTACTTTGGGTTCGACTGATGCCCTGCCAGGACGTGGCCGTAGGCAGTGACGGCATGATCATAGTCTGCACTGAGTCTGGCCATGTATTCGTGCGCGCTCGCAAAGGTGGAAACACCGGTTCCCAGGGTTCTGGGAAGATTTTCAAGTACCAGCTTGTTCCTTACATCCAGCGAGTAGTTGGAGTGTGTGCGAATAGCTCCGGTGCCTTTGGCGCCATGCGAGTCGATTACAAACCCGATCCCATCTCGGTACACGGGCACGGCATAGCAGAGGATTTGGCAGAAATTCTACTTTTGCTCGCTGCGCAGCCCAATACAAGCAGGCTACAGGCCTCGTCTCCAACACCCGCGGTCGGCATGCATCTCGCTCATGAAGACGAGGATGAGGTTGATGACTGCATCGAGGAAGACCTGTCTAAGCTATACTGTCTTTCAGATGTCATACGTCGCCAGATGGACTCGCATGCCTCGGAAGGAGAACTAATAACGCAAGGTGCCGATATCTTGATTTCCACCGACGAGGCCCATCACACTTTCTCCGCTCATCGTGTCATCCTCAGCGCACGTTCGTCGGTCCTTCTTTCGCTTCTCCAGAATCCTCGCACCATTCGAGATGACTCGCAAATTTCCGTTCGTTACACTCATACCTCCGGTCACCATCGGCTTATGTTTTTTCACTGTCTTCCTATGTCTGTCTTGATACTTCTTGACTATCTGTATTCCGACCATCTACTGTCAGTTTGGGATAGGCGCCTGTCTTTCGGTTCTCATCTGGATTCGGCACGCATTAAATCAGATTTGCAAGTTTTGGCTAAACTATTACATCTTCCTTCACTTTTGAAGGCAATCCAGTCGCCTGTAAAGGTGATTCCAGAACCAACGATGATCCGGGATATGACAAGCCTGTTCAGTAATGCACAAATTATGTCCAAGGAGCCTGATTCCCCCCAGTACCCAGACGTTGTATTGCAGTTCCAGGACAAGGACGTTTTCTGCCATTCTACTCTTCTGCGGGCTAGAACCGTTTTCTTTGCCGATTTCTTTACTGAAGAAGATTGGACCAGGAACCGGAGGGACAGGACTGGCCGAGTGCATGTCAACATGAAGCATATGAAGTGGCATGTGATGCAATATGTTTTGAGGTTTGTATGTTGTGGAGAAGATGTTGAGATGTTCGAGACGTTGGGTGAGTTTTTCTCTATTCGGAAATCACGAGTTTGACTGCTAAGAATCATAATTATAGAGTTTGCGCATTCTGTTGAGTCCGTTCTGGAGTTCATGTTTGAAGTCATGGCCGCCGCGGTCAGTTGCCTTCTAATCCTTACCGCGCCTGCACTCACCCTGTGTTCAGGCCGAGCTACATCTTGATCGGCTGTTACTCATTTCATCATCCATTATATTAAACTTCTTAAACATCCAAAACGCTTGTTATATACTTTCGGAGGCCACCCACTACTCTGCGAAGGATCTGATCAATGCCGTCCAGGGTTATATCGCCGTCAATTTGGAGAGTTTTCTAGAAAGTCGAATGCTCGACGTTCTGTCACCCGCTTTGGTCAAGCAGCTCTCTTGTTTTGTTCAAGAAAGGCAGATAACAAAATCGCCTATCACGCGACGTAATTACTTGGGCAAGCTCGCTATGGAGAGACATGCGGAATGGTTGTCCCTTCAAGATTTCCCTTCCCCAATTGTCAGATCAAACAAACAGTTGATGCGTCGGGATTCGGTTAGACTATCGCCAAGCAGTAAAGTCCAGCACTCTTCTGTCAGGGCTACCTCGTTGGCAGTCAAGCCTCAGGGTCTCCCTGCTTCCACCGGAAACGACGATATCTTCGCCATGGATGATGTTGATCCAATCTCCACTGCGAACTTGGATCAACCTAACCCTTCCGCTCCCTGGAAATCTACCTCGGTGGCTCGGTATGTTTCTTCATTTCCAGAATCTTCCGGTACTCATCAATACTTAGTGTGGACATGCGAGCTGTCATGGCGGAGGCTGCCAGAGAGGTTCCTGCGAGATCCATCGTACCTCGTAATCTACCTAATGCCGACGATCCATCTCGCAGGCAGGTGTCCCTGCATAAAATATCCGAAGGTAGTAGTTCCTCACCGTCATTACGGAGGATACCCCCGAACGCAACTGGATCTCCATCTCGCATCGACACACCTAATAAATTTCCCAAGCTTTCTTCGTCGCCTGTGTCTACCCCGAAGGCACCATCGGCCTCAATTATCAAGCCATTTGTAGCAACCGGGTCATCCAGTACTTTACCGGGGCTTGGGCCCGTGATTTCCCCCCAGCGACAACCTTCTTCAGCCAAGCCCAAGCACGTTGGTAGGAACGTGTCGTCGTATGTCTTATTATTTGTTTGTCCCTATATTCTGATTTTCTAACGCTGTCTCCGACAGAGGAAAAGCATGGACATCTCCTTCGCAGCTTGACATTCCGACTCCTTCCGTGTCTGGCATGTCCTTTTCCGAGATTCAACAGTCGCAGCAGGAGAGCAGTGTTCTTGGAAAGGCTCGTCGATCGCTACTCGAAATCCAAATGGAAGAACAGGCTCGTAGGGAGGAAGAAGCATTTATGAAATGGTGGGTAGAGGAGGAGGAGAGAGTGAAGCGAGAAGCTGAAGCGACAGCAGAGGCGTTGAAGGCTTCCACTAGGAAAAATAAAAGGGGAGGTGGAAGGGCCGGGAGGAGTGTTGGTGGGCCTCGTAAGAAGGGTGGAGTCGCCCCTTCTAACTCATGATAGACCTATAGATATGCTACTGACCTATGTTATATTGCTATGTATTGTTTATGTTATATTATCTCCTTTGTATGTTATATTAAAAACATCCAGGCAATACCACTTTTTGGCAAATCCCTTGCATCCCAAGTTTGGGACGATACAACATTGATAGTAAGTACCTAAGACATGAAGACATATTCGCACATAATTTTAGATACCCGAAATACAAAATAGATATGTAGCCAACTATAGACAAGGCCTTAACGCTTCGATGTTCCTAGGGTGCAGACTGCCACAGGCTGTCTGTCAGACCTCATATACTATAGATGAATCTGAGACGAATGACTCACCATCGTTATTTTCGACTCCGGATGACCATCATTAGTGCGAGACTACCGAATTGATGAGGACCCTTAACGTGATAAACAAAAATGAACGGACGTACTCCTCCGACCGTCTTGGAATCTCGGTCATTCTCCGTAGTACCAGAAGACCCCAGTCCCAATTCCGGATGACCGTGTGCGCCAACAAAAGACAAACTGATGGAGTCTTGATTCGAGAAATTGGGCATAGAGTTGATGATAGTCGCATTGCCAATTGCACGGATCGTTTCCCTGGAGTTCAATCTGTTGAATGGACAGAATTAGGGTCAAAACAAGGGCTGCGAACGGTTGATTTCAGAATGCTCACGTCGCAAGGAGGGAATTCAGGTACACTGAAACAGAACAAGAGGTGAGGTGGTTAAGGTTGGAACTGGAGGCCGCGTACCTCTGCATACAATGATATAGAACAACATATAAATATATGTATCGGGGTATACGATGTTGAATACGAGTGTGAGGATTGCGCATAATCCGCAGATGCCGCCTGTGTTGAGAGTAAAGAGGATGAGGCGGTTGATCATGGAGTTGGTCTTGCGATATCCGGTTCTTTGTTTGCGCAGAAGGTATACTAGCACCACGGCTATTATAGCGTCCGATGCAGCGCTCAGGACATTGAGAGCATGCATATAAGGATGTAGCGGAATCAACTGTGCGAACTCATTATAGTCAGCCGTCATTCCGTAAAAAACTATTAGTACATGATAATCAGTATCGGGATGGAATCTCCGAGCGAACATCACGTACCCATCGTTGAAACAAAAGAGGCGAAGCACACAATATATGTGCCCCCAGTCAACCAGATATTCCCGTTGCTGACTGATGATTGTTTTGCATGAGATTTCTGTTTGGAATTCGAGAGGGAAGAGCACTCACGACGCCAAATTCGCCAGCAGAAGAAAGTTTGGGCAAGTAAAGCAATTATGCCAGTTAAGAACATCATTGGAAGGAGCGTGCTGTATTGTATGAATCAATATAAGTTTATTCGCGGACAAGATACAACCGGACTCACGGTTGTAAAGCAGATAGATAGGCAGGATTCGCGAAATTTGTGACAAGGTATGTGTACACCAATTGGCTAATGAGCCCTTGATTTGCGGTGTCCGCACACCAGGTCACGGCAACTAGGTACTTTAGCCATCGCGAGTCTGCGGGGTACGTCTGCGTGTTCTTCGCGTCAGTCCTCTGCATATAAAGAAGCGGGGGATCGACGTACAGTATAATAAAAATACATCTGGACCGTTCCAGCGCCCCAAAGGCCCATAGCAAACCTTCTCAATCATCAGCACCCGTAGAACTAGATTTTGCAAGATAGACTGACAGGGCACTTAAATACAACATACCCATCTAAGGTCGCCGGGTCAGAAAATCTCACCCTACGTGAGAGAGTATTTAGAACATACCGTATTATCCAGAGCCGGCAAGGCGGTTGCAGAAGAGCTGGCGTTCGACATGTCAGGGAATATTTACAGCAACACGCGCAGCGAACGCTCTGAGTCGCGACGGGCCTCGTCGCAGATACAGTGGAAGGAGAGGGCGGTAAAACAAACCGGGAATGACTCGTGAGACGTTCCTATTATAATGGAATATTAATGATACATATGATGGACTTCTTCCCTGAACCCCATCGTTTCTGATGTCAGGCTCGGCATGAGAATCGATGTCGGAGCTATCAGGAGATTTCGAGTAAGCGTAACTATATCCGACTGCGACGGTGGGTATTGCCGAATTGGAAAAAAAATAGTCGATATAACGCTGGAGGTCCCGGTTTGGCTAGCACTAGTCCTATTGGACCCTGGATTCATTGATGGACCGCCCTAGGAGATGTCAGAAATGGGACCATAAGGTGGGTGGAAGGTCGAGTCCAGTGTTGTATTGGCCCTTTGAAGGAAAAGGTTTGGCCCTAATGAAAAGTCGAAAGAAAATTTCGATCGTGGCGGTAGTGGTTAACGTAGGTCAACATGACAGTTCAATCTGATCGGGCATTCAATGTTTCCTGATCTAGAACACAAGCGGACGTATTCCATAACTCTTTCGATTGAAATCACGGCACCAAATGTCCACTTCGTACCTTCAAATATACCCATCCCCCCAATCATTCGGGGGTTTCCGCCTGTCTTTGCTTTGCGATGGACGTTACTATCGGCACCTTCGTTGGCGTGCTGGCCTTCCTCTACGCTTTGACCAAACTATATTCCATATTTCAAACTAAGCCTTCCCTACCTCCAGGGCCCCCTCGAAAGCCAATAATTGGTAACCTATTCGATCTCCCAAAACCTGGCGAATACGAATACAAACATTGGGCAAAGCACCATAAAGCCTACGGTATGTAAACCTTTCCTGGCAGATCTCAGCATTCAACGTATCTTCTTCTTTACGTTCAGGTCCCATAAGCTCACTGTCAATATTGGGACAACGCATCATCATTCTCAACGATATGCAAACTGCGATCGACTTACTGGAGAAGCGGTCATCCATTTATTCTGACCGTTTCTCGTCCATCTTTGGAGGCATCATGTAACGCCCATCACCACACTGGCCGATCTTTTTGAATTTTCATTTAACCAAACAGGTGTGGGTGGAGAGCATCCATCGCGATGTCTCCGAACGGGCATCGGTTTCGCGCCATCCGGAAAACTCTTCATCAGACTATAGGCACCAAAAACTCCTTGCAGCAGTTTACTTCTCTGCAGACAACGGAGATTAGGCGCTTACTGACAAAGATACTGAAGAACCCCGATCAACTTGAGTATTATATTCGCAAGTCAGAGTCCCTGACCTTTGGCTGTGTATTACGGAAATCTTGATACAAGTCCTGCAGAGCGACGGGAGCTATCATTCTCTCTATCAGTCATGGATATTCAATCAATAGAGATACCCCGGATCCCTTCGTTACCCTTGCGGATGAGTGTATGGCGGAGGCCTCCATCGCCTTTCAGCCCGGAGTATGGATGGTCGACGTCATTCCTTTCCGTAAGTGTTTAGATTCTTCATGAACGTTCCTCATCCCTTCTCCAGTACGTTACCTGCCAGACTGGTTCCCTGGTACCGGATTTAAGCAAGTGGCCAAGAAATATCTGGCCCGGTGCACCGAACTGGTCGAACGACCGCATGCCTTTGTAAAGCAGCAAATGGTAAATCAGTTTCTTGTCGTAAAATACGTTCGAAGCATTTACCGTCAACAGGAGCGTGGCGTATCCAAACCCTCATACACGGAGACGATGCTTAAACTCCACGGAAAATCATTGGCCTCCGAACAAGAAGATCTCATCAAGTGGGGCGCAGCAGCGTTGTATGGCGCCGGATCAGACACAACTGTGTCTGTAACGTACAGCTTTGTCCTATTAATGATCTTATACCCCCATGTCCAGACGAAAGCCCAAGAAGAACTGGTAAGCATTTACGTTACCTTCAACGATTAGGGCATCCGAGCTTATAGTGATGCTGTCAGGATCGCGTCGTCGGTGAAGACAGACTGCCGTCATACGAAGACCGCGACAATCTCCCATACATCAATGCACTCGTCCATGAAGCACTGCGCTTTAACCCAGTCCTCCCTATGTGTGTTCCCCATGTAAGCACAGCATTCCAAGATGCGGATCTTTTGACATCAACACGGTGATAGGTTCCGTCCCAAGATGACATTTATCAAGGATACTTAATCCCGAAAGGCGCTGTCATCATGCCAAATCTCCACCATATGGCCAGAGATCCGGCTACGTATCATAACCCAGACGCGTTTGAACCACAGAGGTTCCTCGGCTGGGACGGTCGCGACCCAGAACCAGACATAGATATCGCGTTTGGCTTTGGACGACGGTAAACCTCCCTCTTGCCTCTCTATCTGATTGCAAACCCTGACGTTCACTCTTAGTATATGCCCAGGGAATGTTCTCGCTGACCAAACTCTCTTTCTCGCTTTCGCCATGATCCTATCAGTATTGAACATCAAGGCAGACGAGAATAGCGGCGTCGAGCTGAAGGACGAGTGGACAGCTGGGCTGATCAGTCGACCAAAGCCCTTCCCGTGCAAGATCTCACCGCGGTCCGAGAAGGCTTTGGCGCTCATTATGAGCTTTGAGGAGGAACCAGCGAATAAGCAAAAGAGCGACGCTGATGCCCTTGGAACGGTAAGTTGGTAGTATGTAGCTGTAATTGTGTCATTATGAACGGGTTCTGTGGGTCTGGGGTAACAATTTGGCGTCCTTTTTCTTTCTTTGGTAGTCAGCTTTGTCAGTGCATCTGTTCATCACGCTGAAGAGTTGGATCTTGACAGTATCGTTCCAGAAGATTAGATCGTACAAGGCATTAGAAACGTTGAGGGTGCGTGGAACAAGACGGCCAAAGCCGTGCTTCCGTCAATCTCGTCGCCTCAACTTAAGCTCGTCAATAGCGACCCCTGGAAATTCAGCCGGGTTTCACAAGACATGCCGATTCTTAAGTTCTCAACAGATGGCCACTCACGGAAGTTGCACAGTATTCATTTCTTGTCACGCCTGTGGAATTCTGTTGCAGTGGAAGTAGATTTAAGGTTGGAAGGCAGAGGTATGTTACCATTTCTTTGCCAGTAAGTTAACTACACTAAACACTGGTGTCACAAAACCTACTATTGATAATTATTAGCAGGAGTTCCAATGTGTAAACTCCAGCAGCAAGAGAAATTCTTATGAAATTTAATGGACACATCTAGCTGGAATTCATCGAATCTATTACCTAGGTCTTAGAAGGAAAGTACCAAGACTAAAATACAAGTTAAGAAAAGGGGCAAAAAGCAATGTTTGTTTTTGTGTCAAGAGTCCGACTCCAGGCTCGTCAACGCCAAACGGTCGGACTCCATCGTCCGTCAGTGGTCATTTGAGTCTTGATTCTTGATTCTTGATTCTTGAAGGTTTTAGCTGACAGTGGACACTCCATCCGGCAAAAAAAAATGTAAATATCCAGCATAACTGGACACATTGGGACTTGAACCCAACACCTCCCGCATGCTAAGCGGGCGTGATAAACCATCTACACCATGTGCCCATTACAAACTGATTCTCACAAGAAAATAAAATGAATTAGAGGCGGAAATAAGGTCTTAACTGAATATCTGCTCCTCTATCCCTCCCCCTTTCCCAATGTGCATCAAGACAGCTACAGATGGTAATTAGCGTCGCCAGGTAAAATCTTTCTAGAGTATCTAGTTCTACTATGTCCGTTACAGCCTTACAATTCAACTTTCTCCCGTTACATTCTATGTCCAAAGCTCGGAGGGCCTTTGATTGCGGTATGCGCCGAAATAGAACATTATCCACCGGGTCTCCGTCTATGTCCCCTAGGTCAAACTTGAGGTTCAGACGTTCTAGTGCTGGTGTAGCATCGAGAATGTCAATGATACCGATAGTGGAAAGGGGTAGGTAATGTAACTGGAGTTCCCGGATCATTGCTGAGCGCAGGCATGAGAGAATCGATGAATGACAGCCATTCCAGTTTTGACCATTTAAGTCGTCTATGCACTCGATGCGTAATGCTCTGAGCGCCACCATATCGAGTGAATCCAAAAAGTATCCGAAGCATGCCTCGGAGCCTAAAGTCGCTCTCAACGTCAAGTTGAGACGTTGGAGCTTCGCCACCGAGACGCGTGTCGGATCGGGCTTTGAGGTGAAGGTGCACGCTGCATTGAATGAACAGGCTATGAGGTTCTCGCCTTCTGATAGGATTTCGAAGATTTCATCGAGCGTAGGAAGCCCCTCTACCGTGCAATCTAGGCGGACGTGTAGCTCTGAGAGCCGGCTCCATTGAATCCCTAATGAGCGCAAGGCTACGCCATGTGATGGCCAAACTCCTCTCATATCAAGCGTCAGTGCTTCAAGGGAATGAAGCCCTGATGCCCGTGATTGATCTGCAAAGAGAGGAAGGACACTAGCGCCAGGTGTCACGAACCTCACATTCCGCCACCGAGATGAGTAACGGAGCAGAGCTTTCACGAAAGTCGTGCTCCGCTTCTGAAAGACTCGACACGTCGTGTGAGTGGGTGGTTCGTAGATGATGTTAAAGGATAATGGTTGCTCCTTAGAATGCTTGAGCCAAAACTCCAGCGCTTCTAGCTGCGGTGTGGCGTAACCATTGTGGAAATCAATTTCGAAGGAAGACCACAGGCGGGAGACTGAGAGAGCGAGGGACCTCCAGGACCTGCAGACGTGTGCGAGAAGTACAGGGGCTGCATTCCCATGTAGGCTGGGGTAGGAGTCGTCGGGGAGGCAGTGGAAAAATATGTTAATGATGAGCTCAGACGGGAGCCGTGCAACTGGATGACATCCATGGGAGATTGGGCAAAGCCTGGCCTTCATAAAGTCGAAACTCAAAAAAAGATACAGAGATAATGACTGGACAACTTACCTCTTGTAGAGGGGATTGGAGTGAGAGAATCATGGGAGTCTATAGGAGAGGGAAGTTTGTCTCGTCATTTATATCGCTACCCACAGGTATGATCGCAGGATCCTCGGATGATCGAAACTAAGCAGTGACCAGACATCGCAACCTGAGACGCCACGATATTTGTTGGTATAGTAAAGGCAAGGTACTCAGGGCGCTCTCGCGTAGTAACCTATATGTGAACATGCTCGTTCGGCGAAAGGGAGCTTACATACCAGCACGGTCCAAAAGAGGACCGACTCAGATTTTCCGGGACCAAGCCGCCTTTTTAGGATGAGCAAGTGCGTAGAGCCGGATAGTATCGTGTGGCCACTGCGCCCATAAATATCAACAAGCGGGCATGGTAGCGAAGTTGTATCCGCCGGCCCAGTACATAATAGAAAATGAATTTGGAAAAGAAAATGCAGAGACGTACCTCGATGCGTTGAACACAATTTTGTCTCCGATCCTCAAACCACGCGTGCGACATACACAGCAATTATATTGATAACGAGTATCGATAGCCCTAGAAGAATTTGCCAAAATCATAAGCCTCGGTGCCATCACTGTCCGATTTGGTCTTGGTCTTTGTAGGCTTGGTTTTGAGCGCTGTGTTAGCGACCTTCCTCTCTGACTTCTCCGCAGGCTTGGGCGCCAAAACCTTGGCTTGTGATTTATGGCTAGTGTGTTCTCTAGTCTTCGGGTGTGACTTTTTCGTGCCTGCGGACGCGAATGTGACCTTTTTGCTAGGGGGGAGAAGATCTTCCTTCCCTCGTTTACGTTTTTGCTTGCTGGACAAGGGGGGAGGAGACAGTGGTTCCTGCTCCTCTTCCTCCTCTGTTTCCTCCTCTTCCTCGTCGGACATTGTGGTGTCATCCTGATTCTCCTCGTCCTCTTCCTCCTCGCCCTCGTCCTCGCCCTCGTCCTCATCCCCGTCCCCGTCCTCATCTCCGTCATCACGATCTTCAGAGTAAGGCTCCTCGAAAGAAGGCAGTCGGGTATCAACAACACCAGGGCTGAGCTTCACCAAGCCTCCACGCTTACGTAGCTCTCTCCGAGTTGATAAAGCAACAAGAACACCCTTATCGGCATCTGAATCCACCGGTTCCTTCGAAGCCGGCATTGTGTACCAGCGCAGCTTTCCCAAATTCCATTCACGCAAAACAACACGCGAAGCTCCCACGAGATCTAACATTCCCCGCTACATACACATAGAAAATGAATTAATGTTGGTGATCCGAGAGCGAATGAAGCAACAAACCTTCTTCACGAGCTGATGCGACCGTGCCAAGCCGGGGAGGAATGCATCTACATCGCCTTTGGAAAATGCTGGTAAACTATAGTGTAGCATTAAGTCCTCGTTATTGGCCCGCGACACGATGTGTACCACTGAATCGGGTCAGCGCTTATACTACGCGCAGTAGGTAGAAAAAAAAACTCACCTGCAGGTGTCGGTTCTTTCAAACGATCGATTCTTCCCTTATTTCGCATCAGTATGTCTCGGGTCCGAGACTCCTCGGTGAGCTCGCTATCTACCCACAGCAGGCCAGGCGTATCAACGAACTTGATCTTCTTGCCCCCCTCTTCGATTGTGACCTCCTGAGGAAGCACTGTCGTTGTCGGGCCTCGGGAAGAAGTCGCGAGGCTATACGTAGGCAGGACAGCTTTTTTCGCTACGGAGTTGATCACTGAGCTTTTCCCAGCCTAAGATATAAAAGTTTTAGTAACGCATCACGGTGAATGTACGCCGCGAAACGAACGTTTGTGAATCCAGCCACTGCAACGACAAGAGGTTTATCGCCTTTTGCCCATGGGAGCAGAGTTTTCAAAAGCGCGTCAACACCAATGGCATTGTCAGCCGACAGTTTTCCCTTCCCTTTCTCCTGCTTATGGCACTGGACTTCGTCTGAAATGAACGCCGAAGCTGAACGAAAGAGCACTGTAGGCTGTTGAGAACGTAGTTGTGAGGCCCACGCAGCGACGGCTTCTCGCGGACAGATATCTGACCGAAAAAAGTTCAATCTACATGGAAGAACCGCGAACAAAAAATCACTCACCGATTTTATTCAACAGAAACACCACCCGTCCTGACTGTGCGAGCTTTTCGAGCTCAGAACTCCGGAACGCCAAGGGGTCCCTGCAATCCAAGACCTCCAACAGCACATCAGCGTGCTCCAGCACCGACTTGAGGGTTGGAAGGTCTCTATTGACAAGCGCCGGCACTTCCTCCTCCTCTCTTCGTCTTCTTCAACCTGCCGAGGGGGAGCAGTCATTTTGGTAGTCTTCGCATTCACAAGATGTTTTGCTGCAATGCTAGCGACGGGGTCGAATCCTTTGGGTTCATCTTCCTCGGTGGTGGTGGTAGGTTTGGCTTTCTTGGCGTCCTTTCGCTGTTGCTTCTCTTCCAGAGCCTACACGCAAGTCAGGCCACAGGTACGCAGCACCCACCAAAGGGAAGTCTACACACCAACCGACGCTGTTCCTGCACTTCAGCTAATATTTGGTCCTTGTACGGAAACTCGTTCGGGATACCAGGGTCCTTTTTCTGCTCTGCACGGAATATAAGATACGGTAAACCGTAGTTAAAGGGTCAAATGAACGCACTTGATTTCCACTGAGGATTCTTTTTAGCAGCCTTGGCTTTCTTCTTCTTGCTCTCCCTAACTTTTGTCTGAAGTTTTCGACGGTCGTTGGTCGAGCCCCGGTTGCTCGTCTCTGTTGAATATTAGAGTATGCAATGAATCTTCAGTAAAAATACCTACTCTTCCGTATACGAGGCATTGGATAGGTAGTGATGGACGTTCAAAAGATGTCAAAAATTAGTTTCCACTTTGGGATGACGATAAGACAGGAATTCAAATTCACTTTACGTTACATACTCACGGCGACCTCTTTTTACGCTGCATGCATCCCAGAAGGAACAGACGGCAAGAACAGATATATTCCACAGTACATAAATTACATGCACAGAACGAATACTTACACAAACCTAAATCCCACGACCGGTCGCAACGAAAAAAATGTCAAAAAAGCCCATCAGCGGCGACATCAATTGGTGCTTCCTTTAAGCGCTGGACCAACAATCAAAGAGTACGCCGCCGTTCCCGGTCCTAGAAACGCTGTGTCCTTGCGAATTTATCCATTTGTTGCCGTAACGCCGGCTATCACGCGTCCACTTTCCTCAAGGGCAGGTAAGCGCCAGTCAGTAAGCACAGAGAGGGTCAAGAAGGTTTCTTGTACTTGCAAACATAATATAGGCGAAGACAGCGAGAACGCAAACGATAACTAGACAACTTGAGATGACGATGATAACTTGACAACTTGATAATTTTTTTTGGCTATTGAAATGGGGTCCGAGGATCTTCGTAGAGAATGAAGAAACTTGAGGGAGCAATTGAACTCCAAACTTGAAACCACATTCTCCTTGGCACCCTTGACCTTCTGCCCTTGACCTTTGCTCTGTGCTTGACGAAGCACAAACGAGAACGACTCCAAGGCTTACCACCGCGAATCATTCGCACTTGCTGGAGCCTCGTAGTCCCTACCACGCGAAGGGCTGCTGCCACGCGGCGGGCTACGAGAATAGCTCCTACGCCTTCTATAATCAGGAGAATATCCTCGTCGAGGCGGCGGGCTGCGCCGGTCGCGATCACGCCAGTCTCTGCTATCCCGTCCGTATGGGTCACGATCCCGGTCCCGGTCTCTGTCTCCTCCCCTATCACGGCGGTCCCGGTCGCGATAGTCACGGTCCCGGCTCCCTATTGTCTCGACCAGTATAGTGATTGTCGCGATTCGGCCGTCGGTGTCCCATGTACTCTCCTGGTGTCGGAGCATGAGGTCGGTCGGTAACCGAATAGTCAACGCGGATGCGGCGGCCGTTGAGATCCTAGCACGCAACGTATGAGCGGTGAACTTGCGAAGCAGAATGAAGACTTACGATGCCGTTCAACTCGGCAATGCAGCGCGTGGCATCGTCGACCGTTGCCATTTTGATGAAACCAAATCCACGAGATCGGTCGGACTAAAATTGTTAAAAACGTTGGTGTGGCGCAGGGTCCAAGACCATGAACGGACATACCCTTTGGTCGTAGACGATGGTAACTTTTTCAACACGTCCAAAGCGGCTGAATTCTTCGTCAAGATCCCGCTCTTGGGTGCGTATACTCAGACCGAACACTCCGAGAACGTTGGTCGGATTGGGCGCCTAATGAACAGTGAGCACTGCAACGAGCACCAAGGAAAAGACTCACAATGGGCGCATGTGCAGGACGCCTGGGCGGGGCAGGCGACCTATGACGGAACGGGCTGCGACTTCGTGAACGCGAGCGCCCTCGCGCCACTGGCGCAGAATCCCTGTCACCTGGAACTTGGGCTGGAGGAGGTGCATTGTAGGCATCCGAGTACGGGTCGACCGGTGCAGTCGTCGTAGTTTCGCCGTACTTCACGTTGAAAAGAAAGAAAGAAAGAGACGGTCAGAATTGGGGGCAAGGGCTGCAGGGAGCCTAGGCCGCACGGACTCACCATGGTGGTTCAGCTTCACGTTTTGTTGTTGCTTGTTTACAGCACTGCATCGTTTCAGACTGACTCAAAGGCGCCGAAAAAAAGGTAAACCGAGAAAATAGAAATTTGCAAGAAATTTATTGAAAGGACGCACACGGGAGTAAAAACAAGAAAAGAAAACATCCAAACAGCATCACTCTTTCCCAACGGTTCTGCCCCTCCCGTTTCGGATTTTCGGAGAACAGTTTGCCGAATCACTCGGCACCAAAATTCAATCGGCGACGGAACCTTATTTGTACAACTGTACAGGCCATACCGAGCGCATCCCAAGGTGGAAAACAGATCCAAACACATTTTCGGGCAAGAACAAGATGGTGAGCTCGTCGCGGCTGGTAGCGTTGGAGGCACGATTTCTGATGCTGCGTCTTCGTAGGGTATCGACATTACCGCCCACCACGTCAAGAAGGGTAACCGGACCGCACCCAAGAGCGAGGACCCGTACCTCTTGCTCCTCGTGAAGGTATTATCCACCAACCTTTTCGCCCACCGTCCTACACGACTGACGACCATTCCCAGCTTTACCGCTTCATGGCGCGAAGGACAGACTCGGATTTCAACAAGGTCAGTCTCACCAACCCATCTTTCCACTCCCAAAAAAATCGAATATTGTGCAGGTCATCCTCCACCGTCTGTTCCTCTCCAAAATCAACCGCCCCCCTCTCTCCTTGTCAAGAATCGTCAAGGAAACCTCCAACACCCTCGACCTTGCCTCAAAAACTATCGTCACCGTGGGCACCATCACCGACGATATTCGCCTAACGGAAGTCCCTAAATTGTCTATCGCGGCTCTGCGATTCACCCGGGCGGCTAAAGAGCGCATCCTCAATGCTGGTGGTGAGGCTCTTACTCTCGACCAGCTCGCTCTGCGTGCGCCCACTGGTACCAACACGGTGTTGTTGAGGGGAAAGAGGAATGTCCGGGAGGCTGTCAAGCACTTTGGTATGGGTCCCCACAAGCACAAGAAGCCCTACACGACGTCCAAGGGACGCAAGGTGTGTATTGGTTTCTCTATGGGTTACCGTATCATTCATAACTTGCATCTAGTTCGAGCAAGGTCGTGGTCGCCGAAAGTCCCGTGGCTTCAAGGTGTAAACGCTGCATTCACAAAACCAAACCACTGGGTACTGGAGTCGGCTTGCAGGCGACTGCGACGTTGTCGTTTGTGTATGCTATGTGTTATGACATTGATAATATTATGCACATGCTTTCACATCCCTTATGATAACGAAAGAACTCTGAACATACTTGGAACTGAAACTTCTCTTCGAACTTGAATAATCCAAAAAAATATATTATTTCGTTCATGAACGATTTTGACTCCGACAAAGCACAACATAACTCCCTCTATATACACCTCACTCCTACTTCCTAGGTGGCATAACCGAATCCAACGAAGGCGGCATCGTAAACGTCTTCTCACCAACCGGTGTAGTCGACCCACTACCATTTGGCGTAGCCTTCCCTCCTCCCTTCTTCGCCCGCAACATCTTCGCACCACCCGCATAGAAGAAGCCCAGGGCTGAGAAAATCAAAATGTGTCCGTAAAACGCCAGGCGGTACCACGCGACCAAGGAATCCTTCACCGTGAGCAGCATAAACGGCACAGCGACATAGTTGACCATCATCACCGTGATAATCGTACCAGCCAAGTCGTACAAACGTTTTGCGACCGTCGTAGGCTGACCTTCAGCAGGCATGACGAGCGGCCGGACGTTGGCACGCGCGAGACGTCCCGCGGTGGTGATGAACCCACCCAAGATGAAAGTAAGGTAGTAGCCACCAGCCACGCCATGCTACACAAATACCATCAGCATACCTCAAGTCGAAATCGCATTACTACACGTACCCAAAACGCGCTAGTCGCAAAGGTGATCATGCTACTTGCAAAGCCAGGTTTCTTCCCCTTAGGCGTGACGCGCTTGTACACACACTCGCGGAGCCAGACGTTGGTCTTCATGTTCCACGAGTCCAAGAGAACCTTGAAATTGGAAGGGATCTCAATGGCGGATGGTATAACGTTCGCGGCGCCAGTCCAGGTCGATGCGCCAGGAAGCGTTGTAGCCGGTGAAGCCTAACCCAGTCAAGATACTAGCTCCCTAGGAGGCCCATCAGTATCCAACCTCGATATATGCAGGTCCATGTTGACGTACTTCCGTAAGGGTCCACACGGCATAGTACTTGCTCCTCTCAAGGGTACCAAACGGTTGGAAACAAAGCAACCTAGACTATATGATTAGAAAACATAATGCACAGAGCAACCTGACCTTACCTCCACCACATATTCTGCTCTGCGAACCACGGCGTCAAAATTGTCGCAAAGTTGTACTTGGCGCCCAACAAGACAAAGATTCCGAGATACACGAGGCCCTCGACCATCTTACGGTAGGCAACGCGTTTGCGTCCGCTCGGAAGATTGCGTTTGGCATTCTCCTTGACATGGCCTTCGTATAGTTTTTCAGTGATGAGCTCCATATAGTCGACATATTCGAGGTATGGTCCGACGAGGACACCAGGGAAGTAGAACCTATTAAGCGGCTCAGTAGAAGTAGGAAGGGTTGCCAGACGGGGAGCGTACGCATAACCCAAGAACTCGAGAAGGGATGGGTAAGTCGGAATACGCTTCGAAGTTTGCCATTTGTCGAGGTCCTAGCCAAGGCATTCATTGATCCAGCCATCCAATGAAAGAGTGAAACCGCCGCACCTGAACAGGCCGCCGACCATCATACACATTCCAAGCAAACGTCGTCAGCTTCATGGTCAACACCATCTGGGGGCCAGTAACGTCCATCGTCTCGTAGCTCTGTGCTAGGAGGTAGCGTATCGTATGGCTGCACCAGCTATAAGCCACAACATCAAACAGAAGAACAGACAAGTGCTCACTTGACAGTCAAGTGTCCCATAGTAACCCTACACCGACTTCAGCTCCCCATCATAAGTAGTAACAACAACTATACAACGCACACAAAGACGATCCAAGGCATACTCGGCCCCGTATGATACTTTGCAATAGTATACGCCGCCAACACACTACCCAACAGCTGGAAGAACGCATGCGGGATCTGGAGAACCGGCAGGAAGAAGAAAAGAGTGATAGCGATATTGAAGAGGTGCTTCAGATGCGGCTTGCTCGAAGGAATGCGAACGAATACGGATCCCAAAGGAAACGCGATGAGCAGACAAGAAATCAGCTAAAACCGAACCCAGGTCAGAGGGCCAGCCTGAGCATGTGGAGACGATCAGCAACCGGTACCTTTATCTGGTCGACGGACGCGCCAGCTACTTGAGCAAGAGGGACGAATAACGCGTCCATCCCGCTTTCGTCGTCGTCGCAGTAGTCGTAGTAGTTTTTTTTATTTATGTAAACCCGACTACCTCCCCTGACTGCCTTAAGAAGAGCGGTTACTGCCGAGACTTCCAACTTTTGGGGAGGCACGTTCCAAAATTCAAAACTGCATTGCCATTTGGGTAACAAAGGTATCGTACGACGACCAGACACTATTTTATACCTGAGGATAAGAACTCTGCTGGGTATGCTGGGGCTGCTGAGCACTATACGCAGACGGAGACTGAGGTGGATACTGAACAACCGAAGGCTGAGGCTGCGCAGGCGCATAGTTGACTTTTTCCGGAGCAACAGTGTTCGCACCACTGTACGCTCCAGGACCCCTCGCGAAAAAGTCAGTCGCCGTAGAAGACGACGTCCAAACACCATTATTTCCTCGATTTGCCGCAATGATAGCAAAAACAATCAGCGTGATCGTATATCCCAACACTGATGATATAACCACTTGTCAAATCCTGGCAGATGAGAACTGGACGGATCACGTACGGATAAGCCAATTCAAAAATCCGAACGCTTCGATAGCGTTGAACTCTTTGCACGCTTGGTCAATCTCCGCTGAAATCATTATTATATCAGTACTTATTAGGAAGCCAAAGGAACGCGTAGCCATGAGAACACGTACTGTTGATATAACCACACCCGGACACGAAGGTCTTGGTATTAGCATCGGCCGTCAGCGCCGCGCTCGTCAGCCAGAGCACCCACAGCACACCTGCAAACCCTCAGAGTCAGTTAACGCGTCAAACAATCCTCGCAGAGCCTTACCCAACCAAGAGAGTTCTACCACCACCATAGATGTAAAAGCACCCTTTCGAGTGATATCAATCGCAATCCTGAACAAGCTGTCAATCCTAGGGGGGATCACCAGGGAGCAAGTTACACACATGACCGGCAGGGTAAGAATGGTGAGACACGCCGTCGCAATGGACATGGCAGCAAACGTGAAGTAGGCCCCATACACCGTCGTGGTCAGATAAGTGATATGGGCACTCAATCCCAGTATGATAACCGAGAATACCAATGTCGCGACTGTTTTCAAAAAACAAAAAAGTGAGCAACATGCTTAGAGGGAACGAGCTAGAAAACATACCTAAGGGCAGTCAGTCGGAGAATGGTGATGACACTCATGACAGGCAAAGAGAAGAGAGGAGAGGGATGCAAGATTGAAAAGGCGAGCCTGTTCTTATAGCTAGCAGATGATCGAATATTATACAGCCAATCAGGGGTACATAACGAACGCAGCCCCTTGACCCACCGCCTCTAACGTTTCACACTCAACCTCCGCCGGCACCACGCACCTAATTCGTTCTAGACTTGACTCATCGTAACAACCAACAGACAATCCTTGCGAAATAACTCATTGACAGATAGGTCCAACTGCCAGCTGGTAAAAATCGCGTACCACGCTGTAAAATAGTCATAAAAACCATAAATACAACAAATGAACTAACGTATTTGAAAAATAAAATAAAACAGATCTTTACCACCTAGCAGGAGGCGACAACGTTAACCACCTCGTCCGGCGCGTCTCCCAACGCTCAGACACATCCAAATCATCCCCATCCCCCTGCGAAGGCGCAAAAGCCAACGTACTCGCCGTCGTCGTCGCAGAAACAGGCCTCTCAACATCTCCGGGAGCAATAATCGACCAATCATCATCAATATCCGAAAACGGGTTCAAAAACCTCGAACTGTGCCTGCTAGCATCCAACGCTGGCTCATACACGTCTCGGAATGACGGCTCCGGCAGCCGATGCCAACGTCGAAGTCTCCTTCTCCTGCACACAACGAAAAGCAACAGTCCTATCATCGCTGCACAGCCAAGTACCGACCCGAGGATAATTGGAAGAGCCTTGGGGTGAGATCTTGTATCACTATTGCAAAGGTGACGAGAAATGTCATTGTCAACATGAGACGAAGTCAAATTGGACGTGGGGAAGAATCACTCACCCGGAGGAGGGCAGGCCCCTCGCTTCCCCATCCCCTGGCGCTCCACCAACACCCGTGATCCCAACTGTCGGACGTACAACAAACGTACGCGTTATACTCCCACTCGTAATCACTGTCACTGGAAGACTGTTGATACCTGGGTCTGCTGTGGGCTGAAGAGCCAAGTTGTTGATACGCTGACTGGAACTAAGAACGACGTTAGTTCTCAGTTTGAGAGAAACAGAAAAAAAATAAGTGCTTACCTGGATGGTTCACTCGCAGATGAAGACAGCGAGGAGGAGGACGAGTCCACCGCTTCCGACGATCGGCTCTCTGCGAGAGTAATGGGAGCTCCAGGAACACTGGTGGACTGGTACACATCTTTTGCAGGGGCGACCGTGACGCTAGGTAAGGGAAAGTTGGATGTCAAGGACTCGGATGCTGTCGTGGGAGTAGGTGAAATGATGGCGGTGGTAGTAGAAGTAGGAAGGATGGAATAAACGAGTGTCGATGTAGGTACAACGGGAGTAGAAGCATCCAATACAGGCAAGATGGAATAAGCGAGTGTTGAAGACTCGGTGGTGGGTATCGAATCGGATACAGGTAGGATGGAATAAACGATTGTCGAAGGTTGCGACTCCGGCGCGAGGCCTGAAGTAGATGATTCTGATAAAGACAGCATGGAATGAACGGACGTCAAAGTCGGTGAAGATGAGGAGGAAGTAGATATTGTCGTAGAATCCAATACGGGGAGGATAGAATAAATGGAAGTCACTGGCGGAGGAATGGAAATAGAGGAGGCGGGCACAGCGGTTGAGGTAGGATATAATGCAGTCAAAATAGAATTAAAAAGCATAGTAGATGAGGGTATATCCGCAGACATGGAACTTCCGTGGCACTAGCAACAGGAGTGGTATCCAACAGGGTCGAAGACGTGAGGGTATCAGAAAGTCTGGTTGTAGCACCAATCCACGGACTAGGCATGGAAAAACTGAACGGGTCAGGAGGAGTCGAAGTCTGCACAACCACCATTTGACGGCCCGTTGACGAAGGAATGGGGGTTGGAGATGGGGGTATAGTGGGACCCGGCCTGCTTGTGGTATCCATTGAAGATTCAGGGGGTGTCGAAGTCTCCACAGCCACCAATTGACGTCCCGTTGATGAAGGAATGAGAGTTAAAGATGGAAATAGAGTAAGACTTGGCTGGCGTGTGGTATGGGTACTCGCAGGTGGTGTAGACGTATTTTCACCTAACCCGGTATCCGTCTGAGACGCAAAAGCCGACGGGAAAGAACTCGAGGCTTGCCCAGTCTCCATTCCCGACTCGGTAGCAGAGAGTGTGGAGGTCGCGTCGTCTCGACGAAACATGGTTGGAGGAAAGAGCGAAACGCCAACCTTAGCTTCCCCTTGTTACTTTAAGAAAGCTCAGTTATGGTTTAAATCCCATAAAAAGAATGGAAGAACAGAATCCATCAGTTGGTGGCGCGCCGACTGTTCATCCACTCCTCGGGAGATGGACCCGGTACCTCCTTGGGTACTTAGTGCTGGGAGAAGAACCCGTCTGCTCGGCAACTGCCAGTGCGGCAGGTGTCCTTGGCTGCTGCGTGTCTTGCCTTGCTGCAAAGGCGTGTTGAGATGCACGATTCTAGTTCGACACGCTTTTCAGCATCCCAATGACAAAGAAAAGAATATAGCATACCTCGAGAGACTATGCCGAACTAATCAACCAGCACATCCCACCCTACTGTTGCATGACATCACCGCTCTTGGGTCACTACCTATCAGACAGATTCAAAGATGAATACATATTCGCCGCCAGACGCGCGCACGGAGTAGAACAGAACTCTTATGAAAATTGTTATATCTGCCACCCCAAAAAAAGACTGGCAGCTGCCAATCCACATTAGCATTCCTCGGGGAAGATGAGCGGGTATGACTGATGCGAATGGTCTAAAAGGAGCTCACTCTGTAGTGGTTGGCCTTTCGTCGGGCCATAATGAACAATGAAGAAGAAGCAACGGGCAATATGATGTCAAAAGTCGACCCTTATTCAGGTTAATTATGTGTATCCGTCTTCTCCTTCTTCATGTCCCCGACACAAGCATGTGGACCTGTCGAACAAGTCAGTTGGAGATGTTGCCAAGGACTTGGAGTGCTCACCAAAGTACAAAGCGCCTAGTAACCACTATGATTTACCTTGACCCGACCTTGAAGACACTCACATAAAAAGAACCGAAAGCACAAAACAACGATGTATAAATCAAAACCAACAGTCAACCTAGAAGAGAAACATAAATATAGACCCCACATTCCCTCAACCATCCCTCCGCTAACTCGGCATTGTCTCCGAAATGACGAAATTCCGCTTATCTTCGGGGATATCTGGACCCCAGAACGACGGGATGTGATACCAAGTACTAGCTTGGGATTCGTGAAAGTCGAGATACGGTCTCCTCGCCGCCAGTCGGTGCGTGACCACGTGACAGACCAAAATGAAGAGGATAAGGATGATGATGATGGCTGTGGGGGCTTTGAGCGACAGGCGTTTGAGTATGGAAGGCTTCGGTTCGGGTGCTAGGAACGCGATGGAGAAGTCCTGTGTGGAGACGGGAGATGATGGCGTGACGATGATGGCAGGAAGAGGCGATTTTTCGGTTAGAGATGGGAGAGAAAGGTCTGTCGAGAGCTGTCAGTGTCCGAGAGTATTATTATCCAGCAAGATTCGTACCTAATGGTGCCGGTATCAGAGTGTAGTCGAGCATTTGGTTGAGAGGTAATCTGTGGACACGAGGAGCTGTAATCTCTGCTTAGAACAGATTCTAGGCTTGCGGTGCAGTTGAGGACTTACGAGACATCGCAATGAAGTTGAGAAGATATCGTGAAGAAGACTTTACAGGGATTTAAGGCGATTAAAGGAATGTGGTTAAAATGAAGGACGTAGTTAGTTGAAGAGAAACAAAACCAGTAAAGTTTGGGGTCGAATCAAAGGTTCACTTCCCTCCAGGCACATAAGCCAGCTGTTACCACGCGTGTTCCTGGTGACACACCCTTCTGACATAACCATATGAATCTTTTTTCTACAGTCTAGAACGGGTACTTCTTCGCGGGATCCTCCTTTACACCTCTCTCAGCCTGTTCTTGCGCGCACTTGTCCAGGTATTCCACCAAAATACTTCCATATAGCTCCTTGCCTTTGTACCTCTCTACGCTGTCCGGCCAGCTTCTCACGGCGCTTGCCATCCTTGCCGGGACACCCGGCTCTTTCGCCAACTCTACAATCGGGATCACAGTACGTTCTGATCGTAAACAATACAGCACCAGAAAGAGGCAATCGTCGCAACGTCTGGCGCTCTGTTCGTAATCTCAGAGTCTCTGGAGACCACCAGCGGACTGCTCAGGAGGATGCGCAGGATGTCCATGTGCGAATTCCCCTTCAGGCCCGTTCGTCGTCGTGGACCAAGCTAATTCTTCTGGGTCCACCGAGTCATCTTCGACACCTCCATCCTTACCTTGAGGTCGGACGACTTGTACAAAGTAATTGTTACGGATGACAGGCTTGTCAACAGGGAGACGGCGGAAGAATCGCTCAAAACTCGTATGCAGCTTCTCACGATCTAATTTCTGTCAGTTCTTTTTTTCAACAGAATATAGAACGTAAGCTCTTACACTGAGGGACGTTTCCAGAAAGGTGTATCTCATCAAGTGGTAGGCCTATCTTGTCCCGCATACGCCAGAAGCCTATGTCCAAATAGTCAGTAATGAATTGGGTGACAGCAACAGAACAGCACTGAGGAGAACAGTACCTGGAACACATATTGCTCCTGCTTGGAAATAGTAACGTCCATCAGCGCCTGATTTGTTTGACATTCAGTAATGGTGAACCCGTGGACAATGGAACTGTTCAAACCTTCGACCATCAGCGCCAGATCATCCTGCACTAATAGCGCCGCAATTTTCATGGCTTCCTCAGCTTCTCTTGCTTCCACTTTGCGAATACGCGGCGGCGAGGTACCTTTACTGCTTGATAGTAAAGCAGGCGGTAGTTCATAGGTCGCATCCACTGGAAGGATCCTAATAGTCTTGATAGCGCCTTCTGCTCGGGTAACGTGAAAAGCCGCCGGATATCTCTTGTGCAAGTATTCTGCTAATTCATGAACTAACTCAATAGCTGCACAGAAATATCATAAACCTTCAACAGTAAACTATCGGGACAAAAAGAAACTTGCCAGCTGAAGCTCCCGAACCAACAACAGGTCTAGCCGGTAGAACACGCACGACGTTCTCACCCTGCGTGCGAATGCGACGTTCGCGAATACGATGGTACGTATTAAACTGATCGTCGAGCTACGAAAGTTGACATTCACCATTTTCGGCTCAGGTCAGGTCTTGAAGATCGTACCTCGATCCAATCCTCCCAGGGCATGTTACGGATACCCATCGTGACACTGATAAAAACCGCATTAGAAAACAACGACTGTGTATTATGCAAACACGACCACTCACTTGTACTGTCCCCACCGAAAGGGTCTGTACGGAATCGGTTTGATGTCCGATAGGCTCCGAGAACACGAAGGAAAATCAGGATACCGAAACTCCTTCGGCGTCCATTCTATAACACAAGCAAAGTACAGAACGATGCCAATCACCCAAGCATGGAAACCCACCTCCAGGAGCACGTTCTACTTTGATATCCGAAACCAACTGGGACGGCGATCCGGCAGTCTTATGTTGTCTCAAAGACAAAAACCCAGCTATCCCAAGGATGACAACCACAGAAAGGAGCAGAAGAGCAGAATGCTCTGCTGCGAGATCGTAGCTGAAGATATCAATACCCATGGGAGTTTGAGATTAACCCAAGTTCAGTTGCTGGGAGAGTTGATAAGTGCGAGGCCTATCATGAGATACCACTGGTAGGAGTCCCGTGGATTGCCGTAGGGAGAATTCGAAGCTTGGTGGGAGATAAGAACCAGCTTGGGGTGACGTCAAAACGTCAAAACGGGGAGACGGCCCGCAGTGCGTATCCGACTCTTTTAGTTCGCCGAGTCGAAGTTGAAGCCCGTCGAATGGAAGAATTGTAGTGGGAACGCTAGCAAGTAAAGCGGATTACATGGATGCTTACTAGGGACGATATCTTCACTTCTGAGACCTCCTTTTTCTTATACCTTTTGGAATTTCCTGTTTTCTGGCGATTACTAAGGAGTTTCCAGAATTCAGATAGTAGTTCACTTTGGGGTACACGGCCAGTAATCTGTGTGTCTTTCGGCTCCGAGCTTCAACCAGCATACTACCAAAGTTCTTGGGGCACAGAATTCGGAGGGCCCTCGGGGTTCGTAAGGGAATTGGAATGACTTCTCAGAGAGGCTTCTCTCCTCCCATCCAACTTTCCAATCCAATACCGCAAGGTCCCCGTTCTTCGATTTTTTTTGACAAGCCTGCTTAGCATTACTAGTTTGTCACGGTGACCAGTGGCAGTAGAAACCCGTCTGCGAATTATCGGAGATCCACAAACGGGTCGTGCAAGTTGCAATTGCTAGGCTACGGTTTTTTTTCACTATTGACGACGTTTCTATAGGCGCAGTCATTTAGAAATTAAAAACGTCGACGTCGAACTTGCGGCGCTGGAATTAGTATTAGGTCGCAATACTAGTCTTTTTTTTGACATGTCAGTGGGTGGCCGTTTCCGATCGTTGCAAGGGATGGTCGTGCATTTCGTGCTCTTAATTATCCGCCTGGGATACGCTTCACACGTCCGTTGAAGACCTCACACTATGATCCGATGGCTAGTGTGATAGTAGCGGCCAAAGAGTTGAGACATTCCCATGGCTGAATAGCAGGCTCGACGAAGGCTATGAAACGGTGATGGAATGCCGCATGTTTCAAGATACCTCACGTAGCACATGGATAGCAATCGATATTAATTCTGTATATCGTATCCTAATAGGTACTACTTATCATAACCTATCGTGATGATTAAATACAATTTCTCGACATATGGTAGCGTATTATATTTAGTCCCAGTATAAAGCTTCTAAAGTATTAAAAGAGCTGCTGCGATATTTCATAACACACTTGCCACAATAACAACATGACATTCCACATTCGCTCCGGATCCCGTCCATCGATAGCGCGTGCAATATGTAGCCAACACGTTGCATCCTCATGCCTTTGGAGCCACGAGAGCCTCCAGTCTACCCACTTCGGCGGTTAACGCCTGCATCTTTGAACGCGTGAGGATCACATCCAGTAACACACTCGAGTCCGGCAGGTGTCCGGAAATATACGCAGCATTGGTCAAGGGAGATCCCAACGCTGTCAGCGCATATCTAAAACCGCAAAGGGTGCGCTTTGCACCAATGGAGGTCCAGTCTGCCTCGAGGATACGAGTCGCGGAGACGTTCGAGATGAAGATAGTCTCGTCGGCCTGTGGATGAAGCGGTGCAGCAAACGTCGCCGTCTTGAACGTCTTTGCGGCCGAGTGAACGTGCGCGATGGATAAAGAAGTCCGGCCGGAGGCCAGCTGATAGGATAACTTGTGCAGTGGCAGCGATTTCAAGTCCGCGACGGTGTGGCGAGGATACGGAAGAGGTACGAAGGCGTTGTGAGGATAGTTCTGAATTTCTGAATCATACTTTGCAAGAAGGCCCCGGAACGATGCTAGATTTGAGCAGTGTACTCTGAGATCCGGATCCGTCGAGCGCGCGTACACGGCCTGCAAGACAAATGAGCAACTATGCCGCAAATGTCCAAGAGAAATCTAAAAACTGACCTTCCATAACCACGCAACAAGAACATCGCCAGTGCTGACTCTGGGAGATATTTTCCCTTCGCGGTAGAGAGCTTGCCTGACGTCTGCAACGAGGAAATCCACTATATCCTTTTTCAATATCACCAAATGGTTCTGTACGTCCTGGAATGCCTTCTTCCGTAACTGATTGAACACGAGTTTCACCGTACCCAAAGTCTTCAGGTCCGTATACCCCGAAAAGTCCACCGGTTGGACCGTCCCAGACTTTTTATGGTTATCCAAAGCCTTGAGCACGATATTAGTGCTTGCGCCGGGTTTGGGGACGGGCGGGACGGCCCAAGACAAGCCTTTGATTTCGGAGATGAGGGCGTTTACGATGATCTTTGCCCCAGTTCCGTCAAAGACGCCGTGAGGGCGAGCGAAACCTATGGCTGTGAGTGGTTCTGCATCTCCCTCTCGACATAGTCGGGTGACATGCCAGCAAGTCAAAGGACGCTGTCCCCAGTCATTGCTCGAATGAGGTGTGTCTGGGTGAAGGAAAAGGCTAGAAGGAAGCGAATGGATCGTAGAGGGTAAGGTATTGGGAAAGGAAATAGGTTTGATAGTCGGACATGTTGTGAGGGAGTACGTTTGGTAGTTGGGTGGTAAATCTCCTAGAGGAATAACGATTCGCCATGATTTCTTGCTCTATGGAAGGACGCTTGAATAAATAGCAATGGTCAAAAGGTATCGTCACATACAGATTGGTTATAGCTCTCTAATCGACCAGCTAGCAAGCGCCATTTGGCTGTAAGCCTGTCCAAGGCCCCCGCAAGGGCATCGACATCGACGACACCCTCGACCAGCCATCCAGTTATGAAGATAGACGTCGAATAACCGTCATCGAACGGGGTCAATGGATAGAGAGCATTGAGCTGAGTGGTTTCCTGGTTGATAGCCATACCGGAGAGATATCTTGGAGAAGTAAACTAGGCCCATTTTTAAAGAGCCAGGAGAATTGGAGTACGTCACGCAGTTCATATGACGAAAAGAGGTTGGAACTAAGAATGGTGAACCGGAAATTGCCAATGTACCTCAAAGGACATGGTAAACTCGTTGCGCAATTGCTACCCCTCAATGCATTCAGGGCCGAGCTGGGGGCCGGTAGGCAATTTGTCAGTTGGAGATATGTTGCACCCACTCGCGCACATTAATACAAACGGGACTTAGGGATGGGTGGGAACAAATTTCTATCAGAGGCAGGCAAATGCGAGATTAGATTTTGCCGATCAGAAGATTTTGTATCATCTCCCTTGCGGTTACTCTGACAGTATTGTACAGAGTCGGGATATCCAAAGTAGATGTAAACGTGTCCGCAAATCCGAACGGTAACATGAGCGGGATCCAGCCTAATCAAAGGAAGTTAGAAGCGCATTCATACAAATGGAGCATCGCGTACGAACCACGGGCATACTCCAACGCAAAGCAGCCTTCATGCATTTTGTATTGTTTGGCCGTACCTCTTGGGAGATGATGAACGCTTCCTGGCGGATAGCGTTCCATCTCTAGTTGACCGGGCCTAAACGCCCACTCCTCTCCAACAAGGATATTGAAGTAATCATCGGCTGTATGTAAGCCGGTATGCCCTTCGGTGCCGAGGGGAGTACCAAATATAATCAGATACTCGGTGATGCTGGCATGAATGATGTACATGGCACCCATAGCACCGCCTGCGTTGTTGAATACCCATTCACTGGAATCCGTATTGAGACGAATTTGCTCAGACGGGTAGGTGGCGGTGAGATTAGCGACTATATGCTCTATCATTCCGGCGGTATTGTTTGGAGATGCATCGATCGCGCTTTTCGCGAGTTCATGAAGCTCTGTTGGGTCCAGAACATACCACCGGTCCTGAAACAATCGTGAACAGAAATTCAGTATCGGAGTTCATGACGCACACCTTGATGGTATCCAGCCAGCCGCAAGTAGAAATAAAGATGCTGAGGAACAAAATTCGCGTTGCCCACTTCAGAATGCTGCCATTCTGTTTTTTCGGATGGGTTTTCTTTGCTTCCTCGCGTTTAACGGCCATGATTCTGAAAACAATCCGCTATAGATACCGCGAAAAATGGAGAAAATAACAAAATGCCTTGGTTGGTAGCTGGAAGGAGACGAAGAGAACGTGAAGTGGAAAAGCTTCGTGATTTCTCGGCAGATTTTTGGATCGAACCATAATGTTATTTGCGATTTCACGATCATGTGAGCGCTTCAAGAATCGGCTTTGTCCGTACCGGTCCGAATGCTCCGGAGTCCGTATCTTTTTTTTCCCAAACGGTCACGATCAAACAGCAGGCAGTATCGATCCTGGTTTGTTTCCTCTTCCAGCTCCCGATATTTGCTAATTCGAGATGCAGAAGGAAATAACCGTATGAAATGCGGTCTTTGTTTCCCCACTCGTCTTGGGATAAGTCGAATACGAACGGTCTACAGTGCACCTAGTCAACTCAAGGTTCTGTCTGATCCCACCCCCCTACCTTACTCTGATCTGTCGACTCCTGAAGCGGCACGAGGCCGTAATGCCACAATTCGCTCTCTCCTTGCCCAGGGCAACCACGGTACCGCCGAGAAATTCATCAATCGCTTCATTGTTGCTGCCAGCCGTTTGGAGCAACCACAGCAAAACGCTGTCCTTAATTCCGCTCGGAGACCAATTTCCACTCTCATACATGCATATGTCAGAGCTGGAATGCCGCATCATGCTGCCCACCATGTATATGTAATGCTGGACAAAAAGAGACCACTGAAGACCAGGACATTAGTCGCTGTCATCAACAGTCTATTATCATTGGTTCCTGATGAGGTTGGAGAGAAGGATCCGAAACGCCATTTCTTCGCGAGTTATGTGCTGTCGCTCCAATCCCAGCGGGTGACGAATGCATCCTTACGCAACGCTATGGAGCTCTGGATCATGGCCGAAAAGGCTCGACTTCCCGCAGCGAAGGTGACCTTTCAGGATCTCCTGACGACTTTGATCGCGCAGGAAGAATGCGTGTCTGCAGGTGCGGTATTTTCCCGAGTGTCACGGCGGCATTGGGAATACATGGTCATGAGAGACATGCATCATCATCCCCGAGACGTTACTATGACGAATCAGCGGTTCCCTATCAACCCTGCCGAAGCACCCGCGTATCCAGACCCACGATTATTTGAGAATGTCGTATCTGTTTGCATGTCAGTCCTTCGACGCACCGAAGCGACTCGTGGGCAGCAACAGATTCGCCGTTCTGCAGGTCATGGATTAATCTTTCTCGCCAGCCTCCTTCATCACCGCCAAATACCTTTCCCAGAAGTCGGACCTCTCATTTCTGCATTATTTTATTGTATGCTACTTTCCGACAGTCTATGGGTTCCAGAGAACCCATTCGGAGGAGCCTTGCATTCGTTTCAACGTCAAACACTGAGGCTTGGACAATATGCTCATGGTGTCATTAAGAGTCTCGCAAGACGACTCCCTAATCGAAGTCCACCGACTGCTTATCGATCACAACGCTACAGCATCCTTCCAGTCCTCTCATACGATTCATATCGCGTTCTACTCATGGGCCTAATTGAGTCTTTTCACGACCCAGTCCTCACGCTCGAGGTGTGGGAGTCGATGGTGGAACAGCACCAAGGGACTCAGGACCCAGAAGAGTTTGCAACAAACTTCATGGCTAGTTTACCAGAGGAGGGGGTTTTTCGAGCGAGGTTCGACAAGATCGTGCGTCGGTGGCGGAGATCACGAGGGAGAAAAGTAACGATTCCTATATTCACGCAGGAAGGTGAGACGAAGATGAATGAGCTCATGGAAGCATTAGGTGAGGCAATTTCTGGTGGGAAGATTAATGCCAGAGATTCCGAGACGCCTACGATACCTCCTTCAGAATCTTAGATTCTTTACTTGCTCATGCGCTATTTTCGAGATCAACATATGAAAGCTATGTCGGGATCATATATTGTGTAATATATATACTTTAGAGTCCATCTCTGACTGATACTTTCGAGCCATATGGCTCCGAAACTTGTATACATACGGTTCGATGTTTTCCCAGTAGCTATGGCGGCTGTCTGTCAACCCCTGCAGCTATACTTAAATTATCTATGTACACTGCATCGCTAACGGTTATATTAGCTGATGCGGTGTACACTAGTTCAAGTATACAGTTAGGTCAGGAGATGGCCCGCTGCCTGCAGTATATCCTCTTTGAGGCGAACATCGTTAGGAACAAATAACTTCTGAATACTCGCGTTACAGACTCAAGGGACGAGAAAGTCCCCGATAGATATGTTTGGGTGTTATTTGAACATAATTCACTAGGTATTAAACGACAGGGAGCTCGAAGCTTTTGTCAGCTCCCCGGCGTAGCTCCCACCCAGATCGGTCCAATTCCTGAAGGAGTTTCGCTTCATATGAGTTTGTTCCTGGTATTCATGCGCATCAGCTCCTTGACAACGTTGACGTTTCTTGCAGGGTGGGAAGATGGGGAAGGAGCTAGTTGATTCTAAATTGGTGTTGCGCGGATGAAAGGAGGGGGACCTTATGTATACAGTGAGATATCGATAACAGGGCGTCAGAGGTTGCAGGTGTGACTACGATGCATTGCGATCCAGACGCGAATTTCGCAAGGGCAACCAAACAGTCCCGGTCACTTCCATTTGTCGTGTTAGACAATCTTCTTCAAGACAGGTAAAAAAAATAAGGCGCAAGGGATACAGATACATCTGAGATTTCAAAGTTCCGGTCAAGCCTCTCGGCTAGCAAAGTACCATTCCAAGTGAGTCATCGAGGAGAGAACTTGGCACAAGGAGCCTACCACTTTGGGATCTTCACTTGTTCAATAGGTACCCCCTCAGCGATACATCGCCATCACTGAGAAACAGCGGCCAAAGGGACGAGACATGTGAAGCTCGCCAAAGCAGATCATGTTTAGTTCAGTTATCCGAAAACGAGAATGGATGTGTACTTTTATGGAACATACTTACTAACTGAACTCGATGAGAAGCCTGATCGCGATCAAATCTTTACGGAAGCTTGCTAAATTCGCATCATATTGGCTGTGAATTCGTAGGGTCGATAGTACGTATTCCCACTGAGTCCAAGAAACTGCGAATAGAGCTCCAAAACCTGCTGGCAAACACGAGGCCGAGGTGGAGTCTTGACGAGAACCATGCCCTAGTGCTTATTGCGTAGTCGGAAAACGATTCGATTCAGTTACAGCTCCTCTCTATTCATGCTAGACTCCGTAACTGGTAGGCAAAGTGCCGGGGAGGTTCCTGTAAACTGATATTGGCATTTCTCCAGCTCGGCGACCGTCAACAAGGCATTCTCCGTTCCACAGGTCATCACCAGCTAAATTAAATCGGCAATCATTATGACTTGTTCTAGGTTGATGTATCTTGGAAACTCACTATTACACCCCGTTCCGGCCCATTCCAGCATTTTGTACCTTTCTCGTAGTTTTGTTTTTGGTAATATGCGGGTTGTCCAGGTTCTGCGTCCCGATTCCATGCAACAAATTTCCTAAAACAAGTTAGTGACCGATATGCAAAAGCTGCTAATGCTCACCCCAAGTTAAATGTAGAGCCACCTTTGTTGGGCTTTTGCTTGGCGGTGCCGAATAGACACACCTCGTACGTGTAACTGTCGGTAGGCATGAGTACAACCGCCGCATTTTTCATGGTAACCAGATCACTGACTCTCCGGTATCTTTCTCTAAGCACGTTCCATCGAGTTTCTTCCATTCGCCTTCAACTCCAAAGCCGGTAGGATCAAAGAGCTCGGAAAGGTCTTTCTCGGCATTTTCCTTATCTTTGCGGATCTTCTTCAGAGCATTCTCCGCGTCAGTGAAGACTTGGCGTGCGTGAGTCGATTCTAGGATCAGTCAATCGAGGCGCTAGGCGACACGGGCCGGTGAAACAAACCTGCTGAGCTACCAGCTTCAGGACGGATAATTCCGAGAGACTCGAGCCACGAAAGGATCGCATCTTTCAGGTCTTCATATTGAGGTACCAAGGAGTCAGGGAGATAGTTGGTGATGTCGAAAAGTTCCGCTGACGACGGAATTAGGTCTTCATGTTGACTCTAAAAAGATAAAACACTCACACAGAGATCCCGGAGGCGGCGATCTGACATATTCATCGTGCTCCAGCAACAAGTCAACGTGTTTCGTTTTCAAAAGCCGGTCCAGATCCTTGTCCAGCTCCTCGGCAGTCCATTCACCATCTGCAAAGGTTCCTTCTGGCGTGGACTCATCCTCCCCTACTTCATTGTTAGATTCATCCGTTTCCGACGAGTCCTTTCCGACATCATTGATGTGTGGCAGTCCAGCAAGATACTCCCACCCGCGAACTGCATCTAGGACAGCCATATCCTGATAGTTGGGGTTATAACTCGTACGAAGTGTGTCTAAGATTTCGCTGAGGGTTTCCTCACGTTCCAGATGTTTCTTGTATTCGCGCTGCAAAGATTTGAGAGCATTCGAGTGGGTAATCAAGGAAGTGTACAGAGCTAAGATTAACAGTAACTTTCATGCTGAATTGCGGATGGAGGATGACTACTTACGAGATTGTTTCTTGAATTCGAGTTCAGCCGCTGACAGGGACTCGGTACGTTCAGCGATTTCTGACATTACCCAGGTGAGAATTATACCAGAAGAAGGAACCATAATGCACCTTGCAGCCTGGCTACTTCTTTCTCCTTAGTAGCGATCTCTTGCACCAACGTTTGAACGAGACCCTCTAGCCGTTTCTTCTCTTTGTGGGCAAATGTAACGTATGATGAACGTATTTTGGCTCCCTGAATGATCGTCGTGTTGGTTGCACAAAACAGTTATACGCGCAGCTTACAGTCTTTTGTATCTTAAGTTCCTCAGCGCGTTTCTTTCGATACTCGGCACCAACTGTAGCGCAAGTGTTCTTGCACACTCCCGGAAGTTCATCGGAACCATCGCAGCATTCAGCCTCTAGTAATGATTATAAGTCATTTCGCTTCGCTGATAGGATGCGACTCACCGCAGAGACCATCCCTCACACGCGAACTCGGAATGCTTGTACCAATGTGACCTTCATTCCGGCAATAGAACAGTGTGTTTGCGCAGGCGCCAGTACCTGACCGAGGTATTAATTACACGTAGCCTTATGCATTTGACGCGTCCAACCTGGCTCATCGCTGCCGTCAGGACAGTCGCAGAAATCATCGTTCACCCATTCCCAGGGTATCTGTTTTGAGCCATTCAAGCATTCCCACGATCCCGAGCTTGGAGGCGAGTAGCGAGATAACAAATTTGGAGCTACTCCGAACGATTTGTCTATGCCAGCAAGGACAGGCAATGGAAGGGGAAGGATGAGTAGCCAGGGAACCATTACAGGTAGGGAATACTGAGGTCGAAACCGTTAACGTGTCGGCTGTTGCGTCATGAGATTACGTCAGCAAACAAGACCACACAGGAGGGCCCTCACATCGCACAGAACACAGAGACGACCCACTCATCGACGGTCGCAAGAATCAATGGTGAGTGCTATTTTTCCTTCCAGGTTTTCAGTATCCATGTAGGGGATCTATCCGACTGGCGCTATACTCTCGTTTTTAGTGGATTTGTATTTTCTAGGCTGGATGGGACCGGTGCACTCTGGATAACGTTGGTTGACTTGGGTTCATCTTTCTAGGCCAAGGCAAAAGCACCCCCTCCGTCAAGTGGCGGCAAAGCTGCGAAGAAAAAGAAGTGGTCCAAGGGAAAGGTCAAGGACAAGGCCCAGCACGCCGTCTCTCTTGACAAGGCCACATACGACCGTATCACCAAGGAAGTGCCCACCTTCCGATTCATCAGCCAGAGCATCCTCATCGAGCGGCTGAAGATCAATGGCAGTCTCGCCCGGATTGCCATCAGGCATTTGGAGAAAGATGGTCAGATCAAGAGGATTGTGCACCACTCGTCACAGCTGGTCTACAGTGAGCTTCTTTTTCTCGGATGGTGTAATTACTTTACTCATTTTTATTCACTAGCACGATCAACGACAGCATCGGACTAGATTCGTTGTCTTTCGTTTTCCTATCGCTTTCATGCATCTATGTATTACCCCAATCAAAATCCATGTTGCCTGACCACCTTAACGTCATTTGAGAGACTTGCATTATGCTTGAAAACTTAAGAAAGATTTATATTTTCACTGCTGGGTCATTGGTCGTGCTGCTGCCTGGGAACCCTATTTGTTGCGACAGAAATTTTATAATGTTTATCCAATATACCGGGCCGGAATAATGGAACTGGAGATATACTCCACATATTGTTCCCCGTCCTTAGCAGCCTATCAGGCCATCTCTTCCAGCTACCATCATGTCCTCGACAAGTTACTACATTGGCGTCGATGTAGGTACTGGATCTGCTCGTGCATCGCTTGTCAAGGACGACGGAACTACCGTCGCGTCATTCACCAAGGAAACCGTTACTTACCGCAACCCGGAGAACCATCGTATCTTTGAACAATCTACGAATAATATCTGGAGCGCAATATCCACATGCATCAGGACTTGTTTAAAGGAGTCTGGTGTCCCACCATCCTCTGTGAAAGGCCTTGGATTTGACGCTACCTGCTCGCTCGCCGTCTCTGACTTCCAGGGTGAACCAGTCACCGTTACAGGAGGTGACCAGCTTGGCCAGAATGGAGATCGCAATGTCATCCTGTGGGCTGACCACCGTGCGGAGAAGGAAGCGGATCTAATCAACAGTACTGGCTCTATCGTTCTCGATTACGTCGGCGGGACTATGAGTGTGCGTTTCATACAATTTCAAAACGGCCTAAACGCGAATTAATCATGACTTTAGCTGGAAATGGAGATTCCAAAAGTGCTTTGGCTGAAGAACCATATGGATCCAGCCCTGTTTTCTCGTTGTCAATTCTTTGACCTTCCCGACTTTCTAACATACCGTGCAACCGCTGACAGCACACGATCATGCTGCTCAGTTACCTGCAAATGCTCGTTTGTCCCGAACAAGGGCTGGCAGGCAGATTTCTTCAAGAAGATCGGGCTACAAGAACTAATCGAGCGTGACTACAGTCAAATAGGTGCTGCAAATATGAAGGTTCTTACTGCTGGTTTGCCCGTTGGCCAAGGCTTGTCGAAGCGCGCAGCCGAAGAGTTTGGACTTGTGGAGGGAACTCCGGTTGGTAGCGGAGTCATTGACGCGTATGCCGGTTGGATGGGAACAGTCGCTGCAAGGACTAAGGGTAAGGATGGGCAACTCTCTACGGATCTTCTGTCGGTCGACGAATCCAGTCATCGCCTGGCCGCTGTCGCAGGAACTAGTACATGCCATCTTGTTCAGGTATGAAATGTTCGCACTACACTGTAACAATCAGCTATTAATCTACTTCGCAGAGCCGTGAAGGTGTATTCGTTAATGGCGTATGGGGTCCCTACAAGGTCAATGATTTTCTGGAATGGGACTATAAGCACCCTCCTGATCTCTTCTAGGACCCCGTATTCCGTGGTTGGTGGATGAATGAGGGTGGTCAGTCATCTACAGGACAAGTGAGGGAATCGACTTTCTTCTTAGAACCTCTTGTGGGTCTGACACGCGGAACGTAGCTCATTGACTTCATGTTGACGACCCACCCTGCTTACAATAAACTTGTGGAGCTCGGAAAAGAGCAGAAGAAGAACATTCATGTCGGTAGGTCCGACTATTACGAGCATTCACTCATTTCATTGATCCCTTTCAAAGTTCTTCAGGAGATGCTTGCGAAGCTCAAGGCAGAGAGCAAAGTAGATAGTCTAACAGAGCTGACAAAAGACATCCATATATACCCGGATCTTCATGGTACATACCACCTACCATCAAAGTCGATCTCTTACTGATCCCCTTGCTTCCCATCAATAGGAAACAGGTCACCTATCGCTGACCCTCGGATGAAAGGATCCATTGTGGGCATGGCACTAGTATGATATTTACATTCACATGTAACGATATCAGCTAATCCCTTCTCTTGTTAGGATGATACCCTACACGACCTCGCGCGAAAGTACAACGTGACCTTGGAAGCCATCGCTCTCCAAACACGGCACATCGTCGACGAGATGAACGCCAAGGGCCACAAGATCACGTCCATTTACATGAGCGGCGGTCAAGCGAAGAATATCCCGATGATGCAGCTCTTTGCTAATACCTGCGGAATGCCGATAGTATTGCCTTTTGACCATGCCGGGGCAGTGGTGTTGGGTGCTGCGATGCTAGGGAGATTCGCCGCCGAAGCGAACGGAAAAGGTGAGATGAGTAGTCAGGAGCAGGGAGATCTGTTGTGGAAGATTATGGTATTCAAACTTTCTTTCTTTAATTAGGGTTAATAAGCTGACAGGTTTGGTAGGTGGAGATGACGCCTTCAGGGATGATGATTGCCCCATCAGCATCGCCCAAGGAGAAGCGGTTGCTTGAGGCAAAGTATAAGATTTTCAGGGAGACCATTTTAATCCAGAAGCGCTGGAGGCAAGAAATGGAGGATGCGTGCAAGTAATTCTTGGGCGCCTTCCAGAATAATATCTAGATACATCTAGGATCGATTGTAATTTTAGATACCTTACCATTCGTCTTTTTTTTAGTTTCGCGCACACTCAACATACGTATTTCAAAGTGTATCAGGTGATAGACCGATGTTCAGGCAGCCTGTACTTCCCAACTATCCATCACCTTTTCTTTTACTATGAAATGTCGATCAACGCTTGTGGAAGGTTTCACTGGTCATGAGTACTATATATTTAGCGGTCCAGCACTCATTCCTATGGCAATGTGTTTTCATAGATCAGGCAGGCATGATATGGCATACGCGATTGTGCATACAGGTTTTGTGCGAGGTAAGGAAATATGCGAAGACAACAATGTAATAGTAGTGTATCGACTTAAACATCCTTGACCTTGACTGTACCACGCAGGAGACCAGTCTATTGAAAACGACATCAGGATGGCAAGTAAAGTACGAAAAGACTGAAATCCACGTACCCGACGAGCAGCAATGAGACCGACTTTCTGTCCAGGAACGGCAGAACGGGCGATCGTCGAGGCTTTTCCGATATGCTGGTGGTTACCACCACCATGAGGATGGTCCACGGGGTTCATAGCAACACCACGAGTACGGGGCCAGCTAGACAGGGTACGATAAATGAGTAAATCATTCTCCGATAACACAAAATGAGAGCGCACTTGTAACGCTTAGCCTTGTATTTGTGGTATGCCCGGCCGGCCTTGAGGAGAGGCTTGTCGATACGTCCACCACCAGCGACAATACCAACGGTTGCACGAGCGCCCCCAGAGACAGTCTTCTTCGCACCACTTGGCAGCCTTATACGGGTCTTGTTCTCATCAGGCTGGTGTCCGATGACGGTTGCGTAGTTGCCGGATGTACGTGCGAGGGCACCACGGTCACCGACCTTCTCCTCAACGTTGCAGACAATGGTACCTTCCGGGCATTGACCGATGGGGAGGACGTTTCCAACAGCCAGGGTGGCCTTCTTGCCACAGTAGACAAAGGCGCCGGTGTGGAGGCCTTCGGTAGCGACGAAGGTCTCTTTTTGGAGTTTGTAGCGGTAGGGGTCACGGAAAACGACTCGGGCGAGGGGTGCACCGCTGTCGGAGAATTGAAATCTTAGTCTAGGAAGAAGTGCAGAATGAAGATGGACGCACCGGCCAGAGTCGTGGATGATCTCCTTCACGATTCCACGAACGTAGCCGTTACGTTCCGCAAAGTCGAGCGCACGAAGGCGAGCGGGGGCCTTGTTAAGACGAGTGTGCGCTTTAAACTGGCGATACAAATGTTAATGACGGTGACGATTCGATGAAGCCCGAATCGACATACGATGGCATGCGAGCGCCTCTGTGCCCTAATGACCCGACCCATGGTTTATTCTGCAAAAGAGAGCAATGTAAGCGTCTGAAGAAGAGTAACACAGAAGACGAAAAATTTCGATGTCGCGGGTCCGGTACATCCAGTCCAAAGTGCTGCCATCCATCCCAAAATGCACGGTTTTCTGCACTGATTTGGCACAGACGGTACATATCGACATCGAAAAGGCTATTCGGCGAGGATTCAACGTTCTAGGGAGCATACTCACATTGTTCTTGAGGGGATTGGCGTTGAGCTCACAATTGGCCTATTGAAGGGACAAACAAACGGATAAACAGAGCACTGCCTTACATAAGCAACTGGTTCGCACTACTGGGTTCGGCTTCCACTCTGATCATGAAAGCCCCAAAGGTCTCTGTACTGACTCGGAAATTGAAGCTGCAGTTCAAGATATTTTAAAGTGGAGCGCTGAGATTTCCTGGATCCGAGATCTTCCTTGTGAAATTTCAAACAGTCTCAAAATGACTCCTTTAACGGTCTCACCAGCGAGAAACCTTTCTGCCTCTAGCACTCATCATGGGCGACCAAATCGATTTTGCATTCCGAAGACTCCAGCCGTCTATCTTACTCCTCCATGCTGATATTCCTCATGTCATCTGGGGTCAAGATGCAGTGGAATTTTGCTTCGGTGGTCCCTTCAATTTCTATGACGAGTTGGATCTTCAAATCCTCCTCCCGCCTTCAAAAATCCAAGAAGCGGTAAAACTCCTAGCTCCGTCGTATTCTACCATGACATGCGACGACATTGATGAAGAGAAGATGACGGTCGACAAACGTTTGGCTTGCGTCGACTACACACTCGCTTTCCGTGATCGTCCGGACGACTTTGTACGATTGAAGCTATTGCGGCAAAACACCGATACAGTCCCTTCTCATGTCCTCCTCATATCCAACACAATCTTTGATTACCCCCTCGATGATGTCGTACAAGTACCCCTCCCTCTCTGCCCGGATCTCCCATTCCCTTCGGTGCCAGCAATCGTCGGTCTGATGCCCGTTCACATACAGAAGTGGTTTAAGGCTGGCTTTTCTCGACAAAGCTTGTCCTTCATCTGCGCGTGCAGGACTCTTTTGGAGAGTGCTATCGAATTCTCCTTCTGTGAAGAGTTGGACACAGTATTTTCAGATGTTGACCAGCTGCCGACCAGGCTGAAAGAGATGATCTGTGGACTCGACGAGCACCAGAAGACTTATGTCTACGATTTTTTCCCCATAGGAGAGCCTGGTGGGTCATCTAGCGACTCTGATGGCGACATTGTCTGGCCGAATGGCTTTACCCTACCTCCAATCCCAAGAACAGATTCGCAGGGTGCTAATGATCCCCCAGAATAAGAGCACCATTGAGAATAAGTCCAGTTGAACTGGTTTTTCTATTGGTTTTCAGTGAAGTTTAGATAAATAGATATGTCATATCATGTTCTCATCTCTATACTCCATACCTGCGATAGTGTTATGAGTGTTATGAACTGTTCTTGTAACTTAAAATCTTGCAAAGGTCACCCTAACTGAGACTTCTCACCCCATTATGGAGTGGTCCCATCTGAAATCTTATCCTCATCCAATTTGCCGTTGCGTTCCTTCCAAGTTCCTTCAGTGATTTCCGAGCTCAATTTCTGAATTACAATGTTTTCGCCATGCATATCAACATCATGCCAGAACGCAATCATTTCTCTATCTTCCGAGAACTTCGTAGACTGCTCATCTGAAAAGATCAACCTTCCATAGTCCCAATCTGCATCTGTGAGCGGTATATGGAGGTTACATCCAAAGCAGGACTCCGAATTTATCCCTTGTTCCCCCGAGAAAAGGGAATACGACAGCCTTCTTCCAAGTACCGTCGGGAAGCCTGTCCCAGCCTGCGTCGTCCATGATACTCGGTCTACGGATGATTGAGTAAACATTCCATGCGTTGACCTGCGACTGACCTCGCAAGGAACTTGACTAATCCTGGTGCTTTGCCTGCGTCAAGAAGGAAAATCTTATTCGATTGGTAGTACTCCCGCCTCTTGGCACGTGCCGCGTCGGGATGATTCGCGCCTAGGTCATCTAGTCCACAAATGATTTTGCCTACCCTATGTTCGCGCTCCAACAGCGCTTTCCAGCAAGAACCTGGGTCAATGTTGGCCCATGTGCGTGGGATGTTACATATGGTAGCCCCAGTCGTAATGGTTGATGAAGGAAACCGAGGGAGACTTGGAGTTGTAGCCTACGTACCGCGAGCGTTCGACCAGAGAGATGGGGTCTTGGCTTTCGTGATAGGCGATCCAGCCACTTTGCGTGCGGGGTCTACCGCGGACGTGGACTTTTGCGATCTGTTTGGGGTGGAGTGAGCATGGAGAACTTGTCAGGGCGTTGGTGATACGGCTGGCTAACCTTCCAGATGCCAGGTCGAGCTGCAACTCGGTACATCCATCCATTGGATGATTCTTGTTGACCCCGCTCGCTTGAACTGAGATCGTCCGGGTTATCGTGCTCCGTGTTCTTCATTCCGCTCACGATACATGGAAGTTGGCTGATGAGAATTAATTTACTAAACGCGGTCCATATGTTTTCAACGAGCAGGAAGCGAGTTAACCCAGAGCATTTCGCCTGAAGAGAACTGATCTGAAATGTTCGTTATGCGATTAGGCCGCTTAACGTACCTGAGTGTATGGAAAAGCTAGGTTTCAGAGGTCGAATGTAGACCGGTTCCGCGTCGCACCATGCTGGTTGAAGAAATAATCTTCGTTTTGCTCTGCGTCCATAGCAGTGATTATTTGCGCACAGTGGGGTCTGCCAAATACCGTTTCCTCGGTGTAAGATCCCCAATCAAGTGTTTTGAACCAGTCAAGGTCTTTGAATATTTTGCATTCATCTTTGTGCATGGCCTTCCAGTCGTCCTTCTGGCAGGACTCTAGAAGCGGTAAGCCGAATCATTCATCTCTTGAGATGACAATCAGTGACCTTTCCGCCAGTCCGAGATTTTTTTTATTACATCCACTCGGACGGACGGACCCACCTCCGTGGGAATAACATACTACGCATGGGCATAACATACAGTATTGGTAAGCGCACTGCCACCCGGTACACAAAAGTTGCTGGCCAAGTGAAGCTACGGGATAGTATCGAGAGATCTAAATAGTGATGTAATAGATATGAGCTGCAAGACAAGAAATCCTTGATTTCTTGGGTTTGGGGGGAGAGAACTCGGCTTTGAGAGAACTGTGAGTTGAGCAGAAGGGAGACCGGCAATGAAACCAGTCCGGAGATGGATACCGGGATGCAGAGATGCCGGAAGCTCAAACTCGTAGCAGTGGAAGCCGAGGACTCAGTTGTTCGGGGAAACCTGAAATCTGAGCAACCGAAAAGACGTAGCTGCACGTCAGACCAGGCGCTACCCAAACAAAGAAGGGAGTAGGTGGGTGGGTCAAAAGAGAGCAAAGAAACGGCGGAGCGACTGAAAGAAGAGAGCGGAGAGAGAACGAAGCGAAAATACACTTGCACCGAATAGCGCAAGACGATCGCGTTGTTTGGCTGCCTCCGCTTGAGCCAAATAACTGGGGAAATGCGACGAAGCGCTGGGGCAAAGGGGGATCTCTCTGATCACTACGCTTTACTTGGCCAATCACAGAGTTTGAGCCGTTCGTTCCTCACGTCAAACTTGTGTGGCATCATAGCCTAAGTCTTGGTGAGCTGGTATCAATTTGAAGGTGAGGGAAAGTCTTTTTTACATCGAAATACATTGCGTTCATGCAATATCATGCCTATGTACTCTCCAGAAGCAAAAAAAAAAATTCGATAGAGAATTTTTTTAAGCAGCCTTAAAGGCGACCGACCAACCCGGTGTTCCGGAACAACGGTCCGGAACCCCCTTTGCTTTCCGCAACACGGTATCCCAAAGCATCCCGTGCATCGTAAGAGGGAAAGTGTATCCCGGCTCCCTCTCCTCATAATTTGCACAATGCACGTAGTCGCCAAGGGATGTCTGTCCCTGATGACTTCGTTTATCTGTAGCAGCGTATCGAGATCACACGGAAAGACCTATAGCAGAATATATCATGTCTTAGACTTTCAACGAGTCGACAGTTTGGCTTATAACTACCTTGATTTTCGCTGGATCGCGGACGCGCATAACGACGTGCTCACCTAGACAAAAGGATCTCTCGGGGTAGAGCACGGCGATGGTATGTCCTGGCTGGAGAGACTCGACGTCGATCTGGCCGTCGCGGAACGTCAGGAGGACGGGGAGCTCCCTCCGGCTTGGGGTATGCATGTCCTCCACGGCTAGCATTAACCATTTAAAACACTTGATTGGGGATCTTCAAACACTGAGGAAACGACATTTGGCAGACCTCCCTTTGAACGTTATACACCATCAGCGCGGTTTTGATTATAAAGGGAACCTGTTATCTGCCCAACCGATGCATACCTTAGCGACGCTTTATCGATGTTTCCAACTTGAAGTGTTCAGAGCGTTCAACGTCTAAGACTTGGAAGTTGGAACCGGTGAAACTTTGATTATTAGTACTTTTTTTGTGATCGATTCTCCAAAGGTCGTAGGCTGCAACAAGTACTATACAGTAGGACTGACTAACCTCGCAAGCCACTTTACAGACGCTATGAAAGATTTTGCGGGCCCCAAAGGTCTCTGTATTGGGTCGGAAATTGAGGCTGTAGTTCAAGATATATCCATCATATCTAATGGCGGAGCGACGATATGATATTTCAAGCGGAGTTTCCAAATGACAACTGTAACGGGAATCGAGTCTCACCAGTGAGAAACCTTTCTGCCTTTAGCATTCACCATGGACGACGACTTTGTATACCGAAGACTGCAACCGTCTATCTTACTCCTCCGTTCTGCTATTCCCCATGTCATCTGGGGTCAGGATGCAGTGGAATTTCGTTTCCGTGCCCCCTTTGTGTTCTATGACGAATTAGATCTGCAAATCCTCCTTCCGCCCTCAAAAATCCAAGAAGCGGTACAACTCCTAGCTCCGTCATACTCCACCATGACCTGCAGTGAAATCGACGATGAGGCCATGACTGTCGACGAAAATATGGCTCATATTGACTACACACTCGCTTTCCGTGATCGCCTGGACGACTTTGTACGATTGAAGCTATTGCGGCAAGACACCGATACAGCCCCTTCTCATGTCCTCCTCATATCCAACACAATCTTTGATTACCCCCTCGATGATATCGTACAAGTACCCCTCCCTCTCTGCCCGGATCTCCCATTCCCTTCGGTGCCAGCAATCGTCGGTCTGATGCCCGTTCACATACAGAAGTGGATGGATGCTGGCTATTCTGCGCAAAGTTCGTCCTTCATACGCGCATGCAAGACTCTTTTAGAAAGTGCTATCGACTTTTCCTTTGGTGAAGTGTTGGACACAGAGTATGCTGATGGTGACCAGCTGCCGACCACGCTCAAGGAGATGATCCATGGGCTCGATGAGCGCCAGAAGGGTTGGGTCTACAACTACTTCCTCATAAAGGAGCCAGGCGAGTCATCTAGCGACTCGGATAGTGACGCCTGGTCGGATCAAATCAGCCTATCCTTGATCACAAAAACAGACTCGCAGAGTAGTAATGAAAGCGGTGTTTCTGAGAGCATCAAGACGGGTGTGTCAAATGCCATAGAAAGTGAGTTTCTGTTTGGCAAAAAAAATTCAGATGTTTTGCTCACCTTTGAATGTAGTCATCCCCAAGAGCGAGGGTATCATTGAGAACAAGTCTGGCTGAACTGGGTTCTTCTATTGATTTTCAGTGAAGTTTAGACATTATGTGATGTTCTTATCTCTTTGTTTCATTACTCTGTACTTACAATAGTGTGTTATGAATGTTTGTCAACTGTTTTTGTTACTGTGAAATCCAGCTAACAGCTAAGTATTAGCATTTGTGCTCGACTTTATGCTTTCGAGGCATAGGATGGGCTCAACTCATATCTATCGGTACGTACCTTTGTTTTGTGATATCTTAACGGCTTCGCTAACTTTCGTATTGGCACAGATCGATCGCTTACGGATACGTGCTGTCATACTTTTCTGTGGATCCTTACCGTAAGTGAGCAGGGAGTGCACGCAAGTACCTGGTATGTAAACTGTGCTCGCTGTCGCCATCTCAAGCTCAATGTTGACTAGGCTCGCGAACAAACATGCGAGAGAATGAAAGGCGCGCGCGTGCAATGTGCGAGTTTGAAACACGTCGACGTAGACTTGATCTTAGATAGACTCTAACTAAGTTTCTGGTGGTCGGTACTGACGGTTTTCCTTTACAGGCTCGTTGATGCAGGGTTAAAGAAGGCCAGGATATGCATAGTCGGCTTGACAAGACGGCGGGTAAGCGCATCTCTGTATGAATCCAACGATAAAGGGCATTTACTTTTCACTGATTGCAAGCTTCGAGTGTTGACCGTGGGTGCAGATTACCAGTGGCTCGAGGTAAGGTTTTCACCGTTGGACGGCTGATGGTTTGATTGTGCAAGGTAAGGATCTATCTCGCTCTAACGCGAAACTGACGGCTCAGGAGCCACGATGGCTTAGATACCGGGGTAGGCTACCCAGTGAGTGTACACTTGCAAAGGCTCAATTCTCCTGCTGAGCGTAAAGCTTAGATGGAAAATGATGAGTTTTGAATGCGACTAAGAAAGTACATATCCTGTCGTTTATTGAACGTCGCGCTAGCATATTTCGTCGTTTGGTAAAAACATCCGCTTTTTGATTTTACTCATCATTGCTTCGATTTAGCAGACTATTTCGCGTGTCAAGAATCCATCCATGAAGCCCTAGTTTCTCGAGATTGATGCCCTGCGTTGAGCGGTGTCTCACATCATATTTGGATCTCGACGTTGGAGTGCAATGTAATTTCTTCCAGTCTTAATCTTTTGCACGTTAGGCATCTAACTCTATTTCAGAGTTTACACCCACTCTGTGCCCGGTGACGTTTCGATCCTCCCTCCCTTCTCAAGAATACTCTCTGCACACCACCCACTCTTTCGGCCTTGACTTGACATTTCCTGCAATGTTCCCCGACCTCTCCGATTCACAGATTTCCTCATCAAGTATATCTTGCGCTGCACCAAGTTATGCTACACGAGAGCAGACATGGGAGAGTCAGATAATTGTATAGGAGGGATCAAGGGTCCAGGATTGCGTGCGAGGTGAGGAGATGCAAGGGTCGGCTTGTGGTTGCGGAGAGCAAGCTCCTCTTGCATCCTTGCGCTCCCAATCACCCACATTCCTGTCGATAACCACTTCTGTCATTGGCGCCGTGCTGCTCCTCAACTCCTGCCCTGCTCGGCTGCATTGACTTAGGTCTGTACGAACTCTCACAGCGGTCGCCTAGGTCCATACAGGCCCGACACCATATATCGGTTTCCAATGAAGGGAGTGGCTGCGAGAAGGGTTTAAATCGGTGATGCGAGAGACGGCAAGCGGATCGTACATGACAAACGCTCCCCACCTCTGATCGAAGTCATTTTGCAACCAATACCATTACTGACGCTGCATATGAAGGGCGTGCACTCCGTCCTCCCCTCCCGCACCTCAACGTCCATGACTGAGTATTCCTTGCCATACGGTATCGAGAGTCAACTCCCGTTGCGTCAACTCCCTACAGCTCAATGTTCACATCACCAGTCTTGTTTCAATAAGACGTATCGATGTCCGGCGAGCAGGAGTCATGGCAGGAGGGGAGGGGGAACAGAGGAAGATGAGGTGAGATAGGTGTAGGATGGCGTACAGCTCGAAACACTCCAACGGTGCCGACGATGACGACATCTCTTCCGCCTTTCGCGCGTCGACCGTCTTTCTCCTACATGCTGACAGGACGCAACTGCACCTACCAAGGAAGGCTGATCGTGACAGCATGCAATGTCATGCATGCAACACTGTTTTTGTTGAGATACCGCCTGTTGACTTCGGTTCTGAGTTACTGCCTTTGTGTACAAGCGCTGACAACTGATTGAAAAAAATGGGACTCGGAAATGCCGCATGTATGAGCTTGGCTCTCACCCACTAGTATTTGTAGGGAAAACATCGATACGGGATATACTACGGGCTAACATTTCATCGCCTACAAAAGTTCTACAAAGAGACAATCGATGGATCTTCATCGGGAGTACGAATCGAAGTAGTTCTTCAAGAATGTCGGGACGTGGAGTGACCGGAGCGGAGGCAGCGGCATCGACGAGTGCCACAAAAACAAAACCCACGGCTTCTCATCCTTGATCTTGATGACAAACAGAGTGCTCGAGAGTGGGAAGGTAATGCTAGGGGAGGCCAAGGGAGTTGGTCATGATTTCGGTGTAGGTATGTTGGAATTGTCGAACAGTAGTGTCTTGGGGTCGTTGGAGCGATTGAAGACACAGATTGTGAGTGCTATGCCATCTTCGGACACACTCTCAAACGTAGCTTTGCTGGGGGAAGCATAATCAAAACGAGGGTGGTGGTAGTGGTGGTGGTAGAAGTAGAAGGGACTGCCGAGACCGCCTGTACACGGGTTATTTAGCATAGACTTTGGAAAGAACGTAAATTGGAACTCACCTTCACTCATTCTGTCTGCTCAAGAAGACCGATACTTCGCAAAAGTTGCATCACATATTCCACGTCTTGACGGAACCTCCTGAGTTTGGCTAAAAATGGTCCCCAGATTGCTGATGGGATTATTGCCCTGTTTATAGTCGAGTTTGTTTGAAGCCTTTTTTTATAACAGTTTCTGCGAGAAGGACGATATCTTCCAGGTCCGTTCTGGCCTTCCTCTTCCCCTTCGAATTATTGCCTCTGTCTACAAAAGCAATAACCTTCAGCGGGAGCAACAAGTCTACAGTCGCCACCATCAAAGTGATGTTGAAGTCCATGCCGCCAGACTCAGCCCAACGAATCGTACGTCGTTCCGCATACGGTGTGAGATCCAATTCGAACGTCGTCTGCCTCGCGTCAACGTGTGTTTCTCCGAACAGGGCCTTGAACCCTTTCCCGCGTTGTCGGAGATGAATGGTAAACTTGTTCGTCTGACTTAACTTGTCCCGTATTCTCTCCGTCGACAATTAATCTTCAGTCATAATGTCCAGGTCCTAGCGAGTGTTTATTGAGATACATGATATCAAGTTGAGCCACGCCTGAAAGATTGCAGAGCACAGCGGAACGTACCTTCGTCCGTCTTAATGCCAGTTTCAGGATTACACAGGCGGCACCACCAATTGCGGTATATCCGTCGTTGATATCTACCACGCTTGCAAACTCTACGATCAGCGCCTTAAACTCCTCCGGCTGTTGTTGTAACTGAAGAAGTTGGCATAGTTAATTGTGTCCCGCCTAAAGCAAGAAGAACATACATGTGCCATCCTTTATTTTTGGGTAGAGACTCGTGATACGTGCCGTGGTCTGACAAGAAGCTGTTGGACGGTAGGGTACTTTAAGCTTATTCGGGTGCAGACCTGACGCGTTCTAGTCACATGATATGCACGTGATCTCGCAAGTGAGTATAGCCCATATCCACAGTTACGAGTACCGCGAGTATCAATAAAGCCGGCTCGCCAGGCTAGCCTGGCCACTGGCAGTGGCGAGTTCGTATCTATATACAAAAACCTGGTAGAACTTTAAGTTCCTTCCTCAGTCGCTCACTATCGCTAGTCCGAGCCTTATGGAACATCAAGCTAACGTGCATTTAAGTTTGCGTAAGAGAACGAGCCTTATCACCCCGGGCTCGTGACCGACTCTCTCAACGCTTCGTCCGTGACACTTAGGATGGATCACAACGGTGGTGATTCTGCCCTGTAGCCAGCAAATGATTCTGAGCGTCAAAAATCTCGCAAGAAATTGCTCGAACAATTTATGATCTATCCGGTCGGACACGTCGGGGCTCGTTGGGATGTAGAGTACATAGGATTACATTACAGAGGCGGCGACTGATATTTTATAAGAGTCAGCAAGCAGACGTCTTCCGGGGCGCAAGGAAACTCATGAACCGCATTCTCATCGGCTTCTCTCGTCGACCGCCACGACTGGGGCTACCATATGCCAGACCTCGGTAACACCCCACGTACATGGGCCGACCTTGACCCAGGCTCTGGCTGGAAAGCGTTGCTGGAGAGCGAACATAGGGTAGGCAAAATCATTTGTGGACTAGATGACCTAGGCGCGAATCATCCCGACGCGGCACGTGCCAAGAGGCGGGAGTACTACCAATCGAATAAGATTTTCCTTCTTGACGCAGACAAAGCACCGGGATTGGTCAAGTTCCTCGCGAGGTCAGTCGTGGGTCAACGCATGGAATGTTTACTCAATCGTCCATAGACCGAGTATCATGGACGACGCAGGCTGGGACAGGCTTCCCGACGGTACTTGGAAGAAGCCGTTGTCGTATTCCCTTTTCTCGGGGGAACGAGGGATGGATACGGAATCCTGCTTTGGATGTAATCTCCACATACCGCTCACAAGCGCAGATTGGGACTACGGAAGGTTGATCTTTTCAGATGAGCTTTCTGCGAGGTTCCCGGAAGACAGAGAAATGATTGCGTTCTGGTATGATGTTAATATGTATGGCGAAGGCGATGAAGATGATCCTGCCTGTCAGCCATTGTAGGCCCTGTAATTGAATGAGTGTGGACGAAAAAATACTACATGTCGTGGTTCCCTGACTACGACCGCGGCTGAAGGTGTGTACATCACCAAACGGAGACAACAGCACAAAAGGCTCCGTTGAAAAGAGCAATCTCTACCGAGTATGCCTATTCTGGCTGGGATATCTCCACTTGTCAAGACTGCCAGGACATTGAAATGCGGTACGAAGCCGATATGTTCTGTAGGACGAGGCACCATCTGTATTGACGGCGTCCTTCTCAGGAACATTCGGACCCGCGCTTTTAACCAGCAAGGTACGTTCTGCATCGAGATTTAAAAAAGAGGCATTTCTGCTTGTAACTGGCACATACATCATATTGCAGACGAGACCTTCTCGCCCCGCTATCAATCAAGAGGAGGGAACTTCCATACTCGCTCCTGGCCCAGGCCGCTTGCAGGGTTCACTGAAACAATCGCACGTCAATACCATTCTTCCACTCACGAGTACTCGTGCTGGAAACGCGTCCGGGTGCCAAACCGAACAACCTCAGGGAAGAAAGATTCAAGAAACACAAGGCATTCATTCCAGTATTGTCGCCGTCGCCGCTGAAAGAACGCAGACTGAAAAAGAATAAGCGGAGAGGTGATAAAGGGGGACAACAAACACGACCTGTTTAATCTGTCCCGAACGAAATTCAATTAATCAATGATAGTGCATGTAAGATTGTCAGAGTGATAGCATCGAACATACATAATTAGGGCGGCCGGCCACGCGAAAACGACCTCCAAACCCACGTTGTATTCCAGTGTCTATCAATAAATCCTACAAAAGCTTGACGTACGAGGCAGGGAACAACCCCGTTCTTCCATCTACTTCCCCCATCCACCTGGAAACGAATCACATCAGCGACACATACGGATTCGTGATCAGCGCTCACCAGTCCGCAGAGCTCTTCTCGGTAACCAGGATTCGTTGGTTGGCACGTATCTTCAAGTCTCCCGTTTCCTGCATGTGGGATTAGCATATGTCCCACACCACAATAAGTTAGGTTTGTCTATACCCCAGAATCATAGTCATACAACGCCTCCGCCCACTCGCCTGGCTCTGACTCTGGCTCCGGTTCTGGTTCAGGCTCTGGTTCAGGCGGCGGGGCATGTCGCACGGGCGGAGGTGCAAATTTGTTCTTATTAGGTGCAAAGGCGGGCGGGGGAGGAGAAGCATAGGTCTTGGGAGGCGGTGCGAGTGACTTGGACTTTAGCGATGAGGTGAGCATGGATGCCTTGGATGTGGTATCGACGTTTCCAAACATCTAACACGGCTGTCAGTCTGATGGATGACGAAGCAGCCTGACGCACCTTGCTCGACACGAGGCCTGCAGGCGTCCGGTCTGGCGATGGGCTCCCAGGCGACCGACGCGGCGGAGCAGGCAGATTCGACCCAAAGGCATGTGCTGCTGCTGCTACTCGTCCTATCGAGGCACTCGTGCTCGCTTCTGATGCGCCGTTGCCAGACAGTGCAGAAGCAAGCTGCGGTCGAGACTGGAAGTACCTAGACGCCGCCGCCGGTCAGAATTCCAAGTTTTCTTCAGTAACTCATTCTGAACTCGTACTCATCCAGCAGTGAAAAGAACGCATCCTTCTCGTGATGAGGGAGGTTGGAAAACACCATTTCGATGTTGGCAGTGCACGTATTTGCCAAGAACGGTTATCATCGTCGATCAACCGTCAAACCGGGAATTACCACGGGATGCTCTACACGCATTTACATTTATACGTACAGATCCGGACTACGCACAGCAGTAAACGATAACAAGGCTCGGGGGAAAAAAAGAACAAAAGGTGCCGTAGGTAAGAATAGAACGTTCAAGAGTGGGGATCATCTGAACACGATAATAAAAACACAGGCAACGTGATAAAAAGCAGATAAAATCATGAACGAAGGAGGGGAAAAAAGGCAACGTGTTCTACTGCGCCCAGTTGAACAAGTCAAGGTCGGTCGGAAGGGTCGGATCCACAGTCGGTGTGTTATTTTGAGAATGCATCTGCTGAGGTACTGGCGTCGCTGACATGTGTCGAGGCGTATGGGCTAAATCGGAATGGGATCCTGGTGACGGTGCGAAAGGGTATGTCCCACCACCTCCTCCCTGTTGCCAATTACCACCACCAGGCGGAGAGGGCACACCAAATCCAGCACTCGGTGGTCGCGACATCCCAAAGCCCTGGTTAGGTCCTACCATCTGTTGTTGCCAGTGCGTTTGCTGCTGCTGTTGCTGCATCTGCTGTGGGTTAAATCCCTGTGGCATCCCCCGCTGCTGATTCTGTTGCTGCTGCTGCATCATCATCCTCTGGAAATCCTCCTGTCCTACCGACGCACCCCTCTGTGGTATCCGTGGCGTCATAGGCGAAGGCGCACCATCCGAAGGAGACCTCGTACTCCGTGCGATCCCCGGTATCGTGGAATTTGAACGCAGCGCGGGAAAATTGTCATTGCTGCCGCTCGGAAGACCCATCGGAGGGCCTACATGCGGCGAGTTGTTAATTTGCTGCTGCTGTGCCTGTAGCCTTTGCTGGTTCATCCGCTCTTGCTCCATCCGAAATCGCTCCTGGAGCATAGCCTGCTGTTGCTGCTGCTGCTGCATATTGACGCGTTGCTGCTGCTGCTGCTGCTGCTGCTGCTGCTGTTGTTGTTGCTGCATGAGCATGAACTGTCGCTGATTTAGATTCATATTGTTCATATTCATAACCCCACCAGGGATCTGCGGTGAATTCATCGTTCCAGGGCCCATTGACATAGGATTCGCCATCTGAGACGACTGTGCCTGAGGCGAAACTGGACTTGTCTGCCCCGGAAACGGTCCACCCGGCATTGGTCCATTAGCCTGCATTGGATTTGATATTCCAGTCATCTGCTGCTGCTGCATCTGTACACCACTTCGCTGCTGGTTCTGTTCTTGTTGCTTGGCTTGCATAGCACTCTACAATCAATGATATGGTGGTGAGTATCATATCACAAAATCAATGAGAACCTTACTGACCTGAGTCATGATCATCCGCTGCAACTGTTGCTGCACAGGCATTTGTGTGAAATTGGGGACGTTGCGAACCATGTATTGCGTGAAGGGGTGTTGGGGATTTTGGAGGATATTGTAGGCTTGTTGGAATTGAGGTGGCATCGACGCCAAGGGATTATTGCCGTTCGCGGATAGATTCGAGGGACCCGGGACGGCGTTTTGCATCATCTGTTGGGGCTGTTGCATGGGATTAGGCGGGACAGGTGTAGAGGAAGGCGGCGACATCTGTCGGGCTGCTGCTTGCTGTTGCTGTTGTTGTTGTTGTTGTTGTTGTTGTTGCTGCTGCTGCTGCTGCTGCTGCTGCTGCAGCAACTGAGCAGCCCGTATCTGTGCCTGCCGTGCGCGTTCTCGGTTTGCAGCAGCCACTTCAGCATCGTTAATATTTGCCAGACCAGGGGTCGCCGTTAGCGAAGGATCGGATAATGGAAGGGAAGGCGTGGACTGGAGATGAGTGCCGTTGGTCATAGGGAAGGGGTTCTGATTGGCACTTGGCGGCCCTGACGGAGGTCGCATCATGCCCTTGCTCTCGCCGGTATCTCTGCGTTTGTTCATCATGTCCCCAAACGCATCCTCTGACCGGTCTCGTTTTAGATTTAGGTTATTCGGAGCAGGACCGGCATTCTGCTGTTGCGCAAGCATCTGCTGTCTTCTTTTGATGTCTTTGGAAAATAGCGTGGGCAACTCAGCGTATATTTGTTGAATACGGGTAATGGGAACGAGATCGTTCGCTGAAGGGGGGTCCATAGTGGGTAACTGCATGCTATTTTGATTCTAGAAATTGTCGTGAGAACGCATGTAGACACTTTGCAAATAATGATGATGGCATACCCCTTGGCGGCTCTGATCTGCAGCTGCTGCCAGCCATGCAAGGTTTGATTGAAGACGTGTCGAGTATCTGAGGCACATGAGACGCGACCTGATGAAACAAAGAGTGTGACGCACTGTTGGTATCTTGGGTCAGTTATTGTAACACCTCGTCCTTGGAATTCCATGCAAACTCTACACATTTCAGTGAGTATATGCGCATATAATGACCAGTGAAACTGACTTTAGGAGCTCAGTATTGAGTTCTAGTATCGAGACGACCTTGGCATCGCCAACGTGTGATGTAGCAAGAGAAGCAGAACCGGAGGGTGTTGGTATCGAGTCAAAGGAAGGGGTGCTGCGACTGGTGGGCGAGGAGGCGAGGCCGTTCAGCTGTGAGGCTGCATCGGACGCTTGGGGCTCAGTCAGATCATTCTGGTTGGTAGCAGAAGAAGATTCTGCACCGTCTGCCTCTTCCTTCACTCCCGGTGCCGGACCATCGGAGGCGTCAAAGTCGTCAGGCGGAGGCGAGAGCTCGCTCAATGGGGTGGACTGGCGCGAGGTCTTATCTTCTAGGGTGACTTTGTTCTCGTCCGGTGGCGGCGAGACTTGTTTCTTGGGCTCTGGTGACACTGGGGACAGGGAAGAGCTCTTGTCGTCGGGGGCCGGGTTGGTATCTGTCGACGGCGCAGGTACAGCTGGTGGTGGTGGTGGTTGCTGGTCAAGCGTTGTGGCGTCGGGAATGAAGTCGTGGACGGCGGGATGGTCATCCGACCAGGCGAGTATTTTGTGGTCAGTCGGGATGATAAGATTCTTTTGGTGGGGGGAAAGGGGAGACGGGTGGTGATTATGATCGAGATGTATCATTGGCTAGAATGGGTGGAAGGGATATACGCCCACGATTGTATCCAAATTGAAACCGGTACCAGAGGTCTGCTTCGGGGCTCGATTCTCGAGAAAAGATGGCGTTGCCAGCTCGTTGCCGGCGTTGCGCAGTGTTCCTGTGTCGGCGCTGTCCTGCTCGTCGTGCTGTTCGTCGTAGAGGACTCCCGTCAGGTAATCCGTAATCTTTCCTGAAATCTCCAAGAGATCTCTCCGCGCGAGCCAGAAATTCGAATCGTCCGTTGGTGGGTAAACAACACAAGGCCGTGTGATTATTAAGACTCCGCTTCAGGCACAATGGCGGAGAGTCCCGTAGCTGTTCTCGCCGGCCACTGCGATGCCAAAGGGCTCTCGCCATCGTTGCTAGCAGCGGACTCTACGTCAATGGTCGTGGTCATGTCGACCGTTTAACTGCTTTTGCCGGAATCGAAGTTGGGATCGGATTTTCCTTTCTTCTCGGCCATTTCAGATCGTGTCAAGTCATCGTCTTCCGATTGCCTCAAATCAGTTATGTATCATAATTATCGCCCCATCATCCTCAGGGCACCAGCCCAATCCTCTGGAACATCCATCAATTACCGTCCATATATGAATCATTTCTCACTCATTCGTTCCCATCTACCCCCCTTTGTGTCGTATTCATTTGTCAGTATTCCCTCCAATTCAATAGAGAATACAACTTTGCTCTTCGTTCCTCGTCCCTGCCTTTTTTTTCGTCTCGTCGGCCCCAAATTCAGTCATCCACGGAGACAATAGAATGATCGGTACTGTCCAGGAAAACATACCACCTGTTGCGGTTTGGCGCCCCTAGCAATACATTCCGTGGCCAGGCTTCCTCCTTCCGTCGAACCGGATTTTTTTTACGCCTAGCAGCAATAATAGAGACAAGGGTTCGAAGCAACGACGGCGCTTATTTTGGACAGGCTTATGTAACAGCAAGCAGGACAAAGTGTCCAGGCAGATGTCGTTCAGCAACTGCCCAACGGCGTAACGTCCGGAAGAAGTTCTCGCAGAGGAGCAAATCATAGGCTAGGTAAAGATGTGGAGGCCTAGAAAATAGCTGGCGAATCAACATGGAGAAACCATTCTTCATCACTTTCTCGGTTTTTATGCCATAATCTGAAACAGTACGGCAGCCTGTGCTGGGAACCATACGGTCTGTACTGTTGCAGAAATGATAGTGATTTTTCTGTTTGGATCAGAGGGAATTTTGAAAGAAATCCAGTTCCCATCTTCCTCGCACCGAACCTCCGGCGTTACAGCCTGGCGCCAACAACCTGCGGAGACACGAGGCAAGGAGATCAACGGGTGTAGGGACCCATCGTCGAAATGAACTGTCACACCAGCCTGTCGCCGAATTAGTCGTCATAGTAAGAACTGAAGCAATAGACCAGTGGGCACTGTAAAAGTCGAAAAGAAGCTCACCCGACGACTAGAAGCTCCTGCCGTAATGAACCTCTTACACGTCAGCCTGATACAGAATATAAAGCATCGCAAAAAAAATATTCTTGTGGGTCTCACCTTCTGAAGGTCCAGTCCGTTGCCGCGTCTGGTTCCTAAACGCGTGTCCACATGCTTTGCGTATACGCCTCAAATACTGGGCTCAGTCAAGCATGCCGAAAGGAACGCACCCCAACAATTTTCTTGTTGCCCAAGAGTCATCACCAAATTGTGATTTACCATCGTTACGCCACCATGCGTTGCGTCTTTGGGGTACAAGCCAAGCAAGTCTCCTGGAAGTGGCCAGACCCTTGCAAACCGGACAACGACGAGGTGAGAAATAGACCTGATTGGCCCGACCCGCTTGGGGTAAGACGCTTAAAAGTGTGCGAGACAAAGCTCTGATCCGGTCGCTTTTCCACGGGCGAAGTCCTGGACTTGTCATGGATTTTCATACATCTCGAACATTCGCCGTTCACCGCTCGCGAATCTCAGGCGTGCTAGGGTAAATAGAAAAACACGCGACGAGTATGCTGCGAATGCGCGATGAACCGAATCTTCCTAAATGATCAGCATGAAGATTGAAACCGATAGGTCGGTCTTGCGTACCTTGGAACATAGACCATGGACACTCCATCCAAAAATGCTCGCTCAATACGACTGAAGCCTTCTTGTGATCAGAAACATTCTTCCTAAAAGAGTAATTTGCGACCTTGGAGGAATGATGCGAGAACTCCTAGGCGCTGATTGATTCTCTTCCGGCCCTTGTCACCAGGCGTTTCCGTCCCGAATGCCAATGTGCGACATAAACTACAGAGTTCGCAGGCACGTAAGACTGAAAGGAGAGTGAGAAGCTCTTGCATCCTAGCCGCATAGTATAATATGTGGACCGACGTATCCGCCAAAGGTAAACACCAGAAACTCGATGGCGGAGTGGACACGTCCAAGGAAGAGGTAGAAAGAACTATTCCAAATATTCTTCTAGCAAGTCCTAACAGGTAGAGCCAATGTGTAGACAAGCTAGACCATGGATGACCACTTATCACACACCAACTGCCGCAGAGAGTAATCCTCATAAAGACGGCGAGACTAGAAGAGCGAAAAGATTGATCCAGAGCTTATCTGCAAAAGCCACGCATGCCCAAAGTGCCGGCATCCTCGACATACCGAATGATACAGTGTGTGGGTATATCTGTGAGACCGCGGCGAGAGGGAGGACAGCAGTATCGCTAGCATTTCCTCGGACCGAATGAAACGGGTGACAGCCTATATGTGACATCCAGAGGCGACTCAGACGGGCGATTACGTGGAAGGGCCTACGAAGGAGGGGATGGCAGGAGATAGTGGGGGAAGGAAAGAAAGAGCATCGAGTGGATACCCACACCATTTATACACGCCGGGCAGTGTGTGTGCGTCGGGACATACGTCATAGCATAGTCATAAAACGCGGCGATGGGACGAGCCGAGAATCAACCTGGATTGTGACGTCCAATTCCCAAGTCATCAGCTGAATGAGAATCGGATACGTTCTTGGCGGAGACGGCCCGCTAGACATACAGTTGTATCGGCGCAGCTAACCTGTTCGTTGAGAGGTCGTCGAAAGTGCACACCTCAGGAGCCATAGAGAGTACAGAGGCACGCAGTAGCAAGTTCCTTGAGGTCTCCGATGTATGTCAGGACTTCATATCATAGATCAAGAAAAGGCCGTGCAAGGTACACTGACTAGTAATAATAGCTAGTAATAATAGATGGGCCGCTATTCTGGAACAATAGTTCACTGGGGCATGTTATACATCTCATGTGGATAGCCTGTTCATTTTAGTGGCGCGCGGGAATTTTGCATGATTTTTCCGCGTCCGATATGCGTAGAAGCAAAAGCGAAGAGGGAGGGGTTGCAACTTCCTGCAAAGGGACGGACAATAATCACCGTACATCCTGGAAAAAATGAGTTCTAGATGTACGAAGCTAAACGCGCCCAGGAGAACGTACCGTCACGGATACATCATTATGCCCCGACTCGCAGAACAGCTATGAGGCGGAATACTATGACTCTGATTGCCAATCTACCATCCCAAAAAATGCACCACCTTCGAAGAGAGACTGCTTCAATGACATTAGTAACTCTCTTGTCAAACAGACCCTCATACTTATTCGGCAGATCTTGTGGACCAGGCCCGGACACAGGAAAGCAGGTATTTGCAGACATGCTCGGGTCCCAACCCTAGAGGCCCAGGTGCTATATGTAGTATCCTCAACACAAAAGTGGATCCGCATATCACGGAGTCCTCTCAGGTGATATTTGTGGTCTCTTAGTTGAGATCCATACGACCCATTGCAGGGTCCGAAAAAAAGGTCCGGTCAATCGAGAGATGCAGCATACTTACGGCTGGATCCTTGGCTTTAGTGCCTGCAAGTATAATATCAGGTCCAAAGAAGGGAGTGGTGTGCTCTGCACTCATCGAATTTTGGATGGAATCGGTAGCCTGAGTTCTGTCAGCAATTACTGCTTGATCTGCTTCATATTGGCATGCCGTCATCTCCACCCACGAAGACGTGGTCCTCATTAGAAGCCAGAAAAGTTGCATGTCCGTTGTCAAGACCTTCCTGAACTGGGCGAGTTGTTTCGGAAAGAAGCGTTCGATTAGCATATCCTTATGAGAGGCAGGTGAGTAGAGACAATTTCAAATCCTGGAAGCTTGATTGCAAGCATGATGCGAACACGCCCATTTCCTTCTCCCTGTAACTCTGAATGTTCGTCTCCATTGAATAAGGCCTGGGCGATAATAACTCAGTTCTGACCAATGCATCCCACCACGCAGCGGTATTCTGTATTCCCAGAAATTTTGCCTACACGGAGATGCAGCATCATCCCTTTACCATCGCCACTCAATCTTGCCTTCTGCACGTCCTCTCACACCCTTGTAGGGCGTGTACTCTTCGCTCACGGAGAATTTGCCGACCCGTAATCCAGAAAAGGTCGAGCCGTTCGCAACATTCGCAACAATGAATGAAGTTGTGAGTACATGCGTTGGACGAACACTAAATCGCACATGATGAGTATCACACGGAATTGCGTGAACTACAGAACACACCTTTTATCCGCAGTAAAAGCCACATTCAATACATATCTTGAGTTTTTAGGTGGCGAATGAATGTCCCATTTAAGCGTCCGTGTTTGGGAGTCCCACGACCAAGGTGCACCAGTCGCACGGACACCGGAGACGTTCCCAAGGGGAAGAGAGACGAGAAGAGACTCAAGCGGAAGACGAGGTGTTAGAGTAATCTCCGCCTTGCCTTCCTCCGTGCTGACGTGTATCTTGACGCTCATGGGAAGCGCAGGCGGCGTAACGAGTTCATATTCCATGAGCACAAAGCGACCATCAGGCGGTACGAATGAAAGGGAACGATTCGCTGACCAACGAGCAAGGCGAACGCATGGATGAAAGGATGGTTGTGTTATCACATTGGGATTCGTGAAAGCCAGTAAACAATCTGGGGTGCCTGATAGTAACGCATTTGCTCGAAGTACACCCGTTGTGATGAGTTTCGTTGCGTGACCTGAGCGGCTGACAACTCCGTCTAGTGACTCAACAAGGTCAAAATATATCTCATTTGGTGAATGTCGAACTGGCGGTGCGCGACGCCATGGTATGGGAGACGAAAACGGCTTCGGTAGGGCAGCGGATGTTGGAAGAAGAGAAGAAAGCAGGGAAGGTGGAATGACAATGTCCTTCAGCGCATTGGGGGCGGTAGTAAGCGGATGTCCCGCGTCGAGCGCCTCAGCCAGAAGCTCATAGACAACGTCGAAGTTGTCACGTATCGTCGCCGCCGACGTGTTTGGACCAAAATAACTGGTGAGTATGTCGATGAAGGCATGGAGGAACGCGAATCCGACAAGTGGGTCAGTTGGCGGCGACAACGCACAGACAAGACGCAGGTCGTTCCACCGTACGTGTGTAGCTGTTCCAGTTGGCGTAATGCTCACAGGATCTCCATCACCTCCGTCGATTTCCAACAACGGTCCACTGCCGACTATTGGTCGTATAGGATCCAGAATAACAAGGGCATCAAGAGGCATCTCTACGTCGCGTTCAGCTGCGAAGAAAAGAAGAAAGGAAGGTCACGAACTCAGAACATAAATCTGCAGTTGTGGATGCTAAATAGTAGGGAGAAAGCCTGACGTCGTAACGACGGCGGTGCAATAGTGGTGTGAGGCAAAAAGTCAAGTGGTTGGACACATTGGGACTTGAACCCAACACCTCCCGCATGCTAAGCGGGCGTGATAAACCATCTACACCATGTGCCCGTGGGAGTTTTTCTCGAAGGAGTAATCAGGTATCCAGTTGAGTAAGATGCCCCGCACGCAATCTTACAGGTTGCTCTTCAAAACGCTTAACTCAATGCTGAGTTTTCAGATGTAAGGTCTAATTTATACCATGTATGCCAACATTTGTACAATGATTGAGTGTATTGTGAAGCCAACAAAAAAACACTTTATCTCTACTCTATCTAACCCAAGATCACAAGATCAAGTTTGAGAATTGCGCCGTCAGAAGCATTGCCTCAACCTCTACAGTCGAAAATCTTGCCCGCCCACACGACTCGCTCTCGATATGCTGGATGAGCGACGAGATGGTCCTGACTTTCTTTCTGCAGCATCGCTGAGGGCACTTGAACTCGTTTGCATCATGGATCGGGGACGCGAGATGCAAGTTCAGAGACCGGAGCGTGCGAAACGTGTCATGGCACAAGTAGCATTCGTAGGCCTTCCCATTGAAAGCCATTTCCGTCGCTGCGAGATGGACGTATTGCACAGTCGCAGGTCCTCCGATGCGATTAGAGATGGATATCGCCGGGGACACATTCATTGCGTGCACTGCGGCAGTAAGATGGTGACGGTTGATACTGGGATTGCAGCTGCCAGACTCGAGATGGGCTGCAATTTCGGAGGGGCTTTGAACATGCGTGTGCACAAAGCGCACTTGAGATCGGGTACCTTGTGTACCAGGGATTTGTTGTGCTTCATGAAGAAATGAGCCTCATGGCGTACAAGGGACGCATATACGGACAAACCTGAGAATAAGCCTTCTTGGTGAGAAAGAGACGGTCACAGATGGTACAATAATTGCTGTGGGAACTCTTTCGGAGGTGCTGTATACAGAACGTGGTTCAGGACAACCATAATGGGTTGAGTAGAACACGAGCACCCTCACCAAGTGGAGCGAAGCTCTATCCGTGAAAAGAATACTGCACCGGTAACAAAAATTGTGGTCGCGCACTTGCTTGCAGTGCGCAGCCCAATCCTTCGTCGTACGGAAAATTTTCGCGCATTGAGAACACTGAGGCATATCGATTGTTACCGGTGGGGGGTATGGGAATGAAAGCTCAGGTGTTTACAGGCTATTTAGTCCGTGAGAAGAGGGTCAGCCTCGTGAAGTGCATCGATAAGGAAAGTATCATTTAGCCTCTAGGAAGTTCGGTTACCAGCAGGCATTGTGAATCACGCAGAGAAGATTCTGGTGTTGTAAAATTGAATTCATCGGAGATAAAGCCAAGAAATCAGACCGCACACCTGAGGATTCCCAAGTATTTTAGCATTCCCACACCTCGTGATTTCAGAATATTCACGTAGGGGCCAGTGTCCCCGAAGACAGTTGAAAAATCATTAGAATGAGTCCAAGTCAGACATCCTTGAAGTTATATACACTAGCAGATACTGACTCAAGCATAGGGCGTTTTGGGTGCAGAAACGCATGCCGTGTGAGAGAGGCGACGAGAACCCCAGTTCTCAAGGAAGAAGAAAGTTTAATCATGATGAAAGAATCGCAACGGGTACAGTAGCGTGAAAGAACGAGGCGGCAGGCTCTAGCAGGCTTCTATCCAGACATGGTAATGAGTTAAGGACTCGTGAGCCGAGATAAGGAACAGGACGACAAAGCGCGACAAAGTTGCTGAAGTCAGTGGCTGCCGGCGGATGCTTGCAACATAGCAGATCAATTATCGCGTTTGGTCTACTGGAAGATCAGATGTCGAGACACAACAGAGCGGGTAACGGCGTTGTTTTGTTGAGGGAGGTGCGGTGGTTGAATTCCATTGTCGTTGTCAGAAGGAGAGTAAATATATTTGTACCTGTCCGGTGCCGAGGTGAACTATGATCTACTGAGTCACCCTGTGACGGTGTGACACTGTCGATTTGTCGTGCGGCAGGGTACGTCATGATATCGTGCACAATTTCACAAATGAGCTGAAAAGTAAAACTTAAAACCTTAGGGTAGCGCACGAAACCAGTACGAAACCTAGGTTTTGATACATAACGGAATACAGTCACAGATAGATTATCTTTCAGGTGAATTATAGCACATGAGCTCAAGAAAAGGTGAAGATAAAAAATTCCGGGAAAAAGTCTGCAATCGCCGCGAGGCGGTCATGTCATGCTGCATGTGAGATGTAAGTAACGGTAAAACACCGCATCAAAACTGGGAGGAAGGGGGTGGGAGTAAGAAACAGTAAGTTACCCACACTCCTCCGGACCTCCGAGTCTCCGACCCACGCTACCCTACTGAAACTTACACTCCTACATCCTCATATCCTTAGATGCGACAGTAAAATAATTAGGTAGGTACGTCATCAAACCATTGGACACATTGGGACTTGAACCCAACACCTCCCGCATGCTAAGCGGGCGTGATAAACCATCTACACCATGTGCCCATGATCTTATCTTTTTATCGTACTAATAATTAGCACAGCACCCACATATCCCCAATAGATCAGTAACGGAACACCCCTAATCACCACCCGTCATATGCACGTCATTAAACATCAGAACATCATCAAGGGACGCGACTTGCTTCAACGTGTTCCCACCCAAGTGTAAGAGATAGTAATACATGAACACTTTATCTTCGTGTTTCGTTTTGTTGCGGTAGAAGCGTGAGTATACATACGAAGTAAGACATAGAACTGGAATACACAAGAGAACCAGGGGAGAGCAGAGATAACGACAAAAAACAAGTGTCCTAATAACCATACGCACCGCCGCTCGCCCTACCCTCCTTGCCGCCTATGACGCCGACGCCGACGCTAACTGGGACACCGGAGCCGGGTCCATTGGTGACGCCCGCGCCAACGCCAACGCCTCCGACGAGAGCGCTCAGTCGAGATATCTCTTCCCTGGATGCCACAAGCGCGGACGTGAGCCGCTCGTTCTCCTGGGAAAGAAACTCGACCTTGGCTTGGAGTTGAGCAAGCCAGGCTTTCTTGCGCTGCCGGCATTTCAGTGCAGCTGACAGCAAGGTAAGAACGGGCGACGCAGAGACTGGAAGCTGGCAACCTACCCTGCCGATTGCGTTCCAGAAAATTCTTGCGCTTTTCCTCCTCTGTCTCGGGCTTTTTCTGAAGCTGAGGTTGCATGGAATGCTGCTTCTTTTGAGGCTCATAAAAGTCCTCTTCCTCCTCCTCCTCGTCTTCGTCGTCATCATCGTCCATTTTCCTGCCTCGAGTATTCCTCCTTTTACCCTCATTACCGTTTTTTCTCTTAGTACCACGCCTGTTTTGGTTGGGAGGAGACGACCCGCGAGCCTGAGCTTCCTCACGCTTCGTAAGCTCCTGGTGAGCCTGCGAGAGAAGGAAAAGGCCATTGGCGGCGGTGGTAGCAGCAGTAGAAGCGCTATTCAGATACTCACCGCCGCCGCCGTTTTCAGTATGTGTTTGGGGGTTGTACTGGGTACCATTGAGAGCACCAGTAATAGCATTGAGGGTGTTAGGCGTGATGGTGGGATTTTGACCGTTGACTAGCTGCATGAAGGCAGCAGTGCCGGGTGTCTGAGGGAAAGCGACTGGGCCGCCAACGAGTGGTGTGAGGCCTGTCCTGGGTGTAAGACCAGTACGGGGGGTAAGGCCAGAACGGAAGGAGTTGGGGTCGAACTCATTGGGCGGCTGATGCGGCTGGGGTCCGGCAAGCATAGCGGGTGAAAGGGGTCCGGCCCGCAACGAATTAGCCATGCCTGGTGTGAAGCCTCCCCATTGATAGGTCGCCGGGTCGGACGGTGACGAGATGGATGCAAGTGGGGGCAAGACCGGCTTCTCTTCCACCGGAGGCGACTTGCTCTTCGACCTCTTAGTCCCGGATTTCTCGCTCGATTCCGCTGATGGCGGGTCAGACTCGCCCGACGACGTCTCCTTTCCCTGCCTACCGTTTGACGCCGAGGCAGACGGTCGTGAGAAACTTTGCTCAAAGGGATTCGGTTCAAGGTCAAAGTCGGCGCGTTTTTGGCGTGGTGAGGCAGAGCGAGGTTGTGAGGCGGGGGACATGCTGGTGCAAGGGGCGGTGACGCACTGGGTGGGGGTGGGAAGATGACGAACGTTGACGTAGTTTCAGCCTGATTTATTATATCATACCATCTGTGTGGCACTGTTTACTTCTCCCGCTCTAGACCAACCAGTCATCAGCGGAATTCCTACTCCGGAAATCCCACCACGATCGCGTATCCTAACATTCTCCTGCAATTGGGGGGACCCGAATTCTGCTGCGAAGCAATAAAACTCGTCTCTGAAATAGAGACTTATTGCATCCCCTTTACTAGCATTATTGCCGTCCAAGTTGTTGCATTTTTAACTCGGCCACAGAACACCCGTTCTGTTTTTACCCTTCTAACCGCCAATAGTTTCTACCGAGGCAAAGTTGACCGAAAAAGCTGAACCTCTTCACGAACTGTTTGAAATCTTTATCTCCATATCTACGGCAGTCAAGACGTATTCAAGTTCGAGCACATGTTTCATTGCTCCTCCACTACCCATGTGGCTTAGATGGGTTTGGTCTTTCGACTACCGTTTCTCCTGTCAACTTTCTGGAGACCCTTCTTGATGGTGACATTGTGCCAGTAGCTTCGCTGCTCTACTACCGACCAGGGAAACGTGAAGGTCCGGTTCCTGGATTTTATCCTAGTGTCCGATTAGTAATCGCCCTCTGTCTCTCGGTACTTTCGGAGGAAGTGCTTCATCAATGCACGGCTTTTGAGAGGCTAGTTACTGATATATGAGTAGTTCAGATTGCCTGGCTGTCTTTGTCGCGCGCGCGATCAACACGATGCGTCAGTACTATAGGAAAAAGTGATGCCATTCTGGATACCCCTACGCTTCAGCCATGAATTTGTTCCCGAAGTCTACCCGGCATTTTTCCTAGGCCTAATGTACATGGTACCATTCCGGAAGCCTCTTGCAGCGCTTGGTACTGATGTGTGCCCTTCAGGCCTCAACAGAATATGAATAAGTTATTAGCTACAGTGTGTCAATACTTTTATGGGCACATGGTGTAGATGGTTTATCACGCCCACTTAGCATGCGGGAGGTGTTGGGTTCAAGTCCCAATGTGTCCAATCGGAATCCGCATTCTGACGTTTCAATTTTAGTGTTAAGCAATTGCTGCGCCATATTTTTCTACCCGGTGACTAGGACTGCCGGGCCCTGGGGCCTGCGTCTCGACTCTCGGGCGTCGGGTATGTATCATAAAGAGGTGAGCTTATTGTTCAAGTATTATTAGAGGTCACTTAGGGCGATGTATACTAAGACGTCCGTCCTAAAAACTCCCTCACCTCTTGCCACCCCATCCTCATCCTCTCCTTGCCGCATGATTCACCTCTGCGAATTTCTTCTCGATCTATCTTCTTCCAATCTTCATACCCCACCACACTTCCAGCTGCAGCATCAATCTCGGTTGGTGGATCCGTCGGATGGGGGTTCGGGTTCATCAAAGAGACTTCTTCACCAACATCCTCATTATCTAGATCACTTAAAATTGTATCAGCAACCCCATAAGCGTCCATCATGGTGGCCGCCAAGACGCCTTTGGCACCCATCGATGCCCAGCCAGACGCGTACATATTCTTCAAGACGCTACCAGTAACGAGATCCTTTCCACCGGGTAGGTCTGGGATGATAACGCGTCCGGCCTCAGTTCGTAGGTGGCCCAGAGACGAATCGTGGAACGGAGATGAGGAATCGTCAGCGTGGAAACCCAGAGAAGTGATTACAAGATCTGTGGATAATGTAGATGTCTCTCCTGTAGGGATGGCACGTCGTAGATTAGCCGGGTCAATGATGGTATGCGCCAGCGATAATTCGGCAGGCCCAAGTGGGTCCGTGGATGCTAATCCGACTGGAGACCGGAAAAATTCGAGGGACCAGGTCTTCTTGGTCGACCCGTATGGGTTTTTGGAGCCCTTTTGCATAAGCTGTATGCTTCTGCTTTGCGCCCGAGAAACCTCTTTTCCCGTAGGAGCTACAAGAAGCTCGGGTGGTATGGGTACCATAGACGCGTCTGGGAGATTGATCATCTCGCGGAGTTCTTTGGTGGTAAAGGCAGCATCAAAAGGCCCTCTGCGCGCAACAATGGACACATGTTCGATGCTTGAACGTTCAAGCACTGACATGACACTCTCGGGTACGTCGTACGGTCGTAGGACATCCGAAGGTATGAGTAGCATTCGGGCAACATCTAGCGACACGTTACCGTTTCCTATAAGAGTTACGTGCTTCAAACGTTCTAGGGGTGGTACACCGGGAGATGATGGGTGTTGTGTGTACCAGTGTACCACATCAAGAGCTGGTATACAATGCGAGGACGGTGGTAGAGCAGGGTGAAGGGTAGGAAGGGGGCATCCAGATGCGAAGAGAAGGTGAGTGTAGTTGGCGTACAGCGATGACAGTGGAAGCTGGACAGAATGCTGAATGGCGCTCTTCTGCTCTGGCTGGTGCTGGATATTCACGTTTCCAAAAAAACGAAACCGTGGATCAGTGGCCGTTTCATCGAACTTGTGAGTGCAATTCTACTAGATCGATGAGAATTGTATTCTTTGCAAAGCTCGAAAGATACAAACTTTGACTTCTGGATGATCTGGAGCTACGCCGTATCTGACCAGTCCATGAGGCGCCCAGAGACGGTCGTATACGTGGATTCGGTGCGCATCCTGCGACAGACGAGAGAGCAGCCTTGATGCGACATAAAAGGCGGATGCACCACCCCCCACAATAGCAAGTTTCATGGCGCGAAGATTCACCACAGCATTTGCGAAATCGTAAGGAACTGGAACGCGACTTTGTAAAAAGTCACGATGGTGGTCAGAGTATGAGTCATCGAGACAGGGGCTACTCGATCACAAATTACAGACACCGAACTTTATCACTCCTCCTGAGCAATCTAGCGGTACTCAATTCTCAACCCCTTGTTTCGGGTTCTGAAAGGATGGCTACATGGTAGGAAGGTGGTGGATATCCTCACTTTTTCCAAAGCAGAAACTATCGATTGGGACCCTAGTCTCCGAAGCTCTATGACACTAACACCACCATGTCAAGTCATGATACCATGAAGTCCTGGTGGGGAAAAACCTCCAGGGGTTGGCGTCGGGAGCCTGGGGGGTTTTTACGTGTATTACTATGTAAAATACCGAGATTATATAAATTAATAATTCCGTTTTCCTACGATGCCAATGCGTCGGAGTCTCTAAGAACAAGCGCCATGTCATCGTTCCCTTGGTGCTTCAGTGACATGAAAATCTTTGAATATATCGAGTCTACCATAGATAAGAGTCCATCTTCGCAACCACAAGTAGAGAGTCCATCTTCGCAACCACAAGTAGGGTAAAGCATCCGGATAGACAATGTCATTATCAGAATCGCTAGATAACTCGCCCGGCTCCCCTATGAGGAAATAGTCGTAGACCCAAGCCTTCTGGTGCTCGTGAAGTCCACTTATCACCTCCCTCAATCTGGTCAGGAGCTGGTCAACATCTTCACACTCTGTTTCCAACCCTTCGCAGTAACGAGTTCTTTTAGATAGTCAGAGAAAGCGAGTATATAGTCGACACCAACCATACTTTTGTCAGCAGTCATCTTCTCGTCGTCGCAGGTCATAGTAGAATATGACGGAGCTAGGACCATGACCGCTTGTTGGATCTTTGAGGGTGGGAGGAGGATTTGAAGATCCAACTCACCATAGAACACGAATGGGGCATCGAAACGAAATTCTACTACATCCTGACCCCATAGAGGAGTAAGATCGACGGCTGGAGTCTTCGGAATGCAAAATCGATTTCGTCGTCCATGGTGAGTGCTGGACGCTGAAAGGTTTCGATCGATAGTGGACACACGATTCTCTCTACAGAAGGATAAGATTGGAGCGCAATAGTTGACTTTGAGTCCAGGACTAGGCTCGTTGAAAGCGGCTAGTCGTCCGCTCCCGTTGTTAATTGTCGGCCCAATGCTATCTCATGCTGCTGAGACCGCGTGCCCGGGTTGTAGTAGGGTACGAATGCCATCATGGATATAAATGAGATTGTAAGACAGAGATTTTAGATGATGGAAGTTGAGAATCAACGCAAGGCTGCAACGAACCTCAACAGACTCCAAAAGTTTTTGATCGGCTCGGTTGCCATCTGTGATTCGGCATCCCGTGTCGAAATGTTGATTTTGACCAGTGTTACGTCCTCGACGAAGGATTCGAGGACGACATACAATAGATCGTGGATGGACATCCACGGCAACTCCAAAATTGTGTGCCAGAAACTGGATCCGACCAGACGCGGGCACGGGTGTTACAATGCTTGTGTCAAGAATTGGAATCTACTAGACGGTTGTTTTAGCCCCAACGTTACTTGATGGAAGCGAAGCTGGCAAGGCAAGGCAAGGCAAGCACACAAGAGCGCAGCCCTCCACTTCGTCTTTGAGATAATCGATAAAAATGTCGACAAGGACGTGCGGCATGGTGGTCATCATGATAACAACGACGGAGAGTTCCGCGTGCTGGATGCAGTTCGTAAGGTTCGAAAACGACATAGATTCCTGAAAATATCAACACATCGCGGCCTCCGAAACGACGCGACCCGAACACGATTGTTTGAAAGATAAGATCTTCCCGTACTAGCCGTCCATGAAGCACATGCAAAACCTATCTTGCGACACAAGTACGATAACAATTGACAGCCATCATAGCCTTTAGATACGAGTTGGTCGAAAGTTGAGTGCATCTTGAAACGTAGGCCTCGAGGGGCGTTAAACACTGAAGGGAAACCGCAGGAAGAAACTCGGCGTATATGAGATGCAAGTGACATGAACTTGGCCGACTGACTGGACCCTTTCATGGGAACACATCAAAAGAAAACAGCTTTGAATCCCGATTTAGGCGCTATGTTTCACGAGTCAGATGGCATTAGAAAGATATACTCTAGGATGTCCCGTGTCCGTAGCAGTGCTTCCGTTGTAGATCACGATAAAAAGTGTCCTTGATAAATCAGTATAGATATCGGAAAGATTGAATCCTCTCCCGTTCGTCTTGCGCTGTGGCGTGCACTAAGCTATAAACAAAGAACCATCAGTTCGCTTATGTACCGCGCAATGATTCGGATGAAACGCACTCTGCACTTTGCTCAACCACTTCGGCACTGGCGTCGAAAGCTTCCGCCTCTCCCTTCTCAAGCTTCTTATTCAGTGAGATCAGATATTGGCGGTACGCTGTGATGGCATGAGTAGCTGCCATCCCCACAAACAGGCACACTCACCAAATCCAATCGATAAACTCAGTACGAGAAGACAGATCTCGGTGACGAATGATTGCCAGTACTTAGAACCCCACTTGGAGGGCCATAGATAAGATGCGGGAATCTAGACATCTGTTAGCGCGATGCTATAAAGATCCAAGGGACTCGGCACACTTGACCAATATTGGCAAACCCATTAACAAAAGCAATAGACGCTGCCCTCTTCACAGGAGGTCGGGGAATAGATGTGCTAATCCACCCGAGCAAAATGATCCCACCTTTAAAGGGTAGATCCTTGAAAATCCGAACATTTCAAGACGAATGGCACTAACCACTGAAGCCTATGCACATGCCAAAGAGCGACACATATCTTCCGGCCACCGTTTTTGCTGCGAACCATCATATCATGCATTAGGACCGCCGACCGAAGTGAAACTGATGCTTGTACGAACCTGAAAGGGCGACAATGTATCCCAGAAGCGCAAACCCGTAACTGAGTGCAATGTGCCCGAACTTCTCTCCTGTCCGGTCCGAGTGCCATGAATTTGCAAGCGCAAATAAAGTGGCGAAGGCCCAAGGAGGAAAGGTGAGCAATAATGTGATGGTAGTAGAAAACCCGAGTGTGGCGGTGATTGTTGGGAGATACTGACCGAACGACAGACCCACGAGATATGTAAAATACATCAATCTGGAAAGAACCGCATCAGTATTGTACAATGGTAGGCGGAGGAAATCTACATACGCCAGTCCCCAAACTTTGACGTCGGTGATGGCCTGGAGCAGACCACGGAAGACGCCAGAGCCGGTGCGCTCCTCCTCGTCCGGATTATCCACGATCCCAACGTCCTTTACAAGCCGTCCCTGTGCGATCATGCGCTCGCGCTCAGAGAGCGATTTAGTCCTGAAACATTGTCAGAAACGAAAATTTCTCCCTGGAAACGAACAAAGAGGTCACGTTGAGGGGTAGTCAGCCAAGATAAAAGGAATCAGGCAACCGAACGCGACGGTAATGGAACCTTCGACGATAAAGAGCTGCGAACACCGTCAGTTTATCCAGGCGCAGCAATTTTTTTTTGCTGGAGACTAACGTACCCATCGCCATCCCCGAATGCCCCTGGTACCTTCCATTCCACTGAGAATACCTGCGGCAAGTAGCCCACCTAGGCCTTGGGCTAGCATGTTCCCGGCATTCAGACTAAACGATCATTGATGATTGTTGAGTGGAAATGAAAAAAAAAATTACGGCGAAGAGCGCAACTGACAAAGCAATTCTAAGCCCAATCTCTTTGCGAGTGTACCATCTTGAGAGATAGTAGACGGATGCAGGATAAAAAGCAGCCTCTGGAATTGTGATTAAAGGAGAACTTGGCGCGTCAAAATATGCGATGCTTACCGACAAATCCGAGAAAGAACCGGCAAACGATAAGGTGGGAGAAATCGTGGCACAGCTGTAAGAAAGGTACATAAAAAATCTGCGCACTGCTCCACGACAGGTACGCACAGATGTCAATGCAGAGATTCCTCCCCAAAGAATGACAACAGCTGAGATAAAGAGACGAGGATATGGGATAGTGTTCATGATTAAATTCGATGGAACTTGCATCTGGAATGGAGGTCAGGGGGGGTTCCATGGAAACGAGACGATTAACGTGCAAAAATGTATCCCGCAAATAAGATGGAAAGCGTTGTCGCATATTCAGTGTCATTAAGGTTGAGATCGTGCTGCAGACCCTTCAGACGAGCATTGGCCAGATTGCCTCGCTGTAAGGATAGGTATTAGTAACCATATCTTTGCCTCCGGCAAAACCTCACATCCTATCAGTTCATTAGCCAAGGTTTACGAAGTCACCCCAGATTACTCACAATGAAGTTCAGAATGAAGAGCTAATTGAGTATGGAAAGGGTTAGTTTCACGACTACACGAAGGAAGAGAGAATACTCACGATGACCAGCGCGGGCTAGAAAAAGTAAAGGATGAGTTACCAATTTTGAACAACAGTAGCAACTTCTCCTACCATGCACCGAAAATCTATCTTTCGTACGAGCCTTCGTTCCTCGACCTCAGTCCACTGCTGAGCTCCATGGTCGGCTACCGAGTCACCGCCCGTAATCCTAGAATCCTTGGTATCAGAGTGAACTGACATGATAGACGGAGGCAAAAACAAACTTGGCCTAGTCGATCTTTTATCTCTTTCAGCGTGGTAAATTGCTTTTGTGGCCCTGTCGGCATAAACATGCTGACATGGAGTGCTTTTTGAAAATCGAAAACATGGTGATCGACCCCTTCCTGATCGGGCCTGATAAGATGTGGGTGATCGCGGAAGGACCTCGCGTTAAATCGGGCCTTTCTTCCGCTTTTTCGGATGCTATGGCTTCTTGCCGGTCTGCTATTAAAGACGGAATGCAGGGTATCACTGTACGCTACGGAACACATCACCTATCATGTCCTATTCATCGATTCCTGCTCCAGCTGTTGCCACCGCCAAAGATGAGCGTTTGGGACTGCACAAAGTCATGGCAGACGCCGCAAATAGCTACCCTCGGAAACCTGTCGTAGGCAGGTGTTTCTCCAGGAAAATCCCCGTTTCTTCTCTGATGATTATTGTAGGATCATGGCTGATGCTTCCTGGTGCCTCTCTCGCACGAATGACTGCCCAGATGGGCTACGACGCAAGTTAACACCTCCTCAGCTATGATGCAATATTCCTGATAGTGACTAGTTCATATTGGTCGATTGTGAACATGGTGACATAGCAGATGCCGCGATGCACGCGTCGGTTGGGGCTATTGCTGCTCAGGGAGTCTCTCCCATCGTACGTATCCCAGCTCCCGAAAACTGGCTCGTGAAACGCACGCTGGACACTGGAGGTGAGTTCACTAGTTTTTTTTTTTACATCTGACTTCTTGATAAGCTTGTTCCTGCAGCTCATGGAATACTTTGTCCCATGATGTCCACCGTTGATGATGCTCGTGCACTCGTATCCTACGCCAAATTTCCCGCCCTCAAAGACAAACGGACGGCCGAAATGGTATCAGGTGTTCGGGGTGCAGGTTCACCATTTGCTCCAGCTGCTTTTGGCATGGGCATGAGCGAGTATATTGCTACCGCTAACAGGAACACGTTCATTGCCGTCCAAATAGAGACAGTAGAAGGCTTGAGTAACTGCGAAGAAATAGCCAAAGTTGATGGCATAGGTCTGTGGCCCTTGTGAACTCGAGTACTCTTACGTTCTGACTGGTGCGGACATCCGGTTAGATATGCTTTTCGTTGGGTATGCTTCCCATCACCCTGAGAGACTGATTGTCCCATTTATTCTTCTTAGGCCGAATGATCTTGCTTCATCAATGGGGTACCCACCACTAGAGCACCCAAATATACCTGAGGTTCAAGAAGCCATCAAGCGTGTCTTGGCTGCTGCCAAGGCAGCCGGCAAGTATGCCGGTATGTTCTGTACAGCGGCGGAGCAAGTGCAAGCCCGGTTTGAACAAGGCTGTAAGTAATTCCACTGATAAATTCAATTCGCCTTTGGAACAAAGCACTAATCTGGTTTCTTTTGCACAGTCGATTTCATGAACTTGGGAGCTGATGTCATTGCGTTGGGCGTGTGGAATGCCGTCGAGTTAGGAAAGTTAAAGAATATACGACCATAGATAGACTCCAACAATACAATGCATGCATGCATAGAATACCTGTTCCATTCAAACCGCTCATGTGGCGGTGGCGACAAAGAAATCCATTAAATTTGCTTGGTGAGCATATCCGACATCGGGGAGCACAGATTGAAACTACGTAACGGAAGAGAGGCATTCAAAAACCTTTCTGATGCTAAATAAATTCAAAAGCGAACCATCTCACAGGTACCGTATGAAAGTGGCACCTCGGGTGGAATACGCAACCGTAAATGCATGCGTGTTTTTCAGGTAAACTGGAGACTTGATCAGGACGATATTCTGGGATAGCGGGGAGACGTAATTTTGGTTAGCTGCCTTCAAGGTGCGCACATGCCAAAATTTGTCCAGCCTGCAAAGGTACAGCCCTTAGACCAACCCAGACACGGAATTATGAGTATATTATTGTCCGTGATTATACTAGGGCCCTCACCATGACAAGGCAATCAATCACCTCGGGTATCTATAGCGCCTAACAAGGGGATTTCTCGATAAATGCCTGCAGAAGGAACTGTCATGAGTCGCGCATTTCAAAATGAATTCGTCTACAGGTATACGGGTATGTGAACATTAAGGCCGCGTTTAAGATGATTGATACCCACCGACGAACGACCCGAACCGGCCGCTCGTGGGATGGTCTTAAGAACCGTAGAGTCGACCCGTTCCTGGCGAGTGGGCGTGAGTATCTGCAGGGAATATATACGGCCATCGGGCAACTCACGCAGAGACGAAATTCTCCCGAAACGTCGCGGTCAGTCGTTCGTTTTCAATGCCCCCGTTCTACTATTATCTCACACGCAATCAGAAGTCCGGCCCGAGAAATGTATAGTACCAGTGATTGAACTCACAGTGGCTCAAAGGCTGTTGAATTGCGGTGCATGCAATGGCTTCGAATCAAAGCGCAGTGTATTGCATACTCACAGGCAGGAACCAAGGAAAACATTACCGCGGCCATGAAGAATCTCTTGGTGGCACTTCTAGCTCAAATTAATTTGGTATATCTGTTGTGTCAGAAACGGGAGTTGTTCATTCCTGGATCTAAAAAAGCCTACTCAATGCTGGTCTCAAGCGATGCAGACACCCTGTTTTGACCCTCTGTCCGAGGAAGAACAAGATACGGAGCGGATCTGTTGTAGTTGCGAACGAGGGTGTTTGCGGGACAAGCCGGGGCTTCATTCGAGTCAGCGATTCATGGAAGGGACTCGGATGTGACAGGTGGCGCACCGCATTAGAGAACACAGACAGGACGTGATCTTTGCAGATAGCCTTCAAAATGCCGAACTGACGGAAGAATATCCAATCATGGTGAGAGTAGAAGTGCCCATACAACTTACCCGGTGACAGAAGACTTGCCCTTCATATCAGGTTCCTTGATATTCAACAGAACTTGGATATGTTCGGTCTGACTCGCGTTGGATCGACCCAAGGTTCTGGATGGGGGTCATTCCAGGAAGAGCCAACGGTTGAATGGGTTCCGAAGCCGAGATATGTACCGCCAAATTTTTGTCTAAGTGTTGAGGGAGGGGGGGGACGAATAACTATCCCGACGCAAGTTCCTCATAGGCTAAGCGTGAGTTGTGACAAGTATTAGAACTCGAGACCACCAGTGGCGACGAAGGTATGAAGTATTCTTGTTTTAAGTAGTTTGAACAGTAAAATTTATGCATCGAATAGATATTGCTAGTCGTCCGAACATGATTTAAGAGAATCGGCGCTTAGTACGTTCGGCAGGAGCCTGGCTCCCAGATAGTACTCCGTCATACAACGAACCCATGGCCAACTCTTCCGAAAAATAAAAATATCAAGCAAGAGTCTCCTTCACATCAATAGCCGGCTTGACAGGAAAGATAGAAGTGAGAGACTTAGAAGGACATCTTCCATTTTCGAGATCCGTCCGCTGAGTAATGACGAGGAGACCACGCGATACTCACGTGATGTGTCGGCCGCACCATATCGAGGGTAAGGCCGCGGCCCATCCGCGGCCGAGTGCCGCTCCCACCAAGGTGCAGAACGCATTCTATGGCATCCGTATCCTATCAAGGCCGGTACTTAAGAGAGCAGGCAATGGCCATGGAAGGTATATTGAATTGCTTTGACTTCGTGAGATATCCTAATGGCCTCCTCCTCGAACCCAAACTTCAAGCAGCTCCGTGTTGCGATTGTTGGCGGCGGTTTAGGCGGCCTTTCCGCTGCTGTTGCGCTCCGTCGCGCCGGTCATTTGAGTGAGTATTTACGTGTCTTATGAGGGTGTTTCGTCTCATATTAACGGGTAGTTGACATTTACGAGCGGCGCGACTTTAACGTTGAAGTCGGAGCTTCCATCTCCTGCGCCGCTAATGGCACTCAATGGCTACGAGAATGGGACGTCGATATTGTTGACATGAAGCCCGTTATTCTGGTGAATAGGTACCCCACGACCGTTGATGTGAGATTTATCGGCCAAATTTTTAGATGAAGCTCGTCATGCGCGACTGGGATACCGGTAAGATCCTCAATCAGTACAACCTCGACAACTACGAGGAACAATGGGGCAACGTCTACAATATGTTTCATCGTCAAGACATGCACGCCACCCTCTTTAAGACGGCCACTTCCGGCGAAGGAAAGGGCACTCCTGCCACCGTTGTCATCGACCACATGTGGGTACTCTTTTGTAGATCAGCTTTAAAATATTAAAATATTAACATTTTACGTAGTTGTCAGTCCGTTGATCCCGAGAAGGGTACTGTGACTTTCACCAATGGCCGGACCATCTCTGCAGACCTTATTATTGGAGCCGATGGTATCAGGGTATGTCCAACCGAGCTTTCCCTATCGACGCTTATCCTTCCAATGAAAGTCAGTTGTACGCGGACAAATTGGTATCATTCCTCAGATGAAATCTGGTCCTCAAACGTGCTATCGCTGCAATGTTTCGACATCTGATGTTAAGAAGTTGGGATTGGTCAATTACTCGTACGAGCCCGCCATGTAAGTCCATCACTTGTCTGCGGCGGCGGCACGTACTTACTTTACTTTGCTTCCAGCCACTACTGGGGTGGAATGGAGGGCAAAAATGGGCGTTCCGAGTTCTACAAGATTGTTATGTCGCCGTGCTCCGGCTATGAAATCATCTCATTTTATTGTGAGATCTTCAAAGTAATTCGGAGTCGTTCTTCACTGATGATGACTCCAGGCTTCATGCCCACTGAAATGACCAAGCATCACGAAGAAGGATTCGTCTTTGCTGAAGCTCCCATTGAAGACATCCTCATCGGACGATACGACGAGCTGGATCCCGACTGCATTGCCCTTCTCAAGCACTCAGTTGATCGGGTGCCTTGGCGACTATACAAACACGAGCCTTACCCTGTACGTTCTCATTTCACTGCTTTGCCGCCCCTCGCCCACTCGCCGTCGACAGTACTGGTATAAGCGCCGCGCCTGCATACTTGGTGACGCCGCCCACCCCATGATGCCCCATCAGTCTCAAGGTGCCTGTATGGCCATAGAGGATGCCGCCGCCCTGGGTATAATTTTTTCGGACAAGTACGATTTCACCAACGACATCGAGGCTGGTCTAGCTATGTACCAGACCATCCGCAAGCCCCGCGGCACCCGTGTCCAGGACGCCTCGTGGCGAGCGACTTTGAACATCAACGAGCGCATAGGATTTACCAGTCTCACCGCCCCAGAAGCAGCGCTGGCGGCTGCTGCAGACAAGCTGACTAGTGAGCTCCAGTTGTTTTTCCCTTCTTGGCGAGCATTTCTGATCGCCCTCGGACAGTTAACGAGATGAACAGCTACAAGATGCACGATCACGTCGCGGCGGAGGTGGCCAAACTATCCACACCCGTTCAAGTTCAATGTATCCAGGTTTAGTATTATTTACATTAGATAGCGTATGACACCGTATACATACAATATACCAAAGGTACGACTAGTCCATTATGTGTTGTCTTTCGGGGGTACACCACTATAAAATCCTGAACTCGATCCTCCACTAAAAGGCCAGTCCTGCTGCCCATGAAAAGCTTGCCATAGTACTTGTGCGTTTTCCTCAAATATTTGAGCGCTTGGCTGCGCCGAGGGTTTTATCACATTCCCCACTAAAGAAAGAAGATCATCTCCGATAAAATCGCTGGAGAAAGGAAGCCCGTCAATTTGTTGCCCGGCATATATCGCATTGATGTCTAGGGATAATTGTGGCGGCTGTGGGTTGGTAGGGGGGTAGACATGTGGTGGAGGTGGTGGGCCCATTTGATGAGTAGGCGATTGAGATATTCGCGGATGGCCGGACACGGGGTTATGTTGAGACGGAGAATAGGAGTGTTGTCCGGGATAAGGCCCATTCGGTTCTGCGACAGGTTCCATGGAAGTACGAAGATTGGATAGTCGCTGATGTGATCGTCCTTCTGCCAGACTGGGATCCATCATTCCAAGGCTGCTAGAATGATGTGAATTGTTATTATTGATATTCTGGTGCCCCTCAGAAACGTGGGAGGATGAAGCCATGCCATTCTCCCACGCGTTCCCATTGACACGATTTCGTTGCGGGGAAGCACCTTCGGCATCGGATCTCTTCCGTTTTCCCCGCGACGTTGACGCCGTTGAACTGGTTTGGGAGATGACCAGTCAATGACTGCGCTATCAACGCACAAGAGCAACTGACCTCAACGGTTCGGATCGTTCCTGGTTCTTAGACGACTGTGATTGTGCATGTTGTTGCGCGGCTTGTAAATCCTCGATTGCAGACGAACCACCATACAATCTCGTCTTTACCATTACCAACAAGTCGGATACGATTTCACCGCAGCGCTTAGATGCAGGCCATATTTCCTGCATTTTGTCGAGAATTTTGACGCATTTCTCGGCGTCAGTGATGATGGCAGAAACAAGTTCTTGGTGATTCAGGTAATAGACGCAACGAAGAAGGGTTATGCCGCTCAGCTACACGGATTTAGTATTCAAATCCGTACTGTTTGAATTTAATTGCTGGCTTACTGTAATAAATTGGACCGCGAACGCCAAATGGTGCGAAGTCGGAAGCATCTGCCAAGATGGAATAAGTATAATGAGATAGCCGATCACCGACACTTGCCTCTTGCGCTATTTCACCTATCTTGATACCTGATAGAACATTGTGATCGATGAGAGGTAGTAAGCATATGGTGGGAACCTGACTTACAGGATCGTGCGGCACTCATACACTGACCTAACGAGGTCAAATCAGGAGATAAAGAGGTTCCGTCAGGGATGAAAGGTCGATCTGAAGAGGGGATCGGTCAAGACGACGGAGTAAAGAGAAAGCCGCGATACGAACGCAAGTCTATGACAGCGGAATAATACACAAAGAAGATGATGAGGCATAGCGTCAGCATCTTGGGATTTTGTCGGTTGTTTGCGGCAAACCGAACGGTTGAAGGTAAACGATTCAACCAATGGGTTAGCTCGGCATCAATAGCAGTAACTGTTTTTCGTGTTTGCTCGCTTAGAGAGTCATTAATTTGCAGAGAGTGCACAAAACGCATGACTTTGCCCGCTATGATGTATATTTCAAGAAGTCTAGAATGAGGGATTTAGCGGTGGCCTCTAGTAGAACCGACCATCATACGTACGCAACAAAGCCTGTCATAAATGATTCCCCTGTCTTCACGATATTGGCACCTTCGACAGACGCAAGGAGCTGAGCATCGTCGAGCTCGGCCGCTACCAGAAGGCTTAAAAGTCTATATGTTGAGTGTGTGTAAAAACCACTCACGCATTTCGACATTACAGTCATCGTCATGGGCGCCGCTTGGTCTCCCTAGTGCGATAGAAAGAACACGATCAATACCATAGACACACCACCACACCCGCCTGCGCATCTCCTTCTCGAAAGGAGGCAAAGAGGACCGCCGCGATGAGCGCTATAATATGATAAGCGAGGCAGAGCGAAAACTTGATATCGGAACGCACGTGAAGCCCCATATCCTGCGCTCTGCGGACGGCTTGGCCAGCGTTGATCCAACTTTGGGCAAGAGCTACAAGCAATCAGTAAGAGATACATGGACGTTGTCGGTAGATTCCTTACTGTTCCAGTTCGCGTTACAGATAGCCAGAAGGGCAACGCATTGTACCCTGAATTAATATGATGAGAATATTATTCACAGAAAGGTTGTAAACCTACAGTTCAATTTGAGATAAGCCAGCGCTGGTCCAAAAGAGAAGCTGGGCTCTCTCATAGTACCTAATGTGTGCAAAGATTATGAAGTTGAATTGACCGACAGGCAAGAGACGTACTCCATTCCGCCAAACCGCGACATTTGAGGATCATTGGTTTTCCCTTTCTTCGAGATACATGCACCGCAGGCAAATACTGCGAATAGAGAGGCTAGAAAGGCGCAGTCTTTGGATGGTTTACCAGCGGCCTTGGCCGACATGGTCTTAGTATAGCGTTCCAGGAATACATGTTGGTGAAGTATTGGAAAAGTATGATGTATGCGCGTGAAATAGAGGGATACGAGCTCGTCGGCTCGTTCGGGTGAAGGATAGACGATATCTTCCGGGCGCGGTCTAGAATGGTCTTAATTTCATGGGTGCTGGCTTGGCATAAACTGTACTCACAATGCCTCCTGTACTCTGAAGCGTCCCGAAGGATCGAAAAATGGAAGGGTAATGTCGGCGCTTTTGTTGGAGTTTTGAGAGTCCGGAGAAGCGTCGCTGGCGGAGTCTTGTAGTGTCGTTAATGCCTCAACAAGCATGAAGGTGGATGTGCCTCCTGTATACCTGAGCCACTGAAATTGAGACCTGACAATATGCAGAATTCGAACGTACTCACCGCAGATTTCCATAACTATCTTTCGTGAGGTGAGAGAATCTGTCCGACCATTGCTCCGGGCCTTCGTTATCTTCATCCATGATCTCAGATGCGGCGGTAGGGCTCAGAACAGAGCCACTTGATGGATAACGAGAGAGATGCTGAATTGCCGCAGATGGACGATATGGTACGCGAGGGTGTAATGGCTCGGGTGTGGACTTGTGGGAGTTCTGTGAAGGCTGAGAAGAACTGGGATCACTGTTGGGAAGGCTAAAGCCGTGGGAGGTTCAAATGTAGCTCGAATACGAAGGATAAAACGTACGGAAATTGTTGGGGGTGCTGCCGCATCCATGCTTCGAAAGCCTTCGTAATGGGTAGCAACTTCTCCAGGCTCTCCTCCACCTTTGCTAGTCTTGAATCGACGGTGTTCGCCTGCCTACGAAGAAAACGACGGTAAGGAAGATGATGAGTGCAATAGATTGCATTTCGTACTGCCGGGCGACCGCTGCATTGTCGTTGATATCCTTGACTTGATGACCGTTAGACCCCGACACAAGCAATGAAATGGAGAACATACAGCTGCATATCTTGCCTGAAGACACACAGTATGCACACGGCTCCTAGAATAGACGTCGGGACTGGATGGGCAACAGTGAACGAGGCCAGGCTCACCTGACCGTTGCATTTGACCTGGATAAACAATAGAATCAGACATCGACGCCGTCGGAATACTGCTGGGCAGGCGCACCTTCCGTTTCCTACAGACCTCGCATGCCCGCCAAACTCGCGCCCTCACGTTCAATTTCCTGATCAACGTCGAGTAACAGGTGAATTCCTGTTCGCAATTCGTGGAATTTCCAATTGCCAACTCACCGCTTGCTATTTTGAGGACCGCCATTGTTCTCGTTAGGCCCCTCAGTTTTTTCCGACATCCAGTGATACAAGAGAAATTGACGGGATACAGTCTACACGACGCCCAAGATAGGAATACTCAAGCAGCAGTGACCCTCAATGGTGACCGTGACTGCCGGATGTTATTTGTCAGGTGAATTCAATATATTATAGATCAAATCTCCCCCACAAATGTCCTGGAACATAAATTCAAGAAAATCCAAGGGTCGTTTTATACTTGCTGGTTCATGATGACCACCTTCAAATCATCGCCTTTCCTCACTGCTTCCAGCGCCTCTTTGCTGCGCGACAGCGGGAATACTGCAGTAATCATCGGCTGCAGATCGATCTTGCCGCTCTCCATTAAATCGATAGCCGTCTTGAAGCATCCTGCGGTGTACCTCACGCTTCCGATGACATCCAGCTCCTTTGCCACGATCTGGAAAGTCGGGAATGAATTTATCGCTCGCCCAAGACCGGCTTGCACATCTGCAATCACTGCTTCAGCTTGATTGTCTATAAAGAGAAAAGATACCCACATGTTCCCCCCGAATGCACAAAAGTCATGCCAGCCTGCATACATGCCTCGGCGCCTGACGCCTCTACACTGATATCAACACCCCATGAATCCACCCCGGCTTCTTTCAATACGGATGCTTTAAATCCTTCTGCCCATTCAGAATAGTCCTGTCCCTGTGCTATCTTCGGTGACAGAACGGCATAGTCTGCCCACAGCTTCTTGGCGAAATCAACCCGTTTCTGGGATATGTCGAAAGCCAGGATTTTGGATACACCATAAGCCCGGGCAGTAGCCATGACCAGACAGCCAAGGGGTCCGCACCCGCTACGCAAGGATCAGAGGCGGCGTCAGTCGATTTATCGTGCACTCACAATATAGCAATGGTTTGACCTGCCCCAAATTTAGCACGTTTCGCGAGCTGTACAGTGCGTTAATACTGATAAGCTCAGTTGATCATCCCAGTACCTGGATGGCGACAGCTAGTGGCTGAATACAACCTGCCTGTTCCCACGATATAGACGCTGGGATCTTGACAGCGAAGTCGGCGTCGCATACATAGTATTGGCAAAGCGCTTTAGCGAAAGCAAGGTCAGTGTTCTCTTTCATCACGAATAAACTCATACTCACTGCCTTGTGTAGGCGATAAGGAAGCTTGTCGGAAGCTTCTGCATACATTTGTTTTTCCCGTCTTACAGTTGTGGCACCTGTGCGCCCGTCAGATGTCCAAGCAATTTTCACCGGTGCCGTGTCTTACTCACTTCCTGCAAAACATAGTCGGTTCGATAGCCACTCGGTCACCCACCGCCACGTCTGTCACGGCAGAACCAACTTCTACGACGACACCCGCCGATTCATGGCCGAGGATTAATGGCTCCTTGATCAAGTCCTTGCCCACACCACCGTGGCTATAATTGTGGAGCTTAGGAAATGAAAAAGGTTAGCGGATCCGCAAAAAAGGCGCCTCTATACTCGACCGTACATCACTACCGCAAATACCTGTCGCTTCAACCCTGATGAGCACGTCGTCTTTGCCGACTTCAGCAATAGGTGCGTCGCGTATCTCGACGGTGTTAGCCTTTATCAGCATACAAGCCTTGTTGGGCGTTTCTGGAGCCATAATGAAAGAAGGATGTGAGTGAAGGTGGGGGGATTATGTGATGCAGTCATTGACCAAACCCTTCAGACTTTATTTTAGCGGAATTCACCTGGGGGTAGCCTCTTGCGGAAGGAAGGACCTATCCCGTCAGGTCGGGAAATACCGCGGCAGACTTCCACGGAACAGATAAGATTAGATCGCTTCGTCGGGCACATTGTTATTCCTCTCATGCGAACACCGTTCGCTGAAATGGAACATCACGCGTACACTGCTTGCGGACATTGACGCGAACTTATTCTCGTGCGTTCTCTCGCGTTCCGGAACTGCGTACCATGTCGTCATCTACGCACAGCCACGTTCTGGCTACGATCAATATTGCGCAGTTGTCGTTGCAAATCCAGATTATAAAAAGAGGTGCGGGCTGTCGGATTCGGGGCAAAAACTCCCTCTTAACGACCGACACAAACACATTATTCGGTTGAATATAATCTCTATGGGCGGCTGTCTCAGCGGACAATTCGCTGGACCTCGTCCTCATCATGGTGGATTTGGAATGGGCGGAATGGGTGGAGGAATGGGCGGTCCAGGCAGCATGGGCGGCGGCATGGGAGGAGTCATAGGCGGTCTTATGGGAGGACATCATGGACATCATGGTGGCGGTTTTGGTATGGGAGGTCCTGGAGGCGGTATGGGCGGGCCAGGCGGTGGCTTTGGCGGTCCTGGAGGTGGAGGCGGAGGCGGGGGATGGGGCGGGCCAGGCGGGGGCGGCTTTGGAGGTGGCGGCCCGGGCGGTCCCGGAGGTGGCTTCGGTGGACCAGGGGGTGGGGGACGACCTGGTGGTGGATGGTAAATGGTGCGAACTAATTCATTCTATCGCTTCATTTCCCATCTCTAACAATATTCGACAGGCACATCCCAGGTGTGATGATATTCAATATACCATACAACACAATGACTGCATTCGTCCGTCATTAATGATATTCAGCGGTTGCGATCCTCGACGTGTCTGTCGAATACTGGACTTGGTACTGTATCCATACACGACTGTAGCTCTATTGATCATATTACGGCCCTTCGTATTTGATATAGTCATCTTTTGATATCTGAGAGTTGCTTAGAAATGAACCGGACCAAACTGTCACACAACTCTTGCCCCTTGTGCAATAGAACTTGTATCAGAAAGAAGAAAATTCTCAAGTGCTAGCCCGTGTACATACAAATACTACGTTAGCCTTACTACCACGGTAAAGTCATATGCTTGTTCACTCTTATGTCAATCCTACGCGGTGATGTTCTGGGAAGCCTCTGCATCCTATTCTGATGGTTTACGGCCCCCGGTACCCACCGCTTGTATTTCTGCGATTTTGGCCTCTCGCACTTCCTGTGTCAGAGTAAGTAAGGACCGTCGCAGTATATGGAATATCTGGCATATACATTATGTGTCTTTTGTGCATTGATAGCACTTTCCACCTGAGCCTTCTTGGTCTCGAGATCTTGGTGTAGCTTAGTGTCATGACTCTGCTGCAGCTGTTACATTTCCGTCAGTATAAATGTCGACAGCGATTCAACATGTATTGGAACCTTTAAATTCTTCTGCGCGTCACTAGACTTGGCAACTGCGATGTTGTGCTCATGCGTCGCCTTGTTGAGCGCCTTGACAGCTGAAAGTTCCTCTTTTTCGCGTTTTGCAAGGATTTTCCCGGTTTTATCAAGTCCCTGATATAGCGCTGACTAGACATTGTAATACGAGATGCATATACACACCTTGTCGGCCTTCTTGACTCCCTTTTCCGCACTCGCCAAGTCCTTCAATGAATGTTTTACGCTTGAATCTTCCAATTTGCCCTCCTTCTGGATTTGTTTCTCAAGTTTGTGGAGAGCGGCGTCTGAAGTAGGAAGAGAAGAGTGCTCCATTGCGTTTTACGATGGTGGTTTGAATGAAGTATGTCAATGCCAATGGGTGGGGCGCTGGAACGATGACGACGGGAATGACGTAACAGAGCGCGACATTGAGGATCCTTCCAAATCTGGCAACAACTCGATCACGTTTGGTTCGGACCTTCGTGCCGTTCCCTTTGAACGCATTTCACACCAAGGTCTGGTGAGAACATTACCGTCCTTCGCACCATGAGATTTAATGAATAAAAGGATGGTTGTACGCACTTATCTTTGAATGTATCCTTCTCAGTTCAACAGCCCGCCCCCGGTCCGTTGGAGTTCATTTGCCAGTTAGAGGGACGATTCCGCGCGTCGTGTCTGCAATACTTGAACAGTTTCCGTTTCTTTCTTCCACATGACCCTGGTCAATGTGATAAGGGACATTAAATGTCTTCAGTCGGATGTTGCGTTGCAACATGAGACTCCAAGAAGATGTTCGGCTGAAAACGTGGGCAGTTCCAAAGCCAAGTCGCAACTGTGCTTTCTCGCTGTGAGAAACAGGCACCATGGCTTATATACAACGCCTATTGATGGAGCCAATGCACCCTTGTGAATGTCAATGAGCGAAAATTGAACCAATAGTTGCGTCCAAAATACTTTTACAACGTCCATTCCTCATATGGCATTTCAAGATTGAGATCCATAGTGTAATTGAGTATGATCTGGTAACGAGCACGTTGATAATACCCCAAAAGTCGGGAGCAGAACCCAAAAATACCTTAAAATCAAAAACGTTTTGATTTTCCCGTTCTTCTAGTTCCGTCCTATTGTAGAATGTTACGGGAGTGATGATGGACTGTCAAAATGTTGGACTATACCTGGTTGTCAGAGGTCATGGAAAACACTTCAATCAGAAGCATGCTTCTCTGACTGTCCCTGGTTCCACTATGACCGGACGGCCCAGTTCAAGAGGTGGGCATCTAATACTGGTGGCGGATCATCCGTGAGAGCCGCTCCAACCATACGCAGTCAATGGAACCGTACCTCAAGAGCGCGTAGATGGCCTTCTCAGCTTTCACTGATATTGATAGGGACTCCATCGGGGCTACGACAACCGCCTGTACAAATTTCAGCCCGGTATTTTAATATTAAGATAAGAAGAAGCGGCTTTCCTTAACAAATTATCGATGGGAAGTCCGCGGGCTGCACTAAGTCAACAGTAACCGGTTATTAGGACCGGACTGGCATTCGTCTCATAACGAGATATCATACTTACCCCATGGAATAAGTAGAGCCGTGCTCAATTAGTTTTGATAAGCTCCTGGAACCCCCAATGGGGTGGATACCTAGTTGAATGTGCACCCGACCATCGCAAAATATGAGGGTTGGTGCGACTATCAACGAAGGTCCAGTGAGCGAGCGCCACCCTCGGGTCCCCACGTACATGCCATTCAGATATCCTGAGGTCAGTCACGGATCATCAGGCCGCTATCCGTCGCAGAGGTACCGGAAGGAATGGCGTCATCTCTACAGCTACAAAGTAAATACCGGTCTTCTTTGCATATCCGATTGCTCTATAACGCCCCTGACGAAGCCGTGGTTTAAGCGTTGGTTCAGAAGTGACTGTCCATCAGAAGAGAGCTTGCCAATCCAGGTTTCCCTTGAGTTTTACCAGCTAGTACTGTCGAAAGAATCAAGCTAGTTCAAGATTAGGTGCATATAGCAATTGCGAGCAAATTATGAATTATGTCGCAATGATGCAGCCGGAAAAGTCCAGCGAGAGAGTCTGAGCCAGAAGATCAAGACTAAATTCCTTTAAGCCATAAGCAACGGATACTATCCGAGGGAAGGACGAGCAACTTTGGTGGTCTGATCAAACTGATTCCAAGTTTGACTGTCGCAAAATGCCGGCCTAATGCCGGCATGGCAATTGCCGTAGCGCCTCTTCCTGTTAGCTTTCATCTACAGATCGAATTCCGCCTGGTTCTTCGTATCGAAACCTGCATTGAAACCGGGACCAGCGACATATAATTCTTCTTGGCACAGGTATAGCAGACTGAAGTGAAGTTATATATGTCATTGAAGCGGGAAGAAATAGCGTCCTTCGTGCTGATCTTTGCTCGAAACCCTCTTCAAGTTCTTGCTTTGTTCTTGCTTTGTCGCAATTTCGCTTGGACAAGATCCGGTGTGCATTCACCCTTTGGCCCAATGCTACTTCTTGCAATCAGTATCACGTAAACACCCTAGGCGCAAGTCTAATGAACCTGGTCTCCAAGGGTCTTCCTCGTATGGTCCAGGGCCTGCTGGATCCTACTTGCTTAACTTCAACTCTACTGACGCATGTCACTCGTCTACACGGTATTCTCTTGGCATTTGCTGCAACAAGCGCTGTGACTCTACTGCCGTTCCCGCCAATAGGACCTCCACGCTAAGCTCAGGTACTTACCTCGATGATCTGCCGGAAATTGCGGGGTACTCTTCATCTCCACCGCTCTTCACGACCATTCTGAGAACGTGCATGTAACTGCTTCTCACGCGGTGTACGCTATCCTCAAGGCGGCTGCCAATTGTGAACCTACAGCGGATCAGTCTCTTCATTTCCGAACGTCTTCACAATCGGGTGACCAGGATCCTGTATATGGCACGGCAAACCACTGTACAGTCCCAAAATATCTCTTCTGTTGCTTTAGGGCTGCGAATCATGATGCGTCATCAGAATTACCTTGGTCTACGAGTCAGCACGAAAAACCAAACTAAGGACAAAGGCTCTTAATATCGGCCAAAGTTGCGGGGCCTTGACGGGCGCTCTCTTTTATTGCCCTAAGTAGTAATTTGGCACCTGAGTGGCTTTGTCTCATCATGCATCGAGCTTTGGCCCTTACCGGACCAGTAACGCTGAGCTAGTATTGTTCGAGGGAGGTAATCATACCTCGAGGCTGACTACGGACACACCCCTCCTCATTGTTGCCTGTCTGCCACATACATGCACCCACACAAACCCGCATATATAAGCACGATGCAGTTATGAATCATGGCCTACTTCTTCCCATTCCTCACACAGGCCCAAGTATCCTTATAGCCATGGCATACACCGCCTACGACGTTCAACCAGTTGCTCGTCGGCCATCCATGTCCTACGGTACTCCAATGTATCAACCCCACCAGCTGCCCATGGATCAGGTAGGCGGCTGCTCTGCCATCATGCCACTGAAGAATGCTGACATCCACGTTTCAGTATCCGCACCCTTCCTATGATATTTACGCAAATCCGCACGCCGTATCACACGCCGTACCAATGTCGCGTCGCATGTCAAGTCACTGTGAGCGTCTCTTCCAAGTAATTTACCGTTTGCGTGGGTGCTGATCATAATTTCAGCCGCCTACGACGATCATGGCTACTATCGCGCGCATCATCAGAGACTTCCCTCCAGCTACACTCCGCGCCCTGTCGTAGTCAGCATGCCCCGTCAGCGAAGACATACGGTCTCGTTTAGTACCGGTGGGATGGATGCTTACCATCGGTCAAGCTCTCTGCGAGTCAAGTTCAAACGAAAGGGCGCTTTCATGAGCGGCGTCAGTTTGTCCGACGCCCAGTCCCACAGCGTTCGGCTCTCGGGAAATGACTCATACTATCTGCGCGACCTGCACCCTGACAGGCGGGATAACATCTATCTGTTAATCAAGGTGTGTATACCTTGTTGTCTGATTGAATTATGTCTGATCCGATCCTTCAGTGGTCAGGATATCAGGCGCTCCAGTATGAAATCCCGCTGGAGTCTTACGGCAGCCGGGTAGACTTGCAGACGTTAGCTCGGCGGGTCGCGCGTTCTTGTGTCCACTATTTCTCGGTAAGGAAGATCTCATTTCTAGGTCCCCGCTGTCGCTGAGTCATATTTCAGACAAACAGGATTCCCCTGCCATGGGATCGTCTCGATCTGCACCACTTGGAAGAGACGTCGTACGGTGTCTGGCAGCCCATGCTGGCTGTGCATTAACAGTTGCACACCAGCTATTTGATCTTTCATTTCTTCGAGCTTTGAACTTGATTCCAATGATTCGTTAATGTCCCTTATTTAATCTTTTCATGATACGACCACAAGCCTTACTGGCCACGACCTTCATACCTTTTTTTCTGTCTTTTTCGTTGTATTTTTACGGTAGAATCATCAATTGGAATTGTGACGTCTCATATCAACACTTGTACATTATCCTGATTCCCATACGTAAATAGTCCTTTCATTATTATCATCTATTAATGCAATTGTCAGTGCTTTACGAAGCCCAGACAGAAGAGAAAAGATCACCTCAGAATCGCAGGATACCACGCTCATAGAGCAGCGGAAATGCCTGCCTCACCCTACCTCGGACGCCTTCGTCTTCACAGCCATCAGATTGCAAACATTCATCACTGAGAATGACATCCCGAAGACGAAGAGTCGGCGAAAGAGCTGCATCAAGTTGATTCCAGCTGGAAAGTTCTAGAAGGCGTTGATCATGATCGTATTCATACTCGGAGACCCCAGACTTTTTATGAAAAGTCACGGTAATGGTCCGTAGAAAGCTGTCCGAGACCTGACGAAAGTATGTCGCCCACCAGAGTGGCACTTCCGATGGGGCGTACATACCGTATGGTTTGGAGGACAGGGGAAAGGGCTGGAAATGTATATGGGGAAGAAGACCGAGTCGTATGGGATTCAGGGTAGGTGTGAAGTCGCCGCTGGTTCCTGTAGACAGTTAAATTAGAAAAGTAGACGCCGGAAGGTTGACGGGTACATACCAAAACTCTGAGTGTCCCAATGTAGCGCAAGGGTATCGAGGGAGAGGCTCCCAGCTATCTTGGACACGGCTATAACTTCATCCCAAGATTCTACAAGAACTGATAACTCCCGGAGAGCCGAAAAAGTGATCTCCCGAAGAGAGTCTAGTACGCGTAGACTCCCAAGGCATACCAACGAAAGGGACTCGACCGATGGTAAGCGAATCTTGGGTGAATCTGGGCTCCGATCTGGTGAATCACGACTGACATAAATATTCCGAAGGTCAATGGTCTTGACGAGCGACCCTTCAAATAGTGTGAGAGCCCAAACGGAAGTGAATGTCTCCCGTATTCCATCCAATGTGGCGTGTACGAGATTTGGCATGCGGAATGCCTGGCGCAAGACATCTTCCATTCGAACCACCTCTCGCCAAGGCATGGTATTGAAGTCGAATGTGATACTGTTTAAATTGGAGAGTAGGGGTAACAAAATCGATAGCTGGTTAGACGAAGATATGACCCATTGCTGGGATCGCCGTGTTGCTGTGTCGACTACATCGAGGTGTTTCGTGAAATTCGCAAGACGTGGTGAGGATGAGACGACCTGCTGGAATAGTACTAGCAGGCTCCGGTTCGTGAGCCGGACATGTCGAAATAATGAACGTTGGCTCGCTGAGGTCCACGACTGGCGAACGACAGCACAAGCTTGAAGAGTCTCTGGATCATCACCAATGCTGTCGATGATGTGATCGACGATTTCCTGTGGAAGAATGCACATTACATCCATGACCATGGCCATAGAAGCTACTGAGAACCTTTACGAGGAGAATAATGAGCCAGAGAGACCTAGTAATACGAGGCCACTCACGGAGATGCGCGGAAGGGATGAGACGGTGCTAGAAGAGTGAAACGAAGGGCCTATTTATGAGCGTCCCGTGGGTTTAAGCTTTACGTTTGAGTGTGGGGTGTACTGTCGGAAAGGTTGGTGCCGAAATAGCAAGGCGACACTCCGGACAAGACCGTGCGGATGTGGCGAGAGGAAGCACAAGGAGGGACGAGCGCTGACTTGCACCAAGGATAGATCTGATTATAAGTACTCCAGCTTACCTTCTTCGTCGAAGCATTTATTTATCGGTGATTTCCTTTAATATTCCGCCAGCGATCGTCGTATATAGATGCTGGATACCCACGACTAAAAGATGCAGACGAAGAACGCTAGAAAAATATTGGAATGGCGTGTTCCCCCATCAAAAAATGTCGAGGCCGAAGCACTTTGTGCGCCTGTCTTGAACCAACGAGTACCAATTTGAAAAAAATGTCATGACATGTAAGAAAAAACGAGGAAGTCCGACCTTTGTGTTCGAATTCGATGTCATGCGACCGAGGGGATTCAAGACGGCAGAAATCCTCAATTATGCAGGAGATATGCCGGTGGTAGTACACATGTAATGGTGGTAGAAAGGAAACAGGCTGAAATGGGATATTCACTTCCGGTATTTGTCTAGATTGCCGAACCAGCCTCATCAATGACATCAATGGTACACGGCCGTTTCGTTTGCCTCGACCGCGCCATTTTTTCTTTTTAACGTTAAGAAATCTGTCTCATGTCGCGCTCAGTCAAATATGCTGGCAACGAACGAGCGTTGTTACCCTAAGACGCGTCAGATGTGCTGATCTTGGGCGGACATTTCCAACTCATTGACTGACGCGTTGACAGATTATGCTAGGGTGAATTTCAACTTTCCCCCCATGTTTCTATAAGTACGGAAAGAACTCTGCTAGCTTTATCAAACTCTTGCTGCTTCACCCTGCGCCGCTGCGCCTTCCGTATCGTATCTCCATCCCGAGCCTCGCGGTTTACCCTAATCTCCCTTATTTGTGGTCGGAGACACTTTGAATAAGGGTCTGCAGTCCTGGCGCCCTTTGACATTGAATGTTGCACAACTCCGACCCTATTGCGGTGTTCTAGCCTTCGCTCAAGGATAGTAAGTAACATTTCTTATCGTGGCTTTTTGCCTCTTCCTTGATGCGTAAGGAACAGTTTGCCTCCTTCTCCAAACCTTGAACGATGAGCGCTTTTGCCCGACGTTTCGCTTGTTCCTCGAGAACTTTGATGGTTTCCTGGTCACGACGACGAAATTTTCACGACCTTCGAGGCAGGTATGGCCCCGCCTTGCTGCCGCAAGGTCCATACACTCAGACCGAGCGAGGTACGTCCCATATAATAGACCCTTGGAGAGTCCTTCGGATACCCTGATATTTTTCTGATGTTCTTGTAGCGCTAACCGTCGCTTGGAATTGTTTTCTGCACCAAAAAAAGTCGTAGGTTTGCGGCCCACGGCACCACTGCTTACAAGTCCTCGGGCACAAAAGGTCTGGTGCCCATGTGGATTTGTCGACTTTCCGTTTATCTTTGTCCGACCAGCGTCTCACCCTTGACTGAGGTATACACCCTCTTTCAACAACAAGTTCTCTTGATATCGTATCGCTGATAATAACACTACCCTCCTCAAAGCATTCGGTGAGTTGTACCGATATGATCAATCAGCTTAACGTCATGAACCGAAGGATTGCAGGTACCCGCAGAACTTCTGAAAAGCACCAGGATGGGCTGGAATCGGGACCTAGCAATGTGCAACGATTGATTACCGAAAGGAACATGGTGGCCGACGTATGCGACTCCACGTCCAAGTTTCAATTGACCGACGCTTTCGCACTCTATCCGACCTACCGGAGAGTACCTACGAGGTGGGCCCTCTGTCTTCCCCGTGCTTCCACCCCTTCGCGGAATGGAGGCCAGAAAGCATCTGGAACGGCGCTTAATTGACAAGATCCGAATTCCTTCGCAGTCTGTCGCCATCGCAATACGTCCTTACAGGCTCACATCGAACTCGGTGTTTGAGGATCATGGGTTATCCCTTTCAATTCCTCTTTTCGTATACTAAAAAAACTAACTTGCCTGTCGATAGGTACCTACACTAAAATTCCCATGTATGCGCTCCATCCCTAATATCAACCGTGAAAGCCGTAATGTTTCGTAAAGTTTTTTAGCACCGAAAATGCCCAAATCGAAAGTCCTACAGAGCGTTGCAATATCAGCATCGAAGACGGAACCGAAGCGAAACTGAAACTAGCCTTCGCCCAACTGCTGCACTGAGTCACTGGCTGGCGGAGATATCATCGGCTAGGTGGATTATCAGAACAAGGCTCCAAGCTTGCAAGGGTGGATTTTACTCACAAAAGCGAGAGCGTGATGTCCCCACGTATCTTCGCCTTGATCGTCATGTCTATCTCCAGGTGGAGCTCTATTCTCAGCTTCACCACTTTTGGCTTTCGACTAACTCTTCTGCCTCCTGATCTTCCCGCTCGGAATTCCTCACGGCCCCTTGGAATGGGCACCGGCGGTTCTTCGATCTCTTGCTCAGACTCAGACTGGTCGCTATGCCCAGAGTCCGAGGAGGATGCACTTGTTATAGAAATAGCCCGAACTGCGTCAGCCCCGGAAACGCCCGCACGGCGTCGCCGTCGACGAAAACTTGAAGAAGACGAAGACACTGATGAAGCGTCAGAATTGTAGTCGTGATACTCAGGTGCTGGAGAAGGGTCGCGAGAAGGAAATTGGATAGTGGACGCCTGTGACATGATCCTGGGGGGATTTTGACGTGGGTCCTGGATCTTATAAACAGCCATCGAACGCCACGAGAGATCGGGGGTAAGTTCGCAGTAATTCGTGCGATGTTTCGATCTTAACCGGCTGCCTGGGAGTCGTAACTTAACCAATTTGGGAGGATTTTACCCCCAGAATCGTCACGTTCCCGTTTGAATTTGAAGATGGTGCTTGGAAATGGCAACTAAGGGGACTGGAATCTTCGGGGAATCGAGTAATCCAGGCCTCAAGTATTACTAGACCGGTCTTAATATGGCTGCGAACTTACTGATTCGGGGTAGCGGTGACGGCAATCGAAGACGTTCGAAAAACGGAATGTAATATTCTGTATCTATGATGTCGTCGATTTGCGCTTTGGCGACTAGGTTGACAATCTTGCTGGCGGGTATTATTGATTTTGATTCTTCTTGGTTTACTTCTTTGACCAGATTCTGGTAACATGAAGTTGACATAGGCAAACATCGGGAAGCTTGATGCCTCGAGGCATGAATTCCGATCAGCTTCGGGTCGAGCGGAACTGCGTTGGAAGATGCTGGAAGGACCAGGAAGGTGCTACATTTTTCGCGACTATTCTCGTCGTCAACACCATCGTCGGTGGCGACGGGCGCTGACAAGAAGCCACCGAAGCAACGGGCATTTTAAACCGCCTCGTTCTCATCCGTATGACCGTCGTCCATTGTGGATGCCACGGTACGGTTCCGCGGACCCACATAACATTGGTTTATGACAATCAATGACACCTTGCCAAACCCGTACTACGGTCTTGGCCCTCCGTTGTGCATTCCCCACCTCGTCGAATAGCGTAATTGGGGTGGCAGATTGATAGATGATGAGGTCAGATTCATTGCGCTTGTGTCCTAAGCTTATAAACGCTGCGTACTGGCATGACCATTGATAATTGAGCTGCTCTAGTGGATAGTAGCATTAATTATTGCTCGTCTATAACGACTCGTGATCGATGTAGCGTTGTTAATCAGGGTTCGGTGGCTCATTCTGCGAGCAGGCAACGAGCATATACCTGTATAGTATCAACCCAAAAGGGCAAACAAAAACCGGACGGGCTGGCGTATTTCGTATTCCAGGGGCATGGTCTCTAAATTACAGAGGCGGCGTCGCAAATTCGAAGCTGGAGAAGGATTAGAGAACACATATGCGAGGGAGGCGTTCTTGTCTACTTTGTAAGATGATAAGCCGAGGCATAGATTAGATTATAGGGCACCTAAAATCCTCAAAATTCAGCCACGAAGGTGAGATGTTAGAGGGACAGACCTTCCCACAGCAGCTTATTACGAGGTAAATGGATTACAGTGACAGACTGCTCCCCTCACAGCGAAACTCATTATACTTCCGGCCGCAAGCCCCAAGATCAGGCAGAAATTCGCCACCGTAGCCGCAACATCTATGTCCGCCCTCGACTTCAATCTATGGTTGTGCTCGAGGGACGGCGCAGACATCATGCACATACTTGACACATAGCCGTTTGAAAGAGCGAAAAGGAATAATATCAGCATAAAGATAAAGTCCGAATTTATTATTGGGGTATAAGCGGACGACGAGGGGCGCTGGACGTTGCACATGAGGAACAGGGGCACAAACAGAGTGCGGGCAAGAGACAACGCGAGAAGTCGTTTGGGGGACCAGGTCAGTAGTCGGGGGAATGAGCAGACGTATCGTCCACAGAAGTCGCCAACGCCAAAGACGAAAAAGTGGATTGAGCTAAAAAGAAGAGGATGCATAGACGGATTTGTTGGTGCAACGGAGGTTGTTATGGGAGGGAACACAGCCTAGTACACAGTCAATAACATCCAAACATTGCGGTATTCACTTACGAGAGTAACAACGAAGACATAGGCAACGGCCACTTCATAAATCATATTTGCCTTTGCGATTCTGAATATTTTCCCCTTCTCTTCTGACGCGTCTTGGCGTCCGCGAGATACGAGACCCTGCGCCTCCTCGCCGTCTATTTCATCGGCATCCGTCTTGGCGCGCGCCTCTAGCGAGCCAGCAACGGTCTTGTAAACGGGCATATTCGTTAACCAAACCTGAGCCCCGGCACTCGCAAGAAGGAACAAGGTCGACAAGCCAAAGAACACAAATGCGGATCGTTCCTCCGCTTCCCCGTGGCCACCAGTGGGAATACTTGACACTTTGGCCTCTGAGTCTCCTCGGACCGAGGCAAGTGCGCTCAATACCTGCACACCGCTGACCACCACAGCGACGCCAGCTTGTCCCGACATCATAGGCTGCACGGCAGTGGGACCGAAAAGTGACGCAACCGCTATACATGAAGTTTGCAGATATGAACCAAAGGCTGCTTGGGCGATGCCATTGAGCAACACAAAGGCAAAGAAAAAGCCGGAAGTTGTATGCACAAATGTGCTGAATGTGAGGAGCGATGTCAGGACTGACAGGCACAATATCGACACAATGATTTGACGCGAGGGGGCATTCTGTTGATGTGATCAAGAGGTTACTGCTGCCGCCGTGTAGATACACACACCTTCTTGGATGTTGCTGTAGCATGAGCCAGGAATATCGAGTTGGATGCGGTGAACGAGGTGGAAAGATACGAGCTGAATGTGAGCCTGATTGGTGACGTCGATAGTCTCGCCATGAAATACGGTGTGGCAGTTATCATTACTACCCAGTCTCAGGTCAATCATTCACTCAGAAGTGCCTAGTAACGCACCGTTCCAAGGTAGCAGCACTGCGCAGCCCAGAATGAAAAAGATCCAGCGCACCCGGGCATCCACATGTGTAAAATGAGGATGTGTTGACTCGTGTGCGCCATCCGGGTCGCCTTCGTCCTCCATTTCAATGTCAGGCTCCGTTTGCAGTATTGGATGTGAGGCCATCGGTGCTTGAGGGATAGCATGGTACAGCGCCTCTGGGCTCCGTGAGCGAAGAGAGGACATGGTGGTAGGAAGTCAAGAGACAGTATCCATTTCGGGCCGGCTGTAGGACAGACACTGAGCGGAACCAATGACAGGTTGAATGGTAAAACCTCTACAGTGTTCTATTATAGATAGCAATATGTAAGAGTACCAGATATGATGTGAGCCTATTCAAGCATCCTTTGGTTCCGACCTGAACAACATTTCTATTGAAGAAACTAAAGATATCGCTCAAGCTTCGACCTCCCTCGGGACGATTTGGTTGACTGCATCCGACAAAACCATATCCGTCAGACGCTGCCTTATCTTCGCGTCTTTCCTGGCCTTCCTCCTTGCCTTCCTTTCCTGCTTCAGGTTTGCAAACGACTGTCTCATTGCCACCTTCTCCTTTCTCTCCAGTTCCAAGCGCTCCTTCCACTTGAACGTCGCGTCGGCCCTTGCTTGCTCTTTCGTGCGGCCAAAGAGATGCTTCTGCTCCTTCTGTATCATCTCCGCGAGTAGAGTCTTCTTGTATGCCTGATATGCTTTCCAGCGTTCGTGGCGTTTGGCGAACGAATGGGGATTTGTGAGCTCTTTCTCCAAGTAGAGCTCCGCGGGGTGTTGAGTATCCCCATACGTCGCAGACAGACCACTGTTGAACATCACAAAGAGATACTCGCTTTCTGATGGTGGCTGGGGAAGATAAGATCGGTGGGAGGTGTTGAACGGAGGAGGTTGATATGTCACTTTCATGACTTCATCTTTTGGAGTGTCGTAGTTTACGCTCGCTAAACACAGCCCTCAGGTAAATCATGATATAAAGAGAAGATTGCTTACGTTCAGCATATTTTGGTTCCTCTCGCACTGGCCATGGTATTGGAACCCTTTTTCCGTGAAGCTGAGGGACCGAGGGGATTGTTTTTACGGCGTAACGATTCCAGTGGAATCGTTTGAGATACGTACTCCAGACGGGCTTAGAAGTGCCAATACGCTGCGCAAACACCCTGAATCGTATTCAATACCGAACGTACCCGAACAAAGAAGTAACGTACCGACGCGTCTGTGCTTCTATTGAGCCTGGTTCTGGGGGAAATTCATAGTCGCCAACATAGAGCTGACATCTTGAGTAATGGTAGTTTTTGCCTCGGGTTCCACCTTCTTGCTACGAGAGCGGCTGTAGTCAGTACATGCAGGATATCGACGGGAGAACCAGGACTCACGTTACCCTCAGTAGGCTTGAGAAATACCTGATTGCTTAGCTTGTTAATAGCATGGACAGAGTGCAAGGTGTCGCTCCTGTCGCCACGTATACGAATCTGGTCGCCGGGAACAATGTTCCAATACTTGATTCTGTTTGCAGAGTGAACGACCTTGGCTTTTCGCTGGTCTGATTCAGCAGCTTTGCGCTTCAGCCACGCCCTGTCGACCTGGATTAAATGCCGGAAATTTGTTGTCCAAGGATTATTGGTCGCCGCCTTTATTACTTCCTGCCATCGAAGGCGAGGCATAGCGAGGAAGGAAACGAACAGACGCGCCGAGAAGAGGAAAAGGGAAACTGCAAAATCGAAAGTTTGGCTTTGTCGTCTAACAGGCTCCGGAATAGGCTATTTAAGAAATCCGGCCCTTGGACTGTATTCACACTGACTCCTCTCAAAATGCCATTCTCTTCGAGTGTCGACCCAAAGGATCCCATCGACCAGCAGCCCACCATAGGAATTATTGGTATGGGACTCATGGGCTCAATGTATGCCAACAGGTTGTCGGCAGCCGGCTGGAAAAAGTTTGTCGCTTGACACGCTATACATACCACCATTTATTGATCTCTTGAACAGAATACATGTATGTGATCAACGAAAGAACTACGAATCTCTACAAGAAAGGTATCGCGGTGCGTAGCATGATATCTTCGTCCAACAGACTTTGATAGACAATTTCCCAGACATTCCTGGTGTAACGGTTTATCGAGACGGGCATGGCGTCTCACGTTCATCCGACTTTATTATGTACTCTGTCGAGGCCGAGTTTGTTGACCGTGTCGTCGCGGAATATGGACCTTGTGAGTTTGGGAAGAAGACCCCTCGGACCGTTGAACCGAATCACCACTGATGCAGGCAAATAGCAACGAAACTAAATGCTATCGTCGCTGGACAAACCTCGGTAAAAGCCCCGGAAAAGGCAGCGTTTGAAAAATACCTACCCGCCGACACGTCAATTGTGTCGTGTCATTCCCTACACGGCCCAACAGTAAATCCTGTCGGACAACCCTTGGTGAGCACTGGTTCCTTATGTTTCTGGTAAGTAAAACAACCATGTCTGACCTCATGTTAGGTTCTTATCAAGCACCGAGCACCCGAATCTGATCTTTTGCTCGTCGAGAATATCCTTCGATGTTTTGGATCGCGTTATGTATATCTATCTTATGATGAACACGATATCGTCACTGCGAATACGCAAGCGGTCACTCATATGGCCTTTTTGAGGTAAGTTACCTCGCTAAGTTCGATACCTGTGAGCTCAGTACGCGAACAGTATGGGAACTGCCTGGGCTTGCAGTGCTGCTTATCCTTGGGAACAAGGACTTTATGTTGGCGGAATAGAGACCGTAAAGGTCAACCTCGCTCTCCGAATTTTCAGCAACGCCTGGCATGTCTATGCGGGGCTAGCCATCATGAATCCACAAGCTAGAGAACAGATAAACCAGTACGCCCAAAGTGCTACCGAGCTATTCAAGATGATGGTGGTGGCTGGTACCACGGGCACGGATGGGGGAGAATCGGCTGCAGAACGAGAAAGAAAGCTCAGAGACAGAGTGGAGTGGGGCCGTAGAATCGTCTTTGGCGATGTAGGAAATGGCGAGGGTACACAGAAGAAAAGACGACGGCCGATTCTCCTCTCCGAAGCCTTGCTGGACCGCTTTAGCCTTGGCCGGATACCTACGAGCGAAGAGAACGGATCAGGATCTAAAACTGGGTACCGACCTAACTCCCACCTTTCTCTGCTTGCTATGGTTGATTGCTGGGCTCATTTGAATATCAAACCTTTTCTCCATCTATCGCTCGCGGCAACACCTCTATTTAGGCTGTTTTTAGGTGTTGCGGAGCATTTATTCCTTTCTTCCTCCTTACTGGAGGCGTCCATTCATTCAGCTATCTATGACACATGGCACCGTTCCGACGACCTTGAATTCGTAGTCGCCGCGCGGGGGTGGAGTCAGTGTGTCCGGTTTGGTAGTTTTGAGGTTTACAGGCAGCGGTTCGATGAGACGAGGCAATTTTTCGAAGGGAGATTTGCAGAAGCCGGTGTGTTGGGAAGTGAAATGATTAAAACGGTCATGGAGAGCAAGGTCGAAGAGGACGAGGGCCTTAGCATGTCTTCCACGTGATACAGAATTGACTTAGACTTCAGTACTGGATCGGTTTTGCTCTTTACTTCCTGCCATGGCCATAACGCCCGATACTGATTTGCGCACAGCTATCCGTGGCACAATCAGTTCAATATTTGCTGATCCTGTACTACAGTGTCTAAGTGGAAAGGTGCTGAGCCTTTCCGTAGCACAGTTCGCGGAAATATACCCAGCGCTGGAGCAGGCCATGTTGTTGAAGGAGGATAAGGATAGTCTTCAAATTGCTGCCTGGGTGTTTTCACAGGTCAACCCTCCGATCGACTTGACTCAGATCCAGTTTATCTCGCCAATAACACCCAGTGAATCAACGGAGATGAGGGCAAGCGGTGAGTCAATTATTCTTTAAAGCTGTCAAGAATCCCATACTCATCAATTTTGTGCGGCAGAGGCTGATCAACTATTACAAGGTGCGTTACATACGGACATGCATATATGGGGTTCTAAATTGGAACCTTTATTAGAGTTCACAAAATGCTGTACTGTCTCCACAAACGATGGTATTGAAAGCAGGGATAGCAAGAATTAAGAGGAAGAGATTAGGCTATAGCAGTACACTACCTATTGTTCTCGTGTTGGGGAATCTTCTGATCTTGAATCGTCCTGGCTTCCCCTTGGGATCTGCTATTTGCGCCTGAGCCAAGCTACTGTAAGTGTGAAGGGTAAGCTGAAACTCGCAGTTCAGACAGCTTACTGAATGCCAGGGGGTAAAAAGAATGTGATATTTGACTGTGAGACTTTGAGGCCTCCAAGGAGGATGTAAGAGCAAAATACATTGATATGCAAATACATAACTTGCAGGAAAGGCATATAATTAAATGGAGATAATCAGCGGCAGAATGAGGGAGAGAAACTCCGAGACTAAGTAGGTGGACTGGGTGCAGGAAATGGCAAACGACGACCTATACATCTTCGAAGCCTTGTTGGATCGCTTGAGCCTTGGCAGGATACCTGTTACACCTGTCTAACGCCTACCTCCGAGTCCTCTTTTGCTTTGGGTTCATTTAAATACAACTTTTCTCCATTTATCACTAGTAGCAGCACCTCTATTTAGGCTGTTTTGGAGCGTTGCGGAGAATCCATTTATTTCTTCGTCCTAAAGTACTGGAGGCAACCATTCATTCATTTGGCTATCTATGGCACATGGTGCCGCTTGAATTCGTAGCCGGTACTTCAATTTGGCAAAGTTTGACGAGACGAGACAATTTTCAAATGGAGATTTGCAGAAGCCAGTGCTGGTGAAATGAGTAACCCAGTCACGGGGAACAATGTCGAAGGGGACGGGTGAAGTCGAGTACATACCCCTTTCATGTACCTGATGATTGGTCACGACGCGACGCGTCGAGGCCAAACGATCAAGATCTTGCTGTCCAAATAAGGCAACTCGGTAGCGGATTTGTTTATGTTTGGCATTGTCAGTTTCAACCGCCTCAGTGCAGCGTGTTGGAACACGCCATTCACTCTCTTCTCCCTCTTCATTCATCTCTGGCCCAGTCTCGGAGAAATTTCCTTCAGCAATGAGACTGAACTGCGATTTACTCTGCCAGTTTGGAGAAAGGTCTGCCTCAATTCTATTTTTCGTTGGTTATGTTGAACTTGCGGATAAATATATCCAGGCTATATTTTACTACATTTCCTCAACCTGCACCGAATCCTGAAGTCTTGAACAAACACTGCAATGAAGCCGATAACCGACCGCGTATACGAACGCGTAATCGTGCGGGACCATCGTCCGCGTCAGACGACATGGCATCTTACTACTTCTTCACCATTGATGACCAGTTGCTCTACCTTTCTTTCTTCCAGGACTGGGGCCCACTCAATATAGCGATGGTCTACAAGGCTTGTATACTCATTCATGAGCTTCTGGAGGTACGGACGCGCCTTGGTGTTGCTAAGCTGCCACTTACGTGCAGCGTTGCGGCGCGATGACCAGGATCCCAATCTGACGCAGTACAGACTCGTCCTTTACTCCTCCGATGACCCCCGGCGGAAGGCCAATGCAGCTCTTCTGATGGCCCTCTATGTAGTGCGTGCTCTACCCTCTCATCAAGTCACTCCGCTAACACCGCAGCCGCAGATGATCGTCCAGCGACGAGCTCCATGGGAGGCCTTCCACCCTATCGCAGAGGTGGAATTCATGCCATTCCGTGACGCCGGCAGAGGCCCCTCAGATTTCAATCTCAATATACAAGACTGTCTCTGGGGGGTCTGGAAAGCCATGCAGAATGGCCTATGTGATATGAACGAATTCGACGTTGAGGATTATGAGTTTTATGAAAAGGTGGAGAACGGAGATTGGAACTGGATAACGCCCAATTTCATTGCGTTCGCCTCGCCTGTCGACTCAGCTTGGATAAAGAAGGAGAAGGAGTCGAAGGAGTCAGCGGACTCTGGCACGTCAGTGTATTCCACTGCATCTTCCACGAAAAACCTCGCATTGCAGCGCAAGCTTCCCACACCATTCCTTAACTGCCTCGATTACTTCGAGAAGCGAAACATCAAGCTCGTCGTGCGCCTTAATACCAAACTTTATGATCGAGACACATTTTTGGATCGTGGTGTCGATCACATGGAACTGTATTTCGATGACGGTACCAATCCAACAGATGAGATTGTGCGGACATTCATCGACACCGCTGATAGGATAATCGAGTCTGGTGGCGTGGTAGCAGTTCACGTGCGTTGCTTGTCTTCTTGTAGACCCTCTTCTTGACGTTCACTTTTCGACTTAGTGTAAAGCTGGCTTGGGACGAACGGGCACCCTAATAGGTGCATACCTCATCTGGAAGTACGGGTTTACAGCAAACGAAGCGATTGCCTTCATGCGTATCGTTCGGCCGGGTAGCGTTGTTGGCCCCCAGCAACAATTCATGTACCTGAAACAGCTAGAGTGGTCCAAGTGGGCAGCAGTTGATGAAATGCAGAGACAACAAAGAGCCAACGCGATACCAGCAGAACCAGCGCCAATGGTGACTCCTGCAACACCTCCAGCTGATACGGACGAAGAAATCGGGCGTATGCGTATGGAGATGACAACACCCCCACCAACAGGAACAACTTATCCCCCTGTAACTCCGAGCAGGCATGTTGCAGCGGCTGCGGTTCACGCCAAAGCTATCGCTACGCCTGGCCAGCCACGAAAGACGCCATCCGGCAAACGAATCGCACGTGAAGCCATTGATGAGAGTGAATCTGATGAAGACACAGATGATGTTCTCCCTCTCCCCGCTATGCCGATGACGCGCAACAAGAGCAAAACCACCCCGGTGACGAAGAAGATCACGGCGTCGGAAAGGCGCCCCGTTCGGGTGACTAGATCTACGGCTGGCGCAGCTGCTATTCGAAAGGCTGGCACAGCTATCAAGCCTCCCACATCACCCGTTAAATCTACAGGGCAGCAGCCTCCGAACAAGATTCCTAGACTTGCTACGACAAAGACGACGACTGCTGCCAAAGCTGCTGCTGCGCGTCAGAAACCTGTTCCGGTTCCCGCCCCCGTAACGCGACGACCTCCACCAACAGCTCCCACACCCTCCCGTCTCCCTACGTTAATCCCTTCCAAGCGACCTCACCACGCATCCACTCTCACTGAGGTTGCTAATGCTACCACGAAAAAGGCTGGTCCTACTTCTGATGCATGGATGACGACCAATGTCGCTGCCGTTGTGGTTCCTGGCAGCAAGACTGCGCGACCGGGGTTGAGAAGTATACGACGTCGACGGAGTAGCTTTAGTTCTGCTGATGTTGTTGCATGATGATGACGGCGTTGCATTTTCTCCTCTGTCGTACTTAGCTTGTACAGTGTGGATCCCGGTTATTTAGTTATTACCATCTCGTCGTTGTTATCTCGCACTCTTTTTGTCTGCATGCGCAATAACCCCCATTCCCCTCCCGTCATTATTTTTTTAGTATATTATGATACATAGCTTCTTTTCAGTTTTTAGCGTCGGATACCGATGAAATGATTTCACGGTTGGTTAAAATATCATCTGAGAGGACTGGATTTGCTGGTATCAGTCATCACTGAGGCCTTGGTGCACTCAAGATACCTCTTTCCCGAGCAACGTACTCTAATAATATCTGAAAGATGTCAACCTGGACTTGACGCTGGAGCTCCACTCTTCTATGCCCTCCCCTCAATCAAGACCACAAATTCTTCATTAGCGAGATCGTCTCTACATACGTGTCATTTCCTGCTCGCCTCCCTTCGTCGCAAAAGATGTAGTTAATCCCGTTTCAGTGGCTTGTATAGTACAATCACTCATTCCAAGATCTCGGATTCCTTTTGAATATTGCCTTTCTCTGATTCTTGTGATACTCCTCATCGGCAGAAATCACTCTTATGTAACCTAATTATCAGACAGAAGTGCATGATCATGTGGGTTGGTGAATCGGAAAGGTATGACCTTTGAACTCTCAGATGGATCTCACATATAAACAACAAGAAGTTCAGCGTCAAGTTCTGGCAGCAAATTATGAAAATTACGAAAAAGCGCGTTGTTATCGAAAGGAACGGCGTGGTCAATTGAATCAATTCGGATATAGGAATATGGAGGTACGTACTTACATGCTGGGATTAAATTACTGGAATCTTGCTGATTCAGGCCATATTCCAACCCACGCTGTTTTCGGGAGCCTTCATATTTCACATCTATAGAAGTTTCATCATCGCTAGCACACATTGGTGGCGGCTCCATACCTTGAAGAGCGATTACATCGATATGGGCATTCGTTCCGTGTGCATGTACCCCGGTGCAAGGGATAGTGAGCTATCAGAGCGAAGTGAACGAGGCTAGAGGACATTCATGAACGGCTTTCCCCAGGGCGATCCCCCTGGTCTTAGTTACACAATGCAGAGGCTGCTGTGTCAATGAGAGTATCGACGTCAATGCTGAAACTTTCATTTCATGATTCCATCACATCCATCAAATAACGTCAACAAGACTATGTGGACATGACAATCTTAGTCGATTCCATCATTTGCCTCGTCCAGTTTTCTAATTCGTTAGACGGCAGTTCTTGCCATTTGTCCAAAACCTATCAAGACATGTGAGTGGGCAGCGGATGAATAAGGAAAGTGCCTACTTCGTCAAGTTTTCCGAGGAGCCGTAGTACTTTCTCCTCGGAATCATCAGACCATTTGACTCTCTCTTGCAACTGAGAGGTTAATGCGTTGTTCTCTGCTTCAATCTAAGTTCGATGTGCTATCAGAGGCACGTGGATCACAGGAAGGCAAGAAAACTCACCTGGGACAGCATCTCTCGCAGTCGATTATTTTCCTCCTCAAGTTTTGGTATAGTCCGTGCAGCGATAGCTGCTCTAGGTTCCAGGTCCTCTCGCCACTTGTCTTTGACTTCTATGTTCCGCTGGCTCCGTTCTTTAGATTCTTCGATTATGCGATGAAGAGTATCGATATTCTCTTGGACATTGAAAGTCTGAAATAGTTTGTCCAAGTCTCGCTGTTAGTAATGTATAGTCAGTCAGTATATCATTGGAAGAACAAAGGTTGGTTATGCACGAAGGATTGTGATTCGATATAATCCGATATTTGGTTGAAGATCGCTGTAGACCCATCTTTATCCTCGCTAGTGTACGTAGGAAAACATTCCGCAAAGTCTTCATATCTACAAACAAGGTGACTTGTGAGCGATCACTATTGAGACTGCAAACGAACAGGACAACTTACGTCCATTTTCTAGACGAACGCCGTACGGCAAGCTGGAGAGCCGACTGGAAGTAAGTCCAGCGTATAGTGGCACCCTGGGAGTTCATCGTCGGCAAGCAAAGATTAAAGAACAACCCGCGGGCCCGTGTGTGACGTGATATTCACGTGACTGTGGATGATACAAAAAAGGAAAATCAAGGGTTGACAGTGGCACAACGCGAAGTCTCGTTTCCAGACGAAGAATACGTCGAGATTTACCAGAATACAGGGCGTGTCAAGGTGTGTATCCCAACAGTAGTCAATCTAATTTTGCTGTCTACTTCTCAGATAATCCCATGCAATACCGTCTAACGATTATATGCGCTGAAAATTCAAGGGTACTACGAAGGATGAGTGGCATCGTATCAGCATCGAAAAACCCGGATTAACCGTCATATAAAAATGATACTTTCAACAAACTTCAGGAAGGGATTCATACTACGTCCAGCGAGACAAGAGGCCGTGACTATTGGCATGCGACCCTTTTTAAAAACGTTTCTGATCGGGTCGGGTGCGTCTAGATTTTTGTCAACTATATCTGCGTTCCCTACAATAAGTGAACTGGTATGTGGACATCTCGACAGCCCAAGCCCATACATCACATAGGGATGACGCCATCACGAAGAGAGAGTGGCCAGGACAGAGTTGATGATGTCGGTGATGCATCAACATCAGCCATTGGGAGTATCTTGTTAAGTCATTGTCCAGAAGGGACATAGCAGACGGATTGCATACCACTACGGGCACCTGGGGTGATACTGATCTGAGTGGACTGCGGCTATGAAACGGCAAGATCGGAGACAGAGGGTGTATAGATTCTCCTTTGAGGAAGGTCACCAGGATAATGAGAGAGATGGATAGGTCGGATTATTAGTTCAAGAAATCCTCGACGCAATGCGGGGACCTGAGGTCGTAAGTTCGCCGTCATGTAAGCGACGAAAGCCTAATCATTTATCATCTGGCATAAGAGATGATAGACCCAATATTCTGGACGAACAGAAAGAATAAGGTGGAAATGACGAAGAAGTCGCCCATAATATCCACTCCTTTCCAAAGGAGATATCCAAGTTCCCTCTGGGCGTAACCTGAAGATTCTAGTTCGCGAAGGTGTTCCTCGCAAACGAGTATTCTTCCAGATTCGGTAACGACAGGGAGCCCGTTGACCTTTTGGGTTCGACGCTAGTGTATAACGCCAAAACGACAGGTCGAACAAACCGTCTCCTTCTCCCGTATTACGATGGGATATCATATTCGTTGCTTTCTCGTTCTGATGCAAATTTAATGTTGGTCAATGCTTCTGCTATACTATTTTCAGTTTCTGCGCAAGGGATGGATTGATCTGCCCCACCTGTCTCTTGTAAGCCGCAGACAAAGTCATTTGACAAGGAAGCGGTCCTGAGCCAACCAGCCAAAGGCCCGCCGCTACCCATCAATCGGTCTTTGACGTCTTGATACTCTACAGCGGAGTGCTTTACATCGCTATATGCTTGCTGTCTACACAGAATGTTTGTAAAATAACAGAGCGACGGATGGACAAACCTACGACTGATCAGAGAGCCCCAAGACCCTGGAAACCTGATGGTACAGTGAGAATAATGATGTCTGGCATAGCAGTGGTCTATTCAAGGTATAGTCGGCCTCAATTAATGCGAGAGAAAGACAATGGTACTCGCCTTGATTTCTCGCGTAATCGGTGCTTGGGGGATACGCCTCGCTTGAACCCATTGATGAGTACTTCATGCATCTTGTGCGAGTCGGCAATCCAACAGAGAGCTACCTATCGCAATAAGCTGAGAGTTTTGTACGTGATCACGCCGGACTGACAGTCGTTACACGAGCCAGAAGCTGTTTTGAGAAAGTCGCGAGAATGCATGAATGACAGGCTCGTGAACCCTATAGATGGTCGCTGAACACGGTAGTCTCCCGCGAGAGCTGAAAAAGTCGTAAGACGCATGATTCAAGAACTTTGCTTTGCAACTGAACGCACCATGCCAGCCCAACCGGTCCCACAAGGCTCGATTACAATCTTCCAGCACCATCTCATGCATACTTGGAGGTACTTCACCGATGATTATGCTCGATATATACAGAGGCGACAGAAACCGCGATCCCAGAGCACCTTGTATGCCTAGGACGGTCCATGAGGCAATCTTGTCGCTACAAGACATGGACTGAGTGGGAGGAGAATCCGCTCGGCCGGGTTTCGTTCGAAGGACTCCATAGAGTGAGTATCCATCGCGTCCTCGCGCGGCTGCTGCAGGTTCCACCGGTTGCCTGACCGTAGAATCCTTGAGCAATGCCATCTCTTCGTCCTGGAAAGCGGCGAGGAATCTGGTCGATGCGTCTCCGCCTAATGCAGCAGTAATCAGCGACACCAACAGAAAAAGTCAGGAAACTCACACGGAACGGTGGATATGTAGAGATTGAGTGTTACGCCATCTCTCAACGCGTATTTCCCGCTCGCCCGACGAACGATCCAGTCAGACGCTGTTTGGCGAAGAATTTCTTCCATAAACCATCGGATGGCGCCTCGTCGAGCTAGCACCTCTGCGTGACTATCGTGTAATGCTTCTCCCTGGGTTGGCAGTCGGCTGGTAGGTAAACATTTCGTCCCCGTTGCAATGGATATGACCTTGGTGCGCCTTTGGTCGGTAAGGAAGAACGACGCAAAGATGGTGAATTTTCCATCTGGTGGAGATATTCTCAGGGAGGCGTAGGTTCCGTGAATGTGGCGGATTATCGCGTCGAAATCAAGAACATGGGGCATGTGGAAAACTGGAAAACTGGATTTATTGGCCACCTCTGCTGATACAGCTCAGGTAAATAAGCGCAAACTAATCTACCTCGGTAGCTCATTGTAGATGGAATTGAAGTAAGCGGCTGGGGGCCGACGCGGGCCGTTGAGCTCGAGAAGTAGAAATTTGAATTTAAGATAACCCAGGATTAGACGTATATAGCTAAATGTACTACACGAACATCGACATTTCAACGTGCACAGAAAATATTTATCTAAATTGCATCAATCATCCTAGTTTGTGCGGCGAGTCGTGCTGCGGATTCCAAGCGTTCGCTTGACCTTGGTCATAAAGGGGACATGCGTGTCTTGTCCCTGTGGCTACAGGTAAGCATCTATCATTGGAGAATTCAACAATTCTCACCATTTTCCTCAGCTCATGTTTGGCATGTTTACGACCCTGGTGCGTAGTATTGGGATTGCTGAGAGCAACTTCTGTAAAGAAATTAAATATTGATAATGTATCTATCTGAGAATGGACAACGTACTGTAACCGCCTGCCACCCGATCCTTGTCCCTACGATGCCAGAAACGGGATTTGCGACTCGTGTTAGAGGAAACATGGTGGGTATCGCGAGCTTGTCGACGTGTTCCAAACATTTTAGATTATAAGAGGATCCAATTCCCTTGAACTGCCTTTATATAAAGGCAAAGAACGCGTCATTTTGTGGTGCAGGAGGAGTAGATGATGAAATTTGAAGTTCAAAAGAAATTTGCACCAGTGATGATATCATAGCTTCAACGGCTCGGTATTCTCCGTGCACTTGCTCCTCGACTCCTTACACGGTACTCGTTCCTTGATAGCTAGGAATGGAACCCCATGTCTTCTATGCCATGATGCCGTCTCTACTGCTGCTCCTATCAAGGGTATATAGGGCGAGAGTGCTTCTTTGTGCTGCCATCGTTTTTTTAATATGACCGTGCGTTCTCAAGGCAGAAAACTTTCACACTGTCTTCATTCGAACTACTACTGGTTGCCGTGGCGTTAAAATCTTTTCTCATGACGGTTACGACCCTACGAAACGCTCAAGAAGAGCTGTAAAAGATGTACTTCTCAGTCTTCTCTCTCGAAGCTACTCGCTTGCATCAACCAACACTCGAGACTATACAACGGGTAAAAGTACAGCCGGAAATTTATGACAACTTCTTTCGTTCACTTCATTTATGTACGGAAATCACTTCCGCCCACCAATCAGACATCAAGGCGGCCCTTCAGTTTCGTCCCTCTTGAACCCGAAGTTGAGGTTTTGTAATACCATCAAGAGCGTTGGACTTCTTCGTGGATGCCTACGGCCATGATTAGCCCCTTACTGGAATTCTAGACTTCTTCGTGTCGCTTCTGTTTTCATGTCATACTACATACAGTTTGATGGACTCCAATCGCGACAGTTTAGCGCAGTTCTGATGGATCAAGACCTATGCTTGGCCAACCTCTCGTCATTCAATTTAGACAGCTACGTACGATGAAAAGTGGGATAACTTCGGCGAAGAGCCACGCCTGGAGAAGCGCTTGACAGCGTGGATATCATCATCAGAGGTTGTGCCGGTACCGCTAGCTGGGCCGAGAACGTTATTCAGGGCGATCTGTAAGACGAAGACAATGGCACGTTCACCGCATGCCCATGCCTCACAGTTCGACTTCTTCGTTCGTGTTTTGCGTGCATTCTTAGGCTTGTCTTCGATCTAGTTAAGGGGGCCTCGCCAAAGACTGACGAAAATATGGAATTGGGTCCGTTTAGTACTGGATAGAAAGGGGTACCTTCCCCAGTAAATACTATAGCTATTTGACATGCTCAGCATGAGTCTTCAGTCAATATAGTATTCAATCCGATGTTACTATCATACTTGCTACATGAAATAAAAAGTTGCCACGAGCTTACAGTGACGTCACAATCGAGGTTGTCAATCTTCCGTCATGCCGCCTGGCTTAGAATTGCTCTCATCGCTATGTATACCCCAGGAATTTTCGCGCTATGAGAAACTGGACGACGCAGAAATTATACAGAGATTACAGAGATGGAAAAGTGACGCGTCCCAGGTCCTCTTTGAGCTCCAAACTCTACTCAGCCAACACGATGAAAACCTTTCTCTGGAGGATCAGGTTGACATTGTCGCGTCGGTTGTACCTTTCGAAGGCGAGGATCCATGGGTAGTGCCAAAGTCGCGTGAAATTTCGATGGGTAAGCAACGCCTTTCCGATGTACTTTGATCTTAGTGAATTTCAGATATCCTGCATCGTTTTCATGAGCCGGATGTGCGTTTGTTGAAGCGAATCTTGACGCATAACGTGAAACCCCTCTTCCTATCGACTCCTCACCCGTCCTTGAACCTTTCTACCGGTCGTAAACTGCCTCGTCTTGCCGGGGGACCTATGGCTTCCCAGGACTACTACGAGGAGCAAACATGGAAAGAACATCCCGAGACAGCGAGCCTTGTGTCGTTTGTAGTAAGGAATATCCGGGTAAGTCCCCAAGTTCCACCTGCATGCTAAGAATCCCATGTGAACGCGCGTTCAACAGAGCGAGGATTACGAGGACTTATGGCATCTTGTCATACCTTCGGTGATGTCCCTCCTCGATGACTATGAAGCTCGCTACAAGATCAAAGGGGTGCGAATAGTGTCCGAAATGTTGCAAAAAGTCCCAAAGACGCTCTTAAAGCGCACTGGAATCGATGGACTGATATTGTCGGTGAGTTCTAGAATTCCCCGCGTCAAGACATGTGTTGAGTCTTCCATTCAGTCTCTAAACAATTGCTTGGGGCACTTGAAAGATCCAGAGTCTCCCGAACTTCTACGGGCCGCTATTTCCGCGAACTTGTCATTGATATTGCTCACTACCGAACATGGGACCACACAACAGTTCGATCAGCTGTGTGCATTGCTGGGTGACGGCATAATCGGAACTGTTTGGTTATACGCGTCTGACAGCTTTGAGGTGATCTTGGCTACGGTTGAAGCACTTCCACCTCTGATGAAGGCATTAGACATCGGCATCGCACGTTATCTCAAGGTTCTCGATTTCTTTTATTCTGAAGCGGCTCGGCTGACTGCCGTAGGCTCTTGTCCCACAGCTTGTACACCCTCTTTACCCGAATTCTGTGAGACCGACCCCCGTTGTATTGCAGAAGCATTCGTTGATTGCTCTCGTGACTGTCATTAACGAATGTTCCCCGAGAATCGGCGGATGGAAAGGAACGATCTTAGATGGTGTTGGAAGATGTTGGGTGGCGCTTCAAGATGTTGATCCCAGCAGAAATGATGATGGTAATGATATATGGAGCTCGCCTTTTGCTGTGAGACTTATGTGGTTACCATTTCAGGTGCTTGTGAAGAGTTGAAGGAGCTGCTCCGTAGCACATGCAAGCAGCTCGCTAATGCGTGTCCTTCGGTCATTCAGGTGGGTGGAGCCCACGCGTTTGATGTTCGGTGTAGCTGAATGCATCAATCAGGAGTGAATACAAACGGTTCCTCGCTGTTAATCACGAGATGTTTTTCGACCTCTTGAGCCCCGCTCTTCAAGGATGAATACAGGGCCTGAAGGGGGGTAAGTCTCCCCGGAGTGGGCTCCACGTATGATTTCATGACGTTTATAGCTAGACAAAGAAAGGGCTGTACAATCACATGGAATATCGTGGTACTACCATCGCACACATGTATGCAACATTGAAACTGTGTGGTGTGGTATACGGAGCAAGCGAGATCACCGATCTTGGGGGATCCGCTGACAAGATTCATCTTAGTATGTACCTAATTTAACGAGAGCCTTCTCGGTTGAGTGGTGTGAGAAATACCAGCCAGAGAAAAGAAATTATGGGTATTCCACAGGTCGGCGACTGGCAAAGGGCATCATGGTCTGCGCATGTAGGAGCTCTAGGCCTGAGACTGAGTACGACGAGGGGCCTCGGAGTGGACCGGAGGAATAAAATGAGATTCCGGACCGGTGTTATGCAAGCGGACTTCTGAGATCTCGGCGTGTTCACGTGCTCACTATCTTTTCCTTTTCATCCCTCCATTATGTCCGTCTCTCTCATTTAAGCCCATACTTACCTTCATCGCCACTGCTCCCTGTTACCCTTCATTCAATCATGAGCTTCACTGTCGAGGATCTTGTTTCCTCCTTTTCCTCTAGCCATATCGGCCAGGAAGCATTGGATCTCGCCGCGCTTCAGGTCAGTTGGCCTTTGTCGTGGTGGTTGTGGTGGTTCCATTGACCCTATTCATTCTTCTTCCAAGGCTCAGCTAGCACAGGCTTTGTTCGTACAGGATATGCCACGGGAAAACCATTACCACCATCCGTGTAGTACACCTACATCGCGGACGCCATCGTCGAGCTTCTGCTGGGGCCAGACTATGGGGCAGTCGTCGTCGAGGCGCCAGACTGACGAGGTCATGCGCGACTCGGACGAGCTGGAGGATGAGAGAATGGTGGAGGACCTGTTACTCCCCTCGTCGCCCATCTCAGCGTCGCACTATGCTGTACCTTCCCAGCCCCGGCCCCAGCACAAAAGTCAAAAGTCCACAGGGATTCTCTGCAAGCTCGTCAGAGTCTACTTTCACGACAACAGACCCCTTCTACATGGCCCAGCTGCAAGCCATGCAGTATAATAGCCCACCCCCCTCCGTATTCTCCCAGCTTGGCCGTCCTGCCCAGCAGTCCCCGTTTATGCAGCCGCAGCAGTCTCATCCGTCACCCTCCCACAGGGATGGCTTCCTTTGTTCACCATCAGCATCGCCTATTTCCATAGACGCCTCATCATATCTTGTCACTGCCTCACCATTCGAGTGCTGACCAGTTCCAGCACGGCCTTTATCTCGTTATTGTACCTAAGGCCAACAGGAAATGGTCTCCTGTCATCGCTCCGCCATTCATTCCAAACTCCTATTCGGTCACCAACCTTCCGATCGGGCCAACAGCGCCCGGACCGGCGTATACCCTCAGGATATTCCCAACTCCGCCGCTCACTCCCCGCAATGTATCCTCCAGTCCGTCTTAATTATTAGATCTCTTATTCCTTGTAATGTAGATTCACACGCAGTGTTACTGTTGTTGTAAGATAGTTTAGGCCCGATCTCAATCTCGATATTGTTAGATTACACAAATGACAATTCTCTTGACTAGCGCTTTCATTGATGCTCATTGCAAAGTTCAACATCATGGTCGATGGTTACCGGTATCCTGATCGCCCTCTATTCGAGACCGTGTGGGAGTAATATCGTTGCGGCAGCGGCTCACTGCCGCTCCAGGGAAGTTTATCGTGGCGTACAACTGGTAATCGAGGCCCTTCTCGCCCAGTCCATTATAGTTGTGGTAACGTACGGGTAATTTGAGCTCGACAACCACCGTGCACGGCGACGCTGGATGAATTGTACCCCAGTTGTGCGGGGTAAAACTGGTTGTTAGATCTAATATTCAGTGAGTTGCCTTGGAAATCGAGAGTACTCAGGGTAATGGTGACTTTGGAGTTTCATGAAACTAAAGGATAAGGTGTCCGCTGATCGTGTTAGTTGACGAAAGAAAGGCGTTAGCAGAGTGCCGGAAGTGCTATTATACATCTAGACCCGTATCGTTATTATACGTAGTATATTAGAGGAACTGCCAGAAAAGCGAGGACTGGGGCCACAGCGGGTGCGTTTCGTGGCCAAGCCCAGAAACATTTTTGCTACTGGCTAGCCTGGATGGTGCGAGGACGGAACTGCGTCTAAAAGTTAGGGTTTGATGTTCTTGGACGGGAGACTCAGACAGGCGGGTGTGTCAATCGTGCGGTAGCCGACTGCGCAGGATCCTCGTTGTGGGTCTATTTTGAAGGACACACCCTATTGGACGTTTCCAAAAATACGTATCGGTATTTTGTAAGACCCAATACCTGTATTGAACTTCCTTTAGAAGGATTACGCGCAAAATCAGGAGCCTGAAGTACAGAAAAGGACTGACTGAGCGCGTCAGGAAGCTCCAAAGTGGTTCGGTACATCAAGACATTCTGAGAGGATGAGACGTAATTGGCAATCGAAAGTGGAATTGGAATTGACAAGGAAATGATGAAAGTCAAAGTGCGGGTTCACGTTGGGTTCACCGTTTCGTGGCGTTGGATTTAACGGAAAAGATCCAGAGGCGGTTGGGAAGTACTTGGCAAAAAGAATACGCCAAGTAGAATGCATCGTGTATTCGCACGTACGTCTATCTTGAAGCTTGAAGGCCGAAGCCCATCGATCCCAAAAATAGGTGAAGAGGCCGTGTCACAACCCCCAGAAGATCCGGGCACTAAACAGGAGATTGGTTGTTCGTCTGTTTTTCTTCCGTTGTACATGAGTTTTCACAGCTTCTCCGAGTTTCCCGTCTATAGGTCTTCAGGCTTCAAGGGCTTGTAGACTCGGTTTGAGGTTGACTAGAGCCTAGTAAGGATATGGTATTGTAGTGCAGTTTCCTGTGTCCTTGCGTCCTTGCGTCCTTGCGTTATGGTAACGTGCCGTGTAACGATGAGATAAGACTACTTGCGCGTAAAACCCAGGGAGTACAGAAAAATCCAAGCTGAGTGCTCCAAAGCAGTTTCAGCACGTCGAGACATTAATCTTGCGGAATCTGACTGCGGACAAGATTTAGGAGCGTTGTTGTATTGTATTCGAAATAGTCGCGCGCGTCTATTTTGAAAGTCAGATCTCATTGGCCCCCTAAAATAGGTGAGGTGGTCGTGTCGCGAAGCCCAGGAGATCTTGGCAATAAACAGAAATTTGTTTCCTAGCCTGTTACTCTTGCTTCAAGTTCGTTGGGAAGGGCTGACACGATCTCTCCACCTATTTTAAGGACAGGTACTTCCAGAATGCAGAGTGGTCCATTTCTTTGAGATTGTTTGCCCAGTAGATCCTGAAAACAGCTGCAATAATCTTCGATTTTGCGCACGAAATCACGTCGGAGCTTGCAAACGAAAGTTTTCTTGCACGCTCATGTTCGAACAAAAAGCACACCAGCCCTCGAGTAGTTTCAGTCCATTTCCTTCTCTGGTGAAACTCGAGACAGCCCTTTTGCACATACACCCTGAGTCCCCAGTGCAGCGAGTGTAGAAAAAGCCAGACCGAGCGCGTCAGGAAGCTCCAAAGCAGTTCGGTACGTCAAGACATTATCAAAGATATGAGACGTGGAAGTCTTTTGGAGCAGGGGGTTGACAGGGAAGTCACGGTGGTGAAAGTCAAAGCGCAGGCCCGGGTTCACATTAGGTTCATCGTTTCTCAGCGTTAGGTTAAAGGGAAAAAATTGTAGAGACCGTCGGCAAGCATTAAAAACATCAGAATGCATCGAGCAGAGTCCCCTTGTTTCAAAAAGATTGGCGTTGGTAAAACACAAGTCCAATAGCCGGACACCCCTATGTCATTAGCTGGTGTTTGGTCGTGTTGACTCACGCGTTGAAAGTACCGTACGCTTCCTGGCTCCAGCCGGCACCAAGGGACTCATTTCTTCGCTATCTGCGCCTCGAAAGATTCCTTCATTGTCTGCTGGCCCCGTGATAATCGCGTTTTTGCAGCAGCAAAGATGCCCGAGACAACGATATTCAAGGTGAGTCGGCCAGGTCAGTACACATCATTTTCACACCAAGCTCATTTTGCTGCAGGCGACGTACAGCGGGATCCCCGTGTACGAGATGTACGTCCAATTTAACACCATTTTACACGATTTCTCACTGCGTAACACGTCCAGGATGTGCAAGAGCGTCGCCGTGATGCGAAGGCGGTCCGATTCGTGGCTGAATGCGACGCAGATCCTCAAAGTTGCTGGTTTCGACAAACCTCAGCGAACTCGTGTGTTGGAGCGAGAAGTGCAAAAGGGAGAGCACGAAAAGGTCCAAGGCGGCTACGGAAAATACCAGGGTATGGCGCTGTTCTGCTATCGCGAGCAACCGGTAACACCCTTACAGGAACTTGGATTCCTTTGGAACGTGGCTTGGCTCTTGCGAAACAGTACAACTGCGACGGTCTCCTCAAGCCTATCATCGAATTCCAACCAGCCGCTAAAAGCCCACCGCTGGCTCCGAAACACCTCATCACTAACTCCAGCGCCCGTCCTTCGCGTCGAGGAGGCGCACCCGACAGCGCTGCCAGTTTGTCTGTTAGCACGCGCTCATCCAGACGCCAGGTCGTCGATGTTCCCGAGGAATCTGAACACGAAACACTTTCAGTGCGGGGCTCCGAAGATGGGTCGATGACGCCTTCGCCTTCGGAGGCTTCGTCTAGTTCGCATACACCTTCGCCCATCAGGAGTCCGAAAGCATATCATAATGGTGTTGCTGGCTCTCGTTCCAGCACCAGACGAAGCAGGTATGATAGCGAATATACAGAAGACCCTGAGGCAGCGAGGCTCAACGGCAAGACCGATGCTCGTGCTTACGGAGACCAAATACTAGAATACTTCATCTCAGACACCAACCAGGTGCCGCAGGTGCTCATCTCCCCACCTCCTGACTTTGACCCCAACATGGCCATTGACGACGACGGACATACCGCGTTGCATTGGGCGTGTGCTATGGGCCGCATCCGCATTGTCAAGCTGCTGCTCACCGCCGGTGCTGATATTTTCAAGGTCAACAAATCTGGCCAAACCGCGCTCATGCGTAGTGTCATGTTTGCGAACAACTACGATGTTCGCAAGTTTCCCGAACTATATGAACTGTTGCACCGTTCAACCCTGAATATCGATAATTACAACCGGACCGTCTTTCATCACGTTGTTGATGTTGCTATGGCCAAGGGAAAGACTCACGCCGCGCGTTATTACATGGAGATCATCTTGACGCGACTTGCTGATTACCCGAAAGAACTTGCCGATGTTATCAATTTTCAGGATGAAGACGGAGAGACGGCGCTGACTATGGCAGCTCGGTGTAGAAGCAAACGATTGGTAAAAATTCTGATTGACCATGGCGCCGATCCCAAGATCGTGAACCACGATGGCAAAAGCACAGAAGACTACATCTTAGAGGATGAACGGTTCAGGTCATCACCTGCCCCTCCTTCTCGTGTCATGCCTATGTCTTTCCGGAATATCCAGGCAGCTTACCCTCCCCCTCATGCACCACCTGACTACTCCTTCGCGCCGGCAAATGGAGATCGGCCTCCACTCCATCACTCTGTCGCGGCACAACGCGCTAGTACGCGCTGTGTCAATGACATCACGAGTATGATGGACAGCTTGGCTGCCTCGTTCGACCAAGAGCTCCGAGACAAGGAGCGTGACACGGTCCAGGCCCACGCGCTTCTGGGAAACATCCAAGCAGAAATACTTGAAAGCCAGCGTGCTGTAGGTCATCTACGGTCGCAGGCAGAAGGTTTGGCGCACACAAGCGACACCCTAAAGACGATGGAAAATGAACTTAATACGAAGATGGGGCGGAGATATAGACTGGGCTGGGAGAAATGGGTTAAAGACGAAGAGGCGCGTGAGAAAGCCATCAGAGACTCAGCCAATGGGGAGCTGATGTTGACACCCGCCACGGCTTCTCACCTAGCGAGCATCGGAATGGACGGCGAGTCAGCCGCCGAACTGGGGAAGGGTAAAGGAAAGCGCAAGGCGTCTTCGGACCCGGAAGACATTTCGGATCTGATTGCCTTGCATTCGGGAATACCGACGGACCCTGAAGCGCTAAGACAAGCGTGTGGGGCATTGAGGGAAGAGATTCTCCAGGCGCGAAAACGGAGAAAGACGATGTTTGACGAATTGGTAACATTCCAAGCCGAAGCTGGAACGAATGGTAGGATGAGTGAATATAGACGATTGATCGGCGCGGGATGTGGAGGGATCCCACCGTCGGAAGTTGATAGCGTTCTGGGTGTTTTGCTAGAGGTGAGGGTACCTAATATCCTGACCGTTGGTGTAGGGTCGTTGATTTGTCCCTTTACAGACCCTGGAATCAGAAGAGCCGAGCTCATCATCTCTTGGCTGGAATGGATCAAGACCTACGAATGCTGGCGAAAATATGCGATGATGGCATTGTTGGATTGCTGGACAGTATGATTTGTTCCTGTGTCGTTGGATAAGATGTTTCGTTTATCTGTAAAGCACTGTATGTATTCCTCCTGTTGCGGTGAAATTTATTCATCTAAATATCAATCTGTTTTGGATTGGACAATATTTGCTATGATATACATGGGAGAGTAAATTAAACCGAACAGATAGGCTATAGAACGTGCATGTCACGTCCAAGAGATTGTTTCTGAGAATCTGCAGGAGGTCTAGAGTTCTAGATCGATGCTAGTGGGATTGGCTTGTGTAGTTGAGTAGAAATGCCGTCATTTGTCTCTCCATACTTGCCATACAGCCCATTCACCATCGGAAGTTCTAGCCCAAAGGCTCACATCCCACGCCCTGATAGGGATCCTGCCCTTTTCAACGAGCTCGTACGCTCCAAACACTGGTGCGTAATCCACCTTCCAGCAATCCCACCCCGTCTCCGAACCAACTGTAGTGCTTAACATCAACGGATGAATGGCACGCATTAATGCCTTCTCATGCACCCGTTTGTTTCGTTTGTTCCCAAAGATGGCACGTCTCGTCCTCGTTGTCGACTTGCGGAATACAATCTCGACGTCCCGGAAGCCATACCGAGCGCGTAGCCAGACGTGACCAAAGAAAAAGCGGCGCAGATCGGGGACGACGTAAGTCCAGAGAAAGTTATCGATAAGATAGTTCCAGGTGGTGTCTGTCCATGAATTTCGGGGAGGGCCGCGTCGAGGTATGAATTCTCCGAGCAAACCTGGGAGGGGCATGTAGTATGCGTCGGAGGAGCAAAGGCGGTAGAGGATAATAGTTCCGAGAGTGATGGCCAGTAAGAGACGAAGGAAGAATATTCTCCTGTGAATCGAATGGATCAATGGCAGTTCTGTATAATTCATTAAGACCTGCCTCTTCTTTCCAATTGGCATTCTGTCGAGGTGCGTGATATATTGAACGCTTATATCGCCGCGCGCGCATTTAGTTAATAGACGTGATGGTAGAGAATTGGCAGGAACTCTTCTGTAATTCTGGGGCATTGGGCCTCAAGAGACAAAAGAGAGAAGCAACTTGTTTGGAACAAGTTCAACTTAATCCCGGGCCGTCACGACGCATTCCAATCTATATTGGCAAGAAAGTATGGTATGTAGCAGGTTCAGATAAAGCTGTAGGTCCAAGAAGCCGATATTTTATAAGTGTCCTATGGGTATGTGATATAAATTAGTTGTTGTCATGAAGAATGTCCAATGGTCACGGTGTGTCAGTACTTGTATACAGCAATCTCTATATCTATGCTTATAACAAACTTATCAGCAGCCCAACGTATGACAAGATACTCAACATGGTGCCAACGTGGTTCGCATATGCAGAGTTCGAGTTCCCAGTACTGCTACTACCGCTTGCTGCCTTCCCTGTCGCTTGTACAGAACCTGGAGCACCAGATGATAGTGTCACAGCCGAACCTAGCACAATCAACTTCAAACAGATGTAAAAACGACACAGTTGTCTACTTACCTGACTCTGCAGGTGGGTTCGTTGAGTTGTCGTTCGTCGCAACGTATGCATCCTCCATAGGTTTATTCAGACAAGTCACAACAGGTACAATTGTGTAGTCCTGTGCTATCGCGTCCGGGAGAATGTATCCCGTTGCTATCTCGACAGACTGCTGGTAAAGATCGTGCTCCAGTACAATGAAGCCTGTGTCTATATTGGAGGCATTGCCTAGAATGTACTGCCAGTTCTGGAGGACTTGGCCTGCGGATGTAAGGCCATTTTGAATATTGAAGTCTATGTAAGTGTCAGCACTGAATAATCTTTCTGTTAGACTGACCCACCATCGGTATCAAAGGTTTGTGTGGGGCTGATTCGAGTCCACATGACTGGCGTCATGCCCATGGCGAGCGAAATGGCGCGCACGCGATCACTGTAGGTACTCAGTGGCGAGCGAATCTAACAAGAAATTCACTCACTCGATATCACCGTATGGCGGCCTCATGGCGGACGGGGTAACTCCTAGGACATCCTGTATCGCCTTCCTGGACCAACCCAATTCCGCTATGATTTCATCGTTGGTAAGTGTCGTCAAAGATGGATGAGACCATGTATGGACAGCGATTTGGTGCCCTGTCATGTACTCTTGTTGCAGAATATGCGGGAACGAGACCACTCGAGAGCCAACGACAAAGAATGTAGCCTGGAGGTCTTGTTCTTCAAGATAGTCAAGGAGCTGAGGTGTTTGCAAACTAGGACCGTCGTCTAGAAGAGGTGTAAGTAAAATTCTTAGAATGAGTAAAGAACATACCGTAAGTCAACCCCCAGGTGTTTTTGTCTGGACAAGTTGTGATATCGGAGTCGCGAGTGCAACCTCCACAAGTCCACCAGCAACGCGAGGAATCCGTTGCAGCTTGGGCGTTGGCTGGGCACCCACCTGGAAATTATCTTCGTTCTCATCTTCACGACTACATTGGAAGCGATACGCACCAATAACAGTAGGTTCAATGTCCGGAATATCCACTCCAGAATCAGCTACTTCTTGCTTCCACTGTTGGACCTGCTCTGAATCCGTGGGAGCTTTAACATCTAGGGCAGGATACTTAGATGCCGAAAAGCCGTCGACTAAGATTTTTATCAATGAGGCAGACGCAAACGATAAAAACTAAGAGACGTACGATTCGGCAATGTGGGCGCGCCCGAGATGGACGGCTGGGCACCGGCGGTTGGGGTTGACGCTAGTGTAACGGTGGCAGTAGTGAATTGGCCTGCTATAATAGAAGATAAAGGAATGGCAGTCGGATTCTCCGATTTTAGGGAAACTGAAATGCTCGTCGTCGCGACAGCACTTGTGGTGACAACTGAACTACCGGCGCCCGAACTTGAACTTGCACCGGCAGCTGAAGTGACTGCGGTGGCGGTAGAAACGGCGGTACTGATGGCGGTCCCGACTGAAGCGGAACCAGTACTGGCCGTAGTCGAGGCCGTCACAGCGCTAGACGAAGCGGCTTGGCGAGCGTCAAGGTTGACATCGCGTGCGACAGCGAAAGCAGCGGCCAGGGCGACGACGGCAGAGGAGAGGGACTTCATGGCGGTCGTAAAGAGATATCTACTGTAAGGACAGATGGTATGGAACAGCGTGCAATGATGCTGTAATCGGCGATGGCAATACTCCACTTTGACGATGTTCCATATAATCGAGTTGCCATCTTTGTCAGTAGCGGTGGTGTCGCGATTGGCAATAAACATTTCAATATTCAGGAGTGCCGCCGTAACGTGTATCGACATATAACACCGTGTTCACTGTCCCCCTAGGGTACCTCCATAACAGAAGTAGATATCGGGGTACTGATATGCTTCCATACAGTCGGAATGTAGATGCAAGCATCCCGTAGGCTGGCTTCTTCACCTAAAATTGGCCATCAGACGCATCATTTTTTTTAGAGGAAACCATGAGGTGACAGTTTATCTAGTGACGCGCGATTCAATCCGGTCGACCCCGGATCTTAGATCTGCCTCCAGTCGTCACGCGTTACTGCCGAAGGTGGTCCAACGCGATGAAATATACGTGCCGGCCGCGTATCCAAAAGGAATATTCAAGTCCACGTATGATGATGGGTAGCGTCGTACTGCCATCGAGCTAATATGCTGCCAAGGCAGCTGGGAAATAGGTCGTGGTCAACCACGGTCACATGCTTGGCTAAATCTGGTGACGACTGGTTTGCATTGTCGCAACTCGGATAACTCGCGTGTGTGTCTGTGTGTCAAAATGACAAGATGAACTATATCGCGTATAGAGGACGTTTGGAACCAAGGCTTGATATCATTCAGTGAGAGCGTCGAGCTTCCTGTTTCCTAGGAGAGGAAGACGACCAAGCCTCCTAACAGTAGCAAAAATGATCGCTCAGTCCCAACTTTCGGCTCTTTCATCATTCAAGATACCAGGTGAATGTACCCCTAAGTCCAATGTGAGTACCTTGCAAACGAGAAGACATTCGGTCGTTATTGACTTTGACATACCGTCTATAATACGACTGGCCTCTGACGCAAATGAAATGTCCTGCGCCAGAAATTCAGTGAGGCAACGCACCAAATTCTTGTATCGCAGGGATGGAAGACAGATGGTGGCTACCTCTCCGGAGTGCCTCCAAGCAGTACTTCGTATCTGAGTACGTGACAGACACATAGAACGAAGCTTGCGCCAACTTTGTGTACAAAATTAATGAGAATGATGGTTTTCCAGACACGTGTTTCGCCCAGCGTCAAGCATTAGTCCATAATATGATCCCATCGACGCGAAGCTTATCGACGTTTTCAAAGTGGATAAATAGAATTGCATGCTCGGAAGTCGGGCATGCCAGGCCTTGAGGTCGAGCGTGACCCCCAAGGTGAATTGAAACCGGAATATTGCATCCACTTCTGGATGAACGATAACAGCGCCTGAGTACGGCAGTAGGCCACAAAGAGGGGGTTTCAGCAGTCTCAAAGACAACGTGAAGAGAGATAGGACAACGTAATACGATCGGATAGACTTGGAAATTGAAGGTTGCTTGAAGGTGTCGGTAATGATTATGTGTGCGGTTAAGCCAACAATAAGTTCGCCTGGGTTAGAGCTGAGAGAATAGAACGACATTTGCATTCTTTAGGAAGAACACAGCCGATAAATTGCGGGTTTATGTATACTTTACGCTAGAAGCTTGTATCAGAGATAGTCATTCATGAATATTACACTATTTACCTAAGCATCAGCCACTGACGAAGCCTCGCGCAGGCCTTCATTCCACAGCACCACGAAATCCAGGTTTTCATTTTTGAATAGCTCTTCAACAGGCCTGATCCCTTCAGGAGTCAAGATGCGATCCGGCAAATTAGTATATGTCTGAAGCATGGCCTTGAACTTTTCCGCTAGGTCGCTCTTGTCCATGGCTTCCAACTTTCCCTGAATCAGACGTGAGAAGGACCCATATCTCAAAAAGACATTGGCATACCATGAATATCTGCATCGTCCTGTTCCAGCCACTACCATCTGCACCATTAGACTTGACGACCTCCCAGACCTTCCATCCTGTGCTATCCCTTTGATAGACGCTTACATCCCAGTAGTCAAGATCAACTACGCCATCCTCAACAAGCTGATAGGCCGACATTGGCGCTTCGTACTCAACCGACCAGAATCCGATACGCGTATTGTAACCCACATTTGTTTGAAGGAAATTGGGATTGATAGCTTGAAATATGGATTGCGTATACGCGAGCTGAAACTCATCCGGCGGCAGCTTATTTAATGACGCACGGCTGAATCCAGTCGGTTTTCGGAAAACAATTTCTACCGGCCGAAATCCCTATCGTATGCGCAGCCATAGGTGACCCAAGACGAACTTCTTGACGACGGGAAGCATGAATTGGTAGACGCAATAGTCTATGATGATGTTCATGCAGAACCAGAACCAAGAAGAGGGCGGCCCGGGTTTATATTTAGGCATCAGCTCTCCAGCAAAAAGAATGGCGAGGATATCATAGTGGGTTGAAGCTGATCTCGCTCTCCAAGCGATAAGGATGGCCATGATAGCGTTGAACGTGAACGGGATTAGAAATATACCACTTTGATGAAGTCAACATTGGATATGTTACAAGATAAGCGGAAGCTCACGCTTTCATCGGTATAGGCATTCTGTCTAAATGTGTTATGAATGAACCATGTCCGGTATCATGCTTGCATAAGAGATTGTACACAGGAGAACCAATAGGAATATCACGAAAGCTTGAGGGAAGCGCCATGAGAGATGAAAGCAAGCACAGATCTGTACTATTTGAATGTCATTTCGACGACGCCCTGCAACGGCCTTGTCCCCGTGAAACGGATGATTGACATCTGATGAATGAGATCAGGGCACGGAAGCTTTCTTTTGCTTTGGGTTAGATAATTTGGATGTGCAATTACCAGCAGAGGAGGATGCTATAGGATGAAGAGTTCCGCATAATATATTTAATGTTGTTGTGTATCTTTCGTGCATCGAGTGTCGATTCATAAAGCGACGCGGAGCTTTGCTTATCGTAGTCCAGGACACAGGGACAGAACTTGCTGATTTATATCACAGGCCCAGTTATCTCAATGGGGTCAGCAGTCCTGTAATTTTGATTATAGATTATGAAAGCTCACTTTCTCCTGCGATTGGTAACTTGTAAGGGAAAACGCAACAAATGCGATTTGGAGAGATAAATACTCATGATATACACGCCGAACAGGAATAGGCAGTACTCAACACAATGTGCAGTAAAGGCTGCATCCTCTAGTAAGACGGCGGGCAGCCTATAAGGTGCAACAGTCAAAGCTTCGTTGCGTAGTGTTAGCTGTTGATTAACATCTTCAGGGCAAGCCTGTCGAAAGAAAATGTGGGACTCTTTCATACGAGCTATATTTTGGTGCTTACGATAGAGTAGCGCAGCATGGGCAGACTATTTTCCAATACAGAAATCCCGGAAAACCGAATCTAAGATGTCTTCCACATCTATAAGTCCTGACACCTTCCCAATGGCCTGAGCGGCGTAACGTAGCTCCTCGGCTCCCAACACGACTTCCTCGGAAGCTGAAACAGCGTTGTTTAGAGTAGGAGATATAGAACACATAAACTACTCACGTGTCTCCAAGAAAGCCTTCAAAAATTCGAGAGCTGTTTCAAGATGAGCACGATGTCGTGCATGGGTGATCAGTGGGGCCTGTGAGTCATTCGCGTCACCTAAATCGTAGTTGGATCGCAAGGCTTCTGAGAACTGGGCCAGGAACTCTGCGGTGCCTTGGCCAGTGTTTAGACTGGTCACCCAAGCGTTACGTGTTTGGGCAAGCTTCGCGCACTCGGGAGATACCAGATCTGCTTTGTTGAACAAATAAAACGTATTTTCGTTGACTAGCTCATCTAATGATGAAGGAAGCACTGATTTTTCGCCGTTGAAAGCAATATCTGATAGTGAGAGTACGCAGAGGGATATGTCGGCATTCCTGAACACTGTTTGTTCTGTGAGCCTGATACTCGAGTAAAAGAACGAAGATCGTACGCGTTTCTCGCACGTTCGACACCAATACTTTCTACGAGATCAGTTGTTGCTCGGAGACCTGCGGTGTCAGAGATTATGACAGGCAGTCCGCCGATGTCCAGAGACAGTTCCAGGATATCACGCGTTGTCCCTGGCACTGGAGTCACGATAGCCGCTTCTCTTTGAGCTAAATCAAGTGGTGAGTGGTCGTGTAATATCGATAGACGTGACCATACCCAGAAAATTGAGCAGGCTGCTCTTCCCAGCGTTTGGGGGACCGAATATAGCTAGACGTATACCCGAACGTATGATCTCTCCCCGGCGTTTGTCATGCAAGTGACCCTCGATTGTAGTACACAATTTCAAAACGCGCTCCCTGGCTTCATGGCAGGAATTTTGTCAGCATTCACATTGACCAAAGAAAAGAAGGTCGCAGATTGTACGACCCTTGCTTGTGGAAAATATTAGGGATGTGTTTTGCAGCGCAACAGGCCATAAACGTGTGTGGGGCAGTGTTATATGTTAGATATCGCGACATTTCTCTGCTTGCACCAGCACGGCGCGTTTATGGCTAGTTTAGGAACGTCTTTCGCAGCCCCCGCTGTAACTGTGTTCTACAGGAATAGAAATTCAACACACCTTGCTCGTATACTCCGTCTTCAATGTCCTCTCCTTCCCCAAAGTCGATGAGGGCTTCCATAAACGCGAGGCACTTGATGATCTCTTCCCTGATGTTATCATACCGTTCTCGCATGGAGCCCTAGCGAACGGGTCAATACTGGAGGAACACATGTGAACGAAACAGCCCTCACCCACCCCGACGGCATTCAATGCGATTCGACGTTGACTCTCCGTATCTGCATCAATGAGGTCCTTCAATCCTTCGACTTGAGTGAGGTCAAGCCGACCACCCATAAAAGCCCTGCGGGTGAATTCCCCGGGTTCTGCAGGGCGACAAAATGGAAGCTCCCCCAGTGCGCGCAATACAGAAGAGATGATGGCGCGTCCAGAGTGTATATGCAGCTCCAGTACGTCTTCTGTCGTAAACGACCTGGGTGCTGATAAAATTTCAGCCGACGTTTGGTGAGATTCGGTCGTGCACACCTCGGAACAGAACAGCCAACCCATTATCCAGGATCTCGCCTTTCCCAGGGTTTACGATATCACAGCGGTGCATTTTCCAAGGTTCCGGAGGCTGATGGCAGCTTCCCTTCCTCCTCACCATCTGTTTCCATACGTCCAGTGCATCGGGACCCGAGACTCGCACTACCCCGACTCCGGCTTTGCCGTGCGGTGTCGACAGCGCATATATGGTCGCTCGTTGTGCATCTGAGCGTACTACTGACGTGACATTCCGGTGTGAAGTGACAAGGCAGTGCACAGAAGTCCTGTAGCGGCAGTGCAGAGATAGAATCCCGGATGGAAAAGGGTGTTTTGCGGTACTTGGACGTGCTTTTATGCTCCTTGTACCGAGCTGCATAGACACTGCTATGCACAAGTCGTCGTATTGGGAGGAAGAAAAGGTCCGAACTGCTCGCGTGGTACTCCGGAGCACGTGGCCGGCGCTCTGCTCGTTGTCGGGCCTCGGCGTCTCGGTCGCCCTTTGCTCTCTGCCTTGATTTTTAACTGTCTGCTCCCGATTCCCTTTGCTGTGTCCCTGCTGTTGTTCTCTGACTCAACCTAACGACTCCAGTATCCATTTTTCGTCTTCGCCATGGGTCAAACACGTTCGTTCGCTCCTTACTGGCCCCGCCTCTTCTAATGACTTCATGTTTCTAGCATCTCAATTTATGGAGGACATGCAAAAGCGGTCCAACTGTACGTTTCTATATGGATTATGCGGTGCCCTTTATCTGATAATTCCAATTCCGACGTAGTCACGCAACCCGAACTTGAAAGGCTGAAAAAGCGGTTCATGAAGCTGGATAGGTCCGTCGCTGTCAGTTTTCATATGTTGTTGAGACTGAGTCAGCCTCAAGTGATGGCTCAGGATCAATAGACCGTCAAGAATTCCTCCAGATACCCCAGATTGCGACAAACCCACTAGCGTCTAGAATGATTGCTATCTTCGATGAGGAGTGTGTACCAATCCTTCTACCACCCCGACCGCAACTAATGTCATCTTCATTCACTTAGTGGTGGAGGAACGGTGGATTTCCAGGAGTTCGTAGGAGGCCTTAGCGCATTCAGCAGCAGAGGTGGTAGAGATGAGAAGCTTAAGTGTTAGTTCGTTGTCATCTGATCACCATATCCGCTTATCGGTGGCCAGTTGCTTTCAAGGTGTATGATGTTGATCGGGATGGTTACATCTCCAACGGCGAGCTCTTCCTTGTCTTGAAGATGATGGTGGGAAATAATTTGAAAGTGCGTACTGCTGCTCATTGTCGACTGTGAACGACCCTGTAACTTTTCCTTAGGATCGGGAGCTGCAACAGATAGTGGACAAGACAATAATGGAGGCTGATCAGGACGGCGACGGTAAACTCAACTTCGAGGAGTTCGCACTGATGGTGTCAAACACGGTCAGTAGCTGTGTTCTTGTCATCGTCTAATCTGACTTGTCTTCAGGATATCGTGAAACAAATGACGCTAGAGGATCTTTTCTAGCCCACTTCTCTTCTTGTAACGACCGCTCACGCGCTATTCCCTCCTTTGTATTGCCAACGCTATTATCGCTGATGATTCCCTATATTACTTTTGTTGGGCTTTGAAACTGATTTGTATTTGAAGGAGAATGGTTGATAACGTGAATTCGTACTACGCTAGGACCGGCTATGAACTACTCTATTCTAGATGAATGATCAAATTCCGCGACGTCGAGTTTGTGCGAGATTCAAGGCGTTGTGTATACAGTGTCGAAGGCAATACAGAGTTATCTAACAACTTTGGATTGGGTACGAAAGGCTGTTTAAGCCGTAAACAAAGTTCTGGGAGAGACGTTCAAACTCAACCAGTGTGCTTGTCTCTACAAGACTAACAAGATAGTTTTAGTATTTCATGTTCGCTGCAGAAGTTAAACTAAACCAAGCGATATACTTGCCGACATCTTTAAAGACGGCCGTATGAGATTTTACACACATTTGGTAGCTGATGACTCTAGTATGTTCTAAATCGTTTGCCCTCCTGCGGAACATGTTATGCTCAGCTATGCTCGAAAAGTGAAAAGCCAATCGTACCTCGCGGTCATCCTCCCAATCCATGTTTCGTTTGCGCGGCGACGTGTCAACGTCCATACCGTCTTCTGAGGAAGATCCGAACGACCAAGTATTAATCCTTCCATCTTCTCCCCCCGGTGAGAAGTACCTGGTTCTAGGAAAAGGCGTCAGACGGCGGTGTATCGAGTGCTGAATTAGGGCTACTAACATTCTCATCCCATAGTAGTGATCGCACTACACCCGTATGGCCGTTACTCCATATCTTATGTAGTGTCCACGAGGAATTCTGTGTGGACAGGTCGGAATTTGACAGAAGTGCAAGGTCTCCTCTACCGGGCGGTTAATGAAAGAAGAGCGGAGCTGTAACGTATATTCTCACTCATTGGAGCCAGTGTATATAGCAAGGTTGCCGTTGGGCTGATTTGTACAAGTGATGAGGTAGTCTGTCACCCAGGTACAATTTCGATTATGTACAGACGAAGCACGTATGTCCACGCTTTGAAGGGGATCTAGCTGTAATAGGGACGATTAGCGGGCTTCATTACTCAATTAATGCCGGCCATGCACACCTCATTTGACCAGGTACTGAAGGTTTCCATATCGCTAGATGCCCATATCCGCGGGGGTACACCAGATGATGCCATAAATCCGGCTTGTGAAACACTGCAGCCCCAGTTCGCTACCTGCTGTACTGCTTCGTCTTCATCATCCTTCGGCGGCATTGGATAGACATAAGAGCCCGTCAGCAGAAGCAGAGAGCAGTACATTATCTGGAGCGAATTGCAGGACAGTGATGTCGTCTGAATGAGTCGATCCATGGGTACGCAGTGGAGTAGCTGGTTGCCGGGGGTCCCTGTAATTGAAATGTAGTTGATGGAACTCTTTTGACTGTGTAGATGCCGTACCAGAAGAAGATATTCGCGTCATCACCCTGGAGGTCCGTTCCTGCAGCTACAGTGAGTCCATCGGGAGAGACATCGCAGCAAAGCAAAGCATTGTGTTTGCCAAGGTTGGTCACTGGATAAAGTCTTTTGGGTGGTCAATTATTCTAGTAGAAGGACCTATCAGTGTCACTCACTTTTGATGCTATGTGAATTAGAACGATCGTCCCAGACTTTGACTGATCCATCGTGCCCCGAGGAAACCAAGGACTGCCGGCTGAACCCTGCAATGGATTCAATCGTTTTTAGGGAGGTGGTGGCTGTATCATGACCAGACAGAGTTTGTATATGTTGTAGCGAGGCCTTGTCATATATTTCTATTGTATTCAAAGGTGTAGACGTCGCAGTTGCATAATGGGCGGGAAGCGAAGCAATAGCAAGAACGTAAGCCTGCGATGTCGATGGAAGGGATCGTGTCGGCAATGGGTAGGACAAAAATTGTGGTGATTCCAGAAGGACAGGGTTCTGCATAACGTCCTATCGTCCGTTGCGCGTATCGAGTCGAATCAATATTGATACAAACGAAACAAAATGGAAGAAGGAATCAAAGTAAATTTGAAATGGCGCTTGTCCGTGTTTGGCAAGAGCTTTGAAGTACAAGCATCTGTTTGGTTCTGATCCCAGTTGGAGTTTTCTCGTCCACGAACCACCATCTCCAGTATCTCTACCCGCTTTGAGGCTGCGAGGTCGCTCGAGAACCCACACATTCCTTTCCTTACCACTCTCCTAACAAGGAATTTTCGTTCTTTTTGCATTCAGAAAACACCAAAAACAGAAATCCCACTCCACTTATCATGCAAGTTGACGGCAACACACCTGAAGATGTTGAAGCACAGATTCGTGTATGTTCATGATTTCAGATATTTCTGCATATACTCAATGGTATTTTTAGTTTGAATCCTTCAAACTAGGAAAACCCCGACCAACGCACTCTCATGCCCGTTCTCATTCACGTAACGCTTCAATGTCATCTTTTTCTTTTGGTACTTCGAAATCACAGCCTACAAACTTAAACGAACTCTCTACTCCATCCACGAAGCGCAACTCTCACCACCGTCGCCGTTCCTCTGTCTCTACTCGCCATGAGTCGGCGGAGATGATGGGTGTGGCCGTTCCTGACCTACCCCAGTCCAACTCGGATGATAACATCGCCTTCGGCGACAAAGATTCCGTTCGTCGTCGAGCACTTCGGGCTCTGGAGGGAAAGCAAGATGTCTCCTACTCCAAGGTTGAAATCCCTGAATTGGAGATGTCCAGTAATGACATGCTTGGCTTTGAATTTCGTACGTACACCCCCAACGACCTGGTTACTTTGTTCTTGACAAATACCACAACGCAGCCTCGAAACCGTCTTTCCCCCCGGGCTCAGGTGCAGGGTCCAGCCTGAGCTCTCTTATATCCAGTAAACGAGACTCGTTCAAATTGCTGACAGCCAACTCCTCGTCCAAGGATCAATTGCATACACTTGTGGAAGAGGACGAAGACGAGGAAGAGAGTTCAAGCTCCATTCCCACTCAGTCCACGTCACCGCTACCCATCGAGCCGTCTGTGCCCTCAATCAAGCCCCTTACGCCGAGACCACGTCCCGCAAGCCTCAACCTTCGTCCCCTTTCTCTCACGCCCGATAATCTAAACAATCACAACTCCGGGCTCCCAACTCCCGTTCCAACTCCCAGCCCAATCCAGCCTCGTTCCGGTCTTCGATCTCTGTCATTGGCATCTGCCCCTTCAATGAGTGCCACCCGTCGCCGACCTGCACTAAACCTACAAATAGCCTCCGATGGGTCGATTGTCAAACCTGACGACCCGAATAGCCCAGACACTAGAGCACTACCTCGACGAAGCAGTATCTCTTACAGGTCATCGTCGACATCCTCTACTTCATCCAATCCTGGCTTACCAACACCTGAGATGACCCCGACCTTTGCTCTCGACCGCAGATTTTCACTGAATAGCAACGATGACGACGATGCATTTCCAACGTCCGTGTCTTCATCTTCTTCGTCGAGTCGGAGCCAAAGTCAAACGCGACCGCTAAGTGTTAGTGAGCAGCATTTTTTATACAAAAGTCACAACGCTCTCTTGGCCAGAATCATGGATTTAGAGAAGGCCCTGACCACGCGACAGCGTGAAGATGGGTCCAGACCTATCTCTATGCTGTCTGATGCGTCGTCGTCGTGCGTTAGCAACGATGAAGAGATGTTCCGTCTTGTTTCGGATCTGAAGGCTGAGAGGGACGAATTGAAGCGTGACGTCGATGGCTGGAGGGTCAGAGTGGCTGACATGGACAAGCAGTTGGTCACCTTTGCCAAACGTGTCGAAAGTGAACGACGAGATGCTTGGGTAGCCAGAACGAAATGCGGCATGACCGAGATGGAACGCGCAAGGTTGGAGAAGGAGGTAGAGCAACTTAATGCTCAACTTCTTTTACTCAAAGATGAGACGAAGACTCTAACGGTGCAGGTTGACAAGTTGTCGAGCGAGAAGGAGGGCCTGGAAGAAGAAGTGAAGCGACTAAAGGCATTAGCGGAAGCCGAGGTTGATGTGTTGGCAACTCCTACCACGCAATTCACTCCCTTCACTCGCAAGCGGGACATTGGGATGTCCTCTCTCGACTCTGCCAACAGTTCTGTCACGGACGTCGATGGCGATTCCGACTTTTCTTCTACCTTCGGCTTCAGGTTAAAGGCTGTTGCTGAAGAGCCTGATGATATCATGTCCGATGAAGACAATGGCCTTGCTGGGTACGAGGATGAAGAAGAGGATGACATTGACGTGTCAAATAGTCCCATCTCGGACGATGATTTTAGTTCTGATGATGGCTTCCCCAGATCTGTCGTGACTATGGAAGAAGGGACCCCAGTTGTCAATGTTATAGCCCCCTCGAGGTCTTGCTCACCAGGGCTACCAACCCCCGTGCGTACGCCGCCTTCGCATCAATCTCGTGCATCTCTGTCGAAAACATGGACATTCCCACGTGGCACCCCCGTCTCTCAACCCATTAATAACAAAGAAAACGAAGAAATTGATCGCTTCTTTGGTTGCCTGGAAGAACCAGATGACGTGCCTGTCGCAGTTGCCGAAGGAGAATCAACAGAGGACATATACACATTTGAGCGAAGCAAGAGTTTGTTCGCAAGCGGCTTTAAGTATCAGGATGATGTGCCGCCTTGGCTCCTTGGCGGCGCCGATGAGGTTGTTGACAAATCTCTCGATGTGGTCATTGAGGAAGACGAAGAAGAGAGTGGTAGTGACATGACCCGTGTAGAGGAAGAAGAGGTCTTTGGTGATGCCGGAGGTATCAAAATTACTTTTACTCCTCCCATCGAAGATACTGCATCTGTGCCTTCAGTTCCCGAAACACCTAGCCCAAAAGCTTCCGTGAAGCCCGTTCCTTTACTGGCCGACTTTGAGGAGGATGAGGAGGAGGAGGCTGTCGCTACACCTCCCCTGGGCTTCTCTCGACCCACTTTAACACAAATAGCCACCCCTCCTTCTTCGATACCCCGCCCAGCAGCGACACCTTCGGGTATTCCTCGCTCTATTTCCAGGGAGCAATCCCCTTCCCTTTCCCGTTCTCCGCCAAAGTTCATGACCCCTCCGAACAAGCGTGGGGGTTCCATGCCCTCTTTTATCCCCCAACCGGTTTCTCTGTGCTCACCAAAACCGCGGGCGTCTACAACATTCATTCGCCAGCCACCACGCAAACCCTTGCTACCTTCTAAAATGAGTAATGGTAACAAGACATCCTCAAATGGTTCGACCTCCAAACTTCAATCATCCACCATGAGTACGTGTACTGATTCACTTTTTTATCTACAGTGAACAACAGGATAAACATGCTTCCCAGATTCTCCGATGACTTATCGGCGTCCCCAGGAAGCACCTCGTCGCGGGCAGGTACCAGCCCGCAGATGATGAGCGTGGATTTGGGCAATCGCGATGTCCCACGTTGTGACGAAAGCCCCAAGCCTGCGTCGTTTTCCGGACTGATGACGTCTCCTCTTACACGATTCTCTTCGCTGACAAGTTTCATACCATTGCCATGGTCGCCACGATCTAATACAACGGAGAGTTTTGTGGAAAGTAAAGCTGAAGTCGCATCCCCCTCCTCCTGTTCAGGAGAGAAGGACATTTGTTTCAAAAGAAGCGACAGCTGGAGAAGTTGAAGGTCCGATTTAAGACGGAAGGTGCGGTCAAGTCGTACGGTGGTGATGTTTGCAAGAAATGCCACGATGACGAACCGGTGTTTCTTTGAGGGTGCGTTTGCTTTTTCTTGCGATGGTGCTTCTCTGACAATTATTTTTGTAGATGTCTGGACACTCAAATATGTATATATTGCATGACCGCGATTTGGACGGGTCCCTTTTAAAACTTTCTATTCTTAATTGTATATTTTGCTACTCGTTGATCCCGCTTCCCCAACCCCTCACGCTATCTCTTTTCTTTCACACCTTGGTAGCTAGATGCTACAGGGAAACGTCTGTATTTTCTTGTACCACTACCTAGCATTACAATGACTTGTCAACACTTGTAAGCGTTTAGCTACTATGCTCTATGCCTCACAGTATATGCCATCCATAATTCAAAATTCCGTATGTCGAGAACATTGAGAGACCACGTTCTAGGCCAGCGGCGGTGCCGTCTCCGCATTTACCCGAGGCATGTGCGATCAAAATAGGCGTCAGTTTGTTCTTCCAGTCAACCACTGAGCATCGTTGTATACCATGTCTTTCCGCAAGAATTTCACGAAGAATTGGCTAGCCATTGAGGTATGTTTTCTTCGTTTTCTAATGTTCATTGGTTCATGCTGACGGGGCTAGGCTATTCCTATGTGAGCCGTAATTCACCATCCGTAATATGCTGGCAGTAACCGAGGCGCTCTTTTTGCAGCTATGTTATCGTAGGAAGCGTCGTCGTTGGAGCCAGCTGGTATCTCACTCGTCTCGCTCGGGGCCCAACTGGTGAGCATTGGCCTGCTGTCATTGTTCCTTTCATTCTTATCGCCTTTCAGTGCAATGGACCGCCGCCAACCCTGCCCCGTGGAATTCCATCCAGCCCGACCAGGGCACCAAGCTCGTTGAGGTCAACCATAAGTTCGACAAGCAGTACGTCGTTGTGCTTTCCTTTCTGCTGTCTAACAGTCTGCTCACCTTCTTCGTGCCCCTCCAGCTGGACCAGGGACAAGCTCTAATTGTTGGATGATAATCACACAAATCATGTGTAGTTTTTGTTTGCTTGTTGAATGAACACAGACCTTTTAACAACTTTGTGATTCGATTCGAGTACCGTTCCTGTCCACCGGATAGGCCCGCTATCAGTAATTATCTGAGGTTATCCGGCTTTCTTTTGCCCATTGTCAACATCTCGCAAAATGTCGACAGAACCAATTCCTGACGACGTCGAGGATGCTCCTGTCGCTGGATCTCCTGTTGTGAGTCCAACATACCGTCTTCGCCGCCGTCGTTGACTCAAATACTCCATCAAGACATCGATCAAGGGCCCTCTAGCGTTGCCGGCCTTGATTTTCGGTGCTGGGTCGCTCTCGAACCAATATAATACGGATGAACACCTTGAGAGCTATGTTCCGCTGAGGGCCATCCGGCTTGCTCTTCGGTGAGACACGTCCGGTTATTTTGCTAACGACGGACGGTATGATTTGTATTGCAGCTATGGCATACACGCCTTTGACACTTCCATCTATTACGGCCCTTCGGAAATAGTACTTGGAAAAGCTTTGCAGGCTATCAAAGACGAGTTTCCTCGTTCGTCGTACAAATTAGTACGTGCGGTAAGCTTTAACTTCTGAACGAACATATAAATTCAATCTTTCTAGATGACAAAATGTGGTCGAATCAATGCTACTGACTTTGACTATACACCGGGACACATACGAAACAGCGTACAGCGTAGTCTTGAGCGCCTTCAAACACATTATCTCGATACCGTCTACCTTCATGACACTGAATTTGTCTGCACACCCGTTATGCCGACAGAAACTGGGTATCACGCAACAGCGTTGGAGGAAGCACGGGAAGCGTATGGTCTTGCAGAGGGGCAAGAGAGCACTGTGCGGGGTGAAGGCGACCAGAAGATTTTAGATGCATTCGCTGAACTGTCAAAGATGAAAGAAGAGGGCTTGATCAAGCATATAGGAATAACAGGTACATTTCCTGACTGCAATTTGCGCATATACTTAATCAACTCTAGGCTATCCACTTCCCGTTCTCCTTCGTCTTGCTCTGTTGATTCTTCACAACCCACCCTACAAGCCCGTCGATGTTGTTTTATCATACTCCCATCTCACACTTCAGGATTCGACATTTCTCAAGTTCGTGCCCCATCTCCGCGAGCGCGCCAAGGTGGAACAATTGGTAGTCGCGTCGCCATTCAGCATGGGTCTTCTCACCTCTCGCCCTCCTCCACCATGGCATCCGTCGCCAGAGGCAATGCGAAAGGTGACGGCTGATGCACGGGAAGCTGTCGGTGATTTACCAGACCTTGCGCTGCGCTACTCAATGCGCAAGTGCGGTGCAGAGTTCCCTCTCGTGGTCGGATTCAGTAATCCACAGGAGGTGCATGCTAGTGCTAGGGTATGGCGTCAGGCAAGGGAAGAAGCAGACGACAGTGATCGATTAGAACGAGAGGAACGTGCCCGAGAAATATTTCAGCAGGCCGGATATTTGGATTGGTCTTGGGCTTCTCCATGATGTTGGTTGCTAGCAGACAACAATCTATTGAGATACATACTACATGATTAAGACATCTCGACGTCCTGATTGCCCTGTTCACGGGGCGCACCTCTGACAACGGACGTAACCAGTTCTCTGCGAATCTCCGGACCTATCTGTGCATGAGGTGTGGCACGCACAACATCCAAAAGCGCGTCCTTCTGGTCGGGTGTCAAGTCCGACGCGTATCTAGGCTTAGGATTAATCTCCGTCGCAGCGAAGTCGGTGCATCGCTTACCTCTGAGCGAAAACTAGAAGACTCTGGTGCCAAAGCACAGGAAGTTTATCGGAATCGCCGCGGCTCGATGCTTTGTATGTATTGGATAGTCGGATAAAATGGAAGACCAGAGCGTCAACAACTTTGTATGGCAACTCAAACTTCTTGTCAATCAAGACTCGGATGAAAAGAGAGTTGGGTCCTGTGAAGATGTTAATAGTTGTCAACTGAGCTGAGCCATCATGACTTACCCGTGTAGTCCATCTCGGCTATTCTAAGTAAAGCCGCTGAAGCATGGAGCACCGGTATCTTTGTTCGAGCAAGTATTGATGCGACGATCGCCGCTTCTTTCAACGTGCATCCTTGCTAGGCGACCGTCAGTAAGAGGGCACCAATACGGAGATACGAACCACGACTCACGTCCAACATGGGGAAAATGATGCCCTTGAAAAAGGCACCGGGTTTGTATAGAGACCGTTTCAGCGCTTCGTAATAATGTACGTTGAGCTTCTTGTTCTGTTGGATATCTTCACGGATGGCATCAAGAAGGACTACGCTCAGGAACAGCTGTGCTTGAGGGGGCTTCATATTCGAAATGAAGATCTTGGTGGCGGCACGGCATGCATGTGGAGACCAGTTTTCAGGGTGGGTGAGGGCAAGCATGCGTGCCCATGCTGGGAGAGAGGGTATAACCTTGAAGATCTTCGGAAGGGGGCCAGACTTGTATTTTTGAAGGAATAAGCCGAGTCTAATATCCACAGTTCAGATAATAAAATGGTAACGAGATTCCAACGAACTTTGTATACACTTCCACTACGCGTGGATCCAAGCCCAAAGCGGGATCCGGATTTTCCGGGTCTGCGAAAAAAAATTAAATAAGGCTGGAGAGCAAGCTTGACACAAAAATACGATACCTTGCCGCGTTTTTTGTATGACGGCTGCGTTCTGAGTGTCTGCGCCATCAAGCTTGGCAAAAATCAGGTCCGCCAATGTTTTTCGCTCGCCGGAATTCGCAGGTAAAAGGGCGTCCAGTGTTTCCATGTCTCCAGCATCGATTTCCTGTTCCTTTGCTTGAGATATCCAGACCGCGAAGGCTTAATGCTACTCACAAAAACTTCCTCGACATCTTCATCGTACCCTTGAGGATCCTCGTCTTCATCTTCTTCTTCGTCGTCAACATCCATTCGAGGTCGTTGAAAAGCTGAAGGTGCGTCGTCGGAGCCTACATCATCTTCATCGTCGGCGTCCACAAGTCCCAGCTCTTCCTGCTGATCCCTGGCAAGCTCGAATATCCGCTTGGATGTTTTTGAGTCGAGGATCACCTGAAAAACGAGTAAGAAAGCAGAAAAAAGTAACAGGTATGTTGTGCACCTCGTCGTCGTCACCATCGTCCGCCTCTGCTTTGCGAGACTTTCTCCTCTTCCCTGGCTTCGATACGCGACCATACTTCGCTTCTACTTCGTCTCCGTCGAGCTGCACATGCAGCGGATCGTGTCTCGACTTTCCTGTTGGTTTTTGCGCACGCGGCATTTTAGGTAAAGGTACAAATGTATTTTTCTGAATTTGTCGCCGGCGTGTGAACGTGCAAAGAAAACTGGATCCGGATAACGGAACAAAGCGCTAGAAGAAAATTAGCGACTACGGACCACAGGAGTTGCAGACGGGCCTGAAGACGGAAAGAAACAAAGGCAAGCAGCCCCTCTTATTCCGCTGACCTTTAACAGGAGCGCCCATCCTTCTCTTCCTACCACCATCACCACCATGGCCCCTTCCGTACGTCCTTTTCATTGCTGAACTGGGCGTTATCTCATCGTTCTTGTCTTTCAGAGCATCGTGACCTTGGACAAGCACGGCAAAGAGATCACCACCGTCGGTTTCAATCGATTTGGTTTCGACAGCGAGGTCTCCATCGACGACCTCCGTGCTCTCTATTTGCGCCCCCATTATATCACTACGGCGGGCCAGAGTGCTGCAGCAACCGCTTCTGACGACGAGGAGGTCCAGCATGCCAAGTTTTCCAAAGGACACACTGAGTATCAGTCCAAGTCCATTTACCACCCGGATTCCAACTCCATTTCGTACACGACCCTCGCTCGTTTCACTCCTGTTAAACTCCTTGCACCATCCAACCGCAAACGCATCCTCGTTACTGGAGGCGCCGGCTTCGTTGGTTCTCACCTCGTCGACCGTTTGATGCTCCTCGGTCATGAAGTCACCGTTCTCGACAACTTTTTCACTGGCTCGAAAACCACCGTCAGCCACTGGATTGGCCACCCCAACTTTGAGATGGTTCGTCACGACGTTGTTGAGCCCTTCATGATTGAGTGTGACCGTACGTGATATCGTTTTTCTCGCGTAAATGCGTGTCTCAGCGCTCCGCAGAAATCTACCATCTCGCATGCCCTGCGTCTCCCCCCCATTATCAATTTAACGCGGTCAAGACCATCAAGACCTCGTTCATGGGAACCTTGAACATGCTTGGATTGGCGAAGCGTACCAAGGCCCGCTTCCTTATTAGTAGCACTTCCGGTACGCCGCAGTTCACTTTTGACATCTCTTCCTTTTTTCATTAGGCGCGTCCAGAAATTTACGGTGACCCTGAGGTTCATCCTCAGCCTGAAGACTAGTGCGTGCTTTTCCGTACAATTCTCCGGTACAATGCTGACCTATCGCTAGCTGGGGACATGTCAATCCCATTGGTCCTCGTGCTTGCTACGATGAGGGCAAGCGTGTGGCGGAGACATTGACCTATGGTTTCCATCGCCAGGATGGTGTGGATGTCCGTGTTGCTCGTATCTTTAACACATACGGACCTAGGAGTACGTTATTCCGTTTACGTTACTGGTCTCGAACTTAATCATTGTCATTTTTAGTGAACCCCTACGATGGACGTGTCGTTTCAAACTTCATCGTCCAGGCACTCAAGGGCGAAGACCTCACCGTGTATGGTGACGGCAAGCAGACTCGGTCGTTCCAATACGTGCATGACCTCATCGACGGTCTTATCGCACTCATGAACTCTGACGAGTCCCGCCCAGTCAACATCGGTAACGGTGATGAGTTTACCATTGGCGAGTTTGCAGAGCTGGTTCGTGAGATCGTCGAGAAGGTGCAGAAAGAGGATGGAGACCTGCCGACGCGTCGCCCTGAAATTGTGTACAAGCCGATCCCGACTGACGACCCTCAGAAGAGGAGGCCTGATACCACCCGTGCTAAGGAGAGCCTTCAAGTGGCAACCCTAGGTGGACCGTTCGGATGGGATTGGAGGAGATGGTGCGCTACTACAAGGCGAAAATGGCGGAAGGAAGCCTCTAGACCTGTTAAATTAAATACGGTATTTCCGAAGTTGACTACTAGATTTTCCCTGGGTATCGTTTCCGACCGGTGTCTTTCATTCATTTCATTCGCTTACTTAGTTGCTATGAGTCTATGGGGGGTATATAAATGATACATAAGGTACAGATAGCTATTATAAATGGTATGGAGATTATAGCTGGACATAGAGAATGACGCATGAATAATAAGGATAGAGGTGTCCCAGTGGATCCGTTCCGCTTATTTTAGTAGCCGCCCTATTGATGTCGAATTGGTTCCGACAACCTTTACCATCGAACCTTTGATAACATGTTTCTCTACCGAAGCCGCAGGAGTAATTGTGGCGCGTCGCAGACGTCCATGTTGGGTTTGATCACCAGATGTCGGCTCCGACGAGGGCAAAAGTGATTCTGAATCCGACTTGCCGTGTTTCTGCAACATAAAGCTCCCTGGGGTGTTTGGTGTTTGTCTTCCTTAGAAATTTTCAAAGTGTAGGTAGGAAAGAAAGGGTACCTGCGTATGAGTTTCCGTCCTTACCGCCGCTAAACCAGTGCTCCTGCTCCTTCCTTTCGGAGTATCTAAGCATGTCAGCGGTGAGACGTTATAACGAAAGTGTTAGAAAGCCGACGGCGTACCTTCTGTACGGCCGACCGTTAGGCCCAACCGGGGAATACGCGTTGTGCAGATTTTCGGAATAGAGTGCCAGTGATTCTGTCTGGCTACGGACGACATCGGGGGTAAGACAGCTGAAGGAAAGTGAGGAAGTTGGATTTCGTGCACGAAAAGAAGAATCATTTGTGAACTCTGCGAGTTTATCGAGTGCCATAGCCATTCGCTCCGCGACGCTTGTCGCAGGAGGTATGATGTCGGACCTGAGGCGCGGTTGTTGTGTCATGAATTTTGCGAAGACTTGATTTGCTATGGAAGCGTTGCCTGGTACGGTACATAAAGAGCCAGAAGCGCCTAATCCAACTGGGTTTAGAGATCGCCGAGAAAGTAACGAGGATGATAACCGACCGACCTTTCAAAGGATATAGTCTCGCCCCTCCCAGAGAGTTTGACAGCTCAGAATGAAGTCTCTCGGCGTATTTGACTGGGGATACGTCGCATCGGTCACCCTACACGTACGTACAAAGATCAGCACGGGGCAAACGGGAAATAAAAAGAGACAACATGTATTATTAAGACCGGTTGGGTGATTGCACTCAACATTTCGGGCTTCATGGGTATACGCTGGCATTGATAGTGAGAACAGCTTGACAAAAGATAGAAACAGCGTACATTGAGAGCCACATTAGCCTGCTCCAAAACACGCACTCTTTTGTTGGGAGGTAAATGCATCTGCCAATACGCCATGACCTGCCAAGTCGGGGGTGAGTCAGGTCAATATACGCCGAGACGTACACGACGTACTTCATCAAGGAGATCACTGTCTATGTCCTGAGAAGATGTCAGCGTAGCGGCGAGGTAGACATTCGACAGACATACTGGGCCGATGATTATCCTAGCGCCCTCCTTTCCAGCATGCTCGAAGCTCTCGAGGTCGGTCGCAAAGCACCATGACTGTAGAAGCTCATGGAACGCCGTCAAGACCCACTTTAACCTGCACTCCGTTAGATCGGGCCCGAGGATGGTGCTTGTACATACTCAGTGGGCGCCGGCACATTACAGAGTGTAAGACTGGCACACATATCCGGGAAACTGGAAAGCTGTGAATATATTTACAGCAACATGCTACAAGACAGACATACAGAAAGGCGAAACGCAGAGCACAGTTGACGGATATATTATCGTGTGCCAGAACGTGGCAGAGAGGTAAATGAAGAATCTAGGCGCAGTCAAACGGAGAACAAGGAAGTTACAACCGGCAACGTACTTGGTGACAGAATGCGAGATCCGCTGCCTCCACCCAGCTATCGTGGCGCCCACTGTGCCGACAAGACGATCTCCCACAGACTCTCATGTCAAATGCAATCATATTATAGTTCTTGTACAGCCGGGGGTCGCCAAACTGGTTGTCGAGCCAGGTCGAGTCGAGGAAGAAGGGGTGTAGCAGAATGACTGTCGGCTTTTCAGGATCAAAGCTGCCAACATTGCCAAAGGTCGTGTTCGTGAGGTAGTATATCGAGGCATAGTCGTCGTCACTGTGCAAATCCACGTAAGGCATTGGTCCGTATGCATGCAGGGGAAGAAGAAAGGAAATAAGCGAAAAGATTAACTTTGCAGGGAGCGCATAATAAGATGTAGAACAAGGGCCTCGGTGGCAACCCGGTTACGGCCTTGACCCGTTCATTTTCTTTTTTGGAAAATTAGTGGCGATCTTCATTCAAGAACAGGAATGTTATATTTTAGCCTCTTAGTTGATACTCGGTAGCGTCCAGCAAGCCATGCGTTTCAAATATATTTCTTTCGCAGTAAAACATACGACCATACGGCTACTTCGGTTACTCAAATCCTGGTCCGATCAGTCCCTCTAGTACTTGGATGATACGTTGCTGCCGCTGCGAGCCCAGGTCACCATGAAAAAAAAAAGAAAAGTTTCAACAGCTGCGGCTTACCTCCCGGTCCGTTCCCAGTGTAGTCGCATACATTGCAGGAACACCGGCCTGGCCAAGCCGTTCCTGCTGTTCTCGGACCAGATTGTCCCAGAGAGGCAGAGCTCGCTCAGTGTCAAATCGTCGCAGTTCTCTCCGATACGCATTACATAGCATCTGTAGGGTCCAGGGGATGTCAGCAACAGCGCAGACGCAGTCTCCGTGCGGGCAGGAGCTCACATCTGCTTCATGTTTCGAGATGTCGGAGCCTATGACATTTGCCCTGTCTTTCCGAGCTATCGCCGCCATCCATCAAGTAAAGGCAGAGCGTCAACGGACCTAGTTCTGGCATTCTTCACTTTCTCGTCATACTTGCTTTGAATGTGACCCCGCTCTTCCCAGAGTTGCCTTTCAAGCAGGTTCTGTTCTTTTTTGATCTGCAGGAGCATCAGAAACAGATATCAAACATGCATCAGATTCCGCATAGAAAGCTTTAAGTTTACCTGCACGATCTTCTCGATGAATTGGGCGTCTTGGGAAAGTTGCGCGAGGTGTGGAAGCGCCTGCTGGAAAGTAAATGATCGAGTATCTTCCGCAGACGAGGAAAGTGCCGGAGAAGGGTTGTGCTTGGGGTTGACACGAGGACCGTCAAAACTAATAAACGGTTCCTTGACCGGCTGGGAGGAACGCTGTAGCTGGGCTAGTAGAGATGCAACCGAATTTGAAGCAGATGAAGACGATGGGGGAGTCTCTACGATAGCCTCTTGGGGAACCTTGGCTACGTCCTTGTTCTCCGCTGAGGTCGTGACAGCCTGTTGCCAGGCCTGCGATGCTTGCAGAGTGTCAAGAAGAGCCTTCACCCCTGCGGGATCCTGGTAATCGTTGGTATTGTGTCATCTAGAAGGAAATGTGCTCACATTTATGTTAGTGCCATTGAAATTCATACTCGATCTGCCTTAGGCTTTTAGTCCAGGATTAATGTGGGAGCCGGCAGTTCAATCGTGGTCGGGGTCGGTGTATTGTTCCAAAACAAGTATTCACCGCTATCTCCGGAAAACCCCGTGCTAAGGAGTCAAATGGAAACGTGCAGGGCGGCATCAATTTTTTTGGCAATTCGAATTTCGGTCAAGGACGACAAGAGAAAAAAAACTACGACGAACGTTTTGGCTACAACAGATACGGCTGTCAGAGTAAATTTTTACAACTCCAATTGGATTCGAATTGAACGGTTATGACGGCTTGTAACAGAGTGTCGGTGTTCCGTTTCGCATACACCTTTGATAGGAGATAGTATACGAAGCTCGATCAAAGCCTTTGGACGTATTCCAGACGTCTTGTACTGCGGAACAACTGCCCGACGAATATAATCAAGATAGGCAATATAGGAGCGCCGCACTTGTCAATGAAGGGGGGGAGGGGGGAATGAAAAGGCAGCACGAACTTGCAGTTTCATGACGGTGCCGACACTCGTGGCCTTATCGTGTCAAATTAGAGTGATGTTGAATTTACTGCGACATGAGGTGGAAGAACATTTAAGCATTGCCCTATTTAACCGTCGTACCTTTCTACCGGGCCAAGCGCAAAAGATGAGCGACTACAGCATCGTCCGTTCTCTTGCGGAACGGACGCATCGCACTTATTGATTCTCGGTAAATAACGCGACCGAGCGAATGAATTGGAGGCTGACAACCGTAGCCGACGGTTCACGGAAAAGAACACATTGTCGGTAAGATCGCGTCAGGCCCTGACAGGGGGCTGAATTGCTTATGTATTATCTGCCTATTCTGAATAATATCCTTTTTCCTTATCGGGACATTGCGCTTCAAATTCCACGAGGCAAGGCGTGGGAACCTTTGTATAGCAACCAGCCGAATATTCCCACATTGGTCCTCTGTCATTTCTTCCTTGCCCATCACCCTCTATCCCGCCGCTCTCCATACCCCCTTCCTCTCCTCATTCCCCTGCCACTCATCCAGATATCTTTTCATCTTTTAATTCTTCTCTTTGTCTCTTTCCTCTACGATGCCTGCCGATTCCGACGCTCAGGCGACTTCATCGCACATGATGAAGACAACAAAACGCGGAAGGCCTTTTCTCAAGGTGCGTATACTACCTTTCCAACCTTTGTGTAGCCCATTGACGTTGGCCCCTTTGTCCAGGATACCCTCGATCTGTTTGCGACACTTATCGTCTCGTTAGAGTTGACGCCGCACAAGCAGTTCTTTCGTACATTCCCTAATTCGTTCTCTACGTATGTCTTTGTATCTCTTCTATCCTTTGTTCATCCTCTTATTTTTTCCCATCAGAGATGAAGCCGCCCAGAACCTCGCCTCGCTCAAGTTTTCTCAGTCCAATCGAGGGCCGGATCCCAGGGAACCTTCGCGTGTGGTAACAACGACCACGACAACAACATTCTCAATGACCCGTGACATGGCCAAGGCGATGAGCCAGCACTTTATGGATGCCCGCCTTATTGAGAACGCCGCAGACCCATCCTCCAATCTATTCAAGGACAGGGGTGTATACGTGCTTACGCCCAAGGGATTGCACGTTCTGGAGCGCTTCATAAGTAAAAATGGTATCAATTCAGACCATCTCCAGCAGGTCTTCGTCACCCAGCCCATCTGCATCAAGCTTCTCCACCTTGAGCGACGATCAGCAGACGACGAAATCATAGTCACACAGTCCGTCATCACTGCCCTCTTCCGACGCTTCGTCGGCCGGAGTCCCAACTTCCCATCGGCAACCCCTTCTCCTGATCCCTTCCAACGATACAATGAGCGATCCAAAGGTGTTGCTCTCATGGAAGTTACCGAACGTGCGCAACCGCTTCTCGGCAAGGGCCAGCAGGTTCACAAATACTGTTTCGCGGCCGTCACCGCTCTCGAGTGGTTGTGCGACTTTACTTCGGTGGTTGGGCGTGAGGAGGCTGCAGAGATGGCCGCACAGTTTGTCCGATTCGGACTGATCACCTTGGTTAGCGATAAGCGGAAGAACAACGATTCTGCGATCATCTTTACGGTCCGAGGATCTGCCCCCGGTGGCAACTCTCCCGTTAGCGTGAGTCTTCAATGCTTTTTTTGTGTCGTCGTCAACGTAGTAACATCTTATTTAGCAACACGGAGAATTCCGCTGTACCGCTAAGGCGATATACAAGATCACGGAGGAAGGTCGCCGCCTCGCGCACTGGGACAATCCAAGGCAAATCGGCTCCCATGATTCGCCGAACGCATCATCGGCAACCCTCACAGAGCGTTCGTCTATTGACAAGTCCACCGCAGACCATAATGAGAAGAAGAGCGGTGATGCTAAGATCCATCGTCGCATCTCGATGGCAGAGAAGATGAACGCTAGTTACGATGCTGCGGACAAGAAGAATAACCAGAAGGAGAGCAACGCAGAGCGTCTGCGGTACATTTTGGAAGAGCCAGGTCTTCGTTCGCTCTTCCGAGAGTTCCTTCGTGGCAACTTCTGCGAGGAGAACTTGTCGTTCTGGCTTGACGTCGAGGACTTCAAGCGCAAGTTCAACATCACCTCTAGTGCAGTAGCTGTTGCGCCTGCTGCTCCGCGCCCCGGTTCCAAGACAACGCCAGGACAAGCAGCGATGGAGCGTCATCATGAATCTCTCATCAATACGGCATTCGTGATCTATAACACGTACCTTGCTCCCTCCAGTCAATGCGAGCTGAATATCGACCACGGTCTGCGGAATGAGCTGTCGAAGTATTTGGAAGATGTCGTGACGAGCCTAACGGGCAAGGCGTTCCAAGGGCGCGTCGAGCCTGAACAGGCAAATGCTTTCAATGCGACCCAGCTGCAGACCATGATCCGGTTGTATGAACGGATTCAGACTCATGTCTTCCGGTTGATGGCGACAGACTCAGTTCCTCGGGTATGTCTAACGCCCCTTACGTCTCCGGTTTCTAGCTTACCTGTTTTACATAGTTCATCAAGACGCCTAAGTTTTTGGCAATGCGGAACTGGGTGGAGGACTTTGATCCTACAGACGATGATGTCCGGCTGTTGACATCTGCACCTTCTCAACCGCCAGGCCTCGGCTCATCAGAGGAGACGGGCGGCGCATACATAACAATATCGCAGCAAGGCAGCGAGCGGGCGCAAGGCCAAACAAATCCCGCCATCTCGACGCCGCCGAACGCACCATCAGCACCATCATCATAGGCCGGCGGCATTGCATTTTCTTTCTTCGCATGGTCTCAACTGGACGCTTCGAGGGCTTTCACATTTTTTGGCAACCGCATGCTTTATTGTCATCATTCATATGCGCATCTTTGCTTTCATTTTTGTTTCTTTTTCATCATCGCAATCACACGGCACTGACCCCTGGGGGTCATATTCTGTACCTTCCTATTGTCCACCCCTTTGACTTCCTACGTCTTACTCCCGGTCCACATTCTTGTTTTCCGGTCACAGACTACAGTTTGGTGACTTTTTGTCTCCACGAAATCTCCGGTGCCTTTACTGTAACTTTTAGTACCTTACACGCTTCCTCTACTAGACGGATGGCATACCCCACTAATTGAGCAAGAAATCGTTGTTCGTAATAATAGTTTACCAGCTTGTATGGCTGTAAATGTATTGCAGCCGATACCAAGAACATTTCACGTTACTGTTCCTGTCCAACAGGTTCGATACATTGTGAGAAAATTTCCTGAGAAAGTGCCTCGGACCCTTTTAGCAGGTGCTTCCCACGTTATCGGCAGCGACGTGTCCCGGTGTTCTAGGTCGTCTCTATCCAAGTTTCACGTAGAATCGACTTGTCTCGACAACCTCACTTTCTGTCTACATACTACGGCGAGAAGCCTTCAGCATTATGTCGTGGCTAAAGGGACTTAATGGCGAGGCACCTGAGCCATACATCGAACCAGAATCTACGCCAAAGGTCGAGGACCCCTCGATTCCGAACAGAATGGTCTCGACAAAGCAGGCTAACAAGCCTTTCCTTGCGTACGAAGCGTATACTGGTCGATATTCCCGGCTGTTGTAATGACATTGCACTCGTTTAGGCATAAAGAATACCGAGAGAAACAAGAAGAGTTACACAATGCCTGGCTGGAACGCAAAAAGCTACGCGACGAGAAGATTGCGCGAGGCGAGGATGGCGGGCGAGAGGAGCCAGACCCCATCGCTGAAGTCGAAGTTGGGATCCTAGGGCTTCTGAAATTCTTGGTCTATACGCTGATCATCATCGCTCTGGCCGGTAAATTCATCACAGGAAGTTACCTGTGGGAATACGAGGGTAAATGGGCCCAGCTCAAGACCTACTGGCCGGTGCGTCCAGCGCTTTTTCAATATCTTCTTGTTTTAGATTTATGTACCTCGCGTAGACGAACCAACGCCTATTTTCTGAGAGACTTCTAGCCGAGTTTGATGGTTCGAAACCTGGTCGTCCTATTTACCTTGCGGTGCGTAGTCTATATTCATTTTCCGCTGTATTTCCGATTCACCCCATGAGGTAGATTGACGGAGACGTTTACGACGTCACCAAGGGTAAGGCATATCAGCCTGGAGGGTCTTATCATCATTTGTTAGTCTATCGCAGTCATTTTCAATTGGATTACTCAGACTTAGGGTCATATTTAGCGCTGGCGTGGACGCAGCTCGTGCGTTCGGTACCGGTTGCTTTCAAACACATCGCACGCATGATTTGCGTGGCCTTACAGAAAGTGAATTAAAGGCGAGGTCTACGGGTTGTTTTGGGAAAAAAAATATATTGATGCGTTTGACAATCACAGGGTGTCCAGCATTGGAAAGAGTTTTATACAAATCATAAAGATTACTTCAAGGTTGGCAAGGTGTCGCATCCACCGATTGACCCTGCAAGTCCGATTCCTGAGCATTGCAATCCAAAGAAGGCGGCTCGAGACGACGTCAATCCTAAGAGGGATACGAAGGAACGGAAAAAGGTCTCAAAACCTAAGGAGAAAACAGAAGGGAAAAGCCACGAAGAACTCTAGTTTGTTGGCTCTTTCATGTCTCTGTAATTTAATACTACTCGATGCCATATTGTCCTGTAATATATATGCATGTACAGTCCCAGATTAGTCTAGCCATAAAACTTTTTCTCTCGTCGCAAAAAACAAAAGGCGTGAAGATCAGGTCAGCATTCGTTGGACAGGGTACTTTTGCTAGTTCAGGGTGGTAAAGTCATGTTCCGCCGGAAAAAGCAGAGCGACGTAAAAAACATACCTCAATGCTCGGCAGGAGATCCGTGCGTCAAAAGGTAATTTTTCAGCAGGGGGAAGTCGGCCATCGACGCGTTCATCATGGAAGAGAACGGGTTGTCGCGGTACTTGGCGATGACTATATTCCCTCGCCAAGCGACCTCTTCCTTGTAAGATCGCCCCTGTATCTCTCTGATGTTCTTGTTCACGGGAAATGGCATGCCATCCCGGGAGACAACGGGGTAGAAAATAATATAAGGGTTCGCGAACTTTCGATTCATGCCATCGAGGGCTTCTACAAGCTGAGTATTATTCAGTCCAAGGTCGCCGTTGATAGGTTTGGGTAAGATTTACCTGATATTTCCATGCCCGGGGACCAATACCATCAGCGATCTGTCCACGTTTCGGTTTTGTTGTCAGTGGGGATAGGATAGTCAAGAAAAAAGTAACGTACGTAGTCCATGTGAATTTCAGGGTGGGGCATGCGCGACGGGGAAGTGGTGTAGGAAGAATGATGAGTCGAGATCGTCATTGGACTGTACAAAAGAACAATAAAATTTCTCTGCCCGATGGGATGGACAGAAAGAACAATGACTTACCTAGTCATGAGTTGGACAAGGGACGGCGGACGTCCTGGATGACCCAAAAATGAGCAACAATGCAGATAAAATTGACGTAAAAATTGGGCGGACCGTCGGAAGGGAATAGGATGGCGTCGAAATGAATCATTTGGTCCATTGCGATTTGAGGGTCTGGAATATGCTGGTTGGTCAGATTTAATCATGGTTGACCAAACAATGGGTTCACCGTTGGGCAAGGGTTACGATGGAGCGTAGAAGAGGTGGACGAGAACCCGGTGAGTGACAAAAATGATAATCTTGAGAGCTCCTTTTATATTCTTTTGGCGCTGGCAGAACAACGAGGCCATGGTGTGCTTCACCCGATCGCACAAAGGCAACCTGGATGGTAAAACCAACCCCTCTCGTCCGTATCAACACGCGGAGATCATTTCCAATAGACATATAGATGTCATGAAGAATTGAGCGGAATCAGCAGTAATTTTTATGAATGGAACGCCTCCTTGAAGCGGCGACGGAAGTAATGAAAGCGAATGTCTGAATTGAATTGGATTGGATTCCGCTTGCAGGCCGCGATGTAACTCCACGAGTACGATTTTAGTAGCTGAGCCAGGGGAGCCAGAAAGCCAAAGAGTGATAGCTGGCGAAGACATAACACTACAGAGAGATAGGTCTACCAAGTTCGACACTAGCTGAGGTGATGAGTGAAGAATCCCAGCAGTGGGGTCGATAACTTGAGTGAAAACTGATCTAGAACGAATCCGGATAGAACCTTGTCTGCGATGTGATCCTGTTGGTATGTTTTCTATCCGCCCTTTGTTGGAAGTAGTACCAAAACAAGATTTAGGGAGCAACCTGTTTGTGGTTTGACCGTATTTTTAGTGCAAACCCTTACCGAAATGGTAATTCCATAGTCTTTCATAGGATGAGTACCTTCGACAAGTACTACTCCGATCTATTCCTTCTATCCATCACACTAGATCAACGGCAGCATGGTGTGCGAGCACACGCTTCCCCGTCGTAAGGTAATAATGCCAGTTGGGGTTTCCGGCATTACAACTCCGAGTCTATTGAACATGGAGTGCATCTAGTGACCTCTATCATGTGCGACGAGCCCAAATTGACCGCTATTTTGCAATGCATCCGCCCCGCAGAACTGGTAGTCTGCCTCCTCTAGAACTCTGCCTCAACCTTGATCGCAAAGTGGAAATTACATTATACTACTATTCAGTTCCATCGCACCGCCCCGGGCACAAGCCGCAGCCACCCTCGAAGTTTTCTGGGCCATACACTCAGGTCTCCCGAAGAGACAAGAAATCTGAGAGCCCATACGTTAAGTCGCTTCCGACGAGTATCTCAGACTACTCCGCGAATATCAGCCGCATGATCCCCAGAGGACATGCCAACATCATTGCATGGGTTCCCATCTAACCATTTCGCCCGTCCATCGGCTGATGAATATGGCTTCTGTCTGAAATATCTTTGTCGAGTCATACTTTTCCAAGCGATCATTGATTCTCTTAGTCTATCCGGCTTTTATAGTTCTTCCATGTAACCGTTTCATTGCCGTTTATCTGATGCTCTCTGCAATGCTACGGCTGTAATAACTAGGCTTTTGACTCGGGGGGACATTCTAGTCTTCGGCCTTCAGGTTCCCGGTATGACCGTCATTGCCTCGAGGTTCTGGTAAAACGCGATCTCAGTCGTCACCACATGCCTTCTGACTATTCTAGTTTCCGTTTGAAAGCAGGGTCCTTCTTGATGCTTAATCGCACCCCAAAATGTCCCATGCAACACGATGATCCCCCTTCATCGCCTTTGATTTATTATAATCGTACTCCGAAAGCATTTTCTTCCTACCGCGCTGTAAACGCGCCATGTCAATTTCTTTGCCGGATACTACGCCTGGCCGAGTAATCGAGGCGGAAGACGCAGCTCCCATACGTACAGCTTGAACGAAGCAATCCCCGCTCCGCTTTCTTGAAAGCCAAGAGTTTTACGGGCAATACACCCCTTTCATCTTGGTCAAACTTGTTCGAGCGTGTTGAGTTCTGGGGCCTCAATTGAGCCTCGGTCAGTCTGAATTTCGGGGCCGTAGAACTAAGTCCGTCTCTTCTTCTTTACAGACCTACTTATCGCATTTCGCATCCGAGGGAGGAAGGGCTCAAACAAGTGGCGCGTGTATCTATGTCAAAATGAATCGGGAACGAAGTCGATTATGATCATCTCTCCAGTTTCCTTCTCTTCGATTGAGAACTTCTTGAATCAACATACCATGATTGCCCTGCTGGAGTACTAATCGGTGTGAATATCAAATATGTTCTTCGCCGTGACTCGTGGAAATATGTCGTTATATACTCTAGATTCAGAAACCTAGTATAAACCTTTAGTTCACTGTAATAGCCTTTCTCAAGGGTCTGCGTGTCTTTTAATACCGCCGTATGGAGACCTGTGCACAGTTCATGAGTACCCAAAGTCGTATGCGGAATGAATCTGTTCTAAAAGGGTCTTTACGTCTCTCATCCTTTTACAGATGGACTATGAGTAGCGACTGACGTCCAATGTCATCGTAAAGCTTTTCGATGATAAGTCTGGAAACGAGCCCTCGCGAAGTTTCCCCGAAGACTAGATCAAGTGGACAAGCTTGACAGTGGCTGTAGCGACATAAGGAGACTCTGCTCCTCTATCTAACTTGACAAACTCATACTTTCGCGGTCTCAAGTAATAGATAACATGTAAATCTTCTCTTCCTCATGAAATACATCGAAGCCAAGTCCAAACCATCGGCCCCTATGTTTTGTCACAAGATCGCGCCTTCCACGTGACTAACGAATTTCTTTCTTGAACGGTGAGGACCGACCAAGTCAAACGTTGACAAAACAGAGGCACTCATACTGAAAGTACCGTCATTAAAGACAGGATAGAGTATATACCTTCTCAGTGCGTCCTCTTTTCACTCAAAAAATTTTCACTCTGAACCGAAAACAGGCGCCATGGATAGCTCTATGCTAGTGGCAGCTCAACTATCGTCTTTGTATCCGTCTGTTCACGCTGTGGGCGTTCCAATCCCAGGCAGCGGCCCCTGTCGACCCGCTATTCTCTTACACACCGGATCAGTCGAACCTCACCGAACATTCGACGTTTTCAACGGTGTTTCACTCAACAACAACCGGTACCATATTGTTACGCGTACTCGAAGGTTCCTTGTTGGAGTTAGTGTCGCTGTCCGTCGACACAGTAGCCGCTCGTTTCAGTCTCCCGTCGCCCGTGCTGCCGTCTCCCGGAATATTCCTGTGGGAAGACCAGGAATTGCACATAATAGCAGTGACGGTGTCCGGATGCGTGTACCGCCTGGTGTTGCCTTTGCGTAATAGTAAGGATCTTTGGCGAGATGAAATCCACAACGTCTGGACGCGTGAATACGTCATTACGCATCGAGTGGCAGGGGTGAACGGTGTTGTTCACATCCACGGGACACACTGTGTAGCAATCGGGTTGGGGAATGGATCTTTACTTAGACTGGATACAGAATACGTGGGATCCGAGGGCGGTGAAGGTGCCATTCTTCTTATGTATCATCTCATCTACTGATTGCCAAGTAGGAGAATGGACGGAGACGCTTTTCACACCGGGCTCGTTTTTGTCTTCTTTGACCTCCTTCCTGCCCGCAATTTCCACGGGGCCCTCTCATGCCGCAGAAATCATTTCCATTGCGACGCTCCCGTGGCCGACGGACATTGGTTCAGTATGGTCAATTTCACGCGATCGTGTCGTGAGATTTTGGAAACCAAAGGTCGGCTGCGTGGCATCGAAAGCACTCCCCGCATTGCCTGGCAGAGACGTTGCGCCGTCGCCAGGCCCTTCGGCGAACGGAGGGAACAGCGCTCTTTTGGAGTCCGGTCGTCAAAACTTCCTACGTGCAATTTCCGCCGATTCCGACGATGATCGTGTTTACCTTCTTGCCTTCATTCCTACTCCAACTCTCCACACGTCTGGAGGTAACTTCCATCTTCTTGTCGCAGATTCAGACCATCTCCAAGAAGTTAGGACGATCCCTTGTTCGACAGAGAGCGCCCATTGCAGTTTACAAGACTTCATAGTGATCGGAGAAACCCTACATGTTCTATGGGATCGCCAGGGTCAGTCTGTGGTTGACAGCGCCGTCATACCCTTCCAAGACGCCGATTTTGAACCCCAGTGGAAGTCAGCTTCTTATCCTCACGAAGTCGAGCTAACCCCTACATACCTGGAAGAGGTTCTTCTTCCGCCAGGATCACTGACGGGCAAGTGCTTCGAAGTGATAATGAGACCCGGAATGTTCTCCCCGTTCACGCTGCGCACGGCAATTGAGGACTACACCAATGGTTGTCTCTCCCTTCCTGGAACCCCCGCGCCGCAGTTGCAAGTGAATTATGCCACTGTTGGGGAGCATATTGCTGCCGTGGTTGGATGCACAGTTACTCTTCACCATGACCCACAGACTGGCGCTCTGCTACATGCCGAATACTGGAATGCGTTCAAACGAGATTGGGAAGGCTTCATCGCTCTTTGCCGAGAGATTGAACGTCGCTCTCGGCGACCTCTTGCGTTGGGTGTCGGGGCCAATGGTGACGTCATTGTCGTTGAACGAGAACGGGTCGCCTCTCTCGTGAACGAAGACTTGGCTATTCACCTACACAACGCTCTCAGGTCTGAGGCCCCAGAGCTTGAACCCCAATGGGATATTTTTGGCGCGATGGAGAGTTTGCGCCGAGCGCTAGGCGTTCAGATGATGTTGAACTTGGAAAGCTGCTTGGTCGACGTCATGCATCAGGAAATTGCATTTTCTCTCGCTGATATCATACAAGATCAAGCCGTTCGTTTGAAATTTAACGAAACGCTGGGCGACGACTTTCGTACTGGGTTATTGGGCCGGCTTAGGGACATGTCCAGCTTACCTGATGAAGTTCGTGCTATGCTAGATTACGTGGGTGGACTGGAAACAGGCATCAAGAGAGAGGAGGATGCCCCAGCTTCTATTCCCCCGCCTCGTTCACAATGGACCAGAGCAATCACGGCGTCATACGTTATAGCCACAACAAATGCACGCTACAACCTGTGCTTATCTATCGTCACCCTTCTGTTCTTCTTGGCGCCAGAAATAGGTCAATGGGACCCGTCTTTGCTAGCCGAGGTTTTCGCTCTCTTTCGAGGGACTGCCATTATGAGATACGTAATTAGGCAACCGTCCAGTCTTCCCATCAGGCCTCTTGTGGAGGATGCTTCCGCAGCTGATGATGTTGTCTCGCTCATGCAGAATATGCATGTATCACGGAATCGCGGCGAGACTGCCCAATCATTCTCTCTCATACATCGACTCCTGGATTATTTCGGTGACAGCCAGGTTGGATTGCCCGGGGCTGCCCATGGTTTTTTGGACACAGCAGGACTTTTGCAATCTGTCTCGCTCTCACATGCGACTAGTAACGAAGTTGTATTCGCTGAGAAGCTTAGGCAACTTGGATACTTCCAAGCTGCCTTGCAGGTACTGTCTTGGCTTCCGAGAACTGCGGGAGTCATTTACGTCCTGGCTCGTCTGTATCTCAATGTTGGTCGTGCAGATGACGCGGCATTCTTACTAGAAAAGCTTGCTGGATGTTTAGGTATGTTAGTCAATATGTTTGGTCTGCAGAGAACTTACTATTGGTATAGGTATGGATGGTGCAATAGCCGCTGCAGACAAGATGGTATTATCACTCGTGCTAACCGAGCTTGAGCAGTTAGATGACTGTTACCACATTCTATATCCATGCGGCGGGCCTTTTCAAGTCAAAATCATTGGTATACCAGGAGACTGTCTTCACCCAGCTTGCGATATCCGTGGCCCCTTCGGAGATAGACACTATCACCCTGTGGGCGACGGTGATCAGAGGGTATACGGAACTTGCTTTGTACGATGATGCTTATGCGGCTTGGATTTCCACCCCCAATGAGAAGCAGTGAGAAGTTTCTTCGTTCCTTCTTATATATTTGCTAAATTTCTGCAGAAAACGGGAAAATATTAGTCAATTAGTGTATCGAATGTGCGAGGATAATGCTGCACAAAAACTGATGACGTTCAATTTTACGGGGTTCGCCGACGAGGTCGAAGATGCTCTCTCATTCAAAGTTCGCAATGTGGATCCTCGAAGCCAGCCGAACTACGCTAGAATATTGTACGGTTGGTATACAAGTCGAAGCGACCACAAAAATGGTATGTCCTAATGCTTGATAATCAATGACAACTAAATGAGTCTGCCAGCTGCTCTGACTATGTACCAACGCGCAGCGGAAACTTCGTGAGCTTCTCGACGCAGATGCGCCTACGTCGTTGGCCGACGACGCGTTACAGTCGTATCTACTTGCGATAAATTCGCTGTCTCTTACAGACCCGAAAAATGCCTGGATTCTAATACCTGGATCTGTCGATAGTGAGCATGAGGTAAGTAATTCTCTTCTTTCCAATTTAATTGCCGTAACCTGTTACTTACACATTGGACTAGCCTAGGAAACGTCAAAAAGTCAAACGGATACCAGAGTCGAAGTATACTCCAGGTAAATATGAAAACGAAATCGTCCATCTGGAGGATGTCCAGTACGAGTATGCGCTTCTATCTGCTCAGGTGGATATCGTCCAGCGCCACCCTTCTGCAGGCCAGTACCCCAGTCACCAATGCTTGTCTGCATTATTACTTACCCTCCTGAAACAGAATTCCCCCTTCCACCCGCCTCAATCGTTCTCCGACTCGTTCAATTAAATTGCTTCAACCTCGCCATGACTACTGCGCGCAGTCTTGATGTAGACATGTCTGAATTGTTCTCTCGTTTGACAATCCAATGCTTGCGACTTTCGCGGGACCCAGACTCATTAAGGTACGTCTCTTACGACAACTACAGTACCTCATGCTATAATTATCCTCAAACAGTCTGGAAGACCATTCCGAATGGTTACTCACCGACAAGGTTTCTTCCTGGTCTGGGACGCCAGCAGAGAAAGGATGGAAGTTTCTCCGGCATTCCCTTGTATGCCATGACTGTCCCGAGACAGACTATCGGTATTCAAAAATCGTCCTGGAAACTATAATGCAACATCAAAAGTCCCCTCCTCCGCCATGGCTCGTCAGCTTGTTGGAAGTAAGTAAATCTGATTGAAGGCCTTCTCGAACGTTACTGACAGATAGACATTTTAGGCTCATCATCACGAGTACCTCATTCGCATTAATCTGCGCTACGAAAACTTCAATCGTGCTATCGACCATACCTTATCTTTGATACGCAAAGTTCGTATTGAATTACATCTGCCGATTTACATTTACTAACTTGTGCGTCGCTTACAGGAAGACGCTCGTTTAGCGCGGGATCCTCCCAAGAACACCTCCGCTACTTGGCTCCCTTATGCGATTATTGATCAAGTTATCATCGCAGCAGCAGAGCAAGAGGTAGAACCTCCACAGTTGTCGGTCCTCCGCTCCGAAATTTCGAGCCGGATGAAGAGGATGCAAAAGCTCAGCGCGTTCAACTAATCTTGTTTGTATATCATCTATTCTGTCGTACATGCTGTCCTTTAGCTTTTGTCTTCATCTAATTTATATATCCTCCGCCTGGGCCATTAAAACGACTAGAATTGTTTTCGGAAGCAGTTATAAGGATCATCTGGTGGTACATGCAGTTTTACAATATCCCAGATAAATAAGATGTATATACCGTATGTCAAGCAAATAGGGCAAGAAGAATACTAAAGCAGAACACGACTAACGACTATGCCGACTAGATTGCTGCACATTAGGTGCCGCACCAGACATCCCCTCCAAGAACTGCGTCCATTCGCCCTGCCCGAATCCTACCGCGGCGCCCCACATTGATGTGTCGTCTACATGGCCATAAGAGCTGTTGTACCTAGAGTTCTCACCGTATATCTGCTGCTGCTGCATCAGTATATATGGATCCGGCTGATACGCCGGCGTGGACATATTCTGCCCGCCCTGGCTAGACACTATCGAAGGCGACAAATGTAGCCCCGGCGATGAGTGTATCGTACCCGATATCGACCCTTGATATCCGGTCTGCGGAGTCCCTTGGAGGTTGGGTGTCTGTGCCTGCAGAGGGTCATACTGCCTCGGTGGAAGCGTGGTCACCATTTGCATAGGCGGACTCACAGATGAACCAGCCGGGGAATCTGCAGAACCTCGGCCGCTAGAAACGGATTCACCATACCGCCGTGGTCCGTGTGAGTCGTGATACGGGAAAGCAAGTTTGCGGACTAGACTCAGTACGTGCCCACGCTCCTTCTCCTTGTCTTCTGGGCTGAGATGCGTGAGCTCGCCAGAATACAGCGGTGAGATGGCTTGCAAAATGTCGAATGCCTTGTCTGCAACAGCACTTCCCCGAGCCTGTTCCAATGTCGACAGTGCCTTCCGAATACTGGCACGGAATAGTCCAGCCCCTGGTTGATCCGGATTGGCAATCAACTGGAATGAGAAAAACATCGCTGCTGAGAAGCAATGGAAGGTGCCCCAGTTCATATGTCCCGGTACCGCAAGTGACGAGTTTGCCAAGAAATCAGGGCGTGATTGGCCGACCATCGTGATCAGTTTGTCGGCAGCGCTGACAGAGATTTCTAAACTTTCGGCTGCGTTTTGGCTATCAATGCGTGATGTTGATTGGTGCGCGCAGGCGGCGTATGGGCGATGGAGGGTGAATCGGATGTGATAATATGAAGTTCGTATTATAACGCTCTGGACGCCTTGCCGACGCATGTCGTTGTCAGTTGACGCCAAATTTCGCGCGACCCGGTATTCGTCGAGATCCAGTTCCGCCGGAAGACTGTCCATCCATTGCGTTAGGGCGCGATCGTTGGCTTGTACACTCTCGTAGGGTACGGGACGTATAGAGACAGCGTCATCCATAATGTCACCTAATATGTAAGCGAGACGAAAGAGTGCAATGTTCGGAAGGTATAGTCGACCCGTCTTGTCTATAGCAGGGTCGCAGTATGATGGTAGTTGAGTGTCGAAATGATGCGACGCAATGCAAATCGGCCGCCCAAACATGAAAGCCTGCCATCTATGTAGATTAGTCAGTTTACATTGTATCAAGTAAGCTCGGATGCTTCTTACCGCTCAAGTAGGATGATATGCCACCATGCCCATCTCCGCCGCTCCGCGACGTCCCGATGCATTCGCCATCTCCCAGGGTCTCTATGTAAGCCCAAGGCTGTACCTATCGTCACCAATTCCCCTCGTATCTGCCAGACCTGTTCACTCTCTGTCTTCGCCAATGTAAGATAGTGACCCTGGATTAGGAGCAATTCGACCAGTTCAATATTATACTTTTTGCTTTCAGCGTGCCGCCGTTGTAATGCCATTTGAGAGACATCAAAAAACTTGTTTCCTTGTTCTTGAGGAGTCTCGGAGAACTGCTCCAAAAGTTGATGGTCTGATGGCAGGTAGTGGGCTGCTACCCCCATGATGACGCATGCGGTTGCAAGAACAATCCGGTCGGCAGACTTTCCGCTTTTAAAACGATCCCACTGAGATGAGAACGCCTTCTCATTGACGTGCCGATAGACCCAGTTGCAGCATTCAAAGTAGAAGGTAATAAGCCCATCGATGACGTCAAGGGAAGGCAGCATTGCAAGGAGATCGCGGTCATACTCTGGAGGAAGAGCCGAGAATTCCTCAACGGTCCTTTCCTGGCTGCCGTGCCGACTGTCCGCTGAATCCGAATCACCTTTGCCTTCCTGTAATGTCAAGGCGTAAGTATTTAATAGTATACCATAGGCAGCATTACTTGCCCCCGCAAGCAGATGTGTAGCGGCACTTGTCGGGCCCGCGTAGAGACCGCCCTGCCCTGAGCTAGCAAGCATGCCTGGAGCATTGTTGGCGGACCCATCGCCCACGTCCGGATCAAGTAGCTCCTTCTTAGGCACGAAATTAGACGGTTCACCTTGCCGTCTGGGAGTGACTGCAGGGGGCCGCGACGTTGGGAAGACATACGACTCAAGGAGATTGAGTGAGTGTCGTACGCGAGCAAATTCCTGAGCAGGGTCAACACGGGTGAAGGAACTGTATGGCAGGGGACCGTTCAACATTAGTATATCACGAGATGGGAGTTGTTTGGGGGCAGGAGGAGGACGAATCATACGTCAGAATGGGGATACATCGAAGACTATAGCAAAGACGCACGGACGATCATCGCCTCGGAGGGGATCGTTACTTCTCTCGTGACCTCGCGCATCCGCGTAGCATGAAGCAGCAGTCCCTGCACCAGTCAGCACAGACCTCACGACGAACCTCGCCGGAACTTACCCCGCAATACACAGGACGAACACGGTCGGTTCCTAAGTATATATATCAGCTTTCTAGGTGGATATATGCGCGAAAAGCGAGCAGTAAAGGCACACCTATCGCATTTTAGTTTGCTATTTCGACATGGCTCACAATTAATGGCTTTTCGAGCGCGTTTCTGTGGCCTCGAGTCCGCGTTCTGCTCCCCAGGCTGTGGAGATGACCGCTGGCGAACAGCACCGGTAGTCGAGGACCTAGAAGGCTTAGGCCGCGGAGGTACAGGTGCAGTCAGTGGATAAGTCGTCAGGCATCGGTGATGTGTTTCCCAAGATTAGATGATCAGAGAATCCAAGTCGGTGCGGCCGTAGCACTGGGAGTGTTCGACGTCGGGCCTCGCGATGAGCAGCAAGTTGCGGAGTCGTCGGCGGCAGTGACAACGACGACGGGTAAAGTATGCACAGGTGTTGGTTGAAAAGTAAGCAAGGAACGGCAGGGCTAACGGGGTGTGTCAAGCTGGACGATCGCACCCTTTCCGTTTTTGATATTCAAATTATTTATATTTATTCACCTATCGACATTTCCCAAAATATATATTTCCTTCTGCAAATCAGTCCCCCTCGTTCTTGCTCATGAAGCCTGCCTGACAACTGGGCATTCAGTCCTGATCCACACAAGCTTTTCTGCCCCGTCTCCCGAGGTAAGCCTTTTCTACCAGCACCCTTTTACTTTCAGGGTACCTGGGGGACCAAGGACGTCAATTCAATCGAGATCTATGAGCACCGGCGTGTTCTCGGTTTGCCGATCTTCCTCCGCCGGTCGCCGGTGATTACCTGAAACGCCGTTAAAAGTGACCATCCGATCGAGTAATTTTGGCAGCATTTTTAGGTCGTTGCACAGACAGACCGTCGCGGATCCCGTCCAAAACGTCGAATTTTTAGTGCTGTATAACACTACACCGGGGAGGGGGAATGCCCACTATCGCCTGATGATATAACCCGGGTGAAGAGCGGGGAAGGGCTAATATCCTGTTCATAAGCATCCGCCGAAGCACATGGCAAGCGCTCCTCACCATTATCCCTCACCATGCCCACCTTGAAGGCCCGTGCCGGCTTGTTAGAATTTCCTGATATGATACTATTTAGACGCGTGCGGTTCAGTTCCCAAAGCCAACAAGGGGATCTCTGCAGCTGAATGCGACTCTGATCGTATAACAGGGACACTAGCTGATTCAGTTCGGGTAATTAGTATATTTTGATTAGGCGAGCCAGAAGGTAATAACGACGCGTCAACTGCGGGAACGTCGTATCGAGATATCCTAGACAGATAAGACTCACTAGTGGCGGAACCAACTGGGTGGACAGTCCGAACAACAAGTCTTCAAGGGACTGATTGGGTTTTTTCGCCCATATTACTGGGGAGAGGCTCCGGTTTCTGATCCGTCCTCCTGCTTAACCAGCAATACGTAGGGGTGTCCTCTATTCCGTCCGACTGCACTATACTGAACCCGGTCAAGTCGGAGCCTGTAAATGAGCGGCAGAATGATATAGTTTCCAGAAATCGGTACGTTATCCGCTATTGTTCAGTGAGTTCGAGAAGTAGCCGGGATGAGCGAACTAGCCGCAGTCCATCCGCGCATTCAATGAGGAAATGCCCTATATCAATATGACGAGTTGTTGCCCACCTAGAGCAGAGATGCATGGGGACTGATTCTCCCCGATATATCAAAGTGTGTTTATTTAAAAGCTACAGCTGGGGTCCATCTGCCACAGGCGTCGTCTGCTGTGAGTCTAATTGAAGGTAGTAACATGATTACATACCCTTTTAGAAGAGCGCACCTGATACCAAGAAATAGAGAGAAAGACTTTTTACAAGTCATGCCCCAGGGATCAAGACAAGAGAATACGAGTGAAATTGATACAAGACTTTGAGGATGCGAAAGAGGCCAATCCTTGCAAAGACCGCTACAAGGAAGGCAGCGCAATCCGCAAGATCACTGAAGATGCAGGACCTAATATCGATGGAGCGCCGAAAAAGGCGGGAGATGTATATCCATAGACGCCCTTACAGTACGACGGAAACTTCGAGAGTCTGATGCCAGTGTTACTGATAACCATAGGAGACTTCACGGCTATGCATGGTAGCACATGCGACGTAAGTAGTCCCTTGGATCATCACAAGGAGCGCCACAGAAGACAACTTAGACTCTTTCGCGGAGCTTCTGGGTACTTGGCTCAAGACATACGGACGTCCTGAAACCCCGAGGAGATCAGCACTAACGGAAACCCAAATACAAGTTGCCTGAGTAGATTGGAGCCGGCACCCATATACCGCAAGAACACCGACACGAAGCAGACGCCACATAAGATGAAGGTCACATAACCATGAGTCCAATAGTTCCAAAAGTTTGCCGTTAGAGGAATATTGATATAAGTAGTTACTAGTTAACTCTGAATACCTAAATGTTGGAGAGGTTCCGGTAAGCGCGCAGGTGAGATTTTCAACCATGAGTATAATCTACCTCATTGTTCAAGCGTATCGGCAGCGGTTCCAGGGCAAAGGACAGTTAGAGTCGTCGACGCGCCCGGGCCGGCAACGTGACCGAGAACGTGATCGTAAATTCTAGAAGGAACTCCCAGCGCCGTCTATACAAGTCAGCCAGTTTCTCTTTTCTTCCAATACCTCCACTATGGCTGACGTGCGTAGTACGTTTCTCGCTTCTCCGGATCATCCTCTATTAACTTCCCAACAGGCAAATACTCTCAAGGACCAGGGAAATAAAGCCTTTTCCGCAAAGGAATACGATAAAGCAATCAATCTTTTTTCACAGGCGATAGCCATCGATCCCAAGAATCACGTTCTTTATTCTAATCGTAGTGCGGCCAAAGCTGGGAAAAAGCAGTGGGCTGAGGCTCTGGCTGATGCAGAACAGGTGCGGACGCTGTTAGGTGTGATTATTGTCCGACTATTACTAACAGTTAAGCATCCAGTGCATTGCCGTTAACCCCTCGTGGTCAAAAGGGTATGCCAGGAAGGGTGCTGCTCTGCACGGAGCAAGGAGATTCGATGACGCTATCGCTGCGTACGAGGCCGGTTTGAAGCTTGAAGATAGTCCTGCATTACGCAAGGGTTTGAAGGAAGTTCAGGATGCCAAGTGTACGCATGTTTTCCCTGTATTTGCTGTTCTTTTGATGACGATGGAATGTTAGCGGCGGACGCATCTGAGGATGCCCTAGGTCTCGGGAAAATGTTTGCAGATCCTAATCTTTTTGCTAAATTGGCGGCGAATCCCAGGACGGCGAAGCATCTCGCGGACCCCAATTTTGCTCAGACGGTGTGGTTTAATTCTATTCGTCGTGGACTATTTTCTGAAAACTGGTTCTGTAGCTTCAAATGATTCAGAAGAACCCCGCTTTAGCTAACAGGTATGAATTGAGACCTTCGACTATATTGTCGTAGATTGATGTTGATATTTTTAGTTTACTTTCGGGTGGCGATCCTCGAATGATCGATGTATTGGGGGCTTTAATGGGTATCGACATGCAAGCCTTCAACCGGCCTGAAGGATCCGATGAATTGCCTGAGGGTTACTCCAAAGTCGATCCATCAGTTCCGAAATCATCTCCGCCGCCTCCACAGCCAGCAGCTTCTTCATCCCAGCCTTCTGCTTCGACGTCGGCGCCTCCTCCGCCCACTTCTGAGGATGTGGAGATGGACGAGGAGGTTGCCGAGGAAGCTAAGGCGAAGAAAGAAGCTGAGGAAGCAAAGAGGGTTGGAGGTGAGGCGTACAAGAAGAGAAACTTTGATGAAGCCTCGCAACAATTCCAGAAAGCATGGGATTTGTGGCCAAAGGATATTACTTTCCTCACCAATTTGGCAGGTGAGTATCTCATAGGAAGCGATCTATATGCAACTAATACCTTTCAATAGCTGTGTACTTCGAACAAGGGGACTATGACAAAGCCATTGAAACCTGTGAGAAGGCAGTGGAAGAAGGTCGTTCGGTAAGCGGACTTACCTTTTCTCCTGCCGTGCAAACCCTAACCCATGTTGTCACGCATCTAGCTCCGTGCAGACTACAAGCTCATCGCGAAGGCATACGGTCGTACAGGAACGGCTTACTCAAAGAAAGGCGACCTTCCTTCCGCGATCAAGTTCTATGAAAAGTCTTTAACGGAGCACCGTACCCCGGATATATTGAACAAGCTCCGCGAAGCTGAGCGGGCAAAGGCTGAAATGGATCGTCAGGCTTACATCGACCCCGAGAAGAGTCACATTGCGAGAGAAGAGGGCAATAATCAATTCAAATCCGGTGACTTTGCAGGCGCGGTGAAGTCGTACACCGAGAGTATCAAGAGAGATCCCAGCGATGCACGAGGATACAATAATCGGGCTGCCGCGTATACAAAACTAGTTGCCCTTCCAGACGCCCTGAAAGATGCTAATGAAGCAATTAAGATCGACCCTTCTTTCGGTGTGTGCTTTCTCTGTTGTTTTACGTCGATGGGCGTTCGGCTAACTCGTTCGATGATGGTATAGTCAAGGCCTACATCCGAAAGTCCAACATCTTGTTCTCCATGCGTGACTATACCAAGGCTCTGGAAGCCGTCCAGGAAGCTACGGATCACGATACCGAGCGTAAACATTCGGGAGAGATCTCACAGCAAGAGATGAAGATCCAGCAAGCCATCTGGAACCAACGGGGTAACGAGACCCAGGAGGAGACACTAGAACGAGCGATGAGAGATCCGGAGGTTGCTGTAAGTTCTTTGTAACTGTTACTCCGTCGGATGCTCATATGATCTGTTACACAGGGCATTATGAACGACCCTATCATGCAGCAAATTCTACAGCAGGCGCAGAGTGACCCGCAAGCATTGCAGGATCACATGAAGAACCCTGTTGTGAGGGGCAAGATTCAGAAACTGATTAACGCGGGTATCATTAGGACGAGGTAGAGAACTTGGGACTTTGGTTATAAAAATGCTAGTTGAATAGTATCATTTGACATTGGTGTCTAACGCTTTTAGTCCCTGTATGCTTCATCTAAGAACCCATAGCCAATTTCGCAATCTGACTTGACGAGCGCCGTATAGGCGTCAGCACTATAAACCCTGCAAAAGTTAGGCTACGAGCTTACAATACTGACACCCAAACGATAGCCCTCGAGCAACAGTATCGTCTTTTCATCCTGCCCCGATCCGAAGACTGAAATCTTGTTGCGTAGAGTCTTGTCCCCATTCATGGATGATGGAAGCCTCCCTTTACCAGAACTTCCAAGCCACGCAGTCGAACTCGGCGAGACCTGATATCACGGAGTTGACTGTAAGGAACTAGGAACCGCCAAGATCACAGTTACCGGCATCGAATGTGGTAACTAAAGACCATAATGACGAGGAGTCCCAGAGGTCATGACGGCCGCACCGTGAAAACACCGCCGGTTCATTCAAACCTCTGAGGCAGCCTCGTCCCGATGATATGTGGAGGTAAGGGCGTCACTTGAGCGGTCGGACATCAGAAAACAGGTCCCTCTATCAACTTACGAGCTCGTTCCAGGAGCGTGGTAATTGAATGTCCCGTCCTACACGTTTCGAAATCATCATATCGGCGGCGCTGTCGGTTCTCCAAGTCGACTGAAAATAGGAACATTCGCATGCGACCTAGGCACTACAATATTGTCGACTCTGCACCCGAGTTGACGATCCTTTCTGAACATTGATTTTGCTGGCATCAGGATCACAATGTCATCGGACGCTGACAAAATCCGATCTCACTGGTTTTGACGACGTCGGCTTGAATCTAGACCCTTTGGTTCCTTGACTTTGCCAAAGTACGATTTCACACTGCCGTTAGTTGGAAGGCCGAAAGAACACAAAAGACAGAGTAACTTGAAGGTCATTACCCCCACGAAAGGTCGTCCTACGGGTCATTGAAACATGACCTTGAGAAGGATGAATATATACATCCAGGCACCCACTCGGAAGATGCCAGGAGATGGTGGAGACCTTCTGGTGTGTCAAGCGGCTTGGAGGATCATACAGAAGCCTGACTTTGAAAAGCGGAAACACGTTCACACCGATACAGAAGACATAGAAAATAAATTGTGGACACGCAAACTCACTAGAACCATACACGAGTCGTAATAATGAACAAGATGTGGAGGCGAATCTCCGTTTCGCTATTCAGAAAGACGGCATGTCGAGTATTCCCGTAAGCCGGACTCGGAGGTATCCTTCCTGGAGGATAAAGGAGATTGCCTGAGGCTTCGTGGTGGACATCAAGATTGTTGTAACTAGCATCCAGAAGTCCGAGTTGTCACCTACTTCCGGAGAGCGATCTTGTTCGGCACGTTCCGATCAAGTTTGACTTTCGACCACTCTCAGCTCGATCGTAACTTAGCATCGTCCAGCGGCTTTCATTATTTCCACTCATCAGTCACTTCTCTAATGTGTCTATCTCGACTCTGAATTTCATCGACGTAGCCCCACCCTAAAATCCGTTTTGGTCTCGCATTAAAAGACGTGATTCTATAATGAAAATCTGGAGTATTCTCAGCGCTGTATGACTTTGCTTTTCCATACGCGTTCTATCTCTATTTCATTGACGCTGCGATTATAAACACTTTGGAGATTTTCCTAGGCGTACTAGGACTAACGCACCGATACCTCAAAAGTGTGTTCTTGTTCTTGTGGCTTCCTCGCTTCCCACTTCATCGATTTCAGCCCGACGAACATGTCAGGGAAGTCCTCTCTTAGGCAAACCGTCAGCTTTTGGCAGTTTTGGGACCTTCCAGTAACCATATATGTACCAACTTGAACAACTAAACTCAAGTACTTGCATCCGATAACGGTTCAGGATCTCTTAGAGATTCGTACTCTTTCCCAATAACTTGCAGTAAAAAAAATCCGCTTCCATCTCCGCGTTTGTCACAGCGTCTCCCGAGTCTCCGATGTCATAATGACTGATCACTGGACCCGTTATGGATGTTGCAGGACGCCGTATGCTATAGATACGGGACAACACCGTTGTGTGACCTATTAGATGCTGAGATTGGAAGCTATCTTCTTCAGCAACAATCCACTTCCAAGGGCTACACTCGAGGAGCTCCGCAATGTTAGCATCGACGCTCTGCTCGGAAGTCTAGATTTGCTCAAAACGTCTTCTTGAACTGTCGTTTGCTCTGAGCAGATCCTGCGTGCCTGGAAAACTCGTTATAGTCCCCTATCCGACGTCTTCCGACCGAAATCCTGTTGGAGATCTTCCTATAGGCGGGGAGCTATACGGCGGAATACAGTATCACGAAGATACGGGAGATACCATGGGTTTCTAGTCCCATCTGTCACTCATGGCAAGTTATACGGCTGTCCCTCCCCCCCTACGAGAAAGCCTGTCCATCTTAAACGTGGCTACTTCGACTCTTTCTACCGTTATCTTACTCTCTGGGACCGCTACCAGTGGGCCCAATCAGTGGTCGTATAACTAAAACGGGAATCAGTAAGCTCGTATCTAGTAACCTTCTAGCTTCCTTTCTCTCGGCTTCGTCGGATGTGAGGGCAGGATGTCATCTCGATGTCCTTCAGCTATGCGATGGCGACATTGTCGTGGGTGTGTTTATACGGACTGCACCAGCCAAGACGCTATTTTTCACGGGTCTTTGAAGTGCTTGGTTCCTTATGACGGATTCAAATTTTTCGATATGTAAACTCACATTGACGCGGGTCCGATTGCAAGCTGCAGACAAGAAGACTCTCCTCCCTATGTGATTTAATAGAGTGTTGCCTCTTGGATATGGCCGTTCGGCAAATCGAAGGTCTACCCCGTCAGACTGGGGCTTGAGCATAGCTATTGCTCGCCACGGCACTCAAGAGACTTTGGACGCAATGCGCGCTCCTGGCGCTACAGATTCGAGATACATTTTTCGAGGTTAGCAGGATCCTCTGAAGAATAACAACACCGGCTTGTGCTACTGCTGAAAAGCTCTATCTAGATTTGGGTAATCCTCGTCACTATAATCCAGACTCTGTGTTGACGGGGAGTCTCAAGAAGGTGATTGAAACAGTATAAACGGGACAGGGATTTGGAGCTGATAACGGATTCAGATCCCGTTGCAAGCAGTCAAGCAAACCGGTCCCGATGTATACGCTTTCAGGCGAACGTCTACGGCATGATTATGTTCGCGTAGGATTCTTTCATGTCAATCATATCGGCTCCTTGACTACACTTCCTTCTGAATTCAAGCGTAGCAGCAAGGGACTGGGAAACTACGAGGTCCTCGGGTTCACAAACTTGGAAGTCTGTAAGTGTTTCACTACATATCAATCATTCGCTACCTTTCTTCTTCGCTGAGTCTCCATGTGGTATGCCCGAGTTTCTTACAACATAAAAGCATAACGAGAAGCTTCTGTAGGCATGTCGACACGAACATGGTTCACTCAGATACCCAAATCCGGGTTAGTATCATGTCCGACCAAAACATTGATATCAATATCAATGTAGCGGCCGCCACTATCCGAAGTCGAATCGTAATCTATGAGTCATACCGAAAAGTTTACATTTAGAAGCGATACCCTATAGCTATTTAGCATCATAAGTACAATATTATACCACTAAAAGTGTCAGCTCGAATTTTCATGCGCATGTGGGTATACTTCCATTATTTGATGGCACAGTACGAATTCTATAAGAAACTTACAAGAACGACAAACGACAAAGGTGAAAGGCGGAAGTTTTCTACGGGCTCGCCATTATCTCATCTGCAGGCACTTTTCTAAAATGCCGGTCCGGTGTCCGCTCACCGTCCTCACCCTTGGCAATGTGTTCAGGCGTCTTCTCACCAACCGTTGTGTCCATCTCGATGTCTCCTGCATCATCTTCTTGCGCACTACAAATGCTCCGCGAATCTTCCGACCCTGCGGACGAATGCGCTGGTCGTATTGTAGGTTCGTCATCAGTCGTCCAGCCTCCATCAGTTTCTGTCTCCGTCTCCGTCTCTGTCTCCGTCTCGGGTTCTTCCTCCGATTCGGGTGGCCCGTGTCGGTGATATGATGCAGCTGCTTGTGGGTGATCGTGAACACGGGCGCCAAAAGCATCTATGGCACCCATGGCATGTGTCGGAACAGCGGCGGTTGAGGCGGATGAAGAGGATGACGGCGGAGAAGAATCGGAGGAAAAGATGATTAGTTGCTCGGCGTAACGTTGCATTTCATCGCCGGGGATGACCAATCGAAAGTCATTTAGCAGAAGGAATTGGAGCTCGAGTTGGTTGAGCTCAGCCAGTGGCAGACCTCCAACCTGCCAAGCAGTTTGTAAGCGATTAAGGTATTATGAAAAAAGTGCAGGGTCCTGACTCACCTTGGCATACCGGGAGTTGGTGTAGAATACATCACTGAAGAATTTGCTGGCTACAGTTACACCTGCGATAACTAGCCTGTGTATGTTGTATGAATCAATGACGAAAGAGCGGCCGGTGGCATCTGCGCTCAGTTTGGACATGCGATCAAAATAGACCAGGAGAGATAGAAAGACTTCGTTGGTCGTTGGACAGTATTTGAGAATGCGCAAAAGGTATGCTTCAAGGGTAATGGTAGGGATATTTCGTGCATGGAAGGTGAGAGTCGACGAAGGAGTTGAGAGTGCTGCCCGTGAAGCAGAAGTCAGCGTGTTCCATATCGGCAGATGGTCTACGGCTGCTGTTGGCGATGGTGACTGTCCAAGAAAAGGGTCTGAAGACGATGAGGCATGGTCGAGGTTATCGTTTGTAGCAGCAATCTGTGTGAGCAACGAAGCGAGAAGTCTGAGCAACTCAGGGGAGGGATAGGAATGGATGTCGAACGACGATGGCTGGGCCTGTGGCGACGGCTGGGGCGGCGGTGCCGGTGGCTGGGGCGAGGGAAGTCGTGCTGCACGCGGCGGCGAAGGGTGTCGTGAGGCTTGCCGACGCAGCGGTGGTGGTGGTGGTACATGGCGTGTGGAGGTCGAGGTCGACGGTGGCAAGTGTTTGGACGTCGATGCTGACGTCGAAGAAGACGTTGAAGTCGACGACGAGGACGAGTGGTTTGAAGACGACGATTTTCGGTGAGTCGAGGGGCGGGAGCGGGACGACGAGGAGGGGGTTCGGTGCGCCACGTCGGACGATGGATTGAAAGGGTGGACCAAGGCGAGCATGGTCCTTTCTCGTTGGGTGTCGTCTGAAATAGCCGGGTAAATGCAGATATATAAATCTGCAACAAATTCAGAAAAAAAAGAAGAAAATCGCGTAGTGAACGGTAGTAAACAACGATCAAGCTTAACGATATATCGTCTGTCACGGTCACATCAGTCACATTATTCCCATTTTTGCTATTCAATCACAATTTCTCTTTTATCCATTGTTTGTCTTTTTCGCTCTCTCAACCATTCGATTCTTCTTTTTGTCCTCTTTCACCACGTTTCAACTCCAAACGTGGTAAAATTGAGGCATTTCCACTGGAAAGCAAATGGCTGAACGTGCACGGGGGTCTGGGCTCCTTTTAATTTCTGCTTAGACGATCGTACTACTCCGTCGGTTCCTTTCTTCGCAAACCAGTACAATTATTATCAACCAGTAATATTGCCAACGTTGCAGCTATACTTGCTACCCAACATCTTGGTGATGAGAACAGCGTACAGCTCTGTATATGGCAGTCTCCATCGTTCTGCTGATCCGTCGTACCGCTTTCCTTCTGTTCTTTGTTTAATCACCACGCACGGCTATCGATTGGTTATTCCCCACTTGTGGATTCTTCTGATGACACCTTCGGACCTTTTCCCGGAAACTGAGAACTGGGAATCGTGTATAACTGCTCCCACTTTGTAAGACAGTACTGTATACGAAACTCACAGCGGGCGACAGTTCGCGTTAACAATGACGTTACTTGCATTTCAGTCCTACCGATTTTTCCCGCGTTTCAGCTATATCCCGCACGTTTGTCTCGACTCGCATTTTGCCGCCACCACGTTCCTTCGTATGCCGTTATGCTGGCCTGCAGTGTTTAAATTACAATGACTTGACAGTGGGGTCGGGACAGGGTGGGTACATGCGGGCCCACAAAGTCCTTTCAACATACAATTACCCATGGCCTACAAATCGGACAAAGCACTCAGACTGGGACTTCCGGCGGGTGGGGTTACAGACGTCTCGCTTGCAGAAAGAATCATTCGTCTGCCGACCCCTCCTTCTCTGTGCCGAGCGCTTAACTCTGTACTTCATTTCTCAGACAACGTAACGTTGATCGAAGTAGTATTTCTTGTTAATCCTGCGATCGCTACCTGGAGGTATGGCGTACGGAATGGTGATCCGTCGAGCGGTCGGGAAGCTGTAAACGATCGGTTCATTGTGATGGAAGAAGACGGCACATGTGTTCGCAGATATCTCTAAAGCGGTTCTGACGTCGATAACGGTTGCTTGGCCTGCTTATCGTGTGCTTATCTGACTCTTTGCTTCGTCTAGGATGGGGATAAGAGTCTCTTGTGTTCTAGTTTCCCTTTCTTCTGCTTCTCGCTCTCGTCATGACCACGACACGCCTAGGAGGTTCGAGGGAGAAGGTAGCCCTGAAAGGGGAATCAGCGGAGTTGTTCTCACGACCAGTACTGATGTGGAAGCCTTGGCGGAGGAAAATCTCATCTGCTCACGTTCGTGTTAGATGCATTTATTTCGTTTGTATGGCTGTAGAATTTGCTTGATGGTTGATATCATTACGGACATCATGATTTTAACTCGTCCAGCAAGATGACCGGCCATCACTTATTCAGCGATATGACTATTTAGAGATGCTATTGACTTTCAATTTTGACACACTACAATCTACTACATACAACCTGTGCAAGATAGCGACTATATGCTGGTAACATAAGAGATACAATAGATACACAGTGATTGATCAAATTGAATCAGTGTCCGTCTACCAAGGTACTCTCGGGTCCTCCTCCTCTGATGTGCAAGTGCAAGGGCCTCGGGTCGGACCAGATGGTCGTTTTGCCCTTCAACATCCAGGCCGGCCGTCTTGGCATCTTTCAGCGTCACAATATCATCGTGAGCGAACCTTGCATCTTTACATTCTATTCCCAGTTCGCCGACTTCAGCATCTCTTCCTCGGCGTTACTGAGATGTATATGAGTTCCTGTAGGATTTTAGCCAAACTTGATACGATGAAGTCGGCGCCACTCCAGAAACGCATTGATGCCTCCGTGATTTTCAGTACGCTGATTAGGTCGTTATAAACAATCGGTCCCTCTATGCCGAGATCTCAGAGGTGATAATGCGAGTGATGCGATGAACCACGGCCCATATAGCGCGAAAGTGCACTTTGATCCGAATGCTCCCCAATCCTAGCAGTGTGAGGTCGCGAAAAAGTGAGCTCGAGCAATTAGGAAGGTACAAGTGCCTTAGGGCCTCGTGAAGATACGGTCTGTGGTGGTAACTGTCCAAGTCATCCGTCGTCGTAGAGAAGGCTTCGAGAGGTGGGCATTTTCGGAGAACGCGTGAGTGAATGGCAAGTTGCGACTAACAGCGCATGACCTGGCAGGAGAGTTGAAATCGAGGGAGCTAAGAAAGCGGGAGTGGGATTCGAGAAGGTATCAGGGTGAAAGATATTGAAGATGGGAATGCAATGAGCGTCACGTCTGTTATGAAGGACTTCAAGTTTCCGAGTCGGAGGCGTTGAAAATTAAATCAGCTATGGCGTCGTTCCATTTGCTAGTATTCCGAGAGCCTTATATACTGCCAAATATTACATAGATTTCGAGCGGATCACCTGGCTTGTAAAAAGCCACCTCTCCCCAGCAATTGAAATGCAGAGAAAGTTCCCGGAAAAGAACCGCGATGAGCTCAAGGTAGGATACCTTCTCGCCTACCTGATCCACTCAAAAGAAGTGCTGATGACGGTGGAGATGAAGAATATGGGAGACCCGAAACGAAGAGCCAACACTAATTGGCAGGCCAAACGCGCAGCCCACATGGCTGGAGAGCCATGGCGGTTTCAGACGACGCGTTCCATGCCTTCGTACCTGCACTGGGCAGAAATTCTGAGGGAACGAGTCAAATAGGCAGGCGTTAAAGCTCCTCTCTATGGAACTCGTACCGTGCCTCTGCCCTGCCCTGCCCCCTACCATTGCCCGCTTCGGGTGCCCGAGGTTCTGATTTCCAAGTCCTCCAGAGATATCCCTTAGGTGAAACTTTGCACCTTTGTCCAGGGCGTCGAGAATATCAACTGAAAATTTATAGCCTATCTTTTGGGTCGGCCGCAGGAAGAGGGTTACTACTAAAAGGTTACAGGCTAGAAAACCGGTATGTGGTCCCAGTAAGAAACATCGGCGCTCTGTGCCGCCACAAAACACGGTGTCACAGACAGTGCCGTTGTGATATTCACCAGGTGCGAACCGGGAACGTCGCACGGATTTGATACTGCCATAGGGAAAACTCGGGGGAGCTTTGCTCGGGAAAGTGAGCGCTTCGGCTTTTGTGTGATTAGGCGCCCTTGAAGCTTCATGAGTAGTAAAACCTCGAAGACAGAATAGTGAGCCTTACAGATATGAAATCATGTATATGTAGACTGGTTTTGACTCGCTAAGTCGATTTGAGGTTGTGTAAAGCTTCTTTAAACATTCATGTTGAATTCTGGGGCCTGCTATGAGTATGTAGGTGGTATGCAATTAAACAAGAAAGAAATGTACTGTATGTGTGACAACGATAGCAAAAATCAAAGCACTTGGCGAACTTGAAGCAACAAGAATACAGTGAAGAACCAAGGATACAGTGAAGAACCAAAAAAGGGACCATGTTCACGAAAATGTCTTCGCCGGCCCGGCTACCGCGCGATCAAAATACCAATGTTGATGTTGACCACCACCAACTCACAGACCCAGTCGTGCTTGCCAGTACTGAAAAATTTCGAGTGCCGTAGCTCTTAATCTTTTTGGTGCATCTTCCATGGAGCTAAGCCTCTTCAAGCTGTCCCACATTACCCAGCCAAGGCTCTGCATGTAATGTTCCAGTGGCAGTCGGTCACGATCAACAGAATGCTTACCCCACTCCAGTTAACGTTCTCACCCATTCGTTTAATATCGGAAAGAAATATGTGAAGCTCTCGAAGTTCCTGCTTTGACGTCAGTTACGCGACGAAGAATATAAAAGATGGCCAACCTTTGGCTCCATGGCTCGTTTACCCTTGACCAATTTCTGAATCAGAGAAACAGAGGACTCGCTGAACCCTGTTTTCTCCATGCTTTCGATACGTTCGGTTTGCAGCGTGTCTGTATCCGCATCTAGGCTGTCTTGCAAAGCAGATACTTCGACTGGTGCTTGTTTGTCCGTGGCGTCGTCGGGGCGCTTCCGCTTTCCCAGGTATGTTCCTACGTTTTCCTCCACGACTTCATTGGTAGGGGTGTCTACTTCCACTGACATCTCCCTCGACCGTGCTGATTTTGTGGACGCCTAAGCGTACAGGGTTTGGTTACACACCGTGCTAGAATCACCGAGAAACTTACCTTCGGAGGCTTACGACCCATAAGCTTCACGTTCTTCAGTGCTTCCTCGCCGAACCAGTCGCCAACTCTCGAGAGATAGTTTTCTGTCAATGACTTGGGGTCATTCTCCCACCGTTTTTGTGTCCGTTCTGGTGCGTCGTGACTAGTCCGAACTTGGCGCAAGGCTTCTAAAGTGACTTCGAGAAGCTCTTTGCTACTCGGGATGCTGCTATGGTCCTGGATACTGGCGTAGTCGGTTTCTAGCCATTCCTCGATATCATCTGGATCAAAGTGAACATGTTTTTGGATCTTTGTGCGATATCTGACTGGTCTCTCCTGAGGTGGTGTCGCTGGGGTGATCTTGGGGGGTCTGTCATTTAAAACCGGAGTATCCTTTGCTGTGGTTGCCAATGCATTATTCATCTTGGCGTTCTGGGAAAATGCGGCTGTCAGTGCGCCAACAAGAGATTCGCCATGATGAACGGCAGGTTCTTCGCGAGCGACCACGGGACCAGGAGCGATTGTTGTGAGAGTGTGAGGTGGCACATCGATGCCAGAGCCAGGAGTTTTGGTTCCAGATTGCAACGGAATTGGTATGTTGATATCATGTTGTGCTATGGCAGGACCTGATGCGCCGTCACGAACAGATTTAGGAACCAACTTCGCCGTCGTTATTGAGGGTGTGCATAGTGACCCGTGTCTATTTGGTGTGGAATGCGCTGATCTCGGAATGATGACGCCGATAAATTTCGATGGTGATCTTGGAACGCGCGAAACGGAAGCAACTTGCTTCGGGGGTGTTGACGGTGCGACACTGAATTCGGGCTCCGTGAAAAGCCCGCTCGATGAATTACGTCCTGAATTCATGGTGTCTGTCGTTTCGTGAACCTGGAGCCCCTTCTGTTCCCTGAAGAGCTCGCTGTCGATGCTCCCATCTGCATCAAGTTCATCACCATTTTCATCGGGTAAGTGTAAACCATTATCAGAGGGTTCTGATGATGCAACATGAAGTGTGCTCCATGATGGCAAGTCCAACGCATTGGTAGTATTTTTCACGGCTTCCCCTTCTGACTTCTTAGCATCAGCGATTTCGGTTTGGACCCCATTTGGTGTGCATGCTTGATCTAGTGTTTTTACTAAATATGGAAATTTAATGAAGCAGAATGTGCATACCTGTGTGCGAATATGTTGTTAATCCAATGTTCACCAATGGTGACATCACAAAGGTGAAATTTTTGGGTGAAGTTTCCATCTGCATATCAAGACCTCTATAAATCACAAAAAATATTTGATCAGCATATCTATCAAACAGTAGTTTGTGACTGTTAAGTAGACATCTGCAAAAGGGCATAATACAAGAGCCATTGGAGATTTCCATGTCATCGTAGAGATGAAGCAAGAGGCCAGAATCATCTCTGTGAAGAATAATTCTTTGGATCGAATGGCGAAAATCAACCAAAAATCTATATCGTTGCCAATAGTTATGGTCAGGATGCAGCAGATCCATAAGTAGACCAATCAGCTATAGAGAATCGGATATATTCTGTTCACTATAAACCAATGAAGGTCAAGGAAGTGCAGCCACCCAAAATGCAAAGTTGCCTCTCAAGAAGAAAAAATCAAAAAAATATGACAGCGATGACGACAGGATGCAATTTGAAGGTGATGCTCATCTTGTCAGAGAGCTGGAACAGGATAACTTACTTGTAAAAGATGAAAGAAAGGCCTTCTAAGTGCAATGAGAGGTATCAGTAAAAGTTGTATGACAAATGAAGGTGGTTGAGCAATGGAAGGATGATATTTGAGCTTGTTTACCATGCCAAATATGAATGTAGGCATCAAATCAGACCGAAATGGCGGACATGATCACCTTGTGGCCATCAAAGATGCTGAATATTGCTTATTGTGTAGAAATCCAGACACATATTCACTGTTAATGTTTATAGGGATGCATATGAATCATCTTGTAATTGCGATTTAGCAGAGAATGAGTGTCATATGCTATGTCTGTCAGATCTGTGCTCAGAATCTAATTTGCTTGAAACTTTGTAATACTCTTGGTATTGAAGTGTCTGGAGTAAGGCACTGTTCAAGTGATGTTGTATTCCAAAATCTCTTTTTATAAAAGCTAATACTTATGATGATTATTGGTAGCTACAACTGCCAGCAAACCCAAAAAAATACATCTGAAGAGATTAATATTTATGTGTCTACTTAGATTGACATCATTGGAAACCACTTCTTAGGCCTAACATATTATTCAGAGATGCTTGATGTTGACCAAGAAAAGAGGTGGAGGGACTGAGGATTGAACATCTGACACGTCATGGAGGGAGATAGTCTAGTGGCTAAATGTGGCCCAATGGACAGCGAGGCCTCAATACATCGTCTTGGAAGGTTTTGCAAAAGTTTCTATAGCTACGCTGCTACGCCCACGGCCAGCTGTGTTGTGATTTCTGCTTGACATGTATAGGAAATTGCTTAAATCTGGCCCAGGTGGGGCCACGTAGTACCGGTCAGACTCAAAATTGCCGGCCGCCAAGCATTCGTGATCGTGACGCGCCTTTTCTGTCTCCTACTGCCATTTCCTTCGGTTCTCCATGAACGAAACACTTATTAGTGAGTGCCTTCTTCTTTTGCAAATTGTATATTATTTATTGTTTAGATCCATTCAATACCCTCACTCATCCTACGGCGGTACAAACATCGTTTTATGCCATCGCTTCCTTCGCACGCTTCGACCCCTCGGGAAGATATATTGGAGCTGGCAAGTACGACGGGTCAGTATCCATTTGGGACCTTGAGACAAGGGCTCAGATACGGACGTTGGATGGACACGTCAAGGCGGTCACCAATCTAGAGTGTGTGTTTGCAACTTGGATGCTCACTTCCTCACTTGACATTTACACAGTTGGTCAAGGAATTCTCGCTTCTTGCTTTCATCGTCAAAGGATTGGAACGTGATTATTTGGGACCTCGCCGCAGACTGGGACCCCCCTCAGCGGTACAAGACTATCCGATTCGATTCACCCGTGTTATCAGCGTCTTTTCATCCCAGAAACAGGTATCTGAAGCGTTCGTTCACAAATATCAGGAGAAAATTATAACGTTGAAGGTCGCAGTAAAATCATCGTGGCGCTTATGGATACGGGTGATGTATATCTAGTGGATCTTCGTAAAGAACACCGATCGCGGGTCGAGTTGGTCGAAGTTCAAGAAGAGGGAGAGGAGGATTCACGGCAGTGAGTACTGGTTTATCATTTAGGTCTTCCCGGCTGGCTGACTGTAAGTAGGTCTGATATGACAGTTGCTCGATTCGATCCTTCAGGGAGGTATATCTTTGCGGGAACGTCGGCGGGAACCATTTTGGTGTTCAATACTAGAACAAAAGCAGTGTGTACTTTACGTTTGACGGGCGCTCACCTGATGAACCTGAGCCCCCGTAGATGATTGCGCGACATAAAATATCTGGAGCAGGCGTCATCAAGGGACTTGAATTCTCACGAACGGGAAGGTAGTGTTCTGCGCGAATTTTTGACAATCTGAGTTCCAATTGGTGCAGACGTCTAGTGACAAACTCCTCGGATCGCACCTTGCGACAATTCAATGTACCGACATACCCGTCGAGCAAAGATGGAGGGGCGTGCCTTGAGCAAGAGTTGGAGCCTACGCACCGTTTCAATGATCCTATCAACAAGACCGCATGGCACTCCATGGCGTTCAGTCCAAATGGCGAATGGCTTGCAGGGGGTAGGCGTATGCCCTTTATTGAGTCAGAAAGGTACCAACATTTGAAACAGGCGCCGCTGATACCGCCACCCATAAAATCTATATCTGGGATATATCCAATGATGGCCAGTTTGCAAGCGCCTTGGACGGTGGGCGGGAACCGCTTACTCATCTACATGTGAGCGTGTCGTTGAGTTTTCCGGTTGCGTAATTCAACTTGCTCTGAAGTGGCATCCTTTCAAGTCGTGCATGGCATCTACTACAAGACATGGAAACATCTTGATATGGCATAGTCCTAGTCCGGAGCGATGGGGCGCGTTTGCGGGAGGGTTCGAGGAGGTGGACGAGAACGTCGAATATGAAGAGAAGGAGAATGAATTTGACATTGTGAGCAAACAACACTGTTTATGCACTCGGCTCCATTGTGAATCTGCCCGTAGGAAGATGAGGCAGAGATTCAGAGGCGTAAGATGAAAGCAGAAGAAGAGGAGGTTGACCTTGACACCGTTCCTGATGATCCTGCTCAGTTCAGCTCAAGACAATCAGTACCAGGAGATGATGAAGATTTGACCTGGGCGGATCTGGAGCCGGATGACAATAGCCCCTGGAAGATGAAGATTATCATGGAGAATGATGACGCTTAGTGCATTGTTCAGACCGTGATTTCTGTTCAATATCCCCACCCCGTGAATGTATGTTGTATGTACTTTTGGTGAACACATGCTTGATGGCATTCTGATTGTGATTGTGACGGCATAAATTCCCGGTGAGTGCATGGTTCTATATGAGTTTGGTTTCCTTGTTGTTCCTAGTTTCTGCAGGCGAAGCACGGAAGATGCTGGTCGAGACTGTTTTTCTACCACATACCCGGTTAGCGACGCAAAATCTCTTCTCAGCGGCCCCTGCTTGATCGGGGACCTGAACGCGAAGAAATGCACTGCTGAAAATCCCAATTTCGGCGGTATAAATTCCATAAATTACTCTTGCTCGCCGATATACCTCCAGCCTTATACCATCAACGCGCATTCCGCCCACGACATGATTCTGTATGCGACCCTAGTGATGTCCTCGGCCGACCTGGCGCATCAGAGTGAAGTTTTCAAGTAACTAAGGTGATACCACCTTAAGAGTCTTCTTATAGCGGATTTTCAAAGCTTCTTGATTCCCCGAGCCAATGCGCTGGATGTTGATGTCTTTATGAAAGGCGTAAAGGTGCAAATAAGCGCAGTAAAGCTTCTTGAATTGCACGTTTTGCCTTGTGGGAAAGAATTTGAATTGCCACGCGCTTCCAAGCCTTCAGTTGAAATGTAGCCAAATAAGAGGGGGTTTTTCCCACCACCGTACCGCTTTTTGTGAGAATAAAGACTCTGAGCCGCCTGAAGAACGTAGAGCAAAACCCAGGTTGAAGTTACTCCAAAGTTACTCCGGTTCTCCGGTCCGCTTGTGATCGATGACAGAATCTTGATGATGTCATCGTTTCTCGTTTCCTCACCTCTTACCGTCACTGTCTGACACGACGTCGACCGCCGTCGTCGTTGACAATGACGAAGCCGACCCTTGTTCAGACCCTTCTTGGCCGACCTTCGCAAACATACTCATTTCCCCAGGACAAGCACTACTACTCGAGCAAAGCTCAGCTGCTTCGTCTTGCCGAAGGCGGTGGAGGCCAAGACAGGTACAGCAGGGAACCTCATGATGAAGAGAAGCGGAAAAGGAAACGCAGTGCTGGCCACTCGCAATCAATGGTAAGCAAAAAAGGCCGCATATTCTATTCTCCCACCTTATCATTACTATGACTTCATCCCATTCAACTAGAATGTGACGAGAACAGAAGTTACACATAAATCTAATAATGATAACATCACGAATCTTGACGCATCACCTTTATCGAGTGTTACCCCGCAGCAGCAGCCATCAGTCGTCGTGCTCAACGATACGACCAGCGACGAAGACGACGACGACGAGCACGACATCTTCTACACTCCCAACTCTTCACCTAGTGCTTCTATGGCTTCATCAGTTGTTGCTATCCTGCCGCTTCCTGCAAACGCCAAGGCTAGCCGACCGGCGAAAACCGAAATTGCGATTGCTGTTCCGTCAACGAGAACGCCAGCATCGCGATCAACGACATCCCTGTCGTCTACTGTGGCGACGTCACTTGACGGACACTCCCTTTTTTCTGCCGAATCAAATCCGATGTCTGAATCCACACGTCTTACGACACCATTCACCTCTGATTCCGGACACGAGCCTCCGCGCAGGATGGTGCGCTCTAAAAGCCCCCATACGAAACGCTCTTATACTTACACGGATGAAGACTGGGCAAAGGACGTGCGTTGGTTGGTCATGCCCGAAGGGAAATCAACCAGGTCAACCAAGACTCCATTACCTCGAACGAAGCCCAATAATGTCAACATGTCTCGCTCACAGCGCTCCACTCCTTCATCACCACCTCGCAATCATTCCATTTCCCACGCAGCAAAAGTTACGCCCAGTATCATGATGAGCATGACCGCCCTTTTAGAGGAGGATGAGGATCGAGACGGCCGGTTATCTAGACTGGTTCAGATGCACGAAAACCCCCGGAGCAGTGTCCTTATTTCCCATCCGAGGAACAGGACGCGCAGGCCCTTCTAGCGGTGGTCCCAAAATGCGGCGGTCGGAATCTGCTGGTTCTTCTCCATATCGAGAATCTCCACTGCGGACAAGTCATCAACGCCACACATCATTGGACAACCAGCTGGAGCCAGCAACTAGCTCTTCCGCTCTTCCTGAATCCATCTCTACTTCACATATGTCGTCTATACCATCCCAGGGTACTCCGGGATTCACATCTCTTACACTTCCTCGCGCACCCCCACCACCGTTCGCCAGCGGAAGCGGAAGTGGGAATAGGACTTCGATGTTCGGTGCTATCGGAGCAGGCGATGGCAAGGTTGACTTGACAAAAAGCGGCATAGCACAGACGACTATGGCTAGTGTTGAGGTTGTCCGGGGTCTCAGCGGAACCAAAGGATTCAAAGGTATATTAGGACGAAAAGAATCTACCGCTTCTCGGGGGAGGGGGAAGCAGAGATCGACGGATGCCGTACTAGGATTCACAAGCTATCGGGCTCCGCCAACGTATGTACCTAGCGGCAGCGTCTTGGTGCAAGTCTGGAGCGTGGGCATCGATGCAATCGATGCTCGGCTAGTAGGGAGCGAAGATGGCATTAAGGCGTCGAAGAGTAGCTCCAGCATGGGTAGAAGTGGTAGTATGACTGGACAAGCACGGCCAAGCTTGATGAGAAGCGTTAGTTTGCGGGCTAGGCTCGCAAGAACGCCCAGTCATCAGCGAGGTCGGAGCGAAGATGGTGTCGATGACCGTTGGGGAGGGTCCGAGTCATCAGTGGAGGTAGGCTTTGTCCCTGGGCGCAGTTTTGTGGGGCGGGTCCTGGAAAGTGGCTGGGAGGTGAAGGAGGAAGTGGCGAAGAAGGGCGATTGGGTTGTCGGCCTTTTGGATGTGAGAAAGGTGAGTTTTGTTCAGCTCATTTTTCCGTCTTGAGATACCAACGTAATGATGTTCGTAGTGTGGCGCCCTGCAAGAATTCGTTATCGTGGACCGCCATCGGATTTACAAAGTCCCTCACCCGCGCATGAAGTCATTGGGTGACGATGATCGCTCCTTTAGCGATAGTGTCCCTCGTCCACCCTTCGCGGGGACGTATTCTGATTCCAGAGACTCGTTATCAACGCGTTCCGTAGTATCAGGCCAATCACTTACTGGATCCGTTCCCCACGAAGCTGGATATCTGTCGCCCAGCGAGCTGGCTTTGTTACCCTTGTGTGGTGTAGCTGCTTATCGCGCAGTACGCACATTTGTAGCAGCTTTTTCATCAGCGACTTTAACTCCATCGGCAACTGCCCAAGGCCCGCTAGAAGGACTGGATGTGACGCCGCGATCTCCGAATGTCCATGAACATGGTCCTAGAAGACGAGCACTGGTACTTCGGGGACACGACGGCATTGGTGCGATGGCGGTACAGATGTTAGTGAGAAGAGGATGGCGCGTCTCCGTGCATGCTTCCATGCCTTCATTTTCCGATCCCGAGGAAGAGGCCGGACTATATGAAGCAAGTGGAGGATCGAGTGAGATCTTGGGGTGGTGAAGAAGTCGTGTTTGATGATGGTGACGTCGGTTCGCTGGGTGAGGAAGGTAGACGAGGTGCTGTGGTGCGGGTCATCGAACGACTTGTGGCTGATGGCGACGCGTTTGACGCCGTGCTTGACACTGTAGGCGGCAAGGCAATCTGGGAGATATCTGAACGGCTACTCAGTGGTGTTGGCTCCGCGCAGAATAGTCCCGCCAAGAAGGGGGCATTTGGGAGCTTGAAGAAGCGGTCTCCGCGCAGCAAGGGACAGTTTACGACTCTTGTTGGTGATGTGCCGGAGCGAACGATACCGAGTGCTGGGGATCACTTCAAAGCAGGGCTTCGGTCTCTGAAGAACAGTCATAAGGAGACGAGGGCAGGAACAATGGAAAGGTTGGGTATGCGTGGGTTAGCGTCGCGCAGGACATCGACTGGGATGGAGACGACATCCGGGAAAGTATCGGTGCCGTTTTGCGCTTAGCGCTGAAAGAAGGGTTACGGCCTAGAGTAGGCGGGGATGAGAGAATTATTTCGTTTGAAAGCACGCCATCGGTATTTGTCGAAGGTGGTCCACTGGAGGATGGTGGTACGATTGTGGTAAAAGTGGTAGGCTAATGCAGACGACATTCTGGCCTTGGATTCTGTTTCGGATTGCATTTTTTGTTCTTGTAAGGACGTATAGTTATCTTATTTGGCTCATATATACGGACATGTAATACATTCAACGTCTACTTAAGTAGTGATACATAGCATTAGTTGTCGCAGCCGTGGATGTACTTAGTACGATGTATGTCGTCCTGTTGCAGAGGGGGAGAACGTTTGAAGCAAAATAATTAGATGTCTAATGCGTGCAGTATCGATACAAATGGAGGTCAGAGTCTACTTAACAGTGGAGATCTTGTTATGAAGGCACTTCTATCGTGACAGTCGGATTACCGGACGGCGGTTTGAAGAAAGGGATGGTACGAAGATTATCAGGAGTCGGGCCTTCAGCTTCTAATCTTTTCCTCGCACGCTCCGTCTGTAAATATCAAACCGTTAGCATACGATTCGGAAAACAACAATATGGCCGACTGACGATGCCAGAACTAGCCATTCCGCGCTCTAACCCCTCCAGAAGGGTGCATGCCTTGCATAGCTCGTTGCTTGACATGTAACCACATCTCTTGCACGTCTCTGGGTACGACAAGAAGTTAATAAAGAGTTCAGTTATCAAAAGAGGTCACCAACGTTGTAATTTCTGCGTTGCCTTGACTTCTTCGCTGACTTCAAATGCTTCACCAGAATGGATGATGTCTATAATAGCACTCGGCCGGGCAGCTTCGAGATCTTTCAAGAAAGTCCGTGCATGGCCCCGATACGCATCGGGTGAGTATATGCACTCTGTTGAGAAGTAGTCCAGTTTTTTGAAATAAGCGTACCTAAAGACGGCATGAGATTGGAAGAAAAGTTCAGTTAGAGCACGTACATGACGATTTCCTTCTCGTAGGTATACTTGAAAGGCTTTGACCGTCGTATTGTGTCCTCCCCTTGAGTACATATCAAGGTACATCGACCAAGCCGCGCGATATCTCCCCGCATTACTATAACGCAATCAGCTCCTCATCAATAGAAATACCAAAGGGTCCTCACTATTCATCAAGACCGTCTCCGCAATATCATCTGCATTATGGCCCGTAACAATGTGGTCTACATTAAGCATAGCAGCGCCCCGGTCCAGTGCCTGCCTTCGAAAAACCCCACAAAAGGTGCAGTTGTTCTTCCGGCCCACCTCTGCTACAATGGCGTCCATGGTCCATCCATAGAGCTCGTCGTAAGACAAGATCTTGAGGGGCATGTCGTATTGCTCCTGGTTCCGTTTCACTGTCTGAAGCAGCAGTTTAGAAATACATATTTTCCGTGGCCTGGCAAGGTGAAGACGCACCTCGAGTGAGTCATCCCGGTAGCCTGTTATTCCTTCGTCTATGGACAAGAGAAACAAATTGAGACCGTAATGGTATCGTTCATTCAGCGTCTTCATGACATACGCCAGGACGGTGGAGTCTACAAGAGTAAGCATTGAGATGCGCAACGAACCAAGGAACCATACCTTTCCCTCCAGACGCTCCAATTGCGACCCGGTCCCCAGGCTGAAACAGCTTCGATTCAATTATCGTATTATGCACCTCCGTCTCAAAAACATAGAAAAAACATTCTTTGCAGATCTGCTGTCCAGTCTTGGGACGTTTCAGCATCGCTCGGGATGTTTTGCACAGCGCACAAGTCTTGGGTGCCATGACGGTTAAAAGCAAGGGTATAAATAAATAATATCCGTCCAACTATAGGTTGTCACATTTTTTCCGTAATACAAATATTCCCCAGCGATAAAGTAATAGTATGCTACAGCGAATCGAACAAGCAGAACCAGGAAAGCAAAATAGAATAGTGTACATGACATCTCACGGTGTGGCCTCTCGAAGTGCCCTCTCCTGCCGACAGCAAGACTGCCATGCAAACCATAGCATTGATCCCAGCTGAAGCACATCCTCTTTCCACTGTTTATTGTGGTTCTGTTCACGAAACTGGCGCGTCAACTGCTCACATTGACTGATGTTCTCCGGGCTCACATAGTCGATTGCCACCTTGATACAATCAGCCAAGTTACACACCTACGAAAAAAGCCCGTGAGTAGGTGTCGTGCCTGCTTGACGAAAAGGATGAATCTACCTGATGGGCACACCCAGCTGGGATGACGATGGCCTCTCCTGGACGCTGATATACTCTGTAGCTCTGTACGTGATATTTCTCCCAGAGCTCCCGGCGCAAATCCTCCGTGAGATAGAACTGCTGGCTATGGATGGGATCCTGGCCGTTGAATCCAAACTTCTGCTTCAGGAACTGCCTTATCGCATCATTATCCTCACGCCGGAAGAGATCCCAGGCAGCACAACCAGGACTGCCATCAGGAGCGGCACATGAATAGGTCATGATATTCAACGCATCCGCCATATCCATGTGCAAACGTGTGGAACCCTTACTCCCTTCTTGCTGATTTGACGCCATCGCGTTGTACATCTTCGGTCCTGCAGTGAGGATTAATACATGACACGACCGGGAAGAAAAGAAGCCATACCCAAGTCGGGAGAAACCGTATTCGAAGGAAAATGTGACGAGATGTTCATCACCCCATCTCGTCGTATGTAATTGGGCATAGGGACTGCCTGACAGAAATCCTCGTAGAGCTCCGGGAATACAGACTGAAAGTCTGAAGACGGAGGCCAATCCTTCAGTTTCCAACAGTCCTTTCGACCTTCATACCGACCAAATTCTGAGAAATATTGCCCAACAGTGACCCGTTTAAGCACATCAGTCTGACATTCCACAATCAGACACCCTTCATCTCCGTGATGCTGGATGAAATACTCCGGAGACCAGGATATCTTCAGTTTGTCTAGCATGCCATTAATCAACACCGGCTGACCGTTCATTAAATGTACGTGAAAGATGTTAGCCGTGACCTCCTGAGGCTTTAGGCGGTGAATCGGATGGAAGGGAACCACGTCTGGCATGTTTGTCGGGTTGTGGTCATTCGGATACAGTTGCGGCCCAGGGGCAGCAGGGATGAGCGGTTTGGGTATGAGGGCATGGGAGAGATCTTGGTCTTGATGGTGCGAGTAGTTAGTAGAATATTTGACCGTCTGCTGGGTTAGTGATTTAACTTCAGGTGGTGTTCGGACCCCGTTGCTGTCTGTGTTGGAACCCGAGGCAGGTGCAATCATCTTAGGTGCATCACAGCCATCTGACTCCCTGTCTGCCTCCATATTGACAATTTCCATCGCAGCAATGGCGTCCTCCAATTCCTCCTTGCAGAAACGCGTCACTCGGAGGAAATCCTTCGCCTGATGCTCGTGGCGTTTATTGCAAGCAAGAAAGAATGGATTTCGGTTCGAGTGTTGTTCCCGTCGCTGCTGTTGTTCAATGATTTCCGCGTGAGTAGCTTCAGGAAGGTTCATGGTGAGATCCTGAATTTGAGTAAAGCAATCGGCGCAGGCCTCGCGTCCGCATACCCGGCACATCCATGTATTGCAGAAAAGAGATGTCATGCATGTATCTGAATGAAATGATTTAGTATACGAGCTAAGAACCGTGCCTTTAGATAGGGAACACACCGCATGTTGCCCTAACCTCGCTTTCCCGAGTTCGATAAACGGTTTCCTTCCTTATTATGTGATCTTTTTCTTGTTTAAGAATGGGTAACAATGCTCGAGCAGTAGTCCGCTAGAATCCAGTAAGTCCTTCGACATATTTCAAAATCACAATACCTACCTTTGTGATTTTTATATACTCGCCAGAGAGCGGAATATTCCACTCGGTAGGATACTTAATGGTAGGCATCGTGCCGGGAGGTATTGTGACGAAGCTCACACCCATGAGATTACTCTTCTCATCCTTGAGAAAGTAGCGAACACCCTGGAATCGACAAGTATCTCCAGCCCAGCGCCGGGTACATGAAACGCAGCGAGAGAACTCCTCATTCCTGTATCGAGTTGACATGCACCGGGCTAACTGCAATTCCGGAATAAGTTGGCCACTGGCCTGGTTTGTCGGATCTTCGACAAGATACATATGTCCGGCGGCTGCGTATACGTGAGGGAGATCAGAGAGACGGGTTCTCACGAGAACATACATACCATCAATAGCCCTCTCCTTTCCTTTTCCGTTCGTCTGATACGAAAGAGAGGAAGCGAGTTGCACTACAGAAGTTAATATAAATTAGGGCGCCGAGCAAATGTATTGTTGGACTAACTGTTCTGAGCGGTCATTTGAGCCGCTTCACTGCGTTTTTTAGCATTGTACCCGCGCTTCGATGGGTCTACAGATGGTGTGATAATGATGACCAACACAACAGATTCTTTATACGCACGAGGACCGGGTTCTGAAGTGCGTTGTTTCTTCTGTTTTTTGGGCCTGACAGAGTCGTCCGAATGGGGAGACGTCCGCTTCCCGTTGGACGTAGAGGGCTCATACTGGGCATCGACCTGATAAGAGGTTTGATGGGACATGTCATATCCTTGTTGATAGTAGAAATCCGAATGATGCTGTTGTTCGGGCATGGACCGTTTGGTCGCCTGACGAAGAGAGGGTCTTGCACAATTCTGATATGCTTCGTAGGATTCGGATTCGGAATAACTGGAAGGGCGGCGACTAGGCAGAAGTTACATCTGCGGGTGGCTCCGGTTCACGGTATTCTGGCTGCTGATATGCAACGGTATCTGAGTTGCGAGTAAGCACCGAACGCGTGCCTTTCATAAGGTGGCAACTAACTTTGTGCGGGAAAATCGCTTGCCAGCGCTGTACCAAAAATTTCAGGTTAATATTGAGGTGTAAAGAAGAAAGTTATAACAAGACAGACGTGTCCGCTCGGCAGAATACATAGCATACTGCTCGCTGCCACCACTCTGGCTGTTATTGCTCCACGGGTTGTGGGTATATGCGCCTTCTTCATTCATTCTCGCCGATCGTATAGTACGTGGTGTATGAATGCCAAAGCGGCCATCGCCATTCATCACTGGTTGAGGATATTGCTGTGATGGAGCAATCGATTCGCTTGCCTTTCTGCTGTCGGCAGAAGATGGAGAGCTCCAATCCGTTCTCGGAGCATTATATGGCGCAGGTACATGCCCAAAGTAAACTGGTTGAGCATGAGGGTGAGGTTGACGCGACGCGACCGCTGGGTAATGGTGTTGCAGATCAGGTGCGGGGTAAGCAGAGGCGCCTTCATGCGGGGGATTCAGTAGTTGCCGAATGTCTGTCTTTCGATGGGGATCGATAGCAATTTCTATCGCCTCCATGGTGGACAATGAAAGAAATGCAAGGTATACAGACAGCGCCCACGAAGGACTAAGGCAAGGCAAAATACGAGTTCAACATGAAATTCCATTCTCCAGAAGTTGGGCGCGGAGGTAGGCGGAGTTTGAAAAATGCCGTTATTGCCGGCACTCTGACTTGCTTTTCAAGAACGAAAAATCGAGTCATCTTCACTCTATTCTTATAATGCATAACACTTTTAATGTTTCTTCCCCCTTTGGGGGAATGCCTTGGAGATTCCTCGTGTTTCCAGCGGTGTATTAGCCCATTTGAGCTATTCACCTTCGGAGGATGCCGGCCGCCCCTAGAAGCAACCCATGTCCAAGGCCAATAACAAGTCTACTCCAATCGCAAAGAGAGCATATGGTAGAGAAATTTCTAGTCTCAATGTGGGAAATTTCTCTCTTCATTTCGCGCCAGTTGAATTCCGGCGGAAGTATTTATCGCATAGATCCGTTCCTAGATCTTCACGGAGGTTTTTCCACTCTCATCCCCCCAGTCTAGACCTCGCACTGGAGCACTGACCCTTCAGGCATGCTTTTGGCGCAGGCTCGCGGGTAGCGACAGGGCTGATTTGACGTTGTGAGAACCGCTTGAGCATTTCAGCCTAGTCTGCTTCCACAGAGTTTTCGAAGGCCCTGGCAGACGCCATTCGAAGTGTTTCGAATTCTGTGACTTCGCAGACTGGCAGCGAATTTGGCGCCATGCGTGAGACTTAATCACAGCTCTCACGCCTCATACTTGAACAGATATCTTTGTGTGTATGAATATGCGCTAAGTGATACAGAACACGGAAAGTCCCCAAATAAAAGAAACCCTAATGATAAACCACAGACCCCAAGATAGCCCATATCGTCAAAACCAAAAAAGACCATGTATATCAATTAAGGAATGGTCAAGGGCGTGTCAGAACCAGACGTGTGTAAAAAGTTGTCACGAATACTTGCGAATGTACTCGGCAACCTTCAGATAAACGGGACAGATGAAGGTCCATACCATAAGCCCAAAGGTTGCCCAAAGTTGTCATCGAAAAAAAGGATGCGCGACGCCCGCGTTTTGTTCCTCCTTCGCAGGAGGGTCACTCTTTGCAGAGTCTAAGGTCCCTAATGAACCATTTCCTTTTTACAATCCCATCTATCAGCGGCTGACGTCAAAGCGCCGAAAGCAGATAACATACCATGAATTCCATCGAAATCACCGTTCACAGAACCATCTACAAGCGGTGGGTCTACAAATTGTCCGCATTGGGGTGAAATCGCGACTGCATTAGCATGATATAGCCGAAGAGTCAAAATAGAACAAACCGTTCACGGTATTGCTATCGCTGCCGCTAGGAGGCCGGTGATTAGACGACAGAGGGGAGGAATCTACTCCAGAGATGGGTGCTTCCACTCCAAGGTGTGGATGTGGTGTTGTCGGAGACAGTTGGTTTGTGCTCCACGAAGTAGATGCGGTAGCAGAGGTCACAGAGCTGCCCAAGGCTGCACTAGTCGGAGGAACATCAGACACCGGTTGAGGGGGAGGTGGTGGTGGATGAGGGGCCGTCGATGTCGTTTTCCCAGTGGAAGACTGACCCGGTGGGGGTGTCCTTCGATGTTCAGGTACGACTAACCGTTCTGCTACCGATCGAGCTTGCTCCGCCTGGGAGCTGCGAAAGTCAGGCTCAGCCCATCGTTGTAATGCTTTGATTGAGCCCCATTCGATGACCTTGTTATTCAGCCAAACCGTGGTCACCGGTTTCACTAAGAAGTCGTTACAACCGGCCGCTAACGCATCTACACGATCACGTTCCATCGAACCGGCCGTAAGTGCGACGATGATAACACTGGAAGGATGCGGCGTTGTTGCGGGAGTTTCTGTTGGAGTTTGGGCGAGCGGTGTCATATCGTCGCCACTGGGACCATGTAAACAACCGTGTAAGGCCCTCCATTTTTCTTCTCTGCGGATCTGCTTGGTAGCTGCGATGCCATCCATGATAGGCATTTGAATATCCATCTGGCAAGAAAAGGTTACGCAAGTGAGCCTTAGAAAGAAGGACTAGTGTTGAATAGACAAACCAGTATAAGATGAAACTCCCCTGTACGCCATTTCTCAACGGCTGCCTGACCGTCGGATACAGCGTCGTATTTGACCTTCATCTTTTTGAGATTCCTGGCAATGAAACGCTGGTTGATGTCATTGTCTAGACAGAGATACATCACAAAAAGTGCAAAGACGAGATAGAAAACGCAAATTACCTTCGACAATGAGAACCTTGATGGGCGGTACAACGTTGTTGTCGGGTGGTATCGTCACAGCCGAGGGGGCGCTTTCCAAGGAACGGCTGATGCTGTATTTTCGCGGAGAACGGAACTTCGGAGATCCGAGGGTGTTACGAGAGGAGACTACCGGGAAGGCAGACAGTTGCTCTGGGGTCGCCTGTGAAACATTCAAGGGAGCTGTTGCAAGAAGCGCTTGACCAACTTCCTGCTTGGAAAATGAAGACGACCTCGAAGACCTTGCATTATCAGAAGCCGTGTTCGGAGTTGCAGGTTTCGAACCTTTTGGACTGAAAAAGAGGCCTCCGGAGTCACCATCGAACCGCTGGATAACGACGCCACCCGAATATGTTGTCCCACATCTGATAACAGGAAAGTATTCGCCGCCAGATGACCTGACCAGTGGCGAGGAGGGAATGTCCTTCGACGACCTTATTGATCGCTCAGAATTTGATCGTGATCCAGAGGGCCTGGTTGGTCCTGACAGCGAAGTGCTAGGCAAAGGAGTATGGCCTATGGATCCATTCGCCACAGTTGCACCAGGCGTAATCGGTGACGTTGCTATTGGTGTGAAAGAGGGGTCCACAACAGGCTTGGTGATGACAGTATGTAGGGCTGTCAAGAAGCGACGAGGTCCTGCGGGTTTGGGCACCACGATAATCTCAGGAACGGGCGAGAAGGGGGTAAGGGTGGACTGAATCAGCTCTCGAACTAGTTTAAAATTGCCAAGGCTGGTGAAGTGCACTATTACCACCGGAGACGAGGAGATTGAGCCTGTGACATTATGACCACGGGTAATAGGGTTGGATGACGGATGTCGACGATGGGTAGGACGTTTGGGGGGATTCAAAGGATACTGTTCGGCGCGAAAGGCTACCAGCCGCGATTTGAGAACCTCAACGTCATCATCTATGAATATGAAAGAAAGCGGAGAGGAGAGGCCGTTCGAGGTCAACGAGTCAGCACCTGCGCTCGGCGAAGCTTCCGCAACACCATCTGCAGCATGACTGACGTCCATACCCCATTCAGTCAAGTAACTCGTTAAGTAGTGAGCGAAGTAACCTTTGACGTTCGCATAGAGAATGGCCTTCTTTGCTCTGAGTGTCTCGGCGAAGGCAGACAACTGTGCTAGTGTCGGTTCGCCAGAAGGAAGAGGACGGTCGGCCAGACCGTGAATGATAATGGAAGCAGGATCGGGAGCGGGCGGCGAACTTGGTGACGCATTGAACGAGAATTCCCAAGCCAAGTCTTCCAAACTTGAAAGTGGAACCTGTTTGATTAGGAACGGTCCGATTGAAGGTGGTCCGATCGAAGGACGCCCCGACTTTGTGCAACAGTCGTTCGAGAAGGGTCGTTGAGAAATCAGGGGGTGGTCGAGGTGTTACGGCACTATCATCGTGTAATGGATCCAGGGGAGCAAACTTGTGCGTGATGCTTATCTTGCATTGCAATGAACCATCTGAATCCTCGGGTGCCGTAAGGACATCGACAGAGGATCGTGGATCGACGGTCGGGGATTTGGTCCCACCTGAGACAACGTAGAGTCCCAGCTCGACGGTGTCGCCATGTTTCCCTGTAAACAAGACCTGGCGAACGATCTAGTGATAGGTTTAGCACAGGCGGACAAGTAAATTGTGGTAGACGAATTGACGTACGTGAGTTAGAACGTAGGAGAGGCCGCTTTCGTTTCCTTTCACATAGACATGTTTGAAACCTACATCTCCATGAAAAATGACTAGTTCCGTTCCGACCTGAGCCGCCGCTCCTCCCAAAGCATCACCCACGCTTTGCAATAGCTCCCCTACATCAAACGTAGTCTCGCCGCCAAAGGACAGAAAAGGCAGCACATCTCCTCCTGCACTCTCAAGTTTTGAGGCCTGAGAAAAGATGCTCGCCATATTCGCTGAAATGAAATTGAGGTTCCGCATAGCAGTGAACATGGACGAAAGAGACGGTGTCGGAACTGCGACAGAACAACTAGAAAACTGCTCCTTGGATGGATCCAGCACCTGCGATGGCGAAATTTGTAGCATTGTCTGAATGACCGTCTGCACCACGTCCGCAAGCTCCAATGACAACTCATGAAACTGAACGAGCTCTGGTGGTAATGTATCTGTCCGTAGTGGTTGAGGAGAACCAGGCTCAGTACGATGGGGATTCTGGAGATCCCCAAGCTGCGACGGTAATGGCATGGTGAGAGCGCGCAGTGGATGGGGTTGAGCTAACGGCAACTTCAAAAGCGATGGGGACTTGGAGTTGGAAAACTGATGGTGAGTAGGAGTCGATGGATCCTCAATGACGTCCAACTTCTCAGTTTGCTCTTCTACCCATCCATATTCTTCATCAAGCTGAGAGGTCCTCCGGGGAACAGAGATGGGACTGTCGGGGCCATTGAAGTCAAAGTCAGCTGGTAACATGGGTAAGTCCGAGATGCTTGCATCCTGGAGGGTCGGTCCAGTGCCATTGACGTGAAATGCAGGGAACCCGTTCACGGACATGGCCAGTGCGACGGTGGCCTGCGCCGACGACGGGGATAGGGAAGAAAAGTTGCAATGGTGATGGTGGTATGAAGGAAAGACGATCAGCAGACTTGTATCAGGGTGCCGGCAGACGGCGGTGGCAGACCACGGTGGTAATGAGTAGATTACTTACCGCCAACGACTTCCCATTTTGGTCGTAAGCATAAATTCGTAAGGCGCCTAAATGGCAATTCTTCGAGTTAAACCTCACCCGACGCAGCAGTGAGAAAGGATGTTTGATTTCAATCATCAACAAGTACAAATTAGTAGAACAGATTGCGACAACAAGAAACCGTATTGTTTTTATCCTTCCAGGACCATATAACCAATAACTAATCTAATACGATAATTCCACATCGCCCTAAAACAAATGTTATCGCGAATGGAACCAACAACAATAAAATATCACGTACCTCCGCTACCAGGTCCATGTCATGATAGCTAACCCTCTTGCCAGCTGCGGCTCGGGGGTCCTCCTTCGCATCAGGAGGGGGAGGGGGAGGTGGCCCAGTCGCTGGCGCAGCACCACTCCTCACCCCTCTTCGGTTGTTACCGCTGCTAAGGGGAGTATCCAATGCAGACATAGGTTTAGGCGGGAGACCGGCACCAGCTGGGATGACAGGTCCCTCCATCGTCGCGGAACCGCCCCCAATACGGTCACTAAGTCGACGTCCAACAGAGTCGTCACGGCGCTGCGGTGGAAGAGGATATACCCCAAGTCCAGAAAAGTACAAGTCCACGCCCCAAGGTCCGGGGGGAGGTGGGCCTTGTTGGTACTGATGACCATGCAAAGGGCCTTGGATACCATACGCTTGCGGAGGCGCCATCTGGTTAGTATGACCCATCTGGATGGGCGGATGGGTAAAAGGTTGGATATGGTACGGATCAAGGACGAAATTGTTAAAGTAGGGCACCTGTTGAGCGATGACAATCATGAATTCGAGTCAACAAGAATGACTGTGCTACTTACATCCTCAACTTCTTTGATTGATTCGGGATGCTTATTGGCAATGTGCTTTTCGACGAAGGACGTAGCCTTGAATAACTTTTGACACATCCTGCACCGAAACTTGCCTTCATCTTCTTGCTTGATGAAGGGGTCTACGGCCCGAGCCAATATCCTACAACATTTCAAGGACAATTGCTTTACGTCGAAAGTGGCTAACAACTTACTCATCGTAGCTCTTTCCGCCATATTCGCGGACATCGACACCGTCCCGATTGATGAGAAGTGCGATTTTGGAGTCCAACCAATCCAACCAACGCTCGTCTAAACGAACAACTATTTTTAAACACTATCCTGTTAAGATAGATACCGTGCTCACCATTTCGCTTCCATCGGTCATCTTTCTTCGCCTTTTTCTCATCCTGTCCAACCTTACCAAATGACTCCTCCTCTTGCATTTTAGATTCTTTCTCTGCTTTCTCCGCTTCTGCTGCCCTCACCATCTCTTCAAGTTGCCCGCTTGGCAGGGGCTTCCTTACGTGCTTGACACACTTACGATGTAATGCCTCAATGTGATCGCTAACGACACAACAGTAGTAGCAAGTGAGGAACGCTGCTCGCAGATACTCAATATAAAGATCCAATGAAACTTGAGTCTGGTAGATAGAGTTGAGTGCGTAAACTCCTGACTACAAAATTCCACCTACCTTTTTTGCAGTCCAAAGCGCTTCGTCATTTGAATCAAAGAGATTTTGCTCACGTAAGTCGGACATGATTTTTTCAATGCGCCGCTCAACTGCATCACTACCTCTTTCCATGGGCTCGTCTTCGTCATCATCCGTAGGTTCCTGCGCCGCGTCCGCTGCATCAGCTTGACCTTGGGTTGCTGAGTCACCATCAACTTTCAGAGTATCCTCGAGCTTAACCTTCATGTGTCGTAGCTTATAAGCTTCCTCCTCGAGAAGGGCAGCCAAGGCTTTTGCGTTATTAAGGTCCTTTTCAAGTCTATCAGGTTTGCTAGCGATTTCGGGTGCATATCGGACACGATTCAAAAATGGCCGCATGATGTGCGTAACATGTAACTTGAAACCTTCGATCTACCATAAATATGAGCTTTAAAAGTCCGTCTCAAAGAAGGTGACTAAAAGATACCTTTCTCTCCGACAATTCGTTCATGGCGACGACCATATCGGCGTCTTCCTGAAAACGAACCCAGCCAGCACGGTAGTAGTTGCGCTTCTGCATGGGATCACCTAACGCGAGATAGACAAAACCTGGAATTTTACGACAGACCTACACGGGTGCGTTAGAATACCTTAAAGTCTTTTAGCATAAAGGCGTATACTTCTTCAAGTTTGATGCGTCCAATGTCCGGTGGAATAGTCCGTATCATGATCTGGTTGCCCTCAGGACGTACGGCGATCTCTTCACCACGGTCCCAGTCTCGCTTGTTTGATCGCTTGTTATCAGATTTGCCATTGAGGTCCCGTGAGATATCAAGGTCCAGAAGAGGGTCGAAATCGATGTCAGGGTTGAACTGCAGTTCGTCGTCACCATCAGCCTTGCTCTCAGTAGCGACGTTTGAATCCTTGGATTCTCCGTTGGCCGGGACATCCTTCACCGGCGACTTGGGCTCATTCTCATTGAGATCAGGGTCGAACTTTCCCGATTCCAATTCATGTAAGAATGTCACAAGACGGCCTCGCCAGCCCTCTTTCCTAATCCTGGCACGTAGCATCTGGTATGGAGGAGACGGATCATACTTCTCAGCAAACCATGGCGACTTCCGGTGGTGTTCGAACATCGTCTTCAGCTAGATAGAAGGGAACGTTTAGATACAGTACATGCCAGAAAAGCCCGGCTACAAGACTAACTTGATTCGACGCAAATTCCTTTTTGTACTGCTCCCAGTGGCTTTTAATGCCATTTCGAGGTTTCGAACCATCTCCGGCTTCTTGCTCAGCAGCCTTGTCGGCGTTGTCTTCATCAATGGCCTTTTGAGGGAAAAAGTACCGAAACCAGTCAGCGTATTGTTTTAGGGACGCCGGGTAATCGAAAGTATGAGGATCCGGAGGGGCTCGTTTCGCGAGATGACCGCGTCTCGGGGGTGAATGCCCGCGAAAGTAAGGATCTGTAGAAGGCAAAATTAAGGTTAAAACCGAGAAGAGATAAGAATATGGATCAAACCATAGTCGTCGCCGTATCGAGGACGAGGCTCGTATCGGTCTCGTTCATATGGAGACATGGACCGTCGCCTTTTCCTGCTGCCCCCTACAAGATTGTTCAGTACGACTACTAATGGTAGGTGAATAAGCGAGTGCTAACCTCCATCTTGCGCCGGACTGCGCCTTCGCCGATGGTTGTATCCTCTGTCTCTTTCGAGACCCATCACTTGTTCCCTCTCGTCGGCGTTCCAAACATCTAGGTCCGCCAGCCGCTGCTGTTCAGACTGGTAGTCGGGCCCTGGCGAGCGAGAACGAGAGCGACGGGACGGAGGAAGGTACGAGGAAGACCAGGACATCTTTCAGAGGAAAAGAACTGAGAGAGAAACAGAGACGAGAAGACGGCTGATCAGAGCCTGCGAGGAAGAGAGGTCGAGCATAGTGAAGCACAGACCTCTTGGGATCACGTTCACAAGGCGGCAAGGCTGGCGTCACTCTTGAGCTCAACCGTGCTGAACCGCGTTCACTTGTGTCCGCAATGAAGCCCACGACGACGTTGCTCAAACCGTAATACACATTTTAAATCGGAGTTTAAAATAAGGGTCCGTGCGCAAAAAATATTTAAAATTATAATTAAATAATTGATAAATACTCGATATCTGCAGTTGCAGCCACTGCCTTATCCCATTTCTGCTTGTCGACTGGCACCTCTCCAGCAGCTTTCCACAATCTCGCCAACCAGTAGGCAGGTTCCAGCCATCCGCCCTTGAAGGTCACGATATTAACGTCGCATCCACCCACCTCGCAAGCTTCCTTGATTAGATCCCTTTTGACAGGGCCGTCGAGCATCAGAGGATCAATAGTGGTGTCCCATTCCATCATCTTAGCAATACCTTGAGCACGCTTACGCAAAGCCTCATGCTTCCGAAGAAAAATAAGTGGTATCTTGTGTTTAAAGGAGCGTATACGCTCGCGCTTGTCACCACCGGCCAGATACCAGAGCGAGTAACACAGAATGTGGACATTTGACGCAACCGTGCTGAGCGACTGCTGCTGGATGGAGATGGACAGTTGGAGCATCTCATCGTCGTCACTCGAGGTCGACGGTGTGTCCCGTTCCTCCTCGCACATGGAACTGATCGGAAATATGCCCCTCTGCAAAAAGAACGATTCGAAGCAAGGCGGAAGGCATTCATTTTGGTCACCAACTCGTCCACAGAGCGCCATTTCGAATCACCTTTGGTCGATTCTCTGGGGTAATGCAAGGCAGGACTAGCTAGAGGATAATGTCCATGATATCCTTCAGATTCTTGGACCACTATATGTTCAGATTCTTCGTGCTTCGATACCACAGCAACAAGTTCCCATTCTTCACTGGCCCAATGGGCACAGTTTGTGGAACCAGTATACACGACCACGACCTTTCCTTTGCATTGATAAACGGCACCTTCAAGGGTATTTTTGGTTAACAAGTCTGTCCAGCAGAGAACTTTCCTTCTGTATCGCCGTGCCCGCAAAGAATCACTGTTAAAGTCTCCTCTTCCCCGACGGCAGCGACGCCAGAGCGAATCAAGAACCCAGCTTCTATTGCCAGGTGTTCAGACTTGCAGGTTTTTACTTCGATGCCCTCTGGGTAAGATAGCTGAAGGCCCCCTATGTTTGTTCCAAAGCTGGCAGCAACAGCGCGAAGAGCCTCCTCTTGAAAACAGGTAATCAGGACGGGTGTCGCTGATGTCGATGAATGGGATGGGATAGCTTGAATGGCAGCGTCAAGTGAAGCAAAGGCCTCGGCAATGGGCCATCTATATCCGTCAAGAGTAGTATCTTCAGCGCCATCTTCAACGCCCAGCAGAACGTATATCTGAGAAGGCATACTGGAAGAGATGGATGAGAGGCAAGGTAGTAGCGGTCTATTGGTACTCCTTGAGCGATGGTCGTAGTTCGAAGTCAAGTTGTTTGAAAGCATGTGAATTTCAACACTGTAATTAAACTGTGATCGTCCAAGGATGGTCGCCAAATGGAATCAAAATATACTACCCAATACCTTGTTCATATCATCTGATTTTTTGACAATTTTTGTCTTTTTCCGCTGTTCAGTCGATTCGTCTGCAGGTCGCTTTCGAGGCCTCTCCTTCAACTGCAATTCTTCCCCCTTTTCCCTCTTCTTTTCAGCGCGCTTGTTCAAGACACGAGCAAGCTCGACATTCTTCAAGTAATCCTGTTGTTCTGCTCGGGACTGGGACAACTCTACACGCAGTTTTGCAGTATGCAGAGCAGCTTCGTGGGCTAATACAGAAATCAGACATGTAGAGCAAGAAGCCCTAGTAAAATACACATACCGACTTGCTCCGTCAGCATGTTCCATTTGAATTTAGGCAAGTACTTCATCGTCCAGATGTCGTCTCGCCATCTCGTGCCCTTCTTGCCACCAATCGGTTGCGCGTTGAGCATTTCAGCGACACTACGGGCAACTTTTTTATCTTTGAATTCTACCCATCCTTCCGTATAATGTGGTTTCTTGGTAGACGTGTACTTCCGTCGCAAGTAAGCCCGCTTGGGATCTGTTGCAGGTCAGAGAGCGTCACCATCAAGAACAAACGACGCACCTTCTTGTTGAAGGTAAACACGCCCTATTTCACCGTAGGCGCTCATGAGATGTCTGACTTTCGTGGGCCGCATCCCAGGGGGTATACGGGATATGTAGATAACTCCAGCACGGTCCTGCGCTGCCTTGAAAGCGGCCAGAGCCTCCGGTGTCAATGGTTTCACCACCTTAGGTCCTGAAAAATCGTCGGGATCCATGCCTTCTGCGATATCTTGGCTATCACTGGCACCCTCCTCGTTCTCCTCATCTGAGGCCCCGTCCTCCTGCTCCTGTTCTTCTCTCTCTTGTTCGGGGTCGGAGTTGGACCCAGAGGCCATAGGGAAGCTGCTTGTTGCAGCTGCAGATATGTGTACCATTTCTACGCAATGTGCTGGGCGCGTCTAGCAGGGTGTAACACGAGCAAGAGAAAACAGAAGCAATACGTGGGTGTTGAAAATCGAGTTCGAATTTGAAATTGGCAGCAGTTGATAAGATAATGCCATCAAATTATCAGGGAAAAAAATCATATGATATTCAGCACATATAATTAAGAGTAGAAGATATCCAGCTTGCCCAGTTCCTCTTGCAGCTAGCGTGTCAAAGTAAATAAACCGCTTTCGCCATATCCGATTCCTGAATACCGATCTTCACATCCAACCCATCCCTCTTCATTCTTATGAATCTATCGTATTCTACCTGAGAGAATAAATCTTCAACTTTCGCCATAGTCCCTGTACTTTCCAAGACAACGGACTTGAGGCGGTACTGGCGCGCCGCCCACCTGTTACAAATCATTTCCGTGAGACCTTTCCCAAACGGACTGTCGGTAGTAGGATGCGAAACTCGCATGGTCAATTCCTTCAAACGAGGAAGAAGGATCATGTCACCCTGCGCGTCCCTCTCCGTCATACGCGATATGAATTCGTTCTGAATCGGACGATGATAGAAATTGAGCGTCAACGTCATGAGATTAGGGATTGACTCAAGGAGGGGATAGATCCTGAGCGTAAACAGTTTGTCAGTAACTGTGAGATGTTGAAGGGGTGCTTGGGACCCTGTTAACAGAGCCCGCAAGTGATCGGCGGCGTGTGTGTGGAACCCGTACATGCGGTCTGATCCGACACGCATGACAAACGTATCTAGACATGGCAGCTCCAAACTCGTCAGGAAACGAAGGTCGTCACTTTCAGATACTGAAAGTTCCCGAAGAGACGTTTGCCTGACCTTCTGGAGAGCAGGCATCGAATGTGCGAATGTGGCGGCGCGAAAGGCGTGTAGGGAGCACATGATAGGTGCATTCTGGAGAATATGGACATAGTCGTCGTCGTCGGTAGGTGAAGAGCCGCTAATTTCTCGGTCGTCGGTGAAAGATATTATCTGTGCCCAAGGTAAAGGCATGGTCGCTCCACGGACACCTGAGAAGGTCACCTCCCTCAGGTGAGGTGCGATTGTGAAGACTTTGGTCAAAGACAGCGGAGCTGGGCCCAGATTGTTCAACGTAAGTCGAGACAACACTGGTATTCGCCCACGAAAAGAGAAATTGTCAACAAAATCGCCCGGAATCATGAAGTTAACTTCTTTCCAGCGACAAGAATGACTCTCCAACAAATAGAAGAGAATTCTGCCTATCTGAGAAGTTTCTGGCAGGCGGAATGTGACATTCAACTTGTGATGACCAGACCGGACTAGTGCATGCTTGAGCATTGCGAAGGGACTATTCTTGGCCTGGGTATGTTTGTCCGAGTCACCGGAGCTGACGATCATGTCGGACCACAGATGGGGGAACGACAGTACCGCTGCTCTCCAAGCTCTGCACACTCGGGAAAAAACCCATAGGCCAGAGGAGTCGTCAAGGACTTCATAGGGTGTCTCGTATTCGAAGATTTCAGCAAGTAACTCCGGAGGCAGAGTATCTGTCATATGCGAAATGGGACCCTGTGTGGTCTGAATACCAGCACAGCGAGGACAAGGTGAAACTTGCTTACCGAACAGAGAAAGGAGCGTTGGAATTAAATTAAATCTGTGCAAGGAGGTCAGCGAATCAAATACAGATGAATAGCAGATAACGATTCTATGCGTCTCTGGAGCGACGTGGTGGTAGTGGTCTGAGTTTATCCGGGCCGAACCGTCCCGAACCCACCGTGGGTTCGAGAGTCTCGACCCACTATATAGAAGGAACTCAAGCCACGAACTAGTGCTCAAAAGTAACTAACATTCATAAGAGTTTTACTAATATACATCTGTTAACGTTGACCCTTTTTTCTTTGTTTATCAAAGTTACATGCAACCTCAACAGTCTTTCAAACCCACTAGACACTCAATTCGACCTTTACAGATTTACGGATGGCCTCCTGTAGATCTGCATCTGCTAGTGCAGGCTCAACCCATTCCTTCAAGAATCTATCGACCTGCTCGGGGGCGCGTCCGATGAAGCTCTTAGGGTCCATGAGAGTCTCCAGGTCGCCCTTAATAGGGTCGAAGTATGGGTCGGCCTGAATCCGCGCAATCAAATCGTTCTCCAGGCCTAGTTGCTTGACTTGGTGGGCCGCTTCATGGGAGAGAACCTATAGTGCAAGTCAGACAGGTTCTGAAAAAAAGTTGGGGCAAACGAACTCGGATTTTCTCATGCGCTTCCTGTCGATCACCACCTTTCTTAACGATGGCCATGATGACGTTTTCAGTGGCCATGAAGGGGAGTTCTTGGGAAATGCGTCTGGCAATGACTTTAGGGTAAACGACGAGACCCTCAGATATATTTTGAAGGGTAGAGATGACGATGTCAGCAGTGAGGAACGCTTCCGGGAGAGTGATGCGACGATTGGCGCTGAAGAAAGCTCAGTAGGTAATTAAGGAAAATGGGAAATTTAATACCTATCATCGAGAGTGCGTTCGAACCATTGAACACTGGAAGTCATCAATGCATTCTGGTGGAGGACCATGAGATGCCGAGACAGGCTGCAGACGCGCTCAGAGCGCATCGGGTTTCGCTTGTACGCCATAGCAGAGGATCCAATTTGAGTAGATTCAAAGGTTCTTCCACTTCCTGAGTTATTGTAAGCACTGGGACAAGTCCGAACACAGGAAAAGATACCTTCAAGTTCGCAAGTAAACGTAGATCAGTCGCGATCTTGTGCGCACTAGCCCCAAGGGAAGCAAGCGGCGAGAGAACATCGACATCAATCTTGCGTGAGTAGGTTTGGGAGGTCACCGGGTAAGCATAATTGAAACCCGAAAGAGTGGTGACCAGTTTGTCGAGTTCTTCAACCTAAGGGAGTGTGTGAGTAAAAGGTAATAGAGTATGCAGGAACCTGTGCCTTTGCATGATTCCCGTCGAAGAGGGCCAAGAAACTAGCTTGAGTCCCAGTCGTCCCCTTCACACCCCGGAATCCAATATCGTCGCGCGCCCGTTTGATATTACGGAGATCCCAAAGGAGTTCCTGAAATTTTCTAAGGATAACGGTTTCAATCACAGAGACCATACTTACCTGGATCCATAATGTTGCGCGCTTACCGACGGTGGTGAGCTGTGCCGGCTGGAAGTGCGTGAACCCAAGCGTAGGCAATTCACGGTATTGTCCGGCAAAGGAAGCCAATCGGGAGATGAGCACGGAAAGGGAGCGGATAAGATAGTCTAGACCGGTCCGGAGGAAAATTAAGTCGGCATTACTAGAATTGAATCAGAAAGGATTGTGATAACGAAGAACGGGGGGAGAAGTACTCTGTGACATAGCAAGAAGTCGCGCCGAGACTGTACAATGAATTGTCAGTGATAGAGTGAAATGGGTGGATATAGTACGCACTGGATGATCCCTGCAGCAGCAGGTGCAACGGTGCCGAAAGTATAGACATGTGCCATAACATCATGACGGCGTTTCTTTTCCTCTTGAGCGGCAATATCAAACTGTTCCGGGGTGAGTTCCTATTTTTCCGCATCAGTTTCCACAGCTGGGGTGAAAAAGAATGAAAACTAACGAGGTTGTGTTTCATTTGTTCGATGGCCTCTTCTGGGATAGGCAGTCCTAGTTCCCTCTCTGCGATGGCAAGGTTGAGCCATAGTTTGCGCCAGGTATAGAATCGGTTCTAAGAAATTTTGTATACACGATGTAGCATCGATCTTTTTTCCGAGGTAAGAGAACTTACGGCTGGAGAGAACAGATGTGCCATCTCTTTGCTTGCATAGCGGCTTCAGAGCGATCAGACGACAGGTAGACAATAATATAACGAATTTTTACCTAGAAAGAGGCGTCTGGTAGGTGTTGAAGTTATCCATGGATGGAGTCGGATAACAGAATTCTAGAGCCAAAATTTTCGAGGTTGTCATGTTGCGTAATACCCGCTGTGTCAGATCTAATCTTATCGCGAGCCACGTCGAACGAAATCTACACGTTACTCTCTTCAACTACAACCACCACCAGCTTTTCCTTTTCTTTCCCGCCGCCGTCATGGCGACTTACAATTATGACGAGTCCGGCCAGATGGCTGCGTACTTTGTAATTACCTTCCTTGCGCTCATCCTCGTTCCTCTCAGTCTGTCAACGCTCCCTTCAAGAAGTGCGTACCAAATGCTCGTCCCGAGGCTTTGTCGTTCACGAATTTTTAGAAAATAAATCTGTCAATGGTTGCCAATGTGATTCTTGTGCTCAACAGCGGGCGCGTTTGTTGAAAGCAGAGGGTCATAAGCCCACCACAAAGTGCGTACAAGTCATACAAAGGGGCGCTCAAAGCTGTTAAATGAGTTGTCCAGAGCAATATTTATCATTGTCGGCTGGTCCATCGTTTTCTTCCTCCTTCATCGCGTCGCGAACACCAAATCGGACAACAAAGTCTATGACCCCTACGAGATCCTCGGAATCAAATTAGTAGGCATTCTCTTTAGTCGTTCCAAAACGCCAATAGTCTAACATACCGTGATACAGGGAACTCCAGAGAAGGAAATCAAGTCTCATTTCAAAAAGCTTTCTCGCCTATACCATCCTGATAAAGTCAGAGCGACCGTGAATCAGACACTCGAGGAGATCCAGAATCGCTTCGTGGATATCACAAAGGCGTATAAATCGTGAGTTTGCCCTTCAACTCCCTTTTTTCATATGCTGAGCATTCAAAAAGGCTCACAGACGAAACCATTCGACGCAATTGGGAGGAGTGGGGTGATCCAGATGGCAGGCAGCAAATGTCCATGGGAATCGCCCTTCCCACTTGGATCATTGAGGGCAGAAACAATATCTGGGTGCTTGGCTTTTACGGATTAATATTCGGCGGCGGTCTGCCTGTGCTCGTCGGACGCTGGTGGTTCGGTTCTCGTCAAAAGACCAAGGATGGTGTTACTGCTCGCTCTGCGGCGGCATTTTTCAAATCTGTGACTGATAACTCGGGGATGGACGAAGTTCTTGGCATGGTGGGAAGGGCGTACCGGTGGGAATGTCAGCCCGTGGCGAAAGATCAGGACGAGCTTAAGCGCCTAGAAGGCGCAATCAGAGAAAAGGCGGGACAACAGTGGACCTCCCTGATTAGCACCGTGAAGGACGAAAACGTCAAACGTGCATTGGTGTTGGTTTACGCGCATTTGCTAAGGCTAACCGTCGCGAGTTCGGCTTTGCAAAAGGAGCAACGTCGCGTCTTGCTCCATACTCCGACGCTCCTGAACTCACTCCTGATCATGGCCACATCGCGAAGCTGGCTCGTACCTACACTGGCGGTGATGCGACTGCAAGGATATCTCACTCAGGCATTGCTTCCGTGGCATAGCAATGCCGCGCAGCTGCCTGGTGTGAAACCGGATGAGGGACTTGGTGAAAGTCTTGACCAATTTGTCAAGACGCTTGAAGAAAAAAAGGACGGGCGCGTACCTGATATCAAAAAAGCAGTTGAGAAATGGGGAAAGCTTGATATCGTGGATGCTAGCTTCAAGGGTACGTTCTTTACTTGACGTTCTGCTTGTGCCATGCTCATGGTCATAATCTCTAGTTATTGACGAGAAGACAGTCACGCCTTCGTCAATCGTATTCCTCGTTGTTAAATTAAGGCTAGGAGCAGTAGAAGGCGTTGAACTGGACACTGATACCAAGGAGAATGACGCCAAGGACTACGAATTTTTGAGCACACGAAAAGACGCAGAGGACGTTGTTGTGACTCCTGGGTGGGCGCATGCACCCTATTGGCCTGCAGTCCGTATTCACCTGTTTGTCTTTTGCCAAAATTGACTGACTTGGTTCATTATCAGAACCGCAAACCTTCATGGTGGATAGTCCTTGCAGACCCTAAGTCTTTGCGATTAGCCATCCCTCCCATGAAAATCACCGATATACCGTATGCACGCGACCTCCCTGCATCACGACCATTCCGGTCGTACAAGGTACAATTCCAGGCTCCTCCGAACACGAGTGTGAACCCATGGCGAGTGTATGTCGTGAGCGACACGTTTGTGGGCCCAGAATCGGAGGGCAGTGTACCTATAACATTGGAGGTCGTGGAGAGGAAAGCGGACGAGGCTGATGGGGAGGATGAGATCTCTGAGCCAGAGGAAGACTCGCTAGCCGGTCAGATGGCGATAATGAAAGGACAACGGGTAAAGAAGGTGCAAGAAGAGGAGAGCGACGATGAGAGCGGCACTGATGATGACGACAATGGCGACGATAGTAGCAGTGATAGTGATTAGTGCATATTGTGATTATAGTTTTCCATTTTCCATCCTTTCTTGCACGTCACCAGTTGCCATTTGACCGAAAAGGGTGAAACTAGAAATCTCGACAAGAAAGTACTGTCTTTGATATCTAGGATACTTCAGTCTAGCCGTAGGGCGTTCAGAGCATAATTTGATAGCTAATACGACCGTAAAGTACATAAATGATAAACCTTATAATGAATGACTAGAAAGTTAACTACAAATGTTAATATTTGAGGGAAAGACAGAATTGCAAGAGCAAATGGTATTTAACACATATTCTGCAGAGAATTTTCTTCCATAACCTAAACTACGTCTAACAGTTGGGCCAAGATCATAAGTTTTCAAGCAAGCTTGAAGGCCCGAGTCTGTCTGACTCAGATACAAATCTTATCGGAAGGTCACTATCAACATCCTCATCTATATTCCGGATCTTCGCCCACGGCCACCATCTCGGAAATCAGAATTTCGGCGGGAGCTCCTACGGGATTCCAGGAAGGCATATATAGAGTCTTTTGACAGTCAAGCAATTAACCTTCTCATCAAGAGTACCGTCGTTATGGGTGACCGTTACTTCTCCTTACTTGGCGACCAACTACCGAAGTTTCTCACTACAAAGTCCGCGATCGTGATACTTATTGTTGTGGTCGTATCATTCGCTTTGAAATTGAAAAAATGGAAGCCTCGTTCTTCAATGGTAGATTCTTCGAAAGCGAACTCCAAAGCCTCAGATGTTAAGGAGGAACGTGTCCCTGGAGGTGCGTTGCTTTTCGTTAGTGATTCCAAGGGTTTTTTTTCATCGATGTTCTGCCTAGAATGGGCACCAAAAATCTTCCAATATCCACCTGTTCCACCGTGTCCTCTTGATCTGCCTGACATCAAACCGATTCCTTATAGGCCGTTCAGATGGGGCCAATATCAGTAGGTCCATAATACTATTTGACGTATCAATATTTGATGAAATGCTCATACAAGCGTCACAATGGGCACACGCAGCATGCCTTGGGAGGATTGGATTGAGGTGCATAGAACCTTTATCAGCTGTTCTGGAGCTAACGTCCTCCTTACCATGTAGATCGATAACACATACGCTAGATATCAGCGCATCAGAGAGCACCGAATAAACACCAAAGGCGACGATGTTCTACGCCTTCTTCCTGCGAATCCTGGGGTGAAGTCTGGGTACGATGCGGGCAAGCGAAGTTTCCTCTCGTTGACATTTGCTTGTTCCTGACCATTACTCAGCAATTGAACTAGTTCACGAACTCGCCGAGTACCTGCATAAAAGATATCCAACTGCATTCCTTGTTACACGGACGAACGAATCCCCCAAGAGCCCCATTAAAACTATCTGCGTCGTTACGACGGACACGAGTTATGACCTCCCGCCTCCCCTGCTGATAAACGGCAAGGAGGGCCCGTTACTTATTAGTAGCATAGGGAAGGATGAAGCCGAGAAGGCCATGAAAATCGCTGCTTTGTTGGTACAAGACGATCTAGCCATCATGGTAGAAGGTCAGAAGAGGCCACTGTGTCTTTGACATACTCTGACGGAAAGCGTCGATAGGCTCTGACGACCGATATTACTTCCAAGGAGGGGCAATTTGTGTTGCAGGTCTTTACATTCCCACTGCTACCGAATTGCATAGCTGAACGCCAGATATAGGGAATTGGCGGTTGCAAGACAAGATAGGCCTTGCGATGGAAGACATACATGTCACTGTTCCTCAATGTGAGGGGCCTCGTCCTTTTTTCACGCTCCGAGCAAGCCTGACAATGAAACAGATCGCGAAAAACTGCACGTCAGTCTCACACGATTTTTCCGTCGTCTTCCTGTCGACAAGCCAGTTATTCGTAACAATTATTCCATCCAAATTGTGCCGCCCACATATAACGGAGACGACCTCGTAGATCCGGAGGAGCTGGCTTGGTCATCAGTTTTAAACGGACCAGAGACAGAATTTGAACATAGGCATGGCAAACAGACTCAGCTTCCACTAGTGACGCCCGAGACCTTGAGATTAAGAACAGAGAGACAGACTCTTCGAAGGCTGCCGCTGTCTGGCGCAATAATCTTCGGTATTCGGACCTACGTCATCCCGATAGAGATGTTGGCCAAAGAGCCTGCCGTCCCTGGAAGAATAGCCAGCGCTGTGAGGGGGTGGCCTGAGAGCGTAAGGGCATACAAAGCTGGAGCGATATACGAGGACATTCTGCTGGAATACTTGGACAAATGTGCGCAGGAGCAGGAAGAGGGGGGGGTAGTAGAAGATCCAGCGAGGAAATATCCATTCTAACGATTGTTAGGATTTGCAGAAGAAAAATGTACAATTTGGCGATTGGACCAGAGCTGTGGCCACCTTGATGATGCTTTTCATTATCGAGCCTCTGCTTCATGGAATATACATAGAAGCCTGCAATTCTTGTTTAATCCAATGATAATGTGACATTACAAGAACACTACACAACCTGCGAAAAATGAGAAAAACAGCATATATGAAGGCAAAGGACGTACCCTAGGTGCTAGACTGACGATTTTACCCCACCCCTTCATCCGTAGGTCCGCGCTCACGACGCCACCAATACGTGTTCCCAGCATTTCCCTCTTGTTGTTTAATAGGACTGCGGCATTGTCGTCGAAGCGAACGATCCGACCGTCTGGTCGTCGCACCGGTTTTCTTGTGCGTACGATAACGGCGCGCCGTACGTCTCCTCTTCGGACTTTGATAGCAGTCAAAGACGCCTGCGCCGCTGCAGTGACTGGCCGCGCACTCTGGACGACACAAACGATCTCGTCACCGACAGATCCCCATCCGTTGTTGACTTTGTTTTTCAGGACATTGACGCATTCTACAATGAGAGCCCCCGAGTTGTCTATCACCTGGTATTCGTTTGTTAGGGAAGAGAGATATAATATAAGAAGAAAAGACTTACATTGAGAGTGCTCTTGAGGCCAATCATCGCGTCGACTGGAAAAGAACTCGAAATTTGAATTTCGGCCGAAACAGGCCATCAGCACGTGCTTGCGATCAGGACAAGCCAGGGGTTGATGGAATTAACTTGCAACTTGAACACGCCTCGTAATTATTGAGGAGGGGGAATATAGTACTCTACAGCTACGTACGTCTATGCCACTACTCTTTGGAATACTAATCTAATGTTCGACTCCATGGGATGTGTAACTCTCGGCTAAAATTCTAGGTGTCTTCAACTTGTGGTCTCGTTAAGGGTGTTTTCCGTTTTGTGCCAAGCCAGGGCCCCGAGGTGAAACTCGTTACCACCTCAACGGATACCCTTTGGGCTGCACTGAGTCTGCATTTGCTTCTTTCCCTCAGCCAAAAATGCATACGGTACTCTTGGCATTCTTTTATGAACCAATGGACATCTAAAGAAATTTTTTTTCTTGGAAAAATGGGGTAATTCTACCGTTAGCATGGCCTAGGTAGGAGGCCAGTGCTCGTGGAGCGGAATCACATACAATTGATACACATCACTGCCGTTTCAAAAACGATGGAAACTCAGTGCTGATTATCCACACTCTCTTACCCTTACCTCACCCTCTCATCCTCGCAATGCCTGACTTCAAGTTCACCATTGACGATATTAACCCTATGATTATCTACGAGCCTTCTTCGGCATGGAGACCAGGGAACAAGTCTGCTGACCCTGAGGCTTCAAAGCGAGGGAATTCTGCTTTTTTTTTCTGCTACTAACTAACATGTGAGCAGCTATTCGAATAATGGAACGTTTACCCTCTGCCAACAAAGAGGTGCAACGGCCACTTTCAAATTCAATGGAACTGGAGTAGGAATCTACGGAGCGAAGCGATCCAACCATGGTTAGTACTTTCTTCAATGGATGTCTCCCTTGAACAATCATTCGGCAGGGACTTATACCGCAAACCTGGACGGTAGTATAAATCGTTTTGACGGTTACTCTCAGAACAGCATATTCAATCAGCCTTTGTTCGAAGCTTCTTCGCTCCAGAATGGGCCCCATACTCTGGTTCTGACCAATACACAAACCAACAGTAACTTTTCGTACCTCGATATCGACTATGTGAGTGGACACCATTTCGATACGTATCGTGATTCATCTCCCCAATTACAGGTTACATGGAACGTGTCCTTGGAAGACGATATACTCCCCCCAACAATAACCTATCAAGACTATGATCCGCGGTTTTCGTATGAACCCTCCGATGCCTGGACCGCACAAACAAGCGTGAATGGATACCAAAATCAGAGCGGCCAGTGAGTTCTTACTTCTAAGCGTCCTACAGACTACAAAGATATGTTCCTTACCCAGTCGTACTACTCAAGCAAATGCCACGGTCACGCTGACATTCAACGGAGAAGAAGTACGGATATTCGGCCTCGTCGGACCCAATGCTTCTCCCTATGTCGTAACAGTGGACAACAGCACCGTCGGAACTTTCAACGGCACCACACGGGACATGTCCTCTGGCGTCATGCTGTACGAAACATCAAATCTCGGACCTGGACAACATACCCTGACCCTTATGAACACGCCAAATGGCACAGCACAAACCCTCTTTATAGCCTATGCGGTAGTTACAGATAATACAACGGATGTGTCTTCCGATTCGTCAAGGTGAGAGACCTATCTTCTGGCTTGCTATTCAATGATTCAGTGAATCTGTCCAGTCTAAGCAGCGGTGCCATTGCGGGTATAGCAGTTGGTGCTGTCGTCGGCCTGGCTGCTCTTGCTTTGATCGTCTTCTTCTGGCGACGGGGAAAGAAAGATAACCATAGCAGAAGGATGTCCTTGGACATGGCTAGTCCCCTGGATATCCGGACGGCCTTGGTGGATCCATTTGTAAGCCATTCAAGCACTGATACAGGCTTCAATCCAGCAGGGCCTCCCACCTCCGACACCAGTGCGTCAGTGCCTCGCATGCGATCAGATTCGACATCCTTGACGAATGCGTGGCCTTCTGTGCGTGTTTTTCTAGCTGCTCTATCCATCTTACTGACAAGGCTATAGCATCCCTCCTCTTCCACAGACGGACCAGGGCGTCGCAACCCATCCATGACTCCGCTCATGCTAGCATCTTCTAGCGATGAAGATTCACCCTTCCCGACATCATCCTATTCTACCCCATTGACGGCACAATCTCAGGCGCGGTCAAGGAAAGGTCAACCTACGGTTCTCCCGGCCTCTGAAAATCAATCCATGCAACACCTCCCTGCTGAGGAGCTTCGGTCTACACGGATGGTCGTCGAGGGCAGGGAGCAGGACTTTGGGCCTGTGCCGACGCCGGATGTCGATGATGTGCTGCCTCCCAATTACGATCAGGCTATAGAGCCATTGCATCAACGGTCATAGCATATAGGTTTTATTCGTGGTACTCTCTTATTTATGAACTTCATTTGTTATTTTGATACCCTCTTATTCCAGAGTATTTAGTATATGCATCATCTCCCTGCACGAACGTCTGATGGATCCTTCAGTTGAGAAAAAAAAATTGAAATCGACACCACCAACAGAAATCTCAGCTGTGAACTCGTCAGTACCCTTGATCGGCTGTTGTCGAGTCGCTGGAGGGACTAATTTGAGTGAGATAAAAGTCGAGTTTACCACGGCATTCTGTGAATTTACCTGGATTCCTTGCACTTTTATAAATACTTGCTCGCTGGGGCGGGTAGGTGACTAACCTTACTGCCGTCTGTGTACATTAACCTTGCGAATAGAACACTCTAAACGTAAAACAACAGATGTCGACCGGGACGCTACGCACTGACGACTCCTCAGATCCTTTAGTTCTCTGTTGAAAGGCGTCGCAGCGAGATGCTACTGTTTACCTGGCTCACTCAAGCGTTTAACGCCATTCTTCGCCTTGGCAGAAAGCCTTCCACAGTCTCCATCAGGCACGTTTTTGCCCTGGCCGAACTGGCAGAATACCATGTATCCACCGCTCATAGTCTTCTCAGCTTGGAGGAAATATTGTCTTCCTCCGTCAAGACCGCGGAAAAATCGTCGTCGATGAAATAGACTACCGAAAGTGCCGACTTTCCAATGGCCGTGCGTCTCGGCACGAGTTCCTGGTCGTTACAGTTTGACAGGTTGAAGAGGGACGAAAGGTGGTCCTGATGATAGATCGTCGGGATGACGAATTTATCAAGTCTGCTTCCCTGGCACTGGCACACGGTTCATCGACATCTCCCAAAGATTCTGTTCCATCCGCACCCTCCGAAGCCAACCCTTCCGACCCGTCCGGGTCGCCAACTAAACCCTCTGACAAATCAGACTCTTCCCCACCCCCGCTTCCTGGAAACACAAGGGTCAAACCAAGTTGGCACCGCGCAATGTTCGAAAGCAGCAGCCGTCTTGGTGCAGCCCTTGGTGCAGTTCACCGCGTCACAATTCTCCGCAACAAAAATATCGGGTTAGAAGTTCAGGGAGAGTCTGATCTGCTGATGAGAATGAATTTGAAGAGATCCAGAAATGGGAAGGTCGTTTACCTGGAGGAGCTGTTGGCCCTCGTCAAGACGATGTCTGACAATATTTTGGGGTCCGAGTCCGATGTCATATTTCCCTGGTGTTTCTGGTTCGTGTCTACCATATGGAAGGTCTTGGAGATGGAGACAGAGCCAGAAATTACCAACTACTATGATTCTGCAGGTCAATCCTGCGGTAATATCTTGGCAAGAACATTCAGGCCTGAAGACTCTATCTCTGCGAAGACACCTGAGACTATCAAGCTGGAATGGGAGCAGCTGAAGGTTGCCGTTGACGAGGACTTGACTGAGGACCAACGGGTGAACATGTTCATACATCGCATGGCTTTTTCTGATACAGCTTTATTGGATTTAGGAGCTGCGTGAGCTCGAGACTGATGCCAAACTCAAGAGTTGGACGCTGAAGAGACAGAACTTGAAGCTCAAGGCAGTGCTTGATGCTTGATAGATACACGACGGTTTCTCCCTTTAGTTATATTGCCCACTGAATATATCTTGCTTTGTCTCAAAGTCGTGCAGTAAGTTTTATTGAGGAGCAGGATCGAAGTCACCAGTGTGCAGGGGGTCTTTTTGGTCTACAGGGTGACGCGCTGACACCTTGGTCACCTTGGTATGATAATGCGATGTCGTTATTTTACGTCACGAACCCGAATCTAAAATAAAATTCTACGTACATAAATACAAGGGAAGCAGCATACGACGCTCATGGTACTTTGAGGAAACCATTGGCTACTTGCGTAAATAACGAATAAGCTGTTGCACTTGCGAAAGCGGGCCTCCTTTGCCTTCAGAATCAGCTCATAAATCACTGGCAGCTCTTGGTACGAGGTATAATTCCATTGTAGATCGTGATCCTTATCCGCATATATACAAAATCGTCAAACGTAAAAGCATCAATTAGACACCCTTATCCACCATAGTCCTATGCTTGGTCCCAAGTATAGCATTCCACAGGACGACCAGCGCAGCATAGACTTCCCTTCTCCTCACACCGCTCTTCCTCCACAGGATCCTCACAAAAGCAAGGACACATAACAAGAAAGACGCGTCCAGACACAGACGTCGTAAAATTATGGCAGAGGGTGATCGATTCTCGTTCTTGGAGAAGAACTTTGCAAACTCACGAAGCTGCTCGATCCCTCTAGAGATAGGATTCAACACCAAAGACCACATCCCCAAATCATCAAAGTCCCATTCTGGGCCTGTGCCTGGACTGCCCCGAGGTCCTGTCCAACTGGGGCTGAGCCTACGTCCGCCGAGAGAAGAATGAGATCGAGAGCTTAGCAGATAGATGGATTCAATTGACTCGATGCGTTCACTCATGGCGGCCAACTGTGCCTGCACGTTTTCGACAGCACGCTCAAGTGTAGGCCGCGTTGCAGGTCTCACTGGTACGTAAGGTCCAAACTGAGGCATAAGAATAGGTTGTGATTGCCCGCGGTATTGGGGGTGGGAGGGGTATATATGTGGCGAGCCAGTCACTTCATTTCGAGACGACTGAGAGAATTGGCTCGTGGGATATACAGACGACGGTGCTGGGGTGAGGGAGTCGCCAAAAGCGGATGGGGTTTCGAAGCCGGGTAAGGGTTGGGTTACAGGGGACACCGCCGTGAACAGGAGGAGGAGACATGGCAAGGGATCCGGTCATGGGTGTTCGGTACCGATGAGAGGAAAGTGAGGATTGGGGTCGGTTCGGTTGAGGCATCTCTATTTGCTCGGGAGATAGGTTGGGAAGTTCGCCGGCTTCATCTGCGCTATCGTCCACTTCGGAACCGGAATCTGTCTCTTCTCGTTGTTGGCTATGGATAGAATGTGATTGATTTTGATGAATGTAAGGTGATCCGCGAACTTCATCTGAAGCAGTAGAACTAGACGAGGAGGACACCCGGGATCTTGACATGGTTCCTACATGCAACAGAATGAGTGTCTAGGAAAGTGAATCAGTGAAGAACGCTTACCACTCATAACAAGATTGAAAGGGTCACCACCATACGCCTCGAGTTCCTCAACAAGGCTCTTTGTAACTGTTTTGTCGGAGTATTTGCGCAAGACCTATACGGGTCAGGATAGTACAAGACTGCACAATCAAGAAGTCGTACCTTGAGAAGGGCGTCTACATACAGCCACTTGGCTTCGTATGAGTCCAAATCCTTGTGCTTAGCCCAAGCATCCCTGCGTTTTCCGGCCGATGAGCAATGGAACGCAATGATAGTACAATGGCGCCGACCATTTTGCACGCCCCAGCATGTCCCACATTGCTGGCCGCGGTGACTTTACATTTCCAACCGTCGCTGTAAGGACAGATTAGAATAAATGAAGGTTCTGTAAAGAAAATGAGCACCTTGCTTGTACAAACTAAGAAAACGAATGTCAGAAGTACGATGAAATAATGCGCCACGGAGTATTTACCTGTACATTGTCAGTTTCTCCTCATAGTCTGTTTGGATGGGTCCAGTCTTGGGTAATCCCTGGACAATCTCAACTGCACGGTCAAACTGGGCATCAATGAGCTCGTTGGATGACATGTTGTTGCCCCTTCAAAGGGCGTAGTGCTCGTTTTCTGGGTGGTGGTAAGGTCGTGGTACAGCGAATGTCGGACCCACGTGAGAGCATCAGGGGCGTAGCTACACAGGGACACACTCCTTGCACAGCTTCCATCGTGTCCCCACCATCATGCATCGAGGCTCCGATTCCAGTGACAGCGAGGACGATGCCCTTTTCTCGTCTGGCGCTGAAGACGACGCTGAAGCCGTATCAGTGACCCCAAAATCGGGGAAAAGGAAAGCCCGGGAAGATGAAGGGCGGGGGCAGGCCATCATCGTACAGACCGCCTTCGACGCGTACTTCACACATTCCAGCTCGCGACCTGCAGACATCTGCCAACGTTTTTTCTTCCTTATACCCCCGCTGTCCTCAACAGAATACGCAGAAGCCATCGCTAACCTCCCCGACCAGCAGCTTATATCAGTACTCTTGACCGATTCCAAAGCACGAAATGCCCTCTTCATCAGGATTCTACGCGAACTAAAAGAAGGCTTCAACGTGCTCTGCTACGGTTATGGATCCAAGCGAAAGCTATTGAACCAATTCGCAGTCGAGCGTTGTTCCAAAGCGGGACACGTCGTCGTAGCGAACGGCTTTCAGCCCAATTTCAGTATCAAGGATTTACTCAATTCTATCGAGGCCATTCCTGGTATCCTCTCCCTTCCTGCATCCTCTACTGCTATCGAGAGCCAGGCGCGTCGGATATCCACGTTCTTCTCTCAGCCATCGCAAAAACGGTCACTCTACATCATCATCCATAACATCGATTCTCCCAGCCTTCGCACCACCAAGTCCAAGGCTTGTCTTGCCCTCCTAGCCTCTAACCCTCGTGTTCATATCGTGGCATCCGTAGACCATATCAATGCGCCACTGATATGGTCTTCCAGTGAGGCATCCTCTCGAGGAGATGGAGGCTTCACATGGCTATGGCACGACATGACTACCCTTGCTCCGTATGATTTCGAACTCGCCTATGCTGATCGCTCCTCAATATCCGGAGCACATGGAGGTGGGTCTCGTAAACAGCGCGATGCAGGAGGTTCGGGCGCCGCAAACACCACGAACATGTCAGAGACGGCTGCTGCCCATGTCTTAGCCTCCGTCACACAAAAAGCCAAGAAGTTGTTTGTGCTTATGGCTAAGAAGCAGCTGGATGCGGTGGAAGAAGCTGGCGGCCCGCCGGGGAATGACATGCAACCGTTCGCGATAGGATACGGGATGTTGTTCAACGCTGCCCGCGATGAGTTCATTGCAACGAACGATACGGCCTTGCGATCGTTACTTGGAGAGTTCAGGGACCATAATCTGATTCTAGGTGAGCAAAGCACATCGGGTACGGAGATGCTATGGATACCACTACGGAAAGAGAGGTTGGCCAATGTTCTTCACTCGATACAGGTGGAATGATGAAGGATTTCCCTTTCTCGAAAGTACGTCGGACTTTGCTGTATACAATTGTATTCGATGCTTGATACATACTAATACATTTACATCGTTTATCTTATTGTGTATCTCAGGACATGTCAACGACGCAGCGGATGCATTCACCACCCTAAGGACGTTGATGAGCTGAGGACTAAACGAAATGATAACGGTCTTACGTGCATATCATGGAACCCTTCGTTGATCTCGGTAAACTTCCTATGGTGAGTAACGTACTCGTCAATCTTGACTTTGCCCTGTAGGTAATCTTCGAATGGAAGTCAGTCGATAACGCACGAAACGGAACGGCGTGGCCTAATCACCTTCAACAAGACCAGGAATCTCAGTCCTTCCTTTGACACCGCCGAAGGCACTCCCTCGCCAAGTGCGGCCCGTCACCAATTGGAATCTGAGATAGCAAGCGTTAGATAAAGATAGTTTGCCGCGGCAAGCAGGGCAACCTACGGTCGTGTAGAAATCTCTTGGCCGGCAGCGGCGACCCCGATGACAGTTGAAACACCCCATCCTTTGTGGCAAGCCTCAAGAGCAGACCTCATAACATGCACCTAAAATTCGATCAATAAAAATGATTTCAGCCTAAAGATACGACCCACATTTCCAGTACAGTCAAACGTGTAATCAAGTCCGCCATCAGTGAGCTCGACGAGATAGTCCTGGATACGGGTGCCCTCAGGAAGCTGGAGCGGGTTGATGAAATCAGTCGCGCCAAACTTCCTTGCCCAAGCCTCTTTGCCCGGATTGGTGTCGATGGCAATGACACGGCTGGCGCCTACTAAAGCCGACGTGTTGATGACTCCAAGGCCGATGGCGCCACAACCAAAGACTGCGACAGACGATCCCTCTACGAAGGAGATATCAGAAGACCACGCATACATATATACAAGACCATACTGATGCCAGGCTGCTTCACAACGGAGCCCCATGCGGTGGTTATACCGCACCCCAGCAGGCAAACCTTCTCCAGGGGCGCTTTTTTGTCCACAGCAACGACCGACACGTCGGCGACGACGGTGTATTGAGAGAAGGTAGAAGTACCCATCTAGACTTCCTAATCAGAGCAGTCCGCGATCAAACGCGTTGAAAGCACCTACAAAGTGGTGGATAGGCTGACCCTTACAAGTAAAGCGGCTAGTATTGTCAGGCATGAGACCTTTGCCTTGAGTCGCGCGAACTAGAAGTAGAGATCAGACCATGGCAGTTACTTTGCGCAAAAAAGGTTTACCTTTCCCACAAAGGTTAGTTTTGCCGCTCTTGCAGAATTTGCACTCTCGGCACTCTGTTACGTTGTTGGAAACACATATTAAGACGGGAAGGCGCGTGTCTCACCGGCGGTATAGAGCGGGATAACATGGTCACCGACTGCGACACTAGTTACACCTTCTCCAACGGATTCAACCTTATCAAAAAAGATCAGAAAATATCAGTAGCGATGGAAGGGTTCTCTTACGATTCCTCCGCCCTCATGACCCAGGATAACGGGGAACAGACCCTGCATTGAACTTGGATAAGCATAGTAATCTCGCCGTCTGAGCTGAGGCAGACCTCGGGATCCTTGCCGCTGCGAGTGTACTCGTCGGTATGGCAGATTCCTGGGAAGCCGATAAGTGGTGTTTCCGCTGCGCCACGCCGATTTGTGCTTACCGGTGTGAAGGATGTGAATCCTGACTTCATGGGCCTGGGGAGGCGCGACTTCGATATCCTCAATCTTGAGAGGCTCACCAGCACCCCAGCAGACGGCGGCCTTGCACTTGATTACTTTACCGGCAGTGTCAGACATGATGGTGGTTGGAGAGAAGGAGATGTGGGTAAGTCAGATAGCGAAATTTGGATGCCTTTGTATGTCGACAATCGGACCGGCTAATTCTTTTTGGGTATGATTGGATCTAAGTCCGTCGTATACACATATTCATTCTCTTGCTAGACTTGCTGAATAACCATTGTGTCTAGAGTTACGATTTTACGCGTCGATTTAATAGAAACCAGCATTTTCCCTCGTTTTTGTTCTGGAAAAGATGAGTGACCGGGTCAACTTACGCGCGAAGGTGTGCTCCTATGACGCATCATCAGGGCGCTTCGTGCCTAAAAAGGATACGGGTATCATAGTACCCTTGCCTTCACATCATCATGTCCTTTACAAATCTATACTACAAGAGGGTACTTGTCTTTGTCACTCTCTGCCTACGGCTGTATTCATAGCTGACAAAAGACCACAGGGACACCCAAGGCTTGCTATATCTGCTACAAGCCAACCACGACCTGCCTAGCTACCATCAACGCCGTTGACTTTCTTTATACATGCCCCACCCATCTCACCGACAGAGGCTTTGCTTCGCCTATACAAGAGGAACCCGCTAAACCGGCTGTAGACGAGAACGAGATCGCAAAAGTGAAGGAGGAGTGGGAGGAGAAGCAGAAGAGAAAGGCAGAGCGAGAGAAGGAGAAAGAAAAGGAAAAAGAAAAGGCAGATAAGGTGAAAGATAAGGATGACGACAAGGATAAGAAAGAGAAGGAGAAGAAATCAACACCACCAAAGTCACCACATTCCTCAGTTTCACCCCCTCCGACGCCTGCAGCTCATCAGCGCTTCGCACTACATAGGGATATCTTTGCTAGTACGTGCTATTACTGACTTGGACCGTGAGTACTGACTGAAATCGTCAAAGTGCGACAAACCGAGCATCGTAGACGCAGACAGGCCGCACAAGCGAAGGATCTAGCGCCTCGTTTCCCCGGTGCACCCCGAGGAGAATTAGCATAGCCGCGGTCAATACTATTCAGCATTCTGTGTCGACGTTTGTATTATTGGGATCTAGTGTATACTAAATTGTACACTTGTTTGAATATGACACATTCCTTCGCCGCCAAAGGGTACGGCAAGGGTATTTAATGTATATACGCAGGAAGTACTTTTATGAAAGCATGGGGTAGCCTCTAATGATCCAGAAATAGCATCGGTACGAGGAAAACCTTTTCCATGGACCGAATATGACATAGACCACCAGACGATATAACTGGGGAACCGAAAGATGCCTACCCGTATTTAATATTTGACAATCACCTTGGCGCCTCGCAAGGACGTAACATAGTTCGACGGGATCAAAGTCTTCAAGACATCCTGTTAGGGTAAATCCACGTATCGGCACAATGGTTGTTCAGGTTCTACTCTCAGGATATGAATACGGTGCAGTTTGACACCAAGGCAATCAGGGTAAACAGGAACGCTTGAACGTCAATGACAAAAAAGGACTTACACGATTCCTCTACTATAAGGCGTAAGTTTCCCCGGCTTAGGTTGCTGCGTCATCCCCTACACGAGATCATGTAGGCAGTTGCGTAAGGACATGTCCCTCGAATATCTTGGGTATGCGCAGTTATGATTTAAAATGGGTCGTCTACAATAGCCTGAGAATGAATCCAATGAGTCAGAAGTAGAAAAACAGATTAAGTCCGATCGTATATACGTGGTCTATTGTCCAAGGAAATAACGGTTTAAAGTGGTAAGACGGTGCCAAAGACATAATCCCAGAACTTGCCTACAACGGCCTGTGAGAAAGAGAGTCTCCACCTAAACAACAGACACGTACTGGTTACACCAAATGCAAGCTCGTAGTTTTTGTAGTGATGGGCGAGGTGGTATCGTTTCTGTTCCTTCAAGTATGCCGGAAGATTGGTGTGATGAAGCCTGAAATTTCAGGTCAGTAATGAACCAGGTCAAGGGGTACCGCTTACGCATAATGCATGGTGTCATAGATAACATCTACAGGATTACTATCAGCCGTGTTTGAAGTCCGATAAAAATTCAGTACTCACAAAACGCGAATGCTCCGGATATAATTCCATTTGCCACCGGAGTGGGGAAGAGTTTGTACGCCAACTGGGTGAAAGGGAATTGGAGCGCCGTAAACAAAATCGGCGGCATGACGAGTCTCAGTCTAAATATCAAATGTTAACCATTGTTCACTACCAAATGACGTTTGGAGCTGCGCACCGGTCCATAGGAAGGTAATGGTGCACGCCGTGGAGGAGGAAGTGTAGCGTGAGGAATGCACCTTTGTCGGGAAGATTCTCATCGAGGTGGAACAAGAACCGATGCATTCCGTACTCTAATATGGTCCAGATAACGTTTCCAATGAAGAAACAGATGGCGGATTTCGTATAGGATTCTATGGGGATCTGGGGAAGCAGTTGTACAGGGAGTATGGGATTCGCAAAGACCGAGGGGAGCGACATGCTGAACTGCAAGATGGAACGTAGAGCGAGGTATGTCGCAATTGGAATCCAGACGAGGGGCACTGCATACCACACGCATTTTGTGAACACCTATGAGAGTGGTGAATGCCACTCAATAGACTGTTTAACGATTGTACGTACCTCGAGATAGGCTGGCCCGAACAGCCGAGCCGAATATGACAGATGCCGGGGTTGGTGAATTTGTTGGAGGTAAAAGTTTTTGCTGGGGGATGGTTGAGCCGGAGAAGAGAAAAGCATACGTAGACATACCTGAAGTTAGCATACCATACCTGAGGCAGCAGGGGCTTACTCAAATCTAAGAACGCATTCTTCGCAAAATCCGCTTTAAGGTCGGTGTCTTCCGGGTGGAAATCCTCGTCGGCGACCCAGTCTAAAGGAGCTCATGTTGGAAGGAATTCTGCGAGACTAGTGACAGTACGCACCCTCAGAGCATGTATTCTCCTGATTTCCTACCCTACCAACGAGAAACTCCTCTAGCATGTCGTATGCAGCCTCTGAGTGTTGATGCTCGTTCTTGTCACTCATGACGTCCTCAATGGGTTGGCCGGCATAGCGAAGAAGGATATCCTCGCCACCAGGATGGTCAGCTAAGAATCCTGTAATGTCGTACACCTTCCCTCGGTAGGATACCCAGCAGCTGGAAGCCGTAACATGTTCTTTGAGGTCCTCGGGAGAGTAGATTCTAATCCTTTTGGACATGGTAGAAGAGGAACAAGACCCTTTTTGGCCGGCCCTTCCTCTTTTAGAGATGCCTGCCGGGCGGCACAAGAATTTCAACTGCCAACATTAACCGTGACCTTTTCTTAGCGTTCAGGATTATTGTATGGTCGCTGCTCGTACGGTGCATATCGGCATCTATTGTTTTTTGAAATTTGTCCAAAAATTCTGATGAACTTCTGCTCTTGCCAGCTCACCTGACGAGAACTTTTCCGGTCGCGGTCTCGTGAACACTACCATATGCAAGCATTGGATTCTTTCTATATAACATCGGCCGAATTATGGGCGACATCACTGGAATTCATCCAGCAGACACTTGCTTTCAGGCTATTGCCCTCCATGAGGTTCTCTTGGTCTAGCGCATTGGTAGCGACGACGTTGGTCCAGGACGCCTTTGCGCAATGCCCTGACTATACCACGTATGCACAGGTCAGTTAAATATTAATCTTGAATAGAGACCGCAAGGACACTAACTGCATTCCTATTTGCAGAGGTCTCAGGGAAACCCATCGGGTGGTCCTTTAGGTTTACCGTACATGCGCCCTGACCCAGCCTGCCGCACGTTCAACAGTACCGCCGTCGAGGTAAGCCGTGTTCTTCTGCGTTGAGATATATATTACAACCGCTTTTCTTTACTAGAAAGTCGTTGTGGATATGAAATCACGTCTCAAAGATCCGGATCTCGCGAGATTATTCGAAAATACATTTCCTAATACTTTAGGTTCGTCTCTGTGTATCCTACATCTATTTCCAGCGGCACGCTCCTCTTCGTACAGACACAACAGTCAGGTATTATAATGAAGTGCGTTTACTTGTTCATTTCCCCCCTCTCCGTTCGAATGATCTCTCTCGAAGACAGAGAATTTAGCTTTCATCATAACGGGGGTTCGAATTTCTGACATCAAGCATAACTTTTAGCCCTCATTCTCACATATATAGGATATAACGTTTGTGCATGTTTCTTAGTACGCGTCCATGGAATTTACTCTCTCTATCAGAGCACAGTGGCTACGTGATACCGCCAACCAGGTAGTATCTGCAATCCGCACGCTAAAGTATCATCCACTTAACTTCCAGCAGTTTGCTCATTATGGATCCTTGCTCTCCGTCGATCCGCATCTGGCTTCTCTTGTCAAAGCTGTCATCAATAATGAAGCACGTTACGTCGCAGAATATCCATATTGTAGGTCTCTTTTCTAAGGTTCGGTTTGTATTCTAGTAATATGACGCTTCTAGGTGGTGCATTTCAGCCGCCCCCAGAAAGTGGACTTGCTCCCTCTCATAACGATTGGGCGGACGGCGTTATCGTAAATCCGTGAGTATTGCGCTAATGTCTGTAGTGGTCTTCTCTGAGGCAGGAATGAAGACCTGTGAACAATCAAACGGTTTTCGAGTGCAAGGTCAGAACCACCCGCTTGTTTACAATACATTTGTTAATGGAATCATTTATAGTATGAAATCGACTCCCTGTGCGGATTCTTGAAGCTTTCCAGAATCTTTTATAATGCTACCAAGGACGATTCGTTTATGAATGACAACTGTAAGTGTTTTGACATATTTCTGGCATGTAAAGTTGACGATTCGCTTTCAAAGGGTTTTCTGCTATCGACCAGATCTTTCGAGTCATTGACGAACAATCCCAGCCGACTTTCGATAAGAACTTTAATTTCATCTCATACTACAACTGGACCGGTGGAAATGGAGCGTTATCTCCTAGCGTTCCAAACGACGGCAATGGCGAGCCAAAGGCGTATACGGGTATGGTGAGCCTACGACCATTGTTCGTCTTCGATTTGTCTATTTAGTAGCATAGGTTGGCACGCATCATCGTCCTTCAGATGACCTCAGTGTATTTGGTGAGTTCTCTAGTAAATTTCAAGAAGACTACTGAAGTCTCTCTTGAAGCGTTCCTTACGCCAGCGAATGCTATGCTCAGCGTCGAATTGGCTCACCTCGCTGCGATATTGGATTCCACGGGTCAAGGGCCAGAATATAAGTGCTCTGGCTAAAACATGGAGCTCGCGCATCCATGACTCAGTCTGGGAAAATACTATTGTCGACAATATTTTTGCATACGAAACGAACGGTGAGTGTATTTGTCCATAACTGCGGCTATTGGTTGATCATCTCTTGCAAAGGCTATGGTGCTCGATATGTTATGGATGATGCCAATGTACCTGTAAGTCTGTTACACATCTGTAGGTTTTCCCAGATTACATACTGTCTTGTACAGTCCTTGCTATCCCTTCCGTATCTTGGATTCTTGCGTAAAGACGATCCAGCCTACGTAGTCACCCGTAAGCTTCTCCTTTCATCTAAGAATCCGTACTACGCTGCGGGGAAGACATTCAATGGCATCGGGTAGGCATCTCGACATCTATCCTTTGTCAGGTTCCAACCCACGATTGTATTCTTTGTCTTAGCGGACCACATGTGGATCCGTGGCACCCGTGGTGCGTAGTTCTTGTTGTCAAAATGGTGCTCATTCAACAGGTTCTATTAGGCCAATGTCCCAGATATCTGCAATATTTGGCACGGATAATGACGATGAAATACTTGAATCATTGTATATCATCGCTAACGTGAGTACTTACGCGTATTGTTGAGCCTTTGTACTCACTGTCAGTTAGAATACCAATGGGCTCGGTTTGATACACGAATCTCAGTCGATATACAACTCTTCGGACTATACGCGGCCTTGGTTTGCGTGGGCAAACAGCTACTTCGCAGAGTGAGTAAACGATTTATTTAGCAATTTCTTCATGAGCTCATTGCGCAGGATGCTCTTGGATTTGGCGGAACGAAAGCCTGGTCTGATTTTCTCTGAGGATGTGAGCTACAGGTCTGGCCAATAAATGCCACTACTTGGTACACCATGCATGTACTTATCTGAAACTTGAATCCTTGTGTAGCAATTGATCGTACACGTAAATATCTTGCCTTTGTGCTGGCTGTGTAAATCAAACCACAAAATGCCGTGACGTGACGTTACCTCCATTCGCAGTTTCGATCCTTTATATAACTCATGCTGGTGTTCTCAACGTAGAACAGAATTTCTTTCTTCCCTGGTGGCATATTCTTTCCCACCATCATGTCTTCCACTCCCCGCGAAATTGGTACTCTCATTGTCGTCATTGTCAAAGCCGTACGGTTCTCTACTCCTGTATTACCATCTGTCGACTAACACGACGCTACCAGAATCATCTCACCAACAAGAGGCACATAGGGAAGCAAGATCCCTATTGCTCTGTTGAGTTTGAAGGAAGAAAAGGACGCACAAAGACGATCAAACGCGGTGGCCAGCATCCAGAGTGGGATGAAGAGCTTCGGTTTGCCGTGTTTGAGGATGTTGAAGACGAATTGGCTCGCACAGCAGACCGGACCCCTTCACCGCCCTCCAAGAACGGGACCTCTCCACTCAGAAAGTCAACAACAAAGTTCAAGACGAAAAAAGTAATCAAGCTTGCGGTATACGCGGATGACGCTAGAGAGCCTGAGCTCGTTGGAGAGGCAATGGTGGATCTGACGACGGTGCTGACCAAGGGTGAACAGGATGGTGAGCAAACGTCAGGCTCCTCCTTTGACTTATCATCGTTAATGAATGTATAGAATGTTACACCTTGATGTACAAAGAACGATTTGCTGGTCAAGTCTACTTGGAGCTGACATTTTATTCCAATGTATGTCTCTTCTCTAATCTGAGTCGTGTCGCATCTCGCCTAAGCACTATCTCTAGGAAGCTCCTCCTGCAAAGAAGACGAAGCCCAAGCCCAAAGACAAAAACTACGCCGGCCCGGGAGAGTTTGTAGGCGAATCGTCGACGCCTAATGGTCAAGGCGCGCCCTCTGGCAGGATTGTCTCTACGAGCGTATTGCCTAATCATCATCGGCGACAGTCGGAATCAATATCTTCAGCGTCTTCTTTGAGACCGTCGAGCTCGTTGGCGCGGCTTGATCTCTATAACCCTCCTTATGAAAGGCAGCGAAGATTGACGTCCATGAGCAGTGTAGTGAATGATTTTGGGAACCTCGCTTTGTCCGATTCCAAGAGACGCGAGAGCTTCCCGGTGGGTGATTCAGTTGATATTTTGATACACAACCTGTAACCATGCCTTCAGCCTATAGCCTCTGCGCCTGGTTTGTACGGTCCTCGAGGAACTCTTCCCCCACATTCTTCGTCTCTTCCGCCGGAATCAGCGTATGGTTATGAGCCAAGCATATCTGATTCCGTGTCAACTTACGGTTCAATGCCTCCTAGTACTCTTCCACCACAGCCTGGTTTGCCATACCCAGCACATGCATCATACCAACAGCCTTATGAAATGGCCCCAACACCAAGTTTTGCCAAATCGACGATGCGACCACGTTATAGTGTTCCTACTTCATCTTCAGGGTTCATGCCACTGTCTTCTCATTCTCGTGCCCTTCCATCTCATCCTTCGGAGCCTTCAGGTTTCGCACCTCCCTTGTCTCATACGCCTATCCCGACTCTTTACACCGGAAACCACTTTCCCCCTCAGCAAAGTTTTACGCCTATGCCACCTCAGACTCCGGCTTTGATGCCCTTGCCTACTTCTTCGTCTTCGCCTTCGTCCAGCATCTTAGATGGCCCGTTACCTTATCCGGGCACGACACAGTACTCATACCCATATACACCGGCACCGCCTACGCCCCTTGCGCAGCCGTATATGCCACATATGTTGTCCCAGACACCGCATCCTCCTCTACAACAGTCTTATACCGGCTATCCAGTGACATCAACTCCGTCTCAGGAACCAATCTCTGCGAGTTCTTCTCTGTCCACAAGCCAAGGCCCTGGATCAAGACCTCTGCCGCAGCCGCAACAGCCTCCGCAAGTTCATCCGCCGCCGCCTCCAGTGAATCAGCCGCAGTATGGCGCTTATAGTCCGTCACAGACGAATAGCGTGATGTTCCCGCCTACAAATGGTTATCAGCCGCCTCCTCCACCACCACCTCCACCTCTCCAAAACAATTCACCTCCCCGTTCTCCCCGTTCTTATATGGAAGCACCTCAGCCTGTCGGGCCGCCGCCGCCGCCTCCACCTGTGTCTCAATATGAGCCTCACGCTCCTCGACGTCGCGCCAGCCTACCGACGCCACCTGGACAGAGCCAACAGCAGCAGCAACCACCACGTGGAGCTCTCCCTATTCCTCCCTCCTCCCCCTCCGCCTGGAGATTACCATCAGAATGCTCACCCGTTGCCTATTCCCCCGCCACCACCATCAAAGTTTGGGCCTCCGGCTCAACCGTACGTACCGGGACCTCCTCCTAGACCGCCTCAACTCGATGCTGAGGGCCATTGGGTGCCTCCGAGTATGCCTGTCCAACAGTCATACCCGCCGCAAGGATGGGCGTGATACGGCACGGCCTGTCATGGCTTTTGTGTTTCTGCTGATTATAATTGTCTTTTCCATCATCCTCCATTGGACATAGCCCTGCATGCATCAATCATCAACTAATACACATATTTAGGACATTGATACATATCCCAGCGTTCTGTTATTGTCGAAAACTAATAGGAACATACTGACTATAAGTATCCAATTGCACTTGCTGTCGATGCTATGAACTACTCTTCCGATTCCTTTGCTAACCTCCACTTGTTGATTTCGGTTTCTGTCGGTACGATTCCGCGCCTGGTAAGTTCTAAGCGAGCCTGTCTGCGAACGGTGTTTTCCTGCACACGACGTTCCGCTTCGTATTCAAGGAGTGCATGTTCAGCCCCGAATACCAAGCCAAAGACACCAGAGGCTCCGACAAGGAAACCTTTAAAGGACATTGGTTGTCGTCTTCTGACAGTTAGTTGGACGACCAGACAGCACGGAGAAGACAGGCACCTGTACCAAGGCCATGCATAATGTGCAATGATAGAGATCCCAAGACCAATTGCAGTCGCTCGTGCAGCTACCTGAAGATATGTTGAACCTTTTGTCGACAAAGCTTAGCAGGAATGAAACAGACTCGTATTCCAGCCTCTGTCTGAAGATCCTCTGCATGCCGTACGTCCTCTTCACGGCGGACGCGAGCGGTGGTCATGGAGGAACCAAGAGATGGTGGCAGTTCGTTTCGTTGTCTTTTATTTGAAGCCGACGATTTTGTCAAATGTTGCCTGCCGGTCATGACGCGCCCGAGATTTTCTTCTTCCGTTCCACCACGACGATGCAGCGAATACTGGGCACCACTGTTCGTATCGCACGGCCTCTACACCATCGTGCTATCTACACTCCTCGCCCCTTCTCGACGAGCGTTCGACGTCTCGCTACACCTTCATCCGAGTCACCGGAGGACCTCGCAAAATTTGAAAAGTTCCAGAACACGACTATATTCAAGGCGTTGCGGGATAACCCGGATGCGTCTGGCGCTTTAAATGATTTTATCGCATTCATTAAAAAGCAGGGTGTGTATCTTGCTCTGCTGGGTATCCTAGGCTTATAAATACCAGGGCTTGACTACAGAACACCGCCGTCCAAGGTGGCAATGATCAAGCTTGCCATGAATCCAGAATTTAGGGCTGCCTTTCAGAAGGTTAATGACGAGTGCATGAAGGTTGGCGTTGACTTTTCTTCCAAGGTGAGTGTCGTGTTGTGATCAACGTTGGGGCATTAGTCAAAAACCTTTTCTTCAGGAAGTTCAACAGGAAATTATGGACGTGTTCGGCAAACCGCCCACAAGCGACGATTGAAGAGTATGGTCCACAGTCCATTGCCCACCCCGCTGTTGAGCGAAGGCTCCAGTTGGCTGCATCGAGTTTCGTGAAGATAATTCGAGTACTTCTACATGATATACACGACAACAATTCTCTTCCGAATCCTGTATTTCTATGAGCGACGTCTACTCATAAATACAGAGGTTCTCAAAATATCTGTTATCAGAGCATTGGGGTAAAGCGGAGTCCAGGACTGCTTGCCTGGGACAAAGACATTGCAAATTGACCATCGCTACGGGACTAGATGCACCCTTCAGATTCGACAATATGCAGCACTCTGTTCCATAATGGCTTCTGACGAAAAGCAACAGCCTTCTACCACCGCAAAGATCGACTATCAATACTCTAATACAAAAAGCTGGCCATTCTCGGAACAGGCCAGCAGCTTCGTGTCAGCGCACGGAACCACATGAACGATTTTTTGGCCACGAGAACACGATATCTGGAATAAAAAATAAACGCATGTGCGAGAAGGATGTAGGCCGTATGCACCTCTTTTATCACTTTGTTCGAACGGCGCAGGTCCCATAACCGAACAGTTCCGTCTCTGTCTCCACAAGCAAATAGTCCTCCTGACGGCAAAGAAGCGCCTGGAAAAATTTTGAGCATTGAAAGCGCATATGTCGTGCATAGAAGCAAACCTCTTATATACCGTCCATTGACTTGTGCACAGGAGTGGCCAAATCGTTGAACTGGGATCTCTGGCACCACTCGGTGATCTCGTAATTCGAACTGGAGGTCTCGATGCGCCACCTTGAGTAGAAGGTTAGTTTGTCGCCTTTCAGTGATAGAAGAGAATAATGCCGCACCTCTGTCAAAGTGCAAAAGGGTGAGGACGTCGTATGAGAGTGGTAGATTATATTTGAGGTCTTCAAGGTATTCACTACGCGCTCAGAAGCTAGGTCGTAAAGGTTGATAGTACAATCCGCTCCACCCGACATGAGTTTATGACTGGTGTCTCGTATTGAAAGCAGCGATTGCACGAGAGAATTGTGTTTCATCGCTAGCACCTTTGGAGATGCTGCAGAAAAATCGGATTTGACTTCCCAGAGGTGAATAACATGGTCATATCCACCAGTCGCAAACATGAGGGGTTGCATCATAGCAGTCACGGAGCTAACTCCGGCTCGTTTCGCCTTATTCCAGGGCCTAGTAAAAGTCAAGGGAGGCTAGGGATATTTCAGCTCAAGGTAGAATAGGTTTGAATTGTGTACTGACAGCTGGGAGGCCAATATGAACTGCAGATAATTGGTGACTCTCCTGCAATCTGCTGAAAATGACCACACTGCGAGTGCCGTTGGACAGAACACAGGCATCATCAACAGGTTCTCTGAGGAGGGTGGGTATATAACCTGACGGACGATGTCTACGATACTAGTGAGTAAGAGGAAGACTCTGCAGCACGGGAAAAATGACCGTACTTCAAGCTAGGCGTCACCTCGAATTCTTCTAGAGTGCCGTACATCGAGACTGCCAAATATGTCGGAAATTGAGGATGCTGCAGAACACGCCGCGCTTTGTCATACTGTTCGCCGACCGGAAGCCTCAGTGTTTCGCAAACAAATTGATCTGTGGCCGACTGTGGCGCGCGCGCGTCGACAGACGAGGATATGGAGTCAACGACTAAGTCCTTAGTGACTTCTGCATTTTCTTTGACTTGTGGGAGGAGCGACCCTGATACAATGGCAGTATCGTTATCGTCCGGCTTGATGTTGATACTTTTGGATTCAAGGGGTGGAACTGATTGGCAATAAGGATCTTTCAAAGGTTTAGGCTCGGGGTCAGGTGGGATCTGGCTGGCATATGGATGCTGAAACGATAGGGTGCCCGACACAAAACCTCGGGGAGGGGGCTTCGATGCGGCATGGTTCGTAGGCGGGTGGAGAATCAACAAATTCTCGCGAGGTAAAATTGACAGAGATCCAGATGAGAACGAGAGGACGGTTTGAGGTACACCAGATGACGGTGTTGGCCTTTCGAAGCTTGGAAGCCCATGGTGAGAATTGTTGAGGTCAGATTGAGCCATCGACTGATTGACTAAGAAGAATCTACTAGAAGTGGGGTTAGTAAAGAGAAAGACTTGCAAGGGTCGCTACTGGAATACTATACCATGAATTTGAGTGCTCATCTCCATTCACATCTGACGAAATCACAGAAGGCCAGCGCGATATAAAACTTTTCTGCGCGATAGTTGGTGGTGGTTGGTGGTGACAAGTAAATTTACAGTCGGTCCGAAGGTGCCGAACTTCAGCAGATCTCTCGTTACGTCAGCAGCCTCTTCACCTTCTACTCATCACCCATTAAATAATGGCATCGACGACGCGACCTGTTGTTTTCATGGACATCAACATTGGAGAGACGCCAGCAGGGAGACTCAAGATGGAGCTGTTTAGCGATATTGTACCAAAGTGCGCATATGAAGTGATTACATCTTCCAATTTTACTGAAATCCATGTCGTGAAGGACGGCTGAGAACTTCAGGCAACTCTGCACCGGTGAATACAGGTAACTACACTACAATCTTTTTGGTTTATCCTCGCTGACGTGTCAGCCAGGGTCAACTCACGACCTCAAGGATATAAGAACGCGACATTTCACAGGCAAGCAGAGATTTCACCGCGATTAGTATTTACCGTTTGTTCATTTCATATCTAGAGTGTAGGATTCCCCGTCTGCTCTTCAAATGGTAATTCTAATGTTGCATACAGAGTGCCGAACTTTATGTGTCAAGGTATATATACCTTTCGATGCTCAAAGGCTGAAGTATTGATGAACGACCAGGAGGTGACTTTTTAAAGGGTGATGGTACTGGGTCATTCTCGATTTATGGAGACAAGTTCCCGGTGAGTGTCTCGGGGCACTTCAGAGGCGTAGCTTAATCACACAATGCTCACTTAGGATGAGAACTTTCAAGAGAAGCATACAGGACCCGGTCTCCTCTCGATGGTGCGCGTCGACGCATCTCTCTCAAAGTCAGAACACTGACAAGATTTGGTAGGCAAATTCTGGTCCTAATACCAATGGATGTCAGGTAAATAATCTATACTGTGTTACAATATTGCTAATCCAGACGTCTATAGTTTTTCATTACTACGGCAAAATGTGATTTCCTGGATGGAAAGCACGTTGTCTTTGGAAGAGTTATCGACGGTATGTTGACACTGAGAAAAATCGAAAATGTGGCCACAGGTCCCAATAACAGACCAAAGCTCCTCGTTAAGATTACAGGTGAGAAATGTCATAAATAAGTGCACCGCTGCTTATGTTGAATTTTTTGTAGAATGCGGAGAGATGTAGACACCGGTCTTGCTTCCCTTGTACTTATAATATGAGAACTGTTACAGACTAAAAAAAAACAATGCAAACACATGCATTTCAGTGAACGTGTTATATGATGAAACATGCAGAGCTCTAGCTCCATAGGTGAGTGGTATAGTTTTCTGTGAATTGAACGATCACAGTATCCACAGAAGAGGACGCAGGATAGTTGTGTACTTTCATTCTTACTTTTACAAACCACAAACTACGTAATCTTACAGGCACATGAAAATGAAGAGGTAGATAGATATCTAGGTCAAAGCCTTCATCGAACTTGCTGGGTCATAGGCGCACCTGTCGGGACTGGCGCGTGTGGTACAGGTGCATGCGGTGTCTTGATCTTGAGGCCTATAAAACACCAATCGTTAGCGAGGGAAATATAATTTCGTTGCTGGGTAATTCGTACCCATGTCTTCCGCCAAAAGACTGGCGCCCTTCTCTCCAACCAACAGAGCCGAGGAATAGGTGTTCGTACCCAAGTTGTCAGGACAGATGCTCAAATCCACGCATTTCAGGTTTTGAGTTCCTGCGCAAAGGAATCAGGACATTGACGCGGTCGTTGGACAATGCACACACCATATACGTTAAGACGACTGTCGACGACTCCGCCTTCCTCTCTGGCTTTCATGGCTGGGATAGTAGGTCAGAGGAAGTGAAAATAGATGGCGTTGAGGATTTACCGCATGTCCCCAGACTGTGCCAGGTCGTCTCGACATGATCAGCGACCCAGTTATCGATCGCCTTGTCGTCTTCCTCGCTGTACTTGATGTCCTCGTGAACCTTGTTCGCGTCATATGTCTCGCCCGGTCTACATACCGATATGGTCAACACTTTCGAACTAGTCACCATGGCGCTCACTTATGCCAAGTGCCCATATGAATTCCAACAGTAAATCCGTCCGGGAGCAGCTCCTTCGCCGTCCTGATGTCTATATCCTTGGCAGCAGCAGGCGACGCAGGATGGAAGTGAGGATGATGGGAAGTAAGTTCTCCTCGGAAGGCTATTCGCGCTCATGAGATACTGGGAGATATTAATATGTAGTCAATGCACCCACCATCCATCCTACGAGCGACCTCACGAGTCTTCTTGTAGCTCCAACGGATCGGGGCGAAGTCGGCTTTATTGTTCATGAAGCCACTGTCAAAGAAAGGCTCTTGGTATGGGTTCTGTGACTTGATGTGGATCTATTTGGAGCGTGTCAATGGTTATAGGCTATTATCACAACCTCCAGACCTTTCCACGGCTGGCAGGGTATTCCTGAGAAGATAGAAAATCAGTAATGCAAAAAGGCTGGGATCACTTGATACAGACGAGGTATTGGAACCTGTTTAAATAGTATCAAAAACGTAGGTAAAACTTGAAAAATGACAATGCTTGCATAGTAATATACTTCCCAGGAGGGAGAAGACTGTGATCGGCGTAAGCTTCAGGAAAATGTGAGCTTCAAGTCCCTTAACGGTGCGGAAATCATTGACCTCCTGACACAATTGAACCGAACCTGAGGAAGCGGTCAGAGAATTAAAACGACTCCGCAGGTCACATACATAACCGGTTTGTCGGGCTTGTCCTTGAAGTACTTGTTCCACAACTCATTAAACTCCGGACCCATTTCCTTGAGCTCTTCCTCGGTCGGGCGAATCTAACGCAACACGTCGTGAAAGGGTGGAAAGGTAGCAGCAAGAGAGGCAATACCTTGAAACCTGCATCGATAGCATTAGACGACAACCTGGCCTTCTCAGGACTCGTCTCCCATTCTGCAAACAGCTCCTTCTGGGCTTCCTTGTCTCCTCTCAAAAAGTCGTCTAGAGTGAAGCTCTCATTCGAGACGCGGTACACTTTAATTATGAGAATTGGGAACTGTCAGTACTGGTCTTCGAGAACTTACATGTAAGAGTGGTATAATGATCCTGATACTGCTCTCTGCAATTCGCAGAACGTTAGCGACACATGCACAAGGGTAAAAGATGGATACATACCCAACACCAGGAAGATCACTGACTACTTTCAAATCCAACTTCTTAAGCAATTTCGCATCGCCAACACCGGAGCGTTCCAGTATTTGGGGCGTTCCAAGGGTCCCACTGCTCAAGACAACATACTTGCGCGCCTTCACAATGGTCTCACAGAGCCTGCCCCCGTCTGCCCTGTTGCGAGCAGGCACGTACGCCACTCCAACAGCCTTGTTACCCTCGAATATGACTCGGGAAACGCGGGAGTTGGTGCGCAAGTATAAGTTGTTCTGGACGTCCATGACGCTGTGAACATAAGCTGAGAATCGAAGGTCATTAGTCTGTTAATCGTGATAAACTACCGACTTACCAGTGGCTGCGTCGCTACGTCGGCCTGTATGTCTGTTAATGTACTTGGCCCAGATCTCCGAGGCATGGGATGTATCAAGGTCTGCGGCGGCATATTAGTCACGCTCAGAAAGCGGGTCCATAGTGTTGTACCTTGGATATCATCTATGAATGTAGTTAGTCCCAGAGCTCCACCATGAAGAACTATACATACCGCTGAATGGGATACCCACAGCATCTGCCGCCCTCAAAAAGTCCTGCGCCAATGGAGTGATAGACCCTCCATTGCTAATGGCGATAGGGCCGTCATATCCGTGCGTGTCGTTGTTAACAGGTTTTTGGTAGTTCTCCAGCTATCAGGATGTGAGTTGTGACTCCAGAGATTTGAAAAAGAACTGACTCGTTTCATCAAAGGCAGGAGATCTATATTGCCTCTCGTTAATATTCTGGGTAATTTAGAAATTGCTCTACGTGCCTTTGGCCTCCCAACCCTCAGTCTTGAAGTCGTCTGTCAAACAAAGGTTAAATCAACTCTATCTACTGTCTTTAAAAACATAAACCGACCCCAGTCAGATGCGGATGCCTTGTGGACATGCATATGATTAGTCAAGTGGGCCGGTGTAAAACTGGAAGTAGCCTACCCTGGTGTACATCTGGAAATTTATGCTGTTGTGATCTTAGCGATTTGACAATGCATACAGACATAAAAATACCTGCTTCCACCGCCTGCGAAACGTTGTCAAATTGAGTGGTTGATGGAACGAGGGTACACTACGTACCGAGGATATTGGCGCATCTAGAACAGAGGTTATTAGGGTCCCCTCAGGTAATAGGATAGAACACTTACGGAACGATGCTTTGTCGGCCTCGTAAGTAGGGAGACTCTTGAGTATCTGTGTAAAAGGTCGCCTTGTCGTTACTACAAGATGGCTTCAGTGGTGTTCGAGGTTTTTAAGACGGTCGTAACTTACATCCCGTCGCGCTGCATATTCTTGACATAGATTCCGGGTCTGGTGAATCATAGGTTAGTCTATGACATAGGTGAGCGGTCACTTGGCTTACCTGTATACCCAAGGATCGTCACGGTTGTTGGCTCCTCCTGGATAGACGAGAAAATGTTAGAATATGTACACGCCAATAGAGTGCACACGTACCCTCAATGAGCATGACCTTCAAGGTGGGATCGGCGTAGGCCAACCTGCCAGCGACGACGCATCCTGTTGACAAAGACGTCACCCATCTGACGAAGAGAGTGAGCCAGAAGACAGACCTGCTGGACCGCCTCCTGCTACAATAACATCGACTTCTTCAGGGTGACCCATTGAGCTACAGAGACAAGAGAACGAGAGTTGAGAGGTGGGATAACTAAGCCCTCTTAGTATTTATATGTCTTGCATTCCAAGCTCCGCGGAGGAGAAAAGTATGATTGGTGGGCTGAGATCTGATCCTGACCATGCGGGCAGTACGTATCGGTATTACCACTCAAAGTTCAAAGCATTACTGGGACGGGAACCGGGCAGGTTTGTGTCGTCAGATGATAGTTTATGAAAAGATAACCACGAAACGAAGTCGTCATGGGGAAAACGTAGGGGTTACGCTTCAGGGCATCTCTAGCATCGTGACTTGGTATCTCTTGCGACGAGTATGCATACATCGTCAACTGACTTGTGGCAAAAGTAGCTTAGGAGGAGTGACGTGTGAAAGGGATCCGATGTGAGATCATGAGAAGACGGCTCGAGGACGACGATATGATGCCCGGGCTTCGAAAGTGGGGAAATCTGGGGAATGTAATTGATTACCCCAATTTACGCGATAGTAATACCGTTAGCGTATGTGCAAAAAAAGGAACGACAAAGAAATCTTTGAACATACCCATGACTCGACCCTCGTCAATACCTATCTACATACAATGGCGGCGCATCAATGATCTCGTCCCATGCCTCTGAGAGCCGGATAGCAATTAGGCAGCTTCGTCAGCTGATTATTGATGGCAGAAAGTTCATCCTGGACTGGCGGTGAATTGGAGTCTACGATTGAATGTATTAGTCCCACGGGCGCGAAGGTGGAGATAGCGGGTTGCATACAAAGGAAGCATTTCCTACCCCGATTACCTAGCGCGATGCTATGCGATATCGGTCAGATGACAGCATTCTCCCCGGTTGTACATTTTCTACCAGGACAACCATCCCGTGGTATGGACATCTTTTCTTGGAGCATCAAGCTGCGCGTTCTGAGCCGTATCAATTGGGGCATTCAGTAAAGGAAGGCCTAGAGAAGTCGGCAACGATAAGCAGTAAACGGGTGCATTGGGGTACGTTAACGGTACACGGGTATGTAACCACTGTGAAGTCGCCGCTTTAGCTTTGTATTCAACTGTAACTCGATGCTCACCTACAGAGTATAATCCCAACTATTCCAGAAAGTCTATTAGTCCATGTACGACGAGCGACGCGGCGAGGTGGCGGTGGGCACGAAGAAAGCCGGTCGACGTCACGTGTCCGATTCTTCTTTGTAGTCGACAGTCAGTGGTCACGATGGAAGCTGAACAGCCCATCGACAACGACAAGGTGGACGTTTCAGAGAATTTCCTGTCACAGATTCTTACGCCAGGCTCATCGTTGCACCCGACATTCCTTCTTATCCTCGACCTCTCATTTGCCGCCCTCCTTGTGGTGCTCGTACTCCTTTTGTTCCTCACATCAGGCAACGTACACTTCATTGGATTGATTGGGATAGAGCTGGCGCTCTGGGCGAGTGTAAAATGGTGCGTAGCCTTAAACAGAATATATGCGTACAATCTCTCAACATACAACAGGTTCGTCAATGAACTAGAAAATGCCTCGCCATCAGGAGGAGAGGAAACCAAGAAAAACATATAACATTTATCACCGGCGGCCCTTGTCGTTATCTTCATACCACTTCTTTGTTCTCTTGGCACTTTCCTGGGCCAGTACAAATACTGCGCCACCAGTCAGCAGGCAAACAACCAAGAAGAAGACACTCACGTTCGCGTTCTGTTCCATCCAACCCTTCACGAAACGCTTGCGCAGTATCTCCAGTTGACCCTCCACCTCCACCAGCAGGCCCTAGTGCTGCGAAGTGCTGTGCTTGATCTATCACCTCCACAAGCCGCTCTCGGAACGTCTAGTATAGCATTGGCTGTCAAGTCGTCGCGGTATCTAAGAGTACATACCTTAGTTAACATCTGGGACATTTCATTAGCCTGTTCGTCACTGAGCCTAGAAGCAAATGGATGAGAACGGTGACATGCGAGATAAAAGGGAACGTGCATGTCCATTATTGTCTTCCCAAAGCCATACCATAACCCCCCAGCGCCGACCAGACTAGATAGGCGTACGCTGCGAGGTTCGGCATTGAGTGCATTGCGAACGCGATTCCCAAAGGGCGTTGGTATATTGAAATCAGCCCAATCGCTGTAGAGGTCATCAGCGCCGTCGAGGGTGTAGGAGGGCCCAATGATACCAACGAGTATATCACGATATATGCCATCCATATTGGTATCTGGTACTTGCCCTGCGCTGCAATCTGTACCCAGGACGCGTCAGAACAGTCGTCGACGCGCCGCAAGTTGTACAAGACCCACGTCGCGCTCTGACCCTCCCCACAGGTGGCCAAGGTCGGGAATCTTCTTGCTGAAAATGCATTGTATTTTCTGTTGCGACAAAGTAAGAAACAATAGGAAATTACACAAAGGCCAGAACGGACCTGGTTGTCGGCCAATATTGAGTCAATAGAAAAGTAATCGTCCTCCATGGTAAAAGGGCCCGTTTGTCACTCGTCACGCTAGGACCCACCCTTCCTTGTTGTCCTTCCACTATAAAGAAGATCATCATCACAGCATGGGCGCCTATCATTCTTTCGTTCTTCGTAATGCTCAAAATAATATTCAGAGACAGCAAGGATTTTCCCTTCATGTACTCTGCCATCACTCACTGACAATCCTTCAAGCAGACCTCACCGTCAAGCCCAAACCCACCGCCTACAAGGATCCCTATGTCGATGACCACAACTTGGGCTCCCTCGAACGCGAATGTCAAGGACGAGAGGCCATCCAACACGTCTTGTATCTCCTCAATCCTGTATCTGAGCTGAACAGGCTCACCGTAGACGCCCTGTGTGATTTACAGCAAATGCTCTGGACAAAGTCGAGTACGTTCTCCCCACAAAGTGACCGTGTACATATTGACATCTCTGCGTAGGAGCTCTACAAAAAAAGTACAAGATAAAGACTTATAAAACGCTTCGAACAAGACTTGACAACGACCAGGATTTCCGAGATGCCTACAATCTTGCGACGTTGAGAATGAACGAGCAAGGACACGATTTCCCAGGCGATGTACGTCTCCTTAATTCCAGCGGCTCTTCATTCTCGCTTACCGTTCCGCAGGTTGCAGATGAATTTGTCCTTCTATGCGTAAAGTTGTTCAGGATCAACACCGCCAGGACGATACCGTCAAACTCAAATCAGTCCCCTCTGCCACTCGACGACAATGGACCAACTTTAATAACATAACCGATGCCAGCCGATTGTCGTCAAGGGGCCGGTTTGATGTCTTCCATGATGGTGTAATGATTTCGGATTAAAAATGCTTAAAAATCGGTCAAAAGATGTAATAAATAAGGCACTAGTTCTACAGTAAAGATGTGACTATGAAAGTAAGTGTGAGCTCGGATTCAGCACTAGCAATGAGAACATGCTTCACCATACGTTAACAAAAACACCTTGAACATATTCTTCACTTCGCCGTCTCTACTGTGAGGGGATTAATCTCTTTCTCAGACACGGGCGCAACTTGATGAGCAGCTTCCTTTGGCGCTGTCACTAAGGTCTCCTCCGCTTCCAAATTCTTATCTTCAACGACTTGGGGCTCCGTGTCAACAACTCTCTTCGTCTCATTATTATCAATCTCCTGCTTGGGCATATTTGCCACCTGCTCCTGATTCGCAGACGCGGCAGCCTTGACTTCTTCGGCTGTGGTGGCCTTGGCTGCCTGCAGGACTATCGTTTCCGCCGGTACCGTAGATGGTGAGGGCGCCAAGGTTATTTCGATACCCTGAGATACGGTTTTTGGCGTGGGTTCCGATGTATCACTGACGACCGAAGGAGAAGCAACATTTGCAGCATCCACGTCCACGCCGGTTGTAGAGGACGTCGCGTCTGCTGACTGATCCAGCGTTTTTTCAACCTCGGTATCGACCTCCTCTGACTTTTCATAATCGACATCGGCACTGAACGCTCCCGTTCTGACACTATTGGCCGTCCAGAGGCTCCTGTCCCTCACCAAGGACGGCGTGCCAACGTGAATCCTAGCACTCCACTTGCTCACTTCGCTCTCCCAACTGCCGCGTCTGGAACTCCTCGGCCTGAGGGCCCTGACACTGGCATCAACATCCCGCTCATCAACATCATCGCCCAACACGAATTCACTCCTGCTCTCCACATCGATACTGCCGTAGTGTGACACAGAATCCCCGAGTGCCGAGGGTGGTGACCGTAGAAACCCGGTATTTGCATACGCGGATGACGCGAGGGTCAGTACCGAGGCGTTGTCTAGAGGCGGTGATGAAGGCCGAGGGTTATTTCGAGGGTGATGAGTGGTATGAAGCGGCGCTTGAACTGATGGAATGGAGAAATTTGTCTGGGTAGATGAATTTCGCAACGAGGTTGATGAAGGAGGAAGGGCCGAGAAGGTAATCGATGCAGCGCTGGTGAGCAGTGTTGGATTAGTAGCAGTGGATGAATTTCGGGCGTGGTGGCGGTAAGATGTCGGCGTCACTGGGGCCTGAGCGATGTGAGCCATACCGTTGCCATGCAAGTCGATGCTGAGCAACGTTGTGGGCTTCGTGCTCGCAGCAATGCTTCTGAAGGTACGAGGGTTTGAGAGGTAGGATGACGACGACCGTGACGGGCGACGGCGACGGCGGTGAACTAGGTGGCAACGGACGCATAGACGCATCCTCATCTGCTTCCAATGCACTGGCTGGCGACCACATCGAGTCGCGCCCCGAATCACGCCTTGAAACTGACGACTGGTCGCTTGTTGAATCGAGGTCCTCATTGGACTGCGACGCTACGTCGACTGAGTCCTCAATAAGCGATATTGTCTGTCTATTGGAGCCGATGTGATCCATTCCCCCGCCGTTCGTTGCCGGCGAGGGCAAAGGGCTCGAAACGACCCGGTTGCTCACGCCTCGCAGAGGAATAGCATTTCTCGTCTTGGGGGCTTCCCTCTTCGATCTGACTGTCCCAGCAAGTTTGCGCTGGAGCCAGTTTATGATAGGCTTGCTCGACCGTCGAGAAACTTTCTTCTGGGTGGACGCTGGAGCAACGGCAATAGGAGACAACTGTGGCTTCTTGGCAGGTGGCGCTTTTCGCTGTGCTTTGGTGTCGCTACGAGCAGTCAATGGGGTATTTGACGTCGTTGGCGACATGATAAGATGGAAGAAAATTGAGGAGATAGGGAAGTCGTGGTGGTGGTGGTAGTGGAGAGAAATGAAGAGAGTCGCATGTGCAAGGACGCCTTATGGCGGCGTTTACTCGATTTGGCTTTGGATCACGATCGGGGATGACTCATATCTCCAACGTAAAATAAGCAGGTCTCTTGAAGAATTTGGTTACAAGTATTCAGGGTATTCGCCACCAAAACGGCCAGGGCATGATGATGATGCAGGCATGTATATCAACCTTTTTTCATGTAAAATTGCAGAACTTTGAGAGAGGAGCAGATGTCGCTCCAAGTCGTTACAAATCTCAATCACAACGCGATGTAGGCCTGGAGAAAAGCAAGAAATACAGCTTTGTTTTACATTCTAAAACTACATTACCAGTCCATTCTTTTCGGGTTCTTCGCAGCAGCAACAGGAATCTTGCCCGATTTGTATCCAAATCCTATCCAACCACGGCCACACAGCGCTTCTTCTCTGCTCAAACTCCTCAATATCCGAGCCCTTCTGCAACGTCAACGCGATGTCGTCAAGTCCGTTCAACAAGCAATGTCTCCTGAACGGATCCGTCTTGAAGGGTATCGCAGCCTTGCCATTAGGGTCTGCGAATCTCCTCCTTCTCCAGATCCACCTCGAGCTCCAATCCAGCTTCCGCATCTTCCGCAAGCGCCCGACAGTCCTCCTGCGGTATCGCCACAGGTAACATGCCATTTTGCATAGAGTTATTACGGAAGATATCGGCAAAACTGGGCGCTATGATGCATCGGATGCCAAAGTCATTTCTGAAGAATAATCAGCACAGGAGACCCTGACAGGACGATAAAGCGCCACTTACAGACTCCACGGAGCGTGTTCGCGGGAGCTTCCGCAGCCAAAGTTCTTCCCGGTGCAGACTAGAATCTTGGAGCGGGTATAGGGCTCGCGGTTTAGTATGAAATCCTTATCTTTACCAGTGTGTGGGTCTTTCCGCAGGGTAAAGAACAGCGCATTCGCAAGACCCGTCCGTTTCAGGGTCTTCAGGAATTGTTTTGGAATGATCATGTCGGTGTCGACGTTTTCGATGTGCAGGGGTGCCGCGATACCCTTGACGACAGTGAATTTTTGAACGGTGGAAGGTGCCTCGGCGGGAGGAAGGTCAGATCCCGTTGAAGGAGTGACTGAAGGAACCTGAGGAGCTGGGGATGGCAAAACCGCGTCATCCATGAACTCAGACGCCTGGGCCAGCTTCAGCTTGGGACCCGCAGCTATGTTCGAATCGGCGATAGCAGCCCATGAATTTACGAACGTCTGTCAATTTTCCAGTGATAGCTGCTGCCAGCAGCCATCGCAGGACTTACTAGGTGCGTTCGTCCACCAGAACCTTGGCGACCTTCAAAGTTCCGGTTGCTGGTACTCGCACAACGTTCACCAGGAGCAAGCTGGTCTGGGTTCATGCCCAAGCACATGGAACACCCTGCCTCACGCCAATCGAAGCCCGCACGTTTGAAAACCGCGTCCAAGCCCTCCGCTTCGGCGTGTTTCTTGATCAAACCTGACCCCGGGACGATCATCGCGTGCACCCACGGAGCAACCTTAGGCATCGGGGCCTGCGGCCAAGACCACCCTGGCTGCTGAGCGCATGTCCTCAATACGACTGTTCGTGCATGAGCCGATGAAGACTTTGTCAACCTTGATGTCCTCCATAGGTGTGTTAGGCGTCAAACCCATATACGCCAAAGATCGCTCTGCAGATGCGCGCTTGACAGGATCTGTCATCGTAGATGGGTCGGGAACAGCACCGGTAATAGGAACGACAGTCTTGAGGGGATGTTCCCCATGTAATGGTGGGAATGATGTCTGCGGCGTTGATTTTGACCTCGATATCGAACTTGGCACCTTCGTCGGACTTCAGTGTACGCCAGTATGCTTCGGCGCGATCCCATTCTTCACCCTTGGGAGCAAGAGGACGTCCACGGAGGTAGTTGAACGTGACTTCGTCTGGCGCCACCATTCCAGCACGCGCACCGGCTTCAATACTCATGTTACACACGCTCATACGTGCCTCCATGCTGAAACCACGGAACACGGAGCCGGCGTATTCGATGACACTCCCGGTTCCGCCTGCCGTTCCTATGACGCCAATGATATGCAAGATAACGTCTTTAGACGTTACTCCTTCATGCAAGTCACCGTCGACTGTGATGCGCATGTTTTTGCCCTTCTTCTGTAGCAGGGTTTGGGTAGCGAGGACATGTTCAACTTCGGATGTACCGATACCGAACGCGAGGGACCCGAATGCACCATGGGCTTGAGAAAAGAGTCAATAGCCTGTGAAATTCGAAATGTCTTTCTACTCACTCGAAGTGTGAGAATCACCGCAAACGCAAGTGATACCAGGAAGGGTGAATCCTTGTTCAGGACCTATAACGTGTACGATACCTACAAGGTATTGAGCGGATGAAGGGTGTCAATCACAGAAGACGTACCTTGACGCTTGTCCTTCATACCAAAGTAGGTCAAACCAAACTCCTTTACGTTGTCTTCCAAGGCCATACATTGAGCTCGAGAATCAGGTTCTTCAACGAAAGACTCGATAGTAGTCAAATTTTTTCGAGAAATTGTTCTGCGGGATGATGTTTCAGTGTACATTTACATTCCCTTCGAGCTCTACCCTACGGAATGTTATGGTCAACGGTTGCCAACGTACAGTCAGGTCGTCGAACAGGTCGCCCTGCAGTCCGCCTGAGATCTGATCAGGTGGTGGACCCAGTTACCGGTTTAAATGGACTCACAGGCCTTCAAACGCTTGAGGGCTTGTTACTTCATGTACTAGATGGCTGGAGCGGTGTCGGAATGGCTGGAAATTATGCAGTAAAGACGTTTGCTCACCGATCTATGTATATGAGGGCCAATCCATCGCCTTGTACATCGCTATAATCGCAATCAGTGAGAACGAAGCTAATTTCGGTATTGCAATCTGGCGTACACGACGTGGTCATCCCAGATTTTGTCGTAGAGAGTGCGGGGTGCAGAAACTGCAGTAGGCATGATAGGTGGAAGTTCAGAGGCAAGAATGGAAGTCGTAGCAAGAGATGGCAATCGTATTGGTTCGAGTACAATTTATATATGATCCTCCACAAAGTGAGAATGAGTCGTTCGGCCGAGGGTATCGGACTTCGGACTTCACTTGCAGCCAATCACGTTTGGACCGAATGTAAACCCGAAAAAAATATTGCCAAAAGCAGTCGACCGCGAAGTAGTTCCCGCGAAACCGCCGCAATAACGGATATACACAATCTCATCCACTTTCCTGCCGCTTTTCTAGGATCGGGTCAGACTTGGTATATTTATCATACAAGCTACGTTGATTATGCCAATCCACACACGGAATTGTACACTAGATATGGTTTTTCATCATAAGAACAAGGGCTACATGCTCAGTGGCGGGGGTAGCTTAACGATTGTAGACCCTGTAGAAGGTCTGACAGATGACTGAGTAAAATGAACTGTCAGATCATAGCGACCGATAGCACCTCGGTTAGGCTACTAATCGTGTTCAAAGACGGTGCCCAAACTGCTACGTTTCTCGTTCCAAGACCAAGAGTTAATCGGATCGTCTTGTCCAGCCTTGTATAAACTCAATCGTCTTCGTGTTAGAGCAGATACAGGGAACTCCGAGTTGTCGTCGTCTGATTGGAAGGATAAGAGTAGCAGATGGTCATTCTTTGCGCTACTAACCTTGCCCAAAAGTACCAACGGTCTGGAAATATTTCTGCATCAGAGGGCCCACAGCTTCTGAACGTGCGCGGTTTCGGCCTTCGTTGTCATAGTGGTAATCTTGTTTCACCACAGGAAGCTTTAGTCGATGTAGTTGGGAGTCGAACAGCACTACTGAAGTACCACTGCAAAGACAACCTGAGGACAGACACCAACCGCTTTTTTCATAGCTTTTCGTACCCTGGGGTTTCAGAAGATAAAAATGCCGCGAAAGACAGTGCCCTAATCACTAGAGACATATAGGATGAGACCGTCCAGGAGTGCCTTGGTGACAAGATGAGTTGGAGGATATTGCAATGTAGACTTCACGTACGACGTGGGATTTGACTCTACATCAGAGAGGAAGTATGCTGAGAGCTCGTGGAGGATAATGAGGCCTGGAGGCGCGTCGAGGGTAGTTTTCGGATGGAGAATATGGGTTGACCCTTGCTGCGGTACCTCAAGGGAAGCCAAAAGAAAGGCAAGGTGTGTCGGCGTCGGTGGATAACTGAGAACAGCTACCCTTGATTCATTCAGAGTGTAGTAATAAATGTAGAAAGTACAAACAGCATTTTGACGCGAGAAGACATCTCAGATACACGGCCTTGGCCTGAATGAATAGCAAGCCACGAATCATTGTATTCCTTCAGTGCCACAGTGACAAGCTGATTTGATGGCGATAAAAATATGGCGCTAGAGCTGTTTGCTTGACTCGTGTGGGATAAAGCAAGATGGATTGGCGCCGAGGCATGATAAGGTCCCTGGATCAAGAGAGACGTGAACGACGGCAACTGGGGCTCAAATCCTGGAAACAGAGAAAGCATCGACGAGCAGACGTCGACAATGTTGAGGAACCTAGAAGAAACGACAAGAGAGTAGCAGTGAAAGCCGCTTATATTACTGTACATCCCGGCGGCGGCGCCTGTTCGAAGCTTCAGGGTCCCTTGTACAGCATCCACCATCACCTACAGCATGATTTACTCTACTTATTGCTTGATCTCCCATCGTTTTGTTCTCTATTCCCTTACTTCTCACTTTACAGCATCAACGCGCATAGAAAATGGGGTATCGTAGCGACCTCCTCATCTCTCTTGGCAAGACTATAGCCCAGATTACTGCCGATTTCGCACCTGTGCCCGGCCTGTGTCCCGCTGTCGATCTGCTGTGTGGCCTTATCCAATTATGCGACAATATCACCTTGAATAGGTACGCGAACACGGTTCAAACCTGCGATCTCCAACGTTCTGAGCGATATCCTACAGAAATGCAGCCCGGCAGCTTGGAGATCGATGCCATGAAATGCTCATCGCTTTCCGAGAGGATATGAAGAATGCTCCGGGGAGCATGACAGAAGCAATATATGCCGTTGAAGAGTATGTTTGCTCCTCTCATTCTATACATCGATTTGTTCAGATCTTCGTTATAGCACCTTGACCAACATACAGACACGGATGAAAAGCTGCGCTTTGCTTTCCAGGACACATGCCTTCCTGCATCAAAAAGAGGTTAGCCGTGAAATAGAGAAATGCCATAGCATCATATCAGACTGCATGACTAGATTCCAAGTCCGTTCCTCGTCGCTCTTTGATTCATCCCACTTACTATGAATCACAGTTGTCGTCGCACGTCGGTATACACCGTTGGCAAGAAGACTTTGAGAGCAGCAGGAAGGCCGATCAACGTGAATTGGTCGAGTACCTTGCTGAAATAAAAAATACTCAAGAAATGACGAATGTCGCAATGACTGAGAATACCGAGGCCGTTAGAAACCTCATGCTCATGTTTCAGACAGTAATTGTTACTCTGCTCCATATTTACACTCTTCACTTATTCGTATGTGACAGATGATGGGCGAAAATAAGATCACCGCCGACCGTGTCCATAACTGGCCTTTCGAGCAACTTGTGGCAGCTCCAACAGGAATCTGGACAGCTTCTCCCTAGCTTTCATCTCAAATCTGGTGAAGTTACTCGCATTGGACAGTTTCCAGTGAGCGGTACGGCTGCCATGGACATATATGAAGGTCTGTACCTCCAACGAGAGAAGGTGGCCATCAAGGTCGTGCGGTCGATCAATGCTAATGACAAAAGTCTAAGGGTAAGAAGCCGTCGATAGAGAGGTCATCCTGACTGATACGCTGTATTGCAGCGTTTTATGAGAGAAGTTGGCATTTGGAGTGATATTTGGAATGTCGATAAAGGAAGGTACATCTTACCTTTCTACGGATTTTGCCAGGAGGATGGTCCATTCCCGTGAGATGTTCATCCCATTCTGATTATAATCCCGTTCTGACTGAATTAAAATTAACAGATACATGGTCAGTCCCTGGCAGGAAAATGGGACGGCCCTGCAGTATGTGAAAACTAAGGACTTGGAAGCATCGAGCTATCAACGACTGGTTAGCTTCGTAATCTCTGATAACTATGATGTTGATTCATATGCATTTATAGATCAAAGGTATAGCTTGTGGAATAAAGGTCCTTCACACTATGAACCCTCCCGTTATTCATGGCGATATCAAAGCAGTTAGTACATATGAATCAGACAGTTCCAGGGCTCATGCTCACGGCGTTTGAATGCTAGGCCAACATCGCCATCAATTCTCGTGGAGATCCTCTTCTCGCTGATTTTGGCCTCTCTCAGGTACGTACTCTACTTCAATTCTCTTACCAGTCTGAACGAGCTTGTTCCCTATCAATTCAGATCGTTGAAGACATTACAGGGATACCCTTTACTCAAAGTCGCGGAGTGGCAGATTCCTACAGGTGGTTCGCCCCGGAGGTGTGTGTGGGACAAGGTGTCCTATCCACTTATTCGGACATCTACGCGTATGGGATGACTGTCCTCGAGGTACCGCTAATATCTTTGGGCCAATTTCGACTACGACTGATCATAAATCACAGCTGCTAACCCATCAACAACCTTATAGAGAGATCAAGCACACGACAGAAGTGGTTATCAAGTCTTCTAAAGGTGCACACCCTTTGCGACCGATGGAACGTGAGGTCGTCGCTAGGGGTCTCAAGGATAGACTTTGGGGATTGCTGATTTCCTGTTGGGCCGAGACACCGAGACACCGACCATCTATCCAATCCATTCTTGAATATTTCTAACATAATGCTTGTGTACGCATTTGATACCTGCTAGTAATCAATCTTAATCGTAGCTTAAAGCGGGCCGGAAAATGAACATAGGTCAAATTGCGAGAAGATGCGTTGTCAACGTGGAGGCGGTTTCCTGCTACGGGTCTCTAGCTTGTACGGAACATCATAAAAGCGTCGACCTTGCAATCGTGATGATACATGCGCAGTATCATCGATCCCACTTAATAGCTCTGGGTGGCAAAAGACCCACTCTATTTGACGCCGCCTGAGCTTGATGATGCTTGCGTGATATGCCGCGTAGACTCCTGATAGGTTGTCGTAGAATGGTTGAGGAATGACATGTGAGTCTCCGGTCCGTCCATCATGATGTCTCCGATATCCGGGGGGTAGTGCCGAGAGTTAAGACTACAGTGTGATACCCATAGGTCAGTACATTTGAGAGGAATCGGATAGACTTACATAGAGAGGAATGAGCATGGATAGACTGCAGAGTATGCGTGATGAAGACAGCCGATACAAATAATAAAGTTTACTCACGGCGTACCATGACAATGTATAGGGCAGCGTCAACGAGTGCGTCGGGCGCAATCACCCACTGACCGCCAGAATTGAGATGAGCCTCAGATTTCCCTTTTTAACATGAATAGACTTACGCTGATAACGGCCGCAATTGCTATTGACCTGTGTAAAGTTCAAATAATTATCGTCTGAGTCCTTGTATCAGGATAGTAAATTTCACTGACGTTGTCAGCGCCCCAGTGTTGACCGCGTATTGTACTATCGCCTGGAGTGTCTTTGACCTGAGAATGAAATTCAGAGGAGGACAGAAATGACAGACGAAACTGACGAGAGTATGCTTGTTTCACTCTTCCGTATGTAACAAGTCATTGACCACGTAATTAATATGTCGCAGAGACACTCGCAAGCTAGTGCACTAATGGCGTAGGGCTGAGGCTCATTCACCGGAATGCAATACCTGGGATTTAAACAATGACTCGCCTGGCTCAGTCTTTCCTTCTCGAAATACCTGATTTTCGATCTGAGCATACGAAAACATTGTGTCAAAACTGCATGTTGTTGTGAAGCTAAAGGGACCTACATTTCTGCGGCTAGGGCTTAAAAATACATAGCACTGAGTAAAGATCAAAAATCCTTAGGAAAGACTTACAGGCTCCCATGGCTAGAGATATACAGCTTGAATACATTTCTCACAATATGGGATAAACCCTACCTGTTTGCAGCAATGAAAAGAACATCTAGACTGATGTGAGATACGGCCGTTGAAATAAGAAAGGTTCAATCCGCTTACTATGGCTGCAGGAACGACGAATCTACGTCCATTGACTGATTGAAATGTTACGCCAAGGTCTACTTTTGATTTTCGCGAACTCACGCAGGTAAAGCCTGTAGGCATAGAAACTGGATCCAGATGGCTTAGACTTCTCTGATATCTCCCGAGGAAATGCAAGCATACAATTGGACGAAGGAGCTAACGATTGCTGTTGTAGATACTTTTTCAGTGCTGCTCGGCGGTACAAAAACAAATAGGACTGAACCTCCCACTGGTATATGAGCCTGGCATTAGAGCTGAATGAGCAAAAATGTGCACGGATAGCTTTTATAAAATGCATACAGCAGAACTCCTATGACTCTGTGTTAGCTCGTGGATCGCAGGCTACGAGACCAGCTCACCAGTTTGAAACAGCCAGCGTTTCGAAATCCGCGAAATGGGTAATCGTGTAGTAGTACATAAAATGGCAGACAAGGATCAAATGAAAACTGTTGATGCTCCTAGTATACCAGTAATCGTGAGTAATCGCATTTTGTGAGGGTCAATCATGGTATGAGCGTAATCACATCAACGCGGCAATCTGAAAAGGATACTGCATCAGAATAGACCATGATATACGGAGGAAACAAACGATAAAAAATACTGACGAATGCTCTTAAGAGGAAAACCGTCCTTGGCGCTGTGTCTGCTCATACAATAGGAATACAGCTGAAGGAGGGAGACACCGTAGACCCTTGACCACGTCGATTTAAGCGCCGCTCTTATGAACGGCGAGAGAAAACATACATCGATCCAATGACAACGCCAATCAAGGTCGCGCCAAGCGTACCGTCGAGTTCGAGAATGGGCATCTTGAACTGCAAGACTCGCAGCGTCCGATCGTACAAGAAGAAAGAGACGAACGGAAAGTTGCAGTGCTTACATATGTACTATGTGTCAATAGCATCCGAAGCTAGAGCTGCGACGTTGGACGTTTTTCGGTCGCTCTTTTCCAATTTCTGATGGAAGGATGAAAAATAACGAGAAAGATATCTATAACCGGTGACAAATAGAGAGGTTTTTAAGGAATCATAAGACCTATTTTGCAGCACGCAGCTTGTAGCCGAGTTCAACATCTGAGCAAAACGGTGTCAGCGAAAGATAAGTAACGTTTGTGAAGCTTCTTGTTGCCAGTGGCAACCAGTCCGTCGCTGATCGAAATTTCTGAGGAAAGAGAGGTCCGCAAATTGTTGTTTGCATTTTTTCCCTGTTGTCTGAGAATTCGCGCCACTAGATTCGAAGAGTCAGATTCATAAGAAAGGTTCTCCGAGTTGACACTTAACCTGCACGCCGGATCTCCCGAACCGATCCTAACCGATCAACGTTGATTTTGATCCAGATCATCGACTTGGTAGGGAGCCAATTGCCACACCTCCCGCCACTGCGGCTGAATCTGAAGGGACCTGGGATTTAAAGGTGGTCTTAACAAAAAGAGCTATCTTAGTCTATCTAAACAGTCGATGTGGAAAAAGGCCCCTCATATTTACTCTCCACAGGATTCGACGTTGTATGGATAGTAATCTGGGTGGAGTTCCCATGGACAGTAGTATGGATCCCAGACAGGTGATCCAGTTCTGTGTCTAGCGTCAGAACATTTCGAAGGTGGTCTCGAGAGTTCAAGCTGTTATATGAAGTTAGCGCGATGCTTGAGATAGGTACCTGGTTACATACATGGCGAGGAACGAGCAGGTATAGACTACAAACAGTCAACAGAAGACCCCATATTTTAGCGCATTACTTACGGCGTACCATAACAATGTACAATGCGGCATCGACAAGTTGATCTGGTGCAACAGCCCACTAATCAAGACATAGATGAGTTCTGCACGTTCCAAGAGTAGAATAACGTTGAGCATACGCTAACAACACTCGCAATCGCCGTTGTCCTGTAAGCAGAAATCATTCAGTCCTATTCATACCAGTAGCACAGAACGTACTAACGTGGTCAAAGCACCCGTGTTAATGGTATATCGTATCAGCAGTCGCAGCACCTTGCTTGTCCTAATACTATGTAAATGTTAATGAGATTGAGGACGACGAAAAGTCAGACTTACGAGGAAATTCCAGTCTTGCTCTTTCGGAGGTAGTAAGTCATTGATAAAGTAATGACAACGTCGGAAATGACTTCGCAGGCGAGAGCGCTAACAGCGTAGGGCTGTAAAAGTGGATGAGCGAGTATTCATACTGAAGTATCCGAAAAAGTCACCATGCTCTCCCTACCGCGTGTATAATATCTGACTTTGGATCTAGTGCGCGCAACGTCAAATTTTGTGTTTGCCTTGAAAAATGAAGAATTCCGACATTTTGACCGCGAGGACTGACGGTATAATGATTAGTAGATGTAGAACTTTCCAAGAACATTCTCCTTACCAACGGCAATAGCTGCGAAATATCATAAATTGAATGCCAATAATGGACACGATTGCATCATGACCCGAACTCACCTGTCTGGGACAGAGGAAAACCAGATCTACGCATATATCAATGATAGCATGAAAGGATAAGCTAACGGCCACACACGATTATAGCTGGTATGACATAGCTTCGCTGGCCGCTAACTGCCTGTGATCTAAGTACGTGACACGATTATCTTTATGAACAGCTTACGGATGTAGACCCTGAAAGCGTAGAAGCTTGTTTACGGTAAGTAACATTCCTTGAATCTTTGTAGAATAGAACTTACAACTGAACTAGTGAGCTAGCGACGGCTGATGAGAGAAAGGATCCAATTAGTGTTTCTACAGAGAAGGATGCTGATTGACGGACCTCCAACGGGAATATGAATCTGGAAGTTATGTGAAGTGCTGAGTAGGTATGCTTAGAAAACTCCGCAAAACATACTGCGACGCTCCTATGAAGGTATATCAACTCATTTTAAATTGGATGACAATCCGAAAACATCCTCACCAATTTGATACGGCTAGAGCCTCGAAATCCCCAAAATGTGCGACGGAGTAGTGATACAGAAAATGGGACACGAGGATCAAGTGGAAAGTGTCCACACTCCTAAAATAACAATCAACGGCTAGAAATTGGGTTATGCGCGACGTTCGTACATCAGCACCGTAATCTAGACAAAGAAAACCAGTCATATTATGTGTGACACATAGAAGAGAGAACCAGGAACTCACAAACACCCTCAAGAACAACCTGTCCTTGGAACCGAATCTTATACAGTAGGTATAGAGCTGTAAAAACGAATATACCGTAGATCCTTTGAATACATTTTACATTCAACTGCAGTCATCATGACAAAATGATGGCCTACACTGATCCAAGGACGACGCCGATAAACGACGCACCCAGCGTTTGGTTAAAGTCGAGAGACGTCATGGAAGAAGATGAAGAAGTTCGAAGTAGTATGGGAGCACAGGGTGATTCAAGACTGAAACAGCTTCGGCCACATTATGAGTACGGTATAGCGCCCATCCACTCCGGTTTTGATGATCGTAGTCCAGATAAAGTATGCGTGAAAACGGGGAACTAGACGTGGTTGCTACTTCGCAAAATACATTCGGAAGTCTTCCTCCGGAGTATGTTTGTATCGTGTATTACAAGGTCAATTATTGAAGATGAATGCACCTTGTATGACAGGTCACTATCGAAGAACACGACGCGTATCGGCCCTGGGTAGCTGCCGGCGCGCGCGGAGCTAAAATTTCAACAGCAGCCGCTAAAAAGTTTTTAGCATCAACAGTGTTTTCAAGGCAGTGGAATCAACACCTGGATGTACACGGAGTGAGGGAAATCTGCCGTCAGAAAGCCCTAATTCAATTCAAAAAGTGGACAGGATAATGAGCATCAACCCACTGATCACGAAGTTCTAATATTAGCAGAGATGCCGCTCAAAGTCACGTTGCAAGCAGAAATTTTCTGATGGTGGCAAGACATCGTTCCTATCGGAATAAGAAATCGACGCCAAGGCGGCAGTTGTCGTCCGGAGTCATATCAGTGGCATCTCATACATACGGTTTGTTGACAAAGGAGAGTTGTCGTGAAACCCGGCATCACCCGGACCGACCCCAACGAAGTACCGTGACCTTATTTGCCTGAGCTGCATCAGCAGAGGTGGCCTTGAGGTGGCCAATCAATCTAGTTTACTAGTTTTCTGCCTCTCCGGCTTCCCCGGGATCTTTCATAGCGCCAGAGGAATCTGCGGCCGGTTTTCTGATCCTGCGCTATTTAACCGCATGTTATTCTGTTGTATGATCCAATCTTTAGTCAGTATTGGGTCTGAATACCACAGATACCATTTTGGCTGAGAACAGTACCGTCGAATCGGTGACCGGTCCTGAACTGTTCGGATCCAAGCATCAAGGGGACTCTTGGGCGCCTTAGCGATATCTGTCATCGTCCGCAGCCACACTCAGTACTTTCAGTATGTTCTGGAGTTTTGCTCCTCGAGTCTTCAACATGGACTTCCTCGTCTCAACCACGGTCGCCCTTGGGATATATCTGACATACAAAGCTTTTGAAAACTGGCTTCGTGAATATTGCTCTCCTCTGCGTCATCTTCCAGGTCCGCCGAGCCCTGGATTTATCCTGGGCAATATACAGGAATCTATGATGGAGGTAAGCTTTCTCTGTCCCCCATGCTCGGACTTCAATGACTTGAGATTAGGACAATTCTCGTCTTCACGATGATTGGAGACAAGAATATGGCGCCACAATGCGATACAATGGACCGTTTGACGTTCGTTAGCCATCATCGTCCTAAAGAAGAATATTCATAGGAAGTGTGTAGGCTAATTGGCTGTACACGTCCGACGTTAAGGCTCTGCAGCACATCATGTCCAACGTTGATGACTGGCCGAAACCTGAGTATATTCGCTACATGTTGAGTCAACTAGCCGGACCAGGTAACGAGCCCTTTTCCCACTTTTTTCGTCATTTTTTTAAACCTCCTTCTGACAGGCGTTCTGGTTGTGAGTGGGCCTGAGAACCGAAAACAAGTATCCTCGTCTTCCTCGTCATTCTTATAAGAGCGCTGATGGACTTTGACAGCGGCGAGTCATGGTGCGTATACTACGTGATCATAGGAAACATTGATGAAATTAGATGTATAGAATCCCGCTTTCGGTACGTCTCAACTGCGTGAGATGACAAGCATTTTCGTGGCAAAATCTATCCTCGTGAGTTACAATTAGTCGGAGTTAACTGATAACAGCTCATAAGAAATATCAGCTTCGTGATAATCTTGCAAGAGTTGCTTCTGAGGCTGATGCTGGATCATCAATTGATGTTCTCCCCTGGGTCAGCCGCATGACGCTGGATATCATCGGCCTCGCTGGTGAGAGCATACTCTTTGGTCCCCTCAGAAAGATGGACAATATTACTCAGGTTTCGGTTACGATTTTGGCGCTTCAAACGCAGAAGCACCACAGAACGAGCTTACAACGGCCCTCGATGCTGTTTTCCGTTCAAAGCCTAGTATTTTTTCATTTTTGAAAGGGATGTTCCCGTTTCTCAGGATGCTTGTGAGTGATGTTATTTGACGTTGCCGTAGTATTAAGCATGTTATCCGTAGCCATTTGGCAACAGTGGTGCCCTCCATCAAGTCCAAACCGGCCTTTTCGCTATTGGCAAACAGCTGATAGTCTCCGCTAAGAAATCAGTCAACGAGGGAGTAGTTGATGACTCCAACAATTTGATCTCCTTGTTAATTCGATCCAACACTGCCAAGGATCTGCCGTTTTCTCAGCGCCTATCTGATAAGGATGTTCTCGCTCGTGAGTGTTGTTGCTCATCATTGTGCAACAGAATCATCTGACTGCTTTCTACCACAGAGATTCCAACATTGTTAATTGCGGGTCACGAAACTTCCAGGTGTGTCATCATGTCATCGTCAATCCGCCGATGTTGTAGACTCACCTAACGTAGTTCTGCAATAACATGGTCATTTTACGCCCTCTGCGCTCACCCAGAAGCTCAGAAGAAGCTCAGAAACGAACTTCTTACGCTTGATACCGATACACCCACCATGGATCAGCTCAACAGTCTACCTTATCTTGATATTTTCATTCGAGAAACGCTGCGTATATTCGCTCCAGTCCAGACTGTGCCTCGTGTAGCTGCAAAGGACGACATTCTCCCACTGGACTGCCCCGTGACAGACAAGAAAGGGATCATACATCGTAGCCTAAGGTATCTATCACTCTTCTGCCATTAACTGCCGACATGTCTGATTCAATGGTTGGTTTTTTGTAGAATCGTCAAAGGTCAAGGTGTGATGATCCCAGTTGTTGGCTTGAACACAGACAAATCCATTTGGGGGGAAGACGCGGCCGATTTCAAGTACCCTAAACGTTGTCTTGTTTCTCATTTCTTTCTCATCTTCATATTTGCAGACCCGAACGCTGGGAAAACCTTCCGGAGACGGTACGAAATATGCCCGGTGTGTGGGCGAACACGATGTCATTCTTTGGAGGTCCACGCTCTTGTATTGGCTTTCGTTTTTCCATCATTGAGTAAGATTGTCGAATGTGACTTGAGACGCTGTATATTGATGGTTGTTTCAGGATGAAAGCCGCTCTTTTCAGTGTCGTCCGTGCTTTCGAACTCGAACTGGCTGTTCCGGTCGATTGTATTACAAAGCGCACAGAGATCTTGCAGCACCCCATGCTGAAGACCGAACCAGAAAAGGGCGCCCAGTTGCCTCTCCTCATACGACCTCATGTATCCCAGACGTAAAGCTCGGATATCTTTTCCGAGGGTTTGTATTGTAATAACGGATCAATAAATTATAGCCCATACCCATTCCCGTCGATATCAGAAATTCAAACTTGTAGTCATCATTTTCTGTCTAGAAATTTCCCAAAGGCCATGGATGCCACTACTCTGTGTGGGATCTATGAGGCAATCTATCCTGACGCGAAATATGACAACTCCAATCCGATGGCTTTTATGGGTTTTGATCGATTTGACAGGTCTGAAACGACGCCCAAGCTGACAAGCATATTGCGAACCCGTCCCTCCCACATGATGGAGACGTCCTAATGGAATGAATATCAGTATGACGACAGGTATGAGAAGGATGCTTTACATTATTTGTTGACGCACGAGCTTTCACAACGCCTTGAACTTGGCCGGGCTCGACATTCGGCCTGGCCTCAGAAGGGAGAATGGGTAGGGAATTATCGTTGTCGTCATCGTCATTGGGTTCCAATGGTGGCCGCCGTAGCCACCATTCGGCACCCATTGTCCATTCGCTCTCATAGCTGTAGACATTGAAGTCGAAGCGCGATGACAAGGCTACATCTCTGGAGATGCGCGCGGAGTAAGCACCAGAGAGATGTCCAAGCATGGGATTGAACAATGCGGTAATTGTAGTGGGAGGTGATGGCAGGTTTTTTGGAGACGGTCCTGGAATGGGCGAGGATATTGAAGCTGGAAGTTGGAAGGAAAGAGGCGTTGCATCTGGGAGGGTAGAGAATCTGATTCCGGTCGAGACTAACACGATCTGAGTTTCTGAGGAAAGTCACTGCAGTTGACGCTCACCTCCGGCGCTCTTCTCTTTGGCACTGAAATAAATTTCTGCACCGGCAGACAGTCGTCCTTTCAGCCCGCCTTCTATTGCGTCCTCCTCATCGATACGCTTGACCCCAACGCTAGCGCCCTTGTCGCCGTCGTCTGACGCGGGGCTGTCGCTGGCGAGACGACCAAAGTTATGAAGCACTTTGACACCAAGCATACCGTCTTCCGCGCTCCAGGTATACTCCGAGCACCATTTCCCAACATCATGCTGAAGGTATAGCATGACATTGCTGGAATCGGCACTTCGTTGAGCTCGTGTCGTGGCCGACGGCGGCGTAGAAATAGCAGCAACGATGGCTTGCAGCGTCGATGTCAGTCTTGTAGAATAGAGAGCATCTAGGCGTCCAGTTGGTAGGTAATACCGTCCGTACAGAAGGTAGTCTGCACAAAATTGTTCAACCACCACCATTGCACAGTGAATTGGGGCCCACGTACCGCGAGTATCCACACGTTGACCAGCTAACCACTCGTCTTCCTTCCCTTCAGGTCTCCGTGGGTGGTCATACACTCTGAAACGCTCAATCATGTCCTTGAATCGTATGTCACCCGAACCTTTGACATTGAGGTCGCAGGACGTGAAGATGTACCCAACCGAGCCGTTTAGCGAGGGCATCGCATTCATCGAATAAGTCGTCTTGAACAGTGCATTTGGAGATTTTGAGATGGACAGATGGAGACCCTTGGGTACGGTAAAGTCGAGGATCGCTGTCCAGTAAGTCAGTCACTGGCACAGAGACATACGACGAGGCCTACCATCAGACGACCGAGTCAGGTTCGTGAACAAATTGTCTTCGTTCCATCCTGTTGCTTTGTAATAACTTCGCAGGACATAGGACGCAAATGGGTGCATGGAGACATGCAGTCACCAAACGAAGAGGCAAACGGACGGAATTGACGGGCCGGATCAAATACACTTTTCTTTCGTACACAATTTTCCTACATTTTACCACTCAAACCAAGCCATCCGTCTATCAAATTCCATACAGTTTCTTGCTCCTCCGTCCACTCAACTTTCTTGTCCTCGACGCAAGAAGCACAGAGGCCTTCTTTCCTCCAATCTATGAGCTTTATCCGCTCAAGCGACTCTAAAGGCTTGTAAACACCATCATCTTCCAGTGCAGGCTGGATGACCAACGGCATCCATTTATCTGCAAATACATCGGTGCAAGCCATATGTGAAGTGGCTGGAGGAGTGAAAAGAATAGGCGTAAAATGGTTGATTAGGTTGGCCATGAGTTCTTCACAGCGCCGGCCGTTTTCAGTGGATATTGTGATTTGAATGGGTGTTTCCGCCATGCCGTTTGGATGAGCGTCGTTGTCATTTACCTGTTGAGTTATGTATAAGGCGGGTGTAAAATGCTCCATACTATGAATTCTACCTCGTGAAATTGGGCTGTGGTTACCACAGTATAGAATAGTCGCTTGAAGAGCTTTTGGAATAACTAGTAAGCTGTGATCCCTTGGATTGAAGAAGATCTTACAGGCTCCAATTGATACCTTGTTGCTAAATCCAAGGCCTCCCCCGAATAATCGCAATTAAAGTATGGGACAGGTCCCTCCGGAAACAGTGTACTGAGTTTATGTCGAGCCAGTTCATGAAACGCAGGGAAATCGAGCTGCTCTTTGCTCGTGATGCGTAAAAGAGAGCCAATGCGAGAGAAATCGGTAGATGATAGCAATGATCTGGATGCTTTTAGCAAGGACGAGTGTATACAGACGCAACGCTCACACATCGTGGTACAGATGCTCCAGCAACGAAACTAGATCGACAACCGATACCTGTCGAGAGTTCAAGTCTAGGAAGTTGCATCCATCTAAACCAGCACTCAATTCCCTTTGTTTACCAACAACCGACGCATTCTCGAAGATATCTGAGAAATAAATGGAGTGTCGACAAAGTACAGTCGTATGTACGCGGAACAGATGATCTTCAAGGCCCAAGATCGTCAATCCATCAGGAAACCAAAAGACAGGATGTTGTTTCTTCCCGACGGTATCGATGGTCGTCGACGAATCTGCAAGTCGGGACATACTGGAAGAAAAAATATAAGTTCCATGATTCGTCAGTAGTGCAGAACGAGTTGGTCATCAGATAAGATAAGCAATTTTGTTTAGAAACGTTCCTTTGTTAAAAATTTAATTCGGCAAAACGACAACGATTCAATTACAGCCATTTATTCTACTTACCTGCAGCTCTTCCTATAGTTTGGAGGAATGGTAAGAGAGCTGAATCTTTCGTGACCAATGCATTGTTATGTGCACATCTCGATACCAAACAATGTGAAATTTCATCGCCACTTTTCCGACGCCCTCTTCCTCCTTCTAACCACATCATCACTACCAATCCCTACAAAATCTTCAAACATGGATGACGGTACGTCTTCCTCATCAGTGCAACGGCAATGGCAAACGGCACATCCGTTTGCTTCGATTTCTACGGCGGCATTTTTCTTCATGCCGACCTTTGTATCTATCGGTATTGAGGACGACGAACGTGGTTCAGCAGCACTGTATTCACTTTGCAGCAACGTATCGCCATTTCAGTCTTATATTTCCGCCTGAAGGGGAGATATTCGCTTCTCTCTTTTTACCGACTTCGACTGTGATTTTTGACGTCGTTCCGTCGCTTTGTTTTCGGCCTTTTTCGCTGTCATGCCGCCATTTCGGTCTACCCTGTGCATATTCAACCTGACCTGTTGCCTTTTCTATTCCTTTGGCATGTTCAAATACAGCCTGGCAATCCGATATGGCACCGACCAACACGGGGATATCCATTCCTTCTCAAGACCCTGCATTGAGCGCAACCGATGAAGGTGGGTACCGTGAACAGAGGAGGTCGAGCCGGAGCCGGAGCCCGGGCGCTAAGAATGGTGACAGAGGGTACGTTGAGAGCGAGCCTTCTCTATCCTACACAATAATCTAACTTTCTCCTCAAGCCGTTCTGGTGGAGGTCATAATCCCGGGAACAACCTCCACGTCTCAGGGTTGAGTCGCAAGGTAGATGCTCGTGACCTCGAAGCTGCTTTTGCGAAAATTGGAAGGGTGAGTCTGACAATTCACCTATCACAGCTTTACTTATTTGTTACGTCCAGGTTCAAAAGGCTTCCGTGATGCTTGACCCGCATACCCGTGATTCTCGTGGATTCGGGTTTGTCACAATGGAGACCGCTGAAGAGGCTGATGCTGCTGTCACTGCATTGAACGGAACAGACTTTATGGGGAAGAACCTCGTCATTGAAAAGGTGTGCTGACACGGTATATTTCGTACTTTCAGCGCTAACCAAGTCCAGGCTCGTCGTGGTCGTGCTAGGACCCCAACACCTGGAAAATACTATGGACCGCCCAAGCGCGGTGGCGGCTGTGAGTTTGTAGCACGTTTTTATCCTTAGCCATGGCACTCATCTTTTTCTTTTCTTTTTTCTCTTTTCAGCTGGATATGAACGCCCATACGATCCCAGGCCTTACGATAGTCGCTATGCCCGCGACCATGATGACCGCAGGGGTGGTCCTCGTGGAGGTCGTGACTACGACCGTGGATATCGTGACCGCGACCATGACCGTGGCAGAGACTACGATCGTGGTGGACGTGGTGACTCTGACCGTGGTGCTGACCGTGGTGGCGGTGGTGCTGACCGCGGTGGTGTTGAGCGTGGTGGTGGTGATCGTGCAAGGTATGATGACCGGCGGTACTGATATTTCATTCCTTCTTCTGTTATGTATATCGCATCTATAGGTTCTCATGTACATGTGCTCTTGGAATGTCTTTTATCACGCGACGTACCGTACTTTGCCCATAAGACCACAACTGAAATCGGCACTTGCCGAGCAATGTTGACTGACGACGCCCATGATCCAGGCTTACCGCAAGAGCTCGTCGACCTCATTGTTGATTTCCTCCAAGACGAGCCGTTTTCGCTTCAAGCGTGTGCCCTAGCTGGGCGCTGTTTTCTGCAACGATGCCGCCTGCATCTGTTTTGCAGAGTATGTTTTACAGACGGTACTTCGTCTAGGCGTTTCCTTCCGTTGCTTTTGGCACCGCATATTCCACCTCTGGTGCGAGAGGTATCCGTCATCGGTCCCGGCACGACTGCGGAATCCCAGTGGACAGCCTCAGATGATACATTGTCATCTGTGCTTGTCTCCTTTGTAAACGTTGAGGCTGTCCATATCCTGTCTTGCCGTTTCAATTCAGTCGCCACCATCCAAAAATTACGCACTCTGGCATCCAAGGCAGTCAAGTTCCTTCAGCTTGACACACTCCAATTCGAGCGGACGGAGGATTTCTTTTCATTGCTCCAATGTTTCCCCTCCCTGCGCCATCTCCTTTTAGGTTCCGTGTATGTCCGATCCAACGAGCACCTTCGTGTTCCTCACCCGCCGCCCGTACTACTGGAGACTCTCGAAGTGCCATTCCGTCTGTCACTGACTGCCATCCCCACTGTCGGCTTACTTCTCAATCCCTGGTCGCCCATCACTTTGAGTCACCTCAAATCCTTACGAATTGAACGCCTAAGTCTAAATGATCTTCCAATAATCATGTCTTTGATGGAAGCATCACGCGTCACACTGGTAGACCTCCTCCTTGGACCAATTCGAATGGTGACTGCCTCTGACCTAGGTACGACATGAGCCAGATCCTTTTACCTCAGTCTAATTACTTTTATCTAGACTTGACCCGTCACCCGATGGTACTCCCACTGTATCATCTCAGATATTTGCAGATCCAGATATCCAATAGTGTTTTACATCGTCGGCTATTTAAGTGGTGGACAAATGTTTTCCAGATGAGCGAACAGGATTGGTGTCTGGAAGACGTCACCATTAAACTGTGGTGCGACGGTAACTCACGTACATTTCATGATACCCATCAGTGGTCCCTGCTCGATGCTGCGCTTACCCGATCGTGCATGAAGGAGTTACGCGCTGTCAACATCAAAATATCTTTCCCGCCTCGGTCTCTTGCCCCAGGTATTATTGCGCCTGAGCTGTCCGATCTCATAAGACTCGCGTGCCCTTCCATGGTAGCGAAGGCTCTTCTTCACGTGGAACCAGTACGTGATATGTCAGTTTTCTTCGTGTATGCAAGTACCAAACTGAATTTCTCAAAAAGTGGTAGCAGATAACGACATATTCTTACGATCTTCGGGTCCCCATTCTGGCTGTCAATGAAGCTCGTTTGTTTTGGGCGGATGGAATATACATCTTCGAGATCGATTTGCGGGATTAGAGGTTTCGTCAAACAAGGTCGTAATACATAGCTGGTATCGGGCTATGTATAACAATTCTATCACCTGAATCCGTTTCCATGGATTGTATTGCTTGCATTGGGGACTGCGGTACCGAACACTTCAAACTGAGCGTCTATGTTAACTTCCCCTCATATGATCCACCGTACAGATGCGGTCCCGGACAAAAACAACACAAAAACGTCGGTGATAAGAATTGATTTTTGTAAGCGGCGTACTCCACTCAGTGCAGGCAGTCTATCGCTTATCTTATTTTTAATTTTCTTCACAGGGAATGTCATATTTTCTTAGAGTGCCAGAGAGTATAAAAGAGCCTGTAACTCACTGACAAATTCATCAAGTCGAACAGCTCTCAGTTGTAACAGTCTTATTCATCTCATCTCACAATGTTCTTTCGTATCTCTGCCTTCACTCTTCTCGCCTTGGCTGCATTCTCTGCTGCCCAGGAGACCAACACCACCGTCACCGGTGGGAAGTGCAACACTGGTTCTCTCCAGTGCTGCAAGTCTGTTCAGGACGTGAGGCATTTTCTCCTTGCCTGCGGAACATCTTCTAACTCGACGCAACCCTTTTTATAGCCCACGTCTTCTGCCGTCAACAGACGCTCTGGGTCTCCTTAACATCCCCATTGGTGAAATCACCGCCGATGTGTAGGTCTTCAGATGATACGAGTTATCTGGATATTTCTGATAATGTCTGCAGTGGTCTGACTTGCGACCCCATCACCGTCATTGGGCTCGGAACTACCCAGTGCACCAACCAGCCCGCTTGCTGCGAGAAGAACAACTTCGTGAGTCATATAATCTGTGTAGATATCACGGAAGCTTACGGGGATCGGCTTTATAGAACGGTGTTGTCGCTCTCGGATGCACCCCCATCAACTTGGGACTCTAAGGGTGCTCATGGATTTTTGGTGTCAATCTTTTGGTTTTTGTTTGTTTCAAATGCGGATTGGCATAGGATGTTAGATAGCTTTTCATAAATACCGCTGTTTATGCGATACCTTTTAGATTTATTTACTTAACACGTATACGTTTTTGCCTTCATCTAAGCGAGAGTATTCAAGCGAACGCGTATTGAGAAGGTAAAAGAACACTCGACTTCAATGTTTTTGCCATAGTTAGACTAAGCTCATAATCACGATCTCCTTAGATCTGAGGGGATAGAATATCCACAGACCAACAATTGCAAGTGATCGAGGAAGACAAGGAATTCCACAAATGCGAGCGATTCAGCTACCTGGAAATCCATTGACATGCCTCGACATTTTGTAGTCATATAAATAAATCTGCGTGGTATATTTTGGTATAACAAGGTACATTGTGGTCGTTCTTCTACCGCGAAGATCCTCGATGGAGTGGCGCCGCCCGATCTCTCAGCATCAATGAATATAAAGTCACGACTTTGTCAATGTAACCGAGCATGATGTTGTTATCCATTATTCCTGTCCCTACCTACTACCAATACGTAGCGGATGAGTATACACTGTCTATCGTACAAACCCGATGGAACTCGTAGCAAAAAAGGTATTTTACAAAAGCAACCAACACTGATTTCATGGAAGGAACATGGTATCAAAAGCAAGCACATGTACACATAAAAAAAGAAATTTATAAATAGGACCTAGGGAAAAGGGTATCGAGATTATTCGTAAAAGTCAAAAAGTAATCATAAATACAGATGTTAGGAGATGGGAGTGTGTGATGAAGATCCTGGAATACAGAGGGATAGAAGAAGAAGGGAATCAATCACTCCTTGGGTGCGACGACGACCGTGCTCCTAGGCGAAGTCCCACCTATCGTCTTGGCGAGCCTGGAAAGGGCATCACCCGTGAGAATAGGTCGAGAAGCATGGTGTGGCCGATGATTATCCACCGTGGGAGGAGATGAATGAGTCCGAGCGTGGTAGCCGTCCTGCATGAATCCCCGTCGCGGTGTTGACGCGCCCGAACGCGTGTACCGGGTATTGAGGTGTATGGGAGAAGGATGATGCATGGGAGGCTGGCGACCGACAGTGAGATTACGGTTGTGAGTAGGGTTGAATGCATGTGGTCCGTTGCGCGAGGCGGCGTATGTGGTGATGTCGCTGGGAGCTGATATTGGTTCGCCTGGCTTGGGTGCGTGTATAGAAGCTTCGAGGCCAGGTTTTGGGGGATCAACGACTAGGAGAGGCTTGGGCTGCGATGGAGCATGTATAGATTGATAAAGGTCCGACTTCTCCGTAGTAATGGAGGTTTCTGGGGGATTAGGTTGTTCAGTAGGTTTGGATTGCTCGACTGGCTTTGGCTGTTCTGCAGGTTTAGATGATATTCCATTTTTATTGTGCTTTGGCGGTGTAGGATTACGCATAGGCGTTGCACTTAGTCGCGAGTTGACTGATACAACCGACGAAGCAGGTTTGGGAGGTAGGGAAGGGTGAAGGGGTGCTCTGGGTGGGTCAGTAACAGGAATGCTAGGTTTGGGTTGAAGGGACTCTGTTTCAGAGACGGCAGGAACATCATGAGAGGGAGGCACGCTCACGGCGGCTGCGTCGACTTCCTTTGACGATACCTCTTCTTTCTTTGATTCCTCAAGGAATACACTGTCCATCTGCCGCGGACTGCCAGAATTGGGCGGGTATATTGACGCCATGGACGGCGACAATCCATCGTGTTCGGCAAACGTGGGCTTTGAAACTAGATCAGGAAGAGGCGTCAGGCCCTCGACAATGATAGGAGATATCGCTGAATCTTGGGGCTCTGAAGGGACTTTAGGCTTGACGCCCCAGTCATCTAGATCAGGCAGCGTGTCGTCCTCATCTCCGGCCCAGTCAATGTGACTGCCTGGCGTTGTGGGTCGAGCCTCAGCCATTGCAGAGGCTCGAACACGTTCCACGAGTGCATCAATATCATGGCGAACGTCTAGGTGATTGGCAGTAGCTGGAGCAGATGAGGCGGCTTTTAAGGGCGCGTTAAGCGGAGCTGGACGATTCCGTTGCTTTGATGGCCGTTCACTAGCGGCTGGTGGTGCATTGATTTTCGGTACATCTTTTGGAGTTTTTGACTGGTTTTGTGGACGCTGACGGCGGTTTGAAGAGCGGGAAGTTGTCGTGGGGGTTGGAGGAACGTCAGTCGAAGGAGTCGGAGGATTGGCAGCAGGGCTGTTTCGTGAAGAACGTCTTGAAGAACTTTTCCCTTTAGCCGACGTCGGCGTCACAGGCGACGTTGCTGAAGGTTGTTTCGGGGCTGTATTAAGTTTCGGTGGTGTTGGTTTCGTTTGAGTCGGCGGCGGCGGTGGTGCCGCGCTGGCGTCTGCTGCAGTTTCCGCTGGCTTTGAAGCGCCTCCTCCGCCTCCCCTTCCACTTCCACGTCCCCCGCCTCTCCCGCCTCTCCCGCCCCTTCCACCGTTGCCTCTCCGTCCTCGTCCGATTCCATTAAATGCTGAACCAGGTTCACCGGTTCGGGACCAGTCCCGTTGCCGTGACGTGGAAGGACCTCCAGAGACTGGTGTATTAGCAATGGGGCGTGGTGGAGCTGGAGTAGCCATGCCCTATAATAGGTAGGACCCAAGAATACAAATCGAAACTGGAAAATGGGAGGGCTCTGTGAGCTGCGAATTTTCTGGAAAGAAAGCGGTCGACTGTACCGTGACAGACGATGTGCAGCACACCAAACAGGTGCTCAAGAAGAAATATTACAGACCGGAAGGGTGATAGGAGCGAATCTGCGACAGTGTGGGAGTCCTTTTGTGGGGCACAGGTTGATGTCAAACACGCGACAACAGCATACACCTTCAGCAGCAACCATCATGTCCAAGGCAAGCCAACCAGAGCTGAAAAAGGTATTTTATCATAGTTTACATCCCTTGCTAAACTTATTTCACCCTAGTTTATGGACAAAAGATTGTTCGTCCATCTCCAAGGCGGCCGTAACGTGAGCGGAACGTTACGAGGATACGATCTTTTCTTGAACTTGGTCATCGATGATGCACTGGAAGAAACGACTCCTGGTCAAAAACATCCCATTGGCACCGTTGTACGCCCACTTTGGTTGTTTGGTTGCATGATGTGCTCACACCGAAAAGGTTATCCGTGGGAACAGTGTTACGTCGATGGAAATATTGGAGATGATAAGATAGCAGAGGAGATGTATGATATATATATGCGTATGGGAGAGGTATGCTGCTATCTTCAATTACCCTTCTTCGTGAATTCATTGCTTTCGTTTGCCGTTGAAGATGATCTGGGTTTGTGAATTTTCCATTGGCAGTACGGTATCATCATGAAACTGTGCGACTACATTTCCGTCTGCATCTATATTACTCCAACTCTCTCATAACGAATAACTGTACTTCAGCCATGCGCGTTCTGTAGCCACAAAAGTAAAATCAGAGGGTAGTGTTTTTCGTCATACGCGTTGTTTGGTAACAGCTCTCAAATATAATTTAATCCAAAATTTCGAACTTGAAGCCGACTTGTCACGACGGGACGGTCGCTGAAATGCGCAGATGCCTTTCAGCTGGCTCCTCCATTCTTTCCTCGTATCGCGGTCATAGCGCAGGCCATTCGTCCCGTCGACGATACGTAACCGTCGCTGCCAATGATGTCCATGACCACAACCTGAAGGAACAACCGACATCCTTCCACGAGAAAGAGAAGCTGGACAGGCTCTGGCTCAATCTTGAGCACAACAAAAATCCGACTCGTACTTGGGAGACATATCTACGCGCCGTTAACCAACTAGGAACCACCAACATCCCCCTTCATTTCCACCAGAGAGCCTTGCGCGCCTGCACGGTGCCCACGGAGAAGCTTCGCAGTGCAGCGGACCGTCGGATTGCCACCAAGCACCCCCCAGCACCTCACACCTATGAGGTTCGGTTCCAGTTGATCCTAGGCAACATCCGTACCCTCGGACAGAAACCAGACTTGGAGGATTATAACTTTCTTTTGGAACAGTTTGCCGCAGCTGCTCATCCTGTCGCGGCACTAAACACGTTGAAGGAGATGGTTTTATTTGGCGTTATCCCCCGGTCCAAGACTTATGGTCTGTGTCTCCAGGCCATCGCAGCACCGGCTGAGTCTCCCTGCCCGTAAGGATGACCTTGACGTTCGAAACGACGTGTCCCATGCCCAGATGAAGGAAATACTGGACGTTATGCGAATCATGGGAAAGCCTCTCACAGCTGTCAATTTTGGCTTGACCCTTCGCATTATGACCAAGACAACTTCCGTGGACACGGTCAATTGGTATGTCCAGTGGGGATATGGAATAGATCTCTCTTCCCGGACCGTCCTGCACTTGCGTACCAGGGCTTGGCTGGATCGCCGCCTGCTTTACCCGAGCCCGTCAATTTCACCACTGCCGCGCTCAACAACATCGTCGACATGGTTGGCCAAACGGGAAACGTGTCCAAGCTCGTCCAGGCTTTCGAGGTGCTTACCGTACCAATCCCTAAGAGTGCCCAGTTCATGGCTTCTAGTTTCGATGACGACGATGACTGGGGTGTTTCAACACCGTCCCCAGAATCATCGTACCATTACCCTCACGCGTCCCCAAACACGACCACTTACAACCTCCTCATACGTCACGTCTCCAAAGCTGGACATGCCATTCTTGCCCGCCACTATCTCCTCAGGCTATCCACTTGGAGCGAGAAGTCGCCCATCAGACACGCATAGAAGTCCTGACCAAACCCTTAAACCAAGCACGAGCTCCCCATTTCGCCATCAACAAGGGAACCATCCTCCCCGTGTTTGGCTTGAGCAACCGCGACAAAAACGTGGGACTCATGCGGTGGGTCCACTCAAAGATGCCTAATCTTCTCAAACGGAAACGCGCCGAACTCACCTTCTTCAATAACTTCCGACGCGGCAAGATCGCCAAAAACCAGTGGCCGATAATCGCTACTGGTCCCTCTAATACGTCCACATCTTCTTCAAAGCAGGACTCATCGCCCAATCTCTTCACTCGCGTCAAGTCAGCACTAGGTCTTGACCCCGTATTCGACGTAGACCTCGAAAGCGAAACCCCCTGCCATCCAACCCACACCCGTCAAATACATCGACCTCGATCTCTACATCCGGATACTGCAACGCGACATCAAAGAGATCGACGAGCTCCGCGCACACATCGAGATCATCCTCGCCCGAACGATACAGCGCGTCAAGGAACGCCTGGGTCGGCGTGTCTGGAAGGGGAAGAACATCTACACCCTGACCGGACGGCGGAGGGACAACGTGACGAGGGATGAGTGGCGGGGTATAGCCAACTTCAAGCCAAAGGTGGAGGATGACGAGCGGTATGTCCCCGGGAGGGTGAATATGAGGAGGTTGAAGGAGATTACGTGGAATAGGAAGACGCTGAGGAAGTTTGTGGAGAATCGGCGGAGGCGGGGGAAGTATGTTCCTCTGAAGGGTCAGTTGAAGCAGAAGGTGTATCGGGAAAATATGAGGTTTTATGTTCAGCAGGGCGTCTAAGGCGTTGATGCCATCCTGTGTGCGTGTTTTTTTTTGTATCTGGTTGACGGCCATGGCTAATGTTGATTCTAGACATTTCCTCTAGATATCGCGCCGAGATAGTGGTGGCGCTGCTATGGTGGCTCAAGGCTCCGTCGTTCAGCCAGTGTTTGTTCTGAAAGTAGGACGGTCCTTGTTCATACGCCTCATAGTTGAAGCAAACGGGGAAGGTGGAGCTGGAGCTGTAGGGATCGATATCGAGGAACTGACGCGTACAAAAAGCCCAGTTTCCTGTGTAGCGTAAAGAGTAATATCAGAAATTCTTTATTAACTACTACGGGGAACACTTCTGGCGTTGATTGTTTTTCGTGTCGACATACGAAACTTTGAATGCTCGATCCAACAGCAGCAGGTTGAAATATGCTTCGCAACATCTCGTTGAAGATAATGTTTCATAGTACACTAATAATACAAAATACAAAAAACATTCAAGCTTTAATGTTAAAAGCAGCGCTACGCCATCCCTTCGTCTTCTTCTCCTGCGCGGTCTTTTCCTCAACCCTCTGCATGAAAGACTGGAACTGCCTCTTTCCTTCCGTCGCCATGGCCTCCACACCCCTTTTCAAACCCGTCACCTCCTCCCGTCCTACCTCTCTCACAGCCTGAGCATCCTCAGCACCAACCTCACCAGCCAACTGATCTTCAAACTCGTAGACGCTATACCCAAAGGCCCCTTCTTCTCCCCAGAGAGGATCTGCGGCTCTGCACCCATCGCAAGGGCTGTATCTTTCCCTCCCTCAACAACCACCCCAGTACCCGTCCCTATAGCCTGCCAGCCTGACATCTTCCTCAGCCTGCCCAGCTCAGACCACATCGCAGCAGACAGAGCGCTCCCAATCCCCATACCCCCATCTGTGAACACTTCTGCCCGCTTCGAAACGTCCCATGCAATCCCGTCAGCCCATTCTATAGCACCCCTGATCTGCTCTGTTAACGCGCGCTCAACGGCCTCGCGGAAACGCAAGGTAACTAGAGGCTTGAACACACTCAATAGCATCGGGTGGTTGGACTGAGCAATCGTCAAACCAACGTCTGATGTAATATCCACCCGTACATGCTCGATAACGTGGAAAGCCTGATGAAGCTCACGCTCTCTGATACGAGTACCGCGTTTAACTTCCCTCTCTTCGGTGGCAGGGATGAGGCGGAGCTTGAGGTCGATATCGACGCCTTTGGGGGGAAGAGTGAAGGAGACGAGGCCAGAATAGTCGCTCGGGACAACGGAAGCTCGTTTATCTCGATAGAAGAACGAGACCTTATCCAGAGCGAGCTGGATGGCTTGAGCACGAATATGTGTAAGTGTACCGATGGCAGTACGCGTGGGAGCGTTAGCGGAAACCGTGTTGATATCAATATCTGTAATGTTTCGAATGTAAATGTGAGATGGCTGGATGTTGAAGGATGAGATATCAAGATTCTCAAGAACGAGCTCCGAGTCCTTATCGATATACTCCGTCCTGAATGATATTTAGACGAGAACTGAAATAGTGACGGAGAAGCATACCTCGGAATCGGAAATCCCTTCATGAATGTCAACGCACGGGGTATGTAAACTTGGAAGATATCACGCCAGAACCATGACGCCTGCTCCATAGCTGCATGTAAACCCGACTTGGCCTGCGCTCCGGCTTCGACAAGACCATGTTCAATCGCCTTTCCAAGCTGAACATGCGCGTCACGCAAACGCTTCGTATCTTTATCCTGGCTCAACGCGGCCTCGAAAGCATTGAGCTCGTTTCTTAACGCCCCATAATGCGTCTTCCATTTCGAGTCCTCGACGAAGAACTTCTTCCATCGCGTCCGTAAATCTTTCTTGGTTTGCTTGAGTTCTTCGCTCTGCATATACCCAACATCGTTGATCGTCTTTCGAATAACTTGGAGGAGTTCCTGGAACCATTTCTGGAGATCTTTATCTTCGCGTACATCGATAGCGCATTGCTTGGCTTTGGCGAACAAGTCATTGAGAGACCGGTTATTGGCGAAACGCTCGACCAGAGTCTTCAATTCCTTCAAAGCTTTGGAAACATGTTTCTCGGGTGTCATGTCGTTTATGAATGAATGAATCGAGGTCGGCGGTAGTTATGCCTTGAGTTTTGGAGAGCCACATTTCTACGGTATCGAGGAGTGTATTGACAGCTGAGCGGTATTCTTCATCCTTCTGAGCCTGCTCGCAGGCCTGGGATTAAAATCAGAATATGGATGCGAAGCGTTGGTCATAGTACATACCCTTTGGAAAGCGTTCTTGAGCCTATCACCTGTTCTGTCTGCTAACTCTTCCGCTTTAGCCTTCGCATCCTGCCCGGCGCCAATCACTGTCGCGCCAGTATCCTTCAAGGAGTCCATCGTGTGCTCGAACTGAACCTTGACATCTTTCTCTTCTTCCTCCATTCTCTCCTTGTCTCTGCCGAGGGTATCGCGCTTACCTTCCTGCACCTCTTGCTCAACCTCTCTCAGACTATCTTTTGCGCGAGCAGCTTGGTCCTCCACCATTTCAGCGGCATCAGCAAGAGAGGATCGTGCGAATGAGGCAAAGTCCCGGAAGACGAATGAGTCTTCTGAAGAGATACTGGACCATGCAATTTGGAGCAGTTTTCGTAATGCCTTTCGGATTTTCTCGACGTCCTGTGCAGCTTCGTCGGTGTCTACGACGTCAGAAGGAGCCGGAACCGAAATGTCGCCCTCTGAGAGATGCCAGATAGCTTCTTGAAGCAAATCATCGCCTACGACGATGTCAGAAGAGCGATTTGACAGTGTGAAGGATGCGTACTGTTTTTGTTCGACCCTAGAGTCCTGTAGGCATCCAAGATGGTGCCTATATGTCTCACCATGACTCTTCCCTGGGGGCTGAGATGACCGGGTTCCATCTGCGCCAATGCATTGACCTTGATCCAGTCGTTGAAGGCGTTGAGTTGGTCTTGAGAAGGTAATTTGCCTGCATTAAGTGCAGCGAGAACGTTTGTAAGACGATCCATATTGAATGGTTAAGGAGTAACCCATATTATTGAATGGTTTTATAAGCGATCCAAGTGGATGGTATGTCATTAACGAGTAATGTGGTGTGTCTAGGATGACGATGAAGGCGGCGGCGGAATACCGGGCCGTCATTCACGTGCAACTTGCAACCCAAGCCCAAGTTCGAATCGGAAGTCAAGTTGAACCAGGTTCCAACGTGAAAGATAAACGAGTTACTTCAGCTCGTTACGCGTCTCATGATACTTATTATCCTCGAAACACAAGGCCGAAACGGGGTATCAGTGGGTCAGCTTACGGCGCAGGCATGTTCAAAGCAATGTTATCTCCCCGTAAACATGCGACTCTACAATATGCTCCGACTCTGTACTCTCTCAGACGTGACGACGGAGAAACATACAGGCGATCTCTTCCAGTCTTTCACGGCTTCACTAATCACTTTTCAAGCTTCTGACGCTTGTTGTTACCTGTAGCAGTCGCCTTCTCCACGCTGCGCCTCACTGTCATCGCTCCCCAGATACGTAATCATCCCGATTCTGGACACGTTCTCGAAGTTCTGTTTTCATCGCTAAATGCGCGGATCCGAGCTTAAACAGACCACTCTTCGTTCTGTCCGTAACCACCATCTACTCTCCCGACTTTTGTTCTCCTTTCACCCATGTCGGAATATCCAGACCGACTAGACAACCAGCGTGTCATTCGCCCACTGGACCCCGCAGCGGTCAGAAGGCGTTCACATGTTTCTCAATCTTGGCATGATTACGGTGACGGCAGCGTCAGCGCCAGCACCCGCTCCTGGGTTCAGTCGACTCAGCAGAATCCACCACCACCGCCAGAGCATTTACCTCTTCCATCACCTGCACTAGGCCTTCGGGCTGTCAATCCAGACGAGAACGAACCGGAGGAATTGTCTGAATTCATGACAATTCGTCAGGAAGATTTTCACGGATTACCTGATTATCCACTGCCCTGGACTCCTGGCGGGAATCAAGGCGTCCAGCCGCTCAAACCAAAGAAACGTTTCGTAGGCGGTTTCGTTACTGGCTTGAAACGTATCCCGAAGGCTATGTTTGGCGGACCTAAAGTGAAGGAGGTGAAGAGACAGAGACAGAGGTCGACGGAGACCGGAACGCACCTGACCGAGAATACCCTTCCACAATACAGAACGAATCCACCAACCCCAATAACCTTACAGATGCCGCGAACACATGCCTCCTTGGCAGATTCCATTCCAGCTTCTCTAGCTTCGGGAGAATTCCAACGGCATAGGAACAATCCCACTTTCAGGCTGGAGCCGCCTATAGAGGTATTCGAGCCTAGTGCAGTCTCACCGACAGAAGTGCCTATCGACCAGACGAGAGAATCTATCCATCCAGAATCTAGGCGGACTAGCCTCCACCTAACAATGCCGGATCCCTCAATAGCCCTGCCCCCCTCACAACCACCATCGCGTCGTCAATCGCATGTTTCACCGCGTCCACCAAGGCGAGAACCGTCTACAGCCCATCCGCCTTCTATTCCCGCCCATCCAGCCCCTTCAGAAGACTATCGCCGCATGTCGAAGGGTGATTCGCAGGGCGGCCACGGGCCGGCAAGCGCAACAAGCTCGTCAGTCGGAGCTGAGCCATCCTTTTCGAGTGACCTTAATCCAGTGCTCAGATTTTTCACTGGACTCTACGACATGCCTTGGATTGCACCAGAGCGCATCACAGTGGACTACCGTCCCGGGGTGGACCGTGGTGCATGGGTGTGGAAATGGACCCATGTGAAGAACGGTAGCGGGAGAGGCCAAAGGGTGATGAAGCTGAAGCCGATTCCCAAGGTGCTGGCTTCTTGGTATGTCATGAGTGATGGTACGGGAAGGAAGGTGCCGGTGAAGGAGCACGTTCGTTCACCTAGCTCAGTCGCCCCAGTCGATCTATTGAGCTCTGGAGCGTCTGGCACGCGGTCGTCGATGGCGACCAGCGGAGCGACTTCAAGACGCGGCAGACGGCGAGTACCCATACGTTCGTCGGTCTTTTATCCAGACCCTAGCACGCTACCGCGCTCCGTCAGACGGTCGAAACCTCCCTCGCGACATGGTACTAGCTCGCATAGCCGACACCGTGATCAGGAACGACGGCGAAAGCGCCCTGCGTCACCTATGTACCCCCACGGGTACGCACCGCCGAGTACTCCGCCGCCGCCAGTACCGTCCTTTGCATTTATGCCGTCTCCACATCCTGCTCCGAGCCAAGAGGGTTCACATGCGCAGCCTTCAACCCCCGCAGCTTTGGTGCCGGTGTTTGGGACGGTGTATATGCAAATGTTACCACCAACTTCGATGACATCTGTGAACACGAGCCCGGGAATGGCGGGGCGAGGGGCTGGGCAGCAGCAGCAGCAGCATAGCTATGGATATTCGCCCATGGTCGTGCCTACTACTCCACCACATATGTAATTTTGGATTTATGAAGCTCTCGACATTTTCCTATGTAATACTAGTTGTTTATAGTTATGCCCAATACCATTGGACTTCGTTTTTCCCTTCGTTGTCGAGGAGTGTTGCGTTGTTGTGATCGACCTATACTCCTAGTCGATCAAAGCTGTGCCTTTCGGACCGATAGCGCCGTATCACGTCAGGCCTATTTGTGTAAGTACCCGGCTTTCTTCTTTTCCCCTCAATCGAACGGTCATGAACTCGGAGCCATCCTCATCGTCCTCGTCACCTATAACGCCGACGCATCCCTTTGCCCATGCAAGGGGACTCTTAGAAATTATTCCCAATAAGATTGACGTCGAGGAAGAATCGAGACTGTACGATGAACTATGTACGGTAAGCTCCTTTTGTTCTTGAGTTGCGGCGGACAGCGTATTCATCAGGTCTGAGTCTAGGATGATGATGATAGTCCTCTCCGACACGGAGCGATAGCTGTCCGACCACGGTCGCCGTCAGGCGCACCTTCGGTGTTCTCACGGGAAAGTATCTGGCTGGGGGATAATTCTGGGGAGAGCCTGGCCTTTGCGAGAGACGTGAAGATAAGCGGGTGGACTAATGTCGGTGATAAGTTGGGCGGAGCGTATGTCGGTGGGTAGTTTTTCCCGGATCTAAAAGGCCCCCCCGTTTCTGAATTTTGCGTAGTGTATGACTGCGTGATTAAGACGAAAGAAGTGCGCAGTCCACACGGTGGAATTTTATGTATGTCACTGACGAATACTTTGTTGCAGGGAACTGTTATACATTGTCACAAGCGATACAGTTCGTTCGTTCAACTAGAATCGGCTCTACGCAGAACTTTGCCGGTATGTCATCAGCCCATTCTTTTTTTGTCGGTCATTTTCTCAAATCCCATTTCCTAGCGGAATCAACAGCATTTCATCCCTCGACTTCCGCCAAAAGCACCCCTTGCGAGATATCGGCCCGCATTCCTAGACCAGCGGCGACGAATGTTGCAATACTGGCTATCTTCAATATTGCTACACCCCGATATCGGCGGATGCAAGGCGGTTCGGCTGTGGGTTATGGATTGACAATACTTTTACTTTATTTCTCTTCGGATCCTGTTTTATTGGTACTACGTTCGTTTGCTTGGGAGTGCGCTGTTCCCTTTTGTATTATTATATATGCTCAGATACCCGTAATAATTTTTGCCCCGGAAAGTACTCACCCGCCCAAGCGGCGGGCGTCGCGATCCGAAGTAAGACAGATCTTGTCTCAATTTGGCTCCGAACTCGGGACGCTACGACGTCTTAGACATAGGTACTTGAACGGTTTCGCCGCTGTCTTCAGTCATATAACAAAGGATGAGTGCCTCTCGATTTTTCTCAATCATCCTTGCGCACATATTTGCAAGTTACTTGCTCCTCATCGTCTTGATCTACCCTCGCGCATTACAGACGGACGCATACCGTCCACCAGCACTCTTCTTACCACATAATTCATCCTCCCTATTCTCATATAACATCCGGCCCTCTTTACGAGAATGAAGTGGGCAAATACGGAGGCATCACAGGCTTGGATGGGGCTCGTTTTGATATTGGGGATCATTGTCAATGAGTATTCGCACGAAGAACCACCATCGAAAGAGGAGGATGAATGGGAGAGCATCTTCGAGCTAGGATGGTCGTGCATGTGAAGCAAGACGTAGAAGACGTAGAAAGGAGGTCGAGGAAGGATATGCCGTTGAAGAAGAGGTTGGATCATCTTGGGTCCGGATTTTGTGGAAACATGGTCTACTTGTCATTTGAAGGATCGCTTTCGGTTGCTTTTGGGTATGCTATCCATACTATACGCTTTTAATTAGTCGATGATAATCATTCCTCCATCACGTCATCATCACAAGGAGCGACTACTTCAGGCGTAGTTTTTTGTCGCACAAGTGACCATTGCTCAGCTGCCAATGTAGTCTTCAAGGCAGAGCACTTTGAGATGAGATAGAAAAATAGCTAGCATGATGCAAAGCCGACATGCATACTCATTGAGAAGAAAAAGTCTCCACATGCTTCGAGTCAATGTCTTTCTTGATCTGATATGCGTGCCGAAGACGAGGTTTTAGTTGTTCCATGCTCGGATGTGGCGGGCTGCCCATGGTAGACTCTGCTGCGTCTGCAGCGGAAATTAGCTCTTCATCTAAAAAAGTCTCAGGAAAGAAGTCTCGTTGAGGCAAAATCCTGTTAGCTTACATGTACTAATGTTATACGACTTCAACCTGGTTCGTTGCTCTTCATTCAGCATATGATCCCAGAAATAGTTGTTGTGACCTGGACGAAAATTAGAACTGAAGATATCTCAGACATATGCAACAACGAACCGCTCATGAAACCATCAGACCCAAACATGAATAGTGGGTTCGTCGACGATTGAGCGTCTTTGTCCAAAGGATATGTTCTCATTTGCAGATCTGCTTCTTCTTTATCTCGTCTCTCCTTGGCAGCCTGGAACTTTTTCTCCAGAATCTATGGCTTTATCTCTCGTACAGCATTGTGAATAGACCAACTGAACCAGGCATACTTTCAAATATCGATCATATCTTGCTTCTGCGGTCTTGCTGGCAGAGGGTTTGAGTCGGAACGTCCGATGATGGCAGGTGATAGCACATGGCAATGTTGAGTGAGCGATACGTGGTGGAGCAGATTGGAGGCCATGGCGAAGCAGTGAGCGCGTTATCGACATCGACGTGGGTGAGAACATGGCAGTAAGGAAGCAAAAATCGGTACACCGGACCGGTCATTCCGACCTTCTTGTTCATCATGTCTGACGAGGAGCTCACCGTCGTCGCATCCGCCGCTCTGCAGCATCTGCTGAGCAAAGGCTCTATCACAACGCCGATATCTTCCATTGACCTCCTTGTTCGCGTTATCACCTACAAGCCACCCCAAAGCCTCATCGTAAACAAGCCCAAGGCGCCCAGGTTCCGCCTCACCGACTTGACACGTTTCGAAGCAATCTTGGAGTCGCTCTCTCAGTCATGGGATCAGGGAAGCATTACATTCACCAAAGAGAATGGCGAATTCAATATCCTGGACTTGAGGCTAGCGTCGTCTTCGTCAAATGTTGTATCCACCCTCCCACACAAGCGTAAGCGGGTGATAGACGAAGAAGCGGATTCTGCAGCTGGTGATGATGAGTCTGAGGATTCTTCGTCTGAAGACGCGGTGAACAGGCCTTCCTCTGCACTTGCCAGTCTCAGCAAGGAACAGCGCCAGGTGTTTGCCATCATACAGAAGAGTACCGCCAAGGGACGTCTACTGGCAGAACAGGTACGAAGGATAATTCGTAGGAAGAACATCTTATTCATTATTTAACTTTCAGTTCCGGTCCGTTGAAGAAAGTTTCGAGCCTATATGTCCTCATATCACGAAGGACGACTGCGCCAAGGCGCGTCGAAATGATCCATCGATACCCTTCAACCCAGATGTCCCTGTCGGTATCTGTGATCTTATCCATTTCCGACCTCTCATTCGCCCGCACACCGACCCTTCTCTTGGACATTGCTCATATCTTAATACATGCTATTCTGAGCCGACATATGCACAGTCACCGTCAATACCGCCGTTTCCCGGTTCTCAACACGGCTTCACACCCGGCATGCGCGGTCCGGCGTCTCTACCGTCAGGCCTTGGTGCCGGTGGAAGGGGCAAGGAAAAGGCTCCGTGCAGGTATCTACATTACGAGGTTGACTGGGACGCCACCGATGGCGACGGTTCTGACCGTAGAGAAAAGGCAGTGGTGAGGAATACGCATAAAATAGGAATAGGGCTGGGACCTACCGGGAAGGTGGCAAAATTTGTAAGTCTCGTCCTGGTGAATTGATGGTCTTACCGGTACCACTTGCCTATAGGCACCACCCCAATGGATCAACTGTGATCTGCGCCGCTTCGACTACAGCGTGCTTGGAAAGTTTCATGTAATTATGGCAGATCCTCCTTGGGATATTCACATGAGCGTGGGTGGTGAAACTGGTGGACCTCTTCTCCGATTGATATCCCATTATCTAGTTGCCCTACGGAACAATGACCGACGATGAGATGCGAGCTATGCCCATACCAGCACTCCAAGATGAAGGACTTCTGTTTTTATGGGTGACTGGCCGTGCGATGGAGGTGGGCCGAGAATGTATGCGAGTCTGGGGTTACACCCGTGTTGACGAAGTAGTTTGGGTAAAAACCAACCAGGCAAGTTTCTGTGAATATTGTTATAACCATGTCTCTAACGTATTCACAGCTGCAACGCGTCATCCGCACAGGACGAACAGGGCACTGGCTCAACCATACGAAAGAACATATGCTCGTCGGTGTCAAAACCGTGACAGATGAAAATGGAGCGTTGAAATTCCCGTCTTGGGTGAACCGTGGTTTGGATACTGATGTTATCGTGTCTGAGGTGAGAGAGACGAGTAGGAAGCCTGATGAAGCATACGGGATTATCGAAAGAATGTGCCCTGGGGGGAGAAAGGTTGAGATCTTTGGGAGGAAACATAATACGCGTCCTGGGTTGGAATTTTTTTCTCTTCCTCATCGAGGACTTGCACTCACATCCGGATGTAATAGGTGGCTGACATTGGGAAACCAGTTGGGACCTGATCAAATCTATGAAGAGGATCTTGCTGCCAGAATAAAGGCCAAGTACGGTGATCTATCTTGTTGGCATGAGATAGCGTTACTGAATAATTGATAGGTATCCGGATCGTCCTATCAACATTGTGAATGCTTGAACATCGATGTGTAGATTGAAAATATTCTTCCTTACTCGCTGCGGACTGTTTACACATTATATTATTGATATTCAGGGCGTGAATACATCTTTGGTAGCAGCGTTTCAGCCTTTTCATCCAGAGAGCTCACTTTTGAAACTTGCTCCTTCAAGCCAATAAGCCACTCCTATCCCTCCTTTCTACATTTCGCCGGTCTACATGCGTCCTCTTCATACACCCGCAACTTGAATAGAAAGCCCATGAGACAAGGGAGAGGAAAGTCACGAATTGCATGTAAGAACATCGGGGATGAAATCGTGAGCATCAACAGGACGACCATATAATGCTCTCGGAACCTTCTTATCGGTATTGCACATCGCAATGTTTCTCTGTCCTATTGCTTAGGTAGCAGGAGGTCATTTAAAAAAAAGCATAAAAAGGTAGCTTATACAAAGGAGATAGCGCGAGGATCACAAAGACATGGCAATGTACAAAAAGAGACAGAAACAGCAGCCATCAGAGCCCCTCTTCGTCTGTCGTCTCGGCATCCATCTTGTTATCATCATCGTATTCAGTTTTGAATTCGATACCCTTGTATCTCCTCCGAAACCAGGCCGGAGGTTCAGCGTCAGTTGTGGAGTGGTAAGTGAAGAAGTGGCATGCAACCGAAAGGACCCAGTGACCAGGTCGGTTCCTAATGGGAAATAGCAAACGATTGGCAATAGGAACTACGAAAAACGGGTGGACATGAGATGTGACGACGCGAAATTGACGGAGTGTTTGGGGATCGACAGGTTCTCCCGGATAGGGGGTCAAAGGCATCTTCGTAATCAGCATCGACTTGCTCCTCTTTCAGAAATTCGTCACGGATAGCTTCTCCTGCAGCCGTAATGGGAACAAAGAGGTATCGGAATGCTGCCTCTGGCATGTACTGCAGGACGGCGACTTGAGGTTAGAAGATGAACGACAAAGAAACGCACCTCTTTGAATGTGATTCGGCGGTGTTTAGTGAATTCTTTGCCCAATGTACGAGTGTGATAGACTCTAGCAGTATCACAAGGAAGCGAGAAATAAATAAGCATCTTGTTGAGCGTTGTCATAGTTGGGACGAGAACAAAGTCTCCGTTGATGGAGTTTCGATGTAGGTCCGGACGATCTGAAAAGTATGCTCGTTCGAGGCTATATCAGAGACGGTGACTATGGCATACATGCAATGTAATTGTCCATGTTCTTCATGACCATTTGTTGTGGGTCGAGGCCCCAAGCCCATTCGAGTTGCATCTTCAGCGCAGGGGAAATGTCGTTAGCCACGAACAGGTGAGCTTTGAGTGGTGTATCTGGGTTGTAGGCTTTTGTTATCGGGCATAGGTGTCGCGAAGGAACCGTAGATCCAGTGGTCATGGCCGTTGGTGTCTAACAAGCTTTGTTTGCGCAAGTTGGTTGCTTGTGGATATCCATACACTTTGTCTCTGATCAAGCCCAGCAACTGAGGGGGAAAAAACCATCTGTACAGTATACGTAAAGAGGGCAGCCAAGAAGAGGTGTGATGCACCAGAAGAGTAGCAGCAAAGCTAGACCATTCGATCGTGTATCGTCGGGTAACTGCTGTTCACGGAGAACTTCACCATCAACTGAAGAACATCATTTCTCGTTTTTGTTTCCGGTTTTACGTCGTTTGGATCCTCCGCCCGCGTAGCGTCTTTTCTTTCCTTTATGGCCCGATATCAGACTAGAGACTTTCGAGTAAAAACTAGCCAGGGTTGTGCGACCAAGTCGGAGAGCGCTTCGAGCACTTCTGCGATGCCAAGGGCAGCCCGTACGACGACGACGACGATGCCTCGTCAATGCATCCTGATCCTTCATAGTTTGTATTTTGTCCGCGAATCCCGATAGGGATTGGATCTTCGACCGTGTTTTCCATAATTCTACGTGTCCGCCCATGAACTATGAACAAAATTACTACAGCACTGAAAACGTTCACCGAATGGAGATGACATACCGACCATTGGAACGCCTCCAAAAACGTCTTTGCGTGTGAGATATCAAATAGCTGTAGACTTTCCGATTTAGATATAAGGGTGAGTAACCCGCGCATATCTCTCCAAGCCCAAATGAGCGTAAGGGTCTCTATGTGTAGCCGCTTAAGGGGACGGGAGACTTTGTACACGTAAAAATATGCATCCTGCGCTGAGCAACATGAGCACGATTACCTACGACTTGAATGAGCAAGCGTGACATACCCCAATACGCCAGAAAGGCCATGAGATAGGTGAAAGAAAGGCCACGAGTTACGAGCTTCGGAGACACAATGAATATAAACGTCGGAAGGCCAACCAAGAGGCATAAAACCGCTGAGAAGTAAAAGAGACAATTGTAAAAGCGACGCATTCTCTTCGGGTTCAGGTCCTGTATGACGACGCGTAAGCACAAGGAACGAGTGCCGTAACAATGTTTTTACTAACATTTTCCAGTTTCTTCATTACGCTCTCTAGCATCTGCGTCTCGCGCTTGATTGTCAGACTCGCTGTTTTGCATCGACTCCGAAGACTAGCCCTAGAAACCGCGCCATCTGAGTCGATTTCTCTAAGGATGTCACCAATAAGGCCATAGCAGGTATCAGTGAGATGCTGCTCAGAGTCAAGGATAGTGTCGGCAGTACACAGGACTCTCGGGATATGCGAGCGGGCGACACTGTATACAGCCAGAGGTTAGCTGAAAATAAACCAGCGGTTCCAAACCTCCTACTCACGGCCAGATGAGAATCTCCCAACAGGAGGGTAGCAAGAGAGCATCAATCAACTCGATAGCCGCAGATGAAAACGTCTCGGCAGCATGATACGAGGCTAGAGGAGTTCCGCGGTGGAGAGCAACCCACAAAAAATCAAGACAGAATTCGGGAATGGTGTGACTCAATTCCGTGATGAATAGATAGAAGGCACCCCTGTGGGAATGTCCTTTAGAATTGTAATTCGACATTTGGGTGAATGCTTGGCGGTGTCAGGCCTCGGTAGACTCGCTCGACGCTGGTCCAAGTGACGGTCTGAACCTCGAAGCGCTTGATCACGTGGTGACGTATACCAAAGTTCCCGCTACCTTGGTAGTGGGTCTCTGCAGAACACTAATGGCACCACTTTTTGCGGTAGATTCGGTGAATCTAATCTACTTTCATGCCCTCCTGAGTCATCTGTTCAAAGTGGAGTTTGTTATAGTCATGGGTTTCTATTTTTTTTCTCGTATTTATGTTCGGTTTATTTTCACTTCAGTTTTTCTTCAGTTCTCGTGGTCGCCATGTCCTTGTATTCTCATACATGTATCACTGTTGTTCTTGAACGCGTGATCAGACGTCTTTTACATATTCGGTGACATCACGTTTTTCTTTGCTACGCACCATGATGATCCCGACTAACTGCTGCCGCTTAAGAGGTGTATATTTCGACACGTCTATGTCTGATAAAGTCGTAGGAGATCCGTGCATCAAAACCGTCACCCCAGGTTCTCTCTTATGAATAGAACCTGAGGTCGAAGAAGGCGGATACGCTTCGAGATAATCCAAAGAGTCCATTCATTCTCTTGGGTACAGCTTCATTTTGCACAGGATGGACGGGTAAGGAAAGCGAGAGGGTCATAAACAGAATAATTGAGAGGGCTAGTTGAAAGACGGGTAACATATCAGAGAAATATTGGACAAAACCAGTTCTTGCAGCTTCTAAGGTCGGCTCGTGAGTGTGGCCAGCACTTGAGATCGTGGAGATGTGAAAGTAACATTGACATTGAGTCGGTACATACTTTATTAGACAAATTATCACATCAAGTGTGTTATATTCCACACGGCTCGTTACGAACCGCCATACATAGTATACCTGTATAAAAAATTATAACCCTAATAAAACCCGATCCTTGTAACAGCAATTAGATACCGAAAATAGCAGAATAGATCATCACAAGCAACGTTAGATAAAGATAAATGCGACCGGGCATCGCAGTGTATGCGTTTATGATACAGTGCTTGAGAGGAAAAAAGACGTGTAATGATCGTGATGTGCATGTCAGAATGCGCTCTCCTTATGACTGATAAACAGCAATGTAGTTGAGGGCCCACCAGGCGTCTAAAAGGTATTATCAACATCAATACGACGAATCACTAGAATGATTGAAAGGCATACAATTGAAGTTGGTAGGATCCGCAACTGCGTCCGCACATGTTCCGGGACAAGACCCGCCATAGGCAGCACCGGCCCAGTCTCCGCAAAGTGTGGTATCAATAGTGAGGCTGTGATCGTAGAAGTGATCAGAGATACTGCATGATGTGGAGGGGAAGAAAGCGCTAGGAGTCGACCAAGATGATGGATCCGGCGACTGAGATGTGATGTCAGCGGGTATCTCGTCGCGAGAAAAGAACCAGATGGAGATGCCCTCATCCGCAAGGAGATGTGCGTAGACGCCTCCCGTAACAACGTTGAAGTAGTGGCCATATGAGCGGGTATCAGTTTCTTGGAACGCACAGCCGGAGTTATCCCCGTTACCGGGAGTGCACGTTATACTCAATACCCTGCCAGAGGCGACTTTGGTGCTGGTCAAGGAGCAGCCACTACCGGTATGAAGGGTGTATTGGTTAAGATCCTGCTGATTGACGCCCTCGATGACATCGATTCCACCTATAAACAATTTTCGGTCAGTACGAGCCAGTCAACTAATTATAACCTGCTTACCAGCGTTAGGCCAATCAGGACCTACAGACCTGGAAATAAAGGTTAAAGAGGCATTCAAAATGGACAAAAGATGTAATTACCAGTAAGCGGGCCATACGCTACATCCGCGCGGCATGTGATATATGTCCGCAATGAAAAGGCCACTGCTGTACTGAGTCTTCGAGCTGATACGAACTCTACAATCGTCGGTTAGCGCCCATAGAGATGATAGCGTAGTGAAGATATTCTCACGATGCCCGGTTTTGGCCCGACTTTAATGTGGTAGTATTATCGACCTTAAGGATGGTAGTACCGTCATCCTGAATATAGGCAAGGCCTTTGGACATAGCGTCCTCCTTGGTCTGATAATCAACGAGGCCGTTAGTTGGATCGGACCACGAAAAAAAGTCCCATTCGCTGCGAAGAAAAAAACATAAGCGAGCTGTTTTTGTGATAAAGATAGAATGCCTTACTCTAGAAATGATTGCCCCTGATACATGTCCTTCAAAGTATAAGTAGCTTTGCGAACGTGGGGATGCTGATGCAGCGCGGTTGGGGTTCCTGCGATGTTGGCGCGAGACACGGATCATGCCCGAGGGCGCTGGAAAAAATCGACAAAGCGAGGATGGAGAGCGCGGCGAAGGAATGCATTGTTGCTGAGGGAGAGCTTTTTAAAAAATGAAAGTCGAAAGTGATAACGAAGATCAGATGCCAGCTGGACCGTATAAAAAGGAGCAGTGTGAAAATGAAGGACGGGGAAGGGCTATATGGGCGGGGTGGGGGGGCCAAGGAGCACAAGCTGATGTGGGCCTGTGAGCCCTGTTATACGGAGGAGCCATTGATCTTGATCGATTGATCTTTCGAAACAAATTTGGGAGAAGGAGTGGGTGGTAGGAACTCGGAAATTATTTGGCTTCCGTACATGTAATGGTCGCCTGTTTGGGCAACGACGTCGGTCCTGTCAACTTGTTTTGTTTGCAATCACATCCGCTTCGAGGTCCTCCTCAAGCACAAATCTGGGCCAGTTCACTGTCAGTCAGTGCAGATGCCACAGCAATGCATGATGATGATGAAATCCCGTTTCAAGTATTCACGCCCTTTAGGGCGTATGTATACATCTGGTGACTAGTATCACTACTTGGGTTGCCTGGTCATGGTATGTGTCTGGGGCTGGTGCTACGGTATCTACTTGTATAGTGCTTGTAATGTAACTGGTGGGGTAATTAATCTGTATGTGAAGAGTGAGGGTGTGCGAGAGAGAGTGACGTCTTGAGCGTTGCGTTCTTGGGTGAGATGGAATTGGTGGTCGCCGTCGGGCGATCTGCAGGCAGAGAGCCTGGGTGGCTGCGGCAGTATTGGGGGGGGGGATCGCATGCCATCATTGGCGTTTTGAAAGCACTACAGGGTGTTGGTACGTTAGTACTCAGCTTGAATAGAGGGGGGGAAAGTAGGCTGTCCTCCATGTTGGAGGACAGCCTATGAGAATTCGACAATGGGCTTCATTCTTCTGTAATAGTCTAATGGCCATTCACGGGATCACCAAAGATTGGTGATTTATTGTATATCCTATTAAAGAACATCAATGTAGCGCATGCAGGATTATGAAAACAATCATCAGGTACAACGAGTTGAGGTTTCCGCAAGGACGAATGAATCAGCTTTCTTTTCCATAGATTCCGAGTATTACGTCTCCTACGAAAAGGTTTCTTGTTCGTGAGATGATTTACTAGGAAACCGCGCGACTTTCTGAAGATGGGGGGGGGGGGCACTTGTTGGTAGCCACGTCCGAAAGCGCGAGTCGTCACGCATAATCGACCGTTGATCTATCTTCGGAAGGCGACAGACGGATTGGAGAGAGCATGAGGCACTGGAAGGCAACTAAGGCACCGGCAAGGTTCAACCTCGCTTGGAGAGTCTAATCCACAAAGCAGAGATATGCAGTAGATACGTGCGGATACTTGCGGTCGTCATAGGTATAGATTTAACAGACAAGCGACATTCTAAACCGCCCAAGTTCGGTCTCAGAATGACCAATGTGTAGGCACTTGAATTGCCGAGGCCAAAACAGTCCAAGTCAATATTCCAGTAACCAGAGGTCGTCCTAATACATGGCGCCTCTTGCAACTCCGGGTCCCAGGATGGGCCATGAAAGGGCCTCGATACCGTTGAGGTACCGGGCTCGTGGTAACCTTAGGTACTTGTCCACCAAGGACCCACTTATCCCCTGAGGATCGACCTCACATAATTTCATTTACCTCCCCTTGACCGACAGAAACTGTCGAGAAAGGGTCGAGTCACTATCGGATGAAGGGTTTAACGTAAACACCCAAGTAAGAATAAGTGAAAAAGACCTCGACTGACCTGAGCCAACATGTTTTGATGCAATCTTTCACCGACCGCATGTGAGAAACTGTATTCCGCACGGCACTGATATTGTACGCGGAAACACAATCATGACTGCTTTCTATCATGTCGCGTTCGTTTGGAGTCCCACTCCTTTCTCTATTGAAGCCATTCGTGCTCGCGACCCCCATCCGTCCATACATCCCAGCCGTCACGTATTTGCAGCCAAGTGGACACAGGATTCACCAGAAGGAACATTTCAAATTTGCCGAATATTGTAGATGGTTGTCGCTGCGGAAGTATCTGAGAGACAACAAAGAGAATGATGGCAAAGAGGACGCCAATGTCGAAACCCCACAAAATCTGATGGGCGTTATGGTATCCGAGGGCATATCTGCGTAAATTTGAACAAGTAAAGTACAAAATCACTATGACGGCACCAGATACTCACCTGCAGTACGTGACAAGAAGAGCTCAACCACCAATGGCAGAATAGACCACGAGGCGCCATGCAAAATCGAGGAAGGTATAACCGGTTGTCCCGAATTGGTGTTGGAAATAGAGATGGCAGATCAGAAATGTCGCAAAGTAGCCCATGTATTGACTGTGAGAGGATGGAAATCCGTATCCGTTACCTACACCCTGAAATATGTCACGAATGTGCACATAAAACTGATTTCTGACGGGACACACCGATAGAGCCTGAAGCTGAAGCGCTGAAGACCTATGCTCCTTTACGGCCTGTTTCATCAACCAACTGAAGGCCTCGCAGGCAAACTGCCCCGCCCACGCCCACATCACTATAATGACATATTCCCGGGTTTGTACTGCCAACGAAGCATATGCTGGCTGGAAGGATGTTGATCAGTGATGGCCCAACACCGGTACTGTAACACACACACCATGAGAAGAATAGGGCTCAGTGTCACTAGGGCCAGCCCAAGAGAGAGCAGGGAAGAATCATCGTCTGCAAGGACGTGTTCTCATCAGCGGTTCACATGGCAGGAGAAGCCGTACAGAGAACGTGCGTCAAGTCCAGTGATGCCTGCGGACCACGATGGTAGGCCTTTATCCCGAGCTGTGGTAAAATCAAGAAGATATTCGACTGTGATAGCGACAATCACGTAGTGCACGATGAGGGCGACCGTGACGACGGGGACAGCCCTGAGCCAGGACACCGCTGTAACCTGGCAAGCCGCTTTATAGATGCTCGCGGAACTCGTAACTGTGTATAAAGCCTGGTACCCAGGACAGGGGGTATACTGGTAGGGTTCGGAAGTTTTTGTGGGTCCCAAGGGCCTTTGAGTTTGGTCATAAATTGAGGATATATGTATTTCAAGATATCTAGAGTGCATATAAAGGTGTCAATCCCTGGAGAAGGCGAGAAAACGCGCTGATTTTAACGGTAAAATGGCAGAGCGACGAGATTTCCTCCCTATAAAATTTCAAGCGGAGTCTCAAAATGGCCAACTTTTGGACCCTACCAGTCAGTATAACCTGCCCCGGGTTCCAGGGGTCCAGGCGCCCACAAAGTAAAGTAGGCTGGTTTCATCTGATGACGGGATCTTCGTCTAGCAAGATTTACATCCAGAGACGGCTCGATCCCGACCGCAAAAGATTTACTTATGCAATTGATTTGGTGAAAATCACACATAAGGATTCATAAAGCTACAAAACGCGTGATAGACGAAGCAAAGCAGTATTCACGGATCAGAAATAGAGCAAATAATCTACCTCAATAAACTTTCAGCAAACATCCCATCTTCCTCGTTCCAGCCAAGCGTGTCAGGAGCGATCCCAAATTGCCTGAGCATCAAACCCACAGTATTCTCGGGCTTGCCCTCCTCCTCGCCTCCTGTATCCCCATCCTCGCCATGCGACTCTACACCTTGCATCTGGTCTTCGTCTTCTTCACCCTCTTTCTTTTGGGGCTCGTCCCATCCCCAGCTATTTTCAGTCTTGAGTCGCTTCTGATCCCCCTTGTCTTCCCATCCCCAGCTGTCTTCAAACCCTCGTTTTGTTTTCGGTCTGTCCCAAGTATTGCCCCAGCCACCAGCTTCGTTTGTTCCATTATCCTTCACCAAGTCCCAGAGTTCCCAAGCGACCTCTCTCGCGGCCTCTGTCCATCGTTTGGCCAATGACTCCAACAGTTCCTCCTCCCCGTCCTTCTTAACCTTCACGGCCCTCCTGAGAATCTGTACTTGACGTTCGAGCGATTGGATGGTCGGGGTCATCCGAACTGACGGTATGACGTTTGAAGAAGCTGCGGCCGAGAGCGGAGACTTGAACTGAGCAGCTGCGCGAACAGTTCGATGCTTCTTCTTCGGATCGTTCAGTACATGTTCGACTGACTTGACTTCGGAGCGCACGATCGTCTTGACTGCGGAGAAAGAAGGCTTAGTAACAGCAGGAAGAGGGCTAACGGGATGATCGTTCTCCTTTTTGATCAACGGAGAGCGGAAGGGTGTTGAAAACTTCTTGCGTTGTTGTAAATGCGACATGACTGTTGGTCTCTTCGGACCTGGCGCTAGGGTAGCATGGCTCTTCACATGAGACGGAGCCTCCGGCAGCTGAGGTGCGGGTGCGATGTCATCAAGAACATGTGTTTCTTGCGTTGGGAATTCTGGGACCGCATCCAACTCTTGAGTTACTTCGGCTGTCGCCTAGAGTCTTGTCAGAACTATGAAGATGGATGACAACATAAACCAACATGAGAAGTGGAAGTACCCTGAGAAGGCGGACTATCCTTGATCTCAGTCTCCGAGGAAGTATGGGAAAATTGGTCACCCAGAAGGTAAGTGTCAGGTTTTTCGACAGAGGGCTGCTTCAGGTCAGGAAAAATATTCGCCAAAGGGAAAGACGGCATACCTTAGTATCCTCTTGAACAGTCTGCAAAGGACTTGAGGACGGAAAAGGAGAAGACACAAGAGGAACCGGAGACGACGAAGGAGGCAACACGTCGGATGCATCCAATTCAATAGTGTTTACTTCATCCCATGGCCGCTCACTGGAATTCAAAGAAATGAGTTGGGACTGATCATCGTAGTCATAGTCGATCTCCAGCTGTAGTTGGTATCAATATCGTTTAAAAATACTCTGCAATTACTTACTGTCCGTTTATTCGCTTCTGATTCATCAGGATAAGGTTCAGTAATTGCGGAAGACTGAGAGGATAGAGGCGGTGAAGATGAAAAGATTTTATTTGGACTGGAGCATGGTGGAGACGAATAAAGAGCTTCATCGGCCGGAGAAAATTGGATGAGATCTACGTCGCAGTCAGCTCTCTCGGGGAGGATTGAACTTGAGGTGAGCGAGTTTGAGTCGTCATGAGCTATATCAAGTCCAGGTTCATCAGCGGAGTGAAAGTTATAGCGAGAGTTTTGGGAAGCATTCTGGGTAGACTCTGCAACGAGTTCTCGATCAGGGCTACATTGACGTCCAACGTAATTAGACTGCAGAGAATCCTCCTGTAGTGGCGCAGATAAGTTGTCAGGATAGGTGTCTGGCTGTATCTGTTCGTTATTCATGACTGGATCCAGCGTATTGAGGTTCGGTATATCGCTTGTAGAAAGTACTGCCAGAGGTTCACCATTGAGAGCAGGATCGTAAAGTTGATTATATGCGCCTTGGCTGTGTTCGATGAGTTCGGTATCAGTAGAAACAATAGCAGGGATGCAAGCATTCTGAGGGAAAGAAGCAGTATCAGGAGGAAGATATTCGTATTCGTCTTTAGGATCTGTCGGTAAAGTATCGCCATCCAGGTCATATCCGGAAGAGTCGAAACCACCAGAATAGTTGGTGTCCGAAGGAGAGCAAGATATATTGTCTTGAACCGCCTGAGCAGACCGAAATTGAGCATGCAGGGACAGTGACAGTGAAGCAACTCACAGGTGGGGTTACGTCGCACTCCACGACAGCCACGACACGGTCGCCACATCCCGGCGTAACATAGTTATTCGGAGTGTCCGGCAACGTTGCGGCTTGCATACTTGACGAAGATTCCTGGGTATATGCGCGTCAAAAGCAAATCACGGTGCGCAAAAATATGTCTCATACCTGTGATGGGCTAATGTCGCCAAAGCAGAGTCCAGAGAAGAGAGAGGACGCCATTTAAAGGGCAACAGTAGGGGATGAGCGCGATGGTGGCCGTTGCAGTCAAAGTTGTGACGCCCAGGTCAAATATTTGACAGGTCCCCAAATGGACTCGCAAGTCTCCTATACTCCCTTTCTTTCGACATCATCGTAGCCGCCGTTCACCATGATAACGGGCTGGCCTCGAAAGTCTCACGACCACGGCAATCCAGGCCAGGGTTCACCACCGACGACAGTCGGGGAATCCCGCAGCAATGACAGCGAGAGTAATAACCGAGGGACTTCCCCGGATCCAACGCGTCGACGGTCATCGAGTGATTCTGCAACACCAAAACAGACGCCAGTACCGCCGAGCCTGCGCATTTTATCGTCATCAGCGTCTGGGGTTCAGCCGGAATCAGGCCGGAGTCATCTTTTCTCCCTGTCGGATGCGCCGAGTTCGTTATCCTCATCGTCGCGCAAGCTTGGCCTATTCACAGATAAGTTGTCGCACTTGGCTGGGCATCATCACCACGGACATGGTCATTCGGTGATGCCGAAGCCTAGTTCCTTGAATCCAGCCCTTTTATTACACCCTCACGGTCGAAATCCTGAACCAGTCGGGTCTCCAACTTCGCCTACTTTTCCTCCGTCGCCCACAATGTCGAATCCGAACAAGGTTCATACATCGCCTTCAAAGGTGATCATCACACTTCTAAGTTGGGAAGCCAACAATTGATACCTTCTGCTTCCAGGCTTCCTACGGGCGCACTTACGACTCCAAACTTGTTACTCGCGAAATGCATCGTCTAGGAAATCTTGCTCACCTTCCCTCCGGTATACCTGCCCTCTCGCAGGCACCCTCCGTCAGCTCTCTCTCTCTCCCAGCACCGGGTTCAATGGCACAAGCCAGCATGGCCTCTACATCAGGCTCAGATCCGTGGGGCACCTTGCATGTCCATATCCTGCCACTCTTCAACGGTGAACCACTGAGGATACCTATGTGAGTTGACCTGCACATGCCACTGTCATCCGATCTGACCAAGTCAGAGAGAACCTAAATATGCTAGTGAAGGCTCACATAGCGACGGCCGCATCATCACCTTCGAAGGCGCTCGCCACACTGGAGCACGACACTTCAGAGCTTATTGGGTCAGGAATGCGAACCCTGAACGCCAAACTAGCTGAGAAAGAAGATGATAAACTCGTCGGACGCATTGTCGAAATATGGGGATTCTTCTGGGATCAGGTCTTGCCTTATGTTGAAGGGGTATGTCCGACCAAATCGGTTTACTACCTTTCCACTAATGTACCCCGCAGGCGTTGCTCCCTCTCCAGACTGACCCTCTTCTCTCTTCGCTCTACCGCACGCCCAAGCGTCCATCTTCACCAAGTCGCCAGAATAACAAAGGCTCGATATCGACATCTCTCGGCACCTCTTTGCAACTCTCCACGCAACACATAGACGTCCGAGCCGTCGCTCTTCGATCGTTTCGCGATAAAGTTATCTTGCCACTAGCTCCGCGACTGAAGGCACGACTTTCTATGGTAAATAGACAAGATAATTTCCAAGAAACCGCTGGTTATCAGCAACCTCGACTACAACAAATGTTCGTTGCTATGTTGATTGCTTACTTCCATTGTAGCTGATCAGATTGTGATTACAGGCTACTCGTGCTTACATCGCAGAGCCGATATCGAACACCTACATTCTCTCTTACAGCCCAACCTCCCCAGCCGTCCACAGGAGAAGCCGCAGTACTAGAACTCCTCAGGATTCTCCGCTCCCCAAGCCCCCAATTTGATGGTCGCCAAACTGTAAAGACTTCTACAGGTAGAGCCAGAGCGCCTAGTTTCCTGTCTGGTGGTCTCCCGCGTGATCGGCGAGGCCGGATAGCTCAGAAGCAAAAAGGTGCGAACCTCCCCAACTTAGTCAGCAACACGCTTTCGGCTGGAAACGATGGTGATTCTTCTGGAGGTGAAACGCCCCGAATAGGAAGTGGAGGGACGTTGGTTGATACTGAACGGGAGAGAGAGCGAGAGAAGGAAAGGGAATTCCTAGAAGCGTTGAGGTCCGTGCCATTCATCTTCATGCTGATCACTTGTGCTAACGTATGACACCTGTAGAAGCCCAGATCCTGAGAGTAGCAATGCGAGAGCAAGTGTTGGAGGATGGGGCCTTGGTATAGGACATGAGGATAGTGGTAAGATTGAAGAGGAGGAGGACGAACCGTTGGATTGGGACCAGGCGCAAGTACGTTGACCGTTCCCTTTTCGTGACAAGCACTTATGTTAATTTCAGGCTGTCGTGGAACGCATGGTTGGTATGAATTCGTCGACGCCAGAGTCGGCTACAAGAAAACGAATGGCATGAGTAGATATGAAGAAATTTCTTGAGTTTATACTTATATTAGTATAGTTATAATCGGCATGTTCAATTGTATAATAACATATCATATTCCATCCTTTCCAGATCCTTGACCTGACCGACCACAAGATGGTTGCTACTACGCGATGAGCAACATCTATTGCAGTAACGTGGTGCGACTTTGGTCATTTGTCGTCTTGCATGAATAGTCATTATGCAATCTGGAGGGTAACATGATAGGCCGCTGATCAGTGTAGGACTGAAACTCGACCTTGGGTGTGCTGAACAGGTCGATCAAAGGTTAACGTTTGTGAATATTAACGTGTATCTATTAGAATACGATATGTTTATTTACCTCGCGGAGACCGAGTTACGACTCTGAGTGACCGGTCATTCAGTCTGCACGAAATAGCAAGTGTGCTGTAAACAGTTTGCCACTCAATGACACCAGACGGTTCGATGTATTGATTCCTGTTGAACATTCCGTAAACTTTCAATCGACTTGGAGATTCTGAGAGAAGTGGCAGGTTGAAAGATACATTTGTTTAGTAACATATAGCGTTATATGTCGAGGCATTGAGCAAAACAAGAGAGCAAAGGTATAAGTCATCAGAAACATGAAGGAGAAACAACAGTGAAAGTGAGGAAGCGCGCGCGGGTGGCACTTTGTAATCCTGGTACTGACTCGTGGATGGCTTATGTCGACTTGGCACGCGACGCAGTAGTCGATTCTTCATAGCGCGCCTTTAGGACTAGGAGCAGGCGATGAGGGTGCTGACGCCTGGCCTGTAGGGACGGAACAAAAAGAGATGGAAATAGCAGCCTTTAGTAACAGTGATTCTTCGAGAGTTCAGCCATCCCTTTGCACCACTTGTAAATTTCCCCCAGAGCCATCGACCTTGGGACCACTAACGATGACCTCCTCTTAGCAGTTCTTCGTCTGATGTATTAGCATCCATATCATCATCGTCATCATAATAGGTCTCGAACTCGATACCCTTATATCTCCTCCGGAACCAGGCTGGAGGATCGACGTCGTTCGCAGATATTTGAGCGAAGAGATGACACGCTACCGAAAGGAACCAGTGACCAGGTCGGTTCCTAGTGGGAAATAACCATTGATGGGCAGTGATGGCCGCAAACAACGGATGTACGTGGGATACGACGATGCGAAACTGCTTGAGCTGCTCGAGTGCTTCAGGATCCATAGGGTCTCCAGATAAGGGGTTGATGGCATTTTCGTAGTCGAGACTGATTTGTTCCTGCTGCAGGAGATACTGATCACGAATAGCTTCCCCTGCGGGGGTCATGGGTACGAAAAGGTAACGGAACGATGTCTCTGGCATGTACTGCAGAAAGGTCAGAAGAAAGCAATGGTGAATAACGCAGATACGAACCTCCGTGAATATCATTTGGCGGGCGCTTGATGAATTTTGCACCTGAATTACGAGTATGATAGACCCTATTAGTGTTATAAGGAAGTGAGAAATAATTGAGCATCTTGTTCAACGTTGTTATCGTTGGGACGAGAGCAAAGTCTCCGTTGATGGAATTTTCACATGTCTGGACGGTCTGGAAAATATGATCGTTAAAAGTTGTATTGAAGATGGTGACTATGACATACATGCAATGCAGTTGTCGATGCTCTTGATGGTCATTTTGTGTGGTTGAAAGCCCCAAGCCCATTCAAGATGCATCTTCACCGCAGGAGATATATCGTCGGCAACTAACATATGAGCATCGAATCGGAGGTCGGTATTGCGGCATTTAGGTTATAGGACATAGGAGCCGTGAAGGGACGTTGGCAGTCATGGCGGTCAGTGTCTGACAGGTTTGTTCAACCCCCGATCAAATCCTAGACTGAGACTAGTCCGGAATGCCGATACAACGTCCACCATTAAGGGAAGTGAGGAAATCAACTTTCAGTCGATATTCTGAGAAATGGCAGGTTGAAAGATACATTTGTTTAGTAATATATCATAGAGAGCGTTACATGTTGGGGCATTAAGCAAAACAAGAAAGAAAAGGTATAAGTTATACAGAAACATATCAAAGGAATGGAAATGAAGGAAAAACAACAAGTCAATGCAAATGATACCAAAATAAACAAAGTCAAACGCATGGGATATAGACATGATGCTACAGATGGTTAATATTTGCGAGTCGCCAACGTCCTAATATCGTAAAGGAATGAGCGGTCCGGCTCGGTGAAGGTGTCCTGTCGCGACAAGGTACTCTTCCAGCCCTTCATTTCTGAATGATGCCGTGTTTCTGCCTCGCGACACTTTTGTACAAAGTGTCCGTCGATATCACACACCATCGACGCTCTTGAAAAGCGCTCGCTATCAGCTTCCGATGCAGCTCGTGCACGACAACGTCCGGAGGTTGGAGCCGAGGCCACCGAAGATCCATTGACACTCGATGCTGCCATGGACGTCTCTGAGACAGAAATAACGGCTTTGATGGTACCACCCTTGGTTTCCCATCCATCACCCTCTTCTTCATCGTCCGCCAGGTTAGCGAACACATCCGGCTCCTCGTCTTCAGGCGGTAATGTTGATATCCAACACATACGTGCTGGATCAAATATCATGTTTCCCACTATCCGCGCACCTGAAGCATACGAAGGGGCGGGGGACCCAAGGGATGAGCCGGTAAGATGTGTAATGAGAGCTGGTCGCGTGAAGGCAACGTCAAAGTCCTTCAAGACTTGCTCGTTTCCTTCCCACCGAAGAGTCTGAGGGTTCCATTTCATGTCACCAACAACTAAATTTATGTTAGAGGTGAGGAACAGCACAAAAACCGAAAATCAACGAACCTTTAGGCGCACTCGTGCCGCCCAAATTCCGTATTAGGGTAGGCTTCTTGGGTTCAGTTGAAGGCGTCAAGTTTTTCCGTTTTTTCTTGGGAGACTGGGGCTTCTGAGCTAATTCGGATCTGCTCCGACGCTTTGACAATGAAGCAAACGCAGAAGGTGCAGTGGAATCTGACAAAGAAAATATTATCAGCGAAAAAGCGCTGAACCAAGAAATGCACAACTTACCCGACGGTTCACGGCGTCCCTTTTTACGAATAGCGCTCTTATCTGCGAGCTTCGTCGGCGAGAAGCTGGCGGCGGCAATGCGGTTTCCGTAACCTTTAGGTTGAACACGAAAGCGACTCTCTTTATCCCGATCAGTGGGCAAGTCTGCAATCGCGTCAAGCTCAGTCCCATCTCCATAAACGCATTGACGCTTTGGTTTGCGGAGCACCTTGGGGACTAACTGTGGCGGTATTGTCCGAGTTGACTTGGACAGGTTAGACGGAGGCCGTGCGGGAGCGGGCGATGATGTCCGGAAGGGTGACTGAGCTCTCGGAGACGGTGAGCGGCCAAATAAGGCAGAGAGCGCAGGACGCGACTTGAGGCGCCCTATGGTGGGTATGGTTAGACGAAGCGCGGCAGTGCTAGAGGAAGGTGTGGAAGGGCGCGTAGGTGGCACCTCGTAATCCCGGCACTGACTCGTGGATGCCTTGTGAGATTTGGCACGCGACGCAGCTGTCGATTCTCCGTAGCGCGTGCCTTTAGGTGCAGGTGATGAGGGTGCAGACGCTTGGGCGCCTGATTCCATAAGAGAAGACAGAGATGCCTTCCTCGCTAACCTTCTCACGGGCGTGGCGGCGGCGGCAGGGGCAAGGCCTGTGTGAGACTTCTGACCTCGTAGACTGCCAGTTTTCACAGGCAGTGTTGATGATGGCTTAGGGGAAAATGACTGAAAAGTTTGTGTCCTTGCCGGGGTTTGGAGTGGAGGTGAAGGGGAGAGCCTTAGCTTCTGAAGTTGCCGTGCAGAAGAAACTGGAGGATGATTGACGGGAGACTTGGCACGATTCACTCGTGATGGCAGCCTCGGTGCCTTTTGAAGGAGCAAGCTGCTGCTTCGGTTGGCCGACCGCAGTAACGGCGAGCGCTGAGGCTTCAGCAGGCGACTAGGACTGAAATCGACATTATCGTCAATGACTAGTCCCATTTCAAAATCATCATCTGGATCAGGACTAGCCACCTTGACTTGGTTATCCATCATGACCGCCGTTTTCTTCTTGTTCAGGATCGAGGTGAAGTGGCGTCGGCCTAAATCCGCAGGGATGATGAGGCCTTCAAGGTCTCCTTCATCGTCATCGTCCTCTTCTGTTTCCGTTCCTGGAGTAGACACAGAAGAGGTAGAGTTGGACGATGGAGAAGTATCGGCAAATCCTAGAGTAGAGTAGGCGTCCGAGGACTGCGAGGATGTAGTTTGGTCTTTGTCTCCCCATTCTAGCGAAGTTTTGGAGGCGCGGTGGTTGAGAGTCAAGGGCGCTAATGAAAGCCGGGTGATGCCAGAAGGAAGTGAGAATGCATCTTCGAAGTCATTTTCGTCGGACAACCGTGTGGGCGGGACGACGGGCTTCGGTTTGGGCACAGCAGCAAATTTGATTGTCGATGCACCCTCTTCATCGTCATCATTGTCGTCGTCATCATCGTCGAAGTCCTGTAACGACGACAGCGGTCGTATGATACGCATCTGCGTGGAAGTCCCAGAGGGATCAGGGTGGGAAGGAAACGGACAATGGATTTGGGCGCCTCCAGTATGTCCAAGATCCATTTCTAGGTCCCAATCCTCATCTTCTTCATCTTTGCTGACAGTATGTATTGATTGACCTTCCGGAAGATCAAAGTCTGCGTCAGGCCATTCTTCTTGGGCGGCGGCGGCGGTTGGAGCGGGAATCGTGGACATGGTAGAAGGGAATGGGGATAGATATGTGTCGCGCGTTATGCTACAGTGATCCAACAAGCAAAATGAGGGCGGTAAACCGAGTCGTGGAGGGGATAGAAGAGGTTAATGGAGCATGGGAAAACGGAAGTAAAAGGTCGCAGCGGGCGGATGGGATAAGATTAGGGCGCCAAAGAAGAAACTGAAGATACTGATGGCAGATAATCGTAGGAATTTGATGAAAGCTGAAAACGTGAGAGCAGGATACTAGCGAAAGTATCGAGCTCGTTGTGAAAGGCGGTGAAGAACGATGCGTGACGGAGATAACCAGTGTTACGATGAGTCACGATTCCAACTTACGTCAGCGCCACATCTAGAGTTGAAGCTCCGATGATGTAAGTATTCAGTCCCAGACGGCCCGGGTCGGGTCTAGCCGGCCCCAGCTTTCTGTGCTCGAAGTATCTCGAATAAATTGGCCATTTCCTTCTTGATGTTCTTCCGATTCTTGGAAATCAACTGGAGCGCGGTTTCCCAATGAGCTGGTCTCCCCGGGTGATATCGCTATTCAGGCATGTGCAACCCATGTTGACCTGCCCGAAATAGCTCGCAGTCCACGGATTGCCAGTTGATATGTTTTCCAACGCAGACAGACTACAATGTTGTTATCTTCTATGGTCACAATCAAGCGTGTGAATAATCTAGCAGTCATACGGTCTATGCTTGCCGTCTTGGGATCTTCTCCGCCTCATTTACTAGGGCTTTCTGTGGATCAAGTTCTGGATATCATTCACGCGACGTACTGCAGGCATTTTCCAACGACTCCACTCGGTCACTGTTTTTCCGATGTACTTATCGCAGAGGTCGAACAGATATCATGGATGCCATTTCTTTACTAACAAACCACTGTCGACATTATGAAAATGCGCTTCCAATGTTCAGATTGCCGCTCATGTACGCATGCTGGTCCATTCGATCAGACAAAAAACATTTACCGCGCTCAGCTTCTTCGGCGATGAAGTATCGTACTTAATCCGAGCAACCGCGTGGATTCTATTTACCAAGAATAGGTCAAGCTATCAGTAGTCGCGAAGCGTTGTTGACGACTACGCAGTGTGAGTGATATTCTCCGTTACCTCTGAATGGAAGAAATATCTCTTCATCTTGGAGCAGAAAACAGCATCCGCGGGCGTATGACTTACGCAGCACAATCCCTTGTACTGCTCGTCGCCCTCTCAATCGCTTATCGTTGTGCACATTGCTCCTTGTCATTATTTTCACATTGGGAATAGCAACAGCATCTGGTTCCTCGCAGGAGCATGCTTTTTGTGCCTCACCTTCTGCAATTCTTCTCCATCAATGCTTATACTACCTCAGCATCTGATTAGCGACCGTGTGCAGGTGCCACAGTCGTTAATGTTCGTGGTGATTTATTTTTATCCCTTAGCTACCTAACACACGGGGGACACGACTTCAGAACTCCTTAAAAGCCATGGATTCTCTCATCAAGAAGGCAGCATTCCCAGCGAACGCACAGTCATCCACCAATGGCTCTCGCATTTTGGATCCTCGTCGCCTCTCCTCTCTTGTGCAGCGCACTTCCATCTACTACACCTCGTGTAGGCGTTAGTATCCCCCTGTTAAAGCGCACACCGCAGCTCGCCGTTGATGGTGTTGTCGACCGTGATTTCCTCAATGCGCAGGTCACCAAGGTTCACAAGTATGTCAATACGCCATATTCCGCCCCACATCGACTAATTGCACCGTTTCACAGTAAAGTCGCGCGGGGTTTCGCCGCATACGAGAGGAACACAGGAAAAGCGCACCCTAGCAACACGAAGCATATTACTCGACGAAGCACTGGAGCTGATGCATTGCAAGATGATTCCCAAGTTCTTTGGCAAGGCACCGTTCAGGTTGGAACCCCCGCTGTGAAATTCACTGGTAAGAACCAAGATACGAGTACGCCACAAGTATGCTAACTACTTGATGGGTATCAGTGGATTTTGACACTGGTGAGCCAACAACTTCGTATTTGTCTCCATAACGGCATTCGCTAATATCTTCTTGAAAAGGCAGTAGCGATTTCTTCCTCCCTGGCCCCAATTGCGACTCAAGCTGTGACGGGCATACGATCTACGATACCTCGAGCAGTTCCACAGCTAAAAACCAGAACCAGAAATTTAGCTTGTCCTATGGGGATGGTTCGACTGTAGAGGGGGACGTCTTCACCGACACGTTCACGATCGCAGGGTTAAAGGTCAGTACCCCCGTTCTTCGTTTCCCATTTGAATCGCCTAGGTTTACATGCTCGGCAGGCTACCCAACAAGCCATCGGTGCGGCAACAACCTACTCCTCCGGCTTCTCCGCTAGCAACTTCCAGCCGGATGGCCTCGTTGGAATGGCCTTTAAACAAATATCCGAGTTCGGCGATGATCCTCTGTTCCAAACCCTTGTCAGTCAAGGCGTAACGACTTCGCCAGAATTTGCGTTCAAGCTCAGCACCTCCGGTGCAGAGTTGTTCTTGGGTGGCGTCAACCAGGATAAGTACACAGGTTCATTCACCACCAGTCAAGTCTCCAATACTGTATGTTCTCTCCTATTCAATTCGGTGTTTGACGTCAGGATTGACACGCGATGGTAGGGTTTTTGGCAGATCAGCATGGATTCCGCAGATGTTGGCGGAGAAGCCGTGGTCGAGAACTTGTCTGCTATCATTGATACCGGAACCACGTTGATTGTCGGAGACACACAGAGCGTCTCTGAGTTTTATGGCTCCATCAGTGGCTCTAAAGATGCTTCACAGACAGTAGGCAATGGCTTCTTCACCGGTAACTTGCTTATTGTTACTTTCGTTATTATTGCGTCGTCTGACCTATTCGCGCGTTCTAGTTCCTTGCGATAGCATTCCCGATATCAGTTTAACCTTTGGTGGAAAGGCATTCTCGATCAGTGCAGATACTTTCAATCTAGGCCAAGTTGAGCAGGGTTCATCTGATTGTGTTGGCGGCATTGTTGGTCAAGACGTTGGAGGTAGGCAATTTTTATCAGCTTGAGCCTCTAATGCCTAAAGTCCCTTTTCAGATGCCTGGATTGTGGGAGATGTTTTCCTCCAGAACGTATACACCTGTGAGTCGTCTGATTCTAATTGTGACGCCTTTTCTGATGATGTCGAAGCATTCAACGTTGAGGACGAAACAGTGGGATTTGCGAACCTCGCGTAAATTGGTAGAAGGAGAAATAGCTGGTAGTATCTATGAAGTATATTGTACAACTCTATACCAAGTTATTTAAAAGTTGTTCGTCGTTTGGAGATATGGAAAACGCACCGTGATGATGTAGAGTCGGTTCCCAGCTCCCACGGCGGAAGAAGAATAGAACCGACTTCAGTCGCCTTCTACTTTTTTTGAGTACGTACGCGAGGATCGCCGCGCTCGCTCCTTTTTTTCAACTTTTCTTGTCGTTTACTGATTGCAGGTTCTTCCTCAGGGACGTCATTCGCGCCGGCCGCTGCTGCTCTTCCCAGAAGTAGCGGAGAAATAGCGGATGTCCACAGTTTGAATATAGCATATAACGGAATCTGATTTGAATAGTTAAAAAAGCGAAAGATATGCGGTACGAGATGAGAGGCGCACCACCATGTATAACCACCAAAACCATTCACCAAAAGCGCCGCTTCCGACCTGGCATGCCCCTACCGTATGTTCAACTACGTGTCACAAGAAAGAAGAGCAGAATGAAAGACTTGCATGTTATGTATACCACATCAAAACACCACTCGGTTACGCCAGGCTGACTGAGATCTTCACCATATGACATGAGCGTGCCGGTCGTTGGATCCCGCCTGGTCGTCCCAATTTTTATGAGGTAGTTGGAGAGAAAGAATCCCGGAAAGAACGTTGCGATATATAGACCTAGCGAAGTTTTTGACGGAGGCAAAGAACTCCTTCTGAACAGGAAACGCAAAACGAAAGAGAGGATGGTTGGAAGGAATAAGCCGATTCGTAGCTGCTTGACTGTGATTTCATTTTGGCTGGCTTAATACGCAGTTAGGACAGAAACAAAGGGTAGAAGGCAAAAAAAGGGTACCGATTCGTTTTGCAGAGGCGTTGGCCATGGCTGCCACGAAGGAAGACGGAAAGAAGCCGTGTTATGATCGTGCCGGTGTTGGCCGTTCGTTGCCTTCTGAGGGTAAGTACTCTAAAAAGGCATGGTTCAACGCGTGTCTTGAACAGTAGAAGAAATTTGCAGCACATGTCTTGAAGCAGCAATGTGTACGAATACTCCCGGAAGCGACTCTGTGCGAATTAACAAATTTCTCAGCCTCACTGGTGGAGGATTTTATTATTACAACTACTGATGCGATGCTATGCGACGATGCTTTGTCTCACTAGCGGACGTCCGACTCCACAACTTGGCGTCGAGTAATTGGCAATCAAGAGCCCTGAAAATTTAGGTTACGGGACTGGTGGCCGGTTATCAGCTCATCGTACAAAGTTCAAGCGGAAGTACAGCCCGGCATTTCCCCGACGCGAAGGCCGGAACCAGTTGTAACAGAAATTAGACAACGGGAGTGCTCCGTGAAACAGACATAAGTAAACAGGCCTTTCTTTGTCGAGCCTAGCTCGACTCGTTAATTAGCACAGCATATATATGTACACCTGTCCAAGAAGCCTTTACTCATGATGGTCACAAAGTACTCAGTAATGAATTCCATCCGGTGCACCACCGTATTGCCATCGTTCCGATATATTATTTCAGCTTAACGGAACCGATATTTTTATTTCCGGGGTAAAGAGTCCTCCCTTCTATCCCCCACATCCCTCTGTTATGGCATTACATGCACAGATATTCTGTATCCGATTGCATAAGATATTATAATACGCAGCGCTCGAGATGCCGATCGAGCCAGCAGTTCGAGGCGCAGTTACCCCTACCGATGGCTCGGCGTCTATTGTACGTTGGGCGGAATATATGAATACGGCAACAGATGAGACAAACGGACAAAAGAAGGGCCAGGAGCGGGAGGAACTTGATAAGAAGGCAGGAAAGAATAATAATAATGGAATTACGCGATTGTCATTGTCGCCACGTGGGATCCCAAAAGGGGAAGCAGACCAAAAAAGGATCTCGCTGTTGAGGCGGAACACTCGACCTAACCTTCACGACCTGCGACGATTTCTCTTTCTCTACTTTATCTTCTAACGAGTCGACCGGATTTTCTGCGATGAAGTCTATCAGGAAGTCCCTCAATGGGCACAAGGACTCAGTTCGCAACCACATTTCAACCCCCATCCCACTGCCCTCAGTATCCAAGCCCCCTACCTCTATTATGCCACCCCAGAAGGTCATCAAGGCCATCTCGCCGTACAGACCGCAGGCACCACAGGAGCTGGCTTTCCAGAAGGGAGATTTCTTCTACGTGTCGGGCGACCAGGGGTCTTGGTATGAGGCACATAACCCTGTTACTGGTGCTCGTGGACTTGTTCCAAAGACGATGTTTGAGGAATTTCACAAGACTTCTTCAATGTACGTTTCTCTGTTTTCCATCGATTTATAGCTCATATCGGTACTAGGCACTCCAGTCCTCCCACTTCTGCTCCGGAAGCTGTATCACCATCGAGCACTTTGCCAGCCCCCAGCAAGATGAAACCGTCAAAAACATTCTATGCTGTCGTCCTACATGACTTTGAAGCCGAGCGTGCTGATGAACTTGATGCTAAGCAAAACGACAACATTACTGTCGTTGCACAGTCTAATCGCGAATGGTTTGTCGCCAAACCCATCGGTCGCCTGGGTCGTCCAGGCCTTATACCCGTCTCCTTCGTCCGGATCCATGATCCAGCCACTGGATTGCCGGTTCCCGATGTTAACGCACTCATGGACGGTGGAGAGCTGCCTAAAGTCGAAGACTGGAAGCGTGCCATGTTTAATTACAAACAAAACAGCATCTCTCTGGGTGTCATCGACTCGCCCAATAACCGTGAATCTGTTCCCAACAGTCCATTTGTCACCCACGCTCCGCCACCCACTAATCCCCTACCCAATGATCCCGATACCTACGCCCAAGGCCTACCGCCTCATCAGCAGCCTCAACCCTACACCGACGAGCAACCACAGGAGCCGGAGTGCCTCCCTGAAGGTATTCTCCTTTCTGCGGATGTAGTCTCGTTTCACTATGAAATGGACGAGTATTGGTTCCGAATCGATGCCATCTTCCAACCGTACGCTCCTTTAGGAGAGAAGCAGCTTCCACCGGCAAAACACTTGATTCTATTTCGGATATACAACGACTTTTATGACTTCCAAGTCTCTTTGCTGAACTCTTTTCCACAAGAAGCAGGTCGCGAAGAGCCTAATTCGCGAATATTGCCCTTCATGCCCGGGCCTGCCACAAGTGTCGATGACACTCTCACGGCGACTCGGAGAGCTGAATTGGATGACTACTTGCACCGCCTTTGCAGTTTGAGCAATGATGGCGCAAAATACATCCTGGAACACCGTGTTGTCAGGGAGTTCTTGGCACTTAAGCCCGGTGACGTCGAACAACCGGCGGAAGCGAGAGTTGGAGAGGTTGAGGCGTTGATAAACAACGATTTGTCGAGGGAAATTGAGGAATACGGAAGCGAAGTCCGTGATACACTCGGTCAGATGCGGATAGATGAATATGGCGACAAGAGTGATGGATCAGATTATGAGGATGAGGGGTATGCTCCCTCTCCGCCGCGCCAGGCTCAGGAGCAGCACTCATACGAGCGACATCCGTATGGTCCTTCCAATGGTCACCGACCGGCCGACGAAACGAACCTACGCCTACATGCCCATGCCTCAGAATCACCATCAACAGACCCAGTCCTCGTCCTCACTGAATCGTGCACCATCCCCATATGCCTCCAACTCGCGGTCAAACTCCCCCGTTCCCGATCGCAGTCACTCTCCTCAATATAGTCAGTCGCGGTGGAATTCAACCACCTCGCACCATGCTTCTGCGTCAACATCTTCCTTGCGGAATTCCCAGGCGGGCACCGGTACGCGCTCCAGATCACACTCTACGACGACGACGCCGGCGATCTCCCACACGAACCCTCAGACTGCGTTCGTGAAGATCAAGATTTATGACCAGCATTCAGAGGATCTGATTGCGATACGAGTGCATCCCAAGGTGACCCGCGCGGAATTGATGGATAAGGTACAGACTCGGTTGGGCGCAGGTGTTGCGGATCTGCAATACCGAGACAGTATGACAAACCAGTTTGTGTGGTTACAGGACGATCTGCAGCTGAGGGCTTGGATAGAAGGGACGGACAAGCATGTTCTATACGCTGGTTAGCCGGTGCTGGGTGAACGGTAACTGTCACGAGACTTTGTATGCCCTCCTCATTTGCTTCTTTTCTCTAAGTTCTTTGTCTTTTTGCTCCTTTTTATTTCCTTCGATTTCTTGTATTTCTCTTGAACTATAGGTATACGTGTAATATGGCTACATTGACTAGGGCTATTACTTTGTTCTCTGTTATGATTCGGTAACTTTGTTGTGGATCACAGCACAAATGTAGGATGTTTTTGTATCCATCTAAATGTAACAGAGATGTGATTTTTCTTACACTTTAGCACTACTTACACTGCGCCTTTTTGCGACTTTAGCACCTAAGCTGTCGTGGATGATGTCATCACTGACATGTGACTTTCGAGCGGCCAGAGTCGGTCGTCGCCGTATTCGGCCTTGACATCGAACAACAATGGTCTCGCTACTCCGAACTCTGCGCAGTGCGCGCCGGGTAGGCTTGAAGGAATGGTGGAGGCAGATGCAGTACATTGGCGATGCCAAATCTGGCACATATATCGGCAAGGACCAGTAAGCTACCTCTCAGTACCGGGACCAGGAAGGGCGCTGACGATGGCATGCAGGTTTGGAAACAGGTACTACGAGAACAGGAACGCGGAGGAGGAAATTCCTGGTGTGCCGAACTTATTTTCGAGCATGTGAATGTTGCACGCTGACACGCCAGACAGGTCGTCACCGATGGGTAGACTATGCTCAAGTACGCTGGCCGTCATTTCTAGTTAACAAGCCGCTGATTGTGTTCTGCAGCACTTTTACCAAGCATCACAAGTACCTCCCGAATGGCATTCGTGGATCCAGCACATCCGGAAGGATCCCCCGACTCAGGATTCTATCATGCAGAGCTCGAGGCAGCCATGGCAGCAGGTGGGTGCAGCTGGAAGGTGACGCATTGATTCGTTAACGATGAACCTTACTAGGAATGGACCGAAACCTTAACTGGAACCCGTGGAGCGTACAAACCGTACAACACCGCCGCTCCCAAGATAAATGCTTGGGAACCCAAAGTGACCTCCCGTGGTTAAATTCATTCCGTATCAAGAAAGCAATTTTACATTCTATTTTTTGAGCAAACCTTCTACCACGTATTCTGCCAATGCCATACAGCTGGTCAAACCGGGGCTTTCAATACCCAGAAGACTGATCATAGGGTTTTTCGCACTCCCATCCGACCTGATCACGAAATCCCGGAAGCCACTGCTTGGCGGGGCAATTTTAGGTCTGATTCCAACGTAGTCTGTTTGCATTCCCTCGAGAGATACCCCCGGTAAGTAGCGAGTGACGGCACTGTGCATCTCTGCCAGCCTTGAGCTATCTGGGACGAGATGTTGTCTCCAAAAGTCAACTTCTTCATCAGGTCCGGGAGAAAGCCATTCAAGGTCTGGTCCAAAGCGTACTTTGCCCTGCAAATCGATAGTAAGATGAGTGCCTAAGGAGTGGAAGGCGTGTGCGTTGGGACCTGTCTCTGGACATGGGTATATGAGGTGGGAGATTCCAGTGACGCCCGGGCCATTATACGATGCATATGAGCCTCGTGCAAAATACATTGGTATATGCTGTTGGGGTGGGAGTATGGAGTTGAGTATGAATGGAGCCGAGAGACCTGCTGCATCGACAAGGGTATGCGCCAGAATGGCATCAGGTTCTTGTGCATCACCGGTTAGCGTCTGTACGACCCAGCCGTCTTCTACTGGGTCGACCCGAATGATTTGGGTAGAATAGACCGAATCCGTGATATCCGATTCGAAACTTTCCATGAGCGTGTGAGAGTCTACGATTCCGGTCTCGGGACACCAGAGTGCGGCTGCTATATCTGGAGATATGTTCGGTTCCATGGAACGAGCTGCGTCACCACTAATGAGTTCGGTGGGCAGGACAGGTCCATGTTCATGGAAATATGGAGGTGGCTTGAGATTCCGGGCTTTGGTATGAAGGTTTTCGATGTACGGTAGCTGGTTATCATGCGCAACGACTATCTTCCCGGTCTTACGATGGGGTATGTGGTGGGAATTGCAATAATTGTAGAGCAGCTGTCTGCCGCGTAGGCAAAAACGCGTTTTGAGAGAATCCGGGGGATAATAGAGACCTGAGATACTTTAGAGGTATCCTGGCAGATTCGACCGCAATTATTCACCAGAATGTATTACTTCCGAGTTTCGAGAACTACGGTAAGGCCGTTAGGGCAACGCTAGTGCATTTCCACAGAGTCGGACTCGCCTGGTTTCTTCGCCTGGGCGTTCATGCCTCTCTACGAGGTAAGTTGTCTTCGAGGGAAGGCTGCGGCACAGATGGCGCGCTATTGCTAACCCTACGACGCCTGAGTTTCCTTCAGTGTGCGTATCACTGATAATTGGTCATATATCTTGCCTCCCCCTACCACAAGGTGATCCACGGAAAATTCAGGCGCCTGGTAGACATGAGAATGAAACTCTTCCACAGCCAAGCAAAAATACCTTGAACTTGAATCTTGCATTGGTATTTAGTGCCGCGGTGATTCCCCGTACTGAACTCATCGCAAGTGAATGTTTGATTTCAAATATGTTCTCCCACATTCGGAAGGGATAGTGACTTTCCGATCCGTGCCGAGTCGCTTGTCGAAGTAGTGATACTACTCATGCTACGTGCAAGGAAATTATACAGATATGTTTACCAACATTCAGAGAACACTGAAGCTGTTCGTGGAGAAGAAAAAAAATTAGCACTTGTATCCAAACCCCTAACACCTCAAGCTGATACCAAATAAGTCACAACACTGACCTGAATTTTCAGAACTTCGTCACGTCCATCTCGCGCGTCCAATTCCGAGTATGGCCATGGCAGTATGTTTCCGTTTCTGTATTTTTTTTTTCTTCACGAACTTGATAATTCCTGCAGTCGTCGTGTTCCCGTGCTATCCGCCTTTCCCTTCCGCGCTCCCGGTCAGTTCCCTTTTCTCGATACCGTCCTTGCCTCATAGTTTCGTTGCTAGACATTCAATACTCTCCACTTCGCGAAGATGTCTGGCGACAGCTACAGAACCGGCCAAGTCTACCCCACCACTACCACCGTCGACTTCCAAGGACGCAACGATAAACCGCATCGTCGATGACATTTCCGGTTTGACCCTCCTACAAGCTGCTGATCTTGTTACTCTCCTCAAGGTGCGTCAGAACGCTACTTTCAACTTTTGCTGGTTTTTAAGGACATTGTAGTCGCGCCTCAATATCCAAGAAATTGCCATGCCAGCCGCGGCGCCTGCAGCAACAGCAGCGCCCACGGCTGCCGCTGATGAACCCGAAGCAGAGAAGCCCAAGGAGAAGACTGTGTTTAACGTCAAGCTCGAGTCATTCGATGCTGGGTCCAAGCCAAAGGTCATTCGGGAGGTCAAGGCACTGGTGCCAAATCTTACTCTCATAGACGTGCGTCCTCGAATTTTTTCCGTATCCAAATGCTTAACGACGCATCTCTTTCAGGCAAAGAAATTCGTAGAATCACTACCCAAGGTGCTCAAGGAGAACTTGCCAAAGGAGGAGGCGGAAAAACTCAAAGCGACGTTCGAGGCTCTGGGCTCAGTCGTCACCTTGGATTAAAACTACTCTCCAGCTCAGGGAATCTATACAATCATATAATCACAAAATTGCGCGTCCGTCTCATTCATGAGATACAATGAGGTTGATATATATATGTCAACGCGAATAAAGCACCTTGGCCTAAAAGGTCAAGAAAAATGAGGAATCATGATCACTCTTCCGAGAGATAGCGATACTCGAAGCGGAAATCGCTCTTCTTCCTTTGACACCATGACCCTTCCCAGTCAAAGTACACGTAGACTCCTTGTTCATACTCTTCCGTTATAGCTTGGGGTTCGGAGTGTCGTTGGAACCAAGTCAGATACTTGACATGGAATCGCCATGACTGACGCTTCAGTTCCTTAGCCGCAAGATATCTGGCGATAATGTCAGTGATGGACACTCAGAAAAGAAGCTAACCTCACTGTTGATATGTCCCTGGGAGGAAGTAGAACACGTAAAACAGCGTCTCCACATCTAGCTGCGAAAATATGGCAGGAGTACTCAGCAGAGGATGCGGTGTCTGGGGGTAATACGACGCTGTCTGGTAAGGTGTTCTTGGGACATAGTATTTAGGTCTGGCAAAAAATATATATATCAACATAGTAAAGCAAAGGACATCATAGCATACTTCTCAGTGTCCTGTGGCTGAGGCATGCTTGAATAACCACCCTCGAGCATCTTGTGCACGTTATCATTGTTCGGCACACGCAGAGCTGCAGGTGACATGAGCCGGCGGGGGCAAAGATATCAAAGCATCACGCACCTTTCTGCTTCACACTCTCAAACGACACTACTAAATCTGAAAGGGAGCCAGGGAAGGCACCCGGAGCGGCCGATGGCCTGTGTTGCTGTTGCGCAGAGACTGTCTCGGCCGGGACTTTGACGCCAGGAGGAAACTGCGGTGCTTTCGCTTGTGAAGGCAAAGGTGACGAACCAGACATCGAGGGTCCAGGCGCTTGTTGAACCTGCTGCGGCAGAGGTGAAGGTTGTGCTTGCGTCTGCGCTGAGCCATTAGCGGTCTGGTCAGAGGAGACTGCTAGTGCATGCTAGAGACATGTTAATATTAAAGTATGAATAAAAAGTCAGGTCTATACCGATGCGCTGGGTGACTGGGCAGCCGCCTTGGATTCAGACGCGGACTCTATCGACAACGTTAGATATTCAAGCCTGACAAACGATTTGAACACACCTATTCGCGTCGCTAACATCCTTTGAGGCGAAGATGTGGCTGCAGGGCCGTCAATTGAACTTGGTACGGCTTCTGACACCGCCGGCGATTCCTGACTGGAATAGAATGACCCATCGGGCTGCTGTGAAGCAGCGGATGATAACATGGGGCTCGTTACAGATGGATGCGTCAAGCTTGGTGACGATAGAGTAGCCTGTTCCGAGTGCGATGATATTGGAGGAACGGCCGACAACGGAGGAACATTTGATGTTGGAGGCGGCACTACTGTCGTCGCTGGCGCTGATGGCGGCGGAGGTAGTGGTGCTACTGCAGCCGCAGCAGCTGTTGCATACCGTATGGGCGGTAGTGTAGCTACCGGCCGAGGTGTAGGCAAGCCCGCCTTCACTATACTCGACATAGGCTGCTGAGCAAAATTCGGATTTGGAGGTGGAGGCTTTGCTACTGGAAGAATTCAGATGATGAAAGTGTAGATCCAAAGTATGCATACTGTCCACAGATTGTTCTACGAACAGAACGTTTCAGCTGACATGCCAATGAAGCATTGTAAACAACTTACTCCGTAGCTGTATTGTCGACTTCTTTAATATTGGACTTTCGTGTTGTTTGCTGCTTGCGACGCTTTCCTCATCGTATTTCTTCGGCGTTCTTGGCGGTAGGTCCACTGCGACGTTTCTAAACCAAGTGCCCAAGATAGATGTTAACTTGTAACATTACCTTCGCTGTGTCCATCTGATTCGTCGCTGTCGTCGTCATCGCCCGCAGGCAGACCGAATTTCTCTTCCTCTTCGTCTAGATTGAGTTCGTCATATATGCCCTCATCTTCATCGAAGTCTTCTTCCTGTATACATTGTTCCATTTCAAAACTGACAAAGACAAACGCGACCCAACGAACCGTATTGCTTTCCACGAAATATGACACATCTTCATGAAGCTCTGCGACTTTCTCTGTTGTCAGGGATCCGTTCTGTAGGAGCCGTAAAACAAGCTCCAGCCGACTGACGTGCCATTTCCGTCGTTCATTTAGATGCTCGAGCTCCTCCAAGCGACCAGCAGTTGACGATGCTTTCCCTCTCTTTTTACCTGCGCCTTGCAGAGCCTCGATCTCTGCCTCCGCCTGCTCAATTTGCATCTGAAGCTCTTCGACTTTGCCTTGTAGCCATAAGGTCTCCTCTTCCTTCTCCTGTTCCTTAGGGTCCAGCTTCGCGGCTTGTATGAGACCAATTGTAGAGAACGCTTTCGTCTTCATCTCTTTCTCGCAGGCTTTGAATTTTTCCATTTGCTAAGGGGCATGGTGGCATCAGCATGATGAAGTACTAAGATCTTAAACGACGCGGTATTCTCGTTTCCATTACGAGGAAGAAGAACACACGGAAAAATAGATGTAATGCAAGGAATTGCTCACCGTTTCAATCAACTTCCGGTTCTCCAATAGCTGTGACTTGTCTTTAATGTCGTTGCTGGCCACCCAAGTCTTGATCTGGTCCCGTAGCCGCTGCAACTTCTTTATCTGCGTCTTGAGGTCCATTTCGAGCTTCTCCTTCTGAGTCTGGTTTGTCGAGGCCTGCATCTTCTCGTATATACTCTCGAAGAGGTCGACACCTTCGGAGACCTTTTTCAAGGTGCGGTCGATTTCGGCTGAGATAAAATTAGCATACACACTATTTTATGGCAGAAATATAGCCACTTTGAAGTTTCCGTGCCGCCATGGCGAACACACGCGAATATCCTGAGCTGTGCGAGTTGTACGGGTGGTCAAGCTAGGTGAAAGAAGGTAATGCCAAATACATGTAAACCGTGACGTTGAACCCGTTTTGAGATCAGAGCCGGCCCTGAACTGACTGATTAGGACAAACCCCGACTCGAACATCATCTGGACCACCGTCTAAATTTAAAGTCGCTTTATTCGACTATCAGTAAGTAGCACGTAGATAAATAGAAATGGCGGAGGTTGGTGCCCTCGTTCCCTTCAAGGCCCACTCACAGCTCTTTCTGCCAGTTTCTGGATCCTCAGCTTCGTCTTTTGACGTCCCTCAATTTCACACCGCGAGGGAGGCGCAATATCACAACTTTCTTGCGAACGAACGATTACGTAATTGACGAAGAATCAACCAAAGCATTGTTATTCTTGAACTGGATCTCTCGATCCTTCGTCCGTGACGCTGGTGGTGACTCTAACTGTGATCAAGTATCAGTCGCCGCATCTCTTACAATGGATTCCTACACGCTCTACATCGCAACGAGTCGCGGCGTGGCCGACGAAACAGATCATGAATATTCCGATCAATTTCTAGCTGTTTTTCACGAAATTTTTGACGCTCAGAAGTATTTGTTGGCCGCAGGGCAGCAGGTGGTCGCATACCAGGATGCGATAAAAGTCATGAACTGCATTGTCGATCGGGTTTGGAAGCGGTTCCTCAAAAAAATTGCCGTGTTGAGAGAAAGATTCCTCGCGAACGGAGGGTTTGAAAAGCTAGATGGCCTTGTTCGCGCCTGGTTGTCCTGGCGTGCAACGAAGAAGAAGGGTGGAGAGAGATCCGCAGACATTATCGCCCTCTCTCCCCATTATACGGACGGGGATAACCACGCGATGTTCAGAAAAGTTTTCGAGGTTATTCTCGATGAAGAATACGCTACACAATCGTATCAAAGCCGCGAACTGCGAGTTGAATACTTCATAGGCATTACCAGCCTATCCCGCGCTCTCTTCAAATCAAGCTTCTTCCGAGATGGGTGCCGTCGCGATTTTCCCGAAGCAAAATCGTCCTACTTCTTTCGCCAGACGGTCCGTCGTCTCTGGAGGGTACAGTTCTACTACTCCGGGGCATTGTATTTTGTCGGTCCTTGGATGAAGAGTTGTCGGTCTGCCTTCGCAACGCATGGGGGCTCGTTCTGCAGCATCCTATGGGTGGGAAGGACACTGCCAAAGACAGTTACCTTTCCAACTAGCCTACGCGAGACCCTCGCTTCTATTCTCCGCCGTCAGTCGGTTAAATTCTCGGAGAATGACCTCGACATGTGGTTTGAAGCAAGAAGTATGCCGATTGTCGACTCTGCTTGGAAGGAGGGAAGACCTCGAATACTTCGTCCACACCCAGAGATCCAGATCATGAATTTTCTCCGTGGGTCGGACATATCGGTGATTGGGAACACTGTTGGGTCGAGCAAGCGGATGTGCGAGGTCTGCGCCCTCTACGCCGAAGTTTACGAGGAGATTTCGAGCTGTGCGGTCAGTTTCGTGTTTACGCCCCGTTATGTTCCATCCACGAAAGTTACTATCGACAACGACTGGATGCTGCCAGCTCCTTCAGAAAATGTGACCTTCCAGAATGAGATGAATGCGGTTGTAGACCGGGTCATTAACAAGTTTTCGAGTGAAGCTGACAGGTTGTTCGCTACAAAATTCTTTAATCACGTTCATCCAAATTCCAGCATGGAACCTTGGCGTTATCGTGAAAGGTTATCACAAAATTACTAGCACCCTTTCTTCGCGGAATGTAAACGAAGTGCTCAGATTTTAGGAATGTATCAATTGAATCCCAGGATATTATCTAGACCGACCAGTTACTAGAAAGCGCAAAATACTACACTGAGTAATGTATGGAAACAAGGTGGACATTGTATGGGTTTTCAATGGATACTAATGATATATGGCAGCTAGACAACCATATCTTACCGCCGTGATCATAAACTGAGGTGGCTACGTTTCCTCAGTTCCTGAAAAGGAGTATCAGACTTTCTGTAGAAATTCTCATAAGTACATGTAGTACTACTAGTGTTAGCGCAGATTTCAATGACAGGTCTTTGTTTATTGTGACAGCAACCAGCAGCCCGGTCGGCCCGGACAAAAGCAAGGCTTTGCTCTTCACCTCCACGACGCCTCTTTTCTAACCTCTAACCTTGTCGGAGTACCACACAAATCTTCCAGAATAACATGCGCATAGTATGGAGTGCGCTCAAAGTATCACCGATGCGTCTGAACGCGCAATATCTGCGAATTTTTTACTACTAACAAACCTTTGCAGCTCAAGGTGGAGATAACTTTGTTGGGTGCAACCGCTATTCGTCGCTTGTTCTCCGCGGTACTTTCTGTCTTACATTAATGCACACCCCGATTTTCTATCGGGATCATCGTCGGAATGGCTGTATGACAAACTCAGTTATTGACTCTATCTTCGGCCGAGTAACATGTCGCATATTTCCCTTTTTTTACTTGTTATGTAAAGCTACTTACATTGACATCTTTCAGGAGACCTATGCAGCATATTGAGGGTAAGAAAGAAATACCTTTCTCTCCGTATGTTTTCCTGCTGTCCGCAAATCGGTGAGAGTGAAGATGAGTAACGGCGTAATAAATCTCATCGTGCTGATATGCTTTTATATCGAAGGTCAGCAAATGACTTCACATCACAAGGTATTCCATTTACACAGACTTGCTTCCCGGCGAAGGCGCGTTTCTCTATCTTGTTCTGGTCTGCTACCGTAATATTGTTATCAAAGCAGCTCATCCATGTATCCTGTACTCCCTCGGACATCTGTCTACGAAAATTCTGATAACTCCGTCTGGATGCGCTTTCCTGCGCCGACCAAAGGTTCGCGCTCGAGGTTCGAAGCGGTCCATGTAACTTTTCTCCATTTCCGATGAATTTGGGAGGTTAATAATCCGGCAAGCCGCAGCGGGTTGGTGCAGCCTAGGAACGTGTTCGTCCGGTCAATAAGTCTGGGAGCCGCACCAAGTTGAGTTTGCGCCTCTCGATTCCAGATCTTCAGCGGGCGTGCCTCCCCTCGTCACGCGTTTCCTGGTTCGAAGGAAATAATAAATTTAGGATTGAAAATTTGTACTTCGTCAGCGGCACCACGGAGAGCATTAGCTTGAATCACGGCATGTTTTTTTTTCCATGGACGAATGGATGGGATAATAGCCTCTAGCCGCCCACGATTATGCATTTATTCTATGCAAAGATTTATTGGACCGTGCCTCAAATTTCTATAGAGAAGGCGCATGGCTTCGGAGCTAGCAGCTTGTACGTACGCGCGCCACTTGTATCTTCGTATGTACACTTAGCTTCTTTGCATCAGGTGCTGCACATCGGGCGACGCTCAGCTCAACCCACGCAAAAATATGCTCTTCTCTTGTACAATCCATCCCACGGGATCAAAGTCTTAAGCTCTCCTCATTTTCCTGCATTCCAGGCTGCTGCCGTGAGGGGGGATTAAAGCGTTCCTCCTGGTTCTTGCGCTTCGATTACTACTTTTTTGTAATCGATTCTCGTGCGCTTCCTTCCGACAACCCACGTTATTAAAGCCGGCAATCCAGAGTGCATACTGAATCGTGGCAACCTTTTCCTCCATCTGCTTTCATCCGTCCCTCTACGCTATTTTTTTTGTTCATTCTTCCTACTGCGCAATATCAAGCTAAAATGTCAAGCGCGCAGGTCAACCTGGTTGTGGACAACACGTAGGTGCTGGAGGCTGTTCACCGGTCCAGACTCACATGTGTTTAGAATGGGTGCCGCCTTCATCGGTGTCATCATTGCTGCTTGGTATGTCAAACTGTTGTCGTAGTGCTGAAAACTTAATAACGGAATTTTCGCAGTCTGTACGGGGGTAATAAATTTGTCTTAGGGTCCTCGGGAAGCTGGTTAATCGATTTTACAGTGTCCTGCGTCCAGACGTGGTACTACTTCAATCAGTATCAGAGCGTACGTATATGCTTTTCCTATGTTCAAGAGGCTTACTAATTCCATTTTCCTTGCAAACAGGATGTGTGGTACATCAAGTGTCTGGTAAGCTTGAGCCACCCCCGTCGCATTTTCAACTTAAGGATGGCTCTCCAGGTCGCGGTAGTCTGGTTGTTCGATTCCATTCATCAGGCCTTGATATCCCACACAGGTAAGGGGTATATTGAAAACGAACACCGGAGGTATTGAACGGGCACAGTGTATTACTATGTTGTCACCAACTTCAGTAAACCAGCAGAGCTGGAAAATTTGGTTTGGTGAGTGCTGGTCTCTTTCCCCGCCACTCAGTGCTTAACCTTTTGCAGGAGTATTTTGGTACGGTCGGCTTTATTCTACGAAACGTCAAGACTGACACTTGGCCTGACTGGTCATTTGCTAGTTGGAAGTTTTATTCAATGTGGGTTTTTTGAGCTCTCCGGTCGCGCTTCCTGTGTCTGACGATTCCGTCTTTTCAGGGATTCATTGGTTTCTTGGTCCAAAGGTTTGCTTTCTGTCCGCTCCTCATTTTATTTTCCTGATATACCTGCAGTTTCTTGACAATGCGCGTTTGGCGTCGTACGTCTCGTAATTTCATGAAATCTATGCTTGACTGAGGATGGTTACAGTAAGCAACGAAAATCGTCCACTTACCGCCGTGATCGTACGTTTCCTTTCGGGTGTACTTGAACCTCACTGAAAATTCCCGATATTTTCCAGGCTGCTATGGTGTTGGCGGAGTTCGGTAAGGTCCCGTTAACATGTGCTTCCTCGCCTCTACTGAACGCGTGATCTCTAGCATGTTCTATCGGTATGTACATCTGCAATGTTTATTCCATATTCTGACACTAACTTTATTTGCAGCATTCACAATTCAGTCGTTAGTAACTATCCGCTTGAATCATTGTTTGTATGCTAACGGCGTTCCTAGTATGGGGCTTTCCACCTGGGCTGATCTGACTCACATGAGAGTGTGTTCGATGCTTCTTGCTTTGCACGCTATACCTAAATATCCTGTCAGGGTTTGTCGATGACCGTCAACGTCGTCGGCGCGGTATCGGACGTTCTTATAGCCGCGAGTCTCTTTTACTTCTTGCATCGTTCGCGGACAGGCTTCAAAAAGTACGTTTTTGAGTTGACGATTCATTGTCAAGGCTGATCCTCCACCTGCCATAGATCGGACACGATGATCAGCAAGCTGGTGGGTACTGTCAGCATTGCCTAAAATGCGCTCCTCGTGTTGATCATCTGTACAGATTTTGTTCAGTGTCAGCACGGGTCTGATGACCAGTATATGCGCTGTAGCGTCGCTCATCACCGTTTGTACCCTTCGTTTTTGGGGGGGCTATCCTTTAAATTGACCTCTCTACCAGATCCTAATCTGGGGCAAGACTCTTATCTATGTTGCTTTTTACTTTAGTTTGGGAAGACGTAAGTATCCGCCTTTTTTGAAGTCATAAACTCTTCCTCATGCCGCATGGATTGGTCTAGTTTATTCCAATTCCGTACTCGCCACTCTCAACGCCCGGAAGAGCATCAGAGGCCTTTCCGAAGCGGGCGACACTGGCGATTTGACGCATTCTCTCAACACTTTCAAGACCGGATTGCCACGCTTTGCTACCACTGCGGTATTTTTTTTTCTTTTCATGGAACTTTCGGAGACTCAACGACCCTTATCTCTAGCCTCGTCAAACAAACATTTCTATCAAGATCGATACCACGCAAGAGTGTGTGCGAGACGATATCGGTGAGGGGTTGGATGTACGTCTTTTGCCGCGTCATGTTTCGTTGTGCTGACTGCTACTTCTCTGTACAGTCGGCTGTAACTGAAAAATCGGAAAAATCATTCAAAGATTCGGATGAAGGCATTCATGCGCCTCACGACCAGCAGTAAACGCTCAATTCTCGCGGATTTTAAGGACACTGAGGAGGAATTTTGGTAGCACAGTGCTGGTCATATATAGTGGATTGGACAGTTTCTCTAGCACTCGCTGGCATCTTGATTTTCTGTACTTGTATTTCACTAGTCAGGAAGTTGTATCAAACTCGAATATTGTGTCAACAAACAAATATCACCGCTTCTTTCGGACTTGCATGATCGTCACTGCAGAGCAACTTGTCTTTCCACACTTGGCGTTCCAACAGTTTTCGCAGCCGAATGGTAAAGCCATGAGGCAACTGTTTGCCTTCTTAGCCTATTGAAGGCGTCGCAGATCAGTGTGACCCATAGAAATTTCTCGTTTCCGCCTCGTGTCGGAGATGTCCGCCAACCTGACGACAAGATTTTCATTAATTCTTCTGTTTTTAACTCGCGGTGCGCGAACATATCAACAAGGTTCGTGATTGGCCATGTTCGGTGCTTGATTCACCAAATGGGATAAGAACCGACCGTTAACATCGGCCACCAGTCATCGTTTTTCTACAGAAAATGGCCTAGGGTAGATGCAGGATTAGGTTGTCGTGCACACTGGAGACGGGCCAGCGGACAGGCCTTCAATAGCACCTGTTAACTGGTGGTATCATACGCTATGCCATGATTGGCTCATCAACCGAACCGTAATGCGGGGCAAAGGGACGCCAGAAGCCGTGGTAGTATCGTAACCACACGGCCTTCCTCACCCAGATAAGGTAGGCCGACTAACGATTACCGCGGGCTTCTGGACGCTCGTATCAGGATTTAGGAAGTTTCATAAGACTCGGTGCCATCAACCGTGCATCCAGAACGGTCCTGTCCAATTCAATACCCGCTTCAGTCCGGACGCGTCCCACATTTTTTTCTTCCTATAAATTCGCCAAGTTGGCACCCAACATTCCATATTTTTCACGCTCTTTTTTCGTATTTCTCGTATTCTATTTCGCTATGGCCTTCACCTACTTTGTCCTCCTGGACCTTTTCTGTGCAGTTACCACTCTTCTCATCATCCGACGCATTCTTCAACCCAGGCCCTCTGCTCCTCTTCCCCCCGGTCCAGCTGGTCTGCCACTTGTGGGAAATATCCTTGACATGCCTATGGACAATGATTGGCTCACTTTTGCCAAGTGGGGTGAAATATATGGTCAGGAATAGTCCGAATTTATATCATTGAGTACTCATAACAATGTTTTTGTAGGCGATATTTCCTCCGTCACTGTCCTTGGCCAGACGATGATCATTTTGAACTCTGCCCGCGCGGCTGTCGATATGCTTGACAAGAAGAGTGCGATCTACTCTGACCGGCCTACCCTTCAAATGGGAGGCGAACTTGTCGGCTGGAAGAACACTCTTGTTCTGCTGCCCTATGGCGACCGGTTCCGCCGCTACCGCAGAATATTTTACAGCCTTATCGGCTCTCAGGCGACAATGAAACGGTACCATCCACCTCAAGAACTGGAGACGCGCCGTTTCCTTCGTCGGGTCCTTTCCAAGCCTGAAGAACTTGCTGCTCATGTTCGCAAGTATGCGACATTTTTTTTTCTCATCGAACTGTACATTGAACGTTCTGTAGAACTGCCGGAGCCGTCGTTTTGCGCATCTCTCACGGATATGAAGTCAAAGAGAACGATGATCCATTCGTCCGACTTGCAGATCAAGCCACCGAGCAATTTTCGGCTGCAACTAAAGCTGGAGCCTTCATCGTGGACCTGGTTCCTGCTCGTAAGACCGTTCGTGATTATATACAGATCTCCACACTAATTAGCGGCATTTCTCCTGCAGTTCGGCATGTACCTGATTGGTTCCCCGGCGCGGGATTCAAACAGAAAAGTAAAGCTTGGGGGGCCACGCTTCAGGAAATGGTTGAACAGCCACACAATTTTGTCAAGCAACAAGTCGTCGGTGTCTTGGTTTCTACCCGTTCTTCTCTGTGCTCAAACTTCTCTGTGTGATCCTAGGCTGCTGGAACGGCTGTTCTCTCCTTCACTTCTTCGATGCTGGAAAGCAAACGTCTAAGCGCCGAAGAGGAATTCGATCTTAAATGGTCTTCTGCGTCTCTATACAGCGGCGAGTTGTCCAACTTTCTCTGATCCATATGAGGCTCATTTCAACACAGGTGCCGCTGACACTGTAAGCGTCAAATCCTATTATTAACGGAATTGTATTATGACCAAGGCCGCAGACCGTGTCTTCGATATACGCGTTATTCTTAGCGATGGCCTTGTTTCCTGATGTTGCCAAAAAAGCTCAAGCGGAAATCGATGCCGTCGTAGGCAATGACAGGTTGCCTACATTCGCCGACCGTGAACATCTTCCTTACGTCGATGCTCTCGCCAAGGAGGTTTTACGATGGAACACCGTCGTCCCTACAGGTATGACACTCATTTCTTCCGCGGATCTTTGTCTAAAATTTTATTTGCACAGGTGTCCCGCATCGTGTAATGCAAGATGACATCCACACAGACAGCAAGGGAAATACTTATTTCATACCAAAAGGCGCTCTCGTCGTCGCAAATATCTGGTTAGTCGACGACATTTCTGGTCTCCGTCTTGACGACTGATTTACGTGTCTGTGCCTGGTAGGAAACTGACCCACGATTCGAAGACGTACACGAACCCAATGGAATTCAACCCGGACCGGTTCATTCCCTCCGAGAGTAGAAAGGCGGAGCCTGACCCTGGCCAGTTATGTTTCGGTTTCGGTAGACGGTTCGTACCTTGTTTCTGTTTTGTGTCGTCCAATATACTTATACTCGTCGTAGCATCTGTCCAGGTAGCTCTTTGTCATTGATTTGTTAGGATGAGAATATGTCGCTCATTCTCTATTGAACAGGATTACACCTCGCCGACGCATCGATTTTCATATCGTGTGCGATGTCCCTGGCAGTGTTTGATATATCCAAATGCGTCGAAAATGGCGTCGTAGTTGAACCTCTTCATGAACAGACTTCGGGGACGATAAGGTACGTCGTTGAAAATTCTCCTTTGAAACAAATCCAACTTTCATACTCAGCCACCCAAAACCCTTCAAATGCGACATCAAACCGCGTTCTCACAAAGCAATTTCTCTTATTCAAGCCGATGAGATGATGTAGTTGATCTCCTAACAGTCGTTATTTATCTTGGAAGAACGATGTACAACTGAATTATTTCGTATCTTGTCCTTGTTTTTATAACATTCATTATTGTTCGATATCTTATGTATTTATTGGCCGGTTTTCACAATGTGCGGTATTTAACAATGTATTACAGCCATTCTCGATTTATGCAGCTAGCGAATGGAAATTCCATTGGATGGAGGTAAAAAGAAATAGGTATAATGCAGCTCGCGCTCTGGCGGACGTGTCGTTAACGTTCAGGTTCGGGTCCATCAAACCATAGCAAAATCTCAACCCGCGATTTTGCCGTGGGTTTGCGTCCTCGCTCAGCGTAAAAGCTAGAGCTAAAGTCAGCATGATCCAGTAAAGTTACAGCCATGATGCACGATCCATCGACGTCTCTTTTGCCCTATCAAGCCAGAGACAAGCGTGGATGTGAACGAAGGCTTCGCAGACGTTGTGCAACGAATGTATCAGTAGGAAATGGTCAGAAGCCTGTGGGAGCACCAGGGAAAGACTGGGGTTCGTATTCCCAAGTCCAAAAATGGTACATGTATGTAAAGGGCGGGACTTGTCGGTTCTAACTTTTCTAAGTCGTGTCCGATCCTCCAGCGCCATCCACGACCTTATTTTCGCCTTCAGTTGTAGGCATGGAAACCTCATTCTCCGGAAGCGGTGTGGCGGTAGCATCTACCTTCCCGTCTTCTACCACCGCCTTGTCCCCAGCTTTGTGGTTGGGAGACGGGGCCGTCGAAGAGCGGTTTTCCGCAGTAGCTGAAACGGGAGAAGCCCGTCGCTCTGGATATCGAGTAGAAGGTATTTCAGGCAAGAAGTGACCGTGCTCGATGCGATCATGTGCTGAAGGTGTCCCAATCGGGGTGGGCCGGATCGAGCTAGTAGCGATGCTATCTGGACGGACGGGGGATTCGACAGGTTTGAGCCCTCTGTCTTCGAGGAGTAGCCGATTAGCTGTAGCCTGAATATTGGACAGGAAGGTGGGGTTTGAGAACACGGCCATATCCGTGACCGCCCGCTCGACAGTGGGGTATCTGATGGAAGAGTCGGTCCCTGGTGGCGGAGCCAGAACGGTCGCAAACTGACCTGTCAACTTCGAGCATTAGCTCGCGCTGTACGGTATCCTGAGGCAGGTACTTGAGTTTCTCATCGGACACCAAGCGGTTCTTGATGTAGGATTCTATCTTAGATTTAAATTCATTGATATCGACACCATTCTACAGTGGAAACAGGGATGAATAATTCGCAAGTATTACGGTGAAGCTAGGAACTCACACCTTGCTGGAACTCACTAAGCAGCTCACGTCTCAGCCGATCAAATTCGCCGGATTTTTTGAAACTAGCGGCAAACTCGGGTTAGTTCCTTGAAAAATGGCCCATTGAGAAGGCTTACGCATCAACAAGTTGGTCGGGATTGACTATTGGCATGAAACAAGTACGTAGTACAAATCCACAAATCCACAAGACGCAGTGGTGGTGGTGGTAGAAGAAGCGAGTCGTGATCGGAGATAAGATCTTTATCAAGATAAGATAAACCTCCCCACGAAAAAGTTACCCAGGAGTCCCTTCTGCTCTTTCCACGTCACGGTTTTGCTGCAGTTCATTCATGGCACCTCTACAGTTTCCTCCCTTGAAAAATGACCTTTTACTGCGTGCAGCTCGCGGTAGGACAATTCGAACTCATGTACCTAAACAGTCCTAACTCATTTTCAAGGCGAACAAACCGAACGAGCCCCAGTATGGATTATGCGACAAGCAGGGCGCCATCTTCCAGGTTTATTTCACCCATGAATGCGCTGGCTGAGGCCGTGACACGGATATTTGTTAGAATTTCTGAAAGTTCGTGAATCGCATGGATTCTTCGAGATTTGCCAGACCCCCCAGCTCGCATGCCAAGTAACCCTCCAGCCCATTCGCCACTACGCTTCTCTCGTAGATGCCGCGATCATATTCAGTGACATCCTTGTCGTCCCACAAGCTATGGGTATGGAAGTGCTCATGCAGCCAGGCCCTCACTTTACACATCCATTGTCTGTCCCGGGGGATGTCGACAAGCTGAACAAGGTGGTGGACGTGAACAAGGAGCTCAAGTATGTTTTCGATGCCATCACGCTGACGAGGAAGGAGCTCGATGGCGAAGTGCCTCTCATTGGATTCTGTGGTGGTCCATGGACACTGTTTGCATATATGATAGAGGGAGGAGGGTCGAAATCATACACGAAAGCAAAGTCGTGGCTCTTCAAGTACCCTGAGGAATCGAAGGCACTACTACAGAGGATCGCCGATGTTTGCGTTGACTTCCTTGTTGGTCAAGTTCACGCCGGAGCCCAGGTGCGGTTCCATACTTGAACCCTTTCGTGCTAGCTACTGAACGGAATTCAGCTTATTCAAGTATTCGACACGAACGCGGGAGAGCTATCACCTTACGACTTCTACACATTCGCGTTCCCTGTCCTGCAGCACATCTCCAAGAATGTTCGTCAGCGATTAAACGCTGATGGCTATGGTGGTACCCCGATGACACTCTTTGCTAAAAGTGCAAACTATGCTATTGCTCATACGGCCGAACACGGAGGCTACGATGTTATAGGACTCGATTGGTGCATCGATCCCGCAGAAGCAAGACGGTTGGTGGGAGACAAGGTCGCGTTACAGGGCAATATGGATCCCGACCTGTTGTACGGTGGTAGAGACGCCATCGAGGCATACGTGAAGCGGATGTGTGAAGCTTTTGGAGGTTCCAAAGGTTGGATTGCAAACCTTGGACACGGTATCACACCTGGTGCTGATCCCAAGGACGTTCGATGGTTCTTTGAGTGTGTCCACAAGTATTCTGCAAGCAAAATGTCATGATGGTAAGCATTTTAGATGTACCCGTTCTCACTCCAGCTCTAATATGCGTGTATAACAGAAGGTCTAGTCTCCGCATTCATCCTAAAAAACCCAAGCCCAGTATATATACAATTATGCAGGTATGTAAAAGGACCAGAAGCAGCCCAGATGTATGTATCATATGTGTGAAATAACATGTCATAAATATCGTGAGTGCAGGTGCATAGCGACCCTTTATCATTGAGTTTTCTTCGACTGAGGTGATGACAACGATATTGAATCACCATTGGACTCGGAGGAGGATTCATCGAGGGGCAACGATATATCCGATGACAGTACTGGTGTCGTGTCGCTTGACGATAGGGTGTCACCATTCTCACTGGGTGTCCGGCTTACACTAGTCGGGCTTGATCGACCGGACCTAGCTGTTGTCTCTGCCAGTTCCTTCCGCAGGGCTTCAAGCTCCCGTTCGAATCTAGAATTGACACTCGTCAGTTCACGGACGGACTTCACGGGGTAACAGGACCTACTTCCGCCCGAAGACCTCGATGTAAAATCCGCCGCCATTCCATACGCTTACCGAAAAGATAAGGATAAGGTACACGCCACTCCAGAACGAGCTATCGTATAGGAGAAATACAGCGGGTACTTCTGTCAGGACGGTGTAGACTAGAAGATGATGACATTGAATATGCAATTTACAGATTATCACATGCAAGTCACTTACCAAGTTGGCCACCCATAAACACCGCTTCGCGGTATCCTTGGGGAATTGAAGATAGGGCGCGACCGATAATACCCCGTTTCTCATTCAACAGGAAAGAGAACGACGTTGTTCGCTGCCCGGATTCAATCTTAGCTCTGCGATCTACCAAGACAAACTTGTAGCCGCCGTTAAGATGCTGTCTAGCGAGGATATGCGAGCCACTCACTTTCCAGTATAAAAGTTGCCAGATGACATCTGCGCTAAATGTGAGCAGCGACTATGGAGCATAGATGATATCACGCACAAAGTCCACCACTGAACAAAATGGCTTTCATCCGATCAAGATGCGGCAGTTCAGCAAGGGCTGGGAAGCGTTCTTCTGCGTTGGGGTAATAATGTCTACATCATTTTTGTTGGTGACCAGTATCAAACGTACTGTGGTAGTGAGACGCACCGTATAATAGTAAATGTAAAGGGAGCGTAGATGTGGATGAAGAGCGATGTGACCTTGTCCTGGTCATGGAACACGAGACTATTTCTCCATGTTATAACGGCGCTTCCGAGAGTACCCTGAGAGATACAATAGCAGGCAACAAAGAGAGCAGGACTCGAGGGAAAGAACCATATGAAGACAAGGTTAAGGATGGTGGCATAATAGCAGAAGTCGAAAAGAAAGTAGTGCCAATCGCGTTTCTTATATGTATAGGCACGCAAGGGTAGGAGATAACAGCCTTGGATGGTGTATGCAATATGGACCCATCTATGAGCAAGATAAGATATTAATACATATATGCCACAACATTACGCACTGGGGAGCAAGACCAAACATAAGCGCCGAAAATAACAGCGACATGACACCAAAGAAGAACGACACTTTTTCACGAGTCCGAACGACCTTTGCCGACTGCCATGAGTTCGACAGCGACGCCATGCGGGTGGAAATCTAGGTCCCTAGGTCAAGCCCCACATGTATCGACAACGGAAAACAAAGTGGCGCACCTTGAGCTTGAAATTCTTGAACTCGCGTTCAAAATTCTCCGCCAACACGTCGCCCGAAATGTCGCGCATTTTGAATGTCTCTTCTGCCTTCAGCTTAAGCCTGTCGCCATGTTTCTGCAGTTTTCGCTGGAGGAGATCGACATGGGAGTCAAAGTATGTTTCCATGGTGTCTGAAGCAACGTCATGTAAATATTGATATTGAGCAGCCAAGAATAAGGCAAGATGCACCTAAAAGCGTAAACGCGCTGGACCAGTCCGACATCTCGTCGCGTACTCCTTGAAGGCGTTCCAAAGAGTTGGTGAGGTACTTTTTACCCAGAGGCGGCGAAGGTGGCCTTGAAGACATAGTGGCAGATTATAACGGCTGGCTTTGGCCAGGACACAATGCGTTGCCACTGTTGAAGGTCACCAATGTTAGAGCCTTTGGTAACTACAGACAAATACGACTCGGATGTCGGTCCGGAGGCAAGTTCCTCTATTTGGCGTGAGAGGACAACGTGGCCGCCGGCTTGCAAAGCGCCTATTAACTTGGACCATATTCTACCCTCTGCAAAGTACAAAAATGCTAGGAAAACTGGGTATGAACTGTTCGTACAGGCAATCGCATCTGGCTAACCGATGTCCAGTTCATATTGGAATCGACGCCATCATCATCAGTGCCTTTCTCGCAGGGGTGAAACGTACAACTGGCCTGACGTACGTTTACTTCGCATTCAAGGCGTATCTCTTATAAACCTCTGCTTCCGAAGGCCTGCCCTAGGGCAAGTTCCGAACAAAGATATACGACGTATGTTATCCAACGAAATATGTACTAAATTTTATGTTGAACCCTTTTGACAGAGCTGTTGCGCTCATATCTTGAAATGGGTGCGTAGCGAAGTACCATCTATTCTCTTTTCCTGATGCATCCATGTGCCGTAGGCGAGTACACGCTCGACTTTGCGGTTGTCATATTCGGAGTACGAGCGTTTTCTTTAACGACCTGGAAGAATCTTACATCCCTTAGCGATCTTCGTCCTTTGAGAGGACGCGTTGATATCATCCGGCCCTATACACGTTCGTCTCTTGTTACTGTCCCATGTAAGCCTTCTTCTGCACACGATGAAGCTCCATCCGACCGACTCATTTGCAGAATCACCCATCTCATTATCGCTCGCAGTTGTACGTCCCCTTGTAGCACACGCCATCAAGCTATATATACTATCTATATTCTGTATTCTCATTAACGGGAATGTAAGAGTGGGGTATTCTCCACGGTACATGCCAGTGTCCTCGATCAATATTACAAACATGGATCGAGGGATTTGGTGTAGATTCGAAGCGCAGCCGAGGCAGGCTCAAACGACTGATTGGAACGATAGTTGATTGTACTCGCACACCTTTTGAGATGAAGCTTATTCATTTTAAGGGTACAACTTCATCCCAGGAAGTTGAAAACAAAGAAATGCAGCACTATGGAACCTAACGCAAAATCCGCAAATGCCCTGGGAGTGGCTATAAGCATAAGGTCATAGCACGAGAGGCAGTAGCATACCGTTCGGGAGATACATCTTTGAATTCATCTTTGTTCTCAGGGTTGACTTGGGAGCGCAGCGAAGCAGCTAGCACGAATTGCCCCACAGTACTTGAGAACCTATTGTTGCAAATGAGGAGTTGCGAGGGTATGACATGCGAGTGAGACAAACCCAGCCAGAAAAGCATTGAAAGGAAAGTTGGTAACGAGGATGCAGTATAGGAACTGCGCAATGCCAGTGAGCATCAAGAAGACGAGGAAGGCATCGATAAAGCGGAGCCTGTCAGAGGTCTGCTCATTGTATGATTTCCAAAGTGAAAGAACGACATTCGAAGAAGCCTTGGGAGGTGTAGGACTGGCTTTAGGCGGCATGATGGTATTGACTAGAAATGCGCGACGTGGAATTGGCAACTCGAGTCGTGATCGAGACGCTGTTGCCAAACATACGCATCTCGGAACGGAAGGGTACCAAAAAAATTCGTTCAGTGTCTTCACGGTGACCTCGTCGTTGTTTCTTTTCCTTTAAGGCAGGCCAGCCACCGACCATGAGCACATTGCGACTGTGTGTTAACGCGTTACGGTCATCCTGTTGTCGCCCCAGAAGATTACAATACGGCTACCTCCCTGCACGAAATGCCCATGCGCGCGTTCCACTAAAGTACCCTATCGAGGCTGGCTTGGGAGAGTTCCTACCACCAGCGGCGCTTAATGTCGTTGCTGTTGACTACCAGGATGGTTTGTTGAAGCAGCTGAACGAGGAGACTCGAGGTGATTATCAGGTTCATTTGGGTGATGATCATTCAGCTAACTGGCAATTTCCAGGCTCAGAATATGAGGGAATGTCTGTGGTGACTACCCTAACGACATCTCTCGATGACCCGTTCAACATATTAATATCCAATCTCGCAAGCCTGGCTATCAATAATCACTTCTTCCTTGACCACCTTGTGCGTTCATTCATCCTTAAACTGAACTCCTCTAAACGTAAATTGTATATACAGAAACCCCCACCGGCGAAAGGTTCGACACATCAAGATGAGATGTCCTCCACCTTGCGCACACAAATAACGGATCAATATGGCAGCATAGCTCAGCTGAAATCCACTTTTTCCGCGGCTACACTGGGGATGTTTTCGTCAGGTTATGTCTGGCTTGTCACGGACAGTGCCGGTAGAATGGCCATACTCCCCACGTTTGGAGCGGGTACACTTCTGGTCCGGTCCCGACAGTACAAAGCCCCCATGGACGATCTCAAGGACCTGGACTTGAGACGCGACGAACTTGTACCGGGGGAACCGTTTTATGACGAATATGTGAAGGAAGTGGATGCAGAATGGGACAGGTTGGCGAAGGAGGACGAATTGACTGAGGAGGAAGCGCAAGAAGAAGTTGACCCAGAGGGGCTGAAGGAAATGTACAAGCCCCTGCCAAATGAGCAGCTTCAGGCGTTCACTCCGGTTTCGACCTTCAAGCCTCCATACAAGAAACCTTGGCAACCTGGAGAACGTGAATTACATACCAGTGCCAGGACATTAGCCATCACGGATCCCTCATCGAGGCAATCCTCCAACTCTCACTCAGAGGACTTCTCAAATCGGCTCGACCCGGGCAAAGACGACATTAATAATCTCGGGGACGTGCTATACCCGCTTTTCTGTGTATCTGTTCATGAGCACGCTTGGATGAGCGCTGGGTACGGAGTGTGGGGAAAGGAGGAGTGGATGAAAAAGTTCTGGTCTGTTTTGGACTGGGCCAAGGTTAGCGACACGTACGCTAGGGTTGCGAGTGGCACAAGTGCCAAATTTACTAAAAGGTCATTGCCCTAATATCTCGATACAGTATCATTTTCAGTTCTGTAGACGGAGGATATTAATACTACTAACTTATTATCATCAGAGACCAATCCAGCTCAATTTTTTTTTGACCAGGGAATTATTCCGGACCGAAGTCCGGTTGTTTGGTTCTGGCCTCGTGCTCAGCTGAACTGTTTGAAGTACGATCACGTGTCCGACTTCAACTTCAACTCTTGACTTCAACGTCAGCAAACGCGATGGAGGACGTCGGTCGCTACGGAACAGTTTCATTACTCGACGCGTTCACTGGCAATGCCATTACGGCCTTTGGAATCGATACGTCTCCAGTGACTTTCGGTTCTGACCCCAGCTGCACTGTCCGACTTTTCTACCCATCGATCAGCGCGTCTCATGCCCACATTACCTTCCATGACCTCAAAGCTTTTCTCGTTATTTCTGGACCTACAGGAATTGAGGTCGATGGCTGCAAAGTATACCCACCGAGCACGATACCCTTGCCGAACCGCACAGAATTCAGACTCGCGGGGAAGCGATTCATGTTTTCGTACCCACCAAAGGAGATGAGGAGAGTGTTGATAGAGAGCCCGATCAAACCGAGAGCAATCAGGATGTCGATGGTGGCACGAGCAGTGATAGACTCGCCGCAGCCTCCAACAGGACTCATCAAGGATCTAGGAGGAGGAGAGTGCGTGCTACTTGAGGATATCCCTCGGCCTCCGTCGCCTTCCAAAGGGCCACCAAGCTTGCACAAAAGAGTCTTGATGAAGAATGCGAAGCAAGCTGAAGACGAAATGGAGGAACTCGAGGTCGCGGGTAGGCTGGTTGCCGCTAGTGACAGCGAGAGCGAAATGAGCGTCAGTGAAGGCGGCGACCAATCGGAAAGTGATGAGGAAGGGGTGGCACCGAGTGAGCCTATGGAGAACGTACCTTCTTCTGAAGCGGACCCAATGGAAGAGGAGATAAACGATGAAGACGATGTCATCATGCCTATTACGCCCAAATTGCCTCCGACTGCTCGTTTCTCTTTCTCTTCACGTCCATCGCTTGGCGGTGGCCCACCTCAGAGGCGCCAGCTTCCTAGAGAACCACTTAACTTTGCTCTGCCTGTTGCAGCTCCTGCCACACCCCAAACTAGCGTGTTCAAGAAAGAGCCAGCCTGGACGACCCCCAAACGCAAGATTGTTTTGACTGCAGAGGAGAAGAAGGTGTGTACATCGCCCGACTACTTTAGTTCTGTAATTCATACTTGGTGACATAGGCAATCTCAGAACGTCGTCGCTCTGCCCTTGTAGCACCCGATCTTTTCTTTGCTGGACGCGTTCCTGGTCTTTCACCCCCCAAGAAAGCATCTGATAATAATCCCTTTGCCTCTCCTACTAAAAACGGCCAACGTTCCACTCTATTTGGAGTGAGGGAAGAGGTGGAGGAAGATTCCAGGGTACTTCTTGAAAAGATGCGCGATGCTGTGGAGGATTTGAAGATGCGTAGGGCGGTGAAGGCTGAAGAAGGGGAAAGAAAGGTGGACCTGCGCTTCGTTAGGGATCAAACCATTGAAGCAATTGATGTTGACGCGGAAGGTTTGACGCTGCCAAAGACACCAGCGCGAGCCGCGTCTCCTGCGAAATCAATATCAACGACACCACTCGCTGCTTCGCCTTCCAGACCGGCACCGGTGACTCCCAAAGTGGCTTCTCCTGCCAAAAGTCTGTGGCCGAGATCAACTTCACCGACCAAGGTGGTTGTGACTCCGCGGGTCTATCCTGAGCTGAGTTCGCTCGTTCCTACATCACCGATGAAGACTATTCCCCCGTCACCGGCGAAGACTATTCCGAAATCGCCATCGAAGACCACGCTTAGGCCTGGATCTCCTATTAAGGGCACCTTTAATACACCGATTCGAGCTGCATATCCACTGAAGAGAACTTTGTCCACTCCTCTTACACTAAAGACACCTAAAGCTGCCCCTGTCATCGAAGCGAAGTCGCCGTTGAAAATCACCTGGCCCTTCAATCGGAGTGCCGAGGATCATGAACAGGAACATGCTATGGATGGAGAGCCTATCATCACCCCTGTGGCCTCTCCTACGAAAGAAGCTACGACCATCGATGTCAGGGAAAACGAGCCCATGGAAGAAGAGCCAACAGCTGATAAAAACGTTGTTTCGGATGTCCACGAGGTCCTTGACGAGCAGCCAGAGCCGATGGATGAATGTGTTATACCATCCCCCAAGGAACGTTCAATGCCAATGAAAGTCCCGACTCCACCCCCACAATCGGACACAGAGACGGAACCGGAACAAGAGCTAGACGAGCCTGCTCCCAAGAGAACCACGCGCAGCAAAAGGGTGCGCACACCTAGCCCTGAGGCTGAGGCTGAGATCGAAGAGGTTGCGCCACCCAAGAAGGCCACTAGGGGAAAGAGAGCGGCTACACCTACCGCTGAGTTACAGCCTATACGTACGCGTACCCGAACGAGGACGAAAACGGAGCCGGACGAGGAGAAAGAGAAGGTGAAAGCTACTCCTCGACCACGTACTAGGGCGAAAACGGAAGAACCAGAAGGCGAGGTTCCTAAGAAGACCAGGGGTCGAACGAAAAAAGCCGCTACTGAAATGGAGGTGTCGCATGACGAGGAGGAAGAGCATGTTGGGCATGTCGAGGCTGCTCCTAAGAAGGGTCGGGGCCGTCCCAAGAAAGTTGTTGAAGAGACTCTAGAAGATACCCAGGCTGTCGAGCCGCTGAAACGGACCACGAGGGGACGCAAGGCGACACCTACTGTTGAGGATAAGCCGGCGACTAGGGGGAAGAAGCCGTCGTCGACTGTTTCGGGTTCCACTTCTGATGTGGAGATTGTCGGGGAGACAAAGCCTGTGCGAAAAGGGAGGAAGAAAGTGGATAGTCAGGAGAAGGAGAATCCGCCGCTTGCTGGGGTGAAGGAGGAGGAGGAAGATGCTGTGCTGGGTAAGGGGGCGAGGACGCGTACTAGGACCAGAACCAGGACGCGTACGTGATGTAATAAACAAAGTTACTCTCTCTCTTGTACGATTATGCTTACTTTCTGCTGGAACTGTATACTTATTTATCTCTGACAACGTTTGTCCAGTATTTTCTATGCACTGATTTGCCGCATTGCCGATGCATCAACATGGGTAAATAACGCGTCCGCGTCGTCTAATAATAAGTAGTAAGGAGTTGTGGGTCCAACTTGGCCTCACGATGCAGATCGTTTCGTTTTGAACGTGAAAGTATCAGACAATCCTATGTATATCGATGCTACTGTCTCGGTGTTTCCGCAGGCCAACCTGTGCAGTATGCATAGACCGGCCCGAGTCTAGAAACCGGTATGCAGATAATGTGAACTTCTTGGGGCCATCATGTGAACTCTCGACGTACAAGTAAAGAATCGATTGCGGTAGGGAATGTTCTAGCAATGACTGAAGCTCCTGACATGTGTTGATAGATCGTCCCCAGGTGAGTATGTAAAGTTCAAGTACCGTTCCTTCAATCTGCTGAAGTCTTCCGGTCCTTATATCTAGTTTGTATAGATTTTTAGAATCTATCACATCCGTGCTATAAGGCCCGCAGCTTCTTGAGCTCTATGGATAATTTTGTGGAAACTTGTTTACGCAACTCTTTCCAAGGATATTTTGACCCTGGTTAACTTCTCCGTTATTCGGACCTTCACATTTTGTATTTACTGCGCTTTCTCAGGCATAGATGTATTGCTATGGGAAAATTCAATCAGAACTGCTGCATATTTCTCTAATAGCGTAGCAATAGTCCCGCCGCAGTCTGCTTGAAAGTCCACTGGCTAAAGTGTCCGAGTGTGATTCGATCTGATCCGGAACAGGGATGACTTGACTACCACTTTAGTGCATATCCGCCTAACAACTGTGTCTTCCATAACAACGGCGATCTCCTGGAACCAGAAAACGTTTGCTGGCAATATAGACATACCAGCTCGTCTGGTATGAAGGCAAGGAAAGTATTGCAGTAGAAAGGACCCAAGGCTGCATAGCTCGCTTAGAATGCCAGTGACATCATTTAGAATTTGAAATGGATCAGAGGGGCGGTGGAAAGAAACTTAACGGTGGAGGCTTGTTTGGCAGAGGCCATCACGATTCCGACAGGCCATGTCCCACCGCTTCCTATCCACGTCCCAGGAGGATCTTACTGCCGCCTCGCCTCCATATAAGCCACAGGCGAGCACCTCCAACCTCGAACAGACCCTTCTCGTCTCCCACGACGTATATTCATACCCACCAAGTCCTGCTTATCGCTCGCAGGTAAACATGGCAGAGGATATCGAATCTGTCCCTAGGGATACCAAGGAGAAGCCTTCAGTGCATTACCCAGAACATGTTCAGCCCCCAACGACCATGTACAAGCAGAGCGACGTGTCCCGTCCTTTATCGCTGGCACCAACTCTCACCGATGACGAGTACGACGATGACAATTACGACTGGAGCGGAGAGGAGGATCTCGTCGATGAAGAAGCCAAATTTGAGAAACAGATGGGTCTCAAGCAAAAGGATAAGCGCTGGACGTTTAAGCGGTGAGTCTGCCTCTTTGGGACCCGGTCGATCTCATTCAACTTGGACAGCGTCTTTACTCTTCTCTTTTCCTCTCTCATTGGATCTACATTCCTGGCTGGCGTCATTATCACTCCTGGCATTCTCATTCACTACTTCTGGTATCTAAACGATCCTTCAGAGCACCGTCTCTACGTGAAGCAAAACGTACAAGCATGGCTCTTCTGGGCTGCTGCAAATCTCGTCATTTCATGGTATCTCGCTCTCATTGTCGACATCATTCCGACCATCTTTCGCTTCATGGTCATGGCAGCCTGGGGTCACGTCTCCGAGGTTATAAAAACCCGGATAGAACTCTATTGCTCCGTCAAGAACACATTCAAGCCTGTACTCTACGTTGCCAGTGCCTGGGCTAGCTGGGTTATCATCTTTGGCCACATTTTCAATCTCTTCGACACAGATGATGCCTCACAAAGTCGTGCTTATTACACCGAACGGGTGCGTGTTCTCGTTGTTGCAGTAGCGTTACTAGTACTAAGTTTACCCCAGTTATACCAAGTCGTCGAATTCCTCTTCTTTTTTGGTGTCGTTGTATGCGCACAGAAGATGTTGTCGCATGCTGTTGCATTTGCCTTCCATCGCACCGCTTTCAAGGATCGCGTGGATGCTATAACAGAAGCTCTTCCAGTCATAGAGAAGCTTCGGGACTACAAACCCAAACCCCCGTCCCACAGCGGTTTCCGATCCGGTTTCCGTACACCAATGTTTGGTCAATTTGGTGAAAAGGATCGTTTTAGCTGGGGAGGGCCGCTTAATGATGACGGGGTTGATGGCGATACCGAAGGAGATGGTGATCGCACTGTCTTCGGGACAACCAGCAGGAAAGGAACCATGATGAGCAGCAAGGGCAAGCAACGAACGAATTCTTCCTGGTTCAGCAGGTCTCGGAATACCACGGGTGTAACGAATCGGGTCCAGTCTGAATCACCTGAAAGGATGCACGAGATGGGTACTATAGGCTCTCCCGGGGATGAGCGCCCTATGACGCCTTCGGGTTTACATCGGTATCCTCCTGTGACAGGTACTCCAAGTCCGCGACACAGCACTGATGGATCGGATATGAACGCTGGAGACACTATTGTACAAGCTGCTAAGGTACTGAAGAATGCAGTCCTGCACGATGCGCGGAATATCAAAGGTGATGACTCCACTTCTGGTGGAGGCCTTCTATCTGCTGGTTGGGTCGGCAGTGTGGATGAGGCCAAGGTAAGTAGACGTCATTGTCATTATGATGTGCTCCAATCTCTTGTCTCTGTAGCATCTTGCACGGAGTATCTATATCCGGTTTAGACCCCATCATGTCACAAGGACGTATCTCTTGCCTGAGGATTTCTACCCTGCCTTCTCCACTCGTGAACAAGCGGAGAAAGCGTTCCGGTTATTCGATAAGGATAACAATGGGGATATCTCGAGAGGCGAGATCAAGTCGACCTTGGTGAAAGTTTACAAGGAACGCCGGTTCCTCGCTCGATCTATGCGGGATGTCGGTGCCGCACTGAAGACCCTCGATCATATCCTATTGTTTTTCGCCATGGTGGTCCTGTTTTTCATCAGTTTGAGTATCTTTGGCGTGAACGTTGGTGACAGTCTGACGAGTGTCTATACTATTGGTATCGCTGCAAGTTTCATCTTCAAGAGTTCGGCAAGTAATGCTTTCGACGCGATCATGTTCCTTTTCGTTACTCAGTACGTCCTTTGCTTGTATCGCTTCCTTTATAGCTAATGATGGTTTATCTGTCAGTCCTTATGACACCGGAGACCGCTGCTTCATTGATGGTCAGTATGAGCACCTGTAATTATTGCTCGTTCTAATAGCATTGACAGATGAGATTTTGGTTGTCAAAAAAATGAACCTTTTTGCCGTACGCACAACTCTGAGTATCGATTACTATTAACCTCACGCTCTGTTCCCAGACTGTGTTCACCCGTGTCGATGGCACGGAGACATATTACTTCAACAGTCAGCTCTTCTCCAAATTTATGTAAGTGTCTTGCCTCGCCTTTGTGCTTTCAATTTACATACCTATTCTATTTGTAGTACGAATGTACGACGGAGCGATGTACGTGAGCTTTACAAAACTGTGGCTCGCTCATATTGACATCATCACTCCAGAAAATGTTTGAAAATCTTACGATGCAAGTGGCTTGGCGCACGCCTCTAGAGCTACTTGATGAACTAGAAGAATGTATGAATGCATGGCTATCAACAGAGGAGAACCGATGGTATGACCCAAGTACCTCAATCGTCATACAAAATATCGAGTACCAGCGATACATGGAAATTACCATCGGTATCGGGCACAATGGGTAAATCTCAAGGACAAATACAAAGACCGCGGTGCTGATCTTTCTTCGTAGTACATGGCAAGACTGGGGTCTCCGGTGTGCACGCAAAACAGCTTTCCATGCCGCTGTCCAGTACTACTGCCGGCAGCTCGGTATCGTAGGATACGAAGCGCCACTGCCCATCGTATACGGTGACCCTCATACGCAAACGTACAACCCACCACCTTCACCTGGTACTGGCGATCCGTACGACGGTGTAGGTATGGGTTCGTCAACGGAGAAGCTGCCCGAGACTGTGCACGTCCAGAATGCATCGCCAGTACCAGAACGAATGAAGCCAACGCTTGGGTTCTTGCCGCCTGTAGCAATGAGGACGGGCGTGAATATCCGCCAAAGGAAGAGTAAGAGCCGGAAGGCCAATATGAGGGGTATGGGAGACGGTTAAATGGTTTATTTTCTATGGTGGTGACATATGGTTTTGCATCTGTTTCTGATTTTTTCGTTGATGAACACACAACTACTTGGGTGAACTGGATTCACTTAGCTTGTTTACTTTAGACTTGTCGAATTTTGTAGACTATACCTTTCAAGTTCATACGTAGCATTTTAAACCTGCATAGCATTGGACGGACCATACTTTTGAATTTATCTTACAAATGCATACTTACAAACTCACACACATATACGAAACAATTACTGCACAGTTTATGCTCGTCTATGGAAATATCTGGACAATTGAACAGCGCGTTTGTAATAGTGAGGGGGAAGAAATTCAGACTCCTTATCGGAACGGACTTGGACAAAAATCCGAGGGCGATGATTATGTAATCTACCATTCGGCAACTTTCGGGCAAAGGAGGAGTTGCCATCGTCCATAGAACTCCCTCTACTTGATTCTTTAAAAGTGAGTACTGTCACTTTGTTGTCCTTATTTTTTTGATATCAACAGCTTTATAGGACATGGCCTCGAAAGCAGCCACCACAGCCGTGGTAGGTCGTGAAAAAAACATAACAGCCCATACAACGTTGACCCTACTCTCTCCAGGACTTTGCCCGTGTCTACTCATCCTTAGGCCTCGGAAAGGGTACGTCATCCCACTTTTTCATAGTAACAAATTCAACTAACAGCGCGACAGAGACCATTGCTTCACTCCAAGCGTTCCGGAAAAGACACAGCGAAGCACAACGCATCCACGCCCAATACGCCTCCCAGCCCACCACGGTCGACATTGCTTACTACCGCTCCGTGTTGAAGAACCAGGCTGTAGTCGATGAGGCTGAGAAGATTCTGAAGTCGTTCAAGCCTGTGACGTACGATGTTGGCTCGCACATCAATGCTATTGAGTCGTTCGAGGCCAAGGCGGTGGGTGATACTTTTGCGGGTGCCACTTGATGGGGATTGACTGTTACTCTAGGTCGCAAAGGCCCAGGAGACCGAGGCCAAGATTGACGTTGAGCTGAAGGAACTACAGGCTACCCTTGCGAACATCGAGGAAGCACGTCCATTTGACCAATTGACTGTAAGTGCTACCCGTAGTTGTGTCTTATATATGCCTACATATTCAATAGGTCAATGACGTTGGAGAAGCGCACCCCCGCCTGCAAGAAGTTGTCGAGACGATGGTCAAGAAGGGCAAATGGACGGTACCAGGTACGAACTCTCTATACCTTATTTATTTTCATACATTCTGAAGGTATATTTCCAGGATACAAGGAGAAGTTCGGCGACCTCAACCTCATGTAGACTGCGTAATTGTTGCATGGGTGTGATATAGCACATATCAATCTGAGAATTTCACCGCATGTTACCTAGTGTCTGAACTAAACACTACTTCCAAACGTCTTCAACAACCACTTCTGCACTACATCCCGTGCAATTTGCAGCCTGTTCTCTTCCATGAACATCATGTGTCCATTGCCGTGTATACCCACTCCGGCGAGATTGATATGGTCGACAGCGACGCCCGCTTGCACGAGGTAATCAGCGGTGCAGTTGTCGTATAGAACATGATAGCCGGACGGAGACGTGACCATGAGGACGGGTATGCCAATAAGATTCACTAATTGCCTCGCTGGAGGGGTCTGGCGATAACAGAAAACGCCCACAGATGTGTCGTGGTAAACCAAGTCTCGTACTAGTTCGTCCGGAGAATTGATCGGCGGCGAATACTGTAAGGGTGTCTCGGAGACACCGTACGGACGGGCAGCGATTAAAGGTGGGAACACGGCATTCATGAAGGGAGGACCTATTGGTTCTAATGCAATAACGGCTTGGACAAGAGACGGTCGAGCATCGGCTAGTATCCAACCATAGGAGCCAGATTGGGAATGTACCATGATGATTGCAGGCTAGGAAATTGTCAACTTCGATCTGGAAGACTATGATCCACGAAGGACCTACTCCAATCTGGTCCAAAAGCGCAGAACCCGCAACCTTGATTTTTTCAGAGGATTCGAGTTCTGATACGAGACTTGGGACTGTGGCGGCGTAAAAATTATCGAAGATGGGGTCTCCGACCCTGCCGGTGCCAGGCCATTGCGTATGAAGCGCCGCTTGTGGCCAGATATCATAGTCTTCGGTAGCCGTGAAACGGCTCTCAACGAAGGTGGTGTCAATAGTGGACTGGGGACCATCTATGCCTTGTTGCCAAGCGGAGCGTCCTCTTGAAGGCACATCTACGAGATACAGCTACGGCTGATAAGCGGCATTGACTACAATGAAATCATCTGATGCGTGCTCACCTCATAACCTTCTCCAAGAAAGTAATCCGCCCAACCAAGTTCACCATCGATGGTTGCAAGTAGGTTGGTTCCCGTCATACCAAGACCATGAATAAAGACAAGTGGGAAAGGCTGGGCGATTCTTGCTGGGATAAGGTGTTCAACATACATAGCTCCATGAGCGATCGTCGACCCATTTTGCGTTTCGTAGGATTGACCAACGTAAAAGTAGGAGCGAGAGTGCAAAACGCCCAGGCCCTTGACGCAAAGGCCTAGGAAAACAACGGTGAATATAGTCAGCATACAACCGCCTTATGTGCCTGAGAGACTCGTACTTCGCTTCGAAGGCAGCTGACTCCACAAAAGTCTCGCAGTTTATCGAATCCCATGCGGTGTTTATAGGATCGACTTCGACGCGAAACGCGCCAAATCGGCAAGCCAGTCCGGAGACTCGTGACTGCTACCTCGAACGGCGACAAGTACAGTAGTAGCACTTCAGACGCCCAGTAGGCACGCCATGGACAGTCATTGTTGGCGAGATGGTCGTTTGCAGTCTGGAAACAGGCTAGATGGTGGTAGTATCGAGACAAGGACGGGCGATGATGATGATCCGGCAGCCGGGTACCGTTCATTCATCATTTACTTGACATGTAAATACGACCTTACTTCCCCACTTACCACCATCTCCCTTTGTCGTATTCAGCGATGGCCTCGACTTCTTCTTATTTCTTTCGCGATCCTCAGGCTGTCCTGGACGATATAAACTATCAGTTTCAGCTCGAGCCCAGTACTTTAATTGGTCTCGCCAAGACTTTCCTCGAGGAATTCAGACTTGGTCTCTCAAATTATGGGTACCCGATGGCGATGATGTGCGTCGTATCAGTCTCTTTTATTCTATTTCTGACTGGAACATCAGTCCTACATTCGTCACCGGTGTCCCAGACGGAACAGAAACAGGGTAAGCGTCGTCCTTGATTGCCTCCTCACCCTACCTGAGAACAGACCTTGGCAGGACCTTTCTCGCTCTTGATCTAGGAGGAACAAATTTGTTAGTATTTCTGTTTTCTGGCGATGTGTTGCGATAGCTGAAAGCTTGAACAGGCGCGTCTGTGAAGTCGTTTTGAACGGTGACAAGACATTTTCCCTTAGGCAGCAGAAATACAAGGTCTCAGACACCCTGAAAACTGGAGAAGCTTCGGTATTATTTGGTCCGTCATCTACTGCCCAATCGATTCATCACTCATCCATCACCAGACTACCTTGCTGATTCCGTCGATGCCTTTCTGACCACCCATTCTAACGACTCTGTCCCATCATCCGGCGATTCCCCAGATGTCCTTCCCCTTGGATTGACATTTTCTTTCCCGGTTGAGCAAACTGCGCTGAATTCCGGGAAAATCCTCACATGGACCAAAGGTTTTGCCGCTAAACATGCTATTGGCAATGATGTTGTGCAGCTGTTGCAGGACGCATTTGACCGGAAGCACATGCACGTCAAATGCGTCGCGCTGGTAAACGACGTGAGTTCTCACTTATATAGTCCCCTGCGTCTGATTGATGTTCTACAGACTGTTGGTGCCCTTCTCTCACGTTCATATACTTCTGGCGGTTGTATGCTAGGGAGTATTTTCGGAACAGGAACCAATGGCGCATATGTTGAGAAGGTCAGCAACATCACCAAGTTGGGAAACTCTCCTGCGGTCGCAAAGGGCGGCGTAATGGTCGTGAACACGGAATGGGGCGCGTTTAACAATTCACGAACTCATCTTCCTTCCACTCCCTACGACAACACGCTGGATCGGCAGTCTATCAATCCCACGTTCCAAGCTTTCGAGAAGTTTATTTCTGGCATGTATCTTGGGGAAATTACGCGTCACATCTTGCTTTCACTGATTGACGCCGCGCCAAAACCCATCTTATTTGGCGGCAAATCAACGGCATCACTGAACAAGCAATGGGGCATTGACACGAGCGTGATGAGCGACGTGGAGACCGCCTGGGAAAGTACAAAGCACACAACGGAGAACCCGACACCCAAATTCTCCGACTTTAAAGATTCCGAGTTAGACGAGAAGACAAAGGCCAAGCTGCAGGCTATACGGTCTGTTCTTATTAGTCGATTAGGATACAAAGAGGAGGATGTTTGCCTTCGCGATGCAGCGGTACGATGTTTGATTTATTTTCGAAATAATGCTCAAAGCACCGTTAGATTGTGAAGTGGGTTTGCACACTCGTTGCTCGACGCGCGGGACTTCTTAGTGGTGTCGCCGTTGCTGCTGTCCTTCTACAAACCGAGAGGGCGACTTTTGCTGATGCCCAGACAAACGGAGTACCGGACAACTCGGATGAACACTTCAAAGTTGGTGTGGACGGAAGGTGCGTTAGCTATCTCTCTACTGCTCTAGTTTATTTAATAGGTATCGGTAGCTTGGTTGAATTCTATCCTCACTTCGAGAAGATCATGCGCGAATCTATTCGGATTATTGTTGGGGGTGATGTGGAAAAACGAGTGGAAATTGGTATGGCCAAAGACGGCAGTGGTGTCGGCGGTGCGTACCTTTTTTCGTGTGTAAACTTTCAAACCTCATGTTTCTGTGTTAGCCGCATTATGTGCTCTACAAGCTACTAAACAGCAATAAATCTAACTAACGGCATACATTGTCGGAATACTGTACTCGTATTAGAGACGTACACGTAAGTGTATTACTGTATTATAACCTCTTGGACATGCTGCTAGGGAACAAATTTATTGAGGGAGATTAACTGCGTCAATGCTTGAGATCTTGAGAGGTGGATTGTTTGCTCTAAACCCGGCAATGTCTGATCTTCCAGTGGCCGGGCTGCAGATGCCTGGGATTTGATACACATAATAACACATTCTCGAGAGTTCAGTTAACGCCGGTTCGTTAGGCTGCGTAAATATTTAGTATTTACAGTTCGTTTATTTACGCAAACACACTATGAGTTATGGGTATTTGGCCTTTTTGGCTCTCCCGCATTTCAATCTACTACCACCATCTCGAGTGCAGACTGAGCTGTGTAATCCTTTTTAATATTTATTGCCTACATACACCTACTTATAATCATACTATAGCTTGTCTTGACTCTTGATAGGTTCCCGTTTACTTTTTCATCTCTGCTCAACGACGTTGGGTATTTAAATCCTTGGTAGTAACGGAAAGTCACCAATTCATCTTCCTATTAAATATTACACGCAGTCGGCTAAACAGTACATTTAGCCCAAATCACAACCTAGCTGCTTTAGTATCCCCATCGCCTGATGATCCAGAGGATAAACACGACTTTGCAACGGAACGAGAAGCCGCCAACTCTGGTATAATCTGGGAGTCGTAGGGTCTTCTATATATATTGAACCTTGCGCGGTCGTTGACAGCACCAATGCGGTCGTTATCTAATACCGATCGCACGAATTCGGCAACATCTACAATCCTCGCGTCCTGGGTATCAACCTTGCGGTAAAAAACATAGAGATAAGCACACAGCCTGTTAAGATGGGAACAACTTTTGTTTACCGTTCCGACCTCGGAAATGCTATACTGGCCAATGCCTACAGTCCTGACAGCAACTGTTCCCGCAACCGGGTGTTGTTGATAAAGATACTTTAGAATCTCTCCTGAGATTGATTCTAAATCCCATTGACGGTGTACGGACGGTGAAAGACACAGTCGATAAGAGTAGTCGCCATCCGACAGCGGGCCAGTTAGGTAAAACTCGGATGTCTGCGGAGGGGTCGGAGTCATAATGGTCGAGCGAGGGACTCGCTCTGATTAAGAATGACAGCTCTTATACCACAAGGGTATTTTGAAACACAGCTGAGACTTTGTCGGCGCGCAGTAGTCACTCGTCACTCGTCGGAAATTTGGAGATCGAGGGCCCAAATAGATTCTAGTAATTAGTCTTTGAGACTGACGGTGAAGGGGAGAGATTGTGTCACCAACAGAGCGAGAATGATGTTGGGAGTCTGACGGTCTCATCGAGAGGATAGCTGAAGGATAGCTGAAGATCGTGTGATCACGGTGTGCCATCTTTGAGCTCCCATCACGTGGGACTCGCGCTTGACGGTTACGGAGGAGCAGACGGAGTCCGAGTCTTTCCTCCAACATTGGTCCTGTACCCACAGTTGTCCATGGCTTCATGAATTTTTTGTAGACTCGAGGCCAAGAGTGGTAGCAAATTGCTTTTCTTCGCGTGTAAGCCTTGCCTCACTTTGTTTACGTGGTAGCTACTCTGTGCGCTATCAAACAGCAATAAAGTTAACTGCCAGTATACATCATATCGAAATATTGTGCGCTATACTGTATCTGTGCTAGAGACGTACTCGTTGAACAAGCCGAAACGTATCAACAGTCGATGTTTCAGAGGATTGGTCTACTTTGATCCTAGCAACATCTGATCTATCAGTGCTGGGCTGCAGATTTTCCAGTTGATAAACACAGTAATCCGTCTTCTGTTTCAAGATGCTCAGGTGGATTGTTCCCACAAGGAATCAGCTTGCTGATATTTATCTTGTCGCTAGTATAAAAAACACATCAGTACCGTTGTCACTTGCATGCCGCCATGCTTACTGTCGCGTCTCTCCTTTGCGCTACCGCGCTTCTCACTGTTCCTGCAGCGGCGTCTATTACAGGGCCTGTTATCCAATCCAACTTTCCTGACCCATCCGTCATCCAAGTTGACGGGATGTGGTATGCCTTCTCCACAAACAGTGGGGGCTTAAACATACCTGTTGCCACATCCAGTGATTTTAACACATGGACTGTTACGGGAAAAGATGCGCTACCTACCGTAGGGACATGGAGCAATGGTCGGGACGTGTGGGCCCCAGACGTGATTCAACTGGTCAGTTCACCTTCGAGCCTGTTTACAGTATGAATCAAACAGTATCGCTTCAGGCTGATGGGAGTTTCGTGTTGTATTACGCGGCTCTTTTAGCGGATGGTTCTACACATTGCGTAGCCACCGCCACATCAAAGAGTGTTGCCGGTCCATATACACCGCAGGCTAATGCGCTAGCTTGCCACGCCAGGTCATCTATATTTTCGATTATTCAAGCTTAGGTGTACTGACCATTCCGCAGTGAAGGAGGTGCTATAGATCCCGCAGGGTTCACAGACGCAGATGGAAGCTTGTACGTCGTCTACAAAGTCGACGGAAACCACATTGGTCATGGCGGAAACTGCAACAACGGTGTGGAGCCAATCGTACCCACACCCATCATGATCCAACGCATGCAGGCCGATGGGATCACCCCCACAGGAAATGCCACCCAGATTCTCGACCGCGGGCAGTACGATGGACCGCTCATCGAAGCGCCCTCGCTTGTGCGTTCAGCCGAAGGCATCTATGTCTTGTTCTTCTCGTCGAATTGCTATGACGGGGGGTTGTACGATACATCTTATGCTACAGCCTCGAACGTGCTGGGCCCGTATACCAAGTCCTCCTCGCCGTTGTTTGTTACCGGAGACCCCTTCTCGAATCTGTATTCACCTGAGGGAGCTGATGTCACGACGGACGGGACCAAGTTGGTGTTCCATGCGGATTTGGGGACGTCGGCTGCGACGAGGCAGATGTACACGGCCGAAATTTCTATTAATGGCACGAAGGTGTCGATTTGATGAATTTGTATTTGGCAGTGCTAGTGAATGGTTGATCGAGTCGATCCTCAAAAAGCTACCTCTGAATTATAGCTGTGGGTTCCGCAGACTAATTATTGAGACTGACCATGTTTCAAATTTGATTTTGAACCTCCAATATTCGATGAAGCAACTAAGCCAAACCTCTTTAAACTGCCGCGTCATCCTCGTAAGCTTGTCAGCAATTAGAACCGACAAGTAAAGGAGCTCTCCATGCCTTGTATGCCCTCTGTATTGAAAGATTGTCAATGTTTAGAGACATGTTCCATAGACACCGAAACTGAGTGCGTTTCAAGCAGAAGGGGACAAACGCTCCATGCTCCATGCCATCGTCAACTCATTTCTTAGAGACATCTCCTAGCAGAAAAGGCTCCAGGGACGTCAGATATGTATCCAGCGTTTTACACAGATCAGAGACTAGACGTAGGAACGCAAGTGTCGTTTTAGACATTTGGCGAGAAGAACACCAAGGCCGCATATGGATCGACAGTAGGGAAGGGGGCCGCCAAAGGCGGAGAACCGAGGGTTGCTTGTGGTTATCACAGAGCATGAGATGATATGAGAACAGAAAAAAGGTTCCCCTTCAGATCCCGAAATGACCTTGGTACGCGACGCAGTCGCGGCGAAAGATTGGTAGCGACCATACGTATCAAGGTTTCTGACTGAGCATACGGAAAGACAAGTGTTCCTGTATCGTGATATGTGAGCGCTTGCTGCTGGTAGTCGCATCAATTTATAGCCCACAAGTCGCTCTTCCGTGACCAGAATACGATCCTTGCAGATAGTGACAAAAGGAAGTTCATGCAGAGAGCGCACCACGGAACAAGCATCATCGTCCGTCTTGCATCGGTTTCGGTCGACCCATTGTAGACCCGACGTGACAAAAACGACGATACCACCGCAAAAGCACCGCATGAGACAAGCCGAGCAGTTAGGCGGTAGCCGACAAGAACGGGGTTGGAACTTGGACCCGATGCATACCATGAGTTGTCGGAGCCGAGACATAAGGAGGAAATTTTTCCTATACAGTATTAGAAGCAACAACTGAGAGCATGATATCAGTAATGAATCAATCCAAAGAGATGTCGGCTATCTGCACAGTTGAGTGCCCCCTTTTCTGACAGGAAATAACTTGTATAATCCTGGATGGCAGGGCGTAGGTGGTGGAGCGGAAATGTCCACCTCCTACCAAAAATACTTGCAGGAAAAATTATATATCGTTGATCGGGTGACTGATGAAAGCTCGATACACCTTGTTATGTCCAGGCTCGTTTCAAAAGGTGGCTTGAACGGCTTGCAGATAACTCGAAAGGAAAGATTCGGGAATCTGCCAAAACCGATGAGCATCTAGTTTCAAAGAATTCGATGAACTTAACTCAAAGTTCAGTTAGAGCCGCTATAACGATGACTGGGCAATTCCAGGGCGCCTTCTAGTTCTTAAGAGTCAGAGTCGGGCCATTACTAGATATTCCTTTCAGAGCGAGATCTCGCTTAGTGATGACATTTATTACTCTTGTCAGCGCTTCGGTAACATCCTTGGCGAAGAGATGTGGTGCCTGCAACTTCTGTCGACGACGGTGACAGAAGATCCGTGTACATATCTGAAGTCCGCGAACTTGATAAGAAGAGATAACATTTACTTTGAAGACGACCATCGGTTTCTATAGTACGTTTCAGAAGTGTAATAGCCAGTTACTCTCTAGAAGCTTGCTGATAAGCGAGAGATGGGCCTGTTGAATCCGAATTTGGAGATTTCAAAGCTTTGGAGTCGAGTTAACAACAAACTTCTGATTGGCGGGATTTGACAGGCTTTTAGATTGTAAATGGAAAACCCAGAGTAATCGTGTCATCGTAGCGGGAGACGAATGACAGCGTCCAGACTCCAGAGGCGTCCAGCCGCAGAGAATAGATAGAAAGGTTACTACTCAGTGAATGGCCGCTGCATAACCTGGGAACCTTCAAGACAGCGCGGAGCCGTGGAATATTCTGCAAGGTACAAAAAAGAAACTGATTGAAATGATGGAAGCTGGTGCCGCTGCAGTCTGAGACAGATAACTTGATGAACAAGCTTACTCCGATTACAAACACGTGTCGCCGAAAATAGGAAGGATTAAATCGCGTGATCTTTATTATCCTACCCTTCTCCCCAAACAAAAATTACGGCCAATCCCTCTCTGCTCAGCGAACCCGTCGTCGAGAGGCCTCGAGGCTTGCCCCCTCGAGCTAGTGCCATCGTCCACCATGCTGGCACCCGTATTGGCTACTGCGCTCACCGTTCTTCTCTTCATCTACCTTTTCATGCCCTCATTATGGCTTGCTATCATGGCCGTTGACGAATCCTTCGACGTTCACGATTCGAGTTTGGCTGCGGTGGCTGCTCGTGAGTACGGGCGCTTTGTGTGTAGGACTTGTACTGACTTGTAACCCAAGGCAATCCTTTCCGGGAGAGCGGACCGCCAGCCAACATGGCCAAGTTGATCTTACTGCGCCATAAGGTATGCTCTCACCTTATCGCATGTCCAATTGTGGCCTGGCTTGACCTCATTTTCTATGTAGATCCAGACCAGCAATCGTAAACGACGCAGTGTCTCACAGACGCGTCAAACATCACGATCCTACTCCATCCCTACCAGACCAAAACCTTCTTGGATTCGCTTTAGGAGACCTTTTGGTGGAAAGCAACATTTTTAATTTCACTTTGCGATTGTGTTGGACCGCGGTGTGATTCTGTCCCTCCTCCGCTCTATTTTACCCCCCTTCACGACCATTTTTACCCTATGTACAACAACATACCTTGCTTACCTTCATTGCCCATCCCTTTCTTTGTTCGTCGACCATACCTATACCCATCGAGTCTGTCAATTCTCGTGCACTATTTAGCTATTGTACATTACATTTGCGAAAGGGAATACAAAACTAATAAAATCGAACCACCTCGTGAGATCGCATCTCCACTCCCAGGCCTATCCAAATTTACTGCTACGGTCGACTCCTGACAACACGCTTGGCACCGGCTTCAACGGTCGAGGTCTCTCTTCCATTCGTCGGGAAGAAGATGACTGACCGGAGGCATTTTGTCGTAAAGACCCGCCACCAGCCTTGACCTTGGTATGCCCAGTGATCGCTGCACTCCCAACAGATCGGCTCATCTTTCCTAAACGCCCCGATCTGCTTTCAGTCTTTGCCCAATCCTTCAGCCTGTTGTTGTACTCAATAGTCGATTTATGTTGAGGCTAGAAGACTAGTCAGGAAGCGAACGACACAATACAGACTTCCAGAATTACCTCAGAAGCTTCATCATACTCCTCGTAATGTCGCCGAGGCCCTTGAGCAGTTCGCCTTGCGGTTGTTGAGCGAACCTTCACGCCCTCATCGTCATCTGAACCGGCATCAAGCCAGTCAGTGTTGTGCGGGTCGAAGGGTTCGTCGTCGTCGAACTATTAATACATTGAGCTGACCATCATCACGTTCACATGATGAAGTCTTACCTCGCCATATTGGGCGCGTTCTTGCACCTGACGTACAATTTCAGCACGTGTAATGCTCTCTTGCGCCTCATCATCCTCGTCCTCATCCCCAACTGCCTCCTCAGCCTTAGCAGTATCCGGCTCTTCCGTGAGCTCAGAATGTAGCATCACCGTATCCTCATCGTCACCAATGGTCTTCTTGTACTCGCCAGCGAAAGCAGCCGTTGTTGGGTTCGACTCTGATCTCACCAGTAAATACATGTATCATTCCCAAGCGAAACGTGAACCACATACCAAGGGCGACCATGTCTGTCCTCTGCTTTTTGTTCATGCGCCGTCGACGTCTCTCGTCAGCAGCATCGTCATCGTCATCAGAGTCGCTGTCGTCCAAATCGACACCATTTCTTCGTTTCTTGGTACGGTACTTGCCCTCGACTGCGTCCTGATGGTATTTTTGCAGGCGAAGGTCATCTTGCTCTGCCTGTTCCCTGTAAAGTTATCGTCAGTGGAATTCGCGCATGGATTCGTGCGTGTATAACATACTGGTACTTCTCCCGAACCTTCTCCTCAGCGATGATTTCTTCGTCCAAAGCCGTGTTATCCACCAACGTCGGGAGCTCCCGATCCAAGTCCTGACCCTCTTCTTCGTCGTCTCCAACACCTTTAAACAAGCCAAATCCGCGCATCTCGTCATCGTCGCTCTCCTGTGCTTCTGCCTCCACGAATTCTGACTTCTTTAACGGGACCTTATGTTTGCTAGATTTGGGCTCCTGGGGCTTCGATGAGCCTGAGCGACTTGCACCATAGGTAGGAGACCGGGAAATTGCTCGCTTCACAATGCGGCGTTTGCGGGAAGGTGAAGGAAGGCTCGGGGTAAGATCTGGAGTATACTCAAGCGTCCCAAGAGCCTGCCGCTGGGACTGCTGCGTGTACGGTATGGCTGGTGTTTCAGGCTGCGTCTGCATCTGTGTCAGCCTCGAAAGGGGACGATAAACTTCAGGACTCGTGTCAGGCCTTGTTTGTGTGAGATATCTAGAAACAAGTTAATCCTTTGGTTCGGCATATAGGAATACGGAATCATGTACCCGTCGCTGTTGACGTAGAGGTCGGATTGCTTTTGAGGAACCTGGATGGCTTCTTGAAGGACATATTCCTGCTCTTTTTCAAAAATCGCATCTGCCTCTTTCAGTTTCGCGCTATCGCTGACTTGAAAGGCAGGTCCAAGAGAGACATCTTGGGTCAAACCGAAGTCTGTCGAGTCCGTATTTCGCATCTTGGATAGACCAAAGCCGCCCTACTTAAGGATCAGTGTCGTTCTTTGCTATTTCCAGACATATGCTGACCTTTCCACCGAAGAGCTCTGTAAAACCGTCATCACTCTGAGGGCCACCAAACGATTGTTTTTGCGTGCTGTCCGCATACAAATCTGAAAATCCAGGTTGCAGTGTCGACGTGGCGGTCTGAGCCTGAGAGAACTGTGAAAAGCCCAAGTCCCCTGTCGTAGAAGGTCCAAATTCGGGACGCAAAGAGGGCGGTGGCATACAGTCATCATATTCAGGGCTGCCGGTGCTCTGTAGGCGGTCAGTAAAAGACTGTCTGCCAGGAGTGCCCTTGTCCTCTTCAAGGGTACTCAAGGGTAACCTTGGTACTGACTCTCCCTTGTCAGCTTCCGACAAGCCATCGTCCGAACGACTTTCCTGCCTAAACAAAGACCTTGAAAAGGCGGGACGTTGAGCGCTCCGCGGGAAAACGGTGGCATTTTCCTTATCGTCATCCATATCGTACATCAGCTCAACGTTGTTCTCCTTATCGCTTTGTTCGTCAAAAGAAAAATGGGAGTCAGCTTGTGCGGCGGGGGTGTTCTCGTCGTCTATGATCATGCTATCTTCGACGAGAACTCTTCCAAGCGGCATGTTCTTCGCATCAGAGTCGTCGTCTTCGACAACTCGAAGTACCCGCTGGCCGCGAGGTCTGACAACGAATCGATCGTCGACATCTTCCGTCTCCGTATCGACATCGTGTTCAACCATCGTAATGTCTTCGTCTTCCGCCGGTTCTTCATCTTCCTCATCATTGTCATCACTCGCCTTCGGAGGCGGAGGGCTAGCTGAACCGCGATCAAGAGGCACATAATCTGGATCTTCCTCCTCCTCTTCGTCTTCGTCTCCCACTTCTTCAGCATTTACGTGTTCCAGGCCTTGTTGGATATACTGATCCAGTACCTCTGCTGCCGGGGCGTGCACTGTTACGGCTTCTCTGAGCGTGCCTCCATGTCGCTGCCAATCCTGTTCTTTAGCCTGCTTTACCTCGGCAGCAACTTTTTGGGCGCCTGCCATTCAATGCGATATTCAGATCCCGGTGGCTCTTCAGGTTACGAAGGGAGCTACGGATGTCAGAGGACGCATGATGAGCTTCCCGCTGTTTGCTTCCTGACCCAAGCGAAATGCCCGCCAGACTTGAATGTGTCTTTTTAGCACCGGAAGGACCTTGCATGCCAACTGTCCTCTGAATCAGCGGTGTGTCCGGAGCAGCAATCACTAGGTCATCGTCCTCGTCGCTTTCTTGAGCTCCTCTCGACTGTTGAGCTTGCAATGCTAGAATTTTCATCTTCTTCTCTGCTAGAATTTTTCTAGGAGACTGAGCTTCCTTTTTCCGCAAGTCGCCTACTTCAGGCATTTCGTCATCAGAGTCCATGACTGTGGGTACGGGCACATTAGATTTAACTTCGTCGTAAGCCGGAGGGGGAGCTGAAATAGGCGCAGTACTGGCTTCGGGGATGACTTGTGGGGACGAGAACGGCTGGATGGGGTCTGAGGATGGTTCACGTCTGTTTACGTATCAGATTACCGTGTAATGGTAAGAGGAGTGTCAGTTACCGAGGCTGAAGCGTCTTGAGCAGTCTTGACACGTTCCACTCGCTTTGTTTCTGCGCAATGGATGTATCACGGTCTGCAGCGATGCGCGCGCCGTTCAGGGCAGTTTCTTTTCGCTCTTTCTTCGTCGGAGCCTACGACCGATTGAGGATATTGAATGACTAAAGTATATATACACGTACCTTAGTTTTAACCCGGTTTTTACTCTCTCCCGCCGTTGGCTTAGACTTGTGTTTAGAGTACTGAGGATACACAGATTGCTCCTCGACGACGCGTTTAGTAACACGAACCTTGCGTATTTGATCAGCTGTCGGCAATTCATCGTCAGAAGTAGGCGGCGTCGAGGAGTGACGGGCACGCTTGACTGGGGATGACGTGGATTGTATACTCTCCGATTCAGGTTCCGAATCCGAGTCGACACGATGAACCCGTCGAGGTTTGGCACGCAGTAAAGATGATGTAGAGAGTTTATGAGGCAACTCTGTCTGGGAAGAAATGGCGAGATCCGTGAGCGAATCTTCGAGGATACCTGTAGGTGTTTTTGCTGGACAGGTAGAAACAGGCGACTTGTTTCCATTTTCCGAGCAAGTTTCTACGCCAAGAAGAGTTTTTTCTTCTTCTCCGTCCCCATCAGAATCCGCGTCCAAGGCTGCAAGCTCGTCTTGAAAAGCAAACCGGAAGCTTCCTGTCGCTGCATCCTTCACAACGTGATCGAGCTCTTGCTCGCCGTCCGAGCTTGCAGGAACTTCTTCACCGTTGTTGAGTCCCGTCTTCAGCACTTCATAGCGTGAAGAGGAACTGGGAATATCGAGACGCTGGCGTCCATAAGTTCGAGTCGGTTTGGGAGGCGGGGGTGCTGGCGACGATGTAGCAGTAGAATCTGCCACAAACGAGGAGTCGTGCGAGATGGGCATCCTTGACGACGCGTAATCAACGCCAGGACGAGCGCCTTGGAGTGACGATGGCAGAATTGGCTGGGCTGGAAGAGAGGCCGTCGTTGTAAACGTGACAAGCTGTGACTAGCGCGTTTTTGGCAGTCACTCTGCCTTGCCGGGCCGGCCCCACTTTGTCCGAATATTGCTGCCAAACAAATCCGAACGTCACCTACCGGGGCTTCATCAAAGTTCTGCCACCCTGTTGCCCTTCTCCACCTCGTCGGCAGGATACGAATGGCTATCTTGTCGCACCGATTGCTGTGTTCACGAGCATCAGGTAGCTGTCGTCGCGTATATCACTGCCAACTAACTCACCTAAAGTGTTCACTTCTATCTATCAAGTTTTTACATACAGGACTCCGAATGCCTGTTCCATGTCGGCTAGACTGGCGACGTGCGATAATTGAAGCATCTGGGAGCACTGTCACTGGCTCATTCTAGGAATTCGAGGACCTCACCGAGATGTTGCCAGTTATACTGGTTCTATTATACACCTAAGTAGCGTATCGTCTTCACGCTTCCTCGACGATTCGGGGCTACAGTAATCCATATTTATGGCTTCATTCTGTGCGGTGGTTACGTCGCAGGTCCCATGGTGGTGCCAACGCAAAGCATCTTAGCATGGAAGTACATCGAATGGTCTGTCATTGATGAGATAAAGCGTGGGCAATGCTTTCTCGTGACCGAATTACTGCCCTTCCACTTCATTTCGCGGCCCGGAAGAACCTCGGAGAATCGTATTCCCCGCTGCGTTTAGTCAGAAGCCCTGCTCGATGTGCTGTATAAAAGCTCGATGCCCTGGCTTCCTCATCCAAATTTCTTACCATGTCCGAGTCATCCCATCTCATTCATATTAAGGAAGAAATTGCCTCTTCGTATCCTAACTTCGAAGAACGCGTTACACAAGCATGGGCTGACATCCTCGTCGAACTGAAGAAGGCAACCCAGAAAATTAGTGCTGGTGGTTCCGAAGTAAGTTCCCTCTATTGCGAATTCAGCATTCCATCTCACAGATACTAGTTCATTCCCCAAGTCCAATTCTTTGAACTTCAGGGCCTTCCAGCCGATAAGATTGCTGATATACGACGCAAAGGGTGTCTTGTGATCAAAGACATCGTCGATGATGTACAAGCCATTGCTTGGAGGGAGTCGCTCGAAGATTTTATATCCACTAATCCAAATGCTGACGGTATGTTTCGTTATGAGACATGTGCGTTTTCTAATGCGAGCCTCCAGGTTTTCCTCCCAACGATAAACAGTTTTTTCTGCTTTAGTATTTATCATTTATTCACTCTCTCAAGTTATTTGACCCTAACTTTGACAAAGCTGGACGAAATCCCAACTGGAAGCCCGCTCCCACCCCAACATGCTTGCTGCTTCGGCTTGGCTGAACAACTTGTATCATGCCGAGGGAGGGCAGAAGCTGGACGGCGTAGATTTGTCTTCACCATTGAGCTACGCTGACAGATTCCGCATCAGACATCCCGGGACCGTTTGGACTACATTCCCGCCCCACGTAGATGGCACGTTCTCTCCTTGGTTGCTGTTGTTCTAGATATCGTACTGACTGATGTCCAGGTGGTAGTATTGAACGTTGGGAGGATCCAGCATTCAGGTCTTGTTTCGCTGATATCTTTAGCGGCCAATGGCGCAAGCATGACCCTTTTGCGCTTTCAGGTCGTGTAAATGCGCAGAATTCCCTCCATGATAGGCCTAATCAGGTATGAGTGTCCGAGAAATCTGATCCTTGGCTTAATACGACGTCATAGTCATCCATTTTCCGAGCCTTCCAAGGCTGGCTTGCCATGAGGTTCGTACACTTCACAAGCACGAACATTTGACGTCTTGATGCGAGGTCGGTTTGTCAGTGAAACGGCCCCCACCGAAGGGACTCTCAAAGTTTTTCCTGATCTATTGCTGTCAAATCCCTATTTGATCCTCCGCCCCTTCTTTCGTTTGCTGGTGGCACCAGACTCCGAAGAAGTCTGGAATCCCAAGAGCTGGGCATTTGGTACGTTTTCACCTCTGTGTACACGGTTACAGTAGTCACTCGGTTCACGTAGATGTTTCAAGTGACAATTTTCCCGGCCTCTTCCCTCGCGATGGAGGATGGTCGGGCCCTCTTCCAACGCCTGAATTGCACCCCAACCTTCTCCTTGAGGAGACTATGATTTCGGTGCCTAAAGTCAGCCCCGGTGATGCGGTATTCTGGCATGGCGACCTCATCCATTCGGTCGAGAAGGACCACACTGGAACATTGTGACTCAGCAGGTATTCTATTCCAATAATTATCTATTTGACGCGTTAAAAAACACCGTTCCCAGTTATGTACATTGCGGCAGTTCCTACTACCCCATTGAACCAAGCATACATCGAGAGGCAAAGGGAAAGCTTCCTGAAGGCCGTCACGCCACCTGATTACCCTGCGCAGACGAATCCCGAGAATACATTGGTGGGCTTTGGAAAGGACAATGATATTTTGAATCCCCAAGGACGAAAAGCTATGGGTTTACCTATTTCCGTGTCCTAATATCTCTTTGTGGCATTGTATCACCAACTAGAATGTGAAGAGTGTGCTTCCTGCTGACATGGTATAAGTAGCACTTCCGCCACAAGTACTCCACGCCACACTCCGCTTATGATAATGATGTGCCAAAATCCTGTTCGTGAGTCCGCGCGAGCATTTACCACTTCTACGTCTTCTAACCCATTCGCTATCTTCTCAGCATAAGAGCCCCCGGTTGACCGGTGACGTAGTCGAAGTGATGACTACAATAACGCTAAATCTGTCCTCGATGAAATGATTCAAATACTGTATGATTATTGTAAGTGATGTTTTTCCTTATTAGTCTCAGTTAACGCCGACCATGAACGTTAACCACTAATTCAGCGCGGCGTGTGTCAACGTTCTGTCTTCCACTTCCTTCGCTACTCGAAAACAGGTTCTGTATGTTATGGTGGCTCGCACTAAGGCTGGAAGGGCCGCCTCTAGTAAGGGTACTGCTCCAAATGCTCACTTTCTTGGCCCAAGTTGGGACTATTTTCTAACGATTTCTGGCGAGCTGCAAGAGATGCCGGCCGATATCGACTTCTGGATTCCACATTTCCTCAGCTCTGTGATCGACATCACCACCCCTGAATTAATTTGGGAAGCCATGGGGAGCACACTTAACTGACTTACGTTGGTCCTGAATTCTCGCGATTCTGAGGGTGCTAGAGAGGAACCTCTGTCGGGAACGAGTTCTACCACTGGTGGGAACCACGAACCATGATATCTTGTTGCTGACAGCCGCTACGTCGCACTATTCTAACACGTCGCCCTTCAGTGACCGCTCATCCTTCAAGTTGCTTCGGTTGCAAATGCATCTGAAGTAACAGACAAATGGGGCCGAGTTGAAAGCGGGATCTTTCTCGGTCTTGATATGAATCCCGTGGGGTTCAGTATATAAGCAGCATCGAGGTTTTCTCCGTTCTTAAGTACCCTCCCAGCTTCACTGACACCATGAGTTCTCCCGCGCTCAACCTCGCGTGTGTCTCTGGAGGCTTTCCCTTCCAGACAAAAAATATTTCTATGGCAGGCAATGCCAAAGTACTTCTAGGCTCCGTAGAAGGAAGCTCTACCACCCGCCAAGGCAGCTCCACCAATGGGTATTTTGCGCCAAAGTCCCAGACCTCAGAGTCTCCTCTCACTCTGAGTGTCAATCACGCTGAAGTTTGGCTAGAAAACGGCCAAGTATGCGTCGAGTCTTTTTCTCCTCTGCAGTTCCTAACCTATGACGGTTGCATAGATCTATATTCGAGACCTGGAGTCGCCCTTCGGTACCTTCGTAAATGACGTCAAAATCAACACCAATGTTGCTCTTAAAACAGGAGATATTTTAGTGAGTATCACCTTTCCGGTTGAAACGGGACAGAAGTTTACGAGATATAGGCACTGGGAAAAACCTTAGTTCGCAACACGAACACTCCGACCGACATCACAGACGACCAGCTGAAGTGTATCATTGCTAAAGTAACTGTGGTCGGTTCTCAGGCTTGAAAAGTATATCGTATGCGTCCATCAGTGATAGAATCTTTCATAGAATAGGTCTTATTTTGTCCAGCTGCTACTATGTAAATCGCTGTACCAATAGCCTAACCTTACTCACACATTCTTTTGATGTTGTATGTATGAAATGTAACATATATCATTAACCTGGAACCTTGTACACAGTACAGTGATATGTCAAAACTTCCATGACACCGAGGAAAAGCGCAGTAGAAGATATGAGAAAGAAGAATACAGATCCAGATGCTCTAAATGTCATCATACGCAGGCGGCGCTTCCTCCGTGACAGGCATCCGACTCAAGCGATGATTATCAGCCCGTAACCCTTCCAGCTCTCTCCGCAACTCCCCATCCTGAGTCTCAGACTGTCGTATCCGCCGAGTCAAACGCCTATTCAGACGGGAAACTTCATCCATTTGTTCCCTCGAGACTGAATTGGACATTCGCTGTTTGGAGTTCTTGCAATGTCTGTCCCAGTTCCTGTACTTGCCCCCGTAACGTCGCATTTTCCTTGGCTAGATCTTCGTTTATCATCGCCTGTAGCTCCTCGTCGCCGCCGGACTGTGGTAATAGTGTTGTCGACTCTCGCAATTCGCGTATCTGTACACGAAGACGGTCAAGCTCATCGGAAAGCTCCTCGTTGACCATCCTCTGCACAGTCTGCTCGGCATTGGCAGCCTCCAGCTGATCAGAAAGTCTGTCAACTTCCGTATGAAGAAATTGATTTGTTTGTGTGAGATCCTCCAAAGCTGATTGGTGCGAATCCTCCAGCTGCGATATTATACCTTCCATAAGCTCAATTTTCTCCTGGAGATTCGTGTTCTCGACGTTTGAAGCATATACCCTGTCTGTGTAGTACGTCACCGACCGCTTCAACGAGTCGTCTTTGGCTCGTAGCGAGAGTCGTAGTTTCCTGTTCTCGTCCAACAAGTCATCTTTGAGGAGCTGTAACTCATGGATTTGGGAGTGCAACGCGCTTCGCTCGGTCAATTGAACCTGTGTCAAAGATGCTAACTGCTGCTGCAGACTTTCAACTTCGTGTGAAAAATCGCTCATAGGAGATAATGGTTTGTCTTCCGGAAATGAAAGTGGCGACCTCTTGACACCGGATCCTGTATTGCAATCAGAGATATTGTCTGGTTGGACAGATTGGGTCTTACTTGTTAGAGTAGGTATCGGACTATCAAAAGGGTTAATTATGGAAGAGATTCTAGACGAGGAGGGGAGGGTCATGGGTATGTCGAAGCCTGCCAGCTGTCTGTAGACAAAAAAAATGACCCGTGCAAAGTCACCACGAGTGAGGTGTCCCTTGGAAGTAGGGTCAATCAGGTTCCTGTAGAACATCAGCACGAGATGGTAAAAAAAGACAATGAGGTACCAGATATGCGCTAAATCAGTTGGAGGCAGCTTCGAGAGCAGTAGAAATGGCACAACCTGGTCTCCTTCAATATATTCCTTGCGTTGCGGATTCAATTCATCAAAGTAGAAGTCAGAGTACTCTCTGACTATATCAGGGAGATGCCATGTTTCTAAACTAGCACTACCCCGAATGAAGTGGAAATCACTCGTGAAAGCATTTCTCAGGCTGGGTTTGCCTTGGACAGCATCCGCCTGTGTGGCGGTGACGGACGCGGCATCACTTTGGGGCGAAAGGGAGACATCTTTATCTGGTTCAGCCAGCTCAAGGATGTGGGAAGGAAGCGATGCGGGTACAACTGCAAAGCGGCTGTCCAACAATCCGTGAATGAGATACATAACGAGGTTGAATTCTGTAATGTTGAGCGCCCCACATCGTCGAACGTCAATAAGATCCCTATTACGAGAATTCTATCAACAGGACATTCACTCCGTAGCACCGCGCACGTACCATATTTTGGTCAGAGTGTCCATAGAAAGCCTCGACTTGAGTATGATATCCCACACTTTGACACCTATACAACTCGTTACGTACGACATGAAGAGATGACTGCAACCGGACGCACCATCAAGAATGTCATTTTCGGGCTCACCCTGTTTGAATATAACCTTGTATCGAGCCTTGTCCTCTGACGAAAGCAACGGTAGATTTGGGGGAGACGCCACCTCGGACCCCGTAGCATCGACCTCGTCATGCAGAATTGCTAATGGACCAGCTGCGAATAGAAGATACGTGAGTTTGATAACCCCGTAGAAAGAGAGATGCCGTTCGAACTCACGTCGATGTGCTAAACCAGCTTGCACGGCAAAGCCCCGTTGTGCCCAGCCAATAAGACGGGCAGCCACTCCGACCTCAATTCGTGAAAGATGACCCTTTGCTCCTTCATCGGCAATATCCCATACTCTCGCTAGAATCTTTGGTGATAATCGAGCTGGTTCAAAAGCTTCCACAGCAGCTTCCGCACCGAGAGACTCGGCGTCTCGAGGAATAATTTTTGCGATGATGTTTGCCTCTTCCGGAGAAAATGAAGGGACTGCCATTAGAGTAGGAAGCGCATCACACCGAGGGACGTGATGGTCGAGCAGTAAGCCCTTCTCACAACAAGTTCTCAGGCTGGAACGACGGATCTAGCCCTTCATCATATCAGTGTGTAAAAACGACTACGGATGGTGGCTATGTCGATAAGGCGGTGAAAGTGGCTGTGCTTTCAACTTATCTCTGGACCGCCACCTCCTGCATGCATGTACATCTGACTCTCGGTTCTGCTGGGTTCTGCTCTGTCTGCACTATGGGGAATTACGTTACTTTCTGGCCCTTGAAATTCGAAAGCCGGAACTATCTGTTGGATACCGCAAACCATCATGTCTCTCAGTCATATCCATGGCGTCCAGTACACTCCGTCAACCGTGTCGAATGCACCGCGTATCAAAGCTGAAGACCTGGAAACCTTGGGCATAGGTAACATACCACTTGACGTGCCATGGTCATCGGCTAATCGGCTACAAGCCTACGTTTGCCTGACATGGATGGATCTCACCAGCCTCGTTAGATACCGCGTTATCCCAGTTTCCTATTTCCTCAAGATGCTTCAGTCGCCTCGCCCGGGCGCAGCTGTAGGCAAGTGTGCCCTGGGTATGGTGAACGGGAGTATCGCAGAAGATTTCAATTTGATGGGCGAATACCTATACGTGATCGACCCCATGACACTCAGATTGTGTCCATACGAAGGCATCGCTAGCGTCCTGGGATAGTCCCAGGAGAAAGCTCCAGTTCTAGGTCCAGACGGCCATCTCACTCTTGAAGTTGAACTCTGCCCTAGGACGACCCTCCATCGTGTTGTCGAGTGCGTATAATCATCCTTTGCACCACTTATGGTAACAGTTTTCAGACGTGCGAGAGAGGAAGCCGGTGTAGAATTTCTTGTTGGATTCGAGACTGAGTTTATTCTGTTGAAATCGACGAACCCAATCGAAGCCGTTAGCTATCATGATTACAGTGCCTCCAATGGCTTACCGACGGGAAGCGTCGAGTCACGGGTCCTCCGCGAGATTTCCGACTTTTTAATCAAGGCTGGGATCGAGGTAACACTTTACCATCCTGAAGGCGCTCCCGGTCAGGTCGGTGCTCTTTCTTCCTGGCGGTACTTCGTTTTGAAAAACATCAGTACGAAATCGTGACCGGACCTTTACTTCCTTTAGAAGCCGCTGACGCGCTTATCCACACTCGAGAGACCTATCATAAACGTCGCCGTGAAGCATGGACTGAAAGCCACGTTCGCCCCCGTGTCTACATGAGTAGCCCAGGTAGTGCAGCACATACTCACATTTCCGTCCATTCGCTCAACAGGTCCCCCAAAGCCCGTTGACGTCCTCTCTGCCGTAGAATCATCCTTCATAGCTGGGGTCCTCAAGCACCTTCCTGCCATGACGGCTGTTACACTTCCACACTCCAGCGTCGTACAAGCATGTCATGGATGGAGTAGGTCACCTCACTGATATGGAGCGCTGCATCGTTATTTATGCCTATCTATCAGGTTGCCTCTGGCGGCACTTTTGTCTGCTGGGGGACAGAAAACCGCGAGGCTCCTGTCAGATTGACCAACGCCTAAATCCCCAGGCTCGCGTCACTTTGAGCTTCCGTTTTCCTCGACGGTACCGGTAATCCACACCTAGCGCTTGCTCTGATTTTGGCATCTGGCACAGCTGCTATTTTGGATCATGAAGAGCTGATGGTAGAGGATTGTCCTGGACCACAGAGCGCCGCGCAATTAAGTGCGACTGAGCGCGAAGCTCTTGGGATTACCGAACGGGTGCCCTTGGATTGGAATTCTGCCAGAGCGAACTTCACGTCTTCAGCCATCGTGGATAAAACGTTTGGACCGGAATTGAAGGTTAAGTACCTATCTGTTAACAAGGTAGGTTCGACCTTCATTCGAAGTTGTAGTTGACATATTTTTCCTACTTAGTTACTTAGAGATACGCTAGAACAAGATGACACGGATGGAACGTCTAACTCGCATCATGAAGTTCTACTGACCAGAGAAACATTGGGTGTCGGTCCAAAGTTCCCATACCAGCCATAAAGCATAGATAATGAATGATACTCATTTGCAGCAGGATTATTGAGACCTGGGACTCGGGAGGTGTACGACGATTTTCATTGCAAACAATTATCTGTACAAATGTATGGTAACCTTCAATTCTTGAAAAAGGGAAACTACATGTACCCAAAGTCCTACGATAGTTAGGTACACCATAATCATTTAGAAACCTGCAGACCGTGGGAGTAAGTTGTCTTTACGGGTGTCACGCATGTTACTCAGCCACTGTAACAACTATACAGACATATCGGATTTTTCCGAGGCGTCGCGGTCGTAGAATTTTGGTTCTGCAGCACGAAATCGTTCCAGTCCGCCCTCCCCCCCTCAAGATGAGGTGAGTATTGCCAGTTCTCTGTCTCGTGTAGTCTCGTTGCTAATTGCCTGCCCCAGTCACCGTAAGGTCAGTAGACCATTGCTCGAAATTCAGGACATTTATTGAAAGTACGGAATTTGCAGTATGAAGCTCCCCGCCACGGCTCTCTTGGGTTCCTCCCAAGAAAACGTGCCGCTCGTCATCGCGGCAAGGTCAAGTCCTTCCCCAAGGTTCGTGAGGCAGTGGTTGGCATGGGTTTTCGAGTAGTAATTTTTGAGTTGCTTTCAGGATGATCCCAAGAAGCCCGTCCACTTGACCGCCATTATGGGATACAAGGCTGGTATGACCCATGTCGTCCGGGACCTCGACCGACCTGGCTCCAGTATGCTCTTTAGCCCTTTTTTCCGTATGCACGTACTCAATGAATATCCTCAGAGATGCACAAGAAGGAAGTCGTGGAAGCCGTCACCATCATCGAGACACCACCAATGATTGCCGTTGGTGTCGTTGGATACGTCGAAACTCCCCGCGGCCTCCGTACCCTCACCACCGTCTGGTCGTCCCACCTCTCAGACGAAGTCAAACGTCGCTTCTACAAAAACTGGTACCGCTCGAAGAAGAAGGCCTTCACCCGGTACGCTAAGAAGCACGCCGAGGACAACGGCAAGTCCACAGCCCGCGAACTCGAGCGTATCCGCAAGTACTGCACTGTTGTCCGTGTCCTTGCACACACACAAATCAGGAAGACGGGTCTCAGCCAGAAGAAGGCCCACCTTATGGAGATCCAGGTCAACGGTGGCTCTGTCTCGGACAAGGTCGACTTTGCCCATGGCTTGTTCGAGAAATCCATCGATGTTTCGTCGATTTTCGAGCAGGATGAGTGTATCGATGTTATTGCTGTGACTAAGGGTCACGGATTTGAGGGTGTCACTCACCGTTGGGGAACGAAGAAGCTGCCACGGAAGACGCACAAGGGTCTCCGAAAGGTCGCTTGTATCGGAGCATGGCATCCTTCCAAGGTCATGTTCTCGGTGGCTCGTGCTGGTCAAAGTAAGTGGCCATTGCTCTGCTTGGTATCTTTGTTTCTGACCCGTTGCTTGCAGACGGTTACCACCACCGTACAGAGATCAACAAGAAGATCTACCGCATCGGTTCTGGTGAAGATGAGAAGAACGCCTCCACTGAACATGATATCACCAAGAAGACGATCACACCCATGGGCGGCTTCCCTCACTATGGTATCGTGAAGAACGACTTTTTGATGCTGAAAGGCTCAATTCCTGGAACGAAGAAGCGTGTGATCACTCTGCGCAAGTCGCTGATGGTACACACTTCGCGTCGGGATTTGGAGAAGGTCCAACTCAAATTCATCGACACTTCCTCGAAATTCGGTGTAAGTCTTATTTCTTGTGATTCTATTCATCATACTTATTTTTTTTTGCAGCATGGTGCATTCCAAACGTTCGAAGAAAAGGCTGCGTTCCTCGGAACACTCAAGGCCCGTGCATGATTGTAGTTTGTTATACGTTAGGATATGCCATTACACCATTATATATGCCATGCGTCGTGATAAACTGCATTTTGTTGTGGAAAAGCCTGAATTTTGTGAAATAATTGCATCGATGCCATTGGCTGGCCCCGAGCCGGGATTAGCCCGTGGAACAAACATGAGCAACTTCAAAATTTGTTGGGACTCAACTACGCGTCGTTGGAGAAGACGAAATCAAGGCTCGCCCCGGGGCAGACCCAGTCCCAGTTACGCTGTCCTTAGAGTGCAAGTCTCGGTGCGTTTCCTTGTTTTTGTAACGCGTCGTTCCCCGTCTAACAGAAAAGTGCAGGATGACTGCATTTCTTCGTGACTTTATATATGCTGAGAGCGTCTTCGCTGAGCTCTACACTACCATCATCCCGTCGAGCTCTTCGAAGATGTTGCCTTGGCTGTATCCCCCTTGTGTTCGGTTCGATCCAGGCTCGTTCCTTCATACGACCAGCCGACCGCAACGTCGAAATCATCGTCGACGCGCAGGAGCGCAAAGAGGTCTCACGGAAGTATGCAAGCCAGGCTCGGCTGGCGCAGTCCAAGGCTCTTGGGAAGGATGTGAGCTCCCCCGTCACAGAGGACACCAAAGGCGAATACGTGGCACAGCTCGAACGGCTTGTCCGGGATCCTCCTTCGTATCCTGCGCCGCCATATCGTCGGCTTCCTCTGAAGCCTCTTCAATGGGGGAGCAAGAAGAAGACTACTATGTACCCGAGGTGCACACCTCCACAAAGTCCTTCCGAAGACGACGCAGAGGAAGGACTGGACATTACTCCTCCCAATCCCGACACGCCGTATTACCATCACCTCCATGTTTTAGCATCTACTCAGTCGGAGACAGAAGCATGGGCATCCTACACCCAGCTCTTGAGGCTTCCCACTCCCGAGAGCTTCCCGCCGGATGTCCCAATCACACTTCCGAACCTCCACCGACTCTGTCGTCTGCTGTCTCGCAGCAAACCAAAAAATCGGACAGTCTTCTTACGATTACTCTCTGTTATGTACCTGATATATCGGTCCGGGGGACAACTCCAAGTTTTTCATTGGAACGCACTCATAGATTGCGCAGGAAAGGGATTGCGGAAGCCAAGGATGGAGGATTTCAAGTTGGCTCTCGACGTTTTTACGGACATGATCACTGGGAAGCCCCCGGGCGCAACTTACTCTCCTAGCGAGTACCGTGTCATGCCAGGTTTGGGTCAGCCTATCCAGCCCGATATCGTCACATACACCACCCTTCTTAATATCGCTGCGAAGACCTTACAGGGTCATGCCCTGCGCCAAGCCACCTCGCTCTTACGATCGTCCGGGCTTTCTCCAAATCGAATAACCCATCTCTGCCTCATGGCATACTATACTTCCACCAGGGATCTAAATGGCGTTCGAAGTACCCTGATTCAGATGCATTCCAGAGGGCTTGAACTTGGCATAGACGGTGTTAATGCTTGTATGTGGGCTTTTGCTCACAGACGTCTGGATATCGTCAGGGATGTGTATCGTGTTCTCCGACACTCGATATTTCCTGAGCCGAATGTCGAGGAGATCGTGTCTTTGAAACAAAAGCTGCAGGAGGAGGAAACAATAATCATACCTGAGGGAATGCGGCCGAACGAGATAACTTTCACGTCGATGATTCAGTGCATGTCTTATAATGGGGATCTCGATACCGCATTAGATGTTTTCTACGACATGATGACCACGGACAACGTCGAAGTGGGTGCAGCTCTTCAGCCCGATGCAGATGGGGTATTAAAGCCGGCACCGTACAACGCCACACACGCTATTTACCGTGCCCTTTTCCTTGGTTTCGCGCGACATGGAGATCACATGGTAGACGGATTAGCGTCTAGATTGCAGCAAAAACGACCATGGTCCCTCGACGCGCTGCAGATGATATATGACACCTTTATCATTATGCCTGGTGATGACGTCCCCACCAAGACTACCATCTATTGGCTTATGGTCGCCTTCAACAAGGTTTCGGGTCAGGATTTAGTGTGCATGCGACAGGTCTGGACCGAGATGGTGGAAAGGTTTCACGGACCGTGGGGAGGACCGGACAATCGGTTGCAGCGAATGCATCGTTCTCTGGCTCTGCCAGATGAGGAAGCGAAGAGATACCTTCAAGAGCTGGAACACTATAGCGATAACAGCGGGGGTTGGCGGGAAAGTGACTGGCTATAGTAGTAGTACAGTTCATTTGTGTAGGTGTTCTAGTCAAAAAGACAAAGTTTGAAACAGTCACTCCTCGTGTTGAGTCCTCCATGTGATGTACTCGTCCCACCCAACCGTATACAAACTGCTCTGGTACCTCCTGAGCTTCACGCTCCTTCTCAAGTCCTCAGTGATAGGCCCGTTCCATCCAGCCTTGTGGATCGCACTATCCACGGCTTCGATCTTATCCCAGCCTTGCTCAGGAATGACGTCGGGCAGATACGTGGCAGAGAAGGACTGTTTGGAGGTAAGCCTTGGCAGGTAAGGGTAGGACGACATGGGGGACGGCGTCGCAGACGCCGTGGTCAACAAAGAAGGATGGGGGAACGTGATATAAATGCCATGAACGCCAATGGTCCAATCGAGATACGAGTCTGCATCTTCAAATTCAGTAAGCAGCGATATCCTTGGGGGAGATGCACCATCAGAAAATTGGGCAAGTAGTGACAGCGAATATAATATAACGTACACGCATTCTAAGTTCTCCAGTTCAGATCTTTCGATCCGTCTGAATCTGGAATCCCTGAAAGCACTGATGAGCGCATATTCAGCGAGCCCGTCGTGCAGAGGGAGTGGTTCAAAGTTGCCAATGCAACCTCTGAGTCTTGGGTGGCGACCCGGTCGGCGGATGTTCCAAGTTACAAAGAGTGGACTACGTGGTAACTCTGGTTAGGTGATGTACGTTCTATTGATAAGCAGCTGGAAAGACTTCGCACTACTTGTCATCCGGGAACTCTGGCACTATCGGAGCAGCTGAAGGGGTGAGAGCACAGAACAAGGCGTCGAATGCATGGAAACAGTGTGCAGCAGTACAGACGCTGAGGTCTACCGGGCCCTCGTTCGCAGCAGGATCGGGAGGCACCAGAGCCATGGATGGTCAGTGTCACTTGTCAAGGCTGTAGAGCGGTCGTTTGATTATTATGATGGCTGATCTCGATCAATCATATTTCAAAGTGAGCCTACTGTACTGTTGTATTCCAGAGGAATTCCCTAACCATGGACATGGGCATGTATGTACGTACTTATGTAGCAGTGTAAGGATATAATGTATAATAACTCAAAAGCTCAGAAAAATAAGAGAGCGGGTAGCAATACCAGGGAAATGGGAGCGAGATGAATGATCATGATATGTACTGAATGAGATGGTAGGAAAGCGTGGCACATGTGGTAGTAAGGAAAGCGGAGAGATAATGCAAAGACGGTGGGTTTGCTGATGGAAATGCAAGGTCATCAAGAGGAAAATAAAAGAAAAAATCATAGAGCAACGAACGACGATGGATATACGGTGAGACGGCCTGCGCCAGCATAACTAACAACAGCTCCAGCTCCCTGTAGCTTGTTCAGCTTTCTCACGAGCTTCCTCCTCTTCAGCTTGAGCGCTCCAAGTTGGCGTCGCCGTCGATGACAGGAAGACGCTGTCCCGCCTCTTAAGTTGATTCTCTTCTTCTATTCGATCCTTCATTCGGATGATAGCAGCAATCAAATGGTCGAAGAGGCTTTGTATGCCTATTGACAGCGACAATGTGCAGTCAGAACTCTGCGCGGAAATTACTAGAACCCGAAGACAGCTTACCGAGATTGTCTTTCGCAGAAACTTCGAAGAGCTCCATGCCCTTGCTCAACCCCCATTCTTCTTCCTCTTCCTCGGCAGCGCCTTCGTCATCCTCCTCAATGCTGTTGCTATTGCTAGAATCAGTCACTTCATTCCAGCCCCCGGCGGCGAACCCAAAGTGAGAACCAAAACGGGAAGGTTGCGGTCGAGTAGCGGTTGCGTTTGCTGTGGAGCGGGCAATTGATGAAGGCGGTCCGGATGTTCTTGAACTGGTAGTCCTAGTACGCTGTAGGCTAGAAGAACGAGCCGAAGTCAGGTCGAGATACGCCGGCGTTTCTGGTGGTGTCTGAGTAACAGGTGTTGCTGGGGGCGAGCGTATGCCTGGAAAGGAGGTAAATCGGGGCCGAATATAAGATAGAGTTGACGGCTGAGGAGGCGGAGGAGGCGGAGGCGGCGGTCGGGGTGGCGGAAACCAGTTGTGCAGAGACAGACGTGCAAAGTCCGAAGTAACCTGCCGGTGGCGATGTAAATCCGCCTTAGAACCAACGATATATATTATCAGCTCCGGCGAACAGTTCTTCTTCAGCTCTGCACAGAAATCACTCAATTAGCGGGAGAGAAGAGGTACGAAAAAAGATAGCGCGCCTTCTAGCCAACCCCGGATGTCATTGAAAGTTGAAGCATTGGTTATGTCGTACAAGAGAAGGGCCGCGTTGGCGCCTAGATGAGCGGTCAGTAACAGGACTAGCCAGATAGTAGCATATACGGACCTCGATAATACATGGGTGCCTAGCAGAGGTACGAATGCCATTAGTAACGGCCGACGTCGCGTCCAGCGATACTGACGCACCATGCTACGAAATCTCTCCTGCCCCGCTGTGTCCCACAGCTGCAGACGCACCTTCAGCCCGTTTACATGCACCTTTTTCGTTACAAAGAATGCACCGCTCGTGGAAGTCGTGTTCTTGGGATCAAACTTGTTTTGGGTATATCGTTGGAGCAGACTGGTTTTACCGACTCCTGTGGGAATATCAGAAAGGAAAGAATACGCGCAAGGACAAGTAAAACGCACCAGAGTTGCCCATGATGACAATCTTGCTGTCAATGCCCTGTTCATACCTTGATCTCGAGTAGGGGTCCCTGTGAGGATATTGTTCCATCATTTGGCCCAAGACCTTATCCTCTGGGCAGCGTCGGAGCCCTAGAGCAATGCAGATGAAATGGAACTGAAAAAGTGGGATAGAAGATGGGCCCAGCGGCCGCAAGGGCAGAGGGATAAAAGGAAGGACGAGACGAAGACGAAGCTGGAGAAGAAAATGGAAATCTCAGTTGCTCGCCCCTGAACAGCTATGCCAACCACCCACGTGCTACCTAATCCGTATCTCTTGGCCTTGAATCTGCGGATCTTGGTAGCGCTCAAGCAATCTCAGCCTGGATTCCCTCTTATATAGTCTGATACCGAGCTGCAAAAAGCATAATGTATTTTCATATCACAGTGTCAATAACAGCATGCCATATTGCGCAACCAACTACTCTTGTGCCACTACAGGGAACTCAAAGACAACATCCTTGCCAGTCAAACGGCGGTACACCGATGAGAACGAGTCAAGCTTGTATTCCAAGACATTGGCATCCTTGGAGTCAAGGAAGCTAATCCGACATCGGGATATGAGCTAACTGTCCGGATACAATAAGGACGGAACAAAAACATACACTTTCAAAAGTTTTGAGCCGTCCACGGCAACGCGGGTCCGCTTGCCCACAATCTCCGTAGGGAAAACCAGGTCCTCGAGTATCCTTTCGTGGACGTTGGTCAAAGTGCGGCTGCGGGGGCGCTTTTGCTTGACGCGAGATGTGCGGGTGGGCTTGCGCAACATCCGGCGCTGCGCGACGAATACAACATGGCGGTCAGAAAATTTCTTCTCCAACTCCCGGGTGAGCCTGTATGAAACTTGTCTGAGCAACCAAAAAGACCGAAAACGCCTGGATCTTCGCACCTCTGCTGCACCTTGTGGAACGCCTTCAACTGGGGCACAGGGACGAAGATAACGATAGCCTTCTTGCCTCCCCTAACATCAACTTCACGGGCGGCGGAGATTTGAAGAGGCCTCAATTCAGCCTTGAGCTCCGGGACGTTGTTTTCGAGGTCGAGCAGAGCTTGGGCGACACTAGTTTCCGTCTCATCGGGAGGTGTGCTAGGCGCGTTGGCGGTGCGGAGAATTTTGGTGGTAACGGACATCTTGAAGGGCCCTAAAAATTTTGTGTCCTTGGTCAACATCCATTCGAAAACCACGCCATCCAGCCAATTGCGACCACTCATTCAGCATTTAACCACACAGAATCGTGGATGCAACCTCCATGGCCTCATTCATAGCATAAAAAGGGCAGAATGTACTCACCGAGCCTGACGACGACGAAAGATGAACTGGAGGACGAGTGAGCAGCGATATGGCACGGCCACAACTTCGGCAATCTCCGGCGGCTCGGCCGGAGGCTTCCATTTTAGGTGTCACATTCCCGATCACTTCCGTGGAAGGCTCATATGAAAGAGCAACTGACCTCCCTGTGGCTCATCGATAACGGTCAGCATCCTCGCAGAGCGCGGACATTGTGGGATTGTGGGATTTTTCTCAAGGCTACTTAGGACAATCGCTAGGTATGGTGGCGCTAATAAGTACCACTACCATTGTGGTAACTCTTCCGAGACGGGTTATCCTTGAAGCTTCCTTTCCTGCACTCGTTATCTTCTTGAAGGTCCGGATTCACAATTTCTGTGTCGCAAGCAATGTGGGTCATCTTAACTGCCGAGAATCTCTTCATTCCAGAGATATCGGGTGGAGCACGCAATCTATCTGCTCTTCTTGTATTCGTCTACCCAATGTTTTTCAACATCACCCTTCGGTAGTAGAACGAATGTCAAACATCCATCCTTCAGCTCCAGCCCGTCTATCGGCTCGCCCTCTTTTGCCTTTGCGGCCCGGCAAACGTCTTTCAGCGACATCTTTTTCCCAACCTTGAGTAACCGCTTCCGCCTTGTCATTGCGTAGATCACTATCTGTCCATCTACATACTCTCCCTTTGTGTCCCATTCTGGAGAGGCCGCTTGGGGCGGGAACATAGCCTTCAGATGCTCCGCAAACGGCGTATCCTCCACAAATTCAGGTATGACATCTGAAGTTGCATACTGGGGATAGAGGAAAAAAACAGGGATAATGAGCGCCCTCCCCGTTGGGTCTTCTGGGTCAAAGTGCGGCGCATACGGATTTTGTGAACTGTCGGGTTTAGGCACCACCACAATATTCCGTTCCTTGAAACGGAAAGGCCAGTTTCAGATACGCGCCACTTATTCGTACGAGGCTACTCACTTTGAACGCGGAGTTAATCTTGCGTTGGGCTTCCTGTTCCTTTCGCAACCTTTCCTGGCGCTCTTTCCCCTTCTTCTCCTTCTCCGCTTTGATCTTGGTCGCTCGTTCCAGAACTCCGCGAACAGCTTTGTTATCTGCGTCATAGTCCAGGCACCGCACGCAGCAGTCTATTGCATCGTCTACGCGTTCCAGAGACACCAGAGCCATCGCCGAACGATAGTATGCCTTGGAAGACTTGGCATTAAGGGTTAGAGCTTTGGAGCAGTCTTTTAGCACGGTGCCATAGTTCTCTGTTCCTGTTTAGTTGATGGAGGTAAAAAAAATTCTTGGCACCCACGAAGTTCTAAATTACAAGCCGCACGATTGCAAAGTAATGCTTCCTGAAGGACAGCGTCTGTCGGCTTTGCATCGACCCCTTGACTATAAAATCCGAGTGCTTCGCGATACCGTTTGCCCTTAAAGTACTCATTTCCCTGTTCCTTAAAGTTCTGTGCTTGCTCTGCATGAACGTGAGTATGTGAAGATGGAGGATGGACGGAGGATTCTCACCCACCATCCGGGGTCCCATCGTAAGCTAGCTCTTGAAGTGCCGCGATCGCTACATCGTCCGTGTCTTCAGGTAAACTTTTCATAAAGAGCGGAACAGAATCCAGTTCCGCCAGCTTTTCCTCGACATTTCTCTGCAGAGGTTGGGGTCCAGCGATTTCCGTAATTTGTGTCATGGAAGGCGAAGGAAAATCATATCCGTATCGATACAAATCAGTATGACGTCACGTGTCTTCTTTTCGTTTCCTGCACCTTCACGAATCAAGTCACGTCGACCATATCAAAAGAGGACATTGTACTACTGCAACGAATCAGCAAAATCGCCAAAATCGCGTTCAGTATCATTACCGTGGACGGGAATAAGTCAACATGCAGTCTATGCACATATTTGCGGTACGTCCTCTCATGTTTCTTCGGCTCTGCTTCTTATCACCTTCTGGCATGTAGGAAAATACATACAGTGGCATTACTATCAGAACCAAGGATCCACAATCAGAAGCCCCATTTCCCTCCCCAAACTCCATATTCATCCGTAGAATTATCAAAACGGTAGGAAATACCATCCTCAAGGACTTTTGGGAGCTGCTGTTAATGCAAGCCGTGTTCAATGCCAAGTCACCTGCACCACTGAACGAGACAGACATGATGTTTTACAGAGTGTTGAAGAAGGGGGACGTGTATCGAGAATCCAGTGAGTCCACTCCGCGTCTGGCTAGTTAATTAATCACCTATGCTCTTTAGCCGAGAAGACGATGCACGCCCTGGAAGTTGGAAGGATTGAAGTAACCCAGGTAGAAGTGGACAGATGGAAACTGCCAATATCTGCGGGACGCCGTATACCCATTTCCGAGGGTCTCATTTCGAGATGGCGCGTATTCCTCGAAGAAGACTATCCGTGGGCTCCAGAGTATATAGCTCAACTAGTTTCCGAGTATTCGGAACCCGATACCCCTGGTAAGCATTGATTACATACATCACAGGATCGTTCTCAACAGCTTCCAGAAAACATCCACGTCGGCTTCACAGTGGGTTTGCAACCTCTCCTCGATGCGGTCTCCAACTCCGATTTCTCTCTTTCGGTACAAGAAGGACTACACAAATTCCTCAGAATGAATCGGACAAAGTTCCTTGATGAGTATGTCGTTGAGGTGGAAGATGAGCCATGGATGCCTCCGTCTCTTACCGGGCTATATGGATTGTATTGATGTACAAAGTCGCGATTGGGCTCCTCAACGCGCGCGATCGCGCCATTAAGGACGACAGCTTCCACCGCACTTACTCCGCATGGGGATAGAACAGGATGGAAGGGTTGAGGTCGTTCGGAACAAAGGACATACGAGGCTGTATAGAGGATGCGTGCGGCCTATGATCGATTCATAGAGGCCGTAGCAGTGAGTACCTCCTGGTTCTGGTTTTGCCGAAGAAGAGTTTCGGGTTTTGATATGCGCTGGGGGTATTTATATTATTATAGATCGGTTGTGTAATTCATTACCTTGCTTTCCAGCAAGGTCTACCGTCCACTCTCCCTTCTAGTTTTTGCAACCGAAACATGTGTTGAGTGAACATGGGAAAGATGTTTTCTAAGCCTAAAATGCTCGAACCTATTCCTGATCATAAAAACCGATGAAAGTTCAAAGCCATAGCCTGGCCGGTCCGACTTTATTATATACCCGCAAGGCATCTGAAAGCCCGAATATAGATCTAATACATCCTCCGATAAGCCCTCTGCTCGTGCCTCGCTGCAGACTTATCTCGGACTTTCTCATGTCGCGTCCTGGGTCCATAGGATCCCCACCCTCCATGCGCGTAAACCTCGAGAAGTCACTAGTCCTAGTCACTATCGAGCCACACTCCTCGACCTACCCGCCCGCTATTCCTATGCATGCATCCCCTACTCGCTACATGTCGATCGGACATAATCGTCGCTACCATATATTGCGCGAACACAGCTGTTCATGCCCAGAATCATCGACTATCATCAACGTCCTGCTGCCATGTTCAAGACTGTGATGTGCGATTACTGAGCGGTGGTTCTGTGGGTGATGATGCTCAGGTCAGGTGCCACTAATTGACAATCTGCAGTTCTATGCATAGCAATTAAGTAGTTCCTTTTCTTCGTTCAGGCATCCTTCACCTTCTACACACAGATGTCTGCATGATGTCTGGAGAGTCTTTAGGAACATCTCACATGTGGTTGAGGAGAAGAGATGGGAACGCAATGGTAGAACTGAGGGAGCTTAGGGAGTGTATACAGAGGTGGGAGGCAGTAGAAAGGCAGTTTGTTTATTCTTCTCTTCTTCATCGAGTTCTGACTACAATGTTTGTAGATGGCTGACATTATCAGTTTCTTGTACGAAGTGACCCAAGGCAATAATCTCGCTGTCGATGGTCCTCCGGTCCTCAATCCAACGAAAGGTGTCACCGGAAAGAAAGCACCCGAAGGACTGGACTACCAACCGGGTTCATCAATGTGTTTGTTGCTAGGGACGGATGAAACCCTATCGCTTCTCTGACGAAATCTTCGAATGGGCTCATTTTTGACCGCGCATGCACCCAGTTATTTTACGCCCTCCTTACAGCGGAAAATAATTTAGAAAGAGTGAGGCTCGCTGCTTTTCAATTGGTCATACTGGTGGAAAACATAGAAATGGATCAACGATGGTGTGTTTCTTCATCTATTTGTATCGTAAAGCGATATCCACAGATCCAAGGCCTGCTCCACAGGCGTTTTCTACAAGACTAGCGCCACCCTGAGGCCGAGGTGGTGGAAGGACACGAGCAACGTCCAGATTCTGGCTTCAGGGAATGCACCTTTCCTCGCTACTCTCCCTGCCGGCGCTCCTAAAATGCAACTTACACGGAGTCTTCGACGGATATCCTGATTTTTCCGATACGTCACGGTTAACAAACGACGAGCCGGGGAAGTGCAGGAGAGTGACAGGGTACGATTGGGAAGACAAAGACAAAGACATCTCAATGGCGAACGAAGTTGGTAACAATGATGCCACTACGCGCGTTGGCACGATGGTTCAGGACTTCTGAAGGCCATAAAGCAATCCGTGAATGGGCGTGAGACGGACGAGGGCCGGTACTGATGGGAATGGCAAAGTGGGAAAAGAATTTGGACAGCGTCGTCGCGAGAGTAGTCAAATATTGTATTGGATATAAGGAGGACGTGAGAGGGATCAACGTTGTCAATTTTGGTACTCCTTTGCGATAATTTAATCCGGGCGAAGCCGTTGGGACGGTCGCGAAAGGCAAGTGTGTAGTCGAGATAGGCCTCTCTTTTGGCGACAAAATGTGCCTTCTCGTCATCAATCTCCTCGTAGACCATGGTGGAATACATTGAAGCTAGGAGATTTATGGCTTGTGGGATCTTCGACAGCAGAAGGAGGATCTACAGATCCAGCTTGTCATCAAAGACGAATGCATCACTAAGGCTGAAATGCATCGCATCTTGGCCCCAAATAACATGAGGAATAGTGGCACTGGCAAGTAAGATACTTCTTCACATTGTTTCGGTCACCATTGCAGTAATGCTAGAGGAAGAGGACCGTGTTTAGATATGTGGTGTTTGGCTCAGTTATTGACAACCAAGCAACTGTCTTCTCGTGCTTCTCGTTCGACTCCACGACACACGTTGACTGAGGGTTCCCATTCCTACACAAAAATCAGTCGTAAGGATCAACCATGACGAAGGTATATGTTTCTTATCTTGGGCGGGATGCAACTAATTCTGATTTCTTCAGGGAGAACGAAAACAGAGGCCGGAGCTAAAATCGCTCCTCGCATTCTCAAGGACGGTAGACGAAAGTGACGGTTACTTCGCGACCGGGGGAGTTGCATGTGTGCTATTCAAAGTCCCAAACCGCACCACAAAAGTACGTTGTGCTACACGCTATGTAATTTCTCAACTGATTCAACGCTATTTGACACTCACCAGGATCTCGATATCATCTCGTGGACTACTTCTTCCATGGCGGACATAAAAGAAAAGCTTCGGCAAGAGGGCTCGTTCCAAATACTTCCTAGGCAGGAGAACCGCGGTTTCAGGGCGAATTTCGAGGAGAGTCAGGAGACCCACATAGATGCGCGACTCGTCGAATTTCCGTTCGATCCCACACCACATATTACAATCTCAAAGTTCGTCGGCGGGAATGTCCATATTTCTGTGATGGGAGCGAACAGTAATTTGCTACTACTCTTGAAGGTAATCGGTTTCATTGCCAGGGGGAAGAGCAAGGAGGCACGGAGGAAGGCTAGAGCTGACCTCAAAGACATCGGTCACCTTGCGAGTGACATCGTTGTCACTCATCACGGAAACACTGATTCCTTGATCAACGAAACGATGGTAACGCCGGAGATGTGGGGAGTATTTCTGTATAAGCTTCGCAAGCATCACTAGGGCGCGCTACGTAGAGAATCAGCTGTGGCGGCAAAACCCGAAGGCCATGGCGAGGCTGCAAGCGGGTAAACAGAAATACGACGACATACTCATTTTCACTCGTTGAAAAGCAGCACAGTCATTCTTTATACGTGTAAAAGCAATAATCTCGCGTTACAGAGGGACAGGATAAGAAATGAAAGAGATGCGACTCGATGGAAGAACGGAGACGACGCCAAGAAAAGCTATCGAGGACGGTAACATTTGCACTTGTTTGGCACACTGCACCGGACGGGTTCCTCACGTGCCGGCCAATTCTACTCGCTGCGCTCGCAATGATTGAGTTCCGCATGGCATGCACAGAGCACTATTTCAATGTTCAACACTCAATAAATGCACCAAGCTTGCAAGGTTGTCTTTTTTTTTTACAACATCTGTCTGCAATGTGCAAAAACACATGAAGGTAACAAAAACTGAGAGATAAATGTGAATTGGGCAGAAATGAAGCTGTGAGCAACCAAGTAGATGAAACAAATAATTAATATATGCATTCTACACTGTTTCCAAGGCCCTATGGGCTCTTATTTGAGTCTGGGGAGTGTCCAACACTCTCAGAAGGTCCGTACGAGCCACGCGAAACTTTGATCATAGCCTTTTTAGGCAAAATCTATACCGCCTGCCAAGTTTAAACTCAGAAAGCCAGTTCTGGAAAGCCAGGACCTTTTATCGTTGGCTTGCTACATAGAAGGTGCTGTCACAGGACTACATGGCAGCACACATAAGGTGCTGACTAAGCCAGTGAGAGACAATTTCTTCTCTCTCATTTGCAGTCAGCACTGCCTGCTCTCCAAATTGCTAGCTGCCTGCCCACCCTTGAGCCTTGATTTTAGGGGAGCTCGTATCCCTCTGGAATCTTGCTCACGAGAGGTTAAACCTCTCCCCCCACGAGAGTCATAGACCGAATACGGCAGTGATTTGCCGCCGGACGGCCGGATTCGGAAGGCCCAAAAAGGAGCTAATCAGCTCACGGTCCAGAACCGGATACCCATTATCTAATCCTTCTGCCTCTTACCACCATGGACGACCAAAACGATATAACGCCTGCAAGGCCCACATCAGGGGCAAAGCCTGCTACGTTGACCCCTCTTGAAGCCTTGTTCTTTATATAATTATGATGGTTTATAATAAACCAAGTTTATGTATAATTGATTGATCCTGCGAGGTTTACTAGCTATAATTCCTGCAGGAGAGATTGAATCAAGGCCCAAGGGTTATTCAAATCTTGGCTTGCGGAAAAAACTCAAAGTCATAATCAATAATAGTCAGCATTCAAAAAATAGTAGTATGAATGAGAGAGTACTACCCCTTGAAATGATTCACTCAGTGGTGGTGGCTTCTGCTGCTGAGAGAAAAAGACTCGCTCGGTGGCGGCATTCTGCCGCCACCAGCTCGCATTTTCTCTCAGAGTTCAGTCAGAATCCTTGGCAAGATCGGCCGAACAACGCCGCAGAAAGCGTGATAGTAACAGAGGGTCACATGTAAACAGTGACAAGCGGTGACTGTGCCACCCCGAAATTCTGACTTAAACGGAAATTTTGAAGCGCTGGGCCGTGAATTTCTTCCACAAATAGAAAATTCTATGACATCGGACTTCGGGTTAAACTCAAAACTCGGCTACCACCATCCCTCTATAAGACCTACTACTAACGTAGCAGGAATACGATCCGGAAGACTCTAGCTAAGTATCTTACTTGCTAACGCCATTATTCCCTATGTCATTTGGGGCTAAGATGCGATGCATTTTGGCCTTGGCGGTGTATTCGTCTTTGATGACGAGCTGGATCTGCAGATCCTCCTTCCGCCGTCGAAGATCCCACAAGCCATAAATCTCCTAGCTTCAACGTATTCCACCATGAGCCACGAGGAGATTGATGACGAAAAGGCACACTTTGTCGCCAAAAGAGAGGCCTATCTCGACTACACACTTGCCTTTCGCGACCGTCCCAACGACTTCGCCCGGATTAAATTATCGCAAAGGAGTACCGAAGCTGATCCTTCTCACGTCCTTCTTATATCCAATAAAATATTTGACTACTCTCTCGACGACACTGTCCAAATCCTTTTCCCACACTGCCCGAAGCTCCCATTCCCATCAGTACCAGCCCTCGTCCGTCTCATGCCCATTCATATACAGAAATGGATCGACGTGGGCTATACCCCTCAAAGCTGGTCCTTTATCTCGTTGCGTCTCTGTTTATTGGAGCAAGCCATCAATTTCTCTTTTCCCAAAGAAGTGGAAGAGGAGTATGACAATGCCGATCAGCTGCCGACGACGTTGAAGAAGATGATGAGTGGCCTCGATGAGCGTCAGAAGGGTTGGATTTATGATCTTTTTCTCATAGAGGGAGAGCCGGGCGGGACGTCTAGTGACTCTGATGACGAGAAGGTCTGGGACACTCTCTTTACCCACTGTTCACCTTCAATCGCAAAGTCCGACTCCCATGGCAGTCATGACAGCGGTATCAGTGGCCTCTCAGGAAGCTCCGGGAAGAAAGCACCAATCACTTTCAAAGATGATATCGGAGTCGCTGAGAGTGAGTTTCTACTTTAGCAAGACTACCAACATCATGCTCTGGAATGCAGGTACCCCTCCAGAGCGAGAACACTATTGAGAACGAGTCTTGTTTAATTCCAGTGAGATAGATATGTATAGCGTCATGTACCAAAGCTTCTGATGGTATGGGTTCATAGTAGCACTGTAACAGACTGAATCAACAATTTACTGATACTTGGTGCCAAAATACCAGTGCACGGGTCACTTCTATGTGCTTACTTTGCCCCCCTGTGTCCTCAGGCAAATCAGAGGTTCCCATTTCTGTCGTCACTTTAACATCAAATGTGGTCGCCCAAATACTTCTGGTGTCCTTAATTGTTGAGTATATTTAAGCCGATGATCTACTCGACTATGCTCAAGCCAGAGGACGTGCCGGTTCAGCTCCCTAGACAACAAACGTCAACATAGCACTGGCACGCATTTCCCTCCGATTGTTCCTTTATAAGTCTCCCTAGAATACTCCATTTCGGGGCAATGAATGGTGTTACCGTGGTCAACACTTGTCTGTCCAGATGGTCGAAAGGAGGTGAATCGGAATGGTGCGTTCGGTTTTCTTCTACAATGACGCCACATAACCTGGATACAGTCGGGCATTCCTTATTCCACTTCACTCCACCCCTCCGAATCCAAACGTTCTCGACGACATCTTGACAGCCTACCAGGCTCTTCTTTTCTCGACTCTATCGTCTTGGACTAGTAGAGGAAGTTTGTCCCCCGAGTCTTTCGTTGCTTTTGTCCAGTCTATGCTCAACAGTCTCCCTTCCTCTTCTTCGTCGTCAACAACTACTTCATCCAATACTGCCCTTTTTAAAGAGCAAGTGGTTGATCTCATATGGACCGTTGACACCGAATTGGATGAAATCGTGGCTGACGCGAAGGCGACCATAGCAAAAAGTGGCGTCCAAGACTCACCAGGAGACAAGCCTGCCGCGCTGTTAAAGGCGAAGAAAGCCAAGCAGGATGCCGAAGCTGATAAAGATAGGATAATTTCTATTGTTAAACAGTTCATGGTGAGTCGCACGCGACCTATGGCATGCTGTGTTCCGACTGAACACGGTCCCTCCAGAACGTTGGCATTATCTCACCTGCGATCGCTCGAGAAAGATTGGATTCCTCAATTTTGTCTAATGTCGGGATATTTGCAGACAAATCAACATTGGACAAAAGAGATATTCGAACTCGGACAGGATTATTGTGCGTGGTTCTTTGAATGTATGCGACAGGATGATAAACGTCTTCCCGTCCAGCTTCAAGCAGAACAAGTTCAATCTTCTCCGGGAGCAGTCTGAGGGATACAGCAAGCTTACTACAGAACTTACAAGTAACCTTGGCCCCGCGCATTCGTCCTCTACCGGTCGACCAACCGAAACTTGGTCTGCTATCGAAGAACGCGCACGACCGGTCTGGGAAAAGATCACCAGTCTTATTGGCTACTTTGATCTGGATCCTATACGCGCGTTGGATATCATATTAGACGTTCTGAGCACCCACCTCGCAACTCATTACACCTTCTTCATCGCCTTGCTCTCATTTTCCCCTTGGGCTGGCTCTTATCGAAAACGCACTAGAGAGGCACCCATGTCTGTAGACGAGTCAGAAAGCCGGTACAAAGGCAAGACCCTTCACCAAGTCCTCTCATTAGCCGATCCAAGGTTTAATTCCGAGACACCTCCGGCGGATCAGAAACCATCTGTGCTAGCCCAAGTTTTAGGTTTCAAATTCGTCTACTACAGCGTACGCGCAAGTCTTGTGAATCTCTTTCTGAGCCAACTAAATGATTTGTTTAGGGTCCCGATGTTTCTGAACAGACACCCAGAAATTTATATCTGACAGCAGCTCTCCTAATACGCGAAAAATTTATTGTGCTGGAAGACTTGTATCCTCATGTCAGTTCTTGCCTTATGCCATTGACATTATACTAACGGATGTCATAGCTGTCTCTGCCTGATGCAGACATGGAGCAGTCGCACGAGGCGTATCTGGCTGACATCAAGTCCAGAATAGCTGCCGCCAAAATTAGCCAGTTAGCAATGGCTGCTCCGTTGGAGTCTACAACGTCTTCGTCCAAAGCCAAGGCTTCGACTCCCGCAGAACAGAAACATGAGAACGAATTCAAAGATCGATACACCCAGAAAAGTGGCATGATTGCGGCTCTATTGGCCGTAGGTGCCATCAAACCTGCGCTTTGGCTTCTGTCCAAATTCCCTTGGATGGTAGATGCACAGCCTGAAATAGCTGATCTCATGATTCGTATCATGAAATTATCTATCCAACCACTCTATGATTCTGTCTTGGTCACCAAGGAACGCAATCCGAGTTTCTTACAGCCCAGGGCTCGCTATGGAACAACAGGTGTTACGCAGCCACCACCAAGAAAACAAGTGCTGACTCTGTGGGCTCCCACACCGCCATGTACATCCACGACAGAATTTGTTTTCTTCTTTCCAGACTGGTCCGAGCAGGTTCCCATATGCTCTACGCCGGATGATCTGGTGGATGTTATCGAGCCGCTGATGCGTTTCATTGGATTGCACGTTTCTCGTGATACGATTTTCCTGACCAAGTTCCTAAGGCTTGGTAGGACTCAGTTACAGACTACGGTAGGAGCCTCGTTTATCTCACTATTACCTGCGCTGACATACAAATTGTCGTTCCTAGGTTGAAGTAGATCCCGTCACCAAGAAGCCGCTAGGAGAGCCTGACCCCGAAAATCCTATACGCGTATTTTGGTTCAGGGTGTTGCGTATGTATCTTCTACCGGCCCTTACACTTATTCGCGGGAATGCGGTTTGCACCGTTGAAGTTTGGAACATCATTCGGCAGTACGAAACGACAGCGCGATGGCGTTTGTATGGGGAGTGGAAATCTCACATATACGATTCCCATCCGGAACTTGGTGTACGTCGGGTTGAAGCCGATAGGGAGTCGAAGGGGATACTACGACGCCTTTCGCATAATACCATCGATTCACTGTCTGGTACGGTGGCGAAGCTTGCGCACTCCAACCCGTGCATCTTTTTTATCAACGCGGTGAATCAAATCATGGCCTATGACAACCTGGCCAGCGTCGTTATCCAGGCTCTGCGATTCGTGACTAATATGGGTTTCGACGTGTTGGTTTTCATTATCCTCGACGCTCTATCAAATCAAAGGAAAGAGCGTGTTAAGGACGATGGTGTCAACACCAGCGATTGGCTACAAAGTGCGTGCGGAGAGTATGGTACCCCGAAGAAAGCGTGCTGACTACATTAATAGGTTTGGCCTCATTTACCGGAATGTTGTTCAGACGTTACAGTGCTGACCTTACTCCTGTCTTGAAGTATATCGTACATCAACTTCAAAACGGGATGACTTCAGAGATCGTGGTCCTTCGAGAGCTGATATGGAAGATGGCGGGCGTCGAACCGTTACCTAGCTTGTCTGACTCCCAGATAGCCGCTATGGCAGGCGGCCCGGCGTTGCGTATAGAAGCCATTGCATCGGCCACCCGTGGTGCAAGGCTTGACCCTGCTGAAGCTAGTTTGAAGGGACCGTCTAGGCTTGGCAAGACTTTGGTGGATTCCGGCTTAGCTCTCCCGCTTTTGATACAGGTAGCTCAGCAGCGGCAGTCGTCGATCTACAAGGCTCCCGATGCGCACCTGAAATCACTAGCCAGTTTGTATGATACGGTATGTCAGCACAGGATGCTTCCTCGGACATTATCAAGACTTACATACTGTCGTTAGACGCATGGTGTACTGCTTCAGTATCTGGAGCTTTTGACATCACCATCTGTTGTACCAGCTGAAGACTACGCAAACAAGATAATACCCCCCATCAGAGAACTAGGCGAGAAGTACGGGATCTGTGCCCCGATATGCATGCAGATTCTCAGACCTGTGCTTCATGATGCACTGTTGGTTCGTTGATCATGTTTTACTCTTCAGCTGCGTATTGAGACCAGGGTGACAGAAAACGGCATTAGCTAAAGATGAACAAAACCGTCTTGCTAGTGAGGAAGCCGAGAAACGGCTGAAGGCTGCTCTCACGGCGAAGCGCGAACCGTCGGCAGCAATCTCTCGGGTTGCATCACCAGCTGTGGTTTCAACCAACCCTTCTGAGGTGAATGACGAACCCAAAGCGGAATCTAGCAATGATGACGTTGCCATGGAAGTTGAACCAGCAGCTGCATCTGTAGCACCTGAGGTTCGTTGAACAGTCTTCTTGTTGTATACTGTGGCTTGATAATATCTTTCCTGACAGAGCCCATGGGTTCCCGAACTGGCCGCATTATTCGATGACGTGAAGCGTATCGCCCCTGAACGTGCTATCAATACCATTGGGTAAGTGAGATCTTTCTTTCTGTGACAGACGTTGAATGAACCCTTCCAGACCTGGTTTCTATTTGACATTTTGGCAACTCTCTACTTATGACTTGTCGCCGCCTATGACTAAATACGACGAAGAAGGAGCTGCACTGCGAGCCCTCAGTCGTCAGGAGGATTCCAGATATGTGGCTGCAGATCGTTCCGCGGACCGCCAGAAACGTCTGACAGCAGCAGCCCACCGCTCGAAACGAGATCGATACAACCAGCTAGTAAACACTTTGAACCGGGAGCTGAAGCAACAGATCATATCTAGAGAATACACTCAGAAGCGTCTGGCTCAAGAAAAACAGTACTGGTTCGCTCACTGTAAGTTCACGACTGTCGAATATGCTCTTCGGCTTATTTGAGGTTCTAACAGTGTCAAGCAAACGAAATCTTGCTCTCGTGGAAGCAATGCTAGAACACTGCATTTACCCACGCTGCTTGTTGTCCCCCATGGATGCTGATTATACGGCTCAAATGATTAGGCTTTTGCATACCCAAGGCACCCCAGGGTTCCAAACAATTGTTTGCTATAACCTGGTTAGTTCGCACATCTTGTTGGTCTTCTTGTTACTCAGTTTATCCGACCTTAGCTACTCAGTGATGACGTCAAGGTTGTCCTCTTCTCTTGCAGTGAATACGAAGCGCGTAATTATGGTAAGGTGTGAAACATCCCGTAGCGACGTTTGCTCATAATACGTCCAACAGGTCGGTTCCTTCACGCTATCTTGACGGACCTTTACAAGTGGCACTCTGATGAGCAAGCATGGTTATCGGATAATCGGTCGACAGTGAAAGGAAAGACTGTGATTCATCCGGGCTTTCAGAATCGTCCTGGTCAAACTGGCCATATATCGCATCTGGAGTTCCAAAAGTTATTAAGAAAATGGCATATGAAGCTGGTCGGGGTAAGTTTCTTTGCGATTGTCACCAACAACTAGCCAGCTAATAGCATCATCTTTAGGCCTTCATCGACTCCATAGAAACCGGAGAATTCATGCATGTGTACAACGCCATCCTTGTTCTGAAGGAGATTCTACCGGTATTTCCTCTATCGACAGTTGCTACTCACGGCGGTGTGAAGCTGAACCACGCCATGGAGAAATTCCTTGAAAACGAGAAGCGTGGAGACTTGATGATTCTTGGCCGAGCGTGAGAGCATATCTTACTTCTTGCGATGTGAACAATCTCTAATGCCCTGGTAGTTATGCCGCGACTTTGAAGAAAAGAGAACCATTTTGGACGCCACCTAAGGTGCCGCCTGGCAAGGTATTTCTTTCATGATTCTAGTAAGATTAGGATTCATATTGTTTGGATATAGCCCAACGGTACAGCGGCAGCAGTCAAGGCACCTTCAAACAATGCCGCTCCAGAAAAACCTCGAAGTGCTGTACCCCCGACCGGTCCGAGTGCTCAGTCAACAGTCAATGGAGAAATAAGACGCTCTACTTCTCAAGCCGCGTCGACGCCCTCTGCTCCACGAGCCCACGCCAGCAATGGTGCAACGGAAAAGTCAGCAAGTAACTCAACGTCAACCAAACTGACAATGGAGCAGTATGTTACCCAAAGTAATTTCCCCGGGAACCGCAGCTTTGTTAATGCTGTTATCTTTTTAGCGATAAACGACCTCCTGTTGTCCGGCGAGTAGCACGCGACTCTGGCAATGAATCCCCTCGGCCTTCTGTTGTTGATACTCATGGCAAACCGGGTGCGCAAACCGGCCGCGCCACACCTACAGGGCCCGCACCGTCCAAAGAAGATACAATGCTTTCCCGACGTTCTCAGCCACCATCACGACACGACAGCCCCGTTGTTGCTGCCACTGATCTCCCACTTCCTGCTCGCCCTGTCGCCAGGGAAGCAGGACAGGCGACTGCGAATTCGGCCCTTGGGAAGGAACCTCCTCAGTCTCCTCGAAGCCATCGTGCAGGAGATGATAAAATCAACAAACCCGATACTCAGCCTACCATGCCGCCTCCATCTGTGCCTAGCCAAACTCCTTCTGCCCAAGAACTCAGAGAGACCGCGAAACAGTCTATCCTTCGGTCAGAAAAAACTGCCGATGATAGAAACGTCAGACCCGCAGTTGAATCTCGAAGTCGTAATGGATCAGCGGCACCGTCTCCCCGCCATCGTTCTATCTCTCCGCCTAGTGGGCCAGGTACGCGAAATTCTAGCGCTGATAGCCGGACAAGCAGGACCCGTTCTGACAGAAGGCCTGCTGACGGTGATGAGAAAAAGGTCGACAGAGAAAGCCGTGAAACACGGGAACCGGCCCCTCCTACCCGTCGCGACAGCATTACGCATACTCGTAGTGAACGAGCCGGTCGGGAGCGTACTTCGACACGTGAGAGTGACAAAGATGGAGAGAGAGAGAAAGATCGTGACCGTGACAGAGACAGAGGGCGTGATAGACATGAGAGAGAGCGCGACAAGGACCGGGACAGAGACAGGGGAGATAGGGAGAGGGAGAGAGATAGAGACCGCGATCGTGATAGGGAAAGAGACCGAGATCGTCATCGGAGAGGTGGAGATGACAAGGAACGTGACCGTGAAAGGAAGGAGCGTGACGGCCATAATCGTGGTCCCAGTGCCACCGTTCCTGCTCCTTCAGAAACAACACGACCGGGTCGAAGTCAAAACGATGACAGTCTTGGGAAACGGAGGAGGGGTGAAGAGGAGGTAAGATAAGCTTCCGTCAATAATTTCTGTCAGGCTCATTTCTTTTCCAGGCTGAGCGAACGCTGAAGCGTGGGTCACGTAAGGAGGGTCACGACCGAACGAGACGTACTGAAAAGGAAGGTCGTGAATACGAAAGGCGGAGAAGAGATCGGGAACCGTCCGACGCTGATGGCCGCGGTGCTACTGGTAGTGCAGACAAAGTACGTCTCTTTGCGTTCTGATGCCCGCTCGTTATTTATTCTGTGCAGGGTGGTGACAAACGACCTCCGCCTGAGGCACCATCATCTCTAACGAAAGTTCTACCTCCATCCACACCTTCGGCACCCAGGGCAATGCACACGACTCCGAACTCAGATCCTCCCAGGAAACCTGAAACCAACACAGGACGTGATCGTCATCGTGATCATCATAACTCTCCCCCTCCACGTAACTTTCAAAGTTCTAGTACAAGTAATGCGGTGGTGCCTTCCGAGAATGCGACACAAAACATAGGGGGGAGCTTACGAGATCGCATAGGTGACAAGGGTTCTACGGCTGTTTCCCCCTCGTACTCGGGCAGACCTGAGCGGGACGAGGATGATCGTGATGGTAGAAAGCGGACGATATCAGGTCAGCGTTCTAGACGATTCGTGTACCTCGCGCTAACGTATAATTGATATTAGAACGCGAAGATACGGGCGCGGAGTCGTTGGAACCAACGATCAAACGCGCAAAACTGATCAGGGACCGGACTCGATACAGCCGGCAACATAATCCGGCGAAAGATTATTTACTAGGCGACAATACACGACGGGGCGGCGGTCGACGGTAACTTACATAACATTGTCAAATTGGTCTACAATAATAGCAATGTACCATAGTGCATTTACTGTATTTATGTATAAATCTGTAGAACTACATAATCTCACGCTCCTCCATTACCCTCGTTGTTGAACGTGAGGGAGGTATCCAATATCGGTATGGATAAGAAAAGAAGAGGTCTGCTTTGTTATCGCTTGATTAGACTGAGGAATTCTTCTCGAATTTTTTGATGTGTACGGAAACAGCCCAGCATACAAGATGTCACGGTGATGGCACCAGGTTTCTGAACGCCACGCATTGTCATACAGAGATGACTGAAAGAAGCATATTGATTTATGAGAATGATTGATAGATTCAATGAATGATAACCTACGTTGCTTCCATGACCACAGCTACTCCGCGAGGCTTTATGGCCTCTTGAATTGCAATTGCGATCTGCTTCGTCAATCGTTCTTGGACTTGGAGCCGTCGGCTGAAGGTTTCCGCTATTCGTGCCAACTTGGAAAGGCCTAAGACGAGCTTGTTAGGGATGTAAGCTATGGCAACCTAGGAAGAATGAGATATGAGGTTGGTATGGTGATCGTGTCACTAGAGTACTGACTTTTCCCGTGAAGGGAACCAAATGATGTTCGCAAAGACTTGAAATATCAATATCGCGAACGATGACCATTTCATCGTGGTCTTCGGCAAAGACAGCGTCGTTAATTACATCTACATTGACGAATGGAGATTGTAGAGAAGGATACAACAGGAGAATTCGTTCGTACCTGCTAAGCGTTCTTCATAACCCCTTGTCATCCACATCACAGCTTGAGCATACCGATCAGGCGTCCGCAACAGACCTTCGCGGTCAGGATCTTCTCCGATGCAGTCAAGTATAGTACGAACAGCGGCAGGCGATCTTCTGTTCTCGCTCTTTCTTCTCCTCGGCTGTCGCAGTCAAACGAGAGTACGTAGACTTTGCTGTATGGATTTTTTCTCTCTAAGTTATTTGTGTCGATATTAGACCAATCGTAGACATACCGGGCCAACCGAGGCCATTTACATCGGGGACGAGCGTATCTGGAGGTGCATGGCCTGTCAGCGGCGTCGACACTCCGGATGGAGGGCGGAATCCGTAGCCTTCATGAACCCGATGGGTGGGGGTGCCACTGCTTTGCTGCCTCGGTTCATTATCAGCGAGCTCCGGAACTGTATGGAGCTCGGACATGGTATGAGCCTGCAATTTCTGGGATAAGGAATTGACGAGAGCATCAGAATGAAGATCTGCCATGGTTGCCCATGCAGGCGTAGTAAAGTAGTGACTCAAAATTTTTTTAAAATAAAAATAGGGGCCCGGAAAGAACAGAGATGACCTAATCCCGCTCGCATGGTACGATTTACCAAAAAAGGAGAACTGAAGGCTCATCGCCGAACTGCCTTGTTTGACTGTTTGTCGGGTCGCTCCTACCGTTTGCGTCCGCCCCAGTACAGCCTTTTCTGTATCCTTTTAGATGTGTTTGCACGCGTAGCACTGCAACGGCAATGCACGTATTCCGGCACTTTTGTATATTAAATCCATGGTTGCGAATAACAAAAGACAGACGTGGGGCCTCTCATATATCTATCCCAACTTTTCTCCTCGTCCCTAGGCATGCATCCCCTTTCTTTCTGCCGTACCAGCATGCGCTACACTCCTTGGGCTTTCCTTCTCGCTGCTACAGACAGTTTCCACAGTTCGGGCCTCTGCGAAAAATCCGGATCTCACTCTCCCACGTCTACGTCCGTCTACGATGTCTGGCTGGCATCCAGGGTAATTCCCAACGAAAGCGGGGGGGCAACCACACTGGTAGCTGGCGCTCAGCGGCCTATTAATGTTGCGAATACCCATCTGGCTCTTCAGATTCTCAAACGGTGTACACCGGAACTTGTATGTGAATCAGGCACTAGTTCATACTTTTTTTTTTCACTCCTTCATTCAAGGTTCAATGCATGTTCCAGTGCCACCCAACAAGAACAGGATGCATGTTAGCCTTCAACATGCTTCGAAGTCTGTTTCCAGCCTTCCGTGGCTATTCCCAAGTATGTCGTGGGGCACGGCTTCCCTAATTAACCTTCCTAATGTCTCTTACAGGCAATGATCATTGACGAGGTACTAGTCACTCTTTGTACTCCATATGTCTACTCAGAGAAGCATACCAGGTGCAATCTCTCATAACCTCTGGCATCTTCACTTGGTCTCGACTGGCGCGTCTCGTGGGCGTAGAAATTGCACGGCGGATATGTGAGAATTTATTGGACTACATGGCGTAGGTTTGTATTCGCGTAACTTTTCACGTCTTTAACATGCCAACAGTGCTTCAAATGAGCATCTCGTTCTGGGTTCAGCGCGGTTCGTCGTCGAGCGAAAACAATTGGAACAACGCATTCGTTTGGACAATCCTTCGCTCTCCGACCCCGTTATTCGCGACCTGCTGCAGGAATCTGACATCTTCGCGCGCTCCTTCACTGGGGGTGGATTCGGGCTGATATCCCCACTCGAATTCATCCAAATTTTCGCGCTTCTTACAGAAATCGGATCACATATATGGCTGGTTCTCTCTTTGACGAGCAACGCGACACATATGGGCATATTGCTACTTTCGATACTCTCCGTCATATTTCCGCTCCTTCTTCCATGGTTTACTATGTCCCATATTCCAACGGACCTATTGTATACACCACAAGAATCCCGCGCAGCGCGCAGGCAGGAACAGATGCGCAACCTCGCTTATAGCGACATGCATCGCCCGGAGGTTGCATTATTCGGTCTACATGACTGGATCCTAAGCTCGTGGTCTAGGGCTTGGAAGGTTGTCTTCGCTTCGGAACAGGCTCGTTGCTCTCCCAGCTTCTCTCTGCTATCCGGAAACGGTTTTACAGACCTGATTATATCCCTTCAAAATGTTTGTCCCTCTGATACACTCCCTCTACTCATCTGATCCATCCAGCCAGATTCCTTTCGTTCTTCTTCTCCAATCATCGTCTTCCGCAACATTAGGATCTCTAACTTTATACCGAGGATCCGTGCAATCTATCATTTATGGCTTCAGGAATCTCTTGACCACTACAAGAATGGCATTTCAAACCATCTTTCTTCTCTCGGCGTTCTGCGCGAGCATGCAGGTAAAGCCAAAATTACAACCACCTGAGCATGAGGCTGTCGAATACAAGAAAAGGCCTGGCGGAATCAAGATTGAAGCCAGGTAGGCAATAGTGTCTCCAATTTTTGGCTTTTATGACCTCACTGTTCCTTCGCAGAGGTCTTTCGTATACATATCCGGATAGTGTTATGCCCGCTCTGCATGACGTCAATTTCACTCTCGAGGCGGGAGAGACCCTTGCAATCGTCGGTTACAACGGCAGTGGCAAATCAACCCTCGCCAAGATTCTCCTACGCATCTGTGATTTCGACCAGGGAGGACTATTTATTAACGGCGCCGATCTACGAAAACATCGTGTTCCGGATTATCACAAGCGCGTTTCAGCAGTGTTCCAGGGTTTCTCAAAGTATAACTATACACTGGAGGAAAACGTGGGGCTTGGGTGTATTGACAAAATGAAGAGCCCGACGGCGATCAAGGACGCCCTTCACCTCGCGCAAGCGGACGGGATCGTGAAATCCTTACCTCATGGCCTCCAAACCGTCCTTGAGGGACCTGGATTTGAAATGCTCCCGTATCCTGGAAGTCTACCATCAGGCGACCGACATCACCACGGACTGTCGGGCGGCGAGGTGCGATTTCCCATGGTCATTTTGCGTGCCCGCGTGTTGCTAATTTTGGTTTCGAAAAAAAAAGTGGCAGAGAGTCGCCATCGCGAGGGCTTTCATCAAGGCAGTTGAACCACAAGTTGATCTACTCGTGTTTGACGAACCGGTACGTCTGTACTGTATTGTCATCTTCAAATCAAACTCAATCCACCCTTCATACAGACGTCCTCATTAGATGCACACGCACAGCATCAAATATTTGAAACCATACATAAGATAACACATACCGAAGACGGTCGACCATTGAAGACCGTTGTATTTATTACACACCGACTGTCCACCGCTCGTCGTGCCGACAAGGTCGCAATGATGGAGAATGGGGTAATTCCACTCCGGCATCATCTGTTAAAACATTTCATTGACGGGTTGTCTTATTAGACCATTTGTGAATTCGGGACACACGAAGAACTGCTACGTCTAAATGGCAAATACGCCACGTTATACCATCAATCTGTGTAGTACAGCACATAAGACAATCACTGGAGTATTCATACACTAACTACTGTAGTAATATACCAAGATAATCCATTTATTAATACAACCATATATTTTCAATTTCTGTTGTCGGCTAATACAATGTATCGTAGTTAAATCTCCTGCATTGAGTGGTCGAGATATACGGCAAAACCGTCGGAGAGATATGCATCAATGGAACCATCTCCACCGGTTGTCAAAGGCGTTGATCGCTCCGAAGTTCCATGTATGCCAGCCAATAGACCGACATTCTTGATGCCTTGGACCAATGAAGGTACTTGCAGCTAATCAATTCAACCGTTTAGAGCGCGTGAAAATATATCAGGAGACGCAATGACGAACCAAAAGATCGGCATCGACGATGACACCCAAAAGATTATTGATCCGCGCAAACTCAACTGCTTCTCCAAGGCTACAGAACCTTCCATCATCCTCATCTTCAAGAGTAAACGGCGAAGGACTAGACAAGAAAATGTCCTTCTTTCCACAATGAGAAGCGAAGAAAACAGGGTCTGTGGACATCACCGCGTTAGTGACGGACAGCAAATTGACATGGCATTGCACGAACAATTCGGTTGTTTCCAGTTCAGGGCAGCGCAGACATCCGGTGAAAACGACGTAAAGACGATTCTCCGACGAGGAAGTCGGCCATCAGTGGAGGTGTTATAAATTGTCCTCAAAATCGAATCTACAAAACTGTTGAGATCTAACCGACTTAGACAATATCGCTCCCGGATTTTGGGTGAGGGATATGCCAGTTCTAAACTGATGCCGATGTTGGGGGGAAGTATCTTTAGATCCAATCAGGTGAATTAAAGAGAGACTAGTATAGAAAAGGAAATACCTTTAACAGCTGTGAGAGAGACATCATTGACCAAAAGACAAAAGCCGGCCAATCAGTTATTGATGACGCGGTGACATTATCGACATTCCGTCCGAGTCGTTCTGCAAGAGCCTCGAACTGCGCCAAGGTAACATCACATACACTAAGATTGAAGTTGGATTCCGGGAGACCCCAGTGTGAGAACACGACTGGTATAGAATCCCGCGTGACCTGGACAACAACGTAGAGATACTTTCCCCTCAGCGAAGAGATCGTCGAAGACTGGGTGCCAGCTCCGGATATGGAGTGAGTCGAAGGTGATGTCTGTGTAGAACCAACGAGACCTGACCGGTACGGCGACGTCGAGATAGGCTGTTGTATTGAAGAAGATATTGTCGATTTCCAGTAGGTTTCGACATCGCCTCCCACTTCGAGGGTCACGCCATTGAAAGATGTAATGATGTTGACTTCGAAAGTGACCTTTCCTTAAACATTAGAATCATCTGCGACATAAAGAACGAATGCCTACCTCCCCAACGACGTGAAGTCTATTGTCCATGATAGGAAGCGTAAAGGACTGGTTGTTCTCGATATCGGTGAAGAGCGAAGGAAGCGCCACGGCACGCCCAATAGTTTTCGTCCCAAAATTAGGATAGATGGAAAACTCCAAGCACAGACAATTGAGGTTAGGTATCTGGAATATAAATACGCCCTTGTCGTCTCTCTGGGGCAACGAGATACTATATGGTGCGGAGTTCACTTCTGGACTCTTGGTTGTGATGACAAGTTTGAGTGGCGCAGTCTTCAATAGATATTCATCACGGAAGGCGGGGCTTATCAGACGATGATGCAATCTGACACTAGGTGTTTGGTTGCGAGAAGTGTTTCCCACAGTTACTTGGACCAAGTGACTACGATCCAAGTAGTTATGTCCATACACGCGATGAGGCATGATTGGCGGAGGTAAGGAAAGAGAGGGAATCATGTCGATCTCGAATTCCCTAGCATGTCCGTTCTGATCTGAATTGGGCGAAACATCCGGCATTGCGACGATTTCTGCTACAGCCGGTATGCGAGCGGAGGCTTCAAGAAGGCGATTGAGACATTCGTGATGACCATACCACGCAGCATAGTGCACAGGTAAATGGCCTAGTTCGTCAGTCAGAAAGACTCTGCTACCCGCTTCCAAGAGGATGGAAACGCATGCTTCGTGTCCATACCGCGAGCCATGGAACAAGGGCGTCCATTCATGATATTTATCGGGCGTATCCCAACCGTCATGGTGAAGTAGTATTTTGCACACTTCAGCATGGCCTTCACGTGCCGCTAGGTGCATAGGATATTCACCGTTGCTATTAGGCAAACACTTTGCACCACGTTTGAGTAACAAGACGACAATGTCGACATAGCCGCATTGGCTAGCAAGTGACAGAGGTATAAGATCTCCACCTGGTGTAGCGGGTTGTGGGGGAACCTCGTGCTCGAGAAGCACCTCGACACACTCGACACACCCGCGCAAGGTGGCATACACCAATGGGCTGTAATTGTCGATGTCCAGATTATTCAGAGGTAGTCCTGTTTCCAATAATCGACGACATATAGCTGCATGTCCATTCATTGCAGCGTAATGAAGAGCTGTCCGTCCATAAGCATCCACTTTGTCGATGGAGACCTGCTTCTCTATGCAGAGATTGACCAATCGAGGTGTGCCCGCCATGGCAGCCTCGTGTAAGCACGTCCGTCCATTGATATCATCAATAAAGTGAAAATCAAATGGGGAGGACAGGGAGAACAAGATAAGATCTGCAAACTCGGGCGGAGCCTCTATGATGACATTCCAGAGTATGCGGGTGACATTACTTGATGCGTCGGCTTCCTGAGAAAGCACATCAGAGTAACGCACGCAGTCTGTTATAGCGGCTGGGTCGGCACTCGTGACAGCCTTGCGTAGGTTCTTTTCAAGGTCGTGGAACGGGCCTACATACGGTGTTCGTTCAGCCATTAACTGTTGTGTGAAGATATCATTGGCCCCTGGTCCTTCGAACTTGAGACCAGAAGAGAGGTCCGTGATATCAAGAAGACAGGCAGCGACGGTATCAGAAAGCTCTGATATCAGCTGCAGACGGAATTTGATATCAGGGTGCATGCAAGGCGGTCGAAAGACAAAAGAGACGGACCTGTCGGTTGAACACAGGCTGGACATCGACCTGCCTGGCGAGATAGAGCTCCTTGGTTGTAGACCTTGACCGCTTATCGAACTTTTTGAGAATTTTGCGAAACCCAGTGGCGTTTATCTCGACAAATTGCTAGAAACGTCCTTAGGGACATGAGCCTCATGGGAGACGTTGCATGATCTCTACCTGCAGTTTCCCAAGGTCACGCTCGAGAAGTCGAAATCCTTCTTCGACAGCGCTCCATTCAACATGAGACTGGGTAGAATCGTTGACCGAATCCGGGAGACCTCTCATGGCAGCGGCGCGACGTTTGGAAAGTAGAGTCTCTAGCCGTAGCTGCAATTCAGCCTCCTTTTGTAGGTAGAAAGCATTGATCTTGGACGCGAAAATGAATCAGGGAAGAAGAATGGAGGCACTGGCCAGCACGCACCTTTTCCAACTCCCGCTCAAGTTTGAAGAAGAACGCTGCTTTGTGAGCTCGAAAGTCAAGACTTCGATCTTCATCCAGTCCAGACTCTGAGAAAACTGGAGGACGACCTAGGTCGTCCTCGAGCGACGCGCTCAATGGCTCGCCAGGGGTTGAGGACTGGTTCAAGAGATCCACTGGACGCAAACCCAAGGCCAATGCAGCTGCCTCCGAGGCTGGACGATTGGCAGCAAGAGAAGAAATGATTTTCTTGAGAAACTTGTAGTCGAGATAGTACGCGGACCATCCTGGTACTTGGTGAGATTGGATGTGCTTGCCAAACTGAAATGAAATCAGGGGCAAGTTGGGGTAAGGATGCTGCAAGTAAGGCTGGCCTTCATTGCTGGACGGTCGCGTGCGCGACAAAGGAACGGTCAGGGAGAGAGAACAAGACGGAATAGGGTAGATGGTAAAATAGCGTTCATAGGAAAGGAAGCGTGGGGCAAAGAAGCCGCCGGAACAATTTAAACGCCAATTCAAAAATTCAAACTTTTATTCACAAACGTGGTTCCTTCTGGTTCCTTCCAGGTCAGAGTTATCGATTTAAAAGTAATGTACGCAAAGGTAAACTCGACTCTATCTACCTTTATTCCATCGATAACCCAGTTCGTAATTGCAATCGCGACGAACGTGCATCCAAATGCAACTTCACACCAGCACTTTGCGAAGCTGCCACACCCTGGAAGGGAGGAGTGTTATTGGGCACTTGCCATGCTTCTCTATGTGATCATACGCGCATCGGTAACAAAACACATAGCCAGAAGGAAGAGCCGTGGCATTGTTGATACTCCTCTGACAGAGGGGGCATGTTCCATATTTCTGTTTATCAAAGGCAATACCTTGCGGATGCGGAGGTAACATGCGCGGAGGCGGAACAGCGGGTCCCAACGGAGACGTTGACAACGACCGTGCAGGAGAGCCAGGTGAATACCACCATTCCAAGAATTTTATAAAGAAAACGGCTGTTGGAAGGAGAAGCCGTAAGGAATCGAGAAGGAGTTGCGGTGACGACCTCAGAAGTTGTCGTAGTCCACGCCCCTTAGCATCAGGTGCACTTTGTACGGCTTTCAAGCTTGCGGCACGCTATACAGAACGTCAGTTTCGTTTCGGGGCATTGAGAAGCATTCTTACAAGGTCTTCTATCCCCAGCCGACGCAGATCTACGCCCATCCATGCCAACCATGGCCGGTAAAAAGGTGTTTGGTCAAAGAGGTATGCGACGTTATAGGCCAATAGCCAGACTTCGAAACCTGCATTGCACCAAGGATACAAAGTCTTGTATGCCCGTCGCAACCAGCCTTTGAACGACTACGAAAGTGAGGCAAAGCTTCGAGGGTGGACAGAGTAGCACACATACCTGGTCAGTCAACATTCGAACCTGACGAACATCTGCTCCATCGTTGAGAACATCGGAACTGATACCTCCATCCAAATCCTCAAAGTAATCATGCGCTTTGGCACGTAGGTATGGTACACCGACCTAGACGTAGTTAGAGCAACCAGAAGAGCACCAAACAAGGAGACGACATACCAAGAAGAGAAGCGACCGCCATATCTCTTGCCGGCGAAGCTTCTCTCCTGCTGGCACTCCTCCTGTAGCAGCTTTCTCTCTCTCAGCCTCGATGTATGGTCGGCGCCTTCGTTTTAGCCCGTAGAAATTCTCTGAGAAGGATGCGCCTGTTCTTCTTCTAAGCCGAACGGATAGCTGGGATGTAGAGGCAGCATACCGTGGTTTTTTAGATAGTGCCGCTCCACTACGAACATAAGGATGGCGTAGAACTCTTCATGGCGATTCACAATACGCAGAAGATATCGAGGATATCGTTGGGCAAAGACCTGTAGCCGAGTGAGATGAGTAAAGAGCAGAAACAAGGCAACTCACAGCTAGAACATACTTGAGTGCTGGCTGCAACAAGTCTCTGAGCTGCTCTTGAGATACCAGCTCGAAAAGCGAAGGCTTGAGAGTATCGGCTCCGACGTTATTGAAGAACTCCATAAGTTGCGTTGCTTGCTTGGGGTCAACCCGCGTCCTTCATCGTTGGAAGACGCGTGTCACGACTCGGCTCCCTGCTACATACTGTATTTGTCACATATATAAAAGCCTATTGTAGCGAGATTGAATTCATCAAGCAATAATACGATATCTTATCCTACATGATTCTACAGCAAGGCCTGACTCAGGCCGGGTTCTTGGCGCAGCACTCAGGGATCAACATCGGCTTCATTGCAAGGTAAAGTCCAGATCCTTTCAATTTCCGCTACCTCCAAGTTCATTTTCTTATCAAGAATACGTTTCCAGCGCCATCCATGTTCACCGGATTCCATTCCATGACTCAAACAGACGCCGAGCTAGCTAATCTGTCGCTGCATGAAGAGCGCGACTATCGATTCACGTCCTTTTCTGCATCCGATGCTGTAACTCTGGTTGGTAGACACAAACCAACATTGATTTCATGTTCGTGACTTTGGCTCCTAGGGCTTGTCGATTCGAAAAAGATTCCGCGGCTCTTCGCGCCATGTCAAGGGCAAGGGTCTGGTGATATCTATTCAAACTATTGCGGGGCATACCCTTTTCTCTTGTACAGTCGGCGATCTGGGCCACCCTGACGGCGTAGGCGATGTCAGTCTAGACAGCTGGGCCTGTTTGGAGGGGATGATTAGCGTCGTTCGCAGGACAGGACACTCGAGCTTCTATGTTGAGAAATCGATGAGTGCAATGGGGAAGACACCCAAGCAGATGGGTATTCAGGGAGATTTTCGTGTAAACGGAGGAGGTACGTCCCGATTTTCTCTGCCATACTCTTCCGATGCTTATCTGCTATTCTGTAGCGTTTCCTATATGGTTGCAGGTGAATATCCAGGCGGAAATTGTTAAGAAATTCGACTGACCTCCCCAAGAATGCACCTTGTTGTCCTATTGGCGTAGTTGCCTGTTACTCTGGCTCTTCACAAGAAGACCATATCGTTCGTATTCTTACGTGTATTTTTGTAATCTGTCCTGACACTTATCCAAGTTGGTCGTGCACACCGTCCGCGATTATTTGGCCAAGCTCATGAGGCCAGCCGGTACCGGGACACCAGGACCAGAATCGATCCCTTCAATGGTCAACGTTCCACCTCCCAACCGCGAGAGCACTGTAGGTATCAACACTCTTAGTATCGTCATTTCTCCTAATGAAAGGCAAAGGAATGGGACCATGCAACCACTGACTATGGACCCTCAGAAGCACCTTACCCGTCGCATACTTAAGCTATCAGTTGGATACAAGTTGACTCATTGGCAGGATGATTACATCTTGGCGACATCATCAAGCCGGACTACTTCGAAAGGGAACGGAATGGATTGTATATATGAGAGATACATAGGATTTAGGTGATGAAAATACTATTTCAGTTCACTCATGAGACTCAGACGACTCGTGTGATTCCTCGTGAGCTTGCTGTTTGGGTGGGCTAATCACCTTGATAGCCTCTGAAGGAAGTACAGTGAGTTCAAGAACAAAAACAGACTTGACTCATACCATGTTTGAGGAAGACCGACCGCTGGGGTGGTGTATCATTTCCCTCAGCGTTGTTATTCTCGCGCATCTCGAAGGCTGCTTCGACGTAGACCTTCGACCCCTTCCTCAGAGTTGAGAGATACTTGTTCGTATTTTCGTGGAAGCAAAAAACACGGTGCCAAGTGGTCTTCGACACAGGGCGATCTGAGAAGGAATCAATGGCACGTTCTGTAAGAAAAAGACGTGTTGCTTACCGCCGTTGGGGGGAGGGGGGCCATACTGTTGGGTCGCGATGGTGTATCTGTATTACAGGTATGTCACGTTTGCAAGCATGCAAAACTACATTTACGCGTACGTGACATAGGGTACATCGTTTTTCCCAGAGCGTGTTTCTGGATCTCCACCCAAATTGCCGATGAGCACAAGTTTAGCCATGTCAGCGCGAGGCCTGCTGGTGGAGAAGGCCTGCAACAAACGAACAAAATCTTGGGAAAGGGGCAGAATATATGATAAGACAATAACATACGCGAACTGAGGCGCGAGAAACGCCGGAGGAGCGGATAGCGCTGAGCATTTTGGGCAGGAGATGATTTTTGTCGAAGAGGGAAAAGTTTCAGAGGTTATTCTTGTTGACGCTTGTGTGTTCCTGAAGGCAATGACATCGTCTGTGGCAGTGCAGCATGCAATTAGTAGCCTGCTCCTACACTATCACAACCACCGTCTCTAGCGCGATCTTGCACGATGTCACGACACAGGGATGTAAGAAATATCAACTTGGATGGTAATGCAAGCAGCGCATATTCTGGTCGAGTCTCTATTAACGCGACTCAATCCAGATGAACTTGACGACGACGCCTTGTCTGATGGCGGCGAGGAAGAAATGACTGAACAATATCAAGGTAAAACAGCCATGGACAACTCAAACTCTGTGCTTGACCGCCGCGAAATACAGCTGAATTAAATGCATCTTTCGAGCAAGTACTGGACGTCATTGGCGGCGAAGAGACCACGGGCATTTCTGAACGCGAAATCAAAGAGTACCTTTGGCAATGTTATTTTAAAGTTGACCAGACAATTGAATGGGCGCTCGGTGAGTGTGGAGCTTTTCAGTCCATCGAGCTAAGCACTGATACTGGGTTAGATGAACAAGAAAGACGACGCTTAGCTAGGGAGCGGAAAGGTAAGCTCTTCACAGCAACATTGTTTCTCGTAGGGTAGCCTTGCTTCGTTCGTTACATCTTGTGCTCTCCTACCGATGCCTTCCAGCGTGTAGAGACGAGAAGGTCGCGTGCTCCCTTCGCCAACATGTTCAGTCTGCTCATATTCCACAGTTACTCGAATCGCTAACTGACTCTGGCCCGTCTAGACATTGACTCAAACCAAGGTGTTCCTACCGTTGTTCTGGATGAACACTTGCCGAACCATTATTCATCTGAGAGCAGCCAGATGCCTGCGCATTATGAGAACAACGGGAGATCTCGAGTACCGTTGATTGTTCTGGCGCAACAACAACAGCGGATGCAACAGCAGGAGGAAATGCAACGTCAAATGCAAAACTATGAGCTGGTGAACGATGAAGAGTCTTCAACTGAGGCGACCCCTCAACTTCCTAGACGAATGCTGAGCACAATCACTGAAAAGAGCGAAAGAACTGAACCCTATTGGTCGCCTAATACACAATATAATCAAAATCCACCTCCTCCAAGTTCTATAACCACGTCGTACGGACAGGTGATAAGTAAGTGCATATAGATTTTGGCTCTTCCCTTGTTTCTGACAGTCCCATCAGATAGAGATACACAGTACGAGACACATGTCTCCGAGAATCCCAATTCTATTCCTCCATCTCCATCCCCATCAGTTGTTCGCAGGCTATCTCAGTATTCGCCTCCTCCTTCTCTCCTCCGTTCGGATTCTCGGAGTTCAACGTCATCAGCGCATGCACCGAGTGTATCTGTCCCACCAATCGATACCATTCCAGACATCCCAGATACCAACAGTAGATCTACTCGTCATGTTCCAGCACCCGTCAAGAAGACGTCCAAACTGTCTCAGCTCGCCGCTAATGCTCGGGCTAGTAACATGTCTCTTGCGAAGACTGAGCGATCAGGACCTTCGGGAAGTGCAATAGACGAGGGCTCTGTGAGGACTTGGCCCGCGCTTCGCCCAACTGCGACATCCATTCCCCCCTCACCTTCACCTCTCCCAGCAACCCGTTTGTCTACTCACTCGTCTGCTCATTCCTCAACGACATCAATCATCAGAAAGGCCGTCCAGACAGCGATGGAGCTCGAAGCATTGGATCAGCAAAGGCCACCAAAAGTCCCCCCGAAAGATCCGCCCAGGGACCCTACACCAGCTCCGACAGACTCGGTTCCTGCCTCGAACGACCCTATTCCTGCTTCGAACAATCCTACACCTGCACCTAGTCAGTCACGGTCTCTTGAACCTCAGACTCCTACCCCGCCTACGTCTCCACGTAGGGCGTTATCTATCAATAGGCCAGCTGCCCCAACCCCATCCAGAAAGGCAGAGTTGCCATCTCCAGATACCGTGCGGAAGCCCTCTAAACTTGCTTTATTGGCACAGTCCAAGGCAGCTCCTAAAGCAGTCGCTAGGCCGATTCCTACAAAGGGACCCAGTCTTCTGGATTCTGATATCGGGCGTAAACCGAAACCTGGTCAGCACTTTACAAAATACCTGGCACCGGTGGCCAACGGTGACACCGTGACCACTGCCATCACCTACTCTTATGAATCGCTCCGCACGTTGACTGATCCCAAGCGACCACCGGAAGAGGCGCCATATGTCGTTACCCTTGAAGAGGCGCTCGAAAAGAAACCCTCGAAGCTCGCAGCGAAGATCAAGAAAATGCAAGAAAAGCATCGGAGCATTGTTTTGCCTGAGCATGAAGAAGTCGAGTTGCCTTCTGCTCCCCCGTTATTCCTCCCCAGTTCGGCTCCTCGCGCGCTGCCTTCCGCATTCGCTACCATCCTCGTCGATGATCTGACGTCTTCCAAGCACAAGGCGAAACAAAAAGACGGGCATCACAAATCAAAGACGAAACACAGGCGCCAGGATTCGGCAGAAGAGGGCATACGTCATAGTCGTGAAGAAGCCGCACCAATCGTGCCAGGCCTTGCTTCCCCCGCCGCATTCAAGTTTGACGAACCAAGTCCCGACGACGTTGTCATGCGTGCACGACAAGGTTCAGCCTTAGCCAACAAAGGCGCTCTACCTTCTGCGGCACGGACAAAAGCGTCTTCTTCCACCAAAGCTTAATTTATACTTCTGCACTTCTTCCCCTCTTTTCTTTTCTTTTCTTTTTTCTTTTTTCCTTTTCTATTCTTTTTGTCGTCTGTATTCTTACTTGTGTGTAATTTTATAGCTGCGAGAGAACGCGAGAAACTCCACAAAGCTCAGACACAGAAGAACCTAGCATCAGTGAAGTCGGCTTCGAACTCTAGAGCAGGCTCGCCTGTTCCCGCCAAAGGATTCAAAGCACCGGGAACACCCACAAAAGCATCAGCTACCGGAAGATCGGGGACATCGACTCCAGTTGATCAACGAATGATAGATCTTTCAGCGCTGAACCTGACTCCCAAGGTCGAGCCCGTGCCTGTCGAGGAAGCGCCCAAGATAACATTAGCGAGGGAAAAGGTTTTGGAGGAAGCTAAACGCGCTTTGGAATCTCAACAGACTGGTGACCTCAAACTTGTCAGTCTTGTGGTAATAGGTAGGTTTTCATTATTCTGTTGGAACTTCTTGTCAATGAGAACGTCAAGGACACGTTGATGCGGGAAAATCAACTCTTATGGGTCGGTTATTGTATGAAACCGGTCGATTAGATGAGAAAACGCGCATAGCCAACGAAAGAGGTAGTACCAAGGCAGGCAAACGTAGTTTCAGCTGGGCATGGAGTCTAGATGGCACCACCGAAGAGCGCGAAAGGTAAGTGAAGAACTGCGCACACTGCATGCCGATCCTGATGTTCTGATGGTAGAGGTATCACGATGGACATCGCCTTGCAATCTCTCAAGACGCCACATCGTCAAGTCACCATCCTAGATGCTCCAGGACATAAAGATTTTGTGCCGAACATGATCTCAGGCGCGTCCCAGGCTGACTGCGCACTGCTTGTTGTCGACGCGTCTCCTGGAGAATTTGAAGCTGGATTCGATCGTGGTGGACAGACTAGAGAACACCTCATTTTAGTGAGGAGTTTGGGTGTCTCTCAGATCATCATTGCAATCAATAAGTTCGATGTGGTTCGTATACTCCCTTTATCAATCTATGTGATTGTATACTCATACCATGGCAGATACAATGGGACCAAAGTCGTTTCGAAGAGATTTGCAAACTCCTGCGTCCCTTTTTGGTTCAGTCGGGATTTCATCCCTCTAAAACGCAGTTTGTCCCAGTTGGAGCTATCGATGGGATCAATTTGGCTGAGAAGCCTGTCCAAGTCAAGGAGTTCACCTCTTGGTATGAGGGACCTACGTTGGTTGATTGCCTTGGTATGTGCGCGCAACGAATGGAATTCCTCAATCTGAATTATGGCTAATAGATAAGCTGGAACCGCCTACGCGTGACATCACTTCCCCGCTGAGACTCCCAATTTCAAACGTCTTCAAGGGACAGAGTGCCGGTATCGGTGTTACAGGACGATTGTGTAGCGGTATTGTTCAGGTCGGAGAACGTCTCCGTGTCCTACCTGGGGATGAAACGGCTGTTGTGAAATGTACGTCTTCGGGGTCTTTTCTTATGTTATACACAGGAACTGACAAGAAATAAAACAGCCATCGAAGTCGAGGAAGAAAACGCTTCATGGGCGATGGCGGGGTCCAATGCCACGCTGTTCTTGACCGGCATCGATCCTATTCACTTAGCAGTAGGAAGTGTCCTATGTCCTTCCACTGATGTCGTTCCGCTAGCGACAATCTTCACGGCCCGAATCATAATCTTCGACGTACAGCTTCCTATAACCGCCGGGGCATCTGTTCGTGTCACCAGTTCTTTGCAATACAATACCTAACTCAATGTCCGTTCTTCGCAGGTCGAACTCTTCCACCACTCCCGCGACGTCCCTGCTACTATCGCCAATCTGATATCCACCCTTGATAGAACGACTGGAACAATTGTTAAGAAAAAGCCGAGGTAAGCCTGTCCACCACGCTTGTCATCGGCGCCGGAATTGATATTTTGGAACCTTTAGGGTACTTACGAAAGGTGCATCGGCGGAGGTCCAGATTGTTCTGAGGTCGACATCGTTATCAAGTTCAGCTCCTGCGCTTCCGATTCCACTCGAGTCTTTCTCAGTCAACAAGGACATGGGAAGGATTCTTCTTCGCCGTGGGGGAGAAACGATTGGTGCCGGTAAGGGTCGATGATAGTACTTTGCCACGGCCACTGACAAGCATACAACAGGTATCGTCCTCGAGATATTCGGATAGATATGCTACGTTACGCGCAATACAAAAAGGGCCTGCGATATAAAGATAGCTGTCACAGTAAGTGACTGTGTATAATACAGTTTGGGCAGTACAGTTTCTTAAAGAACATATACTTGTAATAACAATGAATTCTACATTGAAGAAGCTAACTTAGGCGGATGTGTGCATAGCTGTCGATGGTCCTCCAAAATAGAACAAAAAAATCGAATGTGAAATGAACGAAATTCATGTAAACCTCCAACCTGTCCCAGAAATCATTTCTTCTCCTTGTCTTTATCTTTGCTAGGACTGAACATGTGCTTGATGTTTATCTTGCCAAAGATGGAGCTCCGCTTCTTACGGGCAGAACCAGAAGTGCCAAACTTGGAGGATGAGGAGGGAGAGTTGGATGGGGACTCTGTCGAGGGGAACGCCTCTTTCTTTTTGGGCGTGGAAGGTGCACTTGGGGGAGGCGTTACGGGTGCAGGTTCGGGCTGAGATAAGGGCTTATCTGCGGGACCGTTGGTCGGTGGCTTCTCTGATGCTACGTGATTTGCAGATTTCACATCTCCAATGATGACATCAGATGAAGTCGGCGCCACAGCCGGTTCAGCAGGAGCGGGTGTGGACTCTGGGACTGTGGGCGGCTCAGTCTGGGGAGCTGGGACAGATGCCGGCTCAGTCTTGGGCGCTGGGGCAGGTGGTATTTCAGCGGCAGGCTCAGCTGGGGCAGGTTCGCTAGGGGCAGCCAGGAGCGGGGGTGAACGAGGAAGGACTGTGAGTTGAAGCCTCTTCTTTCGTTTCTGCTGAAGGAGGCGGCGACTCGTTGTGCTCTGCTGCATTGACTGGTACGATAGCAATAGGGACGATGGGAGCGACAGCGGGTACCGCCGGAACAGGCTCCGCGAGGGGCACTGGGGTAGGCTCTGAGATCGGTTCTGGATTAACCTTTGCTTGTTCTTCGACTGGGGGAACCGGTTCAGCGGAGGGCGCCGGGGTTGGCTCTGTAACTGGCTCTGAGACGACTGGGGCAGCAGGTTCCACCTCGGTTGCTGGCATCTCTGGGACGGCTAGGGGTAGGAGGTTCTGGTGTTGGTTCTGATACGGCTTTGGAAGTGGGTTCGGGAGCAGGCGCTTCGGTTGCCGTTGTCTCCACAGACTAAGAGGAGATGAATATTATTTAAGATGCAAATCCTTTTACGTTATGGGCCATAGCGCACCTTTTCCGTATCAGTTGGGTCGACACCAACAACGCTCTGCACAGCTGCTCCTACACCCGACGCGACATAACCCAGCCCGGCAGCCGTCCCCACTGTAGCAGCAGTCGCCATATCTGAAACCACCTGAGAAACGCCTCCACTCGACGCCTCCGTTTCCTGCTTATCAGAGACGGCGGGAGTATCGCCGTTTGCTGCAGGCTTCTCTGTGGTCTTGGCGATAGATGAGTCCAAAGTTTCTGCAGGCGAGGTCGAGTCCATGGTAGGGGGTGAAGGCTTTGAGGGGGCGATATATATATTGTTGACGTTTCCAGATGAATCGGTCTCCGTGGGCTGACTAGGGGCGATCGTCCATTGCCCGTCCACGATGAATTTGTACGCGATTTTTTCGTCCCATGGGATCTGCTGTGCTGCCCTTGAATCCAGTACTATCCTTGGCGAGATGGAATAGACGACGACCACTGTGAGAATTGGACGTTAAACTGCTATCTGGCGTGTTTTAAGTGAGACATTTATACCTGGTCAAAAGTGCCCGTGACTACGACACTTGTTGCTTCGGTATGAGGCCTGTAAAAATATGTTAAAAAATAAGGATAAAGGTAGAATAAATGAAGATAAAATACCATTCGAATAGAACCTCATGATTATTCTGCATATTTGCAGTGGAGGAAGAAGGGAGAAGATTACACCAAGTCGAGTTGAGGGCGAGATGACGTTGCATCTGTTTACCGATCCAAAATAAGACATGAGCCACCGGTTGGAATAGGACACCCTCGAGCCGTTGGTGAATCCAGTCCGCTAGCGACCACATCTTTTGCCCTCTACTTCGACTTGGTCAGGTTGGGAAGTTCGTAGTCGCTTACAAGCGTCTGGTAAGGGTGGTCGTGCGGATTCGGTTCCGGTCATGCACCACTCGGCAAATGAAATATAAGAAACGAGTTGAAAGCGGGATTGCTATGGAAATCTCGCCTCCGATCCAAGTCGCCGCAACGGGCCTAGCCATTTCCTCGAGGTACCAGGCCTGCTAGTGTTAGGAACAAGTCGCACAACTATCGCATTGCATGCGGTGCTAGTCGCCGATTAATGGGGTCTGCGTTTTATCTAAATATCCATACGGTAATAAAAAATATTATACTACATGTTATATCATATCATATCATACAGTCATCGCACACGATAAATGACGCTCTCATCCAACTCCCATTTTTTCCATGAATTATCATCTCTTCGCGACGTGTTTTTGTCGTTTCTGGTACGGTCGAACTCGCGTTCGACTGACGATATATGATCTCATCCATCACCACGTCCCAATCAATGAGGGGCGACAACAGCATCTCATCTGCGTGTCCGGCAGGACTTGTCCGCAAACCCAACATGGGTGTACTGCATAGTCACTGATGGTGTAGTTGGGAATGACGCCAAAGGTAAAGGCCGAACAGGCTGTGTAAATGACCCGGGATTCATTGCAAGTGGCGGAGGAGGAGGGGTAGGTAGCCGGCGAACTTCTGGCTCTGACTTTGGGTTTGCTGTTGGTGATGGGGGCGGTGTGGGAAGAGTTCGAGGTTTGGCGCCATTACTAGTACTATCAGCGGCTGATGTAGGTGGAACAGGAAGTTTCCGTATTGTTGTTCCGCTCCCTGAAGATGACTCGGTTGAAGGTGGTACAGGGAAGTCTCCGCAGCACCCTCTTCGTTGTATCTTCTGGTGGTACTGGTATCTTAGGGAGCCTTCGTATCCTGCGCCCATAACGGCGGCGAATATGCGGTCTGCGCTTTAATGAACAGCGACATTCTATAATGCTTCTAACCATTCAGATCCTTATCAGGATGCAAGTTAATGAAGGGTCGACTCACCAGCACCATGCGGCGTCATTGAACAGCACAGAAGAAGGACTTGGGCAACCATGAACCGCAGTAGTATCCGTGAGGACAGTGAAGGTCAAAGTGCGAGGCGAATGCATGTAAGATACGAGGATACGAATCGAAGGAGACACGAGTAGATAGATATATACATTCTGACTGCTTGCTTGGCTATGCGTTGATGTTACAGAATCGATGATGCAGTTGGAGGAGTTGATGTCTCCGGTGTCGGCCCGGTGTTTTTAATTTGATCGTCGGCTATAATTAGATCACTCGCTCCCTTTCGACGCTCTTGAGATTCAACCGCTCTGATGCAACTATCTACCATCCATGCTTCAACAACAAACAGACCTTGCCTTTTCGGATGTCGTGGAGGAAACTGTTCGGGATCCACAAATCGGGGAACTCGTCTCTGCTCTCTCAGGGCAGGACTATTCTGGCCAGGAAAAGACGATGCGTCTCACGTTCATGAAACCATCGATGGAACCTCTAGTCGTTACTTTATCTGTGGATGCATCTCCTGGCTGTGGTGGGATTGTCTGGCCCGCTGGACAGGTACTGATCTATTTTGCTATCCATCATCATTCATCCATCAATGTTTGGGTCATGCTATTCAGGTCCTATCCAACTATCTCGTACGAAGAGACCGTTCCTTCTTTCAGGACAAAACTATTCTTGAGCTCGGAAGTGGAACCGGCCTCGTAGGAATTGTGGCAGCGAAACTTGGCGCAAACGTTTGGGTCACGGATCAAGCGTCAGTAGTTATTCTCGTAATGTCTGGGCGTCTGACTCTTGATGATTCGCGCTTTCCATCTCAGCCCGCTGTTAGATATCATGCGGCAAAATGTACTGAGAAACAACCTCAGTTCGCGGTGTACTGTTGCCGAACTGAATTGGTATGTTTCATCACCGTCAAGTTTCCTTCTCACGACATCTAGGGGGGATCCGATACCAGCCGATATACCTGCACCGGACGTGGTTCTTGCAGCCGACTGTGTATATTTTGAGCCAGTGTTCCCACTCCTGGTCCAAACACTATGCGATATTTACGAGAAGAAACCAGAAATACTGTTTTGTTACAAGAAACGACGCAAGGTAGTCCGAGTTGCTCTCCAGTCCGACTGAGGCAAAAATAACGCGTTGCGCAGGCTGATAAACGATTCTTCGCGATGTTGAAGAAAAAGTTCACATGGGAACAGGTGATAGTTTCTTGTAACTTGTCTGCTTTGATCTAAGTTTTGTTGGATTCCAGGTTATGGATGATCCAGACAGAGAAATCTATAACAGGGACTCCGTTACGCTAGTGCGACTTTATAGATTGAAATAGAGAGCAACGGAGACTGGCGAGGGATTGGTAACATTGGATGCGTCCGCCGCATAGTACGATCCAGTATCTTGCAATTGAGCTTGGAGTCGTCGTACATACACAGTAATTCAGGAAGCCACGGGAATCGTTTTAATCTGAAAATAATCCAATAAGAGAATAGAATACACGAAAAGCAAAGCTAGCGCACCTGCAGACCATGGATGCCCTCTATTTCCTGCTTCAGCGTCTCCGTCACGAGTTTATGCTGTTTCACGATAGGCAATCCTTTGAAAGACTGAGAGGCGATAGTAATGGCATAAAACGTCCCGCAACCGCCTGTAACAAATCCCTCAGCAGCGTATTAATTGAATACAAAGGCATTACTGCCTACCCGATACATCTTGCACTTGCAACTGTGACGGCGAAAATTTCTGCGACAACTTGGAGTAGATATTCTGCTCTCCCTCTGACAGATCCGTAGGAGGCGTAGTCGCCGTCGTCAACGACCGCAAGTGGCGGGCAGCAGGAAAGAGCCGCCTGGTAAACGACAGCATAGGTGGAAAGGGCCTCGACTCCGAGAACTGGACAGTCAGCCTCCTCCCGTTATTGGTCAGCGACGCGTTCCGAATCCGGCATCCATGGCAGCTTGGGTCTCGACTGTTCCCTTCCAAGTGCGCTTTATTCATGCTGCTGCCACCGTTGCTGAGGGCTGCAGCCTTCCTACGGTGCCCCAGGCGCTGCGCCATTCCCACTAAAAGGTTATTCGCGGCTCAACCTTTGACTTTATTGTCGAGGACCAGTCTTCGAGCTGGGTTTGCTACCAAGGCGCCCAAAAAACCTTCTGCAGCGAAGACGACGCATAGCGCGCCGGAAACAGAGGCACCACCACCACCACCGAGAGATGCACCGTCGGAAGCAAATGAAATGCCCATCCTCCCTCCCAAATCCGTCGGGATTTGGCTCATGATATCTTCGTCTCTGGTCCTCACCATCGTCGTAGTCGGAGGAGTCACCCGACTCACCGAATCCGGCCTCAGTATCACAGAATGGAACCCCATAACCGGCATGATACCACCTCTCTCAGCCAACGAGTGGGAAATAGAATTCACAAAATACAAAGCTACACCCGAATTTCATCTGTACGTCACCCACATTCTCTTTCCTACCAAGCATCCTTACTCATTTCACCTCCCAGTCTGAACCATTCCATCACCATCGAAGAGTTCAAACGGATCTTCTACATGGAATGGGCTCACCGCGCTCTCGGACGGATCGCCGGACTCGTATTCGTAGGACCCCTCGCGTACTTTGCCTTCAAGCGGAAGATATCCCGCTCTCTCGCTGTAAAGCTCAGCGGGATCGCCGCGCTATTCGCCGCACAGGGCCTGCTCGGGTGGTACATGGTCAAATCCGGTCTCGACCAATCACTAATGGAAACACCCGGCGCTGTACCGCGAGTGTCGCAGTACAGATTGGCAGCGCACCTAGGACTGGCCGTTGGTTTTGTATGCAGGGATGTTCTCGACGGCCATGTCCACGATCAAGGAGTTCAAGTTTGCTCAGGGCGCGTTGTGGCATGGTCAGAAGTTGAAGGCGTTTCTCGACAGCGCTCGCGTCGCCTGCGATGAAGCGTTTGCATCTGCAAACGCGAGTTTTGGCTGGTCTCGTTTTTTTGACGGCTCTGTCGGGTGAGTAACACACGAAAAACCTCATACCAATATCTAAATACTTTGCTGGTAGGTGCTTTCGTCGCTGGACTCGATGCGGGACTTTTGTATAACGAGTTCCCTCTCATGGGTGGTCGAATCGCACCTCCATCAGATGAGCTATTCAATCGTGATTACTGCAAGTCACCCGATGGTTCAGATCTCTGGTGGCGTAACATCCTCGAGAATCCCACAACGGTGCAATTCGATCATCGAGTTTTGGTTCGTTGTTTCCTGTCATGACATTTCGTATCATGCTCAATGTCATTACCGTAGGCCATAACAACTTATTTCGGCATTGGATGGCTTTGGCTTCGATCGCGGAGACGGTCCATTCCGGCCGTTACCCGTCGTGCTATCACAGCTGCCTTTGGCATGGCAAACGTTCAGGCTCTGTTGGGTATTACCACGCTATGGTACCTGGTTCCTATACCCCTGGCAGCTAGTCACCAAGCAGGAAGCGTTCTGCTGCTCAGCGCCATGATACACGCCCTGTTGACATTCAAAAAACCCGGGGCAGCGGCCCAAGCTTGGAAACAGTGGAAGTCGAAGATCCCGTCGGGGGCAACGACGAGGAAATAATACCTACATAGTATAGTTAATCTTATTTTGTTACACCCCTTCTCAATCTCAGCACAACACTTCGGAACGAAAAAATATGAATGTATTGATACAGCATCATTTATCCAGCCATTTGCACGTCTTCGTCAGTCGTTGTTGGCGCAGGGGCATCCGTCTCCTTTGGTATCATAGTTTTGATGAAGACATCCACTTTTTCACCTTCGAGAATACGGAATGCGCCAGTCGGAGATACACCGGTTTCGTTAGGACTAGCAGGACCAACGATACCGATTGAAGTATTGTTGATGTTCAGTTCCTTGTCCTGCTGTAGCGTTTCTCGCAGAGCGTGCAGCCCATGTCGAATGAGCTCATCCAAGTCGCCTTCCAGCCCATGTAAGCAACGAAAGCGGAGGAGAAGGTAACGACATACAATCAGCAAAACTCTCATAATGCTTCTCGAGGTAAGTCTTCGCACTCTGACTTCTGGCACCAATCGACATCGCATAATATTCATACGAGTTTCCAGAAGGTGAAAACTCATAGAGGTGAGGTCCAGATTGGTCTTGTCCAATGACGAGGAACCCAACACCATAAGGACGTCGACCGTATTCCTGGGTGTTGACTTGGGCCTCTGTTCAGTGCATCAGTCGACCGAACTGGAGAGAACTAGGGGTATACGCACTATCTGCCATTGCAGACACGAGCCTATTGACTGGAACGGGGCGGTTGAATACCATTCTTGATGACATTGCTTGTTGGCGCATGAAGTTACTGGTTCCAAGCCTGAGAATGACAAACTGAAGAGGCTAAAGGAAGGATTACTGACCTCAGAACACGGGCATCCGACGGTCAGACCAGCGATAGCGATGCCAACAGTGGTCATCTATCCGGAACATCTTCTGTTGGTATGAAGCCAGCTCGCCGGCAGAACGCTGAAGAGGTCAATCAGTAATCCAGACGCAAAGTCTTCATGAAGAAAGAAGAACCTTGAGGGCCAGTAAGATCGAAGTGAGTCTTTGAACGCAAGCCGACAGCCGCAGAGCCTTGCTTCACGGCTTCAAGGGCATATTCGACCTGGTGAAGGCGACCTTGGGGCGAGAAAACAGTGTTGTCCGAGTCGTAGGTGTTCCGGAACTGAATGAAGAAGAGTAAGGACACGTTTTATATGGGAAAATGAAGGGAGCTGGACACACCATGGTTCGTGAATGAGGAAGAGGTATCGATCGCTGACGCGTCGAAATGTGTTACAGTCACAAGATGTAGGTCGATTTCCTTTTTCAGACAGGGGATTTCATCTTTAAAGGAGAATCCCATCTCAGAATGTATCATCGAGAGAGGCTACTTTCAGCACAATAAAACTAAAGGGAAGTCCTCATGGTTAGAGTTTACGGGTACAATAAATTATGCTCAAATAGATGCACTACCACATCCAGCATTTTCTCTTCGCGCATCGACTGGTACTCCCGGGACCTGTAACCGTGTTGGTAAATTGCGTAGAAGTAGTCATTCCCAATTGTTCGGTGCAAACATCTCCACTTCATGTTCGATGCCGAACTTTCCATGCACAATCATCTTCGTCTTTGTCAACCGGCTCTCCGACTTCATTGGTGGCACTGTGTTTCCGCTTCGTAGCGATGCAGCCTCCGGAATTGTCAGCTTCATCTTCAAGCTGAGAATCATAGCAGTCGGCATAGTTCATTCCCCCCAAGCCAGTGACAGCCCTATTTATCTCCTCTTCCTCGATTATTTCCTTGACTGAATCTAAATCCTTCCAAGGTGGAATTTTCCCCGCATCAGATTGTGTTAGTGTTTCCAAGAGCATTTCAAATCTGTTGTCTTTGAAAAACTTGGCACAGTAATCATAGGTCGGGAAATCCTCTTCAGCCTCGACGGAGCGGCAGAAATCGACCAGGAGCACGCGATATGAGGGCAGTATCTGCGAACTCTGCTGGAAGGGACTGAATGACGGAGTCATATCATCCCTTCTCTTTGAAGAACAGATACCGGTCTGGTAAGCTAGTTGGTTCCAAAACCTCGATCAAAAGGTCTTGCAAAGGTTTTCAACTGACGAAATTCCACGATATATTCTGATACAGAAAAAAACAACAAATCCGCTGCGACTATCAGTGGTCACGATATCTAGTATACGACGACGTATAGACGCATGCTTCAAAAGGCGGACTGCTCGAGATAAGGTAGAATGAAAGGGAAAGATCTGGAACGAAGAGACCGAAAAGACTGAATTAAAGGCATTGTGGACGACATGGCTCGATATATAATCATACAAAAAGACTGTAAGCATTTCCAGCCCATGACAGTAGTTAATGTTGGACTATATCGAAATGCCTCAGCACTGCAAAATCCGAAAATAAGGAATTCACCGACTTCTTCATCGCGACTTGGATGCAGGACGAAGCTTAGCGATAATAAACGTCTCTGCTTCAACAGCTTCCGCTGCCTCCTTCCCATAACCAATGATTTCAGCCTCTAGAGCATCGACATCAGGGCATTGAATATAGCCCATGATATTCATTCGCCTGACAGCCTCCCGGATCCAAACCCGACAATTAAAATTCGGCTCCCTTTCCCTATCAATTTCAGGTATGACAGGGACAGGAATGGCTTGAAGTATGACGTGAAGATCATCGGCCGTCTTTGAAGACGGTATGGTGCCAATAACCACTGCGGTAGCCACAGACTGTGACTTGGCCAGTGTAAATTTGACCCTCTCGTACTCCCAGAACTTTTCCGTAGGTGCCCTGCTCCTTGTTATACACATATTTCTCCATCGCGTGGAATTTATACCCATCCAAGCTGTTTGGGGCCTGGACGAAGAGCGTCCAGTGGAACCTTGGCGGGAACAGTTGTGAGGAGGTGCAGGGCAATGGATATTTCAGGATAGACAGGGAAGCGGCGACAGGGAATCTTTCTTCGATGCCATGATGAACAGCAAAGTGTGTTTGCGGGAATCGAAAACAGACCTGATTTATACGTCTAGTGGTAGAGAGGTTCAGGCACGAGACAGCCGATATGTGGGCATACAATACGAGCAGGAGGTTCTTCACATGCTTTGAGGGAGTAGCCATACACAGAAGGATGCGCAGAAGAAGAAATAACAGACCAGAATTGCAAACAATCAGAGAGCGCTGTGGAGTACTTAACCTGAATTTGACCGTCCGTAGCCGAAGGAAGCAAACTGTGTACTACTTAGTTACATAATGTCGGAGTTGTAATTTGCGCTTGCAAAGGTTGAGTGGCCTTATGCTTGAGGTTTAAGCTGGCCATACCTACCTACATTTGCTTAGAGCCATGCAGCGTTTTCTCTGTCGTCTTCTATCTAGGCTCTGTCCATTTTTCCCTTTATCGCTGCGCATTCGCCTGTGGCTTTATTTGCAGGGTGTTGGGGTCCGTAAATGGGGTCGCAGCGTTGGGGCACAAGTGCTGCCTTTCGGCTTATATATGAAGCAAAGACCGATTTCTGCTGAATATGTCGAGGACAAGGTGCTCCAATTCGTTAGCACTCACACCTCTATACCCGTACCCGAATTGGTTGATTCCTTTCAGCACGATGGCCGTCAAGTAATTATAATCCAAGGTCTTCCTGGAAATGATCTCTTCGACGTTCTCCCGACCTCTTTCCGGTGAAGAGATCACCAAAGTGGCTACTCAATTGACATCCTATTTATGTCAGCTACGTGCTATTCCCCTTCCCCATCCGCCATCCATTTCTGGATTTGCTAGCAAGTCAATAAGGGACACTCGACTTTCACTCTCAAACCATCCCGTTACATCCTTTGATACTGTTGCTGAATTCCACAAATTCTTCATCGCCTGCCAGTTTCTTGAAATTCCCCCTCAGGATGAAGAAAGTGTTCGGAAACTCATCACTACGGCGCATGAGAAGCCTCACTCCATTGTATTCACGCACAACGACTTGCATCCTTGTAATATTCTGGTTGATCGACATCTGAAGATCACTGGTATAATTGACTGGGAACAAGCTGGTTGGATGCCGGAATACTGGTGAGCGGCGACTTGTGTGATGTAGTAAATATCTAACCCATTCCAGGGAATACACTAAAGCCTGCTTCGTGCCGATTTTCAATGGCAGTCGCAGCAGGTGGCCTGTTATTATGAGGGAGGTCTTTCCACAGTATGAGGATGAACTCAAGGCGGAAAAGGCACTAGTCCGGTATCGAACTGTTTATAACTAGACTTTCTGTAACCTCGAAATATTATGCGGTACCGATACTTAAGCAAGTTGCTTGAGTGTCACTTGATGACTTTCAAATAGCCCATAGAGGCCGCCGCCTGACATTGTCCCACCATACTTGAGTATTGCGTCGAGAAACCAGGACATACTAGTCTGGGTTAAGAAATGTCGACTGGTGCGCGGCTTTCACGCAACATCCCGAACAACGGCATTGCGGCAACCCTGAAACTGTACAGTTTTGTCATCAAGCCACCACTTTGTGGCTGTGCAAGCAGAGCTCAATTTCCCGGATTCGAATTCGGTGTCCAGTAAGAACCAGTCGACGCCATGGCCAAGTCAAAAAAGTGAATACGTCCTCTAGCTTGTCTGTACTGTCTGTCTAACGATATTTTCAGTCATACCAACCACAACCAGAACAAGAAGGCTCACCGTAATGGAATCAAGAAGCCACAAGCCGGTCGTACACGGTCGCTGAAAGGGTGTAAGTCCTATGCAGTTTCTTGTCTTTGTTACAAGCTGACTGGTGGGAATTATAGGTCGATGCCAAAGTTTGCTCCTATTGCTTTACTTGAAGAGAATGGAAAGTTAATGATTTCTAGTTCCGCCGCAACGCTCGCTTTGCTCTCGTTGGATCGGTGCGTTGCCCTGCCTTGTAGCACGGGTGATTTTTCTAACTTCTATCTACAGCGAAGGGCATGGGCAGAACAAAAAGCTGCAGCAGCGTCGTGATATGCTCACTCCAGCTTTGGAGATTGCCGCAAAACTATATGTCTGGTGGAATGACACGAGCCATGGGTCAGACGTGGGACAGTCAAGGGCCAGTTCAATATGTTATGCGTATGCAGATGTTATGCTTCTCGATTCAAAACAAGAAAACTCATCCAAAACATCATTCCTGTGTGAAGTGTTGCTATCGCCTACACCCGTTCGTCGTGCGAACGACTTTTACACCAACATACTAACATATGCATACCAACCGCTTGAGTTTGGAGAGGTGAACCTGCTGCCCCCCAAGGTTGCTGATGTCCTCCAGTGATGTCGTTCTGAGGATGAATGGATCCTCTTCAAGAAAAGACAAAACCACAGAGTTTTTAACGCTGTATCGGAATATTCTTTGCGTTTCGATCTAGTGTCGCTCTCAACCGCAGCGCCTGCAAATCAATCATCAGCAGTCTCCATTTTTTCAGGTTCAGAGGTCACATACCGCAGCGTCCTCTGGTCTCAAGGCTCCCTTCGCCATATTGTGCTTCCCAGAGCGTAATTTTGCATTCCTAGACGACGTAACTGTCCTGCTAGTTGAACCTTCGTGGGCTGCGAGTAGGTTACGACATTCTTCGTCAGTCGCAATATGTCCGTCGAGAAGGGAGAAGAAATTTATGCCGAAGCACGGCCTTGATGCGCTCGAATACGTGTGTCGAATACCATCCGTCGCGTTCCTAATTTTGCCTATCGATAAGCATGCAATAGAAAGAAGAAGGACATAGAAATGCTAACATCACAAGTCTCGCGCAGATCACTGGCGTCCTCAATCATTTCCTTTCAGCATTGGATCTTCAATATCGCATAGTTGGAAGGCAGCGGTCTCTTTCGTCAAGGTGCGACCGTCAAAGATATGGGAAGTCCTGCGCGTGACATCAGTTGTGTCAGCATGGGCTTGATGGTTTGTCTGACCTGCGTTCGAGATCTTTGTCCACGCCATGTTCCAGAAAGGCGTTAGTGGCCGAACGATCTTGACGCCTCGTAGCAACTGATGGCCTAGCAATGGGGTGGTTGGCATTCCTGAAGTACAACCGCTGGAATCTACGAAGATCAATTTGATTGGGTCCACACCTAAGCCGACGAAAATGAACATTACAATCTGGCATCCGTGTGTTTGCGAGGGTCGTAACTGAACTTGACCAACGTATCGCGCCATGGCCCATCCTGGAAGACATAACAAACAAGAGGCAGTAGCACTTTAGAACTGGATCAGAACCGCCGTTAGTTATAACGCTGATGAATGAACAAAACGAATGACTTGTGGATTTCCCTGGCCTCTCCGGGTGCAAATTGGTTAAACAGCGACATTCGTGTCCATACAGGACGATCCTCGAAGAACTGAAATACCAATAATCAGTTTTGATGACTGAGAGACAACAGTGTGCTCACCTCTTCAAGCTTTTCTAGTATTCTCTGATCCACTTGAGCGCGAACAGCCTCAACGTTCTGAGGTGGCTTGTCGGGAACCTAACGGCTATTAGTTGATGATCGGTTACTGCTACAAGGAAATGCGACTGACAGTTGTGTCAGTGAAAGATATTGTGGCAGGTCCATAGCCTTTCCAGCGCATACGATTGATGAGTCTTTTCTTCTCCTCGCCAGTCTCTTCGTCGACGGTTGTTGAGACAATGGAGGCGGTGTTTGCCTTGTAGCTTCACGTACGTCAATGAGGGGTGAGAGAAAGTAAGGTACAAAACGTACTTGTATACTTGAGGAATAGTTTGTCTGCTGAAGATTGGTGGAGGGAACAGGCGAAGGTTGCTTCGCATGTCAGAATCGGAAGCAGGCGCAGGTTTCGGGTCATCCAGTAGTTGCGGATCTAGATTCATTTCAAAGTCGGGATCCGAGGTCGATGTAGGTGGTAGTAGCGTTTGTGAAGATGGTGGTGAAGGGTTGGCTGGGACCATGTAGTCGGCCTTTTCTTCAGGAAATCGGTATGCGCGAATGGCTTCCACTGTATGATATTTCAATCCAGAAACCATTATAGCAATATCACAGAAGCATACCATCCATGGAAGACATAGACATGCGGAGTTTACTCATAGGATCTTCAACATCGGGTTGGTACTGGTAGTCAGCCAAACCTAGAGAAAGCGTCATACCGCGATCACTGGAACAAGACAGATACTGACTTCGAAATCTTATAGTCTTGGGAATGACACCGACTGCTTCGGTTGTATATTCTCCAATAAAGCCATCCTCTGCGCCTTCTGTTTTCTCCTTTTTCTTCCGTTTGACAACCTTCAATAGAATGGCATTGGAAGCTACAACTTCGCCCGGAATGGGATGAGAGAATGGGTTGTCAGGCCTGAGACTGAGCTCTACAAGAGATTCTGCTTTCGATGCGGCGCGTCTGAATGCGCTATCCAGGCTTGCCTGACCCCCCAGGCTACGAATAGCCTCTGGAACAGAAGTAGGTTTGACGCGACCAGGATACTCTACGGAATAAAAAGGCGTCGAAGGTAGAGAGTAGGCCACTGCCTCTCTGGACGCAGAGGCAGAGCCTGAAGTAGATGCCTGGGGTTCATCATTGGAATCCATCTCGAAGGTAAAGCAGAAACGAAGTCAAAGGTAAAATCAAGGTAACTTCAGGTATCTAATTTGATCGCCGACCCTTACCTCACGATCACGACCAGCACCGTCCATGAAACGAGTACCCTCTAGAGCAACAGAACTCGCATCCTAGCGCCTCTTTTCCTGCCTACCACGTAGATAAACTTCACCATAACGACGGCCAAATGGCAGCAGCAACGGTCGACACGACTCTCGCCTCGGCCAACAGTCTGCTCGCCTACCACAGCTCTCTCATCGACGGCATTCGTCGTTCCCAACGGGAACATCGACGCCAGCTCCATTCTCTATCGCCTTCCATCTCCCAGCCTCTGCTTTCTCTTCCCCTGATTCCGTCACCTTCGCCTTCACCACCGCCGTCTCCGACGATCCAGCCTGTCTCACAGTCGCGTCAGAACAAGTACAGGGCGGATCTACCTCCCGCTAAGCGTGCCAGAGTTGCGAGATACAGGAACTACGTACCAGAGGAGGAGACTATCCGTAATGACTACTCGCAACGCTACGTCGATGGCGGAGAATGGCCGCAGAATTGGGTGCTAGGCGCTGAACCCGAACATCGTTTCGAAGAGTGAGTTGCTCTCACTTGCGGTCTGCAGTCATTCATCTAGCTTAGATATCCTAAGCAACATCGCTTACTTGCTCTCAAAAAATTGTCCGTTCAGTCACATTCCTTACCCCCTTCCTATCTACCCTTTACTGCGCTTTCTACGATCCAACCATGCAAGTTCGATGTCATTCTTCTTGACCCTCCTTTCTCTTCTTCGTTCACTTGGAACCATCTTCAGGAGCTTCCAATACCCTCTCTTGCGGCCGATCCCAGTTTCGTCTTCCTGTGGATTGGAAGTGGCGCCGGAGATGGATTGGAGCGAGGAAGAGAAGTCCTTGCGAAATGGGGGTATCGACGCTGTGAAGACGTCGTCTGGGTCCGGACGAACAAAATGTCAAACAAAGGACCTGGCACTGATCCACCGACGACTTCTCTACTTACGAGGACCAAGCAACATTGTTTAATCGGGATACGAGGTACAGTGAGGAGATCAACGGACAGCTGGTTTGTCCATTGTAATGTTGGTGCGTATGCCAGAATTATCCTTGAAATGTAGTTCCGGCTTAAGATTCCTCATAGACACGGATGTGATCATATGGGAAGGTGATCCAAATGATCCAACACGAAAACCACCTGAGATGTATACTCTTATCGAGAATTTCTGTCTTGGGACGCGACGTTTGGAAGTTTTCGGTAGACTGTCATCACTGCGACGTGGCTGGGTAACCGTACTAGGGCAGCGACACCGCTCCCGAAGGTCCCCTCTTCGTTGAAGGCGAAGAAGGCGGCAACGCGATTTGGTGGGAGCGCGAAAGCTGGGAAAATGGCGTCAAGGAGTTCGCTGGAGGGGGCAAATTTGTGGTCCCTATGACGTCTGATATTGACGCTCTCCGACCGAAATCACCCGTGAGAGGCGGGAGCACGAACAACGGAAGTTCTGGAGGTGTTCCCCTCTCAGGTGGCACCCCGGCTGGAATTGGCGGTGTGAATATGATGAACGGAGTTCGATTCAACAACGGGGTCAGACAGCCTGGGTTTAGTGGTATGGATATGGGTGTTGGTATGCCCATGGGTATGGGTATCAACTCTCTTGGTATGGGTGTGGGCGTCGATGGTATGATGGGCGGTGGATGGCCTGGGATGCAGGTCATGGGAAATATGGGGATGACAGGGATGGAAGGAATGGGCGGTATGTCTGGAATGAACGGCATGAACCCTGGCATGAATGGTATGAATGTACCCATGATGGATCCTCAAGCTATGCAAGGTATGAATGGGCAGGGCATGGGTATGGGTGGTATGATGATGGGTGGACAGGGTGGCGGATTTATGCCTATGTTCAACGGCATGGGTGGTTGGGGAGATGGCCAGTTTGGTATGGATGGCGGTAGCTGGGACGGTAGTGGAATGATGCCTGGTATGGGTGGTATGGGTATGGGGCAATGGACCAATTACTAGGACCCGTTTCTTGGGTTACCACTGTCGTATTTATTAGTCCATCGTGTATGTACACATTTTGTATACTTATTTGCACTTAGATATGCTCATACTGGGAGTCTGCACAGGGTCAAATACTACTGTATTCGAATGTTCTTTACGGGTCATGAGGGCTGTCATAAATTATGAACCTAGCGGCTGAACAATACACTACTTATAAATATACCGCCAACGACACGAATGGGAAAATAAACAAGACGAAAAACCGATCAATCCGAATGTTGGTCTTTTTTATATTTGCGACGTTCCATTTCCTCCCTCGTCATACGCGTACCCAGTATAACATCCCAATGGATAAAGAATGGTTGGGCAAAGTTGTGCTTAATACCGACGGTCTGTAACAAATTGATCAGCATTGGCCTGATAGGACGAGATCCGCGTTACATGCCTGGTGATGTATGTCGTGATAATCTGCATTATTTGATGTCATAAACTGAAGGGGATCCCATGGGAAACGGTATCCGCAGTGGTCATCACAAGTCTTAAATGTAGCAATGACGAATAATAACGTCGCTTGTCGTACAGTCATGCCCGCCAATACTTCGGCGACGACAGAACCAAGGGAGTCCAGAACGAATCCCTCAACAGGATGGTTGTACAATGCCCCAAATGCATACGGGACATAGAGACGGTGGTGCCAGGAGTGGAAATGCCTGTACATCCATTTATTGGTATGCATCCAGCGGTGAAGTGTATATTGCCAGGTGTCGATGATGAACCTAGACATGAGGGATTCGAATCACAATTAAGGTAAGAGCAAAACATAGACATACATTCCAAAGACCAACTGCAAGAATGGTATTGCCCACCAATACATAAAGTAAGACACCGGCGCAACTACAGGCGAGGTCCACTCCGCCAGGATGCCTCTGGCAAGCACAGGGCGAACGACACGAGCAATCGCGTCAATTTTCAACGAGTGATTCACAGCCAAGGCATTATCATCCTCCAATACAACCAGTCCCAGTATCGTCTGGAGAACATGCTGAAAGATGACTGCCCATACTACTTGAGAGCGCGAGACCCTGTTACGTGACGTGACTTCGGCAGACTCGTGGATGCGGTATCTCTCTAGCCACTTCCAGGTCGACATGTCGAGGTAGTGGAAGAGAAGGCATATAACCCAGTATGCGACAACAGGTGCAGCGAGGGCGAGGTAGTGATCCGAGAATCCCTCTACAAGGTCCTTGTCGCAGGAATAGTAAAAGGGAACGTTCTGGCAATTGCCTAGGAGGGTATTGTTCACTGCACCCATTGCGAGATGAGCGTCGCTGTACATATCGGTAGCCAAGGATGGGTGACCCAGCCGAAGTCGTCAGATTTTATTGGACCAGGATATCGTCATTTTCTCACGCTGGCCGATCGCTCGAGACCCGGGTCCGATTCAAGCTCAGGGCCCGCATTGGTATCACCGACAAGTCAATGAAATATTCAGTCAACAGAAACGATGTATTCTGCAAAACTTTCTCTGCACCATCCTCTAATTTTATGTATTATAGTAGTACTTTGAATTTTTTTGCAGTGTTACATGGTCAGCAGGAATGACACATGTACTCCGGATAAGGAGGCCAGTAGTCTAGATTGAGTAACCAGACCTTTGAGCTCGAGTTCGACCAAAGAGAGTGCAATCTGGATTGACAATATCAAGGGACAAGGAGGAACAAGCGCACAAGAATAATAAGGTACAATATATATCCAGACTTCAGTGACCCTTCTTCTCAACCCTCCACTCCTTGAATATCCCATCCAGGCTTTTGTATATCAGATGCGAAGGCAAACAACGTATTATCTCCCCCACTCGGCCGTCTACATCACTTTTGCCCTTCTCTCCGACCGCCTTCTGGGCGTATTCCGTCGCTAGGCGAAAGATAGCTAACACAGCAAGTGAAACGTGTGTCTGTTGTCCACTATGGGCAGAGTCAGGCGAGAGCGCCGATAACAGAGGCCCGACGATGCTAGGCGTAGATATGGTGGGCCCGGAAAGGAACGGAGTAGCTCGCTCTCCTCGCACCAGACGCAACAGGATCTCCAAGAGATTATCCATTTCAGTCATGTGCGTCTTCACAAAACGTTCTCGCTCATTTTGTGCGCCGACAGGAGAATTCACGGCCCATCCATCGAGTACATTGCGGATGGTCGGAGGCTGGGAAGAAACGAGGTCAGGTAAATAACTAACAGAGAATGCACATACAGGATCAGGATCAACAATCGCGATCTTTTTCTCCCAGCCTTCTGCTGCATCTCCCGCTACCCAGAACATTCGTCCAAACATACTTCTCAGCCAATCCTGGATATCTCCCGTCTTCACCCATTTCGGCTCAGAAAGAGGCCTTGTGGTATCGAGATATGCAATCAACGTGACACTTGCAGGCAGCTCGGATTTGGTAAACGGAGGCAACGTCGGATCGGATTCCACGGTTTCGACAGAAAATGAGAGAGGCACATAAGAATGTGTATAATCCGAAAGACCTTCAAGCTGAAAGGAGAAAATTTACCACCAACGACAGAAGTAGGACTAAAAAAACTTACAATGATGCCCTTCAGATCCTTGTCACCATCCATGCTTACAGATATGCGTACTTCAATGCGCCCCTCAGCACGGTAGATTTTCACCGAGTCTACCACTTCTGCATCGATGATGAGACGTCTCCCACCATTGGAATATGATATGGATAGGCGATTAGCAGAAGGAGTCCTCGCAGATTTCGCTTCTGTACTCGATATAGTATCACCGTGTGCAGATGCTGTTGAAGTAGAAGCAGATTGCATGTTCGACAAGGGTGAAGCAGGGGGTTCTGGTAGATGATCCAGATGAGCATCGGTAGTCCGCATAGGCTCTCCATTTCCATCCGTCAAAGACGCTGCAGAGGAGTTCAATCCAGGTGGTTGGGAGTCGATATCTACCAATGTTGTGGACCTTGACAGAGGGGTCATTTGCGACTCTTCCTTGACCGAGGTGGCTTGCGACTCGGAGACCTGCGTTTCAGCACATCCAACATGATCAGCAGTCTGCGTCTCACTGTAAGCAAGAAAGAGGATTGGGTGAGGAAGAGATACGGAAGAGATAGTATCAGATACAGACACGTTAACAGACGAAGCAGCATCATCTGATGATGAAAGAGAGGATAAAACAGGGACCTCAGGCAGCGCGACAACATCAGAGGCATCCTGAGGCTTGCCTTCATTATCAGAAGGTAACACTTTAGCGTCAACATCTTTAGTGCTCATCGATGAGCCATTCACACCATTTCGCCCATCCTCTTGCTCGACAGGAGCAGAGACGGCAGACTCGGGACCATCGACATGCGCCGAAGCAACATGCTCCGCTACATCATTGGGTTCGTCGTTATGACTCCCAGTCCCAGCCTCATTATGCGTCTTATCAACACCTGCCATATCAACATCAAAAATGCCTTTGAGAGTGAAATGTTAGCAGCGAGTGCTCAACCTCAAGGCAAACGAGGGGTCATGCACAGCAAAGCACGACGACTGAAAGATCATAACCAGACTCACCATGGGCGTCAGATATACCATCCTGGACGACAACGTCGTCCTCAGGAAATTCAGTGTTTTCGCTCACATGGAGCTGAGCGCCAACTTCTTCCTCATCCCCGTCATGTTCTGCATCCTCACCTTCGACAATGGCGGCCATAAGCCAGTCAGTTTCGCTTGCCGTCTCTGCAACACTTGGTGCAACACTTGATCTATCATCGTTCATGTGTGGAGGTGGTGGCTGCGTTCTGCCCTCCTCTAGGTCCATATCATCATCCTCCAACTTCTTCCGTTTACCTCTCCTCGAATCGGAAGGTGCGGAATTAGTAGTAGAACTATGGGGAATGGGTTGCGCATCTTCCGCAGTAACAGGTGTGTGGAAATAGATCCGAATTCTGGAAGGAGGTGAATCAACAGGATCAGGACCATGTGTATGAGTGACTGTTTCGTCCTCATCCTTTACCACAGGAATACTGGGCCCTGAAACCGCGTTCGTATCGTCCTCGTTGGAGGGCTTCTCGTGATCTCCCCCAGACATCGGTTCACCCTCAGGAGGTTTCACAGGCGTACCCTCCGCTACCGGCGTGTTTGCCTCTACGCCAACAGGATGCTCATCCAGTACATCTTCCTCAATTTCGGGTTTCGCTGGCTCTACTTTCGCAGCTAACGAAGAAGGCAAGGTACCCCAAGTCCATGACAACTCTGGAATCTCCAGGCCGATAATCCTGAAGTCCGTAAGCGTCCTTTTGTTCTCATCTTTTTTACCGATGCTCCCAAAGCTAGATGACATCGAACCCTCTCTGGTCCCAAAAGCACCATCATGACGACCTCCTCTGTTTGAGTGTCCTTGACCACGGCCACGAAAGTTAGAAGGCTGATGTGAATAGCTTCCAGAACTTAGGTTGAACGACCCGCCGCCCCTGCGGTTGTTACCACCGCCAAAATTCCCTCTTGATCCATGGCCCCTTAAAGAGCCCCTTCCTCCGCCGCTGCCGCCAACATATCCGCTTCCACTTCGTCCTCGACCCCCCATTCCTCCTCGGTTTCCTCCAGGCTGGCCCCTACCTCTACCGCCGCCAGTTCCTCCGCCTCTGTTTGAGCTACCGCCGCCACGACCCATCGTCATAGAATTCCCGTTCATGGGCCCACCACCACGGCCTCCAATAGCAGCCTGATTATATCCCATCGCCATTCCTTGACTAGGAGCAGGTGGTGGTTGAAACTGTGGAGGAGGTGGCGGTTGGGGCCGGTGCTGTGGGATTTGGCTGGGACCGTCGAAGCGCTGGCGTTTGGCCGGAGGGAGATGTTGCGGAGATGGATGATGAACATTACGATTTTGCTGCTGGGGAATCTGCAAGGGAAACATCTGCTGGCCAGGCTGCTGCTGGGGCTGCTGCATAGGATATGCCTGAGCCATGGGAGTAACCTGAGGAAGGTAAGGGGTGTAACCAACTGCTGGTTGATATGGATTATAACCGGGAGGCGGAGGAGGCGGCTGAGCTACTGGAGGTGGTGGTGGATGATGAAACTGCTGCTGCTGTTGTTGCTGCTGCCTTTGCCAATGGTTTTGTTGAGGTCCGTAGCCATAATTTGCGTAGAGGGCGCTCTGCTCTGCAGGTGGACGCGGTGGTTGCGCGGCCGGCCATTGTGGGTTGTACTGAGCTGCAGCTGCCTGGCCATGCTGCTGCTGTGCTTGCGCCGAAGCAGCAGCCCAGTAGGCAGAATAGTCAGCCTGTGCTGGCTGGGGTGGTGGTGGTCCTGGAGGTAACGGAGGTTGCTGGGGCGTGTACGATGGCTGCGGAATAAAAGGATTTTTGTTCATGAATATTAGAACGCGTCAAAGCGTTGACTACTGTATATCTAGAGCAAAAAAAAGCAATGAGCATAATGTTTCAGGGAAAGGAGAGCAAATTCCGTTACCAGACGGCTGCTGGAGCCCTTTTAGGATCAGATAAGAGACCTAGTACGCCAGAGTTGCAGGAAACAGGCCCAGAGAGACTAAAAATACAGGGTATAGGTATCGTGAACGGTCGCAATCTTCACGTATCGCGGTCTGGTCGCGGTCACTGGCGTAGCAAGACAAGTGCGTTCAATCTCCGCCCGAAAAATTTCCTGCGTCATAGCCTGATCCGTTCTTCAGGGGTACAAAGCGCTCAGTGGCAGGCATGGCTGAATTCCCATCTGGAACGGCGCCAATAAAGGCAGAGTGAGCCATTTTCCTCTTGTCAATGGAACTTTTACATTGATATAACTTAGATATCTGCTCTCAACCTCAGCACCAAGTTCCGCACCGGATGATGATGCCGCTGAGGGAAGTAGAAATCGTATCAGTGGTTCGTCGCGCTTGGATGAGCCACATACTACTGGTCCATTCCGAAAAAAAATGTCCAAGGAAGAGAAAAAGGCCCAGAGAGGACAGAACAAAGGCAGACGGTTCGGCAAAGTCAGAGACGAGTTTGATCTCTGCTGGAAGATTGCCAATGGAACTGTATGTGAACACGGTACAGAGTGTGTCGCTTGCCCTTCTTTCATATCGTACCCCATCTCACCCATTTTTAGATGTCGATTCAATCATGACGTTCCTTCGTATTTGACTGCCAAACCTCGCGATATCCATATGCCGCAAGCGACAGAATTATCAGAAAAGTCGCCTTTCATTCCTGAGACCCTATCCGGTATTTTGTCTGACGCGTCTATATGTCCCGTCTTCGCCGAGCTTGGAGAATGCAGATATGGTTTCAAGTGTCGTTTTCTGGGCTCCCATGTCCGGACCAACCTGGATGGTTCTCTATCACTCGTCACCGATGAGGTCAAAATGGCGAACGCCGCTGTGAGTGCCAAGGAGGTCAACTTCGTTGGCTCAGAAGCTCAAAAGATGTTACGTTCGAAAAAAGTCTGTTCGTTTCACTTCCAAATACGTTAACATTAATATTCGGTCAACAGTATCAGTTCCCTATCGCCGATGCCTACATGAAGGAGCAAAAGTTTGCGGAAGACGCCCCCAAAAAGTCCGAAAAAGCATCGATGACCATTCCGGAGCCAGAACAAATGGAAATGGAAGTAGAATCATCGTCTGGCCCAGCTAGCACCAACGCGTCCATCAAGGAAGAAAATGAAATCTCCGTGGAGAACGCAGGGACCGTAACTGAGAAGGTTATGCAGCGCACGGGTGATTTGGCCTCTCGAGTAGATACTCCCGATGTTCCCGTACGCTTCACCGAAAAGAAGCGGCTCAATTGGTCTGGGAAGACATGTATGTGCTTCCTCCTCTAGTCCCGCGCCGTGAAACCGACAGCGAGCCATCAGACCTCGCGCCTCTTACCACCGTGGGTAATCTGGTATGCTGATCTCGTCAATTAATTACTATCAATTAATTGGTTTATTTTATCCTAGCCGTTCCGCCGACTATGCGTGACGTATGGTGCTGATATTACCTGTGGCGAAAGTACGACTTCATCATTCATTTTGCAATTAGTTTTCTAAGTGCCTTTGTGACTACATGAAGTGGGTTTGGCCACGTCTTTCTTGTCCGGCTCCAAGGAGGAATGGTCGCTGGTAAGACGGCACCCTTCTGAGTCTACATTCGGTGTACAGGTGGCCGGGAACAAGCCAAACACGTTGGTCCCAACAGCCGAAGTCATCGCTAAAGAAATCGGAAGTAATGTCGATTTCGTTGACCTCAATTGCGGATGTCCCATAGATCTGGTGTTCAAATCAGGAAGCGGTTCTGCTTGTACGTTACAGCTCGAAGCCTTTTGCGTTTTCTCATAATCTCAATTTCAGTGCTCGATGCTGCGGGAAAGCTTGGCCGGATAGTTGTCGGCATGAACAAGGCTCTCGGAGAAATTCCTGTCACTGTCAAGCTAAGGACAGGTGTAAAGGAAGGCCGAAATACTGTGCATAAGCTAATGCCTCGTTTGAGCACGGAGTTTGGAGCGGGCTGCCTCACGGTAAGTAGGACTTCGAATACGCGTCTGACCGTAAATTAATTCAGGGTCGGGTTTTAGCTGCATGGTCGAACCCGACAGCAGAGGTACACGAAGCTAGCCGATTGGGATTACATTAAACAATGCGTGGAGGCTGTTCGTGCAAAGGAAGCAGAGGAAGACCGTGAGTTGCATGCCATGCCTGGTCCGCTGATGCTAAGTGATTGTCAAGTCGCTCCTGTACCGATCTTCGGAGGAGGAGACTGCTTTTCGTCACAAGACTACTGGTCGTGTGTGGAACAGAGTGGTGTTGACGGTGTCATGGTCGCACGAGGCGCGCTCATAAAGCCTTGGATATTTACAGAAATCAAGGAGCACAGAGAATGGGACATAAGCTCCCGCGAGCGGTTAGACTTGATAAGAAAGGTATGGAGGTCGATCTGAATCTATTGTACCCTTTTGACGAGGCATATAGTATACCGAATATGGATTGAGGTACATGCTTCCATCATGCTTCTCATTTTAGGCCATGCTTCTGACGAGGTTTATAGTCATTTTGGGACCGATACTGCAGGCGTAAATGCAACGCGCCGGTACCTCTGCGAGTCACTCTCGTTCCAGTATCGCTACATCCCTATCGGATTACTGGAACGATTACCTGGACGTATCAATGATCGTGCACCAGCATTCCGAGGTAGAGACGACCTAGGTAAGCATCTGAAAGAATGGTTCTTTAACGCCCTGCTAACGCTAAAAGTCAGAAACATTACTTGCTAGCGATGATAGCAGAGACTGGGTCAAAATATCGGAGATGTTCCTCGGTCCTGCGCCTGAGGCTTGGTCTTTCACACCAAAGCACAAGAGCAATGCCTATGAAAGTCAGGGCTGAACATTGAGCATAGTATGTATGCCTGCATTTGGCTTCCATTACTGAAATCTGATTTGGTTGGCGGACCTAACAAGGTTTACCAGTAGGGCGGAAGGAGAATCAGATCATAGGCATGCTTATGAGATTATCCCCGTAATGAAGAACGAAAAACTTTCATTCACAGTGCGAGTGTCTGGTCACTGATCTTGCCATAGGTTCTTCGATGGCCTGCCTTTGCTAAGGGTAGGTGGTCGGAGTTGAGGTTCTTTCACCGGTTACACTCTTAGCCATTAATTTCGGGACTCATGGGGTACGGACTATAATCCAGAACCTCCCTTTCCGAAAGAACTCAGGGCATCGAAAGCATTCTTAGCCTATCGATTTTTGAGTGGCGGACCCTTGCAGCATCCTGTGGGTTGTGGCGTGAAACAGATAGGACTTGGCCACAACTGTGTGGTTTTTTTTCGCAGGAGGCGTTCGTCGACCATCAGTCTTGGAACCTGACCTATTTTTCCTCGGTGTGGCTTCAACGCACGTTCAAGATCAGATGCGTTATTCTGGCGTTCACTCATGAAGCTCGTGTTTTGATTCCCAGTCTCCGTCTTAGTCCCAAACCTGACAGGGATTCGAAATTGTCCTCGACAATTTGCCACCAGTAATCCCAGCTTGTTAATGTGATATGGCGCAGAGGCTAGGATTTATTGCGGCTCCTATTAACCTTTCTCTGCTGAATTCCAACAGGTTGCCGCCGCCGTTCACCTGATACCGATGGCCAAACTGTATCACTGGCAACGACTCCGTCTTTGATATTCTGTCCAAAGCGCATAAAAAATTTGAATGGAGCAAAACGAGGCAAGCTATTCAAGTTTTCCGCATAACCGGCCGAAATTGCAGCCCAGAGTTGGTTTTACGTAAAGATGATGTAGGACTTCAATAACATCTCCACATCGACAGTAGCCGAACGACGCTGTTGAGAATTCGACGCATTGTCTTTCTAATCCCGACGTTCTGAAAGCCATTTCTGTACGTGAAATTTGTTGAGGTCGCTACAAGCTCAGGTACAATGCCATAATGATTGAGCCCGTGCTTGTTCATGAAAGGTACTCTAAGGTACAACTTCTTACACCGTTATCAGAGATTATCAAGAGTACCGTTACATTCCAAAAGAGGACGCTCATGGTTTCTATCGACTCAGCTCGTTCAAATAGAACGGATTGTCATATTATGTTCGAGGGCCAGTGTTACGCAATCCCAAGAGATAGCAATCGTCAGAGATATCTCAGAGATTGAGGTCGTGTCCGAAATGAAAGAAGGTTCATGACCTCCGGACTTTGAAGTCGACCAATCTCGGATGCAATCGACTGTCGGTATCCCGCCTGATGTGGAGGCTGCAGATATTCCAATATTTGCGTAAACTCAGGATTTGAATACTCCTGGTATGTCGCTTCTTGTACCACTGTACAGTACTGTAAGCTGATGTTATCGGAGGACCACCCGTAACAAGGTTCAACTGCTATATTCTCAATTAGACACGGTGTGCGATGTTCTCGCCCTGAACTTACCATAACCTTGTATGCGCTAATACTTCACACAAGTAACCCATGGGCTAAACGAACTCAATTTGATCGTGGAGCGATTGGAGATATCGTCCTCCTCACTTCTCCGTGCCTTCCAGGTTTCCGCGGAATGAGGCCGACGATACTCGTGGTCCTCAGATCGTCGCAGACGCTGTCCCTGGACTCGCGGTACGGATCTTTAGGTGGCTGCAATGATAATCCAGAATCCGGCTCAGAATCCGAGGAGTGCCGTCTCGACTAATAGCTAATGTCGACTCCGAAAGATCACCTGCTCTTCGTGTTCAGTCAATGGAGTCAGTCCCGGGTCTGGCCTTTCTCGAGGACTCTGAATTGTATGATGACTCGGAAGTATATTCCGGCTCGGGGAGGACGACTGGTACGATGGGGAACTGTCATATCATCAGACAGAAAATAGCTTTTCTCGTCTTTCTATTGCAGGGTAGACGGTTCACGCTTCCCGGCTAGCACGGCAGATTTTACAGCTTCTATAAAGACCACGACGCGTAGGAATATAAATCGAGTCCCTCAAGCTCCGTCCAACTGCGCTCGAAGTGGTTGATTCCCAATGACATATTCCCAATTCACTGTATGCGGAGATCTACACCTTTCGACTCTCGGAAAAGGTCCGATAACAGCATCCCGACTCTATTTGTCACTCGTAATTGACAGACATAGAATATCATCAGCTTTGCTACGCCGGAGATACATGCCTTCGTGGCGTAAGATCGCGGGCTTTATCAAATGACCCTCGTTTCTCTTGAGAAAGTCTACTTTCCAATGCTGTGAGTATATCCTTTACCCGCCGATGAGATTAATGCTTGTGTGGAATCGATGGACGAATTGGCGGGACTCGGAAGGTTTAGCTACCTCTGGTGGCACCATTCCTGATGTCGACCATTGCGAACAGAACACAGACTATAGTCACTGCCCCACTAGAACAATTTAGTGTCCTCTTTCACTCCATGCCTGCATCTAACTGCCGTAATCACAGATGTCGAAGTATCTGAGTCGCGACCGAGAACTAGCCATCCAATACAAGGCAGGCTCATGTCGATCATCAACCACATTACAATCAACAAATCCCCGTCATCAATATACTTGTTTCTAATTTGTACTTCATTTCGGGCCATCCTTGGGAGGATAAGGTAGGCCATGCCAAACAATAGTTGGTCTACGAAACTACTCTAAAGGGTTTTGATCGTAAAGTGACACTGGCTCGGTGAAGTCTGCGAGCTAACCGGCTTTCGTAGAGGCACTAAAGGCTTCGCCTTTTTCAAGTTGGTCAAAAGATACCCCAATAGTATGGCCATGCTACGGTATTTTCGCAATTCCGAGGCATATTCTTACTATCGCACTGCGCCTTTTTGACTAATAAATTTACTTTTAGAAACATGCGATCCAAAGTCGGAATTGACCCATCAACCATTGTGCGCACCGTTTAACGGAACTCGAGAAGTATCGGTACTTTCGGACTGATACACTCTCACCTTCTGCTTTAGAGTGCCTTACACCGAGTGATTCGTGAATGAACAATATCTGTCCTATAAAGGTCATGAAGTACCATATACTGAAGATGGATGCGGCTTATCGCTGTACTATGACAAACTGAGGGCTTTAATGAAAAGGATTCTAATCAGACCATCCACCAAGCTCAACAGCGAAAGCGACAGCAAGCTTGGAAAATTCTAGCATATGAGTGAAGCTGAATTCATCCGAGATGTCGATCCGACTGATTGAACCCATGAGAACAATGATCGTGAGCAAACAAGAGAAGAACGTACTCGTTCGTGGAATGAATGTTCTTGTTCGAATTCTCAAAGGTGCTCTCTATAAATAAACCATAAGTCGACATCCTCGAGGGATCATCGATTCATCGCTCTTACCTATTGTGAAAGCACTTGGGTATCCTGCCTTGCCCCAAGATGCACTAAGAAACAGTCATAATGAAGAGTAGAAAGAAAATCATAGAGGGTACGCACTGATCACTACAAGCATATCCGCACGCCGTCTTAAAGACGGTTAGATGAGAGTGACCCAATCCTTTAGAAGTTCACCCTTACCTCCACGTAAGGGATGTCTAGGTATGTTTCAACAAGATCTTTGTTGAACTGCGTGAGGCTATACAGATTTTGGGTCAGTGACATAATAGAATGCCAGTGGAATAATGTACTCCGCGTCGACGTAGTCGGTGATGATTCCGACCTCTTCCCGAGTACCACACTGCACGCGTGTTAGTAAGAACAACAGTGTGCATCCGCAGGGCTTACCTTAACCCATGCAGTCATGTCGAACTGGTTGAAGTTGAATATTTGGACTCCGCGAAGGACGCAATGTCGTACCTGGCTCATAGCGATAACATTCACAGATCGCGAAGCATAGTCACGCGCAACGGCCTGAGAACCTAGAAGGCCCCCTTCCTGTAGTAAACATGGTGAACAAATAGCACGAAATCGCTCATGTTACGCCTACCTCAGCGGAGTACCAGTGGAATTCAACAGTCTTCTTCGGGTGGAAATTGGCAGCGAGTAGTGCTCGATATGATTCAAGAATAGTGACACTACCGGAGCCGTCATCTGGAGCAGAAGTCAGGGCAGACCCTCGATTATGGACCAAAATTCATCAATACCGTCGGCACCTAGAATCAAAGTCAAAAACATGATGGCATGCGAAGTAGTAAAAACTCTTACCAGGAGCGGGTAGGAACGGCCACATGTTAGTGCTATCACAAGTTCCAATGAACTAATGACGCCAACAGGAACGTCAGAGCACGTACCTATCCTGATGCGCGGATATAACGATGACGTCCTCGCTTGCGTCTGTTCCATTGATACGTACAATCTTGGAGACAATGAGTGAGAGACTGAATCTAAGGGAAAGCACTCAACGATACTGTTCTGGCCCCAAGAATGAGGGAACTCCGAAAAACTGATGCGAGTTCGTAGAGACGCCGGACTCCATAGGTCAGTTATCTGTATTGTATGTTTGACGCGACAAATCGAAGTGGCACAAAACAGAACACACCTCGGATATCTTTGCGAGAAGCCATTGTTGGCTTTGCTTCCCGGTCTATTAATCGATTGATTGAACACACGTCGAACTGCAAGGCACTAGTCTCACGTCACTGCGGTAATCTGAAAAGGATTGAATGAAAGACCGGAGGGATTAGAAGGGTAGCAAACGTACACCTTGTTCGAAAGCTACTGAATTTCTCCAAGTTCTCCTTTGGACCTTTAGTAGATAGCGTCCTCAAAATAGGCTTCACTTTCTCAGTGGCGTTCGGTGACGGATACGGAGCTGTAACAACACATGTTGGCTGGCTGGAGCTGTGACTAAGAACGGATAGGTTCACATACACTTGCGGCGGATCCGTGCGAAGGCAAAGGATTCCAAGTCCTGGGAGTCGGTGCTATATATACACTCGGTAAATACTAGGTCTAGATTAGTGATTGATGAATGGCTCACATGTCGAAGAACTTGGCGCCTTGAGCTTTCAGCTTGATCTAAAGCAAACTTAGTCATGTAAAGAGACGGGAGAAGAAGGTTGGCACCTTATCTAGTTCAGTCATCCAAACCGGGGCTTGCCCCTCCGTTTGGACGAGTCTCTGGGCGCTTAGATCTAAATGAAAGCCAGGTTCACTTGCCGAGTGTTGGAATGCATGCTGGTCGAGCACCACGGGCGACGCCGCAGCGAGGCAAGCGAGAGGTAAAAAGAGCGAGAGAGACTTCATGGTGGTAAGAAGGGAAGGGTAGGTGACCAGGAAGGGGAACGAGCACACCGTCGCGAGGCACTCGAACCGAGTGACGTCGCCGGGCGGATTACGTCACGTTTGCCTTCCTTTTTCGCATCTTGATTCTTTTCAGTCATGGCGGCAACTGCGAAGGACCAGCTTGTGGTACTTTCCGTGTTACTATTCTATATGTAAACATTTTTGATAAATTTTTTCTTAGCGAATTCTTATCGCGGCCGGGAAAGCAGCCCCTACGCCGCCAGTTGGTCCAGCGCTTGGTGCCCGTGGCGTCAAATCCATGGACTTTTGTAAGGAGTTCAACGCAAAAACAGCCCACATTGCACCGGGGACGCCAACTCCAACGATTATACGCGTCCGACCTGATCGAACCTTTTCATTCATCACAAAAACGCCCCCAACGACCTACCTTCTCAAACAGGCCGCCGGAATTGAGCAGGGCACTGGGAAACCTGGCCACGAATTCAATGGGACTGTCAGTCTGAAGCATATCTACGAGATTGCCAGGATAAAGTCTACCGATGAACATATGAAACATCTGCCTCTAGAGTCCATCGCCAGGATGGTCGTCGGCAGCGCCAAATCGCTGGGCGTTCGGGTTGTTCCTTGAGCGCGTCCCTGTAAGTAAAACTTATATTCAATTGGTCTTCGTTTGTGAAAGAGTCCTCGATCTTATCTAGCTCCCAGATTGCTGCCATGTTCCGTCAGTCGATGTCGGCGTCGGTGCCTAGTAGCAGTAGATCATTAATCACACTATCTATAATTCGAGCCATCCAAAATCAGCTCTGAAACCTGAGTTTTCGTCCTAGGTCTCTATTTGTGAGAGCCGAATTTTGGATTGAGAATAGTCTTTGCTGATTGATCGCCCAGCTTTTGGGCGAGAGCCTGTTACTGTTCCTTGTATACGAATCCAGCATGAGACGCTTGTATTTCCATTTCTGACATTTAGATTTCCGGCCTCAAATACCTTGTATGTCCTTACAACACCGGTAGTTGATATTTTTCATTAAGAAGTCGGACTCAAGCAAGACTACCCATAAATCTACCTGATCGTACTCAGCTTTCAACCGGATTCAGTAACACCGTCACAATGTGGACCTCACCGTCAACATGCTGTCCTAAGCCCCGGATACAAGTTACACGTTCATGTCGTCCCTTCGAAGCCCAATCCACTATCTGGTGCCAGAGTTTCCTTATACAGTTGGCCCCATGGACAAGGAGATGGTCAGTACTGAACAATCCTTCTTTCACGAGCGAACTGATACGCCGTGGTTTTCCTCATGTGCCACATTGACCGTCCGCACCACGTATACATTTTGTGTCAAAGGGGGAGGAACTTTCGGCCCATGCCGACTATTGACAAACTGCGACGGGGCGTGTTGCGAGAAATTTCAGTGCCTACTCTTGATTCGTATGGTTTTTTTTTTTTCGAATCGATCATCCTGAGTTTACTTACAATCGGAGTCTTACTCCACCGTCTAAGGCTGGCCGTGATTGAGCCCTAGACTTCTCTAACACGTTCACGACGTCACCTTTATCTTTTCGCGGTCGACACGTTCCCGATCGTTCCTTTGGGCTTTCGGTGAAAAGGTCAACATGAACAGTTTTACCAATTTGACCTCCCTCCGAGTATAAAGTTTGGAGATACTCTGGTCAAGGTTCTCCAAGTACTTCCGCTGTTCCGACTTCCCTCTCCCCTCCTCCCTCTCAATCTTATATCCTAAGCAATGGCTACTCCTTCAGACGACATTTTGTCTTGGACTAACCAGGACCCTCGCGAAAGTCAGTTGTTCAACTCTTGGGGAGTCCTATATCGATTTCAGGTACGACCAGGGTTCTTGGACAAGGAACCATGGACTGACCGCTATATTATTAGACTACCGTAAGTCCCAACGGACAGAGCGTGACCACGCTATGGCGCTCCATCCGAACGAACAAGGAAGACCGCGTCGCGAAGCTCGAGTGGGCTGCCAACGGTGGTCTTGGTCGAATAGTCATCGGCAAGGTAAGTTCTCTTTTCCGCGCTACCTCCTCGTAACAAAAATTCGCTCTGACGTTACGTCGTGTAGAACACTCTGCCGATGTCCGACCTTGTTCTGGCGGACCCACGCATATACGTGAGCAGTTCACCTTTTCTAGCCGTGATGTCCGACTGATGAAAACGATGTTTTCCAGGGTTCTCGTGTTTTCAATGGCCCAGATGGTCAGCAATACCGGTGGCGTCCTAGTACTACCAGCTCGGACATCGTGGTAAGTTTTTGATTTGTACGATACAATACTGTATAGCTCACGTCAACACCGTAGCTTCAAGATTCGAATGGCGCCGTTATTGCCTTCTTCCGCTCTACACATCCAACACGTTACCAGATCGGCGATGTGTACGGCGAGCTCCACTTTATACGGACGGCAGGTTCAGGAACAGTGGTAAGCCGGATGTGGTCTTGAACACTATACATTTACTGAATCAAGGAAGATGCATCCACCAATTATGGACATGGTCACTGTTACTGCTATGCTCTACCGTTTCTGCGCGCTGTTCAACCTGAAGTAAAAACCAGATGTGAGAGGAAATGAAGTGGTATTTAGTTCCAGTATCTCCTTAGGTTCATGACCAGTGTACCATATTCTATACGTGTTCGGTGGTTTTGCATATTTATGATTTTCAGACAAATACATGTCAAAAGCCAACGACATAACCGGAAACACTTTCATCGATAGTGAATCCACGCATCAAACTTGTGCTTCACGTGAAGGAGTGCGGCAAAAAAGAACCCAGACCGCGATGAAATCATTTGGGCACGATGCGAGCCGCGGTCTGCATCGTGGCAAAGATGTCATACACACTGATCTCGAGCACTCCGACAAGTCTCCATGATTGGATAACAGTTCACCATCAAAACATAACTAGAACCGAGGTTTGTGCAGAGTACAGTACATGTATCGAAATTCCCATCAGTCCACAATCACAAGACCCCCTCTCGTTGTTCACAATTTCACTTTCTCGTGAAACTCCTGGCCATCTGATTTTACGCCATCTACAATCGTGTCCACGGTACGAATGACCCATTCGGTGCCTTCGTCACTGGAGAGCCATGCATCTTCCTTGCTCTGGTTTTCCACATTGCGAGCCTTCAGCAGGCCAAAGACATGACTAGTGAGCTGGGGAAGGACGCGTTCCTCTGAACGTAGACAAGCGATGCCTACCACAGAGCCAAGCACACGACTAAGGTTTCCCTGATCAGGATCGTCGATGCTGCTCGACTCTGCGTATCCCTTCACCCCTCCCGGAAGAGGCGAAAGCACGGCACCGTAGCACTGGATGATGAAAGCTATCGGAACATGTCATCAGATAATGTAAAGCTTCCATGGATCAAGTACAGGGAAGACGTGTTTAGGAATTAAAAAACGTGCCAGTATTGGGAATGGGTGTGTCAATCAGCGGGAACGTGTACGCACAGATGAAATCTGGGTGATAACCGCCTAATTTGTCGTGTAGTTTATCGGCATAAGGTGTATAAAGCGCGTCCCAGAGAGCTTTCCCCCGCACAAGGGTCGATTCGATGTTCTCGGGGGTCGCAATTCTGCATTGAATAAGATTAATGCCCAAAGGAAATAGATGTTAAGGCTCATGAGAAATTTGAGCTGAATGATAAGTTGCATACCTGCGAGAATCCTTCCTCAAGGCCGCCTTTACTTCGTCGTCAATTGCTTCATTCAATGCTGCCAGGGATAAGATGACCTGAAGTTCTTAAATGTCGTAAGAAGGGCGTCTTGATAAGGCCAATACATACCCGAGGAACGCCGACGAAGATTGTGCTCTTCAACGCGGATTCTCGCACGAGGGCAGCCTTATTGACAGCTTCCAGAACGCTGCTTTTACGACTCCCTGTGGCCTCATCGGTGTCGGTTATGAAACGATAGAAGTGAGCCAAAGTGGGAGGGCGATTAAGCGTAAGAAGTGTGCATGTCTAGTACGAAATCTGTTCAACGAGGCTGATATGCGAATGGGTGGGTATTCACCGTCAATACGAGCCAGCCGGTTTCAGCTTGGCGTGACTGTGCGTCTTTGTAGGTATTCGAGAGAACCTGGCGGAGTCTAGCGGCAGTTGGACTTTGCAGAGGATTCGGATTATGAAGGGTAAGCAAGTGCTTGATGGCAGGCGAAAGCTTGACCATTCTTCTACCGCGAAGGGAAGTATCTTTCACTTTAAAATTGCTTTATAAGATGAGAATAAGAAGAGTATGAGAAGAATATAAGAATACAAGACTGAGCCTTAGCTTTCAAGGGCGTCTGATCGGAAAGTGGCCCAAAGTAGAGCCGGTGTTGAGTAACCGGAAGTAATAAATCCCTTTTCCAAAATACGAAGAGCCATTTGACGCACTTTGGTGTATCGTAGCCATGTCCAACAAACTTTTCAAGAGAGATAAAGGCGGCTCAGCAATAAATGAATTAAATCTGGCAGGACGCGCGGATCGGTGAAAACACATACTAATGCAATGTAGATAAAATGCTACTAAGAAAACGATATATCACCAGCAATACTTCATCGAGATCAACGATGCCGGTGTGAACCAGATAACCAATAAACAAGGCTCGCAAGCTCGCCCAATTACCCGTACTACGGGTCTGAAAGATATGGAAAATGTAATGAGGGTATCGACCAAATCCATGCATATATGGGAGGCAAAATCGGTGCGTCGGTGCATCCGAATGAAAAAAAGAAATCTTTAGTAACCATTGATAAATCTGTACCCAAGAGAGTTGGGCACACCGTCTGAGCCCATCAGCTGGCATTCGTAGTTAACGTTGTACATGTCGAGCATGGCACCTAGAGGCAGCGTTCAATATCTGATCCACGAAAACAGTGGATCGGTGACTTACCAAACCACATGTAACTTATAATCCAATCTGTAGAATCCATCCATGCAGTTGTAGTGGTCATGAAGCTCCAAATTTCGTCCGACGTGCATTGAGGGCCATTGTTGAAGTTCTACCACATTGGAGTCAACTAAAATCCATAACCAGTTCACGAAATCTTACTTGGCAAGCATATTCAGTAACCAAAATTGGGAGACCGAACGCATCATGGAACTTGTTCTGATACGCGATGAAATCAGTGGCAGAAATATCGTAGTAGTGCGTGGCGATCGCATCAATCTACATGAAAAAGATGAGGACTTTGGTTACAAAACAGATTGATATCCTTACGGTACATCCAACGCATTTAGAAAAGAACTCTTGAGTCCAAGTGAAGCCTGCGGGACTGGAGGAAACGGCGGGGGCGACAAGCTTGTGTCCATTGGCCTTCTGGGGTTCAATGTACTGCCACCACAACTGAACGGCGTGGTCGGGGGTCATGTTGGACTGGCCCGACTCATTGGGCCTAAGCGGATAAGTCAGGGACAAGGAACAGGTCAATACGTGAGCTTAACCTACTCGTTGAAGGCGAGAACGTAAGTGGGAGTAGTGTAGGAGCCGATATTCTGTGAAAACTCCGCGGTATCCCTGTCTCCCCAGAGTTGAGGAAGGACTTGGAACCCGACATTAGAGGCTGCAGGAAGAGGGCTGCTGCCCCAAGTGTACAGGCTGTGTAAGGACGCATAAAAAATCATATACAAAAGAGGAGCTGATAAAGATCTCACTAAGTCATATGGTTGGTCTTCCAGTTTGCCAGTTTGCCATTGTCGCCATTGGGCCATGCCAGACCGCCCTTGGGCCCAATCCAGACACCCGAGCTGGAAGAGGTGGTAGCAGAGGAGGTGGTGGAGGCCACATAACTGCTCGAAGAGCTAGTTGTAGAAGGCGCTACATAGGGGGCAGCCGAAGAAGTAGAAGCGGGTGTGTACGACGACACAGTCGAAGAAGAAACCAACGACGAGGACTCGCGAACCTTGCAGCGCTTTGAATTGGACCGCTTTTTCTTTGAGGCAGGCTCACGACGCATGCCATGGTGAACACCACGGCGAGCAAAAATCTGACCGTGAGAGTCAGGAGAGAGGGCAGCAACGGGGGCTGGGCTGTAGGACAAGGCGATAACGGCAAGAGTCGCAGCTGCAAGTAAATTTAAGAAATTAAGCTGGGCCATAACGGCGGTCGTAAAGAGAGACGGTAAAAAAGAATGGAAGGGCGACCTAGTCGATGCTGGGAGAGAAGAGGAAGGAGTGAGGGGAGCGAGAATGACAGATATACGAACTAGACTTGGCACCCGTCTTGATGAAACGGCCTCCTATATATTTACCCGGCAACTTCCGCCTTGGTACTGCCCAATTCAGGTCCGAGCGCGGCCAGTCATGTCCGCAAACTAGCAAAGGTTTCAAAAATCAGCTCGTAGACGCGTCGAATTGTGATCTACACAAAGTTGAATGATTTGCGTCGTAGGTAAATTAAATTCTTGCGCAGCAACATTCTGCATGCGGCCACCGGCGTTGCCATGGGTATTTGTCTGAGTGGCTGTGAGCCAGTGTGTGTCCATATTTGGACCACTCTGTCTGCAGTCAGGGTTAATCAGAGTGATGATTAACGCTGTCTGCCGCATCATGTATAAACTCATAAATTCGCGTTTTTTTTTTAATAAGAGGCAAGCGGCCAAAATATGGCATGAAATTTTTGATAGCAAAGTCCATCAGAAGGTGACAAAGGAGGTGGACAACAGAGCCAAATAAATCATAAAAGAGCAGCATTCAGTAGAAATTCTCCAACCTCCAAGTTTGACACATAAAACCGGTTCATCAAGCTCCTCCAGCTTTCCCGTTCTCGAAACATCGTCTCACCGCCACCTTACAATGTCTGAAGCCCAAGTCGCCCAAGTCGCTCAGGACGGCGCGCCTCCGGTTACGCAGGACAAGGAAGAGACTGGCTTCAAGGTTCGCGCTTTCTCTTTTCATTTTTTTCACCTTTCTAATTTCTTCATTTAGGTCTTTGCCGGCAATCTTGCGTATGCTACCACGGATGAAGGGCTGAAGGCGTTCTTTGCGCCTGTCCAGAGCGACGTGTACGTGAACACAGCCTCGCGCCACCCGCCCTTTCTCACCTCTTCTCTTCTTCAGTCTTTCCGCGCAAGTAATCCTGCGTGGTACACGTTCTGCAGGCTATGGTTTCGTTGCTTTGGCTACCGAAGAGGCCGCCAACAAGGCAGTCGAAGCTCTTGACAAGAAAGAGCTCGATGGTCGTCAAGTAATCATCGAAATTGCCAAACCTTCTGAGCAAAAGGACAAGGAAAGGAAGGAGAGAAAGGCCAAGAGGAGACCCGGCAGGCGTGGCAGCAAGGCTGTTCCCGGGGAAGTCACAGAGGCCGAGGCCAATGGTGAGGTCACTGTTGTCGCAGAACCTGCCGCAGCGGGCACCGAAGAGGCCGCTAAACCCAAGAAGAAGAAGAAAAGCGCGGTCAGTCTCGTTTACAACTATATCCAATCGTTTTTTGTAACGTGTCTTCTGACTTTTTATTATGTATTAGCGCAAGAATAAAGCAAAAGCTGCTGCCGAGGGTGACGTCGAGGCTCCGGCCCCGGCTGTGGAGGGGGAGGCGGCTACGGAAGCTGTTCCCAAGAAGAAAGCCCGTAAGCCCAGGGCCCCTCGTGCTCCCCGCCCTGCAGGCGAGGACCCTGTCGGTGAGCCATCCGGGAACATGCTGTTCGTTGCCAACCTCGGTTTCAATATCGACGACGACGGTCTCAAGGGTCTTTTCACCGAAGCCGGCATCAATGTCGTTAGCGCGCGCATTGTTCGTCGCCGGTGGGGCCAACCAAGGCGCAGCAAAGGTTACGGTTTCGTGGACGTTGGCGGCGAGGAAGAGCAGAAGAAGGCTATTGCTGCTTTGGAAGGAAAAGAGGTCGGTGGCAGAAACATCGCTGTCAAGATTGCTGTCAACACTCCCCACGACGACGTGCATGAAAGCGATGCTGCTGAAGGCGCTGCCGTTCCTGCCATCATCGCCGATGCTCCTGCTGCAACGACCTCTGAGGTTTAACTCATGGATTACGATAACAACGCCCTGATCGCTGCTAACTTTGCTCATCACCCCATGCCATGCCTCCATCATTCACGCTGCTACCTGCTTCTACGAGCCGTGAATTGCACCTGTTGATACTTAAATTTGTTCCCAGCTCGTATCGTTAGCTACTATTTCTCTCAAGTAGTCAAGGCCATTCATGGCCCTGGTGCTGTTCTTTACTTTACTGTAAACCCCATATGTGCCGTTTTCCTGTTCAATAACGACACCGTTCATGAATTTTTTTCTTTTTTTTTTTATTCGCTCAATAAAAGAGTTGTGGATTTGGACTCTTTCTCAAACGATCAAAATTTTTGACGTGACATCATAATGCCACTCTATCACCTTCACCATGTCCGATGACGAGGATGACTATCTTTCCGATAAATTTCTCGCAGAAAGCTCGTCGTCGACACGCCCTCAGACATACAGCAGCTTACGCAAGGAGGCCCAGAAGAAATCCCTGCTGAAGAATGAGCAAAATCGCCAAACGAGCCGGTATCAGCGCGAGATCGAGTCTCGCGAAGAAGGCCTGAGCAAAAGTCTTTTCACCCGGGCGAAAGAGGAGCAAGAAGCGGGCATTTCTACCGGTAACAAGGCCATGTCCATCATGATGAAAATGGGCTTCAAGCCAGGACAGTCGCTGGGCAAAACCGACGATGAGCCAGCGGACGCCGCACCTAGCATCAACGTTGCCAATTTGTCCAAGAAATCCGGAGGTCATAAGGTGGAACCGCTTCCACTGAACGAGTGGGAAGGCGAGCTGTTTTTCCGTCGCAGTTGCCGATATCTGTACTGATTGCCGTACGTGTCTCCCAGGAAGAAAAGGCATCGGCACTCGCAAGCGTGCGCTTTCTCCCACATCTGCAGAACGTATTGCCAAGATGGCCAAGATGGCCGAAACAGCTAAGCAGTCTAATTTCCGCGACCGAGCGATGCAAGAATACGCGGAGCGACGCGCAGAGGGCAGGCTGTGTATGTTTAACTTCCTTAGATTTTTACCGGCTTTCCTGACCTCCGACGTCTCTCCGTTTCTTATCAAGTATCAGCGCAACGCACATGCTCGAATCTTGACGAGAAGGCCGCCATCGAGGTATATCTTTCCCTTGTTTCCATCCTACAACTGAATGTATGCGGTGTTTCTAGTTCAATGTCCTCTGTTTAAACCCGAACAACCCGGAATCTTTCCCTGCCGGTCTGATGGACGCCCTCGAGCAACACACAACCCTATCTCTTCCCACAGCTACCCAGCATAATAAGACCTCCATCGAGTCACGACTTCGTCGACAAATGCAATCAGATGCTCTTCAACCCCTCGACGACGTCACAGATCAAGGCCAGAAGGTGGTTGCTGCAGATCCCGAATTCTCACCGGAAACATTAGAGGAAAGCGCACAATACCTTCGTCTCCAGGTCCGTGTGCCCTATTCATTTGTTTCCATGCACCGCTTACCAAAATGTAATAACAGGCACAGGACCGTCTGGAATTGATATTGGCGTACCTGCGGGATCGGTACTTGTATTGTTTTTGGTGTGGGTCGCAGTACCACAGCCATGACGAAATGTCCAGTGAATGTCCGGGACCTGACGAGGATGATCATTGACCGATAAGTACCGTTCCATCCTTCTTTCGTGTGCGGTTATTTCATACGGAGAGCCGTTGCCATGTCCCCCTGCGCTCGTGACGCACTCCTTGATACTGGTTGTCATCGCACCGGCCTTGAGTCTTCTTAGCTCAGTCCCCAGTTCTAAAAGAGTAGCTTGCGATATAACTGTAATCTTACACATCAACGAGTGGCAGTACATACACCAATTGCTGTACCTGTGGAACTAGCTAACAATCCCAAAATGGAGGCTAGCTACCTAAAGAACCTAGTAACCAAGAAAACGAAAGGAAAAGTCCAAAGGATGGTGGGTAGGTAAAAAGCCCTATCGGTAACAGTTGCTATACGCGAACCGGAAGTAATGTTACAATATGTCCAGATGTCCAATGAATACGTACGCTGACTTATTTACAGCGTTATCTCCCGACTGAGGTTCTCGATGTGAACAGTATATGGTCTCGGATGTCTCTCACTATCAGCTGAGCGAGGTGGAGTAGAAATTCGGGTACCAGTGTGACAGCGAAAGCGACCAAAAATATGACCTTCTAGCAAGTCGGCCTTCATCACAGGGGAAGGAGAAGGTGAGTTGGAATTGCGATCAGACAAGGGACGTTTCTCATCCGAGTCTGGTGTTATGGGGAAGTGGTCGGAATTGGGGGATAAGGGTAAGAGGGACGGAAGGGTGGGTAGTGTGAGCAAATGCCCATAGGTGGCTGATGTGTCACGAGAATCGGGAACGAAGATGGAGGTTGTAGGGGAGGCACCGGGTGTCTTCCGACGAACGTAGATAGATATTGGTGTGGTGGCGGAAAGGTCTGTTGACGAGCCAAATACATTGACTGTCAGTTTGTTGTCTTTCCGTTTACGGATGCGAGGTGAGCCTGGATGATTCTGAGGGCTCTTCTGAGTATCGTGCAAGAGTAAATAGACAGTGTGCTTACGGGCAGGACACGCCGTTCGAGATCAGGAGAAGATGAAGACGTTGATGAAGAGGACACACTTCCACGTCTAGAAGAAAGCTGCGGAAATGAGGTGTTACTTGGATGAAAAGGTGTACAGGGAAGGCTACGCACTGTCGGAGAATAAGGAGAATAGCGAGCTTGCGACGTATGACGAACACTCCGATCTCGCGAGCTTATGGGCGAATAGAGTGAGTGTGGCGAGGCAGAGCGAGAAGAACGAGGCGAGGATGCTGAGTGGTCCAGCGCTTTAGAGGCTGAATCAACACCCAGCGTAGAAATCAGTTCAACGAACGAAGGGAGTGTGGTCATTGTGATTAGAGGAAAATAGGCCCTAGCTGAGCTGGCTGAGAAGACCTAGCTGAGAGGTATCGTGGGGAAGTACCTGGCGATCTGAAATACGTCGAAGGAGCCAAGATTATAAAGGCACAGACATCGAGATACCTTAGAAACAACCCCACGGTCATGTTGTCAGGCCATGTTACAATTACCGCGAAGACCCACAGGCCAATTGCCGGGTATAAACCTCGAAAAAGAATGACATCAAGACCGGTCGGCAAGGAGACCCCTGTTGAAGGTTGCTGATTTAGCTCGCGGCTTTCTGCGCATCCACAAGCTCCGGATTTAGAATATTTCCAGATATCGATCAGATGTCTACCAAAACGGTCTACCAAGGGGCTCCCCAGATACGTAGGTAGGCGCAAATTCCCATCCTTTGCATACCGGTCAGAAAAGGTGGAAACGCAACAGTCTCAGGTAAACTTGCCTCGTGTCGCAGCTGACAACTTATATCTCTACGCAACTAAGTCCTCCATCACAGCTGTAGGATGCTGCGTGTCAAACTCCTGGACGTTCAACATTTCGGTCGTCATACAAGCTACAGCTCCGTCCGAATGCAATACCGGAAGCACTGCACTGCCTCGGCGAAAGCATAAAATGTCCAATGGCGACGCACACCCTGTACAGTTATTTACCGGTCATTGCAACACCATGGTTCAATGAAACACTTAGCCTCTTGCTCTCCCTCCCTTCATCCTTCATCATCAACTTGTATTACATTGCTGATGTGTATTGTATCTTCATGTTCTGCAGTGATTCTTCATATGTGACATGAATAATATTCCCGAGAAATTGAGGCTTCTGTTCTAAAAATATCTATTTTCTCATGAACTCAAAATCTGACCTGGAAATGTGTGTCCTCCATCTGAATGTAATCACCCACAAAGGCCTCAATAATGTTAATGACCTTCTGAAGAACCTGTGTGACAGGTTTGAGACCAAGCGGCCATTATCTGAGGAGTCTAGGGCATAAATAAAAGTGCGGTTCTGCCAAGCCATCACCTTTGATGGACAGTCTGACAGTCCAATGCGTCCATTATTGCCCTGCTGCCTCCGAACTTTATTTCTCCTCTTGTTCAATTTTTTACTATGCCTGGACATGCCAAATCAAACTCGAAAAAGTGTCAGATTGCTCACAAATGCCATGACCAGCTAATGGAAAAGGCAGTCATTGCAAATGATTGCATACAAGAATGAGCTTGTCAAACTACCTGGTGCTCCTCGGAAAGGTGCAAGAAAAATCTGCAAAGATTTTGAGGCTGTATATCAGAGAGAGACTGGAAAGGAGATCTCACTTTTCTATAGCACTCGAGCGATTCCGAGTAGCTGACTAATGAGGTTTGGGTATATGGGCCGGACTGTTTCAATGACTCAAAATAGCCTAGAATACCCACGCCACGATAATGCTGTGAAAACGGACTTGTACTCGCACCTTTGAGCATCTTTTTTTTACTGTATCTTATTGTTGTATAGTATTACACATTCTTACATTCAAACCTAGTCAAAATTCCCAATTGTCATCGGCTGTTGATTTGTGATTGACGGGAGTTGGATAGTTGATGCCGACGTAGAAGGGTCCCATAGAAAAATTCTCGTGCTCCCAGTAAATAGCGCCGTGCACCCCGGTCGCCACGGCTGGTGGGGAATTAATAGGTATTCCAAACCTATTTCGGCGATGCTGGATACAAGACTCTACTAGCCTGCATATGCATTCAAGCTGTAAATTGCGTCGTAGTCGTCCCCCTTCCAAGTTGGTTACCATTTTCAAACCGTAGTTAATGATGAAACTTCCTCAAGCCGATGCCTTGTCGGGGAGTGCGGCGACAACTGCGCACTCCAAAGCCTGAACTGACATCGTGACTCTGTTCAGCAGAAATACCGTCAGAAGGTGGGCGACCACCATCAATTGTTGAAGGACTAAAAGCCCATAAAATCATATGTTTGTTCATACCAAAAATGTTATTCGTATCAGCAGGAGGTAACCGCCCCGAGAACCGCTCGCTCTGCCATCACCAGTCTCCAAGATGTCGCACCCAGAGATTCAAAAAGCAGGTCACTACGATCCGGTCCAGAATGCTTTCCACGCGGGTTGCTACGCGTAGGGTAAGGTCTTCTTGCAACCAAGTAGCAACTGTTTTACCCCGTGAGTCAACACACTGAGAGCGGTTAGGACACGCTTAGACGAAAAAAGCAACATCAGCTTACGAAAAGATCCGTGTTGTTGTCTGCAATTTTCCACTTGTACTCCGAGCCACCTACTTTGAAGCGGCGCGATCTGCAAAGGCATTAGCGCCATTTACTCGTGCATGTAAGATACGCTCACTGGCTATTAGATTTCTTCGGCTTTCTGAGTTCGCGGATATGATACTGGATATTTAGTCAACAACCGGAATATAGGAATGAGCCAGTGATAAAGCAGGCGCTCCCTTACTTGATTTATCCCAAACTGGACCGTAGCATTGGAGTTTGACAGCCATTCGATCTGACCCGCCGTTTCAAAGATGTTGGTAATGAGGTTTTGACGATGGAATGTAGTCAACCCCGCTACCAAGCCAGTTATTGGGTGATAGAACTATCAAGAAGTTAACATCGAAAAGTTGATGGTAGATTTAAGGATTGTAAGCATAACTACCCACACGATAGAGCTCGATAACGCTTGAGGAGGCAGAGTCAGGCAATCGATACACCTTAAACGTCCTCATGTCAGAGTTGGACGAGGCGGAGAATTCAAAGCGAAGACAGATGTCAGTGGCGGAAGACATGACGGGGTAATCGCTAGTGTTTCGGGCCTGGTTTTATTGCAGCGGAACGGGTGCAGTTTCGTCAATTAACGGAACCTGAGATCTATATGTCGTCGAAGCAGGATCCACAAGTAGTGCCGAGCTGAAAAGCAAGGACTCGTCGAAAAAGGCTTAGGACGGATATGAATTTGCCATCATCCCGGGCCCGGAACATAGGCTCTGAGTGACACTAGGCAGGAGAAAGAAGGATAAGGGCACGAGGAAGCCCAGTAAACGTGGTCTCGGGGTAGATAGAGCAATATTTCATCGATTCTGAAATTCTGAAATCATTGGGCGATCGGCATGTTTGATGAGCAAAGCAGTCAGGACCCAGAGAAATGGCATGCACGCATGTCCAAGGTCCAAATTTTGATGTACCATTATTAGAAGATAACGGTGGCGGTTTAATACAAGAGACGAGCCCCAAGTGGATCAGAGGGCTCGTTCACGCGCTTGGTATACATAGCTCGACCGCCCGTAATCGGTGGAGCAAGTGTGGATTTTACTGCAGCTTGTTTCGGTAGAACACAGACCCGCCGCAGTGATATAATTTCTGTTTCGCGTATCGTTGAGCTCGTGGTGCAACCATAAGATGGATGGTACAAGAACAACTCAAAGACCTGTCTGATATACGGAAGACGGTCAACTCGAGGTAGTCAGAGCCTCGGCCGACCGTAACAGAAGAAGAGATGATACATACCACTAGAACCTCGAAGTCTGCAGACGTTCTGTGAACTCGGAAGAAATACACAGCAGACTAGAAGCAGTGGCGGACTCAAGCAGATAAGCAAGGTGTCAAGAGACTTGCACACAAGGCATTTCCCAGTCACTTGCCCGTCAGATTGCGAAAAGTTACTCTGGCTCAATTGTTGCCGCGAGGTTGAAGCGAAAGTGGTCACATGATGGCATCTATTGTGGTTTGTTGCTCAACAGGCTTCCGGTTTTGAGCTTTGCCGGGATGGTTCGTAATCCTTCTCACCTCACTCCATGCCTGAGTCTGCAGATCGTAGTGTTTCTCGAGATGTCGAGGTCCGTTTTTATTCCTCGGATCCCGTTATGTTTTTGAAAAAATCTTTAGGATTCAGATAATGAATCTCTAGCAGGCTCTACTGCCCCTGGCAAGCCCGGCCGAAAGAAAAATCCAAAGTGTGTAATTTTTTCCTAGTCATAATTCCAATCTTGCTTACGTCCGGTTCCACAAATAAGCTCGCAAGCAGCTAGACGCGACCAGAACCGTATTGCCCAACGAGAGTTTCGTCTGCGAAAGCAACAAAGGGTAACTCATCTTTAGTCTTCGTCTTCGTCCTTGCTCACTCACAACACCAGATAAGGGATCTTGAGGCGCGAGTGGAAATACTTTCCGGAGGCAAAGATGAAGTCCTTGGTGAAATGCGAAATATCCTTAAGGGTGGGCGCTTCTGACTATATCAAGGACAAGTTCTAACGTATTTGTAGACTTGATGGCAGAGAACCAGACTCTTCGCGGTCTGCTGCGAAGCCTTTCGGGATTCATCGGCGAGGGTGCAGGAGGGCTTCTTCCCAAGCTAGGATGGGAGATGTCAGACTTCAACAACTTTATCAATAGGACCGAGACCGATACTGCCTGGGAAGGCTACCAGAGACGCAAGAAGAATAATGCAGAAGCGGCGCAGTCGTCTACAGGTGCACAGAAGCGTGGCGCCGAAGAGGACCTTAATGCGCATTCCAAGAAGGCGAGAGGCGAAGACACCATCCCAAGCCCTTATATGATGATGTCGATGAACCAGTCGCCCATGAATCCCGGTTCCGTGTTCCCGGCTTCCAGACCTTCCCCCCAAGGAGGTGATCTTTTTTCAGATATGATGCGCCACAACAACGAATCTTCTCTCCTGATGCAACCAACGAGCGCTAACGCCAATACGCCTCCCCAGTACAATGGTGGTCCTGGATCGAACGTCTACCAACCTTATGTTCCCAACGTCCATATGAATATCGATTCTTCGCTGACGTCTATGCCTTTCACTCCTCCCTCAACCACTTCTTCTGCTATGACGCCCGTAACACAACCGAAGCAGACCACTCATATTTCAAACGACACCATCGAAGATGAAGATGACCCTAACAAAAACGAAGCTTATAAGCTTATTCAGTAAGCATTGCTCTTTTTTCCATTATTATCAAGACCTCTTATGACCATTGTCAAGTTATCACCTGGACAACTACAAGAGAAATAGCGCCTATTGTCTGCCATCTTCCCTGAGACCGACTTTGGTACAGAGGCAAGTTACATGTCTTTTGTACTTTTCTTCTTTTGATGATTTTTATCCAGGACTGTTCCACATGGTACGGCGCCAACACCCATCTGGCTAACCAATGCTAATGCTATATCAGAGAGCGTCATTGACCGAATTCTGCATCCTGAGTTACGCGACCGCATGATTTTGTTACGAGGTCGGTTTGATTGTTCCTTCAGTGGATCTTCTTCACATTATCTCCAGGACGTTTTGATCTTGTTGATTGTCTCCTTGAATACCGGAATGCGGTTACTATCCATGGTGACGACGTCTTAGCACACAGCAACTGGGAAATTAATGAGAAGTGGCTTAGGCAATATGGGTATGTATAGTTCTACAATGTCTGCCATTTTAATACTAATCGAAATGTCAGGTTCCTTGTCGAACAGGCTACTCTCAACATTATGAACCGCTGGAGAAGGGAAAGAGGGGAGCCAGATTTACGTCTTGCCGATATCGCGAGTTCAGAGAATACTCCGGGGTCCACATGAAGTCGTTGTTTTGTTTGTATCTTATTCGAAGTTAGAATGTTTCTTAGATTATGATCATGTGCAGCTCTGTACCATTGTTAATAGCGTTCGCCCTACCGATTGTTTTAGTACTCGATAACCAAATAAAACTGTATCCATACCTGAGCGTTGCCCGCAAAGAGGAGTTTACCATGATGCTTTCTTCACACCATTGAGATTCCCCGCAAGCGCTTGTTGCCGGAATTGAAACTTTCGATCCATGTCAGGACATCTCTATGCTGTTAAAATGGACACTCACCCTGCACAATGCAAATTCGCTCATGATACCTCGCCCCCGCCCCGTCTCGTAGCAGCGATTCTTGACCGTCGAGGGACGCGTGTATTTTCCAAAGGTGTTGAGCTGGAGCTGGGCCTGGTGACGAACCTGGGCAGGTAAAGACTGGTTCCGAGAGACATAGAGGTAGGCTCTGCGAGCAAGTTCGTTGAGTCGAACGCCATTACGCGCCTTCATGTCACGAATGACCCTCGCATTACTGTAGGCAGGCATGGTGGATAACTAAAAAGAAAGAAAGAAAGCGTTGCCAAACATGACTAATGCGCAAATATACCTCGGCCAGGACCGGATCAGAGAGACATTTTCCTATCCAACACGACGAGCAATCAGCGTCGAGGCATTTTGCTGTTGGGATTCGAAATACGACTCTCATTGACGCTTTGCGCTTTTGCTATGGGTAGGTCACTCAGTCTTTTGTTTACAATTTGTTGAGTTTGCTGAGTTCCTGTAGGATGCCAGCTTTATATAGGGCACTGAGATTTACAAAACGTCGTACTTTCCTCTCTTCAATTTTTGGCGCCACAGCAGCTGCGACGGTTCTCACCGTGTCAGCGTCAAATCTTCTGCCTTGCCCAGCTCGACCCGATAAAAGCCGTTTCGCGGATAATGGTGTGGATACGGTACAATTGACGGGCAAAGTGGTAGTTGCTAAAAGGCCGAGGAGGTGGATAGAGGAGAAGAACCCGACGTGCCAGAGTCATTGAACGAAACATCCTTTTGAGCAGAAGAAGCAGAAGAGCATCGAATAAACTTCACCCTACCTATCCCAATGTGACGTTGTCCATTCATCTTCTCTGTCAGTCGTTGAGCGGATAAAATATAACCTGGTTTAAATAACCTTAGTGGACGCGTCGCCGGTTAAAATTCAGTTATTGTTATTTTTTTGTGGAGTTACTGCATCTAAATAATACAATATTGCTTTGTGAATTACTCAGGTATCCAATGTGTCATGATTGCTTTGGTTTCGGTAATGCTGCTCCTGCTCCTCGGCGGTTCCGCTGTTCGAAGACCGTCAGCTCCTACAACGGAGAACCATCATAATACTCACGGTAGATGATTTTCTTGTATTGGAAGACATGCTAGGAATGCAATAAAGTTCCAAGCGGCTTGACAGATAAATACGACGCGTAAGGCGTCTGCGTAGGAACGGACTGCGGCGTCAAAGAACCGGGGCTCAAGGGTGGGTATAATAGCCGTAGAATGACTAGGACCTGACTGAATAACCTCTTTCCAAACGCAATTAGACGCGACGTACCGGATCTCATTAATGATCTAAGTCAAGGGAAACGTTCCATGAGTGCCCAGGGTGCTTTATCAAATTCTGGTATTTACTGACCTCCGCTGAGCCAGGGTCTTGAATACGCATCCGTAGTTGGTGGAGCAGAACTGCCTGCAATATCGCTCCACTCAGGCTGACACCTAGAACTTGCCCAGTGGTCCGAAATAGATAAGTTACTATGTAAAGTCAGCGATAGCGGATAAAATGAATTGAGTAGGACTCGCTTCCTGTTGCGACAGCCATATCCTCCTTGAAAACGCCTGCGATCATGGCCTAGAAAAGCAAATGGATTTAATTCTGTAACAAGTCGGAACGACCGGACGAACGATGAGTGTACTGGTAATAAGACTCGCCATGCCGAATCCTTGGGGGACGATGTCCAACCAAAGATGAAACGTAGAGGACGAATCGTTCCAGAAAAGAACTAGTACGCTAGCCACTATTGTCAACGCAGAAGATGCTAGGGTCAGCGTGTACAATTTGCCGGTTCTACGCATCACCCTGGGCCGCGGTTAGGAAGTGATTTACGAAAGTGGGACAGCACGTACCATCCTGCGAATAGGCTTCCCGTTGAGATAGCAAACTGCGATGTGAGATATAAGGTTACTGGTACCGCCGGGGATATCCATTTACTCACGGAATGGGGGAGGAGATGTAACCCTGAAAGCAGCGTTAGTGGAGTGTTCCTTGAGGATGTATTTGGAAAAAAACGAGGCACGAACCAGAATCTGTGGCTGAATAGAGCCGAACTGCTGAGAAATACTGTGAAGTCGAGTTCTTCCTTGAGGCTCGGAGTGATTATGTGAGGAGGGGAAACGCACCAATGGGATGTTGTAGAGCTTTGATATTCATGCGGGTCAGTTGACGGCTCCATATAACGAAAAGCTACACTACCATTGAAAATGCGGACATGCTGCCAAACAGATTGGCTATTGATACGGAAAGCGGCGTTCTCTGTGTTATCAGGCGGAGAGGCATAACGGGATATGGTGACCAGTACTTTTCCACGAGAATAAACAACACTCCAAAAACCGCGCTGGAAATGAAAAGGCCGTAGATGATTGGATGAGACCACGGCATTTCTTCCGTCGTCTTCAGACTGAATCCAAGAAGTAAGCAGCCCACGGTACCGACGAGAGTCAAAGAACCCATGCCATCGATACGGCGGAGTTTCTCGTATAGAGTCTGGTTCTGTACCTCGTACGGCAGCTGGATGTTTACTTTCACCGACACCAGAATGAAGCTAAATAGAAGGAGCGGTGTCTAATCGAACTGTTAGGCACTGCCACCACTTTGAAGAGGCGTTTCAGCTTACTTGGAAGTAAAAAGCAGCTTCCCTGTACAGAAATTAAGTTAAGAGATGCAGAGATCAAGGAAGAGACAAGAAACTACCATCCGAACACGTCGTTGATCCACCCACCGAGAGGCCCGCCTATCCCTGCGCCAAGGCCGAAAAGGCTTCCTTGACATCAGAGTGGATCTTTCACCGTTCATGACAGAGACTTACATATTTGCCATCCCTTGGTAAAGGCCTCGTTGTTTTCTTCATTGAAAGGTCAGATCAGGAACGGTTCAATGAACGGACAGACTCGCAATGGGATCAGATCTGTGACTACTATGCTAGAAACTGGAGAAGATGAGAATCCGGAACGGTGAAGAGTCGCGACTATATTCACCGGTCATTACACTGAACAGCGAAAGAAATTGCATCAGCGGAGCGAGCGCTACAATGTGTACGACTCACCCTCCGCCTCCCATTCCTGCAACAGCGCGCGCAGCTATCAGCGCTTCCATAGAAGGAGCCATTCCACAGAAAACAGTTCCTGAACCTAGAGGAGAAATCGTTAAAGATCTGGGAACAGTGACAGCATAAATTAAGCGTGACGCACCGAACAATGATAGGGCCAACAGCATGGCACCCTTGCGGCCCAAAATATCAGAAAGTCGACCTATTTAGGATTTGCAGGACTTCTCTGGAGATGCAGGGGATCAAACGCACCATATAGCGGCGTAAAGCAACAGACAGATAACAAGTATGCAGTCCCAATGTAGGACGATTGGTTGGATTTATTGAAATGGCTCCCGATGGGCGTCAACAGAGTCGCAACAACAGTCCCTAATTCGACGACGCGTCAGGTACTGCTATTCATAGTAACGATATCAACTGAACCGTCCAAAGCGCCCAAGAATACGGCACTCCAAAGCCCAGCGAGAATCCAGACGGTGTCTGCTCGCGAAAATTTGTTCAAGGCGGGCGCGGGAACAAGTTCACAGGCGGAATCGGACTCGAGCGAAACGACGTCATCGCGGTCACAATGTGTGATGGTTGAGTAGGAATTCGGGGAATCGTCGAGCAGTGGTCTCGTTTCAGAGGGCAAGAATCGGGTCATGGGCGTCGCAGTGTATTCGGTTATTATCGCGTATCAGTGGGTTGAAAAGGAGGCAAAAAATAGAGGCGGGATAGGCGGCCGAGCACAGAGGAAGGGATGCCTCCCTATATCCAAGGTAATGATAACTTTTGCCTTTAAATACTGGGCGGCGTAAGTGCATGAATCGAGCAATTAGATTTCGAAAAACCCGTGCACATAGCAGTCGCTGAGATGAACCTGGTCAATTTTTTGTCATTTTCCGTATTCATCGGTTTGTTACCGGCACCCTGCCGTCCGGGCATCCGCTCCGATTCGGTTTAGATCTTCCACGGTATGTTTTCGGAAATTATCAAGGAACCTTCCTCTTTACCTCGAAGTACTATTGCCTCGAACACAAGTTCTTGCCATCCTTGAATACGCCCGAATACCAGCACGTTTACGCGTATTACTCTTATTTCCGTTCCCGCCGCCTGTGTTACCCAAGCATGCGCCGTCATGTTTCTGATGGCGAAATAAATTTTTATCAGACCAGCTATCTAGGCACTCAACTCCGTACAAAGCCACCACCTCGCGTCTTTCTTCCCCCATGCCATCATACATCAAGGTCGGGAACCGTTACCCTTGCGGCAAGCCAATTTCATGTAAAGCGTTTGCTTACTCACTTCCGTTCAGTTCTTTATCGGCCATACATTACAGCACGACGCGTTTATCGCCTCTTTAGTGCAGAACGCGTTCGCCTGTAGACGCTCCGGAGGCGCAGTAAGACTTGGAATCTGTAGACCTTTCCATTTGAGCGCTCAAATCTGTCTCCGATATGTGACGACCGTCTTCAATATACTGGTCAGGCATTTATGCACCCACATCCACCTCTCCCTGTTCTTTGCTAGCCCCCTCAAACCCGAATCTTTTGACTCTGCTTGTCATAGTCCGTGTCCTTCGAGTCGGACGCCGACTACCCTGCTACATCTCGCAGCCGGTCTGACCGAACGCCTTTAGGTACATTCTACTGCTCATCGCAAAATTTCCGGGTTTCACGTCATCACGTTCAGCGTACATCGGCCAACCTTGAACTTGCCGACTATAACAACTCTGAACGCTTTGCCCTGCATACTCCCTACAGGTAAGCTGGAGATGAACACGGAGGATTAGATGGTTGTCACCTCCTTGGCTTGTGGGTCCAAATTACATTTTATAAGTAAGCGCTCTTGATCAGATGCCGAGTCTTAAAACAAGGCATGGTCTCTGACACTTCTCCATTGCCGAGGAATTTCTCTACCGGCACTCACTGTCATCGCAGTGTTCCGCTCAGTGAAGAAGTTGTAGGCGTGTATCGCTTCATGTCCTTCGAATTTGATAGACAGGATCTTGCGTGGGTAATATTGGGGTCGATATGTCCAGGAGTGAGTGCCGTCACTTTGAATACGATGACGGCAGCGGCTGATACATATGCGTTCCCCATGATAGCAATGTAAGTTAGAGCCCTCAGGTGATATTGCCGCAGAATCCGAATATACCTCTGGCTGATGCACTATGGCTGCTGAAAATGAATGTTTCTTATGCCTCTTCCTGTCTTCTCTACGCACAGGGTCGCTATCTTTCCGCTCTGACAACCTCTCAGCCGACATCCTCAGTATCCAACAAGTCGGCCATGGCGCTTTATCATCGCAGTTGGAGGACCATGCCTGCTTGTACTCTTTCTTCCAAATGCGTTAATTGGCAGCGGCAAATTGTGTTCTAGACTCGGGCGAATATTCACCGTGGTTTCATGGAATTACACGACTATCCACGAGTCTTTGGGCATCCGGCATCCTCCTCTCTTTCCTTATACCTCTCCGCCGGGATGTCGTATACACAGTCAATACAGAAAATTCTTCGCCATACCTCGCTCACATTGTATGCTCAGGACAATTGCCCGCCATTACGAAAATGGAAATAACATACGAGGCGAGGTTATAGGCTGTCCCGTGTCTATCCTGAGTAGTGGCGTCATTTGCTTAAGCCGTAAACGCCGATGCATGACCGCGACTTACGGCTACTCTGTTCATGGATTGACGGTGCGGCAACGAGTTGAACTTCGTTAAGAATTACAACCAAATACAAGGTATGATCCTATCTCTCACACTCGCCAGTAACCATCTCGGTCTGTTGGACCCTCCATTCACTTCCCTGGATCTTCCCACCAGTGCTGACGTACTTATAGTACTTGTATTGGTGTCTGATGATCAATCCCTCGACGATTGTGTTATGGTATTGTAGTGGTCGCCCAGTCCTTGCGACAGTTGTGATGCGACTCTTCACGGGTCTACTTCTGTACACTCGACGCCACCCTACGCCCACATTACGGAAGCGTAAATGTCAGAAGAAATTCTCCCGTTCATATGGACTTCACAAATGCGGTGAAAGGGTACATAGGTATACACAAACCTGGTGTTCTGGTTCGTTGAGGCTTAAATTATTATCTTCGAATATGCTTGCGAATCAGAATTTCCAGGTATGTATGCTCTAAGAGGAATGACGCCTCCGCTGATAATCAGTCTTCAGTTTGAGCCCTATTTGGAGTACTGGTGCAATTTTACACGGTTTTCATCAAGTCCGTTTGTCCTGTAGCAGCCCCTCGCGGCGTCTTTTGTTTCGCCGTTAACTTTCAACTTGATAGGCAGTCAATGCTGTATCCATTTTAGCACTGACAGGCCACAGAACCAGCGAAGGTCGGAGAGGCCAAGACAATACGGTATCTGGCGTGCGGCATCCGATTGCGCCACCTGAAGATCTCAGTTCTGTGACTTGACCCGGACCGGCTATTTACAGTACGGACGCGCAGCAAAACGATTTCGGTCATGTACTTATGTCGGTCCTGATGGTACATATTGTTTGCACCAAATTCAAATGTCAAAACGATGATAGAATGTCTCCAACCCTGTGCACATCAACTGTCAGCAGGGAGATTAGGGTGAGCTTTATTCGAGGTCTTGAACCTCATTTCCTTCTGTTGAGGCATTTATGGTGAGGCCGACATGCGTCATGATGCGCCCCCTTCTTTTATGGGAAAAAGTCACAACAGCAGACGGAGACCAGAGCCTCTATCCCTTAGATCGGGTACCAAGTATATACGCAGTACCGAAAATCGGTGTACTAGTGGGGATATAGAGAAATATAGCTGCTTGAAACAGTAACATACCTGTATGCCGTGTCTAAGGTGAAACTGCAGCTTTTCTCTCGCCACAACCCGTGCGTAAATCAGTCTGGGGTATTGATCGACTCGTCATGATACTGTATACCTCGTTCAGTCAAAGTGCGTCTTCTTTTTGATGTTCGCACAACCAGCACTGTTGAAGCGCAGGTTATAGAGTGGACGAACGGAGCCTTCGCACTCAAAGGGCCATAATCTGCCTCGTGCACCCTCGAGCCTGCAGTAGCCCCAATTGTTCATTGCAAAGAAAACCGGAACTCTCCATCGTTGACAGAAGGCCGCCTCGTGCCGTTCCGACGATAGGAGAGAACACATAGACTGTTTGGGCTGCGATGACCATGATTAGATGAAGAAGAATAGTGCCGTTGTCAAATTTCGGTTCGTGGGTGTATAGTGGTGTTGATCATATCCATGTTAGAAAGCTAAGGGAGCTATAACGAGTATATGCAGTGGGAAACTTCAAAGAGTCAGTTGTTATTTCCATGAAGGGCGCGCTTCTCGACATAGAGAAATAGACATTGTCCGACGGGGAAGATGTTGTCCTCTTTAAGGCCAGTCATCAAGCGAGTCAAGGAAGGCATGAGATTCAGACGGGAGAAACGAAGCCAGATAATTGATGTCAAGGACAAGTACCCAAGGAACTCCAGCATAGACATGAAGAAGAACAAGAATGGAGATCTTCCTGGTAAGATTAACGATCGTGTTTGTCGACGCTGCATTGTAAGCTGATTTTCAACATATTCAATCGTCAAAATACCAATTCAAAATAAATGTCGCAAATACCGATCTACGAGGTTCTGGCTAGAGATGGGCAGCGCTATTCATCAGTACTTTAGTGGCAGGCGCCGCGCACAAATTTGATAGGATTGAATATTTAGGCTGTTTTATTGAGGTTGTGGAGTACTCTTTCGAAATACTTACCTCAAGGTGCGCCACTGTACGGTGTACGTGTACATGTTGCAAGTCGACGTGTCCAGGGAGGCGACTGAATAGATGTGGGTCGATTATCGTATTTTTCGCAGGGTCTGGAGCATCAAAATCAAGTTCAGGCAGTCGAGGAGGAGGAGTTGCCATAGGAATTGGTGTTACGTATGTCACGTGATAGTATTGTGCCCATTTCGAATTTCTCGACAAGTTCAAACAAGCCACTGCCGCTTGTTCACTCACCCTCACAAAAATCTCGAGCATCCGTTTTCTGGCGATTCCGGGCTAACCAATAACAAAATCCGAATTCGGCCTTAATTCAAGTTCCCCGGCATCATCTGTCGTACGATGACTTTCACGCCACACCCAATCTTCGACTTCACAAATACGTAAGTAAATCATGTCAAGGACATTCTTCCGTTCATCTCCCTGACCAGTGTTGGCCGCTCTTCAACTATTGTGGGGTCTTCGCGTTTGGATCCCATTTTTCCCGGCAGACTGGAAAGTCACCTTTTCCTAGTTCGAGTCTCCGTCTCTAAATTCTTCTGTATGCGATCTGCCTGGACCACTTTATGCGGAGCAAAGGCACTGTTCTCATGCTCTTAATGGCTTTGCTCGCGGCTAGTGCGTACAGGATCCTTGTGCTACTTTGTTTCTTGTATCGCCACTCTGACAGAGCCTTTTAAGCCCGCTTCATATATCTGTCAGACAGTAAGGCTTCGCGACCTATTCTTGTTATCCAGCAACCTTTCTTGAATCCAAAAAGGGCGACTTTCAGGACTCTGCTGGTGCTCGCCTCGGGCTCATCCGTTACTTTGCACATTGTGTACCCTTCTTCTGCATCATTCTATCAGTTTCCGTCATAACGACTAGACAACACTTACCTATGGTTTACAGCACCTCAGCCAATTCGCCTCTGATCTTACGCTAGGTTTACGACCGCAAGGCCTTGAGCCTCGTTGTCCATTCTCTTTGCATATCATCGCACGTCCCTGGACAGCAAACTTGTGCCGGAACCGATGGAAGTTCTTTGTCTTCTTTCGGACAGCTCTATTTAACTGCAATATTCAACGATCGTTCTCAGGCTGTCGATGACGCGTAAAGTCTCCTCACGATGTGTCAAAGCGAGCGTTCCTGGGCCTAAGGCTTTGAATCTAACGTTTATCCGAATATTTTGCTGGTCGGGCTTCTGTATTGGGACAGGTCCGGCGCTGCCTAATTTTCCATTGAAACCCTGGCTCGACTGACGTCTTTGTTCGGAAGTTGATGGTTCACACTCTATTTACTATCGGTACTACAACCCTGCTCGACTCTGAAGCCTGCATTGCAGCCTATTCTTCGGAAATTCCACTCCTCCACCTATTTGTTTATCTAAGTATTCCTATGCTCGCCTGCTGTCGTCGTTTCTATGGACCTCGGTTGTCTTCCCAACCTCGACTAATGCTTGTATGAACTCGGCATCAACTGCTGTGAGCCCGATAGGAAGAACCAGCAGGCTAAATCACTCTACTACGGAAGCTGTCGCAGCTCCCAGTGATATTCGATGCCAATGCTATCATTTTGCGCAAACATTTATCATGAATCCATTGGCAACCGAGACGGCATCTGAGCACCATTATCAATGTGGTGCACGTTCTAGGACCTGCCGATTCCTTGTGGAACTATTCAGTCGTTGCCCCATATGGCCAGCTAATCCGTACTACTGCATATGCAAAATGTGATTGTCGATTTTCTGCTGAAATTCTGATTAGTCCCGTGGAGGCTCTCGTTTACCAAGACAACTCTCAGGATCATGTGTTGAATTGCCCCTCCGACGATGATATATTGTTCTTGTTCTTAATAAGCTCTTCCGGGGAGCACGCGCACCTTCAGGGCCTTTTGTCGTCACAGCTACCGCGACGCGGACGCAGTAAAGACACTGTGGCTAGTCCATGCCAGGAGATCTGCAACTTCGGCCAGACCAAGTTTGGAATAATGTTCAAACCTTATAGAACTGCGGCAAACGTCTTGCTCGTAGTAATATAGTTCAAACCTTTATCATTTTTTGGATCATAGGCTTAAACAACTTGGGACTCCGCAGAATTGAAGCCTCCTATTCCCCACGGCAAATTAGTGTCAGTAAGACCTATGAATCTGATCAACTAAACGCTGTTTCAAGTGCAGTTTAGCACGATCAATACCCCGTTACATGTTTTGGACGGTCGTAGTCAGTGGAAGATAGACAGTGCAAGCTCGACATATTAATATGCAGCGCATTTAATGATCGGGGAACTTTGTTCTGCCCGGGAGCGCGTTAAGTAGCTGCTTTCCAGTTCTTCCGGACCGGTCAAGAGGCGCAAAGTATGTATATATGCAGTTTATCAGGTCTTCGTCAGCGCCAGTTCAGCCTGTTAGAGATGAATGAAGACTGAAAGACTCCCATACTAGTCACGGCGCCGTCGGCGCGATCTATGCTGACATAATAAGAGACTTAATTTGTGCGGTCAGGGCACCCTGAGAGCTCACCCTGTTCGCAGTGGTCAACGATGCCCCCAACGATAGATTCGTCATGGAAATCCGTCTTTCGCTTCAACAGCTCGTCCAAAAAACTGGCCGTTAATGCGTCAGTTACGGCGATGAGCTCGACGGTGAACACGGCGCCAACTTCAGTTTCTGCGCGTTCATCATATAATTCGTCAAACACCCAGTCCAGCGACTCGATACCCCAGTCATCGTCCAAGACTTCGAGACCGCGTACCAAATCCGAAAAACGACAGCGACCACCATACCCTAATACCCTTAATCATACACCTCCTCTTCCACAGCCTCACAAGGCGTTTTCCTCGCCTTCAACATCTTCGACAACCGCGACGAGCTCACGGCCCTTGCTTTCTCCAAAATCCATGACTCGCTTCATACGACGGGTGGCTTCGGCTCCCAATGCCAAGGGTCTCTTCCGAACTTCTGCACCGTCTCCATCAACACCCACAACAAGAAACGGTCTATTAGCTCCCTCCGACAATCCTCCGCCCTTGCCTCTCGCTACCACTTCTATGGAGAACGGAACAGACTCGCTAGAGACAATATCATCCGTGTCCTCGCGAGGCCAGGTCCCTGCTGCGACTTCGTCCAAGCTACCCTCACCTCCGTTCGGCAAGACTCGTCTGAGCACAAGTAATCTACACGACACTGGACCAGGCAAGGTTGCCTTCAGGCGAACGTACTCGAGTAATTCTATTAAGGTCCGTCAGGTGTGTATCATATGCTAAGTCGGTGCTTGTTACACGCCACTGATTGTCTCCCAAGGTTGAAGTCGGCCCTTCAAGTTTCGTCAAAGTCAAGCTCTTGGGTAAAGGTGATGTCGGCAAGGTCTACTTGGTCCGAGAGAAGAAGTCTGGGAAGTTGTTTGCAATGAAAGGTAACGTTAATGGCCATGATGCTAACACACATTCTACTAACCATCTATATTTTCTTCCTTCGTATTCTTCCTCTAGTTCTTTCTAAAAAAGAAATGATCGAGCGCAAAAAGATCAAGCGAGCTCTCACGGAGCAAGAGATTCTTGCGACTGCTAACCATCCCTTTATTGTCACCCTTCATCATTCATTCCAATCCCCTCTGTACCTGTATTTCTGTATGGAGTACTGTATGGGGGGAGAATTCTTTCGTGCACTGCAGACGCGTCCGGGCAAGTGTTTACCCGAAGAGTCAGCCCGATTTTATGCAGCTGAAGTAACCGCCGCGTTGGAGTACCTTCATCTTATGGGTTTTATATATCGAGATCTGAAACCGGAAAGTTAGTGCATTCCCCCTCCATTAACGCGCCGTTTTATTGACTGGTATGCAGACATACTATTACATCAATCTGGCCATATCATGCTCTCGGATTTCGACCTCGCGAAGCAATCGAACGATGTCGGCGCTATGCCTGCCATGGTCCATTCCGAGACAAATGGAGTGAGTCGACATAGTCTGTTTCCTGGCTCCGAGATGGTGATTGAACGTGTCGGAAGGTTCCATTAATCAATACAATGTCATGTACAGCGAATTTTCGGACAAATTCCTTCGTTGGTACAGAAGGTGCGTATCAATCCGTCAATGTCCATGCTCGATTAAATGACGTGTGCACAGAATACATCGCACCTGAAGTAATACTAGCGCAAGGTCATACAGCGGCTGTGGATTGGTGGACGTTGGGGATACTCATTTACGAGATGATAGTGAGTCTGGAATGCAGGATTAAGTGTAACGACCTCACACGCACGTACACAGTACGCAACAACACCATTCAAGGGGCAAGAGCGTTCAGATACGTTTAACAACATCCGGCTGATACCAGTTCATTTTCGGGAATCTCCCAAAGTGTCAGGGTGAGTGAAGAGAGTCCTTGCAGATTCCCTTTACTTTTTTGGAGTGCGCTGCTTGAGATTCGGATAATTGATGCCCGTTCCGAATTACGTGCTCAACGAATATCTTTTTGCCTAGTGCTGGGAAAGACTGTATCACGCGGCTTTTGGACAAGAACGAGCGGACGCGATTGGGTAGTCGAAGTGGTGCTAGTGAGGTGAAGCAGCATAAGTGGTTTGCAAAGATAAACTGGGGCCTGCTAAGGAATACTCGACCTCCGGTGAGTGGATAGCACAGATTCGTATTTTTTTTCTTCACTTTGGTGTGGGAGTCGGATTGATAATTCACACATGGGGTGACGATGGGCTCACGCGTTCAATCAGATTGTCTGGTTTTGATCTAGGCTGTCAACGGTACTAACGGACTATTGAATAGATTGTCCCGTCGTCGTCGAATGGAGTAGATGCAGTTAATTTCCGCCATCTGAAGGAGTCTCAGTCGTTGCACCTGGAAGGAGCACCTGGGACTAGTGATGGGATGGGGGCATCGGACGAAGACTTATTTGGCGCATTTTCAAGTGTTACCTTGCATTATGATGGAGAGTAGATTGTTTTGTTTTGCTAAATATACTAATGGGAACTGGATGGAACGAAGGGATCAAGAAAGACGGCACAGATAGCGATGTATACGGTATGTAGTGTATCTACGCACTGGCTACGCTAACACGGTGATACGCTACTTTGGATGGCTGGCTTTGCGTTTGGTGCTTTAGCTACGCTGGCAAACGTTCTGTATCGAAGAGCTGATGGCAGCAATGGCAGTGGCAGCGACCAGCGTGATACCTCGGCGCCGAGGCAGCAGAGTTTGGGTATATGTTACGGCATCGAGAGCCGGATCTGAGATGATCGATCTCATCTAGATTACCTAATCATTACGTCCTCGATCCTAACGGGTTAACGTGCTTTCTCCACCGCATTTTGTATTTTTGGGGCGATTTGGATGAAATAATAATTAATGATATTGGATAATAAGGATTAAATGGATTCAAAGTTATAACCGTTATAACGGGATAACGGGATGCGTCCTGCCCTCCTCGCCCTCCTCCATATTTAGCCCTCTCCTTCATGGCCGACCTCTATCCCCCAAGGCATTACTCTCAGCCTAACAACATGTTATACCCTTCTCAGCTCATCGACGACCACGACGACCATGACCTCCCTGACCCTGCCGCCAGTGGCGACCAAAAGTCCCAGCACCAGACACCCAAAAATGAGTCCAAGCCTCAGGCGACCTTTCTCACAAAACTCTACGCGTATGTTGCCTCTGCTCTCTCGTCAGTATCGTGCTGACTCGTCTTCAGCCTCCTAGAGCGACCAGAGAACCAGCATATGATACGCTGGGATCCACAGGGCGAACATATTATCGTCGAGCGACCTGAACAGCTTGCTCTACATGTTCTTCCCAGCATCTACCGCCAATCACGATTCGCTTCGTTCTCCCGCCAACTAAATGTAATTTCATATCCTGTCTACATCCCGAGCCATGCACCAATCTATCTCCCTTCTAGATCTACGGCTTCATGCGAAAGGTCAACCTGAGGAACGTCGACCCTGCAATCGACGATCCGGATGCAAGTACTTGGTGTATGTTCTTTTTCTTTATTTTCTATTGCTGTTGTGTTCAATCATGTCGCCTAGCTCACCCAACCTTGAACCGTCATTCTCCTCCTGAAGTCGTTGCCAACTTCAAGCGCCGTGTCCCGCCTCGGCTCCCAAAACCTCGCAAACGTGATACCCAGGAATCTCTCAGTATACCCCCACCTCGCTCAGCCATTGGCATGGGCCCTGTTCCCTTGTCTGTCCCTCAATCTCACAAAGTTGGTCCTATGGGCCGTGCTCGCGGCTTCTCTGCCCCAGGTTCCTACACACCTCTTTCGCAAAACGGTGCTGCCCCTGCTCCCGGTGGCTGGAACAGTCAGAACAACTACCGGTCTGCCTTGCCGCCTCTCACTGTTCCTTCTGACCCACCCACTCATATTTCGCAAAGTGGCATGTATAACCACGCGCCTTCGCACCACCCTGGCCACCATTCTCTTAGTCCGGCCGCCGACGAACCACCGTTCGCCTACGGAAATGCCAATCCATACCCGTCTTCGTATCAGGAGCCGCAAAACAGCAGCTGGTTCCCTCCTGTCAACAATGGGAGTTCGTCTCACAACGGCAGCCTGTCTTCGTTGCTTAACCCAAGTAGCAATGGAGGTTACTCTCGTCCCACGCCGACGATTAATACCTCGTATTCGTCGCCTTTCTCTTCTATGCCGATGCAGACTGAGCACTCTGCTTCATCACTTTCTCCGGATAGTCACAGCCGTCCCACGACCGGATATTCAATGTCTTCAGTTTCTTCAATGCCTTACCAAGATGAATACCATTCCAATTCTCGTCCTAGTTCAAGCCACCATCACAATCGGCCTATGACCCCTCCTCGCCCTACCTCCTCGTCAAAATCTCCCTATCCTTCCAACTCTCTTAGCATTCGCCGGGCCAGACGTCACAGCCAAGCGTTAAGTCCGTACCCGAGTCCCATGTACGATCATCCGTCGGAACACCAGCGTCCGTCGACATCTCCTCAACCGAGCAACGACCACCATCCTCACCATTCCCACTCACATCACAGTCCTGCCGGCGGCAATGTTCCCCGTGTTCGGAGCATGATCCAACTTCCGTCGGTCTTACCATCGGTTGACCATTATTCCTTCAGTCCCCAGGCTGAGTTTGCCTACTCGAGTCCGATGAATGACTACAGACCCTCCACATCGGGCGGACGGCCCTCGACAAGCACCTCCTCCATCTCCGCCGCTTCTCACACGTCGAGTTCTCAGGCAAACACACCTCCTGTCACGGAGGGATTCGGGAGTGAGACTGATATCAACCGATGTAAGTCGTTTAACTTGTCAAGCCCATCCATGTCACACTTTTGTTAATGACTTTCCGAAATACTCAGACTCACCGGATTTTGGATTCGTACAGATGAATGAACACTTGACTGGACCCGGTGCTGGTGCTTTTACCAAGGAGATCTAGACGCGCCTTCTACCCCTAGACGTTGGGAGCGATGCTTTTTTACGATTGATTGTGCAGACGAAATTTCTATTATTACTGATCACGACTCCCATCTCATACAGTTTGTCACCCCACTTGTCTTGTTGTTTTTGCTTTGCTGTCGCGGACTTTTATTTTTAAACATCGTCCTTCACTCTGTGTGTGTGTTGTATCTCTTTCTCATGTGTAGTACCCTTCATATTTTGACCATGTCACTGTATATCTTGACTCGGGTGGATATACCCTAGCATACGTATTTTCATTGCGGAAATGAACTGTTTCAATACAATGCATTGCACGGAGGTTTTTGGTGATGAGGGGTGGTCCGAGAGACCCTCATCGAGCGGTCCCCTTGCTCGGACCCATCACACCCCCAGGGAAAATTCCGAAGGCTATTCATAGCCTGGTGATTGGACCAAGATGGACTTTGCAGAGTTACAGCAGGGCAACTGCCCACGATATGAAGGTTCCGCATACGCAGCGATCACGGGCAAGGATTCCCATGCTGTTCTGACATGGGATATGTTACAAGCTGTTGGAACCAATTGCGGTTGACGGAGGCTGATTGCATGATTGATGGTGTCATATGTAGGGTAGGGGGGATTTTAGGTATCTTTGTAGATTGGATAATGGACTCTCGGCCAGGAAGGAATCTGATGCAATGGATTTATTTTTGAAGGTAGCCTCCGAATCGTTCCCGCAATGTCCGAACTGTTCATCATATGGACGTGTTGCCCATGTCGATCTGGCAGGCAGTTGCGCGACATCTTTTTAGCTCCCTTCATTTGCGATCTCCATAGCAGGCTCTGTCTCCTTAATATTATCGTCGGTACTTGTGATCAATTTTTGACTTGAATGTTCAACCCTCAAGCCGCGAAACGAGACTTGGCTGATTTCCATATATGATGGTCCCAATCGATCAGAAGCTAGGATTTTCGAAATTTGTTATTCCCAAGTGCTTAGCGATTCCCCGCATGTTCGCATCCGTGAACCGTATGAGGGAAAGCGTTTAAGGGAGGGGGAGCTGTTTCGGACGTTGTAGGGAGGGAGGGATAATACTCTTTGACGTGAATTTGTTGTGCTGTTACAGGCCTTGCCGTCTGGCGATAGGGGATCAATTAACGTCGATTAGATTCGATTGGCGCCTGCCAGTAGTACTAGGTTTAGGCTGGGAGCAATGATACAAAGAGGTACTAGTTGCTCAAGGACCAGAAACATGTAGCAAAACATTGTTGTTCATCAGCTACCAACGCAAGGGGAGCACACGAAGAACGATTAGAGGAAGTAGGGATGATGCTGTATACTTATCTTCCTTCTTTGCGACCCTGTCTCCTCTCCCCCTTCAAGTCGATCAACCTCCGAATGTCTTGGCACTAAATCTGCCGCCCGTGTCATCATCGCGTTCTGTGTGGCCACGGATACTTTTTCATCGTGTGTTTGGGACTATGTACTCTGATATGTTTTGAAATTGTTATTCCTGTCGTTTGTACGCCGGAACGTCAAACTGTTGGAGGGTTCCCGGCCACGCTTATCAGAGACCGAGAGAGCAACGGCCTGGGTGAAATAGTATAAGGTGAAATTACGAGCCAGAGTCCGTCCGTTCATGAATAAATATATCACTACGTTCCCCTACTGCAAGTTGCCGTTGCGATCATCGAGCCCGGCTATCTTTGTGACCATTAATTCAAAAATAAATGGTACTTAAGTCGTCTCCCAAATCGGGACATAAGCAAATAAATAAATAAGAGTTTGAAAACCCTGATGTGCGATCTTCTTTGAGAATCTTCTGATCGGCTCTCGTGGAGTTATCCCCGAATGGAAGGCTGGGCCATTGTTTTGGTTCGGCTTCGGGGCGGAGTGAGTGTGGCCTGTTGAAAGGAGACAGAGGGAGGTGAAGGCTAATGGGGGCGCAGGAGAGGCAAAGTTGTAACGGGGGCTCTAATTACGAGTATTCAAGTGACCGGAATTGAGAAGGCGGGCGTCGAGGCCCAGGAATTGATGCTCCTCCCCTTGAAGTGGTTCCGGACCTGCGATTACATTTACAAACGATCGTCGTAGAAGCGAGCGAAGCAAGGCCGGCGTACAACCACCCCCTGCCTGTCCGCCTACGTACAACCTTATTTTAACCCAATTTTAAGCGCTTTTACAACAAACTAAGTAACGTCAGCTTTTCGTGTGCCATTTACGATTAGACCGTCATTGTAGCTATCCGGCAGGAATACGTATTCCTGTTAATGAACGGATCCAGTCCAGGTCCTATCTGCGGTCTGCGGTGAATACCCGCCCTCAGTTCAAACAAAAATGCTCTTTAATTTTATTCCGTCTATCAAAAAACTGCCCGTAGATCCCTATATAACCATAGTGATAAAAAAGGCGAGGTCAACCACAACGCGGCGTAACACCATCAGAAGACGGAATGGTCTAAACAAAAATATAAACGAGTGTAATATGTATGGTCCAAGTAATGTTACGCGTAAGTTAAGTGATATGAGTGAGTACATAGGCGAAAACAGAAACGAAATTATACAACGAGTCCATTTAATCGTTCAAGTAACTAATACCTGTTGCGTCCTAAACGGCGACTCTGCCATCTCATCAGCATCGATGTCGTCCATCGTCAATCCGGCTTCTACGTCGCCTCTTGGAGATAGGAAAGCAACTCGCTCTTCCGAATCCGCTTGCCGTATCGCCGGAAAGTCATCTTCCAACTCTTCGTCGACTGCTTTGCGTGCAACATACGACAAATACACCAAAATCGCCACACAGAGTCCGATACCGAGATACGTCCACATGTGTGCTACCGTATCCGAACTGGTATCCTTCTCTGCACCCTGATCAGCATATGATGATGGCGTCACATGATAGTCCTTAAACGAATGTATCGACGCGCCAACACTAGTATGAATGATCACTTTAAATAGCGATAGTGCAGTGCAGATGGTATAGGTACGGAGGGAAAGCGTGGGTGCGGCGGCAAGGAGGCAGTTCATGACATTGTAGGGGTATGGTGCGAGGCGAATAAGGAAAAGGAGTTTGGGTCGCTTTTCAATGGCGCGAACAACGCGCTTCATTGTACAAGCTGAGTCTAGCCAACGTGTGATGGTATCGTTGAGGAGAGATCGAGAGACTGTGAAGACAACGAGGGCGCCTGCTAAAGCAGAAAAGTAGGATATTACAGCGCCTGTCCAGAGCCCAAACGTATACCCGGAAAGAATGATAAGAGTGGAATATCAACGGAATGGGAGCTGCGGATATGATTAGATATCGGTGAATTGCCTGGCATACACACGTGCTTACGGATTGTAGTTAGAAATATCAAAATGAAAAGAACGGCGTGGCCATAATGTTCATCGGCCTGTAGCCACCGCGACAATTCATCCAGAGCTGTGTAGTGGGTATTTATGAGTGATATGAAATGTAGATCAAGGCGAATGACTGACCTGAAAACACTTCTGTTTTATAGAGAGCGATCGCAAAGACGAAAGCAAGGCTGGTTATGCCGTATAAGATGATTGGAACCCAAGGCTTCAGTAGATTAGCTATCCGTAGACCCCGGGGGCGAGTGTAGTTGTTTGAATGGTGACGCATTGATCTTGGACGCGTTAAGATAAGCCTAGGTGTAGGCTGCGAAGAGCCTGCGGGAACGGCAGACTGCGGAGAACTGTGGTCAGGAGAAGACGGTCGCTTCTCGTTGAGCTCTGGCTCACTGTCCTGGGAGACATGAAGATATCGAAAGGGCGACTGGGACTGGCGATGGACTGGCGACGAGTCCCTGGATAGTGAACGGACGGGTGAAGAGGAGACTTGAAGGATATCGAGAGCAGGCTGGCGATGTAAGCTGTCCATGGAAACCAGTCCGTGGTAAGAAGGCCAGGTAAAGGGAGCTCTGGCGAAATAAAAGGCAGGCGAGCTGGCAGTTGTCGGGGTGGAGCGAAACTAAAGAAATCGCAGTGCTTTAGTGCCAGGCAACAGTCACGCGTGACGTCACAGAATATTTCACCCCTTTGGGTCGCTCGCGTCTGTCAGGCTGTCACTGGTTTTACTCTTCGTCGACAGTGCCAGTACGTTTAGCAGTTTGCGATACTAGGAGCCGAAGCAAGGTCATTCATTCATTGGAAAGAAGGTGGGTCTTTTGTGTGTTCTGTATTTTCCTGGAATTACGAATGGGGAAATGATATTCCGGGCCTGAACCAGTGCTCCAAAATCACGCCTTATCGCAAAAAGTCGCAGCTGAGTTCCAGGTTAGCATCTTGCACGTTTGTTGCTCCACCTGACTCAGTCACTGTTTCCAGTCATGAGGTCTTTCTTTCCTCGCCGGCCCCTTGCTGTCCGTCGGTACAGTACCCAACGATCCCCTCATGCTCAGTGGTATGCGGACCTCGTCCCTGCCATGGTTCCAATTACTCTTCTAGGCTCTGCCGTATATCTTGTACGTTCCTATCAGAGGCGCTGGTCCTATTTATAGTCATCCCCGTACTCTAGGGCCTCCAACTCGTCCAGACCTCCCTGTCTCATGAAAAATTTCTCGATGACGCCAATAGGCGCGTAAAAGAACTCGAAGCAGAGGTCGAGTCACTTCACGCCGCCCGCCAACAATCCCAACAACCTTCTGTGTCTGAAACGCCGTCTCAAGCACCATCGCGCTGGCGTTTCTGGTAGCAATCAGACCTCCATGCTCATGTGATAGCAAATAATAGCAGAAAACATATATCTAAATACAAGAGAAACAAAACAGATGCCGCAGCATAGATGGAACCCCTACAATGTCACTGATAACGCCTTTGCTAGTGAATTCTTGTGTCGATCAAACAGTTTTGCAGAACTGAGGATACGCGGTCAAGACACGAAATGATACTGATACCTGAAATAGAAACCTACCTCAGGATAGCCGCCATGAGACCCGTAAACGCCTTGACTGGCTCTCGCCCCCGTTTGAAATGGAACAAATCATATGCTATATAGCAAGTCAATGTCCGCGGTCGAATCCACTCTCTGAACACTCACAGACGAAGATCAGGTCCATGGACCAGTTTGGCTCTCGTGATCTGCAGCCAATAATCCTGCTTCTGCAATCTTTCCAGCTCCTTCTCATCAATCTTCGATATTTTGGGTTTTGATTTCGCAGTAGCACCTGACATGGACTCCTTGTATAAACGGGATTCCACTACAGCCTATATCAGCGTCGTGATCCATGAAAGTGGGATAAAAAGCGCCGACCTTCAGACTGCAATCCCCCAATCATTTGTCGCTCCACTCCATTTTCCACTAGCCCCACCAGGGTGGAAAGCAACCAACACCAATCGGCAAATTTGCCGGCACGTTCGCCTGTGCGTTTGCCCAAAAGACCTATTAGGGAAAGCGCGTACATGTCGTCGGCGAACGCGTTGACAAGTTCAAGTAGTACCGGAGGTGGTGCATGGAGAATAGCGTGTAGAAGTGGTCGAGAAGGCTTTGCCTTTGAAGATGACGCAGCGAAGGGAATAGGAGCAGAATTCTGGGCCATTATTGCTGTCAGCGGGGTCAACCAGTTGAAGAGAAGGAGCAGCTTTCTATGGTATTGCTCAGTTGCAATATTGGGAGGTCAACACATATCGTACACATACCTTGAGAAAGAAAATCCCGATATCGTGGATTCTAGGCGCTTAACGAGACCTTGTTCCCAAGGCGAGCGCGTCTTGCTTCTCAGTAGTCTTCCTGTGAAAGATTTGTGGAAATAGAGATACATCCGGAGTGAGTACTGGATTAGTTTCTGAACAGACACTGTTAGGCAGGTACTCCGAACAAAGTGGTGAATACCATACGAAAGCCTTGTCCCGACCATTGCTCGTCAACACCATTTCTCTCCATACTTCCTCCCGTAAAATCCTCTTCTCAGCCTCCTTCATCTTGTCGCTGTCGTCATCCACGTAGTCAATGTCAACCTCGGCCTTGCCATCTTCTTGTTGTTCCTCCTCAGTCTTCTCAGTGTATATACTGCTTGAATGTACGTGGTGAGATGATGACTGACACGACAGACGTCCGTGGGGTGCGTGGTGGATGGGAGGAGAGCGGATTCATAGTGAACGATGCGCTGGTATCATACATAGATGAATAAAATTGGCCATCGTCGTCGGTATCGTGCGAAGGCGAAGGCGAAGGGAAGGATATTGAAGACATGTTGATTGGATATGGGTCGCTACCTCAGGCTGCAGCGGACGTTGACAGAAGGTGAATTCAACAGCCAGTGACTGCGTTGCGCGCTGGTGGCGCCAGACGTGAAACTCGGTAAAAGACACGTGCTGGCCAAATAGGAAACAACTCGAAGCAATAATATTGCCTCGCGTCTTGTCCACAGAATTAAAAACACGGAAAACTTGCAAGATCTTTACAGAACGTTTTCTATGAATGTAATAGCCGACAGTCTGCAACTGGAGTCTGCAAGAAAATGAAAGCGGACCCTCGGTAATAGAGGTTGCTGCCAAATACGAACCAAACAAACGCGTCACACTTTCTCGTCGCCCTGAAGATTCGAGCGGTGAACCTGTTCACGACTATGGCGAACCCGGCTGGCCTGCGCTCTCCTCCAACGCCACGTTCCGAGGTATCCTCACCACGACCAAAGTTCGACGCTGAGCTCTTGAAGGCCTACATGAAGAAACTAATGTCGACAACCCTCCATTCTGCAGTCTGGCCGGAGCCACGGGAACGGGACCGGGTCAAAGCCTGGATAAGGAAATAGGAGAGCGCGTAAAGGAACGCATGGTCGAAATACAGAAAACAGGATTGTGAGCGACTCTCACGCGCAACACATGTGGACTGCCAATAACCGCAACGCGTTTCCAGCAAGTATATCGTGTTAACTCAGATTAACGAAAATCTGGGTCAGGGTGGTCGGTGAGGCTCTCCGTTCGTGGGTATACTGACCTTGACATTGATTCCGTTTGATGGTAGAGCGGACATGGTATGCCACTGGGAAGATTCGGACGTTGTCGCCCAAGAGGTATTTTCGAATGTACGTTCACGTTATCGCGATCGACCGCTGAAATGTTTCGTACGACTCATCGGATGTCCTATCAGGATTCAGTCATCTGTATCTGTATAGCGTTTGCAGTACGCACCGTCTGATTTCTCCGTTTATGCTTTTGGTTTTCCCCATACCCATTCACCGACTCAATGCCATTGTTTCCGATGATACCCCCTCTATTCAATGCACCGCACATATGGTAGGCCGGAACCATCAACCCGACTTTCGTTAACTGTACTTGCTTCAACACGACTTCCCACTCCTACTATTTTTCCATCATCAGATCTTGTTCACAGCTAAATCTTTCGTCTTCTGCCGCAAATTGCCCTACAATACGTTGTCGCCGTTCTCTCGAAGATCAGAAGCCATCTCGATCTTTCCGATGCAGTGGTTTATTTGTGTCGTCTTTGAACCCACGGATGACAGCTTCGTTCACACCAGGATCACACCAATCAGGATGCCTATCGGCATCTGATCCTCGTCATCCAAGCTCGTACGAGCATGAACTACTGCTGTGAAAACTACCGAGAGCGCGGGTTTTTATTTGCCTGCCATGAAATGCCTCAAAGGTGTTCTCACGATGTTATGCTGTTCATATAGGTAGGTTTCACAACACTGTCTCTGTTTGTCGACCGCGGTAGTTTTCTTACGTGTTGATCTCACGTTGATTGGCCCGGCAAAGAAGATACTCCCCCCATCTTCAATGCTCTTGAACCCTGAGCTGCTTGTTCGGCGCATTGGACTCCAGTTGTGTAGGAGGTCTCGTGTAGCTGCTGTTGTGATGGTCCCCCTTCTTTCTCCCACCCGCTCCTGGTCTTGTGCTGTGATAAACAAAGAAGCCCCTACTAACCGTCTGATCTGCAGTCACAAAAGAGGCAAAAACGCTTTCATCGGAAGAGCTCCGGATGGAAAGTTCCTCCTGGATCCCCGTCGTTGGGTACTTGGTGCAATGAATACGAACGGGCCAGATGCATATGCATATGTTCGATTTCAATCAACTACATTGAATCGCAAAATCAGAATTGCCATCGACAGCTCTCGTTGAAAGGAATATAGTTTTATTCTGGGGTTCGGCGTCACTTTTGCTCGTGCCCGTGCTTTCTCATAAGTGGGTAATCACATGCCGTCTCTGTTGACCATAATATCATTGTGCTAGCGCAGATTGAGGCACAGCCACTGTGTCTTCATTTTAACAAGGTTCCGGTGGTAACCTCCGAACTTTGGTTCTTTTTGGTGCTCTAGATTGAGGTAGGGCTTCGGAGAGGGATTGGGAGGATCACTATGATCAGATCAGATATGCACAACCCGCAGAGACGAAGGGCAACCCCTTAAAGATAGGGTGACGCGATTGTTCGGCGCTCGCGAGGACATAAGTGAGTTGTTTAACCGGTTTTCTTTGGTGGAAAACATAATCATTTTGAAAAATGTTTAAGTCTTTTTCGTAACACCGAGACGACAAAGATCCGGATTCGAACCAAGAAAGTCCCACGTACGACTCGATCCCATCATGTTTCTGTTTGTTGAACAAGTTTTTGCTCCATCGTTTTGCCTATCGCCATTAACGTACCGGCGGTTGCGCTTTTCGTCTTGATTCGGTGTAACAGTGCATCGTAAATCCAACTGGTCCCGGCATAGCTGTGGAAAGCTGTTACGTGACAATGTGCCCAAGTATGTATAGCAGCAGATCATCATTATGCCCTGGTGCTTTTAGAGTTGCGACTACTGGCGGTGGCAACTAGCGAATTTCGAGCCGTAGCGAATCATTCATGGATTGCATATGACCCATCGCATATGAAATTCGACCGAGGACATGCGTATACGTACTCCTCTAAATTTCATCAGAAGGATGTGTTACTTCGACTGAGTGCGCATGCGTTGTCATTCCTTGCGGAGGTATCACTCGTATATCGGTCATCGGGGAGGCGGAAATCACATTAACATGTTACTTAGGTCAAGTGGATTTGTTTCAGATGTAGAGTATTCACAATGTCAGATTTTGAATTGTCGCAGTAGTACGCAAAGAGATCTGGACGCAAATCGTTATGGGATGAACGTTGAAACGAATGGTCCTGGAACGAGACGAGTATTCAGTTCAGCCGAGATCATCATATTCAACGGTAGAGCAGTTTTCCGGAATTGAAACCCCGTCGTGTTCCGTGAGGATGCTCAGTCATTCATCCATCTCGTACTCCGCCCCGACTCGTTTAACCTGGTGACTAGAGACTTGTGCTCGTGATGATGATTGGGTTGGGTGAGTATCACCCGATGACTTGTCCGTCAGGCGGATCGATAGGCAATGCTGAGACTCTGTTGGATTGCTGTATTGCTGCCGCAGAGGACGCAGTCCAAGTGCGAGGAGATAAGGCATCTGGGTCAATTCGACGGAGCGGAATTCGGTTAGGTGTTTAGAAATGCCCATGACTGTCGATAATAGTTTGGTACGTGGAGCCCACTGTTATGGAAGAGCATCGGCCCCTGGCTTAGTGCATCTTTCACGTATGCTCAGAGCTGGGCCTGAGCTCGAGGAGCGCGGAATGGCCCGAGTCAATGTCACGTACAATTTACCACGACTGTTATGAATCGATGATGAATCAATAATGAATTACAGGCTGTTTCCGTAGTCAGAACATGGATACCAAGTGCTGCGGTTTCCCTGGTGCGGTTCCGGCTCAAGATTGCGTGGAAGATTCGAGGAAGAATACGCTGGGAAGCAATCATTTGGAAGGCGGTGGCTGTACAGGCTGTTTGCCCACAAAGTTGCCGGACCGAGAGCTCTTGAACTTCTTCTCTTCCGTCCCCTCTTCCAGGTACACGCTTCGCGAACGATCTGCGAACTGCCTTCGCTCTTCTTCGTCTTTTAATTATGGTTTGACCGCCGAAACACGCTGCAGCGCGTCCAACCAATGAAGAAATTCGAGTCTCTGGCATCTACCACGTCTGGACCTAGAGTTGGTTATCGACGTTCGACCTTGGAAACGTTTTACGTCTTAGAAAAGGATCTCATTGTCCTATTGGGAGGATAGTCGGCTATGGTAGAGTTAGTAATCGGTGCTTATTGACGATCTAGGAGCCTGAAAGATTCTATCAGGTCAGTACCGAACTATGTTCCCTGAATGGCTACAAAGTACCAAGTCCACCGCTCAAGCCAAGGGTCTCGATACTTGTGTAATATCTACGCAGCCCTAGTCGAAATTGGATATGCTCGTTCTCGACCGGTATGAAATATTAGGGAACTTCGTAATATGCCTCGATGGACCAATAACCTTTGTTTGACAGGCGCACGGGACATCAGTACTTCAGTAGTACAAATCGGTGGAGCATGTATCGGTGGCAACAATTTCAACTGGTAGCTCCGCCGGCACTATGCTATTGGTTCTAATGGAATACAGGTGTTACATAAATGCGGATAAGTATCGACTGTGGACTTCATAATCCACCATCCCGCGAACCTCACAATATTTACCATAGCGATTATCGTGAGAAATTTGTCCTGGCAAGACATTTCAACCGCTCTTCCGAACCCCATCTTTCTAGAGGCTCACTGAAAGTGCGAGCAGATATCATCCTTATAACCCCACTTCACCCGTGACAAATTGCTACAGCACCCAATCTTTTGACATGCATCTGGACCAGTAAGAGGCTTTCTCGGCGAACAATTCAATGGAACCTGATCACCATCAGATTTTCCCTCACTGCCCTCCACTGCCTCATGAGTCATCACAGCCCTGAACTCTGGTCAGTTTGAGAGGGCGCATGCTTACTACTATTCGTGGGTTATGCATCCCCAGGGTCTTGCTCGAATCTGCCGCCAGGAATGAAAATCCCCAGCAACATTGTTCAAATTGCAAGGATCATATTCCTATTGGTGTCTACTTCATCTCAGCATTGGAATGGGGTTTGCAAAAGCTCCGAGTCTTACACGTGCAATCCGCCGAATTGAAAACTACTGATACGCTGGCGCGACGGACACGGACGTTAGTATGTATAATCGGGGCGCTCATGTTCCAATGGAAACCCAGTTCTATACTTGTACCAAAACGTCCTTGGATGCCGGATAAACATATATTTTGTAGATGAAGACGGGGGTGGGGATTGCCAGTAAATTGTGAACAACAAACATGTTCTTGCCGATCCAGCGCAACGCCCGCACCAGTCGTTATCGGTGACCCTTGCCAGGAAGTTATTCATACATTGTACTTGTCTTATACGGCTAAAGATGTCAGTGTTTCCGCAGCCTACCCGCAGGTTACTCGCAAATTGATGGTGGTGGTATCTACCTCCGGATGAAGCGTCTATTTCGGAAGATGCTTACTAGTACAAGTTAGAAAACGCACCATTAAAGAGTTGCTTCTCGTGTTTCAAACTACCACCCCCAGCTTGACTTGAAATGTTTGCTTCCTCTCCGACTTTTGAATATCCCTTCTGGGGTGAGTGTTCACCTTCGGATGATGCTAATCGTATTTATTAAAATTTCTTCAGGATTCGTTTTGTCAATTTTGTATGTATCGGCATTTAATTAGCTTTCGGGCCTAGGCAGATGAACATTTCAGCCTCTTCGGTGTGATATTAGTTCAGACGTGGCAGTACTACAGAGACTACGACAAGGATCGATGGTATGTGCGCGTATTTGTAAGTCCCCATGCTACCATGGACCGCGTTTAGTAAATTAATTCTCATCACAGGTCGCGGTTTTATTGTAAGCATTATCCCATCTCCAGAGCATGACATCTAAAGTGTATGTAGTCTATTGAATTGCACAAGCACGGCGTTGCATATAGTAGTTGCTCGATCGCTCTTGGCACGTTTTCTCCCTACTCTATTCCTCTCTGGGGCTTATGGCATCTTATTAGTTTCTCGCAGCTGATGTCAAAGCAATGGATTTCTTGGATGCATACTCTCTGTGAGTGGAGTGGTATCGATCAGCTCAAAACTTACGGCAATCCCTTAGCTTCATGACTGCAGACAATATCATCATGTGCATTGTTTTTTTCTTGTCAGTGACTGCTGCCGCTCTTCCTTTTATTGAGGCTTGATCGAGTATGGTTGTCTAGGATCCAGCTGTTTTTTCTATCAAGAATCTACTTTCGTGAGCATTTTAGCATATATTGAGATGATGACAATATCAATATACACAGTTCGTCCGAATGGCCACTGGATGCTAGGAGCCTTGGTTAGTATCGCTCTTCGATTCGCCTATCACGTCCTAACATCAAGCTAGGTTTTGTGTTCAACAGGGTACATTTGGTGAATATAGCGTTACAGTCCATCATCATCCCACTAATGGTGCGAATTTTATAAGCGGCTGGAATTGGTAGGTCGATAAAAGATTGTGTAGTTTGCAACTGATCCTCTTCGATACAGTGTTGTATACTTTCAATACACCCTCAAATCGGATGGTACTATGTTTCCCTTTCAGAGTTAGAGGTCAGTAAATAACAAGTTTATAGATATACTGGACTTACGGGCCAGCCATGTTTTCTGACGTTGTGATGTGCGCATATTACTGGTGGATATTCGCCCTGTTGCGATCCGACATCCGACAGTAAGAACCAAGATCTTATAGACTATGGGGGACTGAAAGATCGACGTTTAGAACGAGAACGGTCCTGAAACGGCTACGACTGTACACTGCTGCACGAGGCTTGTTGGTTACTATATCACAGACGATCTGCTTTATTCTTCATGTCATACAACCCAGCCAGCTGCGATGGTGAAGCTTTAGATATCTAGCGAATGCCAGCATCTAACTGCGTGTTCGCCGCAGGGTATTGGTACATTGGAACCTATCCGGAATCTCGGTGTTTTCAACTAGTTGGTCCCCTCCATTTTTCGCATATCCATTTAGCTAATATTCTCCTTTGACAGTTGCTCTGTATGTCGAATACAAAAGTGATGATTCTAAAAAACTGATTAGAAATTGCACAGGCTGAACGCGAGAGGTGCATTGAGGGAGAAGATGAACGAAGAGATATATGACTTGGAGTCGCATTTGGAATTTTCTAGTTGAATAGTGACTATGTAAACTAATGTTATGGTCGAGAGGCTTGAAAATGACGTAGCGACGGGTGACGTCAATCTGCCACCGGATTTCCTCATCGGTAAATACAGTCATCAGACTCCAACAGACCTTCCTCATCTCACCACCATGCCCTCATCTGCGACTGGCGTCGTCGACGCCTTCAAGAGTAAGACTCCTCTTTGATGCTCCCGCTGTCTCACATAGTGAACGACCTTCTAGACCTCATTCGACATGGAAAACATCATCACCACCACCAGCAGGCTCGAAACGACGAAACTTCAGCCCCAGGATCACAACGTGCTCCTACCCAACATGACCAGCAACATAAAGTACCCGAAAAACGTCATATAGAAAAAGAGAACGCTGAAGTAGCACACCGGGAGGCAGCCCAGATTATTGTTCAGGAAGAACGAGAGGCAAAGGCTCAAATGCCCACATACAAGGGTCTTGAGAACTTCCAGCTCATCGAAAAGATGGGAGAGTACGTCCGTTTTAACGTTGGTATTAAACGCCATGTTCACATTATCTGCAGTGGTGCCTTTTCAAACGTATACAAGGCCATCGACTTGACGACGCAGAAGAACGTAGCTGGTATGGGCATTGTGTCCGATTAGCTCAAGGTTCTGACAGAATTTTCGCAGTGAAAGTGGTCAGAAAATATGAGCTTACCGCGTCTCAGGTGAGTGCACGCCTTCTGTTTTCCATCTCTTCCATCCCCCATCTTGCCTCCAACTGACTCCTTTGTCTATTACGCGTGGGTTTACTCCATCATTTAGGATGGAGATAAGCATCTCAACCCGAAATTCAAGAAGAAGCCTCGCGTAACAGAGGTGCCGTTGTTCAATCTCTTCTGTGTTTGTTTTTCATAGTGTTAAATCCTGACTCTTCTTCTACCAGCGCGCAAACATCCTCAAAGGTGCGTTTCCAACCAATAGGGGTTCATTTAACTTATCGAATTTGGTTGCAGAGGTCCAAATCATGCGCGGGACACACCATCCTGCTATCGTCAAGCTCGTGTCTTTCTCTGAATCGCCTGAACACTATTTTCTTGTCCTTGAACGTGAGATACGTTTTCTGTTGCAATGCATTGCTGACGCTTACTGCATCTAGTGATGGAGGGTGGCGAACTTTTCCACCAAATCGTCAAATTAACCTACTTTTCCGAAAATCTGTCACGGCACGTTATCTTGCAAGTTGCTCAGGGTATTCGGTATCTGCACGAAGAACGTGGTGTTGTCCACCGTGACATTAAGCCAGAAAATCTACTGTTCGAACGAATTCCGATAATACCTTCGAAGCAACCAGTTCACCGGCCTTATGATGAGGAGAAAGAAGACGAGGGCGAATTCATACCTGGCGTAGGCGGTGGCGGCATCGGTAGAGTCAAAATTGCTGATTTCGGTCTAAGCAAAGTTGTTTGGAACGAAGAGACGATGACGCCTTGCGGTACAGTTGGTTATACTGCGCCGGAGATCGTTAAAGATGAAAGATACAGCAAAAGCGTTGACATGTGGGCTTTGGGATGTGTTTTGTACACGCTATTGTGCGGATTTCCTCCCTTCTACGACGAGAGCATCGGTGTCTTGACAGAAAAGGTCGCACGAGGGTATTACACTTTTTTGAGTCCGTGGTGGGATGATATCAGCGCCAGCGGTAAGCTTTCTGGAATTCAACCAAAACATGCACATTTACCCTTTTCATAGCCAAAGATCTTATTCAACATCTGCTCTGCGTTGATCCCGCGCAACGTTATACCATTGACGAATTTCTTGCCCATCCTTGGTGTAACGCTGCTCCTGCACCACCACCACCTCCCACGCCATTCATTTATAACAATCCTCCTTTATCGGCACCGCTCGACTCTCCATTATTATCAGCCGCTCGCGGAGGCCGCGTTGAAGGTCGCAGTCCCGGCCTAGCTACCCTTAAAGAGGCCTTCGACATCACTTACGCCGTACATCGCATGGAAGAAGAAGGAGCTCGCCGGCGGAAGTACAAGGGTCGAGGTGGAGCAGGCGCACGTGGATTCTTGCAGGGACTTAACGAAAACGATGAGGAAGAAGAGGAAGAAGAGGAAGATATTCAGCGTATCAAGGCGTCATCTTCCGTAGCGACTGACAACGCGCAACGCGCTAGCAATGTTTCCGCTGCTGTGTCGACGTCTCCAAGCTCAAAAACACGACGGGCAGGACCCGGAATATTTGAGCTTGATATGGATAGCGCGACATTGTTGGGGCGGAGACATAAACGAGTCCCCGGTGCGAGTAGTCCGCTGGCTGGTAAACCCTTCAACAATGCGTCTTTACGGCAAGACGCAATCGTGGACCCTGGAAGCCCCATGCGCGTTTGATACCTGCATTGTATTCGCTATCACCCTTGCCGACTCGTCGTCTCATGATCCTTTCGGTCAATGGATAATGTCATCCGCAGGTCATACTGGTAGTGCGTTATACCCGATATTACTACCTGATTTATAGCTTGAACCCTCAGACAACCCCGTTACATTCTCTTTTTTCATTCAAGGACAGCGCATATACGTTTGTATACATCCTCATATAGCATGTATGTATCGTGACTTCTGTACAGGTAGGATATTGTATTCCAATAATGCTACACCCATACAACCGTGTTCTGTTACTGCTCTCCGATATTTATCGTTTCTTAGAAGCAATACACGCTGAAGCTTTGACTATCTATTCTTTATTCGGTCATGGGATGTGTCTGCACTCACGTCTCGAACGGGAGACGAGTGGATTGAATCTAAACATAAGGAAATAGGGGATTTGCATTGGCTGATAGGTATCCTTCACACCTTGCAACCCGGGCCTAGTTGTGACGTACAGATTTTGTAGTTTGGGATACCTAAGTTCTTTCTTCACGGGGGTCACTCCGGTCCTGCAGTCTTGTCATTTTACTTCGAGCCATTGGACTTGAAGTCTACGGATGCAGACCTGGTGGAATTAAAAACTCTGTTCCCCAATGTCTCATTTAGTATTGAGGACACCCATAAGTCGGAGAGCACAGACGATTCCTATTTTGAAATCATCGGAGTAGGAACCTCTATTTTGAAAAAAAAAAAAAAGATAATATTAACTTTATCTTTGCGCGGAACGGTGAGATGTAGCAGGGGTCAAAGTCTGAACATGAGAACAATCGATGAGGATATCCACAAACCAATTACGTCACGTAATCTGTCCATTGTGCGACCCGAAGGCATTTAGTCCGGCAGGCAGACAGTGCGCTTTTCGCCGTGAGCAACAAACTGACGCCGTCCAGTTCTTCGGTGTGGGGAAGAAGAGGGGAAAAGCTGGAAAAAGATGCCCTTCGATTGTCGATCAGACTTCTTCCAAAGAAAGGTGCAATGGACTCACTGGTCCCGACGCGAAGTTAAGACGGAGGAAGAATCGCTTTCTTCCGAGGTGTTTAGTTTAACCTTTGGGATAAACCTGGTAACCTAAGTTTGCCGTGGGGTCGGCCGGACGTACTTGCATGTGTGATTGGTACAGTTTTCGGGGTGCTTCACAAATAGCACCTTATCGTCCATACTTAGTCCTTGCGGTCCAGTTTCATTCGAGGCCAAGGTAGGCTGCGGGGGAATTGTTCAAGCGTAGTGTGGCATAATGCACCGACTCTGGCGGTTCTAACGAGTGAGATTCCCAGAGTGTGCCTGCACCGCGCGCACTTCTAGCCGCATGCCGTCGATCGAAAAGAAGAACGATCGTATGAATTCGAATCACTGTAAAGCTTTCATGGAAAGAATTCACAAGAATTAGTATTACTTATCGATCACGAACGTGCGGTTGTACTTTGTTCCTGATCCTAATGGGGTGAGAACAAAACAGTGGATAAAAATGAGTTGATGATGGCGTCCAGATGTACTCACAGCATATGTACCAATGAAGCGGATTAAAATATCCCATTCTAGGAGTGAGGAGTTAGCAGATGTACGGTTAAGGCTCGAGAGGGAATGGAATTGGGTGATCCGCGGAACACCAGTCCACAGAGGTAAAACGGCGTATGTACTTACCCTACAGTGACCGTTAAAGCACGGAAAAGGCATGGATTCCAACTGGGCATAACTGCGATCCCGGAGCTAGCAGGTACAAAATTTTACGCATACGGCCTGAGAGAGCACCGCGGAGCTGGATCAACATACACCACAGTTGTATGGGGAATTGCCAGGTCATATCATGCGACCGTACGCGGGTTTTCATTTCATTTCGATTAATAATGCGATAGACCGTGAATTGCTGAGTACCAAAATGAGAAAGACCATTATAACGAGTCAACCATAAACCCAAGAGATTAGAACCAGTCGTAACGAACACTGAGATAACCTGTAGAAAGAAACCCCCTTTGTGTTCCCTGCCCCTTTAGACGGGAAGATTTCACCCAAGTCATCCAATAGTTGTCTGGGAAGTGCAAATACACATTCCGCAACGCGGGATATTTCCCCGTAAGGGTATCTATCACTTCGCGGCCTTCAACATAATCCGATGCTATCATGGAGATGATGACAAGATGTTGAAGGTCTGGAGACAGGACCATGTTCAGGAGTGCACGATGGAACGGCTGCACGAAGACGTGAACACGAAATGACTACTAAAACACTGAATAGATCACGGAACGGACTTACTTCTTTAGTCAATGCATACATTGGCTCCTGAGCCTGGGTTTGTAAGGGAAGTACGAAAGATAGGGAGCGAAGCCGGGGAAATAATGATGCAATGGATCCACATAACGCTTTGGTAGGGAAGGCGCGAAGCTGCATCGACTGGAGATCCGGGGCACAAGTTTGCAGCATAGGCAGATCTTGCAAGAGGTCGAACATGTCGCATGTCCTACCCCATCTATCACCCATCACCCTGATATGCCGCAGTTGTCTCTGCTCCTCCAAGAGAGACTTAAGCAGGTAATGCGGCCCGTCGTAGGCTAAAAGGGGAACGGTGCATGGTGGAGGAAGAATGGTGAGCGCGTGAGGACCTCGAGAAGATGGCAGAATGCACAACTCCATCAAACCTGGACACTTTGAGAGTGCAAGGGGTAGAAGCTCAGATTTGACCACCTGCTCGTCGCCTTGGAGGGTGATGGATTTCAACGCCGCTAATTCCTGTATCATGGTGATCTCCTCTAAAGCGTCAAGGGAAGACCATTTGGAGTGTAGATGGAGGGTAGATAGAGTGCTGATATTGATTATAGATAACCAATGTTGGGGAGCACGCAAACGGGGATCCTCGAAACAACGGACATGTAGGCTCTGTGTGGACCATTTGCGCTGCAGATCACTGTCTGCAAGACTGACAATCGCACAAGCGGTAAGTGACAGACGTTTTAGGGGACGACACTGGGAGATGTCTCGGGCACGTTGTGGAGCGATAACCACATTCGTAAGAGACAGTTCTTCGAGCTCGGAGAAATCAGCGAGATGGGCACAAAGGCTGTCAAAGACTGGCTCGAAATCATGATCTGGCCAAGTCACGAACTCCACTTTGCACGTCTGAACAAATGATGCGATACGCGGTGAGCTGTAGAAATCGTAACGCTGGATGGTATCCGCCAGACCGATCCGTTGACCCGTCTTGAGAAAATGGAGCATGGCATCCCGGTCATTGTTGGCAACGAGGGAAAATGATTGGAAGAGATGGGGCTGGGCCATCCATCTGAACGAGCGTGACGCCAACGCTGCATTTCTGAGCCCTTCTAACGAAAGAAAACGAAAAATAAATTCGCAAACTTCCACAGGCAGATCGCCACCGTCCACAATCTTCGCCATCAGGTGATTCTGACTGAGTGCAAGTTATATTCGAGACAAGACAGCAGAATCAACAAGGACTACTTGCATGCGACGTGTTGTGGCCCCGTACGAAGGATGTTCTTGGGTACCCGAGCGCTGTCCCCAGCAACCGACAGAGAACGTAGTGGCCTCAGGCTGAGCCTAGGCTGAGGGTCGGCTTAGATTTCTGTTCAGTCAAAAGCAGTGATCGATCAGTACCAGTACGGCAATTCCCAGCTCGGCAACTTTACGACAACCATGAGTGGCCTCGCCGACGAACTGCTTGCCGACCTTGATGGACTCTCAGATGCTGAAGAAGAATACGAAGAGAAAAATCTCCGTCAAGTCAGTCTCAAATTCCAATCCTTTGAAGAGAAAGGCAGATGACGCCGGTTCCGATGCTGAAACGGACGACAATGAAGAGGAGGCCGGTGAAGGCCAACAAGCAGTGGGCAGCCTGGTTCTTGCTGGAGGCGTCAAACCGGCAGAAGAACTTGACGCTGAAGACGTGCAACAGATGGAACTGGGCAGCGTTGAGGACGTGACCAATATTGCTAAACTTGATGGGAGTAAGAGAATGACCGACCTTTTAAAGGTGTGTTTATCAACGGCAGTTGTAGTATCTTTGCTCACTTGATGTTCAGGAAATCGAAAAATACCAGGCAAATCCTAGCACACCCGAAGCTATGGCGTTGCCCGCCCATATGAATCCTGAATACACACTCATTGTCCAAGCCAACAACCTTTCTGTTGATGTTGAAAACGACATAATGGTCGTTCATAAGGCAGGCCGACTTTCGCTTTTTACCCAGTGGCAATGTTTTGATTTGCATACAGTTCATTCGAGACCATTATGCCCCAAAGTTTCCTGAGCTCGAACAACTAGTGACTGACCCGGCAATGTACATTCGTTCTGTGCGCGTTCTTGCGAATAACGAGGTGAACACCTTCATCCCTGTATTCGTCATTTGAAGTTTATTGAGTGTTGTAGGACCCTACGAAAGTCGACTTATCCGGCGTTCTGCCTCCAGCTATAATTATGAGTGTCGTCGTCACTGCCACAACAACGTCAGGCAAGCAATTAACCGACGCCCAGTGGGAGGCTGTCCGGCGGGCCTGTGACCTTGCAGACCGTTTGGAAGAGGCCCGGAAAAAGGTATGCTCCACACCTTTGTATCTGCGTTATCAGGACTAAAAATGTTCTCAGATATTCATGTACGTCAGTTCTAGAATGAACGTCTTGGCACCCAATCTTTCAGCAATTGTTGGCACCACTACAGCCGCGAAACTCCTAGGTGTTGCGGGCGGCCTCAGCGCATTGGCGAAAATGCCGGCTTGCAATGTTCATGTACGTTTCTTTCTCACTCACAGCTGCGGCATTACGTCTGATCAGGTTGTCGGTCGAAGCTCCTCGGCGCTCAGAGGAAAATAACGGCTGGCTTTTCAACAGCTACGCAAAAACGGCATACAGGATTCATATTCCAGTCTGAACTTGTGACACAAACACCACCAGAATATCAGCTCAAAATACAACGCACAATTGGGGCAAAGTCCGTTTTGGCAGCTCGTATGGACCTGGAACGTCAGCGCCGGGATGGTTAGTCCTTCCACCTCTTCTCCGGAACCGTTTTAATGAATAGACAGGAAGTTACGGTGAATCATTACGTGACAAAATTGAAAAGCATATCGATCGTCCTCGCCGCTCCTCCTCCCTCCAAGGTGACGAAAGCTCTACCAGTTCCAGGGGACGGACCAAAAAAACGAAGAGGCGGGAAACGGTAAGCGCCTTGATGACGCAAGTCTGGCTGATTGACGTTAATTTCTCTCCAGGGCACGAAAGGCCAAAGAAGCCTATGCGCAGACAGAATTACGGAAGCTGCAGAATCGCATGGCTTTCGGAGAGGTGGAACAGGAAGTGGGTGCCTTTGATCAGACCAAGGGGTTGGGTTTGATCGGTGCTGGTACTGGTAAAGTCCGGGCAGGCATGGGAGAAGCTAACAGCAGAGGTGAGTCCTACAATTTGTCCGGGAGATGACGAAAGCCGTTTGCTGATCTTTCTGTGTAGCCAAATTATCCAAAGCCAATAGGTTACGTACGTCTGCATTGACTCGTGCCGCCCAAGTTTCGGATTCAGGAACTGCAACTTCATTGAGTGTTACACCAGCACAAGGTTTGTATTTTTGACTGTCTTATCTTGCAACCCGCTGACCTCTATACAAGGATTTGAACTTACGAATAGGGCAGCTGCTGCCCAGCGCGTAAAGGAGGCTAATGAGAGATGGTTTGCTGCTGGGAGCTTCTCATTTGTAGGTCAGAAGGGTACTTGACCATGGGTGTACACGGTGTCCGAGCTTATACTATCCACGATACGATGATTATCATCAATTTCTATCAACCATCGAATACTTGAACAAGTCACTTTTTGAAGATGCGGATAATGTTACAAATGCTACAGAAAAAAGAACTACCTACAGTTAAGTAAGATGGTAAGGAAACTTCCAAAATGCAAGGTATGATAACAACGGAGGAATCGCAAATATTAGAAGTGTTTATGCTTGGCCGGGGTGAGCTGTAGCAACAGTTTCACCGGTAGCAGTACTCTGCGTCACATCGATGAATCCTTTTTGCTTCGGATTAGGTAGGGTGTCGCGCTTGGACCGGTAATCCCGAATTGCTGACCGGATGGCATCTTCAGCCAACACTATAGGGACACATTGAGTAAGGTGTGAATTGAAGAAGAAAAGAAATCTTACTGGAGCAGTGAAGTTTGACGGGAGGTAGGCAAAGCTCTTTGGCAATTTCGGTATTTTTAATTTTGCCGGCATCCTCAAGAGAAAGACCCTTAACGCGCTCGGTCATATACGAGCTTGATGCAATGGCGCTACCGCAACCAAAGGTTTTGAACTTGACATCAGAGATGATACCGTTTTCATCAACGCGAATTTGGAGTTTCATCACATCGCCGCAACTAATGCCAAGACATGTGAGACAGGGAACACACAACGTCAGGAGAAAAGAAAATACTCACGCAGGAGCTCCTACGAGCCCGGTGCCAACATCTATGTCATTCTTAGGGAGGGAACCCACCTATGGAGAAAGAAATAGAAAAATTATCAGATAAGGCGGTCCAGACCGGGTGCGGAAGTTCCACCAACGTTTCTAGGCCTTTCATAGTGCGAGATCACTTTCTCATGATAACCCCGAGCAAGAACAGGTCTGAGGGCCGCGAGTGATGCTACGGGACGAGCAGAACTGAGGGCGGTGCGAGCAATAGCAAGACGGAACATGAAGGACAAGGGGAAGTGACGACGACGGCAAACGAAAGGCTGGGATCTGAGTTTCAATTGAAGGGCACGTGAGAGGTACTCCACCGCTGACAGATTCCAATCGTTCGGCCGATTGTCCGACTCGGGTTCGGCACTTCTGCTCTATCATGTCCTCTGCGCGTACAGTTGATAATCTACCACCAACTGCAAGGGCTATTGCTCTGCTACTTTCCTCAACGCCTGGGGTGCAAGATGCTCAACCTGGTGTGCTGCATCAGCTGCTTGAATTTTCCAACCGATACACCCAACACGTTCTCACTGATGCTCGTGTCTATGCAGAGCATGCAGGACGACAGGATAAAGTCGAGTATGATGATGTCGTCCTTGCAGTCCAGGCGCGTGTGGGCTGGGAGTTTGGTGGACGTGTACCAAAGGAGGTAGAGTAATCATTAGCAGCGGTGATAATCTTTCTCATTGACGCGTGCTTTTTCTTGCAGTACATCATGACACTGGCCTCGCAGACAAATGCTATGCCTCTTCCTGCAGTACCCGAAGTCTTTGGTGTTCGTCTACCCCAGGCATCGGATTGCCTTACCGCCATTGACTTTGATCTCGTTCCTAATAAGCCTCCGCCCGGAGTGAAGCTGTATGATGAAGAGGTAGAGGAGATTGAAGAGTCCGAGTCGGAGGATGAGGATGAAGACATGGAGCCTGCCGCTATACCTTCGTATCCTGAACAAGGCGACGCCGCTTCGTCTGTGACCATGTCGCAAGAGCCTTATGTTGAGGAGGCACCGTTCCCGATTAGCGCCATTCAAACTGCAGCAGACATGGGTACGCCTGCTGGGGACAATGCAGAGGAAGGAAGTGAAATAGAGGACCACGAAGAACTGTTCGCAGGCGACGATGAGGAGGGCAGTGATGCGATGGAGGAAGTTCAAACTGCACTGGTAGACGAGCCTGCCACGAATGGCGTCAAACGAAAATTGGTAGAAGAAGATGATTATGATTAGTTAGACTTTATATAACTATGTACATTTGCTGTAATTTATTTTTTTGGTGGTTGTAGGCAATATTTCAGTAATAGGGGCATTTGACAGAAACGGCAGTCGGACCGCAGTGATACCACGTACAGACGTGTTCTTAACTTTGACTTTCCAAAATGCGCGCCCACCACACGGCCCACAATTTCCAGGCATTTCCAGTATATTCTTCTGCATTCATATCAAACAACGAACTCGTCCTAGGCGGTGGTGGAGGTGCCTCGCGTAGCGGTATCAAAAACAAACTAGTACGTACTACACGCGTTGCGTGAAACTAGCTATCCTGACCGTACGTCCAGAGACTGTACCATGTCGGAGAGGACCGCTCTGTCGACATGCTCGACGAGTTCGAGCTCGAGGCAGGAGAGGATGCTCCAATGAGCATGGCAACCAATGTTCAGGTCCGTATGGTCAACACGTTCTCTGTTTCAGTTGTTCACTCTTGTCGGGAAACAGTCCAGGACCCTTGTATGCGGAGCAAACAGTACCGAGGATCTCGTAGCTAAGGGTCAGAATGAGAACTGTCGCGCTTTCGCTATCAAGAACCACAAGTATGTGACAGTGTCTTCGCGCAAATTTTGTGTTAACTTAGCATCAGGTTCAACTTTCTTCGAAAGCAAGGAACTTTGGACTCAGAAAGCATAGAGGAATTTCAGGTATATTTTCACAGATGTACCTCTGGTAGGGCTAACATTGTCGTCAACACAGAAAGTAACAGTTCTATCAGAAGACGGTTCCCTCGTTGCGGCCGCAGGTCCTAACATCGTTCGCCCACCCCTTGCTGTTTATGTCTCGTATATTTGACACTGTCATGCTAGATTCACCTCATGTCGCTGCCTTCGCTCACATTACGCGCGACACCGATCTCTACCGCGAAGGAAATATATGACGTTGCAATCGTCAAGGATACAGTACGCCTATCCTTATTCTCACTAGTCAAACTTTGACTCCGAATAGATGGTCGCTGTCACTACCGCGGAATTACTTATCTACTCGATTCCATCAAAACAACACAAGTCATCACCTTCTAAGAACAAGAAGAAGGGCAAGCTAAAAGCGACTGCAATACCTGAACTGAAACTCCAGAGAACTGTAGAGTTTCCCAATTCATTGAACGGTGTCTCGGGAGGCACTTTCCGAAGTGGACGGTACGCACTATTATCCACACATTCGAAGTGATCTTCCATGGTGCCGAACATAGATATCATCCTAAAGATAGCAATGTTTTCTATACGGCAGTCAACACGACGCCTGTCCGTTCGCGGAAGAGCAGGTCTATGCCTCGGCAAGCCTTTGTGTGCAAGTGGGATACGGAAACATGGACTGTTGACAAGGTCCGAAAAATTGGAGACCGTGCGTTGACCTGCTTCGATATCAGGTATGTCTTCCTGCCCTGCTATGGTTTGAGATCGTGATTGATTGTTGCATACAGCCCCGACGGGCAATATCTGGGCTTTGGTTCATCAGACTTGTCCATTGGGTTGTTGGATGCCAATACGTTGACTGTAAGACACTGTTTCCTTCCCCAGACCTCTGTGTTCATGCCCCATTCCAGCCTGTTGTGTCGATCCTGAAAGCCCACGAGTTCCCTCCGACTACAATATCATTCAGCCCCGATTCACACCTTTTCGTTTCTGGAAGTGCGGATAATTCTGTCAGGGTTGTAACTGTTCCGGATTCTTCCTCGTCATCCTTTTGTGAGTCCTTCAGCGCACATCAGTGTATACGTATTGACTCGTATGCAATCATATGCAGCATGGGCCATCATTCTCTTAATTCTCACTGTGCTCATAGTGTTGCTAGCGGCTGCAGCACAGAAAATGCTTTGAGTGTCTTATTATATATTATGCGGACGGTTCGGCTCTGTGGTATTTATGATACAGAATTATCGTTTCTTTCCGACTTCTTCAGGACACCCGACCGGCCTGAATGACGTTATTCAAATAACGGTAGGTAATGAGCAGGATACCTTGCCTGTTCCACAAAGGTTGAAGGAGGCTTTGTCGCCAAGATGCAGTTCAAAGGCGAGAACAGACGCCTAATTTAATTTAACTAGAAAACAGTGTTTCGCCTTTAAACATCCCATTGGACAAGGACGTGCTCTTCCCTCCAAGCTTCCCGAGCATCTTGCCCATTTTCCGTGCAGCAGTCCTTTTCACAAGAGAACACCATACAAGTTCCCCAGTCCATACCACTGATTGCCGTCACCGCCTTTTAGCGTCCTGCTGGACAGCCTTCCGCCGCTCCTCATCAGACATGTTCTTCGTCGCAGTCCGCTGAGCCATCGCGGAGGACATTGATAGTATTGGGCATCAGCTGACATTCGAATACACGTTTCGATCGGCAGCTGGGGCAAGGAGGAAGCGATGAAGGGTCGTACGTCCTTTTGGAGGTGGGAACAACCGTAAAGTCGGGTTTTGTCACCGGTAATGGGGGAGTAATAGGAGCAGGGAATAAGAGGTCGAATACTTTATCTGTTGAGAATGGCAGTGGTACACCGTTCAGATCGTAGCTAGAGAAAGATGCTCAACAAGAGTGAATAAGAAAATAAAATGTGGTAATTACCGTATGCATTGTTCAGGCTCATGTTTTACTCGATTTGAAAATCGCTCGAAGACATGGTCAACGTCTAAAGAATTTTCGTATTTTTCGGACCATCCAATGTCCTTACCCCCCTTTGAATCATCGGCGTCATCGATTATTTGAGCTCCAGAGGGAATTTTGGGTTTCGATTCGGGGGCGATGTACTCGGAAAATGTTTTCAGGTATTGGGGTGGGTAGGAAAGAGTTTGCCTCCATGGCGAATCCTCCAGAGTAGCAGAAGCCATAGCAGTGAGCAGAGAGTGCTCAGACGACGAAGACTCATCATCCGAATCGCCCTCCTCATCAGAAAGCTTCAGTGATCTTCGGATGGGGTCGCCGGCGCTGCAGGTGTAGTTCCACCAAAAATATGCGATCCAAGGCCAAACTGGATTTGGTGCTGTGGAAGCAGCACTCATCTGGACTGGTCGTTAGTAGTGTTTCATGTCAAGGGGGGTAAAACACCGCACTGAAAATGGATTACTGAGGGGCGCTTTCTGCAATTTCTCTTTCTTCGCTTCGGCTCGGGCTTTCTCTTTCTCTCGCTTCTTCTCTAGTTTTGCAGCATATTCCGCATTGTATCGCAAGGCTCTCCAAGCGCGTATACTGGCGGGCGAGGTGAGGATATACTTGTTGGGGAACCATAACAATACACACCGAAACTCACCTCCCATCCTTCTTCTGGCATTGCGCCCTTGCGCAGCCCCAGATATACAGCGCCCTATCCATGGGACTGTCTTCAAAAGGACACCACATCTGGGCAAGAAGCTCCATCGGACTGCTGCAAACTTTGCACTGCGACTGAAGAATAAGAAGGTTCACGCGAAGCAAGGAATGCCTTCAAACATGTTGAGATTCTATCGACGATACATGTGTAGAGCTAACCTACAGGAAGACCACCCAAGCGCGATACAGCAGCATCGGAAAGATCTGTCTGGGAACTAATCTGACCATCTGGTACACCCAAGGTCACAGAGGTCTCGATCTCATCGAGAACATCATCAGAGTCTGACCAGTCATCATCGACAGGAGGCATATGAAGGCAAGATAAGCTGGAAGAAGACACAGTTAGTTATCTGTCTTCTAGAATCGACAAGAATAATGAAAATTCAGGAAAGCATGAATGGTAAAAATTTTGTGGGTGTCGTCTCGTTCAACAGAAACCAAGAAACTTGGAACTGATGGCTCAGACTCGTCATCTAAAGAGCTCATCATGAAAAAAATGGAGACAGAAGTAATACTCACCGAAAGAGAATGGAGGATGAAGTTGAAAACTGTAGGAGACGATGATAGTTGGAGAAGAAGAAAGGATCAGGCAAGAAAGTTTCGTTAAATGCATGACCAAACAGGGCCGGTCCGGGACCCGACGCCGAGTTGACGCCTGGGACGAACGTTGGACGCAGACCCTCACCTGCACGAAGGTCAACAGTGAGGCGGGTTCGCTTCTTGGAAGGCTGAGACAACCTCTCTTCCTTTTCTTATCCGTCCTCCTACTGGCAATACCATGGATCCTGGACAACTCTACATCAACACACCGACCGTGATTGGCATCTCAGTCGCGATAGCCGGAAATGTCCTCATTTCATTGGCTCTTAATGTGCAAAAGCTCGCGCACAAACGATTAGATGCTGAGAAATTATCCTCACTAAACAATTTTGGGAAGGATGGCGCAGCAAAACCTCAGGATGACGGTCATAGTTCTGGTCCAAGTCTCAACGAAAGGGATGAAGACCAGGAGGCAGAAGCGGTGGGTGTGGTGCGCCCAGATGACGAATCAGATATCTTTCGGTATCCAGAGACGGTACCGTTGATGTCGCCGAATGGCCAGACGAATTACGGATCATCTCCTTCCCCCCGAAAGCCACACAAACGAAGCTTTGCTGAATTCTTGTCGCGGCCTAGGTTTGGGAGAAGACCGAAGGTGCCTATGGTGGAAATTCCAGTCGATGTAGTGGTCGAGGGAAACGCGTCGCCTCAACAAAATAAGTTCAATGAGAATGGTCGCGCTGAGGAGCTTGAACAGAATGAAGGCGATTATCTGAAATCCAAGCTTTGGTGAGTTTCTCTCACTCGCTCTTGTCGAAGGAGGCTTATCATTTGTTTGTTTAGGTGGTCTGGTTTTCTCCTCATGAACGTTGGTGAAATAGGTAACTAACTGTCTACATCGGAATTACCCTCACCCTGAGTGACCCTTCAGGCAACTTCATATCGTATGCCTGGGCGCCTGCTTCGGTTGTTGCACCTCTGGGAACTGTAAGCAAACTGTAATTAAATGTGTTCTTGAGCTCACACCACTCAAAGTTTGCTCTCATTGCTAACTGTTTCTTTGCTCCCCTCTTACTCCGGGAACAATTTCGCAAGGTGGTCATGTCTACTCGACTAACAAGGAAAAGACGTGCTGACCGTTATAAAGCGCGATATACTTGGGATACTACTCGCTATCATTGGAGCTGTAACAGTAGTGCTTGCCTCCAGTTCTTCCGATACACGTCTTGATCCCGACGGTCTGATGAAAGCTATATCACAAACTCCGTTCATCGTCTACTCATGCATTTACGTCGCTGGATCAATAATACTTTCCATTTTATCCGAAGGAACTCTGGGTCGACGATGGGTTACCATTGACGTAGGTTTATGTGCTCTTTTTGGTGAGTAGATCGGTTGTGTAACATTTATCGAGAATTTAACATAAAGCAGGGGGCTTTACTGTTCTTTCAACAAAAGCCATATCCACCCTACTGACGATGCAGTGGATAGAAATGTTCGCAAGCCCTATCACATACCCAGTCCTTCTTGTGAGTAATCCGACATTCCACCTAGAGGACACCTGACTTACGCTTGACAAGGTTCTTGCAGTTACAGGCATAGGGCAAATCAGATACCTGAATCGCGCCTTGATGAGGTTCGATAGCAAGGTTGATTGTCTCTTGAGGTTCCTTCTTGCTTGACTCAAAGCTATCACCGCAGATCGTCATACCCACTCAGTTTGTTTTGTTCAACCTTTCAGCCATCGTAGGATCTGCGCTACTGTACGGCGACTTCCAAAAGGCGTCCTTCCACCAAATTGTAACATTCCTATACGGCTGTGCAGCCACTTTTGCGGGTGTATACATCATCGCGCGGTCACCCTCAGACAACAATGCTTCCGACCAGTCAGAGGATCAAGTACAGACAGAAGATACGCAGAGCGGAAACGCTCCCGAAGACACTCAGTCCCCACGTGCAAGACGAGCGACACTCGTACTTCCGTCGCCGAGGGACACTCCGGGTCTAAACTTAAGGCATAGGCAAAGTACTGTCAATCTAATAGGTTTAACATCGGCTCAGGTTGGTGACGAAAAGCTGCCTGTGTATTATGTTTCTGATTCTCGTCATTACCAGCATCTTTTGTTGGTGCATACACCTCCCCGTGAGTCACTTGCCCGGGAGCGGGATTTCGAACGAGGCACCCCTGTTCTAACGCCAGACCCTTATCAACGACATCGAGCCCAAAGTTGGAGAAGCGATGGCTCACTTGACGTTATTCCCAGGGATAGCAGCGTTTCTCGCCGACCCCAAGAGGATGCCCGTCGCTCGAGAAGCGGAGGCGAAACACCTCGGTGACCTGTGGCGTCTAGCTTGATCTGTTTATGTTATGCCGGAATTATCTTTATGAATAGTCGCGGTGCGTTTCTAAATTTCATTCTACATCATGATCTAACATATGTCTTCATCTAAGGTTTTACTCTAGTTTTTTAAGTTCTAATCCAGAGGTTTTGCAAAATGGATCATTAATTTGTCCCTCGCGGACTTGTGCGGTTAACCCCGTAGAGTGTCTTGTTGTTTCAGCGATCCGAGTCGTTCTGAAGCGCGCAATCAGCACAGCGCATCTGCCTATCCTTTAGAGTATCGAAAGGATGATGGCCACAAAAAAGATTGATGCATAATGTTTCAAAAATTTCTCGAGGTAATCGCAACACCAGTATTGGTCTAGCAATGAAAAATAAGTTCAGTTATATCTGATTCGTCTCTTGCGAACTTTTATTGACTGATCCTGCCTGTTGCTGGAGGTAGCCGTGTTTTCCGACCAAAACCAGCATGGTGCATAACGTCATCACGAACATGGTAGATGCCTTTCCTATTCTGTTGATGATCCGGCGAAGCAAGTCAGCCGTGAGTACTCATGATTTCCCAGATGATAAGGGTCTCTTGGACTAGGTTGATTGCGTTTCTAGGCATGTTTGCTGGTCTGGGAGAGTTGCGTTAGGCCGCCCATCCCATCTACGGGTGATCCTTTGTTCCCGGGAGAGGTTCGAGTGTTTGGTTGGTTTCTGTTTGATCAAGCGGGCTGACGTTGTTTTTAATGAACAGATACACGTACTTGAGCTGCTGTGAATGCGATCTTCGCAGGGGATGCCAAACGCCATCGAGGTTTCTCACTCTAAGAAAAGATTCGGTTTCATGTGGCAATCGACAACAATGGCGTTAACCTCTTCTCTTTTTGTGAGAAAACCACCCGACTGTATGTATTTAAGCTGCTCGGTCCATGTGCTCTTGACCGCTGCATCTTCGTCAAATCGCTTCTGTGATGCCTCCACCGTGGAGATGTTGAGGTTCCTTTTGTAGAGATCGTTTCATCTTTTGCTTGGCTTTTGCTTGGATTTTGCAAGGTCGATGATTTGATGTCACCTGAATCTAGGTAAAAATCGCCCTTTCTCTTTTCTAACCTAGCTTCGCTCTGGGCGCACGACTTCTCCACGCCCCCCCCCCCCGCATATATATCACGCAAAAATTTTCTGAATCGGTTCCGAGGTTGCTCGTCAGACTACCCACGAATCATTTGTATAGCTGTAGATAGCTGCGCGACACCAAGTACCGCAGCGATACAGTCAGAACGCCTGCGCTAGTCGAGAGTTTTGGGATAAAGGCCGATTGCGCAGACCTAATACGCAGTGACTGTATGTACACGGATAAAAATCGTTTTGCGTAGTAAGTGCCCTAGCTGGTATACTCGGGTAGCTTTAGGCGTGAATTGCCAATTTTAGACAGCGCCTAGATGAAGCACGCGATAACATATGCAGTGTTCGAACACCGCCACACCCATATAAAGCCCTTCCTCTCAACCACCACCTCATCACTACAAAGTATAATCTAACCATGGTATGATCTCTTGAATCCATTTTGTCATAATAGTAATCCTTTTGTAGTCTTCTGGAATCGGCGTCAATCCCGAGTGCCTCTCAAAGTACCAGGAGCTCAAGCTCGGCAAGAAAACCAAGTACATCATCTTCGCAATCAACAAGGACAAGACGGAAATTGTCGTGGAGAAGACTTCAGAGTCTTCAAACTACGACGATTTCATTGGTGATCTCCCGGAGACGGAGTGCAGATGGGCCATATACGACTTTGAGTTCGAGAAAGAGGGCGCGGGTAAACGAAACAAGATTTGCTTCTTCTCCTGGTGAGTTTCCTTATACCCTTATCGTCTGATATCGCGTCGCGTCGTGCTGGTATTGTGATCAACAGCAAGGATGCTAGATGCTTAGTCGTTGAATCGACGCTGATCTCTGTTGATAAGGTCCCCCGATGATGCGAAGATCAAAGACAAGATGTTGTTTGCGTCGTCCAAGGATGCTCTGCGACGTGCTTTTGTCGGTATCGCTGTAGAGATCCAAGGAACTGATTTTAGCGAGGTCGCACATGAGAGCGGTGCGTGTTCTGCTTGCTGATTGGTCCTCTGGCACCCATTCCACCCCTCTTTTACTAGTGCTGGACAAGGCCTCCCGTGGCGCCTAGCTTGCTTATTTCTGCTGCCCCTGTTTTTTCGCTATCCATTTAAATGCTGTAGTCCATCACTTTATCATCAACCAAGAAGTGCAGGGGAAATGTAGATTACCATATCAAGTCGGACACTATTCGTTGTTCGTAGGATATTAAGGAAACAGATATATTCGAAGGACGGCCAATCACTCAGCCTCGTATGACAAGCCAATGCCTATTTTTTTAATCGTAAAGGGGCCGGATTTAATCTCAGCATACTGTCACTGTGGCCTGAACGAACTGAACTGTCTATCAATTTCGGCTGAATTACTTATTTAGTAGTAGCCTTGCACTTTCTATCAAATTTGAAGACACTAGGCGTTTTTACCTCTTACTCATTCTAGACTTTGCTTCAAGTTGCGCGAAGGGTCGAGTCGTACACACTTACGCTACCAGAACTGGCCAGTATTTAATTTTTGAAGATTCCGGCATTCCTTTAAGAAACAAACAACGCGAAAACAACACGTGCGACGTGACTTGCTGCTCTCTTGACCACCATGTCGATCAATGCTCGAAAGATCTCTTTCAAGTTGCCTCCGACAACAATTACAGATAAGTTGCACTCCCAGCAGGCTCGGAGGTCTAAAGTACCTCTACTTATCGCGGTAGAGAGCTGGCTAACTAATTACGCTGTAGGCTTTGGAGGAGCAGAAACGAGTACGCAACAATCCGCGTTCTCTTTATTTAGGTTCACTTCGTAACCCTCTTTTGCATGACTAGCGCCGCGCTGAAAGGATAGATGCATCAAGACAACTCGATAGCTTCGCTGATCTCAGTCTCGGCTTGGACGACGAGGACGAGGATGACCACACAGAAGTTGTTCGTGAAGGGGTAGGAGCTTTTGCGGCAATGCTTGAGTCAGAGCCTCAACCAATTACTACTGCTCCGAGTGTAGCGTCGTCCCCGCAATCAGAGCAAACGAAGAAGAAAAATAAACGAAAACGAAAAGCAAGAACGAAACAACAGGATCAGCAACAGAAACAATCGAAAAAGCATGACGAACCAAACGAGTGGGCAGACAAGTGTATGTATGCGGAGCTGTTAGAGATGAACTCGGAAGATCCTTGGACAGCTACTGATGGCCTACCTGATGACCTTGAGACTGGATGGGTGGCCGTCGCGCCTGTTCCTGTTGGCAAGCGATGTCTCGCCATATCACTCAATAGTAATGGCACAGGTTAGTTTATCAGGTTCTTGAATACGCCCATGTTGATACCAGCTATTCTTTTTAGCTCCAAATACAATACTTCGTTCCAGAGTCCTGGGAAAGCCACTTATGGCGCGTTTCCCGTCGCCATTGCCACCGAATACTGTTCTGGACTGCATCCTGGACCGCAGTTGGCGAGAGAATGGCATCTTGCATGTCCTTGACGTCATTAAGTGGAAGGGGCAAGACATCGGAGACTGCGAGACACCTTTCAGGTACAAAGATCCTCGCCCTTGTTCATTCATGTATCCTTAAGAGTGCCTTTTGTACAGATTTTGGTGGAGAGATACCCGCCTCGCTGAACTCCCCGTCTCACACCCTCCTGCGGCATCGAGATACCAATCAGGTTCTGTTCCATCTGAATATCGTTTCAGCTATCCGACGACATTACTTCCGATACCGTATCATCAAAACACGTCGCTCGCTAATTTGAGTGCTGTCGTTCTTCCTCTTGCTAGATCTTCGCGATCAGTCACTGTTGACATACCGGTACTCGCACCCGCTGATATTTCAATGGATATCGATGGAGCTGTCGAAGGACCATCGATAGTTCGTCTTCCTATAGACATTTATCCTGACGGGATGCTGCTTTACGTGTCAGAAGCTAGTTACGAGTCGGGCACTAGTCCGCTGAGTAGTTGGGTGCCTATTAAATCTTTTAATCCCGGCTCGGAGCTGCCATTATTCAATGCAGAAGCTCCCCTCGACAAATTCCAGAGGTGAGCGAGGCATTTTTGTCGAGAACACATCTGACGAGTGCACATAGGTTGGTGTACCAACGCATGGAGCGCAAAACCGTTACAACGTCCATAGAAGTGGAGATGTCATGATCGCTGTCGTTCACAATTTTTTCACGCATCGTAGTTTGTGCCCCGCTGATCTTTTACTCACGAATAAAAGCAATATCATGATTCAATATTCAACTCGCATAATTACCATACACTACTTGTATGAGTATTCAGTATGTTAGAATGACGTGGTTGAATGCAGTGAGGTGAGCAGTAGAAACAGTCCTTTAGATCTGTGGCTATTGTGATTTGAATGCAGTTGCACTCCAGCTGTTAGGCTGTTAGTCACTAGGTAGACAAACTCACAAAGAGCTTCCCCTGCCTGTGCTCTGTATTTATACTATTTACTCCTAAATCTAGTACTTTCTCCCCATTTCCTCCGGATTCCATCTTACTAAGCATGCCGAGACATGCCGTATCACCGGAATATCACAACAGTGGCAAACGGCATGAAGGCTAACAATGAAAACTGTGAAATTGACATGCTTTATTACGAATCTTGAGGAATGAATGAACAGGTAAAAATGTACAAGAACTTAACGGCGACCAACTGTTCCGTGCTATGTGGAGCTCGAAACCTCCCGTGATATTAAGCAAGCTGTCGGCTACCTTGGCTGTGTGGCACGATTTGGTGACAATCGTTGATCGTGTACCTTCACAACGTTGAAGTCGAACTTCGACGTGGTTCAAGCTTCAAGGTCAAAACAATCTCGAAGTCGCTCTCTCTCTCTCTCTCTCTGTGACGGCTATTGTCAACGGACATTGTAACAGTGCAGGTTTACTTTGTCCATTGTTCCCGCTCATTTAGCTCAGGAGTCAGAATATGCGGCGTTATTGTCTGTAGTGGTCACGTAATCTCAAGTTGCACCCTCCGTCACGCTCACATCACCGATAGCAGCACCCAGGCCGAATCTACCATGAATGAGCATAGAGATTCTATCCTGGATGACATTCAGTGTGCCTTCTGTACCTCTAGGTGACTTTCAGCAGTCCTTCCTCCCCCAGGTCGTCAGCCTTGCGGACATCGATGCCATTGCCACTCGTTTAGAACTCAATGGATCTCTTCAACCGAACCATCGGTGGACTCTGTTCCCTGGCGACCTGTGCACGGAAACGAACGAGAATACTTGTTTCAAACGTCTTGAAACAATCGCTGCGGTTATTGTCAAAGAGGCAAAGGCTTCGCTGAATCGCAATCCGACTGTGGTAAAGCAGACCCGGCCTACGCAAGCCGCACTTTCTGAGGGTCGCAACGGGCAGTTTATATCTGGTAGCCACTTCGCGCTATGCACGTCCAGGGTGCCCGCGTCGTAAATTATGCATACATTACGTTGTATCCATTCGTTTCGATGCAAGAAAAAACTAGGCTCCAACTTCACAGTCACTAAAGAGGCCGTCCCGCTCAGAGTCGGTCCTGATTGTTATCGCATTCAGTATGACCATCTCATCGACGGGAAGTGGAATTAATATCACTACGAAGAAGGGAGAGTAAGTTTATTGTCGTTGTGCCAAAGAAATGTCTCTGTGTAGGTAAACCGTCTGGTGTTTGTTCCGGCAGAATTACAGAGGGAACATGCTTTTAATTTCCTAGACGCCAAAGGGTCTTAGCCACTCTTAAAAAAATTCTCAAATATCCAGAGGAATATGCTGCCATCACCCCGTCTCCTCCAGATTAATTTTGGGACGTATCCGAGTCAGTGGCGCTCAGTATCGTTCGCAAAGTCCTCAAGATATCGCTCCTTCCATCGTAGAATCTCCACTACTACTTACCATGGGAGTCGGTCTTCGCAACCGAAGGAGGAAAGATTGTATCCCAAATGGCCTCGTCGTCAGACTCCCCATCAGACTCCCCATCCAGAAGAAAGTAATCATACACCCAACCCTTCTCGCGCTCATCAAGACAAACTATCATCTCCTTCAGCCTCGTTGGCAAGTCGTCAGCGTCGTGATACTCTTCTTCCACCTCTTCGCAAAAAGAGTCATTGATAGCGCTTTCCAACATATACTGGCATATTTCGATGAAGGCCCAGCTTTGAGGAGAATAACCTGCATCGATCCATTTTTGTATGTGAATGGGCATGAGATGGACTAACGCTGGTACCGATGGGAACGGGAGGTCCGGGCAGAGCGGGAGCGATACTTGAACGATGTCGTCGAGATTATAGTTGAATATCGTGTTGGATATGAGAAGAACGCGATAGGGATCAGACTTGGTACCCCGTTGCAATGCTTTGAGCCGCGCAAAGTCGTCCGGACGGTCACGAAATGCGAGTGTGTAGTCGACAATACAGATACCCTTTTTGGAGGCAGTAAGCGCTCTCTTCTCACCATCAATCTCCTCGCAGCTCATGGGAGAATACGATGGAGCCAGTAACTTTACGGCTTCTTGGATCCTTGAGGGCGGAAGGAGGATTTGTAAGTCCAGCTTTTCACGGAAGATGAATGCACCACCAAGGCTGTAATGTACTGCGTCCTGACCCCAGATGACATGAGGAATAGCGGCACCGGTGAGTATGAGGGATGGCTGGAGCCTTTGGGATGGTACATCAATCGTAGCGGTACACGCACCGGGTCCCCGATTCTTTCCCTTTTAAATAATACCGATCGGAAAGAGAAATGAACTGCCTAGCCATAGCTAAAACCATATAACCACTATTTCCACGGCATCGCCTCGCTTCTTGATCTTTTGTCAGCCTCCAATTACTTGACCTATCTCTCTCACAGCTACTCCCTCCAACTCTTCCGAAGTATGCCATGACGGATTGGAACATAAAATCGGATATGACACTCTCAAGACACTCTGTAATAAGTTCAAGGATGAAAATTCGTGTTGAATTCGCGGCTTCAATTTCTGCTACGGTTATAAATACATCTATGTCGGTTGAAGCGTCCTCCACAAGGAAGGCTCCATCCATGTAAGTCGCTTTGATATCGTTCCATCCGCTTTCGGACCTAAAAGAATCACACAGCCATTTACAAATGTTCTCAGGACTCTCGAATACATCGGCGTGAAGCTGCAGGACGTACAGAGGACTAATACGTTGGGAGTTGTGGTGGAAGGTGTTTGTAATCGCAGGGGGCTCATCACTTTCATCGAGGACCCGCACGCGTCGACACGGAAGTTTATGAAGCGAAAAGTCCTTTTTTTTTGACACGTTCAAAGCTCCCAAGGAGCAACAGAAAATACGCAGAGCATTATTTAACGTTGTCGCTGAGTGACTTCCTTCAGTAAACAAGAGGAGACAGCGCTGTCGGGGTGCAGTATAGCACAACAACACGGCCGGCCCAGCGAAAACGAGCTCGCCGTTTCTTTATCAGTTTGTGTTAAGCCGTCATTCCTTTTACCTCAGTCTCGAACAGAGATAAGACTTCAGAAAAGTAGTGTACCACACCCATTCTTCTCCCCGCAATTCCCGATTCTTTCCGAAGAATGAGGAAACGACAGAGGGTTATTATCGGGGCGTAACTGTCTTGACCAGTGCCAAACTGTCTGGACAGGGGCTATACTCGGGGTCGGCTTAAGTAATTTTTGGTGATTGGCGATCATCCGGCACGCAACGGCTTATTTGCCGAGCGGTTGCCGCTGTGGCTGAGAAGTCTTTCTTTCCGAATACTTTCTATTGGTTTACGGGCTGGTCGAGAAACGACGTCAAATTTCCTCTCATTTACCTTTCTGCTTGTACGTCGCAAGTGATTCCTGCCTTCACTGTCCTTTTTTCTGTTCTGCGACTGCAGACGCCCTCAACTACTGTCTGTTCTACAGCCCCACTCAGCGGCTTATGCCTCAGTGCTATCGCTCTGCGTTGTCCTGGTTCCGTTGCGGTATTATGCATTCGTTTATCTTTAACGAGGTTTCCTGTTACATCATGTATATTTGATATAACGAGAGAATTCAGTGTTGATACGAGCCTGCAAATCAGAACATTTCGCTACAGCAAGTAATGTGTGCTGACTGTTGTGTCTGGTTTTCGGAAAGTGCATACCCATTCACGGTCAGATATTTACTGTCATGTCGCAGTTTGATGAACGTTGTGATGTGTTTATTGTGGACTAATCGACCTTTTTACGGCACAAGGTGCACAGTACTAGAGATATGATTTTCTTTCTCGAGACGACGAACGATATGTCAGGTGCGTAGGGTGTGTAGTTATAAGATGCCGTTCAAATACCCACCAACTTGTGATCCCTCGCATACTAGATGGCAAACTGAGTTACAAGTTCACCTTCCTCGGGGCCTCTAGTGTGAAATGACGACTCATCAATGAGTTCGATTTTAATGCCGGAAAATTTGTTGTTATTTGCAATCTTAACATAGGTCTTGAACGGAGGAAAATAGCACACTGAGATTAGATTTAGATTGTGCAAAATGCGAGCTGGCGGCGCAGCCGCCGAGCGAGCTTTTTGCACTACCACTGTATTGAGCAGCTTGAACAAGCGGATATATAGCATGCCGTTTCTTTGCCCAAGGGAAAGAATCGGGGACCCGGCAACTGCCGCTACTGGATCCAAGGTGAGCTGAGCTTCGCTCGCTCCCTCAGCTTTACACTCATTACAAACCCTTCATCCCAGGTTGCACAGTAGGCTTTGCCTACTTATTTATCCTCTTACTCTATAAGCCTTTAATCAGCCCCCGTGTGCCTGGTGAGGCTCCGCCTCTTCCCTAGCTTTCAATCCGGTGATTTTAACTAGCCATCAGAAGTTTTCACCGTTTCGCTTTTTCATTCACCCTCCCCCCACTCCCGGATCATGTGTATTATAGTGTATTATAGTGTATCATTTAGTGTACTGTGTACGTCGCCTACCGCTTCCCGCAATGTGATGGAGCTTGCAGATGCAAGCTCGGTGTTTGGGCTATCCCCTTGATTGCTTGCGAAGAAAGCAGAGGTCATTATCTCTCCAAGTAATGCCCTCTATCGTTTCCTCTATTCATCGGAAAGAATCGGGGAAGGACCTTTGTAGCTTGACCATGAACTTTTGCCAAGTCTCCAGATCGACAAGTTCGTGGTTGATACATGATGACCGGATCCGTCGTTGCGCCTTCCTCAATATAATGATAGCATCAGCGAGGCGGATTATATACGGGCCTTCTTATCAAAATCTGCGATATTCTATCCAGTGCCCAGCCCAAGCTACTAATACAAAGACTTCGTGTTCCGTACAAATACAGGATATAACATACAAAACCCCCATTTCATAAGTCTTCATAAAAGTCGCAATCTCATGAATCATCAGTACTAGTGGAATTGAAGATGATATAATCCCACCAGGCAGCGGCGAGCAATAACACGAACGCCTGTCCTTCAGGACTATACCCATCCACTGCCGTGGCTGTCGTGAACGTATACGGGTCGACGGTATCCTGTAACCACCCTTCGTCATCGATATTGCCTTTTATCAGCTCGAAAGCTTTGTCCGCCTTGGGAATGAGCGAGGTATCGTTATTATACGCAGCCATTCGATATGTCACTGCCGCGAGCAAGGCAGTCGAGGAAGAATCGGCAAAGGTCGACTCATCATCAATGACGTTCCGGAGTGTGCCGTTGTCCGTCTATATGCGATGGGATTATGGAATGGGTTTGATAAAGCATAATTGAAACGCACCTGGTATTCCCATGCCGTCGAGAGGATTTCGCCGATCCATGAGGTCAGGTTTGCGCTTTGTCCAGTAAACTGGTCTGATTGTACGGTATGGTTCATTGTCATTAGGACACGAAGCATCCCTGCAGCCGCCCAAGCATTACCTATGATACGGTTAGAAATAGATGTTGACGGCGAACAAGGGACTTGCCAGTAGCCCAATGTGTTGTATCGTTCCAGGAACCGAGAGCTACATGCCGCCATAACCCATTATTGTCCCTCAACACGTCACGGTATAGTGAAATCTGCTCGTAAGCTATCTGTATGAGCTGCACCTCACTGTCTCCCCCTGCGAGTGCACCATAATAGGCGATGAAGGGGGGTGCCATATATATAAAGTCGGACCTGTATAGTGAGTGTATCGTTAGCTAAGTTCCGCAACAAGCGGGGTTTGCGAACCATAGCTGAACCTGATCTGATCGATGAGAGATGGCACCGGAATCCGAGCGTGGGGCAGAGTTGAGGAGGTAGTCGAGTTCTTCGCTAGCTGCGGTAGAGAAGGACGTATCACTTTCATTGGTTCGTGTCCAGTTGGCAAGGAGAACTGCAACGCCAAGACCTAAAGAGGGTCAGCATATTTTCCGAGTGGGTTTTAATTTCCACCGGTTTGGAAAACAACTCGAGAATGTCTCCGTATAAGGTTGAATGAAAAGAGGTGATGCACAATATAACGACCATGGACCGAGTTATCTCCAAGACCAGTTGGAAACAACTTACTTGCGGGATCACCAACAGCCGTGTCTTCCACCAAAGTCATGCTTGTGTTCGACTTGGCCCGAACAACCCTGCGTTCAAAACTCAGAAAATGGCACCCATTGGAAACGAAAATTTCACGCACTGAGAAGCGATATCCAAGACCTCCGATACGTTGTATGTCGTATTCAACGTGTGCCCAGGCGGGAAAGCACTTGAATTGAAAACCGAAAACTCAGGATACGAGTATTCCAACAGTGCTTCCGTAGCCGTTCCCAGCTCCCAGCTAGCTTGGAAGCATGAGCAAAGAACAACACGCGTACGAGGTATCAAGCGGACCTTCTAGTAGATACCTGGACCATGTTATTGAGAACCAAGGAAAGTGTGTCATTATCGATGCCTCCAATGAAGGGGTCGTATTTTTGGTTCGTCACATTTGAGGAAAGGGCGAGGGCGGCAGCTACCAAACGGCAGTAAGGAGCCATGGGAGGGGGATAGTATGGATAGCCGCTGCGGAGTGAAAATGCGAGGCGTCATTTTTATACGTGATTGGTTTGATGATGGATGAGCTTGGGATGTCCATGTCAGGCCTGGTTCCGCCATCAAAATATTGCCCGTTCACTCGGAGCCACGAGATTCGGTGCTTTTTTCCTTTTTCCGTGGTTGATTTTTTGCTTGACAACTCGACATGAATTCGTTGTTGGAAAGGTGTATAGGATCCTGGAAGCGTAGCTGGTGGTATGTTTATTTTATGTCCCGAGTATCCGGTGCCTGCACGAATAGCCCGGCCCTGAAGTGTTCGGCAAATAAACCAAATTTGAAAAGCGGCTTCCAAGACTTTCCGCCCAAAAATATTTTTCATATGTTCACCGCTGCGGAGCCTCATATACTTTCATCGATGTGTGCCTCTTTCCGACGTGCGCATGATGACTAGTTCACATTCACTACACTTAAATGGCCCCTGCCACTTGCGGAGTGTACCTTGCGGTAGGTCTCTTGCGCCATATAAATCGGCCAGTGCTCACGACTATCGGATAACTCTAGGGGAAATATTTAATGCGGCAGAACAGCGTCCATCCATCGTGATCGCAGGATCAAAGAATGAAAGAGTTGATATCGGTCCATGCTCTAGAGTCTGCATGTGGTGCATTCCATGGTCAGATGCCGCTCAAGAAAGTTGGATATCTTAAGCCAGGGCTATCAAACTGAATCACGAATTTCAAGGAGGTTCCTGCAGCGCCAGTCGCGAAAGGAAGCGAAGATCTAAGTCGAGTCCAACAAATGGAAGCCCCAAGCATGTGATAGCGATAGTTGAGTTCTTGGATTTCAACATGGTAAGCGCTACATTGTGAGCTCCCAATGAACATGCCAAGAGCATGTCCTCTGCCAGATGAATCGAGACTCATAGTCAGAATCAGATGTCGACAATGTCACATTTGCAGTGGTGCCCTTGGATTGCCAATCCATCAACGTCGGTTTCTTGTAATCTGTAAACGGCAGTGAGTTCGAGTACCGCTGACATAGGGCAAGCTGGAGATTACTCAACAAGTCCCCAGAAGTTGTTAAGGGTGATTTCAACAATGGTCCATCAGCCATGGCGTCGACAAGTTAACAGACGGTCAGAAGACCGTAGAAACTTGCTTACGCATTTGACGAAAGGGAGCCCAGGATTTTAATATATCCTTATCATCAAACAGGTACGGTGGGGAGGACGCAAAACAAAGGTTATATTTCTAACCAAAGGGGAGTACAGATTCTTCTGATATCTTGGAACAAGTGGTAGTACATGACAACACGAAACCTCATCAAGCAACAGAAACAGGCAATCCCATGGCCTTTCGTCCCAAAGGATTCAAGATATCGTCAGCCTTTCCAAACCCTACCAACGCATTTTCGTCCTTTGTCTGGACAGGGAAATCAGGCGGTGCGACCGCCTTCAAGAAGTGTTCCTTTTGCCTCTCGATGTATGCTTGGTTCAATGGAGTCGTAGGAACCGCAGGAATGTACATAACTGGAGAAAGAGCATTCAGACACGTCAAACTGAAAGTTCATATTGGAGTAGCATACCAGCAGAGTCACAGTTTCCAATATGATCCTTCTCGACCGAATGAATGAGGTCGCAATGCCAGAATACGGTGTCACCGGGGCGAACTTTAGGCACCGAAGTCATAGTCTCCTCAAGGAGAAGGTTAGGGTGGAGCTCAGGCGTTGGCTGAGGCCCGTACCACCCTCCATTGCGAGGAACGATACCGGGAAAATCGGCACTGGAAACGTCTATGCAAACCGTTTGACAACTATAACCTTTCATGAGCAGGTGGACGCATACCAAATACCCAGCTCTTGGGATTCCAGATTTCTGGGGAATCTGGTGCAACCAACAAGCGAAAGAAGGGACGGAGGATCAGATAGGCATTAGACAGCAATACGTCAGGAAAAACTTTAAGAGTTCCTTCGGTGGGCGCAATTTCACTAGTGAACAGAGCTCCGTCAGGATGTTAAATGCCTAGAAGTAGACAAACCTCATGGCAATCCAGCCTTGAAAGGTTCGAAAGATGGAAGACTGTAAGGTCAGGTAAGCCAAAGATATCCCAGAAAATGTCTTCGTGGATAATCATACCTGTTCCGGCCTGTGGCATAGAGAGGTTTGCGCGTTTACACGGCCTGCAAGCAGGAACGGATCATGCTTGCGCCATTGCCCGCTGAGGATGTCAGCGAAACAAGACCTAAAGGTAGGATCTTCCCAACGTTCAAGAGTACCACCTTTATTTTTGTTCAAGACTCTTTGTGAGATGACGATAAAGGATTCAAGACGGCATACCATCGACGTGGGGCGGATGCGCAGTCCAACCCTTCCCAGGGTGTCTGATGCGGAACCGATCAGCGTAGCTGAGTGGCGAGGATAAATCTACGCCATCCAGCTTCTGCCCCGCCTCGGCATGGTACAATTTGTTCAACCAGACCGAAGCAGCGAGCATGTTGGGATGAGAGCGCGCCTCCACTTGAGATTTCGTCCAACTGTGAGAGAGTTAAAGTCAACTGCTTGCGGAGAGACAGGACGACACATACTAGAGGTCAAAAAACTGTTTATTTCCGTCGGGAAAACCTGGAAATTTGATCAGACTAGCCGCCGAATGAGCGTTGTAAAGAAACGAACCGTCCGCATCGGGATTGGTAGATACAAAATCTTCGAGCAACTTCCTCCAAGCAGTTGCTTGCGCGTCATCAACAACGTCCTTGATCACAACGCACCCCTTGCGTCGGATTTCATCAATCTTATCCGCTGGAAGGTTCTCAAGTTCAGAGAACTGGACTTGGGGAATGTACTAGCACCTCTGAGACAGGGCGTTACGTTAGCAATAGAAGGAACCTACTTCAGGACCCCCAGCGCTAATTGTCTGTGTTGCCTTCTTCAGTTCAACAAGGATGTCGGCCCATCCCTGTGTAACGCGTTCTTCAAAGTCAGGATACGAAGAAGCGATTTCTTTCTTGATATTAATGAGATGAGCTGAGGATGAGTTTGACATGGTGGCAGAGATGAGATAAAGAATCCGTCGCTCCTCGACCCTTTATATAGCCCATGGACCTGTGAACACTGAGCGGATGCATTTATCCGAGGTTTCGCCGGACCGCGAAACGAAAGGCAAGAGCGAGAGTTCGGTCACGAGAAGATACTCTCTGTACCAATGGCGGTCCATAGAACGTAATCGAGACGTGTTGGCATCACCATGGGACGTGTGGCATGACCACTGCAAAAAACTAAGCTCCAAATTCGAGCACGGGTTTTCCACTGCAGCACACGATAAGGAGCACACGCAGCTGATCACAGGATGATACGACACAATAAGGTTTATGGCTCTCGTTAAGGTGACAGCTTGCCGCGGCCAGAGTGTGCAATTAGAGCATGTTGTGGACATGGAGCTTAGTTTTTAAAGGACGAGTATGGCGCGACGGTAGTGAAGAAGGAAAAGTCCAATTGGGTAGATAACAGACACAGTGATAACTTGCTATATCTTCTGAATAACTAGTGCATATATGCACCAGGTTGGAGTTGGCGCTAGCCGTGGATCGCAACATTGGGAGGACAGACATCAGACATCGGAAGCGCGGAACCTGTAAGTCAAAACATGTAGATCAGAGAGAAACAAGGGGGTGTCTGGCAGCAGCCGAGAGTTCCAGAGAATGAACCAAACCAGGATGCATGAAGAAAGAAAGCAAGTGGTAGTGACTACCAAAAACGCGCTAGTCACTGATTGTCACGGTACAGACGTTCCGAAAAACGTTGTCCACACTGCCAAACAAGGCAGGTAAAATCAAAAAATTAGATAAATACAAGAAAATCGTAGAAATAGCAAGCAGACTTCATTTGTGCGTGTCATTCAGTAGAAATATGCGAATTTAATGATCCATGGGTGCTGCAGTGTATCGTAAAGATAATACTTGAAATAAGAGCACCTGGCTGATGAAGGACTGTTGAGTGCCGCCAGATTTACATGTTCAGGCTGTCTCGCACCGAACAGCCGGTCACACCTTCGTTCTTGCCATCATTGTCGTTCAAGAGACAAGAAAAGACAAGACAGCTTTGAAGAACGATTCTGCATTCAGTCAAGCAGGCGGCCGCTGTGATTTTGCCAGTTTCGACGTCGACAGCTCTCGGCCTCCTGCTACATAACACCATAACCCGCTCGCACCATTTCACTGCGACCAAGACACCTGCAACCGGATATCCTGGCTTTATTTCGTCGGTATTCACGGTTAGGAATGGGCTAGTGGGGGTTCGGGCGTTGTAGACTGGGAAACTTTGGAGAGGGCGCAGTGGCTGGTATGCTAAGCATACATCTTCGAGGGAAGTTATCCGCTCTCATTTCAAAATGACTTATTGCTGTTTACAAGGGAGAAAACATCTCTACAGTCTCCCACACTACCCTAATTATGCTCCGCCGCTGCCTCTCATTACCGCTAGCACAGACCCCGCTCATGACGTCCTACCACTGACTTATTGGCCTCATACCTGTTACGTTACCTCTATACACCTCGTACATCCTCGACGAATCTATTTATGATGCATTACGCTCACGAATGAAGGCACCATACTGTTTTCATGATTTTCTTGCATTTTTTTATTTTTTTAATTTTACTTGCCTTGTTTGGCAACCGCGGACAAAGTTCTTCGGAACATCTGTACTTGTACCTACTCTCTTCGTTTTATGAATGTTTTTTATGGTATTCGTATTGGTATATCTTACAGGACTCATGATACGATATTTGCATAGAATAGACTGCGATTGGTACGATAAAGTACGCCTGGACCCGAACTATCGGTGTGGCATCTCGTTTCGCGGTCCGGAGAATCTTCGGAGAAATGCAAAGACTGTTTCGTGAAGACTCAAGCATGGAACCAGGGACGGCCGCTGACATGAATTAGTCCCCTAGAACCTTATGATGGTTAAAATTGGTATCGAGAGTTCCCAGGGGCTGAGGGACCCACACAATAGATCTTGGACTTATGTAATACATGACTACCACCACAACAAACGAAGCCAGCCGTCCAGCACTTCGGGACTCTTCGCCCCCAAGGCTGCCCACCCCATGTGAAGATCCTACCAACTTGAATTCTGCCAACATCAAGGGGACGGACGAAGGGTTTGACGAGGGTACAGCCAGCGAGAAAGAGGGCGAGGACAGCGAGGATGAGTGGTCCGAGACCCTCACTTTCGAGTACATGGTGGCGCACGAACCTTTTACCGCCCTCCCTGTCAAATACCTGCTTTTCACCGGGTGGGCCCTTGCTCCTCCACAGTTTGCCCTTGGCATCGGCGTCGATGACATGCATGAAGGCTACGACTTGGCTCACCGTCTCGCGCCAAATGAACCTGTCAAGGACTCTAGCATGCTCCTCGCCGTACTCATCCATCGGCTCAGGGACCGTACGAACCTGATGGTTCGAGCGACGCCAGTTCGTTCAAAGGAGGTTGGATTCGTCTTCTATATCACGACGTCCTGGGATGACGACTTCACCGAGACACCAGCCCAGCGCGATACCATGAACGCAATGCTCCGCGAGATCAACTGGAGGGAAGACATTAAATGGTACATCGTGGGGACCTGTGCGGATAAGTGGCGCGAAGACTACAATAGACCCGTATTGGATCGCGATGCATAGTTTCTTTACCAAGTGTTTTCGCCGTCTGTAAGCGTCTGTATGCTGCTGAATGAAGCACACGATAATCTAATTCATTTCAGGAAATGCCGGATTCTCCGTGGCATTTTTTACAATGCCGCTACTTTACCCACTACCGCCATCAATTTCTTATTTTTCTTTCGCCTTCCACTAGCTCATATGCTCGCAATATGTAGTTGATCATTGGAAGGTTGCATATTGGGCTGGCGCAACATTTTTTGACATCTGGATCACATTTTGCTGTCACGCTTCCCAGATTTTGTGTTAATGCGCGCTGTAGGATGCTCTTTGCCCTTTAGCTCCGGTTGCATTATGGGCAGACAGTCCTGCAACGGAGGACTACTTTAATCACATCTGTATCATGTCCCTTCGAAGCCATTTAACTTCGTGAGATGTGTTTGGTCCGGAAAATCAACGATATTCACAGTGGTATGGGTTATTCGGCTTATTGTAGTGACCACCGTCTCTCGCCTCGTTTTGGCGGCGAGGAAGATACGATTCGTTTCTTTCTTTTTCCCGTTCGTTCATGGGGGGCTTTTAATTGCCTGTAGGAACATGTACTGTCAGTGATAGAAATAATGAGGCAAAATCTTCATTGAGCGAGGATGTATGTACATAAAATACGCTTATCCGACTTGATGCCATATACCTAATTATCTTCAGAGTAAAACACATTTCAAACATATAGACTCAAGAATCAAGAGGCACAAAAAATTGAATCACTGCGTGATGGGAAAGGGGTTCATAGCACGTGATCGCGTTGATGACCACAATGCCAACAGGCTCCAATCCCCACCTTCAAGGCCTTGACCTCTCGCCACCATGAACCGTCCTCAACAAACCGTATTTTCGCGCCTGAAGAATCTTAACACGCTTGCTATCAACACTTTCGGTTCTTTCTTCTCCACTGCTGCTAATGACAATGAGGACGACGAAACGATCTTAAGCGACGAAATCTGGGATCCTGCTTCTGACTTTCAAGCGCGCGCATATACGCCTACTACTCTGACGCCTGCTCGCGAATGCCTGCTAAAACTCTCTCGATCTTGCTCTATAAGTACCCGCGACTATGATGATATCCCGCTTGAAGACCTCTCACGAACTACTTTCTCTGACGACACGCCACCTCTGACGCCTGCAGCTGAACATGAACATTCTCTTGAAATTCGCTTGGGAAAGCAACCCGTTCGAGAAATGGTATGTCTTGCGCTTCGTATATGCGCGCGCCCTGCTTACCTGCACTTAGTGGGAAGATGAAGACGAATGGTATGGCTTGGAATACACCCTAGAGATGAGTAGGCGTGCTTCGAGTGGGTCAGCTGGGGAAAATTCTCGGGTATGTGAACGCATATACACCTCTTTGCAGCACATATTCATCCTTGGCGTAGAGTCGTGAATCGTGGGCAGCTCTCCAAGATGATTCGGACGAAGTGGCATACAAAGAATGGCAGCAGTGGCGCACGTACCTCGATTACCGCCGGGCAATTGAGTACGATGGATATTCGATGAATATGGCGTTGTGGTACGTTGAGGAGAGGGCGCTGTGGAACGTGTATCACTGGGAGCTGGTGAGTTTGGCCAATATTGATCCGGAACATGCTTTGAGCAAGAGAATAGGACGAACACGGCTATGTCAGTGAGGAAGTGAAGGAGCGCCTGGTACAATGCCCTCCGGATCCGTATTATCCTAGGCGCCAGAAGAACCTTGGGTGGTACTTGAAGAAGTCGAGGTCGATTGGATGCTTGAGGGAGCTGGAACCTGTGGTTTTGTAAACTGTTGGTCTTGTAAAAAAAACTGCATTGCAACATAGAATACGACATAGAATTGCCTGCTAACTATTAGAAAAGTCGATAAAACGAGGAAAATACACACCTAAATCCGCCTCATCTTCTTTGCTCTTGTTCCTCCAATTTTTATCGGAGTCCGATCCGTCATATACAAGATTCTTCTCCTCACTGACTCGCCTTCAGTGCTCGCCAGCGTCTGCACCAGCGTGTTCCTCCCCAGTCCAAAGCCTTTCAAAAACAGGTGCACATAAAACTCCGTACCCTCCGTCACCGCCAGAATCTTCTCAAATATCTTGACAGACGCAGCGTACGCGCCCTCGGGTGACCCTCTCCTGGTGTTTTTGAATCCACATGAGCCTGCAGAGGCCCATGCCTTGACGCAACCGTCTGGGGTAGTGAAAGTGAGGAGGGTGTTGTTGGGGGTGGCCTGGCAGTGCAGACGGTAGACGGGCCAGTTTCGGCGGTCTACGGGGTCGAGAGGTGTTGCTGGTTTTTCTTGATGAGAAGGGGCGGAGGGTGGTAGACTGGTGTCGATGGCGGAGGGGGCGGGAGGTACAGATTTGGAAACGGCGGTGGAGGCGGTAAGGTCGGCATTGAGCTCGCCGATGACAGAGTCGATAGTGTGCGCCCCGCCGCCACCGACGACGGAGCGGGTCTGTAGTGCTGCTCGGGGTAGTAGACGGCGAAGAGCAAACATGAAAATTCCCGATTAGGTAACTCACTCTTCTCCTCTTTAACCCTTCCACCATGTCGGTATGTCCTGGCTTTGTCTCTCGCGACGATTTGTTCCACTAACCCCGCCTTGGGATAGTTCTCGACTACGCTGTACAACACCTTCTTCAAGCGGAACAGTACGTCTCTATCACCTTTGGCCGCCCTTCGACACTGACCTCGTTAGGCGTGTACGTTGCTACCGTATTTGCTGGCGCATTTGGATTCGGTATTGGGTTCGACGTTGCCTTGAACTCTTTCTATGACCGCTGGAACAAGGGGGTGTGTGCTTCGCTCTTTCTGTTCTCCTTTACATGGGCTCAACCCCCGATGTAGAAACAATGGAAAGATATTCGTCATAAATACGTTGAAGCTGCTGAAGAGTAGATTATTCTCCCTTGTGCCTCGAATTTAAAACCAACGACAGTGTTATTTTGACTGGGACTACTTGAACGTCAGAAAATTGGAATCCCTTGACGAATGAGGCGCTGTTTATTGGTGGGAGCGGGAGAAACCGGGTTGCTTCTTGTCCGTGTCGCGTAAGCGTTATCTATATTTCACGTTTCTCTTCACGGCCATCACGTCCTTCTGGATCATCTCGCGTCATTTGACACCTTCCTCACCACACTTGTCCGTGAACTCAAGCTCATTCGTTCACATATTTTTTTTCCAGCGTCGAATTACAATAAGAATAGTACATAAATTTACTCCATCTGGAAGAACCTGATGCTACACCTTCTTCATCTTCTCTACCTAACCGACCCAACGACTGGCCCATTTCCAACGTCTGTCCTGTTTGACCGCATAGATCGGCCTATCATATCACTTGGTAGCAGACTGAGAAGCAGCAAAATCACTGTTCTCTCCGGTCCGCCGAACCTTCGGCGCGCGTTCCTCATTCGAACCCTCGTCTTTATCAACCTCGTCAATAGACTTCTTAGTTGCAGTATCCCTTGGAGGGACGTATTCACCAGAATCGTCGACATCGTTTTCAGGAGGGTCATAGTCGGCATAGTTCTCTTCTTTAAGACCATCGAGAGCCCATTCGACCTCAGCATCCTCAATGCCTTCATGTGCGGGCTGGTCTTCCAGTTGAAAGGGTTGAATGTCCGTGATAGCTCCCATAGCTGCCTTCTCCAGGATTCGTTCAAAATATTGTTCTTTGAACGGATCGGCAAAGTGTTCGTATTTGGGAAAGTGTTCCTGAGCCTCCGCAGATCTGTACGCGGCGCAGAGGAGTTTGCGAAAGAACCCGAGTGCTGCTGTTACAGCCTGAAATTTGTCGGGAAGACATGAAGTCAGAGCAATATATTGTTTTGGATGATTGAGAAAGCTAAAGCGTGCATTAGACCCCTCGGCGTAATGTGAGAATAGGGCATTAAAGTGTTCCCTCTGTAGCTGCTGGGTGTCTTGATCCCTTTCTATTGCCGGAGGCTCCGTGGTAAATAAGGAGTGAACGCCGATCCACCAAAGCGATTCCGTGTCATGATAGAAATTATGAAGGAAGGGTGTAGGAAGTAACCCCAGCGCCGCGACAACTTGTTGGGCCGCGAAGAACGAGTCCATTCCCGAGGCCACGGCGGCGACGTCGTCCTCTTCCGTTGTTTCGAAGAGATACTGTTTACATTGAACCTCCGCCGCCATGAAAATGGGCGTTCCCTGCAGTAAGAAAGTCAGATACAAAAACAGATGTGATATTAAGGCAGGCGTACTGTTTTGGGATCGCTCTTTGGATCCTCAGTCAAAAACAGCTTGGCATATTCCAGGTCCGATATCTTTCCTCTCTTCCCTGAACAAAGTAAAATATTCCCTGACGATATGTCTCTGTGCACGTAGGAAGCGATGTATAGATATCTCAACCCTGAAATAATCGTTTTAGCCGATTACAATAATAATTAGAAAAGGATTCTGACCTTTAGAGGCATGAAGGAGTCCAGTGAATAGCAGTTGCTGATCCTGGACCTTGTCAAGGGGAGTACCAACTTCGGAGAACAGAACTCGAACATGTTTACATCCAGTATACTCCCGCTGTGGATGATGTTGTTGAATTCGACCAGATAAATGGCCTCCTACGGGATCAGCAGTATTTAAGAGAATCGATGTCGACCGTTTCGATGCCGCAGAAGACCTCAGCCGACGTTTTACATCATACATACGGTATGCGTCCGATAGAGGTGGTATGACATCTTCCGTTTTGTCGGTGCGAGTCACCACCTCGCATGCCTTGATTTCCATGAAGTACTGCTTATAGAGGGAGGGATCCTTCTTCGCCTCAGGATCATTGGCTTCGATCCGCTCGAAGATATCCTTCTGAATCTCGCTCTCCATCCGCGAGGCGAGGGGTATCCAACAGTCCTTGAGCGCACATTCCTGATTCTTCCGATCCCCGAGTTTTCGAACGGTCCACACTCTAGTCGCACGAGATGAAATATAAGATGCTCGAAAAGAGCTCAGGCATTCAACTGTCCGGTACGTCTCCCCGTCGATGAGATAGTCATACTGAATCCGATAACGAGCTGGACTGGCTTTGAGCGGGACTGCTACTCTCGTAATTGAAGAATCGTAGCCTAGGTCTTCTGTGCTTCCAAACGACATCGATACAACGTAGTGTATCAAGTGACGGTACTCCTAGGGTAATGTCAATACCCGTGCACGAACACAAGTATATCCACGTACCAAAATTAAATCAAAGGGCTCCGATACGAGCACAATAGCTCTTGAGAAGAACCAAAGCCGGGTCGTAGTATTCGCGATCGTCATTCCAAACATGAATCGTCGGCAGGGATCAGCATACATCATCTGGGCCGCATTCCCAAGAATTTTCTTGTTATTCTGCACATCGTACGTAGTCGTCAGCTTCAGCCAACCATTGAACAGTAACACATCGCCTACATCGTTTTCGTCTTCCCAAGTGTCCTTGAGCTTGTATTCCTCAATTGCAACACGGTCGCATGCCAATGCAGCCTGTGATGCGGGGCAAATCAGAAATTGAAACACATAGGAATAAAATAATGTTCACCTTGCGTTCATATGGGCACGGTTTTCCGTACCGGGTAGACGACTCGTCACTTACAACGCGGGCACCCTTGGACTCACACAACGCGTAGTGTCCGTCAGATATAAACTGCCCGTTACGACCTTCAGAAAGGGCGGCTTGCGTTGGCCGGGTCTGCATTACCGCAGTCGGATCGCGGTGCAGCAAACTCTTTGCCTCTTTGACAATAGCCGCAGCGATGGTTTCGAGACGTTTAAAACACGTATTCTCGTTCGTTTCCATGCAAGGATCGGTAGGGAACACAGTCCATCGTCCGCTCGGTTGAAGATGTCCGTTGGCTTGTAAACGAGTGGTAATGTCATCGATTTGTGTGGGGCTGATGACCTTGGGAAGGACGGTGCGCTGAAACGCGTCAAGAGATATAAACGGTACATTTCGGACCTCATCCAGGATAGAACCATCCATTGTAGATTCGGCGTGGGTATTATTATCGGTGATGCGAGCGTGACGGGGCACGTCCTTGATTGCAGGGGGAACACACTAATTGGTAGAGAGCTAACCGACATAGTGGACGACACTGTTAGAGAGAACAAATCGAAGACTTCTATTTCGTACCGGCGAATGAAAACACGTGACCACTACAGGCAATCAAGCTGCTTTCTTCTGATTTTGAGCGAAATGCAAGGAACAAGGTAAAATAGGCGTCAGAGAGCGGTTTCGTGAGTTGAGGGACGATCAACGATCGCCGCCAAATTATGCCACACAACGACGGTAACCGAGTCGGAGGTATCAGTTAGCAACTCCTAAGTTATTTCCCCATACTCGATTCATTCCTCCAATTCTCGTAACAAAGCATGCCCCTGCAGTAAGGCCCAAAGATCGTTGGCGTGGAGTCTGAACCAGATTAATCACGATCACTGCTCTTTAACCCAATCTGACTCGTTCGAATTCGTTGTGAACCACTACCCCTTTTATGCTCGAGAAATCTGAGAACAGGGCCTTACTCGATTCTTCTCCTTTACGCCTCAACAGCGCTACCTTTCAGTAACGCCAGAAGACCTTTCTTCCGTATACAACCTGGCGCCAACATGCGACCACCCACACCGATCCCTTCCCACAGGCCCCACGACGACAAGGAAATAACCAGTTATCATTATCGGCAAGGGGCTCTCAGAGACGGTATGGCTCGAGCCATGCTGCGCCTCGAACGACAACCCAACAAGGGTCCCTATCTCGTCGCTACCGGCGTACCACCCCAAGTCTCCGACGAATGGTCCAGCGATGACTCGTGCGTTTGATTCCCGTGTCTGTGACATTTGCTGAATAGCCTGTACGTAGCGCCTACCATCTGCTCTACGACCACGACTCCCACTCAGTCTTCACATTCCAAGATCCTTCCCCGCAGCACGACGCAGCCGTCGAGCAATTCAAGGCTGCCTTCCAGAAAGGCTTCATAGACCTGTACAACAGCAAATCCTCCACCCTGATCATCTGGACCGGAGATCACCTCTACATGTCTGGCTCAGTCTGAAAGAGCCCGATGCGAAAATCCGCATAATCAACCCGCCTCTTCGGAAACCCCGCCTGGTTCCCTGCCTCGTCTTCGAATGCGCGTACATGAACGAAGACGAGGCTACCTTGGTTTCCGAGGTCCTTGGATGGGCCGATCGCCAGTTTTCTGTGGGTTTGAAGATTCGGAACGTGGCGGGTTGGCCGATGACTAGACTCGTGGGTTCTTTTATGGTCCTTCGGTGGCGTGTATTGACTGTACTCACCGGCAGCTCGACTGACATTCTATACTGCTGATAAATGTGGGAGGGTCGTTACGCGATACACTCTTCCTCATGATGCTGTGGATCCTCGCTCCGCCGCTGTGAACCCTTCTACAGTGAGTCTGGACGACATGGAACGAGTGTTCAAAACCGACGATACGCCGCTGGACAGTTTTGAGAATGTACCAGACCCGGTGGGCAAACTCGAAAAGTGCTACAAAATGCTTGGGCTGTCTTCGAAGCTGTCAAAGGATATCAGTATTTTTGAACGATTCAGGGCGCAGCGGGAAGAAGGTCAAGAGTGCGAAAGCGATGATGAAGGAGAAGATGATGGTACGTCTCGACCACCACTCTTGGAGCCTGAAGAAGTGAGGGATGGGGTGCTATATTCCGATATTGATATCAGCGTTGTATGGCGATAACCCTCCGCCGTCGCCTCTTGCTCCCGATGATCAACTCCTCGTAGACGTATTTTTGATTCGAACGCATGTATCCTATGCTATCGAAGATTCGGTGCTGTATACAGAGCAGCTTAGAGAGAGCGTTGAGGCGATGGGGAAGGGAAGGGTTTAGGGCGAGTTTTGGGCATTGCTTTGTATGAAGAATTGTACCATTACACTTGGTCTTGAACGGATAGCTTCCCAGCCGCGTGAAGAGAATCAAGAGACAATAGTGCCCTATCGCACAAAGTCAGCAGAGTTTCAAGTCACCAATGCACGATAGACACCCTCAGGGAACAAGAGCCAAGAACTTGAAGTGATGCCAAAGTCAGCGGGCATGATTTTGGAGCGTTTCATCGAACGACGTGGGACAGAGGGAGACTTGTGGACAATTCGAAAGGTTCTATTCTATTCCTTTAACACAAAGTGAGGATGGGTTGCAAAAGCCTTGTAAGCCTCCCGATCTAACGAGTTTGAGGCTACTCGTTTATCGGTCTCTATAGTCTCTATGAGTGCCTCTGATAAGGAGTGAGCGATAAGAAGGTGTGAAGAAGAGTAAATAAAGCGCACCCATGGTGGTAAAATCCAACTCGGGGCGTATATATCCGAGGACGACGGCTCTGAGTTCCATGCCGTAAAAGTCGGCGGTGTACTCGTGCATGACGTGGATCTCCTGCTGGACGGTGAAGGCGACGCAATGGGACAGAATGTAGACGTACAGCAGTAAGACGCTCATTCTTGTAGAAAGGGTTCCAGCCGAGACTCATGACCATTGGCCAGACCTCGTTAGAAGGTGCTTCTGGGACTTGGGCGTAGCCATAGTACACCCCAGGCTGGGCCACTGAGCTGATCGCTTCTATCGCTTCATCAGGGAGGTTTGCTGCGAAGTATCAGCGTCAGAGCTAGGAAAGAGCAAGTGATATTACCAGTAGGACAGTGCAAGTCCTTGCCTCCTCGTCCAAACCCATGCTGTACCGAGCCACTAAGCAGGATAGGAAAGGGGGGTTGTGGTTCGTCAGGACCTACGATGAGGGGACGACTATCGCGAAAGCTGTCTGTCTGTAAGAGGGCAGTAGGACGGGCAGTCATCAAAGTCAGTCAGAGTCTATTTTGGGACTTTACTCTTGACCACGATGATCCCAGCGCCGGTGCCTGTAAATCCATACTCCGTCTACCAGTCTGCCTACACCGCCGCCTATTATCCTTACACAGCCCCTCCCCAGCAACAACAACCAGAGCCGTCCCCGCCGTCACCAGTCCCGCCCGCTGTATCCCCCGCCGCCGCCTCAGAAGCAACCCAGCGCCTCGTCTCCGCTGAACTCAAACGCGCCGGATTCGATGCAGCAGAGCCCGCCGCCGTCATCCGTCTCGAGCATGAGGTCGTCGCCATCGTCGAGGCCCTCTACCACCGCGCTCACGAGTACGCAAACCTCGCAAACCGTGCAGGGGCCGTCGCTACTGACTTGATGCTCGCCTGCAAGGACTACGAGTTGGATATGAAAGGTCTCCGTGCGCAGACTCGGAAGAGAAACGCGCCGCCGCTTCCCACACTGATCCCTCCACCCTCGCGCTCTCCCTCCCCAGAACTCCTCTCATCCGACGACGAGGACCCCGCGTCGTCCGTCCCATTCACCCTGCGCAACCTCCCGACTTCGTTCCCAGACCTACCCCCGAAACATACGTACCACCAGACTCCCGTGTCCCCGCCGAAAAGGGCAGCGTTGCCTTCGCTCGAGAAGAAGCTCAAGACAGCAGGGCTTGTCCAAGAGTCCCTGCGTAACCTCATGCTTGCTACCGAGGATGCCTCGGGCCAGGGTCAGGAGGACGCGCAGCTACTAGGGCATATCGTAAATTGGCAGAGTAGTGCCCATCCGAGAAAGAGGTGGAGAGTGGGGTCCTGATGCGGCGTGTGCCATCTGTATACCATCCTGGTAATAATGCTACATACGGGAACCTACCTACGAGCACTGAGGGTATAGCCGGTTCAATCTTAACAAAGTCATTTATGAGAGTGTCACAGTCGTTTCACTATGGCTTGGGCCCTACTCAAAGTCTTGAAGCTTGAATGTTGATTAAGAGTCCTGAAAACTGTTATAATAAATCATCATACTCCAGTGTTGTGTTCAGCGTTCCAAACTTCAAACTTCACACTCCATCTATACAAGTTCATTATTGTCCACTGAACATTTTGATTTCCCGCATCTCCGTCGCGATGTCATCCGATGATTTATGTTTTACAAAAGATTGCAACGAAAAGATTGAAGGCACTACCAGGGTTCGAACCTGGGTTATGGGAACAAGATTACATAATCAAAATCCCATGTGCTGCCACTACACCATAGCGCCGATAGCCGAATTCTGAAATTTTACATCTAAAATAAGGAATGTCCTTGACATGTCCATTGAAGACAATATTCAAAGTATAATTCCTACTTTTCCTTGTCTTTGCCTCTCGCACTTCTTCTCAAACCCTTCGCAGCAGTCGCAGGAACATCTGCTTCCTCATTCTGAGCCTTCTTCGACCTTCCCCTCGGCTTGGGCTTGGGCGCAGTCTCGGTATCTACATCCATCGGATCGTCGTTCAAGTTAGCATCCTTCTTCCGTCTCCCTTTTGGTTTCGATTGTTGTTGAGGAACCACAGGATCAACGTCCATAGCATCAGACTCTACGGCAACGGGTTGAGGTGTTGACGGCCCAGCTTCAGCTGGTATAGGCGGTTGAGGGACCGGGCTTGGCCATGCACGCGGAGCTGGATTCGGAACGGCCTGGTTTCCCCTCGTACGCGGGTTCAGTGCCCACGTAGTCAACACAGGCCCAGCTGAAGGAGGCGCGGCAGAAACTGGTGCACTGAGCGCATATGTAGGAGGCTGCTTCCAGACGGGATTTTCCTTTTCCTTTTCTTTTTCTTTGGCTTTGGCTTTCTTTTGTGCTTCTGGAGGAGGCGTCGGCTTGATCTTGTTATGCCTCAACCGGCAATTGACATCAGTCCTCCCCCCACCCATCTCGCTCGCGACGGCCTTCCATCGCACAAGGGTCCCAAACTGGTCAACGAGCTCGACGAGCCGACGATCATCGTCCTCCGTCCAGACACTGGCCACCTTTTGTCGCTCGATCCACCGGTCCCGGCATTGGTCATTCGTCCGCCCCGGCATCGCACTCGCCACATCCACCCAGCTCTGTCCGTACCCCGCCACTGCCAAATCCAGCCGTGCGTCCTCTGCCTCCGTCCATGGGCTGCGATTGAGATGTAGTCGGACGTATCGCGCTTCGCATTGTACGGCGTTGAGGTCGTTGGCGACGTATCGGGCAACTAACGAGAATTAGTAGGCGAAGTACCAGACAAAGCAGGCATACCTAGACTCCAGTTCGCCACACCGTACTTTCCGACGGCTTCCTCGAGTCGGTCATCGACACGTTTCTTCCACGCATATTTGGGCCGTTGCCGAAGCTGGATGGCTTTGCGCATACAGTCAAGAGGGATACGGTTTGTCTGGACACCAGGTTAGCTTGGACAGAGGAGTGAAATAGTGCTTACACCAAGGTCCTTTGCAACTTGCACCCAGTCCACCTTTGTCTCTTGAGCGACTACCTTCAAATGCTCAATCTCTTGGTCTGTCCACTCGCCATGATTGATCCTAGGGTGCTTGTCTGCCATCCATTTGAACTCTACCTCGTCTGCGGTCCATTTCGCCGTAGACGCGTCGGATACCTGAAGGTTAATTAGGATACGTATAATACCAGAATGAATGTAAATCTACTTTTTCAGCGATAATGGCCCAGTTGATACCTTCTGTGTTGTGAGTTATGTCGATATCCGATGACCCACTAGAAACGTCAGAGAGAACGGGAAATTTTCTAGGGAAGAACGTACCGTTCCCTCGTTTGCAGTGCTTTCAGCCGTGTATTCTCGTTCTTGACGCCCTTATCTAGTGCCGCGAGTTCTTTGGCCTTCACTATCGTTGTTGTGTTAGGGAACGAAAGGGCCATGGGAAAGGAACATACTAGGCCGTAGAGTCGTCCAAGCTAGATACTGCATTCTCTGCTTCGACTCCTCATAGAATGGTGATGACTCGAAACATACATGAGACACAACACCATATCGTGGAGGAATACTCACTGGATTGACTAGCTCACTCGACGCTACCGGCCCCATAGGTTTATTCGCGCCTACGACCTGTACTTGGACCCCGAGGACCTCGTCCCCATCTTCTTTGTCGCGCTCCGCCGCTTTCTACATCGGTAAGCGAAAAAGCCAACAAAACACAGTAGATTCCAAAACGCACGAGGAGTTTGTCGAGCTCGTCGAGCTCTGCAGAGAGGGCGTCAGCGTATTGGGTGAGGGCATATTGATGCGCTTTGGCGGTGTCGATGGCGGGTGTGAGGAGGTCGTGGATGAGCGAGGTGGTCATTGGTGAAGAAGGAAGCTGCGGCCCGGGAACTTAGTTCCTAGTTCTTGATTTCAAATTCTTCTCTCCAACTAGACCTGTAACCGGTCGTCTTCTATATATGGGAGCAAGCTCACGATATATTTATAAGACGACCTGTACAACTGAGTTTAAATTTGGCGGGTTCATTTTTGCTGACCACGCACCTTCCTAAATAGATATAGCATCCAAAACGGGAATGCGCTGAAAGCGCCGTGCCGCGTCAATGTCGTGTTGCATTCCTCCTTTTTTTACACAGCGTAAGAGATATGCGTCTCTCAAACAATGTCAACAAGCACTGTTGATGCCATTTGATTCTAGTCATACTCAACAGACCCGAAGTCGGCCCCAAAATATACTCAATAATATTTCCTCAGTCATACGGCTAGGTGGAAGGCGGCCTTTGATGACATCCTTCTGTACTTCTGGTCATCTCTTCAGGGCCGCCAAGCTGATTTAAGGGTGTACTGATCTGGATAGAACTTCGTCAAGCGAATTGTAGTAATGAATGAGGATAATGGCACAATCATTGAAAAAATTCAGAATGAGAGACATCCCACAGCGCGTCGAAGTCGCATCGCTACCTGTATCTGCAAGAGGTAACCGCGCTTTCAGCGCATTCCCGTTTTGGATGCTATATCTATTTAGGAAGGTGCGTGGTCAGCAAAAATGAACCCGCCAAATTTAAACTCAGTTGTACAGGTCGTCTTATAAATATATCGTGAGCTTGCTCCCATATATAGAAGACGACCGGTTACAGGTCTACTCTCCAACTACTGCCATGTCCTCGTCATCAGACTCCTCAGACAAGTCCCCATCTAAGAGAAAGTAATCGTACATCCGACGCTTCTCAGAGTCTGAAGCTGCACTCTTCATTCTCCCAATCTCATGCTCCTCTTAAGCAGCTTGGACTGGTGGCATATTTCTTAGATCTCGCTATGTGCGTCCCCTGGGACTCCTGATACCAGGATTCAACACCACGCAGTTCTAGGGGACAAATTACGTTTGTATCTGATGTGCTCTCGAGCCTTCAAGCTCCAAGGCTTCAAGGCTTCACGAAATGGCTCTTTTATTTTTCCGACGATTTATCGGACACACGAAACGAGGTCCGACTCTCGAGACCTATAGTTCGGTTACGATCATGCTTTATCGTACCAATCGCAATCTCGTCGATGTAAAAATTATACCATGACACCTGTGCCACATGCCAACACAAACAAAAAACGAACAGAGGTTAAATGTGACAATCAGTGACTTTTGCGTTTGGGCAAGCACTTCCACTTTCTTTCTTCATGAATCTAAATTTTATTCCTTCTCTGGAACCCTCGGCTGCTGCCAGAACACGCGCTTGTTTCTATTCTTGTATCTGAATCGCAACGTTTTGATTTACGCGCATGTGATTGGTTAGGATTGGTATTAGGAGGAAGTCAGTGAAATATTTGTATCCAATAATAGTGGGGGTCAGAGTTGGCGATTATCTCCTGTAATCTCTAATTCTGACTCCCATTAATCCCGGTGCTTATGGTACGCTTCTGTTTAGCACTTGCGCGGTCTCTCATCCGAATCTCCAGAAATTCCCATCGGGAGTGAGCATTTTTTCAGCCTCTAGTATTCATCGGCCCGTCTCTTCCAAGGTATTCAACTTGATCTCTCCCTCAGCTAGATGAAATCTCAACTGGAGGCGCGTGCTCATCCCAACATCCTTGCTGCTTCGACTTGGAACAAATTGTATCATGCCGAGCAGGGCAGACGCTAGATGGTGTCTCCATATCAGATGCTTCAGGACCGGCTGAACTGCGCACCCACCTCGCGTCGATGGTACGTCGTCTTGAGTCCTTTATCGCCATCTCATACCGGGCGCTAAACAAAATAAAGGTGATATTCTTGAACGCTAGGAAGATCCAACGTTCAGATCCTGTTTTTCCGACACTCTCAGCAGGTAATGACGAAAACACCATCCGTTCCTGCTTGTAGGCCATATAGGCGCACAGATTTCTTTATGCAAAAAGCCAGAACAGGCATGTTTATCCGTGAAGACATCTTCTGGGATATTCTCGGCTTACATGATCTCACAGTCCTCTATTTTCCGAACTTTCCAAGGCTGGTTTGCCATAAGGTTTGTGCATTTTGAATACTGTAGACATCTGATATTCTAGCGGGCTCTGTTTATCAGAGAAACGGCCCCTACCGAAGGAACTTTGAGTTTATTTCCCGATGTATTATTGTTGCCTAATGCCTATCTGATCCTCCGTCCTATCTTTCGTTTTTGTTAGTTACACCTGATTCCACGAGGATCTGGAACCCGAAGAGCTGGGCATTTGGTATTGGTCCACCTCTTCATGAAGGTTTCCAATATTGAATCGGGCCACGTAGATGTTTCAAGTGCGGATTCTCCCGGTATCGTTCCTCGCGATGGAGGGTGATATGAGCCTCAGCCGACACCCGAGCTGCGTTCTAACCTTCTCCATGAGAAGACTATGATTTCGGTTTCTGAAGTTGCCCCAGTGATACAGTATCCTGGCATAACGACCTCATTCATCCAGTCGAGAAGGACCACACCGGACATTATGACTAAGCAGGTATGTTACTCCGATAATAATCGATTCGACGCGTCTGAAATCTCTATCTCCAGTTATGTATGTCCCGGCTATTCCTACACTTCTATTGAATCAAGCATAAGGCAAGAGGCAAAAGAAAAGTTTCTTGAAGACAATCGCGCCACCTGGCTTCTCTGCACAGACGAAGCACGAAATCGTCTGGTGGGGTTTGGAAAGGCTGATGATATCTTGAATCCCTTGGTACGTAAGATTATGGGATTGTCGGTTTCTTTACTTGACGCATTGTCTAATCTTGTAGTCATGTACTACCACTTTTTCCCAGATATTCGACGAAACTGTAGTCTTCTCTGATCATTTTGTTTTGCGTTCTTTCCGCCGTACTCCATGTGATGGTAAGGAAACACTCAAATCCCGTGCTTCCTTTCGTCACTACGTGAACAATTTCTTGCAAGGGTCTTTCATAATGGAGCCTGGTTGTATCACGTTGAAGATTCGACCTATGCCGTAGAGTTATCCGATGGCCGTGGGCACTGGTAGATGCGTATAGCGCGAGAGAGTTGCATGCAGATAGGATATCATTAGAGTCTCTGGCATCAATGTCGCAAGATGGAGATATTCTTAACAGGAGTTCCCGGGTAGGCGTCGGACTAAGCGTATATGCGTGTGCACAAAAACTCAGAAGCAGGATCACGGGTTTCGTCACTTAAGATTCTTTTGTCATCGTCATTCTCATTGTCAGCAGTAAAGAAGAACAATTCATACCTGGGTGCCAAGGTTCTTCAGGTGCTAGGATACGGCGATTTTGCTGAGATGGCCCATGGTGGTGAGAAACCATTGCCAAGAAGCTGTGGAACGCGATCACGTGTTACATCCCTAAGTACTAAAAACCACGAGTTCTCACCAAAATTAAATATTACAGCGTCTGCATCTGCGCGCGGACATACCCATATATCACGGAGCTTTCCGCAAGGTTTTTATTAGAACCATGCAGAACACTAAAGTAGGTTACACGCGACGGGGAACTGCCAACGAGGCTCACATGTCCTCGGAAAGGAAGCAGAAGGCAAGTAGATCTGCATGAGAACTTAACGGCGACTGACTGCCAACCTCGAGACCCACATCGCTTCCGGTTCGTCGTCGGCCGTCACGCGATGAACTACTTGCTTCTCTATAAATCGCTTGAAGCACATTTCGGTCTGGATATAAAGCAATGAGTTGCGTTGGATATATTTTATGTGCATACGCACGAATGCTACTCTTCTATGTACTGGCTATAGATGTTACGGGAGATGGATCAAAAGCGCCCACACGAGAAAAGCAGAGTGCATTCCTTCTGCCTTCCCTTTCACTGAGACAAGTCGGGAAGGGTTGATTACTACGAACGTTTTCAAAGCATAAAGCTATCGACCAAGAAACAGATTCAACGCTAAGAAATGCATACGATGAATTATCCGTGGTCCATTGCTTCCAGACCCTACTGGCATGCGCACCAAGTGATATTGATGCCTCGACGTAGGCCCACACAAAAACCGGTCGCCCAGGTAAAGCCACCGAAGACATAGTACGCGAAGAAATTTCTGAGTGACTAGGCAAGAGCAATCCGTGAGCCTCTGCTACGCAGGCAAGAGTGGCGGCATGATAATGGAAGCTCAAAAACAGGTGTATTTATGCTTCGGTTTCCGTGGAGCGGTTTCAACGGGCTTGGCGGCATGGTGGCACCATCCGTCGTACGACCTCCATCGTTTTCGTCGCCACAATTTGAACATATTACCTCCAGGGACGTAGAAGAAACATCAGGAACCCGACATGGAGCGAGGGTCGAAATAAATGGTAATAATGACTGCCGTACCTTATACAAGTGTTCCTTTATGAACGAAGGATCCGACGGGCAAGCAGATAAGCAAATATCATTTAGTCGCTGTGTTGTATCTTCCGGGTGCTACCAAGTGCCTCGCGCTTTGGATATGGATATCAAATTCTAGGATGAGAAGCAATCTGACTGTCATGATTCGAAGAGCATTGTACAGTTGCGAACAGATCCGCATGCTGCAAAGTTGGAGCGACGGCTTCATCGTTGCACCTGCGATTTCGACTCGGTGACGGTGGGACGGTGTCCATGATGTTCATGATCCGCGGCAGCAACGACCAACCAATGGAAGTGCTGAGAAGCTGCGCATGCGCTGGTTGTGGCCCACGCTGTTACCCGGTAAATAGTCCACGGGGAGATTTTTAAAGCCCCCGGAGGTCGGGTGTGAAAAAGGGAATTTTAAAGCGAGAGGGCGCGCTCGCAGCCTCTGGTATCGATACTGCCAGGAAAAAGAACAGGATGCAACAAACTCATTGCGTCGACCAAGAAAAGGAAGTTGTCATGTTTAAGCGACGGCCCTTTAGAAGATGAATGATAAGCAGAAGCACAACGAGGACCCTGGAGAATGATTTACGCAATCCCAGCGCAAAGTGTCGTGAAAAAGAGTGAAACTGGCACCCTTGCTTATCGATACGAACACGAAGGGCGGATTGCCAAGGTTCTGTCATCCTATAAAAATACGCTAGGCTAGATCAAAAGTGTAAGTAGCGGCTGTCAGCTGCAGTGCCAAACGGAGGTCAATCTTTACACGCTGGTCATGAAAGTAGTAAGCGGTTGCCGATGGAGACAACGGTGGAGTTGAATACCTTGCTAATCTGGGGATCCGGAAGATGCGCATAATCGCCCATCCCCTGCTCGGCCGCAGTTTGGGCGTAGTCGTTATATTGAAACACCCGTCGGGCGAGAGATCGGACAGCGACCTAGAATCCAAACGACCTCACCCGATAATATGAAAAAAGCAGGCCAGCGACGGACCTTTAATTGGTTAAATAACGAGCTATTTCACTGATCAGCGCTGAAGAGAAAAAGGCGGTTGGGGAAGGGAATGTCTATCTTTAGTAAGGGTCCTTACAAAAGGAAGAAGCCGGGACCGGTTGCCGACCTACCCGCATCTTATCAGATAAAGGACTCCCATTTACCAGGAAACCCCCCCTATCTCACCGGCTTGCAAGAAGAACAGAGGTAGGTTGTGTAAAATACGGAAGATAAGGGACACGAACGTCTCCTCCTAACCACCACCACGTCTTCGCCTAGCCGCTTTTCCTGGTCCTTACACGTCATTATGTTCGCCTTGCGCCGGGTCGCTGCACTTGTTCTCGGCCAGGACAATTCACCCCAAGGCCTTCATGCAGAACTCGAGGCATCAGCAGTGCCAGTCACCAACGCTCAGTGCAGGTCCTGTCCAGATCCTTGCAATGATGGTGAAATTTCTTTTTCTCGGCCTTGCTTTTTATCTGATATGTTCCTCGTAAGGGCACGAGGGGTACCCCAAATTTGATGTAGACATGGAATCGCATATGCTTGGAAGTGTGAAGCCATACCGTCGGCAGGTAATTACTTCTTTTATCCTCATGTTTGTTGTTCAGCTTCCGCGTTTAGCTCGTCATCTCCACGGGGAAAACTGACTGGGACAGAGAAGTCACCGACACCAAGGGTTCTCTTGCTGCCTTTCTCTCACAGGTCGAACATCGACGACTCCATGTTGCACATCCACGACGGCCAAGTGTAACCGCTGTATCTCGTTCACCCCCGGCTGATTCCATTCTTCTTGAAGAAAAAGTTTGCAGCATCGTTTCTCCCCATAATCCTCTACCACCACCACCACCACCACCACCTTCTCACAATACCTCTGGCGTGTTCAACGCTACAGATTCAAAGAGGGTATCAATCCTGAATGGCAGCCATAATACACTGTGCCACGATCCAGACTATGAGACGATTCTAGTTTTCCCCGATTACAAATTGGTGACGGAGGTTCCGCGATCCGTTGAGGGTGCACAGAACCTATGGGACACCTGTGTCGATCCAGAACTTGGACGAGCGGGCGGGGTGCTTGAGAAGAGTCCATTCAATTCTTGGGTTATACCCTATGCGTGTGTGATCCTCCTCTGTGAGCTATTTATTTTCTGCTCCCGTTTCCCATCATCCGTCCTGACATATTCTGTCAAAAATTAGGCTCGCATAAAAAACGTGACAAACGATGCTCCATCGCCGCGGCAAAACTCGAGCATGGTGCGTTCCTGTGCTTTTTGCGTCATCTTTGTGGGACTTAATGGTATCGCAGCGTTTACACAGACCCTTGAATCCAAAGAGTGGACTGTAGATACCCAGCTGGAGCACCCTATGGAAGAGCCGTTGGAGGAATTCGTTGGATCGCTAGAGGAGCAGGAGGAGAATGTCACTCGACATTTGCGGGAACTCCAAGGAAAGAAAAAAGCGTTGATTATACGCAATTCACATATTGGGGGCCATCGGTATGCGGGGAATTGTATCGTGAGTCGGTAGCAATCTTCTTCCAGATGGAGGATGCTGATAAAGATGAACAGATTTACACTCCGCGAGGCACTGGTGTATGGTATGGTCGCGTGTCGACGCATGAAGTTGATTCGATTGTGGCAAATACGATTGAGGACGGGTTGGTTCTGCCCAAGCTGCTCCGAGGGGGTGTGAATATCTCGCGGCCCGGTTGTAGCAACTTGCATGATTGGTGACCAGGACCGCCTGAGATGGGGTATTTATTCATTCGCTCGTTCGTTATTGTATTTTGCTTTCTCTTCGGTTTCTGAGTCGATTGGTCTTTTGTAGAGTAGATTCTATGTTAGTGGTACCGTACGACTCGGGGATGCAGGCAGAGCGTACTGATTAATATCTTGAAGTAGTCGTATGTAAGATCTTGTTAATATAATACACGTTTATAAGCTTTGTCATGGTGGAGGGACCGGAAGGTTGAAGACTGATTCCAATAACGATTATCATTGCACCCGCCCAAGTTGAAGCTGCGTGGTGCACGTGCTTGGCTCTTGCCTTTCTCCGCTTCTTCGCTTCAAGTTCCTCGATACCGAGCTGGTCACCCTCCGTATGCGCAGTCTAGTGCTTTCAAAAGTATCAAAAAGAACTATTATCGAGCTACTAGTGCCTGTTGTTTAGCGTCTTGCTTCAAGTGCAGATAAAGATCCTGATGTTTCTTTATCACCAATTTCATACCTAGTTGAGCAGTCTACATGTGGGCTCTCCTCTACGCCGCGGCTGCTGTTGCTACTAGTGGTTATGCTCCAGGATACAATACCTTGTCCGCCACCCAACGCTCTGCCAACAGCGAAAGCCTTCTTTGGTCGCTTCCCTGGTTTCGAGGGGATGTCAAGCTTATGACCTGCTGTTTCTATGCTGTTGCTTCGTTATTCCATGCCCCAAAAGGCTAGAAGATCTCGCTGCTATACTCATCCAACCTGCCAGTCGCTTATCGGCCTTGGATCAAATGACCTGCTAGATCACCTTACGGGCATGGCTTTCGGATTGCGAGAGCACCTGGGCAGCGGTACTTGTGCTCTTTCACTGCTGGCAGGGCGGTCTGACATATATGTGTAGCCCCCTTGCACGAATTCAATCTCACGGCCGTGTAGGTTCATGACACACTGTGGGACGACTTTTGTGCTTATTCTTTGCCGGTTCGATGTTTCTGTATGACGGCGAATCTACGATTGTTTCTACATTTGAGGACGCTTGTGGGGCGGCTCTTCGGCTATCCTACATTACTCCGAGGTATGAGGCTGTTCGCCTGAGAATACTACGCTTATTGGCTTGTTTCGACGGCACCGCGTCTGTTTTGCCGGTGCTCTTCCCTGGTGCTGCACAGCCAGGCTTGTTTTTCATCACTGATGGGTTCGTAAACAGGGTCTCATTATTTCGATGACAGACAGCGTTCGAATGCAACTCTGGTGGATGTGGTTCTGTCTATTCTGTGTCAATCCATCTCCACAGTCTTGCCTTGTGGGGGTTCAGTCTCCACACCGGTCCCTCGGTGTCCACCATTGGGGCTGTTCGAGTAAAGTGATGAGAATCTCGGGGCATCATTCGGGGAGAGAGGAACGCCGTTCTCATCGCCGGAATCCTTGCAGGAGACTTGTCGTTTGTACAATCTCAACAGTCTCGCATTGTCTTGACATCGAGTACTACATACATATTGTTATCGACCATTGTACCACATTCACCTTTGCGTTTGCCACGATTCGCTGAGCAATACATTCCTGCAAAACGTGCCAGGTACGAACTCGCCATTGATATTGGACCGACGCATTTCCTGTGCATCTGGACTTGTGGAATGTAGCGTGTCTTTGCGCTAAGGCTTGCGAAGACAGCTATGGCATCGACTTGACAAACGGATCACTCAACTGGTTCCGGGAATGTGGATGTGTTTTTCTCTGGTCCTGTGCCCCTTTGCAAGATGCGATAATGTTATGCCGGATGGGATCTCCTAAAAACCAGAGCCTGGAAGCACAATAGACCGAAGGCGGAAGGAAGAGAATGCAAATAGTACGGGCCGAAAAAATGAAGAACATCGAAGCAATTGAAGACGGGAAAAACAACGTGGAACATCCGGGCAATTGAGATCGTGGCTGGGGTATATACGAGTAATTTAGGCAAATTCGAGACGACAAACGTAGGCCGGAGCTCCACTGATGTGTGAGATTACATTGCTCCACGAACAGAACGGACTATTATCTTTCTCTTTGCCTACCATATCGACCAGCATCTCGAGCTCGCTGTCTGGCTTAATGATCAGGCTGTGGTCCACAACGGCAAGCACGATGAATACAGGGATGGAGGATATGACGCCGAAACCCGGAGTATCAGATCGTAACCCGTTTGACACGCTCTCTTCGTCTCCATCACTTGCTGCCAGTTGCAGCGGCCATACTACCACCGGTCCTCGACATCCACTGCTAACACCGAACCACGACCTTACTCCTGGCGCGACGTCGTTGACGCCAGCTTCGAACGCAAGCTTTGCCGCCGCCCTGCCACCAAGTCTCTCTCTACATGCTTTCAACAACATGCAGCTTCCGTCGCCAAAGCGTTCAGACAAGTCCCCAGCGCCATCGGCATCGACCTCCACGTCTCTCACCAACACTTCCAAGGGCCAGATACATGTCAAGCTCATCCAAGCCAGGGGTCTGAACGTCCTCTCCTCAACGGCGAGGCCGTATGTCGTCGTTCAGTTCGAGCAGAACGAATTTGTCAGTCGTGATCCTACAGATGAAGCTGACAAGGAGGTCAAGGGCGTCCCTATTTCTCGCGTAGGCTCAGGCTCAGCACTCGGTGCCCTCGCCAAGGCGTCGGGCACTCCACATCCACCGTCTCCGTCCTCCTCGGTCGGATCTCGCACATCCACCAATAGCAGCGGCAACGGCACCGCTGGGGGCCTTTTTGGCCGCATGTCGTCCCACAATCCCGTCTGGAAACACGAGGTTTCCTTCGACGTCACTTCCGAGGCCTCAGTCATCACCTTCAACGTGTACGATCGTTCAGTTGACGACCTCGGTTTTCTTGGCACTGTCCAGATCAAACCGGTACTCATACATGAACATTCCGCTGATCAGTGGTACAAGTTATTGCCTTTTGAAAACGAGGTCGTGTCTGGTGAAATGCGAGTGCAGATAACGTTCGAGCAATACAAGGTTCGGTTCAATTGTATAATTCACGGCGTATACTTATACCTGTCGTTTTTTTCAGGTCAAGCGAGCTCTTACTCCCCGTGACTTTGAGTTTCTCAAGCTCATAGGACGCGGAACGTTTGGCAAAGTCTTCCAGGTCCGAAAAAAGGATACCAAGCGTATATACGCCATGAAAGTCCTCTCTAAAAAAGAGATAGTTGCAAAGAAAGAGGTTGCCCATACCATAGGCGAGCGCAAAATCCTCCAGCAGTCTCTTGAATCTCCTTTCCTTGTTGGTCTCAAGTTTTCCTTCCAAACGGACCAGGATCTCTATCTCGTCACTGATTTCAAGAGCGGTGGGGAGCTATTCTGGCATCTGCAGCGAGAAACGAGATTTCCTTTGGATAGGGCTCGTTTCTACATCGCAGAACTGGTGCTTGCGTTGGAGCATCTACACAAATACGATATTGTCTACCGCGACCTGAAGCCGGAAAACATCCTGCTGGACGCGACAGGGCATGTCGCATTGTGTGACTTTGGGTTGAGCAAGGCGGATCTGAAACCTGACGAGCTCACGACAACATTCTGTGGTACTACCGAGTACCTTGCACCAGAAATTCTCTTGGATGAGCATGGTTACTCCAAGATTGTTGACTTCTGGAGCCTGGGGGTATTGTTGTTCGAAATGTGCTGTGGTTGGAGTCCATTCTATGCCGAGGATACCCAGCAAATGTATAAGAACATCTGCTTTGGGAAGATCCGTTTCCCCAAAGGCGTGATCAACGAAGAGGGGAAGCAGTTCGTGAAAGGGGTATGAATCACTTTTTCTCCTTTGATTCATGTGCTCACAAACTTGTGCAGCTCCTTAACCGGAATCCAAAACACCGATTAGGTGCGACGCGAGACGCGGCTGAGCTCAAGGAGCACACATTTTTCTCCTGTATCGACTGGAAGGCTCTCAGCCTCAAGCAGGTCACACCACCCTTTAAGCCTGTTGTCGAGAGTGACGAGTCAACGGCCAATTTTGACCCCGAATTCACGACGGCTGATCTTTCGCAAGTAGGGGTCGATGGCATGGACGAGAACGACCCCTCAGAAGATTGGGTCATGAGTGGCAGCTATATGGGCAGCTCACACACACCCAATGGGCCTTTGGGTAGTGAGCGCAACGGCTCCAGCAGCTCGTTGGGAAGTATGCATGGGGGATTCGGTGCCCTAAGCATGACGAATGGCCCCTCGGGGAAGAGTAGTAAAGGCGTGGATATCAAGAAGGCAAAGAATGGGAAGCGGAAAAGTGGGAATAGTGGCCGTGGTAGCCCTCTGACTAGTTCAGTGCAAGAGAAGTTCAGAGGCTTTTCATATTCTGGTGGTGAGAGCCTGCGGGACGAGATGGAGATACGAACGAAGGTGAATGGGAATGCGAAGAGTGACGATGAAGGTCAGTCAGGTCCGGAACCAACAACGGAGGACGAATACGAGGACTTCTCGAGAAGCGCAGGGCGGTATGCTAGAGGGAAGAGACGAGGACTTGGGTTTACGGAGGTGGAGTGATCTATATAGCCACTCAGACATTGCATATGGTTTTTTGTCGTATCAATCATTGTCATGTTTAGACTAGTTTTGTAGTAATGTAGTACGGGCTTTGTATATTTTTTTTTCCCTTTGGGGTGGCGTTGACATGGTATATGGCATGTTCTGTGACGTAACTCCGCGCAGTCTAAGTGTAAGTATATTGAATACCGCACTGTCTGGATTCGTAACCTCAGGTCTTGTAGGCTTTGGAGACCAGACACTGTGCAGAATCTCCAGTGCGAGAGGGTTTCCAATGGGCTTCAGCCTGACGAATACGGAAATTCGAATGCTGACAGCCTGACAGCGCTGTGCATTCGCGTCCTGAAAGTATTATTACGTCCGCCATTGTGTCCGAGTCAGGATCGCGTCCGTTCTTACCACATCCCACCGCAATATCAATCACGATCTCCTCGTATTTGCCTGTACCCATATGAGTAGGCGCTGCTTCAATTTGACGCGTGACGCGTCTCGTTCCATCCTTCGGCCGTGCTGCCTGAGCATACGGAGAAAACAGAAGATCGGGCATACTGGCGTGGAATCTCATTCATGTTTTGTTAAGTACTCGTACTTTGCAGACTAGTTAGTCCATATCTTCAAATAAGCGAAGAGAAAGGTACCGTACGATTGTCATTATTTCCTCTTCAACTTCTCCTCCAACTTCCTCTCAAGCTCCAGTCGCGAAAGCTCCCTCTCGAGAACTTCCAGTCTCGCGTGAATGCGGTCGGTATCCGCTCCTCTGAGGTCACCTAATCTCGTGGACAACGCGGTGATATCGGCCTTGGTCGCAATTTGGTACATGTTTGCGGCTAAATTTCAAACGGTTAAAAGTCTATTTTGTCATGAAGAATACTAATACCTACAGAAAGAAAATGCTCCGACAAAGAAAACGAACCCACAGACAGCATTCACGATGGGTTCCCACTTGGCCATCGAGGAAGGAGGCATGGCATGTACTATACAGATCGTGAAGGTCGTGATGGTTACTAGATTGAAGCTAATAAATGTGGACTGACTCACTCGACAACCGGAGAGGCCCGTGGGAGCGTCGGGATTAATTTCAATTCTCAGGGTTCGTACGCACATGAACTAAATGATCAAGTACTTGATATGTTCAGGAAAAGCCCAGGAAATCGCAAGCACAGTCCGCTAGAAGGTGCAAGGTTTAGTTATATCGGCTGGAGACTTTCATTCTGCGAATTAATCCCATAAGCGAATAGCCGCTGCCAAAAGGACAAAGATACTGATGTATAAGAAATGCTATGGTACATCCAGAGAATTTGTAGAGGACACATGCACCAAATCATTTCGAGTCTGGAATCTCCGCGCCAGGCCGTCGTGTAGCCCTCACTAGGAGCGGCTTTTCAAGTATCACAGTGCGCTTATGGAGAATACCATCGCAGAATGCCTCTTTATCGAACGACTCGGGGAAGGACATATCAAAAGATAGAACCAAGCGTGCGATAACATACTGCAATTGTTGGTAGGCAAAAGCTTTCCCGACACAGACATGTTGTCCTATTTACATCATTAAATCGGAACCTAAGAAGGAAGTAACGCCTTACCAGTTGAAAAAGACAGTAATGCATTTCGATCAGCTTTTGTATCAGGTCCTAACCCGTCTGGCAACCATCGTTCTGGTCTGAATTCCTGTGTCGAGAAATAAACGGACATTCAAACGCACAAAAGCACAAAGTATCACTAACCAAAGGATCAGGGTAAAAGTTCGTGGGGTCGATTTGTTGTGAATATGATGCCACAGCGACGACAGTCCCTTCGGGAATGAACGATCCATCTATTGTGACGCCTCCCGAGGGTACTATTCTGGGAAAGTAGAAAGCTGTCTGCAGACGCAGTGCTTCGTCGATAACGCCACCGAGAAACGGGATCCCAGCAAGTCTGGAGCCTTCCAGATGTTCCATGGGGTCAGGAAACTCGGTATGCAGGACATCATAAAGCTGCTTGTAGTACTGCGGATGCGAAAGAAGATAGTAAAACACCATCGAGAGCGTTCCTGCGATAGTATCGCCACCTTTGCCGCCGATGAGAATAAATCAATCGGGTATACGATAAGATACGGACCTCCGAAGAGCGCATTGACTGCTTCTAGTTCAAGGTCTGGAAGTGGTATAGTTTTACCTGACCGAGACTCTTCCAGCTGCATCTGTTATTCAGTTGACAACGAAAAAACCAGTCAAAGGTACTCACAAGGTAAGAACTGAGGTCTCTCATACTTGTGTCATCATTCAATTTGATTCGCTTGTGCATCATTGCTGCAGAGATGGCGGAATACTTAACCATAGCTTCACTGGCTGGAACATGCCATATGATATCCATTAGCCAAGGCGCTTGTCCAAAGCTATGATTGGCAATCAGCAGCCAATAGCAGCGCTCAGAAGAAAAATTTCTACCATTCGATGGCTACCATTCCTTCCTTCCCAGTCATGACCAGACGCTCGGTGTCACCTTTCGCCATCAGTGCCTATAGTACACGACAGATATGAATGGAAGAATAGATTTGATGGAACAAAGTACGCACATAGTCGTTACAGCCTCCGTACATGATATCGCCCTATAAAAACAATGTCAATGTTGCTACCAGCTTAGAAAGAAAAACTCACCATTAAGTCATACGCCCAATGAGAGAAACATTCAGACAAATTGGCGGTGCCTTCTTTCGACCCAGCCTGTTGACGTTCGATATATGAAGCAAGCTCCCAAGTACGCCGCTCTATGCAAGGAATATAGTTTTTGGTGCTGTGTCAAGTTTCGTTAGAAAGCCCAATCAATCGAAAGCAAGAAGTAATCACGCTGTCGCGGATAGACCCTTCACCCATACTCGTTTACGTTCGTTATGGAGATGCAGGTCTTGCTTATAGAATAGACACATTACATCTTGATGTCCTGGGAGCCTATACATTTCGCTTTTTTCCATGGAAAGCGTAGGCCCATACAAAGGGTTAAGGGAGGATAATGAATTAATTGACAGGGTGTTATGTCCTATTATGAAGCGTGAGATTGTAGGATCAAGCAATAACATCTACTCAGTCGCTTACCAACTCTTACAATGGGACCATATTGCATGTGAAGCTGGTGGAGTTTTTGATGCCGTTTGCCCGACATAGCCAAGTGAACAAGCTGCAGGTTGGTAAACCACCATGATCGAGGTCCCGGGTAGCTGGCTAACGGATGGAAAGGTGAAAATCGATAGGAAACCGAGAGAAGAATGACCGATGTTGCGAATACAACGACGTAGAGCAACGTCAAGAGAAGAGGTGACGCTTGAGCCTCTGAAAACAAGAAACGAATTGAAAAGTACACTATCAGAGGGAAGATGGAGAATCCAAGAGCAGCATAGTCTCCTCGAACATGATACCGATGGAAGAAGAGCCATGATACCTAGAAGAGACGTTAGGAACTCTGACGAACAGGTGCGTGCTGGCGACATACCAGAGCTCCTCCCACACTGAGAGCGCTGACGTTCAGGACCACATCTGAAGCAACATCCACGGCCATTGACAAATTGCAAGCGAATTGGAAGGACTGCGACGGGTGCTGAAAGATGGTGGCTACTAACTCAATTGTGAGAGCACGAAGGTCACGCCCAGAATAACGAGGCACAACAGGAAAGATGGCAAAGATGTGGTTCCTAGATTCCTTCCAGACTAAGAGTCGGAGGATATCAAGAAGGAAAGATAGCACGTGTAGTAAGCGCCAGCGAGGTTAAGATACACATAGAAACCGCGTGTCAGGTAGCCACTGAGATTGAATGTAACGTTGATGAGTGATATCTTGACATCTAACAGCTTCCCTCCGGCTCCCAGGCGCATTTCGTACGGTGATGCTGGACGATTCATCGAAATCAATGATGAGCAAGGCATCTAACGAAGACTAAATAGTTTGATCACAGGGTGACCGGAGTCCTCAATAATAATGAATCGCTTGCAACTCCGACGTTGTTCTTCTCTCCATTGCGAATACGTTCTCAAGCCTTCAGAACAAAGTCTGATTCCATCAAGGTCATGATGCGTGGAACTCGGGAGAATTACCGACTGAGTCAGCTTGTGGCATCAGTAGTTGTTTTCGGGCGCCAGGCCCAAAGTTCACAAGGCTTAGGCTAATTTAGAAAATCGACAGTCTCTTCATCGTCCTCCCATACACTTTCTCTACCTGTGGTAACATCTCAATGTCTGGACAACTCATTCTCGTGAGCAGCATTCACGAATCACTACCTTGTATCATTGGATTATTTACTTACACCAAGCTGCCAGGTTACCGGTGCTACCGGTTTTATCGGATGCCATATCGTCGAACAGCTCTTGGAAAGCGGTTATCGCGTTAGAGCGTGTGTACTCATCGTCGATTCTTGCGCTGAGTGCTTAACGGAAAGATAGCGTTGCCCGTTCTGCAAAAATTGAAAAACTCAAATCTACCTACGCTGACTTTGGCGATCGTTTCGATGCTGTTGGCATTACAGACATCGCTGAGGATGCTCTTACCGGAGCTTTTGATGGTGTAGATGCTGTTATACACGGAGCCTCCGCGATGCCGACCCGAACCAGCAATGTTGAGGATATGATCACGGTACGTAAAGCATGTCTTCATAACTCATCGTATACACTAATGAAGGAATCTGTTCGCAGGTAGCTACCAATGGCACTCTTAACGTATTGCGCCGAGCGGAAGCTGCTGGGATACACCGCTTCCTTGTCCTGAGCTCAATCACTACAATGGTGACTCCAGCAATGACCTTTTCGCACAAAGGTTCGTATTCGCATATACAATTTATTCCATAAATTGAGTCTCATCTTTTGTACCAAAGATTGGTTTCAAGTGCCCGAAGGCGACAACAGCAAACGACCGGCGATGGCCGTCTATGGTAACGCAAAGACCCTCGCAGAGCTTGCGATGTGGAAATGGGCAGATGAACATCCCCACGTTCAGATATCTTCAAGTAAGGCTTACTCGTTGTGTCTTGTTTTTCTGGGCCGTACTCATGTATCTTCAGTCCATCCACCGTATGTCTACGGGCCTATATCACGGTACTGGCAAGTTCCAGAGGCCCCTGATTATTGGGCTTTGACTAGCGCCCTTGCGATTGCGACCTTGCTGAAACCTGATGGAATGTACCCTCCTTATCCTGCACATGTCGACGTCCGTGATGTCGCCAAGGCTTGTGTTCGTGGACTTAAACTCTGGAAACCGGCTCCAGCAGGCGAGCGCAACCGCGCTGCCTTTTTATCTCCTCAATACTTTGACTACGCTCGGGCTAAAGCGGTGATCTTGGAGCGCTACCCCGACTTGAAAAGCCGCATCATCACAGCTGATCCTCTTCCTTTCTACGGGCCGTCGGCTTTGGAGCATGAATGGGTGGACCGTCTCTTTGGGATGAAAAAGGAAGACTTCCATACATTCGACGAGGTTCGTGCCTTTTCCTTTCACCAATGTCCGGATAATAATTTTGTGGTCAATTGTAGACTATCTTAGATACGGTCGCCTGCATTTTGGAATTAGAAGAAGGATGGAAGGCCAAGGGATATAATCCTCAAGTCCCAACGCCTGATGTAAATGACCAACAGCAGTAAGTTGTAGATTCTGTAATTGCGCAATTGTATGAGTCTGGAAGCACTTTCGCCAAGTTCTTTCGTGTATTGTGACGGAATAACACCCAAGTGAACATGACAACTTGCCCATGGCTTGATTATCTTGTATTAGTTTTCACTCAAATCCGACTGTATAATCGCCGTTCAAAGGACCTGGATCTCCCATGGGTTCGGTGCATCTTCGCCACTCGGGACTTCTTCGATTTCACACAGAGCTATTCTCCGCAGGATGAGACTTGCACATCGGTTATCTGGATGTAATGGTCATTTGTGGCGGCATATCGGTAAATTTATAGCCGGAGAAACATGTGGAGTGCTTCGACGCGAAAGACCATATCGAGCTTTTCTTCCTCGGCGGATGCACATTGGATAAATGACGGGTTACCTATAGATACCCGTCTTCTTTACGTTGGTGACTCTTAGAACTTGTTTTGGAGATGATGATGATGATGATGCCGCCGCATATGTTATCAATCAAATACCGGGGTAGATGGCCAGAACTCCGTGTGGAAGAACGACGATTTTGAATTCATGACCCCGTGTCTACGGGAGGACAGTTTATTTTCGTTCTCGACATGCGATATCTTGAGCTTATCGAAGAATAGAAAAGTTAGCAACTTACCCGTTTCCTTGTGCTGCAGAAAGTCCACCTGCATAGACCTTCGTCTACGCTACGTATATGCAGTGGCACTGGTTGCAGCCGCGGAGGCAGGTTTGTTGCCATGAAGATTTGTACTCCCAAGTTTGAATAGATACAGTCGACTCCCTTATAACCCATACCCCTCTTAACCCATACTCTCGCATACCCCATAGATTTTTGGTTCCACCGACCTCGTTCGCAGGGAAATGGGTACCATAACCCATACCTCGCCCATACCCCATAACCCATAGCTTTTTGCCAGAATCTCCTCTCTAGTACCCCATATATTTCCCGGTCCGAGGTTAAATTTCCACCGAATTCTATTGATTTTCAGAAGCCGTGACACCGGAAGGCCCAAAATATGACTGTACCGATACATGTGTACCATGCCCGGTTGAAAACTAGGGTAAATGCACCTATGGGAGGTTGCCGAAGATTGCCGTCGCCAGAAAATGTTACGTGACCTGACAAATTTATTGAAAATACAGTAATCAACCGGTCTTCTGTACACCACCACTCCTTTGTACACTGTGTAGAACATCATTCCTCTGATATTCTCAGGTGATTTTGGTGCTTAAAATTTAGTATAAAATCCATGCTTCAAATTGAGATACTTTCCAGGGCTGTATGTGCATTCTGTAAATTGTGGTGGGCCTCCGAAGCCAGGACTCAGAATATATTATGTAAGACCATTCATTTGTACACCCGTAAATCACTCACTGCGCCTCAGAATCTTGTTCTAAAATCGTGAAAATATTTGTGTAACATCTACAGCCATATATAAAACCTTTATGCCAGACAGAATTATGAGGAAGAGCCAACAAGGAATTAAAAAATGGATATTAAGATTTGATGTACAGAAGACCGGTTGATAACTGTAGTGATCATTTGCACATTTGACCGTTTTCGAGAAATATAAAGCCTAATACCAGCCTAATACAGTAGAATATCGGGGGAAGATTTGAAGAAAATTTTAGTAAAAAATAATCACTCTTACACGTGATCTCCTTTGCAATCCATACTCTCGCATAACCCATAGCTCGGAGGTTCCACCGAACGCTATGGGTTATAAGGGAGTCGACTGTAGTATTCTGATAGTAAAAGCGTAATTGAAATTGGATTTCAATCAAGGGTTTTCACACGGCCACGGCTGGCCGCAGAAAAATTCGATGGACCGGAAAGACCGCAAAACTGTTACTGTGCTACACCAGAAGAACCCTAATGTAAGAAGGGAGGGACTAAGACACTTGTACCTACACCACACCTTCTATAGCAGTTAGCGTACTTGTCCCAGACGATAAAATGCAGGATCCAAAAAAAAACCCAAGGTAGTCAAAGGTATCTACATGTGCTTCAAGTCGTCACCAAGTGGAGCCTTACATTCGCATATCAGCCCAAAAAGAAAAACTCCAGCGTGCTGCAGCCATGACGGATCCGAGGAGTGTACCTACGACCTGTCGGATACCACTCATTTCGAGTGTATCAAAGGCCAGAGCGGCAATTCGATACCACATGGGTGATACAGCCTTGGGTGATTGTCCTCCGTCGCGGACAATAGAAAAAGGCAACCTTAGAGACGACGAACACGACGCCGCCACCGCTTCAGCGGCTTCGAGACCAGTTGTAAAGCCATCTTCATGGAAACCGTACTTCAAATATGCACCGGCATAATAAATCGATCTGACGCCTTGAATGCGCTTTAGAAGGACTTGCGATCGCTTAGCCTAAATTTGAAGATAGGTCAGTTAAAAAGAGGAAACCATCAGAATATCACTAACATTGGCATCTAGAAGTGGATGGTCGTACTTCCACCTGCCGATAATCATCTCCGGCCGAGGCTCATAGGGTGGGTTTAGGGTAACCAAGATGGGACCATGCTTAGCGTATGATAGATGCTGTAGTGCGTTCATACCAACTTCAAGCTGGAGATAAGTGATTTGGTATATGATCCAGATAAGAGACGACACGTACATGTTCTTTGGGAATACTTTGTCAGTAGTCCGCCACATTTTAAATACCAATTATGCTCACATAGATAATCGAGGAGGATTCAATCGAGTCTTTCCATACTCGTCTACGGACGATTCTGCAAGGTAGTTCCAGCATGACCAAGCTTCGCGATTTTTCGGCATCAGCTGGAAGGCATAAGCACCTGCAGTAGATGGAATGGCGGAACTGACTTACCGCTTCATCATAATGTAAAACACACTCGTTTTCGTTCCAACGGAACGCGCTGAGTATCTGGTGTTCCTCGTCGGTTACACCTCCTCCGGCCTTCAAGATGGATAAAACGGCATCCGAATGACATGCAAAAATAACGCGGTCAAATACTTTGTTACCATTAACTGTTGTCAAAAGTATTTGAGGGGCAGCAGTATCGCCAATGCTGATAAGCGACTGAACAGGGGTGGAGAGATGTAGTTGTTCTCGGGGCAAAGCTTCTATAATACGCTTGATATATTCCTGGCTAATATTATGTTAGAAATAAGAACTAGCACGAGGGGAAACTACGATACCTTCCGCCTGCAATAGTGAGCCATTCAGATTTGCCTGTAACTCTCAGCAGCTGATGATTCATCATGAATTGTACCTGCGCAGTTGTGGTCAAGGAGATTGGAATGACTGGAGGATCGGAATTACCAGAGTTTGTGCAGGGAAAGTCATCGCGAACGCATCGGGCGGCGTACTCCAGATACCAGCTGTCATAGGCTGATACCATTGAGCATTTATTCAGGTATATAAGTTGCACTCACCAGTAGATAGTTATCCCGGAAAGAATCTGAATAGCCCTCTTTACGCAAGTATTCACCAATAGACAATCCTAGTTCAGCGGGCTCATCTAAAAGACGACGAGCACACACATTGAACCGTATGATGTCATATAATAGGATCCACATTGAGGGATCCAACAAACGCTTGCGTTGACAGAATACACTCCAGATATTCTTCCCCGACCACTCGAAGAAGCCATTGTCTCGAGAAACGCTGAAGCTCATAGAAGTAGAAAGAATTCGAATAGTTGGGTCAAGACGCAGGAATCGGAGGAAATTTGGGTATGTGCATCGGTTGAACGCAATCTACAAGGACTCAAGCAATTGGACTCGATGAGAAAATATGACGACTATGTCACGCACAAAAGCTCTTCGAAAGTTTAAGAGGATGACATAGTGGCGGAGAGAAATAGACTTACGTATCTACATGGCATTCCTCAGAGCCGGCTCGGGCAGGAAGGAGAACGGTATTTGCATGACCCCCGATACGGTCATCCGCCTCATAAAGATGAACTTCGTGGTCACTGTATTCATTTAAAGCCTGGAATAGATCAGTGTCTCGACTTACTCGCAGAGAAAGGGCGAATTACCCAAGTGGAAGCGAGACCAGCTGCTCCAGAGCCGACGACAGCAATTTTCATGTTCCGGTAGGTCGAGCTTGGGACTAAGTGCTAATGAGTAAGTCGCCACAATGGCAGTATAAGACTCATACATTATTGAGGGATACTATTGTGAACAGGGATTAGAACAATCAATCATGGATTAAAAGCACCACATGTGCATATCCGTTCCAGTCGGTGACTACGGAGTTGAGAAGGTAAGCAAAGTTACGAGCACTAGAAGCAAAGGAGTAATGTTGACCACGCCAAATCGCGACTGTGCGGCGTGGTCCACGGATCAGACTCAGGTTATGATGTAGGTTTGATGCCATTCGTTGTTCGGTGCTTTTCGATACTAGGAGTTGCAAACGAAGTTGCGAAGAATGATCCAAAACTATGATAATCAGCAATTATTCAAGTTGGTTTGAAATGACCCAAAGAAGTAGACTGAGCTTGGGGGCAACCGTTGCAGATTCTGATGAAAAAAAGTTACGCGAACCCAAGACAGTAGGATGTAAGTCCAAAGGCAACTGAATGGGCGAGAAAAAAAGAAAGCAAGGAACTGGGATCTGGGCGCTGACATGTTCGAGAAAGGAATCGTTACATAACTACGATGGCATCTCAGTTAGGCGGCGGCATTATGTATCTCTTCTTTCCTTCCGTTTTATCCGTGCCGGCCTAAAAATGACATCGATCCTAACTTATACATGCTGGCTTTTTCTTGGAAATATTCTTGGTTCCGGTATGTCTAGTCATCGTACGAAAGAACTAGCACAAAGTCGTCTTTTCCAACAGTACCCCCATGATTGGCCTCTGCGTGATCGCATTCGGCTCAGCTATCAACGTGCTCAAGCCATCGGCAAAGCATACGGTAAGTATTCTCATTATTGTCCTGTCTTACTGTAAGTTCATACCGGCAGGTTTCACTCGAGACGATGTGCTTAACACAACCGAAAAATTATGGCAGTTGCATACCGACCCAATCTGTGGCATTGATGGTGCCGCCGCTATCTTGGCTACCATTCAATACAATCTCTGTGCTGGCACCATTGCGCCCTATGCTACTCAACATATCGAAATTTCTGAGACTCTGGAACGCGTATTGTCCTTTGAAGTGTCGTAAGCTCATGCTCGCCGTCTAGAATCGAAGCAGCCTCAAGCCATGTTCAGTGGACAGTTCTTACTCACCGAATTGGGCCACGGGATAGATGCTTTGCACCTCGAAACCACCGCAACTCTTCTACCCGATGGATCCTACGAATTGAACACGCCCCATGAAAGGGCAGGAAAGTCAGTTCCAGTCGACTTCGTCGCTGCTCTTGATGTTGACTTTATGTAGGTATATGCCGCCCACTGTACCTATGGGGTACCCGACTATCGCTGTGGTCATGGCCAGAGCCCTTGTCGATGGTATGGATCGTGGAGTAAAATCTTTTCTCGCACCTATCAATGACGGCAAAATCATGCATCCTGGTGTTGTGTGCAGGTACATCGTCTGTATCGTCCAGACATGACTTGCTAATTAAGGTTGACCTCTGCAGATATCTTTCTCAACGTGGAGGGAACACGCCCCTAACCCACTCCATAACTTATTTCGATCATGTCCGTATACCGGCCTATTCGCTTCTTGGAAAGATTTCTGGGCCAGTCAACCACCGCAGCTCATTTTTCGAGGCAATATGTCGCGTTCCATATGGTACACTTGCCCTATCATCCCTTGGAGTCCCCGCGTTACAAATTATGTCGACCATATGCGCACGATATAGCATGCGTCGGACGGTACTCAACAACGAAGAGATCCAGAAACCTATTATATCTTTCCGCACTCAGCAGGTTCCTATTTTAACAGCCTTGGCCCAGGCATATGTCATGCGAGCGTTATTCGATGCATCTATCAAACTGTTTACAGATGTATCTTTGGACTTTCGCGTCAGACATGCTATTGCGACGGCAACCAAGTCAGTCATGGTTTGTCACACACAAGCGGCTGCCTTGGAACTGGGAGAACGGTGTGGTGCCCAAGGGTACGTATGTCATTTTTATTACGCTCGTCTATCATCTCATGGTCGAGTAGATTATTCGAGATAAATCAGATCTCTTCTATTTTCGTATGTTCCCAAACATTTTTATCAATGTGCACGACATTGAAGTCGTATCTAGAATGATTTTCGTGGAATCACCATTGCCGAAGGGGACCTGCTTGTCCTATCCGTTCGTAAGTTTTCGATGCCAAGTTTCTTAAAATTTCCCCTTTATCTGATTGTCAGGGCTGGCCACGGAGCTCCTCTTGAAAAGGTATTGCGTTCCCGAGAGTCCCAATCCTGAGAGTCTCTTGTCACGACACGAGCTTGGGCTGTTTACGGAATTGGGATCAGTCTTAAAGGCCCATCACCATCGCAGCGAAGAGTTCAGTCGGCAGGTCTTACCCCGATGTCGATTATTTGTTCAAAGCATTGGAGAGCGTATGGCGTACGATGCTGCTGTGGCGTCGGGCCTTGATCCTTGCTTGGTGGACATGTATGTGGTCAGCTGCGTTAAACACGACTCCGCGTGGTACTCGGAAGAGCTGAATCTGTCTCGAGCTCGGGTACAAGCCATGGAAAACGCAGCCATCGAATCGATGTACCCACGGCTCGAAGAGTTCATCGCTAGGACAGAGGTTGAGCCATACATATCGGCGCCCCTGCTGTCCTCTCGTCAATGGGAAGCCTATGAACGTCAAATGACAGTTTACGGCGACTCTCCTAGATTCAAATCTAAGCCTTCTGACGGGAGCAATATTTTATCATTCAGCCGTCAAGCACGGTTGTAGATGTACATCGATTGACAAGCAATCTACTGCCCACGAAATGGCGTGTGGTATATCAGCTCCATGATCCAAATATTCGTTTTTCGATGTCCCCTTAGCCCCGTGATTGGAACCCTCCGGTGCAAGCTTGATCAGAAAAGATGCCAATCTGATGGCGCGTTACGTCGCCATTGATTCGTCGAATGAAGCTAGCCAATCACCCCCGTCTGTCATCATGCAAATATCCGTGTCGCCCAAGAAAGCCAGCTGTATATGTTCAGGTCCCCATCAGTAATAGCGTCCGCCTGGGTTCGATATATTCTGAAGATTCCGTTTACATTTGGACATCACAATCGCTGGAAACCCCCGCAAAGATTGCAGAATAATTCAATTCTTTGGCTTGCCTTACCACCAGATCCAGGGGAAGGCTTCCTAACACCCTTACACGGCCTTTATGGACCATTTCTCTGCCTCGTAACTGGCGCATCGCCAATTACGCGGGAGTGTGCATATGGTAAGTGGAGGAAGAGCGGCATATACGTCTCGGTGCTGAATTAATGAACGGATGGCTTTCCGCTCCACTTCATCTTTACGCAATAAAACCAACTACTTCCTACCAACACTGAGCCGCATCCTATCTGTTCATCAAGACTCGAAACGCGTCATGATCAGAGACGTATGCCTGGTGCTCCATTAACATTGTATGTAGCTGAAATTTTTACTCGCTAATGGGGCCGTCGGGGTTCAGTTCACATGCTTCCTCCAATCAGAAGCGTGTTCAATTATCCGCTTCATGTGGTCTCGTTGGGCCTCGTGCACTTCTATCAATATATTCTGGGAGCTACAGTGAGATGTAGTTTCAGAAACATTTTTATAGGCCAATCTGACCGAACTGTCTAGTGAGACGGGTTCATCACTCAGGTGAAGACGTTCCTGGCTTTCTTATCATTTAACTCGGTGATAGGAACTGACGCCAACTCCAGAACTGTCTGACCAGCAAGCTTCCTGTATATTGTAGCGATCTTCTTTCCACGGCAGGATGGAAATTTTTGAATGGTTGTCTAATTGTGCCTCGCACTCTTTCTCGAAAATCTTCAAGGTCGCCAGCGCCTGATCCACCATGACCATGAAACCCGCGTCGTATTGTGGGCGATATACACCCCTCCATAACGGCAAGTGCTTGAGGTAAAGTCTACCGGTATTCAAGGATTGATATTGTTGTTTTCCATGACGGTCGGGAGCGAAAATACGGCAGGGCTGCGATCTAACAGCCTTCCGATCATAATCGCTGTTTCTTTGACCCTTTCAGAAGGCAATATTGGCCGTCTGTCCAGCATCAGGACTCCGCCGTACAATGACGATTTGAGACCTGTACAACCATTCACTCACCTTGAATGCAGTGTCAGTCCTAGGGTCTTCAGGACCTCACCTACTACCGCCACTGCTTCACCTGCCAACTTATTTTAGAAGCCGTGATAGGTCAAGAGGAACGAAAATCTCTTATTCCTATATCTCGGCGCGAGGCGATTGTACCTTATACATGGTACCATCGGGTGGTAGCCAAGCGCTTTATGGATGGATTACTGGTGTTTAGCGGTGCCGGAGCCAAACAGTGGCCAAAATTATAACCGGCAGAGCCATCTAAGCCTGTAGATTCTCAGAGGACAACTACCTGCATTTTGCGCTCTGATGGAGCAGAATGCATCACCGTTCGTTTCTGGAGCTCATGAATTTACGGGCTGAAGCAATCGTTATATGTACTAGTTATCTCAAGTCCAAATCTAAAGCGCTTCTTACCAGGCGGCGGGCCGCAAGCCTTACGTAGTACTCAGAAAGGTGACATTGCTTTGGCCGTGGTGAATTTATGGGTATATTTATATTCATTTTACCTGTTCATGCCCGCAATCTTAATAACAAGGCATATTCAAGGAGAGGAATATGGATTCGCACGAAGTTCGATAGGAGGTTTCTTGTCTGGTTCAAGCGTGAGAAATTCTGGTAGATGACTAATCAATCAGAACGATACCAGAGCTTTCGATTTTGTGCCGTTCGTCCTTTCTTCTTCCATGGCCCAGACTCATCTCGGCATTTTCCTACTGGAAATGGACCCTCCGATAATTTCAACAATTACTACCTTGCATTCAGCTGCAGATAGCTCTGAATCCTACAAGGTCGACTTGAAGTCCAGTTAGCGCTGTCTAAAAGTAGTCTCACAAACCAGACCAACGATCCGTGGGATCCAAGAATTCATCAGAAAGGTTTTTGTACCTAAATAGGCCAGGCCTGTTATTACGGTACTCATTACGGTGTGTACTGTAACACCGGATTCAAATCTCCCGAAATCGGCGATTTCATCTATCCACTAGGAAGCAACGGCAGTTGATTTGTACCCATCAGAGCATGTCAGTGATCGGTCCTACTTTTGTTTCGCTTCATCTGCCAACAGAAAACAGCCACAGAAAAAGGATGATTAATTATAAATATATCTACGAGTTGGCGAGACCAATTCGTTAGGTGTCGGAGGCTCCACAGTTGCCAACGATGCTGTCCGCCTATCTTGCAAGTTTTCTGTCAGTCGCTACGCTCGCACTCGCCGTAAACGCCTTCCCTTCTTCTGATATATGGCGATCCTTGAACTTTACTCTCGGCGGCAAACTACTGTTCGGAGAACCATTTGCGAAACCTTGTTGGGATTCTGATGCCAATTCCGAAGCAACATGTGCTCTTATTCAAGCCCAGTATTCAAACGAAAGTAAGCGGCGTTCTGATGGTGCTTCTTCTTAGCTCACTCATCCTGTTTAAGCGTATCGAAGCATGACATCAGGAGGCTACGTCAATCCTGAGTGGGAGACCTGCATCACTTCAGGGGACCAGTGTTTACTCGATTATACGGATCCAACGAACGTCGAACCTCTTCGCTCTACCAAATGTAAACGCGGCAGCGTTCCGGCTTATTTTGTAAATTGTTCCCGGATGTCTTAACCGAAAGACCGTTCTCACATGCGAGTGTTAGATAGACGTTCACGACACAAGGGATATACTGACAGGCCTTTCTTTCGCCAAAAGGCACAAAATTTCACTCGTGGTAAAAAATACTGGTGTCAGTGTTGAGGAACCCTCGTCAGAGACTAATAAGCTCATGAATAACCCAGCATGACTATCTCGGACGAAGCAGTGCGCCAGGCTCTTTAGCTCTGTGGGTACGTACATCCTCCGTTATTTTGTGTGGAACTTCATGTTCACGGAATAACAGATACATCGATTCAGAGATGTAAGCATACAGCGTTGAAACTCGGCCTCCCTTCTAACATTATTAGATGTCATATACGCCTGCATTCATACCTGAAGGATGCTCATCCCAAGATTCCAGTCCTGGTGTTACCGTAGGAGTACGTATTTTATGCCGCACACAATCATCATTCTTGACATTCGACAGGCAAGCGTACAATGGTTTGAAGCTTATGCATTTGCTGAAGCAAACAATATCACTGTCGTTGGGGGTGAGCACCACGAAACTGCTTTCTTTTGTCCTTGCTGAACTCTTTCAGGTACAGATCCTTCCGTCGGTGTAGCAGGAGGATGGTTGCAGGTGTGGCATGCATATATATTGTACTACATACACTTCTGAACCTATACAGGGAGGTGGCCACAGCGTGCTTTCAAATACGATGGGCCTTGGCGTCGACCGCGTAGTATGTTTGTTTCGTATTTCGTCTTTCATTTCGCGCTGATGATGATGCCCCTAGCTTCAATTCAAGGTGATCACGCCAGATGGTGTCCTCAGGGTAGCTAACCAGTGTCAAAATACGGACCTATTTTTTGCACTTCGTGGAGGTGAAGCAAATCTTTTCATTTTTCGTCCACATCTCTCACTGTTTCAGGTGGTGGAGGAACGTTTGGCATTGTCATTGAAAGCACCATTCTTGCATCCCCTCAAGTGACAATACAAGCCGCTTTTGTTGGCTATGCAAATCTAAACGCAACCATGCAGAAGCAGGTAGTGGCGACTCAGGTGGAAAATGCCGTCCAATGGGCCGAAGCTGGCTGGGGAGGTGCATCAACTCCTAGTGGTGCCGTCTTCGTCAATCCGAAAGCGGACGAAGAAACTGCGGCGCGCACCATGGCACCTCTCATCAACTTTGTGGATTCTCTCGTTGATGATGGTGCTACAGGTGCATCAATTACTCTGACTACGTTTCAAAGCTTCGCCTCTTTTTATGCAGCATTTCTTCCATTTGTTATATCGGTGAGCAAATATACCTTTCTTTGTCTTGTATACGAAACTGAATTTCTTTAGCCTGTTGGGGTGCCCTTGGCGCTGTCCTCCCGACTTATAAACAAGGCGAATTTCGAATCCGCAGAGAACCGATCTGCACTAGTCGACGCGATCTTTGACGCCCAAAACGCGATTGATACCCTACTCATTCAGTCCACAACACCGGCCTCTGTCAAAGGCAGCGGGACCAGTGTAACTGGCAAATGGCGAGAAAGCTTATATCACGTAACGGTGGTCTCTAAATGGAACTGGAATGCTACCAAGGCGACCAGATTAAGCCAGTTTACCCGAGTTGAAAACGCGATGTCCGGTTTACGCGCCCTGACACCCGACGCAGCTTATTTCGTGCGTGCATGTCTTCCCACCCATTGTATTGGACTTACGTCAACATGACTTGGCAGAATGAAGCATCTATTCATGAACCCAACTACAAGAGTGAGTAACTACCCTCGTTCATGATCCTTGAAATGCTCAGTTCACGATACAGTTTCGTTCTGGGGAGATAATTATCCTAGATTGCTTGAAATCAAGAATCGATAGTGAGTCTCCTGAAACGTACGAACCGGAATCATAGTTGATCTTTCCCACTACAAGCGACCCCGAGCGTATTCTAAACTGCTGGAATTGTGGTAAGCACAAGTCTTAGACTTGCTCCCGTTGACGCCGCGTACTGACAATATACCTACGATCAGTTGGCTTCGATTCACATTCGTCACAATTCAGTTGTTATCCTTAACCCGGTCAGCCGGGCCCAGAGAGTACTTTATCAGATGACCATTTAAATTACAATAGTAAAGATTTTGGTTTGACGAAACTCTACGCACCTCAATCCGACAAAGCCCAATTGATTTTTCCGAAACTTAGTCGAACTTTTCTATTGGTGGGCCCCAATGATAGGTTCAAGGTCTGAGCTGATGATAGTGATTACCACGGTGCTAGAGCGGCAGTGCATCAAGGAGTTCGAGGCATCACACACGGCACTGATCCCGGTCTTGCATGTGTTGAACCGGAATTTCCCCGTTTACGAAATCCAAGCTATCCACCCAATGACCGGTGAGATCCTTCCAAGTCATCATTGAAACGTCAGCGCCCGGGGCTATGCATCACAAACTTTGTTTTCTCGCATCAGGATCATTCGAATTCCGTGGGAGGCGGCCCTAACTGCTGTACCTCTGTGAGGTCACCCGCAAGCATCAGGACCCCGGAAAAGATCGACCTCAGTGAGGTGTGAGGATTTAGTGGTGAGCAGTACTCGTTGTACTGATCCGGAACGTGTTTATTCTTATTACCTTGATGCCTTGTATCATTCATGGCGCTTTCTTGATGGTAGTCCGAAGGCTCATTAAGTCATGCGATTATACATAAGCAAATCCATCCCTGCGGCACCTTGTGTCCGACTCTTAAGGTCATTTCCTTCCTCTGCTCTACGATGTCTTTGTTCGACACCACACTTGGCGCGATTTTCATCGGTCTTATTGCAGGATCAATGTGGGTACCTGTGGCTGCTTTTGGAATGAATCGGGATTGAAGAAAATAAAGCGTCTACGGAATTTCGCTCCTGCAGTTGTACACCTACTGCCTCAGATTTGGTTCTAAGGATGGCTGGTTCTTACAGGCATTTGTACGTGCTATCATTGATTTCTTCCCGCCATGGCTCAATGAGTCTGCAGATCGCCGTATTAATGTACGCAATCGCGAAATCTGACCAACAGATCCGGTACGAAGCTAAACACGTCCTTTTCTAGGAGCGTTGATACATTCCATTTAATTCTCATCTGCCATGCCCTGTACTATTATACGGTCTCACACTTTGGGGACTTCGATGCTCTGGCCGTTTCAACTTGGTGCGTTACAGTCAGAACGCATCTTTGAAACTTGCTAATGAGTTCCTTAGGAGCATTGCTGTACGTTCTCAACCCTCAACTGGGAGTTTTCTCACATGAATATCCTTTTAGACTCACATACCTGTCGGTGGTGAGTACCTGAGGTTTATGATCATCTTCAGAAGTCCTGACGACCTGCAATAGCTATTGCAAGTTCTTTGGTCCAGTTGTATGTTCTATACTTATACCCGACGATGACCGCGTTGTTTACCCGGATTACAGCTTCTACGCCTACAGGGTCTACGCACGTAAGTTACCGGAAGCAAAGTTTTCACCCTGTGCTAATCTACGATCGTTGAAAGTTGGCCGTTCGCTTGTGCTACCGAGTATCATCGTATGTTGAAGACTTCTCCTAATTTGCAAGCAGCCCTGACGCTTAGTCTAGATATTTTTCTCTGTGGCCCAAACAGGTGAGAACGCGCCGCAGTCGTGGATCTGAATTTCAGACGTACTCATTGAATCGTCCGACCTCCCGCAGTCATTGGAATAGGTATGCTAGGGTTTTTTCTCTGATTGTTTACCATGTACTGATCGCGAATTCTTTAGTGCTGGCACTCAAAATGTTGGTGTTTTCCACTGCCGTAACTTGTTCTGATCTAACTCTGCGGACTAGAGCCTCGGTTAAATTTTTCGCCAACGCAAGAGAGAGCATGGTGAGCGGTAAACAAAGATGGAAGATCTGTACGCTAAGATGAATCTCAAATCCGTCCAGCCCTATGGCGTCAGCGCATTGTCCTGCGAGGTCGTATGCGATATAATCATTACCCTTTCAATGGTTTACTATCTCCGAAAAAGCGAGACCGGAATTCCCTCGTCAGTATCGGCTTCTTTTTTGTAGCTTTCCTTCATGTCAACTGTCGCTGTAGGTCAAGCAAAGTGCTGCGAAAGCTGACGCATTATATGGTCAACACCGGAGCTTTAACTACGTAGGTGGATGCTCCTGCTCAGCCGAATTTGCCAAATTGACACCCACGTTTGCTTACAGTGCAATGGCCATCGCAACTGTTATCGGGGTACGTATGCTCATCATTTTTCGGCGCATTGAAAGCGAGGATCATACTCATACATTCTGATAGTGGGCCGTTACCCCTGACGAACTCATCGACATCACTTTCTACGTTGTTATGGTACGGCGTAAGTGAAGTTATCTATCTTATTCTCTATCAAGATCTGATTTGATTATTGCAGTCTATCCGTGCTCGTTCCTTGCCATGTGAGTATGCATTCAGCTAAGAGAGTTGAGCTCACCCATCAAAATCTCGCGAACAGCTTGAATTCCCGAAGTCATCTCCGCAATGTTATGCGGCCCGGAACTGCTGAGACTGTGCATTTGAGTCAGCTCACAAGCGTTCACCGAGATTCCAGCCGGCCTACTACAGATCTGTCAAGTTCAAATTCAAGCGAGGGTGTGAAGTATGGCGGGCCTTTTGCAACACTCAGCGTATAGACGGCCATCTACGGCCTTTCAGGTCAAGTGTACATAATGTAAGCTGTACCACACATGGGAGTTGTATTCTGTTTCAAAATTTCATCACCGGGAATGTTGTAGTTTATGACCATAGGATATTCAATTTTGCAATGCTAGGCACCTTCCATAGATTCTCTAGGATCCAGGTGCAGAAAGATACGCTCGCAGTCGATGAAGAAACGAAGCTTCATAGTCTTCGTCCTAGTAATATAGACACCGATACTTTCACGGAATTAATTTATAGATGGCGCGTCGTCTTCATTTTCCAACTTTTGGTGCCTAGAATAAGTGTCAGTTAATATTAATGAAGAAGGAAGGAATATAACAACGGGCTTACTCTTCAACATACTTCCTTCCGACCAAAAGGGCTTGCATCACACCGCCCATAATCGCTCCGAGAGCAACCGTTCTTCCAGATGTCTGCCATCCCAGTCGATAGAGCGCACTGATGACTGCCGCCGTGCCCGTTCCCGCTGCAATTTCTTTGCCTGGCCATCCTTTCATCTCGAAGCCTTCTTCAATTCCAGCCCATCCAGCCCCTACTATGGCAAGTTTTACACCCTCTTTAACAGCTCCTGTGCTCCCCGCAAGGAGCACTTTATAGTTCTTGGTTTTGTTGTAGAAGTACCATCCTTGAAGAGTTCTCGGAGGACGATGGGCGTTTTCTGCCAGAAATTTTAGGGATGCAGAACGTGTTCCGCGAATGAATCCGAGGAGAGAACCAACAATGAAGAAGGCAGGAGGAAGGACCAAGAGACGAGGAGGTACAGAGAGGTAGATTCGTTTTTTTTCAACGCGATCAGTGTCGTTGTCCAAGTCGGTAGACATGACGTCATCAGAATTGCAGCTCTTTTTCGCCGCTCATGGCCGACGCATCTGCTCCTCGCAAACGAGTCCGTCCTCGAAAATTCGTCGGTTCTACCAAAGCGCCTTCGTCGTCGTCGGCAGTGCCATTGAATAGCGTTCCGCAATCGTTGCTAGAGAATGAAGCCCTCAACGCCTCCATCTCTGCACTACCGAGCAACTACTCGTTCGAGATCCACAAAACTCTAGCCCACATCCAACGGCATGGCTCCACGATGGTTGCTTTGCAGCTACCAGAAGGTCTGCAGATGTATGCTTGCGCTATTGCAGACATCATCGAAAGATTTTCTGACGCGCTTACCGTCGTTCTCGCCGATGTAACATATGGCGCGTGTTGTGTAGATGACTACACCGCCAAGGCTTTGGGCTGCGATCTGTTAGTGCACTATGGACACAGCTGTCTTGTCCCTGTGGATGTAACAACCGGTATACGGACGCTGTACATCTTCGTCGAAATCGCCATCGACGAGAAGCATCTTGTCGAGACGGTGCGATTGAACTTACCGGATACCAAGAACCGATTCTTGGAGAGTTTGGAAGAAGAAAAGGCTGCTGGGGACGCCATTACCAGTGGTCTTAAGCAGCATCTCGCGATCACCCATGATGGTGAGAAGAAAGAATCGAAGGAAGAAGAGTCGGCTGTCGGTGCACCCACCAGCCTTGCACTGGTCTCAACAATACAGTTCGTGTCTGCGCTCTCCCGTCTGAAAGAATCTCTTTCTTCACCATTGTTGAACCCCTCTTCACCTAATCTATGGCCTGGTCCCTACGTCGCGACAGTACCGCGCTCTCACCCTTTATCTCCAGGAGAGATCCTCGGATGTACTGCTCCCCGCCTACCAGATGCGCCCGATGCATTCATATATCTTGGCGATGGCCGCTTCCATCTGGAGGCTGCAATGATAGCCAATCCTGGTGTCCCTGCATTTCGGTATGATCCATACTCGAAGAAACTGACCAGGGAGGGATATGATCATGCCCGGATGCGGGATACACGGTCAAAAGCTGTCAAGACTGCGGAGGGCAAGGGGACGTGGGGTATCATACTGGGTACACTAGGAAGGCAAGGGAACCCAGGACATCTCAAAGCCATCTCATCGCTCGCTTCTTCAGGAAGCCAGATATCCATAACTCCAATTCCCATTCTGCTCTCAGAGCTCTCACCAGCAAAGCTGGCCCTATTCAATGATAGTATTGATGTCTTTGTGCAGACATCGTGTCCACGGCTTTCTATTGACTGGGGAGCAGCCTTCGCGAAGCCTCTACTGAGCGTATATGAGTCAGGCGTCGCGCTTGGGAAGTGGGGCGGATGGTGGGAGGACGGCGAGTACCCAATGGACTTTTATGCGCGAGGTAGTCGATGGGTTGAAGCTAGGAAAATGGGGGAATTCATTACGACGTGACGACTATCTGAACTTTCTCATTTCATGAAGATATAATCAGGATTTCACGCAATGTACGACAAATACTGTAGCGGTAGTGCACCCATTTGTAGCAAAGACACTCAAGACAATGAATATAGAGATAAAATGGTTGTAGCGGGAACATGAACATACTGGCGAGCGTAAATAATGTTGTTGACATGCAGACCCAAAGATCCGAAGAAAACACTCCCATAGAATTGCTGTTCAAGCCAACATAGCATAGAATAAAGTAATACCACTGAGTATGCCTCACGGATAAGCCATTTCCTAACGAAATTCCCTGCCAATATACGACGGGTGCAACTGTTATCCAATCCACCGTACGGAATACTAACGAGAATCCCGTTTAATCCTTCCACATGCTTCCGGCGGTCCTTTGTCTGCTGCTGACAGTAATATCGCGGAGAGCGCGGGGATGATGGCTGATGATATATAGACGACCGGGATGGTGTAACAGAGATCACTGGTGTGGTACATATGTACAGTGCGCAAGACAGATGAGCGCAAATGAAAGAGATGGAGAAGTGATAGTCGGACAGACTGATTGACAAGGGCGTCGAGACTCGAGAATAGTCTTCCAGGGCAGTCATTCGAACTGTCGGTTCAGATACGCTCGTACAGCATCCTGAATACTTCGACGGGCATCGGCAGGCAAAGACTCTACGAGGAAATCATCAAAAACAGCTTTTGGTAGAAAGATATAATAAGACAAGTACTGTGCGCATTCATGTTGAGGTCGGTGAGCATATCGTGAATTGACAGTGGGTTCATCTCGTTTGCAAGCTCTATCAGTGAGTTCAGTACAACAGATACACACAGATAATGTACTGCACGCACTCCTGCCCGAGCTTCTGAGTTGGTCTGTCCAGCCGCTTTCGTCCAGTTGTGCTGTGAACATGGCCTTGAGCCTAGTGATTTAGTTAAGCTGTAGCTCCGACATTTGGTAGCATACGGGAGAAGCGAATACCTTTGCCACTCTCCTGTCTCTATCATACGCTGAAGAATCTGCTTGAGGTAAACGTCAACGTCGGCAGCGGGGCCAGCCATGACGGTGGTAAGTTACTAAGGAACCGCCGCCGGCGCGGTACCGTGATTATTCGCGATCACCCGCCGGCCTTACTCCCGAATATTTTGACGGCAAATACATGGTGTATAACTAGTAGCTAGTGATTAATTTACATGATTATCAGTAAGTATTCTTTAATTAGTGCTCTGTCCCGCTCATAATCGACGATTTATGACTACGAAGCGAATATCGACTACTTAAAGACCGTACAGACGAGAATGACGGCCGCTCCCAAAGTTTGTGCTTATATCGTCGCGTATAATGCGCAGAAAAGGATCCAACACCCCACTCATACACCCCCAGAGTCGAAGGATTGCCCGCTTCGTCAAGTCCCACCTCATATTCTCCCACCTGCCTGGGTCGAATTCCCTTGATACTGCGCCAAGAGTCCTGCGAATATCGCAATGTGAATTTTCGTAAGTGCGGATTATCATGAATGATCTGGATAGCAGTGTTCAGCATCTTTCCGTCCTCGTGTGAGTGCAGTTTCGTTAATATGAAAGATTCCAGATGAACGGACTTCGTATCCTGAATGGCCTGCGAGAACTCCTTCTATATTCCATACTCAGAAGAGAACACTCTGAAATACAGAGAGTGAACTTACGACGTCGAAGGAGGGGTATGTGTAACATGTCAAATCCAGATGCGAGAGTTGGGGGCAAGAAGACAAGAGATCGCGTAATAGACTCCCGTGGTCGTGATCTATCTTAGCATTGAATGATAGGTCGAACCATATACCCAACGATGAAAGCGACGTCAGTGATTCAAGAATAGAACACAGGTAAGGGATTGACGACATCGAGTACAAGAGGGAGGTCAGGGAAAGACTTTTGATCAGGGAAGGGTTAGGAAGCGTAGCGACGTATTTCAACGTCCCTGTGAAGACCTCAAGGTAGGGAAGCGCCATTGGGGGAAGAATCAATGATGCAGGGAAATTATCTCCCCCTGCATATTGCAAGTTGAGTTTCTGAAGCGAAGGGTGTGCGAGCAAGAAATCCGTGAACGTGGGTTCTTTGATCCAGGATACACGTTGTCGTTTCCTCGGCTGGATGGAGAGGTCGCCTAGAGTAAGACACCTGAGACGGGGCCACCGTCCATGTGTTATGTGGCGGATGTCGAAAAGTCGTGGTGATGGTGCTGCTCCACCAATAGCTAGTCTTTCAAGATGAGGACATCGCTCAATGATCATTTCCCAGAATCGTTTCGGTATTTTCTCGATGTTGGGAAGGGTGTCTAGAACGCCAACACTTGGGTTAGAAGTAGGCTAGAATCATAAGGACAGTAACAAACCCGGTACCCAAGCAAGGGATCGTTTCTTGACTATGAAGGAGAATGACGTAAGATCGCTGAAGTCATAAAGCTTTATTTATCAATTGTAACCGTCAGTGTTTGAAACTAGCGCAGACTGAATTAGAACCCACATTACTAGCCGGATCCAGCTTCTGCGTTCCAACGCTCGTACCGACACTCTTCAGTAAAGGACATCTAGATGAATAGCCCAGGCGTTAGTCGGGTTTTCACGGCAGACCCAAGGTAAGAACTAAGTACTCACGAATTTCGTAAAACAAGCCATAAATAATCGTCGGGCATTTCAACGCCGTCCCAAAAGAATGTGTGAAGCGATGGCATGTAGCGTATGGCACGTACGAGTAGGTCGACTACCTCGGATTCACTTAGTGCAACGTCCATCGCGGTCCATTCAATATTGTTGGGGTGAACGATTAATTTCGTAACATGTCGAGCCATATCAGGATGCTTCAACAGCATGCTTAACACCACCTCGCACTGTCTGTTGGTCTTGAGATCAATGTTGCGGTACAAACGTGAGACTAAAAGTGCACGCATGTTGCGAGACTAAGACGAGTGATCAGCGACTACAACATACTACCAACTTCAGGACTCAAGTACTCACCGTTAGGCTCAGGTGTAAGATGTCTCGGAGTAAAGGTATTCTCCGGGCGATTTCTTGAAAAACATCTGGTGGTAGTCTCTCGATTGAGGCTAGAAGCTTAGAGGAGTGAGAACCAGGAGCAGCCTTTGTCAAGAAGAAGGCTTTGACTCGCGATATAGATCGTGAACGTGAGGGAGAAAACACACCCATGGTAGCCGGAGAAGTGCCTGGAGTGAGGGGTGGGGCTTTATATCTTTCTGGAGTCCAGCCGAGATTGAATGATTAGCTCGGCGCAGTTCCCTCCGCGACTGTCTCAGATTGTGAGATTGTCGGCCAACCGTGATGGTCATAGCTCATACTTGATACTTGAACAAACTAGGATGCTGATGGTGCTAATGTCCTCGCATCCCGAGTCGACGAAGTAACTAATGGTTGGCCGTCTTGACGAAATGTAACGTTGTTGAATATCCCCATAGGGTTCGGACATCCGCCAGTGGACTCGGGGCAAACCCCAAGCAGGAAGCCACAAAAACATTTAGTACTTCAGTTTGACGAAGTTCCAAAGGTAGTTTTTCGCGTTTGAATGGCTTGCCTGTAGGCGGGGAAAGATGTCGAAGTTGGGTTCCAGGCTCTCCCCCCCATGACGACCGGGCCAAGCGAAGTTCGTATCTAGAGCTTCTTGTTTCGATTCGTAAGGTCAACAGAAGAGTAAACAAAGAACGAAAGATGGTGGATATAGAACGGCAGCCGCTCACAAAGCGCCGATGACGGTGGATGTGGCAGGCACTTGTGCCAATTGGACTCTGCTCGCACCAACCACCATTGGGAAAGTGCACTTGGGGACGTTTCACGAAGTGGAGACAAATGAATTTGGAGCCGAAGAATCCCTCCCTTATCTCTTAACCAAATTAATGAAGACGCTTGGACGCTGCGGAATTGCCTATTGAAGACTAACCAGGTCAGAAGATAAAATTATATTCTGAACAAAGCAAATAGATATGCTCCTGAGGATTCACGAGACTGAAAACCAAAGTAGTACAGAGCGGTAAAGGTCCCGTTCATTAGTGCAGGTGACATTGACCAAAGGCTCGAATATTCACAATGCTGTCTGTGTTCTGCATACTCTAGCCCTTGCTCAAACCGAGAGCTTTAGGTACTGTCTCTTCGCACGGACCAAGGAACAAGAAGTTAGCATCCTCGTCCCCGTCACTGCGGTCAAGATTAAAGACTGCAACCTGACCACCGTTCTGGGACACCGCTTCAGCATATCCAGCAGCAGGATACACCTGTCCTGAGTCAGTAAGATAGGGTCCATGCGGAGTAGAACCTCACCGTTGAGGACGTCCCAACCACTAGACATAAATCTGCCTCGGCGACTAGCTTGTCGATGACATCCAGGTAGAGTGGCATTTCCTCGAACCAGACTACGCCAGGTCTCGCCAATGCGTTGCACTTTGCACACCTCGGGAGCTCAGCTGTTGAGATATCGGGATCCATGGCGTTTTGATCAACGAGCTCTTCCACGCCCTTGAGTCCCTCACAGATCGGAGAGGATCGGTCAAATTGTATATGGCCACATTTCTTAGAGGAGCATTTAACGTCAAAGAGGCGCCCGTGCATTTCGAGTATGCGGGGTTGTGGTTCTTCTGGCTCCGAAGGATTGGAGGAAAGGGCATCATCGAGAGCGACGACGCTCAGGCCGTCGACATTCTGAGTGATTAGGGTGAATGTCGAGTTGGGCGCATAGCGAGAACGTATGGACGATAAAGAGAATTCGGCAAGGGCGCGATGGGCAGCATTGGGTTTGACCTTGAGCGCGCTATCTCTCGTCTATTCACATGGATTTTATGACAAAATGGTGCACTCACACTTCCCTCCGATAATGATAAAACTGCCAGACAAGTGAAGGGTCGCGCTTGAAAGCCTGAGGCGTGGCAAGGGTCATTGCATTGTATTTTCGCCAGAGTCCACCGGCGCCGCGAAAAGTTGGAATTCCTGAAGCTGCAGAAAGCCCTGCACCTGCTACAACGATGATATGTTCAGCATTTGAAAGGACTTTGCTGAACTTTTTGTAATCTGAGCTTGGCGGCATATGTAAGTGAGAGTGAGAGAATATTCAATGCATGACGTCAGCGGAACCATCTAGGCTACTCTTGACAAAATCCAACGTTTCCTATTCGCTACTATGAAAACCTCTCTTTGTTCCGTCTTCCTAGCATTGGGTCTCCAAGATTATTCTGGTTCCTACCTTGACTGCCCTACTCAAGTCTTCGATACGACACCCCTTCTGAATATTACTGTCCCAATGGTGTCCACCCAGGAGCAAATTCGGTCTGCTATAGATGTGTTCGAGTCTGCTGCTCAGGGTACCAAGCCTGCCGACCTCTTTGAGATGCAGAGCTGGATGATGGGTGGTGCCCATGTCAGCCTTGGCTATGGTCTACTCAGTCTCTACGAGGTTCGTGGGCTCGCACTTATTTCGCTCGCTGACTAACACGGAATCAGCAAGCGGAAAACATTCAGCCCCAGGATGTCCAAGACTTTGTAGGATATTCGCTGCAATGGGTAGCTGCAATGGAAGAGCATCACGAGTATGCTTTTCCTCCTTCACCATTTATTCCGTTGGCTAATGTGTGTATAGTCACGAAGAGAGATTTTACTTGCCCATGTTCCCATCTAAATTCGCCTCTACCTCTGGAACAGTCATCCACGACGAACATAAATCTTTTGCTGCTAATCTTCAGTCTATGCATGATTACCTTGTTTCTTGTCTGCCCAGCGGTGCGACCTATGGATACGGCTCAGTCGCTGGGGAGCATGAACAACAGTCATTTGACGGCAAGAAACTGAAGGAAATAGTAGATGGTATGATAGAGGATTGGTGCAAGCATGTAAGAGGTATCTCCCCGTGTATGCAGCCAAAGTACTGAGCTGCTTTCTTAGATGACTAACGAGCTAACTTACCTCTCATCGTCAAATCTCCGTGAGTCTGGTTTGACTGAAGACGAACTCAAGAAAATTGGTGCTGAGACGGCAGCGCACATGAAATCTCAGGCATGTCTTCGACATTTATTCTGTCAGCCTTCTCTCACTCTAAAATTTAGCCTAAAACCACGTTCGGTGTCTATGTTGTGATTCACACGCCAAGCTCTTTAAGCTTCCCGCCTATGCCTGGTTTTGTCAAGAATTATATCATCCCTTATCTTTTGTATCTTCCCTACCGTCGTTTGTGGAGATTCGCGCCAAAGCTTTAAGCTTTAAATTCGATTTATCTAGTTACTCTGTCTGTATGTTATTGGATATTTGATACTTTTGTGGAGTATGCGTCAAGCTGGGATCGATCCACTTTAGTCCACGTGGGATTTACATACGCGCTCACGCGTCTTGCTCTTGCCTTCCACCACACTGTCATTGTACGGTGCTCGACATTACTGCCACCATGGCTGGGAAATGTGCAATGCGGGATACCTGTGGGAGGAAGGGAATGTTTGGAAGGGACCTACCATGTCCATATAACGGGCCTCCAGTCCAAGTGCGTCATCACTGCCTCTGCAGCCGGGAGCCAGCTAATTAGCAGGACCCATAGCCAGATAACCGTGACCTCCTCACCTCTGTTTGCGGCGCTGACTTCGCTACAGGGCCCACATGCTGTACCTCCGCCCAGCTCACGACTCTCCGGGACAATTTCGCCCAGGTCACCGGCCTCATTTCCTCCTGCCCTGCTTGCTTGAACAACTTCAAGTCTTTCTTTTGCACCTTCACTTGTTCTCCAAACCAAGCATCCTTTCTGAATGTTACATCTACTCAGTCGACCACGTCCGGCACGGCAGTCGCTTCCATAGACTTCTTTGTTGGGGATACCTTCTCTCAAGGTTTCTTCGACTCGTGTAAGAATGTCCAGATGGGGGCTACCAATGGTTTTGCCATGGATCTCATTGGAGGCGGGGCGAAGGATTCCAAGGCGTTCCTCAAGTACCTTGGGGACGAGAAGCCGATTGGCAGTCCATTTCAGATCGACTTCCCCCCATCTTCTGTCGAGACCCCCGAAGGAATGGAGAGACTCGACCCTCCACCACGGAATTGCGCATCCACTGACCTTGGTAGTAGGTGTTCCTGCATTGACTGCCCCGACATATGTCCATCTCTCCCCGACATCCCAGCTGCCGCCACGTGCAATGTAGGCGCTATTACGTGCCTATCATTCATTCTCATTCTCGTGTGGTCTCTGTGTGTGGCAGGGTTTTCGGGAGGTACCGTTATAGGAAGAACCATCAGGAAACGGAGAGAGAGAGGTTACGAGAGAGTTGCGCTAAGTGCAGAGACAGCTTCGCTTTCACCACGGTCATATTCACGAGGGTTGATTGGTGCCGGTTCTCTGGCGCAGTATTTGGATGAGAATGAAACCGGAAACGGGCTGCGTATAACAACGGAAGAAGATTTGGGACGAGGCGCGTCGTTATTGGATCCCGTGGAAACCGCACAACCACGCCAGTACAAACTGAACAACGTCCTGAGGCGGGGGTTCTACCGGCTCGGACTTTGGGCAGCTTCCAGCCCATGGCTGACTTTCTTCATCTTCTTCACTCTTGTCGGACTGCTCAACATTGGATGGAAGAGCTTTGAGATCGAAACAGACCCAGTACGCTTATGGGTTGCCCCTACTTCAGAGAGCAAGATACAAAAGGAATATTTCGATGAACATTTCGGCCCCTTCTATCGAACGGAACAGATTTTCATCACTACTAGTGGTGAAGAGAAGGGACCTGTTCTATCCTGGGACCACCTGAAGTATTGGTTTGACGTCGAGACTGATATTCGCCGGCTGAAATCCCAGGGTGGATATACACTTGAAGACGTATGCTTCAAGCCTGCCGGCCCTGAGGGGGCTTGTGTTGTTCAATCTCTTGCTGCATGGTTTGGGAATGACTTAAGTGGGTACGACGAGAATACATGGGAGGAACATCTACAAGGATGTGCCTTGTCCCCCGTGGAGTGTCTCCCGGATTTCCAGCAGCCGCTTGCACCACAGTATGTGTTGGGTGGTGTTCCATCGGACGAAAATGGTCGGAAAAACTACCTCGGTGCAGAAGCCATGGTGATTACTTACGTGGTTTCACATGCGTCTGGTGTGGAAGAATGGGAAGAGCTTCTTCGCGCCTACCTCGTTGGTTTGTCTGAACGGATCGGGGAGGAGGCCGGTCTGGAGCTGGGCTTCTCAACGGGAGTGTCACTGGAGGAGGAGATAAATAAGAGCACAAACACGGATGTGAAGATCGTTGTGCTTTCATATGTCGCGATGTTCGTCTACGTATCGTTGGCATTGGGCAGCGGAGTTCGCACAGAAGAAGAAGGGGTGATTTCATCACTTGTCAGATGGGCAAGGAACTTCCCTGGTCTGTTCAAACGAGGCGCATCTGGCGCAATATCGATTGACTCGCGGACCACGCCACGATGGTTGCCTAGACTCCCACGGACACTGTTCACTGCATCCAAGTTCACCCTTGCGCTGTTTAGCATATCCCTGGTCATTCTGTCGGTCTCATCATCTGTGGGATTCTTCTCCGCGATCGGTGTGAAGGTTACCTTGATTATTGCGGAGGTCATACCGTTCTTGATCTTGGCTGTTGGAGTGGATAACGTCTTCATCCTCGTACACGAGCTGGGTAGACAGAACATGCTTCATGGGCCTAATGCTGGGCTATTAGATGGAGGTGTGTTGTCGTCCGCCACCGATTCTAACTTGTCGCGTGGGGGTCACTTGTCGCCTTTTGATTCTTCGCATGACGAAGTGGATGCTGCGTCGGTTCCTTTGTACTTTTCTGCAGAGGAACGAGTGGCACGGACTTTGGCGAAGATGGGTCCATCGATCTTACTAAGCTCAATAACGGAGACTGTTGCCTTTTCATTGGGTGCTATAGTACCCATGCCGGCAGTGAGGAATTTTGCGTTATATGCCGCAGGGAGTGTGTTCTTAAATGCATTGCTCCAAGTTACGGTGTTTGTCAGTGCTTTGGCGCTGGATTTGCGGAGATCTGAGGTATGTTTCTTTGGGGCTTTGTATGGAGTGCTGTTATTGAATGGCATTCTAGTCTGGTCGTGTTGATTGCTTCCCGTGCATCAGAATTCCGAACCGTATCGAGCTACTGGATGTTCCCAGCGACACTGGACTGGGAAAAATTGCACGGTTCATAAAGAGACATTACGCGCCATTCTTGTTGAAGCCTGCCGTGAAGGGCACTGTCGCTCTCGTGTTCTCCGGCATATTTGTGGTTTCTGTTATTTCAATGCAGCATATACAGCTTGGTCTTGGTGCGCTGGTTTTCCGTCCCATCTTGTACTGCGTCTGATATATGGTGCAGATCAGCGTCTTGCACTGCCATCTGAATCATATCTCGTGCCATACTTCAATAAGCTCGATGAATACCTTGACGTCGGCCCTCCCGTCTACTTCGTTTCGACGGACATCAATGTAACCCAGCGATCCGGGCAGCAGGCGCTTTGTGGTCGTTTTACAACATGCAACGAGCTTTCCATCGCCAACATCCTCGAAGCCGAACGCAAACGGCCTGAAACGTCTTTTATCTCTGAGCCTAGCGCCTCTTGGATAGATGATTTCCTTGGATGGCTAGATCCCGCTAAGGAGTCATGCTGTCGGGTGCGGAAGCGAAACCCCGAAGTGTTTTGCAATGCGCGGGACTCGCCTAGATTGTGCCAACCCTGTTATGAAGACAAGGAGCCTGCTTGGAATATTACGATGCGGGGGCTTCCGGAGGGCGACGAGTTCATGAAGTACTTACGCCAGTGGCTTATATCGCCCACAAATGAAGAATGCCCGCTGGCTGGGAAGGCATCATTTGGTACGGCGCTATCACTGAGTCAACCTGACGAAGAAGGACAAGGAGCCGTAGTGGCGTCACACTTCAGGACGTTCCACAAGCCACTGAAGTCGCAGGCGGATTTCATTGATTCTTTCGAAGCGGCTCACCGTGTTGCTGATGACATTTCGGAGAAGACGGGATCATACGTCTTCCCATACTCACTGCATTACGTCTTTTTCGACCAATATGCGCATATTATCGCCATAACTCAGGAAGTCCTTGGCCTTGGGCTGGGCGCAGTGCTATTGGTAACCGCGATCCTTCTGGGTTCATGGCGGACGGGAATGATTGTCACGGGCGTGGTGGGGCTTACTGTGGTTACAGTCATGGGTGTGATGGCTGTTTGGGGCGTCAGTTTGAACGCCATCAGCTTGGTGAACTTGGTCATTTCGCTAGGCATTGCGGTGGAGTTCTGTGCGCATGTAGCAAGAGCGTTTATGAGTGCAGGTTCAGGTCTTCCGGTAGATCACCCTGCGGGGCAGAAGGAGCGAGACGAGAGAATGTGGACGGCCCTAGTTGATGTCGGGCCTTCGGTGAGTACGCAATTTGGTCGGTAGCAATGCTTTCTAACGAATCCATCCTCAGGTTTTATCTGGGATTACATTTACTAAGCTCATTGGAATGTGTGTATTGGCCTTAACACGTTCAAAGCTATTAGAGGTCAGGCATACTTCGATAGACAAGTGCACTTGCTGACTCCTTTGGCAGATCTATTATTTCCGCATGTGGCTCACGCTCATTGTATCGGGTGCTTTGCATGGGCTGGTGTTGCTTCCTGTAATTCTTAGCGTGGCGGGAGGGCCAGGATTCCCTCTGCAAGAGGCAGACGAGGAGTGGATGACGAATGCTATAAGAAATGATTATGAATATGCGTAAGTTGCTTGCCGCTGTGATGTCTCGTTTACTCAACTGTTTTTCGCAGGCCTTTCTTGGCCGATGATGATTCGGTCGCTAGTGATTAGATCTGTTTGTATTGAATTGCTATACGGACAGCTGTGTATCCTATAATGGCATCTGCAAGTAATTTATTGACTGGTGCATAGGCGATCTCCCGAATTACTGGGCATGCATTAAATTAGATGCAACCAACGCGTTTCATCTCGGGCGCTTGCTCTTTCATGGCGGCATCCCGCATATCACCCACACACACACTAGCACCACTGCCTACCTGAACGTTGGGGAAGGTACTGACTCAGTGACTAAGATCGTGGCTGACTGTCTGTCGTTCGTTGTCTCAGTTTCTTACATCTATACCACCTCCATCACCACCTCCTGTTTTCTTACACCCAATTCCGAAAGGCGTTCTCACAATCCATCTCATATGCCTCATATTCATCTTCCCCAGGAGGTCTACGGTGGAACGGGTGACATCACAAGTGATGACGAGAAAATAGCCGACTACCGCGATTGGCAAGGGGTTCTAAGAGACAGCGTGGCGATAGCCATGCGATGTCTTGAACGACGGCCCAACGAGGGTCCTTATCTTGTCGCTACCGGCGTAACTCCCCAGATCTTTGATGAATGGTCATATAATGATTCGTGGGTTTGGTTCCCGCGTTTCCTTTGACATTGCTGATAGTGGTCTCTCTCGTAGCGCTTACAAAATGCTCTATGATCATGACTCCCAGTCGGTCTTTTCGTTCCGAGATTCAACACCATAGCACGAAGCAGCTACAATGCAGTTCCTAGGTGCATTAGAGCAAGGATACAAAGATCTGTATAACAGCAAATCCAACACGCCACTCCGGATTCGAGATTTTCTACATATGGCAGGATCCTCGGTTTCTACGGGATGGGTCTCTGAAAGAGCCTGATGCGAGAATCCAAATAATACAACATAACCTTCGAGAAGTGGTTCCTTGCCTTGTCTTTGAATGTGCATATATGAATGAGAATGAGGCCACATTGGTTTCTGAGACCTTGAGATGGGCCGAGTGTGGCGAGTTCTCTGTCGGTTTGAAGATTCAGGACATAACTGGTTGGCCGACATCCCGTAAGTGAATTATATATGGTTCTGCTTTGCTCTAGCTTATACATTGACACTTAACGGCAGCCCGACTAACATTCTATATTGCCGGTACATGCGGGACGATTGTTACACGATACACCATTCCTCACGATGCAGCTGATCCTCGCCATGACGTTATAACACACCCTTCTGTGACGAGTCTGGAGTCCATGGAACGGGTGTTCAAAACCAATTTGCCACCAGACAGTCCGGGAGATTACTTTCAGCACAAACTGCATAAAGTACCACCGTCAGCAGGAGACATGGGCAAACTCGAAAAGTGCTACCAAATGCTTGGGCTGCCCCCGAAGCTTTCAATGAATATTAGTGTTTTTGAACAGCTCAGGGTGCAGCAAGGGGAAGGCCGAGAGTACTATGTTGAAGAAAACGATGAAGGAGAGTTTGGAGCGGTAGCAGAAGATGATGGTGCGTCTTGTTCTTCTCGACCATCGCTCTTGGAGCCCAAAGAAGTGAATGATGGGGTTCTGGTCGATGGCTGTTTTATTCCGATATTGATATCAGCATTGTATGGCAAAAATCCTCCGCCATCACCTCTTTCTCCCAATGATCGACTGCTCTTGGACGTATTTACGATTCGAACGCATATATCCTATGCTATTTCAAGATTAGTGAGATATACAGAGCATCTGAGAGGGAGCGTCAAGGCGGTGGAAGGGATGACTTAAAGGGAGTTGAGAGCTTTCAAGTGATATTTTTGTTTTGTTGCTTTGTATGAAGAATTGGACAATGGCATTTCGAAGTAATATCAGCTAAATTTTATTGTGAGCAATGTTTAAAGGAACCGGTTGCACTCTTGCATAACACGGATGTCCTAGGGAATCATGACAACTTGATAGTACGTTTTCAATATGTACTTGAAAATTCCAAAAGCACGACAAGTGTCTGTAAGTACAAGTATCTTAATCCCGCATAGGCGATCTGGATCGACTGTCCCGAATATCATCCCGACTATGGCTCCTCCTACCCCTACTAACAGACCTAGACCTGCTCCTGCTCCTGCTGTATTTAGAATACGACGAGTATGATGACCTCGAGCGGGAACGCGAGTAAGATCTCGACCTTGAGCGACTGGAGCGAACAGAATAACTTCTCGACCTGGACCTTCTGCCGTAACCTCCCCGTTGATAACTCGGGGAACGTCTTCTGGGTCCGAGTCGGTCACCACTCCGGCGTGGCGGTGACCGAGAGCGCGAACGCGAACGAGAACGTCCAGGACGGTAAAAGCCTCCACCTCTCCTTCCGCTGCCTCTTCCTCCTCTGTACCCATCCCATCCTCCCCGACGACGGAATCTTCCAGGCGGAGAGCGTGAACGTGACCGAGATCGGGAGTAGGAGCGAGAGAAGGAACGTGCGCCACGTCGTGGCCTAGGAGAACGCGAACGCGAACGTACTGGAAGGTTAGAGAGCTCGACTTTGAGTATAGCACCGTCAAGCTGGCCACCGTTCATGTGCGAGGCTGCTTTGTGTGCTGAAGAAGGGTTTGAGTATTCCAAAGCAGCTTTTCCTCTGTTTTGCCCAGCTGCAAGTGATGGGTTCGTCAGCGAAAATAGAAAAGAGATGTAGTACAATACGCACATTTTACAAATAACGGCAAGTCAATTTTTATTATATGGCCATAAAAGCCAAAGATGGTTTGGAGGTGGGATTCGACGACATTTCTGGTGAGGTTTGTCACGATGACGACTTTGGCGTTGGCATGGGGAGACGACGGTGGAGACATGGATGCATTGCGGTCTCTGTCTTGCAGCGGTTTTGGCGACGTCGAACGACCTCGGCTCGACATGGTGGTTTTGATGGAAGACGCGCTGTAGGCGTAGCACAACAAAGCACAATATAATTTCTCACGATAGTGACTGGTGACCGGCCCGGTTTACATACGTATGAAATATAGCTGGCTGAGTAGTGTGTGCTAACGTTTCCATCCAATCTTACTTGCTGTACTATTTTACAATGGCCGGATCACAGAGACGTCGCTACAGATGTGACTTAAATCCTGCCTTCTCCAGTATCTGCTGTTCCTTCTTCTTAATCTCCGCCGCTTTCTTGACGAGGGCAGGAGCGCGCTTGAGCTCCCTTTGTCCGACTTGTTGGATGTGCACCTGAAAATAATCAGTAGAGCGAAATGGAATCATCATAGAGCACCTACTGCATCAGGTCCCTATGAAGATATAATGAGTATTCTCAGTAATCGGACATGGCGATAGCACTTACGTCCGCAATACGTAGTGTCCTCAATCCTCCCCAGGTCTCAGCCAAATTCTGGTCTTGGGATAGGCCCTCAGCGCCGAATGATTGCATGGCTCGGTCAAGAACAGTCAAGGCCATGGATGGAACAGTAAACTGCTCACAGGATGAGCAGTGTTGACAATGAAGTCTTCGATTTTCTTACCTTGGCTATACCAATTTCCTTGAGCGCCCCTTTGGCCTTATACTTGTCAATCTGGAGGAAGCGCATGAAGTAAGTACAACGACTTCGCAAGTGCTGTTCCACAAACCATCAGTGCGGCACTCAAAACGAGTAGTCTTCCGGACTCAATTTCAGCACGAGATTTGGCGATATCCGCAATGACAGTACCTGTCCATGTTGAGTTTCAGTTAGCGGTGATCCTCATATGGGTAAGTACTCGAACCGTGCTCATAGAGGTATTTCCCAAAGGTTTTCCGTGAAGGGTCAGTGACCCGCTGAAGCATAGTGTCTAGAGCAGCCTGGGCTGAACCGATGGTTCGCATACAGTGGTGAATGCGTCCGGGTCTGTTCGCTGGTTAGTCCCCGCAACTGAAGAGAACTCCGATAAAACGTACCCAAGACGTCCTTGAATGATCTGGTAACGCTCAGATAACAGTTATTCCCCTACGACACAGAAGATACATACCTCAAAACCTCTTCCCCATCCTAGAACGAGGTTACTCAATGGCACACGGACGTTTTCGTATACGATTTCACAGTGCCCTTCGGGCGCGTCGTCATATCCCATGACTTTCATAGGTCGAACGACCGTGACTCCGGGGGCGTCTGCGGGGACGATGACAACGCTCTGCTGATTGTACGCATTTTTGTTCGTGGGATCACTCTTGCCCATGACAAGGTGAAGACGCGTTCTTGGATCGCCTGCACCACTGATCCACCTATCAATAGTTTAGCATTAGAATGTCAACAAACACTATCAAGAACAGACAGACCATTTATGTCCATTGATGACAATCTCGTCGCCCTCCTGTCGTATGGAAGTGCGGATGTTGGTCGCGTCTGAGGAAGACACTGTTCAAGAGATGACATTGAGTATTTCAAAAGAGCACTACTAGACACCGACGAACCAAATCTTTCGGTCATAGAGAATGCAGAACGTATCTCTCCATTCAACAGTGGTACCAACCATTTCTGCTGTTGCTCTCGGGAGCCATAACGAGCCAGCACCTCTGTAATCGAAGTTAAATGGAACTGAAAGTTACATTCACATCAAGCAACAAGGCGTACCCATGTTTCCTGTATCGGGCGCTGAACAATTAACAGCTTGCGAGGCAATAGGCCCCCCTCGACCAAGAACTTCCGCCATCACGGCATACTGTTGTCGTTCAGTAGATTTTAAGAAGAGCAAGTACTGGTACGAACCTCGAGATTACTGAGCGGCACACCAAACTCGGGATAGTGCGCTTTACTCAAAAACAGATTCCACAAGCCCAACTTTTTAGCTTTCGCTTTGAGTTCTTCGATGACAGGTATAACAGTCTTCCACCGCTTTTCCGGGTCAGCAGGCAGTTGGGCATGAGCAAGTTTTGTTGAAGGTATTATTTCATTCTTCCTAAAAGTCAGATATAATTTCACAAGAATGAACCAGACTCGCTTCGAGGAATGTGATCAACTTGGCAAGTGTCTCCTTCGCGTAGGGCGAGAACTTGTCCTCCACCTGCAGAGATCAATTGAACGCGATACCAACTTTGAGTTGAAACTGCGAACCATTGCCCATGATGCCTCGGAGGTGAGCTCGACGACTGGATGATATACCATTGCTGCTTAGTGGGAGAAAGAGTAGGTCGTGGTGGAACCAGATGGTCCGGCAACCAAGTATAACCGGACCGAGGTTGACGCTGACACGAGACTTTGGACTGACATTTGATTCTGGTAGACGCTGGGTGCGCAGCTCCTCGGAATCGAGCTGCATGGAAGCAAATGTTGTAGCGTGAACCACGTGAACCACGTGTCAACGCAAATTGAAACAGTGATGTCCATCGATGAACGATGCTGAACAGTGGTCCGTATTGATAAATGACAATCGTATCGGTAAACCCTCAAGCTGCCTCAAGCTTGCTAGCGGCAGGTACCTTTTTCCATCTATCGTTTGTAAGAACACGATCTCAATATTTCGGCTTCGGGTATCAGCTTCATTTTAGCCCGAGAATACCGTCTGATGAATCACTGCTCGAATCCCCCGTGATAATCACCCGCTCCGTCATTGATATTACGGACAATTAAGATAGGACGTTTAAAATCATATAGGTTTTGTAAAGGTTATCACTCTTCGCCAATCCCAGAGTTCTAGGTCGTTCCTTCCAGCAAAAATGAAGGATCATCCGATTGTATGGCGGATATATATTTCTTATCTCGACATCTTGTGTATAACTCCATTGTTCCGGTCCAGGGTAGTCGTACATCAAGACCGCCCAGATTATGGCGTATAACTGCTAAGTACATCAGATGAGCTTCCTTGAACCAAGAGTCCGTCATTGACGGAGGTCCCGAGGGTCGTCGCGAATGGTAACCTAGATCTGAAATTTTAATGTGTGCGAGGCTTTGACTCTGTCACGGTATCAGCCTAGCGTTCCAGGCGAGGGCCGCTCTTTTACTCAGTCCAATCACATGGCCTAAGCGTTGAATATCAAGCTGCGAGAGGATGCGCCTGAAAAGGCCTGAAACCTAACCCTGAGCTTCGAAGAATCGAGGAATGGCACTGGTTCTAGACAGATGATACGCTGAGTTATGACAGGGCCTGACCTGGGTTGTTGAAGCCGTGGAGAGACTGCCGTTATCGAGAAATTTGTTGGAGGGAAATTCGACCTGGTATTTGTACAAGCGGTCCACCGCAGCGAATCATGTATCAACACGTTTCTATCCTCATCGTTGCCGATTGGTTGCTTGCTGTTTGAAGGGTTTTGCTTAGTGAGGTTCTGTTATCACCTGCTACGTCGTGCTTATGGTGAAACTCCCAAAGCAAAACACGGCTTTCCACCCTGCCTGACAGCATCACGAGCTTTCGCTTCTTGGGTGGTTCATGTACAGCAGGACGGGATGAACCCGTACATAAAATTAGCAAGATAAGAGGCCGCTTGGCAATGATGCACGCACCAACAAATGAGGAAAATAAGATCTCCCGATACAAGAGAATCGTTAGAAAAATACATATTTATATGAGAAAGGTAGTGTAACCAGACTTAGTAGAAGGAAGTAATCATACGATATCGATACAGAGGAATCACATACATCTCTAATCATACACGACAGGATCACTCATCACTGTTCGTACGGTCATGTCAGCAAATATAACAGCATCATGGTGGATGATAATCGAAATCGAAGGAACATAAAGGCAAGAGAAAGTAACGCTATGATGTCTGAATATCTGAATCACCTAAAGTAAACGGTAAGTCAGGACCATAATCAAAATCAATGGGGTCGTAACTCTGCCATAGTGAGTCCTGATCCATACTATATCCTCCTGAATTATTAAAATTGCGAATAAACTCAAGGCCGCGGAACGGAAGTCCGGAAGCATTGAATGATGCAGTGGGCGGTGTCGTGGACAGTCCCATCGATCCGATACCATTTGAAGGTTCATAACCAGAGTAAACGGTATCAAGGCCGGCAGAATAAGCACCATACGGACTCTCATATGCCATGGCACCATCGGGTGAGTACATGTCAAGGCTACTCGTGCCGTCGGAGTTATTCCACTGCTGAGATGTCCCTTGACCCAAGGAATTGGGCGAGAGGCCATAGTCGAAATCATAAAGAGGTGATGCAGGTGGTTGGTTCGAAGTCCCGGGGTATGGATACACAGACGTCGAAGCGAGTGTAGGGCTATTGTCCTGCAAAAGTCCAGTGGCGGACATAGCGGGTGATGGAACGCCCATGGAGGAGGGCGAGCTGTTATTGCTAGGGGCCAACGTAGGGCTCGTGAAGCTCTGGTAATATGAACCATCCTCGGGATCATCGTGTCCGCGTTTACGAGACGTAGATCTTGCTCGGAGGGCAGCTATTGATTCGCGGGTCAATCATAGTCAATCATGGAATTTTGAAGTTACTCACTGTCAACGTGATAAGGCGAAGCAGCCAGTCGACGAGCACCGCTTTGTTCCCTCGATCGATTTCGGCGAGAAGTATTTTTACTCTTCAGCATTCTTCCGGGAATGGTATTGGGCGGTACAGTGGCTATTGTCACTGATCGTCGACGCTGGGGAGTAGAGGAATGAGGCGCAGCCGGAGGGGATGGGTTAGAGTCAGAATTTGTCCCTTTGGCCACAGCGTCGGTGGCTGTAGCGATAAGCTCCGCTAATAACTCTTTGCATTTGCGGGCGCCAGGCCAAGTCCCTTCCCAGGATTCGATCGCAACAAGGGCGGTTTTGGCTTCTTCGATAGCTTGTGCTGAAGCTTTGGCTTCAGACGAGTGCATGGCATACAAGAGAACGATGACAGCAGAGCCAAATAAGTGCTGAATGAAAAATGCCAAATGGTGCGAAGGAGGCACCACATTTCTGATCGACGGTGAGAGCTGTATGCACGAGCGAGCTGACGATACACCCTGAGAGGCTGACTTCTCTGTCGAAGGATCCTCTCGGTTGACTGGCAGGAGATTACGATGGAGGGTCGTAAGAACAGAGTAGTAATGGATGCATAGCACTGCAGCCATAGCAGATTGCTCTGGGGTCTTTGGATCCCTCTTAAGCATGGTGGGCAGATCGTCACACCACTGCGTAAGTTCTGCGTGAAGAGATTCCACAGTAGTTTCAAGTTCTGCCTTCCTCTCCGGTTCTAAATTCTCCCGACAGTTATCCAACGAGTAAACCTGCCGAAGAACCCGGCCTGTGATCTCGTATAACTTCGTCAGGGCGACTGTACCCGTCATCAAGAACGGCTGATTAAGGGTGGTCCCCTTAAAATACTCCGGGAGATAATCGTCATCCACTTCGCATGGGTACTCGACATCGCAATCAGAATCACTGATGCCCAGCGGTCGACCAAGAGCCAAGGCAAGCATACGGTCCAACGTATAGACACCCCACCAGATCTTTCGACGTGTTTCTTTCTCTATGGGCGTGAGAATGAGCCTACGCGGAGAGCGCTGTGGGTCTAAAGGTGAGAGAAGGGCGGTACACTAATAATAACTGGACTCACGTGAAGTCCAAGATCTTGGCCGATTCGAACGGCTTGGCCGACAAGAATCCACGCTTGAGGAAGACAGTTGACGGAACAGAGAAAGGAAGATAGAAGGATGAAACACTGGACGTGTGCGGCTTGTATGCTAGCATGGCTAATGTATTGGAGGATAAGGGCTCTATTTCATTGTTATCAACCGTTCCCGCACCCGATCGGCATCAGAATAGATACGTACCGCTCGTAATATACCATTCCCATGCCACCATCATCATGCCGCTCACTAGTAGACAGCCGGGGGTCTTGCACGATGTTAGCGGCACATGCAAAAACTGCGAAGATTAGAGATATAAAAGCGGTTTGGCTGCGCGCCAGATTACGGTCATGAGTGTTATTCATGACGTTGGTGTACTGAAGTAAGAAGGACGGCTTATCAATGACGGGCATGAGGAAATGGAGACGCGCAAAATATGCTTCGACCTATATGAACGAATTTACGAAAAGTTTTGGGGTAATTTAAAAGAGACAGAACGTACGAGCTTGTCCGCCAAATCCCGTTCTGGATATTCTACTTCTTCTGGCCCGGGAAGAGCACGAACTTTGCCGAAAAAAACAGAGGCCGGAAAATATAATTTATTGACGCTCGGGCCTGGCGCATGAGGATCCTCCTCCGCAGGCGATATCCGATGAAGTGGAGATGTTGTCAAGGCGCGGAATGACTGGATCAATGACATCGATGACGAGCCTCCCATCCACCTCATGTGACCATACTCGTCAAGTGCGAGCTGGCCGAATGAATCGCTGACATCGTCCTCGATCTTGACGGGCGAAGCTGGCTCTGGTGACCGTTGGACAGGCGCTATGGAACGTAAAATGGCCGCCGCCGCCGCGGTCTTAGATGGGTCTAATACTGGAGCGGGAGTCGTGGTATCAGATGGGGACGAACCGGCGCCGTCAGTCGACGTCCCTATTTGCTCGAGGACTGGAGCGACCTGTTTGAACAGTGATTCCATGTGAAGCAAACGCGCTTCGAGCTCCTGGACATAGCTAAAAAATTTCTATCAGAGACAACCTTGCCAAGGAAAGTGACAATGACGCACTGCCGACTCAGCGCGGCCCTATCTTTGGTCTGCAACCAAGTGCACTGCGAGCCTGAACTGCTACACTGGGAACAGGTAGGTTCACAGCCATCACATTTGATCTTCTTGCGCCTAGAAAAGAAAAAAAGGATGAGTTTTTCATTGAATGCCACAGCGGCGAGGTCGACGTGCCTACAGCTCTCGCAAGCTCTCCACACTCGTCTGCGCTGGAGCTGGATAGGTTTCTGGCCTGCGTCCTGAGTAAGAGGTTCTTCGTCAGTACGTTTCTTCTTGGATTGGTGTGCCATGGGCGTGTTGGTGTCCCCCTTGGTCATGAATGTAACGGGGAGGCGATGAAGGTATAAATCCAAGTAAGACGTCTGACCAAAGTCCTCAATTTGCGCTTTGCACGTGGTTTTTCTCGAAACGGGAAGATGAACCGGGCCGAGTTTGCCGGCGCAGTGCCTGGAGTACCGCGTGCCTGAGCACCACCAAGACTCTAAAGGCACCGTGCATGTATCGCCGTGAGGCAATCGTAGTGCTTAACGTGTGCGAAGTTGACATTTAATTGAGAATGGAATGCTCGGCACGAAAATACTACCAGCGCTCTCCACATCAGTAACTGATCTCCCTTTCAATGCCCACGACCGGCCCATGACCATATGTTCGTGTCCAACCCACGTCATTCTTCCGTTTCCAGTGAATTCTCTATCTAAATACGCCCTGCGCCACGAACAGAAGTCGATTTCGCACTCATTCTGATGCGGCCTTGGTATCGCCATCTGGTCTACTGACCAGACGTGTGGCTCGTGGGCGCTGAACAGCATTGCTCGTTATCCCGCACACGGCGGAGTAATCAAGGGACCTATTGTTGGATTGTTGTCGGTGTCTCGGTATTTTGTTCTCCACCTAAATCACATAAAAGCTTTGACAATGCAAGAACAATGACGCAATGACAAAGCGTGGCTGCCACGCGCGTTTATTTGTTTGGAGCCTCAGCCAGCGCAATTCGTTGCCAAACAAACCCACACTCTTCTCCCTCACGCTGTAATGGCCGAAGTCGAGTCAACGCAACCTCCCGCGACTGGTGAACCGGAGACGATCATCGATGATGGTGAGGAAGCTGAGACCAAAGTATGTTTATCGCCGTGCTTTTTAACTCTTTATTGACGAACTACAGGAAATCATGCTAATGAAGCAACGAGTGGAGGAAATGGAAAAGGAAGCTATGAAGCTTCGAGAGATGCAGGCTGAGGCAGAAAAGGTTAATAACGATGGCATGGACGCTGGCGTTCCGATGGAAACAGACGAGGATAAAGCCGCTGCGGACAGTCGGAGTGTTTATGTCGGTAATGTCAGTGCTGTCTCGCCTTTCGGTCCTTCTGTCTTTTTTTCCTGATGTTTCAAACAGGTTGACTACAGTGCTACACCGGAGGAGATCCAGGGTCATTTCCAAGCTTGTGGAACGATAAACCGAGTTACGATTCTGTGCGACAAGTTTACAGGACATCCGAAGGGGTCAGTTTTTTCAATATACTAAAATCACATTGACTGACGTCTCTCAGTTACGCGTACGTTGAGTTTGCTGAGCCAGAACACATTGACGCTGCTTTGACCATGGACAACTCTCTATTCCGCGGCCGTTTGATCAAGGTCGGAGCAAATTTTCCTGTGGCGTGTACATTGTAACTGAATCGCTGACATTGCTAGGTTACGGCAAAACGGACCAATGTACCTGGGTTCAACCGAGGGCGTGGTCGAGGTGGGTATAGAGGAGGCTACAGGGGAGGATACCGAGGTGGTTATGGCGGATATAATCCATACAGAGGGCGTGGCCGGTATGTTGTACCTAACATCTAGTTCTTCTGCTGAACATACATTTGCAGAGGTCGTGGTCGCGGGTTTTAGGCTCAAACGGAAGTACGTCACATTCTCTTTTGTCGTTCTTCCCTTCGTTGTGTTATTTGTGTAACGTAGTCTATTCAAAATTACATTTACAATGCCATCTTGTAATTCTATGCCTGTATGTTCGTGACCAGCTAAAAATTTGGTAAAGTTATCTATAGGCTGAAGGACTTCCGAAATTGGCATATTGATTTTCTGTCCTCGACCACCACATTGGGTCAGGCTCACGTTCTGTGGCGACATGCTGCCAAACTTCCTTCGTTGGGCGACAAGGTCCATGTCGACCGCAGCAAAGACAGAGGCGAAGGCGTACCCATTCTCCAAGACAGCCATTATACATCCTAAACCAACTTCGCATATTCCCAATGCTCTTCGGGAAGGCAAAGGCCTCATGCCATACCTTTTCAAAAATCTCCCTCCACTCGACAAGCAGAAAATGCTCCGAACATTATTCTCCCGCAGGTCTCCCAGTCAAGTGAAGCCAGGCTCCATCCTCACCGTTACTATGGACCATGCGCCATCCGTTTTTACGGGTGTTTTGCTCTCAATACGACGACGCGGCCCCGACACATCCATTGTTCTGCGCAATATTCTCCAGCGAACGGGTGTGGATATGCAGATATTCGTCAACTCGCCGCATGTCAAGGAGATAAAGGTGGTGCGAAAACCTCCAAAGGGCAGAATGAGAAGGGCGAAGCTGTTCTATTTGAGGGATGCACCCGACAAAATGAGCATGATTGCAGGCGCCAAAAAGTAACCAGCTACTGGTGAGCATCGATAGTTTTAATATGTAAATTGCGGTATTCATCGCGTCTTTAGGATGACTGGCGTTGTCACTCAAGTTTCAATTTCCTGCGACACATTCCAGACTTTGTGGCGCATCGGGTGGCAGGAGTAGATATTAATTTCGTACAACGACTGTCGGCTGTCCTTCTACCTGCAAATGATGACTTGTTCTTGAACTGACAGAAATTCTGAGCACCCTGGCAGTGTGACTGACACATCAGCACTGGCAACGAAGTACGAAGCAGATACATGGTATGACCACACACGAAAATTTGGACATACGGTGACAAAATAAAAAATTGAGAGTTTGCGGCGCTTGATCCGGAAGAGTAACCAAATAGAGCCTAAGATACAGGCGGCAGGCGCACTGTATCTGCAACTGCGCGGCTTCGTCACTTACCATCACTATCATGGCTCCTCATCGTCCCCGTTCCCTTCGAGGTCTCGCCTTTGGCTCCAGGCGCAACTCATCAGCAGGACCTCCTTCGCCTACTTTCTCTGACACCACAAATGTCTCACAAATGAACTTTGGCGCAAATGGCCCAGAGAAGATAATAACCAGGTCCAACTTGAAAGCGAGTCTTCAGGCATACGAAGAAGTAAGATTTTCGGTATCTGTCCAAGCAAAGGATTACAATGCGCTTGAATGCAGCTCATGAACACCTCTGCAAACTATCGTCTTGCTCTCGTTGCCATGTCGAAAGCAACTGCAGCATTCGCGGATGCAATGGAGGCTTGTAGCGGGTGCGAGGTTTCTCATGTCCTGATCGTGTTATGTTCTTATCCTGCTCTAGTCTCAAGGGACCATCATACGAGTCGGGAACACGCTTACAAGCTGCATCTGGCCTTCATCATCTCATAGGGAATCATTGGCATGTCCTGGTCAGTCAATATGTGTCGTGTCGGAAATGAACTTATCCGTGCTAATATCCAGAAATAGGCTGAAGCAATTGATAAGAAGTTTGAGAAACCGCTGCGCCAGCACCTGGAGACGTACCGCACGATAGTGATCGTATGTTCGAACTAGATATGAATTGAACTTGACGCACATTCAATTGCTTTACAGGAACGGTCGGCATCATACGAACGTGCGCTGCGGGAGAAAAGTCGAGTTATTCGGGATACAGAAATGAGGAACATGAACAGGAAAGAGCGAAGTACGAAGCCCCGATCATACAAGACGAAGCCAGCTGAGCCGAAGGTCCTTTCTAGATTTACAAAGCTTCCGCGAGGCCCTGTCAGTTCTTCAGCAGCAGGTGGACGATCTTGATGACCTCAAGGCTGCTCATTACCGGGAAATTATCGAACATGAAGAAGAGGTGTGGGATGTAGTACAGGGCAAAGTGGGTTCTTCATTTCATACAATGTAGCGTTCATTGACTTTGAACGTCCAGGTGTGCTTAGTTGTCCGCTCTACCATGGATTTGTTTGATAGGTTCACTGCTAAGGCGTGCGTACCTTATGCGCCAAACCTAGGACCCAGCTGACCTCCAAATGTAGCTCTGACCCAGTCATTGAGCCGATGCTTCAGACGGTACCGGACCCGTTTGATTCTTATGGCCCACCCCAAGCCGAAGACCAGATATTCAGCATTCTTCCTCCTCTTTCCATTCTTACGAACCCAACTTCATCGACATCGGCTACGCCTATAATGACAACACCAGAGCTTAATTCTATGGATGGTTTGCCTAGTTCCTCTAGCAGCCGAAACAGCTCAATGACGTGGACTCCAAATACTTCAAATGGATTGTACACATCAGAATCAACTGAATGGGCGGATGTGTCTCCTACCTCAACCTCACCAACTCCACCGAGATCGGTGTCACCGCCAGTATCACGTAGGCACTCAGCACCACCCATATCTCAACCCGGACATCATTCTCGCCGTTCCGAGTCATCAAAGCTTCGCAGCGTTCTGTCAGCCATTGATGAAGGTCATTCGCGGCAAGGAAGTCATGAAGCTTCGCAGACAGAACCTGCACCTTATACTTCCGTACTGAACGGCGCATCACCAGCTCAGCCGCAGCCAGAGAAAGAATCTAGTTTCAACTGGACGTCACCTTTTACCTATGGCAGGTCACCATATGAAGACATAGATGACGGTGCCACGCCTCGAGGCTCAGCATATAGGGTTAATGCTACTCCATCACCTCCTGGATCACCTCCACTTGACGGTAGTAGTTCGGAGAGCAAAGAGCCCGATGAAACAAAATCAGAGCACAGCACCTCGAGCATGCCCGTTACTACATGACACAATTGACCTCTTCCGGCAACCTCACGCGGCGGAGATTTTCAGGACTATGCTTTCATTTTAGTGGTTCAACATATGGTTGCTTTTTAGTATGTAATAGGCTCCCTAGACTGTTTTCTTTTTGGATATATGCGACTTGCCTTCACTCCACTGCGCTTTGTGTTTCTGAAACCTGCCGGTAACGCCCAAGCCCATATTGTCGTAACGTGGAGTCTGGTACGGGCGCAGGACTTTCGAAAAGCATATCGGTGCCGGAACTAGTCTTTGGGAAGGCGATCACGTCGCGAATGGATGATGAATTGCAGAGTATGGCCATTAGGCGATCAAAACCTGTGAATGAGCGATGATGAATTGAAAAAAGCATGTCGGACGGGAAGAGGGTGATGACGGACCTAGGGCAATACCGCCGTGAGGTGGAGCACCACATCGAAGGGCCTGAAGAAGATGATTGAAAGGCTCCCTCTCTTCCGCCGAAAACTATGATAGCCGTTGATTACCTCCGAGTCCAAAAAACACGTTACAAGCCAACTGACCTTGAGGATGTCCGTAAAGATGTATTCCTGCATATCTGCATCATGCACACGCACGGAACCCCCTCCGACTTCAACGCCGTTGAGGACCAGATCGTAGTGCTGACCCCGGACCTGGAAAAAAGCCGAGTGAACAGACACCCAGAATTATGAGAAGTAATCTATTACACTTTCAATCTCGCCTCTAAACAAAGCTTCTACATCCTGCCACATTGGGGCAGTAAATGGATGATGTGTACTTGACCATTTCCTATCAAGTTCTAGTTCTGGCATGAATAGCGGGAACTCTGTTATCCAGAGGAAGTTTGATGAATCGGGTAGGACGAATTTCCCTGGAAAGAGCTTGTTAGAGGAGGGCTTCTTACATCGGCGATTTGCGCTGCAGCTGACCTTGGTCAACGGCTGTCTCGAGTAAATGAAGCCTCTGTCTTCCTAGAACAGTGGATCCACCCTGCATATGGAGTCAGCGCATGATCCCATGTGGCATAGATTGACCTCACAGTGGCGATCCTTGATCTTCGAGCTAGCCAGAGTCCGTCGCCAGGTGATATCCCGAGCTTCTCGCAGAGTGCGGCGACTTCAGACGCGTTCACTGCCTCTGAGATCTGGGGTACAACTCGACTACGATTCAGCCATGTTTGGATGGTCTTCGTGGTCATCGGGACGAACTCCTGAAGTAAAAGCATTCAGGTAAGAGAAAGCTAATTATGCCAGTTGTCTCGTACCGCGAAAGGTTCGACTTTACACTTCGGGGACACTGACAAGAATGAAGGCTCCTCGCGGTGCCGCAAGACGATGCATTCGACGATTTCATCGTTCTCCCTTAACACACTTTGGATCCGAGAAGGTAAAGCTTGAGTGATATCGGAAGTCTACCAATTGAACGGTAAACGGCCCTGATGTCCGGCACTAAAGTGCGACACGTACTTCTAAACCGAAGCGTGTGTCCGGTTTATCAGACCCAAACTAGAAAGAACAATGATCACCACCTATTGAATAGAAGAAAAAGACACCAGGGGGCTTACACGTCTCATCGCGTCAAAGTAAGTCATGACCTTGAACTTGTTAGGTAAGGTTACGCCTTTGAACTGCTGCCAAATTTTCTTTATAATAGTCTCGATGACATCCCGGACTTGAGTGCCTCCCATTCGCCAGGCATCAGAACTCGGGGACTCAGTAGCATCTCCCTGAGATCCCCATGACACAAATGCCATCTCCATATCAATCTGAGTAAATTCCGGCTGCCTATCCTTCCGGCCGTCCTCGTCACGGAAGCATTTGGCAATCTGGTAATAACGATCTACCGCCCCCGAACAGATCAACAATTGTTTAGGCTGCTGCGGTGACTGGGCGAGAGCGAAAAAATTAGGTGGGTCCGAATCATTGCTAACCTGTGTTGGAACGAGATACTCCTTTGCGCCTTCAGGGGACGAACGTAAGAGCAGAGGAGTTTCCACATCGAGAAAACCTAAAAGATGATGAGACAAGTGTTTTCGACAGGGAAACACGGAGAAGGACCATTTTCGTGTAATATATTTCTAACGAGGTGCGCCACATTTGCCCGCCTCTTCAAGTTGTCGGAAAGAAAGGGACGCCGGAGGTCAAGATACCGATAGCGCAGACGATATTCTTCGTTTGGCTTGTGGAGCGGTTGGTAAGGCAAAAGATGAGCACGGGAAGAGGTACCTACTAGATTGTGACCTGACGGAACAAATGGTAGTTGGGTCGCGGGGTTTAAGAGGACAAAACTGTGAACTTTGATGTCGATGTCACCTCCGGGGCCCTGGAATAGAGTCAAACACGGAAGATGGGTATGCAAAATGAATACTGACATCCCGACGGGCCTCTGAAGGCCTTAAAAGGACCGAGCCTTGAACTAAAATGACAGACTCGACAGGAACCTGAGATAGAGCGTCTGAAAACGCGTCGGTATTGTCGACGATGAGCTGGACTGTGCCGGAGGGGTCTTTGAGCGGAAAAAAGGAAGAGATACGACCCTTCCTTGTCGACAAGAGAGTTGTTGGTGGAAAATGGACGAATGGAGTAGGAAAGAAGTAATCACCGTTTATTCAGGAGCCAGCCAGACAAAACGACCCGAGATCCAACATCTGACGCGGACAAGGTGCCGCAGCGGTGAGTTCGAACTGGAAATGGCGCTAAAAACGGGATTCGAGATTAAAATTTTGTTAAAAAAGTTGTTGAAGGAGACTACGGCTGACCGCAATGGGCGAGAAAGTGCCGATGGAACGGGTGGTGTGGCTGAGAATAGGCTCGGCAAGAGAAAGGAACATGTGAAGAGGCAGATAAAAGTAAAGGACACCGTGGAACCGCCTGAGGCAGTGCCCGGAGCAATGCTCGCATCACAGGCGCAAAGAACACGAAGCCACTTGGAGGCACAAGGTCAACCTTCACATTTCGATCAGTTACGTAACTCTCAACTAACCCTTTGTTACTAAGAACAGAAAGGAAGTGCAACAACAGAATCTCTTCCCTGCCATCACGTCGTCCCTGCATCTAGCCGATATAAAGTAAACTTACTATTCCAATGTATTTGCTACTATTCCCTCATGCCTCCCTCCCTCGTCGACCTACCCGTTGAGCTCCTTGATGCCGTTTGCTCCCATCTTAGCCCTTGTCATCTACTCCCCCTTCTCAAGGTCTGTTCCCCCGTCTCCCCAGTCGCCCAGCGCAGACTCTATCGCACTATTTTCGCAGCTCCTGCAGCCAAAAATCTTTCCGTCGTCCTCACCCTCGCGAGAAATCCTCTTCTCGCACAGTATGTCACCTCTTTCTCTATCAATCTAGACTCCCGGCCCTCCTTGTTCCTGTCCTTCTTTCGCCATCTTGCGGTGGCGCTTGGGAACATGACCAACCTCGTCCATTTGTGCGTCTTCGTCCCTCCTCGGGTCAGCTGGATATTACTTCCAATCAACTCATCACACTACCCCTCCTTATCCCACTTCTCATGCTCGTTTCCCTTTAATTCTCATGTCGCGACCTTCCTAAAAGCCACCCCTTCCCTTCTAAAATTAGAGGTGGACACATTATCCCCTTCATTTCAACACGACTATCTCGAGGCCCTTCCATCTTCCTCGGTACCTCATTTGTCCCACTTTACTGGTTCCTCCCAGGCCGCCCGTGCCATCGTCCCAGGCCGTCCAGTTCAATCTCTCCGTATTAATTCAGGTCATGTCGATGACAGCGTTGTCGATGCCATCAGCCAATCCACAGCTGATATAACAGTCTTTGAAGCCACAACTACGTCTTTCCCTGCGTCGCTGCTCCATCTTCTTTCCCAGCGCTTGCACCAAATGATCTATCTCAGGATTTCATCCACCTGTAATTTCTCGGGACTCCCCGACACGGTACCTTTTGTTTCATACTCTCGTGCCTTCTTCGTGCTCATTTTTGTTTCAAGGCTTTTTACAAAGATATTGCCAGCGCCTTGACAAAATTCCCAGCCCTTGAAGGGTTTGAACTCTCTGGGATGCTCTGGGGCTCCGTAAAACCAGACCAAAAGCAGGTCGGAAGAATTTGGCAGTCAAAGCCGCTTGACATTGATTTCGGCCCAGAGGAAGGTGCTGAATCTATTGATTCTTATTTGGATTTTTCTTACTACTACTGACGTCCTGTCAACCCTGCGTACCAAGTAATTTACCAGTACTGATACTTCTTTTCACAATATGTCATTAATCTTCGACATCACTTCTGATACGTCGTTACCTAATTAGGCATATGTCACACTATACTGTACCGTGACACAAGAATTGGCTTCTCGAGCTTCTCCCACTCGAATCATTCTTCTTCTGTGACCGTCATGAGCAAACGACCTCCCAACGAGATCGAAACCAAAATCCATCAAGCCGCGTTATCTTCTGATAATCATGTAAAGCTCTTGTTTGTCGAATACTCGCACTCGGACTTATTCTTCATAGGAACTTACCCCGAAACAAATCGAAGAGATCGTACCAGATACCAAAGCCAGACAGAAAGCTATCAACTTCCTATTAGCTGTTGGGCTGTTCAAACCGTTAAGCGACGGGAAAAAGAAGATCACTTTCAGAGCCGTCGCCAAGGCAGAACTTAACGCGTACTTGTCATCCCTTTTTACCAAGCTATGCCGAGTCTGACCGGCTTTGGTTAGAACCAAGGATCTCAGTGGAGAGGAGAATCTGGTGTTGGGTCACATAAAGGCATCACAGAATGAAGGTACGTGAACGCAACGTGACCTAAGCGAAATTGTTTCCATGATATCCCTGCAGGCATATGGACCAAGCACCTCAAGGCCAAAACAAATCTACATCAAACAATAATCGATCGCTGCTTGAAAACATTGACTCAGAAAAAGCTCATCAAACGCGTGCAGTCCGTGCAGGTGGGATTCTTCAAAGCGAGGCAACCCTTGTTTCTCTAATGCCGCTATCAGTATGCGACGAGGAAGATCTACATGCTCGAAGGCATAGAACCATCGATCGCGCTCACGGGGGGACCATGGTATACAGATAACGAACTAGACACTGAGTTCATCGAAACCCTTATCAAAGCGTGTTTCAAATTGATACGTGATATGGTATGGTCAACGTTCCCAAGCATTGTACTAATGTGCTAACATCTTACGACAGAGTTATCCAAAACGCGGTTCCAAATACGAAGGAGCGTTATACCCCATATCCAATTCCCCACAGTATCCTACGGCACAGCACGTTCGAAACACTCTACGGCAGGCTAGGCTGACAGAGACCGATCTCACGGTGGAGCACGTCGAGATGTTGTTAAATGTTCTAGTCCTCGACGGAGAGATCGAAAAGGTGTGTTGCATCTTCATTGGCCGTCTAGTGGTAACGGTAATCATTGCACTTCAGATCCCCGCTTTCGGCATTGCATCCTGGAATACAAATTCCGTAAATGAGGATGACTCCGGAGATGAAACTGACAATAAAAAGAAGACAAAAAAAAGAAAACATCGCTCTTCTGATTCCGACGGCGAGGACAACACGAGTAAACGGAAAAGGAAAAAGCGAGCCACGACGGACGATTCAGACTCGGATGATCTCTTACCTAAAAAGTCGAAAAAAAGGAGGAGGGACGGTGACTCTGGGTCGGACGTTGAATCTACCAAACGCAGAAAGAAAAAGGTGATCTCCGACGATGAAGCGACAGATTCAGACGTGGATACCAAGAAGAAACGGAGGCGGGCCAAATCCAAGAAATACGACAGCTCTTCCGAAAGTGATTCGTCTGATTCTGAAATGGAAACACGTCGTCACAGTCGTAAATCATCGAAACTTCGGCATCGCTCGTCCTCTCCTGTACCCGGTTTCTCCGATAGCGAAGATGGGATATATGTGTATAGGGCTATACGGCAGGAACGCCTGTCGCTTGGCTGGTCTGAATCACCGTGTGCCAAGTGTCCGTCGTTCGAATTCTGCAAGGACGGAGGACCTGTGAATCCACGAGAATGTGTTTACTATGGGGATTGGTTAACGGGTGGCCCCGTGGCTGAAATCGAGGACACCGCATAGGACAAAGAAGGCCGTTGTAAAGACTATTCATAATTCCGTTACCCAATAAAGTTCGTATTCTCTAATCCCGAACTTCTTCGACCTGCAACTCCTGTACAGCCCGCTGTACGAACAAATGTGCGTCGTATCTGATCAACCAAGGATGTGCCTCGTTCTCGGAGGTAATTAAGGTTTCTGTGCCTCCCGTGAACTCAGCCACAACGCCCAGGTACACGTCCTGTCCCTGTACCAACTCGAATTTTTTGAATTGCCATCCCAGTGAGACTGCACCATCTACCCGAATTATGTCCGAGGTTACGTCGAATTCCAGTCGACTGAAGTCGAACCCAAGGCCAAGGCCAAGAGCTTTTGTATAAGCCTCCTTTATCGTCCAAATCCAAAAGAATCTTCGAAGAGCTTCGTCTTGCGATACTTCGGGGGAAAGTAAACAGCGACGTTCAAGCGTGGTTAGCTGAGTTGAGAGTTAAAAATACGCGGCGACGTATAGCACTTCAACTCGCCTGATCTCCTACAGTCTCTACAAAGGATCTGAATGACTCGCGCCCTGGAATCCGTACCTTCATTACATCAATGCCAATAGAAAAAGATGGCGGGTTTGTCGTGCCCGGTCCGAACGCCATTGCTACCAGACCGTTATCATGGGATATGTTGAATGCAACGGGCGGATCCAGATAAGGTGTGGTCTTGATGATTGTGAGCGTATTGCAACAGCCGAGATCTGGTGCCCACATACAATATATGGTTTCCTTGCCTCTGTCGCACCAAATGTCATAGCTTGCGGTAGGACGCCACGATCCCTGAGCATCATACGGGGCAGCAAATGCCCGATGAGTGTCCCTAGCAAACTGTCAGACACTACTAAAATCGGAAAAAACAGACACCTACGACAGGCATCCTCCCTTCTAAAGAACTTTTTGACTCGCGTCGCGCTTTCTGGGTCAACGACTGAGAGGCCTGCATGGTAAAGCTGTTCAGGTTAGTGTAAATCTAAGAGTAAATCAAGGACTCTTATATACATCTTCAGAAAACAGAGCAGGATCGTAGTGAACCGCCCAGACTTGCATGGGGGGGCAGAGATGATGCGAGTTAGTGATCAAGGACTGATCGATGATTGATGATCGACATTCCAGGCATTCTTATCTTATCGCGCTACAACTTCTACTTCATCTTTCACATCTAATTGTCCTTCTTCAAGGATGAGCCCTGCGATGCACGGATATGGGACACCACAGTTTGTCACCCTTGGGATGTTTATCATCGATGAATTCTCTTTCCTCGATGATGACGGAAACCCGACGGGAAAAGAACTTGCTCCTCAGGAAAGCCTAACAACGCGATTATTGAACACCCTTAAGTGCTCATGTCGTTGATTATCTGTAGATCGGTGGTGGAGGCACTTATGCAGCTCTTGGGGCACGTATATGGTCTGTTGTACTGTTACAGTATCAAGCAGATACTAAAATCTGCGGTACCTCTTGCATAGGCTCCCTCCGGATAAGATTGGAATGATAGTTGATAGAGGTAATGACTGGCCATCCGATATCCAAGAGGAACTCGATAAATATGGCCACGAGATGTGGATGTATCGCGATCAGCTCTCAACGCGTACCACCCGCGCCCTCAATTCTTATATGGGTGATCACCGAAGGCGCGTCTTACAAAATCTCCGTGCAGTTGATTCGTTAACTAATTGAATATCGTTGCTTTAGTTTTGACTATCTTACTACACGTATTCGTATCACACCTCGAGATCTTCGAGGAACTAGGTTGGCGCGGGCGCCTACTATTCATTTCGTGTGCTCTCCCTCTCGAGCACATTCCATCGTGTCTGAGATTCACGAGGAACCCAAATGGCATCCAACTACGATTTGGGAGCCTATTCCGGTGTGTTTTTGTATTATGAATCAAGGATCTGCATCTTGAAATTGATACGTACCAGGATCGGTGCGTTCCAGAGGAGCTTCCGGCTCTAATCAAAGTCCTGCCACAAATCTCTGTCTTGAGGTAGACAATGTAATCCAACATATTCTGTTGACTGACAAGACACAGTCCAAATGCAGAAGAAGCGCTTACCGTGTTGTCTATGGCGCTTCCACCGACTAAGAGTTCCATAGAGGAGGCTGCACAAAAGTTCCTCGACTTTGGGGTTGGAAACAAGGGCAGGGGATCTGTGATAATTCGCAGTGGTGAACTCGGGGCCTATGTGGCCACGAGAGTTAATGGCGGTAAATGGATCGACGCATTCTGGACAGATCAGGATAAAGTCGTGGACGTGACTGGTTTGTTCCTCATTTATGCGCAACAACGGCATAAATTTACCGTATGTCCTAGGCGCAGGAAACAGCTTTCTTGGCGGGTTAGGGGCCGGCCTATATCTTGCCCAAGGGGATGTATATCAAGGTCCGTGCATTATATGCAAATGGTGCTTGCCAATGACCCTTGTACCAGCCACTCTCTATGCAACCATTTCAGCTGCCTTCGTTATTGAACAAGAAGGCTTACCCCAGATGTCCCAAGAGGTCGATGATAACGGTTCTACAATTACCTTGTGGAACGGCGACTCGCCAGAACGGAGATTACGTCTGTTGCAGGATAGATAAAGGAAAATAACGATCCGAATATGTATATGCAACTACTACAAAATGTCGGTACAAAATAAAAATAAGCGCGGTAGAAATTGGGATACTAATACACACAGATTGGCTCTGCTCACTGCTGACCTGACTCGAATCTTGCTCGGCTGGCAGCAAACAATTCTTGTTGAGCTGCTAATAGTTCTTCTAAAAAAATGGAAATAGCTGTGTAAGAGTCGAACTGCGCATACAGCAATCAAGCGGACTAGCCTTCGGTCATTCCAGACTGCTCGAACTTGGAAACCTTCTTCTCTCGGTCCTGATGAACGATATGTCAGGGAGACAGTTAATCACGAGCGGCGCGATACACGCCTTCTGCTGTTGCTTGTGATCTTTTAAAACATCCTCCACCTCGGTAGTGAACGAGTCAAATCCCAACCGCTACAGACAGACAAGGTGAGAGTTACGCCGAGACGCGGACAATGAGAGACGAACCTTAAGCGCGGAAATGATATGATCTGGTGCAATGGTCTTTTTGGACTCTTGTTCGCAAATCTCGTTTGCTTCTGACGAAATCAGGTGTATGAATTCTGTAAAACAGATAGTAATGGGCTCTCATTTTGGATAAGCAGACAAAGTATTTTACCTACACAACACTCAATAACAAGGTCTCTCGTCTCCTTCGCGCACACAACATCATTAGGGAGCAGCTCTGCAACGAAGAGACGCGTCAAAACAAGTCGAGAAAGAAAATGAGTCGACGCACCTGAAATCATTTTTGTCACAGTCGCCTTGGGTAATGAAAGATCATCATCTGTGGGTACCCCCGAGTGCCCCTCGCGATCCGACATGGTAAAGAGATAGTAGAGAGCGCTTGCCCTCGAGAAAATGTAGTGGAAGAGAAGACGTGACAGCTGTGGAGGGTTTTGGGCCCGGCCCAGGATTTTCAGCAATTTCAAACTCCGCCAGGTTGCTTCGAACCATCATGTCTGCTGTGCGTCTTTTGCCGCTCAATGCGATCGTTTTCTCACATTTCATGTAATTCTAGGTCAACCCAGTCAACCCCAAACCTTTCATGCAGGAACTCACTGGCAAGCCAGTGTTCGTCAAACTAAAGTGGGGACTAGAGTACAAGGGTTACCTTGTCAGTACAGATGGGTTCATGAACCTTCAAGTGAGCGCTGCTGGGCCCTTCTCTCTTCGCAGCTTGACATCGTTCTTTAGTTGGCAAATACAGAGGAGTATCAAGACGGAAAGTCGAACGGCGCGTTGGGTGAGGTGTTTATAAGGTGCGCGTCATTTTTCATTCGAGTCAGTGAGAGATGCCTGACTTTTACGGAATAGATGTAACAACGTGCTATATATTATGAGTATATTCCATCGCTTACCTTGTATGCCTGCTAACTTCTTCCTTACAGGGAGGCACCAGCCGAGAAAACCGAGTAGACCTAGGCGGTCGCGTTACGCGTTATACGATGTCTTATCTCCACTCAAGATTTTTGGTCATCACGACCAGAAGCGAATCATGCATTTGCTAGTCTTGATTGTATTATATGCTCGTGATGTATTGGCGAAGTATCTTTCTTCTTGTGCTACGCAATATATTGATCTTAGGGATTCATCGACCAATCCGGCGTAAATGAGAAAATAAATCTGCTGAAATCCTCAGTGTTGTCTGCACGACCTTAGCATCGCTTCAGCTCTCTACAAATGCAACATATGTTGCTGTCGCGACTTGGAACCTTCACCGCATCCGCCTTTTGTGTTGACCGTTCAGCCAACCATTCCAGGCATGACTATGGATATGCTCCGTATTCTTGAACGTTATATTATTTCTCTTTGCACCAAGCGTGCGTATCTTTCTCTACAGATATCTATCTACCTCTCGATCAAGAAACTACGTCTTCCCCTCCTTCCAGGAGCGTCTTCATCGTTGATGCACCAGAACGTGATGGTCAACAAAATGCTTGGATACGATTTCAAGCCCTTTGTATGTCGCAATGGCGCACCTCCATAAACGGACGCTGCTTCGCCAACCGGCTTGGTTTAAGCAACTTTTTTCTGAATCTGCTGAGAGGTACAACTGCACGCGACGGATATACCACTGTTCAGTGTCGGCGGTCCAAAACCCGACACTGAGAGCAGAATTTTTGAAACTACCGTCCTTCGGGAACCAAGATATGTCTTGAGTGAGACTGTACCCGTTAGGAGACTGGTTGTACACCTTGTAAACCCCACAAATGACATTCAGTTGGGATTCACTGAGGCTTTCCTCCCACATGTGAATCTCGCGCTCCTCTCGGCCTAGGACGGTAACTTTATGGCATTTTCCATAGCGCAAGATGTCATCGGTTGGGCGTTGCAGAATGACACTAAAGTCGTCAATGTGTTCCATAGCGAGACGCCATATGATCCCTCCGTGCATCAAAGCAGCCTTTGCAACGACGGGGTCGCGCAATAATGCAGCCCTTCTGCGCACATAAGATATGTAGTCCAATAGACCAGCCTTGAAATTGGCTGGTCTATATGGAATGGCTGTATAAGCAGTTTGACATGGGCCGTTTACACAGGGCTTTCTCCCTGACTTTGGATTCGACGGATCTGCTTGAACGCCCACGGTGAAGCGGATACCATGGCCGCAGAGTTCCTCTATCAGATCGTCAAGGCACGTCATTCCAGATAGACGTAGACAATGCAGAACATCGTCGGCGCGGTAAACGATGAGCATGTAGCGCTGTTCGTGAACCTTCGATGCGCCCTGGACTTGAAGGCGGTATCCCGTTCTCTCGTCGCCTCCATCGTGCCATCGGACAGCTTGGATATCCAGAGGAGAAGCAAGTTTACCCAAGTAGCTATGTGATTGAGGTAATAAATCCCACCAAGTAACAGGTATGGACGTTGGTGGCGGCTGCACGTGTGAAGCCGTTATAACACTTTTGCCGCTGCCTTCCTTCTTCGTTGCATGCCACGCCAACCATAAGACAAATTCTCCCAAACTCAGAAAAACCGATTTTTCTACGTCGTCCTGCGGTACGCTGAAATATTCTAGTGATTTCAGACAAGTTGTGACCTTTGCCTCGTCCACTGCAGTTAGTCTCAACGATGGGCTCGGATCTGTTGGCCTGGCGGTCTGTATGCCAAACCGAAAGCGCAGGACATCCTTCAAGGGCCAATATTCATGTTCCTTGGGCTTAAGATCTTCACTGAGCACCTGGGATTGTGCCTCAAAGAGTTTTGTACTATATGCCTTTTCCCAGCTGAGTGCTGACAGCTTCCCTACTGAGGCCTGAGCACCTTTCTCCATAGGAAGGGGTGGATGTCGTTGCCCAGGCGGAATACTACTATCAGAGACGTGTCGCATCGCGACGTATTCTTTGTCGTCCACCCTTTCCCAAACGAAAGTATCAACATTTCCTATCGGATATTTTTGCTCCTCGGAAACAAGCTCTGTGGTCCGAACATGACAGCTCTGCTTTTCATATGTCGGCGTATGCAGGAGCTGCAGTTCCTCCGAGTATCTATGGCCTTCGACCGTGACGCGGGTGTTGTCTGAATGGTTGGCAGCAAGAACATCCGAATATCCGGTGGTTCGTCGGACGTTTTGTTCTGATTCACTGACTACAAATATTTCGCCAGTCTGCCGCCTACCAGTACCAAGCGAAATGTCGTGTGTTTGGGGAGCAATATGCTCTGCTGCTTTGGTACGACGAACAACCTTACTCGGTGGGACCCAAAAGTAGTACTTCTGGCGTAAGGACTGGTCCAATGCTTCAAACGGACTCGTGATCGGGCCCCAATTTATCCAGACCGGAATGCTGTATGTGGTATACGCTTCCAGGAACTTTGCGGCGTTTTTGCATGCCCGAGGATCTACGAAGAGACCGACTCGCCGCGATGCCTCTTCACCTTGCCAAAAACCACTATCATTTTGAACTAACCAAGAAGTTCGAATGAGATCAGTCCAGTTCCCGCCGACTTCCTCTGTCAGCGTGATTTCCCAGTCATCTCCATCCTTTTTCGCGAGGGTGAGCGCCAACAGGAACGAAATTTCTCCTGCCAGTATCAAAAATGCGTCCCGCGATCGCATTGCGGCATGTTCCATCGCCATCTTGTGACATTTTGCATGATGATATCCATACTCCCACGGCGGAGGAAATCTAGGGTACGAAAGTCTTTCAACGCAGTCCAATTTTTTCCCTAACGTTCGCCTCAAGATATCCAAGAGAATTTCCAGGTGCTTCCATTTGTCTGCGACTTTTGTTTCCAAAGCCCATTGGCCCGGTGAAGGGGAAAACAGCGGGATAGAAGCCGACGAATAGTCCAGACACTTGAACAGAACACACTGATAAACGCTGCTCCGGTGGACGGGAAGAAAGCCCTGGTATGGCATAGTGTCAGAAGCCCAGCTGCGTCTTATAAAATCTTTGGGATCTGGAAGCCACGAACTCTTCGGATCTTGGAAGGTTATTCCCCCCGCAGGCACAGGAGGAAGGGCATCTGCTTCTAGGCACAAGAACAGGTGGTTATAATCATCTTGAATGACCGTACGAATTGGCGAGCGCATCATCCTGGGCCACGCGTCGTCAGCTGGCGACTAAATCCGTAAGCATGAAAACGCCGCACTGAGAGAAACACACCAACGCACTGTTATTGATACTACGGTCGACCTCAAAAACGTCTATGGTTCCTACTACTGCACCACTTGCGATCCGAGTTGGCACTCAAGACCACCGTAGAACAAGCTCTTCTGCGACTCAGACGACGATTCTTTCACCGGGTACAACCCAGGTGAATTGTTTCAAGCCACCAGACTGCTTCGGCTAGGCAGCACTGCCTGGTCTATATTATGCTGAAAGTGTGAGTTTGTGGTCAAAGTTCTGCAAGTTGCCGTTTCCCACCAAGCTGTGTGGTTCGGATCAATCTCGCCTCAGTGGAATCTCGTCGGTCATTGTACTCTTAGTTCTGTTTAATGTGCATCTTACAATGTACCGAAGGCTCGATACCGAAATACATCGTAATGAATAGTAGCAAAGTTTAGGGTTAAGCGTATCAATAGAGAAAGATTCTCAGGATTTAACATCAGAGTGCCCTAACGAGCGGCCTGGTTGTACTTGATCACGAACTCGCTGTTTCTGAAAAGCAGTTAAAGCCAAGGAAGCGTTGACAAAAAGCTGACATACAAGAGCCTTGAGCTCAGGAAAACCACCCTCTATCTTCCTATCCCATAATAAATGTGGAGATTGGTTTCCAACAGTGATCCATACACGAAAGCGACCAGCAGTTTCATCCGAGTTCAGAGGATATAGAGATATATTCCCTATCAAAGGTGGCGGAAATGTCAAGAAGAGCTCTGTCTGCATCCATGTTGCTCTATGAAGCCTAGCATATATTGGGCACTCGAATCGTCTGCCACGTTCTTGCAAGCTTACCATCGGCACTGGAATGGCGGTGAGCTGTATAGGTGTGAATGCGAAGGGCTGTACCCACTCTATCACAAAATTCGATGGTGATTGTAGTGGAGGGTGCTGGAAAAACAAAAGTCGAGGGATCCAGTAAACTGCTAACGCTTTCTTGGACTTCGCTGGTCGACATGGTGGTGATAGGGTAAAGCTGATTGTTTAGTCATCTGCCATGCATGTGATGCGTTGGCAATATTGACGCGTTGTTTGGTCCACTGTGGACGCGTCTTCCTTTACCCTGAACCATCATGACAGCCACTGAAGGCTCAAAAATACGTTCGACGGTTCACAGTGCGTACTTTCGTCGACGGATCCTTCATTATGTTTTCGTTGACTCTTCCCCGTAGTCGAGGTCCGTCTGAAATCTCGGGCAACGGCCAGATTCGAAACGATTCGTCATCGAGTTCACGACTGGATACATACATTCGACCGCATCAACTTGTCTTCGACTCTTACTGGATGGGGTGTCGTCCCAGAACTAGGGACATCTGTGGATCGGATCGTTGTTTGCGAATCGACATCTGCGTCCCAATCTCTTCCAATAGACGAGTTGGCCTTACAAATCCACGTTTACCAACCATCGGACACCGATTCCTTTGAGGAGTTTTCCAACAGCGCTGGCTCCAAGGATGATGAGGATGATACAATGGCTGCAAGTGTCTGCGAATTGCCTAACCTCAGCTGGGAGGGTCTCTGGGATTCTTTGATATATGCGGATGATATCAAAATGAAGCTTTTGGACTATATTCACGCCACTCTCATCTTCAGTGATGCTGATGTCAACTGTGAGCACAATATGCTCAGCGGGACGCGGCCGCTCATCCTTATTCTGCAGCCAATCTTGTTTCGTGGAATCGCGTCGTTCTCTTGCATGGACCACCTGGAACAGGAAAGACATCATTATGTCGTGCACTTGCGCAGAAGCTCTCTATCCGCTTATCCCATCGGTATGTTCGTATTTAATTCCTAGTCCGTGCACATTTTTATTATCAACAGTTACACCAACGCCCGATTGCTTGAGATAAATGCTCACTCTCTTTTTTCCAAATGGTTTTCAGAATCTGGCAAGCTCGTCCAGCGTCTTTTCACAAGTATAACAGAACTTGCCGAAGAAGAAGATGCATTCCTTGTGGTCCTTATAGGTTCGCCATCTGTTCCTCGTCGAGCATCCAAGTAATCGCCTGATCGTCTGTAGATGAAGTGGAATCTTTAACCGCCGCAAGGGCCGGAGCAATGGCGGGTACTGAGCCGTCAGATGGCTTGCGGGTGCGCATATATGCACTCCTCAGATACTTTTTTATGGTCTCATGGAAGTCTTAGGTTGTGAACGCTCTTCTGACGCAATTAGATAAGCTGAAGCACAGAAAAAATGTCCTTGTCATGTCGACAAGTAATCTTGTGAAGGCGATTGGTAGGATATCACTTCTACGTATATCCTGCAGAGATCTGATGTATTCTGCAGACAGTGCATTTGTGGATCGAGCAGATATCATTCAATATGTTGACCTTCCTTCTCGCGAAGCAATATATGAGATCCTCCGCTCGTCCCTGTGCGAAATCGTGACCAAAGGACTCGTCGCTCCTGTTGTAAGACATCTCCTGGTCTGTGGTTGGCTCCATCTTGATTGTTGTGCAGAATGTTCCCACCCTACAAGCTGCACGGATGTATGAGCTAGCTGCTCCTGTTCAGTCTACGCCATCCACTTCAGTACCTTTGGATGCCCACGCAAAATCAGGACACGTTGCTATGAAGCTTCTTGCACTAGCGACTGAGTGTCGAGTAAGCACACTATTGCCCAAACGTCATACGTATTGACACTGATTGGGTTTTCAGAGTCAAGGCATGTCAGGTCGAGCACTGCGCCGGCTTCCTGTGCTTGCTCTCGCAAGGTATATGGGACTTAGCGGCATGTCTGGCCCTCCGCTATCGACGTCTTCAAAAGGACATGCTCAGACACAGCAACCATGTGCAGAGGTCGATCAATGGCTGAATGGCATGGAACGAGTCGTTGCAGAACAAGCGAAGGAGAAGGAACGGTTGTCATGATTAAATTAGACAGACTTCAAAATAGCTATTACTGCTCTCTAGACCAATGTACTTAATTATTGTATGTTACGTGACCGCATCCTTATGTACTTTTACGCTGTATCAAAGCTTATTTCTGTACAACACGGGCAAGTTCGCGCCTGCGTTGTGCCAGCATCCGAAGCCTCATTCCTAATGCCTTTAGCTGTTCCGCTTCTGCTTCCTCTCTTTCTGCGCGCTGTAGAAGAAGGTCGACAAACTCCGCTTCTAATACTCCATGGACACGGCTCGGCTCCTGCATTGTCGAAGGAGTGATGTTCCCAGCGACCCCAGCGCTTCCTTGTGCATGCGTAAATTTACAAGCCGTAGGAAGTAAAGATGGCCGCAAGTTTGATTGTAGCAAGCTGCGTTTCTCTGGATCATTTCCTGTGCGACCAAGTTCATCGACGACCAGACGAAATTGTGCGATTGTCGACGCAGACAATCTTGGACAGGTATGACGGGTATGCAGGAGTGGTCGACGTTCCTCAAGTGGTGGGGAGGGCAATGTCAAAGCAAGCTCTTTCGAATAGGATGAGATGGAGCTCTCCACAGTATGAGACACTTCGACATCGTCAGTGGATATTTCGTCGCACACAGAAAGCGCAGGCAGATGAGGAGCACTCGGAATTTTAGCGGTAGGTGGAGGGCTAATAGGATATGACAAAACACGCCATTTGGCTGTGTCTGTGAATGGATCACTGGATTTCGATGGTTCAAAGGGGTGAGACGATGCGACGAGAGCTGAATCCAGGAGATATCCAGAGCATTCTTCTGAGAAACTCGTGTCTGGGCTGAAGACTCGAAGAGAAGGAGAACGTAAGAGATCTCGAAGGATAGTAGGGCTGAGCTTTGAGAAATAATTCATGCGCAATGGGGTAGACAGATACGGATGTTCAACGTCGCGTTCGTCGTCCCTCGGTTGCAGGGAGAATGACGGAGGGTCGGCAAATGGCGGCAAAAGCGAGGAGGTAGCAACAGGCGAGTTACTGTACAAGTCGCCGTTGTCGATGACGTCTACATCGAATGCCTTGAAGAGATATTCCGCGCTCTTTTCGTCACAGGAGATGGTGTCAGCAAGACGTTGGAGACACCTGGGACGTCCAATAGGTTCCGCGGATGAATACGCTTTGTTCGGCCTGCCGTATTCCGAGAAAGACGTATATCCGTCGACGTCGTTGGCAATGTTGAAAGAAACCATGACTAGCTGCAAGGTGGAAGGAAAGTGGTCGTGATATTTGCTGTTCAAGTAACCAAGTCAGGAGTCATCGTCTAAGACATACAATTCACCCGATCTCTTAGCTAAAATATTAAAATAGTAACAACAATAGTAGGGTAGAGACAGGAAAATGCTTAGTGTAATAATCGTACAGTTGCAGAGGGCCATGCTAGAAAGTATATCAAGACGTCATGCAGGCTACATCAATAACATATTTGGAACCGTCGACGGCTGCCCAAATGTCTCTTGGTTTCAATCAGTAGGCCTGGGAGGCATGCTGGTACGGGTATCTAATCTTCTCATCTCTTTCTCCAGTCGATTGATACCGGAAGTTCCATTCGAATTCGGTAGTCCCCGGACACCATGCTTATCGAACAGATAAGTCAGCAGATTTTTCTTTTCGTCGGCTAGGCCATCCAGAAGAACGAATAAGTGTGTTTCATCCCGTAGCACCAGCTGGGCAGCAATTATCACAGCGGCGGCCGACTCTCTCACTACAAGAGATGTCTTATCATTTAGCGACTATGACAACTAAGTTAATCTTTCAACCCAAACAGAATATATTGATTGGACTCACAGTGATGAGGGTCGTCCTGAGACGGGGTATCTCTTCTTCTGCGATTTCTGCGGGTAGACGGAGGATAAATTTCCCAAGAGCGATCAGGCCAAACGCATATGTTGCAGTTTGAACTTCTTCATCCGAAAACTCAGGGTGAGGTTCAGTCCTGAAGGTCCGTAGGCTGGCGTGCATGGTGGTCAATCCATACACAGGTTCAATATAGAAAGCCAAGGCATCACGGATTGTGTTGGTAGCCTCTAATACCTAAACAACGCAGATATCAGAAATCAAGTGAACATATATGCCCAGAAAACTTACGTTAGGCTTGTTGCAATAACGTATTCGGAGCAAAGCAGACAGTATATCTGCTTCATGTCCTTCAATATAAGCCGCCTGGTTTTCAAGCACTTCCCATAGGACGATAAGTCCATACTCGAGTTCTTCCTCGCTCTAGAAAGCTAATATAAGTGGAAGTGAGAAGAACAGGGGGATCGAAATATCACCTTGAGTGGGTCCAGACATTGAATGAGTGCATTCAAGAACCGGTCAGAGTTATTGTTCCTCTCCCATATATCAGAATGAAGATTTGGCACAGAAGACGAGCTGGCAAAGGGAGAAGGGCTGCCGGGATAACCCAGGTCGGGACTCATAGGTGATGACGGTTCGGCCGCAGGGTTCGCTATACAGAAAAGAGCTATCCGCCGGAGAAGGTCAACGTCTACATCACCAGCTTCCATTCGGGCGATATATCCTTGGAGTTCCTTCTCATGGTCTGAACTAGTGGCATCTTCAAAGCTTAAACGATGAGCGATCACTACAAACCACGAAATCAGCTGTTCGGCATGTCGAACTAGATGAAAACGCATCACTTACAAGCCTTTCGCTTGAGCCACCAACCACTCTCTTGCCGGCGGTCTTGTTGGAGAACATCCATCAGGGACGGTGAGTTAGTCTTGCCCACTGGGCTATCCTTGAAAAGTGCCGCCTGTCGCATGACAGATGTAACCCGGTTCACAGGAGTGGTTGGTGGTACCTGTCCTTGAATAGGTTGTAAAGGCATTGGTTTCGCTTTCATCTTAGGCGTCGAAAGCCCATTAGTACTACCAGCGAAGAGCGATGAGGGTATCCTAGGATGATCTAGCCCTTCCTCCTCTGGTTCCACGAGCTCCAGGAGTCGCTCTGCGGCGCTCTCCGCCTGCTCAGCCCGCGCTCTTAGCGCATCTTCGACGACAGGCCGGCCATCCCCAAGGTCAACCACAGAGTCAGAAGATAGAACATTGGGAACACCGAGAATAGGCTTCGAGCCTATTGATTTGGGCGAAAGTGACTGGGTCCGAGTATCTGACTTGGGCGTTTCAGTTGGGTATTGCTCGAAGGGGGCAGAAAAGGACATGAGGTTTATAGAGTGATCATCGGAGTCAGTGTCATAATCAGGTATTGGTATGCTTTGCGCTAGAAGCAGAGAATCTTCCGGACCTGCCGCATCAATGAGGAGGGTAGAGTGTCGGACATGTGTAGGCGTAGTGGCAAGTCTCTTGGCGGGACTGCGGCGGGGCGGAGAGCCTACAGAGGAGGGAGGTGAAGCGGGTAATGCTGTTCGAGCCGCTCTCTGAAGAATAGACTGTCGATTAGACGGACCAGCAAGAGGTGAGGCCGGTGATGTGCGCCGTTGGAACGAGTTTTCGGGAGACTGTGGAGAAGAAGATCTGACTAGACTCGCTCGCGGATTTGAACGAGGGGGGGTGGTTGGTATATTTCCTGCGTTCGCAGAACGATTGAGGTTGTCAGATATCATACGAGAGCGTGTTGAAGGAGGCGAAGTAGAGGTACGTAAAGGGGATGAAGGACGCGGTGTGAATCTTGATGGAGGAGAAGTTGGCGCCGGTGAACCAGACCGCTTGAAAGGCGTATGAGAGGCAGTTGCTTGATGTCGTAATGTAGGAGGAGAGGTCGCAATTGCTTTCGCTTTGGCCCGGCTAGCTGCAATTGCAGCTGCCACACTGCTTTTCTTAGTTGGTTTCGAGGCAACTGGAGGCAAAACGGTGGCGGCGTTGGGATCAGGACAAGCTTTTTCGAGCTGCTTTCGTGCGACCGAATCCAGTGATTCGGAGATAACGCTGCTGCGCTCTGGCCAGAAGCTCTGGAAGACCCAGAAGTATTTTCGCGCCTCTGCCTTGACAGCGGGATTGGGATCTGCTAGAGATTTCTTCAATGATTTTTCCAAAGTCTCTAGCCCTCCGCTGCTTTCTATGGCCAATTTTGCACGCTGTCCGTGGACTTCCAAGTAATGTTTCACATGCCCTGTTGCATACGCCCGCGCTTGCACTGTCTTTTCCTGTAGAGTCTGCCAGAAGAGAGGAATGAAAATGCGAGGGGTGCCAGAAGGTGTGGTTTATTAGGGCTGTTACTGCAGCTTGCGACTCCTGTGCCGTAATTTTCTTGGTGAATCCGGCCATTTTGAGCAGATTGGAAAGGAGAACATCGCAGAAAGGATCCAAAGCAGCTCCCAGAGCAGAAGTCAATTCGCAGTAGAGGGAAATAGTATTCGTAGCAACAGTCGTCCGCAGACTAATCAGCTAAGTAATAAATCAGTAATCGCGCATCTACGTCAGAAAGTATAGTATACCGTTTTGATCGACCACTGGATGAAGCCGTCTTTCAAGCAAGCCATGAAAGTGTCATGATACCTTGCGTGAACGTCGCCTTTGAGCATGCCACGCACTCTGGATATGGATTGATCGCGTGCTGCCCAATTATGCTCCGTTTCCTTTCCCTAGACACACACACTAAATCAGCCATACGGTTGCGACAGAAAATGTGGGATACTCGCCTCAAAAGGTTTCGCCATACCTAGAAATTCGTTCTCTAGATCACGACTGGAAGCCACCTAATAAATGTGAGAATGTGCGGAGTTGCGACATAAAGACACTAACATAGACAGCACGGATCTCAGAAGCCTGAGACTCGACAACCGGGGTGGCTACACTTGGAGATGCAGCACCGGCGCGACTAGCCGGTCTTGGGATGCCCGTCGAACTGGCGGCTCTCGGGATCCCATTCCCAGGAGGTGCGGAGGACTTGCGGTTCTGAAGCATGATACTAGGGGGGACATATTCCTTCGTCTTCGTGACGCTGTCACCGCTCTCAGAACCTTCTCTACTATGGAGCCCACTCCCTGTCCCGGAACCAGACCCCAGAAGTTTTGAAAGCACTCCATCAACAATGGTCTTCCTAACGCCTTTTTTGGTTAATTCCTTCTTCAGATCAGCTCGGGCCGCATCAGTGACTGCTGGACCCGAAAAAAGTTCGACCACAGATTGACGCGAACATTCACGTACGTGAGCATCTGTGTCTTCGAGACTGTCAACAAGGAGGGACAAATAAGGCCGGATAGGGAATATATGATAATTTCGGCGAATGTGGACGAGAGTAAGGATTGACTAGAGGTGAGATGGATGAACACGTTTTCTTCGCGTACAGAGGATAACATACCTGTTCTCGCACTTTCCACACCTTGCTGGCGAGTCCATTCTCTCGAAGAGACCTTTCAAACATCGCCAACGGCGTTTCGGGGCCCTTTGCCCCTCTTGAGCCGGTGGACATCATGCTAGTCCCGCCAGCACGGTACGCGAAGCCTCCCAGGATTACCAAGGCTTCCCGAGCCTTCAATTGAGCCTTTTCCTTATCACCTAGACGTTCTATGAGTCCTCCCGCAGGAAGAAATGCAGTAAGGAGTTGTCGAAGTGTGACGTTATCCACGAATGAGGAAGAGGAGGATGTCGATGAAGACAGGGAGGGCGAGACGACACCGCGTCCCGGAGCGTGGATAGTATGACGAGAGACGAGAAGGGATATTAATGGTGGCAGAACAGAGAGCGTTGCAGCGGTGAGATGTTGGTTAGACGTTCGTAAACATGCCTTGAGAACGTTGATGAGAGCGTCGGGGTCATTGATCTGAACAGCACAGTTGGCATTCAAGAGGTAAGATCTGAAGAAAAGCGTACCTCAGCGCCGGATTCGAATTCAGATTGAAGTTTGGTTAATGCGTCAACTTTGACGTCAACATCTAGTCGCGTTTAGCTTGGATGCAGGAAATGGCGCGATGAAACGGTACCGTTGCTTTTGCATTTGGCCACCAGTTTTCCGACAATTGAATCATCTGGATCCATCGCAGGACGATGGTGCGAATTGAAGTCCGTGCAGTGGAAATGGCGCGAGAAGGCAAGGTCTGTCGCGTAAACACACACAAATTCAGCGCCAACTTGACACTACTACATAGTAATACGACTAATGCATTCCTACGAGTGATAAATACAGTGGCGTAGTTCCCTCTTTAGAATATACGGTATCTTTTGGCTAGGAAATATCCTACACCCGATAGCATACCGGCGACGTGGCCTGCGTGGGCCTGGGAGTCTTGTTTGTAGGTTACAGATGAATAGGTCTCCCAAAGGAATATTGCTGGCACAAGGGCCCAAGCAGGAATAGGTATGATTCCGTAGAGTGAGAAAGTCATTCTAGGATTGACGCATGCAAGAAGTGATACCAATGAATACACAGCGCCTAAGTTTGTTAACGTCAAGTCAGAGAATAACTGGAAAATTTAATCATGATACTCACCACTTGCACCCATACAAGGAGTGTCGCGATTGTCGACGATATTGGTCCAGGCGACATGGCAAGCATTGGCAATGACTCCTGCTATATGCGCATTGAGAGATTCATCATGGAGATGTAGCAAAGCTTGTACACTTACACACCAAGTATAGCCCAATAAACCGTTTGTTGCCTAACATCTCAAGCATCGTTGGAGCGAAGAAGAAGAATGTGAAAGTATTGAAAAACAGATGGCCAACGCCTTCATGAGAGAACATGGCAGTGACGAGGGTCCAACTAGTGAGAATTGAATGAGCTGACACAGAATTAGTTACAGAGATGGAGAACACACGGTCGGGCGAAAGTATTTTGCCAGCTACTCGTAAAGTTATCCTTCATCCACGAATAAAAAGGTTGTCTCTGTGCCAGTCGATAAGCTTCGTACAAAGGCAGTAGATGAAACACACCCTTGCAGCTGCGGCTCGTGCTTGACCACTCTCCGACATCCAAGCGAGGAAGACGAGACCGTTTATGCCCATGATGCCGTAGAAAATGTAGTTCCCTGGGATATTGTCGAGCCAATCGAAGCGTCCGCGAGACCGTAGTCGGATGTGATACTGCCGAATACTATGCGGCCTTAGTCTAGCCAGTACAGAGCTGGGGGGTGACGCGAACGCGCCAGTAGATGGGATCCCTGCAATTCTGTGGTGAACGCTGCTGGGACGTCCATGAGCAACGAACTGCCTTCGGAATTGACGTGTTACATTCGGACTAGAACGCGACAGTACATTCGCAGAGAGAATATTTCTGCAAGAGAATGTAAACAACCCGAGGGGCCTCATGGAAGTTTGCAGAGAACTGAGCATCTGTCACGATCCTGTTTTGGCAAGTGCCAGTCCTTGAAGATGTCCCACCATCTGTTCGTGCTCTCGCCTTCAGACACGCCCATCTACAGTCTTACACATTATTCAACCAAACCTGTAATCAATGTCCCATCGCCACTTGCTTCGAACCTGCCGACTTGGTCGACATCCGCGTTCGCTGGAACGCTGACCGCGTTGTCTGGCGCGTCCAGTGTTCCGCATCATACGTCCGGAGGTCCAGTTCGGATGGGCGGTGGACAGGACCGACATGTAATACAGATGATAGCAAACGCAAGCCTAGATGTAGTCGAGGACGTGATGCGCAAGGAGAATACAATGTATGTTTACCAGCATGCTGTAAAGCAATAACCCTGACAACAGATGGGAGGTATCTGAAATCAGTGGACAAGTTCAACGAATGGACCATTTCAGCATTCATAACACCAGGGAGTTCGTAGCTTAGTTTCTTGCTTGCTACCCGCCAAATCTGATGTATCCAGATACGAAATTTGTACTCTTGCACGAAGGCAAGAACGATGATGGCATCAAATCTTTCTTCATGGACGTCTGGGAGCTGTATGTCAAGGTAACAACTGTGCAGCAATTATCCTACTGCGTACTGACGCCGGCCCAGACTATGTTAAATCCATTCCACACTGCGCACACTGTTATCAGAAGTGGAGTTTTTGATGCCCGGGTACGGCAGAGTGCGAAAAAGTATTTATAAATAATTAATTCTGTATTAATTTACGATTGATGTATCACGTGGACCGTTGATAAGTCAGTGGCTGCGCTCTAGCTTTCTCTCTCACTCTCGTTGACCTGGCTTGGGTGGCCGCCCTTTCTCTTTCCTTTATATATCGGCGTCGGCGTTTTCTGCACATATTCTCTGCTCTTTGCATCGCAGTGTGCCAGACCGCTTTCCAAAATAAACCTCTTCTTGCCGCCTAATCTCTTCTTTTCTTCTTCTCAAGTCTTCACCCAATTAGCCACTGCGTCCACTTGCGTCTCCCACCAATCCTACTTTCACCAGTCAGTCATAGGCTCTTTTTCAACTTTCCAAGTTTATTGACCGCTTTTCTGCAGTTGTATCACCTTACTTTCTGTTCAGTAATCAACATCACATTAATCTCTATCTATCGACACCATGACTACCGCACCTCCCAACAATCGTGCTTCTCTTCTTGCAGGCCTTCGCACAGGCGGCGTACGCTCTTCCTCGACGACTCTCCCCCACACCGCCGCTCCAGGTGCTTCTTTTAACATCACTCGTTTCGCATCACAGCATCATCAGCCTTCAGTGTTCCCAGAGGAGGACGAAGATGATCAGCTCGCCGAAATGCCTTCACAGAATGTGTACGTCAACAAACAGTACGGTGGCAATCGGACCCTGCCAATGACCGCCGCTGTCGACGGATCCAACAACCGATTTGCTCAACAGCAGCGGGGCATGAATCCGAACAGTGCTCCATTCACTCCATCCTTTGCTGCCCCAAATGTGATCACACAGCCCAACAATGTTCAAGCTCAGGCATTTCAATTACAGATGATGCAAATGGAGTTGATGAGACTTCAGGTACGCTCAAACAATAGCGGCTCCTCTCCTTCGTACTGATGTCATATCCATCAAGGCCGTTCAAGCTCAGCAGCAAGCTCAGCAATATCAGGCTGAACTTTTGGCCCAGGCCCAGCGCCAGCAGCAACAGCAGCAGTCTCAGAACCGCAGGGCTAGTTTGGGTTTTACCGCTGCCTCCGCAGGTCCCATGTCAACCGCATTTGATTTGCGCTCTGCTACCTTGAGCGCTCAGATGCGCCGGGCAAAGGAGCAACAACCCCAGTCTGTGGTTGGTGATGAACCTATGACGGCTGCGTTAGGCGGTAGATTTGGAAGTCGGGTCCCGAGCGTCCCTACGGTTCCGATGTCCAGATACAATAACGACGATAATGATGGTGCACCTCTACCTCCCACCCCTAACTCTACGACGGTCATCAGCGGAGGCACTTCCCTGGGTAACCCTGCCTCAAATAACTTGAACTCGACCGGCGCGCCGTCCAAGTCCGACTCCGCAGCTTCCTGGAGGCGGGCCGACAGGAACAATTCTGTTCTCAGGGCGAATCGGGCCGTGACTTCCCCGAGTGTCAAGGTGACGCCTCCCCCTGGTGAACGTATCTCCCCACCCCCTGGACTGGCCGTCGCAGCTCCCAAGGCTCGGCCCCAACCGCTTCGTTTCAGTCCCGCCGTATCGCAGCCGTTGCCCGCCGTAACCATCGATACAAGCGAAGGCGATGATGATGCTGATTCGATCAGTTCTTCCAAGTCCGGTGGATCCAATTCGTCCCCTACCAGTCCTCACTCATCCTCTTCCAACGAAATGCCTCTCTCGCCGCGCGAAGAGGCAAGTAAGAAGTTGTACGAAGGTCTGGGAATTGGAAGACCGCGTTCGGCCGTTTCCAACACCATTGGTGGCATTGATGTTGCTCAGGCTCAGGAGTCAGTCCCGATACCGGTTGTATTTGGCCACAGGTTGGCCAGTCAACCGACAAGGCAGCCCCGCGGGCCGCCTTCGGGCGCCGACGAACTAGGTCCTAAGAACTTCGCGACTCGCATAAGGAGAAAAGCCATTGGAGGTTTGGGAATGTTGATGGGAGCAAGAGAGCGAAGGGAGCTTGTCGAAGCGTTTTGAACGCTCTACTGCTCTTCTTTGCGAAATATGATGCCTTTTGATGATTAACAACAGATATTTATTGTGTCGGCCAGGTTCATCTGAGGTCGAGTGGTGTTTAGTAACATTCGGTGGGGAGGGGTTTTGGCAGAAAATCGGAATAAAGAATTGTATCAATGCATCATTCTTCTACTGTTTCTCCCGTCTGTCTTGCCCCTTCTTTTTCCTCTCCCTAAAGCATCTTCGTCATTTTTAGTGAGCTCCTACACTCCTTCTTTTCATTCATTTCAGCTTTATTCAAGTCTTTATGATACATCGAGGTCTGCAGGTATATTGGACACGCATAGCTACCTGGCACTTTCCGCCGCTCTCCCTCTTTCCTTTCTTCTCCATTTGTTACATCCATTTCCTTCTTTCGTTGCAATTGTCATGTTCGGCTAAGGTCAGTATCCTTTCACTCATGCTGTTGTCTTGAGGCTTACCAGAAACTATTTCATAGGTGTAAAATTGCAAAGGAAGAATTAATAATCACTCGACTTGCAGGACAATGGGAAAGGCTTCTTGAATTCCCGGGATAGCTGCGCTCCCCGTGCGTTCGCAGAGCAACACATTTTACTTCAATCCCTCGCATTCCGTCCTTCCAAGGCCTTTTGATTGTTGTAGTGTAGGCAAGTTTGTGTAAATGAAGAAGACTTATTTATGTCAAACAGAGTGATACAATACGGCTCGAACAAAATATCATAAAGATATACCAAGTTTATATCATTTACACCTCTGCGCGACAATACCTTTTCCGTGCTCCTACGAATGAGACGTGAGGGGCTGACCACGATATACAGTATATTGTCTTACCTGCCATTCCTCCTTGCTTATCCACAGTTGATGGAAAGTACCCAGACTCGCTAAAATGCTACCCCCTAACCAGCCTCCATAACGGCGCTCAATAGGATTTCCGGGAGCATGAATTTTGACCTGCGAGAACATAAGTTGTCAAAGGTACAAGCGACAGATGCTAACAACTTACGTGAGGGAAAGTCCGGCCCAGCTCTGTGGCAAGCCGGTCATTGAATCCAGAGAATAGACTACCTCCTCCAGTAAGAACGACATTTCCCATCAAAACTTGGCGGAGTTCGATGTCGTACGATCGCAGGGATTCGCTGATCAATGCGGGTATTGTTTTGGGTAAGGAATGATTGGAAGCCTGCAGTCTCTGACTTAGAGTAGTGAAAGCATCGAGAGATTCCAACTTACGCTCATTTGAGGGGAGTGGTAGAAAAATTGTTCCCCGACAAAGTATCGCTCGGCCCCAAACCAGGTGTTGAAACCTGTAGGGAATTCATATTGCCTCGGTGGTCGATTAGCCGCGGCTCTGGAATAGATGTTTCATTTAGACGCTCAACTGTAATAACCACAGCTCACTGATCGTTCCATCCTGTCTCGAGCACGCCACCCACAGTTTGTAGCCATTCGTCCACTTCGCGAGCTTCGTACCACTGACGCCAGCTATCAGTTGTTCCAGCCAGGCGATCCTCACGCAGGGTGAATTTTGGTGGGCTGTTAGGTTCGACGGGCTGTAAAATACGACATTACGACTATATTACCACAGGAGAAGACGTTTAGGACATACCAATTTACTTGTTATGAGTTGATGTGGAAACAAATCGATACCTCGTCGGGTATGTGTTGGCTGCGTAAGGATGCTATGGGCGCTGGAGTGGATAAGTGATGGAAGAGACGAGTATACAAGGCCTGTGACCCATCAGATGATTGGATTTGAAGCATAACAAAATACCCACCTTTGCGCAAAACAAATCCGTCTACGACAGGTGTCACGCTCGCCATGTCTTGACCGATATCAATGACTAGTGCAGACCCTTTTCCCGCTGCAAAGCTGAATGATATGAATCAATAAAGTCCTAGTAGGCGGTAAATGGCTCTTGGAAACCTACGTGTTGAGAACCCCGGTGTTGGAAATGTAGAAAGCAGGTACCTGGAATTCTTCGAACATTATTTCGGCCATCCGCTCTCGATTCTCAACGGTATTCCATGAGGGTTCAGTGACCAGGATTGGGTGCTCAGAAGGATTGCATCCCATAACATTGACGACAGCATGCTCGATCAGGGCATGTATAGGCCCAAAATCATTTACTGGTCACGAAAGATTATCACAGTATACAATATAGCAAGAATTGTTCACTCACTGAGTCCCCCCTTGATAGGATTGGCCACTTCCATACCGCTTCTCCACACTGACGGTCCAGATTGTCCTATGTAGGATTTCGCCAACTTCGGTTTTGGGGCTACCTCGACATCGTTTACGTCCGCCATAGCAAAGTCTCCATCATCAGGCGCCTTGATGTAGCCATACGATGTTGGAATTATGGCTTTCGGGGTATCGTCTCCTGCATATCCAGCGCGTAATGACGAAGATCCAATGTCAACGACGAGTGCTGATACTTCGTCTACAATTGGCGACAGAGATTTTATATAAGGGAGAAGAATAAGAATCGCAATGTGGACACACTCACCACCGCCGTAGTTGACCATTTTTCTGTGTCAAGGAGTATGCTCGTAGTTTGAACAAGGTCGTGTTATTGTGCTGTGTTTGACATCAACGTCCGTGAGAACACTGAAATATTTTTCGATCGCGGTCCGGTGTCACCTTTGAGATTTTTTGCCCTTTTACCTTTCCTGACCTCACCGCTCGTCGAGAATGACGGCTGCACAGGAGCATAGTAGAAAGCGAAAACAGCCTATAAAGGATGACACGACAGATGGCGTGTTTCATAGGGCCATAGATATGGTCATGCACAGCGATGAGGAGGGCGGAAGTATTGCTTCAGATACTGACGACGCTGTCGACGAATTCCCCGAGATAGATGCCCAGAGCGACACGGATGAGGAAGATTCTGAATTTGAAGACGACGATGAGGACGAGGAGGAAACAGACGACGAGGGAGACACAGAAAGTTCCGACGAAGATGTCCATATCTTCCCAAAACCAAAAACCGTTATATCCGACATTACTGGCCAACACAAGCGTGTCTACCCAGAAATAGAACCTGAGTATGACTCGGACTCGTCTACAGAGGACGTACGTACCTTTGTTGTGTTCGTATGCTTTCCACTAACATTATTTAGGCACCTAATCGTGTCGGTAATGTTCCAATGCATTGGTACGACGACCTTCCGCATGTTGGATACAACATTGATGGGAAGAAGGTACTACGGCCTGCACGTGGGGACGAGTTAGACAAGTTCTTACAGACTGTAGAAGATCCCTCTTCCTGGTGCGTTCATTGAGCAGTAGCATAGCGCGGATTGTTAATTTTTTTTCTAGGACGTCTGCGTTTGATAAAAACACCCAGATGGACAAGCCTCTAACAACAGAAGAGCTTGATCTCATTCGAAGGCTGCATGCAAACGAAGTACCCGACGCAGAATATGATCCCTACGAACCAATGACAGAATGGTTTACCGGGAAGGGGAAAGAAGAGATCATGCCTCTATCTGCCGCTCCCGAACCCAAGCGTAGATGGATACCTAGTAAATGGGAAAAGCAAAAGGTAAGCATTATACTGCTTCTTTGCATCCCAAGTATAAATTCTTCCACTAGGTGATGAAAATCGTGCGTGCAATACGCCAGGGACGTATCGTCCCTTCCAAACCAAAGGCAACAGCTCAGCAACAATTCTATCCCATCTGGTCCGAGGCTTCAACATCACATGCGCCACCACTTCCAGCTCCAAAACCGAAGTTACCTACAAATTCAGAATCGTACAACCCTCCAGAAGAGTATCTCCCGACCGAGGCTGAGCGCAAGGAATGGGAGAGCCTCGACCCTGAGGATCGAGAAAGAGACTATCTTCCACAGAAGTACTCAGCTTTGCGACTTGTGCCAGGATACGACCGCTTCATCAAGGAGAGATTCAATAGGCAGTTGGATCTCTACCTAGCTCCTCGTGTGCAGAGGGTGAAACTTAACATAGATCCCCAGTCCTTAATTCCGAAACTTCCTAGTCCCAGCAGCCTCAAGCCTTTCCCGGTCTATAAGTCCTTGACTTTTTCGCATAATGACAGCTTGGCGAGATGCCTCAGCGTTAGTCCGGACGGCGCATGGGTGATAAGTGGAGATGACAACGGTGTCGTCTGTTTGTGGGAAGTCTCTGTGGGGAGAGAAGTCAAACGCTGGAAGTTCTCTTCTAAGATTGGCTCGGTGGAATGGTGCCCAAGGACGGATGTCAGTTATTTTGTTGTTGGCATGTATGTGCTTTTTTCTTTATGGTGCTTTCACACAGTAACCCAAACTTTCACTATAGCGAAGAGACCATTTACTTTGTTATCCCTCCCAATCTTCCATCCTCTGTGTACAACTTGACATATAAGTTGCTGGCGCCAGCAACCTTACCTCCCCCGCCTGACGTCCCCTCTGCCGTAAAATGGACGACAGCATCGTCGAGTTCATGGTCGATAAATTCTCCGATCCTTACTGTGCAGCTTCCGCAAACGTCTGGCTTACCGAAACAACTTGTGTGGCATCGGAGAGGAGATTATCTTGCATCAGTTTGTAAGTTCTCCCCATCGCTTGGAAGTAGCGTTTCCTGATGGGTTTTTACGCAGCCAGCGGAAGTAATCTTGGAGGCGTTTGGATTCACCAAGTAACCCGACGGCATTCTCAAGCTCCTTTCAAAAAAATCAGAGGAAGCGTGCAATTGGTCTTGTTCCATCCTCTGAAACCCCACTTCTTCGTCGCAGTACGTGTAACTCCTTCTTTTCATGATCATGCCGTTAATCCGGCAAAAGACGCAACAATACGTTCGGATATACAACCTGTCTGAACAGCTGTTGTTAAAGACGCTCACTCCAGGTATCAAATGGATATCTTCCATGGATGTACATCCTTCCGGTGATCATGTTATCGTTGGAGGATATGACCGAAAATTGTGCTGGTTCGACCTCGAACTGAGCGACAAGCCGTATAAAGTGTTACGGTAAGTTGGAGAAGGGCGCGAAAATTTGACCACAAGCTAAGTCATTATTCCCACAGATACCATACGCGAGCCATTCGCTCGTTACACTTCCATCCCACATACCCTTTATTCGCTTCGTCGTCAGACGATGGCACCATACAGATCTTCCACGCAAGAGTTTACAATGATTTAATGACGGATCCTCTCATTGTTCCTCTCAAGATTCTACGGGGACATCAGGTAAAGGATGGACTAGGTGCTTTGCAGGTGAAATGGTGCAATCACCATCCATGGCTTCTCAGCGGAGGTGCGGATGGTGCCGTCAATGTGTGGTGTAGCTAGGTGGGACTTGGTCGTAGAGCACATAGCATCTGTGGTACTAAACAATTCTATATCACTGTGGTCAAGAAGCCAAATCTTCGGACTTACTGTGCTCTGAAAGGCATCGTGAAGAGTAAGCTGTTAGGGGGGTAAATTGCTTATCCGGCGTTGCACGAAAATCGGCGACAGTCGTATCCGTGAACGAGTTGCTTCAATGCATGGTGTTTTCTCGAGTCCGGTTTAAAGGGCAGAAAATCCCTGCATCAAATGGTCACCAATACAAGTACGTATTCCATAACAGAAGACTATCCGAAACAACATCAATTGGAAGTACAGGTGAAATAGCATTCAGCGTGTCAAGCAGCAGCCGCGACAAGCTTGGGAATGGGGATGGAAGATTCCTCAGCCGGCATCACCAGTCCACCCGACTTCAACCTAAGGTTCGCGCTAGCCACCGAAGCCTCAATGGGTCTGCTGGCCTCCAGAGGTCCAGTCATAGGGCCCAAAAGCTTGTTGAATTTGCTCCTGGCAGAAGCCACACCCTTCATGTCCAACACAGCCTTCTGTCCATCGTGCAACGTCTTGGGAGTAGTGCCATTGTGGTATCCGAGCTGCTCGTCGTTCCATATAGGAACCAAGTTCTCCTCCGCACCGGGAGAGCCAACACCAGCACGACCACCAATAGCCTTCCAATCACTCAACCGGTTAATGTTCAATTCCGTGAATATCTGGTCGACCGCGGCGATAAGCTTGTCCATTTGTTCGACAGTGTGGCGAGGAGTGACCGTGATACGAAGTCGCTCTTCACCACGAGCGACAGTCGGATAGTTGATAGACTGAACGTAGATATCGTGTTCAACAAGTAACTTGTCCGAAGCAGCCTTGGCAAGAGCAGCATCTCCGACGAAAACAGGGACAATATGCGAGGTACCGGGACTACATTTGAATAGTCAGCGCAGGAAGTCGAAATGGGAAAAAGGGACATACACGACAGGGATATCAAGTTCAGCAAATCGTCTCTTGACCTCACGAACATTGACCTGCTTCAATTGACGATCACCGACGTAGGACATCTGATAGGCGATACTAGCATGGGCACCAGCAACCGTAGCGGGAGGTAAGGAAGTCGTGAAGATGAAACCAGGAGCGTAAGACCGAATCATATCAACGAAATCATCGGAACCAGCGATGTAACCTCCGACCGCACCATACGATTTTCCTAATGTACCTGCAAAAGAAGATCAGTAATATTCAGCGGAACATATGTTTTGACATACCCGTAATAATATCGATGCGATCCATGACAGTTCCGGGGATAGGATCTGGACTGTCTCCGGCGGCCTTGTGGACATCGTAGTCTAGATGCTCAGCAACACCAGCACCACGAGGTCCATATAGTCCCACAGCGTGAACCTGAAAATCATCAGAAGAAAATTATGACGAAAATCAGACCGCATATACCTCGTCAAGGAACGTCAAAGCGCCATATTGCTCAGCCAGATCACAAATCTCCTTGATGGGTCCAATACTGCCACACATCGAGTAAACACTCTCGAAAGCGATAATCTTCGGCGTTTCCATCGGGTACTGCTTCAATTTTGCCTCCAAGTCCTCCAAATCATTGTGTTTGAAAATAACCCGTTTCGCGCCCGAGTGGCGCATGCCTTGAATCATGGACGCATGGTTCATGGTGTCTGAGAAAAGCACACACCCGGGCAGTTTCGCCCCGAGAGTGGAAAGCGTGGCATCATTTGCTACGTAGCAAGACGAAAATACGAGAGCGGCGGGCTTGCGATGCAAAGCTGCAAGTTCTTGTTCGAGTTGCAGATGCAGAGCGCCGTTTCCAGCGATGTTACGCGTCCCTCCAGCACCATGACCGTACTTGTCAAGAGTACGACTAGCCTGGTATCAGCCTGGGGTAAAAGGAGAGTTTACGGGGAAACTCACTGCATGGTTTCGAGGACAACAGGATTGTTTCCCATCCCCAGGTAATCATTCGAACACCAGACCTGGACCAAGTCCTCAGGTTCGCTCGTGTGTGCGATAGGGAACTTTTTGGCAAGCCTGTTGATATTGTTGAAGTAGCGGTAAGACTTGTCCTGGTGCTTCTTGTCAAGCTCGTCGACGAAGAACCTCTCGTAGTCGAAGGCACCTGGGTGGACGGCCTTGACGGGAGTAGGGGCCTTCTTCGCGGCCTCAGTGGAAGCTACTGATTTGTGGAAAGGACAGCCGGCCGCTGCCGCTGCCGCCTTGTCAGCATTCTTGGCTGCAGCTGCAGCAAGTTCCTCAGCCGTACGAGCAGCGGCACGGGCGGCAGAGGCATGGGGACACATTTCGACGGTCGCCCCAGCCGGAACGTTGATGCCCTGCTCCTTATGGATCTGCTCGACGTCGGAATTGCCGGCAATGCTAGCATAACCAGCTGCGAGCTCCTTGGAACGAGTATTCAAAGCTGGGCCCATGACGGGGCATTTTGTTGCCCTCTCGGTGAGCTTGGTGAGCGACGGATACCTGGGAGAAACTGAGGTGCTAAGAGAACGAAGAGTGGATTGTTTGGTCCTTCCTAGGAAGGGACAGAGACGGGTGAAGGACGCGAGCTTGTCCATTGGAATCGAGCAAAGGTCAAGGTGGGTCTTCCGGTAAAGAAAAATCGGAAACTGTGGGGTCCACATTTATCCCTTCCGGCGCTGGCCAATCGGGTTTCTCCGATTCGTCCGGTGTAGAGACCCGCGTGCCGCATTACTATTTACGGTATTTGATTTGGTCCCCATGTCCGGTCGTATTATTCTAACTAGCTGCGCATTCAGTGTTTATATCAACTGATTCTACAGCTCTCCCAGGCAGCTTTCTATTACGTCTACCGCAAGATCTACTTCACCCTTCCCAATATTCAGGCTAGGTACCAGTCGCACGGCGTCTTTTCCTGCCGTCAAGACAAATACACCTCGCTCTCGCGCTAACTGGACCACCCGACTCGGGTCTGAAGCATTCTTGAATCCGAGTCCAAGGATCAGTCCCCTTCCTCGAATATGAGGCTGTAGAACTTCCGGGAACCACCTTGGCAGTTGTTCCAGCCGAGAAGTAAGATAGGCACTCGTTTCCTTGACTTGCGTCACGAAAGAAGGCTCCGACAATTGTGAAAGTACGTAATGACCAACAGCGCCCGCGAGTGGCGAACCTCCAAAGGTCGTCCCGTGGGTTCCTGTATCAGCGATTAATAAATTGCACCGACTGTAAAATCCGCATCTACCGTACCAGCTGTCATAGTTGAAGCAACTGAGTCTCGAATCATGACAGCCCCGACGGGATATCCATTAGCGAGCGGCTTTGCCATAGTCACGATGTCTGGATGGGAATCAACTGGCAGCGTGGAATGTGCCCACAAAGAACCCGTCCTGTACAACCCACACTAGTCACATTATTCAGTTCCAAGAACTTTCAACGGTAATAAACGTTGACTCATTGGCTCACCTGAATTTCGTCGAAAATCAGAACCGCCCCGACCTCGTCACAGCGTTTGCGTAAAGCCTGAAGCCATTCCGTTTGGGCCACGTTGATTCCCCCTTCCCCTTGTATCGGTTCCACAATGACAGCACAGGTATTGTCAGTCACCAGCCCGTGGAGGCCGGCAAAGTCATTCACTTTACCCACATCGACTCCTGGAAGCAACGGGGCGAACGGAGTCTGATATTTGGGGTTGCTAGTAACGCTCAGGGCACCCATACTCCTTCCGTGGAATGAATTCTCAAAACAGACCAATCGCGTCTTAGTACACCCTCTTGAGTCCCAAGACCGCCCGGGTTCTGCTGCTGCCCACCGGTCCTTGCCAACCTTTCGGGCTACCTTGAGCGCCCCTTCGTTGGCTTCAGTACCAGAATTAGCAAAGAATACTTTCACTCCTTCAGCAGCAGACGTAGCACCAGACCCAGAAGAGGGAAAGCCGAGTCCCCCCTCCTTCTGGGTCAAGGTGACAAGAAGCTCGGCGAGCTGGGGCGTCCACTCATTATGGTACACATTACTCGTGTGTAAGAGTTTCCCTGCGTGATCCGATATGGCCTACAGAGACGAGTCAACTTTGGTGTGGTAAAACGCAGCGTGACCAAGAAAACACGGCGTACTTTTACCACTCCCTCATCAGCATGACCTAGCGCATTTACAGCGATTCCGGCTGAGAAGTCCAGGTATTTCCGACCCTCTGTATCCCAGACGTACGATCCCTTTCCATGGGAAAGAACAAAGTCCGGCCGGGCATATACAGGTAAAAGATATGTCGATGCACGCGACAGAGTTTTGGCAGTAGCTTCGTTGGCGCTTTGCGTCGAAGGAACGTGAGTGGCAGCTTTATATCGCGTCGAGGGAGCAGGTGGGATGGCCTAGTTTCAAAGTGACGTCGTGAAAATTTCCTTCTGATCATATCTAATCAACCCACGAACCTGGCCAGCAAAGCATCGCGACCCCGATGGCAAAGATTTTGGACTAGACTGGATGAGCCTGCTCTGGTAGACGGGTAACCGAGCGAATTGTTTCATGATATGCCTTACTGGTGGGAGAAGAAAAGAGAAAGAGACGCTGTGAGTCAAGCGGAAATTTCACATCAGTTGTCTGCAATGTGAGCGACTTTTATCATTGGACTGGACGAGCTGTAAAGCTGTAGAGAGGTGTAATGTTGTAAAGTAGACGTTCAAGCAGGCTGTAGCATAAACAGCTCAATCGATTGGAAGCAAAAAGGCCGCGTTTGTCGCGTCAGATTTGCTGTCTACTCAACTGTGCTATGTACTGTGCTAATTTAATTTTCCGTCCTTGATCTCTAGTCAACTTAAGCGCCTTGTACTTCAAGGGGTACATCGACTCCCTCTTCTTCGTTCTCTCATCGTTCCACTCCGGTAAAATGTCCTTCAGCTCCGGTCTGACTTTCAGTATATCCTCCTTGAGTCCAGAACAAAACTCCTGCTCAAAGGTTCCCAAAATACCCCAACAAAGTAGGGACGAAGGGTCTGTAAGATCTTCGAGCGCCTTATCGATTGACGCCAATCTCGCTTTTTCAAACTCCAGTCTACCTTCCGCGGTCTCGGGGTAGGCAATCTCTCCACCCCACGCGAGAGCGAGCCAGGTACTGCTGAGATCACTGATGGTAAAAGGTGTGTAGCACATCATCGCGAGGACAAAAGCAAGTGTTGGGTTGTGGGCGTAGAGAATATAGCGGTGGAGACCAGGGATACGATGGGGCTTGATTTCCTCCGCCATGAGCGGCGTCACTTGCTTGGTCGTTGGGTCTAGAACATGCACGAAAGACGGTATTGGCTTATAACCTGTACCAACGAGTACGACATCTATGTCTTCGATAACGGTGCCATCCCTCAGCGTAGCTGTTATCTTGTTCGTGGAGGCGTCCAACGTATATTTAATGACCGGGGCAACGTCAATGATACGGGGATCCGGCAGACTTGGAAATGTCGGAAGAGCTGGTCGACGGATGCTCCTATACACGGGTTCCTTTGCGACTCGAACGAGATGTGAAGCCATATCGTTGGACGAATTAGCATTACCGATGACAAGTGCACGCTGCAAAGCCATGAGCCTCTGATACAAAGGATAACAGAGCTTCCTACCTTGCCCACGTGAGGCTCAGGCCCTCTGTACCACTTGGCATGAATTGCAAGCCCTTTCTCCTTTAGTGTTTCAAGCCCCTCCGTGTTTGGCCAAGCCGGATTATCGTACCACCCAACGGTGACAACCACAGCGTCCCAGATCTCTGTCCGCTGCTTGCCCCCATCGTTCCAGTCATTAAACACAACTTTCCAACCAGCACCATCGGGAAGTTCTTCGACACGAGTAACCTCATGGTTCAATCGGATGGCCCCGTTCTTTAAATACGGATCAGCAAACGCCCGGAGGTAGTCGTGGGTCTCTACAAGCGTCGGGAAGGGCTGATCTGGCGTAGATGGTGGCTCGGGGAATGGGAACTGGGAAAAAGATAGGTATTCAGGCAAAACGTTACCGACAAGTCCTGGGTATGAAGGCGATGGCCATCGAGGCTTGGTATCACCTTCCTTAGGATCATCAAGGTACCTAGAAGCAGTCAGTGACATTCATCGGTAAAAGGTGAAACATACCAAACACCTCCAACATCGTCACGTCGTTCCAGGAGTTCTACTTTGTCGAACTGTCCGCGCTCAGTCAGGCTACGAAGAGTAGCTAACCCGGCAGGGCCACCGCCAATCACGATAATTCGCTTCGGAGAAGGGAAGGTCATTGCAGAGAAGCAAAGTGGCCACCATCACTATTTAATGACGAAGCGTATCGGAAAGTCTTTTTTTGTACAGTGCCACGGATGTCGTGATACATGCGCAACGATGTTCGACATGGCGTATTTGTTTGTCTGGACCATTAATATCGATAGCAGTTAGTCTTGGAAAGGCTGACACCCAACACGTTGAGACGGAGCTGTGTAATGTACTTTGACATGATGGTATGAGTTCAAGCTCAAGGACAGTGGTCTTTTAGAAACAAAATTGTGATTTCAAAATCATTGGTATAACGCCACCTTGATGTTTTCTGGGTTCAAAATGTTGCGAGCTTCTGCAAAGTCAATCTTGTTGAAATACTCGTACATATCAGACAAACGGAATAAATGAGAGGCAGAAAGTACACGACAAAGCCGACTAGTCACGGCTTCGGCTTCGGCTCCCTGATGACTGCGAGCTAACAGACATTGATGAACCAGATGATGCAGAACGACCGCGACCTCGTCGAGGTTGATCCTCAGAATGCTGCCTTCTTCCCCTGTCTGTCCTTGGGTCATCCTCCACGGGAGGGTCCCTTCTGTCTCTTGGCCTATACGGCGGCGAATGGGATACAGACCGTCCTCTGCGACGGGGAGGAGGGCTTACGTCGCGCAGACGAGGCGGTGTAGGAGGCGGTGAGCGACGGAGAGGTGAAGGTGAGCGTCTCCGACGAGGTGGAGGTGGAGAGCGTGACAGAGACGACGACCGTGAGCGTGAACGTGAACGTGAACGTGAATCATATCGTCGACGAGGCGGAGGAGACGGTGACCTCGAATCGCGGCGAGGTCGTCGGGGAGGCGAAGGTCGACGACGAGGGCTTCGACTCCGACTGCGCCTGTCTGAACCACGACTGTCACGGTAGGGCCGATCTCTTGGAGGAGGCAGAGGCGGTGGAGGCATGCCACGATCCTTACGCTTCAAGGCATTTTCTTCTCTCTCCCGTCGAATCCTGTCCTCCTCTCTTCGTCGCAGTCGATCGCGTTCCCTTTTCTCAGCTTCCCATTTAGCCTTTTGCTCCAACATCTTTTCTCGCTCTTCCTCTTTTCTGCGATCTCTCTCCTCTCGTTCAGCCTGCCGCTTCACCTTGAGCTCTTCCTGCTTTTCTCGGTCAAAAGCATCGCCTTCATTGTAGTTGCTACTGGTACCGAAAGCACGAGCCATTTTGGCAAGCTCGGTCTTTTTAGCCGCGGCCATGCCATGAGTGTCGGTAGGCTTCAGTTTTTTGGGTGCCATGCTTGACAAATTCACTAGAAGCTTTTCACGGAGGGCGCTAACTTTTTCTTCAATTTCCGTCTCGTCAACACTGCGTGACTGTTGTGAGACAGCGAAGGCGACAAAGCGTCAGTTGCACTCACCCATTATCCTCCAGCTCGAGCTGCAGGGTTAGACATTCAACCTCAACCTTCCGTTTCCTTTCATGTTCCAGTATGCCTTCGTCCGGTTCACGGTGCTTGGGCGGTGCTGCATCCCAAGCATTTGCACGATCTTGGGCTGGTTGATACGACCTTAACGTCGAGAGGTTGCGTACAACATAGCCATTCGTTCCACTGCAAAAGCGTCAGGAAGATGATATGATATGTGTCTGAAAGGAATACAAACCTTCCTCGAGGTGTAGTAAGACCGATACCGTTGTACATGATGGTGAGGCGGTAAGATTTGTCGGAGTTTTTGGTGCCGACTCGGGACGTGGCCTACACGTGGGAATTCCCTTTATGGAGTATCTACCCCTTTTTGACTACATTACATGACGTTCACGGACGGCATGGATGGCCTCAAAAGCCGAGCAGTGCTACGCATGTTCCCACCTTAGTTTCCCTTCACCACGTCGTCTCGCTCCCTGTTAAGTCTGCCTCGTGCGCTATCTGCAATGAGTGCAACACTCAATCCATCGGCACTATCGTCCTTGCCGCCTGCAAATGAGATTCCATCTGCATTCGCGGCAAGCATGAAACAATGGTCAGTCAGCCTGTGGTGCCTCTGCAACAAGTGTATTCATATTAGTGGTTTTCCAGGTGGGCGGCGGGGGAGAAGCAAAGTGCCATCAGTGAGGAGCGGCTACTAAGGTCAGCTATCTATCCAGATCCTGATAACATTCAAGTACTGATCTACCGGCGGATTCACTAGGCGGCTGCCTTTCTTTCGCAAAGATGCGTCGACTTCAGTAGACGGACCAGTGGTGGCTCATAGCTCTAGGGTCGAGCTCTCTACACCAAAACACTATGTTAATACCTTCTCTATAACGCCAACCTCTTCATCACCAACGGCACCGCCGCCCACAGTTCTTCTTCATGGGTACGGCGCTGGTCTTGGGTTCTACTTTCAGAATTTCCTGCCACTTGCCAACTGGGCTGGAAGGCGCGGGAGTTCTGTCTATGCGCTCGACTGGTTAGGCATGGGCCGCTCTGCCCGGGTGCCTTTCACTGTCAAGGCTTCACGCAAGGACATTCCAGGACGAGTCAAAGAAGCCGAATCATTTTTCATTGACTCTCTAGAGGACTGGCGTCAGAAAATGGGCCTTGAAAAGATGACCCTTGTCGGCCATTCTCTTGGTGCATATTTCAGTGTCGTCTACGCGCTTAAATATCCAACGCGAGTCAACAAGTTGATTCTATTGTCACCCGCCGGTGTACCCCGCGGACCTGATTATTCTGTTCCTTCACAAGAGCTGGAACCTTCGGAATCGCATGGTCCTGGTGGGTCGACAGAGCCAGCAACGAGACAGAAGGTACAGGAAATTGAGTCTCGACAACGGACTTCCAAAGCCCAAGAGAGCCGAACTAGAAAGCTTTTCACTTATCTGTGGGAAGAAGGATGGAGTCCATTCCAGGTGGTCCGATCGACCATGTTTTGGGGACCGTTGATAGTTGGCAAGGTCAGTCTTCATATATCAATGGCATGAGTGAACCCCACATTAATTTGTTCCTTATAGTACTCATCGCGACGATTCACAGGCTTGACGCCCGAGGAGACGCGTGACATGCACGATTACATTCTCAACATTACTCTAGCGAAGGGCTCGGGAGAGTACTGCATATCCCATATTCTCGCTCCTGGCGCACATGCCAGAATGCCCATCGTTGATCGAATCTCTGCCCTCAAGATCCCGGTAACTTTCGTCTGTGAGTAACAACCGTACTTTAAGCCAACAAAACGTTACTGATTTTGGCTAGATGGCGACCATGATTGGATGGACCCAGAAGGAGGTCAAGAGTCTGTCGAACGACTACGCCAGTCCGGTAATGGTCAAGGACGCATGTACATCGTCAACAATGCGGGCCACCATGGTGCGTGTTTGTGATCTCTGATAGTGCTTTACTTGACAGACGAATAGTTTATCTTGATAACGCCAAACTTGTTAATGACCTTCTACTTAAAGAGCTGGACCGTCAGCCCCCGGTGTAACCATACTTTCTTTGCTTTGGTGCGTTTGTTGTAGAGCTTTTCGGACGCACAGTATTAGAACTATCTAGAACACTGTATTAGCCATCAGATACCTTTTACATTAACATCTAATCTCAATCTGATTCTATATTTAGTCAAGTGGCTGAGTCACGATTGAAAGGCGCAGCCACACATACAAACTCCGCTTTATAAAACTTTGGTGTCGTCCATTAGAGGCAACTAAATTTCCCTCGACAACCACCACTACCACCACCACACACATTCCCAACAACACGCAATGGCGAAATCACTTCGATCCAAAACAAAACGGGATTACCGCTCGAAGAAGCGAGAAGACGGAATTTATGCAGCCACAGAAGCTGCTCGCCTGCATCGCCTTAATGCCAAACTGATGGCCGTCATATCGAAGGACAAGGACGGGGACATTCCCCTAGGAGACGCTGAGGGAGAGGTAGAAGACTCAACAGGTTGGTCACCGTCTTGGCTAGCGGCTTTTGGTCTTCTGGATGCAATGGATATCACCGCGGACACCATGCACTCGCTGCAGCATGAGTCCGTCAAGCCACGTCGTCGACGTCGTGCAAGACAGGCAGTAGCCTCATCATTTTGAAAGACTCTTCTTGATCCCATTCGATTTATTTCTTTTCGAATGACGATCATTGATAGTTCTTTTCGCAGTGCCACAGGATACACCAGATAACGATACCCCTCTACAAGGTTCGCTCCTGTGTATTTTATCATATCCACTTCCCTTTTACCTATCATGTATTTCCACCGCCAGAATCTATGGAAGTGGATACCCCCAGTACCGGTGCTATTCGTATATCAACTCATGGACGGAGAGGTTCGCGGAGGGAGGAATGGAGAGCATCGAAAGGTCTTCCTGTTCGACCAAAGTCGAAAGGCATGAACCGTCAAGGAGGAATAGCTGCTGTACGGAAACCAGGCCGGTCAAAGCGGAGGCGATGATGTATATGTATTCGCGATTTATCTATTATTTTGGGCGTCCCCTTGGAAAAGCTTCGTTCAGTTTTGAGGTTCGATTATCATCTGCTCCAAGCAAGAACCATTGGAGTAAGACTTTATAAATCAAAATGCAAGAGTATTGTATTATAAGGAAGGCGAAAGCGGCAGAAATGAATACGAAAGGAAAATGTTGCAAATTTGTATTATACAGCCTATCGCGCTCGCAAGTCAGTAATTGACGTGACGCTCTCCCCCTTCACACCGTTATAGGATTCTGAACCCGCCTCGAGGTCAAGGGAGTTTTGGGTATCCTGACTCTTACGGTATTGAGCGCGCCTACGATAGTATCCTTAACAAATGACACCAACCGAAGAACAACGATCACTTACGGGTACTCATGCATGGTAAAGTGTTCCGTCGTAACGTGAACCTCCGGGCGCGTCAAAGGAGGAGCTGCCACAGAGACCGCAAACGTTGTTGGGGCAGGAGCACGAGGCGGAGTATTGCCGCTAGACATGCCCGACATTGAGTGGACGTACACATCATGCGAGTGGAAATCCAGTAGACGCATTACAGCGCGGCCGGAAGCGATGGACCTAAAGTACATTGGAGATCAGACTCGGTTCTGAAAGAAATAAACTATCATACGTACGACACTAAAGCAGCTGGCACCTTGGACGTATGTTTAGAATAGAAGCGAAAATCAAATGGACTCCACTCACTGTCGCAATCCTAAGATAAATATCCTTGTTACAATGGGGTTATCATACAAGTGAGAGATAATCTTACACATTCATGGGTGCTATGGGTAGGACGATGAACGTCGACGCTCCAATAGAAAGACTAGAAACTTACTGTTCAGGTTGAGAATGTTCAACACCTAAAATAATGTTAACTCGAAATTCGATTTAGTATACAGAGTACGTACCGCAGGAATACAATTGCAGGAAAACGTCACCAAGAAGTAAACAAGACCGTCATTGAAGAGTAACTTCCACAGATCAGTACGAGCGGTGTGTTTGGAGATCAGAGCCACGGCTGTGAAACAAAGGATGACGAAATCGAAACCCATGGCTACATCCCCCGTTAGTGAATGCATGATGACACAGGAAGGCTAGCTCTCACTGAAAAAGAACGTTACGTTGAGTATTCCCGGATTGGTTTGCACTACGACACAAGCGCTAGCGGTGTCCTCCCAGGCTGCATGAACAATGAACATCGTGCGATAAAGGAGTCCCCAATGCGCCGCGCAGAGAAGCGATAGTGGAATGACAACGCTCTTACGGCGCTCCCATAAAGCCATTCTGCGGTCCCATCAGCGCCAGCCGTTCATCTTCAAGATGCTACTTACGTGCGGAGCATGAGAGACGTCGAAGCACACAAAATGGTCATGTTGCCTGCCCACTATCGAAATATTAATCTCATGAGAACTTGACTGGGGTAGTATAGGGACATGCGTACCCCGTTGAATGTATACAGGGCCTGAGAAGAAGATTTTTAATTGCGGTAGAAGATGGCAGGGTATAATTGCTCACGTTACAGTTTATCTGAGGTGTCATTGTTTGCGTTAGTTAGATCGTAGAAGGGAGAGACAGAATATTTTACCCGTGTTGTGACAGACAGGGAGATAATGCTACGGGAGCTGGTCAGCATCCTTTGCTATGGATTTGGTTGAGAAGACTCACAGTCCGATGAAGGCAAATAGGATACAGTAGCGAGATAGAAAGAAAAAGACTGAGGAGGGAATCAGTCAGTTGGGAATACAACAAGAAATACAAGGTGCATACTCTGTAGTACCGGAGCGCCATCGTTAGCAGAAATGCCATGGACGAAAAAACCCGTGACTCACCAGAGGCCATCGGAACTTACGACGACGCGTAATTAAGGACCATTCGAAACCACAGGTGGTGAAAAGCTCCCAGAGACAGACACCGAAAATTGCGAAGATGAGCCGTTGGAAGACAACTGCAAAAGCTCAGAGAATACAAGAAGAACAATGACTGGAACATACGACTATCTTTCGCGATTTCGGCGGGGTCTGACCAATTCACCATCGTGAAGCAAGCTTGCGGCGCGCCAGAAGATCAGAGAGCAGCGTGGACGATGACGGTGGAAGCGAGCTCACCGAGAAATATAGAAGGAAGGAATAAGGAGGGCCAGATGAGAATTCGCTTGCCTGGTCACACTTCCCTACAGCCGATGCTGGCTTTAAGTAGTGACTGCTTACAAGGCAACCGATCTGAGCTGAGGTGCTTCTTGGATGGTCAATTTTGGGAGACTAAGCCTATTTGAACCTACCCTCATTCATAAAAAGACGTATTCGATACAAGGCACACCGCTTGTTTCAAATCACCTATTTCCAGAACGTGCAAAAGCACCATTTGGGATGAGCAAATGTGTCCCCGTTACATAACATGCAAAATAAGCACTGTTTCAATGTTTCTTGAGAGACAAAACGGGGATTCATGTTCCTGACGCCAGTGACTTTTAACCTTTGTAGACAGAAAGTGGGCCATGATTAGAATGCAGTTCGGTCATCGGTGCAGAGACATACGGTTCAACGAGGCGTGCCGCAGGCTATGCCGTGTATGCCCAGCTACTGGTTTGGTTTGTTGGACGGACGGAAGAAAAAGCGGAGAAGCTAAATGGTTCCTGATCGGATGCACCGTCCGCTTTTGAATTTAGTGAATTTACGTCCCTTCGTACATCAAACTTCGGGGGATCCGATGCTAAAATGGGAGATGCACGAAGATAAGTCACTAGAGCGAACTTGGCGAATTGGAAAATGTCATCGAGCGTACTCTCCGACGTCTTGGAGAGCATTTCTTAGGGTAGAATGATCACGCAGTTGACGTTTGAGAGAAAAATGCATTGCGATCAATGGGAAATACGATGAGAATCATCGAAAAGCCTGGGAGCGACATTAGAACCAAGAAAGAAACATTCAGGACCTGGGAGCCATCTGTCATGATGAAGTAGCCTCCAGAACACAGAGGATCACTCTAGCACGTAGCTCTTTGAGTTTGGACTCCGGGAGCGCCTGCTCACTGGTGCCCTGGGGTGATTCATCGTTTGGTGCAGATTCTCCAGCTTCAGTGACGTGAGAGCGACACGTTTTAACGAGATTCTGGATGGCCAGTAAACAATTGTATGGAACCCTAACATAAGAATAAGACTCACTTCCCTCACTCCGCCCTGAACACCTGCAAGATACTTTGAAACCAAGGGCATGTGAGTATCTGGAACCTAGGTAGAAAACGCCGTTTACTCAATATTGCAATGCTAAGAGGAAGCATAGAGAGACTAACGGCACTGGTAGACCATACATTGCGTATGAGCCAATTCTGCCTCGCCTTGTGGAATTTCCAGCGTTTAGGATGTCGAAATTGTGTGAACGCATATTCGAGTGCTTCGAATAGTAGCAAAATTTAGGCGTCGTTCGAATTGTGATATTACAGAGTGCCCACCTCTTCGCGCTTGCTCTGACAACGACGGATCCTCTGCTGGATCAAGAAAGCCGGTTTTATTCTTATGTTTCTTTTTCTTGGGCTGGATTTCGGTCTCGTCCGATTCTGCTTCGGAGTGCTTTCGTTTTTTTGATTTCCTTGGCGCCATATTTTCATCCTCATCCAACTTTTCCGCCTTTTCTACTTTCTCCGACCGCTTCTTTTTCTTCTTTTTCTCCTTCTCGGCGGATGTTACTACCTGGGCATCATCCAAGGTCTTCTCGTCGCGTTCTGTGTGCTTTTTCTTTGGTTTATCCTCGCCCATTTGGATGAGTGCGGTGGATAGTGAATTTGATCTGGCACGTGGTTGTCCTGGCATTTCTAAGCAGAAGGACCAGCAGGCCAAGCATTTCATTCCTTACCCTCACGTTGCGATCCCATGGGCCTCTCAATATCGTCTCTTTTCAATTCTCTCTCGTCCCTCGTACGCTGGAGCAAAGACCAGGATGTCCGGATACTCATGCTAGGCTTGGACTCTGCTGGCAAGGTATCCTACGCGCCCTTTCTGTCTGCACCGCCAAACTGAGCCGATTTTCGTAAGACTACAATACTTTATCGTCTGCAGGTCATTTTATCCCTTCAATTCATGGCCGCAGTCCATTCATGTTGCTCCACAGATTGGCGAAGTCGTTTCAACGATACCAAGTCGGTTTTTCCTCCACTGACAGATGACGTATAACTAACGGCAGTCGAAATGAAGCAATCGGCTTCAATGTCGAGACCGTGCAGGTTGGCCATTCAATACAAGACGCTGTCGACTGTTTCTAAATCCCTGCTAGTATAAAAACATCAAATTCCAGGTGTGGGACTTAGGGGGACAATCAAGTATACGGTGAGATCGCCTGACGTTTGATCTTTGTCCCGTTGCTGATAGATCTACAGGCCATATTGGCGCTGCTACTTCCCTAATACCTCGGCAATAATATATGTCATTGACTCCGCCGACCATTCGCGCTTGACAACATCACGGACGGAGCTGTTGACTATGCTGTCGGAGGAGGAACTGAAGGGTGTTCCTCTCCTGGTTTTCTGCAACAAGCAGGATGTTGAAGGTGCCCTGAAGCCTGAGGATATAAGCGAGCAGCTAGGCCTGGCTGGAGGAGAAAAGTCACGACCGTGGAGTGTGCGAGGAAGCTGTGCAACAAAGGGGGAGGGTCTGGAGGATGGCTTGGACTGGTATGTATCATGTTTCTAACTGCCTTACATCTCTCATTAATCTCATCGTCAGGCTGGTTAATGTCATTCAAAAGAAGTGATGGTTTTGTGTACGTTCAATTTTCTTTTGCCAGCATATCGCATAGCTTTCTGTCGTTTTGCACTTTCATTTGAACTTTTTTTTTTCTGGGGGAATATAAGTATCTATAATCTAGTTATACCAGCCGTACTTGTATATTCATGCATTGAACAGGACGGGGCGTCTAGCGGACTCTTCAATGCCCATGATGAAATGTGAACCCTCTTAATAGACTGAGATTATACCGGACTAGTTATGAAGCCCACGCATGATACCTTCCAGGTAAGAACGAAGTTTATTGGTGTCCGTTTCCAAGTCGAATGATGTATTATCACCACGCCATTGCAAGGCGGTCGTCGTCTATGGTTTCATAGCTTCCGCACCTGACTTGAAGTAAAGCCAAGTCCTCCGAGAACACCAAGCACGGGTCCTTGAGAATAGTTGCGTCCGTATGGGCCAGCAATAGCACCAATCATCCTATAATTGAAGGCATTAACGATATTAAAAGTCAAGAACGAAGGCAAGAATCGCTTACGGTTCCGGGCCGCAAACTAGGAACAAGACTCTCGATGAAGGCTGAGCCTGTCGTTGCTTCCGGAAGAGATTATGCCACCACGACGTTTTGTATCCCAGACAGCCCTCAATAGCCTGTCTATCTATGCGCCCCAATTGTGGCATCAAGCCAAGAGGACTTTCCTTCTCCATCTCATCCACGAATATCTTCATCTGGAAACGTTCTGGATTCGTGCGGCTATGGTCAATCAGCGGCACGAGAATTTCTGGCGGAGGAAGCTCCGACGGAGAACGCGACGAATGTAGCAACGTAAAGCGCGTTTTTGATGGTGCATTTTGAAATGTTGAATGCAGGAGCTGGTAGAAAGGCGTGATACCCGTGCCTCCTGATATCTGGATATTCATGTTAGTCAAAGCAAAAGAATGGCAAGAATCGAAGGCTCACCATGATCACCTCGTCCCAAGCATCGTCTTTCCACAACCACGTTTGCAGAGGTCCACGGAGTTCGACCTTGTCGCCTATTTGCTTGGAATGAAGCCATCGACCCACTTCACCATTAGGATACTTCTTGATCCAAAATTTCATGTTCCCATGCTCGTCTATGCCTTCCAAAGGCGTATACGGGCGCTCTACCTGGATATCATCGTCTTTGATGAAGACAGACCATATCCTTGAGAAGGATGACTTTGGCGGAACAAGCTTGGGTGGAACGGTAAGGGTGATGAGTCGGAAATTGGGTCCACAGGATTCTGTGGATGTCACGGACGCCGGTGTGAAGTGCGATGGCGATAGTGGCTCGTCAGTAAGTGTGGAAGCTGACTTGGAAGGTGACGAATAGAAAAAGTACAGGGCACCGACGCCAGCTATGCCAATGAAGGCTGCAGCGCGAAGACGGTGAATTGGGGGCATAGATGCACAGCCACAAGTACTCGCGGAGAAACCCGATCGTATTTGCCTGAAAAAACTTCTTATGTAGATGCCTTTTGGAGGATACATTATTATGATGTAGCAGTTGTACTAATACGTAGAAAGCGAAGACGAAAACAAATACTATGCGATAATGTCAAATTTTACGTATATGATGCAGAACCTTGAACGAGTATTGTCTCGTCCCATGGCGAATAACTTAGCAGAAAAAAATACACGATGAAAACCGTCCTAGATAATGATATACCCTAATCATGGCCGCCAGATAGTATTCCGAGCAGGTGTGTATGCCTTGGTCCGTGAACGAGCCGCAGGAGGCTTGGAAGGCGTCATAGGACGTAGGTAAGACGTCTCTGGATCTGCACGCCGCATAAATTGTAATGGTGTCAAAGGAGAGCCTTTAGACGATGGTGTAGATTTTATAGAATGGGGGCTCTTGCCCGAGGGTGTGGAAAGAGCGAACGAAGGCAGGAAAGAATTGTGGGGCTCTGGAGTCCGAGGCGGACGAGGAGGCGAGAGAACGGTCTCGTTCTCAACTTCCGCAAGCTCTGGCGTTTCTAGTAAAGTAGCTGAGCTAATCCATTTTTCTTCCCGATGGCCCATTGGAGGAGGCGACTCTGTGAGAAGCCGGAAACTATCCGCAAAATGACTTCGAATAAACCTGTGAGAAGGATCTCGATCAGCAATAATCATGGATTAGTTGATATCAACATACTTCGATAGCTCAGTCCAACCACCGCCCACCCTCACCATGACAGTTTGAGAACGCAATATGCGACAAAAGCATAGTTTGGGGTCATTGTCGCCAATCCAGTATTTACCACTCTGATCTTTCCAGGATATACCTTCAATGTTGATACCGACAGGAAGATTATTGACAACATCTCCGACTGCCACGTCGAGTTTACTCTTGGGATTCGCGACGTATGTTTTCCTGGGAGCAGTGGGCATTGGTGGGCGTCTTTGGGGAGTTGAACCTCGCGGAAAGGATATCCTCGGAGCACGAGACCATGATGATGAAGGTCGAGAAGCAACGTTTGACATAGACATGTCGGAATGACCAGGAGTCGCGCTGCGCTTCAGAGAGGGTGTATGCATACGAGCCCGGCTGGGCGTCCCTCTAGTTGGTGTTTCAGCCTTTGAACTCAAACTAGTTGTTCGTTGGCGAGACGCAAAGGTAGATCCGTATAGGCTTATGGGGCCTGATGTGGACCTATTGGAAGTCACATTGGATATCCGACTAACGGAACGAGAGGGAGTTTGAGTTGCGCCCGAGATAGCCCGGCGAGAAGGAGTAGAAGGAGGGATGTTTAAACCACCACGAGAGGAAGAAGGTACCGACAGGTTCGAATAAGTAGCACTCTTCTTGGAGGGTTGTCTCGTACCGACTGTCGATACACGACTGTTACGACCTGAACTATTCTGGCCCGAGCTAATCACGCTACTTGGTCGCGACTTTGGACCTGTGATACGGTCTTGTGCCATGTCTCGTAGCTCGCTCCAAGTCTGAAGGACGCGTTCTCGTTCAGCAATGGCGCGGATGTCTTCAGAAACTGATTGAAAGATAGTGTCCATGTTATCGATGGTCGATTTGGTGAAGGTAAGACGTGCTGACAGCTGCTCCTCTGGAGGCCGATTCACAGGCGAAATGTGCGGAGACGATAGAGGGCCCAGAGGAAGGGCTGGGTAGCTATCGATATGCTCCAGAAGATCACTGAGAGTGTTATCGCAAAGAGATAGAGAATTGGATAAAGACAACAAATGTTTGATACGATCCATAAGAATGGAGGACGCATCTAGTTCTTGCTTCAAAGAATCCAACTCCAATTGTACAGATGGATCATCAACAGGAGACGGCAGCTGCTCCACCTCTTTGCAGATAAGGGAGAATTCACGGTTCATGCCTTCCACCAAATCTGAGGTGGGAAGTGGCGAAGATGCGGACGTTGCTCGAGCGACTGAGCTTATACTTATCGAACGCAGTCTTTTACGCAAGTTCAAAATTTGAACTTGCAAATCGATCATAGCCTGCGACTTTTGCGGACGAGCGTCGCTCGGTGAGAGCTTCAAGCCAAAAACGTCTACGAAATATTCTGTCAGCATTTGCATAATAAGTATACACGCGAGAATAGTCACCTTCTAGAGGTTCAGGAGCGGCGGAGGAGGCTCGCTTTTTCGCTTCAGCCGCGCGACTCTCCAGTTCTAGCTTCTTTTGTGACTCTGCGGCAACGTGATCAGCATAAGATTGCCGCTCTGCAGCTAACTGCTCCTCGGCCTTCTTAAGTTTGATCTCCATAACAGAGCGCTCTCGTTCCAACCGGGCTCGTTCCTCAAGCTCGGCGTTCCTCCTCGCCTCTTCGGCCAATGCAATTTCTTGATCTGCAATTCTTTGCCGTTCAGCCTCTAGCCGCGCCTTCTCCTCCGCCATCGCCAATAGGCGTGCACTTTCCACTTCCTGAAGACGCTCTAGCTCTTGTACTTCCTTGAGACGCTCCTCCTCCTTTTTCTCGCGCTCTATTCGTTCTTTCTCTGCTGCTTCAGCAACAAGCCTCTCTTGCTCTGCCTTAAGACGGCGTTCGGCTTCAAGTTGTCTTTCCTCCTCAGCACGCTGCGCCTCCGATAGGATGTTGCGGAAAGACTGCACATTGTGGTCCCATGTCGTGAACTTGAGTTCCGCGTCATCCACAGCTCGGGTGCGAGAAAGAAAGAGAGACTCATGGACAGCAGTATCGTTTACACCATGAGCAGTGCTTATGCTTCGCAACAGTTCACGGATAGGCGAAAACGACCTCCTGATACGAGTGGAATGTACTTGCAAGATGTCATCTACGGAGGTGAACAAAGCCTGCAGAAACTCGGAGACCGGTTCCTCTGTTGGTGCTGCAGCGAAAGAGGTCCTCAGCCCGGACAGCTTTTGTATGCCATCATTAATATCATCAATGGTTCCGGATAGGCACAAATCGACTTCCTTTGCGAGTTTTGCCAGATGAAGATGGTCGGCCTTCTGCTCCAGACTGCGCAGGTCACCGTTTAATCTCATGATAAAAGCATTACAATCATGGCGAACGGCGTCGTCCAATGAACGCAAGGCGAATGGAAGTGGAACAGGGGAAGGGAATATTGTAGACTTGGCTCCAGTTTCGATCCATTGAATCCGCTGCGGCAGCTTGTCAGAAAATGCGTTAACCCCAGAACGGACATCATTGAGGGAGACCTCCAGGCTTGCGTGGTCATTCAAAGAAAGACCGACACTCGCTTGCCCCGATAGATAATCTTGAGTAGCTGATTCGTACTGCATCCTGATGTCTTCGATGCGAATCTGGAACGCGTGAATCTCTGCTTTGATACCGATCATGGATGTCGCTTGTTCCTTGATCGAGGCAAGTAGGCGCGCGAATTCGCCGCCGCAATTCGACAACACCTTCAGTTCAGATGCGGTTTGGCGGAGTGACTCTGCCAAGGGCTTCTCCAAAGTCTGGCACAGAACATCCAGGGGTGATTCAATATCCTTGATAAATCTGGTATCAAACCCAGCAAGCTGCTGGTGAAAGTCTAGGTCTGACGAGTCGGCCGGTAACGGGATATTCGGGGGGCTCTCTGGCGTAAGGGGAGCATTATTGTGCTCTACATCCTGCCTCCATCTATGTTTCTGCATGGACATACTGACTTCTTTGAGGAAAGCTCGCAAATCTCGAGAATGTATGTCCATGATAGTTCGTATACGTCTCGCCTCTTTCAATCTCTCTGCGCGCGCAACCATATCTATACGGACCTGTTCCACCTTTGCTAGACGGTCCTTTAGTTGTTCAACAGCCGTGACACCTTTGGACCGGAAATCAGGATCTACAGCTGGAAAGTTCAGGCGAAGCAAAGCTGCTGGTACTTTCCGCACAAGCTGAGAAGCAACAGTGCCCACGCTTTGCAACTCCTGAAAAATAGACGGCATCAAAACAAGATATACGGAGTGCTTTGTCGGTTCGAGACAGTCATCCAAAAGCAGATCGGGAGGTGAGCCGTCCCCATTATTTGAGGGGACCCCCGTTTCTAGCCTTTGGGTTATATCCAACAGTTTGACACTCAAATCTTCGGCAGATTGGGTTATATCCTCGAAAGCATGAACAGCTTCATATATCGAACGATAATCTGCAGCCGCCGCTTCGGTCATCTTGCACACTGTCGTTGCAGAAGTAATTTCGGTAGACAGTTGCTGAGCAAGGGTTTTGTTAAAGGATTGTTGCTCGGGAAATAATGGATGAACTGGTGTCGGTAACGTGGATGGTTGAGAAACAGGATCCCCTCTCACTAACAACCTCTTGCGGAGCGCGTCGGCGCGAGTCACGAACAAGGCACTTTGGCGACCAGTCGGGTGGGTCGATCTTGCCGCGTCAATGTCGTCAAGTAGAGTCTGCGCTGTTACTTGATCTTTCATTGTCTCCACGTATGTTTCATCCGCTCTGGGGGTCCTGTAAGCTTGGAAAGTTCCATAGACATGAGCAACGTGTATAGTTACTTTCTCCATTGCATGACCACTTTCATAACGAACTTGCCAATGTCTTCCATTTGCGTGATCCCCATTTCTTCAAGCCTGTCCTGCTCATCTAGCAGCTGATCGGGAACAGGTTTACGACTATGATCAATCATTTTGTCAAGAATTTTGCCCGCGGCAGAAATATTCCCATGTCTAAGCGCGGTGACACGGCCAGCAAACTGAGCACTGTCTCGTGACAGTGCCTCTGCCTGTGTGAACCTGACCGACCGAGAGAACCCCGGAGACGACAACGCGTTTTCTGAAGCGATGGACGCGAGAGATGCAGCAGATCCTCGCCGTCGAGGTGTCTTGGGGTCTGCGGTGCTGACTGGGGCATCATAGAAGGATGCTGACCATCGAGCACGATTCTCTAGAAAGGTATTGAGGTCTGTGATGATTCGCCTGCGTTCAACCCATGCGGCAACCCGGTTTTCCTCCCACGAAATCCTCACACCCAACAAATCCAAGTTCTCAGAACGATCGCGGAGTAGGTGAAGCAATTTGTCCAATTCATAAATAGTCGTTAGCGTCAGCTCAATGAGATCGGTATCCTCCGGTGAGAGATTTCGTTGAGTTGCAGCTGTGAAAAGAATGAACGGGATTACCTCATCGTTATAAGGGTAACATACCTCTGGTTAGTTTCCTTAGCTTCTTCAATTCGCCAGTATCAAATATTTCAATCTCCTTCTCTATAGATTCGTGGTCCTGCAGCCATCTCTGCAGCTCAGACCGGGAAGGCAGACCGGGAACGTCCTCCGCAGATGCTTGCAGTGCCTCTAGTCCGACAAACACCTCTATAGGCGGCAATTTTTCTAAGAACTAGCATGCTCGGCGATGAGAAGGGTTCAGGCCAAATGGGTACAGTACGTACTTTGATTTTCTCTTCTATCCAAGCCTTCCTCTCGATGAATGTCTGTAGCTCGATGACCTCATGAGACTCCAAAGCCTGCTCTTCACCGCCGGTAGTGGATTTAGGTTGTATCGCAACAGATTTGTTAGGGCTGGTGTGCGCATCGACGGCCGCTTGTTCCTCCAGTGCGACGACCGTACCAGACGACTCGCCGGAAATTATGACAGGCGCTTCTGTTGACATTATACCGACTATTAGAGACGAATGAGAAAGGCTGATCGTTCAGATGAATGGGTGGGAACTGTGCATAGCAGAAGGAAGATAACAGCAGGGAATGGGTGTCTTTAAGACATGTGTATCACAACGAGGCAAATTGGAGTGTTGCTGGGCGGCGCTGCAGTTTACGGCCGTAGCCTGCCACGAGCCGTTCCATGCCGATGGGCCGAACAATTTCTGCCGAAAAGCGACCCATTTATGGCTATTTCATTACCATATTGGTCAAAATAGTGCGGAAGCAACCGGCGCTTGCTCGACGTCAGCGCTTGAGAAAACTGTAAACTCCGTCGCCAACAGTCGGGCCCGAAAACTGCTAACATACATTTCGGTTGCTATACATTTGTACATTTGTTTCAACCTTGGGCTAGGTAGGATACACTGAAACCCATCCATCTGATACATTAGTAGCAAGGAAACATCGAAGAACGTCGATTGTCAATCTGACTCGCGTACCGCCTAATTTTGAGTGATCAGCAAAATCGATAATCGGCGGTGAAATGACACCTGCCTCTTCTGATCCAGCTCCAGTACGTTGGGCAGACAGCCGGAACGCAAGTTGACGCAATCTATCCACTCTTTCTTCATGTAAATGCCCCCCATTAACGGTACCCTGAAGACCCATGACGAGCTCCAGCTCTTGCATGAATGCTGCGACGTCTGCGAGTGAAGTTCCGAGCGCTTTGGACGTTGCACTTTGGGTGCTCCTGATCGTGATTCAGATGAGAACCATGACCTCAAGAAACAGGCATACCGCGAATCTCGAACTGCCTCTAACAGACTCTGTAGCTCACTCCGAACCCCTTCGCTCTCTTCGCCGTACCTAGCATCCCTCTCCTGTGAGGTAGCCTGTAGTACTCCAAGTTCCTCTCTAATGCCCTGAACGAGGCCCCTGAGACGTTTATGCTCCTCGCTATGTAGAGAGCTCTCCAAAGAGAGCTCTCGCCGCATCACACGATTACTTTTCTCCAATTCCAGGATCTGCCTACGCAAAGACGATACATGACCCCTCGTCAATAGATATGGTATGAACGTTATCGGAACGATGAAGGCGGTCAATACAGCGAAGCGGCCGACTAAAGAGGAGACAGATCCCCGGCTACTCTCGTTTGCGACGGCGTGAACTTCTGATGAATCTGCAGGAGAAGTACTTTGTGCATCTTGGAACGGTGTAGAAGTGTTCATTGGGAAACGTGATGGCACTTCATGACATCAGCTTGAAGGATGTTTTAGTGAGCGGAAATATACGCAAATACATGAGACTGTCAAAAAGCGGTAACATCAATCACTGGCAGAATCTGAATCCGAATCTAGATCTATAGCGGGCATTTCTTGGTCCTCTTCCACTGCGTCTACTATCATAACGGCAGGCTCGATTGTTGCATTCGTAGGCGGCTCAAGTGTGGGAGCCGTGGGTGGTGGATGTGATGGCTTCGATGGAGCATATACCGGCTCCGCACGCGGCAGACTGTCACCAACCTTGGCTGGAGGAGGTGTATCGATGGGGATGGGTGCAGGCACTTTTGCTGGAGGAATAGAACGAACAGGGTGGGTTTCCTGTTCTAAACCGACACGCGGTGACGGTGACGCTACGGTGTTCTGCACAGGATCCGAAGCTTGGCGTTGCAATACCGACAGACCAAGTAATTCCCGATCTCTCGCTTCTTCCGTGCTTTCTTCGGAGAGAAAGAGTGACAGCGTTTCAACGTGTGGCAGGGAACGGACAAGGGGTGGAACACGGGGATGTAGTAGGATATCAAGAGTACGTTGACAAACCTAAAAATGTCAATGAGTAACGTATATCGAAAGCAAAATGAGTATCTACATTATCGTCAGTCTTGCTCAAATCAACGGCTCTTAGGACGAGACCCAGACTTTTGCTGGCTGTGTTTGTCGTCCCGCAGCCAGATTCAGTCACCAGCGCTTGTATTTTTTGTAGGAGTTTTGGGTGAAGGGTTGGGTCCGGCGATAACGACAGCGGCGAACGCTGGGGTAGGAAGAAGAGGATAGACAACAATACCCGGACTGACAGAGAGTGCGTCGCCGCACTAAGACCTGGGTTGCGCAATAGAAAAGCCAGTGCTGCACAAATATGTCACAGTTATCATTTCTAGGAGAGGGATGACTTACCATCGCAGGCAGTGAGTACCGCTTTCCCGTCATCAGACAAGGAAAATAGTACATTGCGAGAAACCCTGAAAAGTTCTTCTCCTTCATAAGCCCTCGCCCGTTTCTTTCCCTTTTTGTTACGACCAGTCTGTATCGTGTCAGTAGACTGATCGAAGTCTGATTGAGAAGGCAAGATCGTAGTAATCGAGGAGAGGACAGCCTTTGTCAACCGATTGCAAGAGACTTCTGAGTGCAAGGGGAGACAATGAGCAAAGATAGAATTAAGGGCGTCTAGGAATGGGAGACGCTGTGAGCTAAGGAAAATGAGACGAAAATTAGTAGTTCAAGCATAAAGAAGACCCACCCCGCAGGTTTCTGCTCTAGATGAGAGGCCAAACAAGAAGTTAACCCGTTCAAATGTGGAGTCAAGTGATGACGGAGGCTGGAATGATGTGAATACAACGAATAGCGTACTGTAAACAAAACCTACTGGGTGGCGAGGCTAGTGACAAATTCACAACCAAGCTTCCATAGAGTTGGAACAACGGAAGCTTCGAGTGATCGCGTACTGACGTCTACGTGCCCAATATTCTGCAGCACCCGTCAATAAATTCTTACTAAAAGTAAGATGAAAACTTACCGATCCTCTATCAGCAGCCGTTGACGTTAGAAGAGCAATGGCAAATTTTTGCAAGGACCCTATTGGAACTTGAACTGGTCGCTGGGTACCGGTCCCGAGAAGGTCATCAATGATGACAACAAAACAACGTAGACGATCCAGATTCAATGATATTGTGATATGAGCGTCTTCATTTCGAGAAACAGGGCCTGAGATATTGTCAAAACCAGTGTTGTTTCAAGAAATATGCACAAACCTTCTGAAAAGGAAGACCGTAAGCTCGAAAATGCAGTCCATCCAAAAGCCAAAGTTTCCTCGACTGTCTTTTTCCACAGATTTGAAGCCCCAACTTTGCCTCCGGTGGCGGGAAGCACAGCGTATAAACGGGAAGATGATCGGAGCAGTGCCATAGAAGTAGGCAAGAGGGCACTTCCATTGAGATACAATAGACACAAGCCGGAAAGCGTGGTGTGGGATGACCGGTGTGCATTGGGATACAATGGAACGATTCTGGCGAGCGTGTTCAAGATAAGAATCTGTAATGCACATTTAATAACCGAGGGACTGTCGACATAGTAATTACCTTAAACTCGAGGTCGGGCTCTCCAGATGCTCCATCACATAAAGCAATGATTGTTTGGGTGAACTTTGTAACATTGGGAAGACAGACTTGTCGTTGAAATTCAGATACATCCATTGCAGAGCACAATATAATCCGACACAGATTAACTGCGGCTTTAAAGACCGGCACTGCTTCTTTTCGCTGTCCATAAGTCAACACCGACACATGGATAGTAGATTGAATGTATGGACGAACAGTTAGGATGCGTAAAGCAATCGTGAGCCACTGTTGGGCTTGTTCAATCATGACTGATTTTGAAAGGAGTGACGTCCTATGTGCGAGGCAGAGTCCAGCCCATTTTCCTGGCACATCTTTGGAATGTAAGAGAGAATATATTCGAGATGTCCATTTGGTGAGATGCGGAGACGGTGCCAGATGCTCCGAAGTCAGTATATCAAGTATATACGGCAGATTCTGAGCAGACGAGATATCAGTGGCCAGATGAAGCTGCAGCAGCGTCTTCAGTTGGATTGTCGCGTCGTTTTCCATGACTTTTCCCTGTTTAAGCAAATTTTTAGGAACGTGATGATGGACGGCTACGCGTTTGGATCGAAATATGAACAAACATCCAAATCGAGTACACAGCACAGCGATGACGAATGTCATTATTAACTGCGAGCCTGGATGCCCTGTCGACGGACTCGGTAACGGCGCAATAATTCAAAGACAAGCATTGCAAGCTTGATGTCTACGCCATCGAATATCTATCTTGACCTCAGCGTGGAGGAACACCTCAAGCCTTCCGTCTTCAAGGTCTATTATATCGCGTCTATCATGTCACGTCCTGTTTAACAATAATCTTCAGGGAAAATTTGATGTCACGGATTTTGTAGGTGCAGTTTCCGAGAAGCTGATTACCCAGTCAAAGGCCGATTCTGGACGTACGCACTCCTTCATGGCATGGACGTCCTCACACCTAACTATGACATCTCAGCTTTCGATCCCAAATCCTTCATTCGCAACTTTGAGGCTGCTGTAGACAAGCTTATTGCCGTTAGGAAAGATGTTCAGGCGAAAACGGAGCAAATGGAAAAGAGTGTCCGTGTTTCTGAGCGGGAATATTCCAAGAAAATGGCAGAATTAAACCGGGGCTTTGAGGTACGTCGCATCACCAATTTCAGCTGTGCTGCTTTATTCATACTATCGAAGGCGGTCGGAAACTCGTTTTCCGGAATGGAAGTCAGAATGAACGAAGTGAGCAGTACGGCAATACGCATAGGTTCGTTCGTGAAATGCCAATTTCCCATTGCACTTATTGACTTTCGATCAGGTGAACAGCTGGAATCTGTCCACACTGAGCGGCAACGAGCGCAGGCAGCATATGACTTGATTGACTTCTACAACCAGTTCTCCCGAGGAGATACTGCTCGTCTAGATGCAATGAGAAAGGAAGGGCGGAGCGGAAGACGCCAGGTCGCCATCTTGCTCAGGCGCTTGAATACCGTTGCAAAAGAAGTGGATCTTCCCACAGCTGACAAGGTATGTCCTACGCGATTGGAGCAAGTCTGCATACTTGATTTATCAATCAGACTCGAGAAGCAATAGAGAAATATTGTGAGAAGTTTGAGAAAGAGATGTTGAACCTTTTCGATAGGTGCTACAGAAAGGGTGACCCAAAGATGATGCATGTAGGTGATGTTCCTTGATGCTACGCGATTTTTACTAACATGCTAGGCGATAGCACTGTGCTCAGACACTATTAGAATTCAATGGTGGATCTTCTTGTGTCCAGGTCTATGTCAATCAGCATGACTTCTTTATAAATAACGTGCGAGAAGCCAAAGGAGCGGACGATGTCATACTGTAAGTCCTGTGGTACTGATTGGCGAAGAGTTCTTATTCCAAGTTTAGATGGAATACCCTACCGGATCCAGATGCAACCCCACCGAAGAGTGAAGTTGGCTTGACCGAGCTATTCTCTGAAATACGAGCGACTGTGGACACAGAAGCACAGATAGTCAAGGCAGTCTTCCCAAATCCCCCAGTGGTTATGCAAGTCTTCCTTCAGCGCGTGTTTGCACAATCTGTAGGTAGCTGTTCCTTATTTATATTAGACGCGCGGTTAACCTAGCTGCTCAGATCCAACAACACATGGAACAACTTTTACATCGAAGTAACACGATGTCCGATCTGTCGTACCTCCGAATACTGCAGATGGTTCATGTACAAGCCTCCAACCTCGTTGAGGATCTCAAGGTGTACGAGCTTCCTACAGTTTCGGCGCGGACACCCTACGAGGTGACAGAGTTTCGTCGGTCAATCATAGGATCCACGTCTTCTGGATCTACCACCTCGACAACCGTCAGCACCATGCTTGAAACAGCGATGGAGGAGCTCTTCGTCCCATATACCGAAGGTCAGAGATACCTTGAAAGGGAAAGTCGCAGTTTGGGTGCTCTGTACGCTGCTTTGCTTTCCAACTTCACCCGATATCATGTGAGTTGTTCGTGATTTTAATGTTAGCCTCTTGACTAACATAAATATAGGAGAAAACCCAGAAAGGGAAATCTTCAGTGTTTGACCTTGTCGTTAACCAATTAAGCGCAGCTGCTCAGACCACGTCGACAAGTGGTGTATCTACAACTTCGGCACAAGCTGCCAGCGCAATACTGAAGTTTGGCGGAATTGATCGATCTCAGGACAGCGAGGAGCCAGTCCGTGAAGAGGATGGACAGTTGAGCGTCGACATCGCCGAAAAGATGCTGAAATGGCATGCGGAAGCCATTGGCAGATGTGTCGAACTTAGTCCTTCCAACGACGTGTGAGTAACCCTTGATTTTCGCGGGATAATTTGTTGACATGGCTAATTTCAGTGCTAAAAACACGTTTGCACTACTTCGTGTTCTTGCGGAAGCAATAGGAAATGCCTACGTAGAGGCCGCCATTGAGACGTGAGCTTCTGGACCTCTAGCCAGCGGCTTGTATTGATGTCGCCTCCCAGAGCACTGGCTCGTTTAGAGGTAGCTGATGCTAAGACAGAACCTAGTCTCCAGCTGCTGTCGACCTTACGTTTTGCAGATCTCATCTGCCATCTGTGGCAGCAATACGTCAATACTGCTTTGCTTCCACTCGCAAGCTCATCTGTTACCACACGCCGTGAGATGGTGGTCTTCAATAACCAAGCCGTCAGCCGATTAGAAGGTGGCGCTAACCAGCTAACCCAACGTCTTACTGATGGTAAGTCAGGTAGTATGAGTTATTCGTCGTATAAATCTATTTTTTTTTTAGCAATTATTGCATGGCTATCGCTACAATTGACAAAACAGAAGAAGAACGACTTCAAACCGCGAAATGACGATCTCTCGTTCGCTCGAGTCAATACAGAGCCATGCGTTGCATGTTGCGAATCGCTGGAGAAAGTTCGGGACGCCGCCAAGGCTAATTTGAGTGGCAAGAATCTAGAGGCCTTCCTCACAGAAATTGGCGTTTCTTTTCACAGGTACGTCATTATCCACTATATCTCGATACTATTTACTCATGTCCGCTTAGTCTCCTGTTAGAGCACCTGCGCAAGTTCCCCGTTAGCGCAACCGGTGGCCTGATGCTTACCAAGTACGTATTACCTTTGTTCGCGTCTGCCTAACCGGCCGGACCTTACGCTTTCCGTAGGGACATCAAGATGTACCAAGACACGATAAGCAGCTTCGGTATCCCACCACTCACCGAAAGATTTGAATTCATACGTCAGCTCGGCAGCGTGTTCCTTGTTCGACCGGATATTCTCAAGTCGTACATCACGGAGAACTATCTTGGGCGAATAGATCCTACATTACTGAAACCTTATCTTGCGCTGCGCAGTGATTGGGGTCAGTTGGAGAAGGGTTTCGATGACGAAGCCGACATACCGGTAGAGGGTGCTCTCGCGGAGACGAAAGGTCTGAAGGACAGGTTTGGCCGACTGAGCCTGATGATGAAAGATCTGGAAGGGTTGAAACTTGAAGGCATTCGGGAGAACATGCCTGCAATGCCGACTAGTATTACGAGTAGTTTTTCGAGGTTTAGTTGAAAAGTGTCTTTGCTTTTACACACATTCGCCAATCGTTTGTACTAATTTATTACATTTGCTATTCCCCTCTGAATACAGGTCGTCTCTTTTCTTTGAAAGCCTCTAAAGCTTCACGACGATCTGAAGTTGAGAGTAGGGTATCGTAAGACGCTCGTTCGAAGTCCAAGCCTGTAAAAGTCATTGATAATCATTCTACTGAAACCGTTGGAATGCAAATATACCTATTTCAAGAGATAGATCCTCAGAACGCGAAATTGCTTGTTTGGCAGCGCGAAGAGCAAGTGGAGCTAAGGTGTATTTAGTATTCCAAGCCGCAGGGCACACAAGGTCGAGTTCACCATTACGTGAGATGGTCTCTGCCAAGGTCAAAGCCCGTTCGAACGCGTTGGACTCTGGTGATGAGACATAATCCACCAGACCTTGTCAAAGTCAGCACAAATCGATCGCAGTAGTCAGCATGGTACCCCATTCAAGAGCTTCAGGTGCAGATAGCAATCGTGCAGTGAAGATGAGATCCTTTGCTTTAGATACTCCCAAGATTCTGGTTGCGCGCTGCGTTCCACCGGCCCCAGGGATTATCCCAAGCGCAGCTACGCTGTCATCAGAGCAAAGAAGAGATATTGACAAAGAGTGTTCTCTCACTTTCGGGTAGCCCGATCTTCGTTACGCTTGAACCTAAAATTGACTCAATGGCAAATGGGAACGTTGCTGGTAATGACACTACCTGCGACGCGTAGATCACAAGCTAGGCCAAGCTCCAAACCTCCCCCAAGCGCGGGGCCATCAATAGCCGCTATGGTAGGCATTGGAAGCGATTCCAGCTGTCCCAGAGCAGCGCGTAGATCGACTAGGAATTTCGAAACCTGGTCTTGTGACATAGTTCGCCGTTCTGCGAGGTCCGCTCCAGCACAGAAAGATCCCACAGTTGTAGATCGAACAATAAGAACGCGAACACTGGAGAAAACAGTTATGTACTGTCGAACTCGGATTAACACAGACAAAGTCACCTCTTGTCAAAGTGTACCGTCTCCAAGCTTTCGCGCATTTCCTGGAGGGAACCCATCAGAAAGAGCTTTCCGCATCACTTTGATTCTAACCTGTAACATTCGCATAGATATTGCATTCTTGCTTTGTGGTCTGTTGAGGGAGAGACAGGTCACGCCAGGATGCGAAGGTATTGGCTCTAGAAATGCCTGGGGTAAAGAAGTCGACATCCATCGTCGCGTACTTTGTGCCAGAGCATGGTGAGTGAATCGTAGGCTCCGACACGCAGAGAGCGCGATCGTCATGGTGGTTTGACCGATGTGGGGAAATTTCCAATAGGCGGACTTTCGGCCGATGATGGTATCACATGACACTCGCACGGACCACCCCGAAAAGTATAAAAACCCAGTCCCTGCTTTGTTGATTCCTTAGATACATACTCATCAGGATCTTTCTATAGAAACTGACCGAGTCTCGCATTTTTACAAATGCCACAACCTTCAAATCCAGTCGATGATAGTCGCGTTCACTCGCTCTACTGAGAGCATGGCTTTGGTCCTTCCAAGGTCTCGAGGACGTTTGGCGCTGTTCCCTTTGATGCTCTTGTAGTGCTGAAGGGGCTGGGCCGGCGAGTTGAACGCTTGTCTGATGGATTCTTTTGTTGGCATTAGTTAGTTTTGTAGATTCATGAATATATGTGCCAGTTTCGTTCTATCATATCGTTTGAATTGCAAGTGTAATGAGTTGAAATTTGTTTCGTTTTACTGAGTCGGCCAGGACGTGATCTTGACTGCGACCATTGATGTCAAACTCGTACGAACACCTTTTACCTCCTAGCTGGAAGCCCCAGGTTACTGCATGGCTTGCAGAAGACACACCATCCTTTGACTACGGTGGATACGTCGTCGGTGAAGTAGAGCGGGAAGCCTTTCTGTTCGGCAAAGGCAAAATCCCCGCCGTCCTAGCGGGATCCCCATTCTTCACCGAGGTTTTTGCTCAACTGGGCTGTCAGTACGTCCGTCATCTTATCGCTTCATCCGATGTTTTTATCATTTCCCAAGGGTTGAATGGCACATCAAAGAAGGAGAAACTTTCGAGCCGATCAAGCATGTCGCGACAGTCAAGGGCAAAGCGAGACATCTGCTTCTGGGCGAACGCGTCGCCCTGAATATGTTGGCGAGATGCAGTGGTATTGCTACACAGTTCGTATCCCATTCCTTTTCCCTATGAACGCGAGCCGAATAGTCTACACTCTCAGATCCAAGAAAATCAAAGATCTTGCTCGAGGATATGGATATAACGGCATCATTGCTGGAACCAGGAAAACAACGCCTGGTACGACTTTTTTTTTTCTACGGCAAATAAGGAGCAGCTGACACCCTGGAAAAGGATTTAGACTAGTAGAGAAATACGGCATGCTAGTAGGAGGAATTGACCCTCATCGTCATGATCTCTCGAGCATGATCATGCTCAAAGACAATCACATCTGGTCGTCCGGTAAAGACTGACCCTGCGCGTCTATTTCTCTGTATTCACTTCTTTCTGCAGGGTCAATCACCGCCGCTATTCATCAGGCCCGCTCCGTGGGAGGATTCAGCTTGTTACTAGACGTCGAAGTCGGATCTGAAGCCGAAGCGGACGAAGCGATTGACGCTGGTGCGGACATCGTTATGCTCGACAACATCGAGGGTGAAGAACTCGTGAGCGTTGCTAGGAAGTTGAAGCAAAAGTGGCAGGGAAAGAGAAAGTTTCTTTTCGAAACGAGTGGAAACATTACAGAGGCTAATCTACAAGCGAGAGCGATCAACGGTTAGTGGCGATTGACGTTGATTCACCAAACGTATACTGATATCAGCTGGCAGAAATCGACATCTTGAGTACTAGCGTTGTCCATCAGTCCGTACAGCACATCGATTTCAGTTTGAAGATACAGATGCCGAAGTAGAGCAAAACAAATAAGAAGTAAATGCAATTTGTACCATTATTCTTCTTTATGACAAAGGAAAATAGAGATATAGCATTGTCCCCTCGGACACCGTCTCTTTCTTGAGCCTATAACATTTAGATTCATCCTTAGATCTGTCGAGAGGAGGAAAAATTGTTCAGTATCAATACGCAGACGCGACACTTGTGAAATTATGTGACGCATGTAACACGGCGTCAAAGCAGAATGTACCGTGGTGATACCGCGCGTCATGGACAGGATCCAAGATGTCAGCCGGTAAGATAGCTATGGGAGGCATCCCCTGAATAAAAGACGAAGCAAAAGGCAGGGACAGAAGATGAAAATCAATTCAGAATCACAAAGAATTGGGGCCTTTCCCAGTTAGATGGGAAACCCCAGTGCCAGAGGCAAGAACGTGCCCATTGCTTTTCTTCTCGAATGTCTGGCTGTCAACAGCGTAATGCGGGTGCAAAAGGATAACGAGAGCGGTTGCTTCGATAGCGGGATCAAGTGATTCGTCGTCGAGACCTTTGCCGACGCCTCGGGTATCCAGGATGTGGACTGAGAGATACTTGATGACGTTCAGCAAGCGAGTTCATATATGCGGGCTTAGGTGTACTAGTAGTGTACCCAGGACTAAGAATAGACAACGACGCGTAAAAAGATAGTGCACCTTACAACCGATACAGGCGGATCCATGGACTTGAGCTTCTCGTCGTCGCGATCCCGGTACCGTGGGCCGACAGGCTTGTCGTCCGCCGCTGCTCTCATTGTCAGCCTGTTGTCGGCACCAATAGATCTTCGTGAAACAGCGGTAAGAGATCTGGCATGTCAACAACGGCGACCTAGACGAAGGAGCCGAACGAACTCGTATGGTACATACAGATACAAACTTCACGTCGGATTTGCCTCCGTCTAGATCAGGAACGCGCCTCGAGTGACCGTCCTCATACTCAACCATGATTGCAGACCACCACCAGGTTGCCGAGTTTCTCACGATATCTCGCACGTTCTTGACTGAATTTCTTTGTCCATCCAGCCTATTTCTGATCCCACGGACCTTCTCGACCAGCTGCGGGCTCGCCTCGAAGAAATGGTACGGACCTACGATAATCACACGGCGGCATTACAGGTAAGGATTGAGAACCTTGAGGAAGAGAAATGCCGTTTGGTCAAAGAAGTCCGGACAGCACATGAGCTCAATAACAAGCTCCAGCGACGACTTGAAAGCGCGCAGGACTCGTCAACCGGCGTGGCCAGGAAGACCTACGACCACGCATTGAAAGTCATTCGGGACTTGATTGAAGACAGGCCGCTTGCTGCTGGAGGGGTAAATACTCATTCTACTCTTCATATCTTGACGTTGAACTTGCCCAGGGCGAGGAACTCAATCAGGTTGTCGTCAGCGACCTCACCGCGTTGGAAGACTCTGATACGGAGGAGAGCGCAAGTACGGCCCGTCCTCGAAGGACTCCACCGCCAACACAAGCTCCGAATCCGCCATCTGATATGGAGCCAATGCATGTCCATTTTGGCGCCGACAACTTGCCGAGCTTCGCAACAGAGACACACTGTCGTTTCTTCAAGTGGGCCAAATGGGTGAAAATCTTGAATTTAGACGCAGATACGGTATGTTGTCCTCGTGCTTGATATTCTGGCATTGACCGTTTGCTAGGAGGAGACTATTGAGAGGTGCGCTTCTTGTCCTTGTGTCCATATGACTCCTTACGTTCGGACTTGCGGTAGTTTGGCGCTTGCGAACGACTTGAATCCACGCATCCATGGTACAACAGAAGGTCTGCTCTTTGTGTACCATCCGATCTTTCTGGAATTCCCTTCGGAGGGGCAAGTGTCATATTTCATCGATTGGAGTAGTAAAGAAGTGAATCAGCGAATTCAACAATACTTATGTGAGAGGGAAAGCGACGAGAAGCCTCTCCACGTCTTCGTATGGCCCCAGAGTAAGGTCAGTTGGACTATCTTTGATAGAAGAAAAGACTCGAGTCAGTTGATTTGGCAGAAAAGCTGGTATTACGTTGGTGCTCACCGGATTTCCGTCATGGATACGAGGGACACGCGTATCTGGGCACGATTAAACAACTCGGTAAAATGCTGGCTAAGCGAATTTCTGCGTTGCACTGAAATCAAATAACACAGGACCGACCTATCGTTGCTCGCCATATTGCTGAACGTTGCAATTACGATGAGAGCCAAGTCTCGCAAGCTCTGAACTCTGAAGAGCTGGATGAAGTGTTGCTAGCCGTGCATCCGGAAGAAGAAGAGACGAAGGATCTGCTGAGCCGGCTCCCTGAAAAGAAAAAAGCCAAGTAATTTGAGTATGTAGCAACAACGGGGACATTTTCAGCGTGGCCGAGCCATGTCGACAGTGGACAGATACAAACGTCGGAAAATCAAAGTAAGGTTGAATAATGCCACAAGTGGAGCAAACAAATGGGGTGACGCCGATAAGTGGTCGCACTGGATACCGGCATCCTTTGGGCCGCCGACCGGCCCTTTACTATTAGGGCTCCACCATTCCTTGTTTCCCTTCAATTATACTTCCATCACCAATTGTTCACAAATCCGCCGTTTTTACTTCTTCCTTTCCTTTCTTTGGTTTTGTGCGTCTTCTAGCCTCGCACAGGCCACCTGCGAGCCTAGAACGCACCCCTAGGACATGCTCACGTCTGGACGTCTTTTCAGCACCATCTCCATCGTCCTTTTTCTTCTTATTTCGTCGCCCATGTTCTTCAATGCTCCTCGCAAGGATCACCTTTCTTTATCAAAACGAGACTACGTACACAGGCGTCAGAATGATGGCAATGGTGCGCCACCAGGAGGCGGACCGCCAAATTCCACGACTTCGAGCTCCGTAGACCAGCCGACGAGTTCATTCACCACTGCGAGCACCAGCGATGCCTCTTTCTCCGGGACATCATCTGATTCGGGGCGCGAAACATCGTCTTCGTTGCTCGTTTCGACTTCGACTGTAACATCCACGATCTCGACTACGTCTAGTAGTGGCTCCTTCTCATCAACTCTTTCGCCACAATCTTTTTCATCCTCAACGTCTAGCACGTCAGTCGCTTCCTTCACGAGCACGTCCTCAAGCCTCCCAACAACATCCTCTTCATCGACTTCGAGCTCGCAACCATTCGAAACGTCAGTTTATCCACGCTCTTGATGCGCGTTTCGTAACTCATTCCCCTAACACACAGCCCCACTACCACATCCACGTCCAGCAGCAGTTCGTCGTCAACGTTTTCATCCACGACCACCGCAGTTTCGTCTGATGTCGTAAGGGCCACCACCGAGATCAACGCAGCTACCAGCTCGACCACGTTCACTATTGATTTTGCCACTTCAACCGCTCCTTCCAATTCTGCGTCGTCTGGTGCTACAGGAACTGCTATCGTTGCTGCTGCGACATCAGATGGGTATGTAGTTCTCACCATCTATTCATTCTTTGAATTTACCCATCACAACTATTCAGCTTCTGGGCCAACAAGTCAGCTGGTAAGCCTATCAAACTGATACCGTGGCGACACTCGCGCTCATCATTGTTTCATCTACAGTTGCTGGGACATTTGCTGTTGTGGGAGTAATCATCTGTGCTGCCATCGCAGCTGTGATATTTTTCTTGGTCAAGAAGCGGCAACGTCGCGATTACGGAAGTGACTATTTCCCCCCCGAAAAATGGTCTCCGCCAATGTCAGAGCCTGGACTCAAGAGTCCGTCTCCCGGCCCGAGTATAGTGGAATTGAGCCACCCGCCCATGGACGTCTTCTCTAATCGGGAAGTCTTTTCCGACAACCATGTGGAGACGGGCAATTATTACAATTCCCAGAGCTCTCATGATGGTCATTACTACGGTGAGGAGACCAATATGACAAGGGGTCCCTTCTACGGTATCGACGGTACTCAAAACTATCCGCTTGGTTCTGCTCCGGATATCATCCTCACCTACGCGAAGGACGTGGATCGGCAGTATCCCGTATATGAAAACGAGCCCAAGAGGGCTTCCAGTTCTTCCCCTACCCCTCGTCCGTCTACTAACTCTGGCCGCCCCTCTCCCACTCCTGGTCGAACATCGCTCAACTCTAGACGCCCTTCACCCACTTTTGGTCGTCGGTCGCCAGCACCTGCCCGCCCAACACCTTCCTCCCTCGCGCAACACTCATATACAACCTCCAACACGTCGACCACGAGTGTAAAGCCTGTCGCGGGATTGACAGTGCCCACTTCCCGCAAAGATCCTAGTGATCGAGATTCGGAAGTGTCTTCGATTGATTCGTTCTACGGCGCTTCCGGGTCCTCTGCGGGTGTAGCTATCTAGACCCTATGTCCTCTTGTATCATCTTAAAAGGTGAGTTTCCATTTCGTCTCCGGCTGCTGATCCTATCTCATGGTATGCACCTCAGGTTAAAGGATGGATTTTTTCTATGTAACTTTAGCCTTCCAGTTTTCGTACTCTTCTATCTTTATATCTTTCTTGATTAGTATGGCTCTTATCGCACTTGGTTTCTGCGGTCAAGGGCTTTCTAGACCGGACTATATATCTTGAGGATATAGTCACGTTACGATACTGTAAAATTGATGAGGATTTCTGCTATGTACTTTGAGTGATTTTGTGAAAACCTGAATTTTCAAAAGTTCTAACGGCAACGTTCTATTTCAGCTCTCAACCGGATAATGATGACATGAGTCGCAGTCAAGGTTAAACGCCGGAAGAAACTAACTGTTATTCGCTCCAAAATGCTGCAATTATTCTCTCATTTCTCGAAGATACACGGGTGTATTGATAGTCGTGTAGGAAACGTGCTTGAAATGTAGCTAAACATTAGTGTCAAATACAGTAAGCACGCAAACCGGTAACGAGAACGTCATCAGAGAAGACAGCGAGCTACTGGAAGAGAGCAACTGCGTCATATTCGCTGAATACTTAAATGGAAGAAGATCTGCTGTTTATCCGGAGCCGTCAAAAGAACCGATCAAAAGAATGAGGAAGTATGGGAGAAAGCCGGTGTAGATAGAGAATGCAACGACCATTGACGATGCTCCCAAGCCCTTCACAGTAGGGTAAATGGTTCGTCAGAGAAGAGAGCGAAAAGATGTAACTTAGTACTGAGAAGCGTCAATCCTGGGCAAAGTTTAGACAAAACGAAGATAAATCTCGCGAGCGTCGTGGATGAATTCAGCCAGTATTCGGGCGCCTTTACAAGACGTCGAAGCCTCAGATTGATGGTCCGAATATAATAGAGGGCAGAAACAAAGAATATACCCCACGCAACTTCGCATGAAACAATAGAGGCGACGAGGCACAAAATAGATGAGACGAAGAAACTGGAGATCGAGAGGCTCGCATAGATCCGAGCTTCCTCCAATAGCTGTGTAAATTGTTATACAAATCGATTCACTACCAAGAAAACAATACACGGAGAATTTTGATGAGGAAGGCGATTCTAGTCTACGCAGGCGAGTAGTTCACACTAGAACAAAATGGCACCAAGAAGAGCGAGCAGAACAATAAGACCGTTTTTGCTGAAGTTGACAGGGAGCGCGGCATTGGAGGTGGCAGAGGCAGGAGTCGTTTGCGTACTGGACGAGCCGGGCGCGGACGCACCGGAATTGGCGGCAGAGGCAGCGGAAGTCGAAGTACGGAGATACGAGTGACCACCAGTACTGAAGGAAGTCAATACCTATTGACGAGCCAACAGAATGAAGATTACAACTTACGTCGACGTCGGAGTGTCAGTGGTGACAGCCATAATCGTGTCCTTTTCGCTGGTGATATTGAATTCCGAACTCTGAGCGAGGATAGTATGTTGATGCTGAGAATCCTGGACAAAGTTGATACGAAACGTTCTGCCGATGGGCCATCCGCCATCAGGAGGGTTGACTTGCATTGTCGAGAGCGTTCCGTCCAGAGAAGCAAGAATAATCTCGTCCTGAGACAAGACATCGCGATTCTGATACACGCATGGCATTCAGGCAAAGGCAGGGAGGCTCGTAAGAGAAATAACTGGCCTCATTGGTAAGAAGGGCAGTGACAGTCATTGGATCGGTATCGACCCTTTCCCAAGAGATGCTGCAAGGCGATATGAGCGATATGGTTCAAATAGAAGAGGAGAACCGACATACGTATTGGGCCCAGAGTTGGACCATCCTTCGGTTCCGGAGGGTTCATTGATTTGGTACGCCAAAGTCGAGGCAGCGAACAGCAGAGACAAAGAGACGGCGAAGAAATGCATGATACGCGAGAGGCAAATTGAGAAGGGCGTGAAGCTAGGAAATGGAAGGAAATGGATGAAGTCAAGAAGCGCGTACCACTTGAGGCTCGTGATCGCGGTTCTTATAGGGCTCGGAAAGTGCCGAGCAATTCTGCATGAAGCAAATGTGACTTGGTATCATACATACTACAACAAGCATGTACAATGGAAGCGTCCACTAGCAAGTATATGGTTATTCCAAACTGTCAGTATAATAATTTTGCCCCTGCAAGAAAAAAAGGTATATACGCGAAAGTCCAAGTAGGTAAACAGCACTGTGCGTGTATGCGTAAAGATAGTCTGTCAAATTTAGAATAGCATGGCGCCAAGGAGGGCGAGAAGGCCGACAAAGCCACTGTTGCTGACACTAACGGGTAGCGCAGCATTGGAGGTGGTCGCCGCTCCGGTGGACGAGGCAGAGCTAGATGCACCGCTTGCAGTGCCAGTGGTGGCAATCAAGGTGGTTCCAGTGCGAGTCGTCGAAGCAGCGGTGGTGCTACTGGAGAAGACTTCGTCAAAAAATCGAACGATACCAATGCCAGCAAACACTTACATCCTAGTGATACTGGTGGAGGAACCAGTTGCAGAGGAAGATGAGCTTGAGCTCTCGCTGATGTTGAACTCGGAGGACTGAGCGAGAATGCTGTTCAAGTTTTCAGAGTCCTGGACGAGATTGACACGGTAGGTGCCGCCGACAATCCATCCTTCGCCAGGGGGGTTAACCTGTGTCGTCCCGAGGTCTCCATCGACGAGAGAAGCAAGAGTCTGGTCTTGGCTCAAGACACTGCGGTCCTGTAAGACAGTCAGTACAAGATGGCAGATATTCAGAGGATCCTGCTTACCTGGTTGGTGAGAACGATGGTGAAGTTGGCGCGGTCAGTGGAGACCTTTTCCCATGAAACACTGAAAAGGGGTAAGGCAAAGGGAGCGTCTCATCAGCCAACGCCTACACAAGAACAAGTTAATAAAAAACGTACGTTTGAGAGCCAGAGTTGGTCCATCCCTGGCTTGCGTTGGGAACAGTGACCGAATAGGCCAAAGCTGAAGTAGCGCAAGCAATGAGAACGGCAGCAGTACGCATGGTGATGAATGAAAACGGCGAAAAAAGGTGAGGGGGAGGGGGTAAAAAGTTTGGTACGAAGGGAAAACGGAAGGAGAGGTAGTGACAGTGAGCTGAAGAGCAAACGAGCGGGCGACGTCAAAAGTCAAGGCAGAGCGGGCTTTACTCGCCTTTGGCCCAGAAGGATCGAACCCTTCTAGAAGGCAGTGTCGGCACGTGCTCTCTTGACATTTCCCGCGATTCTTATCACCCTGTCATTTTATTCAATTTTTCGCATAAATACAAAGCCTTGAAACAGCTAAAACATAGGTCTGCATAGAATGGCATGCCAAGGGATTACAGCAAAAAAAAAACTGCTAGTTTATAGTGCAGTCAACGATGAATCCACGACCTTCGGGCGTTCCTTGATGGTGGGAATCCAACTCACATTCTGTCAGACCAGAAGCGAACATAGTAATATTCAGTAACCAAGTCGATCTTTCACCATCCTTGTTTCATCTCACGTAAGTAGTCGTTTCAGGGAAGAAAACCCTTGAGCAGCATGTCCGAAGCTAATTGTAACAACTTCAGAAGCCAAGCAGAGATCCAGTGTGTCGTGTCAGAGAAAATATACAGAACGAAGCAGAGACATTTGCTAACGATGAAGAGGCTGGACCCTGGATGGCGGTGGTAAAGCGTTCCCAGTCTTACCCCCGTCTTCGTTCATTCCTTGTCAGGCTTCTGTTTACTGGCGCCATATTGATTATCTTGGCGTCGTATCAGTCGATTTTTAGTTACTTTTGAGCTTGCTGTACACAGGAAATCGTCAGCAATACCGGTGGGGAATAGGCGATGGGCACCTACTTCCGCCTTTTCAAACTTGAATCTTCCCCCTCTTCATTACAGTCACGTTTCCTAGTAATCTCCGTCCGGATGGTCCACCAGAGGTTCTTCATTCATACCGGCCGACTGTAATGAGAGACGTCTGTCTTCAATAGACCCGGGCTCATTCATGCAGTTCGAGTGTAGTTTCGTTGATCGCTTGACCTGGTGCCCTCATGTGCCCCCAAAACCCAAGTTCTTGCCCCGCAGAGAGATTCCGTTACACATCGCATATGTGCAGAGGGCTCATTTCAGTGACAAGCGCAATTGCCAGACAAGCAGAATGTATGCAGAGAGTCTATGGGCGCGTGCATATCGACCGAAAGGAGATCTTGTCTAGGGAAGCATGAGCTACGACCTATGCCTGCCTGCACCATTATCCGCATGTACATCACGGAATTTTGGCATGCCTGTAGTTTTTTCTTCGACAGCGAAAAAATACAGAGACCTCCGAGTACATTAGTGAGTAGTTGTTTCATGCATACAAGGCAACTTACAAATTGTCTTCGACTCGGCAGCGCCGCACCTGTCATCCATCTGATCATCATGAGCACGACCCGCATATTTCGCACAGCAACTGTAGGTGTTTCCTGGCCACCGTCTTCACTTACCAAGAAAATGATGAGGAATGACCAAGAAATTGCTGAGGAATGACCAAGAAATCCGCTCGTAGGCGATGCGGACCGGCTGAACCTGAACTCATAACCGGATCACAGCAGCTCCAGGCGCCTTTGTCTTCGGAGCAACCTGGTAACGGTGAGCTTCTTTAAACAACAAGTCATCGGTGAAAGATTTGTAGAACATAGACGTAGATGCATCCGTAATACTATCTGCCAGAATAGTTAGCAGACCCGAACACATCGACAGGCTCAACCGGTGATTTCAGATCTCCCAAAATTTCCTAAGACACCGTAGTGTTACGTCCGCCTGCAACTTAAGGGCAACTTACCCGGCTACCGGCAGCATTAAGATCTTGTGATCTTGGTCATTTTTGAGGAACCTAGAACGGAGAATATTTGGCTTCAGGAGTCGAGTACGAACACATTGATTGCCGGAATGTGCGGTGTACCTCATCGCTAGTGATACCGGTTTGATCTTCACAACGGGAATTGAGCATTCAGCACATACAAAACTTGATCACCATCGTAGAACGTACGTTATGTTCAACAAAAAAATACATCCGGTAAAGGTCAATGTATCAGTGCGAGGAAAAATCAAGTGCACAAGCGGTTAATCGCAAGAGAGCTAACATACCACATCATTATTCCGAACCTATAGAATTCAACATTTCCTCAGCATCCATCCACAGATCCTGCTGGCCCCAGATCCCAGCGACAGTAGATATTATTACCCAACATGAGTTCTTTCCGATACCGGTATTACCACCGCCCTCCGGCTCGGCTTCTTTTTCTTCACAGAGTAAGACCTTGAGCAATGCAAGGCAGGCACGAGCAAGACTTCGCAGCGAACTCATATCATCAGCAGATATGTAATCGTTAACGCGGGTTAGGAGAAAGAATATCCACTGTGCATGAACTTCAACAAGACGCGGAAATGGCGGACTCCTTTTGTCATCAAGGTGGAGATTCATCCAATGGGTAAAGTACATTAGGAGATGCAAAGACATGCGCTGAATAGGATGTCAGTTAGAATGTACGGGAATAGAAAGAAACTTGCCTGGTCAATGTGTTGCAGCAATAACGGCGTCAGTGGTCTCGGTTCGTAAGGAGGATGACTCTCGCCAAGAGACGAGACCTCGTCCAAAGACACCTTCGCCTCACCGGCTAGACCAATATTTGATGGCGATGGGTCCTGTACACCTGCCGAACCTACCTGGGATGCTAGCTCCACATCCCCATCCCCGTTGATCTGCCAGGTTTCCTGAACCACTTCATAGGTAACCTCGGTATCGGAATCGTCAGCGAATGCGCGCATGCCTTTGTGTTTCTTTTTTTGTTTAGGCTTCTTGGGTGGATTCCATTCAGACTCTGGCTTCCCCGAGAGGAATGCCCACCAAAAATCCCGCTCCTTCTTGCCGGGCATCAAAAGGTTACCAGGGACTTGTGGAAGCAAGACGTTTGCGGTGGGCTGAGAAACATTCTGGATGTCGAAGTCAGTAGAAAGGAAATAGGTCTTGAAGGAATCTCTGACCTTACGGAAGTTTTTGAACCGAGTCTCGAATTGAGCACGCCATTCTGCCGAGGGAAGTAGTGGATGTCTCGAAGAGGATTCGCGTCTAGGTGCAGGCGGCACCATTGTTTCTGGGATTTCATATGGATTTGGGACACGAGTAACCATAGGCAGTTTCTTAGCATCTCTCCTACAGACGAACATTAGAATAGAACGAAAAAATGTGATTCATGTACGCACCGAACAGTGAAAAGATATTCCATGCCATCTGCAGGCGTCCCGTTGAAGTCTGCAGGAAGATTGGCCACAGGAAGGATCTGTCGCCCGAAAGAAGGTTCCTCATCGTCGTCGAACTCATCCCTCGTCCGTTTGCGGGTCGACATATTGCGTCGGTGATGGCGGTAAAAGGCAACCAAGACCTGATCGAGAAATTGAAGTTTGAAGCGGAGTTGCACACGACTTGGCTTCGACTGCCTACAACCTATGGTCTGCTAATACCTGCTACACCCTTTAGCTGTTGTTTGTCCACTTCTTGGATCCTTCTATCATGGGGGACACAGACGATATTGACTTGGAAACTCTCCAAGCGCAAATCGACCTCTCGATGTCTTTAACCCATGACTTGGTATCTTCATGGGTCAAATCAACTCCAAACTCCAATAAATCGTCTTCTAGTAAAAGTATTGAAAAAATACTACGAGAGGAGATCCACCGGCCCCCGAGGTAGGTATGTTTTTTTTGAAACATCCTCACGTTCACTTAATAATGATGGGCGCATGAATCGCAGGCTAGGTGTCGGCGCTTCAGTGTCAGATTATAACACATCGTCTTCGCGAGAAGCTGCACGTCTGAAGAGCCATATTCTCAGTAACGGAAAAAAACGTTCTAGGGAGGATGAGGACCCTCAGCCTACCTCGACGCGTATCGCAGAGGACTCTGACGAGGGGGAAAGCAGAGCGGGAGCTATTCGCAAGAAGTCTAAATTAGATCCTTTTGCTACTTCAAGCAAGGGGAAGAGGAGGAAGGAAACATCGAACGGTGCACTGAGTGTTAAGCCACGTCTCAGCACCCCAACGGAGGCCCCACCATCCTATGTTGGCGTTAGCACTATGGAGGAGATAACATCCGGTGTGACGTCCGAGAAAAAGCAGAAGAAAAAACACAAAGATGTCGTCCCGTTAGCATTGAATGGCGATGTTCCGACGGCAGTTTCATCAGTGAATAACTGTACCAACGACAACAATTTTGCCCGGGAGACTTCAGGTACGAGAACGATCTTCCTATCAGTTCTATTGCTGAATATATTTATTGCAGAACCATCTCAGCTGTCACCATCAAAAACCACCGCCTTCTCACTCAAGATAGCTCCCAAAATGCCCAGAGATCTGCCAGCATCTCTGTTGAAACAACCCTTATTAAACCTTGAAGGCCCAGTCTTCGATAAAAGTGATGACGAAAGTCCGGACAACCATTCACCCACAAATACTCCAAAAAAGAAGAAACGAAGAAAGAAAAAGAAAAAGAAGCAACCAACGTTTGAAGGTTCCTCTGAACAGGCGAAAATTTCTTGACGGTGGGCTGAAACTTTTAAGAATGTTCGGGGATGATTAACTTGTTGTCACAGGGCCTACATTTGGCGATTTTCCAGTGTAATTGCAACCATGTCATTAGCTTACACGCAATTACACACTTATACACTTCAAGCTGTTCTGCGTCGGAGAACTGCACCTCTTACAGTCAGATCCCCGAACAGAGCGAGTTGGAGGGACGTCAAGAGAAATTGCAACCTCTGTGTATAGACCACATATTCCGGAAACTGGATATCTCTGTCCCAAATGTTAACCGTTCCCTGCGGCCGGTCCCACGCTACAAGAACCATGATAACGAACGCAGGAATCCAACCGGCGCACAATGTACCCGCGTAAAGCACCGCGTATACACTATAAAAAAACTTCAGGGCCAGGTCTTCATCAGTCTCCTTGTACCAGAGTACCAAAAGGGTGATATTGTAGGCCAAGGTTAGAATGCCAATGGCGGGATTCGCCCAGAGCTAAGGACGGATGAACGGTTAAATTAAGAACGGGCGGGATAAGGGGTCGAGAACTTGCCGAGAGAATACCCAGATCAAGGGCAGAGAGTGTGCAAAGGACCAGCGTATTGCACAAGGAGACGATGTTGAAATGTAACAGCGGGCTAGGTTCGTCCATATATCGGGTTTGTATAAGCGCCTGCGCATAACAAAGATGTTTGGGCCTGTCATGGGGTCCGTCCTAGTGTGTGAAAGCGCATTATAAACTAGGAAATCACGATGGGAACGATACACAGGTGTACTCGCTACAGGATCATCCAGAGGCATCGGGAGTAGGCAAAGTACCCGGACGAATCCACACATGCTAAGATGGAGTCATAGGTTGTGGTATTAGCGCATCCCGACAGCAGGTTCTAAGATATAGCCACTGAAAACGCATCAGAGCAGCATGGCAACCTTGCGTTCCTATAGAAAGTAAGAAATGCAGAGCTTTGCATTCCGGGGCTTGAATGTGTACATCGAGGCAATCCTTAGAGAAACAAGAAGACAATCGGTTGCAGCGCCAAAATGCTATCAATAAGAAAATTATCATATTAGTGCACCGCGTTATGCGAGTACGCCACAAAGACAAAAACCAGATGATACACACAATAAAATAATCCAATACAGAGCATATTCAACTTCTAAGAGATCTCCACAGCGGTACGGTCACCGCGTCACTCTGCGTTTCGGCTGAACGCGACGTGCACCTGTGGCCTGGCCACGTCCTTGGGTATTCCTCCTGACTCTGTTCACAGGTGTCTTTGTGGGAGATTTATTTCTACCGGGGGTACCAGCTACGCCAGTGGTGTGACGTCGTTTCGGCGCATGTCCGACTAGGCGATGAGTAGAACCGCTGTAACGAAGGCGAGGCTGGCCCCGGGTGCCAGAGCTAGTACGGGAAGGGGGCGGCTTCCGTCCGAAAAGGTTGGCAAAAAATCCGCCCGGCTGCTTTTTGCACCGTGCCTGCATACGTTTGTAGTTCCGGGCAGCCTTCATCTCGCGTATACCCTAGTCATATTACAGTAAGTGAAAGAGAGTAATGACATCGCCATTAAGAGGCTTACCTTACTTCTGAGTTTCTCGTCGCCAATGAGAGTTCCCCGCATTTTTGCAAGCCAACCATGCATTGTATTTGGTATTGGATGCGTCCGGCGCGACCCATCGCGATGGAACTAGAGTCGGAATATTAGATGGAGACTACTTTAGTAGGACGATAGGAACGGAAGATACATCTGCTGGCCATTCAATTTTCATGGTCGACGATGGAGGTAGAATGGGAAGAGATCATGGATCAGATACAGAGAACATTAAGTAACCAATACAACACAACAATGCGGTTTAGTATGTAACAAGCTCTCGGTGATATCGCGTCGCTTATCTAAGCGTCCTACACGTTTTTGACAAGACTTTCATTCACTTCTCCTGCCGACTACCTGCAGGAAACAGTGTGTTTCCGTCACTTACTCGCTTGAAGCAAATTTCAGACCCTCTTGATGCATACATGTATTTTCCAACTTTTTGAATCACCCTGTTTTCACGGTATCTTTTTTTAGGAAACTACAACAAGTTCACGTACTTGAGGCTTTGATTCGACATCTGATATGCTCAACTCAACTTGTGGACCTTCTCCAACATTGCGAACTGTTAGGATCGACTCTAAAAATTTTATGTTTCTTTGCCCTGGTCTAGTCTCCTGAATTAACATTTTTTTGTCCTTCAGGTAACGGATCAACTTCTGCCATCGCTCTGGGGCAGATTAATATGTTCTCTGTCTGCCTCTTCAGTCAGCATGAGTCAACATTCGAACTGTTGCTATACTAAACATATCGCTATCCATGAATGTCGGAGGACTGTTGCGCCTTTCTCAAACACCATAAAGTAAGTTTTTCTGATCCGACACTCGATGCGCCATTCATTGGTCCGCATTGGCTTCAGGCCCCGAGGATTAAGATTTGCGCATGACGTAGACGAGCACGTCTATCTTGAAACATCTTCGCGCCGGCAATCAAGTACAAGGCTTGCACTTTTTCCGAGGGATTCGCAACCGGTAGTCCTATGAAACCGACAGACCCAATGACGACTACAGATATTGACAGAATCTGTCTCGTTTTATCTTGTAATGTCACACAAACCCGACTTTGTAAGTCGTGCTTTTCCTTTTTTGACATCTTTGACAGGCACCTCGTAACGCTGCGGCCGTGACTTCACAGCGTTTGTTCCAAGTTAACTTCCGGGTTTTCCTGAAAAGGCACCACACGTGGACACTGCTTCTTTCATCGCCATAGGATTTTTCTCCTCCCAACTTGCTAATTGCTAGTTCCATGGCGGCTAACGGTTACTACTGTTACCGAACGAAAGCGGGAATGTTTATGGACCGTATAGGCTTTCATGGAGAGTACAAGAAGGCACCATGAAGCTGCTTGTCGATTCAGAGTTCGCAGCAGGATTTCCAGCATCTCTACCAAGCCTCAAGAAAAATGAACAACAACAACTGGCGCAACGTCAATCTTGTGATCGACAGACTCTATTTGGGCAAGTACGTGGGCGCACTTTCTCCCAGATTCGGTCCCGATATTGATTTTTTTTGCCCTTTTTCAGTATTAGGGCAGCTACCTCTACCCGCGCAACTGGCGAGCGGGGAATAACCCACATCGTCTCTGTATGCTCCGACCCTATCCCTGCAGAGCTCCCAGAGTCTGGCATCCAGCACCTCCGCATCGAGGTCGAAGATGTCGACTACGCGGACCTCTTGCGGCATCTTCCAAGGGCCATTCGTTTTATTCATGAGGCCTTGTCTAATCAAGGCGTTGTTCTTGTTCATTGTGTCCAAGGCCTCTCGCGAAGCGCTACCGTTGTCGCTGCATACCGTAGGTCCCCGTCCTCAAAATGATCGATCTCGGAAAGCTAAATTGATTCATATAGTCATGTGGGCCCAGAGAATTCACGCCACAGAGGCCTTGGAAATTGTTAGACGAGGTAAGGAACGGATGCATAGCCTGTGAACCTTTTGTGATGTTTCTCTTGCAGCCCGCGATCAAATTTGGCCAAACGCGGGCTTCCAGGAACAGCTCGTCCTTTGGGAATTGTGCGACTACAATCCCACACCCGAGAACGGTTTTTACAGAACCTGGAGGCTGCAGCTTGATCGCCGCCTGGCCGCTGCTGGCTTGCGCTGAGTGTCATGCATTCTCATTTAAAGTTATGCGCTGTAACAACTTGAAAGTTTTCCTTTTTCATGATTTTCTTCGATTTAGTTCATACTGCTTACTGCTGACACACCATCTACGTACCATTATAATCCTTCAACTCTTGATTAAATAATTTCTGTTTACATATGATCAAGTTACAATCCTTTTTTTCTTCCAAATATCCAAATGTTCTTGAGTTTTATAACTTCGTGAGTGAAAGTGTTCTGTCTGACTTGCTTTTTAGCCGCCCTCAGGAATCTGGATACTAGATGACTGTAGGGTTGTATCGTCTCGACTCGATCGCGGTCCAGGAGCTCTCGGTGACTCAAGTTGTGATTGCTGTCAATTAAAAATTCAATCGTGTAGCGTGTAGCCACGTAGATGAGAAAATGTACGGGACCGCCGCGACCGTGAAATGACTCCTACGGCAGATAAGCAGCCACGAACCACGTACGTGGATCAAAGTGTCGGCATACGAGTCGGAAGTGGGTTGGATATAAAAGGAAGCTTAAGAAGCGGCGATTCAATTTGTACGGACTCACACGCTCACTCTCTCCCTCTCATCTTCAACAACCGCCTGTTTCGCTTTTTCTTATTTTTTGTCTCGTACTTCGTTTACAACAATGGGTCTCTCGGTCTCACGTCTTCTTGCCGGCCTTTTTGGCAAGAAGGAAATGCGTAAGTCGCTTTATCGATGTCTTGCGTGTCAGACGGTGAAATGCATATATCATAGGTATACTGATGGTCTGTTCGAAATTCTTCTTGTTGCGGTCGCGGATGCTCATCCAGGCTCTCTAGGTTGGTCTTGATGCTGCTGGTAAGACCACCATCCTGTACAAGCTCAAGCTGGGAGAGATCGTCACCACCATTCCAACAATCGGTAAGCTTGGCGCTAATTTCTTCCACGGCGGTACGCTCATATCGACTTAGGTTTCAATGTTGAGACTGTGGAATACAAGAACATCTCTTTCACTGTGTGGGATGTTGGAGGTCAAGACAAGATCCGTCCTCTCTGGAGGCATTGTACGTCCTTACACCCCTGTGCCTATATTTTCTTCTTATTCTTCCGTAGACTACCAAAACACCCAGGGCATCATCTTCGTGATTGATTCTAACGATCGGGAACGTGTTTCTGAGGCGCGGGAGGAACTCCAGCGGATGCTCAATGAGGACGAGCTCCGTGATGCTCTCCTTCTCGTTTTCGCCAACAAACAAGATCTTCCAAACGCCATGAATGCCGCTGAAATCACCGACAAGCTCGGTCTTCACGGATTGAGACAACGTACTTGGTATATTCAGGTCAGCTCCACGTTATTGCCTCATTGCATTTCGGCTTACGCCCAGCTTTACCCCAGGCTGCTTGTGCCACATCTGGAGACGGTCTTTATGAAGGTCTCGAGTGGTTGAGCGCCAACATCAAGCGTCGGGTGTAATAGGTGCCTGGCCGTCGGATACGCTTCAGTGTTGTTTACGTGTATCACGATTTCTTTACGATGCCGAAAACGTATGCAACGCCTGCGCTCCCATTAATGTCACTAGTATCTCTTTTGTCTTCCTTCCTTTCCCCTTGTTATTGGATCACTCGCCCTTCTGTTTCCTGTATTAAATGACCCGGGGGTCCTTTAAAATGCTCGTTGATTTAGAGTCTAGACTGAATGGTTCAATAATGCATTGATAGTACAAAGTGATAAGTATACAGCTCTCTATCGGCCTTCGCCTGGATATAATCTTCCTACAGCCTCTGCTTCTTTGCGCCGTCTCTCCGCAAGCTCTCTCCCCTCCGTATCACGTCGCGTCGTACCGTATTTGGCGAGCTTCTCTAACAAGGCCTGGAGACGTCTTTGTTTGACAGACGGGAATGATGATTGGCGATTGGCGAGAACTAAATACTCTGGGACGGAATTGTTCAAGGGAATAGATGTTGTCTATATGGTTTCAAGGACGAAGCGATCGGCATCAGAATGTAAGTGGGGAAGGGGCAGTGTACTCACGGAACGCAGCTCAACGAATGCACTGGATAGATGTTGCCTTCCTATTCGCCGCAACTCTTCCTCGATGAAATCCACATCAATCAGCAAGTTTGAAATGGCATTTTCGTTCATCATGGGTATGTTCCGCCCAGTCAGGAAGTCCTACAATTGTAAAGCGATTATCACCCGGATTGATTATCGATCCAACAATAAGCACATACCATGAGACACTCCGCGATATATCCCACAGCTCCTCTGTAGGCCTCGTCCTTGTATGCTTCTTTGATGACAAGCGAGTCCACGACGGTAGTCAGCCAATTGACCAGCTCATAAAGATACATGCTCGGCGAATCTTCGCGCCTGTTAGGTGTCCAGTCGTACTCGGAAAGCTCAAAGAAATCATCCAATTTGGAGTTGATCAATCCGGAGATGCGCGCTAATGCCCGCGATAAGGTGCTCTCAAATGAATTAGAGGCGGTCAGGCGGATCGTCCCTCCTCTCTGGGCGGAACTAAGCATAAGCCACCGTATGAGCCAACAGCACGGGTTATTGGAGGTGAGTACGTACCGCAAGTTAGTCAAAGATCGTTCTAGTTCCACACAGGCAACCTGGAAGTGTTCGAGATTGGTCACAATTTGGGCAATCTGAGTGAGGGTGGTGGTTCCTGCAAGACGTTGCCCGATAGCTATACTGATGTTGTTCGTTAAGAGGCTGTCCAAGGACTTGATGATCCAAGTTAGCACGGACGCTGCAACTGCGTAGTTGCCTTACCTTGCTCAGCAACTCGTCAATGTTTCGGTGATGTTGTGATACCCCTTCCACAAAGGCATAGAATTTTTGAATAAATCCGCGTATCTAAAGTTCGTGGAAGAGATATCAGGGTAGGAATAGGAGTTTTACTTACGTCCTGACAACACAGATAGAATGTCTGTGACCAAGGAAGGTTCACGGGTAGAGCCCGCCTGAACGTAACAATAATGATCTGCCCTAAATCAAGAGGTGCGAGAGCTTACTGTTCGATTTCAGCCTGTTCAGACTCACTTAGCCAGACTATTTCAAGAACTGTCGCCAGCTCCGAGGTGGTTTCGATATACATTGACAAATGGTCGTCATGTTGGATGATCTTAAAACAGAAGGTCCTTATCAAGATGTTCACGATTGAGAATGAAACTTACGCTGTCAAATCGTCGACTGAATTGCGCTTCTAGCAGCCTGGCATACTTTTCAAACAGAACAATGATAAACGAATGGAGTGACGCCGTCGAATATGATGGCGACTGGTTATAAATCAGAGTCTGCACACAGGACATCATTAAGCTCACCGACGTCTAATGTCATGAGGAATTCTATCAGACATTCCTTCACCCGCAGGAAAGTGTCAGGGTCATTTTCTATCTGCAAGGCGCGCTCAATCCCTGATCTCAGTCGACCTACAAGAGCTTCCCAGAGTTCTTCTACATCCCGTTGGGACCTAAAGGTACCCGTCGTTTCAAGGACATGACTTTCAACAATGAAGAAACCGGATATTTCTTGAACGAGTGAGGGCAATGAAGATATGGGAAGAGGGTCGGGCAGGATCAAGTCAGATTGTGCCTAAGGTGTTCAATGAGCTGATGCAAAGTTAATGCGAGCAGTGAGCAACATACCTTTCGATCTGCTTGATACGATCGCTGGAGTTCGTCCAACGAATCCAACGTAGTATATATGTGTATACATTCAAAAAGCGGCTTAAAGTCGATCTTGACTTCATCGTTGTTCAGGACGTCGTCTGTAGGCTGCGTCAGAATAAGCCAAGAAGGAAAGAGATCAGGTTACATTCAGACTTTTCCGAAGTGACCAATTCCACGGCGCTACCGACACGACTCATCCTCAAGAACGGGTCTTTCTCTCGCCGTGATCGCCATCTTCGCGACCTAGTCTCCATATTGTCAAGGGCCAGCCTACCAACATCACCGCTGCTCTCTCGTATCTCAAGAAGCCATTGCTTCATGGAAGCAGTTACTGCGTCCTTAATTTGACCACGTAAAGAAGGTAGGGAAGATAGCAAATGTTGATAGAAAGGCGTTTGGAGTAACAGTGTTGGTGCAATGCTTGGGATATCATCAAGACACTGGTTGAGAATGCACATGTTAGAATGGAGTATTGCAACACAGGATAGAGAACGGACCCTCAGCGCGCTCCAGTATTTGCCTTCTCTGACCATCTCACCCACTCTATGTACTACATCCAGGACGCGCAAGCAAGCTTGAAGAGTGTCGATTGCCTCATCGAGATTTGCAGCGGTTTTCTTGGATTGCAGCAATGCTCGTTTCTTCTCCACTAGTCCGCGTCCTAGCTGCGCGACACTGGTATCCAGAGTAGCAATGTTCTCCTTCATGTTGTCCGTGTAAGACTTGACCGTGAACAGCGTAGAGACAGATGATATAAAGTCCTGATAGTTGTCCCCGCATATTTTCTCGATCTCTTGGTCTTTGGATTCGATGAGCCCTTGAACGGTGCGGAGGAAGGCTTCTTGTTGTCTGTTGGTGTGGATTTGCTTGATTAACGGGCCCAGTTGCTCCAAGTTTTCTGAGGACGATGACTGGTCGAGGAGATGGATTTGCTGTAGCTGCTGGTCGATGCTCTCTTGGGTGAAAACATGAGCTCGTCGACGCGGAGGCATGGTTACAATCCCGTTATGTGGCAGTGTTCCAGCCCTAGAGTGCCGGTGCTTGGCATCGCCACGAGAGCCAAATACTGTTCTCCCGGAATTTCGGGCCTTCGGAGAAATGTCGGATGATAAGAGGACGCGGTCCAATTTCCCCACACAGGGTTCTCGTTTCTGACTCCAGCAGGGTACCATGCCATCTACTACCTTTCACGTCGACGCGGCGTCAGTAACATTTTTTAAAAATTTTATGAATATCTTCTAACCATCATGCAGGCTATTCGACATGGACGGAACTCTTGTCGACTCCACTGCTGGGGTGGAGGGTGCTTGGGAGGTATTCCGACAGACCTACCCATCCATCGACATCCATGAAGTTTTGAGCTGTGAGTGCGATTGTCACTGATTCATCTGATACTTATATATGTACCAGCTGCTCACGGTGTCCGTACCGTTGAGAACCTTCGCGCCCACTGTGGAGTCACAGATCCCGACGAACTTGAGGTAAATATGAAAAGAAATCACATCTCTTATATCTGTTCAAAGCCCTTGGCATATAGAGAGAAGCTGAGCGCTTTGAAACCGCGATCGTCACCTCTGCGGCTGCTAATGGACGGCAAGGAATCGTTCTTCTTCCTGGGGTAGCCAGAAATTTCGCGGAGGTAACAAGTCAACTTCTATAATCGACTTTGAACCTAAAACCCCGATTTCTCTCAGATCACGCCCTATCACAAATTGCCTAATCCTAGTTGGGCCATCTGTACTTCCGCTACAAAGAAATATGCCACTGCGGCCCTCGGCAGCGCAGGTGTCACTATTCCTGACGTCTTCGTGGTAGCCGAGGATGTCGAGAAAGGGAAACCTGCGTATGTCTTCGTCATTCTATGCAGTGCCATCGTTTGACTGTACCTAGCCCCGATCCATACCTTCTCGGAGCAAAGAGATGTGGCGTGAAGCCGGAGAACTGTGAGAGTCTATATGTTGATCTGAGATCATACTGGTTTTGATTTTAACCTTATTTAAGGTGTTGTTTTCGAAGATGCACCTGCTGGTATTCGCAGTGGCAAGGCTGCAGGCTGCAAGACTATCGGGTTCCTCACAACCCACAGCAAGGAACTAATGGAGGCCGTTCAGCCTGATTTTCTCGTCCCCAACATGGATAGGCCAGTGTATTGACTCGCTGAGCATTGTGATTCTAACTGTTTTTTTCTAGCGTTACCATTCGTCGCATTGACACAGGCTTAGAAATCACAGTCAGCACTGAATAGATATAGATGAAATATGCTACTTAGATGTTCGAGGCTCGTCTAGAGACATAGAAACACTCAATGTTAGACTCATTTAACGCACAGCTAATTGCATTATCTCATTGGACTAAGTACCCAAATTCCACTTCCAGAAAAGAGTTGATTCGAACGATAGATTTAAGGTAAACCGTTAAAAGCATAGAACTAGATGCACATTGAAAAGAGCAAGAGCAGACCGGAAAAAGCGAAGGGTATTTTGGTAGCCAGACGAAGGGATGATTGACATTTGATCATGTCTAATATTCACCGTCCTCTTCCGCGTCAGCGGAGTCTGTACCAACTTCTTCGTAATCCTTCTCGAGTGCTGCAAGATCTTCACGAGCCTCAGAGAATTCCCCCTAAGAGATACGGGTAAATGGACGGCCATATCTTGAAAAAGAGACACTTACTTCTTCCATACCCTCACCGACATACCAGTGCACGAAGGCACGTTTGGAATACATGAGATCGAATTTGTAGTCTGCAGGAATAATAAATTGCCGGTAAGATAAAAGAAGAGATCTAGACCTACCAAGGCGATTCCATGCAACAGCAATAGCGGTGGTACTAGAAATCATAAATGAGATCAGCTTCTTAGGGAAGAATAAAGGGCGGACTTCGAAAGCATGCAAAGACTGCGAGTTGTCTTAGCAAGATCACCACCGGGTACGCATGCTGAAGGTTCGTTGCAGACGCCCAGCTGTTGAAAAGTCAGATAACATCGTTGAGTACAAAAACCCCTATACCTTGAAACCGGTGGGGCACCAGTCAACGAATTGAATGGTCCTCTTGGTCTTGATCGTTGCGACAGCAGCGGTAACATCCTTAGGAACGACGTCGCCACGGTAGAGTAGGGCACAGGCCACTATACCACTGATCAGAGGGTTAAGGATTACGATGAGCGAAGCTGGACATACTGTATTTACCCTCCTTAGGGTCACACTTTACCATCTGGTTGCCAGTCTCGAAGCAAGAGAAAGTCATCTCTGCTACAGAGTTCTGTTCATGGGTAGCCTTCTCAGCGGACAGTAAGGGAGCGTAAGTAGCAAGAGGGAAGTGGATACGGGGGAAACTGGATCGGGGATCAGAACATATGCAGCGCGACTATTGACAGTACTCACGGGACCAAGTTAGTCTGGAACTCGTTCAGATCGACGTTCAGAGAACCGTCAAAGCGGAGAGAGGCGGTGATTGACGAGACAACTTGCGCAACCAACCTGTTTAGGTTCGAGAAGCTAGGGGAAGCAACGCCCAGTTTTGTCTTGCAGATGTCATAAATGGCTTCGTTATCAACCTGAATCAAGGATATGTTAGAGCAAGGAATAGTTGGAAAAGGGTCCAGACACACCATGAATGAACAGTCGGAGTGCTCAAGGGTTGTGTGAGTCGTCAGGACGGAGTTGTAAGGCTCGACGACGGAGCTGGAGAGTTGGGGGGCAGGATACACACAGAACTCCAGTTTCGACTTTTTGCCATAGTCGGTGGAAAGACGTTCCATGAGCAGAGCACCGAATCCTGAACCGGTTCCACCACCGAAGGAGTGGAAGACGAAGAAGCCCTGAAGGCCAGAGCAGTTGTCAGCGAGACGGCGCAGCTTGTCCATAACAGGGTCAATGAGCTCCTTGCCGACTGTGTAGTGGCCACGGGCGTCTTTGTGCCAGCAGGTTAGTACGGATTTGATCAAAGTGCGACAAGCGGACATACAGTTGTTTGCAGCGTCTTCCTTGCCTGAAATCATGGTTTCTGGGTGGAACAGCGACCTGTAGGGACCTGTCTTGACATCGTCTATTGCACCGGGCTCGAGATCCACATAGAGGGAACGTGGGACGTGTTTTCCTGAGCCAGTCTCCGAGAAGAAGGTTGAGAATCCACTATCGGAGTGAGATGGCGAGTCGGGGCCAAGACGACCGTCAGGCTGGGGCAAAGGGTGAGCGTCTGAGCGCGATGACCGCAGGACGACAACGACTTACACTGAGTCCGTGTTCGAGAGTATAGAGCTCCCCTGTGGAACGGTGAGTACGCGAATCTCGACGCGAAAAAAGGAAAGAGCAGTGGCAAGGAAGGACGACGTACAGCAGGCGTTACCAATCTGGACACCGGCCTGACCAACATGGACGGAGATTACTTCACGCATTGTTTCTAGAGACGGAGTGAATTTGAGCGGCGGTTAAGGATAAGGTCGTTGGTTGCTCAGGAGAAACCGGGTGATCAACCAATAATTTTGGCACCAGTCACATCACGGTCACGCGATAGCCCAGATCAGAAAAAGTCATGAATTCATCAATATTCCGCGTAACTGTGTAGAAGGTAAAAGTAATGCTGGGAATCACATAAAGCGCAACAAGGAGAACAATTATAGGTCGACTAAGCTGCCATCAAGAACGTAAAAAAACGCATACAACCACGTCTAGTATTCACCAGCCTCCTCAATATCGGCAGAGTCAATGCCAACCTCCTCGTAGTCTTTTTCAAGAGCAGCCAGGTCCTCTCGGGCCTCCGAGAACTCGCCCTCCTCCATACCCTCACCGACATACCAGTGGACAAACGCCCGCTTCGAGTACAAAAGGTCAAACTTGTGGTCGAGGCGGCTCCAGGCCGAGGAAATAGCAGTTGTGTTTGAAAGCATGCACATACTGCGTGTCACCTTGGCAAGATCACCACCTGGAACGTGTGCGGGAGGCTCATTGCAGATACCAAGCTTGAAGCCAGTGGGACACCAGTCGACAAATTGGATAGTGCGTTTGGTCTTGATAATGGCCACAGCAGCGTTGACATCTTTAGGAACGACGTCTCCACGGTAGAGTAGAGCACACGCCACTAAGAGACATTCTAAGATACTGATCGATCAAATAACGAATAAACGCACTGTATTTTCCTTCCCTGGGGTCGCACTTGACCATCTGGTTGCCAGTTTCGAAACAAGAAAAAGTCATATCGGCAACAGAGTTCTGTTCATGGTGTGCTTTTTCGGCCGAGATGATGGGAGCAAAGGTAGCGAGGGGGAAGTGGATACGGGGGAACCTAGAAAAAGGAACGTCATTCTAGCTGTCTCCCCTGTCCTGTGTGGCGACTTACGGAACCAGGTTGGTCTGGAATTCGTTCAAATCAACGTTGAGAGAACCATCGAACCGCAAAGACGCAGTGATTGAGGAGACGACTTGTGCAATCAGCCTGTTCAAGTTGGTCAATCCGGGAGATGAGATGCCCAAGTTCTTCTTGCAAATGTCGTAAATGGCTTCGTTGTCAACCTACCGGTGGACTTGAGTAAGCGCTGTTCTAGATGTCAAATCAAATCGCATACCATAAAAGAGCAGTCAGAGTGCTCCAAAGTCGTGTGCGTAGTCAGAACCGAGTTGTAGGGTTCAACAACAGAGTTGGCCAGCGTTGGCGCGGGGTACACGCTGAACTCCAGCTTCGACTTCTTTCCATAGTCCGTGGAAAGGCGCTCCAAAATCAAGGCACCAAATCCAGAACCAGTTCCACCGCCAAAGGAGTGGAAGACGAAGAAGCCCTGAAGGCCAGAGCAGTTGTCTGCGAGGCGGCGCACTCGGTCCATCACGAGATCGATCATCTCTTTGCCAATGGTATAATGTCCACGAGCATCTTGAGCATTGTCAGCCATGAACATAGCGCATATATGCCAGCAAATCGACCCACAGTTGCTCGCAGCGTCCTCCTTGCCATTGATCAGGGTCTCGGGGTGGAACAGACTCCTGTACGTGCCAGTCTTGACCTCGTCAATGACATTAGGCTCCAGATCCACGTATAGAGAGCGTGGCACATGCTTGCCCGAGGACGTCTCGGAGAAGAAAGTGCTGAAGCCATCATCGTTTGCGACGGCGCCGTCGCTGAGACGACCATCAGGCTACAAAATACGTCAAAAATAAAAATCTTTGTAGTGTGAATTAGAGGCAACCCACGCTGAGACCGTGCTCGACGGTGTACAACTCCCCTAGAGTAATCGGATCAGCATCGTACCACTTACATATCGTCAAAAAGGTGAAGATAAACAACGGCACGACGCGTCAACCCAAGTCGAAATCGCGACGATAGACAAGCAGATACAATAGAGGGAGTGTATACTCACAGCAGGCGTTACCAATCTGGAGACCAGCCTGGCCAACGTGTACGGAGATGACTTCACGCATGTTTCTGAAAGGCCTTGTAAACGCGACAGAATAACGATCTCAGCAGGCAAGAATGCCGCAAGGCAGGGGCACTTACGAAGAGAATGGGAAAGGAAAGATGAGCGGTGGAAGCTGAAAGGCAGACGAAAGGCAGAAGAATTTCTCAGCTGTGAGCCGAGACTGAAGAATTCTCACGCCTGCCATCCATCACTTGGCCCGTGCGCACCCGCATTTGACGCATGTACACTGACCGACAAAAATAAAGAAACACATGGTTTTTTTGATCGGAGTCGCAATAGCTCCTCAACACTGCGATATTTTTTTGGACTTCCAGTGAGTGTAATGTAGCTTGATATCTGTAGTTTAATATTATGAAAAGAATGAGGCAAAAATACCAGTCAGTGAGCAAAGTAAGAGGGCTGCGAAACCACATGCCAATTTTGATGATGTAATGGCATCACATCAACGTCGGAACCAACTTGAATCTGAACCACCACCTGGGCCGATTGCACTGAAATTCCTATCATGTATTCACCTCCTCCTCGCAAACCAAATGTGCCTATTACCCCTACGAAAAGCAGCCCATATTTGCACTCTCCTCAATGAAGGCCACACCTGCACTGAAATCAGCAATGTCATTGGATGTTCGCGCTCTACCGTCTGCAAAACTGGCCACAAATATGAAGGGAAGGAGAACTACTATGCTCGCATCGAAGGGCGAGGCCGCCCGCGCAAGATGGACGATGCGGATATTAAATTTGCCGTGCGAAAAATCTGTAGTCACGACTGCCGGACAGCGGTCGACGTTCAACGGGGGTATTTCGACCATCTTTCGGAGCGCACTGTGCAGCGCAGGCTTTCAGATGAGGGCCTGAAGGGTTACAAGAGGTGGAAGGTACCAATGCTCACGAAGGCTCATGTTAGAAAGCGAAGGGTGTGGGCAGAGGCACATGCAGAATGGGGAGCAGAAAAATGGGGTACTGTGCTCTACTCAGATGAGTCCAAATTCAACTTCTTTGGGTCAGACGGAGTACAGTGGTGTCGTAGGGGTCCTGGTGAGGCACTAGATGTGCATAACGTGTTGCCCCGGTTGAAGCATGGAGGTGGGGGGGTGATGGTCTGGGGATGCATGACGAGTTTGGGCTTCGGATGGCTGATTTTGGTGGAAGGCACTATGAATGCTGTCCAGTACTGCCAGATACTTAATGAAGGACTTCTCGGCACCCTCCAGGACTATGAACTCTCAGTCGATGATGTCCTTTTTCAGCAGGATAATGACCCCAAGCACACAGCTCGGCTTACGAAAAAGTGGCTCGCCGACCAAAACATCTCTGTAATGGACTGGCCACCAAATAGCCCCGACCAAAGCATCATAGAGAATGCTTGGGCTACTCTCGAACATCGTCTGAACAACAGACCACGTCACCCGACAACGACTGCCGCATTATTTGCCGTTCTGCAGGAGGAGTGGGCTGCACTTGGAAAAGAGTATTGCAATGCGTTATATGGTAGTATCCCATCACGGGTGAGGTCCTTGATATTGGCAAAGGGCAGGCATACTAGATATTAGGTTGTTGGACTTTTCGTCAGGTCAATTATCTTGTTTTCTCATTTTACTTACACTGCTAAAAATGACACTCTCGGCTAACATATTTATATCTCATCATTTTTTTCATGTATGTACCTCATTCTTTTTCTAACAATAAACTACATCAATTAAGCTACATTTCTCTCACTGAAAGTCTGAAAAAATATCGCAGCGTTGAGGAGCTATTGCGACTCCAATCAAAAAAACCACGTGTTTCTTTATTTTTGTCGGTCAGTGTATCTATAAAGCACGACAACCTAGAGTTGGTATAACAGTGAATATGCTATAGACAGATATAGAACGAAAACGAAAAAATTCAAGAATCTACGGAAAAACTGAGCTCTGCTTGGCAACTTTTCCATCAGCAAACTTGTTCGCCTCTCTATCTACAATTCTAATGTTGCCCCCGCATCCTTGACAGTCACAGCAGCGTGCTTTGTACCATCTATAACTTTCTTTGAGCTCTCGCGCATAAAATACCTGGAGCAGCATATTTTAGTTGCAGGTTCAGAAGCACCTCACCCATACGAGCGACTTACCCCACTAATACATCCCACAGTCTCAAACCATGGACAGGAATGACGTGGGTATGCACTTGTTGCTCTGATACAGACTGCCGTGGGGGTCTTGTAGGACCGTCGTATGGAGTAAATGTGGCTCTAATGGTATCTCTCGCACTCAACTTGGGGACCGTCTCGTGAGTTATGGGAGCTGTGTGGTAGATACACTTCTTAAGCAAAGCAAGAGCTTCAGGCTGCACAGATGGTGAGCAGTGATATCGACGTGGGAGATGACTCACTGTGTCTCGACGCCCAGCTATAGCTGAGGGAGGTGGAGTCTCATCTTCAAGGTCGAATGGACCCCATCTTCGGTCTTCTTGAATTGTGCCATCTATAGACTGGTCTGAAGTGCTCTTGGTACGAGTTGCCCGTCTTCCGTGGGACTTCTGTGGAATGTTGGACTGCCTAGGTTGCAGAACGAGGCCTTGCTCTTTCGCTCGTTCCAGTAGTTCAGCGGCTTTGACTTCCAGTGCCCGTCGTCGTCTGATGGCTTTCTGTGCACTCTTCTTGAAGGTTATATCCCACTCCTCTTGGCCTTTAGCCCACCGTAATGCAGGAGCCTCCTTGATCAAACCGATCTCCTCAGGTCGGATACGCAAAGCTGCAATCTCCTCCTTTGGTTCCATAGGCCTTGTCTTACCCCAGATATCTACACGCTCACGAACCATCGTGACACCAGGTGCATCGACCTGTTGGAATGATTAGTAAAAGGTGCTGAGACCAACGAGCCACGCACTGTAGCAGTTTCGACTACACTCCTCAACTCGGTAATGTCGCGTCCTATTTCCTTCGCCGAATTTTGTACGCCTTCCTTATACAGATTGGGGTCGCGTACGTTGTCCGAGGACTGAACCTCAGGCTTCGGCCACAGTCCGGATTTCTTCATTTGACTAAATCTCGAACCTCTGTTTCGTCGGTGGGGATCAAGTTCATAGTCATGACTCCATACGGACGGAGCAGGCATGTGAAGCTCAGGGAAGGGATTGCGATTGAGATCTGCTTCGCCACTATCCGTAACGTGTCTGACGAACTCGGCGATGGATCGATAGGCGTGTTTTGCCTGAAATCATTCAGACGCTGGACTTAAAATTGAATTAAAGAACGCCTACACTATTTGTAAAGCTGAACACCGTCAAGACATGGCACATACCTAACAATATGATGTCGGAGAAAAGGTGACAAAGGTAAGCATACATACCATCGAACACCTGGAGATGCACCTAAATAACTCGTTATTTTCATATCAAAAGGCGCGCGCTACCAATTACGCTGACCTTGGTTGGAGTCATGAACTTTTTAGAATTGGATGATTGTCTTTCACTATCCTTGGTTATGCCGTTTCTTACCGGATACTCGGATGGACGAGCAGCACGATGAGCAAGGTAAATGATTTCATCTCGTAAGACCTCTCCATCACCAGCAAGGATGTACAATGGTGGTAAATTGCCTAATGACCCCTGAAGGACGGGAGAAACAGATGGGTGGGTAAGCTGCCTGAAAAACCTTGATATTTGCTGGACCTGAAGCTGAAGAGACAACTCACTCTGTAGTTGCGTACAGCTGTATTTGGGATTTCAGTTCAAGTGGAAAGTCATTTTTGTCATCCATCAGGACTTTGGGGGGCTTTGGTTGAAAGTCGCCATGAAGAATTCCTTTGGGAAGATCATCTCGGTGTCTTCCTTGATCTGAGGTGACAGAGGTCTCCGTCGCATGGACATTTTTCAGTGAGCTGCTTTGCGCATTTTCCTTCTTCCTTTGCTCGAGCTGCAGACGAGCTGCAGAAGGTTTTAATATGTCAGCATGGCCAGCTTCTGGCGGAGGCTCTGACTTTGCGGGTTGCACTCTGCCGTCTTTTGGAGGCAACAGATCGACGGGCCAAAGAGTTGATGGCTTTGCGAGAAAACCATGTGAAGGTATGATGTCCTGAAAAGAAACCTGTTGATGCGTAGAATAATATGTACTGTATTACGTACGGTATCAGTGTTGTTCATGACGCTCGGAAAGCTGTGTGTCAAATCAACCCAAGGACTGATGAGGATGGCACCAGCTGGTGATGGAAGCCCCATATCGCGTAAGATGGTAAGAACTGAGAGAGATAGTCCGCCCCCTGCAGAATCTCCGGCAAAAACGACTTTTGAAGGGGGAATCGCTCTGTGGTGTGCGTTTGGAGGCGGCTGAATTAAGTACAAGTCTAAATGGATACACTGAGGATCAGCCATGAATAGAAAGGAAATGGACAAAACGGACAAGCTGCAAGAACGTCTTGCAAAGGACACGGCCATGGATATTGAGGCGCTTTACGATAATTCACAGCAAAAGCACGGCCCCGGAACTTACGAGCTGCAAATTATATCATTGGGAGAGGTGATGGTGTAGCCAATGCAAAACGGACCGTATCGTATAATCTGGTATCGGTGAGTATCTTCCATAAAGGTTTAGCAGTCGTCCGTGTGCAACAATACTCTACGTACTTATTGATCCCCAGAAGTATCCGCCTGTAATACGTTCCAGTGGCATCGAATATTAGAAAACTCAAATACTTTACCTCCATGGACATATAACTATGCAATATATCATCATCAGCATTCTAAACTTCAGCGAAACTCCTGTACTGACCATAACTCGATCCAAGTGCTCCATACGCAAAATATCCTGCTCATCTTTGGACAGATTCTTGTCCTTTTTGAGGTCCACATCGGAAAGATAGTCTGTCTCAGTAATCCATTCTCCGTCTACTCCGTCAAGACCGCGAACCTGCCACCATCGTTCACCTCCAACAACCTGCTTGAGTTCATCAGGGCCGAACCAATTAATGAGAACGTCCGCAGCCTGGTTACACGAGGACAGAGGTATTCGAACGGGTGATACGGCAGCCCAGTATGGCGCAGGTACGTGGGTATTGGTACTACATGACAGGTAGATTAATGTGTACGGGGATGTGGTAAGTGCAGCAGACTCACAAGGCTTGAAGGGATTCAACTGTGTTCTTAGTTCCCATTTCTATGAATGCTGCGCGTATGAAGCATCACACACGTGCTTTTCTCGTGCTGTCGAAGAAGAGACGCACCCTTCACTATATGGAATGCTCTAGGGAAATATAAGGCAACTGTAGAGCATAGAGTAGAAGAAACTTACTCGTCAAAGAAGATGTCATCTTTGGGATCCTCTTCCGAGTCACCGTTCTTGTATTTCTGAGCCAGGCGTTTTCCATGCGCAAAAAAGGTCTTGACGGCAACTATGCAACTATAAATACCGACTCGACCACCAAACCCAAGCAGGATTGAGTACCTGGCGTTATGTGTGCCGCGGAAGAGATAGTAGAAACGGTCATTCAACTAGTGACTGGGTAGGCGGTAGTGGTGGTAGACAAGATGGCAGATGCATGTCGTGCAGCAGTACCGTGTCGATGTGCGCGCGCTATGTCGTCATCGGTAGGAATAAACCAGTTCGTAACCCTAACCCTAAGTGGCATGGTAGAATCGAACCGTTTCGTTTGTACCATCACATATTTGAATGATTACCTTTACACCTCTGTCGGGGGCCGGTGAGCTTACCATTTCTTTTCTTTTCTCTCGAACTCAACCAATCTCTGCTCCAAGCCTGTTCACAACGTACGACGCCCTCAGCTTACCTACTCCAAGTCGACGATGTTAGGATACTTCTTGATTGTGGATCTCCCGACTGGGTTCCAGAGCCCTCGACGTCAGCGACAACGGAGGAGGATATCGAGTACTCATGGGAGCCATATTGCAAGGCATTGATGGAGTAATGCTTTTGTCTGTCTCAGCCACGTTCCCTGACCAAAATTATATGCAGATGCGCGCCAACTGTTGATCTCGTCCTTCTTTCCCATGGTGACCTCGCACACTCTGGCCTGTATCCATATGCATACTCTCGTTGGGGCTTGAAGGCTCCTGCATATACGACGTTGCCGGTTCAAGCCATGGGCCGTATCGCTGCTACTGAGGATGTTGACGGTCTTCGAGACGAGCAGGATATTGGTGACGAAGGCCAGTCTACCAGTAACGACGTGGGCGATGTGGATGCTGTACAAGAGCCACAAACTCCCCCACCAGAGGACATCAAACGAAAGGGCAAATATATCGCTACATCGCGAGAAGTACACGATGCTTTTGATTCTGTCAATACGCTTCGATACTCTCAACCCACTCATCTACAAGGTACCTCAATTCAACTTCCTTCATTTGTGTATTAAAGATGTTTTTAGGAAAATGCCAAGGCTTGACAATTACGCCGTACAATGCTGGACACAGTCTCGGAGGAACGATATGGAAGATTCGCTCGCCTTCCTCAGGCACAATAATATACGCTGTGAACATGAACCACATGAAGGAACGTCATCTTGATGGAACGGCGCTCATGAGGGCTGCCGGTGGGATTTTTGAGCCTCTCTCAAGACCAGATCTTCTCATTACAGATGCCGACCGCGCATCTGTGCTCACAAGTCGACGAAAAGATCGTGACGCTGCCTTGATTGGTATGCCTTGCTTGATACATATATCTATATCGCCAATCTCAACTCGGTCTTGATACAGACACTGTCACAGCAACCCTTTCATCTCGATCATCCCTACTGCTGCCCTGTGACTCCAGCACTCGCGTCCTTGAACTCTTGGTCCTCCTCGACCAACATTGGAATTACTCACGCCTAAGATATCCCATATGTTTCCTTTCAAGAACGGCCAGTGAAATGTTGACATTTGTTCGAAGTATGATGGAATGGCTCGGGGGCACGGTCAGCAAGGAAGATGTAGGCGAGGATGGCACTGGCGGGCGTCAAGATCATAAGCGCAAACGGGATGATGATGGTGACGAAGATGCTCTCGGCGCCTTCGCACTAAGGTTTAGGTTTGTAGTGACATTCATTGTTTTAAGATTCATTTCTTACCATTCGTCAGGCATCTAGAATTTTTTCCGAGTCCTCAGGCTCTGATCCAGAAGTATTCTTCCAAAGATCCCAAGCTAATACTTGCGGTCCCTGCATCTCTCTCACATGGACCTTCCCGACACCTGTTCTGCGATTTCGCTGCAGTCCCCGATAATGTAGTGCTACTGACTGGACGAGGAGAAGAAGGGACGCTAGGCCATATCCTCTTCAACAAATGGAACGACTCCCAACGGCCGGATGATAAATGGGACAAGGGCAAGATCGGCAGCAATATCATGATGGATGGCGCCCTTAAGTTGCAGGTTGGTCTCATCTTTCGGTAATGTTTTCGATTCTGATGTTAGCGCTGTAAGATCCACTCAAAAGTCCCGCTGCAAGGTGTAGAACTAGAGGCCCATCTGCAAAAAGAACGTGCCGCGAAGGAAAAAGAAGCTGCACATCAAGCGGTTTTGGCGCGAAATCAGCGGATGCTTGAGGCTGATGAAGACGACAGTGACTCGGATTCCGAAGATGAAGATGAGGATGAAGCTGAAGTTCGGAGAGCTCTTGGTGGGGATTTAATGGATACAGACGATGGCACCATGGACAGGCGGCGGCGGAGCGACAAGGGAATGGATGGTGATTGGAATATCGACGGGGGAGATGAAGGCCTCACAAAACAAATGTTATCATTCGATATCTATTTGAAGGGCAATGTCTCAAAAGCTACCTCCTTTTTCAAAACTGTTGGAGGACAAGCACAGCGATTCCGGACATTTCCCTATGTGGAGAAAAAACGGAAAGTCGATGAGTATGGTGAACTTATTGATGTAGGCATGTGGTTGAGAAAAGGAAAGGTGCTGGAGGAGGAAGCTGAGAGCGATGAACTGAAGGACTATCGAAGGCGGCAGGCAGAAGAGGATGCCAAAGTAAGCTTTGAGTTTTCACGGCACGTATAGTTGATTCAGTGATCCTTAAAAAACAGAAAGCACACCTGGAGCCTCCGTCCAAGTTTGTTTCATCGGAGGTCGAGGTTCAGATGGCTTGTCGGTTGTTGTTCGTAGACATGGAGGGTCTCAACGACGGTCGTGCTGTAAAGACAATCGTCCCCAAAGTAGATCCGCGGAAACTGGTAGGTAAACCCACTCAGTGTATATTGACCAGCTACCTTACTCCTTCATTCCCTTTCCCAGATCATTGTCCACGCGTCAGAAAAGGACACAGAGGCTCTGCAAGAAAGTTGCGCCAATATTCGAACTATGACAAAAGACATTTTCGCTCCTCCAGCGTTCTCGAGCGTTAAGATCGGGCACCAAATCAACAGTTTCTCGATTTCAATAAGCGATGAGTTGTTGGCATCTCTGAGAATGTCACGCGTATGTCATTCTTTATGTTAATATCGCCATATCCTGAAGCGTTTTGGGCAGTTCGAGGACAATGAGGTTGGCTTTATCACTGGCCGGGTCGTCACCCATGCCACGTCCACGATACCTACGTTGGAAACTATATCCGCATCATCAAGGCCTGCACCTAGCCAAGATTCGTCTGCGCCTACTGGACCTCGTATCCTTGGATCTAGACCAAGTGTACCTCTACCTAGTTCAACCATGATCGGGGAGCTCAAGCTGACATCATTGAAACGTCGGTTGACAGAGGTCGGTGTTCAGGCGGAGTTGATAGGTGAAGGTGTCTTGATCTGCAGCAAAAGTGGTTCCTCTGATATGTTGGAGGAATCTGTTGCTGTGCGCAAAACACAACAAGGTAAGGTGGAGTTGGAGGGTGGTGTGTCAGACATATATTACACTGTTCGCAAGGAGATCTATGACATGCACGCACTCGTCGCTGCTTGACTTAATGTGTTACTGTGTCCTTTACATTATTATGTATCCTCAATTAGGCAGCTAGCTATGCCATTTTGCACCTATGTCAGTTTCGTCTCTGTCGCTTCGGAGGTGGTCGAGATGTTCCAGCACCAGTAGTATCGACTGAGGATATTGACATTGAGCGCCGCTGGCAGAACATCAGATAAGGGACCAATCTTTTTGAAGTGACTTACCTGTTTCCGACTGCGCGCACTCCGAGTACTGACTACGCTTTGGGCACGGCCGTCTTCCATACCTTCGATAGCCTCGCCATCTGCTGCGTCGGTAGCACCATCACCGTCTGCGTCTTCGTCGACAGGTGCACTGTTCCTTACGTTCAGCCTCTCCTTCAAAACCTTGATGTCATATTCCACTTTATCCAGCACCCTCTTTGTCTCTACCAAAGGGAGCGTGGCATCAACGAGTGCGTTCAGGCGTGCAACATTTCCTTCCGTTGGCATGACTAAGCGGTTGTATGAGATGCCGATTTCTGCCAATGTCTGTGAAATCTTGGGAACCACAGCAGCTTTAGGAACAGGAAGCTTATAGGTTCGAAGGAAGGAAGGTTGATGAGCGGCTTTTGTCGCAGGCGTGGTAACGGGTAGATCGATGTGGGTGATGCAATGCATTGCGTCTGCAAAGTATTTTAGTAAGAGCTATGCACCATGTCGCTGGACACCCTTACCATACGCAGGATTCCTTGGGCTAGGCTGCGGTCGTTGTTTTGGGGGTGCCGCAGAAACAGGTGTGGATGGGCTGTCTGCGTCAAGCCCTCCTTTCTTTTTCTTTTTGCTGTCGAACAGTATCGTAGGTAGTTCATCTTCCACAATGTCAGGTAGGCCTGAGTCAATACCAGCCAGCGTGCGAAGTAGTTCCTCTCTATCCCGTTTGAACTTTCTTTCGTTCTGCTCGATGCGTTTGATTTCGAGATACAAAGCTTCCTCCTCTTCGGCTTCGCGGGCGGTTCGACTGTCAAGATTAGCCAAGTAGCGTTTACGGATCAGCTCCCTCTCCTTGTCAAACATGAAATTTGATATGAGTTGAGCTCTTGATGCTTCATCACCAGCCCAAGGCCGATCCCGTACGAGACGTCTGCATACATTGCAAAATCTCTCCTTCAAATCCTGTAGAAATGTCCATGCAGAAACTATAATGAACAGTGACCGAAAGGCCTACCTCCATCACACGAGGAGGTCCGCCGGGATAATCGTAACGGTCGGATATGACATACCATCTCTGGTCATATTCACGAACCATGTTGAAGAGGTAATCGGTTTCGTCCTTCGTCCATTCAGGATCTACATTGATGTTAATGTATATACCGAGATTTTTGGAGCATCTTGACCTTCCAAGTGCTTAAAATACTCATCTTGAGAGTAAGTGAAGTGAGCCGGATGGACGTTATACTTCCCAAAGGGATACTCTAAAAGGCGGTCAAAAGGATGGTACACGTTAGATTTGCTATCCACATACCCGCATCTGAATCTGCTGTAACTTTCACCCAATGTCTCAGTTCCAATGAGTCTCCTCGAGCACCATTTTTGAATTTCCTCCACTCCCTGTGATGCTGAGAGTCATGCGTAGTTATATACCAAAGGTGGTAGTGCATACCATCTCACGGCGGAGGATCCAAGCCTTGGCTTTTGTTTGAGCCGCGGTTTCTGCAGTTGAGCGGCTAGAGACGGAGCAGACGGTCCAATGAGCGAGTATAATTCCCTCGAAATTCCCTCTGGCTTCTTTGCTTGGGATGTCGAAGGTTTCCTTGGCGGTGCAGGCTGTGTTGTAGAGTGCGCTGGTATAGAAAGTATACTACGGACGTCTGCAGCGCTGGCTGCCATTGTTCGCGATGTTCGTGGTGGAGGTAGAGGAGAAAGGAACGCGTCTCGATCATTTGATGAAATTCCGACCGTGGCTGTGCTTTCAGCGGCTGAAGATAGCCGTTGCTTGCTTCTTGATAATAATCACCACGTCCCCAGTCTCAACAGCAGACAAGGCCATGACCTCTCAGGAAATGGGGGAATTCGACGACGCATTCGTACAAATATGGAAGGATGAAGGTAACACTAACACTGCTTCTGCTGAGAAGGTGAAGGGAAATGCATTTTATGGAATGTGGACAGAGCAATGTGTGTATTCGGCCTTTACAGGCCTTTCTTTCTGCGACTCAATAACGTGTACTCAGCTTCAGCAAAGCATTCTACACCAATGCATACTGCGTGTGTACCACCTTGATCTAGTATGTCAGTTTCTGAGGTCTACGCCCAGTATAGACGCTCTACGCAAGCTGTACCCAAAGCATTCGGTGGTTACAACCTCGGACAACCGTCTCAATCTTCTGAGCTTTCCAGGAGCATACAAAGTTCCGATGGAGTCTGCACCTATGGTCACGGAACTGGTTTTCCGTCCGTTAGCGAAGAACATCAGTCCGATGCCTGGTGTCATCGCAGAATTTGTTGAATCTGGTGTCTTTCGACTAGCTTGGCAAGTGAGTATTTTATTGCATACACTGTACAAAAAGCAAACATCCTCATGCACCGTGCAGAAATATGACTTTATCTTGTACATTGTCCGGGTACGGTGGACACAAGTGACATCATCAGATTTACCCCGTAACCAGTTAATTTCTAGTGTCCGATAGGTTCCTTGGGCAGTTATACCACTCAAAATTTTCTCGTACACGAAGGTGAGACTCAATCTTCGTGATTTGGACTAAACTCATTGTTGACCAGGTTCCGAGGATCCTGCACGCTCTCTTCTTCTTGCTGCAGGACTCTGGAGTGACCAACTTCACAGTGAAGTATGGGTCTTCAATCAGGGCTTCTGGCAAAAGGATCCTACATTATGGACCGAGGTGCAGAAGGCAGACTGGAAAGACGTCATTCTGAAGGAAGAATTCAAGGAAGCATTCAAGAAAGACGTGTACGGGTTCTTCACCTCTGAAGCTATCTATAAAGATTTGGCTATCCCCTGGAAGGTTTGTGTCCAATCCGTGTAGGGTCAGTCGACTAAACTATCGTAGCGTGGAATCATCATGCACGGGCCTCCCGGTAACGGCAAGACCATCAGTATCAAAGCCATCATAAAGACATGCGATGCAAAGGGTTTCACACCTCTTTATGTCAAGTCCTTCAAGAGTAAGTACAATCTTTCCGCCTCTGGCGCCAACGTTCAATGATCGCACACCAGGTTACATGGGCGAGGAAGGTTCCATGGCTGCCGTGTTCAATAAAGCAAGACAACTCGCCCCTTGTGTCCTTATCTTAGAAGATCTTGACAGTCTCATTAACGACGCTAACCGATCTTTCTTCCTCAATCAAATTGATGGTCTTGAAGGCAACGATGGGTTGTTGGTCATTGGAACCACAAATCACTTTGACCGCTTGGATCCTGGACTTAACAGCCGTCCTAGTCGCTTCGACAGGAAATTGTTAGTGTCAGGGCTTCTCTGCAGTTGCAGATTTTAGCCTTCTTTCTATCTAACCCTCTTGTGTGTAGCCTTTTCGATGATCCAGATCAGGATGAGCGTACCCTGTACGCAAGATATTGGCAGAAGAAATTACAGACGAACAAGGAGATATCTTTTCCAGACTCTCTTGTCGACGAAGTAGCCATCGCAACTGACCGGTTCAGTTTCGCGTACCTCAAGGAAGCTTTGTAAGTGCTGAATCGACAAAAGAATGGGTTCGTTTGGCTCAAGTCATCCACCACAGTGTTTCCTCGCTGGTTACGCTGGCAGGATACGAAGGCGAAAAACCTTCCTTTGCTTCAGTATTGAAAGGGCAGATTGAAACGCTCCGCAAGCAGCTGGATAAATCGATGAGGAGCAGTAGGGCTACGCCTGAGGGTCTACAAACTCCTTCACAGGATAGAGACGTTCGCGCACTCCTAGATAATCTATGCGAGGCCATCGCCACCAACCCATTTTCCTCACGAACCTTTGACCGCAATGTCTTTGAAAGGGCAGACTCGGGTGTTCTTGGCGGAGACATCCGTCATCTCCTCGACGCTTTATCGGAGTTCAGCATTCGCCAGCATCGAGGTTCTGACCAACAAGAAGGTACGGATTATCGAGCCATCCTTGATCGAGTTTACTTGGGCTGAGACCCAGGAGAAATATTTATGTAGGATGTAACATGTATACGTTGTGACTAGTAACTAGTAACTAGTAAGTAGTAGCGAAGAGACTCAGCTTTGAAACATTGAACTGACGGGCATAACGATACTCAATTAGACGGAACGCGACGGCCCGCGGGATAAGTAATGCAACGGTTCCAAGTCTTGGAGTGCTGCAGCGAGCGCTGATCACTTGAGACCGAGGACGTCGGCCGGCCATTCCCAGGTGGGGTTAGAAGTCAGGACTCAGAAAGTTTCACGTTCACAATGCGACAGTCGGAGGGAATTGATAAGAGTGGAAGTCATGTCGCGTCGTGCGTCAGTCTCACGTCTTACCTTGCAGCTGATAAGCCGCTGTATTCTCAGAAGAACGCCTTCCGTGTTCTCAATTCCGTCCGCTACTCTGCAGGGGATAATGGCTGTCCGGTGACCTGAGAATACCTGGTCGAACGTGAGTTGTAGGGTGGGAGCAAGAACGCTTTATCTGCGTGGAAACAAGGGGGTGTACTCTTTTCCAAGTCGGCGTTATAAGGAAATAATGTATGTCATCACAAACAGAGTTCGTCCGGACAATGACATCTCGACAGCAGGTCTTATGTTCCGAGCTGGAACAGAAAACCTTCCCGCTAGGAGCTGCTTTAGAACAGATGCATCACCCAAGGTATCTCTAAGTTATTGATGAGGCCGCGAGGTAGGTAGCGACGAACTCAAGAGGATAAGGGGTAGCCGTAAGGATAACTGTATCCTTGCACCCCGCCAAAAACCAGGTCCCGATGCAATGTTTCATTGGTCACGTTGATGTGAATGGAGAAAACGTATATATGCTCATTTTGAACCAAATCCTTTCCCGATGGGTGGTACCGTAAATAGTCCATATCAGCGAAATTGGGTCGTTATGTCTCCGTAAAACGCAATATAAAATTGACGACGATAGCCACTATAATAAGGACGTCAGTAATCGATGAGCTGTTGTAGGGACAACAAAACGCGCCTAGTAGCGCAATACATAGTATTGTCTAGAGACAAAAGATTAGCAGAACCATTGCATCACTCCTGAAGGCGGACGCACCGGACCAAGCCTATCGTCATACGGACCCCGTCCACCTCGTCGAATAGATGCAGCACGCCAGTGATATGTATACAGAGCATATATCATAATAGACATCGCTGTACAAAGAATGAAGCTGCACGCTAGCGTCACCGGAGGTTGTTTTCACACACCTACAACTGAAAACATCGCAGCGCTGATTTTTCCAACCTACAGCCCAGAAGAGTAAGGACATGCGAATGATTTCTTTGAATACAATCACAGACTTTGTCACCAAAATTCAAGAGCCCAACGGCGAGACCGCCTAGTACGACGGTGAAATGCAGCCATGACAGGAATGTCCGTTCATTGGCAAAGGATACTTTCGGCTCGACTCGAACTGGTAATGCGATACGCTTGGCAGCAGTACGTTGAAGCAATGGCTGAGTAGACATTGGAAAGAGAGTAGCCAACGACGCGAAGACAGATGGCGATAAACAGTCGAGCGGGAGTCGCTCTACACGGAGTGAAAGAATTGGTAGAAGGTTGCCAGTGTCTGATGCCAAAATTAGAAGCTTGACGCACGTTCGCTGTCAAATGGAAATTCGGCATAGTTCGGCTTACGTACTCTAATTCTAAATGGAATTTTGTAGACGCTAGTGGGTGCAGTCCGATTCACACGCAATGAAAGCACAACCAATATTTATATTTCCTGCCCTACATTTCAACATTTCTTATGTCACGTACTTACTAATGCAAAAGCTAGTCAGTCTTCCAGGGAGTACGCACAAGAAGAGAAACAAGAGAAAAACGAGCAGAGAAACCCACTTGCATTCACAGGAAAAAAATAAATGGAAAAAGGATATGGAGCGCGGCGTCACCTTCCGCCACCGCCCATCATTCTCAATCGGTCGGGATGAATGCTTGGTCCATTACTTGGCGGCCCTGATGGCGGAGCTTGAGTAAAAGTACCACCTGCGTTGCTATCATTAGGTGGAAACGGAGGTACTCCAGCAGGCGGGCCGTTAGGAGGGAACGGTGGCATGACGCTCCCTGGTACACCATTAGGAGGGAATGGCGGGAAACTTCCTGGTGGTCCGTTAGGCGGAAATGGTGGGGCACCTGCATACGGAAAGATGAATTGACTAGCAGAAAGACAAGTGATAGTACGAACCTGGAGGTACATTTGGAGGGAACGGAGGTAAGGCACCAGGAGGACCCATCATACCGCCCGGAGGAAAGGGTGGACGAGCTGCATAGAACAAATGAGTTAACCATTCAGAATAAGCTTTGCAAAAACTCACGGAATGGAGGTGGAGGTCCACCGAATCCCATAGGAGGACCAAAACCTGGCGCAGGACCACCGAGATGCTGAGGACCGAAACCGAAACCACCTGGGGGTGGTCCTCCACCAGACTCGTAAGCAGAAGTAATTTGATCAATGATATTTTGTGCCTTGTCGTGTCCGAGAGCTAAAAGGCAATGAGTTCATCGCTGCTGAAGGAAAAGAAATGGGCTTACACGCATAGTAGTCTCTGACATTTGCAAGGTGATTCCTTCCACTGTTGTGAGCTTTTCGCACTGTCACAAAAGAACATGAACATTTGCCGGCTGATCATCACTGAGGGATTTATACCTGAGGCAGAATCGTGAGTCAGGAAGACATCACAGTAGTCGCAGTAATGTTTCTGTATAGATATGAGATACAAGACAGTAAAAGATGTGAGTGGGACGTACTGGCATCGTGGTCGAAACACAAGTGGCGGAGTTTGAAATTTGTCCCAAATAGATGTTGCGGCACCTTTTGCCGGTGCTCAACGACCTTCATGGACACTTCAACGTCGGGCATACAAGAGCCTTTCGACCTTATCCGGCTGTCACTGAGTGAACGTGTATTTGTCAAACTAAGGGGAGACAGGGAGCTCACGGGTATCTTACACGTACGTTGGGCATCATTTTCATGATATTGTGATACTGAGCTTGTTACGCGCAGGCATATGATGGACACATGAATCTCATTCTCAGTGACGTTGAGGAGACCATCATGATTGTCGACCTGCCCGAGGGTGTAGCTGAAGGACAAGGGACGGTTAACGTGAGTAGCCTTGATAATTTGAACCAGTGGAGGCTCATTCGCAGCATGCAGGTCGCAAAACGAAAAATGGACATGCTATTCGTTCGGGGAGATGGTGTAATTCTGGTGCGTAACCCTTCCGAATTGTCTTGTAGGAGAATCATGACGGCTACAGGTCTCACCGCCATCTCGAACGTGATGGTGCGGCCGCACTACCTTTGACCCATTTGGGCTCTGGGCCCTCTGCCAATATATTTTTCGGCAGCATCGCATGCATCTGCGTATCTACGCTCGCTATCCGTTGTAACACTTGTGTTTTGAGCTCGTTATCGCATCATTAATCTGAAAGAATCGAAGTGTATATGCGTAACAACGTCACGGCAAAGCACAGCAAGGTATTTCGTCCTCCTCCCGATGTTCCTCCCATGGTTCTTTTCCATATAGCAGCCCCGCTGCTAGCCACAAGTACCACCGGGGACTTAAACGGGTAGCTCATCATCTGGCTCTGGTGCCATAGCACCCGACGGCCACGTACTGTCTCTGATCCAAGCCGCATGCGTAATTTTTATCTGCATAACATGAGGACCCTCTTCATATTGAAAGTGAATGCACATACGATGAGTGAGAGAGGCATTGAAATAGTCAATTTTCGGCCACTGCTTAGGCCTTCCCAGACCAATCGAATCCCTTCGTTCCAGCCCGATTCTGTTTGAGCCTTGGACGGATCGTTGACTAGATCTGACAACTTCTTCTGTTGGGCAAGAGCAAGTGGCTCCTTGCTTGCCTTGGGCTGATTAGAATCATTCCGCGGAGTGAGCCATAGGGCTCTCCTTGCGGCGTAGTAAGAAGGTCCTGGGGGAGGAAGGTCTGCGACAGCGAGAATGGCATCCCAGCGACTATTTTGAGCCATTAGTCTGGAATATCATTGGATATAGGTCGGTATCACAGGTATCGCGGTGTGATTATCATGTAAATATCATGGCAACTGGGCGGAGGTAAAAAAGAGCATGTGAGCCACGTGTAGTCAGCAACCGACAACACTGGTCCGGCATCCATCCACCGTGCTCTCTGTCTCGAACCATGACAATGTACAAGCACCGTATACCATCGACGACTTCCTTTTCCGACGACGATGCCGACGACGACCGCGGTAGGCCTGTCTATCTGGTCGACCATGACTCCCAGCCTCTCGTTGTCTCTCCCGCCCAGTGGACAAAGCGTCGTACTAGGCCCACTGTTCTCCAGTCACCTTCTCCAATGTCGAACCTTCCCGCCGAAATTCTCATCCATATATTCAAACATCTTGTCTCTCCAAGAGACCTCTACACTTCTCTTCGGGTATGTCGAGCATGGTGTGAATGCTCGGTTGAATTGCTTTGGCACAAACCCGGGTTCACCAGCTTTGAGACCCTCGAGAAAATGGCGAAACTCCTTGGCGCACCGAATCAAACCTTTACTTACTCCAGCTTTATCCGTCGCCTAAACTTCATTGCCCTTGCCAAAAACCTTAACGACGATGTTTTCGCTGCACTCGCCAACTGCGATCGTCTCGAAAGGTTGACGCTCGTCAATTGTGTGCTCCTCACTTCCACCGTCCTCACACGCGTCCTACCCTCCTTCCCCAATCTCGTTGCCATTGACGTCAGCGGCGTCATCAGTACTACTGACGAGGCCGTCATCGGTCTCGCCTCGTCGGCAAAGCGCTTACAGGGCATCAATCTGACCGGTTGCAAGAACGTCACCGATGAAGGTGTTCTAGCGCTCGCTGAAAACTGTCCCTTCCTCCGTCGTGTCAAACTGAGCAGTCTTGAGCTGCTCACTGATGCTTCCGTTTCTGCCCTCGCCAAGGCCTGTCCATTACTACTTGAAGTGGATCTGAACCACTGCAAGCTGATTACCGATCTCTCCGTCCGGGACATTTGGATATATTGTTCCCAGATGCGCGAAATGAAGCTATCCCATTGCCCTGATCTCACGGACGCTGCTTTCCCAGCGCCTCTCAAAGAGCAGGTTCTTCAGTCAGAAGTTCCCAACCCGTTTCCATCATCGGCCCCCATAAATTCAGACAAGTTGCCGCCACTCGACATCTCTCGTACATTCGAGCATCTGAGAATGTTGGATTTGACCGCATGCCCGTTGGTTACGGATGATGCTATTGAAGGAATCATCTCCCACGCCCCCAAGATCAGAAATCTTGTGCTTTCCAAATGCACTCTCTTGACAGATAGGTCAGTGGAGAACATATGCAGACTCGGGAGGCATTTGCACTATCTCCACTTGGGACATGCCGAAAAGATCACAGATCGATCTGTTCGGACGTTGGCTAGGTCATGCACACGCCTGAGATATGTCGATTTTGCAAGTACGTTCTCGACGTGGCCCTCCATTCGTGTGTACTAATCCGCAACAGATTGTACGTTACTTACGGATATGTCCGTCTTTGAACTATCAGCCCTACCCAAACTCCGCCGTGTCGGACTCGTCCGCGTCAATAATCTGACGGACGAGGCCATATACGCCTTGGCAGAGCGCCATGCTACTCTTGAACGCATCCATCTATCGTATTGCGACCAGATCTCAGTGATGGCGATACATTTCCTCCTTCAGAAGCTACACAAATTGACGCACCTCAGCCTAACCGGTGTTCCTGCCTTTCGACAGCCTGAACTCCAAGCATTCTGTCGAGACCCTCCTTCGGTATGTGTCCGATTCATCATTGCATTTCTTTCCATTGAAGTAGCCTTTAACGTCAGGACTTTAACTCTAACCAACAGTCCGCATTTTGTGTATTTTCTGGCAAGGGTGTATCCCAACTGCGAGCGTTTCTGACCGAACTGTTCGACCGTATCACCGAGATGAACGGCACTGACGATACAGAATACGAAGATGATGACGACGATGAACTCGAAGAAGAGTTGGAAGATGCCGGTGAAGACGAAAGGGAAGATGCGGAGGAGGCTTATGACTCCCAGCCGGTGTTTCATGAGATGCCTCCCCCCGTCACGCAGCAATCCACGCATCCTAACTCTGCACCAGACGATGAATTTGCCGTTTCCTACTCACATCCCATTCATCCCGTTACATTTCCACTCACTGCTACGTCAGAGGTCCCATCCACCTCTTCAAACTTGCAAGGCGCCACTGACCGCTTGAACAAGATCATGGCGTCGTTACCCAGCTCCGGTCCTACTGCTGGTCCTTCTCGCCGTCTACGCCAGTCTGGTAACAGAACAATGGCAGACATGCTACCCATTGTCGAAAATTCGACCTCACCGCCACCCAGTGATGCCGCGTCAAATCTCAGTGGTGGTACTAACCAGTCCAACGGCGCTGGTTTCTTTCGTACATACCAGGAAGGCGTGCCATCCCGTAACAGTGGTGTTTTGACACCAGATCTCAACTTTGCTGAGATTGGCCATGGCCGAGGAGCACAGACGGGCACGTTACAATACCCACTAAGACGAGGGCATGAGCACCAGCCTCATCATCGACCCCCAGTCATCGACGTTGACCAGTCGATGGCGGCTACCCCTCTCACGGCTGAAGGAGATAGAGCAATGGACCTTGCGGATTCCTCCAGTTCATATCGCGCCCCTGTGCAATCAGCGCCGGATACTGGTGTCTCATGGCCCTACCGTGAACCTCTATCCCCCGTCACCTCAAACAAGGAGTCACCAGACCCCACGCCCAGCACTAGTAATATCAACGATGTGAGGGGAAGAAGTGTGAAGCGAAGCTTCAGAAATACTCTTAACGCTGCCGAACATTATGCTACTTCATTTCTTTTTGGACGTTCACCAACCAGGAATCCACACGAAGAGACTGGCGGGTCAAGTAATTCGAGGGGCCATTAGTTGCCTACCATAGTTCTAAGTTTTCGTTTTCTTTGTTCGTATATTACATATGCGCCTATGCTTAGGTTTAGATTGACATTGTTTTGTATATCGAGTAGCTTCAAAGTTCGATGCCCGTTCGTATGTACTTGGTATGGGCTGTATAAGTAGAAGATATAATATGGATTATTCTGTGGATATTATCTTTTCTGCGCAAAAAAATCACGATCGATCACAAGTCGTTTCTGACTCGGAGACAAATCATCCTGCTTTATTTCCAACTCTATCGACTTTTCTTCTTTACATCTTGCGCATATATGGCCACATCGAAAACAGATCCCACGTTGAATCCGCTGGTGGCATTATTCAAGTCCTTAGGTCTAACCCAAGCTAAAGCCTTGGAGGCGGCCAAATCGCCCAAGAGCGCCGCGGCCCTCCAGGACCTCATCGAGAAACACTCTCTTGTTGGGCGAACAGATGAAAAACAAGCAAGTCTAGTTGTGGCTCTGGCCGGACAACTCGCTAAAACCGAGAATGTGGGGGAGCCGGAGAGCAAATACGTTCTTGACAAGATCTTGGCGGGGGATTTGAAGTCCGTAGACCAAGTAACGGGTGTGTACGTTCTCCGTCTACGCCAATATATTGCTCAACATACTACAGTGGCGACGAAGTATGTCGAAGCACACTCCGTTCCAGTCAGCGAGGCGGAATTTAATCAGGAGTGCGGCATCGGTCCGTCGAACGCGTTGCATGCAATCAAGGTCGTCTCCCTAACACACTCTAGGTTTCAGTATCTCACCGGAAGATGTCCACGACAAGGTATCGGCGTACATCAGGGATAATATTGTTGCTGGATGGAACAGTCTTGGCCCTGTCATCTCTGCAATCCGCTCTACGCCAGAACTCCGGTGGGCGACTCCGGTGGAGGTCAAGAATGCGGCGGAGAAGGTGTTCACCGAAACATTTGGTCCGAAGGAGAACTCCAAAGGCAAAGGAAAAGTAAGCCCATCCATCTGGCTTTCGGTTTCCCCTTATTTATTTATCGACAATACTAGGAATCTAAAAAGGAGGCTCCGAAAGCCAAGGCTGCTGTCGCCCTCACCGCTGAACCTTCTACCCAGAAGAAGACCGTATTCGAAGAAGGCTTCCTAGGGAACCTACACAAACCCGGTGAAAACCCCCAGATTGCGCCCCACCTTCGTAATGCCCATCTGGCTGCTACTGGCGGTAACGTATGGACGCGATTCCCTCCTGAACCCAATGGCTATCTTCATATAGGCCACTCGAAAGCCATCTTCGTGAATTTCGGATATGCCGCACATCATGGCGGAAAGTGTTATCTCCGTTACGATGACACAAATCCTGAGGCAGAGGAAGTACGTTATGTGGAAAGTATATTGGAGATTATCCGGTGGTTGGGATATGAACCATGGAAGATAACCTATTCCAGTGATTATTTCACTGAATTATATGACTTGGCGATCGAGCTTATCAAACGGGACAAGGCTTACGTTTGCCATTGCTCTCGTGAGTCAATTTCGCAGAACTTACGCCCATGTACTAACCGCGTTCTGTCAGAGGACGAAATCAAGGCCGATCGTGGTGGCGGACGTGGACAGCCCAAACCATGTATCCATCGTGATCGCCCCATCGAGGAGTCGCTTGTAGAATTCGAGAGTATGAAGAATGGGAAGTATAAACCCAAAGAGGCCAACCTGCGCATGAAGCAGGATCTAAATGATGGTAACCCCCAGATGTGGGACCTTACGGCGTATCGTGTGCTCGAGAAAGAACACCATCGTACACACGACAAATGGAAGATATACCCCACATATGATTACACGCATTGCTTAGTCGATAGCTTCGAGAACATTTCGTAAGAATATTCCTCTGGATTCTTTGTGCTTCTAACATCGTCCTCTGTAGACATTCCCTCTGTACGACAGAATTTATCGCCTCTCGCCAGTCGTATGAATGGCTCTGCGACGCCCTAGAAGTCTATAAGCCCAGGCAATCTGAATACGGCAGATTGAATATAGAGGGTACCGTCATGTCCAAACGGAAGATTCTTGCCCTTGTAAACGAGGGATTCGTGAGCGGTTGGGATGACCCACGTCTTTATACCCTTATCGCATTAAGGAGGCGCGGTGTACCACCCGGCGCAATCATTTCCTTCGTCAGCGGACTAGGCGTTTCGACCGCATCATCGAACATCGAAATAGCCCGCTTCGAACAAACCGTGAGGCAATACCTCGAAAACACCGCACCTCGCCTCCTGATGGTGATGAACCCCCTCAAAGTCACCATCGAGAACATACCTGAAGATTCGGTAACCATCGTCGAGAAACCTCTACATCCCAAGGTTCCAGAACTGGGAACATGCAAGATTCCTTTCACGCGCACCATATATATTGACGCTGAGGATTTCCGGCTGGAGGATTCCAAGGACTACTTCCGGCTTGCACCAGGAAAGACTGTCGGTCTTTTCCAAGCTCCTCATCCAGTCACTTGTACATCTTACAAGACTGATCCCGTTTCTGGGAAGGTTATAGAGTTGATCTGCCGTCTAGAAAACACAGGAGCCGCCAAGAAGCCCAAAGCCTTCATCCAGTGGGTGGCAGAGCATGCACCTTCAGGAAGTCCTATCGTTGTAGACGAAACGAGAATTTTCAACCGCCTGTTCAAAAGCGACAATCCTTCGTCTGACTTCAGGTCCGATATCAATCCCAATAGCTTGGAGGTCGTCAAAGGAACTATGCTTGAGGTAGGCTTCCTACCGTTGGCGAGGCGTGCGATGGAAGAAGCGAAGAGGGAGAGCAAAACTAGGACAGAGGCTGCTTTGAAAAATTCCGAACCTTCTGCAGATGATGGCGATACACCGCATGCCACCAGCGGTCAGCTTGTAGGCAATGAGTGTGTTCGGTTCCAAGGTCTTCGAGTTGGGTACTTTGCTTTGGACAAAGACACACGTCTCGCCTGTTTAGACGGAGGTGCCGAGGTGAAACAGCAAGGAGATTACCTGGTTCTCAACCGTATTGTTAGTTTGAAAGAAGATTCGGGGAAGTCATAAATGTGTTTGTGTGTTCTAACGTAGAATGTGTTGTATCTGTGTACTGTAGAGCTATGGATTAGTTGAGATGACATATAGATACCGATACGAAGATAGGCTGAACTGCGAGACCAGCTGATGTGACTCTTCGCAATATGAGTACCACTAATAGTTTGGACGCGATACAGCTTTCGATAAAATTTCTGAGGTTGCGGTGCATGTTATGTAAATGGTTTGTCGCAGACGATCGAAACAGCGACCTAGGGTTTCCACAGTGCAGATACCTTGAACTTCACAAGATCATTAAGGACAGGTTTTATATGATACACATTGAAAGCTTCCGTGCCATTACACAGTTCTCCGGTCCGTCATGGTTCGTACGATACAGCCTAGCCCGGCAACCTCGGTGAGCTGCAGATGTGTTAGCTTGCTAACGGAGTACCCAAGCTTTGACGATCACCTTCTCGTGCCAGTCAAGTAGTACACTTCCACTGACATCACCTCCGAGCGCAGCCATGCCCTTATAGAGATATTTCATCAGGGTATCTTGCTCTTCCTGTGAGAGTGCTTTGAGGACGTTGGGAATTTCCGTAGATTTTGTAGAACTTAGGATGGTCAAGACGGTCTGCAGGGTCACGGTCTGAACCGTTGGTGCTGTTAGTTCAAACGCATTATATATTTGCACCGATACACTACCTTGGCATCGTCAAAGGTGGGACCATAAGGTGCATTCTCTAGAACAATGGATAAGGCGCCAGCTATATCACTCCTATCTGACCAGGTCAGAGACACAAACAGAGAAATTGTGCAGTGCACGCACTTGGACAGGGCGCTCCTGACAGCTACCTGCCGCTGCTTTGCTTCATCAAGGACCTGAGATGGTTCTCTAGGATCGGCATCGTACAACTCCTCTTCATGCAGAACGTCTTCATCGTAAGCATCGATATCTATTTTGCGGAACGCGCCGTCCATGGTGGAAGGATGGAGAGAATATTTGGGCGTGTTTATCATCGGCGTTGCAATAGATTACCCATCCTTGACCAGTCACCATCATCGACAAGAGCGCCCTGCCAGCGCTCTACCCTCTTAGAAGTCATTTAGCCGTCGTTTTATGCCCAATAGCTCTGTCAAGGAATCCAAGAACGACCTTTTGTATCAGCATAACTCATCCGACGCCTCTTTAACACGCAATCATGGACTCGATATTCCCTCCGAGAATCTCACACATATCACCGCTTATCTTGATCCTCACTCTCTTCTTTCCCTGTCTCGCGTCAGCACCCAGCTCTATGCCCACGTAAAGGAAGAGCATACATGGCGCACCGCCTTTGCCTTGAATTTCCTAGGTATTGGCCCTGAGGGCGATCTCAGTGATTTCAAGGGGCGACTTCTACGGAGATCCGAGTCGAGCTGGAGGCGGGAGTACATCGTGCGCTATAACTTGCGACGGTATGTATTTTGCTATACTTTACTCTGCTTCTTAGCTCATAATTCATGCCAGACGATGGGAACGTTCCCGGACAGCAACAATCATTCATACACCTGTCATTTCACCGATAACGAAGATACACCTTCTGTCATCCAATACACTGTTGTCGTCCTCTTTGAAGTACGGAATCGTCGCTCGTTCGGTACCTTTGACAGGGAAAATCTTACGAGGATTCCTCTCCCCCTCTCCCTCCGGGACTGGATTAGGCATTGGTAATCCCAATACCGAGTTCTCACCTAATGTATCGGCATGTGACATCACTTCAGATGGTGGAACCGCCAAGATTGTCTGGGGGTTCAGAAGTGGAGAAGTCGCCGTGATGATAGCTTCTAGAGTGATGGATATGGGGATGCGGTCAGCAGCGAAATTAATAAGATGCCCCGTCGAACACGAACACGCCGGGGAGGTCACTGATGTCGTATGGGACGATCTTGCTGGTGTTGTCATCAGCGCCAGCAAAGACGGCACGGTCAAAGTGTGGGAGACCAAAAAAGTCCATTGTGTCTGGAGTTCGGCCTCGAAGATCGGGATAGCAGACCCGTGCATGAAGGTGGTCTCCAAGCTCTCAAAAGGATGCATATTGGCCGGCTTCCAGAGTGGCGACATTGTCGTCTGGACTGGATATGAACGTGACGGTACCGTCGTGAATGACGTACACGAAACAAGGATCCCTTGTCCCGTCGAAATGACATCAGACGAGCCAATGGCATTCCCAACTATCTCGGGTATTCATGTTGACGCATGTGACCCGCAGGCTATTGCTTTGCTTGTTACGTATGAAGCACAACCGTACTTCTATCGAATCTCACTCGCCCCTACTCTGGAAGTCACCAAATACGGTGACTCTTCGTGTGGTGCCATAACCGCTTTATTTTCCTCATTCACATCAAAACCCAACGAGTCTAGCTTCATTGTTGTCGGTGATATTATGGGGTGGATTGGTGTCTATGACTGGAATTCTACGTCTCGTCAACCTGTCAGGAGATTTGAGGCACACAGCGACGGATCCGCCGTAACAGCCTTGGCCTGGAACGGAGTTACACTTGTTGTTGGGTCTGCAAGGGGTCAGGTCGATGTTTTTGACGCCTACACCTTCGAGCGCCTGAGAACATTTTTGGCCCCAGTCAATCGCCGAGGGGAACAAAGTGCGATCGTTCAGGATATTACAGTCAGTCCCGAAAAAGACGTCCTCATTGTCAGTCTGGGTGATAGAGTTATGGCTTGGAAGGCTGGTGTTGTTCCGAGAAACGGAGGTGGAGGCGTGAGAGCCAGGAATACGACTGGGAAGAAGAGATCCAAGGGTGTGACCAGTTCCAAGGGGCATGGTAAGTTTCCATTTTATAATTGTCTTGTGCTCGGTTGCTTGATCTCGCCTCGTAGCACAACTCGACCTGAAAGCCAGCGTATCTGAATCACTCGCGCTTCTTAAACAGGAACAAGAACGAGCTCGACAAGCTCACAGCAGAGAACGCAAGCAGAGAGAAAACTTAGAAAACTTGGGTCTAAGCGAAGTTGAGGCTATCGAGTATCTGCTCATGTTAAGCCGAGATGAGCATGCAGAAAAGGAAAGGGAGATGATGGATTCCTCTGCCCGTGTGGAAGAAGGCATATTTGAATGGGATGTGGATGATAATCCGCGCCCCGGTACATCAGCTCTTGCTCGTCGTCAATCTGCAACACCCTTTTCACCCTCAGATCAGGACGCCCAACTCTCTCCGGAACGCGCAGAAAGACAGACGGAAGCTGGATCTTCTAACGAACAGCGATCATCTACCCCGTCTTCCTTGTCGTCTGAGAAAGATTTTCCTTCCGTTAGCAGATTTCGAAGCGCCTCAAGCAGTATGGGATCTCCTTCGGTTTGGGATAACGGCAGTCCAAAGCGGCGACTGGCAAGTAGTCCCTGGGGTTCCCCCCGTAATGGGATATCGGCTGCTACCACGCCGCCGATGGAAAATACTATCGGGTCATCCTCGAGCTTGTATGATCGGCGACAACAGCAGGAAGAGGAGGATTTGAGACTTGCTATCCAACTTAGCCTTGAGGAGGTGAGCAGGAGCACCTAGGCAACAATGTTCACAATACTTTATAAATTTATGTGTTTGGTTTTTGTTTTAAATAGAGTATGCAAATGCGATAAGATGGGGTTACATTACCGCAGACTTTTATTCCAAGAGCGGGAGGATGGGGTGGAACAAGTTGTATAATTCTGTCATGCTTCGTTGATTTTTTGGGCGTGGAAATTCTCGATCGTCTTGACATCATATGCATGCCACCGATATCATTTACTTATATAACCGGCACTTTCGGCAATCATACATGCCTTTCTTTCTTCCTGACTGCCATGGTCTCTACGCTGTCGGCGCCACGACCTTTGTAACTCCCGTGAGGCCATCCCGTATATACGGCACTGCAAAATTGCCCAATGGGCAGCCGGCTCTTTGCCTAGACGAAGTCGCGTTTACAGCGTACTATCCCTCCAACAGGGATGACAAATCTTGGAAGTCCAGACGTGGAATTGACTGGTTAAACAGACCTTTGAACGAGACCTGGCGTGGTTTTGTCAGTTTTGCACGTGGGGCTCTATACATACACAATTTTGCCATGCGCTTATCTCGATGCAGAGAGCTTCCCGGCATGGCTTCTGTGGCCTTTTGTGTTCTTGTACGGAGCGTTTATAAAGGTAATAGGATGATAATGTAATCTTGAGACTCTGTGCTCAGTGTTAGAGTAAAGGTGCCTGTATATCACAATGCGCCGCTCCTTCGAACGAAGCAGTGGCCCTTGGTCATCTTTTCTCATGGACTCGGAGGCAGCCGTACCGCGTATAGGTAAACACCAATCTTCATGATTCCCCGACATTCAAATGTTGATTATTTAATTTCTTTTAGCCAGATATGTTCGAGGATAGCAGCTTCTGGCCGTGTCGTCTTAGCCGTTGAACACCGAGATGGCACCGCTCCTGCTTGTATCACTAGAGAATGGAGTACAGACGGTACCCGTACACTAAGAGTAGTAAGATATTTGCAAGAGAAGGATGTTCGGTGAGTCGTATCATAAAACGCTGAAGTCCTGACGTCTTGAACGTTAAAGATGGGAACAGGAACCCTCGTCCGATTCTCTATACCCTCTCAGGAGGGATCAGTTGATGCTTCGAAAGCATGAAGTATACCTTGCACATTCCGTCTTCTCTTCACTTATACGAAAAGATGAGAATTTGCTGCTGGAAACTATCGATGGCACTGCTATAGACTGGGACAGTTGGTGGGCCCGCGAAGACGAGGCGGAAACGGTACAGTGTATGGAAAACATCACTTTGGCCGGCCATTCATTCGGAGGCTGCACTATAGTAAGCAGAGTTAAGAACCCTTTTCACGTACATTAAGATTGATCATACTGAACAGTTCCATATTCTATCCACGGAACATCCTGAATGGGCTGCTCCAATACCAGTTACCAATACGCTGATATTCGACCCATGGCTAGATCCTCTGCCTTTCCCATCTCCTGGACGTCCCAGTGAAGATCCTAAAGTCATATGTTTCGAAGATGCAATGAAGCGTAAAATCTCGCTCCCTAGACTTTTAGTCATCAATTCAGAGAAATTCACTCTTTGGAAGGAACACTTCGAACGTCTGGAGAACATCGTGAGGTCTTGGGGCGCTGATGGAAGTTTGTTGACGTTAGGCATGTCTAGCATTCCTCATATTCCTTTAAAGCTATTGATAATTCTTCTTCAGTACGCGCCCGACATGAATCATTTTCTGACTTTCCTCTCTTGCCCTTGGTTCGGGATAAGAGCAATCTGGGATTCATGAATACCATAGAACGACTCTCTAATGCGTTTTTGGACAATCAATTGAACGAAACCCTGAACACTGAACTAACGACAAAAATGGGAATTGAGATCGTTGGGAAGCGGAAAGATGGCCGGCCGAAGAGACAGATAAAGGGAGGTCTCGGTAACATTGTCGTACATCAAGTGTGTCATTTTGCGAACTGAATACTGATAATTTTCCCCCAAGATTTACTTTTCAAACGAACCTCACCATCCAAAAGTCATCTGGTTGGATTTACTCTTTCTAGCCTGTGAGACTCCGACCACACCAAACCTCCAAGCAACCTCTATAACAGCAGCACCGTTCATTTCGGATACCCTAGCGGATACACTTGCATCAATGAGCACCAACAGCAACACCCGACTTTGGAAACACTGCCTCGTGTCTACCCCAACAACTTCCTGATGTAGTATGTTCGCAAGCCAATTATGAAAGAAACCAGCACGGAACCAATCTTCGGACTCCGGGTCATAGCAGGTGCAAAAGCAATCATGAAGATAGCCATGTATGGCACGCCCACAGCAAGGGGTCAGGCCACTATAAATTCAGCATGGATGGGCACAGTATCACCCCCATCAGTGGACCCCACATTACGGTTCCCGTACCCAGCTTCTCCCACCTATCACTATAGTTCTTTCCTTTTCGAAGGGACATCATGCCTACAAATGTGCGTATCAGTGACATCTGTGATTATCTATGCGGCTGACCTTCTGCGTTTGACCGTTCGCTTACTTTGATACCAAATTCATTCACGTGTGGTACCTACTCGATGCTACTACAACTATGCTCTCATCCGGACACGTACAACTACGTGGGTTCGCATTCTCAGAGAATGTATGCCACATATCCTGAGCATTCCTACATCGATTCTGGACTCGTTTATGTCTCTGGTGCGGACTCTAACACAGATGTTCCCGCTCCTTGCTTCTTTCAACTTCCCGGAGACGACTTAGATCCCCCATATGTTCCCAAGGACGGAAGTGGTAGTCAGTGCATTCTAGGTGACCATGACATCTTGCATGCGCTGAAGCCCAGTTCACTCGGATGGTCGTCCCAGTTCTATCCAGTTCCCGACCGTGCTCCTCTCACTGGTTATCAGGCGCAAGCACACGATTATCCACCTCGGTCGCATTCCCCTATCCGTCTTGTATCACCAGTCATGGAGCATTCAGTAAGCGTCTGACTATGGGTGTAATATCCGAGTAAATTCATTAATTAAAATAATTCCCTTCTACAGGCGTATAGACGCAAGAACGATAGTCACCGCTGGGCCGACCACAGGGCGCGTGCTGGGTCTCTGTATCCCTCCTCCATTGGTTCACACCTCGGCAATGTCGATAACGTGCCACATACACATTCGCCATTCTCCTCTACCACATCCTTTCAAGACCAGGACAGACCTTTTCGTGATCATACTGCCACCATTCAAGCCCGATCATCGGGATTCCATCTTACGGAGTATTCTGACTCCTCAGGAATACCTGATGCGGGTTCATTTCTGCGAAAGGTTTTGAATATTCCTGCTCATATCCCAATCCACCTAAGCTCCCTCAGAGATCCGCGAGACAGGGCTGGAAGGCCTCCCTATTCCATCCCCCAACTGGCCGCCGTCGCGATTTACAGCAATCCGCGTAATAAAGCGTCGGCGGCTGAAATTAGACAGGCCCTTATGAGCCGTTTCGAATATTTCCGACATAATGAAAGTCCGCTGAAAGTTCGTCAGTCATACATACTCTTCTGATGGCATTCTGACGATTAATATAATCAGGAAACCCTCAAGCACGCCTTGTCTCATCACTCGCTTTTCCAGCGAGCTCCACGTGCACGTACGGAGCCTGGCAAGGGTGGTTTCTGGTATCTCGACGTTAGCAATCCATACGGTTCACGTCCACGTCAGCGTACTGCCAGGCATCATAGCTCCCTGACCAAGCATACCGAAACTATGCTGGACACTAGAGCTTCTGAGCGACAGAGGTCTCTTCCGGCCCAGGTTGATAGAGAGACGTCCTTCAGCACACCTTCGCCCTCATATATCCACGATCTTGACATCGCTTCGGCATACGCAGCTGACTCTTCTCCCTTCCCCGGCTCTTTCGGAGGGGACTCCTACTTATCTCTGGATAAAATTCACCCCATTTGAAAACCTCGTCGTGACTCGTAATCTTCCCGCTGCAACTTTCATAGGCAACTCATCCCGAATACAGAAGCAGAAGATCCTCGGAGCAGATTTTCCCACTAATTCATTACTATAAATGATCATTGTCATCTCACATTCATATTCATCTCCCTTGTTTCTGCTTTCGTCGCTTTCATCTGACTTTCTTACACCCTTGTAGCATGCCTTTACATAAAATGTCTTACGCGTATATCCAGATTTCTTACATGTAAGACCTCAATTCATTCCTCGGATACTCACAGAAATTAAGTCGTCCAAGAGCATTGGCCCGCTTCAATATTTGTACCTGAAATCACATCTCCCCAGGAGTCTTGAACCTCCTCAAAGCCCTTTCTCTCGTCTCTTTGTAGTCAACAATCGGTAAGGGATACCCTAAAGCTCGGGCAGTCTTGGGAGACGGATTGTGTATCTCTGGAACGAACGATAAGCCCCCATGACAGATAATACCTGCTGATCAGCGCACCGGAAGTCTTGATTGATGCTAACTCAGGAACAAAATGTCTGATAAATTCGCCCTTCGGGTCAGCCTAATACCGTCGGTAAGAAAGGATCGCAATAAGCCGAGAGATCCTGACCTTGACACTCTGATTGTACGGGTTGAATATCCGGAAATAAGGGCAAGGATCCACTCCTGTACTAGCGCACCACTGCCAACCGCCGTTGTTAGACGCAAGGTCGCCATCGATGAGACTTTCCATGAAGTACTATAGAGCGCAAGTGAGTCATAGACAGACCATTACGATGAAGGACTGACCCGTTCCCCAACTCTCCAATCGAACATAAGGTTCTTAGTAAGAAACATAGCAGTAATCATCCTGAGACGGTTATGAACCCAACCCATTTCTCGGATACACCTCATGGTAGCGTCGACGATAGGATATCCCGTCATACCATTCTTCCAGGCCTTCAGAAGTTCACTATCTGAATCTTTTGAATGCTCCCCCTTCTCCGGAGACTGATGAGCCTCCCAAACGACGGCAGCGTATTTTTCTAGCCATGGTCTGCCCATACTGACCCTTGGGAAGGCGACGACCAGGTTGATATAGAAATCGCGCCACGCCAATTCTTGCACCCATCTACCAACCCCCGTCGTCTTTCCTCCATCGACTTTCTTGACCCCAAGCAGCTTCATAGAAGCACGAACACATGTGCGTGCAGAAATCACTCCTGCTGACAGATAAGGACTTCAAGAACACATTAGCACATGTATATAATGCAAGGAATAATGCGGACCTGAGACGACTTGTGGTATCACTATCCACCACATCGCGACGCGTATCGTACTTGACGATGCGACTGGATGGTTTAGACTCTTCCGCACCAGAAGCAAGGGGGTCTACAAATCCCATTTGAGAAGTGCGCGCTTTGGTGTGTAAGAACCGTTCCAACATCTGGATCTGCTTTAGCTCTACGTTATTATTCAAAGATAAACGACATACTAAAAGTGCTTTCTCTTCGCCTGCTGGCCATACGAGTGCCATTTTCTTTTTCGTGGGTTCATCTAACTGAAATCCTTCCACAAAAATTGGCATTGGGCTATCGAACAAGTTCGAATACTCGCTGTTCCGAATTGATTCAGAGTTGGGTTTCGGTGGAGCACAGTCTTCAAGATAATAGGGAAGATTGTCGTTTAACTTTACTAACCACCTCCGTTGATACGCCGAATAGACCTATGAAAGCGAAAAACATGACTTCAAAGTTTCGTGGACAGAAGGACTTATTCTCACCACGTAAGGCTTGTTTTCACCGGAAACGATGACGCCGGGATCTACAATACATTTGTCATGGACGAAAGTGACGTCGATTCCATCCTGCTTGGCCAAAGAGCAAACCTTGACATCACGCCGGATTTCATCGACTTCGTATTCCATGTTGGCGTAGATTGTAGTGCATTCCAAAGAAGACAGAAGAGAGACGAGCTTGGCGGGAACCAATTGCCGCACTTTTTCGGTGAGGATATGCAAAGGAATATGCAAATCCGCCAACGATTTCTATGCCAGATGTTTATTATTTTTGAAGCAAAGAATTGGTTACGAGTAGCATGCCTGTAAGTGGGAGAGATTTCTCAACGTAAAGTCTATCCTCCGAGGACTTCGATCATGTGCGACGTAATCTTGAGGACTGAGAATGAATAATACGATTAAAGGAATATTATCTTTCTGAGCTTGAGCAGAAGCAAGCGACAAAGCCCTGTTATCATGGACTATATAGTGGGTTCACGAGATGATACATGGAATCTAACAAGAAGACTTACTTCTCAAGTCTCCCATTCTCATCCAGTACACGATAGATTTTCCCTTGGCAGGATTCTTGAGACCATCCTCGACTGTCTTGAGAAGGATTGATAAAGGCGGATTTGCGTCAACGGCTGCGGCTGCTTGGTGTGTTGCAATCTTGTTGGGATTGAATGTAGAAGATGGTCCCGTAGTGCGAGTTTTCTTTACGCCGGAAGATGGCGAAGTACTGAATGAGCGCGCACGTTTTTCCATGGTTGTTCGAACAAAAGAGATGGTAGTACAAAGGAACCAACCCATCGAGACGTTGACAGTTCCACTTGATTTTTATATTCTTACCGCGTCGATCCAGGATCTCAATCGGGATCACGTGCGATGACGCTTCATAACGTAACCTGAGCCTCTTCTATCTGCTCCTTCTCTTCAGCTTCAACAACTTCAATATCCAGTGGAAATGTAAGGATGGCAGCAATTCCGGTCAATTGATTCAGCTCTGCAAAAAAGTATAATCAGACAGTGAAACTTAGCAACAAAAGTTAATTGGCCTACGCTGTCCTGACTCGTGCATGCTTGAAAATATAACCACCTCACCACCTTTTTGTTGGACAGCTTCAACCAGGGCAACATATTTCTTTCTAGTCTCTGGATTGCTTGCACTTAAATCAAGTGTTAGTACACCAACGTAAACCGTAATAGATATTGTACATACCGGAAAAGTTCATCAGAGATCAGCAGCGTACCGATAGCGCCACGATCTGCAGCTAAAGAAACATGGTCGCTCCCGTACCAAGCGCGCATTTCGTCCGAGCCTAGCATCTTGAAGAATCTAGGAAATTGTCAACCAATGTCTGTACTAGGGGATGTATAAATAACTTACTTGTCTAATACGATACCCTCACGAGCAAATTTTGTTTCTTTCAGTTGCGAAACGATCTACATATTTGATAGGGTCAGTCACGATATGGATGGTTCATGATACCCACCTCAGGACTCTTCAAGACCTCCACGAGACTATGCACGTGCGGGCTGCTCACATGTACTCTAACCGTTTTCTCTCTTAGAGCCTTTAGAAGAATCTTGTCTCCTCTTTTCCCAGCTTCGTCCACCATATAGGTGAACACGGAATCGCGCACCCAGCCAGGGCTTGCGATAACAATCGCCTTCAGACCGACATTCGAGTAGGGGATATGCCGGATGAACGAGTCATAGATTGACCCGTAGAATTTCTGCAGGGCTTTCTCATGCTGCGACGGACCTGATGACGCTGCTTTTCGTGGAATGGAAACCGAGATTCGCTGCGTGACCAGTGTCATATGCTCTGAAAGGAGACAGAATGCTGCGATGCCTTCACCACAGACAACAGCACCAACTTCAGCACCTCTTCCGGGAACGATGGACTCCTCCACGCGCGCTAGTGCAACGCTATCCCACCCATCAGCCTTCTCTATCCGTATATCACGATTAGCCTCGATGTCAAGTGTATGAAAGGCTCCTAATTTGACGTATTGATTCTCGGAGGTGACTCGACCGGATATATGCAGTGCAGCAGTATTAGTATTAGCAGATGAGATATCCGTGGACGTAGAGCCTTCACTTGTCGATGGAGCTGCAGAAGAAGAAAAGTCTACACGGCTGACCTGCAAGGTGAGGTTTACGCGAACGCGTTGCGAATCAATGGATCCGGTTGTAGATATTTTTTGTACTCGTCTGATTGAAGGGATCAAGGACCGATTGAATTTCAGATCCACTACGACGCACCGTATAGCAGTAGCCCTCACTAAATCTTGCTCTTGTATTAGATTATACAAATGCCACATGTCTTCGTCATCTTCCGGACGCAGCGTAACATGTCCCTGCACCACATACCACACTATCAGGAATCAAGTCACGATATTCAGAGATTAGGAAGAAACGTACAGCTCCGTGTTTGTCTATATACTTGTTGACGAGCTTCATAGATATAACCAGTTACAAGTATCCAGGGTCATATGTACAAGCAGAATGGATATGTACAGATGATGTACAAAGTAAAGGAGGTGATTTCCTTTTTGGATGTGTGATGGTCGTTGATCTCGAACGATGAGCAGGTACGTCTCTTGCCTACCGTCCTCGGCTGGCCTCATGTCTATCCTAGCAGTAATAAAAGAATTGAGACCCTCGCTGCTCGCCTGGTAGAACCTAACGATCCTCGTGACAGGGCACAGGATTCCGACGACGACGAAACGCTCTTTGCAGAACTGGAAGCCGAGATAGAGAATGACGAGAACTACGCCATGAGAGAGCAAGGCCTTGAGGTTCTCAAAAGAGAGTGAAGTGCTATTACTGCCTACAGTCGTCCATCCTATCGCTGACGCGCTCCGTAGAATGGACAAGATGCAGGCGATGAAACAAAATCAGCATGGCTCGTACACGGAAATCTTCGACGAGAAAGAAGTTATTCGGGTTACCGCGTCAGCCAAGGATACATCTATCTGAATCGTCACTGAGATTTTCTCTCCTAGACAAGAACCTAAATCTGTTGTCCATTTCTACCATTCGAACTTCAAACGGTGCGAAATCATGGATAAACATCTTGCTGTAAGTTTGTGCAGATAGCTTCCAGAGGTTGATATCAAGACGAGAATATAGGCCTTGGCACCTAAATATTTTAATACTCGTTTCATTCGAGTTTTCGTCGAGAACGTACCGTGGCTAGTCGAAAAGCTTGCTATCAAGGTCCTGCCTTGCGTCATATGCTTTGTAAATGGAACGACGAAGGATCGGTAAATGCTCTCAGCAGTTTTCGCCAAGACAATACTAACCGCGAATAGGATAATAGGCTTCGAAGAGCTTGGGAATAACGACGCCTTTACGACCGCTATGTTGGAGCTGAGATTATCCGTGTCAGGTCGGTCTCTTTACAAGATTCTAGGTGTATGTTTTCGTAATTGACCAGAACCCTCCAGGCGTATTGCAAAAGCAACAGCCGCCCGGCGTTAATGACATTTACAACGTGTCTTCCTCGAGTGCCATACGCACGAAAAGGAAAGAGCAGGAAGATGATCGTGACATATTCGATCTGGATGATTGAACCCTCGGTGTTAACGCTGGTTGAATCAGAGCCTCTGGATTGTATCGAGACGGTCTGGGGACATAGGGTATCAATTGTGTTTGGGATGTTTTCCATCATGCGTCCTATTCTGATGCGGCGGCGTTTGGCCCACTTGGATTCTAGACTTAAGACGAGGTCCGGATTCATTCCTCGACCTTCAAGTTGGACCTTTGGAGGCGTGTCTCTCGTTGTACCCATGCTGTTTTAATCTGTGCCTTGTTTCTGACTAGTAAAAAATAGCTAGCTTTTTTTGTCGTTGTGAATGACTGCCGCCGCCAATTCGACAGGAGACCTCTTGGGCATTCTGGACCCCGTCCATATATTTCCTGTCGTAACTTTGTATCCGACATTGAGAGTGCTTAGACGCTGATGGATTTATGTAAATAAGCCAAGTCTTTGCCCGCGCAGAACCTAAAGTACTCCTTAAAGACGTGTTTTTTTTTCGAATTGTTGTAATTTAGGCGATAATTTGTGATCACATGATTTCCCCAGGATTTGACTCGATTCGGACATTGAGATGGGCGTACAGAACCGCCATCGTTGTTTTTCATTATCTGAGAAATTATGCCTACCGTTGCCGTGGACAAAGCTGAGCTCTGGGAGAGACTAGGGCAGGAATTCTGTATGGCCTCCTGTTCACGCTTGAAATGCCAACTGATTTGTCGCTCAGCTACGGAGGATTTCGATGCGTTATGCTTTGAATACGGTTTAGAACTTGACGAGGATGTGTGTATTCTGCGCTGTATTCAGATATATTTGTAGTCTTACATTTTCTGCTAGACCACTGAAGAGGTTGAGGAAGCCATCAAGAAGGGTTTACCTGCTGAACGTCCCGTGCGTTCCGTGCCGCGTCCATCTCCAGTCACTCAATTCTCACTCCATCCTTCAGCAACTAAAAATCGAGATACCGGCCAACAGGTACATATACCGTACTCCCTCGTCCAATTCATCCGAATCCTATACCTCTATTCTAGATACGATCTTCTCTGTATCGAAGGCATCTCGAGAGCACTCAAAGTTTTTTTGGGAAAGGCCAAAGCGCCCCAGTATAAACTCGTCTATCCTGCTGGTGGAGATTCTGGTCTTCTGACAGTGACTATACATCCAGAGGTGAGCCCCGTCTCCCAGTTCAAAGTCTTCTTGCGATTTAGCATATTCAGACCCAAAAAATTCGACCCTACTTCGCCTGTGCTATTTTGCGCAACATCAAGTTCACCCCACGATCATATGCTTCATTCATCGATATGCAGGACAAGTTACACCAGAACATCTGTAGAAGACGACAACTGGTCGCCATCGGCACACACGATCTGGACACACTCCAAGGGCCTTTCAGATATGAGGCACGTCCACCCCAAAACATCAGGTTTGCACCCCTCAATAAGGACACGGAATATACCGCTGAGGAGCTCATGACGGTGTACGAGGTGCGTTACATTTCTTTTCACCCAGAACAGAAGGTGAATCTGGAACCAGTCGGATAAACACCTCTCGAAATATCTTCACATCATTCGCGATTCTCCGGTTTACCCTATCATATACGACGCTCAAGATCGTGTTCTGTCGATGCCCCCGATAATCAACTCCGACCACAGTAAAATCACTTTGGATACGAGAAATATTTTTATCGACGTTACTGCTACGGATAAAACCAAGCTGGATATCGTCGTGAACATTGTCGCTACAATGTTCTCAGAATATTGTGCCGAACCTTACACGTAGGAGCTTTTCCCAATTTATCTTAATGCAACAAGTGCCTCATATTTTTCTAGAGTCGAGCCCGTTAAAATTATTACATCGACAGGGGAGACTACCATTTCACCCAACCTCACACCCCGTGAAACAATTGCACACTCCTCGTATATTAATTCATGTACAGGACTGGGCCTCACCACGGACCAGGTCGTTCCACTATTACAAAAAATGTCATTGGAAGCGACCGTGGCTGCTGAAGACCCGACGAAAGACACGATCAATGTGCGAATCCCTGCAACGAGACCGGACATCTTACACGAGTGCGACATCATGGAAGATGCAGCAATTGCTTACGGCTTTAATAACCTACCCCACACCTTCCCCAGCACCACTACAGTTGGCCAGCCCTCGGCTATCAGCAAGCTAAGCGACATCATTCGAATCGAGTGGGCCTTGGCTGGGTGGGTCGAGGTGCTACCTCTCACACTGGTGTGTCATGCAACTTCTGATACAAGTTGCAACATGCTAACTAGTACAACCCGATAGTGCTCGCTCGAAGAAAATTTCTCGTATCTCAATCATACTGATCCCAAGTACACTTCCACGGCAGTACGCATTGCTAACCCCAAAACTCTTGAATTCCAAGTCGTGCGCACGACTTTGATCCCGGGATTACTCAAGACGGTCCGTGAGAACCGTTCTCACGCACTGCCGATCAGGATTTTCGAGACCGGTGATGTGGTAGTCAAGGATCTCTCCCGAGAGAGGCAGACACGAAACATCCGACACGCGGGTGCGGTGTGGTGCAACAAGAGTGCCGGGTTCGAAGTCGTGCATGGAGTGCTGGATCGTGCCATGAAAATGCTGGAAGTACCGAGGATTGGGACTGAGGAGTATGAGAAAGAGACCGGGTATTACTTGAAGGAGACAGAGGGTGAGTGTAGTGATGAATTGATCTCGTGTATAACGATAATGAACGGCGGCGATGGTCTAGATCCTGCGTACTTCCCTGGACGTGCGGCGACGATATACTACCGACCGCCGCCGGTGAAGCATGGCGTGCTGACAGATTTGAAGCACAGAGTAGAAGCGGCGCTGCATGCGAAGAGGGACATGGAACTAGGAACGTTGGGAGTGCTGCACCCGAGCGTACTCGAAAAATTCGACATTGGTTACCCCTGCTCTGCAGTGGAGTTCACCCTTGAGCCGTTTAAGAAGGAGATGCAGGGAATTTGGACTAACGATGCATGATGGGGAAACAAATGGCGATAATATAACAGAAATAAATATAGAAGATGTGCGAAGAAGTGTCGTTGTCATGTGTACTCCTCGCCGCTGGAGGTTCCGCGATACTCTGAATGTGAATAACGTCTAGAAAAATGGATTAGAAAAAAGACTCATCGGTGTAGAGACAAAGGAAAGACCTACTTAGTGATGCGGGATAGGTGCGCTCGGTTGGCATTCCTAATCAGCCGGTTGATACGCTGACAACTCTCCATTCTGGACTGCATGATAGACTCGTACATGTCGAGCACACGAAGACTGTGTGTCGGACGACGAGGCAAGGCAGCGAGCTTGATTTTCAATTCCTTCTTCCGCCTAATCCAGCGGGACGAATGTGGCGACTTCGGCGATGGGAGTTCAGGAGACGGTGTGGGCGAGGGGCGTGGGGAAGGGCTCTCGTCATCATCATCCGAGTCCTGCAGCTCAGCGCGCGTCCGACGGATCCACATGCGCTCCTGCTGGTAGAACGAGACCAGGGAGTCGAGGTTGGTGAGGGAAGAGCGTAGGACGGGGATTATTTCGTTCATTGGGGGATAAACAGTCATTGGGGCTTTTGGTGGAGACGGCGGGGTATATAAAGCATAGCAAAGGCTGGACGGTGTTAGGTTCGAACTAGGCGTCAAATTCTGCGTCATACTAGCTAGTTCCATAGGACGTAAGACAGAACGGGATCGCCTGGCGCGTGTCTGGACTGGGAGAACCTCAGGATTACATAGCCGGTCGATGACTTTAAGTGGTCCAGACTAGCCGACTAGGCACTTTCGACGCGTGCCAGAGATCCAAGCCAGATGGGATTTCGATATCAAGATTCTCTAAGCCGATACAGAATAATATCGTCAACCGGCAGCAATCCTACTGGCCAATAGACTCCAATAGAACTACGGAGGCGAATACAACCCAACGCAGGCGCATCTACGGAACTTGTCTGCAGCAACCTAGACCACACAAGTCACGTGTTCGTCACCCACGAATCAGAGCCTCTGTTAGTCTTCCACTTTCGGAGTGGCTGTGCTACCTTCGTCTTTCCCGTCATGGTCATGGTCTTCAGGACCGCTCTCGTTGCTGTCGCCGCTGTCGGTCACGTCGCCGCAGCGCTCAATGTCTACCATCGTATCGTGCATCTCGACCTTGATGAACAACCTTTCTCTCTCCGTGGCCGGCTCCTTCTCGACGACGACACGGCCTTTGCACCATCACCCTCTTTCTCCAGTGACCTCTTTTCTTTCGCCCAGACACTGAAAGAACTGAACCTCGATAATGACCGCGCCTCCTACCAGGTGGCCCTAGATCATTCAGACCGCTGGGAATTTTCGTCTGTAAAATTCGTACGTTCCAGGTCTAATCACAATCTAGCCTCCGCTTATACGCGATTCCAAGTGTCACCTTGCTCAGCCATTTGCTGAAGACTTGATAATCCATACAGCAGACTTATCAATACCGTACGCTATTGATTATTTTGTATCGCCAATCCCCCAAGATGGATCTTGTCCAAAGACATTTTGGGTAGATCCCTCCCGTGCCGGACCTATAAATACAACAATCACTCTTCGCCCGCGACACTTTCCACCCTTGTGAGTATTTGCGAATATGCAAATTTGAACTGTGTCCGCCACTTCTATCCTACTGTTCTATCGCTCATCGTTATCTTCTTTATTCAGACCTGAACTTCGAGCTCCCCCACCTCTGACGCCACAAGGTGAACCCGTGCAGCCTCCCGAAGAAAAGAGTTTCTTCCAGAAGTATTGGATGTACATCGCTGCGGTCCTCATTGCTCTCAGTATGTTCCTTTTAAAGTATTTTACCCCGAGTTATCCACTGATCGTCTTCCAGCACTTTCAGGTGGCGCTCCAGAAGAGGAAGGGGCTAGACGTCCGGCGTGATATTCGCTGTCGAGGTTCGACATCACTTTTACCCTGCATTCCCGAGCTTTGTTATATTTTCTTCGGTCATCGGGATCTATGCTAGGATCGCAGATTCTATTGTGTATTCTGCACATACTCCACGAATATATTTCTTTACCGCCGCGCCTTTGCCGCCAGCAATGCGCAGCATTAGTATAGTTACCTAGTATACTGATGTCCGACTGCGGCATGGCAGCGATGCGAAACTTGTCCGAGAATAAGATCCTGATGCAATGGTCCAGCCAAACATAGACAAACATATCGATCACTGTGACAGAATAGCGGGTTGCCGTGTCTCTTTTGAATCTGATTAGCTAATCCTGAAGCGCTCTCGATTGTCTTGTCTTGACATTCCCTCTCGAAGACAGATTCGACTATATTGTGTTTGTCCAGCCGGTCTCAGATCCCACAATTCATGCATTCAGAGCCGCTGCCCGAGTCTGGGCAGGTCGACGCGCCAGTATTCAACGACGGAAAGACCATGACGCAGGCCGCCTCGGATTTACTATTACTCGTATTCATTCACGGCTTCAAGGGAGACGATGAGACATTTCTGCAATTTCCTCAGCGGATGCAACACGTCCTCTCCGATACCATTCCAGGTTGTACCGTGGAATGCATAGTATTTCCTGTATACGAGGTACGGTCACCCGACTCGGCCTTTCTGATCACATCACCTGAACTCTTTCCAGACGAAAGGGGAACCAGTAAGCACGTTTTTACCATACACGGGAAACACAAGGCAAATAGTGGCATGTAGAACGAAGCTGTCGTACGGTTCGCTGATTGGTTAACAACACTGACGGTGGAGAGGGAAGTTGCCTCAGGAGGAGGAGCCGGGAAAGCGAAGATCGTGTTGTGTGGGCACAGGTACGTATTACCATCCAAAATACCGGGAATAGTTTGCCCAAATAATATAGCATGGGTGGTATCCTTGCTGCCGATACTCTACGCGAATTTGTCAGGACCAGGCCCGACCAAAGGGCACCTCTCTGGCCAAAAATCATTGCCTGTATCACCTATGACACTCCAGTTTGTATATCATCTCTCCGCTCAAGTTGAAAACTCAACAGACATCTGCAGTTCCTCGGTCTACATCCCTACGTGTTCAAAAACAGCGCGACAAAAGCAACAGAGTACGTCAGTACTGCCCGAACGGTGGGCTCAGCCTTGCTTGGTTCCTTCGCAGGGTTCGGAGCCAAGAAGGCCGCCGATTCAAAGCCAGCTGCTGAGAACACGCCACCCCCTTCTGAATCAAAAACCTCTTGGAGTAAATGGGTACCAGCTGCATATGCCATGGGTGGTGCAATCTTGGCTGGAGCGGCAGCAGGCGGAGCCTATTACAAGCGCGATGATCTAGGTGTAGGATATACATGGGCCACGGATCACATGAAATACGTGAGGAATCTATGGGACGAACCGGCCCTCCGCCAACGAGTGGACGACCTAGTCGATATTGAGGAACAAGAGGGTGTCGTTTTCCGTGTGTACGTACACCAGTTACTGACACGTCGCCATCGAGACGTGCTAAACTTAAACTTTGCAGTTTCTATACCTATCTGCCACCGGTTCCACAGGTTCATCCCAATGCCCGAACATTTATCGTGCTGCCGAAGAAAAACACGCGTTCTGCGGGTAATTTCTTGCCGGCGAATAACGGTGTGGCTCCGGACGAGCTACAAGCGCATACGGGAATGTTCAGCCCAAAGACCAATGACGGTTACTATGAACTCGGGCTCGAGACTGCGAAAATTGTCCGAGAAGCAGTTATGTTGGGTAGGGGGATATTTGAGGATCCAGAAACACAAAAAGAGAGTATTCAGGAGCGGCTGGATTTGGAGGATGCTGAAGAGACGCGGTCATGACTTGCGGCGGGATGGTTGAATGTAACTTATGATTGTAAAATATGTACTATACCTCATCTATATCCACCGTATCATTATATCATTTTAGGGATAGCTGCATGGCGTAGGCGTCTTCGCCATCAGCGTCTACGGGATGGGTAAGCGTTGGAAAAAAGAGAGTGAACGATGGGTATACAATATTTGTGTTCGATATTTTTGACGGTGAAGCCCAGTGTATCCCTGTACAGACCCAACGCAGCACGGTTCGATTTTCGGACGTGTAGTGAGACATAAGAGGCGTGATAAACAGCAGCCATAGCTTCCTCTGTAGCAACACATTAGCGGAAGGTTGCAATGGTGAGCAATTTGAACTGACGAGATTGCACCATCAGCTTTTTCGCCAACCCTAGCCTTCGATACGTTCGTAGCACAGATATTGAGGTTACATGCCCGTGGGGGTCATCTTCTTCTCCCAATTCCTCTTCCCTACTACAGCATCAGCGAACGTCGTAATGAAGAACTGAAGCGCATACATTTTGGCAAGGATGTATCCAACCACCCGACCTTCACTGTCTTCTGCGACGTAGGAGAGAGAAGGCCATGTCAGGATATGGTATAGGTCTAGAGACGTTTGAGGACGGACGAGCAGCATCGTCACTAATTCTTGCGCGTACAATATTTCATGGTGTAGTTTTCTGGTAAATTTTGAAGGTTGCAGGCTTGCATACCATTGCAATCTTTGACTAGTGAGCCGAGATCGAAATAATCTAGAGCGCAAACAGACCTTCGATACGCGCGAGACGGATATTCATGGTGGAAGGAAAGACAGATATTATTATTTATTTTTGGATCTGAAAATATTGGTAAACGCAAATCACGACCCTCACCATTATTCGATGCCATTGATACGCTGCCAGGTGAGTCCGTCGGTTCATCACTGTGCGGCACAGTCCGAATACTTTCCAGTGGTTCGACGACGACCGCCAGCCCATTGCTGGAGGTTGCAAATGGGAATTAACGACCTGTACATTCGTTCACCCTTCATCACATCGATGGGATTCTGCCGCTCGCAAGAGAACAGCAGTTCCCAGGGTACGTCGGTGATACCCGTTACCCTTTTCTTACTTCGTCCTCAACATTCGCACATACAGAATCAGATGAGTGCCAGGAAAGGCCCATCCGGCTGGAGCGACGCGCCTGGTCGTGACCGTAATGCCAATAATACCGGCGCAAACACGGCTGGTCTTGGTGCGAAAAACCGCTATGAGAAGCTTCCCCCTACAGGACCGAATGCGGAGAAAAACAAATGGGACACCGGCGCCTGGTACAAAAATCGCCAAGAGTCTGGTCAATCGGATGCTGGTCCTTCCACAAGCACGCGGGCCAGCGCGTCGGCTACTACGAAACCTGTCGATGAATCTTGGGGCCAGACTAACTGGGGAATGCCCGAGTCTCCATCGTGGGGTGACCAGACCAAGAGCAGTGGTATTTCGTCTCCGGCGGGGGGAAACAAGGATGGTGCAAAGGACTCTGGAGACGGCGGCCAATGGGGATCGGGAGGCTGGGGCTGCACAGACAATGGGAATGCAACGTGGGGCACTGGTACCTGGGGAACCTCAGATGCTGGGACAGGTTTGGAAAACGCGCCTACCGAGGAGCCGCAGCTAATGCAGGTCGACTCTCCCCCACCGTTGTCTTCAAAGGGCAAAGAGAAGGAAGCGCCAAGGCGCGATTCGCAGGATACGATCATGTCGCCTCCTCTTCCTGATCCTGATCCTCCCATGTCCTCATCATGCATATCACTGCCCAAAAAGAGGAAAGACCCTGGGAAACAGCCAGCAACCTCGCTAACCGTTGATGTATCTGGAAATGGTGCTGGTGCCAGTGGTCAGCCCCTCTCGCCGTCACATTCGATTACAGGCGCCCAAAATGTGTACAAGGATCTCATGAGGTATGTTTCATTCCTCGTTCTAGCATCAGACCCTCATTTAGTTCTAATAGACACTTCTTCAAACTGGTGCGCCTCAAAATCGAGAAATCTGAATGTGACGAAAAATACCGCGCCTGGACCTCAGCTCAAGGCTCACAGCCCTATGCCCTGGGACAGGAAGCTGCTGGAACCCACTGGAACCAAGCCCAAAAACAATTGGATAAGAGTCATAACATTTCCCGGAACATTGAAGAAACTATGAAACTGCTTCTGAGTCTGCCGGATGTTTCTACGCCAAAAATATCTTTGGATGAAATGGAAGAAAAGATGGAACAAATTACCAAATATGCAGAAGACACTGAGCGTTGGATGAAGGAACTGGCAGAAGCGCAGGAAGAGGCTGAAAGACGTGCTCAAGAAGCTGCAGCAGCGAACTACCCAATCGATATCACACCGCATTGGACGCCCAAGGAATGGCCAGAGCACCCCAGTGCGGACTACATCCATGGACGCACTGCCGAGTTGCAGGATCAAGTCGCTGATATTTCTAACTTTCTGGATCATACCAGATCGGTGGACGATGTCGATTCTCTCTTTGAGGAGGGCATCCAGATGAGTGATAGTCTCGCCCGGCTGAGGATGGAGGAGTTGGATCCAGAGGAAGATCCTCTGACCTTGAGGATAGATAATGCCGGCGGACAAGTCGCCGAAATGATGTCGACAATCGCAGACTACACGGGCAAATTTGTGAACCAAAAGAAGGAGTCAGAGAGGTGGAAAGCCGAGAGAGATGCTAATCTAGCAGTCAAGGCAAAGGTTTGTTTTGATACACTGTCTTATATCGTTGTCACTTACCGTATTTCGGGTCTAGCTCGAAGAAAAAATTGCTGGCTTCGAGCAGAGGTCAAAAGAGCGCCACGCCCATCTTCAAGAGATGTCCAATGAATTGAGAGAACTCCGGGAAATGGAACAAGCGTACCCGTTCCATTTAATCAATCCATTACTTGAAGAAATCACCAACGAAGTAATTGAGAAGGAGATGCGGCCGGCCTTGATGGCCTTACATGTGGCCTGTGAGGCTGCGTCGACACGGAGCGTGGATAGGATGACCGAAAAGATCCAGGTTGCCGCTCAGCCTACGGTCGAGAGCACCAACCGTCTTCGAGAGCAGGCTCGCCGGTCCAGGGCGTCCACGTCATCCTAGGTTACCTTCTATATCTTGCAATATCATCTTTTTATACATTCTGCTTACCCTTATCTGTTCTTCTTGTGTTCTGGGTTCTGCTGGATTCTCTACACCTGCAATTGTATCTACATAGCTCATTTGTTACATTCTAGACTAGTGTATAAAGACCATCCGTACTGTACATCTGTATTGATTAGCACGGCCTGCCCCAATTTGTCCAACGCCTAGCTACAGGTAATTCAGTTTCAGTTCAGATAGTTCTGCGATAAGTCCACGTAGTTCCAGTGGACGCCGATACCATAACAGAAGAAAACAGCCTTGTTTCGTTGAGGCTCATGCCGTTGTCGCAGATCCCAAACCTCCAGCAGATCCCAGCATCCCAGAAAGGGGTGCCGGCACAGATGCTTACTGCACCACCGATGGATAGCCGTCAATTTATTCGACGATGCATGTGTCGAAGAACTTGATTGATATACTTTGAATAAATTAATTTTCATCATGGCACACAACTACAGATATGAGCTTAATTGAAACGTTAAAGCGAGCAATACCAGAAGTAAGGGCAAGGGAGGCAACATGCTCGGACAAGCCCAATCAGCTTGGTCGCCATCACCGTCAGTGGCAGCGCCGCCACTGCCACTGCCACTGCCTGTGCTATTCCCATCACCATCAGATCCACCTCCGGCGTTGGTGCCAGTACTTGTGGCGTTGTCTCCTGTCGAATCTCCTTTAGAGTTTGTGTCATTTCTTATGAAAAGATCAATTAATTAACCATCAGTAGATGAGCGAGATTCAAAACTCACAAAACAAGCTAAGCAAGGGTTTCACGAAGAAGCGAATATGATTAATGTAACCTTGATTAAGAAAAAAGCGTACCAACGCGACTAGAAGAGACATACTTAGCAACTTTGATGACGAAGGCGAAAAGAAGTACATACGATGTCCTCCCACTACAGGCCTGGCTTTGAAACTTAGCAATCCACCATCTGTGGTATTGTAGAAATCTCCGAATGGTTGCGAGTTTAGTCCGCTAGAGACCCAATCCTTGACGGATGAGATGAACAGGTCTCGCGTGGAATTGTTCGTCATGATTGCGGCAGCCCAGATCTCCCAAACTATGGAAAACACATTGGTTACCGGTCAATGAAGAGATGCGGTCCACGTACCACTTGAGGTATATGTATGCCTAGCAGAAGTGTCAGAAGTCCAACGCTTGTAGGCTATAAGAGAAAATCAAAGCTCACCGAGTATCCAGCGGGACACCGTACTTGTCTTTAAGATATCATTTTAAGTACATAAAAACAATGTTGCTTTCCAGAACTCACTTGCAACTGCGGGATACCACTTTGTCTCTGTTTGAAAATAAGTTTGCTCCCTTCCTTAAATACCACAAAGACGTACGTGTTTCATAGACGGATTCGGGGAAGATATTGAGATTCAATAACTTATCGGCATATAAGTTATAAGATAGGCCCCAGCTGACGCAAGGTGAGATGACATTACTCATACGGAGGGAGACGCTACTCGCCTAGACGAGTTTCCATACTAAATTTGTTCAGAAGTGTGTCAGGATCTGGGAAAGATTTGGCCAAGAGACGGATCTTACAGAGAGAGTAAGATGACTATCGTCATCCGAAAATGAAATGTTCTGCCATTGCGAGGCATAATCTGAAGCGATGGCCTAGAAACACAGTTAAAGTTGAAGGATAGCAAAAGTTCATGGAAAGAAACGAACGCTATAAATGTTACTTTTGGTATCATCGCCTACCATGTCAGCGATCTTCGCCATGGCACTGATTCCGACGATTCCCTTGATTGCGAGATTGGTCTGATTTTCCAGAGTACCCGCAATATCGTCGGTGCTGAGCTGATTTGCCGGAAGGAGAGAGTCAGAGATTAAATACTGCGCCCATTGGTCCAATAGATCAAACTGAAGGATGAAAAGGCAACTTGTTAAGACATCTGATGGATGGGAGAAGCTGTACTTACGTATTTCGTGAGCTGGGAGACGTCTCCAGTCTTCTGGGCGTAGCTCAACGCCATAATGATCATGTTGCCGCATTCTTTCCAGCTTGGAATCAGAACTGACTTTCAGAAGGAAAGGCAGAAATACCTTCCACTGGCATGGGCTCATCCTTTCCATCATTGTGCCCAGTAGCGTTCGGGTAACGAGAACCTGTAGTAGATTATCAACAAACTGTAAATTTATCTTCCAGAGACATGTGTACCTATATCATGCACGCTATATCTGTTTGGGTACTGTCCTGTAGCCTGGTACTCAAAGGCCGCATTTAACAAGTACTTCCCGAGCTCAGGGTTGGTGTAAAGGAACAACGGCCAGGCTGGGAACATGACATCCACTGTATTTACTTTCTTCTCACAAAAATGTCAGTAGCAAGTCCAAATTTCTCGTTGTAACTTACACCAGAGCTTGAGATCTCTAAAAGGAGCAATGAGAAAACAATGCCGCGTTTAATGAGCAGTCCAGCGTACCTTTCATAAAGACGAGGACATCGTCTGTGCTCCAAGACCCATTCGAGTTCTGGATTAGTGTTATCTCAGTTCCAGCAAATGCTTGTCTGATGGACAACGCGACGATGTCGGCATAGTCAGACGAAATATACGAAGCATCACTTTCCACAATATTGTCAAAGTTATTAGCTCTCGTGATTGCGTCGGTATAATCGGATAAAAATGACGGAATCTGCGATGGAAACGATAATATTGAATTCAAGCAAAGAAAACTGGATTTTAGCCGACCTACATAGTCAGCAACTGTCGTTTGACTAAGGAAATATAGGCTTCGCTCTTGAATCACACCATCCGCGACGATGTACTGAATCGCAGGGTCACGGACATGGCCGATTGCTACTACTACGGGAACCGTCGATGCAGAAATATTTCCGAGATCATGAGCAAAAGCAAGAACAGGCCAGTGATCCTGAACAGCTCGGAAATCGCTGTCCTCAGAGTTCGACAACACCCCGTGGTTGATAAACTGGTTCCTGACATCAACATCAGCTCCGGTTTGGTATGTTACACCCGCATTCTGCATTTCCAAGCTGTTTCAGTACGACCACCGATAATGATGTGGAATCTGATACGCGCCGCCAGTGCCCGGGTTGCATAGTATATGGATCCGTCTTTTAATTTAATCCCATCAGCGGTGAATTAAAGAATCATGACTGGAATCATACACGTACATTGTGTCCGGTCGTCAATTTCTGCAAAAGGTGAAGGGGCTTGTAGTTGAGCCTGATGAACCAAGTGATCTCCTGTGGTGGTGGTGGTCCAGTTCATGCCTAAGGAAGTATTTCCAGAAAGCCATTCTCCACTAATATCACTGTATACAGAAACAGAATGGGTCAATCCGTCGTTGGCAGCAGCTGCAAGAGCGAGATAAGAGAAAGGAAAGGATTGTTTAGTCAAATTGTGAGGCTAGAAAACGCGTCAGTTTGCGGTCACAAACGCATGAAGTAATGGTTCACCTCAACAGGGCTCAGAAAGGTGACAGTCAAATCCACTGGTCCTGCAGTCATCACGAATTTTGTCTGGGTAGAAGTAAACTGAGAGAGAGCCTTAGCTGGGCAGACCGATTTTCTTGCTGGGACGTACCTGGGCGCTCTTTTGCGTAGCTTTTATGTATGCAGCGACACCCGCCGGAGTACCTAAGAAGCTATAAGTGGTGTTGTCGACTTTGATCAAGCCTGCCCATCCGGTAATCTACCATGCGTCGTCTCAGGACATGCTCTCCATCTTAATGGATGTCCACTGACCTGCCCTGTATAGAACCTAGACCAATCATCATTGAGCGCAGTACCGCCGTCTTTCTGTGCCAGCCACGTTGACAGATATGGCGAGCGTACAGCCAAGGGATATGAGGGTGGAGTGAAAGGCGACGTATTTAAGAGAGTGGCGCCTCGGCAAAGAATTATAAGCACACAGAGAAAAAACCAGCGCGTAATGAGAGAACGCATAGAAAGAAATGAAAGGCCAGAGAAGAAACAAAGGATATTCAGTCATATTTAAGCTACACGGCAGGGACAAATGTTCTGCAATTGATGAAACATTGTTGTTGATGGAGAGTCGTCGTTAAGTTGTTCTCACAGATGTCGGTGTGGAAATGCCGGTATATTTGTATTAATAAGCCGGGGGATCCATTGTGTTTAACGGGCGAAGACACACCTGGGCTGATGATATTGAATTGTAAAGGCCTCAGACTGATCTAGCTACGTCGACGAGTGAATGGTAATAGCGTTGATGCTGTCCACTGAGGCGCTACGAAAGGCAGACTCATCAGACAGAAAACAGTGATTGGTAATGGCTAGGGTTCCCGACGACATACTGAGGGCGCATAGTAGTACGTAGTGGTTGGTGTTATCAACTTTGAGGACATTGATACTAACTAACATCCAAACATTGTCCGTACAGCATTCGTCAAGTCATTGTACTCTGTATCGCCCGTCATCTCCCACATACTCGTGCCTCGCATCCCGTTCTCCATAACGAACTTTGCTTTTAATCCTATTGACTCAGGATCGTCGTACGAGACTATCTGGTTGGCATCCAAAGACCGAAGAAACGGAGTACTTGAACACTGATCCCAATCCCTGGTGAATCCAGGTGACGCGACAAAATATCGTTGTCCCGACGTATCATTACGAATAGACAAAGCGCCCTGATCTACAAGACTACGAAATTGGATTTCTCCTTGCTTTTGATCGTCATCGGCAGCAAGTGCAGGCGATCCACGCTTCGAACGCGTACGGAGTCCGGTAGCATTGGACGTGGAAAGGATTCCGTACGCAGGTATTCCTAGTACGATCTGAGACAACTTGAAACCGGCCATCGTCCAAGCGTTCAAGGCTGCTTGTGCGTTGGCATGAGGTTGGGTAGAGTTCCCACATTTATCGCTGAGCGGGGCATTCGGTCCTGGATTCGGCGAAGCTAATAAAGCATGAGCTTAATCGAATAACCAGCATCAAAGTTACATACCACTCCAAACATCGTAGTTCATAATCAAGATCCAATCAAGCACTTCAGCAAAATCTGACACATCTTTCATCCGTGCTCCGTCATCATCGACAAAAGGCATATGATCGACAGCAGCTGTGACGACGGCGTTTGCGGGTAACGACTTGCGAAGGAGACGAAGAAATTGCAAAAAGTTGGCCGAATCGGACAGACTGACTTGATTATCGGATTCGCCTCTGCGGCCAGGATACTCCCAGTCGATATCGATGCCATCCAAGTTGTACTTGTTATAGAGACCGACGATGTTTGACACAAAAGCATTGCGACTTGTTTCGTCTGATACAGCGCCAGAAAAGCAGCTAGAAAATTGTCAGCATACAGACAGAAAAGTAGATGATTGACTAACTGGCTTCCAGTCCAACCGCCTATGCTAAGCTTGACCTTAGTACCCCCAGCACGTGCGGCTTTCACTAGACGCGCCAGGAGGTCAGGGGCCTCGGAATCCCAAGTCAAGTCGAAGTTGCAGTCAGGAATAGCAAACGCGAAATCGATCCAGTCATACAATGTATAGTTGATCTTGTCAGGAGAATATTCGTCGTCGGCCCAGCTCGGATAATAAGCCATCACAAGAGGCCTTTGCGGAGGGCTATCTGTTTCAGACGATACTGTTTCTGGAGACTGAGGTGAATAGACAAAGACAGCCTCTGAGCCAGAAGGCGAATGTCCGACGTCCACGCCGAAGGATAGAGGCAAGTTTGAGAACGGCGAGATGGTCGAGGTTGCGTTTTGTGAGGTAGAAACGGAAGTAGCAGTAGTAGTGTTGTTACTGTCGAGGACCGGCGCCGAAATGACCATTGGCAAGCACGCTGACAGGGAAAGTATAGCAAGATTGTTCAAAAACATCACGAGAGAAGGAAAGGTAGGCTGCGCGAAGAAATGGTCACCACCAGGGTGATAAAGAGAGGAAGGAAAATGAGAGGCTTGACCCACGTAGGTCGCCGTTTATAAGTATATGGGCAAAGCCACATGTAAATAGATGTAAATAACGCGTCTCCCACTACGACGATCACCTAAGCAAGTAGGTGTTTCATCCGTGTCCTTATTTGGTTACCTTCTTGGCTTTAGCACGCGGTTCCATGATTTTCAATATCACGGTTTATCACCTGCATAATCTCGTATCCTTTTTGCGTCCCTTATGACCCAAGCTGCACGCGGAACACTGAATATATACACTGACCGACAAAAATAAAGAAACACGTGGTTTTTTTGATTGGAGTCGCACTAGCTCCTCAACGCTGTGATATTTTTTCAGACTTTCAGTGAGAGAAATGTAGCTTAATTGATGTAGTTTATTGTTAGAAAAAGAATGAGGTACATACATGAAAAAAACGATGAGATATAAATATGTTAGCCGAGAGTGTCATTTTTAGCAGTGTAAGTAAAATGAGAAAACAAGATAATTGACCTGACGAAAAGTCCAACAACCTAATATCTAGTATGCCTGCCCTTTGCCAATATCAAGGACCTCACCCGTGATGGGATACTACCATATAACGCATTGCAATACTCTTTTCCAAGTGCAGCCCACTCCTCCTGCAGAATGGCAAATAATGCGGCAGTCGTTGTCGGGTGACGTGGTCTGTTGTTCAGACAATGTTCAAGAGTAGCCCAAGCATTCTCTATGATGCTTTGGTCGGGGCTGTTTGGTGGCCAGTCCATTACAGAGATGTTTTGGTCGGCGAGCCACTTTTTTCCGAGTCCTATGTATATAGGATACTCGGTTATTATGCTGTCCTGAGCAACTCGTGGGAAAAAATCTATTTGGGGTATCAATCCATCACGGCATTTGCCGACTTGGCTACCTGAAGAAACCGTGAGAATATTTCTATTCGTTGACGGCATCTGCCGGACCGACCTCGCTGCTTACGCTGATGTCTTCTGATCCCTGTGATCCCTATGTTTCCTGCTTTTTCTTTTGTCTCTTGTCATCCAACAACTGATATCGATCCAGAGAAGTATGTTGCTATTTTCCCTATGTCTCCACTACTAACAGATCTTCCAAGTTCCAAGGTGACAAGCGTTAGCGTCATGGACATTGACGCGGAAGGCAGTCAATGGAATCTGTGCGGAATTCCCATACGAGTCCTGGCGCTCATATGCACTATGTCGGAGCCATCGTCTTGCTCTCCAGCCTTCAGGTCAGCTTGGCTTTCTTCTCATCTCGGATTGCTCGCCTGTTCGAACTCCGCTAGCCTTCCCTGTTTCCCTTTCTCCCTTGCGAAACTGTCCTATGGACCTACTCTTCCCTCCACGGGTTCTCTTGGTGAAAAATATGTCCTCTGTGGCCTTGATCTACCCAACAAATACACAGCCAATTTTCGATTCAATTGTGTGCTGAAACGACAGATCATGTTCCGGTGAACAAGGGGGTATGTGTGGATGAGGATGACCGCGTGCACTGATAGACAGGCAAAAAGAGACATTTCCGCTGAATGACCTGCAAGCCTCAGCACGATCCGTTTCTCTGGTGCCATACCCTGACGCGATGGCCGACGTTCAGGACATAAAATGTGCATGGCTGGGATTAACTTCCGGCATCTGAGGCACTTGTACCAGCAAGGACTACGGCGTGTAGCAGGATCTGGCTAAGGGGAGGCTCCCATACTTAAGAGGATTGGTGTACTCTCCGAATCACGCCTATTCTTACGACGGGAGGGAACTGAAGCCGTTTCTGACTGCGTTTGACATGTCATAGCTTTTGGGCTTTGCCGAATTCGCGGATCGATGGAACATTCGTTCAAGCAAACAAGATTGCCCTCACAACAGCTCCCAACGATATGTGAACACCCCCCAACCAGGGAGATATATTGCGGACCAATTTTATCAACGAACTTTCTAACAACCGATCCTCCTTCCAATGTCGCCTAAATCTGATGTAGCCTCGTTCGATATCCTCTGAAATCAACAGCGTCGACTTCGCTCTCAACTTGGTGTTTACTTTTGTACGTCTATCCTTCATTTCATATTTCTCTTGTATTGAACGGTTATGCAAAGTCTGTATCATGTACGTCTATGCCCTCTGTTGGGTCAGCCATCGGATTCACGAACGCATCGCCGGATGATGCCATAAGATAGAAGTTAACGGAATTGCTGTAGTGTATCATCTCACTGCAATAGCGTATTATAACCACTGTCACTTCACCGTTCAATTCATTAACATTGATGGGAATTTATAGTTCCACGACGGCGAGATCCACACGAGAATTGACATATGCAAGTCCCATAATCGCCTTATTTATTGACCGATGTGAAGGAAAGACATTTGCTATACTACCTGACATAGCTCTTAGGTTGTTCGAACTGTTGTGTCAGGCTTGTGATCAAGGCTAAATTAAATAAGAAAAAAACACATAGGACTCGGACCTGCCACGCAGATGCGCTGGCCCTCACCAACTAGTCGTAAGCCAAGCTGTGTGCTTGGGGTCATTATCCTGCTGAAAAAGGACATCGTCGACTGAGAGTTCATAGTCCTGGAGGGTGCTGAGAAGTCCTTCATTAAGTATCTGGCAGTACTGGACAGCATTCATAGTGCCTTCCACCAAAATCAGCTGTCCGAAGCCCAAACTCGTCATGCATCCCCAGACCATCACCCCCCCACCTCCATGCTTCAACCGGGGCAACACGTTATGCACATCTAGTGCCTCACCAGGACCCCTACAACACCACTGCACTCCATCCGACCCAAAGAAGTTGAATTTGGACTCATCTGAGTAGAGCACAGTACCCCATTTTTCTGCTCCCCATTCTGCATGTGCCTCTGCCCACACCCTTCGCTTTCTAACATGAGCCTTCGTGAGCATTGGTACCTTCCACCTCTTGTAACCCTTCAGGCCCTCATCTGAAAGCCTGCGCTGCACAGTGCGCTCCGAAAGATGGTCGAAATACCCCCGTTGAACGTCGACCGCTGTCCGGCAGTCGTGACTACGGATTTTTCGCATGGCAAATTTAATATCTGCATCATCCATCTTGCGCGGGCGGCCTCGCCCTTTGATGCGAGCATAGTAGTTCTCCTTCCCTTCATATTTGTGGCCAGTTTTGCAGACGGTAGAGCGCAAACATCCAATGACATTGCTGATTTCAGTGCAGGTGTGGCCTTCATTGAGGAGAGTGCAAATATGGGCTGCTTTTGTAGGGGTAATAGGCACATTTGGTTTGCGAGGAGGAGGTGAATACATGATAGGAATTTCAGTGCAATCGGCCCAGGTGGTGGTTCAGATTCAAGTTGGTTCCGACGTTGATGTGATGCCATTACATCATCAAAATTGGCATGTGGTTTCGCAGCCCTCTTACTTTGCTCACTGACTGGTATTTTTGCCTCATTCTTTTCATAATATTAAACTACAGATATCAAGCTACATTACACTCACTGGAAGTCCAAAAAAATATCGCAGCGTTGAGGAGCTATTGCGACTCCGATCAAAAAAACCATGTGTTTCTTTATTTTTGTCGGTCAGTGTAGGTCCATCTCTTTGATGTTACCTCAAGATTCATGCTCGTAAAAAATCGTAAGTCTCGTCTCTAAATTCTATTTTTCTGCCATGTGCAGGTGGTGCTTTACAGATACTTTGAAACGAAACACTACACTCTGGAAACGAGAAGTTTCTCCGTTCTGTGTCAGAGAGGCATCGCATGGCTGTGAATGATTGCATAACAATTATGCCCTCCCTCCTTCTCTACGGGAAGCAAGGCAATGATGATGCCATCTCGTCATCCTATATAAGCTCATGGGAATTCCGACGGTAACTCACGCCCCCTCATCACAGTCCCACCCACAGTATGCTGAGGCTGATCTCTTTCTTGCTCTTCTTCGCCTACGTGCAAGCCTTGGACTGGACTGCGACGCCCTTCAATCCGCCGTCTGTTCCTCTTGCTGTGAGAACACCGTACCTCTCGGCCTGGCTTCCTCAAGGATCTGGTGCCGCTCTCAACGATGTTTGGCCAACGTTCTGGACGGGTTCTGTACGAAGTCCGAAACACCACTTTTCGTAGCCTAACGACAAGTCTCTAGATCCTTGGCTGGGCCGGCTTTGTCAAAGTTGATGGAACCGCGTATAGTTTCCTTGGAAGTGCCAACGTTCCGGGCGCGACCTTTCAAAAAGCTACTCAAACGAGATTCAGTGTAAGTGAATGCGACGTAACTCAGTGCATCTTGTAATGCTTGTGCCTCATAATAGTTCACATCTACCCAAAGCATTTTTGTCCTGTCGGCCGGATCCGTGGAACTTACTGTATCGTTCTTAAGCCCGGTGGATGTAAGCATGTTTTTCCATAAAAAACGACACACCCCATGTTTAACTTATCTGGAAGGCGACAGATCTTGTAAAACAATCGATCCCATTCGCATACATGACTGTTTCTGCCTCTTCGACGGATGGAGCTGAACACTCTGTTCAGGTGTATACTGATATAAGCGCTGAATGGGTTTCAGGAGACACGTCGCTCACAGCTAACTGGACTACTTCTACTGGGAGCGTCATCACTCACCAGGTTCAGCTGACAGATCCATCAGTATTCTCAGAGGTCAGCGATCATACACAGTGTAAGTTAGCACTATGTCCTATGTTTTTTCTGCACGGCTGATCACGACTTCGGTCTAGATGGATCAGCTTTTTACTCCACCATCAGCGTGTGTTTTCGTACCGTTACTATCCTGGTTGACAGCATCTGATGTTATTGGGCAGACTGATCATACGACATATCAAACGGGAACTGATGTCACAGTTCGTGCACAGTTCATCAGCAATGGTGTTCTGCCCAACACCCAGGACACAAATTTCCGTGCAGTCAGCAACAATTGGCCTGTTTTTGCCCTGGCTAGCGACCTTGGTTCTGTTTCCAGTTCAACGGATCCACTGGTCTTCGCCGTCGGCCATATTCGTGATCCTGCGATTAGTTATATTGTCGCAAATAACGTGTATCAGGACAGAAACCTGTATTTCTGGAGCCAGTATTCAGACTCTGCTAGCCTAGTGTGTATTTTCCGCAATTTTTGTTGAATGATCCTGATGCCCGGTCTCTCAGATCGAAACGTTCCTTCAAGGCTACCAAGAGGCCCTTTCTCAAGCAGGCGATTTTGATTCCCAGGTTGAAAGTGATGCTTCTGAAATCTCGGAAGACTACGCAGGAATCGTTGCATTGTCTATCCGACAGGCTATGGGCTCAATGGAAGTAACCATTTCCAAGAACGCGGATGGATCATGGAATACGGACGATGTTTTAGTCTTCATGAAGGGTGAGTGTTTGTACAACGATAGTTTACTTTCTACTCAAGTCTTTCCGTAGAAATCTCCAGTGACGGAGTAAGTTGATTAGTGTGTTAAGTTATATGATCCCGTTCTAAAATGATTACTATCGTCGCAGAACGTCAACACAGTCGATGTCATATTCCCAGCGTGGCCCGTATGGCTATACGCAAACCCGGCTCTTGGAAAGCACTTGTTGGAAGTGCTGTTCCGTTACCAGGCCACGGGTCAATATCCCAATGCTTGGAGTGTTCATGACATCGGTAAGGGAGATTTTTGGTTTCATACCTTTGTATCTTCAATGTTTCCCTCAGGTTCGTCTTATCCAAAAGCATACGGGCATAATGATGGCCGAGACGAAGCTATGCCTGTGGAAGGTGAAACTCATCTTGTTTTCAAAGTTAGCTTTGGATACTCACCTCAAAAATAGAGAGTGGAAACATGCTCATCATGTCTCTGAGCTACGCACAACGAACGGGGGATAATTCCCATCTCACTACATACGTATGTGTCTTTTCTTCGTATGGTGTACATACCATTCAAAGCATGTTGGCAGTCTGATCTACTCGATCAATGGACCCAATTCTTGATCACGGACTCACTCATTCCCGCCAATCAGATCAGCACCGACGACTTTGCAGGATCTCTCGCGAATCAAACCAACTTGGCTATCAAAGGTATCATTGGAATTAGGGCTATGGCTGAAATCGCGTCCATATTGGGTGACACAGCTAAAAGCGACAACTACACTGTATAGCACTCCCCATTACCCATTGTGTTCTCTGACCATTGTCGTTGATTTCTAGTCAATTGCGGAAAGCTACGTAACACAATGGCAAACACTGGCGGCTTCTGACAACGGTGAACACTTGACTTTATCTGTAAGTTTCAACGGGTCCGAATAATTCATGATGATGGTGCTAACTTCTCAATACATTAGTACGGCAATTCTTCAAGGTGACTAAGGACACTTCATTTTCGCTTGACAAACGTTAATGAGTCTGATTGCGATAGCTGGGGCTTGTCATATAACCTGTACGCCGACAGACTACTCGGATTGAACCTGTTCCCGACATCGGTATATGAAACGCGTGTGTACTCTCTCTCTTTCTCCTCACAGATAGCGTAAAATCCTATTTCTAGAAACCGCCTGGTACAAAACCGTGACAGGTAAGATCATCGTCTCATTGACAAGCAATTACATATCCATGTACCAACTTGAACAGAACCTTTCGGAGTGCCACTAGACACAAGGTTTTTTCGTTCCATTCTCAGTCGAATGAGCGCTGACAGTCCCTGCAGGCATACCTACACCAAGTCAGGTTCGTAGCAATTTCATAGATGGAATCGAGATAATAATCTGTGGTCAGATTGGGAGATCTGGACGAGCGCTTTTATGACAAACAATGAAACACGCGACATATTTATCTCGGCGGTAAAGAGCTGGGCGTCGGACGGACGAAGTTCTCAGCCGCTCGGAGACTGGTATGAAACACTCAACGGTAACCCTGAAGGGTTCAGAGCAAGACCTGTCGTTGGGGGACATCGTAAGTTATCAATAAGCTCGGCCTATTTTTGATGTACTGATTGTGGAGCTACAGTTGCCTTCGCAAGTATCTTTTTACAACGATTGTCCGTAGCAACGCTTACTTGGTTATTAGCTGGTGCTTTAAAGCCTCGCGATGGCTCATATACCATGTTTGACGTAACATTCAAACATTCAAACTAGTGGAAAATAAGGATACGCGGATACAGAGCGTATGGTGATACCAATTACTACTCAGATGAAGAATAAATACGTCGGCGACGACGCTTGACACCACCAACGGAGGTACTTTGACTATTCGTGGCAGATGCGGATGCATCACCGCCGTTTACAGCTGGACTCTGACTAGCAGTGGGTGAACTACTAGCCGCTGCCGGAGTCTGGTTAGCTATAGGGGGATCCCCAGGAGAACTGTCCATGGTAGAATCACCTCCGACATCGGGATCCTGCTCTACTAAACCATCATTGACATTTGTCTCCCCGTCCGTCTCGCTGGTGATATCGCCGCCGGTCCCTTTAGAAGCACCTCCGGATGTTTGAGAACTTGAGGAAGACGATTTCGATGAAATCCCCATCCCTTTTCTCGCTGCATTCATCAGCGCCGAGTCCTTCGTATCTCCGTTCATGTCCCACATGTTCGTTCCAAGCATACCCGATTTTTTGACAAATTGGCCTTTGAGCATGATTGACTGAGGGTCGTCATATGAGACAACTTGGCCAGCGGTTTCCGAGCGCAAGAATGGAGTACTAGAACATTTGTCCCAGAGCCGTGTGAATCCTTTAGCTCCTTTGTAGTCGGATGTCAGGGCACCCTGCTTAATGATGCTTTTGAACATAATCATGTTCTTGCCGCCTTGATCAGGCGTGAGGCCTGCGCCACCACCAGTGCCAGCCTTGTCCGAGTCGCCCGTACCACTATTACCTTTGTCAACGGTGTCGTCAGGGCCCTCGTCGCTGCTAGCGGTATTATCAGCGCCTCCATCAGTGGGATCCGTAGCATTGTCACCCCCATCTGTCGTAGGCGGTGTATCTTGACTAGCGACACCCTCTCCACCACCATCAGTAGAGACAGACGGCGCAGCAGAATAAGCGGTGGTGCTAGTAGCACCAGAATCAGGTGCTGCTGCGCCCGTAGAACTCGGAATACTTGTGGGCACGCCCGCAGAAGCACTAGTGCCTGTACCGGCAGCACCGGGTGTTTCTTGCCTTTTATCCGGACGGTCATTACGAATCACCAGCTCTTTCGCCGTGGACTTTGAGATGTATCCATACGACGCGATCCCGAGGACGATTTGGTTAGCTGGGAAGCCCGCTGACGTCCAGGCCTTGAGACCGCCTTTTGCATTAGCGTCAGGCCGTTTGGCACTAGGGCAACTACCCAAAGGTGCATTGGGACCTGGTGTTGAAGATGCTGAAGCATGTATTAGTGATTCCTTTTACTCAGAGTCAAAGATAGATCCCTCACACAACGAAACATCATAGTTCATAATTGTAACCCAATCCAGAACCTTGGCAAATTTAGACACATCTTTCATGGGTTGTCCATCGTCACCAACGAAGGTGGTAGGCTGGACAGCAGCACTGATTTTTGCACCGGATGGTAATGATTTACGAAGGAGTTGCAAGAATGCGAGAAAGTTGGCAGAATCATCTTTTTGGAAGGCGGAGGACTCTCCCGCTTGTCCGGGATACTCCCAATCGATGTCAATGCCATCAAGGTCGTATTTCTTGTACAACGAAAGTATGCTTTTGGCTAGCGAGCGCCTACCTTGTCCAGAAGAGACGATCTTGGAAAAATCCCTACCAATCCCATAAACGAAGGGAGTCACGAAATCAGAACGAGACACTTACTTGCTACCAGTCCATCCACCAACACTAAGTTTAACCTTTGTATTGGCTACGTGCGCAGCCTTGACCAGATCACCCAAAAGCTTCGTCTCTGAGGATTCGTCTTCGAAGCCGACACTACCGCTCGAACTAGGAATAGCAAAGGCGAAATCAATCCAATCAAACAATTTGAAGTCGAGCTGTTCGGGGGTAACACCAGCCCAGTCGGGAAAATAACCCATTGCAAGGGGACCTTGAGTTGAGCCGGTGTGTCCGGTGCTGGACTCTTCTCCACTAGTACCATCGCCGTTAGCTGTATTAGAATCGCTGGCCGGTAGCTCATTACTCGCGGGTTCATCATCACCGACGGTTGAATCGTCACCTGCACCTGTGTCGTCGTTGCCATCGATCTCATCGCCACCAGAGGCGGAAGGATCTTGAGAATTGCCACTAGCAACTCCTGATGCTTCAGGCTCGGCGCCCGTGGCGCTTGGAGCACCAGCAGCAGAGGTGCTGGTAGGGATACTATTGAAAGTGCTATCTCCCACAGCGGTAAGAACGCCAGAAGTAGCACCAGCACCGGTGCTGGAAGGAGTGGTAGCCGCAGCAGGGTCGTTAGCTTCAGGGACTTGTCTTTTTGCTACTGTTAAAGAAAACGGTCAGAAAATACCAGCGGGACGAATATTAACGTACCTTTGGACATCATTGCTCCAGAACCAGGGAATGATCTAGGAAGCGCAACGCCGGTGTCAGCATGCTCGTAGACATCTGCAGACGTCGGGTCCGATGGAAGAGGGGCTGTCCACACACGGACGAGACCGAAAGCAAGCAGAAGGAAAGAAATTCGAAGGGGAATTCGTGTTCGGGTCATTATCATTAAGTCTTTCGTAGGGGATAGTGCCACCAGGGCGAAAAGATAGCAAGGAGCACCACCAGGGTGAATGAAAACAACACCACCAGGGCAAAAGAACGGAACCACCACCTGGGTGCTGAGCTGGTTTTGAGAAAAGGGTCGATTTCGAATGGAATAGCCATCGGTCTTATATAGTCATGAAGGTAACGATTATCATAGCCGCTATGCCCGCTAGCATCACGTGGACGTGACATAGCCCGTTGTGGACCGCGACTGTCGATGGGCGGGTCGGATGCCGTTCCGGATCGCAGAACGACGGAACATTGTTGAATTATAGCACTCAAGACCGCACCTCAGTTCGGAAAGGAAGAAGAAACGGAACGAGAGGTATGATTGTTGTTAGAGTGCCTGTTTGTTGACCATCACGTCGATCCCGATGGTCAAATTGACTTTGGCGACGGTGGAGAGGTTCGGGATCTGTGATATGCATGTGTTTGGATAACCCTGCAGCTGATTGTTACAGTGCGTAGCAATGAGGATATTGGGCGCGTCTGATGGTGCCAAAACGCGACGGGCCATGGCAGGAAGCAAAGCGTCGAGCTGCCAAACAAACGTAAATGCCTAACGGCCCGGCGCTTCCTGAGTCAAGTCCACCGGGCCGCTAATTGCACTTGTGCTTATCCTTCCAGAGTTTCCACATACTTAGCTGACAAGATGCATGGTGAACTATAATATAGTTCGATCCAGAGCATACCATTAAACCGACTTATTTCTTGTATCTTAGCGAGCGCCAAGATTCAACGTTGCAGCCTAGCAGTTTACTTCCTTGCTTCCGATCCTTACTGCAAGCTTTCTTTAGCTATCGAACGACCAACATTTCCCAACTATAACAGACATATCCGACTATTTTAAACACTCTTTGACACACGGCCCAAGTCAGGAATTACAGTCATATCGATTACACTGACGCCAATGCAATCTCCGTGTGAAATATTCCCACTATGATGGCGCGAACGGCCGCTGGTCATAGCCCCATCCTTCTCACCATCAGCATCTTTCAGATCCGCTTACTGGGCCGCTTCTCCAACGTCAGTTGACTCTGACCAGTAACTTTTTAAGGCACCCGGAGCATACCCGCCATTGTGTCTGTTATCACTAGCATTGTTCCCCAAACGAGGTTGGTAACCTTTTGTTATGGAGCACGCTTGACGTTCGGTACTGACCCTAGCTTCTGTATGGCAGATGGGCCTAAGCATGGGCCGTGTTCGTCAGTAACCCAAATAATAAGAAGAGATGCATTGATATCACCCTCTGTCCCAAGTAAGTAACTTGAGGCAGTGGATCGGTTGTAATAGTTTACAGGGGGTCTCGCCGCGAAGTCGACGCGTCGATTTTCTTTCATCACCTTCGCGAGACCCATCGAAAATTTTGAATTTCCATACTACCCATCTTACACCCGCTCTACCACTAAGTTACTGTCGTCTTCTTCACAGTCGAGACCAAGGGGAAAAAAGGCCGGACGTGTTGGTTCATCCGCCTTATCCAACCGAGAATGGATCCGATAACTCAGCGTGTACGATAAATTCCCAGTCTATTTCGACCGCTCTCCACTGTACGCGTGCTGTCTTTAGCGCGCGCCGATTGCGCGTTCGAAAATCCAAGCGCACCAATCAGGATTGGCAGCGTCATGGTTTTTTCTCGTGAAGTTACCCTAGGTACGCGCGCCAATCTGCCAATGATATATCAGCTTGGAATATTCTACAAATCTTCAGCGGAACTTGTACTAATAATTGATACAACTCCTATTCAATGAGAACAAAAGCTCCTCCTCCTATGTACAGGGCTCCATGAATTGAAGACCTCGGATCTTTCAGTTACCTGGCTCCAGATGATTGACGTATACATGACGAATCATGTTGGGCCGGAAGAAGGGATGTGGAACCGGTGCTGATGTACATTCTTTCTTTCAAGGCGGCTGCGGGATTGGAGTGAGATTCGGATGGCTCAAAGTGGTGTTGGGCCGAGAAAGTTTGTATGCAGGCAGTGTATTGCAAAGTATAGCAAGTAGAATACAGAATAAGTGAGTACAAGGAGCGATGTGTGCGGTAGCTAGCAAGACAACAAGCAAGAATAGGCATGGAATAAACTAAAAAGTGACGTTGAGAAACGAGAATGTAAAGTATATTATGCAAAGTAGAATACAAAGGAGCGATTAGAGTAACAGGGTGGTAGAACGAATGTCAATGGGAGTTACACGGCACACGCTGAGCGTGGCGGTATATGCGCGTTTCGCGACTTGAAAAACTTGAAACAAGTCATGCCGACTGTTGAGGGAGCCGGAACATGGCGTTTCTGGGGAACGACTCTTGGTGGAGGTGTCGTTGCTATTGGAGAGATAGCATCAAGGTCAGGGAGATAAATGGGAGTGACGATGGGTGATGGTGGTGCACGGATAACGGGCTTTTTGTCCGTAGGGTTGAGTGCAAACGCCGGAATTGGCGGTACTGGTGGTGGTGCACTGGCCAACGTAGGGCTCGCTGGAGGCGAACGGTACGGGATGGCAAAGGAGAGCGAGCGACGATGAGTGGGCCGGAAGCTGGGTGAGCGTGGCGGCGGGGACGGGGCAGGGAGCGAGCGGGGGGTAGTCGGCTCACGGACCGGTTTGAGTGAGCTCTTTGAAGGTGTTTTTGATAGCGCCGAGCGTGCCTTTTGGCTCAAGCTGTCGCAGGAACGGGCTGTGAGGCGCTCTGCCTGAATAGGGCGGAGATGGCGACGGGGAGGCGGGCCGAGAGGCGTGTAGGCTATGTCAGGCGACGGCAAGCGAGGCGGGGGAGTGTTAGGGCGGTATGAGGGAGGCATTGGATACTGGGGAAGGAGGCGGCGGTTGCTTTACTGTTGGCATTGGGTTCTGCTTTTCTTTTTATACAGCTGGTTTCGTCCAAAAGCTCCGTTACGTATCCGACGATAAATGAAACAAGATATTCCAAATCGGGTACTGCCTTCGCCGGATCGCCCAATTCAGGCCGTTCTATATCGGGATGGGAGATCTCGACATTTCATTTACACGACATCCTCGAATCACTACTGACCATTGCATGACCTGTCTTGCCTTACTCTAGCATGCCCTTGCCTATTTCTTCAAATTAAACGTCACTCCCGTCATTCTATTACCTTCCCTATACTTGTTCAAATCCTCACCATCAACCTAGCTTCCCACAAGTCACAGCCTCGTGCACAAATAGGCGCCTCTATCTCTGCGATCTTCTATTGTTCGGGTCACTACTACCAAGACCTGCAGGGCCAGTCGTGTCATCCGCTGACTTCGGGATAATCGTTGCGACGGACACTCCCCCCGCCATGTCGTGCCTTTTTTGACTGTAGGCCCGCCTCCCCGGGCCAGTTTCCCTCTCTCAAGTCCATCTTCTCCCCCCCTTCTTTTCTTGATCTCTCAGCGTCTGTCCTCGTCTCCCACGCCTATCTCGGGATTCTTCTGCTAAAAACTCCACGTTTTTCCTGCGCAGATCGCACCTTGCCTCGAGGCAGTCTTCCTTTGGCAGCTCCTTCAATTTCTCGTAAGCCCTAATTTGACGCGCTCATCAGCGCCCGTCGCACCCAATTCCTTTTTCCTCCCAAATCTCATCAAATTCACTCGGCAGTTAATTTTTTTCCCTGCCATTCCTTGGCTCGTATAATGTCATCCCGACAATTCACGGACGGCCACACTTTGCAACATACAGGCACCCGTTCACTTTCTACGTCCCTTTCGGACCCTTTCTCCGCAGGATCCTCAGAAGGACGTCGTTGCGCTGACGACCTTCTCTCGTATTGTATTCTGCAAGTGTCCCGACGTCGGCCTTTTGCTTCGCGCCATAGTAACTGCTACTCTCATTCAATACAGCCCACCTATTTTTTTTACACCTGCTCTTCCTCATTGTCTCTGCTGTCTTCTTCGTCTTTCTCCCTGTGTGGGTCGTGGCCTGTAGATCTTCATTCTTAATAGCTTGCCGTCGATTAGCCTCGCAATTACGACTCCATCGGGTCTTCTTTTTTTTTCTTTTTTTCACTACCGCAGCTCTGGCATGAATATTTGTCAACAATCCGTTTTTCAAACTCTCGGATGCACCATCTACAACTGCGCCGCCTTGTGGCTCCCGGTCGCTGTTTTCTCTTACGGCAAAAAAGCTTAGTTTACAAGCACCTGTCAGATTTCGCTAGTGGAAAAGCTCCCTTGATGATACATCTTGCGGTACCGGAAACCTCGCATTCCTACGCAATAGTCATCACCCGGTGTTCTAGACAAGAAATCCTGATGATGATGATGTATCAAAATCCCGGTGATCATCCATATATCCAGCGTAAATCTCTATTCCATGCATACCACAGAGAATGAGAATTTTTTTTCTGACACCATTCTTTGCCTGATGCAGCGCCTCCGATCCCAGGCTACGCGTTACCATAGACGCTGTGTGATGAGGCCAACAGCCCAATTAATCGCGTTCGTACAAGTAAGTACTAGCGTAGGATCTCAGTGAACTTCTTTCATTGCGGGCTTATCGGGGCGAGTTTTCGTTCCTGTGTCGTCCAATCCAACGTCTTCTCTCGCACTCTATTCCATCCCAGGCCAATCACATTCACCCTTTACCATCCCCATTTGATATTCCTCGCGATCGGTGGATTCGCGACGCCGACGTCAGCCAATCCGTCGCAGGAGCTCAATTCGGAATACGGCCCGGGACTTCGTCGTCGGGATGTCGGCCCAAACTCGGGGCTCGGGGCTCAGGTCAGGTTCAGGAGGTGGCACGCGGCGTATTGGGGGATCGTAGTTGCCGGAGGGCTTATTTTATCGTAGGGGGAGGATTTTTTGAGTCTGGACAGTTGCAGGGGTTGTGGCGCTGTTCTTTCTTTCTTTATCTCGAGGAGAAACGTACACGCCATTACTTACTGGCAGAAGGCTGGTTGAATGGCCCAGACCGTGGCGGGTGGCGCACCTAGGTAGGTGCAGCGGCTTAGGGTGAAGGCGGGGGCGAATGGTCTAGGCCCGCGCCCAGGCGGGTGGCGGGGGAAGAGGTTTAAACACGGGCAGATCGATAAAGAAGGGACTCTGAAGGTTCTAGGCAAACTGCTCGAGGACTACAGGTAAATCTTTGTGGAGGCGGGGTATTTGTATTCCTGGAACTCAGCATATGGACTTCGGAGTAACTTGAGTCGCTGAAGTTTTTAGAAATGCCAAAAAGTTGCCCGGAACCCGTGAAACGACTGAACCAAGGGATACTTCCGCGATAATTTACTCGTGTACATCAAAAAGACCGCTGAAACAAGCCAGTAGTACTGATTGTGGAACAATAAATCAACGGGTGTAGCAAGTAACCTCTGGCTACTATTTTTGTTGATGTCCACGGTATATATACGCTTACGTCCAACAATTCAATGCATCCCGAGAGGTAGGCATGCCTAATGATTTCAATTGTGGATCCAAGACAATCTAACGGCCCGTAACCAAGTCGCCAAACATATAGTAGTTTCCCGTCCGAGACCGATTCTCCGCGGTGAAATAGCGCTGACCTTACTCATACGCTCGGACGGGGGTCAGGCTAACATTGTGCCCTCTTTTCGCTTCCGACTCACCAGCTGAGGTCCACATTCAAATGCGCTTATGCTCCCGCGAACGTATGATAGGGTTCCTTGACAGGCTTGAGTACTCTTCCCCCCGTTCGTTTAGTGGATGTTTCAGAGCCCGCTCGTGGAAAGCCGACGAAGATATAATTAAGTGATGCGCGGCTTTATTCTATGTCCTCTATCGACCTTGGATACATCGACAGCGTAGAAGGTTCCCAGATATAGTTCTGGGCGACGACCGTAATCAGTGGATTTTTCTAATATACAGACACAAGAAGCCAAGGAATGGTAAAGTTCACATTCAGCGGCGAGGCTAAGACCCGAACAACAAGTCTAGAAGGCGGAATTGTATTAGGTGCTGTTAACAAGCGAAGATATTTGGATATGCGCATGGTCTTCTTTGAAGTAATGAATGCTTGCAAAAGGCGCTGTTTTCAGTTTTGGCTGGCAGTGTTACAGGTAGAACAGCCACAGGTGCAGTCGAGGAAGAAGTGAAGTAGACGCCGTTGGATACCCAGTCAAGAGTTATCAATGTCCCCGCAGACGACAAGTCCAGCACAAAGATTTTTTCGCTCAGGACCGCATACAGAAGCACGCCAGAGGCGATGATTTTATGAGTATCAGCTGCAGTAGTTCCTGGTCAGCACACTAGAAGCTTGAAACTGTTGTAAGAAGCAACAAGATAAGAAGCACTGACATTCAACTTGTCGATAACCAGGTACAGAGGGTCGGCGGAGTCAATGCGCAACCCATCCGACATCTTGACATGAAGTACCCTTTTTTCTGATTACTCGAAGGGGATTACAAGCGTTCCAGCTTGTCGACGGTATTTATATCGTTTCCTTCGTAGATGCGCGAACGCTGGAGACGACAAGTTGGGATGAAGAAATTTCGGTGTTGTGCCGCGGCAGGCCGGCACGTTCAACGCCCGCCATTAGGGGAAGTCGAAGGTCCCGGCGGCCAGCTGCACCTACTCGATCCGCATGGACCTACCATCTCCTCGCGAGCTCGAGCTCGAAACCGCTCTTCGAGAACGGAACGTGCAAGTCGCCCAACTCTCTGTGAGTATCGAGCTTCACGTCGCTGCGCACGAATAACCTCGTGTTCGTCGATCTAGGATGAAATAACCCGTTTGCGAGCTTATGTTTCCTCGTCTTCGTCATCTGCCGCGACGACGGAGCACACGGATGCGACCACAGCGACTATACCGCCTCAGCTGATGGCGCTGCTGCTGCCCCACATCCAACCAGAGGCGGGGTCGGGATCCAGCAGTGTAACCTCCGCTCTGACCCAGAGAGTCAAGGGCCTTCAGGAGGAGAATGACGAGCTGTATGATATCCTCAAACAAGGCGAGACGGGCCGTCTCAAAGAGGAGGTGCACAGTCTCAGACGGGTGGTACGAAAACTCGAAGATGCACTCGGTGGTACGTTGCTGTGGCTCGCAGTCTACTCCACTCACGATGCGCATAGAATCACACAAAGTCGTCCTCTCGCTCTCGTATGTCTTTTATGTCTGTCATTAGGATTCGAGCCTGATCCTTAGTACTGTAGCACAGAACTAGATAAAACCTACGACGCCCTCAAGCCCCAGCACCACTCGCCACGGAATTCCGCTAATGCGAATAATGCTTACCACCGTAATGGGACGGCGTCGCCAACACAATCGAAACAGCCTCCGACAGGTCCGCGCGCACACACGCACAAGAAGCCGCGTGTATCAGAGCCCAGGCGGCGCGAGGAGAGCCGTGGACGGAGCGGTCATCATCGCAGTGGCAGCAAGATGGACGTTGACGATGACCGGCGGGATAGGGACGACCGCGACGGCAACAGGTCAAGAAAGAGCGTGCATGTCAACCAGCCGACAGGGGGAAGCTCGGGAGGCCATGGTCATGGTCATCACAGAGGCGGTAGTAGCAGCAGACGCACCGGCTCTAGCGATCGGACGTTGGCAGAGCGTATGGGGGTTCCCACTCGCTTTTGATCATTCGTTTCGTTTCTGTTCTTTTCTTTTCTTTCTTCTATGGATGGACACTCGTACATATATAATCCGGTATGAAATCTCTCAACTCATCCCTTTTTGTAGCCCTAGCTGACGTCTTCTGTAGTATGAATTTGTGTGTATTCCTAGGTCCCGCTGTCGTCGTCTTGCTATTTGCGTATCACTACCCTATTTACGTCCAGGAATGTTAATTTATCGTGTTCGACTACTTTCGCGCCTTGCTTCCCTTCTTGGCATCGCTACTTACCTCTTGGTTACTGTCTTACTTATATGTTTCGACCTACATCTGGGATGTGACGCGACTGATAACGTTCGCAAAGGCAGGATTTGTCCGTGCCAGCTTATGTCGCCGGTACTTATTGCGTTTATGATCCGAAACCATATCATGACACTTGCGGACATCCATCTGCCCACGTTCCAGCGTCGTACTACAGGGCAGTATGGGCAAAAGTAGAAACTCCGAGGACAGTCGGGAAATGCTTCGCTGTAAGTCCTTCAAAGTATTATGAATTTCTCTATTGAACGTCATCTACGATCAAGGCCGTGGCATATGCCTGTCGTGTGACGGTACGACGCGTCCTTTCCATCGAACTGACTCCAAAATGACTAACCTCGGTGCCGTCTCAGCTTCATCTGTACCCTCTTACCGCCGCTCTATGCAACCGTTGTCCTTTGCGCGAGCAAAATTTTACGAAAGACCTCTTCTTCTTCCACCTTATCCTCTGCCGTGATTTTTTACTGTTCCCGTTTTGTAGACCTCGTCTCCAGGAGCCAGCAGGCAACTTCGGGTTTTAGTGGCGTCACCCTTGACGCGCCGTTAGCGTGTGCCTAACCAGAATATAATACATGACTGGTTATTTCCGGCACCGATTGGACTGGAGTTACTGCATTCCTGCTAGTGCGGTTGCAGGCCGCTAATTGCGGAGTCTCTAAATCGCGTTAATCTACCGAGACATCAGGTAATCTATCCTGCGATGGCACCTCGTAAGTACGCACATGTTCGACATTTGAAAACGCATAGTTTTTCACCCGGGGTTGCAAAAGCGATATACGCATATACGGTTAGCAATGTTCAGCGATAATCATCTCACCTCCTAAGCTTACTCCTGCTTATATAGGTTCTATGTCATCTGAGATAGACTTACAACTCCCCTTCAAGACGATCTGTTACTACGTATACATCCAAGTCTACAAAACCAGAGTGCCTCGGCGGACTTGAATTAAGATTTCTGAGATTTCGACGATCGCCACAAGAAAACACAGATCCCTCCGTTTTTCCTGTCCTACGACGATGACACCCGAATAAATATGGTGGGACTCCTACTTGACATCGTGCATTAGAAGGCAATAGGATACTTAGCGCAGTGATTTGACACGGCAACAATTATTGAATTGACGGATGTAAAGTCTAAAACCAAACTGCGATTTGCACGCTCTCGAGTTTTCAACACTCTCGTTATAATCATAATAATTGTCCTATTGATTGAACTACATAGATGTTCGTATCAGTCAATACACGTCTTGGGGTGGCGCTGAAGCGCTGATGCATTGATGCGCTGAGGTTTGGCACGCCACACACGTGAAGTAGTAAGATCGAGTCATCTCAGTTACAATCTGATTCAGTCATACCATGTCGTTGTGGCCGATGTTCAACGTTCAACCATAAGCTTTTCGTGCCAACAGTAGGCGCGCTTAGTATTATAGGGTTCTGTAGTGGAGAAGGCAAGTAGTAGCTGTGGATCATTCGTGCTGATTATCATTCTGATCATCAAATTTTCTCCCTAGTTTGGTTCAGGCGAGTGACGCCAGTTGAGCTAGAACAACACAGGAAGGAACTTACGAACTTGATGTGTATGTGGTACACTTCCGTTACTGGCACCCACTTTCTTCTGATGTCCGATTTAATCGACCTTCGGAACAGTTGACATCAAAAAAGAGCTCGGTGAGGCCTCAAATCATCTTCAGATTGCTTCTTGCTCAATTGGAAATACAGGATATCTTGAGGCTCGCCGAGAGGTAATAGAAAAAAGCTAGATAACTTGGAGGAGACTTTGGTCTGCCCCTAGTTATTTGAACAAAGGGCTACTCTGACGTATAGTAGGACGAAGTCAAGAAGAATCATGCCAAGGTAATGGCTGAAGCTGAGGCTATCCGCCGAGATAAGTATTGGAGATCCAAAAACTAAAATGAACTGTTGAACAAGTAAAAATGCCGAAACACATTCTGTCAAAAGAACAACCAGTGGATCGCTCTAGAGCTTAAGAATATGATGATCAGATCGTCGTTCCGTCATAGCAGATAGTGACCCGGTTGTCAATGTTAAGATCGCTGAGGTGATACATCCGCAGTACTTGTCTATTGTGCTACTCGTGAAACCCAGAGTCACCATCACGATGTGGATGGACAACACGTATGTATTATCGTGTTACAGCTGCGACATATGGCAGGAGGATAGCTATGAGTGTACCGGAAAAAGGAGGAACTCAGAAATGTGTGAGAAGAGGTACTGATTATACCAGTCCAGTGTATTGGGGACGGAGGAGAGGGCCGGGAAGAACACGTGTTGCTTTGATGGGATAACAACCGCAAACATGGGAAGGGCCTTTTAAGTGCGAACTTTTTTTTTTGCTCCCTCAGAAGTCGACCATTGCGTTCTCGATCTACTACGAAGCAACCGACATGTTACTATGGTGAGTTACTTTTCTCTTTCACACGGGCTATGATTACAATCATATTCACACTGGATGAACGCATGGAGCATAAGACTGTTCCTTGCTTCATGATTATTTTTACAACGGTAACTGAGCCTTCTATCACCCCATCTTTGCTGTCCTATCGTATTCTGTTCTGTTGCTCATGATGCATCTTTCCCCAGGTAAAGGTCTGATTGGTTTCGAAGCTGCACGGCATGTGGATGGATGAATACAGCTTTAATGTACACTAAGAAAAGTAGCCAATACAGTTTTACATGTACCGAAATACTACCCTATGCATTCCCATAATCTCCATCAAAAGCGTCGGAGGGGATTTGGCCTTGCAACTGGGTCAGAGCTCCCGGCAAGAGGTAAATGAAGGGACCCGATTTTGCTGGGGGCGGCGTCGACTGGTATGCGACGGGCAAGGTACACCGAGGGCAGAGGAATGCGATATTGCCGTTCATGACCGCCTTGTCTAATGAAAAAAAGTGAACAGCAAGCATGCGTTGACCTTCGGAGTACATACCTTTCAATTAGAAGTGGGTCGCCAAGATTTGCATTTAGCTTGAAAACCCGAGCCTTGGCATCGTCACTGTCCTGAGAGCGAACGACGATGGCGCCGTCAGTCTTACGCTTGGGAAGAGCTGTTAGGGATTTGTCGATGACAAGCTACAAGAAAACGGTGAGAACATAAATATTAATAGCAGGTAATTTAAGCGTAACATACGATGAACTCGCCGCAGATGCAATCTATCATACAAAGAATCAATCACTGCATCGCCTGAGGGAAATATATTCAGTCATCAACGCACAGTAGACGCGTAGGCTAGCCGCGGATGAGGCTGTTGGCTGTGCTACAAGGCGGTATATATGTTATTTCCGGATTTCACACTAAGCAAGAAACATAATACCATCTGTTGAAGATGAAACAGCAGAACGCGAAACAACCTTCGGCATATTGGAAAAAAGAGGAAGAAGAGTGATCTTGACGGTGGGAGCAGCCAAGTCGTAGTGCCGCCCGAGGATGGAAAAGTCCGAAATCGGGAACACGAATAATCTGTAATTGATTTGAAATACAAGGCACCAAAGACCTCCCCGTGATTATTCCGGCTGGGGATCGTTCGGCACAGCTTTCGTGGTCGTCACTTTCAAATTAGGTCACCCACTCTTTTAATTGTGCTCGTCAGCTGCGAATCCGGTTCTCTTCTTCACCACTTCCCATGGCTGAAAAGGATGCCGCCGCCCGTTTGCGCCGTGCAGTAAAGGGTATGTTCTCTTACTACCGCTCGTATGTACACTCACCTTTGTCTTTCTATAGAGAACAACCTTTTTCTGGTGAAAAGACTCATTGAACGGACCGACATGCGCAACATCGACCCAGGACCACGTCGGTATACGTCGCTGGCCTGGGCAGCAGTGCTGGGCCATGAGGAAACCTTTGAATTTCTACTGTCCGAGGGTCACGATGATTACGAGTTCAGTCGAGTGCGTGGCTTACGTTGCGAGCAATGTTTACCTACTGATACATACTCCAGGACTCGGAAAACAATACGATTCTCATGTTGCTGGCAGGACCAAAAGCCCCCTTCCGCCACGTCGTACCATTCCATGCCAAGCGGTGACACCCTCCAGGCCACTTTACGGATGGCACGACTCTACTATGATCGCTACCCCCAAGTCCTGGACTGGTCAAATAGCCAAGGCAAGACGGCACTTCATATAGCTGCTCTGAGAGGAAATGAGGAACTCGTTAGGGTGCATAGGTCGCTGCTTCTGCTGTGTCTCAGCTTACCTTTTGTATCTAGATGTTATGCGATCTCAATGCCGATGTTGACCTGCCGGATAACAAGGGAAATGCACCACTGCATTCGTACGCCATTCAATCCTTTTCCAAATGATTTTATATTAATATCCCGTTTAGGGCTAGTGCATGGGGCCATATTCCTGTTAGTCCTCGATTCCCGTCTCCGTCTTTGTTATCATTCAAGTAGACTTCCAGGTCGTGCAACTATTGATAGAAAGAGGGTGCTCATACACCGTTCGCAACAATGACGGGTTCACCGCGTCTGACTATGCATACTCGTAAGTTGATGCTCGTCACATCTTGGCGGTAAACTTATTGTCTCTTTACAGATACAGTACTCTGGAGACACTCCAAGACACCGTCAGACTCCAGTTTGAAAATAACAAAAAGTCGCGACGTGCTATATTTGCGCAGAACAGGAACGAGTGGGGTGGAGCTGGGCCTTCGATCTCGAACTCTTCCCAAAATATCCGCTCAGCCACATCGAGAATGCGCAGTGGATCTGGGACCAGCAGGACGACGGTCACGTCGGACAGCGGAGAGTTGGAAAGCAACGGGTTAACTCCGGCTCCACTTAGCCAATCGTCGTTGTCCGCTTCTTCGTCGCCCTCACAACCGTCTGGCGGCTCAAGTACGCCCTACCACACCCCGCAGCACACCAATGGCACCATGTCAGCCCTATCACCGTTCGCCACACGAGTACGGGAACGGGATGCCGACGCAATGGAGAAATACATGAAAAGAAATCGGAGTGGAAGCCAAGGAACATCCTCAACAGATAACAGATCACAGAACGGATCTTCATCAGCAGGTGCTGCATGTCCCTCGTTACACGAGGATGATGTTTCCACCAATCTCCCTCCAAGTGGGTCTACAACACCAAGACGATTGCGACCGTCCATGTCTGCGTCTCAATTACTATCCAAACCTCCATCCCTATCAAACTCCACACAGCCGGAGAACCGAATACGGGCTGGCACCAATCCTACATCTTCCCGTCCCTCGATATTTCCCCGGCCATTGCTTTCGCGATCATCGTCGATATCCAACTCTACCCGTCCCCTAGCCTCGGTCAGCGATAACCTCTTTGAGGAGCCTGAGAATTATACCGGGCCTCCGAGCCAATACGCTCAGTTTCCGGAGCCACCCCTTCCTCCTGAAGATAACAGCACTCCAATAGCTGGACGGAGAATGGGTTTCCACCCTTTAGTCAAGCCTCTGTATGGTATTGACTCGCTTACGAGTCACAGGAGAGGCCTGTCCACATCCTCTTTTCGCTCATAGACGGCATTGGTGCTGACAAGCGATGTATATTGACCACCCTGTACTACCAGATATGTATGATTTATTATTGTCATTCCCTCTTGCTCTACCTTGCTGTGTTGTTTTTCATCGCCAAATGGACTCCTTCTTGCAATACGTGGCCTATGTATTGTTACAATATTCTGTATGAACTCTACCATCCTTCTTCTGGGCCCTCTTAAGCTTATTTGCTTATTATCTGTACATAGACAATCTAGCATCACTACTATAATGAGACACATACACCTCCATTCAATGTAAAGCAATACTCGTGACCTCGAAGAATGCGTTCTCGAAGAAAAACAATGTCGGGTTAAGGGGGGACAAGAAGCCCACCAAGTGCAGTATTTTTTCAGTCAATGGACTTGGCATCGTGTATGCCAATCTCTTCTGCTGCAGAATGGCGCCATTCGGTGCTTGGACGTCGCGAATCGACGAGGAAGGGTGCATGTGAGCGTGAAGCACCGCCGGATATGGCAAGAATATGACCAATGGGTCTTACGTGGCTTATGTGGAAATGGTGCGAATGATGCAAGGTGACCTCGGAACGTTTGTACTGAAAGGCATGCAAGCCAGCTCAAAGGTTGCTCCGGACCATCCTTGACATCTCCTACATTTCTCCAGTTCTCTTCAATGCATCATGCCATGGCTGACGCTGAGGACCCGACAACACAGATGGCCTGGCCCTCCCGGCGTCACAACGACCCTTCGCCGGATCCAGCGAGGGATGACCCCAGGATCCAGCGTGAGGAGGCAGAATTGACCAAGCGGGTGGAGATAGCAACGACAGCGAGGAAACGGCTCTCCACATGGGACCTCATGACGCTCAGTGTCGCCATGCTGGGTGCCCAAATTGCCTGGACCGTCGAGCTTGGGTATGTGTCGGTGCAACGTGGTAACCGCAGGACTGACAGATATCGTATCGTAGATATGGAACACCGTTTTTGCTAGGATTGGGCATCTCTGAGCAGTTGACGTCGCTTGTCTGGCTGGCAGGACCCATCAGCGGCCTCATCGCCCAACCAGTCATTGGTATTTGCTGCCGGCCCAAGCTCCATCCACATTATTAATCATATATTCCGTTCTAGGCGCTATCTCAGACTCGTCGACGTCCAAGTATCGTCGGCGCTTTTGGATTATATCGTCGACGGTCGTCCTGGTCGTGACTACACTGGTCCTCGCCTACTGTGAAGCCATCGCTGCGTTCTTTGTCGATCTTTTTGGAGTCGGTGCCGGAGATTGGGATGAGCAGCGCAATATACAGGTATGCATACATCTCTTCAGCTTGTCTAAGGTCCGTTGACATCCAGCGACACTAGGTCAAGAACGTGGCCATCGGTTTCGCAGTAACATCGTTCTATCTATTAGACTTTGCCCTCAACGCGCTTCAAGCATCTCTGCGGAACCTTCTCTTGGATGTCGCGCCCGCCTCCCAACTCAATGCCGGCAATGCCTGGCACGGTCGTATGACTCATGCCGGCAACATTGTTGGATTCGGATTTGGATTCTTCCCTTTAGCCAAGCTGCCCTTCCTGCAGATATTCGGGGGCAGCCAGTTCCGCAAGTTCTGCATATTGTGTAATATTATTCTCGTCATCACTGTTTTCATTACATGCTATTGTCACGAAGAGCAAGAACGTGCTGCCAATAACAAACCATCCAGGTCAGTCAAAGGCTACTGAAGACGTTTCCTCGCTCATGCTCTGCTAGCAAATTCCGTGAAATAGTCGACAACATATATACGGCAATCATCAAGCTCCCTAAAGCTGTACGGCGCGTGTGTTATGTCCAGCTCTTTGCATTCATGGGATGGTTCCCATTCCTCTTTTATTCGTACGTTTACTATTTCGTCAGGATCTGCTTCAAATCTTAGTTTTTTTTACAGTACCACATACATCGGGCAGATCATGGCTCATGAGATTGGCAAAGAACCTGACCGTGACGTTGCGGCACGGCGCGGCGAGTTAGCAATGCTTCTGTATAGCATTGGTGCGTTCGCTGGTTTGCCTCAGTGACGATAGAATCGCTCATCGCCATTCAGTGTCTGTCACTGCAGGCACCGTTCTTCCCAACTTGGCTAGCAGAGATCGCAGACTGATGGCGCACAAAGAGGATGTTGACGAAGATGCTGAACTTACCCGCATTCGAAATACAGTTTATGAATGGCGAGCAGAAGCCGCACGGAAAGGCAGACCTCTACGTCTACCTGTAATGCCCTTCTTACTCCGGAACATCTGGACGGGCGCAATGTTATGGTTCAGTCTTCTGACATTTTCAACATTTTTTGTTACGGATGTTATACAGGTGATTCGCGCACTCTTCCGGTCAATCACCGACTTCATCTTCTGTACAGGCATCCATATTCGTCGCCCTCGTAGGTGTATCTTGGGCCGTGGCAATGTGGGCACCGTTCGCCATCATAATGGAGGTAGGCAATTCTTGTAAACTTGCCGTGGTCACTAAAACAACATCTCCTTCAGTTGTTGAAAGACATGGCTTCGCCGCCAGCTCCCATCAGGTCACATACTCGCACTCTATCAACACCTCCGCGAAGGACCGTCTCCGAGCGCCAGCCTTTACTTCGCACTCGCTCACTGGATGAATATGAAACGGATGAGGATGAAGTTCCGTCTGAAACTCAAGTTGCGGGAGGGACAATTCTAGGTATTCACAACTTGGCTATCGTGATGCCGCAATTTGTGGTATGTCCGAGGTGATCCACCTTAAACGACGAGCAGAATTTTATGGTCCTCTTAGATCTCATTGGTCTCGAGCTTCATATTTCGAGTTGTGGACAAGGGTGCTGATAACGACACCGTCTTTTACGGAAAGAACGGGGTAGCTTGGGTGCTTCGTTTTGGGGGACTGTGTACATTAGCTGGGTTTGTCTCTCCGGTTATTTGGCCTTACGTGTACGCTGATTGTGGCTACTTCCCAGCGCGATGATTGCTCGGATGGTGCCTCCGACGCCTACGGAGAAGGCCATGAGGCGGAGACTCGGTGAGATGAAGTTGCTTCAATCGACTACAGCTGCGTAAATCTTTAAGCTACGGAAATCTATAAACTGGTGTAGACTCAGTTCCTTTGGATAAATGCTTTTACCTGTTATGTACGCACTACTACTGTTAACATATCTCGTCGAACGATGTAGTGTATGCAATACTAATAAGGAGTCTTGCTTTAACTGTTAGTGCTCTATTTAATAAGATGATGCGTGATCTTTTATAAACTTCGTGGATTCTCGGACATGACGCGCTTGGATTGTAAAATCGTATTGGTTACTTACTAGCTTTGTGGGGCCCCGCCTTGGAATTCAGGTTTCCATTATTGAATAAATTAGAAGTACTGATCAATTTGCTATACAGTTGAGCGATCGCCTAATGTGGCGTGACCTTCTTGACTTGTCTATGCGGTAAGTAAACAAAGTACGAAATCGCAATCATCTCTTCGTCTAGATGATAGGAATCGACATGGGATGCTCGTCACTGGGGGCAACCCTATTGACCCAAAAAGGCCCTGCAGCAATGAATCCGCTGATGGCAAGAACTATTAAATTGTGGTAATGCGAGGAACATGAGCACTTACCGGGAGTGTCCCGTGAATGGACATAGAACAAGCGTATTGAGAGAATACGGGACCAACAGAAGGCCAAGGAAGACTCGTTTTTCAGTGCCTCGGCCACGGCTTCATTCGCTGATATTTTTACTTCTGTATGAGTGAAATGACAGAAATGAGGCGCAACGAACCTCTTCCGCGGACACCGATCACGACACAGGACGAATGGCTGTCTTTGAACCGAGAGATTTCCCAGTAAACCGAGTCACCTGTGGTAAAGTTCACGCCACCTACGGAGGTAAATTAACGCCTGAATTCAAAGAAGTCACGACGTAGAGATACCAGTAATGAACTTCGGTGTTTGATTCTCGTAAACCATTTCATCATCATACTCATCGCGCACCAAGCATCGACCGGTGTGAAATAGGACCTGCTTCTCCACGAGGGCATCTTTCGGGATAGACTTGATCGCCGCGTATATCGTAGGACTTTCGGAGCCTATGCGCTGTGATGGCGTGAATTACGGTAGTAGAGTGATAGAATCAACTCACTTTTTCGTACAGTTCATGAGCAATTGCAACCAAATCAAGGTAGTTGGCGTCAGCTAGCCAAAAGATGGTTGCTTGGCAATGTCCCACCCAGTTAGAATTTTCTTTGAGAGCAGTAACGATACGATCAGCATGTTGCATGGAAAGCAGAGTCTCCAGGGCTAAAGAAGGCGGGGAAGGCATGGATAGACTTGAGGGAATGAGTCCAATCTGCCCTGATATGAACACCCTTTCATCAGACTAAGATAGTACATTAACGAAAAATGCAGACCGACCAAGAAGACACGTACAATGATAGCCTGGGAATATGGACCTATATTTGCGGGTGCCCAATAGCTAAGACTTTGGACATGTAAAGCTTGTCGGTCTACTAAAGACTTGTCCGCGAAGGCAATACAGTCTATCTTGACGCGTCTGGGATGAGGAAGGTCTACAGCGACGCATGCTCTAGCCGGCGGGCTGGTGCCGAAAAATGTCGCGTACACCCCATTAATTCGAGCAAAAAGGTCGATGGATGAAACGAAAATGTTAATATTTGTACACTGATGTAATTGCAAAGAATGTCGTGCAAGTTGGTCTACGATCACACAAAGTTAGAATCGGGTAGTACGAAATGTATGTGAGGACTACTACCTCGAAGCAGGTTGAAACATTCTGTAACCTCTTCCTCGATAGTCGTATTGTCCTGATTCTGGCTTTGTACATTGCTCACGGTTATCCAAGGACCCTTTCGCGTGGACAAAATGCCAAGTTCGCAATGTGCCTTGTAAACTATTGGTTCACCAGAGGATATCAAACGTGACGATGATAATTCTTTGGACGTGATAGTGTGCAAGATGTCGTCGTAGACAGGGCTTATCAATAGTGGAGGTACCAGTACATCCAGCATTGTCGGATCCTTTGGCAGGAGGATAGCATTTTTTACTCTTAGATACGCGACGGTTGCAAAATCATTGTCCGAATGTATGACAACTTCAGTTTCCAATCTACGAAAGGCACATCAGCAGATGAAAACATAAGGGAAGAAATACTAACAGCGAGATGCGGCTCTTGAAAAGGGGGCAGTCCAATGTCAAACTCTCATATTCGCCCCCCTCACCGCATATGTGAGATCCGTATTTTTCGTTCTGGGGATGTGTAAGAAAGGTTTGAAGGCGAAATCAAACATCGGTACTGACAAGCTTGAATAGTAGAGGCTTCATCTCGCTCAGCGATTTCCCTAGGTGTTCCTTGGCAAGTCCAATACCAGCAACCTTAATCAGAACGGCATTCATCTTCGCGTTAATCATCTCCGATAAAAGTTCGTCTTGGGGTCTTTGCCATAGATAACAGAGCGCGATAAGAGACAGGCGACGGCATCTACAGGCAAATTAGTGCATACATCCGTGCAAACATGAAAGAGACATACACATGTTCTACCCTTACCCTCTGATAATTAGATAGAATTGCGCCTACCGATACGCCTCTTATATCGGGATGATGGGACTGATACGGTGGTAAGTATATATACGAATCAACGGCTCGATAACGCACCTTGACGGAAGCCAGTAACTCGTACAGATCCTCGGTTTCATCGCCGTCCACACCACCTCTCGAACTGCGGCCGCCATACTCAGCTCCCTGTTCCACGGCACTTCCGCGGATAACCCTGCGGTACAACGGTACGTCCAGAGCGCGTGCAACGAGCTCAATGGCATCCTGCCCCACTGTCTGGTACAGATATGAGTCGAGTTCCTCTATAGATGAGGAGTGAGTCGAAAGGCGTATTGGGGTGGTAAAGGAGGACCTTTTCCGGGCTTAGGACCAAGAGATGCGGCTGCGACCAGTTCATGGCCATTTTTTGCACAGTGTAGCAGATTGAAACAGCTGTCCTTGCCGCCGCTGAGTAGGGCGACGTACTTCATAATGACAGTTTTTCGCGAAGGGTGCCTAATCCGGACCGTAAGTCCTGCTGCCGTACCGCAATCAACTGCAATCCATGCTAGGCACTGGTCATTCTTTTCCTTCCCTCTTTCGTTCTGTATCCTTATCTTATCGTTATTTTCGTTTTCGTTCACGTTTAATGTCGACCCGCTCCTACAAGGAGGCTATCGAATGCCTCAATTCTCTGCAATCCAATGCTGTCGTATTGGAAGCAGTGCGTGCATCTGGAGGCCGTTCGAGTGCTTTTGCCATCCCCGAAATGCTCGAGTATCTGGAACGCATCGGATATAGCGTACGTGCTCGCGAGCGACGCTCGATGTCCTGCTTTTAAATGATTCTGGCGACAGCCGGACGATCTCAATGCCCTCAATGTGATTCATATCACTGGAACAAAAGGAAAAGGTTCTACCAGCGCTTTTACTAGCAGTATTCTCCAGGATGCAAAGCCGGGATGGAAAATTGGTGAGTACCTCTTTGCTATGTCGATCCACATTACTGAACAGTATCAGGCCTCTATACATCCCCCCACCTGGTCGCTGTACGTGAGCGTATTCGCGTCAACGGAGAGCCTATATCTGAGGAGCAATTTGCAAAATACTTCTTCGAAATATGGGAGAAGTTGGAGAAGAATAATACGGTGCTTCATCATATCTACCACTTCAGAGTATGCAATCTGACCTTATCGCAGAGGCAATACGAGAGCACTCCAGCAAAACCAGGATACTTCCGATATCTAACTTTGCTTGCTTTCCATGCTTTTTTGGACATGAAAGTAGATGCGACAGTTCTCGAAGTTGGTGTAGGAGGTACTTACGACAGTACAAATATCGTTCCTAAGCCCGTGGTCACTGGGATTACAGCACTCGGCATTGACCATGTCACAGTACTTGGAAAAACCCTGAAGGAAATCGCATGGCAAAAGGGAGGCATTTTCAAGGAAGGCGTCCCCGCTTTCACTATGGAGCAGCCCCAAGAAGGCATGGAGGTATTGCGCGAACGCGCCAAAGAGCTCAAGGCCTCCAGCTTTACTATTACCTCTTTGCTTCCGGGTCTGCGTGACGCCAAACTAGGTCTCGCGGGTGTTCATCAAATACAGAACGCCAATCTTGCGGTTTACCTAGCACAAACATTCCTGCAGACTGACGTGACGTTGAACGACTACGTCACGGAGAGTCTCGAGAAGACGAATTGGCCAGGAAGGTGCCAAACAGTATCCGATCCCTCAGCACACAATTTGACCTGGTTCTTGGATGGGGCACATACCCTTGAGAGTCTTGATTGTTGTATGCAGTGGCACGTCAGTCCAGGTGTCGGTCTGCCAGAGAAGTCCTCCAGGTCTCTGTCCATTCCTACGTCTCCTTTGGTACTGTCCTGACGATGATTTTAGCGCACGACCAAAACGTATACTTGTGTTTAATTGCACAAGCGGCCGATCCGGTTCTTCTTTCCTGTCGGCCATGTACGCAAAACTATCGGTGCAACTTCAGCTTCATCGAAGTCCGGAGACTCCCGAGCGGTACTTTGACCAAGTCATTTTCTGTACCAACGTGACCTACGCGGACGGGTGCTTCAAAGGAGGTAAGTATGATGCACAATTTATACGACGGGTTGTCTCAAAGATGGCGTTTAGATTTAACTGCCGTCTCGATACCAGAGGCTGACTTAGCTGAGCTAAAGACTCAGCACCAACTTGCAGCTGCTTGGCATGACATAGTGCCTTCGTATCCCCAGGAATCCATCCACGTACTGCCCTCTGTCGAGCACGCAGTGGACCTAGTGCGGAATGTTACCTCACAGTCCACTAACAGCGTAAGCGTTCTGGTCGCCGGTAGTCTGCACCTGGTGGGCGGCGTGATAGAGGTCGCAAATCTTGCCAAGTTTGCACTGTAGATTGATATTACCATCGCACATATTGGTCCACCTTCAACAGGTTAATTTAGATATAATGATTAAGTACTATACATTGTAGAATCACGGGAACTCAACGTTTTCCGCGTCTGCCTCGAGGGGTTGCACTATTATAGAAGTGGATAGCCTACCACGATCATTTTAAGTCATTGTCATTGAGTCGTTTGACGGATAATCTTACCTGATCGTCGAGGAAACGTCGTAGTTTCAAGGTAAAGACGCCATTCGCTGGTCTGTCGTCTTCGGCGCCCGCGAGTCTCTCAAAAACGCAGAATTCAATTGGCTGGCATCCCAACGTTAGTTGGCTCTTGAAAAGCTGAAACTGCTCATCATGGTTGCACTTGCCTCATATCGCAAGATACGTTGATAGAGTTCCGTATCACTCATTATGTTCTCTTTGAGCTCTTTTTCCCAGCTGGCATTAAAATCATCCTCTTTCCAGCGCTTCTTAACTTCTTTGCCCTTGCCTTTGCCTCGATCTTTTGCGGAAGATTTCTTCTCTAACGTTGTCGATGTCACTTTCTTATTTCTTCCTTTAGCGGATAGAACAGGTGTTGACTGCGTTGTTGATGGGCTAGAATTTTCGATGCGATTATCTAGATCGGGGTAGAAATGTAGACATGCGTCGCTGAGATCAGAATGGTAGCCTTCTTCTAGAGGCAACTCGTCATCTAGTGGAAGAAGACGATTAGCTGTATCTAAGGGAGACTTGGGAGATGGTGCGTTTGAGCTGGACGGAGTGAGTGAAAGTGACGGTGCCTGTGTGTTATCAGCCCTGCTTTGGGGCATTCAATGGAGAATACGCACAATAGGGGAATGACTTGAGCGAGATGATGAGGAAGAAGATGATCCCGAAGACATTATCGGTAGTGATCCGAGTTTGGAAGGAGCAAATGGTTGTGTAGCGGGAAATGCCTCGTCAATTGATGGTGACGGTGGGGTGGGAGTGGCAGGCTCTACACCAAACTTGGATGGTCCAAAAGCTTGTGTGGCCGGATACGGCTCTGCATCACTGCCCGGGTGCAATGGGTCATGCTGCATAGGTAAATCATCAGAGGCCATACGCTCCGCAAAGGCGCTACGGCCGAAGTGCTGCGTGGCCATGATTTCACGGTCATTCTCCTCGGACAACAAAAGATGAACCTTGGATGAGGCACTCTGCCCGATGATAGCCTCCGCTTTCTGAAGGATAGCGTCGCGAGTATCGACAAGGGTTTTCACGGTACCCGGAACATCAACACGTTTAGTACGCTTCCTGGGTCCTGCATCATGAACAATGTCATGGAAATATGTTTCTGGTACGGAAGGGTCTTGTCCCTTCGCTTTACCTTTACCCTTGGTAGGGACATCTTCTAGATCTGTGCTCTCCAGTGCCTGACGGATACGTTCACGGACGGCAGAGTCGGTGAAATGGTTTTTCTTAGCACATGATTGAACATGCTTCATCTTTTGGGCCGCACTCTTCCTGGTGGTCCAAGATATGTTACAGCAAACACATTTCAAAAGACTTCCGAGCTGCGCGTCGGTAAAGTCCCCAGCAAATCGATCCGCACGAAGCGACTTCTTGGTGGCTGCGGGTTTTAAGATTGGTTCCACACTGTCGGCGCGTGAGGTAACGGTTGATGATGACGCCTTTCGCATCGGCGGCGCTGTGAAAGCAAACCGAGCCAAATTTAAACCCGGTTCATCACCATCTTCATTCGCGAGAGAGTCGTTGAATATCGCCGAATCATTCAGAATAGGGAGTGTATATTTCTTCTTGAGCAATGGTGGCTTGAAGGGGGACGCGCGGACTGGTGCCACTTCAGAGACCTCTTTGGCAGAGTTTCTACTGTTCTGAGCGAGCGAGGTGTAAACAAGCACAGAATGAGATGAAACGGCTGATACGCTGTCGTCTGCGAAGCGATGGGTATTCTGGTCAGTAGGAGAAATGTTGGTTTTGCTCACCAGATATTTCAATGACGCTACCAATCGATGCAGATGCAGGAGGTACATCGCTCTGGTCATCATCGGACAGTTCAATGACAGATGCCACCGTCTGAACATGCAGTTCTTTGGCCTCTTTTCTCTTCTTCCGCTCCAGCCTCCTTTTCTGTCTGAGGGCCTCCCTCTCCGGCTCCGAATCCTCCACGACATCCTCATCTACCAATGGCGGCATTGCTAGTTTTGAAAGTCGAACAAGCCTATGGAATACTTGCGGACGTGAGTGGAGACGTACTGGAGCAGTGCCGTACCTGCTGAGGGAGGACAAAAGAGTTTGAAATCTTACATAAGATACCTTAAGCGCGACGCGTTATTTGTGCGTATTTACCGAGCTCCTCTTTCGATTTCTACACTGTCTTGTCTTGCATCCTTCACCAGATCCATTGTCCCAATTACCGGAATCTTTTGAAAAACCGTATCTTCTCTCCAAGTAGCCTTGAAAAGCAATAGAACTTTCCCCATCATCAGCTCGATACTCAAACCATGGATACCGCGCCCAACAGGCCTGTGGCGTCCGCGGTAACTGTGCCAGAAGTTTCCCCAGCAGAGCTATATGAGGTCCTAGTCGGTGCGACATCCCAAGATCCGACGTTATTGCGGGAATCAGATAAGCGCTTAAAGCAGATGATGGGCTTTTACGGTGCTTTCGATGCCTTACATGATATCGCTTCCCAGAAAACGCTCCCGCTCCCAGTTCGAAAGCAAGCCATAATACAATTCAAGAACGAAGCTCTCAAGTCATGGAGGTCTCGAAAGTTAGCAGCAAAGCTAATTAACCTTTACGTGCACTCATTATATTTTAGGGTCCAAAATGACCAGCATCGCCAAAGAATTCGCAATCGTTGCTTAACATTCTTAGATGAAGAGGACGAAACAGTATGGCGTGGTCACTCTGTCTCTGCTATTGCCTTACTCATAACCAATAGATCGCAAAGTTCAACAATGTTATTGCCTCCAAGTTGGCACGATTAGACTATCCCGTGTCCTGGTATGTATCAAGGTACCACTAGCATTTCCACGCTGACTGTTCCTAGGCCAAACCTTGTGATAGAACTCATGGCGATTATAGATTCAAGTCTTCAGCGTCGCTATAGTTCTCCATCAGAGGATTTGAAGGACACTCTAATGCTGCAAAGGAGCCTTCACCTTCTAAACCTCATATTGGGAGAGTTCGCAGCACACAAAATGCTAACTGGTGTTAGGACAATGTCAGAGGTGAGCCCATGCATATTGTCAATGGCGCATTCCATTCAAACGAGTATAGCTTGTCGATCAACTACATGTCACCCTCTACGGCTACTATTCGTCTATATCTGCCAATTTCACTGCTCTCAACTTAGAAACTATCAACTCGCCTCGATCGTATAATGATATCTTAATTGGGCATCGGGTATACAAGTGCATCAGTAAGATTGCTGGTTGGCTGTGGCAAAGAAGTGATCACACGGGCAAAGAACAGTTCAGAAAAAAGGAAGCATGGGTAAATCAGCTATGTATTCTCATGAACACTTTCATAACAATATTTCTATAGTTCCATCAATTCTTCCAGAGCTCCGCCGCTCAATTGCAAGTTTTGTTGGATCTGCGATACAAGATTGTCACCTCGGGTTCAGTGAATACTCATCAATCTTTCAAGTTCGTTGAAACGTTGACTACTCATATTCGCCACATTGGCAAATTCTTCCGTCGCCTCTCTCAGCTATCCCACGCACGTTTTGTCGAACTTCCGATGTGTAGCGACCTTATTATGTTCTATTGGTCATTGGTTGTTCAAGCAACAAGTGGCGAACCTGGCCTTATTGAAGGTGCGTATCCCAAAAATTCCGATGAAATTGACGTAAATGTGAAGCCTATAGATTCGCCCACTGCCGTGTATCCTGTTCGAATTCTTGTACAAGGCATGGTGCTCTTTAACGAGAACCTGGCGCAATGGGCTCCGAAGAAAAGAGATGGTTCCTCGAATAAAAACGGTATTCAGGATCTGGCATTCGTATTTCTTTCCGTAGGCTGATCGGATATAATAGCTTTGCCAAAAGAGTTCGTTGAAAATGCGGTGACAATAATAGTCAGTCGCTTTTTGCCCCTCAATCTGAAGGACCTCGAAAGCTGGATGGCAGATCCTGAGGAGTGGGTCAACATTGACGAGAAAGAAAACGAACAATGGGAATTCGAGATACGAGTATGTTGGCGAACATCTTCTACATTGTGTTGGCTGAGTAGTCCACACAGCCTTGTAGTGAAAGAATTTTGATGCACTTGTCCAACCAGTTTGCGGACTACGTGATGCCATTGCTTGAAACAGCATTCAAGCAGGTTGTTGCAAGTGAGTCAATCTGACGCAAGTCACAAACTTGTACGACTGACCTTTCCTTTAGGCCAAACCAGCAGCGATATGCAGGTCATAGTGCAGAAGGAAGCTCTCTATTGTGCAATCGGTCGCTGCGCTTTGAAGCTGAAAGCGTACATTCCTTTTGAACAATGGGCCGCAGAGAGTTTGGTGGTTGAAGCTCGTAGTTCCGATCCCAAGTCCGTTTTTATTTCATTATCTTCATCTTTAGTATTGACATCCCAAAAGTTTTGTTATCATCAAGAGGCGTATAGCCTGGATGATAGGGCAATGGGTGTCTCAGGCCTGCGTGTCGCCTAATGTTCCCGTTCTGTGGGACATTCTAGCGCACCTTTTAAGTGACCGGGGTTCCGGCACGGATGCGGTTGTGCGATTCACCGCCGCGACTGCAGTGAGGGAGTGTGTTGACGTGAGTCGGTAAACATCAGTCTCAGATATACATTGCTGATGATTTTCAGACCCTCGAATTCGACGTCAATATCTTCGCACCATATATCCCAACTACTATCACGGAACTCGTCAAATTGATGGGAGAGGCAGACACCCTTGCGGGAAAAACTCGTGTTGGAAATACACTCAATGTCGTAATCGACCAGGCAGGAAGCAGGGTACGTTTCATTCTCTAAGAGAGGCAGAGCATGAGCTTTATTATTGCTCTCAGATAACGCCCTTTGTAGCAACAATCACTGATCCCCTTCCCAAACTCTGTAAGTCCTTGCTTCATGAATGGCTCCCTATGCTTATGTTTATAATCCTTACAAGGGGATAGCGCGGGTACTGACTGGTCCCTCAAAGGATCTCTCCTTACTAGTGTCACGAATTTGATCAAAGTAAGTATGTTTTCTACAACTCTGCCTTACGATGCCCACTGGAAGTTTAGGCCTTGAAAGGAGACTCGACCTCTTTAGGACACATCGTCGTACCTTTGGTGCGAGAAAGTCTCAAAGAAGCTGTGAGTGCATATCTCCGCACATCGACCTTTTCACTGTTATCCTTGTAGATCAATCTCGATGAGGATGGGCTCGCCCTATGGAAGGCTGCATTGCACAATACGTTGACAGTGCAGAGCGTCAATGGAGCCCCGGCATTAATAGAATTGGTCCCTGACGCTATAAAATTACTGGCGACGAACTTGGATCTTCTTGGTAAAACTGTTGACATAATCGAGTCATATATGCTTCTAGAGGGAGCACAGATTCTTCAGGTTAGTCCGATGCCTGGTGACCATGCGGAATCCATTGAAGACAGCTTGTAGGTCTGTGCTGTTGACCTGTTCAAAGCTTTCCATCAGGGATTCGAAAATGTCAATATCACCGTCAATCGAAGGGACATGCTAACAGCGCTCAATTTGATCGTGCCAATAACGCCTTCTTCCTTGTGGGGCGAAGCTTTACATGTGTCCGGCCTGTTCGCCTATCTCATGAAAATACTCCTTGACGGAGAGGTAAAACGCTTCTTTAAGTCAGTTGACCGTACACTAAATCCGTCTTGTTAAGATCGTCACTTATATCTTGGCTGAGCATATATACGTCTTGTCGCGAATCGTCATGGCGGACCGTCAAATGTTCTTGCAGTTGATGACTGCGACCGCGCCGGTCCTTGGAATGACAGAAGCGAAGTTGTATGAACGGCTAATGGACGCGTGGTGGGACAAAGTATGTTCTTTAGCTGGTCAGCGAGATGTGTACTGATTCGATTAGTTTGATTCGATGTCGGAACCAAGACATCGTAAACTGTGCGCTATGGGGATTGCCGCCCTTGTCTCAACTGGAAAACACGAAGTTTTGGAAAGACTCCCAACCGAAATTTTCAACTTGTGGTCAGAAGTATTTCTAGACCTCAAAGAGTCTAAGGAGCAAGCGTATGACCTGTCTCCATCTCTCAGCGCGAGACGTTACCCAAAATCTTTTTTAATATAGGTCGGCTGAGCCGTTACATCGTTATTGGGAATTTGATGATACCTCGTCGGATAATTTTTACAAGGACACGACTGATACACCTGAACATGATCGGCGCAAACTGGTAAGCGTAGCTGTTGGTAGATCAATTCGGGGCTACTCTCTAATCATGCGTACAGGTCTATGAGGGAGATCCGGTTCGCACCATCAAACTTACTGAGTATGTTGGAGCTCATCTGAGAGAGGCTGAGGCGCTTTATGGTACAGAACTGTTCCGAGCCCAGTACATTTCCAAAGCGGACCCCATTATCCTGCAGGAGATAGAAAAGGCATTGGCAGAAGGCCTTTGAAGAATAATTTTCATCTCGTTAACCTCACCCATATATGACATAGTTCTCAACTTTGGTTTAATAATAATTCTAGATACAAAATCAGTAATCGTCGGAAAGTCCGGATTCACTGTAAGATCCAATTGAACCTGAGAGGTCTGTGGTGTCTATATCGAAGTCGCTACTAAAATCATAGTCACTTCCGCTAACCTCATCGACTTCCACAGCGAAGCGCTCAGCACTATGGACAACTTCTGTACACCTCAGACACTCCCAACCTTCGTCCTCTGCATCATCAGCCGTACGCATCATCCGTTCAGCTACACAGTGGTAGCAGTAGACATGCCCACACGACGTTATGTATGGCGTGTACAATGGGTATGCAGGAGGTTCGGTTTGTGACGCGACCTCAGAATTGGATTGTGATACTGCAAGTGCAGTAAACGCGTTTGCTGAATCGGCCATATTGAGATTGAATGAAGCATTTTCTGCACAGATCGCGCATTGATCCTCGGGCAATGAATGATACTTGCCAAGGGCTTGGGATATACGCGGTGCTGTGCTTGAAGGATCCGAACGTTTGCCAAATACCGATTGAAGTTTAGATGGTATTGATGCGATCGATGCCGTGATGCGATTGACTCGACGGCGTATTTTTCGAGCATTGATAAGAGGCAAAAGGAATAGTAGAAATTCCTATGAGCGATGGTAAGCCAAGCAGCCCTTGTAGAGTCACTGTACATACGGTGAATGCATGCCAAACCATCTGGCGATTCATGAATTCGTAACTGACGTCACGTCTGAGTAGAGCGCGAGACGGAACTAATCGCATGTTCACTAATCGGTCGGCGATGGTACGGAAGCTGATGAACCATGAGTTGGGGTTACTGGGACGGATGAAACACACACCGGCCATCCCAGAGGAATGCCACAAAGCTGGCGAGACTGAGTAGTGTGTATGATGATTCGAAGGAAGTCAACAGATCCCATGTTTTGCGGCGGAGGTCAGAAGTGGGTGCATCTGGCCAAGCACGAGAAAGTGCATGGGCACGAAATCGGGAATGTACATATGGTACAAGTACCGTGAGGGCGCCATGAATTATTAATATTCGTTTCGGTAGACCAGAGGCTGTAGAATCATTCAACAAGTTGAGAGGTGGATAAGAAAACAGGTGCGCACGAGCAAGAGAACGGTCGCGAGATGCTGAAGGTGCGACAGTGTAACGGAGATCCTGCAGCTTTGCGCCATAGCTGGCACCGGTATTCCAGATCGACAGCTTGTACAGCGCCAAGTGAATGAATAAAGTAAGCTCTTGTTCGAAACGTCCTTTAAGCGAGGTCTTTGGAATGTTTAGTGCAGGGTGAACAGGAACCAGGAAATAGATTCACGTTTGCCAGCACCAGAGCCTTGTTTAACGGCTCTTGAAGAAGGGAAATGAGCTCCTGGTCGAGGATCTCAGCATCGAGCTGCCCGACGCGTGATATAGGTACATTTTCCGGCGACGAGAAGTGCAGAGACTGGCGTAACGCATTCAAGCGAGGCTGGGCAGCATTCCAGGCGTTCTCCCAGGTGGAGGACGGTGACATGGACGATTTACCACGTGATACCCCGGACCGAGTCAAGTTGAATAGTCCAAATCGATCTTTGCTTTACCCGTCCACCATGGCTGAAGCTCTCCAGCAGCTCATTCTCGATACCCTCGATGCCCAGTCCTCTATAAAGGACTCCAGGACTCTTGTTCTGTCCGGCCAGAAGGAGCCTGCAACGTCCCATGAGGCTCAAATAACCATTCTCGGTGCTCTGAATTCACTGCTCAGTCGCGAGGTGCGTCCTTCAACTTCAATTGGTCGGAAGATACTTAGGGAATCCCCAGATGATCAAATACGAAACACGCGAGGTCTTCACTCATGTATTGACACCAGAAGGTGCTTCGATCGCAAAGGAGGGATCGCACGAAGCTCGCGTCTGGTCTGCCCTCCCCGTGAAGGGCCAGGGAACCCCAGTGACACCCCAACAGCTGAAGAAATTGGTTGGAGATGAGACAGCAAAAGTTGGGCAAGGCCGTGCCTTCAAGAATGGCTGGATTGGTAAAGAGGGTGATGGTTTTGTCAAGACGGTACTTCATTTCCTCAAAAAAAAGTGCTGAAAGTGAACTTCTGATCTGCCGCAGGCTAATACCATAAACGATACAACACAACTAGACTTGCAAGAAATAGAATCTACGGGAACACTGAAGACCGGAGAGAAAGTCTTGGCGGATCTGCGAAAGCGCAAGCTGATCGTACAAAAGTGAATCTTCCCTCCCTTTCCCCAGATGCTGCTGACATCAATCAGGAAGGGTCAGTGGTTCACCGTGAACAAGGGTCCTGAATTCAGCACTTCCACCGCGAAACCGGAAACAGATCTGACTACAGACATGCTAACATCGTAATTTATTTTTTTTCGTGGCTCGGTTGCTTCTTATGTCTTTTTCCTCAGTGGTGCATGGAAAACGGCAAAATTCAAGAAATACAATTTCGAGGCAGAAGGAATTCCGACATCCGGAGGTGCTTTACACATGCTACTCAAAGTCCGGGAGGAAATCCGTAATATTTTCCTGGAGATGGGGTACGTGCACTACCGTGCCTCTGGCATTCCAGTACTTCTTACTCTTTTTTATCAGTTTCACAGAAATGCCAACCCAATCATATGTAGAATCCGGTTTCTGGTGCTTCGATGCCTTGTTTGTCCCCCAGCAACATCCCGCCCGAGATTTACAGGACACCTTTTACATCTCCGACCCCCCACATTCACTACCTCCAGAACCTGAATATTACAAGCGAGTTTCCACCGTTCATGAACATGGCGCGTATGGTTCAACTGGTTATCGCGCTCCCTGGTCGCACGAAGAGTCATCCAAACTTCTTCTACGAACACATACGACGGCATCATCTGCCCACATGCTATACAAATTGGCAGCCAAGTGCAGGGGAGAGAAGGTCGATGGAGAAGATGGAGATTTCACTGGTACAAAATCCACTGCTGACAGTGGTGACGGCTTCAAGCCAGCCAAACTTTTCAGCATCGACCGGGTATTCCGAAACGAGACCATGGACGCAACCCATTTGGCTGAATTCCATCAAGTCGAAGGAGTTGTCGCTGATCGCAATGTTACCCTGTCGGACCTGATTGGTAAGTTCTTTGCCTAAACTCTGACTCTATTTCTTACGCCGCAATCGCGCAGGATTCATGCGAGTCTTCTTCAAGAAGATGGGCATCGAAAAAGTCAGGTTTAAGCCAGCGTATAATCCTTATACCGAGGTTTGTCCGAGTCTGTCTTCTGCCATAGGTTCCCGACCAACTAGCGCTTTACCCAGCCATCACTTGAAATTTTCGCATTTCATCCAATGTTGAACAAATGGGTTGAAGTCGGAAACAGTGGGATGTTCCGACCAGAAATGCTTGAACCCATGGGCTTCCCGAAGGATGTTCGGGTGCATGGATGGGGCCTTAGTCTTGAGCGACCCACAATGATTCGGCAAGTACCTTTGACATGAAAAATGATTATCACGCTAAATACTGATTTAGTTACGGTATTAACAACATCCGTACTCTTGTGGGACATAAGGTGCCTATTGAAAACGTAGAAAATTCGCCGGCCGTTCGTTTCTAGACGTCAAAGTAGATACTGAAGAAAAGGCGACGTGTACATTCGTTTTTGTAGAGAACATATGAATACGCAGGAGGAACAAGACAAACAGGCTGATGGGGCACAAAGCAACAAGGTAAAGAGAATGTGAGGTACTTTAAAATGAGAAAACAGCTGCGTTTTTCCGGGTGCCGAACATGTATACGAGCGCCTGGCTCATGAATAGCCCAACAGTAATACCGATAGTGACTGCAATCATCGCTCCTCCGATGTCGATTCCATTGCCATTAGCAGTAATACCTCCCGCTTGGGAAAGACCAGACTACATAGGCCGGAGTCAATGAAATTAGAAGACTACGTAAAAATTGGGCGCGTACCGGAACCAAGAATAACACTCCCGTCACCATAGACGTAAATGCGGTACCACCCATTTTGCGGGAGTAAATATTTCCCAGTAGACCGACAGTAAAGGCTCCGATAGCAGAGACGACGTCCGATCGATTGAAGATATAATGGTTGGCGACCTTATTTGAGGCATACGAACAGCACGAGATTGCCACCATGATAGGAAGTTGTTTGCTTTTAAGGGGTTGCAAGTTGGCAAGGGACGAGAACAGCGAGAAGACTGGGACGATGATGAAAGCAGTCCAGGTTGGGAAAGGCTGAAGATACCAAGGAAAACTTTTTGGACGGTAGCAGGCGTTAACAATATCATGCTGAGTGAGCGAGACAGCATGCGTAAACGTCCAAGTACCGACTAATGGTATCGTACCGTTGACGGTGTCATTATCAGCAGTCCAAGCACCCGTCAGAGACACAGTCGTAGAGAGGTTGCTAGCAAGTGCGTCCAGCCTGTGGCGTGTGTGGCGATCCAACAGAAGGTAAAAATCGGAACCAATCTGCAGCCCAAAGCCCTGAGAACTTTATGATTGGCCTGTGTATGTGATGAAGATCGAGGAGACATACCAAAAACAATGTGTAGATCAGTGCATAAACCATTTTCACGCTTCCACACACAATATTCTTAGAGGCCAGCTCAAGGGAACTACTCACTAGCGGACAGTCAGAGATTAGCCACGGTTTCGGTTGAAGGAACGTACGAATCAAATACCCAGGTAAAATGCCGATGATGCTAGAAGAAGAGATTGCAGTGTAACAGAATATTTGGCTGCGAATGCTACTTAGTCCGCGAGCGGTGAACGACACGAAAATAGATGCAGTGATTCTGAGGTAAACATGAGAGAGATGCGATTTCCGGGAGAAATGTCAACACTTACTCAAAGACGTTAGCGTAAAGTGCGCTCTTCGTCGCGCAAAGCTGAAGAACAGATAGAATGAAGGCGCCCGCGCCTGCAACCCACATATCCAGGAACGATCCACCAAACGCAAGGGGACAGATGAGAGCCGATAGACAGAATGCAAGGAGACAGCGGAAAGTGACAGAATAGAGCGGTGGTGCATTCAATAGATCGTTAAGCTGCGCCGAAGCCTTCTTCGCGCTGGTCTCGTCGTGAACAACAGATCGGTAAATCAAGTGGACTTTGTGTAGCGCTCCCAAGGACAACCTACCCCCGCACTTCACGAAATGCGTTTCAGAGCAGCCCAGTTCCTGATCGCCGAAGGAGCAGATGATGACACCGGGAAGATGAATAAACTCTGCTTCTACTTCCAGGATACGTGCTGCAGCAATGAGCTGGGATTCAATACGATGGGAGGGAGCACCGAATGTCATAAGACTTTTGGCAAGTTTGATTAGAAATTCCTGACGGTTAACCATAGCTTAGCGAAGTCAGGACTTTTTTGTGGCACAATTAATGTCGGATACACACAGGTAACATTGAACTCGATCTTGACGCGCATGAGATGTTTGCGACGACTTCGATAGTCCATCTGTCGGAGCATGTTCTTTTCAATGTCTTCCGGGTCCTCAAGGTGATTTGCACGAGCGCCAGTAACTCGAGGATCGTCAGGGTCGAGGCCTACTTCTGAGCATTCTGACATTCCGGAATCCGCTCGCCTGTATTTTGGTCGTCCCATATTCTCGCTGTCGCTGTAGTCGTACCCACCCATTTCGTCGCCAATGGACTGATTGATAACATGGAGTTGGAGCATCTGTGATGGGATGCCGCGTCTCTTCTGGGCCCGGTCGGCCTCTAGATCGACTTCTTCGTGCTCGTCAGGATTGTACTCCATCACGCCGGGATGTTCAACAAAGCTCACACTGCGCCGAGCTGCAGAGCGACGAGGAGAATAGTTCTGATTGAGTGACGAACGGTTGTATGCGTTCTGAGGGGGGCGTATATCATAGGGATGTTCATACGACGACAGAGAGTACTTCTTGTAGGGATCAGACTGTCCAGCATCAGCAAGAGTAGCATCCGAGTCTCGCCTTCTGTCGTCAGGTGCCAACGGTAGCTGACTAACGCGTCGTTGGGAAAAGATGGAATCGCGCTGTCCTGGTTGGTCGTATTGCTGTTGGTCGAATCGCGCATCGTCGAACGGATTATTATCATGAAAAGGAGGATGCCACTGAAGTGTATTAGGCATTGGTGGACGAGGCGAGGTGGTATACTGAGAAGGAGGAGAATGTCGTTGAGTACGGTACTCGTCGTTGCCTGTCGCAGCTGGTGGCGGCACTTGAGGGGGAGTGTATGTGCGATGACGACCTTCTTCCTGCATGTTCAGTAACGGCGAGCAAAGGTGAAGGCGAGAAAGTGTGATGACAGTGAGAGTTAGAAGGAAAGGTAGCCTAGGGCAAAGCTAAATATGGATATGGATACAATTCGCTACAAGGTAATAAAGTACGTGAAGACATTATACAGTGACCTCCCTATTCTTCCATTGCCGCCAGCTGTGCCTCATTCAACTCCTCGGCTTCAGCCATTAACTTCTCCTCTAATGCGGATACTCTAGTTTCGGCTTCACGTTTCTCGTTCACCAATTCCACATATCGCTCTTGTAGACCCTGCTCGCGTCTTGCAAGGACTTCAACCTCCTCCTTCAAAGCAGAGACGCGGCGAGGACCAGTAGCCTCTTCGTTAATCCGTAGACGTGCAAAACTTTCATAATCCAGATGCGTCTTCTGTAACTCTGAAAACGCATCTGTGATTCGCTTCGACACTGCTGCAAACCGTGCCTGATAGCCGCCTAGAGTCACGCCAAGCTTCTTCTCCACTTTAGCTGCCTTGGCAGCATCTTTAGTCATAATTTCCCGAGCATCCGTCATCAGAACTTGGTACCCTGAGACTCGTTCCTCGGTTGATAGCTCTGAAGGCTCAACCCACTCGCCAGATGACGAGTTAAACACCAGCCGCTTCCGGATCTGTGCCCAGGACTGGCTGTCATCATCAAAAGAATCTGCTTTTGCTAGGCGCATAAGACCGTCCCGTATTTGCTCGGGGTTGGCATTAGGAAATCCTACGAGTGACGCCAATTCTTCGTGAAGCGCCTGTTTAGCACTATCAATGTCATCGTCAGCAGGTATGATGTAGGTTGATTTCGTGCTTCCAGGTCTTGACGTGCCAGGGTAACGGGAATGCAATGGAATCATGCTCCAGCAACTTTGCGAGTTCAGCATTGATAAGCTGCTCCGCCTCGTCTCCTTCCATGCTATTGAGGCGGCGTAGCATCGCATCTGCATCGACATTAGCTGGTCTTGGTAGACCTAAACGTATTGCTTGTGATCGACGAGCCAAGCTTTTCCTTTCTTCTTCCTCCTGCATCCGTTTGAGTCGCGCATCTCGTTCGGCCGCATCGACCTCTGAGAGTGTGGAAGCATCTACGTCCCCGGCCTCTTCCTCGTCTTCCGGAACCATTAATTCAAAGTTGTTTTCTGGTTTGGGCAGATTCATGAATCCTGCCTGTAACGCCCGTTTCGAAGAGTTAAGGCGTAACCGCTGCTCTCGAGAAGTACTTTCAACTGTAGTAAAGTCCTCGGGATTGATTGATAGATTGTCTCGTAAAGGTGTCCGTAACGGTGTCCCGGCAACTATGTCGCCCCTCGGTGTCGCAGCGATATTACCACCGGCTCGGAGGGGTGTTGCTAGAGGATTAGGTGTGAACGCAACCTGATGCCGGGGAGTAGCGCCTTCAAATCCTGTGCCACCTGAAGGTCCGGCGTGCAGAGGCGTATTTTCCTCTCCGAGAAGGGGTGTCTGCGCAATGGTCATATTGCGTAGGTTTCGCGCCTCAGACATAACATTATCCTCTAAGAAATGGAGATCAGTTAACTGTGTCCGATCACAATAATAAAAACCTACGTTGAGGGGCAGTCCGGGGGGTCCGTGCCATCCTAACTCCTTCCAAGCCTTCGTAGTCGCTTAGTAGTCGTCCACTTGCTTCGCTTCCTCCGCTGACCAGTGATTTTGCATTCTCTCCTGCCAGGCCAATCTTGACTATGTCCTCCAACTCGGCTTCACCAACCTGGGCTGTAGGCAGTACCAACTTCTGCCGTCTGCCAATTGATTCGGCTTCTTTCAGTTTCTGGATCTGTGCATCTCGGGCTGCAAGGAATTTTGTTTGATGCTCGCCGTTTTCTTTCGTACGCATGCCTCTTCTTCCTTTCCTCCTCTTCACGATCAGGCTTACGTTTGTTTTCGAGCCGTCGAAGACTTTGGCCTACAGGTGCAGCGGCCACACGCGCCTGCTCCTCTGACGTGTCATAGAAACCAGGGGCCGGCTTTTTCTCGAAAGGTATATCGGCATTGTACTATGAACACATCTCAGAGTCGAGCCAAAGACGAAATAGCAGAACGGATACTCACATCCATGCCTTTCTTTTTGGTTTTGGAACGTGTTCTGAGTATGATCAATCAGAGCAGTCTTCAAATGTTAACTATGGATACTCACATTATTCCAGCCGCCTTCAACTCACGCTTCTTTTGAAGTACGGCAAGCCTCCGCGCTTCCTCTAACTGACGTTCGCGAGCCTTCCGCTTGGCCTTCTTACCTTGGGTATTTGCCAGACGAGCTCGAGCCTCGGACAACATTTCCTTTTCTACAAAATGGTAAGATAGTGCTACAAATGGATGAAAAGAATCAATTCACCGTCTTCATCCATATCAATAGGGTCAGGCCGTGCAGGCTTAGTTTCTGGGTCAGGGTCGATCTCTCCAGGTCTGAGCCGGCGGACGTCGTCAGCACTCGGTCCAGAATCTCCAGAAGGCCCCGTAAACCCAAGTTCCTCGTTTTCTTTTGCTTCGGCTTCATCCAACAACTTCTGATACCGTTCGAGGCACTGAGTGGCTGTCCGACCAACTATTGGCGCTATGGTACGCCATTGCGTGGGCATTAACTTTGCGAGATGTAAAAGCTTTTCATCCTCCGTCTATATGGATTGAGCATATATGAGAGATAAAGATGTCGAACATGACTCACCTTAGACCATTCTGTCTTCTTTATAGAGGGATCCAACCATTCATACCAACGAGCTTTGCATTGCTTTGGTGTCTTGCGGACCAGCAAAGAAGATATACGCGCCCTGCACTGTGTTAAATAGGAACTTAATTTTACTGAATATTTAACTTACCATTGGTTCTTGCCGTACTTGGCAATGGCAGCCTTGAGAACCTCATCCTCAGTATTCTGCAAGAAAAGTGAGTTCGCGTTCAGACATCAGGAATGGAGTCTAGGCACCTTCCAAACACCTATGAAAACATAAGCTATTGTAGTTGAGAATGATGAGGATATACACGTACCTCCTTTGATAATTATTCGAACCATTTCACCTCGATGTGTAAAGGGAGGTGGTAGGGAAGAGACAACTCGAAGATAAACACAAACAAACATCCCTCGTTGTTCGTCCGCCCAATTTGGAAATGCTTCACCATCCTCCTTTCATCTCACTGTATAAACACTATTTAAGGGTTTGTCTCCATAATGGAGAAATATTTCACGGTCGTCAAACATGTAGCACGTCGCAAAGGACTCGATGCGAAAGACAGCAAGTCCACAAGATACCAACCCTATAACGCGCAGGAGAACCGGCCACTTAGACCCAAGGAGAAGATAAAGTATGTCTTGTTCCCATGCTCAACATCCAAAATTTACAAGTTGTGCAGTCTTCTTCTGGAGCAACTGCCAGACTTTGAGAGTGAACCATCCCCAGCCAACCTTACGAAACTATTATTGAACACACTGCCCAACGAGTCAAATCCTCTCACTCATTCTGATCTCTCTGATCGTTCAGGTTCAGATCATGCTGATGTGTACTTGAACTGGTATTGAGCTTTGTATCAGATCATGTTATTTCAACGTCAACGGGCCACCAAGTTGCCGAAACGCGCATCTCCCATCGAACAGAATACTTTGAGGCCCGCGCTCAGAAGCTCGCCCAACAGAGAGAACAAGGACGCTCTGAGAGTCAAATATTGCGCAACACCCGCATCTACATTGACGGTTACCTGGATGGCACGACCGATATCGAAATGAAACGAATAGTTACAGAGGCCGGTGGCACTATTTTGTGAGTTTGTTCTCTCTTCTTTCATATATCTAACGAGTTTTAATCATATTAGAATGTCCGCCTCCGGTGCGACGCATATACTATCGTCCCAATGTCTCAACGGCTCCAAGACCCACAAGCTGCTTACAACCAAGTCAAGAACAAAAGTCCAGGTTGTTAAGCCTGAATGGATATTGGATAGCATTCAGTCGGGAAGACGGCTGCCAGAGAGAACCTACACTTTAGTCAAGAGCAACTCAATGAAGACGCTGCCTAATATGTGGCAAAGCTAAGGAATGATGTATTTGCTAAGTATTATAATGTGTACAAGAACTTGTAAAGGCCGCATAGTAATTTAGGATCCCTTGCGTTAGCGTTAGATCAGCACAGCCACATTCGTTATTCCTCTGCCCACCATTGTCATCTGTCAAATGGCGTCTGAACAGAGCAGTATGTATATTCCTAGTTTTCTGTCTGTGCTCATTATATCCATCGTTTATCAGATGATTCTAAGCTGGACCAATTCTGTACGTGTCAAAGACGCCTCTGTAGACTCTATCCAATACGTGTCGAATAAGATTCCAGTCGCGAGAAGGATTTCGTAGAACTCCATGACCAAGTACAGGTGTGTGACTACCATGGTATCTGATTTTAAGGCTTTCAATACTCTGCTTTAGACTAGTGTCAAACTTCTCGATTCCTTGGAAACATTCCTTTCCACATTTCAGAAGGACCTCTCAGCGGTATCAGGGCAAATATCAGAACTTCAAGACAGAAGTAAAGACATCGACAATAGGCTCAAGAGTCGTCGCGTTAGTGTCCAATATGCACTATAAGTCTCACCCTTCAATTGTTTTGCAGAAAATCGAGAAGCCGCTATCCAGTTTGATAACTGACATTGCGATATCACCGTCAATTGCGACTATTATCTTGGACACTGACGTCGGGGAACCCTGGATTGATATTATCGATGACTTCGAGCGGAGACTAGATACATGCAAAACGCGAGCACGAGTGAAGGCAGCGAGGGACGTTGGTGAAGTTGCAGAGGGTCTACGGATAGTCGTGCGTTTGCCCTTTTTCCACCAGCGTATATCGCCTACTATCTCTGTAACACAAGGCAGCATCCAAGACACGTGCTTTCTTCCTTGCCCTCTTTCAACCCATACACAAGAGCGTCACGACAAACATGCAAGTCATCCAGACATCTGTAATACTGAAGTATCGACCACTATTCGCGTTCCTCCAGCGACAAGCTCCAGATGTCGCTCATGAAATTCAAAGGTCTTATGTTAGCTCGGCGCGAGTCTATTATGAGACTGGCTTTCGCCGTTATGCACGAAGCCTGGGATGGGTCAAGGTGGGCTACATTTGCACTATGGATTATTGCTTTCCTTCACCCGTCTATGTCAGGCTCGTTCAGCGCAGAAATACGAGCCAATAACATCATCGGAGCAGAAATCCATATCCATCAATCTTGAACGGCTAGCGTACGGTAAGATAGATGGACCTAGTGTCACATTGGCGTATATGGCGGATGATAAAACATACGTGAGCGTGATTTCTGCTCTCTTGTGAATCCAACTAACACCTCTTATTTAGACCGAGCCCATAGAAGCGCTATTACGATCCTTGCTTCTCGTTTTCATGGATAACGCAACTGCGGAATATACCTTCGTGAAGACCTTCTTTCCTGTGCAAACACCACGTCCTCCTCTAGACTCAGAAAACAACCTGTCACCTGCGTTTTCGCCCACTGATAACAACTCTTATGCCGGCTCTGAATTTGGTGGTCTTCGGACGCCGATGCCTCCTTCTATATCAGCTCAACTGGCGTCTTTGAAGGAGGAACAAGCAGCTACGGATGCTACCTGGAAACAGATATTTGACCCCGTACTTGAATACGTACAGGTACGCCTTGGGATCCTTGGACTTTAAATCATGCCTTATATGTTTAGACCTTCGTCCGTTCTGCACTAGAACCCGTCCCTTCTCTCATTCCACTTCTCACCATGATCCGCATCATCGAAGATGTTGCGGCAGAAATTGAAAACCGCGCATGTCCTGCTGCTGTGACGTTTATGTTTGGCGTTCGCATGGATCTATGGCCAGTTTTTCAGAAGGTAATGTCTGAAAATATCGATGGTGTAAAGAAACTTGCGGAGGGGGGCAGCTCGAGTTATTTCAGTCGTGCTACTGCTTTGACAGAACCCACCGTCGTGAACGTGAGATATTCATTACGCAGAGAGAAATAACGTTCTGATAGTCTTTAGATCTGCCACCACTACATCGTCATTTTCAACTCTTTCGTCGCCTTGACGGAGCAGTCAGATGAAACCATGATCTTCTCAAAGTGAGTCAATTTTTTCGCGTCCTTTGCCTTTTCTGAAATGTCACAGTCTTCTGCGTTTAAGACAAGAGCTTGCCAAGTTGATTCAACGTTACGTTAATCAAATCAGCGACAGCATAGCTAAAGCTACGGCACAGTCGGCCATGTACGAGACGTTATTACAAGGACTGAGTGTACGTGATCCAGCCGTTATTTGATACCCGTTCTCACAACAATTTCCAACAGAAAGGCAATCTCTTCGCAGCACATCCTAAATCTCAGCTAGAGTTGGCGTATTGGTCCAACCTAGAAGAGGAAGCGCGGCGTAAGATAATATCCGCACAACAAGCTAAACAGCGACGGTAGAATGGTTATTTAAATGCAACTCCAAGCACACAATCTAGCTACTTATCATGGAATAATTTTATTGCCAGTCCACAACCCAAGTCCAGACTCCACAAATCCCTCGAGCCAAAGTTAACAATGCTAAAAATAATAATACGCTGAACAAATAAGAAAGGATAGTTTTGTGTTGTGTGCAGTCGTAGAAATGGGGATCAGCCTTTACCGCCTGCACGAGCCGGATCTTTCTGCAATGTTGGGAAGGAGGACTTCAAAAGGCTGCCATTTTGTTTGCCTAAACCCAGCCGATTGAGGACATCTCTCACTTCCCCCGTGCTCGATGTAATAACGCGTTTCTTCGTCCTCGACCGCGTCTTCGTCAAACGATTGTCCCCCACGGAAGAGCCATGGTCGAGTGTGGATATGGAGGATGGTCGACCTCCCAAAGCTAAGGCTGGATTTGACATGCTACTTCGACCTTCCAGTGCCTCTCGTAATTCCGTGACTCCTACACCCCGAGTAGAACGAGCGAGACTCTGAAGTGACATATTTTCGATGTGCATGAAACCAGGCGAGATCTTGAGGAGGGGGGAGATCCCATCACCACGTATCGTACTGTCGTACGGTGTGGATTTTTTATAGGCTAGGATGTGTGGTCGATCAGAGACCAAAAATATTGACCAAGGAAGAAGAGCTTACATTCCGTCAACGCTCCCTCGGCAGTCCACTTGACAGAGAATCGTCGCAGAAGGGTCTGGCTATCCAGACCGGTAGCTTCTTGCACGTTCTTGTTCGCAACAAGATGTGAAAGTGCTGTCTCGGCATCAACACCAGACCAAACAAGCTCATCAGAGGATGTGCCTTCTGAGGAAAACTGTACGGGCTGTGACGCTGAACAATATATCCCTATATCCCAGGGAGGATTCGTAGGCAACCTCGATAGACTGGACACTTTCGTCAAAGCCTTAAACCACATTGTTAGGACAATGCAGTGCTCATGAGCAAAAGATATCTACCTTTTCGGCCATATCTACCAATTGCTTGCAATCCCATTGAGACCCTAGTAGCAACCAAATCTTCGCAAGGACAGCCTTTGTCGCATTAATCCGACGGACAGTTGCAGGGTCGCCAACATCATCTTTACGAGTAGCACCGTCTAATGCCAGTAGCATCGGCAGACCAGTCAACAAACCACGGACGGGCAATTGCGCTTGAACGGTCGTTAAAATGTCAAGTATATGGGCGTAGTCCGACAAACATGCTGAACCCGCGGAAGTTACTTGAGAGGGCGCCCTTTCTAGCAGACGGAATGCCAACGATATTTTCCGTGATCGAGGTGTCTGGGAAGCAGAAAATGAAAGATCTTGAGTGGGTGACTCTGCTGTCGGGTCGTGATCAACATGAGGCTCTGCAATTCGGGCGGCATGATCGTGACCGTTGACTGAGGCAGAGTATGATGCAGAAGGACTAGATGTAAGGCCTAGCGATGCGGTGGTGGCAAGGATATATACGTAAGCATGGAGGGCATTGAGGAACTTGGCACCAATGTCTCCCGAATACAGAAGGACATGTTTGTTAACGGTCTGCAGCCGATAAGGACCGTCAGCATCAGACAGGTCGGGGTGCTTCGGCATTTCATTTGCCAGATAGAAAACCAATGTTTGCGCGTAATCCGCACGCACTGCATAATCTTTATCACACAGTAGGCTCAGAGTATCATGCCAGATGTCGGGAGAAACCCTTGTTCTCCTAGAGGCTCTTTCGTCAACGCCAGCATCCTTTTTGGTAGCGTTAATAGAAGGAGACGATGTGTGGCCTGACACGGATTCAGGCCTTTTCCTTGATTCAGCGTTACCGGAAGATTCGTGAATGTCAGCAGAGTGTACAAGGCCAGAAAGGCCGGCAAGTAATTCACGGATGACCTCTGTGCGGACTTGCTCGCTGGAAGACCCACCACGGCCTGCAACACCTTGTATTTCGATCAATGTGAGTCTGTTGATGAGTTCAGCCTGCGAAGAATAATAAGCACGAGATGACGGACATGGACACTATTGACTAACCGCGAGATCTTGAATCTGATCGGAGTAGTAGACATGAGTGCCTAGAGACGATATGCATTGAACGAGGGCTGGGAGGAGAGGGTCCTCGGGGTCCAGAGAGGTGCGTCGTACAACCATAGTCATCAAATTTGATAGAATATCGGAGGTGGAGAGATTGATGAGAGGTGTCGGGGAGTTGAAAACAGTGGTCACCATAGAAGTAAGAGCTTTATGCATCGAACTGGTGACAGGTTCGTCTTGGCCTTGCTGGAGTCTTTCCACGAGCCACGTTGGGACAGCGTATCTGTACTGATATTGTGACCAATCAGCAGTCTTTTGGGCAAACCAACAGCAATGTTGCAGGTTGGTCCAGCCTTTCATATCATCAAGGTTGTCAAAAGATGACCGCATTATGTATCCTAACTGTGATCCGTTGGCGTGTTCCAGCAAGGTGACAAAGGCGCGTAGACATGCGCTCGAGACGTCTGAGATTGAGGGACCTTTGTCTCCGTCGATGTGAAGATGGATGGAAGCAGCACGTCTCTCAATGACTGGTCGTGTACGAAATTCTGAGAGATAAGGCGATAATGGAGCTTTTTTGACACCTTCGGCCCTGTTAAGTAGTCAACTAACGTATACCCAGTCAAAGGAGAAGAACGCCTACTGGTCGTCCAAAACTTTGAGGTCAGTCTGAAACATGGTTACTAGAATAGGGCGCATGATGATAGAAACTTGGGAGCGAAACTGGAGGGAATCGTTGTATAATGCCTCCGAGCTTAACGCCCCCGTGAGCGCGGCAAATCCGACAAGGCGCGTCCTGTAAGACGTGAATGTTGAATAATATATACACGCCAGCCGAACTCACCGATTCTGCATTTCAGGGTCTTTTGCTTGAGAACAGCTCAACGTGGCAAAACCTCTGAGCGCCGAGAGATAATCCCGAGTAAAGTCACTGTCAGCTCCAATGAGCTGACCGTTGGTGTAGGTTGTCCAGGCCGTAAACTGACCGAGTAGGTGAACGATCTGAGATGATACAATGATCCGGTACATACGACGCTGGCGGCCCTTGCAACGACCTCGATATCCGATGGGACAGAAGACAGAGCTGCATCGACTGATGCCACCAAGGAGGGAGAAAGGAGAGCAATATCCCGACGACATTCTGTAGCAAGAGCGCGAAATATAGCCAGAGTAATTAAGAGAGACCTGGTGGGCGGCTGCTATTAATCAATGCGAGCAAATCCACGAGATTTACTTACGCTCTTGTACGGATATTTCCTGAGCGAGCCTTCCTGCATTCTACTCTGAGCCGTTTCTCGAGTTCACTGCCTAATTTCGTCAACTTTCCGGGGTGATTCGAGCTGTTAAAGCGAAGATGAGCGAGGAAGAACGAAGGAACCTTGATGGTACGGACGCATAGTAGGTGAGACGGCTGAGTTCTTGGGAATTGGGAGAGTAGTCTGGACCGGCCGTCAAGAGAGAAGAAGCAGGAGGGTAGCACGAGTTGAGTAGTTGCACGTGATTGGGGGTGAAGATGAGGTTCATGACAAGGGCGTTACCGTATGACAGCGAAAAGAAGAGATCGCTTAGCTCGTCAGACACGCGCAGCTTTACACTAAATGGCAATTCCCGGCCACCGCGACAGATCCCGTGGGAACTTTCGCCCTATTTAGTCGTCACCACGTCTCTTTCTCTCTTTCTCACCAACCACCATCATCAACAGCTCTCTAGCTGGTGAGTTCCCTTTCTCATCATTTTGCACAGGATGAACCTTTGCTGTGCACCAGTCCAAGTACACATCGTGTGCACTGCGGACAAATTCCCTGGCTCCCTATATACGCTTGGGGGCCCTGACCTTTCTATCTCTCAATTACAGTGCTTGATTATTGACTAACTGGACTCTTATAGAGGAAGTATATACGTTAATTCCCGATTATATGGTCTGTTTCACTTACAGATCTCGTTGACGTGGAACCCGGATTTGTTGATGACTCTTGTCGCCAACCAGCTGGCTCGCCGATATATTGAAAATACCGTTGCAAGTATATAGCTATGTTGTCATCAGTCATGGAATATACTGGGATGCTTGATCGTTACTTGAAGTATCGGCTTGTTTAGGGCTACATCAGTGATTCTTCATTCACCGTAAGCAGGACTAACATCCCGCAAAACTACCCGATTTCTAATTTTATGCTCCACACCGAAAATGTTGCCTTGCAGTTGGTTATTGTCCTCGTGTATCAGTTTAAACTGTTGTCAAAACAGAACCCTGCAAACCACGAGTATGTAGACTTTGCGACACTAAAATCCAACGGCGTTCCGGGCTAAAGTTTCCAGTTGGGCTATCCGTGGCAATAACTCTGCACGTGTCAAACCATCCGGGTCACTATTTTCCTCGAATGTTTCGAGGTCCAAGGTGACAACTGCGAGTTCTGACTCAGAATTGTATTGGGAGGTCCATGGAGATCGTCTAAATCCTATTTCATATGTTCATTCATGTCAGAAGCGTGTCCTAGATGTTTTTTCACAAGGCCCTAGTACCTTCCTAGCAGGAACTCATGATCAACTGGGATCCGTCTCGCATGAAGAGAGTCTGCATTGGATCGGTGTGTCTGGGACTCGGGCAACGTACGAGGGTTGCCATGGCCGAACAAGGGGTCTCGAGCTTCTGGTTCTAGAATGGAGCAAGGTTACTACTAGATTAGTCCTTGTTCGTACTTAAGTACCAGTGATCCAGCTGCACCTTGTCTTTGACCCAGAAGATGGTCGTCGCCGTGCTTATATGTAGGAAGCTGGCCATCACGGAACCATCGGGGGCCGTCAGATTGCCTATCTCGAAGGGCTGCAGGGCGTTCAGACAGTAACAACGTCGCCGCTGTGAACAGTCGGGAACAGCCTACGAATAGGTCCGAGTAATACAACCTCGTGAAACATATAATAATTCATGATCACTGATAATATGATCCACGGGACTCCTTCGCTTCTCTGTGAGGATTCTGCGTGAGCGGGCAGTCGTAGTAGTCGACAATGTTGATTTAGGCTTCGAATCTGGGCTTGTAATGATTTCTGTCTGGCGTTAAATTGAACAACGACAATGATACTTAGGCTAGTATTTGCTGCAGCAGTACTTAGTGAAGTTTCACATACTGTACAGAAAATGAAGAGATGTGTTTCGTCAAATGGGTGTTAAATGACATGGTGTTCAATAGACATAAACGAGGGAAATCATGTACAGTGTTCACCAAACTGGCTACAATCATACGTATAAATTATCAAGAAAGAGCGTATTGCAGAGAAGAGTTATTGGCGATATTGTAACGTATAGGTAACGGTTGCAAGTTCGAAGCTGTATTATGATTCGTAAGCTGAAAGTATTCGTTGTCGCTATCGTCGTCCAGAACAGTACATTTTTGGACCGTGGAATCAAAATCAGGCTGGTCCTTGACGATCGATTCAAGCAAACGCGGTAGGTCAGATCTCGTCAATTGAGCTTCTTCCATCCACCGTCGGCTGATCATCCAGCTGGCTACACCTTTGGGAGGGAGATGAAAGCCTTCCTTCAAGGGACCGACAACCCGATCCTTCTTTCCAACACCCCTCTTGGGCTTGGACGCCTTGTCCCCAATGTCTTCCCTGTCCAGTATCTCGTAGAACCTAATCAAACGTTTACTGCGCCAGGGATACCCCCGAGAAGAGAGCAAGCCCTCGTCTTCCGAGTCAGAATCATCAGAAGACATGCACTCGAGTTGAAATGCGCCATCGAACGCAATGTGCTCAAAAGCCTCAATACGAAGCCGTGCGTCGGCCCGATTCGTGAGTTTCTGTGCAAATATCAGACTTGTAATTTTAAGTCCAGTCGAACATGGGAACTCACGGTTTTCCTGCGAGATACATGCCTGGACTTCTGTGCTTTCCGATCTTCCCGAGCCCTGGAATGTTCAGCCTCTCTATCATCCCTCTGCGCCTTGAACTTCTGCCGAAAAGTAGTGAAGCATTGATCAAACGCGGAGTCCAGACTCTTCTTGCTGAACTCTCCATCGGGGACATCTTTGTACCGTCGACGTTTCTCTTTGATGCTTGCTATAACACGAGCTTTCATACGTGCGTTGTGCACAGACTGTTTAGCCGTCTTGTCCCAAACAAAACGCACAGGGTCGGTGTCCTTGAGTGATTGCCCTTCGATGTGGCTATCGGGAAGACTATTCGCATTTGGTACATCCATGAGCAGCAGTATATGCGTTCTCATTGCATGCTACAGAGAAAATATGGTATCAATCGATGCGTCCAAGAAAATAGAGACAAAAAGCTGACATGGATGGTGATACAACGTTTATCGTGATGATTTCGACGTTGTTTCTTCCGCTCACGCGCCAATACAGAACTGTCCGAGGTGCTACTACCAGAATCTGATTCTTCGCTACTGTTAGATGATGCTCGTCGTTTTTTACGCGATTTCGATACTGTATTCGGCGATCGTTGCGTGAGCACTACGGGCTGTGGAGAAGGAGATGGTGTCATAGCGCTCATTGCAGGCTCATCAGATGGTAGATTCTGTTGTTGCTGGTCCGGAGCAACTGCGTATTGTTGAGGGTAATTTATGTTTGGCTGACTCGAAGAGCCTTGAATGAACGCGTGGCTAGGTGGTTGTGGAGCAGGCGAAATGGGAGAAGCGGACTGTAATTGCTGCGAAAACGGCGCGTTACGAGCTAATGAAAGTGACGGAGATGCGCCGGAGGTCCGTTGAGTATTTGCGGACACTGTCGAACGAAGAGTGACGAGTTCCTGTCGCAGCTCAAACAATTGACGCTCCATCTCTGCTTGTCGATGCGCATATTTCGCTTCCTGCTCCTGCTCCCAGGCTATTCGTCTCTTACGTTCTATTTCTTGTGCCTGGCTAGTTGCAGACACGATCCGAAGTAATTCATGAACTGCTTGAACACTCCCTGCGGAGGGTTGGGTTTGCCTGGATGATCCCTTAAAGGTATAAGACGAACTGAAATCGGCAAGGACTGACCTCGTGGGCGGCGGAGGCTGAGGTTCTGAGATTGCGAGCTCTAATTCGCTTCTATGAGGAGCAGATTGCTGAGGCGGTTGGACAACAGGTTGATACGGCTCTGGATATGGATTCTGCGGTGGACGATTTCGATATGGAACAGCGTAAGATGGATTGAGGGCATCCGAGAGTTCACTGGTGCCCATACCACTCAGTCATGAATGCATGAAGGGCCAGCGTTCGAGCTTGGTTGTCGAAGGACAGAATCAAATGCTTTTATTTGTTTTGAAGGGCACAAGTAAATAGAATGGCCGGAAATTGCCGAATATCGCCCAAGAAGGAAGCGACGCGTCACTTTCACGCTCTCGCCACCAGCCTACGACGCTTCGTTCACTCTTCATTAGACCCTCATGGACGAGTTCATGCAGCAATCTCAAATGCGACAGGGAGGTCCGCGACCCGATGTGACAACTCCAGACAAGTAAATTTTCTTTCCTTCATCAAGAATTCGCACTAACATAGCAGTACAGTGGAGAGGTTATTCATATCTCATCCCTTGCTCTTTTGAAGGCAAGTCCTCTCACGACATTAAAAACATAGCTTACCGGAATACAGATGCTCAAACATGGAAGGGCTGGTGTACCCATGGAAGTCATGGGTCTTATGCTGGGAGAGTTTGTGGACGAATATACCGTCCAAGTCATCGACGTGTTCGCCATGCCGCAGTCAGGAACAACCGTTAGTGTTGAGTCAGTGGATCATGTTTTCCAAGCCAAGATGGTGGATATGTTGAAGCAAACCGGACGGTGCGTAATGTCAGTGATGTAGACTGGTTCCGGCTGACCGGCGACACCCCTGCATTGTACAGACCTGAGATGGTTGTAGGCTGGTACCATTCACATCCTGGCTTTGGCTGTTGGCTGTCAAGCGTGGATATAAATACGCAACAGGTGGGTTCTTCCTAGAAGTTCGCTCCTTCCCTGTATCTCACCCTCGTGTAGTCATTTGAATCCCTCAATTCCCGTTCAGTTGCCGTTGTTGTGGACCCGATCCAATCTGTGAAGGGAAAAGTCGTAATCGACGCCTTCCGCCTGATCAACCCCCAAACCGTTATCTCTGGCCGTGAACCCCGTCAGACGACATCAAACATTGGACATATCAACAAGCCATCGATCCAAGCTCTGATACACGGTCTCAACCGGCACTATTACTCCATTGCCGTCAATTACCGAAAAACAGAACTTGAGCAAGCAATGTTGATGAACTTGCACAAGAGAAACTGGACGGAAGGGCTGCGACTTCGTGATTTCCACTCGCATAAAGAGGACAACGAGAAAGCCATTAAGGTGATATATTCCCATTTCTCTTTGCTATCAACTATCTCTGACGGATTTTATAGTCGATGCTCACACTTTCAGAAGCATATAACAAATCTGTGCAAGAAGAATCTACATTGACTGCTGAGCAACTCAAAACACGGCATGTGGGCAAGCAAGACCCCAAACGTCATCTCGAAGAAGCAGTCGAAAAGGCGATGGGGGATCAGGTTGTGCAGAACCTTGGAACCATGTTACTGGCGGAACTGTGAGCGCGCAGTTCCTATTTTACTTGTGCAATGTCTGTATGGTTAGCGCCTTCTCATGATCTTGCTATGTAAATGCTTACTGAATGAACGTCATAAGCGTATAAATCCAAACTTTAATAGACCAGTATAAGCTATCAGCAGACTTGGGAGTCTTTTACAAGTTCCGACTACCAAGGGGATACGCAGTGAAGGAATGAAAGCAGGATGTTCCGGGCTGACAAGTGAGCAAAGCCGGGGGTATCCCGATGGTGCTGGGCCTTAGAGAACTGATACCCCGGACTCTCTGCCATGCCTAGATTCACTTTCCGTCGTGACGATATACTACCGTTCTCACGTAGACACCAAATAGATCCGCTAACGTCAACACGACGGCACATGCTCTATAGCTGATCACGAAAAGCAGTCAAATTATGGAGAAGAGAGGTCAGATGATAGAATGGTTGGCCAAGAACTCATACAATTTTACATAGCACCCGCATAAGTAGAGGGGGTGGCCCCTTGTCCTCGTCTCAAACTGAACGTCGGCATGATACCCATTTTTTTCGATCGTCTGATAGCCTTCCCTAATCGCCTTTGACTCTTCCGGGTGAGAGAGGTGACGCTGCGTGAGTAAACTTTACCCATCGGAGACATGAAATGATTGAGAACGCCCGGATGACAAGCATAATCGACGGGATCAAGATTTAGTTGGTGGAAATAGTCGCGTTGACGAGCCTCGACACGAGGGGGACCAACACGGGGTGGTCTTTTGAAAGGAGAGAAATGATTCTGACGCGACTTGAGCGTGAACTCGTAAGGCCGAATGATCTGAAATGAGCAGATAAGTGTCAAGGAAAAACTAAAGTGCAGTTACACAAACCGAGGTCGAAGCAAAAGGCCTGACGGAGAGGGTATCTGGGCTCTGACCACCTTCAATTCGAATCGGAGCTACGTAACTGGTTAGCACGGCAGAACTCTGAAAACGAAAGAGTATACCTGGTGACTCTGCGGCCACGCTGTCGAGGAACTTGGAAGCCTCCTTCATGGCACCAGAGGCATTTTTATTAGCTGGTGTTCCTGTGCCAAATGAAGTAGCATTTCCGGCCACAAGGGAGGTGGATAACCAGCGAACCCGAAGATTCTGTAAGGGACGGTGGAAGACTGGACAAAACATGTGGCGTAACGCGTTATGTCACGTTTCTTGCCGAATGTGGCAGCCGAGGACCCAAGATACCCTTACTTCGAAGCCATACCTATCAGTCGTACTACTGCCACCGACAGAGCTACGAGCCGCTGTCTTTGCAGACAGGATTCTAGGGATAGAACTAGAGATGAAATATAGTAGTGTGATTAGATGGCTAGGCAGCAGAGAATAGGCTTTATCATTCCCAGTATACTGTATTGAATCGATATGCAGATAATTATGATCAATACGTGACAGCCTGGCCCCGTGCTCCTTGCCTCCAGCCATCATCGCAGTCGTTGGCCAACATCCCTCAGCGCCCTTCTGTCCTCTCAATGTCGCCTTGATCTATTTTATCTTCTCGTACTTCATCTACTTTATCTCTTTATCTGCCCTCACCGCCCTCGAATATCGCCTCGCTTTCCCTTCTAATGACGGATTCCGGTGCATCTCGAAGACAACCCCCCAGTCCTCTCGTCTTTTCTCCAGAATCCGTCCTGTCGCCTCCCTCAGCTCCCGGTCTCAATGCCAGCACCAGCAACGGGGCTGGCGGTTCCAACACCGTCTCCATGCCCTTCGTACGTCGGCATGTGACCCGTCGTCTCAAGGCTGCCAAAGCGGAGTGCGACAAGGAATTGCAGCGAATCACGAACAATATCACTACGTTTTTCGAGGAGAGACTTAGAGAAGCGGATCATGAGACAGACTACAGAGACAGAGATTCTCAGCAAGGAGATTACGACTCTTACTTCCATCCCGTTGATCTTCGTTCTGATTTTCAGACGGATGAATCTAGCTCTGATGGTGGCTACGAGGCCGAGATGGAGTATGGTAGTCGACATAGCCGTCAACGTACGTATCCAGCTGAAGATTTCATATCTGCACCTCCGTTGATGCATTCATCTTCCTTGTCTGGCCTTTCTACAGCTTCCGCCTCTTCAGTGAGTCCAGGATCCTTACGGCAGAATATACCCTGGGAGAATAGGCCTCTCGGTTCATCTATTTCTTCAAGCGGGCTTGCGTCTAGCCCGGCAAACTCGACAATCGTTCTTCCCGACGCTCCTCTAACTCGCAAGGCCACCACTTCCTCAACTGGCTCATCGTCCTGGACAGCTCCTTCCCGCCGATTGTCTCGCACGATTCATATTCCTACCCGTCCTACTCGTTCTGGTCAAAGTTCTCGTTCCACATCCCGCTCTCGTTCTCCTTTACCAAATCTCCAAACGCACACCTCATTTTCTGACTACGGCTCTTCCTCCACCTCTAATAGACGCTCATCACGAATTATTGTTGACGACCCAGTTGATCCTATCATGACAGCGCTGTATGAAATAATTGCGGTTGCAACCGACGTCACCGAAATGTCTATTGCCCAGCTTACAGCACAACCAAAGGCCTGCGAAAGCCTCGTGCAGAGGGTTCAAAACATTGGGAAGGCATGGGATGATCATCCTGACTGGCATGGTAGAAACTGGTATGTACAGGTGCTGCTCGCTATCGCTGGACTTAGTCGAGTCGTGGAATGGTGGGAGGCTGAAAAGCAGTTTTGGAACTTTGACGACGACGACGAATTGGACGAGCCGCTGACGTTCGTGATGAAACCAGCCGATGACTATCCTCCTGCACCAACGCCAACTGTCAAACGAGATATGGAGTTGGAGGGTTTCAAGCTCAATCCTGAGGGTGAAAGCAAGCTTCGAACATCGAGACCTGCCAGTCAAATTCGGAGATCTAGAGAAGAGCAGACCAAGGACTTGGCTTTTTTCAGTTCACACGAGGCGGCTGACACACACTCTCGAATCCCTTCTAAGGTCCAAGAAAACACAGAATCAGCGAGGGTTTTGGCGACAGAGAGGTTACGGCTACAAGCAGAGACAGCACAGAATCAGAACATAGTCATGGAGCTGAGTCTGGATGGTGATCACTTCATTTGGATTAACTATGCTTGGAGGATTGTTGTCGGGTAAGTAAGTTGAACTTCTGTTAATTGGAGGAGTCTTATTCTGTTTCCCTAGCACGGATCCAGAGGGTTTGATTGGAACTCGTATCTCGGTTTTGATACATCCTGCGGATGCCTATGTTTTCTCGACAGCCACTCAACGCCTCCTCGAAGATGATTCGCACACAGTCGAAGCACAGTTCCGTCTTCGGGTTGATCGTGACGACGATAGGGTCCCTCCCAACGGCCAAACATTGTACCAGAAAATGGAAGGGAAAGGGATGCTCATGGTTGACCGCGATATTTGCGAGCCCTCTTACACGATGTGGGTTGTCAAACCTATCGCTCCCCCTCGATATGAGCATGATTCTCCGGCTATCACCCTTATTGCAGCAGGAGATATAGAATTTGACGATTTACAATCGACATTGGACCTGGAGACGGCACCACCTCAGGAAGCTGAATTGAGTGCTAACGATCTCGAAGGCACATTTTCATTCGGCCAGCCTATCTGCACAGATCCTATTCTGTGCCGCATTTGCGAATGCCAGATACCTCAATGGTATTTCGAGAAACACAGCGAAACTTGTGCAGAGACCCATCGACTCGAAGCCGAGATTTCGGAGTGCAACGAGTCAATTGCAGAGCTCAGAAACACCATCAGAGATCTAGGTGCGACCTTTGACCGTGACTCGCCCTCGTCTACCCCTTATTATCGCGGCAAGGCCGTCTTCTCTCCTTCGACGTCTCCTCTCATATCAGCCCCCTTACAGCTTTTTCGTAACACTAAGCTGCAGAAGATGGGAGTAAAGAAGATGCAGAGGAGGTTGTTGGAGCAGCTAGAGGACATTTTATTGGTGGCTTCTGAGGTTTCTATGCCGTCTCTTAAAGAAGAAGAAGCCAAGGAGCCGATAGAACGGCAACGATTACTGTCACCGGGATCGGAGCGGAAGATGTTGCAGGTGAAGAACTGGTCTAAACCTATAATCGAAGACAACGCCTTGGGCATGTTGGTCCAGGATGCGGAGAGAGTCATGAGGCAAAAGATTGATAACGTTGTGAGGATGCAGAACATTATACGATACGCGGAAAAGGTCTGGCATGAAGCGGAGGAGAAGGTCGGAGCTTTACTGGAGAGTGACAGTAGTGGGAGCGGTGGTGGAAGTTCTACCAGCGATGGAGAAGGCGAAGATGGGGAACGCTTGGAGGACCATGTGCGCGAACTTGTCATATCTACTCGCGATGGACAGCAAGCAGCAGAAGACGATCACTCGAGCACGACGTCAGAGTACGCATACTTTGGCGGCGACAATTACCATTCATCACCAGATCCTACGCCAATGGCATCCACGTCACCTATCCCTCTAGTGACCCCCCCTGAAAGCCGGCCCGGCTCAGTGCCAATGCCACCTCCTCTCCCTCCTCGTCAAACTTTACACACGCGATCCTCTACGCCTTCTTCGATATCTTCTCCTCTGGCTTTGGCTGCCCCCATTGTCGCACAATCCCTAGAAGACTCGGTGCCCACGATGGAGCTCGATCCTGGCCCTCTTACGATTCAAACACGGAAGTCATCTCAGAGCTTGCTGGAGCCTCATCTTGTTGTTACCCCGCCCGCATCACCCCAAGTCACTGCCAAAGATGGTCTTGGCCGCGAACGCTCCATGAAGCGTGGCCATCGCCGTCATTCTACTGTGAATCATTCATCCAGTTCTTCGGGTCCGATGTCTCCTCGACAGCCATCAATCGCCCCTCTATCTAGGACTTCCCCGGCATCCATAAAGGACTTTGATATCATCAAGCCTATTAGTAAAGGTGCCTTTGGCTCCGTATTTTTGGCTAAGAAGAAAGTCACAGGTGACTACTATGCGATCAAAGTGCTCAAGAAGGCGGACATGATTGCAAAGAATCAAATTACGAATGTGAAAGCTGAAAGGATGATCCTTATGAAACAAGCGGAATCGCCTTTCGTCGCCAAGTTATATTTCACGTTCCAGAGCAAAGACAATCTGTATCTTGTCATGGAGTACCTGAATGGTGGCGACTGTGCTGCATTGATCAAGTCACTAGGATCTCTTCCGGAGGAATGGACGAAAAACTACATTGCCGAGGTCGTTTTGGGACTAGAGTATCTACATCAACGTGGTGTCGTTCATCGGTACGAGTTCAGTCATTCTCCTTTGAAATTGTTATTGATTTGCGATGTAGTGACCTGAAGCCTGATAATTTGCTTATTGATCAACATGGTCACCTGAAACTGACTGACTTCGGTTTGAGCAGAATCGGTCTTCTTGGTCGGCAAACCCGCGAGAGTCAGCCTGATCGTCTGTACACTAGATACAACTCTCGTTCACGTCCGCCTTCCATGGACTCAGCATACTTGTCATCTCCATTAGTATACGCCGAACCCGGAGGTTCGTATTTCACGCAGCGGGCCCAATCGATTTCCCGTGTAGGAACTTCGCCTTATCTGCCTCCTACAGATGATGTCAGCGAATCAAGCGGGTCGGAATCTCTCAGCGGATTCTTCCCTCGTCGCAGCGTGAAGAGCGACAGTCCCTTGCAATCTTTCGCAACGGAACTTACAACCGATCTGCGCTCGCATTCGAATTCAACCGGCGGGACACCCCCAGGGGAACAGAAATTCGTTGGTACGCCAGATTACCTTGCCCCTGAGACAATTCTAGGCTTGCGTGTTGACGACGCTGCGGTCGACTGGGTGCGCCGGCTTATTTATGCTTAGAAACGTTTTTCTGACAACCTCTTAGTGGGCTCTCGGAGTCATCACGTACGAATTTTTGTATGGTATTCCTCCATTTCATGCAGAGACGCCAGAAAAGGTGTTTGAGAACATTCTGTCTGGGCACATCGAGTGGCATGAGGAGTATGTGGACTTCTCTGAGGAAGCTCACGACTTTATGGCCCGATTGATGATCTTAGATCCCTCTGTTCGTCTCGGTGCGCAAGGCGCCGACGAGGTTAAAGCTCACCCATTCTTCGAAGGCATCGTCTGGGACAAGGTAACGACAACTGAAGCAGCATTCATTCCTCAGGTTACCGATCCTGAGTCGACGGATTACTTTGACCCTCGTGGCGCTATCCCCCAGCTATTCCATGATGACGACCAGGTTGCTCTTGCTGGCCAGTCTGCATTAAATAGCCCAGTCGTCGATCCTACAATGCCCCCTCCCCCTGTCCCCATTCCTGTGGGCAACCGCGATCCCGTTCCTTCATCCGCGAGCGATGATTTTGGGTCTTTCAGCTTCAAGAATCTGCCCATCCTCAAACAAGCTAACGATGATGTTATACGGAAGCTCAAGACTGATCAAATGGCTCCTCTTGCACACGCAGTTTCGGAATCCTCAGGTCTCCACAACCGGCGGCGCAGCGTTTCTTATAGAATCAAGAAACCTCCAAGCGTCGTGACGACGATGGATCCCAAGGCGACAGTGACCAATCCACCATCTCCTGCTACCTCGACTTCGTCCATAGCATCTTCACCGTCTCGATCTTCTCTGCCAACGTCTGCACCCGCGAGTGCGGGCCATGCTCGCAAACCGTCTGAGTATGGACCGGTCGACCGCTTCAAGCTAAACCATATGGATGGCCTTGATCGACGAAATTCTATGCCTAGTAGGTTACGCACCGCATCGGTTTCCAGCGGAGGTGATGGTTCGGGATCCGAAACCTGGAATTCTTCCATAGGGCACGGATCAATGGGCACGCCTCCATCATCGGTTCACTCTATTGACTTGCGGAGGGGTCCTGATCCCAGCGACCGTGCAGTGACTTGTTTGCTTGCTGAAGACAACCCCATCACAGCCAAAATTATCGAGACAATTTTGATTCGGTTGGGTTGCCGCTGTGTTGTGGTTGCTGATGGTTCTGAAGCTATTAGTGTTGCAATGGGTGATATCAGTACGTGTACACATTCGCAGTCGCCAAGGTAGACTAACCGCTCTACGGCAGAGTTTGACTGCATCCTAATGGACCTGCATATGCCAGTTTGTAAGTGACATTAGTAGTTGACAGACACCTCTTTAAATACTAATGTTTTCACCTATAGTGGACGGAGAAGGTGCTGCGCGGTACATCAGAAGTACTAACAGCAAAAATACCAGCACGCCGATTATTGCTGTTAGTGCCTATAGTGGTTCGGACCCGAGTGATGCTACGCATAACCTGTTCTCTGGTTTCTTGTCAAAACCATTGCAAAAGGCTGATTTACTATGTATGAAATCGAACCTTTAAATGGTGTCTATCATTGACGATATGCATCCTAGCTGTCATGCGCCAACTGGGCTTCAAAACGACCACCATTCCTGGCGGACCTGGTGCCACAAAAGTCACCGCATCTCACATCATCTCATGACATAATCCACGTTCCTTTTTTGCCTCCGTTTGTTTCCTGCGTTATCGTCTCACAGCCATGCCCAATCATCTTTTTTTTTTCCCTTTACACAAGTCGCAAGCATTTTCATTACTTCATACTATCCTATCCCAGCATTCTTCTCCTCGTCGTCCTACATTGTACGCTATTTAGATCCCACACCATGTGCTAACAACCTCTGCAAGCTCTGCTTGTTCTTTTATTGATGAATTGACGTATGTTTGGTGGAAACTGCGATGCGTTTTGATGATCGACATTAGCGCCTCCCCACGTTTGGATCGTAGCGATCCTTTGTTGTCACAGCCTCCGCATTCCCATGGTGGTTTCTGATACCCATCACCCTGGCCAGCCCGCTCGGCAGTACTGGTATGTACTGGTAAGGTACAGGAAATATATATTTTCGAGCAAAAATCGAATTACATATACATGATATATGCGGAATGTACAACTTCACGTTAAGCGCCCGCGACGGTACCGTCTTCAACCACAACCACGACCAGCCACGACCACGACAATCACGACTTACCCCACCGATAGCTGTTTTATCAAGACGTTAGACTTTGCGAAACTTGTACTGCTGACTGGGTGCTTGACGACGTTGAACTGGAGCATAGCCTTATCTTTCAAGCTAAGGCTTAAGCGAGATGTACTCCTATAACAATCCTTCTGGTGTGTTTCTCTCTCAGTGTTTGCAACATTTTTTGTGTTTTTGATGCTAACTTGTTCAGCATCGTGGCAGAATGCCTCGCATCCACCATCAGAACCTCCAAATCACGATACCAGAGATCCCAGACGGCATAGAGCCTCTACAGCACCCAACTATAACCCTTATGCCCAGCCACCGCATCCAATGCCGCACCCGAGAGTGCTGACGCCAGGCCATATACCGCCTACCATCCATAATCCTAGCCTTTACTTTGGGAATCGTCCGATAATGGCGACTCCCGGACCATATCTTACTGGACGCCCTCCCTTCCCTCATCCTACGACAGCCGAGTCGCAACAATGGCCTTACGACGCTGATGACTACTTTCCTCCCTCTAAACCACCTGTACCGCCCCCGGCCCCCGAACCGATACCCCGGCTTCCATCTCCGTCGCGTCCCGGGCGCGTGTTGCCTATCTCCGAAGAGCCGACGCCTATTTCACCGTCACCGTCAAGTGCTCAAGAGTTAGCACAAGCGCTACAAATCTCCAAATCCGAATCTGCGAAGCAAGCGCAGTTCCTCGAGAAGTTATCAAATCAGGAAGAGGAGGATCTTGCTCGTGCACTTGAAGAATCCCTTCAATCCGTTTCGTTGAACTCATACACATCTGGTAGCTCGCGTTTCTATACTTCGGAGGCAGGGCCGTCGACGGATACCGGTCGGTGGCCAAGCGCATCTACGTCAGGGCCCTCGGTTCCCTCCAGACCACTTGCGTCAGACATAGATGACGATGAAGCCTTTGCACGCAGACTTGCTGCTGAAGACGAGGCAGGTCCGTCAGACTCGAACACAGCAGATGATGAAGCACTTGCGAGACTACTTGCCGCCGAGGAGGAGGAGGAGGAACAACGATATAGACAGCAGGAACTTGAACAATCCTCTCAGTCACATAGTAATCGGCATAGTACAGGAGGGCCTACTGAGCACTCTGACAGTATAGCGAGAACACCAGACGAAGGATTGGCGCGAAGACTTGCAGCCGAAGAAGAGATGGAAAAGTCCAGGGCTATCGACGCCGGACCTGTGTCTGCTCCACCTGCCTATGACGCCCTTCCCTCTCCAATGTCTCTGAATGTGACAACCAAAGGATCAGACGCAGGTCTGACGGTAGATCCCCAATTGTATCGCAGCAACTCGTCGGGCTCTGCAGCATCGTATGCCTCTTCCGAAAGCCAAGCCAACCCCCCAACGCAGGCATCTTGTCGTTCCAGCGCTGAAATATCTTCTCACAGTGATACAAACTCTGTATCTCCAAGGATATCTACGGCATCATCTGTTTCTTTACCTACTCTCCCCGAGGCCAGTGGAAATGAACAAGCAATGGTCAATGTAAACCAATTTGTGGATGCAGAATTACTGCACGGTGTTTGTAAGCCAATCCGTAACTTCTGCTAATAATACATCGCTCATGTTTGTGTCGCTGCAGCAATTGGTTTCTCTCCTCCTGTTATCACATCTATAATGCAACAAATGCCCACAGCAATGCCAAACATAATATCGCTTCCTTACGGCCGATGTCCTCCCCTACACTTCCAAGCTCCGAACTGGCGTCATCTACTTAAGCTGATGGCCAGGTTATCGGGCACAAGAATTGAGCCTACAATAGAAGCCGTGGCTGTGGTAAAAACAGATTTGTTTCTTCGAACCGTCATTCAATTCGTTAGGGTAAGATTTTGTGCCTTGACTCTCGAGCCTGATTCTTACATTTCGTACAGCCTCATCCTGCCTCTGAGGATTGGAGGACGATCATCTGGTTCACCATTGACCACCCTGTTCCAGCATCACTGCCTGGCGCCCGAAAATACACAAACGGTGATGTTGATGTTCTTCCGTGGTCATACACGCTATCTTCACTTCCCGCTCTCCTAAAAGACAATGCCGATTCCCAGATATCGCAAACATACACCATCCCTTCAACTGAAGCGGTACCGTATCCGAAGCTGCCTATCTCATTTCCCAATATGGCGTTATACCTCCAAGCGGCTCTGGACGAGTCGCGTCGGTACTCCAACGATGGCTCGAGTGGCATGCGGAAGTTGTCGCGAATGATGGATAGGTGTTATCCTACACTGGAGAGTATTGACTTAGCAGAGAGTTCTGAGGGAAGTGGGATGGGTCGAGTCTTCAGAAAGGTAATGGGTCGGGGAAACAAAAATAACAAGCAAGGACGGGGTGGCAATATGGACACGTATGAGCTTGTGACACCATTTGTGCCGGAGGAGTGGGGGTAAATGTACTTTCTCGGTATATTTTATGTCGTATAACTTTGGTACTCCAGTTTTTCCCTAAAGATCGAATCTAAGTTCGGATCTCTCGGGCCGGACTTGCCTTTGTCACAAGTGTCACATCACACTCCCCTTTCCCCACTTTCGTTCCTCCCACTATGTCTGTGGCTCCCTCCGCTCCAACTTCATCATTTTCGCTGCAGCCTCTAGCACCATTAAGTGTCGAACAAGAAGGTACTTTAGCAACTCTTATCATATGTGATGCTCACTCTATCTTAGACCAAATCATCCTCGCGCGTATAACCAATGATGAACGGTACCTTCGTCGCGTCATCAAGAAATTTCACAATTATGCCTCCCTAGCGCAGGGCTCTAGTGCAGAGTCCAAGCAAGATGCAAAAGAGGCCTTTATAGTCGAGTTATCAACATTTCGATTGGCATTGAAAAAGAGCGCTATGGTCTGTGAAGCAGAGGCGCGGCAAGTGGAGGAGTACCAGAGCGAGAAGCTTAGAATAGGTCGTTGGATTACCTTTGATCCCCATTCTTCATCTGATGTTTGTACAGACGACGAACACGGAAAACTACGAGGCCAGATCGAGCAGCTCAAAACGTCACTGGAGCATGCGCAGATGCTACGACGGCGGAAGATGGAGTATGACTTTGTTACGGAAAAGATTAACACCCTTCCTAGTCGGGAGGAGCTGAATCAGTGCGTGTATGCCCTCGTGCTTGTCTACACTTTAACTCAGTACAATTCTAGGATGATTCAAGCACTTGAAAACGATATGATGGCGATACGTTCTGAACATGACACTCAGAACCGGACCATTCAATCACAGAAAGGTGCATTGGAGGCCATCATATCAGACCTGGGGGCCCTTCGTTCACTGGGAAAAGACACTGCGGATATCCCGGCTTCCCTGCTAGGCAGTCCAAGACAGACGCCTGCCCTTGATGGTAGTGGCGTTGAAGATATAGCTGAAACACGCACTACTACTCCGGCAATGAAGACGGAGGACAGCGATAAGGAGGAGGGAGAAGCGGACAAAGTCGTCTCCCAGGATATCGAGATGGGTGAGGTCGAAGAGGAGGACAAAAATACAAAAAACAAGAAGAAAACCAGAGAAGACATGGAAGAGGGTGAGGCTACAGATGCCAGTAGCGAATTGTCCGACCCCCCAGATGATGACTAGCAGCAAATCTACGTTTTTATTTCTTTGCTATCTGAATGACGAACATCGACACTCATCAAGTCGCGTGCGCACATCACTACATCGCCATATTCATCCTGCGCCAGCTTAGCAATAGCATTCATGATCTTTCTCGCCTCCTCGTCAACGTCATCATTGCCTGCATATCTCGAGGAGAAGTGATTTAAAATCAGACGCCGAGCTCCGATTTTTTTCGCAAACCTCCCTGCCATCTGTGGCGTCGAGTGGCCCCTTGATATTGCTCGCGCCTCGACTGTTTCATAGGTGTCCGTGTCCTTTGTGTCCTCGTCGGTGCCGGGTAAATGAGCATTCGTCGCTTCATGGATCAGCAAGTCTGCTTCTTTGGCAATTCCTGCGATCTGGGATGGGTCATATGTGTCCCCAAGTATGACAATTTTGCGTCCGTCTTTTGGTGAAGGTCCATGAAGGATAGTACCATCGGAGAGCTGCACAGATTGGCCTAGCTGCAGCTGCCTCATGACGGACATTGACGTGTTCGTTCTCTTTAAGTCCGGGATGTACTTTTTAGGGTCCACCTTTCCTGGGACCTTGGCTTCGGTAACAACATAGCCCACGCAAGGGGCCGAGTGCAAGATGGGTGCAGCTGAGACAGAGAGGACGGTGTCCGAGTAGATATCCGACCAGACTCCGTTAGTCTGTTGGATATTTCGACCTGTGGGAGACTCTGACGCGAGGGAGGGCATTGAGGTGAAGTCTCCATCTGCTGGATCTGAGGGAAAACGGAGTTCGTGGACAACATAGGGCCTGCCTAGGAGCGAGTGCGTATATGCAAGGCCGTTGCGGACGTAGGCTCGGGTGCCTAAAGGCCCATATATCTCCAACGGCTTATAGGTGGAAAGGATTCAATAGCTAAGCAATAGAGGAAAACACTAAGGCTCACTGGCTGCTGTATGTCCAGATGCGTCCTTGGATCGTCTTCACCTTCAATCTGTCCGCCGGTGCCATTTAGACATGATGCTAGCAGAGGTAGCAAGCCAAAGATATGATCGCCTTGAGATCCTATGAGTAAAATATCAACCAAGGCGAAAACGTACTGACCGTGAGTATGCGTGATAAAGATTTTTTCAATCCTTCCCATCTTGACGGTGCTCCGCTGCAGCTGATGCTGGGTAGCTTCTCCACAGTCAAAGAGCCAGACATCGGAGCCTAATCGTAGGGCAAGAGCTGAATGGTTTCTTGTTGAAGATGGCTGGGCAGATGCAGTACCGAGAAAAGTGACGGTAATTAGACTATGATGGATTGGGAGCCTTGTAGAAGCCATGTTGTGAACACGTCGCTTGTAAGGAAGAGTAGGACGGATCCATGGTCGAAGTTGGTACCACCACGTGAAGGTCCGAGTCATAAAAAGGCCGGCAATCCGACTCCGATTTCTTTTCTAATTCCGCCTTTTCAATGTTGGCTGCCTATGTTCTCGGATATTTTACTTGACTCCAGCCTAGAGACAACTCCTACCAGTTAATCTCTGATCCAGTATGAAGTGGAGCGTCGGCATCTTTGCAGTGAAGCATTAATTAACATCCTTGCTCATTGGTCCTTCTTTCGACGCGACGCTTGGCAATATACCGCGCGACGTTATTCGGAATGAGAAGCGTGGACTTTGAACCACCTGAGGCCTTGTCGGTAGAATGTATGAGAAGCTCTTACCTATATGAAGGACTACATTATTTTCATCAGGTCGGAAGCTGAGTCCACGCTTTCCCGCCTGATATCCAGACTCTGAAAGTGTCCCAAGCTCAAGGCCTTGTAATATCCTTCGAAGGGGGAGTTCATCGAGTATGTATCGCAGACAGTCGGGGCACGTTATGGCCGTTTGAACTTGTTTGTAGGTGGTAGTTATAATGGCAAGCCGTGAACGTTGTTGGAACTACTGTTTATGTATACCAGAAGTTCGTCCAAAACTAAACAGTATGCACTTGCAATTTCACGCCAACTTATTACCTGACAAAGCATGCCCCCCGTAAACTTTGAGCAAGCGCAAACGATCTTCAGTATATATGCATAGACCATTCACCGATATAATGAAATCAGATACCCGAATTCCTAGAGCTAGCTATGGAGGGATCCGGGGGCGACATTCGCCGGTATATAGAATCTTATCGTCCTGCGCTTGGGTGGCAGCAAGTGACGCATTACTTTCGAGAGAAAGGCGAGCGTTGATCTCGGAGGCGGAGTGTAAAGTTTGAATGGAAGAGTATCAACCGGGACAATAACAGGTCGGGAAGACGAGTGGAGTCAAAGGAATGAATGCTTTTGAGATCGCCGAATCTACCGACTTTCAATAATGGAATACAAAGTTACGCCAGCCAGATCAGGACCCATCTCCATGGACCAAGGACGGGTGAAGCTCTGGCTACGAAAATGAAGATGGTAAAGTTGTAGTTGCTACTAGGATCAATGGAAACGCCATTAGACATAAGGCTATTACTGCTAGGCCTGGCTCACCTTTCTGGGATACGCTTGTCGTCATCCGGCGCATATACCCAGAGAAACGGCTTGGAAACACGGGTATTTATCATCTTCGAAGTGTTGAAATCAATGGAAAAGAGACAATCAACGATAATGATATATCGGTAACGAGACAGCGCGATGCGATAGGAGCGAAAGTCGTACGACTTTTTGAAGTATGAAACATGTCTTGAGGCCTGCTGGACGCATTTTTTCAATGTAACGATCGCGCCATTGGTCTTGGTTTGCAGACTGAAGTACTGACGAATCAAGCCGGCTCGTCAAACGACACCCAAGAGCGCTGCGCCGCTCTTGATACCCCGTCCTCGTGCGGCCGCCAAGCTAATGCACATGCAGCTCAATATAAAGCCAGTGAACCTGTTGTGGAGCCAATGATGACAAGGCAGAAAAATGTAGTGAATCTAAACGGCTTACCGGAAAAACGCAATCCGAGAGATTGACCGTTCTTCGTTCGGTGTCCGAGACGAGGCAAATATTGACCGAAGAAGAGCGGGAGTGACGGGTATGCGTCGTTTAGGGCTGTCGGCAGGCTGTGGTAGTGAATGGTGAAGAGGTCGCGCCGTTGGCGTCGATGAGGTCGAGGTGGTGGACGACATTCAAGTTTGGTAGTTGCGGCCCTGATCTCGACTTTTATGTCAACCAATCAACCAACCACCACCTGCACTTTCAGCTGCAGCTGCCGCGTGAATCGTGAATAATCTATTGACTTTTGTACGTCTACAAATTTGTGTTGCACGTTGCGCTAACGACATTCTTCTCCAAGATTTTTATCTCCGTTTTCAACGTGGAGCAACAATGTACAAGGGAAATTCGCCATTCCACGAGGACATGATAAGGATAACAGACCGTCTTCCTTCAAAAGACGAGTATCGTCGTGTCAGACACCTAGTCCTGCAACGAAAAACGGGGCTCGACATCACTGACGATGAACTGGCCCAAGTTGTGGGAGCGTGTCCACACCTCGAGACCGCCGTGCTCTCTGGCATACGCGACACTTCGGACCGAACCATCATCACTCTCGCGAAGACCGCAATCAACCTTATGGGCATCGACGTTTCTGGCTGCCATGAAGTGACGGACCTCGGAATTTTGGATATACTTTCCCAGTCTCTACCGCTGCAATGGGTCATGCTTAATGGCGTGAGGGCCCTCACAGATCCTTCCATCTCTGCCATATCCAAGTCGTGCTCGCGTCTAATCGAGCTGGAGCTATGCGACCTTCCTTTGCTATCCCCACTCTCCGTGAGAGATGTATGGACCTATTCGCGGTACGTCATCTTTCGATTAGCTGCAGCTGCGCGCTGAAATCGAGCCATCCAACAGGAAGCTACGCACGTTGCGGTTAGCTCGTTGTCCTCTGCTCAGCAATAAGGCCTTCCCTTCTCCAATATCCATTTCAGAATCCGATTACGACGAGGACGGCGAGAAGCCTCTACCCCATAGACCGGTTACATGGCTGGAGGTCCTCCCTCCACTCATTTTATCACATACGGCTGAGAATCTTCGTATCCTGGATCTGGCCTCCTGCAAAATTACCGATGACGCGATTGCTGGTATCGTAAGGCACGCGCCTAAAATCCAGACTCTGAATTTGTCCGGATGTGTGTCTCTTACCGACAGTGCATTGGAATGTATATGTTCGTTAGGAGAGCACCTCGATGTGTTAATTCTCGCTCATGTTTCAAACATCACCGATTCTGGTGTCGTCAAACTGGCACGATCGTGTTTCAACCTCAGGTGTGTTGATGTAGCTTGTACGTTTTGTCGACATGCAATATTTGCATCTGACTGACGCGCCTTCTATGCAGTCTGTCGTAATCTGACGGACATGGCGGTTTTTGAGCTGGCAAGCATTAGCAGCCTACGCCGGCTTAGCCTGATTAGAGTGCATAAGCTCACAGATATCGCCATTTTTGCGTTGGCAGAGCATGCTATTGCGTTAGAGCGGCTTCATCTGTGCTACTGTGATCGGCTTTCTCTGGACGCGATACATCTGCTTTTGAAAAAGCTAGATCACTTGCAGCATCTCACTGTGACCGGTATACCTTCGTTTAAGAGAAGAGGAGTACATCGGTTTTCTGATCCTCCGCCAGCCGTCAGTCTAGCTCTTCCTCTTATTATCGATGTGTGTAATGCTCAGATTATTTATGGTAGAGTTACAACGTCGACCAACAAGCCGCGTTCCTCGTCTTCGATGGAATCAACGTGGGGAACCTGAGAAGGTTCCTGAACAAGGAGGAAATGCGACGGCGAGAAGCTGAAGCTAGAAATATACCGTTTACGCCTCGTTCGGATGATAAGATGGATCTGTACTAGGAGCCATTGCACAGGTTCTCGCAGTTCTGAAATGGATCCTCATTTTAGTGAGTAGGTTTTACTTTTGATTTCCTTTTTACCAGTCTAATACTTGGTGGCGAAGTATTTAAAACTTGCGGACGTTGCAATATCTATTAGATTGTATATATGCGCGTGCTGTAGTCATTCCTAGCGTGATCATTTACCAGATGAAACTTATTTTTCAGCGCGATTCCAGTAAGTTTTGCCGATGAACTTTTTTCCGCTGGTCCGTTCTGATACTGGGCTTGTTAGATGCTGTGACGGTCCAAGTCATCTGTGATAGTTGAGAAAAACATCAGTGGCGTGATCGAAAGATGGGGTACCGTGACTTGTTACGCGCTGGATATGATGAAGTACGGGAGAACCATCAATTTATAGAAAAAGTCAGACAGAAAGGTCTCAATGAATAGATAAAGGTGAGGGTAAGAAGGAATGAATAGTATTGGGAGCATATGGAGCCGGTTGGTAAGCTGAGCCGAAACGTGCGCAATCGGCTACGAGCAACGATCTGGCCCCTAAGCAATTCGCCTTTTTGCCTTTTAGTTTCAAACCAGTTCTCTGTTTTATATGCCGCCTTGTTGACCGCAGGGACTATGCACCTGTCCAACTGTCTTGCTTAACGCTAAGCCAAGGTCAAAAGGCAGCTCAGTCCTTTGCGCTTGCAGGCTGTTGGACAGCAAGGGCGTCGCCATCACGGACGTTGAGCGACGGTAGTTCCTTTGGTCGCCATTCCTTTGCCTCCTATAGCTAGCTGCAACTGCCGTCGAGGAAATGTACGTGCATCGTGACCTATTTTATTCTGACTTGCTCAAACATTTAATACCGGCAGCAGCAGTTTCAACTCCAGTCCATCCTTTTCTTAACTACATGGAGGTCATATCGTTGGCCATCGATCCTCCATCGACGCCCAGGGCTCACTACCAGCCCCAGAATTCGTCTATATACGACCGCAGGCTCTTGGATTCCCACCGCCCACACAAGCACCTCTCGGTCACAATTCGTCAAGACTCCGATTTCGACGGCCTGTTTGACCAGGAGACGCAATCACCAGTCGTATTAGCAAAAGACCGGCAATCGCGCCGACCAACTACCTGTGGTTTTCTCCCATTGCCATCGATAAGCGCATCGCCAGTATGCACGCCCACAACTAGCATATCGTCGCGAGACTTGGACAATCTCTCAGTCGATGGGTTTGGCTCGTCGTCAAGCGGAACGGACGGTTACATTACTGCCCCGCCTACGCCAGCTTCGCTCAAGCTCGCGTTTACCCCACCCACTTGGATATCCATACCCCCGACTCCCCCGTCAAAACTGTTCAGACGCTCAGTTACTTGCGTCACGCGTCGCCCAGCAATACCCCCTTCCGCCTCTTTCCCAGTAGCCTCACAATATGGTAAAGGCCCAAAGCGATGTGCATCCGTTCCGTCTATGTCGCTACACCCGCGATCGTCGTTCACACAGCAACATACGCCTCGCTCCACAAAGGCGGATGTCACAGCGGTCGCGAATTCGCACACTATGGCTCCCAGGGTAACCGAACGTGGCCCGAGTTCACGGCCTGTCTTTGACATCGCGCATGAAGTCAGCAGTGACACGGAGGATAATGGTGTCGGCGAGGAAGCGGAAGTGTCAAACGAAGAAACTAGCCCCGGGACGGGTTCAAGCGATCAAGGACACGCGTCTTGGCAGACAGAACAATGGAAAGATCAAGTCAGAAAATACCACGTCCTAATGGAACTGCTGTCAACAGAGGTACGATACTTGATGGATCTGAGAGTATTGGTTTCTGTTCGTTTCTCGTTCTTAATTTTGCAGGCATATGGCTAACGTCATGTATTTGTAGATATACCTTCGTAACCTATCCACGGTGACGTGCCGGACACCGTCAAGCTCAGCGTTCGGTCGGACTTCGTCTTTTACCTCTACGTCTCGCTCCAGCTCGAATACCCATCTGCATACCCCTCTTAGTGCTTCTTCCAGCAATATACCGGATCTGCAGAGTCTGCAACCTCTGACCTCAATTACAGCAATTACGGTCAAAGACGGTAAAGCCCAGCCCCGCTATCTTTTCACGAACGGTGATATCGAATTGTTGGTGCGGAACGCTGAAGAAGTCCTTCAGTTCCACGAAAACTTTGTGGAGGAGATCCGCTTAGCGTTGACTCCTCTTGGGTTCCCTGTGGAGTCGACGGAGAAACTTGGCACGGATCTGGGCGTCAACAATCGTGGCATCGATAATCTAGAGGCCTGCATTTCATTTGTATCGACAAAGTTTGCGACAGAGGTAAGCTCCATCATGATGTTTTAATCGATTTAAACCTAATTTTGGATTGCAGGCCTCACGTTTTAATTCGTACGAGATCTTCTGTGCTGGGCATCCCGAGGCGATAGATATCGTGCGTAGAGTGCAACAACAATACCCCAGCGAATGGGAAGTATTCGAGCAACGATGCTCAATACTCATTGGCGACTTGGTTGGGACGGATACGACCACTAGCCCTATCGACAGTGATCCCGTCCCACTTCCTTCGGTTGAAACACCGCTCAAGAGGCGGAGAACCTCGGTTTCGTCACTTGAAGGCGTTCGCACTTTGGTGTCAAGATCTGGGACCATCCGGGAACAGGTACAAGATCCTCGGAGGGACAAGAAGCGGCTAACCTTCCTTGACTATCTGATTATGCCGGTGCAAAGAATATGTCGTTATCCTCTGTTACTCGATCAGTTGAAACCTGGAAAGGTCCTGCACGCCCTATCGCCTCCGCAACCTGTTGGGCGCTCCGATGTCAATGTAATAGTAGAAAGTGCAGCTCAGGCCATGAGGCATGTAGCCACCAAGGTCGACGAGGCTCGTCATAGGCACGATGTCGCACTGCAGTCGTCCCTCATTGTCGCTAGGATGTCTAGAGCAACCTCCGTGCCATCCTCTACTCAACCATCGTCTGTCAATGTCAACTCTCAATGTTTGACGCCCACTTTCTTGTCTTCCCTCGGTGTCTGCCTTCTCGCTGGTTCATTAGACGTCATGCATTCCAGGTCGCATGCAAGTGTCACTAGTATCAATGCTAAATACCTCGGTGCTTTTCTATACCTTGGGGGATATCTCATTTTGGTCAAGGTGGTCAAAGGAAAGGTCTACGAGCCAAGACATTGGTTTCGTCTTACGGATTTCGATGTCGAAGATGTCACCGAAGATGGTTAGTTCTTGCAACTACGGAGACTTATTGTTTATTAAATGCCTTTGCAGCGCTTCTTCCCTGCTCGTTCAGACTGAATTGTAAAGGTCACCGATTTGAATTGGCTGCTGCTTGTCAGAAGGAGAAAGATGCCTGGATGTCGTCAATACGGGAGTCCCTTTCCCATTCGTCGTCTGGCTGGACCAACGAGCCAACCTCGAGCCTGCAGTTCGATGGCAAAGGCGAGCTTGTGCCCTCCACGCTGGATGGACCTTACGAGACCATTCATGCTCTGCCGACTATTCAATCGATTCCGGACATCGGGAAGAATCTGGACCAGCCTGAACTCACAGCGACCCTACTAGATACGCTAGCCCAAGATCCCCACCCTTCCAAACCTTATAAGGCCGAGACCACAGCGCCCAGTCGCAGGTCGTCGACTGCGTCAGTCAAAGCTATATTTACACCCGCTTCCGAGCCAGATATCATCGTTATTCGGCGCTCATCGCCTTCGGCGAGATTGCAGGTCGATCACGGCCTTCGTGACGTTATATCTGAACCTTGTCTCGCGGCTAGGTCCCATGCAACCAGTCGAGAAGAGGAATTATTCCAAACTCCTAATATCGCTAGGCCCGGTTTACCGCGTAATAGCTCGGGTTTGAGCATGAAGAGTCGATTAAAGAAGCATGAGAGTGTAAGGGTGCGAAGGCGGAAGAGTACTATCGACAGGTCCGAGGTGTCCCAACCGCCCAGCAAGAAGCCCTCAAACTCTCGTGCGCACTCTTTGACGGCCAAAAAGCGTCCGAAGAAACTGAGCATCACTTCTACCAATTCGGATGGCGAATGCATATTTTTCCTGCCCCCTTCTGAGCGGTCACCATCACCCTTCACGCAATCGCCTTCAACTACCACTTCATTTCCGCATTCAGCGCTCAGTAGCCCCACGCAAGAAGTTTTTCCTGTCACTGCTTCCTCCGACACAGACCATCGATCGTGTACCGCTCGTCCAACTTCACTCGTCAGCACCTTCTTTCGTTCTCGACCTTCATCGCCCAGTTCAACAATATCAAAATCACCGGCTAATGATAATAAACCCTCTTCGAATTCTGGTCTGTTTAAGCGCTGGATGAAGGGACCTTTCCACCGTCGTTCGCGCAGCGCCCCAGAAGATATACCCCCGGAGCCGAAACCCATAAAGGGATCTCCTACACTTCCCGACCTTAACCTCGGCGCTGAACTACGATTAACTCAATCACCGATCGCGGTTGATATGTCTATATGATTACTTTTCCAAAAATACGATAATGCAACATTATGAACCTACTTCTGGACCCACGAAGGACTGTAATTTTTAATCTGTAGATACGACCTATAACCGCATTGTACTGTTATCCTGACATCTGATACCATATATCGACCTTTATTCCTTCTTTATGTTTGTCCACCTTCGCTTTCCTCTCACGAGATGATTGATATTCGTTCACTTTGTATAGGTACCGCATAATGGTTTCTTTCTTTGTATCATGATTGGCAATGCTTGAGAACTTTGTTCTTTATTACACGAAAAGAATTTTATGTATTGTTTGGTTTTGGAATTATCATACATATTTTGACACGAACATCCATGTACAGCAGCCGACAATCATGACCAGCTATTCCCCCGTCAAAACGCTGCACACTCCAGCCCACATATCTTCATTAGCATTCGGACACTCGGGCCATATCTTCGCTGGCTGTGGTAAATATTATCCATGGAAGCTGATGGTCCTTTGGCTAATCAAGTCGATACAGACGATGGTACCCTTCGCGTCTATGATCTCTCAACTTTCAAGGTGCTTAAGGCGGTCCGAGGTCTGGGCTCAGAGGTCTCTTCAATTGTGTGTGTGAAGCGGTCAGGCTTCGGATTTGCGAGATGCCTGGATTGCTTGTGGAACACGGGTGCGTACAAGGTTTCCTTATCCATGATGAGATTATCCATTTTATTTTCAGGTCTATCTGTTTCAAATGGACAGCCCAGCAATGGTACTGACGCCCTCTGACGCGCTGGCATCGGTTGAGGTATGTTCGTCGGACGGAGATGATGTACTGAACGAAGTAAGAACCTGCACTCCTCTCTCGCAGCGTCTTCGCCTAAGAAAGTCAGTCAGATCAGCCTGGATGCTAGCAAAACTCAGCTTGCATTCTGCACGGATAACGGTCTGGTAGGAGTGGTAGACCTCAGCAGCAAATGCGTCTCCATTATGAAGACAAAACACGACAACGTGAGCGGAATTTTATTTGGTTGCCAGAATGCTGTTGAGTTGCATGTAGGTATGTGGATGTGTCAAATTCATCCCGGACCGACCTCGGGAGCTCGTGAGCGGTGGATATGATAAGGCCCTCATTCACTTTGACTACATGCAAGAGAACGTTCTGTCTAGACACGACATCTGTGTGTACTTCCCTTCGATTGTCTTCATGCACTGATGCCTTGTCAAGCAATACCACCAACAAACGGGTCCATGTCGTTTTCCCCACCCTTCGTACTTTGCACCGCACTTTCAGCTACTGGTGTTATCGCAGCAGGAACTGCTGACGGTCACATCTGGTTGGGGCATGGCGGAATGAAGGTTCCATCGAAGGGGAAGAAATCCCGAAAATGGAACGGTTTAGATGCCGAGAAGGCATCCTTGCACAAGCTGGCTGATGGACCTGTGGTTGCCCTGTAAGTTGCTTATATCTTTGACGCGCCGCACCTGATTCACAAATAACAGCACGTTCTGTGACTCCAATACACTCATATTTTCGACTTTATTGGGCAACGTAACAGAGCTTCGAGTGAATCCTGACAAGGAAGAAGAACAAGTTCTGCCTATTTGGCAAGCAACAAGCAAAAAGTCTGGCCAAGGTCAATGCCCTGGTTGTCGACGATAAAAAGATAGTCCTGGGAGGCATATCTGGAGATGGGAAGGGTATTATAGAGATATGGGGAAAGGCTGTTATTACACCTTGAATAATCTATGTTTTGGACGATGTGCTACTATCCAATTTCTGCTCTGCTCGCTCCTTCTCTAGTTGTCGCTCAAGTTCACTGATCCTCGCCAGATACTGCAATCTCTGAGCCTTCATCGACTCCAGAAATTCTTCGTCCGAATACTTCGACAATCCGAACCATGACATGACAGTCGCGCGTCGTTCTGCCCATCGGTTCTGCATTGGTTCAGTGACTGCAAGCTGACTGGATTGTTGGGAGACGTATTTAAGCCGTGTCACTCGAAGTTCGTTGTAGCCTAGTTGGACCAGAGTGGCAGCGATACTGGCTGTTATGCCCCCCGATACGATGGCATTCCGACTAGCTAGAGAAATCCATCAGTTGGCACCTTAAAGGACAGCATCTTGACCTCACTAGTTATTCCGCGAAGGATACCACCAGTAATAGCCCCACTAATGCCAGTATCGAGCAGCTTGCTTGTCCGCATCTCCGTCCATGATACATTCTCTGGCACATCTTTATCGGTGGGAAGCTTGGAAATACCAGCATCACGCCGTCGCCTGGCATACTGAACTCCCGGAATCGTCCTGATGAGAACAGGGCTGATCACATATTCGCGGATACCTACAGACAAAAGGTTCAGCGCTAGTAAAGCCACGTCGTGTTTAATAGACGCACTGAAAAATGTGGCTGCAGTTGCTCCACTGTTTATCGCAGCAGCCGCAGAAAGCTCTGCATAGTTAGGGAACCTGTTGAGGATACCGTAGGCGCCTGTTATGAACGCGCATGTCGTAGCTATTTCTTTGGTTCTAGTCAATTCTTTGGGCCTTAGAGAAATACTCACATGTAATGACCGTTCCTTGTATAACGGTCTGCCAGCCCGCCTTCCCATCTGAACTACTCATGAATACTGCATGAAAGCTGAGGAACAATAAAAATTATCCTTAAGGGCCGGCCATGATCGGGCCGTACAGACCCTAACCCTGGACAGTAAACGAAATAGTATTACAACAAAAGATAGATAGATAACTAGATGTAAACAGGTTCATATATCCCTGGTAAAATGCAAGAAAGAAGCTAAGGTATCAGACCGTGACTGCGCAACAAAGTCGCCCATCTGTAATCAAGTCAATGAGCTCGAGGTACAAATAATAATTACAAGTACTTACTCTTCTTGCTTCAGCTCGGCCTCCGCCAATTGTCTCTTGAGATACCTAATATCCTATGAGAACAGTTTATCAGAGCGGGAGATAACGCAACGTACGAATTCTCTTTTGACAAGGCGTTTCTTGCTTCCTTCGTTTTCCGGAGATCGTTCGACATAGCTATCCAAGCTTCGTCTTCAGGAAGGTTGACATCATTAAACATACCATCCAACTCTTCATTGAAAGCCTTTTCACAAATGAGTAAAAGCTCTCTTCCTTCTATAGATGTGCCAACGTACCTCATACAGAATCTCTCTCTCTGTTGTGGCATCGTCCAGTAAACTCTTCATAACCTCGCATTGCCGCCGTATATTCTGTGCTTCGACTTTGGACTTCTCAAGTTCCCTGGTTTTCTGGATTGACACTGTCAATGCGCACTGGCTGTCAGAGAGGAGGAAGGGACCGACCTCTGCCAGTACAGAAGGCACCTCGTCAAGGGATGCCTTCAAGTTTTCACAATTGGAGATTCCTCGCGAAAGACTTCCCTCGGCATCTGATATTAGCGAATCCAGAGTATTGAAACTGAGACTATTATCAGCTACGGGAGTGGCAGATCGGAAAGGCGTATCGAAGACACTATTCCGAGCGCGATTTACTGGCGTGTTGTCGCCAGTACGTTGACTTATTAACGTACGCATCTCATTCAAACGTTCCTGGGCTGCCTTTGTCTAGGACAATGTCAATCCTAATCAAACAATGTTAAACTCATGTTTACCAATGGAGGAGGACGCTGGGGCGTAGAAAAGCCTTTCACAGGTGACGAAGGCCTTGAGATGGACTCTCCGTCGCGCTTTGGCTGTTGCAGAACGAAGGTTCTCAACTTCAAGTTTGATTCGCTTGACCGCACGATGAGCTGACTCGAGCTGATACAAGTTACAATCTGACTATTTCCTGAGAAAGAAAATCTGCTCACGTCTTCTTTCGTCACACAAGACATTTTTAGTACCTCGTCCATGTCGACGCCCTGCAAACCATCGGACATGGCAGGAGTCGGGGCACGGATTTGAGTAGCAGTTCGTCTAGGAGACGTCCTTCTTGCATGTGATCTAGACAATGGAGATCCGTGAGTCTTGCGCGTGGGTGCAACAGGCGTCGTATTTATTTCGTTGCTTGGGTAGCTGGAGTGATTTGATGACGATGCACTTGAGCTACTAGAAGGCCTCGAGTGACTAGAATGACTTGAGTGGCCTGAGTCCGAGTATGTTGCCGAGCGCGTCGCTGTAGATGTGGAGTGCGTTGTTGTTGTCGTCGCATTAGTAGCCGAACGGGCGAGAGGTTTCTTCTTAATGGAGAGTGGTTCAACCACGGAGGTTTGATTACTATGCGGTCTCGGAGTTGCATCGGTGTTTCCTGTCGGATAAAATGGTTGGCGCCTACTACGGGGAATTCCTGTGGAACGAGAAGGTGTCGAAGGACAAGATGAGCCTGAGTCGGAATCGGTTTCTCTGGATAAACTAGGGAGAAGGAGGGCGGCTTTTAGAGGGAGGTAATGGAGATGGGCTTCTAGGACCCATAGGGCGATTCTCAGCGACATGAAGAGATCGTGACTGGCGAGGATTTTCGGTATTGGATCCTGTCACCGTGCATTGGCTATTGGAATCTCTAGAGGTACCATTCGAACTTCTCGATGTCGAGGCGCGCGAGGGTGGTCGCACAGGCTGAGGGGGCTCTTCTGTAGGAGATGCTAAGTCATTGAAGCTTTTCACTTGTCAAGTGTGACTAACCTTCATAGATCGCTTCTTCGGAGGGTGTGACCAGAGGTACCGCTGACTGCCTCTCATTCTGGTTCTTGCTATTCTTCCTAGCCAATCTTAGCTGCAACACCAAATTGCGCTCTGAGGCATCGAGGTGGCGAATGTTGTCCATCAAAGAGGGATCTTCATCCTCAAGGTCGCTGTAATCAGAGTCGCCCCCCCTCGACGTTGACCGAGATGAAGAAGCTCTTGACAGGCTCCTACTCGAACCTCGTTCGAAAGAGTTAGCTGGAGACATGCCTCTTCGGATGGAGCGCTTGGTAGATGATTTTGAACGGAAGGAATCATCGTCCACGGAAGTGGCCAGCGTCGTAGTGGATCGCTGCGAAAATCTCCCTATACTATCGTCGCCTGTCGTTGTAGTATGGGTGTATGTCGATGAATGACTGGTAGTCGATTTAGAGCGCCTATGGCTGTTAATTGAACCAGCGAAGAAATCTCCAACAGACGAAGCTGGCCGGGAATTGAAGAGATTACGAGAGATAACATCCAGGCCGAAGATAGATGCCTTAGAACGTGCAGTAGGTGTCGAAGGCCTTGAATTCCTCCCTGAACGGAATTCGAACAGACCATATTGATGGACTAGAAAACTCATCAATAACAGTGTGCAGGACAAGGCAGAAGCCGACGAACTCGTAAGAATTATACGATCAGGAACACGCGCAGTCTGAACAATATCTTCTTCTCCCTGATCGGAAGGATCACTTGATGTTACCTTGTATCGACATACACCACCAGGAAGAGGCTGTAACCGTATGATAGCAAAGGGTGGACTGCCAATGCCAAAGGGGAGCCTATCAGCAGATCCGTTAGCGTCAATATGAACAACAATTTTCGTCTATAATTGGATGTTTTAGGTGAATAACCGAATACTGAGAGTATTTGAGCACTGACTTTCTTCAACTCCTGAAGGAAAGCCTTCCGTTGATACACATTATAATATGTTCTGGCCACCGTGGTTTTTGTACTCTTCGAATCGACCTCAATCTCATTGGAACGAAGCACCACAGACTGGCCAGCCCTAGCCCGGTACTTGGCTTGGGCGTTCCACAAATTTTCTAAGAAGCGAGCCTTGTCGCTTTCAGTAGATGATGGGACAAGGTTGACAGAGGACGGTGAGTGTACAACAGACAAACAACGAAGGGGGCGATTGGACCAGCGATCAGTTTGATCTTGAGGAGGATTTTCCAAGTATAAATGAAAATCTATGCCAGTCATAAGCAGAAGAATATGACAGTATGAAACAAGAGCCCACCAGCGCCCCCAACATCGGCCGCAGCAACTTCAGTAATATCAACAACCCCCTTGCAAGTCATACCATTCTTCCTTCTCCCATTTCCCATTCCACTAGCTTTGGTGACCTTGTCCAAGTCATCCAAACCTGCTAGTACACGACACCCTTTCTCTCCGTTACCAGGCCGCTTGACTATCAGCAATTTGTCATCGAACAAAATAAGAGAACAATGCAAGGACACCGCTGATAAATTGGCAACGGATGCCGATGATGAACTAGGGGTGTCTGAAACGACATCCTCAACATCTATGCAATCGATGAAGCGGCGAGAGTTAGAGAATAAATCGGGTGGGAATTCGTGGATATTTGAGCTCAAACAATAGAATATTGACGCGCGCTTTGTTTGTTCATCCGTTTCTGCCAAAGCAATTTTGCTAGCGATCTCGTCAGCCTCTATGAGCTTCGCTCGCTGTGGGTCACTAGGTGACATATGCTTGATCATGATGCGGAACATCAGCGTATACCTAGGTATCCGTTGAACAGGGTCCATGAGAAGTTCTCGAAGTCCAACACGGTTTTTCGTGTCCGCTGACTGATATTTTATTCGCTGAGATGTATTTCATTAGCTTCCGGGGGGTGATACAAATCGCAGCCGACGCACATCGATGTAGGCCGCGAAGGGCGATGATCTTCGTGAAACCTCCCTCTCAAATATCATCTGCGCGTCCTCCCTTTTCACGTAGTACTGCTTGTACTGTTCAAACCCTCTAAGCTGCTTGAAATGACGGAGTGCCACATCGCCCACACCGCCAACAGTTTTGGGTCCATTTGGAGCCATCATCTTCTCGAGGTCCGTAAGGAAGGCTTCGTTAACAGGCAGAAGATTATCAATATTGCCAAAAAGCGTTTTCGCTTCATACGCAGGAAGGATGGCGGTGCTCTTGCTCTTTGCAAAGTTCCGTAATGGATCGGCGTAGTCATTCTTGAGTATCTGAAGGCGCCTAACATAGGATTTCTCGGTAGAAACCAGTTCGCTAATAACAGCAGAGAGAGCCGACGAATCTGTGAGTGCGCGTTTCCGGGGCATACCATTCTGCGACGAATATAGAGCATTTGGCGCGGGAAGAGCGTGTAGATGGACTGATAACGCACCGAGTCACTTGCCTGTCCATCTCCCTCAGATGATAAAATATTCGCATCTGAATTGGTTTCAAGCAGGTCCCCCTAATGATAAGACTAATTCCTGTATTTCTGTGATTGCGGCGGTTTATTGGCGCAAAGCAAAAATGAGCTATTCGGACGTACCTTCGGGCAGTCTCCTTCCGCTTTCTGAACCTTCGACGACCACTCCGCAGAAAAATACGCGCTTTGTTGACAGTCCGGGGCTAATAGGCTCTTGTCGATGCCTTGTCTCGTCGCCAGTGGCAAGGGGTATCACCTTGCGAGGTGATGTGCTGAGTGCCATTAGAGCATTCGAGGATCAGTGAGACGGTGCAGCAGACTTGCGCGATGCGAAGGTCGGTCTGTAAAGAGAAGGCAGGTGTCCGAGGTGAACTGTTCAACAGACCAGCGCCGCGCTCACGTGAGATAAGTCTGTGACGTATTGTCACATATGCCATATTAAGAATCCATCATGCATCAGCCCCTGAATAGCTTGTGGGCCCTTCCGGCGCCGCTCACATGCCGCCCCCGAAGGCCGCTCCAGTTGCGCTGCTGCATACGAGATGAACGAAGCACCGCAACAATGCCGATATCCATACGCTTCACTTGCTCAACGATTCCCATCGGTAGTGAATTCACATTATATTGAAATCACGGTGTCGAGCATGACAAGAAGAATAAAGATGAAATGTAGTACAACGGAACAAACGTTCCAGAAAACCTATTCAATTTGACTGCAGCTCATGGTCAACCCGAACCTGCGAGGTCGACGGCCTCAAAAAAGCAACTGGAAAGATGCGAAAGTGGTGTTGAAGGGATATGTGTGTAGTGCATTAGCGGCTGTAAATTGGATTATGGTCAATAAAAGTAGCGTCCGGTGTCATGAGGTGAACGAAGCGTCGTAAGGGAGTGTCGTTAATGGCAAGTCTTGAACGATGTGGCGGAGGATGGTCTAGTGGACTTCGACGGGGAGTGGGGGGACAAATGAGTCGCTCATGGGGGTGCCTGCTCTGGACCGTTCTGCAACAGTAGCTGTCGGACCAATAACTGACCCTGTCTGAGACTGGGACAGTGTCCGGTCTTCAGATACACCAGATACAGTAGCGAAAGTCGTGACAGGTTGATTATCAGGATAATATGACTTTCGTTTTGACTTGGTAAAGTCATAAACAGTGAATCTGGATGCAAAGGTTACAGACACGCCCCTGAAAGAATTAAATAAAGGCTTACTGCTCTTCTAGCTGTCGTAACTCTGGCTTCAGCTTGTCCAAGTCCGCATTAGCCCTGCGCTTAGTATGCGTCAAGGGTTTTTCAACCATCAAAAACTCATCCAGTTCGTGTGATACATCAAAGTTTGCATGTTTCATCTATCAACCTGTTAAACACTATATAACGATTGGCAAAGAGACTCACGTCAGGAACGAACGGCGGTTCCAGGCTTTTTTCCTCCAGAGCATCCCAGTCAATATTGGCAAACCAAGGATGCTGTTGGATATCTTCCATCCCAAGTCCACCCTTTCTACATCCCAGACGTGTGGGCACGTCTCGCTCGATAAACTATCGTCCTATCAGAATAAACGGAACAAAATTCGAATAGTCAACGCACCCCTTTGAGCGCTTGTATCCCAGCTTGACTACAGATACTCTGCGCGTTTTCTGGGAACCTCAAGGGGTCTCTTAGGATCGAATGCTTCATTGTGTCCGCAGTTTTCCCATCGAACGGCCGCCTGTTGAACAGGAGTTCATAAGCTGTGATACCAAGACTCCACCAGTCTATCTCCCATGAATATCCCTTCTTCCCTATGACTTGAGGCGCCATGTACGCCATACTTCCAGCAACACTGGTGTGAAGTCGGCGATCCGAGTAGTGTATAGCAACATTAAAATCCGTGAGGTGAGCATGACCATGCACATCCAGCAGGATGTTGTCTGGTTTAATGTCTCTGCGAAACAGATAGGCACACGTGTACAAACGGCCGAAGTGAGGAAACGTACCGGTGGATTATCCGTTGACGATGAAGATACTCTAGTCCAGACGATAACTCGGCTATCCAAAACCTGACCACGTTCTCCTCCATGTGATCCTTTCTCTCTAAATGAACTGAAGTCGCCGTCAATGAAAGGGCTACAGAAGCGGTATCTATGGACGTACAGCGCAAGTCCCCTCCCAGCATGAGGTCCAGAACAAAGAAGCAGTTCTCGTCGTCCTGGAATGCATAGCGTAGGTTCACGACGAAGGCATGATCGATCTGTGAGGGTCAATGTTAGCACAAGGGTTGCTCGGTGCAAATCATTCATACCAACCTCCTCCAGCAACCGACGTTCCTGAATGACGTTCGCCACTGCTCTCTGCCTTATACACTGACTCTTCTCGATGTACTTGAGCGCATACACGACTTTTGTCTTCTTGTGCTCCACAACACGGACCTGTGCGACCTTAGAAATGCCGAGAACGTAAAAGAACACGCTGTACCTTGCCAAATGCACCTCTCCCGACTGCACGATGGAGGTCGAAGTGGTAAAGATTAACCTCGCCGTCGAAGTCGATTGGCTCGGAGAAACAGCAGCCCATCGCATAACGGGGAAAGAGACGGAGGCGCCGACGAGTGAAGAAGGTGGGCTAATAATCAGGACTTGAAGTATAAGGAACACCTAGAATCTCCTTAGGGTATACTTTGTTTTTGAAATCAATGGCGTCCGGTGACTGAGCGGTAACCGGGCTAACCCCTGTAAACGCCCACTTATTCCGCTTTTGGACGCGTTCGCCACATGGCCTAAAGCTCATTGTATTCCTCCCGTCCTTTGTCCCAAAAATATGTCTCTCTCTTACGAACGAGAGAATCACAAAAGTACACCCTTACAAAGGGCGGAAATAAAGAAGAACCGCATATCACACCGGCTCCTGGCCCGATCCTAGCGGCTCACATACTCACTGCTAAGATATTCATCCTTGACAGATCGATCGTGGGGCCAATGTATCCGCTCCAGGAGAATAAAAGAAAACTTGAAGATAGACATCAAGGCAAAGTGAAAACTTTAAGATAACCGCCTTTTCTTGCGGCGTTCTTCAGCTAGATGCGCCAGTCGCTCTCTTTTGACCTTCGACGGAGCTTGAGCGAAAGTTGACGGTTTTGTACCTCCGCCCGAATCTCCACCATTCTTAGATATCATTTCTTCTTCTTCTTCTTCTTCTTCCTCTTCCTCTTCTTCTTCTGTCGTCTTCGCGTCGTTTAAGGGTGAAGACGCAGAACTATTCACACGGAGGTCAGAATCCCAGGAAGAGACAACAATTCGTTAGCAACCTTGTTCCATCGTTGATGAAGTCTTCTTGTGCTTCCTCCTCGCTCGTTTCTTCTTCCCCACGCCTGTCCATGGCACCCCATGCCTGTGCGACTTCTAGGAGTCGATCCCATCGCTCGGTCTCTGTCATATAAACATTTTCGACATCGTCTCGCGGGCAGACACGTCGGCATTTCGGACAATGCACTGTTTCATCTGCGCCCTTTGAGATCTCTGGCAAGCAGGTATTACAGATGACATGTTCACAGGATAGACTAAATTCAGCAACTCAAGTTAGCCAAAGTAAAACAACTTTGATTTATGAATCGACGCGCCTAGAACATTCGTTCGCGACAAATGCTTCCATGCAGATAGGACAATCCTCGGCTTTACCTTCTGCATCGGTAGGGAGGGTGGTAACCAGCATGATATCACTGAATCTCCTCAAAAGCTAAAGACAAATAAATCAGTACTGTCAAATTATGAAGGAGCATAAAGAGCTAGATGGTACTTTTCTCATTTTGTGAACAGAATCTGTACTTCCGCTGTCGGAGTGATCTCCGTTGACGAGATCCTGAGCTTCAGCCTTTGCTTCCAGTGTCCTAAGCTTCGGGTGAGACAAACATTAGAGACCTTGGAAACGCATACCGTCCAATGCACGTACCGCAGAGATCTTTCGCTTGTCTTTCTTACGTCCCTGACAAGGATGAAGCGCGTCGAGTTGAACTTAAGTTATGTGCAGATGCATTCCGGGCTTACCTGTTCCAAAAGTTTGACTTTTTCCTGTAACTGTTTAACTCGGAAGTCCAAGCCTGTTGAACGGCCGCGTGGTTTCTTCGGTTGTTCATTAACACCAGACTGTAATTGTTCGACCTGCTCCTGCAGTCCCTCATTTATTTGCATGAGTTTCTTCATTCTTCTACGCTGTTTCTCGAGACTTCGTTTCAAGGCGCTTACATGGCACTATGCTCATATTTAGACCAGCGCTCTTGTTGGCTATACTATTGATATGGTCACACACCATAATGTCGTCGGTATCTTCACTCGACGATGACTCGTCGATACTCTCAGCTGGTACCTTGATTGATGATGCCATCCGTTTTTGTGCTCGTGTTGTCATAGGGGCCATCGCATTTGGTTGCAGAGTTAGTAGTTCAAGTTTTGGTTGGGAGGGTTCGCTGCGAATGCAGTTAAAGAACCACGTGGAACCACGGTCCGATATTCCGCTAAACTTTCGGTGAAGTCGGACGCCACAATAATAGAAGGCACTAAATTAAGGCGAAAGCGGACTCGAACCTGGATGGAGCAAGTCAGAGTCGACTTGAATTCTCACTAAATTATCGACCTGTGGTGCCTATGAAGCGCGCGCGCGCCTGTGGAATCTAATATATTATGAGCATTGTCCTGCAAAAATCGGCGGTAGCATCCTGAGTGTGTCGATGAACCAATCAAATACGTGGAGATGAAAATGGTGAACGTGCCAGGCATGCCGCACTGTGGCTGAATTGTGTCTCCTACTGTCAGTGGCAGCAGTATCAGCGTAGATAGCTAGGAACAAGGGAAGAAATGATGCATTCCAATTGCGTTTCTTTTCCATTCCCTTGCAGCTCAGTGACAGCGGATGCCCTCATACACATTGTACTATGATGACACGGGAAACGATTCTAACGGTCACTAATATACCTATTGTATCCATGTCGATGTCGCAAGTGGTTAGGTCTATACGAGTTACCCACGATGACGCCAATAAAGCAGGTCAGTTTGAGGAATCGCCATCTTGTCGCCAAGGTAGTGCTCTCCAGGGCAGACCAGGTGTACTATTTGATACCTGTCGCTGGATTCGCGGCCCTTGCTGCCTCTCCTTCTTTCTTCCACATGGCTTTCTCCCATTCGTCCCACTCTTCTTTGGCATCAATCCACCGCTCCTGCACATCCCTCACGTCATACCCACCAGCGGAGTTTATAGCACTCGAGAAAAGCGCATATGTGTTCGGTCGAGCAGACGATGGGACATTATGTTGATCTGGGATGGCATCGGGAGGCATTGGCGAGTTCGCCGGAGGTACAAAGACATATCCAGTAACACGATCGATGGTGCGCGTGAGGTGCATCATAGACGCCTTGTCCTCTACAGCTAAGGTCTCGAATCCGACAAGACTATAATCTTCAATCAGAGATATGAGGGCCATGTTGAGGGCTGCATAACGCCGGGGAGCTGAAGCCTCTAGCGCATTTGATAGATATGAAAGGTCTTGCACCTCAGTGTAAAACGAAAGATTGAAATCTGCACTACGCGTGAGCAAGCAATCCTGGTTGGTAAGCCATTACTCACCCAGGTCACCGTATTGGGATATCAAATCAATTTTCGAAAGCACATTTACATGCGGAAGCTCGAGGTGAAGCATCGCACGCAAAGACAGAAGGAGGACCGAAACGTATTTCGATGCGTCCGTTATGTAGTGAGCGTCACATAGATGAACAGCAGCCAACTATTTAATATCACATTTTCTGTAAAAAGGAAGCAGTAGAAAGACAAGCATACCCGAAACCCACCCTTGGTCAGCCGCTCTATAATCCTCTTCACGCTTTCATGGTTCGTACTCAACTCTACTTGACCTGGGAGGTCGAAGAGCACATAGGCATCCTTTCCAAGCTCCTTCAGTCGGTCTTCTAGCCAGTCATAATTGGCCTCGAGATATTCCATACAGTAGAGCATGCCACCATTGGGGCCGAGCTGATATTCATTCATCACATCCTGCAGAGTAATGAGGGAAGAGATATCGATTGCGCATGGGTAGGGAATATTGTCATTGGCCGGGTCAAGATTGACGATAGATATTGGTCGGCCTAGAGCAGTGAAAAGTTGGTGCTTTCCGTAGCAGTAGGTTGATTTTCCAGATCCTGGAGAACCGCAGATAATTTCTCCAAATGGCATGGTGGTAGTAAAGGAAGATACGGTTCTGTTGTTTGTCAACAGCCCCTCGGCCAATTTCCGGCTAAGCGCTTACTCACACGCGTCACGGTCGCCCTTCTCTTCTTGCCCCATATACTTCTACGCGTATGCCACTAGATTCTGGCGATTTTTTGGCGTCTGACGATCCTGCTGTGAGTACAGTCGCATCTCCTGCTGTGCCGACTACTATATTTTTTTTCAGATCGATGAAATCTTAGCCCAGTCACGAAAAGAACTTGACGCGGCGGGTCCGTCGACCTCGGCGTTGTCTCGAAACAATTTCATCAGAAGGGAGCGACACCGTATCGAAGAAGAGATAAGTCAAATCGACGCGGAACTCAAGAAATACGACGACGACATCAAGACCCTGCAGATACTACGAGAAACGCGTAGACAGGACCAACTCAAATTTGTAGCAGAGCTGAATGCATTGATTGGAGTCGGAAACCAAAAGGGAAAAGGCAAAGCTAAAGGTGGTATAGACTATGGAAGTGAAGCGTTTGAGTGGTCCAATTCGTTGAAGTCGACCATGAGAGATGTTTTCAAAATCAAGAACTTTCGGTTATGCCAGCTTGGGTACGTCATTTCCTTTTGGACTTATTGTCCTGCGCTTACAGATGTATCAGTGTTTGTAACGCGAACATGGATGGTCGGGACATCGTTTGTGTCATGCCAACAGGTTTGACTTCCTCCGCATTTCTATTGTATTCTTACTTCGATGCTGTATTAGGTGGTGGCAAATCACTGACATACCAGTTACCGGCATTGCTACATCGAGGCTGCACCCTGGTCATCTCTCCTCTAATTTCACTCATCAGTGATCAAATAATGCATTTACAAGAGGCCGGCAGTTCGTAAATCATTCAAACTGATATCTTCCGAATCATCCTCATGCCACTACCTTCAGTCAATGCCGTCAAGCTCACCGGTTCCACCTCGAAAGAAGAACAGAAAGCAATTACGCGTAATCTGTATGATCTAGCTGCCGGAAAGTTGAAGCCTGAGCAGGAAATTCGACTTGTTTATGTAACGGTTCGCTAGTTACAGTTTATCTCCGTCTGACATCGACTTACGAGATCACATAGCCAGAGAAGATAGCAAGGAGTAATCCGTTCAAGTCGCTGATGACCAAATTGGCGGATAATAAGAAATTATGTAGGTGATTTCAACGTTATTTTAGTATTCCGAAGATAATGTTGGCGCAGCACGAATAGTAATAGATGAGGCCCACTGTGTCTCACAGCTTGGGCACGATTTTCGGTTCGTTTGATGACGTGTGCGTGTTACCTTGTCCTTACGCTGTGTAGCCCAGACTACAAACAACTCCGTATTCTGAGGGAACTTTTCCCTCGCGTACCAATATTAGCCCTCTCTGCTACATGTCCACCTAGGGTTCTTCAAGATTTGCGAAGTATCCTTCAGTTGCCAGAGATATGTGACGGAAATAGTGAGTTTTCCAGAGATCTAGAAAGTAAGGCACGTTAAAAATGTTGCTTAGGTGCTGACCTTCGAGGTACAACCTACTTCTCGGCCCCATTATACAGAAAAAATCTACACTACAAGGCCTTCCCTAAGGATTCGAATATGAAGAATATGATCAAAATCATGACGGATTATATATTGGAATATCATCCTCATGATAGTGGAATTGTATACTGTCTGACGCGAAACGTAAGCTGTACCCATTTGCTGTCATTACTATCTCAACGACGTTGATAGGATGCCGAAATCGTTGCCCAAAGGCTCTATGAACAGAGCGAAGGGAAGATATTGACGGGGGTGTACCATGCAGAGAAGAAGGATGGCGAGAAAGAAGACCTGCATGTAAAGTGGAGGAAAGGCAATATTAAAGTTGTCTGTGCAACAATAGGTTGGTGAAACCTAACATGCTTTGAGGTTGAGTCTAACGTTGATGTCTCGAAGCTTTTGGACTGGGCATCGATAAAGGCGACGTAAGATTTGTGCTACACCATTCCGTACGAATCCGATTATTCACACTCGTTGTGCGCGCTGATTGTTCCACAGCTTTCGGTTCGTGATATCTCCCGGTTCGTGTACCACGTACATCTAAACGCTCAATAGAAATCCCTTGACGGGTTCTACCAAGAATCAGGACGTGCCGGACGCGATGGCAAAGATGCTGATTGTGTTCTGTATTACCGTCCCCAGGATGCATGGGACATCGCTGCGATGACTATGGGCGACAAGGACGGCTCTGAAAAATGTATTTGTGTCAACGACGTTCTACCTTTCTCACTAACTAGTTCTACTGCAGTGATGCCTATGATTCTCTTCTGTCAAAATACTTCAGAGTGTCGAAAGCTGCAATTTGCCAAGTAGGGCTTCTGATTGTCAGTGTATGCGTTTGAACTAACCCTTTCAGGTACTTTTCTCACTCCTCCGATTTGTCCATCAGCGATTGGGCAACCGAAGAAACTGGAGCACTCGATCGGTGTGGTCATTGCGACAATTGTCTCCGGGAGGGGGATAGCCTGATCCGCGACGTAACTTACGAGGCTTGGCAGTTGACGAAACTCGTCGCAGCCATATGTGATACCAAAAATAAGCACACTGCTCGGAGTATAGCGACGATTGCGAAGAGCAAAACCTGGGACCCATCAAAACCGAAGATGAAGCAACCGGAATACCAGTTAGAGACGATTTGTGATGGTCCCGTGGACCTTCACAAGGATGTACGTGATTTATTTACATTAGTTCGAGTATTCCATTGATCGAAGCAGGATATTGAACTGCTGCTAATTCACTTGTGGTCGGAACGATACTTGAAACCCAGGTTTGTCTCAAACGCACACAAGACTACTGCCTACGTTGAAAAAGGAGTTATGGCGGGACGACTCACGTCTCTATCGAGCGAGAGGGCGAAGAACAACAGTTCGGGTTTGACTATACGATGCGCCTTTCCACGGAGGGCGCGACAGTCCAGAAAGCGTCAAGAGAGTAAAGCTGGGTCCAGGAAAGGAAAAGCAAAGGAGCAGGATGACATAGAAGATGCGGAAAGCGATGAGGACGATCTGTATGTGTCGGATCGTGAGGACGAGGCACCGAAGCAGTCCAGGAAACGGTCGTCGAACCAGATAATAGAGGTGGATGGTATCGAGGACGATGACGATGACTCAAATGAGTGGATGGCTAGTCTTCGTGGAGACAAACTACCTCGAAAGAGACCGAGAACAAGCCTTAAAGATGCACCTAACGGAGTTGGAAGAGGACGGGAATCTGGTGGAACCACCGTCATAGAAATATCAGATTCAGAGTAATGGTTGATACATGTGGCTGTATATAATGTAATATGTACTAGTAGTTGTATACGACAGGACACCAAAATGGAATGGGTATAGGCTAATTGACCACCGCGTTTACTGTCCAGCAGTCTTTAATAAAATGAAAGAAAGTGTGTTGTAATTACCCCGTGTATTCAGAGACTCATTGCTGACTGTGAAAGCTGACTTCGTGGGTTTGGCTTAAGAGCCGACCGAAGGGGGGCCTTAGGAACAAGACGATGCATCATATCGATTCGCACACCGTCTTCGTTCATCCAGCCTTGACCAGGCTCCGGATATCCGTCCAGATCAAGGGGAAACTCATCACCAGGTTCGGGTGTTTTGTACGTGCCAGTGTTCGTCCACAGCTGATCCCTAGGGCAAAAGTCAGAGTGAAGATTAATCAATGGAAAAACATGAAACGAACCCTCGTCGGTTGAACCATCCCTTCCGCCGCTGCTCAGGCCAAATAGGGGACGGACATATAAGGTTTTGGTTCCAGCGCACGGACCGAGCAGCGCCAGCGTTTGAGGTCAACCTGATAGGATTGAAGGTCGAGTGAGGAGGTACCTGGTCGCCATCCGAACGTCGTCGAAATACCGAAGTCCCAGAATCCTTTCGGTCTCTTGAAGGGCCTGAGGATGATGGAACAAGAGCTGAATCTTCACCTTCCGAATAACGCCTGGGTGGTTTCGGTAATGAACGCTGCGTAGGGGAAGTATCCTTAGTAGGAGATGGGACACGACCACTGGGCGGATATGAAGATCCTAAGGCATCATTCCTTGAGCGACTCGACCGTTGTGGGTCTAGGCTAGGGCTAATGGACCTTGAAGGCATGTTTGGCGTTTTGGAAGGAACGACTGTGGGAATGCTTTGATGTGGAGACATCTCCCTCGATGTGGCATGGTGAGAAAAGGAATCACGACGGGGACGACTTCGCTCAGCTTCAGTCCGTGAAGAAGTGACCTGAATAGCTACAGGCATCTCATTTGCCGACTGAATAGGTGGTGCCAGGGAGACAGACCCTTGACGAGAGCGATCGCGGTCAATTTGCCATGAAGTATGATGTGAGGACCTTGCAACTGCGGAAGACATTCCTGCGCTACCATTCTTAGGCTCAATGGACATTTGAGAGACTTGCTCCGTATGTACTGAGCCCTGCGCTGGGTGGCGGGTCTCCGAAGATGAACGTCGATCATTCGAGGTCCGAGGTAAATCTGGTGCGACCGAAGCACGTCCCCGCTGTGCTAAAGAATCCTGAGAAGGACGAACTGACCCTTCAGTTCGGCTTGCCATTCGCGCGGTTTCCTCGCGTGGAGAACGGCGCTGTTCGTGTGGTACAGTGTTTATATCATTTGTACTGATACGGGGAGCGGACGATTGGGAAGCGGTCCCTGGAGCCATTGTGGGCGGAAGGGCCATATTGGGGACAGGTACGCTAGTCGACGGGTGGGAAGGGAGGGAAGTTGTTTCGGCCGCACGTATAGATGATGCTCGCTGAGTGCCTGCGCCTGTATGCAATGGTGAGGTCGACTGTAAATTATATGGTGGGGATTGAGAAGAAGGTGAAATATCCGGACTCTCGGGCCGAGGGAAAGAAGTCGTCACAGAGGACTCTGATTTGGCTGATGCGGCAACGGCTGCATACGTGCGTTTTTGCTCCTGCACCTCCACCTTCTGTGAACTGTAGGTGGCGCGACCAGTACGTGGCACGTCCATGCCGGTAGCATGTGCCGCAGGCGGCGAAACGGTTTCGTTATAGGATAATATCGGTATCCCAGAAAGGTCATCATCCGAAGAACCTTCATGGGGATCTGGGGTGGAAATTCTGCCGTTTCGGCTTTGGGGGTTGGAGCTCGTCTCTGGATTTGGAGTCTGGCGTCCAGCCATCTCTGGATGCGCAAGGCCGGGTGGTACGGCCGGACGAGGAAGTTCCATGGAGTTTTGTGGGCTTGTTTTTTGCTGCTCTGGGTCGTCCGAAACTACCGCATCTGGAAAATAATAGGGCATGAATGCCGTGTTTCTCCTGAATGCAGCGTTATATGGTACAGGGGCGGAGGCGATGGTACTTTGTGATGGAGGGTCGTCGGGAGTTGGGGGTAATGGAATGGAACGCTGCCTGCTGGGGCCTGGAACATCCCTTTGTGGTAGTGTAGCTGCGCCAAGTGTACGTATACTTCGCGATATACCAGCAGGAAATGAAGCGGCTTGAGAGGATGCTCTGTGACTGTCCGCATTATCGGTGGTAATAATCTCCGACTGCGTCATCTGGACGGACGGGTGAGAGGAAACAGGTCTGAACGCCTGAGGATATGAAGTACGAGAGTTGTATTCAGTATTTCTCCTAGAAATGCGATTGAATTCCTCGTCATCAGACTCCGTAGGTAAAGGACTGCTACTAGCATCCTCATAAGCAGCCTGGTATGACGAAGTTGTGGAATAACCTTGAAAAGCGGGCCTTTGATCGCTCGCTTCTCGAGAAACTGGGACAAGTCGAACGTCGGCTCCAGTCTGAGACGAACGTCGGTCAGATGCAGCGCCAAATTGGACTGCTGAAGAGGATAACGCCTTTGAAAGCGCTGGAGCGGGAGCGGGTAGGGGGAGTGGTACATTTTGGGAGGAAGGACTAGTTAAAACAGTGTCGGTAGACAATGAAGATGATAAATCGGAGGAGGCCGTGGCGAGGGATGCGGTGGATGCGTCATAATCAGAATTAGAATAAATTTCCGACTTGGCAGAATTTATGGAAGGCTGGTAGATATAGGTGCCATTAGTAGAAGTACTTGGATAAATGTAAAAGCTTGATGTGGTTGTCTGGCGCGATGGCTGCGCTTCTCCCCCAACAGGAAGTGACGAAGCTTTACCAGACGGATTGGAGGGATTGGAAGTCGAGTTAAACCAGGACCAGGAAGAAAGCCAATTTTGTTGCCCCTGCTGAAATCCGGGATTTTGGAAAGAAGAACTTCTGTTAAATTTTATAGTACCGGAACTTTGAAAGGAAGAAAGAGTGGGCGCCTTGAAAATATTGACGGAGAAGCCTTTCGAAGCCTATGCGAGGAAAAATTTAGCGACGAAGACTAAGGAAGTAACGCTCGTACCTTAACTGGACTGGCTCCGGACTGGCGACTCCTCGATGCTGACATACTGGATACACTGGTACCGGCTGAAGAGAACATGTCGAATGTGCTCGAAAAAAACTAGCTCCCCAAAGAGCCATCTATATAGTGTGCCTACCGCTTGTGAATATCGGGTCCGTGCCTGCGCCACGAGTTGAACTTGCAAGAAAACATGAGGTGCTCGATCAAGGCATTTCGTCGGTTTACATGCATGTAGCCTGTGTGATTCCGAAAGCAATGAACTGCCACGCCGTTTGGCAATTTACAAGGGGGAGGCGTTAGCGTCGAGCCAGTGATGATCACCGCGTGAAGGCTCTCCAGGTAACAAATGTGCCTTGAAGGGCGTGGTTTGCACCAGAATCACACTGGCTCGGCCCACAGGTATGAAACAGTGAACAAATACAGTATGCGTGTCGGACCTGACTCGCCACCATCAATACAGGGACTTGAGTAAACCACTACAGACGAAGCACGTAGGGGGCCAGTGCTCCCTGATATCCGACAACAAAGGCCGCTTCAGGTTGAATTCAAGCCTACAAATTTAGCATTTTCATTTCTTGCGACAATGTATAATTCAAAATAAGGCTACTCACTTGCGAACTTGAAGGCTCATAGAAACTGGAAAGTCAAGGCACACGAGAACTGCTGCAGGCGGCATCATTTTGGTCCTGAGCCAATTTCATTCGCCGCGCCAATCAAAGGCCCCCCTTCACGCTCGGCATCCTCGTTGAAGCCTCCAGGTGGTGGTTGGTAATTTTGCCAGTTTTTGTCCACTGTTACATCTAGCGAGACACGTATAAATTCGACCGTTGAATGCACTACCTCTCGCTAAAGTACTCTAGTGAGTATTAAATATTAGGCTCCATCTAATAAAATAATAATGTCCTTTGTAGTACGGGGTCCATGCAAACCGAAGAAAAAGCTCAAGCAACGAACATATCGACTCCCTGGCGTTGAGGGGAAATAACTGCAATGGCCTTGCTCGAAAGTTCGAATAAGCTACCTCCATCGTAAACAACCATATCTCTGTTAACTTCTCTCACGCCCAATAAGACTTCCAGATTTCTCGAAGCTAACGCCAATACTTCAAGTCTATCCACGGATTTTTGAGCCTGAAAAGCAATCTATCGTTCATTGAAAACGAGTGATACTTTCAAAAACAGGAAGCTCTTACGGATGCAAGGTCAAAACGCATGATTTGCGCCATGTAAGGATCCTTCATTCCTATTCCGACGCTCACCCCATACTTCAAGAGGGTAGATAACGTGGTATCGTTTGTTATGGGTGGACCAGCCAGTCTAAAAACGCTTTCAATCGACGGTCACAATATTCGAGGGCATTCCGCACATTCTCCGTTCGTCCCAGGTCGTAGGATATGGTTTCAACGAATTCAAGATAACGCCCACACCCGAGTTTCCTAGGAGGTTTAGGGTTGCTTGTTTGTCTTATGGATGTCAATGAAACAGGTACCCACCAATTTCCGGCGCAAGAAGGTAGGCTTCTGTTGCTCCCGAAAACACCATTCTCATCCTGGACCCAATCCTATCCTCCACTTCACTTTTGAGCGACATGAGTGTAGTCATGATGTCGGCACTATTAACGTCGATCACCAATGGCACTTCTCCCTACGGATGTATTTAGAAACAAGGTTCGAACATGACGCGTCGGAGTACGGTATTACCTCGGCCGCTCTTTTGAACCACAGGCCTATGAGACATCAATCGATGGTGTGCAAGTCATCGGTGCTCTAGTAAGAAGCACGCACCTGTTTCTGTCTCCGTGCTTTCCCAACCAAACAGTAGACGCCGAAGAGCCGCGACTTGATCACTGACTCCGACACGATCCTTCCCAACAGTGGGCGGAGCTATCGCAATGTGGAGAGCGGTAACATCCTGTATTACAGCGCCGTACTGGATGCTATGAGCTGATCCGGTTCGGAAAGTCGTTGACAGTCCTAAGACGACGCGAGTGTATGCTCCTTGTGCTCCGGCAGAAAAGGAAGTTGCAGCTGTTACCCCACTACGGTATGCCACTCTATGACACCGACATCAGAAAGCATGATGGCGAAATATGAAGAGTCTCGTACTTGGCATTCCGTGTTCCGAAAGTCAGCGAGTCTGCTGCTCGAGTTACACCAGCTACATCATGAAGAATCTGCGGAATATCGTCCGTAAAAGGATTGTAAACCAAGTGACCATCCCCCGTGGATGGTTCGGAAGGGATCTCCTCCAGGCCAAGGGTCGTGCCGTATGCATGCAGTCCAGGTGATATGGAACCTCCGTGAAGGTTGATGTAGTCGACTGCGTCATACTCGCTGGCCAAGCACATATCATTGCCTCCGACACATATAAGGTTTCCGCGTTCAACGACAACTCTGCCACGTCCATTCATGTCCGGATCTGTAGGTGAAGGGAAAATCTCCTCGATGTCTCCATTGGAGCTACGGGTCCAAACCTCTTTGACATTGTAAAAGACGATCTTCCTATCTTCTTTATTGTTACGCAAAGGGGGAAGTCCATCCCACTTTGAAGCGGTAAGCCTTTCCTTGTCCCAACTCGGCGCAGTAGGCATTTTATGTCTTCCGGGATCCGCGATATTCTTCGGAGGCTGGTAAGCTAGGGAGGGGACTTGAAGGGCACCATCGATCCAAACCATCGCCGGGGTTGCTCCTACCCTTAGAGGATGTGAGTCCCACATAACGACATCTGCATCCCAACCTTCTCGTAGTGTACCGATCCTGTGCGGAAGACCAGCAATGATAGCAGGAGTAGACGTGACAGACGCGAGAGCGAGGTGTGCAGGAAGTCCAAAATGATATGCTTGTTGCGCCTCAAAAATGAGATCCCTGGAATTCATGGCCGGCTGTTCAGACTAGTTAGGCATCTTGCATGGTACACTGGGACACCGATACGCGTACCTGCATCGCAACGGATATATTAGCCTCTGTCAAAGTTCGAGGCGCAAACTCCGACCCCCGGAATGATTCACGTTTGGATCTAACAGTGCAACAGTTTGTGGAATGTTCATACGAAGAGTCAGAAGCAGTGGTAGAATTACCTATGATTAGTCGCGTACAGGGAGACTGCTGGTGCTCCTCCCCATCTAATAATGTATCAGAGCGGGTACTGCCAGGCATTACTATTATCGATAACTCACGTTTCATTCAAAATATCTGTAACAAGCCACGCTTCTGAAGCTTGGTGGAAGACGGAGATAGGAAATTGAAACTCATTTGATAACTGGAAGCATTTCAACTTATGGGAGTCTCCCAAGGATTGACGCTTACCCTGATCATGCCATCGAGGTCGACAGCTTCATTACAATGAACAGAAACCTGCCATCCGAGAACTGGAGTCAGTCTATTCAAGGCTGCATCATAAGGGTATAGGTACCTTTACTCTGCCCCGAAGAACATTGGTTAGCAGTTCCCATTTCACACTCTGAGGAAATTCAGTAGGAAGGGACGCCCATAAACCAGACTGGGCCATAGCACAAAAACTATCTTGGACGTTTTTGTGTTGAAGAGCCTCGGAATATGCTGATCTCAGGGCCCACATTGTGTCCATGCGAGTTAGGTTGTACACTGCCAGGTCTTCACCACAGCCTTGACTAGGTAATGTTACATTGACGAAGTGCGCTTATCAGAACTTCCTAAAAACTCACTGAAGATAGCGCCAGGGTACATGCTTCTCTTCCCGCTTTGTTGCATTCCAGAGGTCTGGTAGCTCAATAACCATCGAAGAGGGAGACCGCTTTGAGGTGGGTCGTGTCTTAATCATGAATGCCTCGCCCGCTATTCAGGATAGTGTCATATATGCAACACATGACGGGGAAAAATTCGCCACATACCAATGGCATTCATGTCCCCCGGGATCACCTTCACTGAAGTAACGCCACCAGCGACTGCAAGCTTGAATCCATCGTCGTGGGTGTTCAGAGCATCGATGCTCCGTAGCCACGGAACTATGGGTCCCTTTTTTGAGTTTGCGTCAGATGCGCCTGGTATCATGTTTTAACGTACATAGAATTGAAACGGAAAAATTACTTTTGCCTACCGTCTGTCAACGGAATGCTCATGACGCCAAGGTGGGAGTGAAGGTCGACTACCAATGGAAATTAGAATCTCGCAACTCTGGAAGACATAGCCAGAGAACCCTACTTAGTCCTGGGGTGACCCAAGCACCGTTGGCATGGATGATAAATGTGCTTGAGTCTCCATATTTGGGTGAAAGGTTTCCTATGGCTTTCACGATGCCCTTATCTAATAAGATGTCCGAGCCCACCAAAACCACCCCTTCGCCATCCGAGATTTCTCCCGTGAAGATCGTCGCATTCTTGATCAAAGTGGCATTAGTTCCTGGCTCGTACCTATCAGATACATCCCGAGTGATAAAGTTAGGCTCCACGACCCCCGGAAGACTCTCCAGGCTTGCGCATAGCGACAAAATATCCGTTTGTTGATCAGCAGACCAGAAAAGAGGGTCATGGCGTTCTGGCGACGTGAAGAAGTCAACATTACCGACAAAAAGTTTTAAAGCGACCGTAGCAAGGCAGAAGGCCCAAAGATGAAGAGAAGAAAAAGAAATCCAGGAGCGATTTGCGACACCCTGTTGTTTCTCAGACATGATGGGCTATGGCAAGACGTTAGCTAGTCCTCATGGCAATATGTAGGTGCAGTCGTGTTCATCGTCTCCCTTGTGACGTAAGTGATGCAGTGAGGGTGCACGAAAAGGAATTAATGATATTTATAAATGCGGTAGTTGAGTGTAGATACTTTCAAAGTTTGAATATTATAAAACACTGTATGATGATATGAATCTCACGAGTTTCTCTACTTCTTGGATGAAGCACTTGGCCCCGCAACAGGCATGTCACTCTGAGTCTCCGTTTCGGCAATCGCATTGGCGCTTGTTACCTTGCGTCCAGCGCGCTTCCTTGTGCCCCCAGTGACAGGCGCATTGACCTTCTTGGCTTTTAATATCTCCATGATTTCTGCTTACGTTCAGACTAATGCACTCGGCCGGTAAACAGAAACTGACTCACCTTGATGGGTCATGAACTCGTGCCCTTTAACGCCCCTCTTCATTGTTAGCCATCTTCGTTGTAGGATATGGGGACTCCATAGGTTCCACTGAGGATCAGGAATCGTTTTCCAATCAATTTCACTGTCATCAAAAATTTGTAGCGAGTCAAGCCTATAAGACAGTCATGTAGCAAGGGAAGATTAACTGGCTTGACGAGGCTTACTTATGAACGAGGATGTATGAGTCTTGATTACCCCAACGAGGTTTTTGTCCCGCATTTTTGGTGCTTGGATTTAAACAATCGGTCCTTCAAGAAACTTTAAGCAAGGGCGGTAGACTAGAAGCAGAAAAAATGCACACCATTTGATGCGACACTGTTGACGACTTCGTTTCCCACACATTTTCTGGCTGACAACGCCCCAAAAAACATCGTTATCGGCGTCGCGTCCTTGCTTTAGTGTTAAATCCGTGACAATTTTTGTAAGTTCCTCCTCTTCTTCTTTTGACCATTGCCCTGAAAGACTGGTCAACCCCATGGACATTCATGTAAGATTATCTTGAACGCACCGTTTACTCTCAGTTCCCGATTTTGTATATGGTTTCGATAGCGGTCACGACAGTCCATACCTCTCCGTCCGACATCCAAACCAACTTTCTCCCAAGACTGACCGTGGTTCGCCACCGCTCTACGAGAGGTTCATCAACAAGGTCACTGAGGGAAGAAATATACCCACTGCTTGAGCATGAGATCTTCTGCAGGTGTCCATTTTCCCTGCTGTTTGACTGGATGATGAGAACGTCGAACGTGATGATAAACGGCAATGATAGGTCTTTGAGGTACAGCGGCGGCTATTTGCAATTAAAAATCATAAACTGGCGTCAGCGGAACCGACCTACTTATTTCGGACCAGAAGGCGTTGTCTTTGCTTTTTTCGTCTTTGGGAAATATGACTTCATACATTTGCTCTTCAGATAACGATTTGGACTAATCACGACGGTTAAGTTTAAAGTACGCGAAACATGAGTATTCACATACGAGGCGATACTGCTCTATCGCAGAGCTGAGTTGCTGCTCTTCAATGACAGAAAATTTGCCTTTCTTGTAGACAAGACCTACCGACACGTTAGAAGCTAAAAGTGGCCACAATTGTGAAAGTACCTTGAGACCTAGCGAGCTGATTCAATTGACCGGCACTTAACCATTTAGTGGCAAGCATGTGGGCGTGATCTTCACGAGTAAAACCATCAGCTACGGCTACCCTATGTTCAACCTCGTTGGAGCCCTCAGAAGATCTCAGGATGCTTTCAGATGTAGCAGGGATCTGACCAACTGGCGTCGGCATAGAAGGAATGAGCACAGGCGGAACACCGAAAGGGACATTAGCAGCGGTCGCCGCTTCCTCTAATGACTTGAGCACATTGGCGATTTTGGATATATCGAGCTCCTGTAAAGCGCGAAGAACGAGGTCATTGGAGTTGGCATCGGAAAGCAATGGATTTGAATGGGACGTATTTTGCAGATTGTCGGGAGATATAGCGTCAGAGGCAAAACCAGACGAATGGTAAGGAAGCGGTGGATGAGCTGACTGGTCATCTTGAGGCGCAGTGCCGCTGGAAGCAGCTACCAGAGCGGATAAGAGCGCATTCGCCATAAGCTGGGAAGCAGAGTCTGACTCCGACTCTGTTACACGCTCTGGTATCGGCTCGTTCGCGTCAAAAACTACGATGCCACTGGAGGCTCCATCCCCTTGCTGCACATTTTCACTATGTGAATTCGTGCCCGACTTTCCAACACTCGCAACAATCTCGCCGACGGTCGAATGATTTTTCTTTCGTTTCTTCTTTTTCCGTGGTTTCAGAGCGGGGTCGACATTCGCAGGCTCCTCAGCAGGTCGGCCTTCCTCTTCGCGTTTGCGTTTCTTCTTTTTCGAAGAATCATGGTGTTTATGCGAGGAAAGGCTGGCTATAGGAGGCAACGACGACGATCTCGACATTGAAGGCTGTTGAGGGCTGGTCAGACAACAAATCCTAAAAAGACTTGTCACACCATATACTGTTACATGTGTGACACTGTGACGGCGCGCTACCGGGGCCCAACCGCCAAGTGGCGCGTCGATTCAAAGTGTAGTCACTACGACATTTAATTTTACTGCCCAAAGAATCCATCATGACTTTCCGACCTAGGAACCCTTACTATCTGCGAATATCTGAAAGAAATGTTCTACCACTCTATGTGAGCGTCTGTTTCCAGGACTAGCGAAACTATCCTAATACCTACGTCAGCTCTATCTGGACGACCGACATCTCGACTGGATGTCAGACAGGATTTTACAGCATGTTCTAGAGGATCTCCGACCAAAGTTCTTCCTTTTTTGTGTTTTACCATGCTTGTGTTGTTGAACGGAAATGCAGCATTGTACCCAAGCTGAAAGCTGAATCGGAGACGCAACGGGGATCTGATAAGAAAGGAACAGTTGAAACGCACAGAGGAGGTGAGTCACGGCAGTCTTCAACCCTTCCCACTAATGTAGAAATTGTATACAGAAACATACCAATTCTGTTATTTCCTCCGTAAGGCTCAACCTCATTCGGTCCTTTTGAAAGTCAGTCCTCACATTTATGGGCCTCAGCATGGTTATTTTGACATTTATTAGTCGCGGACCTTTATTACTGTCTCAAGACAATCTGCAACATCACTTCCTGCGACAGAATCAGCTCCTAAACCGCAGAAACGAAAGCCCAACAATGACGCGAGGAAATCACGGAAAAAGCCAAAGACAAAAGGAGAAGGCAGGGCCGAAGAAGATGACAATGACAGCTACGATGAAGATGTCACGGGCGAAGCGACAGAACGTCCTGCTCGTCGTTCCCGTAGGAATAGACAAGTCGATGAAGATGTTGATATGGATGAAGACAGAAGCGAAGCAGACTCCCAGGCTAAGGATCTGCCACTGGAACTCGAAATTACAGAAGAAGAAAAACCCAAACCGATGCTGAGGGTCAAGTACCAGGGTTTTGATGTCTCCGAGCTTTGTCTCTGCATTGTTGTTGAACCTTGGCCCCCCATCCGAGTATCGTCAATAGCTCCTCCGTTCCTGTACGCACGGTCACAGACTCCCTCCGTGAACAGAAACAGTATGCCTCCACCCGCGCCGGAGGTGAGCACGCTGCGCCGCGAAAAGACTCCCCTCTTTCTTCCCGATGAATACGAGCGTGAGCGAAGCGAGACACCGGCGCCGTTTCCAGGGCGATACACTTCAGTGGCCCCTCCAATTCATGGTGATGACGACGACGACGATGGATGGGGGATGATGGAGTTCAGCCAGATTCTGAATGCGGTGGGCGATTCTCGCGCCGGCGCCATTGATGAAGATGAAGACATGGATGGCGCTGTATTTTTTGGTGATGCAGACGAGGTTAAGGAGCTTTGATTTATCTTTATTCCTATTGTATTGCTACAGAATTGTATCATTATAGAAATTTTTTGCACAACTATCTATCTATCTCCTGGTGTTACATCCTCGCGACGCTGAGCTATTGTGTATTACACAAGTCCAAGATACTTTGGTGTCGTCAACCGTCATGCTCTGCCAATTTCACGCAATATTTCCAGCTGACGCGAAGGTGACACCTCTCGGAATCCTGCGCTGGTCATCTCGAATTGGCCATATCCTCCCGACAGTGCACGAAGGCGATTATTGTAATCTAGCATTCGGCTGAGGGGTGCAAGAGCGTGAATAGACCGCTTCAATGATGACGAGTTGCCCTTGAGCGCTGTTACATTGGATGCAGAGGGTGAGAGAAAAGCGGGTGGTATGTAAACGCCATCGGTTGAATATGCTCGACCCTCTTCCTCTTCAGTCATTCCGGAACTCATATCGAGAAGCTCAGCGCCATGTTCCGTGAGATCTTTTGCCACCTTGCCGAGCGTGTCCTCACTCACTGTAATTTTGAACCGTGTAAATGGCTCCATGATAGGCCCCATACCCGCACTACGGAGACGATTCCGGAGGATCTTGGAACTGGCACCACTGAGTAAAGTGATCGAGGGGGGCTTGATGTAGCTTTTGACCTGGATACGGACATGGGACATGGGTAGTGACGAGTGTGGCGAGTTGGACAGGGAACTGTCTATCCCTGCAGCAATGCACGATTCCTCTGTTTCTTTCATTCCGGTCTGAGGATATGCAATCGGCATTCCTTTTTGATTGACCACAACGTTCCCATCCCAGAGCGAATCCCCGGCCTCCCCTTCTTCCAAGGGACGTATATCGAAAGATATTCTAACATCGGTACCCGCAACATTGGCAACCTCATCCTCTGGCTGGACTACTGAAAAATTGGGTCCAAGTGCCTCACGATAGCTGACCCGGCGCTGACCGAACTCGAATCGCGCACCCCATTCATCTCGAAGACGGCCTTCAACGATTTCAAGGTGCAGAGCTCCCAAGCCGTGCACAAGCATCTGTCCCTCTTGTGTAATCTACGCGAACTGAGGGATCAGTGCGTGATATGGACTCCAGAGCTTCCGTTACAGGGTCCAGATCGGAATGTGACTGAGGCACTACCTGAGGCGGAGATGACGGAGGGAGGGGTAACGATAGTTGGAAGTGTGTCTGAGTCATGGGATACCTTTGCTCCAGTAGATATAAGAGTATCGCCGGTACGTGTGAACCTGAGACCAACAATGACGCCCACTGAACCAAATGGAAGTTCTTCAACGTCCTGGACCTCTGAGGCATACAACAGCTGCAGTTTTCCAACACGCTCACGTTCATTTCGATTAGTGTTGAGAAGAACACTTTGTCGTTTCAGAGTGCCTGTAAATAGGAGCTTAGTCAAGTTTGTTTAAACAAGGATACGACAATGTACCTGAATAAACCCTGACGAAAGTGAGCCACCCCTTCTTCTTATCCCATCCGACTTTCCAAGCAAGTACGCGCACAGGTGCATTTACTGGAGGCGGCGCGCCACGAAGGACATCCAAGGGACTTGCAAACAGCTCTCCGATGTAGTCCATCACCAAATCCGTCCCTATGTTCTTGACAGCGGAGCCGCATAACACGGGCAAAATCTCGTTACTGATAGATGTCTGTCGTAGATGGGGCATGATTTCGTCACTCTCTATGCCAGCGTATGCCATGGGGTCAGAAGGCAGGCCAATAAGCTTCTCCATTAGCGGTTCAGAAAAATTCGAGAGGTTATCAAGGAGAGCCATACGGGCAGGAACGAGCTCAGAAAGAAGCGGATGAGAAGGCGGAAGAATGTCAAATGCCTGAAACTCTTCCATAGAGCGGGGAAGTGGATGGCGCGTTACTTGCCCGTTCTCGTCCCATTTCCATATCTCCCACTTGACCAAGTCGACTAATCCCTGTATGCCGGGCTCTGCACGCGCGTAATCAGCAGGCTCGAAGGAGGCTATCGGTAACGTCAAGGCAACTGGTAGAGGATGCAGCCGGTGTGTAAGTATCGAAGACAGAGAAGCACTGAATGAAGCGCCTGGTCTGTCAAGTTTGTTCAGAAAAACCAATCTTGTCGCGACTTTATATCTGAATATGACTTTTTCATGAGCATCAAGGGCTACGCTAAGGGTGCGACATACCTGTCCAGTTGGCGCCAAACCCGTTTTGTTTGAGACTCGACACCTTCTACAGAGTCCATGAGGACTACCGCGCCAGTCGACAACCCTGCTCGCGCTTTCGACTTCCATACCAAAGTCAGCATGTCCGGGAGTGTCGATGAGATTGAACGTCCATTTCTTCCATTTGACGGGGATACTGGCTGACTGGATGGTAATTCCTCGTTCTCGTTCGGCAGGTAAAAAGTCGGTTGTGGTGCTTCCAGTGTCTACAGACCCCGATGATGACAAGTACTCGGACTGCAAGCAAAATGGACTCGGTAAGGGTGGTTTTTCCGGAATCTTCATTTTGTTAGAATAGAGCATGACTTTACCTTGAACACTCGTACCAATGTGAGCGACAAGAGCCATATTTCGTATGTCGGCAGCAGCCGTCGTCGCCATTCTGCGCCTGGAGAAGGTAATCCATAATTTTCTTGCAGTTGACCGGTGGCCAGAGTCGAGCTAGCATGGAAGTCGGCCAACAAAGGCAAGCTAGTTGCCGAGTTAGGATCCCTTTTTGTCTTCTTTTTGTCATGCATTCAAGCTTTTGTTCCTCCATCTCTCTCCTTTCCCTCTTCGACCATGGCAGACCCTGTGGATAGAATTGGACTCTACAATACGCCAGCGACAGGCTACAGTACCAGGTCACCCTATTAAACACCATTCCTGATAACATTAAACCGAATGGACGAATTCCAAATACGCCGTTGGCTGCGTCTACAATCTCGTTTCTTCTTGGATCACTATTTTCGCTTGGAGCGCTCACTTTTGTGGCCGGCGGTTATGATTATTATTGGTGGTCGACGTACCAGCTTGGGCTCTTTGTCGCCGCATGGTCAGCCTTTCATTGGGGCGAATTCGCCGTGACCGCTGGATGGAATCTCGAAAAGTGTAGTGTTGACTGTGAGTTATTGTTCTACCCTAATGTCACGCTCTCATCTGCCTCAGCCTTTCTCTTGGATAATGGTTCAATATATCATATTGCGCACGGAACGGCATTGGTTGAATATCTTGTCACTTTGTATTTCAAACCATCCTGGAAATCACATCCCTATGTCACCATTGTCGGTCAGGAAATTTGTACGCTGTTGATCTCGACGATACTGACTGCGTTCTCAGGTTTCGTTCTCATCATTGTGGGACAACTGCTACGGTCAACAGCTATGATACATGCTACAACTAATTTTTCCCACATGATCGCCTTCAAGAAACAAGATAGTCATGTATTAGTCACGGATGGTGTCTACGCGTAAGCCCTCAGAGTCACTCTGCGTTGCACAATGTCACTAACGTTTGGGCAGATGGTTTCGTCATCCATCATACGCCGGGTTTTTCTATTGGGCACTAGGAACGCAGCTAGTCCTTCAGAACCCAGCGAGCTTCGTCGGTTTCGTCGTTGTTCTCTGGCGATTTTTCTATTTCAGGACCAGAGGTAGGCCAAATTCGTCCTCAAGTTCAACCATATATTAACCACTCCTCCAGCGGAAGAACGGGCATTGGTCAGGTTTTTCGGCGACGAATACGTCCAGTACCGACGGGCTGTCGGTACCAAGATTCCATTTATACCTTAGACATTTTAGAAACGATAGTTCAAATTTTACGAGTCTGTTCAGTCATACAGCACGCTCTGAGGCGAAAGAAATGTTATATGCAGCATGTAGCCCGACCATATTGCATAAAATCATAGCAGAGTCGACATGATATAGGTATCAACTACTCCTCAGTCTTGATTGCGCCCTTCTCCGACACGTAGATACCATCCAAGAACTTTCGAATATCCTTGTTCCGCACGCGACAGACGCCATGGATAGATGCGGCTAGAGCGAGATAAGCGACAACGTCAACAGTGTAAGACTAGTTGATACACACCGGACTGAGAAACGTTGTCGATGTCATTGCCCTCCAGGATAAGCTCGTCCTTCTGGGCTTTTGATTCTGAGACGACGACACCATCCAACATGTTCACGTGTCGAACGGTCTGTGAAGATATTGAATAGCCGGTTAACACACCATTTTGCACAGTAGACGCACCTTTTCGCCCAAGAAATTACGGATTTCCAATGCACGACCCGACTCCTGGATGATGCAGTTGATGGGGAAATGGGCATAGACGGAACGCATCTTGTATTGGAAGCCCTAATTGGCGTTAATTTTGTGGTAGTGCTTTACAAACAGGGCGCCAACCTTCGTAACTCCAGTAATCATGTTGGTGATGAGACTTTTGATTGTTCGCAGGCAAGCTACGTGCTTTCTGCCGCCCTGCCACACTGCGAGGGTGACCTTTGCGGTCTTTCCCTTGATAAGCCGAATGTCCATGTCGACATGGCGGACGTTCTTGGTCAATGTTCCCCGGGGTCCTTTGACAGTGATAAGGCGGGACTTGATGGAGACGTCAATTCCCTCGGGGATGTCGAGTTCTTCTGTCTGGAGTACGTCCCGCATCTAGGAAATAAGGCTAGTCAGCCCAAGGTCATCCAAACGGCATCTCTTGCATCCAGCATGAAATTCTGCAGGAAACTGGCAATAGCGGTATCCGGAGAATGCTGATACCAGTGGGAGTCCGGCAGAGATGCTTTAGGGACAGCAGGACAGCAATACTCACCGTTGAAGCGTAGTTTCTTGAGGCTGTCTAGGATCAATGGAAGATTTTTGCTGCCGGAAGTCGGCGCGGGATTGAAGCGGAGATTTAAATGTGATCGTGAGAGCGTGGTGCGCTGTCAGCACTCTTTATACCGAACCACCGTCTGATCATCGTTCGTCGTCTTCCGTGGCAGTGGTATAAGAGTGTAATTTCTTTACTTCAGGTCTTTTTACTCTTTATCGCAATTCTTGTCTGATCGCTGTGGGCAAGAATCGAATCGAATCTGTTCTAAGTCCAGCCATGTCGCTCTACCAGCAGAGCTACTACTCCCAGCCTGCCTATCCTACTACTGCCTTCTCTCCCCCAATTCTTGGGTACGGTGGGCCAGCTTATCCGTATCCTTCACCGTTTCCTCCAGCACCAGTCCACCACGCCGATCCAGTGTCTTTCCGCAAGGAATTCACAAGTCGTCTCGCTGAACTCTCGGTCAATTCTCGTCCTATCATTCAAGGCCTTTCTATACTCGCACACGAGTACACACGCTTTGCAGATATTGTTGCTCAATGTCTCGAGAACCACATTCGAAGGGTGAGTCCTCTCATCATCGTTATCGTCAGCTGCCACTCGCCACCGCTGTGACTCGTACCTCATGGTTATTCGTCTACAATACGTGCGGTGTCGCTGTCATGTATATGTAGTGTAGTTGCATTTTATTGAGTAAAACACCACATAAGACTGTCGATAAGCGATATCGCTCGATATCTCTTGATGTCGCAAAATTTCCTTATTCTTGTTTTTCGCGTTCCGCGGATGGCTGACTAATCATTCAGGTGCCTCCATGGATGAAACTTCCGGCATTTTATCTGCTCGACATGATCTCAAAGAATATTTATGATCCCTATGCTCGCCACTTCGCTTCCTTCGTTGTCCCGCTGTTTCTAGAGACTTATGCTGAAGTCGATCCGCCAACTCGTAGCAAGATGGAAGAATTAGTTCTTACCTGGCGCACCGGATCACCCTCCGGCAAAGAATTGTTTGGCGTATCTTCTCAAGTCTCAATAGAGCGCGGAATATGGGGTGATGGAGCAACAAGTAGCAGCGTACGTTTCCATGCCAAGCGCAAAACTCGTAAGACTAAAGCTGCCATTCAGTCTACGAGTTTCCGTAGTCCGACGCAGATAACGAAGTCCCAAGTCTTGAGTGAACTGGAATTTATCCTTGGTCAGAAGGAGCGCGCGCGGCAAGCAAATCCCTACGATGGGATCAATCAACAGCATATAGCTGTTCTTCAACAAGTACGTTGTCTACCTATCAGTCCTTTCTAGCTTTGTGCTCATAGTCGTTGATAGCTTCGGAAGCTTGTTGAAACCGGTGTCTCTCAGCAAGAGCTACAACAAATTCTTGGTCAACTGCGAGTCCTCAGCCAGAACACAAGTCCTCCCCCTCCCCCTCCAGTTGCCCAGTGGCCAGTTCAAACCGGCTTCTCTGGTCCCAGTCAGCCGTACCCTCAGTCGACGGCACCACAAGCACCTGCTTTTCCGCCCTTAGATGCCGTTGCAGAGTCTAAGCCTCCTGTTCTGTCCGTACCGTCGATATCGACGCCTGTAGCCAATACGAACGTAGCTCCTGCAAACTATGCCGACCTTCTATCTTCTTTACTCAAAGCTGGTGTTGTTTCCAACGCAGGTACGCCAGTTGGTGCTGGTGCAACAACGAAAGAAGATAAGGGAGAACCCGATAATGTTCAGCGTCAAACAGAGCGCTTGTATCGGGAATCAGTTCTTGCGTATGACGTTCAATTAACGACGAACGGGATAACCAAGTAAGCTTTTTGTAGATGAATGCCATGATTACTCATTGATTGTATCTATAGAATGCATTCGCCGATTCGTGATCTCTTGTACTCGAAGTTGTCCTCACAGTGTAAACAATGTGGAATCCGCTTTTCTGATACCCCTGCGGGTAAAGAATCAATGCAGGAGCATCTTGATATGCATTTCAGACAGAATCGTAAAGCAAATCAGAATTTGGGCCGGGGTCACAGTCGAAGCTGGTTTGTTGCAGTGGAGGTGCGTATTATGTGACCATAACTGCTCGTATAATAGACTTACTGCGTTTCTTAGGATTGGATACATGATACGACTGATATTAAGGGCAAAGGTCGGGATGCAACTAGACGATTAAACCCTACTGCTGCCGCTGCCGCTGAGAAAATTCAACGGGAAGCTGAACTACGACAGCAGTTTGTTGTTGTACCTCCTGGAGATGAGGCGAAAGTGATTTCTTGTCCGATCTGTAAGGAAACATTGAAATCAGAATTTTTGGAGGACGATGAGGAGTGGGTGTGGAAGAACGCCATGATGAAGGATGGCAGAGTACGTTCTACAATTTTTATCTTCTTCGAGCCGTATGCTGACTGCGCTACTTGATTAGGTGTATCATGCTACCTGCCGTGCAGAAACGTTGTCCTCAAACAGTCTTGCAGCACGGTTACGCACTGAGTTAGCGGTTCAGTTGCGCAGTCGATCCGGGACTCCTGAAGCGCAAGCCCGGGCGCCGACGCCACCATCAGCCGTTAAATTGTCTCCATCTTCTACTCCCGAGTCCAAACTCGCGGGTTCAAAACGTAAGGTCGACGAGACGCTGTCGACAGCAGGCAACAACGAGGCCGAGGGTTCTCCACCTGCGAAGAAGCCCGCCTTGACTGTTCCAACTGCGGCATAAGCATAAGCATAAGTTTTCTCTTCTGGTATAATTTAGTGTGGACATAAGCACACATTTTATACTATTTCATCCACGAGAACCCTCTGCATTTTGTACACACTACATGCATTTTAGATACACTGGCAATACATTATTCTGAGCATTTCATCTCGTGTATGTAGCGTGACCAATGGAACGGATTATTAGATTTCTATTTGTGCAATTTAGTGAGACTCTTACCTGACTTGGACAGCAACCACCATCGAAACCAGCCAAGGCGTTGTAAGCACGCTGCAGGTGAGTGACTGCAATGTCTTTCACTAACTTTTCTGGTATCCATTCGTCGGATCCGGGCTTCTCTATCCTTCCAGGTGGGCATTAAGCTCCCAAAGTCGCGTCGTACTCAACCGTTACCGTAGTCAATACGCATGTTGAAGAATCTTTGAAAGATGTTACTTTGCAAGCTTTCAATCAGTTTGCTAATGAAGATGTTGAGATGCAGGTAAGGCCAATTCCACGCATCTCTCTATCAGATTGTCCATGCTGACGGCACGATTCAGGCACCTCTGTCGGAGAGCGGCGCATTCGTAGTAGTGGACACGAACATATTGCTACATGACTTCGATGTTCTGGTTCAGTTCGTCGAAGACATCGAAAGAGAAAATGTTCCAGTAGTGATTATTATCCCTGGTGTAGTCATCCAGGAACTCGATGGGTGCGTAATTGTCGTAAATTGATGTCTTCCGCTGATATTGGGCTTGAAGACACTTAAACACAATCCATCATTGAGGTGGTTCGCCAGACGATCTTCTACTTGGCTGTTGAAGAAGGTCCAGGAAAGGCGATCTGTGAAAGGACAAGCGACTGAGGAGACTCTTAGGCGATCAGGCAACTGGAGGGTCACACTGCGGGATGAGGTGATATCTTTCTCTGGATGCTGCTAAGTTGGCTATAAACGATTTCACAGGTACGGAAAGATGGTGACAGAAGCAACGATGAGCTGATCGTCGATTGTTGCAAATATTTCGCTCTAATCAACCGCACCGTCCTTTGGAGTGGCGATAAGAATCTTTGTTTTGACGTGCATGCCGAAAGTGAGCAGCCAGTTTCCTCTTTCCCTGCTACTCGCTCATCAATATAACAAGAAACCATCGGTGCATTGTCTCCTGATCGTCGTCAATGGACAAGTCGCTATCTTATTGGTGTCATTTTTGAAAACAGCGTGGACCTGAGCAAATTCGCGTCTGAGAAACCTGCATACAAAAGTGACACGCGTATTGTGGAAGAAACGAGCCAGCTCCCAAGTCATACACAGGACCCTGACGGTATGGACATTGACGAAGAGGGTGATGATGGTCTAGTCATTATCCGGACAGACGCACGCGATCTCCTTCACGTCCAAGTCGTCAACCACTTTTCCATGCTGCTGGCTCAGCTTGTCCTGCGCGTCGGGAGTGCAGAAATACGTTCGTATCAGACGCGCTCGGTGTCCAGATATGCACCTGAATGGCAACAGAACAGGAAACCGATTGCTGATTGGAGTGTATCTGAGCTGTTGGAGTACCTGGACGGCAATAAATGCCGCGCGGCCACGAACCCTAAGCTAGAGTGGTTCCTGCAGCTTCCCCCTAGCTATCGACCAGACCCAAAAGCCAGTAATTCGCGTGGCTCGCGAAGAGGACAAGACTGGTCGCGAACGGACTGGCTCAATGCTCTTGGTGGTCTGAAGCAGATTGGGATCGACTGGGCAGACACTCCCATCCAAGAATCCCTAGCTATGCTAGAGCGAGAATTGTCATTCGTATTTTCGCAGGAGATGGTGATCATATGAAAATATCTGCTATTCCGTTATGTACATTTGTTTTTCCTGTTTCACCGCTTGACCGCTATTGTATTCCTATATTTTTGAAGGGACTGCGGTTCGAGCGAGACTATCAGCTGGTATATATATATTGCGGCTAGAAACAAACTGGATAATGCTAGGTTTGCTCTGGGTAGCCTCGACGCAATCAATGTCAATTCCTGGATCTCATTAATAAAGATGCTTATGCTCCATCGGGGCAAGGTACCCGTCGCAATTGCGGCGCCTTCAATAGAAGCTTACGCAAGATGCGGCTGTGCTTCCGGAAGCGGCTGGGATCAGGCGGTTCAGTTTTATATACAAGAGTACCCTCCTCCTCCTCCTCCTCCCATCATTCCCCATGGCACGTCGTCGTCCCCTATGCATATTTCTCTCTCTCTTGGGCCTTTTTCTCCTTGGAACAGTCGTCGTTCTCTCCTCTATAACTTATTACCTTTCCATTGACCCTAATGCCTATCTTTCCGAGGACCAAGTACCCATACTTGGGCGATACGACCGGTGGAACGCCTCAGAACACGGCCAAGTTGAAAGAATCCCACGAATTCTCCACCAGACATGGCGGACAGAGACCCTTCCCGAAAAATGGAGGCCAGTTTCTCAAGAATGTCGGGATTTGATGCCAGATTAGTGCGTCTCATTGTTATGCACGCCTCTTATATTTGACTGACGGTTCTCCTAGTGACTACATGCTCTGGACTGACGACAGCTCTCGTGATTTTATATCAGAGCACTACCCTTGGTTTTTGGATACATTCAACGATTACCCGATATCCCATTCAGCGGGCAGACGCCATCCGCTATTTCATTCTTCATCACTTTGGTGGTGTCTACTTGGACCTCGACATTGGATGTAAACGTCCTCTAGACCCCCTCCTGGCCTATCCTGTCATCCTTCCAAAAACAATTCCCGTGGGCATCTCGAACGACCTCATTTTCTCCGAAAAAGGACATCCGTTCATGGCTCAAGTTATACACAGCCTCGTTACATTCGATCACTCATGGGTACTCAACTATCCAACTGTGATGTTCTCCACGGGACCTATGTTCCTTTCGGCGCAATACAGCATTTTCACTTCATCCCACGCTAGTGCCGTCAGTGATCCTATCCGTGTCCTCCCAAAGTCATTGTATGGAAAAAATGCGAAGGAGGGAGAGGCACCACATTCCTTCTTTTCACATTTCTATGGAAGCAGTTGGCATGCTGATGATGCTGCTTTCATTGGTTTCCTTGGCCATTGGGGCAAAGTGTTGATGTGGATTGGTTTGATCGTCCTCTTATTGGGATTGCTATCTATTGCGTTCCCTGGTAAACAACGCAGATATAGCTTGCGTCGTATTGGTGGATACGAAGTTCCCTTTCCCCGCTGGTCTTCAGGGACAGGCCACTGGCATTTCGGTTCTTCATCTTCATCTTCATCCGACAGTGATAACGACTCTCCTATCGACCCGGATGTTCCTGTTTTGCAGCTCCCATTTGATGTCCGACCGAGCTCCCCAACATTATCAGATACATCAACAGAGCCGTATGCTGGCCGTCCATCCAGTCCTTTGGTTGACGCTTTCCGGCGGTTGCGCAACAGAGTAGCGGCACTGACCAGTCCGCGAGAAGACGTCCCTCGAACACCATTCCGCAATAGACGCCAACGTTATAGCCGTGGTGTTTTATTCTTCCTTCCCGCGATATTCACGCAGTCACAAGACATTGAGCTTGGTCCTGCCCCTGCATATTCAGATCCACAAGGGCCGCTGCTACCTCGTCCTTCCTCGCGTGCGCGTGTTCAGTCTCCTTCAGACAAACTCCGTCAGGAGGACTCTAGATCAGGAAGTGTCGAGGCCCGGACTCCATTGTCGGAGGGAACTTCCAACTCGAGGTCGTCCCCCGAGAATAGCACCCTGATTGACTTTGGTCATGATTCCCGCCCGTCGTCGTCATCACACCACACGCGGTCCCGCAGCTCACCGCATCGAGAATCATAGGAATTTCCGTGACCTATACCACGTATTTAACCGACGACTGCTTCAGATGGGGAGTGATTTTATTACACAGTATACCCATTGCGTATCCTATGACACTGGCTCCGTGTACCAATTATTCCAACTCCTCCTGTACGGTCAAATTTATATTTAGCAGCTATACTTAGGTAGCAAGGGACATACAATAGAACAGTATCTTATATATGTTGGTTACAAGAGTTGTCACTAGAGCGCAATAAATAACCCTTCCTTTCCTTCGTTTTTCTATGCCGGCTTTGCGATGCGTTTCATGCCAGAACTAAGGACGAACATTGCGATAGCAGCACCGGCGTACGTGTATGATGGACCAACGGTCCAGTAGGAAGCGCATGCTGCGGATGAAGTCATGTCAATAGGTATTATATTTTTAGTCAATTAGATTCTCACCAAGAAGAGGACCAACTGCACGACCAAGCTGTCCGGCTGATCTGAAGTTTCCCAAAGCCTTGCCTTTTGCAAGCTGAGGATGCTCTTTAACGTTTTTGCCAGTGACAGGATCAAATCCTCCTTCGTCGCATTGCAACGAAGCAAATGCAGTCAAAGAATTCACCACAGTCGCCGACGTAAACGCCATGCAAACCGCGGCACCCTGCAGCAACCTGTGTGCCAGCACAGGTTTTGATGTAACGAACTGCGGAAGCAGGGCCAGGAGGACAAGCCCCACAGCACAGCTTGAAACTCCCCGTCGGGCCATCACTCCTTCGCCTATTTTTGAAGTAGCCCGTCGGACGTATCCACCCTGAAGTAATGCACTGATAATCCCAATGGAGCCAATGAGCATGCCGTTTTGTTTGTTATTCCAATCAAACACTGGATAGCGCATAAAACATGGTGTGAGTATACTGCTCTATGCATGAAGCAGCGGCTTACGGTCGAACGTCAAGAAGGTAAGGGTGAACTCGACCCCCGAAAAGAGTCCTAAGAACAAAAGATGGAAGTGGCGGAGAGACTTTAGCGTGGCCAAACGTTTTTCAATACTGGCTTTCTTTGACACAGCGGGCTTTCCGTCAGGTGCTTTGCCGTTAGACGAGGCGGCTTTCTCTTCTGTACTCAGCCGAAGGCCTTTTCCACGAGTCTCTGGTAAGGCAATGGCCAAGAAAGCGGTCTCGATCGTCAGAAGTATCAAGGTGAGAATCGCGGGAACTGCAAAGACATTCAGATCGCCAATAAGTGTGTTGGCGGCGAGAGACGGTGGTAGTGGCTTGGATGCAAAGTAGGCTCCTATAGGAGGACCGATAATGAAGCAAATGGCAAATGCTATGCCGACGTGAGCAAGCGCCTTTGAACGATTGGCCGGGGTGGTTATGTCAGAGAGAATTGCACTGCAAGGTATAATTAGCTTGTACTTGACAAAAATCTAAGCAGCGACGAGCATACATGGCTAATTGAACATTCCCCTCACTTAGACCGCCTATAACTCTGGAGAGCATGTACCATGCAAAGGTAGTCGATTTGATCCATCTGAAAATTAGATTAGCATCCGTTGGTTCTGCACCAGGTGAACGACTTGCTCACACAAGGGCCGACAGAACGTTTCCAATCATAGTGAACAACAAAATACGCTTTCTGCCATACTTGTCTGATAGTGACCCAATCCTTGGTGATACAATAAACTGAAGCGTTCTAATATTCGTCTGAGTTGCGTGTCGGGCATAGAGATAATAGAAACACACGAGAACACTGAGCCCATGAGACCACCTGAGCTGGTATTAGATACATCCCTACAAAATCGACGCGTTCACAGCACCAAGCAATACGACAGTCCCATCTCCCAGAATGCTCGGTGACAGCTGGGTTATACAAAAAACTCCGGATGTACGAAACGAAACGCAGCGTTCGCGAAAGAAAGCCATTGGTGTCAGAGATCTCTCGCTGTAATGACTGTGTTAACTGAAGAACTGCAAGGACCACAAGTCCTTACCAAAGTATACCATTCTATTAACCGAGGAAACAAAGGTAACGGGATGGTGAATGCGAAGAGGTCAAGAACCAACGAAAGAAAAACAATTGTTTCAACTCTGGCCATTGGCACAGATGGTGGCCGAAGACGAGAATACCAGACAGAAAGGAAGAAGAGAAGGTCGGTTTTGTGTAATTAGAGTGTCAACGTGGAAGTTATGTCATTTGCGTTGATTCCGGCTATTGATCGCCGGCAATGGCTACAACGGCAATCGCAGGTACCCACCACAAAATACAGATACTTTAATAAATTTACTCTTCGGCTACCTCTTCAACCACGTCGCCTTCAATGGCAGCTTCAACCGCTTCCCCATCTCCTGTTCCTCGGAACTTTTGGTCTTCAGACGTAGCAGTCAAGTTTGTCTGGAAATGAGAGCTCGTCTCTGCTTTAGTGATCTCCCTAAGGGCCATGGTAGCATAGGCTGCCGTTCCAAGGATTAGCTGTATTTGGAGGGCCATAAATTTGCCATCTTCGACAGTAATTGGAGCATCGAATCCGAGCAACTTGTCCTCGTCTGCCTGCGCAAGGGGCACATCGGGGTCCGTGTACCGTAGAACAGACCAGGACATTTCTTTTGGAAGGTGCAGGATCTTTCGGTACGACCCGTTCAGCGTGTAGATTCTACGTGTCCAGAGCGTCAGATAGAATTCGGATACTAGATGAACCCAGCTGCCTCACCTTTGCTTCCTAACAAAATTGTCGGCATCGAGGCCATCCATCTGAAGAAACTCCCGGTATCTTTCGCCGAGTTTCCCGCCGGGGTAGGCGACATCTGTTCCCGGTAGAGGCATGATAACGTCGAAGATACTATACTTGTCGACGTCCTCTTCCGTAAGGGTCTTCACTACTGGAGCCACGTAAGGTTTCCTCGCCTTCTTCCCACCCCGAGATGAAGTAGGTTCTTCTGCTAAAGGGTAAATCCTACTAGAATCCAATGGCAAACCGATTTACCTCTTTCTTCTTCTTTTTCTGCGCTAGGTTCGTCCGCGTCCATACTTGGAGTATCGAACACCAGATCCCCGGGAACGGGTTTGTCCGCTCCATAGGTCCGTATACGTTCCGAGACAATGGCATTCCATACGTATGACTGATATGCATGCACATACATTAGACGAAGATTTTTGGGAATCTATCGACCCGTTAACATATAGGACACGTATATATTTCCCTGACTTACTGTGTCTAATGCACCCATGGCATTCCTGGTATCACCCTTTTGGGTCTTGAAGCTTTCTAACAGACATCGCTCGGCAACGACTCGTCTCGGCATGAGTTCAAGAGCTTTGTCTAAGTCACGATCGACGAGCCAGGCATTCCGGGCCGCTTCAACGTCAGGATGTTCACCATACCGGGGCTGGAGAATAAGGGATACGGCTTTCTGCCAATCGGATTGCAGCAGCGCGAGTCCAATGGCATGGGTAGGCACCGATGCCGTACCAAAGCGCTGCATACCTAATAATTGTCAGGTGAGTATCTTCATGTGTTTAGTGTCTAAGAAATACCAACCGTAGTAATTGATGAACCCTTTGTTCTTGATAACTTCCAATGCTTCATTCATGCTTTGCTCTGATTCCACACGGACGTTCCTAAGGTATGTGAATCAATATATATTGCAGACGTAGAAACTTGAGCAGACATACCGCAACGTAATTAGGAATGCGTTACCTTTCAGCATCCCTAGCTCCAAGCCGGCCTTGCGATAGTTAAAATCGGCAATCCTCAGCCCCCGTTCGCCACGGAACTTGAGGGCATCTTCAATCGTCCGACGTCCATTCAGACCATTGGCGAGTTTCCACACGTCCTCGACCGTTTTGCTTCCTCTCTTAAGCGACACTCGCTGGACGGTCACACCACGCTTGTCCTTCGTACCCGCCACGGAAAGATCTTTCACGCTGACGTGCAGGGAGCGAGAAAGATGCCCAAGAGCATCCTGGGTATCGCGATTGGTTTTCTGGAGCGTGAAATGAATATAAGGAGGGTATGTCCCTCGTGGAGCTCGTTCTCCTCGACCTCCTGGAACAAGGTAAACAAAGGGCAGCCTATCAGGCATAAAATAACTCACCCCTGCCCCCACGCCCTCCGCGCCCTCCACGACTTTTCGACCATTTAATGACAATTTTTGATCCTTCATCAGTATCAGGAGCGGTAGCATCCGTTTCACTGTCAAGCTTTCCATTGAAAAGTTCGCGAATAGCTTGATGTAGACCAGTTCTAGTAGCCTTTGAAGCAATCGGCTACATTGAAGGTTCTGAGTTATGTTGCAATGGACAAAGTATGAACATGAGGGAATACAGACATCCGACAAGACTCTCCTGGTATCTTCTCTCCCTCCTCCTCTTCCCCCTCCGCGTCCACGTCCACCACGTCCACCCCTCCCGCCTCGCCCTCCGCGTTTACCGCGAGTCGAGGCTTCTGGCTGCTCAGGTTCTGGTTCTGGCGCAGGGGCAGGATCGGTCTTGGTTTCGTCTTCAGCTGCTTTGGGAACTCGGCTAGCCCAGCCTGAGTCGCTGACACGAGGTGGTTCCGGTCCCTGTAGATACATTTCTTTCACTTGAGTAATCGCGCTTTCTGAGAGAAAAGCAGAGAGGCGCGTCGTGAATGATTCGGGCCAAGGCTCGTCGGAAGAGGCTTACGGAAGGCTTCTCTTCTGGTTTTTCATCCTGCTCTTTTGCGGCGGGTCCCTCGTTAACCACCTTGTCCTCATCGGCTGCTGGCTCGCCCATTTGAACGTCTTCTGTAGATGACTGTTCGGCTGGCGCCGATGCAGTTGGTGCAGATTCGGGTTTGGATTCCTGGCTTGTCGAGCGATTTCAAGTGGATTACTTGACTATCCTGGTCAACTTCGAATACTAAAAAGTCAGTGAACCTATCAATGATTATCAGGAATGACCTTTCTGGTAGTGGATAGAAAACCAGACTCGCCTCTGCTTGATGATACCCTCAATTTTGGGTATACCATGCCCGACATACTCAGAAATTCCGACATCTTTTTCTAAAAAGTTCATTGCGCCCTGCTCTGTAGCAACGGGAAGAGGAACGCCCAGAAGGGCATGACTAGGAGGTAAGATGTGTTCATGCTTTTTTTCTATGGTCACGGTTGCGAGATCCCCTTCGGCGTTATCTGACACTGTATCGTCTAGTTTTGTACGCTTTGAGGACCGTTCCAAATCCTCGTTATCGTCCTCACGTTCACGGACGGCCGCAGCAGATGAAGACATGGAAGACGGAAGAGAGAAAAGGTATCCTAATCGGGCTTGTTACCTCTTGAACGATTACCATCATGTTCCGGCAAACTTACGGTCAACGGGCCTCAAAGCATAGCAATCCTGCAGCAAAGCTTCTCCTCGATACAATGGAGAGAAAAAAATCCAACCTGGCTGTCAGTGTCGATGTGACCAAATCCAAGGATTTTCTCGCCATCATAGATGCTGTCGGACCTTTCGTTTGTATGATAAAGGCATTAATTCCTTCAACAATTTTCTGCCTATTCTCATCTTGAAATTCAAGACCCATGTCGATATTATCGAAGATTTTGAGCCGCTTCTCATCGACGAGCTTCGGGCCTTGAGCTCGAAACACGATTTTGTGATATTCGAAGACAGGAAGTTTGCTGATATAGGTTAGCTGAATCGCAATTATTTCCAGAGGCAAGAACTAATGTCGATCTCCAGGAAACACCGTCGCTCTGCAATATTCCAGTGGCGTACACAAAATCGCGAGTTGGTCTCATATCACCAACGCCCACCCTGTCCCAGGACCATCCATTATCACTGGGCTTTCCTCTGTTGGTCTCCCTCTGGGTCGCGGTCTTTTGCTCTTGGCAGAAATGAGCACGAAGGGTTCCCTCGCTACAGGAAGCTATACCGAAGACGCTGTTCGTATGGCACGAGCACACCGCGATTTTGTTATCGGATTCATCGCACAGCGACGGATGGATGGAATCGGTGCCAACGAAAATGATTCCACCGAGGATGAAGATTTTCTTGTTTTAACTCCCGGTGTCGGACTGGATACCAAAGGCGACTCGATGGGCCAACAATACAGAACCCCTCGAGAAGTAGTTCTCGAGTCCGGATGCGATATAATTATCGTCGGCCGAGGCGTATATGGCAAAGACTACGATCTGACTGATAAAATTGCGGAACAAGCGAAACGATATCGGGAAGAAGGATGGGCGGCTTATCTGGAGCGAACGACTGCTCTGTAAAGATGGCTAAACAAGATAATGGTACATAGTAGGAACGGTGTGGATGATTTACATACAAGTAGATGATGGTTATGCCAATAAGAATAAATGTAAGCCCTACGTCGTTCTTCGATAATTTTATGAGTCTCTAACTAAGTCCCCAGTACCACCTATTTATACTGTCCTAGACGTGTCTGTCTTTTCTGTGTGATATGTGCTCAATCGTGAGCCATGGATGCGGCAATGCAGTTGCAAATGCAACAGATGATGCGATGTGGCGACGCAGAAAAAGGTTGGCGTTCAGAGCGCCTGTGCCTTCAACAACTTCTTCAACCTGAAGACCTTGGAGAACACAAATTTCCTCTGCTGCCCATACGCATCCTCCTGGTACGCATTCGAAGGATGCAAGATGCCGCGCAAGTCTTCGTACATGATATGGGTCTCTCGTGGAGATTGGTTTGGGATGAAGAGGGTGAAAGCATTGGCAGACGACGTCGACATCGCAAAGAATGAGAATGCATTAAACGAGGAAGATTCCGATGGCATATTTGGAACGATAAGAATTCTGGCTTTGCCGCAGAGTGGAGGAAGTGAGAGGGCGGCGCTACTGCTGAAACCTGATATTGATCCTGGTCCCCTTATATATGTCCGAAGCGAATTTCAACCAATTCTCAGACGCAAGGCGCATCTTCCTAGTCGAGCAAGTATTGTCAGTGACCCACAAGGCCAAATGCTAGCAAACAAGGTCGCCAAGAGACATCTACCATAGCAACGCGTCAATCCGAATCCACGTGGACCCCCACGTTGCAAAAAAATCTGCAAATCCGGCCTTCTTGCTGAATTCGGTTCAAGGGAACTTTCGTTTCCCTTCTCCGACTGTCGCTGGCTGCCCTTGTACATTGTATCGTTTTGAGCCTATCCTTTCAAGTGGTCGGATTCATTTAACGGCGACCTTTTGATCTGCAGCTATTGGCGGCATTAACAGTACTTCTGAAGCACGATCGAAGGATATCCGCAAAATGAGATATTATTATTATTCGCGTATTCATCATTTGTTCCCTAAGCGCTATCATTGAAACTTGATACCCATGTTCCCCTCTGGCGCTCCTTCAATGGCCGCGAATCCTAATCTCTCGTAAAATTTCCTAGCGCCCTCGTTTCTAGGATCCAGCCCCAGCCATACCCCACTACCTTCTATGTTCTCGCCCTTGAGGTAATCCAGTGCCGTCTGCATCAACTTCCTTCCCCACCCTTGCTTCTGGTACTCGGGTAAAATGTCGATATGCAGATGGGCAGAAGCAAAGGTGATATTGGCTGCAGGCGCTGTGTGCATGGCCCTCAGCAGATGCATGTACCGCACGTCAGCAGGCTTGGTAGCTGATTCGGGTGGGTATTTCTCTGCAAGCACGGGCCACCAATGTTCTGCGGCATACTGCTCGTACGCACGGGTATCCTTGGAACCGAGGATGTACCCCACGACTGTGTGTGTGTCATCGACCAGGACGAAGCCCCAGGTCGTAGGAAGCTTGACGTATGGGACAGCATAAACAAGACCCGGCAGTTCGCCAAAGTCATGGAGATGTTCTGCTGATTTTCCAGCATCTGCGGTGAGAAGGCAGATGCGAGATAAAGCAGCTTCATCGGCTTCTGTAGCTCTGCGAATGGTGATGGAAGCCATATCCTTGTATCTTTCTTGAACAAGGTCGCCAAGGGAGTTCGAAGCAGAATATTTTCGGAAGAGAGAGCGATAAGGAAATTGATACAATGTTCTGAAGGCACTAAACAGCTGACCAGCAAGGCATTAGTAGCGTATTTATTTACAACTAGACAGGCAGTCCACCAATAACAATACGAAAACCACAGCTCTTTCATTTGAGAAAACTACAATAACCCCGCTGCTCTAAGATCATTCTGCAATCTTCTCTCACTGTCCAACGCTTCGCAAATTCTCTGAGCGCGATTTGGATCATCTGTAGGAATATCAAGCAAGGCAGCCAATTCTTCCTCTGCCCGGCCCTCTTCAGCCTGAGACTGTCTTCCAGATTCAGTCGCCTGTTCATGGCCTCTTCCGAACCCAAAACCTTGACGCAGGATGTCACCACCGTTTGTCAAGCGATGCAAGCCAAATGCCCTCTCGAATTGGGACATGCCGCGCTGAGAATCTTGATCACTGCTGGTACTCGGACTGTTATGCTGCTGTGTAGCTAGAATCCCACGCTCCCAGCGCTTGACACGCCAGAAGCCCAGGAGAGAAGTCAGTAGTATAAACCATCCTGGTTAACAGTAAGCAAAGGTATAAGAAAAAGACACATCCACGAACCGACTGTCATAAGGAAGAAGGAGAGCCACTCCGTCGTAGCATCCGCGACAAGCATACTTGCCTGCTCATCCGTGAGGGTAGAAGGGTTGCCTTGCATGCCATTCATCATACCGGACATGGTTGAGTTTTGTTCCTGGTCATGATGATTATAGTACGCGTCAGCCTCCGCGGCTGTCGCCATCGTCGGTGCCGGCTCATCTGCTCTCCATTGGCCCCATCCGCCATCACCGTCGGTTGAATCTAAGCGGCCGCGGAGGGCAAAGCCGTATTGTATGAGCGTGACGCCGAGTCCTGCCCGCGAACCAAGACGGGCAGCATGAGTCGTGTGCAGGAGGTACGTCAAGAGGAAACCGACAAATTGGAAAGAGATTGATACGAGCATGTTCCAGAGGAATGAGAAGAGCGATCCGGTGGGAAGTGCATCGATGATCATTTCGCCAAGTGAGTCGGAAGAGAGAGGAGCATGGACGGTAGTTTCCCAGTATGGGGGAACAGCGTCCGCCTGGGCGGTTGCGTAGGACGGCGGTGCTTCTGGTCGAGCGTCTTCAGGGACTATCAAAACCTCGTCACCTGAAAAGTAGTCAGCGATAAGCATCAGGAAAAGGTGGAGAAGAACATGCCTTGCTGTACTCTCGTAGGTCTCGATGGCTTCGCGGTAACATTCGCAAAGACTCCATCGTTATTGGTTCCACCACCGAACACACCCTCTGGGCGCTGTGAGCTCCGATTGACGTAATGTGAAGGTAAAATCGCTCCGACGGTTCGTTTGAACCATCCCTGTCCGGACAAAGGTTCTCGAAGACTTCCAATATTGAAAGACGGTATGAGTCCGTTGGAATTGCCAATGTTGTTGGGAAGCGCAGTCGATGATGGCGGCGGTGGTGACCCTGGAGGTGGGTAGTCATAATCTACATTTTCAAAGTCGTACGATCCGGGTATAGAAGAAGGTGTAGTTGGCTGGGGAACACTAATGGGCGAACGGGGAGTGGGATTCAAGGGCTGGGATTCCGTGGCGTCTTCGTCGTCCGAGTCGTCAAAAGCAGCCTCCATTTCATGCTGTGCGTCGTGGTCTGACCTGGGATTTGGAAGAGGCGCATAGCGGTTAGACATAGATTACAGAAAAAAAGCAAAGACAGAAGGAATGGATGGCTGGTTGCAACGAGAACAAAAAATTGAGTAGTAAGGCTTGTTGGCGAGAGGAGAGCTGCTGCCAAGGGCTAATCGTAAGCGGCATCGGCACGTGCGTGGCTGTGCGAAGACGGGGTCCGTGGGAACTGACGCTAAACTGTATGTGGAACCGATGGAACTTGGATGGAACTGTATTTTACTGTACACATCTGTCATATCTGAGGTTTGTTATCGTTACCATCGTTTGCCTTCCCTATGTACAGCTATCAACGTTTCTCTGGATTGACTTAGTCAGGTATCTGCAACTACCGTCACTTGTCATCTTCGCTCTTCTCGCTCTCGTATCCGCCACATCACCCACCCTGACTCCCTTTGCAAGCTGCAGATATGACTGAAAACCTAGTGGCGTCGCAGATGTATGAACTGCCTCGTTGATGATTAGATCGGTTGAGATTTCCAGTGCTGCTGTAACGGCTGTGGCGTTTATCACTACTACTACTATGCTTTTTGTCATCCTTCTTCGACGGAGACGGCTGGCCGCGCTACCCCATGAATCTTGTCATCCTCATGATCCCGTTTGATCAAATTTGCTTTCGTGAGCGTAAGAGGCCTTTCACTAATCTCGATAATTGACACATACTCGGTTAAAAAAGATAACAGTATGGTCGCATCACAGGATGCCCAAAACAGAGAAATTTCTGGTCAACGCATCAGATACAACCATGATTTCGCGCTACATGTTTAAATAAATAATAACCTTTGCGTATGCATAAGTAATGCATTGGCTACGTGAAGAAAGATATGGCAGCATATTATGCGAAACATCACCATCAGGGAGCATTGTTTGGCAAATCGGGCGCGACAAGTTGCTCAAGAGGTCTGACAAAATAGCTCGTCAACATTTCCTCGTTTTGATGCATGATTCCTCCAGAATAGACTAATAAATACATGTTCAGGACTTCGGAGCAAATGATGGGGGCGCATTATTCGATATAGAGTAGTGAAGAGCCTGCCAAAACTTGTAGTACCACCAAAAAAATGAAATGAAGACTGACAACTCTATCCTCATTCGTCAGGACTCTGGCTCCGATATGGGGCTTGTGTCTGTAGCGGAGGGATAGACTGGGAAGGAATAGCAGAAAAATCGTCCCATTGAGATCCATCGGCGCCGTCCGACCTCTGAGAAGGTTGAGTTGCCCCAGCACCAAAATTTGCCGACGATGACACGGGTGAGGCATTGTGTGACAGAGGTGATGGTGCTGCAATTGATGGCTTGGAACCACGAGACCGCTTTCTGGGTGTTCGTGTCTGGTACCAGCTTTGGGTGGGACGCTGAAAAGATATGGTGTCCGGGCTACTTGGACCTGTATCTGACATGCGCGACTGTGGAAAATAAGAGTGGGAGGATGACAAATGGTCTGCATAATCCGACCAATGCAGCTCATTGGCGTAGGTTGGGGAGTTCGGTGTCGTTCGCAGCCCCGTCCCTTGAGATACGGAATCGATTTCCTCCGGTGCGTCCGAGTCGAATTTTTCCTCTTGCGTCAACTGCTGCTCCACCGCATCGCAAGACTCTAGCGAAGATGCAGAGCCCTGCGAAGATTGAGAGACTCTGCCACCCAGATGCGACCTCTGAGACTTGGGAGCGACAGCGTCTTCAATCATGGAACTGAAAGTAGGTGAGACAGGAATTTGTTGTGCAGCAGGAGAGGGTGACGGGGATGATAGGGCAGCGAAAGTTCGATAATCGTCATTAGAGTGATACTGTGGAAGGAGAAGTGGCGCTGAAGGAGGAAGAGGAGATAGATTTGGAGGTGTCGACGCGGGAGGTGACGGTAATAATGAGTTGATGCCGAGATCCAGATGATGATTTTCTGGGAGGGAGACAAAAATCGAAGATAAAACCAAGGAAATACACGAAAATCAAAGAGACATATCATCAGCTTTGGAAAACCATGAACGAGATTTTAAAAGAGTACGAAGAAATAAGCTTACCTGTTGTGTTGTCGCGGCCCTTGTTACCGTTATTCCCTACACGGGGAAAGCTTAAACTTTCTCCTTCTCCCTCCTCTATTTTCCGTGACAATGCATATTCTCTCCGTGAACAAGGGACGGAATTTTGTACGTGATGGTCGAGGACGTGGTGGATGAGTTCGTTTTTCGAAAGGAAGGTGTCACTGCACCATTTCCATCGACATATATGCAAGTCCACAGACTGAGACTCTGGGAAATCAGCCTGGGACATCGCAGTGATTGGAGCGCGTCGTAGATAATAACAAAGGATTCAGTCTGCCGAAGGAGACGTATTTTGTGACGGTGTCATGTGATGTGACATACGAGCGACTCGGGCGACTCGGGCCGGCAGGTCCCGGACCATAAGTCATCATAATCATGTCGACTGCAACTGCGTTCAACGAAAGGGCAATTCTTTCATTCATCGCGCTTCCTTTAGATGGGGGCTATCATCCATCTCCGACTTCAGAGCCCATCGATTTTTTGAAGCAGCATCTACAACAACTACCTCCACATCTTGTAGCACAATTTTCATCTGTCACAACTCCCAAACAACGCGCCGCTATACCTACTGTGCGGAACAGACGATTAAAATACGCTGAATCTAACCCTACCGATCTTTCGTTCACTGCTGCGCGGAGTACTTGGCCAATTCTCTGGGAAGGCAGGGAGCGGCGCGGCATAGAAGAAGGGAAGGAGGAGAAAGATTGGGCTCAGCACGAATTTTTGCATGGTTCCACAAAACACGTTGGAAAGCTCGGGGATCTACTCGGTGGGTATGAGGAAGAAAGAGAGGCTGAGCGCGTCAGAAACATAAGGCGGGACGAGGCAGCCAAAGAGGAATTCATCCCGGAAGAAGATGAGAGTAGTGACGAAGATGAATCAGAACAGGTCTCAAGCGCACTAGCCAACCTTGAATTCGAGTCTGAAGGGGATCAAAAGATATTATTTCTCAGGAGAGTCAAAGAACGCTTTATCTATGGCCTGTTGGAGGTGAAAGTCTTCATTCGTGGTCGAAATTGTGCTAAAGGAATCCCAGGACATAAATTATGACACCGTTGATTGGGACGAATCTCTAGATTCAGAAAATGACAGGGAAGCGGAAGAACGTTGGTTTGATGAGGAGGAAGAAGATTAAATGACCAGGATGTCAGTAGCAAAGGATTTGTACATGTACTTAGTTCACATTGTGGAATAGAACAACCCTCACTATTGAATAGAGCTGGGGTTCTGGCCCAGGGAGCATAATATTCAGCATTTGACATTAACATTTCAATCTTCATACATTGCAAAACATGTCCCCAGGGTCGAACAAGGTTAATCTTCTTTTACTAAATCGAAACCTAATTATCTTCCAACGAAATATCGGGTCCTGAGATAATGGCCTTGATGACTCCTTTGCCGTCAGCACTCTTTCCGGCTTTGGTCGTATTGAATGCAACGAGGGCGTCTTGGAAGGAGAACCTGAAACAGTTATCAGGGTTGCATTGTTCACAAAACAAATTCAATGTCAGTAAGACGCACCTATGCGTTACCAGAGGTTTCAAGTCGATTTTTCCCTGCGCTACAAGTTGAATGGCGAGAGGATAATCTCCAGGCTACGAAGGACCAAGTCAGATACAGGTGATGTAACCAAGACTCATCACTTACACCGTAACGGAAAGAGCCTTTGTAGTTCAGCTCCTTGTTATACAGCATGCTCATATTGATAGGAATGTCAGGTGTTCCCATCCCGACCTGTTCAAGTGATCATGGGATTCAAACACGACAAGGACGGCGAAATTTGAGGCCTCACCTGAACAACAATCCCTCCCGATTTGGCGACCTGGAATCCGGTTTGAATGGACACTTCAGCGCCACTGGCGTCTATAACCAAATCGAGGCTATTCTTTCCTCGTTCGGTGACACCGAGAAGCAGCTTTCAAATTAGCCCCGTTCCTCTTGCTATATTCCACTTTGGTCTCTCCCGGATTGAAACGGAGAGGAAGATAGACATCGGTCGCGGCGTAGTTCTTCGCAAAGTCGAGGCGCTTCTTGAACGATATCGACGGCGATGATTCGAGAGGCGCCGAGAGCCTTAGCGACGGCCATACAGAGTAAACCGACAGGACCGCAGCCAAAGACGATAATGGATTGACCAGAGCGGAATCCACCCAAGTTGGCAACGGAATGGACACCCACAGGCCAAAGGCTCAATCTATACTTGCACTTAGAACAACGAAACGGTATGCCATATGTAGAAAGGGCGAACCATGGCACCATCTTCAAGACTGACTCCTTCGGGGAGCGGATAAGCGAGGTCGGAAGGAACCCTGTAGTACCGGCAAAGAGTGCCATCATAGGGTGGAGTTGCCGCGAAGATAATGTCGGGGCATAACTGTAATAAGGATTAATTCATGTTCAGGCAACAATTTCAGAGCGAAAGTACCTCATAGCGGCCAGATTTACACGCTTCACACGTGCCTGCGTTAAAGACAATGAGGTCGGTCCAACCAAATTGAGTAACTGAAAAGATAGGACACTAACGGCATGTCGCGCCTGGTTCGACCGCGACTCGATCTCCCACACTGACATTCTTGACATTTGATCCAACTGAAATATTAATTAGGCACAGAGTGGGGAGAGTCGTGAAACACTGGCGAACCTTTGTGGACAATACCCGCCGACTCATGACCAAGAACCTGTGTTACATCCGGTCAATGGATAATCGGGAAGGAATAGACAGAGATATTGCACCATTGGGTTAGTGACTACGAAGTCACCGATGCGGCCATGTACGAGATAATGAACCTAACGTTGAATCAGCCCACGAATCATGAGGATAAGCTATGAGACTCGCATCGGATCCACAGATACCTAGGATGAGATCAGATTGTGAAGAGTGATCGATAAGAGAAGCTCTCACCAGTCTTCATCACTTTCACCAAGACGTCGTTGTCAGCGACTAGAACAACCGAGTGAGCATACGCTTTCTATGGGCAACAAGACGTACTGTCTGGAATCGGACGCTCCTCGTAGGAGACGTTCTCGATGGCGTTCAAGACAAAGGATGGGTTATCGGACATGAGAGAGACGATGATAGTATGTAAAGAGCAACACGGTGTAATTTATAGGATTTGGGGGCTGTCGAGACCGTGGATCTGGATAGACGGTCCGGAACAGCCGGTCCTTCATGATATCAATCCAAATTTAAGCAATTGCATTATTGTAGCATGCCTCTGAGAGTCAAGGTAACTGTCGGAAAAATAGAAGTTGATTTTATGTTGTCCACAATTAAGTAGACCTTGAATATATGGACAATTATCCTACAACAAGTCGATGAGCATAGAGCAACAGTGAAAAAAATGGGGTTGAAACCGAGCCCAGGTTGATTGCGCACGTGTTCTGGGCAATATAGCCCCCTTGATGGCCAGAGATTGAAATTTGCTATCGACGGCTTGCAATGGGCACCCGCTTTGAAAAGGGCGCGCCGTGGAGAACGTCCAACGTCGAATTATCCAACGTTCAAGACGCCAACATTCCCGCTCAGCAATTCGGGATTTCGGAGTTTGTTACCGAGCCACGTGCCATCGACATACAAAAATTCGCAAGATTGCGAATCCATCTTTCCATCGTACCATTACTATCCCTTCACTTTTTCAGTTTTTACGAGCAAAAATGGTCGCCTCTAGCGTTCTTGGTTTCCCCCGCATCGGTAAGCACTCGAATTTCTTTCTTCGATGCCTTTGCTAACCCCTAGTTGTCTAGGCGCCAATCGTGAAGTGAAAAAGGCTGTCGAAGCCTACTGGGCTGGCAAGATCACTGCAGATGACCTTACCAAGGCTGCAGCCGATGTTAAAAAGACAAGCTGGACCTCCGTCAAAGCCAAGGGCGTTGACTTTGTCCCAAGGTGAAGCGATCTTCTTATCTGATCTTGCGCGTTCGTCTCACTTTTTTTCGCACGGCAGCGGCGAATTTTCTTTGTACGATCACGTCCTTGATCACTCTGCTGCCTTCAATGTGATCCCAAAGCGATACATTGGCCATGGCCTCTCCCCTCTTGATGTCTACTTCGCCATGGGACGAGGTCGCCAGGCTGATGGTGTTGATGTTCCTGCCTCTGAGATGAAGAAGTGGTATGCATCTAGATCACTGCGTCTCATTCGTATAACCTATTGTGATTTAGGTTCGACTCTAACTACCACTACGTCGTCCCGGAATTCTCAGAGGAGACTGACTTCCAGTTGAAGTTCAACAAGGCTCTCGAAGAGTACCAAGAGGCCAAGGTTGCTGGTGTCACCACACGCCCCGTCGTTTTGGGTCCCATCTCTTTCCTCGTCCTCGGAAAGGCATCGAAGGAGGCCAAGCCCGGTTTCCAGGCTATCTCTCTCCTTCCCAAGCTGTTGCCTGTGTACAAGACGCTCTTGGCTGACCTCAAGGCAGCTGGTGTCGAATGGGTTCAGATCGATGAACCTGTTCTTGTTCTCGATGTTGCAGCCAATCTAGAGAAACAGTTCGCCTCTGCCTATGCTGAGCTTGCGCCTGTTTCCCCCAAGATCATGCTCACCACTTACTTCTCCCGACTCGACTCGAACCTTTCATACGTCGCTCAGTTGCCTATCGCCGGTCTTCACATTGATCTCGACCGTGCTCCCGGCCAACTAGACGATGTCATCGCCGCTATCAAGCCCACTCCCATCGTTCTTTCTTTGGGATTGGTCTCAGGGCGCAACATCTGGAAGGCTGATTTCGCTGCTGCCCTTAAGCAGGGACAGAAGGCTGTAGACGCCCTCGGTTCAGACCGTGTCATCGTCGCAACTTCATCTTCCCTCCTTCACACCCCGGTCACCCTTGCTTCGGAGAAAAAACTCACCGAGGAGCAGAAGGATTGGTTCTCCTTCGCTTTGGAGAAGGCAGCTGAGGTTTCTACTCTCGCCGCAGCTCTGTCCGGTTCACAGGACCCTGCTGTCGCTGCAGCCCTCGAGGCTAACCGAGTTTCCATCGCAAAACGCCGTGAATTCGAGACCACCTCGGATGACACCGTTCGCAAGCGTGTCGCTGCCATCACCCCCGATCAACTTGATCGCAAGAGTCCTTTCGCTGTTCGCAAGGATATTCAAGCGAAGCACCTCAACTTGCCCAAGTTCCCTACTACCACTATCGGATCTTTCCCTGTAAGTTCTCCCTTAATGTCCTTTAGGCAGATGTCTAATGGGTAAATCCAGCAAACCAAGGAAATTCGTCAAGCCCGTGCCAAGCTTGGCAAGGGTGAGATTACCGAGGCCGAGTACGATGAGTTCATCAAGAAAGAGATTGAAAGTGTTGTGAGGTTCCAGGAAAAGATTGGCCTTGATCTCCTTGTCCACTGGTGAACCCGAGAGGAACGACATGGTTCAATACTTTGGAGAAAGGCTCTCTGGTTTCGTTTTCACTCAGAATGCATGGGTCCAGAGTTACGGATCTCGGTGCGTCTTCATCTTCAAAATGCAGACTATGTCCTAATATGTATGTTACTGCTGACAGTTACGTCCGACCTCCCATCATCGTTTCTGATGTCAGCCGCCCCAGTCCTATTACGGTGCAATGGAGTAGCTATGCTCAGAGTTTGACCAAGAAGCCGATGAAGGGAATGTTGACTGGCCCAGTCACCATCCTCAACTGGTCTTTCCCTCGTGCCGACGTCTCGCGCGAATTGCAATCCAAGCAACTTGCTCTCGCTCTCCGCGATGAGGTCATTGATCTCGAGAAGGCTGGCATCAGCGCTATCCAAGTCGACGAACCTGCTATCCGTGAGGGTGTGAGTGAAATGCCTTACTGTTTCCAAGGATGCTCGCCTGACTTTTTTCTTTCTCTCAGCTGCCTCTTCGTCGTTCGGACTGGGATGCCTACCTCAAATGGGCCGTTGACTCTTTCAAGTTGTCAACTGCTGGCGTTACCTGACCAGCTCCAAACCCACTCTCACTTCTGCTACTCCGACTTTGATGACATCTTCCCGTCCATCCAGCGTCTCGACGCTGATGTCATCTCCATTGAGGCCTCGAAGAGTGACATGAAACTCATCAATACCTTCAAGACCTACGGATACTCAAACCAGATCTGGGCCTGGTGTCTATGATATCCACTCCCCTCGTGTCCCCGGTGACCAGGAGATCAAGGACCGACTCAAGGCCATGCTCGACATTCTTCCCGACTCTTTGCTCTTTGTCAACCCTGTAAGTTGTATGCCTTCCCCCCCTGGGTGACTGAACTGACCCGATGATCAACAGGATTGTGGTCTCAAGACTCGTGGTTGGAAGGAAACTGAAGCCTCGCTCATCAACCTCGTTGCCGGTGCTCGCTGGGCTCGTGAAAATTACGCTTAAATAACCCCTATCATTCCGCTTCAACAGCGCTCTTTGACTGGTTAACTTATGGGCTTCATCAGTCCTGTGACCGTTGGGTAGTTGTGGCGATATTGTTGTCTGGCGTTAGGACATGCATCATAGGGAGGGCAGAGTAGACTGCTGCACGCTTGCTCGGTGAGAGCTTCCGCTTTGCGGGGCCGTGGCTGAGGAGGGTTGGTGCAGCAGTAGTTCATATATTCGGATTTCAACAATCCCCGAATCTGTATCATTAGTATCATTGCAATCCCATGTTTGGATAGTCGCCGAATTCACGCGCATACACGAGGTTAAACAAGGAGCTGCTACATTTCTTTTTCTTCGACAGTGAACAAGAAGGACCATTTATCAGCAAACAGCTTTATCTCATCTCCTCCCCATCGCAGATCGAGGGTGTTTTTGCCGTAATTCCACGTTTTTCGAGCTGCAAGTACGAGTTTCTTTACGAGCTCGCCGTATAGGCATCTCACTTACTTCCGGCCAGTTTGTAACCGCCTCCACCAAGAACGATCTTTTGCGGTAGCGGGCAGAGGTTGTGGCCGACGAAGAGACGCTGGATAGCTTTCTGTCTATTGATCCAGTAGTTGCACCGAGTGCATGTAGAATCACGTACGGAAATATCATCTTGAGCATTGTAATACGCAACTAGCTCGGGTACAGTGGCGTTTCTTCGAACCAGGTCAGTATCACCACGAGGCCCCGGAATGCTGTTATATGCAGTCATACTTACTTGGTTCTGGTCTCCACGGTGACTTGGCCGATATGAGCGCAATCCAAACCGTCTTGTTGAGGAAAAAAGCACAGAACCGTCTTGTTGAGTGGTAGGTACTCTGGAAGTAGGTAAGTCGTGGCAGGCATGACGAAGGACGCGTTATTTGGCACTGAGTTGGACGCGTTGTATGCGAAAAATAAATAAATAACAAACTGACACGAGCCATCTCCGCGGAGAAGACATGTACATCCCCCGGCTTTAACAGCTAAGCCGCCATCCGTTCCGGCCCCGACTCGAATGAACCAGAAGACTATAAGAATACGAACACGGCCCTCCGAGCTCGGACGGGGTGCTAGTGCTTACCACCAGAGTAAAGGGTAATCGACATCCAGAAGCAACGTGTCCGTATCAAAAATTAGCAGTGTTACAACATGTATCGTGAAACTAAAGTAGTGGAATAAGTCATTCATTCATAAATTTATGATGCCTGCAGGCTGTTCTTTCTTTTCTCTGCAGCCGCAGCAGCAGCGGAAATTGTCATTTCCTCTTCAATAATCACATCCGGAGGGCCTGACGGGCTCCATGGGCTCTGGGGGTCTTTCTCCGGCTCCATGGAAGAATGTACGGAGTCCGTTTGGCCGCCCTGTGTATGCTCCACTGCATGGGGCTCATCGTCATGATATTGCATAGCCAATGCAGCCCGTAGCCTGTCCTCTACCACGCTCTTTCGTTTCGTCTTTGCGCTCCCTCGGGCAATGAAGACGGCCGAAAAGATCCCACACAAGAAACTTGCTGGAATAAGTGATCCCGTCGTCCATGCTGGGCGATCAAACCTTTGGATTACGCGTTAGTATATTGAGATGAATAAGATGTCATAACTGCTTACCGATTAAGTCCCCACATACAACCGCAGAGTATAATCTGAAGCAAACAATAAGGCGAATGATCACATTGCATAAGGCAGATTACTTGCCTGGAAAAAGGAGTTGCCATCATTGAACAAGCAAATTAAAAGAGCAGTACTGAATGGATGTCAGTGGTGTCAGTAGCCCGGTGTCACACGGCAAGGTACACACTTGATCGGAAAAGCTCGATGTGTTGCAGTTCCATGAGGCCTGTACCATGTCTGATGATGCTGAAACTTGACTTGCTTCTGAAGACAATATTTAGTCCAAGGATAAATTGTACGAGAAATGGACACCAACGTCGATGCAAGGTCGTCTTGCTCTTTTTCCGTTAGAACATGAACATAATTTGGGTCGTAGGCAGGATCAGGTAAATCATCTTCATCGAAATAACGGAGGGAGGCCAGCTTTCCGACGGAGTTTCCGTGAGCGGCGTTTGTAATGCCATATAAAATATACCCCTAGTGCTGGTTGAGAGGGGGCCTTGGGATGGTGAGATACTGCTCACGATATGTGTCAAGGACGCGCGAGGGAATGAGGCCAATGCCTGTGATAGTGAAAAGACCTGAAGACATATGTCAGATAGTCAAAACCTTGTGCAAAAAGATCCTAGGACACCATTTGTAACCTGAGAGCTAACTTCTACCCAAAACCCTTGGCGGTCTGCGTTATGTAGATTGATGATTTTTGTGAGAAACAAAACGATAGCAGCGCCCCAAAATACTGAAACATAACTTAGTTGAGAGTCAGTATATTTGCCATAACGAATGACCCACCAACGCAAAAGCCGTATATGCCCGCGACGATCTGACAAAACCAACATTCATTTCCTCGGCCATGCGACGGAAAGGGGGATGACTTACGCCCATAGCTTGATAGTTGCCTTCAGTTCGTGATTATGGACAAAGATGGAATTAAACTCACGAGTCTTTAAGAATGACCATACGCCTTTAAGAGAACGTCTGATCTTTGAAGGCCGACGTAGCACATCATCGACATGTCTATCCAACTCGTCGTCGAATTTGCGCTGTCCTTTCTCCTTGTCTGGTTCCTCTTCTTCGAGAGGCGGATCCAGAACAACAACAGGCTTTCTAGAGTACCATGAAAGTGGAGGTCTAGGTATGCCGATGAGTAATGCTCAGGAGATCATAGGTATTGAAATTACATTAAAATGGAATTTGCAGCATTCGTGAGATTTGATACGGTAGCGACTTGGGGATCTACAAAAATTTGATGTAAGCTTGGAAAAAATCTTAGAGAATAGCACACGTACCGATAACATCTAAATGCTCAACGATATCGTCATGGTGGTGATCGTCTAATGGGTGGTATGATTGGTAACTTGAGTTAGCTTCGTCTGAGCGGGGAAGACTCAAAGCGCTCCCAACAAGACCCGGTTCCCCGTCATCCGAGCGAACTTGAATGTCGGTATTGGGGCCCTCAATGGTCAGGACACCATCAATGGGGCTGAAATGAGTCGGCGAAGTCGTCCGATGTGAACCATCAAGTGAACTGACGCTAGCCTGATTGCGCAGCGGGCTCCTACTCCCTTGGCTGCGAAGTGGTATCGACGATAGCCGGGATAAAAGGTGGTCCTGGACTCTGCTGCCTGCTCGCGATCTGCCCCTCCGTAGTGGCGCTATCGGCTGGTCGACAGTGATAGCAGGTGGTGGGGCTGCTGGCGAATTTGTGAGCAACGGCGAAGCAGTTTCGGAAGGCGGGGTTATAATTGGTGAGCCTGGCGGCGACGTCGCAGGCTCTGGGGTATCGCTGGCAGGTTCCGAGGTCGGACGTCTGAAAAGGTTGGTCAAAGTGTGCTGTTCGTCGTAGGTAGGCCTGTCGCTCAACGACGCATACTGGCTGCGCCTAACGCGAACAGAAGGCATGGTATAGGGCGCGCTTGACGCAGCGGCAGGCGACAGAAGAGCAAGTTGGCGGTCAAAGGGACAGCAGTCGTGACAGTATGAAGCAGGGTAAATCCACGCTTATTATAGTCCTAAATTTAGTTTGTTGCTGATATCATTCCATAAACGTAAACACCGCCGCTGCCCTTTCAACAGCGGCCTCGGGTGGCATGACACTCGATAAATAATGTGAATATGCTATGCTATTGTATTGTACAGATGCTGGAGAAATTGTCTATCAATATCTTAAAGTGTTCCGTCTCTTGATTCCGTAGATCGTCTAGTAGCTGTAGAACTCTTCTTCGACGATTTTGAAGATGAACCGGTAGGCTTTGGTGTAACCTAGGATGCCAAGAAAAATTAAGTGGGGTCAGACCAAGTGAATATACATAAGCCCTTACACTGCCGGATTTGTCCTTTTTCTTTGAGGATGAACCACGACCTAGCAGGGAAAGCATTCTATTTCTACTACTGGGTCGGATGGGCTCCACTGGCAAGGTCTCTGGCTCCTCATAAAGCTGTGCATTCGCCAGTATGTGTGGAGAGGTGTCAGACTTCCTCTTTGAGGCTTTCCGCCAACCTCGATGAGGCGAAGGTGTTCGCAGACGCTCGCGAGTATCATGATTATCGTCAGAACGGTTAGTATCGTCATCAGCCGTAAGTAAAAGGTTAGAGCGAGAGGAATTCGGTAATGCTGGGTGGTGGAACTCTGGTACGGCTGCGCTCTTCGTAGCAATCCATTTCGTTTTAGAAAATATCTCCCGAGCAACCGGAAGTACAGGGACCAGAGGTTGATGGAATGCCATCTTGATCCAACCTTTCCAGCTCGTATCAGACGGGATAAGTTGATCAACGAGCTCCTCGAACTAAATACAGGACACATGAGAAACGCCATTAGTTGACGATCCTGAGCCACTTACACTCCATGTTTGATTCCTATACTCCAGGTCTCTAGTTGTGATGCGAGCGTCGCGACAAACAAAAGATTCCTCTTTCATAATACTCAGCAGGAGGTGCAAACTGGAAAGTACAATTAGATTTGATTGCAATCGATGCGTAAAATGCTTGCCTTGATATTTTTACCAACACGAACGTCTTTTGAGAAGATCGCGTCCTCATTTCTGCGGCATCCCCTCGTCGTGTTACAGGACCAGAGTCATGCCTGCTATCTCCCCTGCCTAGTTTACGTGGTTCGATATGATCAGTTGAGCTTCCATTCTGTCCCAAAGCCTCGGAGGAACGTGTTCGTGGCAGTGATCTTATAGGTGACGGAAAGTCCCTGAGATTCGAAAAAGATCGTGATGTGCCGAGCCTTCTTAACGCCATTGGGGGCGCAAGTCGAGATGTGTTAGAGTCAGAGGATTGCCGTGAGTGCGTTCGTGTGGTCGCATCGAGTGAAGCCCTAGGTGGGAAAGGTCGCTTGTTCGAAGGTTCGATGGCAGCTGGAGAGGGCTCCGGAGCTCTATCTTGGATAGCTTTCTTTCGGTCTCTTCGCCCTGGCCACAAGTATTCCATGATACGACGGCCAACCCGAGCATCGATCTGCAAACGCATGGGATGCAAATTAAGCTCGAAAAACTCATAGATGCCTTATTCCTCCGACAGGCGGAAGAACGGACCATTTCGATACAAGGAAGAGTCCGCGCTATATGGCGAGTCAGGACCATGTAAAATTAGGTCGAAGCAAACAAACCTTGAGTAGGGGGTGGTTGGGAGGCTCGTTGTACTTGGAGAGTATCTCAGTCCACACAGCGTCTTTAGATCCGTCAAACGCCTGTAGGCTACCGATCGCAAGGTCGTTATAAGTGGAACTGTCCTGTCTGCTAAGCCAGTAGTAATCGATGTCTTGCACAACGTGCTTAGCCAAGAGTTCCTGCTGTTCATCTATCATATTCCAAGATATTTCAGAGGACGAGGCATTCAGGAGAAGTGCTGATTTTCGATCTGTTTGTTCGTCAAATCGGTCCTGCGCCAGTTTGATTGCATCGAATATGAAGTTGAGCTCATCTCCCAACAGGTATACATGGGCCTTGAGCTTCAATAGTTCGATTTCATCCTCTTGAGTCTGAATCTGCTGTGTGTGCATGGCCAATTCCTCTACCTCTATTGACTTTCGCAGTCGACCCTGGAGATCGGTGATCACCCTGCACGCTGAAGCATAATCTGTGAAGTCATAGGTGAATAACAAGGTCTCCAGTCTGTCGATGCGGGTCTTGTGGGTTACATCGGAGAAGAGTAAGAGCTTCGTCACGATGTTGGAAATGGTCTTAAAATGTTGATCACTGGCTGACACAGTGAATCTTGGTGTGATGACTTTGATGAGGTCCTGGAAATATGCTCAACAAATATACCTTATGGTGACCACGTTGTATGAAACTTACTGTCTGGTCCTGTAAGTGTGTACGCCCTATATGTGAACGTCCCGCAGAGGACTTGGGGACCACGGATGTAACATTATTTCGCAGTCGCAATCGGTTGAACTTGTCATAATGGAATGTAGCGTCGGTCTGGGGTACTAGGCGATCAAATTCGTCACTCTCGCATCGAAAGTCGATAAGAACTTCCAGGGGAACAGAGCCATCTCCATTCAATCCAGCTGTCGGAGCAAATGTTTGCATGCCGGACAGAACGGCATAGGTCCTCGGGTTTGAAAAGTCAGTAGACATAGAAGACAGGATCAGTGAGACGCTACCTGGACATAACTTTGCCACTGATGGGATCTTGGGACATTGGAATCATCCATGATGGTAAACTGACTGCAGTTTGGCTTGCAAAGCGGCCACCACACACGTCTCTTGTGGCTGCTCCCTATTTTGCAGTATGACCTGCGGTTTTAGAAGAAGACAGCAGTGCCCTTTTTTCAAAGACACGCCATCGGACCAGCCATGCAGAGGGTCCAGATTTGAGGACGAAGAATATGAATCAACGATGTACCCCGCGGAGTCTTCAAAATTAGAATCGTCGCGAGCGAACATGTGCTTTAAGTGCGCTTGCGGCAGCATGGGCTGCAGTTCTTCGCAGATGGTTCAGCAGCTGTTCTGAGGCTGTGATCTCAGCAACGTCGTTTGCTTGGTCTCGGACAAACTTCACAGGCACTATAATAAATGAGAATAATCCCATGTCATAGAGATACGATGCTTACCGAGAAGCCATATGGTATTCCAATCCTTTGCGATCACGAGAACAGTAATAATACTGCATCATAATCTGGCCGGAGCTGAACAAAGCAGATATGGCTTAAAAAAGGTGAACTCACGTCACGAACTGCAGCATCCATGAAGATCTTCGGACAATGTATCTGGTAAACATTATCGAACTCGGCCCACTCGTCAGGCGAAACACTGTCAGATGGCATCTGATAATGGGAGCTAGCATCGTTTCCGTCGAGATTGATATGAGGCTCGTGAAGGCTCGATATATATTTCTCCAGCAGCACAACCTTCTTACCGGGAGATGTGTCCTAGAAAGACAGCAATGAGATTCTATTGTGGATTTGACATCTTGCCCGACTCGCCTGGTAGAAGTTACCCTTTTCCACGAGACATTTGAGCTCCTCGATTCTTGACGAAGTGAGAGCAACTTGGACCTCAGGCACAGCTAGGAAAGTAGAAATGAACGGGAAAAGAAAGATAAGAACGAAATATATACGTACAAGGTTCTTTTCCGAGGAGGCAAACATGACTGTCCTCGTTGCCAAATTTACTAGTCTCTGAGGGATTTTCTACGAGAGCATCGTTCCGTTTGAAGAACATGAAGTGTGAGCACGCGACGACCGGCAAAACATGGAAAGTAGGATCAAGGGATGACGACCAATCCGTTTCCACAAAATCATCAGGATCATACCAAACTGAAGGCATGGGTGTCGTGGGATAGTTGTTCCTTGTCCTATAGTTACTGCCATTTTGAGGGGCATTGACCGGTATCAGTTGCTTCTTGGGGTCTGCGAAGATTGCAAGAATGGCACGAAGATCCAAGCCTTTCAGGACAACCTCTGCTGCGTAGAAAGGCTTCCTTCGTAGGACTTTGGTGGAATGAGGGCCCAAACCCGGGACAACAGTTTCTTGATCCCGTTGATGCATGTCGACCTGAAATTCGTCGATCTTACCCTTCACACCAACCCAGGGCGTAACTCCATCTGCCCAAGCTGATTCAAGGTGAAAGCCCGACCAAGAACAAGATTAAAAGTGTTCTTACTTTCTCTACCGTTGTCTATGTAACCATGCATGATAGACAACTGACGGATTGATACACGATACTTCAGAGTGGCGATATGTCGTCCAAATTTGGGAGATATTGTACGCCTTGGATAATAAGGGCCCTGGCGAATTGGCAGAGACATGACAGCGTCGAATAAAGACCACCATGACCAGAAATGGGCAAAGACTTTGGGTGTGAGGTATAGACCACTTGTGTTGTGGTCTTCAGGTCTTCGTACTTCGCACTGACGAAGTTAAAGAAACTGACAGGTGAATGAAATCAGACCGAAACCCTTTATACGAATCGTCTGGTCCCTAGGAGTATCATTAGAATGGTGATTCGATTTATTGTTACCAAGCTCCTCTTCACCTTAATTTCAGGCGTTGCATTCTTTTTCTCCAGTTTAACCTTGTAGTGAGGTTTGAAATCGAAGAATCTGCATTTCCGATGGAAGGCGGAGCCATTGCAATGTTGGCATTCAGAACCACAAGCCCGTTCAAGCACAAAACCGACACCAAAGCGGACACCGGAGAGAACTTTCGCACAGATCTTTTTGAACGGCTGAGATACAGGGGCGAAGGTGAGAGAGCCAGCATCGCTCCGATGAAAGCTGGCACGGATTAGCAACAAATGGGTTTATAGGGAGACTGATTCTCACTTCGGTATAACAATCATCATAGAATCACTGATAACCTGTACGAGTTCCTTGTCGTCATTATGACGCCCAATCAAAAGCTTAACGTTGCCCTGCCAAGCTAGAGCGAAAACCGGCGCCCTTCCCAAGTATCTCGTGGGGATCTCGAAGCCCTATGTGATGTGAGTGCCAAATCTCTATGACAGAAAACTGGTCAAACCTTTCATGTGAAATCGTACTTCGCCCTTGAATGATGCCCTTACACTCCAATGAAATATGAGCCTCAGCTATGGTAAACCATAAGTGACATCAAGGAGCAGCCGGAGGTTACTAACCTTGTCCCAAAAACCTAAACCAGGAGAAGAATCACGGGGTGTGCTGGTGATGGTGTCCAGAATCTTCATCAGGTCTTGAGTCGCGGGTCCATAACTCATACCCCAAGAACAAACTGTCGCATTAGGCGTAGACACCAGAATTTCTGGGTTAGGCGTAACTCTTCACTGGCATAATTGTCTTGGGAACGGAAATGGAGAGTGGCGCAGCACCATGAATACCATCGTGAGCATAAGATACGGGACACAGTACCCAATCGACGGACGCGCCCCCGGCCAATTCTTCTGCAATGACTAGATCAGTATCGAAAGTCCAGGACGTCCGATCAAGGTCTTCATGAGGTGGAATATCGAATAACGGCAATCGCATAATCTCTGATTGTCATCCTCAGCGACGAGAGAGTGAAATTCAAGTGAAAAGGAAGTAACAAAGAGAACTCAGTGTTCCGAGGAAGGCCACCTTGCTCATACAAGTATTCCGGAAGTGAATCGGCGGGAAATGAAGGCGGCGCAGTAGACAGCGATAGATTTCTGATCAAGGCGCGAAACAGTGGAGTGCATGGGTCGTCGGGAGAAACGTCAACGATGTTTCGAATCCTGCTTGCTGATTGAAACGAGGGATGAAATTCGTGCCTCACAGCTTCTTCATTCCGAATTTGATCCTTCTGGAAATGATCAAGTCGTAAGCCCCAATCTATTGAATGGACCTTATAGAGGCGTTGTCGCGCATCTTCTATTGACACAGAGTGCTTTGAGGAAAATCGATACTCCGCTCGAAGCTCAGCAGGAGATCCGCCTTGAGTGACATCGGCATTGATAATAGTCGCTACTTTGTCCTCGTAGGCTTGTTCTCGATCCACGCGAATTTTGGCAGCCTCAAGTCCGGCCCTCCAAGCTAAATTCAATCGCCCTTCGAAGGGATCATCAGCGATCTCCACGCAGAAAGACGCGATGGCCAAAGTCAGATACGGCATGCATTTGGGACCTTCGGCCTCCGGGGAAGGCATGTCACTGTATGAACCGCGGACAGTCATATGATATAGATGCTTCAGCGCCTTCACTGAAACAGTTGCATCTTGAACCAAGTTGCTGAAGACGTATCCATAAGGAAGTCTGAAGCGAGCTGATTGTCCCTCCATATGAACAGAAGTCAATATAGCAGTGGATGAATCCCACACACGCCAACCCTGAAGGTAATATGATCTCTTTCCACTTTCCACCTTCATCTTCCGTTCCAACGGTTTGCCAGGGGACGAAAGATACACCCATGTCATTAAACGTTCAAATTTTATCTCGGACTGGATTCGGGGAGAAAGAGTGGCCGTAATCGAGTCAAGTCGAAGGGCAATTCGTTCATGGGGAAGTTCGCCGGAACAATTGAACAGTGTCAAGGGCAATCCGAACTCTGATGGAGGGCATAGCCTTTGAGGTTCGCTGGGGAGCTCTGGGGGAAAGCAGCAGTGGGGGGTCTACGGTTCAAGAGTGCCAAACATCGGCTAGCGAGGAGGATGTGATAAGCATGGGATAAAGAGAAGGTGATCTTCAAGTCGGGAATGTGGAAGTATACGTGGAGATCACGGATTGCATTACGGTCGGTCGCAGTCGCACGACCATGACACCTCTGTTAGAATGCGAGCGTTGAATAACTTCCGTGAAGAGAGAGTCGGGTGATCTCGTTCCGCCATGAAGGGATCAGTCTGCGACATACTGGGTGGCCAATGCGTCACGGAGACTTAAATCCCCAATCTGAAAGCATATGAAACCGGATATACCATCCTCTAATTCGTTGGATGATTCAGGATCTAGCAGAGTCTCAGCGATAGTCTTTTCCGAAAGATACAGCTTGTTTCTCTTTTCTGTCATTGCGGCATCTCGGGGGCGGTATGCCTTATTGCGTTGAGTACAACGAAGCTGTAGCATCGTCCGCTCTGCTCGACATGCAATTCCACGAGATAATTCCATTGTATCATCTGGGTTGATATCGGGGGACGTTATGAATAGTACTGATCGCCCTAAAAATAAGGACACATTGATTCCGGGTGGCAGACGCTGCAGAGGAGATCGTGAGAGATCTGCATCTCTTTTGGCTCGTTTCGGAACGTAAGTGATTAAATGACTAATAGCGTCCTGAACGGATAGATGCCATAGCTCCACGACCACTGCCTCTGTGAAGCCACTAAGGTCAAGTGTTAGAGTAGACTTGTTTATAGTGGCAATGTTCTTCGTATCGTCGTTGATGGCACCAAGCAGTTTGCCGCCACCACTGAGATCGAATGATTCGACAGAAAGGAAGACGGGATCCTCACAAAAATCTTCATCCGAGGTTGTCAGACTAGGTAGACGCACATGTGAGTTCTGAGAGTGTCGAGGCCGGATTCTGATGAAAACGGGTTGAAGTGTGAGATTGAACGAGAAGGCCATGGAAAGAGGAAAGGTGTCGAAATCTTCCTGTGGGACTGATGTCATAGGAATAGGAGAGTAGACGGAGGCGCAGACCACTGAAAAGCCGTCTGTGCGCATTTCCACTGCTTTGGATGTCCTAGTGTCCTCATTTTGATAGAGGAGACGCGCACTGATTATTCCACAGCTGGCTTCAAATGTAAACCGAGGCATGCCAGCTGTGGCTGGTAATGTGGAGGTCGACTTGAAGGGACGTGGTGGGGGAGTCCAAGCGGAAAACAGTGTGGACAATACATCAGCTCGTTCGGTGACTTGTATCCCACCGATATTCAATGATATCACAAGGAACGGTCCGTTTGGATCACCGCCAATGAAGGGAGTGGGAACTAGCCAAGGCGAGGGGAACTGGGAAACAAGCGCACGAACATCAATAGAATCCCCAACCAGAATCCGGAGATAATGCCGTGTTGTATAGCGATCAAGTTTGACGCTTTCAACGTGAAAAGAAAGAGAGTAAACGTCAGGGTCGAAAACTTCGCCCTTGACAGATTTACCAAGCCACTGGCGGTGCAGCCGATTCGACAGGGGATTGCTCAGTGCAACCGAGAAGGATATGCCCTGGAAGCTCATCTTGTAACTTTCGTTCTCACTTCGGTTGCGACTGTTTACGGTAAGACCTGAAATGTTGGCGGTGAATGAAGAGAGAAAAGCGACGAGGGCCTATGAGAAAATGAATACCCGACGATCGGAGCATAGAAAAGCATTACCGGATTTTTGGTCTCCTTAAGCCTCATGCACGGAGGATAGAGATAGCGTCGACGTAACATTGATGCCTTCTGCTCGAAGGAATGTCGGCGTGCACTCAAAGTAGACGACACGTAACTTACTGAAAACGCTCTCATGAATGGAGATGTAGGCGTTTCAGAGAAAACAGACGGTGCGGAATCCGACGTCGAAGCTGCTGAGGAGAGAGGAGATACCGGCTGCGACTCGGGCGAGATCAAATAAGAGGACGAGCATGGAGACGTATTGAATTCCTTTTTTGCCTGAATGAGCTCGAATAGAGATCGAAGACGGTCCAGTTCGATGACACATTGCCGAACATTGAGTGTCGTGTTCGAGCTATGATTGACAATGGTCCAACTTTGAGGATCAAAGGATAAGGTAGTAGAAAAATCAACGAGGCCAGGAAAACTCAGAAATTCTCCATCCGTAACATCTTTTAACAAAGACCGTCAGCTTGTGTGTCGTATTTGATCAGAGATTGGGCATGAAATACCTGTGGAGGAAGTTCGAACCGGTATCGATCCAGTGATGTTCGTGAGGTGCACCGAAAGTATAGCATGTCCTTGGGTCTGTTCAACGACTCGATTCCAAGACCTCCGAAAACTGTTGCCGAGCCGATGTTTCCAAGCAGACACGCTATACGAGGCCCGTAAAGGTTTTGTCAACCGAGCCATTCTATCTCGGGTTGCAGTAGAAAGCTCTTTCTCGTGCTTGTCCCTCTTGATATTGGCGATTTTGAGGTTCGTGTGCACATAAACTGTTTCCGCGGAGATCTTTGCATCGCCGGCATTGGGAAATATCACTGTCGCGGGTTGAAATTCTAGAGTAATTTGTTGCGTAATGCTCGGCAGCCAACGAATAAACACCCCGAGACAGGACATAACGCAAGCACGTATGACTGGTCGGACGACAGGGTCCAATAGCGCATACAACACGGATAATACATTCCAAAACTGCCGCCGAACGTGGGAGATAGTTTCCACTGTGGCAGACCTCCGATGAGACTGTCGCGGTGCTGGGGTCCTGTCGTGCTGGTAGACTTCGACATTAAGCCCCTCCACTTTAATCGTAATACCTATCTCGAAGCCGTACCAAACATAGCTGATGCGCTCTATACGGATGGTTTGGCGGCCTCGACGGAGGTACAATCCTCGGATGGAGCGCAGGCTAACGCTTCGAATTCGTACATGCCTAGACATGCGCGCCAATGTCCACGGTATGATGTATGTTCGCAAAAGTAGACCAAATGTCATGAATCGCGCGACCCATAGCAGCATCGCGACCCACATGCCACCTCCCTCCGGCGTTTTCAGTAGCAGCATCGATAGTAGCGAAGAGACAGGGCCGAAGACGCTAGAAATTGGCATGATCTGCCATTGCATTAGTGTCGCAAAGGACAAGACAGGTGTCAAGTAGTACTGACGAGTGTCGTGGCTGTTGGCAAAGTAAAGTCAGGACCGAAGGAATCGAGTGGAGATTTGGCAACGAATAATGGTGACGGAGGATGCGTAGGTTGTTCCAAGGGGTACTGCCGGCGAATTATGGTGGTGACAACATGGCGGTGAGTGCCAAGGCAGATCAAGGTGTGCCAATTCAGGATGCCGGCGATATTTCTAGTTGCCGACAATCTTTGAATTTAATCATGCGTCGTGATTGTCATTAACACAAGATATTCTATGCAGGTGCAGTGATAATGAGTAGTATTTACAGTCCAAGCTAATTCATTCCTTCTTCTTGTTCCAAATCCAGAACACTATGTGGAAGTCAAAAGCCTGTCCGAGGAAGATTGAAAACAATCTTACCATTCTTCAGAGTTCATTTCGGCTGGTTTATATGTTGAAAACACGAATGAGTTGCCGACAAAACTACCCGGGTTGAAAACATGGCATCCGGTGTATGTTACCTTGTACTTGTCATACTTGTCCGCGAGAATGAGCTGTACGAGACTGCAATTAATACGCGCTCAAGGAATAACCAGGAAAGTCGGTACCGCAGTGGGAAGAGGATACAGTCGTAAAGAGTGATCAAAGTCGGATAGCGTCGGCTGTATGTTGTTGATGAGTGGACTAAGGTGCCCTTGGTCCAGGATAGATTGAACCAGCTACGCCCCATTATAAGCAGAATACCCTACAACATAAATACGCCAGAGCTTACGAATCGTTTTAGATCATCACTACGCGCATCTGGTTTAACACCCACGACGTTTCTTAACATTTTTGACATGCAATCTTCTCTGAAGATTACAATTTCCTGGTTAAAGAACTTGATTCTACAAGGATTGGTGGCGAAGTGGACTTTTGGTATCTTAGATTTGAGTCGTGAAACAAACGAGGAAACTAGAGGTCGTCTGGGCAACACAGAATTCCCGGTTATATCTCGAGGACCTGGAACAAACACAAAATGTGTCGTCCTCGTCATCGAAGGGTAAGAAGCAATCAGATCAGCTAATGCATCAAAGTTGTCTAAAAATGTGTCAAAAACAGATACGTAGGAAAGATTGGAGGTTACCTTGATATCGCTGTATGTCACGGCTATTGCCATGGGATATAGACCGACTACTAAAGTTCCCGCAGAGAACAATAACTTTCGGGATGAAGCTGTTCTCTATGCAGTTATCGAACATCTTCTGCAACCCAGGAAGGGTCTGTGGATGATCCAACCACACATCTGACAGAAAGAAAAAATGGAGATCGGGTAACTCATCCCTAATACGAATGGCAAATTGGCCCTAAGGGAAACCGTCAGGATAGGATGTACTGAATCAAAATGTGACTTACATCCTCAAGAAGGGATGTAACACCCTTTCCCAGAAAGTCGATATGCCCATATATTGATCTGTTCTCCAGTTCAAGAGAGGTTATAAGCGACGTACGAGAGGACAGACCTAGCTGTTTCGCGAGGCTCACAAGGAGGTTGACCGATGGCGATGATCTCCAAAGTTGCGTCCTCCGTGTATTCGCCTTCGACAAGAGCAAAGCATCCTTCGGTAAAAAGGCCTTCACCAGGCTCGTCCTGTCAAGGTCTTCCGTTTCTCGGTCTGTAAGGCAATTGAGTAACAAAAAATTTGACTTACCAGCTTCGAAAAGTCCAGTTCAACTGAGCCATCCGCATCTTCTATACACAACTTCCCTTCCTTGGAATGCGTAAGCATCCCCAGTATCAAAAATCGTTCCCCTGCTCGTCCAAGCAATTGCTTTGTTGATTTAAGCTGCACCGAACGAGTTCCATATATTATAGACGCGTTTTCAGATGCGAATAATAACATACCGTGACTAACCGGTCGCGGTCTCCTGAAGGCAATGTTGATGGCGCGAAATGTTCGTTACGAAGGACACATTGCTTGATGATATGTAGGCGGTCTCGCACAGCCGAAACGCGCGATTCAGGCGACGCTGACACTGTCAGAGGTGTATTCACTCTATATAAGTTCGTTAGCAGAAAGTGATAAAAGTATCCAAGACGCGCACCGCTCAAAGGTTCCTCTTTCCACGGACCAGTGCCACAAAGGCATCTCAAATGCATCAACGACAAAAAAGTGGCCTTCTGGATCAATGGTATCGACTTCCGCTTCGGATCTCTGATCTTGATCCTGGAAAGATTCATAGACTCGACGCAGGACCTCAACAGACACTTTCATTGCCGCATCTATGCCCGGACTATTAAGGTAACGTTGGAAATATTGTTACCCTAGACTCACCATCCTGCTTATTGTACTCCTTGGCTATCGTGTCGATAGAAGACTCGATTTCTTCCTCACCTATCTCGTTCTCGTCCAGTATCTGCTCTAGCAGGTCCAAGGCGTCTGGTCCAAGAGAATTGCTGTATTTGCGAAAGACCTTGAACCCGGATTGGTGTAAAGCTGCCATACAAAACGAGGATCCGTACCTTGATAATCGCTCTCTGTCGTGGGTCCGCCATGGAACGCGTTCTGTTGGCTATGCTTGAGTGATCGTGAGGGTGAGAAGCAAAATGGACGCGGTGGTAGCCCCACGTGCTACGCGTCATTCGCCGCGGTCATCCCTTTACGGCGATCCAGGACTGTCCTCTTACCACCATGTTCGCTGCCCTAGACATTGATATCCGACCCGGAATAGGACTGGGGATCTTTGAGATTGGTTTGTCCTCTTCTTCTAGACGACAGCTGCCTTTGACTTGAGACGAGGATACAGGTTCATCGTTATGGAGCGTCCTGGATACGCTTCGGAGAATGCAGACTACTTTTCCACAGGTCGACATCAAATATGACCCTGACAGTTCGTCTACAACGCCAATCGTGCTGCACCTACGCCCCCACTTGGATCTCTTGTTCTCTGGAAAGCACCAACGTCTTCGAGCGATCTGCCTACGTAAACTACGAGACCCTAATCCTCCATTGACCCTTCGCTACAAGGATGCTTCAATATCCTCTTCAGAGGACGTCCTTCGGAAAGTCGATGTTCGACGCTTCTTTGGACCCACATATCCTGGCGATGCCTTGCGATATCCAGGACTCTGGTTTAGTTTCGACGAGGATGGAATAACAGAAGGAATCAAAGGAGTTCAGTCCGACGATAAGATGCAAGAGGTGAAGCGAGTGTTCATTTCTCAAAAAGAAGCGAACAAAGATCAAGCCGATGCTTTGGATGAGGTTGAGGAATGCCCAAGCATGGATGGCGATGTTGCTTTGGCCGTTGTGAAAGTGAGACGGAATTAAGACCTTCTCCTCCATTTCTGAACTTTCAGTCAGGTAAAGGATGGTGTTACACTTCATTTTCATCCTTTAGGTTCAAAAACATTGCACGTCCGGATAGGACAGACAACTGCACAGGACCTCAACATTGGACTCGGGCCGCCACTTCGTGTACACTACAAGGAAGACGAACGAATGTCTATTCATTCAAGCAACCAAGACTCTGATCTTGGTACAGAGACTGGATGTATGTTCAAACGTTCACCTCTTACAGTTGCTCTCTTCATCTGTGCTAACTTCAAGCCAGATTTCTACAACTATTTCCAGCACGGGCTAGACTTTCTTATTTCCAGCACAAACCATGTCGTTCAGAAGATCGTCCTACACACAAATATTGTATGCCGACATACCCTGACCTTCTTCAGTTGCTTATTATGTGTTTAGCCAGGAACACCCCTATTTCAGCGTTACAAGAGATGCAACTGGGAAATCGAAAGCTCTCCAGAGGATGACGAAGACGGTGAACATGAACAATCTTTAGTATCCGTCTATGTTTGACCCTCATCTAGACACCCCGCCACGAAAGCGCTTTTATGACAGAGTAACCCTCCCTGCGACTTTTTTTTTCACACTTGCTCTAACAATGTCGATCAGTTCGAGACGATAAGCCACTTCCTCAGTCCACATGAAACTCCACCTTCAATGCTGTTAGATCGTACGGACGACGAGGAATTCATTACGCTACCAAGTTCAACGACCCGTCGTGAGTACATGACCATAATGACTTCTGTGGTCTTACTAATACTTCCAGTTCACGGTTATGATGGTATCATTTTGGAGGTGACCGAGTCCTCGCAAGTTGTGTCTGTTATGCTCTTTTGAAACCCAGTTTCTGGATGATATCTTATGTACCTGTACACCTCGTTATTGTATCTGTATGTGACGTTGCCTATATTCTGAAGGAATTGCGATGGGAAGGCACAATTATTTACAAATGAATGCCGTCGTCGTCGTCGCTCTCTGCTATCACCCCATTCATCTGATCTCCAGTGACCGGATCCGTGCTCCGTTGAACAGCGTCGCGTTCAGCGGGAACGCTGTTAGAAGGAGATGCAGTGTAATGACTGGCTAGAATCACTCCTTTCTCAGCTAGGGCCATTCTCAATATGCCTATACGCTCCTCCTGCGATCCACTAGAGGTGCATGTCAAAGAGACAAATCTTGGATACACGACATTAACGCACATTACAGTCTCGTTCTCCTCGAAGGCTTTATCTATTTCAGGATCTTGGTCATCAGGATTCTCCGTGATATACTGCCCAAGAAGTTCCTGGGTTTCACGGAGGTGCTGAAGTGAGTTCTGCAGCCGGGCGATTTCTGCATCGGTCAAAGTGGGCTAAGGCATGATAGCACATGGTTGTGAATCAACCTTCAGTGATCACAGGGATATCCAGTTGGATTGCTTGGTTCAGGGTAAATGGCTGGGCGTAACGAGGTGTATACTCCATGGAGGTGAAAGTGTAAGACGCGTCAACACGGAGAAGGAAATGATGTTACCGTTTTCGGAAGACCTCTTGGGGCTCATGTGCACTCTCTAGAAATTGTATAATGGTATGTGTATATTAACTACGAGGTATTTCAAGAAACAAAGATATCAGCCCACACCGTCCTCAACTCCTGCAGGTCGCTTATAACAGCGACCCCATTATCTGCATCGCCATTCCTGTTACTGGAAATTTCCTGGACCTTGCCTCCTTCGACGTGGTTTAAACCATGCTCGCAGAAGTGCACACAGTGTTTCCAACCGAGAGCGCGTGCAGCATCCACGTTGCGTCTATTGTCATCTACAAAGAAACATTTAGAGGGATTGGACACGTTTGCTTGTCTAAGGGCCTGTTCAAGTTAGTACATGCCTAGGTGAACTCCTGGAATTTCGTACCTTGTGGTAATATTCAGGCTCTGGTTTGCTGATAAGATCTTTCTGTGCGTAGTCGCAATAGACCAGACCCTCTATTTGGTCGTGGACATTGAGAATTCGGAGAACACGTTCTGCATGCTAAGAAAGAATGTCAACGGTAATCAGGACAGCAGTACAAAGTAACACGCACTGGCCGATATGCATTGGTTAGCGCCCACACACGTGCTTTGCTCCGATCTATGTCTTCAAAGAGTTTGCGAAGCGAGGGGTCGGGCTTTATCATCTCTTCAAGAGGCAGGGAACCGTCGCACTTCTCGTCAAAGTCCAGCGGATCTGTGCAGCGTAAACCCACATATCCAAGGCCAATCGAGAAAGCACAAACCTACGTCGTGGTGTCGCACCAGTCCAGCGAGTGCAAGTCCATATTGTGTATAATATTTCAAATGTAGATCAGAGGCCTCATCGTCGTCTAAGCCCAAGGTCAAGAAATAAGCTGGAATATGTATACATTAGACTTCAATGGATCATTCTAAAGAGCCAGAAAACATACCATGAATTCTCTTGCCCATGGCTCGGGACACGTCTGCACTATGGGAGTGTAAGTCCATCTACAGCACTAGAATGGAGGCATAGACGCACCTAGTGGAATACAAGGTATTGTCTATGTCAAACCATACGATGTAACGATCATCTGAGAAAAGTGATGATCAGAAACGAATGAACAGATGGACGGGGTAAACACTTGCCTTCTGTAGACATTGCTATCTGGGATAGAACTGGATCCGCGAAAAAGATATTACAAGGGGAGTACTTGGCTCATGGGACAGACAACTTGCCTTTCAAAATGATGGTTTTCGTGAGAGATCTTTCCTGCTGACTCATACGATCGCCAGGATAATGGATATTCACGATATGCGCCTTACCTAATGAGGTTGCCACGTTTCCACGGCGTAGATAGGCCTTTTCAATTCCTGCCACATTTCTTGTTCAGTGAAACAAGGTCCAGTTGGAGCTTTGACGATGTTTGTTTGAGAATTGCTCGTTGTGTTATTGAGGCATGATCTATGTACGGTAAATTTCCTGCAACTACGAGAATGCGATCTGCGAAAACAAAGTCTTTACCATACCGCCCAGAGCCAAAGCAAGAACAAAGCAATTGAAGAAATCGTTTCAGTCGCCAAAGGCAAGATGAGTCACGTGAGCAGAAAGGGACCGGCAAGTTCCGTAACTGTACAGTTATCGGATGGTGCCGAACTCCCAGCGGACAACAACAGGACTACAATTATCGGCATCGGCCTCAACGACCTCAAGACAAAGTGCGTATCGCTCAGGACATTCTACTTGCCTATGCTAAGACATTCTGTTACAGATGGCCAGAAGTAAAGAACTCGTCCCCCATATCGGCCGTCTCTCTCGGTCAAAACTCGCAGCCAAGCGAGGTCTTTACAAGGGACTCAAAAAGTCGGAGAAGCCTGCTGCTGAGGCCACCCCCGAGACCGTAGAGAAGACTGTTGGCGGCGACAAGAACGGTGGAAAGCGTCTTGTTCCAACATCGAAGGCTCCTCGCTTCTACCCTGCTGAGGACGTCTCTCAACCCAAAAAGAGCCGCAAAACCCCCAAACCAACACAACTACGCGGCTCCATAACTCCCGGCACCGTTTTGATTCTGTTGGCTGGAAGATTCCGGGGGAAGAGGGTTGTGTTCTTGAAGCAGTTGGACAGTGGGCTTTTGTTGGTGACGGGACCGTTCAAGATTAACGGTGTGCCATTGCGACGGGTTAACCAGGCATATGTGATTGCTACGTCTACCCACATTGATGTCTCCAATGTCAAGGTTCGTGCGCGTTTTTCAATCTTCATTTTATGAATTCTCATCACTTTCACAGCTTGACGACAAACTCAATGACTCGTACTTTGCGAAGACTGGCTCGAAGGGTGCCATATCTGCTGAGGCGGAGTTCTTTGAGGAGGGAAAGCCCAAGGCGAAGGAGGTTCTTCCTGAATCAAAGACGGCTGACCAGAAGGCCGTCGACGATGCCATTATCGCCTCCGTCAAGAAGACAAGCAACCTGGCCAAATATCTGGCAGCAAGCTGGGGTCTGTCGAAGGGCCAATTCCCTCACCAGATGGTATTTTAGATGTAGCGGAGATTGAGGCTGTCGTTAGGGACGGGCGAGGGCTTTAAGACTTCACTATGTTATATGTTACATCTATGATGATACATGCACGCCATTCGAAAGCCAAATTTCTTATACCTTCGTCAACGAAAAATAACAGAGAAATGGAAAACGGAAATTGCTGCGACGACTGTGACGTCTGTGACAGGCGTGTTCCATGTTTCGTACATGCCATCGCGGCCTGCGTCTTGCAAGTCATCCTCACCATGGCTTTCGGGCACCGACTTCCAGGCGCGACTTGTCCTCTGTCGCCAATAGTTTTCTTGACTTTGCAACCGCCATTCCATACCCTACATCCTTACCGCCTTACTCTTCCACAATCATCCTGGTCACCGTTCTAACGCGTATTGCTTTGCTACCAATCGCAACATGGGTACGGGAGTTCACTCCCGCTTCAAATCGACAAAAATAACGAAAATATATAGGGAAATAACCGCATGCTTCGCTATCAACAGCTCGTAATTCCCGAAGTCGAAAAACGGAAACCATATATCTGGCAGGAAGAGCTGATCAAGATGAGAAAGGAAGGCTTTCGCGGTGACAAGGAGGAAACTCGCAAGGTTCTCTCCAAGCGCATACAGCCCATCGTGAGTGCCTTCAAAAACTACTGGATTGCAGCGTGCATTGACATTGAACAGTTCAAAGGTCTTGAAAAACAGCTGTGCAAAGTGTATCGCTGCCAGAAAATACCCACCATGGTCGTACCTCCGCTCTCACAGATGGCAGTTTTCTTTCCCATGTCCATTTTCTTTGGCGGCGTCGCTACCGATCCGTTTTCTGGCTTCGACGCAGAGTCGTTTATGACGCTGACCAGCTTGTCGCATCCTGATGAAACCCTTACGGTACCCATCCTCGTTGGCCTCATTACCATGGCCAATGTCGAGTCCAGTACTTGGTTTATGACGGCAACTGAGAAACAGGCTGTCGCGCAGCGGGAGCAACGGCGGAAGGATGCAGCCTCGAAAGGGGTCCATCATATCACACCTGCGAACGGTATCAAACAAGCCTTACGCGTTGTGTCTGTCATGCGTATAGTCTTTGCTGCACAGGTATCAGGCGTACGTGTCTCTTTCCATATCGTTGCAACTGGCGCGCTCATATGCTATCATAGGCCGTTGCCTTGTATTGGGCAACCTCTTCGTTGTGTGGTCTTTTCCAGACTTGGTTCATGGAGTCCCTTCGTCGACGCAAACTTGGCCCACCGCCACCTAACGACAAGGCAGTATAGCAGAACTTTGGAAGGCCAACGCGCTTTATAAATGTGAGTCTAGGACCTTACCTTTGGGGATGAAAATAAAAGTGGTATAGAAGGACCCGCTTTCCTGTTTTTCGGAAAGCTGGAGCCTCATGAGAATCTCTTGATCTAATATGACCTCTTCTCGTTTTCTTTCTTTGTGAATGTTCCCTGACACTCTGCCTCAGGCCGTCTACTATCGTCTTGCACTAGTCTCACTCCTGTCGAGAAGAAAATCGAGCTCGGAGTGGTAAAGGTGCTGATGTCAAATGTGACTAGAATGAATATAAGTATAGGTAGATAGTCGCGTTTTACAAGGCTAATACAAGGATATCTGTCCACTTTACACCTAGGCCATGCCACCCCACGGACCACGTATCCGACGTGCCAGTTGAATGTCTCTCTGCATGATGGTGACCCGTTTCGCATGAAGTGCACATAAATTACTAAAGAATAGAAATATCAGAAGAGGCGAACGCGGAGACATGGTCATTACTGACGCATCTTCAAATAAATGGACCAAAAAAGCCTCCGTGGCTTCTTGAAGAGCCAGTAAAGCAGTAGTCTGCCATCGAAGTTGACCGGTGTCGTAGTTGTCGTTCAAGTCCGTAGTCATATCAAGAGCAATTTCCCGGACCTGAATTCCATGAAAATAGGACAGCGCAAGACGGCGCAGAAACACACCAGACGAGAAAACGGCAGCTTTCGAATCAAGAGGTCTGTGCTCTTTTGATACTTTCGTATCTCCCGCAACGCGACTGTTCCAGGACGAAATCTATGAGGCTTTCGTGAGGGTCCTTGGCCTGTCATAGGTCAATAAAATTTGAATATTCAAGTAGAAAGGGCCACTAGACCTTGTACACGAATGGGAGCTTGTCCACCGGTACTTTTACGCGCAGTAGCCTTCGACTTCTTGGACGCTGGTTCTGGGGAAGAGCCTGACGGTCGTGCTTTCCGTTTCGATGACTGAGCAGCCGGAGCCATGTTGAAAGAAAAAGACAAGGGGGCAGATGAGGAACCAAGCCAAGCACCACAGGGCCACTTCGATCGTGGTTGGACTTGGTCCCAAAAAGGTAACCAAATCGCGTCTGGGCCACGCGGTGATCTTCTTGCACTCGTACCACCACCATCGCTGCAATCGAATCAGTTCCATATCCTTTGACAGTAACAAATGGCTCAAGAAGTTCTGACAGGAGGATACTATCGATATACAGATATCTGGTTCGATTGGTAAGATCGATGGTCTTGGTGGTAATAGCGCCCAAGAACACCTTTCCCACAGGGCAGAGAACAATAAAACATATCGTCCGCCATTAAAAGCAATATTTGGTGAGCAAATTCCTGTTTATCGGATACTATGCCTGATCTGTGGATAGCTCACGATTCCTTGGTGAGCCCTGACCACCCGTTCCACATCGAGGGCGTGGAAGGTGCACAGCTGTACATGGGTACGTATTTGCAAGTCTGAACCCGGCGTGAACTTCTCATTGTATCTAGGGCAACTTCTCAACGGGGAGTCGCGTATTCTCTTCTCCTCGAAACAGGTTGATTATGCGCGCTACTGGCTTGTGAGTTGCTATGCGACTAGTACTTGCCACAATCTCACTTGCTTGTTCCTACAGCACGCCATGAAGTTTACGGAAGATTTGATTCCTCTTCCTTATTCCAACTGCCTTCTTACTAAGGCTGATCTCAAAACTGTGTCGCCCGTTGTTTACAAGACTGGTGGCGACATAAAACTAGCTTCCAAGGTACAGGCGTGAGCTCGTTCTCGAAAGGAACTTACACAATTATAGAATATGGAAAAATTTAACAAGCGTCTCAAGGGCTCAAACCCGCTCTTGATGTCCCGGCGCCTTGCCTTTGAACGCGTCCGAGCGTTCTGGGGTCAGAAAAAGGGCGTTTGGTGCGCAATGGATTTTGAAGGATGGGAGAGGGAACACACTATGATAACCGAATTTGGGTGGAGCACCATCCGATGGGAGAATGGCGAAGAAGTTGCAGACCATGGTCATCTCCAGGTAAAGGAAGCTCTTGGTTATAGGAATGGCACATACGTGGCTGATAACCGTATGGTATACGCCTTGATCCATTCTTGTTCTTTCTCTGTTTTGACCTTTCCGTCAGAATTATGACTTTGGCGAAAGTCAAGTTGTCCCGAAAGTACAGCTCCCCAAGTTCATTCAGAAGATGATTCAAGATTTAGCGGAATACGGTGTAATCTTCTTGGTATTCCATGATAACTCCCAGGACCTCAAGTGCGTATGTTTCTTTGTGAACATGTCTCTTAAACGTGTCTTTTCTTCAGATACCTTCAACAAATCAAAGCTCCGATAGACGGTTACTCTCATATATTGCCAGATGCCATTCCTGAGTCTGGTATCTATGTAGTTGACACGGCCGACCTTTTTGGAGGTTTGCTGGGTGAAGATTCGCCGGGTAACAAGCGTGGTCTCGAGCAAATGTGCCGCCTTCTTGACGTCCCTACCAAACATCTTCACAATGCAGGAAACGATGCCCATGTAAGCTGTCGCCTGAATACAGTTTGGGTCTTCGTAACGCGCCTTCTAGTACACACTTGCCGCGTTGAAGTCGATGGCGACAGGAGATCAACTTGATACTCAAAGGGAGCAGAGGTGGCCTCAGCATACTGGTCCTCGTGGAGGTGTGAAAGTTGAATTTACTCCAGAAGAGGAGGACAGCGACTCCGATTTCTACTAAGGTTTGAAAATTTGAATTCCGTATCTTGACATATATCCTTGTATTGTATCCATTGTATGTAGCAGTGTTTTCGATTGTTTTTGGAATCACGAGTGTCGTGTCGTAGACTACTCGACGCAATAATTAATCCTCCTTGGTATCTTTTCCTTCATCTTCGTCGTCCTCATCGTCGGAGCGCACATCGTCAGTCACTGATGTCATGATAGCCCTGCGTAAGACAAGTCAGGATTTTAAATCTACATGAGATAAGAACATCTGTTACCTGTATAGAATCCGCATGATCAAGTAGTACCAGAAGAGGTTGAGAAGCTGAAGTAGTGCAATGGGTACGAAGATCTGATACTTCATCCACCAAGGCAACCAAACACCCTCCGGGGGATTCCATAATCTTGTATGCTCACTTGCAACAGGAAGGATGAGTAAAAAGACCACTGAAGCAGAATTTACGCACGGAATAAGATCGAATTCGGTCCACACCGAATACAATATTACTAAATTCAGGATATGCCGGAAGTATCTGAGCAACAAACGTCTGTCCCATGTCAAGGTAGAAAAAAAAAGTGACGTACGTCCAGATGCCGATGAGAAGGGCGAATGAAACGACTTTGGCCCGCTCCCATTGGATGTAATTGAGGAGCTTCGAGAACTTGCAAACACGTAAATAAGCAGGCGTAGATGATATTCGACGAATACCCTACAGCTAGCAATGTGTCTGGAATATCCATACTCATATAAACAGCGTTGCCGATTAGCGTGAGGTTAACGAGGTAGCTCCATCTTCAGGAAATGTCAGGAGTGATTTATGGAAAATTCAGTGCAACATACCCCACCAGCCAGATAGTGACGATATGGTGTGCTACTAATTCGTTGTAATCTTTGCGGGGCTTCTCCAATTTTAGAAGCATAACGAGCAGCTGCTGAGACCAATACGCCATCTGCATGATATAGTAACGCTTCAGTTCGGGTATCATATCCCAATGGGGGTAGTCTATATGCACAGTCAACGTTGGAGGAAAATCATGTCTAAAAAAACCAACCAATCCAGAAGTATTCCGTTCGGTACCACCATGTAGGCAGTCGGTGCATGATGCGCTGGAAAGGGGTAAGCTTCATCGGTTCAAGGGTAAGATAGATAAGAACGAACCAAACCCCAACACCCCATAATGAAGAAATAAAACACAGCATACCCCTGTTCACCAAAGCGGTCGAGTTTACCTTCTTTACGAATTCCAAAGTATTTAGCGATAGGTCGACAGATGTTGATTGTGACAAATTGGCGAACCATGGACCAGAAGACGATGTGATAAGCAATGAAGACTAGGTCAAACCAGCCTTTTTGGTAACGCGGGTCGTCAGGTGTCGAGGTGGGGATATAATGCGACAGGAGGAAGAAAACACCAAAAGGGTTCACGCTTTGGGTATCGGGGTATGGACCGAGAATAGGGGGAAAGAATAGGTTCCAAAGACTTTCCTAGCCATGGGGCCAGGACTTCCCAGTTCACGTACAACACAACAGGCACGATGAGCAGCTTTAATGCTTCCACTGAGCAGCAGAGAGGGTCAGCCTGACGAGTGTGTAAACAGTAAATAGCTCACCTGGTTCAATTGCCCACCGCAACCACGGAGACACAGGTGGGCGCGAAAAAGTACGACGCCGAAACGGTGACGCATTCCGTTCTTCGACGGGCGTCAAGCTACCCAACGGTCTGCGCGTCTATGTCAATACCGAAAGCATTTTTTCGAGGCAAAAGGCATACGTCTGAGGCATAAAGGGGCCGGCAAGGTGGTGGGCAGGATCGTGTCTAAATAATGGTTAATCTCTGGATTAATCGTTTGCGTATGAGACTCACTCGATTCGGTCGGTAATGACTGTGAAGGAATTGCGCCGTTTCATGCCCTTTGTTGACGAAGGCGACATGAAAGAGGGAACCTTGCTGGCGGTGATGGTGGTGGTGAAATTATCCGGTTAACTCTTTTTCCCAGCATTTCTATCGTGACCACGGCTGGCCACGGCATTTTCCGCTCCAATGTTCTCATCGCAACATCTCTTTCAAAATGTACAATGTCCTGAATATCCCACCTGTACGCGTCAGAATTGCATATTTTCGCATCGTACAGACATCCCGCTGCCGCCGCTGTTGATTGCATCGAGCAATGAAGTAAAGCCAACAAGTACGAGTACGCACCCGTCGCCGAACGCTGCTGGCCCGTCTGTAGTTCCCACCAAACGGGCCTCAGTTTCAATACCTTCTCGAACATCTAGTAATCCGGTTGGAGAGCCGCCTCTGAAGCAGCAGGTAGTTGGCACTGCAGGACGAAAGCAAAATCCGGTGCCTGTCGCGTCGACTTCCTCTGTGAGTTTCATTATCGTCATTCTTTGCTCAAATCTGACCATTATAATCAAGTCTGCAGGCCCACCTGCTCTCAGAGTATCTGCAGCATCCTCTCGTGTTGCTGTTCCAGTACGGCAAACCATGCTCAAAACACTCTACGACCATTTCAAAGTGCTTTACGAGAAAATATTGCCCAAGAATCCAGATATTGCTTCCGAACACGCGCTCCGACAAGAGGACGAGGTGTACCAAAAGTCGACCAAAGCATCGTATCGTGTTGTGAGTAGATAACAATGTTTACCATACCTGCTGTTCTCATGAATAATAGGCTGTAATACATTGTGCAGCTTCATTGAAGCGACGTCCGATCCCCGATTCTATATATCATGCCTCCGTTGGTACTACGGAAGACCTTGCAGCGCGTGCAGAGGCTCAAAATTCCCTCAAGTCCCTTCGTCTTACGCGTACACACCTGGAACCCCACCTTCTGTCTTTGGATACGATGCGTACTTGGGGTTACATTGTAGACATACCCGAAGGTGAAGGCGGTTCTGAACCCAGCCGAGAAGGACAGACCGTCGTTTGTGAACGGTGTCGAGAGCCGTTTCAAATAACACCTCACCCCACGCAGGATGAATGTCTTCATCACTGGGGTAGGCCGTATTCCAAGAAGACCAGTGGTATGACCATCTTCCATGAACTTGCGAGATCTTACTCCACATATAGGTCAGCGTGATCGAGTTTATAGTTGCTGTTCGAAATCTGTTACAGAGAACGAAGGTTGCGTTCGGGGACCACACGTGTTCTATGAATCGGATCCCAGTGCTCTACATGCCCGGCATTCGTTCTCGTATCTCAAGTCCAGTCCTTCGGCTCAGGAGATTGTCGCCCTCGATTGTGAGATGATCTACACCACAGGAGGGATGCGTGTCGCCCGTGTTTCTGTGGTTGATGGCACGGGCGCCGAAGTCTTTGATGAGTTGGTCCGGATGGATGATGGTGTCTATGTGCTGTCCGTACCTTCTTCTCTCTTGCGTGCTCTGATTTCATATCTTTCTAGGGACTTCAATACTCGGTTTTCTGGTATCACCGAAGAAGCATATGCTAAGGCGACTCGGCCACTATCTGAGATTCGACATGCCTTAGATGCGATTATCAGCTCAAGCACTATCCTCATTGGCCATGGTCTCGAGAATGATTTGAGAACGCTGCGCATTGTACATCATCAATGCATCGATACTGCCATCATGTTTCCCCATCCAGCTGGACATCCCTATCGGAAAGCATTAAGAGACCTGTGAGCTTTGAGTAACAGTATATGAAGTCCTGTCTGATGGATTGTTGTAGTGCTCGTGAGCATCTCGGCATTAGAATCCAGGCCGGTGGGAGTGCAGTAGGGCATTCTTCAATAGAGGACTCTGTCGCTACCTTGGATCTCGTGCGGTGGTTCGTACTGGAGAAGCAGAAAGTGTCCCCATCGAAGTCAACCTCCCCCGCGAAACCCAGTTAATTTCGTGGACTCGACAGCGGACTTTTCTCTTAACCCTTTAGTGACATTACTGGACTACTAGCATCATCGGGTAGAATATTGATATCTCTAGCATATTATCTGTGTAGAACTGCAATTGTATCTGTAATATGTAATATATCCTCACCGCTTCGCTGATGACTTTTTGGTCGCCCTTCTTCTCCGTCCGCCGGCTTTGCTAACAGGGCCATACTTCGCATTACCGTTGCTTGGCGTTACGGTGCCACTGCCTCCCGACTCCGAGTCGTCATCATCAACACTATACCCCTCATTAGCACTGTCTCCAGGAGTATCATTAGCATCTGTCGATGACCGGGCAACCACTTTGTTATAGGCGCCACAGACGAGCGTCAGGAACCATGTTCTCATGATATGCGGTGACGTTGCGGCTGAGGAATCCAGTAATTCCATATCCCCAGAAGGGTCAAGCTGCAGGGGGAGGACATAAGGCCTGTCAGCAAGGTTCAATCTAAGCCGCCTTATACACTCACGATGTAAACATTCATCCCTTCAACAACCATGTCAATAGTGCGACCCCGAACCTGAAGGGGATTTCCATCTCCATCGTAGCGAGGACCTCCTCCGGACAGATTGACTTTCACCTATCACAAGAAGGGGCGATGAACATTGATAGAGAAAGCAGATGGCGGCTGACATACCTTCCTTTGACCTTCAACAGGTATCATCTTGGGTCCCCATGCAGCTAATCGAGCATCTTGCCGAATACGCTCTATGCGCTCTAAGTCCCTTTTATAATTCATCTTCTGGATAATGTATTGCAAAGACGATGTCAGAACCGTCAAGAACACCAACACGCTCTGATAAATGATAGATATGAGCAACACATACTGCATCAAATGGAACGATCAGTACTCACCCCAAGTCCTGGCCTGAACCGCGAATAGTAGTACCCTGTTCCTCTCCACTTAGGCACTCCGTTCTTGTAAAAGAAGTCGTAACTTCATACAAGTAAAAACGATCAGGGCCGCCACTTGGCATATCAGCGGGATAACGTTACCGTTTTCTGCTCTCAGGATTCCTCAAGATGGTCGATACAACACCCAAACGGGCGAATCGTTCGTGTATCTTTTTGTCCTTCGGATTCTTGTCGGGACTAGGAATTATAGGCCCGATGAGAGACAGAGCGCTGAAAGTTGCAAATATGGACGCACTGCAACTGCATGCTCATTTTCCTGTACGCTTTCGCGATCTCTGTCGTGGTAGCGGTATGTGGGACATCAAGCCACGAGTAGAATGTCGTCCCTTTGCCTTCGGAAGCTTCCACCGCGCTGACGAGGTCGAAAATTTCATGGTCTTCCTGTTACTACATGAGTACACGACCCATCTACGTGTACTCAGACAACAGACTCACTTTTTCCCATCTTTAAGAACGTATCCACGTCAGGAAGAGCTGGCAGAACATAAGAGTCACTCACGCAACAACGGTCGTTACCAGAACGAACAGGCATGCGAGGAAAAGAGCAAACCTCATTTTGATGGTGTCTGCAAACCGCCAGCACTCTGAAATTCTCAGGCGCGAGATCTCACGTGATTCTATACTTTCCTTCTCTTTGAGTTCATGGCCCCCCGTCGTCGCTGCCCTGTATGTCAGTCGCGTCAATGGCACAAAGAACCCTCAAGTGGTCTTATTGCATGCAGCGAAGGACACATTCTTCAGGTAAGACTTCTTCAATTCATCGTGCCGTATTAACATTGACGCGTACAGAATTACCGCAATGAAACTACTACCGAGGCAGAAGATCTAGGTGGTCCCCATGCTATGCTCAAACGTACGATAAAATCAGGACGAAAAAAGGCTGAAGATGTGGGTCTTGGCCGTGCCAATCCTCAGCGTTCGTCCTAGAAATGCCCAACTTTTTTCAAAAAAAAACTTGACAAAACCTACTTGCAGTGTACCATGGCGCGAGAGGAACGTACCTCTATTACCAGTGCCTTCAGCTTATTTTTCGGAAACAGATTGCTGCCTTGACAAGACTATGGAATCTACCATCGGAGTTTGAGGTAGACAGTTTTCTCGGCCTTGATCAGATACTGGACTTAGTTCTGAAAGCACAGCTAGTTTGCCGGGACATCTGGGCCCTAAACTTGACACTTCTGCCAGAGCATCCTCCGCCCGAGCCGTATCATTACGTTCATGGCGAAAATGCGGGCTCACAAGACGATGACGACCAGGATTCCCCGTCTGATGAGAACGATGAAGACGGGGATGACGATCACATTCTCGCCACCCTTCAGGCGGATACGAGTTCTGAATCTGAGCCTGAACGTGAAGATGGGGACGGATCCGGACGTGAAGAACCAAAGCAAACACGGAAGAAACGTTCGCCTGATCTAAACAAGTACAGATCAGTGACTAGCGCCGTTGCAGTGCTCATGTTAGCGTGCTGGACATTGAGAATCCCGGTGATGTTTCGTGACTTCATTAGGTCAGTGATTCACTCGCCGTGCTTGGGTATCAGATTGATTCCCAGACGTCTTAAGCGTCATCGAAGCATACGATCTGCCGTATTTAGATCCAGTTCGGCTTTTACCTCCGACCATGGTGGCTCATTTGACGAGAGCCAAGATCCAATCATTGTCGATGCAGGTGAGTTCAGTTTAGAGCCGGTTATTTTTGTGTTACTAAATAATGAATCACCCGAATTGAAGCGGCCGCCCCGAACATTGACTCTCCATAATCTGACGTCAAGATTAGCCAAGAAGATGCATGCGGTATTTGGTGTTTTCACACCAGAATTGAATGCAGCACCATTACTATGGCGTGTAACGAGGGTTCTCGGCGGAAATCGTAAGACTTTTTACTATTATTACGGTTTCTGTTTGAGACTCAAAATGCTTCGAAGCGACATTGTATCAGTTGACCAAGCAGCTGGCACGCTTGCTTTCCCTTCCCCTGACCGTCAGTTACATGTTGGCGCCAGGCCTGGAACGGCTAAAAGAGAGCGATCCCGAACACCATGCGTACGACCACGTGCCAGTGGAAGTTGGGTTTGTCGCAGTAACGATAATCGCGCTGAAGATGGTGTATGGATTGGATGGGGAAGACAGGTCAGTTAATACTTGGCGAGAAGAGAAGGTCGTTGATGGTAGTTATGCTTCCAGAGTCCATTCCCACCCTGGCGATCCGGGTCTGAGCCTTCCGGCTATCGATGATTATCTGGAACATGTAGGCAGGTTGTCCGAGGAGGACATAACGGAACGGAACACAATGTTCAGCTCAGAAAGTCAAATGTACGTGGACTGGCAAATGACGTTGGCAAGGCAGTTGACGACAGGGATGACGAAGGTCGGTAGGTGATCTCAACGAATTAATGTTGGATGAATATGTTTCATTCTGCGAACGAGCGTTGTTGGGAGGCGAGAACGGTAAGTTATTGCAATATGATGTGACTGAGAGACTGATTTAGAATCAAAAGACGGTGACGGCGTGGTGGCAAAGTATTTTCCCCTAAAGGGTCGAGAGTGGAAAGATCTGCCGGACTCTGAGACAGAAACACCATGCGGCAAGATGCAGGGATCAAGGCCAGATGAAGATGGGAAAGGTGCTCGGCCCGGAGAGAAGTACAAAGTTTTTATTGGAATGGATAGTGGTGGGAGTGTGGCGGCCGAGCTTGAAATGCTAGTACGAAGGGGTGCCGGGTACATTAAGGTGAACGAAGAGGACGTATTCCGAACGACTGAACGGTATGAACGGAGGCTACTGAGCTGGTGGAAGAGACAACAGAAAGATAGCCGGAACCGCAAACATAGTCGGACACGGGCAAAACATTGAATTGTTGTATTAAAATTTGGTGTTGGTACCTTATTTGTACCTAAACTGTACAGTCATCATGCTGAGTCAATGCTGTAACGTACGGCAGGACTAAAATTGGAATGAGACAGCTGCTTTTTTGTCCGATCCTTGTTTCTCGAATCCGACCGTCGTCCGGCCTTGACCATTGACGACAGCAAGCGCAGCAATACCGACACAGCGACAGCGACGAGAGTGCATAACAGCAGTGAGCGCCCTTGATACTGAACCAGTGCGTCGTTACTGATGATGGCGCGGCCGTGATTCAGCACTGATTCGTCGACTTGCTCCCTGGACCGTCGCTGCCACCTGTTGCCGGCTTGGTCCCATCCGACGCTCATCAAACTACCTTTTATTTACATAAATTCTGGTCCTATCCTCCACATTCAAGTCCAAATGCTCTTTTGATTCAGTCCGACCATGCGTCGTTTTACTTCTGTCTTCTCTTCCAAGCGCGACAAGGGCGAGTCGTCCTCTAGCAGCCATCCTTCTCACAGTACAACCTCTCTCTCGACCGCCAAGAAGACAGTGAAGAGGGCTAATACCTTTCATTCTCCAGTATCCTCTTCGACCTCGTCGTCACCCCACTTCAGTCGTGGAAGCGACATCGCCCATTCGTCTGCTTCGTCCTCGGGCTCTGCTAGCCTTCAGACTCCAGATGACGTCCCATTACCACTAGACCGGACTCCTACCAAAGGCAAATCTTGGATCTCATGGCTCGGGAAAAAGCCTTCGGTCATCAGGGTGAGGCAACCTGAAACCCAGGAAATTAATCGTGACTGGCGACCTTCTTGTCCGCCGCCTCTACTCCGCCAACCGCCTCCTGGAATCAGATCTGCTGCTCCGGTACGCAAGTCTGAAGAGACTTCATCCGAGTCCGATGACGACGACGACTCGTCTCTCTCCGGTCACCTCGTCAAGCCTTCCTTCCCTTCTTCTGCCGCACCTATCTCTCGAAAATATCTTCACAGCCTCATACAAAACTCTCTTGTATATCACCCTTCTCCCTCACCTTTTGTCCAGCTCGATTCCCAGACTTCTCCACTTTACCCACGTTCGTGTAATTCTCCACGTTCCCTGTCACATCAAGAGTCCCTTCGTTCATCAATGCTCAAAACACACCTCTTACGGCGTTTGCTTGACCCCGCAGACCCATTGACAGCAGCAGAGCAGGATGCCATACTGCCCTTTAGCCTCAAATCACCCTCACCTCCCGTACTTAGCGGGTCTTCTTCCGACAGTGTGGATGAAGTTGCCCTACCAAAGTCTGCCAAGGCTGTTGGTTACAGCGAAGGTCTGCGCCGTTGGATAAACCGTCCTTGCTTTGAACACCGGTTCGTTGTTTGGATTCGCACAGACGACGGCATCGCACAGTGCCAGGTGACTGGGACACGTTTTGCCGTACCAGACCTCGAGTTCTCAGAGGCGCTCGAAGCTATGACCGATTTCAGTCAGCAGTTGTATCAGGAGCTCTCGCTCCCATCACCAGTGGAGCTGCCGTCCCATGCAGTAGTACCACCTCCTCAGGCATTGCCTGCACCGGAGCCAGCGGAGCCCGAGTCGGAGCCAGAAATGCTGAGCCCAAGCTCAGAGGCACCGCCGCCGTCACCGTCTAGCAGCTCATCTCATGCATCTCGTAAGTCCCTTAACCCCTTCATTAACGTCGTGTCAACTGACCTGAACGTAGACACCACCCGAGTTGCACCATACCTGGCCACGCCGTCACCGCTACGCAATCAGCATGCCGTCCTCAAATCGACATCGCCAGGGTCATCTTCAGCCTCTGTACCACCGTCATCTTCTACTCCCATCAAACGTGGCGTCAGATTCGCCGAAGATGGCAAGGAGGATCAAATCCCCATTGGGTATGTCATGCGCATGAAGAAACAACGGGAAGCGAAGGCCAAGTTTTTGCGTGAACAGCAGGAGAAGCGGCAGTTTGAGGAGGAGAAGGCAAGAGTAGAGGAGGAAAGAAGAAAGAGAGAGCAGGAGAGGATCGAGTGGGAGAAGGAAAGGCAAGCATGGGAGAAAGAGAAGAGGGCTATGGAGGAAGAGAGAAGGAAGAAATTGTATGCGGAAGAGCTGGCTGCAGCTAGAGTGCGGCGGGAGAACCAGCGGCACGGCGGAAGCAGCAGGGCCATTTCGAATTCAAGTTCGTACACGTCTTTGAGAGGTGACGGAAATGGATCCGAACGTAATAGGCACGATTCGATGAAGCAGTTGCGGCCCACGCATGATCACCTGTATGTACCACCACCACCGCGGCTACAAGGATCGACTTCGTCACTGGTTAGTTCACGTCGGTCGAGCTTCGTTGGACAACCTACTATGTTTTCACCTGTGCAGCAATTTGGACAGCTACCACTTCCGGTACCTGGATCTCGTCCTTCGTCACTATATTCGTCGTCATCTGAGGACGTTGGAATGAGTGCTAAGCGACATACCATGGCTTCGACCCCCAATTACCATAATGTCAATATGTGGTCAGCTAGCAACGCGAGCCTTCTTCCGCCTGCCGGATTCGACATGCCCCTTCTACCGCCCACCGCACCGTTTATGCTTCATCAATATCACCCACGTCAACCGTTGCAACCGTCGTTGAGCCCTTCTCCGTCCAGGCAAGGTTTTACCCATAGTACGGATCGCGTCAGCCGCCCCTCCACGTATGACAGTAGTCTTTCGAATCGTTCGAACTCGTCGTCGCCTCACCGAGTAGTAAACCATCAGCGTCGGTCAAGTGGAGATCACCAACCCTCTCCGATGCGACCTCAGCAGCAGAGGGGAAGAACGATAGAGCCTGCTTCGTCTAATCGCCTATCTACTGCCTCATCTCGATCGAATGTCAACCTTGGGTACACTGCTCCAAACATACAAAGAGGGGCACCGACGAGGCGGCAGACTTCATACTCATGATCACTCCTTTTGCCCCCTTATCTCACGACATATCATGCTCCATACCCTCATTGGGATCTCCCAGCAACATATTGGTTTCCACCAGAATTCTTTATCCGGTTGTACGTATCATGACACTTCAGCAGGTTCGATATGCTGCCGCACACGCTCGTTAAACCTTCACTATATTATCCGCCTCTCCCGCTTGGAACATTCGATGGTTGGTCTTATACGTACCAACGGGAATGTAAACCAGATCCAAATTGCCGACCTCCCTCCCACCTCACTTATCTCGCTCCAGTTCTGCAAGGTCGTTCATTTACATTATTCTTTAGCATAATGCATCAACAAATCGGACCACAGACAGTTTTCTGGACCTAGCACTACAAACACACTCGCACGATTATCATACCTACAATTTCACTCTTGTTTACGTTTTGAACTTTCTGTCTTCAAGCCCTGCATTTTTTATGTACTGTATTCTTTGACCATTTCCTCGACATGACAGCATTTTCACCGATCCATCACACGGTTTATCGTGTTACTCTACATACCATTGTTGCCCTCCCGTCGTATGTTTCGTGTGGCGGGGGATGTTGTGTTTGTCTTTACCATTCCACTCACAGCGACTCGCCCTGAATACAGGAGTATTGCTTATGGTACGGGAGTGCTCAGATTGATCAAGACCACTGACGCTGTTCTCAAATCTCATCGGAGTACTTTGTCGATCGAAGGACTGTTGCTATTAACCCTCATGTAGATTAGTCACTACTAACAATCTTTTCCCGATATTATAGAAATACCTACTACAATCCAGGTACTAGAATCCAGTAGTGTAGACGAGGGGAAATATTGTTTGTACAATAAAATAAGTATGGGAATAGTTGACTACTCATTCTTTCACTCTGGGCTACTTCTATCCCCCTTCCCGCAATGTGTTGACCTAGGTTTGAGCTCAAGGTACTAGCTGTTTGCCCTGTGCTTGAAGTACCACCTGCTCAGGCACTATGACGTCGTCGTAAGATTATTTTCGCAAGGTCATCAGTGACGAACATGCGTCTCACAAATGATCAGTGATGATTAATGATAGGTCAGCCTTGGCCTTCCACGACATCATGCCTTCAGTTCTCTTTGTACTTACTTCAGCCGACAAGAACCTCGTTGGCGGACAAACTGTAAGCACAATCATCGCATGTGCGTCCACACACTGACTTCCTGTAGGGTTATTATTTGCCAGAAGCCGCGCATCCATACTATACGCTCGCACCGCATGTCAGCATTGACTTTGCCTCTCCCAAAGGTCCAAACCCTCCAGTCGATAAAGGCAGTGTCGAGGTGCGAGGTTTGCTTCTTGCTGAAAGTATGCGCTTAGCTTTGCAATAGGCGTTCGCAAAAGATGACGAGAGCGTCAAATTTCTCAACGATGAGGCTGTAAAGTCCAAGCTAGCCAATGCGAAACAACTGTCCACTGTGAACGCAAAAGATTATGATGCCATCTTCTATGTTGGTGGCCATGGACCAGTCATTGATCTGCCAGATGACTCCGTGAACATCAAGCTCGCCACTGAGGTTCGTATCACTCTTCATAATGAGACGATATTAAGAGTCCGTGCAGTTCTACCAGTCAGGAAAGATTGTCAGCGCAGTGTGTCACGGACCTGCGTAAGTCTTGTGTATTGTGCTGTGGCGATCGTTAAACGTTGGTCGCATCTAGTGCTCTCCTTAACGTCGTAGATGCAGAGGGGAAGTCTATTTTCTCCGGAAAGGAGTTTACTGGTTTCTCCAACACAGAAGAGGAGGCCGTGCAGCACGTTAAAGTGAGTGCAGCTCCACGTGTCATTCGGTTTATTGATTATATTGATGTAGGCGGTTCCATTCCTGCTTGAAACTGAGCTCAGTAAGCGCGGAGGAAAATATGTAAAGGCAGAGCAGCCTTGGGGGGTAAGATCATTTCGCTGACTTTCGGTGTGTATCAGACTGACGTATTCTTAGGCGAAGGTGGTGGTCGATGGTAATCTGTACACGGGACAGAATCCAGCTTCCGCAAGACCGTTGGCAGAGGAGATTCTCAAAGGTTTGCAAAAATGAGCAATAAAGCAAAGTAGTTGAGAGTAGTCACCAATGCAGTTCACGATACTGTTGTATTCAGACATTGTCAGTGAAAGCGAAAGCATCTTTATGAGGAAAGGACTATAGATAGTACAAAAGGACGCACGCGACGTGTTAGATATACGCCACCGACATTTTCCACCCCTTCTTCAAGCTGAACCCGTCGAGAGCGTTCCTGGCCACAGTCGCCAGCTCGGCTGTCTCGAATAGTACCTGTGCGAGTTTTACTTTCGCGCCATCCGCATTGGGCGTCGGTGATTGGGTAACCTGTGTGGCTTGGAAGCCTCGGTATCTAGAAAGAAAAAGTCAATGTTATGCACTATGCCCATGATGAAAAGGCTCACTGTTGGAATAGCACTGCAAGTACATCGTCTGTCACTTCCTGCGGAAGATTCGTACACAGTAGTCGCGCTGAAGGCTGGTCGACTTGAGGGGGAAGTGCAGCCGCTTTAGGTGGAAGAATGTGAAACAGTTGTATATTATATGCAGTGAACAACACGACGTACAAGAAAAGGTAGGCCGTGGAGGGGCCTCGTCATCGTCGTCGTCGTCTATCTCCATCTCCTCGTCATCTTGATCCTCGGCTTTATCCCGTTTCGCATTAGGCTCCTCTGCTGCCTCTGTGTCCCTGCGCCGCTTTTTGTCTCCATTGACGAATGCACTAGCATTTGCAGATTTTGGTGGTACAAAGTCAGGGTCTTCTCTCCGGAGAGTCGCATACGATTTGGTTTTGGCATAGTCGATGTGCTGGGCGACAGCAAGTGAGAACACGAGCACCAAGAGACGGGGACAAACGAACCATGGGTTTGTCGTAGAACATCATGCCCTCGCATGCACGTAAGGCTGCAGTCGCTCCCGCCAGGTCGGTGAAGACAAGAAAGGCCTGACCTCGCATCGCTGGGCTTTTCGACGCGACTATGTCGACGAGTTTGCCGTATGTCGTGAAAAGAGCAAAGAGCTGGGTGCGCAGCTCATCCTTGTTGACCTTGTCGTTGAGATTGTTGACGTAGAGGGTAGCATTGGGCTGGTTGGACGACGACGACGCCATGGACGGTGGACCGGTGGAAGCAAGAAGGGATCAATATTTCCTCGAAAAATACATATTCCCACGGTCCCAGCTTGTCCAAACGGACAATATTTCCTCTGTAGAAACACGTCAGGACGACGGCGTCGGTGCTGCCTTCATTATTCCTGGATTTTTTCTCTGTTCTTTGGTGGTAAAATTGGGGTAAATTGGACCCCTAGACGTCCATCGGTGGTGAATCCGTTCGCAACTTTTTTTGAGGAACGTGGGCTCATTATTTTCATGTTTGCATTTAGATAAGGGTGACCCTATAAATCCATTCTGTTTCGCTTCCTGCCTCTTGCCTACGACCACCAAATGATTTCTCCGGACAGTGCAGGATGGCTGGCCCCATACATCGCCCCGTTTGTAGCTCTCTCCTATCCAACCGATACCCCATCAAACGTAGATTCTTTCCCGGACGCTGCCTACTACCAAACGGGACCAAAAGATTTGTGTTTAATCGTAACATGTATTGCTGTAATGGCCGTTGTTCGTGACGCGTTGAGGCTCGTTGTGTGCGAGCCCTTCGCGCGGTGGAAGCTGACGACGGCTTACGAGGCGCGGTGGTCGCGAATGACCAACGGCACTGTACGCACCAAGGCGAACGGGGTTGCCAACGGCAATGGCAATGGTCATTCTATACCGCGTTCGCGCAAGAGGGATATGCGAAAAATTCATCGAAGCGTGATGCGATTCGCGGAACAAGGATATCAGGCAGTTTATTATACCCTGATGTGGTCTTTTGGTTTCGTACGTTCCTAACATCTTTCCGTCTTCTTGTATTGACTGCGTTTCCAGTACGTTCACCTTAATCTGCCAACCACTGTCTTAAACCCGACCGAGGTCTGGAATGGTTATCCTCACATGCCCCTCGCTGGACCTTTGAAGATCTACTATCTAACCGAAACTGCGTTCTACCTACACCAAATGCTCGTCCTCAATGCAGAGGCCAAGAGAAAGGATCACTGGCAAATGATGGCCCACCACTTTATCACCGTTTTTCTCATGGGTACCAGCTACTACTACAATTTCACTCGCGTTGGTTGCTTGATCATGGTTCTGATGGACTTCTGTGACATCTTCCTCCCTGTGCGTGTTCTCTGCCTTTTACTGTCCCTGGTTCTCATATTCCTCAGATGGCCAAAATGCTCCGCTACCTGGAAGTCACACAGGTTGTTTGTGATACGCTTTTCGCCTGGTTCATGCTTTCATGGTTCGTTACGCGCCACGTACTATTCAACTTTGTTATCAGGTCATCACTTTACGACCTTCCACGACTTATTCCGTCCCAATGGCACCCACAGTCAGGGCACTTCGTAACCAGTGGATCCTATGTCATGTTTAACGTGTGTCTGTGCGCATTGCAGGTGAGGAAATGCTTGCTTCCCTGCTGACCTCTAAATAACAAGCTGTCTTTCAAGATCTTACAAATAATATGGTTTGTGACCATCTCCCGGGTGGCCTGGGGTGTGGTGTCGGGTAAAGGCGCCTCTGACAGTCGGAGTGACGATGAAGAGTGAGTGCTTCATTTTCATGGTCACTTCATAAATAACCTTTCACCTTCAGCGATGGCGACATGGACACTGAAAATGATAAGGACAAGTAGCCTTAGATCAGAATCAGTGTGTTGCGGGGCAACTTGGTTTTCTGTGCGCCATCTTTACAACAGAGGATATTGCTTCCTTGTGTGACAAGTTCGGATTGAATGTGACTGTCAGAAAAAAAACCGCAAAAACGCGTAGTCAGCGAAACTGGACCAGATTCAACGAGTTTGCAATGTCCGGAAGCGCACATTTGACTGATATTGATGCTCGGGCCGTTTTTCCGCGAAGAATACCTGCTTGAATCGTCAGCGGGATCCTGTTGCCAGTCCTAGTTTTGTTTCAGACTGGTCAAATTTTCCATGTTATCGAGTCCACTCAGAGCGGCATACTAATTATAAGACTCCATTAAAGTTGTCGGAACAACAAGTCAGAAAATCACGGGTCACGTCTGTGACGCCGTAACTACCTTATCGAGAGCATCTTACCGCATCTTGTACACTCTACCTCATCAAGGGGACGTGACTTCAGGACATATATACCTCTAGCTCGTCCTTTCTCTACTCTTCAATTCACCCTCGACCTTGTACCAATGATGGCCAGTTTTATGAGCTATTTCGGCACCCGACGGGACCCTAAGCAGTCAGCGAGGGATGCCATAGTCACACTACGTCAACAGCTGCAGATGATAGAGAAGAAGGAGGAATACCTGCAGAAGAAGATTGACGAGGACCTGAAGAAGGCCAAAGCAAACGCTGTTTCCAACAAGCCAGGTGCGCCGCCCAAGCTCTGTGTCCCCCAGTCAGAACTCATTGACTCGGCTCACCCCAAGTGGCTACACAGGCTCTGAAACGGAAGAAGGCAAACGAACTCGAGCTGGATCGCCTTGCTGGGACACGACTGCAGCTTGAAATGCAAGTTAATACGCTCGAGTCGGCGAATTTGAACGCGGAAACGATGGCGGCTATGAAGAAGGCGGCTGATGCATTGAAGGTTATTCATGGGAATATGTGCGTTTGCCTTGTGGTCTTGTGTATTTCGTGCTTATGGTTTGATTAGGAATGTGGACAAGGTCGATGCGACGATGGCAGCTGTGAATGAACAGAGAGCGGTGGCAGACGAGATTGCTGATATCATATCAAATCCTGCGTACACAAACACGGACTTGGATGAGGCATGTTACCTGCCTTTCTCATTGTTATATTGGCTAATGATCGTTGTATTTCCAGGATGCTCTCAAGGCAGAATTGGATGAGCTTGAGCAAGACGAGCTGAATGAACGATTAATGGGTGCTGATCATGTACCGGTGCATCAACCAGAGTCAGCAACAGCACGGAAAGACGGTACGCACCTTCTTTGTCTTTCCATTCGGTCACTGACGTTGTTTCCTCTATAGCTCCGGTTGCTGTCGAGGATGACGAGGAAGCTCAGCTTAGACAACTACAAGCAGAACTCGCAATGTAGCTCCTTAAACCCTTCTTCCGTTCAGTTCTATCATCTCCATTTGTTCTATTACTTACATCACGAGTCTTGTAGTTTTCTGTTGATTTCTGTTCCAATATTACCACGCCATTGTATATTCGGACAAGGCAAGATGCGATACTGAAGAGGCGAACTCAGACAAGATGAAGCGGATACATTTTGATGTACAGAATTTACATAAGTTAAGGACGTTGCTGTCTTTGCTATTGGTATCGACGATGAAGATGCCCGAAGTACGCTATAATTGGAATGCGAAGAACGAAGACTAGCACCCGGATAATAATTCTACAGAGTAATATGATTAAAGCGTCATGAGGAGGATCCGCCTACACAACGGAGGCCTAACACACGACGAACGTCCGATGTAAAGCGTAGAGAGTCAAGAACAGGAAGAAGGTCCAATAAGGCCTCATCTGAAGGATCGTGAGTCCACCCTTCTATCGGGATTCCATTAGCTGCGAGAGAGTAAGTCGGTCAGGTCGTAAAGCAGATGGATGGATAGAGGAGACAGACCTTCATTTACACGATAACTTATAGGCGAGTTGTCGACAAGACAGACCCGTGCTAGGTCACCCTCTACGACTGAAAGATCCTTGGTGTAGGAACCATTAGGTAGTTGAGTACATGACTGCATGTGGCGCCGATGTCAGGGCAACCGGACAGCGAGAATACGCGAAAAAGAACGCACGTCTCTAAATAACCGAGTTGAAAGTATCCCCCGGCCAGCATCTAGCCAGTCGATGACGGGATCTGCGTATTCTTGCATTGATGCAGTAAATATTACCAGTGTGTACCATCCCGAAACCTGTAGTATGCATGATGACGGCATGTCGAGCATAAGAAACGAATACTGCGTACCGTGCGCAAAAAGAAGTCTACAAAAGGCCTCTTGTACACATGATATAGTGTGCTGCGCCCACCCATAACAACCTCCACCACATGTCCGGAGCTCTTGTTCCGCCTGGTAAAGGCGCTTAGGCCGAAAAAGCCAGAGCCACTGGACGAAGCGGGCATAGGCCGTGACGTTGAATGGATGAGAGTTTCATCGAGATCAAGAACGAGGGTTTTAGGGAGATGGAACGGAGTCTTTCGGGTAGTAAGGCTGGGTGTTGATGAGCGAGAATGAGTAGCCGAAGAGATCTCTGGCGGTTGGGGAAGAGGCGAAGGCAGCGACGAAGACCTGGCATCGAGAACGGCCGAATCGACATATGAACGACTGAGGGACGGAAAGAGGGGAGTTTGAAGGAGAGATGGAGCTGGCTTTGCTGGCAAGAGATGGAGAGGAGAAGAGGCATCATCTGTGTCCTCATCTGTGCTGTCCTTCTCCGATGACGCGGCAACGACCTGAATCGACATCGGCTGGCGACCCTGAGCCCCGCGCGATTCGATCCAGGACGTCCAGACAGTCTGCAGGGCGTCCCAAGCGAGGACAAGGACCCGAACGAGGAATATGCGATGAATGAGGGTGTTGAGGGACTCCTTGGGTACGACCTGCATGTCTATCGAGACAGTGGGCGGCGAATCAGGGTGAGGATGAGTAGCCCGCTTTGCAAAGGATATGAAATGGGAAGGAAACGAATACGAACGTTTCGTTGGGGTAGAGTTTTCCTGGGGCGAAAAGAGAAAGGACTTTGTGGACCAAGGCTTCACACGCGGCAGCGGCGTCTCCGTAGCGGATGGACTGCGTCGGTCGGGATGGAAAGGTTGAGGCTGTTCGGACGTCGTCGGGGTCGACGGCGGCGTCCTGGAAGAGGCAAGGACGTCGAACTGGCGCGACAGGTAAGCCAGAGAATTCATCCTGCCAGCGCCGTCAACGACGAGTAAAAGTAATACTTATCGAATAATGGAAAATAAGAGGAATACTGGGATGTCCGTTGGACGGACCAAGGATGATGGACCCAGTTTGTGATAATGGAGGATCGTGGGTCACTGCTTCAGATCCTAATCACGCGCCGCGTCAAAGTTTGCAGTTGATTGGCAATTTCCGGCTTGCTTTTCGTTTCGTTTCTTTTTTCTTTGTTTCACGTAGATATAACACACGACCATAGATTGTAAAAACAGTCCTTGTCCATCTCCTGAATAACACTGGACTGTCGAACGTTCGTCCGAGCCGGCTTCCCCTGCGGATCTATATTTCTTCTGATGATTCCACTTTTCCCGGGGCCCATCCTTTCTGGTACCGTGGTCTTATCTTCATGTCTGCGGAATGGTCAGCAGGACAACCTACTTGTCGCTGATGGTCACTTACACCACGTCCCTTCCGCTTAGAACTCTCCCATCGCCAACGTCTGCTTCTTTGATTCTCGCCGGTCCTTCGCGGCAAATCTCTGGCGATGTAGCACTGCTCTGACTTCCTTTCATCCTTCGTACTGCAGTACGTTCTCCACGCCAGACGTTATATGCAGTCTGTAATTATGGGGTAAGATTATTTCCGCATCAATAATTAGCCTGGTACGCACATATGCAACGACCATCGCTCCAGCACAAGTAATCACGCCAGTCGAAACGGGCCGTCCTTTGATCCCTTCGATGTGGGGCAGATGCATCATATGCATCCGCCGAGATGATTGGATAGCGAGAGCGCGAGTCATTTTCAGGCTTTTGATAGTTGTAGTGGGATGCATTATGGCCCCACCTTTTTTTACCCCGCCTTTATGTGCTGCACCAAGCGACTCGAGATTCTCCCCTCGTTGCCTAGAGGGACCCGGACCTCTATAGAAAAACGGTCATACCATTCACAAAGTCCCCCTTATCTCTCTTCTTACGTTTCCATAACGAGTTACCCAGGACAACTTCCATCGTGCTCACGCCTCCAGACAACTCGAGAGCAACGTTTATGAACAAGAGGGTCTTTTTCCCGTGCTTCTCCGACCATTATCGGATCTACCCGCTCCTCCTTACGGTCACCTGTGCAACTATGCTTCATTCCTTGAAGACCTAGATTGCTCCTTCCATACAACTGCAGCTTTACACTGTGCGCGAGCACCGCCTCTCCTACATACGTACACATCAAATCAAGTACCTAAAGCCGTGAGCATCCACTCCCTTCTCCTCTTCATCTTTATCCATCTTCTTGTTGAGCGCAATGAGGCATTGCCTGAATATATAGTTCATAACAATCGTGAAAGTGAATACCGCTATGCATGTGTAATATGAGTTGTTATATGTGGGGCCCCACATACTCGGCCATACATAACTGCAAAAAAAGATTGGTGAATTCGAGAAAGCTCAAGATTAGTTCGCTTACGATCCAGCGACATTTCCGAGTTGCGAAAATGCATTGGTTAGAGCGAGTGCGACAGCACGCTTTGAAGGAGGCCTTGGGAAGCAATTGCTAATCCAAGCGTACATCACGACAAAACCTGCGTAGCTCTGAGCCATTAAGAACCTAAAACAGCTTCGTAAGCAAAGATTTAATGCTATATGTCAAACATAACGCACAGAGAAACATATCGTGCAGCGGTGTTCATGGTGGAGACTGCGATGATGAACCCGATGATACCAAATACAAATGGTATGACTATGTGATAGAATCTCTCTTTCGTCTTGTCTGAATGGCTGCGGTGTCGTTGGTGAGAAGACGCATATTTTAACGAGCAAAACGTTCACTAACCGGGATATAATGAATGATAATATAGTTGTAAAAATGAACGGAGGAGCACACAGGAGGAGAGACACCGTGCGGTTGTATCCCATTGTAGCACTGGAGAGCACGCTTAAGTCGACATGTACGATGATTTGGACTTTACCAACCTTAGCGTAGGGAAATATTGATTGAACGAAAGCCCCACGACTTGAGCGGTCAAGGCCAGGGACATCCACCAAATCTTCCAATCCTTGAGCGCAAGCCAAAGGCCGCCCAAAGGACTTCCGTCCTCAGTTTCATTTTGATCACCAACGCCAACGTCTTCTTCCATTCTCTGGATGGCAAGTTGGCGCTCCAAAGGAGAGAGCCACTTGGTCGTAGCAGGAAAATCGGGTAGGATAAATATGGCTAGGATAGCAACGAAGACGGTGAGGGAACCCTCGATATAGAATAGCCATCTTGGTAACAATGTCATCGTTAGTACGACTATATTGACGTGAAGCAGATGTTTACCTCCATGCGGCGTGTCCAAGCTTTCCTTCCATACCACTCAGAATACCTGATGCAAACAGGTTGCCAAAGGCATTACTGATAATGTTACCACAGTATAAAATTGCCGTTCGAAGACCAATTTCATCTCGTTTATACCACTGAGGATTCGTCAGAGATGTGAGATAAAGAAAGAACTTTACATACTTTGGATATCAAGAATAAGGCTCCGGGAAAGAACGCAGCCTCCACAAAGCCGAGGAAAAAACGCGTCAACAGTGCCCCAACAAAACTAGGAAAAGTTGTTGTCAGCAATGACGTTACAGAGAAGCAGTAAGATGCTTACTTGTGCGTGATGCCTAGTGTCCATCACTCCATGTCAGATGCTACATCTTCGGAGAAAAAGGCCACCCACCAGTAAGACATGAGCTGGCAGCGCAATAGCGTTAGAGAAAGAAAGGTAAATAACGAGATACGAACATAATACCCCAGACTATCATGCATGCAGGAAGGTAGAGAGACGGCTTTCCAATCCAATTTAAGAACATATTTCTGCATTACCAATGAGATGATAACATAGATCGATAAGAGAGGATGCTTACGATGGTATCTGCATAATGATATAGCCAACATACAATATCGACAGCAGTGTCGCAAACTCTTCGCCTTTGAGATTCAAGTCATCTTCGAGGCCTCGGAGACGCGCCGCGCTTGATAAGTTGATTCAGGATACCATGCCATAAGTGTTTCTATTATAAATTGACGCAGCATTGTTTCTGTCGATCTGATTGCACATCCATTAGAAAGGTAGGAGCCAACAAAATTAGACTTACATAATTTAAGATGTATATGAAGATGAGGATGCTCATCCGCAGGTCAATCTTCCAAAGCAGCTTTTTCTCCAGAGAAATACGAGTTTCATGGCCCCCATACTTCGCGTCGGGATCCACGCTACCATGTTGTCCTTCTTGCGCATGGATGTATTCATCGAGACGCTTTTCAGGATCCGAGTCGTTGAGAGTCTGGTCGTGAGTCGGCTCTGTCATGGTAGCAGGAAGGAACGATGAATCGATACAAGTCCGGATCTTTTATTATTAATGCGTGTAGGATTAGCTTCTCAGCTGATTGCATCGCTCCGGTATTTTGTAGCATGATGGCGTGTGGGGTAATACAGGGAAGAACCTCGGTGAAATAATGCACGTGCTTTGAACAATGACGAAAAGGCTACACGTGACGGCGCGCGTCGTTGAACATGGACCGCCATCAGCAGGTGGGCGAGCTCATCGACAGTCTTGCCGTCCTCGACAAGCACGCAGTACCTCTTCAGGACTCGTGCCCTATTTGCCTAATACCTTTTACTGATTTCTTCAACGACGACGGTGATAACCTGGCCCCTGATTGCGGCGTCACCAAACTCGATGGTTGCGGGCACGTTTTCTGCAGGAAGGAGTAAGCTTAACCTTCTGTCCTCCTTGCAGTACTGTTGCTAAATGACATGACAGCTTGATAGAATGGATCCGTACTTTGGTCAGTGCTTTAGGACAATGCACATCCATGTATAACTAATGCATGTCACTTCAGCATGGTAGCTGTCCTACTTGTCGCCACGCATTTCTTGACATACGGCCTCCTTCTGAGTCGGATGACGAATCTTCTGATGGCGGAGAGTACATTCCGAATGACGACGATGACGATGAGGCCTTCTACGGCGAAGGCGAATACGAAGAATTTATCGAAGTGGAGGAGGACTTGATTGATATCGACCCAGATGACTATTCTCCTACCGACGAAATGGATTTGGATATGTACAGGACCTGGCAGATGCAGGAGCAGGGTGACTTTGAAGGCGAGTGGGGTCTTACCGATGCTGACTCGGACTCGCCGTCTGAAGGTGACATGAGCTGGAATGAGAGTGACAGGGACAGTTCCATGGGTGTGTTTGCCATGTCTACTGTTCTATATTGATGCATTGCCTTAACTTTGATTTCATAGTTGGTGAAGACAATGTCACTGTCAATGAAGCCGGCAACGAGGCCGATGACGCTACCAGCGATCTCACCAGAGACGTTGAAGATGAGACCAAGTAGAATTCATCTCTGCATTAAATTATCCCGCAACATTACGCATCCTTCACTGTACAGTGTAATACCACCACCACCACCATCATTTATTTTCTGCCTTATACAAGTCTTATATATTAGCCAGTGCAGCCTCTGTAGCAGCATTGTCCTTGTCTTTCCATACGCCTGTAAATTTACCGCTCCATTTTAATCCTTTACCGCCGCCCTTCACTCCCAACTTAGCCTTCAAGTTGTCCCCTACCTCCTTCACTAATTTGTCGTCTGAGCCAATGACCATCACAATAGTAGTACTTGAACTACTCTGGGAAGAAGGTGATGATGAAAAGACGAGAACAAATCGCCGCACAGCAACCGTCTCCTTCAGGGCGTCCGAAAACGCAACGCTGATCATTGACAGAAACCCGAGAGCGTTGCCAGAATCGTCAGTGCGATGGATATGTTTTTCGAACATTTCGCCATCGGCAGAACAGAGTTCTTGATATAAATTTCGGCTGATGAAAGCTGCCAACTCGCTTTCTACGTCCTGGACACGTTTCTCTGCCTTCTTCCGTTCATCGATGACTTGGTTGACACGTTCCGGGACCAACGGGGCACCGCAGCTCAGATTAGACGCGGTACTCGCGAGGAGGGAATGTGTCGAAGATAAATAAGTAATAAGGCGAAGTCCACAGAGGAAATATAACCGCGCAGAAGTAGTGGACGAGCGGGCTAGCGCGTCGGTGTGAGGTAGAAGGAAAAGTTGGAGGTTCTTGATGCTAGGAAGATGGGTGCCACAACAACTAGCAGGTTTTAGGGAATATCTTTTTCTTATAAACGGCCTGATACTCACGGGTTTTTATCGACACCCTCTATAACAACTACTCGTTTTACTCCTCCAGTGTAGTCATCGGGCAGACCCCTGCCTACCGCACGACCGCTCTCGAGCTTCGGGACTTCGATCTCTTTCCCTGGCTCCAACTCCTCGACTTCAATGTGGACGTTTCTTCCCTCGAATACCAATCTATTAGCTTCGTCCTGGATGGACTGGATCTCTTCAACCGTCATGCCTCGAGGAACTTCGACATAACAAGGAGTAGGATAACTTGTTAGAGACCAAGAAAGTGTGGGTAAATTCAGGCGAGTTTCCAGAAGCGCCGAAAGAAGATGCTGAGATGTATGCATTGACATCTGACGGGAATGTCAGACTGATTCCATCATGAACGAAAGCAAAGACTTGCGTGGTCATATCTTCTATTATATCCAGCTTGATCGAGGGCAGCGGTGACTTTGCTACCAGGTGAAAAGGCAATCAAGGCCGCATCTACGCTGCCGTACGGAACGTGAACATAGTGAACGGCGTGTCCTCCGTGTCTTTTGGACTGTACGACACTCCAGACCGTACCATCCAGAGTGGTTATGATTCCAGTATCTGTAGGCTGGCCTCCCCCTTCCGGGAATATTACAGTGTCGTGCAAAACGACTTCCAATATAGGATCATCTGGTAACGTCGGCGCAATAACAGCCTTCTTCGTTTTCTTTCCTGCTGGTGGCAGTGCCGGCTGCGATACTACACAGTTTACAACCGTGGTCTCTATTTCTCGCAGGAGAGGGTCGCCTGGACCAAGGACAAAAACGAATCAATGATGATTGCTCGCGATACGAGGAGATAAAGTACGTTGACAAGCCAAAAGGCCCACTGGAATAGGAAGCCGGGGGTCTGTACTGACGCGCAACGACGGCGAGATAATCCTGTGGTAGTCGTGCGGTGTCGTCGACGGCAGAAGAAGAGCAGTGGCAGCCATTTCTGAGGTAATGTCAAGTCGGGAGAAGGAAAGAAGCCGTGAGAAACTGGCTGACGTTCTGACTCGTTATGCCGCGATGGACAACCTAGTTATCTCCCTTACCTGCTGAATGGCTTACAATGACCGTAATCCTCCTCTAGAGGACGATGAAGACCAGCCGTTGTTGCTGTCGCAACGCTCTAGTGTGTCCTTTCTTGTCGAGACACGATTCTCTTGAGTACTGACTTGCCACGATACAGACGGCGCTCTTATCGTGGATCCATGTGACCCCGACGTCGAGTTTGGCGGCAAAGAAGCCAGAGAGGTGCTGGAAAGGAACCTCCTGCGCAAGGTCGACAGGCGAATGTCGATTCTGGTGCTGATATACATCCTCAATTGTATGGTTAATCTATCCAATTTAACAACCTCGTATGATCCTAACCCTTTTCTTTCAGTCATTGACCGGAATAATGCATCGTAATGATCTTACTGTAAATTCGCAGAGCTGTATCTTATAGCACATTCGTTGCAGCGCCGCAAGGCTTCGGGGTTTCGAAGAGGATCTCAATCTCCATGGCACACAATTCGCTAGCATCTTATCTGTGCTATACATTGGATACATCATCATGCAAATACCCTCGTACGTCCTTCTCTACCTAACAATATGTATCCAGTGACTCATTAAACATAGAAATATGTTTCTTGATTACGTCGGAAAACCCTCTTTGTACTTGCCCATATGTATGATAATATGGGGCGGGATATCAGTAATGACAGGATTCACGACCAAGCATGTCCCTCAGTCTACTCTCTTCCCAGAAACTACTAACCTTCTATAGCTTCTTTGGTGCCGTTTGTACGCGATTCTTCCTCGGTTTCGTGGAAGCCGCATTCTTTCCCGGTGCTTTAGTCAGTCCTCCGTTCTTTTTACCAGAAAGCTTAGTGTTGAAGTCCGCGGTAGTTTCTCATCTCAAAGTGGTACAAACGGACCGAGCTCTCGCAAAGAACTGCTCTCCTTGCATGCGGAAGTCTTGTCAGCAACGCTTTTGGCTCCTTGATCGCCTCCGCCATTCTTGACAGCATGGAGGGTCGATTAGGCTATGCTGCATGGAGGTCAGAAAGCTTTCTTCTTCAGCCCATGTTCAACTCTGAACTCTCGTACAGATGGCTTTTCTTCATCGAGGGCAGCCTTACCGTAGTTGTAGCTATATGCGCTATATTTATACTTCCAGACTTTCCTGAGACGTCTTTTGGCTGGTTGACTCCTGCTGAACAGGCTCTCGCACAAAGGCGAATGCAAGAAGACCACGGGTCAGTCGAAGACGAAAAGGAACCTATCAGTGGGCTTCAACTGGCATTAACAGATGGTAAAGTTTGGTGGCTGGCCATCGCTCTCATCTTCTTCAACGTATCCCTGAGCTTTAATGCATACTTTCCGACACTCATGTCAACTCTGGGATACTCCACCATGATAACTTTGCTCCTTTGTGTCCCACCTTGGGTATTTGCTACCGTAGTTGCAGTTGGTGTGTCCAGGTACATGACAGTCATCCTAAGCTCGTCTTTATGGTTCTAATTTTCTTCTCTAGACACTCTGATCACACTGCCGAACGGTTCTGGCACCTATCGGGCTCTTTCTTGGTTGGCATTCTTGGATTCCTCTTGGCCATGTCGACAATGAATGTCGGAGCCAGATACATATCTTTGTAGGTCGCTTGGACTGTCGGTTCGCTCTTTTAGAACTTCTTTCTTCTGCAGATTTTTCCAGGCTCAATCATATGCCGGATTCATTTGTTTTCTTGCGTGGGCTAGTGGATCTGTGGCTCGACCACCGGCCAAACGAGCAGTGGCTCTCGCATTGATCAATACTGTAGGGTCTTTGGGAAATGTAGTCGGATCGTAAGTGCCGTCTCCGTTTTTTTTTTTTCAATCCAAGTGTGACCCTGAAGCAGTTATGTGTGGCCGAAACCATGGGAACCAACATACTCGAAATCGTTTACTCTCTGTATCTTGGCGAGTGCCACAGGATTGACGATGTGCTGGTTATTCAAACAACACTTGGTAGCGCTGAATGCCCACGAAGAGAAACGAGAAGTAGAGATAGGCTCTGAGAGAGGGTATAGATACCTATTGTAATTCCATACTTTGATGCACATAATATTGGAGAACATGGCAGGATAAATCAGATGAATGGCCGCAAACAGGTCAAGTTCTTAGATTCGTTTGCAATGCCAAGCTCGTCTGCACAAATCTCGACTTGACTCAACTAATAAATTCCCCTATTATCCAAGTACCTTCACTACTGTCACCTCCATGGACTCAGCCGAGTTTGTACGCGGTGAACTTACTTCCCTGCTTGAAGGTCTTCCAGAAGGCGAAGCAGCGAACGATGTGTGGGTAGACGCTATCTTGGAAAAATACAGCGAGCCGCATCGCTACTATCACACCCTGACGCACCTCGAAGCCATGCTCCGGTGTCTACAAGCAAGCAAGAGACACATCCACGATCCAACATCGCTTTCCCTCGCCATTCTCTTCCACGACATCGTTTATAACCCTCAGGAGAGGAACAATGAAATCCTGAGCATAGACATGTTCGAAAGGTTTGCTATGGACAAGTGCCTTCCTGCCGAGCAAACCTCGAAGGTGTCTCTTTTCATTGAAAGAACCATCACACACACGTTACCGGAGGAGGCCGGAGAGGAGGGGAACTCGTCAGACTTGCACTTTTTCTTGGACTCCGACCTCGAGGTTTTGTCCCGCCCTTCGGATGCCTACCGCGCATATGCATCTCAAATCCGCAAGGAATATTCGCATGTTCCTATAAATGACTACCGGGCAGGCCGTATCGCGGTGTTGCAGAAGTTTCTTGCGAGAGAAAGGATCTATTTCAGCCAGGAGTTCCATGCAGAGTGTGAAGCAGCTGCTAGAAGAAATTTACAACAGGAGATACATGATCTGACGGACAGTTAATTCATCTACAAGTGGTATTGAGAGTGGAGCTGTTCGTACTTCGAACCCAATATTGGATATCAAACACTTGATGCACGAAGATGGGGAGAGCTAACCCATTGAAGCACCGAGCCATTGAAGCACCGAGCATACCGCTCGGCGCTGGCCACGAAATAAAAAAATTAATAATTGATTACATACCACGTGACTACTTCCTTAATTACATCTTGCCAATCCGGTTCTTTCTTCGGCGCAACGGTGCATTCTTCTGTGTCGACAAGTGTCGGTAAAGTAATACTGAGCGGACGTCGCTCTTACAAGAGATTCTCTGGCATGGACGAAGAATTGGAACCCGCGACTTCTAAATTCCACCAGTCGCTGCCGTACGCATATCTCGCAGTCTCGCCGACACTGTCTGCTCTTCACGCGACACGTATCAAGCGCCAGCATGCTCTAGAGAATCCAGATTTCTGCTCGAGATGCGGCACCTTTCTTCTCGACGGTCTCAGCAGCTCCCGGCTGAAACGTGTCAAGAAGAAGTGTAACGAAGGAAGGACAAGGAGAATTAGGGCAGTTCAGTGCAGGGGTTGCGGGTTTGCGAATGACATAGAGGTTCGGGAAGGGAATGCTGTCATTTATGGGAGACGAAATGGACGTTTGGACAAGGACTCTATCGTCGTGGTCCCAGAGCCAGAGCCAGAGCCAGAGGTCGTCGCTAAAACTCCCCTCGTTGCCAAAATCCCGACTCCCAGCCCGTCGACCCCCGCGCCCAAGCTGCGTCAGAAGAAAAAGTCTGTTTTGCAGGACATGCTCGCCAGAAACCGTGCACGCGAAGAACGCGATAAATCTAATCAGAATTCAACTGGATTGGCTGCGTTTCTTAGTGGGCTTTAAGTAAGTTTTCCTTCTACTATGTACTGAATCAAGCTTTAATATAAAGTATAAACAAGGAATATGGCTACAAGTTACGCTTCCCTTTCAGGTTCTGCCCGTTCAATAACTTCAGTCCGGTTTTATGCTCCACAAGAACTGGAGGAACGAATCTTCCGGGCCAAAATAGAACGTATATCGCGACAGCGATGCAAAGCGGCAGTGTATCAAATCCATAGAAAAACGATTCCGACGTCGCCAGTCGACCTTCGAAGCCTTCCGAAAGTTCTATCGTTCGGTACACAGATCGTACCTAATTTCTCAGTATACGAGTATTCGACGTGATTTCGTTCACATACCAGAATGCCAATGCAGCTGACAAAAAGCGCACCTGCCAGAGCGCGCCATTCGTTATACTGCGCCTTCCCTCCCCTCCCAAATGTCGCGTTCATGCGCATAGATGCGCCACAGGAGTGTCAGGAATATGCATGTGAAGATGAAGAATGTCCCAAGCCGCAGCGCTAGCCCTGCGAGGAATATCCGCGCGAGTCTCGGTTTTCATTCAGCTCGGATTAGGAACAACCACTTCCACGAGTGCCAATCCTCGCTTGGTGTATATTGTCTGCAGAAATCAATACCGCAACTCTGGCAACCTTTTGACATTCATCATCACCATGAACTTTGTACCAGCGCTGCTCACCTGAATCAGAAACGTAGTCGCATCGGACGATAGAAAGACTAATGTGATTCGTCGGGGGGTCTACCAACATGTGCTCAGTTGCTCCCAGATACCGCGAGAGGCGACCTGGAAGGACGTAGTCGGCTGCAATGAACGCGCATAGCTATAGCGTTTCGGTATAGTCATCGTTGCATAAAGGAATGGGAGGAACAGAGCTTACCGATAGCATGATGATCAGATACCCCACGATAAATATTCCCTTTGAATCCGGGTGCGCGTGCAGGCCGAACCGTGTGCCTATACCTAAGGCGAACGCTACATTGGCGGTAAAACATAACCATGTGGAGGAGTCTAGTACGGAAACACACCGTATGCGCCGATAGTCATTGACATCATCCACTTCGCCCCCCATCGTTTAATCCACTAAGTTTGAATAAGGGCGGTCATTAGCATAACGCCTTTCAGAAACTCCCTGAGACCTGGTGGCATATATAATGAGAAGGAAAACGTACTGAATGCGATTCCAGTCAGGACGTTGGACGCGATGTATCCAAGCAGGTTGTTGGGATCATACGCAGGGTTTCCGTGCGGGTCTGTGGAAGAAAGGAAATCCGTCGCTTGCGCTCTGAAGAGCTCTATGATTAATATAATGGACATCGTGGAAATGGACAAGAAAGACTGTACTACTCAGCAGCATTACTTCGTACTTTTTCCCTGAGCGACGAGCGATCCGGATTGTGACAAAATTCCTGAGGACGTTTGCACGTGCACGTGAAATGCAACCATGCTATGGTTCAAGTTGATACGTTTAGTTCAAACTCGCTGATGTTCATCACGAAAGAATAAGAAGCATGTCAAAGTGTTTCCATATGCATATGTATGTATAGTAATTTTTTCAGTTTCCCGTACGTCAATAACAAATCTTACATGTCGAAAAAATACAGTTTACCACCTGGCACTAACACCAGACATCGTTTAAAGCTAGGAAGACCGTAGTCAGTAAGGGAATGCCTTGTTGTAAAGAGAGAGGCGTGTGGAGGAGAGAAAGGCAGAAAGAGGGAGAAGCTGGCTAAAAGTACATGTATTGCAGTCCGAACTGGAATGAAGATTGCTTGCTGAGGACATCTGATGGTCATTTTTGCTCGACGGCGTAAGGGTTGACGCTGTACACTTTGATCACCGGTGGTGACTTGGTCAGATCAGCAGTTACGATAACCTGTTTATACATTTTCAGTACGCATGCATTGGTGCCGGAGAATTTTCACTTACAGGAACGGTCATGAGCTCCCTGATATCCTGAATCAGATGTCCAGCAGGCGTCGTCCTCAAGCCCTCGAACTCAGGCTTCATCTTGGCGATCGACAATAACCTTTGCTTCGATGTCTCATTCTCGTCCGCCAACGCTTCAGCACGCCCTAGAACGATTTCATCGTCATCCGCCTCGTCCTCGTCAAACAAGGCCTTCTCGTCGTGAACGGAGCGCGAAGCAACCTCCATCTTGAGTGCATGCTGCTCGGCATTCTGCTTAACCTTTTTCAAATGGTCGTCGTCGCTGTTCTCGGCCAACCAGCTGATGACGTCTTTGGTTGACCAGTAGATCTGCAATGTGTGCGTATGCTCCTCATAGACATGATTCTAGGAAAATGTTTAAGTCATCTGTTATCAGTGCATAGAGCGAGATTTCTCACGTCAATGGGCATCTGGTCAACATGAACGCGCTTCTCAATACCAAATTCGGGTACGAGAACATCAAAAGCGGCGTCTAGAACACCAACAACTTTAGCTTGACGAACAACTGGACCATAGCGTTGGGTCAAATCGGAAATGAGAACGCAAAGGAACAGGTGGGCTGATTGCTCCTCAGCCAAGATCGCGGAGTCACGTTTACTGCAATGGGACATGAGCTGTGTGTCAAACATGCATGATGAGAGGACTTGCATATTACACTGCTGAGCCACTTTGGCAACGGCATCGCGATCCATGGTGAACTTGGGTTCAGCTACGAAAGAGGCCGAAGAAAATATCAAAACAAGATCTTTTGATAAGGAAACATCACCCACATCCAGTTTGCAACACCGACTCGAGTTGACGGTGAACAAGAACGTCGGCATACCGACGAATTGGAGATGTAAAGTGAGTGTACAAAGGCACGTTGAGAGCGTAGTGATGATATTTCGCAATATCAAGCATTCCGGAACAGAAGTACTTAGCGCGATAAGTCGCTTTGAACGAGAGCAACTCGAGAAGTCTGCGAGCAGTAGGATCCTTGATTACTTCAAATGATCGCATGAGGGCACCCGACGACGAGGTGTCCATCTCGTAACCTAGTCGCTCCGCACGTTCCCGGAAAGTGTTGAGACGGCGCTCGATAGGAGTATCGTGGCGACGGAGGAGTGCTTGCTCAGGTAGATGGAAGGCGATATGCTGAGCTACCGTTATGTTACTGAGGAGCATGAGCTAGAGCAACAGTGTCAAGATCAACATGACCAACAGACGGATGGCTCGTACCTCCTCTATCAGGTCATTTGCATCAACACGTTGGTATTGCCAACAGTCGACAGGTAATCCGGTGTCACCTAGCTTGAATTGCAAACGCAGGGAGTCAAGGCTTAAAGTGCCATTCTCAAACCTCTGGGCTCGCAACTTCTTTGCCAGATCGTCCAAAATCCGGATGTCATGTTCGATATCGCTGGCATTATGCTCAGGAGATACGATGACACCACCCAAAATTTTGCCTTCGATCACGTTCTGAGCGTCCGAGTAGCTTAGCTTACTGGAGGATCTGCATACAAGGTCAGCGGTTACATTTGTTATTCAATTTTCAGCAAACCTTATGATGGTCTTGCCAAACCATTTGCTCAGGACCTTGGCCTCTTTATTCATTGTGAAGACGACTGAGAATGCGAGGCGATCTTGTCCAGGAACAAGACTGCATAGCTGTTCACTGAGAGAGGGTGGAAGCATAGGCACAGCGCGTTGAACTAGATATACACTGGTTGCACGCTTGCGAGCGTCACGATCGAGGGCAGTGTTTGGCTTGACGAAGTAAGAAACATCAGCGATGTGAACACCGACGTCGTAAGTACCGTCCTCGTTGAGCTTCATCGAAATAGCATCATCAAGGTCCTTTGCGGCATCCGGATCGATAGTAAAGATACGTTCGCCACGAAGATCCTTCCGAACCTCGAATTCTCTTTCGGGAATTCTGAATTATTGTGAGAGAGGATAAGAAGAAACGAGATCAAATGACTCACGACCAAGGCATCGGTGGTAAACACTTAAGAACATTGTCCGTAAAGTCTTCTGTAGGGAAGTTGCAGTCCTTTAGAAGAGCACTAGTCTCCACTTCGATATCTCCAATCGGACCGAGTTCCTCAACCAGAGTACCAAAAGGGTGCAACGAGCTTATAGGCTAAATAGACAAACTCAGGTCAACTACATTAAGATGTTTTCAAAAAATCACCTACATGACGTTTGATGCAAGCAACGAAAAGCTTGTCAACATATGCCTCAGAATTCTGAACAAAGTCAGGTGGTGCTTGTTCGGTGGGAATCGCGATGAGAGGTACGCGCTTGTCTGTAGGCTTAAACCAGACAATCTTAGGACGTTCAATAGGACCACGCCTAGGCTCATCTCCACGATCTCCTTCGCGCTCGCGACGCTCTGCTTCCTGTTTCTCTTTCGTGGCTGCAGAAGAAGGACGAAGGAGCCCAAGAGTTCCGGAGAACAGCTGCCCAGGCATCCTTTCTACCACCGCAACAACGTGGCCGGCAAATTGAGGTTTAACGTCATCGGTGACTCTGGAAAAGAAACCGGTTAGTTATGCCGAAACGCATTTCAAATCAGACATTACTCTTCATCTTCGAACAGGAGAAGACCTTGGCCCTCAACTTCAACATCATCCTTCTTCTTATCGTCTTTGCGGCCGGCGCTCGACTTAACGTCGTATGCAGAGTTCTCTTCCTTCTTTCTCTTCTTCTCTTCCTTCTCTTTCTTCGTCCCCCAAACTTCATCAACATCCAGGAGCTCCACGGCGACAATGTCACCTTCGAGAGCCCGGTTACGATCCTTCGACCCGCATATATAGATGTCTGCATCAAGAACCTCGGTAGCAACATATGCATCAGATCGATTGCGCTTGTTGACTCGCAAAATTCCAACAACCAATTTTCCAGCAGCAAGCAGGGGAGGCAAGGACGCTTGAGGTAGATAGGGCGCAAAGAGAGACTTTCGTTGGGGTTGGTTAGACTGTTGCTGGAGCTGGGACTGAAATTGTTGCTGTTGCTGCTGCAAAAGATTGATACCGCCAAGGCCCATCCCCATCATATTTGCTGCCATCATATTAGGGAGCATGTTGGGGAAGCTGAATGATGGCATTTTGTGATGATGACCTCCAGCGGCCGCACGGAATTGCTGTAAACTCTGGAGTTGGGCTTGAGCTTGAGCAAGGTCTGCAGCAAAGCCATTGTTGCTGTTGGTAGGCACTCCGCCGACACCGCCGTCTGTAAGTTGTATTGTAAGTATTCGGTTAACCGCAGGCCGAAGATCAATCTTACTGATACGCCAACTAGAATCGGCTCGAGAAGCCTGACGGGAGTGTCCACCGAAACCAGGTGGGGCAAAACCATCATCAAACCCTTCTTGTTGCCCGTAAGGATTGCCATTGTAGCTGATAGAGCCACCCGGGCCGCCAGGCTTGTTGACGACATTGACACTGTGTCGTCGCCCATGTCCTCGAGGCATACCTTGGGCTTGTCCATCCACGCTAACGCTGAGGCCACTGTAGTGACCAAATTGACCCATAGCGGGCTGTGGACCTCCAAAACCGCCGGCACCGACACCACCCATGGGGACAGTACTGTGTACGCGTCGATGAACATTGGCCCTGTTCGGAGCTAATCCAGCGGTCTGGAACGAAAGAACCTGGTTTGAAGCGAGCTGTTGCTGATAGAGTGCTTGCTGCTGCTGTTGCAGCGCCTCGATTTGGTTCTGAATGGCGATCTGAAAAGAAGCATAAGCATATAGTCAAGTTTTTAGATGAATTAGAAATAGCCATATACCTGCTCAGCCATTATGCCAGTAATCTCACCGCTGTCTGATTTCCTGTGCTGAATAGGTTCCTGGGTAGGGGCTTCGGGTGCATATGGTTGCTGCTGTTGGGGAAATTGGAAACCCACGTCTTCCTCATCAATTGGAGGCCCCATCATCCCTCCGCCGCGTTTCTTGGCACCAAACATAAAATTCGGCGCGAGCTGAGGGCGGCCGGTGGGACCTATGGCCTCTATCTGCTCCTGTTGAGCCAACGCTGCGAAACGAGGAGCAGTAAAACTCTGAGACTGAGAACGGGGTTGGTGTCCCTGGGAGGGGTAGAAGGATCTCGTGAATCTCGCCATCTTCCAGGGGCATACTGCTATCTTCCACATCTTCCATCATCGCCTTCAGGCCAGGTGCAAAGGAATTGAAATTCCCGGAGAGACCAGATGCGCCCATGGATGCGGCCTTGCGATGCTTGACGTCTGCAGCGCTCAGTCCTGGGTATGCAGCGGCTCCTGGTTGGAAGACGGGTGCATTGAGTGGGAGAGAAGAAGCGGGTGCTTGAGCAGCAGACATCGGGAAAGCGGTGGTGTTGTTACCGGGTGGCTGGGGTGACGTAGTTCTGAGGTCGGCGATGACCCTCTGCAATGACGACAGAGCGTCGCTCGACTCCTTGGATTGGGATGGCGTGGGCGTAGACTGCTTCGACGACTGGTCCTTGGACCCGTTGGGACGCGCGTTCTGAGCTGAAGGCTGCGCTTTGCGGTGCGCTTGAGGACGACTGCCTGATTGATTCTTGTTCCGCTGGTCAGGCTTCTTCGCTGTCTCAGCGACCTTTCTCGTGGCCGAATCAGAGCCAGACTCTGGTGCAGGAGTCGACGACTTCTTGTTGCTCGTTCTTGAAGAAGGCCTTGGGCCACCTTGGGAGGTAGTAGCTGCTGCTTTGCTGATGGAAGAGTTCCGCTTTGGACCACGGCCATTGCCTGACGCGGCGGGCCTCTTGTCGTCCTTTCGCGCTTGAGCTGGTAGCGTTATTTCGTCCGTCATGTCGTTCATAAAGAGTTCGAAACGAGAAATGCGTTATAAAGTCTTTTTTGAGTTTTTCGTTTTATGTTGAAGTGAGGTTTAGCTATTTCCTGGTGAGCACTGAGCCAGCGAGAGAGCGTAGAAGGGCGAAATACCTTTAAGAGTTGGCAAGATATGTGAATTGGATGGCTTTGCCCTGTAGGGCGAGTGGGGGGAAAGAATGCGAGGTGGTGCTTATCGGGAGTGAATGAGCGCAGCCCTTAAGTAACTGAGTGTCTCTGTGACGAGCTGTGATGGTTGTATCTTCCCACGCTCGATCCATTACTAGTTTCCTGCGGGATCTGATCTGTTCTTGATGCGCCATTGTTTCCAGTATCCTCATCAATGTATTAGAAGGCCGTTTCAAATAATGTACTCTAGCCTGTTATCTAGATGTATGTACATGTACTTCTGTGCGACTACTGAAACTTTTGGATGATAGCCGCAGTATACTCCTTTGTGGAAGCTTTGCCACCTAAGTCGCCAGTGATCGTCTTACCTTCCGCGATGGTCTACAAATAATGAGATGTTGAGACGAGGAGCTTACAATACTCTTGATCACTTACCGTCAGAGCGGCCTTTTCGATTTTGTTGGCGTGCTCATAGAGATTCATGTGCCTTCACGACCAACAGATCAAACGGACTTCTCTCTCAGAATTTCCAGGATGAGGCGTACCTTAGCATCATCAGGGATGACAACAGAAGAGCTGTTGGATTAGCGAGTCCCTTCCCTGTAATAACGGAGTGATGTAAATATGACCGGGAGACAAACAACAATCAACGAATTGCGTACCAGCGATGTCGGGAGCAGAGCCATGGACTGCCTCAAATATAGACGCGTCCTGGAAATGGAGATAATTGAGAATTTGTCAGTGGAAGTGATCCGGTGAGGACCTACACGACCAATATTACCCGACGGTGTCAATCCCAAGCCGCCAATAAGGCCGGCACACATGTCGGAAAGGATGTCGCCGTAGAGATTAGGCATAACCATTACACGGTCCGAGTAAGGCCTCGGGTTTTGCACAACCTGAACGGCATGAGCAAGGTGTCTATACTATGAGAAAACTAGGTATACCTGAAGGCAAACCCGATCCAGCAGATCTTCGTCATAAGCAATGTCGGGGAAGTCCTTAGAGACCTCTCGGCAAGCAGATAAAAACATGCCGTCAGACATTTTCCTATGCCACGTTTAAATTTGGTTCTGGACAACGACAAAACACTTACATGATGTTCGCTTTGTGAACAGCAGTGACGCGTTTGCGTCCACTGGATTGCGCGTAATGGAAGGCATAACGAGCAACACGCTCGGAAGCCTCCCAGGTGATAAGCTTGATAGATTGAACAACGCCATCAATAACCTGCCGGTGATACGTTAGCTTAACACCACATAGCGGCCTGGTCTCTTACCTCATGCTCTATACCTGAGTACTCTCCCTCAGTATTCTCTCGAATGAGAACAGTATTCACGTCGTCGTACGGAGTCTTGAAACCTTGGATAGATACACAGGGTCGGACGTTGGCGAAAAGATTGAACGTCCTTCGTAGTGTCAAGTTCAGCGATACGTGACCCTTTCCAACTAATCCACCATGTCATCCGAGGTAGGAATACATGACGCCTGTAACGCTTACTAGGAGTCGCCAAAGGGCCTGAAGACAGAATGAATGGAGCAACCACGTAAACTGTCTTGAAACACACCTTTCAATGCAACAGTGTTCTTCTTGACAGAGGTAATGGCCGCGTCTGGGATGACCGTCTTTCCGTTCTTCAGAATCCGGTGTTACGTCGACTTCCTCCCATTGGATGGGAACCTGATATTCGTTGAGAAGCGTAGGTGAGAGAATATGCTACGTTAACGAACATTTGCAGCAACATAGATATCCTTGATCGACTGGCTAATTTCGGGTCCGATACCTACAGAACATATGTATCAAGTTGGAGAATAAGACGAGGAATGGAACTGACCATCGCCAGGAATAAGCGTAACGGTATATTTTCCCTATCAAGAGCACGGAGACAAACATGAGTTTCTGGGCATGGAAGCTGTCAGTAGTGAGAGCGCACATTACTGCCCTTTTGGCCAGCGAAACCAGCTGTCGGCGCTGCCGCGGCGTAGCGCCTGATACCCTGCTGCGCGATGAGTTTGAAGTCGATAAAGCATACTGGGAAACATACTTGAGAACGTTTGAGTGCTCCCTGGGCAATGCCAGCGAAGGACCTGGAGGTAAACATGTCTGTACAAGAGAAAGAAAGTTGATGCGAGCCAAAGTTTTGCGTTTCTTTCCGATGCCACGTGGTGTGGAGATAAGATATAGCGGCGGCAATGCGTAATGTCCATTACATTGAGAGCTTCCTGTCCGAAATAATCGAATAATGTACATCTAACCAGGTATATTTTATACAAATCCAATTCCAATATCATCCACTCAAGATACCATTCAGTTGTTGTCGATACTGCTCCATCGTCCTTTCTGTCTCTGCCTCCTCCAGTTTGTTCTCCACCGACTGGAAATGTGTGAACATTATACAGTTCATCAGGCCAAAGGAACTCACTGGAAGTTCTGTCCCAACGGACCCAGCTTCTCCCAACTTTCCATTGGTCAGCTCGAAAAGGACCTTCTCGACCTCAGCATCAGCTTCTTCCTCCAACTCTTCGTCTTCATCCATGTCTAACGTGTCGTCCAGCATTTCTTCCATAATGCCAGCCTATCCAGTACATGTCAGGGTTGAGACGGCCATAACCACTCTATGAGCAGACCTTTGTCATCTCCATGCTCATTTCTCGCATCGTTTGGCTAATTTGTGGCAGTTTGATGAGAGAGTTTGACAACTTCATGATTTCAGTAGATTTCTGCAATGACCCTGTTACTTTGATCATGGCTGGAATAGCAACTTGTCAGATTGAGATGTAAACTATCATGAAACAGACACGCACCCATCTGTTGAGTTAACTGCGTCTCAATGGATCCTAACCGTGCCTTGCTCACAGACAAGCGGTCCTTCTGCTTGTTGCTGCGGACGACCTCTCGAGCTAGTACCCGTGCGTTCTTGACATCTCCTTTGGATGCTAATTGCTTCACGCTCTGCCTAGCCTTGTTTGTTGCTACATCGAGCTGCACGCCTAGTCAGCCTTTGCTGTGTTACGGGACAGGTAACAAGCCAACCTGCCTCATCTCCCGGTCAAGGATACGGGTCTCTGACCGAAGCTTGCTTTTCCATGCTCGAACTCGCTCTTCAGGCGTAGGGCCATAGAGGAAACGATTAATGGTTTGCATCGCAGCAAGGTTGTGCTGGGCGATAGAGGTAAGGTGCTACGGAAATTGCCGCACAGGACATATTGGGTAATTGACTCGAATAAAACATTTCTTCCTCAAGATCGACATATCATGCCTTCCTTCCTGCCGCTCCTGGAGCAGCCTAGTGGGGAGCTCTTCCCTATTCTTCACCGCATAGGTCCCACCATTCTATCTACGCCTACAGGTCCCCTTCCGGACCGGTCTTATGTACTCGTCGATCGCCCAGCCTTTGATTTACAAGTTATCACCGAGTTTCTAGACGACGGCGCCGAAAAAGTCATTGTACCTCTTACATGGGCCAAGGAGCTCATAGGAATTATTCCTAATGACAGGATCATCCTTTTGCTCGACGTCGGGAGCGTCAGCGCTGTTTCCGACAAGGTTCGGAGTGCTATATCCGGAGTCCTGCTTAAAAGTCCAGCAGTCGACCTTGATTTGATTGCCTCGATATCCAAGTTCTTCACCACATCTGACATCTACGTCCTATCTACCCCTACTTTGCCATCTAAGTCCACCATTCGCGCACTTTTGGGTATCAAAGCAACTCTCGTCATTCCAAGCGACCAGCTTACCCTTAGCACAACCTCCGGCTCCCAAATAAACGTCGGAGACGCGTTCATTGCTCCTTTAATCTCGGATCGTCCCGATGGTCTCTTCCCCACCGTGGTCTCAAGCCAGAGTGGGCACTCGCTCGGCTTGGTATATTCCTCTGCCGAATCAGTAAAGGAGAGCATCTTAACCGGAAAGGGTGTCTACCAATCGAGAAAACACGGCCTCTGGCGCAAAGGAGAAACATCGGGTGCGACTCAGGACGTAATCAGCATCAGTCTCGACTGTGACTCCGATAGTTTGGAGTTCCGGGTCGTGCAACACGGCGCGGGATTTTGCCATCTAGACAGACAGTCATGTTTTGGCGAGGCAAAAGGACTTCAGGCGCTGGAGGCCATCCTTCTTTCCCGCCTTGCATCCGCACCTCAAGGATCATACACGAAACGTTTGTTCAATGACCCTCAGCTCTTACGTTCAAAAATTATGGAGGAGGCAGACGAGCTATGTTCCGCTGAGACAAAGGAGGACGTGGCATTTGAAGCCGCCGACCTGGTATATTTTGCACTCACAAAATGTGTCGCGGCGGGTGTCACAATTGCAGACATCGAACGGTCGCTGGATAAAAAATCGAAAAGAGTTACGCGCAGGCCTGGGAATTCGAAACCTCAGTGGTCATCCACATCCCAGCTGCCGAAAAACCGTTCTACAGAAAAACCGCCGCCACCCGCCTCATCGGTACCTCCGGTGGATCCGGACGCGCCCATTCGGATGCACGCCTCTGACCTAAGCACAATCTCCTCACAAGAGCGTGCCCAGCTTCTTCGTCGACCTGTGCTCAGATCTGATGAGATGATCGAAAAGGTTAAGCCTATCGTTTCTGAAGTGCGCGCTCGCGGAGATGCGGCTCTGCTTGAATTTACAGCCAAATTCGACAAAGCCCGCTTGTCATCCACATGCGTATTCTCACCTTTCTCTCCCGATACAATGCAAATCGACCCCGAGATTAAATCAGCCATCGACAAGGCGTATGCCAACATCCGCAAATTCCACGAGGCACAATCAAGCGGATCTCATCTCGTGGTCGAAACGATGCCTGGTGTCGTTTGCTCGCGTTTTGCTCGGCCTATAGCAAGAGTCGGACTTTATGTCCCAGGGGGCACCGCCATACTTCCTTCTACTGCTCTCATGCTCGGTATCCCGGCCCAGGTTGCGGGCTGCAGAGAAATCGTTTTGGCGACCCCACCGCGAGGAGACGGCAGCATTTCTCCTGAAGTCATGTATGTGGCAAGTTTGGTTGGCGCTTCGACTGTGCTGAAAGCTGGAGGAGCGCAAGCCGTTGCGGCCATGGCCTATGGGACTGACACGGTTCCAAAGGTAGATAAGATTTTTGGACCCGGCAATCAATGGGTGACTGCTGCGAAGATGTTGGTACAGAACGATACCGACGCCCTCGTTAGTATTGACATGCCGGCTGGGCCTAGTGAAGTCCTCGTGAGTAGTACTTTTTCCCTTGTGCTCTGCAATCCTAATATTTTTTCAGGTTATTGCTGACCATACAGCAAATCCTGCTTTTGTCGCGGCCGATTTGCTTTCTCAAGCAGAGCATGGAGTCGACTCACAAGTTGTCCTTGTTGCCGTTGACTTGACAGAGCAACATCTCAGTCAGATAGAAAGAGAAGTCGACTCGCAGGCACGGGCTTTGTCTAGGGTCGACATTGTTCGGCAATCTATCGGCAAAAGCATCATTGTCAGGTCATCCTCTGTTGAGGAAGCCCTCACATTCTCCAACGACTACGCACCCGAACACCTTATCTTGCATCTTGAGAATGCCGCTAGTCGAGTTGATATAGTTGAAAATGCTGGTAGTGTCTTTGTTGGTGCATACTCTCCCGAAAGGTTAGTCAATTGCAGAACCTGAGCGTAAGTTTTGTCTAACTGGCCCTGACAGTTGTGGAGATTATGCTTCCGGGACAAACCATACTCTTCCTACTAATGGATATGCACGGCAGTTCAGTGGCGTCAATACCCTGTCCTTCCAGAAACACATCACGTCGCAAGAGGTGTCTTCAGCGGGGCTCAAGGACCTGGGTCCTATTGTGGCGACTCTGGCAGATTGTGAAGGACTACAAGCCCACGCAAATGCAGTGCGAATACGCTTGAGCGCGCAGTAGGCATAGAGCTGTATGGCCCTTCAGCTTCAGCGTTCGCTAACTGTTTTCGTCTCAGACTGATGGAAAAATAGAAGTCTATGTAGTCAAATCTCCGATATTTATATGGCTAAGCAGTATGAAATAATTGTAGGCAACGTTGGAGGTAGAAGTAGTGACACAAATTTGTATAACGCTAAGCCCTGCCAATAGGGTGATGGACATTGCCTGAGGTTATGTTATTCAGCGATAAGGGATTAAAGTCGACTCGTAACTTGCCTACTGCATAGAATAGTTCATCATAGGAGAACCTCGTCTGAAGAAGAATCTGGTATGGATGGCCGGATCTGTCGTTTGACGAATTCCGTGAATTTGGCGGGAATGGGACAGCTGTTTGCGCGGTACTCTGTCTCTGAAACCGCATTCCCTACGATCTCCAGCGCCGAATAATCCTCTGTAAACTCCTCCGGAATAGGTAGCGGCTCGGCTTGAGAAACAGCAGACTTTACGTCTTTACTAGTGCTAGGGCCCCGTTCTGCATCCTGCAAGAGGTCCAGTCCAGGATATCTGTTGTACAAAGGGTCACTTGTATCCACACCATAAAGTGCCTCGACAATCTTGGCCTCCCTCTCCTCCATAGCGGGATTCCCAACAGCAATCTGAAGATCCCATTCCCACAGTTCTGCCATATCCCTCTGTGCCAGTCTGTGTTTCCTTAAATTGTCATACTTCTTGAAGGAATTGAGAGCGGCATCCCCGACAGATCTGACAAAGGCATCGTCGATACGGTCTGAGAGATTTTCGGGAGTGACGAAGGACTCAGTGCCGTGGTAGACAGAAATGAGGGCGCGTAGTTTTTCGGGGGGAAGTGTTGGGACTTGTTTGGTTGGTTTTCTCTTGACGGACGAGGAGGAATAACGTACGCGTGGAACCGTTAGATGACGCAGAGGACGCGCCAGACGATGCGACATGGTCGTCAACTTTTTTGATGTTCCGGCATTTGCCGAGCCACCAATAATCATACCGGCCCGGACGATTCTCCTTTCCTTCTAACCACGACGTTGACCGTTGTTCATTTCTTCCAAGAGACTTTGACAGTCTACACATACTATCATTCCACATTGCCTATCTCCAATGCCTTCCTCCGTTGACTCCCTGGATCTTGTTGGTCGCTTTCTAGATGATGGTCGTCTGCAACTGTTGGATTGCATCGGCACCGGAACGCATGGGGTTATCTATCGTGCACTTGCTATGCCATTCGGAGACCAAGCATCTGAATATCGTGCCATCAAGTGTATTCGCAGACCCACGAACGGCGAGACGCAATTAAGCGAGTTTGCAAATCACGTCAGGGTCTCCAATCACGACAACATTACTACCTTACACCATATCTTCCACGATGAAACCTTTGTATATGCGGAACTCGACTTTTGTCCTGATGGAACTCTACTTGATGCGATAAATGGACGACAAATATTTCACAAGCAACCCGAACTTGTGCGCGCAGCTGTTCTTCAACTAGTCGATGCCGTTCACTACTGTCACGAACAAGGCGTCTTCCATCGCGATCTGAAACCAGAGAATATCATGTGCTCTTTGGATGGTTCATATCTACGAGTAGTCGACTTTGGCATGTCTATAGATACTTGTGTGTCTGAAGATTTCGGGCGAGGCAGTGTTTGGTACATGAGCCCAGGTAGGTAAAATGAACCAATCCATCTAGCGTTTCTTTGATAACCACTTCTCAGAATGCCTAGCAGAAGAGTTCAAGCTCCCCGACTACTCCGTCCGGCACAGTGATATATGGTCCGTCGGGATTCTTATGATCAACATCCTCTGTGCCCGGTCGCCTTGGGAAAGGGCAACATCCTCACACAAACACTTCAACAATTTTCTACAAGACCCGAACTATCTGCGGACTGTCTTGCCTATCTCTTACGAAGTTCAGAGCGTACTCAAGTCCGTCCTCACTATTAACCCCATGTCACGTATCTCTCTCCCAGAACTTCGAGGACGCGTTGGCGCCATAGATACTTGGTACATGTCTGACGAAGACCTTGCCCGTGCTTCCCCTTCTGTTCAATGGGCCGCCAAATACTATGCCTCTGAGATTCCCTCGTCCAGCTCTATACCTAGCATCAGTGTAACGTCGTCCAGAAGCAGCACAGCTAGCCATAGCAGCTCGAACTCCGAAAGCTCTGGGGAAGAAGGTTTTCTGTATCCAAGCCCTGCCCTAGGTCTAGAGCCCTTGGGAATGCATGAACCACAGCCCATTCTCGCGCGCATTGCACGATCCTTGAGCAGTGATTCTTCAAGCAGTTCAGATGATGAGAGTGAAGGCCCTGATACGCCGTATTCGATACCTGTGGATCCGGACGTGGAGGTACCAGAGCTGGGCGAAGAGGAGGGTATTGGTGCAAGCCTGCGGGTTCCCTTGTTCAGTCCTACAAAGGGTATGAATAGAGCGCGCAGTTTTCGTTCGGCGTCATGGACGTCTCGTGATGGAAGCAAAATGCTTGGCGTTGAGCGTGTACGGCCAAGGGCGATATCAGGGTCAATTGCAAGGATGGACAGGGAATAGTAGGAGGTTTTTTGCAAACACACTATGTCTCCATTCCGTTGCAACAAACTATATCTATGCAAAAAAAAAGTAATTTCCTTGACATCGTGGCTGATAAATCTATGGGGAAAAAATCGTGTATGCTGCCAACGAGTAATACGAACATACGAGGTACAAGCACAGAAAAGACATGCCTGAAATGATGATCACATAGCAACCTCAACCTCAATATCTGTGTGCGCTGGTCTTCGATTCTCCCGACCCAAGCCCGCTGCTCTCTCTGACTCCTCGATTGTATACGCCGGCTCTTTCAGTTGTTTACATCGCCGTTTGTGCACCTTGCTTCTCCAGTGTGACCGTAGAGCGACGTCAGTCTCGTAGTATCTGTAGGCATATCTCAGTATTTTTCTCTCAAGAGCGCTAAGGACATACTTTGCACATTCGACACAATAGTGTTGCGCCAATCCAGGCTTTTCAAAGTCCAAAGGCTGCGCTTCGAGAGCTGCGCGATTCTATAGACAATATATCGTCAGAGGAAACGTCTTTTATAACGTTTAGAGCGTACTTTGGGGTCAAGGTCGATCAATTGAATTATATCCAAATCTTTTGTTCGAGCCTGGGCTGGATGAGCGGAATACTTGGTTAGTAAAACATGAGCATACCCGAGTTCTTGTGGCTCTGTGGACATCCCTTTGCGCTTTGTGGACTCTTGAACGACGAAGACGTCCCATGATGGTAGAAGAAGGAAAGATATGGTGGCTGTGCTAAATTTCCATGGCTCCTACTAGCATGTGCTGGGCTACCTGAAGATCTATCACACCGGGAAGATGGACATTTGTGACGAACCGGAATTTTGAGCACAAATGTGACATTTTAGGAGCATCCTTTGGAAGTCAACGAACTTCGGATTTTGGAAGATCTAAAATCCATGCCGCCCGCTAGAAATAAGTTTCAGGAGCACGCAGATTTTATGTAAATTCACTGCCAAGATCGACCTCCCAAACCGTTACCTTATTGTGTATATTCTGGCTTCCCTCAAATTCTCATCTATCCGGTGTGTATATACCAATGCACAGCGTTATATAGAAGAGTAACTGCAACCTTTACTTTGAATTATGTGCCGTCACTAATGAAGGTCCTTTCCAATCTTCTTTGTGATTCTCCAGGATATCAGCAGCAGCTTCTCCGTACTCCCACACCTCCTTCTCCATAGCATTGATGTCGCTGCAAGAAATGATCCCTTCCTTATCAAGTCTCCTCAGCGCCTCCCTACACCAAACTCGACAGGAGAACCTAGGTTCTTTCTCGACATCTATAGCAGGCACCTGCATCGGTATATTCTTCAAAACGTTATCAATATCGTCCACCGACTTCCCCTTCAGGTTGCCAATGACAACAGCAACAACTACGCCAAAGTCCACTGTGTCTATCCTGAACCCCGTTTTGTCATAACTCCAGCCTGTTTCAGTTTGTTGACCGACGGTGATGGCGTGGAACTTGATCCCACTGCACGGAGTTGAGCAACTCGGATCCCCAACAAATATTGCCCAATGGAAACACGGGGGAACAGTGGTCATCAGTTGGAGGGTAACGAGAATGTTGTTAGATGTTGGCTGGGGAGTAATCATGATGGTTGCTTGTCAAGCTTCAAACTTCAAGCTTTAAGATCCATCATTACAGACCCACCGCTAAGTCCTTGTCGGAGTCTTGCCACTTTGGCATTCTTAAAACAACATCAAGCCACAGAGGCGATGCCTTTCCTGTTCCAAAAGTTGAGAATCCGAAAAAGGCGTCTATTATGAAACAGCAGAACAGCAACAGAGAAAAACAATATCCATCATAAACATCAGTTCGTCCGGTAAAGTGCGCGCTTCGCCACTTTGACGATCACGCTAGTATCGGGGAAAGCAAGTGCTTCCAGTCTCGTGGCGTACTGGACAGTCTGATTAGCCAAGAAATCAAAGAAGAGAAAAAAGAGAACATACCGGCGTGGGGACATCAGCACCCGTAACCCGCTCAACAGGCGCGTCTAAGTAGTCAAAGGCTTCGCTCTCAACGATTTGCGCGCAAATTTCACTACCGACACCGAAAGCTGGGAAACCACCCTCAACAATAACGAGCCTAAGGAATTGTGTTAGCCTAAGTGCAACATTGCATGAAAATTACTTGCCGATTCGTCTTCTTGACCGAATTCTTAATCGTGTCTATGTCTAGAGGTCGAATACTTCGCAAGTTGATAACTTCCGCCTTGATACCCTCCTTCGCCAACTCATCCGCAGCTTCCAGAGAATGTGTCACCATCTTGCTGTGAGCGACAAGAGTGACGTCTGACCCTTGACGCTCGACTTTACATTTCCCGATAGGGATGAGGAAGTCTTCTGACATAGCCTCGGCGGACATGGGGAATGAGATACCGTACATCATCTCATTTTCGAGGAATACAACGGGGTTAGGATCTCGGATAGCGCTCTAAACACAAATCAGCAGTCGCTTGGGTGATTAAAAAGCAACATAAACACACCTTGAGCAAGCCCTTGCAGTCCTCAGCATTCCATGGGCTAACCACTTTCAGACCAGGAATAGATCCATACCAAGCTGCATAATCTTGTGAGTGCTGAGCACCCACACCAGCAGCAGCGCCATTAGGACCACGGAATACAATGGGGACTGGGACATTTCCGCCAGACATGTAATACGTCTTGCCAGCGGAGTTGACGATCTGGTCAATTGCTTGCATGGCAAAATTGAACGTCATGAATTCACAGCTTGTTAGTGAAGTGAGTACTCGGATCTCAAAGGGAAGAGCGAAGGACATACATGGGCCTCAACCCAGCCAAAGCAGCACCTGTAGCCAAGCCCGCGAAACCCATCTCCGTAATGGGCGTGTCGACCACCCGTTTTTCACCAAATTTATCAAGCAGACCCTTGGTAACCTAGAATGCTTATCATCAGTAGCGCGCAATATCCAAGGAACACTGCAGCTCACCTTGTAAGCACCATTGTAACGAGCCACCTCTTCTCCGAGAATGAAAACGCTGTCGTCGCGAATCATCTCCTCCTCCATGGCGGCATTGAGAGCGTCACGGACGGTCATCTAGGGAACGTAAGAACAGGCATCACATAAAATTGGTTCGAGGCGGCCAAGCGCACCGTGTGTTCGTTGTCGGCCGTCGCATATCCGCGAACTGACCGCAAGGCATTGCGCGAGAGTATTGACGATGACCGTACATTAGCCAAAGCGGGCGCTAAACGAGAGAAGGCCAGACGGGCGACCATATCGATGGAAGGAAAGGTAATAAAGACCAGCTGGCTGGCAGAGCTGTTCCTAGACGCGTAAAAAATATTACTTTGGGGGAGAACCCAAGTTTGAACTCCGATTCTCCATTAGGAAGGTAAATTCCGGCCCGGGCGGACCAGATGTAATCTCATAAACTCACCATGTCGAGTCGGAAACTAGTCGTCGTCGTTACTGGCGCATCCAGGTCCTGAAAAATGCGTATCTACATAGGTGTATCTCATATTTGAGCCTACAGAGGTATAGGTCTGGCTGTCGTCAAGATACTACTCGAGACATTCAATGCCAACGTAGCGGCAATTTCGCGAACCCGCACACCTGAATTAGAGTCATTGGTATCGGACAGTCTTCTACACATTCAATGCGACGTGTCAGTAGGCGCTTTCTTTATCTCATGCAAGTTCCTCATTTTCGCCTTGCAGGTCGGATGAGCCCTCACTGGTCCAGGCGATCTCGCAGGCGGAACAACGTTTCAGTCATATCGATGGCTTTATCCTGAATGCTGCCGTGGTGGAGCCTATGTGCCGTATTGGGGATTCTACACCTCTGTCTGCCTGGAAAGCCCATTTTGATGTCAACTTTTTCTCGTTAATCACTGCTGTCAGATCAGCACTGCCTGCGCTGAGACGGAGCGATGTTGGCGGCAGGATTGTATTCGTCAGTTCCGGTTCTGCCGTCAAAGGCACAGTGGGGTGGGGTCCTTATAACGCATCCAAAGCTGCTATGAATAGCTTGTGCAGGTACATATCCCCTTATACACTCCACTTTAATTATACAATTGAACGACAACTTGCAGGACCTTGTCTGAAGAAGAACCGAAAGTGACTTCAGTTGCTCTGAGGCCTGGTGTTGTAGACACAAATGTAAGTGGCCCACTGATAGTCGTATACAAATTCTCATCGTTATGGCCCCAGATGCAAACCATGCTGAGGAACACCGGTGGCGAGAGTATGTCTGCCAAAGACTATCAGAAGTTCCTTGATTACCATGCCAAGGGCGAACTTCTGGCTCCAGATCTGCCAGGTCGTGTAATAGCCGCACTTTCTCTGCAAGCACCCGCAACTTTGAGCGGCCAGTTCGTCAGTTGGAATGACGAGTCATGCACACCCTTCAGAAGTTAAAGTTTGACGTATGTGCGTAAAACTTTCGTCTTCTAGTATGCTTCTGCTAATACGTGTGTCTTCTAGAGTGTAGTGTTGATATTGAAACTTCGAAAGTCTCTTTGTATTTTCAACCGGAACACTCCTAAGGATTGATTGACGTTGTTGACTCGTCACAGAATATTCGATAGTCCAGATTGCGTCTTTCAGAAGTTGTCCTCATGTCGCCATGATTTGTCAGCTGCGTATATATAAGAGAAGATCGATGTACGCTCTTGACCGTCAGCGCTCATCATGCCTCGTATCGACGTACACCACCATTTCTTCCCTGCCGCTGGTCTCATGAAACAGCGGTCAGTCGGCTGGAAACTACCGCCTGAAAACTTCCCATGGACGCCTGAAATTAGTCTGAAATTCCTTGCGGACACAGGGATCGATGCTGCAATTCTTTCTATCCCGGCGTATTCTGAAGGTTCTGTCAGTCCAGAGAATCGCATGGTGGCTAGAAAGCACAATGAGTATGCAGCGGAAATCTGTGCCCGCTATCCCGGCAAGTTTGGTTTTTTTGCCAATCTCCCATTCTTAGACGATGTGGAAGGTGAGTATATGCACGCGAACGAGTCGAAGGCACACGTTTACATTGCTTCATAGGTGCCCTGATAGAAATTTCGTACGCGTTTGACGTACTTCATGCTGATGGTGTTGGTCTCTCGACCACTATCGGTGAAGGACCGAACGGGAGTGAGAACCTTCTGTCTCATGCTTCTCGAATTAACCATCTTATTCTCAGGGTACTTGGGTGACGATAAGTACGACCCTATCTGGGAAGAGCTCAATCGACGCAAAGCGGTAGTATTTGTTCACGGCGCTCAGAGCCCTTCGTCGACTCCTTGGCCCAATACATTCCTGGGTCTTCCTGTAACTGAAGTAAATAAATCCTTGATGCTTCTACTTGTCATTGATAATCCATGAAAATTGTAGGTTCCAAATGAGACATATAAAGCTGCCGCACATCTCGTTGTCACAGGTCAGTGAGTATCCCATATCTATCATACGGACGAGTTTATCTTTTATCTGAAGGGAAGAAGCGCAAGTACAACGACGTAAAGATCATACTATCTCACATGGGTGGAAGTACCGTCATTCTTGCCAGCCGGGTTGCTGGTCTCTCTCCCTACATGGGCTGCCCACTGACATCGGACGAGATAATGGAGGATTTCAAGAGTTTTTACTTCGACACCGCCCTGGCTTCTTATGAAACGAATCTGATCATGATCGAATCGTTTGCTCAGCCTGATCGTGTTCTTTTTGGGACGGATTTTCCCGGTAGATGCGTAATGTTTTCACTCATTTTTTGTCTAATAACATCCTGGACAGCAATCGCTACCGAGACGGCACAATGGTACACAACTCATTTGGAACGTTTTTACAACGAGAAAGAGACAAGATTACGGCAAATAGTGTTTGAAAATGTGCTTGAGTTGTTTCCAAGGTTCAATCGTATCGTCTAAGTTATATATACCGTATTGGGGACCTATATATGGTATTCATGCGACGACGACATATCTTCTACAAAACCGCTATTATCCTCCTCCCCGCTAGATCATATTCCCCAATGTTAGATCCGAATGTCACTCATAGCATTAAGCATCGTTATGCCAGACGAAGCCAACTAATGATTTTGTCGTGACTTTCACCATTAAGAAGAAAAGGCTGTCCGTGGTGCCCTTTAGGATCGAGATATAGGTTCTTCTTTATCCCGTGCGAAGTGAGATACTGAGTAACACGCTGTTGTAGACTGTTGAGCATTTAATCCAAAAGGTAATAAGATCCTTGAACCTGAGCTTTCACAATGATATCATTTCCGCCCAAAACAAAGAAGGTTTTGTTGTAATCGCGAGCATTGGGTATTTCTTCATACCAAAGAGCGTTTGAAGACCAGTCGTATTGCCGCTGCAGGAGATTTGCGATGCCAATTTCCCTACCTACAAAATAACGCATGATCAAGTCAATACCCTGGCGTTGCGATTGTGAGAATACGGCACGCAAACCAAACTTGATTAAAACGTACCGTGGCGCACGGCCGGTAGAGGAAATTGTAGCAAACGTCTGAAAAGAAATTCAGATGGTGCAAAAAACATCACTGGAAGAAACTACCTCCTTCCCAACAACAAAATGCCACCGGGTCAACAAAACATGATCGTGTGATCATATGCGGATAGTCCTTAAGCATCCAACCGTGGCAATATGTCCCACTACTTTGAATTCAGTGTCGAGATCCTGTCGAACAATTAAGACACGCACTTCGAATGACTCAGCATTGTTACTCCTTTCTTTTCCCGAATGTTTTCTTTAGCCTCCTTCTTTTCTGTCGGTTTCTCCGATGGATTCCCCGAGTCGGTCAGGTCAGCCCAACCCAGGTGATCCAGAAAACGAGCCAGGAGCTCTGTCGTTTGTTTCCGAGTCATGGGCTTTAAAAAATGTGGGTGAAAAATATCCTGGCTAACGTGAGGTTGCAATACGACGAGAAGGGGACGATCACTGAAATGTTGGAGAAGTCGGGATACTGCAAGTTTATATTGCGATATCCCAAGCCCGAGTCCATGAAAGAATACAATTGGCCTAGGTCCAGAAGTAGGGTCCCAAGTATCTGGAATGTGAATGCCATATCTAAAACGCATTTTTTTAGAACGGAAAAAGGGGACAAGTGAGTGAACCTACTCCAATCCCTCATAGGAGGAGAACTTGAGGCCATACTTACTGCGTAACCGGGCTTTCGCCATGCAGTTTAGCGTGAAGACGAATACATATACAAGAAATGGGCGACAGTACGCATTGAATTTGTCGACACTCAGACGTACAGTCTTGATGTGAGGGGAACGCCCTTCGGGCACCGGTCTGCCGACACGCTTCTGAAACATTTCGACTGCTGCATCTAAAGCAACGCGACGATCTTCAGGTAACGTCTCCAAAGGAGGTAGCGCAGCATTAAAGAGTGCCCAGTAAAGCCACTGTCGAACCTCATGCAATCGGACTTGCGACCAAGGAACAAAACCAAACCAACTAAAAGCCATAGTCAGCAAAGAATGCAAAGAACATGTTGTGTGACAAACGTTCGAAAAGAATTGCGAAAGTCGATCGCTCGAGGATCGTCGTGGTCGAGTTGTATGATGTCTTCTTCTGGACTTCCAGGTCTTGACTCGTCTAGAGACTCTGTGTCAAAGTCGTCCTCGGAAAGATTGGCGAGGCCGGACTTGACGACTCGCGTCAGAGCAACCTGTAGTTCCTCTACAGTCTTAATAGGCGTTGTGGTCGGACTGGACAAGCACTGTGCAAGATAACTGTAATAGATGCTAAAGAACACCTGTACGACAGCCGGTCAACACCCGCTATACATATCTTGATTAATTAGAGCCGAACAGACCTCGAACAGAGCCACAGCGAAAGCGGTGTTTCCCAGCCATCCAAAATCCCAGAGGGCAGAGGTAGCTGTGGCGTAGATGACAAAACCCCAACAAGCTGGAACAACGAGCCAGACAGGGCCAACGACGCCAAAGAGGACAAGATAGAAGGTCCAGTCGCGAGAACGGTGCTGGAGGGCGACCTCTGAGATATCGTGGGCCATTCTAAGGTAGTAGAGGGGGTCGTGGAGGGTCGTGAAAAACGAACGAAACGCTCGGAAGAGCCAGGTCTATAAATCCAGAAATCGGACCCAGGTTTTCGCCCCAAGATAATTATAAGTGGTGATACAAGTTGTCACTTTCATGTGATTCTTCGTTTGATTGATACCTGCCATACGTCACGTGGTTTAATTTGTATTCGGATACGGTCTCATCCGAGCACACCTTGACCTTTACCACCTTCATCGACGTCTGCGATGTTCCGCAACGCGATTGCGGCTTCTGTGCGCCCTGCATTCTCTCATGTACGTTTTCAATATCTTTTACCGCTCACAGGGTCTCATATTCATGCCAGAGAACTGCCACGACACTCTCGGCTGGTTTCCCAAAAGTAACGCAAAGAGTATATTAACGTTGTCATCTTCTGTTCGCCTAACACTGACGGCGTTTCCCAGTCTCCAACGAAATATGGCGGCGTATATACCGTATGCTTTTCTTCATTTCCATCGTCGTCGTGTCTGCCGACATATGAGCCGTCCAGGTTACACTTATACCCGGTGATGGTATTGGCCAGGAGATTACCGACTCGGTGAAGGAAATTTTCGAGCATGTCAACGCTCCTATTGAATGGGAACAATATGATGTCTCTGGCATGTCTTCGTCTGGCGAAGCTCTCTTCAAGCAGGCCATGGAGAGTCTGAAGAGGAACAGAGTGGGCTTGAAGGGTTCGTATTTTCTCTCTTCCGGTTTTTCGCGCCTTCCATATGTCTCCCTTTAGGCATTCTTTTTACCCCCATCTCTCAATCCGGTCATATCTCTTGGAACGTAGCTATGCGCCAACAACTGGACATTTATGCCTCCGTTGTTCTTTGCAAGTCGCTACCAGGATTCCCTACCCGTCACTCCAATGTTGATTTCGCTATCATTCGAGAGAACACGGAGGGTGAGTATTCCGGCTTGGAGCACCAAAGTTATCCCGGTGTGGTCGAGAGCTTAAAGGTCTCTACCCGTGCCAAGGCTGAACGCATCTCGCGTTTTGCCTTTGACTTTGCCCTCAAGAATAACAGAAAGGTATACTTCATTTGATTCAGCAAGAGTGTCATAATCTTACAGCAGTATAGAAAGTCACTTGCGTGCATAAAGCTAACATCATGAAACTTGGTGATGGTCTTTTCCTCAACACCTTCCGACGCGTCGCGGAGGACTACAAATCTTCTGGTATTGCATACAATGACATGATCGTCGACAACACGTCAGCTTTTTTTCTTTTAATACATCTTCATGATACCATTATTGTGTGTAGTTCGATGCAACTTGTCGCGAAGCCCGGACAGTTCGATGTCATGGTCATGCCAAATTTGTACGGTGCTATCGTTTCGAACATCGGCGCAGCTCTCGTTGGTGGCCCTGGCATTGTCCCAGGTTGTAATGTTGGAAGGGTAAATGTGTATTCCAGTCCTCGGTTGAGATCGCTAATTGTATTGACAGGATTACGCGCTCTTCGAACCCGGATGTCGCCATGTTGCAAGTGATATCATGGGCACCAACAAAGCCAACCCTGCTGCTATGATCCTGAGTGCAACGATGATGTTGAGACACCTGGGGTTTGTATTTTGCTATCAATTTCCCGCTGGAGATCGCTGAAAACGCCGTGATGATACTACTAGGCTCGATTCTATTGCCAACAACATCGCAAGCGCGACCTTCGGGGTCATTAATGAAGGCAAAGTCAGAACTGTTGACATGGGAGGTACGCTACTTTCTTTCAATATGCGACGAGCAATAGTAAACCTGTTTCAAGGGTCGGCCACAACCTCAGAGTTCACTTCCGCGATTATCAAAAATCTCTAGACTGGTAAGATATCATTTGGCCATTTGAATATCGGATCTGTCGTAGAATACTTTACATCTAAGCCTATAGGCCGTCCTATCCTACAATTTACCGACTCGTTTCCCTCTCTCTGAGTGTTAGTCTAGTCGTCAAAAGTCTTTTGTCGTTTATGTGCTTGGGCATCGCTTGATGATGCACATTCTTCAAACTGTACAACGTCAAAACATGATGACTCTACTTCCTTTGATGTGCTAGTTGTCTCCGCGGCTCTCACGACTGTATTCCGTAGGTTTAATATGGTTTCGCATTTAACCTCGGACCTCTCCCCCCATCCGTTTACCGAGGGTCGAAATTCGGCATACAGAGCCCAACCTTTGTTATTGAGTTCCTTCGGAGGGAAGCTTTCTGCTAGCAGTCGTAAAGCCCCAATAATGTGGGGCGTCGTTTGACGAAAAGATCGGGAAATGTAGGAGAAGGGGGAACTGGGCTGAGCTGGTTTACTGTTGAGCAGGGCGCGCCATTGATTGGACTGAGATTGATATAGGGGACTGGGTAATGTAAATGAGATCAGCATCTGAAACTACGGAGGAACGTACATTCTAGCGTGATTGTCAACAGAAACATTCAAAAATCTAGAATATACGGACACGAACCTTCTACCCATCAACTCGACGTAAGGCTGTGAGCCTCCTTTGATTGCGTCTAGGCCCTTCTGTTTACCGTCCTTGTATATTCCTAGTGATACTCCTTTAGAGAGAGCATTCATTTCGGTGTATACGGATGCTTTTTGGATCATGGTCCTGGTAAATTAATGGAAGTCATTCATGGCAGTTCTCGCGCGTAACGCACCGATACTCAGAGCCTCTTCTCTCCGGAACCCGAGTCGCTCTGCGACAACCATGGCCCACGCAGTCATTAGAGGTGCGCGGTTGATAACGGTGCTCTTCTTGATGAGGATCTGTATACAATTTAACATGGTAGCATGCTGTATAGAGCGGGACTACTAACTTCTGTATCCAAAACTTCGTTGAAATCCAAGCTACCGTATTTCGCGGCTTCATCAGTGGGACCACTCGGTAAGAATTCGTTGACGTCTTTAGCATCATGTTTCCGCTTCTTCTTCGTTGGCGTAGACTGATACGAGGAAGTAAGACCCAAGCTAAGATTGAGGAGTGCCGAGGCAAACCAGTTTTTCAACGGTGGTCATAGGCTGGTCACTTGGGCCCGCCTCTGCTTGTGAGTCAGAGCTGAACCCAGCCTTTCGGATAGCAGACATAATATTCTTGCGGTCATCCTTGTCATCAATACCGCAGGACTTGAGTTTTAGTTCAGATAAGTCTGAAAGCTGAGCAGGAGTGTTGAAAGTCTTGTATCTGCATAATCCTGCGAGTCAGGGTTGCTGTACCCAAACCTAGACATGTAAGCAGAGCCGTACATTTTACCAGATATCTGCATTGCTTTGTGCATGGACAGACCATGAGTAAGGACCTTGAGGTACTCGGGAAGGGGGATCTTGGAATTCGCCATGGAAGCAAGAATGATAAATAACTTGATGACACAGCTTGAACAAGAACTGTGACCGTGTTCGAATAATTTCCCGCCTAACGACCTTCTTTTGCTCTCTATGTCTCCCAAAAATGAAGAACAGGACAACTATGTCGACGCTGAAGACCAATATTATGATGATGAGGACGAGGACGAGGACGATGACTCCGATTCCTTCAAGATTGTTGATCCCCATCCTGAACCCACGACAGAGTTATTCACCACCGAAAAGTTGCACAGTGCGAGAAAGTTACATTACATGCGCTTCATTTACTCAAGTACTGCCCAGAGTATATTCATGAAGGCATGGTGGATCTGAATCCAACCTGGCAGCGAGGTATGTGGACTGCTCCTCTTGGGATATCGCCCTTGCCTCATGTCGGACAGACGTCGTATGGTCGGAATCAAAACAGAGCCTACTGATAGACTCTATCTTCCGAAATTTCTACATACCACCTGTGGTTTTTGCTGTTACGCTGGATGACGAAGGGGAGGAAGTGCGAGTTTGCGTGGACGGCAAGCAAGTAAGCATTCAAGCTTCTCTACCTTTTCTTCCATCATCCTGAGTGTCAATTCTAGCGTTTGACATCAATACAAAAGTTTATTGACGGCCAAGTAAGTCTTTCTTTGCTTGTGATCAATGCACGCGTCTGAATGTTCTCATCCAGATACCATGTATGCCTAACGACCATACCTACGTTGCTTGTTGCTAAGTACAATTTAGGTAGGGACCCTAGGTCAAGGAAGAATTGGTGGTACACAACATCGCAATCGACGAAGAGTACGCGCGCAGAGTTGCCCGAAGAATACAAGGAACTTTTTGCAAAAAAAGTGATGCCATGCGGTGAGTCTGACGATATCCAACCCACATGAATTTTATTCATATATAACGAGTAGTTCTTTATACCGCTCTGACTGAAAGCGCTGTCAGGGATATATTTCAGAGAGTACAACTGGGTGTAGCGTTAACGCCAGCTGGTGTGTTATCTGACTTACATCTTAAGTATCCTAGGATATTAAACATATTTATTAGAACGGTTACAAGCGATCTCCACACCGTATTCTGAGTACGTCGTTCTAGTGCTGGTGTTAGTTATGCTACTGAGACGCACACCAGATGGGTCGGGGATCTTGTTCAAAAGTTCCTTCGTGTCGATGGTGGCATATCCGACTTCATAGTCTGGGACACGAAACGCAGCCGCGATTTTGCCAACCTTGGCTACGCCATGTTTTGCTGCGATGTCATTCAGACACGTCCCATGCTAACCGCTGCAAAGCTTGAAATCTGGCTCAACCGCCAAGATCCCCCGCGCGAACAGCTGAAAAAAGAAATGCAGATTTTGCTCAAGGATTTGTGTCAGATAGTTTCAGATAAGAGGTACAATAGTGCCTTCAGCAAGGTGTCCGAGCGAGTAGCTCCGGTTGAATTCGTCTTTATATGTGAGTATATGTCTTCGTGATCAAATTTTCTGAGTGATTCGAGTCATTATAGGCGTTCTGGTGTATGTCATGGCCTCTGATCCTTTGGATAAAAAGGCGAAGGCTATATACAACCTCCGCTCCGCCGTTCGTTCTTCATTTGGTGACATACGGATGCGCAATGACACGTGTACATATTTGTGGGATGCCGTTTATGCATTGAAGCGCAATCCTGCCGCGGTACCGCAACCGTATATGGGATCTCCCAAGAAGTCGAGAAAGAGAAAGTCTGAAGCTATTGGTGGCGATGACGACGATTTTCGCCCTGACGGATATGGAGTTAGAAATCTCCCTAAAGCTGTCAAGACGCGGTCTGGTAAACGGTAGCTTGTTCTTATCATGTAGAATTTCTTTACTTTTGATACCGTCAGCGGACATCCTGCAATTGCTGTATAACACTATTACTTGTATTTTCTAGTTTCCTAGTTTTCTCGACTCTAGTACAACCCTAGTACGAATTATACCTTCTTTGACATGGCGCTAGTCTGTAAGAAAGAAGTTGATACGTCGTGTTTCAGTAAAATCCGTACATCAAGCTAGCACTTCCGTTCTGGCGGTTTTTTTTTTTGATGACTGAAAACTGCCTTTCGGGAGACGACATCACAGTAACACCTGTGTTGATAGACAGTGTTGCGTTTGACATATACAGGCATACCAAGTAATTCGAAAAATCCGAAGAGAAGCATTGATTTCTCAAGCGAGATCCGTCATAGACGCATTCCGACCGTAAGATTTATTCTCGAAGAACATCAGTCTACCCTGACAGAGTGGCGATAGCTATCACTTAGTCCATCTTCTAGACAGTGGCGGTGATAATACCTATAGGGTCCATTCGACATCTGATCAATATCTTCAATGTACGGATTTGCCAATTTGAAACTGTATCACAGAAATGATACTGGCCAATCAGGCTTAGATGGTCTCTCAGGACTCTGTGTCCAATAAAAATCGGGCGAGGGCCTTATCTATATGTTCAGCGATCAGTGTGGCAAAGACGCAAACTTGAGAAGTTGGAAATGCCTATGCATATGTTTGGAGCTGTCCTGTGCCACAAACAAATCTTGTCTGCTACTATCATGTCCGAGTACGATTTATATTTTTCCACGTCGTCCAGTGCAGAATCTGGCTCGTTCAAACTCATCGAACTGCCACCCGACCTTTGCAAATTAATTGAAAGCTCCATCGAAGGTTCAAATCCTCTCCGGTAAATGATAATCGAAATTCTTCCATGAACCCAATTGAAGCTTTCGTCAGGTTCACAGTTCGAGGCCAAACAGGCGAAGATGCCGTCTTGTGTACGAACGACACGACATACACCATGCGCTCGGTCGTTCTATCCAATTCTGTTCTTGTCGTCACGCCACCCAACGCGTCCGATCTCGATTTCTCCGACGACAGCATCGTTATACGCGACCAAGTGAATGAAATCCTTGAACTGGCACCTACTGTTCCCAGACTGCATAAGCTTTCGGCTATGCTGAGGGGAAATGAATACGATGAACAGTCAGCCGAGGAGGATATGGATGATGACCAGGAGATAAATGTAAGTTGTTCGTACTAATTGACGCGTTTTTCTTGTTGACGCGACTTGAAAGAGGAACAAATTCATGTATGAGGATGTGCGTGGTGTTATCCAGGCCAGTGATACGGAATTATCGCGTGGACTTCGAGACATGCATATCTTGATCATCAACGGTAAGTACACTTTCATCACCTCTCGACGACTCGCTCATGCTACCACAGGTGAACTGAGACCCGTCGCACCTGCCTACCTCAAGAGTATACTGGAGATGATTCTCAACCTTCTAGTCTCACATTCATTATCCCACACTGCAGTCAGTGTCGAAGTTCTCTCATCGGCACTCGCGGATGTGCACGAGGTTCCCCGGACAGTATCGACCCAAGTCATGGGCTGGTTCGGTGAGATACGCCAAGGAATCTGGAAAATGGATGTGACGAGCGTGGTACGAGAAGTTGGCTTAAGTATATTACGGCCGTTCAAGGTTTGCTGCTCCACTTTTTACCGGTATAGTGGTCTGATTCTAGTCGGGCAGGATGACCCTATTGCCGAAGACCAACTCTTGGCAACTTGGAAATCAGTCGTCGGTGATACTTTTGAATCATTTGTGTCTGTGGAGCTTCTATCTGTGCGGCTATTTATTGACTGCGCGTTCATGCTTGTTCATATCTTTTCAGGGTAACTATCTTACGGCGCCATCAAGAAACGACCTCATCAGATATTTCCCATCGTCCGCTTTGCCCGTGGAACCTGCGCCTCGCTTCGCAGATCTTTTCCTCTCACGGTCGCGTTGGAAGGCCGAGGACATTGCACCGTTTCTTGCCGACATTGCTATAAATTCCAAAGAGAGAGATAAATTACTCCTAAAGTACGCTAGGTCGATAAATGACTCCGGGACTGTGTGGTACACATCTAGAGCCCAGTATAACGGATAATGGAAAGAGGTTTTAGATTTACACTCTTTATTTCGATAAGTGATGACACGCCAAGCCTCCCGCCGCAGTTCTTCAGCGATTCATCTTCTTCTCAAACTTTACGACGGTTCGGACTGTGGCTACGTCTTGCGGTCGGATCTTGTAGAATACTTGGGATTGCCCCATGTGCTCGCCTACGCCCAGGTCCTCTAGTGACTTTCGGAGACCATGCTGCAGATGCCCGCTTGAGTAGCAGAAAGAGCTCAAGACTATGGACTGAATTGAATCCGTAGACCGACAGATGAACTGTCGTGGGTGCTGTTTGTGTATTGCCTCATGGCCACCATAATGGTATAGCCGATTGTTTGGATGAAATGGTGGCTGTTCACGAGACGACAACGCTCGGAGCAAGGGAGGTCGTGTGTCGTTTGATGGGTGGTGCTCTGATAGGAAGCAATGGCTTGCGGTGCTATAAATGACTGTTCTTTTACCGCCGTCTTTACACGATCAGGTGCTAGAATTGGTGGACAAGATTCAGTAAGGGTAACTTGACAATTAGCAAGTTCCGTGCGTATCGTAAAATTCAAACACGTAATTGGATGACTTTCCATAACGATTTGGAGTTCCAAAAGGACTTTCAGATGTATATTAAAATTATTTAGAATCCAAGTATCGTAGATTTTCAAACCATAACACCGTTATCCTTGACCTTGTAGATTCTGAAATAAACAGTTCGAACGTTCTTTGCCCGATCTTGATCTGCTCTGCTTTTGGACTCTGACCACATGGACGACACGGATAGGAATGGCGGCCATCCTCAGTGGTGAAGAACTGGAGTTCCTGGGGGTGGACAGGATCAGACATAGAGAATATAAATATCAGCTAGTGCTTCAAGGATGTGCTGAAAAAGACAAAAAATGCCCGCACTTTATATTGGCAAGAACACATCACCACTCAGCGAAATTACATGATGACGGGATGCAAAGTCTCTGTAGGATACATCTTTTCCCAAACATCAGAGTCCCACCCTTCATTATCTCCCACAAAATTGCGACAGGATGAGCAAAGGGTGTCACTAAATAGAATGTTATTGGCCAGCAGACAGGACAAAACCGGGGAAACTGACAGGAAACTGATCTGAGGGCGAATTGGTGAGCATCCTCAACATTTTCAGGTCCAACGGTGTGTCGGGAGGGTGGAAAAGTACAAGTTCAGTTAAATTATTGCCAGCTAATTAAGGAGCGCGTCGTCGCCGCGTCTGATCGGAATTGAAAGGAAATTGAAATACGGCATCCCAAAAGAGGAAGCTGGCATTTGGAACAGGTTTGGATGACGGTTTGAAGCTGGAAGAGGGGTCCGAGGCCTCATCCAGATGGGTGGTTTGGAAGTGGGTCGAACGATCCTGAAATTTTTGAAACAGCTTACCAATCGCACCGGCATGTCGGCAAGTCACACTCTAGAACGAAATCTGAATTTAGAACCCATTCTAAACGTTATGGAAAGTCATCCATTAGAGGAAATGCATATGCTCGATCAGAGTCCTTCCATAGTAAAATCGAAAATACAACACGACACAAAGCGTAACATTTTCTGTACAAGTCTTCTACTTTAATTCTACCGTCATAATATCTACTTGTCAAGGACAGTGGTCTCAACAATGATACCGGTGACACGGTAAGGGTCTGTTCCATGAAATCATCAACATCAATCATTTTCAATCAAGACCAGAACGTACCAATGTTAGAAGCAGGACGCCTGTCCTCAAGATAACCGTATCCCTGGGCGGCAACATGACGAGGAACACGGATGGAAGCACCACGGTTGGCAACACCAGAGCTGAACTCGCTGATATGGCCGGTTTCATGGCGACCTGTCAGCCTGAGCTCGTTATCCTCTCCGTACACAGCAATATGCTCGTTATGCTTCTTGCTCAACTTCTCAATCGCCGCCTCAATCGCCTGCATTCCTCCGGGCTCACGCATGGCCTTGGTACTGTAGTTGGTGTGGCAACCGGCGCCATTCCAGTCACCAGCTAGGGGCTTGGGGTGGAAGGAAACCTTGATGCCCCACTGCTCCGCAATGCGCACCAAGAGGTAACGAGCCATCCAGAGATGGTCACCCATCGAGATACCCTCGCATGGACCAATCTGGAACTCCCACTGAGACGGCATGACTTCGGCATTGATACCACTGATATTGACACCGGCATATAGGCATGCGCGGTAGTGGGCTTCAATCACATCACGGGCGAAGACCTTGCCAGCACCTATTATTAAGGTTAAGTCACAATGTCAATGATACCAATGTAATGGGCGTACCAGCACCGCAGTAATAGGGTCCCTGAGGACCTGGGAAACCACCCTTGGGCCATCCATAGGGGTGATCATCGAGATCAAAGAGGGTGTACTCCTGCTCAAGACCGAACCAAGGCTGGGAGTCTTTTGCCTGATCCATGACCTTCTTGGCGTGATGGCGGAAATTTGTTTTGTTGGGGGTTCCGTCGTTGTTATAGGTCTCAGCAAGAACGAGGATGTTGTCACCGCCACGGAAGGGATCTTTGAAGATGGCAGCTGGGCGGAGATACACATCGGAGTCATGGCCAGGTGCTTGGTTGGTGGAGGAGCCGTCAAAGTCCCAGATACGGAGGGTGCCAATATCGGTGACCTTCTTGCTCACGGTCTATATAATAACGATAAGTGGGATATCCGGGGTTAGTGGTGGCACCACACTGACCGTAGTCTTCGAGCGAAGACCACCGTCGCCATCGATCCAGACATCTGGGATACGATTAGATGTGACTCGAGAGAGAAAATAAGATGCATACATTCAGCCTGAACTTTCTCGCCTTGGGGGAGGGCGAGGTAGGGAGCAAGGAGATCGTTGTGGTAGGCGAAGGACATGGCGAGCGACGAGGACGAGGAGATGGTGGTGGTTGGGTAAAGGGTTATATGGAAGGGATTTATACCTAAAACGGGGCCCTTTTATTTAAATGCGATCCCGCCAGGCACCGCCTCCGATTGGATGATATGGAGAGATTTGGTCCCAATTTAGCCTGTTCCGGTGTCCCGCTTTGTCGTAACTCGTGCTTGACACTGAGAAGGCTGCTGAGAGACGTCCTTACGCCGTTCATGGCGTCTGTTACTGCTTCGTAGTTTCAATTCCAGTTCCATTTCAGCCCAAATGGATCAGAGAATACTTCCGGTAAAAAAGCCTCGACTCGGCCGAACATTGCGGCCGGGCTTCCGATGGTGGCGCTCACAACCCACGGCCAACCATAACTTTCGTATTAATGTCCTTCCGTCTTTTCCGTGACTCCTCGTGCATATATATTACCGTCGAAAACTTCCTGTAACAGTATCTGTATAGTCAGGGATACTCTAGCAATTATGAAATGGCTAGCTCCTGCGCTACATCATGGGACCTTGACAAAAAAAAATTTCAAGATACGCCTTCAATTCAATCCAGATACGAAGAGGGTCTAACCGACGCGTGATCCCAGTCGTCCTATCGTGTCTTCTGAGTTTTCCTGCTCCTCCACCGTATCCGATTGCGTTACCTGAGAAGGGCGTTAGAGACCACATGGAACCGGAACTAGCTACATACCACACGGAGCACGGATTTCTTCGATGACTCCTGTAGCTCCCCAGAAATGATCAGCTCATCCAGTATCTAAGCAGAACACGTTAGCAGAACTCGTATGACATGTCTTCCACTGACGTACAGCATAGGCTTTCTGGAAGTTGAAGATCCTGAATGGGCATTCAACAAAGACTTTTCATTGGTAGTCATCAACCTACAGATCCAATTCACAAACCTAACAATGCTGTCAGGCAGGGAATCTCAAAGTTACGAAAAGGCTGGTCTTACATTCCCGAAATACCGATCCAACACTTCCACGTATCGATGAATGATCTCCAACGTCACCAACTCATTGTCGCTTGAACCAATTCCACACACGAAGAATAAAGACGCATATCGACGGTACACCACCTTAGTATCTGCAGCAACAATGAACTTTATCTCTTCCAAAAGGTTAGACTAGCGTACCTTTATATTCCAAGAAATTACACATCCTCGTCCGGCGAGCTAATACAAGTTGGGTGACATCTTTGACTATCTTTGCCTTGGCCTTGGGTGGCATCGTGGTGAACCATTTCGCGAGGCGGACTTTTCCTGTTCAACAGATTTCAACTCGTCATCGAACGATGGCTTCAACAATGACTACCTTGCCGCGAAACGAGGAGGATGTAGTTGATCATTACAGAGGGTTACCGTCACGCCTGTCACGACTGACGTCAGAGCCTATGCTCCCCAATCAGTACATGTTGCACGAGGGAAAGCGCGTTTCTCTACGTGTACCGTGCCCGAATAAACAACTTCTACCGGTCAAATATCTAACAGAGCCAAGTCTCAAGCGCCTCAGGAATCAGGATGGCAAAACTTTGATACAACAGAATTCCAGTGAATAGATAATAAAAGTACATATTATTTATAAAATACAGTTGGAAAGGATCCAAAGACTACCGTCGAACCTTGATCATCATTCTCTCATAAAAGTCGCCATTCAGTGGCTTCCCACGCCCCGTAGCACGAGTCTTGATCGCACACAGTTCCCGCATTGCCACATTCCAAGGAAACCTCGTCCACTTCGTTCCAGCACTAGCACGTTGCTCCACGTCGTAAAGATACGCGTACGAAGCCTTAATAATGGTCGCCTCCGTCGACGTTGTAGCCACCAATTCCTCCGGTAAAGGCTTCGCAGCAAACTCCTGGGACAGAGCTCTCAATTCGTCTTGCCTGACCTCAATCGGTAGGTCAGTAAACGCGGCCCCCTTCTTCGGCGACGCGTGCACATTTTTCCTGCCATGGATGTTGTTGAGCTGGGTGCGATGTTTCTGGTATACGTTTTGCACGTGCTTTTTGATAGCGTCCAGATCTCTAAGCCTGTCTCCGCTCTGTGGCCTTTTTGCAACCTCGTATGCCTCTTTCCATGGCGCGGTGAGCTCCTCATCTACAACGAAGGCGGAACAGGCTTTCATTTTTTGCTCCACCTTGCTCAGCTGGATTTCACCTTGCTTTTTTGCGTAACCCTGGATGGCATCCATGACGAATTTTTTGCCCGCAAGTGGCTTGGCTCGAGCAGCATTGGTTTCATCCGCAGACACTTCCTTGGGGTCCTTTGAAAATTCCTTCCATTCAAGAATTTTTTGTGCGTTTTCCTTGCGATCCCTGGAAAGCACATGTGGCGAGACCTTCAAGCCAGTCTTCGCCCCGTCAAGAACAAGGCAAAACCTATGAAGAGGTAATTAATTGGAAGCTTTATCAGAATCGGGAAAAACACTTGCATATGTGCCAAACGTAGTGTTTCAGGATGAGAATAACCCCTCGTATATGCCGAAAAATCATGCATGTTGGAATATGCCCCAACGACCGAGATATCAGTGAGGCCTCGAAGGAGAAACTCTTGCACTTCATGAATGTATGTTGCCGCGCTGACCAATTCACGGGGGATCCGATCGAGAAAAGCCGCAACAGTTTCGTTGGTCGTTGTCTCAAAGTTGTCCTTTTCCAAGTTGCTAGGCGGCAACGACAAGGAAAAAGGCGGATTCACAAAGGGCATCACGAGCTCTGGTTGGAAGATGAGGACTCCCTTGTCACCATCATAGTCACCTTGGAATTTATCATCAACAAGTTATCTTTGGTGTATAAAAAAAGGTACAGCCTACCTCCTGAAAGAATTTCGGCCGCGCGGTGTAACCCTTTGACTGGTAGAATGATCACATCCGTCCTGTTCCGCAAATGAGGTTTATCTACACATCTCCATTTCACTACATCTGTCGGAAGCTTGCATGGATGGCGTGTAAGTAAGACTTCTCCAAGGATCATGTCAGTTTCTAGCCCGTCAGGACCTATCAAGTTACGCCTTGAGCTCTTGAAGAACACTTCTCCTTCCTCTAATTCACCGTCCTGATCTGGAACCACCGTTTTGAATACGTACTTACCCAAAAAAGAAAAGTTGCTAACCTGGGACGATAAACGCCGTGACTGACATCGGGACGTCGATACGGTATGACCTCACGTAGTTATTGATGGCTGACTTGATGACCTGGTGAAGCTTGTCTTTCAGAACCATACAATTCTTCGGAGTAAAGCCCGAGTCGAGAAGATACATGACCTGGAACAAGGAAGTGTTAATTCTCTGATAACAAACAAAGGGATGAGAAACATGCTGTTTCTTCAAGGACAGAAGGACACCCCGAGACTTCGTCGCTCCACCATGCGGTAGACCGTTCATTATTGAGTTGCCGAATACCATCTTCATCGTCATCGTCAAACTCTTCCGTCTGGCGATCGCCGTAGCCTCTGACCCTCGCCATACTTGTTTCCCGCCGTGCAGCGCGAGCTGTCATAATCCCGCCCCGCTTACACAAAGTAGACCACAGATCAAACATGGCGTTCGGCCCATCCCATGTCATTAATGGAGTGACGATATTGTCTTCGAGTCCCTTCTGGAGTAGTGTTTCAAACGCCGAAGCTGGTACACCATTGTGCCATAAATTAATGATGACTTCTGCCGAAAGCTGACAGGAGACGCGGGCGTGGGATGATCGCAAGACATCGATAATTCGTAAAGTTGGATCTTCCAAGTCTGGGTATTGTATCTTCGTTTGAGACGGTCGAATCCAGATGCGAGGTTCGTTGCTGTCGTCACTAGGGTAATGATACAGCAGGCCCTCGAAAAAAGTCATTGATGTTCTGAGTCCATATAAATAATTGGGTGATACCTTGTTTCCGTTTATTCGGCACTGAATGGCCGTAGGCCAGTCATCCCAGTCAAATTTCTTCTTCAGCTGCAATAGTGCGGCCTTGTTTGCCAGGCCTGCGCCGTCAGTCATGTCTGACCCCTGGGATGATACTAATGGAATAAACCGTTACACAATTCCCGGGTATTTGAAAGATTACGCTTACCGACATCATCTATTTTCATAATCTGTCTAGCCTCCAACAATATTCCTGGAGCCGAATTGGACAAGCCTAATGCGAATCGCGCCGACCACTTGGTCATTGTCTAGCCTGGGGTCAACCACTGGCAGTGTTATGAAAAGCTAGAAAAACTTACCTGATTGATGTTGTTCGTGATGGGATTATGCCAATCCAGAAAATCGATAAGAGAAATTCTATCAAGTCGAAAATTCTGAGGGGAGATTTTGGAGCCTTCGACAACCTCGTTGGTCATAAACAAAAACACATTCTTGTCCTTTTCATAGAACGCTCGAAAGACAGAACCATTCAAGATGAACGGGTGCTTGAAAAATAAGACGAGCTCCTTCTCGTAGGAAAGGCATTCTTTGGTAACTTTAATGCGAAGAAAAGATTTGGAACCGAATTTTCGAGCGAAACGGTTAGAAGGCCCTAGCTCGGCTTTTTCGAGAACGATTTTGAAGGAAGGTGAGGATCCTTTTGCCGACGTTTTCTTCAGTTTTCCTCGGAAGTTTACCTTCCCGCCATACCAATCATCGTTAGTTTCATTGAAACCGAGACAGCCGTTGGGGTCTTTCTTCAAAGCCTCCTCCTCCAAGTCCAGTTCCTTCCATGGATTCTAAACACCATCTCAGCTGGATTGACGAAAAGATCTGAGAGAAGCTTACCTTGGCCTCTTTTTCTCTGCTAAACGTCGTGTCACCAACAACCGTGTTCGTGACTAAAGTATGAGATCTCATGAGACTGAGGAATCATTCTTTCGTATCATTACCTTGCTTGAAAGCCTGAGCAACACGAGGAACACCATCATGGTTCGACTTTCCTTTGAATTGACCAAGAACATCGATTAATATATCGGAGTAGTCGATCACATTCGTAGAAACAAGACGCGCTATCTCATACTGTATGCCGTATTGAAGATCGCGGGCTTCAAAGCAGAGTTGATACCGAGGATTGTGAGCCTGGGTAGACGAATGGAATCAGTATTCTGTCGATACAGTAGATTGTCCCCCACGATTATGATAGGCTCGTCTGGATCCACAGCGTTGTCGACAAACGGATTATCGGGGTCATCAGAGGAGAGCCGTCGCCTTAGCTTTCGCGGAGTATCCCCTGTGGAAGTATCATGGCGCCGTTTTCCGAGCGACGATGTGGAAGATTCTGCTGCCAACTCAGGCTCTTGAGCAGCCTGCAAACGTTGTGTAAGGTTTCCTTCTGGTTTAACCTGTTGGCCGCCATCTTGGCTCTCCTCCGAATCGTCATACTCTTTGATGAGATCGACGAAAACGTCGTCATCTGTATAAGTAGATTCCTGCTGAAAACATTACGGCGAGTCAACGAGGCTTCAGCAGAAAAATGATCACCGCTTCCCACACACCGTCGGCTCCCTCGTTAGTGCCCTGGTCATTGCCGTCTGCTTTTCGAGTACAATATACGGTTAGTAAGCTGTTTCACGAGAAATAATCTCCTCAAACCTTCGTAGTCTTCGTCCAAACCGTCAAAAACGCGGTCTATTGGGTGCTGAGGGTGGTAGGGCATCAGGATAGTTGGCAAAGGACAGATTGAGCACGCGTACATTATAATAGGAAGAACCCCTCAAGCGCTTCTTGTATGTTGTAACCCTTAACAAGTAGTTGAATGGAAACGTCGGTCGAATTTCTGGCTTCCTGGATGAATTGAATTTGGAGAACGAAGAATCATCAATGATCTCAGCTCGACCACGTGCTCCTTCTTATTGGCTTCCCTTCTGCTCTCATTAGTGCTCTACCACCATGTCTTCTTTCTTTGGCCTGTACGACACTCGAAATATCAGTATTTCAAGCGCTGATTTATTACATTCAGCGGAAAAACTCGCACATTCAAGCCCCGGAAGGATGTCCCTGAGGGTACTAAGCAATATCAGCTGAGAAAGTACGCCGAAGCTACACTGGTAGGTACACTGCTTATTTGAATCTACTTCTGCACTATGATATTCTTTAGGGATCCGGAAATCTCAGGCTCGCAGTACAGCTACCCGAAGGCGAGGACACCAATGAATGGTTAGCGGTCCACGGTGCGTGTCTGTGCTGATTATCCTTTGAATCCATCTTAATCGTCTACATCAGCCGTCGATTTCTTTAACCATCTGAACATGCTGTATGGAACTATTACTGAGTTTTGCACGCGCGAAGAGGTGGGCACTGCAACCAACCGCCGTGCCGTCGTTATACTGAAAGCGATCAGTGTCCCATAATGTCTGCAGGACCCAGGTATGTCTGAACTACTGCCATCTCGGTTGTGCTTCGCTCATGGCGTCTAGATATGAGTATTTGTGGGAAGATGGCATCAAATACAAACGTCCGACAAAGCTTACCGCCCCTGAATATGTCGATGCTCTGATGAACTGGGCACAGAACCTGCTTGAAGACGAGGCAGTATTTCCTAACAAGATTGGTATGGTGATACGTTCGTTTCGTTCCAATCTCATGGCGCCTTTAGGTGTTCCTTTCCCCAAGAACTTCCGTGACACTGTGCGGACCATTGTCCGTCGTTTGTTCCGCGTATATGCGCATATATATAGCAATCATTTTGATCATATATGCGCTCTGGGTATAGAAGGTGTGTTGCAAAACCTCGTATCATCTGCCCAAAACTAATGCTTTTGTCTTTTAGCCCACCTCAATACGAGCTACAGGCATTTTTTCCTATTTATTAACGAAGTAGGTTTATTCACTTGCTCACGATGATCTTAACTGACTTTTCTCTAGTTTGATCTTGTCGACAAGAAGGAGCTGGCCCCGCTGGATGAACTCAACGATGCCATTTTAGCAGATGATAAGGCCCGGTAGATGTAATGTAAATGTTTATACCCAGGTTACAGTTTGTATGCTTTTCTACGCTAATTTGAATCGATGAGAGATAGTATGTCATGATCGAAAGTGTGATACAGGTCTATTCGTGTATTGTTAGACGAGTGAATTTGGATACAGAGAAATATGCCTGGAAAAGAATAATGTACAACCGATGGCTGGTTTGAGGCTGGGAAAAGGAAAGTAGTCCCTGGAAGGAGAAAGCCCTGATGGTTGATAGTGTAAACAGACAGTGATACAGATCAGTTTCGAATGGTATCGTGAACGAACAGATGACATGTGTGGTCAGTTGCGTGAATGGGCCACAGAGCAGAATAATAATACAAGTGCTTGAAAGTCCCATGATGGAAGGCCGCAATGCGGAATCTAATAAAGAGCAGCTTGTGGCTGTGATCTTTTGGTTATCGTAACATGGAGAACGAAAGCGGTTGCAGGTTACGGCATGATGAAGTGTGTGATGCCTTAGATCGTACGTTTGACTATACTCCACTGGACGACGAGATCCTTCACGCGCATAGTAAGTGCCTCCTTGCAGGCAGGGCACGACAGATGCTCTGCTAGAGGGCCCAAGGCGTTCTCTAGCGTGCTTGCAGAGAGATCTGAAATAAATAGAACATAAGCACACCAAACAGGAAACAAGTCACGTAAGAAATACACACCGGGTCTAGCTTCCCATGCGAGATATGCAGAGGCAAGCGCCCATGCTCGGGACAACCTTTTCTGTTCCTCAAAGTCGCACCAAGGTGTCGGAGGATGGGGATGAGGGGGAGGGAGCAATATCCGCTTTAATGCGTCTGTACGCCCCATATGCAGGAAGAATAGTCGCTTGAGGTATCTTGGACCAATTCGATCCACGAGCTCGTCGGTGAGTCCAGGAAGATGATATGAAAGTCTGGACACAAAATTAGATTCTGCTCGAGAAAAGAAAGAACACTTACAAATGAGATGATGTTGATACTGCGAGGTCATACAAATTGTAACACGCCGCCAATGCATATAGATCCATGGGAAACAGAGGGGCATGTGAGAGCAGATGCGAGTAGAGAGGCGTGGATGGCGATATATGGGATATGACATCGATACCATAGCTTGGCAACTGATGGACTGCAGCCACTAGAGTATCGAAAGAGGGTGAATAATGCATACAGGACATTCGATACACGGTATGCAAAATGATGTTGAGGACCGGGGCTGTCTCGGGTACATGTACGACCACATTCTGCTCCTTCGCGCTGGTCGTTGTGGATAATGGAATCAAAGATTTGAAACGATTACTCGAAACTCCAAGCAGTACGTGAGTATGAATGTAGAAAAATACCGAGTCTGACGACAAAAGGGTCATATCTGGCGGTAGGGCGTCGTTTGGGGCGCCGGGATAGAACGTCGTCGAGACAGAAACGAAGATGTTTTCTTCTGAGGTACCTTCGGCTGTTGGAGAGCCGTTCATCGATTCCTATATACTGTGAGACCAAAGAACAAGTATTGAAGCATATTGGTGTTACCGGTGGAGTCGGGACTTGCGTTGGCGACCCGTCCGAGCCGTGATCCACGCGTATCTTTCCCTCACATGTACTGGAGAAACCGGGTGAGCTCAAAGCCACCGGCTCCGACGCGAAGGAGAGAACCGAATCCCATTCGTTAGTGTCCATGGTGCTGAGACCAGTCGGAACCAGAAGCGTGTCGAAATAAGCAAATATTTCGAGAAGCAACTCTCCGTCAGAAATGAAGATGATAAGGAAAGGCAAGGAAAGGAATAAATGTCGGTAGGGAAGGCGAGGGAAAAAAGGATGGAGCAGGTGCCAAACCAAATTCCTGCACGAGTCTACACCAATCAAGCAGTGATTATCTAATCCCGTCTGCTATATATAACTCAATTATGTGCCCGACAGTCACACGGTCCTGGTAAAAGGTATACATGTAGTACTCTTACTGAATTAATCAGCACTTGGCTATCAGCGTCACCGCAGCAGTATCGCTCCGCTCGATCATACCCTACGATTGGTCCCTGACTCGGACCGGGAATCTCCCTGCTTGATTTTGTGTATTTTTTCGCGTTTCCCAAAGTCAGAGTCATGTAATTCCTGTGCGCGATGGTAAACCTTTGATTTCCCAAGCATAAAGAATTACTGACCATATTCGCCAGTCGTTTGGCGGTAGACACAGCATTTAATTTTTCTAGCACTCGAGCCTCGGGTACGTTCATCTCGGTTAATTGCGTGTCTACGAAAGCCGTTAGACACATATAAAAATATGAGGCAAAGTCGCTCACTGATTCGACCCTCTATCCGCAATACTCGGTCCTCGTCACGTTCCGTTACAAAACTGATAGCGACACCCCCTTTACCTGCACGTGCTGTTCTACCAACTCTGTGCGTGTATTCCTCCGGCTCCATGGGCATGTCCCAATTTATTACCAGCGCAACGTCTTCAATATCGAGACCACGACTACCCACGTCCGTTGATATCAGGACGGGTACCACCGACGACCGGAACAACGAGAGTGATGAGAGTCGTTCCCGCTGCGTCAGCCGCGAATGTAAAGCTGTACTTCGTATTGATAGAGTCTTCAGTACAAGCGTCAGATAGGCTGCTGTTCGGGGACGGTTGCAAAATATAATTGTTGGAGGCGGTTGCTCCGGAACATCTTCTTCATCCGTTGATTTCTTTTTATCCCGTTTGGTCTTTGATGGTTTCCCAATTTTTTTGACCGGCTCAGGTGGTGCGCGCCGCATATGTAACGTTGACTCCGGCGGATTGCATAGCAAATAATACAGATAGGATTCTCGAACGTGCGATGGCACGAGAAGGTAGTGCTGTTTTAGCGTCGCCACAGTCTCAATACTACGGAAGCATGAACAACAGCACATTAAAGAAGACAAAACACGCACGTCTCGGACATTCTGTGTACGAATGGTTTCTGTTTCCCGGGTTGCGGTTCTGCATTAGCTAGGTTTTCTATTGAATCGGTCATGGTCGCGGTGAATAAGCATGTCTGCCGTGATTTGGGAAGAACCCCGAAAAGATGGGCAAGCTCCGGTGCGAAAGTTGGTGTAAGAAGACGATCTGCTTCATCTAAGACCTGAATGCGATGCCATTAGTCCCGGAAACCTCAGAAATTATAGAGCGTACCAAAAATTTCACCCGTGACAGATTCCATTCCCCGCTTCCGCTGTTCAAATGGTCAACGAGACGGCCTGGTGTTGCAATGACAACGTGGGGGCGGTTCCCAAGTTCCAAACTTTGAGCCATCATATCCATACCTCCAACAATGACGGACGTGCGAATGTTCAACGCAGATCCAAGCACTGCAAACTGTTCCGAAATTTGAAAGGCCAACTCTCTACAAGCTACGATGAATAAGAGAACGTGAGTACCGAGTGAGGTACAGTAACCTACCGAGTGGGTGTTAATACTAGCGCAAATATCCCGTAGGGGTCTATAGCAAGTTTTTGGAGTATGGGTAGGGCGAATGCGATGGTCTTTCCTGAACCCGTTTTCGCGTTTCCGATACAGTCCCTGCCTGTAACATGTAAGTATGAAAGTAAAAAGAAAGTGATGAAGGCTGCACCTGACAAGAGAGGAGGTATACACGCTGCCTGAACTTCTGTTGGCGTTCGTATTGACATGGAGGTGAGGGCGGCCTGCAGTGGTCTAGATACTCCCAAGTCTGAGAAGGAGGTATGTTTTGAAGTCGTGGCGGTCAGAGCAGGTTTCGGTTGTGAGGTATCTTTTGTTTTGAAGCGGGATAAGCTGCTCAGTTCTCCGGCAGGTATTTCTTCATCGGAGGGCTGAATTTGACGATGTTCATCTCCAGCATCACTGTCATCGCTGGAAGTGTCTTCATCATCATCTAATACTTTTGGCCGCTTGTTGGGCGCCTGAAAGGCTACGTCGGTCCTGCGCTTCATGGTAATCAGCAGTTAGAGCGTAAGGGGCAGAAAAGGTATGCAAGGCAAGGTATGTCACACAGGTCACATCGTTTTCCGGCGATCATTTTCTCCTTTTCTTCTCAAATTCCCAATGTTCGCACTGATGTGTTCGTTCGCTGGTACACTCAGCTGGGTGAGGATAACACCGACTTCTCGTACAGGTCGGACTTTCTAAATCGTTGGTCGTTCCCCGAGGGAACTTTGGGAATGCTTACTAGTCACCGTCGTCTACTACTTTCTACTGCACTCGGCCCGTCCTGATCGCTTTAAATACCTGACATGAATGTATCCGGAAGCCCCCATCACACCCATCGTCTTACTGTTCTGCTATGTCCAAGACAATTGCCTCGTTTACCGCTCAGCTGGTCACATTCACCACTCCTTTGCCCGTTTCAGAGGTTTTGCACCGTCTTGACAAAGAAGTTAACAGGGAACAATCTACTGGATTGATCCCTTTTCTCAAGTCTGGCGTCCCTAAAGAAACATTTGAAGAAGGCTTGAAGAAAATGGCCAATGGTAACGATTTCTTGTAAGCAATAAGTATTCCATCGCTGTCGTGTTTGAGTGATTAACGTGTTTAGGTTCTTCTTCCAAACCAATCACTCTGTTTGGATGAAAACCTACAATGAAAATGTCCCGACGGCGATAGTTTACACCATTGGAAATCCGGTCATCGCCGAAACAATGCTGAGGCATGACCTTCGAGCCTCCCTTAACATCCCCCCTCGTCTTCTAATCCTGGAAAAGGCGGACCGTAGTGGGACGGATATCGTATATCATCTACCGTCCTCTGTGATGGCGTTGGGGGATAACACAGAACTCAAAGCCGCTGCTCAGATCCTCGACGACAAAGTTGAACAGCTGCTCACGAAGGTTACAATGCTGTAGTAGAGGTGAGAGGTTGCGTCATGATCCTGTGTCGATGCTATTCTAATCGAGACTGCCAGGAGCACAACACTAACCTTATGTTAAGGCCATACAATTGAAGATACAGATTATAACAGTTATGATCGTTGCTTGAGTTCTGATCATTACGAAGAGTATTACTATCGATGAACGATCGACGTCCCGGTATCCCTTGAGATACACTTTTTCTGTTCGTAGGTATATTGTATGAGGTAGCAGAAATGCCAATACTACACTATATACATCCTTGGAACATTCTCATGCAAACCTCCGAAGGTAAGTTATAACTGATAAATATTTAATATACTTTCACTACATTGAAACTATTTACTACGAACACGCATTCTTACTCCGAAATATACAAAGTCTCGCGAACAAAGAGGATGGGAGAACGTACATGATAATCATACAATTATTCAAGACCAGTGTGGTGATTATACTTGAGCGTCATCGGACAGATCCACTAACTTGTCCCACGGGTCGTCGGCACTGGGGAGAGTAAAACCATCCCCCGCGAGGTTAAAAGTCCTATTCCACATGTATGAATGCTGCATTCAACGGTGTCAGCATCATGAAATAGAACTCAAAGGAGCAAACGGTAACTAACCATGACATGATCATGGACTACGTCACTGGGATAAGAAACTGCAGGGACTGTAGAAGCTGGACGGGAAATGACGTCTCCGCGTTCAAGCTGACGAAAGAAACCTTGAGAGCTCGAAGGACGTCGAGGTGCAATGAGCATCGGGTGGTCGACAGGATAACCAAACGAATCGAGCGATGTATGCGGCATGGTCGACGAAGGGATGAAGGGCGCCGGGGCAGGTCCCAGCTCAGCCGAGTGATGACTGACTGGAGATGCTGGAGCGGTAGCAGGCAGCGATGTCGCATTGTCAATCCCAGTGGTACCAGGCAGAACCGAACGGAACCGGCGACATTTGTGTCATAGTCAAGAAATGGGGGAAGGTAGCTGGAGTCAGTCCTTGCCCAGAGGTATTATGATAAGTGGGAAACACTTGAGGGATAGACGGAAGCGAAGGTACTGTGTTGATTCCGGTATCAAAAGGAGGAATGTGTTGTGGAGGAGCACCCACTAAACCCATCCAATGTTCATAATGCGGTACGAAAACAAAAGGAGTTGGTTGCATTGGCTCTAGTTCAAACGCGTGGTAGGCCGTGGCAGGCGATGCTGGGACAGTCGCAGATTGCGACGATGCAGTGTGGACTCGGCTGGTGGATGCCTCAGAGTGCTGAGTACGACCTTTCCTACGACACCTACGGGGCTTTTCTTGAACAACCTTGTCTTGTATACCGAGGACATTCTCCACAAAATTGGTGATCGACTCTGTATCGTCGGCCCCAGTCTCCTGATCGCTTCCTAGACGGCCTTTCATCCTGGAACCCTTGCGCTGAGGCGAGAACTTATAGTTAGGATACTTCTTGTGATGAGCCTCTAGCGCCTTCTTTGCCTCTGCTATGAAGGGCTGACGCTCCTCGAGGGTGGTACGATTCCACGCTTCCCCGGCAACCCGACTGAAAAACTGCTGATTTTTATTCTTGGGTTTTGGCTGTTTCTCGCGTATTTTTTTGAGGATGTGCGAACGATAGAGTATGAAGGCATTGGGTGGGCGAGGGATTTTGGGCTTGGTGACGAGGTCGGGCGCATTGTCTATCTCCGGTTCCGGCTCTGGGGTGGAAGGTGATTTCGATACTGGCGTTGGGAGCAGTGCCGCTGCGTGCATGTGATGGAGGCCGAGACTGTTGCCCGTGTCCTGGGAAGACGGGGATAATGGCATCGAATATTCATCTGCAGAAGGCTCAAGTGGAGTGGCGGATGGATGGATATGGGGCGTCGGGGGATGCATATGATGAAATGTAAGAGCGGGCGATGGCATCGAATTGTTCTCTAGGGCAGGCGTAGCTAGAGTGGAGCGTGAAAGAACAAAGGGCGTCGAAGGGTAGGAACCTGGGGTAGGGGCCACATCAAGAAGACCTTTGTTCTGAGCAATGTCCAACGCGTTCAGAGATTCATGCGCGTGAGTGCTACGCGCTGATCGTGCCAAATGAATCCCCGACAAAGAAAGGTTATCGAGCTCTTCAGTAGGAGGCGAGTAACGATCTTGCGCATGCTGATTCTGGAAGGACCAAGTAGAGTTGAATAGACTCGGCATATCTAATCGATACACAAAGGAACATTAACTTCTCTCCACATAAGGACGGTCCTAACACGTACGTTGCATCTTGAGGTTAAGGAATAAAGTGGAAGCAGATTAAACTTTGTGAGTGGCTGGTGAAGTGCACGCGAAAGACCCTTCTCTTTCATGTTGACAACCGACTTTTATATTCTTTGCCGATGTCAATTGACGCTTTGGGAAGACAGGTTCAGTCTGACCCAAAACGAAGTTTTCAGCAAAGGCTCAGGACACGCGACTATCTGAAAGAGATATCGCCTTTCAAGTCACATGAGGAGACAAAGCAAGCCGGCAAAAAGGCCGAACACGCGTTTTGCGGCGCACCGCCGCACGATATGGAAAACGTCGATTAGGAACATGAGGATTGATTGGGACAGGACAGTGACAGGACTTGGCTCCTAGCGTAACATGGCGGTGCATTCTGGAAGCGAGTACAGGGATCTACTTGAGTCTACATTTGCTTTGTTCGACGCCTATCTAGAGCTGCTATGTACCTATAAATCTAAAGGTATCAGCAGAAGTCCACTTAAAACCGAAATTGACTTGCGATAACGTATCGGTCCTCTAAAAGGACAGGTATTTGAGTTCGCCAGCGGCTTTCCTGACGCGATTCATCACAGCAAGGCCCTCCTTGAACTCCTCTATTTCCTCGATGAGTATTAGGTCCACCCCTTCCTCCTCTAACGTGAGCAAACCATTGAACAGCTTTTGGGCGGTGACCGCAGGGTTGCTGAGAGGCCCCAGGAAAAAACGACGCCATTCTATTCCATTAGGTAACGTGAAAGTTCCGAGGACGGAATCAGTCGGTGTTAATAGTCCGACCTTGATGGGGCGTGAGCGATCACTATTGTGCGACAGGGCTGCCAGATATTCCGAAGCGTTATAGCTTTGTTCTCCTGCTGGGACTGGGGAACGCGTGAAGAGTAGTGTCACCGGTACCGATGGGGAATAGTGTCTGTATTTCATACCCGGCGTAGTTGGTGCTTGTTCTAACTCCTGGTCTGCATAGTCGCGTCGATGCACCAAAATTTGTGGCATACATGTCGCGCCATCCAGTTCTTGCTGCAGAACTCGGGACATATCCTCAATAGTAACACCTCCCGGTCGGAGTACGCGAATATTGCCATCAGGTTGTAAACCATCGACAACTGTGCTCTCCACCCCCACATCACAAGGGCCTCCGTCTAAAATGATACTAAGTCTGCCATTGTGATCGCGTAAGACATGCTCTGCGCGCGTTGGACTGGGCTTCCCTGAACTATTTGCACTGGGTGCTGCCAGCGGGGCATCAGCAACAGCTATCAAGGCTCTGGCGACGGGGTGTGAAGGCATTCGGATGGCAACTGTGGGATGATTTGCTGTGATTATGGATGGAACAACATTAGGGTCACTGGGAAAAAGAAGGGTCAATGCTCCAGGCCAGAAGTGTCTCATAAGAATTCGATATGTCGCTGGAAGCGTGAAATCGGAGGGTATGATTGAACGGAGCATCTTGAACGATGATACATGCACGATAAGAGGGTTATCTGATGGACGGCCTTTGATTGCGAATATGCGGGATGCTGCTATCGAATTTAAAGCTAGAGCACCGAGGCCATACACGGTCTCGGTAGGGAATGCGACTGGCTGAAGATCATGGAGATGACGGGCGGCGATTTGTAGAGAAGCTAGTGTATCTGGAGAGGTTATCGTAGGCTCTTCTGATGCAGAATCGAAGAAAATGGAAGCAGAGTCGCATTTGAGCACTTTGGTGGATGTAGCGGCCATTCTGAGGTATCGGTAGCCAATTTTGAGGCACATCCGAGTCAAAAGATTTTCATTTGTTTTGTCCTGTTTGTGCTGGAATAGTGGATGAGAAGAACGAGTAAACGGTACAACATCTATTCGGGCTGGTGGGTTACAGGCATGTCGAGGCCAACTCGCCGAGCGGTAGCATGAATTCTCTCTTCCGCTGTCAGGTCTATCAAGGGATTGTATCTGTCCAAGAGGAACTGCGGAACCATGAATACAGAAAAAAATCTCGACGATATTGAGACGCACCTTGTGTTGCCTCGAAGCTTGCATGAGTGCTACAGCATTTTGAACATCCTCCAAGACGCGCTCGTTCCCAGATTGCCGGTATCCTTCTAAAATGGATCGAAAACTAGACGAGCAAGGGATTGACGACGTTTCGTTTGGAAGGCGCCTGTAAGTCATCAATACTGGAGCCATATACTAGCAGAACAGGCTGACTGATTTTCTCAGTTCACGAAGAATAGAGCGATACGTTGAGGCGACGACATGTTGGGAGGCCATAAAGAGAGGAGAGAGATGTCACGCAGATGTGACTGTTCCACGTGCCGTTATTCACCCACCAACGTGACAGTCCGTCGCGCGGATCCGACAAGGTTCCAGAGCAATGTTGACTTTGTTCGACAATGTCCTTTTTACGCGTGGCACCTAGCTGACAATGGTAAAGAACATTGTTCTTGTTCCTCAATGGAGTCTTATCTTACCTTTTTGCTTCAAACCAATTGTTTGTAAAAGTCGAGGTTGCGACATAGAACTGGTATAAAATGGAGGCAGTCAGTCCATTGACGATTCGTCGTTGTCCTCAAGTCCAACCTCAGTATTTACTCGGTCTTCCCGTGTCTCTAATATTCTCTCGTTCCCAAATCCCTCTCATTTTGTGTTGCGCCTTCCTTGCCCTTCTAGATGGTTCGCATCCATTGGTCTCTGTTATCCAAGGAAGGAGTCAAGAAGGCAGGGCGACTAGCTCAGGTTAGTGCATTGCTTCTGGTCGACGTCATCTGACTTTTGGTGCAGGGCTACTTATACACTTCTGGAGCTCCAGTGCAAGAACCAGATTCTACTGAGAAGCCCAAACCGCAACCCCTCACCCAAGCAGAACGCGACGAGATTGAGAAAGAGCGCATGCTCGCCATGGTTCGTCGCGGTCTAAAAGCCCATCCCGTTATCTTTGTGGGGAATGTATAAATACTTTACCGACAACACGCGAACAACATTCTGAACACAGTTCTTAGGTCCCTCCTACTTTCGCTTACGACGAGCTCTATAACTTCTTTTCCTCTAACTGTGGCAAAGTTCGTAGCCTTGAAATTCGGTGCAGTCAAGGATGTCCAGTGCCGATGGAATCCCGTGGGCCTGGCTATACTCCGAGCATCTACTATGCCACCGTCGAATTCTACAGCCATACTGCTGTTCATAAAGCGCTTTCCAAGCCTACCAAGTTCAAGGGCGTGACGCTGCAGGTGATCACCTTGAGCATCGTTTCCTTGGTTATCTCTCATCATTTTTGCTCCAGATTACTATCTCCAGACGATTGCTGCCGGAAGTGAGGAGATATATTGCCAGTACGTCGGAGATTGTATGAGGAAGGCCTTTCTTGATCATTCACCAGATATGTCTAAAAATAAGGATTCCAAGCAGACAAACGGTGCTGGTCCTCGTCGTTCTATGTAAGATTTTTCTGTGTGTTGACGTCGCCTCTCTGATCTCGTTTACAGACCCTACCGAGAGCAGGGAACTCTTATTTTGCCTGACCCGTCCCCCGACGTGAATATGGTGGTTGGGGTAGGATTTCCCAAGACCATTGTGTAGAAGACGGTAGCATGTACTTGGTAGAATGCATTGAATGTCGCCATATTAAGTTCAGAATGCTATTAGGAGTTAGACTGAATTTCCACATGGCGGTCCACACAGCTCCCGAACGTGCCGCATTGGGACCTTCCACTGTCTTACCTTTCACAAGAAGCATCCCTGTCGCTGTGCCCAACGTCGAGCAACTATCCTTCCTGCATGGGATCACCCTAGGAAATTCTAGCACGACCGCCAGCGGCGAGAACGGACCTCTTGCCACATCATATGCGCCATTGTCTCGACATCACCAGCTTACAAACCGCCATCCTCACCAAATTGGCCTTATTGGCGCCTTTTGTTCGTCTGTGAATTGATTCCTGCCAGCTCGAGTATCAGCGTCGTCGTCGAGTATCATGGCAAGGAGCGCTGCGCTCAATCCTGCCTCGATGCCCTTCTTCCCAGGCAACGTCCGCACCAGTGACGACGAAGGCGACTTAACTTTTCGACGACATCCCTTTCGTTCCAGCGAACCAAATCGTAGCTCATTTTCGTCAATGTCTTCCGTATCCGTTTCGCCTACAGAATTCCGTACCGCTAGGTCTTCTCCCAGCCCGCCACAAGACGACCTAGCTAACATGCAGAGCACTTTTAAGTCTCCTTTCGATTTGCCGCGACGGTCGCCTTCCTTCCGCCAGGTGGAAGCGGGAAGACCGTATCCTGTCATAGAGAACCGAGTCTCTCGGGAGGCTAGCCTAATGGGCAGTCTGGAGTCATTGCCAGAGGGGGAGGACAATGTTACTACCCCTGGACCTCTCAGCCAGGACAGCAGTGCAGCCGTTGGATCACCCTTTTTTCCAGTGCAACAGCAGCCTCGAGAACGTTTTTCGACGCCCCCCGTCGTTCCTGGCCTTAACGGATCATCTCACCCCATCATCAGCGGTCCTACCTCCTCGTCCCCCGTGTCGTCTCTCGATTCCGGCAGCCACCTCAACTCTGGTTCAGATGGACATTCCTTTGAAGCGCAGCTCAAGGCTTCTCCCTTACTTCACGATATACTGGATCGCCTCGTCCGATGTGAATATTCCACTCGGGAAATTCACAGGGATCTTGGTGAATTGCACCGCAAAGTCAACATACTCGTGGATCGCTCCACTGCCACTGCTAGCAATATACAGCCGGAATTCAAGGACCCCTTTGCAAGCAATGGTCGTAGGCCAAGTTATGCAAACCCCATGAATGCACCCCGCGCTTCCTTGGGCAATATTGCCCCTAACCAGGTCCCTCCTTCTGAGGACATTACTTCGATTTCTCAACGTCTAAATACTCTCACTTCGTCCGTTGGTCAGCTTATTGCACTCCAGACACAACATGTCCCGCCGCCGCCAGTATCTGGCTTGCCCAATGGCGGTCTCATTGGTCCTCCCAAAGCTCATACGTCAAACCTAGATTTCCTGTCTTCCCAGCAGCCTAATGTTAGCGCACTGGGCCACGGATTGCCCAACCGTCCGGATATGCGACCTTCGCCTCGTCTTCCAAATCCCCCCATGCGTACTTGGTCTACCGGAACCCTTGATCTACCCGTGCGTCCTCCCGAAACGACAATCGGGCGTCAGGAAGTATTTTCTCGTGACAAACGACGCTCCGTTTCAAGTCTTATGCGCCGTGATTCAGCTGGGGTCTGTTTCTTTCCCCAGCGGTTCGTTCCTTCTCTGATCATATCTTTTTTCATAGATGTTGGATCCAAATGATTCGAACTCTCCACGCGATTCTGGCCCAATGATTACCAAGTGGGAACAACTTTCGCTGGCACCTGAGCTCCAGGTTTCATTGAACTCTTTTGGGTAATCATTTCCCATTCCTTGACGCCCAGTCTTTGTGCTAATGTCATTATCATAGTGTGGGTCCTCCAAACAAAATACAGCAACGGGCGTTACCATTCCTCTTGAGGGGATCAGATATCATTGCTCAAGCGCCGCCAACCCAAGAACGGATCGCGGCATATGTCATTCCGGCTATCCAGACGGCACTGACCCACTCCGATAGTCTGAAACCGGTGGTCCTTATGATATCTACCACTGTAGATCAAGCCACGCAAGCTCACCGCATGATTCGTGACCTGGGATCTGGTATAGGCGTCAGATCCGTGTTGGCTGTAGGTGCCGTCAAAGACTTCCATGCCGAGCTGCAGCTAGTCCTTTCCAACAAACCTCAAGTGGTTTGCGGCACACCCCAGAAATTACACGCTCTGTTTACGACGCCGGGTGGTCTCGATGGTTCAGATGTCCGTTTCCTTGTGCTCGACGAGGTAGACCAGCTCATCGCGCGCAATATGCACGAATTCGTATTCAATATTGTGAAATTGCTACCTCCTGCTCGTTCACGCCCGCCAGGTTCGGTGACGCCCACTCCTTCGGGTAGCTCATCGAATAATTCGCCTGTCCCGGGTCCCCCAGCCAGGAAGATGTCTACTTTAGGCGGCACACCGGTCTCAGACGCCGAGGGACGTTCTAGCCCTCAAGTTGGAGAGGGTCAACAATCTGCCGAACGCCAGACGGCGCTGTTCTCTAACACCGTCCCTCAGGACGTTTTGAACTTGGCAACAGCCATTCAACTGAAGGAGCCTGTCAGAGTCCTTGTACGCCGGGATGGTACGGTGACCAACATCGAGACATCACCAAATTTCCGTGGTCTTCGACAGTTCTATTTGTATCTGGCGTTCACTGCTGGTGGGCGCTCTGATCCTTCTCATGTTGAAGGCGGCCTAGGAATAATCGGATCAGGAAGAAGCACTTCTAGTGCCGAGAGCGTGCAAGCTCGCGAATGGAAGCTCGATGCGCTCGCTGATATACTCGATGATGTCGATGTTGCGCAGGCCATCGTTCATGTTGGCGGTGTCACCGCGTTAGATGCGGTTGTGTATAAATTGGCTAGTCGTGGTTTGGAGGCTATTCCTCTGGTACGGCAGTCTGTTCCTCTCACTGTCATGGCTTCATTAACATTATGCATAGCATGGCGATATGAATTCTACGACCAAATTGGCTGCTCTGAGCAAGTTTAAGAGCTCGCCCTCTGTTGTCATGAGACAACCTGTAACAAAAATTCTTGTTATTTACGATGTTCACGTTCAAGAAATATCTCAAATTCCATTGATTATAAATTATGGTGCGTGCGGATCTTTTTCTCGTCGATTTAACTTAATTTTCGCGCCAGATTTACCGAAAGCCGTCGAGGAGTACACTCATCGGTGAGTACGATCGACCTACAAACACATTGATTCTCATCGCCCTCTTCTAGCATTGCCCCTGCCGTCGCACCTAATAATTACTCCCGTGGAGGGGTCATAATCAACTTCGTAACTGCTACAGGTGGTGACGTCGAGATGCTCCGATCCATCGAGTGTTTCCACAAGTAATGCGTTTCGCCTCTCTTTATGCTATACAAATACTGACTGTTTTTCATCTTTCTAGAATCAAATGCGTAAGCCTATTATCTGTTATCCTTCATTCGTCTCTGACATTGCCTACAGCCTGAAGTTCCTATCAGTCTCCGTGACATTGTCTAAATTGATCACCATTCTGTGTTCTTGTATCCCTATCGCACAATGCTCTATTCGTCTTCTATCGTCGTCTGCTACGCCTATTATACTCGCATCTCACTGTTCGATACCCTTATACTGCACCTGCGCGCCTCCCAGATTGTTTCATTACTAGTTTCATCCCCTTATTTCTCTCACCACTGTATAGCAGCTCTCATTTCATTCCATTTGGATGGTTATCAATCCATACTCATGTGGACGATTACTATTTTCAATGTACCATCTTCACTACAGCTAGCGAGCTCTTTCCGAGTAACTTCAACCGCGGAAGGTCGCCAACTGAGGCGGTGAATATGGTTGACATGCGCCATGCTATAGGTCAGTTAATACTGTCTGCTCATCTGTCAAGGACAAAATTTTCGCACCCAGCATTTACTGTCAATTGATGCCGCCAATCTGTTGTTGGGATCGTGTTTGAATACACCAGTATTTCTCCGGTTTCAAGGCCGATAGCAAGGTACCGTCTAACATAACAGTGAAAGATGATCTCAAAAAGAACCGAAATGACGAACCTATTTTGTTTGTCAACAGTCGAGATTTCAACAGCCGTTGCGGCCTCCGCCACTTTGATGTTAACAATAGCTTTCCAATTTCCATCAGTGCCAGACTGCCATATTTTAACCTACACGATGTCAATGCATGGAAACAATAGATGACACAACCCTTACCGTCTTATCGCGAGACGCCGTAACGAAAACATCGCCTTCATGTGCCCATGCACAGTCCCAAATGATTCGAGAGTGACTTTTGTCTGCGGCTGCTGCGCTATAACCTAGGCACGTTGCGTGAGCCGTGCTCTTTATTACCAAGGCTGCAACAGTGGCTTACCTGGAGTCGAATCGTTCCTTCGGAACAGACGCCATGTTCTGTCCCTGGAAACAGACAGTAAAAATTGGTCGTCAGGACTGAATGCTATCCGCGTGACAGTCAGTGAATGCCCGGCGAGAGGTTCTCCGAATGGTTGCCAGGTTTCTATGTCCCATATACGAATGACAGAGTGCTCTGGTGACGTTGACTTACAAGCAGTCGCTACCAGACTGCGTGAGTTGGACGTAGCAATAGTGATGGACTATAAGGCAAAGTAAATATCCCTCCATTTGCACCGGCCGACAGACATTACCTCGTATCCATGTCCAAATACCTTTTCTATTTCTGGCCAAAGAGTAGTGGCGGCAAGTTCCCCTTCCAGAGGCCGAGTGGATGGGGAAGCTTCATCAACGGTCGTAGAGGCTGAATAGAATCGAACGTAAGTTAAACTCTCAAATTTGACAAGTTACAGTAACCGACCATCAGCGGTGGCTTTGTTCGACAAACCCAGGGGCGGAACGCTAGCTCGGGATGGACGTTGATGCTGTGTTTATGATAACTTTAGCACGGAGAGCAGACCGAAAAAAAAGATAACTTTACATCAGCAGCGGAAAATCGTGCAACACCCAGTGCTTCTACCACATCTATGAAACTTCGCGGAGCCTCAAACACTCTCGCCACTTTCTCATCCGCGATACTAACAAACTTGAGGTTGTCTAAAAAGCTTACCCCCAGAAGATCGTACCCGTGGACTTGCGGTCTGGCGAGCTCATGCCATGTTGTGCGACCATTTTGGTGTGTTATAGGACCATGTATACGTGTAGTCTGATCCAATCTGGCACTCTAGATATCAGTACTCAACGGCCTTCAAAAATGAACACACTGACCCAGCTGATATCAAGAACTGCCCATCAGGGCTCCAACAGATTCCCCGAACGGGCCCGCTGTGTCCAGTGATTGCATGCACTTCAGTCCAAGTTTCCTTTTCATCAGCAGAACACCGCCATCTCCTCCAGCCACCGGACCAACCCCAGGCGAATGCCTCAGAACCCTCTTTACCCCATAGACCTCCGACAAATCCGCCCAAGCGCTGCCCGCCAATGTCCCCAAATCGCTGCCGATTGATCCAGATCGCAGTGGACGTATCATGTGAAGAGGTTAGCACCGTTGACGGAGACCAAAGGATAACGGAAGAATCAGTGGACGAAGATAGTAGAGTCGCTGTCGACGATGCTGATGTTGCCGGCCGCCAACTGAGAGAAGTGACACCTGCTTCATGACCAACAAGGAGTGCATCAAAAGTGATTGAGAACTGTTGAGAACTGAAAACAAGAAAGAATAAACAAAAACCATAGTTAGGAAGGAACCCCATCTTACCCGGAGGCGGATGTCTTGACGGTCAAAATATGTCGTTTCAAAGAAATCTGACGGCCACCCTCTTCGGCATCAGCTAGTTCACCCAGAGAAGCTTCGAAAGCATCCAAAAGTTCATCACTTAGAGCATCTGCAGACGCCGAGGAAGATTTCCCGGTCTCGCGTTTGTAAGGTTCGATATTCCACAGCCTGATAGTCGTGTCCTGAGATCCTGACGCGAGAACCAAGGGCTCGCTTTCTTGAAGTGAAGGTCGGAACGCAAGGCATCGGGCCCAGTCATCATGTCCGGAAAGTACAGCAGATTTTATGAACTGTAAAGGTAGTGTTAGCGCGACATCATAAGATGGTAAAAGGGACTTGCTGTGTCGTCGGACCTTGTCCAGATTTGAATATTTCGATCTGTACATGCAATGGCGAGGATAAGACCTGTGGATATGCTCTCAGATACACGCATAATTCTGAGCTGTTCGGTCACATACTTTCAGACTGAGGAAGGAAAGAAAGGGCGATAGACAGTGGATATTTGCCCTTCAGTGGTATGGATTGGACCTCGACCACCTCATCTGTTCTTTGTCAAGGGGAGATCACACGTTAAAGATAACTCCCAGATACCTGTTCCTACTTTCCAAATTTTGACTGAAGAATCAGAAGAGCCCGTCGCAAGACACTCATGATGAACACATAAGGACGAGACTGCTTTCGGGTGTGCTTGAACCTTACTTGACCTCCACTGAAAGAACCATTGAAACGAAGAGTTGAGGCGAAGATAGCAGACGGCCACACCTGATCATGTAACCCATCTCTTGTCCAATATATCACCATACCCTTGTCGTCGGCAGTAACAAACGAATCATCTGAGACGAACTTGACGCTGGTCACAGTCCCTTCGTGGCCAGGTAATGTTTGATAAGGACCTGGATCAGGATCTCCCTGGGTAGTGGATCACTGTCAACGACGCGGTTGGGTGATGAAGTAGGTATTCCGTACAGTGAGGTCCCAGAGACAAACTAGATTCGCGGAGCCAAACGCGATAAGTGAAGCTTGCGAAGCATCAGCAGCTTGACAGAACCGATTCGTGGAGGCCGCTATGTAGGCTGTCGATACGTTCATCCTCTGAGGACAATGTAAGAGGCAAAAATCGAAAAAGGCAATCACCGCCCAATATCTATCGGTCCGAGGTCCGATCCTAGAAGGCAGGTTTGAGGAAGGTCATATGTAGATAATACTCCGAACAGCAGCTGTGTCGCATTCTGCTTCAGTGGTAAAATCCTTGTCTTCGCTGGATGAGAGCTACAGAGCCGTATAATTAATGCGTTGAAGCCCGAAGAAAGTCAAATATATGCGGTTGTGACGCTCAGACTTGCTGCTTTAGGGCGTTGTATCTACTCTTTTCGTTGTTAAAACGATGTAACACGTTTCAGATAGTCGCTTCCGTAAAATAAGTCAATTATCAATTTCAACCACGTTTTAACCAGCAGGACAATAATCAGGGTTGCCTACATAACTAGCCACTAAATACCTCGAACGTTATGAACAGATGTTGCAGCGTCTGAGCCTAATGATGGCAGAGGAAACGAACAAACTTCACTCAAGCTGAAAATCAAGATCCAAACGTCAAGCAGTCATCAATGTCATTGTATTGCAACATTCAGCCCAGCCAGAATGGATACTACACTTTATACCGCCTTCCTGTCTTAGTGAAGAATGTTTGTAGGACATAGACCTGGAATCTGAGGGGAGAATCAGGGGGGATGAAGAAACGATATCAGCAAAAAAGACGCACGCAGCCATAGCGATGACTCCACAGCTCTCAAGGATGGCATACCAGAATAGCCGACTGAAAAAGCTGTTAGACAGTACGACACATGAAAAGAAAAACCACCATACTTTTGCGTGCTCTGAACTACAGAAAAGCCTCGGCGTTCTTTAGTGTGGAAGCTACAAACCATTATGAGTACGAGGATTGTAACGGAGAAAAAGCAATCTAAACGCACTGCTTCTGTGTCCGTTTGATGTTCATGAGCATTCCATTGAGCCTGAATATGGACTCTTCGAGTGCGGAGGTTTGTTCAGAGATTTGGCCTGTAAAGCCGGTCAGGATGCAGAGACGGCGCAGTAGAGTGAGTACACACCAGGCTTCGCCGGAGCCTCCCTCCTCGGTTCACTCTCTACCATGATGTCAAAGTCGATGAGTTTTTCGGTGAGCGTGGACATGTCGTTTTCAAAGCAGAAGGCATATTCGCCAGGAGTGTTGGCTGTTAGGACGTAATCACCTTGCAAAGAGGTAAGCGCACAGGTTTAACGTAAAAGAAATGGCAGAAACCTTGACGCTCGCTCGTTCCGGAGAGGATTTCTTTGCTTGCTGGTGGTGGCGAGGTTACCGTGTACGAGATATCGAATGAGCCTCCAGATTGAACGGCAAAGTAGAACTGTCATCGAGCAGTGTCGCGCAAAATTAATATTCAGAATGGTGAAAAAGGAGGCAAGAAATGGTTAGAGTGTAATACGAGCAGAGCAGCAAGGTCACGCACGCCAATTTTCTCGCCAGCCTTGTCAACATCCGCATAGAAACAGAGCCGCTCATTGGCTGCAATTGGTGTTGTCAACGCAGAGCCATATACTGATCTTATACAAGCGCAAAAGAGGATGAAAAGAAGAGGTATAGAAAGAAAGAAGGAGGACGGAAGGAGAGGCATCGTCGTGAATGGAAGAGGAAATGCTATTTCCTTTCTGGGATTGCAGACGTGTTGACACATCCACAGCTGGGTGGCGACTATTTTGGGGTGGTCAAAATAGAATCAAAATCCGAGATCCCGATTTTGGGCGAGGCAAAATCGTTCGATATTTCCTTATTAGGAATTCCCCGGATTTTGAACTGAGGCAAAATCCGACATTTTGCACTTTGATTCTATTTTGACTCGCGCAAAATAGTCGCCCGCCCAGCTGTGATCGGTTTGCCGCGAGGCAATTCATGGTCAAGCTCGGACTAAAGAACAAATAAATTGCAGCTCAAGTAGAATTCTAACGACAGCTGGTGAAGGATAACTGAAACGTTAGTGTCCCACAAGTACTCATTCTAGAGACTGAATATGTCCACTGATGAATGGAGAGATCTGGTCCATCACCAGTCCCAATGAGAATACCAGCATTTATGCTTCTAGCCGCAACGTGCCTTTCCAAAGGACAGTTTAGAAAACACTCCAGAGCCTTCGTAGTTATCGATACGGAGATAGCCAAGGTAACCTGGTCATTGGCACGTTCTCTATATGGATGTTGGGAGGAGGAAAACGAATGCACAACAAAACGTACTAGGACATTGTGAACTGCACTCAACCCATTGATGTAAACGTCAAAGACATGGGAGAACGAGTCGTGGTCCGAGATTTCAAGCTCGCTCATTTCAAACCAAACCAGCCAATATCCGCCAGATATGAGTCTCCAAGGGATACGAAAAGTTTTCCATGTAGGAGCTAAGAAAAGCAAAATCGAATCTCAAAACGAACGAGGTCCATGTCCATCCTTGATACTGAGTCTCGTCCGATGTGCGAGAATCGTAGCGCATCGTCAGCTACGGAACGTGTTTATATCGTGCATAAAACTCTGGTAAGCACAAGGAAAAAGTTGTTTTTCCAAATCCTGTCGAACAATGGACGAGCGGATGAGCGTGAGGCGGGGATACTTGTTTGCTATCCACATGTTTCGGCGGTGGAAATCTTTGTGTTCGCGTTCGCAGAGCACTATGCACTTCTTTATCTGCCGTGAGAAGATCCTGAAAGGTGTTGCCTTGAAAACCTGAAACGTAGACAAGGAAGTACACAGACGATGTTCAACATGGTGGGTAAGGAGCAAGGATGAACACAGCCACATATTCCAATGATTCTTGGCATCGGCGTCGATGTCGTCCACCTCCCTCGCATCGCGGCGCTCATAGCTCGTCGTGGACCAGAAAGATTTGCTCAAAGGATACTCAGCAACGAAGAACTGCAATCGTGGAAGGCCATCCACGAGGTTGACCGCGCTAGGTTCTTGGCTGTCCGGTACGCTTAGTACAGTCTCGACGCGTCGACAGACATCTCATTTCGCGTACAGATGGGCGGTCAAAGAGGCCGCATACAAGGCGATGTACCCTACTGTCAAGCCTACATGGAAACATCTTTCGTTCCGGAGCTTAGGGCAGGAATTCAATGGCAGTAAACCTTCGCTGATCTACCGTCCCCCGTCCCTCGGCACCTCGGTGGGTGAGATACACAGTTCCGTCAGCCATGACGGAGAATATGTGTTCGCTTCCGTGTTAATCTGTCGACGGACAGAATAGGTGCGCTACTCTATTTTATTGCAATAATCCTACAGAACACCTGAGCGTTTACACCAGTCCCACCATTGGGGCCATTGAGGTTCAACTATCCACGTTGCAGAATCATCAGTCTGCAGGGAGAACTGCTGGGGTTCTTCTTCCGTCAAATATGCATTCTTCAGGTGTTCTAATCGGAACAGGGCCAGGCCATGCCCATGCAGCGATGTCAGAAGTTTACTGGTTCCCCGCGGACGCGGAGATTTATTCTGGGAATCTTCACGAGGAATTGGGCGTATGTCAAGGCCCGAAGGCAGTGACTGGGCAACGGGGGATGACCTATGACAAGCTGAGAATACAAACACAGAAGGGATACCAGCAATAGAATACGTACATTTGGTAGTCGCGTATCACAACAGGAAGGATTCTTTTCCGTATGACACCTGTGTGATATGTTCGCACTGTGAGCTCCTGCCCGACATAGCAGCCCTTCCGAAAGTCAACTGACGGGCAACATGAGAAAAGTTACACCCATGGATCATCAAAACTCACGGCCTCCCATTATATCCAAGTTGGAGTCCATCGGAAACGCATGCAAGGGTGGGATGTCAACAGGGCCTTCAGGGACCCCCTTGAGTATACGAAGAAGGGTATATGCGTCGGACGTCTGGATATCATGCGAGAGGGATTCCTTTGCTTGAATCGAATGAGCTCAGGATGTACAGCCATATCGGTGACTTACGAGGGTCGCCCTTGCGTACGAGAATCCTCGAACCCATCCCGGGTGCTCTTCTGTCGCGTATGATACCGTCTTCGACTCCCCAAGGCCATTCACTCTCGGCCGGCCAAATGGGCTCCATAGCTCCACTGTTTTCCCAGTGCCAATTTCGTTCCGTCTCCCAGTGTGAATGTTCAGGTGAACCCCAGGCAGCCCATGTGTCGTATTCCTGGGAGACATCCCTGATCTTGACCTTGGACCGCAAGACGTACCGCTTGAGCAGGCCGTAAAGCGGTGGAGCCTCCGAGGGGCGTGAATCGTATTCAATTATGTATCCAGGCTTTCCCTTTTCATCTTTTTGCGTGTGTAGGAATACATCGTAGAGAACCCTTCCCTACAAAACGATTAGTAAAGGTCATTTGTGGAAAGGTAAGGAGCCGCACCTGGGCATTTAGCACTGTCGAAAACGCAGGTCGCCGAGGCTCGTGTACTGACGTTGCCAGCATGCCATTAAGAAACTCTGACGCCTGAGAGCCAAATACCGAGAGAAAGGACCGGAACGGGACTGGGGCGATGGTGGGGGTCAAGCTAGGAAACATTACTGCACGTGCTTGGTGTAATCTTGTCGTTGTACTGCAATGTCCTCGTCGTGCCAAGGTCTCCTGGCCGCCCTCAAAGATTGCTTGATGCACTCTGACTGTGTTGTCAAAGATGGAAAACTCCCGTCTGAATGCCTGAAGGAGCACCCGGACGAACTGCCAGAGGCATGTCAGTCACTACGCAAGGCGACATTTGAATGTAAACGGGGAATGGTGCGTTTAGCTGTATTTTATTATTCTTTAGGTTTTTACTGAAGTATAATACAGCTAGATATGCGGAAGAGATTCCGAGGGAACATTGCTGGCTCGCAATTCACATTCGAACCGGAAAAGGCGCGACAGGCAGAGACGTCAGAGTAATCTCAGTAATCTCGATTATACATAGGACGGATGAATCAGCATGGTGTATCAGCGCTTCGGCCAAGATCTCATAAAATTCACACAATGTTACGAATCGATTTGTCATTCACTTCTACGACATGAGATTCACCTGTTTTAACCGCGCATTCTTCAATCTGCGACTACTACCATCCCATCGTTCCTCTGCAATGTCAAAGCCTCTTACTTTCTACACCGCTGGGACCCCCAACGGTCGCAAGGTCTCCATCCTCCTGGAAGAGCTCAAGGCCACCTATGGTCTTCAGTACGAGTACGTCAAGCGCGCCCAATTTTCTATCAGAAATCGTCTTACCGTTTGACTACAGAGCCCACAAGGTTGACCTCGGAAAGAATGTCCAAAAGGTGTGCATTACCAACATTTCAATATCTTTCTCAGCACTAAGTCTATTTTAGGAACCGTGGTTTATTGCTCTAAACCCTAACGGTCGAATCCCTACTCTTGTAGATCCCAACCGCGACTCGTTCTCCGTCTTTGAGAGTGCCGCCATTCTGTTATACCTCCAACAACAATTTGACCCAGAAAACAAATTCGGTTTCGATCCCGCCCAGAGCCCCAAAGACTACAGCGAGATGCTGCAATGGATATTCTTTGCTGTAAGTATGCATTGAATAACTCGCCGCTCCGATATTTACGCGTCGATAGCACGGTGGTGTCGGCCCTATGCAGGGTCAACGTACGCGATCCGCTTACTGGACGTACCACGCGTCTCTAATGATGTTTTCGCAGTGAACCACTTTAACAGAGCCGCACCTGAAAGTATCCCGTACGCGAAGAAACGTGATTATTTCTAGAACTGTCGCTTTTGTCCCCTCCTTCTCATCGCTTTGGACAGGTTACCATGACGAAGTTAGGCGGCTGTACGGCGTTCTTGAAATCCGACTCAAGGACCGCGACTATTTGGCTGGATCCGGCAAGGGCCAATACTCACTGGCTGATCTGAATGTTTATCCATGGTAAGAGCATGTCTTCTTCTATTCCATCCGACTAACCGGAAATAGGGTCAACATTCACGCGTTGAGCGGTATTGAGTCGTTGGACGAATGGCCTGGATTGAAGGTAAACTTTTTCCTCATTCCCCTTTCAGCTACGTGCTTATCAGACTTTCAGGGTTGGTTGGATAGGATTGCGGCAAGACCGGGTGTTCAAGCGGGCAATCAAGTTCCGTAAATAGGTTAACAATGTAAATGCAGCGAACAATACACCTGTTAAGCCCAGTAGGTTGTAGATATAAGAGCTGTTAATTCTGTCAGGTAACGGCTATAACAAGTGAAGAGAACGATAAAACTTACTGCACTCAAATAATTATTGAATAAAGTCTGGCCGCATCTGTAATTATCAAGTCCCTAGCGTGTTTTGTCAGCAACGTTATTGCGTACATGTGTACCTGCCGTTTCTGGGTCCCCGATAAGTTTCCGCCGGCTTGTCGACGTCGTCCCGATGTCCGATCGCCAATCCCGCCCTGTGCTCGCCGTGTCCTGCAACGATATGTACAGACAGTGTCAAAATACAGCCTCCTTCATCAGACCGAGCCTTCGTTCTCACCGGATGGTTCTCAATATACTGAACATTGGACCAACTGCTGACTGTGCGACGTCGTCCCAATGTCCGATCGCCAATCCCGCCCTGTGCTCGCCGTGTCCTGCAACGATATGTACAGACAGTGTCAAAATACAGCCTCCTTCATCAGACCGAGCCTTCGTTCTCACCGGATGGTTCTCAATATACTGAACATTGGACCAACTGCTGACTGTGCGACGTCGTCCCAATGTCCGATCGCCAATCCCATCCTGTGCTCGTCTTGTCCTGCACCGATGGCAAGCCTGTGTCCCATCTGTACTCAAAAGAGTCCAATCCAGTAATTTCAAAACAGTCGACATCATAGGTAGTGATCCCGTGTACATATGCATGAACATTGAATCTTGAATCTTGGATGTTATGCTATTTTTTCAAGTACTTATCCATGGGCAGTCCTTCTATCCATTGGTTGGACATACACTACATGACTGACTATGTTATCAAGCTAACAGATTCCATGAACTCACATATATGGGAGGAAGGTGGATGGACATACAGAATACCAGGTAATAGTAAGTCGAAGTCTACAAGTAAGACCCTTGGCTTCGGAAGTGATCAGACTTTAATCAGACTTTTAATCATTCTCTTGGTATTTTGTCTTGATATTCACACACGTTATAGATATACTTGAATATATGCCATCTCAGAAAACCCGGTGCTAAAGGTGCATCTCAACGGGTAGAATTGCTCGTCGAAGTGGACATTGATCTGCATCGGTTGGCCGGCGCCCAAGTAGCCGGTCTCGGACGCTGATCACATCGCAGTCGGCAGTTGGTCCAATGTTCAGTATATTGAGAACCATCCGGTGAGAACGAAGGCTCGGTCTGATGAAGGAGGCTGTATTTTGACACTGTCTGTACATATCGTTGCAGGACACGGCGAGCACAGGGCGGGATTGGCGATCGGACATCGGGACGACGTCGACAAGCCGGCGGAAACTTATCGGGGACCCAGAAACGGCAGGTACACATGTACGCAATAACGTTGCTGACAAAACACGCTAGGGACTTGATAATTACAGATGCGGCCAGACTTTATTCAATAATTATTTGAGTGCAGTAAGTTTTATCGTTCTCTTCACTTGTTATAGCCGTTACCTGACAGAATTAACAGCTCTTATATCTACAACCTACTGGGCTTAACAGGTGGAACAATAATGAAACCGAAGTGAACCTGTCAAACTTTTTGCTATGCGGCTTCTGATGGACTGACTCCTCATGCAAGTCGCGCGTAAAAATCGGGTTAATCCATTACACCAAAGTATCCTACATTCATTACAACCCAGAGATAAGAAAAAGTGACGATCATATGCCGTATTGTACATAGATAAGTGATTGAAAACGGAAATACAAGGGACCAGGGTCAATAGTGATTCAAAAACTTGCTAACCATTAGCTCGGAGCTCTGTGTCGTCCGTCTTCGACCTTTTCACATCGTGTTGATTAAACCCTATAGACAGGCCGGCCTTTCTTATCGACCTCTGCCCCAGTACGCGCGTCAACGTACCGCCGCCGGCGCGAGCGGCCGAGGAAGCCCCAGGAACTATTCCGGGATTTTGTCTTGTAATATCGCGACCGACCGAAACCGAAGAAGCGAGCGATACGCTCGCCAATGGTGGGTTGGTGGTGAGAGGAGTGATGGTGACTGCTGCCATGATGGCGACGGTGGTGACGATGCCCATGGCTACTGCTCGACTGTGCAACGGTGAATGTCAAGCTCCGTGTGTGAAGAGAGGACGTACTGGGACTGTTATCACCTGGGCTCCTGCGGTGGTGGGCATTACGGTTGTACCGTAACGATGACGCCTGCTGCTGGAGTGAGAGGGAATGTAGACGACGCTGTCGCCTCCGTAGGTAGTGGGGTAGGTGGTAGGGTAATAAGCAGCTGAAGGGGAATAGGTATGGCTGCGATGGGAGGGAGTGTAGACGACGGGCTGGGGTTGGTATGATGGTTGAGATGGGTAGTAGTAGCTCATGGTGGTCAAGAAGAAGAGATAGAACGGCCATTTTATCCTTACCGTAACTGTGGAGATCGCCATCAATTTCGTCATTAAATCAAATATTTTATTTCAAGAAGCTATACAGACACTGCTTCAAATATTTTACTTCTCCCACGTAATTCACTCCAAGTCCTGGAAATCACCATCGTCCAAGTCATGAGGCTACAATATCGTCAGTCTCAATGCTGTAACCATAATACAAAGACAGTACCTCTTTGGGTTCCTCGTCTTCTCCGTACTGCATCGTGTAGTCAATGTGGCTAACCACAGTCTCCAAAGAATCCGGAGACGTCAGGTCCAGGGGCAGGAATGAAACCAATGGATGGTCCTCTATCTACGCGCAAATCCCATTAGTTTCGCCAGCTGATTAGAATCGAAATGTATTCACCAGCTGAACGATAGCTTGATTCAACGAGTGAAATCGCGGGTTAGGTGCGCTGCGATCATCTCCTTGTGGAAATGCTAGCAGCATAGGATCTGGGTCAAGATACCTATCAAAGGGAATTAACGGAAGGAATTACGGAACACGGTTTGATATCCTACCGTGCAATATTTCTTCGCCCTCGTAGACCGTTTCGCGCCCCGCCGGATGGATCTTCCCGATTGGATGTAACCAAATCCATCTTGGACATGACGTTTATCCACGGGATCTCAAGGTTGACCATCGCTGACATGGCTGAGAGCACTCCACTGCAAAATAGGTCATCATCAGATCCGATACCTCTTTATGACGCACTCACCTGAAAAACTTGTACTTGTCTTCCATGAATTGGGATTCTATCAAGTAAACTGCACATGTTCTGATCCCCATCCTTCCAAGATTCTTGACCAGTGTGGGGAGGAACGGATGGTGGGTATATAGCTCGATTTGTCCTTGGGTCTATGGTCAGTATACTGCCAATGATACAGTGATTGAGAGCCTACCAGGGCAGTCGATAATAAGATAATCGTCGTCGAACCCTCCCAGCTCCTCCTCCAGCCAATCCATGTTCTGCAGGAGATATCTGTCTCAGAATGAGCGACCTATTAGAGAACAGCAGGTCCAAGTCACTCACTCACTCAAAGCAATAAACAAGACCACCATTAGGACCGTAACCCAGCTCGCTCATCACGTCCTCGAGGCTAATAAGATCCTTGATATCGATGGCAGGCTCGTACTCAAAACTTGTCGCCGCTGCCGCTGGATCCAGATTCACCAAATGCGCAGTCCGTCGCGACATGTTGAGGTGCGTCATGAAGGATCCAGAGAACGTCGACTTTCCTGCACCCGCAGGTCCCGTAACTAGCACTGCGTAACGCATTCCGGAAAACTGAGATGGACGTAACAATCAGAATTTTTTGGTGGCCAAATTTGGCAATGAACGCCTTGGCTTGATTCTACCACCATCTCTTCCGAAACGAGACGTTCCTGACCAGATTCAATTATGGCCGCGTACTTTTTTGCCTCTCCTATTGACGTGGATATCAGGCTGGATGGCGAAGAAACTAGGAAGCAGGTAGAGATCAAGGGAGAGAAGGACAAGATCATATCATGTCCTGTTTACTATGACGGTGACTCTGTTGGTGGCCAGGTTTGTCGTCACGTCATTTTTACCCTGCATATACTCAGTTTGTGCTAGGTAGCCATCCGGGTTCGTGACGGCAAGAAGATATCTCATGACGGCATCAAGGTCGAGTTCGTTGGCAGCATTGGTACGTTCATACGACGACGACAGGAGAGCAGCTCTTTACACTTATACAGAGCTTTTCTACGACCGCGGACACCACCAAGAGTTCCTCTCACTCTCCCAAGAACTCGCTGCACCGGGAGAAATGAGACAAGCGCAGACGTTCGACTTTAATTTCAAGAACGTGGAGAAGCAGTTTGAGAGCTACCAGGGTATCAATGTGAAACTGCGGTCCGTCTCCCTCCGTATGCACCTTGCATACCCAACGTTAACATACCCTCTCGTAGCTACTTCATTCGGGTGTCGATTTCACGGCGAATGGCGGACGTGACCAAAGAGCGAGACCTATGGGTCCATTCCTTCCGCATGCCGCCAGACAGCAATAACTCAATAAGGATGGAAGTCGGGATCGAGGACTGTCTACATATTGAGTTTGAGTATAATAAATCAAAGTGTGTCATCCCATTTCATTTTTCATTTCCGACTCATTTCATTGGGGACCGCAGATACCACCTCAAGGACGTTATTGTCGGGAAGATCTACTTCCTTCTTGTACGCATTAAGATCAAGCATATGGAACTCTCTATTATTCGACGAGAAACGACGGGCTCACCACCAAACCAGTACAACGAGAGCGAAACCATCACAAAGTATGAAATAATGGACGGAGCGCCTGTCCGAGGTACTGAGTCTCTTCACCCTCAAGCAAATCCACATTTCACCTATACATTTTCAGGAGAAACTATTCCTATAAGGTTATTCCTGGGCGGCTTTGAACTGACACCAACCTTCCGTGACGTGAACAAGAAGTTCAGCACACGCTACTATCTCAACCTCGTTCTCATCGACGAAGAAAATCGTCGATATTTCAAACAACAGGTAGGCATGCCGCGCTATTGCCGACGTGATTTTTCATCTCAACGTTTGGGCTGCAGGAAATCACTATTTTTAGGATACCGGATGTACGTGTCTTCGCTTGATTCAACCAACAATTTCTGATCAGTATTTTAACAGAACTAGTCTACTGTACTGTACCTCAATATTTTGTTATACATCTGTATTCATTCACCCTGGAATATTCGCTAGTGGTGATCCGACGGTAATCTACATCGTCTTTTCACACCTGCCGGTAAATTCAGGTGCATATACTTACACTGAGAACGAGAATTGATCACAATATTGCAAAGCTGGGCATTCTTTTACCTGTACCTATATTTCTCACTATTCTGTCAGGAAGCTTGCGATGTGCTGGTGAGAATAATGTATTACAGAAGACCATACAATGTCTGTACAAAAAATTTCTATGGTACTATCATAAAATTGCGAGACTTGAGGGAATATGAATCAATGCCAACATGAATGCAGAAGGAGAGATGAAGGTCAAAGAAGCAACATGGACAATACAAGAGAAGAAACGAATCAAGCTAAAGCACGGACACCTTCCTGCCAGTTCTTTTTCGAAATCAGACCGTCCGCTCTACACACAGGACAAGATACCTCGACATCCTCTCCTTCAACATTCTCATCGGCACCCCTCAAGGCAACGCGCTGGGCACTTACCAGACATGATGGATGGAAGGTGTGCTCACATACCACACTAACCTGCCCCGTTTCGGTGTCGTGGCGCTGAATATGCACTTGCTCCTCCGATACAGCTACAAAAGGATCTTCGTCTGATGGTCCGACCCCGCAACTCATATCGTAACACCGTAATCCTGCTTCACGCTCTTTTCTCTCTATGCGCTGTCGCAGTGTAGGACCTGGAGCAGGTGGGAGTGTCCATTTCTTCCTTTCGGTGGGCTGGCGGGGTTGATGGTGCGGGCCCGTACCGCCGCCGATAATAAATGGAGGAACTGTGCCCATCGTACCCATTGCACCCATTGGTAACCCTGCCCCTTGAAGGAATTGTGCAAAATGAGGAAGTCCAGTACCAGCATTGCCGTGCGCTCCAGTAGCAGTCGCTTGCGGTGGCGGTGGAGGTGTCGCACCGGCTTCGGCAGATGGGCCAGCAGGTGCACCGGTCGCAGCCCCGCGGAATCGCTGTGACATGAAAGGGAAGAGGGGTGGGAGCTGAGGTTGCTGCTGCTGATTAGCTTGTTCTGGCTGACCACCAGCTGGTTGTGCTTGTGCGTGCCGGTGTAATTGCGCAAGCGCCTCTGCGATAGTACGACCAGACCCTGCGGCAAAGTGCATGCCGCCATCTGGTCCGTGACCAGGACGATGGATGTGAATATGTGTTTCAGATTGGATTGAAGGAGCGTTGTTCTGTTGTGGGGGATTGGGTGCAGGTTGTGGACCGTGGTTATCAGGTGGCGGGGGTACGGGGATACCGTGCATGGCTTGGTCAAATTGATCTTCGAAGGTGCCAGCCAGACCGAATTCGCCGTGAAGATCGATATTATTCGGCAACTCACCCATTACTACTTCGTCTGCACCACCTTCTCCAGGAGCTGGCCCAAAGATCATATCGAACCCAATTGTAACAAACCCTTGGTCTTGACCATCCGAGCGCTGATCATTGTTCAAAGGAACACCTTGCTGTTGACCAGGCGCAGGAGCTGGTTGCGCAGCGGCATCGGGAAGGGGCGCATCGATAGGCTCAAGAGGGGGGAGATCATTATCGCTGGAAGGGGTTGCGCCTAATGTCGTTTATAAATAACAATCACGGCACATATATGACATACACTCACCTTGACTTGTGGCTACAACCGGTGTCGGGTTAGGCGGGGCGGGCCCTTGAGCTGGTGGATTAGTCCCTATTTGTTATACCAACATCAAAACGGAATTCTGACAAATAAGGTTACAAACATACCTGATGCCCTAGTATGACCTGACATGAATATGTTTACAAGGTCTGCAGCCGATATCTGAGGTAAAGGTCCCCCATTCCGAGGTGCATCTGTAGATGCATTCGGATTTGGGGCACCGGGCTGGTCTGGAATAGTTTCTAGAGTATTTCATTAATTACAATCAGTTCAAAGAGCCATAACATAAGACTAACCTGAAGGAGCGGTAGGAGTAGGCCCAGTACCAGCGCCAGCCGCAGCTGTGGGCTGCACCCCCATCAACGTATTGAAAAGTGCTTGCGTGAAGATTGAATTTCGAGGTATATTCAGTCCATGACCGCCAATACCGGCAGCTGGACCAGCACCTGCATTCACAGGTGGAGGCGGTACAGGGTCAGTTGCGGGAGTATTATTGGTGGTCGGGGTATCTGCATTTGCATCGACGGAAGGGGCCGTACCTTCATTACCAGTAGCTGCTGGCGCGGTCGGCGCATTAGCTGGGGCAGGGGCAGGCCTAGGAGTCCGCCGTCGTCTAACATATGTAAGATTCTCTGGGTCAACATTGAAACGACAAGTAGGACAAGTAGTCTGTCGCGGCCGTGAGAACCAAGGGATCAAGCAAGAGGCATGGAAGACATGGGCACAGGGTAAAGCGACAATTTTGGGATGAGAAGGCTGAGTCGATAAAGAAGCGGAGGTCTTTGACTCGGATGAGTCGTCGTGCATAAGGGTCTCTTCAGCAGTAGAAGATGAAGTCGCAGGAGAAGTTTCAGGCAGTGATTGCGTGGTATCTGAGGAAGAAGCATCTCCTTTGTTACTCTCCTCCTCTTTACCGAACTGGTTCCCATCGCCATCCAACAGACGGTCCCAACAGATGGCGCAACAGCTATCGCCGCCACTGCCACCCACTGCGTTATCGTCTGAGCCTCCCACGGCCCCAACCCTTTCAAGTCGTCGGACTAGGCCAATAGGTACCTCCTCCAAGCCATTTATAAGACGCTTGGCTCTCTCAGGATCTTCTTGCTCGTACTCGAGGCCACCCATCATCCCTCCAAAGCGTGCCAGCAATTCAGTAAATGCAGTACCGTCGCCGACATTGACAAATCCTGTCGGCGGGTTAAACATAGGCGGTGGCATATGCTGGTGCTGGTGTGGAGGCTGGCCAGGAGTGGGATTGGGAGGTGGATGAGCATGAATGTGAGGGTCAGCACTTAGATCAATAGTGATCCCAAGGAGACCCATCATTGGATGGCCAGTATGACCGTTCTGTGGCTGTCCAGCTGGGGGAGCTTGTGCGTTATTGGGTGGACCTCCTGCAACGTTAGAAGCATCAGGAGGTCCTGGAATACCCTGCATGAAATGCTGCCAGAAACGGAAAGTGTCGGGATTCGCGGCAGCACCTGGAGGAAGACCCGGACCACTTCGGAAAGGCAAATGGATCCGGGGAAGAGGCTGAGCTGGCTGGGGACCATTGGCTGCCACGGGAGTAGTATTATCAACGTGGACTCGCTGTGATGGATGCCTACGATCACGATCCTGGTCTTCGTCGGTTTCAACACGCGCGCGTCTAGTACTGCTACGTGAAGGTGAGGCAGCGGGAGTATTGGAGGTTGTGGTGGGTGGTGGTGGCGGCTGAAGGCTTGACTCCGATACCTGCCCATCACTGATGGCTTGCAGTTGGACTTCCAGCTCGTCGGCGTCCATACTGGTATCAGATTGAGAGAAATCCTCATCAGATTCCTCTGACTCTGAAATGTCGTTCAAAGGTGGCATGGAATCGTTATCGTCGTCTTGTGATGATGAAGGTGGGACGTCTACATCCATAGACTCCACATTCTGCACGGTAAGAGGCTGCGGTGCTGCGTCAATAACGGCGTCGTTGGCCGGAACTTCTGGCTGTGGTAATTGAGGACTGTCATGAGGCTCTTGACCCGGGACGAGAGAGCGAATGAAATTATGTAGTGTTTGCGAGACGTTATTTCCCGACATTGCTTGGACAGAGTCGAGCCGCCAGAGACAATTTCTTTGTCGTGGCAGAAGACAAGAAGGAGGTGGGACACTCGTCCAGGTGCGGTAATGGCTGAGAAAGGTCGAGAACCCAAAGGTCGGATTAGGAATCGTGACGCGACGCTTTGTGACACATGTATTACCAAACGGTACCCTAGTACCAAACGGGCAGGCAGATACCAAACCACCATCTCGTCCTTGGAGGCACCTAAGCGTATCCCAGACAACGGCAGCGATCTCTACATTGAACAGGAAATAATGAAAACATCCCAGAAGGCAGTGCGCCACCACATTGGTGAATTCGCCTGAAAGTTTCCGGCAGCTGCCACCGTCTAACGCTATACCGGACCGGTGCTGTTGTTCGATGTCATACTCCTACGTACAGCTGTATGAATACAACAAGACTAACACAAGAAAACCGAACAGCCTATATTGCTGCGATGACAAGGATACAGTACCATCGGCGATGGTAGTAGTGACGATGAAGATCATGATGAACAGCTGGAACATACAAGAGCGGTTTTGTGGAGCGACTTTGGAGAGATCAGCCAGTTGAATATATGCGTGCTTAAAAACAAGAAGATATCCAGATGTACGAATCCTGCACTGCATGTGCAACAGGATAAAAAAGCTTCCAATGGTTGTCGCCGCTCGTTTTCGTCTTCGCATTCGAGCTTGGGCCTCGGCTCGGCTCTCCTCTCCTGTGCCTTACTTCTCATCTTCGGCGATGGAAGAGTCATTGCCTCAGTCGACATAGGCCTGTAAACTGTACTAGATGGCGTGTATAATGTTTCTCAGATGTAGAATGGTGGAGAATATGATATTATTAACAATGTTAAATAAGGGTCATGTCAACGTTATCCGGTGATTTAATTTGATTATGCCTCGAAGATGTAATCGCACTAAGTATTAGTAGCCACCGGTGTTTTGGGGGGCAAAGTCCAGTGTGTAAATTCGTCATTAGCTGTTCATTGTAACGGCTTATTTTGAACGAAGCCGGAGCGCATAATACAACCTGGAATGACCATCAGCTTGTTGTGAGTTGAAGGTAGGGGTAAGTTAACTCACGCTATCCGGTAAATAACAATAATAGACACCATAATTCCGACCCAGGAACCGTACGATATTCCTCGGATATCTAGATATTCGAGGACATCATCGCCTGACACGGTGCATGAATCTGGTGTTGATGACGGGTATGCACAGCTACACGACCCATCGCTTGCTTTCTCACACTGGAACGTGAGACCGCGGAGATCCGACTAGGATCGAATATATATGCAATTAGTTCTGTTACACCCAGGCAGATAGACGCACTTACATTGGTAATCAATTCGAATGCATAGCGCTGGTAGTCCATATAATGAAAGCTGTAATACCAAAAGCGGGGGAGGGACCGTGCTTTAATACTGTTGAAATCAACTCAGCGCGACCTCGACATTAAATTCAAAAGGACTTGCAAGTATCCTCCAACGCTCATCCAGAAGCCATTCAAACTATTTGAAATTAGTACTCGGCATTTAAGCACAAAAGATCAAAACTTACAAGGAACCGATGGCAAGCGCTGCCACAAAGACAGGTAAGATAGCAGCAACAACGAGCACTTGGCTCTCTGCTGCTGTTATCGCGAGCAGAAGGAAAGCAAGAAACCTGAAAAAGGCGTTGGGACCTGGATGCAGTCCCTAGTAAAACCTCAGTTGGAACCGAGGGAATTGGATCAAGTCACGCACCACAGCCCAATAGCAGATCAAACTGAAAAATAGCGTGCAGAGGAAGAGGAACGGTATGTTCACTAATGGTGTTGGACAGCACAAATGGTAGTGTGCTGTACAGTCCGTTTTTTTGTCTCTCGATAATACACAGCTCGCTCTTCCAAAACTGTGAATAGGTATAAGCTAGGGTTTTGTCACGTAGGAATTTATTGCAGACTTACAAGAAGGGATACCTGCGACCGACATCTAGAAACATTTGCTGTTAGAAAGACACGCGCTCATATGGTCATACATCGCTCACAAATGCGAGGAAACGCCACACTGTAAAAGTGTACTGATAGTCGATCGTTGATCGTCGAATCTCTTAGACCCAACCGAATCCAAATAGTACTATGCACGTCCATGAATATGTAGAGCCATGCGCTGATCCAAGTATCACTCACGCAATCATCAAGCCCATCCCTATGAAACGGTGTCAAAGACAGCCTTATCTCGAAGATGGTTAAGCTCACCGATATACATCCCCAGTCGAACACCGTACGCCAATAAATTCCTTATATAATTTATCGTTGTCCTTTCCGACAGGACCATAGTATTCCAAAAAATCTTTGCGCCCCAGCCTGCTTCTCCCAACTTTTCTTCGTAGACATCCAAATCCTGGTCGAGCTGGGGAATGGCTTTAACATTCAGATTCAAGTTCTCGAGAGAGGCGTGTGAGTCGTTCAGGGTCGAAAGATAGAATACTCTCAAGGACGCAGCACTCCCACTGTCACTGTCGGAATCGGTCTGGAAATCTTCATTCAAAAAGTTCATCGCATGTTCTACAGGGGTTTTCTAATGGGATGATCGATAAGGTAGCTTGAAGGAGAAAATTGCAACTCACGAATCGCGGAACAGGCTTTCCCCAATGCTCAAAGAATCTTTCCAGATCATCTACCTTCCCAGAATAACATATTTTTCCCTGGGAAAGCATTATGAGGTCTGTGAACTGCCCTAGTGTCTCCAAAGATGGTTGGTGTATCGTCGCAATTACGAACATGCCTTCGGCCACAGCCAAGGTCCGTATTGCCGACATCACCTCACGGGCAGAGGTACTGTCAAGCTAATGGATGATATGTTGATCAATGTACGGGAGAATTCATAGAGATAACGTACACCGGAGGTCACTTCATCAAGGAACAAGATCTGTCTAGTACGCGTAGAGACAGTCAGCACAAGCACCTAGGACGTCTAATATGCTCGAGACTTACGGGAATGTCACCATTGCGCAGGCAGCTGTAACGCGGCGTTTTCTGGCCTAGTACAAGAAATCTTCTAGTCAACTAATATTTCGTTCTGACAAGGACAGTACTCACCACCTGATATACCCCGCGAAATGGGTGTTCCAATTATTTGATCGGCGCAAGACTGCAAGCCGAGCGTGGCGAGGACGCGGTTGACTCTACTCGCTACCGTCGTACGCGAGGAGTAGTGGTAGGCTAAGAAACGCCACACGATCAGTAACTGTAGCTTTAAGTTGCGAGCGAGAACGAATGGACTTACTGAAGCCGCAGAGCATAGGCCACTGTCTCGCGGACGGTGAGGACGCCTAGTAGTGCGTCTTCTTGCTCGACAAACGACGAGATGGCGTACATCGCCTTCGGAACCAATAAGTGACCATTCAATGAGACCTTGCGGGATAAGTGAGCCGTGCCGTATACTAATGATTGACAGGGAAGCTAACCGTCGCGGCGTCCATTGGCATCTTTCGAAACGCCATAAGGTCCAAGAGCGTACTTTTGCCTACAGTGTATAGCATTAGAATGTATTGGGTTAAGTTGAAATGCAGCGTACCAGCGCCTGAAGGTCCCTGTAGAGCGAGGTGAGCCCGCCATTATCCATTAACCGAGCACATTGCACACACCATGACCGCAAGCATCTGACCCGCCTTGACATGCACAGAGACAGTCGTCAACGAGGAGCCTTCCATTGGCAGCCTTGTAAGATAGATGGTTGAAGAAGAGCACCGAGCCAGAAGCATTTAGTACGGGAAGGTCGACATCCATGTTGGTGGGTGAGGATGGTGAGCGTCAAAGTGGAGGAAGGGGCGAGTATTTAAGTGAGCGCTCAAGATCATTTCCGAATTGAAAGGAATTGAAAGGGGCGGACAATACACTGACATAAGAACACCGGATCAGAGCCCAGCCCTTGATATGAATGCGACCTTGAAAAGGCTAAGATCGAACTGTCCAATAACACGCTATCACGGGACGCGACACCATAGATAGAGAACAAAAAACATGAAAATTTCTTCAAGGAAAACCCGGAGAGAGGGGCGGCTGACAGAGTGCTGACATCGGGGCTGTTCAGCGTACATGAAAATCCTGGAATTTGTCGGATTCTCACGGGACTAAAATGCATCACATGTGTTATAAGTCACGTGATTCACCGACACTCTCCCGCCCTCTGCAAAGGCTTTGTCAGCTCTCTGTCAGCATCTGGCGGGTGGGATCGATGTTTCTTTTCAGTCTTCCGCATCCGGATCCTAGATTAGAAAATTATGGACAATTATGAGCCGGAGGTCCAGCGACGGATTGTAGCCAACATATGGAAAACAACACGTTTCACCGATCAGTAGACATCGATGCATCAACGATGAAGTCAGATGGACGCAATTTCCAAGACTTGAAACGCCGGTGAAGATTGAATTGTTTGACTTGTTTGACGACGATAGAACACAGAGCATGAAGCGAGATAATGCGGGTGCGAGAGGATGCAAATGCAAACGGGAAAGCGAAAACAAATCTACACAAGCTCAGGAAAACCCTATCTCCTCGGCCCAAGAAGAACCACCATGGCCAACTGTCATCCCGAATACTTCCTCTTCGCCACCCATAGCCATCGAAGAAGACCAAGAAGAGTCTTGCGATTTGATTGCCTAGCAATGACGACTGTCAATGTTTGTTCGCTCCGAGGAGCAGAAAAGGCAGATTAAGGAACGTACCTTTAGCAAGAAATCTTTGCTTTTGCCGGTATCTAGGTCTAGGATACCGAGTTCCCGACACTCCTGCTGGGCCCGTAAAAGAACCCTGTCAACTTGTTCCTTGGTGAAGGATTGCGGCGGGTCTGAGAATGTCACTGTCTTATCCGACAGCGTAGCATATACATCGCCTTCCTCGATCTGTATCCCAGTCAACAAGAACGAACCATAGTAGAAGGGGGGGAAAATCTCACCATACTGAGCACCAAATCCCGAACTTCTTCCTCGTTCTTTATTCCCACCTGTCTCCCAATTTCTCCCAAACTCAGCGTGACATACGTCCGTGTGAGTTTCTTCAACGACCATCTCGGTGCCCTGGCCCATGCACGGCTCAAGAGGCCTGCATTCTTCTCCGTCTGGAAGAGCGTCCGGTCTTTTTCTATTATTGACCGCATTTTTTCCACATTGCTTGGATATGCCTCTACGAACGCGTGGTAGGGACTGTTCTTAAACGCTCTCAGGATCGCATTGTTCGTATACTTCGGCAGCGGTGATGTGCTCCCTTGACGGATCAGCTGGACAAGTTTCATCTTCTTCAACGCCTCAACCTGCAGGGCGCTGACTACCCCGGGAGCGGTAATGCACACTTCAAAGTAATCCTCTGATTCCGCCCAGCGACCAAGTGCAGCGAGGCAGATACCACCAAGATAGTGATATATGAGATTGTCAAGGTAGCTAATATCGGGTGTCAGACTGGTGGCGATGTCGGTGATGTGATGATTAAGGAGAAGCGGAAGAGCATGGGTGAAAGACTGAGTCTGCGCACAGACGAGCAAGAAGCGGGCATGTATGGTCGTCAAATGGGATGGTAATGGTGGGTAGCGCATTGCGAGAGAGCGAAGAGAACGCAATGACAGTCGCATATTCTGATAGTGGCTCGCCAGTCTCAGAATACCGGCAAACAGCATCGCGACTGAGCCACATATAAGTAACAGATAATCCGAGAGCACAGAAACGTACCTCTTTCAGGTGCATGTCGTATCTGCTCTGGATTGAAGACTTCACAGAAATGGTCAATGAGATTCCATGTCGGCGGTGTGGACATTGTCTGTAGTCGTGCAGATCTGTGACACCACTCAGCCTCGTCGCACCCTGCAGGATATCGGAGTAACGTACAGAATATACAGAATTCCAAGGCTGTTTTCTTTCGCATCTAACACGTCCAATGGGTCCTGACCCGAGCTCAATGTTCCCGATAGTATCAGATCCCGGGCATCCTTCGGGAGGCTATTCTTTATCGTCACATTGAGGGCCATGACATTATTCGAGGTTGTAATGTGGTGCAAGATGTTGTCCATCGAGGCAATCTCCGTCGAGGGAGCCATTTTGCGTAACAAGGGAAATGAAGGTGAAAGGAAGGAACGCAGGGCTGCCCCTAACCCTACAAACACGCGGCACCGCTTCCACTGACTCCGTCACTTGCCTGCCATCCAACTTGAACTTCAATGTCGCGACCGCCGTTGAACCCAGATCAGACAGCTGCAGGCATCGCTGTCGACCCTCACACTCTCGAGCGCGTCATCCCGGAATCACGACGACCAGATGGAACGTACGTCGTGCGCCACATCGAGCTACCATCAGCACTAAAAGACTGCCCTCCAGGATCCGTAAGCAGATAAAAATTCGTCCTGGGTTCACTCCTCAAGAAGACGTGCGTCGGTTCAGAGGCACTAAGCAGGCTCAGATGGATGCCAATGCACTGCCGAAGGGGCATATCGTCGGGTGGGCACCACCACCTTCAACTTCGAAATCTGGTGCAGGAGAGAAACCGTTGAGTAAGAGTGCGAAGAAGAATGCAAAGCGGAAGGAAAAGCGGGAAGAGAAGAAGAACGAGATTATCAAGGATAGCTGGGAGGACGATGATGAAGGAGAGACGCCAGTGAAGGAGACGGCAAAGACCACTACCAAGACTACAGCGACGACTTCGTCTACTTCAGAATCGCCCGGAGAGGCTGCAGCTGAGCCAGCACCGTCGACGAAATCTACATCTACGGATGCCCTCGCTTCGAAACTCGAACAACTCGAGGTCAAATGAATTGGTTACATTATAATAAGTGCATAACAGCTATAAGGTGTGAGGGGGATGGTACAGTGTAGATTATATGCTTCCACATTACATACTTCTTCTTGTCCAGGGTATAGATCTGCTATGTGACCCAGTCAATCTTCTCCAGCCCATCGCCCGTTTCATACACAGGATTGGGAGATCGTGGAGGGGGTATATGGACTTGTTGTCGTGATGAAGGAGCAGGCGGCGTTGGGGGTGGCTTGGGTCGAAGTTCCATAAACGTTAGTATGACCGCAACGAATCCGAACAGTGTTAGTACAGCGCGCCGTGTGTTATCCCATTTAACCTCTTCCACTACTGTTCGAAGGGTGCTGATTTCAACAATAAACTTGTTCAGCATCTCCTACGGCTAGAGTTTAGTCTTTGCGACAAAACGGGGAACGAAACCCCACCTCGACGGAAATGTCTTGCCGTTTGAACTGCTCCTTGACCTCATTCTTCCGACTATCAAGCTCCATCTGGATCCTGAACCGGTGTCAGCACCCTCCGGAAGGGAGAATGAAATGACAGACTCATGTTTGAGGAACCCAAGGTCTTCCTTCATCTTAACATCTAGTTTATCTACCTCTCTTCTCAGCACTGTACCGGATGTCTTCATTGCGGTTACGTCGTTCTTAGTGGTCATTGTGATCTCCGACCGGAGCTCGGAGAGGGCGGCACGGAAAAGGTACGCTTGCTATCATTCGCGTTTAGAAAGGCGATGCATCGCAAACAGCGACATACATTGTCCAAGTCTTAGCAGTCAAGCCCTCCCGTCTGACACGGCCTACGCGATCAACGAGTAAGGCGCGAGTTGCACGCATGAGACCTCGTGCTGTAGGCGTCGGAAATGTCTTCTCTAGGACCGTGAAGAACGCGTGTGTATGAAATGGTGGTTGGGAGTACACTGGACCCTTTGATTCAACTTTAGATGGCACGCTCGGTGATTCGACCTGAGAAAGTGCCGAATCCATGGTCGGTGTTGTCGTTGGAGGTGGAGGTGGTGGCGGTTGTGACTTTGATGAAGACAGGGAGTCCGATAACGAGTGTGGTAATTGAGCCGCTGGATCCTTCGGATGCGCTAGCGATATTGAACGGGCGCCATTTGGAATGGGCTGAGTTTCGACTTCACGGGCGACAAGAGGAATAATAGAAGTAGAAGGTGAAGGAAGGTGGTAGACTTCAGTAGAAAGCGAGCGACACAAACGCGGAAGTTGTCTAACGATCATCGTAGAGAGGAAGAGAGCGGAACAGCAGGAAACACGTGGATCTTGTATTTGGCTCTGTTATTTCCGGAAATCACTGGATTCGAACTCGTTTCTGATTCGTTTAGTTGAAATATTCAAGCCTATTCAAGCAACTAAAGTCTAAAGTGTAGCATATACATATGTACTGTAGTAAAAGGAACAGTCGGACAAGATGGATATAAGGTACACTATCCAAAACACAATATACAAGGCGATAGAGTAACCAGAAAGCGAAACAAATAATGATACCTATAAAAGATTTGGCAACCTGAGGCTTTTCATGACAACTTCAATCATTCATCTCGACGTCCTCGTCCACCAATAGCTCCCGTGCAAGCAAATCTTCTTGGTCTCGCTCCTTCTTCAACTTCTCTGCATCTTTCCACAGCTCAACCTGTCCAAGAACCTTCTCCACCTCAGCAACGATAGCTCGACGCGCATACACTTGCTGGGGATCATCTCCTGCACCTTCCCACAGGACAGCGAGATTGACCTCAATTTTCTGCGCGAGTTCACCCAGAGACAAAGCAAGACCATCACCCACAGCGGATGCAGCGCTTGCCAGCCTCTCCATGATCACATCCACGCCGTCTTCGAATAGGTCTTCCCTGGCTTCGGAGATGAAGTCATGGAAAGAAGCCTATATAAAACAAGTCAGCCTGTATGAAGACTTGCAAGGACTACATTGCACTGTACCTTTTGTCTCGCCACACTTCCCGTGCCTCGCTCTTCCATTGCGCGGTCGTACCCAGGAGTCAGTTCGCCCTGTACATGCGGTGCGAGACACCTTGAAATCTCCTTCTGTTCATTCGCCATGGACTCTGACACCACATCCATGCTCTTCTTCAGCGCAACCTTGGCTTCCTCCAAGCACAGTTCTCCCTGTATCTTTGTTCGATCCTTAAGACCAGGTGCCGCAGAATCTTCCACATCCATGAGAAGCCTCCGTATTGTCTGTAGAGTCGCCTTCTCGAATGACTCAAACAGATCCGTCTCGAAAAGCTTGCCCCACGAAGCTGCGATATTCTTTGTAAAGGGAGCGAGAAGTTCAACGTTGAGGTCTCGACGAAAGGACCCATGGCGACGAAGAGCTATGCTTTATGATCAGAGCTGTCTCGAGAGGGGCAAAGAATGGCTATTGCTCACTCGCACGGTAAGTACCCCAATGCATCGAAGCTGCAAATTCATCTGAAGTCATGACAGCCGCCGCCGATGCCTGGACAGCTCCGGTTCGGCATTTGTCTTCTAAACCTTCGCGGAACTTTTCCTTGAGGTTTTCAACATTGTCTTCAACGACTTTGGTGAAGTCCTATCAAACATTTATAATAACAAATCTTCAAATGGCAATGATGCGCCTCACCTTTACGAGTCTCGGCGTGATTCCTACAGCTTCGCCATAAGCGTCGACTTTAGGAGCCGTCTCCTTCATACTATACAGGCCGCCCCCTAGGATGGCAGCATAAGGATCATCGTCATCGAGCTGGAATCGATCATCCTGATCTAGGTCTACCTCTGTTGACTGCCATTTGGAGCGTAAAGCCTCTCGATCTGTAGCGGTCACACCACTGATACCATTCACGTACGTTTGAATGGACACGGAGAAAGTCTGGAGATGAGCAAGGAAATTTCGGGCGCTCCGCTCGCGAGAAGAGAGAGTCAAGGCGTGGCACCACTTCTGAAGTGCGGGAATACCAGTGTCATCAACATTAGAGAAGCATGTCGGTCCACCATCGCCCTCTACTTGTTCTGCACAAATAAAATGCAAGTTTAACAATAATACGAATTTGTGATGCACTAGACTCACTGGTCAACCTGACGTAGTCCCGGCTGGAACAAGTGAAGACAGGAAGATCGATGGCATCATAATCTACGAAACATGAGTGCACTGAACGATGTCTCAGATTTGTGAAGAGCACATACCCCGAATATTGACAGAGGGATTGAAATTGTCTGGATCACGTTCTTCAGCAGCAGCATCTGTGGAGGACATTGAGCGGATGACATTGCCGAAGGACAATGACTCACCATCGAGATCTTTAAGTCCAACACGGAAATCTTCCTTCAAGACATCACGAGAGAACTGGGGCAAGTCAGAGAGGGACTAGGGTAGAATTTGCAGCAAAGGTACCTCAGATCGTTTCAACGAACAAAACGCATTTTTCTCCTTCTGCAACTTCGCCAGAGTCTTTTTCAATGTCGCAAGTTCATCATTCGCCGCCTTTTTCTCTTTCTGAAGATCAGACTTGACAGTGCGCGCCTCTTTGATGCTAGCTTTCGTCTCCTTGATCTTGGCCTTTAAACTTTCTTCTGTCTCTTGGTCCTGGAGTTCATCGGCATCCTCGGAATTTGATGCATCGTTGTCCGAATCGTCGTCAGAATTCAAGTCGCTGTCACTGTCGGAGCCGCTATCGCTGTCAGTATCTGACGATTCGTCAGACTCAGAATTGTCGCTGTCGGAAGAGGAACCCTCGTCGTCTACACTTCGGCGTCGCTTTGGAGATCCCTTCTTACCACCTCGAACGTTTTTTCTCTTCTTGCCAGAGGCAACTTTTTGCTTGGAGGTTAAACGAGGGACGAAGATTTCACCGTTTTTGATAGCCTTCAGGTGTTTCTCGTATTCACCGGCATACTGACGAAGGTTTTTGATTGTAGCCTCAACCTCTACACCCGTATTTTCAAATAAGCACAGAACTGGACGAGTAAGAAGGGTACTGACCTTTAATCTGCTTTTCTGCAGTGCTTTTCTTCTTGGTCCAATCCCTTTGACTGCGCTTTGTTGTCATCAATCTTATCCTCGATAGCCACAAGATCGTCGTTGTCTTCCAAATGAAGCGCTCTGATGACTTCTGAACAAGAAATATCATCGCATTTGCTCGCTGCAGACTGTCATCAGACAGCGGCTAACGACAGTAGAAAGAGTAGCAAACCAATGAAGGTAATGGCATGGACATCATAGCTACGAAAAAGTTGAGCAGAGAAGGGGGACGCGGAGGGTCTGGCTTACTTTCCGTCTATCAAGGTGCACCGGTCCGTTCGTCAGTCAAACGGACATTGACTAAGTCAGATTACTTACCCACTATACAAGGCAAGAATGTCATTAAAATGTCGCTAGATTTAACGAACAGACTCACTCATCAGTTGCATCTTGAACGCATCACCCAGCAAGTCTAAATAAATATGATCAGGACCCCTTCAACTTCGGCTAAAACGGTAGAAAGTTTTACCTCGAGCTGTCTTGTCATCCACCGCTCTGGTAATCGGGGCCAAGATCCAAATACATGCGCAAGTTTTCATATAGTCTTTCGCTATATTGTTTCTCGCCGCATTGGCGTCAGCAACACCTTCACTAAGTCAAATAAAGTAAAAGAAAAAATGAAATTCACTTGCCTGGAAGATCCACCAAGACGGAGCCAGTCGACAAGGCCTTGGCGGCGCAACGAACATTCACCTGGCGAATAAGAGGCCAAAGAGCTGGTACGTCCTTGATATCCGATTCCTTGCCTGTTAGATTTCTTCTTGGTAGCCTTCTCTCCATTCTTCTTGCCGGCAGCAGCCTGAATCTTTTCCATGATAGTCTGGCCCTTCTTCTCTTCTTTCTCCACGTCCCGCTTGTCCTTCTTATTCTTCTTGTCTTTCTTGCCGCGACTCTGGTCCTTCGAATCAATGTACTTGGCGATTTCGGTGGCAAATACTTTGGAGTTCCTGGCAACTATGTTTTTGGTAGCTCCCAGTATGGCCTGCGATTTCTACGGGTTACCGAAATTAAGTGCGCTTCTCCATCAAGATTAAAGAACATACGGGGATCACGAGCGATAATTTCCTCGGGCGTCATTCTAACCAGAATCTCTTGAGAGATTGATGGGTAGACGGCATGTACCTTGACTCCGGGTAAGTAAGGTGTGGAAGCCAGTCAGTTGCAACTCCTACCTTTTGCCATGCAACGCCGGCATCACTTTTCAAGTCAGGTGCTACGTTTGATGGTTCCATCTTCATCGACAAGGTCTTGAAGAAGGACGGATAATTCTGCTTTCCATTCAGCTTCCGTTAGAAAGGACACGTCAGCATCAATAGTCGGTTTGTTGTGGTACGCAATTTCGGTCACAACGGCAGTACATGCTACGGGACCCAGGATCAGATTGAAAATTAATGACTGGAAGTGCTATGCCTACCCCGCATTCCACTGGTGGGAACAATATTGTCTGTACGGGAGAGATGTGAGGACAAGCGGTATATTTCCAGAATATATGCGTACCGTCCAGGATGGCATTGAGAATAGACGACTTGCCAGCTCCCGTAGCTAATGAGAAAAGTTAGTGTTCATGCATGGAAGGATGGCGAGGATGACCTGCCCCCGCATATGGCAATGAGAGTCTTGGGAGCAGTTTGTCCTCGGAGGCTAGAAGTGAGATAATAAGAGGGTATCACGATACAGAAAACGTCGCAACGCACTTCTCAAGCTCACTGATGCCAAACATCCTGTCGTAGTTTGCTACCCAGCTCTAATTTCTCTAACTTCTGCTGAATGCTCCTCACCATCCCCAAGCCTTCTTGGAGCGCGCCTTCCGGGCTATAGGGGATGTCACTCGCTGAATCGTAAACAGAATACAGTATCTCCGGCTTCTGAGTCTCAGGCAGCGAGGAAGATAAGCCGAATGGCGCGTCTTGACGCGTCTCTGGTTCAGCTTTGAGGGTGCCGGTGCTTGAAGGACGCGCTTTCTTGGACAGTAAACAGGAACAGGGAGACCGCGTTCGAGGAACTTTATATGTATATGTCGCGTCAGTGGTAGGTAATACGGAGGGTGAAAAAAAAAAGGAGCACGTACAACTCGTGCAACATCATCGGCAGGACCTGGTTCTGGTTTGACACCATTTGATACTATGGAGGGAGGATAGGTGTTGATAGAAGATACCAAAGGATTGGGCATCGTAAACTCTTGAGGCTCGGGCTTAATAACCACAGCCTTGATGGGGAAAAATCAGGAACAGAACAGAGAGACGCGACGCGACGTACATTGGTCCTCAGAGACATGCTCTGATTTTCTTTAGAGCTCATTGGCGTCAGCGTGTTACCAACGATAAAAAGACGCGATGAAAAAAAAAACGAAGTGATGGTGACGAAAAGAGAAGAGCAGACGCGAAATGGCCTTTAAATGAGCAATGCCACAAATATGTGCATATAACGCGTCAAACTCATGACGTAATCTGTGGCGCTCGTTTACCCACCATCCGTATCGCCAACCTAGAAAAAGGAGAGAACGCTCACCTGGATGAGGCAAGAAAATAATGTTGCAGGTGGTGGTAGAAAAGAAGGATGCTTAGACAATCTCACGCTCATTTCGCGTTTCCGTCATGTGGTGTGAAAATAAGTCGGAGCCGCTATCACTGACTCAGACGAGTAATCGGAGACACTCCGTCCTTTACTATATTTATACCACATTGGTATTACAATCTCTGGGGTAACCAGTGGTCACGCAATGTTTTGGCTACTTGCGCCTCTGCAGACGCTGTCGGACCGGGCCGCTCAAACTCTCGGGAAAATGCCTCTGAAAAACCACACAACAGCTCTCGACCCCCAAGAAAATTGTGCAGGCCCCCTAGAGAATCATCGCCTGCACCATCTATAGAAGTTTCTGCAGATGCCATAAGCTCAGGCGAAGCAAAAGCTAAACTTTCGTCCATCTGCCCACTTTCGTTCCCATTGCATGCATTATCGACTGATGGGAAATCGGAAACGAAACTGTCCAGACAGCCATCGTCGGAAATGTCGTAAGTTTCGCATAAGTCAGGCGCATGCTGACCGTCGCCACCAACTTGAAAGACAGAGAACATTTCTTCGTCACGCCCATCATCGTAATAATTCTCGTCGTCTGCATAATCGTAGGATTCCGTATGGTAATGATTTGGGCCAACATAACCTGGAGTGACAGAGGAGATCATGAAGGCATCGTTCATTTCAAAACTCTCGTCTTCGATCTGGAAGCCTGCATCGCCACGAAATTGTCGGTAGTCCAAGTCCGTTGCGTATCCACCAAGATCAAGAACATTGCTTGCATCATGGAATCGGTAGTGAACGGGACATTCCATTGAATCGTTCCACGAATCGCCTTCCAAGTAATGTTCGTCGCATTCGTACACGTCCACGGTCAGATTACCTTGCTCCTGATTCTCATCTAGGATTTCAAAAGTGACATGGCGCTTGAGTACAGGAGAAACATGATACTGGTGAAGGTTCACGTGTCGAGGTGCACTGTCAATGACGTCGCCTAAGAATTGAGCACCCGACGACAACGGATTGAAGGTCGGATCCTTGTACAAATGCATTGACCGTTGAGTTTTCCACAGGCTCTACATTGATTTTGGATGATGCGCTTGAAACGATAGGAGCGGATGCAGAAGGAAAGTATTTCGAGGGTACACAGACAGCAGGCAGAGCCGCAGGATGGATATGGCATCCTTGTTGTGACGCTGACTGAGAGGGCCCAAGGAGGGGCTCGAAATATGGTCCACTTGAGCAAGAGGCGACTTCGAAACAGACATCGCTGGAGAGGAGGCATAGGGTTGATTATCCTTGACTTTACTACTATCTGAAGCCCAATGAAGGCGGCGCGCGTCCAATACGACTGATACCCTCGCAGGGCTACTAGCAGGAGAAGGAGGCTTGGATGGAAGTACGAAGTCCGACTTTTCAATGTCCCAAATCTCAGATTCCAGGAGTTTCTTCTTGGGAGAGAAATTCAGAAAAGGGAGTTCAACATCGGAATCTTCTTCTGGAGCAGAGAGCTCCTCGATCCCAGATGTTATACCCTTGTTTTGACGACGTGTCGCGTGCTTTTGATCCTTTTTTTGATTTCGATGCTTCTCTCTTGGAGTAGACTTGAGGCTGTGAGTATCATCAGTGTCCATTATTGGATGGCGACGGCGAAGGGCATCTGGCGGAATGCATAGGCTTGGAGTTTGTCGGACGGTTCAAGAAGAGCTCTTCCGAGAATTGAATGGCTGCGAAATATTTTAACAGGGATAGTATTTATGGAGATGCCTGTGCCTACCTCTGATATCCGCTCGCTTGGCGGAGATTTTGGTCTTTTCTGATGCCTTTCCCCGACCAAAGACACCAAGCATAGGTGGCAGTTGGGTCTGCAATCGGTCAAGGACCACAAAAAATGATAGCACGAATTTACGACTCACGGTCAGACGATTCTTTCCAATATTCGTCGCGGAAAACCCATGCATAAGTGCAAGGCCTGGAGGCATTTTATTCTTATCCTGTTGCTGTTTGCCCTTCTTACACCTAGTTGTATCCTTATCGGAGGTCTCCGAACGAGCGTCATTTTCTTTGCTTGTGAATAATTGCCTGTTTGGCTTGTCTTCGTTCACGGCGTTCTTTTAAGCCTGTCACTAGCATAAGTTGTAAAGAGATATGGTCAATGCAGCATACTGACGAGCTTGATGTTCGGTGTCCGAGACCTCATCGGCTTTCCGCTTCTTGGATGATGAGCTAGGGTCCCGCTTCTTGAAAGACTCGGGCTTTGGTTGGGATTTCAATGGTTTCTTGTGTTTATCGATAATGTTGGTTACTGCAGGAGACTTTCGTGATTTCTGTTGAGGGAATTCGAGGTGAGATTTCGGCGGTTGTGGTACGCGCGGTTTCAAAACGGGCGTGTCGAAGCCGCCAAGCTCCTTCTGAGGAAGGGGCGCCTGCGAAGAATGAGAGGAAGCAGCGTGATCTTGGCTGGCGTACGCTTTGAGATGCGATTTCTGATCTCTGATGTATGAAGAGATAAAGAGTGTCTTGTTTATCTTTGGTAAACGAGAAAGCTGGCTAGCGGCTAGTTTATTGTCTTGGACTTTGGACATGGTGGAACGAAGCGAAGAAGTAGTAGTACCAGAAAGGCACGTGAGCAACGCGGTCACGATGTTTCAACCTCCATATGTCAAGTTCTCCCAAGGGCAGTATCTTTAATAAAGCCTTTTCATCTTTGATTTCAGGGTGGCTTCCTCTGACCCTTCGTCACTCCACGCAGTCTCTTCTCCCTCTCCCCAAGCTCCAGACGAAGGGTATGCTTCACCATATTTAACCACCCTCATCAGCTCGCCCGGGGGTACAGTCTTGGCGATGTCTAGTATATGTGGGTGTCCGCCCTCGAGGATGCCTACACGCTTCATAGACAGAAGCTGGGAAGGCGTGAGAACGATATAAGTGACAAAAAGACAATATGCTCACATTATGGGCTGCATGCGAATGGTCATACACGCCGCCAAAAAAGGCGGTAGTTGCATCTTTACCAATGAATCTTGCTAGCAAAGATTTCCCACCTGGGTGGTCGTCTAAGAAACCAGACATGTCGTGAATGAAGCCCGACACGAGGACGAGAGGCCGTCTCGTTGCTTGTTTTTGAACTGCAAGAATAAATGTTTAGGTCTAATTCAGACTTAATTCAAGATATGATGACCTACACATTTCATATGAGACGACGGGTAACCGGTTCACATTCCTGCACCACTCAATGTTTTCTTGCTTCTCCCGAAGGCGTTTCATCTCCATTAAGAGCTCGCCTTTACGAATCTCGTTTGATGGGAAGGTCTGTGAGATGCATAAGAAGGATTAATACACGCAATTAGAGGCATTATCAAGACCTTGAGTTGCCAAGCAAGTCCAATTTGTCCCATGAGCCAGATGAACCACTTGGTAGGATCATATTGGTACCACTTGATTGCATTGCGATAATCCGTTGGGAACTGCATATCGTGTTTAATGATGACTCAAATGACAAAGAACTGACAAAACACACCTGATGATGGAAATTGTGATATCCCTCACCAACAGTCACAATGGCTGTAAGGACGTGATTTTTCGGCGTCCGCTTGTCATCAAATGGCGTTTCACCGATCCAGTGAGCGAGAGAGTTCACGCAGAAGGTAGACTGCAAAGACCGAGTCAGAACAACATGAAACGACGAAAGGAGAAATACGTACGTGATGGACGACCAACAACCTGATTATCCCAGCATATACCAATCCACCCCTCGCGTCTCCCCATCCAAAATGAGCCACCGCCGTTGGTACGCCAAAAGCCATCACGAATAGTAGCCAAACATAATTCTGGTGTTGCCATCTCAGCACTGGGCTCTTCCCAAGATCACTGACATCAGCTTTCCCAATCTTCCTCCGTGGTTTCACCAACATCCAGCCAACGTGGCTGTAGAAGAACCCGCGCAGAGCATTGTAGGGATCCAGGTCGGTATCGGTAAAGCGATGATGTGCCCGATGACCCCGACTCCACCATTTGACCGAGCCCTGTACAGCACCGCAGCCTCCGAGAGCGAGGAAAATTTGCAAGGGGACTGCTGCGTTGTAGGAGCGATGTGCCCAGAGTCTATGATATCCGGCGGTGATACTCAAACCCGTGTAAAAATAGTAGGCGAAAGCGAGGAGAAACGTCGGAAGACAAAGAGTTGTCGTCAGTGCGCCGTAGACAGAGGCAACCGGAATGAGAGTGAGCGCGAAAAAAGATATCCATTGCACTTCGCGGAGAAGATCAGAAAAGCTTGTTATGGGGGGCAGGGGTTTGGTCGTGAGCAGAGTATGTTGTACATAATTCTCTGGAACGAAGTATGGATCATCGTTGGGGCCACTGGCTGCTATCCTGGAAAGGGAAGCCTTTGCAGCCATGATTTTGGGGGAACGGTCTGCGGAGGGGATGAAAAATTGGGTACCATTTTATCAGTAGAAACTTTGGGGATCAGCTTCCCCGCATAAAATGAAAATGGCGTGTTCTAAAAGCTGTACTATGGCTGGACATCTATGGAACATTATCGGGCGCTCCAGGCTTACGGACGAGAACTTGGTCGTATCATGTGACCGCTGCATTTCCCTTCATATTCCTGGTCCAATCAAGTACTAACTTCAACTTCTAAGAAGTGTAGACAAAATACATGTTCCTGTACCTGCCGTCAGCATTCCACCCAATGAGGACAACAGAAAAAGAAAACGCACTGTTTGTCAGTCAAGTCCATGAAGGCATGCCTTTCTCGCTCTCTCTGGACATCTTCATCCGTCCACCCCTTCCGGGCCTTCTCCGCAGCAATGAGTACTTGCTTCTTCTTGTTTAGACCGAAATGAATCCATCTCAACCAAAAGCATACGAAGATTTGGACTGTAAGAAGCACCATAATGGCGATCTTCCCGGGAATGTACGCAGGGGCGTCTTTATCTTGGAATATTTCGGTGCCGATTATATTTCCGAGACTAAAGGACGCTAGAGTCATGGCATTGATGGTACTCTTCTTGGTGTGGCCGCTAGTGTTGCTGGCATTGTACGCGTACACGGTCGACAAGGAGCTCCCAAATGTTCCGATGAGATATGTGGCTAATCGGTTATAAGCTTTAGGCGACTTCTTGAAACCATGATGAATCGAAGCTCACCAAACAGCAGAGCACCTTTTTCCCCGGACCCGTTTAATCCGATCAGCATGGCTAAATTTTCTCTCGTTATAGTCCGTGCTAATAACTAATGCCAGCAGACATACCAGCACCGACAATGGTGGGAATGAGGCAAAGAACTATAGGCATCATTCTTTCCCCCTGTATCCGTAAGTAAAAATGACTGCACCGTATGCGTGAAAATATACCTTTTTGTCCGACCACCATCCACAAAGCAACGTGGTGAGGGCGGAAACGGCACCACCGGGAGTGGAGAGTATCAACGTTTGCTTAGACCTTGAAGACCGTGAATCAATCAAAAAGAAAGTGACAAGAGCTGCACACACGTGTAGCCAAAGCCTTTGACGATCTTATTGCTAACTATTCAAAATGATCAGTGAAAGATAAACATGCCGAGACGTGTCCTTCTCACAGTTGCTCAGACCGCCATTCGGAATGCTTGCTATATCATTCATTGAGTTCTGAAGTAGATGAAAACCGCGAAATACATACTCAACAGGGTCGTCAGCACAATAAGCCACGTCCGGATATCAGTGAATGCCTCAATTACTTGATCCTTCTTCAGTTTTTTGTTTTCTGTACCACCCTGATCGTCTCTTACTCTCTCTAGACACGCGACTCGTTCCTCCTCTGTTAGAAAATGAGCATGTACAGGTGAATCCGGAAGCCATATCAGAACACAGAGGCCGACTATGATGGCAAGACCTCCTAGTAGAATGTAGATGATCTTGTAGGGGGCCAGCAAATGACCGTCGTAGAAAGAGACCCCCTATAGAAGTATATCAATACCGCGGCAAGACGACAGAATTCTGTGACTCGCATAAGCCACAAATCCACCAAAAACTTGCGTCAGTCCATTCTAGATGTCGATTAATGCTCGAAATCGACTGCATCCTGCGAAAACGAATGCGAAATTTTACCATAAAGTAAAACCAGGATATACGAGTAGCCTGGGAAAGTATAAGACAGATGGCTGGAACGATACCATGCTGACCCACTTGCTCATCTTTCTTGTAGAACATTGAAATGACAAGTATGAGGATCGGCGCAACACAGCTTTCACACATTCCTATCAACTTGTCAACAAGTTTTTTTTCACTCAAGAAAAACTACTACGAACCAAGAATGATTCGAAGAACAAAGAACGCCGGAAAAGATGTGCCAACAGCATGGAGCATCAGGACAGCGCCCCATACAACAATATTGACGCCTGAAATTAATATTACGCACCACTACAAGGGGCAAATACCAAAGTCGTTTACCGAGGTACTTGGCGGCCCGCAATTTCTGCGAAATGTAAACGGTCGGAAATTCCCAGAAAAGAAAACCTATTATGGAGTTTCTTTCAATAGAACGAACATCAAATCGTCGTAGGAGTGTCGTACCAAGGTAAAAGCCCATGGACACGAGGTTGTAAGGCTGGGCAGACATAAGCGCTGATCTGAGGATATACATGATAACGTAGGCAAACCTGTCCTGTAATCGGTAGACCCATTATACTACAAAGCTTAGCATGAGACATACAAGACAGGTTAAGAACAGACCTAGCATAATTCAACGAAGTCTTGTCCCTGAAGGCCGTTTGGCGAACGATGCAACCAACAGCAGAGAAAGAACGTACAAAAACTGCGTAAAATACACCGCCGCGCAAAGTGGAGGAATGAGCTTATCCTGAATTAGATTGATTGTGAGTGAAAAAGATCTCAGAGATGTTCGAGCAGATATACGAACCAGTTTCCTTCTCAACTTGAGGTTATACTCGTCGCTGAAACTTGCAGCACGCTCTGTCCCAACAATCTTGAGAGCTTCATCTCCACGAGAAGCATCGATAGAGCTGAGGGTAGTCTTTTCATCGACCGTAACACTTTCTAGCGTCTTCTCGTTCTTGTCAAGGCTCATTGTCAGAGAGATAGAATGTTAGACCAGCACCTTATCATTTCCGGCTCCATATCTGGGACGAGTTCAGGGAGCTATAGACACATGGCATGGGTTATTCTTTAGTGCGCTGAGACGATAATCCTATAAAAGTCGCGTCATCAAAGGAAAACGTACCAGATGACTTGGCGTCCTTATCATATATTGACCCGTGTGGTATTTCATTCCTCATTTTATTGGCAGCAAGCAGTAGCGGAATATATAGACGATCTAAAATTACAGTTTTTGTATAACAATGGCCGAAGCGGCACCGCCCTAATCAAAGAAGGATAAGTAAGCGGACGAGATAAAGCGATAGTGGAAGGACGCACCCCGTTACAGACACCCGCGGCACCATATTCTCCGGACTTCAAAGCGTGAACAAGGGAAACAATAATTCTCGAGCCTGAGCTACCGATTGCATGGCCGAGGGCGACTGCACCACTGTAAAGTACGTGAGATACAATTCCACCAAAAGAGGGTGAACTTACCCGTTGACGTTGATCTTGGAGGGATCGATGCCGAGGACCTTTTCTGCGATACGAACGACAACAGAGAAGGCTTCGTTGATTTCGAAGAGCGATATGTCCTTCACGGTCAGGTTGGCCTTCTCAAGAGCCTTGGGAAGAGCAACCGTTGGTGCGATAGGGAAATCGATGGGGTCGACACCGGCATCGGCATATGCTATTATGAAATGGAGATCAGGGTCAATAGCTTGAATTGCGGGGGACCTATAATCAGACGTACAGATGATTTTGGCGAGAGGCTGGAGACCTAGTTCCTTGGCCTTTTCTGCTGACATGAGAATGAGAGCCGATGCACCGTCGTTAAGCGGTGATGAGTTGGCGGCGGTGATGCTGCCACCCTGCTTGAAGGCAGACTTGAGGGATGGGACCTTTTCGTAGATGACACGCTTATACTCCTCGTCTTCCCTCACAATCGTGTCGCCCTTCTTGCCCTTCACGGTGAGCGGCACAATTTCGGCGTCAAAGGCACCTTCCTTCCATGCACGCGTCGCACGCTGGTAGGATTCGATGGCATGCTGATCCTGGGACTCGCGTGAGATGTCGAGCTTCACGGCAGCCGATTCACCACAGTTTCCCATGGCCTGGTTGTTGAAGACATCCCAGAGACCATCGAGTTCCAATGAGTCGATAGCAGTGTATTTACCGAAAGCAGGGTTGTGACGGGGATGGAGGAAACTGGGTGTATGTTAGTTGACAGTAGTTCGAACAGAGGAAGTACGGGTGCTTACGGCGCGTTGCTCATGCTTTCCATTCCGCCTGCAGCCACGATACTCCTGTCACCGATCATGATGCTCTGTGCAGCGAGAATGACAGACTTCATTCCGCTAGCACAGACCTTGTTGATGGTGGTCGCGTCAGAGCTCTTGCTGAGACCGGCGTTGAGTGCGGCCTGACGCGCAGGGGACTGACCGACACCAGCCTGGACGACATTGCCAAAGTAGACCTCCTCAACGAGGGCAGGGTCGATGTTCTTGGATGCAAGCGCGTGTTTGAGGGCCTCAGCACCGAGCTGGGGAGCAGTGAAGGTCTTGAGAGAGCCGTTGATGGAGCCGGTAGGGGTGCGAGCGGCAGCGACGATGACAGCTTCGATGGTCTGTTGGAAAGTGAGCGTGGACGTCGAGCTCGACGACGAAGGGACGTACCATTGAGCGAGAGTAGGAAGGGACGGTATGGAAGAAAGAACGGGAAGCAGCGATGGATGTCCTAAGCATTCTGGCTTTTATTATTTGTACTATCTCGGTGATCTGCTAATCGTACGATCATATGTTTCAGTATCAGATACAACATCTCCGTACCTTGGATCGTACGATACTCCCGTAATGAGCGCAGTTCAGCGTACAGTTTGCACAGAAAATCGGAGGTACAAGTAAGCGGGGTAGCAGACGGTCACGAACGGAACACCAGCCATGTAGGCATTTAGTGGACCCGGTAAGCTAAGCCTCCATTTGGTATTTCTGGCTCATCTGTGATCCATGCCTACATTATCTTTTTTTCATTCTTGTTTCACTGAGACAAATCTACAACACTACCGACGACCATGATCCACATTTCTATCCAGCGAACAAGCCGTCCTTCCGTCGTCAATTCAGCTTTGCCTAGCTCCGTCATCAGCTCATCGACTGCACGGGCGCTCTCGCAGGGATGGAAGTACCAGCTGGGGGTACCCAGTGTTGGATGATCTCCTTGTGACAAGAGGGGAAACATTTGATCAGGAGTGCTTAGCGCAAATGTCGTACGCTCGGCGGTATCAAATACAGAAGGTCGGAACAGTGATGTATTCATAATATCCGCAAGTCCCAGTGGACTACCATCTGTCGGCGATTCAGCTATGCGATAGAACTGCAACGAATTACATACTGCAATCATGCATGGTAAAGTAGAATGCAGGAACTTGAAATGTTGCGGAATAAACGATATACTGCTGGCATATCAGCGTCACATCAGGTATGGCAACAGCCGTCGATTCATCTTGCTGTTCTTCGTATTCCTCATTGTAAATTTCATCATTGTCTGAATACACAGATGTGAGACGGCGAGTGTGCATTGTCCGTCGAGACAGGTATCCAAGTCCATTTATCGACTAGCAATACAAGAATGAAACAGAGTTGCTAGCCCAGAGAAAACAAACGCACGGCATGCTCATTCCAAGACCAGCCTTTCAACGGCGTCGTTGCTGGCGAGGAAACTGTATGGACATATTTCTCAGCGAGAACGCGACACGCCAAGTCAAATTGTGGACGAGTGAACATGTGACATGTGACATATGTGACCATCACAGCTATACAGTTATGTAGATTAAGGTTTGAGCCACACAAGCAGTGCCAGGTCAACACAGCCAAATTATTAGCCTTCCTCCTCAAAACTCAGCCCGTCCAAGTGCCGGCTTCCACTCGTTCAGCGGTTCCCTACACGCCGTTGACGGTTCTAATTATCCACTATGGCTGTCGGAAAGGTACTGGCACTTGCTGTGAACTTCTGCCTCGCGTATACTGACCGCCGTTCCAGAACAAGCGCCTCTCGAAGGGTAAGAAGGGTATTAAGAAAAAGGTCGTTGACCCTTTCTCTCGCAAGGGTGCGTTGCTATGTCCTAGGACGCTCCGCATATATTGACAGTGTTGCAGAGTGGTATGATATCAAGGCGCCTTCTATCTTTGAAGTTCGCAACGTTGGCAAAACTCTCGTCAACCGGTCGCAGGGCCTAAGTGCGTTCCGTATCCACTCAGTAAACGTTAGGAAACCTGACACTCATTTTAGAAAATGCCAACGACTCTCTTAAGGGCCGTATCATTGAGGTGTCGTTGGGTGATCTTAACAAGGATGAGGAGCAGTCCTTCCGCAAAATGCGTCTGCGAATTGATGAGGTCCAGGGCAAGAACTGCCTGACAAATTTCCACGGCATGGACTTCACATCCGACAAACTCCGTTCCCTTGTCCGCAAGTGGCAGACCCTCATCGAAGCCCACGTCGACGTCAAGACGACTGACGGCTACCTCCTCCGACTTTTCGCCATCGGCTTCACCAAGCGACGCCCATCGCAGGTGAAGAAGACCACATACGCTCAGTCGAGTCAAATACGAGAAATCCGGAAAAAGATGTTCGAGATCATGACGCGCGAGTCAGTCAACTGCGACTTGAAGGACTTGGTGCAAAAGTTCATCCCGGAGGCGATTGGGCGTGAGATTGAGAAGGCGTCGAGAAGCATTTACCCGCTTCAGAACGTATACGTGCGCAAGGCGAAAATCTTGAAGGCACCCAAGTTCGATGTTAACAAGCTGATGGAGCTCCACGGCGAGTCAACGGATGTGAGTATGCCTACTCTTTTGTTGGACCAGTTTCTAATTTATTTTACAGGAGACTGGTACGCGCATTGCGAAAGACTTCAAGGAGCCGGAGATTTTGGAGTCGGTGTAACGTACATAGTGCTTATTGTTTTCTATGCTCTTTCTATGGCATTATATATGAGCACGCACCATGATCATGAACACGCATTACATCTGACATTGAATCAAATATAAACTGCAAGGGATTGAAATATCTGCAAACTTGTTGACCGAGTTGATGATGTTCTGGCCGTTCCTTGACTCTCAACCGTGATGGCAGACATCGACTTGATCAAGAGTCGCCTCACATCTCATCCAGACTTCCCAAAGAAGGTGACAAGTTTCGTTATTTTCATGCTATTTTACCGACAGAAACGTAGGGAATCGTTTTTCTGGATATCTTCCCCATTCTACGAGACCCGTTGGCATTTGAGACGCTCATCACGCACCTCATACACCACATCACGTCGACGACACTACCCAAGTCCCCCACAGGCAAGATCGACGTCGTCGTGGGCCTCGATGCGCGTGGTTTCCTCCTCGGTCCAATCATCGCGCTCAGGCTAGGCGCCGCTTTCGCTCCTGTACGAAAAAAGGGAAAACTTCCGGGCCAGTGCGTTTCTGCTACCTACGAGAAAGGAATATGGCACTGTGCGTGTCACATTTTGTTGAGAAAAAAATTAGTTTGTGGGACTGATAGATCCTGTAGGATTCTTTCGAGATGCAAGCAGACTCTGTCAAGCCTGGTCAGACGGTGATTGTAGTGGATGATTTGATTGCTACAGGTCCAGTTCCTCCACATATTGCTCCTGGGACCCACTGATCGCGTTCTACAGGCGGATCTGCCAGAGCAGCGGGCCAGCTGATCTCTGACCTTGGTGGAAAAACCATCGAGTATCTGTTCATCATAGAGTTGCTGTTCCTAAAGGCAGCATCCACGCTAGACGCACCCATTTATTCCATTGTTCAATCTGACGACTAGAATTTATCATTATAGACCTTGTAGACTTCTGTTGGTCCTTTTATATGATAGACGCCGCTGCCCATCAATAACGTCGAGAAGCTATGGACGTCCCTTGAAATGACGCTAGTGAGAATTATACCGGGCCGTTTAACAACAGCTATTCTTTGGGTTTTTATACATACTCGACTCGACTCGGGGCCGTGGTTCTCTTCGGATAAACAACGTGGAAGAAAACACAACGTCCTCTCTTCGTCCTCTTTTGGCATCGCACGGATGGCTCAACCAAATAAACCTCGGGATGAAATAGATGAACGATAGTGATAATGTTATCAAACCAACAATCTTGTGTTGAGTAGCGGATGTCCATTGAGATACAATATCCGATTAGACGGCACCCCCTGCTCCTCCACCTCCTGTACCTCCTCAACACTCTCCGTATACCTCGAAGGATCCAGGGCAACCATAACTCTCCCTATACCCCTACTCTCAGCCATATCCATCATCTCATCGATGAGGTTACCTGCTTGGCGAGGCAAAACTGCGATCACCACGTCGTCTATGTCTCCGGCGGCTAACAGCTCGTCGGCATTCGCAGTGGGATTTAAAGCCACGTCTTCATCACTAACAACAAGGACACCTGCTGCTCCTGCTGATCGCGCCATGAGTAGTTTTTGAAGGAAGGTACAATCGCCTCGGTAGGTCAATAACACGCTATCCTTATAAGATGATTTGTAAGGGGAGCATCCTAGAAGATTGTCGTCCACACGGTATATAGGTAATCCATCGGGATCTGCGAAACGTAGGGGCGTTTGTTCGTAATGAGCTGCCAGTGATAGATCACCACCGAAAAAACTAGTCCATGCGGTAAGGTATGTTTCGTGGTTATCGGAAAGGTCTTGGATGTCGACCAAGCGTAACATCGGGTCGACACCTTCGATATGGAATCGAAGGAGTACGTCTGGGTCCCTCTCCTTCAAACTTTCGATAATGGTGTCCGCCTGGTTCGCGAAAAGTGAAGTATCGTTAATGTAGACGAGCTGCCCGGGTCGTACAGAATAATGTCCAACTGTGGAACGTTAAGTGTGGAACAATAGAACATACAAGTGCGGGATACCATACGTTTTCGAATTTCATATCCCTTCCCATCTAACCGCCTGACAATATGAGCTCGTATACCGGTGACATTATTCACAATAAACCCCTCTGGAATCAAGACGACCTTTAGTAGACTGGGACTGAGATCCTCGGGAACCGCCTTGCCACCAGACGACAGAATGAAGTCATATGTCTGGAAACCTATAATCAAGTTCCAGAAAGGACCAACTTGTGATGCTGGACTTACAAATACATCAGCCTTTGGACGTTCGCACCAGCCATATATTGACCATGCAGTTCTCTCAGCCTCGGTGGGTAGAATGCTGACTAGCTCTCTAGCATAATCGACATCCGCTCGAGACCTGATTCCTTTCACTAGTCCACTACCTAAAGATTTTGTATCATAAGGTAAATTGGGCGGTGCGTAAGCGGGACACTGATGATTCATTATTTTTCGTGTTTTCCGTCGAGCAGGGGACATTGGTTTGATGTTTTCTGGGCCCAGAGTGAGGATGTGCCCTTCTGTCGTGAAAACATAGTTCGAGTCATCGCTATGAAGAGGGTTCTCCTCATCGAACAAGAGATATAGGTACTAGAGCCAGTCATCAGAGTTGACAGAGAGAAGCAGGGTATAGGTCTTACTTTCAATGTTTCCGACAAGGCGAAAGACTCCATTCTATCGTCGCGCTTGTTTGTTCTTAGATCTTGAATTCCAGATAGTCCACAATCGACTTTGGACCGTGTGATGATATCAAATAGTATTCGTTCGCCAACATCAAGGTAGAAGGGATCCCGTGTAGCCTGTTGGGATCATTTAATAAAGAGCATTAAATTCGCAGCAATAGGAAGCCATACACGATAGAGATACCACGTAGATTCAATGAATTCTAGCGCCAGGGTCGGTGTTGTTCAAATATAATTTAAGGGTTGAAGAGGCAAACCTGGGCGTAATGGATATTGATGCGAAGTCGCCTGCTTGTAGTTTGTGTCAAAGACTTCCGGAAGGCCAGAATAGCGACGCCATAGGTTGTAGTCTGCGAGAAATAAATGTCAGTAAAAGCACACAATAGATGTTCACATCACATACACATCATGTGAAGCTTGATAGCGCTGTCAACATCCCCTGCCAATACCTGCAAGCCAGGCCAAAAAGCGGATAAGGAATCCACGGTATAATAGGCTGTATCACCACTTTTTATGTTTACATTTCTGTACTGAGAAATCGCATCAGAAAGAATTCGTGTCTATGCAAAAGCATCCGACATACCCAGAACCCATCAGTGGCTCTTGAATACCTCATTATTGATGCATAGGCGTCATCCCATACGTCGAGGAACTCGATCTCACCTGTGTACTTGTTGAATGATTAAAGACGGCGAACAACAACGGAAGACATGCCACTGAGAATATACCATTTTAAGGCATATTCATAGAAAGAATCCACCCCTGCGCCAATCCCGGTAATTTCAGGTGCCGTCCAGTCCTAAAAGCAATGTCAGGAATACCAGTATTTTTGGGACAAAAGAAGAAGCACCCCAGTCCATGTATTAATCGTATTCCCAACAAGACCAATATCTGTCTTGCGATTCCAAAGAGCAAAGAATGCCTTGTACGCGGCTTTTTCAAAGCGGTCATCACCAGTCAATCTGCTAAGTGTTGCAAATTCAAGCATTAATGACCCTGCACCAGCGGTGCCTAAAATTTGGATAAATCAGTGAAAGGATGTAATGTTAGTTTAGCACTCACACGTCTCCAATGTTTCACCTCTGACCAAGCCATGACGAAGGTTTATCTGCAAAATGAGATGATGAGCCTGCTTAAGAAGTGTCAAGGAAGAGCATACTCTAGCGTACGGTAGACCTATCGGGGTAGAGAACGCTGGTAGTAACCTCTTTCCGAGATCATGGGCCATCCGCAGAAGCTCGCCACGATACCAAGGCAGATAGAAGGGTTGACCGGTCTGGTTCGCAAATATGTGTCCTGAAAGAAGGCCTCCTAGCACTCGGATAGTAGGTTTCGAATACCTGGGGTCTGGTGTTGACGTCGAAAGATACGGACTGTATAACGTTCTTGACTGCAGTGTCAAAGCCTTGTCGGTCGTCGAGCACAATAAACGTGTCAAGCACATCAATCAAAGTAAGAGAGAAGTTTCCCGCGACGTCATTGGACGCTATGTTGTTACTATAGGCCAGACATTCAGACATTCAAAGATGGCTAGTATATGCAAGACTCACTTACGGGTTACCCCAGTCGGGGCCCTGTCCAGAGCATGTTAATGGCGTCAACTGGCGGCTCATGGATTAGGAAACGATGTGCGAAATATTGCCCTGCCGCCCACCTCGTCTAAGGGAAATGCTGAAACCAAAGGTTAGTCTACGTTCAACCACAACAGCGGCAAGCACTCACCGTGGTTCATGTAATTGTCGAAGCCATGGTACCAAAGTTCGCGTATTCTCTCCCTGAACAATGTGAGCGAGACGCTTAAGATGATGGACCCGATTGCCGTACCGCGATTCCAGCTTGCGCTGCGTAGTCCAACCGGTTCCCTTCCACGGTGTCGATGCCTTGGTATCATGATGACCAAGTCTGGTGCCCTCTAGCGCAACCACGAGAACAAGAAAGAGGGACTCTGGCCAGTATCTCCGCCACTTCATGGGCTGGGGGCTATAAAGGGTGTCGTGGCACCTGGATGAGCGTCGTACGGGCTACCGGACCGGTAGCCGCGGGAACTTCAACAATGATAAACGCTCAACGCTGCTCCAATGTTACCGGTAACGTTGACATTTGCAACGGCCGCCTCATGGAGAAAAAAAAACATGTCCCGCGATGTTTCTCCCAGAATGTCATTTGGCTTCACATACTTACAAATAGTTATTAATGTTGGATTTCAACGTTTACTACACGAGTCAACGGTATTCTTCACTTTGAAACTTGTACCAGACACCATGACAGTAAGAAAGTGCCCGGGGAACGAGGAGCAACACCATCTTCGGACGTTTGACGTTGAGATACCAGGCTAAGATGCCGGCGATCATCATTTATCTTTCCTTTGATCCACCACTGTCACTCTCGCGAAATGAAGGAGATATCTGAACGCCTTGGAGAATACATGCTCAAGGGCTGGGTAAGCCTGTCATTTGTTGAAATGGACTACTACTGGACTTTTTACAGGTACTAACTGATCGTACTTGTCAAAATTCTGGGTGCAATGTTCCTCTAATGCGATCTCCCAACGGCCAGACACCAGTCGTCCATTACTGTGCTAGCTGCGACGAAAAGCCGGGCAGTACGTGTATTTACAATAGTTCACGTTTCCTTATCTCATTTTCATAGCTCTAGCCAATCTACCGCCAGTCTCAACAACGTCATCCTCCTCAAGCATGTCGTCTGCATCACAAATCACCCACATTTCGACCCCACCAACCGAAGTTTCCAGCGGCCTTAGCTCGCCCACCTTTGTCTTGCCTCCCGAGACTGAAGAAGGCCGGCGCCGACGAGAACAGTCTGACATGGCTTCTGTGGAGCTTGGCAAACGTTTGCTACAGGGCTGGGCTATGCTGGGAGATGAATGTCCAAATGCGCAGTGTTTCGGCGTACCGTTGGTTCGCCCTCCCAAGGCAGCGGCGCGTGACTCCAATAAAGTAGGTATAATTCCGATGCTCTTCAATGCTTCGTGGTCAATGTATACTTAGGAATGTGTGGTCTGCGGGTCTGTCTACGTGACTGAAACAGACTGGGCTGGAAGAGAACGACTGGTTCTTTTGAATTCGGCATCGCCTCCCCAAGCTGAAAAGAACACAACTGAAGCTATGCCAATCCCAAAATTATCGACCTCGCTCCCCAAGATTCCTGTGAAGGTAAGGCTTATCGTTTTCATCATGCGATGTTTCTCATTTGCGATTCTTGCTCGCAGGCAGCGTCTCCGGCTTCCACAGCTTTTACTCGAGGACCTGACGTATGCTTTTCATTAATATCCGGAATCCATCTAGTGATCTTTAACTTGTCCAGGCTCATCTTAATACAACCCTTCCTCTTCTAAGGGATGCAATCAAGGCGCTGGAGCAGACTATTCAAATGCTCACGCTGAAGCTAACTGCGCTTTCCGATGGACGCCTTCCGATGGATCTTTTAGCAATATCCTACGCCGCAGACGCCATCAGTAAGACCACTCAGGCATTGACGCATGTCAAGCAATTGGAATGGAGTGAGTTGCAGAATCTGGCACATCGATAAGGTGCCGTGGAATTGTTCTTACCCGCTTGTAGTACGTCATCTTCTGGATGTAGGAATGCAGATGAAAACTACGTTTATACCGACCACAACAGGCTGCTAATACGTCAGTGCGTATCTTGAAGGCAACTGAGCTGCCGACCGAAAAGCATGTGTACCTCATGTTTTTCATATGGCCGCGATATAAGATGTTTGAGTGAATCGTGTACGTATCTTCACATTCCTACCCATCCCACAAGATGCGATTCGACATTTTCAAACGGCTTGGTCCCCGCAACAGCCCACCTGGTTCTCCTATGATGGAAGACCCTGCTATGGACACTTGGCACGGATACTCTCAGACACACGAGGGCAGCAGGGGTTCTGGGTCAGATCATTCTCCCACTCAAGCCAGTGGTGGATCGACCAGGCGGCGTCGTCTACAGAAACGTGCGTCTGGCTCGCAGGTATGTGTGAGCATTGCTTTACTCCCTTTCGCATTCTAATAAGCTCAGAAATCACAGCCTCAATATCGTCGCGCTAGCCGCGACACCGGCTATGCTACAACTACAACGGATTCTATGGAATCCTTTGAAATACTTCCTAATCCTGAATCAGAAGTCGGGGTCTACCATCGCAATCCGGATCCATTGTCGCCAACTTCCGGCCCAGGAAGATTCTACTACAAAGATTTTTCCGCGGAGGATTTGACAGAAGACAGTCATGGGTTAACGCGATCCCATCCTAAACCCATCAACAAGCTCCCTCCTCCAATGGAAAGCACGCGGCAAGGTGTAGAGCATCAGCCGACTCAAATACCCGTCTACGAGGAAGGGTACAGTCTCCGGCCATCTTCTCTGGGATATAGCCGAGTGGAAAGTCCTGTTCTTCCGTCACTGTTTGATGGAAATCCTTCACAGCTACCCACGTCAGACTCCAGCTCATTCAAATACGATCATTCAGATCCGATGTTGCAAGACGTACCACGTAGCACGCCTACGTATCACGACCCGGAGGTAAGCGCGACTCATTGTTGGCGAAGCACCTACTTACACATGGCCAGATGGGTGTTTCTCCTTCGGTTCCTGTACACCACTCTCATACAGAGGAGACACCTCCTCGGAGACACTCACATCATTCACGCTCTCATCATCACAAGGTATGTTCTTGGAGTGACTGAGCCTTTTTTTTTTTTCAATTTTGCCTAAACGGCATCTTCGTTTCTTCACAGCGGAGCCGTCACAGGAGTTCTCACGACCAGGAGCGCAAGAAGCCGTCCACATATTACATAGTTCCTGGTGGAATGAGGGTGATATTCCGAGACAGGGAAGGTAATGAGATCACCCGGTACGATTGTAACTGCTATACGCCCATTCAGCAATTACTTATATTTTGGACAGGGTGGGAAACTGGTCAGAGACACGACAAAAGCATATATCACCCATTATTGTTCAAGACGAGAACGGAAAGGTCCTATACAGGTGCGGCGCATCATTTTGTCAAGTTCCGAGCGAGGGTTGACCCTTCTTGAAACACAAAGATCAGATTCAGACTCGCAGTCTTCAAGCTCGCCATCGCCGCCACGAATTCCACGAACACCATCAGGTGCGGAGTGGCAAGGCTCGGCATGCCCTAACTGCACACGACAACGGAGCTCGACTTCTTCGTGGCAGTCAACCCCCCGAAGTTATATCTCATATCCAAGGGATGAGCGACCTAATATAGTCTTAATAGATGGTGAAGGCCGGCAGATACCCCTGTAACCTTGTTCTATGACAAAGTATGCCTAAGGTTGTATGCATATGTTTTACAAGCGAACATGGCTCGGCGTTTACTAGTACTAGTTGTCTTCCGCAGTACCATAACATGCAAAAAAGGTGATCAAATAACCTCATCTACGCCCTCGACCATAGCTGCGGCCACGAGTGCCTAAGCCTCGATGTGACCTGCCTTGAGCCTTACTGATGTCCTCCTGACTAAGTTTGAGCAACCCTCCACTGAACTTGCCAACCCCCATTCGTAAACCGCGTTCTCGCTTCTTATTGGGGGGCTCTGACGGTTGTTCAAACACGTTCTTGATGGAACGGTGATAATTGCCCATATTTTTAGCCTGAATAAAGATCAGTGGGAATTCGATGCTGAAATAAAGAATCGAAGCATGCCTCTTCAAGCTGCGCCTTCTGTCGCTGTTTTTCCTTCTCCAATAGACCCGCACGTATACGCTTTGATGCCTTGTTTCGTTCGGCCTGCCGAACAGATTTCTCACCTCGGCCTAACTTTGCATCGCCGTTTAGCTCCAAGATACGTCCTGCAAGTGCCTTTTTGCGTTGAGCAGGTTTCATATCAAGGTCCGGATTTAGGGACCCAGATAGTAGTTTCGTGTGAACGAGACGGTGAAGAAGGGCATCATTCTGGGCATTGGTCCTGGAAGGCGCATAAGGACTTGAAATCCATAGAGAATACAAGTCACACCTGTCTTCCTCCTCCTCCTCTTCTGATTTCTTTATTTCACCTCTAACTTCATCCTTCAGTTTAGATATTTTGGACGACTGCGATGAATGAGCTACAGGTTTTACGGACCAATACTATCGAACTGTTACCATGAAAGCTTTCTTCTGGGACTTTACCACGTAGTCGCTGTCCTTAAGTTTCGAAGTGCTGGCCTCCGAGAATACAACTACATTTGGGGAGAAGGAGGAACTCTCTGCAGTAAAATCATCGTCTTCCTGTTCAAACGAATCTATTTGGATGTCGATACAAAGTACTAGTTGTTATATATAAGAACTTACCTTCTCCTTCTTCATCTGTAGAGTCTTGGTCCCTATCCGACTGACCACCTATTCCTGACCACTCTTCGTATTCATCTGAATCTTCAGGTTCAACTTCGGGTGTTCGTTTTCGTTTCTTCGTGAACTCCTTCGAGGAAGGCAAGGAGAAAGATTTCAAAAAATCCTGTCCATGGCCATTGAGAAGTTTCAAAAGATCTTCATGGTCAGACATCGTGTCGACAAAAATTTGAAGGTGAAGGAAATTGATGAGTCTCGGTCACTCATAAATTGACCGGATCACCGTTTACTTCCGTCCCTCATGGCCAACAAACGGAAGACAGCAAATACGAAGGAGCCGTCGTCTACTACCGCCAAAAGTCCTATCAAGCCACTCATACAACTATCTGAAGAAGAACAATGGCGCCTCATCAACGAATCCGGCGTTCTACACAAGGTCGCCACTGCAGAAGACTCTCCTAGCAGTGAAGGAATAAAACAAGGCCAAGAGGAAGACACGCCTCTCGCAGAAGAAATATTCGACGCCGTTGTGTTGATAATCCCGTTCACCTTCTTACTGGTCATGATGGAAATGTGCGTCAGCCTCTTGTCGCTTTCACCAAATTATTCTCATAAACGGGGAACGCCCAGGAAAGTCTGATACACCAACAATATGGAAGAGTTGCTACCTTAGAGATCCTCACAGATAAACTGATTTCTGGTGTGCCAAGTACGTCAGCTCTTATCTTTCCGTCCCTAGAGCCTCACGGTTCTTTAGTATTGTCCGTGTTCATATTTTATAGTGCGTACAACAATTGTTTCTGCAAAGCTACTAAAACCGCTTCTTAGCAACCCGGTACAAGTCGCACAGAACCATGCAGTTCATATTTTTTGTCATCGCTAATGTCGTTGGGCCAAGAATGGTTTACTTGCTAAGCAGAGGCTCGTGGCTCGTCAACATGAAGCAGGTTTGTGAATTAATATTCTGCCTCTGAAGATTTTCTGAAAGGACAGCCAGTGCCCCCCTCTTGCTACAATTTGGGTGTACACAATCTTCCAGCTTAATCTAGGACCCGCCGTTCTGAACTTGGTTATCGTTGTAGCATATGTGTGGGGGAAGGGACTGAAATTCAGATGAATATACGATCGATCAATAATCTACAATAAATTGTACCCTGATCAAGGGCTGCCTACAATTACATGGACAGTTTTACATGACAAGTCGATGGATAGAAAGTACTAGGTCAACTTGTCATCCTGCCTGACATGCAATTAATATTTGCTCCATTATACGCCACAGATGGTTGGGATCTAAGACCAACATGGCACCTTAATGAGCAGGACATCGTCAGGTTTAACGGGTAGTACTTCACAATGATGTCAATAAAAAATCCCAAGATACAGATGCAAAAATGTCCACGATAGATCTTACACGCCTTCACCATAGTCGAATTCACCACTCAATAGCTCCACCTTTCTCTAGAAGACAGTAAGTGTAGATAGGCAATGTAACTGGAGGCGACGAACTCGGTAACTTGTCGTCCGCGTCTCGATGACAGCTCGTAGAACACGCAGTTGCCACTTAAGACGTTTGCTTAAGGAATGACGGATGGCACCCGCGTACTTGTCGAGCTGTTCAGCAAAACATTTGAAAACTGAGATATATATCAGATGCGACGACAGCTAAAGAGCGAGCAGCATCTTACCACGGTCATCTCGAGCGAAGAAATATGTCTGTCGCAGGGTCAGTAGCGAAATCGGCCACGACGTATAGACAAAATCATACAGGTATCTGTTCACCGGGAATTGTATCCAACGCTGACGACCATGCTGCCATCATTAGTAGATCCACAGTTGCATTTGCAACACTACATGTGGGAAATTAAGAACGAGAAAAGCATCTCATAGAGCACATACTAGTCTTCCAGCGATGCGATGAGTGCAGCCTTCCCCAATTCTTTAGTAGCAAATTTGCGGACGGCAGAGCTGGCCGCTTTGACGGGTTCGCCAGCTGTTCCTGCTCTTAATGCAAGCGAGACATTGGAAACCTGGTCCCACACCCATTTGTCGCCTTCACTCATGATGAGCGTCTGTAGGAATGATGCGGTGAGATCACTTTGTGACTGAGCTAGACCATAGTCTATGGCAAGCTTTAAATTCGTACCTAACGGCCGTGTAAGCACACGCACTATATCAGAGCGTTACAGTACGAACTTACGTAGTGCTTTGAGAAGGGCTTTAGTCTTTGGCTTCTGAATGTCTGCCTCATCTAGGTGATTAACCCATCGCGAGAACGCTCCTAGTAGAATGATAGCAACTTCTTTGTGCGACTGTCCTATTCGCATAGCATGCAGAAGTGGTGTGGCGTCTCCGCTCTTCCTGAGTAACAGCTGTCAGGTAAAGTTAGACCACGGTCAATGCGTAGGGTGACCTCTTACATGGAATGCTCTGTCTCGAATCTCCATCAAGTACATGATATCCTTACGTTCCACAGCACGGAAGACTTCAAACGGCTAAGAAAGCTAGGTCAGGAAGAACTCAACGGAGGAGAATCCAACGCACCTGAGGCTCCTTCCATGGAGCACCGAGGCTTTGTATGTCTGTAGGCTTGTACTTTGCATTGGACCGCACAGAAGCAGAGGCTGTAGACACGCTAGAAGAACGGGTATGAGTGAAGCCATCGTCCTCTGCAGGTGGACTCGACGATGGCGAAGGAGTGCGTCGCAGTTGACGAAGAATTTCATTAGGTGCTACACTTTCGGCCTCGCGCTGTAGGAATGCTTGAGATGGAATGTTGGTAGAAGAAAAAAAGGGCTGCTTGGAGACCCACCAGTTGAAGGTAGCCGTTCTGGCAGACAAGGATCCGAGGTCACTCGCCGCCTGGCCCTTCGGCATGCAAGCGTCGAGTCAAGGTTTCTTCCGATAACTTCAATAATGGCCGCGTTATTGAAACGTGGTGGGGTAAGCATGGAAATGGTAATTGAACGGGAGCAAATGCTGTACAATGGGGTTAGGAACCCAAATAAGGGGCTATTTGGTGTTGCTGTTCAACGGCTTCGAGACGGGCAGCGTGGGTGCATGACGTCAGGGTCAACTCAGTTCAAGTTCGACTGAGGTTTCGACTGGTCGATTTGAGGCTGTTCAACATTCTCAACAGATTTCCGTGTAACCGGTTTCCTCTATCACCAGTTACTCCGAGCCTGTTGCGAATTTTTCTGTCCATGGTTGTCATTCCGGCTTTCGTGGCCATCGGGGTCATTTCGACAAAAATTCACCGTGTCTGATTACCCCCTGGGCCTTAGTTCGGTAGCACACGGACGTAAGTTTCCTGCAGTACGATCGCTTGTAGCGCCAAAAACCCGGAATATTTTTTTTTCTTACCCAGACGTCCTGCACCCTGCGTTTAAGTCTAGCGATACCTAAACAGCCCTAGTTTCTCATGCTGTTCTCCCACAATATCCCAATTAAAGAGGGAAAGCATGCGCCCGCTCTCCAATTGCGCTGCCATTGACAACCAAGGTCGTCTCTTCGACAATATTTCGTACTATATTCTCATGTGTTTAAGCTCGACAATACAACGAGAGAACTGGGTCCTGTGCCGTCGAATTATCACCACAGGCCTCATCACTTCTGCGGCTGGGCTGTTGACCGTGCCTCCGTTCCACCAGATTGCTTTCTCGGTGTAAACCAATGATACTCTGAAACAAAGGCAACCCTAGCTCTCCGACACTTGTATTGAATCACGGACATGAGGCACCAGTACTTCCAAATGATCCAAGTGAGCCCCCCTTGTTTTACGCGATCAGATTATCAAAATCATGACTTTCTTTTAGCCCAGGTTAATTCTTGGTTACTGTTTCATTCCTGTCGAATGAAAACTTCCTGCGATTACTACCAATTCACTGATATCTATCTGATGTCGGTGTCTGTAAACTCCTTGGATTCATGGACCAGTTGCTCGCCAGAATTAGGTACGTATCTTTGTCGTCACAGAGCTTTGGATTGCTGTGGAGAATGCCGAACCAGTTCTGAGCACCTGCCCAAGACAGACTCTGAACCATCCCTGAGCATAGCCGTTGTATAGTCTTCATCAAACGTCTCGACGAGATCTTTTCTTGGTAGGAAAGAACGCAGTGGTTCTTGCTTCTCTGAAGCATTTTGATGCCAACCAGGAGAAGCGTGTTCACAACGGCACTGTGACTGAGTCATTGATTCAGACGAACTATTCAATATTTTGAATACCCGCACTGATCAAGGTTTCGCTGTTATCAAATGAACAAAGTCCGATGCCTGCTTTTCATCCTAGTAAATACCAACCTTTGTCCAAAGTTACCTGTGCTCGGAATTTTAAGGTGGGTTATCCTCCCCTTTCTGTACGCAGGCTGACAAATGGTGTCCTCTCCAGTTCCATTTTTGAGGCTGAAATGAGCGACCTCAGTTGCATATTTGAACCTATTCTATATCAAAATCGAATGCTTATGTTTTAACGTTATATTGCATCCACGTTCATCAATCATGGGTAACTCTTTATGGTCAAGGGCCCAAGACTATCCGTTTGTCAAGGGACTTATAACACTTCCCCCCTTGAATCGGACCCGATGAGACATCGCTTCTACTATTGTCTGATGCGAGACGGGGACCAGTCAGCAAACACAGCTAATCCTCCAAGGTGCGTATAGGGTCCCCGAAAGATCGGTCACTGAATAAAGACATTTTCAGGACCCCAGTACATGGCTACAGCCTGAGCATGTAACGGCGTACGACGTAAGTAATGCCAGTATCAAGGGATCGGTTTATTCGTCTCGACGCATTTTTTATTTATTCCCAAGACATTGACACATGCCCTTGAGGGCTTCTGCCCACCTTACGGTACAATCGAGCTCATCGGTAAAGGTTACTATGCACCATCAAGACGCACTGAATGTCCAGCCCTTGTTCCAATCAGGTTCTCATGATCTCGCGGCTTTTAAACAGGCAGTCGAGCGGCCATTTACCCTTGTGTATCTGAGAAGGAAACAGTGCGTCCTCTCGTTGTTGTCTGTTACAGGTTACATGAAATGATCGCTGTCTTCTAAAGTGCGAAAGATCTTTGACACGTGGGGCGCAGTTTCGGACCCAGTAGTCTAAGCGCGACGCGTTATTTAAGATAAGATTGCCACGAACTGTTATCCTGCCAGTAAGATTCACCGTGAATACCTTTAAAATTTCAGTCTGGTCGACGGAACTCCGACGTGGTGTTACGGGGTGCCACCAGACCAGTAATCTAATTTTCAACCTTAGCAATGATAAGGGTGTATTATTCTATCCGTGTCCACAATGATTTAGAGTATATCTATAATCTATGCTTCTATCCCATCTATGTCCAAACGCGGGCGAGTAACAAGAAGCAATTACTTCTTATTGCTGTGAACGGGGGATCAGAACGCAATATACTCATTAATAAAAGTAACTGACATGTGGTAGACTCCAGCGATGAAGGGTAGGGCAAAACCGAACCCAAGGAATGCTACAATCTTTGTAGCGAAAAGAGGTCTGTTCTTGAAGGAGAACGGGACAGCATGTTCAGTCTGGGGGACTTGTTGAGCAAGAATGTCTATGTTACTGGATACTACATACCGTGTACACGCCATGACCAGATGACCGCACTGGAGAAACGTGCAGGGCGCGAGCTCGAGACCATGAAAGAGGTCGAGAACGAATGCCTGGAGCGCGAGAAATGACGGAGAGCATGGTAGTTGCCAGCAAAAATGAAACCGACTTTCCCCGATAATTTTTCATTTTAAATCTGATCTGCGGGCACGTGATGCGATCACGGTTATCCATCGGGCCAACCTTACGTTATTTGCCTAGTTTGGCCATGGCCAATACTCGCTATCTTATCCGCGAGACCTTGGCAGGTGATATGCTGACGGTATATAATGTTTCCTGTCCACTCCCTTTTACGTGTGCCACTTCCCTCTTATACTCTATCTCTCTGCAAGCATTTACACTCAATGGCTCAAGTCGCCTCTGTAAAGATTCCCGGCAGTGACAAGTTCATTTCTGTTCCTACTGGTCTTTTCATCGACAATGAATTCGTCCCTTCATCGGATTCTAAGGAACTAATTCAGTATGTTCAATCGATAAGATATCATCACGATTGTTGATCCCTGCAAAGCGTCATCAACCCAGCTACTGAAGAAGTCATATGCTCAGTCGTAGCTGGTAAGATATTCAGTAACATTGTGTTATTCGACCAGTAATTCACCTACTCTCCAGCATCTGCGAAGGATATTGACTTGGCTGTGGCAGCCGCGCGAAGGGCCTTCAATACTACTTGGGGCAAGAATGTCACAGGATTTGAGAGATCACGATTGATCAACAAACTCGCCGACCTGATTGAGAGAGATGCGCAAGAACTCGGAGAACTCGAGACCCTCAACAATGGAAAGCCAGTTCGTATCGCTAGGTATTCCTCCCCGCACTATCCCCTCCGTTTGGTGGCTGACTTCGGCTCGGAACAGAGATTTCGATATCGGAGACAGCGTTCAATGCTTGCGATATTATGCTGGATGGGCCGACAAAATTGCAGGCCAGACCCTAGAAGTTGACAATAAGATCAAGTGGGCCTTTACTAAACATGAACCTATCGGAGTCTGTGGGCAAATGTATCAAATTCATTTTTTTTTCTTTGGGAGAGCTGACAGGTGCCGTAGCATTCCTTGGAACTACCCAATTAACATGTGGTAGGTTCCACAAGTTCTTTATTAGACCCGGTTCACAGATTCACACTTCTTGCCCCCCTTAGGTCGTGGAAGGTAGCACCGGCGTTGGCAGTCGGTTGCACTATCGTCATGAAGCCATCCGAACTAACCCCGTTGACTGCCCTGGTAAATAATCCCTGTCCGCATTGAATTCCTCGTGTTAACCGCCGACAGAAACTATCCGAACTGGTCGTTGAAGCCGGGTACGTACACTCTTGTCCCACCGATCATGTTACCAACAATTGTACTAGTTTTCCCAAAGGTGTCATCAACACAGTTCCGTCTCTTGGTTCCGTGGGTGGCGCGGCACTCTCGGCGCATCCTGATGTTGACAAGGTTGCTTTCACCGGTTCTACGTTCACCGGCCGAAAGGTTATGGAGGCTGCTTCAAAATCAAACCTCAAGAAGGTACGTACAGCTGTCGGATTGCGTTGATATATCTTTAATTACGGAATCTTGGAGTAGGTTTCCCTGGAACTAGGTGGCAAGTCTCCACAACTCGTTTTTGAATCTGCAGACTTGGACCAAGGTTCGTCTCTCACCGTGGTTTACTTCGTTCCGCTCTGTTGTCTCCAAGTATATCCTCGGCTCATTCCTTATTTGCCGGTATACGCTGTACCTTGTCTTTGGATGTACAATGTCTGCCACACTAGTCGCACGTCGCGTCGTCCAGGTTGTTGATAGCAACAGTGCCTTGAAGAAAGGATCATTTCCGCTACTTCTTTCAGTTACGGCATTTTATAATTGCTTCCATCTTTTCGCCGGTGTCGCGTGGGTGCAGAATACTGATGGACAGATTTAGCTGCCAACTGGGCGGCGCTCGGAATTTGCTACAATACGGGTCAGGACTGCACCGCGGGCTCACGCGTATACGTTCAAAACAGTATCTATGATAAATTCCTTGATATTCTGGTGTCTAAAGTCAAGGAATTGTCAATTGGTGACGGTTTTGATGACAAGAATTTTGGTGGCCCAGTCGTACGCCATTGATCTTTCAAATATATCTTAACCTTACCTGGCATATTCTTTAGGTCTCTAAGGTGCAATACGACCGCGTCTGGGGTTTGTTGTTGATTACTCGGTTTACTACCGTCTCTTTCTTACCATTGTGCCATTCTGTAGGTTACATTGAAATGGGCAAGACGGAAGGCGCCAAAACAATTATAGGCGGTGTAAAACGATCAGGCAAAGGATATTTTGTGGAACCGACGAGTACGATTCACACTAGTCCATCGTTTCATAAAAGGTTAACGATTGTCGGGCAGTCTTCACTGAGATCCGATCAGACATGAAGATAGTGCGTTTTTCTATTCGCGGAATTTCGCTCAGTTTCTGACATACTTCTAGGTCAAGGAAGAGGTGGGAATCTCTTGTGGGGTTATGCCTATACGAGATCGCATTGACGTCGTATAGATCTTTGGGCCTGTCCTCTCGGTCGGCCGATTTGAGACGGAGGAAGAAGGCGTAGCGCTGGCAAATGCGACTACGTATGGATTAGGTGCTGGTCTCCATTCTAGTGCGTTGCTGGTATTTGGAGTTGGCCGTGCGAAGTAACGGTTTCGTTTCCTAGATGATGCTAACCAGTGTATGAGAGTCTCGGCGGCTCTTGAGGCCGGCACGGTTAGTCCCCGGGCACAACGAATGCTCGTATCCAACTTTAAGTAACTGACGGTACGATTAACAGGTCTGGATCAACCAGTATAATTTGTTGTCTAACAACGTACCCTTTGGCGGAAAGAAGCAGTCCGGGATTGGTGCGTTACATTATCGATCTTTATCCCGAAGAGCTGTTTGCTTACGGTGGGTGTATAGGCCGTGAGCTTGGCAGTTATGCGCTTGAAGAATACACTTCTGTTAAAGCTGTGCATTGGAACTTCGGGGAGAAGCTCGATTGGCCACTTTGATCTTGTTTGCATAGGAAAAGCGCTTGTTTGCTTTGGACCCCGTAGGTAGCGAGCGTTATGTACGTAGAGGAGTAGAATAGCGAAATTTTGTATCAATACAGACGACTTTTAAATAAGTAACAAGAATCAGCCCTTTATCAATACAATGTTGGAATGGGTTTATCACGAAGTAGAGAAGGGTTCTTAAAGATAAACAAGATAAAGCTGTCAGGTTCAATCACCCGTGATGGGTGATGTTGCAGCCGACACATCGTTCTCCCTGGCAATTATGTCTAGGAAGCATAGTTGGAAAATGATTGATCCAGGGTGAAGCGCGTCACCTACCTCCGATGTGTCTCGGCCACATAAGAGTTACCGTGTCCATTAACACCAGACGACCACCTGTGCTCGACGCCGGGCGTGAACAGAAGCCCCTGGTTGTATGCAGCTGCGCCAGGATCCATGTAGACATCCATCTCGTTTGGGTAGAAGCGGGGGCGCGGCCAAGAGTCGGACGCGAACACCCCCATGTCTCTGCCTGTGTTTCCGGACTGGTAGTAGGAGGGATGTTCATAGCCCAAACGGAATTCCGTATGGTTGGGGTTATTATGAGAGATGTACGGTGACGGAACAGCCTCAGGGCGGACCATGTTAGATTGTGGATATCCAGGCGCGCTGTTCGGCTGGATGGTGGGAGTACAGGGATTATTGGGCCAGTGGGTATGAGCTATGGCTGGAGGGGAAGGCGACGTCGCTGGAGCCGACCCGTCCACAGGGACATATTCGCATTTCAAATGCTTTTTTGTGCATCGCTCGCAAGGGCTGTTATGCGACCTGTCAGGGTCTTCGCTTGACACTGGCACGCACTAAGAGGATGGTATTAACGATGGTGTGGGCATTGAAGGAAACGGCGCCCACCTTGATCTTGCGTTTCCGACAATGCGTGCAAGCTATCAAGGCCCTGCCAGGTCTTTTGATAGGTGTATCGAACGGCGGCGTCGTGGACTGTGGTGGATGCATCGCCATAGCTTGAGAAAGGATAAGAGAGAAGACGAGTCTGTAGCTTAAATAGCACTACAGGGTTGCGCAGAGAGTTGTGTAAACATCTGGATGTAGCTGTACTCCATCTAGAAGTGGACCTTGATCGAGACACCATCTCGATCATGCGGTATAACAACAGCCTGAAAAAGTCATCGTGCTAAGAAAAGTTTGGTCACAAACAGGGCTGTAACATCAACAATCGTGAACCGTGCCATTTTCTAAGACGGGTATAAGCAGCCCGTATCGGACTCAGGGCAGTTCAGGAAGGAAGCCATGATGAGGTCTGGCTAACGGTAACCTAACAATTTGCCTGTATTCCAGCTTACAAGTTAGTTCCAGAAACCTAGTGGAAAGGAGAACTATTGGCACCGAAGGAAGAGCGAGATCACGCCAACTGCCGGACGAAGCAAACCGTCACCGTCCACTTTCCTTAGTTAGACCCTGAGACAGGTAATGCTGTGAAGGCCACTCGTGGCTATTCAAGAGAACGTATATATCTCGAGATATTCACTTGTGACTTGTCCTAGAAGGGAAAGCATTGTAAAACTTTCCTAGAGTACAGACCGCTGATGGAACTCGAGATCAAGATGGTCAGCATCACATCCGCAAGAGTTTACACTGCACCAACACCACGAATCAACACGCGATGAATGTTCATCTCACGCTCAGAGTAAGCGCCAGTGTTTGTGTAGACCGGGGTTGATGAGCAGATTTCTGGCAGTAGCCGCTTAGTCAAAGCACTCCGTAGATCGACGATACAGAGCGCCGATGGCTCGCCGAAATCTGAATACTTCCACGGCGCGAATAATATCGATAGAAATGGAGAGAAAAACCGAGCGAGGTAAACGCCAGTTGATGATTCATTTGATGAAACACGCGTGTGCCTGTGACCATGTGACAGAATGTTGCGAATCAAGAGATTGGAGTAAATGGAATAAAGACGTACACGAAGTCCGTGCAGTGACCCACTTGTGCTATTCCTTAGATCACGGATGATGAAGACAAGTAACAGAGTCCGCAACGACCGCAAGAAGATAAGCCATTCATGTAAAAATGTTTATGAAAGTCGCAATACCACAATCCGTAACGATGGCACTGCTTGGAGACGTATGTAACGTGTATATTGCTTATAGACCATTCTGAGCTAGCGCCACTGAGATCTGAGAGGTTGATCTGGGAACGGCGAGATGTCCATAAAGACGGCTGCAAGCTACTACGTTCAAGGGAAAGAAAGTCCAAGACTTGCAGTAGCCTAGACGAACGAAGTAACTGTAACTTGAAGTTCTTGTCACAGTTCGTTGAATCATACTGGATTAATTAAACGAAAATCGTTAGAAATACAAAGATACGACACTTTGTCACCAAAAACTACCTGTCCGCAAGAGTGAGCCGCAGATGACGCTGGTAGGGAAAGAAAGCCTACAACTGATTACAGAGCAAGGTAGTCGCGAACCTCCTCTTCCGTCAGCTTCCGGAAGGTAGGTTTCGGTCTCCCTGTCTCCCCTCCAATCTTTCCTTCCTCCAACTCTTCGGCTGTCGGAACCGTGACCACTCCGATTTCAATGGTCTTCTCAGTCATTTGTCCTTCGAAACCTTCTTTCAATGTCAGCAGCGCCGTGTGAATCGCGTCTTCAAGACTGATGTCGTCGTTATATCTATTTCAGGAAAGGTCAACGTTACGGGCAGTATAAACGAAGATAGATACGTACCTCTTTTCCAAGAACGTCTTAGCGTTGACCATGTTTTTGCCGATGGCACTGGCTTTCCACGCCCAGAATGAGCCTGAAGGGTCCACCTGGTATAATGTCGGACCCCGGGTGATATCCCAGCCGGCGACAAGAAGAGAGACGCCATAAGGCCTCACACCTCTGTACAATGAGTGATAAGAAGATATCGGTAAACATTGTAGGAAGCTTACCCTGATTGAGTTGCTTGTTGCATGACTGTGGCAATTTCCTGCGTAAGTACACGCGTTGGAGGATATTCCCCATACATCTTCCAATACGCCTGTGCACTCTTTCGGGCTTTGGATATCAAGACGCGAGAGTCCGGTCCCATCCCAGAATATACTATGCCGATATTAGGGCAGATCACGGCGACTTTGTCCAGCATTGAATCATCGATGAGGATAGAGGAAGATTTCTTCTCCGTTGCGATGACAATGCCATTGGAGGCTGAAGATATCGTTAATAGTTGTTATCATTACGATAAACAGGGACTAACCTTTGATTCCAAGACTCGTTGTTCCGGACGAGACCGCTGCTAAGGCATGCTCGATTTGTACGAGTTTCCCACTCGGTGAGAACACTGTAAGTGAATAGCTGCAGAAACGTCAGTATCCTAAGAGAGCAGAAGTGAACTTTAGTACGTACCTGTATGCTCCACCGTCTGCACTAGCCATGATGATAGAAGAAAGGAATAATGAATGCAGACCAGCGCGACGCGTAAGTATTGTTTGCGCTTATTGGGTCGATCACCTACACAGCCACCTTTGCGTGTAAGTTTGTTTCTTGTTTTAATTTCTCAAGCAACAGAGCTGAGTCCCAAGCTGTCTAGGACCCGATACTATTATCCGTACAACAATTACAGTAGTTAACGAGGCGATAAGACAGAAGGAGTTAGTAAAATGCAACAGCATGCAGTAAGCTGTGCGGATGTTTTTCCTGCTGTACGTCTAGGATCTGGTCAATGTCATCGTCAATGTCATCGGCAGCTTCGATCTGTGGAGATGAGAGTATTATCAGCGGTTATTCATTTTTTAATGCTTGGGAATAGACTAACAGCATTAGCTAGATCCAACATCGCTTTTCCCGCAATAAGAGCCTCTTCGTGATTATCCTTGATTTCAATATTAATAATGTGGACCGGACGGTTATATTCTCCACCTCTTGACAACAAATCTGACAGCATTATGACAAGGATTAGCATGGGATGAATGTATGCGAAGAAAGACATACCGTCACAGACAGCGTCAAAACAACGTTCTTCACAGGTAAATACGATATCCGCGACAGCTCTGCTCTCCTGCCATCGTTCAGGTGCTGCTTTGATCCGTCGATTACGGTCAATCATTTGGAGTACACCATTGGCAGAATATCTGAAAACGTTGTAATTATCTAAAGCACAATTAAGCTAAGACTTACAGCCGAGGGTCTTTCGAGCTCAACTCCTCAAAAATGGTATTATAAGGCGTTCCAAAAGCGTATATGTTGGGTTTGTCTATTGATGGGCCCGGCAGTCGTACAGCAGATCCGGTTCCAGATGATATTACCCGAAAACCTGCTTTACTAGTCGTAAAATGAATAAACGTGCGTAGCTAACACTAGCATGCTTACGATAGGACAGAATGTCCTTCCATAGATCTATTCTACAGTAAATCAGACACTGGAGGAATAAATGTGAATTTAACATGTACTCACTTGATTGCTCGCACAGACGACACAGAACAAGGGACGAGGTTTGTACCCGGGCGTTACAGCATTATCCTGAGATGTTGGTGGAGGGTTTTGCACCGACGTATGGCTGTATTCAATTGTATGATTCGGTTGTATTTGGGACGTCAACGCCACAAGCGCTGAGCCTGAGCCATTCTCGCCGGAATGAGATGACGGAGGATATTGGGGGGGAGGTGTTGGTGTTGGTGTAGGATCTGCTTGAGCACGTTGTAACCGGGGATCTCGAGCCCTTCGAGGGTCCATGTTCTCTATGACATGAGTAAAAAACACTCAGTTGCTGTAATGGACATAGTGGGAAAGAAAGAAAGAATCAGCAGTATCTAGAACATTCCAGGTCTTCTCCTCAACCCGGCACACTTATGTGTTACTTAGAGCAGGTTGATGCAGATTCCACTCTGAATCATCACGAAAAAGATGAAGGAAAGAAAATGTACCTTGACGAAGAAAATAGAGGTGACGGTAAGAACCAAAGTCCGTAGTGACGGGCAGTAATTATTTCGAACTCAGCTGCAAGTGGGCAGGCAGCACTGGCAGGCACTCGCTCAAACGCAGAACCGCAACTGTGAGAACTCTGTGAAATCCTGCCAAGTCGTGCTGTAAGTCGCTGTTTATCTTCTCAGATAGGTTTAGCTTACTTGCGAAAAAGATATTTATTCATCAATGGATTCACTTCGGGGAGTTAACGCCTCGGACGAGGAAATAAAGGGCCTAATAACCTTCCATGAATCAGCAATCCACCATGTCAACGAGGAAATTGACACCTTGATGAAGGAAGTTCACCGCCTGCAGTTCAAGAAGTCTCAGATCCTCGAAAAAATCAAGGAATGTAAAGGAAGGCTAACTTTGGCTCGCCGCCTTCCCCCAGAAATCCTTGCCAATATCTTCGAGCTTTGCGCCAGGGATGGCTGGACTCGTACCCCCCTCACTGTTTCCCACGTCTGCTCGGAGTGGCGCAAGGCAGCTTGCACGTCCACAGTCTGGTCATACCTGTATGTTAATTTGGGCATGCGCGATCCGTATGGCAGGATACTCTTTTGGTTGGCCAACGTTCGGACTGCTCCGTTACACATTACTTTGGACATACAGAGCGATTACTCCCTCTTACCAAATATCATGGGTCTCTTATTGAAGGTAGCGCCCCAGTGGCATACGCTTACCGTCAATTCCAAGATGCTCCGGCCAGTGAATCAGATATTCACTATATGCACGGTGCCATTCCCTTCGCTCCGGTGTCTCGATGTGTCCATCATGGAAGAATTCCATGAATTTGAAGGGGACGTCGTAGAGTCTCAACTAAGGCTCGACCAATCATTCAACGACGCGGAGAAGTTAAGCATCTTCCGCATTTCGCGCAATATCCTTCCGTCTCGAGAAAGCGTGCCATCCTCCATCTCTAATCTTATCATTAACCTTCCCTCTTTTAACCTTATAACACCCTCGTCAGTTGCTTCCTTGTTAGATCTCTTGGAGGGTTTGCCCATGCTCGACTCCTTCACCATATCTACGCTGCGCGGTGAAACCCGGGAGTTTATCGATGACCCGAATATCGCGCGCCGTGTCTTCCTCCCACAGCTCCAATCCCTTAGAATCATTGGAACGTCTAGCATTTTCAACATCCTTCCTCATCTGCAGACGCCGGCGCTACTTCAGTTAGCCCTCTGCTCGTCTGAAGAGGCCTTGCCTCATGCCCATCCAGTCGCTAGCCCCGCGCTTCGTCATTTCGTGGGAGGAAATAACCTGCCACTGCAGGACACTAGATTTACGCGACATCGATCTCTCGCCGTCGGATTTTATCGCTTGCTTTAGAGGTCTATCGCATCTCAAGGAACTCCGTTTACATGAAAGCGATATATCAGATGACATACTAGAATGTCTATATGATTCCCGCGGGTACTGCCCAGAGCTGCAAGCTCTAGATTTCCGCTGGTGCGGACAGATTACAGGCCGTGCTTTGGTGGACCTTGTTCGAAGTCGGTCTGACTTGAATTCTTTCTATCCTAATGTCCCACTGCGTCATATCGAGTCGGTGGGCATCATTAACTGTGCTCATGTCCAGGAGCAAGACATTTTCGACCTGGCAGAGCTGACGGTGTGTCGACTGATGATGCGAGATACGGACGATTGCTGCGGTGAGCCTTGTTACATTTCCATTCGTTCATGTTGTTTACTTTAGACCAGTCTCCTTTGGATGCTGTAGAAACGAGAGGTACCGAAGGCGGTTCCAATTGCGGTGGCTCGAACGTTATGGTTCAAAAATCGACACCAGTAGAATCATAGTATGAATTTTCATTGAAATACTGTAGGTCTTAACTATGGCAGATATTGGTCAAAGTTTCAATATCCACCTCAAACATGGACCCAATTGGTCGTTCTTCGACTGAACAAGAACAGGTTTTGGCCATGCCAACAATGAGTACCCAGCACCAAAATACAAGGTCGTAGTCGATGGTTAAGAAAAAAAAAGGCTGACAGCGTATTTATGTAAATTTGATGCACGTGTCAGTTGCCATTCTAGGCCAAGACTCGAACGACATAATAAAGTCCCTTGTCGCATACAAGTACTCCCTTCTCTTCCCATACTCTGAAGATGGCGTATACGGATCGTACTTCAGACTTCAAAGAAACTGTACGGAAATGCCGGGCTTCTCTGCCAAACACCGATAGGCGAAAGTCTGCATCTGACAGGCAGAGTCGGGAACAAGATCTTTTTGGCAAAGAATATGTCTCTGAGGCATACAAGATTGTAAGTAGGACTATTTTTGCGTGTAATTATCTTGACTGAATAGTATGGCCATGGCTCAGCTCACCCATATCACGACTCTGACACGCATGTTGTCTACCATCCGAAAACCATACCTAAACCTGGACTCACGGCGTGGTCCGTTTGCTCGGCATACATCTCGAACATTGGATTTCAGTGGCAACGATGAGCAGTCGTGGTCGTCGATACGTCAGCTTTCTAACGAAGAACGGGATCAAATTGACTTGCAAGCACGGCTCATCTTGTCCCGTTGTGCGGACAGAGTCAAAGAAATAGAAGCCCTAGAAAAGCGTACGGATCATATTCACCGGACCTCCTTTTCCTGACAGCCAACATAGAGTTTCTGTTGTGTTCTCATTCGTTTAGGACGCGCTGAGCTTGTTGCTAGCAAGACTAATCCGCTAACCCGGTTCTTACCAGCGCGACTGCGACAAGACGAGTCGTCAATCGCCTCAGATTTCATCGCAGCGCATCATTCGAGTATAACGTGGTATCTGAACCGCCGTCTCGCAGAGGCCAGTCAAAGCCAGAAGATTATGCAGGAAGAGCGCGTGAAGCGGGAGCTGGAGAGGTCACGGACTCTCGGCTCAGGTGCAGCGAAGGCGGCTTTGGATATCGGGAATTCAGATGTGTCGGGCGTGGGAGAAAGCTCAGGAGGGGCAAGCTGGCTAGGGCGGGGCGTCTTCCAGTATCATTGCAGCAACCATAGGGGCCACTACAGCCACGTTCCGACACTACACCAAGCTCTGTCGACTCTGCACTTTCGATGGAAGATGACGACGACGATATTGAGCTGTCAGCCTCTCAAATTCTCCAGTTTGAAACAGAAAACGCCAATATCCTGAGAGGTGTACAAGATACACTGGAATCGGTTCAGCAGGCTGAATCGCGCCTTATGGATATCAGTGCTCTTCAGATGGAAGCTGGTCTCTCATTTGACACAGCAGACGGAGTTGACAGACCAGCTATACGAAGATGCAATTGCCACGACGGGTATGGTGGAAAAGGGTAATGTCCAGTTGCGGGAGGCGAGGAGGCGAGCAAAGGACGGTAGAATTTTCATTCTTCTATTCCTTATAGGCGCAAGTCTTAGTCTATTGTTCTTGCATTATTATTGAAGACATACAGCATACGAGATACAGGCGCTCTATCCATGTTTAAACAGTCGTTATACAGTATATGGTCCTTAGATAGATCCCGTTACACCTGATCGTCTGCTTCACTAGAACGTAAAAGCGGTGCATCCTCGTCATATTCCTCTAGAGCCTCCGCTGCCATTCGGTCGACTTCCGGAGATATATCCTCCAACTGTCGGATGTGATTCTGAACAAGAGTGTACACAAGCCTGCAAGGGAGATCAAAACACGTTGATGTGGGCAAGACAGATGTCATACCAGCTTGTAAAAATAGCCACGATGATACCTCCACCTATGAGTAAACCATTCATGACTTTGGCATCTATAAGAGGACTCAGTTTCAAACTGTGATGGGTGAGAGTGACACGGACGTGTGTCCATGTGGCTCCTGCTATCGCCATCGGAAAGCGCAGCCATGCGGGAACCTATAACAACAAGTAAAAGAACCTTGGGGAAGATGAAGCAAGTAGCAATGACAAATTGCCACAGGGAAACTGCTTCGATTGACTACACCATAAATGTGTGAGGTGTTGTTATCGTCATAGTGTTAACTCACTGCAAACAGAGAATTAGAATACACCCAAGGGGGGAAGGGGGAAATGCGAATAAGGATGATGAGCGGAAGTCCCTTGGCGCGCTGAGACGATGATGTCAACAAACAACCATATCCCGAGACAAGCTATCTTTACCACGACAGATTCCAAGGCTTGCCATTTCTCGTTATGAGAAGACCATTGGCGCAGGCGAGAACTAAACAATAGCCGCAAAAAGACGAAGACAAGAGCAGAACCAACGACCGATGCACCAGCCCCAATAGCGAAACCTTTCATGCCGAACGCGAAGCCGCAAAGCGTAAGAAGGGTTGAATGGCCAACAAGCGGGGGGAATGAAACCCCAACTATCACATTATTCAGTCAAATTTAGAAAGATCTGCGAACTTTGGATCGCAAACCAATTGCACCCGTGAGGATGAGCCAACCCAGCCTCATGTGAGAAAGCCTCGAGGCTTGGTCATACAAGAATTGGGCGATTCGGCTGGGGGAAACTACGATGATGAATGCACCTGGACACCGGATGATGAGCCGGAGATATACCCCACATCAAGAACAGAAAAAGACCTAGGCATAGGTAGAATAGCATCAAAAGCCATATAAAAATCTAGTAACGAAACTGTGTTCAGGTCAGGTAAAAGTGTATAACTTTAAAAATGCACCTTTCCATAGACATGGAGATTCCGGTAACGATGCCAAACCGTAGTAAGGGTCAGCTTAATCAATTGAGACGAACTGGCTGCCCAGCCGGAGGGTGCTTTCGTGGTCATTGTGGTATTGAAAGAGCCACGATCGTGCCGAAATGATGACACCTTGCCGGGAACCTCGGCCGATTACTGTCCGGTTTCCGGGAAGCAGACCAATACTCTGTCGCTTTCTGACTCGCAGAATGCATCCATTAGCAAAACCAAATACAGCGCCCTTCTACTGAATGTATATCCGATTCATACTGCGCATTATCCCATCCTTGTGCTACAATTGTGCTCAATAAAGAAGGAATCTTCAAGGAGATGCTGAAACACGAGTCGGAGTGGGCCCGAACGCGGCCGTGCGATCACGTGAATCTGAACGCGTGTCAAGTGAGAATATTGATCGGGCTTCCTGTCCTTGAACTGAGTTGCATTCAGTCCAGACTTAATGGAAAAGTACAGTGCATATAGAGTAAGTCCCCACATATCCGTCTTTGAACACTTGTGCTTAATTTCTTCAATAGGACCCAGGAACCGGAATTCAGGTTCGTGTTTCGTCCACTAGATATCACCCTCAAATTCACAACCTTTATGGACATAGCCTTTCCTCGTTCCAGTGGCGCCTCCGAGCCCAAGTGGAGACGTTGTGGCCAAGATTGTTCTCCCCATCAGATATCTTGTTGGAACTGTCCGAATTCTTCTGGTTTTACTCGTTCTAGGCCTGTATCTGATATTGGTGGAGGGAATATGCGTTATCTTCGTTAGTCTGTTTCATCTATACGAACTTACAGTACTGATTGATTATCAGAAACCTGTTGCGCCTTTGCACCGTATTTTGGCTTGGCTGTTTACAGCATTGTTATCACGCCTAGCGCTTTTGTGCGCCGGAATCTTTTGGATACACGTGGAACCTGTCAAAAGGAAGCGGGGGTAAGTATAATACCTGCTACGTATGCCCCCTGCAGCTGTTAAGAGTTCGCAGTAGGCAAACTCAAATCGCCGACCAATGGAATCCACAGCCTGGTGATGTAATAGTTTCCAACTGGGTCTCCTGGATCGAAATCCTCTGGCTTGCTTTCAGGTAAACCCCAGGGTACCCATTACAAACTAAACTTGACTGATTCTCGCTTACTTCAGGTTTAATCCGGTCTTTGTTCTTCCTGTTCCTGCTTCGTCGGCCGTGACTTCTGCGCCATCTAAATCATCAGATCCCATATCACGTACACCTGGGCGGCGGACAGGAACCGGATCAGCTAATGTGTCGGTGTCAACAAGGGCACCCAGGGAAAGAATCCATATCACTGGTTTTCAGCGCCTTTCGCTACTGAATGTCCTCCGCCAAACTGGCAGTGTTCCACCGTACCGGGTGGCACAAGGTTTGGCTCCCCAGAGTCTGGAAGCTATCCGATTGACTTCTGATCGGCCTATCGTCGTGTTTCCGGAGTGTACAACGAGCAATGGAAGGGGACTAATCCGTTTTTGCGACGTCTTCAATCAAAATATCCCAGTACAAGGATGGCAGGTGTTCGTCATGTGTGTTCGGTATGCTCCTCTTATCCCTCTTGGGATATATTCTCTTCATGCGCGCTCTTCAGATACGATACTCCAACAATATTGTCGTCAACTCTGTCACACTCCATTCCAGCAAGATCCGTAAATCCGCTATCTCAGGTATTCAATGTGGCCACGTCAATTGTGCCGCCAAGCGTTTCAATCCGGCTACTAGCGCCCTCAGAATCACCTAGTTCACCAACCTTCCTGGCTAGTGATGTCCTTACCGGATCATATAACGATCAGCTTAGTGAAGCATGTGCTGTTTTGATTGCGCAACTTGGAAAGATGAAAAGGACTGGGATGGGATGGGAAGATAAAGCAAATTTCCTAGAATTCTATTGGGGTAGGCGCAGTTCGTAATCGACACAGAAAAACACAGCAGAGAAACTTCGTAAGATCAAAAGTTATTACAGCAGGCGAGAAGTAACCTTAAAAGCAGACATATGTAGTGAGGTGACAATATATATAGGTGGACTGGACGTCCAGAGGAGACCATTGCATGCATGATGAAGAGTTGCGTGATTTAGTTTTACAATCCAAGTCTAATTGTGAGTTTGATGCAAATTCCAGCCATGTTAACAAGAGACAACGGGAAAGAAACATTTCGATACTGGAAAGCATGAGATGGATGGGGCAGCACCGAAAGGGTCACTCACAGTGAGTTCCAGCAATTAATCCGAAAGAAAGAGTCTCAATAATATGCGTATCGTAAGTTGTACCAACGACGATATTCGGCGTCGTCGCGATCCGAAGAGAAATAATAATCCATCGGAGGACGTCGGGGGGCATAATGGTAATAATCGTAGTCGTAATCGTAGTTGTAATCGCGGCACCGTTCGTCTCGTTCATATCGTTGTGCATGGTCCCATGAATTATCTCTGGAATATTCTAGGACAGGATCATATCGGTCCTGAATGCGAGGCGAGTACGGTCCTGGGTCTGTATTATATGATGAACAGGAGGGATATGAGCGTAGAGGGGAGGGATAGCGCATCGGGAGGGTGCGGTTGGCGTCAGGAGAGCGAGCCGCCCCACGTCTGTCATCCGCACCCATATATGCGGGGTGACGCCGTATGGGAGAAGAACCTCGCGAGTGGGAGACTTCTTTGGCTTCCCTGAGATAAGATGGCTACAAGGAATAGATTTAGAGCGTGAAGTAGCAGAACGTTGCCTCCTTCCATACCTTCCTGATAGATACTTTAACTGGTACACCTCCCAGGGTTTGCCCATCGAGTTTCTCGACGGCTAACTCCGCCTCTTCATAAGAAGAAAATTCTATGAATCTATCACCCACATTAGCAAAACTGACAAGAGATAAATCTGTCGAAAAAGACCCTTTGCTACGGTTTTTCCTGTCGATATCGCAATACGCAACGTGATGTCCGGAGAGCCTCCCAAAGTCTTTCAGTTCCTGCCAAATATATGTAAGACAGCAACCTGAGAAATGGAGCTCATCATCACACCTGCCAACAGACATGACGAGGAATACCGGCAACAGCTACTGGAAATCGCATGCCTCTGTTATTTGTGCATTAGACAAGCGAAACTGAGTGAAGCACGCTCACCTTGGAACGCGTTCGTTCCTGGCGAGATTGCTGGTATCGGCGAGGGCTGCTACATCCTTTCGCAACGGGTGTGCAAACTCAATGGTAATGCCTGTTATGATGTGCTGGTGAACGCTCAGCCATTTTAAGACGCGTCAAAGCTCACGTTTACACAAAAAATCCTTTTCTTTGAACGTCTCCAGTACGGTTCTAGCGTCCTAAAATGGTGTCAAAACGCGTTAGATAAAGAAATGAAGAACACACGTCTAGAGATTCAAATTCGACAAAACCGTAGGCTGTCCGCCACTCATGAGCATGAAACGTCAAGCATACGACAACTCCGCTCACAGTGTCCCGACACGAGCTTCACTTCAGTTATTTTGCCGTATGGTGCCAGGAACTGCCACCGCCGAACAATGGTGAGCTATCTTATTGACAGTGAGTTTTAAGAACACTTACCGCCTCGATTTCGTCCTCTGAGGCAGTCTCCGGAAGGTCTGGTGCAGTAGAAATGAGATGGATCCTGCTGCAGCAGATTGAATAAATGAGGAGCTAACCTCGTAAATAGAGTCTTTTGGAGGAAAACATGATAAAGAGCGTGGGCCCGAGTCAGAAGATGGGGGAAAGAGAGAGAGAATGAAAACGGCAACCAAGCATGGCGCGTGAAAGATTGGCAAGTAATTTAGAAGACCTATCAATCGTCGGTCCCGGACCACGGCTCCCTCCATGTGGACTACGTCAAGGTGGATCCAGCTTTCTGTTAATGCCATTGCAGAAAATACGTCTATATTTCAGGCGTCCTCTGAGGTACAAAGGTGCAGCTACAATTTACTCTTAATAGATGCTACCTTTTGTAGACCAATTCGCAGGCCATCCTTGAGATCCTGCAATACACTGTCAGTAAATTGTGACGACTGCTACAAAAGAAGGACACACTTCAACATCTTCGACCCCGATGCTAATCCTGATTAGCCTTGGATCTTCTCTAACATCCGCTCGAGCCCTGTATTCAATGAGTGATTCTACGCCGCCAAGACTTGTCGCAGCCTGCATAACTCGAGTCAAATCGTTTCCAAGATAGTTCAAGAGATGATATCACTGACAACGAAATATTTTACGGTATGTGGGAGCTGGATAGCCTGCTCGGGAGTTGCCAGCTAAGTGACTTGTGTTAAGAGACCGTCTAGAGGAAGAGAAAGATAGGCGATACCTGGATAGCAAATGTGCCGTTCCATCCGCCTTCCATCTGATGTTTAGGTTCGAACCCTCTTGCATCCTTGGTCTGCAAGGACGAATGCCAAACCTTGGTGACGAGCCCACCTGGAACGCCGTCGAATGTCTGGCCTTCGGGTGTTCGCTCCGCTGACTGTAGCCACTTTGCTAAAACGGTCGCCGTCTCGGATTGACGCGGAACTCGAAGATGCAGAGTGCGTAGAGAACGGAGAAGTAACCAGGCTTCAAGGGATCCTAGTACATTTCCGAGGTACGTCCTATCATGTTGCAGCTATACATAGCAGGTCAAATTAGACGCTGTCGTAAAAGAGCGAGACGGGGCTAACAGTCGTCCATTCGTCCAGTGTTTTTACAACAAGCACGCCACCGAGTAGATCAGAATGACCGCCCAAGTATTTGGTCGCTAGCAACTTGCGTAAGACTTTACAGCATCGCCGTTATCACATAATATACCTGAATGAAGGATACTTATCGAAAGAATGAAAAACAAGCTTCCTGTTGTGGAAACATAATAGCGCGTACCAGTCTGCACCCCATTTGAATGGGTACTGGAGAGGTGGCGGCGCAAAGGTGGAATCTACCAGTAGTTTTCCTCCCGCCTTGTGTACCTATTATATCATAGGTAAGGACGGCCGAGGGCATAGTGAGAACCACGGAACCTTGTCAGCATAATAAGCAATGTCCCTAGAAACAGAAGCGACGGTTAACGGTAAACCTAGGAATAGAAGAGCGCTGAGTACCTTGATTCTCCTGTTGGGTTTAATGGTGTCTCCAACCAGCACAGGTCGCCGGGCTGGAACTCATCGTCAAGGTCAATCATCTCCAAGTTTGTGTCTCGGCTTTTGCTGTACACCTCTATAGTAGCATGGCATCCAAAGTAGCTTCCGTTCATTGCAACACGCTTGGGCTTGAAGAAAACGAGCGCCTTGAAGTGCGAGATGAGAAGTTATGAAAATTGAGTTCTGGGAAATCGTACAGCATACGCAGCCGACAGCCCAGACGCGTATGTAAGGGCATGTCCACCCTTTCCAAGAACATCAGCTTCAGTGTGGCCTGTATTCCGTCCTGTCTTATTGAACATACGTTGATTTTACTCAAAATGTGCTCGGCGCGAGTGCTAACATCTTGGGTGTACCGAGAATATACGTGTCGCTCTGGGTTCTTGAAGTCCACATTGTCGAGTCTTTCTTCCGGAGAGCTCGCCTTGAATGCTATATACGCGGATCACTTGTCGAGCAAAGAAGAAGGGGATCACTGATCACTGACTTGATGAAACAGAGATGGACGGAGCGACTTCGCCCCCACCGGTTGGATGTACAGTTTCATCACCGTGAACGAGAACAGTGCCAGTAAATTTGGTGCTCATGATAGAAATGGGTCGAGAAGAAGGGGCTGAATCTGTGACAAATTTACATTCATTTATTGTATGCAAAAGTTGCGCAATCTGACATGACTCGACCTTCGGATGTTCTTCGGACTCGACTTCTGCCGGTAATGGTCACTGTACAGGCTGTTTCGATTAGATACCAGTAATGTAATGCTATAATAATATATATTCGACGGAGTACTACTAGAGGCTCCCGCTTGGGTCTTGCTCCAACAGTCCTGAATCCCGCATAAAAGACTTCCACTGCTCATCTATTCCTGAATCTCCTGACATCATCATCCCAAGATCCACCAGCTTCACGGTAGCGTCGTCGATCATAGCGTCCCTTGCACTATTCAAAGAATACAGGTCGGATGCCAAAAAAGAGGAATCGAGTTCATGATAAAATGACGACGGTGTCGATTCGTTCATCTGAGGCGGGACACTGTACACCGGATATATGGACGACGGTGAGGACTGTCCAGACTGTTTATCCGAGGTAGTAAGCGACTGTGTGAATCCAGAGGGAAAAGCCATAGAAGAGGTTACTTGAGTCTTTGCTTGTTCTACAGAAGTTTGTGAAGCGAGGGGTTCCCGCGGCGGAGACAGACGTGGATGCTGTGAAGGAGGTAGAAGGGATAGATACTCGACTAAAGATGGATGCACATCTGGCACGCTATTAGATGGACTTGGCGCCTGACTGTCGTTTTGATGAGCTTCGCGAGAAGCAGACATTGCTTTTGTAGGATTGACAGATGGAGGATTTGGAGAGCTGATGGAAGGTGAAGATGAAGATGAAGGCGTCTTCCTGTTCACTCCCCTCGAAGACATAATTTTGCTAAAGAGTATTCGCGTTTGCCCGCCAAACAAAGCTAACTCGTCGTCTCCGTAATCTGAGCCTACTGGAGCACTAGGTGGCGGGGGATTTCCAGAACGGAACTGAGAGTATATCTGGAATGCCTTGTTTTTGAGTGAGTATAAGATACCCTAGGATGTCTGGTCAATAAAGGTTAATTATATATGGGGATCGGACACGCACAATACCGCTTCTCGCCCGACGCGAATGGTGGGAACCCTTCTCGAATAGATCACAGGCAAGACCCAATTCAATGAAGGCGTTGGCTGCCATGCTAGAGGAAGGAGAACGTGTTACTATAGAGCCAACTATTATCTAGACAGAGTCAACGAGGACAAGTGGACTTGAGATCAGAACATACCGCTGCTGAAAACACTATGCGCATGTTAGGCCGTCTGAAGAAGACATAAATGACGAGACTCACGATGAGTCCAGACACCCCACCACCTACAACACAATTCCGGGAAACGATCGTAATAGTTCAGACTAGACTTGATTACACCAGAGGCACATCGATACGCAGCTAGGAACGAAGGTGCATAGGGACTCCGAAGAGGGTTGATGGGGTGATCAAGCATCGCCTGAGCGAAAAAGCTGCGGTGAATGTACAAAAGAGCTTTGAATGCATCCAGTCAGTAATCCGACCAATTGATATGTCTGGGAAAAAATGATAACGCACTGACAGTGCGGTATTGCCCCAACAAACAACCGTGCATGAATGCAGAAGGAGAACAGTTTTCATCCTCTGGATTCATGAAAACGTTGAGATGTGGTGGTAAGACCTTCTCTCGTACTTTGCGATCTAAATCAAGAATAGTTTGGTAGCTTGGCGCCTCCGCGGTAAGGGTCAGCTCGAGAATATCCGAGAATATCTCCTTGCAGAATTCATATTTCCACTGATAATCTGGACGTTGGTCCTATGAGAAAGGGGTTTTAAGACAGTCATATGGAATCTTACATCCAACTTTGACTTGGCCATTTTCATCCAAGGATGCCTCGTCATCTGTCGGGTATTCACAGTCAACATACGATAAACGAATGGAGGGAGGCCGGCCGAGGGCAATGCTCTGTTCCATGACGAGTCAGAGCCTATAAATTTACGTGACGTAATGGTAGACGCACATGGAATAAATCTGCGCAAAATATTTCATAGAATAGAGACCTGCGACGTTGCACTGTCTTAGCGTCCATTTTCCATCGGGCACTGTCCCGATCTGTAATCTTCGCTTGAGAACTCGTTGAAGCAACGAGGTCGGCAATACCTACGTAATCCTAACTGCAACCCAGACAAAAAATGAGCCAAAATGATAAGAGATGTAGCCCTGGAACGCACACTTTGAGCCAGTTTTGCGCCCAGAGACATGATGTTCCACTGATAGAGACCTGGTTAAGGTCTCACCATAATCAATTTGACGTCTGTCTTACCGTGCTGTCCATTGTGTATCGCTTGCCTCCCATACCATGAAAAGATGCTATGAGGACAACAGCCTGTACTGTGGCAATCTCTGGAGAATCGAAGAGTGAGCGTAAAGACAGGGCAGCGCGGCTCAGATGATAGTAGTGTTCGGATTCGTAATTATCTATGTTCAGTGAGATCAATGCATACTTTTGAGGTGTAGACGACGTACACGGCTCCAATGTCAAGTCAACCAGGGATCCAATAGCGAAAAGTATGAAAAGAACAGCGAGTTTATGTGATGATATTGTTTGAGCAGCTGACACGGCGCCATTCTTACGTTCCTTTGCACACTTGTATGCTGGTGTTAGTATGTCGTCAACTATTTCGTCACGTTGTAACGGTCGAAAAGACCAAGAAGCATGCTCGAGGTACGTTTCACACAGGGCCCAAGCTCGTGGTCTTTCCGGCAAATGATCGATGAGAGTATCCAGAGCCTTGTCCCAATTGACACCACCGTCAGCAGTAAACGGGAAAGAGTTTGAAAGTCGAGCAACCTCCAAAGGAATGGGCGGATAGTCGTCTTCAACGGAAGTCATCTCCATATCAGCACCAGCCTATAGGCTAACCATGAATGACAATCTCAAAGGTTGAAAGGCACTATACCAAAAACAACGTCTATGAGAAAGTTAGTGTAAGGAAAGCACAGCGATATATGCAATCTCACCTCCGAGCCAGCTGAGCGACCGAAGTACTTAGCTTCGCCATGGTCGCCTATTGTGAGAGTACCCAGAGCATCGATAGCATCGACGGATAGGTCGGAGGAGCGCTTCTCAGGTGCTTTACCATTCTCCGGGCCGAACTTAATCGCCAAAAGATCTTCCCGTAATAGTGCATGACACTCGTTGGATACGCCGGCTTGGAATATGGCCAGGGCATCTTCCAGTTGCCGTATACGTTGGCCCATTTCTGATATTTTGTTATGTAGTTGGGTTGTATCCGCAAGCACGAATCTGATTTTGAAGTTTAGACCCACAACCCCACAATATTGAAAATCAGGCACCTGGTCCCCTGGCCCGTGGATAGGCTTCCATTAGGGCAGATGGATGGACAGCCTCGGCGAACTATGAGAAAGTTATACACCAGTACGATGAATACAGAGCAAAGACGCACTGCACGAGCTACATGGCAGTTTTTTGTCGCATTTGAGCTGCACGTACGTACACGATCAACGATGATCCTTTGACTGAGAGCGTTGTCAGACCTTCAATCTTCTACATTCAGCACAGGATATCTAATGAATCATAACGATAAGAAAACTAAAAAAAGGTGAGAATTCGATGCACCTCTCCCCGGGCGCGTCTGGCGTCAATATCGTCGTCGTAAGTAGAGTGCTTGCGGGTCGTTCGTCTAGAGTTGTCGACAGGCATGACGCTGTCGGGGCAGAAGCGGGGAGGAGTGGTGATGGGTGATTCACTGCTGAGTGAGAAAATGCCGTATTAGCGGCTGAAACAGACGTCTATTTTTACCGTCGGGCCGGTCATCGGCACAGTCGCGGCACCGATGGGCTTGGGCTTCAAGCACACTGCAAATAAACACGTGATCGTGCTTTCTCCGAGACAATTCCGTCCCTTTCTTGAAGTTCTTTCTGTTCATCGTCGACCACCAACTTCAATATCGGGTCTCGCCTTTGTCATGGTCGCATCTTTCTCTCTATACACCAAGTTTATGGTCGTTCTGGCCCTGGCGTGCTCAGCTCAGACACTTTCTATACCATTACCGCAACGCGATCCTTCACCTTCCATTTATACAACTGCACATTCGCTGGGCGATTCATACCATTTCCATCATCAAGACGGATGGATGACTTATAACGCTTCTAACCTTTCTACGAGGTCTGGTAGTGACGAAGAAATAGACAGTGGACTAGTAAAAAGGTCCAAGGAGGCGGACAAGAAGCTAAAGGGACACAAGAAGCTGCATGGGAGCAAAAAGCTAAAGGCAAAGCCAGGCAAGTACGACTTTTCCAAGGCATTTTCAGCAAGTAGTGTCATTGGAGGCGCGATAAAGAAGATCGTGAACACCGTTCAGGTCATCATCACCTGGTAAAGCGCCCAATTTTTACGACATAACTCCTACTCAATACATAGATGACAGGTATACCGGCGAAGACCTTTTGAACCCTAGCTGTTGGCCGCAACCAGTCTGGACACCAACGGTACCTTTGACTATCTTTATGTTGTTACTTGTGGCGTTTATCAGTTCATTTAGGACCAGTCCTTTGTCAGCGCTATCACAGAAATAGGATGGGAGGGCCGTCCAAAATGTTTTGACTTCCTTGAACGTAAGCTGCATTGCTGTTTCTTGGTTCCTTCTCTCATCACTCCCTTTTAGTTTGCAACGGTCCTCAAAAATGTATCTTCTGTCGAGTCGTGGATACTTGCGCCGGTTGCGCTCCGGGATCTAAACATGTTGACCTGACAAAATCTGCATTCTCAGCGCTCGCGGACATTAATGTAGGCCTTCTTACAGTTCAGCTCAGGCTTGCCTCAGAACCGGAAGTGTGGAACGAAGAGCTATGGGGACCCCAGGCCAGATGAAGTTCCTTCGCTCCGCCTTTCGCTACATGATGGACACTACGGCACATTTTGTATAGTAAACCATTGGGATTGTAAACATATGATATGTATTTACTAGAAAGCAATGTATCCTCCACAAATACTACTTACGATACATGTACAAGGATTGTCATGCCTTGATCGCAACGCGTTTGCGTTTTCTTCCTTCTGCGATTCTGGTGCGGACACTCTCTTCGTCCATACCTTCTTCTTCGTAGAATTGTACACTCCGGTCATGATCATTCCTTCGGCGCATGTACTGTAATGCCGCCAAATTGTACGAGATAGTATCTTTCTGTCGTCGAAGAGCATCGCGTAAATGTTTTCGTAGAGGAATGAGCGCACGTCCGCATGATGCGGTTGGCTACAATCTGGTGGTGGTGGGTTCGGAGTAAGAAAAACAATATACGAGACACAAGAACAATGTTCCACTCCTAGAAACAAACAAACAAACATCATAAAGCAGCCGACGGATGATGTCAACACGCATACTAACCTTTTGCGCCCATATGTTAAGGTAATTCATCAAGGAGACCACTTTACCAAACGGCAGGACCAGCAAAGCATCGTGTAGTGACGTACTCTGGACCTTTTCCACGACCCGGAGGACATAAGCCTCGGGCCCGAGATCATATGCAGCTAGAATGGGGTTACGAGGAGGTGGCTGCAACCTCATGGCATCGTCGTTCGATAGGCGAGCCATCGCATCCTCGTGTTCTTGGAAAATTCTTCGCTCTTCATCGGCAAGCATAAGAGCCTCCATGATACGCTCTCCATCCATAAGTGTCTCTGCAGTTTGTTTAGTGACCGCTGTTGCTTCGGTTTGGTTAGGTATTCCATCGTTCCCGGAGTCACGATTCAGGGAATCAGCTATCCCATTTTCGTACATATTCTCGAGTTCCTTTTCTCGCTCCTCTTCTAGAAAGAGCTGGTAACCATTATCAGCGGGGCCGGAGTTGCGAGACACGTTAGAAAGCACCTACTGGCTCGTCAAGTTTCTCCCATACACGAATCGACTTGTCATGTGAACCGGTCACCACGAAGTTTCCATGGTGGCTTAAGGCAAGCGCCCACACTTCTCGGTGGTGCCCCTCAAGCTTCTGGATGTTTTCAAACTACACGGCATCCTGGTCGGCAGATTGAACACGGCGAACAAACCACTGCGCACCTTATCACCATCCCAATATTTCAGCATGCTGTCTTTCCCAACGGTCCAGAAATAATGTGACTGATGCTCAAAAGCCACTTGCATGACACTTTCATCGTGGGCAAAAATCGACTTGTGGCAATCCCCGAAATCAAGCCCCCAGATCTTCACGTTCTTGTCGGCAGAACAGGTTACAATAATTTTGGAGTCGTGTGAAATATCCATGGACAAGACTGGAAGCTAGTTTGTCCTTCAGGGGATTGAATGGCGGTAGACCGAGATTGCGAACCTTATGACCATACAAAGAGAGGAAAAATTTGAGGGAATCTTGATAGAACACTTTGACTGTCGAGTCCAGTAGCGACACTGCGAGAAGTTTTCCATTGGGACTGTACCGCACGGACAAAACATCATCAGTCATCTTCAGTGTCCTTATATGGGTCAGAGTCAGAGCCCTAGTCTGAAAATTTCCAGATCAGTAATAATATTATCCGAGAACTGGCGGGGGAACCAACTTGGTCTTCCCTGGGTTTCTCCTCGATATCCCAGAATTTCACATCCTTATCTGCACTTCCACTGACTACTGCGTTTCCATCAGCACGTACATGCAAAGACCAAACAGTGCCAGAGTGTGCATTTATAGTCTCGATGAGAGAAGACGAGGCAAGATCATATACCAGAATTTCGCCATTTTTGGTTCCGACGATAACCTGCGACGAGATCAGACATAACTAGCGGCGACGAAGTGTGACTTACATGGCGATCGCCAGGAAGAAAAGTGCTACAAATTGAGTGACCACAATCCATGGTACGTATGCACGAGTTTGTTTTCATGTTCCATATTTTCAACGAGCCTTCGGAACCATCACTGATATGTATATTGAAATACTGTTGGTACGTACCATTCGAAGTTGAGGCTAATAGCTGGTCATCTGAACTCAAGGACAATGAACGTATATCTGTCCTATGGCCAGGTAGGTCTACCGAGAACAGCCGGATAGCTTCTTCAGGACCTTCTTTCGACTTCACAGGCGGTGGAATATTATACACCTCTATGGCGTTTGAAGATAGGGCCAGCAATATCTATACAGTGGATCAGAACCAGACGAATCGCAAATTATAGAAACTGAGGGCAGACCTGGACACCTTTACCTGCAGTACCTTCTCCGCCAAAGTCAAACGACCTTATTTTACCACTAGCTCGCACAACAACGTGAGGCGTGAATAAATCAACCAGCGCGACATCTTTTTCTTCCGTGCCTTCATTTAAATCATCCTTCCCCTCCTTTCCTAGCTTCTCTTTCTTCTCCTTGGCCCTTTTCCTTCTTCGAGCTTGTTTCTTCAGTACTTCCTCCTCTGTCCGTATCCGGAAAATCTCGACTGTGCGGTCATGAGACTGGACAGCAAGGTAGGGTTTTGAAGGGTGGAAAGCAATGCCGGAGACGCGATGATTAGAAGAAAGTGGGAGGCTAGACAGAGGCGTGATCATTTTTGAAACCTACATGCGGTTTGATAAAATGCAAAGACGATTAGACGAGGTGGGAATCATACCTCTCCAGATTCGGTCTCCGTCAGTCCCTCCAATAAGGCGTCATGATCGATTTTCCATGCCTTGAGCTCCCCTTCACCGCTTCCAGTAAAAATCAAGTTCTGATTTACATTCAAGTCCATGGACCAGACGTCTGAACGATGGGCAATCACTGTTTGGACACAGTGTTGTGTTGACAGATCCCAAAACTTCAAAAATGTGTCCTTTGAGATAGTGAGAAGAAAACCAGAGAACGAAGCATTCGACGTAGATGGCAAATTGTCAGCTGCTTTGAGGAAGCGAATCGCAGTTATTTGATCCCGATGTCCGCGAAGACTAGACAAACTACGTTGAATATTCCAAGATGCACAAGAATAGATACATACCGGAAAAGACCAGCCTCGGCGACGACATCCCAAACGATGAGGTCGGTATCCTGCGATCCCGATGCCAAACGAGTTCCTTCTTCGTCGAAAGCAAGAGCCGTGACCGACTTCTTGTGGCCATTGAAAGTAGACATAACAGAGCCACTGCCTGCATCCCACAAACGAATAGAACCATCAGCATACCCGACTGCAAAAGTTTCTTTTCGGGGGGAGCGAATAATACAAGTAACTTCTGCTCGATGTCCTGTTTCGTGCCACATTGCAATCTGTAGGATGTTGAGAATATAAAGAAGAGCATAATTAAACTGTAACCTGCCATTTGTCCCTTTTTCACATCCCATACCAGCACATCTTCAAGGGCTGGGACATAGGCGAATTTGCCATCGTAGACAGAGTTTGACGAAGCACTGCATATCAGACCAAAAGCCTAATTCCAGCTCAGTAAGTTTCTCGTATGTTTCAATAAGAGCTTGCCTGTGTAGGCCCATGACGAAGATAACTCTGCACCATCTGAGGGTGGAAGGAAAGGACAGACCAAAAATTTGAAGATTTTCAATACCACGTGACCCGATCGACCCTTCCTCGTCACTGTTGCCGGTGACCTCAACAGTCTAGAATGATGATGTACCCTTCCAGTCCGGAGGCTGCGACCCGCTTGCTTGCCTTCTTGAACGCATCGCCCACGCCCTTCCATGCTGTCCACAACGCTGCAGTTCGCCTGGAGAGCGCTGGTTTCCGAAAGGTATACTCTTGGTATCGGTCAAATATCTGGTTCTGAATTCATACTGTAGCTTCGAGAGTTGGACAACTGGGACAAGGAAATAAAGGCTGGCGGAAAGTACTACTTTGTTCGGTATGGCATGGCATACTTGTTTCAGTATCTTGGGCTGAAGATCAAATAGGAACCAGGCAGCTCTTGTCGCGTTTACTCTCCCTCCACAATGGAAATACGGATCCGGCCTCAGTATCATTGCGACACACGTCGATAGTCCCAATCTGCGAGTATGTATCCTCACCGTGGCTTTGCCACGTCGCTCACGTTCATAATCAGGTCAGGCCAGTCTCAAAGAAAGCCAAGGCCGGGTTCCTGCAAGTAGGCGTCGAGACGTACGGCGGAGGAATATGGCACTCGTGGCTAGATCGTGATCTTTCTTTGGCTGGACGCGTTGTCGTGGCTGACTCTACTGGAAACTTCAACTCACGATTGGTCAAGATCGACAGGCCTCTTCTCCGAATCCCAACCCTTGCTATTCACCGTGAGTAGCGTTAAATCGAGCCCGTAAATTGTTCTTGACAGAGATATTAGTGGACCGGAATGTGAACGACAGTTTCAAGTTCAACCAGGAAACAGAATTCGTTCCTATTCTCGGCCTTATCGCAAACAAGTTGAATAAATCCAAGGACTCTACGGACACGCCACACACCGAGAGCAAGGCTTCAAGCATTCAGACCAACCATCATTCAGAACTACTGTCCGTCATTGCCGGAGAGCTGTCTGTCGCCCCGGAAGAGATCCATGACTTTGAATTGTATGTTGTAACCGTCTTCGATGTCTTCTTCCTTCTGAATGTTGATAGGTCATTGTACGACACACAACCATCAGTGTTAGGAGGCCTGGACAACGAATTCGTTTTCAGTCCCCGTCTGGATAATCTATTCTCCTCGTAAGTGCATTATCATCAGACTGCCGTGACCGTGTTAAGCGTCAATCTCCTCTAGATTTTGCGCAGTAGACGCCATGTGTGAGAGCGCCTCTGTTCAGAATATACCAGATCTTGATGGCAACGTAAACTGCATCGCCCTGTTCAATCATGAAGAGATAGGCAGTGTCTCAATGTCTGGTGCTGAGTCCAACCTCATACCCTCCCTCCTCAGTCGGCTCTCCCCCACACCAGGAGCGCTAGCTTACTCTATCGCCAAGTCATTCTTGATTTCTTGTGACATGGGTCATGCTCTACATCCCAATTTTATTTCGAAGCATGAAGAAAATCATACCCCTTCTATCAACGGAGGTGTCGTTATCAAGACGAATGCCAAACAACGCTACACCTCGGATGCAGTGAGTTCGTTCGTCGTTAAGCAGCTTATCGAGAAGAAAGGCGGTAAGGTTCAAGAATATGAAGTCAGGAATGATATGTCAGTGCTTCGACATTAGATATAGCAATATGCGCCTAATTTTACTATCACTTAGGTCTTGCGGATCTACAGTAGGACCACATCTGTCCACCATTGGCATGCGTACTGTCGACATTGGCCTCGCTATGTTATCCATGCACTCCATCAGGGAGACTGCGGGGTCTCATGACGTCCAGAATGCCATTGACCTGTTTACCTCATTCTTTGAGGGCTTTGCCAAGCTGGACAAGAGTTTGACAGTGGATTGACTTCCACACCGACAATGTGGAATTGGGAAAGACTGCTCACTTGGGGTTGGGCGAACAGGAATATCGTCATCGATCAATTCAGGGTAATTCAGGGCACTGCACATACAGTAACAATACAGATGCTCCAATACACTGTGATATCAATCCTCCAAAGGTACCCCGATGGACTTGTGAACCTGATGATGTTCAATGCTCATCGCCTAAAGGTATTTCCGATGCCCTGCTATCACCCCCGATGAATAAAGCACTTGTGGTCAAGACGTGACATATCATCGTTTTGACTTCTTGCTGGGACCTGGCCTTGAACTTGAATCAGACAGCATACTCCGTTTCTTGGCCGTCCGTGAGTAATGTGCCAAAACCCATTCTCGTTCGGCCTCCGCCTGTTCAATTGTGCCTTGGCGGATCTCGTACGCTATTCCAAATTATTAGCAAGAGACAAGGTTCCAGCAGAAGGTACCTGATGGTACATACGCTTCATCTCAAAGCGAGGTCCAACTTCCGCCAGCTGTACCTGTCGGGGTATTTTTACAAATACATGGTGCCTGGCTTCTGGTCAAACAGAATGCCCACAAAATATACGGCAATGAGCTCTCACCGGAATGATATGAAGTCGTCTTCATTGGCAAATGTCATCACACGTTTACTATCCTCCTTAGGGACTGGGAACAAATATTTTAGAACATCTCGTACACGTTCTCCGAGTTTGGATGAGAAGTTTTCGAAGATGAGATGCGGATATTGTTCAGAGACGGTAGAGTTTTGATATGTGGCTATATCATGTCGAAGAGCGACGTTGCTCAATGTGAAGTAGACAGTGGGTCCATGAGGGAAATGGGATACAATCATGGCATCTAGGAGCACATGTTAGCGGCAGCGTCGAACTTCGCCGTCGGTAATATTCACCTGGTTTACCACGATGCTCGTGTAAAACTATTAGGTCTGTAACATCATTTGCGCGACAAGCATCGGCCAATTCCTTGACAACGTAGTTTCCGCGATTGATTCGGTGAGAGTTCGGGAATACCAGTCGCATTTCCTAGTTTTCGGCATGAACGTTATCGCCTACAGACAAAGACAGGGCATATGTACAAACTTTGGAAAACTGGAGGAGCTTTGATGACGGGTCCCGGGAAGTCGTAATGACAATTTTCGGGTCTGAGATACCGGCACGGGAATACTCATTATCGATATGTGTAGTTGGATCTAAAGATATTCAGTGACAGCTATGCATACAGCCATCTCGCACGCACCTGTCTGAGCCTCGTCGAATTCAAGCTCCTTTCCCAGCTTTTTTGCATCCTTTTTCAGCTCCGTCAGCAGTAACTGTCCATTATTCAGGGCGTCCTTGAGCTGCTGTTTGCGTTCGTACGTTTGCCGCTCCTGCGCTTCTAGCGACTTTGCATAAACATATGAGCGTCGTTCTCGAATTTGACGACGAAGCTAATGAAACGATGAGTAGGAACCGAGAATTGCAATTGTTGGCACTTACCATGATGAAAACCGTCGTTGAAGTGTTTAGGAAACTTGAAAGAAAGAAAAGTTTTGGAAGCCACGTGGAAGTGTCGGTCTATCTCGGTCCGTTGTCCCGCTACGCTAATCCGAACGCATATTTTTTTTTTCATTCACAGCTTCTATCAACATCCGGCTCCTTCCTCTTGGTCAAATGTCATATCCAACATCTAACCCGGAAACTGCGGTATCTTCGTCTCTTCGGTACCGTTCTGTTTACACGGTTCTAGTCTTGGCTGCCTCTTCGTTTAACATATGATAATGCCGGTGCCATTGTCATCTTGCCACAAATGCATACAACTGTATTAAATTTTACTAAGCTGGCTCTGATAGGTTGACTCCTCGTGCAAATATATGTATACCAAGCGCAAGAAACCCCAGACCAATCCCACAGCGCAATATACGCTAGTAGTCATAAGCGGCAAAAATTCCATTCTCGCCAAGGACGAGTCGTCACAAGGTATGTCAGACGAAGGTCCACAATCCTGCGTATATGCCGTGATCATTGGGTAGAAGGTAACAAATAGCTGGAGCAGAAAGAATCCCGCGAGATATAACTTCTCGAGAATATCAAGGATCACAAAGAACAGTGATTTCGGCAACCTTAGGGGCAACATGTCAGTCGGGAACCTATCTCAGCAAACGAAGCTCACTCATAAACGCGACGTGATAATGGTTGGTACACGAAAAGGAGCCATAGCGCAGAATATATCACTTCGATCAGGGACTCTAGAAGCAAGAAGTCAGAACACGAAGGGATAAGTCCTAGTGTACCCACCAGCCGGAGTAAACAAAAGAGGAAAGAGAGAAAAGATCCCTGATACGCTGGCAATCATGAATGTCCGAAAATATGCTTGCCTTTCCGCAGCAAGTAAGCTGCACCAATGTCAGTACTTGTCGCTGGGTATTGTATCCAGTACTAACCTGAGAGGAACGAGGACCAATAATACCGCTTTCTCGTGAACATGCCAACCAAACAAATAAGATGCGTATCCACAAAGCGTCAGCGCGGTCAAGAAGGATTTATACGTTGGATTAGACCAGAGTTTCAACAACACTATCTGCGTCATTATCGGTCAACCCGGAGGTGACGGTGATGGTGAGAGAATACGAACCGATTGAAAGGCAAGCGTCAGCGTGAACGTATGGATAGGCTGAACATTGGGTAAAACAGCAAAAACGGTGTCTCCAACTAGTCCCCGTGACGCCGATATGACACCAGGTTCATTGATAACCATGTCGGCACCGACCCTTCGTGCATCTAATAGAGCTGAATTAGCCAAAGGTAGCATACGTAGCGCAGGAAATATCACATCGAAGGAGAACACGATCAGCAAATGTCACAAGCGCCCATACATTTGGAGCCCAATATGCATGATTGAGTCCACGAGTGAATGGAAATAAACGACTAAGAAGCTGTGGCAATTGTCCCATGACAAGGAAGGGACCCAGAGACACCAAAAATACCGCAATGACCGAATTGGCCAGTGAAAGGAAGTTCTTGATTTGGATTTCCCCCGATGAAGAAAAACAATACGATCCAAGAAGATAGACGAAATATGCTGGCTGAAAGGTATCAGCCTAAGAGTACGGAAACTAGAGATGGATGGCGCCCGTACTGCAAGATACATGTAGATGTGCTTGAAGTTTAGAAGGACAGCGAAAAGAATACCGCTAGCAAGTCTGTTTCCCTGTGCGGCCGCGCAGAATCTTAATATAAAGATGCACAAGAGAAGAGCGAGAAACGAACGTTGCGGGCCATAAGAATAGACCAAAGCAAGATGCCAAACATAAATCCGTTGTATTGAAAATGCATATGATCGACTATAAGGAATCCGGGATGAAGAAACAGGGAAGCAGATATGATCCTCTGCATCCTTGGGTCGACAGCATCTCGTACGAATCTAAGGTGTAACGACGTGAGAAGCGATTTCAAGACAATTGGTCACGCTACCTTAATAGAGCTGCTCCAAGAACAAGTTCTGTAGCTAGCACCGTGAAGCGCTGGTATGCAATAACAGACCAAGAATCATAATTTAAGTTATTCAAGTCGACGATTTTTGGATCTATGAAAGAGGCCGGTATGGAAAGTAGTTTCTCAAAATAAGCAAAGAACGGAGGATAATCCAGTGCTAGACGTAAAAAATAATTGAAAATGATGTATGATTGGCATAGTTTCCATGTACTCACTCCATTCTGATGTTGTCTAGCACGTGTAAATGTTATTCATGTCGACTGCAGAAAACGTCTCCGAATACGCACATCATAATACCATTGGGAGATCGGGAGAGAATGAGTGATGGCCAGCCAGTTTCTGTGGACTTCAAAGTCCGTCGAACGACTGTTTCGTGGGCGTTACCAAGGCTCAGGCGCCGAAACATCTCACGTACTAGGCTGGGAATAAGAGCAACTTCAGCGCAGTCGAGAATATGAAGCACGTCCCACTCGGAGGGCTTGCAAATGCCAGCCACGGAGATGCACCAGCTTCTGCGCTGTCATCTTTGGATTCTGTAGCTGGGACCATGTGTTGGGCAAGAGGCCGAATACGAAGAAATGATTGAAGAACAATTGTCTGTGTGCGTCCTCGAGTCTCGACTGGACACGCAACACGTGTAAGTCACGTGCATACTTCGAGTGCGGTCTCGGGCCGACTGACACTTGTCTCCTCAAACTGTCAACAAGTTCTTTGCTCCACACCAGAGCTTCACACCGACATGGAGCAAGCAGCGATTGCCAACGTAAATGCCAAGACGGCTTCAAGGTGAGGTTGACCCAGGGTTTGCTAGGAGTTTAAATTTACAGGGCATATTGGTAGGAGCACACTTGCGCAACTTGTTCTCTTCAGTCTGTCCCTCGGCATCCTTCCGATATCATCATACTTTCTCTCGCTGAAATATGTATGGCAAGGTACATCATGCCCATTTAGAGTATCTTCAAGGAAAATTTACTGTTCTATCTTTTTTCAGGTAACTCAACATGGGCGGCAATCACAGCTGTTGCTGCTGCCAACATCGTTCTTGTCGCTTATATCTTCGCTTCCTTACGAGACGATATCAGATCTACAGCCTTGAAACCTCCCATTAAAGATTCTGAAACCAAGAAGGAACGCTAACTACAACATTATTGCCTATGTGTACATGACAGGATTGTCTAGGAGTCTGAAATGCTATGTACAATAAAAATACAATTAATTCAATGTCTAGGGTCCTTCCATCCAGTGGAGCTATCTTACAGAAAAAAACGAACACAGGACTTGATCCCGATGTCAGATCACTACAAAAGATCTAGACAGCATATCCCCACTGAACCACCGTTTCTCCGGGGGAGCCTGCCTATTCTGAATGTCAGCGATGCAATTCAAAGGTCAACGTACATGCGACTAACCGAGCGCGCGCTATATGAGGATGATCGTCCACCAGTCTTACGTGGTGTAGTTGCTAATGGAAATTTGGACCGCCCGATTGCTCTTGAAGGATGTATGGATTCGCTACTGGTTATGCGATGCGAGGGCAGCTGTGATTGCTCCGTAAGAGCACTTCGATCGATTGGGATGCCAGGTGGGTGGGTTTGAAAGGACCGAGCCAGTGGAGAAGTAGGCGGGCTTTGAAATGAGCGCATACTTGGAGAAGTAGGGGGACTTGGGAATGACCGGGCCATCGGAGAGGTGGGAGCACTTTGAATATTATAGGGCATAGGAGCATAAGCCCGAGTCCGCTCATTTATGTCCGAGTTGTGTTGGAATGCTGGAGTACGCGGTGAAATTGGGGGTGTACTTAACCTGGGTGTCCCGGTAGGAGTGGTGTCGGTCGAGTAGGCCGGGGAAGGGGGTAAGGGAATAATGGTAGGCGTAGGTAGCAGGACAAGAGGCTTAAGATTTTTCTTTCGGATCCGGAGAGGTGGCGGTGAGGGAAATAAGGAAAGGAATGGTTCTGTCTCGTTCACATCGATCAATTTACTTGGACGGCGAATATTGGCCTCGGAGGAACTACGCGACAAGGATTCCTTGACGTAAGGTAGATGAGATGTGGATCCAGTAATATGATAACGATTACGAAGAGAATGAGTGGAAGGGTCGAGAACAGCGTCGGGTATTATTCGTGTAGACCTGGATTTCGCTGTGGGGGGCATCACGCCATTGCGCCGCACCGCCGAAGGTGTAGGTTGGGCGGATTTCTTCTCGTGCGACCCTGCACCCTTGGACCCAACCTCAAGCAGAAGAGGGTCTTCATCGATGTCCTGTAAAAATCCTTTCCATACCCCATCAAGCTGGGGAAGGCGCTTATGCGCCTCTAGTACTTGGTGATCAGTCTCATCTGAATTTCGTTCATAAGGCCGCTGATGACGAGAACGCAGAGATGAGGGGACGGGAAGGGCGTATTTTAGGAGTGGAATTGGATGGGCTAGGATCTGAGGCAGTGTCGAGATTAAGGCTCGGTGGTCGAGGGGGGCGTGCTGGGCGGTGATATAGTACTTTGGGACCTTTTCTTCATCAATGAACGTGGAAAGGTAGAGAAGGACGATTTGGGTGGCGAGGAATTGCGAGCGTTAGTGGTCGACAACTCCTCACTTGAGCTAGGAGAAGATGTAGTTCTCTCCCTCTTCTTCCATGAATTTCGCAAGAAAGCGACGGGCTTCATGGTGGAGCGGTGACTGGGAGAAGCGAAGGTTTAGCAGATTCCGCTGTAACAATCATGAGTATGTCATTATATAGATGGTATGCGATAACAGCCTTGTGCATTGTACCTTGGATAAATCCAGCCGACTCGATGTCATGAGAATGTTCTGGTCTGATGCATCGACAAGAAGCGTCCTGGGAAAAGGAAGATCAATAGAACGTAGGTGGTGGGAGTTGGAACATATCGGAGCCGGAATCGAGGAATGATTTGGAGCGAACCTAATAGGCTATACGTATGTTGGGCGGAGTGGTCTCCTAAAAAGATCGACGACTCACGCTGACTTCCGTAATGAGAGTTCTGTCTCTTTAATTAAATTCGAAACAGTCCTGATCTCCTATATATATCTGCCATTGATAACTTGGCAAAGAGATCAGAGTACGTTTGGCAAGGTCATGAAGAATGTTGACCTACTTCAACGTTGGTATTATACTTCGCATCCGAAGCCTAAAAGCAAAGCATTTAGACCTTTGATAATTTTGCCTCATGCTAGGAGTCAATTGTATGTTGCTTCGACGCAGCAAATCCGATCTTCGCAACTCCGATCCTTCCTTATATGCTTACAAATACTTCCTCGTTAAGAGGCTGGCTGAGGACGCCCGAAGTCCAGTACATCAGCGATTGCTCTCCTCCGAAGAGATGTCGATCAAGACATATGTCGACGGGAACGACATTCAGTATTGACGGTGAAGACGGATCAAAAGCTCAGCGATTCTACGTTCTTTCAAGCTACATCCGTATCAGCGTATACTAGTAAATTCGGACGACAGGGACAGGGAAACTCGCCTGACAAGTCACTGTAAAGGGTGCGAGGTAGGCATTGCCCCTTGACGTCTAGGAGTCCTTTCGGCGTCTCTGGCCCTGCGACCATATGCATTACATCACGAGTTGAGTATATTGAAAGATGGGAGTGTATCCTGCCACATGGATTTCCGGACCAGCTCCGCTTTGAGCGCTTGGGCAAGCGCACATCTCAGTATTTTTATGAAAGCTTTCGACGTCATCTTAACAGTTGGTGGAGTATACATTCTTCATGTCAATACACGAGCTCGATACGTATCCTGAACTATTGCAGCATTAGAAGTTGGAACTGCAGAGATATCGCTCACTAACCTTAGGCCTAAACACTATATTGGGCATCTTGGATTATCGTTCTGATAAAGGGGATAACATCAGCTCTGCTTCATGAGGCGTATGCCTTGCTTGGATTTCATCGCCTCTAAGATATCACGGAGTTTTTTGACCGCAGCTTCTGTTGGTAAAGGTCTGCCCTCGGCTTCCATTGCCGCCAAGAATTCATCTAAATCATAGATGATGCCGAGTGGCAGAGGTATTTCTTCTTCCTTGCTCTCGTTGCTAGCTGTCTTCGTATCAGAAGAGTCGCCTTTTGCCTTGTTTTGACGCTCCACCTCAGCGTTGACCGCAAGTCCATCGACCTTTAGGAAGCCGTAGAAGCTGAGCCCGCGCCCTCCTAGCCAATGCATAGGGTCATTTTGCAATGCGAAACACCATCCTTCACCTTGGAAGGCATCAAAAGATACCTGAGGGAAAGAGGAAACGTGACGTTCGCTCCATCGCCGAGTTTCTGTCCTCAGAGCGGAGCCGAACGCGACTTGAGGGAAGAGCGAGCACTGGTCGGGACCGGCGAAACTGGGACGGTCCATCTCCGCATGTACAATAAGGGCGTCAGTAAGACCCTGTACAACCTTGGCGGGATTCAGAAAAGGAAGAGATGCGATAGGTATGCCGCCTCCGATTCCCGCGACAGAAATGAACGAGAACGCGTTATCGTAGGTAGCCGTCTTGGTGGCAGTGAGAAGATAGGGATGGATGAGATCATGAAGACGATAGAATATCTCTGGGTCGGACTTGAATAGGGTCTGCAAGTCGACAGCTTTGACAGACGTATCCAGCAGGACGAGACGTGTCAAGGCCAGACAGTCAGTCAAAACGGCTTTGACGGTTTCAATAGTGATGTTGGAGTTTCCAGACAGATCCAAAGTTTCGATATCCTTTTTGACGGCTGATAGCGCTGATACAAGCTGGTCGGTGGTCAAGGAAAATCCCGACAAATCTACTGCTTTCGGGTTCTGGAGTACAACTTGCGTCAAGAGTGGTACTCCTGCATCAGGGAACGGGTCCTGCTTTTGAAGAACTGCCTTTATCAACGGCGCTTTTCCTGGTTGCCACACCAGATTTTCGAGGTGTGCGGTATCTCCAGCAGTGATACCTTGCTCTAGGGCGGTTCCAAGAGTCAGATCGACAAGAGAAGGGATGAGATCAGTCGCTACAGAGATATTATGTGGCATTTGAGACTCGTCGATGTCGTTGGACTCGGAGTCATCTTTATATTCGTCGGGCCATGCCTCCGCAAGCATCCGAAGAGTGACAAGGTTTTTATCGGCAAGTGCATCAATAACTTTCTGAACAGGATGCCTGAACACGCCAGAATTTTAGCTTCGAAAATCACATTGCACGATATTTCTTACGTCTTTTGGTCCATCCTCTTTCGGGTAATACGCACGTACGTATTGCTCAGCAGATAACGGCTTCATGTCAGGTACTTCTTCAGCTGCCTCAAGACCGTTTACAGATACGAAGCAGTACGCAGGCTTCAAGGGATCGGTGACATCGATAACTGTGATTCCGTCATTGTTATCTGAAATGATTGATCGAGCATCAGCCTCAGGAAACATGTATCTAGGGGAACGAATCAACTCGCCTCCCTCTGTGCTACCCATGTCAGCATCGAGGATGGATCCCATAAATGTACCCCGGTGAAAATAGGGATCAGCTGGATCATCCAAGTCCACGTTCCATGCTGAGCCCATCAAGAAAGAAATGTAGCTGCAAGGAAGATCGGGCAATTCTGGTTTCTCCTGCCACCGCCCATATTTGTTCTGTACTCGGCGAATTTCGTAGAGGACAATTTGTGCATTTTCCTGCTGCTCCAGAAGGGTCAAGAAACGACGGGTCGCTTTTAGAGGAAGTGTGCCATAACACCATTGGTGGTGCCACGCGGCGATACAACGATAGTAGGCTTTGGTGTCGCCCTTGGGGATGACCTTGGCTATAGCGAAAACTTGGTGCCTTTGCCCCATCTGAACGATGGAAGAAGACGATGGTAGATCGATGAGAAGAGGTAAGGACTGCCATCTCAGTTATATCTGAGGATGACGTCGAACAAAGAAACATCGATGATCCCTAATTAGTAACTTCCTCACGCTGATCCTCTGCCACGTTCGTGGTATTTCGTCCTTTGGTGCATATTAGCCTCTCGTTTACACGACTACGGTAGGGATGGATAGTGTGATTAGAGAGATGGTCACCAGTCTACTGCGTTCGTGGTATTTTGTCCTTTGGTGCATAGTAATAATTTATTAACAGATCACATAGGACTACTATTATTATAAAACTGAGATACACGAACATCGGATACATGATACAGACGCGATTCGAATATAAGAATTGAGCTTACCCGAGAGCAATCTTTGTAATTTTCGTCGCGAGATACAGCGAATGGTTACTCTCGGAATTTCACCTGATCTTGACCATACTAGTATAGCCAAGCGGCTGGATAAGGTGACATACGAGGGAAGTCAAGGACAGGATCGGGTACAGAAACCTAGATTTTAGTCACTGCAGAAGTATCTTCATTGATTGGAGTACATTCTTCGGATAGACAGAAAGTTGGACACAACCAAGAATTGAAAGACTGTGGACCCACTGGCAGGATCTCAATCCGAACCAGTGGAACATCGACTGCGACCTCTTCCAAGATCTTGGTTAGGGTAATGCATAAACTACTTGATCTTACCTTGCACGTGAGTGTTACAAGCAAGACTCAACGGACTTGTACGTAGAGAGATTCCATTCTGGCGGTGGACATTGTCTATAGGAGGCAAAACCACAACTTGGAAAGCAGCCGTCTTCTCAGATCAAGAGCAAACACTAAACCTGCCGTCAGGTAAGTCGGGGAAGAGCATAATAGTTCCAGATCCCCAACCCCGCTCCGATACTGTCTGGATGGCGAAATCTCTTCGACCAGTTGAGCAAGGAAACAAAGTTCCACTTGTTCTTCATTCGAAGTGACGGTTCAACTTGAATCAAAAGACCAAAAATGTTTTGATGTGCTAGCTGCCATAACGTCCCTGCAACCGAGCCTGTACTTCCACGGATACAGGGTAAACCACAACCCTCCACGCCCAGTGGACCAACGTCGATAGGAGCAATGATACTGTTCTTCCTATCTTCGAGGAGAGAAGCCTGAAGTAGATATAACCGGTTAGATCTTTCACATCATCGTGCGGCCTCATCTCACCAAAATGAAGAACAGGGAACAGGTACACCTCACACTATTGGGTATAGACGGGTTTCCGCTTAGTCCAATCTGCGTCATGATACATCAGCATGATATCGGGTATCAACGAAGCTTTCGGTTTCAATTTAGTCGAAGTGATGATAGACGCTCAAGATGAAGCCTGAGTAGAAAGCCGTGAAGCACATAATGCAGCCACTCGGGTAGTATTCTGGGCCGTGATGGCACAGATTTGAGGCTATTAATTGTCTTGGCTCCAATGAGTACTACGCCGCCAGGAAAGAATATGCAAAGATTACGTCCGGCTTAGCTTGATCCCTGAATCAGGCAGTTCTTCGATGCATACATAATGGCAAAGTCCTTTAACGTTCGGCGATGCATTGAAGGAGAATACGCCATACATCGTTAAAGCTGGTTACTGTCGAATACTCGATAGGCGAGCTTAGGATGGGTCCAGCGATGCAAAGGTGGACTCGGAACATCAACTGAGAAGTGGCTGTGTTTGTGCCCTTTTCTCACGCTTATGGCATTAAGTACTCCCCCGAAAAAAAAGATTCTGCTCGAACATAGATGTTAAGTTATACAAATTTAGCTGGAATTGGGCCTTCGTTGCGTTGCGTGATGTGTCTCACAGAATTACGGCCACCAAACCTTCCATCTATCGTATCATCTAACCGGTCCGAGTCGATGCTCATGATTCTCTACAGATAAAATTTTCCCATCTGTTAACATTTCTGATACGTTGCTAGGATAGTGGCATTCGACGGTAGGATACCAAGACATCAGTTTGCACGAGGTTGATGTTCCCAAGCCATTCTCAGTCATTTAGTAGAGTGCAGACGCTGTGACTACCAGGACGAACTACATTATGGTAGTTTGACTTTCTTGAGGTAGTGCATGGCGATAAATGTGGTGTCGTCGATTGACATACCTCTAAGGACTACGCCATTCCCTTATGGCTTTACGTTGACATCCATTACAGTGATCGTCTGACCATGGGTGAAATTCGGGGACAATGGTCGCGGCTTCTCGCACTATCTGAAACTTTACAGTTGTCCTGGAATCACTGAAAGACCGTCCTCATATTTACTTCTACGCATATTCTCTGATTAATGCAAGCAAGAATTTAGACTTTGGGAACTTCAATGCTTCTGGTGTTTTACCAAAGATCCTCAGTTTAAAACAATCCTTTATTTTTGTGGTGTCGGTTGAAATAATAGGCCTATTTTTCTCGCCAAATCAGATTTCAATCGAGTGCGATAAGGTGAGTACAAACATTTATCATAATGGGAACATCATATTGAATTATGGTTTCAGAAACTGGTGTTCGTTGTATGTTTTCTGCCGTAATTTCCAGTTCCTTCTTCGACTGCCTAAACATAGTTCGTCTAAATTGATTGTAAGTGCCTCATTCATAGTCAGCACCGCTGCATACGGCGTGTGATAGACTGTCCGAGCGCTTGAATATCCATCTGCATCCGGAATCGGCATTGTGTTTGGCGCTGAGTACGTACAGTATGGTTTCAGGTTGTAACCTCGCTATGACTGTGAGTGCGAGTCTTCAGCCACGATACATTCATGACGGAAAGCTGAGGCCGCACCTCTCTTCAATGTGCAGGTCTACTTTCTCATTCCGTTGTTCCCGCGCGCATTGAACGACGAAAAAAAAATCTATAAAAAGATATTCAAGAGAAAAGCGAGACGCCCACTTCAGGCACGCTTGCAACTCCAACAGGCCTTATGAGCCGCGGATCTAAAGGTCACCCAAAGATATGGAAACACTGAAGAGCACTCTAGGAAGACTCATAGCCAGTTCTTCTCGTGGTTGAAAATGGCAAAAGAGTATTCGCGAGGCCCTGTACATTTCGCTGGATTACATAGTGACAGAAAGCACGGATGTTCCCGATCTTCTGTCGCAATGATAAGTTAAGGGTGAATAAGATCCTGCAGCTGAGAAAGATTGCGGATTAGAGGTCTTTGGTATCTGCTGACAGTCCAATTGCGCTGTACAAGGCATGTCAAAGTCAGGTACACAGTCAAGTGTGTTTTGACCCCACCGACTACGACATGGGCGTTCCGAAGTGCCTCTAAGTCTCAAAAGCCTGCTTCGACGAGGATAGAACCTAAGCAATTTGGTTGTTCGTCAATTAGGCCGGATGGATAGATATCTTGAGGTCAAGCCCTTCGCTGCGACAGGCAAGGTGTGGTATGTACGTCCGTCATCCATGTCAGTCAGCAGATCAACCTTGCGAAGCGTATCCTTGATCAAAACAATGATGTTATGGAAGGTCGGCACATGAAATGTTTGGAAGGAGCGACGTGCCCAGAACATAATGCTTGCTTCATGAAGGTAGTATGAGGCAGAAAAGCAAAGAGTTCGAAGCCATGAAACCTACAGTATCGCTGATAAGCGTGGAAATAAAGGAAGAAGAAACTGATATTCGATTAGCCGAACCTTCGCGAGCATATCGATGATGATTTAACACTACCCTGAGTCTTCCAGAGCACAAATGGTTTGCGGAATGAGTTCCTCCGATGTATCCCGTCTGTGCTGCTGCATTTGCTGCATTTAAAAAGTACGAGCGGTATGATGCCTTCCTCCCATTCGCGACTATCGAACGGCAGACGGGTCTCAGTACCGAGCAGGTCTGAATCGGCAGCATTAATGGTTATTATCGTGTTGTCATCATCTAAAAGAGAGATGAATTTTGAGGACTGCCTAAGAGAAGTACGACTTGCCTCCTTCCGAGTTAGATATGTAGAAGCGCTCAACAAAGTATGTTCAGGCACAGCTACGGCTCCAATCTAGCTTCAAGGGTCTTCAAATCACGTCTGGAGGATGACTGAAAGAAACGAAGTTACTCGAGGCCGAACTGGAGTTCTGCGTCCTGTGATGCTAGGCACTGGGAGCAGCTTTGGTCAAGGTACCGACGAAACGCTGACCTCGAATTGGCCGATGACAGAAGCAGCTGAGTAGAAACTAGTATATTCATACCGATAATGTAGAGACTCAGTTGTACTCAATTTTCACTTTATTTTATGAGTCTTGATAATACGCGCGTAGAAGTTCAGTACGATTACCTCCGGTATCCCAGGGATGGATGCATCCTAATTGCTTCCATCGTACTCCAATACTAGACAAGTCCGTATCGAAAACTTGTGAAAGCCGTGTTAATCACTTTGCTCGATAGGAACGGCTGATATAATAACTGATATGATCTTCGTAAAAATCGGAGCGAGGATCCCAGCAGGTCGTGGTTCGGAATTAACAAATTGAAAGACGTTTTCGTTTGTGGCGTCGGGAGCTGCCTGACAATTGAAGCCGACCGTCGGCCCGACGTGGTTGCCGACAGTCGGAAGTAATCGGAAGACTGGGAGATATATAGGCAGAAGGTCAGAATGTTCAAGCGCGAAATAACTTCTGAAGAAGGTGCCATCTATTTTGTTGAACAGATGGTGTCGAACCCAAGTCGAACCGAAAACCCATCCGACCCGTTGCCTAGGCCGAAATTGTCTTGTGCGAAATCGATACTAGTACTATGGGCTTACCAAAAGTGAATGTATACAATTAATAAGTGCATATACTAGAGTGGACGCAAAGATATGGCTGCGGAAGATATTTTAGATTACTGATACATTATATAACATGCTCGCACACACGCCAAGTGGGTCCAGATATCATACTTGTACACACTGTCCCAAAATGTCTTAACCGTTTCGGTTATTGAACGTCAACCGGGACTCCGTCCTTGAAAATAGGTAGCTTCGGGTCTGGCGCATCTCCTAGCCCTGGTGGGGAGGACACCATGTCTGTCCGTATGTCAGAATCCATTGATCCAAGTCCATCATTCTCAAAAATACATACCGATCGGCGACGTGAAAGTATGGACGATGGGATTCAGGCTTGACGTCGTGATATTGTGCTTTGACAAATTCGCTTCTGTCAATCCATAGTCAATACCGCCAAGCTCGACTTCGGATCCTCTTCGCCGATTAGGTCTCATGGGTTCGAGCTTGGGCAACGACGTCGGCGATTCGTCCCATGCATTGGAAGCCGATTCTAAGGAATGAGGAGATTTCTGAGCATCTTCAACTGAAAGAGTGGAGTCTCTGTTCGGTATAGTGAAGTTGGGTTTTGTGGGTGACGTAGTAAGTAGGTAAGTCCCGCTGAGCTGGTGGTTTTGCGACGTCAGTGATTGCGCGTAGCTTGAACGGCTCTGGTGGATATTTTCGTTGCTATCGCCTTGTTGGCGGTTGATCTTCTTTGCAGCTTCGCGTGTGGCAATTTCGCCTTCGATAGACCGGGGGAAGAAGATCTGAGAGATTCAGTTTAGTGATTACCTAGGGCGTCCTAAGACGGCTTACCACAAGAGTCAGACCGGACGACACAACGCATCCGAAAGCTGCTAAAAGTGCCAGAAGGTCTGCGAGAGGTGCGTGTGTAAATAATAGCAGTGATTGACAGAAAGTCCTCTTACCTGTGGCAAAGGCGTTTTCATTTACCTCGGTGTGTGGAGTCAGGCCATCAGCACCGAGAATCACGAGGGGCACCGTGAACATGTAGCGAAAGAGGACCCGAATCATCTGTTATCACTGCATCATTTTCTTGCCTTGTGACAGGTCTCCGCACATACATTAAGTTCATGAAATTTCGTGAGACGAATAACAGTCGAGTTATCGACGCCCTCTTGCTTCTGAAGGACAGTCAGCTTAATACTATACAGCAAGCGACTGTAGTACTTACCAGGGTGCTCAAAAAGGACTTGAAAGACCATCTACAACGTTTCAGTCGTAGTGAAGACATCTGTTTCATATATGACGCACAGAATCGGCGAAAACCAAATGGTAAGAGATAAGCTTCCTATTCCTCCAGACAAAAACGTATACGCTTCACTCTTAATTCCTGAACTCAGTAAGATTGACCTGTAATTGCAATCGAAAACGTACCCTGAGACCATCATTTCTTGTGAGTATAGTCACCAGGGGCATGTATGTTACAGCAATGACAGATCCGATGGCCCAAGTTTTGAAATACGGACTGTGGAACCAGTCTTGTTGTCCCGATTTCGCGTTGAGGAGGAAAAGCCAAAAGCATAGCTCTATCACCATCGAAATTATTCATTGAGATAGCTGAGGCGACGATACAGGCACACACCTTCCAAATGGGTTACCCTGTTTGAAGCGGAACAGTTTCAGGACAGTGTGTAGCCGATGGTAAGTTTACGCACATTTCCAAGGACCACCCGATTGAGAACATAAGCATAAGCGGGAAGATCGAGTTTCTACCCAGTTCGCTCCATAACTGGAAGGGTTTTGGGATAACTATAAGATAACATACGCCAATCATCAGACTGTTCAGAGCGATAGATGAACTTCAAACGCACCACCGTGAGTAGGATCCAAAATGTATCCCTCTTGGTATTTGATGATCGTGAAACCAGTCGCAAATATGAGTATCAGTGGTACACTCATTAGGTAGGTGTACTATTGCAGGTTGGTGAGTTGACATGCGATGAGAAGGAGAGATGGTGCGTACTGTCATGACACGCTTGAATGCTCCAGAGTCAGGACCATTATTCCACCTAGTCAAAATAAACATCGTTACGGGAGAACTCTTGAGGATAGAATAGAGATATACCTGAGGCATTTGAATCTGTCAAAGGACCATAGATGATATAGCAAAAATGAGAACAGCTACGCTGACAGTCAGTAGAGGATATTATCTGAAAGATATCGACCCCACTCACGATGAAGGAGCAAAGGGGCCAGACCAAGAACGTAGTAGGGGATGTATGAGACATAGATCGTCAGTCAAGAAAAGCTCGAGCCGGCGAGGAGGATAAATAGACCCAGACGCAGGAGCTTGGTGACGGAAAGAGAGGCTTGTCAGGGAGAAATAGAAGTATCACACGCGTCTGTATATATACTTGAGTGATGGCTTCACATGATGATGGGCTGATGAAAAGCGAGGCCCAGCGGCAGAAGGGAACAGCTTGTGCTATCCCTTCACCAGGTTGATATCACGGCACATGGTGCGCCGTGTAATATACTTAAAATACGGTGATGTACCCGGCGACGGCAATTCCGGATACTAAGAATACCAAGGCGTTCCAAGAAAGCTAAATATTGTTCTCAGAGATGATTCTGTGGTGATTCAAGGATACAGCTGGCTCTCCGTGGGCGGATCGATGAAAGAGGTAAGGCCGGCAGCTCGGACCGAAACTGAATCCATCTTTACAATCAAACATGTGCACATTCAAACTTCCAGTTGCGAACACTGAAGATTTTGCCAACTTGAACGTTTACTCCTTGACTACACTGCATCCCATCATTGGCGAAGAACCTCCAGTATCCGGATATTCCATATCTTTCCATGGCCTCTAACAGCCCTACCGCGACCGACAAAGACGAGCTTCTTCTTTCATGCCGATATGGTGATATTGAAGATGTCCAGCTGTTCGCAGACAAGTACGGCGTCGAAACGCTCTCGGGAATCAGAGATGATAATGGCAATACGGTTCTACACATGATATGTGGGAATGGGCATGCGGGTGAAGCATCACTTTCCCTGTTCCTACCTCATCTTTACCCCCGCATTCGTAGATCTCCTGGATTACCTCCTTCCGATCATACCTCCGTCGCTGCTCTCCGAAAAAAACGCGGCGCAGTCGACGCCACTACATTGGGTCGCTCTCAATTCTCATCTTGCGTGCGCACAGAAGCTTGTTCAATTTCCAGGTGGTCCAGGCGTTGATCTCATTGACATAAAAAATGCGGCTGGACATTCGCCCTTGGCGGAGGCGGAATTTGCTGGATGGGACGAAGGGGCCAAGTGGTTCGTTGAGGTCATGAATCTCGAGGCCGAAGACGGTCCAAATGATGAAGAGTCTGATGAAGGAGTGAGGAACGAGGCAGAGCCGGCCCTTGACAAGATTGATGTCACTATTGAAGATGCTGATGGACAATTAGCAACAATGACTATTGATGCAGGGGCTCGAAATCGTCCATCATGATATTACTCCTCGTCATATCGCATAGGTGGCGCCTCATCTTCACTTTTAGCACAAATATCTTCTAACATGCACGCTTTTAGTGTCAAAGCTCTGCCGCTGCGCGTTAATCTCGGTACCAGTTACACGCTGTATCTTCTTCCGAGACAAAAGCATCGCCTCCGTGTAATCCAGTAGCCTTTAAGAGCGAACTTCCGGAAACTGAAGCACCCGATATTCTCACAGTGCCATCACACTACAGCGGATGAAATCCAATCTCCAGTATTGTCGTATTTGAATGTAGTTGAGTCAACGGATGATGTCGCCAAAGTACAATGACCGAGGCTTGATTGTTCCGTGGGCTGTGTTTCAACTTTCGACCATGGGTAAGAATGCCTTGAACTCAGATTTGAAACATGTATTCGTGCTAGAACTTCCCTAGTACAAGTGATCGTTACCGCCCGATCTTTACGCGCTTAACCGCTGGACTATATTTGCACTTTTGATCCGCGCATGTTCAATTCTTCAGTCAATTGAAGTATTTTGCAACAAACTAGTGAACGTTGACTGTCTCGTCCATGATTTGTAGCTGTGAAATGGGAATCATTTGCGACAATTCTTTGACAATTCTAGAGATCTTTCTAAGCCTCTATGAGCAGAAATCGGCGTCAAGAAACTGGAGTGGAAGGTTCCAAGTCTGAGTGAGAAGCACCTCGACCGCGTCGGGGACTGGGTTCGCGTTGACGCGCTGAGGAATGTTGAAGTGATAGAACCGTAAGCCGTCACGGGCGAGTACCAAAGGCGTATCCGTATTCGATAGCACCGCCCTAAGATTCTTGCAAGCCGAAGTAGCAGATAAGTCGCACGAAATGTCTGTAAACATGCTGTTGTCGGGAAAGGGTAATACAAAAGGTCAGGGAGTGTATCTTGGGAAATCGAAGCGCCTTGACATCAATGCCGATAGAGAACAGACCGGGCCATGGATCCAAATTTCACACTTCGCAACCGCCTTGAGGTCGACGTACATGGTGATTTTGGTGGGACCTAGTGATCCATTGAATTGAATAATGCATTAGGAGCTTCGCGAGCTTGACACTTGTCTTGCTATATCCAGAGCTGGTAATCACGGCAACTAGAACGGGATAAGTGGTTTTGGAAAGAGCATTGGTTAGATACTGTTACTATCGTTGATAAGGCGCTCGGGGCTACGATGTGAGTTGCGGTCAAACCGCCTGGTACAATGGAAGACACTTCAAAATGATTGCGCTCTAAGGCTGTGTCCATCGTTGAGCATTGGGGGGTAGAATTGTAAAGAAATGCTGGTCAATGCAATATCTTCTAAACTTTGCTTCCGACTGTCATACAACTCCACCGGAGACGAAGAATTTTTTGAGCAGAGCATGGATGTTCAGGGTCGAGTGAATAATAAGAATTGGTGATCCGATGAGGGTGGGATACATTTTTTGACGATTTTGGGGTAGCAGCTGTAGCTCGAATAGATAGAAACACAATGCCAGCATAACATCATGGTGCAGCGGAGAATAGAGGCAACCGAGGGAAAGAGAACGGATCACCCAGTCACGGGGAAGCGGGAGCGTCTCAGAGGTTCCAACTTGAAAATACGAACGAGAGGACATCCTCAGTTCCAAATCAGATCTCTCAAAGCAATCGACTTCATATACACGCCGTAGGGTAGACATAAAACTTGACTAGGGCTACAAATTCCTGTAAACAAGGATATAGAAGACACTCATTTCTTTGATATGTGCACCACTACAGAAAATGAGCATCATGACATGATCAGTCGATATAACTCACCGTCTTCATCCTCTAGCACATGATCTAGCCCAACTTTCTGGCCCCGGGAATGTTTTGCACTGGCACCCCATACGATAGCACTAGAGGTAACGTCAGGATGAGCGAGTTTGGATGAAAGGTCGAGGCATACTATTTCATCTGTTTGGCGATCTCCTTGTGTATCGAATTGCAGAAGTCTCCCACTGTACATTTTCCTCGTCGGAGTACGACGGGTGAAGAGTAGTCGGGAGCCAGACCCCGTGGCTTGGTGTATACTCGAACCAAGTTAAGGGTTTCCCACATTTTCTCGACAAGTTCATCAATATTCATCCATTCTCGAGACGATATGGGAACTGAGTTCGGGATTTTGTACCTTGATGAATCGTGAGCAATTGGTCGGTTCGTAGACAGTTCATTCTTACAGCAAGTCAAGCTCCTCGATGGATATTGCGTCGATCTTGAGAGCGTTAGAATTAGAGACTTACGGCTGTTATTAGCTCACCTTGTTCAGGACCTGGATTTCTGGATTATTCCTTCATGATAATATAAGGGAATTGTCAGGATACTCACATATAAAGCAGGTATATATACTCTAATGTCAAGATGAATTATTAAATATACGATAACAGAGGAGTCACGAACCTGTTGCCTTCAATGACGTCCACCAAATCGTCCGCTGTAGCGCCCGGTTCTCGAATAGCGATATCAGCATTGTTAATTTTGTATTCGCTGAGTATTGCCTTGATTTCGTCATGATCGATGTCAGTCAGAGGGACGGTGTTTGTGATGGCAATGCCGCCCTTTTCCTTTTTGCGGACAAGGATAGCAGGTGGCCGTTTATTTAATCGGATCCCAAAGCCTTCCAGTTCAGATTCGATGAGCTTCTTATCACCGAGAGGCTTTAGCACGTCGAGAACGATAAAAATGAGGTTGCATGTGCGCGCGACTGGGACGGAGTGCATTTAACAGAAAATCTGATTGGATGTCGGACGCCATACCAGCAATGACTGTAGAAGGGTTGAAATCGAGCCGCACGAGGTCAAAATGTCAAAGCTTACCTTGTCGACCTCGTCCACGTCCATCATTCGCTCCTTCGATAATACCAGCTGATTCGCTGTGTTCAGCCGAGGCGCATGTACGTGCATCGGACCACTCACGGAGATCCAATATTTGAATGGGGGCACCATGCACCTTGACAGTCCCGGAACGGTGGTCAGCGTCGTGAAATCAATAGCAGAGACTTCGGAGTGTGTCCCCGTGAGCTTGGACATCAGTGTCGACTTGAAGTGACATTAATTAAAAGGTAATGCTACATCCGAGCATACATACCTTTCCTACAGAGGGAAACCCGACGAAACCAACAGAAGCTATGCCCGTCCTGGATACAGTCAATCTGCAGCAATTGCAATTAGGGAATGGAGCATACCGTGCTACATCAAAGCCTACTCCGCCTCCAGCCGCCTCCACCGCCGGGAGGAGCAATAAGTTCCCGCCTTAGTTTTGCTAGCTTGGCCTTTAGCTGCCCAAGATGGTAACTAGTAGCCTTGTTTTTTTGGGCTGAAATGGAGTATTAGGGAAGAAATATCGAAAAAGCGCATGTATAACCCACTTTTGGCCTAAACGAGCATGTCGGTGAAAATTATCTGATTATCTTGTCAAACATACCATCTCATCTTCGACTTCCTATGCATCGTTAGTCGTATACTGTGGACAGAAAAGACGACGTACTTTTATTTTCTGAACGGTCGTCATTGCGCTCTAGGGAAAGGACTCGGCATTTGCCGAAACGCTTGACCAAAGGGTGACAACGAAGAGGACGACCATTTCCCTTACCATCAATCGTTTGCAATCCAGCCTTGTCCTGTGCCGCCAGTCTCGTCCCTCCATTCTTTTTGTTGCTCGTTATCGTCGCTCTCTGCTAGGCTTGAGAGGCGACTGGTTCGCTCTCGCTTCACCGATATCCTTATTCGAGACGGCACCTCACAATTGACTACCCCAAGCTCTCCAATAACATCCTGTTTTCCTCGTCGCCCTTTATTTCTCGTTCCCAAGATAGAAAATGTGCTGCAGTGGTCCAAAGTGGAAGCGAGAGGTCGTGCCCGACCATAAGGTGCTTGGCCTCCCGCCGTCTCCATCCTGCATCTGACGCCATTTAGTTCGATTTCGTTGATACTCGGGAGTTCACAGACAATGGCTTCGTCATGCGCGCAAAGTACGCTGCGTCTCTCGTGATTTCATTTGTTCAGTATTCATCATTGCTACAGGTACCTATGGCTCTACATTATCGTCCTGAAGTCGTTTCTCGTCTACGTCTCTGATATCTTTACCGCCGTCACTATGCTGACAACATCAAGCTGGTCCAACGAAATTTTCAACAGCTGCGAGGACATAGGCTGTGTTACCATTCCTTTCAACACTGGAAAGTGGCTCTTTGTTGGTTGCATCATATTTTCCTTCCTTCTAGTGAGCCTATAGCCCCTTCTATTGTACTTGCGTTGCCTCACGTATGGATTACAGCTGGGTTATGAGGCGCGTAAGGCCAAAAAGATCATCAACAGTCGAGACATTTCATACGCTTTCACCAACGTCATGGCCAACAACTACTACTCCTTGCGTCCGTCTTATTGTTCTTGATATATTGGCTGGTCTCTGATATTGACTATCATTTGCAGGTTCATACGATCACTTTTGCTTTTTTGATCATATCAGCAATTCCACCAAGACGAGCGACGATTTCGCCTTCTTTGTCTTCTTTACCTTCAAGAGTGCGCACCTCTTCGCTTTTCTGTGACTATTGTTTATTGGTTGACTAGGTTGGAAGCGTCTTCTTTTGGCTGATGGACCACGTCAGACCATCAATGCGCTAACGCTCTATGCTATTTACCTGGCTCACCAAAACGAAGGTGATTGGTACGATGTCTCGAAATACTTCATAGGGAATAGTGCATCGACCTCCATTCTGACTGTCACGACGTTCTTCACTGTCGTCGTTTTTGCTGGCTCCTTGTTACTCTTGATTGTTGCCGGATTATGCTACATTCCTCTGCTCTGCCACATCCGTGGTAACCTTAAGGTAAGTGGTGTCATTACTTGGATTTTTCCGTAATGCTGATGCATTGTCTGTAGGAATATTGCTGTCACAAAGTTGACAAGGTACGTTACGTATGCCAAAAAATTTTCTGCGCACGAGTTTATATGCTGTGCAGCGTATCACCACCGTCATCAAACGCAGACAGAAGCAACGTTTGGTAGAGGCAGCCAAGAATGCCAAACTAGAAGCTATGGGTGATTACTCTCACCTCAAGAACAAGAAAGGCGAAGTCGTCGGAGCACCTTTACCCCAGCCAACTCTTCCTAATCTCTCTGTCGATGACGAACTCGATGACGCTTCTTCCCTTCGCACCCGTGGGCCACCAGCCAGTACCTATACCCAAGACTACTACTACTACAATTCTGACAAGGGTGACTACCCTCCACCAATGCCCGCCTTCAATCCCGCCTCAGCGCACCAAAACGGATCCTATCTCAATTACAATCAATCACAAGGCACGCTCAGTCGGGACGATTCACTCTATAACTACCCACCTCCTCAACAAGGGATGTACGACGACGACAATGACAGTACAGCTCACCTAGCGACCTCTGCTGCGCCATTTGGTCAGCAATCCCAGGTTTCTATAGACCGCCCTGGAACTGCGCCTCCGCCAAATCCATATGGTTCAGTGCCTGGGAATTATGATCCCCACGATGTCTATCAAGGACGTGCCGTTGCAAGTCCAGACAACTCACGGCGGCTTTCTCCCCCTCAGCAGTCTAGCGGGCTAGCCTATGATGATGCTCAAGACTATCCGCCGCCGCAGGGAATGCATCAGCAGTACTCCTCACAGCAGAATGATCCATATGGTGTGTATTACAACCAGCGGGGGCACTACGGTGAAGATTCAAGGGGTGGTCCTGGTGGAGGTACCGGATATGCAGTATAGTAGTACTACTTCTCTTTTTTAGTTAATCTCCATCTCATTTTCCCGGCTTGGTTCGTTTATTTTGAGTCAAGAGTTTGTGTTGCTATATGTACAACAATTGGACGCATATCGTATTATCAGAATAGATTTCTATACGGGATAACAAATACAGATATCGATATAAGAAAGGTGTCGCGCGTACGTATGGTATACGTTTGACATGAGAAACAATCAACTAAGTTTCTCCCAGACGATGATGACAATGAGAAGTACGAGAACACCGATGATAGCACCGGTTACAACACGCTGTTGATACATCCTGAAATCAGAAGATACTGTGATGAGCGTTGGTCGTTGCAGATACAAGGAACCCAAAAAGTGCTACCTTCTTATCATGCCCTTGAGAGTCTTAGAAGCACGGTCAATAGAGCTATCAGCCCGTTGAAGCTACAGCATCCTCAGAAGTCTTGCCAAATTAAAAACGCAGTGGCAACACGTACAACATTCCGTGAGTTCTCAATCTGCTCCCTCTGCGAGCGCAAGTTCATCAGAATATCGGTGCCTTGCTCTTCCGTCTCCAACGCGATCCTGTGGGAATCTTGCAGTCGTTTCGTTCCGTCATCAAGGAGAGCTGTGCCAGCTAACAGTCGTGTACGGTCGCTGACGCCATATGGTTCGTCTGACGAAGTGAGCCCAGAGGGTCCTGATAGTAAGGTATTGCGGGCGAGTTGGGCGTTGAGGTCCTTGAGTAGTTTCTTGTACCGGGAGAGCTCTGCTTTGGCATCTCGCATGCGGGTTTGGTATTGAGCTCGTATAGATTGCGGGATTCCTTGTATTTCAATGTCCATTTGGGATACCTAGACCGATATCAGTATTGCAAAGAACGCAGAACAGTGCTTGAACAGACCATTTCGTCGGCCTCATCTAGCTCCATTTCGGCTCTCCGTAGAGTAGACTTACGCTGCTCTTACCGGGACACGGTGAAATTGACATCAAGGTAAACTTCGGCGGATCTTACCTGCACTTTCATTCTTGTCATCGCCCTCGAGTTTAGGCCGTAGTACATCGATGAGCTGCTTGTAGTCCTGCTCGTAAGAGTCGAATAGTGAGGTCGGTGAGTTATCCATGATGGAAGAGCGGAGGCAAGCTGCGGGGGCAATCAATTCATGACGCGTGTCCTTTTTCGGCATTTGTCTCTCAACGGTCATGGTCAACTCAGCGTGAGCCTCATTACTACCTCTGCTAGCTGTTCGTTCTCATGTCTTTGCAGAGGATCTCTGTACTTGGACCCCCAGATACGGGATTGGGTCCTGTTTCCCATTACTCTAGTCATGGTATGCATTCCTTCGTCGCCAATGTTGTGTACTATATAGTCCCTTCCAGATCCTAGTGGGCATCCTACGGCATTATGTAGTGCTGCTCCTCCAGTCTCCACCCAAAAAGCTTACTCGCGCTGCGGTCCGGGAACAGTGCGTGTCCTAGTCCTTGTTGTCGGTGTCACTGAACAGCTTCCAGACGAGCCGTAGCTCGCTCTCAAATCCTTCGTGCCACATCAGCGTATTCGCCAATACCACCCGTATTTTATCAGTCCATTTCTAAACATCTTTCGGATGCGTTCGAGGCGGGTGTATACCTCAAGGATGGGCCTACGAAAGAGGGCGAAGCGCCCAGTTCACCTCCGAACCCGATAACCGACCCTGCTGCCATGGATGGCATGATGGCTGGCATGAAGACGCAGATGGTTATGATGGTTCCGCAGATGGTGATAATGGGATGGATCAACTTTTTCTTCCAAGGTTTTGTTCTCAGTATGTATGCTGAATATTTGATTCCGCACGTTTGATTCATTTTCCTTTCAGTCAAGTTACCTTTTCCTCTGACCCTTGGGTTCAAATCGATGCTTCAACGAGGCATAGAAACTCCCGACATGGACGTTCGATGGGTGTCTTCATTGTCGTGGTACTTTTTGAACTTTTTTGGACTGAATGGACTTTACCGAATTCTACTTGGTGGCGACAATGGTGAGTCCAGGGAACTTGTCATTATTGTTGGTTACTCATGGGATATAACAGCGGCTGCTCAAGATGCTTCTCAAACTATGATGGCTTCTCCCTTTGCCGCGGCAGGTGTTGGTCAGCCAGGCCAGCCACAAGATTTTAACAAACTGTTCAAAGCAGAAAAAGATAATCTTGCATTCTCGAGTGGTCTATATGCGTGGGTAGGGGACGATGTAGAAGATAGAGTACTCAGAAAGTACGGAAAACTTTGAATTTATCTTTATTTCTTTCTCAGGGCGTTGCCGGATTTGCCGAAGCACCTTGGTCCGGCCGGGCACATGCGTGCAACCTAGCTTCAGGCCTGCAAGTTACCCTTTTGAAAGCCGAAGAATGGTTGAATTCTGAGCCTCACATGGCACGGGCTACCGGAATGCAATAAAGAGCAGCTGAGGATCCGTGGGTAGCCCAATGTCTTCTGCCAACGGTCTCGTCTGCTTCACCAATTGCCTCCTCCCGCAGGAGGATGGGACTCTGCTTCAAAAAGACTTATGGATTGATCAAGCACGGGGGGTCATTCTGGATGCTCAGGTGGGTATTTCGTCGTCCTTTACCTTGCATGCTCATATATTCGCATTGTAGCGGACTTTTTATTTTAGGAAGGAGAGGCCCGAGAGAGTCATCGACCTAGGGGGAAACATTCTCAGGTAGCTCTTTGTGAACCGTAGCATCTTCAGTTGCTGATTGCATCGCAGTCCTGGCCTCATCGACATCCAAATCAACGGGGCGTATGGTTTTGATTTCTCAGTATTCGACGGCGATGAGCAGACCTATAAAGACGGCCTAGCCTCCGTCGCAGAGAAGATTGTCGAAACAGGGGTCACTTCGTATGTGTATCAGTGCTCTCAGCAGACCTCCGCTGACGCCTCAACAGGCTCGTCCCTACTATTATTGTGCGCCCATTTCTTCATCACACTGTCCAGGCTCATCCAGGGTCAGACCCAAGAAAGGTCGCTCTATCCCACCTTGCTCCGTCTGCTTCGGCCTTACAGCTCTCCCACGTCGGCGAACCTACTGGGATGGCACGCAGAAGGCCCGTTCATCGACATGGCGAAACGCGGCGCGCATGCCCCGTCCTTCCTCCAATCAGCCAAGGACGGATTCCGGTCTTTTGAGGAACTGTACGGCGCGGTCAACCTTGCGGACAGCGAGGACTGGCTCATGACCGACTCTGTAGGCGTCCGTATCATCACTGCTGCTCCTGAGATCGAGGGCGTCATGCAAGCGGTGTCTGAGCTCAACAAGCGAGGAGTCGTATATTCCATAGGACACAGGTTTGATGATTTTCATAGGGAGCTGATTATCTGATTTCTGACATACTTTATCCCAGTATCGCTACTTCAGACATAGCGACTGCCGCAGTACGAAACGGAGCAAGACTTATCACCCATCTCTTCAATGCAATGCCGCAATTGCACCACCGGGACCCGTCTATCATTGGTCTTCTCGGAGCGTCTCCTCATTTGGCTTCACCCTTTTCGCCCATAACTGGACGACCTTATTCTCCCATTCAGGCGCCAGTGCCGGAGCGAACCCATTCCCTTAAGCTGAATGAGCCGGTAACTGGCTCGGAGGCCTTTGACGATGTCGTCACTCCTCCCCAAACGCCTCTGTTCGCCCGATACCGTGACAAGAAATCCCCGGCGTCGAAAGCCGGCGAGAACCAGGACTTTACGAGGCCGTTTTACGAGTTGATTGTTGATAGAATTCACTCGCATCCCAACTCTGTTAGGGTGAGGTCAATCTAGTCTCGTGTCTTCTTCTGTGACTGATGTGACGGGTGCAGTTGGCTTACTCTGCGTATCCAGAAGGCTGTATCCTCATCACGGATGGTGAGAAGTTGCGTTTTTCGCTTTCGGGCATGGGTCTAATTGATCCCTTAGCTATGAAGATTCTAGACCCTCATCTCCATGACGGGGTGCACGAGTGGCGCGACGGTAAGCGCTTTGTAAAGGAAGGAGATAAGCTGTACCTTGAGGGTACGAACACCCTCGCCGGAAGGTACGTACTATTTGCAAGGATTTTACCTCTGATTCTGATGGTCATCAGCGTTGTGACCCTGGATAAGTGCGTCCGAAATTTTACTCGGTTTACAGGGTGCGATATGGCGCAAGCTATCAAGTGTGCGACTGTAAACCCCGCCAAGTATGTCGGAGTTGAGGTATCGCCTTGCAGTAATTTGGGCTGATGTTCTTCTAGGTGTTTGGGCATTGAAGACAGAAAGGGAACGCTGCGCCCGGGAGCCGATGCGGATCTTGTGGTGTTGAATAAGCAGGGATATGTGCAGAGTACGTGGGTGAAAGGAAGACAAGTGTGGATGAAGAGAGCCTGATCGATAACTTGTTCGTGTATTGGATAGACTCTATAGATATGAAATCAAATTTGTCAGGATACAGCTACATTCGCATTGGCATAAGTAACATAGATGACGCTTGTTCGTTCACCAGGTCCGAGAAAAATACAGCAAGATGGCAATCAGGAAGGATTGGAGACGTGTGTTGGGGTACTTGCGATAAAATCAGATGTGCTACACCAATCCATCATACAGTGATAATGCCTGTGAGATCAAGATAAAATACAAGCACGAGATCGATAATAAGGAGCGTACCTGCACGATCGTAGGATCCTGCTTGCTACCCTCTACAAACTCATCATAGGTCAATTTGGCGTCCTTGTCTCGGTCCATATTACGGAAGATCTTGTCAACCCGCTGTGCGCGCTGGATTAATGCCAAGAGAGAGGGTGGGGGAGATGGATGGGCCTGCCTTTTCTGGGGTGTCTTCGTCAGAGGGAAGCTTGACCATCTCGCCCGTCATCTTGTATATGGACTGGACGATCTGGAGCATTTCGTCGTATGTTATGAAGCCATCTTTATCGAGATCGTATAGCTGGAAGGCCCCTGCAGCGTGTATGGGAGAAAGATCGGAAGCGATGGAAGGAGTAGAGACGCACACTTGAGCTTCTCGTCTAGTCTACCACGGCTGGTGACACTGAGGGCACATATAAACTCTTTGAAATCGATGGTACCGTTCTTGTTCTCGTCGAAAACGTTGAAGACATAGTCGGCGAACTCTGCGGGGTCGCCAAAGGGGAAGAATTGTTTATATATGCGGCTGAACTCGGACTTGTCTAGTTGTCCTGAGGGACAGTCTTTGCGAAAACCCTTGTACCTGGACGGGTAAGGATAAGATATAACAAAAGATGATCGGGTTTAGTAGTACCATTGCTGGAGCTCCTTCTTGTCGACTAGGAAGGTATTTGAACAAGGTAACTAGGAGCGAGCTGGATAACATACAATAAGTATTCTTCTGGAGGTCTTGTAGCTGTTCCGGGGTGAGCTTTGACTGTGATTTGCCCATGGCTGTAAGTTGTTAAGGAGGATGAGCACGTGGTTGACGGAGGCGGTGCGCGGTGCCGACGGAAGAGAAGTTGTGAGAGAGAACGTCGATGATATCGTCGTGTGTGGGATCAGAAGAGACCACATGCCGGGTTCTCTACGAGCCCAATTTAGCGAACTGCCATTCTCTGCACTCTGAGTCTGTCGCCCATGTGTTATGCCTATGGATCCCTCGACCAGGCCATTAGCACCTGTCCAATGTGCAAGGTCTTTCCCCATCCTACTAGGTCAATATCTCCATGCCGTCACTGTCTAGCACTCATTTATTTCCAGGTGTCCTCATGTCCGTGAGGTCTGTCGTAATCGTGCCTCTCATCCTCGTTTTGATGTCTACTTCCTAAAGAATGCTGAAGGTATGCTCCACTCGCCGCCGCCACATCCTGCCAGACTCTCATCGCGCATATAGTCGACTCTTTTAACGGTTGTGGCTACTGCAAAGTGTGTTTCTTCTTTCTTTACCTGCTATTTACTTATTTCTCCAAAGTGGGCTCGCACCAATCCCCCTCAAAAAGCAGCAGGCTATCTCAATCCCGGGTGGCCCGGCTGCTGTCGGCCCCCCGCCGCTTCAGAGCAGCGCATGATCCAAGCTGCAGACTGGCGATCTGTCAGCATCGTCCATCATATTCCTATTCCTCCCGATATCAAGGCTGCTCTCGACGGCCTCGCAGCTCCTCGTCCAGGCGGCAGTCCAGCAGCCCCGCCCAGAGGTCCTCCAGGAACAAAACCCCAAGGCCCAGAAAGAAAGAATAGCAACGGCAGCAGCAACGGGAGCCCACCTTCTAAAACTACAGCTATGCCTCCAAAGTCCCCGGCCATTTCCATTCCCCCAAAGTCGCGAGGCAGCCCAAAGCAGGGAACTGCTTCTCTATCAAACAGCCTTTCGCGCAGCACGGGTGCTAATCTCCTGCCGTCACCCCCAACGGAACGTCGCCAGTCTATTAACGACGGCCCGGACAAGCCTGCAACTCCTCCATCTAATAATTCTTCTCCCGGTCGCAAAGTCATTGATCTCGATGGGTCAACAACTCCGCGTCGCAATTCTATCGCGACCCGTCCACCCATACCAGCTGCAGCCAAGAGCAATAGCGCGAATCGCTCCCCTCCCAATCAATCACTAGAACGGCGTCGAACACTAGTTCCGCCGCCTACCATCCCTCCTTCCAAGCCTTCGCTGTCACGGCCTGCTGATCCATCCCCTTCGCCGTCAATTTCACTCCCACGCCCCGGTAAAAAAGATGAAGATAGCGTATCCAATGCCTCGGGGAGCAGCTGGGTCCATGAGTGATAGTACCGTAACTTCGGACGGCGGCTTCACCGACTATCTTTCTGATGAATCCGAAGCCGAATTGCAGAGACAGGCAGAAGCTCGGGCAGCGCTTGTTGCACAGAACCAAGCAGAAGAGCTAGAATTCAAAGCTGCCCGGTTACAGCTGACTCATGTCGATCTACGTCCGCCCAGATCTTGGGATGCAACAAATACCGTCGGAAGTGGTCCGCGTTTAGCTTCACGTTCGACCGTGTCGGTTGCTACGAGTGGTGGGAGTAATCGAAGTTGATGAATTGGTTCAAAAGAGCAGAACCTGGGACAATATTTGGGAGCAACCATCTATGTATCTTTCTTTTCTTTTCTGGTTCTATGCGTCAATGTAGTTACATCAAAGTTACATGCCAATTAACATCGTATCTGTGCCTTAAACCACGTGATTGAAACGCCAGAACGGACGGATAAGTGGCTGGAGCTCGTGGCCTCGCTTACCCTCATTCATGAATCTTGCCCGCCATTCGATCTCTGCGACTGCCCCAATACACATATTTGACGCTAGGTTCGACCCAGATTGCGACATATTCACAGTCCGCTACTCCCGCTGGCTTTTGCCGTTTATCGTACTTGGCCGCTGACCCTCCTCCGCAAGCGCGGTACGTAGTCCCGACTTGCATGGCTTCGAAAGCTGACCGATGGACTGCTACATAGAGCTTACTGGAGGTACTTTGTCCGCTGTTATCCCCCTTCATACTTCGTCTCTTCTATTTCTTCTTGGTGGTGGTCGAAGTCCGCTCTACCCTCCAAACAAAGTCGTGCTCTGGGACGATGCTATCGGGTGCGAAGTAGCCGAGCTCGAGTTTAGAGAAAGGGTCCGGGGACTTGCCTGCAGACGTGGATGGCTTTCAGTAGCACTCCGTCGTAGAGTAGTCGTGTTTGAGGTTGGCGAGCGTGTGACACGATATGGCGAATGGGACACTTGCGATAATCCCAAAGGTCCGTTTCTTTCTGCTCGCCTTGTTTCATTCATGCTCAAACAATATTCAAGGCTTAGTAGCTCTTGCGACCGCTGCATATTCGACGCTACTTGCAATTCCAGGCCGTCAGATGGGCCATGTGCAGCTCGTACACCTACCGCCTTGTGTTCCTCCCAAGCCCAAGGGTCCACCTTCGGATGTTCCTCAGAAACCGCCACCGCCTCCAACAAAGCATCCAGTTTCTATTATTGCGGCGCATACAAGTGCCCTTACAACTCTGACACTACCTCCATCCGGTAGATTACTAGCCACGACGTCATCCCGCGGCACTCTAGTGCGAATCTGGGACTCGCATACCGGAAAGCTTGTCCGCGAATTACGACGCGGAACTGACAAGGCAGATATATTTGGCGTCGCGTTTAGACCGGATGAGGAAGAACTGTGTGTATGGAGTGATAAAGGGACCGTGCATGTATTTACTCTCGTCTTGTCGAGCGTCTCGTGAGTGTCTTTGCCTTGCTGTTTGCGCGCTTATCGTTCATTCTCAACAGTAATCGTCAATCATCGTTCTCACCATTGACCAACTTTTTACCCCTGCCTAAATATTTCGAATCGGAATGGTCATATGCGCAATACCGAATACCAACGCAGTCGTCTCACATATCTCTATCCTCCACGTCTGCGCGATCCCCAACAGCTGATGTACCAGACGAGGAACGATGTGTCGTTGGCTGGATTGAGGGTCGTAGTGGTGACGCAGACCAAGCCCAATGCGGAATATCAGCTAGTCGCCTTGACGTATACCGGTGGCTGGTATCGACTGTCTTTGCCATCATTGGGCCATTCCGAGCTCAGCACACCCACAGGCTCTAGCGCCTATCATGCGACAGGATCGCCACCCAAGCCGTCGTCCATGACACGACAGCGCACGCCCAGTGTATCGTCGGTCGGGAGGTCGGAAAAGGGCAAGGAGAAAGAGAAGGACAAGGAAGGCAAGGAGAAGCGAGATTGCATCTTGCGAGAGTTTAGACGATACGGAAGGTGGGATGGTTGGGGTTAGATTTTGTATTTCGGTTGGATTATTCATGTTTTCTTCATGTCACTCACTCATGCACGCTCACACTCTATATTTATACCTCCACATCCAGCTTTCATTGTTGTACCATTGTTATTATCTAGTCTACCCTAATTTGTGATGAATACTTATGTTGATCTGGTAACGCGAGGCGTGACGAGTCCTCTTTCCTTTGTACTATCATGGAAAACCCCCATGCAGAGCAGCAGGCGGTCCTCCTCGAACGTATTTTGAAGAACTCGGTAGGCAGTCTCATCTCTGTGCCCTTTTCGACCTCAAACTGTTCCCCAAGTCTAAATGTACAGAGACGATATCCGAACTCAATCGTTGCTTAGAGGTTTGGAGACTCGTAGTACATTGTTAGCGCGTTTGACGAGCCCATTTGCAGCAAATTCTTCGCGCCAACGCGTCAGTAAAGATTGCGGCCGACTTGACGACTAAATACAGGAAGAATGTTCAGTATAATTTGGAGGCTACAAAGGGAAGGGAGTGATGGGGATTGAGAGTCCCTTGGCGTATTAGGGAAATTCAAACACAACTTCATGCATATACGTCTATGAGCTCATTTGGTGTTGACATTGAGTACTCCGTACTTGAGTACCGTATTTGAGTCGAGGTCTGAGTTTGTGTACATTTCGAGTGAACGAGCGCGTGGTTAGGGGCGCTTACCCTTTTACGTCCATGTCATCCAACGTCGTCAGCGTCGTCGCGCCCTACGGAACCTCCTCGTCGACATGCGGGTACTGTTCAACTCCTGGCGAGCGCAGTGCTGCTTCGACCAGCAGACACTCTGCAAGTCTCTCGGCAATACAGCTGTCCTGTTCAGTAAGTTCCTTTCATCAATCCACAACGTCGACTCTCGAGATGGCGGGCTAGGTGTACCAAGGTATGATTGACCGTGGCTGGCGCAGATCAGGTGTGTGGTACCCTTAAGTTGTGGAATGGTCTGGTTACTGAGCTGCTGCACGAAGGGACGTACTGCTACAAACCGGATATGAGGAATTCGTGCTGTCCTCAGTACCCTATCAAGTCTGTGCATTTGTGTGGATGGTCTACGAGTACTGACGCGATAGTACAGGCTGGATGCGCTCGCTTTCAAGCCTTCGAAGAGTCAACGGAAACTTGTCAATCGGTACTGAACCGTTCCTCCTGCCTGCTTGCCGACGTCCTTGCTCATCGTGCGATAGATGGAACCGGTTCATTGCGCAAGGAAACGATGATGACGAGATGGTTATAGACGAATCAAAGTGCGCGTCCGTCACTTTGCTACGCCGACATTTCGATAATTACAATCAACAGGAAACCCCGGCCCTCCAAGTCAAAATCAAAGAATCCAGAATTTGTGTGGCCCAACGCAATACACGCTTCTGAATCTGGATGTATAGAAGCGGCACGCCACAAATTTGAGGTGAACTATGCACTTGTGTTTCTTTTGTGTTGCTCTAAAACGGCACCCACAGGTCATTCTCGAACCATCCTCGTATTCTGAAGAGAAGTTCGCCCTGTATGATAGGTACCAGTCTGACATACACAATGATTTCGACAACTCCAGTATGGGATTCAAGCGCTTCTTGGTCAACTCACCACTACGGGTACGTCAACACGTTTCCAGTCGCTGTCATATTATACAAATATAGTTCTACAAGGCAGAACCCATTCCTTATACTACCATGCCCGCTCCATCTCATCTTCCGCCCCAGTACGGATCGTATCACCAACTGTATAGACTGGACGGCCAGCTGATCGCCATGGCTGTTCTGGACATTCTTCCACATTGTGTGTCGAGTGTGTATTTCATGTACGACAAGACTTGGGAGAAGTTCTCTTTGGGAAAGGTATTCGTGATCGACGATAGCTCGATTATTGGGTTGAAACGACTCCTCTAGGTCAGCACCCTTCGCGAGATTTCTCTGGCCTGCGAAATTCACGACGCGGGTGCATCATCAATGTCTTATCTCTACTTGGGTATGTTAACTTTGCTATTTTTCTTCGTATCTCCTATGACCGTTAAAGGATACTACATCCACTCGTGTCAGAAGATGAGGTACAAGGGGCAATACTCTCCCTCGTTTCTTGTCGATCCGGTAATACAACATTTTATTCTATGTTTAATTCTTATCAGCTCTCAGGAGACGTATGAATGGTATCCTCTCGAGCAGTGCACTAGTCTCCTTGACGCGAACCGATATGCCTGCTTTTCGTGTCCCGAACACTGCACCAATGAACCTCCGCCTACGAAAGGTGTGCCATGGGTATCGAATTACGGTATGGTACTGACAACAGAATATAGACGAGCTATCTTTCCCGGATCCTCCGCAATTAGGTACAGAGAACCTAGAACGTATACTTTCAGTTGCTGATATACGACACGGCGTGGTGACGGTGACGCCTGTGAACGTAAGAGTTATGCGTCTCCGCTGTTTCCTTCGACTCATTTGGATTCAAAAAACGCAGGAATCATCCTTTTGGGCTTCTCAGATGGTTCGGCGACAAGTACTGGGCTGTGTCGATGGCCTTGGTCTTGATTTATCAAGAAAGGTGATTTTCCACCTCGGGTGAGGTGTGTACACGCGTGGTAAGCTGGTGGCGTCAACCCCTCTAAGTACAAACACTTAACACATAAAGTTATGAGAAACCTATCCCAGTGAAGTACTGAACATCCTTCCATATACCTACTGGAGCTACTGGGGCCGGCCACAAGCAAGCGCCGCCACTTCTCACGTAGATTACGAGTTGGAGTTCCTATAAATTCAAAAAAAACTAGTTACAACGAACACATGGCAGCCAGCATCAGTGATCGATAGACGATTTCAAGTTCTGAATCTGTTCAGAGCCGGGCTGCTGTCTTTGTGGAGTTGTGGATGATAGATATATGGTTGACGTGGCCAGGAGAACAAGATCTTGCACCTTCATTGCCATGCTTGTCATTGCTTTGAAAACTTTCCCTCACAATAGATAATCGACGACGATGTGTTCACAGGAATCACTAAGCGTCCACAGCATATTGCCGCAATCTGCAGCCTCTTTCATATCTAATGTTCCTCAGAATCGCTGCTAAATTTTCTGCCGACCGATAACCGGCATTTTGTTCTATGGTTAGTGTAACAGCCGGCGAAGCCATGATGGAAGTGGTAAAGCTTCCCTGCGAGCCGTCATGTGAAACGACATGGACGAAGCCATCAAAGAGCGCTGGCTATACTTATTTAAATCGAGCTGACAGCTTTTGAACTGTGCCTGTTCGTGAGAGGGGTGCGAGTAAGTCGCTCAATCACAGAGGCTGGGCATCTATGTCCGTATTGACGTTCCAGGCCCATAGAAACGTACAGAGAGTACTCAGTATATGCTGTGTCTTATTGGAGGAGATAGATATAATTGAAGGATGATAAGGTCGCTGCTATGGTACTCAGACCACGGCATACTTAGTGTGAGAAACTGGTACGTACGAACTTGTATTGAATCAGTCGAGTACGTTGGGCGACGGCGATATCCGGCCCGTCAAACGGAGACAGAACACGTGTCTGGGTAACCACCCACTCTCACCTCCCGACCCCGAATTATCTATCGCTTCGCTATCTCGTTCGTTCCTTTCTTTCTCACTCGGCGGATGCATTCTACTGAACAGTCACGATGAGTGCTCCATTCTCCCGCCTACAATTAGCTGCTGCGTTACTTGGTAATGGTCTAATTTGCTCTGCGTCACCGGGTACTTATATTTTACTTAGAATACGACAATGATCCAACAAACCCCGATGCTCCTTACCGCTCTGCTCACGAGAGTGCTTTGTTTGCCCATCTTCGTCGTAATGTTCGACCTAGTGCTGTCGCTGCTCAACGGAGAAGTACCAATCAGATGGGCGTTTCACTTCCCAGTGAAGGAGCAAGTGGTGGTGGTGGCGGCCGCGAGTCCGTCTTGTCTGGCAGACGGTCTAGAGGATCTACATTTGCTCTAAGAAATCCATTTGGCGCCGATGACTACTATGAGGAGGAGGATGAGCAAGAAGAAGAGCACGAACATGTACAGGAGGAAGCACAGGAGATGGATTTGACTTCATGGGGGCTGGAAGCCTTCATTTCAAAGGAAAAGGCATCCAAGGACAAGGGCAAAGGAAAGGAAACGAACCCCTACCCACTGTCATCCGTCAGCTCTCATGTTCCTCACGAAACAAGTCCCACTACAGGATTTGCACCTCGTCCGCGACCAACAAGGTCCATGAGTGTCGGCGACTTCGACCGCCTCATACCTCCAGAAGACATTCGTAGAAAATCCATCGCTTCACCACTTGATCTCGCTGACTTGGATGCCAGTCTATCTGCTCCGTTCCAACGCCATCGAGCAGCGTCCTTCGCCCTTGATAACGACTTCCAGGTTCCTTCGACTTCTCAAAATATCCCATTCCCCTCAAAGTCTATTCGCTCGCCTTCTCCACCGCCGGAAGAAGATCATCGCACAAATTCAACGCCGAGCTTGAAAGAAGAAAGCGGACTTCGGGGGCGTACTGCCTCTAATGGTAGTATGACCTCGCGCTTTCTTGAAGACGACAATCCATTCGCCTTGCAACCCCCTTCTCGCTCATCCAAGTTCGATCCTAAAGCGGCTGCTCATGCTCGTACTACATCGAACGTGTCCATGGGCTCACAGATGCTCCTTGAAAACGATGGTGCATCTGTTATGACCAAACGCACCGGACAGCATCGCTACTCAACTACTATCGATCTCCTCCGGCCCAAAGTACTCGTCATGCCTAGTCCTCTACAGCCCTTGTCCAGTGATCCTCAGACGGAACCTGACCCCATTCGTGACGGTTTCCATCTGTCCACTGACGGTCCGCCTCTGCCCCCCGGTGCCCGCTCTGCTCGAGATAGAAAGGCATCTTCCGTCTTCCTCGATGCAGTCCCTATCGCATCAAATTCATTCACTCCTAATCCTCGCATGAATTTATCTACGTCTCAGATGATATTTCGCAATACCCTCAAGGTGGACGGTGTGCGCGATCCTACATATGTGGATATCGATAAGGATCTGCCTCGGGCTACAGAGGAAGGTCAACAGGTATTTCTGGACCCTCCTCCAGATGATACTACACCTGGAATTCCAGCAGAAGATGCCTATCCTCCAGGTCGACCGGCTGGAAAATTATATGGAAAGAGCCTCATAGATGACCTTGAAAGTAGAAAGGCTGTCATGAGGCAGAAACAAAGGTAATTGGAATCTTCGTTTGGTGATATACACGACCTAACGGTTATGCTCTTCAGGGTTTTCAAAGGTGACGACCGCCCGTCAATGATGGCGCGAGGACCAGTGAAGCGTTCCAGCACACTCATTGATCCAGCCACATTGTCGGGAGACAGGCCTCCTACACAGCGCAAGAGTTCCTACTTAAGCGACCGCTCTCGTCCTGAATCCATGGGACCCAAGCCTCTTCTTAGTTTCGAAGGCGAGAAAACACCGCAAGGTTTACCACCAGTCAAGCTAAATCCAAATGCGAAAATGCCTAATGCTCGTACTGTCTTTGGTGTTGATACTTTGTGGGAGAGGGAAATGGCGAAGCTAAAGCAAATTGAAGCTCAAGAGAAGTTAGAGGCTGAGGAACAGGAAAGAAGAGAGGCGATAACCACGGACAAGAAGAAGAAAAAGAAGGGCAAAGATAAGGAAGTCTCTACTCCTTATGAACAAAGCGAGGTATCAGACACGCGAAGCCCTTTGCCTCCCCCGTCTCCTATAATATCAACTTCACCTCCCGTCCTTCCTGTCGTATCACCTGCGATTCATGGACCTCCTCCCGTGGTTGACGACGATTCTGACAGTGAAGCGAGCGATAATGGTGTGCAACGTCCAGCGGCCAAGAAGGAAGTTCAAGGGTGGTATGAGGACTCGTCTGAAGAAGATGGTCCACTGCGAATAACCGGAGTTGGGCCGAGGTATCGTCGTTCCCAGGCTTCCTCCGCCGGCAAGCCTGCTCCTTCTCAGTTCGCCAAACCTGCTCCAGATTCAGACAGCGAAGATGATCTTCCTTTGTCGACGACCATAAATCGAGCTGCCGCCCGTCTGACACATCTGAAGCCTGACTCCGATTCCGAAGAAGAAAACAAACCCCTCTCAGTTCTATTACGCAAGTCGCAGTCCGTCAATAGTCTTCTTCCCAAGATCGACTTTGACCGAGCTCAGCCTACCGGTGGTGATGAGGAGGATGATGACAAACCGCTTGGTCTTCGCGCATCCCGCGTTGCTCCATCGTCTGTCGGTCACAGTTCTGTACCCGGCGGCGGCGATGACGACGATCGACCCCTAGCGTTTCACCCTGAGCAGCAACGGCGAACGCAGTACCAAATGATGGCCCAGCAGCAGCAGCAGCAACAACAGATGTTGATGCAAGCGCAACAAATGCATAACAGCATGTTCTTCAACCCGCCTATGATGGGATCTCAGTTCTTCGGACCTCCAATGGGACCCCCCATGAATCCTATGATGATGCAGCCTCCCATGCAAATTCCATCACCGCCACCCATGCAGGATCCAACGAAATTCGGCAGAGTTGACAGATGGAGACGAGACGTCGCCGTCGAAGGCGAATAATGATTTGATTACAATTGCATTCCCTGTTGTTGCTTTTTTAACGGACTTGACAGTTTTCGCGCATATTTTTTTTGGATCTTGTACATGTGTATTCGTACGCTACGCTATAGTACGCAGTCGGCTTTCAGGTCGTTCACAATCCAAAGGTACATATACATGAATACAGTGGTAATTATCCCCAATCTACAAACATATCATGAGTGGTATCTCTTGTGATGATGGTAATTATAATCCAGCAAATGGTATTGATATAAACATTATCCCTAGGCCACAGAAGGACCCGAAATCAAGACGGATTTGTGATCCATAGCTTGCGCTTGGGGACGGTGACAATCGACACCTCGCGCCGTCCTATCTCGTTTTCTATCCGCTGCTGCCTAGTGTCTTCATCTTCATCGTGGTCATCATCATCATCTGTATCCGTACTTCGAGGGCCCTGGGTATATGAAGTCCCGTCATGCACATCAGAGGCAACGGGGCGATAGGAGGGTTGATGCAAGTATGGGCTGTCGTTGGTAAGCCTAACACCATCACTATTTGGACGATTGGGAGTCGACGGATTTGAAACCGCGGCTGGGTGATAGCTTTGGGATCGAAGTCGGGAGAATACCACAGCAAGAATAGAGTATCGGGGTCGGCCATGCCAGGCAAAAAGAATAAGAGCAGCATAGAAACATGCAGTCCATGCTAAGAAAACGGCGAAAATGGCTCGTGGTGCTCGAGACCACAGAGCGATAAGAGCAACGATACATAAACCTAGGAGGAACATATGGAGAAGGACATGTACGATAGTTTCAATAAGCGGGGGAAACTTCGTTGGTCGTGAGGGTCCAGAAGGTACGAGGATGTCAGTAGCGCCTGGATTTGAGGGTGCTTGCTGAGCTCTTATCACTTGAGTGATAGCGTAGTCAAGTTCATCCTGAATAGCATGAGCCACGAGACAAGCACGGATGATTAGGTTCACATACCACAGCGTTCAAGCTTCGTCTGCGCTGGAGCCAATCTATATCGGCTAGGGTTCGCTGAGCATGCTGAGATGCATCTACTGGGGGAATGTTTAGCCAGCTCTCGCTGGGCTTGCGACGACGAGTCGGTCGGTTGACAACTTCGAAGCCGCGCTGAGGACCTCCCGAGGCAAATGAGTCGCTGTCGCTTGCACTTGAAGGACGACCGTCATTGCTGGCCCTCATCATATTCGAGGTGTTGAGAGATTGACTCCGCGGGCGAGGTGAACCCGGCCGAGAGGGGTCCAAACCACTCTGCGTAATGCTTGCGTTGGGATCACGGGATGATGTAGCGGCCTTCTCCCCGGAGTCTTCAGAGTTCGTGTGGTCATGGTATTGGTCATTATCCATAGGAATCTCCGTCCTGCCTGAAGAACCTCCTGACCGTCTTCTCAGATAGACCGAGACAAATGCCAAGATGGGTACCAACCCATAGAGGCCGATGAAAAATGTTAGGCCTGCTTGCCCATGACCTGTCTTCAGGATGATGGAAGATGATGAGCCACGCTTGGTCAAACTGCGGGCCGTGGATATCATCGTAAATGACAAGGCTAACGCCGCTATACCCATTCCGTAAGACGCGATAATGAGTATAGTGGACAGGTAAATCCATGGCGTTGCCTTCATCGGTGTCGCATCATCATTAAACGAGGAGGAGAAGGTGCGGAAAAGCAGGAGTGCAGGCAGAAATAATGTTAGCGACAACGGAGCAAATAGCTTGTGGTAGAATGACGTGTCGTAGAGGGGTAGTGTAGTGGAGGAACTGGAAGGCGATGACGGGGAGGTGGAGGTGGAACTGGAAGATGGTTTACTGCCACTGCTAGAACTAGAGGTAGAAACTGTGGACAGGGCAGATGCACACTTGGTCATATATTCAACGCTGACGTGCGCACCGCTAGCGTTAACGCCAGTCTCCAGAGCACCAGTCCCGTAACCAGACCACTGGAGATTCGAAGATGTGATCGTTCCAGAGTATGCTCTCAGAATCCAGACGTCAGAAAGATATTGGCCGGATGCATCCTGACCGCCGAAGATCTATACAGAATTGCTCAGTAATTTGTAAAGGATACGTCAGTAGAGAACATACAATGGTATCTGAGGCACTACTCCGCGACCCACCCACAAGAGCTTGGGAGTAAGCAAACGCAGATGATCCTTGTCGGGGACTGGGGAAAGCTTGCGTCCCAGAGTTCCCAGGGTCCCCGGATGGAAGAATACGACTCCAAGAACCTGTATTCACGTCCAATATCGCCTGGATCATGCAACCATGTCAGAAGAGCACTGCTATGGCATAATATTAACTTACAACTTCGCCTTTCTCAAGCCCACCGTCATCCGACCAAAGTGTCTCATTAATGGTTCCTAGAAGGAGAAATATTTGAGACGAGAAGCTAGTAGAAGCGCCATTGGTGTTTGGGACGACAACTGGATTTATTCGGGGGGCAGGGCAACCGCTGGGAGAAATTTGTGTACGTGTCTGGGCGTTTATCACGTATGAGTCCTGCTTAACGCAAGATGCATCACCAGAATCAGAATCGCATCCACCAATAGCAATGATTTGCTGAGAAAGAACAGCATCTCCTGTATTGGTCCTGGAGGGAAGGTCTCCGATGGTGACCTGGTCCCAGTAGCCAGAACTGTCGTTGGGTAAATTTGAGGATAGCGTGCCCGAGATATTCAACCGCCATATAGTTGACAAAGAGTTGACCGTAGTACCATTGGTGCCACCCGCCAGATAGATGGTGTTATTCGGACCAGCAACAACGGGGTCCTGAACAGGACTTGTTCGAATATCTATTCCACCTGCAGCACCCCACCGGGCAGACGGACCACCTTCAGGCACTGAGACCTGAGCCCAGAATTGATTGGTAAAGTCGAATTCCTGAATCAAAATGAAAAACCACGTTCTATCATTCCGCAGCACTTTTGAGCACGCACCCAAACATCAGACAGTGGATTGGAATTATCGCCTTTACCGCCCACAACTACGAAACCATGACGACTAAAAAGAGGTCGAACGAGTATACATAGAAACAAAAAAATGATACCCACTTGCTTGCAGCAAAGTCGCAGCCAGCAATGGCGGCACTTCTGGCAGACGGTGTGCTCTGCAGAGATGTTGGTGGGTCTGGGACAGACCAGGAGAGAGAATCCAAGTTGAGGCTTTTATAGAATGTCAGAATAGATTTGCGGAATGATTTGCGACGCACAGGTAAGTCTGCGACTGCGCAAAACCACCTTCGGACTCTCCTCCAAAAATAATAACGTTACGGCTGGAATTGAAACAAAAGTGAGAAACGAAATTTGTGGAATTGTATTGTGGTGACCTTGTCTCGTCGTATCCAATAGAGGCATCCCTGAGAGCTGGAGGAGTTGTAGAACCATGGAGGAGGCTAGTGAGATTGATCCATTGAAGAGGCGGGACTGTTATGGATGTTGAGATAGATTGGCCGTGAGTAAAAGCAAGAAAATCAAGGAAGAAGAAGACAAAGAGAGAGCGCTGGGCCATTCGTGAGTTGGTCGACGATGGGCGTCAACTGGTCCGGCTGGGACCCAGCAGCGTATAACTGCGTCGTGAACGTCGTCGATAGTGTCGAATGATGAATTGACAGAGCGACCGTCAGCAGTGCCAGGCTGCCGGTCCTGGTAGGCCAAATTCGGTAGCGAGCCTCGGCAATAGCCGATTCCGCCAAACACTGGTCGTATTCGGACCTGTTCGCCCTGGAGACTCTTGTGCTGATAATACTCTACAATTTATCTTTCTGGCACGATACCTTGGTCGGAACTGATGCAGATGCCTGATGCCTGAGGTGCCGCCTCTACAGCAATGATAGCCTCAGTGTCATCACCACATCATACTCCTGGGTCGTCCAGAATCTATTATCAAACATCACAAAGTCTCACAAAGTCCGGCCCATCTTCGTTTTTTCCTACCACGATATCTCGTATTATCTATCACATGCTCGGCAATGTCCATTTAGCGCCCTTTCATATCAATATCATCTCCTCGTCGGTGTAGTTATAGACAGTCCGGTGTTACACTAGATCTTCTATTGTTCTACTGGATAATATCTCTGATAACATACGACCAATCTCCAGTGGCGCGTACTTTCTCACGTTATCACTTCTTGCTTGTGCTCTCTAGTGGTTGTTGCCCGTTCCCAGGACGAGGGAAGCGCTGCGATTTTCGGCTAGTATTATTGCACGCAAGCGCTCATCCTGTCCGGTGCTCGACTGCACCTCATTTTGTTTCATCTCCCTTTGGTAGGACTGTGGATAACTTTTCCCAGAGTGCCTCTCCCGTGTCCAAGCCCGAAGGCATTGCCCCTTTTTAGGTTGCTTACGAAATTCCAATAATTAATTTCAATTTCATTGTTCACCCAAATATGGGTAACTGCCCGTCAGTAGTCGCCGTGAACACTCATGATGCAGTCCAGCCCCAAACGCGTGCTCACGGACGACAAATACGCGTCGAGCAAGTTGCCGGACTCAAATATCTCTGAAATGTGTGTTATCTGCTCTCTATAGGTTGCCGATATTGATTTGTGAACGCAACAGGTTGAACCCTGATCTCGCTGCACGACTTCGAAGTGTGGGCTCTCGAGTTCGGAAGCGTAAGTCGCTATATATAGAGCTCACACGTATGACATAGTGTTCTTGACGCGTCATACGCGCTTTTCTAGATGTAACAGAAGGATACGTCACCAATCAGCGCATGCACGTCTGTGGGCCCACAGCCCCAGCCAAGTCTCTGTCAACAGGCCACCTAACGTTTTCTTCCGCGAATGACACACTGCGTGCCATTTTCCCTTCTTTCCCCGCAGCTTCACCAGCCGCATCGCCTAACAAACGGCGGCTGGAGGACTCGGACGATGAAGATCACGACACCGATCACGGCCAGGAGACTCAGATCGCAACATTAAAGATGGATGCGGATGCAATGAACGTTGATGACTCCGAGCGCCCCGTAAAGCCCTTGAAGAAGTCCGGAAGAGCGCTGATGCAAACGCGGTCCTTGCCCTCCTGCGTACTTCAGCTTTCACAGGGATCTGTTAGTACAGAGACAGAGGCTAATAACGAGGTCAACGAGGATGATTGGAGCTCCTCCGCAATGTTTTCCGGATCTTTCGAACCAATGGCGCTCTGACGGTAGCGTTCTTTACTTCCTTCGTGACCTCAAATCAATTAACTCGGTTGTCAAGTAGTGTTCTGTGAAGGGACATCTGGCTCTACTTCGATCGTATTGCTGTAACCTGTTTTCGAATCTAAACCCATTCTCGATTGTCCGGTTAGTGGAATAATCACAATCGAGATACACAGAAGCCTCGGTACATTGCACACGGTTGTATCCCTGAGGATAAGGAAATGTCCCTGTGTATGTAATTAAGTTTGCAAAGTTCTCGCTAGAAAACGTTCCTGATAGACTCTTGACACTTTCAGCTGTGAACAAGACCAAACACCTCGTCCCTTTTTTTTTGCTGCCAAACTCTCACAAATTAGATACTCTCCGGTCATTTTCTGCACAAAAACGTTCCATCACAGAAACAAGCACCTTTTACGATCATTCCCAGATGATGCGATTGAGCACGAGATAGAGCACGAGAGTCACCTCGGAGATCCTCATCTCTGATCGCCAACCTGGATGCGGTAACGGTAGCGCTCTCTTTCCTCTTAAATATGGACTGCCATTGTTACCCTCCATCCATCCATTTAGCTGCTTCCCACCCCAACCCTCGTGTTGAATTTACCCTCGCACGGGGTAATCTAGCGGGTGACATATCGCACCGCAGGCCGCCGTTCAAGACTCCGACTTCCTGTAAGTCCTTCTTTCCTCCTCCTGGACCATGCCACAAGGTTTTCCCGGATCGTGCATACTGGGCAGCAGATGCCTATGCTATTCCTCATAAATAAGACCAATGCGTGCTGCCTACCAGTCGTCTTCGTTGCCTTTTATCCGGAAGTCCTTACTGCCGCCACATAACGAACTAAATTTTTCTTGTTTAGGGCCCTTGCTATTCGAATTTATATCGGCATGGAACGTTTACTCGCCAGACCCAATGCACCGAAGCGAACATTGTCTTCCAGGTAAGGCCGCTGTTTCTGCTGTGCACCGTGCGTTAGACGACGGCTCCCGCTGGGAAGGCACCTGACACGCGCATTGCATCGATTTTGCCATGGTCATTTTTGCTGACGTTCTTGTTAGCCACCATGGTGAAGGCGCCGACGTCGACAAACGAAGCTCGCGATCCTCGAACCCGACTCTACGCCAGTTCGCCACACCGACGGGGACCTTTCGTTGGGCGGGCCTCGGACATGCCAAAGATGCGTGGCGACAAGATATTCGGGAATACCGCGATACCGACAGTTCTTCAGGATCGTCGTACACTCGCGAGTCGTCGCCTGCTACAACGAGCCAATCGGGCGCCAGTCCCAAGTTACCCATTTCTTCGTTGAGCCACACGGATACGCCGTAAGTTAGTTCTTTCTTCGTCTCAAGTTTTGGACACTAACTCGTTGTTAGTACCGTGACGACTCTGCTCGAATCTCTTCAGTACGTTTCCCTTCCTCACAAATTGCAGGGTACTTACATTTCAAACGTAGGCGAACGAGTATCGCCGACGTGCCCTCCTCTCCTAAAGCTCGTCGTTCGGAGAGTCCCCGACCTTCAAGCAGTCCGGTCGACAGCAGCCACCAGGAACTCAATGGTGAGAGTCAAGACTCGCACACCCGACAGTCACCGGATTCAATTATTCCGCCGCGGACCATCCAAAGCAACACTGATCTCTCCAAACCCACCACTATCCCACGAGAATCCTCCAGTAGAGGCCGAGTCCCCAATTATGACAAGAAGGCTTGGGAGAAGTACGCAGAGAAGAAGACGGACAAGGAATATACATGTCAATGGTCACAACACTTCCCAGATCGATCACAAACTTGCATTTATGAAGCCTTGAGGCCCTTGATGAAAAGGCATGTTGAAACGGTTCATCTTAAATACAAGTTCGTGTCACTATTCGGGTCCTTTGAGTAGCACTGACGGGATCATTAGAACCCATTGCTGCAAATATTGCGACAGACTCTTTCCTCAGGCAAGTATTCAGGTTACCTTTGATGATGATACGTGCTCGGTAGTGAAGATTGGTCATCAACAGAAAGCTAACGTCGAAGTACATGAATCGTCTCGCCAGTAAGTCGTTCATATCTTTGCATGTCTAAGCTCATTGTCGGCACTTAGTACTAAAAGCAAGAATAATGTCTGCCCGTATGAGAAATGTGGGCTGCGGTTCAACGACCCAGCCAGACTTCACCGACACAAAGTCGAAGCTCATGGTTATGTTCCGAAGGAGACGAAGAGGCGAAAGAAGAATGGGGCTGGGGCTGGGGCCTCGAAGCCCGCGGACTATGAATTGGTCCAGCCTTGGCCTACTGAAGGGAAATCGCCTGTCGGTGAATGAATTGCAGAGGAAACGGACTAGCCGGAATAGACATTGCGCGCACTATGCAAATAAATGATAAAGAATTGAAAAAGTTGAATACAAATGCCAAGGCATGAGCTATTTCCTTATTCTAATTACCTCGCGCCGACCACACAATGTGCCATCGCGTATGAGTACCCCGTTTCTGTCCATCGATGGGTCTGCGTGTCTTCTTCTAGCTCCGATGCTCATGGGGTGAAACATATCATTGGATGACGGAAATAAGATGTACCTGGTTGCGGTTTTAAGGAACTCGAATTATAAGATGTCAACCATCGGTACTTCTAGAATTTGTCGGTGTCCCAAGATTGTTTGCACATATGTGTGTCCGAGTGGGTCCTCGTTCGCATGGCCATATGGGCCGTCAGATCACGCCCTCGTTAGATCACATTTTGATCAGACGTTTCTGGAGATGAAACCCTTAAGTTTGTAATAGCGGCGGTAAGTCATGGAGATTTGCGTTACCTTCCGCCGGATAAATTTCGTCTTCACACTCTTAGTGACGTGTGGAATTCGGAGTACTGTCCACGGCCTTTCCCTCGCCGAAAGCCAACTCCAGAACGCATTGGAGGTTTCAATATTCGATAATCTGAGACGGAAGCTGACGGAAACTTTATTGGATAAGAAATAATAATAATTAGGATTATTTGAGTCGTGGGAGGAGAACCGTAGACCTTCGTGAAGTCTTCTCTTCATTCTTTCGTTGTGTTTAGGCCTGTACATACGCGCAGATTTCTTTGTCGAGTTTAGGCAGCTCTCCGCCGGCAAGACTAGCCGCTCTTCTAGCCGAGCTGCCGGCTTACACTGTTTACGTACGGCGGTAGCATACCGTAAAGGGAATTGCCTTCTCATCATACTTTTATGTCCTCAAGCAAGTCGCAGCTGGGAAGCCTCGGTATACAAGCGCCTGTTTTGAATCCGCAAATAGTTCACGTTTCTGCGACCACATGCAATGATATGTCATTATTCAAAGGTCTGCGCATCTTGCCAGTAATTCTAGAACAAGTTAGACGCTGACTGAATATTGACCCCCGTGCAGACCTGTTGAGGGAGTATCGGAAGCTGGATGACACGATAACCATGCGATTAAATCGTGCGAATGCTGTTATGCGTGACAGAAGCGAGAGAACAGTCTAGTCGATCCGTCCAAGGAACAGTCCAGGATCAAGCATGCTCTTACTTGTGGCAAGAATTAATGGGTACGTTGCGGCCTGTGATTATAATTCGCAGCGAGACGGTCTCATCGTGCTAGATTAGCAAATTGGAGTCGCCGTACACAACTCGTCCAATACTGCGTTGACGTCGTAGACAAATCGTTACAAGACAAAAAGAACATCGTTCAGGATAACGCGTCGAGCCCGGCAGAACAGCGGAAAGCACAGGCTGAAATGTACACTGACCAAGTCAAGGTACACCTTTCCCGACGACTCGCCGATGATACTTATACATTTCATGCAGAGAACGCAGATACATCGAGAACTCACTGTCGAAGCCATTGTACGGAAGCGCTCTGTCGATGGTACGCAATTTTTGCCATTACATATTCTCATTGACTCATTCCAATATCCTAGCATTTCGTTCTCGGTGCAAGTATTTCGAACCGCCAGCAACTGATGAAGAGGGTAGGAAGATGTGGTTTGAATAGTTTGCGACCCGGCCCTGAAGGCAGTCTCATCACGTGACTGTACGATGACGTAGTTAAACTTCATCTTACGCGAAAATGACGCGTTGCTGGCAGCTTTATCTTCTTTTCTTTATCGTTCAACTCTCCAAAAATGCTGCTTTATATCTTGACGATGCTCCTTCCCCTCCAAGTCCTGGCTGCCTCGTTTCTTGTCCAAGATCCTCAATTACCACTCAATGAGGATGTCAAGGTTCCTGTTCACCTTGGAGTCATGAGCCGTTGCCCGGATGCTTTGTTATGCGAAAATATCTTTGATAAGGTTTTGACGCGTGTTGGAGACAAAATCGATCTTTCACTGGTATATGTTGGCCAGTAAGTACGCCCGGCGCTTTATTGCTTGCGTTCAGGACCTATTTGTTAGAATGGATCCTTCAGAGCCCGACTTTGGGGTACAATGCAAGCACGGTCCTCTTGAATGCACCGGGAATGTCCAACAGCTTTGTGTTGCTAAATACGCTACATTCGATCAGTGGTGGGAGTTTGTACAGTGCCAGAATTATCAGGGCAAGGACAAGATCGGCAGACCAGAAATTGCCTTCAAGTGTGCTCGCTCTGCACTTTTGGACTGGGATGGGCCAATTTCTCAGTGTGTTGGTGAGGGAGCTTCTGGTAAAGGGGAAGAGGGTGTCGGCTTGCTCCACGAAAGTGTGAAACTGGGCAAGTCCATGGGCATTGAGTAAGTTTTCGTTCGCCCTTCGTGCCATGTCGCCGACATATTTCCGCAGGAAAAGTTGCACGATCCTCATAAATGGACGAGAAGTCTGTATCCGCGATGGAACTTGGAGAGATTGTGAGGTATGTGTCAATAATTCCAGGCCCATGATATCGTCGTAAAATGTTTATCTACAGGAGGGTCATACTGCGAACGATTTCATCCGGCAAATCAACAATGAGTACGAGAGAATTAACAGCGGTAATGGTCGTGCTTGAGTTTTGTGACGCTAGGTGTGGCGCGGCCTGGACCGAGACTGGACTTTCCATTTTATTTTACTTTTCTTTCATGAATCAATTCACGAATTTTGTATCGCCGCGACTGAGACGAAGCATTACGTAATTACAAACTGCTTTCCGACGTCGACTTTAGGTGGCGTCGTCGCGGAAGCACTCTCCCTTCAACCATCACTTTCGAAGAGCAATACGCCGCTGTTTTCCCGTCGACAATGGAGAAACAGGTCGAGCAGCTCGTAGAAATGGTGCTCTGTTTCTCCAATAGCATGCCTATGGCGTTCTCATTGAATCATCTCTTCACTGTAGGGAGCCACCCATGCTCAAGCACGAGCCGCACTCAGGAAATACAAAGATGTCATGGAGGCAGCAGAACGCATTTTCGAGGGAAATTTTGATGATGCAACCGAGGATGACGATGTCCAGATGGCGTCCGCTGAACCCGTACCCCAGACGAAGCGACATAGAATGAATGTGAGGACAGGCCCCTTTCAACTGCTATCTGTTAATATGTCGCGTCCTTGCTGTCCAGACTCCCGACGAAGGAGAGGAAGAAGACATACCAATCGACGATGAGGACGATGGTGAGTTCCGGTCTTCACCAATGAGGCCCACCCTTCTTGACGCGTCAACATGTAGAAGAGGAATTCGTGGACTACGACTCAGACTATGAAAACATGCAGATGGATTTTACCAAGACTGCTACCGATGTCGATCCATATTCTGGTGTGTGTTATAAGACGTCAAGCGAACTTGTTGTTCACAGTCGCAGGTATCTTCTTTTCGAAGGATCGTCGAGAAGAAGTCATCGAAGTAGAGGAGGACCCTGAGACCACCGTTATCGATGGTGTGCAGGTCAAGATTATGACCCAAGGCGAGTGGATGAAGGGTTGCCCCGAGGGCGGGGAACAAAGCTTTTTGTTTGCTCTATACTCCCAATTAACCGAAGGGCAATGCCGCTGTCCCAATGATTGTGGCACCTCCGTTTCTCGGTCCAAAGGCGACTTTTTTGGCATTTTTGTGAGCACTTTCACAACGACGCCAGGACACGCTTTGACCTTCTCCATAGCCAGACTTTTCTACTTATATCGAGCATCTTCGAAAGATTATTCGAAGAACATGCCCAGAATGCCAAAAGGAGTACTGTTTTGCATGCGGTGAATCCATCTCGACAGACAAAGTTCACAGACCGTCTGCCGCCACCGACGATAATCCCTTGTTCCATTGTTCGAACATGCAAGGCGTAATTCTGGGCGTTGGCATTTCGATGCTTGAGCAAATGTTTGTCGATCAAATCAGCGAAACACCTCACAATAAAGAATCCAAACCAAGAAGCAGTAAACGACGCAAGCCCAACCCTCCAGGGAAGGATCTCGATGATGACGATGACATCTATTATACACCAGTTGGGGGAAAACGAGCCAAAGGGGGGACCGGCTATGCTGGAGACCAAAAGGAGGATGTAAGATTCCCTTCGTGATACATCTTTCCCGCCTTTCTCATATTTTACAGAATTCTGGTCAGGTAGAAGCACTAAGCTATACAACAGGCGAAGGATGAAAAGATTGGGGGACTGCTCACAGCAGTTCGAGTGTACCTGCCATCGCTACGTAGGCCAGGAGGAGGCCAAACGAGTGACTACCTGGTTCATCCGACTGCCCTCGCTCACCTGCGGCGACGTTTCAATCATGTCTGTAGTGTCCTGCTTAGGAATGACTCCTTGGCAGATATGTCTGAGCGTTCGGTACTCTATTTCGAACTCCTGGAGTGGCTAGAGGTATTGCTCGACTCCGAATGGTGTGGTCACCTACTGAAATCCTGATCTCAGACGATATCAAATCACGAAGCTTTGGCGAGTATGATGGCTATGCCCATCATGGCGGTAGCATCTGTTAAGGCTAGTACGCCGAAGAAAGGGTCGAGATCCCATATTCGAGAACGTACGATTGTGTATGAAGGCAGCTCTAGTCCCCGAGAGTTACTGGAGGGTATCGTCATCCAAGCTCAAGCTGCTCTGAAAGGTCTGGAAGGCATGAAGCTAGTTGAAGATGGTCCTAAGGAATTGACGGAGGAAGAAAAGCGAATGACCATAAATTCCAAGGGGAAAGCTAAAGAGACCGGTCCAGCTGTATCTGAAGAGAATCAAGCGCTAATCAGTTTCTGTCGCCGTATACTCTCCACAACGACTGCAATCGACCGTTCCCTTCGTGAAACAAAAGGCGATGAATTCGTTGACAGACTGCACGCATCTCTTCCGAAGATTCTCACGTCCTCTTCTCAAGCTATATATGTGGAGCCCGGAGCAACGGAGGAGAGTGCCAAGAAGGCCTACCTGGAATGGGCGACTAACGTCAGATTTGAGTACTGTGATCTCACTCTACCATCGACCGATAAAGACGATCCGGACAACCCTTTGCCTCACTACAAGTTTTATTTCAACCAAGAAGCTCGGAATCTAGCGAACATGGATATTCCGAAACGTTCTTTAGCGATAGCGAAGGAGGTGTGTTATGAGCAGTTATGGGTCGTACGAGCTGACGGCTTTCCATTATTAGCTCGCTATTCTTACAGCTAATTTACCTGTTGCGTGGGATTCGTCTATATTCTTGCGCGTCGATGAGACAAGAGTAGACGTAATCAAAGCACTCATAACTGGGCCCGAAGGAACTCCGTGTGTTGAATATTCTTTTCCTATTTGTTAGTTCTAACTTGGTGACGACAGGTATTATAATGGATGGTGAGCTTGATTGATCCGAAACTGCTATATTTCTTACGACACACAGCTTTCTCTTCGATATATTCTTGGTGCAGCGTTATAACGAGGCCCCTCCCAGTGTCAAATACATGACAGTAAGTGTTGAAAATGTCTTTTTTACTGTCCTTGCTAATGAGAATATAGACGGGCGGAGGAAAGTTCCGTTTCAATCCTAACTTGTATGCTGTATGATTGTACTTTTGTTATGCTCGAATTCTTTGGTGCTCAATCTGTACATAGGATGGCAAAGTATGCTTGTCATTGTTGGGAACATGGTCCGGACCAGGATGGGTGTCCGGCAAATCGACACTGTTGCAGGTAGGATTCTCATTCATACCTGTGGTGGCTTGGTTGATCTGGGTTCAGGTTTTGATCTCAATACAATCGATGATCTTATGCGACGAACCTTATCTCAATGAGCCTGGATGGGCCAGCAGTGCGGGAACGCCACAGTCCCAGTCATGTAAGTTATCGAATGGCATATATGTTTGGTGCTCTTTCTAACCATACTTTAGACTCCGCAAATGTGCGAAGGATGGTGGTAAAAACTGCGGTAAGCCGCCATAAAGGGTAGAGACGTTTGTTTTCTCAACTATCACGCTTCAGATGCTTGGCAACTTGAAGAATCCACCAGAGCCGTTTGGAGATATTATTCGGACACATTTCCGGTTGAAGGCTCGCTCGGTTTCGGCTCAGTTAGACCAATGGCTTGCCATGGATGACGGGAAGCCGACGACTTCTGATGGTGGAGGATATGGAGGAAGCGAGCGGGTTGCTGGGGGAAGTTCGAATGGCTTCAAGGCAGATTGTGATGAACTCAAGGCAATGCTGAAGGAATTGTAGATGATATTGAGGTAGACAAACCGCACGCAGTGGATATCCAAGTATTATCGAATTAATACAATTTTGACTTTCATTACCGGTGACGGGTGACACGTGAAAACGCAACGGAGACGCGTTCAGGAATGGCGGCGACTACCCGTTCTGCTCTTTCTTCTCTGCCTTGACGCCCAATTTTCTGACGCTGACTGGCCGAGCATTTGGGACGCCATGGACGACTCTGTCATTCAAGGAATTGCAGGCTCAGCCGGAGGCATCGTGGCCATGTCCGCAACCTAGTGCGTTGTCGCCCATCTGTCCAGATACTTGCCGGCCAACGAAGCTAGTCCTTTGATTTTCATTTCTACTCGAGCAGCAGTTGAAACGAGAAACGAGTCAAAGGTGCGGCAACATCTTTGTTGACTTTAACTAATTCGTGTTTCTAGCCTGTCGTACAAGCCGTCCTTGATATTCTCAAACGAGAGGGCATAACAGGTCTTTACAGTGGCCTTAATTCCAGTTTGCTCGGCATCGCAGTCACAAATGGGTGCGTCTTCCCATACTCCCTCTCCCCGTCGTCCCTGACACTGTGAAAGTGTCTACTACTACTTTTACGAGCGATCTCGCGGAGCCATACTCAAATCCCGAGTCGGAGGAAAAGGCTTGAGTACCGTCGAGTCCATCATAACAGGACTCATCGCAGGCACGTCTTCCCCTCGAGCCCGTCAATCAGCTGTCCTTCTCATGCCCTGACAGGCTCGGCGACAACGATAATCAGTAATCCAATATGGGTCGTCCAGACTTCTCAGGCTGTTCGGACGCTTAACCAAGGTTCTTCCGACGCGTCTGGGCGTCCTAAGAGACCGGGATTCATAGAGACTATCCGTGGGATTCTTGCAAAGGACGGTATTGGGTATGTCTTCCAGCTGTGTTTGTCATGGGTTCCCTAACATTGAATTCTAGCGCCTTCTGGCGAGGCATTGGGCCTGCTCTGGTTCTCGTCATGAATCCCGTAATCCAGTACACCGTGTTTGAGCAGTTAAAGAACATCTTGATCGCCCGAAGGACAACTAAATTGAGACTCGCAGGCGCTGCCGCTGTGACGGCGGTCCTCAGTGATTGGGATTTCTTCTTCCTGGGTGCTATATCAAAACTAAGTAAGTCCTTTTTTGGACAATCTCTTCAAGCAAAGCGTTTAGCGTTTTCCTCCACAGTCGCCACAGCCTCAACCTATCCTTACATGTTCGAATACTTTACCTGGCGGGCGCTCGTGTGCTGATACTTTCCTTTCAGCGTAATCAAGAGTCGAATGCAAGCTGGACATTCAAGCGCGTTGGGATACAAATCCACGCTCGATGGGCTGCTAACCATCTTACGAGAAGAGGGCATTCACGGCCTTTATAAGGGCGTTGGCAGCAAATTGACCCAGAGTGTCCTTACGGCAGCCATTCTCTTTGCAGGGCAAAGGCGTATATACGAGATTACGAAGAAGGTAGCTTCCAAAATCACCCCTTCCAGACATACTGACCTGACCAATGACAAAGGCGTTGTTGACTGCCAACAAGTTGTAAACATATGCATTTGTGCTCTATTGTATATTAGACCCTAATACTCCAGAAAACGGCTTGCAGCAGACTAGGGGGACTAAGAAGCACTGGGAGAACTGTACCGAGGATCCTGCAGAATATTCGAATGTGGCATGGATAGTCTCTGAGATATACATTCGGGTTTCGGCTGATCATTATTTTCGCTTTCTTCGGGTTTCCAGTTGTATAATGATAAGTAACCATCACCTCCACGGACATGGCACATTACGGTATATATTTATAGGATCAAAATGCAGTCCCCCCGAGTCGGGCTAAAGCTCGTCATGATTCACCACTACATTGCCAAACTCATCGATTTCCTCCATCTCGATCGAGACCTGGAGAGAGTTAACCGTATATTTTAAAAAAAAACAGTGTCATGTTGACTTACCTGATCTTTCATATGATCGGGAAGAACGATACCGGGCTTGTCGCTGAGGAAATCCTCGGGCTCTGGCAGCTCGGGGTCAACGGGAGGCGCGGGTTTCACTGTGGCATCGGTGGGCGCTGTTTCAGACACGCCGAGGGATCGCCTTAATACACGATCCACTCGAGAGAAGAAGCTATAAAGCAAATACAGGTTAGTCTGTATTGCTTTGACCGTTCATAGACTCAGCCTACTCGTTAGTATCGGGAACTTCGAAGCCGGAGCGAATTAGGGCGCCGTCGATGAGAATAGACGTGACCTCCTTGAGCTCTTCCTCCGCTTCGAGATCCCTTTCTTCCTCCTCTTCCGAGGGAAGAGCCTCGACTTTACGAAGTAGACCCTCAATCAAGGGCGAACGAGGGTTGATCTCTAGCAATTTAGCTTTCATGGCAAATTCATGCATGAAGTCATTCGGCCCGTTGTTTCCTTTGTGCGACGCGCCTGCAAAGTATTGAGCGGTCGCGAATCATGCAAGAAAAAATACGCACTCATCATCCGTTGGACATTAGCGGTGTAGCCATGACTGTCAGCAACGATCGCACAGGGACTGGTTACAAGACGGTCTGACAATGTGACTAATGAAATGAAATGAATGCCAAGCAGTTCTTGTCTGTACAACAGTACGCACCATCTCTGACGACACCCTCGGCCTCTTTCTTGAGATAATCCAGCAGCGGCCGGAATTTCTCGGCCAGAGCCTCTTGGTTTTCCTTCGCTTCTTCGGCGTCTAGATCTAGAGATGCCCAGTAATTGGAAGAAACTACGAGCAAAAGAAGGTGTTTAATGCCCACCTTCATCTCCGAACTTGAGGCCAACTTTAGCAACATCTTGGAACGGAATATTTCTGAGGAGTTGCCGTGAGAAGTGACCAAAGAAGAACAAGAACCCTTACTTCCAACGACGAATGTTCTGCACCAAAATTTCGTCCAACGGTTCATTCAAGAGAAGAACCTCGTAACCTCGTGCATCTAGTTTTTCAACAAAGACACTCTTCGCAAGGTCTTTCGTCTCCTTGCCCATTTCTGCCAGGAAGAAGATCTATCAAGTCGACAAGTTCATCAGAGAGGCAACCTCGCATACTGAGGACTGTACCTGTTTCTGGCCCTGCTTCTTGTTCTCCAAGTACTAGAGGACATTGGTTTAGTAGCTGGATGCACGGACTTCCAGCGAGAACGTGCCTGATCGAGGGAAACCGACTCCCGTTGGTTTGTAGCAAAGCGTGTCAATGCAGTCAGCTTATCTCGGTTCTTTAAGTCCTCAACAGCACCGAGCTTGAGAACTGAACCATAGGTCTTATGCATTTCCTCGAGCTTTTCACCCTCCTCTGATAATCGCGTAAACAACTGGATGATACGCTTGAGAATGATTTGTTTGAGTTGCCTGAGGAATAGGTTCGATTGAAGTGTTTCTCGGGAAACGTTCAGAGGAAGATCCTCGGCTAGTAACCATATGTCTTTAACACGAAATGGAAACCAGAGAAAGCCACACTTACCATCGACTACGACTTTGACCCAGCTGGCCCATTTAGGCAAGCCATCGTCACCAAGGTCATTGGTGATAAAGACACGCTTAACCATCAATCTAATATCTTTCGACTTCGAAGCCAACGGTTGTTGCCAGTAAGCCTCATCGAGTTTGCTGGGGAGGAAAATGATGGCCTTGAATGACACGCCTGAACCTGAGTCACCGGAGAAGTGATGCCAAGCCAGCGGTTCCTCGTTGTCTTTGAAGGTGGCCTTGTAGAACATCTTATACTCCTCTATATGTAAACGTGAGCATGACCATGAACTAGCCCACAATGATATGTTTCAAGCTTACCATCGGAGATTGTCTTTGGATCCCTGTCACCAAGCTAGTCAGTTGTACGAAGAAAGAATAAACATCATGATACGCACCGTGCCCACAATGGTGCCTGCGCGTTTAGCTGGACCCATTCGTCAACCAGTATTGATTTCATTGGCGGAGGTGGAGCCTCGACTGGTTCAGCTTCTTCGGTAACATCCTCGACGATACCTTCGTCCTCGTCAATAACCTTGTCGTCGTCTTTGGGCTCCTCAGTAGCTTCGGGTTCTGAAGGAGGAATGTCTGCTTCAGCCTCTTCATCGGGGACCTCTTCAAAGTGTTGAGTGAACAGATATATGGGGAACGATGAAGAGAACGAGGAATGCTTGTTGCTGTGTCCCTAAGTGAGTTTAAAAAGGATCAAAAAGTATATGATGACGTACACTAAATCGGTGACTGCAGAAGTTTCTGCGTACTCAATAGCTTCGCTCTTCAAGTGTAGCCTGATCTCTGTTCCTCTTCCAAGAGTGTTTCCGCGAGGGTCTGGGTAGATGTTAAAAGAACCTTCCTCAGCTGATGAGCTGAAGACATGCTGGACGGGATGGGGGTTCTCTGCACTGGGCGGAGGGAGTGAAGCTACTTGAACTTTATCCGCAACCAGGAAGCTGCTGTAGAAACCGAGACCAAAAGCGCCGATAAGATTGCCGGTGTTGGTGCCGTCTTGACTTTCAGCCCTAGCTAGAAACTCTGAGGTGCCCGATTTCGCGAGTGTTCCCTGACATCAATGTCAGTATACCACATTTGCGCCACTATGCGTTACCATACTAAGTTCTGTTTCAATTCCTCGGGTGACATTCCTATTCCAGTGTCTACATAGGACAGTAAATATACAAAATATATGGATGGATTTCATGACGACGTACCGGCAATTACGAGAGTTCCCTCGCTACCATCCTCGTTCTTTTCCACCTTGATTGTAATATTGAGAGGGTCGCTTCCGTCCCAAACAGTTTTGTCGGTGAGGGATATTAGGCGAAGCTTTTCAAGCGCATCGTTGGCATTGGATATGAGCTCTCGAAGGAAAACCTCCCTGCATGGACATTGAGATTGCAGAATACTCCTGAAAGAAATGTTTCATCTACTTGTGCGAATAAAGGCTAGGAAGTATTCAGCGAAATTATCGGCCGAAGGTGAATGAGATACATACCTATTAATAACAATCTTTCGCATTCGCGCTACATCGCTCTGAATGAAAAGGGAAAGTAAGAAGGGGGGTAGAAAGTGGAGTGTCGCTGATGATACCTGGTAGTCGTAGGTCTCTTTATGAATGTTCGTGGCATCTTGTGCGACGACATACGAAGTGATGAGAGATAAAGAGAGGAAGAGGGAAGGAAGGATTCGCATGGCTCGTCCGAGACTAATCGAAACGCCTTTCAGGACTCGAAGGTAACGGGAAAACCGATAATGATGCTTGCCGCCTTTTATACTGCTCCCAAGCTTTGAGTGTATACGTGTCACCTTCGACGCTCGGATTTCGAGGGGGAAGGGCGTGACTTTTGATCACGGGGACAGTCACAACAGGTGAACGCGAGGAACGCGACGCGACGCGCGGGGGCGCAGCAAAATATATTTCATATTACTCGGTACTAAGTATCTGATACTACAAGACTCAAAAGAGATCATTATGAAGGCGCATCCAAGTGAACGGATAGTTTCGGCGCCGAAAGATTCGAAAGATAATCCTGTTACGCCAGTGTGAATATTCCACTTGGGACAACTAGAAACGTCCACGTACTCTGATCCATCGTTCCCGTTGTTCTGGAACATGATCAAACATTATGTACCTTTTATCATTCTACAAGGAAAGTGCGAGGTTTAGCCGTTGCGGGAACATTTGCTTGATCGGAAATACTTACCTTCAACACATTTTCCATCTCCCTAACGTCAACGTTTTTGGCAAGCGCTTTCATATCGACCTTACCGCCTCCGCCTTCTCCTTCGTCCTCACCCATGTCGTCGGCTTTCACGCCGCCATCTACACCTTCCCCACCAATTTTCCCTAGTCTGCCCCAGAACTCCACGAAGGAATTCTCAGAAAGCATATCATCGAACGCCTTTCGACATTCAAAAGTTCGTTCACGCTGCCATTTTTCAAATTCATGCTCCAAAACATTAGTTGTATATCCAAGCTTGGTGACTGGAAGAGAAGAGAGTAGGGACGATATCGGAATTGATTTGAAGTCAGTTGCGAGACTAGGAGCATACGACTCGAAAAGGGCGTGAAGGCTTTTGATGTGTTTCCCACGGAGGTGACCTATATGGGTATGGAAAAGGTGTAGCATTTGGTCGACGGGAAGAGGGGAGTTCCGAAATCTGGGATCAGTCTGCAGCTGCGGAAGAGCACTTTCCCATGTAATCTGAATCACCAAAAAGTCAGTCACCGTTCGCCAATGGAAAATCTTGTACCTGTGGTTCCCGAATCGCATCCGTAAGCAGTGTCCTAAATTAAGACAAAAATCAAGTCAGCGCCTTACGGCTCTCGGTTAGCAGTCGAAAATAGATCTTTGGCGCACTTGAAATCTCTTTGCCCTTCTTCTTTGTTTAGTTCGTTTCGAGACCGTCCTATATTTGCTTCTACAATTCCACGTTCAATCCGCACCTTTTCTTCTCGTTCTTTTACGGCTTTCTCTTTGCGTAGACGGCGACGTTCGCTCTCATCGATGTCAGCGTCTATTTTAGTGTTATCTGGAGGGTTTTCCACCGTGGCAGCCGTCTCGCCCCTACCCTTTTCTCGGGCCTTCTGGAACGTATTGAACAATTCTTCCCGTAATGAAGAGGACCCCACGGCGTCATAACGAGGATCACGCGTCAACGAACGTTTCACCTGAAGTAAAAAAGAGTAAGATACGCGCAACTCAGGGAAGACATGACGGACATCTTTCCAAACAGCATCCTGCGGTAATTGATTCTCTCTGAGGAGAGCAAAGAAGTCAATTTCGGCTTTCTGAGAGGCAGCTCTTTTCTCTAATGACTGATAGTAAGATAATGTGAGAAAGAAGGCAGAGGTTGCAGCTCACTTTCTCCTAGCTCCTTGAGATATTCCTTGAACCTCCTTTCTCGTTCCCTGTCATCTCGACCCCAGCCATATAATCTCCTATCCTTTTTCCATGATCGGCGGAAATCTCCCCATGACAATCTAGTGCTTTTCACCTCACTGGCTAATAGTCGATCAAACTCGTCCTTGGGGTTACTGGTCTCCTTCTCTTTCTTGACGTTTTGCTGTCGAAGTTCACGGGCGCGCTCCCGACAATATTCATCGAACGCATCACGCCGAGTAGAAACCGAAGGAAGGAAAACGTATCGTGGATCTGACACAAATAAAGGAAGAGATGTATCCCATGGATGTAAAGGATTGATGTCTTTTTCTCGGAGGAGAGTCTATGAATTCGATGAGAGGAATTACATAGAAATATCCAGTCATGACACGTACTTTAAACAAAGCCTTCCCTTCTTCTATCGATAGATCCACTCTATCCGGTATTTTGATTTTCTTATCTTGGAGCGCTTTTGCCTCCTGCTCAGCTAACTCCTTCGCTTTCAGTGCCTCTTCCTCCTGTCGTTTCCGTTCAGCTTCAGCTTCGGCCGCCAGTTGTTCAGCTGCCTCCTTCTGCCAATCTTCTTCTTCTTCGCTCTCTTCGTTATCTTCTTCATCCGTCTGGTCCAATTTGGGCTTCTTGGACACAACGACTTCATCAACAGGAACGTCGCTTTGAGCCTTCCTTTTCACCATATTTTGAACCTCAGCTTTGATTCTCTCGACTTCTCTGGCTCTCTCTTCCTCTGCCCGTTTCATTGCTTCCTCCTCCTCCCGTTTAGCCTTTAGTTTACTTTCTTCGACGGCCTTTGCTTCTTCTTGTTCGAATTTTTCCAGGGCATCTTTGATTTCCTCAGGCACTGTCCACAGACTCGCCTTTTTCGTCTTGTGAAAGTAGAAAGTATTGCCCCCGGTCGTTTTCACTCGCATCCACTCGGTACCCGGAATAGGCGTCTTGACCGCAGGTTTCTCCTTCTTTGTGGCAGATGGCGCCGTGACACTGGGTATTGAAGGAAGCGGTCGAACGTAGGTGGATTCTTTCGTGTGTGCATTGTAGTAGTAGGGTTGACCATTGGGGCCTAGTTATCTTTGAGTGCTACGAAAGTCAAGTAAGTGCATAATTACGTGCCTGCATGCTGTGTCCAGCCTATTGGCAGAGGAGGTGGTCCGAGAGAAGCAAATGGTGGTGCAGACATAAAGTTAGCAAGACCACGTGCCGAGGCTCGGCAGGACGACAGACGGACGGCAATTTCCATTTCAAAATCAGTAAGTTATTTTTGAACTGGCACCTTCTTCTCATGAACATCTGAATTGCGTCAATTCCCCAGCTGGCAACTGGTCAGGCTTATCTTTCGTCCTGGGTACGTTATTAGATGGCGGTTGTAATAAACTATTTTTGGTTAGTACCTCAGCCACGATGGCTCGGGGCCCTGGTCCTGCTCGTATAAATACTATAAGGCCCCTGCTCTCCAACCCGTCTCTCTATCATCTCCTGACATACTTTACTGTGATAATGTCGGAAATTCACGAATATAAACGTCGAATGACCAGAAACGTCCTCTGGAAACTCGGTACATCTTAAACGCTATCCACCCAATAGCAAACTGATCCACCTTCATAGATTGTCATATCCTACCTCCCCTTGCTCTTGTGTGCATTCTTCTTTTGAATTTTGATCTCTCTCATGTCTTGAAAGCTTTGGCTCGCCAATTTTGTTGGTGTTGTCTAATTCATGTGGCCAAGGTCCGTATCTCATGCCACAGAATTCCAGATTGACCGAAGCAATGTCGGCAATGCAAGGTCAGTGCATCTTATTTTTCGAAATATGGTTAGAGCCTATGACCGCTTCCCAGAATTGCCGGCCTGGAAACTGATACACATCTGCACGGAAACCAATTCAACATGATCCTAGCCGGTAGGGCTTTTGTGCATGCCATAATCAGCTTGCATCTGATGCGAATTCAGTCTTTTACATCACGTATGCAGTTTTAACAGGGTCTACGGCTTCGTCCAATGACCGAGAGACAGGTACATCTTGGTCGAACTACCTTCTAATTGGGTACTCAAGCGGATGAAGGCAAACGTGAGGGTTTTGTGTTTTGACGAATTGTTGTAACATGCTGTTTACTCCTCACATCTACAGCGTTGGCTCCCCCTTTTGGTTTTCGTCTGGGGAATCATAACGACATTGACGGCCCTGGTTCAGAATCTTGGGGGTCTCGTGGGCATCCGCATGTGTCTCGGGATTTGTGAAGGAGGCTTACTTCCTGGTATTGTCTGTCCATTCCATTTGAATGCTTGAAGGGGCCTGCAGATTACTAAATGGTCCTCAGGTGCTGTATCTGAGCACCATGTATAAACGTCACGAACTCCAGCTTCGGTATGTTTTGATATTTCTTTCTCCGAGATCATCATTTGACCACATATCAGTGTTGGGATTTTTTACGCATCTGGTAAGAACTCGTCACTCGGTTCTTAATGTGGCTCATGATATATGTAAGCCTCACTATCTGGCGCATTCGGAGGTTGGTCTTCAAATAAAACACCCTCGTGCTCGTGGAATGACTGCTTCTGAAGGACTTCTTGCGACGGCGATCATTAAGATGGACGGGATAGGAAACCTTGCTGGCTGGCGCTGGATTTTTATTCTGGAGGGTATCGCCACAATTATTTTCAGCATCATTGCTGCTATCTTTTTGCCGGCTGATGTGTCCTCCGCTCCATTTCTCTCTGAGGTAGAGAGAGATTTTGCTCGTGAGTCCTGTTGCTCGTTATCAGAAAGATACTCATTCCGACGATATTCAAGTTTCTCGTTTGCGCTCAGAAGATCCGGTCATACACATGGAATCCGAGTCGGATTCTACTATGCCAGATTCTTCCGCGCTTCATGATCCTAAGGAGGACGTGCTCACTGTAGAAAAGATCCAGATATCTGCCCACAATAATCGTGTAGAGTACGAGGACGAGGTCTTCGAATGGAGAGAGGTCATACGAGGTAGGATGCATCAAGTATCGCATTACTTGATAGCTAAGCTTCTTCCCAGGTTTGACTGACGTACAGACCTGGTTGACTGCTTTCACATACCTTGGCCTCGATGTCAGCCTCTATTCGTTTTCACTTTTCTTGTGCTTTCCTGGATCCTCTTTGGTTGCACAAGTTCTAACGAAAAAAATTGTAGACCTACTATCGTTGCGCAGTTGGGTTACTCAGGCGAACAGGCGCAATTGCACACTGGTGAGTCCAATGCATCAACTCCACTCTCTGTGATTCATATTTTGTAGTACCACCTTACGTTCCCGCAGTTGTTCTCACAGGTTCTTCATCTGGATATTCGCCTAAGTTTCATGTTAACCCCGTATTTCCCTGTAGTTGTTGTGGCATTTCTGGGCGACCGATTGAAATGGCGCGGTCCATTCATCTTGATATTTTTACCTGTGGCAATCATAGGTGAGTCTGTCTGTTGTCTCAACAGATTCTCTGGACTGCAGTATGCCGGTAGGATACATTGTTGCAATTACCGCCAAAACGAATACCGGAAGATATGCAGCTGTATTTCTCATTGCTGCGGGCGTGTACGTTTCTGTTGATTTGGAGTTAGTCTGCTTGTTGATGTCTACAATGCTATAAGTTATCCAAGTGCTCCCTGCCTCTTGTGAGCTTAGTCACGATATGATTGCGATGCAACTTGCTGATAATATTAAGGTCTATACTTCCTAATAATAGCAGTGGTCATTACAAAAGAGCCACCGCTACGGCGTTCCAACTCGCGTTCTCAAATACAGGGTAATGCAAACTTTTAGCACTCGAGAGACGTGGTTAAAACTTTCGTTGTCGTAGAGGTTTCATCGCTACATTTTCGTACACCCAAGGTTATTTCAAGGTGCTGTTTTACTTATTTGCTTTTACTGACATATACATAGACCAAGCTCCAAGGTATATCCGTGGCCATGCCATTAGTTTAGCATGTCCTGGTGTTTGCCTGGTTCTTCATCGGCACAAATGTGTTCGTCTTTTGTCCACGCTTCAAAAAGTAATAATTTTCCACTCATTTCTTCAGATGTTACTGCTTGTGGGAAAACAAAGCACGCAGAGAAGGACGCCGAGCGGAGAATATACGCAAGTACAAAGAACTGTTGGATGAAGGAAAAACTCGTGCTCCGTTCGTCTATCTTTTACGGTTCAGAATTATCACTTATCGTTACTGGCATAGTATTGGAGACCGTCATCCCGAGTTCAGGTTCACGTTATAAAGGTAACCGGTTCAGTACATTATGCTACGAATTATTCAGTTGATGCGCTATGCAAGAGTGGATACAAAGATCGACTAGGGGTACAAGTATGAGCCATAATTTGCAAAGAAAACCTTTCAAAGGGAGCTGACTGCATGTAAAAAGAGAGCAATGTAAATGAAGAACGAAATAGTCTGTCGTTAAGTCATTAGTATCATAAAGCATCAAACAAAGAATCTGTCAGCGAAAAGTCAGCTAAGTGCAAAAAATGGATAGGGAATGAGATTTACTTCTTATTAATCTGACTGACAAAACGATCCAAGTTCACCTTAGCCTGCCCATTAAATAAGGTCAACGATGATCGTTGCTCGTATTTCGCCTGAAGAAGATCCTCCATCTGTACTTCATCCGAGCCCATCTTGGTAGTGATACCACCAATCAGGGTTGATTCCAGGAGTAGATTGAAGACACCAGCAGAATTAGACGACATTGTGAGCTGAATTTTGTCGAATTGACGAGGAGAGTATTGATCAATGGATAACAAGATACCCTTCTCGTAAAGGTCCTTGGCGGTGTATAGATATGAACCAAACTTCGGGTTCTGCCCCGATTTTTGGAGATCACGAAGATGGAAATACTGTTTGGTGAAAGGCAAAGTGAACCGTTTGATGCGCCTATTGCTTACAAAAACCGTTAATTCGACTCAGCAACCCGAGAAAAAGCAATGATGAACATACGGTTTTGTGACCATGGTAGCCATGGATGATTGAGCATAGCGGTGGTAGCTGTCAATTCTCTCTTCAAATTGCTTTTTCCTCTCGCCCAATTGTCTCAGTGCTTCGTTCATACTTTCCATCTCCTGTTGCCGCTGGATACGCTTCCGGTGTTTACTGCGAACATCACCAGCGATGGCATTGAGAATTCCTTGGAAACCATCAGCACGAGATATCTTTCCTCGTTCCTCCAGCTTCAATAGGTACGAGATAGCCAGCGCTTTGACAGCCCGGAAAGTTAATCTGATTGCATGTTAGTCACTGACCAGCTTAAAATCTTCTAGGCTTACGATTTAATGTCTTCCAGGCGGTACGCGGAATCTGCGGCAGCTTGAGAGGCTTGGCGTCCAGGATGATGTCTAGCCTCTTCGTTGACCATATCAGCGTCCAAGATGCCCTCCCATACCAGCTCGTCGTCATCCGTTACCGGCTGGAGTAAGGATTCCACTAGGTCTTGCGCCGGCTGCACACGAAGAATTGCTAAGACACCGCGCTTAGCCTGTACCCAGAGTGCCTTCTCCTCGGCATGCGGATCTGATTGCAGCATTAGAAAACATCGCTATCTTATATATGTTGTTACCTTTGACGTCAGCAAAGCGATTGGTGAGTTCGAGCGTAACGACATGATCTCTAGCGTCTTTCAGTTCTTCATTACCGAAATGAGGAACACCATCTAATTCTCTCAAGATGGTTTTTAATGCATCATCGGAGGACTGACCCTACAGACGAAGAACTTCAGAATGATTTTATTTAAGCGAATCGAACCTACCAGGCTGTCTTGATGCTGTGACAACAATCCGTGCATCGTGTAAATTTCATTTGGAGAGATATAAATTGGCTTGGGTTGCACCGTAGCATCAAGGAATTCGTGAGCATGAAACTGAGTCTCGGCATCTGGTACACTTGGCAACTAATGAGCCAATGATTAGTATCACGAAACGTGAAAGCCACGTATTGAACCACCTTCAAGAAGCCACGCTGTCATTTCATCGATGGTTTTCCGAACATAATCATTGATGGGGACATAACTGGGACTATCCTCTCCGAATGATGATCCACTCGTTATCTGGGTCAGTACACGAGAAACCTCGGACAAATTGCTACGAGACTGGACATCGAGAGTTGTCGAAATTATGTTGAACGTTTCAGGGGTCCTGGTCTGTGTTAGCATAGGTGAGGGTATGATATAGGTGAGGCATACACAATAGCGGGATTGATATAGCGATAGAATACGAGTCGTCCAATGCATGCAGCATAAACTTCATCGGGAGCATCCGGAAATGTCTCCTAAATAGATTTTAAAGCACAGAAGGATTGGCTTTAAGCGGAACACTCACGCGGGCCATGTTCAGAGTTTCCCGAGCAAGATAGCGTATGCTGTATGGCATCTTTTTAATCGACTCCATGATCGCCTGCACCATCACAGTTGTGGCCCATTGCAACATTTGTATATCTGGAAATTTTAGTACTCAGAGACAGCATGATGCAATTACACTCACGTCTGATGTAAATGGCCCTAGTATCCGGGTCCCTCAAGGCTTCATGGAAGCTGACTTGTTTTGCCTTGTTGAGTGGAACTTCGGACCTCATCTCTTCACGTCGGAGTATTTCCTCATATATCTAGAGGAACTTATGTAAGTTGCGAAATAATCAACCAGGTTCACAGACATACCGTGCAAGGATCGGCTTCCAGGTCAAGATCAGGATGATCGACTAGTTTCTGAATAGCACCTTGGAAGGCTTCTCGTACATAAACGGCTTGTTTCTGCCTAAGGTAATGCACGGCGATATTGATATACATCGGATGTCCGCGTATGATATCGCTCGGTGACGTAGCCAAGACAAATTCATCTCGAATAGCGAGCTGTGAAACGGGAGCTCGTAAAGATTGAGATAAAGACATCAGCGCATCACGTACTTGGAAAACTTTGAGTAGTAGATAGTCTTCCCGGCTGTCTTGACCATAACCAAATAGCGTTAATACGACCCTCTCAACGAATCGGCGATTCGATTCAGCAGCGTTGCCTTGAGAGATGTGATGGAAAAGGCGACTTAAGTATTCTCCTCTCGTCTGAAGGAGATAGAAAAGCTGCTGATACAACTCGAGTTTCCGTCGAGCAGTGTGATCCAGTGTGTTGGGTCCTGAAAATGGATCACCATGGGCAGCGAGCAATGAAGTCCGGGCAGCGTGACCTGCAGCATTGTCAGTATGTCGCTGCTTCACCGTCTTCATGTTCTCTACAACTAGACCGATCTTGGTGTCCAGATCGTTGAGATCGCTTTCCAATGCTTGATTCTCCCGGATTTGCTGTACTACCCGTTTCCTCAATCTCTCCACCGTAATCTCATCCTGGAAATCGGCCTCCGAGTCATCTAACAAGTGTACAAAATTCTTGATTGTTCCAACAGTGACGTTCTGACCCATCGTGAGCTGTCGGTATTGTTCCCGAGTTTCCTTTGCACGCATGAGAGACTGAATTTGAATGACTTTGCTTAGATTCGAGCGGTAGTAGTCCATTTTTGAACGGAACTTGCGCCGTACCATAGCGCCTCGTAACAGGGCTTGTAGGAATGTGGCAATATCCTGACTAGTAAGCAGATGATCTCGCCAAGCAAAGTAGTCATCCCGTGCTAGAACGCCCCGTGCAGCAGCCTGAAAGCGGACCATGTCAGGGGCGACAAATTCCAACTTTCTGGTGACTTCGTGGTGTTTGCTTCGCGCTAGAGAGGCGCGAGCAAGAGCCTGTAAACTCCCCACAGCTTTGATGGTACTGACAGTCATTAGGGCCCGAGTCATCGCTTTGTGTTGTTGTCGAACAATTTTGGTTCTTGCAATCGTCTGGAAACTGATGACTGATGCAGTTGCCTTTCGTAGTCCTCGTATAAGTGACAAAAGGCGCTTCCTCGCTAGATAGGTCCTCGAAGCAGCCTGTATACGTATGACCGTCTGCGTGACGTCCTCCAGCTTCGCCATCTGTTTGCGCATCCGACGCCGAACGAGGATACCCCGACACTGAGACTGGAGGGCAACAAACGCTCCTTCATAATTATATAGCGTTTTGACTTGCTGCATAGCCCGCTGCCGAGCAATGGCACCGCGAGAGAATGCCTGCATTGCCACCACGGATGTCGCGACAGAAGGTTCAACAAAGGTTTTTGAAACCTGGTTGATGCTTTTCTTGACTAAACGCAGGCGCGCCATTGACTGTAGTTTGACAAAGGAAGATCGACTTGTTCGTAGGGCAGCTAAAAGCCCAGCCATGCGACGTCGCTGAAGTACTGCGCGTAGCTGGGCTTGTATCTTGATTACACAGGATGAAGAATTCCTGATATCATGAAGGTGATGATGCCATTCCTCACGAAACAATGCGCCCCGCAGAGATGCCTGAAGTGCGACAACCCAGGGCTCGAGGTCTCGCTGTTCACTGCGTCGTTCGGAAAGTTCTCGGCGAAGAAGTTGTCCTCTGCAGCGTGCCTGTATTTTCGCCACGTAATGCTCAACAAGTCGCATGCGATCCCGCTGCGCAGCCTCAGCCTGGCGAGCAATGAATCCTCGACATTGGGACTGAAGCTTAATGATTGAGGCTTCGTTTTCGAGCAATAAACGATCTCTCCCTGAAAGGACCGTCAGTCAGGTAAAAGCAATTGCAAGAACATAGTGTACGAACGTTCATCTTCTGTCTCTACTTCAACTTCCGGCTCTTCGTTAATCTCTTTAGCAAGCTCCCGGCCGATGTTGCCGAAATTCGGCATCGCGACACCTGCATCTTTCAAGCCTTTCTGAGTCTTCTGAAGTTGGTCGTCAGAGAATTGCAGCCGTCCCAAAAGATTGCCGATACGTTCTGCCAAACCACGTCGAGCAAGGAGATGACTGCGGCACGAATGTGTTCATAAGATGCATGCATCGCACTGAACACCATACTCTCACCTCAATGCGTGGATACAGTATATCACTTTTGGAAGGTTCTTCTTTTCATACAAGTCCGTAAGCTCAAAAATGAAGCCCTATCAGGTTTGATGAACAACTGCTAGGTAAGTGCACAAGGAAGTTCCACATACTTCTGGTAGACCAACTTGACGAACGAAAACGAAAAAGTAGTTGATATTATCTGAATGAAGGAAGGACAACTTTTGCGCCTGTAACACAACATAAACGTCAATAAAATGCCAGTCAAGAATATTTTCCTACCTCGTAGATCCTCTTGACAATGGCATCTTGAGTGAACACTTTCACTAGCTTGGCTAAAACAACCCCATTTCGCAGACCGCTCTCCATCTCGACGACACCAAAGCCCAACTCCTCTCCCAAGCAGCCTTCGATCCACTGCTGAGCCTCTCCTACGTGACAAAGGTACTCATAGGCTTGTATCAAATGCCTCTGGGTGTCTGCCCATAATCCTCTAGCTAGTCGTGAAGAGGGCATAGGAGCCTGGGCATTGGGTGCTCTATATCGCGATAGACGCAGTCTGCCCGGTATACCTGCCACTCCATCGCCTTCATCTACGACGGGTAGACCCATCTCCTCTCTCCGTTTGGACTCCGAGCTAGAATCTATGCCAACGTTGAGATCACGAACTCGCATCTCCCTCTTTGTGGGCGTCGTCTCGACTGATTTCACTTCTTTCACTTGGCAGATTAATCTCCTTCGCTTCTACCCGCTCTTTTGGAAAGTCATTCTTCTCCTCCCAGTGGTCATCCCCATCTCCGCTGGCGATACGCGGCAAGTGTTTTCCAAGTCTCCTTCCAGCAGTCAAGCTCTCACCGTACGTTGCCGCCTTCTTATTATTCATATAGGAGCTGCGATATGGGGTAGGCGACATGGCTGAAGATGGGATAGTAGGTGTTGAAGCTTCTAGAGAACGCTTGTATGAGTTTGTGCGATCGAGGATGGATGGCCCGACTGCGACTTTGTCTGGAGATGACATGCCGCCATAATAAGACGTAGGTCGTTTCTTCAGAGGCGTAGATGGTGGGGTTGGAATGAAGGGGTCATGGCTGGAAGACGAAGCTACGGAGGGCGGTGAAGCTGTTCCTTCGCGATCGGACAACGACCAGCTCGGCGAACTAGATCCACCCAGCGTGGTTGCACGGTGACGAGATGGGGAAGGGGAAGACTCTGCGGAAGAAAGGGTAGAGGGTAGGTAATGATCTGTATGCCTGGTCCTATCAGAAGCAGATGAAATGGCAGGTGAAGAAGGCAAGTGAATTCGATGTGCGCCGGTGACCGAAGAAGGTAAAGGTTCAGCTTCTACGGAGACTCCTGTAGTGTTGGGCGACAAAGGGGACGCAATGATGGGTGCTGGCATCGTGTGCCGTTTGAGATATGGCGGAGTCCGTTGTTGGTCGGGTAAGGAACTGGAATGGGAAGGAGTAGAAGGAACATATGGAGGTCGCTGACTGTCAGCCGAGAGCTGAGAATTTGGCACGCTTCTAGTCGGGGATGACGAGGAGACCGTATGATCCTCCATCGCAGCGTCCCGAGAACGCTCCTCCCATCTGCCACGGACAGCGTCCAAGCTGTTGGCGACGCGGTGAGATGGAACCCAACGCCGGGTATTGGGGGCTGCAGATGAGCCCGTAGGATTTGTCAAAATGCTCATACCCGACTGGGAGTTGCTCCTCGAGACAGAAGCACCATTCCTGGTGGATGAAGTCCGTTCAAGAAGGCGAGTCTGATAGGCGAATGCGCCTGATGACGAACCGGAGCGTGAAGGAACAGAAGAGGCCGAGTTCGTGCGATCCATGTTGTACGTAGCTATGTCATGAGAGTTGAAAAGAAAGGCGTGTCGAGCCACCGACGTCGATTTTGCCTGGTAGGCACTATGAATGATCCAATCTGAGCGCCAAGGCTTGTTGTCGTTTGTTACCTCTCTGTTCACGTGGCTTTCCCCTGGCAGTTGCACTGCCACCGACGCTTTGGGTTTCCGGCCGGCTTTCCTTTCACCACAGGGTCCCCTGCGGGCACAGGAGAATTTGCATCTCTGCACTTGATCCGAAGCGTCGATTATGGGCAAACATATTCCTTGAAGATATTACGGGTGTGTGCAGTTGCTCTTGTAGACTAGAGAAATCGGCTTTATAGGCACGGATCACGCGTTTAACAACAGTCTGACTAAGTTCTCTGTGCAATGCTCTTAGTGACTCACAAGGGCCGGCTCAGCTCGGAAGGGCTCCGGCTCTCCAAATCGCAAGCCCAAGCCTTGAGCCCAAGCCCGTTGAGGCTCAGGCTCAGCTTGGGTCCAGGCCCGGGCTTGTATACAAGAAAATATTTTCAGCTTGAACGACCTGTAGGAAGGCAAGAGAATGAGAAATGAAGTTGCTATTCACTCCACAGGGTATTCTATTAGCAAGAGAGTAAGTTTATACTATATACAATGCTAAAGACCACGCATGGAAACATGAGAAACAGACACAGCCAAGGAAAACCATGGTATGCCAAGTTTTGGTTTTGTCAGCGTAATACAAAGTCTGTACCTTCCTCAATCCCCCCTTCTTCCAAATCATCTTCTGCTGTACTGGCCGGAGTCGTATCATGAGTATCGGCGATGGTTGCGATGAGTGCGTCCATGCTTGCGATGATAGCAAGCAGAAAAGCGATCTCGGCAACTTCCATAGTCCGATCGGACTTCCAATATTAAAATGATAGGAAATGACGTGCTCCAGGCCCCGGGAAACTCACGCCAAGGTTTGTCCGGCAAAATAGCCAATTTTGGCCCTCAAATATGCAACAATTTAGGGCTAAAATATGCTAACGCGGACAAGGGTCTTCCGGGCCGACTTTCCGGAGTGCGCCGGTGAGAATTTTCGACGAATATCTGGCAAATCTTTCTCTATTTTGGAAGGTATCTCCTCATTTATAGTCATTTTTGCGGTTTTCGATAGGAATAGAAGTCGGCAGAACCACTCTGCACAAACAGGGGGTCGACAGGTCCCCTCGTTCATCCCTTTCGATGCCCTCAAATATGCTAAACCCGGACAAAAGTGTCCCTCTTGGACCCCTCAAATATGCTAAATGCGGACAAAGATTTCGCATTTTTGGGGTCTAAAATATGCTAATTTCCGGACAAACCTTGGCGTGAGTTTCCCGGGGCCTCGTGCTCCCCTCGCCTGAACGCTGTGGTTGTGGTTCTGAGCTGGCTGAGCTGAGACTAAGCTTCACTTCACGAGCCTACCCATAGGCCCGCGATGGGGCTTGATCTTGCCGCTTCAGGCCGGCTTGTAACACTCGCAGATCTCGGCGCCACGGTTATTGGATATTAGAGCAGGTCTCGGAGCAGATTGAATAGGGAAAATCTGTGGTAGACCCGTTCCAGCGAAGCCTGGACGACAATCCGGATCTCGCGATCTCGCGAAAAGCGTTCCTCTCGAGCTCAATCTTCCGTCTCCGTCCGTCCCATTCTGATTTACCTGCTACTTTGGACGCCCACCAAATGCTAACCCAGTAGTCTTGGGTGTTTGTGCCATGGATGTCAAGGCCAGGTCGAAGGCAATGCGTGAAATCCTTATTCGACTCGTTTGAGCGGGCTCGCGGTTCCATAGAGGTGAAAGTTTTTGGTGACAAAGTCATATTAGACGAGGGTAAGTCATCAGTTATTCAAATTACTTAGGCTGAGTAGTTGCGCATAAGATGTCGAAAATTGGCCTAGATGTGACATACTGATTTCCTTTTTTTCCACGGATTTCCCTCTTGACAAAGCGATATCTTACGTCAAACTTCGAAATCCGTTCTGTATCAATGATCTTGCTCCTCAGGCTTTACTTTGGGACCGTCGGTTAGTTGGCGCAGTACTTGATCATCTCAAAGTACCAACTCCATCTCGCCTTGAGGTCTCCCGAGATGGTGGCCCAAAGATCGATCCCGAGCTAATCAGCTTGATGAAACAACGTCATGGCATCACGCTTGGAGACTATCAAGTCACTCCAGAAGTCACACTTCGAGAAGATGGTGATGCTATCATCATAGATGGTAAAGTACTGGAAAAGCCGTTTGTCGAGAAACCTGTGAGTGGAGAGGACCATAACGTCTATATCTACTTCAAGGGAGGCGGCGGACGCCGACTATTTAGAAAGGTTATTGCTCAGTCAGTTCATGAGGCATGTATTCATTTTATAGGACAGGTTGGTAACAAATCCAGCGACTTGGACCCGACGTTAAATCATCCTCGAACGGACGGTTCTTATATCTACGAGAAATTTATCGATGTCGACAACTCCGAAGATATCAAGGTATACACCGTCGGAAAGGAGTACACGCACGCCGAAACTCGCAAATCCCCCGTCGTCGATGGAGTTGTTCGACGGAACACAGAAGGGAAAGAGATCCGGTACGGTTCTTCTTTCTGTTAGTGACAAGTATTGAACACACATTAGCTTTATCACGACACTTACTGAAGAAGAGAAGGCTTGGGCCACCAAGATTTGTGAAGGATTTGGCCAACGCGTCTGTGGTTTCGACATGCTCCGCTGTGACAACGGGAAGACAAGTCGTGTCATCGACGTCAACGGCTGGAGTTTTGTCAAAGGGAATAACACATATTACGGTACTAATTTTCTCTCTCATGGATTATTCGTCTGCATACACTATGGCATTGCATCATCGAGCAGCAGGTCTTCCGAAGCCATGAAATCTCCATGAGCAGAGAAGTCTGGCCGCTATGACATGACTTGCCGAAGTTTTCTTTCACTACGACTTTGTACACGCTATAGTAACACTCAACTTTCAGATAAGGCTGCGGATATTCTTGCAGCTCTATGTATGCGACTATCTTCATCACCTGATCGCGCTCTTCCCGGGGGCGAGAACACGTCTGTGGAAACTCCGACTTGGCTACTGAAGGCGAACGTGACCGTGTATAGACATGCCGATCGTACACCGAAACAGAAACTTAAATTGTGGGAAAATACGCGTTGCATCACACTGAATAGGACTGACCAGATGCGATCTCTTCTAGCAATTTCCCGATTGGCGAGCCTTGGACACAACCTTTCGTCACACTTCTGAATGGAGAGAAGGAAGAAATTATTCTTCGGGAGAAAGACCAGCTCAACCTGATTGCTACCGCTGTTGAGAAAGCCAAGAGACTGGGGGCAGACGGCGAAGAACTAACTAAATTAACACAGTTGAACAACGCCCTCTTCAGCAAGATTAATTTACCTGGAACAAAAGCCCAGCTCAAACCAGTGTACTCCAAACGTCAGGCGGGACATGTACGAAGACTAACGAAATTGACGTTGGTATTCAAATGGGGCGGGGAGGTCATTTTTTGCATCTACATCCCAATGAACAATCTCTGATTTTCCTTGTGTAGTTCACACACTCTGCTCGCTATCAATCGAGAGATTTGGGCGAGAATATGAAGAAGGATATTTCCATCATGAGTATGTCTTATTTCAATCCTCCGTGTTGAACACATCTAAATAAGCTACAAACCTGCACAGACAAAGAAGTCTTACAAAACGTAAAGGTATGTTTGCGCAATATTTCGTATTGACTACATGCACTCACAACCTCTCTAGATCTTCACGTCATCCGAACGGCGTGTCATTGCTTCAGCGGAAATTTTTGCGGCTTCTCTTTATGACACCCAATCACCTTCTTACACCATGAACACCTCTTCCAACTCCAGCTCGCGGTCGTCGACAGATGGATCGGCCAACGGCAGCGGGAGCTACATGAATTCCCCTCACCCCGAGACACCTCTTACACTCATTGTGCGAAAGGACCTGCTTGACGATTCCAATGCCGCCAAAGATTTGATGGATGATGTCAAAAAACGTCTCAAGATCTTGTTACGACCTGGTGAGCCAGAGAAAAGGCCGGAGCTTACTTGGCCCAAGAGCATGAAGAAAGAACCCGTTGAGGTAGTCAAGGTGAGTATCATGAGCATACAGACATATTAGGTTCTTATTGTACTCTAGGAAGTAATAGAATTGCTAGGATCCTTCAGGGACATCATGCGCCGGAATTTCGAGACTATGGATGTTGACAAGATTCAAGAAAGATGGTGCGCGCATCTGTTGTTTCGAATTGATAGATTTCAACTAACCTTCAACAGGTGCTGTGATGACGAACCGTGGCTATTCAGAGAAAGATGGGAAAAGCTGTTTGAAGATTTTTGTGATGTTGAACAGAAGAAGTTCGACCCCTCACGGGTACGAATCTCCTACATAGCACTTGCTGCTGCGCTAACTACGATAAATTGTCAGGTCTCAGAGCTTTACGATACCATTAAATATTGTGCCTTGCACCACAGAACCTTCCTGTTCGCTATATTCGACGAGAACGGCCGCCGGGACCCTCTTCAGCCTCACGATCGTAAATTACATGAGCTGTACGGTAGAGCGAAGGCCCTCTTTGATCTAGTTGCTCCTCAGGAATACGGCATAGATCCAGATGAGAAGTACGCCGATGTCCCCCCTCTCAGTGATGACCTTCTCACCGTTGTTGTGTGACAGAGAAGAAATCGGCGTTCTGACGTCCTTACCTCTACTTCACAATGTCGTTCAAGATTTGGAAGCAGCTCGAAACAATGGTGGCAGTTCATTGACACTCTACTTCACTAAAGAAAGCCATATTCATACCTTGGTTAACCTTGTACTGCTCTCCGGTCTCCCCATTGCCAATCGCCGTATCCCAGAGCTAGATTATGCTGTACGTGCTTATCTCTGCTGCACTCTCTCATTTATGATATCCTTTCATTCAGTCTCATATTACATTTGAGTTGTATGAGCGTAATCACGGGCGAGGAAAGTCAGACAAAGAGTATTCTATCAAGATCTCTCTAAGCGAAGGTGCACACTCGTCGAATGTACTAGATTCGACATTAGACGCACGGCATTCCCTGAATGTCCAATCACGAAAGTAAAGATTTTCACTACTTGATGTAACGCGGTTTCATTGATTTAACATCCCTAGGAAATTGACACAACATCTACCTTATAGTCTCGTTATAGAAAAACTGTCTAAACATTTCCATAGATTAAGTGAAGTGCGTCGGTTCTTCCATCAGATTATGGCAACAACTCACTCAAAAATTAAAATGCTAGCTCCAAGATGAGGACACCGGTCCAGACACGCCCTTTGAAACGGTGGAAGCCCCACCCGCCCTAGACAGCGGGAGTGACGATGTATAGACACGTTTAGTAATGATACTAATAGGAACGCATACACAGTAATCAATAATATAATGTACACCGCAGACACTTTTAAATACACTAGCACCTTCTATTCTTCGTCCCATTCCGCTAGTCCCAACTTGGTTCGCATTTCCTGAAGCTGTTGCGGCTTGAGCTCCCGCAGAATCATTCCATGCGACTTATCTGATGAGGATGGCAAATCCCTTTCAAATAGCGACGACGGAGATTGGGACAAAAGCGACGACTGAGTAGCCAGGGAGGCAAAAGATCCCGTGGAGTCATGATACCTGACAGGTGTATAAATGAATACGATTCCGAAGATTACCATTGGAAGGCTTACAATCTGGAACATAAAATGAGAAATGACATTAACAAGACCAAGAGAGCACGAACCGATACGCTTCCTTGTTCAAGCAATCAGCTTCAGTGATTTTATCAAGTACAGGCTTTTTGAAAGAAGCCTTGATGTAGTGAAGGACATGGAAGACGAAGTGCTCCTTGGGCCTAAATAACTCTATATCAGAAGACGACCAACATAGATTATTGGCGCCAACTCACCGCCAAGGATGGAAACGAGGTGCAAGGTTGAATATTCCGTTGGCAGAGATTAGCGGATGAAACATGTCCGTTGTAAACTGGACAGTAGGCGGGCGGTCGGGGTAGTTTGGAGGAAACAACAGACGAAATTTGAAGATGCCATCGGCATAGTATCCTGCATTTGATGTAGCGAGTCAAGAGCAACAGAACAATTACAAAACTGTTTCACGTACCTTGATGGACAAAGAATATTGCGTCCCAGATAAAAAGCGACTCTTTGGACGGTACTACGTAGATACCAAGGGGACAGTGCGACCGGTGACGCAGAGACGCGTATTCAAAAGAGACCGCCGCACTTGCAACGGCGGATATCGAACTTGAGTCTGTCGTACTTCCAGATGTATTAGCTCGACTTTTCATTCTGGAATTCATGCCAGCGCTCGCGAAATGTTCAAGTATGAAATGGTCACCGTGAAAGCTTGAATGGCCGGACCGCAGTATCGGGCCGGCAAAATACACGCTGAAATCGACAAAAATTGTCGTGAAATGAACTACCTCTATTGATGCTTGTGCAATGCTACTTAAATAAATACAGTATTCACGACTATGAGTCAAGCTTCACAGACATAAGCTCAGCGAATAGACAACACATCCGACCTGGTCGAATTGAGAGGCCTGTCGTCATAACCAGTTCTCTTCTTCTTTCCCGACGCACTGGGAACTTCCCAGATCCTCCAAAACTTCAACGATTCATCACCGCCGCCAGTAAGCACTAAATCCCCAGCAGGGCTGACACAACTGAACAAAACTCGAGATTCATGTGAGTCCCGGATCTCCGCAACACGTTCCATGCTGGGGTACGCATGGAGCATGATCGCATTGGTTGGATACCCATGAGTAGTCAGGATCTCTTTCTTGTGCGGTGCCCACTGAATGGTACTGATTTGAGCAGGTGTCTTTGTTGTGTGAACTCGCGCGCCAGTGTTTACGTTCCATACGTTAATCGAGGCATCGTTCGTACCTCCACCCGAGGCAAGCAAAGATGGCTGCCATGGGCACCATGCTAGCGCCTACAAAGAGCTTAATACGTATGAGAACAAAATGATAATGAAGAATGCATACCTTCACGGCAGCTGTGTGATTTCGCTTGACCCACTTGGCCTTTCCTTGGGCGTTCTCCCCAACATCCCCCAGTCTTCCGTCCCATATATTGACAACATTGTCGTTACCCCCGCTAGCCAACAACTCTCCATCACTCCTCCACGTTAAACCGCAAACCTCCCCAGTGTGACCTAATAGCTCCATCACTTTATGACGAGGAACGCGCACATCGTGATGCCAGATGCTACCATCCGCACATCCCGAACTTAGGATGTGCTCGTTCCAGGACAGAGTAGCAACCTGGCCCTGATGTCCACTCATCGTACGCAGCTTCTGGGTAGTCTCAACATCATACAGCTCTACATCTCCATTGCACAGCCCAACACCAAGGAATGCGCCATCATTCGACATCTCCACACTCGAAGGGTACAAACCATCGGACGCTTCAGAGATGAGAACGACGGTACCAGTGTCTCCGTTCCAGATGTACGTAGCAGGACCAAGAGCAACAGCAACGATATTCTGGCACGACCAGCTTATGAGGTTGAGATAAAAGTCATCCAGGAGATTGACCGCATCCAACACTCGCTCTGGCTGTGTAGGAAGTTTACGCGATTTACTTTTGACTGCTCCGGTTGACGATGCCAAAGTGTCAGGACGTGCACTAGCGTACAAGGGTTTTGCGTATTCACGCTGAAGAGCAAGTGTCTTGTCGGATGAAGCGGGAGGAGGTGGTTCACGATAGCCCAGGATACGACGATTAAGTGGCACTCCGGTGGCTTCTGCGAGACGTGCAGTATGTCCAGGCGATGAGTTGTGTGAATTGAGATTCATCTTCTCCATACTAACAGCGATATCAAAACCTGCATTTTCCCGTGTGGTAGTAATGAAGCGATCTTGCTGGTCACCTATCCGATTCTGCGAAATGATAAAAGAATGAACTAGGGTAGAGGGTGGCAGCAACTCACCGGGGTCGACCTAGACCGTTTCAGCTCTGACCTTGTTGGCGGAACATAATCAATCTTCACAACGTCCAACTTGCTCTCGATCCCACCCTTTCTAATGAGGCCCGAATTTGCTTGTCGCTGCAACTCGGCGTTGATGGGATACGCCCCAGAGGGTGCGAAAGATTTAACAGGCGATGATGCACGAGAGCGGGATGATGACGAGGTCGGTGGAACGATGAAAGGATTCGACACGTCGAAAGGTCCCGTCACTGACCGTGACTTGGTTCGTCGTTTCGACGGCGACGGTGCCAACGAAACGGCATTGAGACCAGACACAACGGAAGAGGTCAGAGGTGTTTTCACGTCTGAGCGAGCACGCTGCCTGCTGGGTGTCTTTGGAGTCTTTGACTGCATGATGAAGGAAGAGTGTTGGGTGGTGGCGGTTGAAATTCAAAACATAAACTGCACGTGACCGCGTGCCCTCGGTAAATTTCAATTCCGACTCGAAATTCGCTGACACTGAAGTGTTTACAGCACAATATCAACAGGCTATCTAGAGGACAGAACCAGTTACCTCCCGTACCCGCCGCTGTATCTAGGCCTGCGCCTGTCGTACTCTCTCGGTCTGTACGAGTCTTGGTGTCGACCTGACAATCGACTAGACCTAGCGTTCGAAAACGTGTCGTATGGATCGCTCTGCCTATTCCTGGATGAAGAGGATTTGTCTGAGTGGGATCGCTTTTCCCTCTGTCTTCTGCTTTCCTCTCTGTCCGACTTTCCCCGTTTAGATGGTCCTACATCGATTGCTGTATCACCTATGTGATTTAAAAGACCCGATTTGATTGATTGGCTGAACATCAGCTTCTTTGCAGGTCTGCCGCTCGCACGAGACGTAGCCGTTTTCGACTCTTTCCCTCCTCCTCGGTTTCCGAACCAGTCGTCACCATCGTCCTCTAGCTGCCGCTGAGCAGATCTTTCTAGCATCTCGATGGCCTTCCGCTTGCCCTTTTTCCCTACATTGTCCACAACATTAATCTCTTTCTCCCAGTCACGAGCTCCACGTCGGGTTGTCGCTGGGCGTGCATATACATTGACGTCTGCAAACGGACCCGTGTGCAGATTATTCGATCCAAATGCAGAGTAGTCCTCGGGTACCCCGTATGCATGAGGGGCATTGTTGCAGTCCTAAGCAGGCTATCAGCAACGGAGAGCGAACAGTCAGCGAACATTCATTTACATCGCCCCAATGACCTTCGACTCCGCAATTGTAACACCATTCATCTTCGGCAATATATCCTTCTCCTCCTTGACCCAGATCCGCTTTCGACTTTTCACGGCGGGCGTGGAGTATTTGGACACGTTCGTTCTCTTCTGGGATATAAACATAGATCCGCCACCACGTTGGACATTCCTACAATAGTGGGCCAACAGTCTTATAAATCTTGTTGGTCGCCCTAATAAATAGACTCACCGAAGTGATATGACTGCGATATCCACAGCGATGACAGGTATCCCCTGCGGCCTCTTGATTTTGATATTTATTAGGACAGTTCTGATAGATGAATATTGTATAACGACAGAATCGCACTGTTGGCTGTGATCTACTCACTACATTGATATGTCCCTTCATCCCACATTTGAAGCAGCTCTTGCTAATCGGGCAGGATCTTGTAGGATGTTCATCACGAGCCCCACACGTAAGGCACTGAAAAGCATCTCAATAACTGAGGGGGCAAACGGATAGGAATATGCAAGACGAACTATCATCACAGGACATTTATAGGTTGTATGTTCGCCTTCGGCGCCACAATTCTTGCATACTACCTTTGTTGGTTTATCTTCAGGCGTGTCAAAATACCGGACCAAACCCTGCTATCGATTAGACAGCACCAACTAAAGCCTCTCGAGTGACGCACCTTTCGGTCATCGTAATCCAAATAGTCGATGTAATCCTCATTCTCAGAGTCCGAAGGCGATGGTGGAAGTATTTCAACCGGAACAGATCCCAGGACCTGGACATGAGATGGTAGAAGTAACTTTGAAGGACCACCCTCCTCCGAGTCGCCCGCCTTTTCAGCCTTTTGAACTACATTTGGGAGAGGCACTGGGTCAAGGTCGAAGTAGAAAAGCTTCGAGTCGTCCAAGGGTTCAGGAGAGCGGCTAGGAGGAGAACGAGAACGGCGGCGTCGTTCTGTGTTGAGATCTCGCGAACCAGAGCCACTAGCCTGCTCTTCGAGTCGCAGCCTTTTTCGCCGTTCGCGCCTCGCTTCTCGACCAGATGAAGACCGCTCAACCTGAGCCTCTGAACCCTCCTCTTCTCTACTGGTTTGTTTCTTCTTCTTTCTCTTTTTCCGAGGTGAGGCAGATTTTGTCGTCACCTGTCCAGGTTCGATATCTGAGGCGTCAGAATGGATAACGATAATTTCGCGTGTGTCGTTTTTTGGTGCGACGTCTGCCATATTGAAGTAGGAGCAGCAGCAACGAGTCTAGCTGAGAGACTCAGAGAACGGGAATCAAAGTAAACAAATGCGCGTGACGTCAATATCACGATTTTTTGTTTTCTTCTTAAATTTGCATGTATGCCAATAAAACTAGCGGTCGTCGGTCGACGACTATCATACCTTGCTTAAGCAGTGTTCATCCCCATCCCAAATTTGTAGAATCCAATTTATGTGAGGCACACTTTGAAAATAATCATACACCGCCATAATCATACATACATGCCTTTAAGAGAATCCTGCTAGTTACCTGAACTGATTACATTTAAGCACGAACTTTCTTCGCCTCACCTCTTTCAACGTCCACAATTTTCCGCTTAGGCTTTGTACTCTTAAGGTTGTCGTTTCCTACTCAGTGCCAGTGATCAGTGGATATGTGTACAGTGTGAGGGACGAAATACGCAGACATACCTGCAGGGCACGGCGGGGTAGTTGCATTATCCGTTGCAATGTTGAAGCGCACGTATGGCTCAGTCCCACTATTCAACACATGGTGTCTAATATTATGGTCGGTACATCTCCATACAAATTGTTTATATCCACCCCATCATCGAGATTTGAGGTTTTCAAGTAGATCTGCCAACGTTGGAAGTGGCAATAAAGCGCAAAAGATATAGATGATATGCCGAGTTTGTCTTTCTAATGCAGATGGAAGATAAGCACAAATATCACTGAGGTTTTTGAGGGCAGTAGCTATGTCCAATCTTGCCATTACCGGTAGATCTAGAGGATTTAATATGTTGGCGATTTGATATCCGTTGTGAAAAGACATTCGATGCGTGATGGAAAGGGTGAAATTGTCAGCGACAAGGATTTTGATTACGTGTGGAGAATGATGTCATATCACGGGAAGACCATGGCTTGTGTAAGCGAAGATTTTAGACCTAGAGAGACCTTGACAAGCAAGGTAATAAAAAAATTTCTACGCTGAGTACTAGATACATGAATGCATGCTACCATGCCCACATAGCTCCAGGATTTCGTATTGGCTTATCCTCTCTCGTTACCGCAGCAGACACGATTCTCTTCAATTTGAAAGCCTTCTCCTTGGCCTTTTGTTCTTCCAACGTCCGTCCTTCTTTCAACACAACAGACAGCTTGGCCTGAGGATGTACTTGAACACCCACATGGCCTCTTCCTTTTGGTTCCAGCCTCTTTCGGTTGTGCTTACCCTTCGACACCCATGATTCAGCTAAGGATCGTGAAATTAGATACAAGTCTGATGCGGGTATCATGTATGCGGCTTACCGACTACAAGCCTCTGTCCATCAAGACCTTTATACCGGACAGCATGATCTCTAGCTGTCGCGAGCATGTTCATGATACGCGTACTGGCACGCTTTTCGCTGAATTGCATCTGAAGGATCGCATGGTTGATAGGCTTTCCTGAAATCTGCCGACCAATCATATTCAGCTTGCGATGCGAGATTTTGAAGACAGCTGTCGAATATTTGTGCTGCAGGGACCAGTTACTTGAGTGTCAAAGAGAACCCTATTGTAACGTACCGAGTCGCCCTTGCGCTCGATTTGTACGGCTGGTTCCTCCTTTGGAGAGGCATCGAGAGGCTTGGCCATGTCTGGGGAGGGTGTTGAGGATTCCGGGCCTTCCGGTTCGGTGACAGTGACGGTCTCGAATATACTGCTTTCCCCTCGCTGTTCAGCTTCCTTCTTGGCTGCCGCAACCTCTTCCTCGCTTTCCGCCTCTCTCATTTTCATACCAAATTTTTCCTTCACTTTGTCAGGAACCCAATTAAACGGGTTGATGGCACTGGGTCACAGATTGCACTGAGTAGGCAGTTCCTCGAATTCCGTGAATAACATACTAGTAGCGAGCACCGACGGGCTTTGCAGGAGAATGGAATAGCTGCCATTGGACGCGCCGAGAGAAATGAGAACCTTGAAAGTGCTTTAGCTAAGAATCAGAGAGCAGAGGAAAGGACGTACTGGCCAGAACTTTAAGGCGGCTCTGCATCATAGCGCGCGATGAAAAGAGCAAGTCACACTTGTCACGACCCCGACATCTTATTTTGCACCACGTTGACCACGACTTTTACTGCTACACCATGATGTTTCCTTTACTAGGAACAATATTCTATGTCGGCCTTCTCGTAGTAAATGCAATGGCAGTTCTCAGCGAGGACAGGTTTTTAGCGAGAAGTACGTGTCTCGTCTTCCTCAACAGGCAATTACAACTGACCTTGTAACTATACAGTCGGTTGGTCGTCTTCAAAACCCCAAAACGCTGCCTTCAATCAGTACGACCAAAACGGTTATGGTGCGCCTCCAGGGGAGGTAGGGATGAAGGCCAAGTTGATAGACTTAATCAGCGCTGTACGGACGCTCATGCGCAGTACGTGAAATCTTCCTATTATTGGCCTGTGCATGCTGAGTACTCGATCTCGCAGTACCGTTAATTGCGTTTAACATCATCGTCATTGTGTACGAGTTGGTACTGGGTGGATAATAAATGCAATACCCTTGAGATCATGTACTGGTATACCATTGGAATCATGTTTCGGATTGGGCACATCAACAGCATATCATACTGCGAAGTACTCTAATACATAACTAACGTACCGCACACAACCCCTTACTAAATCCCGGTATGGAAGCAACTCGCAAGCAAGTTTAGGGCTAATTGTTGAAGATATAAGTATAGGACAGATTGAGCCCGACGACGATATGTTACGACAAACGGAAGAAAAGAAAGCATAGGGTACCGGTACCCGACCAGTCTAATGGTAGTACATCGGTACAAATCAGTTCATCAATATGGAAGAGCGGGGGTTTAGGCCCTCTTAGATGAAGGAGGAAGAATGCTGTCCCTGTCGAAACCAAGGGGATATGACGAGAGGTCACTGGTAATAGCCAAAGTGTCCAAGCTTGCACGCTGACGCCCACTATAAACAGAAGGCATCGGTGAAGGCTCTCTCGAGTTCCCTGTATCTATCTGGAACGGGAAGGACCCTAGGCCAGAGGATGCCGTCGACAGTTGAGATCCCGTGGACAGGCCTAAAGTGCGCCTGTTGGGCGGAGATGGCAGATCCGTCTCACTCTCAGAGAAACTATTAACCTGAGGAGAAAGGACGGCAGTAGCTTGTGTCGAAGAGGATGAGAACGATTGCTGCGCGTTGGGAGAGGACGGCCCGCCGGAGAAACTCTGACCCATTGGTGACACCGGAGGCGACCTCATCGGTCTGTTAGATATGGGCGATGGAGGAACAAAAGGGAAGGACTCCAGAATCGAATCAGCTCTGGTAGATGTAGCAGAAAGGACTGATGAACCCGAAGCCCTCTTGTTCTTATCCAATCCTTGCGCCTGCGCTCTGGCTTGCGCGTGTGCAAGAGCCCGTTGCTGCTGTTCTTCCAGAGTCCCAAGTCCAACAGTAGATGGGGTGACCAGTCTGCCCTTCGTAGTTCTGTACGAGGGCGACCTATCCAGAAGGCCTACATTAACCCTGGTAGCGTTCTCTATACCGATGATGGACCCAGCCTGTGTACTCATACTGGACGGACGGCTGTTGTCGCCGTCCTGTGCCCAGGGTAGGTGAGGACCATCAGGAATCCAGTTCATGTTGGACTCTCGTGTCGGTGATGCCGGACTAAATGCCGTTCGACCGGAACCTGGTGATGTGGCATGCGTAGTCGCAGTAGACGAATGCCTGTCGCTGAACGGATTTCCTTCTAATGATTCATCACCACCACCCACGATATCTGCCGGACCAAACGAGGTCGCCGCCAAAGGTGACCGGATAGTTGGCCGTGAGGCAGCCCCAGGTGTCCTCAAGCCATCATTAGGTCCAGGCGCATTGATGACCTCCGCTTTGACGACACCTAATACTTGTCGCACGGTGCCGTGGCCAGGGGTTATGATCATGGGTGCTTCATTAAGGAAATCACTGGAATAGCTGGCATTGGACATATATGACTGTCGCGAAGACACCCCAGACACTCCTGAGCGCTGCGATAAAGCGTAACCCTGGGGACTACGGATAGAGTCGTGAGAGACATTAACGTGCTCGAGATTAAGGTCTGGAGAGCGTGGCGGTCGAACAGGGGAAGAAACATTGGACAGTTCGGAATGCGATGAGGCGTGGGATGATGGATCAGGGGGGACGAGAGCGATGGGTATAACGTTAGTCCCTTCGGTTCCTGCAGTTTGAATAGAATTGCTGTCTTCGAAAGGATTGGAACGTATGGATATCGGTGAGCGAGGGTGCGAAGAGGTTTGGGAATCGGGGTCCAGATCGATAGTGGTATTGGAAGATGAAGAATATACTCTGACGGTGTTCTGTTCCACTGGCGTCGGCGGTGGCTTCTCCGTAGGATTTGGCCTGTTCAGAACCGTCTCTGCTGGAGCAGGAGCATCAGGCTTGGCTTCTGCCTCTTCCAAAGCACGGCGGCGGCGAGTCGAGCGACGCCACCATAGGAAAAGAAAGATGGCACTAGCGAGAAAAACAAGCGATCCAATGATTGCGCCAGCCAGGGCACCTTTGCTCACACCACCAGTGCTGCTACTGGAGGAAGTGCTATCCTGGGAAACGCACTTGAATGTACTGCAAGTATAGCAGTCCCTGACTACGGCGTGAGTGACACCATGCGAAGGGTGATCATGAACGACGCATACCTGCTAATCTGGAAGCATTCTTGATTAGCTGCACAACTGCACACTGGTGTCTCTGGACAGTCGATGCAACCGCTGGACTGACGAGGCAGGAGAGCGTCGAGACGCATAGCGAGAGCGAGAAGAGGAAGGAAAGAGCGTGGCTTGGAGTTAGACAAAGAAAAAGATAAAACAGAAGGTCCTGGTGTCCAGCAAGCCTACGAGAAAGCAAAAACGACGGTTGGGCGGCTTGGGCTCACTGAAAGAGGACAAGAGGAACCTGACGAAAACGGAAATAACACATGCGGATTTTTGTGGCTGTGATTTGGGTCAAAATTATTGCCACAAATTTCGTACTTGGGTTTGATTTTCCCGGCAAAGTCCATGTTCCATGGCTACAGTCACTATCGCTGTCAATGCGCTCACGTACTCGTATACGGCTCAGTCGGACCCAATTCTCAAGGACATAGCCCTCAGTTTGCCACAGGGATCCAGGACGATTCTCGTTGGTGCTAATGGAGGTACTCAGAAACTACTCCTTTACTTTGGCTCTCTATCTAATCTAGACTTAAGCTGGTAAATCCACCCTACTGCAGATTCTTGCCGGAAAGCGTCTGGTAAGCTCCCCTGGTGCCGACATCCGTATCAAAGACTGCGATGTCTTTCGCAGCTCACCTGAGGGCGTCTCTTTCCTGGGAACTGAATGGTCCGTCATGATTTGTTCAAGTTCTATCACCGCCACTGAACTAGACGCGTCAGGGCCATGAATCCCGTGGTACGCGGGGACATTGTCGTGTCTGCATTTCTTGATTCTGTAGGCGGGTACAGATATAAGGAGAGGAGGGACCGTTTACTCGATATCTTGGATATCGATCTAGACTGGCATATGCATGCAATTTCAGACGGAGAGCGTCGCCGGGTCCAGCTTTGTTTCGGCCTCATGATGCCGTGGGATGTTCTTTTACTTGACGAGGTCCGCAATCATGTGGTGATTGCAGCCATGTTCCTCCTCATGTGTTTTTTTAGGTCACGGTAGATCTGGATGTACTTGTACGAGATGATCTCCTCAAGTTTCTCCGTAATGATAGCGAAACCAGAGGTGCAACCATTATCTGTAAATTTTTTTGTTCTCTATTTCGGGCTTCCGTTGCAATTTGTTTCCTAGATGCCACGCATATATTTGATGGGCTTAATGATTTCCCTACCCATATCGCCCATATGCGATTTGGTTCTTTCGTCACTCCTCCCGCTCTGTGGCCTTTTGCTGACCAGTCGACGTCGACGTTGTACTCTGTCGCGTTACAATGGCTCAAAGAGGATCGAGAATATAGACGCAAACTTGAGAAAAATGGCCTCAAACTAAGGGGAGCCAGGAAGGACGAGGTTTGTACGCTTCTTTGCCGTATTACTATCTTGCCATTGTTAACTGCGCATGTAGGGCGTTCCATCGGATTCTGAGACCTTCTATAGGAAGTACGTTGGCTGACCACCCTATATCACCGTCCAACTAACCACTTTGTCGTTATCAACTTCAAGGTATGACTATAGTCATTGACAAAGCATGCTACTGCTTTGATCGCCTTTAACACGGGCATTGCATCTATTCAACTTTTCAACAAAGCATCGGACGGTATTCAATTGTACTTGGAAGTTTCAACAACATGTGTAGCATTAGAATACTGTATTGAGTACGTAGTTGCAACAAATTTGCACAAATGTGCATGAACCTACTTGGTCGCTGTGAGATAGATAAGTTTTGAGGCGCGCTGCGGGGTGACTATATTTAGCAACCAAGGACACGTATTTGGATTTACATCTTCCCTCCCGCCAAACATGTTACGTCGGGCCAGTCCTTTCGCCCTTCTGGGCCTGCTCTTTTCAGCGCTTCCTGCTGCAAGCCATTCTTTCGAAAATACTGCCATTGTGCGCACGGTCGACCTTGGCGGCTCCCTTGTACATGTTACCACAACATACGCTGCAAGGTCTCTCGAGCCAGACGCTTCTATCTACACCATTGCCTTGGGCGAACAAGAAGAAGAGAAAACTAGCTGGATAGATATCAAAGTAAAAGGCCAGCAGGATTCTTTGGATGCTACAGTAGATTTCGACCCTCAAAGGCGCGTGTCTTCTCGTTTGAAGGAAGCTACATAGTACTGAACGGGCATTTAGCCAAATGCACCTTCTTGACGTGAAGCTACCAAAGGCACTGAGTGTCAATTCGACCATCAACATCGTTCTAGAGACGGTGCAGACCCATGCTACATGGGCATGGCCGCAAACTGCTGCACAGGGAGACGGCCAGGCGCTCAAGTACAAGACCAACCTTTTGGTTCCCAGCCCCTACAAGACCTATGTCCAACGAACAAAAGTCAAGTGCGTACAGTGCCAGATCTTTGGGAGTCGGAGGACTGATCCCGTAACTCTACAGGTCGCAGTCTCCCAATATCATTTCATACACCACCCCCGAACACCTCGACGCATTCATCCAGGAAGGAGGTCCTGTCACCAAGTCCGGTGCAACTATCACATACGGACCATATTACGACATCCCTCCTTCGACGGATGAGGACTTCTTGACCTCCATTCAGCAGTTAGTCGTCGTGCATTATTCCTACGACTATCCGGTGCTAGAAGTCCGTAAACTGCGACGCGCAGCAGAAATCAGTCATTGGGGTGCAAACCTGAACATCCAGGACGAAATATCTCTTCATAATGCTGGTCCTACGTGAGTCCATCATCAGTCACCCATTTTTTACGCACCCTCATAACCTTTGCCCTTAGGTTGAAAGGACACTTCTCGCGTCTCGAACATCAGACCCAATCTTATTTCAAGCGACCCGCCGCCCACGTTCTTCCGGCGCTGACTTTACATTTACCAGCCGGGATCAGAAACACGTACTACTATGATCTGATCGGGAATGTTTCCACCTCTCATCTTCGCGTTGCCCCCAGCGCAAAGAAAGCGGCGAGGGCCCAATACAGTGTATTCGAGATGAAACCACGCTATCCTCTGATGGGAGGTTGGAACTACAGTTTCACACTTGGCTGGGATTCACCATTGGAGAACAGTGCTAGCTGGGACGCTGCAACCGGAAAGCACATTGTGGAGATTCCGATCATGACGCCAATCGTAGGTGCTGTCGTCAACGACGCGGAGGTCAAAGTCATCCTTCCCGAAGGTGCAACGTAAGACAAAGATTTCGTCTGCGTGTTACGTTTCCTTATCAATATTCTTTCAGAGACATATCATACGTTACCCCATTCCCTGACATCTCGAATATCCTATCAACTCACACAACTTACTTGGACACAACTGGGCGGCCAGCATTGACATTCAAGTACAAAGAACTCACCGATAAGCACGCAGAATCGATTTATGTGAGTTAAATTGTAAATTCATGTCTTGTCGAGACCTCATTTTCTGCAGGTGACCTATCGAGTACCACTTTCTGCTCATCTCAAAAAGCCCGTAGCAGTCGCTACTGCATTCTTCAGCCTTTTCACTTTTGCTCTGTTTGCGCGTAGAATTGACCTTACCATAAGCAAGAAGGGGAAGAATGTATCATAACATGGTTGTTATATTGACAGTATTTAATTGGCCATCACGGTCATGTTATTAATTGTTGACGCGACTGAAGCTATGCAATGTTACAATTCTGCAGTTGGTAGGTGACCTTGTCCTGAAGCGCCGTTAACAAAGAGAAAAGCAGGCTCTCGTAAAGCACTTACACTTGAAGGAACAAGAACAAACCAACACTGCCATCTTCCAACGGACAACTATAGAAGATGCCTCCATTTGATGCGGCACCATGATGGTAATGGAGTCTGGTGCCTCTCCATTTCCAAGATCCTCCAGCAACGCCACTATGTTTCGTATCAAGAGCGAGTTGTAATGGTACTTGTGTTGCTCCCGGGGGAATGGTAGTGACATTCTTCAAGGTAACTGGGAAGATGGCTGTCTCGTTGATCGATTGCCAAAGATGGTTATGGTTAATAAAGAAGAGCGGAGGTGTAGCATCTTCATTTGAGACAATAGTAAGGTTTCCTGGTTGTCCTAGGAAACGTCGTCTGTTCAGTGGTATGATGCAGCAAATGCATGCAAAGGCATACCTACAACAGGAACGGATAGATGTTTCTTGGAGCTGTCTCCCACAAGGTAGGGGCCAAGAACTTCAATGTGGGCGGCTCCTGGGACGATGTTGCCAATAGATATAGACCCAGGAGCGCCTATCCAGGTGGGGAACGCTGAGCAATATGTGAAGAAGAGAGATATGAGCAGTAACGACACAAACAACATCGAGGGCTAGACTGTCTTTGGAAGAAACCGCAATATATTGGAGACCATCGCATGCTGACGTGTAACCACAAGATCCCTCAACAAAGTCCGAGTTTGACGCGATACTACTAAGTCGGAAGTATCTCCGCCGAAGTCCGGTGTTTTAATGAACTGGAATTTGTAGCGAGCTTTAGATACCAATGAGCCACAGAAATGTTGGCAACATATGTCGATCTCTCCAGTATAAATCAACCGGGTACTAAGTATGTCCTAGTGCCATTTCCCACAGGCATTGGATCGAAGACCGGTAAATTGTCGGATGACGGCCCGTCGGCCCGCGACACGTGAATCACTCTGATTTTTCGACGCGCTCTTTTCAAGCATTCACCGACGTTGTGATGCTCCGGAGTTGCCTGGCCCAGCATGCTCAGCATCGTCTCCCATGGGAACCTTTCTCAAACTTTTTCTCTACCACTGCGTGTCTTTCCAAAGGCGGTCCCAGAACCAGCTCCCATTCAAAAACTCCTCAGCGAATGCTAGAGAAACACCAAGAACATCGCGAAATGAAAAAGCCCAGAACTGAGAGGCGCCAAGAAAACTTAGGCCGACATTCTACCTCTCCCCAGCCACCTCGACCGTCACCTACCTCCTCCAACAGGGACCCTCCGAAACAATACCGATCCAAGCATTATGTTCCCTTCACGGATGAACAGCGCTCTTCGTTGCCAAAGCTTGAGCCTCACGAGCTCTCCAGGAGGTTGAAGCTGCTATGTGATGCAGGGCAACTTGATGCAGCCGTTTCCATGTTGAAAAACTCTCCCCGAGACGCCCAGAACGCTCCAGTGTGGAATACAGTCATATGGGAGTGTTTGAAGCAAAAGCATTTCCAGCTATCTTATCAACTTTATACAGACGTGCGTGATCATCTATTTGCTAAGCTCTGGATGTTGATCTGGAACTCTCACTTAGATGAAGCGTCGAGGACATAGCCCTACTACTCGGACTTACCAGACAATGTTGGGCGGTCTTGCCCGTATCGAAGATTGGACGTCACATACAAAGCAACTAAAAAATGCGCATTCCTTATACGAAAGCTTTCAGCAGCACATAACATCGCTTCACAAAGAGAAACCAGATAGTCCCGACATCGCCAGCGTCCCCTTAGCATCTTACATGCGAATACTGGGTGCCGCTGGTCTCTATCAAGAGATGTTCGATGTCTACTATGACCTCGACCCGAAGGGCCCATTAACACCCGATTATCTCATTTTCACGTCCATGTTCCAGTCCCTTTCCCCACTTCGCATTCCTTACGGAAAGAACGAATCCTTGGCTGTCCTTCAGAATGCTTCCAGCGCCAAACTGTTATGGTCGCAGATGCTGAAAGCATCAAAGAAGCACAAGTTCACAGTGGACTCTCACCTGGTCACAGCCGCCATAATTGCATTATCTCGTGGTCGTTCTTCCGACCAAGATCTGGCCTTCAAAATTGTTCGCGAATATCTCGGGTTGGCACCATCTGAAGAGAATTTGACGACCGCAGGTACTCTGGCTCTTGAGCCACAGTCTTTTGCTGCGGTACTCATGCTCTGCAGAAGCAGTGAAAAGGCTTCCCTTGCCGTCGACTTCTTCGAACAAGTTCTGAAGCGGCCCGACAAAATAGGCGGGCCCTCCATCATCGATCGCGGCCATATTGAGGAGTTGATGAAGGCGCGTCAAACCATCAAACCGTCACCAGATAATGCCCGATTCGAATACGATCTCATTGAATGGCTCATGCACCAGGAAGTACATAGTATCAAGACACGAGTTGCACAGGTAAGGCCTACAATGTTGACCTATAACCTTGCTCTTCAAGCGGCGTTCCGTACCGCCGATTGGAACACCGCGACAAAAACATTCGACCTAATGACAGGGTTCCATTGTCATGATTTTATGGATGGTGTGGAGTCGGATTCTCCTCGGCTTGACAAGGCGCGCCCTAGGCTTCCGCCAACTGCCGAAAATGTGTCCTTGATGCTTCGGACCGCTTTTGCGACAGAAAATCGCGCCAACATGCGGCAAGCATTGCGGATGGTTGACTTTTTTGGGATCAAGGAATTGGCTTCCAATTCATGGCGCGAGGATTCTTGGGAGCGTCCAAAGTCAAAAAAGGCCATGAAAGATCTTCATTTCTACAGCCAGAAACTCGCTACCACTGTTGTTGATACTCTCGAGCATATTATGAGTTACAGTACCAAGGGTGATCGAATGGTTCCGCATGACCGAGAGCGGTGGCTTAGGCTTAAGACGGAAGCCACAAGTTACTTGGAAGGAAATGGAGAGCAGCCTGGGTTATTGGCTGCAACAGAGGACATTGCGTACGAGAGATATTGATCTGTAGATTATATATATCAGGAGCAGATGCATTGCGCGTTAATAGATATAAGATCATGGGTCCATTGTAATAAAACTTGTCCTGAAAATTCCCCGAAAGATACAACAGCAACACAACATAATATCCAAAATTAAGCACGTCAAGCAATGCTCATCGGCCGATCGCCTGATGCATTGCTAGGATTCAAAGAACTACCTTCCCTACGAAACACGGGTGAGGGGGGTGTGAGAGGAGAATTATTCCCCATTGGTTTATAAGGATTCGTTTGAGACGGGAGTTGACCAACACTCCTTGGTCGATTCTCCGATGCGCGGAACCCAGGAGAGGGCGGCACAAAATCCTGGTCCTCAGGAGTCGATTGGAACATATGAGGCTCGAAGACATTGACCGGCGGGGGCCTCGTGCTCCCTCGCCGGGACTGCGGCTGCGACAGTTGAATTATCGATGAGGACCTCACGTCAGAAAGTTGGTCGTGAGCACTGGTTTGATGTAAAGACCGTGAAGGGGAAAGCGGTGGGTTGGAGTCCTCAGCATACGACTGATGGAAAGACCGAGGTGGTGACGGGGATTGGACATCATGTACTGATTGATGGAACGAACTGGTGGATGGGGATCTGGGGGATCCAATGTTTTCAGGGGAGTGCGTTGAATGAATGGATCGTGAGGGTGCTGGAGACATCTTGGCATAGAACTCTTGAGATTGCGCCGATGGAGGAACCACGAAAGGTTGATCCTCTCCAATTTGTTGGTATGTATTAGATTGTGAAGGGAGTATTCCGACACTTTTAGGCCTGGTATCAAATTGTCGGAAACCAGGAGAAGGCGGTGTGAGAACATCTTCTCCATCATCGTCGTATGATCTGGATGGTAGGGTTGCGAGACTCTTTGGTCTATCACCGGGACGCAAAGTGCTGCCCTCGAATTTATGGAATGCGGGAGACGGTGGACCAAAAACGGTATCGTCGGTAATCGCCATTGATACAGGTTCGTATGTGTGAGGACCATGGGGAGAACCTGCAACATAGCTATTCCTGGGATTCATCGGCATAGGACTCAGCCTGCCCATGGGCATTCTAGCAGAGGGTCTGCGCTTTCTTTTACACAGGTAGACAATACCGAAGATAAGCAAAGCCAGTATGACCAAGGCATTAAGAGCCATGATACCTAGCATGGCGGGGAACCACGTGCTGAACTTTTCCAGGGTATTGGCAACATCCCTGGTAACAGCGATAACGGTCGAGCCAGAGTCCTCGGTATTATTAGAGGCATTATAGGTGATGCCAGTCAAGGCCGTGCACCCTCTAGCTTGACAAAATTCTGCTGACGCTTCATCGGGATCCGTGAGTGACAGAAGTTTGACGTAGGGATTCCCTATGTTGCCGTCCGAGTCAAAGTCACCAAAGTCGTACACAGAATACATCGACCGAAGGACATTGGCCCCGAACAGCCAGTCACTATGAAAATGGTATGAGAAACGACACAGTACCGAACTGCAGGACGTACAATTGGCCTGTACCTACTCCGAGGTTTTCCGGAAGAAAAGAGCCAACACATGTGGAGTTGTCTCCAACAACAGTGGGAGCGACATCTAAGGGATGCAGAGGATAAACCTTTCCTCTAAAATACGAGTCAATTCTCTGCTAGTGATGAACGAAATCGCAACAAACGGACGCAATTTGGATGGCCATGTCGATCTCAGCGTTACAGGGCACCGACCATTGAGCCAAGGTAGAGTCATAGTATGACCCGCTGATACCGCCGTAGATGGCTTTGGCGACTTCAGTGTTGGTATAACTATGTCTTGGTGAGAGTCTTCTTTCGGACATGGAATATTGAATATCTTACGAATAGGACGTTCCCGTGTCCAGGACTACCACAGCTTTGTTACTGGGAGCGCCTCCAGTTGAGGAAGACGGCAGTATGGTTTGATTACCCACTAATAGCGCCTCCACGAGAACACTCCATCGTTTGGGGGAGCTGACTGGCCAAGTGGAAATGGCATCTGTTTCAGAGACGTTAGAGTACGCCTCTTCGTACTCGCCTGAATCCCATGGCATATTAGCACAAGAGAGGTCGTTTATTACAACCGGAATGTACGGACCGATGTTAAAGGTGCCATTAACATCATCATTAGCACTAGTACTTCGTTGAAACGAAAATGCAATGAAGTTTGGCTCTGAAGGGTTCTGTGCAAAGAGATTATACAATAGACTTCTTCCCTGTGATGAGCCTGTATTGCTCAATATCGAGTCGATATTAGACAGAGATGTGAAGCCCAGACCCAAGATGCCTTTTGCGCCGTAACCTAATGCTGGATTCTGAGCAGAAGTAGTGTCCAAATACGCTTGTGACTCTACGGATATCCTTTGCCAGCGGTTAGCAGGTTCGCGTGAGAAGAACGGTCTTCTTACCCCGCGAACTCAATTGGAATATGCGATATGGTACCGTTCACCCAACCAATGCCGTACTAATGAAAACGAAATCAGACTGTCACTCCTCCCACGGTAAAATCGGGCTCACCGTGATATTTGCTGTGTATCCCTACGCGTCATAAGCCAGTGAGTACAAGGGAAAGCAAAGGTAGAAACATACTGTTTGCTCAGAATTCTGTAACGGTGGAATATCAGCTTTAAGCCACAGGTCAGAGGACCCTGTGTCCAGTTGAACGACGTATGCTATATCGACGGGTCAAAAATGATCCATGCGGTGCGCAGCAATTTGTGCATACTAATATTTCCAGCGGTTACCTGAAGACATTATCAGTATTTGCATTATTCGAATATAAAAAACGCAAGCGCACATTTGCCATATAAATCAGATCGTGAACGGTGCTGATTTAACTTGAAGGTGAATATGGCACCACCGCTTCAAAGACAAGGACTCACCTGAGGTCCAAACCATTATCATTACTCACAACAGCAGCCAGGGACGTATTCAAATGGTAATTCCCTGCCCCGCTTCGTCGAGAAAGAGGAGTTCGTCGAACATGAGATTGTATGGGAAATTTGAGAGCGAATGAAGACAGATTGAGGCCCAAAAGGACCAGCAGGTAACCCAAGAACATATTGGAAGGAGCGACAGGATAGTAAAAGAGTGAAGACGGTGGCAAGAGGGGAGAACCCAGCAAGACCAAGACCAGTCCTGGAGGTGGACCTCACAGGTGGACGTATTTGTTTGCCAATGCCGCGCCAAGGCACACTTTAACTTCGATCATTCCTGTTCTTGTTCTTACCACATGGTATTCCAGCTGCATCGTGCCCTTTATCGTGTGTAGAGTCGCGCCACAAGTTCAAAATATCTGCGAACAGTAAGTAGAAACTGGAATTCGTCGCTCAGAACTTATCATTTATTTTTTCAGACCGGAAATTCGGACCGCGACTGAGCAATGGTCGCTCGTCAGAGTCGCTTCAAGCCGTGTATTGACCTCCATGACGGCCAAGTCAAGCAAATTGTAGGCGGAACACTCTCAGATACTTCTCCGGATGCTCTTCGCACCAACTTCGTCGCAAGGCTCGTTCTATCAGGCCCATCTGCCTTTATCACAATAACGAGATGATACAGTCAATCGCCTGCCGAGTTCGCGAAACTGTATAAATATCACCATCTCGAAGGTGGTCACGTCATAAAGTTAGGGCCAGGAAACGATGATGCTGCTCGTGAAGCACTCTCGGCATGGCCAGGTAGAGTCTCTCATAGGTGCTAGAATACTACGTTATTCATGACCCATCCAGGCGGACTGCAGATCGGCGGAGGGATAAATGATAGCAACGCTCAACAATGGCTTGATGCTGGAGCCAGCAAGGTTATCGTTACTTCATATCTATTTCCTGATGCAAAGTTCTCCTTGGAGCGACTGAAGCGTATCTCCCATGTCATTGGCAAAGACAAGCTTGTAGTCGATGTCAGGTTTGCAGAATCCCCGCTGCTTCGTGCAGGAGAATGCTCACGACCCGAATAGTTGTCGCCGTCGCGACTCGAAGTGGTTCATAGCAATGAACAAATGGCAAGATATAACGGACATGGAGGTTTCTCAAGGTAGGACAGAATCGTATTCGCGTTTACAGTCCTTGACCCTTCACAGAAAATCTTGATTTGCTTTCAGACTACTGCGGGTTTGCTGCTTCATGTGATGATGTGAACGAAACTCACCCGTTTGTAGCGAATTTCTAATACATGCGGCTGATGTGGAAGGTCTTTGTCAAGGTATTGACGAAGAACTAGTTTCTCGTACGTTGGTAAATGATTTTATTGGCTTTAATAATCCAAAATTCAGGCCTTGGTGATTGGGTAAAAATTCCGACGACCTACGCTGGCGGGGCAAAAGGTACACCGTTGCTGGTTTGCAACACCTCGCTGATACTCTCTTTAGATATTGAAGACCTCAGTCTTGTCAATCGACTTTCTGGAGGGCGAGTGGACCTAACGTATGGAAGGTATGCAACAGAATATTCCAATGACCTCCTTCTTTACTCACAACTCTTTCATTTAGTGCTCTGGACATTTTTGGAGGCTCACTAGTAAAATTCGAAGAGCTCGTAAAGAGAAATAATTAGAATAATAAATAATAATCTATCGAAATAATTTATCTCAACTTTGGGGGCGTGAGAAACGACTTTACAGTTTTGAATAAGGTTTGGTGCAGATTTCCGGCCGGCTTGCAAGCACCCAGTATTCATCCCCTCAAGGTGAGAAACTTCGCGGTCTTCGTCGACAGGAAACCTACGATACTCACACACGGCTCTTCAGACCAACTACCACCATGCCCGGCAAAGTCAAGGCGTACGAGCTCCAGTCCAAGTGCGATTTTGCGATTTCTTTGTTGGCTATACCTTACCTTCTGTTAGGTCCAAGAATGACTTGTCGAAACAACTCCTCGAGCTCAAGAATGAGCTCTTGACACTGCGGGTGCAAAAGATTGCTGGCGGGTCGGCGTCCAAGCTGACGAAAATGTGCGTATTTGTAGTACTTATGCTTTTTCCTGCGTACTGACTATTGTTCTAGCAACACCGTCCGCAAATCCATAGCACGGGTGATGACCGTCATGAACCAAAAGGCTCGCCAAAATCTCCGCGAGTACTACAAAGACAAAAAGTACCTTCCTTTGGACTTGCGGGCCAAGAAGACTCGGGCGATCAGGCGGCGGATGACCAAGGTGAGAGGTCCCCGTATCTCCTGTATTCAATCACTTACATCTGCTTTTTTCCAGCACGAGACGTCGCTAAAGACCTTGAAGCAGAAGAAGAAGGAGCTTAACTTCCCCATTCGCAAGTACGCTGTCAAGGCATGAGGGCGAGGCGTTCTGTTACCGTATTTTACCTGCCAGTATATGCACTCGAATGACCATGCCTATGCTATGCTGATACTGTAAATTGAGCGAGTGGTAGATTGCCATATGGTCGCTTAGGCAGTCGAACCTTTCATATTGTTTCAAGTTTTTTGTGCGAATTGTGGCAAATTTTTATAAGCGCTATGAACGACGTAAACGGGTGTAGTAGCGGGCGTGCAACATATAGGAGATCTAGACACTTTCCCAGGACCTGCCTTTGACGGAATTGGTGACGCCTACTTCTTGTTCCCATACCCTCCCTTCCGCTTCGTACTATCTTCCCTTTCCTTCTCTTCTAGATCTTTCTTTCGCTTCTGCGACGAGCTTATACTGGGGCCAGGACACCAACAGCCATTTGTGCCGCAATTGTGATCTGTGATTGCCCCTGCTCCGACTCTTTGCCGGATTCATCTACCACACACCGCCCGCTTTTCACTAGAACGGGCACAATATCGTTCAGTATACCCTGCCATCGAGACGATTTTGTGGCCCAATACCTCTTACCAATAACGACCCCAACGAGCTTAGAGTACTTCCACCGTACCACACGATATTTCACGATATTACGAAATGGTAAGGCTATATTGTCTGCTTGAATGCAAGCCGCATATATCCAGCGTATGGACGGTTCTTCGTTCAATTACTATTAGACGTGGGACTCAACACGTGTAGGGCCTCGCGTGCTGTAGCCAATCACTGTTGGATAGTCTCACATCAAGGCAGCCACCCTACGGCTTCCTTCGTCTCCACTATGTTTTCCCCTTCTCGTTTTGCAGCGCGAAACAGTTCTGACGTTTCCCTTTCAAAGCCCCAGCCCAAAGTTGTATCAAGATCACCACCGTCGTCAGCCCAGGTCGATGCCAAATCCCAGCCCCGAGAGCCATATCCGATCCCCAGCAACAACCCGGCCAGTCAGTATACATTGCTGGAAAAGTTGGGAACAGGTAGTTTTGGGACCGTCTATAAGGCTATGCACAACGAGACGAAGCAGATTGTAGCTATCAAACAAATCGGTCAGTCTGCTGCATCAATCAACAATAGCGTGTTCAACTCGTGTCTAGATCTCGAGGATTCCGACGATGATATCTCTGAAATACAGCAGGAGATTGCTAGTCTTGCTCAGTGCGATTCCGAATATGTGACGCGCTACTACGGATCTTTCGTCGTCGCCTACAAGCTCTGGATCATTATGGAATATCTCGCCGGTGGCTCATGCTTGGACTTATTGAAACCCGGTCCTTTTTCAGAAGCTCATATCGCGGTTATTTGTCGGGAACTTTTGCTAGGCCTCGATTACCTTCATGCCGAGGGTACAATACATCGGGATATTAAAGCCGCTAATATTCTCCTTTCATCCTCCGGAAAGGTCAAACTTGCCGACTTCGGTGTTGCTGCTCAGCTCACGAATACACTTCGACACACATTTGTTGGTACACCGTTCTGGATGGCTCCGGAGGTTATCCGGCAGGCAGGATATGATGCCAAAGCCGATATGTGGAGTCTGGGTATCACAGCCATTGAGATGGCGAAGGGTGAACCGCCCCTCGCGGAGTATCATCCTATGAGGGTTCTTTTCCTCATTCCGAAAGCCAAACCTCCCGTGCTTGAGGGTGCCTTTTCTGCAGCCTTCAAGGACTTCGTCACTCAATGCTTGACGAAAGATCCCAGCGCTGTAGGTCATCTATTTTCCGTGGTATTCTGATATCACAACTTCTTCTAGCGTCCGACAGCCAATGAACTGTTGCAACACCGATTCATTCGCGGGGCACGGAAAACATCATATCTTACCGAGCTCATTGAGCGTCTTCAAGAGTTCCGTGCACGCTCACCTGCCAAGGGAGCTCATCAAATGTATCAGCCTACGGTGAGAAACAGTCATGCCCGGGACACGACAGGCACAATGCGGAGTGATTGGAACTTTGATACGATACGCTCCTCGGCTATGGGAACATTCAGAGGCATGGCAAAGGATCTCGTATCATCATCGTCTTCTTCTGACATCGACGAAGAACCTGAGGATCTGGTCGCAGATGAAGGTCATGCGTCATCTATCGACACTAGTGGTGCTACTAAGGGAAGCGGAGATCCTATTGTGGAAGGTGGGCTCGGAGTAAACGCACAGGCAGGCCATTCGACTGTGATCATCAAGCCTCTCCATACTCCTGATTCTGAGAAAGACGTTGCCACCCTGTTGGCGGAAAAGAACGTGTCGAAGGACACGCCACCTCCCCAGGTTGATGAAAGTGCAACACCGCTTGGTGCACCACCTGCTTATAGTGGGTCCATGCGGGGGTCTCGACGATCATCATACGCTGCACGTCACGGTGGTGGCGCAGGTACTGTAATGAAAGAGGCCGATTTGGGTAATGGCGTCGATACAATCCGACCCATCAAGAAGTTGGATACGGCGGGATCCTTACGATTGTCGGCGGAGTACGTCGGGAGCATACGTCGGGAGGGCAGCGCCTCTGCACCAACATCACCAACACATAAGCGCAATACCAGCGAAACGGCCAAGGCAGGGAAATCTCTGGTCGATGATGTGGTTCTACCCATCCTTCAGAAGGTATGTGTGGTTCTAATTCAGACCCAGAATTTGCGGATGTTCAAGTGGGTCAAATTCTAGGCCATTGGGGACGACATGGATGCAAGGGAAATCGAATCGCTGAGCATGTTATCTCGTGGGTTCAGTGAGCTCAAGGAAGCTAATCCTGAACTTGCCTACAACGTCATACTTGACATTCTGTCCGGCATCAATGAGTAAGTCGAACCCTTGAAGCTCCATTCACCATGTTTCACTTACTGATATGGATTGGTTAGGAATCCTGCTGTACGGCAACATGTCCAAACCTCTCGTGCACTGTTCCCACACAAGCGGGTGATCCGTAGAAGCGAAATGACAGCCAAAGGTTTGGTAGTTACAGAGGTCCAGGAAGACATCTCTCCAGGATCGGCAGAGCGAGCACCTTCAGTCAAGTCGGAGGATTCTTCGACACGTAAATCACCCATCGCAGAGCTGCTGTATTTGCGATGGCTAGAAGGGCTAAAATTCAAATGGCCTAGTCTCACGTAGTTCTCAGCTGCGGTCTTTCGTCAGATTCACTATGACGACGTATCGATTCCCGCAGCCTATTCTCCTTGACCCCACATTCTCCACTCTTCACTACGCACACAATTTAATGGTATTTATGTCACCGGACTTCCAGTATAGCTTATTATTCCTTGTTGTTTCTTGGTTTTGTTGTCTCGCTTCCTTTTCAGAGTTGCGCTAGGCATTTTCTTTCGAGCATCTATTATGCCCTCATGATTGTTACGCACCAGTACTAACGACAATACATACGTGATGTAAGCAGCCGTTTTCGCAGTTCCCTTGTGAATAAGCTCAGCGCCCTTGGGTAATTCGCTGACTATTCATGTCTTGAGATGAAACAGCAGGTGTTGTACGCAGCAGCCGTCCACCTCTCGTCACGATATGCACAGTACGAACGTGCCTACTTGAGATAACATCAGAGGCATTGAGCATACTCTTTTTGGTTTCTGACAGATAAATGAATACTAATTCCAGGGCGTCCGCACAAGCGGAGGAGATCAGTACCCTCGCTTTCAGGTCTCTTTCAGGAACCCGCTCAAGACCCAGTACTAGTACTCAGTCATCGAGCTGTCGTTGGTAGCAAAAAGTGCTGATGAGGCACTCGGATATAGACGCTGCAGGCATAGGGTTGCGGTCCCGTATTGCTGATCGCTCGCTTGTTCCCATTTTGGGCAGGCTCACCGTCAAGGTCGGCTCACGATGACACTGGAGAATTCATCACACATAGACCATCTTTTTATCCATGCTGCAGTAAAATCGCTCAAGACGACAATTTGAACTTGAAGGAAAATCCTATTTCGGATTCCTGGCCCGCCGGGAGCGTTCCAGTCCGGAAGCAAAAAGGTATATTCGGAGTTTGTGCAGTGAAATGTGCTCGTGAGAATACCTTTACCCAAGCTACCAAGCCTATGACGAGTGAAATGACCAGTATGCTTTAACCGTCTCAAGCAGGCCTTATCAGTGACTCCATTGCTTCTCCCGCGATCTACATGTGTGGCGCATCATGATTTCTCAACTATAATCAGAAGACCCACATACCGTTCCTTAGGATCATTCATCCTGCTGACTAGTTCAAAAGAAGAACCGCAGCACCAGTTCGTGGGTAATGAAAGAGTTGATTACCTGACAGTGACAGGAAATAGCAGCTTGCTTGGAACCAAGAAGAAGCTATACGCGAGGACAAAGTTCGAAGTCGAACATTCACTAAACTCATAGTGTCAATTAATACGATAGGAATAAATAGTCCATTGTGTAACAAAGAATGTGTGTGTGTGTAATGCGGGTAAATCGTATGCATGCGGTATATCTATATGTGTTGTACATGGTTTACTCGACTCGCACCAAAATACAACAGACTGAAGATGATATAAAAATGTCCTGGTGTCGTTAGCATAACCCAAGCAGGCATAGCGGGGTCCATGGTAAAGATAGATGTTTTACAAGTAGGGAGCAGTATAGGTGAGAATGAAGGTGGGCGAAGTCGGTAAAAGGGGTTTAGAGTAAGAAAGATGCCGCGGATGCTACTATGAACAACACAGATGTCGCAACACCCAATAGCGCATGACCCTCGCTGAACAGGTTGATGGCCGAGTTAGATGTAGTACTCACAGAGGCGGATGCTGTTGTACTTGCAGCCGCCGCAGCCTGGCTTGGAGTAGTAGACATGTCACTGTAACCTGGCTTAGAAAAGCTTCGAACAATGTATTACTATCTATACTTACCTCGTGCTGGAACTAGAGCTTGTGCTACTTGAAGTAGAAGCCACTAAAATTCCATCCACACTGACTGTCGAATCATCGTCGGTGCCGTCAGAGTTCTGGTAGGGGCTGTCGTTGTCCACTAATCTGGAAACCGATGTGGTGTTCCATCCGTTGGACTTCATGGTAGGATAAGCGTTGATGAACGCTTGGACCGTGTCGTTTGTCAACTCGTGCTCCAAAATGATCAAACCCGGGGTTTTAGGACCTACACAATGATAAGCAAATGATCGACACTATTGGTGATGTAGTTTACCTGTCAGCCATTTGTTCATATTGTCACTAATGGCTTGCATCGTAGTACCCCCAGTTGCCATGCTCCAGTCATCAGTACTATCCATAGCAATAAGTAATTCAATTGAGTGCGCTTGGACAAGAAACATACTCTTGATTCCAGATAATGCACTCGAGCCCAAAGACCTCCAGTGCAATTGCCCTGACCCTGTTGTCGGAATCGCCATAGGGTGGTCTCCAAAACCTAGGAACCCGGCCACCCGTTGAGTTGTGAATGATCTCCATGGTCCAACCAAGCTAGCGAACGCATTAAGTTGAGATTCAATTCTGGTACCATTAGAACACACCTCTGCAACGATTTGGAGGTTGCTAAGCGTAGTCATGTAAGGATGGGTGTATGTGTGCACTGCGATATCCCCTCCAATGTCGTATGCAGCAAGAAATTGGTTTGCATTGTTGAGGATATTAACGCCGATCATGAAATGAGTCGCACTCTGGTTCTGCGCTTGCAAAAAGGTAGCGAGGTTGGAGGTGGCCTGAAGAGGCCATTAGCTTCCCATATCGGAGAGGCACAAAAGATAAACCTACCGGCTGTGGTCCATCATCAAACCCGACGCCCAGAGTGCCAGTAGGTGCATCCCAGGTGTCTCCCGGAATTCTGCACTGATAAGTCCCTGAGCAAATTTCCGGACCGGCAGGGTTCATGCCATTAGGATATACAGGGTTTGTTCCAGGCGTATTGGTGGATTGGGGAATATTGGGTATCTTTCCGGCAGCGACGGCGTCATTGAGGGCGTCTACCCACGCCTGGGGTAACTGATTGGTATCAGGCGTGTTTGTCGGAAAGGAGCTTGACCAGGCTAGCGAACAATGCGATAAGTAAGGTGCATGTTGTATAAAGCCAATGAGACAAACTAGGAGAGCCAACTTGAGCGTAGTTGATACCGTCTCCTGGGGGGGCTCGCTTGAAGAGATTTTGTACAGGATGGTCGCGCCTGTGATACCAATTATCAGGAAGGCGTTTGTGCTCTACATGATCGAGACCACCTGAGCGCGGTAAAGAGGATGCAAATGCAGCATTTACAGCTAGGAAAAGGGAAACAAGCATGGTGGTCGGAGACGGAGGGCGAGCACACACTGCATTCTGTACAGGCGCTCAATTTGAAGGGTTCTGTAAGACCCAAGTCGGTCTGCTTCACTATTGCCCCCTGTCCAAATTTAGTCCCGATCGAGTTTCAGATCTCAGATTCGGTCTAAGTCGTTACTTGAAATAACCTCGCAGTAACTGGCACTCCGACTTGAGAAAGACAGAACTTTGAGTTAGACACCGCTCCCTAAAACATCCCAATAACTTAGAGTTTGATGTTAGAGCCTTATCCACAATTTTTTGCAGCTGAGCGTACCTAGGTCACCCCTTGCCGGAAAGGCACTAACAGGACAGCTTGGCGGTAGAATACACAAAGTAAACAATGCATTATCAGGGAATATACAGGGTTAGAGCGGTGAAGCAGGCGTTCCCCCATTGCGATACGCAGCCCGTAAGACTAGCACGCCGTCCTTCAATTGCGCCACCTCCTTCACCAAAGCCGTAAATTTGGCCTTCTTCCCCTCATCCCTGAGAAATGGTGTAAAGTGCTGAATACAGTCTCTCGTGGACGCATTCGGAGTATTCTTCAGCCACTCTATTACCATCCGGTCTTCAAGTGGGGGTACCGGTCCGGCGTTGGACTTGCGTTTCTTAGGTTTGGGAGGTCCGACCTGACCGCTGCCTTGAGGCGAGGCCGCTCCTTCATCAGCTTTCCTCTTCTTTCCATTCTGGAGCACAGGGCTTCCAGCTCTGCTTCCCGCCCCCGCGACTGGGCTCGTCGCACGGCTATTCGAGACCGGTACGGGACTCGTCGCTCGACTGGCGAGGGGACTACCTCCGCGGCTCCCCCCATTGGGTTTCAGTTTCGGAGCCTTTGGACTAGTGGCGCGTTTCGCTACAAGGGAATGTCCGCTAAGACTAGCGGGTGATGTGGCCCGAACATCTGACTTAGACCCGTTCAGGGCTGGCTGGCTCGTAGAAGGTTTCGCTGTCTGAGGCGCTTGTGAATTTGCAAGTGGATCGGTTGGTTGGGGCGGCTGTGAGACTGGCTGCGCTGGTATCTCCTCTTCTTCCTCAGAAGATTCTTCCTGTCGCAGATTGAATAAACATGGTTGTGTAGAGGAGAATGCAGAAACTTACAGAACTGGCATACGGATTCTTTTCGTCATCACTATCATCTGGCTCTCCACCTTCGCGATTGCGTATCAGCTTCTGCATTCGTCGCTCTTCCTTCGACATCTTGGGTTTCTCCTCTTCATCTGAATCGTCTACGTAACCCTCTCTAATTTTGTTCGCGCTCTTGTACTCCTTTTTTAACCGCTCCTGGATATCTAGTCAGAAATAAAAATAGAAGAAAAGACATCATGAACAAACCTCGAGCTCCTTAGCTTCTTCATCATCGTCATTGTCAACGTCCATCTTCTCGTCATCGTCAGCAAACTCTTCTTCATATTCCTGCTCATCGAGATCTCCCTCCTCGCCGTATTCTCTTTCGCGTTTCCGTCTAGAGCCCTCGCCGTCCTCGTCATCTCCAAACAAACTGTCCATGCCATTGTCAACAGCCTTAAGCCTCCGCCCACCAGGTCCTAAACTCTGCCCAGGTGTATGCGCGTCATCAAATGTAGTTCCCTCGGCCTCCGCCTTGAACATCGCAGCCGTGTGGGCGGAGAGCGCTCTTCCCGTTCTCTGAGCTAGCCAAGCACCAGGATCGCGTTTCTGGTGTTTTGCATACTGTAGCATACACTTTGTTAGCATGTACAAGGAAGCATGAAATCACGATATTATACCTGAGCCTCAACATTTGCTGTATCAGTAGGCAGATCATGCTTCAGCTTCTTCTGAAATTTGTACCACCGATGAGCAGGGACAAACTTGAAGACATCATTAGCCGCAGGCATGAAAAACGCATGCGTCTGGGCCTTTGTCGTGTCGTCCAGCTGCGCCACCCAAGTTTCCTTGCCCATGCCGTCTTCCAGAACCCACGGATACCTCTCCTCCTTCCTCAGCAGCCTCGTCTCTTCTGGAACAATGAAGACCTGTCTTGTCTTCTTCTGGAATTTCTTCTTCGCCGGGGCTGCCTTTGCCTTGGTTGCCTCATCCTGCACGATCCGTCCCTCCGCATCCACCATCACGACTTTGCCATCCTGGAGAACGGGCTGGCCGTCTGCGCCCAACATGGGTCCTACCGGAACTCCAGCCGTGCTCGCTGCCGGGTCGTCTTTCCTGAGGTCTTTCCGGTTCAGCTTGATAGGTTGTGGCCATGTTCCTATGTCGACAGGCTTCCGTGAGTCAAACTTCATGACGTCGTATTTCCACCCATTGAGAGCAGAAGAGAAGAGCTTGTAATCTGAATAAGGTCCGTCTGGCAAGTGGAGGTCGTCGTCGTCTTCTTCCTGTTTACGCGGTGCCACTGCTTTTGGTGGTCGCGGTTTCTGGGGTGGGGGGCCGGCTTTTGGCTGGGCCTTGGCAACTGGCGGCTTCTTCTTGTGAAAAAGGATGCTCGCGATGTCCTTCTTGGGTGGCATTACAGGCGAATATTATCGCTGAAGGAAGAGAATAGTGGTGGTAATGAAGAAACAAGCAAGTCCCAACTCGGGTCGCTTGTTACCCTAATTAGTATCGGACAACAATTATTGTGTCTGTCTCATTCAAATTACCTTTTGACAACTGGTGACTCAACAGCCGGACATCATTGGATGAATGGCGATGCACTCCCCGTACTTCAGATATGGATACAACATGGATATATGCGCAACGGGCAACAGTCAAGAGTAGATGTAATAGCGAGTGCAGAAAACATCACCGGTACCGACAGAATAATTTCTGGGATACCAATTCGAGGAAAAAAGAAAAAAGAAATGCCCCATCACAAAAAGAAACAACACGCCTATGGATACAAACTGAAAGCAAAACATGGTGGTCATGTAGGACCATCTGGTCTATTGACATTTCCGTTTTGAGACGGAACGGCGGGGCCGTTGCCAGGAGGGAAGACACCCTGAGAAGAGGCCGGTCTAGAGAGCGGTGGCGGATGCTGCTGGAGAGCGGCTGGCGGAGGTAATGGATATGGCGGGACGCCTGGCGGAGGCTGACCGTAGACAGGATGCCCTGGCGGGCCGCCGCCTGGGGGAAAGGGAGGTAGACCACCGCCTTGACGGGCCTCGAGCTCGTGTCTAAGCATGTCGATTTCGCGAGCCATTTCTTGATGGCTTTGTTTGAGCTGAGCGACAAAATCGATAGCTAACCGATGGTCAGTACGAATAAAAGCAAAAAAAAAACGGCTGCCACACACCTTTGCTTAAAATTTCCCACTTGCTAGCCTTCATACCACGGTCAGCCGGCAGCTGATCTCTTAGCTCATCAAAAAGATCCTTCATCTCCTTCCTTCTCTTCCGTTCTGCGAGTTTATGGGAAACACGAAGCTCGGGAGAGCGGGAGTATGGTGTTGCGCCAACGTCCTTGGAGAGCTTGCTGGATCCAGGAGGAGATGGAGCCGAAGTTGGTTCTTCTGAAGCCTCTTGGGAGCGCATTTGACGCGATGGAGGACGCGACCTTGAGCGCAGAACCCTGGTCGGGCCAGCAGGATTCGACGACGGATTGAGATTGTCGGGAACGGACATCCTCCTATCGAGAGCCCTGTCAGGAGGGAAATTGATTGGTGGCATGATGGGAATGTTCGACATGGGATCGAACTGGCGGTGAGGGTCGTGGTCGAGGGGATGGTGCTGCATTGGACTCTGGTCAGAATGTGGCCACGCGAAAGATGCAATTCCGGAGCTAGAGGGCTGATGCCGGCCGTCCGTGCCGGAAACAGCCGAAGCCGGCGAAGGGTAGCCGCCACCCAACGACGAAGAATCGCGTCTGCCGTCGACCCATGGCCACTGCCCGCCCCGCCCGTCGGTTGAATTCCGCCGCTCGTTCAGACTTAGCTGCGCGATCCGAGCCGTGTCCACTGCCGAGCCCCGCCGTTTGAATGCCGGCCCCTCGTCCACGTCCATCTTGTTCCCGACGCCTGGCCCAATCAGCTGCGGGTCTATATCCTGCCCAGAAAATCCTGCTCGCTCGCTTGACATCTTCCGTTTCTTGCCCTGCAGTCTCCCAGGTGACTCTTGGCCCACTGCAATTGAATGTCGTCGCATCGAATAGTCGAATGGTACTGGCTCTCGTGGTAGTCCTCGCCCACGCCCCTCCGTGTCCATCTGCATTTCATCCCGTTCCTTCGCTTGTCCGGCTCCTGAAATCCGTTTGATAAGCAACCTTCATTGACAGACAGAACATACCTTCTGTCGCCCCGCCGGACGTCTGATGTCGCGCGCTACTCCCCTTTGCATTACTCCCTCCCTCCGACGGTCCCGGCGCTCGATCCTGTTCTTGTGAAGGCGACCGCAACAGCTTGCGTAATTGTGCATTCCCATCTCCAGACCGACTTGTCGCCTCTCCGAACACATAAGGTGAGCTCGGACGTGGATCAGACATACCGCCTTTGAATGTCGAAGAGCTGGCCAAGTCGCTCTGTTGCCGAAGGAAGTGAGAGCTTGGATTTTGTTTTGACGGCGCGGCATGGAGCGACGGATCCGTAATGGAACCCCGACGCTGGTTTTGCAGGTACTCGAGAGGCGCCAATGGGACTACAGGCGAAAGCCTACTTGATTGCTCCCTGTTTGACGGAGACGAAGAAGACTTGTGTCCAATCTGGGGTGATGTATGTGGTAGAGTGTCGGAATGGTCTGCCATTGTCGACACGAGCGACATTGAAAACTGGAGGCAGAAATTTTACAGACAATGCGCCCAGTATTCTCGGGAAATGTGCGTCGAGCCAGGAAGAAGTTACGACACAGGTAACAACGAACCAGTTGTACCGACTGTACATATTCAATTGATTCCTTCCCCCATTGACAACGTGGGCCCCCACGTGGAATTACATACATGGTTATATTGCCCGCATTGCCTCTTTCAGCCTTCCGGCCCGCCCAATGCTGTCTGCTCAAGCGCCTCCCGTTCATCCTCGCTGATCTCTATCGCACGTACGTACCGTTGACCCTGGCTGTTCCGTGTACGCCGCCCGACCCGTATCTCGGCCCTGTTTGCCTTTTTCTCCTCTTCATCGTCCGCCAAAACGATCTGTCGAATCCAGGGTAAGTAATCAACGTCAAATGCCGTCCCTCGCAATGCTTGTGCTCCCATCACATTCTTCCCGAATGTTTTGATCACATCTCGATAGCCGGCGTGCGCACTCAAATTCGTGTTTCGCATCCTGCCGAAAATCCCACCACGCGAGAGTCGTATGGCCGTTGACATGATCATCCTGTCTTGATCACCATCCCCATAAGAATCCTGCCTGGTAATGCTGTCTCGCGTGTTAAAGAGAATGGTGTGACCAACTTCGTCATCTGCTGACGCTTGCGCTTGGCTAAATGCAATAGCCTCAAACCGAATTCATCAAATTTCTGGCTAGGGATAAGAAAGGTGGGAACAGACACACCTCCGGCATGTCCTCATCTTGTCTTCTCAGATGCGAGTCCAAAAATGAGAGTGATTCGGCGTGTCGAGCCACAAACCCATTCGGGCTTAGTGGTTCACCCAAAGAGAGGAAGTATTGGCTTGACGATGCAGATTCCTCATGTACGAAGGGCTGATGGTGAAGCGGCCAATCTGAATCAACATCATATCCGGGGCACCATAGCTGTAGTGTGTGAATAGTCCGTCGCAGATCTGGAATAGCATCGTGGTTCTCAAGTGAAGGCTCGTAGACCTGGGCAATTTGCTTCCGGTCGATAAGATATCCTTCAGCCGCACACATGCTCTGCAGATACGAAGTCGCCAAGCTGCTCTCGCATGGTCTGAAATGTAAAATCTGCTGCAACGGCAGATCATCAAGGGGCAGGAGAGTGATATCTATCCCAAAATAGTCCCAAATCAGACCACGGAAAAGAGGTGAACCGGGGAACGCTTGCTTACCGTTACAAGTACAAATTACAGGCCTTTTACAATCCTTGATGAAATTCGTTACAGCAGGCCAAAAATTAGTATCCTCCTTGAATAAAATGTCGACCTCTTCTAAAAGGACCAGCGACTGGTTCACTTGTCTGTTTGATGGACCTGCATCAGTCGGTTCCGTCAACGTATGCTCGGGTGCAGATTTTCTTCCGCAAAGCATTGCAGCGAGTTTCTCTTTCGCATGTGTATTCTCATCCCGGTCTTCTTCCCGGCGGACCTTCCGAACCAGATGGTTTTTGCCCACTTCCCCTACCAGGTTGTCTAGATTGGATGCATTCCGCTTCCCTATCCCCGGATACACCTCAAAGACCTCCCATCCCATCTCTGCGGCGCAGGCATAGACGGCAGCGCTCTTGCCACTGCCAGACGGACCCGCGAGGACAATCGTATTCGTCAAGTCCATAAAGAGTGGTTGGGTAGGAGCCTGTAGCGGTGACGAAGGGGGAACATACTCATCTTCGAAGTGCGATTTACGCTTCAGTCTCGTGAGCCCGTTCATCTGTTCGTCTTCGCTGGTAGGGTAACAGGAATCATCTTCACTAGAATGAACAGTCCAGTTGTCCTCCTCATCAGAATCGATTCTTTGCTTCTTCCGGCCACGCCTCTTCGACACCCGGCGCGTCACGCGAGGCCTTTTAGTTGTCGCGGACTTTGTTTGTGAGAAGTGAGAAGGACTAGACTGGGAAGACTGGGTGGAAGCTGGGGGATCTTTGAGTTCTAGCTGGAGCGCCCGGAGCCAATCACGAAGATACCGGGCGTTTTGCTCGTTTCCCAAAACTTCATCTGCACAGGTTGGACGATACTGGTCCGTCCAGAGTTTTTGGTTTTGTTTAGGAACCGACGAGTTAGACGTCAGTCGAGAAATAGCGGGGTGGTCTCTATGCGACTCTGGAAGTTCTGCTAGATATGACGTCTTGTTAAGTGGCATTCCGCATTCCGATTTAGTTACGGGTTGTGCTTGAAATAATGACTGCGCGGTCTGAGACGGTGTCGTCTGGTATGTAGTCTGAGGACCACGAACATGCTGTGTATCTCTACTGGGGTAGGGAGCATCTAAGAGTTTTGTGTGTGTTTTTCGTGGACTTGCTGGAGTAGCCGCTCGTTTAGGACGCGGCGCAAATATGGAATATGGCTGTACTGGCCGAGGTTTCACGGGAGACGACGATTCGATGACAATGGGGTCATGTTGAGAGCCGCCACCGAAAGAAGGCTGTGATTTTAAAGGGCGAATTGTAGATTGCGATAGCGAAGGCTGGTCAGGTTCGGTGTCGGCATCAGAAAGGTTGACGATGACTTCTTCAATGTCAAATGGGATCGGAGAGGAGGATATTGGAGGCGTAGGGACGAGTTCCACTTCATTAAAACGAGAATTTTCGCTGGCTGAGATACATAGGCGTGTCGGGGCGAGAAACGGTGGCAGTCGTGGCCGACTCACCTGGCTGTTCAACGCCGCTTATGACGTCGGCACCCTCTTTACCACTGGCGACCTCTAATAGAGCAGGCTGAGAAATTGTAGGCTCTTCTATCACTTTATGCTTCTTCGGAAATAGATCAAACAGCGTTTTCTGTTAAAGCAGCGCGTTACAAGGTTAACCAACGGTGAAACGCTGAGCCAGGACGCTCACCTGGGCAGTCTTGGGCTTTATCGCAGCCTTTGACGACGATTTCCTCCTCAGCGCCATCGTTTACTACGTACAGTAGTAGAGACGTCGGTGTGGGAGGACAGTCAACGATGGCAGACAATAAGCCAAGATGAGATTGAGAAAGACGCGTCGTGTGCACGTGCCAGCTGGCATTGCCGTTCTGGAGCCGCGCGCCGGTGTTTGTTCTTCCGTAAGTCAGACCATGGTAAGCAGAATAAGTAAGACCTCTCTGGTCGCTTAACTGTTACCACTTTTATTTCCCACCATGACTGATCCCGTCGCTGAGAAATCTGGATTCCTGCGCATGTACATGTCCTCTCACCCGGACACGCTGGTCGCGTATGCCAAGTTCTACGGCCGGGTCAAGGAGAATATCAAGAGTGCCGAGATGAGCGCTATTGATACCAAGGTAAATGTTCTGTATGTGTATCATATATATGTAACTGAAGCAATGGTACAGAGCATGACTTTGACATGCACGCTCTCCAATGGGTCAAAAAAGAAGGTTGTAGTCGCCCTAGATCCACCACTGAAAGGATACGAAGACGTCAAGCCACGTTTGCTAGAAATGAAGGCCTTGGCACAGGAGGGACTGGGCATGGTGTGTCCTACTTTCACGCCTCATGTACTTAGTCTGACTAATATGCAACAGATAAAAGCACCCCACATAACTAGCTTCCACTTTCCGACAACTGTGAACACCTGGTTCACGGTTTTCTTAGTAGGATCTCTTCTTTACATGGGCATCTCACCTAGTCATCCTGAGAGTCCTCTCTACCTCCCCGGTCGGCTCGCACGCTCCTACATCGGGTCCTACTTCAAGCCTGTGGTCTGGACTCTCACAGGTGTTCACGCTCTCGAAAGTCTCTACACCCTGCACTTGTGCAGGAAGCACCACACGGGTTTGGTCGTTGGTGTACGTGATCCTCTTCTAATATTTCAGTGTACTTTCTTCTGATATATATATACAGGCCCAATACGTCTTTTTTACACTAATATTAGGGTTCAACGTATGGGTAGATCTGAGGAAGCGGATTCAAGCGGCAAGGATAGAATCGGTGATGAAAGTTGAATAAGTTTATCTCTCCTTGACTAATTCCTTGTGACATACTTATTACTCAACTTCAATGAACTGATTTCTTGGACATCTCGGCCCGTTTGGTCAACTTCCTGCTGTGATTGGAAGCCTTCTCCACAAGTGCTAATGCTCGAGGTTTTTCGACACGCTTCTAAAAGCAATTGCTCTCGAGCTGAGAAACTATTGCACTTATTCTGCTCAAATCTTGTCTCTAAAGCAGTTCGCATTCGTTTTCACACCGTGGGTAGATTTTTTGTATCTACGTTAGAGCTATTTGCTAACGATGACGAATTTCACTACTGCCAAGCGTATGAATAGGTTCTATTTGACGTTTCACGGGAAGAAAAGAAGCACCATACGTCCCAGGTTTCATACTCTTTTGCCACCGTTATCCACGAAATTAAATATCAAAATTCGGCTGCGAAAGTATCGTGGCCTCGTATTACCTTCCCGCACGGATCGCTCTGTAGCAGGCACCTGTGAGAGCTTTCATTCACGGTACAAACATCCTATATTAAAGAAGGATAGACTGAGCAGGTGATGCTCACATCGATTGGCTCGTGAGATAAAATCTTGATAATTCTCCCTCGATGCACGGTACCATTGTACGTATCTTGTTCACGAGAACCACGAAATGCAAGTGGGAATAGCACGGATCAGTCCGGACATTCCCATTTCCGCGTAAGTTTTATGGTTTGAATATTTCCTTCAGGATCACTCCTGTTAATCCGGATATCGCACTCCGAAAGGCGCGCTGCTTATCGACTATTAGACAAATGACCAAGAGAGATAATAGGGTGAGCTCCGAAGAGAGCTCCATTGACAGGAGGTTCTTCTCTCCATGTTCCAAGGCAGTTCTCGTGTCCGGGAGCGTGACCCGAGTGCCAGTGTGTGAGTTTGCAACGGATCTCAAAAATTCGATGCTCCTCTGAAAAAGGTACCACGAGGTCGTACCGCCACTTTGAAAATGGAATCATTAACCTCGGAGGCACGAGGGGATTCTTCATCTTTTTTTTTTGATTGACTAAAAGTGGGCAACAGGTTTAAAGCGTGCGTTACCCTGTGTCTTTGCCGTAGGGGGCCAATCAAAGCATGTACATACGTTGTAGACACATCGCAAGGGTCTGCATGGCTTCTGCTGCGAGTTCTGATTTTGATTCACCCAGATTCATGGCGCAGCATTTATATCTGCATTCCTGAATAAGAAATCCTTTGACTGACTCGGAATATATTTCTCGTCTGTTTTTTGCATTATCGCCGCCACCTTGACGTTAGTTTTGAAAATACACTTTGTGTTCTAAAAATGCTGAGCTAGTGGATGCGAAAACGATGCTTGCGATCTGACCCTAGAAAGATGTTGGACGGGGTAAAAATCGCAGGATATGGTTGTGCGTGCAAGACTTTTTGGTCTAATGCTGCGTGATGATCGAGACGGAAGCCATGGAAACGTCGGCAGAGAATCGCTGTAGACAAGCCTAGAGTCGCCGTATCTCAGTATTGTGATCGATTTAGAGGCGGGTTGCGATTAATCGGGGGAACGTCGAGGCGAAGAAACAAAAAAAGAGTGGATCCACCGGTTTTTTAGGGTAGAAGATGGGAGCTGGGTGATGATCATGAAAATATGTAGCTTGGATGAATGTTGTACTATGATCGGCAGGGGTAGTAGCAGGCTGAGTGGGGGTGATTTCGGCCGACGATGACTAATATTTGCAATTATGACGCAACGTGATCAGAATCGATCATGGGCCGAAATCGCGTCGTATATGCTTGGATGCAAAAACCCAAAAGGCAGCCACCGGTCTCGTTGACTGTCCTCCAACCTCAAACTCTTGCCATGCTATGTTCACCTGCACTGTCTGTAACAATACCTTGACCCTTCCCACTACTCTCAGCTGTGGCCACTCACTCTGTGCCGCCCATCACCCGCCCATTTGTCCCGACCCCGCCTGCATTCCCGACACAGATCCCACTGCTAACCACGATGTCACCCTCACAAAGCTTATCGACATCCTTCATGAGCAGGACGATGACCGCCTCGTTTCATCATCCAGCTCACACAGCAACGACCACCGACGACGACGACGACAACGACGACGATGACAGTGATTTGCTCACTCACCTCAAAATAGAGAGCGCGCGACAAAAGGCGACAAGGCCGTCCAGTCCATTGCTAAGACCGTCGCACGAGTTTCCATCAGGCATGACATCTCGCCAGAAACGACTGCTGACAGAGCTGACTTGTGAGATTTGCTATATGCTCCTCTACGATCCAGTCACGACTCCCTGTCAACATGTGCGTTCGCTTGCTCTCCATATTTCCACCATTTATCATTTATTCTCTCTCAAAAGACATTCTGTGCCAAATGTCTGCACCGTTCGCTCGACCACTCGTCAGCGTGTCCACTTTGTCGCGCTGCCCTGCCGCCCTTTTCCTTCTTCCAGTCACATCCCACAAATGCCCTCATATTACGTGTTATTACCACTTATTTCGAGGCACAATACAACGCTCGAGCTGCTGCTATATTACAGGCAGAACGTGACGCTCGCCTCGATACTCCTATCTTTGTATGCCAGCTTTGCTTCCCAGGCATGCCCACTTTCCTCCACTTCTTTGAGCCTCGCTATCGCCTCATGCTCCGCCGCTGTCTAGAGTCACCCCACCCTAGTTTTGGTATGGTAATGCCCCCACGCCCTGGCGCACAGATTGACTATGGTACCATGCTCGAGATAAAAAGCGTACAGATGCTCCCAGACGGACGGAGCATGGTCGAGACTTGGGGTTCATGGCGCTTCAGAATCCTAGAAAGGGGTTCCCTTGATGGATATATGGTCGCTAGAATAGAGAGGTAAAATTTCATCCCAACATATTATCTCCATATGTTGACAATATTTCTAGGATTGAAGACTATACCGACGAGATCGACATTGACATCGCCTCGATACCGGCGCCGTCAGAACCTGGCACGCCGACTTCGCATGATGACTCTGAACCGATCCTGCCTTCTCTGTCTGAATCTCCGACAGCCTCCTCCCCGACACCTCTCCTCATCTCACACTGTCTGTCATTTCTCACCCATCTACACAATCACTCTACTCCTTGGGTTGTGCAGCGCTTATCAACTTCTTATGGCCCACCGCCCTCGCTTTCAACCGCCTTAGCCCGTCCGGGGCCTTTCAGCTTCTATGTCGCCATTGTACTCCCGATTGATGAAGGCGAAAAGGCAAAACTACTTCCGATCAGGAGCGTACGCATGCGACTCAGACTGTGCGTATGGTGGATTGAAGGCCTCAGAAGAGAGTGGTGGTTTGACCGGGGATGTGTAATACTGTAGTGCTATCTATTCTGATTATTATCTATCATTCTTTGGGGCTTTCCATTATCATACATTTAGGACCGCATATTTATCCGCATTGCATTTTTACATCGTTAGGTTATTGTACAATATTTCATTTCACACGAGATAAATTCAGGACCCAGGACGGTGAGTTGGTGCTTGGAAACTAGGATAAACGGCTTCAAGAGCGGATCTTCTGTGGCGCAAAAGCGTATCGCCCACAAACAAGTTTGGAATACGGCAAAGAATCTGGAGACTCCTCGGAGCATGTACGTGAATAGTTTAGCCTCGTCTGGACAGATCCCACGACGTCCGGAGGCTTTTCAGTCAAGCAGGAATACGTACAAGTCAGAATTCCCGTCGCCATAAGTGTACCTTGTCAGGGCGATCATGAAAGCTGGCTGAGTTGACTCCGCGATCATCACCCAGAAACATGAAACGAAAACCGACTCTGTGGCCACCGTCAGTCAAGTGGCAAAAGATGTTTATCCGGCGCTTCAAGTTCCTTCCAAAGTAACTAATAAAAGTCATTAGTTAAGCGTTCCCAAGTGGTAGTACATACATACATATTTTATTCCCAAAAATAAATATTGCATCAACTCTGTGCCGTTGAACTCGCAACAGTTTGCTGTCCTTCCCCATCGTGTGAACCACTTTAGTAGCCAGACGGGCCTCATCCTCTGGCTGACCTCGACGCCGCCTTCCGTCTGTTCCTCTTTCTCGCTTTCGCTGCTCTCACTAGCGTCGTCGCCCCAGACTCCCCGTTCTTCCTCTGCCTCACTCTCCGTCCTTCCATACCGATCAACGACCCGCTCAACACCGTCAATTCTCCATTGCCGATGCTTACCACCTTTTTCCGTATTTGCCAGCCCAAGTCCAAATACCTTTTCCCTCACTTCAACCACTTTACGTCTACCACCCACCCCGGCATGCCATGCATCCCGTAAACTCATCTGCTCAGCCTCGTACCACAGCGTATTGACGGTCTGCATCATTTTACCGCTCCGTGAACCCTCAGCGTCGACTTCACCCAGGATGCTCTCGCTAACGCCTTCGCCATACCGACTGTAGGCTTCCCGCAACCGCTTATTCGTCCCAGTGAGCCGACTGTTGAGTATATTTACCACCTCAACGACAGTTCTTCAGGTGCGACTGCTCGTCGACACATCACCTAACATCTGTCCACAAAGCTCAACGTCAATACGCATGTGCTCGATCCGAAGCACACGCGTCTCCTTCACGAGCTTGTCTGTGATCACGTCGATACTCCGCCGCTGAGTCAACCTGCGAAGAGGTCGAGAGAAAACCTCAGAAGTCGAGTTCGCGGTTGGAGGCCGCTCCTTCTTCTTACTGCTCACCGGATCCGACCAGCTTGTTACAGCGACCCTGTTTGATGCGGTCTCCCCAGGGTCGCTTCCTCACGCCCAGATTGGCCATTCCATCGAATTTCGAGCTGGGGACTAGATCCACGGTGGATTCACCGACACTTGGGGGCTCGACCACCAGCATTGGAGGAGGGTTTGGGGGAACAACTGGGCTTGCTTGACCGCTGCTGAGTAAATCTTCATCTTCTGGAGGCGGTCGCAGATCAACGGAGGAAGTTTGGGCTTTCTTTCGGCGTCTATAGACTATTAGAAAACATGTATATGATCTTAAAAAATCACTCACCCAGCCCAGCTCTCTAATTTACCTTTCACTCTTTTACGGCCCCAGGCTAGGCTCGCAAATAAGTCACCTTCCTCGTCAGTGCTCCGAGGATCGCTCCGATCACTGCCCGCTGCATCAAAGTCACTCCAACCGGACTTCTTCTCGCCATCAACACCTTCTCTAAGCCTTACGACCCAAGCAATCCTACCGCTCCACAGAGCGCGCACGACGCTTCCGACGCCCTTGTTACCTTTTTCCCGTCCAATGCCTCTAACGATGCCTCCCAAGCTCTCTTCACCCTTCTCGGTACCCAAAACTGCCGCTACGAATCTGCGTACATCAACAATAGGCTCTAGAATCGACTCTGGGCCACAGGCTGGTGGGACGGCTTCTCCACTGTGCTCGTATGCAGCGTGAATCGTTTCGAGGACAACATGGTTAATGTACGTGGGGGTTTGACCAGCGAGCAATGGAGTCGCAGTTGGTGTCTTTGAAATTCGAGGTTGTGCGTGGACGTTAGCAAGGCTCACGCTGAATAACTGGGGGATGTAGGAACGGGTCCTTTGGCACGACGTGACTGTAGCCTATGGCTGCAGCCTTGTTTCGAACAACAAACACAAGCGAGAGGAGAGCGACGACCACAGGTGGATCTGCAAGTCTCTCTTTCGAAAGTCCTGGAACGAAACCCTTGGCCAGCCACTGCCCAAGTGCTTGGACTGTCAAGTCGCACAATAGACCATCACCCTCGACTTGGAAGCCAAACATACCAAGGGCACCTTGTACGAGCCTAACCATCTCCAATACAGTTTCATTGAACCCTCGACCTTTCACGGTCGCAGGAAAACCGTACATTCCGACAAATCGGTCTCTTGTTCCACTACTGGGGCTTTCAAGAGTAAGTGCAGTACGTCCAGCACATCCCATGCGAAGCAAGTTGACATTCACATAAAGCTGCTCTCTGACAACCAACCAATCACCCCCAGGAATCAAAACAATAGTATAGTCTGAACGGAAATGCGCCAGACTTGTGACCATGAGCGTTCCCTCTTCGAGATTTTTTGGTCGGGCGTCAAGTCTGAGAAAATGCACGGCATCTTTCATATCCGCTTCTGTGTTTGGTTTGAGCGCGTCGAGGCGTACGGTGTGTGCTGCATCACCGGTATACACGACTAGCAATGGGAATGGCCTGTTTCGGCTGACGACCCATTTTTCGACTGCATAGAGCTGGTATCCAGAGAGAGTAAGGGTATGTGAGAATGTGAAATTTGACAGAGGAGGGTGGCCAGAGGGAATGAGGAGCATGTAGGTAGTTAGTGGTCAAGAGGCATTTCACGTGAAGGATCGGCAGGGACGATCCGGGCTAACTGCCTGCCGGGGGAACTTGAAATTTCGATAAGTTCTCATGGCATCTTTTGCTTAGTCGGCTTCCATGGCGTATCGCCTAACGGCAGCAGAGTTCATCTCTTCTGGCTTGACTGTCGAGCAATATGCAGTTTCTCTGTTGGATCGTATCAAGTCTCGCGACGACGCTGTCCAAGCATGGGCTTACCTCGATCCGGAATACGTTCTCGCTCAAGCTCGCGAGCTAGATAAGGTCCCGAAAGAGAAGAGGGGACCTTTACATGGCGCTCCAATCGGGGTAAAGGATACTATGTATACGAAAGGTTGGTTGCGCATAGTCCTGAGCGGTACTAGAGCTAATTATCTGTGCGATTCTCAAGATATGCCGACCCAATACAACTCACCGATATACGAGAACCACGCTCCAGTCGTCGATTCAGGGCCTGTTACAATCCTCAGGGATGCTGGGGCACTGATATTTGGTATGGCATCAGTGATAATTATGCCGTACTTGATATAACAGAAAGCATTCGAAAAGGAAAGACCACAACGGCTGAATTCGCAGCGGTTTTTACAGGTCCCAAGACGCGTAATCCTCACGATCCGAACCGCACGCCAGGTGGTTCATCATCCGGATCTGGGGCAGCAGTGGGTGACTTCCAGGTGCCTATCGCATTAGGTACTCAAACAATCGGAAGGTTTGTTATATCACTTGCATTGAAGTCTTTCTTGGAGTCACGGATATTGCAGTGTCATCCGACCAGGATCATACAACGGGGTCTTCGCCTTCAAACCAACCTGGGGTTCCATCTCCCGTGAGGGAGTGAAGATCTCCTCTCTCATCCTGGACACAATAGGTTTCTTTGCACGAAGCGTCGCAGACCTTCAGCTCCTGGCAGACGCATTCAAGTTGTCCGATGACCGAGAACCGTCTACGTTCGAGCTCAAAGGTGCCAAAGTCGCCGTGTGTAAAACGCACATATGGCCTCAAGTTGGCCAGGGAACTGTAAATGCGCTGGAACAGGCCGCGAAACTTCTTCGGGAACACGGTGCTGAAGTTGAGGAGCTCGAGCTTCCGGAAGAGTTTTCTCAGATAACCCAGTGGCTGCGCAATGTCTTGGACGGCGATGGAGGCATAAGTTTCCTCCCGGAATACAATCTAGCGAAGGATAAATTGGACCCATATCTTCTTGGTTTTGTTGAAAACAGCACGAATCTTTCCAAGAGAGATTACTTGACCGGTCTCGATGGTATTGCATCGCTGAGACCAAAGATCGACGCGATTGCAGGAAGATATGCTGCTATCCTGACTCCCAGTGTCCATGATGAAGCACCAGAAGGCATCTCAAACACGGGAAGTGCGGCCTTTTGTGGGATGTGGACGGTGAGAAATTTGCGGCTAATTGGTCCACCTTTCTGTGATTTATACTTGGGATGCAGGCGCTCCATGTTCCCGTTGTCAATATTCCAGGATTTGCAGGAAGTCATGGTATGCCCATTGGAGTATCTTTGGTCGCCCCAAGATATCGCGATCGACACCTACTGAATGTAAGTCAGGTGGTGGGGAAGGCTTTTGCGGCCGATGGAAGGAATCCAGTGTCGTAATAATAATATTAATGGAGAAGTCTTTTGTCTTTCTCGGTGTGTAGCTGACTTTGAAAGAGGCCAGAAATGACCAATCGCGCGTAGTGATGGGTCTGCTTAAGCGGTGTAAGAGCCCGATGATTTCGAAATGCTCGCAAAATTTTACACTCATCTTGTGAGTACAAATCAATGCTGGCATTCAGGCTGGGACACTGAATGAATTCAGAATAAGGTGGCAAGAACAATGCCGCTCTTAGTCTTTTGAAACGAGTAAGGCAATGACGTTATTTGACATCTCAGAGATCGGCGCCGTAGTGCCGGAGAAAGATGATTATTGTTTCTTTGCTGTTACTTTGTTCAATTTGACCTGCTGATTTTTGTTGAATGAATTCATGAATTGTCTGAAATGACCTTGTCGAACACGTGATCCGACGCGTCCTTATACTATAAAACGCGTCGATTATTCTCCACCAATTCATCTCTTCAACGTTCAACCCCCACCCACTTTCCATCACATCGTCTCTACTACTGCTCGCAATGGCTCGCACCAAGCAAACCGCTCGCAAATCCACTGGAGGTTTGTTCCCCGTGTCTTCATTGTCCTGCAGGGTGTTCACCGTCGTTCAGGAAAGGCCCCTCGCAAACAACTCGGTGCCAAAGTCGCGGCACGAAAGACCTCTGTAAGTGCCACCTTCTCGTATCGATTTTTTGTACCTTAACAGTCGTCGCCCTTGTAGGCCCCTACTGGTGGTGTCAAGAAGCCCCATCGTTACCGCCCTGGCACTGTGGCTCTGCGTGAAATAAGGAAATATCAAAAATCCACAGACTTGCTTATCAGAAAACTGCCCTTTCAGCGGCTCGTTCGTGAAATCTCCCAGGATTACAAGGTATGTTTCAGTGTCTGTCATCTCATAAGTTTCCGCCACTCACAAATTGTTCGTTCAGACCGACCTTCGCTTCCAGTCCTCTGCTATCCTGGCGCTTCAGGAGGCTTCCGAGGCCTACCTTGTGTCCTTGTTTGAGGACACCAATCTCGCTGCCATCCACGCCAAGCGGGTCACCATTCAGCCCAAGGATCTGGCTCTTGCCCGCAGACTGAGGGGGGAGAGGACATAAGCTACACGCTCTGCATCGGACCTGCACGTCTGTAATTTTTACTATGCGCATTGTATCGGAATATCCAGGTGTACTCTATCTTGAATGTATTTGACGGCGACCCGTGATAAAAGCATGTTATTCTGAGAACTTGTTGCGATATTACAGGAGCGCCTTATAAACAAGTTGAGCCGCGATTTGGTACATGGACAATTACTGGCTCATTCCACCAATAGCGCCTTCAGGTACTGGGTTCAATCGACGAAACTCGTCGTTGATTTCCTGAAAGAGCATGATCAGAGACGACGGCTTTCGAAGTCAAGTCAAGACTAGCCTTCATAGTAACCCATTCGACACCTTCGTGTGTGTTGATCCATTCAATAAGCCTGGAAATTTAGTGAGAATAGACGAGGTAATTTCCGAGTCCTCAGTTTGCTCACTCTTCCAAGATTAATAAAATATGAGGGCGCCCAGAAACATCAGGATGAATTGTGAGAGGGCTTTGGTGAATTGGGCATTGTTACCGAGGTGTGGATAAATGGTTGTCAGACTTACAAGATGAACCAGTCGTACTCGCGATAGAAGTACTCGAAGTGCTGAAACCATCGTTAGCAGATGCTCTACACCACGACAATAGTCTACTTACCTTTTTCCATAGCTTCAATGTGACGTCTGCATCAACAAATCCGTGTGAGTTATGCGAGCTCTTAATGAACATGTGAGGGGGCAGGTCGTCGAGGTCTGAGATAGCGGAAAGAGTAAGGAAATTGTGAAAACAGCACGAAGTGAGTAAATCTTACACCAGTTAGCCGGGATCTGCACCAGAGTAGTGGGAGTCCCTCTTTGAAGAGGCTTCATCCATTCATGGGCAGATTCTGCAGAGTACTTGATGTTCGTCCAGGTGTCCTGGAACCCGATAAAGGTCAGGTGGGGAACCACCCGGGTAAAAAGTAATTTACCTCATCTCTGGTCCAAAACGGCGAGCAATCGTGAGCCTGTAAGAAAACGTGTAAGAAAGAGTATCGGCATATCGTGAGGTGCACCGACCTGGGAAGAGTGGTCATATTGAATTCCCTTTTCGAGGAGAAGCTTTACGCCTTCCCTGAGAAAACGGGTGATAACGTTAATATGAACGTGCTAGAAAACGGACAAACATACTTGGATGTCTCCCACCAAGGAGCGACCGAGCCCACTGGAGGTTTCCCGCAGAAATCAGTCAAAAGCTTGTCATGACACGGCGTTAATTTACGGCGCCACGAACAAATCGCCTCTGCGGACCTTGTGCGTATGATCCAAAACTTCTTTTTGCTGCTTTACAGTCATCGAGCTGGGATTTTCATGAGAGTAGCCGTGAAGACCGATTTCATGGCTAGCATCCCGGACGGCAGCCATCTCCCCGGGAAAGGTTTCAAGAGAATGGCCTGGGATGAACCAAGTCGTCTACTCGCCCGGTAACCAATAACCGAACTTATGACAGGGACGTAAACCAATCACCTTCATACCGTACTTATTGAACAGCTTCAGCAGCCGTGGTACGCCAACCTCTCCAGCAAAGATTCCCCGCGAAATGTCGTTCGGGGAATCTTCGCCGCCATCTAGGCAATAGAAGATTGAGCCTTCAGTGTCACTGTCAGGACATAATGGTTGGTACCCACATGATCCAAGCCCTAGAGACCGGACTTGTGTCAGCTCGAGGACAACGCATTTATTACTCACATCCTGAGACAGCATCGACATCGACACCAAAGGAACAGAGCGCCCTTTTGACCATGGTATCACTGAGAGAGGAACAGAGTGCTAGTATCCAGATGATAAGACGAGCGGGTTCTTATCATCGTAGAAGCAGGCAGGCAAAGGGCGGCCCATCCTTATTTAATTGGCATGATAGGGTTCCGGAAACCAAACTATCCGCAGTTCTGGTCGCATGAGGTGGAACTACGCCGTGCGAGTATCTAGTAGTACCCATTTACTTTGGTTATGGTAGCAAAGTAGCCGGCCCGGGTATCTCCCTGCGGCGGGCGGCCATCACTCGACCACTGGTTTCCACCAAGAACGTATTTTCGTGTCGTCATTTTCCGCGCCTGGCCCAAGGAAACAGCGATAATTCTACTTGCTCATGGCGGGTCACTTACAATGATCGCGCATCTATACCTGTGTTTATTTGACGTACTAAAGCGAAGTCAAATGGAAGACAGGAGAACTAACGGTGCAGCAGAACAGGAATTATTCGAATTTCCAGCGACTTTGGTAACTACTCTGGTTGCTATGCGCTGCTCTCAAATCTCCGGTACCTAGCATAAAAGTCGGGGGCCCTATGGACTGTGCCTCAAATATACTTCGCTTTCGTTCCCCTCCAGTTGCAGGGAGTGTCGGTGCACTACGCTCATTCGTTTAAAGACGCTCCCTCTGTCTCGTCATGATACAAGTTTCTGCATTGGCTTTTCTTTTCCTGCTGCCCGCGTTGACCACGGCTCAGCTATCTGGTAGTGTGGGCCCATTGACGTCCTACTCTGCCAAGGCTGCCGTCAAGACGTGCGACGTTACTGATTATGGCGCTGTTGCCGACCTGTCAACCGACCTTGGTACAGCACTGGCTTCGGCTTTTGCTGCGTGCGCGCTTTCTTTCGATGTAATTTCATGAGCTAATCCGCTATTGCAGCTGCAAAAGCGGTGGTTTGGTGGTCATCCCCGAGGGAGACTATGCAATGTCAACATGGGTTAGTGAGGTACATTTAACATGAACGGCACCATTTAACCGACACGCACAGGTGACTCTGAATGGTGGATCTGCTTGGGCACTCCAGCTTGACGGTACTATATATCGTACTGGGACGGCTGCAGGAAATATGATATTGTCCGCCGCTTCATTTTTATCTTTTCCACCTGGCTCTCATGTTCCAGCAGTATCGAACACACCAGCGACTTTGAGCTCTTTAGCAGCACATCGTCGGGTGCCGTGCAAGGATATGGATATAAATATCATGTTGACGGAAACCTAAGTGGGCCTCGTATTTTGCGATTGTATGATGTTAGCGACTTCAGCGTACACGACATTGCTTTGGTCGATGGTGAGCTTGTTACATCAATGTCTGGTCACTACTGATATGTGTCATCCTTGCACTAGCACCTGCCTTTCATTTCAGCCTTGATACATGTAGTAATGGCGAGGTTTACAATATGGCTATTAGAGGTGGGAACTCGGGTGGATTAGACGGTATCGATGTGTGGAGTACCAATATGTGGATTCACGATGCAAGTTCTCCTCAGGAGTAGCCACATAAGCATGCTAATCGTTCTTCCAGGTCATGGTCACTAACAAAGATGAGTGTGTCACTGTCAAATCGCCAGCGCAAAATATCTTGGTCGAGAATATCCATTGCAACTGGTCTGGTGGGTGTGCTATTGGAAGCCTGGGCAGTGGCACAGACATTTCGGATGTCATTTACCGCAACATATATACCATCAAGGCATGTTAATTTCCTCTGTGTTTGATCAGAACCTCATTTTTTTTCGCGTAGTCAAACCAGATGATGATGATTAAGAGCAACGGTGGCTCTGGATCCGTCTCAAATGTTGTGTTCGAGAACTTTATCGGACATTCCAATGCCTACTCCCTTGATGTAGACCAGTATTGGTCATCGATGAGCACTGTCGATGGGGATGGCGTGTCGCTATCCAATATGACGTTCTCCAACTGGTCTGGCACATGTGCATCTGGAACCCAAAGAGGACCCATCAAATTTGCTTGCGCCGATGGTGCGCCGTGCACTGATATGACTGTTTGTGTTATCCTACTCGTTTATTCTCTCTTGAACGTTCGTTGATAGGTGACTGATTTCAACATGTGGACTGACTCCGGTAGCTCGATCTACTATACATGTAGGTCGGCGTTTGGGGATGGCGCGTGCCTCAAGGATGGCTCAGCCTCATCCTACGCAATGGTTACCCAGACCATTACGAGTGCTCCGTCATCTTATAGCGCCGCGACGCTTCCTGATGATCTGACAACTGATTTTGGTACCACCGCAAGGTTTGCCTTCTTGTTATTGAAAAGTAAAGTGTACTAACGACATTTGCAGTATTCCCATTCCAACAATTCCGACGAGCTTCTATCCCGGAGCCACACCTGTCAGTGCGCTCTTGGGAAACAGCGGCAGTAGCAAGAAGAGCACCAGCGCAGCCCAACTTGCAGACATCGTATCGGCCACCCCATCTACCTCCTGGAACGACGTCTGCTGTATCCTCACTCATCACTTCTAGTGGTTCTAGCTCTGGCGTCACCACCTCGTCTGTGAGCTCGTCAAACTCTGAAGCTTCCGGGTCACCAACTGGTGAAAGCTTTGGTCAGCCTGGACAGCAACAAGGAGGACAACCTTGGGGTGGAGACAATCTTAAGCGCCGTTTCTCCAAGAAACGACGTGCAGGTCCGCACTCAGTATTACTTTGAGAAATTTGATTATATTATGTGCTACGCCTATTCAGCGTACGCAATCTATTTCGTTGTTACATAAGAGGTGACTTTCGTTCAAGTTCACAACCTCTATGGTCACTCTTTTCAGTCTTCTTTTGAGGCAGTGATCTGATTTAATGACGATCCTGCTACATAACTAACCACCTGAATATAGGCCGACTATTCTCAATTCCCGGACCAGGGGATCAGAAATAAATTTAGTAAAAATATAGCCCAGTGATTTACTGTAATATAGAAAAAAACACAATAATACTTTCCAATAAAATCGACACTCCTTTTTTGACAGGTTATTTTCGCACAGTCCGTCCTTGCGACTTGCGAAGACTACGCTTACGTTCACGTTCGAGGTATTTCTGCTGTTCGGAAGCACTTAGCTTGCTAACTCTCTCCTCCTCCTTTCGCCTCTTCTCTGCTCTCTTATCCTCATTGACTTCCTCCTTCTTCTCCTTCTCTTCTCTCTCTGCTTCCTCCTTCAAAATCTTCTCTAGTTCCTCGCGGGTTTTCCGTAGTTTGTTCTTCGTTTCAGGCCTCAGTGTGATTTTGGAGAGGGAATCGATGAAGGAGAAAAGTGTGGCAGGTGCCGCAGACGATGACACATAGAGAGAGAGGATGACGTGCTTTTTAGAAGGAGATGCAACAGTGTCAGGTCGGACACGGGGCTGATCAGTTACGCTAAGAGAGCGAAAGCCATCCATACTGGACAATTCTTTGAGGAGGGCAGGAAGGGACGTGGATTTTAGAAGGGCCTCCGTTACGTCTGCGAACTCGGACATGACCGATATGTTAGTGGGAAGTGCAGGATGATCTGTCGTCTTGGTAAAAGTCTATATGACGCGTCAGCACTACGATCCAGCAAAGAACTTGTAATGTGAGCTACCAGGTCCCATCGGTCATCTTTGACAACCCTCAGCTCGCGCTTATTGACGACTGCCCATACAAAATCATTGGGCACCGCTCCTTCTGCCAAAGTAAAGTCAAGCTCCACGACATCCTGTGGAGCGTACTGGACATCCACCAAGCCCCGGCCAAGCTGGAACAAGGCCTGGAATGGATCATGCCTAGGACGGAGAGTGAAGATTGCGTGAAGGGCAGCGACTGCGCGGCGTCCAGTTGAGAAAGTGAAAGCATCGGAATACCCGTCCCAGGTGAGTGGAGAGGTAGTGCTGAATTGGGATGTCAACAGCGGTGTCTGTTTCGCGATCCTGCCAGTGACAAATTAAATTCAGATTGGCGAGCTTGGGAACAAGATAAGCATACCATGAGTTGGCCTTGCTTTTGTTATAGGTGATCCCTATAATAGCGACTAGAATGAAGCCTCCCAATGCGAGCAGAAGATATGCTTCTGTTTCAAAGTCTGGAATGCTTCCGGTTAATTTTTCTTTTTGGGTCCAGTAAAAGCAACATACAGGCTGGCCGAAAGGTGATAAAGCGCCATCTATACTCGAGTCCGTCGTACTCTGAAGGTGCGATGAATGGCGGTGGTGTGATATGGGTAAGGGCCTGGGTGAGAGCGTTCATGGTCGTCTCACTGAAGAGAAGGCAGGTGTGAATTCGCGTGTGATGTGTCCGGAAATTGCCGACGTGTCTTGATGCGAGCACTATTCAGGTCCGACAACTTCAAGTCCGACAAGCTCAGCGATTATACTTACTTATGACGCTGAATACAGCCGTTTGTGATGTAAGTAACTCTGCGCACATGGAGGCAGACCTCGGAGTTCGTGTCGACATCAATATTTGGCATCGATATACTGATACTCTCTTGCAGGCCGTGCCGCAGAACGATGCTCTGAAGACAGACTACAGCACCTTCGTCCTCCAGATGCTTCGCTCCCAGCCCAACACCGTAGATCAAGCTCTGTTGCGCCATTGCATCGGACTATCATCTTCCTACCTCGTCACAGACACAACCACTGCTCCCTCGCAGACCGCAGGAGTCCAGACATGGTACTTGGGATTCAACAGACTGGTTGACGTTGTCGTTGCACTCCATTCACTGGGGTCGCTCGAGCTCGAAACCGTCAATGCTGCGAGCAAAGCTTGTTCAGAGTGCTGGACAGTTGCAGGATCCTGGAGGGGACTTGAGATTGGCAAGGAGCACGTACGTGAAGTTGCTGGAAAGCTCAGGCGATTGCTAGATGAGAATGGAAGAACATATCGTGGAGAGAGAGTATATGCACCCTAATAACAACTTGCTCGCTTTATCTTATGTGGCTGTGCTATACGCTTGTTGGCAGTGATTCTGCTTTGGGATAGTTCCGCCCGATAATGCGGCTGTGCTGCACGTGGGATAGTCGCGGTCATTGTGGTGATGTAATGTTCCCAATCTTGGACTCCGAGTGTCTCGTCTTCGTCGTCGTCATCCGTCCATGGCGTCGCCGTTGCCATCGACCCACAGCGATACCCTGCGACCACGACGTCCGACGCGTAGTATTCCACCCGTTCCGCTCGACATTCCCACCGACACCGACAGCCCTTCGGAAGTCCTCGTCGATTCGCCCACTCCCACTTGTGCCAACGATGTCACTGACCTTTCTCCAATCCGTGCTCACTATCTCAAGAAATCCCTCATACAGCTGCAGTTCCAGGAGGAACTTGCTTTACTGACGTCGTCTCCATCGTCGAATCCGTTCTCGCATATCGGCCCGCCGTTTTCGCCGCCTCCCGAAGGTGCTACCCCACTGGACTTGCCTTTCTTAAGATTCATGTTCCGACAATTCGTACTGACTTTTCCCTTCATGGCCGCTGCACCAAAGGACTTCTACTCAGACAAGCTACAGCCCTTCCTTACGGCTGTGCTATCGCGGAATCTCTCGCCGACTTCACCTTTCGACGAGGAGAATGGCGAAGAAGCTACACGGATGAAACTTCTAGCCAAATTGGAGAGAAATCTAAGTATGTTTCTCGGTGCTGCAACGAAGCTGGCGGAGTCCGAGGAGGTGGTGAGATTGGGTCAAGCCGACCTCGACAGACTTGAGGAGTTGGCTCGTAAGAGACAAGCAAAAAATATGCGCAAGAGAGACATATTTGAAGTCAACATTGTCAGTGTACGTACAGTGGTCGACAAGGGGCGGATGCGAAGTCGTATACACGAGGTGCGCCGCATGATTCTCCGCTTTGATCATATCTAAGACGCTTAAAGGAATTCATCATCCGAACGCGACGTTCTCATCATCCAGATCACTTTGTCTCGCGGAGATACGGAGACTTTCGTACACTAGCTAATGAGGTATAGTAACTGTTTCTTCTGGTGATGGTGAGTAATTGTTGTTTGAATAGCTACGGAAGGCGCATCCGAACGAAGATATTCCCCCGCCTCCCGCCAAAGACCGCTCCACTGTTAATGTACCACAGTCGACGTCACCTGGACTCACCCTCTTTCTCAGCAACTTCTATTCCCGCCACACCATCTCGACTTTCCCGCTGAAAAAAACAGACTGACTCTGCGTGCGTACCTGCACTCCCTACTCTCTTCGTCAACCGTCATAGCCTCTTCTCCCGTTCTCCAGTCGTTTCTTCTCTCCAACCCTACGACACTTTCTCCCTCCGAGTTCGATGACGCCCGACAGCGTGAAGAGGCAGACCGTGTCAGAGAGGATGGGCGAAAGCGATTCGCTAAGGAGATTGCGAACCGCGTAGATGGGCTCAGAGAGGCCGTTAAGAGCGTTAAGGGAGACGTCATGGGCGAACACGGTTTGACGAACGTGTTTGCCACCGTTAAGGTGACTCCCGATATCCGATCTTTACCGGCCAACTACCAGGCCGTGCTGGAATGGGCACGAATATCGCTGGCTTCAACTGTATTTCACCAATTTGTCGCCTCAGACAACTCTTCCGAGACATTTGCAAGCCTGAAGCGATTGCACGGTCTCATGCCATATTTTATGCTCAAGGCCGCACTCAAAATCTCGAATCCTATCGGAATGATACGAAGTGTCCTTGATCTCTTTCTAGCACAACCGTTTGGGGGTAGGTCACTGCTACAGAGGTAAGCCTGTTGCTGTCGATCTTTGGGGTGTATTCTTACGAGCATCACAGAATGTTCTCCGGATCCCTCACAGAAGAGGCCAGAGCATTGGAAGAAGAGATTGAAGCTGTTAAAGTCAAGGTTGACGATCCAGTAATGTGCGAGAAGGTTCGCCTCTTTATTTATGGACCGAGGGAAATCCAAGACATGTACAAAGCGGATGCTGTCAAAGAGAAAATGCCGCTGCTAACTGTTGTACTTCGCTCTGGGGATGAGCCAGTACTAATGCGCGCTCAATTGCATCGTGTTGCCAAGGCACATCGGGCACACGGGATCTACATGCGATATCGCGAAAGCTTGGACGACTCTGATGATGACGATGGGCCGATGGATGAAGATGCGTGGCTATATGAAGATCTGAAGGTACTCGCGTCCTTGTACGCAAGACTAAGAGATCGAGAGCAGTTAATTGCGTTGATATTTGAGGTGTGCGCATCCATTCTGCCCTTCTGTGATGCTGAACAATTCTCTAGGGCTTTACATCAGATCTACTGAAGGATATCATTACGATCTTCTACACACCACTGGCGACCGTTTATCGTGCAGCGTCAATAGCGGATTCTTTGGGCGATTTACAGAGTTTTGTGAATGATTTGATTAAGACTGTGGAGGGTGTAGAGGAGTGTGCGTGTTTCTGATCTCTGTCTCTCTCGTTTCTCCTCTGACTTGTTTCCAGTAAGCCAAGAGGACCCAAATCGCACAGTTCAAGCGTTCATTGACCTCATCCAGCGGCATGAGCAATCATTCTATCAGTTTGTGCATAAAGTGCATTCTAAGGGAGAAGGTCTTTTCGACAGCTTAATGCGGTGGATAGAACTGTTCATCACCATCATTCGCGAAGGAATCTCGACAAGTAACAATCCTATCAGTCTGGAATTCTTGCTTCCGCAGTCTGCTGCGGAGAGAAAGCTGATTATGGATGAAGTGGACAAAGTTGCGGTATATCACTACAAGACGAAATTGTTGTATGAAGAGAAGGTTCGACGAAGATTCGCCGGTGGTCAAGCTGCGCAGGGAGAAGGCGAAAGGGAAGAGGAGGAAACGAGGAGAATGGTTGATGGGGTCGTGGGCGAGATAAGCTTCGGGGAACTGGTTAGCGGTGATGTAGAGGAACTGAGAGCTGAGGAAAGTGACGATGAAGAGAGTGACTCTGACTCTGACGAGACCGAATCCGACAGCACAGAGGATACCGAGACTGATTCCGACTCAGAGTCAGAGAGTACAGAAGAGAGCCTACCTAGTCGACCTTCCAGGATGCATACGATCCCTAGTCCTCAACCCAGGAAAAGTCAGACCGTAGATGATGGGGGAACGGTTACGCCGAGACAACGGAGTTTGTCTTTGCGTCGTTCGTTTAGCGACATCAAAGCCGTGGTGGCAGGGAGAAAACGAGAGAGGGATAGTGTGCCACCTATGCCGCCGATTCCAAAGAGCGTCGCGGCTGCTATGAAAAAGCCCCTACCTCCGAGTCCGGTAGGATCACCTGGGCCTAGTCCGACGCCTTTGAAAGCGTCGTTTGATTCATCCAGGTCAATCAATTCGTCCAGGTCTTCTCTTAATTCGTTCAAGCAACTGCCGCGGGCACCAGGAAAATCTTCCATGGACTCTTCCAGGTCCATTGATTCTGTGGGGCCGCTTTCTCCGACGTTATCAGCGTCGCGGACACTCGCTTCTGGGTGTTCAAGGTCGTCTATTGATTCGAGCACTTCTCGCACACCCAAGAAGCCCAAGACGAAGCGGAAAAAGAAACGTGTTGAGACAATCAAGCCACCAGATTTGGTACATATTCCTAATCTGCTGCCCTTGTTCAAAGAGATGGTAAGTCTGCCTATTTTATGTACATGACCAGTGCTAAACGGAAGCAGATGCGGCCACACCTTCGTACAAGGGCTAAGACTCCGAGGATTAATGGTTCATGAGATGCTAGTAGAATGATATTATATAGTGCTTGTAGCGACTGGGAAGTTCTACATTGTTTGTGTATCTTATAGCAGTAGGTCAACTAATGGAAACGGATACCCAAAACGTCATGCCTGATCAAACGCGTAATTTCTCCTCCGGACTACGATGAGCACCAGCTACCTTCCACATGTTCTGTACTCCATGGCTATCATGTCACTCTCAGTGCATCTCGTATATCAGAAACACTCAATGCGTCAGGAGAAAGCACGCGTTACTGGGCAAATTTCGATACTGGAAGACGTAGCCGCACAGCTACGCTCGGGGAAGCATTTGTCGGGGGAGGAACTGCACCGGCTGAAGAAACTTGCAATGCCGTCGTTAGAGAAGGAGGAGAAGGAGGAGATTACTTGGAAGGAGGCACTGTTGGGCAAGAAGGATATCAAGATACCGTCAAGGACAGGTGCGTGCTGGTTTATTGGCTGGGATGAGACAGGAACGAACTTATGTCTGTGCCAGATGACGATTCTGAAAAGCCATAAGCTAACAAAAAAAAGATGCAAGCGCTGGGCGATAATATAGGTCAATATCTCATTTGGCGCAATTCCCGACTGCAGCTCTGACCACAGCAGCAACAAAACAAAGGGTTACAATTTAGCAGAGCGAATATGTTCCAGGTAACTCTCAAGGACATTTGGGCACTGCTGAGGGATTCCAAAGAGGAAACGAATTGTTCAGTAGTAGATTATCCATGTATGCGGGAAATGCCGAGTCTCTTCGAAAAATCTTCCTTTGCAACGGCCATGGCCTCTACTGCATTTGCAGGTTCATGGAGCTCGCTGCCCACCTCTTTGACTCCCTGGATGTGCGTCCTAGCTATCCTACCCTGCTTAGCTGTAACCAATTGCTGAGAACAGATTCGATGTAATTCAATCCATGGGACATACCCAAATGACGCCTGTTCAAGCTTCCACAATACCTCTATTCATGAAGAATAAGGATGTCGTTGTTGAAGCCGTCACAGGCTCGGGAAAGACCCTTGCCTTTGTAATACCCATTCTCGAGCGCCTTCTTCGACGAGAACGTCGGCTACGCCAGAATGAAATCGGTGCCCTCGTTATAAGTCCTACTAGGTGCGTTTTTGTGCTTTGACCCATGCTCCGACTCTGATTTCGATAGAGAACTTGCAACACAGATACATTCCGTGTTCTCCACCTTCCTCTCTGCACAACCATTAGAAGAGACACATCAAGGGTTGCCGCTGCCTCTCTTGCTGATATCTTCGACAGAGTCATCGCCTGCACAGGATGTTCAGCGTTTCTTAGAATGCGGATCAGACATAGTCATTGGGACGCCCTGGTCGGATAGAAGAGTTTTTACTGGGTAAAGGAAAATCGCATGTCAACGTGAAGGAGCTGGAAGTATTGGTTCTGGATGAAGCTGACCGGTACGAGGCGCTTGTGTTCTTCAGATGACTTTCAGTCTTATGCACCACAGACTCCTGGACCTTGGCTTCCAAGCAACTCTTACCAAGATACTCACGCATCTCCCCAAACAACGTCGAACAGGCCTGTTTAGCGCAACTATGACCGATGCTGATGCAATGTCGGAGCTGGTGAGAGTAGGACTACGAAATCCTGCAAGACTCGTCGTCAAAATACAGTCCAAGAAGGGCCAGAAGGTCGTTGAAGAACGGCGGACGCCAGCAAAGTGAGGTCAATGTACTTTTATTTTCAACACGAAACTGAACCCTGTAGCCTCTCCAACTTATATCTGACGTGCCATACGTCGGAAAAAGTCTTACAGCTAACGCGTATTATACGGCACGAGCTGTGAATCATCACAGTTCATCGTGTACTTTGCCACCGGCGCATGTGTCGACTACTTCTATCACATACTACCTTCTCTGCTCCCTTCGCAATATACTCTCCATTCACTGCACGGTCACCTCACTCCCGCTGCTCGTACACGAACACTCACTGCATTCTCTTCTTCCATTTCCACACCCGCCTCACCTTCTATCCTGCTTGCAACAGATGTCGCTGCCAGGGGCCTTGATCTTCCCCACGTCGATGTAGTAATCCAGTTTGATCCTCCAACGGATCCAAAGGCGTTCTCTCATAGATGTGGAAGGACCGCCAGGGCAGGTCGAAGTGGAACGGCGTGGGTTATTTTAGTTGGAAGGGAAGTGGGATACGTAGATCTCATGGCTGTCCGGAAGATTCCTTTGAAGCGGCATGGTTTTCTCCTAGCCAATGGCCAAGAGAGCGATGAAGAGGAAGAAACGCGTCCTGAAGACCCTGAAGTCGGCGAATTCCTGCAGAAAATTCGGACCAAGGTGCTTGCGGATCGCGCCCTGAACGATCAAGTATGTCGGTTCTCCCCGCTAATCTAGCGCTGTCCTCATTATAACTTTGCATTCCCAAGGCCATGAAAGCGTTCGTATCTTTCGTGCGCGCTTACTCCAAGCACGAAGCGTCGTACATCTTTCGGATAAAGGACTTTGACCTCATCAGCGCAGCCAAGAGCTACGGTCTGTTGCGCTTACCTAGAATGCCAGAGCTCAAACAGGGGAGATCGGGAAGGGTGGGAGGACGCTGATGTTGATGTGAGTTTTGTTATAATATTTCCCTGATGACTTTCTCAAGTATTTTGGTAGTGGGACACATACGCCTATCTTGATGCCGCACAAGAAGCCAAGCGGCTCGCCGCAGCGGCAAAGCCTAAAGTGTCCGAAGAGGAGCACAAGAAGATAAAAGAGCAAAAAGAGCAAAAGAAAAAGGCCCAGGCTGCGTGGAGCAACAAGGCTGTAAAGCACGAAGAGAAAGAGCGGAGGAGAGAAAAAAGGACCAAGAAGAAACAGTGGGAGAAGGCACAGGAGAACGAGAAAAAGAGACAGCGTCAGGCCGAAGACGAGAAAGAGGATGATGAGGATTGGGCCGAACTCGCCAAAGAAGAGAGGATGGCTAAGAAGGTGAAGCGTGGCGATGTCGCGCAGAAAGATTTCGACATGGAATTAAGGGGATCCCACATAGAAAACAACGGTTTAAACATCAATCCTAGTTCAAAGTAATACAAGTATGAAACGCATTCTATCGATACTGTACAGTTAAATTGCTACGTATACGTCAGCTTGGCCTGAATGCCACATTAGAGTTTACAAACACGCAAGGCTGGAGACGGGCCACACACTGCGGAAGAAGGTTACAACACATGACGTGCTATTGGTATAAGAGCCAACTCACTATCCTTCCGTGTTACGTTTGAAACCGTATTTCGTCACGAACGCCGTCAGTTCTTTCGGTCCGCGAGATCCATATGGATAGTTCACGGGTTTAGGCCTGGGCCCATCTTTGCCGTCAATCCAATGGAGGATCGGAGTGAAAATCTACGGAGTCCCATCCCATGCTTAATAACGCACCGTCGTTGAGCCGTGTCTGATCAAAACTCACCTTCCATGCAACGTCCAACTCATCGTGCCTCACAAAGTTACTGTGGTCACCTTTCAGTGCATCCAGTATTAACGCTTCGTATGCCTCTGGAATCTTCGTATCGGTGAATCGTCTCTTGTACGTGAGATCCATTTCGGTCGGCATCGCACGGGTGTAAAGGCCAGGAGTCTTTGCGTTCAACTTCAGATAAATCGCCTCGGATGGTTGGATCCGTATAACTAGCTCGTTGCGGGCAATGTCCTTGAAGATACCCTGGGTGACATCCTTGAACTGAATCCGGACTTCGACTTTGGCTTCGTTCAAGGCTGCGAAGAGGTGAGCATATAATAATATGACAAGAATAGCTAAATACCTTTGCCGGCCTTAAGGATGAATGGCACACCTTCCCACCGGGGGTTGTGGACCCACAGAGTAGTGGCGGCAAAAGTTGGGCAAACCGAGTTATTAGGGACGGTGTCGTCATCAAGGTACCCCGGCTTGCCATTAGCCGCAACGTACTGACCCAATAGTGTGTCGTCACGTTCGATAGGTGGTATAGCACGAAGGACCTTAACCTGGCCAAGGGTCAGTTGGCAGGCTCGGCCCCCACAAATCGGCTGCCCCATACCTTTTCGTCTCTAATGTCTTCGGCAGCAAAGGACACTGGTCTCTCCATTGCAATAATACTGAGGACCTGCAGCAAATCTATGCACCATAAGAAGGCATCTGTTCCCAACTGAAATCTTACTCACGATTCTGCAAGACGTCCCGGATCATTCCAAACTCATCAAAGTATCCACCCCTGCCTTCGGTCCCAAATGGCTCTTTGAATGTTATCTGGACGTTGCTGATGGAATTCTTGTCCCATGCAGCATTCATGGCAACGTTGGCGAACCGTAACACGAGGATGTTCTTGACCATTTCCTTGCCCAAATAATGGTCAATCCGGAAGGTCTCGTCCTCTGTCCAGTATTGCTTGAGCGAACCTAGAAGTTCTCGAGCAGATTCGAGATCTTTCCCGAATGGCTTCTCCACGACGATCCTGTTAACACCACCTTTGGTGACATAGCAGTGTTCTTTGAGATTCTTGGCGACGGGGATGAACACACTCGGCGGGAGAGCAAGGTAGAAGATTCTGTTGCACTCCTTGGACTGGTAGCCGGCTTCGATTTCCTCGAGGCGCTTATTCAGCTCGTCAAAAGCGCCACCGTCCTCGTAACTGCCAGCGAGGTAAGTTGAGATGTCTTTGAACTCTTGGATTTTGGCAGCAATCTCGGGGCTGTCGTCAGAGTTTTTGATGTAAGACGTAGCGCGTTTATGGAACTCGGGCAAGTCCATTTTAGATCTGGCATAGCCAATGATTTTTACATCGCGAGGGAGATAGTTTTGAGAGAATAGCCCGAACAAGGCTGGGAAAGTCTGAGAAGATTATAGTAAGCAGTATTCAAGAGCAAGTGAGAGATAAAGCACCTTCTTCTTTGCAAGGATCACCAGAAGCGCCAAGCACTGGAATGCAAAAAGTCAGAACTTGCCGCTCGTCAGTCAAGATGAGGACGAGATTACTGACCGACGATGATGGTGTTATCCTTGAGCTCCTCGTGAGAGGTCTCCATGGAAGGAATGGTGCCGGACATCGAGCGCTGGCGTGTCATCTTGGTCGTGGTGGTTGGAGACAGAGAATCAGATGTGGATGATCAAGGTGAGCGGGCAAAATGAGAGACGCGGAGTAACCTGGCGTAATCACTAACATCATCACTCAGCAGCCTCGCACGTACCCCTTACCGGCCCGGTCACCCACTGTGACAGTCACACATGGATTTCAACTCTGCCACTCTCTTCGACGACCTCTCGCGCCTCGTCGAGAAGGATGGCGCCGGCAATGATCCAGCTACTACTCACATTCTCGCGTCGGCACTCATGGCCAAGCTCAAGGCCCTGAATCGTGCTGCTAACCTCGCTACACGCCACACAAAAGACGCGACAGCTGCAGCTCGTCATGACATGGACCAGTCTCACCTGGGTCTGCAGAATCTTCTTTATGAAAAACGGCACCTAGAACGGGAGATTGAAAAGTGTCGACAGTTTGCGTAAGTCCTTGGTCGTTGCATTACTTCGCCTCTAATGGGGTTGTAGGTCGATATATCAGGACGTCTCACTGTATTCCCTTGAAGAATTCAAGGAGCGTGCCCCTGAGGAAGCGAGGACAGAGGAAGTACTGGCTGACGAGCATCAGCTCATGTTAAACCGGCTGAGTTTCGAGCTGGTTGAGCGGCAGAGGTCAGTCCTTGACTACCAACTCTTGCTCTTGATACTTACTCTTGTCTTAATAGACTTGATCAACGGAAAAAAGAGCTCATACTCGCAAAGGAAGAGCTGCTGAAGGAAAGCAAGCAGAAACAAATTACCATGGACAATATCAAAACTCAAATTGATAATCTCGTCAAGGTCAGGACTCGCTGTATCTGTCTCGGCTTCTACTCATGTTCCTTGTCATCCAGGTAGCAACAGAGACGCAGAAGAAGGTTGAAGAGCTTGCTCAATCAATACCTAATCCCTCTAATACACTTACGCCCAGTTGATATATCCATCCTTCTATTATTGTCCGAATTTTTACATGTAAACGATAAGAAACCAGTGAGATGAGGATATGTATGTCAAGGGGCCTTGACCGCTAGGTATGTACAGTTAAAAGAGGAAAGCTGCGCAGCGACATCATACAGATGATTAGATATGATCATCAATGGATAAATAAGTGGAAGGGAGCAGGGAGGGGGAGATAGAACGGCAGCAAGAGCGGTTACTCTGCGTCACTGATGCTCCCAATGTCGCTCATCTCCTCGTCTTCGTCCTCGTCTTCCTTGCCGTCTGTGGCAGCATCTGCAGCTTCCTTAGTGGCAAATCGTTGAACATATTCTATCATCCCATTAGTTGATCGTGTGTACAGATGAAGCGATGGCATTACTCACCTTTGACCTTTGCCTCATATTCCTTCGGATGGCGCATTAACAGCGCAGCCGCTTCGCCATTCAGGGGGTCATTTGGGTTTGGGTATCTGAGCAGCTGGGGGAGAAACACTTCAAATATGTTTATCATGTCTAGACGAATGTAAGAACGGCCACAATGGACGGTGGCGCCACGTACCGAACATTGGCGACCATGTTTGATTGATTACATCGAGACAGACCGAGCCGCTCCTGGTCTTGTGAGTACAGCTCGGATCAGAGAAGATAGCAAGGCGTACAGCTCATCGATGTTGGGATGGAATATCTTGTTCATGAATCCGATACTGGGTGATTTGAAGGGATACTGGTCCGGCAGTTCGACATGGATCTTCCAGACACCGCCAGCAAAGGGTGCTGTCCTATCCATTAGCCCACTTCGGCAGTCAAGGAGCCTGACTCACTTTCGCTTGGCCCATAGAATCTGACATAGAATTCCTGCATACTATCATTGACGAGCGAAACCTCGTAGTCGGACATGAGCCTGGAAAGTTATCGAGGTGAGCCCACACCGGTGATATGTTGAGCATACATCTTCATGACATCGGTTTCGATGCGGCGCTTGCTAGGAGAGGCGTAATTACCAGCAAGCGTTTTCAGCAAGATATGCAAGAAAGAAATGAAAGGTACTTATCATGTTCAGCGAGTACTACGAGATGTGGAGGAGATGGTTGTTAATGGCGAGTCACCGGGCCGAGCCGAGCCGCTTCTCTTCCTTCTGACCATCAAGCGACCAGTGGGTACTAGACCATTTACTGCGCCTCTGGCGTCTTTTCTTTCAGCCGTAGTCAGTGGTGGCGACATGGTTCGTATGTTCTTACTTGTTCCCCATGGTTTCGTTACCGAGTAGATCCCAGCGACCAGCTGGGGGTTCGTGGGGTTTCACTCCTGTCGAATGATGACAACAGGGTGGGTTAACTAAATGTTCATATCACAACATTCATCATGAAGACGGACTCCACCATTCAAAGCCAGGAAGCTTCAAGCTTCGAATTTCATTAACGTTGATAGGAGTCTATTTGCAAGTTGCAGGATACAATGTTTCAATCGGCAACCTCTTTGCGATGCACGCTATCTGTCCGTCTCAAGATTTGTATGTAAGAAATATCCACTTCTACGAGCAGGATGTCACTTCGTTCCCATGCCTTTGCCAGCAATTTGGCAAAGAAGTTCCGGCATACCTTTCGGTAGTTTTGGAACTGGGGACATTTCGCTCGGTATTCAATAGCTCCAATCTGTCGGATTGAACACTCGAATATCCACTTCGCACGTTCCTGCTGAAACACCAGCGCTTCGTCAATGAGGCCGCGGATTGGATATTTGCTGTGCCCCCTCTGTCCATTGAGGATTCTAAAAATGGCTCATCGGACTATCTTTACATGGCCATTTCGGACGGCGCGGAGACAGCCCATTAAGTGTTCTTCTTGTTCCACCGCTTCACGCGTTCTTCAGGTGTGTATAATCGAGCATTGCCAAGTGGTTCGCTGATTTCCTGATAAGCACTCCTTCCTAAGCATTCTGATTCGATAAACATCTTCTCCATTATCTGTCAACAACAACGACAGTAAGGACCCCTTTCCTGTGGCGCGCCCCGTCTACAACAGTACGACGCGAAAAGGAATAGGACAGGTACCATGCCTTGATAATCCTAAAAGAATGACCATTCCTCTACAACGCAATAAATGTCATCGGCTGAGCATGGGTAGGGCAGAGCACCACCGGATGAATCCAGCTTCCCGATGGCTCGACGTCGATCCCATTGTTCCCGCTCGTCCTGGACTCACGCTACCATGTGTGAATGCCCTCCAAGCCAAGAGCGCAGCTAAAAAGTGTTGTGGCAATCCGAATCATTCCACAAAACGGAGAAAAACACTTACCGACCCAGAACAGCCCAAACCCAGCAATCAGAACCATCTCTTCTTGTGTCTGCGTCAAAAGTTGACCTTCGCGTCGATGATGGAGCATCACCCTATGCATGATCCCGTAAGTCCAGGTGTCGGACAGCGGTGAACATCTACCCACAGTAACATCAAAGACACTATAGCCATCATGGCAACCGACGTCTGCGTCAAATGGAAGGCATCTATGTCATGTCGGGATGAACGGTCGTTGAGACAGGTCGCCTTGAAACGCACGAAGAGAAGACAGCAGTTTGGTTATCGCCCAGCCCACTGCAAGCGTTGCAACCACTGATACAGATAAGTCAGTGATAGATGATGTCCCTCTAGTACTGGGATAACTCACATGCACTGGTAGACCTAACAGGGTTCTCACGAAACAAGGATGGCATTGGAATGAAGAATAAAGATCGCAGAAGGTACCCTCGACTGATGGTTCAAGTTCAGTGCGCTTGTATTTCACGCTTACAATCACGAGGGAAAGGCATGATCAACATGAGGACGGACATGTGTTCCATTTTAAACGTAAGTAGAACGGCTTTTACAATGTTCTAAAATGATATGACGTGAGATAACCGAAACGGCAACCTCGTGTTCGTAAAGAAATTTTGTCCAAAATCATTGAGTATGGATGGCAGAGCCGAAGGGGACTTGAGTGATTGTGGGAGGTTGGCCATTAACACCAGGCTGGATGACAATCGAGTTTCCGGTCTGTTGGGTGATGCCAGTACCTGCCTGCATGGGGACGCCGTAGGGGACATAACCCCCGACAGGGTAATGAGGCATGCCCGGAGAGGTGTTGTAATAGCCAGGCCATTCTCCGAACCTATTTCAATTGGTTAAATACGAGCGACCCAGAAGAACGAGCGCAAAACCGACCATCCGAGTTCTAGAAGAACGAGGTCAGACGTTGACGCAACTCATATTAGATGCGGGTATAAACGCACCTTTTATGGGTTCCCTCCAGATATCGTATCGACCCAATTTTTGTGCTTGAGTCACCAGAGCAAGAAGAATGATGAACGAGATTGCAAGGAGCACAAAGTTCATCCAAGAGAAAGCTTCGATGACTTTCATTTCGTAACAGTATGATTGGGCGCTCACTGAGAGAATATGGGCAGGTGCACTTCAGTCGATGAACAATACTTACTGTCTCCCTTGGTCGTTGCAACTCTCTGCCCGGAGAGAGAATCGCACTGATAAGTGCCGATTATGTCGCTGACGGTGATACGATCAGAAGGGGAAACACGGCACAGTAGTTAATATCTTACTTCGACCAGGAGCCCATGGCTATAAACGTCATCACACACGTTCTCGCAATATGTATAGGGAAGGCTCACCAAGCCACAGAGCCGCCAAGATGAACAGCACCACCGCTTCAGTTCTTGCTTGGGCCCATTGCAGCCTAGGAAAGTTGAGAAACCCACCAATCGGTATATGAGAACACTCACGTTATCATAAACGCAAATATGGTCAGAGATGGAATGATCAAGCCAAAAATCGTAAAGTCCCCTTGCGTGGGTGCCATCAGCGCCACAGCAGAAGAAGCACAAGTCGACGACTTACTGTGCAAATTTGGGAGAAATACGCTGGCAAGGTGCGCGGCAAGCCCAAGCACCGTGCCTGGGTCATAGTGAGTCCCGGAATCCTTCCAAGGCGACAAATGACAGACCTGAAATGAGAAATACGGAGACTGGGGGCCGATCAGTTTAAGATCGAAGAGCATATCAGAAAATTCGGCACGCACCATAAAGCGCCAACCGCCAATTTATGAACCGGACAGTCATGTTAGTCGTGAGTTGTCAGTAAAAGGTATCGCAAGCAGATGGTGGGAAAGAAGGATGAGAAAACAGCCTCGTGAATGTTCGCGTCCGACATTTTTGTGATCACGCACGTGATGGGTAGATTTCCAATTCCAACTCCAACAATAAAAACGTGCCGTGGTTCAATCGTAAGTATATATTATTTATTCGTAACAAGTACATGACCCTAAATCTACACTACCGGTTTGCAACTCGTGGACCTGCCGCTATCCGATTCGGATTTCGCATCACCCCGCTCTCAATGTCATTTGTCGACGTACTTCCTGAAGCCTGTCGCCCATGAGACCTTGACGACGGATACCGTTCTGCGTAAGGTCCCCCTCTTCTTGACTGTGAATGTCCTCTTGACCGTGATGACCGATGACGCTGTTTGGACGGTACCGGCGGTGCGGTCAGTGGCGCGACAGTCACCTCGCGGGTCTGGGCCTGCTGCGTCGGAAGGATGCTCCTCTGACTCTGGCTCCGGGTTTGTTGCTTCTTCCCGTAGTCATTGAACCAAGCGCAAGACGTTACGGGACCATGCCACATGTGTTCGTCGCCTTTACGGTGTCTTCGCACGGCTAAGAACAAAAGTCCTATGCAAGAAACGAGGACTAAGATCCCCAGGGTGAGAATTTCCTATGGGCCGAGAGTCGGATGGAACGTACAAAGGACGGCATTAATCAATGCAAATGCGTTTAATACCCGATACATCGCTTGATATTGGTCGGTGTGGACTACAATACCCCATCAATTCAGGGAACAAGGGTCAGAAAATTTTGTTACTCACAGCTTGCGAGCGAGTCGTCTAGGACAGCAGTGGATGTTTCGGAAGCAAAACACTGGACATCTGCAGCCTGCGAATCTGACGTTGCCAAATATACACCAAGCACTATCGTTATACATTTAGTTCACGACTGGAGTAAAAAGTGGGTCAAATTGAATCGCACCTAGCCACAACACACCCGCGAGACCCAAACATCCGAGCTCAATCCTGGTTGATATGGGATTCCGCTCCCGCAGGAAGAAACTGAATCCAAGCCTAACGTTGAGGGAAAATGGTTGAGAAATGAACGCAGCAATTAAAGATCTGCGAGGCGTACAGTGCGATGATGATGAGCAGGCTAGCAGAGCAGACAAATATAGCGAAGGGTACAAAACGAGCTGAAATGAAGCTCAGCACACCGTGAAGAGCAGAAGATTTATTAGATGCTCACTGAGATCGGAGGATGCTAGGACAGCCTCGAAATGGGCAGCCATCGCCAAACAAATGATGGTGCAAACGAATGCGGCGACTGTGCAACATGTGAATAGGTTTCCCGGTGAAATGAGAGCAAGCACCTACGGTAAATGCATGTCCGGACGGTGTTGAAGAGGGTTGGCATGTTGGATCTGCGGGAGGAAGACAAGACAAGATGAGATGAAGTAAAATGGTGTAACACTGTATTATATATCTGCTCACCTCATGATTCACTGTTGGCTGTTGGCTAGTCTTGAGTTGAACACGAGGCTAACGTGAACTAGAGAGCCAGTAGGAAAGGACCGTTGGCACCTGGAAGGATTTTCGTTGTGGAAAGAACGTCAGATTAGAGTTGCAAGGAGGAGATTAAGAAGTAAAGGGACCTGTGCTCACCGACTACAGTAGCTGCTGGTGTTGGTTCACTGGCAACCCCGATTTCGTAGTAACTCCGTAAACCGGATGCACAGTCGGCAAGAAATCAAATTTTTATCTTATCGGGATCAGCCTCGAGGCGAGGCGAAATTTTGCACAGCCACGATGTACTAGTACTATGATCGGGTGTACCTGCTTTTGCTCCCGACTTTGTATTTGATACAGTTTGATAACTACAGCCATACAACAACACCGTATTCTACTCTACAATTTAATCCGAATTGCAAAATATCAGGCGATTTCACTGCGCAAGGCCACACCTACATCTGCGAAGAACTCGAGGCATTCGGGATTGGACAACGTTGCTGGGTTCACACTTGATAAAGGGGCACCGTTTATTATCTGGATGATCGCTCAGCCACGCAAACACGGGAATCAACGTGATGCTTTACCTTCTTAATCAACACCTCTACACGTTTCCCATTCAACGTGTACGGAACTTGTGGTACTTGTATGATCTAAAACCGCATGTAATGAGCATTGTTCCGGCACATTGAATCCTTTCAAGTTACCTTTGCTGGAACATGCCTAGGACTCCGTCTCTTGCGTATCTCAGCCTTGATCTTTTGCTCCAAACTAGTTTCAGACAAGACGTGACCGTCAGGCAGCTTGACGAAGAGGACAACTCGTTCATCTGTACCCCCTTCAATTAATTGGCCAACAGCAAGACAGTCGACAACCCCAGGTTCCGGGGCATCATCGTTGAGAGGAAAACAGAGATCGATCACGTCATAGATTTCTGCAGAACCGAAGCGAATACCTCCTGGATTACTGTCGCGCGCAGCATGGGATCAGCTGATGAACAGAGGTGAGGTGGCGCACAGTGCGACTCACAGAACACCATCGGAACGACCCAACATAACCACGCCTCCGCCATTGCCAGACTGCGAGCTCGTTATACATATGTGATCGCCGTGATCTGTTTCCGTGTCTAGGATAAAAAGCCTCCGAACGGAAGTAGAAGATAGCTTACACCAAACACCATCGAATTCTGAAAAATATGCCTGCTTATATCGATCTTTCGCAGTTGAAACTGCTTCATCAGTCCCGAATCCAGGTAAGGGCCAGAAACCGACAGGCATGCATGGGAAAGGCTTCAGGCAGACCAACTCTCCGGTATCACCGGGTGCTGTAACAGTGCCGCGCGGAGTGAAGCTTTCGATGGCCATGCCTAGCATCCTACACTGAATCTGGCTTCTCATAGATTCAGCCTAGCTCAGAGTTCAGATAGAACAGAGCACAAACCCACGATACACAGGCAAAGCATCACACATTCCCGCGAACAATGAACAGATATCAGTTCCACCTGGTTTTCATTAGACACACCTGACAAGTCTTGTGATTCCCACCCACCAGTTATTGAGCCCAGCAGAACGGTAGGATGAATGTGTTGATAAACATAATCGAACAGCGGGGCAGAGAGCGGAGAACCTGTGGAATAAATGTGTCGAAGCGTAGTTAGAGCGTGGTTTTCGCGAGGTTTGTACTTTCTCTGTGAATGCACAAAAGTGAGATTCGGTCAGGAAACGAATGGTCGATCTCGCACAGAAAGCTGGTCGATGTACTTTGCGCTGGTTCCAAAAATTGTTATGCCGAGATCGTCCACAAGCTGCCACAGAAGGGATGGGTCCCGCAACGGACTACCATCGTACAGCACAAGCGTGCAGCCCAGGCTTAAGCCGCCGACCAGAAAGTTCCACATCATCCATCCGCTAAGGAACAAGGTAAGGAGCGGACGGGTCGTATACAAGTGGGCACTAACGTTGTGGTGTAATAAAAGAAGACGTCATCGGGTTGAAGACCGCCGCATATGACAAGTTCTTTCTTTGCCTGTAAGAGCATTCCGCCGGCGCGATGTACTATGGGCCTGTTGTGTATCAGATAAAGGAAGCAGATCCATAACGCCGCTTACTTCGGCCGTCCTAATGATCAAGCGTCAGATAACTCCACACCCAAGAAAAGGAAGTTCTTCTACATACCTGTGGTTCCTGAGCTAAACAATATCCACAACGGATCATTGAAGGAACCGCGGCGCCAGAGTATCTCGCCAGATTCTGAGCGACCCAGTTTGCTGTGCTGACCTTGTACGAGAAATTCATTCCAGGAAATGTATTCATTTGGTACCGACACGGGTTCCTTGTTGCGGAGATTCGTTTCCAAGAGGATGACCTTGAACTCCGTTCTATCGCACACTTTAGATAATCCTTGTACTAGAGCTGATGCTTTGGTTAGATGATCATGGACCTTTCCGTTGTAGCTGTACAGGATGGGAACGCGTGTTATTTTTAGCCGCATTCCACAATATATCAAAAGAAACTGACACGACAGCATCAACGGTGAAAATGAATTTTGGCTGGACTTGCTCAAATCTAGTGTTCAGATTAGGGAGAGCAGGCGCGTGAGGAACTCAACTCGACTACATACCGCTCTAACACCCCATCAGGTCCGAAATCTGCTGCTGCGCTGACAAAAATTCCTCCCACCGCTGTAGTAGCTAAACAGACGATTACATTCTCCTAAGAAATGCGGAGATCAGAAGATGATGCCACTGTTAAACCCGAATGCCGGAGTCGGATTCTCCGAGCGTGCATGAACGAAGGAAAAATGACGGACAAGTAGAGACAACGTATGGATAACAGACGTACAATACAATTAGAAGCATAAGAAGCTACTCGGTCTCCCGGTTGGAGTCCGTTGCTCAGGAAAGCGGAGACGAGGTCAGCGACGGCGGTGTAGAGTTGCGAGTAAGTGATACGTTGCAACTCTGGACTAGATGATTGATTTGTGATGGGTTCGGCTGCCAAGACTCTCGTCAGATGGACGAACAAGCCACTAAATTAAAGCACGTTGGACGCACTGGCTTGGATCATGGCGACCTTGTCTGAGCGACATTGAAGCATATTCTCGGCCCAATTAATTTTGGAGTCCGAGAACCAAAGAGGATTATCGGAAGGCTTGGCTTGTGGATCGACAACGTGATTTCCCTTGTCGCCAATAACGAGAGTTGCGTCCCATACGAGAGACCAGAATGCAACCAAGTTGGCCGTCGACCAAGTGTAGAGATCATGATAAGAAGCGAGTGATAGACCGAATTTAGCATTGACGGTGGCAAGGAAACGAAACGTCGCAGACGACTCGGGATTGGTCGGACAATACAAGGGTTGTTCATCATCATTATCCATGGTGGGCGGCGGTGCGATAGAGGACGAGAGATTAATAACCATCACGGTAGCATGCAGACGGTTCTTGGCAAGGCGATTAATGGGTAAAGCGAATCCGAGCTGCCGAGGTGGAAGAGACGATGGTGAGCTGCCAAGCAAGAAGAATGGTCAGATAGAGTGTACGAAGAAGCCAGGATATTAGGGATTTAATTGCTATAAAAGGAGATCAGTTTAGGAGATACCCAGCGATGTGAGAGACAAACCCAGCGAAACAAAGAGTAATTTCTCAAGAATAATTAATGGTGGGTCCTAACGGTGTCCCGAGCTGGCGTACCAAGTTCTTCCGTGATAACTGATGATCTACGCGAGAAACATAAGGAGAATCACGATTGTGTGACTGTCACGTCCTCGCACGTTTGAATATTAATCCACAGATCGCGGCAAAAAATGAGTCAAAATTGGACCAAACTTTTCGCTGTTATAGTACCTTGCCCCGAGTCATCTAGGTCTGCTTCTCACTCTCACGTTCTCTGCTGTAATTAGCGCCGCACATAAATATCCCATCGCACCCGGCTCTCTCTTTATAAACAGCCCTCTTCTTTGTTCCTGCTTGACTCAACACCACCACCACCACTGCCGCCACTGCCCATGGATAGATTCCTCGCTCCTCATTCACCTGAAGCCCTTGCCCACGGCTATCTCACGTACGTCTCTCTCCCTTGCAGGGTCGTAACGTTTGCTCACAGTTCTAATTAGCGAGCTTGGCTCGCCCTGGGACGCCGACCTCTCGCTGGATGAAGCCCTCGTCGCTGGATGTGCGGCATATCAGGCTCTAGACCGCTACCTCGGTGGCGCCGACATATTCATTCTCCCGCGTTCCAAGACAGAGCTCGATAGCATTCTGTGGGTCTAGTTGCTTTTCAGCGCCTCGGTCGGCCAGCTCATCATACTTCGGGATCCAGGCGCAGATACTCATATGATGCTATCCACAACACCATCGCCAAAAGCCGTTCTACCCTGCAACCCGGAGGCTATAGCAGGGTATGATAATCACAACTCGCTCGCTTACAATTCCTGACACTGACGCGTATTTCAGGTCTGCAACCTCGCTGAACGATCCATTCGTGACGTCCTAAACACCGGCAACAACGCTGACATCTTGTTGGCCCTTCATGCGCCCCATTCTGCAACCAGGATAGTCGATCGCGATGAACGTTCGCCGCGGTCGATAAAGACCAAGTGATTGGCTCTTCGTCTTTGCACTATTTATTCCTGGTTATCGCTGTGCCCTGGTTATGTTATCGTCGTCATTCGAATCCGCATCGCTCTGTATTCCATTATCCCCTGGTTTATAACACCGCTTTGTACTAGTTAACGTGTAACTATAGATATGTTTGCCGTAATTGACTCGTTCTTAGGGGCCTCTATTTCCCAATGCAGCGACGCGTTACTACGGCAATTTCCGGTCCAATGACTCCACGCGTAGTCCGCAAACGTGCGAGCAAAAGCCGTGACCATGTACCGTCGACTGTGTGTTCCGTTTTAGTCGTGCTCAACGGCTCCACTGCTGCCTCTTCCTCCTGACGATTGAATGAACCGTTACTCTCTCTGCCAGCAACTTCCATCATGTTCGCCCTCAACGTTCTCCTAGTCCTTACTCTTGCCTTGGCCGAAGTTTTCTCTGCTCCGACCCAAACTCCTTTTCAAGTTCCTGCGACTAGTGTGTACTTTCATGCTCCTTCCGAGATATGAACTAACTCAGGACTTGTCAAGAACCGCGGCAGCTTCACGGACGCTTCCTCCAGATCACAGATATTCACCCTGATCCATACTACAAAGCCCACAAATCTCAATCCAAAGCATGTCATAGGAACAAACCGAAGAAGAAGAAAAACAGATCTAACTATTATGGAACACCATATTCGTAAGTTTATTGCACCATCTATCTTGATTCATCTCGCCGACACATGTGGGCGGTGCCAGCGACTGTGATTCGCCCTTCAGGTTAACCAACTTCACACTCGACTTCCTTGACAAACACTGGGCGTCAGACATTGACTTCGTTGTTTGTGAGTAGGCATGTGGCCTTTATACTTCTTCGCTAAACTCAATGTGTACAGGGACGGGCGACAACGCAAGGTGAAACTTTTATATCGCTTGTGCCCTTTGCCGTGTGCTCATCATCGACGCCACTAAAAGGCACGACAATGACCGTAAACTTCCCCGAACTCCGAGTGAGATATACGATCTCAACAGCGTGATCGCCAAACGGATGGAGGAAATATTTTCGAGCCGGGGTATACCAGTCATTCCTAGCCTAGGTAGGTACCTTGGGGTTTTACTTTGACAGTGCTCTAAACGTCAGAATCTATAAGGTAACAACGATGTTTGGCGTGAGTCTTTACTAGTTCGATATCAGCACGGCATTTACGCTGCTCTAACTGGTGATGCTATGTGTAGCACATGTACGAGCTGTCTTACCATCATGTATACGCGTTGCATCACTCACCCTATCCAATATCAGAATATCCTGACTCCTGGTGAATGTCGATCCATGGCCACCGCATTTTTCAACTCAAACATCGTCATAGGTCCTAACAGCATTACGAATCAATATTCTTCGTGCGTAGTTTTCTTTGCCATCAGCACCCGAGTGAAACAATTTGGCCGCCTTCTAGGATATGGAAGCCATTCATACCGTTCCCTTACCACCAAGTATTTCAACGAGGTGCATACTATTCGGTTGAGGTGGTGCCAAACGCCTTAGCGGTCATTAGCTTGAACACCATGTACTTTTACGATTCTAACAAAGGTACTTTGTCATGTTCTGACCGTTTAACATACCGTCTAAAGTCTTTTTTTAAATAGCCGTTGGTGGGTGCCTCACGAAAGAACCTGATGATCCCGGGAATTTGCAGTTCGATTGGCTGGAAGTTCAATTGAAGCTGTACCGTGCTCGAAATATGCAGGCAGGTATCTCTATGATGTCAATGGCGTTAATCTAACTTGATTGATTCGCAAGGTTTGGTTGACGGGTGCGGTTGCTCCATCATGCACTAATAAGCAATAGCTCATCCTCCTGTTTGCATCCAGGACACGTCCCACCATCTTCGGGCAACTTCTTTCCGGAATGTGTGAGGAGTCTTTGTAAACGTCCCCTCGATGTTGAGATGCTGATGTTTCACGATAGTATGTCCGCTACGTTGATCTCTCCTTACGGTTTCAGGACACGATCCTTGGCCACCTCTACGGAGTATGTTGAACTTGTCGTTGAGGATTGGCGCACTGACTTTGATTTCTTTTTCAAGCATATGAACGCGGATCACGTACGGATTTCGAATTATATTACGCTTGGAAGCTTATATGCTGAGCATTGCTCTAGTTCTTCTTCGTTGAAGCTATCGACCTAGAATTTGATCTTGATCGAGACTCCAGGGCGATCTCGTTACAAAATGGTGATCTATGCGACGCTCTGTTGGAGGACTTTTCGGCGCTTCCAAAACCGTCCCGGACCGACCTCGACAATTATGGGGTCATCAATGTTTCGCCGCCCGTTGTCCCGAATCCGTATCTGCCGACATTTCGGATTTTTTCTTATAACGTTACGGGATTTGATGCCTCGGCCGTAGGAGTGCTCAAGAAGGATCGGAAGCACAGTCATCATCGTGGAGAGCACGGGAACAAGGACGAGTTATGCAAGGAAGAGCCCTATCGAAGCAGCTGGAAATGCCAGCTCAACTCGACCTGGCATTCTGATCCTGATTCGCCATCGAGGCGTAACCAATTGTGGAGTCCGCTGGGCTACGCGCAGGTGAAACACGCAGTTATGTTGACGTTTTGGGCGATAATTAATGATTATAATCGCCAGTATTATATTCCGGATCTTGCGGACGGGAACAAAACACATAAGCCACATTTCAAACTAGAATACACGACCTATTCTCCATTAGATCTGCATCCCGCGACGACGGAAGAAGACGGGGAGTTTGTTTATCCAATCCCACTTGGAAATTTGCCCAAATCGCTGCGAAAGGGGCCGGTCGAGAAGAGCGAGTACACACCATATGGAATGCGGGACTTGACTATAGGGTCGTGGGTGGAATTGGCACGGCGATTGGCCAACGGGAAAGAGAACAAGTTACGAAAGCGGTTCCGGGAATTTATGTATATCGGAGGGGAATAGCGGTAGACGGATGGCAGTGATACAATGATGTTTGAGGGCATGATATTGGATGATTTGAGATTCATGAACCTGACTAGAAATGATGGGAAAGATCGTGGGACAAATTCGAAGAATATAAGGAAGGAGGTGGCAGTCTTCGGTCACCAAGACGGTCTCCTTGCCAACGCCTGCTGCTACGCCTGCAGATTGCCAGTGATCAAGATCGTAACCACCACCCACATCCTCGAGCAGACCGTATTCCATTAACATCGGGAGCCTTTTCCTGGAGCCTTGCGCTGCCTTGATTTCTTATATTTTATCTTCGGGTCCAGGTTTTCGTCGAGCGTCCTTCGAGGATTTTTTCCGCACGCGAGCCTTCGACTTACTTACTATATACTCTATTTCACTCTCCTTCATCTCGGCTGGTCCGCTTTCATTATTCGCTCTTTGACTATTTGCCAGAGCCTCCAGCACCTCACCGTCAACAGCGACCAGCTCATCGACTGCCCCAACGATGGCCGCAGTCAACATGCAGATGATGTCGACAAACATGCCCCTCGACTTTCTCCCGATCCACTCTCATTCCAGGTCCAATTCCGTGTCTTCGTCGTCGACTCATTCTTCCAGTTCTCGCCCACAGTCTTCTCAAGGTGGCTTATCACGAATGCAGGCAGGGATGCCGCCATCGACAGAAGACTTGTACCGTGCTACGTACCAGCTCGGTCACCCGGGACTGCCCACTGACCCCGTATGTTTTCTTCTTCCTTCCTTACCACCATGCTCATCTTTTTCGGCTGACCAGTCTCCTCCTAATCACAATATAACTAATCCTGCCCTCAAAAACCATCTTCGTCCCAGCCACATCCGTGCTCGTGCTGCCGCCTCTCCCTACCCCCGCGATACCGACAGCGTTCACTCTTCGTCCAGCGAAACAGACGATATCGCCATGTTCTTGGGCAATTCGGCTCCAGACTACCCAACCATGTACGGTGGCCCACCTCATACCATGGCTCCTAACCAGGACGCCCTTCACGCTGCCGGCGCCTTTGGTCGCATGACGCTCAACAATGATCAGGCCCTGGAAAAGCTCGCCGCCAACGTGAGAGCGGCCACAACCACGAGTGCTTCGGACAGGGCCAAGCAGATTTTTGTACAAGCATGGTGAGTATATGCGTTCTGATACACGACTTCCGGCCCTTACTCGCTTACGATAGGCTCACTGCGAACTACGCTCCTTATCCCGATGGCAATGTGCCGCGTCAAGGCCTTTATTTCTCGTACCGTCGGGTCTGTGACCAGTACGGGATTCCTCACATCAACACGGCTACTCTGGGCAAGGCTATTCGCCTTTGTTTTCCCACAATCAAAACAAGGCGCCTCGGCGTCAGAGGGAATAGCAAATACCATTGTAAGCCACAGAACAACATCTCTGATGGTACACATGTCTCATCACGGTTTTGATGACAGATTGTGGTATTCGTCCCGCGACCTCGGCCGAAGCCGAATGGCTCCAGGATTATATTCACAAGTCCAACAATCACGCTGGACAGCCTTCCGTCAATGCCGCTCGTTTGGCTAATGAACAAGCGGAAACTGCCAACAGAAGTGAAGAGCGCTCTGACGATGACGACGACGACGATTCTGAAGGTGTCAATTCTGCCTTGGGCTCCAAACGCAATTCGCTCGCTCTCTCCGGCGATGTCAAGGGGACCGTTTTTCCGCAAGATATGAGCGACAAAACACCGACTGCCGCGACTCTTCTCTCGCAAGTGCAAGCGAACCAGCGTCCACCTGGTACCTTCCCTCCTCAGGCGTCCATTCGCCGGCACCCGGGAGCAGACAGTGGGTTGCCTGTTCAGTCTCAATCACCTCCATCAGGCAATTCGGTGCCGTACCTTGCATCCCAGCCACCTTCATCTGTTCGTCAGTTCCCACACTTCCCTAGCATTGAGGATGCAGTGGGTGCCAACTCTACATCCCCACACGGCATCGCAGCGCGTGAAGTATGGGGTTGGTTTCAGGACCATCTTGATTCACTCTTGGAAAGCGTCAAGATGTTCAGGTTCGATTCTTTTGAGATGCACTTGCGCAGCTTCTGGTCCAACTTGAGTGGTAATCATCGGGAGGTTGTTCATGCCCCGGCTATAGCGGGTCTGATGGCCAAAGCAGATGCTATCGTTTACGATGTACGTTTCAGCAGGTATCATCTGTCTCTTCAGTGATTCATTGAGCCCTTTACAGGAAATGCTGGAAATTTTACGACTTCAGATGTTGTCGCCTATTCCGTCAGCGTCGCTTGCAAATCTTCGTCAGTTCGCTAACAAGATGGAAAAGATCTTGTTGGTTGCTCTGGATAACTACGGTAACACCTTCGTTGAGCCTAAAGTTGAACTAGGTGCTCGATTTGGCCACCTTGTTTGTAGGTTGCTTCAGATTTGCGCACGATGTCTTTGACTTATCGAAAACACAGTGCGATTCCTTGACATATACCAAGTTACCCAAGCACTAAACACGGTTCTCACCAACCAGAAACAGCTTACGGAGATGCGTCGTTCTTGGCAAAAAGTCGACTTTGAGTCTGTTCGAAACCAATCGGCACTAGTCTGCAATTGTCGTCATGAAGACCTTGTTCAATTACTGGAGGTAGAGTTTGTTGCGCTGATGGATAATCTTACCAAAACTGCGGAACCCGTGAGAGAAGTCATGTCTTGGGCAGACAAGTGCTGCGATAGACTGATGGGTGGTAGCCGGGCTATGCACGGTGGTGAGGAGAGGGGAACTATGAGCTCACGAAGTGTTCTCATTCGCTGGGGTTATGTTACGAGCCAGGTTATGCGAGATCTGGTAAGTAGGGGATAATTTTTGGCCGATTTTAAAGCGCTGATAAGTGTCTTTCCTAGACTATCCGAAGCGATCCAGCGTTCGGTGCTTTCCAAATTCTGAAACTATTCTTGGAGTAAGTTGTATCGTTATTCTTCAAACCCAGAGAACTGACGCCACTTTCAGTGATTGGATTGCAGTCAACGTTCTTCGAAGCGTTGCGCTGTCTACCAACTCCGTTGCGGCTTCCGTGGAGCCTGTTATGCAACAGCAATTCTTTTCCTTGTCACCCATGGCTGGCCAGGAGAATTTCAACTCCATGGACGTTCGCCCCCAAAGTCTTATGACTCCTACTACGTCGAGCATGCTCGCGGCCCTTCAAAACGACACATTCTCTGCAGGTTCGCTTGACCCATCGTCTACAGCGTTCAACTCTGACGGTTATGGGTCCTTGTCGTATATGGACACTTCTAACACACAAGAAGATTCCATACCGACGGTCCATTCTACTGGTCTTCCATTTTCTGATTTCTCCAACTCGGGGAATGCATTTGATGTTTCCAGCTTCACACCTCAAGACATGGGTATGCATTCGTCTGCTACCCCGTCCAGTGAGCCTGAGGCGGAGACTGTCGAGCCCGTCAAAACGGAGTCGCAGGGAGTATAGACATTTTGCATTTCGTTTGTTTTCTAGCTTTGGGCCGTTGTGGTTGTGATACTCTACTAATACCATACCAATCTTGCTTATGCTTGCACAACTGACTTTCTTTTCTCCGTCGAAGTACTTGTATTATCTTTTTCTTCTTTTGATGCCGTACCTACTCGTCGAACCACGCTCCTTAATAACCTTGTAAAGGATTCTCGGATTTGTTATCGATATATATCATATATAAAGCTGTCCGGCTGTATCCCTTGCTCAATTTATTCCGTCTACACAACATAGAAGACTTAAATGAGATAGGTTTCGATTACTATGTTGAGAAGATATATCCGCAGGGTAACTAATCATCCAACTCATCACGAATCTGACTCCTTGACCTCCTGCACAGCATCAATCCTTGCCTCTGTAACGTCGCTAGGGGCTGCTGCTGATGAAGTCGTCGATGCAGGTTCATCTTGTTCTCCAACACTAGGAGTGGCGACCGGTGTTTCAACAACCTCCTTCGCGCTTAGACGTTTAATCTCGGCCTCCGCTTTGGCGATGTTCTCGGCTGTGACACGGGCTTGGTTTACCTCGAACCACGCCTTCTTAGTCTGCAAGTCCGAGATGACACGAGTTACATCTGCGGCAGAGTCTGGAGGGGGAATGGAGAGAGATAAGAGTGCAGAGAGCCTGGGCAAGTCGATATTGAGTTCACCAGATGTAGGTTCTGGTGTGCTAGCCGGTTTGGGAGCGTGCTTCTTTCCCTTTCCCTTGCCCTTGGCCACAAAGTAGCTGTCCTCGTCCTCGCCCTTCTTCTTCCGGACAACTGCGCCCTCAGGTGCCGCCTCGACCTTCCTGAGCTCCAGCTTGGGCACACCAGCTACCTCAACCTTCTCAGCAGGTACGCTGTTAAGCTTAGCCGGGCCAGTGTTCTTGCCTGAGAGGTAATCGATAAGAGTCTGGCAGTCTTCGATCTGGGCCTGGTATGCGGGAATCTCTGCCTCTTCCCGCAGACGCTGTGCCGCCTCTCTCCGCTTCTCCGCCTCTTCAGCGGCGCGTTGAGCCCGAGCCTTCTCAGCACGCCTCGCCCGGTCCTCATTGACTTTAGTCCAATACCGGTCGTTGGCTTCGCGGAACTTTTGTGCCGAGTCGCGCTTCTCGTTGAAGAGTGCATTGATCTCAGCTTGGAGGCCATCCCGTTCTTCAAACAACTTGGCACGGCCGGCATAGGCCTCGTCTCCCCTCCCGCTTCAACTCGTCGAGCTCGGCTTTGATGGCGTCGAAACGGTCGGACGTGGCTTTGAATTCAGGATCGTCGAGTTGTTTGCGGAGCTCGTCGACAGAATGACGGTCAGCCTCGATGGATTCCTGAATGGCCTGGAAGCTCTCTACGGTGCGTCTGTTCCGTTTGCATGTACTGATTTCCTGGACGGCCCGTTTTTCATCCGCAAGCTTCATGTTACCGGATTCGACTTGTTTTTCCAATGTTCTATTTACGGATAGTTAGTTACATACCGATGGAGGAGAAGAAATTGACGCACCTGATCCGAGCATCAACCTCGTCAACATTTTTGAACGGAATCTTTGATTGTGCAGCCTGAAGGTCCTTAATCTGAGAGAACGTGTGAGGCATAAGGATATGTTAGTCGAATATAATGGCAAACCTTTTTCTGTATGCTATCCTGGTGAGCTTTAAGCTGATCCAGGATCTTTCCTCTCGAGGCCTTGTTACTGGACTGTTGACTACGAATACCATCAAGTTCACTGCGCAATTGATTCCGCCGCTCGTTGCCAGTGCCGCCCTTGGTCGTGAGTGAGATTTTGTCCCGTACGGCGGACTAAGGTAATGAGTATCGATGGACAGAGTTCCTAGCTGAAGCACGACGTACCAGCTTTACTTGGAGAGCATCTATTTCGCCCTTTATTCTGTCCTGTTCAGCCTCATACGCCTTCTTGTCCGGTTTACCTGTCGATGGCGCATGGGAAGAAGCCTCCGACGTGTCCTTTTTCTGCACTGATGGTGCCGTTCCATTTGTAGCGGGCTCCTTCTTTGCCTTTGCAGCGCCGTTAGCAGTGGAAGAGGACTTTGCCTTTGCAGATGCCATGACAGAACGGAAAGGGTATTAGGGGTGACAAGGAAGATGGTGGTCGGAAAATGCAACGTAGAAAAAAGATCGTGCGAATTCCTGCTTGCCGATCACAAGGCACACCAAGCTACTACCCTAAAGAAATATCAAAATACAATCTGGGTATCCAGCTTTTCCACCTCGGAATAACATTCCTTGTACAAGTCATGAAATTCTTCATCCTTCTCGTCTTTCGTGCCCTCCTTCAGCTTTCTTTTTTGGTGTGGACATATCATCACACAGCTCGTCGGCCGTTTCGTCGAGCTAAAGTGACCCAGTTCCTCCTTTGACGACACGAAAATATAAGGTATCTTCGCCTCCTCACTCAAAACGGGTAGATGGGAAACAATGTCAATAGGGCTGATGTCGGCAGCTATAATCAGTAGGCTGGCACGAAAGAAAAATTATGAGCAAAACCGTGACAGAAAGAATTCATTGACACATACCCTTTTTCTCCTTTCTTAATTCCTTTAACCACCTCCTTCACACCTCTCTTCACTAGCCGAGACTTTGACGCTATACCAAGCATGTTATTAAAGACCAATCAAAGCTTGAGACGAGAACATACCCTTCTTCACCGTTTTCTGTAACTTCTTCAAAAGCTTCTTCTGGGCAAGCGGGTTGGCCAGCGGCGACAAATCTTCGACCGGAATGAGAACTTCAGCCTTTTCTTTCTTGTGCTTCTTCGGCGACTACAAGCCGTTCTATAGTCAGTGGGATTCCGTACTATTCAACTGGCTCACAACCTTGGTGGTCTCTTCTGCATCCGCCATTTCTACGTCTTCTGTGGGAGGCTCGACCTTGCTCTCCCTACGCTTCTTGTCTTTCTTTTCTGATTTATCACCAGCCATGACTAGAACGAAAACGAGAGGACGGCGGTGTCGCGAAGTTGGGCGAAAATGGTGAAAATCTGACTGTCACAAAGCGTGACTGACCGGTATTTCGGCCCGTAACACCGAGCAGCCACAATGGTTTTTTTTTTCCCAAGTCAGCATTATTATTAGTTATTATCCTCTACTTCTCCAGTCTCTAGTTTAGCTTCGTTGTCTTCCAAGGCAGGGGCATCGACTCCCCGAAGAAAAGTAAGAAGCACCCACGTCATGCCTCGCATTTCTATGTCATACCACCAATTCAATGCAATGGTAATCTCATCCGATTGACGAACGTAATGCCACCATCCTGCCGGTAGATAAAGCGTTTCGCCTGCCTTCAACGCGATGTTAATGGGATGCGCTTCATCAGGGAGAGCACCTGGAAGATTCGGGTCGCCAACAGAAGACCAGCGGATGGGAGGAGTTGATGGCGGTGACGGCTCGATACATAACTCAACTGAAGGTGAGGGTCGTACATATTGAGCATGAGGGTATGTACGTTCTGGAATGTGAAATTAGCCAATGGCTTTATCTGACTTTCCGTTTGTGACGCCCATACCTTGGAGACACCAACCCTCGCTGGGAGGGAGAAGAGTAAAGTATTTCACTCCCCGGACGACAGTGTATATATTCTCATAAGGATCTAAGAATATGCTTTAATCTGAGATGTTCACTATGAAGAGTAAATTACCGACCACAATGAATGCTTGTTGTGCTCTTGCTATCCCCGATCCAGAGGTTGACTGCATCCGGATGTTTGTCTAAAATGCAGCGTTAGTAACCCGCCGCCAAAATGATTTAAGGCGTACTCAATGATTCACTGCACCAAGGAACATCGCTGGGAATATCTGGACGCAGGACGTCGAACTCTGAGAAATCATTTTCTGCATCGTCGGCGAAATATGTTGCAGAGTAGACATTGCCGTTCTGGGACTGAAGATAGTAAGCCTGGGAGATCCCCACGGACTGTCTCATAGTGAGCAATGCATAGAGGGATAAACTTGAAAAATGCTACCTCGGTCATGTCGTCGTCGAGCTTCGATAAGAGGTCCCTCATGGTCATTGATTCGACGTGAGGCTCAACAAAGTAGGATGTGCCGTCTGAGCCCACCGTGACGGCATCAGCCAGCCTACGAGTAGCTACATAGGTTTGAGATAGTATCATTTCAACGCATCAGTACACGAACCCATTCGGCGTTACAGAGACAGAGACAGGCCGGTCTGTCATCTTGTCACAGAGATATTTGTTGCTCCATCGATCCTTGGTGGCAGGTATATGAAATCCTGAAGACAGGGTTCAACTGCGCTGAACCTCAAAGTGTTTGGATGCAGGCGCTACCATGAATGACCACAGGTCGAGAGATGTGTACTATTCTGGAGAACTCAAGTGGTGTAGGAGGCTTGTTGAGAATGTCGATATGCGAGCCATTCAAATCTAACAAATCAAAAACATGGAGCGATGACTGTAGTATCGACAGGACTCACCATGGTACTCTCTAGAAAACCACTTGAGGGATTCCATAGTATTAGAGGACATGATGGTTCTTGTAAAACAAATTATTAGCCGATCAAATGCACGTGTTTAAAGATCAGCTCTAACTTCAACTTGCACAATCCTGTCTGTCGTAAGTAGATCGTTCCTGGTCTAGTACGAATATTTTAGTCGCGATAAAAATGGCGCTGCTTCGGTGAGCCTCTCTAATCTTGAAGCTCTTGCTTTCCCTCGATCCTAATGTCGTTCGCCTTAACTACAGAATAGCACCTTTTAGACATCTACTATCCCATCTGCGCTTTCTGATGACTATACGCTCTCAAGAAGGAATCTACCGAGGACTAATCCTGTTTCGTTTATCTCCATCGGTTCCGGCGATTAGGCCGAATGAAAGACCTACAGACAAGGAAAACCTGAAAGCCATGTACAAGCAGATATATGTCATGGAATCGACTTGTCCCCATCTCGGTGCCGACATGTCCCATGCTGATATAGAAGAATATGACTCAGGAGTCGTGGCAGTATGTCCCTGGCACAGGAAAGTATACAGAAAGATCTCTTTGCTCCTTGTGAACTAAGCAAAAATCCTTCATAGGTATGATTTTAATCTTGAAACCGGAAAAAGTGAAACTGGACTCCATACTTGCACATATGATGTCAAAGTAGACGTTAATCCCTTGGATGGACTTGACACAGTATACGTCGAAACTCCGAAAGTTGGAACAAACTGGCGGCTAGTCGAACTAAGACCCGTTTCTGAAGGTATCTTTTATACACTTTAGACCCAAGGTCTCTGCTCACCCTCTTTCAGAATTTGCAGATCCTCCGCCTCTGAAGGACGCTACGTCTCTACCTGTCAGAACGTCGACTGTCGAATCCGTAGAAGAGCCAATTGTACCTACGACAAATGCGCCCACTACACTAATGCAATGGGCTGTGCTTATCCTCAACACATCGAATCCAACTTTGAAGGTACGTGACGCACATTTCCCATCACCTAAGATGTTTGTTAACACATGTGTCCTGCTTAAGGTTCAACGAACTCGTCACGCAGTCCACCTTTTCCGGACAGGAAAATTAACTTCCATCGGACACAAATCACCTAACGCACCTCGTCCTCCTGATACACCGCTGCGTGAAGCCCAGTATGAAAGAAACACCGTAGAACCTGTAAAAATGAAGAATCGGAAAAGTAGAGCTGTCATGCTGCATGCCCTCGCGAATATTGAACAGTGGGCGTAAGTCTTGAACTTTTTGTTACATTCGTGTGGCATCTCACGAGTTTTCCACAGCATAGACCTTGCGTAAGTGAGCAGGTTCAACGCTTTGAGAGCTGTACTGAACGTCATGCAGGTGGGATATCATGGCCAGGTTCGGACCAATGCATCCTGATCTTCCTCCCGCTTTCTTTTCTGATTTTACAAAAATGGCGCTGGATGAATCCAAGCATTTGTCAGTCTCTTCACTCTTTTTCTTTCACACGTTACTTACGTTCCAATAAAATATACCTGTAGCACGCTGCTGACGTCTCGGCTAGCTGCTACTTCCCCGACGACGCCTTATGGCAGCCTGCCTGTCCATGCAGCTCTGTGGGAGTCCGCAACCATCACTGCCAACTCATTCCGTGCCCGGCTTGCTATCATTCACCTCGTACACGAAGCCAGAGGCCTCGACGTGAATCCCGGTACAATTGAACGTTTCAGGAAAGCCGGAGATGACGAAAGTGTCAAAGCTATGGAAGTCATTCACGCCGACGAGGTCACCCATGTGACTGCGGGCCATAGATGGTTTACATGGATCTGCGAAAACGACGGCAACGTCGATCCCATAAAAACTTTTAGAGAAGAAGTACGGAAAGGCTGGCGGGGAGACATCAAAGGTCCATTTAATGCTGACGATAGAGAGAAGGCAGGGTTGAGCAGGGAATTTTATGAGAACTTGCGAGGGGAGATGGATAATCAACCCAGTCGCAAACCCATTGCTCCCGAAAGTGTTGAAGGGATGACGGATAGTTTGGCAGCGGTACATGTTCAGTACGATTCTTCGAATAAAAAATAAAAGAACTGGCAGACGATCCGAAAATACGCAGACAGTCTCACGCAAAGAACAAACATCAAAGCAAGCACATGAAAGGCGGATTATTTAGATATAAAATATAACTGGCCAGCCAGTTGTCATCCGAAACAGTACACGTTGGCTGGCGATTTGAGACTAGAATGCATGAGAAGATATAGAGAACCGCTTGAAGGTGTATCTATAAAAGACAAGTCAAAACCTAATCCAGAACAGTGTTTGGAAAAAACGACTAACCCAAGGAAAGCTAAATCTTTGCTCGCGCCACCAGTATCGGCAGGAAGCTCTTCAGGTGCCTGGTCTATCTCGTCTGTAGGGAAGTAAGAAGTGTCGGTGATGGATCGCAGATGCGGCACGAAAGGCGCGTCGATCTGTCGAAGGCTATCCCAATCGACTCCATAAAAGAAGGGGTGTTGCTTGATCTGGTCGACGTTAAGTCGTCTATCCGCTGAGATGATCAAGCTGGAAGGCAATAACGTGAGTTAGACTGTATCTGCGAGACGGACACCACCCACCGCCTGATCAAGTCTTCAGCCTCATGGCTGAGATGCACGTCATCAGGGAATATAAGATGATATTGCCATTCCATGATCTTCTGGTATGTCTCATGAGTGGTTTCCGAGCAGAATGGTGGGTATCCGACTAAGCACTCAAACTGTCCGAAAGTCAGAGTGAAATAGGCGGACAAGTATTGTAGTAACGCACCATGATAGCTCCCAATGACCACCAATCGCACTCCTTCCCATAGCCCTTTTGTAAAAAGATTTCAGGAGCGATATAATCGGGAGTTCCTACGGTGGAGTACGCCTATCTTTGCGTTAGTTACGTCAATTTGGCTGCAAAGGAGGTGCCTTACAAGCTTTCGCCTGTTAGCCTTCCAGGTAGCGATCTGATCTTTATTTGTCATGGTCAAATTGATGGAGTTGACCATAACACTATTGCGAGCAGCTGCCTGAGGGGTGGCGCCATTCTTTGTTGCCGACTCTAGAAGCCGCTGGTAATAGTTCGAGTCGTGCTGCTTGTGGAAACCTGTGGATAGACCAAAATCGCTGAGCTTGACGTGCCCGTCTTTGTCGCTGAGGTACCAAGTAAGTCTAAGAAAACACTGAGTGAAAGCCAGACCCACATAAGAATGTTGTCAGGCTTAATGTCACTGTATGCAGCAAAAGTCAACAAAAGGGCGTAATGAACGCGCAGGAGGTTCCTACCGATGAATAAAACCAAGTTTATGAACTGCCTCGATGGCCAGAACGCATTCTGCCATGTAGAATCGGGTGACGTCCTCGCTGAAGGTGTCATACTTGATAAGCATGGTCATCAAGTCACCACCAGGCAGGAACTCCATGATCAGATAGAGATACGAGGGATCCTGGAAGGAGTAGAACAACTGAACGACCCAGGGCGAATTGGACTCGGCTAGGACGTCACGTTCAGCGCGTACATGAGCGAGCTGAATAGCAGCTACATCAGTACAATGGCACAGCAAGCTATAAATATGATTTCGAGACCTGATCTTTCTTTAGCATTTCGTCCTTCTTCAATGTTTTCATCGCGTAGATTTTGCCTGAGCCAATTTTAGGACAGATACTCTTAGGGGAACCTTTAACAAAAACTGACCTGTATCAGTCTTTTGCACCAATCGAACCTTGAGACAGTTATTTGATGATGTGATTGGAACAGTAATATCGAATACTTACCTCCCCAAAAGCACCCTTTCCGATGACCTTTACAGTCCGGAAGTCATCCAACCCGAGGCGCGTCCTTCGCAGCCGTAAGAAAGTGGATTCCTTCTTCCCAAGTTGTTGGAGCTGCCGTTGCTTCCGGTCTTCTGACATAAGTACGTCCCCTTGCAGCCGACGCTCCAGCTCCACACGCCTAAGGTAAAGTCAGTATAGGGATAAAGGAACGCAAAAGAGCACGTACCTGGTATTACGCTCGATAGCAGCATCGACGACGATCTTGTAATAATGTTCCAACTTCATCTGGGCACCCTTGGCTCTCGGCAGCGCTTCATCTGAGAAGCCAGCAGTTGATCGGTCAAAGTATACATAGTCGGCCGGTTTTGCAGAGTTCTGGTTTGCTGAGCCTTGCTGGGGCACAGGAATAGCTGGCCTGGATGCATGAGGGAAGGAATTCAAGGCCGGATTACGAGCATTTATGTTCGCCATTGCGGGTTAGCAGATCAAAATTTGAAAATCCAAACATCATCATATTTGCTCCAGACGGTGTTGCCAATCGGCTAGTGTTTACAAGTACATATTTGATTAGGACTGCAATTAATCTGTACCATAGATCGGAAAAATATAGATCAAAGGCATAATATGGAAAGGCCGCGTTATGCATGCCCTAAGAAGATATTAAGCAGGGTACAAGTCATCTGAACATGTTGGTGAGCTGCTGTTCCGATGTCGCCCACCTTGGCACGGGGGCGTCAACAGGAGGGAGTCCCCCGTGGCGAGGATATTGGGGTGTAGGTGATATGTATCGGGATGATACCGTAGGAGGGGCGGGCCAAGTCTCCCGTTTGTATCCCGACCCTGAGTGTGAACTCGAGTAGGAAACAGCGCTTGGGGGACGGGGCGGTGTAATATAGGATCTGGGAGAGACTCAGTGACATGTCTGTCTTGAATGGAAGCAGATTTACTGTGGACGCTGTGAGGGAACAATGGTGAGATGTGAGGCTACTGAGGAACTGAAAAAGATGAAAAGTTAGCATCGGCAAAGTTGGGACGAAAAGTAGACACATACTTGTAGAGAGCAGCAGCGTCAAAAGACTGGATTGGGGGATGGCAATCGGTTGGAATGGCCTGGGCAGCCTTGTGCTTGTTGTATGCGACTGCCGGGTTGAAGCTCAGACGTGCCGCCCCCGTGTCCGAGCTCACAGCCGGTTCCGCTCGGGAGACGCGTATCACTGGCTGTGTGTTTGGTAGCGGCAAAGGGGGCCGGAACTGGGACGGAGGGATGGATGGTGCTCGGCTGGGCGGGCGGCTAGGCGGCGGATTCGGTCGGAAACCAAGCGGGTCCATGTCTTCGAACGGTGGACCCTCAAGCGACGGGCCAACAGCCGTGAAGGGTGGCGGCGGGACGCTGTAGTCTTCGCTGTCGCTGTCACGGCGAACAGGTACAGCATGGGAAGACCCTGAAGCAGCTGCAGACGTTGGTCTCACAGGGCCACCAGCCTGATGGCCGTCAAGTCCAGCTTCAGCGTACCAGCTAGGTCGCTGTTTCGACGTCGAATCTGTTGACGACCGATTTTTCTTGTGTATCTTGAGGGGCGGCACAGATGGCCCTGTTGCCCCAGGTCGAGGAGGAAGCGCCCGGTGGGTTGCAGTGGGACTGGTCTCTGTGCGACTCTCTCGTCGATGGTCCGAACTGGATGTCGCTTGTGTCGAGTTCGCTGCAGCATTGAATACGGCGTCATCCCACTGCTCCCATTCTTCCTCCCCCGCTTGCTGCACAGACGGTTGTGTTATCGTTAACGATGCTGCAAGCGCGGTTGATATCTTGGTGTCGAACTCCTCCTGAGCTGAATATGCAGGTGGAGGAACAAAATCGTGCTGAGACGGATCCATGGCTCTGAACACAGAAGGGAAAAGAGGAGGGGCCTTATAGAAGGCAAGCCATGCACAGATGGTCAAGTCAAGGACAAGGACAAGCGCCTATTTCAAAGTTATTTCATAGTAGTATCGGCACGAACATCCGATCCTCCGATGACACCGCATTACACCGCGTCCTGCTGTTTATTCAGGGCAATTCCGGTGCATCTGCACCTATCATCTTCATCTCTTCGGGTCACCATCATTCATGATAATCATACAACATCGATGCAGACTAGTGCTATTATCCGCTGCAACACGGTACCCAGCCTCGAGACCTCGTCGTGGACCGGCCCGTCGTAAGAACGACATATATAACGAATACGAGGCGCGGTGAGTACAAGATCCTTAAGCACCAATGCGTGAAATGGTGCCATCGTGTTAAACCTCTATTCCTTCGAGATTTGTTCCCTGATCCATGTGGGGTGAGCTAGGGTGATCAACAATGAGTATTCTAACATACCAGTTTCGGAACACGCAAATACACATCGGTCCCTGTTAATCATGATGTGAATGAATTGTCTATTCAATGTCCATAGACTCATTCTTGCTCACCCCATCCATCTAGAGATACCAACTCCAAAGAACCACCGAAATATCTGAAAGCGATGATCAGGAGATATCTGAATCCGAGCAATTGAAAGGACGCACGTAGCAAAGATATTGCTCATAGGAAGCCCTATACCAATCTTGGGATGTGATCCTTGTAACGCGACGTTATCTGTTTCTCCACCCTGTTTCCATCTTGCAGCTTGTTCACCAACAGTTGCTCGTAATCCCTCCTGGCTACTGCTGACGGTACGGAGCGCAACTAGACGCTCATCATCCAACCGTGTTGCGTTCCTAACATGCGAGAATGAGAAGAGATCCTCAGGAGATTTCACTGGACAAGAGGAGTTAAACAGACCGCCGCCTCCCCACTTGTCAGGCGAAATTCATATTCCAGAAGGGAAATCAGTGCAAGTACCTTGGTCCGATACTCGAATGCCGACATCGTCCGTCCCTTCCGCCACCGTGACATTGATTGGAGGCAGACTGTCGCTAGAAGCGTGTTTATGACGGGTTGCATCTACTGCCTGAGAATTTACACAGCGTGTCAGCAGTCAATTTTAGGTGTCGTAAAAGTCTTACATTTTTCAGAAGCTCAAAAATTATGTACCTATCATAGATTATTCACCTTTTACCACCAGCTACAAAAGATGGAAACGCACTCAAGATGCTCCCGAATATATGCAAACTTGCATGCTAGGTGCCCATCGATTACAATTTGCGGCCATCCCTTCGCATCTTGAAGGGGCCGAGATTCCAATAGGTCGGTACAACGGCGAATACATCCTCCGACGTCGAGCGCTGTAGAAATGATGCCAACGCGGGATTCTTGTGTACGGGTTCCAGCGTAGGCTTCGGAAAGGGCAATGTGATGTTCTGCCAGAACACGCCGGGAGATACGTGAAATCAGCATCCGGCGCATGAAGGAGTCCAGCTGATCTGGTGCTAGATAGGGCGACGATAAAGAAAGACCGAGATAGAGGTTTGGAATGACGGTTGCACTGGAAGAGCAGTGAGAGAACTGCTCACTGTGAAGATACACGGGATTCATACTGTTCATTGAGGAGCTGAGCCACGAATTGACAGAACTTTTCGTTCTCGGCTATCGAAGTCACCACTGGGTAGCGTCGGAACCTAGATATGCACCGGTTGGTGGAGGAGGGGTCAAAATATGAGAAACACACTTCTCAAAAGCCGACCAATAGAGCTATGACAGGTACTCTGTATTAAGCGGGACGCCAAGCAAATGTTCTCAAGAAGCGCACCTCATAAACCTTGGCGACGCCTTCCTGAGTCACAACGATGTATGGCAAAGCTTGGAGATCCCGTAGACGGTGCGCAATGCGAACGGGGAGCTCCGTACGGACGTAGTTGGCACTCTGGAGTCTACGTTCACAAAACGACGCGAATGACAAGAATGACAGACCCACTTTGATAATACGGTCCTCATTCATAGAACGACCAAAGAACACCTAGACTATCATCAACGACTGAAGTATTGACGATACGACAGAAACACACCAACTGCCTCAACGTTAGCCGCTTAGTTTCCTTGGCCGCGTAAAGTTCTAATTGTCTATTCTGATAAAAATGAAGGGCGGTAGATTCAAGACGTCGACCGAGTGCAACACGGGGCCGTGGAACACTAAGCATGGCAGAACGGGGGCAGCATAGCATTCCTTGAGGACGACAAAAGTGGTAGAAAGGAAGAAGTATACTAAGGCATGTGTTCAAGTGCAACCTGGACTGAAGGATCGAGTCAAAGCGAAATTACAAGTCTCTCACGGTCTAGACAGTTACGTCATACTACAGGATACCCTCTGAACGCAGTGCCCCCATTATCAGGAAGGCAGACCGGCGATCTCGGTCAACACCTGTCCAGTCTCGAGGCTGTCGCTTTCCCTCCTCCTCCTCGTCCCCGTAAACGTAAATATCGTCTTCATCATCCACCGGAACACGCTCCTCTTTGCTTTGCTTTCCCTTCTTCTCTTCCTCTTCCCGGTTCCACAACACATCTTCCCACTGAGAATCGCTGATGGTAATGGCCACTGTCTTGGCATCCCGGATATTGGGCAGGATCGAGGTCAGAAGATTCGACAAGAGTTCGGATGTACCGTCTTGCAACGGAGAGCGTAGAACGGGCAAGGGAAGGTATTCCGCCTAGTACACTGGTCAAGGGCATTGCAAGAATATTGTTGTCACCACTTACTTCTAGGAGCATCCCTTTGACTGCACCACCTGAGAGCAGGACATTGCCTATGCGCACGATCCAGTCAGTTCCAATGGAGAAGACGTGCCCGTCAATAAGAAGCTGTGGCCCAGCTGCTTGGGTTCTCGGCGCAGTATTGGCGGTGGACTGTCGCACCGAAACCCAGCGCGCCTTGAGCTGGGCAAGAAGGTGCTCTAGTGCCCCAGGAGGGCTGAGAGTCAGGAATGTATTTCGGTAATGGGTGGGAGGTGAAGTGAGGTTTCTCTGCCTCTATCCGGGAGGGAGCGCCAGGGTCGTCCAAGAGAACGAAGACGTTCTCGCCCATCGTCAGTGCACACATCGACCGTTCCGAGGGAACCTGAGAACCATCTGACTGGGAGAGAGTGGATCGGAAAGACTTGACGGAAAGCTGCCATTTGCCTTCAAGGCGGCCCTGGTAAAGAAATGAACAGCGTGGACGTCGGTACGGTGAAGGTAATACATTATGATTAACCAGAATATTTTCCCTAATCAACGGTAGAGCTGTAGTCGGCGCGTTGAGCCATCGCGCGAGCCTGTCCCGTATATTTGTGACATTAATCAAATGATGATACTGCTGCAGACGCACCCAGAGAAGCCCATTCATGCAAGCGTCGTTGGTGGCATGCAAAGTGTGACAAAATACAGGTGTGACGCTGTGCCGACGCGATCACGCGGCACGCGATTACCGGTCACACTGTCAGCTCCTTGTATTGTCAAACTACTGCCCCTTCTTCGTCGAATTCTTCCTCCATGCCGCCAAAACGCAAAACGCCCGCCAAATCGGCGTCTACATCACCAAGAAAGCCTGCATCCAGGATCTTATCTACTCCTACTAAACGCACCCCTCGAGCCCGTGGCCGTCAGCCGCAGATTAGACTGACTTCTCCGAATACAGAGGATGATACGGGCAACGGAGGAGAGGCGAGCAGCGAGGATGAGCTAAATATTCTGCCAAAGTCGCGTCACAGCAGCACAGAAGTTGGACTTCCGAAGCAATCAGCGTTGAAACGGCGGATTGTGGACGATGACAGTAGTGCAGAACCTCAACGTTCTCCAACCAAGAGGACGAGAATTAAAGCACCATCGACACCAAAGCGATGCACTACGCATGGACAATCACGCGTCAGTTCTCCAGAGCCCCCACCACCCCAAACGCCTATCTCTCCTTCGAAGAGGACCCGTGCCCTCATAAATCTCACCTCGGGATCGCTCCCGCTGCAGTTCCACGAATGCCTAAATTCACAGAAATATGCTATTCTCCATGCGCTACACAATATGTCTAATATTCAACTCGAGGACGATCCTGAAGATGATGACGATGTGGATCAGATGAACGCGTCAACGGCTGAAAACCTAGACGAACTGCTACGTGGGACAGTTGAGAGAGGGGAGGGTAACAGCTGCCTTTTACTTGGACCTCGCGGTACTGGGAAGACGATGGTGAGTTTGCTGTATTTCTCACTGAGCGGGTCTAAGTTTTGTGCAGATGCTAGAACACGCACTGTCAAAGGTTTCATCCGGTGACAGCCCACCAATAATCATTCGCCTCTCTGGTTGGCTTCAACAGAATGATCGCCTGGCAATGCGCGAAATAGCTAGACAGCTTAGAGAGCAAACAGGCGCGTCGTTCCTATCCGCCGAGGATGAAGAAGAGACGCGAGACCATGACGATGAACCCAACCCTTTCATCGATACACCAGCGGACGACTCGGAGACCTTGGTTGCAGAACCTTCATCAACGCACCTGCCTGCCTTAATTGCGGTTCTTCCAACTCTTTCCCGAGCCTCTATCATCATCCTTGATGGGTTCGACTTGTTCGCACTCCATGCGCGCCAAGCGTTGCTCTATTGTCTACTAGATACAGCCCAGAGTTGCAGAGCCGGTGCTGGCAGCAAGGGGTTAGCCGTTGTTGGACTTACCACTCGCATCGACACCATAAATCTGCTAGAGAAGCGTGTTAAAAGCCGGTTCTCTGGGAGAATTTTGCGGGTAGCTCCTCATACGATGGAATACTGGAGACGACTGACGAAGGCGATACTATGTGTGCCTATTGATGAGGATATTTTTACGGACGAGGAGGACCTTGCTCAATGGAGGACGACGTGGGAGACTCGTGTTCAGCAGTTTTTGGATGACAAGTCTACTCTGCAGACTTTATCTGAAACGTTTAGTATCACGAAAGATATGAGAATACTTACGACCATTCTGGTTTGTTTCCTTATTTAATCTGCTCTATTCTGTTCCCTTGTCTCACCAATTTCCCAGACTTCAACGGTTGTGGCATTATCCCCAGAAGCACCTTGGCCCACACCTTCTCAACTTTTGATGTCAGCTGAAACTCACCGCGCTCGACCGCTGTACCCATATCTTCACAGTAAGTCCTCATGCCCTTATCCAGACTTGCAATCCGTTGATCAGCTCTCAAAGATCTCTCTTACTCGGCCATTTGCCTCTTGATTGCTTCTGTTCACGCTGGCACCGCAGGATACTCTGTGGTGACCTTCGAGATGCTACACCAGTATTTCCGAGACCAAGTTCGCTCTTCGACTGCCGCACCTGTTCAAATAAACGGTGGCAGCATCGGTATGGTCAGATGTAGCCGAGATGTACTTATGAGCGTACGTGTAAAATACTCGTTGTCGTCTAATTTTCGTGGCTGATTTTGAATGGAATAGACTTTTGAAGCCCTTGTTGCTGCTAAGATCTTCGTGTTGGTAGCAGCGCCGTCATGGAATACAGCGAAAGAATTCATGAAATATATATGTGTTGTGGAACGGGAGGACGTAAAGAGGGCGGTCGATAAGGGCGGCATGATCCCTCTGAAGAAGTGGCTTAACAAAGCGCAATGATTTAATTGACATGTAACACGATTACTACAGAGTTTGGCTTCATTATCTCTGGCGGACCGTATGTAATACTTGATTATTTCTGAGGGTCGGGCGACGGTAGACTTTGTAAAAACAGGATCGACTGATTAAGGACACTGGAAGTATTGGTTAGGCTTTTCCTCGACAATGCGACTTGACTCACCGACAAAGCGAGAAAAACAAAACAAAGACAGAATGTAATTGATAAATTACCACGCTAATCCGACTCCCATACTATAGCATGATCAGCAAAGGTTCGACACATTGTATGCGAAAGTCTTACTCCGTATTTTCATTTCCATTTCCAAACTGTCCTCGAAACACCTCTAAGCCCAGTAATCCAAGATCGACCTCAACCGGACTCGCGACTGATTCACATTTTTCCAGTCCTCTAGCTTCGCTTCCAGCTGTTTCGATCATCGACTTGAATTTGTCATCCATATACAAGCTTGTATCCCACTGACTCGTCTCTTCCACCAATTCCCGAATCATGCCAAGCAAAAGATTCGATCCATCGTCATCGACATGCTTTGGCGACGTCGAATCGGTGCTTGAGCGTTTCACAAGTGCAGCGTTGCGGTCACCTGTTGGCGCGCATGATGGAGGGAAGCCAAGCCCGATATTAGAGTAAGACTGTCGATTTAATCTAGTAGGATGAGAATTTTGCTCTTGATATTCGTTTATATTCGGTGGATCAGACTGGGAAGCAGGAAGGCTGACGAGATTGCTGATAACTGATTCGGGAAGAGTCATGATGCGCAGGGGAGAAGGACCTATCGGAGGGCTTTTTCGGGATCGAACTGACATCGAACTGTTGTTGAGTCTGGCTTTGGGCAGGGCAGGTACAGGTTCACAAGGAGGGAGAGGTAAAGGAAGAGGGACTGGAGGGACTGGAGGGATTTCTGTGAATGGAGGTGGCAAAGGAATAAATGTATAAGAGCTTCGGGTCATCGGTGGACTTTGATACGGTGCCTTGGAGACAGTTTGATCATGGGTAATTTCAGAAGGATTCTTTAGAGTCTGCTTGAGATTGCTTTTCTTCGTGTATGGAGCTAGAGCGTAGGGGTGCGATATGTAACTGCGACCAATAGCGCTTTTATGGTTGCAGAACTCCACAGGAGACGGAAGCAAGGGGGTAATCGGAGGTAGAGGTGGAAGCGGAGGGACATCTGACTGGTCAGATTTACGCTCACTGATAGAGGAGGGGAAAGAACGATGATCCTCCGGCGAGAGCGGCAGTGGAATTTCCAGCGAATTGTTAGTGTACACCATCCTCAATCCAGGAGATAGTACGATTGAAGAGTCGGAGCGTTGGCTTCTGCTGCTTTTCAGGCTAGAGTGCCGTTTCTGACGTGTAGAGCTCTCATAGTCCGCTTTACGAGTAGTTGAAGTATTCGGAAGTGACAAACGACGGTCGTGACCATGCTTGGAAGGGACGCGTCGAGCCTTCCCTGGCGCAGTAGGAAGTAGAACAGAGAAACCGGCAGGCAAAGAGCCGTTGCTGGACAGGCTGTTGGATTGTTTGGAGTCCGAGAAATCAGGGTTATATGCGTCTTTTTCTCCAAACTCGTTCGAACTAGAAGACTTTTCATTGAAGGTTGGGCGAGAACGAGAACCCTTGTGTGAGCGCGATTGAACGTGAAGACTGTACATGAACGAGCTCTGTGTGCTTTCCTTCCAAGATAGACTGTTCCGCCACGCCTTTGCGCTTGTTTCCCAAAATGGCGAGCCAAAAAATCCGACGAGAAACGCGGCTATACCGTCTTTTGATGTCATGCTACGCAGCGATGAAAGCATAGAGGAGTCTGAGGATTCCTGAGAACCAATTGCAAGGGAGGAAGAGGAATTATTGCAGTGAAGACTTCTGGCTCGACGTCTCTTCATGTATATATGCTTCAGGACGACGAGAACGATGAGTACGACGAGGAAGGTGAACAAGATAGCGAGACTGGCAGAAAGACTGTAGGAAGCATTGTTGGAAATACTGCCAGTGGGCGCCGCTAAGGCGAATTGCGGAGAAAGGAGGAAGAAAAGGAGCGCCCACGAAAAGATGATGAACATGAAAGCGTTGTGGAAGGAGTGCCTGAAGTGGTGGAAGCTGAACTAAATATAGCTTTACCGGACGGCAATTTCAGGTCATGTTACAACAAATATTCACAGTTTACAACGTTATTTATCTAAAAGGCGCCAGAATCAGTGAGGGCGTCATGAGCCTGCTGCTTAGCTATAGAATATACAATGCTTGCATCAGCCACCACCAACAGAGCAGAAGATCAAAAGATCTTACCGTGATGTTTAGCCTTCGCCGAATCAATGTAGTCAAGCTAGTGGATGTCAACGATGTGAAAATGCAGGGCCACTGTGGAGCTTACCCCCTTGGTTTCAACCATACGGTCGACAAAGGCTCCTGAGAAAGCGGCGCTGCTCCTTCTTCAGTATATGCAATAAATAGTAAAGTGAACGCATACAGAAGCTCCTTGGCCTTCTCATGGGACTGGGGCTGGCCGTTCTCATCACAGTGTTTCTCGTAAGCCTTAGCAGCCTAGGAGGAATGCAGCAATGAGGACCACAGCGATAGTATACATTTCAGCAACAAACCTCGTACGACGCGGCAGCAGCAATCAACTCGTGGGAGAGTTGGGCCTTGTGGGGTGCGTTGACGACCTGAGCAACGATGAAAAGAGCATGAGGGCACGTAGGACACAGTGTAGATTGAACAGACCTGGTCGTAGGCTTGAGCCTGATCAGAGTCATCGCTGAACCAACCCATGTTGTAAGATATCAAGTATAAGTGTTGGAGATGAAAGTAAGTTGCAAGAAAGGATACGGAATAGTGCTGTCTTTGTACTCCTTTATATGCATTCACAGGCGATAAATATAGCACATGATGGAGATACTATATTTGGAGGGAGGCTATCCAGTCTATATCCGTTGCATCTAAGGGGCGCACATGCGCAGCATTATTGTTATTCATGACCATTCATCGATATATAGAGGGGAATTACCTGACAACTGATTCCAGAAGGAACACCGCTCCAAGATGATGGTAGTCGATTCGTTGGAATAGACCTTGGATCATAGGACTAGGATGGGATCAGCTCTTCCATCCCAGCATCGTCCTCGTGTCTGATCAAACCAATGGCAATAATTGCGGCGACGGCTGAGACACTGCACCGTCGATATAAGCGTCATTGGCAACGCCCGATAGCCTAGTAGGGTAGTTAACAGTGGTCCGTGCAACCGGCAGTACAACAAGACTGATATACACCAATTTTAGATTTCGGATGTTTTTCTGAGCGGTGATGCGCATGACAGCCTCCTTTTCAGTTGAGCAGCTGCCGTGTCCGTGTGAATCAGTGGTGCCGCTGTTACCGAAATGATAGCTTCAAAGTGCGCGACCAGCTGTTTTAGTTGCGACTATGACTGGAGGTACCCTCTCAATAAAAGTGTACTACGTGTCACAGGAGAAGATGTCACCAATCCATGATACTACTTTCGGGTCTGACTATCTGAAATCTTGAACTAGTCTTGAGCTAGTTTGAAGGGTTGAACCTAGAATCAAAATAAGTATAAGTATGCCCATTGCCGTCCGGTACAGGTAGCCGAAAGCAATGGAAACCACAAAGTGTGGGATGCTCGAGAAATCTAGACTCCCCACGATTTTGCTCATCATATAAATTTCGGAGGTTTTTTGATGATTGCACTCTTTGGGGAGGTCGCGTCGTCCATTTCACATGCTACTCTCAACGTCATTGTCACGTGGTCACCCTACCCTGTGTACCCCATACTTAGTATGAAAGGATCCCCCATGTAGAAAACATTTTCTAGGTTGCTACCTGGTTTCACCACCTCCCAATGTCCCACTCAGCTGCAACCAACGGAGTCACTGATCCTTGGGAAGCTGTATATCCTGTCGAAGAGTGAGTACAACCTCTGGCAATCATTCCGGATCATCCATTTGGCACGCGGGTCTAATTCGTTCCCTCAAAGGCATCTCAAAGCCTTCGAGGCTGCATTATATGCTGATGAAGTGTACATCGAACATCATGGAGAGGCTTCTTCACCTGGCTCCGGACCACAGCCTACTCCCACAACATCTCGAATACGGAAAATCTCTGCGTTGTCAGATTGGGCGCCCGTCAATTTGAAAGTCAAGAAGTGAGTTTGACGTGTCCATCTGGGTTGTATCTCTCTGACAATACTAGGCGAAAGAAGAAGGATCGACTTTCGTCTAAGCGACTAGGTCATGACTGGTGGTTTCTTGTACTGCGCTGGCCGCTTTTGGTAAGATGCTACGTTGAAAGCTGGACACGTATTAATGATAATATAGCTTTTCATATTTTTATTCATTGGAGCGGAATTCGGAATCTATGTTCTCATTCGGCAACTCGTGAACGCGAAGGAGTGGGTCTCAGCATGTATGTGATGTGCAATTGCATCCGGACTCGGCAATTTTCATTCATTTGTAGGGAGAGGAAAGAAGGGCGTTCTTAGGAAGAAGCTTAGAGCTTCAACGACTTATGAGGTGCGTGGTCGAGTGTCGCTTATCTGGCAGTGCCTAAAACATGGCGTAGGAATGGAAAGAGGCGGCTAAGGAACTTGACGACTACCTACATTTTGACGAATGGAAGAAGATTGACGACGACCCCTACTATGATTGGAGACTCATCAAGAAGGTTGGGCGTTCTCTGAAGATGCTCCGGGAGAAGAAGGACGCGCGAGGCTGTCTCGGTGTTCTGGAAACTTGTATACGTGCCAACTTTGCAGGGATTGAATCGTCTCGGTGTGTATGCATTGATTTTTTGCCATGATAATGCTCTAACTATCTTACAGGCTGTACAGTGAAGTAGGGCCTTGGCTTTTATTCTGAAGTATCGCTAATCCGCCCTCAGACTTTTCTCGGAACTAAGGATCTTCTTGAATGTAAGCTTTTGTCTGCTATGCCCGTACCTGTACCACCTAACAATGCCTTTAAGCATATCTGGACGAACAAGAGAAGGCGTTGGAGTACATTCGTGAAACGCCTGACCTTTCAATCGATGAGAAGAAGAAATTTTTCAAAAGTGCCAACACTAATCTCGGTGAGACTTCGGATACAACTCATAATCTAAGCAAGCTGATGGATAATATAGGCATATCTGCCTTGTGTCTGTCCGGCGGAGCTGCCCTGGGCTATTGTCAGTGAAACGATTGAATTTTCAAAGACAAACAAGTTGTTTAACACTTCCATCTTAGATCATTATGGCGTCGTGAGAGCCTTCCTCGATGCAGATTTACTTCCCCGTGTCATCACGGGAACTAGCGCTGGTGGACTTATAGCAGCCCTCACAGCATGCCATACTGATGAGGAGCTCAAGGTCCTTCTAGTGCCAAAACTTGCTGACAAACTCACAGCTTGTGATGAACCCTTCAGTGTCTGGAGTAGACGATTATGGGAGACTGGAGCTCGGTTTGATAGTGTAATGTAAGCTACTGAATCCCCGTCATTAATGCAGCTGTACTGATAACTATCATAGCTGGGCAAGGAAGGTCAGGCGCATGTTGCGATAAGTATTGCACTGGCTGACCTATCATTATGCAGAGCACTTGGTTTACTCGTGGTTCCATGACTTTCAAAGAAGCATATCTAAGGACCGGACGGATACTCAACATTACCGTTATCCCTGCTGATCGTCATAGCCCTACGAAAGTTCTCAACTACGTAACGGCACCGGACACGATAATTTGGTCGACGTTATTGGCATCAGCCGCTGTACCCGGGATCATGAATCCTGTCGTCCTAATGCAGAAGCTTAAAGATGGAAGTGCTGTGCCTTGGAACTGGGGCAGCAGGTTCAAAGACGGTTCTTTGCGGTGAGTTCGTTTCACTTCCGGAACCGGTACATAACTGAGCAACGAAAAAAGTGTCGACATCCCGCTTCAGGCATTGAATTTGTATTATAATGGTCTGTGATCATAAGCATAACAGCTGAACTGCTGACGTATTACTTTTGTGTGTAGTCACCCATCCAGTGGTATCACAAGTTAACCCACATGTACACTTATTCTTTTTTGCGCCTCGGGGCTCGCCCGGAAGACCTGTAGCTCATTATAAGGGGAAAGGTGTGTTGATGACTGGCCCATCATCGCTTCATCGTGCTTATTGCGCGTAGGATGGAGAGGCAACTTTGTGCTATCTGCAGCAGAGCAATGGTTGAAGCACGAGCTCACAAAGAACTTCAAAGTCATAAGGGATCTGGAGCTGTTGCCTGAGATTCTTGGGCAGGATTGGTCTAGTATCTTCCTGCAGCGGTTTGAAGGTGCAATCACGTACGTGCTTGCGTATATGCGGTGTGACGAGATACTGACAATACATTTTTTATCATAGCATTTGGCCTAAAACCCGTGCATCGGTAAGACCCGCGTCTACCACACAATGCGCCTTGCTGATCCATGTGTTAGGACTGGGCACGTATCTTGGAGGATCCAGATCCCCAAAATTTGGACCGAATGATGAAGGTTGGAAAGCTTGTCACCTGGCCCAAGGTTAGTTCCCGCTGGATAATTGTTAGATCCGCCTCACCTTTCTTCAGCTGCACATGATCGGCAACAGAATGAGGATTGAGAAACAAATTTTCCTTGGTCGTCAAGCACTTCGCAAGATAACAAGGACCAGACCGCGAAATATTTCACCGGAAGGCATCACACCACCTCCTAATGGCTCAGACCTTCCGTTGTCTGTTGACACTGACGCTGAAGCAGCATTTTCAAATGGCACACAATGGTTCTACCGACGTGGTCACCACGCCGGTACTGAAAGACCTGGAGATTTGGAACACGATCCTTTACGGTCGTCTGCTGTTCGAAAGAAATGGGTCGCCGACCTACTTCATGGTGGAACTGAAGAGCGCAATACGAGAAGCCCAGCATATGGTCAACTCCCGGCAGGCGGGTTTTTCCGGCGACTGAGAACCAACTCGTTCCCGAATCTGCGTCTTTCCGGATTGAGAGAGAACGTCCAAGAGAGACAAGACAAGATGGACGTAAGCGTCGAACGGTCTTGGAGTAGTGATAGCTCGTCAGACGATGGTGTCTCTGTGGAAGGTAGCCGACCTTCCTATCTATCCTCTCCGAGGTACGAGCCTGGTCAGGAATTGGATGAGGGGGAGGAGTCTGATGTAGATATGTAAGATAATTGTAATTACTGATATTATGCTAGTATTTTGAATTGGTATCTAGAAGCTGTGGCAAGTCAGAGTAACCTTTGTCAGCAGCTACAAAGGGAATTTCGGGCCGGGTGACCGAGCTCTCTTCTACCATTACCACCTACAACGTTCAACTCTCAGGGATATTGTCGTTCTGAAAGGCATTTCGACGCTGCATTATGTCTGATTCACCTGCACCCGTGGCATCTCCCATTTCTTACGATGCTCTGCGTGAGGCTGCAGAGAGGCGTGCTCAACAGCAGTCCAATCAGCCTTCTGCCGCCCAATTAGCTGCTGAACATGAAAGGCGACAAACGTTCAGGCGGCTACTTGATCCTGGAATTACTCGTCCTAATTCGAAAGAGCAAGCATTGGCTTCAATGAAAGTACTTCAGTGTTCTCTGTTCCGCCTGCCAGGACTGTCCTTTTCATGTTCTTATTATCTCAGACGCTCTTGATGATCTCCGAAAACCTTCTACGTGAACCCGAAAATCCTAAGTTCCAACAATTCAAGCCGACAAATGGTATCATCAAGCGGAATCTTATAGATCCGAAAGGAGCTTTGGAGTATGCTATCGAGGTTAGCGACTGCTAGTCTGATGTGCGACGTGTAGCTTATACTCGTTTATCTAGCTCGGATTTCGTCCGGAAGTGAAGGTAAGCCAATGCGTATGCTTGAGAGCTTAGTTTCAGCCTTATGTCGGGTAGAATTTTCAGCCTTTCTATACCTTCCATCCTCGCCACATGGACAGTTTGCGTATCGGCTCCGTATGACTATTCTATCTGATGGAGTTCGGAATATTCATGAAACTCTGTAGGCTATCCTCAAGGAAGCGTTTGATCTCGAGACAGAGAAGCAAGAGCGCGCTGCTCTGGCCAGGAAAGAGGAGAAGGCTGTGGCTGCAGCCGCTGCCAACAAGGTCTGATTGCCAGCCGCATTATTTTCTGCTGACTGGACTATCTCTTCAGGTTAAACTCGCATTCATGGACGACCGAAAATCCAAGATAGAAGCCGATCGGCGGGAGAAAGCACTTCGGGAAGCTCGTCTAGCTGCAGCCGCTGCCAGAGGGTCAGAACCAAGCACGTCGCCTGAGCCTGAACGGTTGAGACACGTTATGCCGGGATCTGGCCATGTCCTAGGCTTGGACATGCCGCCTGAGGGTGATCGTGCAGAGGATTCTGAGGAAGACTGAGTGAAGCCTCAGTTAATATGTAACGTTCGAACGATGTATACTGCTACCATCCATTTATATATTCTTAAAATACCGTTATATCAATACAGAAAGATCCCAGCAACGAATATATATGCATAGTACGGGACGTATCACGCAAACCCGTTGCGGTCAAATCTAGGTGCCGAAGAAACCCTACCAGGACCCGAAACCGAGCGGTCTTCAGCTACAATTGTGAAATGGCTTCAGTTACTGTTGCATGTAGAACACTATTGCAGAGGCACTCACCAGAGTTTAGTGCTCGTACTCGCTGGAGAACTAGACTGTCTCGCTTTCTTGTCGTCGGTCGAGGCGGCAATGGATGTCGGAAAACTTCGTTGTCGTAGTCTGGCTTTTGTTTTGCGGGTAGCATCATGGAGGTTGACCTACTTAAATGGGCGATATGCCCTTCTCCTACTGATGGAAGGGGAGGTGCCTCTCGTCGCACGGAGGATGAGCTAGAGATGCTGGATCCGCTTCGTTTGTGAGTAGATGTGCCCTCTAGGGAGTCGCCGGTTGTTATATGAATATCAGGCCGAGACCGAAGCGGTCGACTGATAGCAAGAGGTTCCTTTGAGAGAAAGGGGGGATTGGATTCGGAAGTTAGAAGCCTCTCATTGGGACGAACAGGAAGACCTCTACTTGGCGGTGGAGTTGATGGAGGTCCGACTTGGGAAGCAGGTCGCAGACGGAGAGTTGCACGATGGTCTAAATTCCTATTAATGTTAGATTGGGTCGACCTGTCAGTGATCCCGTTGATTCTCGAGGATGGTCTAGCGGCAAAGACTTCTTCGTGCAATTGATGATGAGTTTTCGATCTTCGGACAGGATGTCGAATCGGTTTCGGTTCTTGTGTCTTTTTCGTAATCGGATCATTGAGATGAGGTAGAGGATAGGTCCTCGGTTGAACCGGTGGGTAAAGATCAAAATGAGGGTAGACAGCTGGACCTAAATAGAAGGTTCAAACTCCTTACAATTCCCGAAAAGTAGAAACTAACAAATTTCAAAGAGCGGAGTGCCGCATCCTGGTTTTACTGCAGCGTCGTCTCGAGATTCCACCTCTTCTGGCATTGGTCCAACGGCCGGATAGAGATCAAAATGGGGATATACGGCAGGGTCTGCAAGAGCACTTCAATGCTGAGTAAGAAAAAATAAAAACATCCTTCTTACAAATGTTAAAATGAGGGTATTCGACAATCGATGAGACCTCGACTTGATAATCAAAATGAAAATGATCTATCGAAATAAATATCAGAAAGGTAATGCCACGACCACGCGACAAACTAACCAGGCTTGGAAGTCGGATAGACGACTTCGGGAATGGAATAGTATGCGTTGAGAGCTTTAATGTCCTTTGGTAACGGAGGATATAGGATAAGGTCCGGATAAATGGGCGGATCTAGACATAACACTTGAGAATGTTCAAGTTTAGCATGACGAAGTAAACATACATAGATTTAACGTTGGATACATTGCTTTCAGCCAAACAGAGATGGGTTGCTGCTCCTTTTCCACAGAGTCTGTTGTTGAGTTTGAGAATGTACATCAGACGCGGGCGACTAGAGATACTGACCAGGTTCGATTACCGCATGAGATGAATAGGTCTCTGGTGCAGTCGGCCTGTCTGACATCGAACCCTCGTATATAGATGGGTAAATCTCGAGGAACGGGTATAGCGCGGGATCTAGGAAAACATGAGTTCTAATAGCAGATAAATATCTCTATGATACGAACATAAGTTGAACACAGGGTACGTTGAGGCACATCTTACTGAAAGTATCGTAATTTTGTTGCCTTCATCCTCCTGTCGATCTTCGACGCCAACTAAAGGATCCATCATGATGTTACCTTAGCTTGTTCTGGGAAGATGAGACAAGAAATCTTACAGATTTCGAAGTCCGGACGTTTACCCTTCAATGACAAGGCATCGGTCGCTTCTGCCTGAGTTTCGGCTCCAAGCGTTTCATGGTTATCCACATCAATCGTTGGAGGACACGGCGTGTTGCGAGGATAAATCGGGGCATCTGCAACAAAGTTGTAGCGCAAAGTCTCGACCGGATGGTGAACAGCAGTGTCAGTCTTGACATGATTGACAACGGAGCGCTCTGCAATTGTTACATCGTGGTATATCTCGTTCAAATTATGAGGGTAAACCCCAGGATCTAATTGGATTTTAATTAATGTTTCGACACTTATAAGTTGTCTAGACTCACATAAATTAAAAAAGGGGTACACAGCCGGGCAGCTCATCAATATTACCACCGACTCGCTGGTAGTCAGCTTCTTCACCTCGGGTTCCGTGTAAGATGCAATCGCAGGGTACAGGTCAAAGTGTGGGTATACAGCTGGATCTGTCGAAGAATTTAAATCAACTCTGCAGCGTTGCAATGTGGAATTCTTACAGATGATCAGGTTTGGATACACAGATCGCCCAAATTCGACAGAGACGTTGAGATGTCCTCCCTCTACCATGGCCGCGCCATATTCCTCGACATGCCTATTGTATGGCCACACATGCTGCCAAGGTGCACCAGTCGAGTCAACGCCCCGTGGAATGTTTAAATAAGGCCAGCCATGTCTCCAAGGCGCACTGTCCAATGAGACACTGGGTACGTCGGCTGCAACAGTGGAATACGGCCAAACATGTTTCCAAGGTTCACTAAGTCCATCTGACTGTGCGTTTTCAGGCCAGACCTGCCTCCAAGGCGCCTCATTTGACGTCCGTCCGTTCGGCAACGCATTGTTATTATAAGGCCAGACATGTTTCCAAGGCGCACCAGCAGATGCCCCTTCAATGGATGCTGCGTTGTAGGGCCAGACGTGCCTCCAAGGCGCATTTACTGCAACAATTTCATCGGCGTCACATGTATAAGGCCACACATGTCTCCAAGGGCCATTTGTCGATGCATCCGATACACCACGGACGTTGTCCAGGCCTTCCTCTTCAGAAATTTCAAGAGAACGATGTCCCACATCTGGGGTTGCAACATAGAACGGGGTAGTGGGGCTAGGAGGAAAAGACAGAGGTGCGCCCCATGAGGTTGCCGTAGAAGGTGTTGCTGGTCGGCTGACATCTCCATTGCGATCAGCAATATGAATAGAAAGCGGACGAGCGTGTGACGCTGGCGATGGAGGCCACGAGGGAGGTCCCCAACTCGTAGCGGTTGAAGGAGTGACAGGTCTGCTGAAAGAAAGACGTTCCCCGATGTCCAATGAAGGAGCGCGGAAGCTACTCGTAGGTGATGGAGGATAGACAGACGGAGGACCCCAGCTAGTTGCAGTAGACGGTGTCAACGGTACCTCTTCCAGCATTCTCAGAGCAATGTCAGGAGATGGCAGCCGGAAACTAGCCATTGAAAGTGGGGAGAGTGTGTAATCTGAAGGACCAAATGATGTGCAATCAGTAGGTGTTAAACAAACAGATCCTTCCATCCGATTGGCAATATGAATAGACGGAAGGCGTGGACAGGATAATGGGGATCCAGGTTCATAATCTCCAGGCCCTTGCGATGATACGGACCACGTAAAATCTTCTAATTTTAACTCCTCTTCCCCGGTGGGGATCAAACCATCATCGAGCATCAAATTGTTAGGCATGTTTGCGGGTTCTAAGCTTGTCTGCCCTTTGGCCGCAAGAGGTGTGGGCTCAAGCGATGCGCTGGCTCGCCAAGACTTAACCCGGGTCTCAAGGTTTTCTTTCGCCGACTTCGGTTCTTCTACCTGATGAATGGGAGACAGCATCTGAGAAGTAGAAGTTCCGTTCCCCGGAGGAGTCAAGAGGCTGCGAGGTTTCGCAATGGGGCGAATGGTCACTGTATCCAGCCTGTCTACTAAAGACAGATTTCTCGGGACATGGCGAGACATAGGGGCGATCAAGCGCGTTGAGGATTGACGGGGTGATGGGCTGTCGGGATGCTTATCGAAAGACTTGTCCTCGACAGATGTTTTACTTTCGTGACGAAGATGGGCTGCGACTGTCGTAGAAGGAACTGAGGATATGGGAATATCAACAGGTTCTCTTTGAGAAGGAAATAACCATGCGCTGTACCACCTTGCCTGGCGAAGATCAATGTCAAATTCGATCTTTCCATTGATGGGTAGCTTTTGACTGGATGATGTCCCATCAAAGAGATGGTTCCAAAGTAGACCCCAGGTTTCATCAGAAACTCTGGGAGCGAGTGTGATGCCATCTGAGCTACAATGCAGATAGACGCATAAGCCGGTAGTACTAGGGAAGTTGAACTCCCGGGCAATAGCTGTTAGCTGGCCATATAGCTGGGATACGGTGTCAGAAGTTACCTAGAGATACATGTCAGAAGCATACCGTTGGGAAGAGCGGCATTAGCAGACCCTGGGCCAACCTCTGCTGTGGTCCCGATGACAAGGTATGTCCAAGCTGGCCATGCTCCTGCAATAACGAGGGCGGGGGAATGACAACGATGAAAGACTTGAAGCTTCGCTGGGAAACTCGCTCGCGAGATTCTCGGATCCCAGAACTATGGTATGCCAGGGATGACACCCTGCGGTTCCTTGGGCCTGGCGTCTCTATGCCAAGGATGGGATTTTCAGAGTCCATGTTATGAAGGTTCTGCATACCAGCGACAGAGATGGTAGACGGCATGAGAGATGGCCCAGTGGGGTCCGAGCTCGTTACCGGAGAACTGGGTGGCACCCTACCTGGGAATTCGAAGAATGTGGCAGGTGGTTGGTGAGAAGACGAGGCCGTGAGGCGCGACATTATTGTAATATAGAAAGAAAGCAGTCGTGACTGGAGCGAAGAACCAAAAGAGAGTTAATTGACGCTGCAAGTGGAAGACGGTCATGATTTGATCAGAATGATAGAAAGTAATCCTCACAATGATATGTACTTCAGACTGGGACTCGGATTCCAGGCCGTAAAGGCAAGTCTAAGCGGTAAGAAAAAGGAGGGTGAACCAGTCAGAAAGGAAAGAAAGCGAAGAAAACGGAATACGAGAACACAGCCTTGCTGGGAGCAGTCGCCTAATACTGTGGGAGTTCTGCTGACACCGATCAGTGATTTTCCGGCTTGGCCATCAATGTGGTCACGTGTTTGACGCGCCACATTCCCGCCAAGCTCCCCGCCACTACTTGCTTCCCCAATCGACATCATGGAAGGTAAATTGGCCGCTATCGCTTCCCTAGGACAGAAGGACAAGGCCCCTGCTCTCAGTTCTTTACTGCAGGAGACCATCTCTGCTCAGAATCAGCCTTCATTTACCGCAGATTTACATACTTTCGTCGAATCTGTGGTCAACCAGGACAATCTACTTATTGGCCGCCAAATCTTGACCGATGTTGTCAAAGCTTTGGCTCATGATAGTATCGGAAATCACGACCTACGGAAGAACGCTGTTGAGGACACCCTGGCGGTTGTTTTGCCTAAGATAGTGAGCTATGAAGAGCAGGTATGTCTGCAAGACCATCGCCAGTGTACAGCGCCTCATCACCATAAAGATCATTGCACTACGATTTCAATTGGCTGATATTCTAGAAGAAGAGGAGGAATGGAGTTCTGCAGCGCGCGTTTTGATGAGTGTATACAATGAGAGTGGGCAAAGGTATGTATGAGGTAATTCGAGTCTGAATGTTGTCTTATTTCTTCAAGATCATTCACGGACAGCGACAAGCTTCGCGGATACGTTCGCATCGTACGCCTCCTGCTCGAAGAAGAGGACTCGGTGCAAGCAGAAACATACTTCAACCGGGCACAATTAGTTGTGCATTCCACAAATGACAAGGAAACACTTCTTCAGTTCAAGTTGTGCCAAGCAAGAATAAGTGACTACGGCCGCAAATTTTTGGAAGCTGCCAGCCGTTATCATGAACTGAGTTATGTGGGAGAGATTGATGAAGATGAAAGACGACAGATGTTGTAAGTTCCTTTGTTTCATGCCCTACACCGTGCCTCACCTCATTCAAGGGTGGCAGCAGTGACATGTGCTGTACTTGCGCCTGCAGGCCCCAATCGCTCCCGTGTTTTGGCATCACTGTATCGCGACGAACGTACCTCCGAACTACCTACGTATAATATCCTGTCCAAAATGTTCCTCGATCACATCCTTCGCCCCGCAGAAGTCAAAGAATTTGAGGGTACCCTAAAGCCGCACCAACTGGCCAAAATCGCCATATCATCAAACGACCGTCTAGCTTCTTCGAGTCACGACAATGCCGATGACACGACGACAAGTAGCCGCACTGGCCCATCAACAGTTTTAGATCGCGCGGTGATGGAACACAATGTGCTGGCAAGTTCGAAAATATACAACAATATTACTTTCCGAGGTTTGGGCGCATTACTTGACCTTACCCCCGGTGCCGCCGAGAATATGGCTCGAAAGATGATAGAACAGGGACGGCTACGTGGATCTATTGACCAGGTCGATAAACTCATTTGGTTCGAGGGCAACCGCGAGGAAGATGATGCCCAAGGAAAAGCTGGCGGTCTCGGAGATGTGGAGGAAGCAGAGGACACTGGGGCCCCTTTTACGAAACGATGGGACACACAGATACGGCTCACGGCAGCAAACGTAAGTGACAATGTTTCATGTTGAGCTCGCCTAAATTGTCTTGCAGGTTGAGTCCATTGTGCAACACTTGACAGACAAAGGCCTTATCAAGATTCCAGTGGCCTGAATTTCTTACCTTATTTATTCGCTGCATTCATCTGCCTCGAACAGCACCCTGCCTTTCTCGAGTGTATATTTACCGCCTTCATCACTTTCTGCCGGAAGCAAGGGAGGGTCGTCCAACACGCCGTTCACTCACTGTCCAAATGTATCATCTATTTTGTTTCGATAAATGGACCAGTTGATCCCGTGTTATTTGTGTCGTGAATTAATGCTGCAATGAGATAAAATCCTCCGTGATATACATAAATCAACGTATTCATTCTTTTTTCCGCTTTTTGGCTCGTTCACGTTTCGTCTCCAGCTCATGCCATTCTCCTTCAAGATTAGCAAGACTAGTGGAAAAATCAGTCAGAAAGTTCACAAACGACCAAGTCTGGCGTACCCGTGAGGTCGCTCCGCTTCGGGTAGTTCAAATTTGAAGTACGGTGCATCCATTGCCTGGACTGCGGAGGCGCGCTTGGACGGATCATAAGCTAGAAGTTGCTCGGCAAGATCGAGCGCAGCAGGAGACATCCACCTGTACGTCATCAGCCTACACCCAACGTGTCGGAAAATATGATGCTTACTTCTGGAACAATTCACGAAAGCGGTTGGCAACAGGGTCTTTGGGCTTAACGAGCTCATACCATGGCAGGCTTATTATGTCTGGCCATCTGTCTTGTGTAGGTGTACCAAGAATACGATAAATAACATCCAATTGATGTATTTCGTCATTCCCTTGGAACACGGGTTTTTTCGTGAAAAGCTCCAGCATAATGCATCTGTAGAAATTGTAAATACTCGTGAAGATGAGGTAAGTCAATCAGTACTTGCCCAGCACTCCACATATCGACCTCAGGACCGTACACCGTGGCACCAAACAAGAGCTCCGGCGGACGGTACCAAAGCGTTATCACGCGATTGGTGTAATCCGTCCGCCGTCGTTTTTGATAAAATCGCGCCAATCCAAAATCGGCCAACTTCAACTCACCACGATTGTTAATAAGGATATTGGACCCTTTGATGTCACGATGAATCACCCCCTTATGATGGAGGTAGGATAACCCTGCTAGCATCTGGTGACACAGCGACTTAAGATGGGCATCAGAAAATGAAAACTGGGACTGAGACAAAATGCCCGTTAGATCGTGATCCATATATTCGAATACCATGTACACCGCGCCTGAAAGATATATCGTTGAACAAAACGGACACACATGTAGAGAAGGCTGTTACTCACCGCTAGAGACGAGGATTTCATAAAGTCGAACGACGTTGGCATGTCGTAAAGATTGCAACAACTTGATTTCTCGCATTGCTGTGACAGGAAAACCATCTTTTTCCGACTCCATGCGAATTCGCTTCAGAGCAACATGCACACCGGTTTGTACGTTCTGGGCCTTATAGACCTTTCCAAATGTACCCTCGCCAACTTGACTGACGATATTGTATGACCCATCACGAGAAGAACCGGCCAATGGCTTGTCTGAATCGACGCCAAATTGCTCTTCATCGACCGGAGGTGTTGACGGCTTACAAGCGAGCTCGGCTTCGGCAGTGCGCGGTTCTTCTCGTCTAACCCGGGGATCAACAGATGGCCGTGAAGGCTGCGGCGGTGGAGATGATGGGTCGGACGGTCTCGAAGGCTGACTTCGACTTCGGTGCCGGTCGGGTTCTTCCGCGGGACTGGGACCATCTCCGTGAGGTGTGCGTATGGAGGGGTCCTCGTTCGTAACCTTTAGGGCAGAAGACTGTTTTTCATGAGAGAATTCCTGTGAGCGCGGTGCAACAAGGACATCAGGGCTGACATCCATGTCCTCGTCATCTCTGGGAAAGAATCTCTTTAGTGAAGAACTCTTTTGTCCTATTGGTTTGAAGCCCATGCTCTTTGCCGGAATCAATCTAGGAGTAGCAGATGGAGGATCGATGGTGGGAGGCTCGACGAAATGCGGTGGTGCTGGTCGGTCAGTAATTATAGGTCGTTGCGGCAGGGTTGAGGGAAGGAAAGAACTTGGGGGCGGCATATCATCGGCGCTTTCATATCCATGACGCTGAATTGCAAGCATTAGAAAGAAACAAAGAAAGGAAAAAGGAGAGATAGTTGTACCTTGGAACCATTATGAGCACGAGTTCCATTTCGTCGAGAGTCACGTTTGCTATGACCTTTCTTGGATGACTCTGATTGTGAGAGAGACACACGGGTGGAAGCCGTTGGAAGACGATGCACTGCGCGTGGATGCTCTGCAGGGCTTCGGCTAACACTCCTGTCAGAACTCCGGCTTGATACAGATGACAAACTTCTTTGTCGTTTCTGTTTGCGAGAGCCACGACGGGGGGAGGCGGGAGACTCAAAATGATCTTTTTCTGTCCGACGCTCATTCGGGGTATGACTTCGTTTGACAGGGCTAGAATCTTGTCGCAAGCGTTTCGGGGGCGGTGACGTCGAACGAGATCGACTTCGACCCCCACGAGCGGAATAGTGTGACCGCAGTGAGTCTGAGGAGTAAGATCGATTATGACGGGTAGCCTTGGTGTCAGTCGAGTGATATTTGGTCCGCTTGGTCCAGCTAAAAAGAAAGAAAAGGATTGAGATTGAGGTTAGCAGGGAAAAGCAGTGAGGTGGTTAACGAACTTATTAAAATCACTGTCATCTATACTGTGCTTCTCTGCAGTACGCTTGGATTTCGTGTGGTTATGGCTCTTCTTGCTGCTGCTCTTAGCGTTTTTATGCAACGAGTGTGAGGTACCGTTGCGAGTACTCCCGTTCTGAGCCCGCGAGCTTTCTTCGTCATGAGACGATTTCCAGCTCGGCGCTGGTTCCCATTTGCGATCCTCGCTGGCGCCTTCCAGGGCGGGGTAGCTGTGCTTTGAGTGGTCGTCCCAGTTTGACCCGCCACTTTCACGAGCTCGGGAGCCCCACCCAGAATCTGGTTCCCATGATTTGCCACCTTTTTCTCGTCGACGGTCCCTCTGCCACCGGCCAGTCTCATCAACGACACGTTCCGGGGCCTGAATCCGCTGTGCCCTGTCTTGAGGATGGTTGGAACGACCGCGTCGGCCGTCGTCCTGCGGCCATGTCTCGTAAGAAGTGCTCCGCTCTTCATACCCAGACGTGTGTGCTTTCCACGACGGATCAACAAAGTCTTCATACCTTTGCTCCCACTGCTCACGAGACATCGTGGAATAACGAGGTGTATCAGTGCCTCCGCGAGACGCCCAATTGCCAGTATCTCTGGAACTAATCAGTTCGTAGTCATCTATGGCCCCACGATGGTATCCGTCACTCGAAGATGCGTAGCTGTAACGCTCCTCGGCCACTGGTAGCCATGGGTCAGCATCTACTTTTCTTGACGAAGACGATTCCCTGTTCATGTCGTAATATGCCCTGCTCGACGACGCTGTCGAAGAAGAATAGTTGTCAGAGTGGTGGTGGGAAGAATGGTGATGATGAGACCGGGGATAGGATTCTGGCTGTGGCTCATCCGGTCTTGGAAGTAAAAGGGCGGTTTCTTCATCCTGCGCGTGTCCTCGTCGCCGCTTATGGGGTCGACCATGCTGGGACGGCATCGTATAGGCTGCTTGTACCGTACTTGACAATAAAATGAAGCGTGACGTGTCCCTATGCTAAAAAATTAAACGTCGTGTCATCGGTGAGCGCGTTCAGACTGACTGAATGAACCGGACTTGAAATCTGCGACAAAGGGTCGTTTACAGGTATTTTCAGAGCGAACAGTCGGTGCACTGTCAGTATTAGGCCAGGGGAACAACGAATGAACAGCAGGAGACAATGAGACAGTAAGCAGCAGAAATACTGTTGGACGAGATAGCGACTTACATAACAAAGAATAGAAAACATTCGTTGCGTCCAGGGAGAACCGTGAACGTCGTCAGTGCCGTCTGTTGAAAAAAAAAAACAGCGTCGGGACCAAGGCCAGCCGGAATTGTCGAAGCTTGACCTGTTCAAGAGTATTCAAGTTCAAGAGCTAGGTCAGCCATGTGGCAACGTAAATTCCAAACTAAAATGTATATTATATTTGTATGGTACAGTATCTTACAACACATCATGTCTTCCTACTTCCAAAAGCTTCTTGGTCTACTGGCTACGACAAGGAATTACATCCGAGTCCCCGTCAACAGAAACGCGGACCTGACCAGCTTCATATAGCTGCATCAGCGCCGCCATATCAACACTTCGAATGCTTCGGATAGACCTGCTTCGCTGGTTTCTCTCAACGATAGCCTCAGCATTGTCTATTCGGGAGAATTTGCTTTCCTCGTCCGTGGGTGCAAACAGCTGGGTATGATTTATGGGACCAATATGCAGATGAATTATGGGGACTGACCTTTACGGTAGTATCGATACCACTCACGGCGACAAGAGGGAGATGTGGATGTCCCTCAATAACGTTGACCACACTACCGTCTCCTTCATAGATACCGTGAAGATTCCCACTTTCCTTGCTCCATACAAAGAAGTTACCATCATCAGACCCAACTGTAACGTATTCGTCACTCGGACCCAGAAAGTTGACTGTTTAATGAATATAAGAGTCTATGGATCAACACTACCCACGTACCATCCTTGACCGTATCGATATTCCGAGCTCCAATGTATTTTTGTATTGGCATAATGGTCGGAGTGTCTTTTTCCTCTTCGGGCACTCCCAGAGTTGAGTAGCGATACACGACGTCCCCGCTATAAGCTGTACAATCTCATCCAGGATGTGTCAACGGCAAGGACAACTGTCCACCTACCCAAGAGTACCTATTACAAGTCACATTAAGCAGGATATTGCATGAAGAAAAGACAATGCATGTACTTCGTCACCAGCATGTGAAGACATGCGTGCCCCAGTGATATGCTCCCGTCGAGGTCGACTGTCTGCATCTTCAGCAGGCTGCGGACGCCCAAATTGTTTAACACAGGTCGTCAGATCCGTGGAGAAGACGCTCGATGGCTGGCTTGTTGTCTGAAGATGACGCCGGTCAAAAAGGAATCCCTGTTGAAACCGAAAGCAATTATAACTAGACGGAGGACGAATGAGGGCAGCAGACGAACATGGGGTGAGTCTCCCGCTACAACAAATTGATACGGCGTAAGGGGAGACATGGCCAAGGAAGTCAATTCAAAGTCAACTTGCACCAAAGGAGCTGGGCATCCTGTACGGCATGGATGAGATGTTCGAAGGTCGTGTTGACGAACAGTTCCATCCTATGTGGCGACATGAGGGCATGGAGTGACGGAAAGCCAGAATAACGCACTTCGGACACTGTCAGGAAAACATCGGGACTGTCCTCTGTGACTATCCTCTTCACACGATCCTCGTGACAGCGCAATGTATGCGTCGGGGTTTCAGAATACCTCCCTTCGTATCCTTGCACTAATGGTCCGTGCACTTCCCCGATATCGAACACAAGTACTTGTTTATCACCTGCGACTGTAGCACTGATTTGAGAGATAAGAATGTCATAGTCAAAAGGCAGAGCGAGACTGCGTACATTCGGGAAGAATGAGGGAGCATACGCGCATTGAAGATATTGGCCCGATGACCAGTGTGTATTACGGCGCAGCATACGAAAGGGTACTCAGTATCGCTTTCAGAGGGATCCATTCTCCATATACGAACGCTATCGATCCTCTGTCAAAGGTCTGTTCATATGCAAGGAGATGAGCAAAATACGTTGTATCGTCCCCGCCACTGAGAAGAAGCTCGCCGTCACGGGCCCAACTAAGAGCATTCACACATCTTCTCGCAGAGAAACATCAGCCGACAGAACAGAAGGGCAGAGATAGACATGTACCCGCTGTGGCCTTCAGTCCCCTCATCACCTAGTATGTTTACTCGATCCAGTGGACGTCGGAGGAGACTGGCCAGACAATCATTCCTAAACCAAGTCGAACGTGTTAACGAAGGGAGATTCTGAGTTAACGTCAGTGGTAGTCCCGCTGCATGAGATATCATCTCAAAGTTAGAGCTCCCGCATGGAGAGAATCAGAAAGGTAGTAGCTGGTAGTAGTCGATCAAGTTGCTTAGTCGGTGACGTCAAACTTTTTCAAGATCAGAGACGAATCGATGATATTCGAATACTCAGTACGGTAGACATAACACACTTGGGAATGAAGGACATGATATTATACTCAGGACGAAACGACTCTATCATTAATCTTACACCCACGACGTAACTTGTGGAAAATAGCATAATGGCGAGGAGCCGGAGTCAAGACGCTCAAGACGCTTATGTAGACTCAGCGAATCCGACAGCGTTCTTTCCAAGATCGTAGACAGTGAAGTATCGGCGAAGGAAGACATCACCTAATAAGTGACGATAGTCAGGCTTTGCGAAGACACATTACGGAGACACGCACCAATGATCCACAATGAACCGCCGGGAAGGTTGATGTCGAGACCAGTGAAAGCGGAAATACATGTGCCTTGCACTTCCAGAACATAGTCAGAGCCCTTCAGTGGGTAAGGCTTGCCGCCGAAGTAGAAGGTCAGCTCCGGAAGGCTGGGGACTTTAGCACAGTCGACTTGGTATTGCCCATTCCACGACTTCTTAGCGCCGATTTGAGCGTTGAGCATCTCAGCCATGTCGGTGGGGAGTGCGATCAAGGAAGTGCCTGCCTGACTATGAGAGACTATCAGAATATACGATGTTACACGTACCGGTATCAATGGCAGCACCAGTGTTCTCGAGCTCAAGCTCATCATCTCCGAAAGACACTTTGTCGAGCTCAACCTCCCAGTATGCCTTACGGCGAACGGGAACGTAAGTGATAGATCCCTTGTATGCGCTACTATCCAAGCCACCGAACACTGCCTCACCACCATCTTCTTCAGAGGATCCGAGACGGAAAGAGAAGATGGGCTCAGAGATCAAACCGTCATTGATCATACTGTAGAATGGGGGAGTGATGTGATTGACCGAAATGGTATCGTAGCCAAGACCCAAGATGCCATCAAACCTAATGAACCATTAGCATCGCTTGTTGTAAAGCATATCAGAAATACTGACTTTCCGAAGGCAAACGCCAAGCCAGGCTCCTTGGTGGCCTCTGCAAAATCTTGATGCTTAATAGTGAGGTCACCGATAGTCAAGGCATCGTTGGAAACGAAACCCTCCATAGACCCTGAGCCATATTGAATGGAAAACTCTGAGCCATTGGCCTTATATGACGATGATGAAGAGGAATCGTATTTCGCATGCAAGAAGCAAGCGATAGATGAACATTTGGTGCTAGGAACCCAAAGGTTGCTCGAACTGGAAAGGCAAGACGTCAGCAGTATTTCAAATTACGTATCGGTGCACGAAGTACCCAGTGTCCAGGATGACTTTGAACTGTAACACGAGTCAGTGATCGTGGACATTGACATAATACAAAAAGCCTACACTCTGAGGGGGTGTTCCGAGTGAAATTTCAGTGAAGTATTGCGCGTTCATGAAATCTGGAGGTACACGTGAAGCGGTGACTGGCGCATATAGCCAACTACTCACTGCTGAGGGGTACTCCATGACCACCCTTGACCATCTCCTGTGTCCAAAAGAGGTCCTCATCCTTCTGGGGCGGAATGCTGTCGAAACGACGGCCTGCACCGCCAGCACCCATGAGGGGCATTTGGGGCTGGGCAGGAACGCCATACTTCTCTGAAAGATAGAGGCTCTCGAGCTCCGGGTTATTGACTGCAGGCGGGAGCTTCTTGAGCTTGAGCCTGTGCACGCCGTCTGCAGCAGAGACGATAGGCAAAAGGGCGAGTAATGTGGAGAGGATCATGGTGGTAGAGAAACAACGGAATCCAGCCTGGCAACCCAGGTCAACGTCACCGCAGCTTGCCGAGGGGACCGCCGCGATCACGGCATTTGCCGACAGCACTCTTTCAGATACTTTCACTTGTGAGCACTACCGTCGCGCAATGAGTGCTCGTCGTAGGTCTCATGCTGCTTCAGTCGACATGAACCGTCTTTCAAAACTAGATCGTCTTATTATGGCCCAAGCAGTCTGGGAAATTGGCACAGAATGGACTGCAATCGCAAAAATTCTTTCCAAGCACCCTCTTCTTTCACACCCAAAGTCTTTCTTCACTGCACAAGTCAGTATGTTCCTTGCTGTTGTTAAGTCAACAGACAAGGCTGAATTTTTTGGTCGCGTCAGTCGTGTGCAGTAATGTACAGTTCTCTTATAAAGGAAGCCGAGCTTGACATGTAAGGTTAGATTATTCGACGTGCTTACGCGTTGTTGACATCTATTCAGCTCACAAGAAAATAGTGAACCTAAAGGTTCCCGGTTTTCATTTGCCTCGTGTTGAAGGATCGCTCAATGGACCGTAGCGGATGTGAACCTCAAGTTGGCGAAACGACAATACCTTGCTCGATACCAGGAGCTACGAGACGACATCTCAGCCGAAGAAGAAAAGTTCAAGTAAATAATAATCCACTCCTTCGATCCATTACTAACAAGCGCCCAGGAAAATTCTTGCTGAGATTGAAGATATACGGTCGGGATCATGGGATGACAAGATTCGAGCTGATATTTCTGGAGTCCCCGAAGAGAAGGTAAATGAGACAGTCTGTATTTTTATTTTAGATTTTCTCCTCAAACATTATAGGTTACGCCAATTCCCGAAACAACCACGGAAGAGAAACCTGTTCCAGAGCTCGACGGAACGATAACCACTACGACCGCTCTCCCAACGGTATCGTCCGATTTTCTTTGGTGTCGCGTCATTGTATCGAGACTTATATAGGAAATGAATGCGCCGGTGGAAGACAGCATCGCATCTCTAGAAGTCCTACCTGCATCAACCGATGCCGAGGTTTCAGATGCACCTCCACAAGAGAATTCACCGAAGTTAGTGCTTATACCCTTCTGGTCGTATTCTTCACAAAAATCTTTCGTAGGCTTCCTCAAGAGTTTGTGGAAAGCCCGCCTCATGACTTGACATCACTTTCAGAAGAATCAGCGGAACCTGATGTGGTGGAGGCTGCAGAAGTTTCTCATCAACCTGTCGAAGAATACGAATCGGAACCTCACTCGCCGCCCGAAGTCCTAGATGTTGATATGGCAGGGGAGCCTGAAGACACGCCGAAAGCTGCAGACCTCGACGAAGACGGTATGACATCAGGAGACGAGCCATTACAAACAACACGCAGTAATAATATATCTTATCAGCATGCCTTTCCATCTGACCGGACTTTATCAGAATCAACACGTCGACGCCGATCGTCTGGTACCACAGTCGCCCAGGCCAAGGCCGTCAAAAGCCGACGCCAGCGACGTGGTACCTCCGTCCCCGAAGACGGTGACACGTTGCCTGAAGCAGACATTGAAATGGTAGCGACACCTCAAGAAGATCAGGCTGACTCTCCGAATGCTGATGTTGTCACAACGAGGCGAAGTAGGCTTTTTCTCTCTATCTGTAGACATTACAGTCCCTCATTGGCCAAAACAAGGCAAACGAAAAGCGTCTAATCCAGAACCAAGCGATGTGCTTCGTGACAAGAAGCGCATGCGAGAGCCTTCAGAACCAGCGGATGACGATGAACCTGGTACGACACCAACCTCTCCCAGTGTCTGGCATCATTTCAAACAGTTTGCCCCTTAGGCCCTTCTGGCGCTCGAACACGTCGCCGTGGAGACCGCACGGAAGAACAGGTAGCTCTCAAGCGATTCCAAAATGTCATCGGGATGCTGCACTCCCAGATCTCTCAGCACCGCAGTGGCAATATTTTTCATAACCCCATCAAAGCCTCCGAAGCACCAGATTACCACGATATCGTCAAACGGCCTGTGGACTTGAAAACCATCAAGGCTAGAATCAAGGACGGTGTAATTTCCAACTCTTTGGAATACCAAAGAGACATATATCTCATGTTTGCCAATGCGATGATGTACAATCGACCTGGCTCAGATATATATTCCATGGCGGAGGATGTAAGTGGTGTTATATTAGTTCTGGCGATACTGACTTACATTGGACTTTATAGATGATGTACGAGAGTGAGGTCATGATCAATACACATAGGCAGACTGAGGGTTACCTAAGTAATAGGAAAACGCACTAAATGTTGTACCACGCTAAATTGGATTGATTTGCTGTTGTCAGTTTGCTCACCCGTTCATCATGTCCTGAGGTTCATCATTTGCTCAGGTTGTAGGCAAAGTGTGAGATAGGCAATGCCATCGGATTATGTGCTATTCATATTCAGGCTCTTCGACTCACAATGCCTGTATTATGCCAACTCTCGTCCCCAGATCCACGCTTCGTGACAACAGGCGCAGAAAACGATAGAAACCAGAAATATGATATGATACAGATTGACAGTTATTGTACAGATTCATGTTACACTATTACCATTAGTACCAAGGAGAGTAAAGTTCTCCCATTTTTGATAATTGAACGGGGTTCGTGGCGGTGGCAATCAAATTAATGACGGTCTGCATCACTGGACCTTGGAGAGGGACACCCTGAAGAGCCTGCAGAAATGAGCATAGGACCATAAAGACCTAAAATGACCCACTTGTTCGCGTTCAATCTTACAGGCAAACACTTCTGCGCGTTTGACGATAGTTTTGACATTATCTGTGACCGATTGTGTCTGCTGCGGATTCCAATGTTTTCCGGTACCGCGCATCCAGACAAGAACTTCGTCGCGAACATACAGGTAGAGCTGTGGTTCCAGCTCATACTACAAGATTCATGAGCAGGAGAGCAAAAGGTAGGTTTTCGATACACGGCATACCTCTGGCTCCGTAAGACAACGTCCCATAGCCATCAAACTAGTAGCAAGAATACCCTCCATGAAAATAGGAGACATGAAATGTTGCATATTTGGGGTCAGACGGAAAGGGACCACGTCGCTTGTTGCAAATTGTGGATGGTTGCTCGTCATAGCTGTAGGTCTGCAGTCAGAGAGCTGGATAGGACATCATTAATCAATACGAACAAGGTAGGAGTTCTGTCATCGCAATTTGACCCGTCGAACGAGATATGTAGAAGCGGGATGGTAGCCGCCCGCCAACACAGAGCAAGTACGTCATGAAACTACAGGCAGCGACTTGCAGTGCAAACTGCTTTCGCATCCGCCACAATTCGCTTGGTCCATCCATGGTACGAATCATGTACTGTCAAAGGGCGCTTAGAGATAGGTCATATCTTGGGAAGTAATAGTATTACCCGAGTGATGATGTCTTCTGGAACCATCTTGGCGGTAATCTCGTCAAAGATGAGTTTCTTGAGGGTAAGATACTCCGGTTTCAAGACCTAAGAAACTCAGTATACACTTTCAGCAAAAACTTCGTAATACGTACCTGCCCCGTTTGCTTAGCTTCGCGCAGTATCCTTCTAACTTTCTCGCCGCTATACAATAGAGGATCTTCACGGGAAATACGAGTCGCCTGACAGTGAAGGTCGTAGATGTCGCCGAAGGATACGTACGAAGCATCCATGTTATATAGCCTGAAGCTGGCACTGCATAATACAGCGGTTGGTAGATGGAAAGCCAAATTTCTCTTCCTAGTTTCCTTCTTCCGCGCCAAAACGCTAATATTCCAGATTATTGTGTGATAGCCTGGTATGAATAGAAAGACGTACCCGTTAAAGGTGCGACATAACTGCATTATTCGCTCTTCTCGACGACTGTGGCGGAAGGGTGGCTGCTGGGCACAAAATGAGACGCTAGAGTTGTCACTTCCAATCATCATGATGCGCTTGGAACATAGACCATGAGTACGCCAGTTCTCGAATTTCGGTGAGAACTTCAAGATCTTAACGAAATTTTGATTGTTATCCTTCTCCTACAGGGACATCAGAAAAACGAACACATCAGTGCTTGTCAAATATACCTCAGTATACTGCCCCGGTATTTCAATCTCGTCAACTTTGCTATACTGGAATTCTGTCAAATAGTGACTAAGAATGTCGAGAGTCTGGAAACGTGGCCGAGCGTCGAGAATTTTTTCGTATCTGTCTCGCCACTCCTGCAGGCGGTGAATGTACTCGTAGAGGGTGAGCTTTGTATTGACAAAATCTTCCTCGTAGTCCTTCTGTTCCATCGGTGAGCATCACGACTGTTTGTTCACGTAAAGTATACTCGCCTTCGCACGTCCTGGCATGTTCTGAGCAATTTTTTGCAAGGTTTGGATCGTCTGTGCTGGTAAATCGACGTCTTCGTTCGCTGAGTTCATGCGCACGAGATAATGCTGGACCCAGACTTCAGGCCTTGATCACAAACTGAGAAGTTATAAGAATTTACCTGGGAACCGTCTTGAAGGAGTAAGCATATGTGCCTATAGATGTCTTCTTCATTCGAGGGTTTAAACCTTGAAATCATCTGATCAAGCATCGTCTCGAGGCTCAAGAGAAGAAGAGGGAATGCTGCTTTGAGAATCTGGACTATTTCCTCCACGTACTCCCAAGCTTGAGTTTCATAAGCAATAGAGTGATAGCTATCAAGGAAAGAACTCTTACGAGATGGTAGTCGCGCTTCGGATGTAGGATTGCCATCGGTTTGCTGCTGCGGAGGTGCGTTTACGGGAGCGGGATGTGTATCACCGTTGGTTGGCCCTACGATGGCGCTTGTGGGGATGGCCTGCCCTGCCACTGCGGCGGCGCGCAAGGCTGCCGCTTTCCTGCCGGCTTGCATCTCCTCGCGTGTAGTCCTGAGATGGAAGAAAAGAGCCTAATGTCGCTTTGAATATTTTTTTCTTTTAATGAGCTGACAAAAACTTACCTGTGGGTAATGCCTTGCTAGATTGAGAAGCAGATATCGCGCTTGTTTGACCTCTCGAAGGGAAATGGATTGACACAATTGTGGAATAAGGGTTATCCAAAACCAAAACGAAGCGTCTCCCTTATAGGTGTCGAAGGCTCGTGAAATCGTGAAAGTGTTGTCATCTAAGCTCAAGAGCCACAGAACCCTGCCCAATAGAGGTCGAGCCTTCCCGCTTTTATAAAGCCCTGCGGCTTGAAGATAGCAGCTCACGGCGTTCGCAGCACACGATAAATCTTGCTGATTCGATTCCTTGAACATTCTGTCATTCCACCGTCCCCACTCCGCCCAAGACTTGGCTTGGTTCATATCCATCTGCACAGCCTGCCCAAAAGCGATATTCGCATCTTCCCTCCGATTGAATCTCGCGTAAAAGAGGCCCTTGAGGGTGAAAAATTCGGCCTTCTGAGCGTTGGAAAAATAGTGCAAATTGGTATTATTGATCACTTCCAAGCCTGCCTGAAGATCGCTAGGCTTTTGGTAGTAGCACCGCGCCTGTTCACGAAGTTTGAGGAATGCTTCTGAGATTTCGATGTTGGGTAATGTATAAATTTTGGCCAGCGAAGTAAAGCACGCTTCCAATAGATCATGCTTCCGGGAAACATGCGCGAAACGGTTGATAATCCAGGCCGTCTCGTGGTAACCGCGATAGCCAAAGGTGTTGGCGTTACTGGCACCACCATTTCCACCTTGCGTTGAACCACCTATGAGCGGTATATAGGCATTGTTGATAGCATTGAACACGTTCTGCCGCCACGCAACTAAATCGCTCCAAATGCCAATGTCGTCATGGAGATTTGGTAAGCGCTCTCGCCATGCCTGCAAGACCATTTTCAGCTCTGAAGACTTCTTTTCCAGATTCTGTGATGTCGTTTGGGAAAGGGATCCGAATATCTGCACGGCTTCCTGAAGTTCAACAAACTGCTGGAAGTGCTGGAGGAGAGGGATATGGGCGGCGGATAATGGTGATGGCAAACCGACCCATTTGCGCAGCGTCAGTTGTACGCCATCCTCAAGAATCCGGGTGAACTCCGTGTTTTTCTCCAGAGCGCCTGGTGTTTTGAGAAGGGACAAGAATGCCTCAAAAACACGGCGGCGGGGAGTAGGTACTTCGGGTAATTGGTTGATCAAGTCTTCCATAGCAGCCCTGTTCTCCATCCAATCCTTTAGTCGCCATGCGCACTCTAACATCATCTCGGGATTGTTATCAGATCGCCCGAGGTCATACAAGATTTCCCACTGTTGCAGTTTTTCAGCGGACAATATCCAATGATCTTCCCAAAGACAATACTCCGTCTCAGAAAAAGGGATAGTTCCCGACCGCGATCTGCTCTGGGCTGTTTCATACGCAGTGGAGGCCTGCTCCCACATCCCATTCTGCTCAAAGGATAAGGCGATGTTTGTCTCCGTGTACAGACATCGTCTTCGCCACACGCCGTAGAATAAATCATCCTCTGCTAGTTCTCCGTAGACATCGGCAAGAGAATCATAAACGAAGTCGCGAACATTAGGTTCGTCATCCTTGACGGTATCCATTGAGGCTCCGAGAATTTCTAGGGTGACATACCAGCAACCAAAGGTCTTTGCTAGATACTTTACTAAGTGCGGGGGTAGGGTCATAGGCGGGGAACAGGCATGGATTCCGCTGAGTAGAGTTTCGATGACATTCGGTCGGACGTGAGCCTGTCTCGTATGATAATCCTTGCTTAACAGGATAATCATGTGGTATGTGATGTCAGCTTGCTCCCGTCGAGAGAGACACGACCAAGCGGCAGGGAAAATGGACACCCATGTGTTATGAGCAGTCTGAGGATCGAGGAACGATAGCCGTTGCAGGGAGCGCACGATGTCCTGGATTTTGGCACGCGGTATCAATGGTGCGCTGGCTGCAAAGGAACGCGGGTTCGGAGTGTCAAGATTATCTGTTGCCCCAAGCAAAAGATGAAGAGCCAGGTAAATCCAGTTGTTGTCGGCTAAAATTTCCCAATTCTGGACGCCAAAGATGTAAGTCATGCGATTGAAAAGGGAGCGAGGCACACTGGAGTCCAGCAAATCCATATAACGCTCTCTCAGGCTGGGATCCTTTGCTCGACAACCCAGCAAGAAAGCTGGTTCTAACCGGGTCGTGAGATCGCTGCGACGTAGGCTAGGTTCGGTGAAAATTTCGTAGATGAGTTCGAGGTAGGAGTTAAACAAAGAGTCGCCCCTCGTTTCGTAAGCACCCATTTTGTTGAGGAGATTAGCCTTATCTTTGGACGTTGGATAAGAATCTTGCTTGACTAATGCCCATGTGCGAGCAAGGTCCAGGATATGGCGGCAGATAGCGGGGTTCTTAGATTTCTCGGCGAGAGCAACAAGGCTGGTTAAGAATAACCGGCGCTGGTCCGCTAAGAAAGCTATTGAGGTTTGACAGATGTCGATGATTGTGATGATGAGGCGGACTGTGCTCTCGTATGCGACATCTTTTGAGCCGGGCGTAGCATGCTCCCTGGTCAACCTAGTCAAAATTTTGACAAGAGGCGTGGCAAAGGATTCGATTCTCTCCGGTGAGGTTTTCACCACCGACTGCAAAATAGTGAGAGCACCCCGAACGGTTGTCGTATTTCGCAGTGCTTCCCCAACAGCTGAATAGACGAAGGAATGAAACTCCGAAAGCTCTCCTGGCTGGTCCTCCTCCTCTTTGGGTAAGGGGAATAGGTTAAGAAGGCGATCGAAGATGGGCCCTAGAGCATCATGCAGGGCGTTCTCATCGGTGATCATTCCCTTTTTCACAAGCTGTTGGAGTATGGAGGCATTCTTAGTATACCAGGCATCACTTTGCTCCGCACAGATGACTTGAAGAACCTTTGCTGAAGAGACCGCAAGCGCGATGGTCTGTTCATTGTTCAATTCGTTCTGACAATGATACGTTAGAGGATCGGCGGGTAGGGAAAAGTGTTCGCGTACCTGTTCAAGCGATCGCAAGAAGAACCGAAGACCAAACTGAACATCGGTCCATCCATTGGGACCCACCATAACCTTCAGTAGAGCAAGAGCTCGGGGAACGACGTGATTTTTGGCCGGTGTCTCATGAAGGTTGGCCCCCAAGCGAACAAGGTAACTGACCATGTTCTCCCGGTATGCCATGGGCGTCAACCACACATCTTTCTGATGTGCTCCATCTACGTCCATCTTAGCTTCTTGTTCTTTCTTGGCCTGGTTTTCCCAGTTGAATATGATTTGCAAGATATCTATCGATAAATTGCGCGACTCCAATGTACAGTTTTGGGTGAGGCCCAGCTTGGGTAGAGAATTGGCGATGAAGGTTATGAATAAACCACGAACAGGATAGAAGAGCGATGGATTTTTGATGATCAGAGTATAGAGCGTGAAAAAGTGGGACGATCCTCCTTCTTCCGAAAGCATGCGCCTTGCGGTCACCGCCCACTGAGGAAATCCGGACTCAGGTGTCTCTGCTTGGAGGGCAGGTGCAAGGGTTGCCAGAGCCTCTTGACGGAGATGCCCACGTCCTTCGGTGTTTCGCAGTAAACCTGTCCACGTACGCATAATGAACTTGTACGGCGAAGAATACGCCGCAAAGAAATGTGCATTCAGAAGATAAGCGGCATGTTTCACAATAGGGTCGTCGGTAGAGCCAATGTAGTGCCACGAGCACACCTGTACATCTTTCCGGGCATGTTCCATCAAATCTGGGTAATGCTTCACCATCACAGTAGTGAAATGCAGAAGCTCAATCTTGAACATATCGTCGGTGTCCTGGAAAGCTTTCGGGTCCGCTATCCGCCGCCAGATCATCTTGCTAATTCTTTCAACAAAGTCCAAGCCCACTAAGCGTTCTTCCTTCGAACGAGACGCCTGTACAAGAAGAGTGGGTGTTACAATGTAGCGGATGAAATAGGCTTTGTGAGACCAAGAACAGGCTGGATCGTCAAACCAGGTTAGGAATCGCATCAAGACATTGCGCCGGTATATACCGTCGTAGGATAGCGCGACATGCTTGTATAGGAAATGAGTTGTGCGAATCAAATCTGTCTCCAGGGTGCGCGTGTATACAGAGACAATCTCAAAGACAAGATCAATACGAGGACATTGTTCAAGAACCATCTTGAATATTGAAAGGATAATGGACTGGCGCTCGATTACTTCCGGTGACACAATGGCATCTCGCTCAGGTAAATCAGCATGCCAAACATCCACCAATGCATCGATGGCATAAGCATGCTGCTGAATCCAGCTAGGTGCGATGCTAGCGAGATCCATGAAGAGTAGAAGAGCAGGAAGAATTTGAGCCTCATTGCCTCCCCGAATGAAATGAGCAACGATTGTGGAGGTACGCGATGCAAGGTCGGACTCCAGTCTGGGCGCTAATTTCGCTTGCAAGATGCTACGCAAGGTCCGCAGATGCCGAGGGAAGGTCAGATGTCTGAGGAAAAAGTCGATGCCCTCAGCTGGGTACCGGTTCAAATATCGCGCTAGTGGCTCAGAAAAGGGGCTACGACCGGAGAAATGCATTTGTGCCTCAGTCTGAACAATGGCATTGATGAGATTGTCGAGGAAAATATTGGCTGACGACGGGAGGAGATGGAAAATGTTGGCCAAACGGACAAGTTTGGTGATTCCCTCATTCTCTACCAAAGGTAGCCTCGAAGACGCCTGGAGCATCTGAGGATCGGCGACAACGCGGAAATGATCGAGCAGTTTATGTCCGATCTCGACTTTGAAATAGTTTGTTAACAGGGCAAGAAGGCGTGCAAGGCCTTCCAACCCGGGAACGGACAAGCGTTTGGGATCTGCGAGATTCATGAGGATGGGACGTAGTCCTGTCTGGAGAAGTTCTCGAGGGAGTCTATTCTGATGAGCAAGAACCATCTTCAGACCATCATAAGCAACTGCTTTGATCTCATGAGAGGGCGAGTACAGTGCTTTGAAGTACACACTTGTTACCCTGCCACAGACGATTAGCTCCGCCGATAATAAAATCGCCCAATACCGACGTACCTCTGCCTCGTCTGATGTTGCTTACTAAAGAAATCTGTCAATGGCATGGAAGCCGTCAACAGCTTGATACAGGCAACATGCAGCTTGGTCACTTCGATACTGCTTTGACGAACATTCCCTCGGCCAACAAGGGCAGAATCATCAGCATCAGCCAGAGCCAACGTCTCATGCAACAGCCGGAGGAGCTCGTCGTTCACTTCCACCAACGGTGGATCAAGGCTTACACAATACCGGACAGCTTCGATCATGCCTATTTGAATTGAGAAAGGCAACGCTCTCAAGGGCTTGGTATATATCCCCCCAAGCATACGATCTCGATGCGGCATTAGGAGCTGTGTCGCCGCACTTCCGCTGAATTCAACCAACAACCCGATGGAAGTTTGAGCTGCCTGCCGTACCACCGCATTTGAGCTCTGAAGCTCAGGGAAGATCTGCCCAACCAGACTGATCAATTTGAGGCGGTTCTGATGTCCGTTTTCGGTTGTATAGTCCAGATTTGCGTTTCCAATGCGCAACACCGTGGTGAGTACATCCACGATTTCCTCAGTATCGCGAGGAAGGTCCGCAGGCAAATCCTTGAGGACGTGAAGAAGGGCTCTCAAGATCTCGAGCTCACGTTCTGCGGTCCAGCTGGCCCCTACATGCATCGTCGAGGTCATGATTCTGATACCATTGCAACCAGCCCTCTTTCGTACCCACGAGTCGCCGAAGCAGAGCGCTATGAACCGGGTAGAGAACTGGTGCAAAATGGGGGTGACTTCGGGAAGTGTCATGCTGTGTTGACCGATTGTGTTGACCAAATTTTGAATGACGGACGCCACCAGTATATTTGCCTTCTTAGCCTCTTCAGCTTGTTCCCGTGCAAGGGCATGGGGAATGGCATCGATGAAAGCTAAAAGGAGGGCGCTGGGGGCTTGTCGGGCTCCAGCATCGCGAGGTGAAGATCGGCGAGTCTCCAACTCGAAAATCCGCTGACCCATTCGTTTCACAAATTGTTCAGCCTGTTCTTGGGTCTGTGCAACATGTGTAGCATCATAGATGCCTTCCATAGCACTGACAAACAGTCGCTCTGCATTCTCCCCTTTGATATCCTAGAACGCCTTGCGTCAGACCAATTGTGGGTAACGAGAGTATATACGTACGTCGTTGAGCATGATAGAAAGACAACGTTCCAAATACTCATAAGCGTGGGTAACATCAGCTGGCGTACCCGTCGTCAGAGTCTGACGAGCAAGAAGTGCAGCAGGACCTAGGTCAACCTTTCCCACCTTTCCCGAAAACGAGATCGCCATTTTCGGATGCTCTGAATGATGCTGGTATTTCAAACATGGTTCCTTGGACAATAGGCGTCGGTTCCGCCCGCCCAGCTTCCCTAGAATTCGCATGGTAGTATGTGCCAAGATATGATTCGCAGGTTGAGGCTTTAAATGGCTATGCAGCGCTTCCATCAACTCTCGAAGGACAAGATTGAGCGTGGGATCCAAAAAGTCTGGTGTGAGGTTATCGATACACAGTTCAAGTGTGCGAAGCCCTTGGGTCACCAGCTCTGGACTGCCTTTGAGGGCCAAAGCGAGGGGTTGCATGAGATACGAAAGATGCGGCAGTAAATGCGTTAACCGCAATGGCACCGTGAGGCAGAGTTCTACAATCATATCTCTTGTCGCACCCTCTGAAGAGTGGAGCTGTCTGTTCAAACACTCCAACATCTCAGGCAAGAGCGGAAGGACCTCCTTATACAACAACTCGAATCGACCACCCCCACCTCCAATAGACCTGAAGAGTGCCCTCAACAGGTGGAAATAGTGAGTTGGTTTGGTTGCTTTCGCAGCCAACGGGAAACAGTCCATCAACAGCTTGCCTAGGTGCAGAGCCAGTATGCTCTCGTTCGTCCCAGGGTGGCTTGCTACGGCTGCAAAGGCGGTCTTGTAGAGGCGTATTGTCGTTGCAACCACCAGATCCTCATACTCTCCCAGCATTGGGAGCCTATCAACAAGGAACTGAAGGACTATGGCGAGAAGTGTCGGCGACGTGGCCTCCCTATTGAACAGATACGAGCATATTCCCAAAAGCGCCACGCGTTTCTGCGCGCACTCGAAGAAGAACTCCATCTTGTGAGTCCAGACTTCCTGGAAGACATGAAGGTTTATCTCTGAGAGAATAGGCGAGAACCATTCAATAGCATCATTCGCCGCGTCGGTACGATTATCAGAGTCCATGTTCGCAAGACAGCGAACACATCCTTCAAACATACGGAAGATCAAAGTCCCATCGGGTGTAGGAGCCTCGCACTTCCGAAGGCCGGCTAGGCAGACACGGAAGCCATGGAGAAGGGTTTTGAAGAACATACGCAGCTCTGGTGCAAACGATGTTAGTGAGAATTGACATGCATCGTATCTTCGCACTCACCATTGACTACATCCTCCGGTTTCTCTAAAGCATATGCCGCACCACCGACGGGACGTGCTTTCTCAATGAAAGCAGCATCTATAGCAACCTCCTGCCCAGTCTTCGCTCTTTCCAAAGCCGCAAGAATATTTTCATGCACAAGAGTCAGGGCATCAAGCCTGTCCAAACAGCTTTTGAACATCAGCTCCAGTATCCGCGCCGCACCCTGTGGCGTCTCCTTCGCAATGATGGCATCCGCGGTACCAAACATCATCTTCGCTGACAGCGTATGGAGATTGATGCTCAAAGCGGGGTTGTGAATTTGTCGGGAATAGACATGAACGATTCGTTCGAGCTGTGCTGATGTCAGATCGTTGCGAACGTGATGGAATAGGTCGGTAAATGCAGTGTATACAGTCGCCCTGTACGGCGTTAGTACTGAATTTCGAGTGAAGTCTATGTGTTCGCGCACCTAAGCAGCTCATTGGCCCCCAAACATGTCCCGAGCAGAACCCGTTCATCGAACAGCTTATCTATCTGTGGCAGAAGGGCCTTCCTGTAGGAAGTGCCCATTAAATGACGGAAAACAACCATGAGTTCCTGCCAACTTCGTTAGCACAAGTGGAAAAAGCCATCATGTAGAAAGCTTCACCTTTCTCTGTGGTATTCCATTCATCGGACAATCTTGTAAAATACGTAACGCGTGCAAAACAAGGGTCTCCCCATGAACATCTGAAGATTCTGGATTGAACCTCATAATAAAGGCAAGGTAGGACAACATCTACAGAACGTCAGAACAGCGGAAGCAAAACACACGTTAAGCGCACCTTGATTTGGGCATTCACAAGGTCCCCATACGACCCCGGATTGGTGATAGTAGGCGCCATGCCCGCCCAAAACCCCCCAGCAGCCTCAAACTCCTCCCTTGCTTTCTTCTGGGCAGGCGCCTCCAGACACAAAACCTCAAACGCCGGGGGGATCGTCACCTGCACCACCGACCTAATCAAATCCCTCTGTATCTGCGAGAACATCGCCATCACCAGCCCCAGTTCCGCTGTAACCTTAAAACTCTTGATGCTTGGCAGCGAGATGGCGGGATCCAGTTCCGGGGAACCTTCAGAGAGCAATTGTTCGGTCATGGGCTTGATATTCGCAAAGACGTCCTTGAAGAGGGAGGTAAAGTCGCGGAGGTTCTCTTCGGTGAGCATGCGGTACGCTCGTACGAGCTCAACGATGTGTTTACAAGCCGAGACACCGTTCTCCTCGTTGTCCTGTCGAATAACATGGAGCAGACAATTGTAGATGGACTGTACGTGTGGCTTGGCGTGTTCGCTGGTCGGGAGACGGGTCAGGATGCTCAGCACGACAGAGCGAAATTGAAACTCGAGGCTCTCTTTGCGAAAAGACACTTCGCCGGACTGGAGGAGCTCGACGAGGGGAGGAATAATGAAAGGTAGTGCTCGAGAGGCATCCGCGTCTCGTAGGGTATCGAGGATCTCACGGATTTCGGTGGCAACAAGGAATCGTGTTTTGAGGTCTGGAAGTCGAATGTTGGTTAGCGATACCAAGGGTGGGTTGCACGAGACTCGCCTATTCCGGGGTCGAGTATTCGAGCCGCTCGTTGCTCAAGGTCTGACGAGGCCGACGTATGTGGTGTCTGCTGTCCACTAGCAGGTGTCGCCATGGCCGTACACGGCTAACGTTGAAGAAAATGAAAGTTTGGTACTTTCGAAGAAATGTTGTAGCGGGGCACGGGGAGGGGATCCTTTCAAATTGACCTCTCTGGACCCGGAAAAGTCGACGGCACGTGATCCTCGATCGATCTGTCACAATGGGAGTAACGCCGGGAGGTGGGAAACTCCTGCCCGGGCCAATGTTCCTCTCCTGAGTCTTCACCTGCATTGATTTCGTTCCTTTTCTTCGTTGCCATCCTTTCCTTCCCTTCTTTCTTCTGCGACGCAGGACCCGTCGACGAGCTGGGCTTTTACCTCTTTTCTTGAACAGTTTTCCTACAGTCATTTCCGATTCAACATTCAGAAACAGTCAATAAATATTCATTCAAGAAGGGTCTTGATCTTTTGGACGACAGTGGGAGCCACATAATAGATGGGTGCTCCGAATTCTAGTAATAGTAGCGAACAGCCTGACCAGTAAGTAATGGACTGTCTACGCTAACTACAGATGCTCACCCGCGTCGCAGCCGTCAAGTAGCTACCTTCTTTCTAGGATGGGTCTTCATCACAGCCATTAATAACATGGCAACGTCGGCCATTCTACAGAATGTCGTTGCTCGTGTCTTCTCCCGCTTTCGTCGATCTTCATGCGACCATCCGAAGATTGACCATTGTGATGATGGCTCGGGGTCACCTTTCAAACTGATGACCGACTGCCCCATCCTTCTATTCACCCTATCGTCATTCTTTATGTCTGCCAGCATCACCTCTTTTGTTTCTCTGCTTTCTTTTGACTCTGGGCCTGAGATGCAACCGCTTTGTCGTGAGTTTTCTGTTAGGCAACACAATACATCTGAAACTGATGGATGATCGTTGCAGAATTCGTTGTGGCCTGGAGCGGATTATCTGTCCAGTTTGCGCGTCTTGTTGCGTTGTTCCTTCTTCTGTTTGCACTCCGTCGGTCGGGGATCAAGCTATTGGAGACTGTCATCTATCTTGCGTGGTTACTCATTGGATTAGGTGTGTGTGCAAGCTACTTGTGTTTTGATTATTCTTCATTCATATAAACAGGGCTCGAGTTTGCGATTTTTACTATTAGCATAGGCACTGTGTATGTCACTGACAGCTATGTCGCCGCGTTCATCCTGACCCGTTGACATCAGTAAACTTGTTCAATCTGAGGAGCTGTGTTACAGGGAACGGTACGTGCTTCCATCGTCGTCCTCGTTAGCGGAAATTAACCCGCCATAGTGACAAAGTTCTTCCCCTCTCCTTGGCTGCTTCATCGGTATTTTTGATGTTGGAAATTTATGTTATCGGTCGGACCCTGGTGTTGACGCATTCACATACACAAGGACAGAGAGAGTGGTTAGGTGACATACATGTCGTCCAAGCATGTTCCCTTCTTGTCTTTGATCTCATGACGGTTCTGCCTTCCGCGGTTTTCATTGGCGTTTTGGGGGAATTCATTCCACTCAGCATCGGTTCAGTCCTTGTACTTGGCAAGTCCCTCCAGCATAGTATCGCCATGGAACTAAATAGTTCTCTAGTGTGCTTCAATAGGCGTAATCGGCCAGCCGAGACATCACCATCCTTCGACTCGGTTACGCCGTCTTCAGAATTTTCACAAGATCTACCTTTTGAAAAGGAGAACAATCCGCATGGATTAACGGTGATCCCCATGCCGCCACGCATATCTAGATTTACTATGGGAGCCATCGCACGACCATTGTCTCCGATTCCGCCTTTGCCGATGCACCCATATTCAGCCCAGTGTTTGGATGACACCAAGATGGAGGTGGATGGAGACCGATGGTTGGGTGGTTACGACACTGCGCGTAGTAGCCGAACTGTCGATACAAGAACGGCGAGGAGCATTGACGAAGCCGTTTTCGAAGTTGCCCAGCGGAGCCGACCTGTGCCAATTTACTATGAAGGGAGGAGATCAGTGCCGTCAGGCCCACAGACACCGTCGATCTCGAGCTCCGGCAGGTTCAGGGAGCTATCGATGGACGACTTGATTCTTCCGTTTGCTCGTCCACGCCTGATAACCGTTCCATCTAACGTGTCTGTGGATTTGGACGTTAAGCCTGACACACCGGTGTCGGGAGTACGGGATTCGATAGCTTATGACCCGCTTTTAAAGTCGCGGTTTTCGGTGTCTACAGGATCGGTGTCACTAACGACGACATCGAGCTTGATTTCGTCGTCGGACCGCGTTCGGAGGCAATTAACGGCGAAATCTGCTTGGTCTGATTCATCTGAAGAAGTACCTGCGCTGCCCGAGCGCCCAATGCAGTTTCGGGCAGCTGGGTATTCGAACCCGATTCAGAGTCGGTGGCCTACGCTTTATAATGAAAGCAGGGTCTGTCGTAATGATAGTCCTCAGGCCTTGAGGGAGCCAGAAAAGGATACGGACTCGGAAGCTTAAATGTGCAGGATTCTGGACTTTGATTGGGACTCGATTTATGTCGCGGAATAGGATACGATCATTTTAATGTGGAGTTATAGTTTATTATAAGTAGTCTCCATGTAACAGGGATAGTGCTTGGTGAGTTGAAGCTGTAACGGCTGAGTTTGCGCAGTAGAAAGACATGTAACAAGAACAAACAGACTACTTGTCTTTACCACGATCTACAATGGCGTCGAGCGCTCTGCTCCAGCAAATCCAAGCTGGCAAGAAGCTAAAGAAGGCAGAAACCCATGACCGGAGTGCTCCAGTAATTGATACGCCCAAGGGAGGAGGAGAAGGTGGTGGTGGTGGTGGTGGCGGAGGAAGAGGAGCTGTTTCAACTGGGAGCTCTCAGGCTGGGTCGACAATGGGAGGAGGAGCGCCTCAATTAGCGGGGCTGTTTGCTGGTGGAATGCCAAAGTTGAAGCCAGCTGGACAGAACCATCTTGCAAAGCCACCGACATTGGGTAAGCCGCCGTCCATTCCGAAACGAGATGTGCCCAGTCCAGTGCCGCCAGCACGCCCCGTACCGACACCCGCCGCTCCCAAAGCACCTGCCCGACCCACTCCGACTCTTCCCGCAAGGACAGTTCCCACGCCTCCTCGCAGAATACCCTCCCCGCCATCGAGTGCACCGCCCCCGCCCCGTCGGGTGCCATCACCGCCAACGAGCGCACGCCCGCCTCTCCGCCTTCCACCAGCTGCCCATTCCCCTGCAAGTCCTCCCGCCCCACCAGCACGCCCGACTCCTTCACTCCCGCCACGCATGGGGTCACCAACGGCCCGCCCTCCCTCCATTGCCAGACCACCGCCTGCGATCCCCCCTAGAGGCAGTTCACAGCTTGGCCAGTCTCCCAGCAGACGTGCTCCCACTCCCCCGACTCTTCCCGGTCGCGCACCACCTCCACCGCCTCCTAGACCGTCGAGTACCGGGCCGCCCACCACGTCTGGACGCGTCGCACCTCCGCCTCCATCAAGGAAGCCTCCGCCAGCAGTCGGTCACGCTCCGCCAGCACCTCTCCAACGCGTCCGTGCTGTGTCAGAAGCTCAGCCTCAGCCGCCGTCCCTGCCGCCGTCGCGTCCTGGTGGTCTGTCACCCCCTACTGCACCCAGATTAAGGACCACGTCAGCCGGTGGCGCACTACCTCCTCCCAGACCACCCGGCGGCCTCACTAATGGATCTACAAGAAAAAGTACGTGTTCTTTCAATGAATGACATCTGTGGCTAACATTCATCGCAGTACCCTCCCCGCCTGCCAGTGCTGGACCACATACATTCCCCGTTGGTGACTTTCCACCGCCTCGTCCTTTCCAAGCATCTGTGAAACAGTATCCGAGTGGTAGACAGAAAGGCTGTGACTTTGACTTAACTACACTGTAAATCTACATACATGTTTGAATCAATAATGTGATCCATCCGCACGGCCTCATTATTCGGCCCCGTTCCAGCTAGAACCTCGCTGATTTGTCGTATACATCCAACAAGACACCAATCAGACCCTTTCCAAGAATGGAAGCTGATTAAGATGACACGTCAGTCGCGCTACGTCGGTAATCCGTATAAAGCTCCCTTTATTCTCGATCGTCACTTCCTTACCTTCCCACCATGCGCTACTCCTTCCTCGCCCCTGCGCTGGCACTTGCCTTTGTCTCGTCCGTCTTTGCTGACGCCGACGCCCCCCCTTCCGACGTTCTCAGCCTTACTGCTGCTGACTTTGACGATATTGTCAACCCAGAACCTCTCATTCTCGTAGAGTTTTTTGCTCCATGGTACGTGTCTTTTGCTCCGCTTTGGTCTCTTACTAATGTCCTCTTCAAAGGTGTGGCCATTGCAAAGCTCTGGCTCCCCATTACGAAGAGGCTGCCACTGAGCTCAAAGCCAAAAACATCAAGCTCGCCAAGGTCGACTGTGTGGACCAGGCTGATCTGTGTCAAGCGAACGGTATTGGTGGCTACCCGTGAGTGCTACGTATATCCTCTGCGATGCAGTCTAACTGTTCCTTAGCACACTGCGAGTATACAAAAACGGTGAATATGCCGATTACAACGGCCCTCGCAAGGCTGACGGCATCGTCGCCTACATGGTCAAGTGAGAGCCTTCAATTAACCTACTTCCACTTCTTAACTCTTCTCCAGACAATCCCTTCCTGCCGTCTCCACCGTCACCGCCGAAAACCACGTCGAATTCCAATCTGCTGACAAAGTTGTCGCCATCGCCTATGTCTCAGACCCGTCAGACCCTCTGGCTACCGAGTTTGCCAAGACTGCTGATGCCCACCGTGATGACTACCTCTTTGGCCAATCTTCTGACCCTCAAGTCCTCGCTTCCCTCGGCATCTCTACTCCTGCACTCATCGTCTACCGATCCTTCGATGCTCCCAGTGTCGAATATCCTTACCCAATCGCCTCCGCCACACCCAAAGACATTGCGGAATGGCTCGCAGAACTCGCCATCCCCATCATGGATGAAGTCAACGGTGACAACTATGCCGTCTACGCTCAGAGCCAAAAACCCCTTGCATACCTCTTCCTTGACCCCTCCGACGAAGGAAAGGACGCCAAACTTGCAGAAATCAAACCAGTCGCCGAGAAATTCAAGTCTAAGGTCAACTTTGTTTGGATTGACGCCGTCAAGTTTGGTGACCACGGCAAGGCTCTTAACCTCCAAGAAGCCAAGTGGCCTAGCTTTGTTGTGCAGAACCTGGAGAAGCAGCTCAAGTACCCGTACGACCAGAGTAAGGAGGTTACTGCCGCTGGTGTCGAAGAATGGGTCCAGCAGTACCTTGAGGACAAACTCACTCCGGAACTCAAGAGCCAGCCTATTCCCGAGTCTCAGGACGAGAGTGTCTTTACTCTCGTAGGAAAGCAGTTTGACGAAGTCGTGTTTGATGACAGCAAGGATGTCTTCGTTGAATTCTACGCAACATGGTACGTTTTGCCGGTCATAAGTCATATTCTATTAATAACACCCGTCAAGGTGTGGACACTGTAAGCGCCTCAAGCCCACTTGGGACAACCTCGGTGACCACTTTGCCGCTCAAAAGGACAAGATCCTGATGTACGCCTCCTTTTTGCCCCTCGTTCTACCTTGACTGATTTTTTGCAGCGCTAAAATGGAAGCGACTGAGAACGATCTCCCTCCTTCGGTTCCCTTCCGCGTTCAAGGTTTCCCAACCCTCAAATTCAAGCCTGCAGGTGGTCGCGAGTGGCTCGACTACGAAGGTGACCGAGGCTTCGACAGCCTAGTCGCCTACGTAACTGAGCATGCCAACAACGACTTGACCAAGGTTGTCGTTCCTGAGGAAGAGCCTGCTCAAGTGCCTCTTGGAGGTGCTTCTGAAAATACGTCAACGACGGTATCGGAGCATGACGAGCTGTAAATGTAATGTATCTTATAAAATACCCTGCACGCAAATTAATTGCATTCACGCTCATCCATACATAACTACAAAGGCTATGATTTATGAGCTGCAAGATCCTTTTTGGTGCGGTAGTACTCTGAGAAAGAGAGTCTGACAGCCAGGAAACGACAGTCCAAGTCTGGATGCGTCTGAAGCTGATGCACCAGTGCTTGAGCTTTTTCAGAAAACTCTGCTCCGTACTCTTTGACCGGATTGAGCTGTATTGGGAGTTCACCGCCTGTCACCTCTCGTCCAGTGTATACACCCTAAGATGGATCAGTCGTGTACTAATATACGTAAACGATACGTACCTGTTCATTATCTCGTTCCCTGTCTCGTCGAACAGACTCTGATAAGCAATAATTGTAAAAGTTGTCCTACAAACATTAGTACAATCAGAGGGAAAATATTATGAAAGAAACTAACCGAGGCTTCCCTGAACTGTAATATTATCGAAAACAACTCTCGAACTTGTACAAGTAGATTCTCCTAACATCACTCAATAATGAGGTTCGAAGGTGAAAATCTCATCAAACATACCTCCCTTCCCGCCTTGGGACTCAGCAATAGCACCTTCTTCACCATACGATCCAGATATGTCCGGTGTGCATTAATCATCGCGTCCAAGTCTCCCTCCTTCTTGTTCAAAAACTCGACCAGCACCTTCCAAGAACACTCGATCACCTCCAAATGGCAATATGCCTGCATTTGCCGGATGAAATGTATCATCTCAGCGTTGACGATCCGGATTTGGTGCCATTGGAACTCCAAATCTGACATGGCATACGTTAACTAGAGGGCACTGGGGAGGAAAGGCACTGGGCTTACCGGGAACCCGTAAAAACGACCTTGTATCCCCCGCCACTCTCATCCATCCTTGACTCAGTGCGCCCTCGATCCTCTTCATCTGCCACAGGTGGCTAAACAGTTTCAAGTATTTGATCATCGACTCGGGGTCAATTACCGTGTCGATAGGTGCGTCGACTTTGTATTCGAGCGTGAATACATCCCAGCCGATCTCGCCATGGGTATACTCGAGCATGCGGGAGTCAAGCCGGCGTAGGACATGGGCGGGGTCATTTTGCGCGTTGGACGATCGGATGGCGGTCTCGAGGGTGGCGGTCAGGTTGTGTCGGAAGAGGGTGTTGGCCTGGCGGGCTAAGCTGGGGCTGTAGGGAGGGAGATATTAGAAGGAAGAAAGGTGTATCCGATGGACTTGCCCGAGAGCCTCCATGAGTTGGTCGGCAAAGTCACCGTGACCAAGAAGGAAGTAGTTTTGGAGTGCTTCAAGGTGGTCGAGAAGCTTGAACTTGTCGATGAAGACCTCGAATAGACGATGACTCGCGACCTGATAAGCGGCGTCTATCGAACGCTCCAGTCCGTTTATATCGCTGTACTTCAAAGCTGTCACCAATCAGTTAACATACGTATAGGCAAGTGAGACAGACATACTCCCACCACTGTCACTCATTTTCTCTCGAGTAGCAACCCAATCACTATCATGGCAACTGTATCGAATGAAGTTCAAACTTTTACCAGTCGACAAAATCTGGACGACATCAGTGTGGTGTATATCCAAGGCAAACTGAGCAGACCTTTCTTCCAAAGGCCTCGCCTACAAACATGGGCAGCATGTCCTCCTGGAATTGATATTTGGACTGCCACAACTGAAGTCCATTTTCCCTCTTATCGCTGGCATCTTCATTGTCCATGAGCAGACCCCCAAGACCTCCATCGCCTGTAGCTTGTCCAAATCCTCCTGATAGAGAGGAAGGATGCGTGTATTGAACGTGCTTTAGAGATGGATCCATGGCCACAAAGAACTCGTTGAAAGGATCATATAGCTCCCCAGAGAATAGCCATTTATGAAGAGTGGCAAAAAAAGGTTTGGACACCTATTAACAAGGGAAATGAGAACCAGTCAGGGATCAGCGCTGAAATTGTCAAACCTCTTCCAAAAGCTGGTCAGTAAACTTTCGCACAAAGGGGTCGCCATTATCAGTATAGCTATGGATAAGATTCACTAGTGCGCCTCCGTGTGCGTCTAGAAAACGTGTCAAGAATGATCACTTTAGATTGCGCGTAGCATACCTCGGGCCCCTTCGACACATACACTCATCATCCTCATCCTCAGTCGCCAATCATTGATCCACACATCTAACCGCTTCAGTGTCAGTCCCGTCTCTTCCTGGCGGATGCTCTGCTTCTCCTCTGATTCATCGGCCGGGTGTTTTGGCGGGGTAGGCATCTGTGACTCCAAGACAGCGATGAGACGATAGTATTCAGTAAGCTGGGCTTGCAAGTGGTGACACAGGCTCTGCTCAATCATCCCAACAGCCGGGGCGCCTTCCCGTTCTCGAACAAAGGTCTCAACGCGGGTATAGAGATACCCCACTTCTGATAGTTTGTGGATGAGCGTCTTGACTGGTTCGGATATCATATATTTCTATTCTTCTATTAGCGGAAATGAAAAGCAGTAGATGGCACTTACTGAGTCTTCCACAAACACGAGTTTATTCTCCGAATCATCCTGTAATGAAAACCGGACATATTTCCCTGAGATTCCCTGCAACAAATAAAGGGTATCACGGAGCAACAAGTGCTCAGGAATAATAGCACAACCTGGGGAGCATGAGCGCAGCTTCGGCACACATCCAAGCATCTTCACCTGTCTTTGTACGGTACTCTCTTAATATATCGGATTTTGTTCTTCCCTTGGCATATCGGGTATCGACAGGCGGATCTACTGTGATTGGTGAGGCGGCTGGCCGCGACGGCGGTGGTGGTATTAGTGATGGAAGTAGGGAAGGCGTTGAAGAGTGCGATGCTGATGATGATGCTAGAGAGTACAGAAAGAGAATAGACGCGTGTTTTCTTGATAGCACGGGCTGAAACCAAGAATCAGAAAATCATGTTAACAGAAAATGAAGTACGAACCTGGTCCAGCAGTCGGGATAAAAGATTGGTAAATTTGAGGTACGTGCTACCTGACGGAGACGAGTGAAGTACTGGAGACTGCTCAGCGAAGTATATATCCTGCAACTGAACGACACGTACACTGTCGTTTAACTGAATCTGCAAGGTGAGCTAGATCTGGTTCATGGTTCTGGCCAATATGGCTGCAGTTGCTCTTGGTTCAGTGGCAAGGCAGATCCAGTGGCCAGCCCACCTGTTCAATATATCCTGACAATGCAAGACAAGCTCGTCCTTGAGGTGGTCATTGCTTCGCGTAGGAGGGACAAGGGAGAGGACAAGGGACTCTAACGAGGAGGGAAGGGAAGACATGGTCGCGCGACGCGTTGAAGGTGTTTGTCGCTGTTTCGGCTACAATAATGCCTGAATTTACTAAGTACCGCCATTGCAGCCTCATATGTACTTGTATACATTTCAACACTTCCATACGTACAGCATCGTACAATATTACTCCCCAGTATACCTCCATTTCACTCATGTTGCAGCACGCAAACATACGCACGTTTATCAAGTCAACGTTTAGAGTTTGACCTCCTTCAAGCCATCTTTCCAGAACGTGAAATAGGCTGTGCGTGGTCAGATGAGTACTAAGCGGAATACCATTGTATGGAAACTTACGGGTGACACCGTCCTCCTACATAAGATATCAGCAGAGTTTTAAAGGTATGGGCCAGAGGTTAAACTTACGCGATAGTTGAGGAGGGCAACCATTCCATCAGCGTTCATCGTCTCTCCAGTGTACTTCCCACGACCATTAGTCACGAAAGAGACCAGAGTACATAAAACATACAAATTCAAAGTCCTTGAAGTTGGCGACGATCTTTTTGGCGTATGCCTGGGCACCCTTCTCGAAGGCCTCAACACGGTCAGGGTTGGTCTCAGCGAGTTTGGCCTTGACACTTTTCATGTATCCCTAAACGAAGAGTGAGATACCTCTTTCCACCCAAACACAACCACAGATACCTTCAAGTACGACAGGAAAGACTTCTTGTCGAAGACAGTCGACTGGAGACGGAAGGAGTGGACGACATTGTTGACCTGTGTCGCTCCCTCCTCAAGAGCATCGTCTTGCTCCTCAGCAGAGGGATTGGCACCTAGCGCACATCCGGTAAGCGCACAGGTGTTCGAGCGGCTGTTGATACACACCGATATCGACATCGGCACCAGCCTTGATAGTGATCGTCTGACAGTCTACCTCGAAGACGATATCGTCAATGAGTTTCCTGTATTTTACATAAATCAGTAACCTATCACCCAGAGGGTGATTAAACTTGCAAGGGAAAAGCATCGGAGAACATTTCATCCCCACTGATAATGTCTTCGTACAATAACATGATGATAGTTCACAAGAATGTACAGGCTGCAGAAAGGGTAGGAGGAGGTGGAGGAGGAGGAAGGAAGGAAAGTAAGAAAAAGTGCTGAAATCAGCTGCAATCGATCTTGACGGCAAATCCCGCTATCTGTGACAAAATTTTTGAGGTGACGGTGTGACAATTTGTGGACTCTTATGGACTACCAGCCCGTCGTCGTCAAATCGCACGCCCGGCCGTCCTCCACTAAACACAGCCCAGAGTCCCGATATTGGCGACAGTTTAAGTACCCTGTTTTTGTTAAGGAATACGCTCCCGTCACCTCTGTCCATTTTTCTCCCTCCAAACCACATCGCTATGCAGTCACCGCTGCGACTCGCATCCAAATATATGCCCCGCGCACCCAAAAGGTCACCAAGACGATAGCACGGTTTAAAGACGTGGCACGTAGTGGTACAATACGTGCAGATGGCAAATTGGTTGTGGCAGGAGATGATACTGGTCTAATTCAAGTGTGTACTGTTTCGGTTTCCTATTCTAAATTCTTATTGTGACCCAAGGTATTTGACATAAATTCGCGAGCCATCCTGAGAACGTTAGACTCTCACAAACAACCCGTATACGTGACCAAATTCTCTACGTTGACTCCTACGCAAATTCTCTCGTGCTCCGATGATACCACGGCCAAGTTGTGGGATGTCCCTTCCCAAACCAGTATATCCACCTTCACATCGCACACGGACTACGTTCGAACGGGACAAGTCTCATCATCGAATCCCAACATCATCTTAACCGGGTCTTACGATGGAACTGTACGCATGTTTGACGCTCGTTCCGGCCATTGCGAGATGATCATGGGTCAAAGCAAAAGCGGCGAAAAGACTGCAGTAGAGCAGGTCTTGATCTTCCCCTCTGGTACTGTTGCCATCTCCTCCAGCGGTCCTATTATTCGCGCCTGGGATATTGTCGCTGGAGGGCGATGTACACGAGCGTTGTCAAATCATCAGAAGACGATCACGTCTCTAGCTTTCAATGCGTCCGCTAGCCGTCTTCTAACAGGAGGTCTTGATCAGATGGTGAAGGTCTATGATGTGAGCACATATAAAGTTGTACATACTATGCGATATCCAGCTCCCATTCTCTGCCTGGCTGTGTCGGTTCGTCCTTTAATTATTTACTTCTTTCTTGCGCCTTACACCTGTAAATCCTAGCCAGACGAAAGCCATATAGCTGCCGGCATGAGTGATGGAACCTTGTCGGTCCGTCGAAGACAACAAAAAGCTTCAGAAACGTCGGACAATGCACCATTTTCTGCGTCGAATGTCCGATCAGGAGCATTTGAGTCATTCCTTGGCTCAGGAATAGGTCAAGGGCAGACCAAGGACAAGTCAAAGTCAAGACCCATTGGAGACGCCAATGAATTCCGGATAGAAAGTAAGCGTACGAAGCGACTAAAGGACTACGACCGATTCTTGAAGAGCTTCAAGTACTCTTCTGCCCTTGATGCGGTCCTGCGCAAGGTGAACTACTTTGTCAAGTATTCTTGTGCGTGCGTCATTAAATTAGGCGTGCAGAATGTTCCTCCAGCCACCGCCTTTGCACTAATACAAGAGCTTATTCATCGCGACGGCCTTCGCACCGCACTAGCTGGACGTGACGATGTCCTCCTAGAACCGGTCCTACGAATACTGGTCAAGTACGTCACTGACCCTCGTTTCGGAGAGCTGGCGTGCGACGTTGCGAGCATGGTTATTGGTGCGGCGGTTTTCTTCCCATGTCTTATCAAGTAATTAATCCGCTCTTGCAGAGATGTACGCCTCCGTTATAGGACAATCACCTCTGATCGATTCTCTGTTCTTGAAACTGCAGAAGAAAGTTTTGATGGAACTACGATTTCAAAGGGAATTGCTAAAAACCAAGGGTGCTTTGGATATGGTATTCTCACTTACAGCAATAGACTCCAGATAAATTGGGTGCCCCTGGCAGTGGCTGTCTATGCTTTATACATCCTACGTAACAGGAGCGTTGGGATCCAGCGCACCGATGAGACCTTCTAGGATTTCTTTCCGTGAAGGTCCCTGATCTTCGCTGGATTCCCCTGACTCGTTGTCAACGTTATCGTGGTACAACCGTAGAGTCTCTACAATGTTTTCCAAACTCTGGTTCTTTCGTCCCAGCATTTGTAGTGCATGTGTTCGAATCTGTTGTACAATAGTTTTGGATTAGACAGCCAGTTCTTCGGTGACAGTTGTAGACTGACCCCATCATCTTCCATGACTATCCATGCCAGAATATAATCTACAATTTGCAAGGTATACAGTCCGCCGTTCAGACGCCGCAAATACAATGAGTCTTCATCCATGTTGTCGTCGTCGGACGGCGAAGCCTGCTAGTCACGGAAATCAGAGACAAGCGATAGTAATCTAAGCGAGCACACCTTATCTGTAGCAATGTCTGCGTCCGTATTTCGGAGCCTAGCCTTGGCAGAGTCCCTGATATCTAGCAGCTTGTCCACCTTTTCGTAATTGTTTTCGACGAACTTGGTCAATAATCGCATCCGCTCAGTAGAATCGGATGGAATATTAGAAAAGAGCGACGCCACGATGCTCAGTGTGTGCGACGTATCCTCCGATGCCGGTATCTCACCAGACTTTTGTTTTTTGTTCATCTGCGTACTTCAGGTTGGAAGGTATGCTGGAAGATAAGGATTATTTCACGAACATATCCCATGAAGATCGAGAACAGCGACTTGAGTCCCAACGCTTCAATGAATGCCTCACAAAGGGCGGTGCCGGCAGGACCAGACATTGCGTAGTCCAGCGTTTTGATAGACCGCGACCGTGATTGCAATTTTTCCCTAGAATAGAAATCAATGTTAGTCACAGAGGTGTTAAACTATACGAACTTCATCATCAAAATCATGAGATCGTGCCCTTCGGCGGCCAGGAAAAGTTTCTTTATTTCAGTCTCATTTAACGCAGAACATAGAGCATCAAAGACGTTCTCCATGAACTCCACTTCGTCTGCATCGGCGGGGTCGCGCTTTCGATATTGCTAGAACATGTTAAGTGATACAACATATGACTAAGAGAAGCAGAACGTACCGAGAGGACCTTGAGAATGGTTTCAACACCATCATGTTTACCTAACTGCAGGCGATTTTCTGAGCTATCTTGAAGGAGAATCGAAAGAATTTCGGCGGCATATCCACGGTTTTCATCGAAAGTTTTCGCTTGTATGCGGTCAAGTAACCATGGTAGGAGATTAGTCTTTGACACAAGCTGGGTTGACAAAATAGGATCAAAACCCAGGATATTTTCGAAGATTCCTGGGACTGATGAGTCAATGGCAAACACGCACTAAGTTGAGTATCTACCTAGTATGTGAAAGACGCCCTGCCGGTCAGATTCTTCTATTTCGTTAAATCGTTTGAGGTTCTCGACCAGTAGTTCTAGTATAGAATTCTCCAACTTCAAGGATGTGAGCTCAGAAAGGAGAACAAATCTGAAAAGCGTACCAAGCCTTCTATCAAGATCTTAAGGGCCTCCGCTGTGTCCTCTTCATCATCATTGCCTTCATCGCCCACATCCTCATCCGTGAGTTCATGAAATACTTCGACGACGTCAATTGCGATGTCAATGTTTTCGTGAGTCAAAAGCCCGACTAGAAGAGCCACCGTTCCGGATTTTACAATTTCAGGATATGACAGAATGGGGAGCTGTGCCAAGGGTAGCAGAGACTTTATGGCGCTATCCAAATCGGCCTCGGAATCAATGAACCTAATTATCATGCAAGTCAGCGCCGCCGCGGCTCGTACAGGGTTGGGACAACAGACTTCGTAGGATCATCTGGATATTTCGACCGCTGGTCTTGGTTTTTGTTTACGGCGCGCTCGAACTGAAGCAGTGTTCTTCGGACACCTGATATTGAAAGTTGTGACGGCTTCACGCAAATGAGATTTTGAACACAGACGAAGTCTTCAGAACGCACCTCATCCTGCTCATTTGCGTTATCGAATATGTTCAATATCTCCTTCTGCTCAGAAGTCAGACCACCACCAAAGAATCGCCCTTCGTCATCCTCTTCGACAAAATAATCTGCATCTCCGCCGGGAGCAAAGTCGCGCGAGTTTTCCATGTCTTCATCAACGTCCTCGACGGTCACAGCGCGACTCTTTCCTTTGTCTTGGGACGGGCCATTTTGTGGTGAGTATCCCGAGCCAGATGGAGCACCTGTGTCCATCTTCATCTTCTTCAACATTTCGGGCGTTGGATTGTCGGGCAATTTCCGCTTTCCACCCCCAATTGGCACCTTGGGAGTCTGACAGTATCATCAGCTACAGAAGTACCACAAATGCTAGGGAGTATTACCTTGAATAACTTGTCAATATCCATGTTTCTTGCCGAAGGCTCTCAGGAAGACGCGACTGCAGGTAGTTAACAAGGTGAATATGTCGGATCTGTGACGCGTGCAACGTGAGAAATCGTGTGGCTGAGAAATTTGACCTCCTGTCACTTCACCACCACTATCTCTCTTGGGCAGGCAAGGCAGCTCTCTTCAACCAAGAATGAGTCACAACAATGTCCGTGGACCAACATCCGCCCTGACCGAGTTCCTTAGGGTAAGAAAAGAGCACAGGCCCTATTTTCAAAGTGCTCACAGTTGCCGCAGGACTCTGGCATTACTGCCACAACAATTGCACGGCGCGCAGCGATGGCGAATCGACCAGTGGCTGGGCCGAGTAATGCACCGGAAGAAGCAGACGATGTCGAAGCCAACCAGGAAGATGAAGTTCAGACACAGGCGCCGCGTCGACGAACTAGGGGTAATGTGAGATAGTCCATTCATTCCAGGGCAGTATCACTTAGCCCTCTGCAGAGGAGGTCAGGTTACGTTTCTGATGAGTTAGACGAGCCTGCTTCACCTGCAAAGAAACAAAAGTTGAGCAAGGCAGCAGAGGCCAAGCTGAAGAAGACCAAAAAATCCAAGAAAGATGACAAGGATGGCAAAGATGAAGATGAAGACGCGTATACCGCTCTGTCAAGGTCTATGTGGTCGACAGTTGGTTCCTCGTCGAAACCTCCCGTAGGAAGCTTTGATACCTGTGCAAAGTGCGGGAAACAGTATACTGTGGTACGACCTTTAATTCTTGCACATTCATTCTAAGATTGTAAACATTGCACAGACAAAATACACTATGGCCGCGGATTCTGGCTCGGGATATCTCTGCCATGCTTGTGCCAAGTCTTCTGGGAACGATCCATTCAAGAAGCCCACAGTCCCCAGAAAACGCAAACCAGCTGCGGCAAAACGAGTCGTGAATTACGAGGAGCGTCTCTTTCCTTCTCTTGCTTCCCTATGTATCCAGGTAATGATATTCCTGTGTCTTCAGTTAACATGACTAATATCCGTGCAGATAATATCGAGGTATATCGACGATATCGAAGCCCTCGGTGATATTGGTATCCTTAATATGGAAGCTATATCCAAGGCCATCTCGAAGAATCGAAGTTTGTCAGTCGAGTGACTTATTTGTATAACATTCATCCAACCTAACCCCTAACAGGACATCTGCAAACGCCCATCTCTTTTATGGGCCGGAGAACACGGTTCTGACACTGTACGACGCTACCAGTACGTGGAATAGCTGGTACTTGCCCAATACAAACTTACACTTTTCTCAGAGTTAACACCCGACGCTTTGCGAACCTTGGCTCATCTTAATCCTAATTTAACCACACTGCGCCTCGATTTCTGTGGCCTCTTATCAGACGAAGTCATGTCTGTGTGGTCGACATCTCTTCCGAACTTGGTATCTCTTCAATTGCTTGGTCCCTTCCTTGTCCGCCCATCCTCCTGGATCAACTTCTTTGAATCTCACCCTCAGCTTGAATGTTTCAAGATAACGCAAAGCCCAAGATTCGACGTCCAGTGTGTCGAAACACTGATCGCTACGTCACAGAAGACGTTGCACGCTTTGGGGCTCAGGGAGATTGGCAAGATGTCTGACGAGTTCCTCAATTGTATCAAGCTCCTCGAAGGGCAATTGACGTACCTGGATATATCTGAACCAAGCGAGTCCTGCAGTGAAGCAGCAATTATAGAAATGCTCTCCACTGTAGCGCCCACCTTAACCCACTTGGACCTTTCAGATCACACCGAAGTCTCTGACAAGGTTCTGCAACAGGGGTTACAACCATACTCTAAAGCTATCACCTCCCTCGGTCTGAAAAATCTCCCCGAGCTTACCGATACCGGTGTAGCTGATTTCTTTGACTCCTGGACGGCCAATCCGCCCTTGACTTTCCTCGATATTTCCCGCATCCACCTCCTAAATAAGAATGCCCTTCTCGCCATCCTGGCACATTCCGGCTCCAGCCTTCAAGAGCTGAATATCAATGGATGGCGCGATATTGATAATGAGACCTTGGAGGAGATCGGGAAACAAGCAAGAGATTTAAAGAAAGTCGACCTAGGATTTTGTAGAGGCGTCGACGATTTTACCGTGAAAAGCATCATCGAAGGTAGCAAAGGAGGACTTCAGGAGGTTAAAGTGTGGGGCTGCAATCGAATTGAAGGCAAGTGGACTGTCAGTGGGAAACAGAGACACATCAGGGTATATGGCGTTGAATCTCATTGAATGTCGCTCGTAGCGATGGTTGGAGGAATGCAGAAATAAGTAATACGTCTAATTTTGCTTTAAAGAAATCCCAAGTATTTTTATATAACTTTCGTGCCAGGTGGGGATCAGTAGCGTGAAGAAACCTTTTACTAATACGAGGTCGTTATATCGAAGATAGGGAATTTACAGGTTGGCATCCGCACATTAAAAGCGTCAGGAACATAGAGAAGCCTTGGGTGTAAAATTAATCCCCCCCTCGACTTGTCGGCTTTCAGTACTAGCTAAGTTCGCTCATTGAAGAATCCGTGGTCATTTCAGACGTTGTCTGTAAATTGGAGATGAAGCAGAAGAAAAAAGTAAATCGGGCGCTGATCTTATAACAATCAAGCGCGAGGGCAGAAGATGACAGACACCAAAAGTTCATAGTGAGAATTGTACTGAGGCACCGATTGTGTACCGGATGTCGGTTATCATACCGGCGTCCAACTAAGAACGAACCGGCCGAGCCGGCGGCAGACAGCTATCTTGCTTACCACCATGGGCACGGCCATGAAGTCAGAAAAGCAGGCTCTTCTTCAGTTTCCGTTTTCCGGCATTGGAGAACTACAGGAAAACAGACGTAATCGCACCTACCGAGTTCGATTGGCCTTCTTTCTTTCACTTTTCTTTGCTGCATTCATCTATCTATGCCGTAATTCACGATCCGTGTTCGAGGCAGAATTACTGCATGAGGACCTAGGCTATGCCCACATCGCAGAGAGTAGTCTTTCCACTGAGGAACGCGAGGCTCTGTTTCTGTATGTGTTTGTACTGTATCATTACGATGCTTACGAATCCTTGTTATCAGGTCTTTTCTAGATGGGAAGCGCGCAGAAGAGACGTCAAAGTTGTATTCCAAGCATCCTCATCTTGCTGGATCTCCTGAGGATTTCGAAGATGCAAAGTCGATTCTTAAACTCTTCCGCTCAGAATTTGACATCCCCGAGCCACACACGGAGCCCATTTTCCCTGCTGGTTCGAAGGCGTCCCGATTGTCTACCCTTAGTCTAACTTCGCCCTTGGGAAGCAGCAAACCATCGGCGTGGATTGACGTATACTACCCTGTTATGAACACTCCGTTAGACCGAAGTTTGGATATTCTTGGAGAGGACACCCGTTCGGTATGGAGTGCCGATCTCACGGAGGACGGTAACCCTTTGGACGAGGATGCAGCCAAGTACAGGGACTCTGTTCCAGCATGGCATGGGCTGAGCGCCGACGGAGAAGCTATGGGACAAGTAAGAATACATGCCTAACTCATACTGTATCTCATGGTTGTGTTTTCAGCTTGTTTACGTTAATTACGGAACGAAAGAGGCGAGTTCGTCTTTCTACGACACCATAAAGACTAGCATGTCAGAGTGTATAGTAAATTTCTATTACTAAAACCAATTTTACAGGACTATGATGAACTCGTAGCGGCTGGCGTCGACTTTACGGGAAAAATCGTTATAGCTCGTTACGGTAAAGTGTATCGAGGTCTGAAGGTAAGTAGTACGACTCCCACTGCACGCAATGAATTCATTCGCGACTAGATTGAACTAGGAGAAGCGCTCGGTGCTGTCGGAGCGCTCATCTACTCAGACCCTCGTGACGACGGTTTCGTGACCGTCGAGAATGGATACGCTCCATACCCCAATGGCCCGGCCAGAAATCCTTCTTCAGTCCAACGGGGCAGCGTCATGTACCTTCCACTGTATCCCGGAGACCCGACGACCCCGGGATATCCTGCTTATGAGGGAGCGGAGCGAACGAATGCAACAAATATTCCGAAGATCCCTAGTTTGCCTATTTCTTGGCACAATGCACAGAGACTGCTTGAGGAGATTGACGATAGTGTGAGCCCAAGACTTACAGGAAAGCTCAGTTCGTCTACGATCAAGCTGGTCAATCATGGTAAGACCAGTGTATCAAGTTCCTTTATGTTTCTCTAATGCATAGTTGATAGTTGATACGAAGGTGACTCCGATATGGAATACCATGGCTGCAATCCCTGGTCACGTAAAGGATGAAGTTGTTTTAATCGCCTGCCATCGTGATGGTACATATATTCGATTCTCAAAAGGAAATGTCTGATCAATTGGTTCAGCATGGGTGCTTGGAGGTGCTGATCCTGTCAGCGGGACCGTTTCGCTCACTGAGGTAATTCGTGGATATGCCGAGTTGCTTCGTGACGGATGGAAACCCCTGCGTACGGGTATGGTACCTATCCTTCAGTCTGTTGTCTCGTTCTTACTGTTCATCAGTTGTGTTTGCTAGCTGGGACGCAGAGGAGGTGTGTTGATCACATTGTATTCTCTTGGTCTTCGAAAAGTTACTCATTCATGCATCTACAGTACGGTCTTATTGGCAGCGTTGAATATGGCGAGGACTTCTCATCTTGGATTTCCAAACACGTCGTTGCTTATATCAACGTTGACGTCTCCTCGTCTGGATCCAGCTGGAACGTGGCAGGGTCGCCTGCTCTAGCTCCTTTGATCAAGCAAACAGCTTTGGACATCCCTCACCCTACTATACCTGGCAAGAAATTATGGGATGCTCGAGACGACGAAGGCCCCTTCCGTGATGATACATTGTCCGTCAACATGACTGCTGATGTCAATGTACTTATGGACTACCAATCGAAGAAGAAGGCCAAGACGGAGCTGGATACTGGAGTTCTACCCTTGGGAAGCGGCAGCGACTACACTGTTTTCCTACAGAGATTGGGTGTGCGTAATGTTCAGACGAAAACTTGTTCTTTGCATTGATATTTTTACAGATCCCAAGTACCGATCAAGGATTTGGCGGCACGCCTTATGACGCACCATACCACTACCACTCCATCTATGACAGCATTCAATGGCAGCAAGTTTATGCGGATCCTGGATTTCACCGCCATGCATGTTTTTGTTTATTCACACTCAAAGGTTGCAACTAATTTAGCTATTGGCTATAGGTTGCTGTGGCCAAGCACCTTGGTCTGATGGCCCTTCGTCTCATTGATTCAATTATAATTCCCTTAAATACTACTCAGTACGCTCTCGAACTGGACCAATACCTGGACACGTGAGCCACTTTATTTCCGGTCAATTGTATCTGACACTGATCCTTCTATAGCGTCGAAAGTCTGGCCATGCAAGAGACTTCCTCGACAATTGACTTCGGAATCCTCCGATCGACTATCAGCAAATTACAAGCTGCGAGTAAGGCCTTGGACGAGGAAAAGGAAGATGCGGAGAAGGCAAGTAAACGATGTCCATGCCAGAATTGATATTTATCATACCTTTCAAACAGACATTTAAAGACCTCCTTGGGAAGTTACCTTCATTCCCACAGCCTGGACGTGCCATTTGTCGCCGCCGAAGTCCATCATACACGCGGGTGACCAATTGGGTGAAGAGCGTATTCGGTGTTCCTCCCCTTGAACCGGCAGAACAGCAATCCACTACCATCACTCCAGCCGATATTCCTAAGGTTCCCCCCATCCTTGAGTTCTTGAAGGCTCAGAGACGCGTCATCAAAGCTAATAAGAAGCTCATCTCCTTCGAACGGGGTTTCATCTCAGAAGATGGAATCAAAGGCCGAGAGTGGTTCAAGCACCTAGGCGTCGCTCCTGGAAGATACCTCGGTACGTCTGTTGTTTACTAGAAGAAAACATATTAAATCAACCATTAGGATATGGTGCAACGACCTTACCGGCCTTGACTGAAGCCCTCTCTCTTGAAAAGAATGTCACGTTGGCACAAGAGGAGACATACCGACTAGTATCACTTCTGGATACGTTAGCAGATAATATTACGCCTTGACATCTATCTTCCTTTCTATTAGAATGCTGAAATATATCTAGAACGAGACATGCGTTTCCTTGTTACCCAATACATCCACTTAGGCTGAACTCGACAAAGTTGACTTATGAAGCGCAGTGGGCAGCAATGACGGCATAGCTCAATACATTCCGACGCATTTTTTTCCAGCGTGTCTTTCTGTCGGTAAGAAAACCCTACTACTCTCCCGATGAAATGAAAAAAAAAAGATCAAGATAAATAATAAATATATTGAATCAAAAATGTTACATGGTGTCTATGTTGGATCCTTAGGTCAGGTCAGTCGCGACGAACATTGCGAACAAACGGTAAATGACTACTTAAAACGATAGAGCCTCGTCTAATGATTGGATAGGGGATTTGGAACCTCACTGGCAGAATCCTTGGCGTTGAACTTTGTATTAAAATGAAGAACACTTTGAACAGTGAGGTCGCAATTTTCGTAACTCTCGATGTTCTTGTAATGTTCTACCAACCTGTAACTGGGGTATTGCACCGCCACATTTCATTCGTTGTAACTTGTGGAGTTCAAGACATCTCTCTTGTTTGCCTGTCAAGGGCCTAGAAGAGGGCAGAAATAGCACAGATCCCGGTAATTGCCTTTGAACATTCGTGTACGTTTTGTACCACCCGATAAGCTTCATGTCGGTAGAAAGAACAACAGACAAACACTTTGTGATACGTTCTTGCAGAACATGCTACGCCTGGGGGTAGGCAAGGACTTTTAATGATCGAAGCTAATCCTATGAACAGACAAAGTCAGCTAAGTACCAAATTTAAAATGAAGTCCACAATTGTGGAACCCAGGCTGCCATGCACATAGTCTTGCAGCTCACCTTAGCAGCGTGTGAGACGGAACCCAATATGATTTTTGATCCGTCGGGAATTCATGCATGAGAACCTTTGTACGATAAACTCCAAGCTGAGTCCTTATCATGGTTGTCACTTTTCCCGCACTCCATCACCATGCTTCTTGAAGTCACTGTAAAATGGATAATAGGGTTCTCCCTTCTTGTGCTTGTTGGTGCACAGCTTCATCCCCAAGCTCCAGCAGAATACAAACGACTTCCATCTTTACGTGAGCAAGCTGAAATCCTCGATCGCTGGACATCTGAGCGTATAGCTCGTATTCCTTTACTCTTGCAAAAATACGGCGTCGATGCTTGGTTGGTCAGTATTCCCACTCAAATTGCGCGAGCAGGTGCCTCATCTGGTGACGATAGATGTGTCAACGGGAACACGCAGAAGATACCATTTGGTGGTCAATCAAGAATGCAACTGCTTATGATGTTCACAGGAGAACCGTTGTCTTGTTCCATACCAACACTTCCTCCTTACAAGGCCAGCCGAACCCCCTTGTGTGGATCGACAATACGGGTCAAGTTTGGACAGACTTGCGTAAAAGACTAGAATCCTATGACCCGAAACGTATTGCAATAAACGTGGATCGGAATATTGCGTTTAGCGGTGGTATGCATGTGGGGGAAATGCGCGTCCTTGAAGAAGAATTAGGGTCGAAATGGATGTCACGAACAGTAAATGTTCCCATGCTTGCCATCGAGTACGTCTCCAACAAGGTATCGGGCCAAATTCAATATTACAGAGATATGCAAGAAGTTGTGTGGGCTATGCTTGAGGAGGGGTTTTCTCATAAAGTTATTGATCCTGGAGTCACAAGCACAATCGTATGTAACAAGAACCGGTGAAAAACCACTATTACTCAATGTTCAGTAGGATCTCGAATGGTGGTTCAGAGAAAAAATGTTAACCTTAAATGTAACAACTTGGAATCACCCTCGAATATTCGTCACAACGCCAGCTTCATTTCCGGGATGGGCTGGGTCCGATGATATAATTGAAGAAGGAGACCTCCTACATATCGACATGGGTATAACTGCCATGGGAATGAACACGGATACCCAGCACCTTGCGTATGTCCTTCGCACCAGCAAAGGTGAGACGGATGCTCCCGAGGGTCTAAAAGCCGGCTTGGAGAAAGGAAACCGTATGCAAGACATCGTGCTCGAAAACATGAAAGCGGGTTTAACGGGCGATGAGATTCTCCAAAGGTGTCTTGAGCAGATGAAGCTTGAAGATATCGAAGGACAGATATATTCTCATCCTATCGGCGACTGGGGTCATGACGCGGGAGCGGTCATGGGTGAGCCATCGCTGAATTATAGCGCAATGGGCAGGATCTAATAAGTTTGACTCAAGGTTTTACAAATTTTCCAGAACACGTACCGGTTCTAGGGGAGCTGCCTGTCCTCCCAAACACATACTACAGCATCGAACTTTTCGCCACCCATTTCGTTCCAGAACGAAATGAGACGTTGAGATTTCTTCTTGAAGAAAATGCGTACTGGAATGTAGAGACAGAGACATGGCAGTTCGTTCGAGGTACGGTTTACATTTAAAAAAAAACCAAAGCCCATTGAATGAGGTTCCATGATAGGTCGCCAAGAAAGGTTCCATCTCATAGACCAAAGGAAACGGGAATCGACGGCGCTCTTCAATGTTCAATAACACACGGTTCACCACTAAAGAACTTGATGATCATTTGTACAATCTATGGATAATCCATTAATGAGTAAAATCTGCGAGAATGGTGAAATGAACGTGGCATAAAGTAGAGAGGTAGAAATAGGATATCCACTAATGTCACTGTTGTTCCTCCGTACATGGCAAGAAAATTAGAACATGTTGGCAAGTTTGCTAGCGGCTTCTCGTGCATCCAGTCGTGGACGCATAGGCTGTACGCGCACTGAAGCTGACATGTATCCAGGTCTGGCTTGCCCGAGAGGGTCAAGACCATTATTGTTGATGTGCCGCTCTGCGGGTCGGTTCAGGGGACCACCGTGGCTGGACAGCGGATCCCCGGTTATCCTAGAAGGATTCGAACTGAAGCTTGACGATGATGAAGCGATTGGCGGTGATGCAAGAGGGGATATCGTCGATGACGAAGGCTTGACGAACATCGACTTGGTCCCATCGACAAAACGCCCACCGAGAGGCGGACTGTCGTCGATAGGCTGTTTTGGAGATGCGGCTGCTTCAGAAGAAAGCGACGGCGAGGAGGGTCCGGCCCCAGGGGATTGCGGCGGTCTGGGGGACGAGGGGCCAGCTGAAGATGAAGCGAGGCGGGATACAATGCTGGCCTGAGTTGAAGAAGGGGACAAGGGACGATGCGTGTAGAATTGAGAAGACGAAGGTACTGGACTGTGTAAGGATGGCGAAGATTGAAGTGGCGGTCCCTGTGCGAGTAGGGGATCTCCATTATGGGACGCAATAGGTTGATTGGACGGTGGGGGAGTACGAACGGTAGTCTGTTGATGAACCCCATTGATGCCAGGGACAGGGCCAGGGCCAGGAGCAAGAGAGCGGGGCATAGGCGGCCTGGAGAAATCTTCTAATGGCGGTATTACCGTTGGTCTGGGTGCAGGTGCGGCGCTCGGAGCTACTTTCTTCGCGGCATTATTGACATCCCCACGTAAAGCTTCCAATTCCTTCAGAAGCTGTCTTTCGTACATGATTGATGACCGAGCATGCTCGATTAGGGCAGTCGTGATATCGTCATTGGCGTAGCGGTTGTGCGTCTGGAGTGCTCGATGTAGGTTCTGTGAGATACCCTCTGCTCTCTTAGCCAACACTTGCTCGTATTTGTTTGCCTAGTGAGACTATCAGCTTGACAGAATTGCACGAATAAGCTGGGACTAACCTCCTCAATTTCCTCCAAAGCCTCGTCAACACGATCAGGACGGATGTTAGAGCTGGCTTTCAGCCGTTCGATTTGCCGCCGCTTTGATATAGTAGTCTTCACAGCAGCTTGATACTCTTCCAGTACACCTGTTCGCATTTGCAGCGTCTCCTTCGCTGAACGAGCATTCATGCCTTGATAGCCTAACGAGTCCCCAAGAATAACGCATTCACTAAGTGCCTGAGCCTGGTCGAGATCAGCAAGACTATGCCACGTTCTTCCAAGCTTTCGCAAAGCATTTCCCAGCGGCGGATGGGCCTCTGTAGTAGCAACATTAATGAGTTTGTGACCCATTTCAGAATGGGCAGTAACCAGAGCTGCGGAAACGTCAGATTCCAACAGAACACAGAAAATGAATACACACATTTCCGAGCCACAGCCAGCTTATCCACGGCCTTTGCAGTATCGAAAAACTGCCCTTCCAGCTTCGTCAACTCGAACCGGGCCCTCTGCAGCTCTTCATCCTCATCTGGTACACCACGTCTCATCAGCCCAAATCCGCTAGACGTCTTCCGACGTGGCCGTGGAGTTGGCTGATACCCAAAGTCGCTCTCGATGAAGGAGCGAAGGTCTTCATCGTGCAAAAGAATGGGATCCTCACACACCCGCGTTATCCACCTCTGCAGCATGATCCTCACCAGTCTATCATCTTCTTCGTCCGTCGGAGCAGATGTCTGCGCTAATGGGAGAGCGGGAACGATCGTCTGAGGGTTGCTGTGCACGATAGAATCGTAGAACTGCTGAAATTCGAGGTACGAGCGCGACACGTTGCGATAGGTCGTGCCAGTGAAATTCGACAGGTTCGCCTGAGCACATTTAGCGAGATAAAGAAGGTACAATAGAAGAGGGATACCTGTGCATCTAGTCGTATAAGAATATCCCTTCGGTTTCTGTCCAGCCCTGTAATCCTCACTCGAAGGTATGGTTCCGTTTTCTCATACTTGGTGCCATTAGAGCCCACTGTATCCCGAGGAGAGATTAAGCCAGCTTCTGGCTGTCCATATATCTGAGGTTCCTTCCCGTACAGCCCAGGACTGGGCCCTTTATCAGGCGTCGGTGGTACTGGTGTCGATGCTCGTCGTAAATTGGGTATAGGAGAATTTGGGTGAGGAGTCGTGGGCCATGGTGGAGTGTCGACGCTGCCTCCAAAAGCGCTGGCAGAGTTGAGAGGGTCGAACATAAGTAGGTATTGAGGAAGCAAGGATGTGACACTGCAACTGTCGCCTTCAAAATAGCTCCAGACAGAAGCCTTTTTCCGTTTTACGTAACACCAAATTCCGGTTCGGGCAAAAATTCTTATAACAGAAAACGAATGCGTATAACATGATACATATAAAACAAATCAAAAGAAAGACGGGCGTCGTAAACAAATAATGATATCCGCCAAATTTTTACCAAAGTCGAGGATATATATCGTCCTGAAAATCCCGAAAACAAACCTGTCCTAGATGGGAGGTATCATAATAGTTCGTTGGAAACGGTGTGAGTAAATGAAGGTATATGATAAACAATTCGGACACCTTTAAGGTGCTGGGCAGTCGGGAATGGTTACCCGCTTTAATGTACGGCTAGGCAGAAAGTCAGCTGCTAGGAAAAAGCACGATAAAAAAGAACAGACTTTGAGTGGAATAGCCCCCAGTGTCCCTCAACACCTCCATACAACTTGTCTTTCCAAGGTTCATCAGTAAACTAAAAGGGCCTGGATTAGCCAAGACTAAGGGATGGACTCCACGAATACACACCTCAAAGAAGAAGTATCCTGTGCCATTGGTATTTGCTTGGCAGACGAAGTTATCGAGGAATATTTGAAGGTTGGCTTCAGAAGCATCCGAAGCACCGTTGTTGGCATTCCCAGCATCCGATGATTCCTGAAAAGACGAACTTGTCGGAACACATCCTCTCGGGAAAAAGCTTGAAAACCTACCGTTGGCCATCCCGTCTCGGCTATGTACATTTTTGGTTTGTTCGGCAGTTGTGCAGCAGGCTGAACATTTGTTTCCTCAAAGAACGTTGCTGTCCATGACGCAGCGTCCTGGATTGTGGTATTTGCGAACCACGGGTGCACGTTCGACAACTGCCGAGAAGTTAGCATATTGAGCTACAACAGGCAAAAAAATCCTTACTCCATAGTCAACAGCTTCCAGCACGAGGTTGTTAAAGTAACTGCCAGCATCTGAGTTACCAACAGGTATCGTCTTGTCCAATTTGAGCTCATCAAGCATACTGCGCGTATCATTAATGTCGGCCACCAATTGTTCACCGCCTTCAATGAAGTATTAAAAAGATGTGCTATGCATAGATTGCGTATGAACTTGCCGGTGTTGCCAACCGCACTGTTAGGATCCGTTGCTCCATGTGCATTAAGGTAGCTATTTCAGAATGTGAACATAGTCCTAAAACAGGCCTGAGCCACGTACTTGAGAATGTATTCATTGCCGACGGTAATTCCTGCAATGTGATCAGTGCCATAAGTCTGAATTGCTGTCTTGATGGTATCGCGTTGACGAGTGTATGCGGTTTCGTCATCCGGAGTAGGATAATTTCCCAAAAACACCTGCATGTCGACCTTTGTCTGCTTTATAGCCTCAAGCTGTAGCAGTTGAATTTTAGATCATTACCACACCAACAAGAAGCAAGACATACGACAAGAGCCGACTGGTTGCAATCTGCACCATATAGACGAACTCGCTTTGTGAGCTGCGACATAACCTAGTGGAGGGGAGAAGCATAAGCTACGCCAACGAAGGACGAAAGAATGACACTAACCTGGATATCTTGGATGACAGCCTCTAATGTATTGCCACAATCCGGAAGCAACGATCCTTCTGGGGTATACGCCATACCATAGAACGACTGCTTCAAATTTGGATCCTTGACAAAGGTACTGGGGTCATTGGGATTCGTCTGCTTTGGAGCGCTGGAATCCGACGATGAAGAGTCTGAAGAATTCGTTCCTGACGAAGTACTGGAACTGCTCGACGCATGGTTATTGTTATTGCTCTTGTTTTTGTTGGATACGGAAACGCCAACGCCAACACCGATGGCTATCAGAGCTGCAAGAGTGATGAGAGAACCAATGACCTAAACACTAAGCGTTAGTTCGAACACAACCTAGCTAATGGGTGGGCGTACGATCCACTTTGACCTATTACTCCGCTGGTTGCTCTTCTCTAGAGAATAGGACATGCCACTGCCAACGCTCTCGTAGTGTGTATTGTCTGCCATGTTGGAGATGGTGGTGAAAAGGCAAGACAGCGAGCAGAATCGATTAAATAAAAAGGCGAAAAGGAGACGCTGGCAGTGCGATTGAGTGCCCCCGACTCGGCGCTAAGGTCGTCACAGGGAGAGCAAGAAACAGGGCCAAGACAGACAGATGCCAACGATTGAACCAAGAAATGCTAGACGGTCCTAGACAGCTGACCAATAAACACCGCCCCGGCCGCGCCATGCCTCTTAGGACACTGATTCGTTTCAGCATATTTCAGACACGGCCTTCAATGTCCTACACCACAATATCTCACTCCATTCGACGTCCGTGGTCGAAAGAAGGTCAACACTATATTTATATCAGGATCTGCACTATTTGTTATTCCTTCGGCTGCGCAGCGCAGCAAAATATGGTATCACCATGAGAATTACAGATCTTCCAGATATACAGTACTTATTATTAAACGTCTCTTCTCCTCAATAATGAGTGAATAACAAAAAATATTAAGCTTCGACATCTTCCATCCATAGCGGCAGAATGTGTCCCATTTTCAACACCTTCGTTCGCAGATACTTGTCTAGATCTTCCCCGTAAACAGCTTTCCCACCAATAAGTGTGGCTCCAACATGATCTTCCATCTTGTAATGCTTTGGATCAACATCTGGATTCGCCTTCGAATTTTCTTGGCGACATTTCCAACTCCTGGGTATCATTGGAACACGTTCAACAACCTTCAGGCCATCTTTCTCCAGTGCCTGGACTTTGTCCGGGTTATTCGTCAGCACACGGACACCATCGCTTAACCCGAGGTCACGTAAAATCGCAACAGCGATGTCGTACCCGCGTTCGTCAGCCCCATGACCGAGCATCAGATTAGCGGTAACGGTGTCGTGCCCGATATCCTGCAAGTTGTACGCGCGTATTTTTGAGAGCAGCCCAATTCCCCTCCCTTCTTGCCTTAGGTAGACAACGGCACCGCGACCCGGGATGGGAGTAGATGAATTTAGTGGACATGACAGCGAAATGGTGATAGGTTGCGATATTAGACGAATAGCCTCGTCCAGCTGCTCACCACAATCACATCGCATGCTGCCAACGGTCTCGCCGGTAAAGCATTCCGAGTGTATTCTGATGAGAGGTGCAGGGAGGCCTAAAGTTACTCCGGCAACACCGGATGGCGGCATAGACGCATGCTGAGATGTAGGTGATAGCCTACCCACGTAGGCTCCACGGGTGATTCGGTCCATTTCCGTTTCATCCTTGCTCCATACAGCATCCAGGGTATGGGATCGAATGGGGGGCGGGGAAACTGCGCCAAGCTTGTCAGCCAGCTGGGCGGGGTCGACAACGATAGCTAAATGCTCTTTGTCGTCCCGGTTATTGTGGTAAAGATGTAAGAAGACAGGGCCGTGAGGCGTCGGTATTCTCGTTCGAGCCATACATTTCACGCTGAGTTCCGCGGCCGGGTCTTTCGGGATCACATCGGGACCGACCTCTGCCGTAGAAACTATTGCGGGAACCACAGGGGTGGACGACGAGGTACGGCGTTTCTTGTGGGAGAGAGAAATATTCTCGATGGGTGAAAGCGACGTATCTGTTTGTTCCCGCGGGTGGTCATTTTCCTTCCCTTCCAATGCCAGTCGTTGCCTACGAGGTGCTTGCCTGCTAACATAGGCTAGCTTCTTCCTCTCCGGTGCCGATGCATCCTGCCCAGTAAATTTAGTCCAATCCCAGGCACCTTCTGCCTTTGGTAGCATGACTCCCGGAAAGAAATCATGGTGGTAATGGTTTCGGGTAACATGGGGTCCCGAAGCGAATGCCGCCGCCATGATGAGAGGGTCGAGCGCAGCATCCCTCCGCGCAAAGGTTGTCGCGGTCGGGGCCGATGGACCGGTGAGCATGTCCAGCAATGCAGCGTCAGAGTCGCTGAGGGCGTCGTGTGCGGCTCTTTCAGACATTACTGAAGAAGTAGGGGGAAACCTGGGTGAAATGCAAAGTCAGGCAGGTATTTAAGCGAATTGCAGCGGCTGACCTGGGTGGAGGACGTGCGACGTTGTGGTTACTGGTTAAGTCATCCAATTGCAATAATTTTGGTCAAGGGTAAGTCAGCAAGTAAGCATGATTATGAAGGAATTTGCATGAGATTAAAGAAGCGCTTTATCTTATCGCGCACGTGGCAACGATTAAGATATCGATAGACCTTGTCTCTCCGCACCATACTCACCCGTTCCAGTTCCTGGGCGCTGATTTTTTCCGGTTATATAAATGGAAGGAATTGTTCTACATAGTACCGATAACTCACCCCCGTCGTTTCCGAGCTTCAAACTGGCACTTCGAATTAATTTCTTAGTAATTTCTTAGTCCCAAGCTTCCCCCCGATTTTCTCCTGCGCCTTCATATGACCGTCCCCATGAATAAGCGGGTACTTCGGTGGAGTGTGCTTCTATGTATGCTACCATGGTACGTTACGTCCACCCAGGCCACGCATTCACCATCTGAAGTTAGTTCTCGCGTCGTAGCCTCCTTTCGGCCCCAACGTCTGTTACAGACGACCACACTCTTTCAGTTCCGTCAACAACGACCTCTTCCTCTCCTACCGTTAACACACTCTCACCACTACCACTCTATACTTGGCGGCCCAGTGCTCCTGTACGTAGCACGTCTACCAACGGCTACATTCACCAGAAACCCGTCGCCATGTTCCTTGAAATCCTCGGAGGCATTATAGCAATTGCCATCGTCCTCAGCCTTATACGCTGTATCATCAGCTACAGACGTACACCCAAACGCGACCGCATCGCAGCCATTATTCACAGGCATCAATTGCATCGCGAAATGGATGATCTTGAATATCGGATGAGTCCGTTCTACAATGGCAAGCGCTCATCCTTGAAAGAGCTACCACCACCACCGTATTTCCCCCGTCCACCTGCGTACGAGCTAGAAGACACACCGCCTCCTAGCCCCGTTCGCTCGGAATTCGTTCAGGTGGATATTGCCTGTCCTTTCCCCTCCCCAACAGTAACGACACAGCGAGGAAGACGGTTCACACTCCGTAACATATAGGAGTAGAGGGCGCCCTAGGGGGCCCTGAGGCAGGAATATATCGAACATATCGCAGGCCAGTACATACTGTATTACCTTAACGCTTGTGGAGGACATTTTAACGTGATTTACAGCGTCTTATTGGCAACTTACTTCATTGTACAGTAGAAACTGGTTATACTTTTACCCTGTTGTGAATCGATATCAGGGTTATTGCTTGGACGCATTATATTTGGCACATACCGTTGAAGACCTGTTTAGGAATAGTCTGCTTTCTCGAAATGCCTGGAGAGCTTTCAGCAGCCAAGTTGCTGCACTTCCTGTAAGTATATGATCGACGTTCTGAACGCCGCGAATAATGACGCGTTTGATGGTATACAGCTCTGGCATCCATCTATCAATGTTCTCAATGAATCTGTAAGCACCGAAGGCACACGAACAGCTGATTTATATTGGCCGGGATCGACAGTGACGAAACGCCGTTCCAAGTAGCCTGTCAGTAAATACTTAGCCATTAAGACTCGCGCTTTGTCGCGACCTCTTTCTTTAGACATGCTGCAGCAATGAACGAGGAATCGGGTCGAACGATGCACGTGCCATGCCGGCTGCCGCTGACTCTTATGTAAATCCGAAACGGGAACCGAGAGTCAAAACGACCACCTTCGAGGCGCTTCGCGCTTCGTTTTCGCAGGCTTTAACTCTTGTTATCGATAACCATGGATATGCAAGACCAGCAGCAACAGGATCAAAGCCTAAACTTGCCCAGGTAGGTCCCAAATTTTCGTATGCGATTTGATCTTAACCCGATTTCCAGGGCGGATTCTGGAACGCTCGCTTCTGGACCGCCTTCAGTACCGACGACGCCCGCTTTGTCTTCGCAGGCCGAATTCAAGAACAAAATCATCGAGATCCTAGCTGGTACCGCTAATGGGTGCCTCGCAGAACTGGGATACTACCCTACTTTACACGCGGATATGCAGAAACTCAGGGCTCAAAATCAGTTTTTGACCAATTGTCTCAATGAGAGAGACACTCTTATATCGCAATGGCAGCAAGAGAATCGTAGGTTGTGGGAGGACAATCGTCGTTTGATATCCCTCAATACAGATATCAAAGCAAAAACGGCTGAGATTGATACCCTGAGGGCGGAAATCATGGGGAAGGATATGACCATCAAAGAACTGACTCGTCAGGTCAGAGGCGTTTCTACGCGCGAGGCCGATGCTTACCAAATTCTGCTTCACGAGCATCAAGCACTACTAGGAAAGCAGCGCGCCACACATAACGAGAAGCTAGTTCTAGAGAATACCATCGCGCAAATGAAATCGATGGGTTTCGGTCTAAATAATCAGCAAGGTGCGTTTTCTCCCTTTCATCTCGGCTGTATTTTCCATTTTTCTTATACGACACATAGGCGTAGCAGGACCATCAGTACGATCTTCGCTTGCGTCTACAACGAACTTCTACTAATACGCCATATTTCACAGGCTACTACCAGGCGAAATTCAGCTCCGATCGCTCAACCCTCTCAACCCATGCCTATATCCCAACGTTCCCCTCAGTCCCCGTCGCAAGCAATGCCCAAACAACCTACCCACCCCCTAGTTGCTCAGATCCTCCCGTTTCCTAGGCAGCAGCAGCTACAAAACCCGGGTGTTGTCGCAGGATGGACCGCTAATCAACATCCTCAACGGGCACCCCAAATCATACGTATCCCTTCCTCCAGAACTGTCCAATCTCCCAATCCACCCCTCCATATCAGTACCCATTCTTTGCCACCTTCTGCCCAAATGCCTCCCACCCCACCTATGAGCGCGTTTCCTGCCCAGTTGTCCCCGTCAGTCAGAACTCCCGTTCAAGTAAACCAATACCCTCGAATGTCTTCTAATAACCAACCCTCACCGGTGCAATCAAACTGTCCACCTCCACCACAGTCACAAGTTCCCGTACAACAATCACAAGCTCCCACACAACAATTACAAGGAGCGCAATCCTCGGTGCAAGTTCCGACACCACCAGAACAACCTCCTCCTCAGACCCAGATTCAGAATGGAGTTGTTCCACCTACACCACCTGTTTCTCACAAGTCGATGTCACCAGAAGCTTGCCCTGAGACGAAACCCGTTATCGATGCGGCAGGGAACGTAGCTTCGGTTTCAGGTACTGAAGCCGAGTCTAACAGTCCGACATTGAAGCGGTCTGCTAGCTCCGAGCTACCTGAGTCCTCCAAGAGGGCGAAAGTAGAGCAGGCGGAAGATTCTCTCCTGAACACTTCCGTCGAGATGCATCCCAGTGACAACGACGAGGTTGTAGAGGTTGATGCGACTGGGTTGAGACCAATCTCAGTTGTCGTGGCCGAAGATATGGTGGTCGCAGACGAAGCGGACCCGAACATCAAGCATTGTTTCTTTTGTCGGCAAGTAACATTTATTCTTTCAACGATAGGTGGTTCTCATTTCCCTTTCAGAGCACGATACGAACAGGGTGCTTTGTCCGAACCCCCGAAACCATTCGTCAACAACCCTGAAGAGATGGAGAAACACATGATTGACGCTCATCCAATTGCTCTAGATTCGCTGAGGAAACAGATATTTGATGAGTAGGTTTGGTCTGTTGCATTTCACTGTCGGGTTCTACGGCCGTTCCAGTAATACTGTGTTCAGCTCTCTTTGTTGTCGGTTTTCCACGTTGCATATTAAATTATTTCCTTCAATTCTCTCGACCACATGTAGCCATGTTATATGATATAGATGCCCTTTGCCTCAGATTGGCCAAGTTGATACAACGTTATTCGGCAATGGTTGCTCTTTGTAAGGAATAGTGGGCGCACTTGGCGTTGCTGTTGGACGATAATCCTGAATGAGAGCTTAGCGTTAGGGTCTATAAAGAAAAATATAATCTACCTTGACCTTAGCGTCAAAGACTGGGGAAAGCGACAGTCTCTCGGCTTGTCGGTGTGACTTCCGATACATTGATTACGTTGCAGTCGCGTATGTGGCGGTGCCAAAGAACTTCGTCCTCACGAACATGAAGGGGCATATATCTTTCTCTTCCTCACCCTTCCACTATCTATGTTCAGCAACTCCACAATACGCTCGTTAATCAATAATACAATAGTATGTACAAACTCTACACCTAGCACGTCCTGCTACTATCCTGTTGGCGACGAAGACGAAGACATCTCACCCTACACCGCGGACCCTGGCTCAATTCTCGTGAATGTAGTCTTACAGGCGTTCCTAATTGGCGTCATAATGACGCAGTCTGGGCGGTATATGTATGACTACAAGGACGATACATGGAAGCAGAGAGCGTTTGTTGCATTTCTGAATATTCTGACACTGTGAGCCTTCCAAGGGATGCAGTTTTTCTTAACGTTTACGCGTAGGCTGGACGTAGACTTCAAACCATTCTGGAAATTGTAAGGGCGTGGATTGTTTTTATCGATGGCGAGGCCTGGGTGAGTCCATACAGTCCCTTTTGTGCATCAATACTGATAGGCGAAGTATCAGCTCAAGCACCCTTTGTTATTCTTTATGATAAGTCTTATCAACGGCTTCATAATCATTTCGTGTGAAAGCTTCTTCGTTCGACGATGCTGGAAGGTACGCAGGCGACTAACCTCGGTATACAGACTGTTTACGAATCGAGAGTTCAGATGACCGATCGCTCTCCTTGGGTTCTCTACCCATTGTCCATTCTGTTAACACTCACAACGTCAGGCTTTTATCTATTTTGTTAGGTTCCTCCCTTTCTCAGTACATGCATATCACTAAATGCGTGCGATACGTAGGTGGTTGACTGGCTCGTGGGGTATCACCTCTATGAGATGTCACTAAGTGTGAGAGTTTTTGCCTTCATTTCCGCGTCATGGCTGAAGATTGCTTTCTCCAGACTGTAAGCCATCGAGCATATTTTACACCATCCGTATGGACTTCACGCTTGCTTTGACTCTCTCTGATACGAAAATGGCATAGCTAAGCATCGCCTTCACATGTTGTATCATCGGCTGCCTAGGTCAGTCAGGCTTTATATGTTTGAAGAATAGCCACTGAGGCGCGATGAAGTTATCGATACGACTGTAGCAGGAATAAGTAAGCTACCTTTTATGCAACGAAAGAAGGGATCGTTGATCGATACAACTTAGTGACTATGCAACTATTGCAATCGAAAATAGGCGTGCCTGCAGCAGACGGCGTTGTCCAGACGGTGATCTACGTTGCTTGGGAATCTGCCATTCTTCCCCAACTTTCGATGCTTGCAGCCGTTATCATATTCCACTCACATGCAAGAAGCTTCATATCACGAGTCTGTTCTATGGCTAAAATTATCTTTCAGGAAGCCAACCGTCTGAATATCCTGCATCTGTTCGTCAATACTGCTGGAAAACTCTATGTGTATATGCTGCTTTGGACTTTGAACTACCGGGACGAGCTTCGAGTCAGGATGAAGTCTCATGATCTTGGGCGCGTTTCGTTAAGCAATTGGCAGTGGGACCAATCTGGGAGTTCAGAGGATCCTGCGACGGTAAGTTTCGGTTATGGTATATACCTTATCCTGTTCTCAATCACCCTTAGACTCTTGACCGACCTATGTCTTACGCAAGTAGCGTGCCTAGTAGTCGACTGCCCGAATCAATTGCACCCGATGAAGTGATTGAAGCATCCGGAAGGACGATTACACGAGAGGCTTATATGAGTACTCCGAATTTGGATAGTCATGAGAGAGGATTTACAATGCCGACGATGCGGTCGCTTTCGAGGATGACAGATTAAGAGGGTTAGATCTTCTGGTACATTCTACGAATACTATATATTGGCTTGTCGTCTATGTTACACCTTTTTGGGAAGATTTTGGATGATGATACACATTTAGCTGCTTCAGAGAGAGGCGGAGGGATGCCCCTGGTCGTATATCAGTCCCATTCTCACAGGAGGCATAAGCAAAATACAGATCCTCTTCCATAGAGCAAGTAGGATGGAGCACACGATCGAAAGAGCGATTGGTTACACCGGGTGTACCGATCCGCGTTCCGAGACTTTTACCAATATCTCCCCCATGCAGAACTTGAAGCTGTCTATGTCAAGTGCGTCCGTGTATCATCGTTACCGCTATGCGCTTTTATTCATGTTTCGAACAGCAGCTGGAAAAAGAAAGGCCGACTCTTATCCAGTAAATGAAGAGCCTCTGTGTAAACGAGGTCGTACAGACGACGTGGACATCAACTCGGAAGATTATCAGTTGCTCATAAGCATCGACTGCTTGTTTCACGACTACCGCATGGCACCGCAACTTACGACAGTCGAGCTAACGCGGTTGCTCCCGTTGGTAAAGAAAGGGAAGGAGAAGGGCGACTTTGAAGAGTTACTACATGATGGTATGCCGGTTTTCGTGTTTCTTTTGGACGAAGTTCTCATGGTTGGCTAAGAAAGATACCGATGAGGCGCATATAGGCGCCTCCTACTCTTTGCGAGCCTCATAGCATGATTGTACCAACACATTTGTCTCCCTACGACGGAGCTTAGCATTCGGCATAATCATCCAGGACACACGACTTACCATCCGGTCCAGTATGAGAGGGGCTTCATCTTGTGAAAGCACTAGTATTTCACGGCACACGCGATGCAGGTGAAGGCATGAAAGCTACTCCGTTTCAATATAAGCGGCTCGCATAACAGGACATAAAATAATTTACTTTACTCTAGAACGAAGCGCCAGACCTTGATAGACGCGTCTCTAACGACAGGATGCAGCTTCTTCTCCTCATCCTCGTCATCAACATCATCGAAATGCCTCGAACCTGCCACAGTAAGGAGAAGTGGTTCCGTAGGATGAAAAGCGACCGACGGCACTGCGTCCCCGTGAACCGAAAAGGACGTCCGATTCTCGCTAGTCAAATCGAAGACATGGACGGTACCTGCTTCGTCGCCGACAGCCAACCATCGTCCCGTGGGATGTAGATCAAAGTACCGTCGTTGGTTCGACGTTGTCGGTGTACCAAAATCATATACGGCTACTGGTGCATCAGGAGCAGACAGGTCCCATGCATATATGGCTGAGTGTCGGCGAAAGGAAGCTAGCAGTTGTCCTGCAGGTGTGAAGGCAAGCTGTATGACAGCGGCGCGTGGTCCCCCACCGACGAATCCGACCAGCTCGTCGTCTTCCTCGCTGTATATAGCAATGGGGAAGTCGCAGGGGGTGAGTGTGCCGATGGCATAGTAGCCCCAAGTGAATGAGATTGCAGAAATGATTCCCTTCAGCCCGTCTTTGCTTTTCTTCGTCGGCGAGGTAGGAATTCTTAATCCTTCATGGCCTGGTTGAGAGACTTCAAACACCTCGATAGCATCAGGGTGTCCACAGTACAACTTGGTTCCCATAAGGTTGAATGCCATACAGTGTGGGGCAACATGTTGTTCACGGTGGTCAATGATGGGATATGACGCGCGGAGACGGCCGTCAGAAGCGTCAAAAAGATGGATTGGGCAATCTCTGATGGCAGCAACGAAGCAGAACGTCGCCGGCGACGAGGGTGATGCGGTGGGATACCATGCCAAAGACAGGATCGGCGAGGCTTGGGGAAATGTTTTTGTAACTGAATCGAGGTGAACGACATGGAATGTGCGATTTTCAGTTTGGACTAGAGCGGCCGGTGAGCCATCTGGGCACCATCTTGCATGTCGGGCAAAGTTGTATGGAAAGGCGGCGTCGACGGGAAGCGTACAGGTTCGTTCAAGCGTAATGTTCATGTTGACCACATCGTGAGAATGCTTTGTCAGCAGACCACCAATTTCCTAAATTGCTGGTTTCCAACTGACGCCCTGCTCTCCTCAGATCGTTCTTGCCCCCGTCCTGATCGTAGTGGAGCGCCTCAAGGCGTAACGCGTAACGAGTCTAGCTATGTTGGCAGAGCTGCATTGCACTAGTAACAGCTGCGACAGGGCGACCTTAATGCATGACAGATGAATGGACAGAATCTAGGTCTATCTCCTCTTCGTTTTTAAATCGGCGTGGGTTACGGGTTGGGACTAGCAGCTAATACCAATGGAATGAACTTTCTCTCCGGACCAACGACGTGCGATGCTAACATTGTGACATTGGGTACCCAGTTATTGTCGGGAAAACAAAATCCCGTCACTTATCATACCATGGCGCTTTTGTGAGGTATGTCGTTACCATGGCGCAATCCGCCAACGCTTTTGTTTTCCTCCTCTTTGCGTCGGTCGTTCAGACTGACAATTGGTGTCCCCGAGGCTCTATTGTTCAAGTCGAATGGCGGCGAACTAGATGACATCATGCGGAGCTAGATGTGGAGAAATTACGGACGGATCTGGGGTAGAGTCCGGAACAGGGCAGGGCACATAATACGCGACGCGTGAAACTTAGATGAACTCGAATATTACGTTTCTTACTTCTTACTTTTAATTCTTACCTTACGTCTGAATGGCGCCCTGAACTGAATCGCTCGAACGACGCAATACACCACGGCCGATAAGGAACTCCGATACGGCCGTAGTTTCCGAAAAAGAGCCGACCAACAAATTTTCCATGATTGTCTCATCTGGTCATCGCTTGACTCACCATATCCTCCGTCTTTCTCGCCGTTCTCTCTTCATGGCCGCATCCACCACCGTCAATGGAACAAAAAACAGAGACAACCTCATTCCTTTTGCCTCGAGACTGAGAGAGGGTCGGGCACTTGCTGAGGATGTCTGGTCTATCTTCAAGTAGGTGCTTTTGGGGCAACTAAATCGTAACTCTTGATTAATTTTCTTTCTCCTCGCTTAGTGCAGCAAACCTCCCAGCCGACTGTATCAATCTTGGACAGGGATATATGAACTTTCCTCCTCCAAGCTGGGTCAAGGAAGCAGCCCAAGAAGCTCTTTCAAGGGTAGAGACGAACCACTACTCCCATCCCAAGGGTCGTCCGCGTCTTCGCAAGGCGATCCAGGACTTTTACAGCCCCCAGTTCGGCCGCGAACTCGACATAGAGAAAGAGATCCTCGTTACCAGTGGAGCGAACGAAGGTACCGTGAAACGCCAGCGAGAAAGTCAACCATTAGTAATCCAGTCTTCCAGGACAGTACAGTGTTTTCACCGCGTTCCTTGAGAAAGGCGATGAAGTTATCATGTTTGAACCCTTCTTCGACCAGTATCTCCCATCGGTCATCTTCAATGGCGGCGTTCCCGTCTATGTTCCATTGCATCCTCCCAAAGCAGAGGGAAAGTCGACGAGTAACGATTGGTCTATCGATCTTGACGAGCTGAGACGCGCGATAACGCCCAAGACCAAGATCATCATCATCAACACTCCGCACAATCCGGTGGGCAAAGTGTTTACGCGTGCTGAACTCGAAGGCATCGCCAGCCTAGCGGAAGAATTCAATCTCCTTGTAATGTCGGACGAAGTGGTAAGTGTGACTTATCTTTTCGTTTCTTGTATTTAATGGGTTCCTAGTATGATGGTCTGGTTTTCGATGGCAAGGAACATGTCCGGATAGCTACCCTTCCGGGAATGTGGGACCGTACCGTAACTGTCGGGTCTGCAGGAAGTACGACGTCCCCGCTTACCCTTGTGAAACGCTTATTAACCCTGTTCTTATCTTTAGAGGCTTTCGCAGCAACCGGTTGGCGTGTAGGCTGGCTTATCGGACCGGAATCCATCATCCGCCCCACGCTCGCCGCGACGACCCGCATCGTATTTTGCACCAACTCGCCCCTCCAGGAAGCCGCAGCCGTTGGACTCGAACTCGCCCCCAAACACAACTTCTTCCAGATCCAAAGGGATGAGTATGCGGAGCGTAGGAAGGTACTCACGGACTGCTTCGACGGCCTTGGGTTAAATTACACGTTCCCCGAGGGAGGGTACTTTGTGTTGTTGGACGTATCGAACGTCAAGTTTCCTGATGATTATCCGTTCCCGAAGAGTCTCCAAGGAAGGGGAAGGGATTTCAAGTCAGTCACCGAATTCGTCGTCTGTTTTGTTGATTTCTGACGGAAAAATAGGGCTAGTTGGTTCCTCGCCCTCGAACTTGGTGTTTCATCGATTCCTGTCAGCGAGGTGAGCCAATCCCATTGCTTGTCATTGATTTTCAGGCGCTAATTTTACCTAGTTTTATTGCGAGGAGCATGCCGGCATCGGTGAAGCCTTCCTCCGCTTTGCATTCTGTAAAGACGTAGACACGCTGCACAGAGCAGTTGAGAGGTTACAGGGTATAAAGAAGTATCTACAATAGCCATTGTGTTGAACCGAAAGTAGAGTTTAGACATTTTGATCTACTTAAGCGAGACATAAAATTAACATACGCCAAACAAGGTCAAGTGGCGTTGACGGGCGGGAGTCGGGAGAACTCTAGATATGGTATACCCGACGACGGCGCACTCGGAGGTCCTGGTCCGGAACAGTGACTCTGGCGCCACCGGGTACCTTGCATATTTCGGAACTTATCTCCACCCGTCGCAATGTTCAGGCATTAATTCGGTCAATTTCTGTTCCATTTTTTCTGCCCTATGGCAGAGGATACAAGAATCAAGTCGACAGCGTAACATTAATATGGAAGCAACTGTTGCACGCAGGAGATACGCCGCGACCTTGTTTCAACGTGTGCTTATCTTCATGTTGTAACGTTAGAACTCTGACCAGAATTGTATGAAGTGAAGCATGATCCCGCGAAGGACAGCTCCCCAACATTTTGTTTTCCGCCGCGTTCTAACCTTTCTACCTCGCCCGCTGCAGTCTACATATGGGTTAGCCATTAGTACAGGACGGCTTTTAATAGCTGTGCTGTAAATACTTCGAAGATCCACTGGCGCACAGCCTACATGATGACGCCACGCTAAAATATCGCTAGTTTTGATTGGTGAGCCCGTCTACGATACGCGACAACTTTCCGTCTCTCGAATCCGAGGAGCAATCATAGTACGCCGGGTTCGTCGAGATCCGCTGTGCAAGGAATGTAAATGACAACACATCCACCATGTCCTGCTTGCTCTGCAGCCTGCCCCGGTTCGTTTGCTCCGTATACCACACCGCCAGCTGATCGGATTCCAAAAGCCGCGACTCCAAAGGCAACCCTTCGTTCAAGAACCGCATTAGCGTATCTTTTGCTTCACCCTGGCAAAACAAATAGAACTCTCCGTTCCCCAAATGCCGGACGGCCCTGCCCTGCATATGCACCAACTCTGTGACATCATAGTCCTTCAACCCGTCTTCGGCATGGAAATATTGCGTCCCTAGCACCACCACCACTCCAGCCCTTACAGGAACACTCCAGCAAGATTCTCGCGGCACAATTAGAACCCGAAGCACCCCTTCGGTATACAACCTCATCATCAGACGTCTATCGTCCTTCCGAATTCCCTCGTGGAAGAACCCGATCCCTTTGAGAATAAAGTCAATGAGAGAAGCATCTCGCAATTGCATGCGGTATTGATCAAGGAACTCTTGTGATATCCCTGCGGGGAGATACCCCGCTTCCGTCTCCATCTCCAGTGCGCATTGAGTAATAAGATCCCGCGCAGTTACGCGGCATTGCGCGCGGGACGGCACAAAGACGAGGGTTCCCTTATTGATATCTTCGGATCCTGCTCTGATGATAGCAGCATGAGTGGGTTTCGCCATTGCCTTGAATAATGCCGCGGACTGGGGTATGCTGAACGTCTGTGTGTGAGTGGTGAGGCTCTGCCCGCGATCACGGGGCCGGAAACTGTGAAGCGCGAAGGGGTCAATATTGAGCCACGCAGCTAGGTCACCTGGGTCGTTCAGCGAATTCGAGGCACAAACGAACCGCGTGGGACAGGTCTGCGTGGCGTGTAGCAATAATGAAATTGATAGCTCGTAGGTGGCGTCTAAACGTTCGAGATCTTCGCATACAACAAGGTCAAGCCCTGCGAGCGGTGTGCTGGGGTCTCTGTGAGATAAGGCTTGCAGCAAGAGAGAAGCCGAGGCCAAGAGCACTCGTCGACGCTTCTTCGAGGGGAGCAGGAAATTCTCGTCCTTGGCGGTTTCCACGCTGACACTTGCAATACTGGAACCTATTCGGATTTGGGAGGCAATATCGGCAAGGGAGCCTTTTGATGGCACGACTATCAGAACAGACGCGTCAGGGTGTCGCAGTATCGTGCACCTATTGAACACGCCTCATCAAGATGCCTAAGACTCCACGCAACTCGGACATACCACACTAAAGCTACTAGCATTGTCGTCTTCCCGCTGCCAGTCGGCGCGCACAGTAACGTGTGAGATTGCGTGTTGAGCAAGGTCCAAAATACTTGGCTCTGGATAGCGTTGAAGTTGTTCAGACGATTGGCAAAAATCGATTCGACAGCCGGATTTCGCAGCACAGTAGGCGCCAAGAAGGGAATACTCAAAATGGGGGTATGGCTATTGGATGCCACCGGCATAGTTAAAGTTTCCAATGATACATTGACCTCGTCCTCAGCCCCCATCCACCTGTCAGAAACAAATCGGATGGTAACGGAAGGTGGTGGTTGACCATCTGGTATAGAGATAACGAAGTCGACGTTCAGGGTTTCAGTTGTTTGCCGGAAAAGGAGATGTGATAGTTGTAGGATATGCAGTTCCATCGCGATCTTCGACCCATAACCAAAAGGGCTCTGAGCTTCCATGAACCTTAGTATTCCAAGGTAAATGCTCGTTCTATCTGAACTGCATATTTTGAGGACGTCAGATCCAAGAGGTCGCAAGTTGTAGAGAGTTTGACCGTCGGAAATTGCTTGACCGCAGTCAACAACTGCTTTTCCGTGGTGCTCATTCATATGAATGAGTTTTCCCTAGTTCCTCCGTGCCCAAGGTCGCTAGTTCTGCCGGTGCCCATTCATCTGCCCAAGTTTCCAAAGCGTAAAACACGTCCGGTTTAAGTCTCAGACTGCTTCAGAGGCTGATCATAGGGCCAGAGTCGCTTCTCGATAGCTTTGCTCATCCCCATAAGGACGGCCGTGACGGTAGCCCACTTCCGACTGATGGCAATCTCGAGTAATGCACGGATGATACGGCCACCATTCTGGGCTACGTATGCCATGTCTGACACGAGCGCAAAATCTTCGACAGGTTGCCTGGATATGTATCCTTGGAGAAGGATGTTCACCTTTTGCTGGCTCGTTTCGATACCTTTCTCAGCGCTATTTTCGGTACGTCCCTATCAATGAAATCAACACGATCCACGCGAGACGTCAAAGATTTTGAATACCTTAACCTCACAGGGCACAATGTCCTCAAGAAATAGGAGCTCTTTCTCTTCAGCATCCCTGACTTGAATTTGATTAAACTAAAAAGAAGTCGTTAACGAGTAAGTCAAGGAAGCAGATTGCACTTACCTCAGTACTCATGCTCAGCATCGCCAAGACATCAGCCTCAGACATCTTTGGACGAAACTGCTTGTTGAAAATCTCGATAGACTCGTGGCGAATATAATACTTAGCAGCGATTCGTCCGAGATCGGTTATTGTGAAGGCTCCGGTCTCTTGGTCATAAATCATCATGCGCGCTTCCGCAAGTTGTTTCGCCGCCAAGGTGACCAATTCGTTACGCTTGTTGCCAAGATTTGGGTCGTCGGATGCAGACTCCCGAAGTATCCCTGCAAAATGCAACTTAGACCCACGAAAGTCAAAACCGCCGGTACGGGACTCCCTTACCGTAACCATAAGGGTTCTTCCGCATCCTGACGAAGAGATATGTGTAGCCTAGCCATTGTACCGCGTCATGTGCGTTGGCGACAGTACCCAGGGACACCTCAGCATTCAAAGCGTCGATTATGCCATGCCGGAACCTGATACGATTAGTATGTCGTTCACAGTCAAAGGAACCAGCTGACTTACTGCGATTCGATGGGATTCTAGGTGTTGGAGACAAATCAGATGGATAGCGATCAATTCAAGGGATCTGATTACCTGGGAAGTTACTGCCTCCAAATAATGCGTGAGCCTGTCCTCAGTTGTGCATATGTAACCTTCACCACTAGTTTCCAACCCAGGACGTCCCGCACGGCCGAAGACCTGTAATACATCTAGCACGGAAAGGTCCACGAAAGCACCTTTGGAGCTATCATAGACCTGCGTTCCTTTAATGATGACTGGTGATATGGAAGAAGTGATAAGAGTCAATTGACTTCGGATGAGCTCGGACTTACCGGCGTGCGCAGGCAGATTGACACCCCAAGCAAGCGTAGCGGTACAACATAGGACCTAGGTTGATTAGAGTCAGTGTCATACGACCAGTTTACCCACAGCATGTTCTCAAACCTTGATGGCCCTTGCATCGAACATCCGTTCCATCATATTTCTGTCCGACCGTAGCATCCCAGCGTGATGTATACCGAAGCCACAATCAAAAAGTTGCTTCATTTCTTTATTCCTCGACTGGCCTATGTCGCGGACGAAAAGTCTCCCACATAGGGTGGTCTTGACAGTTGAAATCATCCACATTTCCTTCGAGAATAGCCATTTCCTTGATCGACACAGCGGTCTTAACAGTATCTTTTCGGGAGTGCACAAAAACCATAACTTGATGGCCCTGCGCCACCAAATCAGATACTTTCTGAAAAGTAACATGGTCGAGATTTTTGCGCGATTGAGGACTTCCTGGTTTGCCTTTGATGCCGAGAAAATGCTGTTCGAGAGGGACTGGGCGAAACGACGAGTCGAAATAGAAAAGTCCTTTGTAGCGTGAGACCCTGTAATCGTTTAGTTGTGTATACTTACAGTAAAGGCCTGCTAATACCTGAGGAAATCTGCGACGTCGATGTAATTGGGCAGAGTAGCACTAAGACCTACAATTCCGAATAAGAGATTGACTCGATTCTACCTGCAAGTAATGGTCAACCTGAAGTACGTTCGGAAAGTAGTAGAGGTCACACTTGTCGTAGAGTACGGGCAACGATTGTTTCGATGACTGCGCCACGTTCCTCATTCAATAGATGAACCTCGTCGATTATCAGTAATTTAAGCAGCTGTTCAAAGTAATGTTGACTTATGAACTGGTTTGCCCGGCAACATATGTTGTACTCACTGATGCGAGTTCTCCTTCCCCTGTCGGTTTGCGGGTAACGACATCCCATTTCTCCGGTGTGGTGACGATGATTTGGGTCTGCGCGAATTTCAGCTTTTGTCATCTGCATATCGCCTATTGTACGTTAGTCCTAGCAAGGTTCGCGAACAGGTAGCAGACAGACATACCAGTCAACTCCCTGACTTGAATAGATAGCCATTGAAGCCGTTTGCTGAATTTTCGGACAATCTCTGAAGCCTAAAGCCTTCATGGGCGCTCTATTCGCTAATATCAGTCCGGGACCCGGAGTTATGATGAAACACACTTGCACATATATGATCTTGAATGAATCACGATCTATTGTTGCATGAATATTTGCGTCATCATTCTTGGACCTGTGCTGATCCAAGACGCGCAAAATGGACATCATGGCTACGTCAGTTTTACCCTTTATGATATTTGAGTAACCCCGTGGAATAGCCGGACAAAGTTGATGCGACTCACAGCACCGGTGGGAGCTGACGAAATGGTTGATATGTTTCACCTCGACAAAAAGAATGCTTACCACAGACAAGCATATTTTCATTGGAACGATATGCCGTGGGATATACAATTGACTGGATACGGTTCAGTGACGAGTAACCCTGAAAAAATGGATAAAAAGGCGAAAACAGGTGACGCAAATTGATCGGCGTACTGGAAAAGACCCTCGTGCTATTGGATCCAATTCTGAGACGGGTATTAAACGCTCCGTGCTCCGAGGGGGAATAGGCTTGGAAGGAGGGATCACAACCTCGAGGTATTCCTGAAATCAAGTTTTGGAAAATGATTGCGTCCAAAGCATTTGGCACTTGCCTCGTAGTCTTGCCGTGTGGTATCCATAGGTAGCATATATTTGCTTCCCAGATATGACAACACATTGCCTTGACTGGTGGACGAAGATGAGTATACATGAGGCAAAATTTCGGCTTCGGGTTGCTTTCAGAGACAAGATGAGGACGTGTGCTGAATACATATCTCTACATACCGCAATTCCAGTAAAGAGCGGACGAGCAGCGTTTTCTCTTAGGGTCTTCTCAGTCCGGAGACGCGCAGACTCTGCAGAAAGGTCATCTGACCATGCGTCAGTTGCAGAGATATTGTTATGGGTGTTGGATCCACCTGGTACCCGATTGTTCTCACGGTGATGAATGGTTTCTGGAGCTAAACGCTGACCATGGAGAAAGTCTTGAAGCTTGATGCACATAAATATCTCACTATCGGCAACAACAGAACGGGTATACCTCTTGAACAACCGCGTCACGGTTGTTGAGAATCTTTACGATGAGGTCGATGTCGTCAAAGCCCACAATATCGGCGAGCTCCCCTGAAATCTGATCTCCTGGGCGACCTGACGAGAGCACGGACAGCAGAGAAATGGCGATTGACGGCCCATGGGGTTTTCTGACAGCGAATGAACATAGGTACGAGCCTATTGAACAAGGGCACACACAAGAGGACACTTGAAACAACGTCCGATTGTGATTTACGTTCCGCGTGTCGGTAGATGTCAAGGACTGAAGTTGAGGGCTCGTCGATGAGGTCCCCGTCTCCGGCGACTTCGGCAGCTGTAAGTTTTTTTCACGACGGTGAGCAAGAAGTATTGCCTTCCAGATGGCAACTGAATAGCTCACGGTTCATCTGACCATGTTGACTGCGGGAGGAATCAGCCGGATCCGACCAAAGAATGCAGGAAACTAACCCGCATTTCCAGCTACTGATGAGCTGATGATTGTCCTGATACTCGGACGGAGCTCCAAGGAGAAATTGAAGATGCGCGGCGAGTCCAGGCATGGTATAGTAGTTCAGATTAAAATGGAAGTTGAATGGAAGAATCAGAAACGAACTGCTCAAGCGTCGAGACGATTTCAAATTAAGGCGAGTCGGTCGGCGTTTTGTTCATCAGTGCCTGGTCCGACAATATGATGTCATCCGGGGTTATAGGGCCCCCCGATTTGGCCACGATAGTGATATGGAGAAAATACCATGAACAATCACCCTGTAACGCCAAGATTTGCTTATTTATAGAACTACCTTCACGCTGCTCGAATAGGCCGCCGGTGGATCTTGTCACGCTTGTTCTCTGTTGCCTATTCGTGTCTCGGGGGATGAGGACTCCAATGGATCTCTGTTGTCGCGTTAACTTTGTTCTCTAACTTGAACGGAAAAGTATCCACGTTCTACGGCCAAAATGACCATCGTGATCTGCTCCACCCTCTACCAAATTGCTTGCTGACGTCTTCCTTGAGGGTGGTGATTCCGTGAGATCTTGTTTCCGGGGGGCCGCACCGAGTGCAGCATGTATAAAAGGGAGCGCTCCGAAATGCACCTTACCTTGTGCTTCCTCTCCCCACCCCCGCATCTATACGGTCATCTCGTCATCCGGGGTACCTACTAACCGAATATATATTTGCCCCTCACTGTTCACGCTGTCAATCATGGCCTCTGATAACGAGAAGCCTCGACATGTTCACCACGAGCATCCCGACTTTGAGAAGGAAGTCGCTTCTTACGACTTCAAATTACGGGGAAGAAAATTGACCGCCGCCATCGCGTTCATCAGCGGTACTGGGTTCACTCTCTTCGGATATGATCAAGGTGTACGTCTCGTCCTCATTCTTCTTTACTTCTATCGCTCATGGACATATGTTGCAGGTTATGTCCGCCCTGCTGACCGCCAACCAGGTACACTAACCCTTCCTTTGGATTGCTCAACCAACTTAAATCTATTTTTAGTTCGAGAAAGTGTTCCCCCAAGTTATTGTTGACTCTGCTCATCCGAACCACGCCACTCTACAAAGTTTCGTGGTGGCAATATATGTCTGTCATATTATTACTCGGTCCGCAGGCAATCATACTTACTATGCGCCACAGGAGATTGGATGCCTGATGGGCGCGTTAACCAACCTTTGGCTCGGTGACAAGCTCGGTCGTCGTAGAACAATGGTTATTGGCGCTATCATCATGACTATTGGTGCTATCCTGCAAACGACATCTTTCAGTTATGCTCAAATGGTTGCTGCCCGGATTATAACCGGCGTAGGTAACGGTCTTAATGTAAGTATTCAAATGCTTTCACTCAATTTAAAAAAACTAAATTTCATGATTCCAGACGTCCACTGTCCCGGCCTACCATGCGGAATGTTCTCCTGCCGCTAAACGAGGAAGTTTGATCATGATCGAAGGTGCACTCATTGCTTTTGGTATCCTGATATCGTAAGTTTTCCTATCAATTCAGTTCTTGAATTGTACTCATCGTGTTCCCAGATATGTGAGTAGTTCTGGGTCTTGTGTTTTTGCGACTCCATCTTACTATTGATTCCGTGATCAGTGGATCGATTTTGCGCTGTCAGTCCTTGTTTCTTCTATTTATATATCATCTCACACAAACTCGCAGTTTCTGGGCTGGCAACTCATCTGTCCAATGGCGTTTCCCTATATCATTCCAGATTTTCTTTGCTCTTGTCATGGCTATAGGGATTAATTTTGTGAGTACATGCCTTTTATGTTGTCTCGAAAGCAGCCGGACTTATTTCATGTAGCTACCCGAATCCCCTCGATGGCTCATCAAAGTTGGTCGTAAAGCCGAAGCACTAGCTGTTATTTCTGCTCTTGACGATAAACCCATCAATGACCCAGAAGTACGGCAAACCTTCAAGGCCATCAACGAAGCCGTTGAGCTCGAAGAAGGAAATTCACTCTCTGGAAAAGTAGCGCTGAAGGAGATATTCACTGGAGGACGCAGCCAGAACTTCAGGCGAGTCGTTCTGGGCGTTGTTATTCAAGCCTTCCAACAGGTCAGTCTTTGCACCCGTTCTTTTCCCTGATTCTGACCTCCCTGATTCAAATAGCTTACCGGTATCAACTTGATCACGTACTATGCTGTGAGCTTCCCGCATTTATATTTGTCGCAATATAATTCTTATCTTGCAACAGACCATACTGTTCGAGCGTCTGGGTCTCTCGGATGTCAAGTCCCGCATTTTGGCTGCCTGTAACGGAACTGAATACTTCTTCATCGCGCTTCTACCCCTCGTCTTGATTGATCGGGTTGGACGCAGGAAACTCATGCTATTCGGAGCCATAGGCCAATGTATAACCATGGTTCTTTTGGCCGTTCTCGGAGCGGTCGACACTCCCCCAGCCCAAATCGTCAGTGCGGTGCTTTTGTTCGTATTCAATTCGTTCTTCGCCCTTGGTTGGTTAGGCATGACCTGGCTTTACGTGAGTACAATTGAATTGCTCTCCATGTGCGTGGGGTGTGCTTATCTTAAACCTACTTAGCCGGCCGAGATCGTTGGTCTGCGTATGAGAGGCCCTGCCAACGCGTTGAGTACAGCAAGCAATTGGATATTCAACTTCTTGGGTAAGAGTGCTCCACTGATCAGTATCGGATTTGCCTCATATGGCGTTAGTTGTCATGATTGTAGGACCTTCCTTCGAAAACATCAATTGGGGAACATATGTTGGTGCGTTATTCGTCACTTGGTACTTACGTTCGTTTACTGATCCTTCTACAGTGTTTGCTTCTCTTAACGCTATGATCGTCCCCATCGTCTACCTTTTCTTCCCGGAAACTGCGGGAAGATCACTCGAAGGTGTGTATTTACATAACGTACCATCCTTCATCAACGGCTGATCCATCTGTTTCAATAGACATGGACGTGATCTTCGCGATTGCTTACAACGAAAAGGTTTCCCCCGTGGCCGTCTCGCTACGGAAAGACATTCCAGCCGCTGGAACTCCTGAGGCTGACAGAATCCTTGGATTTTCGAGTGCGGTGTCGTCACGGGAAGATGTTCGAGAAATCCGGGAGCACCACGCACCTGAGGGCAAGGTGTGATGAAATCTTCTTGCACGACTGAAGCACGAGATTGGGTCAAACGAATTGTATAACCTAGGGGGATACTTATTGTATATTAGAATTCGCGCTTCCCAACATGAGACATGACGTCCCGGCCCATCTACACTTTCAATGACACTAATGTTCATCTTCGCTTGTATTCACACGGCTTAAGAATATCGCCTTTCGAGAGAATACTCGTCCACTCCTTGTCGGTTTTCGGCTTCCTAGGCACCTTCTTGAACTCGAACGTGGTAAAATGGGTATTGCCAGCATCCTAACATAGAGTGTGTGTCAGAGGATGTCAGGGTAGTATGAAGACTAGTAATTATGTACCTTGGAGCTAAGTCGAAACCCTATCGAGGTGATAAGAGAAATAAATTGCTTGTCATCCCCGAAGCGACTGGCAACTTCGGCAACTTTGAGTTCGCCACTGGAAATTGTCTGTCAGCAAACGGGGTATCGGGTTTGAGGCGTATTTTTACTTGGGTCTCAAAACTCTCCACGCCTCTCTTATACAGTTAGGCCAGTTAACTCCCATTAGACTCAGTGCGCAGACTACGACATCAACGGTGTGGCCTTCGCCATCTCCCTTATCGTGAAGTGGCTCAGAACCAGGTAAGGGAAGTTTGTTGCAAATATCCGCCTCGACAACGAACGCATTTGTCGAGACGAGGTCGAAAGATAAGACGGTAAATCCTTTCGGCAAGAGAGCGCGAGCAACGGCGGCATCTCCGCAACCCAGATCTGCAATGACGGTCTTCGGGGGATAGTCCGACAGCGCAGTGATATAAGTCTCCACGGGATTAGTCGGCCAGGATTGGACTTGGTGACGGAAACCAGTATGATACTTGAAAATTTATCAATACAGTGGCAGGGACCTTGAGCTGACGACACACTTCTTCAAATACTACATAGGGTTTGGTTGAATATCGGGACCAATCACGACACCTAATTTGAGATTGAGCGTACCATTTTTGTCCTCTTGCATCATCGAGAATGCTTCAGAGCTATTTGACTTGTACAGCGTTTCATTTATCATCCTGCATGTCCATGAGTACGCCTACGCGAGACAGCGGCATATTCATACCTGAACCGCGCGCCATTCAAACTCTCCTTCATTTCTTTCTGTAGATTGGTGAGACCATCGGGTTTTTTCTCCTCCTCGACATCAGCAGCTAGCTGACGATTCCACTCTATGCTTCGTCTTTACTTTCTTAGTCGGTCGATCCAACGACTGTCTTGAATCAACGGCCTTCAACGGCCGCGGAAGAGAGATAGTTTTCTTTTTCTCCTCATGCGCGTCAATTTTAGACTTTCTAGACGACGCCTTGCTCGATCTGTCAGCAGACTTCGGCCCCTTGACGCGCTGGCTTGATGAATTCCCCTTGAGTCTGCTCATCAGTTTGCCCAAGTTGGCCTCGGCGGCGAGCATTTTTTCGGAATCTTCGGATGTTCTTTTCCGCTTCCGAGAGGACGAGTTGGCTTCTGGTACTGGGTCAGACTTGACAGACCATCCTGGAACGTCGAATAGTGGCATGGCGGCGATTGAGGACAATGAGCGGTGGTGGTGGTAGTGGAAAAAGAGTGGAAGAAGCGCAAAGTGGATTGAGAAAATGTCGGTGACCAAACAAATAGGCGACAAGGAGATAAGATCGACGTCAATTGGCTACAACAAGGGTCAACCAAAGTGCCTCTATTAACCCTCACTGTCCCGGCCGATAAGCAACAATACGCCTTGAACTTCAACCATGTCCTCCAAAGTAAATCAGCTATCGCACCCCATCGTCAACGCCGAGCTCTCGAAGCTCAGGCAGTCGTCGACATCCTCGAAGGAGTTCCGTGAGGTACGCTCGACCATCGCATCAGCCCCTTTGTCATTCTCACTCGAATTCCTCAGGGGATTAACCACATTAGTCTAATACTAGGCATTGAAGCCTCGCGATCTCTTGAAGAAGAGTCCTTTGACGGAGTTGGTTCATTCATCGTTCGTCAGAGGAAGGAATCTGACGTCGAACTCCGTAGCAAACACCTATCGGACCATTCAAGGGGACCGTTATCAAGCCTCGTGTAGGCCTTACGCCGATTCTGCGTGCAGGTTTGGGGATGTCAGACGCCCTGGTACGTTCGCCACAATCCTGTGCTCGTATGTTGCACTGACATCGAACGGCAGTTGACTCTCTTCCCGTAACGTTTACTATCTCTCACGCTGCATCTGTCATGACACGCCGCATATTCCAGATCAGCACCCGTCTACCATCTTGGTCTTTATAGAGAGAAGGTTACTCTCCAGCCAGTAGAATGTAAAGTGTCATGCTATAATGACCTTCCCTGCGGCTGATCGCATTCTCAGACTATTCCAAGCTGCCCCCCTCTCCTCCCGTTGACACAGTTTTCTTACTTGATCCTCTGATCGCGACTGGTGGAACAGCTTGTGCTGCCTTATCTATGATTGTTGATTGGGGCATTCCTAGGTGAGTTCTATATATTCATGTCAGGATTCATAATTCTCAACGCTATTAATAGTCCGGAGTGTCAAGCTTCTCTGTGTCCTGGCTTCAAAGCCGGGATTGGAACATGTCCAAGCTGAATTTCCAGAATTAGAGGTAACCATACTTGTGTTAAATGTTGGCTCCATTCACTGAAGTCTTGTTTAGATTTGGGTGGCTGGCGTTGACGATGAGCTGACGCCCCAAGGTATCATAAGCCCGGGACTCGGAGACACCGTAAGTTCGCAATAGTGTTGATCGTTCTTTGACTTATAGGTGTTTCAGGGTGACCGCCTCTTCAACACAATCCGTGCATGATAACTATAGGATAGATTATATATACCTATTGATTAGCGTAGGGTGGCAGGCTTTCGCATGATGAAAAAAGAACAAACGAAGCTTTGGACCATAATACCATCGGGCAGGTTGCTTTCTGAGAAGAATTCATATCTGGACTTGAGCTATGCTGAACCGGTTGTTGGGAAAGCGAGTTTGCCATGTGTAAGGGACTTTATCTTTTGAGAAGAGAACTCTGCAAGTCGACAGGTTGGATTCATCATTCGATGATGGTGCGCATGTGTTCGAATGTCAAACAAAACATACGCCGAATTCCGATATGTCAAACTTGGGCCGGCATTCAATAAGTAATAGCAAGCCTCTCGACGGATTTTTGTGCGCGAGTTTGTGTGGGTCTTGGTGAATGCAACGAGTTGGAACTTGAGGTGGGTGTGTCCGGCCCGGTGAGGACCGAAACTGATTTGAAATGAAAGACGTGATTTTGCGCGGAGATTGCTCTATTACGAGCAATGACTTTGAAAGCTTTTTTCGGGACGGAATGGACAGGCTCTATCCTTCAGCGATACTATGTCTGGCTCCTCGACTCCGTTATCGTCAACGAAGACCTTATCCACGGCACCGTCGCCTAAGCCAAAGGCAAATGAGCTCGAGGCCCTTTTCTTCAATCCCCGGATACCGGCATCTCACCTAATAGAATATATCGCTTCGAGGCCACAGACTAGCTCCACGATTTTTGTGTATGATTTGGCGGAGCAGACCGGCTTTGGTACGCTCACCAAGTCCTGGGCGAGGTCTGGCAAGGAGTCAGCCCCCGTCGTGGACTTGCAGACGAGGGCTGGCGCTGGATTGACTCTTGTTGGCCGTTTGTCGGAGGGTACCAGCCAGGATGGCGTTATCACTGCCTATACATCGACCAAAGGCCTTTCGATGATGGCCTCTTCTCTGTCCTACCTTCCGGAGGCAGGTCCGACGAGCAGATTGGTTCTGCAAGTCCCTAACCTTCTCTTTGCCAACGATGCCTTGTCTATTTCGCCGTCTCTCGCCCCTCTCGCTACTTCCTTACCTATTCTCCCAAGCAGCCTCGTCATTCTTCTCTCCGCGACCCCTCAGGAAGCAGCTGATTTTGCGCATATATCCTACCAACTGACCTCTCACCATGTTGTCCATATCTTCGACCACTACGCAGCGGCGCGTGAGATAGGCCACTCTATCTCTCCGCTATCCCCCATCCCTGTTAAAGAGAATAGTTCGGTGGAAGGTGTCCTGGCCCATGCCGGATATTCCTTCTTTGACTATACTGGCGACTCGGAGGCGGAGACCGTGGTCGTTTTGTTGAACGGCCCGTTAGCACTAGCCGCCAAAGCCATCGCCAGCCGATCTACGGGCTTTGGAGTCATTTCGGTGAATGTATTGAGACCTTGGGATGAGGACAGTCTTCGGGACATCTTGCCCAAGACAGCACGTATCATTCATGTTTTGGATGACGTCCCGACCGCTTTGACGCAGGGATTTTTGTACCCTGATGTATTCGGCGCACTGCTCTACCATGAGGCTGTATCCGCAATTCACGGACATCGCGTTACTCCCGCCCAGACACAGTCGTATGTTTCCAAGGAAGATGCGTTCATACGCTTCCTCTCAAAATTCGTGCCTGCGTCTGTCAAAAATGTATCGGCTTTACTGCCCTCCTCCGCCAAGAAGCTGTTCCTCTTTAGCACTCCCAATTCCGTGTTGACATCCTTTTCACACGTCTTGGAGGATGTTTTCCTGTCCAACAAAGGCGTGTCAGCGCGTCTCCTTACAGATCACGACGCATTCTCCAAGTCGGGGGGTATCACTATCAACCGTATGCTTCTTTCGCCCAAGAAGGATGTGTCGCCTTTCCTCCCCATCCCTGTCGCTCTTCCTTTCGAGAAGGACGAAGTCGATTTTCTGGGTATATTGGACCCAAGCCTCGTCAAATCCCATTCCCTAGTCAAATATGCGAAACCCGGCTCTGTGATCCTTGTTATTACGTCCTGGTCGCCTGCGGAACTGTTGGCTAATCTACCTTCAGAGTCCCTCGCGTCCGTAGCGCAGAAAGACGTTCACCTTTACACCTTTGATGCTGCGGGCATTGCCTCCCAACTTGTTGATGCCTCTAACACCGACGTGGTTGAAAATGTCCTCGTCACCCTCGCTTTCCTCAGGCTGTATCTGGGAGGTGCTGCACGGGAAGACCTTGTGGCCATTGTTGCAAAAAGTGCCTTCGAGGGTGTTGTTCAGGGCACTTCGCTCGATGCGGTGAACTCTGCTGCTTGGTCTGGCTTGGTTGATATTGAGATTCCCGCAGTCTCAGAGGAGGATGTCACTTCGAGTGCACCGCAGAAGGACATTGAGTTCAATGCGGTTGTCGTGGAAAGCGACGATGGTGATTCGGTAGCCACTGGTGCGTACGTGGGTACCTGGCACGATGCAGCGAAGCATATCTTGTTCCATGACGCTTTCACACCTTCTGGACTGGCTAGCGAAGCCTCTCTCCGTCCAGAAATTCCCGATGACACTTTCCTCGTTACATGCGTAGTCAACCGTCGACTCACCCCTCTGGAGTACGATCGCAATGTCTTCCATCTTGAATTCGATACCAGGGGAACCGGACTCAAATATGAGATTGGTGAAGCGCTAGGCGTGCACGGTTGGAACGATGCACAAGAGGTCCTTGACTTCTGCGATTGGTATGGCGTCAACCCTAATCGTCTCATCACCATTCCCGTGGTAGCTGGTGAGGATAACATGCACACACGCACTGTCTTCCAAGCACTGCAGCAGCAGATTGATCTCTTCGGCCGTCCGCCCAAATCGTTCTACACCGATCTCGCGCCTTTCGCCACCTCATCCGTCGACAAACACTCTCTTCTCTTCATCGGATCAGCGGAAGGCTCTTCGACTTTCAAGAAATTATCGGAGAAGGATACGGTTACTTTCTCCGATGTGCTGAGAATGTACCCTAGTGCCAAGCCCGGCATAGAACGACTGTGTGAGTTGGTAGGCGATATCAAGCCAAGGCATTACAGTATTGCCAGCGCTCAGAGTGTTGTGGGAGACCGTGTTGATTTACTCGTCGTAGCTGTAGACTGGCAAGCACCAAATGGTGAGTGTCAAGCGTTTCGATGTGAAATTGCAGGGCTCTGATGGCCCTTGAACCCAGGCTCTATTCGCTATGGTCAATGTACACGATATCTGGCTGGTCTCAAGGTTGGCCAAAAAGTCACAGTATCCATCAAACCTAGTGTCATGAAGGTAAGCTGTATGTATACCTGATTGACTTGTTTTTGACTGACTTTTTCCTAGCTGCCACCAGACAATATGCAACCGCTCATTCTCGCTGGTCTAGGCACGGGAGCCGCACCCTTCCGAGCCTTCCTGCAGCACCGCGCTTGGCTCCTTCAACAAGGCCAAAAGGTTGGACCCGTCTACTACTACTTCGGATCTCGGTATCAGTCAGCGGAGTATTTGTACGGGGAAGAAATCGAGTCTTTCATCCTCGATGGTGTCATCACTCGTGCTGGACTAGCGTTTTCTAGGGATGGTCCCAAAAAGGTCTACATCCAGCACAAGATGCTCGAAGATTCTGAAGCGTTGGCTACCATGATCCAAGACCAGAAGGGCGTCTTCTACCTTTGTGGACCTACGTGGCCGGTGCCTGACGTGTATGAAGCCCTTGTTAACGCGCTTGTCAAATACAAGGGTCAAGATGTCGCGTCTGCTGGGGAATATCTCGAAGGTCTCAAGGAAGAGGAACGATATGTACTCGAGGTATGAATTTACTTTCGTGTCAGGTTTCCTTTTGACTGAGCCGATTTCTAGGTCTACTAAGTGTCGGTCCCTCACTGTGAAGTAGTGATCTATCTGTTTGGTTGTATAGTAGTATATAGATCGTATACAAATTATACCTTCATTTCCAATACTCGTGTGGAGACAAATACAAACTCTTTAAGTACGCAGTCACAAACCCCCGCTGATATGGTATGTTTGCAATTGGGGGGGCTTTGTCTATTGCTTGAGAGCTTAGTGACCCATCCACTCACTCTATCATACAAAATTCTTCCGCTGCCGACACTACTAATCATCGTCCACCCATTCGTTTGCAACGACGCGTCGAACATACTGCTGTACCCATCCAGGTCGGCGTGCATGTTGAGCAGCGAGTTCTTCGCGTCGTCGCTCTCTGCGCCGATTCTCTTCCGTGTCTTCGCCATCGCCACGGACCTCCATTGCATTGGCTTCCGTCCGTATTCGCCCTTCTCGTCGGCGTAGGACAGCTCTTCGTCGATCCCAAACTGCGGGATGAACTGTCGTCACCAGCAACATCGCGAATGCCATGCATTTCTGACCAAACGTGGGCGGCTCTGTTGCTGTTCCCTCAAGTCCCCGTTCCTCGTTGGGTATGTTGAAGTTGGCAAAGGTATCCAGTACTCCCATAGAAGGCGCTTGTGCTCCGTCCACTCCTCCGAGCTCAGCAGCAGCAGCACCTGGGGCATCGGCCGCCGCAGCTGGACGATTTGCCCGGTTATCCCGGTTATCATTAGGTGCTACGTCTCCAGCCGCGGGTTGCCGTTGATCTTCAGCTGCAGGACCAATCCATCTGTTAAAACCATGGCGAGTCCATATTTCATACAAGGCCCATCCCATTATCAGGATGCCAATGAATGGCTTCCGTGCAGGCGCAAAGAAATAAAGCAATAACAGTGTTCGCAGTAAAAGGAATGTGAGAGGCAGTAGAAACGGGCGTATTTGGAGTTGGGGAAGTTCTGGGGGCGCCGGGATCTGGTTACCCACAGGAACGTCATTTAAGACGACGTTCTGAGGATTCTGAATAGTACCATGCGGAAGCCCAAGTTGCTGCAGGAGTGCAGTAACTTGGGGAGGGATAGCATCCTGCGGCGTTGTCTGAGAAACAGTACGAGTTGGTGCAGGAATTGCATCTGATTTTAGAATGGATAGCGTATAAGACAAAACCTGTAGCGCATGCTGCTGCATTGCGGTAGGGGCCTGTGATGGATCCTCCAAGCTCAGATAATTCTTACCTCTAGAGAGAATGATTAGTAAGAGACCGGAGACCAAGATAACTACTGAAACGCACTCTCGTACAACTGGCTTGTACCTCACGCCACCAGGCGTACGAGGAGGATAGTCTTTGTCGAAGATAGCTGGCCACGACCAGCCTTGACTAGCAAGATATCTCATGGCCTCCCTCCTCGGTGTAGTTGGATGCGACATTCGAACAATATCACACTGCATGAGAGCGAGGAGGGCATTGCGATGCTGGAAGATCACGTAACCGAGCGACGACGACAGCGAAGGAACAGTCCGCGATTGCGTCTGGGAAAGTGAGTCAAGAAGCCGGTCAATTGAAGACGATGCGAGCGAAGCAGAGGAAATTGAAGATTCAGTTCTTGGAACCTGTGGCGGTGATTCCGACCAAGCGGTAGGATGAACCGCTAAATGAACAATCCGTGATTCGTCAGGGGACTGACTCAAAGTGAGAGGTAAGTAACAAAGTAACAGTGGTACAACAGACTTACGGTCCAAATTGAATCCAGCTTCTCATGATCTGCTAACGCTCGACCTCGCCAAATGAGTCTCTGTCCATCAACACGAGGTCGGCCTGCACAAACTGTCTGAATCTGCTCTTTGACCGCCAGTATTGTGGACCCGCTGTCGACATTGACCGTGAATGAGTGAGCGTAGGCGGGCAGCTCGACGTGCAACTCGACCAGCGACATGGAAGTATGGGAAAGTGTTATCTGCCTACGTGTTTCCCGGCAGTGTTTCTAATGTCACGTGTATGATCGCGACACGGCCCGAAGCTCGGAATTTCCCGAACAAGGGCTGTCTCTAATCTTGGCCAAAATCCGGTGCAGACCTTCCAAAGCATGACATTTAGGCAATGACAGTCGAATAAAAATACAAGTAATACAATCGAACACTGACGGCAATTACGAAGATATAAGTTGAGCTCAAACACAGGTCACAGTAAAAGCCTATTACAAGTCAAAAGACACTGCGAGGACGTTAGGTTAGACCGCGTGTTAGGCAAGAACAGTAAGGCATACCATCTATATAGGGTAGCTTTCTCCGCAGCTTGTTGGTCGTAGTCTGCACGACCGCGTGCATTTCGTGGATTACCTCAACAGAAAGTAGGGAAGGGGATATATTGAACTCTTGTCGAAGCACTTTCATGCAAGCCCGTAGTGGTAGCTACGCCACGCCAAGGATGCAGTGATGAATATGAGATTTGCAATATAACAGGTCGCTTACCGTCAGTATTGGGTCCAGACGACCGTAGTCTTCATCCATATAAGTTGAAAACTGGCCGACCATCTGGCCAGCTAGGTTAACGCATGCCTGACGGGACTCTAGATTCGTAGACCCTAGTAAAAGATGAAGTTCTGTCAAGGCAGTTATGTCGACAATCTCCGCCACCTTCAGTGCTCGAAAAAAGTGTTCATCAACGTCAAGTCCTATGTTCAACATGCGCGGTTGAACGCGAGATAAATGAAGATGTATCCTTCGCATAAGATCCCAATACTTGATAATACTTCGGCTTGAACGGGTCGAGCCTATAAACACGTTCAGATTGGTTAGACCTACCCTATTATGTCCACTCACAGCATTGCTCATCCTCCCAAAGACAAATTAGCTGTTGAACTTCTTGAATATACGTTGCAGCAGTCGTCCTTGCACAGACTGCAAAGATATCAATCGGAATGGTAGAATGGAATTCCTTGTATGGGTTGAGACGAGTAAGAGACCATAGTAATTGCGCACTCACCGACAACAAGTACAGCTCCGAATCGAATTCTGGTTGGAAGAGGCAAGGAACATGGAATTGAACATGAGCCGCCTTGTCCACGTATAACACTTGCAATATAGCTCCAATCTCGTCCTCAGTAGCAGGTATAGTAATAGTATCGTTGTTTGAAGTTGAGCGTGATGACCTGACTAGATGGAGGTCATACTGCATCACGAGGTGGGCCGATTTGAGTAGATATTCGCGGCCCTTATAAACGTCAGCCCTTGGTGAAATAATATAAAGATATAATTCCGTGTGCTCGTAAGGATGCTGTAGGGGGGAGGATTTCCCGGGAATCATTCAGATAATCGAGCACGCTTTGCAGTTGCATGGACTCGGTGATCGTTCTGAAATATGAGGATTCCTCCTGGAGAAAAATTAGCGGAAAGCTCAGAGATCACACGTTGACGTACCTGTACCAGGGCACCCCATAGCTGGGCAACATGGACCATAACAGGATGTACAACAGTGTTTGATACGTCCCCACGGCTGACTGCGAATAACTTCTCATCTGACAAGCAAACTCCCAATTGGGCTCTATAGGAAAAAAAAATTTCGCGCCTACATTAGATCAGTTTTCCTATTCGCGAAGAGAAAGGTTGTGTCCGCGTACATCGGAGTGAGATCAGACATGTGGAACACTTCCATTCCACCTTTGTCTATAGGTATTGGCGACATCAAGTTGAATGGGTCACCTGTTAAAAGATCTGCGTATGGTGGGATTATATCGAGGACTGTTGCAGCTGTGGATTGGTTGGCGGATCCTTCGATAAATAGCGTAGAGAGAGTTTCGTCCTTGGTGGGTAATATAGGTTCGCTGAGAGGTCTTTCCGAGCTAGACCGACTAGATGATGAGTCTGAGTCCGAGATACACTTGTCCTGGGATTCGTAGACTCTCAGACGTTCTTCAAGTTCCCTTATACGATCGTAGAGTTCAGCCTTGATACTTCGATGCACGCCATCGTCATATTGACAATCGTCCTCCTTGTTTGCGATTCGACATGTAGAGCAAAAGGGCCGACTGGCGTCGCATTTCTAGTCATACAACTGTTGATCAGCCCACTATGTTATTATATTGGGGGACTAATTACCTTCTTCTTACGTCTATAAAGTATATTCCCTTAAGTAAACGGTCTCAAAGAAGAGAAACAAAGCGATTACCGGCACGGTACGCAAGCTGCTCCTTTCTGCAGGAGGTCACCTTTTGAGGCCGTGGGAACGGGGTCGATGTAGACGCAATTCACTGACTTGCGCGCCTTCGAGCACGACCCACAGGTTGGATAGACACCGTCACAACGCTCCGGGGTACGTTAAAATACCGCCATCCCGCTAAACAAGATCACTCACGACTTTCCGCGCCCTGTTAATCAACGGCACTACGGTAAGAAGTATCCGAGGGTCGGAAGGTAAAATACTGACCTGCAGGGTGTACAAGTCTTCGGCGCCGCCTTCAACATGAGCTGGTAAGTAGAAGAAGTTGCCATGGATTTTAACACCTCATCGCCAGCAGTCCTTGATAGCGTGGTGATCTTCACAGTAGTAAGTATGAGAGTTTACGGCGGCGGCCATGATGATGGGTGATCGTAACTAAGGTTTTCCAACACGCTAGTCTCGGACTTTGCCGAGATTTGCAGTATCACAGGGCACCGGCACTCCACATCCTCGGACCGGAACCAGATGCACGTACCGCCGACTATCCTCCTTTCTCATTGCTGCTCAGTTGCAACTCCTGCTCATCCATTAGACAGCCTTGCTGTTGTCGAGAACTTATTTGGAAGAACAGCTCCAAATATCTCGGACCTCGAAGCCATGAGCGGTGATGCCGAAGAAGAAGAAGCCATTCTGACGGAAACGTTCTACTACAGCTCTACCCGTGCCGCATGGCAATGAAGAGATTCGAATTGCAGGTATATTATGTTCCTTTTCAACCGGAAAATGCAATGCGCACCTCTACAGCGTCTCCATCTCCCAGAAGATACCACATATGAACAAATGGGGCCTAATGCCAGGGTATTCCTAGAGACGTACCTCAATGAGTGTGCGATCTATGATGTGAATACGGTAAATGATTTTTACCGATATTCTCTGATGTCCTTCTCGTCTTCGGATCTTTTCTGTCACCACCAGAGTCTACAAACGGACTATGACTGCTCTTCGAGATGATCAGGATTCGGCGGCTGATTGCGAGTGATGCCTTATTTGATACCGTCTCCGTCCCCAGTTAGCTCAAACATCGTCTCCAGTGTTTCTGGTACGAGCGTCTGGGTGAACCGTCCAGCCTAGCGCTCGGCTTTATGACGGCGCTTCAGTTATTGGTGAAGCGGTGGTTGCATCACTTCATGGCTTTAATATCTGGGAGGCAATCGTTTGGCAGTATCAGGCAGTTCTAACATACAGTTCTGCAGAGATAACGCGTCTTCAAGCACTACACTCGTGCACCGCGCTCGCGACATTCGTTCCCTTAGTCGTCTTTCTCGGTCTCCCACAAGAGTCACCTGCCCGGGCTGTTGGTATAATCTCCGTGGCTACCTTTCCTACCTGCTGGCACTGTGACTCCTCTGCCTCTCCCCTGTGATCTAGTCCGTCTCTGCTTCAAATGTGCGTTGTCGTATCTCATTCGTAACATTTGACGCGTTCTTTGTAATTATGCAGTAGGATGATATGATGATCCCACTAAGAGTTTTGCTGCTAACACGTCAGGATGGAAAAACTTGCAAAAAGTATATGTCAGGTGATACATCGTTCAAGGAACTGTATTGGCTCTTTCATGTCACCTAATGCACTTGTCCACCTCATCGTGATTTGATCACTCGGTGAGTGATAACCATCAAGGCAGAACAAACACTTTGCCCTTCAAGCTTTGTCTTAGTTGTCCTCTTTGCATGGCAGTCACAAAATGTGCCATACTCAGAAGCCAAGCTTGATGGAGGTGCCAGTTTTTCATTCACGCTGATTTGTTGGCAGTATCGCTCCGTCGCTAAAAGTAAGCGTCGATTTCACCGTATCTATTTAGATGTATAACGAACCCGTTAGGTCCATGATCATCGAAGATATCGGCGTTGTGGTAACTGTTTCGCTCATTATTAAATCCCACGAATGATTGCTTCCGGTTTCATTCTTTCATCTAGGAGAAAATTTTATGCAATTGAGTGCCGCCGCATCATCGACGACAATGATACTTCTGCAATTGAGCTATTCAGTTCTTGGCCGCGTTAGCGCATTTGTAAGGCTTGTCGTCATCTTGTCCGCACATGACATGGCCCTTGAATTAAGGACCACGTAACCTTCCATACAGATGGACTATCTAACAATGTTCTCTGGTAATGCAAGATTCGGCCCACCGCAGACGCCTCAAGGATGCAGACGAAGAGGATCCATCTTCGCGGCGCACAAACACAGGTTTCTCGAAAAATCTTTGGCCGCCTTGAACATCATCACCCGATTTTGTGCGCCATTCTCGACATTCCTGAACATATCCTGATTGACACTCTACCATCTATTCGGGCAGCAATCCCTTTCGTCGTCTTGAATTCCTACTTCGCGCGAGCCCCCACTCAATAATACACGAAATTTTACCTGTCACTTGATCTGATGTTCAGCTGCTGCCATTCAAATCGGAAGGACTTAAAAGCTGGCGTGGGATGCCAAAGTCAAAGATATTTTCGAAGCGACTCAGCACGTAAGTATCCTTGATCCGTGCGGCAGGATGCCTGAGAGTTTTTTAAGATCATGGATTTTGTCCGCCATTGGTACGACTCATTCGGGGTTACATTTCAGTAATAGACATGGTCCAGGCTCTCATCTTGACGATCCGATGGTCCAGCAATATACTGCATGCCGAACTCTGCTCCGTAAAGATAACAATTGGACAGAAGATCTTCAAAAAGAGATGATTAGGAGGAGCAGCTTATTGCTCGCCACGTAGTCCTGGTAGAACGACTCCCGCCGCCGCAGGCTTGGAAAATTGTTCACCAGGGATAGTCTAAAGATTTCTCCATCAGCAAATGTTTATGTCTGGAATTACAGGTAATACTTTTCTTCCGGTGACAGGAGTGGACGGTAAAAGGTCATATTACATTTCACAACGCGGACCCCGGATGCCTCTTTCTTGTGCAAATGCGAGAGTAAGCCAGTGGATTACTTCTCATAATATCTACGGGCACACTTCTCACTAGTACCAAGAGGCTTCTGTATACAACTCTACCGCTTACATTAGACCTCGGTCTCTTTGTCGCCTTTGGATGGCCGTGAAATCCGAAGGACAGTAAAAATTCAGACATTATTGAGGACCTTTGATCAGGGGACTAGGAATCAACGCCGTTGTGGCTTTCGCCAACTCTATTACTAGTAGCGTCGTAATTCTTGATCCTGTATTTGCTCGCACCGTCGTGTGTCCAGTTCACGCGGCTTGGAAGAATGTAATTCTAGGAGTCCGTATGTATCCTTTCACGGACTCCGCGGTGTAAGGCAGGCAGTGTGAACAGGTGTTCACAGATCATTTACCTCTTCTACGTAGAGTCCTAGCAGTGCCAGTGCCCGTTTGGATGATGTACTACTTATGATGCCGAAGCGTAAGCTGCTACAGCTGGAGAAGTCAGATGAGCACCATCACCATTTTGCAGAACCCCACATATATCCCGGCTCTAAACCATACAAAATCTTGGTAAATGTACTACTCATTCATCCCTGGGTACGTCGTAGTTCAACCTGAAGCCCACTTTAGGCAACACAGAAACAACCAAGTCGTTTTACAACATATGCAAGCTTGAACATTGCGTGATTAAACATCAAGACGACAGCCTAGCTTATTGTACAGCTTGGGAGGTTCCAAGGAGATATAGGTCTAGAAGGTTTCGGAGACCCGAAAAAAAGACTAAGAGAAAAAACGACAAGTAGTTGATGACCGTTCGAGGGATTATACCAACTTCAGTAACCTAAGTCGCATTTTCTCGAATATAAGAGACGATTTGGAACTTCGTGAGCTGCGTGTTTCATTCGGTCTCCCAACGATCAAGGTTCCACTTCCCCGTCGCATAAAATCTCTTTTTTTTAAATCAGTTGTGTATAGGTCGCCAACATTTTTTCATCCGCGGCCCAGTAGGACGCAATGATAAGTCTTGGCAAGCGAGAATTTAAAGTTAAAGCAAACTGAAGGAACGTCTAGGACGGTGCCGGGTCATCGGTCCGGGGTAATTGAACCAAAAACAAGTCCTGACGTAACGGGATGAAACGCGATTCACCACCTGCAAGCTCCTTTGGCGCTCCCTTATTATGTTGCACAGAACCTGAGCTAAACATCCCCTCTTTCTTCTCGCCCTTCTTCTATCCCCGCCGTTTCTCACGTTGAACATTGAGAGATGCGCGGACTCTTTACTATTCTTGCCAGCGCTCTGTTTAATACTGCTGTTGGACAATTATCACTACCAAATCCGCCATTTATACCGCCTTCTGCTTCCAATGGGACAGTGTCTTCTTCAGGAACTCCCAACCCACAGTGGAGTACATTGCTGGGGAATTTGATTTACTTTTATGAGGCTCAGAGAAGTGGGAGATTACCTTCGGACAATCGTGTGGGGTGGCGAAATAACAGCGCCTTAGAGGACGGATCCGACGTCAACCTTGATCTAACAGGTTCGTATACAGCTTAGGACGTTGGTTTTCTCTCTAATATACTTTCAATAGGTGGATACTATGACGCTGGGGGTGAGTATCACTGTTAAACCACCACCACGGTTGATGCTCATGACTTTACCGTAGACTACATAAAGTGCACATTCCCTCTGGTACGTGAGATGTAGCCATCTTTAGTCCCAAGTATTCACTCGAGGGTAGTCCTTTACGATCACGTCAATATGTTGGGGTGCCACGGATTTCGGAAAAGGTCGGTATACCTGATCTCCTTGTACGCTCTGATTCACGGAAATCAAGGTTATGATGATTCTAATCAAACGGCTTATCTGGATTCCATGATACGTTGGGGCTTAGATTGGCTCATCAAGGTCCGTCATTTCATGCTCAAGAAATCCACTCTGTAATGATGTTTTCCGACAGGCCCATCCCTCAAACGATACATTATACGTGCAGGTTGCTGATGGTTTGAAATTTTACCTCCAACTTTCTTTGCAGTGCTCAATCGATTTTTACCTTGCAGCTAATGTGGATAATAATTACTGGGGCGGCGATCAAGATATACCAACACCGCGACCTTCCTTCCAGATCAACGATACCTCACCTGGGACCGACGTTGCCGCCGGTGTCTCTGCAGCCTTCTCTGCATGTTCTAATCTTTACGCCAACCGTGGTTTTGGTGGGGTTTACCAGTCGCCAGCGTCTTTGGCAAACACTACCTACTCGGAGATACTCCTCGGGCATGCACAGAGTTTGTTTAATTTTGCCGTTAGTGCATCTGGCGGACAAGTTCTTTATCAAAATTCTGTTCCCTCCGCCGCAGAAAGCTACGCATCTTCATCGTATGGGGATGAATTGACTCTGGCTGCATTGTTCCTGGCTTGGGCAACTAATTCGACTACTTTGTACCAACAAGCGGAGAACTATTATAGCTCCTTTGGGCTTTCAGGGCAGAATGGCGTCCTCAACTGGGATTCAAAGACCCCTGGGCTAGCTGTTTTGTTTGCTCAGATCGCCCAGTCCAGCTCTTCCATCGGCAGTGACGCCTCTAGGTGGCAACAGGAAGCGGAGCGATATTTCGATAGGATAGTAAATAACGGCGGACCTGCGTTTGAAACGAAAGGTTAGGACTATTCTATTTGTTTGGACTATATTTAGTCAACGATGATCAGGTGGATTGCTGTACTATGACGGAGATTCCGATAGTGCAAGCCTCAACCCCGCCTTGAACGCGGCAATGTTAATGACTAGATATGCACCCATGGCTACTTCATCCGAAAAGACGACATCATACATGGTGCGTACAGCTACCATATATTAATGTTCGCAGCACTTGTCTCATGGGTTTCCTAGAACTATGCACAGAAACAACTAGATTATGCTCTCGGGAAGAATCCTATGTCGGGTAGGTTCCAATCTTTCCTCGAAAGATGAGGTTGCCCAATTTGAGTTTTAGCTCCATACGTTGTCGGTTCAAATCCCAACTCCCCTTCAAACCCTCATTCGGCCATGGCTAGCGGTGGAAGCGATATTAGTCATATTGACACCTCGCCAGAAGTGGAAGCATATGTATTGTACGGTGCCGTTGTTGGAGGACCTGATAAGAATGACAACTTCTACAACATGCGTAGTGACTGGGCACAAACTGAGGTATGATTCTTTTCTATGTGTTGATGCACTTACTGCATAAATACAGGTTGCCCTGGATTACAATGCGCCTATGCTCACATTGGCTGCAATGCATGTTATGAACGATACGAGTGATCCGTACTTCACAGCTCTGCAAGAAGGAGCGTATGTTCGACCACAAGGCGGGCCGTGCGATGCTGCAATTAGGGACGGATGTGGAAGCTCTAGCAGGTTGAGCAAGGGGGCAACAATCGCAATGGCAGTTTGCATCTCCATTGTTGGGCTTGTGCTTTTGTCGCTGGCGGCATACTATTTTTGGGTGGTTAAGAAGAGAAGAAGATCATGAGTGTTTGAAAGGATTTTAAGGACAGTTATTCATGAACTCGTGTTTGGACTGGCAATGACTCGCTTTGTTTTGCATGTGTACATATAGTCAGCAATGTACACTAATTGGAAAATTTTTACCGCTTCACTTGAGGCTGAGAGCGTCACCGGGTTTGACCACTCACATCATGCAACCCCGGGGATCCCTTTAATTTTCAGCTTCGTTTTGGTGTCGTCAATAGCCCAGATTAAAATCACCGATCGTTTCCTCCTGCCGGTATCCTTGCACACTGTTCCACTGCAAGGTATACCCGCTACTAGCGCCTTTTTGGGCTGGCACTGCCGCGCTGGAGGATGTTTCATCTTCGTTGATGATCGGGTCCGAGAAATCAGGTGAAGTAGCCTCCTGCGGCCTTGAGCATTCAACATTGCGGTTCCGTTGCTCCGGGAAGACTGTAAGTGGTTCCTTGAGGAACTATGGGTCACTTACCTGCAAAATACGGGTCGCCCGTTATTGATATCAGCGGCACGGGTAAATGCAAGTACCAGCCTTGATGATATTTTGTCTTCACAGAGACTGCAATCATATCTAGGTTACAGGACACGTAGCCTTTCACTGCTTGGTTTACAATCTGGGAATTATTTGCCCATGAGACTGTATTATAAGTGGATACGGTACGGTACTCATAATGGGAGGACAGTGAGGGATAAGAGCGGCAAGAGGCCGATGCACCCGAGGCGCACTGGATATCCAGTAGCCAAAATCGCAGTTGGATGAACCAGACGCGCTTAGCGTCTTCTGTATATTATGTATTCGCGTCCAAGTTAGATGGGAGGATTACATTGAAGACTTTCAAGTTATTCGAACATGCTGACGATGCTTCGGGCCGGTCAACCGATCGAGTCCGCAAAATACTTGTATTCGAACAATCACCTCCCTATATGTTGCTAAAACGCGTTGCTCATCGTGAAAGTTACTATGTGTATTACGATTGACAGTTTCAAGTAACTTGGAACGTTTCAGCATGTGCCGCATTACTTTATCGATCCTAGCTTTTTTCTGCTAGCCTTTATTGTTCACGAGGTTTCGGGCCTTTTTTCGGTCGCCTTTCTATTCCCCTTCGCCCTGCGGTATGTCACTGCGGTGTTCGGTAGTCCTGGGGTTGTCCCAGTGCCTCGCGCATGCGCAAAACAATTGAACTCCATAGATACATTTCATGTTATAACAAAGAACCATTTGTCAGCATCAAGGTTTCAGAGAGGGATTAGTAGGAAGAAAGGGAAAAAAGAGAGGCACTTTGAAGACCGAGAGCCTTTGTGTCAAACAAAGGGAGTTTGAATTGCCGTTCTGACTCTGCTTCGATCGAACAAAAATGTAACGCCTTGTTAGAGCGTCCTTCTTAAATATCAGCGAATTCTTGCCTTCCTTCCTTACTCTCACCCATGTCGACCTTTGACTCCCTCATTGAAGACCTTACTCGCGACGCCAATCGCGCTCAGCCCAAGGATGCCCTGCAATTCTGCGCCAATTGGTTCCAGCAGCGGCTCGAGGAGCAGAGGTCGCGCACTCGCGACGTCCTCGCTCGTCGAACACCGAATTTTTCTCGCGATTTACCTAGCGAAATATACATAGATACGCCCTTTGGTACTGGGCCAGGTCCGATATCAGTGTCTCCCTTTCACCAAGCACCGCAGCGCTCGTCCTTGAGGAATAGCGTCAGCCTCGCTCCAGGGCCTTTTGGTACCCTTAACGTTCCCGGCAATGCCTTGCTAGCCAACAACCCGATGGGGCCACCAACTATCCAGATGGAAGGACGCGTTCTACCACCGCCGTCGCCTTTGTCGATGGCGCCCCCGTTCCCGATGCGCGACGATACTCCGGTTGCGCCCCCAACTCCTGGTAGCTTCCTCGTACCCCCCACTTCTGCAATCTTTGCAAGACGTACATCTGTATCAGCAGAATCTATACCCCTCGACGGCTCAGACGAAATCCTTCCGGTCTACCCAAAAACACCCGACCAGCTTCGTCGCATCAGGGCTTCAATGACAGATAATTTGCTTTTCCGTGACCTTGAAGAGGAGCAGATTACGGCAGTGATTAATGCGATGCAGGAAAAGGCCACTGAGAAGGGGGAGGTCATCATACGGCAAGGCGACGTCGGTGACTACTTTTACGTCGTCGAGTCGGGTTTGTTGACCTGCTACATCCGGCCTGAACCACTGCCACCAGCGGGGCTTCGTCGCTCAGAGGACATGTTCGTTCAGCCTGGATACCACCCTGAGTTTGGCAAACAAGTCTCAGAGTGCACACCTGGCACGTCCTTTGGAGAGCTGGCGCTCATGTATGGACATCCTCGTGCCGCGACTGTAGTATCTACTGAAGCATCTATGCTCTGGGCCCTGGATCGCATTACGTTCCGGACCATCATCTTGACGGCCGCCCATCGACGACGCACGATGTACGAGCATTTCTTATCAACCGTAACCCTGCTGTCGTCGCTCGATTCCATGGAGCGAAGCAAAATTGCCGATGCACTGGTCAGCAGGGTCTACATGGATGGGGAAGCTGTCGTCAGACAGGGAGAAATGGGCGATACCTTTTTCTTTGTCGAGGAAGGCGAAGCTATCGTTACAAAAGCCCAGGAGGGCGAAGATGGCGAAATTCGAGAAATTGAAGTTGGACATTACAAGAAAGGCGACTACTTTGGAGGCAAGTCTGCAACATTCTCTTTTCTCTTAATCTTTTTACTGATCTTATGAGCAGAACTGTCGCTCTTGCGCATGGCTCCCCGAGCGGCTACTGTTTGCGCCATCCATCGTGGCGAACGCCTTCTTCCAAAGCTTAAAGTGGCGGCATTGGATGCCCCCGCTTTTACGAGACTTCTCGGTCCCCTTCGTAACCTGATGGAGCGAAGAGCAGGAGAACAATACGGGCCTGGACCGTGGTTCTCTGGATAAGAAACGGACGATAATTTTGCAAGCGTGTTTATCCCAGTCGGGGGCTGTATATGATTCTCTTGGCTTGTCGTCATGGTGATGATCGCTAATTTTTGTGTTGATGTAAGTTTCTATGGATTCCACTAGACGGAAGTAAAATTTAGGTAGTTCTCTCGTACAATCTCTCGTGCTGTAGCGATAAAAGTACTCTTTTCTTTCAAATGTAACATACATGCGTCAAATTGTGTGCCGAATACTAAAATAAGGTAATCCGATGAAGCAGGGGGCAAATACTTTACGACGCTCCACGCCAAAAATAACATCTCCACTTGTTAGAAACTATCGTGATGCAATTGACAGCCAGACTTGATTCTATCGCTCTTTCTCTTTTACACCCTCCTTTTCATTTTTCCCCGCTTTCCCTTCATTCTCCTTTGCCTCTGCATGCGAATGTAAAGGCGGCCATCAACTCAATTTTCCGAGGTAACATCCTCGTAGTTGGAATATCTAAAACCTCGGCAACCGCCAACCCACATTCTTTTTGATTCTGTTCCAATCTCCACCTGTATGGAGGGACATATTCTTGCGCAGAGGCAGGTCCTAAGCGGAAGTGAGTTCAATTCTCGTTCGGTTTAAGTGATGTTACTGACGCAATTGTCTTGTAGTAGTGTCCAGTGCGACCAGTGCAATGTATGTCCTGGTGTTCTGTGCCAAAAATGATACGACTTACGACTATTAAAGTGGCAACATCGGCGATGCAGCCAGCTCAGCAGCCAGTAGTGTTTCAAGCGCGATCTCGACTTCGAAGGATTCGTCAGTGTAGTTTTTTTCCAAGTACATTGCTCCGGTTCTGCCTCTTACCACCTTTGTAGGTCCACGTCGGTGTCTAGGACCAGTTCTGCTTCAAGCGCATCCGAGACTTCAAGTTCGTCTTCTTTGACTAGTTCGTAAGTCGTGTCGATTTGCATGCTGTCGAGACGCGTTTACTTATCATCCTGATCAGCTCATCAACTGGGTCGTCATCATCTTCCAGCACCACGACATCTGTGTCTACCTCGGAGACGCTCTCAACGGCACTGAGCAGCAGCAGTTCTGAGTCTGCCACCTCTTCATTGCCTTCTGTCTCGGAATCTGTCTATGAAACGACCTCTGATGGTGTTACGCGCACCATGACATCGTTTATGAGTGCCGCGGAAGAGTCAGCGACCGGTTCGAGCTCCTCCGCTGCCAGCACTCAAACGGCTGCAACACACAAATCCTTCCTCCAGAACAAATCCCTTTCCGGCTTCGTTTTCGCCCTCTGCGGAATCGTCGGCTTGGTTCTCATTCTCCTCGTGGTGACCTTCACGCTCCGTCGTAGACGTAAGAACAAGTTGCTCAACGAGGCTATCTCGTTCGACCCCCAGGGGAGCGTGTATCCTGACCGTGACATGGAGGAGAAATTGACCCATCAGAGAGCCGTGGATAGTATCGGAGGCTCTGTGTCCGGTACTCGCGAAAATAGCAGCTCCACTGGACATGGCATGTATATGCCGCCTGCACCCCATGGTTATTACGATGCAGGTTATGGCCAAGCTGCCAATGCGTACACTTACACCAATTACGCACCTCCCAGGCCCGAAGTGCCTAACCCGAATTATGATCACCTCGGTGTTACGCATAACATGGGAAGTTTGGCTTTTGAGAACCGTAGCATGTCTCCTCCGAGGTCGCAGGTCCCTGCTATGGGGCCTCTACCGAACAATTTCGGCCAGAATTATGCCTCCTATGGGATGGCTCAGCCATATGAAGGTCCGTTACTTGTACTTATGAGTTGTCTCTGTTTTTCTGATTCTCTCTATGAGTGTAGGTCGCTAGATATCATTGACATTACTTATACCCTTCATTTCATGGTCCGCCTTTCAGATCTGCTCTTGACTCGTGAAAAATATCTTGTATATAGTAGCCATTCACCCTCTTGCTCATAAGTCACAAAACCTACGGCAACAGCCTTACAGTTTTCCTGGATGGATTCTGCGACTAGTTTGAATTCATGTACATAGAAAGTCTCCAGATTGTATTACCATTTATTACTGCTTGATATTTTTTGGTGAGTTTTTGAGCAAAGGAAACGTTCACGGAGGATAGGCAATGAATACATGTCTTCAATTAAGTTAATCATCATCTGGGCGTGCACCACAACGAGACCCCGATTATACAATGACTGGAAAACAGCATTAACCAATACTGGAAGCAAGAACTAGGCGACATACTTTCTAGCTGGACGTCCAAGCGACCGCTGTGGTACAGCTCTAGAAGAACTGATTCAAAGTCTTCCGGCTCTGCCCAGTCCAGATCCCAATAGTGCTGGTAGTCACCTTCAACCCTCGCAAAGACTACCGTGAATTGCTGTAGTGCCGATGCAGCAAGCAGGCTGTCCAACTCTCGCCATTTCGAGCTATCGTCATGCAACTGGTGCTTCGAATAACGTCCGGACGTTTCTATCACTAGAGACTCTAGCGTGAAATGCGAAATGTTGATAATTGTTGGAATCATGCGATCAAGCCATGCGGAAGCGGATGTTACTGCAGACATGGACATCGTTTTCAAAACCCGGTGTTTGAGAAGTGGGCAGAGATGTTCTGAAGGGTATTAGCAAACGGCCGGACATGAGGAATAATGAAACATACGTGCACCAAATGGTTGACATGTTGAGAAATGTTCCAAAGAATTCTGGTTCATGGACAGAAATTCGGCGGCGACAGCGAGATCACCGCTGACAGAAGCACCGTCTCCTTGGTGCGAGCTGTATAAATCAAGGCGGCGCAGTTGACCGACACCAACTGGAGACCGTGGATGCGTGAAGGCCCTAGCAACGACATCAAACACATGAGCCTCCATCTGTTGAAGTGACAGTGTCTTGCAACGGCCTCCATCGCGCTTTGATTGCCCTAGAGCCGCTGGGTCCAGGAAGAACTGGACCCTTCGATTGCAGCTTCAGTGTGCTGACCAATGGCGCAAGATGCGGATATGTCGTCAGAAAATTGCAAAAGGCCAGGATATTCCGAAGCTGCGGGCGCTCTTTCGGGAAGAAATCTTGCCTTCCTACATTTTCCCGAAGTAAATGAATGTGGGAAAATATGAGCGCTTGGGAAGGGTTGGTCCAGGGTCGGCAAACAAGTGAGCAAGCGCAAAGGGTCAAGATATCACCGCGGAGTTCGTCGAGGATGGCGTTGACAAGTTCCTGGGGGATTCTACCTGGATTCTGTAGTACTGAAGACATGAGAAATAATCTAGGAAGTCAGAAAACGCAGTTCTAAATGCTTCAGACCTGCAGCGGTCAGCGACCATTCCTTGTGATTTTTTTCAAGTTGACATGCACTGTCAAGGACGCAGGGCAACACCAGCAAGCAAAAACGTATGTACTTACCTCCCTTTCCCGTCGGCGGCGGATCGCTATTAACAGTGCACGATGCTCATGGGCACTGGGCCGGCTGTCCAAAAATCCATGGAGCTTTAGCATACACGTATATTTAAGTTCATCTAATAATTCTTCGTGCATCGGTCTATGTATACCCGTCTCCGTTGATCAACTCGTCTCCTTCTGATTGAACGATTTTCTGTCACCCTGCAATTCTTCTCCATCATCATCTGATACTTTCTTTTCTGCTCTCTTTTCTCTTCTTTCCAAGTACCATACCAGCCCTGTCACACCCAGCGTCGCAACACTGACGCATATCAGCGCGATCATACCTCTGTGAAATCTAGGTGCATCTGTCGCTGGATAGAAAACAAGTGGCCACCATGCGTTGATCACATTATTCCACATGCTGTCGTTAGCAAGTTGGGGTTAAATTTTACCCTGGAAGTCATCGAGCAAACGAACGTACTTCATAGAAGCGAGCACAATGCCCCGCTCTTGATCATCGTCTGCACATATCTGGTTCGCCCACCTAGATAGTCACTGTTATTAGGTGCCAAAGAGTATAAAATAGCCATACGCGAATGTAGTCGCTTGACCAGCATAAGAGGCGCCAGCAATATCTGTGAAAAGTATGATTTCTGGTGGCCCAATTCTGATTACAGATAATACGCACAGAAAGCGAAAAACTTCAAGCCTGTGGGACTGCCCCAAACAAGAAGGCATACAGCAGATATAATACACGCGACCGACATGTACACCAATACTGGCCATCGGATGCGAGTATAGTCTGTCCAGGTGGCGCAAACTAGGGTTGACGCAATGGCAAAGGCGGTGGCGCCGGAAGGATAATAATCTATAAAGAACATTGATGTTAATCATCAAGAAGACGGGACGGTAATATTGACGGATGGACCGATTTGTTCCACGCTGTAGCCTCCGATAGCTTTCAGCCATTGTCCCATAATGTTGTTCGATCCGAGACTTTCGGTTTCTCCAGAGATGGCGAACTGAGAGGAACAATTTGTGACTCGTCTAGAGCGTTGCTTCTGACACTTACCAGGAGGCTGCATCCGTACCACCTCCATTTCCCGAGGATTCGTTTAGCGGTTGCCCATGACACAGGTTCCCGTGCGACTTGGATTTCGCCTTGAAGCCGGTCTGAGGCTAACCTTTTTTCCTATGACTTCTATCAACACCACTCTAGCATACCAATGATGAGATGTGTACGTACATCTTCATTCAGATAAAAAGCCTTTGTAGTCAAAGGGACATCAGGAAAGATAAGGAAACCATAGAGTGCGATGGGCAAAGTAATAATCCCGTCAATGATGAATCTGCCATGTCAGATCTTCAGTGAACAAATGGTAGGACGACCATCATTGTACGCACAACCAACGCCATCCACTTCGGCCGGCATAGCCATTTAGATGTCTGTGGCATCCATCAGAGCGTAACTCACAACTCGACAAAGCGACAAATGACGTACTTGTATACCGCACCCTGCAGAACACCGGAAAACCTGTGTCCGCATTTAGGCAGAGTCAGAAACTGTGGGTAAAAACAGCTAAAAGGGACTTACAAAGTTCCCGCTAAACCTGAGCTCGTAAATATTCCAGAGCGTTTACCTAGTTCGCCAGATTTGTACCATGAACCTAGTATGTAGTGGGTGCCTACAAAAGTTGACGACTCGGCCATAGCTTGGAAGAATCGGATCGCGTATATCTTCGGTTGATTCAGTATTGGAAATACACAAAGTCAGGTTGAATACCGACGGATTGGACATTATGCACGGCGCTTGTGCTAAGGAGCGCCGATTAAGCGACGGCATAAGCACGGCTACGAGACGGTTACCAGAAAGTCAGCACACCCCATAGGATTTGCATGCACGGGAACCAAATACGCGGAGGAACGATCTGGAGCATCAAGTTATCTATACGAGCAGTAGAAAATCAGTCGAGGTTATTCAACATGACCGCTCTAGACACGGAACAAAGGACAATGACAAGAGATGTATTATCTAAACACCACTCACTGGGGATCATTCCTACGATATAACCGCAGGTGAAGATGGTGTTAATTTTCTAAAATGGAATCAAAATGAGCAAGGAGTCCACATGCAAGTGATGAAAACTACAGACATTATACTCAGTCCCGTACATGTGAAGCTCCTCCTTCATCCCGCTCACATACGCATTAGATATGTTACTTGAAATGTGAATAATCAATCTCTTGATGTCCTCCTTGTTTCGGGTGAACGATAAACGGATAGCTTACCTTCGATCTAGATCTGAAAGATCCCGAATGAAATGCGCCCGGCAGAGAGAAGAAGACAAGGTACAAACAGTTTGTGAAGTACTATATACAGTACCCGGTGTGGTTAGCAACTTCTGAATCTCAGAAGACACAAGAAAAATGGAAGGTTAACTTACCTGGAGGCAACAATAACTGAGGATGAACCAGTCGATCTTCCAGAGAAGCTTGGCCTCTTGGCGTGTGGACGGCACGTTCCCCCACAAAAAGGTTCTTACTTTGAGGTGCATTCTGTCCTGGGGAAAGAACTAAGGTCGATGTTGAGCGAGGCAACACGAGACCATGGAATTTCAATGAAAATGGCCTGATTGATGGATGAGATAGCGAACAGATAGGTCCACGATACGTCATCAGTTCGTCGGAGTTGGATCGGTGATTAAGCGTTTCAACAGCTTCCCCTCCCCCCTTCGCTAATTTTCTTTCGGCAATATTGAAAGTCATCAGGCGCCAAATACGAGCCTTGCACCCGCTTTTAATGCTGCTATATCGGCGTTTGTGTAATAACTACTTCCACTTCGGTCTCCCGCGGACGTAGTCGCAAGTCCGATGCTGTCCGGAACTTTGATCTTGTCATCATTTCTTGGTCATTTTAGAACGACATCCGACCAAACAGGACCAGGAAACCAGAGGAAATTCCTGGATTTTGAAAACAGGTAAGGGGAATTGTTTCCCCAGACAAGCTATAATTGACACGCCAAGCCTGCAAAAAAAGGACTGTATCGTTTCATCCCAATCCCAGACATCGTCACCGATGACGCGGCAGAAAGAAAATCGCCGCCGGCTGAACATGTGGTATGGGATTCTTGCGGTTTCGAGTACATCCCTACGAACTGGTACTGTGCGTTGAACAACCAAGCAAGTGTTGCCTCTTATTGTATACTCGGCTGGTCAGTTTATGCAGGGCATAGAACCTTGGACCTTACCCGTTCTGTTCGATTTCGGATACGATTACTGAATATGGAGGTGACTGACTTCATGTTTTAATAAGAAAACCTGAGTCAGAATGCCGTTCCGGCTCATCGCGCATCACCAATCAAAGTTTTCCCAAGCCCCCAAGATCATCCGAATCCATATAATGGGTACTTGCATTTTCTTCGGGACTTTCTGGGTCTCTCCCCTTTCTGTTCAGCAATGCGTTCTCGCTGGTGCGCTCTCTCTGTTGCCGTCCCTACTGTTGCTCTTTCCCTGCTTCTTGCGACTGTGCCGGCCGACGCGTCTCTTGTCGTCAACCAGGCGCTACCAGTAGACAGGCTGCTGGCGAAACGGGATGACCACCATCATCATATGGGTGCTCCTCTCGCCGAACTCAACGAGACAGAAGTGACGCTCCATCATGCCCCCATACCACCATCATGGTATACGCTAGACTTTGAAAACGACCCTCCCACAGACCACCAATACCCTGGGCTCATGTTCATGCATGTGGTGATAATGTGTCTTGCATTCTTCGTCGCGCTTCCCGCAGGTGCGTTACTTCATCTACCGCCCCCCTTCTTTCTACTCACGGTTAGGCAGGCATCATCATGCGGTCTGTCAAGCATTCATGGCATGGCGCTATTATGGTCATCTTCTATGGGCTATCTGCTCTAGGATGCGCCTCAGTCGCGTTGTACAAAAAGCTCACTCCCAACATGTAAGCCGATCGATCAACCCTGACATACATTCAATGACTCATCGTTGTGTCACAGGTACGAAGGTTAGACCATCCGCTTTTACCGTTTTGACGACCCAGACAAAGAACTAATATCAAAAAATGAATTACCTTCTAGGTTCCGCACACGGAAGGCAGAGCTATCTAATACTGGTTGTCACGCTCATGTTAACGTGCATCGACCTACTCAATGTTTTCCGTCGGATTGTCTCGTTCTTTCGGGGCGGTAACAAATTTGTGTTGCGAAGCTTCTGGAACGCCGCCATTTTAGGAAAAGATGACTCGCTGTTACATAGTTTGCCGGGCCCAGAGTATGCGGGTTTAGGCACGGAGGAGCCCGAGCAGTATGAGCTGGACGACCCCAAGGCTTCTAGTCCGGTGTCTGATAGGCACGTTCACTACGGCGACGAGGTCATCCACGGAGATACAGCGGAATGGGCCAACAATGTAAACCGTCATCACAGGGAATTTTCTCATCCGGCCGCCTCAGATCGTACGCTCTTTGGGGCGCGTTCTTCTCATTCAGACGACTTCCCCGATATGGATTTCAAATCGCCCAAAACCAAGGTCACTTTGCTCAGGCGGATAGGCCAGGGTGTGTTTGCGACGGTCGAGAGATCAATCGTGATTGCCGCGTACGGTGAAGCGGTTCTCGGTGTCGTGATCTACACTGGTGCGTCCCCGCTTTGATCGAAGGAATGATCCGGTATTAAAAGCACCTAGGTGGCTGCAGAGGAAATTACACAAATGGATGTCTAGCTCATCTCATCAGTATGCATCTCCTGTGATTCTACATCCCGATATATTCATTGATCATCTTTACAGAGGGTGGCATTTTCTGGTGCTATGGCCTGCTCACCTTTGCACGTTTCTTGGGCTCCTACGCCGACCTCGGCTGGGCTTGGAACAGAGCGCCAAACAAGGAGTACGTCAGCGCGGAATTTGTGGAATCGCTGGTTATATTTCTTTACGGGATTACGAACACCTGGATGGAGCGCTTTGGCGCCAAAACTGGAGACCCGTTTACTACGAAACAGATTCAGCATATTGGCATCGCTGTACGTGTTTTCCCTCCCGCGCAATCTCCAATTTCCCAATGATACTCATGTGAATTTAGGTAATGTTCTGGTTTGCTGGTCTCGTGGGTATGGCCCTTGAATCAAAGAGAATCAGGAAGTGGATGGCCTCTTCGACTATCGCAGCCTTGCCCTCTAATGGTTCTAAAGAGGCTGTTGCTGAACCTCCTAGCTATATCGCGAGTTTTAACCCTTTCCCCGCCTTGGTTATCGGAGTGACGGGAGCTGCAATGTCAGCTCACGCACAGACATATGTATTCCAAGTACGTCACTTTTCATCCTTATCGTTATTTTTACATCCATTATCTCCGGTCATGATCTTCCTGTCATCTCGGAACCTATTTTCTATTTTTGCGTCATCAATGGGAATCGAACTGATGTTCATATCCTTTTAGGTGCAGATACATATGCTCTGGGGCTACCTTTTGGCTGCTTTCTCAGTTCTCAGATGCTTGACCTACTTCTTCGTTTGGCTTGGTCCCCCTCGTTCCATCCTTCCCTCTCGACCACCCACAGAGGCTTTGGGCAGCTTCTTCCTCGCTTGCGGAGGACTCTCTTTCCAGTTCTCGACGGAAGAATTGACTATCGCAGCTATGCGAAGAGGCCGTGATGGTGTGTTATTATGATTCTAATCATGATAGTTTGCGGGCCTGACTGATGTTCTCTATAGATGTTATGATGTTCATGAATGTTGCTGTTGCAATGACCTGTCTGGCCTTCACCTGGACGATCTGTGTTGTTGGTTTCAAGGGTTACTTGAAATCACGACTGAACCCCCAAGTGTCGTATCATAGTTCTGCATGATTGCTTGATTATCAGGCTATCTTAACGTGCTATTTATCTATCCTCTACGTTCTATTTCTGTAGCGATGTAATCCCCAATCCTGTTTCGGCTTTGTCGATGAATCGTGATTGATCTTGTTATCCACCGTTTACTTACATCCTTGTTGTTTTTTAGTGCAGTAGCCTTGTTGATTCTATCCTACACTGTATCCCCTTCACAATTTCTCACATATCTTGTTCATATCTTTCCGTATTACGACCACAATAAAATAGCGTTCCAACCCTTATGATGGTACTTATGACATGTATATATAATTTGATGTAATGACATGACCTTTGTTCAACGTAACTACGATAACAACCCGGTTATTGAAAAGACGTAGTCGCCGAAAGCGCCCATCCATATCCAAAAGCCGGCCCAACCACATCCAACGAAACCTTTCCAGCAACTGGGTCGACTCTCAAAGTCCGTCTCATATAGGACACGAGCTAGCTGTAAGGCGCCGAGTCCTACACCACAGTAGAAGGGTGCGGCTTGAGAATTGAGAATTCCGGCATAGGATATCAGAGATACCGACGCAACCGAAAGACCGCTGAGTATGGAACGTGTGTGATCACCGAAGAGAAGAGCGGTAGAACGGATGCCAACAGTGACATCGTCATTCTTGTCCTAGAGCCGGTTGGTTAGCACGAAAACCAAGACACAGAGGTAATAGCTCGATGAACCTGGTGAGCGTAAATGGTATCGTAGACTAGGGTCCAGCAGACGCCCCCTGCATACAATGGTAGGCAAACACTCCAATTGGTGACGCCTGCGACAGCGGACCAGCCGAGAAGTGCTCCCCAGTTGAAAGCTAGACCTTGACAAGGAGCGTGAACTACTGAAGCTGAGCCAATGCGAGTGAACTCACCAAGAACGGCCTGTGGCCAATGCGTAACGCGTTTCATGAAGGGATATATTGTAACCACAGATAGGGACGCAGCTCCCAGGAAGATGCTGTTAGGAACGGTCACTTGCGTCATCGTGGTAATTGAGATGAGCAATCACCTATACCAGTTGAATTGCAGCAACACGGCCAGTCCGGCCGACAATTGGACTCCAAGGAAACCAACAGCTTGTGTGGTCGTTATGTCCTCCCGCGATAAGGGCCTTTCCCGCGTTCTTTCTTGGGCCTTTAAGTCTGATAGAAGAGACTACAAACACGGTTGCTTACCCACAGCTTTATCGAGATGTTTATCCCACATATCATTTATTGTACACCCAGCACCACGCATTATAAATGCTCCTATGCCAAAGAGACTAATGAAGGTTATCGGTACGGTGTATGGTACTTGAAGCGCGTATGAAGCCATTGAAATGGACCAGGCTGTTTGACACAGGGAGCTTGTGGGTATCGCGGACTGAGATAAAGAGAAAAGAAACATACTGCAGGGATAGAAGAGCAACAAGGTGCCAATGGGTTTGTCTATTCGACTCAGATACAGATATGGTCTTATTTTCGGTGGTAGTTTTTCAACCCAGGATTTCTGGACGGGAAGGATAGATTGATTTCGAGAGCTCGAAATGCAGCGAAGGTTGGCAAATCCTGGAATTCTGTGCCCTTTTGGAAACGATTGGATATTCCAACGGGGTGTACATCGTCGGGAAAGCTGAAGGAGTCGTAGCGCCGGAAGTGACATGGTTGAAAAAGGAAGACGGGTACCGGACCGGACGAAGTGGCTGGTATCATGTGATCATCAAACGCGACCGCGTCTGCCGCCCTAGTTCCACGCGTTTTCGAAGTTCCTTATCAATTAGATCAATGGCGTATTACAATAATATTCGCCACAGCGTATCAAAGTAACAAAATGCTATGAGATTCCGATTCCGAATACATGATGTGTTAATTGAACAAAGCGTTGAGTCTAGATGCACGAAGGAGAGCCTGGAGTGGAGCTGAACTACCACTCCTTTCCGAGCTTGAAGGCCCATTCCCAGTCTACAGCCATCAATGAGTGAAATGTAAAGTAAATATAAAATAAAGAAAGATCACCTGCATAGACTTCGCCGTCGTCATCGACGACACGGCTCCTTACGTTGTAAGAGCCAGACCGCGCAAGCATTCCAGATGGCGACTGATCAGGGTCGAAGTTCTTAACGTACGGCTCTCCCGTTGGCGATGGACCATACGAGCCCAACATTTGTTCGAACTTCTCCACTGATGATCCCATAATTAGAGCGTAACGGACAACGGTCGCTGATTGGAGTATGCTTACCTTTGATGCCTGCACGTTTGACGACTTGAATGTATCGGACCCCCTGTCAGAATAAATGAGGTGCCGTTTCGAATATATAGGGCAACGCATACCGAGATGATGGAGTGGTTGACTTTGAACGTGATGCGAACGCTAGAGCCTATTGTGAACACGTTGTATTTTAATATCGCATACGAGTGGGCACGCACTTGTATTCAATGTCTTCCTTGATCGTAACAGGGTTCTTCTTCAGGTCAGCCAGCCTCTCCTTGTCGGCGAGATGGAAGATGATCGTTTTGCCAGGTGGAAGAGTGCTTGAATGAAGCTCCAGAGTCAACACAGTGACCTTGTCAGTGAGATCAGTGATTGCAATCAATAACGAGCAAGAGGGCGCGGTACCTTTGGGCCACTCGTATCTCCCGATGTCACACCGGGAACGATGCCCAATGACGCTTTCCAGCGAGCCAAGCTCTCGTCGTTAGCATCAAGCTGCGCATACTCATCAGCAGTCTTTGCAGCAGTTGGCTTGTAGCCTGTGGTCGTTAAATACAGAGTGGCTGGGAAAGATCTAATACCTCACCAGGGGTAGTCGTTGGTGCAAAATCGTCAACGTCGTCTTTCTATAAGCGAGCGTGAGAATGAAGGGTAAAGGCGAAAAAACGAATGAATGAAACGAACCGCAGACATCGTTCAAGGTGGTAGTATACTCAAATCAGGGAGCCTGCATACGATCGCGATTATCGTTGCCACACTTTTCAAACTCCGCCAATCGCCGACAATCACTTTCCAACTTGGAATTTCGCTCGCGAGCATAGCGGAGCCAATCCATAAGGTCATGCATACCATTCGTCGACCATTTGTTTAGGTTAATTGAGAGGAGGTAGGCGCATGAATTCTCACTTTCAAATCGCCACTGTCCACGTTATGATGCCGCTCGGGGTTTTCAACTTGTTCACACGCTCATCTTGGAATTACCTACTCCAGATGAGTCTAATAGAAAACGGACGTGACGCTACATATATGTTTCGTTGTCAACTTGTTTCCCAAGGTGTATGGCATTACTCCGTTCCTTATCGTCGCTGCTACATAGACACCGACCGGAACTAACGTTATACCAACCTGTAGTCGTAATTCTCGAATTTCAAACAACAAAAAACAACAGTTATCATAACGAGTCGATATCAATGTATACAAATAGATCCGAGATACTTAGCCAGTGTATATCACTCCAAAAAATAATAGATAGTAGTAAAAACATGTCGACCGCCTGCCGTCCAGAACCTGCTGTCCAATTCGCCATTATGCGCGTGGAGATGTAGGCGAGTGCATCGATTCTGATTCATGTCAGTAAGCCGCACTGATGACCCAAACCGATAAAAACACACCTCCTTTAAACCAACACTTGCCCTTGCTCAGGTGGAAACACTTGGGCCCATTCGGGCATACATGGCCCCAGCAACAGCTCTCGCCGTACGGGCATGGAAGACCTAAGCCTCGGTGAGTCATGACAAAGAAGAAAAGGAATTCGAAACGAACCATTTTTAAGCCAATTGCATGGCGCTTTTTTGGCGTTGCTAGCCAGCGTGGCCAGCTGCTCCAGAGTCAAAATGTAATCATGCGAATACTTGCACACTGCAATCTGCAACAAATTTCTTAGGTAAATATACATAACCATGGTCCATTGCGAAACTCACCCCTTTAGAGCATGTCATTAAGTAGTGCTCATTACACGGTGGCGGTGACTCTGTATGACCAGTCAATGACAAGCGAATGGCAAGGTGACCATACATACGCTTATGCAGAGGCTACACGGATCATACTCGTCAAAAGAACTGAGAGAACAAAGCAAAGACAACATACGAGTGACGGATCGATAAGTCGGGTACCAATAGGACGTTCGGGGGACTGCGGGCTGATGAGGCCTCCGTTCGTTATCACCGAACTGAAGGGGCCCACAGTTAGAGGCCCCGGAGATGGCTTCTGGATAGTCCGGAGTGAGTTCATGTTAAAGAATAAATTGTCCTCTTGTAAGGAGGGGAGGAAGAAGGTCGGCGGCATCCCAGGGTCCCCCGCAGACTTGAGCGTCACCAATTTGCCTAAGAGGTGCTCTTTCGCGAGGTCATCAAGGAGAGATGCGATATCCCGCTCTTGCACGCCTAGAATAGAACTGATAAGCCATTTCAGCCTGGATCCATAAAACACTCAAACATACCGCCGAAGAACATGCGAAGGGTCAGAGGTAATTTAGCATAAGTCTGAAGATATTCTATAACGATACTCAGAAAACATGGTAGCTAAAGTTAGGAAGCCAACACATACCTCTAATTTTCATGGTGACATCCTCGGTATTATAACCAACGTCGACGACCATGAAGCGTGGAGATGCATGGCTAAAGCCCTGTAAAATTGAAGGTCAACGACACGTAAGAAAATACCCCGATAGCAAACCCACAGCTAAGAACGACTCAAACTGTTCCTCCGTGCAAAGCTCATGACCAAGCAAAGTATTGAGGACCTCCGACTTGTTGAAATAAACGGTAACCCAAAATGATAGCCCTCGCACGACCTGCACGCTCTCGTTGGCAAGGTACTCCGCGATGACTTTGGTCAGTTGCTTGGCCGCTTCATTGCCGCCGCGAAATCCTTGCGAGAGCAGGCCCGCGCCGAACATTGAGGCGCTTCCATTAATAACACAAAGAATGAGTGGATCCTGGGTCTGAAAGGGCGCAAACTGTAGCTCGATAACGAAGACCGAATGAAAGAAAGGCGTACCCCACGAAAGACATCCATATTAGAGACCTGTTTGTTGAGCGTGGCAAGCTGCACTTTATGCGCATTTGCCTCCATTTGCATCGTCGCGTGATGGTCCTTCCATAACTCAATCTCGGCTTGGAGCTTTGCAACCGTATTTTCCAGCTCGACGTTCCGCTTAACCGTCACCCGGGATAGATCTAAAAGAAACAAGTTCAAACTGGTACGATGAGGGAAATGGAAGTATAAACTCACTAAGAATCCGACTGAGAGCCTCATCCCTAGAAGGCCGTCAATTGCCATTCTCATACAAAGGCAAGATGAACGACGCACCACACCTGCTGATTACCCTCGCCTAAAGGTTGGGTCGCCATCGGGGCAGCGATTAAAAAATGGAAAAAGGTGAGGATGAACGGAGGGAGACTGGTAAAATTCGAGGTACCTTTAAGGCATGGCCCTTCGACCAAGCAATTGGGATCAGGTAAACGAGAAGCGGCTTCTCGGGGTTCTTAATCCAGCCAGGCAGCTTGGGAAGCGAAAAGGGAAATAGCGAGGCCGTAATGCAGCAAGATCGACTTCGCAAGTCACACCGAGGCGACTTTACAAACGGGTCACAGTGGCGGTCCGAATGACAAGTGCCTGCAAGGTGCTTCTAAAAGCACCCAAACCCTCCCTGCTCCGGAAACATACTGTCGTGACCTTGAACGGCAACGGGCGTGCTAATGTACATGTCAGCATTTGTTGCAATCACCAAAGGGGAACTTCTTTGATTGTTTTGGAAGGGGAATAACGAAAAGGGGGGACAAGAGTCCCAAAAGGTATCCGTGCCTCCGCACATCATTTCTTTGACTAACAATCTGTGGAGAATAGAAAGCATACTCATACTGGTGGAGAGGTCCTCCAAACATACATCATACTAGGGCAGCAGAATTTCCTACTCATTGATTAATACTTTCGGCTCTTTATGCATATCAACTAGAAATGGAAAAATTAGATCCGCATGACTTAAAAATTCACACCCGACAAACCTCCAGTGAATTTACATTTCCCCTTCTTGTTGAAGTAACAGTTGCCAGACATGGGACAGACATGTCCATAACAACAGTCTTCTCCCCAGATACACGTTTCACCTGCAATCAGATCAGTTCGGACGCCGCACTTATGACGAATCGACGACACCTTTGTTAACGTAGGGACACGGGGCTTTCTTAGCGTTCGTGCGAATTTCGTTGAAATGTTCCGAGTCTAGTATATAGTCGTGAGCATATCTGCAGTCCGCACCGTGCTTGCAATTAGCCAAATAGAACAGCGTGCAGGGAGGGGGTTTATCTAAGGATTAAGGTTATTCATGGAAATTTCTGACTTTCGATGTCACTCACGCTTCGAGAGGGGCTGTACCATCAGACGCATCAGGACAGGGCGATCAATAGGACAAAAAAGAACAATGCTTACAATGTGAGGATCAATATGTCTTGAAGTGAAAGAAGACGACACGAATGCCTCGACAGACAGGTCGTCACTGTCATCCGAGTCATCACTGCCCGAGTCCAAATCCGGAGTCTCTGATCTTCTATCGTTTGAAATGACAAAGGAGTAAGAAGGGAGTGGCAATGAAGGGCGCTGCACCGAGATGGGTTCTTGGTCCGGCACCGCCGAAGAAGTTCCGTTAGGATCTGGTGCCGTAGGCTTCTGGACTGCGGCTGAAGTGTCTGATGTTATGGATGGCGGCATAGCGGGATGAGGTATTACGAATGATGATCTGCGTACAGTGGCGAGACCAGGCGGTACGCTAGATAAAGGTTGCCCTAACTTTTGGGGCATGAACAGCTCCGGTATGGTAAGCGTTGGAAGGTCGAGTTCCGAAATACCGGCCGCCATGTCAGTATAACTCTTTAGAAGAATAAGCTTTTGCTTGTACCCTGCAGTTATCTGCGAGCGAAGATTGGTGACGTATCCATTGTCGTGACAGCCTAAACAAATAATTTCAGTGGTGCATATTGAACGTAGATAGAGGAGAAGCAACATGTACCGGCAAATATTACTTTTGACGTTTGCGGCAAACGGATATCGTCCTCAAGGTGTGCTAAAACATCAATTTGATTAGCGTCCATGAGTGGTGGATGTAACAGATCACCACGAACCTTTAATTTTTGCATCGGCAGCCTCTTTTCCGTTTCCGACGTCGACCATGAGAAAACGTTCCGCTGACTGATTGAAGCCCATGGCAAAATCATCAAATTTAATCTTAAGCGTGGTCAGCCCCAAGCGCCCAAATGTGTCAACGAGTCCGCGTTTATTATAGAAAATGTAAACCCAAAGCTGGTACTGGTTGGCGCCATAAGTCGTGCATAAATGTTGGAGGATAGAGTCGGATAACTTCTGTGCGGCAACGTGCCCACCGGCCAGGCCCTGAGATATAAGCTCACTGGAAAAAATGGCGCCGTCGCCGTCGATCAAAGTGACAACACGATGTCCCTGCGCCGAGACAATCAACGTCCGCACCAGACAAAGAAGGAGATGTCAAACCTGCAGTTGACTTGCTAATATCTCCTTCTGCTTCTCGCACTCGGCTTTAATCTTTTCGCACTGTCGGTGTTCAGTGTCTACGTCCGCGAAGGCTCGCTTGTAAGCGCTTAATTCGGTTTCAAGTTGCTGAATTCTCTCCAGACACGATGCTTCGTTCTGTATCATACCGAAGACCTGGTCTACACAGCTTGGTAAATGCGACGACACTCAAAATTGGAAATTAGAAAACCTTTGAGTTGGTCGAAGTACAAGTTCCTGGGAGGAATACAGATTATTTGAAAGAACGTTGCGGGTACATTATCGATAGTACGTACAGAGGATGAGATTGTACGGATGCAGACGTTTGATCTTTGGTAGCGCTCGATGATTCTAAAGCCATGTTGGGGAAGTTCTAGTGGAATTGAGAGACGAGGGCCAGGGATTAAAAATGAATCAAACGGGGCATGTTTGCGCTAAATGCCACGAGGAAACCAGAAGCAATGAGTGCGACGAACACATTGTCAATTCGTGTCTCAAAAATGCATCAAACACGTAGCCAAAAACTCAAGCAACGATCATGTGGGGTCCATCACTGGAACGTCAAACAGGGAAGTAGGCGTGTGCGTCAGGAAGTAAACCATAGTGCCCACTAAAGAGGCAAAGGAAGGCGTTACTCCAATAATTCGCAGAGAATTTTCTTGATAAATCTGAGTAGGGTGCAGACCCAACACAAGAAAAAATCGAAAAAAGATTTCTCTAGCAAGTACCGCGGCCAGCAGGAGGCCCCAAGCCCCTTGATCAGAGAGATGTTCGATTGAATGAGGTATACAGGCTGCCTGTTCAAAGCCTGTCGCAGCCCAGAAGTTGCCAAAAGACGATGTGCAATGGAAACAGAAGAGGACCCTTGTTTGTTGAGTATAAGATGAGAAAAACATGTAGTCGAGACAACACCTAGGATCAACGCGGGAACCAAGTCGTAAATAACGTCAACAGGAGAGTCGGAGGCTGTGTCATGGGAAACTTCGAAAGGAAGTAATTGTCACATAGTCACGTGTAGGGTCACGGCGTAGCAGGGACAACTCTTTCAGCGACACCCAGTCGGAGAGCTCCCAGGACGCGTTTTTTCTTCCCTCGTGCGACGAAACCTGAATTTTCTTGTCATGTCGGACCTGTATCCTACCCTTCAGATGTCACCCAAGAAAAAACGCTGTCCGCCAGAGCTCAGTGACACCGACTACACACCTAAACGATTGCGAACGGCGTTCGTGTATTCTGCTTGATTACATGCTGAAACTGACTGACACTATGGATCTAGACCGATCACGCCTCCTGCTACTGTATCGAAGAAAAAAGCACCGAAAACGAATGATCTACCCACTCATTTGTCGCGTCTACAGACTATTCAAACTGGCCTTCAACACGCCCTCTCACATGCTCTCGCGTCGTGTGCCGTGTCTCCATCGTCAGACACCGGTATTGTGCGGAATGTGTTGAACCATCTCTCACTATCAACTTACACTGGACTAACTACCCAATTCACATCTGATGATCTCCGGAGACTCTGCTGGCTTTGGGAGTGGGACGGAGTCTCGCCGCCCGAAAAAAAGAAGAAAGTCGATGACGATGACGAGAACCCCTTCTTGGATACCCCAGCATCGCAGCCCAAGGACTGGACTCGCGGGTCTATGGGCATAGTCATCAGCCCTGCCACTCACTATTCCAAGGCAGACAAGAAACGCGTTGCTGCTTACGGGATTGGGATCGAGGTTGAAATGGATATCGATAAGGACATGGGTGGTGGTATGGCTGCCGTAGCTCGTTGGACGGCAGGAGCAGAATCACGTCGAAAAGAGTTCCATACTAAACTGGTCAAGTGGTCCGAGGTCCGTTATCTACACTGCTTAATACAATTCGTAACTAACGCACCATATTCATATATACAGCTACACTCCGATGAGCCGTCTATGCCGCCAGTTCCCATGGCGGATTTACCCAAATTGAGCACTCTCTCCAAACCCTCTTCTCTGACCCGCGTCTTCGCTTCGATCTCCCCCAAGGCTTCTGCATCATTCGCACCGCCTTTACCACCTGGTTCTCCCTCTAAATCTCCCACAAAGCGCAGCCGAGATTTTGTGATTCCGTTTCCCATCACACCTTCATCTAGTCAGAAGTCCCCAATTAAAAATTCCATTCTGTTTCCACAAACGCCATCCAAACGCGACATTCTTGGCTCTGGTACTATACGTACCTTGACACCACGTACACCAACTACTTCTAATGTGTCTGTATCCGATATTCCTTCGGAACCGTCAACGCCTGTGCATCAACGTGGTCGCAATGCCTCCACGGTTCCGCAAACGCCTACCACAGCCCGTCGTCAAGCGTTATATGAGCGAGTTCGTCAACGTTCATTATCAGCATCTCCAACAAAAGCTCTAAGTAATGATATTGTTGGCGGTAAGCTGACACGCGATCAGTTGCTTAAGCTCGGACAGGAGGAAATGAGGCGGCGCTGTTTACTTGGCCGCTTGGGCGGTGTAGCTGAGAGTGTGTGGATGTACGTTTCCATCTTTCGGCACTGTCAGTTTTGCTCATACAGCTTGCTCTTCAGGCTGTTTTCTGGACCTGTGTCCGGATCATCTACGTCTACGCCCTCAAAGCGGAAACGTCGCGCATTACCTATGTCCGAGGTGGTAAATGCAGTCATCAAGTCTTCTCCCGTGCCCATATCCGCCGCTGAGGCCAGCGAATCTTTGGAAATGCTGTTGAAGCTGTGTCCGTTCTTCCTAAAAAAGTTGAACATCTCTGGGGAAGACTGGCTAGAAATGCCGGCGCCAAAGACCAGCCCCATCAGCGTAGATGATAGTACTCCAGGCACCGCTGGAAGCCCTTCTAGCCCTAGGTCCCGTCAGGCCAAGGCTGACAGTGCGGAGGAGGTGTTGACAAGAAGTCCCAAGCGAGTGAAAAAGGAAACTGGTGGCTTGCGCGAAGTCAGAGAGATCATTCGTCGGGAGCTGGAGCTCCAGGACTAATCAATGCTTCATCTTTTTTTCTCAATTCGTTTTGTAGCTTCCGTTTACTGACTTTGATATGTTCAGAATAGACTACTGTATTGTTAGCTCGATTTGTACAATTAACTACTTTTGTCGTACTGTAACGTCAATCCAGAATTTCCTTCCAAATATCGTCCAGAGTGAATAGAAGCGATGTGTGACTACCGTCGACTACCCTGAGAGCGGCGTTTTGATACTGTCCCGCCAGCCATTGTGCGACATTGACCGACACTGTGTGATCTTGTTTAGCAGCAACGACGTATACTGGAGGAGAAAAGCCATCTTCACGCCCTTTGACGAGTGTAGATGGGGATAATCCGCCCCACCCTGAGTGGTAAATGGTTGGTATATGGAGAAATCCTTCCCATGTCTGCCCTACGCTGCGCACCATATTCTCTGCCATCTCCCTCTCAAATTGACCTTCGCTCAAACCGCGTTCTTCTCTCCAGCGCAAGTACGCCTCTCGCTCTCGATCAGTCATGCGATCAAAGAGTGAGTGACGTATAAAGACTTCCGCTGCCGACACTGATTTTAGTTTTGTCACCAAGGCGTACCTCGTAAGACGAGCGGGAATATTAAATGGTATATAACGACATGGTGGGCCTGTTAGGAAGTAGGATTGCCACGACATTTCTTTCGCGTAATCCGTGTGACAATGTGGCGGGGAGTGGGGAGCGAGGAGGAACGAGAGACGAAATTTGTGAACGGAAAGAGAACGCGCTGGCGGGAGCACCGTATAACATCTGAGCGGCGATGGTGCCAAAAGCATAACCGCAAATAATGATTTTCAGGTGCACAGCATCAGTCCGTAGGTGGACCAACAAGGCAGACATGTCACTTGCAAATGTGGTGGGATAATTTGAAGGGTCTGGAACAGGCGAAGATTTGCCCCAGCCAGGAAGAGAAGGTGCTATGAAATGGATGTTTTTCTCAACCAGGATTGGAGATAGTCGAGATGCATCGCCGACGGAAAACGCCCCGTGAAGAAAGAGAATGAGTGTAGAACTTGAGGTATTGCCATTGTCTGCGTAGGCGAGGGTCCTCCCGCTTGGCAGCGCCAGTCGTTTGTCCTGGACATAGATCATGGATGTGCCCAACAGAGAAGATGACGCCGGAGAATGCCATATTTGAGGATTGATGACCGTGACACGAATATAGGGTGATGAAAGGGCGCCTGTTGTTCGCCACGCCTCTGTGAATGACGACTTGCAGTAAGGTGCCGGTGCTACCAGAATAGAACCTAGATCGGTCTCGTGAAAGGGGGCGTTTCTCGAGCTGTAGAAATAAATGGGACGGCCAGCAATGGAAGCGAAACCACGTTGTATAGCAATCACAGGGTTTACGGGTATCTCCAAATCGCAGGACCAGAAATGAGCAAATCAGAGTGATGGCGGGATCATGGGATAGAATAGAGTGGGGCCGCATGCTGGATCTGTTTTATTATGCACTGAAACTGTTCGAACCGGCCGATCCAGAAGGCCAGTACAAGAACCGAGATGGGGAAAATATACGGATATGGCTATAAGTGCCGTTAATTCATTCAATGAATGTTACTAGACCCATGAGCCGTTAAAGTCTATCAGATCTTGTACTTACAACTTTAAGTGTACTATATCCATGCTGGAATGGGAAGTAGATCCGCCGCGACATCATGAACAACAACAGATGAACAATTACATGTAAGATGGTGGTGGTTGAGAGACAAGGAGCGTTTCGATCGAGGGCTGTAGTTTCTCCCGGTACGTAAATTTCCGTCACTATCGAGCCACGTACTTGCAAGTAAGACTAGTCTGATTCAAGTCCAAACGGCCCCTTTTGTGGGCCAAAAATTCGACTCGATTAAACCGGCACAGACCGTTACCCCAAGGCGTATGTCTTCCTAGACCGATCTGAGGTACTAGAAGGAATCCTGTCAGTTCCGTGTCTTTCAACCTTCCTGAACCATGACCTTTCCATACATCAAACCAGCCAAGGTCCGTGACCTTCCCAGTCATGATTTCGGACATGTGTTCATGACCACCTTGGCCACCTCAAAAACATCTTCGGGACACTCCCGAGTCGCCCACTCGTCTGATCCGGACGTGCAAGACACGAGACTCAGTCGCAATTGAGAGTCATCGGTCTTCGCAACTGTACATGTATTTGTGGCAGATTATTTACGATGCAGATAAAACAACTCAGACTCTTCAATAGGCGCCTTTCCGAATGCAGGGTCCATTGTATTGACTTAGTCGCTTCACATGGTCCGTGCTCAGGGCGGGAGAGAATGGAGCCCTGAGAAGATGTCGACATGTACCGCCATTGTGGCGTCGAGGAATGTGTCAAACATTAACTGATGCGGGTACAGTTCCTAGAGGCTCGCACTTGTCGCAAATGGCAATTGTCCCTCTTCAGTGATCCCTGAAGAAGTCGAAGCTGTACCAAAGGGCAATCTGTGGGGCATCGGAACAGGAATGGCATTCACTAAGAAACGCAAAGTTGGGCGCCTGACGAGCTATAAACATACCATCTAGGGTCAAAAGATTTTCTGACCCAGAGACGGCAGCAGATACGTGGAAGCGAAATGAAATTCTGGTTACTGAGTGGTTGGATTCGAGTCCTTTCCAAGTCCTATTCCGAGTTTCGACCCGCAATCACCGTATTGAATATCTATACCGGTCGAGCTAGAGAAGGACGAATCAGAATGCTACCTTGCCATCCTCAAATTTCACACATTTACTGTACCTATCTCGAAGCGTCAGCTATTTTCAATAATTACAATGGCTTCGGGTAATTGAAGGAATAGTCTCTGCTCCGACCCGGATTGGATACTTCCCGAAATACGACCTTTAATGGGGCTGCTTCGCGCACCTGCCATTAGACCCGTAGGACCGGATTCTCTAGAGTTTGCCGCCGCAAAGATAGCGCCATGTTACTGGAATACGTCAAATTGAAGTCATTCGATCCTCTGCCAAGCCTCTCCAACGGAGACCCATCGTCCAGACGGCGAAGATGAGAGGTCGAATGTGTGTTACGTTGTGTTCTCATGGTCTGTCTCTTCTCAGCGGCAGGTCAAGACCGTGTTACCGTCATTGTGCGACACTCGCGAGACGAGCCAAAGTAACGTTACAATGTTCCGTAGGGATGGGAGGACTGCAAATGCCGAGTACCGTATAATTACATGTATGCGCCTCGACGCGAACCTGAAATTGCAGATCGTTATGATTCCCTGTCGTCTGTCTAAATTCTCCACCCGAGTGTAACTCAGAATGAAACAGGGTTCTGGAGCGTGACTCGCAGATAAGAACGATTCTGACATCGAAAATAACTGCGCGGCGATGAGCGCACCACTTTTGAATTATTGGGGTTTCGTCATCCACTTATCTCGTACTCCGGACCTCGCTCATGAGCGTTGTTTCGGGTACCGGGACCTCACAACGGGCGAGACCAAACAAATAATGAGTTGGGTTCTTATATTTTTTGGCGGACAATTGAAAAACCAACGGCCGTAGAATACCCGCGTCCATGAGAGGTCCCATTATGGGATTTTTGCTTGATGAGTTCTGTGGCGTATAGACACCGTCAACCCTTGTTACTATCGGCGTCCAAAGCGATAACTTACCAGGGTAGTGGAATCCATCATCGTTACCATTGTCTGAACGCGCCAGCTGGAACGCTTGAACTTTCACTACCTCAGACCGACTTCGACTTCGCGCCCAATGGCTGCCTAGACCCGCCGTCAAGGTGAGAGTGAAACACTACGTTTCTCGATTTATTGGTCTTTCACTTGTTTGTCCCCTAAAATCCGCACGGCTTCGCGACCTATCCTCTGTTCAATTACTGATAACAAATGTTTTTGGCCATGAACGTTCGTAGCTGAACGTCGGTTCCATGACAGAAGACCTTGTTGCTTCGCTACTTTGCCGGCATGCATAGGTCCAGATGATCAACGTTCGTGTCCTGGTTTCTCCTCTAATTCTGATCTCTACAAGAAGGGATCACATGAAGAGTCAAGTAATACGCGACTCGAGGCGATTGTAAGGCACGGGAAAGTCTTGCAATCCTCACTCGTAATATGTTGACAAGTTGCAATGTCTACCGTTTCATGTCGTTACCAACGTGGCACGTACATACTGGGAAAATTTTACATTAAGCGCGATATCAGCGCTAGCGGTAAACAGAGGTTTCGGGGACATACCAAGTTGCCATTGACATTGAGTTCGGCCTATACAGGCCCATGTACCTCCGCTTCCCCCAAAGCCAGTTCAAGAGATATCGGCGAATTCCAGCTCGACAAAACCGTGACCGCAGCTATACGACCCTGCCACGACGCGAAACGATGAAACCGTAGACATCGTTGCTAGGCGTGGCCGAACATGTACAGAAGTGAGACGGACGGGCAACTTTCTGAGTCCTGACTGACTCTGAGATGGTAACCTTCGGATTCAATGACCCGGTCCGGAGTGGTCCGGAAAGTCTGGCAATCACGTGCTCGGCGTTCTCCTTTACCTCCACATTCCAATGGCGCCGCGTCCAACGTACAGAGGACCCAAGCCTATTAATCTCCTAAAGTACCACCGACCGAAACTAAGGCTCAGCCACGTCAGAGAGGTTCCGCGTCTCAGTAAAGAATCCCGGCAGTATGTATCTTTTCGCACAACAATATCTCCTCCATTCAGAGAGAGGTACTTAGATGCATACGGACCTTGGCATCGTACCGTTTACCAAAGCCACGCCTCAAATTCCCTAGGTCAAAGTGTGCTGCTGTCCTTGTCGCTTTGTTCGTTGGTCGTTCTGGCGAGCTACACGTCCTGTTAAGCAGGTAGGTATGTACGTTTTCAGGGTCCTTGTGCTGCTCGTTCAATGGCCATCGGTGAAGCCGGGCTGCGACGCTCAGGACCTTTGCTGGAGATACGTCTTTACCCGGGGGAAAGGTCGATCCGGAAGATAAGAACTTTGAAGATGCTGCTGTGAGTTCTCAATATAGGCTAAGCTGTGTAAGACCCACATGTAAGCTTTCTACAGCGACGGGAGGCTTTTGAAGAGGTATCTTCCTATTGTTATGTCCGTAGCTCTTCCCTTGCTAATTCTGTCAACAATAGATTGGTTTACCTCGAGACCGTCGCAAGGTCCCCCTTCTCTGCGTTCTGGATCCTTTCATAGCGTCAAACCAGCTGATTGTTGTACCGTCAGTGCTGTCTCCCCTCCTTGCCTCGTTTAACATTCAATTTACGTCCAGTGTTGTCGTGCTCATCGTGGATAACACGCTCCGGGTATGTTTCAATTGGACTTGATATTATGAAAACAGCTGACCAACCTTACAGCCGATCCTCAATTCAGCAGAAGTTGCTTCTCTCTTTTCTCATCCACTCAAGGCTTTCGTATCCTCCGAATATGCTTTGAACTCTGAAATGGCATCCCTTGAAGTCCCTCATCACTCATACAAGGACTATACTTTACCCCCAGGACCTGACGGCGCCTGCCGCCAAATGCGTGTACATCAGTTTCTGACCGGCCGAGAGGCTGGGGGTACCAAACCTGTGTTTGGTCTAACTGCGTATGTACTTTGTTGGACGTTTTGGGGTCCCGAATTCCTAACACGCACCTCAGCGCAATTCTCATACGCGTGGCAATGCTCGGCTATAGAAAGGAACCAGATTTTCAGGTGGAACCACCTGGTGCGCCTACGAACGAAGAAAGGATTGCATGGTTGATGTACTCAAATCCGACTTTCCGGGAAGCATGCTTAGCTGAAGGTATTGAAGTAGATTGGGAGAGTGTACACTGTATTGCTGAGGAGGTTTACAAAAGAGATAAGCCCCTCTGGCCAATACGAAGTAAACTCTGATATATATATGGCAGGTTATAAGATTGTTATTAGAAGGAATGCAGCGACTAAGCGCCATCAGGAACATAAACATGGTGTCGAATGATTGAAATCAGAAGTACCGGGCTTCCTTGGTGTAGGAACATCACATGGAATAGTAATGAATTCTGCGTGCCCAGCGAGAAGAGGAATCCTGCAATGCAAAGAGCATCCTTAATTACCCGCATTACTCGAGCTTTGAAAGGGTACGGTGTGCCCCTAAAGGAACGGAAGGCAGTGCTTGGGGCAAAGTGATGAAATGCCGACGGCGCTAATAACATTCGCCGGCGCGGCTGCCGAGGTCAGTGTGGTAACTTATCCTTCTACCACATCCCGTTTCCCTAACATGCCCGCTCCTGCAGTCTATGTTCTCGCAATCGTCGGTACTGTAGCTGCAGGTATCGCTTTCAAGGAGGTAAGTCGTCACTTACGCACGGTGTATCCATGTCTGAGCCCTTCTCAGTTCGTATACGAACCCCACATAGCCCCGAGATTGGAGAAATGGGCTGAGGAGTTCATTGCGAAGCGCAAGGCTCGGAGGAGGCAAAAGGAGTCTCTAATTGCTGTACCTGCGTCCATCCCATCGAAGGGTAAAGCGCGCAGCAAACGGTCTGACGATGGTGGCGATACGGACGACGATGATAAGAGCGCCTATGAGCTCGAGAAGCTCATGTCGCACGAAGTTCACGAATGGCGCAATGAGGTGGATAAAAGTACTTCTTCAACTCTCAGACTGAGAAAGAACGTTGCTCCAGAACAATCAGCCTTAGACCAGGTCAGTGCCCCATCGTTGACTTGAAACCTCTGTGAGACTAACTGCATATCTCCTCCTAGTCAAATGTCTCTATTCCTTATCCTGCATTGACCCCTACACACGTTATATTCAATTCTTCTATTCCATCGACGCCCACGACCGTGAGTGATATCAGCAGAGTATCACCCTCGCCAACGTCGTCGCCGCTCCCCCAGACATTGCCAGATATCCACGTATCGCCCTCACGTTCGACGTTGCGCTCACCATCTCTGACGTCTCTCCCTGGCCGTCTTCCAACGCCAGCCCCTTCTGAACTTTCGCCACAGCTCGCATCAGACCAGCCCTTCCCACCATTCACGTTCTCACCAAGCTCGATTCCCAGTCTCTCACTCTCTCACCCCGTTGACCTCGATCAAGAACATGGCGTCGAACTGCTATCAGCACCCTCGTCTCGTCCCGACTCGCCATTCTCCAATGTATCCAATACGGAGTACTACTCGTTCAACTCCCCAACCTCGTATGGCGAACACTTGGTGCTCTCTGATGGCAACGACCATGATGCAGTCGTTTCCGTGGCATCCTCTGAGAGCTCTGTCTCTGAAATTGGCGAACATGACTCGGATGAACTCCGCAGTAATTTTGGCAGCGAAATATCTGCGTCTAGTTGGGCTAGCGTGGGTTCTCGGGCGCCAAGTCCTTAAGGCCTTAATGCTTGCATTTAGAATCCTGATACGAATCGTATATACCCGTGGTTTGTGCCAGGGTGTCGTTCGGATTCATATCTATTTCCTCATCCTAATTTACGAGGTTTACAGTGCTCTTTCATTATCGGGCAGACTAGCTACATCGGTAACTATTTATCCCATCTCTGTCATTTTATATTTGCTTGTTGTCATATTCGTGAAAGTGTTGTTTGTAGTGATAAAAATAACTTGGTTGTTGTACAGTGTTAACACAGAACGGTGGTTGGTAAATTAGTACTACAAAGTTGTACAATGCAGATTGGGAGCCAAGAAATTTATAGTAGATGAATGGATGGAAGGAACTATGATGCGGAACTATTAAACCTTTGCAGCCACCCGTTCTCGAGCTAACTTTTCATATTCAACGCAATCAATCACCCGCCCTTCTTTTCGACTGGTCTCAGCCGCTGAAGACAGTCAGATGGCTCCTCACGATTTCCGCGATGTCTGTACCCAAGACTTTCTGATCACCTGCCCGAACAGCCTTGATGAAAGACCGTATCAAACCAAGGTCTCCGCCGCCATGGCCACCGCCCTCATCTTTTGGAACATGCGTAGTTGTCGTTCTTGTCCGAAAATCAGTGACCGTAAACTTATTCATGTCTCCAACTATCTCTCCGTGCGTAAAATGCATGCGGAGTTGTCTGTCGCATATCAGAGATGTGAACGCGACCATGGTGAACGACGCTGTGCTCCCATTGTCGAATTCCAAGTTGACAACTTGGTTATCGCAGACGTCATTGTCGCTTTCATATACGCACTTGCCATAGGGACCGGATTTCAGAGCCTCTGCTATGTTTTCAATATCGGGAATACCGTCGACGATTGTCTCAGCAGGCCATCCTTTGTTGCCTTTAGATACGGGATCCAGATAGACTTGGGTCGGAGAAGAAGTCAATCATATGTGGGAGCGAAGGAGAAAGCTTCCTTACTTCTCTTAGCGCTGTACGGACACGTTTTTTCTATTGAACAGTCAACACAGCGTGTGGTAGCGCCGGCTTCAGCGGGTTTGGAAGATTTTCTAAAATGCTTGTAGTGATCCAAATGATGATACACGAATCGGGGTAGATGGGGAGAGCCAGTGGCAGATGATATCAATATCACTATCATCATATGGTTCAGTACGTCTCTGGTTTGCATGGAGGCAAGGACGTACTGGCAACTCTTGGTCATGAGAGAGAACGAACTGTTGGCCTCCTTTGCCCAGTTTCCTCGCACATAAGAATGGGCAAAATGGTAATATCCAACGGGCTCTATTTGAACGAGGTTTATTAGTCTACCCAGACGCCCAGCCTGGACGATTTCAGATATTTCCTGGCTATAAGGAGAGTAGCGCATCACTGCAGGTATTTGAATCCTTGGTCATTACAGGTTTAGAATTTAAACATACCGTGTCCCATTCCAAATATGATCCCAGCCTTTTTGATCGCCGTTTCCATTCTAATGCAATCTTCTATGTTTGTGGCCATGGGTTTCTCGCATAAGATATGGTATCCTTGTTGCGTGAACGCCTCAGTGACCTCTACATGCATATGGTCCTGTACGGCGATAATCACAGCATCTGCAAGACGCTTTCCGATAGTGCTCAGTGTTTCCGCGGAGGCAGCATGCAGGTCTCTCCAGGTGCGGAATACAAGCGTATTATCGACGCTGTGCAAGTCAGCAAAGTGCTTTTGAGTCTCCGAACGAGGCTCTGCGATAGCAACCACTTTGCAGCGATCTGGATACTGAAGAGCATATTTAGCGTATGCCTGCCAGTGAACCTTTGTTTAGCGATAACGTATATATACACAACGGACTGGATAAGCGCACCTTTCCTCGTTGCCCGCATCCAATTACAGCCAAGGTGACAGGTCCGGCACTGGGCTGTTTTTCGTCCAGATCGTTCATAGCAGAATGATAAGGAGATTGCTTCGAGCGCCAGGACCTCTGCCATAGGCTTTTAGAAGTCGCCAGAAGGCCAGTCATGCGGCTGATTTGTATCAGTTAAGAAAATAGATATAGATAACGGAAAGCATAGTCAGGAGAACCAACGCCGCAACTTGTGGACATCGTTGAAGAAAAGGGTACGTAACCGGATCCATACCATTGGTCACCGACCTTGTCTCGAACGACGACCACGACGCCACACGACTCGACGCGTATACATGCCACGTATCCTGCCACGTCTCATCGCCAAGCTCGCCGACCAACCAGTGCAGCAGCAACCCCAGCAGTTCTTCGTAAAGCGCAAACGAAAATTTTCACGGCACAAGTCAGTACCGCCACGCCCTTCTTTTGATCCTTCGCAGTATTCAGAATCCATACTGCTATCGCCCGACAATCCAGTCACCAGCTCTCAGAAACATGTCCGACGTAAAACTTTGCCGCCTCGCGTCTTTGTCGCGAAAGGCGCCAAGCCTCGGCAGGGAAGTACTGAGCGTCCCAGAGAGATGACGGCAGAGGAAAGAAGGTGGTGGTCATCGCCATACCGTATGTACGCGTCGAGCGATTTATTTTCTGGGTGTCGCTAAAGTAAACTCTCATTCAGTACGAATGCTGTCTTCTTCGACCAGGAGATGCATGATCACTCAACAAGACTTGCCGACTGGTATGACACTGATTTTTATGACCTCGGCGGTATAACCAACTCGTTCCGTAGACTTTCTTATACGTCTGGGATTATTGCAATTACCTACTCCGAGAGCTAACCGCTCCGAGACCAGGAGTATCATCATGCCCGACGGACTCGAGCATTCCAAATTTGCTACGCGTAGGTCAGGCAGATCAACATACGTCCTATGCTGGAAACGCATATTTGATAATTTGGACCCAAGTCAGTAAAGTGCTTGCATATGTTATCCGTGATTGATCTGGCGCTATACAGATATGTTTCGACGCGTCACCACTAACCCCCATCTGCATTCACTTGTGGTGAAACAGATATCACACCTCCTACGTGTTCGTATTCTTCAAGAGCTACAACTATTAGCAGAACAGATGGTGCACTGGACCAAACGACGCCCTGTACCGCCAATACTACGGAGACTCACTCGTGAAGAGTTCAAAAACGTCAAAAACACAGGGACCATTCCTTATCCAAATGCGGTCGCTCTGTTGGTGGTCCCTCCCTTAAAACGAGACCCTCAGTCGAAGAAAAAAGTGGAGGGCTCAATGTCGCCTTTGCCTCTGACAGAAGAGGAAGAGAAAGTACCTCCTAGCGTTCAAGACGGGCCGAATATACCATTGTCAACTCTATATCCATTATCTTCTGATGTGATTACTACTTCGGATCTATCACAGCAGCTTTCTAGTCTGCAAGTGCCATTCTACAATGGTGTCTCTTTGTTTCCTGCTCGGTCTCAGCGAGCGCTATTGCATGCTTTGCTCCTTCGAGTTTTAAATATCGAACGCCAGGCTCGAGCCCGTGTTAAAGCAAATAGCTCCACTGGGATCACAAACGCAAAGGGTGATCAAAAAGGGAGCCATGCATTTCTTCTCTGCTCTGACGAAGAAACCATCAAGAGGGGTGACTCGGCTGCTGTTGCTGTAGCCCTTTGGCGGCTAAGGATGTTTGAAGAAGGGACGGATTGGGAAGAGAGTAGTCGCTGGGTTCTTCGTCAGAAATATCGCTCAGTTGGTGTATTTGAGTAGCCATTCAATAAATTGAATACAAAGAATAGTAATTGTCTGATCTCATGCTTCTACAGCCATTGGCACAACTCCACTATCGATAGGTATCGTCTTTCCAGCAGCCAAAACCTCTCGGCCTTCCCAGAATTTGGGAAGCTTATCACCAGGCACGAATAGTCTCTCGACACCATCCTCCGTGATGACGCACATCCGTATCACACCACCTGAGGAACCGTCTCGCGACATAGCCAGTGCCAAAGCTGGAATAGACAATTATAACGGCGGAGAACCGAGCATGCATCAGTCGACTTACTGTTCTTGACAAAATTCACAGTCTCATCTCTGCCCCATCCATCTTGGTACGTGGCATCACAGTAACCGTATACGTATGTGGAGCCAGAACCTACGAGATTTTGTTATATAGAGAAGGACTAGGTGTGTGAAAGGCCATACCACCAATAGCCCAAGGCTGGCGGAACAGTCCGCCTCCAAGAGGAATATTATAGACGCTGGGGCCTACCTCTTTGTCCCATCCAGCAACGATGATTCCGGCACTTAGTCCGTCCTTGTTCTCGTAGCACAACTTCTGGAAGATGGCTGCTGCTGTGTGTACAGACGGAGGAGCGCCTGACGTTTGACTGTGCAACATTCATTAACCTGAATTGGAGAAAGTAAAGGTGACACGCACGTATGCATTTGAAGGTGGTAATGCACAACATCTGCAATAGCCTGTGTGTCCGCCGCAGAACCTGACCGACAGCAGTATACACGATCGTGGACGTGTGTGAGCTTATCTGTTACACGGTTGGCCTGAAAAATAATAAGTGTCTGGTCGAAAAGGAATAGATACTGTCGTACAATATAGCTTCCTGTGGTTGTACGACTGTCTGCGCCGATGACCACTCCACCGTCGAACTGGACGGCCATGATTGAAGTCTAGGGCCACCATCAGCACTCACAGCGCTCTACAATGCCAAAAACACACACCCCAAGGTTGACTTCGCCGGCTTTGAGCTGCTGCATGTCGATGTGGTCCATATTTGCTGAGAGAGAGAAGGAGAGACGTACAAATCCTGATTTGGCAGGTGTTGCGCTGACGCGTCGCACACGCGTCGACCAGTGACATTTGACCTCCGACTACCATGTCCAGCAGCCTTGTATCTCTGTATGAAGACCTTCAGCGCTCCTTCAACTCGGTACCGTCGGATCTTAAACGATGTGGAGCTTTGCTTTCTCAGCTCAAGGTCTGTTCAACAATAAAAAATACAATAAATGCACTGACGATGAGCTGGCTACAGATTGGATTGATTGAAGCAGGCTTGTTTATACCCCAGGGGGATCCTGTCCCTAGAGACCTAGTTATCGCTCGTCAGGCCCATTGCCTTTATTCTCCTCGCCCCGTGCTGATACCAATGTAGGCGACATCCTCGAAATCGGCGCAATTTGGAGTATACGATCACGAGACGAGCCCTCCTTTGACCGATACTTTTCTCAGCTACAGACGTTTTATAACGATTACAGGTGTGTGTTGCAGGCTGCTCACTTGAACGTTTCTTCACATTCTGTCAGCTCTTTCCTGCCACCGTCAAAACGAGAATTCCCAATCCGTGGACTCAACCTCATCCGTCTTCTCACTCAGAATCGCATAGCAGATTTCCACACCACTCTCGAAAGCCTTCCACTTCCTGCAGATGCCATTAGCGACAACCCATATATCAGCCACCCAGTAAATCTCGAGCGGTGGTTAATGGAGGGAAGCTACAGCAAGGTGTGGAATGCAAGGGCTGAGGCACCCGCAGAAGAGTACAAGTACTTTGTAGACAGCTTAATTGGAACTATCCGGTACGCAATCCTCTCTACTTAACGAGCTTTCGTTGACTTTATTGTTGTACAGGAATGAGATCGCAAGCTGTGAAGAATCCGCATATAACAGTCTTCCCTTGAAGGACGCTGCTCTTCTCCTCTTCTTTTCATCACAGTCGGAGCTTCTGGCATTTGCGCAACAAGCTGAGTCCAATGGGATTATACTGGTTATCGTCTTCTTACTTTCATACAGAGGGGCTGGGAGATAGATCTGACTGGCGCTACCATTACGTTTGCACGCAAGGGCGAGGAGCAACTAGAAATCCCAAGACAGAAGCTGATTGCAGCTTCACTGGCCTACGCGCGGGAACTAGAGCAAATAGTGTAGACGGTACAATTCTAAATGCATTGATTGTTTTGTTTTTCTCGTTGCAGTCAATGGTTGGCAAACTACACGGCACAGTACAGCAAAAAAGCCTATGCTTTCTACTCAAAAGTTTCAAGAGCTTCTTTTGCCTTTCTGTCCGCCTCTTCAAACAGATCCTTAGGGACAGGCAAATGAAGCCCATTCGTCTCATCACCGATCCATGACATCTCCAATTCAAATTCCTTCTCCTTGGCGTCTTCATGAACCAGATAGATTCTAAAATCCCAGTTGAAACCAGAATGAATGGGAGAGGATGAACACGTACATTCGAGCAGCGTCCAACACCGCTTGACGCATGGAAATCGATGCCAGGTCGAGCTTCTCGAGCTCTGTTTTGGCTAGTTGACGGCCCTTGCCTACTGCAGCGCCATGATAGCCCTACAAATAATATTGAAAAGCTGGTCATGAAGGCGAAAGAAGCAGATGCATACATAGAAGACACCACTTGGTTCAATAACATATAATGATGGACCATCCTTGTCCACTGCTCCGAGGATGGTGCTGATCCCAAACGGACGAACTGATGAATACAGGGTATAAGCTTGCACGTATTGGCCCAATCGATCTGCGAGTGACTAGAGGACAGAAGCAGTTGAGCCTATATCAGTCAAGGGCGTTGAATCCTTCTACCTTTAATGGGGGTGGTGTTCGGAATTGTTCACGGTAATTGGACGATTCGTCTCGAGCTCTGTTGGCCAGATGGCGACCATCGGCGAGTAGACCTGCTGTGGCCTACAACAATGGTTTCCTATCATTCAAGTGACATTTGAAAAGGTCAACATACCATGCCAATATGTCTGTCCACCGTCTGTATCCGCCTGTTGGCGCCGGGGACCAACAATTTGGAGTGTACTAGCTTCTCAACGGCTAGAACAACACCACCTTTCACACGTAGGCCAATCGCCGTTCTATTGAAGTCGGTTTGTTAGATTTCAGAGTAATGTAGACGCTGGTGGGCTATACCCAGAGTTCTCGACGGCCTTGTTTGCGTATTCGACCTTTCCAGCAGCGTAAGCGTTCTGAAGACAACTGATGCTGCAGAGCCTACCTGAAATATCCTTCCATCGGGTGAGTAAGTACTTGCTGAGAGATCGTAGCCTGTGCCAATGGAAGTCATGGTGGTAGATTGTGATGTCCTTACAGGACGCGCAAGCCAACGCGTCACCCGTGTGGGAAGAAAGACCCATATCGGGTGTCTGTCTTTTTCGAGTTGCACCCAACACCACACGTTCTCTCTCAACGCGATGCCCGACGATCAGGACGCTCTGATATCTCTCAATAGCCACCCAATATTTTCTCTACCAAAAGAATTCAGTGGGCCTCTTGCTCAACCGGAATCTTCATTGGAATTATCCACCACCACGCTGTCAAAGTTCAGAAATGACAGCCCCAGTCAAGATGGGCCTACACCATCTGGACGACGACAAATCATGGTTCTACGCGACTCGGATGTCATAGTTGCTGCAGGAAAGGAAATCAGGATGACGCACCTAGGCGACGGAAAATTCAGCCACAGTACTGAGAAACATTACAAGGTATGCTCTCAATGTCTGTTCAATGATCCTTGTGCTCAGTTCTTGCAGACTCTGAATACACCCAACCTGCAGTTCGAAATACACCATATATCCCTAAATCCGGGCGGAAAACTCCTTGCTGTTGCAGGCGCATCTCAAGTCGCGGTGATTGTACTTCCACGCTCTGGATTCTTGAGGCTGGTTCCCAACAAGTTGGATTGCAAGTGTGTTTTCAGATTTTACTATGTGAATAGACATATCATACCTATTACAGGTCTGTCCAAGTTGGTCAATATCATCATGCATCAGATATTTCGCCGCCTATTGCCAAGATACAATGGCATCCTTGGGGAGAGGCTGGTACTACGCTGATGGTCATGACAGTCGACGGAAAGCTTAGGTTTGTCATCCGCTGTACATCTAGCGCTCTGCTTACCTGCTTCCCTTAGAGAATATGACATCTCAGTCGACGCTGAGGACCCCCTGCAAGTACTGTCCTTTGTTCCAGACAAGAAACCTGGGAGGTCATATCTTGCTGAAGACCCAGCAGATCGCGAAGTAGCTTCTTTCGATTTGGGCAAAGGGAAAGCCGACTGGGGTCCTTTAACAATATACGCCGTCATGAAATCCGGAGACATATATTCCATATGTCCCTACATGCCAAAAAACGCGTGAGTCATTTTCGTATTCCTTGCTGTATCAAACTAATAATACCAAGTTCCATACCTTCTGCATATGTCCATTCGTTGGAATGCTTCATCTCAGCAAAACTTGAACTTCTGTCCCGCGGAAGCACGTCTGCCGCGTCTAAAAACCTCAGCACCATCTACGACTATCAGCAAAAATATGTATCGGCTTTGGTGAAACAGCTTCCTTCAGGCAGCGTGTTCCCCGCTACCTCGCGTTCCGTCCCCATGCACCCGCCCACTACCATGAAGGCGTCGCCCACGCGCCAGGGTCCGTTCTTATTGCAACCTTCGCCACGGATGCTAGAGCATAGCGATGGTGGTGATGCGACAGATATAGCCTATCTTGCCTTCGGTGATAACAATGAAGAGGAAGACGGAGGTGAGACAGAGCATCTAGGCGTCGTGATGATTGCATATCAGGATGGGCGTGTTGATCTTTGTCTCGATGTCGAAAAGGTGGAAGCCCGGTGGAGCAATAAGGTTCGTACAGTTTGCCTTATATCTGTCGTACATACCTCTGAAATCGAACTGTAGTCAAGCCGAGGGTTACCTATGCTCGCCGTATATGAGACCATCGATCTTGGGCTAGTTTCCAAGCTACGGTCATTATCCCCTCAACTCCTCGATCTTCTGCAGGGTAATCATCCAGTATTCGTCGTCGATCCAATCCACGACGATACCATATACGTATACCATGCTCTTGGGGTCCACGCTCTGCACCTTGAGTCAGTACTTCAAAGTCTTGCTTGTGCCCTACGTGCCAACGATGATGAAGTGGACGCAACTCTAACCGAAGCGTTGCAGCAGTCGACTGTTACCAACGTGCAACCCATTCTATCCACCTTTTCAGTAGAGAAAAAGTAAGCTGCGAGTCTTGCATGAAAAATGCGTCCTAATGTAGGCTTTCCTAGGTGCTCCAATCCAGTGGTGGCTGTTACCATTCCCGACAATGTCTATCTAACCTACAGCATCTTCATTTTGACATCTGCAATGAGAATCACAACATTCAATCTTGTTCTACGATCGGAATCACCTCGATCACGAGCCGAAAGCTTACCGCCAGTCGCTGATGGAGATGAGGGGAAGGAGAAGGACAAATGGCTGAAGCCCGCTGAGGGTCCATCTACGTACGTCTCATTGCTTGGGACCGAGCCATTCCAGCCAGGAGCTATTCTTTCCCGGCCATCGGGGCTTCCTTCAAATCCTACATTGTTATTGCCTCCATCTGCGAGAAGCGAATTACTGTTGACCCCGGAGACTTTGCGCTACTTAGCCAACACGGTTGCCGAGCTCACTAATCAAATCCATGAGATTCATCTCGCACATCGACTGTCAGAAACACGGGCAGGACTACAGGGGCTTGAACTCAGGCGGTTGTGCGAAAAGGCGGCGGAGCTTAACACTCTAGTGGAAAGACTGAAGGGTCCGGATCTCGATGCTAGCAAAGCTCGTATCCAGACAGTCCAGGAAACCCACAAGAACTTGATGTCCAGACTGGACCGTATGCTACAGCATATGATGGACAACGCATCACCCGAGCTTAGTGAACATGAAACAAAATGGTTTGAAGAGCTGAAAAGAATGAAGCAAGAGGTGACAGGCGTAGGAAGATACGATGGATCTTCCCTCTCAGCTAGGGCGGAAATGGTACGTGTCGCTTCGACTCTTGGTTTCACCAGCTGACTAGTATGATTGGACGTCACAGATACAGCGAGAGTATGCTCGTGTACTTCCTGATTTGAAATCACTGTTGGAGAAAGAACAAGCGTGGAAAGCCAAACATGCTCAAACCAGTCAGATCCTCGGAGTTTCTCAAGCGTTTGAGTTTGGGAAGAGATCCACCTCCGAGTATGTGCTACAGAACTTGTCTCCCACTCCTCGACTAACTCTATCCACAGGCAAACGAGGATCGCTCAACTTGAACACGATGTCAGCGAACTCGCAACAAGACTCGATATTACTCTTTCCAAACCTCCAGATGCAGAACATTGATCTGCTCTTCTTTCGGTCTTTCATCGTGCTGTGTAACATCTCATTTGCAACGGGTTAATAATCTCAATGTATTTTACTTAGCAAAAATATGCGTTCTTGCTTACAATCGTAAAGGGACGCCCTGAGAATACTGTATACAACACAGATATCATTACGGACATTTAACAGTCGTCCACTGACCCAGTGTCATGAAGAAGCATTAGTAGACGTAACGGACTGTTTCAGACAGTCAGTCCATGCAACCTGACAGTGTTTGAATAGATACGCACAATCGGGATTCTCTTGGTCAGTGAGGTCGTCAAAGGCCTGTCGGTGAGCAAGATGCTCATCCTGGAGAGTAGATGGTCAATATAAATCCTAGACTTCGATGGGAGCGAGCGTACCGAATCTTCACCGCTAGCTTGAGTCTCTTTCAGTGATTGCGCTCGGCGTTTCAAGACATTCAAGCGCATAAGCCGAACTCTGAGAAAGAAGATGGTTGCGATCTGGAGTCCGTACATGACCATATGGGAGATCCATGCTTTCACGTAGCGAGGACCATCATCGGAACGAAAAACTAGACTCACGTTATCATCAGATATATAGTGCTGGCAATGTAAAACACACCTTGTGGTCCCACGGCGTTTCCAACTGCCCATGCACTAGAAAAGGTTTCCCGATCTAATTATTCTTTCCAATTATACAAATGCACTTACACAAACACTAACGTCGACGCGATCACTTGCTTGGAGCGCTAAGTGAATATTGTCAACGTATGTCTTGAGCAGAGCACTGTTTTGCACATACTCCGCCGACATTTCCGGACATTACTGCTAGGTTTAAGACTGCAACGGCGCCGAAACCTTGTGTGCAACTGGGGCATCGTCAGTGTAGAGTTCTTGGACCAAGAAAAAAAGGCATACTAAAAGGCAATCAGAAGCCCGACTTTGGTCTTTGCAGATGTTTCTACACAAATGAATACAATCGTGCCAGCAACGTTGGGAAGAGTATATAGCTGTTGACAAACAAAGGCGTTACGAGGCAGTCTGAACATTGGATTACGGGGACTTACGAAAGCTAGCAGAAGCTTTTGGTTATATTTTTTCGAAAGATATGCCGCGCTGAATAAGAAGGACATGATGATGGCACCTGCAAGCAATTAGGTGGGGAACAAAATGCAAATATAGGTCGTACTCACCCTGCGCAATGGCGAGCAAGTAGGTCTGCAGAACTGTGAACCCCTTCTCACCGTTAAATACCGACAATCTGGGTGACAAGAAGATGTTGTGCTCACAAATGCTGTCAAAATGATGTTTGAGAAGGCGCCGATACCGCCAGTAGGGAGAGCATTTGTAAAGGAGATCAGGGTAATTGCCCATATGGTTGGATCTAAGAGGCCTTCGACTGTTAATGGAGGTCAGGAGGAAAAGTTTTGTGGATGCACATGCGTAACGTACTCGCTTGGTGTTTCTGTGGCAGCACTTTGATCAGAACACAATAGTGTTCGACAAGAACGACCACACCTTGAATTCCTTGTTTTGCAATCCGGTATCATTTTTCCTGACGCGTTCTGCAATAAGAATGCGATCTGCGGGGGTAAAGCACTTGGCCCGCATTGGACTATCTGGGAGCCAGAATCCGACGAAGATACCCCATACGAACGTGGTACAGCCGAGTAGCTGATAGATCGATTAGAGACCGATGACAGCGAGGGAAATTGAGGCCGCCTACGGTAAATAGTATTTGCCAGTTCTTAATCTTGGCGTCTGTGATCTGGGCGATTCCATAGGCAATGAGACCGCCGACGCATTGTTGGAAGCCATTCATGGAGTAAAAAGACCCGATGACCAAGGCTTGCTCTTCTCGAGTATACCACATCGTAGACCTTCGCACATGAGTAACGCGTCGTCTCGAAGTACGGATCTGACTTACAGGAAAACAAAGGCGGGCTGACAGACACATTCAAATATACCCAAGAGGGTTCGTACGATAACTAATCCGACAAAGTTGTTGCAAGCCGCCGTGCAGGCCAGAACAGCACCCCAGGCCATGATACTGTCAGCGGAGTAAGCTTCTTTTACGACACGAGAGATAAGCACCCATACTTGAACGAAAGATATTTCGCGATGGGGAGTCGCTGGATGAGTCGATTGGTTGGAAATTCCCAAGCAAGTCTGTGTACATGTCACATATATTCAAGATGCGATACAATAGAGTCTTACATCGCGATATAAACTGAAATATAGTGAGCAGACTGTCCAATGGCTAGAGTGTTGATGCTTACCACATGTAGTTAACCAGGCATACTGTTGGCCGTGAAGGTGGGTATCTGTCCGAATGCCCATGATCGAAGCGAAGTTGATTGTTCTATGGAGGGTGTTACATGGCACTTACACAGTGAAATGAAATTGAATACTCACCCTTTATCCAAGGTTTGTGCGACTGAGGGGAAATGTAAGTACGGGACGCGTCGAAACGAAGCAAACACGTTTACAGTAAGTGACAACCATGACAAGCTAGTGTGTAGAAAATGGCGTGAGTAACATTAAATGGGATGGGGTAGAATATCGTACCAAGACGCGCTTGTGAATCAGCCATCTGAGACGTCTGTTTGTTGCTTCGTCGATGACTACCGGGGTGTCTTGCGAGGCGAAAAAGTTGGCAACTTCGGCATCAATTCCGGCTGGCGGTATGCCTAGTGGAGAGTATTTAGCTAGTAACGAACTGACAAGAGGGAGTAATGACCAGAGGTAGGAGAACCAGTGCGGTAGGAGTCCTTCTCGACATCCTCAACATGTTCCTGCAAGTCTTTGGTCACACCCGACATGATGATGAGAAGGTAGAACTTCGGACCCTCTGAGAAGCATCAGGCAAACTTTTATATGGGTCCATGAAAGGGGATCGGAAGAGTCCTGTGATATGATCGCCCCTGGCCTAGCAGTAGTACGCGACCTACTAGAATTTGATCGTTGGTCCGGGGCCCCGCAGCTGTACCTCGTTATTTCCCCACATGTCCCCGGCTGGCGGTCCGCGGTCCGCTCTTCATCCCTTACACACTTTAAAGCGAGATTCGCGGCCAGAACGCTCCTTTTCATCACTATGTCAGCTAGAAATATCAACCCTCGAAAGGTAAAGCGCCATACCACCGCAGCCGGGTATTTTCCTCATTCATTGTGCAGGTTCAGGCCCTGAAGCATATCCACAATCTCATCAACTGCTTGGTGAACATCAAAGATGAGACCGGAGAGTTCCTCATGACCTTGGAAGATGGAAGGGTCATCGATACGAAAGGATGGAACGATTGGGAGGTGAGATCATCGCCATTAAAGGGACCAACTTCTGACTTCGTATTCTATAGTGGACACATGGCGTTGGTGAGTGATTTCCGATATCAGTGACGAAACACCTAAGCGCAAAACAGGACTTTACGGACTTTGGAAATTTCACGAGATCACCGGTGATCAGGAGGCCCTGGATATTTCCCTAGCATGGTTTAAAGACCGCTTCGAAATTGGAACTACCAAAGTATGTGATCGTGTTTTCGAGACGCGACGTTTGGCTGAGCTCTGGAACAGAATGTTAATACCATGTCTCCATTGTTGACCGCCGCGTATCTTCATGAAGGGAAGTACGCCAGTTACCTTGCTCACCTGGACTCTTGGGCAGAATGGGTGATGTACGAGATGCCCAGAACAGAAGACGGCGGTCTACAGCATATCACGTATCTTGTTGACAACTACCAGCAACTCTGGGACGATACACTGATGATGTCCGTCTTGCCTTTGGCGAAGATCGGTCTTGTACTGGGTCGACCTGCCTATGTTGAAGAGGCTAAGCGCCAGTTCCTGCTACAGTAAGTCTGTATAATAACAAAAGGTGGTGCGTTTACCCACCGTTTATAGTATCAAGTACCTGCAAGACGTGCAAACTGGACTCTGGTTTCACGGTAGGTATTTGGCCCCGTACTCGAGCCTGCACTTACATCAATAGGGTGGACCTTTGATGGACGACACCATTTTGGGCGGGCGAGATGGGGCAGGGGAAACTGCTGGGTAACAGTGGCCATTCCGGACTTTGTCGAGATGCTTCAATTGCCTGAAACAGACGGTGTCCGGATGTTCCTGGTCTCCTCCCTTGTCGCCCAGATCGATTCATTGGTGAAGTACCAAGACCCCACGACCGGCCTTTGGCATACTATTCTTGACGATCCGACGTCGTATTTGGAGGCATCTTGCACGGCCGGATTCGCGTACGGAATCATGAAGGCCCTCAGGTTGAGACTGATTCCAAAGGAAGAAAGATATATCAATACTGCGAAGAAGGCGATTCAAGCAGTGCTGGATAACATCACTGAAGCTGGCGAGTTGAAGTTGGTGTCGTTTGGAACTCCTGTGTTCGACAATATCGAAGGGTACAAGCAGATACCACTCACGAGTATGCCATATGGACAAAGCCTGGCGCTCTTGGCGATGACAGAATACCTTAGAACTTTCCTATAAGTAGTTGCCTGTTGTCGAAAACCAATGATGAAAGAAACGTGGAAGTTGTTAAAGACGATCACTTACGTACTCACAGAGACCACGATCACGATCATTGCGATCGGCTTCGCCTCTACCTCCACTCCGTTCGCTCAAAAGTTCTTCATTTTAGAACGCTTTCTCTCCATTTTTCAATTTTATGGAGGGGGGAACATATAGCTCTTCACTGCTTAAGTCAAGGCAAGATGGCCGAGCGGTTAAGGCGTGTGACTCAAGAAACTATAAGGTGGCTTGTCCACCAGGTTATCTTGCCTCAATAGAGGTTTCTCATCACGGTATCGTGGCGTGGGTTCAAGTCCCACTCTTGTCAGCTTTTTCCCCCTCCAAGGAAGCCCCAGGCTTGTAAACCTAAATGTTACGGTTTTTACCACCTGGGGTACTGAAGGAGGTGTCTTGATATCAGTGTTTTACCGTATTTTCCCGGCATTGAAGAACAGAGCAACAACCCTACTTGGACTGCTACACCTGATATTGACATACCACCGAAGATATGTTTACAATGTACTTGGACGAATCGCAAAGGATCCTCTCTATACTTTTTTTTTTGGACTCTGCATTTCGTTAACCGCAACAAGTACACTAACTACTAAGACGCGGTGGAGGTATAGGTCCTCAGGCAACTTCCTTCCCTCTTTTTCCATTCCCTCCGCTCATTCCTCTGTTTTCTCCCGGTGATTCGACGTCTGTTGTGGAGTAGAGTAACGGACTTTGTGGTGTTTTTGCGCCCTGATTGGGCTAATTGAGTTGGTTCTGCGCTTGGCCATGGCCGTATGTCCTCTCTATACTGACCTTAGTACTATACGTCACCGACTGGAGACGGATAAATTTCGTAGAAAGTAGTTCACTATAGTGAATCACACCTCTGAAGCTAGTTCTGAGAGGCTAGATCCTGCGGGGGCTACGCTGCAGTTTGGCCCAGAGAGTGTTCGGTCCCGTAGCGTTGCCATGTGCAGTACAGACTCTGGTTGGTTTCATTCTCAGTGACATGATAACCAGAATAAATAACCCTCCTAACCCTCACCTCACCGTCACACCGTGTAAAAATCACATGAACGACAATTACAGATTCTCTTTCAGAAATCAGAATCTTTGTCGCCGTTTGTGCATTTCTCTCTCTCATGGAATGTGATTCACCGAAGAATACCAAAGGCTATGCTGTACTTTGTACACGGAATGTAATGCCATAGGATTGAGTATGACAGTGGTCTGGCTGTTCATAACCCGTCCTGGCTCCAGATTATCTTCAGCGAGGGGAGGTAAGTACCCGTAACTTACCGGTCTTAAACACCGGTGTATCAAAACCTAGGGTTTTGTGCACAACCCTGCTGTTTTGACATATACTATTTAGTCGATTTCAGTGTTTACTGTGTTCAGTCACTTTGGTGATCACTGTTATGTTCCAACCTCAAGAACTTGGAAATCAAGACTCAGAACATCGGTTTCAACCCTTTTCAAGGTGATGGGTCGTTGGTTTACGTGGCATGTACTTCAGAAGAAACGGGTCTGCCATCGATTCATATTTAGACCCTGTACATCCGTGCAATAATATAGTTGTCGAAAGGTGGACTGTCATTGGAGAACTATGCCGGTGGGCACTGAGCACGCAAGATTAGAGTTTTGCACACTTATCAAAAGCCAAGCAAGCGTCCAAGCTAATGATAGACTCGAACCGGCCCTAAGGCAATCCAATCCATATAGCGGCGGCATAACACTTGGAAAGAACTCTCTATTGCCTATCTTCAGGGTAAGTATAATTTTAAAGGACATCCCGTGCGATACGGCAACCAGGTGTGTACCCGCGTTGTTCACCTAGGACTGAGTTATTGCACCCAGGGTTGTCAGTTGAGTCGGCACCTATACAGCGTTGGATATTTGGGGTCTCTGGGCATGGCCATCAACTCAGCTGAGAGGTCGCGTTATTTACGCGTCCTCGTCCTCTATTCTGGACGCAGATCAGGGATGGCACTGCCACTAGAGAGAGAGCGCGAATATTCTCCATCTGTCAAGCACTATGAGGGACGTGTCGAGGATTGCGAGATCTCACTAGCTTGGGACCCGGTTAATGATCTCGTCGATCGGCGGCCCCGACCACCGTTTCCAATGTAAGGTTTGGCTACGTCCCATACTGCATTCTATGAGAAATCTTCCAAATGAGATCGGCAAGACTGTTGTTACCTTTTTGGTGAATATATTGACCGTTAAACCCTTCCGTCTTCTGCCTTTGATTACACTCCGACACCGTTCGTCCCGATGGAATGACGCGGAGTTGAAAGACGGCGTAATGCATTCGCCTTTTCTCGGTTTCCAAAGTGTAGCCGAATCGAATGGCGAAGACTGATTACAGCGCGACCTCCTGGTGGTTCACATGAGTTGTCATCCACCTTCTCTGCTTTAGGTGTCGAACGTTCTATCATCCGCGCATCCATGACATGTGTGGTCGTAGATAACGATCAAGACTTCGCGCACCGTTTGATGCTCCACCACGGACGCCCGTACGGTGGAGTCGAAGTAGCCAGCTTCTGATTATACCCTTCCGAGGGGACTTTTTCTCACTCTCCCAGTCCATGGGACCATTCGAATGCGTAAACAAACTACCGACAGCGATATCGGGCGATAGGAAGTAGGTGGCGTTGCGCATGAATTGCCGAAGGTGCATATGACACTGGCTTTTTTCCGGCCCCCACAAGGGCTCATGGTAATGTTGTTTGGGTCGAGTGCGGTCTAGGGTACAAGTTAGCGGCAGGAAACTTGTGGTGGCTATAAAGAAATGGTCCCTACGCGAATTTCATCTCATCTCGAAGCTCTGGTCACCTTGCCTTATCCTATGACTTGATACAGCAGTCGGGTCATTCCGCTGGTAGTCTAGGGCAGAAGTCAGCGCCATGTTGCACTTTGAGGGAGGATGTCCACATACATTTACTCTTACACACGGAGTTGAAGTGGGGGATTCTTCTTGGCAGAATGACGCTATTTGCGGCGTGTAAAGTCAGTCCATCTGGGGCTAGTTAGCCTACTGGCATATGTTGGCGTCAAATCTGAACATACATAAGCAAAATACTGCCTGGATTTAGCTCGCTCATGTGGATGCGCAACCTGGGACACACCGGAATGCCATTCAAATCAGCGAATCCATTGGATACGATAACTCTAATAACATCGAGAACGCGCTTTGGAATCGAGAGTGAGTACCCCAAAAAACGAGCTGCCTTTTGTGTCGTTTGGGGCCAAAACTTTCCAGACAACAGCCTAAAGGACTCGATCGATGAGACGGCCGCCTGGGTCGCGTCCCTGGTAACCAATAGACGGGGCTGTCCTCGCAGCAAACGCGATACCCAAAAAGGCTTAACTTTTTCGATCGTACGCGTCGACTTTCAGTTATAATAACATTATTTCCATTGTCGCCCACATGTCAGAGTGACGGGAAAAGGAGAAACACGCGGAAGGTTGTGTCACTAGGCGCGTATCAATTGGAACATGGCGCCGCAGTCTCATCAGGCGCGATATGACACATAGCAGGCTGGAACTAGGCAGCAATTTGGACACCAAACGCTGAAGGCAGTACTGTCCACCAGAAAGCAGAAAGATAGATCATGTAAACATATCATATATGCATAATAGCCTCTGTGAGAAAGACACATTCGGAGCGCCTGATATAGTGAACTCCCCTCCCATACGTTGAACCATTCTTTGCTCGTTCGTTACTTCGCCTTTTGCCAGGATGGTAGAGGACGTCGTAAGAGATGAAACATCTGCATTGACGGTTCAGACAACGTGTAATAAGAGAGAGAGAGAAACAACAGACCTCGAAGGACGCCGCTCCTCATCCAAACAAGAAGCGCGATGGACGCTAACGCGCGAAGGTCGCCTTAACGCTGGGAGGCTTTGTGAGGTCTAGCAACGAGTGAGCGACGAAGCAAGGTAGAAGAAAAGGGCGACAGACCTCGACAAACCAGTCTCGCGGGGCTACACAGTTTGAAAGGAGCTGGCCGAAAGTGGGGGTGGAACAAACCCAAGGTCGAAGCGAGGAGAAACGGTCGCTTATAAGCTAGAGAGTCAGGTCCAGAATGCCAAATCCAGTCAAGGGAATGGAGGTGATTGATTTGAGATAACGGCGAGCAGCAGCTCAGCTGATCCGACTAATCCCAGCGGCACTGCGAGCCATGGTGGTGGCTCAGATTCGACGGAAATAAAAAGGCCAGAAATTCCAGGTCAGCTCAAGATCCAAGTAGACGCTCGTTAAGATATCACAGTTAAGCTTAGCAGTGAAAAGTTAAAGCGCGAGCCAAACTAAGCCAAATTCGATCAGATCCTTCCGGGAGCTCAGTCATCACTCGTTACATCTCTTCCATCCACTCTACATCGTCTTCACTAGTAGGAGGCAGAGTCGTAAGCGGATAGCTGGCTGTGGGTGAAGTGAGGTCCGTATTCTTGCATTCGAGTCTTTTTTTGTCGCTAAATTTTTGCGTTATCTACCCCTCTCCAGTTCAGAAGAAGTCCGGATTTCGAGTATGGCGTTCCAGTATTCCAGGAAGGGTTGCTTCAAGTGCGGTAATCGTGAGTCTGGCAAGCATTCGCCACGGCCCATATATTGAATTTTCGCAAAGTCGGTCATATTGCCGAGAACTGTTCCTCGGAGCAACGCCTGTGCTACAATTGCCGCCAGCCTGGTCACGAATCATCTGCCTGTCCTTCTCCTCGTACTGTTTCTGCGAAACAGTGCTACTCTTGCGGCGGTGTCGGTCATATTCAAGGTCTGTCCCGCACTCGTCTACCTTAGGGGACCAAGTCTGACGTCCGTACCAGCGGAGTGTCCGAGTTTGAGGATCCAGCAGCAAGGTAGCAATCAGAAATGCTACGTACGTTGCCGTCCATTTTTCTGATCCAAGTCGTCACTAATTTTCTATCCAGAACTGCGGCCGTTTCGGTCACATTGCTCGTGCCTGTCCCAACGGAGCCTCCGGAATGGGAGGCTTTGCTTCTCGGGCTCCTCCTCCCGGAAGGGCCCTCAATACTGCTACGTTGCCACCTGTAAAATGCTATAGGTGTGGAGGTCCCAACCATATGGCTAGGTATGTACCTTCTCGCTCTTCTTTCACCGTCTCACCTCCTTCTGCAGGGACTGCCTTGCAACCCCCGGTACGCTTGGTGAGACCGCTGCTATTGCGAACAAGAACAAGACCTGTTACAAGTGCCAACAGGAAGGTCACGTAAGTGTTCCCGGATCACTACCGCCGCCGTGTGATGTTCAATCATTTTATAGATTGCCAGAGACTGTCCCGAGACCGAGACATTTGTTGCTTAGGAGGCTGTGGTATCGCTTTTCGAAATTTCATGATGCATACTGTGGACCTCGCTTCTTTATATGTATCATTGCTCCATAATAGCGTTATATCTTGTTGGGCATCTTTATTATTTCGAGTAGAGCTTTACGCCGAACGAAGTGTAATTGAAAGCTGTATTTTCAGTCATCGGAATTCAAAATATTTTCAGAGCGCGATCTCAAGAAAATTTGCCGCAAGGTGCCGCGTTATTTTCCTTCAATCGCAACCAGCAACATGTCGATGATTTCCTCCGCCTTGTCCATGGCTGCCCAAAAGAGCAGGCCTCTCATCATGCCGCATGTTCAACCTGCCGCTCAAGCCTGAACAGAAGAATTTTTCGTGCGGCACACTCTTTGACTTTTGATCTTTTTTTCGACTTTTCTCTGAAGAGGCGGCATCGCGTCGCGGTTTTTGCACCACACTACTCGTTCATTAGAGCAGTTCCGGAGGACCCGTCCTACTACTTGCTACAGGTGCGGTGAAGGTGAGTTTTCTCGCTAGTTAACATACAAGGGTCCTTTCTAACAATTTTGCTAGCTGGACACAGGGCCAATGAATGCACCAAGGAGCGCACATGCTATAACTGTGGGCAACCTGGTCACGTTTCCTCTGACTGCGATGCTCCTCGGAAGGTCTCTGTCAAACGGTGTTTCAGCTGTGGTGAAGAGGGACATGTAAAATGTATGTTTTATTCTGCCCTTACTCCCTTTTCCTCAAGGCTGACAACGTTGCCAGCTGAATGCCCTCAATCAACGTGTTTTGTGCGACTAATCTCTCCTGCTTGTCCTGTTCTTTCTCTGACATTTTTTCCCTCCACTCTTCAGAGATGCGGTGAAACAGGTCACATTTCCCGGGATTGCTCCAATGCCCCCGTGGAAACGGATCGCATGAGAACTATCAAATGTTACAAGTGTCAACAGACAGGACATGTATGTGTTTTCTAACTTGGTCGGCGTGGAAGTGTTGCCAACATTCTCAATCAGATTTCGAGGGACTGCCCCGAGACGCAGCAAATGGAGTACTAGGAAAATTGTTTACTGGAGCCTACTGTATATCTTTCCGAGTGGTCGTATTTACTCGTATATAGCGTCTCTTAAACTACAATTTAGTAGAACCACAAAAGCATTTTTTTGCACTACAAAAGAAAAGCCGGCGGCAAAACACGGTTGATGAACTTGTTCCGGACCATTTCTCGCCTGTTACCCAGAAGGCCTACATATCATAGAACCCTCTTCAGCTTACCCAGTTTCCCTCCATCCGGAGAACAGACATACCATGAACAAAAAATATTTCCGTGAGGCCAGTATTCTTCTCATTCTCGCTCAGCTCTGACTTTGCTGGTGTAGATACAAGAGGAGCGAGCTATACGCCATAGTATCGGACGTGTCTTCCTACCCCCAATTCATCCCTTATTGCACCGGCTCGCGTATTTTGCACAAAGCTACTCGTGACGGGTCTACGATAATGGACGCAGAACTGACTGTCGGCTTCATGGCTTTCCAGGAGAGCTACGTCAGCAAAGTGACTTGTACGCCTTTTTCATCGGTGGAGGTATGTTCAATCCAATCGTTTCTTCGTCTATCTGCAATGCTGAAGCGAGTAGGCTGTTGCTTCGTCCTCAACGCCCATGTTCAAGTCGCTACAGACCATATGGCGGTTCCAACCGACTGGTGAAAAGGAACACAATACGCTGGTTTCCCTCGATCTGGCGTTTGATTTCGTGAATCCGTTTTATGCGTCGCTGTCTTCGACGTTCTTTGATAAAGTGTCGGGAGGGATGGTAGCGGCGTTTGAAAAGAGGTGCGAGGAGGTGTGCGGTCGTGGCCGTGTCTAGGTACGGGCGCTCGATTGTTCCAACTTGAGGATACCTGCTTAACCAGAAACTAGACCGTCACGGTACTCCTCTTCACTGCCTCGCTGCCTAGAGATCACGCCTTGTCGTTTGGAACTGCCTTTTAAGTTCCGTTGCAGAGGAAGTTTTCTGCTAATAGAGTCCCAGGGGTTCCTGTATGATAATGATCTTATTTTGAAACTGTCTACCAGTCCCGCCAAGCACTGTACCCGAGGCAGTCTCTCGTGCAAGTTTTTTCTATCTATGAGCATCAGCTATAACGGAAGCTCCAACTACGTGACCCCAAGACGCTGATAATTATATATGGTCTAGTGTCCGCGGTAAACGGCATGTCACCTACATATATTGGCCCGCTGTTCAACCCGTTTTAGAAAACGAGGATTCAGAATGGAATTGTTTATGTGACCATCTCGTTAGGAGAAGGGTTTGCGGTTCGAAAGTTGAGAATATCATCATCTTCTGGCGGTATTGACTAATATATTGTTAGTTTACAGTATTGAAGGTCTGTTAAGTACATCGTGAACGATTGTACTTCTTTTCGTTTCCTCGTGGCTGCAGCCTCCGGATAACCCGAGAGGGGCGCATTTTCTTCACGACGGTTCACTGTTGCATCGGTTGCTGATTGAGTACGCTGAGGTGTTGTACGGCGCAGTACTTGTGCATGGTAAGGGGCCGATGGTATCCTCCTCCTTAACTTTCACAGCTTCCTTCCTGTGTAAACGGGACCAAATTTGAAACCAACGACATCACGTGGGCGTGTTAGTACAGATGCAGGTTAGACACAGTAGTACAAGTACAGGGTGGTAGACTTTGCGTGATACTGACACCGGCTTACAGTTTACTTTGGGTACCCTTAGGCCGAGAAGCGGTGTACCCGATTCTAGGGAAATGACACCGAATGATACCAAATTTTCCTTTAGTTTCGATCACAAACTCCTCCGAGTTTAAGCCCACCAATTGCCCAACAGTCGGATATTTTCTCGCTGCAGTATCGAGCAATCAGATAGATAGACACGATGAACAACTGGGGGGCTACCGACCAGTATCATCTGGAGCGATGGAGATGAGGTCACCGGGCTGAAATCCGAGACGAGCCCCATCCGCAGCATCAAAGCCGACAGTATCATAAGGTTCGTGGAAGGAAGCTGATATTGAACTTGCAGCTTCTTCCCCCTGGAGTCTGGGCACATCGAACCGCGTTCGAAGAGTATCGAGGTGGTTGGTCATTCTTGAAAGCCACTAGCATTTTGCGTTATATATAGAGCGTTATCAAAGTGAGTGCCGCGGACCTTTATAACATATGGAAACTTCTGTTCGTCGAAGAGGGTCTGAGTTTCGGGCGTCCGGAAGGACTTGACCCAAGAATAGACGACATGGAGGGAGATATCGGCAAGACTAGGAGAAGTAGTATCGAATAACCACTCTCTTCCATCGTGGAGCTGTTCCTCAGTCAAGGCCTGGAATAGAGATAAGATTGAGCGCTATGCCAGTGCGCTTGGATAATAGGACCTACCAGGTGCGCAGATAGAAGACTTAGGTACCTCCCGCGCGTAGCCGCCAGGACAGGGACGGATATGGGACCCAGCATCTAATGTAGGAATAAGAACCAAATGCAATGACAGAGATAATTGAGAGCATTATACAGATGATCGATCCTTAATGAATGCTTCTGGGAACTTCTCCCATGGAAGGAGAGGAACCGCAAGGGAAAACACTATGCTGTCGACATAGTGCTTGGTGTATATCTTGATAAGAGTCGTGTCTAGACTGCCTCCCTGCTTTCGCGGAGGAAATAGGGTGCCATGGCCTGTGGTAGTGGGGAATTTTCGTTCTAGAACGGAGCAGATCAAACTGAAGGGCGGGTTGAGGACAGAGGAACGACATATAGGCAAGGTGAAATGAAAAACCTAGTGTCACAGTAGACGTCGTTTCCGATGGCCAACACGGGGATGCGCCTGTATCCCAGACCAAGCAGCTCCGTGATCTCAGGTCGCGGCAACAATGAGGCGACCTAATGATTCATTGAGGGCGGATCATAAATATATGGAATTTGTGAGGTGGTGACATACTGACATTGACTTTATGATGAGGTATGTTTTTGAGTAACAAGACGTTGTCAACCTTCACTGAGAAGGGAGAAGCATCATAACTGTTCCGAAGAAGAAGCGGTCGATTTTCAGTACCGAAATATCAGGACGCTGTAAGAAACTGACCGATATATAACTACAGAAGGGGGCTCGGACATGGTACTGCCTCGCGGGTGCTAGTAACCAGGGAAGGCGCTTTTATGTGGCATTAGGCTCCGGTTCAAGATTGCCGACCACCGGAACAGAAAATACGTGTACAACATGCTGGGAAAATGACAAACGACAAGCGAGAGAAAGCGACTTCATTCCCACTTGCCATTGTTCGAATCGAAGACATGAGACGCAGGCGAACGGCGCAAGTTACACGGGCCCCGCACAGGCGCGTGTAGGACTCTACGGGGTCCAGTACGCGATTTTCGAGGCTTAAACGGGATCTACAACGCGATTTCCCTACTGAATCAGCCTGTATACAAGCTACCAAAATAGTGTAGGATGAGCTAAAAGAAATTCAGGACGGAGAGGGGTGGGGAGCACTGAATGAGTATAATAATAATGAATTCGAATTTCTATTGAGGGTCCTAGGGAAGAGTGATCGGGGGTCAAAAAAGCAGTGTCCTCACCTCGCCTCGTTGCCGTCCGTTGCCAAACACTTTATTTCAATCTCTGACTTGGCCCATTGCCAGTCCTTCTTCTCTTTCTATCGCCCGTCGCCGTTGTCGTTGTCGAGCTCGTTGATCTTGCCTTCTTTCCTAGTAGCGAACAGACCTTGACAATGGCTGATCGCCCTCCTGCTTCCAGCGCACCGTCCTACAGTGGACAGAGCGACTACAGTCACGTCGACCCATATGCTGATCCTTTCGCTGACCGTCCTCGACAGACCCAGTTCTCTGAGCCTGAACGACCATACCATGCCCATGCTGGCGGTACGCCCCGCCCTTATGAAAGTACTGCTTCTCTACCCGAGTTTGGCGTACGAGAGGGTGCTGATGGATACGACGACGAAACACTTGAAAAGGAACCCTTGAATGCGGGGGGCTTCGCTGGGGGTTTCTATCCTCCCAAGTATGTGCTTCATCTCCTGCCTGCTCTCTTTGAGACTCTAACCGTCATCACTTTAGCGTCGATCCCAGTGCTTTCGGCGACCCTTATGCCCGCCCACCATCCGTCATGTCGACGTCTACGAATGGCGTCGACAGTGCATGGCGCCGCCGCCAGACCATCAAGCGTGGTGTGACGCGTAAAGTCAAGCTCACTAATGGAAACTTCATCGCTGAATATCCAGTGCCGACACCTGTTTTCAGCGCGGTGGAAGCCAAATACGCGTCTACCCAGACGACAGAATTCTCGTGCGTCATCCGCAGTGTTCTCCAGAAATAACGTCCTCTCATTGACAGTTCTATACAGTCACATGCGATACACCGCAGCCACCTGCGATCCCGATGAGTTCACCGAAGAGAATGGTTGGTCTCTCCGGACAAAGATGTACAACCGAGAGACCGAGATTCTCATTGCGGTCACCTCTTACAATGAGGATAAGACCCTCTATGCCCGTACCCTTCACGGTGTCATGTTGAACATCCGTGACATCTGCAAAACCAAACAATCAAAGTATTGGCGCCGTCAGGCCGAGGAAGGTAACCCAGGATGGCAGAGAATCACTGTCGCTCTCATCGTTGATGGACTCGAGGCAATGGACAAAAGTGTCCTTGATATTCTTGCCACCGTCGGTGTCTATCAAGATGGTGTCATGAAAAAACAAGTCGACGGCAAGGACACTGTCGCTCATATATTCGAAGTATGTCAATTCATGCTCTCAACCACCTTCGTTTGCTTATGCTCGCTTATAGTATACGACCCAACTTTCCGTCGATGCTACACCTCAGCTAGTGCTTCCCCAAGCCAATGACCCGAACAACTTGGTTCCTGTCCAGATCATTTTCGTCCTCAAAGCGAAGAATCAGAAGAAGATCAATTCTCATCGTTGGTTGTTTAATGCTATTGGAAAAATTTTGAATGTACGTGATCTCATCATTTTCTGTTGTTGAATTATGTTAACGCCACACATAAAGCCCGAAAATTGTGTCCTCATTGATGCTGGGACTAAGCCCGGTCACAAGTCCATCTACTATCTGTGGGAGGCATTTTACAATGACCCCAACTTGGGTGGTTGCTGTGGTGAAATTCACGCCATGATTAAGGGTGGCAAAAAGCTCCTTAACCCGCTCGTTGCTGCTCAAAACTTCGAGTACAAGATGTCCAACATCTTGGGTACGTTTCCTACTCGATTTGACTGTCTGTCGTTTCTCACTATATCGCAGACAAGCCTTTGGAAAGTAGTTTCGGCTACGTGTCTGTGCTTCCGGGTGCTTTCTCAGCGTACCGCTTCCGTGCCATTCAAGGGCGACCCTTGGAGCAATACTTCCATGGTGATCACTCTCTTGCCGACCGCCTCGGGCCAAAGGGTATATACGGCATGAATATTTTCACCAAGAACATGTTCCTGGCTGAAGATCGTATCCTTTGTTTTGAACTGGTTGCGAAGCGAAACGATAGATGGGTCCTAACGTATGTCAAGCCGAGTAAGGCCGAGACGGACGTGCCCGAAACAGCAGTCGAGTTGATTGGCCAACGTCGTCGTTGGTTGAATGGTTCATTTGCGGCCTCCGTGGTAGGTGTATTATCGCTATCCGCAGCTCGCCGATCTCACGATTCTGTTAGTATGCTTTGGTCAATTTCTTCGCTTTCTACAGGTCTGGTCATGGTATCTTCCGGATGTTCTTCCTACACGTTCAGGCATTCGTATGTTCACCAAGTCCATAAAAATCTGCACAATCTGATTGTCATCTAGTACAATGTCTTCTCCCTGGTTTTCACTTGGTTTTCTATGGCAAACATGTGGCTTACTTTCAGTATTATTATCGATCTGTGCCCCGACCAGGATATCATCATCTTTGGGACGGCGACGGTGGTAAGTGGCTAGCAAATTGTTTGAATGCCTGTATAACGTGCTACTTCACGCAGACTCACTGGGTTAATCTGGCTTTGAAATGGATTTACTTGTCCTTCTTGGCGCTGCAATTCATCTTAGCCTTGGGTAATCGACCGAAAGGTGAACGAATGGCTTATACTATAACTTTATGGTAAGCGCCGCTGCAAGCTTCAGTGTTGTTACCCGCTAATTACCTTCAGGGTGTTTGCCATACTCTCGTTATATCTTCTCGTTTGTTCTTTCTGGTTGACCGGCAAGGCATTTTCGGTATGTTCTTTGACACCTATCCAGCGCCAATGCTGAGTTGTCGTATAGAACATCAGCAGTGACTTGCAAAACAAGTCGACGGGCGAGGTTATTGCTTCATTCTTTACACCGCCTATTGGCGCGCTAATAGCGGCAATGGTGTCGACCTTCGGTGCGTTCGATATCGCAGAGCTGAGGAGCATAGTCTAATCCTTCTCTAGGTATCTATTTGTTTGCATCTATTCTATACGTGGGTTCTTTACTCTCTCTTAACACCTTATCTTCCTGACACGTCGCGATCTTAGCGCGATCCTTGGCACATGTTCTCCAGCTTCCTCCAGTACCTACTCATTGCAACCAGTTTCACCAACGTCCTCAACGTGTATGCGTTCTGTAATTTGCATGATGTAGGACCCGTTATTGAAGCATATTTATTCTTTCTAACATGTGCCGCAGGTGTCTTGGGGTACCAAGGGTAGTGACAAGGCGGAGGCCTTGCCATCAGTGTCGTCAAAAAAGACCGAGGGTGCAGATGCTCCAGCCGTAGACGATACAGTCAAGCCGCAACAGGATGTTGACGATGCGTTCAAGGAGACGGTCACTAGAGCCATTACCAAGGTGAAAACTGTCGAGGTGGCAGAGAAGCCGACCATGGATGATCAAAACAAGACGTTCCGAACGCGTTTGGTCGCGGCGTGGATGTTGAGTAACGCTGCACTAGCTATCGCGATTGAAAACGTGAACGGGCTGCCAAATGAATCGGACCCAGAGGCAGACGAGGAACACCTTAGAACTAAGCAAAACACTTACTTTGCTATCATCCTTTATTCGACATTCGGTCTTTCGCTAGTGCGATTCATAGGCGTAAGTCATTGTTTTTGTGACGGCATGATTCTTTTGCTCATTTTTTCCCTAGTGCTTGTTCTACTTCTTCAAGCGGAACTTGTTCAGGTGCTGTCGCAGGAACTAGAGGCTATCTTTCCATTATTTCGCCATCTCTTGATTCATACACCGGACATTATTATGCAGTGCAAATGCTTTCATCGGATGTCCCCTTTCACGTATGACTTTCCCATCTCGCTATCGATTATGGCCTATTCCTCCCAGCGAGGTAGAAGTCCTAAAACTAGTAGGTATATATAAATTAGCATTAGTCATGGTCGGGTGTACGTTTATTCATGATACCAAAACATCGGGAAAGGATTATCTTTGAAGATGCAAGCTTTCGATGCTCAATTTACCGAGGCGGTAACATGGAGATATATATGTGTGTCCAAATAATACAAGTGGACAGTTCAGTCTCACGAATACATCCCTGCAAACTCATCTCTGCCATCGCGTCTGCCCTCCGTGCTGCTAGGAGGAATAAACATTGGCATGAAGGACCCAGAAGGACCTCCAGTAGTCACACGTGCAAATAACTCTTGTATGTCCTGCGGCAAGTTGTCTGGATCAAAGACAAGCCCGTTCACATCGTCTTGTGGAGGGCCTGGAAATGGTGGTGGTGGTGACTCTCCTTCAGACGGGCGCATCAGCGCACGGCGGCACATAGGACACGAATCATGCTGTATGATATGAATGCCTTGGGTCTGAATATGTATATGAAAACTGAAGCTCACCGAATCCTGGATCCAGCGAGATATGCTACAAGTCAAACGTGGAATCAAAGAAGCAGCCAGATCAACAGGTGACTCAACTCCCTCCTGCAGAATAAATGACCACATTGCCACTCTTGCGAAAGTCGGGCTACTCCGAGTTCTTCAATTGGGAGGGCCGGTGAGTCCATCGCCACTGCCATTTCTTCTTCAGCGAGTAGGGTTGTGAATGGTGTCAAGCATATCGGACACATTGAATCTGAACAGTGATGAGATGTCAAGCACTTTAGGACTTTTTGCTTTGCGAACCCTTGTGTCCTAGGTCTGTCACTTGCTTTTCTGTGAGCCGAGGTAAACCACGTATCAAGTCTTGGATTTGACTGTAAATGTTAAGCTTGACTTTCAAGGAAATGAATCCGGGTTGACGTACTTAGGAGAAAGTTGATGTCCTTCTGAAGACAGCGCCTCCAGCCGTTGCAATATGGCTTCTCTTATTTGCTCTCTGAACTGCTCGTACAAATCCGACTGCTCTGTGGAATGTTCCATGCCTTGAACTTACTGAACAGAAATGTGCAGAAATGGGATGTGAGGGTAAGAGATAAGCGCTCCTCGAAAAGTTGAAACGCGTCAGCTAACGAATCACGTGGATAAGATATTCTCAGTTGGAACTTGGTACTAGTACAGACAGCGACAAGATGATGAAATGCAAGGTACAACAGTGAAGATATGCTTGTAATATATCGTACAAGTGCGTCCCGGTTATGATGAGCAGCGGGATCAGCCTGTCATGAAGATGATAAAAATGCGATGGTGAACTTCAAATCTAGAACGGATTCTCGTCGTCGTCAACATCCATCGTCATCTTGGTCTGCTCCTTAGTATCAACGTCGTCGTCGGCCTCGCCTTCACCGTCGCTCGCGCTCTCTTCTTTCTGAGCGAAACAATTGGACAGGTTTAACTCCCCTGAAGTAGCCGTGTAAGATTGCAAAGCAGCCAAAACCAAGGTAAACATACTTGGTGAAGTGTTTCTTCTTAGCATCGGACAGCTTCTGGCTGCAGGGCGTCATCATGTTGTCTGTTGGCGAAACAAAGTTGGGTTTCCTACATCAAGGTCAGTGTTGGCTAATCGATCAGGCATCCAGCACTACTCACAGGCTCTTTGCCATCTTCTTTGCCAACAATGCCTTTGCACCCATTCCTGGCGCCTGATTAACGACGTTGCCTAACGGTGCTTGGGGCATAACGACATGAGCGGCCTGCGAAGGATTGTGGAGAGGCTGAATGGGAGTGACGTCGGGAGAGTCGTTGGGAGTCGATGTAAGGGACATGGTGAGCAACGGTGGTAATGCAAGCAACAAAACGGGATGGTGGTTGTTGAGAGAGAAGTGGTGGGAATATTCAAAGTTCGAACACGCCCAGAAAAGTCTTTCCAACATCACGTGGCCGTTATTTCTGCGCCACCTCGTCCTCTCTGCCATCACCATCGATTCATGGAAAAGTCTCTTCTGTTGCTCCCACCGGAGGTTCTACTGTCTATATTATCCATTCTTGACTTTAAAACACTTATAAGATGCAGACAAGTATGTTTTTCTACAGTGGCCACTACTAGTATATTTGACCGGCTAGTGAAAGATTTGTCGCAAGGCTCTCGAAATCATAGACAGCTCAGCATTACTCCAATACAAAATACATCTCGGCATGAATTGTCTTGAAGATAACAACAGCGGCCACTCCTCGCAAGAGCTACTTGAAAAAGTTCAGCAGCATCGCTATGCCTGGCAGAGTTTTAGATATTCTGAGCTGCTACTTTTACCTTGTGCCGGGAATGCCTGGGAGCTCATAGGCAATATTCTTGCCATTCATGTACCAGGAGTCGGTTTTACTTTCAATCAAATACCTTCGGCTCTTCGCGGTGTCCAGAAAATCTGCTGGACTGTCAAGAGCGCAAAAATTGGTGTCGAAGTGGAGGATTTCTCTATGGATCGATCCCAAGATCTACTGGTGGTCTTGCAAGCCAAGCGTTCGCTGTATGTGACTCGCTCTTTTTGTGATTATACTATATTTATGCGAGTACACCTTAGGGATGACTGCCTATTCCCTGTACACATATTAACAATGTCGGGTGACAAACATCCACTAGCGCATCGGCATGTACTTGAGGACGTAAAATTGGAGAACTCGGAGATGATATATGATATCCGCATATTCGGCGACCTCCTCGGCGTTCTCTTCACTGCGATTCAAGGCGATATTTCAATCCTCGTAATATGGAACTGGAAAACCGGTCGCATCAAGAAGGTTACTTTATCTCTCTCAATGTAGAGTTAAATGATGCCTTTTTACTCATTACTCTTTAGCATGTTACTGGGACGATGCTGGAACTGCAAACCTTCATCATCCTGACGGAAGACATTCTAATGATTGGGTCTCTGCAAATAAATGGAGAGCCCAGTCCGAATCTGAGAGTGTATCGTCTCGATGAAGAAGATTACGTTGGAAGTGACGTCTTGGACACCATGACATTTGTGTGTGCCCTCACCTTCCCGCTTCCGAAAGATGGTGTGGAAGTTGAAATTCGCCTTTTCTCCGACCCTCCGCCCGCAAAGCCGAATCAAAATGACGGACTTTTTATGACGTGCCACGACGACAGGCTTTTGGTCATTGGCTACGACGCTTATGTCAGTGACACGGAAACCGAGTATTATTCCTCCTTTGTCCCACTGTCGTCTTTGATGGCCATGGTGGAAAGATGTCTCGCAACTACGAATTCGAAAGGAACGATAATACCTCATTCTGAATGGGCACACCATACGGAGGTAACCACGTCGTTGCTTTCGGATGTATGGATTTCCGTCGTGCACGGGATGAGGGCTATCACTCACGAAATCGACGGCACGCTTATCAGGGCGAGAATACTCGATTTCAATCAGTATGCGATTCGAAATGATCTTGAGGAAGGACGCGCGAGGACGAACAGTTACGAGATTGTAGGCGCGGAGACGCCCGCTGTCAGGGTAAATGGGAAGTTTCTTAAGGATGGAGACGGATATATCAACTCGAGTCTGAAGCAGCCTTACCGTGTCGTGTCCAGGGACCTGCCCAAGAGCATCCGGAAGAATGTGACGGATCTGATGTTAACGGAGGACTCGGTAGTCATGGTGGTGCGTTCCTCGATCTGCACGTTACTGGGTTATTGAAATTTTCCGCAGCTGAGGGAGGTTGAGAGCGAGACGTTTGGCATCCTGTCGTTTTGAGGAAGAAGAAGAGGATATGTTAGGTGTAATAATGTCAAGGTGATACGCTAGTCGTGCTACAGGTTACGTTGCTTTACTCTTTGCGACGGCCTCAAGTGGCGTCAGCAGACGGACATTATCTGTAAGGGCCGGTATTGGCTGAAAGGATAGGCAATTGTAACAATGGAATTAGTTATTAATTTGGGCCTGGCCAGGTGTTTCCTAATTCGGACGTGTTACAGACCGTAATTCTTCATCTGCTTTCCCGGACAAATATATAAGAAAGGGGCCTTTTCTTCTTCCCCCGTTCACATCCCTGCTGCCTTTCCTTGCCTTTCCTTTATTTCTCTCTCCTTCTACCACCCATGCCTCCTGCTGAGAATCTCAAGAAGCGCAAGATCGCTGTCCTCGGTGCTCGTTCAGTCGGTGAGCTCCTCTTGCTCAATGCACACGACTCCGACCTCATGCCCATACCACAGGAAAATCGTCTCTCATTGTACAATTCGTGGAAAACCGTTTCGTTGAAAACTACTACCCTACTATCCAGAGCACCTTTGCTAAGAGCGTCAGTTTCAAGGGTACGGAGTACGACTGCGAGGTCCTCGACACTGCGGGACAGGTGCGACCCTTGTCGGATCATGCCAGCGCATTCGACAACTAACCGATGTCTCTGTCTCTGTCTAGGACGAGTATTCTATTCTCAATTCGAAATACGCCATAGGAATTCACGGCTATGTTCTCGTATACTCTGTCACATCTCGGAGCTCCTTCGACATGATCCAGGTTCTGTATGACAAAATAGTCGACTTTTGCGGGGTCACCGAGATTCCGTGCGTGATTGTTGGCTCCAAGGTCGATCTGACAACGAGGTGAGCGCTGCTCCGTAATGAGCCAAGATATGACGCAGACGTATTTCATCTTCAGGCAAGTGTCCGCTGAGGATGGAGAGAGGCTTGCGCAGGCAAACAATGCAGTATGGGTTGAGACTAGTGCGAAGGATAATATTAATGTTGGTAAGTATCGCAGTGCATCTATCATCGTGTTACTCACCCTCGCACAGGTAAAGTCTTTGATCTCTGTTTGGGGGAAATCGAAAAACACTCGCCGACTAAGCAAGGCGAACCACCAGTCAGTCGTTGTGTCGTAATGTAGGCGTCACCTCGAGCTCCCCACCGTGCCATTCAATATGAATGGCTTTCTTCAAGTCGCGTGCATATGGCATGTATCTTATGTCTCTCTCATGGCTACAAGGACTACTAGACCTTTTTTTACTCTTATGACTACAGCATATGTCCTCTTTCCGTTGTATATTCTCTGTTCCTGTAAGTTAAGAACCCGTACCATAGCATCCTTTTCAATTTCTTTAAAACTCCTACTGCTACAGATCATACAAATTCACGTTCATTCACGCCGAACCGTCTCCTAGGAACCTCATCTTCACCGCGCGACCTTTCAGCCCCACTGCTCGCACCACTTGTGGATCTCCAGGAACAAGATCGATGGCCTGGTCACTGAATTTCACATCCTCACCATCGACATTGAGTACTAATCCCTTCACGGGCTTCTTCGTCGATAGTGTGACCGATTCGCCGTCCTGGGCAACCTCGGCTTTCAAGCCAACATCCTCGAGAGCCGGGAAATCAATAAACTTGAACGGCTCCGGCCTGAGCTGATGTCAAACAGAGCTCTATTTCCACGTTAATGAAGACGACACACCAGTTCGAGTATCTTCCTAAGACTTCTCCTCTCTCGTCCAATAGGCGAGCCGATACGATGATGACCCTGGGCACCTCACTCCACTTTTTCCTAGTCTCTATACCCGGCACTTCTCCTTGGAATAGTTCGGTACTCGAATTCGGCGCTAATACCACCTGCTTGGACCAACGGTTGGTCCACTCAGAATGTAAATCAAATGAAGTCACATCGAGGGTAGCCTTCTTTTCAAAGAGCGTACTGTTTGTACCCCAGATCTCCAGGATAGTATCGATTGTGAACTTGGCAGCTGACCGATAATCTGGGTAGGTTTCCTTTTCCTTGCGGGTCATTCCAACGGTGTAAGGCCGCAGTTCTCGAGAAATCGCGAAGTATGCCGGCTTAGGCCTGAGGAAGTAATCCGCAATTGACCACGAAGTTGTTGGCCAACAGTCATTTAGCTATATATTCACCTGAATGAAAAAAAGGCTCCGAACGAAATATCGACAACTGACCTGCCATACGAGAGCGCCCGCGGTGTATTCCCTTCCCATACCACGCCAATTTCGTCTCCAAAGTCGATATGCAGATGCGAGCGTTTCGGACTGCATCACTTGGGTGTAGTATACATAGCTGTGGTTGTAAGTCGGGATTATGAATCGTGGAGCCGTAAATTTTACCTTTCCATTTCAAACGAATGTTTAAAGTTTTCAACCAGGTACAGCTGCCGACCAGGTCAAAGACCAGCTTCTTTACTGATTCCTTACACCGGTGCTTACCTCCAGCCGCCTTTCGGATCCCGCCGCCTTGTTATGATTGCTATTGACTCTACACGGTCCGTGAGGAGCTAGCAAGGACATAACATAACATGATTATCCACCTGGATTGTGGGTATCGTTGCGATTTGTCACCACCAAGCCAATAGTCAACTGTACGAAGGTCGGGGTAACCTTCCCTGTAATAATAGATGTCAGTCTGCTGTACATACCTAATCACCCAACGATATGAAACGTACATGCCGAATTCTGATACGAAGCGACCGGCAAGGATATCCCAGTTGTGCCAAGGCTCTTGTGATCCGTGCCAAACGTTCCCTACGAACAAGCATGTTGAAAATATGCGGGACCGAATGCCGAAGAAACATACACTGATGGAGATCCCCATACTTCTGGTCTCTGGTATCCTTACCGAACCCACTATACGGCGATGATCGATGATAGTATACGTCAGAGAACTGTTGCACAATGGAAGGCAATACACGTTCATAGGTATAGCGTGCAGGAAAGTTGGTCTTTCGGAAGTCAGATTTCTCGTCCGAGTAATCCAGCTCCAAATTGAAGGATTCTGCAATCTGATAATCTTTGGCCAATACTCAGACAATAGCAGGAAGATGAAGCTGAAGCTAACCTTCGTTATTTCCAGCTGATAGATGAGAAGGAAGTCAGATGAAAGAAGATCAACAAAACAGCCAAACATACCGAAAATAACGATGGAAGGATGGTGTCGCAGCCTCTTTACATTCTGTACGGCTTCCTCCTTCACAGAATCGAGGAAGGAGTCGTACGCAGGGTACTAACCGCGAAGATGTCGTGAGCTTGGGTGAATAATTAATTTAAAAATCATACCTGGCCACAACCAAACATGAAGTCTTGCCAGACAAGGACTGACGCCCGGTAAGATCAGTTTTTTGAGGCGTATACTAGTATGTTTTAACGTACTGCCGAGTTCTACCACACGGCGTCAGAGCTAAAATAGAAAGTATTCCAACATAACGTACCGTCACAGGTGTCATAGAACGAGTCATGCTCGTATATGCCTCCTCCCCAAACACGAATCATGTTCTGATTCCCGTCGACTAGAAGACGCAGCCATGCCATGTACCTCTCAGGTGTCATGCTGAACACATGTTAGCGTCCTGCGACCATGTCCTCTGTCAAGAAATGCACCCACGTTGTCAAGAAAGAATCTGCCGGAATCCAGTTGGACCCTTTGCACAAAGGAGAAAACAAAAGATCGGGGACCGTTCCCTACCCGCAGTGGCTGCCCACTTACCTCCACAGAAAATACGGATGTTATTAATTTCGAACAAGAATGTTCTGCCTTCTTCATCAGCGAGCGGATCTTGTACCACCCTAACGCGCCGACAGGCTATCCTCTGTATCATCCGGTCAAGGACATGTCCACTCAAATCGGTGATTTCGACCTGGGCGGTGTACATTGCCTGTCTTCCGTATTTCACGGGGTACCACAGTTCCAGCTTGCCTGGCTCAAACTGAAACGATACCGTACCATGGCCGGTGTCGGTGGGTATCTTGTCGACGGATACTGGAATGGAACCATCTGATGCCTTAAGGACAAACGATGCGAAACCCGGTGTCTTCTCTGACAAGGTAAAGCTAGCGGAAAGGTCGACGCTTAAGGATTCTGAAACACGAGTCCTGACGTCGAGGTCGGTTATTCGACTTTGGTACGTCTGGAGATAAACGGGTTTCCATGGTCCGACAGTCATGAGAGTTGGACCTTCATAAGTCAGGTCAAATGACCTCGTTTTGAGTTATTGCTCGAAGAACGTACCCCAGTCCCAACCATAACTAAGAGATGACCACATCTCAGCCCACATATGAAATTTAAAAAACAAACTAGACTAACTTGTATTGGGCTTTGCGAACATGAAGACGACTCGAATCACCGTTCCATAGATTGAGCTTTTCGTGTTGCTTCTCAATTTCCCTTCCCTGGGAGAAGCTCAGCTGAGTAACTGCATCCGATGGCGACAGACCGAGTCGGACGGACCTTGCAGAAGGCGCTCTCGAAGTCAAGGACCAGGGCATTAATGCCTACTTTCAGAAGAGACTTCGCAGACGCTCTGTACGCGGTGAACTGATTCTCCGTACTGTATTCATCCATAAGAAACTATTAGAACGATTCCAGAGTATTGTGCTCACGATAGGATCTTCTTTTCGTTCTAGAAACAATCCGATATGTTCAATGTTCTTGAAAACCCGCAGTGGAATAAGTGTTACCAAAGACACGCTGACAAAAGTGTCGAGACCATCAAAAACAAGGTCGACGTTAGGCGCTCTAAGCTCATCTTCAGTCACCTCAAAGACCGTCTTGAAGGACCATGAGCTCTCGCCGACCCCTTGAAGCGGTATCAAGACACGAATCCAGTATTGAACCTTCATTCAACCTACATTGTACATCCCACTCTTGCAGGCCTATGAACTTTGAGAGAAAGAATCAGATGACTAATTTCAAGCTCAATGTAAATAGTCGTACTGGATCAGGTATCTTCTTGTGTTTCAAGAGCTCAACGTGAACGGTAGTCGGAAATTGACTTGCTTGCAGCCATTCACTGTCTTTGGTACCTTCGCCACCTCCGATTTGGGTAAACGACCAGTCTTTCAGCTGGCGGACGACCGTGGTCATGGTTCGAGGAGAAGATGGGAAATGTGAATGACATGGTGGAATCCAGATAAATTTAAAATCATCGAGCGATCACCTGTACGTTGTCTAAAAATGATATCATCGTAATATACCAAGGTGATACCGATAATTCTCCGCAGGCTCAACCCCGGTCGTCTCCTCCAATACTCATGGGTATTATAAAATTCGCACTAAGGACTCTGCTCTCTCCCTTAATCCCATCCCGTTTCTCTTTGCGAGGATCTAGCGCTGCTAAGTGTTGTCATTTTAATAACAGGTACATCGACAATCCTGAGATACCTGCCAAGATACAGACAGTAAACGATACTTCGATCTGAGCACTTTCCATTGAGGAGTAACGGTACGTTGAGTGAAAGTACTTCGGTCAGAAATGTAAAGGTATATAATTAAGAGACAACCTTGGACTCTCTTCAACACGGAAGCCTCTGCCTCAAGTTTATCAGCGCCTCGTTTGTGAGAACTTTCCTCCAGCACGGCGGGTGGCGTGCAAGTTCCTATGATGGTCCCGTATACCCAATCAAAGGCCTCAGTCAGAACGTGACACCGAGCAGCTGTGTCCCCTAGGGCAGAAAGCATATCCAGACCTGTCTGCTTCTGTTGAGCGAATTTGCCATGCACAATCAGACTTGGACGGTTTGGTTACCTATCAAAGATCAGAAGACATCGAACGGAAATTTTAATAAGGACTATACCTCCAGAGTGAAAGATCTGCCGGCTTTTATGATATCAAAGCTCACACCGTGCTTAAGGGCGGAAGACAGGTGAAGTTGATGTTCAAGATGATTACGGATTTTGGCGATCCCGGTGAAGTGATAGACTTCCTGAGAAGAGTGGCACAAAAAGTGCTGGAGTTCCTTGCACTGTAAGCATGCAAGAGTCCCGCATCCGAACGCCAGGACCTCTGCAGGAATCAACCCACTGGGCATTGTGGGCATACAGTGTCTTGCGAACAGCCGAACTGTATCGCTGAAAAAGGTGACGAATGGTGGCTCCGTGACCCTTCTGTTCCAGCGAGACATTTTGCTCAATAGGCTGAAGACGAGAGGCGCCAGTTTGGTATTGACATACAACTCTCGATCGCGAACGGTAGGACACCCCAGACACAACTTCGCGCAGGATATCTCGGCTTAAGGTATCCCCATATCCAATGCTGTAAGCGAAATCGAGCAAATCGACGATAGAAACTGGAGTGGCAGATGTCCAAGATGACCTTCTATCATTAAGAAATTTCGAACCATTTCCTCCAGACACCGAGTTACAATCTCCAAGAGAGGGCTCTGGGAGCCTGTGGCAGAAAATTTGTCGTATAATACGCGAGCAACGACTTTGATAGGATGCTCCTCGAGCGACGCAATGAAGTCCGATCCAAATCTAATGATGTTTTAAAGGTTGCCGTGAAGGAAGCGACAGGACAATATGGCGTACAATTCGGCGAGGTCGTTGTCTTCACAGTGCCTCAGTGCTGTCACGACGTGCTCCCACTCATCTTGACCGGCTTGTTTTCTGTGACAGAGGAGCTCCGAGATAGCACTCTTGAAAAAAATGCTGAACGTGGGCGTCAATTCTGGATGCGCATCTGCAATGCTAGTCATATCGAGCATGAGCGCCTCGTAATATTTCCAAGACGCGAATTCTTCGAAACCAAGTCTGCTGTCAAGTGCCATTCGATCGAAGATGACGGCGCATTGGTCGGGATGAGCGACCTTGATACACAACTGTACTAATTTCGTGATCGCGGAAGGGTCGCCGAGGAACCTATCTAGGCGAGAGCCGCAACGCAGGCCAGGCGGATTGTACACGTCCTCGTCGTACCGAATGCGCGGGTATGCAGGAGTCTCTTCAACGGCATGTTGGATACACATAGTTACCGCCAAATTGACCGTAGCAGTATTCTCTGCCCTTCTATTATGGATGGCTTCTATTAAAGGCATCCAGACTGCGGCATCATACAGCTGGGACTGAAGTTGGGGGAATATCCTAGAGTGTAGGTTGTCAGCTGGGGCCCCTGAAGCCAACAAGCTCAAGACTAACATTTCCCTGAAATAAACGCAATCTCCGTGCACAATGACGCCACACATCCAGTCAACTTCGTCTACTTCGAGGGTCTTGATAGAAGCCGTCATGGCGTGGTTTTGTTGCTTGCACCATTCCTTGACTATTATGAAGTTTCCCACCTCTCTTGCCACATTCACTGTAATCTCAAGGAAGTTCGTCCTCATCGAGTTCGAAGGAAGATTGAAAACGAAGTCTGCGAAGCTACAAAACCTTATTTAGCGCGACCGTGGCTTTTAATTTATTGACTTACTTACAGATCCTTAATTTTGCACCAGGAAGTGGGAATTGTTTCGTATATAGAGACCAACACGGCGGAATCGACGATAACTCCATCATAGTTCTCAATCTTGCACGCATGTGCGAATCGAAGAAAAACATCGACGTCATTCCATCTCATTGACACATTGATCACCGTCTCGAAAGCCATCTGAAGGTCTTTAATATGTTTGCGGTGTGCGGTTGTAGCTTCTTGCCGCGACAAATGGTGAAAAGTATAGGCTAGGCTCGATTCCCGTGCCGTGCAAGCTAGAAGAAGGGTGTCAAGAAATTTTGTTTCTTTCTCGTTCGCGGACTTGGATTTCGAAGCTCGTAACGAATTGACAGTGTAGCGAAAAATGTCGCCAGTGGATATTTCGATATCCGACCATCTTGGTATAATCAATATAAGGGTCTTGGACCAAACTATGGTGACGGTTAATAGATCAGAAAAGATTAGAAGAGATCATAAGTACTGTGGATGAGGGTTTCCGCACTGAAAAGACCATCAATTCTTTCATTAATAGTAGGTAGAAAGAGTCAAACTACGCACATATTTATCTTCACGAGCGAAAGTTTTCTTCGTTGGTTCACCACTGTCGAGCTTGCCATTGATGATAGCGGAGTTGTTCAGATGCAAGTCCAGGGAAACGTTGACCGGCATCCCAGACATGTTGACCACGTAGGAGTGATGAACATACCTCAATGCACTTCTGTGATGATATGCCATGGTATTATCCATCTCACTGGCATGGTCACTCTGCCATTCGCTGACGCTTCCGTTCTCATCCTCAGGATAACCATTGTGGAATCCTCTGTGTTCAACTCCGTACGCAGTGTTGCGCGGCCGTGCTTCAACCATGACTAGGGATTCCGCAGCATACTCCACCTCCGCGATATAGAGCTCGAAGCCGAGCGCAGCGGCCAGAGGCTGCAAACAAGCCCAAGTGGCCCGGTCGGGGCCCACCAAATCCCTGTCTATGCAACCCTCAAGTTCTGGAAAGTCGTAGACGTTTTCAAGAATGTACGCCCTCAGAGAAGGTGCCGTGTAATGATTCCACGACGCGAAGAAGTTTTTTAAGACGAGGTGTGCTCCTTGTGCAGTTTTGGAGGTCGGGGCTTCGTGAGCAGCAGATTTGATTGCATTTTCGATGGTCTGCAAAGTAAGATGAAAAATCATAAGCGAAAATGCGGGATATTATACAAACATGAATGCCGAATGTTTTCGGAGGAATAACAGAAGTATTCATGCTACGATGAAGCAGATGGAAGTATGAGTGCAAGAGCAAAGTGACAAAAAAAGCCAGTCCCCCACTGTCACGCCGACGTGGCGCCTCCGTATTGGTAGCATTGTGCGCCATTGCACACGACGCCTCAAGCGACGCCCGATGCCCAACTCTGGAAACCAGGAATAGATTTATTGTTACAGTAACCTCTTGGTAACCTCCTTGACATAGACCCAGGAAGAAGTGGGGATATGATTGTGATCAATATCCTTCCCACATCGTGGGAGAGTACTTCGGGACATTTGAGAGTGTCTTCAGGACATTGAACTTGAATGTCTTCAAGACGATCATGATCGTAAAGACAAAACTTGAACGTGATGTGACATAACGTCACACGCGGACCGGCCCGTCCGGTAGGAGGAAGAGATGCTTATGCACGCCTCTCGCGAGTGGGATTTGACCGATTTCCCACTAGCGATAGATACTTGATTGTGTGGGTGGGTCAAAAATCGGTAGTGATGGTGTTGGTGCAAGTCGCTGAGACAGATGTGATCCTCTACCAAGCTTAGTCAGCACCCTATGCTCCTCAACATTCGGCTGAAACAAAAGACGTATAGTAAACATTGTATACCAGCAATTTGAAAGATACACAACCCGTCTACAACTAAGGTCTTCTCTAAGAAATTCTCGGTCTCTTTGCAGAAACTACAACACCCGCCAAGGCGCGCTTGCGGCACTTCTCTGCGTTTTCCTGACTATTTGTTACCGCTACCACAACGGAAGGTTCAGGACTCGGAGCCCGTGTTCCAGCGATGGCTTCATACACTGAATCGAAGTCTGCACCGAGCATTTGACGTTGGATGGTCAAATCCCCCAAAGCCGCCAACATCTGAAGACCCTGAGTCTGTCGCTGCTTGTACTTACCATGCGCAACCATGCTTTCGGATTTTTGGATCTGGGAACCGTTTTTATCAGCAGGAGGAATACAGAAACGAAATAGGGCGCTTGAAGACATACTTGTAATGTATAAGGTCGACCAAACTTGCTCGTTTCCCACTTGACACCATACTTAGCAGCCGAAACCGCAGTGAGCTGTTTCTCTACATGAGCACGAACAGCGGCCGTTGCCGTTACACTATGGAAGGGAGTGTTGGTAGTGAAAAACGCCTTCACGCTAGTGCACTCGTAGCATCTGCCGCACCCAAATGACAGTAATTGAGCGGGAATTTGCTCCGTAGGCTTTTTTGGCATCAGTCTCTGAGCAAACAGCTTCAGTACCTCAGCGCAGAACGCGGAAAATTGTGGTGCCGCGACATGGGTCTTCCAAGCTTTCATTCGGGAGTGAGACCAGTAACCAATGGGACGAGCTCCTCCATGATATACATGTCGTCTTTGTCGTCTTTCGCAATGAGCTCGTTCAAGACGCTCGTGCTCAGAAATCTCCAACGCCAACGTCATAGGCGAAATTCAGAAGGTCGATGACAGATGGACGACGAGAAGACCACTTCGGTATGCGGTGATCCCGGACGACTCGTTCGATACATTGAGCGACTATCGCAGAAATAGCGTCCCGGGCGGCCGCGTCGCTTAGAGTTGGGAGTACACGGCTATACAGACAACGTGCTAGAGATTTGATTGGCTGAATACTTTCTTTAGCTAAAATTTCGAAGCGCTCTTTTGTCAAACTGAAGCGAATTGGGTTAATCTCCAATACTGTTCAATATAACGGAAAATCCCTACAGCTGCGTCAGAAACTCATGGCTGGCTTGTAGTAGCGCCAGGGCCATGGATTCAGATACTTTTTCTCTGATCAAGAATTTCGCAAACGGCGTTCTCGAAGAAACTTTTGAAAAGCGGCCTGAGGTCAGGGTTTGCTTCGATGACTTTCGTCATATCAGGGACGAGGGCTTCGTAGAACTTCCAAGCTTCCCGCCCTTTTCCGGATTGCATGCGATTGAAGATGACGGTACATTGGTCGGTATTGGCGGTATCGATACATAACTGAACAAGCTCTATGGTAAGGGCCGGGTCACCACTGAACTTTGCCTCGGAGTAGCCTGCACAACAGCTTGGGCACGTCGTCCTCGTCACGGGGGTCGTATGGTTTCTGGGGGTATGCGGAGGTTTTGTCTACGACGTGTCGTACACATAACGATATCACTTCTGTTGCTTCAAGCGTTGAGATGCCAGCCTTCTCCCAGTTGAGAGCCTTGATAAAAGGGAACCAGAACTTTTTCTCGTGTGGTTGATTCCGAAGTTGTGGCAAGAGTCTAAAACAAGCTATCTCAGTCCTAGGGCTGACGAGACAGTAGAAATAAATCGTAACTGACATATCGCGAAAGAAGTTGATGTCATGTTTTTTGACAACACCTGTCAACCACTCCACCTCGTCAGGTTGAAGCAGTTTGAGGTTGGATAAGATGAATCCGTTCTGAATCTTGTGCCAAGCAGTTACAGCAGCGACACCCTTCTTTCCCTTTGCCGCGGCAGAGATCTTCTCAAGGAGAGCTCCTCGGGTCAGGTTAGAACTAGAGTGCTCGACTACTTTGGAAAAGCTAAAGTTGAAATGTTAAACGAATCAAGATGTCACAGTTGTATACGGCGTACATTTCCTTCAGCGACTCCCATTGGGCAGGGAACGCCCGATAGACTGAAGCGAATCCTTCGGGGTCGAGGAGGGCGTCAGTATGCGTCGTCAGATTGCACACTTGGCCTACGCGAAGGAAAGTAGAGACATCTTTCCACCTAATCGACAGCTCAACAGAGACTTTGACGGCTGTTTTAAGATCACTGATGTGTTTCTGGCGGTCCTTCTTGGGATAAGTAACTTCCATATGACGTCTGGTCTCCAGAGGCTAAACTAGCGGCTCGGTTGGTGCAAGAACGAACAAGGCCGGCGAGCAGCTGCTTCTCTTTGTCACTGGAGGAGCGGCTCTGAGATACTTGCAGAGCATGGCAAGCGTAATGTAAGACATCGCCCGTGACGGCCTTCACATCAGATGTGATTGGTATTATAAGCAGAACTGTTCGATTCCACACTGTAGATCACGGAAATCAGCGAGAGAAATTGGGATGAGGATAAGCACTCACAATGGACCAACTCTCCGCACTATTGAGGTCCTGGTCAAGGCACTGCAAAATTCAAGCAAAAAAAAAGAACATACGTGTCCATCTTCATAGTAAAACTTCTTCTGGTCTGGTTTGCCACTGTCAAGCTTCCCATTCACAATGTTGGCCTCGTCTAAGTCGAGTTTCGGGAGGCTAACAGGCATGCCGTCCAAATCAACCACTGCTTTAACCTCAATTGAGTAGCCTTCTTCTTCTGCGTCCTCCATACTATAGTTCTCTGCCTCCTCGTCGCTGTTGCCAGGACCGTCATCACCAAAAACGTCGTAATCGAAACCGTAGTCGCCGTATCTGTAACCGTAACCGCGTTGCCGATGTTCTGTCATCATATCACCCGTTACCTTGTAACAGACATTTGTGAGATACAGTTTGAAACCAAGTTGTTTTCCTAAAACTTGCATGAAGGTAAACAATGCGCGATCCCCCCCGGTCAGCAACTTGGAGGCTGCAGCTGCCTCTGTAGCGGGGAACTTGTGGTGCTCCTGGAAGACGCATGCGCGTACGAGTTTTGTCGGCTTCATGAAAACCTGCTTAATCTCTTGCTGGGCCTTTTGGGAAGAGGGTGTATTCCGAGCAGTTTGGTAGAACGCGTCCTTGAACGCGTCAACCTTGGTCTGTTTGGCGAGTCAACGCCACCAGACTGTTTTTCAAGAGAATTCACGCGTACCGTGGCCTTGGTTGACATGCTGTTGGTGTGGCTGATTGGTCGTAGCGACCGTAGGTTGGGCTTGGGGCATCCTGGGCTATAATCAGCATAGGACGACAGGGGGAAAAAATCGACGCGTCCTCGCCGTACTTTTAAACTATAGCTCTTCGACAAGTTTGAAAATGAAATAGCAATAAAAACCAGTACAAGGAAGCCTCAGGAGGTTGAATCCTTTTGACGAAGACGTATCGAAGAGAGAGAGCACGTCCGTCGGAGGTCAAAATTTTAACCACGCCCGGGGCAACGCAACGTGCACGGGCCAGCCTCAAGACTGGACTGTCGATAGACAGACGAAAAGGCATTTTCGTGGATAATAACCAGGCTGCTGCCAAGTTAGTAACACAACGCTTGGACCCCCGGCAATCAAAATGTTAGCCGACCAGTGTCCTCACCTCAGTTGAAGAGCATTCATTCTCCGTCATTTCAATGCTAAACGGCTTTAGAGAAAAATCAGAAATGTATCCACATATACATACATTATATGGAATGTTAAATGAGAAAAAATAGCGATCATCTGATGAAAAGATGGTCAATAGTGCAGATAACCAATACCGAGGTCCTTGGGACGACCGAAATCGCGACTGTGCATTCTGATTTCCCATGTGCATTTCACGATGGCGGCGCTATTCCGCTCGTTACCTCGTACAGCCCGTCTATTTGCCTTTTGCTCAGCTTTTCACTCCAAAAACGCATAATGGGCTCCCACTCGTCCTTCGATGACGGCATCCCAGATCTCCTCCCATCTAGTTTCTCATCACCGACAGATTGATACGCTCTCCTGAGTGCAACCATGGCATCACGAGGTAAAGATGGCTCGGCTGGTGAGGCGCGGTGGACGACAAGTATAGGTGTCGGAGACAGTTCTTCTATCGTAGGATACGAGAGAAGTGGACCACCTACAGACACTATCGAGCCGAATTTTCTTTTCTGTTCCTTCCACCACCTCAACCCAAATTCCGCCGCGACGCTTCCGCCCTGGGCGAATCCAAAAAGATGCAACCTGTCTTCTCGCCAGGCACAGTCCTCTACCAAATGCCGCAGGACCTGTTTCATCAGATCCAGTGCGGGGGTAGGGTTGGGATAGCGAATGAGCTCGCCGAGCGGGTCGAAGGAATCGTACCATTGAAAGGCTTCCTCGTACAGGTACGGGATCTGGTCCGGCGCTCTGAGGGCGAGGATAGCGGTCTGCGGTAGTTTTAGCTGACGACCGAGATTTGAAAAGGGCTTGTGGGTATCCCCCAGGCCATGAAGGAGAATGAGTAAGTTCTCGTCGGTACCGTCGTCGCTAGGGCAGTAGAAGAAGGGAACTGATATCCTGGAAGACTTGGGAGAGGGCTTCGCCCGAGGAAGCGCACTGGTTTCATGTTCTCTGATGTGTACGTTTGACATGCCAGTAGTACAGTTAGTTATCAGCCTGTAGCGACCGAGCTGAAGCGGTGATCGTGGTGATCGTCACAAATGATTTGATGTGATCGAGATATTTGGTTGCATCCGGAACAAGAACCGGGAATTTCCGGGAAATAATTCTGACGACTTGGGATTTATTATCCTGCAACGTTTGTCTCAAATATGTGGGATTTCGCTGGTATATATGCTCCTGATCTTCTGCATATTTTATCTCCTTCCCAGCGGCTGTAGCGATGAAACCAAGGGCAGACTGTGCAATTGATGGCAACTGTTTACCCCTGTTTTGCTGCGAGCGGCAGAGTAATGCCGAAACTAAACAATAGGACCAGAACAAAGGACTGGCCCTGGTCCGAAACGAAGATAAGAGCAAGGCGGCTACAGTGCGCCGCCCTCATTGTACCCTCATTTTTATTAACTGTTCACTCCTTGTTTGTTCTGCACGTCTTTCTTGGGCTCTTACCACCATGTTCTCCTCTACCCGTTCCTTGCCTCGCTCTCAGCACACACCTGGGCATTCTAAAAAATCCTCCATTGCTCCATCGCTTTCAAGCACCATGAATTGGCTCTCTCGTAGCTCTTCCTCTGTCTCTGTCAGCCAGACTGCCCGGCACAAGTCAGCTTCCCGTTCCATAGAAGTACTGTCGCCCAGATATGGATCACTGGGCGCAGGCGCGACAGTCGTCCGGACCCCCGACGAAGCATTGAAGGACTCGGGTGTACGTCTGACATATGAAGAAGACAGCTCACCCACAGAGGAGACTTACCATGGCTATATCCTCGATGAGAAACCGGAGGATATTCATAGGCCTCTTCCCCCACCGCCGCCGCCTCTGCCGTTTGAAATGGAATCTGACGATGAGGTTGAACTTGTCGACTCAGATGATGATGATGAGCGCATTCGAGTGGCACCACCGAGACCGACGCGTGCTCTGCCGCCATGCCCTACAATTTCCCAGTCGCAACCAGCAAAGGCGCCGTCATATACGGCTAGCTCCGATTCTCTTCCACCACCTCCCTTTCGCGCCATTCTTCTATCCGACGCGCCAAATTCTACCGTTGACCGGTCGAAAGTCATTATTACCCTTGAAACATGCACACATACCCACAAAACCACATTTGATACCCTCACATCTCAACCTTCACATTTGTCTGATTTCTTAGCGGGCTTGTTCCCCCGCGCAAGAAATATGTCCGATGCATCATCTGTCTACTCAACAAATAGTGATGACATGCAAGCATGTCGAACACCTTTGCAATTGGCCCCCACCGCCTTTTCGCACAGTCCTTTCCATCTTTGTGTTTTCCTTGACCGGCCAAGCGAATCGTAAGTCCCACTGTTTAATTCCTTATATGCCAAATTCTGAATCAACTTCCATAGATATCCTCATATCCTGGCCTACCTTCGTTGCCATCCCCAATATCCCCGTCTTCCTCGTCTCGATATTGGAGCCCTATTAGACCTGCGAGATGAAGCTACATTCCTCGGGCTGACAGGTCTTCAGGCACTCTGTGCGGAGGAGATCCGACGTCTCGCTACCATTGCACCATCCGTGCACAGCATGCGAGCGTCGGTGCACAGTAACCTCCTCGAGCGTACTGGGCGTGAAATGCAGCGACCTGGACCAGGGACAGGGACGGCCCGCGACACAGAGAAGAGTTTATCTGACGGTGGAGTTGGCTACCGCTCTCCACCTACACCTCAGTCGTGGACGAAGAGCCGCACTCGCGAGTCCACGTCAACAAGTAGTCGTCGGTCACCAGCTGGCTGGCTATAACCAGACACATTTATTTTCAGATCGTGGTTTTTATTTATCTTTCTCTTTTGGTGGCTCATGATCATGTACCTTACTGCTCTTGACTGCTCTGGAATGCGTCACTGTATCATAATCTTTAATTCACGACCATGTATCCATAAGTACATAGCATATGCCTATTAGTCTGTCATTACCGTATAAAAGCAACATTACCACGCCGCTGTTCATGTCTGCCTTATCACAGCTCAACCGCTGTTACGAGTTCGGCGATCAAAGCGTCTTGCATGTTCCAGGTCAGTGTCGCCCTGTCACTACGTACATTCATGATGCCATACAATGAGAACGTGCTCACCAAGGTGACGTTCTGTGTCGCAGTATGAAAAATTTCCAGGAGAATCAGAGAGACGTCGAGGCCCCTCAGGCACTAGATTTAGGGCGGACAAAACAACTATGTAGTAAGTAAATAATGAGCTGAGTTAAATCGGAACATGGTGCATTCATTACTAGCTTTCTATTTTTTTTCCAGTGCACCTGAACGATCGAGTTAACGTTGCAATGATCGAAAGAAGCGTACACATTTGGTTTCCATGGCTTTTAACGGCCGTGAATCGTTCAATGTACTGAACAGATGACGCTGGCATGGGAGATTAACGTTATGAATTGTACCAGAAGTCAGTGAGAGACCTGGAACGACATTTATTGCTCTAGCTTCAGATACGAAATTTTCGAGCCTAGTTCTAGCCGCCCATACGTTATGGTGGTACCGTACAAGCCAGTACTCGATAGTGAGTACTTTTCTGTTAACTCGTTAAATTGTTTATGTGGCGTAACATACAAAGAAGATCGACGGAGATAGATAGAGGAGGCATCAGACGTTGAACAACTTGAAGGGTCGTAAAAAGCCAAGAAATTAGTTGTTGTATTTCTGTGGCGCTAGTTCCGCACCTTACTACAAGAAGGAGAGAATTGTCCTATCTTGTGCTCGGAACAAAGGGGTGTTTCGAGCCTCCTGTTGGTCCGGGACTCGAACCGGAGCCGACACGCGAAAAACTGTGATCAAATCATGAGGTTATATTGCGCATACCAACATGAAATACCGAGCCACTAACACCGCTTAATGGCCCTTGAGAAGCTTCGTAGAGAGAAATGTTAGAAAAATGGCGTCCAGCACGATAGGGAGTGAAGGAATGGCTCGAAGAGAACGGCATGGTAGCTAAATGGGGCTAGACCGCAGACCATAGTAGGCGAGGCCGGCAACGCCCCATGATCGTAGAGTGATCGCCACTTTAGTCTCCCATGACTTCTTCATTTATGCTTGGTTTCACACCGTCCCTCATCCCCCCCTTCGCTTTAGACTACTATGTCAGTGATAACTTCCTCATCTTCAAGCATCATCGAGCGCAGCGTCCGTTTTGACGACGAATGCGTCCTTATTCCTCAGGGCCCATCCAAGAAGCCAGGCCTGGTGGTTATTAAATCATATATCCTCCCCTGGTGGAAGCGTAAAGCTTCAACACATAATCGGGGCGTCGGAGCGAAGGAAAGCGAGAATATCTCACCGCCTGATGTTAAAGAACATATAACGCTCAAAATTCCTTTACCGAGGTCCGTTATAGACATTTGCAGCCTGTTTATCAGATCCTGAAAGATGTGTTAGTTTCCTGACCAAAACTCTACCGTCGCCTCATTACACGCATGCGGAACCTCTATCACCTTGCCTTGTGCATCGCGAACAACGGTCCGCGTCGACGCACTCATCTCCGACTATTCACCATGCAATACCCGCCGCGCTCACTCGCACGGCTTCGCTTCCTATGACTGACCATAATGGAAAACCCGTTACCACTGTGCCATTGCGCGCATGTTGTCCCAATTGTTTCCACACAACGGAGCAGTCTTTGCAAGAAGGTGACCGGTGGAAGGAAAAATTCACACGCGGTGCCAGAAGACTGAGGCGTGCGAGCATAGATTATTCACCTTCTACTGCGTCTGCCTCTACATCATCAGAGATGAATCTGAGCCTTGAGGCGGCGGAGGAAGCCTTGTTTCACCCACAGAGACATTCTGCATCGACAACGGAGGAGGCCTTTAAATTGAAGCCTGTCGCAGAGCCAGAGACACTGTCTGGTCTGATATCTATCGTCTCTATACCCACGAGCCCACCTATTGTCGAGGAAGAAGAGGAGTTCCAGGCTGCCACAAGCTGCAGTCTAGCCCATAGATGATGGAGACGCCACCTTCTTTGATACAACTCAGACGCTGCGGCGTCTTCGAGGACCGTTGTTGATGGGCATGACTCTACTGGGATTTCCCCGTGGATAGTCCGTTGTTGTAGTATGTACAATAGCATGTACTCCCACGTAGGTAGCGCCGAGGCTATATACCTTGTCTGAGTTGCTTGAACATATACAGATCGGATGTTCTACGGGACAGGAACTAACTTGTCGCCAAAAACCGTAGTCAGTAATGTAGCCATGTGCATTATCTCTTTGGTGCCCAGAGATCATACAACTCCTTGTCTGCAGGATCGAAACATGTCAAAAGCGCTGGATCTGAGCGAACCAGAACCCTCCTAGTGGGAGTCCCCATGTGAAAGGATGAACGCGAGGCTTCCCGTGTGAGACGGCTGCTTATGCCAGAGTCGGAGAATGCGGTGGAAAGCGAGGGGCCGTTTTGAGCCTGCTTTACCAAGGTCATTTGGAGATTAAAAGTTCCAGTGAATATTCTCTCACCTCATTTTGAGAAGAGACGTTCCTTGCGCGGAGGGTAGAGTCTGGAGTGGCTGGTTCGTCTGGTTGTTGCTTAGTTACGCAACAGTATAAGAACGGTAGCAACGTACTCGAGAAGGGTGGAGGGGGAGACGAAGAAAGACCAGGTGAAGGCGAAGCAGACATCACAGCGCGTCGACAGCCTACAATCCAGAAAAGAATAAAACAAGGTTGCGAACCAGGGCAACAAAGCCGGCCGAAAATGGGTAAAGAGCGTGACACAATCCTCGTGATTTTGTCACGCTCGTGAAGTCAGTTTCTCCACCTTTACCTTTAACCACCACCTCCTCATATTCTCCAGCTATGAATCTCTTCAAAAACCGTATGTATCATGATTCATCGGGACTGAATGACACTGATATCGTCCTGTAGTGCTGGGACGGGTCTGGCGTTCGTATTTCATCAAGTCACATAATTGATACTGGCCACTGACTCTGAACTCTTTTAGACGATCCTAACGCTGCCGAAGGTACGTCAAACATGCTCTGCCACTATATTATTACAAACATGCCGTCGCAGTCGTGAAGATCTCGTCAGGCCAGCTCTATCTCATCCGACCAGGCAGCATACGCTCATCTCGCGAATGCATGTACGACTCAGTGCTGTTTCTGGCGCTCTCTATTTTTAATCAAAACTTGAACAGATATAATGATGCCATGGCGACTATTCGCCGCATTCCAAGTGCTGAACATAATTTCCATCTAGTGATCACCAGGGTATATGAAGAGGGAGATCAGGAGCTGCTAGAAGATGAAGACGAAAGTGCGCCATTGCTGCCGTGTCTCTGTTTCTCGGAAACTGATTTCCGACTTTTACAGCTGATGAAGAACGCTCTTTTCTCATCGGAGATGAACTAGAGTTTCGCTCGGGAGAGACCGATGGCGAACCTACGTTTATCTGGAGGGACCTCGAAGGAGACGTAGACGAGTTCTACGAATATGTGGCTACGAACACGAATGCCCCGATGAAGGTGTTCTTTGAGACATGCATGTATCGGGCCATGTATGAGCGAAAGTATAAAGTCAACGGGGACAACATCTCAGAGAAGGAACTAGAGGAGTTCATATGGAAGTAAGCGCTCTCAAAGAGTCCTGTTATCCGTCGGTTCAATCTCATTTTGTTTCACATAGGCCAAAGTCGAAGGCACCTGCTTCAAAGAAGCATGAGACACACGACAATTCCCCTGCGACTTCTACACCCGTTGTCTCCCAGGCAATCGCTAAGGGCAAAGCGAAGGCCGACGCCGTTAGCAAGGAGCCTACTACCACGCTTTTCTCCTCCGAGGCTGAGTTGTGGTTGTGGTGTCCTGATGAAGTCCAAGATGACGGTACTATTGGGGTGTTCTTTAATCAGGGGATCGTCATTGCCGAAATCATTCAACGCAAAGGCCAATACAAGTTTTGGTTGACGGCCAAGACAGACGATGACATTCTCCTCGCCCATGAAATTTCTGCAGATATGAACCATAGATCGTCGACAAAGATGTTTTCTCTTACTTGGAATCATTGGGATGGCGAGGAGTCTTCAAGCTGGCTGGTCAAGTTCCCTCCCGATCCGGAGCTTTATAATACTTTCCTCGAGCTATTCCTTCAGGCACTCTGGGAAACTAAATTCCAGAGCCCATTCTCAAAACAGAAGGTGCGAGACTTGCGGATGCTCAGTTGTATATTAACTCACAAGTCGTTATTAGGCGGAAGATCAAAGGTACATCTTTAGTGCCGACGAAGACGTTGTCATGATCGACATTGAAGATGAAGAGGACGAAGAGGAAGAGGTATTGTCTGAACTAGAGCCTGAAGATGGTTTGACTTGCTACTTTTGTCGTCTGCGGTATATTTTTACTTATCATCCTTCTAGACTACGGATCTGAAGGCGAAGAAGAAGAGGATGATGTACCTTCTGAACTCCCAGGCGAGAAGAACTCGATGCTCATGGTCGGATACAAAGGAGACCGTTCGTACGTCTTGCGAGGCAACAAGATTGGGGTCTTCAACCATACTGCCGACCACAATGTGAAATATCATCTATCGATTGGCAATATAAGTACCACGGGGGGGAAGGCGTTTACACCTAAACATGTCAGTGATATTTTGGTATACATGCTCACATGTCTGATGGTCTCGAAGGTTATGCTCCACGAACAAGACTCGAAGATGATTCTGATGAATCCTGCGGACCCCAATTCCTTGTACAACATGGACATTGAGCGCGGCAAAGTCGTGGAAGAGTGGAAGATTCACGACGACGTCACAGTTTCCCACATCGCCCCCGATAGCAAATTCGCTCAGACTACTCACGAGCAAACACTTGTGGGTGCGTCGCACAATGCGCTGTTCCGCATCGATCCTCGAGTTTCTGGCAAAAAGTTGGTCGACAGTCAGTATAAGCAGTATGCGGGGAAGAACAAGTTCTCAGGCGTCGCCACGACCGCGGCAGGGAAGATTGCGGTTGCAAGCGAGAAGGGTGATATACGGCTCTTTGATTCGATCGGAAAGAACGCGAAGACGGCACTGCCTCCGCTGGGTGACCCTATCCTTGGTATTGATGTGACGGCCGACGGACGGTGGATTGTGGCGACGACGAAGACATATTTGTTGTTAATTGATACGCTTATCGGGGAGGGGAGATGGCAGGGTAGCCTCGGGTTTGATCGGAGTTTCCCCGCAACCTCCAAGCCGATACCTAGACGGCTCCAGCTGAGGAGCGAGCATGTGGCCTATATGAACCATGACGTTTCGTTCACGCCGGCGAGGTAGGCTCGTTCCGCTATTCGTGTCGGCACAACTAACAGGCTGTAGGTTCAACCAGGGCGAGGGACAGTCCGAAAACGCGATCGTGACTTCGACTGGACAGTACATTGTTGCATGGGACTTTTCAAAAGTCAAGAAAGGCATGCTGGATAGATACGAGATCAAGAAGTACGAAGACTTGGTGGTGCAAGACAACTTTAAGTTTGGCGACGATAAGGAGATTGTAAGGACCGGATTTTGTTTCAGTGCATGTGTGTGGCGTACTGATTTGATTTCATTGTAGATTGTGGCGTTACAGAATAACGTGCTAGCTGTGAACAAGAAGAGCCTGAGAAAGCCTACTCGGTACTCGTTATCCGGACAAGTGGCCAGTGCGCGAGGACATTCGAACATTGTCAATGCTCCGTACTGAACGCAAAGTCGGACGACTTACGATGTTATGGATTCTTTTTGTTCGCGTTATGATTTGTTATCTTTTACATCATTACATGTTTTCCCCTTGGATATCCTATATAGTAGTAAACGGTTTCGCAGCGAATGATTTAACATGTATCTCGACAGAGTATTACTAGCCTGTACTAATGATACAGTAGATCATTATCGGCTCTGCGGCAGTAGGTGTGAAGGAGTCTGAAGCTAAGGATGGTGAGTTGTGGGCACGAAGGGGAAAGAAGCCACTCGACGCACAATATCCTTCGCTACTTCTGAAAAATCTTGGGGAAATTGCCATCCCTTGCGTCTACATAGCGGCCGATTCCCAGATGCCAACAAATGCGGGGAATGAGCAGAGTCATGCCGAGGCCTATTGTCGCCCATAACATTGGGCTCCAATTCCAGACGTCCCACTTTTGGTCACCGAGAGACCATAGGGTCAAGTAGAGATGCATCAAGTCGCCGATTAATAGTGGGCAGAGGAGGGCAAAGGTGAACTTTTCCTGGAGAGCTGGGAGAGCATGGAGGTGCTTCCGTACGGCAGAGAGCAGGAAGAAGTTGATGACGCCGACCAACGCGCAAACGTGGGCGAGCTGGATGACGGTGACGAGACTGGCGCGCGGTAGGACGTCTGGCGGTGGCGAATCTGAAGGCCAGGCTGCTTGGCCATCATGAGTCTAGATGGTACCTCTGAGTTGAGTGGACCGTGCAGGAAGGAATGAAGCTCACGCTCTTCGGGTCACTGTTAGATTGCAAGTCAGCGATGAGAAATGGAGCGAGAAAAGACCATACGCCAATGCTCCAAAGAAACCTAGGATGCAGAGAGTGGGCTCATAGGCTGCAAATATAAAATAATAAAAATCGGGGAGGGCAGACTTTGGAGGCATTAGCAAGGGGGGAAATGAGCGACGAGGGAGAAGGGGGAATATGTACAAGGGACTTGGTGGAGAAAGATAAAGAAGAAGACGCCCTTGATTGTGCTTGCTTCGGCTCAACGGGACGCTCGAAAGCGACAGGCCAAATTGAAAGGGCAGCCCTCCCAGAAGATCACCGAACGCGCATGGGGTTGTCAAAAGCTGAGCCCCACGTAATCGCCGAATGTCATCAGATCAACCCCGGGCGCCGTCCCTGGCCTGCCCTCATGTGCCGTTATTTAGCCAAGCCAATCTCACAATCTTCCGGCTTTTCATCTTACATCCCAGGTCCTCTTGAAATACCAAGGTGGCCTACTTCTACTTATTGTAGGATGCACCTAATGGTGAGGACCGAGATCACCGATGAGGATTATAATGCTCAACTGATGGATCGTCGGTCCCAGGAGCGTTGAGCTTCGCTTTCTTCTGACATTAATATTTTTTTTTGCGGCGTTATGTATGTACATGTATATATAAAAACATCCTGAAAAACAACCTTTTTGTCGTTGTACCGAGGTTCTGCTGGGAGAAACCCTCATTCACGCCAGGTTGTTGGGAAACGTCAGGAAGCGGAGTGACATGAGGCATTGCAGATCCCGTTCAGAAAAACGTTATTGCGGCGGCGTTTTGTGAAATTGAACCTTGGTACCTTTGTGGCCTGAGAGTGCACATAGGACTGGGTGATTAATTCAACCATCAACCGCATGCTGGCGAGTTGAAAATTAGCGTGCCGATAATTCTTCATTTTATGACGCATGTGCGTCCTATGTGATTCCGAATTGCCGGACCGTGTGCCGGATGTTTGCTTCGACCTATTGCCATGAGTCAGACTGGGAACAAGACGCCCAGGGATTTGTCGCCTGTCCCTACGATTGCCTCAATAGACCGTCCACCTGACGAACATGAGGGCATCCCTGTTTCAAAGATATACAAGCCGTATTCAATCCATGTCGTCGCCCTCCTCATCCCAGCTTCCATCTTCGGCCTCCTTGCGAGACTCGGATTGGAGGCACTCGCCACATATGATGGCCAGAGCATCTTTCTATTGGCATACCCTCAAGCCGTCGGCTGCCTCATTATGGGTTTTGCCGTCCATCTGAAGGCACCCTTTGGCCAATTGTAAGTCGACCTCTAAATTTGCCTTTCGTGGCTCATCTCTTGGTAGTTATGGACCACTGTATACTGCAGTGACCACAGGTGGGCCCCAGCGGTCTTCATTTACACCTGTTCTGACATCCAGACAGGCTTCTGTGGCTCGCTGACTACATTTTCCAGTTGGCAAGTCGACATATTTGAGTCATGGCTCAACTCGTCAGACTACCACAGAGGTGGTCTTCGTGATGTGCGTCTTTCTGTTGGTTCTCGCTATATGCTTGTAGTGAAATTACCACCAGTTCATCGATGGCGTCGGCAAGACAGCCTTTACGCTCTCCATCTCGCTCGCTTCTCTTTCCTTCGGGTCCTCTATCGCAAAGCTCATAGCGCCACGCCTCCCAAAGATTCCTCCACCAACCTTCCCTATCCGTTATTCCATTTCTGCCTTGTGTATCCTCATCTACGCTGCCACGTTCCCGCTGTACTTTCGGCTCGACCCCGATTTCAGACACCAAGCCATCTCGGCCTTGCTCTTCGCCTTTCCCGGCGCCCTCACCCGCTACGTTCTATCGACGCAGCTCAACCCCTTACTGTCATCCTTCCCCGTGGGCACCTTCGCCGCAAATTCGCTTGCGACAGCGTTCCTAGCCGTCTTTCATGTGCTGCAAAGAAAGACACCGAGCATTCCGTGGTCTGCCTGCTCTACCCTGCAGGGCCTGTCTGATGGCTATTGTGGGTGTTTATCAACCGTCAGTACGTTTGCGGTAGAGGTGAAGACCCTGAAGCGTTGGTCCAACGTGCGGTATGTCTTGGCTAGCTGGGTAACTGCTCAGCTACTCTTACTCGTTATCATCGGTCCGGCTTTGCTTTCGCAGAGTGTATCGGAACGGACGATGTGTTCCTTTGATCCTTGAATGCCACACTTTTTCTCATAATTGAGTACTAGACGGCATCTAGAGCACCCGCCCTGATGTCACTCACGTATACTTCTGTCATTATTAACGTGGGCGGAATTCTCAAGGTTCAGAGACATTCAATTGGAAAGAATCAAAGACCTCGGGTCCGGATACAATCGCCGGTTGTGTGAGTTAGTGAGTTGTGCGGTCGGACCAAGTCTACCCGCTCTAGGACGAATCTATTGTCTTTCTCAGGCGTTCTAACTATAAAGGTTTTAGGTTAACGCCGCCTTTTGTTATCTGCCAACTCCACGAGCGCTTCAAGATGAAGAGTTGATCGGAGTACCGGGATGAGATACGCTCTCCACCAAATATATTGCTTAGTGAGTGACCATGGTCTAGATACCGTCGTGAAAGACTCCTTCACATGTCACCCACTAGGCTGTCCATTTCTCGTCGTATACCTGCGACAAAAACTCTTAAAAAGACCATGCGCAGTTCATGTCCGACATCTTGTTCCGCGCGGCTCTTGGGGACACCAGCACCGAAGGAACTTTGATAAGTGAACGACCCGATTAATCTCAGCAAAGGGACAATTGGAGAAAAAATTCTAGGATGATGGTGAGACTGGACCCGGCATTCCGTGAAGGAGCGAGATTGATATTTCTTCTATGTGGAACAGGGAAATAGACGTGTGTCAATTTTGTTGTCTGGGATTCTGTGAGTCTGGATGAATGACGAGAGGCTTGCTATTGGTACGCCACTGCTATGCTGGAGGCGTAGTCTTCTGGCCACGTACCTCGAACCCTGGCGACAGGTCAAGAGGTTGAACCTCGGGAGAAAGTGTCGTCTTTGTGGTTATTGAGAAAAACTACATATGAAGTGCTTCAATATATGACAATATGTTCTAGTCTCAGCATTAATTAATGTTCCGGCGCGAAGACGGCTGCCCTGATCAATAATGGACCACCTTCTCCAGAACAGAGGTCCAGCCCTGATAATTATAACCAGGGCAAGACCCTGACTCAGTGGTCATGCTTCGCGGGCTGGAGGGTTAACGTCAACTGCTGAAAATTGAAAGGGTAGTAAAAGTCTTGGTCTAACGTTAGATATATGCATAGCTCAATCAGACTTCTAACACACTAAGATGATTTGAACTTGATTCTATTTCTTAGTTCTCTCCTTCTGTGTTTAATAGATCAAAGTATCGGCAATTATGTACCCAATCAATCTCTTAGTTTCCAGCACAGTCTTCTAAGGCTGCCGCGGTCGGTATCTCGTTATTAAGTACTCTGGGGCTCATCGACTTGATGATTCTACTCCGGCCCGGTGTACGCAGTAGCACTAAGAAATTCTCCCAAGCCTTCGTGGTCAGCATTCCTAGAAAGCAAACCGTCGACGAAAGATTAGTATTAGAAACGAGAATCAGGCAAATCAGAATGTTCTTTACATATAAGGAGACTCTTCCCTCGCACCGATAAGCGACAGTCACACTCCTCATGAAGCCCAGCAGGTAAAAACAGCAGAAAGAATGGCTTGCGGCCAACGTGGAGAGCATCCTGGCCCACAAGCACCGTCTGGGTACAGTATACTGGATTGGCTGCAAGGAAAACAAGAAAAGAGCACCAAGGCCACCGAGGAATTTGCCTGATCGGAGTTTCAATACCTCGTTCCCACTCACAGCGTCCGAGTCGTGCCCTTGTCCCGCAAACGTTCGTTCGTTCCCCTTCCCCTGCTAGATGCCTCGGAACATACAAGTGGACGCCATACCAGCGGATGCAGACATAGAGGAAGAAGAAGACGGTACCGGCGAAGGCGACGAAATCATGGAAGAAGTCGACGACCAAGAGGACGGCTACAGTGAGTATTACTTTCCTTCATTCTTTCCATCCCCCCTTCCATTGGCATTACCATTCCAATGATTAATAGTTTGAAATCTTAATGGCTACTTTTTTTTGTTATGATTCACTTACAGCTTCGTCAACACCCACTTCAACAGTCACTTGGATTAGTTGGTTCTGCTCCCTACCGGGCCACGAGTTTTTCTGTGAAGTTACGGAGGATTTTATAGAGGATGACTTTAATTTGACGGGATTGAATACGATGGTGCCGTTCTGGAAGGAGGCGATGGAGATGGTCCTCGATGTAGAACCGGGTGCGTCGTCATGCTCGGTAACCTTCTTTTTGAGACTTACAGACGGTTCCATAGATGAGGACGCTACTAAAATTCCCGATGTATCGATTGTAGAGTCCTCCGCAGAGATGCTATACGGACTCGTTCATCAACGGTACATCCTGACTCGCGCCGGGCTGCAAGCGATGGTACGATTGAGTCTTTTCACGGAGAGGGTCTCGCGATGATTAACTTACTGTGCTTCCTGAACAGATCGATAAATACGAAAGTAACACTTTTGGGACGTGTCCGCGCGTTTACTGCCGGTCAATGAACGTCGTGCCGTGCGGTCGTTCAGATTTGCCTGGTCTCGACACAGTGAAGCTCTTCTGTCCCAACTGCAACGATATCTACGTGCCCCCAAGTAGCCGTTTCCAAGGCGTCGATGGTAGCCCCCCCCTCTTGGGTTGCAAAATCGTAACTAATCGTTTACTTATCTAGGTGCCTTCTTTGGAACAACCTTCGCGCATCTCTTCTTCCAAAGCTACCGAGAACTTGCCCCTGCACCCTTCTACAAACCCATGTCGTCCGGGAGCTCTTCGGCGTCACCTAAAAGCAGCAATGGTTCGAGTGTTCCGGCGTTTGTGAACCCCAATCCTCATGGTGGACAGAAGCGGGCGGAAGGGAGTGTTTACGTGCCTAAAATCTATGGATTCAAGGTCAGCGAGCGGGCAAAGAGTGGACCGCGTATGAAGTGGCTGCGAATGCGTCCAGAAAGTCCAGAAGAGCTGGATATGGTCGATTGGAGGGGAAGGTGGATAAACGGTGATTATGACGGTGAAGGTGACGAGGATGAAGAGGAAGAAGACAGACAAATGGAAGATTTTGACCCGGTATTTTTCCCTGTTTTAGATTTTGACCTTCCCTTTTCTGAGGCGCTGGCGTTTTCAGGATGCTATAGATGAAGATGATGACGAAGAAGAAGAGGAGGAAGAGGAAGAGCCACCCAGCACGATGCAAGGACAGCAGCGATATGGACGAAGGGTAGCAGACATTATCTCGGCCCAAAGCATGTCACATTCTGCGCGGACTTCTCCCACTTCTAGTGTTGCGCCTCGTACACCGAAAGAGTCACCACGGGTGAACCCATCGTTGTATGTCGCATCGCCACCAATCAGACTAGGGCTTCCTGGAGGGCAGGTGCGCATGGTGCGGCAGTATACTCCTCGTTTGGAGACGCTGCCTCCCACGGCGCAGGTTTGACTGATTCGTTCGGTACATATTTTCTCTTCTTTGTTCTTCCACCATTCTATTTTGTATACACCCGTTTATTCCGCTGCAAGATACCACACGCAATCCTGTAGGCCTCTAAAACGATCAGGAATATCATTTAGCTTCTGCTTCCTTTTTCATCATTTCCCCTTGGGTTCGAGTGTTCATTCCAAAACACGGTTACGGGTCAGGTAGGTGCCATTGCACTCTTTTGGGTAGAGACGTTGACTCAGACTGCTCTCTTCCGCTCGGGGTCCGCATGAACACCAGTACTCTCTAGATCTTCTAGTCGACTCACCGCTCCCTACAGACCACTTCGACGGCATACCAGATTCTGGCAAGCGCATCGCACTCGGAATCAGTTTATCATTTTCAATTTGATGATCGGACCCAGTCCGCAGTCGGATCTAGTCTTATCTGATAAGGCACCACCCGTTTGATAATCTTCTAAACGAATGAACTTGGAATAGGCATTTTGACGGCATAAAAGCTTGACGCGACCATGCTCTTCTTTTCTCACCCCTGCCCCCCAAATGTCTAAGAGAGACGAGCCTGAATCCTCTCGCAAGAGCGTCGCCAGCGATGATCGTGTTTCTCGTGACAATTCGTCTGATGTTGCAGCTCATACTGGTGTCGAGGCTGTCAAGGCTACGCACAAGGTGTATGGCAAGTATTCGAGATGGTGCCTCTTCATCGGGTAGGTCCCTGGGACCCTTGCTGCCAAGAAATTTTAACCGTTGATTCTTTGATGCCCAGTATCGGTTTGGCTTCGTACTATCTACTCCCTCGATGGTCAAACTACGTACTCGTACTTGACGTTCGCAGCCTCAGCCCTCAAGGACCATAATTTGATCAGTACCATCCAGACTGCTCAATCTATCATCAGTTAGGCTCTCTTTTCGTACACGCTGGTAGATACTGACCTTTTTTTTCTTTCAAGTCGCGTGTGGTAAGCCTGTGATCGCAAAAGTAGCAGACGTTTCATCCCGAGGATTTGCCTACGTCTTCGTCTGTGAGTTGACAACAGAATTCTTAACAGAAGCATCTTCTTACATCATGGATTAGTGGTATTCTACATCGTTGGTGCGTATTTTAACTGAAAACGTCTACTGAGTTTGTTTTGAATACTGAGCTCGTAGGGTATATCGTCATTGCTTCGGCCCAAAACATCCAGACTGTTGCGGGAGGGATCGTCCTATACGCCGTGTCCGTGTTTCGTTTTATCCGTATGTGTTCGTTGGCACTAATGATGTCTGCAGTGGGTATACAGGCCTACAACTCCTCACTTCCATCATTATCGCGGATATCACTACGCTTCAATGGCGTGGATTCGCTGTCGGAATGACCTCCTTACCGTTCATCATCAACGCCTTCATTGGAAGTAATGTGAGCACCCAGATTCTCAATGGTGCCGGTTGGCGCTGGGGATGTAAGTCTACCCCGCTTTCAATTGTTACCAGGTCAACTGACAATTTTGTTTCCCGCCAGATGGGATGTTTGCGATTCTCATTCCCGCGTCTCTGTCCCCACTCATTGTCACGCTTGTTTGGGCTGAGCGGAAGGCCAAAAGGTTGGGATTGGTCCCCGAAAAACCCAAGGCTAGTAAAGATTTGGCTTTTTTCAAATCCTTTGCTAACTCTCTGGCTCTCTCTAGTCCGATGAATCTCTCCTACAGCAAACTCTTGAAGTCATGTCCCAACTTGATGTTGTAGGACTGGTGCTCATCGGGACCAGTGTTGCACTTATCTTGCTTCCTTTGACTCTTGCTGAGAATGCTTCTGGAGGATGGAATAATCGTGAGCCCATTTCTATGCTGTCGACGTGATGTTTCTCAAAGAGCTGCAGCTTCTATGATTGCAATGCCCGTCATCGGCTGCCTCCTCTTCCCTGCTGTAGGACCTTGGGAGTTCAAATTTGCAAAATACCCAGTAATCCCATGGCGGTTCGTCACAAATTTCAGCAGCCGTCGGCGCAAGTTTGATTGGTTTCTTTGATTATGTATGTCCTTCCTCGTGCAACTTGATTGTTCGCTCACTATCTGTGCTAGGATTTCGTTCTACCTCACTTACGTCTATTTGTACTCCTTCGTCATCGTCGTTAAGCCATGGTTTATACCTTTCTTCCGAGTGTCCAACTCTAATACGCCTCTACAGGTCGCTTGTCAATGCTACCTACTTCATTCAAACGCAATCCGTCGGCCTAACGTTCTTCGGTATCCTGTGTGGTCTCGCCATGAGGTTCCTACATCGGTACAAGGTGTGCATGCCAACGTTTCGTCTTCTTAGTTTCAATTCATGTCCCAAAGCTTCTCCTTGTCGTTGGTCTCGCTATTCGACTGCTGTGAGTTACTCTTAATGCCAATCCATCTCCAACCACTCATCCGCTTACCCTGACAGCGGAGTTGGTCTCATGATCCACTCCCGTGGCGCGAACGCCTCCGATGTTGAGATTGTTTGGACTCAAATTATCCAGAGCATCGGTGGCAGCATGGCCGCCATTACCATCCAGACAGCCGCTCAAGCCTCTGTCTCCCACAAGGATGTCGCTACCGTCACTGCCATGGTGCTGTTACTCACAGAAATCGGGGGTGCTATCGGAAACGCGGTTGGTAAGTACGACTGCTACCGAAGTGTATCACTAATACTGATACTACTGATCCGGATAGCCGGTGCAATCTGGACGAACCTGATGCCCGGAAAACTGTTGAAATACCTACCAAACATTTCACAGGACGAGCGTGATGCGCTGTATTTCTCTATCACGACTGTGGCTTCCTATGCACGCGGTACGGAAATTCGAGAAGGTGCCGTCTCAGGTATGACAGTTATTCCTCCTGGCTGCATACATACCATCCATGACTGATGTTTCCATTCCAGCTTACGGAGACGTCATGAAAATTATGCTCATCGTGGCCACTGTCATGAGCGTCATTCCTCTCATCATTTCGCTCTTCATGCCTGACTGGCACTTGGGTGAGAAGCAAAATGCTGTAGACGAGGAAGATTTGGCTGGTGAGGTTGACCATAACGCGGCTCAGAGCCGAGCCTGAGGTTCTAATTATAGTTCATAATATGGTAGTCCTATAGTTGGCTATGGTTGTTTACTAATGGAAAATCACGTCTTGAGCTAATTATATCTGGAGGGACGTTAGCAGGCAAATAAGGAGACCTCGCGAAGAAGTGTACAATCAGGTGGAATCATATCAGATAACGATTTTAACGATTTGTTATCTGATAAGGTGCAGGAACTTGGTTGGGGCGCACTAAAACAGACTAGGGCCCGCTTGACGGAACTTCGCGCACTCTGTAACAAATTTGCATCTTTTCAGATCCGGAGCTGGTGAACATTGAACCGTTTGTGCTTAGTTTCATCTTGAAAACGTCATCTAGCATCTATATGTACTAGAATTAAATAAAGCTGGCTGTAGATAGGGTACAAACTGGTCTATATTACAATCGATTGTAACACACGCTCTAAAATTGTGAAATTTACACATCTTTCAATGGAAAACCAACATCTACCCATTCCCGCATTCTCTGGCCATACCGGATGATTACCCAGATCATCCTATGAAAACCAATGAATCAAATCATAACCGAGGGATTAGAAAGAGACTCACACAAACGCAGACCATGCAATAACAGTCGCGATCACGTCAGTAGCAAGTACGCCTATATGTTTAATCGAGGGCAAGATCCCTGATGTCGCAGCAGCAAGCACGATCGCCCTCAACCCTCTTCAAATAGCCGCGAGTCAAAACCTAGCTTGAGCTACAAAAAATATACACCCACGTCGTAGCAGCCATGACCTCTGCGCTCCTCTCATGCACAACATCCACGGTATACGCCGTCGCCGGGGTCAGCACCAGGTCCACTCCGATCCCATTCATGAAAAAGCAAAACAGGTTTAATATCAGCCCAACTTTGCCGTCGACAAAGTGCGTTACGAGTCCGGATATTAGGACTGAGAGAGGGACGGGGAGCATGGCGCCTGGAAGGGCGGCTATAAGGCGTGCTTCGGGCCGCCATATGTCAGTGCCATATTTGACGCGGGAGGCGATCACCACGCGGTCTGAGAGCCAGCCTGCTATGGGGGCGCCGACTGGAGACAGAAGGGTGAGTGAGTAAGCCATGCAGCGGGAGCTGTGGAGAACTGACTTATGTTGCCTAGTCCGCAGGGGATGAAACATGCACCGATGAGAAATTCGTTGGTAATGTTATATTTGACGCCCTGGGTAGTTGATGTGGTGAGTAACTCGCATAAAACGTGGGTGACACTACGCACGATAGTGTAGGCTACGGGCATGAGTAGGACTGGTGAAAAACGTTCAGAACTGCGTCGGGACAGAAAGAGGTAAATCATACCATAATCCGTAATCAGCACAGCTGCTCCAGCGAGTGTCTGAAGTACATTAAAGGACGGATACAAGCGAAATGACAGAACACACTCACAGCAAGCAGGAGGTTTGGACTTCGCAGCATACTCAGAGACGCAAAAGGATTAAGCCATACCCATACCCAGCGCCTCGGAGATTCGCCTTCACGTTCACGAAGCTTGTCGATTCCTCGGGATCCTGGGTGACTTGTCTCTGGGAAGAACAATAACATCGCTAAGAAAGCCAAAAGGCCCCATACGGCGAGAGCAATCTGCGTCCATCTCCATGACGCATAATGCGCGCCCCAGCCTAGTAGAAAGATAAGTACTCCCACTAAAAGACGGCCTAGATCACAACTCACCACCTGCAACGGGTGCCAGTGCCGGTCCCAAAAGGGAAGCCTGCGCAGGAGGGAAGATGAATCAGCGAAAGAGTTCTTTTATTGCTTGCGGGACGGGCATACACCGAAGAAGATACCCATTGCGGTCCCGCGTTGGGTGAGCTTGTAGATATCGCCTATGACTGCAGCGCCAACGGACATGCCTCCGGATGTGCCGAGTGCTTGGATAAGGCGCCATATCATTATTTCTGGGACGCTGTTGGAGAGGGCAACGCCGATGGAGCCGAGGCAGAGGAGAGGGGTGCCTATGAGGTAGACTGGGCGCCGGCCATCTGGGTGAATGGATAGGTTGAGTTGGTAGGATTATAAAGAAGGGGATACGTACAAAAGGAAGAGTAGGTAGCAAATGCCATCGCACCCGTGGCCGACGCAAGGATGGAGAGGCTCACTGCGAAACTGCGCCAGAGTCAGCGGCATGTTCGTCGTTGCTGTAGAATAATACCTACCTGATTATCGGACCCGTTGAATTGAGGTCTACAGCGATTTGGGGTATAGAAGGGACAAAAGTGCCAGAGGCAAACACTGGAGACCGAAAGTTGAGTATTCTGGTTAGCAATAACGGTGTTTGAGGGCTTACTAGGAAGCAAAGCACTCCATGACACCAGTGCTACGATGGTCCTTCTTCCTAGCTGGCGAGAAGCGACTGTACACATCCTCACATTGATCACTGGAGGTCTCCTCAAGGAGAGGAATCGTCTCGGAGGACATGGCAGGAAGCAAACAGAAGGCAGTCAGGGATCATTTGCGCAGTTAGTTAATGATAGGCCTCGGCTTCCAAGCGAAGAACCGACAACAACCATAGCTGTTATACTGAGCACACCAAGTTTCCTAGGCCAGAGACGCGTCGTCCAGTGCCCAAGAGAGATATTTGACGCGTCCAAGTGTCGTCGACATTGGGGAGTGAAATTTCAGGGGGCGATTAGATCAGACAATCTAATCGGAGGAGACGATCTAATCAGAGTGTGGGAAGATTACGCAAGCAACTATACAGCTGCAGCCACCAGAGCACGTGATCATACGAGGGTTAAGCCAAACTTTACAGTCGCTGCCAGACGATATCCTCAAGACGCCGACAAAATGACCCGAACCAGTGAGTACTGGGTATTTTCGATAATTATGTGCTGACCTGGTGAATATAGACCTACGGACTGGTCTCAACAAGGGCCACCCCACAACCCCCATTGAAAAAGCCGTGCGTCCCAGCCAGCGCAAGGGCATCCAATCCGCCAAGACCAAATTTGTGCGGTCTGTTGTTCGTGAGGTTGCTGGATTCTCAGCGTATGAGCGTCGGGTGATGGAGCTGCTGAGGAACTCAAAGGTACGACAACAGTAAAGGCTGCATTGGCAAAGATACTAATCTATTCTTCAGGACAAAAAGGCGAGAAAGTTGACAAAGAAGAGGGTTAGTAATTTTTGGGCTAGTATAGTAACCGCTGACCAACTTTTTCACAGCTCGGTACTCTTTTGCGATCAAAGCGCAAGCTGGAAGAGCTCTCGACGATCATCCAGGAGAGCAGGAGGGCAGGACACTAGAGATATGCAGGGGCTTTTCATTATGTTCAAATCGATATGATTATGTTTCCCACAAAGCAATCGATATATTCTGCTGACCGACTGTCTGCTGACTCCGTGAGAGCTTTACTGGCATGCGTCATCAAATACAATAAGCCGATGATGACCGTCCTATGAGTAATAATAAAGCGGATGAAATGCCGAAATCATTGGACCACGTTAGATCGTACGACCAACTTGTTTCCTGCATGTTAGCCCTTCCATAGTCCCTGCTCGCCCGTTGCGGAATGCGATACGGACTGCGAAATCTCGGGAGTTAATCCAGGGATGAAACGACGAGTTGGTAGGGAGAAGCGTCAGTCCGAATCTGAAACCGAGGCGCCAAGAGCTTACACAAAAGGGATGTGTCATGTTGATGTCGTAAGTGAAGATAGTACGGATCCGCCGGAATACATTTGACTGGCTGTTTTTTTCGACAGCCATGTCAGATTCACTTGCTCCTCCTCCTCTCAACAGAAACCGCGCTTCCTCCACTACCCTCCGTCCTGCTCTTACTATTCGCTCCTTGGGTCGTCGTCGCTCAGGATCATTACTACAGCCCCAGCTATCCCCCTGCGGCTCGCCTATCTCTGACCCAGCTCCAGAGCCAGTCCCAGAGCCAGAGGAGCCCGTGCAGCAGACAGAACAGTCATCTAATATGCTGGCTGTAATCGCGTCGCGTATCCTCCAGTCGGTCCATGCTCCAACCCACAAGATGTCCTGGTCGACGCCCTCGACGCCCAAGTCTGTCTCTGAAGATGACTACATTCTACCGCTGTCGGCTTCAGCTCACAAGACTTCCTTTGGCGATGTGCTTAACGAGAAATCATCATCACCAGCCTCGCCACTGCCGTACAATTGGCTTCAGCGTCTGCCACCGGTGAGTACACCGGCCTTTCGTAACGTTTTATGTTCTAATCGTCATTGTTCTCTTAGGTGCAATTCCCCATCATCCTTGTCATCTCTCTATTCCCGATATCAACAGGGCTCGTCTTCCTTGCCCTGAGGACCCTGCCTATATCCTTTTCATGGCCACAAAATCTCGCAGATCTTGCAGAGTTGGGGCGCGACCTCCATGGCTATTCGCAGAGTGGCCCAGCACAGCTCGCCCATGTCATCGGTATCCTTGCCATTACTGCGGTATGGAAGCACGCTTGGTCAATCCCAGGTAGCGTTATCTGGGTCCGTCCTATGTATATTTCTCAAAAGTCACGCGATACTTACTCTGCGGCTAACAGAATGTCCTTGCGGGCGCCTTGTTTTCGCCTGCATATGCGACCCTTCTTCTCACCCTTCTGACTACGATTGGATCCACATGCGCTACACTGCTCTCCAAGCCGCTTGCCCCCTTCCTGACCCACTTTTTTCCCAAAAGCTCTGGATCTGACGCGTTCCGCGCTCGAGGGTGGCGCGTCAAAGGCCGAGACTGACTCGGAAGCGAGGCAGACGTCACCCTGGATCCGTTTATCCATTCTACGGCTAATTGGAGTCGTCCCCTGGTCCGGGATTAACATAGCCTGTGGAGTCTGTGGAGTCTCAATCGCAGATTGCGTTCTTGGTGCATTCATTGGTTCTCTTCCGTGGACGGCTGTAACCTGCCAGGCAAGTCCCCTTAATACCAATTTCTTCTTTTGTACTCATGTTTATGTAATCACAGATAGGAGATATCTTGCAGACCGTCGCCTCCGCCCCTTCTCCCACGCCTCAAACCGTATCGTCTCTCCTTCTATCCCCACAGATCATCGTCAAACTAGTATTCCTCTCTTTTCTCTCACTAGCACCGATACTGGGCCGCGAGCACCTACGGGCATGGTTGAGTTCCGACGAAGAGCTCGGCTCCGCGGAATCTGAGCGAGTTTCGAGATGGACCTGGGTACAAGAATGGAGAGACAAGATCAGGATTCCTTCTCGGTCTCGAACGCGTGAGCGGCAGGAGCGGTTCGCGAATCTGGCTGTTCTCGTGCAGGAGAAGCGCGCGATGGAAGATGTACTCCCATCATGATACCGACCCTGACGGGGGCTTCGGATTCGTTTTCCCTTGTGCATAATTCCTTCGCTACGCATTCGACACTGACACACATCATTGCATACTAGACCCCCCCCCCCCCCATTCATTTCACTTCGCTTTCACACACGCACATCCCCATATTATCTACGATCATCCGCTAATAATGCCCTTTTTATGACTTGGATTAACGATTCAGTTGATATGATATTTATCCTTGCCTTCCATTATACCTATCATCCTGTATTCTTGCATTTGCTTGTCGATGAATTTACGTTGGCCATTCAAACAGAAGCTTCGGATCCAAGTGTCCTGGAAGATGCGACGACAATGGTAATGCTTGGCTCAATAAATACATGTATATGCAAGGCAATTGATCTACGGAAGATTAAGAGTAAAAATAATATATATATCTTAAACACCAAGTCTGGGCATAGGGCTTAGTCTCCGCAAGTCGGACACGACCAAAAAAAACATACCTTCGTTTACTATGCTCATAGACAACATAGGATATCGAGACTGCTGGAACGACCTACAAAGTGTCAGTTCCCATGTACGATCTACCCTGAAGCACACATACCTTTGCCAGAGTCGGAAACAAGCCCCGATAAAACCCTCTCCAACCTTCTCTCGCCCAAGTCTTACTCGCAACATCAAACACACCCGTATACCGTTCAGGATGCCCCGAGCTTCCAGACGCTTGCAACCTCGTCCTCACCAAATTCATCGGGTACACGCTCGTAGCACCCACACTCCCTGACACACTCCCAAATGCCAACAGTGCAAGCATTCCCGGTTCATCTTTGCCGGTGGAACGCAGGTACGCCAGTTTGAGTGCTTCAAAGGTTGACATGTCGATAGCGGAGTACCTAGAATAACTTGTCAATCATGGAACGTGTGGTAGGGCAGGAAACGCGAACGGGAAAACACCAACAAGACCAACCTAGGAGGGTGCATGGTGATGAGTAGAACGGAAAGCGACAAATAAGAAGGCTTACCGTTAGGCCACGGTAGTAAGCTCGAAACCCTCCAAGCTTCCATACATGACGCGCTGCGGACATTAATGTCCGTCGCGTTCCTGTGTTGCTCATCATTTGAGTCTATGAGAGACTAGTATCAAAAACGGGCGAAATGAAACCTTGCGTTTATGACATACTTTGAGCGTCTCGACTGGGTATATACCTAAGAGCATAGGCGAAATGAAGTGCAGATCAATTACAATCAAGTGGCGCGACTTACACAGCTGACTGCTTATTCCGCCAATCCCACCCGAAAGAAAACGACTGACGCCACTAATTTCCCTAGGATCGTCAACATGATCCCAGTACGTCGCAAACATACGTTTCTTGAGACATGGAACAAAGAATTCAGTGGAAAACCAAATGCTGCCTGCTGAACACTAACAGCAGACTCATACGCGAAGAACTTGATCGCAGACTCGGGGAATATCTTAGCAACGGACAGCCCATTGCCTGTCCAGAACGCGAACACGCCGCCCTCGGAGTATATCTGTCGCACAGCATATCCTAGGACGTTCGCACCGCCTGCCTGTGCTCGCGAAGCTCCACCGAGATCGGGTGGACGGGTGATAAGGAAAATTTTGAGTCGATCAAAAGGTGCGGTACATGTCCGGGAGACTGGAAATGAGAAGAGAGAGCTTGAGGACGCGTGGTGTCGTGTGTATATAGGAAGGATGACGGACCTGCACCGGCAATGCCTCCAGCTAACAGGAATTTGAGAGCTGTGCGCCCTTCGAGCCAACCATGGCTGTCATCAAAAGCGTCGTCATCATCGTCTTCTTGTTCTTCCTCATGTTCGACGTAGGTTGTCTGTACAGGAGGAAGGGGTTGGGGTATGGCTGGTACTTGTGTGGTTGGTACCGTTTTGCTGGGACCGTCTGGAGGTTTGTCCTCGGCGCTTAAGCTGACATCACCTATCATATACTTAGTAGCATCAAACGACGCGTGTTGACGGAACACAGACCCACCTTCCATGGTGACACGGGCCACGCCTTTGCCATCATCTCCGAGAAACTTGTTCATCTCGTAGTACTTGTAAATCTCAGTCGTAGAGATTTTCCGGGGGAGCAAAAGGAGAAAGTCTCGGAATTCAGCAAATGTTACTATCCGAGATTGGGGAGAGGATGTCAAGTATGTCATGAATTCCGATAGTGTGTTTGGAGATAATGTGATTCCTAAAAGTGAAGTCAAAGAAACTTTGAGACCATCAGTGCTAGAAACACAAAGAATCCACTAACCCGCTTTTCGTAGTGCTAATTCTAGTTCTTCCGGTTCCAGGTGGCCATTCCGGTCCAAGTCAAGCTCGTCATGAAATATTGTCCAGAGTTCTGCACACTCGATAGTATCAGTTCAACACCCCGGGCGACACCGAGGCAACATACCAACTTCCTTGGCCTCGGCATACTCAACGAACTGCTTCCACCCTCCTACCCTCCCCAGGAGCTCGTGTTCATATGCAGCTCGCAGTTTCTTCGCATTTTCAGTCGAGTCGGGGGCTTTTCCTAGTGCTTTCGCGCTGGGTTCCCGATCAAAGTTATATCCACGCACTCGGATGTGTCGCCACAAGGCCAATAGGCGACGTTTCCTGTTCTCTCTGCCTTCTTGCAGGCGAAATTCGGCCAGCGTACGCGGCGTGCGGCGTTGTTCATGGTTGTCCCGCCCGGCTGGGGGACTTGGCTGGGCCATCCAGAGTGGGCCAGCGACGCGTGATGACGACGGAGCAGCGAGGTTGATTTCGAAATTTGTGACGGCTACGAATGATATCGACGGGATTATGAGAGCCGGGATGCTCTGCTCTAGATGCTCATCGGTGGCGACGGGAGTGCTGGGTATCTGATGGTCCACAAGTCGGCATTATGTTTATCTTTGCTTGTCTCCCGGCTCAAGACGAAGTGTTCCGCCAGCGGATGACCATTAAATAGACTATCTAGGTGTACAATGTCTAGATGAATACAATGTCTTGACCAATTAATCCTTTCATCTTAGCATCTGAACAACCGATTCCAGAACACTGAAAAACAGCCACGGCTTTCAGGCTGCTTGGCCTGGGGCCTAGCTACGATGAACATGGGGAGAACTGTGACACCATGTACCTGTGGTGACTGGCCTTGAGATGCCGGCGTGCTCGTCCCTGAGTCCAGCGAACTAGTACCAAATGTGGATCGGGATTTTTCAGTCATGAATGAAGGCTTGCGTCGATAGCGTCGGGGCTCTGTACTTTTCACTCTGAAATAATTCATTAGCACCATTTGTAGAATGTTTGGCCAGACATATTACCGGCAAGAGCTCGAAATGGGAACCGAACTGATCCACAGGTCTGTCCTTGCGATGAACAGCAGGCTTAGGCGGTGTTGGCGGCCGATAGCTCTAAACCGGCGTGAGCAATGTCCGTGAGTCAAGTATACGTGTACACTTACCTGCCGAAACGCGCGCGTCCCTCGAACAGGACTTTTGGTTGAGTAACGAGTGCGAGCATCGTCAGACACGGACCTGCGACCATTCCGGGGTGACTGCAACAATATTAGAGGGATAAAGACCAAGTGGGGGCGACTAACCGGGGTGCTGTGACTGTTGGGTGAAAAGTAGAATCTGTCTGAATGGTCTAAAGAGTGAAGCGACGATGCACGAGAGATGGCCTCGCGCCATCCTTCAGGTAGCTAGGAAATACTGGTGAATGCTAGCGAAGAGCTAAAGCAGCAGCGACCTACCGGTGGCATGGTCTGGGAATCCACGACAGACATTGAGGAGGCATAGGCAGGCTTCGTGCCCTGGAAAAAGCTAGTATTGGGAGATGAGGGGGGCGAAGGAATATACACAGGGACGGGCTTCCGATGGGCCATGGTTTGGCGAAGCTGAATCCGACGCGCTGCAAGTTCGGCACTCATGATGACGATAGCAGGGGAAGAAAAGAAGGTCCACTTGACAGTTAAAGGAGAGAGAGGAGTGAGGCGCAGCCAATAGACGGTGGGCGTTACCCAAGAGTACCAGACTAAGAAAAGAGAGACCGGGGCATGCCACAGCGGGGACTTGATTCAAGACAAAGGGCGGCACCTGAGCATCTTTGAAAGCAATGATCGGCAGCCACCGACCGTCACCAGCATGGCTCCCAAGAGGAAAAGGCGTCGTTCCGAGAATATATGAGTAGAGTCAGCCTAGGACAGTACTGTGCAGCGTGGCCACAGCGAGGACCCGGGTCAATATGAACTAAGCGCCGCTTGGCCTCTTTGGGGCACAAACGTGACGGCAAGGAGGCAAAGAACGAGAAGGATAAGGGCATCCCATATAGAGCGGACAATGGACCTTATAGATGAGAAAATCACCACGAGTCAGACTAACTCGCGACCGTGTCAGCTTCACGATTATCATCGAAGAAAAAGGACCACAGCACCGTGAACTCGTCGTGCGACGGGGGGACACGACTGCTGCCAGGGGAGAGCGTCCAGCACAACAGTCATTGTCTTCATACCGTCGTTGTCGTATAGGAAAGAAAGCAACAAGACCGGCCCTGAACAACCGGCGGGATTTCGGCATGAAGGGTTTGGTAATCGCGATCTACCTTCCTTTGTGCTTCTAATGACTCAAACGCGTTTGAATTCGGGTTAAATTCGCGTTTTTACTGTTTTTTCTGTTCCTTTCTACGACCGTTTGAGGCAATTTAGAGCTGTATTCTCTTTCTGGACAGCCTGCTCTTGCCTTCCCCTGTCAGAGTCGACAAAATCGAATCCAAAATGATGTCCAGCAGTTAAAAACTTGTCAAAATCCATTCGAAATTAGTCTTTACTGCATCCGATCGAGGCAACAGAGTTCTTTTATGCACTCTAGGGTGTCAGCTTGATCAGATTCTGGATTCTGATAAAAAGGCGCGTGCCAGTCCTTCTCACCATCCTCGCCTCTTGCTCTCTTTCTTCCATCTTCTCTCTTTTACATTCAATACTCGCCATGCCCCCTCGCGCTGCCCCAACCAACGGTCGTGGTGGCCCTGCTATCCGTGGTCTACGAGGTGCTGCTCCTCGCGGTCGCGGCGGTGGTGCTGGCGCCTCTGGCGGTATCTCAGTTGGTCTCCCGACCCCTGGTGACCATATCAGCACCATCGGCGTGAAGCGTCGTGGATTTGGTGCCAGCGGACGTCCTGTGAAGATCTTCGTCAACTCTTTCGAGTGCAGCATCCCCAAGAGCATCATCCACCACTACGATGGTAAGTGGCGCGTCTGATCATGCCTTACTGTCTTCTGACCCTCTGTGTGTCGTTCTTCAGTCGGTATGTCCTCCCGAGACCGTGTTTGCGTGTACTTTTTGACATCTCTTCCACAGTCATCATGCCCTCCGAGAAAACACTGCCCGCGCGTTTGAACATGGAACTGATCAAGGAACTCCAGACTACGACTGCGCCCGCCATCTTTACCCCTCGTGCTGTATACGATGGGCGTAAAAATCTTTTTGCTGCTCGAGAGCTGCCGTTTGGCGGCACGAATCACATGGAGGTACGATAACTTTTTCTTCATGATTCTCCAATAATGACGGTGGTACCATCAGTTTAGCGTCACCCTTCCTCCTACAGATGCCTCAACGACAGCACCCAAAGCCTACAAGATCAGACTAACCAAGGTGGCTGAGATCAATCCCGAGTATGTCTTTCCACCTATGGCTTCATTCACATACGACTGATTCGCGATCTATAGGGTCCTACACCGTTTCGTGAAGGGAGATCAATCACATGACAACAGCGTATTGACTGCTATCACTGTTCGTCTCCTTTCTTAAGTTTCTGCAGTTGGTCCTTACGTACATCATATCAAGGCTCTGAACGTCGTGATTCGAATGGAGCCATCATTGAACTATCCCTTCAACGTACGGTCCTTCTTCACCAGTCAGGAGACTCTAGATATCGGATGCGGACTCCAATTATGGCGCGGCTACTTCCAATCGGTACGCCCTGCCATGGACAGGATGCTGATCAACGTGGACATCTCAACAGGTACGATGTATAAAGAGGGGAAACTCATTGACCTCTGCCTCCAATTTTTGGGGAATACATTGCCCGAATCCATGTCGCCCAAGCGCGGTTTACCTGATCGCGAGCGACTCCGTCTTCAACGCTTCATTACCGGCATGCGTATCAGAGTAATTGGCAAGACCCTGGATCCCAAAGCCAAAGTCACGGAGGCCGACCTCAAAGGGCCTCATCGAGTTGTCAAGAGGCTTAGCGCTGTGGGTGCTAGCTCGGTTACCTTCACCAATGCAGACGGGGCTACTACTACCGTCGCCGACCACTTTAGGCGTAGCGCCTCTGGAATCCGCCTCCACTGGCCCGACAACATCTGTGTCGAGGTATGAAACCGTGTTTTTCCTTGTCCTTTGTATTCTCATCGTGTCCTCTTCTAGGTGGGATCGGGCGCGTTGATCCCACTGGAATTATGTTACATCACTAAGGGACAAATTATGAGGAAGCAAGTGCCCTCGAAACTAACCCCAACGGTCCTCTCATTTGCGACGAAGAAACCTCGCGATCGTCTTACGAGTATCAGGAATGGTCTCAATGTTCGTAGTATTATTCTTTCGCGTGGTCAGTACTCACATGCTGTTGTAGGTATTGGCATATGGACAGTCAGACTACGTTCGTCACTTCGGGATGAGCGTCAATTCTGCTGCCGGCCCCTTGCAGATACAAGCTCGCGTCTTGCAACCCCCTACGCTCAAGTATGGCCAAGGCAGCAAGCAGGCAACGATTGTAAGTCACCCCCCTTTGCTCGTATGCCATATCTCAACGAGCTTTCCGAGGTCCCACAAAACGGTGCTTGGAATATGTACATTATACGTTTTTCAATGTCTCGATCTCAGCTAATAACACTCTGTAGGGTTGACAAGCGTTTCTTCCGTCCTGCTCAGATAGGCGTCTGGGCTGTTGTCATCTACGAACAGCGCAATCGGTTTGATGAAAGGGCTTGTACAGAGATGATTCAGAGTCTGTCGAAGAGTTGCCGAGAAGTTGGTAAGGCGTTTGATCGGCTCACGGGTCCTCGTCGCTTATTGTGCTTTCTCAGGCATGGGAATCAAACCTCCTGCCGTCACTATATGGCAAAACGGACAAGGGACTGTCCAGAGTCAGCTGCAAACTGCAGGCATGAGATGCAAGGAAGCAGTTGGCGCGTTCCCGTCGCTCATTGTTGTCGTCTTACCAGAACACGGAGACGATATTTACACCGCTGTTAAACAGTGAGTTTCTAACAGCTGTTTTTTCCCGTTACTGATCGTTGTGCAAGTTTCGGTGATGTTACGGTCAGTGAACAAAAAGCCGAGGGTTTACTTCCTTCTGAATCCAGATTTCGTAGGCCGGCGTGGCAACCCAATGCATGAAAAGCAAGAAATGTTTCGGAGCCAAAAACCAATACTTTGCAAACGTTTGCTTGAAGTACGTCTAACACCTTTTCAATCATCTCGCGTTATCCAAACGCTTCATTTCATTTAGGATGAACGTGAAGCTCGGCGGTATCAATGTCATTCCTGAACCCACATCGGTCAAACTTTTGACCGATCCAGCAAACCCCACTATCGTCATGGGTAGGTTCACGCTCTTTCATTGCCTAACGTGGCATCTGAACATTTCTGTTTCCTTTGTTAAGGCGCGGATGTCATTCATCCAGCCCCAGGCTCCGACAGTCGTCCCTCATTCACAGCTTTGGTCGCTAATGTGGACTCCGACACTGCGAAATACATCGCCAGTACGTCTCTGCATCCATTTCATATGCCGTGCAGTGCTGACCTTAATCAAACAGCTACCCGGGTCCAAAATTGTCGTCAGGAAATGATTGAAGATCTTCAGGAGATGAGCAAGGTGCGGACGACATTCCTACTGTCCACAGCGTGTATACTGAGATCGAAATTGCAGCATGTCCTGTCCAACTATATGAACTATCGATCCATGGTCGAGAAGAAGGCGCAAGGAATGGCGGAGCCTAAACGTATCTTGTTCTTCCGCGGTATGTCCTCATGTATTGTCTCTGTTCAGGGTCTTATGTATATACTTACAGACGGTGTATCCGAGGGTCAATTCCAAGAGGTTCTTGACAAAGGTTGATCTTTTCAATGATTTCGTCTGATGACACGCTGATCCCGCTTCAACAGAATTGGGCGCCCTGAAAAGTCTGTTACACTCGGTTATCTCATTCTCCTCTCGTGCTGACGATATTCACAGGGGCATGCGAGGAACTGCGGATCCGACCCAAGATCACTGTCATTGTTGTTGGCAAGCGCCACCACGTTCGGTACTTTTGTTCGTCATTCCTACAGGCCTGCATGCTGATTAGAATGCAGGTTCTTCCCGGCCAATGAAAGAGAGGCAGACCGCAGCGGCAACTGCCCTGCGGGCACGGTTGTCGACCGAGAAATCTCACATCCGACAGAATTTGACTTTTATCTTCAAAGTCACGGCGGACTGCTGGGAACCAGTCGACCTGCTCACTATTCGGTTTTGTACGATGTGAGTCTCCACTTTTTGCACACCACGGCTCAGTGCTTAAACGTGTTTTCACAGGAAAATGCCCTTTCGTCAGTCACTTTAATCCGTCTGCTGTCATGATGAAACTAATAGCTTGCTCTATCAGTCCCGACGCCGTTCAATCTCTGTCCTTCACCTTGTGTCATGTCTACGCTCGTTCAACGCGCAGTGTGTCCATTCCTGCGCCTGTATACTGTCAGTCAGCCTTTTGTCTATTTCACATGTGCTGACATCTTCTTGTAGACGCCGACATAGTATGCTCCCGTGCCAAGAACCATTACGATCCTTCTGGCAGTGTTGACTACTCCGAGTCCGGCGATGGCTCCAAGGTTGATGAATCTCTGGACGCTTTCAAGCGTGGCTTCAAACCCCTCCACGCCTCGCAATCTAAACTAATGTACTTCTCTGTAAGTTGATTGCATCTTTGCGACGTTGTACATAAGCTGACCTGTCACAACAGTAATCTGTAGTTCATAGTATTTCCCATTTCTCGCATCACAAAAATTCTCCAATTGCTGTCATCTGCTGTAGTTATCAATCCTCGCGCTGTCTATCAAACATTACACAATCATTCATCGTAAACGTTGTAGTTACCCGACTTCACTGCTGGAACCCGTCGAATCAAAATGCTTGTCATGTAGTACTTATGTATATCTTTACTTTCTAAATGTAATGTGGTCTTCAAGTGCTTTTGTAGTTGCCCAAAGTTTCCATCATTGTTGATAGACACGTTAATCCTTCTCCGGCGTTCGTCCTCGGTTCAACCACCAAATCCCACCATTCAAATAAGTCGCAAACGTCAACCAGGCGCAGTAGGGTAGAAGAAGGTAGGTCGACTGGGATTTGGTAGGTCCGTCAAGAAGTTTCTGGAGAAAGTTAATTCAACTTTGAGAACCACTTGGCTGACAGATTCATACCGTCATGTAGAAAGTAGTGCCTGCCAGGACAACGCTGTCGATGAGTGCTAGGCCAAGCTGATTCTTTGATATTAGTATTGCCATGATGTGCATGTCACGAACATACCTTCTTTCCGTTGAAGAAAAGTGGGCTCCAGATGAAGTTCATAGCCAACTGGGCGTAGTAGAGAGCGATCCCAAGCTTGACATCAGATCTATGAATAGAATTGGTTCCGTTGTAGACTCCGTCCAACCGCTCATTACTCACCGCGTCGAAGGACTCGATGTGGCGTCGAGAGCGTTGACAGCAAGGTGCGAGACGTATCCCATAGCTATTCCAGAGTATTAGTCAAATTTAATCTACTACATAATTCTTGAACGGACACAAGTACAACAACGGCCATACGATAGGGAAGACTTGACGAGGCGGCCTGCCCGGTGGTCCATGCAAATCCTTTGAAATGATGAGACTAGCTTTCGCAAAGACGTATGAAGTACTCGCCTTGTACCAATTACTTTTCACGACCTTTGCTGTCCCTGAACCGCTCAGAATACCCAAACACAGAGGCAGGCCGATGGCAGTGACAATATTCCGGGGAATTTCGAGAAGAATAGCAGGCAGATAGATTTCCAACATGGTTGTCTAATCTTAACATTCAACTTGCGTCGTCTGCTCGTCTCTTTCAAGCTCGTTCGATCCTCAACGACACTGACGTCATGGGCCAACGCGATCGCCAAATTTTCATTTACATAAAGAACATGATAGCAAAAACGATGAGGATAGTTCGAGTAAGACTCTTCAATCGCTGCGGCCCTCCGTTGATCATAGCTTGAACTCCAGGACACGACATGGGAGCTTGAGCGCTGGCAGGGTTGACCGCGACAGATTCTTGAGCTTGTTTAGACGGAAGTGCAAGAGTAGGCTGCATATTATCGCCAGATGAATCCGAGGAGGACACAGTCTCGCTGGCCTTGAGCTTGCGCATGCGCGTCGATGTTGCTGTTGCCGTTGCCGACTGGTCGTCATACGTGTGAGAGCCGGTCTTGGTGTCAGAATCGCTTGTGTCGCTCGTGCTACCAGTGCCCCATGGAATATTATCGCCGTTGGGCTGTGATGAATGTTCTGGAGGTGTAGTCTCGCCAGATGGGGATGCAATCTACCACAACAAACGTTGGTTTCAGAATAGATTTCAGAGGCATATAACTTACTGTAAAACGCGTCGTCCACTTGGAACCATCAGCGTCGTTTCCATTCGTGAACTGGGCGCAAGGCGATGAGGACAACAAATCTCGAGGAATGGAAAGAATTACCTCATAGAAATATATGTGGGAATAAGGTGTAACAGACGGACATGTCCATGTAAAAGGCGTGACGGTTGAATCAGTGCCATCCAGCCCAACAGCGACCGTCTCAACAAGCTGCATGTTGTCATTGGAACCAGCCATAAGTTCTAGAGAAGGGTCAGGAGGGGCTATTGGCAAAGGCGAGTTGTAGTACTGATTGTCATGTTCTTCCAATCACCATCAGCGTCCACATTCCACTTGATGAGACATGGCGAACTAGCGTTGAATACATCGTTGGGACCTGGAGCGGTTGGAACGACATCCGCACGAACGAGAGCAACGACAACAGAAATAGAGAAAAGGAAGGATAGCATTAGGTCGACTTAGATGTGTGATTTAGGTTGTAGGAATGCAGTGGTACCAGACCGGTGAAAGATGAAAGGAGAGAAGGATGAGAGAAGGGTGGGTAGTATTATTCCCACGCCTGTCACTGACCAGTAGCCTCTCCCTTTAACAAGGGTCTCGCACAAATGAAATCTTACAGATGCGTACATATCCAAGACCGGGTGCTGTAATAGAAGGGTAGTCCGTGGAACACAAATAAAATTCAGACACTGACCCAACGAACAAGTTAAAACATGAGGCTCGTGGACATTGAGATGAGTAAAAGCAAACATAATTCGATGGCATATACATACTTCTCTAATAAGATCCATTCGAGTCCAGAATCTAATAAGGTTTGTGCCTGTTCTTCTTCAGGTCTCTCTCGAGTTGCTTAGCCTTTCTATGACCTATCTCAACTGGCCGTATAGCAGTATCATCGGCCTTCTTCAGTTTCACAGGTCGGTTGCCAACATACTTGCCTGTTCAAGTCTGGTCAGTCAGGGTCGACAAAGACAAAGGACCAACCTACCATCCATCTCTTTCCAGGCCTTCAAAAAGTCTTCGGGATCAGAGAATGCGACGAAGCCGTACTTGGCCTACGCTAAAGGTCAGAAATTATCAAGTCAAGAGCTGTGCATTACTCTCACCTTCTGGCTTAACCGATCTCTGATTACACGTGCCTTCGTGAACGAGGGGTACTTGTTGAAAGCGTTCGAAAGAACATCGTCAGATACGTCGTTACTGAGATCACCAACGAACAACCTGAACCAGGCTGCAGAAATTTGAGTCAGTCACCAAAAAATGATAATATAATGAACAAGAGCACGCACAAGGATTCCACTCAAGCAGCGTCTGGTCTTCCCAGACCTTTCCTCCTCCCTTACGGAGGACAGTAGTTCTCTTTCCACCTTTCGCGAGCTTGCCACCAGCACCACCCCTCTTGTCAATCATCGCGCCGGGAACATACACACTCTGCTGCGCAAGGATACCGACATCGTACTCGTAGGCATTCGCAGGAACCGGTGCGCTGTGCGATGATGAAGATCCCGGAAGCGGATACGAAGGGCCTTGGTATGGTCGGTGATAAGGATTGTCATAAGTAGATTGCTGGCTGTATTGCGAGTAGCTCGAGTTGGCGTACGGGTCCATGACAGTTCAGTGGCAAGATGCAGTGAGTCACACTCGATGATGTAAGCTTTCCTTTTCGCTTTCGGTCAGAGCGTCACACTGCGTGACAGGAAGAATTCCCTTCGAGTTTTGTCTATCGTTCCCCGTCCCCCATTTCTCCGGCCGTTCCTCAAGGTATGTCCCTCAATTTCATGCTGCTTGAAGGTCCAGCGTCGTCTATTGCCCATATTGAACGTCTGAAATCATTACATTGCGTCGTTGGGCTGGATGGACTCTGCAAATTTTGGATGACGGGCTGACTTCGCATTTCTGTTAGATGCCGTTCGTCAAAAAGGTCAAGTCCGACGCATACTTCTCTCGTTTCCAAGTCAAATACCGTCGCCGGAGAGAAGGCAAAACCGACTGTTAGTCAAGTCTACAAAGTCCCGTTGAATACCGTTGACCTCTGGTATAGACTACGCGCGCAAACGATTGGTTACTCAGGCCAAGAACAAATAGTATGTTTTATACTGTCACTCTGCTCTCAGCCTTCTCATTTCCTTTTAGCAATGCGCCAAAATACCGCCTCGTCGTCCGGTTCACGAACAAGGAGGTCATTGTCCAGATTGTCTACGCCCGCCTCCAGGGTGACTTTGTCTTGACGTCTGCGCGTTCAAAAGAGCTGCCACGCTACGGCATCAACCACGGCTTGACGAACTGGACAGCAGGTCCGTATCAGGTCTTGATGATCATAATGAATACTCATTTACCCGTCATTTAGCTTATGCTACTGGTCTCCTCTGTGCCCGCCGTGCCCTCACAAAACTCGGACTCGCAGACAAATATGAGGGTGTTACCGAGCCTGATGGTACATCCACATTGACCGAAGCCTTGGATGAGGAAGATGCCCCTCGACCCTTCAAGTGCTACCTTGATGTTGGTCTCAAGCGCACATCCACGGGTTCGCGTCTCTTTGGTGCTATGAAGGGAGCGAGCGATGGTGGTATCTTCATCCCTCACTCCGACAAGCGCTTCCCTGGTTACGACCCAGAGAGCAAGGAGCTGGACGCAGAGGTGTTGAAGAAGTACATCTACGGTGGCCACGTCGCTGAGTACATGGAGAGTTTGGAGGAGGAAGATGATGAACGGTGCGTGATACTCAGTTCATTTGTTCTACTTCGTCTCACTATTTTTCTGTTCAGATTCAAAAAGCAATTCTCGACGTACCTCGCTGATGGTATTGGCTCTGAGGATATTGAGGAGATCTTCACGAATGCATATGCTGCCATTCGTGAAGACCCCACGTTCAAGCCTACGGACAAGACAAAAGACTGGAAGGCAGAGAGCAAGAAGTACAGGACTCCCAAGCTCAACCTCGAGCAGAGGAAGGCCAGGATTGCTGCCAAGATCGAGAAGTTCCAGGCTGGTGGCGACGACGAGGAGGAGTAGATTTACCTCTACGTATATGGTACAACATGCTCTGTTATCGATATCATACATACACCGCATTCTATGCTTATGCTATGGAACTCCGAGTGCCTTTCGTATATGTCCTTCGACCCATGGTATAAGGGAGACATTACGACCTGAGTGGTATACTTCTGATTCACCCTGCTTTGGTGTATGTCGATCTAATCGAAAGAGAGTGCACCTCAGAGTCGAATTTGCGTGGAAGTCAATCCGAAAGTTGCTGATAAGCAAGATTAGTTTCATGTCGGCTAGGTGGTGGAAGAACGTACAGCGTGCACCCCTCCCATCTTCCTACACATCGGTTCAGATCCAGGAACCAAATTCCACTAACGTTACTACTTATTTCACGGCCGAGTTCACATATTCGCTGAAGGAGAAAGCGTCCGACATCATCAGTAAGTAGCTGATTTAGCTGGGGAATAGACGATATTGTCAGGGTGGCCTGTGCTAGGTGAGCATTTAATGTTGACGGTGCCAAGAAAGAGAATCGGACAGTATGCCTATTTTTAACAAGTCAGTGATTTTGCACTCCTGGACAATTCGGTAACCCACCGTCTGTCAATTCTCAGTATACATTGACCACCTACAGCTTTTGCATTGCGATTGTCCAGGAGGTTGACGAGTTCATGTCCCACTTCTCCTACAGGTTGGAACCGGAGCGTAGATGTTATGTCAGCTAGTGTAAGGGCTGTGACGATGCCCTCTATGACTGTCTTGACTCTGTGGCAGAACACTTGGTACTGCAGCAGATCAATGATCGGCTGTAGAACAGGCGGTGGATCCGTCTTGGGAGCATCGCTCCCACTCAGTCTTTGTGATTTAAGATACTGATGTCTTCGGAGAAGCAGGGCGTGTAACGAATGATAGATCAAGTCGCAGGTGGCTTCCTGCAACGTATTTCGGGAGGCTAGAGGTGTGACAGAATCGCTTTCAACCTAAGAACGGTCTAAACAAAGTCGGAATCAAAGATAGCACAGACATACCAGTTCAAACTTGAGTTCAGTACCCAGAGCAGAGTCAATGACGATTAGACGTTCGGAAACCTTGGCAGATGCAGTCGGTAGTCTGCTGGCTTCATGGACCAGGAGAGAAAAGATTTCCTGCTCGACAATTTCTCGCTGGGCATCCCTGAGTAAGTTATCTAACGATGTGTCCTCCGACCGGAAATCATTTTTTGAGAATGTTGAGGTGTGGCCTTCGCCGCTTGTCAAAGAAACACGTAGTGAAGTACGTTGACGAAAAGGAAATATCAGTTCCTCAGAAGCATTTTCAACAGATGCCATATGTCCGATAGCACGGCGCCTGAAGCTAGAAGAAGCTTGGAATAGAATCAGTAAGTGAGCATGTATCAGGAACCAGAGAACCAACATTCTTCCAGGCCATAAGATATCAAAAAGTCTTTGGATGACTTGTCAGCGCCCTTTCCGGTCGCTGACCCCAGTGGTAACGGCGCTGGAGTCAGTGCCCAGTTCCCTCGTCGTATTTTGAGGGCATCTGCCCAGTATTTTTCTCCGCGCAATCTGCCACCCTCTAATCTGTCGGCGGCCGCTTTGAACACGTCGGAAGCCTTTCGTAACGCCTCATCCTTGCTACCGATTGCCAGTTGGGTATTGAAAGCTTGAACAGAGACAATAGGTGGCGGTTTTTTAATGATAGTAGCAGAGAGTGGAGCGTCCTGCTGTATTTCTGGGCGCGGTATCCCTGGAATGGAGTGAGGGGCTTGCCCAGGCGTCGATAAGATGGCAGAGAGCAAGTCGCGTGCATGGGTCATCTCTCCCAGCGCTATGCTTTGAAATTTGTGAGTCGCCAAATAGGATATATGCGCGTAGAAAAACGCACAACAACTGGGAAGATATTTCCATCCTCATTTTGTAGAGTTCTTCGCTGGTCATGATGCTGGGCCCGTCGTTATCGTCGTCGCTCTCGGCCGTGTCTAGCGTCGTGTCTTTCACATCGACATGGGCCTCCGCGATCCTATCAGCCAGGTTTCCATCCTTTGTCTTCTCGAAGAAATCGACTCCTCGCTCAAGAAAGATGCGACGTAAGTTTTCGCCCAGTATTTGCGAGGGGGTCTGTTTTCTGCATAAATATGGTTCAGTTTTTCATCAGGCAAGAGAACAATGCGTACGGTTCATATATTTGCTCTCCCTGAGGTGTTATGTCCTGAAGAACTGGAATGGGTGCGCCATTCTCGTCCTTGTACGGTCGTTCGAGAGAAAGTTTGAGTGATTTCCAGGAAGGAGGCTCCATGGGAAGAGACAGAGTCGGACCGCGTGCCGGTGTTGACAGATGAGATTTGAATTTCACCGAGTCACATTGACCGCATCCACATTCGTGCCTTTTCATCCCTTATCCACCATCCCGTCAGCTCCCTAAGCGAACGCTAAGAAAACTCTTTTCAGTCACGAAGCCCCGTAAATACAAGCCATGGTCAAGACTCTCGACAAAGCTGGCGTTTCAACACCATCCAATTCGGTGAAACGGAAAAAGGTCGACGATGACGACTCAAATCCTGCGTCCAAAAAGAGATCTCGGGTCAGGTATGATGGCTGTTTTGCTTTACGGAACAGTCGATTACCTCTCTAGCTTTAGCTTTTCGTGTGGGGAATGTCATCGTCGGAAACAGAAGGTCAAAATTCTTCCAGCCTTTGGTTCCGGACGTGGGATTGATTTGCGTCTCCATACAGTGTGATCGACAAGTGCCGTGTTCGCATGTCTGTTATCTCTTTTTTTATTTCAAGCGAAATAATTCTGAATTCTACCAGTGCGTAGCCAGGAAGGTGCCTGATCTATGTAAAGCCTACACGCCGGGCAAAACTGAGCAAGACATCAGCGTGCGACTAGCGCGGATAGAGCACATCATCGAAATGGCACTCCCACAGTACTGTATGCCGACCACTCCCAACTCATCGTTCGACCCCCATATATCTGAGTTTCGGCATACTGCTCTTGAGGAAGACAACCGCTCTCAGCCGGAAGATCAGGATCCCAGTGGAGGAACGTTTCAGAGCGGAAAGTGGTACGGTAATAGCGCCTCAGGTAGCATTGCTCCTGCGACTATCCTCGAACAAGTATGTCATAATACATGATGCCCCTTCTCTCTTCTCTCATTCATCCGGCCGCTCTAGCTGCAAAATGCTTTCACATCCACGGACACTGAAGACAAGCGTCTTCACCGTGATACCAGACTAAACGATATCACGGTGAATGGGTCGGGCCATCTGTCAGCTACTGCTATCGTTGGTTCAGAACTAGAGCCAACTGCTGCGGATAACCTGAAAAATCTCGTACAAGAATGTGGAGTCTCTCCCCACAAGATATCAGAGCTTCTGCACGAGCTTCCACCTCTCAGGACATCACAGGTGCTCATTGACTATTATTTTAAATCAGTGCAAGTATTCCTACTCAGCGCTGGCTTTCTCTTCGGCTCAAGTTTTTCAGTAATTGGACCCGCTATCCTATATCCGAACGCGACTTTCGCGACGCTTATAGCTCCATATACAACGGAGGAGACCATGGGATATCAGCCACAAATCCTCATGATGTTCGATTCCTACCGTTGCTTTTCGTCGTTCTCGCTATCGCTGTGAGACTTGCGCCTGAGGAGGTGTCTGGGGATGCAAGGACCAGAAGAGTTACGTCTCTAAGATACTATTGGTCTTGTAAGCACTAGTTTATTTGTCCTTTTATATCGTCGGTCTAACTATTTTAGCGCGGAGGTCACTCCTAATCGCCGCTGCTATCCAACCAGATTCGTTAGACATCGTGCTAACTCGACTTTTGGTAAATAGTTTCCTGTTCCTTTTCTTGAGCGTTTGCTAATGCTGATATTAAGAGTGCTCGATTTTTAACTTTTGACCGCCGTATAACCGAGTGCTGGAGTCAACTAGGCGCTGCTGTTCGGACTGCGCAAGCGCTAGGTCTACATCGCGACGGTGCTTCCATGGTATGTCAACAGGGCCCTTCATTCAAGATTCTAAGTCGATAACACCTCAATCAGGGTATGGAACCTCATTTGGTCGAATATCGGCGCAGAATATGGCAAGTTCTCCTGAAGCTCCTTTTACTTACTAATCTTATAATGTATTTCATGATTTAGGTCATACCTTTACCATGCGGACCGCTCGTACGCTCTTGTCCTAGGACGACCAAATTCTATTCAGGATACATACACATCAACCCTCCCGCCTTCGAATATAGACGACGAATCTTCGAGTCGGCCTACTCCTCTTTCTTCACCGACACCGATGACCTTTGTAATCCTGAGGCATCAGCTGGCTTCGATCATTGGTCGAATTGCTCATCATTTCCAGCAAGTTAAACCTAGTCATTATTCCGAAGTAACGGCTTTAGACGACGAACTCTTAAATTTCATCGCCAACCTTCCACCGCATTTTGCTCTCGAACCTGACCGCTCTTTGGACGAAACCCATACCTACATTCCCGTCCATCGTTATCTTCTCATCACCGAGATTATGTTCGTAAGGACAAGTCTCCATCGACCATACATCCTCAGGCGGCTCAGTTCTGACCGTTATGCTCGTTCACGGGAAGCATGTTTCGAATCGGCACTCAAAGATTTCGAGGTTCGACAGGCTTTCCGAGAAGTCCAATCAAAGGAAGTCCGAGATTCCCTCAGTAATGCGTATAGAGAGTTCCAGACTGCTATGATTAGTGGAATCTACTTGGTCCTTCATCCATCGGGGAAGGATGAGGCGGCTATGCATGCCATCCTTGATTCCTTCATGAAGGAACATGAAGGCATTCGGGATGTGGACGAAACGACCCGACGGGAGCTGAAGACCATAGAATTTTTGAAGAACAAGGCTTCCCAGCGGACTCTGCCCACTGCGATAGGATCTCTACCACCGAACGATCCTGCACACCTGTTACTAGGTCTACAGCAGTCTTCTACGCCACATCCTCCTCCATTCCCGTCACTCTTGAACTTGCCCACTGCTTCCTCGCCGCGAAGTCCATATGCGACACATATAAATCAGTCTCCCACGTTTCAACGACTGCAGAGCGCTTCGGGAGACTTTGAAAACTCGCCGACGGCCTCTGGTAGTCCCAACGGCGAAGAGGACTCCGCTGCACAGTCGTTGTTAGACCATTGGTGTAATGCGATCAGCGCGCCGTTGGAGGGATCCAGCTCAGCCGCTTCATGGGGCGGACTCCCCGGAAACTTCGCTGGTTGGGCGGGGACAACATCGACGTTAGTTGGAGCGCCGGATCCTCGCATTTTGGCTGGTATCGACGGTAACGAATGGAATTATTGGGAGACGTTAGTCAACCAGATTCGAGGTCCTGCTCCAGGATCCAGTTAAATGATAGGCATTTGACATGCCGTAGATATATAGCCTCGCACAGTTTAACTTCCATTTTTGTTTTCTTTGTACTATCGATCGCCTAGAAGTGTAAACGAAAATGTCGACCCGTAGCACTTCATTCAGTTTTTGATTGTTCCGCCTGTAATTTTAGACAGCGTATCTTTCTATATTGATCTTTGATCTGATTATTGGATTTTTTGGTCAAGTCTGGAGCAATACCGGAGGGGTGGGTCGAAATAGCAGGGAAGTGCAACCGTGACAGGTTTGTGACTAGTGCCAAATGTGATGAATGTGATGCCCGGCGTACCGTATACGTACCTACCCCCGGGTTGGCAGGCGGAGAGCAGTGTCACTCCTTGTCACTCTCGTTAACACTTCCCTCTTTTTCTGCATCGTGAAATCGCAGCACGTCAGCGCTTCACATAATTTTATTTTTCTGAACTATATAGGAACCATACACATATGTATGTCAAATCTTGCCTCCTCCCGCCTTACCGTTGAGGTAGCTGGCCAGAGCCAGTAATGCAACTCAAAATTTCTCGGGTTTCATGTCCTTGTAGAGTAATCCTAGGTCATAGCTTGTATCAGAATAGGACCGGTTGTCTAGTTCACCCTGTGAGTAAGTACATGCCCCCTACCGTCGGTTCGGCCAGCTCGTAGCTTTTATGTCAGGTATCACCTTTCAAGAACTGCTTCCGAATCAAAGGACCCAACTACCTCTAAAGTTGGCTAATTGGCTAACTGATACAGTTTTTCTTCTAGCGTACTTTACAGTATACTCTTTAATACTTCTATGACACGATCTCCAAGCTCGGTGGTTCCGACATTACCTCCGAGGTCTGCCGTCCTCAAGCCATGTCCTCCTAGCTCAGGACTGTCAAGGACCTTCCTCACAGCGGTCTCGATGGCATTCGCCGGTGCATCCAAACCCAAGGAGTACCGCAGAAGCATGGCAGCACTCAAAATGGTACCGATCGGGTTTGCAATACCCTTTCCAGCGATGTCGGGCGCCGATCCATGAATTGGTTCATACAGACCTGGTGTAGGTTTGAAATCTGGAGATGGCGCAGACGGCGCACCGGCCAACGAAGCAGATGGGAGGAGACCTAAAGACCCAGGGATGACACTTGACTGGTCAGAAAGGCTGGAGAAAGAAACTGTCAGTGGTAATTCAAACGCATAAACTTCGGCCTGACATGTCTCCAAACAAATTTTCGGTGAGAATGACACCATTCAGCCGTTTGGGGTTCGCAACAATCAGCATTGCAGCGGAATCAACGAGATGATGGTCTAGTTTGAGCTGAGGATACTCTTTTGACAATGTTTCTGTGACGACTTTTCTCCACAGACGTGATGCCGCAAGAACATTGGCTTTATCGATCGAATGGATTTCCAGCGGCGGGTTAGCTGCCAACGCGATCTGGGCAGCGACCCTTGTAATACGCTGAACCTCTGGGACACTGTAGATCATATTGTCCCATGCGGTGTCCACGTCTGGCTCAACACCCTGTTCTTTACGGGTACCAAAATAGAGCCCTCCAATAAGCTCACGAACGACAATCATGTCCACACCCTGGGCGACGGACGGTTTTAAGGGTGTATACTCAAGAAGGGACTCCGAGGCAAGATTGGCCGGACGGATGTTCGCGTACAGACCGAGTGTCTTCCGGAGGGCAAGAAGGCCAGGTTCTGGGCGTACTTTGGCGTCAACACCCCACTTGGGACCTCCGATGGAACCTGGACGTGCATGAGACGAGCGTGGGAAGGACACAGATGATTTAACACACCCATGAGAATTGCATCAGCCTCCTGGCACGCTTTGAGGGTGCTTGGGGGTAGAGGCTCTCCCGTCTTGTCTATTGCGCAGCCACCGAAATCATGCGTTTCTAGCTTGAGATCGAAGTCTGACGAGGTAGAAGATACCAGTTCTAACACTCTGACAGCCTGGCTGACGACTTCCGGGCCTGCAATAGCATTTAGTACGGACGATCGTCGGGATCCCGGGACGTATTCATACCAATACCATCTCCGGGAAGGACAACGATTCGAAATCTGGAAAAAATACGAAAGGTTAGTCGTTATCCTAGGGAAGGGTAATGCTACTAACGATCTTGGAGACATTATGCGGTGGTAGTTCGTGATAAAGAAGCAAATTATTCTTGTCTGACTTTTCCAAAAGTCAATGTCCGAGGAGTCCCGATACTGTCGGCCGATGGAAATCCGTAGATAAGATTAGAGATAAGATGGGCGAGGGTAATGGCAAGCGCAGCCAAGCAACTACTTGACTAGAACATCCACCCATCAATGCCAGTACGAAATCGACTGCTCTGCTCCCTTTCTCTGTTCTGACGAGACTCTAGGCTTACCATTCATCATTCAATGAGGATCCAGATATCCGTCAGGTCGGCAACATGGCGGTCCTGCCAATCAAAACCAAGATTCGCGGGCCTGCGCAAATAGGTGCGCGGTACTACATATCCGACAGGCTTCGCTGACGACCATATTACTCTCAGCCGACCCAGAACAACCAGATATTATCGACGAAACCCTTGACCTGTTCCGAGCCAACTCTCTGTTCCGTAACTTTGAGATCAAAGGCCCCGCCGACCGCACCCTGATTGTGCTCATTCTTTACGTCTCTGACTGCCTAGCCAAAATTGGCAGTGCACGAACACCGCCGACGCAGATTGAGGCCTCAAAGCAACTCAATACCCTTTCTGTGGACAGTTTCCCGATCCCTGGAGATGCCAGCTTTGTTTTGAACGCTCATTATGCCGCACCAGCGAGTAGGGTAGATGCAGGTGAGTCCTGAATTTTCACTAAGAGGAACTTGACTAGATCCTTGGGTCAGATTATCTACGGCAGTATCTAGTACAAGTCCGTCAAGAGTTGGCTGCTCGTTTGGTCGCAATACTATACGCAGACGGTACAGGCAAACCCAGCAAGTGGTGGATGTCCTTCCAGAAGAGGCGCTTCATGAACAGAAGTTTGGGTGCATAGAGTGTACTGTAGTGTGGCTGTAATTACTATTCGTGACGAAACCTATTTCCGCCTCCTACGCTCGTTAGGATTCTTTTTACCATACCCAATGATGGGCATGTCTCCGTCCATGCCTGCACTTCGCATGCTCCTTCCCTTACCTCCAGTTCCGGCACTCATGATCTCTGGAATCCAATCTGGATCCATCCAGCTACCCACAGCTACTCCCGTGTCCCCGCGGGCACCTCTCGCAAGCAAACCTTTCATCATCTTCGCCTCCTCACGCTCGCGTTTTCCATCGGCCCGCTTCTTTGCTCTCATGTACTCTGCCTGATCTTCTCGGAGGATCAGACCTTCACCAGGTCCAGTCTTGGCGGATCCAGCCTTGGGGGCAGGTATCGAGTACTTTGTTCCTCGAATTCTATATTGAAAGTTGGGCTTGAGATGTACTTGCATAGCTGGTGTATCAGGAGATGCGCTAGGATCAGAAATCGTAACAGACGCGCGCAGCAAGGATGGATTGCCACATGAAGGGCAGAATTTCTTTGACGAATCCTTGCATATTCTGTACAGTTTTTCAGTTTCATTGACAAACAGACAGCATATTCAACCCACTTGAAGCATGCATGACATCGTAACACCCAGCTCTTGACCTTCTGTATTCTCTTTCCTTCGGTACCGACAAGATTCAAACCCATTTGCAGTAGAACATTTTGCATTGCAAAATCGGCAGTCATGCAACCAACAGAAATCATTTCATCGGCTTTCTTTTTACCTTTCCGGCGAGAGGAATCAGAACTCGGAAGAAGATCGAGAGCTCGAGACTTGTGAATAGCGACATTTGCGGGGGTAATCCATTCGCCTTCGCCGTCATCTTCATCGGATGGATCATCATACAAAGGTGCTGGCATGCCTTCAGATTCCTTTGACGGGGGATGCTGAGGTGGGGGATTAGCTGTTGATATCGGTTGTAGTTCAACATCGAGGGGTTCCAGGTCCTGCGCGTCTTTGCGCTCTGATTGTTCCTCATCTTGTGATTCAGACTCTGTATCCGAGGGGGGTGGTTCGGAAGCATCCGAAGGATCCCTAGAGCCATCATCGTCACCAGGAGCATCGGTAAGGTCATTATTCTACTATCAGTAAAATTAGTACGGCGATTGCCATGCTGGTGGAATGTACTCGCCTCGATGGTGCCCTCCACAACTTCTAATTCCTGGTTGACCTTTTCCAACTTTGCCTTCTCATGCAGTGTGTGGGTCAGAGCCAAGACGCAGAGATCAGGATGAGACAAAACTGAGTAATCTCCAGTCTTTTTGGCCCACTGTATCACTGCAAACATTCACGTCACGTTCAGATAGTTGATCCAGGCCACACACCTGTAGCAAGACTTGTTGCACTGGGGTTTTTCACTTCAATTTTCACCCCATAATTCAATCCCAGTCGTTCCAGATGTTCACGAGTGTTTTTGTCCCTCAACTCTTCTATTATCTGGGGTACTGTAACGTAGGTTTCAGCTAAACCTCGCAGAGGCGACAGGGATAGTAATGGGCCGGCATCGAGGACTAAACTTTTGCACTTGGGTTTGTCGTTTGCCATTGAAGGGAGGATGCTGCAGGAAAGAAGGAAAGATGAAGGAAAAAAATGGTTTATCTTATCTCGTCACGTCACGGTAACATCTATGACGTTATAGAAGCCTCGCGACCATCGGATTCAGATCATGCCAGCTGCCAGCCCCGCCTTCAAATACCTTTCTTGACCATGAACAACGACAGCGAGGCCACGCCTCTTCTCTCTGTCAAATATGTTCCTTCTCCAGATACATTGACCAGTCAGTATCTCCGCGTTTTCATTACGATTCCCATTTTGATTTCGTTTCTTTCAAACCTTCGGATAGAATTGGTGAAGCGTCTCCGTGCACTGACGCTAACGCTCTTACCGGTTGAGGTTTCTCCGACAAGCCTTAGCGAGCCTACTAGCCGGATCATCACACCCCAGGTCATTGCTGCGTATCGTGAATCGGCCGGAGATTTTGTTGAGGCGGTGAGTGAAACATCTTCTGTCGACGCGTTTTCATGGTTGAAAACATATAACCAGCTCCCATACTGCTTGCTTAGAGCTCGGGCAGAATTTATGTATGATGCCGACCATAACCCAGCTGATTACGGAGAGAACTATGGCAGAGGTGTGTTGTTGTCTGTGTGAAACAAATCAGAATTTACAGCTAGTGGGACAGCTATCGCGTGTGAGGTGCTTGCTAGGAAAATCGTGCATCAGTCTCCACCAGATCGGGTCAATGCATTTATGTCGACGCGCTTCAAACATCGGCAAATTGATGGAGACGAGAGTGACATGGCGAGTGCGCTTGAGATGGCCATTGATTCACATTGGTTCGTCCCCCTTGTATTGGACTACACTTTTGTATTGGACTACACTTTGACTAAATTACACTGTACAGTACTATATTCCTGTCCTCGACGGAAGCACAAGATGGTGAGTACACTCGTTTACACTTCCAAGCAGCTGAACTTAAATCTCCAGTCGTTGGCGCCCTTTGGCGAGGCGACCTAATTCAGAAAAACAACGAAAACCTTGAGATTGAATGTATGCTTATTGGATTGGTATGGCGCCGAAGCTGAAGCCTGCACAGATGTTCCATACTCCGAAACCCATCCCGAAACGTTCTGGGGACATCTGGATCCGTCTCGCCTTTCAGTACCCAGATATCAGAACATCGTCCGCGTAATTGTCTGGTTCGTGCTTCTGTTTGTTTACTGCCAGACAGGTGAGGGCACCAACCAGTCGCCGAATATTACCTGATACACATCCTTTCATACAGTTCGACAGCCAGCAGAGCGGCTAGACCCTCTCAACAATGCCTATCTAGATGGATGGGAAGACGCCTTCTACTTACTAGCACTATCTATAACTTTGGAAGGTTAGTCACCGTATGTCCCTGAATTATCATGAGGCTTAAAGTGTTATTATTGCAGACGTTTACAAGGTACGCGTTGTGATACTCACACAGCCTTGTGGCAGTTGTTTAATGATTACCCAGTTTACGAAGCTTCTGACCTTTGTTACTTGGCGTGCATTTACGTTCTGGAACATGGTCTCCCTTATCACCGATTCACTCATACTTGCTGCATTCATTCTGCGCGTCGTTGCCATGCGTGTAACAAGCGACGAGGAACAAATCAGGTTAAGAATTGCGAGTTTTCAAGTCCTTAGCTTTGTATCTCCGTTCATTTGGATGAGTAAGTGTACTTCTCACCTGATTACGAGTTCGCTGACATTACTGACGCTAGAGCTCTTGACTGTCTTTGATGGCTACAAGTACGATTCAGCTGTTATCAATTCCTTGACGTGCATTATTGATTTTTGGGATCAGATACATAGGCACAATGCAAATATGTATCGCTCGAATGCTACAGGAATCAGGCATATTTTTTGCTGTAAATCGTTTGATGGATTCATTTGCACGACATTTTCTCTAAAATAAATCCAGCTACTGTCCGTCATGGCTTTAGGTTTTACACAGGCACTGTGGGCTTTGGACGCGGCCGATGGTCAGGCTAGTCCACCATCATCCGTGGTGAATGTACTGGTTCAAGCCCTTCTAGGGTACGTCTTTCCTCGTGCATTCGTCTTCGTCTTTACATATCAACGCAGGTCTCCAAATTTCGACATTTTCACAAGGTACCAAATTATGTCAGTCATGTTTTTCGTCTCCTGGATTAACATATCGTTGCAGCTCAAGTGGCCTTGTGATGTACTACTTGTGAGTCCAATACTTAGATGCATTAGCCTTCCTTATCACTGTTTCGGTCTAGCTGGAACGTCGTGACGGCAATAATTCTTCTCAATGTACTGATATCCTTGTTCGCATCTGCATATCAGAATGTAAGCATAGTCCCTAACTCCATGGTCCATGACATCGCTGTTGTACTGAGAACCATTTGGCGTAGATTGTTGATGACGCAGAAGCGCAATATCTGGCTTTCTTCGCTGGTAAAACAGTGGGAATGATCAGGGCACCTGATGTCTATGTCTACCCGGCGCCTTTCAATCTCATTGAAATCCTTTTTGTTACGCCTTTCGAGTCAGTCCCGTCCGTTCATAATATCTTCTCTCATTGAAAATTTCCAGGCACATCCCGGGCGTTCGTTTAAACGACAAAAACTACGCTAAGGTATGTTCTGACTCCTACTTCTCACTCTATCGGGGAGGGTTTTAACTTTCAGCTTGTAGTTAAACAGAGCTGTAATGCGAGTGGTTTTCATCATTCCTTTGACTCTTATTGCTCTATACGAGTCAACTCGCGGACGCCACTGGGTAACGGATTGGCTACGTAGTGATAATGAAGGCGACGAGAACTATTCTCAAAGCAAGGATCCAGAGGCAGATGCTGAGGAGGATGGCCGCAAGATAAGCAAGGTCCCTTTCGAAGAACTGATCAAGGCTTTCCCCAATACTGCTCAGGTAAGCCTTTTCTCGAAACCAGTATTCGAACCTAATTCAACCTGGATACAGTCGAGCGAGGAATTACTTCTGAACGAGATCAATGGATTGAAGAAGCAGCTGAACGCTGTTCTACAAAAATTGGATGGAGGCGGTGCCAGCGTGAAAGGAGAGTAACTGAAGGGGCTAACAAGAGCACATTGGTTTGCCGCGACTTATAGACTTTGGGTTGTAAACTTACATTCCTAACGTTTGCCAGGTGAAAACGGACAGGAGCGCAGGTCTACTTCTGTAGCGAGCTGATGCTGGAGCCTATTATCCTACGAATACATTTTCTTGATTACTCTGACTCGCGGATAGGACCACGGGTACATGGGTATTACCCGCCTTGTTCTCTGGTGTTTCAGTGGCATGAGTCAATATCATCACCCTATGGACTAGACATGCATTTCGGATGTACTGCAAGGAGAGATGGTTCATTTCTTCCATCGGCTCTATCTCAGAAGACCTCTCTAACCCCAAACTCCAGCGCGCACCCACAATTTAGCTTTGAAGGGCGGCTTAGTTGACGCATCTCTATATCTCATTTAGAGTATGGTTTTTTTGGGCTGCATGATACTCGGTTATGAAAGGCAATAAACTGGGAGCCAGAAAACCGTCACGACTCTGATGTAGACTGGCGGGTAAGTTGCGTCAATACACCCATTGACTGTATGAAGAAAGGTCGGATCTCATTAATTTCCATGGAGCAAAGGCGCGTTAACTGAAATAATGTTCAGATCGGACTGAGCGATTGAACGATAGAGCGTACCATTAAATCGCTGTGATCAAGCTGGCGTAGACCTTCTCTACTCTTTGCCTGACGAGCCTCGCGTATGTCCTTGAGCAACGAACGTAGACGATCAGGGTTTTGTAGGTCATCCGATGCACTGTCGCGTTTGTCAGATGAAAGTCCAAGCAGGTAGGCACGGTACATACACATCAAGTAAAACTTTGGCGATTTCGGCAAATCGGAAAGGTAGGCTACTGAATTCCTTCCTCGTAGTTTCCTCGGTCAGTCGATCTTGCAAGTATTCTAGTGCAAATTTATCTGGATTGGAAGAGAACGTAGTGGCAATGGTCGCTCACGAACCTACGCTTAGCCAATCTGGCGCGACAATATGACATTTCCTCTTTGATTTTAGATTCAAAGCCATCCAAAGAGGAGTTCTGGCTTTATGTGGGGGTCGCAGCGGCCCATACGCGCCCTTGTAGCTCCTCAGTTACAACTAATGAAGTACACGTTCAAGAAGACAAAAGTACCGAGATGAAAGCTGTTTTTTCCATGGAAATAAGAGGTATAATTTCAATAAGCTCCTGGCACGCGATGAGCTCGAGCTCAGGCGGTGTGACAGACGTTCGCAGCGACTGAGGCAACGACATGATGGACGGAAGGAGGGTTTGTTTGCTTGTCATCAGCTTCCGGCTGCGGTCATGTGATCGACGCGTTGGTTGGAATCATGGCTGCCACAGGCGTCGTTCGCCACATCACAGCTTCGAGGCCGCCCTTGAGTTCAAATAGGAATCTACACCTCTTCACCTTACTGCCTCGCCGGTCTCGCAGTTATCCTCCACATTCTATCCTTCACTCTCACTCATTTCGCCATCATTCGCCATCGCAGCTACAGCAGTATTTCTGCTCGCTGCAATCTCAATTATGCTCGGGTCTCGTACGAAAAAGGTCACCTCCTATGGAAAGCGTAGGCAACGTGTCGTCAATATCACATCCGAAGAAAGAAGGCGTGGAGGGTTCGACTTGGATCCAACAGAGCCCAAGTTAGGGACAGTGGTTCCCAGCATCAGGAATAGGGAAAACATTGTACCATTGGTTATCAAGGGAAGAAAAGTATCGTCGCCAAAGGTAGTTATACCGCGACTGAAGAAGCGTTCACCCAAAACACCTCCAAAACGGATAGGCTCGTTGTTAGACACCCCTGCCCGGACTCCGTTGGCGATATTCCATCCAAATGGACCCGGATCCCCAGCTATCTTGCCCAAGCAACGGAAGCCATTGTCCCCGACGGCACCGTCAGGGCTACGCAAACCGTTCTCGCCGTTCGTCGAAATGGATATTACAGTGGTGGATGACCAAGGCCAGACGTTGAAGAAAGAGAGGAGAGTCTCGCGGACAACTGCCAAACCTGCTGATGACTCTGATAGTGATTCTGTTGTCGTCGTCGCGGTGCGAAAACCTCGACGGCTAAGGAATCGTGTTGTTGTTTCGGATGATTCTGGTTCCGAGGTTCGGTCGGGATCCGATAGTGATTATTCCGTTTCCTCTTCGTATAGTCCCCCTCGAAAGCCAAAGCCAAAACGTCTTGGCCAACCAAAAGTCAGGAATGCACAGAAAGCTGTGGCTAGTGGCCAACGCGATGCCACTCGTGACGCAGAAAGTCAACTCCCTAAAGCACTTCCTCGTCCGAAGGCAGTAACCGACCCGTCTAATCCATCGAGCAATCTACCGAACACCCAAGTCTACATTGACCTCACGAGAGACACCCCTCCATCAATACCAGCGCCTGCCCATTATCAACCTGGTATTTTACCGATCCATAAACCTCGTCAACTGACTCCCGTTCGACCGGGAAAAAATAGACTTTTTGCTCCTCTCTCTCCTTCTTCCCCAACAACAACCTCTGAACTTGATTTCGACTTCGACGACCTGTCCATAGGTGAGGGTGACCTTGGCGCTGCCGATACCCCCGCACCTAGTGTGCCTGACTACCTCCGTCCTCTTTTGAGGGAGTGCAATCAGGAGGCGTGTGGACTACACGAATTTTCCGCGTTCATATCTACATTCCCGTTTGACCCTATTTTGTCGTCACCTAATGGACCATCTTCCAAACCTCATTTTCGCAAAGTGGGCGAAGCGAGTTATTCAGAAGTGTTCGGAATTGGTGACGTCGTTCTTAAGGTTATACCTCTGAGAGACGAGTCAGCTTCTACAGACGGACCACCTGCGGATGTCGATCAGCCTGCGCCTACAGACGTCCGAGATGTTCTCAAGGAAATCATTGTCACACGTGCAATGGGCGAGGTTTATGACGGCTTTGTGAAGCTATTGAAAGCGTACGTTGTAAAGGGACGTTATCCGGAGAAGCTTCTGCACCTCTGGGACGAGTACAACGAGCAAAAAGGTTCAGAAAGCATACGTCCAGGTTCGTTGAACTTTCTAGTCGAATATGTCCCAAACCTAAAAAATTCTCAGATACGTTCACTTTGTCCCAGGTTTATGCTATTGTGGTGTTACCGAATGGTGGCCCAGACCTTGAGTCTTATACCTTTAGAAACACGACAAAGACAGGTTGGCGACAGGCTTGCAGTATATTCTGGCAAGTTGCGAAATCCTTGGCACATGCAGAACAACTGGTGTCTTTTGAGGTGAGCTACAGACATCTTAAGCGTCTTGTTATGTTAATAATAAAGACCGCCAGCATCGAGATCTTCACTGGGGTCAAATTCTTGTCAAGGATCTTCCCTTGCCAACTTCATTGCCTCTTCAAGCGCAACCTCTGAACCGGAAGCCTGTTAAGAAAGCTCGCGCACCGATGGATGACAAGTGTCATGGTGTGCAAGTCACTTTGATTGATCTTGGACTATCTCGTATGGACGCTGGAGACGGTTGTGGGGGCGAGATGATTCATTGGACACCTTTCGACGAAGAAATATTCCAAGGCGAAGGTACGTTTTCCGAGGCTAACCCGAAGTCATCCTAATGCGATCCACCTTAGGTGACTATCAATTCGATGTTTATCGAATGATGCGAGACCAAAATAATGGCAAATGGGAACCCTTTCTGCCGTTGACAAATGTTATGGTGAGTTCGCTCAATTGGTTTTGAAGGACGTCAGACTGATAATACTTCTCAGTGGCTCCATTATCTATTGGTCAAGCTTCTTCGCTTTAAGGGAATCAAACCTCCAGTACGCCGAAGCCAGGCAGTTTCTCCGGCGTCAAACACTCTTACGGAGCGGGAATGTTACGAGTGCCTCATAGATTTGGAGCAGTGGTTAGGGCAATGCCTCACAACCGCAGCAGCCAGAGTGAAGCCCGCCAAGAGCCGAAGGAAAACGGTGGTCCCGGACAAGAGCGAGTCGAGTTTGAATCCCGTATGCGCTGGTGAAGTCGTAGAATATGGCATCAAGAAAGCATGGATCAAACCTATTTCCCGATGAAACGTTGGAAGCCATCTAAGTGGATATCTTGCTATCTATTTTCCCGTAGATGCTGAGTTTTTTTTTAAGTAGATGTAAGATTGAATGAGTCCTCTATGTAAATGTACTGTAATAGTCCTATATATATATCGATACAGAATGCGGTGTGCGTGTAACCGACAAATGCTAAGGTAGTGAGGGTAACGAAGGATATCATCGCTCCAGCGATTGCAATGCATTACTGTCGTTAACGTTGTCCGTGATGTATACAAAAATAAATGAGATCTAGCATCCGTCGACAAGCGAATTTTTAGGCATGGTCTGACCGTAGTCATCGACCCATGTTGTTAAATTGGGGTTGTGGTACGCCTCATTGTAACTGAGGAGTAGGTTTGTCATTAGTATAGTAGGCATGGACAAAATGCAAATAGAACGTACGTCGCAATATACTCGGCTGTCGGGTAATCTTCCGGGTCACATCCGATGTTGATGTTATCCGGGTCCTGAAAAAATAGTGACGAGTTAGACAAACCAATTGTAGATGTAAAGACGTTGAATCTAACCTGGTAGACCCGAATATAATCTACCAACATAACCGCAGGGAACGTGATGTGATCTAGATCGACTTCTCCGAAGTTGGTGGACATGCCCAAATTAGCCATGATGTACTGAACCGGATTTGTCACATTTTTGTGCGTCTAGTAGAGATAGTGTACTGACCATAGGCTCCTGTGGTACAGGACGGGCAGAAATTTCCGTGGCGGTATTTGCTCCGACCCCAGCAGCGTTTATTGTCCAGGCGAGTTTGCCATCGTTGATCCAAGAAATGTACTTGTAAATGGAGTTAGTATTTAAACTTTAACGGTGAATGACGAAGAAATCTTACAGCGTTATCTGAAGCGTAGCCTTCGAAACAAATGAGCGTTACGGTCTGTCTGGAATCGTAGATGATTCACCTGGTTTATACTACGACTCGATGAGCGGGCTAGCAATAAGAATAGCTTGAAAGAGCTCACCTCAAATCCGTAGATGGCAAAGCATCCAGATGCTAATTGATAGCATTCTTGGTTCGTTTCCGATACAACGGAGGTTGCCTGCTGGGTCTTCCCACCAATGTAGGTATTGAGCTTGGATATAGTAGTATCTGCGATGATCAAGTTATCTGAACTATTGTCCCAAACGTATCCGGCGTCAAATGGCTACGAATGTATTAGCTCATTATTGGGGTATTGCGGTTAAGAAGAGATGCACGTACTGCCCACTGTCCGGATTGTGACACTTGACCTGTCCCGTCGCTGACTTGTGCCTCGAATACATCGATTTCAGGGGCGGCCCGTCCAACGTAGGTACCGTCACTGTGCTTCGGACCTGGATGACTTTGTCCATCACAGGTGCACCGCGACAGTCTCTGCCCAGGCAAGTATGATAGCACGTAGTTGGCGTCTTCAGCACCACTTGTTTGAGCTATTGCCGGTAGTCCGTTGATTGTCTGGTTAGGCGCTGTGCCAACGTCGCAGCTGTCGTACGTGTAAGGCCACTGTAGGAGGTTTTCATAATTGGTTTTCGGAGAATGGAAGAATGATGATAGAATGACTCACCATGCCGTCAAGTGATGAACCATATCCTGCACGTCCTAGATTTCCCATAGCCCATACGGCAGGCCATAGTCCAACAATGTTGTTGATTCCCGGAAGTTGGACGGAAGAAACGAGGTATCCGCCAGTAAAACAGAACTTGTTCCTATGTTTAATTGCTATGAGAAACCATTGAGAAAGGACGGGCCAATTTACCATGTCTGCACGAGCCCTGCAAATAGGCATCAATTTTAACGTCAAGAGGTACAAGGAAACTTCTTTTACCTCCTTGGTAATCAAGGCCATGCGTCTCTTTTGCAGATAACGTGAGAACGAGAGAACCGTTCTTTGTAGTCACAGCGGCTGGGTCGTACCATTCCATGTTATTGGTTTGCTGTGAAACGGTGAGGATTGAAGAACTTCTCCAGCAACACGACCTGGCAAGCGCACCCAATAATGAAGGTCGACAGCCTCCCAATAAGGATCATCACCTGGATAAAATGTTCTCCCATCTTCCTCGAATTCATCAGAAAAGACGAGACGCCATTCCTTCCCGTCTCGCCATGAATTGAAATATTTGGCATCCTCTGGGGTGTCCAAGTCGATGAGTCCAAAGTTTCCTATTTCTGGAACCTAAAGATCGAATGGGCCGGCGGTTCATCAAAAAAATATGATCTTTAAATAACGCACCTGTCCCGACGCATTGATTCCCAGGTTCAAAGCTGCAGACTCGTCCTGCTCTCGTACATAAGTGATGATTGGGTAGCCGACGCTGCATGGGGGAGAGGGGGGGTCAAGAACACCAAAGTACGAAAGAATAATACTTACAACAATGCCAGCAATGCTCCGGCAAGGACAACCAAACAACCAATATTCGCGATTCCTCGACTGGAAAAAACGTCAAGCCCTCCATCCTCTGTTGAATTCCCTCGGACTAGCGCAGGATTATGTAGCTCATCGTCTGCTTCTGTTACGTTTGGTGACAATTCTGAGCCCCATGCCCGTGGATCCGCAGAAAGTGAAAACTGCCAGCAATGCAGTTAGCTGGTCATTCTGAACCAAATCTAGGAGCAGGCACCTTGTTTGATATTGATAAGCTACTAGAAAAGGTCGAAGAAGGGTATGGCGATGGCAGCTCTCCCTATCAAATAAAGTCAAGCTGCGTAAGCTGCGGAAGGACCATATAAATCCATACCCATTCTGATTCCCGTCGGAACGTCTGCGATGGACCAGCCGAGTGAAGGAGACTTGTAGTGGACGTAGTATCAAACCTTCGTGGATAAGACATGAGCAGGCAAAAATAAGGAATGAAGGAGGGTTGAAAAGAGAGAAGGAGTATCCAAGGTCGGAATCGGCGAAAGTGGCGTTAGCACGCTGCAGCTTCTGATCTTGCGTGTATTTCGAAAACCATTGCCTCGACTTTACCCGACAAATTCTAAATTTGGGTCAGCAGCAACCACTCCACGCGACGCGTTCGATCTAAATGGTAACAAACCTTCTCGATCATCGCGACCTGGTAACCATTTGACTAGACCAGCTCCTTACCGGCATCTCCTACATTTCCGGGATCTACATTATTGGAGGTCGTTGTGTCTCCATAGTTGTTCTATTATCCAGCAATCCTTTGGAAAAGATCCATCTGTTCACACTCCAAAAAATGGCACTGGGAACGGGCATAGCCAGTGGTGAACACGGGAATTTCAGTACGCCGAAAATGTTGGAACTCCCCTGTCAAATTTATATTACGTAACTTCGACACCCTGAGAATCTGAGTATTTGTCTCAAGCATCACAAAAGAGCATCAGCTATTTTTTTTCTTGTTTTTTTCAGTCTTTTGTAGCTAGCCTGCAGGTTGTACTCAACACATCTAACAGAAACATCCAAGGAGATCTTTTGGGGTGTTGGAGTCTCGTTGAACATTGAACGACCACATCACCGTTGGCCAAGGGACCACTCCATACCTGCCGTACATTCTCTTCTTGCCGCCCTGATATAGGCCGCCGCTTTCCCAAGCAAGTCCTGATTCACCGCGATCACGATCTTGTTTTTCGCAATAACATGAGATAATATCTGGCTTATTGGCTGGACAAGTCGATACCAAGATTAAAGGTGACTTGAATGTCGCCCAAATCCAAAGTGAGTTCGTCGTCTTTGCCAATTTCACTTGTGTGTACCAGAGACATCACGGAATATACACCGGGGTATGTACAGGACAAACAGCATGGGCGTCGGCGACAAACGCACGGCGAAGCTTAATCAAATCGGGAGCAGTTCTACAGGAAAGAAGAGCACGGACTTCTTTCTCTACGGCGACCTTGCAGAATCGGCAGAATCGCCACTCGCGTGGAATCTCGGGGCGAGAACGTTCTCCCCAGCGCAAGACTTCGACGATAAGGACAGACAAACTTGTGAGAGCCTTGCGATGAGCAGGACTTGTGGCGGTGAGATAAACATGAAGGGCTAATATTTTCTGACGGCAGACTTCAGGGACGCGCTTCATCGACAGTTGAAGAATAAGTAAACCCGCTAACCCTGGAAGCAATCTTTATATCATCAAGACAGACCATCTCTACGGATGCAATCAATACAATAGTAGCTTACTCTTATAAAAGGTTGCCTTGGACACGACGGAGCAAGGCGAGCAAGCACTCGTTAAAGATCTCCAAGCTCGGATGTGGTACGACTCATGGATTCTCGCAACAGGCAATTCGTGGTGATCCTAGATGTCAAAGAGCGGAGACCAGTCGTTGTATGACGAGCTCTACAAGCATTCTAAGTCAGCGAGGGTGGTACACATGGTGCCATAATACTCCGCACCTGTTTCCGCATGAATGAACGTCTAGGCTGTCTTAGAGTGGACACTAAGCGCTGGGCAAGTGTCGAAGAAAAGCACTGGACATACGCCGAAGCTCTTCTGACACCGCAACATCGACGTCAGGGACAATCTCATACTCAGCAATAAGGGAAGTATCAGCTTTGGCCATAACTATGATAGAGATGGGCTTCGGGTGCGAGAGCGAGAGACGTCCAAAGGTGCCGGTGAGCCATCGGCACCGCATGCTGCAGATTCCTGCAGGGCGCCCTTCCGCCCCTTCGGACGAGAAATAGATCAGAGCGACGTCATCAGTACGTTCAACGTGAGAGATGCGAACTTCATTTAAGATGACATCGTCAGGGTGGTCTGGGATGATGAAATCCGAGAAATAGACGTTCCACAGAGTCAGAGAGAGGGTCTCGGCGAAAGCGCCAATGGCGCAGGTGATTATATCAGAGCATGGCGAACATGAAGGCAGTATACAGAACTTCCTGATCCTGTACATGGGCAGTATGAAGAATCAATGAGTTGTTGAGGTCCGATTTCCACGACGAAAGCCATTCTGCGACCGAGGAAATTTGCGTTCTCCGTCCAACGGAAATCAAGGATCAGAGTAGCTTCGGCAATTTCCGGGAACATCGAGATTCTCTGTCGGGTTTAGGAACAGCAGCAAGCAAACTGAGTAGCCAAGCGCGTTGTAGAATCTCATCGTTTTCAAGGCAGTATGGAAGAACTGAACAAGATCCTCTGTGGGAATAGTGAGTACATCTCGTTGATTGATTCCATCAATCAGCTCAGGTGTTGGCACGAAGGCGATTCTTACCACGGTCGACAGCATCAGCGTGGAGAGAGCGGAGGGAAAGACCACAGAGCAGAATTACTATCTGATCCGCTAGCTCCGATAAGGTCGGACATCTTTTTCAAGGTGGAAGCAACTTAAATGTGAACAGACAAGGGATCGGGATTCGCGCGCTTACACAACGTGTCTCTAAAAGTCCTCTAGTAATATTGGAGGAAATTTGGGACGAGAATTAGTACTTTCACACTAGTTTCCATATGTAGGAGCCAGACGCGCAACCGATAAGTTGATGCAAGTTCCACTACATGCGCCGGCGAACCTTTTGAATTCCCCGATGTGATTCAGAGTCGCTGTCGCTATCTTCTGGTAGTGTAGAATAGAGATCGAGGAATCTTAGGTTACCATGACTCGCCGATGAAATATTGGAAGCCATCTAGATTGATAATTTCACTGTCTATTTCTGCATGGATCCTTTCGGATTTTGGGGCATAAATTAATCCTCTACGTAATGCGGTAGCCCTATATATACATCGATACAGAATGATGAGTTGTGTATAACCAAATCTAAGGAGGTGAGGGTGAGGAAATAGAGGATATCATCGCTGGTGGGTAAATGAATGGGCGGAGTGGATTCCAGCGATTGCGATGCATTACTGTCGTTACATAATGCATAATGTGTCGCCCATGATGAATACAAAAATAAATTAAATCTAGCATCCGTCAACGAGTGAATTTTTAGGAATGGTCTGACCGTAGTCATCGACCCATGTTGTCAAGTTGGGGTTTTGGTAAGCCTCACTGTAACTGAGGAGTAGATTTGTCATTAGTATAATAGGCATGGACGAGATGCACATCGAACATACGTGGCGATATACTCTGCTGTAGGGAAGTCTTCCGGGTCACATCCGATATTGATGTTGTCCGGGTCCTGAAAAGAGGGTTAGAAAATCATATGACCGTGAAGACGCCGAATATAACCTGGTACACCCGAATATAATCTATCAACATGACTGCAGGGAACGTGAGGTGATCCAGATCGACGTCTCCGAAGTTGGTGGACATGCCCAAATTAGCCATGATGTACTGGACCGTGTTTGTTAGAGTGTTAAGCACCGAATGCCAGAAAAAGTTTACTTACCATAGGCTCCTGTGGTACAGGACGGGCAGAGATTTCGGTAGCGGCATCTGCCCTCATGCCAGCAGCGTTTATTGTCCAGGCGAGCTTGCCATCGTTGATCCAGGAGATGTACTGAGCGAATGGAGTGAGTATACCAAACTTCAAAAATGAATATCGAAGAAAACTTACAGCGTTATCTGACGCGTAGCCTTCGAAACAGATGAGCGACACAGTCTGTCGGGAGTTGTAGTTACTTCACCTGGTTTATACTGTAATTCATTCAGCCGGAGAGGGACAAGGTCAGTCTGGAAAAAGCTCACCTCGAATCCATAGATAGCAAAGCACCCAGATGCCAATTGATAGCAGTCTGGATTCGTTTCAGATACAACAGAGGTTGCCTGCTGGAACAGTCCACCAACATACGTGTTGAACGTGGATACACTACTGTCTGCAATAATCAAGTTATCCGTACTATTGTCCCAAATGAATCCTGCGTTAAACGGCTAGTAAAAGATTGGTCCATCGTTTACACATCATGGTTAGGGAGAGCTGCACGTACTGCCCACTGTCCGGACTGCGACACTTGACCAGTGCCATCGCTGACTAGTGCCTCAAATACATCGATTTCTGGAGCAGACCGTCCAACGTAGGTACCGTCACTGTGCTTAGGACCTGGATGACTTTCCCCGTCACAGGTGCACCGCGACAACCTCTGTCCGGGCAAATATGATAATGTGTAGTCAGCTGCTGCTGCGGGTAGTCCATCGATTGTTTGATTAGGTGCTGTGCCAACGTCGCAGCTGTCATACGTGTAAGGCCACTACAGACGGTTTTCATACTGTGATAAAAAATTTGACACTGATAAATAACGTACCGTGCCGTCAAGTGATGCACCATATCCTGCGCGTCCCAAATTTCCCATACTCCATACGGCAGGCCAAAGTCCAACAATGTTGTTGATTCCGGGAAGTTGGACGGCCGAAACCAGGTATCCGCCGGTAAAACAGAACTTATTCCTATGTTTGATTGTATAAGACAAGCACTGAGAACGGACGGGCCAATTTACCATGTTTGTACGAGTGCTGCAAATCACCATCAGTCGTAGTATGAGACGAACAAGAAGACTTCTTTTACCTCCTTGGTAATCAAGACCGTGTGTTTCTTTTGCAGATAGTGTAAGAACGAGAGAACCGTTCTTCGTAGTCACAGCCGCCGGGTCGTACCATTCTATATTATTGGTTTGCTGTGAAACAGTGAGGATTGAAGAACTTCTCCAGTAAAAAGACCCAAGCACACCCAATAATGAAGGTCGACAGCCTCCCAGTAGGGATCATCACCTGGATAAAATGTCCTCCCATCTTCCTCGAATTCATCAGAAAAGACGAGACGCCATTCCTTCCCATCGCGCCATGAATTGAAATATTTGGCATCCTCTGGGGTGTCCAAGTCTATTAGACCAAAGTTTCCTATTTCTGGGACCTAAAGATAGAATGCGCCAGCAATTCATCGAACGATCCAAAATAACGCACCTGTCCCGAAGCATTGACTCCCAGGACCGAGGCAGCCGACTCCCTCTGAGTCCGTACAAAAGTGGCGATTGGGTAGCCAACGCTACATGGGAGTCAACGACGTCATGCACGAGAGGAACTTAAAGGACAATGCCTACAACATCGTCACCATTGCTCCGCAAAGAACAAATAGACAACCAATATTCCCGAGCCCCCGAATGGAAAAAATGTCGAGTCCCCCATCGTCCATTATCCTACCCTTCCGGACTGTAGGATTATGTAGTTCATCGTCGGCTTCTGTTACGCTTGGCGACAAATTTGTTCCCCATGTCAGCGGGTCCGCAGAAAGTGAATACTGCCAGAAATGCAATTAGCTGACCGTTGTGAACCAGAACTTAGTAGGAGTGAGTACCTTCTTCGACAAAGATAAGCTGGAGATGGTCGAAGCAGGGTATGGCGATGGCAGCTCTCCCTATCAAATAAAGTCAAGCTGTGTGTAATGGACGATATGAAGCCATACTAATTCTGATTTCCGCTGGAATGTCTGCGATGAACCCGCTGAGCGGAGGGGACTTGCGATGGAGGGCGTAGTATCAAACCTTCGTTGATAATACATGGGTGCGCAGAAAGGAATAGCGGGGAGGTAAAAGAAAGAAGAAATATATGAGGTCGACATCGGCGAAAGTGGCTTTAACACGCGCAGCTACTCATCTTACTTCGAAACCCATTTCTTCACCTTCAGCCGATCGAGTCTAAAATTGGTTCAGCAGCAGCAATTTTGCACGACACGGGTAACAAACCTCCTCGATCGACGGAGGCACGACCTGGCAACCATCATTAATATTCGGCATACAGAAGACTTTGCTTTCTGCTCTCCGAGGACCCACCTTCTAAAGGACCAAGATTGACGTTATTGGAGGTCGCTGCGCCTCCCAGGTAATATTCTATGGTTGCTCATGTCGCTTATATTCCGGAATCATTTATCTGCTCGCGCTCATAAAATGGCTCTGAGAGCAGGCATAGTTGGTAAGCATAGGGAAAGCCGAAAATACTGGAACTCCCCTGCCGAACTTATGATACGCTAATCGCCACCCTGAAAATCCGAGTATCCCAAGCGTCAACATCATCGGCCGAAATTATGCCACTAGAGGACCACGTCTCCCCAGTCCACAAGTCTTTGATGGCTAGCCTATCGCCTATACTCAATTCATCTATGAGAGAAACGTCCACGGAAATATTTTGAGGTGTCGGGGTCTCGTTGAATATTAGAACGACCGCGTCCCCGTTAGCTAAGGGACCGCTCCAAACTTGCCGCACATTCTCTTGACTTGCCGCCTTGATATAGGCCGCCGCTTTCCCAAGCGCATCCTGATTTACCGCAATGACGTCCTTGTTTTTCACAATATCCAGCTTATCGCTAGAGAGGCGGGACAAATCGGTACCCAAGACTAAAGGTGGTTTGAGGGCCGCCCAAAATCCAAAGTGTGTCCTGGTTTTTGCCAACGTCTCGTTGGAGATTTGTCCGATCCTATGAATATCAGAGATGATGCCATGTTATCACCGAAGAATAGGACGCACTCGAGCATGTCCATGTCAGCAAAAGAAAAAGGCTTCTGGAATTGTGCGACTTCGCGCATCTTACGGATGTATGCTAGAACGGAGCATCCTGCGTCTACGGAAGATTGATCAGGCAATACGAACACGAAAAAATAGACTCTTACAGCCTGTATTCAAACAGTAAGCTGTGCTGGCACATTGGCAGTCCTTATGTCCCGCCTCGTCTCCAAAATATGCATTAATATCACCTGCCATGCGGTAGGTGTGTCCAACGGCGTCCGCCCAGAACCAAGGGAACTGGGAGCCCTGCGAGAGCTTAGAATTCTACATGAACATTCTGAGCCTTTCAACCTACCCATTGGCACATGGAATAAAGCATTCCGCGATTAGAACGAGAGATGGCGTCCCGCATCCCTAGAAACCGCAGCTATTATTCGGGTTCAGTGTGTTTTTTCTCGAAACTTACGTCCAAAACGAACTTGAGGCGGCTCAACGTTGGCGTGGAAGCCACCGCAGTCTGTGCTGAAGATAAGGTATGCTTCAAGCGGAACCAAGGACATCACGTGTGTGACTGATCTGTGACTTTTCGTGACTCATTAACTGCCGACTGCGTGTTTTTGCTTCGTTTCTGTCGCTGTGCTTGTAGTATGGTCTCTGTAATATGTTAATAGACTTCTCCTTTATATAACTCCTCAAAAATGTACCTTGGGGTGACCCTGTGACCCTTGTATGTTCTTTCCCAGGCAGTGTGATTTCCACACAGTTTCTTTCCAATATACACCCATGAATCACAAATGAGAGGACCAAGAACCTTCCAAAGGAGAATGTAAGGTCTAGGCAACGTGTTTTGACTGAATAAGACATGTGAATGCATCAAATATTAGTTGCGTCGCGATTTGTCTATCCCCATCAAATCACTAATTGGCTATCTACTCTCGCTCATTTCCCAAATTAGAAAATCGGAGCCCGAGGATTTATGCGAAATACTATTATCTAGGATTCCTCGGAGCCCGATTTAGCATTTACTTCCATGTACAGGAGGAGATAGATTTTTTTTGTGTAAATGTTACTTTTGTAACGTTTTAGTCACGTGATGTCCTTGGTTCCGCTTGAAGCATACCTTAAAAAAAAATTCTTATCGGCGGAGAAGGGTAACGTACTATCGTACTTCAGAAAGTCTATACCCCATTCTGCGAAAGTAGCAATATCTTCATCTTCCTATAACGATAACGATAATGAGTATTCGTACGCCAAACACCACGGACACCAGTTGGGACCTACGTAGCCATAACTTCCTGGTGCAAACCCGCAGTCTAACAAACTGATACGTCACCACGTCATTGTATGAGAAGAAGAGATATGAGATGGTGACTGACGTACCCCGCATCAGAATATATGCCGACCTTGAGCCCTTTGGAGTGAACGTAGTCGACCAGTGGTTTGATACCATTGGGAAAGGACTCAGGATTAGGCTGTCGCTGCCCACGGTCGGTTCTGTTCAATGCTGACCTTTACCAAAAACAAGCTGACGTGAAACAAGCTTCAGTCGTTGAAGAGCATACCATCCGCCATCAAGCGTGATGTATTCATATCCTGCATCGCGGAGACCAAGGGAGACAAAAAGATCGGCAACCTCTTTAATGATGGATTCATTGAAGTTACTTCTGTAGCTAGATAAAAAAGTGGATATTGGCGCCTCGAAAACGGACATGAGAATCCAACGAACGCGTTGTATCTATAGCTAATCTCAGTCGATTAAAATGGGGAAGATGGATCACGTACGTATTCCAGCCCATAAATGGGGTACGTCCGAGCCCCCAAAGATCCAGAGCAACAACAGAAGCAGTCCAAAGAGATATGATGCATATTGATAGCGATATCCAAAGCATACTGTTGAGAAAGGGCTTCGCTGGTGACCTTATGCTACGTCAATCCTTTATATGTCGAGCCAAGGCATGCCTGCTACACGGGCCGTCTTCTATCACCTGTCGAGCTTTCATGGAGACACAAATGTGGTGGCGGTCCGAGATCATGCCTCGAGAAGATGGCGTTGGCGCTATCGCGGTGGAAGCTAGCCTGACAAGCCGGCTTTATTATATACTCGCGGTACTCCTATGGTGGAAGCAAGTAAACGCAGCAGGGTCACGTGCGCGATACACGCCGCTTTCTTTCGAAGTCAACCTTTCCAACGTGTTTTCAGATTTTTCCAGATTTTCGAGAGATTGTTACTCTAATCTGCAACTTTATTGTCCAACTAGATTACCAGGCTGGCAGGTGATCCAGGTGAACTTCCTCTGCGGACCGAAATGAGCCCGGGTATATGATATATGCTTGACCGTCTGGGATTCCCTCTTCGCGGCAATTACTATGTCTTGGCTATACTTGCTTTCTATAACCTTCTCAATGATGTTCTCTCTGTGTCAAGGGCAAACACAGTCCTTGCTTGGCTACTTGAAAAATCGGTCCGATACTTCGAAACTTGTGGAATGGATAGAAACTCCGCCAGGTTGCTCATCATTCCTGCTGCACATCTTTCTCCGCGGTTTATCTCTCTTTCAGGCTTTGCCACAGCCTTTGATCATGTTGTCAATGGGACATGTTTGGCCGTATAACTTGGTTTTGTCCCGTTGTTGACCATTCTTACAGGGTCTTTTACATTCTTTGCGCCAAATAATGATGCAATTGAGAGTCTCAATGAACGCTACCGTGACTGGCTTGTTTCTCCGTGCGTTTTCTCCTAATTCAGTTTTAGTTATGCCATCCTCACCGACACAGGCTTGGGCGCGATACAATAGGAAACTTGTTGATACACCATTATGTTCCCAACACCAAGTTCATGACGAGCTCGTTTAATGAAACTTACGGCCGCTTCCAGGTCATGCTGAAAACCTATACTCTTGCGCTAACTGACATTACTGATGTGCAAACAGACTGGTTCTTATCTCTTGGTTGGAGCGCAGGCAATCGACAACACTGTCGTCCTGAATAGGGTTGCTCATATTGTCGAGGGTGATATAAATGTTGACTCTGGTATGCTATCTTCATCAATTGGCGCCAGCTGAAATGATAGCTTCCAACAGGCATTGTTCATATCATCGATCGTGTACTGTCACATCGTATCAGGAATGGGAACCAGAGGATGCGAGGCTCATCTCACAGACATTCATTCCTGGATCGTGTTCTAATCCTGCTCTGCCTTACTGCTAAGCCAGATACACACCAAAAAAAGTAAATTTCACAGCCGAGTTTTTGTTGGTCAGAAACTATTCCAAAACCAGGAAAAACCCATATATAGGAATCCCGCTCCATCCCGCCTTGGGGCGGGAGAGGGCGCATACCTATATATGGTATCCCCACCAGTTTCTTATTTAGTTTTGGACGTTTTGGACAATTAGAAATTCGGCTGAAATTTTACTTTTCTTGGTGTGATAAGTAGTGCCGTGACGATGTATTGTAATTCGGCCTTTCACGGCCGTAAGTCTAAGTAAAAATAATCAGAGAGAATGAGTCATAACCCTAACCTCATGATGAAACTTCCCTGTTTTCTTCCATCATGGCCGTTACATTCGAGTCCCTTCCCGTCGAACTAATAGCAGAAATTCTTGGAGAACTGGACATAGAATATTGATAAAAATGTCCTATCTGTCCCGCAGACTCCATGCCATCACGTCTGATTCGTCACTGAACCCATGGAGACGGCCCATTTTGCGCAATCTTCGTTCGGCGACTTATGAAGACGACTGCTTAAACACCTTAGCGTTCGACGACTGTCCCGAGACAGAACTGGATTGAAATTCTCACTTAGCACGTCCCCTCGTTCATCCTATTCGACGCG